CTTCTTCTTCTTCTTCTTCTTCTTCTTCTTCTTCTTCTTCTTCTTCTTCTTCTTCTTCTTCTTCTTCTTCTTCTTCTTCTTCTTCTTCTTCTTCTTCTTCTTCTTCTTCTTCTTCTTCTTCTTCTTCGCCTTCCCTTTTCCATTTCTTTTAATGTGTCCTCATGAAATCAAGTTACTTCTATAGAAAGCCCATCACACACATTTTCTGTTTTCTGACCTACCCACAGTGACCTACGACGAGTTGGAAAATGCCATGTTCGCGCACCCGTGCTTGAGCGAGAGTCTCAACAATCTCTGGGGATTTCTGGAGTGAAATGAAATGAAATGAATTGAATTGAATTGAATGGGATTGAATGGGATTGAAGCCGCCTTTCTGTCTGTCTGTCTGTCTGTCTGTCGGGCGTAAAGACGACGGCGACGACGACCGTGTACGTGTCCTTGGATGGATCCACATCGATATCTTCTATCTCCTTTTCAGACGGATAGACGGAAAGGAATACAGAATAATATGATATGGGATGGGTGTCCAGATAGGCCTTCTGTTTCCTATCGAGGGGCTGTAGGATGGAATGCCTCGCTTGACAATGACAGTCACTCACTCACTCAACCAGTCTAAATCACCTACAAACCATTGAATCATGATACTGTCTCACGACTCTCCCCCCTCCGACACTGCCCGCCAGTTCCCCGTCTCGGGCCTTCTCTCCCCTTCATAGACGGGCAGCGGCGTGCCCATCAACTCGGCCTTGATCTGCATCGCCACGTGGCGGGAGAAATACCTCGCGTGCCCGATCGTGCCGCCCATGTAGTACAGGTGCGGGTGGCTGTTGCGCTTGAACACGCCCTTGAGTTCCCCCTCGCCGTCCAGCCCCCAGAAGTCGTCCGCCCGGGCCGCGACGTCCTTGCCGAAGATGCGGGCCACATCTGTGCGCATGTTGCCCACAAAGCCCGTGCAGAAGACGATCACCGACGCGGGGATTTCGCTGCCGTCACTGAAGGCGAGGCCGGTGCGGGTGAAGTGTGTGGGCAGCGCGTGGGATTGCATTTTGATCTGGAAAGGGCCGGGGGCCCGGCGAGGTCAGTTGGGGGACATGCTAAAGAAAGATGGAGAGGGAGAGAGGGAGAAAAGGGGTGAACATGCCTTTCCCTTCGCGATCAGGTCTGAACAGCCCACATCCATGTAATGCCCTAGACATATGAGTTAGCTCGGCGTGTCTTTAGTGTAGAATACCGTCTTTCGGTGGCCTGAGGACGAGCCCGTCTTGCAAGAGGACCGCGACGTACCGCCCATCTTCTCACAGATATGCCACATGATGTCGCCATATCTCTCCACTCTAAATCCAGCCCGCTCCAGGGCGTCGAAGCGTTCAGGCTCTTTGGCTGCCATCCCATGCAGTGCTTTGCGACTCAGGAGCCTCGTGAGCGCGTACGGCATCTGCAAATGCCGGTCAATTGACTTCTTCAAATTCCAGAGAGGGGATACTGCTTACTGAATACTGCTCTCGATCGGCGTCGACGGTGGGCACATCTGCGTTGTACGACCGGTCTGAAATCACCTTGAAGTACTCGCACGGCAGCACGTAGGTGCGTGAACGCTGCACCATGGTGATCTGTGAGAGCCCTGCTTCCACCATGTCCTCGGCGACGTCGTGGGCTGTGTTTGCCGTACCGATTACAATACCAGCCTTGCCGCGCCAGGGTTCGGCCGATTTGTACTCGGCGGAATGGAGGACTGTGCCCTCGAAGATATCGCGGCCGGGGTACTGTGGCATGATGGGAATCTGCCCTCCTCCACCAGTGGCCATGATGACATGTCGACACGTAAGGCTCTGGGTTGAACCGTCGGCATGACGGATGTGCAATGTCCACCTCTTGCTGCCTTCATCCCACGATCCGGACTCCAGAGTTGTGTTAAACCAGATGTGCTTGTCGATTCCGAACTTCTCGACCCAGTCCTTGTATCCCTTCGCCAGGTCGTACTTGGTGAGGAATTCCTGATAGGGTAGTGGAAATGTCCGGTCAAATGGTAAGTGGTTGTACTCGCGGGCCGTGTGTAGCCTGGCGGAATCGTATCGGGTCATCCAGTTGTCGCCGATTTGGGCGTTTTTGTCGAGCACCACATAGGAGATCCCCAGAGACTGAAGCCGGCCTGCGGAGCCGAGACCTGCTTGACCAGCTCCTACGACGACACAGTCATAGTCACTGGGAGGGCGGACCGACCCATTCGTCCCAGTGTGGGTTCCGTTCACGCCGTTTGTATGTAAGTGATTCCCATTCACACCGTTTGACATTTCTTGGACCACCGGAAGAATGTCCACATCTTCACAACCCTCCAACTGCTCCAGGATAGTCCTGATGAGCCAGATCCTCCAATGCCCGTCATCTTCCAGGACCAAGGACAGAATTCCTCGGCAGGTGGAAGCGGGGCTGCCACGATTGCGAAATGTGAAGGAGACATTCACCCATCCGATGTCCTTGTCCAGCCGTGTTGGTTTTGCCGAATCCTTAATAGGTGCAAAATCGCAGGCTAGCCGGGATTCACACGTTTCGGTCCAGGCCTTGGTGATAGAGTCCGCCGAGTAGATTGTTCGCAGAGTGCCGGTTAGGGCGAAGACGTCGCGCCAGATCGCCGTCGACGAGAGGTTTGCTGGCGTGAGATTTCCCAATGAATGTATTATCGGGGTGGCAATGGCTTCGAAGTCAGTATCGGTGTCAAAATGGCACAAGGGTAAACTGCATGGGAGTGTTTCGAGTACACTTCGTGGCTCGTACGGAGCGATATCGACCTCGATGCCTGGGTTAGTCATTGCAGCCCTGGGGAGTGGCGATTATGCTTCAAAGACTGGTTCAGGGATATTGAATGTTTGTGGTCTTGAGTGTATCCCAGAGGCGTCTAGTCTTCAAAGAGCACAGAAAGATACTTGACTCTTCATCCAATTTAACCTCACCAACTCCACCAAGCAGGTACTTTGCTAGATTGATTTCGCTGCCAGATGACGGAAGGCGAAGATATCGGATGTGGCCGGTGTCAATCATATTGCCGTAATGCCGTCTTGGGGAACCCGAAAGTTATAGCATGCTCATTATGTGGATGGTATGGAGCTGGCCTCAGGAACCCCAACTGCCGCGTGGAGCAGGAGTTGAGAAATGCATTGAACATTCTGGGGTCGACGGATGGGTACTTGTGGGGTCATGCATTCATCGATCTGGGCCACGAGACACAAACGGCCTGCTTATATTGGATAAGCGTGCATTGGTAGCCTTGAAACGGAATGTTCCGTGGCGGGAAAGCAATTCACCGCGCAATAGGAAGGGGATGAAAGGCAACAGTAGATTTTATATGTATGAAGCTTTCGGGAGGGGGGATCCTTAAGGGACGCGCAGAGAGACCGAAATGTCCATTTTCACGCAACATGGTCCCCCACCATTGATCCGTTGTCCTCTGTGGGAAGATGGCCGCCATTAGCATGAGATCCATTGACCGCGGTCTGTCCCGTGGCGACTGGCACTGTCAGCGACTTTTGCGGCCTCATGCCCAGCAGATTTGTGGCATCGATCAAGCGCGCATTGGGATTCAATTCCAGCCCGAATCCAGGCTTGTCCAATGTGCCGACATCCAGATACCCCTTGGTGGGAATTGGCTCGTTCAGGAACAGGTCGCCAAAGACAGGCAAAACGCTCTTTCCATCCGGGCTGTTCGCTAGATACTCTTGGAAGGGAGAGTTGTGCTGGCTGACGACAAAATGGTAGGAATAAGGACCCGAAGCATGGGGGATGACCGGAATGTCGTAGGCTGCGGCCATTGAAGAGACTTTGAGAAGTTCCGTCAGGCCACCGAGCCACATCACGTCCGGCTGGATGATGTCGACATTGCGCCCTTCGATGAGTTTGCGAAATCCGTAGCGAGAGTATTCATGTTCCTGGGAATGATTCAGTCTTCCATGGGTTGAGGCACTTCTGAGCAAAGAATCCTTACCCCCGTGGTGAACTTGGTGTCTGGGTGTGCCCTCTTCAACAGTTGGAAACCATCAACGTCGTCCGGCGACAGGACTTCCTCCCACCAATCTATTCTGATATCCTGTCTCTTGGCCTCCGACACAAGCTCGATGGTGTAGGGGACGTTCAACGACATCCAGCAGTCGACCCGCAAAGGGAAATCGGGGCCGACGGCTTCCCTATGCTTCTTCAGAAATGCAATGTTCTTTTTGATGCTATCGGGTTCGTCCGCGCTGTAAGGCAGGGGCACCTTCCCTGCAATGAAGCCCATTTTCTGTGCCGCCGCGGGTTCGGGACCGGTGCAATAAAAGTGCAGCCTGTCTCTCGTGGCACCACCGATCATTTTGTAGACTGGCTCGTTCCTGATCTTGCCCAGGAGATCCCACAGAGCCAGGTCGATGACAGATATGACGGCCACTGGCAACCCTTTTCGACCGTAGAACAGGGAACCCTTGTACATGAGCTCGTACAGATCGTTCACGTCTCTCGGATCCCGTCCCAGAAGAAATCGTTCAAAGTGCTGCTGAACGAGCCAACATCCAGGCGGCCCACCAAATCCTGTGGCAAAACCCTTGGTACCATCGGTGGCTGTGATCTCGACGCAGAAGGAGCCAAGGACATTGATACCAAAGGAGGTCCTGGAGGTTCGATACCGCTCCCATTTGGACATGGGGGTTGCGATTTTGTTGTCAATCAGCCAGTGTCCCCCTTCGACATTGTGATAGTCGCCGCCAGAGCCCACTCCGTCGACGACGAAAGTTCGGATGGCTTTGATGGTAGGAAAGGCCTTGATCCCAGACATGATGGATCTCGAGGTCTTTTTGCTTTCTTTCTTTTTGTCGTGTGATTAGGGAGGACGGAGAGGAAGATAAAAGAGCACAGCAGGAGATAACGGCGACAGACAAAGCGCCATATTTTGTCCTAGAGGGGTTGAAATGCACAAATAAGAGAACATGGCACTCGTCAATGTCACTCGCACAAATAACTGGGTTTCGCTGATCGGGACAGCTTCACCCGGGCTCGGAGCCATGACAGACCTGCCTAGTGACATGCACAGGCAGAAAAGGGGGGGTTCCTGGTTCTAGCCATGTGATAATGGCGATGCGAGAATGCAAAGGACGAGATCGTGGATCTCTCACAATATGTATTTTTGCTCCTTTAGCCGAACTGTACGAGGCACTCCGTCCGGCGTACTGGAGGAGGAAGCAGAGATGCCCTGGAAGCCCATTTGGGGCAGAGTGGGGTGGGCTACAATTCGATTCTGTCTGTCAAGGTGCAGACACTGGCTGGCGCTGCCATTCCACAGTCCCGCAGTGGCATCATTTTTGGTCTGACACACGCCCCCGTTGCCTGCCAAGTGCCGGTGGAGTGATGCCTGCGAGCCGCCAATGTTCAGCTGACTTTCGGTTCCCCAGCTTTTCATTTTGTTTTGCTTCAACCTTTTTCTCCATTCTCGGCCTCTTCTCAACCGATAACTCGGCTTACGGGTCAATGCCGCCAGTGCCACACGGGTGACGGCTCGACGGGCACAAAGAAGGCCATAGCTGATCATGATGAACGCCACGAAGCTCGAGCTCTATGACCATCACTCCGGGAGCAATGGCCACGTCCACGTGTCGTCTGCTCTGGGATCGCTGGCCACTCTGGGGGCGTCGTCCAACACTCCATCAGACTCTGACTCGGGCATAGATGACGACCGGGATGGCTCCAGAAAGCGCAAGAGACCTATGAATGTCACGTACGTGTGGCCCATGCCCCCCCTTTGGCTTCATCGCGTCTTCCTTGTTCATCTTCCCGTCGTTCCTCGGTCATGTGCATCCCTCACTAATGCTCGATTCTGACAGCTGCGAAGCCTGCAAGGTCCGTATACGTAAGTCTTGGGGATTCAACCGCACTGTACTGACGCGGTGGAGCAGCAACGAAAAGTAAAATGCGACCGTGCCCAGCCTGCCTGTGGGTGGTGTTCTCGCAATGAACTCCCCTGTGAATACAAAGAGCGGAAGAAGCCCGGCCTGCGTGCCGGTTATGGTAGAGAGCTCGAGGGGAGACTAGACCGGCTTGAAGCACTGTTGAATGAACAAGGTCGCCAGTTGGCCGCCCATCTTGCAGAATCATGCACCATTGACACCCGGGTCAGCTCTGCCAGCAACAGCCATGGTGTACAAGGCTTAGGTGCCGACGTCGCTGGGGTGCGGGCGTCGTACGATGCGCAGGGCATCAATGTCGCCGGAGAGCTCCAGCAACAGATTATCGACCCCAACCTGCATGCCTCCACCTCCCGACATGGCTCGCTACAGTATCAGCAGGGAGCTCCAGACCAGCAAATGGTGCAGCAGAGCCACTACACTCCGTCCGCTCAGTCACATACACTGACCTCACCTCATTCCACGACGGGATATCAAGCCGCCCAGATGTATAATGAGTACTCGGCGATGCTCCCTCCGTATGACCTCCTCTATGCCTTGGTGGATCTCTATTTCAAACACATCAACATATGGTTGCCATTGCTGGATCGAAAAACCACCCTAGACACATTGTTTGGGGCGTCCACTCTGGACGAAGCCGACAGGGTGCTTCTGCATGCCATTGTGGCAACAACACTGCGCTTCTCGCAGGACCCTCGATTGACCCCGGAAGGCCGCCAGCACTATCATGATACTTCCAAGCAGCGTGTCCAGTTGTTCGGACTGGAAAATTCAAATGTGCGGGCTCTGCAAGCACTGGTCATCCTGGCCTTGGATGTGACAGGGTCGACAAATGGTCCGCCGGCATGGAATCTCCTTGCACTGATTAGCAGAAGCATGGTCCAACTGGGACTTGCGGCGGAGGCGGGCTCTACACTTGCCTCACCCATGTATCCCTCGATCGCAACTCTCAGGGCCTCTGTTCTGCCGGAGCCCAAAACGTGGATTGAGGATGAAGAGCGACGCAGGCTCTTCTGGGCAGTTTTCCTGCTTGACCGATACGCCACCATCGCGACGGCATTCGAATTCGCGCTGGACGAAAAAGAGGTTGACCGGCGTCTGCCTTGCAGAGACGACCTCTTTGCAGCGAACAAGCCGGTGGAAACGAGGTGGTTTCGGCCGCCAGAGCGCCCTCGATATGCCACGGGGATGGCGGACACCCATGGACATTTCTCCTATCACTGTGAGCTCATCGCTATTCTGGGTCACATCCACCAATTTCTGAAACGGCCCGTGGACATTGGCTCGTTGAGCGACGTGGAGCAGTGGCAAGGCTCGTACCGAGCCCTCGACAGCGATCTAAACGCGTGGCACTTCAGCCTGCCCGACGAATTCGCCAACATCACTCGGCTTCTAAAATCCAACGTGCCGGCTAAAAATACAAATTGTGGCTGGATCATGCTACATGCAGCCTATTGTCTGACGGTCATTCGCTTGAACTCGTCGGCGGCGTATCCTGCTCAGAGTTCGCCGATCTTCTCCTCGTCCTACAGCGCCATGCAACGGTGTTTATCCGCCGTCGAGAACATGCGTCAGCTCTGTCGGTTCGTGAAGCTCAGTGGCCTACTGGATCGCCTCGGGCCCCCATTCGCCTTCGCCATCTGGGTCGGAGCGCGGGTCATGTTGGTGCACGGATCGACCATGGATCACGAAGTGGACCCCGACATTGACTTCTTCGTGACGACCCTCGCTGAGATGGGGGAGAATTGGCTTGTTGCGAAACGGTACAGTGAAATCCTGAGCCGGGTTCTAGGTGAATATCGTCAGTCCCAGCGAACCAGTGGGGTGACGGGGGAGAGGGTGACTCCGTCCACGGTGAAAATCCTGGCCGATATGCGCCGGTAAGGTGTTCCTGGTATATGATTGGATGCAGGCTAAGCTCATTGAAACAGATGTGCCTACGATCTCGACTTTCTCATCTCGCGCCAGCCACATGCTGCGGCCGTGAAATCATACCACCCAACACGAGCAAACACCCCGGCCCCCAACGAACTCGAGTACCTGGACGTTTTTGACCTTTTCAACTTCCCCCGAGTCCCCATGACTCAAGAGGGGGTGGACGGTGGAAATCCACAGGGCATGGGCCAGGCTGCGCCTCCGGATCTTGCGGCGATGACTCCTGGGATGATCCCGAACTTTGCAGTCCCCAATCCAGAAGCTGATTGGCTCTTCCATACAAGTTAATGCCATGAATTGGCGGAGAGGGAACGTTTGCGTGGTGCCGTGACGTGCTCCAACATGATCCGTCCCGGAGGGTACGCGACAACCGAGACGGCCTAGACGGCATTTCTCTAATTCGGGATTTGTCAGTGAAGAGACAAATGACTCGTGCGCTCTCATCGTCTCATCTGAAGGATTTAAAATCTTGTCCCAAGCCTTAGGGCTGGTGGGAGGCAATTTGCCCCAGGGCCAACGTGTTCGGGACGAATGATTGCCGACAGAAAAGAAATGCATCAAGGGGACTTTGGTCGCTGTGGACTGGAATAACAGCGGTGCGGGAAATGTGTGATAGTGTCAGCAAGGACGGGGGTGGGGAATGGGAAGAACGTGACACTGCCCATAGTATTTTTGTCCTGGTTGTTACGGGTGAGGTTTTGAATCGAGTCAGCCTTACCCGATACCCGATCAGGCGACGAAGAGAGTCCTCAGAAGGGGATAGGTTGAGACGAGCCCAGGACCCGAGAAAGCCAGTACCTGTGATGATGTGACGATACGATCAAAGATATGTATGACTTCAAGACGACACTTCAGAGGTTCCCCGAAGCCATCAGATTACGAGCGGACCAACGAGACGAGATGGCGGGGGTGTGAGAGCGAGATCTCTGGAGCAAACTTCCAATGTAATATTGCTCAGCCCTAGGATTTCTCTGTCCGAGGGGGACGCCAGGGGAGAGCGGGTGAGATGGGAGGATGAGCGAGGATTAGAGGGATGACAGTGGGTGACACTGTGTTCCTTTCTTTGGTCGTTCCGGTTCGCTTCCACCTGCCCTTATGATTGAGTTTTGGGGGTACTTTGTACTGCGTAGTCCAGAAGTAGTGCTATTCCTCCCCGCTAAGGGCTCTAGCGCGCACTAGGAGCTATTAGTATTGCCACCCATTGGTGCTATGGCACAATTATACTAGCTCAATGACGTACAAAGTTCTGATAAAAACTCCGGCCTCCCGAGTCGGTCAGGTGACCTCACATGACCGCTTCACACAGTCTTGGCCTCTGCCTCTCTCCCTCCCTCTCTCTCTCTCTCTCTCTTCCGCCCGCCTGTCATCGTCATCCCATCCTCTTTCCATCAGTCATCGCCCGCCTCTTATTCCTATCCTCTTTCCGTCTCGCTCTGACTGAGTTGCTGACCTTGTTCTCTTCGATCTCTCCCCCAAAGTGGGGAAACAATGCCCCTTCGTGGCCCATAGCCCATGTCCCTGCAGCTTCTTCAGCAAAAGTCATGACTTCTTCCAAGACTCGCTGCAGGGCTACACAGGCTCCCAGTACCTTGGCCCAAGGTCGCCGAAACCCACCCCCCCCCAGTCTTCCGCCCCCGTCCTCTCCTGCCAATGCCCATTCGCAAATGGCCTTCCTGCTCTGTCCCGTTCCACTGACACAGTGACTCCCTCATCCATCGGCATGGTGCCTAGTGTACTTCTCCTCGGGTCATTCGAGTTTGCTTGGGCCGGATGGGAGAGCTTCAGGCTGCTGGCTATTAGGCAGACCCTCAGTCTTGGGGTCGTGTCGTGACCACCTCTCAGCACCGCCCGCCCTACTCCCAATCAGTCCAAGCCTTTTTCAGCCTCAGACCCATCCCAATCAGCAAAAGCCAAACTCCAGGTGCTGCATCGAAAAAAAAAAACCCGCAACTTTCGTGGGACCACTGCATCGGCTTCGTCCATGACAGGGTTGGTGACGACGAGAGTCCCGCTCTCTCGGCACGCGGATAGTTGCATTCTCCTGCATCGAACAAACGTTCCGTCTCGTGTGTGTGCGTGATGATCGATCAACCACCACGTTTTGGACCCAAATTCCCTCGTGCCTCCTCCCCCCGTCCTGACTTCGCAAACATCCATTTTCCGCTCTGCTCAGCGTTGCCCCCCCCTCTTCCTGGTTCGATGCCAACCTGCTGGGCCGCCATCACTGGGCTTAGTCCTCGAAGTCAGGCCGGATTCTTATTTGGTCGACATCGTTCATCTCGAGCTTTCTATTGGTACTTGGTTCTATTCTGAAAACGTGGCCGACTGGGGGCGTGGTTGGTTCTTTTTGCTCTTCCTACCCAGAGATGCACCGTCCTGTTCGTTGCCATCCCGACTACGCAGAATACTTCTCATCTTCAGACGTATTCATGTCATTTTGTCGTCCCATTGGACCAATTTTGGCCCTCGACACATGACTCTTATGGGTCGCTACTTTCCCTATTTTCCCCGCCTAACTGCATCGGTCGACTGATTGGTTCCTTCCTAAGGCTACCGTTACGACTTCCATGATATAAGACTGTGGAAGCACCGGTTGCCTACTTCACCTCACCATTGTGTATTCAATCGTTCCTGCACATACTCCCGGTTCTCTTTTTCCTACATCAAGTGATTTTGCCCACTGCAGTTTTTGGTTCTTCCCGCACCTCTCTCCACTGTACAAGTACTACTGAATTTCTACCAAGATCAAAGCAAACATGTGCTATCAGATCGTCGAAAGATACGCGGTGTGCCGCTGTCTGTATCACAAGCATTCGGTTGACCCATGCCAACGATATGGTCAACGAGGCCATTCCACTACCGAGAAAACCGTGCTGGTCGGATTCGCCTGTCCAACGCATTCGGCGAAGAGGCGTTCAGACCAAGCGTCGTCATCATCATCCTCAACATCGCCATCAAACTCTAAACCCTTGGGTGGTCGTCCGTGGCACGATTCTGGGTACTCCAGCGGTGGCTATTCTTCAACATCTGGCCGCCGGTGACACGGTCGAATGTTTCCACGTTGAATCCGTCTCCTTGAGCCGACCACAAAGGCTTTTCGAGCCTTTCCTTCTCCCTCAATGGGCCGTACGCATGCAGGAACTCCTGATCCGGTACCCGCCGAATCGGCAGATCCAATCGGCTTGGATATCCGCGTCATTCGCTTTCTATATCGGTCGCGGGTCGACGCAGATGATCCATCATTTGTTGCTTCCATTTACACCGGGCTCGGTCCATGCCAGTGTGCCCAAGAGCTACAGGTGGTTGAGCTTTTCTGTTTGTGCCAACTCCGGATCGCAACTACGAGCTTCAAACATGCAATTATTTGCCATGCTCGTGGCAAAAGTCAATAGCGGCAAGGATGACAAATACTGGAGCCGCCGGCACAACGTTACTTGTTCGAGCGGCATAAAAGGGCGCACGCCAGATGGCTATTTGAGAATTCAAACTCTACGCTCTCGACGATCTCACGCCATGTCTACACGTCACTGTCTACTCATTTTTCTTCAAGGGCGCGAGGTGATCGGCGACCCGGTGTCGCAGGGGACAACGAGGCCGGAGCGTATGGGCGAGGAGGCGCAGGCGTCTCCTAGTATGTACATCTTACTGGGTGAAGGAAACAAAGGGCGCTATTTCCGGGTACTTTCCTGGAGATCTTTGATCTTGCTGCGGTATTGGGGCTTCCCTTATGCAGAGCATTAGGGAAGATTGCATGGGCGTAGCCACAATGATTACTACGAGCATGATGTCTATGACAGCGACTGCGGATCAGGGTATTTTCGGATTGTGTCATCTATATCATATATGTATTACTCTACAGCGGGTGCTGTCAAGCGGAGGACCGGGAAATACGAGTTAGCATCACAGATGTCTGGAACATCAATTTTCGGCCGGTGATGCCCAAACAGGCGAAGAATCATCAGGCAACCAGAATCCTCCACCGTCTCGTCTTCACTTTTAGATACTTCTGGTTCCCATGGCCGACTCGGGGACTGGCGGTGACAGGCAGCAGCAAGGCCTTCCTGGGGGCTTAGGTTTGTCTTCTGGCGTGAGCAGCCACGACACCATGTTTTGGGCTTGGAATTTTTGATGGGTTTTCCGCCCTGTGAGGGATCTGATCGACACACCGCAAAGGCGCCGAGCACGAGAACACGATAGGGCTGCCAGCAGGCCGCGAAACAGGCTCTGATCACGTTGATTATTCTCGGAGCGGGCCACAGTGCTTCTGCATAGGCCTACGCAAGACGGCGGATGACGCACATTACGGCCGTCGTCGTCCAAGAAACTCAGGTCGACACGTACATCCCGAGTCGCGAGTGATGCATAAAAGAGTCGTCAACTTGGCGAAGTCCGTGCCCCTCATGGTTGCTTGCTTGAATCCATGCCCAATAGGCTATCCATGCCGCCGGATACTACTGCAGTCTCGGACGGCGCTACAGAGCAATGAGCAAATAGTACTCCGTACTACTCTGGACCGAGAGTAAGATCCGAAGTCGACGACGACCAAGGGCAAAAGTTGCGATCAAAGTCCTCACAGCTTTTCCAAATCAAGATCGACCAGATGGGGGCGGAAAATAGTGCATGAAAAAGCCACAGGTCCCCTCTTCCTCAGCCGCAGGGATGGAGCCCATGCCAGGATCCTGAGTTCCCGTGCTCGCTAAAAGGAAGCAGGATTCGGAGGTACCTTGCACCGTTGGACCCAGGTACCTTGGCTTGTACTGGAATGTTTCCAAACTAAATAGATCCCTCGGCTCTTGGGGTTATCCGATCCTCCTCTGTTTCCCACCGTTCCAGGTAGTGGCTATGGCTGAACATTATAGCCAGCATGAGCGAGATAGGATTTTGGCCGGTCAAGCGAAAATATCATCACCGTCATGCTGGGCTACAATGACTTAGTCGTGGACGGTCAGCAGCATAGGTGCCGCATAGCTACCTGCATAGCTACCTGCTGCTGCACGCGGTGATCCAAAAGAACGAGTCATGCGACTTTGGAGCCTGCAAATGCCCTGATCCGGGGTCGGCTACCATCTTGGAGGGCCTTGGGTGTTTGTCATCTGGGTGTGTAAGGGTCACGGCAAGGCCAAATCCTTCTCACTACGTGCTCCATCTCTCGTGGTTGGATGGCTCATGTCTGTCCCAGATCCGTCTTTCCATGAGGCGGCCCATTCGGTCTGCTCTTCCTCGGGCCTTCTCTTGTCCAAAAACGACTTCAACGGGGTCTCCCAAGCAAAATCTGCCACATCCCCAACGTCGCTCGTGGCCGAAAACATGGATGCCACAGTCCAATTGGACGAGAAGCTGCAGAGGTGATAATCCAGGGGGATACAGAGACTATCCATTCTCGCCATGCCTGCTGACGAACGAATGAACATAAGCGTACAGGGACTGACGGGGAACGTCTCAAACATGTTCGGCACTTTACTGTTGAAAGTCCTCTTTGCCTTCAACGATTCGCAGAAGGCGTGCACCTAGACGGAATTTCCCACTTTGTGGGGATCAACAATCAACTTGCATTGTGATACTTCCACTTCCGGAAGGTCACATATGGGGATTTTCCAGGGCTCCCGTACGCCATGCTAGTCTTATAGCGAGCAAGAGGAGGAACCTTGGGCCGTCGGAAGAGCCAAGGTACCGCAAGGATCTGACCCTCTGTCCCTGAGCGTTTCGAAGAGCTCACTTCCTGCTATTGCTCGTGCTAGAATGTGTTTGGCATTGGACGGGAGGGTGACGACATTGCCGACATTGTCCCAAATTGATGAGCGCCCAGTATATTGATATGACCAATTTCCGCCTTCATCTTGATATCTGGTCCTCTCCACGAGCTGCGGAAGCGAGAGATCAGTCTTCCTGACACACATCTTGCTCAGAGTGAACTCGACCCTCGACGTGATGGATGCACATTCCGTGAACACGCCAGAGATAATGCATTTTGAACGATTCTCTCGCACGTAAGACCTCGCTACAGATGCAATATCTGGACAAGTGAAGACAGAAAGCCGTTTCCCCATCGAGACGTGAGTGGTCATGGGCTAGGTAGTCACAGTCTGGGAATTGCTACGGAGGTCAAGAGATATGGAGTAAAGCCAGAAATTAGAAGCACCAGCAGGGCACACCCTACAGCAAATTGTGTTGTTTTGGATCCAAATCCAAAGCTGCCTTGTCCGTGTGCATCGGACCTCAAGTAGGATGACTGCTGTCCAACTCATGGGTGATTCCATCTCCACGAAGTACAAGGGAGGCAGACCAACGAAGCAGGAAGAGGGGCAAACTGAGTGACAAGATGAGCTCGGCGTCGACGGTGCGATGTTCGCCCGAGGGCAGCATCTCTTCCACAACCCTTTCCCTGGTATCTCGATCGACAGAAGCAGTGGACGGTGGCCGTTTGCTCCAGTGAGGGGAGAAGAGGGCCCTGGATCAGTGCTCGACGGAACTCAGAGCGACATCAGAGGACATTGTCACCATCCTGATGTGATGCGTTCCTACTATTAGAACCAGAAATATACACATTCAGACACACTCCAAGTGCCGCAAGTATTCCGTGTATATCCATGTCCTCGTTACCCTCAGGCAGAGCACATAACACATTGCACAGAGCTTGACTCTTACTGATCTGTCGAGATTTGAACAGGGCCCAAGGAGATACTACATATCCGAGTAGCATCCCATACCAATCCACATCACCACAACCATCCACATCGCTAAACAGGTTCAATAACAATGACGCTGCCGCCCCTTCTCGTCGGCCACGTCTGCGCCATCACTGGAGGATTGACAGGGATCGGACGAGCAATCACCATCCTCTTCCTGTCCCATGGCGCCAGCGTCGCTGTCAACTATCTGCCGGCCCACAACAAGGACGAGGAGGATCTCCTCACGTCGCTGCGCACGGAGGCCTTTGACGCCATCAAATCACGCGCCCCGCCGCCTTCCTGGGCGGCCGTGCCCGACCTCCACGACGTGCCCCTGCTGACGGTCCCGGGCGACATCTCGCGAGCGGAGACGGGCCCGGAGCTCGTCGCGCAGACGGTGGCGCGCTTCGGGCGGCTCGACACGTTCGTCTCCAACGCCGGCATCTGCCGGTTCGAGGAGTTCCTCGAGATCTCCCCAGCCAGCTGGCGGCGGCACGTCGACACGAACCTGTCCGGCGCCTTCTACGCCGTCCAGGCCGCCGCGCAGCAAATGGTGCGCCAGACCCCACAGGGCGGGAGCATCATCGGTGTCTCATCCATCTCGGCGCTCGTCGGCGGGGCCGAGCAGTGCCATTATACGCCCACCAAGGCCGGCGTCCTGAGTCTGATGCAGTCCGCCGCCGCGGCGCTGGGCAAGTACAACATCCGCTGCAACGCTCTGCTCCCGGGCACGATCCGCACTCAGCTCAACGCCGAGGACCTGCAGGACGGGACTGACAAGAAGGCGTATATGGAGGGACGCATCCCCCTCGGACGGCTTGGGAAGCCCGACGATCTGGTTGGGCCCGCACTCTTCCTCGCACAGCCCGAGCTGAGTGGCTATGTCACGGGAGCGGCCATTCTGGTGGACGGAGGAGCGTTTGTGAATTTCCAGTGACTGCAGTGGAAATGGAATTTGGAGGCTTGTATGTATGGGGCAGCACAGCAAAATATATACACACGGAAAGAAAGCAAAAAACATTGCGTACAAGGGGCTCGGTGGTTTTCATGAAACGGGCAACGTGATACCGTATGCTTTGACCGCCGTGCCGGACCAGATCTGAGCTTGTTCTTCAGCTGTCGAGTTCTGCGAGGCGAGAATCGCCTCCACGAAGTCGTGCCAGTGACTCCATGACTTGACGATGCCGGGCCCGCCGACATTGCACACGGGCCAATCAGAGCCGAACATGATCCTCGACGGCCCGAAGGAGTGGAAGACGACGTCGACCCAGGGCTTGGTGCGCTCGACGAGGGCGGCGACGTCTGTCGGATGGGCTTCGTCTTGTTCCGGCAGTTCAGAGAACAGGCCGGAGAGTTTGATATAGGTCGACGGGTGTCGGGCCATCTGCTCGATGCAGTCCTTCCACTGCGTAAAGTCGCGGTTTGCGGGGGCTTCTTGGGCAGACAGCCGCAGGTTGGGTTTGCAGAAGTGGTTGATGATGATCCTCGGGCCGTTCCCGCCGGCGTAGAGGCGCTCCATCATCGCACACGCTTCCTGGAGCTGGTGCAGGCCGCCAGACCGGGCGTCGGGACCCAGATCGAACGTGAGACCGTGTTCCCCCAGCCATCGCAGTCCTTCTATGAATTTTTCCTGGAGCATCACCCCGGCGGGCTTGTCCTGGACGAGATATCGAAATCCTTTGATGAGAGGCCAGGCCTCGCCCGCGCGCTCTTGGGCGTGTCCGACGTATCTTGCGACACTCTCCGCACCGGCTGGCACTGGTGCCCACGGCACGATCCCCAAGACCAACCTGGCGTCCTCGGGTCGGTGGCCTTCGCCTTCTCGTGGATTACCTTGGGCGATCCGGACCAAGAAGTCTACTTCTTCCAGGGCATCCTGCCATTGAGTATCCTTCAGCCCTGATATGCGGTCGGTCTCGAGGAAGACGAAGCCTCGCAGCTCTTTGGATTGGGACTGTGTGGCGGCGCGGTACTCGTCGAGGGAGTACTGTCTGTTCAAGCGATGGTCTGCGGGGAGGTCGCCAGTCCAGTTCAGCCGCGGCATGTGGGATGCCGGGAAAAGGTGGATGTGGGAGTCGACAATGCATTTGGCGGCGGTGCCACCACTGTCGTGGTGAGAAGCCATTTCTGAAGGACTGACGGACTAGTCCCTCCCCCTGTCCAATATACACCGAGCAATCTCTGATGACTTCGTTGCGAGCACCTACACTGTCAGCGATTTGAGATAGAGGGATCACTTAGCCTATATAAATACATCCAGCCTTTACCCGGGGATACAACGACAGCGCACCCTGTGCATCTTTGGATAGAGGCTAAAATCGTAGGCTTTCGGTATTTCGGTATTTCGGGACAATCTTTGTAGAGATATTGTGGTGTCCTCGTCGCACCAATAGTAGGGACGATGTGCTGCCGTGTGAATTGATATGAGCTCATTGGGAGAGTCATTCGGGGCTACCCGCTGCTGTCGGCGCGCCATAGTACATTTCGATGGTGGATGGACGACTCGAAGGAGGTGTGGTGTTGGTGGTGTTGGTGTCGCTGTGTCAAATATTGCGTCATTTGAAATAAATCGCGCCGACAAGGTCTGGGCTCTGACGCTCTTTTCAAACTGCGGTGGTGGCCTGACTATCTGCTTCACAATTCCATGTTTCCCTGCTTTCTTGGTGTCCTTGTGACTTGGGCAGAACTTGTATATAACTCACGGTTCATAGCCCCCGGGACCTCCAAGAGAGTGATTCCACATCTACTCGTACAATGGCAGCTCATCACCTCTTGACCATGAGAGAAACGGCACTTTGAAACCGCAACCACTTACTTCATATTTGTCTGAATGTGATTGACGGCGATCCTGTTTCCTACCTACGAGAATGGACCGTTCACTGAACCATCCTCCTCCTCTCCCGACTCCCCCTGCTTCCGCCGCCTCTCCTGCACCCAGCACCGCCTCGTCGGGGACCCGAACATCTTCCCTCCCAACCCCGCGTTCGCACCGTCTGCAGCCCGGGTCACAGAAAGAGATTGCCCTGATCAATTACTTGGACGATCGCATCCTGAAGGTCACACGCAGATATGCCAAAAAGTTCAGTCACGAGGGGCTCGAGAAAGACGACACGCCCGGCTACACCACCTACGATGAGTTTGTGGCCGACGTGGATCCGCTCGTGGATGTGGTTTGGATCAGTGGCACGCCGACCATCCAGATCCCGTACCTCCTGTCTCTCGCCGGGCTGGCTTGTTCCTATCTCCACGCCTTCCCCTTCTCGACCTCTGTGTTTGCTCTCACGAGCAAGATCGATCAGGGTTTCGCGACTCTGTTACAGCCTCCAGAGAACGGCACTGTCCCAACCACCGCGCCTTACCACGTGTCGATGACGGAAAAAGTTCGCATCAAATCGCTCATTGAGGAGACCCGTGTCGCTGCTGTGAATGCGGCTTCTGGCAGTGGTCACGACGCTCGCGTACACGACCTGTCTGAGACGGAGACCGAGGACGACGACAAGGACCCGGAGGAAGACGACGATCAGCCGCAGAACATGTCTATATCCCTAGGGCTATCGAGGATATACAGAAGAACTATGGAAATCCTGGGTGATTCGCTGGTCGCTGATACCCTACCTCAAGCTCGGAGCAATGGCTAAGAGTGAGATGTTCTGGAGATGAAAAACACTATCCAAAGAAGTAAGGTACCTCAAGTTGCGAGTGCAAAGATCCACAAGTCCATGGGCCAGACCGCTCCGTTACAACAAGAAGTCTTGCCCAGGGAGTGCTCTGCAACTGGCATCTCGATGATGCATGCAAGTCTGATGCGGGAAGACTTCGACCAGCTTCTCGATTTTCTGCACTGTGAACAGCAGCACATCACATTCTTCGCTTTCCCAGGCTGCTCATCACCCCACGTCGACCAATACGCACCCAGCAGGGATCTGTTAGGTGCAGCTTCGGGCGGACTCGAGGGCTTCCAGGGCAGCCAATCAGACTCGGCCACGCTTGGCCGCCCTGTGTTCACCGACATCAAGCCACGCAGCAGCAGGTACCAGGAACAGGAAACTCTATTGAATGGCTCGATTTTCAATTGATGCCCGAAGAAGGTCTTGGGTCGCACAAATCAATCCACTTCAATGTCACAGGCCATGCAGGTTAAACTACGCGAGTGTCGAGGACTTTGCTGCCAGAGCTCCTCCTACCTCTATCTTTTGACCTGAAGACCCAGCTTCTGTGGTACGTTGCAGCACTCTCAAACATTCAACATGGAGTGGTTTACATTCCTTCTGTTCGTTCAAACGACACTCGGCTTCGCGATCACACCGCTGCCACGACAAACTGAGGGCCTACTGGTCCCGACGACGACACCCACCGAGAGCGTCATTTCAGTTGTACCGACGACGTTTTGGACAGCTACCTCAACCGTCACTCCAACCAGGTCCCATGGCCAGTTATCAGCTTTTATAACCATTGCCCCTTTGTCGGTGAATCCTCTCGCAAAGCGACAATGCTGTTGGAATGATCAGGGTTTCCGGGTGGATTGCGCTACGTGGACAGGCTACTACTATACCTGGGGACCGCCCGGCGACCCGTATCAAGGAGGGCCGCCCGGATGTGGACAGTCTGGTGACGGCGGTGGTGGAGGAAGCCCCGGAACCGTGGTTGTTTATCAGAATGGTGGAAACCAAATGGACCTGTCGAGCTGGTCCGCAATTTTGGGGACGCTCTGTCTCGTGCTTCTGTTATTCATATGAAGCCTTGGCTTTCTGCGATTGCAGCTGGAAGGGTTGGGAGCCTCAGTCCGCGATCCGATTTACAGCAACAACACGACTCAGTGGAGCATGCAGCTCAATGAAACAATCGTTCGACAGTCAGACTTGGTCTTATTCACAATTACTTTCAATGCCCAGCAGTATTATGAGCCAACATCCGTGACCTAGGCGCCGTTTGTCCGTTGGTGATAGTTAACAGCATCCATAAAGGGTCCTTTTCTGACCTCTACCTCTTGCTTTCTTTCTCATTCGAATCAGGCTATATCAACCAAGAACTGATCAACACTGCGCATTACAATTTAGAGCATCTTGAAATAAATCCATACACACATCTCTTCTACAGCATCGTGCTCAGCAGACACCTTCTGCCACTTACGGCATATCAACTGTCCACAGCAAAGATTTCACGCTGTTGATCAGCCAAAGTCAAGTGGCCTGTTAAAATGCTTGGGTCAGATTGCTGTCGAACTGCTGCGAGGCAGTTCTCCCGAGCCATCGTGCTGGGGTTGCCTTTCCTGCTTTCTGGCGGCCAATCTTCCATCATTGAAGGGGGCAGTCTGAACGAGAACACCACTCAGGCCGTTTCTGTGGCTGCCTTGACGGGTAAGAACGTGTGGAGCGTGGCAAACGCACACATTCTGCGATTCGATAAATCACAGGTGATCCCTCCCAGTGCCTTGACCGGATCAGGAGTTTCAACTCTGACGGATCAGAATACCAACTCTACTCCCACGACCACTTTCGTGACTGCAATGAGCTCAATGTCGCCTACGCTTACCGATGAGCAGCCCCCCTCATTTTGGTCTTGGGGCACTCCAGCCCATACATCATGGAACGTCGATGAGAGCGAAACTGCTGACATTGTTTTCACTCTATCTCAGCTTCCTCCGGCCTTGAGCTCAGAGCCTTCGATGGCAATCGCCGGTACCATGTGGGCAAATGCTAAAAGCGCCACGTCTGCTACTTATGGATCAGACTCGCTCGCCTCGACGGGCTCTACCGCTTTTCCAGCTCTTCCTTTGGCCCTGTTTCACTTGTCACCGTTTCATTGCATAATACTGCTTTTACGTTCACGACGCGGTTTACGATGACATCGTACATTGAAAGTGTTACCACGATGCCACATTTGTCCGCTACACTGACGAGTTCTACGTCGAGCGACTGGACAAACAATGTCCCCAGTCCAAGCAAGTCCTGGCTAGCATGGATGAGTTCCACAGTGGCAGGAAGCATCTTGAATAATTTATCAGCAGGACCACCTTCGGCAACAGCGAATACGGACTCAGAAACTCTGGCGACGACGACAGTCACGGTGTCTGTCCCATCCCTATTGCCCACAGGTTTGCCCACCAAGACAGTTGTCGTGACGATGTTGGCCACAGCTACTGAAGCAATGCCGAATTCCTTGGCCTCCGCATTAAGTGAGGTAACGGAGCAAGATCCAACGAATCTCAGCCAACAGATGAGCACGTTATCCGTGGTCAGTATCCATACGCCATCACCCACATCGTCTCCAGCCGGAACCGCGACAACGAGTCCAAACACTGTACCGTCTCTCTCGCCCAGCCTGTATAGCGGCGTGTTCTTATCGACAGAGACCAACCGGTGATCTACTCATACAGTGGCTACGTCGTGGCGAACACCACCCACTACGTCAGTGTCCTGGCACCTGTCACCACATCTTGCGTGCCAACAGCAACGGTGACCTGCTACGATGGGCGAGGAAATCCTACCCGCACCATGCTGCAGTGTGGACCTGGCATTGGCCCAGTTGTAACGCCGCTGTTTGAGACTACGAGTCTCGACACTGCGACAGCACAAGTAACGTTAAGCTTGGACCCTTCGCTCCCAACGACCGCCTCCCGGCTATATATTACAGACCCTCGGAATACTCTCCTGCCGATGAGCCCGAATCGGAGCAGGGCCCGCCATGTGGCCGTGTCTTAGGAGCAACTTCCCACCCCCATGGCTGCCCATTATCGACACCAGCCATCACGAGCCATGCGAGCGGAGCCGCTTCGGAGATCGAAAGTGCCTCCCCTCAGACTATTGCTACTACTGCCACTACTACAACCACGACGGGGGATCGATCGCCGACTACTACTCCCGTGTTCGTGATCTTCCCCGGCGGCGGCGGACTTGCTGCTCGATGAGGCCGACCGAGCACGCTGCTCACGGTGCCTCGGCGTCTCCTACTCCTGCGCGAGGTAGCTACGACGAATTGCTTTGACGCGGCCCCCTACTGGCGGAGTCAATACCTCTCTCCCGGGAGGGTAGGAGGGCGTCTGATTTGACCCGTTTACGAGGACAATGCAAATCTATGGTTCTAACAAGCGCGGTCACAGGGAAGGGAAAGCGGGAAGGGGGAAGGGGACGGAGGGTTAGTAGTAGTAGCAGTAGTAGTGCTTGTTGTTATTGTTGTAGTAGACACGACGATACCAATAGTCAGAATGTAATGCGGATGAAAGCAGAATATATATTATATGAGGGTTATTTGAGTTGACCATTTCCGCCATCATCGAGTTTAGGTAATTGAGAATAGCAGTCTTATCACTGTGTGATTTTGTAGGTACTGTATACACTACAGTGTACGTGCTCCAGCCAGATCCATGCATGCATCATTCCTGCGCGCTCTTTTTGGTTTGGCAGCCGACTTGCTGGCAACAATATATATGATACCATCTCTCCCCCACGGATGCAAGGCATACATAAGTGAGTCAGTAAGTGATCACGATGTCGTTCCTGGTCTGTAGTTGTCCAAGGAAGAGCGCGCGGATACGTCGAGCCCAAACGGTGGTAATATTAGATACAACCTGGAAAGGAAGTGAGTACAAGATTTCTCCCCATCCTACAATAGGCTCCAGTCCTCCTCGGGTCAGTCTTTCTTGTGGTCCTCGTCGTTGGGCTGGAAATTGAGCTGGTTGCCATTGTAAAATTGCTGGTCCCTCTTCGCGGCGTCTTCGGCGCGTTGATCAGCCAGTGTGCGGATCCGGACGCTGTTCCCGGCCCCAGGAGGCTGGCTCGTGTTCTCAGTGCCACCGCTTGTGGGCGCTGTCTGGTCTGCATTTCCCGGGCCATAGCCCAGCAATGATCGTACACCGCCAAAGACCATGCCTGCCGTCCCGCTGACCAGGTTGTAGCCTCCTGACACGACTCCCCCCAGCAATCCACCCCCCAGCCCCATGCCGCCGGAAGCGTACGAGTCGACGTATCCTTTTACCGGAACCATGACCAAAGTGCAACTTCCCACGATGCCCAGGTCGAAGAGCTCAGTGTCTTCCTCTCCCGCTTCAATGGTGCGATTGGGAAGGGGCGTCAGGATGAGTTTGAGATTGTATGGCACGCCGCTTGTTCTATTGGGTGAAGAGGTTGAGGTGGCAGAGTCAATCCAGGGGCGAATATCTTTGGTGATGGTTGAGGTCGGAGGGAATGTGTTGCGCAAGGTTGAACCGTCGAAGGTGCGGACTTGGACTCTCACATCCCCTCGAGCGTTCGCTATCGATGTCCTTGATCGTGCATATGAAGACGTACTTGAATTCTCCTGAGTTTGACCTTGTTTCCTCATCTCATCCATCAACCGCCTCTCTTCCCGATCCGCCTTGATCTGGGCTTTGATCCTTTCGCGCTCATCCCGTTGTTTCTGTTCGCGATCTCGTTGCATTTTGATGTATTCTGCCCTTTGGGCCTTTTGTTTATCGCTCAATTCCGTACTAGGGCCTGACGGTGGCAGGGCGTGGGCTGGAGCTGGAGGTTCGGCTTGCCTTCGCGGTGCTGGTGGAGGGGGAGGCGACGTAATCACACGGTTCTGCGTCGTGTAAACCTGTTCTCCCGCGGGCACAGGAGCCGGTGGATTTGCTACGGGGCTTGATGGCACAGGTTGACGAGGTTCAGAGGGAATTGACTGTGTCAGAGCAGGGTCATCCTCTATCGGAAGTCTGATGGCATCAGCCGGGAGCTGGAGAAGTCTTAACCTAGCAGACTCCGACAGTTCTTTGACCGATCCATCCCCTCGCAACCGTTCCACCTCGGCATGGAGGAGGGGGCTGTTGTTAAGGAGTGCCAATTGAGCCTGGAAAATCTCCTCCAGAGATTTGCCGTCGTCCAGGAGTTCTTGCGTACGCTTTCGCAGGGCTTCATAGGCGTTGTTCGAATCCCCAGAGGCGGGTTCAAGGTGGAGGTATTCAGAGGATTCGTCTTCTGGTTCAGACTGCCGTGACCTGTAAAAGGTTCAGCCTGGAATAGTATCTGCGGCACCATGAATGCGTACTGGGGCTCCTGAAAAGTCCCTGCTCCTCCATCTTGTTGTACACCAAAAGCTGAAGCCAAGCGAGACTTCAACTGCTCGGTAGGTACGTCTGCGGACTGAAGGTTTTCGTGTACTCGCGCATCCCTGATCCTGTCAACATACGGACCCTCTTCCTCTTAGATATCCCTTACTTGATCACAATGATTGCAGGCGTGCTGGTGATCGGACAGATTGAATCAAGGAAGCCGGCTTCTTCAGAGCCCTTATTGAGTCGTACCGCAACAGTTTGGGAGGATATTGCCAGGGATATCTACTCCAGATCGTCAGCAATATGAAGCATGGGCATGACGGAGATGTCTTACAGAGGGATCCCTCAAGACAGTCTCCCACTCCCTGCTGGCTTCTGTGCTGTTATCTGATCGCGGTTAACACACTCTCTTCTACATATTAGTAGACGGGCCTACCATATACAAAGCATAGAACAGCTTTTCTTTCCTGAAGAGCCGTTGATATGGCACTCGACAAATCTCCATCATAGAACATGGTGAATGTAGAGTGTTTCACAGGACAGCCAGGTCTTTGGTTGATGCGCGAGTTGATTGAATTTGAGATGCGAGTGCGAATGCCGAACGTAGCGATCTTGGAGACGTCATTCGAGACGCGCAGCTACTCCGAGAATTAATCTGCGTCCATCTTCTTACCTTTGTTTTCCATTCACTCCGTTCAATTCGAGGAGAAGACATGGCCAAATATGACTTGAAGCTCCTTCGGTCACTTCTATCGCGCTCGGGAGGGCCCTCTCGTTCTTGCAGCAAGGTCCAGTCTCGTCGCCTCGCAACCGAGAAGCCTCCGACACCACCGAGCAACAATGAGGACTTTGTCTCGATAGTTGATGCTCCGCCACGCCTTGTGCGTACCGGCGAAAAACACAGTAAAGTCGGCATTGCCCTCCTCTCGCTCATACCCGTCACCGCCTTCGCTCTTGGAACCTGGCAAGTCCAACGGCTGGATTGGAAGACCAAGCTCATTGCAAAGTACGAAGACCGTCTCGTGCGGCCACCGCTGCCACTCCCGCCGAGGGTTGACCCTGAAGCAATCCATGAGTTTGACTATAGAAGGGTGTATGCCACGGGAAGGTTCAGACATGACAAAGAGATGCTCATCGGGCCGAGGACGCAGGACGGCAAAGATGGGTACATGGTGGTCACTCCTCTGGAACGAGAAGGGGCGAGCACTATCCTGGTGAACAGAGGATGGATCAGCAAAGAGAAGAGATTTCAAGTCGACAGAGATCCGGAGAGCCTGCCCAAGGGCGAGATCACGGTATCGGGGCTGCTCAGAGAGCCTTGGAAGAAGAATTTCTTTACGCCCAAAAACCAGCCCGAGCAGGGCAAGTTTTACTTCCCCGATGTTCACGAGATGGCAGAGGCGGTGGGTGCTGAACCTGTCTGGATCGAAGAAACCATGACTCCAGACCTGTTGGTGAGCTACTCGCGAGAGGCGAAAGGGATCCCGATTGGGAGAGCACCAGAAGTCAATCTGAGGAACAATCATTTGCAGTATATCTTTACATGGTGAGTGTCTGCGCCTGGATTGCAGCATATCGTATCTCATTAATATATCAGGTACTCATTATCCGCGGCCACCACGTTCATGATGTGGCTGCTGCTGAAGAAGAAACCAATCGACAGAGCTCGACGGGTCCGTCATGTCACCAACTGGTAGAATTTCCAACCGTCATCAGTCATCGGATAACCCGTCGAGACTCAAGCCTGCCGCAACCTCCTTGGGAAGCAATTCTTTAGCAGCTTTCGGAAGCTCCCCATCACTCTGGAGCAACCGCTGCCGACGCATCAGCATTAGGACGTCACTCTGATCGATGCGCTTCCGACGCGCGTGGGTTGAGTAAGCTTCCAGATCTTCGCCAACTTGCTCGAAGAACCATTCGGTCGCCTGTTCAAGGGCTTGCATGTGATCCTTTCCGACTTTCAGTCGACGATTGCCGAGGCGGGCTTGTGCTTCGAGGGCTACCCGCCTCACTAGGCTTGAAGGCAACGACGGTACCAGCTCGCCATGGCGAGTCAGCTTTACTTTCTTCCGACGGGGCTTCCGAGGCGCCGGTTGTGGCTCCTCTTCAACAACAGAGCCTTGTCTGGACGTCTGTCCACCTTCATGCTCTGCGTCTCGCTCGGAAGCCTGGTGTCGACCATCCACTGATGGTGATGCTTCGATAAGCTTTGTTTCTCGAGTACCCTGAGCATATTTGGAAGTTGTTTCCATGTCTGGGACCGGCAATTGGAAATTCGAGTCATCGAATGCGGGTACATGCATAATACTCTCATCAGGGGGAGCTGAGGATGGGGATCTCTGAAGATGTTGGAGGCCCCTTAAGACCTCCGTTTCCCCGGCCCCTTCCCTAAGGGGCGTGTAGTTTGGAGGGAACTCCCCAAGATCATTTCCAATCTTCTCCGGACTGTCGGGCATACTCTTGTAATGGGACTCTCTTCTGATCTCGAGCTCAGAATGGAATCCATCCATGTCGATAATCCCGAAGTCGTAACGCGATAGATTCTCCGTTGGCTCAATTGTTTCGGCCCTTCTGCCTCTCTCGGACAGGAATGTTGAATCTCCATCTCCATCATGAAAGCCGGCCTGTCCGACTGGGTCTGATGCGGGAAAGGAACGTCTCGATAGACGACGGCCATCGTCAGGCGAGTGCGCCTGTCTCCGGTAATCAATCGACCTGAGTGTGAACGTTGGGTTGTGATTTTGTAGCTCGCTTTCTTCTTCATCGTCGTCATCCGGTAGAATCGAAGGCGTGGGAGCCACCAGCAGTTCACTGTCGTCGTCGTCGTCCTCCCCTAGTTCAGGCGCCTCAATGCTCTCCAGGCTTTCATCAATGTCCAAAGCCAAGCGTGGTCTTTTGACATTCTGCTCCTCGTCCTCTTCGTCATCCATCAGTCTTCCAGCCTTTGGCGTTTTGTTTTCTTTCCCCCTCACAGTTACAGGCGTCCGTACCACCTTTCTGGTCACGGGCGCAGTGATCCTAGCCAATTGCCTCAAGATGCCCCGAGCTGAGTCGGGTCGGACGGTGTCGCTGACGGCCCTCCTCCTGCGCATTGAGCGCGTCTTTGCACCGCTTCGCTGCTCCAGGGCGCGGAGGGCATGGGGCGTAGACGGCGCATATCGTGTAGGGATCTGGGAGGGATGAGTCTCGGCCAAAGCTCGTGCTCGCGAGGACATATTGGGTAGTTGAGGTCGAGACAGTCAGAAGAAGAGTGTTGTTTTCCAGACAATGAGAAGGTCCGCGGTTCGCGAGAGACGCGTCTTCGCACGTCAATGGGGACACGAGAGCACGTGACCTGAAATCCCCGGTTCGTTCGTTTCGTATCCCACAGATTGCTGGAGATCATTTCGTCTCCGCGCTCTGCATGAACAATATGGTGGGCTGATAGGCCACTCACCCAATCTTCTATGTCTTGTACATGTTTATTGTTGCCTTCTCATGCTCGCACAAGCTTGTTCCGCAGACTATGGTCTATCAGCTGCAAATCAGGAACAACCTGGACTCGCCGGCAACATGTCTCAACTGGATCACCTCCCCAGGAGAGCGTTTCAGACTTCGCTCAACAGCTTGAGTCGATGAAAAGCCGGCACATTCCAACTGATGAAGGCCCCTGGGATGGATTCAACATTCGTGCTCTCCGGAAATCTCTCCAGAGTCACCTTTCACTTGCCGACCTTCGACCGGCAAATAGTGTCCCCCCTGGTTATCATCAAGTGTCGTTCAACAGCCTGCCTTATGAGCACGAGCTAGGCCACGATGGTGCTGAAAAGCGTCATGCTCCCAGCGATGAATGGAAATATCGCGTATGGGCTGGGGGATACATGGAGTTTCAGATTCCCAGCATCTGGACTGCCCGGCCGAAATTCGTCGCTGTTAAGGAAAGGATTACGGACACGCGGCTGGTCGGCGATCTTGTCAGTGAGAACGCGAAGGTCTTCGTCACGTTGACGAGGACTCTTTTTCCTGCCATGGTGGACTCCCGAGGGAAGCCCGTGCGTAGAAGACTGGGAGGCCTCCGCGCCACAAACCGAAGAGACAACATCGTGCTCAAAGAAGAAAAATACCTTTGCTTTATGCGCGAAATCCCAGAGAGTCTAAAATCGACGGCGTCAGCGCGCAGACTGGCACCTCCTTCGAGCCCGGTGTACTCCCAAAGCATGATCCCTTCACCCACGCTGCTCTTCAGATTCAGCGCGCTGTCGCGAAACGCCCATGCCATCCATCTCGATGCAGAATATGCCCGACAGGTCTACGGTCTACCCAAATTGATTGTACACGGCCCGCTCACCTCTGTCCTCATGCTGGATATCCTCGGTGAAGCTCTCGCTCTCCACACCGTCGGGAAAGCGTACACCTTCGCCGTCCGGACCTTCCAGTACAAGAATCTGCTTCCGCTCTTCGTGAATGAACAGATCACGATTGCCTGTAAGAAGCTGCACGATATCCAACCCCAAGGGACGAAATTTCGCACGGCATTTGGAGTGACGTGGGAGAAATGGGAAGTTTGGATCCAAAAGGGAGTAGGAGAAAATACAACCACCGCGGTGCGGGGGTCGGCCTGGGTGTCGCCCATCGCGCATCCTGGTTCGGAGACGTCGTCAGAAGAGGCTGCTGCTGCTCCTGAGGACGCAGCAGTGCCGTCGGGCGCGAGCTCGCAAAAACCAAACTCGGACGAAGAAGGAGAAGAGCAAGCTGCCAATCCTGCGTCGGAGTGACGGGCGTTGAACCACCTCACCAAAGAAAGAGGGTTTATATGAAGCTCCTCACCCTTTCTGATCATGGCTGCAGACAAGCTCTAACTATACCAGGTGAAAACCCATGCTGAGAGTTGTGCCAAGGGGGTCTGTGTGGCACGGTGTCCAAATGAGCCGTGGCAGTGGCAGAAGGAACTATGTATGAATCCCAAAAGAAAACGCCATTTATTCTTAGGTACTCTCACATGCGATGTCTACTACTTACTGGCTATGTACCCTTGCTACCGGATATACAGTAGCAAGTAGTGTGTACAGCGTGGAAACTTGTCCATGAGTTGAACGCGCACCCGTACCCCTTCTGAGCCGCATCCTCCAGGCGATCCTCGAAGTGCCCCAGAGAGCACGCCTTGTCCCTATCCCTGTCCCTAAATACCTAGGTAAATTACTGTAGATCAGATACTCAACTTGGAGCAAGCTGATGCCGACCTGGCCTGACCTCCATCCAACACTGGGTGTGTAGGGGTTGTCGATGTACAGTACATGCCTATAGCTGCGGGGTACAAGGTACACCTACCTCCTCCTATATAAAACGGTGCCATCTACCTCATACATTCCTAGCAATTGCATCACGCTTACCTGGTACACCACTCTCATACCCATCGGTGGCGTAAGCACGGGAAAGCCTCTCAATTTGGAACCGCAGTATTATACGAACCGGAACAATCTCATCTGAAAATACGGATACTCATGATGAAGATATCGAACAGAGTCCCTGACAACTCTTGTAGCTATCTCAACATACGCACGCGTGTTATATCCGTCAGGCCGGCCGCAAGACAGCCGGCATGTGTCGATGCGTTTCATATGGCAACGGCCCGTGAACGCAAATTTCAACCTGTTGTGCCGCCAATCCTCAATGCATTGACTTTTCTCCCCAAGATATACCTTGATACCATGCCCCAACGCCCATCCTTTTAAATTCCAGTTCCAATGTCAGCGGGCTGACTTCCAAACTACTCTTTCAAGAAAAATAGGACGAGCACGCCACCTGCCCAGGCGAGAGCTTATACGTGCTTCCACCCATTCCAGATCAATATATGCTGCTCGTCAATAACACATAAAGCCCCAGTCTCCTCTCGGATCTCCAGAGAATTCTCTCCTTCCTTGACCCACCTTTCCATTTTCCTTTTAACCTCCTTCATAGTCTGCGTCTCACGTGGCAAGACTTTCCTTCTGAGACGATTTGTCCACACTCCCTTGACGTATTGCGTTGCAGAAACGAAGTTCTCGTCAGGGCCAGTGTGGGTAGCGTTGTAGGCTTCCACAGTGTACCCAACGCGTACCGACGGGTTGACGTAGATGCGGTCGCCGGAGCCGGGGTTTGTCAGGTTCATGTCTGTATGAATGAGACAGCATTCACTTGCTTCCAGGTGTTTGCTAGCAAGACTATCGCTCAGTGCACGAAATCGAAGCCCGTCGTAGAAAGGTGTGCTGTCCATCACAATCATCCCATTCCAGCATGCTGAGACTTTGGTGGGGAGGCCCTTGAGCATGGACTCGCGAGACTCTTGAGACCGGAAATAGGGGAATATGGTTTGGATTGTGGTCAGTCTTTCAGAATCTCTTAGCACGAAGGTATCGTAATAGGCCGGTGGGAGATGGAAATCCAGGGCACATGCAGCGGAAAACGAGCCTTGGTTCGTGGCTAAGAGTGTAAGGACGTCCTGTGGGCGGAAGACGACATCGTTGAGGAACAGGATCCTGTCAAACTTCTGGCCTTGTTCGTCGCGAAGTCTGAAGAGAGGATTTAGAGATGTATTCCGTAGGCGGGCGAGGTATGGAATCCTCCGCAACTCTTTACCCCATTGCGTTCCCACACTCGTGGTCTGGATCCAGCCCTGCCGGGGAACTCCCTGATCATCTAGCGGACCGGCGTTGATCTCATCTGCATGCGTAGTGGGATCTAAGACCGTCTGATGAGGGATGTTGTTCTGGCCCAGCACATCGTCCAGCATTTTCAGGACTTCCTTTGTGTTGTCCAGACTCCCTGACTCGTATATGCTCACGTAGACATTCTCCTTCCCAAGCACCCCTACCAGATCGAGAAGAGCTTGCCCCCATCGCTCAGAGATGACATGTGCGTTCGTCCAGAACTGCGCGACGATGAAGATCTTTTGATTTTGTATTGGCGTCGGGAGAAGTGACGGGGAGGTGTATGTGTGGCTGAGTAAGTTGCGGGCGAATTCGCGGTGGTTTTTAAGGATGGTGAGCAAGTCAAGGGCAAAGAATGCGAGCAGGGCATAGAAAATCAGGCGGAGGAGACGGCGTTGAAGGGAGGAACGACGGTAGGATCGCAGTAACATGGCCACAAAAGGAGACGGGGGCCATCTGCTTGCGAGATGATAGCATCGTGGGAGGGCGAGAGGTGAAGAAGCCTTGGAGACACTGTCCGGGGCCGGTTTGACATGTCTTGGTTCTGCTCAATCTGAAGGGATGAAGTGGGTTGAGGCTGATGAAAAAGGAGTCGGAACGGAAAAACAGCCGGGCCGAGCTTTGCCAATGTCCGCGTAAAGGCTTACAGAACATCCCAAGGGAGACACTATCAAAGGTAGGATGGGAATTGCGGTCTTCATTCAGGATGTGGCATCTCTACTGTCAGGTGAGATCCTCTCCTCAACCTCACATTGAGGCGCAAGGAACTCCGATGGGTGCCTCTCTCGTTTAGAACTAATACATTGGACGAAAGACGTGATAGAGGAGTGGAATATCCCATCCTTGCAAACTTTCTGGTTGGGCTTCGTTGGCGTGTCATTGGTCTTTGAGAACTCTGCCGCTGCTCGAAAGAAAGGAGCTTCATTCTGCAAGTGGTATTGTGATCCTTGGGGGGAGCAAACTTGGAGAAGCTGGATTCTAAGAACGAGAAGTTCGCCTCCACAGGAGGTGGATAGAAGGATCTGGGAACTCTTTCTGCAGGTCCACACACCGGAGAATGGCTACTTGCATACCGTCACGAGCTGAATGGATCATCCAAGGCTACCTGCAGGGATACACGACGCAGCATACAGGAACCCAGGCAAGCCCGTCGAATCAATGACGACCCAGCAGAGGAGCAAACATGGGTGTGAGCAACGTTACATATGTTGTGCAGCCACAGGTAATTTCCCCCTCCAGTTTTGTCTATATGGACTGCAAGAAGAAACAAGATATCGCCCAACGACACCTAACAGCTCAGGGGCGATGATGCCCGGCCACCACGGCCACGAAGAGGCCATGCATTCCTCTGTATAACCGCACCACTCGCAAGACACCAATGGCCGAAGTCTCTGGGAATGCCACAACAGATGGTTCAGAAACAAAACGACAAACAGTCGCTCCGAGGATATTGAGGGCCACTTCAAAGAAGTCAAGGAGAGAATGGGGGAGAAATGGGTATGCTTGATGCGTTGACATCTGCACATCGTAGTCGCCTTGGCTTGGTTCCCGCCACGCCAGGTGAGAATATAATCCCCATCCTATAAAGGGTGTTTCTTGAGCGTCCGCAAAGAAACGCGAAACCATCCTTGGAGTTGCAACATTCACAAGCATCCTCGAATATCTTCCTTTGCTGTCGAATGCTTTTCAAGTTCCCCTGACTGTGATTTGAGCGTCGTTGCCGGCTTCGAGACAAACAATCATCGGTTCCCCCAGCATGCGGCTCTTCCCTCTCATGCTTGTGATGGTCTGGCTCGATTTCACCAGTGCCGCATCGGTCCCTCGCCGGTCCAAGAATCGCAACTCCATTCACCCCTGGACGCAGACTCTTACCACGCGAAACGCCACAGCCAGCTCAAGCACCTTATCCCTTAACATCGACCCTGACATAGTCAACCCTGTATGTGGTGGGATCTACGAGGCCAACATCAACGTCGAAAGTGCACCAGACCCATTCTACCTCAGCTCAGTCTGCAACAACGTCCTGAATTACATCGGTGGCCCAAAAGGGAACGAAGACGTCGATGTCATCTTCGCTTGCACAGGCTTGAGCACCTCCGGCACAGGAACTCGAGACGTCAAGATCATCTTCAACACCCAAGCCGATGCACCCATAAATGCTGGCAGTGGCGGGACACAGTTGATCCCAGCAAACATGCAATTTGTGTCGGAGAAGGATAATGTGTTTTATAACTCAGAGGTGGAAATCGGGGTCAAGAGGAATACCGGGACGGGGGATGTGGCTTTTCAGTACATCTATTGTTGACCAGGCCGACGCCACAGGAATAGACGATCTGTTGGCCGCATGTGTGCGCTGGGTTGTCTTTTCGACTCATGAAGCGTAATAAAGCGTCAAAGAACGTTCCCGAGAATGATCCAACACATTTTCGTGGCTCGAATGGCGTCCGCTGTGCAGAGGAAACATACTGGCTGAGGTTCGTGGGACGAAGAACGAGGTAGACCAAAGCTTCCAGTGTGATAGAGCAGTCTTCAGGAGGTAAAATCCATTCGGGCTCAAGGAGCTTAAACCTGAGACCGATGTCGATGTGAGAAATCGAACAGTTCAACATGGCATGCTGTAGCTTCTGAAGTGCAATCGAAGAGACCCCGTAAGGTCAACCAAGCCTGTCAAGCAGTTGTCTGCGTCTTCGATCCACCAACTCCTCTTGAACTTCTTCCAACGTGGGCAGACGCCATCTCACACCATCACCGCCGTCGCCAGGTAAGGGTTCCCAATCCGGGTCCTCGTCTTCCGCGCCGGCCAGCTTCGCCACTCTCTCGACAGCCTCTTTTTCTTTCTTCCTCTCATATTTCAACAGCGACCCGTTTTCTTCGTCCGGCCCGAAACCAAAATACCTGGCGTCGAGGTGCCTCCGATTGATGTCCAGCTGCGGCTTTTTGGCGGATTCTTCTTCCTCGGTGGCGTGGGCTCTCCTCTTAGCCGCCCGCTCAAACATTTCCTTGACACCGGGCAGCTCCTTCGCCCTCCCGAAGTACCTGTACCCTTTCCCGCCACCAGGTACCTCCCGGCCTTGATCATCGAACACTATGCCTCCGCCTCGCATATAATTCGGTCCTCCAAGCTCTCGTATACGCCGTTCCCATCCCCACTTCTCCTTCATCAGCTTATTGATCTCATCGTTGAGATCTCTGATCTGAAAGTCTGACAGGGAGTCGTCTTGAATCTTTGTCACCTTGCGCGAGATTTCTGAGATGATTTGGCCGCGCCATTTTTCACACAAGGGCACCTTATCGACGGTGGAGGGGGCCTTGGGCCGGCGTTGGCTGGCCGCAGGAATGAGACCAGATTCAGCGGCTTGTGCAGCGCGGAACCGGAAGAGCATAGACTGCGCTTTTTCTGAATTGCGCGCCATGGCTGGGAGTGTGACGCAGCTGCGGTGGTGGATATTTGCTCGCAAATAGAAGTTGCAGGGTGAAAGGCGCGGCGAGGACTGCGCCGAAGCACGCAGAGTCTTGTTTGTAGACTTGGACACTTCTTATTTGTACAAAGTCTTGTGGGCTGCGGGGAGATCAAGTCGTGGCAGATGGCAACCTGGCAGAGCAGAAGGGACGATGAAATATTGTGAAACGTCCACGACAGACTGCGGAACCCGATGCGGAGATGCGTGACTGGGAAAATTTTGTGGGGGAAACATTTTCGAGATCTTGCGCAAGATGTTGGATGCTAGCTTTCCCACTCCCTCTCCCTCTCCCTCTCCCAGTATCTGGCGACTTGTTTTGACGTATGCTTCTCCAAAATGCTGTAATGTCGCTGTCTAGCCCTTTGGCACTTGGCCACAAATCCTCGCTTTAGATATCTTTGAAACACATCTACCTCGCCCACAATGTCCCAATGGCTCCAAAGACACACCTCCACGACAGCCTTCCAGATTGGCCTTGCTGCTACGCTGGGTGCAGTCGCTGCCACCACGGTCATTTTCACGGCGACCGCGATCCACCGCCGCCGGGCAACCGAAGAGCTTAAAGCCTCCATTCCCGAACTCTCACCCGAGCATCATGCCCTCCAGCTCACGGAATACGGCGGAGCCAGCCGTCCGACGATCACAAACAAAGAAGATGCACGGGCAGCGCAGATCGCGGCGCGGGCCAGGAAGGGAGACTACGATGAAGAGTTGATACTCGAACAACTGGCCCGGAACAGGGTGTTCTTGAAGGACGAGGGCCTCGCGAAACTCAGGAATGCATTCGTGATCGTTGTGGGACTGGGTGGGGTGGGAAGCCACTGCGTCGCTGCGCTGGCCAGGAGCGGTGTGGCTCGCATACGGGTCGTGGACTTCGACCAGGTCACGCTGAGCAGTCTTAACCGGCACGCTCTTGCAACACTGGCGGACGTAGGGACGCCAAAGGTGAATTGTGTCAGGAAGAGGTTGGAGCAAATCTGCCCGTGGGTCCGGATCGATGAGCGAAACGAGTTGATGAGTTCACGGTCGATCGAAGGGCTGCTCGGGAAATGGGATTTTGAGTTGAGGGACGGGGAGGAAGTCAAAGAGGTGGATTGGGTGGTCGATGCAATTGATAATATTGACACCAAGGTCGAATTATTGAAATATTGTGCGATGAGAGGTATCAAAGTCATCAGTGCCATGGGCGCGGGGTGTAAGAGTGACCCTACCAGGATACAGGTGGGTGATATCTCTACGAGTGTCGAAGATCCTTTATCGAAGGCGACGAGGCGGCGGTTGCGGGTCTTGGGTATCAGCAATGGCATCCCTGTGGTCTTCTCGACGGAGAAGCCGGGCGAGGGTAAGGCTGAATTACTCCCCATTGCGGACGAGGAAGTCCAAAAGGGCCATGTCGACAAGCTGGGTGTTCTGCCTGAGTTCAGGGTCAGAATCTTGCCGGTCCTGGGGACGATGCCAGCCGTTTTTGGGTATACAGTGGCCAACCACGTCATTTGCAGTATTGCTGAGTATCCGATGGACTACCGAACAGGCGACAAAGGGAGGGAGAAAATGTACGACGCTATGCTATCGTCTTTACAGAGTCTTGAAGAACGCCTCGTCCGATCGACCAACGGGCAAGACACTATTGGCCTCCGCATTCCCGTGAGCCGAGACGACGTGGCTTATCTTGTGGAAGAGGTCTTCCGCGGCAAAAGCGTCATCAGCGGCTTGAGTACCAGACTTGCACTCATCAGATGGCGGAAGCCTGCGGAAGGATTCAAGATCGACCCTGGGTACGAAAAAGAAGGACAGAAGGTGATCAAACTGCCTCTGACAGACCTGGTCCTTGTGACGAAAGAGGAGGCGCAGAAGCACGAGAAGTTGGTCTTGAAAGGAGACATGGAACCCGAAGTCCTATACGACCACAGCGTCCTCGCCGAAGTCAAAAGGCGCCTTGATGAAGAGAGAGCTTACGAGAGGTACCGGTAAAGGAGCCACTGTCCATTACGCGATACTCTCGTGTAGAAAGACTGATGTACATGAGCTTTCTCGGACCGCTTCTCTGAGAACGGATTTGGTTGCTTGTGAACGACCAGGGCCAGGACCAGGACCATCAGAGGATGCTCGACGGGAGAAACCATGATGCGACCTCCTCGAGCTCGACAGGGTGATGAGTTACAGCAACTCCCGGCTTTTGTCATTGACCAGTCCCTGGGAAGTTGTAAGCCGCGCCCACGCTCTCTTGTCAGTGGACTGTTGTCCATGCATGCATGCATGCTGTGCCAACAGCTCCGTCCTCGATAAAAGACCATGTCCATAACATCTCTCAAAACAGCAGGCAACCCGAACCACGAGGTAGGCCGGACCACATATATGGATTGCTCTCCTCAGGTGGCTCCCGATGAGATCTTAGCTTGATTCTCATCTTCTATCCCCCGTTTGTGAAGACGAGCGGCAGGGAGCTACTTAGGTTAGCTTCGGCGCTGTGAAAGAGAGCGACTGCTAGTTCAGCCTCGCGATATACAGTACTTGTATAGCCAACCTCAACTCTAACGCTTCCACTTAGCGGATGGACGCTTGCCAGAATTACTACCAAGGATATCAAAATCGCGTGCCTATGATCAGCAGCCTCTGGAAGACACAGCCAGGAACTGCTGATCGTTTATTGGGCTGCCTAGCGAGGTTTAGAGGATGCCGCATATCACGCCCCATGTCGAGCCGCATATCAAGCTGCAAGACCAACGCACCTCCTAGCCGCCGACACCTCTCGCGACCATCGATCCCTGTATGCCTCTGCGCCTCATCTTTTCAAAGACAGCTTAGCCCGTGCGACGTTACCGGCCTGACTCTACGTTGAAAACCCTGTCTTCTCTGTTCCATTCTGTGCCGCTAGACGGTCCCTCTTCTCGCCAGAATTGCTCTCAATTTCCTCCAGTACTTGCTATGGAACCCCTGAGTGCCGGCGCGAGTGTGCTGGCCTTTGTAGGCATTGCTCTGCTGGGAACGAATTCCCTGTACATTGTGCTCTCTGGATTTCGCCATGCAACACAAGAAACAGCATCCCTTATTTCAGCGGTGCTAACTTGCAGAACATCTTGACACAACTCCGTCAATGCAGAGCCTTAACCGAGCCCAACGTCGACTTACACAATATCAGGAATCTGCTGGATGCTTGTACCCAAGATATAGCGAGCTTCAAGAAAGACCTTGACAAGGTACAATGTGACCCAACTACCACCAAATATCAACAAGTATGGAAGCGGGTCAGAGCAACTCTGGCGGAGAAGTCACTTACTGGAATGTGGCTCAAGCTGAACCATCACTGTAACGTGCTGCAGTTCCAACTCAATCTTCTACAAAGGTAGGCCGTTCCAGCTGTGGAATGCGGTGGCGGATGTGACATGGTTATTTACCACTGACAGTGACGCTACGCTGGATTGCAAGACCCAGATCCACGAAATCCAGGACACTCTATCCGCAGGAAACTTGCAGGTCTCGTCTTTGCTTGGAACTGTGCAGGACGTCAAGGTTTCAGTGGAAGAGGTGGTCCGGAGCACTGCCGCATCTGTCAACCATACGATCGGACAGGCTTCAGGAGCAACGAATGCCCAGTTGCAGAACATATCCACTCTACTGGAAGCAATCCAAGCCCAGGTCTCGGCAGGGTCAACCCGGTCTGCTCTTTTCCAACACCACCATGCGCCGTTACAGGAGGACAGCCCACTATCTGCGCACTCCAACGAGCCCGTCGGAGTGAATCCAGAGCTGAGCGAGTGTCTTGCCAGATTATGCAGATTGGGCTCGCGAGACTCGGGAACAATATTCTACGAGGAAGCGGAGACCATTATCGAAGATCTGGAATGTTTTCTGTCCGCACTGTTGGAGCTCAAGGAGACTGAGGCTGTCGTTGCAGCAAAGAAAACAAAGGAAGAGAGAGGACAGGATGCAATGGTCACACGCCGCGACATGAAACGCATCCGTGGTCTGATTTCAGCGTCTGGCGCCATAGATGTAAATCAAGCCCGTGAGTTGCCTCTGTCGACTTCTCAGCAACTGCGATCAGCTAACCAACTATTCGAAAGCCAAGCGGCTCACTACGCCAAGGGCTCGAAAAGTCGTTCAAAAGCAACACAGCATCGAGCTCACACTGCCTGGTTGCAAGGCAACTATCACTGTTAGCAGAAGAGCCTTCCAAGAATTTTGCAATCCGCCCAGGCAGGGACAACTTACCAACGATTCCCACGCAGAAGAATTCTTCGCAACTGTTAAGGCATCTATCGACGACGTTCAATCACCAGCCGTCCTCGTTGCTTACCTGCGGCAAGTCCGGTCCGAAAATGGATTTTCCTCCCTGCGTCCTGTGATTTGCATTGGCAAAACCCTGCCCATCGGCTCTGCCATATTTCATATCGTGTCCCAGGGCGATGTTGAGGGACTTCGGAGGCTGCTTGCTCGCGGAGAGGGATCTCTCAGAGACAGGGATTCCCGGGGAACTCCTCTTTTACACGTAAGGCGATCTTCCATGACGGGCTAAAAGGTTATCATGCTGAGAGCTCAAAGTACGCAGTCGCGGGCGCCAGAACAAAGATCCATGGCGACATGTGCAGTTTTCTCATTGATAACGGAGCGGACGTTGACCAGAATGCCCAGCGTCCTTGGATGATCGATGGAGATTCCAGGTAAGTCGACTCAAGAGTAGAAGACTGTCAGAACAAGGTAGGGGAATGCTAAGCTCTCAGTTTCAGGACGGCAATGTGGCTGGCGCGTGAGGCTGCCATTGAGTTCGAAGCCATTTCAGACCACTTTCGTCTCCTTCTGGATGCTGGAGCAGGTCCTTGCTCTGCACTTTACGACAACGTAGACGATCCAGACTTCAGATTCAAGCTGTCTTTCGACCATGTAAGTAATCTCGCCAATTGGCAGGCACCGAATTTCACTTATCTGTTGCAGAACGCGATGAAAATGATACTGAACAACTCAATACCATTCGTCGATATCGGAAGCAGGGACAGTCAAGGTTCCACAATGTTATTGTCTTTTGCTGCCAAATGCTCCAGCTATGACGACCCCGTGTCACTTTTTACCCTTTATTTGGCGAAAGGCGCCGATATCAGCGTCCGAGACGGACACGGCAGAAACTGTCTTCGACTCGCGCTTGAATCTTTGTGGGATGAAGAGTGCAACGACCAAGTCCGCAAATGCGTCGCCTTGTTGATTCGAAATGGTGCCGATATCCACTCTGTGGACGAGGATGGCGTTTCAGTATCCGACTATGCCTACGAAAATCCCATTCAGTTAGAAATCGGCTCCTGTCGAGGCGATGTGTGGGATGCTGCGCTGTCAGAGTGTGGTTACGATATACGCCAAATGCGCCATGGTTACCATCGACTACCAGTGTGCCCCGACGGAGATTTTGACCTTTCGGAATACCAGCAGAAATCTATCACACGGTTGTGGAAAGGTCGGGAAGACGCATGTCCGTACTACCATCATCCGCCTGCTTGGTGTCCACGGAGCACTTTGCCATCAGGGCTCTGTCCCTTTGGGGGACATGACTGGCTCTGTCCCGGCCCAGAGGCGGCACCCAGCCAACATCCTGAAAGTCCCCTTCCACGCACGCAAAAGGTGAGCGAGCCAGAGACTGATGATCTCCATGGAGGGGTCGGCATAGTTCGAGCGGGAAGCAAGGACAGCCATTGCACCACCGAAGAGGAATTCTACGCCGTCAAGGATTTGAAGGACAGCGACCCAAGTCTGGGAAGGGAGGAAATGGAAGTCAACGGGTTCAATGGGCCCGGCGAGTCAGTGTCAGGCACCGCACAAATCAGGGCGATTGCACAAGAGGATCCTGCTGCTGAAAGCGCTTCGGACTCGTCGTCCGAATATTATGACCTTTACAACGATACTTGAGGAAGGCAAGAAGTCCTTACTGACCTTGGGAGTATTCTCTTTTGAGAGGGGCAGCCTTCTTACATCCACACTGGCCAACGTGTATACATGATTCTTGTATACCAAAGACGCCCGAGACTATGAGCCATGCCAATGTTGATCGGCTGGCCGCTGTACTCATCTTCAGAAGGGTGGGCGAAGCTGGCTAGGGCTATGTCCCTCTCGTACTTTAGACATACCTCCCGCGTGGGCGAGCCTGGGACCGTTGGCAGTCTTGCCACAGACATAGGCAAAGGGGAGGCCGAACCCGATGTAATAAGCACTCTCGCAAGAGAGAATCGACCCGTCTTGTCTTTCGAAGACGGGGAAGGAGGAGTGACGATTCAGACCAGCCGAAGTCACTGTAGAACAGCTGCACGTGGATAATGGGAGCCGGCAGCAGCAACCGATCATTGTATGAGGCGAGCTTGGGCTTCTTGGGGATCAAGAGGGCTCGTTCCAACCTAAATGTGGAGGAGTGAAAAGACCTACATGATGAGTGACAACTGTAGCTGTAGCTTTGAAATAGGCTGGCACGTCCGCAAGAGCGGAAATGTGCATGTATGTAGTAGACATAATCATGATAAGTATCCTGGGGAACTCCAATATAGGGCACGAACCCTATGACAAGCATCACAACCACTGGATTCGAAAAGAAAATGCTCCTTTTTTTTTCAAATCATATCCTGAAGAAGTTCTACACGGGCGTTGGCCAGTGAGTGGATCAGAGGACCTTCAAGATCAGATATCGCTCTCATAGTGCAACGTTGCAAACCCGGTCCGTCTGGGGGTGATGAACTCTCTCAGCTTCTTGTGCGCGGCGCACCCTTTGTCGTAGAAATCCACGTCTTCCCGCGACTTGAAGGTCGTGACCGCAATCACGGTGTAGCCTTGACTCCGCTCTTCTGACGAATTGATGACCCGAGTCGCCTCGTTGGAGACAATGTATGGTTGTCCATCCTAGACAGGCGTCCATGTCGCAGGTTAGAGCTGACTCGGGCTGAAATGTCTTGCTGGGAAACATGGACGACACAGCTAGAGTTGAATAGACGTAAAACTTACCTTTTGTGCAGTGCTTCGCATAACTTGGTACTCTGCGAGGATGGCATCAATGTCTTCCTCCTTGGGCACCTTGAAGAGAGTCACCCTCTTGACATATTTTGGTGACATGGTGGCCGCAGTTTTTCGTTCTTTCTAGGAGGGAAAAGCAGATGAGCTGGACAGGTACTCTATAAGGGCGAGGTACGCAATGCACATAAGCCAGCAGTGGACGTAGGTCTATTCTTGACTTATATATCATGTCGTTGCCAGCTTCCGATGGACGGAATTAACCCCGCATCAAGGTTTCCCCATCGGATGTGAGACCATCACGTGCGTGGGGGTCACAGAGCATCACGTGCCACTCGGCAAAAGGCTTTCGTAAAAGCTACCATCACGTGGAAACAATCCCGAAGAGCCTTGGCATTCGAACCGCCGTCACGATCAACTCCGATCTTGGATCGCTCTGCTCTTTATCAGCTCACCCTTCCGACTCACCACCCCGCCGCTATTCTACCCAAGACGTTCTGTCCCTTCCCTAGGTGCTGGGACACATGTTCAACACCTCTCTGCGCCGAGTGGCGCGCACCTGCACGAATGCCCCATCGGTACCCTCTCGCCCGTCTACGCCTACGATAGCGTCCTTCACCTCGAACGCTCACCAGCGGCGGCATTCTTCTTCGAAGCCACCCGTACCGCCGAACAATGGCTCCTCAGCAATCCCAGCAGCCTCCGTGAAACAGGTCGGGGCTCCCCGATCTGAGTCGAAGCGACCGGGCGCCGAGTCGCGCCTCTCGAAGAAAAGGTCCTCCAAGGACAAGGCCGACAACAAGGAAGCCCAAGATGACTGGACTTCAAAACTACCAGCTGTGCCTAGCTTGCAGCACTTGAACCCAAAAGGTCTGTGTGACAGATAAAACACGTTGCTCCATGCTCATTGTATCGTTAGATGTCTACGTTGCCTCCTTCTTCTCAACCCATCGACCCATGTCCATCACCGGACCTCTACCTCCCGAGGCGTCCATAGAAGCAGTCGACAAAATCTTCCAGCCCAAGCCGAAATCGAGGACACGCGCCCCCTCTCAAGATGTTATCTACACCCTTGCGGCGGCGGTGGAAACCCTGGACGAGCATATTGCCCAAAAGCAAGCCGATCAACCTTCACAAAACGCCGCCGAACAGAAGGCGGCTCTGATCAAGGCTCTCATGCAGCGCAATGAGAGCCCGGCTGACCCTAATCGAACACATCATCTCGACGGCGCACCGCAAACTGTCCAGGTCGCGGGGGGCAATATTAAACTAGTCATCCAAGAAATCCAACGAAGATTTCGGCCATTCAATGTTCCCCCCGCGCCTCGACCCATCAGCGATGCCGAGATCGACGCGAGCGAAGAGCATGCTGCAGCCCAAGCAGAGAAGGCCGAGGAATTACAAGCCAAAACTCTTGAGGTGGAGATCGAACAACAAGATTACAATGACCCATATATTCAACAGGTGGTAATCAGCGTCCCTCGAGACCCGGCCCATTTGCAAAATGAGGGCTTTTTCACCAGCCGCGGTACCCCCATCATGGAAATCGAGAAGCCAGACGCCTCGTCTTCCCTGCGAGAGATTGAACAACAACCACCCTTGGGACGGGGCAAAATCATCGGCCACCGAAGGCAGGTCGGCTCTATTCCAGGCCGGAGAAGAGAAGGAATGTATGCGATTAGTGTCAAGAGACAAAGGCGCTTGAAAATGAAGAAGCACAAGTACAAGAAGTTGATGCGCAAGACGAGGAACTTGAGGAGGAAGTTGGGGCAAATATAGTGCTTCCTGTGCAGGAAGCGAGGCTCTCTACCTTTTGTTTTGTCGAATCTGCATTGCTTGCAAGGATCATACACCTGATTTAGACACATCTAGGCACGAGAGGTTCTACATTGCCATGGCATTTCAAGCGGGTCCAGCAAAGTCCTTCATGTCTCTTCGGCTTTTGGTGGGCAAGCAGGGCGAGTAACAAACGTTATCAGGTCCAGTTTGATCATCGCACCGCGGACTACATATATACAGCCTTCTTTTGTTTGAATTAGGTATTCGATCCTCCTCATCAGACGTGGGCGACCATAAATAATCTCTTCGCTCTCTTTCTTTTCCGGTTCCTCTTGGAACCTCAATCGATCTCCCCCTTGTTCCTGTTTCCTTCCTTCTTAGGTACCTGAATCCCAACGGAGTCCCAGTCTTGCGTACTGTAGCCCTGGCGCTTTTAGGCCTCGGTCAGTCAACTCGGTTGGAGGTTTCCCGGGTCCGACTTCGGCCTCCCGGACTATGGCATGCATCTCAGGTTCTCGACTACTACTACTAATACTGCTCGGTATTGCTTACTGCACATACAGAGGGAGCGCCTGGAATGAATGGATTTCCTCCTCCGGACGGAAATCTGAACGGGCAGTTGATGGGCTCGTTCGGTACTCTGATGTACTGTATGTCTACCTAGAATGGTTTTCGATCCCCCCCGGGACTGGCATCATCTGTATTCGGTCATGACATTCAACTGACAATATGATATTGATTAATCTGAAGCCATTGGCTTGGTGTTGAACATTTCGCAGTAGTCTTAACCATTAGGTGTAGTACTGTTAGTCGAATGAAGGACGACGAGGCTAGTGAATCCCTGGGGGGTTGCACAGTTTGCTGCTGCCAAGGGGAGTGCTCAAGAAGTAAATACACAATAAATCTCAGCCCGCTGGTCGTCGGTCAGGTCGAGCTGGAGGGAGATTAGACCTCTCGAGTACCCGCGGGGTATCCTGGCAGGTACATAAATTGGCCTGAACAGATTATGTAACGTGGGTACCTACCAGGGCAGGAAAGACGATGAGGGCCATGCTCACAGACGGCCTGTACAGTGAGTAGGTAACTGGCACAGATGCTACGCTGCGTCCCCTGTGGTAGAGCTCCAAAACTATTACCCGAGTCCGCACTCCCGTGCCCTTTCGCGGACGAGACGGGGCCCTTGGTGCCTCAACAAATCGCCCTCTGTACCGGTAGCTACCTGGGTAGGTACTTCTGGCCTTCCAGGATAGAGAGGAGACAAACAGTCTCTTTCCAGAGATTGAAGTTAACGAGTTTAATACACTATACTATACTATCCGTAGCCCGAGCTCGGCGAAGGAGCAATCAACGTGCACCGCCTGATCTGTGATCAAAAGCTCTAGCATTCATACATAACAAGTATTCGGATTCAAGGACAAGTCTCTTGCAAAATGGCTGTCCCTGGTGTGGGTGTGGGTGTGGTTGTGGTGGTGGTGATTGGTTTTTGGTAGAAGTTGACGTTGGCTTCATCGCTGACAGAGGGAGTATTGGCGATGGTCAGTCTTGTTCGATGCATCACAATATGCGTCTTCTTTCAGCTCCATCTCCATACTCTCCTGTCTTTCAACCCTCTGATGACGCTCCATCGCAGCCGCCATTACTCTCTTCTCTCCTGTCATCTCCTGCGGGTTTTCCCGTCTAGCAGGTAACGTCGGTCTGCGCCTTTGAGTTCATCAATAGCGCGACAATCAGCCCGTAGAGACCCAACACTTCGGCAAAAATCAGGATGAGAATCATGCCGACAAACAGACGTGGTTGCTGGGCAGTCCCACGCACGCCAGCATCACCGACAATGCCAATCGCAAAACCCGCAGCGAGACCGGCAAGACCGACAGACAGTCCGGCACCAAGTTGAATGAAGCTGGTGAATAGCGCTTCCTTTTGCGAAAGGTTGTCGGAGATCAGGACGGACACGACCAGGCCGTAAATACCGATGATACCAGCCATAATGACGGGGACGATGTCTACGATTGTCAGTTCCTCCATTCTAGGGTTCTGCAGCATATGGCGCGGAGCGGTTCATACTCTTGACGATGAGATCAGGTCGAAGGACACCCATGGCAGAGATGCCGACGCCAGACTTTGCGGTTCCGTATGCGGCGCCAAAACAGGTGAAGACGATGGCAGATGTGCAACCCATGGCGCCAAAGAAGGGCTGTTCAACATGGAAATAGTCAGCTCTCTCCTGTTCCTGGAAAGCTTCCAGCAGAAGCAAAGTGTGGGAGAATCAAGCGTCGTGGCAGAGACGGCAGATCGCGTAGGGTGGCGTAACATACCGCATAAACGGGACTAGAGGATCACTCATGTCAGTATAAATGTATATCGAAGAAGAAACCAAGCAAAGGGTTGTGTTGAGTAGTAGCTCCATCCATCTTATCGTGGAAACGGGCGCAGGCTGAAGGCAATCGGGGAGCATGGGGGGCAGAAGGAACACGCACCAGAGATCGGAAGACATCTTGACTGGCTGCTGGATTCGCTCGTGATAGCTCCTAAATCAATAATAGGTGCTGAGAGTAGTCGGACAGAGCGAAAAGAGCTTGACGGCGATGATGGAGTTGAGCGGGATAGAATGGTTTTTCAGTGCTGAGCAGGAAATGGGTGATGGGTGATGATGTTTCGAAGGTTCGACTTCGAAGGGGGAGCTCCAACTTGGCAGCCTCCAGCCAGGGAAAGTCGGCCGAGTTCTTCTGCGCCTCCGCCTAAACTTTTTAGACACCCCATAATTAATTTTTTGATAGACTCACAGACTCACCACCAACACACCAGGGTCGTTCAGTGTACAAGCAAAGGGCGAGCCAACGCAAGGAACCCTTTGCTACCAGCTCGTTCATTTCTCTATAGCTTTCTTTGAAGCTCATTCTTGCGAAACAGTGATACCCACCCGTGTTGCTTTACTCCCGTTCCATCGAAGAATTTCGAAGAATTTTAAACGTCGCATATCACAAAGATGGCCGACAACCCAAGCGCCGCATGGCCCTTGGCCGATGAAGCACTGTCCCAGAAGATTCTGTGAGTCTTGAGGCTTTCCCCGGGTCGTCCTCCCGTCACGGCACTGACTCGAGGTCGCAGGGACACCGTCCAACAGGCTTCTCACCACCGCCAGCTGAGAAAAGGCGCCAACGAAAGTAAATTTCTCCCACTTCCTCCTCCCTCGGCTCCAGATATTGACATGCTGACTCTGTTCTGCAACAGCAACCAAAACTCTCAACCGTGGCACCGCCGAGCTCATCGTCCTGGCCGCCGACACCTCTCCGCTCGCGATTCTCCTGCACCTTCCCCTCCTTGCAGAAGACAAGAACGTGCCCTACGTCTACGTCAACTCCAAGACGGCGCTGGGGAGAGCATGCGGTGTGTCGCGGGCGGTCATTGCGGCGAGCATCACGACCAACGAGTCCAGCGATTTGATGCCTCAAATCCGCGAGCTGAAGAATCGCGTCGAGCGACTCATGATCTAGAATTGGAGGAACAGGAAATGATCGCGCAAATTCAATGGGCTCGGGAGGCAGTGGTGTGCGCGAAGATGCTGTGCTGCAAATCGAATAAGCATTGGGTGTCGTGGCATATTCCTGGTCTGATGGGGGTGACATGAGAGTCGATCCCTCACAGAAGCAGAGTGAAGCGCCATGGCCCTGAAAAAATACAATTAAAAATTCCTACAATACAAGAAAACTTCATCCCACGCCAGAGTCTGTGATCACAAGTTATGGGAAAGTCACACCATTCGCCAAATGACACTATACATATATATGCTTCGCTAAGTTCATCGAAACCCCCTTCCCAACCTGCAACCTGGCTGTCGCTGGAATATGGACCCGACCGGGTGAAAAAGCAAACACCAAGGCCTCGTGCGATGTAAAAGACCTAGACCCACGCCTTCTGTTACTCGTTCCATGATATCATAAAAATCGTTGACAACGCCGCAGACCTCAAGTGTCTCCCAACGCCATGACATTCCCCTGCTCGGCGCCTTCAATCACCCTTCGGACATGGCCTTGCTCCAGCCTCCTCGCCTTCTCCCTGCCCTCTTCGAGCCTCTGCACTCCCAACCTTATATTCTCGACGTGGACCGCGAGCGGGATCTCCTTATGGCCCCGTAATACTTCGGCACTCGATATCCTAGTGCGCAACTCTTCCAACTCGGCGCCCATGGCCTGCAGCTTGAGGATCGTTGCAGAGACATGCGCCCATGCGACCTTCCGATACTGCCCGACTTGTCTCAGAAGAGTCAGTTGGTTGTTGAATTTGCCCAGCTTGGCGCGATTGCCGCCCAGCAGCGTCCAGAGGTGCGAGAGGATTTCATCCTTGCCAGCCTGGGCGTCGATATTGTCGCGCATTGCGATGGCGTGGATCACGTCGAGCCGGTCTTCGAGGTTCTGCAGGACAAGGAGTAAAGCTTGGGCCTCTTCGATCAGACGCTCAATCTCTTCAGATACTATCCTTGTGTGCGAGATATATTGGTCGAGAAGTCTTGCTTCGGTGAATTGTATCGGCTTGAACGGTGCTAGGAGGTTGTCCTGTATGAAAGCCGGGATGATGCCTCGTGAAGATTGCTTGACCGCCATGTCATCGAGCACCCGTTGCGTCCAACGCGCCGTGCTCAGAACAATGTCCACACCGCGGCCGACATGCGAATTGAACTTTTGCAGGTCGTATGACGCTATGCGGGCGGTCTCGATGAACCCATCGAATTCGAGAACCATTTCATTGCGTGAGGCGAGCTGCGAATACCGCACGATCTGCCGTAGATCGCGGATTGAAGTCTCGGATCGTTTCATGTCCAGGGGCAGAGCAACACCGGCCGCAGATTCGGATAAGATCTCTTCGAAGTGTGATTGCGTCTTCATGAGGGCGTCGAACTCGACAGGGGCGGAAGTCCCGCCCGGAAGAGTCGGTTTGTCGTTGTTGACTGAGGCAAACCGGCAGAGTGGAAGGTCGAAAAGAGATACTCCGGGAATGCGACATATCGGAGACAGAGCCGTATAGATGGAGGAGGTCAAAAGGTTTTGCAAAAGCATCAATATGCCGAAGAAGAGATATGCCGCAAGCAGCCAAGAGATGGGTCGTTTCAAGGTCTTCAGCGTCTGGCCCAAGATGTCGAGCAGCCATTCCGCGGTATGCACTAGCACCAGGACTATCTTGTCCACCACTGGTGATGCTGTTGTGTTGTTCGTTTGATTTTGATTCGATCGAATTGAGCGTACTGGTACTGTCCTCTGCTTCGATGAAGCCATGTTGGTGGTGACGGGCGGCCTCACCCTCCGGACGATCTTCTCTGAGGGACTGATACTGGTTGCCACGGATGGCATAATGAACTCTGGTTCTGGATCCGTGGGCGTGGACAGTCTGGGGGACTTGCGTCGCTCCCTAATCACTCTCGTCATTTTGGGTTCTTGTTCGCTTTGGACGGTGATCTTTGGTTCTTCGTCGTGCTCCGACTCTGCGGAATGTTCGTCCCAACTGATCCTCTCATCACCTTCGTCTTCGACCACCCAAGATTCGCTCAACTGAGAATTGGATCCAGAAGCCATTTTATACCGTGTTCACTCGGTGAAAATAGTCCAGTTCGGAGAAGAACAACCAGTACCTGTTGACGGAGTGACACTGAAGACTTCTCGGTGTATTCAGCCTCGTGCGCAGGGTGTTGATTGTCCCGCTGGGAGGGAAGTCATCTTGACAGCATCGGAGTAGGGTGCCTTGGTGAATTGATAGATAGATATGTTCTTTGCCACTTTCCAACACTAGAGAAGCGAATTGCCATGTCACAGACACGTAACAGGTCGCGCCCAAGGTCCATCCAGTCGCTGTCGAACAACAGGGGGCGACTCGGGAAACATTCCACTTTCGGCATTACGTCATGGCCCTTGCAGCTAGTCGAAACTAATGGCGCCTAAAAGCGGTTCCATGCTAGCCAAGCTTGGAAGGCTCTTTACAACAAAAAACCCAGCAGCAAACAGCCTGGTTTGCATATGGCGTGCAACCTCCCAGTGATGTCGCTTCGAGCAGAACTGAACGCAAATCGAGGCGGCTCCGACATTTCATTGGTCAGCGAAGTAAAGCCTGTTTTCTCTCACTATGGCATGACTGAAGTCCTGTCATAGTGAATGAATGTAGTGTGCGTTGCCGATAGAGCTGAAGCATAAGAGATGCGCTAGAAAATATCCCCAAGATGTCTTTTGATTTATATTCATATGGGCCAGGAGGCTGCTGAATGGATTCAATCGGAAGATCATTCTGCACAGGAATCCGATTTGTTCAGATGCGCCTGACTTTGAGTTTCATGATATGACAGTCCTCTATCTGAAACCCACGAGAAACCCTCATTGGTAGCCTGGCTCTCACGAATGCCTTGCTACCTTGGGGAGGATGACTGTGCTGCCTTCATATTCGCTATTTGCCGCATTTTGATCATTCGGAGACTTACACCGTAGACGCAAGAATTCCTTCCCAGGATTGAAGTCGCACTTTACCTTGTGACAAACAATTACTTTGGCGTTATTGGTATCTTCGGCCGGATGGTGTGTAGTTCTGCTCGTCATCATCTACGCCAGGCAGGCTTTTCAACTGCTTGTCAGAAGGACGTCTCTTAACGGTATCTGGCAACGCAGATATGCTCTTCTGCATCCCACCACTGCAAAATCCCTGTGGATCAAGCGAGGACGGAGTACGGAATACGAGTTAGCCCGTACTCGAACGAAGCACGCAGCACAGCTCCCTGCTTGATCCATCTTGACCTTGCGGGTGCCCACATCGGAGATTGGCATTCATGAAGCCCGTGCGGTACCAGGAATGCATGGACTTGTATTCCATCGAGTGTGTACCGACAGAAAACTGTTGGTGAGAGTATCCAGAGCTGTGCCTCCATCTGCTCTGCCGTTGCCGAACCGTTTCATGCAACAATCCATTCAAGCAAGAATCACACGGGGGAGAAACCTTGGAAATGAAGCCCAATAATGGCGGTGAATATAGACGCTAGCAGAGGAGGCTGATCGTTAGTGCAACTAGGCCCCAAGCGTGACTAATTCTGCACCGCACAACTGATACTGGCTACCCACAGGCTTGGCGAGAATTTCTGTATAAATATCTCGCTCCCCCCAGTCCCCTTTGAAAAAAGTCATACTTGTGCGTTCTCCCCAAACCACCCCCTACGATGAGACAATATAAATGGCTAACATGATCACAGACCTTGTGGGAGCAACCTAGCTCAAGAAGTGGGTTTGCTATGGCGGTGTCCCTGCATTGCACATCGCGGTGGATGTCGCCATTAAGTGTCCTTCGGGGCTCTTATCCGCGTATTTTTTGGCTCCTTCCATTCTTTTCATCATTGCCTCTTTGCCTTGAGCAAAGCTTTGAAGAAGAGAGATCTACTTGACGACGCGCAAAGAGAGTGATTGGGGGGGGGGGGATGTTTCACCCTCTGAACATTTACCAAGTAATACTGACGGATGGGCTCGTACGGATTGAATGTAGCAACAAACAGCTCCAGAGGGAGAACAGTTTTAGGGATGTCTCACTGCAAATTTCATGTATCCACGCAGTGAGTGCCCTCGTAGACGGAAGCGTTGATTGAAATAAACGCGGTTGTTGGGTGCTAGAAATTTGTTGCTGCATATTTTCGCTGGGCGTAGGCAGCGCACCAAAATTCTGTGTCCCTTGCAACCGCCTCAAAGAGCTCGAAGCTCTGCCATCGCCACGACGACCACAGATATAAACCGCTGTGTCACATCAAAAGCTCCAGCAAATCCCCATGGTCACCGATGTGCTCCCACAAAAGAGAGGGGTTTCTACAATGCCGCGAGAGTCCAGCTGCTCGGTGCGAGTCTACAAGCTGCGTTCCTGCTGGCGGAGTCGCGTGCTCTAGGCGGAGATGGCCAGCAAGCTCATCTAGCCAAGATCTGAAGCCGAACATGCCTGTTTCAAGGAACTGACCGAGATTCTGAGTAGATCCCTCATCCGCTACGCAACCTCTTACGGTGGACGAGTGCTCGCAAGCCGCCGGGTAACCCCCCGCATCAGCTCTCCAAGTCCATCGAGTACCTAGGAGCCGCGGTGTCAATTGAGAGGTTGAGCCGAGGGTAATAACGGAAACCAAATACTCAAGAGATGCCAAAGCCCGCGAAAGGTAATACAGAACCAGAGCTATCCTCACATCTCTGTGCATTCCTCTCAATTTTCCCTTCGCTACTCAACACGCCCGTTCGTTCCGTCCAAAATGCCTCCCAGAGCTCATCCACCTCTCAAGATCCCCGATTCCTACGCTACCCTCCCTCTCAAGCAGATCAAAGTCTCCCACGTCCCCGAATCATCGCCCACTCCCACGCCGATCCTTATCATAACATTGAACAGACCACAGAAACACAATGCCTTCACAGATCAGATGCGGGAGGATATGGAGCGGGTTTATGAGCTCATCGACATTGATCCACGGGTCAAGGTCGTGGTCTTGACTGGTGCGGGACGGAGCTTCTGCGCAGGAGCAGATCTGGAGATTGGGTTTATTGGAGCGAAAGATGAGACGGGCGAGGTCAAGAATCCCAAGACGGAACGTGATGTGGATCACCGAGACGGGTAAGGGAGACTGTTGGAAATACGCGGCCAATGCTGACCTATGCACGCAGCGGAGGGAGGACTTCCCTGGCAATTTACCAGTGTTCGAAGCCAACCATCGCGGCCATCCAAGGTGCCGCTGTAGGTGTGGGCATCACCATGTGCCTACCGGCGTGTATCCGAATCGCATATGCCAAAGCCAAGATTGGCTTTGTGTTCAGTCGACGAGGGCTCATCATGGAGGCATGCTCCTCCTTCTTCCTCCCGCGATTGATCGGCCACTCCAGAGCACTGCATTTGACCACGACTGGTTCTGTGTATCCTGCCGAGAGTCCACTGTTTGGCACTCTTTTCTCGGAGCTATGTCCCACACCAGAGGCAACCTTGGCGCGAGCACTCGAGCTCGCCGACGAGGTTGCAAAGAATACATCGACAGTCTCGACAAAGCTCATGAGAGAGCTTATGTACAGGGGAGCGGACAGTCCAGAGGGCGCACACCTTCTTGATTCCAAGATCATCCACGGCTTGTTCGGTAGCAAGGACAACCTTGAGGGTGTTATGAGCTTCTTGGAAAAGAGACCGGTTCAATTCTCTGGGCAAATGCCTCAGGACGCTCCAGCTTCATATCCTTGGTGGGAACAGGTTGATATTGGCGAAAAGGCGCCTGATGCTAGAGGCAGGCCCAAGCTATAGATTTTGAATATGCTCATGTAGCTTCGGATCTGAGTTTCTTCAATGACGAGCTTCGCATCAAATAGTGCCTCTTGGCCCTTGTAAATCACCCATTCAGTTATCTTAACCTGCCTCTTCTGGACAGGCACAGCAGCCAGAGCCACGAGATCAATCGGCTGCGGGTGCCTCTCTTGAACCCAAAGGAATCAAAGAGCAATTCATCTGCAGCTAGCTCAGTCATCTTTTGGGCTAGCAATATTTGCCAAACACAGTCAAGACCTCTGTTACCCACCCTAATAGGTGCGCCCGATGCTGTGCGATTTGGTAAGCAATCGGAACCTGATGGGCGTCTGTCGGAAGCCATTGGCGGAACGTCTGTGTGGGGGTTGAAGGAATCCTCCTGCGACATGGATCACATCATCAGCCAACTGTCCCCCAGCAGGCACCTCGCAGCCCACCACAGAGACGTTGGAGACCAAGATCCAATTCCCGACAGGCTTTTGAAAGGCCGTTCCTAGACTGCGATAAAAGCTCACGGCCCTACCACTGCCGTTGTCCCTCCTCCCTCCTTCCCCCTCCGTGACATGTCAATTGGGACCAGTCGACTCTCCAGGCTTTCTGCTACCCTCACCCGAACCTCGATTCTGGCGTCAGGAAGGTCACTGCATATCGCACCGTTGCGGCCGGACCCCGCTTCGTCCCCTGTATCTGTCTCCAGGCTTGCAGGTCTCACCAAGCAATTCTCCTCCACTTCCTCGAAGATGGCTCCCGTCACGAAGCAATATGACTATATCGTCATCGGAGGTGGATCCGGCGGAAGTGGTGCTGCCAGAAGAGCAAGCGGATGGTACGGTGCAAAGACATGTATCATCGATGCAGGCGTCTCGGGAGGCTGCTGTGTGAATGTCGGGTAAAGAGAGCGCCATGCAAGCAGAATGAGGGCATACGTGCTGACTTCCCATCTAGCTGCGTTCCTAAGAAAATGACCTGGAACTTTGCGTCCATCAGCGAAGCCATGGCAGCAGGCAAGCACTACGGCTACAAATTTGGCGACGGCAACTCGTTCGATTTCAAGACCTTCGTCGAGAAGCGTGACGCTAGAATAAAAGTCCTCAACGGCGCCTATGAGACTAACTGGTCCAAAGAAGGCATTGATCTGATCAAGGGTCAAGCAAAATTTATCAGCGAGCATGAGATGGAAGTCACACCCAAAGATGGAGGTGATGCATTCAGAGTCACGGCGCCGCATATTTGTATTGCAACTGGGTCATTTCCGACAAAACCCGAAGGCATCAAGGGCTCAGAGTACGGCATTACGTCCGACGAGTTCTTCCTGATCAAACATCTTCCCAAGAAGATGGTTTTTGTCGGCGCAGGATACATCGCAGTCGAGCTTGCAGGTGTGATGAACGCCATCGGCGTTGAAACACACCTGTTCATCCGTGGCAATACCTTTCTGAGAAAATTCGATCCAATGGTTCAGGAGACCATGACCAACCATTACGAGGAGATTGGCGTTCACGTACATCGAAACCACCCGGGTATTAAGGAAGTTATACAACTGAAACCTGGTAGTGAAGACGGTTCCGATCCGCGAGAGAAGCACCTCAAGTTAATAATGAACGATGGCTCTGAGATGGAGACCAACGAACTATTATGGGCAATTGGCCGAGGTCCGGAAACAAGGGGATTGGGACTGGAGAAAATCCCAGTGAAGACGAGCAAGCACGGCCACATTGTGGTGGATAAGTATCAGAACACATCCGTCGAGGGAATTTATGCTCTCGGGGACGTTACAGGACAGGTATAGGAAGCTCCAGAATACCTGGAAGGGTTTCGTTCTAACAACTGAATCAGGCTGAACTCACACCCGTCGCCATCGCTGCTGGTCGCCAGCTAGGTAATCGCCTTTTCGGACCCCCCGAGCTCAAAGATTCGCACCTCCAATACGACCGTATCCCCTCTGTGGTTTTCTCACACCCTGAAGTCGGTGCCACCGGGCTCACCGAACCTCAAGCAATCGAGAAGTATGGCAAGGAGAATGTCAAAGTGTATCATACGAAGTTTTCGGCGATGTTTTACGACGTGTAAGTGATGTTTTGGCACACAGGCGCCTCGGACGGACAAGGGCCGAAGAACTCTGAACTAACGGTAATCACCAGATATCCGCCAGAAGAGAAAAAGAAAGAACCCACAGAGTTCAAGATCGTGTGTCAAGGCCCACGCGAGGAAATTGTGGGACTGCATATTCTGGGACGCGGAGTTGATGAGATGATGCAAGGCTTTGGGTGAGTGTCAACTACCGGATCTCAGTTTTCCTCCGTGTGGCTTGAATTGAGGGAATATCCCATAGTATGGGCTTCACTGGCTGTGGCTAACGATGCAATCTCTTTAGTGTCGCTGTCAAAATGGGCGCGACGAAGAAAGACTTCGATAGCTGTGTTGCTATCCATCCGGTATGTTCCCCCTCTTATCCTGTGTTGCCTCTGTTGCCCAGGTTACTGATAAAAATATCAGACCAGCGCAGAGGAACTGGTGACCATGCGGTAGAGAAGAGAAAAGTTCCGGCTGCCCTCCATCCTCTAGCCCAAGCAAGAAGTACCTGGGTGTGTGTGAAATGGAGTAAAGAACCGCATGAGCATGCTTCACCTCTTTTTAATTCTAGAGACCAAGAATGTCGCCTGTGACACCTCTACACATATACCAAGATGCATAGACTGACAACGCAATGGTCGGGTATATAAACTTCAGACTAGCCATATCATTCTATATACTCATTCCTCTCCTTATTCCTTGCCGGACCCCATTTTGTTTCTTGTTTGCAAAATAGTTGCCAACTTCCCTCCTCTTCGTCCCTCAGAGAGCCCAAACTCTCTCTGCTCCACTGGCATCCCTCACCCCGTTCTTGTTCATCTGGCCGTACCACAATCTCAAGCCGGCGGTGACGGCGGCGACGAAGAAGCCGCAGGCGGCGCAGGTGAAATTGCCCGTGGGATAACCCTGCTCGGCCTCGTCGGCCTTCCAGATCCACTGGGCGATGATCTGGCCGATGCCGGCGGAGCTGTTGTTGAGGGCGATGGCGAAGGGGATGGTCAGCAGCGACGGCGTGTTGCAGGCGACCCAGTTGGCCATCGAGGGCGCGACAGGGAAGGCCCCGCACGCGGCGAGACAGAGGCACCCGTACCGCGCCGTGTAGGCGTGCGGCGGCAGCAGACCGGCGGCGAGCCAGCCAGCGGCGCCGACCAGCGAGGCCACGGTGATGTGCACGCCGCGCGCGTTGAAGTGGTCCGCCGAGTAGGACAGGGTGATGGCCACGACGAAGCCGACGCACCAGGGCGGCACGGTCAAGAGCTGCGCGTGGATCGATGTGTAGCCGAGCCCGTTGACGATGGTTGGCGTGAAGAATGTGAACGAGCCTTGGGGCACGACGTCGGCGATCTGGTGGGTTCGTGGGTGGGCGCAAGTCAGCGTTTCTGTGTGAGGATGTCTTGGGGGACCCCAGAGAGGGACAGAGAGACTCACGTATGCAATGTAATGGGCCAACATCCTCGGACTGAAGAAGGTCTCGAGCACCTCTCTCCTCGAGGCATGGCTCCTGAGATAGCCGCCGCCTCGCTCCTTCAACCGATCCTCGGCGAAGCGCTTGTCCGCCTCGTCGAGGAACTTGGCCCGGGCGGGATAGTCGGGCAAGAGGAACAGAAACGACGCCGAGACCAGCGTGATGATGCCCTCGATGATGAAGAGCCAGCGGAACCCCTGCAGCCCGGCGGTGCCGTTGATGTGGCCCACGCCGTAGGCGATGGCGCCCCCGAAGGCGCCCGCGAGGTTGCAGAAGGCCACGACGCAGGCGATGCGGACGGCGCGCTCGTTGAACCGGTACCAAATTGTGATGAAGTAGACGATGCCTAGAAGAAGGGGGGGCCACAAGTAAGTCATTGTCATTGTCATTGTCATTGTCATTGTCATCGTCGATGTTCCCAGAGTGTGCAAGCAGAATCAACCTCTCATACATCCCCCTTGTCCCCTCTGTGCCAACTGAACCAGAACACAGAGAGAGGATGGATCGAGCACACCTGGTCGAACATATCTGGGGAAAAGTAGAGGAGGGAACAGAGCTTCGTTACCTGGAAAGAAACCAGCCTCAAAGGCACCGATCAAGAACCTCAACACCACGACAGTGGTATAGTTCTGCACACCGGCAAACCCGATGGTCAACGCGCCCCATGCGAACAGCAGAAACCCCAGCCACAGGGACGGCCGCACCCAGTGCTTCATGACATAGTTGCTGGGCACCTCGAAGAGCGTGTAGGCGAGGGAGAAGAGCGAGACGGTGACGGCGTAGCCGTTGGCCGTCATGTGCGTCTGCTGCAGCAGGTCGTCGCCCGTCTCCGAGTTGAGCACCTTGGAGTTGCCGATGTTGCCGCGGTCCAGGAAGTTGAGCAGGTACACCCAGCAGCACAGGGGGAGGATGCGGATGTCGAGGCGTCGGTTGAGGCGTCGGTTGCGCCGTTCGTACTCGACGTGGTCGACCGTGACGACGCCGGCATAGCTGGTGCCTTCGTCGCTCGAGGGGGACTCGATGACGGCTTTCTGTGTCGCATAAATGACATGCTCAGGAGCTCTGGGGGGACGTGGCTTGCGAGGTTACCCAAGGGGAACGAACTGCTTACCTCGTGATGCTCTGCGGGTGGTGATTTCTCCATATTGTCGATAGGACAGGGACAAGTACTGTAAGTTGCTTGAGCTAGCTGCTTACCTTTTGGACTTTGCGAACCTATCTCCCTGCAGGTGAGTAGAGAAAGGGGACGATCCCCTCTGGCCAGGTTGATATCTTCTTCACCTTATACAGTATGAGCCGTTGCCCCCCTCCCCTCCCTGTGATGGGCATCATCCATCATATGAGAGGAGGTCATCAACCCAACGGACAACTACCGATCGGCAATGAGGCCGTCATGCCCGGCTCGTTCATCACTTGCATCACCCCCGGACTGAGGGTCGAAGGTCCTGGACAAAAAGCCTTGAGTGAGACAGGGTTCCCATGCGAGTCGGCATATAAGACGAGAAGGGATCGACGACGATCATACGTAGGAATGACTTGTGGGTGGCCGGGGCCAAAAATGCGGGCGACGCGGGGAAAAATAACTCTCGATAGCGGAGAAAAAGAGCCAATTGATGCAATGGGCCTGTCTAGTGTAACGTCTATGACCAGGGTATCCAGACCCATTTTTCTCCAAATGTGCCTCTCCAGTATACCTGGCGAGGCGAGGGAGGTAGAATCCATGTTCGGCAAGTCACAGCTCCAGCTTCAGTCGGACTGAGAAGCTTCGGCTAAGAGTGGTGCCGAATCCTTTTCATTCATCTCACGCCACGCTCAATAACAGACAAAAGGACAAGACAGAAACAGAAACCAAGGCATGGGAACAGAGACAAACCATGGCTGCTTCTCTGTTCAGAGATACACGTCACATCATAAAGCCACCACCCATTCTCTCTCTCAAGAGACTAGGCATCGGACTCTTCGGGTTCCATCTCACCGAGATCAACATCATTCTCCCCGGGCGCGGATTCCAGTGTACCGTCGTCGTAGTTCTGCTCCTTCCGATGAGGGATCATACTCTCCTTGATCTCGAAGGTCTCAATGATTTCTCTCCAAATGTCGAAGTCGAGGGCGAAGATGGCTTGGCTGCGCTTGACTTCCTGCCTCTCTTCGAGGGGTTTTTGTTTTACAAGAGCCAGCGTCGGAAGCCCATCGCTGTCCAAACCCAAGTTAACTTTTCCTTCCTTGACCAAAAAGCTCACGTAAAACATGTTCTCGACTGTCTGCCCAAATGATTTGGGGTTGACGCAGAAGTTGAAGAAGGGCACGCCTCCGTTGTCAGCTATTACATTTCTGCGGAAGATCTCTCGGCGTTGTGCCTCCGACAGGGGCTCAGGCGCTTCCTCTGATTCCGTTCTGGCGTTCCTTATCCCCCTATACATGGCCATTTGCAAGATTCGCGCAATCTCAGTGCAGAGCGCGGGAAGGTTGGCCGATTCTTCCTCCTGGTCTTGATCGCCGAGCCGAGTCGGGCGCACCGCTCGTGTGGCGTCAGTGGGCGCTTCGCGGGCCCTGCGCTGGATTTGCTGCCGAACCTTCTTTTGAACTGATAGCGGGCCAAGAAGGAAGCCGGTCACGCAAGGTCGTGCGTTATACAGGATGCAAGCGTTCTTCCCCAAATACTCCCAGTTCATGGTGTCGCCTTCATCCTCCTCGTTCGCCTGCCGACGCCTTCCTCGCCGATGAGATTGACTTTGAGATTGACTTGAGGGTTGAGTGCTGGGAGGCGCATCACCGTTGGCCGTCCCGGGATCATGACCCTGTCTCATGAACGCGATGCATTTTGTGACGAAGTCGTCGACGTCAATTCGCGGCGTCACATCACCCAGTATCAGGTTATTGATCTTTCTGAAGGACAGGTCTGCAGCTTCGACAAGTATCCGCGAATCGATGGTGGCATCGGAAGTTTCCTTGACGTTTTTGTAAATCGCATTTGCTTGTGTCAGAGTTTCCTCAAGGCCTTTGGACTCAGGCCGAAGATACTCGGACCTGGAGCCGGAGAGCTTGGAGAAAAGACTGCGCAGATCTTTGCGCACTTGGCGTCGTTCTTCCGTACGCTTCTCGCGATCTTGCGCAAGCTGCTCAGGATCAAGTTCCTTTTGCTGGGTCAACTGAGACTGTAATTCTCCATCTCCTATCCTCCTTCGTTTCCGAGGGTCGGTGGCAGTCCTATCCAACGGACTCGCCATGCCACTCTTTCTCTTCCTGATACTGTCCGCAGTATGATGCCCGTTCTCGGAATCGGAGTCGTGCGGCTCGAGCGAGGCAGAGGGGGGATCCAAGGCACCGGGATGAGCAGGTGGAGTGCTGGTACGTCGGTCGTTCTGGGTATTCAGATGGGCCATGGCCGGTGTATTTCTGCAAACCAGGGGCAGATGGATGGTTCGTGTACTGCAAGTCGCTGAGGGACTGTATCCCTTCGGTGGGCAAGGGCTGGGCCCAGACTTAAAGAGCAAGAGGGGTAGAGGGGCTTTTCTTCCACAGCCTCACTGGACGGGGCACACTGCGCTGGTGCGGACACACCGATGATGGAAAGGAGATGTGTGAGGGAGACGAGGCAGTCGCAGAACAGAGAGGAGGACATGGGGGAGAGAATGAGGCTCAATAAAACGCGGCGGCGTTATTCTCGACACACAACGCGCGCGGGCGTTACGCTAGTCCAATGTTGGTTAGCGCCTCAGCGCCCCTACAGGTCGCCCGCCTTGTCCATCCACGTGCCATTCTTCAACAGGCTTCACTCTTGTCCGATGTTGCTGTGTATCGATTGTCCCGTCTGCTAATGGTAGCGATGGACAGTGGCTCGTCTGATCCTCCGTCATGGATACATACACCTTTGCAACGTCTCGCCAGATAGACTTCCCTGTCTGTGTCAGAATGTGAGTATTTGGCCACAAGTCGATTGCCCTTGTTACTGACTTGCTTGTAGCAACACGTTGGAGGGCAAACAGCATTCCTTCCCGTATACTATTCTACTCAAACACCCAGAGATACGCCACGTCGGATCGGTCCAGAACTCGAATTCAGAGCTGTATGTAACTGCTCAGCTATGGGCCGAGTCCAAGCCGCTCGGTGTTTCTATGCAAACGCCACATACGTTCTTCAAAAATAACAGAACCTGGAACAAATGGCTGGAATTACCCGTTCTGGTCAAGGACTGTCCCATCTCGTCACAGATCGCCATCACCGTATGGGATATTTCACCGTGTCCAGAGAATGGTAGCATTGATCACGCCGTGCCGTTCGGCGGCACCACCATTCCCTTGTTCGATGGAGACGGAACACTGAGGAAAGGCCGCCAGAAATGCAAGATCTATCGCCGAAGGGCCGCCGATGGTCAGTCGCCATCCAACACTCCCCATATTCCACGCCCAAAACGTCGAACGCCAAATGAGCAACCCCCTCCCCCTATTCCGGAAGAGGAGGAGCTCGAACGGCTCGAGCAGCTCTTCAAAAAACATGAAATGAATGAGATTCCTCAGAACGACTGGCTTGATCAATTGGTCTTTCAGAATGTCGGCAAGAAGGCTCGCCAAGTGGAGGAAGCTACACGGAAACGCTCCTCACTCAATAAGCCGACAAAGCGCATGTCAGCCGAGTTGATATCGATGAACGGACACGCCGGGGTCGATGCCGAAGACGACCCTGACGACAACACGGACGATGATGAACGTTTCACCCTTTACGTCGACTTCCCCCGCTGGGATTTCCCCGTCATATTTGAAGATTATGGATATGAGCCATCGAAGATGATGAAAGAGTTTCAAAGTACTCCTTCCGCTTCGACTGTGGGGGCAAAACCTCCGCCAGAAGTCCGATATGGTCCGGGTATCGCGCCAGGCTCATCCGTTGTCGATGACGAGGATTATCCGGTGGTGCAAATCTTCGACCCCGAGCAGTTTCAGCGAGAAAACCCCTGTGAGAGCAAGCACCGTCGACTAGTCCGCAGCGACAGGAATGCCTTCTCCGACAGTGATCAAAAGCCGAACGCCAAAATGAGAGATGAGCTCAATGAAATTCTGTCGTATGGCCCCACGCAGGAACTGAGTGCCCAAGACAAGGATGTCATTTGGACATTCCGACGGCACTTGAGTCGTGATAAACGAGCCCTGACCAAGGTTGTCAAAGCGACTGATTTCACCAATCCAAATGAGGTGCGTCAACTTGTTGAGTTGATCCCTAGGTGGGCCAAGATCGACGTCGATGCAGCTCTCGAATTACTGGGTCCCACGTATGACAATCCTGTCGTCCGAGCCTATGCCGTTGACCGACTTCGACAAGCTGGGGACGCCGAATTGCAGTTATACCTTCTTCAACTCGTCCAAGCGCTGAAGTTTGAGAAGTATGAGAGTACCGAAGAAGGGCTTCCAGCTTCGTCGTTGGCCAAATTCCTCATCGATCGTGCTGCCAATAATTTTTTGCTCGGGAACTACTTGCATTGGTTCCTGATGGTCGAATGTGTGGATCAGGGCAGCGAGACCAGTGCTGCAAATCGAGCAGTATTTGCGAGAGTCGAGTATTACTTTATGATGGAGCTGGAAAAGCGAGATCCCAGTCTGCGCAAGACATTGTTGAGACAAGGCGAGTTGATTACCATCCTCTCGAGCATCAGCAAGGAAATCCGCTTCAGCAGGGCCAACCGCCTACAAAAGATCGAGTTGCTCAAGAAGACTCTGGCTGACCCCAAGAACGAACTTATTAAAATCGAGCCACCCATTCCCCTGGCGCTTGACCCCGAAGTCCAAGTATGTGGGATATTTCCCGAAGAAGCCAATGTCTTCAAATCGTCGTTGTCCCCATTGTACCTCAACTTCAAGGTCGCCAGCGCTGCCGAGAGTTCGAGCGCATCGACGCAGCGAACGCAGACGCACGGCAAATATCCCATCATTTTCAAGACAGGCGATGACTTGCGGCAAGACCAGCTCGTCATACAGATTATAACACTCATGAACAATCTTCTGCTCAAGGAGAATCTTGACCTGAAACTGACCCCCTACCGCATTCTCGCCACCTCACCCTCGGCTGGTGCGGTCCAGTTCATACCATCAACCGCGCTTTCGGTGATCTCGACCAAGTACAAGGGGTCGGTGTTGGCCTATCTGCGTGCCAACAACCCCGACGCATCTGGACCTCTTGGTGTCCGTAAGGAGACCATGGATACATACATCAGATCGTGTGCCGGGTACTGTGTCATCACCTACATTTTGGGAGTGGGCGACCGCCATCTCGACAACCTCTTGCTGCAACCCTCGGGCCATTTCTTCCACATCGATTTCGGTTTTATCCTCGGGCGAGATCCGAAGCCTTTTGCACCACTCATCAAGTTGTGCAAAGAAATGGTGGAAGGGCTGGGTGGCACCACGTCACCACAGTACGCTCAATTCAAACAATTCTGCTTCACAGCCTATACGACCCTACGCAAGTCCAGCTCCTTGGTGCTGAACTTGTTCAGTCTAATGGTCCAGAGCTCTGTCACAGACATCCGACTGATGGAAGAACAGATGGGAGGCATGGGAGGCGCTGTGGGCAAAGTGAGAGAGAGGTTCAATCTCGACGTCAGTGAAGAAGAGGCAGTGAGGGCACTAGATCAGGTGTTGGCAGACAGCGTCAATGCTGTGTTTGGAGTGGTCATTGACAGGCTCCACGAGTTTGTGCAGGGGTGGCGGGCTTGATTTGGGCCCTCAGTGAGTGCTCGGGTTGTCTGTATGGCGTCCGCATGGCCTCTTCGGCGCTCGTTGGCACAACATTTCATGCTCGCTAGTTCAAATCTAGACGTCGGGCTAGAAGACAGTCCCGAGTTGAATATACGCGTCGAAGAAGACATCTAGTGGATCTGTAGGTACTTTACAAGGTACATAAATGAAGCGAGGCGAGATGACCCAGAGCGGGGTTCTTACAGTAACATGTGATTTATTACATTTCTCCGCGCTGGTCGCTTTGCCATCATCTCTCAACTCTCAACTCTGATCAAGCAGTTCACTTCAAGCTTACCGTCTCTCTACAGACCCATCACTGCCTGCACATAGCACTCGCATCCAACAAAATGTCGGCCGAATCTCAGCCTATCTCCGCCGACCGTTTCGCTCTAGCCATTCAAGACCTTCCCGCTGAAAACTTGTACTCCAAGGCCAAGGAGATTGAGAACTCCATCGCTCACCTTGAACGGTCAAACAGACAACTTCAAGAATACGTCGATAGTATCCGATCAGACACCAGTCTCCCGGAAAGCACGAGGCAAGAAGGGGACAAAGACTGCTCCGAGGCGATTCAAGAGAACCACATTGTGATTGAACGACAGAGGGAGAGGGTTGAGCTGTTGAAGCACGAGGTGGAGAGAAGAGGAGGCCAGTGGCACGAAGCTGACACCAATGGGAAGTTGAACGGGTCATCAGCGGAGGCGGCTACGAGGACAACGGAGAGAAACGCAGGGGGCAGATTGACCGACGAGGAGTTGCGCCGACAGATGATGGACCGGCTTGGGGCTGACGACGACGATAGCAATGAGGACGGAATGCATCTGTGACCGAGGCCACCTGAAGAAGAGATGAGGAAAGGACTACTCCATCGCCTCGCCGAGCCCACGTTTCAAAAGTCTTATACAGTATCCGCAAACATTGTCAGAGTCTCAGGCTCACGGCGGCATGCCGGTCGCAGCCACGGAGAGATTATTTTACGGCTACGGGCTTCCCACAAGAACGGGCAAACTATCGGACCGAACTACACCACATGAAAGCCCTGGGTGCTTGCCTGTGTTCTCGGAATGCTACAGTAAGCAAAATATATGTACAGGAGCCGCATCATCCTGAGCGGAGGCAATTAAATACCGTCCCTCCGGATGTGCACAAGTGCCATGGACGCCGAGTCGTGGACTGTCCAACCTCCCAAAACCCCGGACCCAACACATCAAGATCAAAGTCGAAGCTCAGACAGGACTTTCTGGTGTAAGGACTAGTTACCATTCGCGAGAACCGAATCCAGTCAGCATGGTGTGGAACATTGATGATTATTCAGGAACATACAGGGGCACCAGAAAGTCGGTACCAGAATGAACCGAGTCGCTTACCAAACTCCGAAAATACCGACCACGTGCAAGGCTATGATATCTCCACTCCCGCGTCATAGACTCAATGGATCACCGAATGCACGTTCCCATTTCGCTTCGTTCGCGTCTCGATCCCCGGATGCTTCACATGCCGATTCAGTCGCAATCTCAGCTGCATGTTAGTTGCTTACTGGATTTTGCCTTCGAGTTGATCCGACGCTTGGTTGGGAAATCGTTCCATTTTTCCATTTAGTAGTGTTGGCGTGCAGATACGTCGGATGTACCGAAGCCATCATGACGCCTTGAGGTTGGGAAATCGGTCATGACGTCTTTTTAAACATGGCTGATCTGCGCCTGTAACCATCTTTACTTCTTCAATCACCTTTCTTGGCCTTGGGTGTGCCTCTCGCTGCTCACAAGAAACATGGAGGATCTCTTTCGGGACACAGTTGTCGGACAGATCTTACGACTTGTTACAGGAAGAAGGATTCTCCAATATCCCGAGGAGCGAGATCCGTCAATATGGCAAAGGTATCTCAACGTTGAGAAGTCGGCTAACATGGCTATCCACGGTAGCACGGCTACACCTCAATTAGAAAAGGATCTTGGTTCTGCGTCTTCATCTGGGCCACCGACACCTGAAAGTGAAGAGGAGCAGCAACGAGAAACGCCCTCAGTTGACGGCCAAGCCGCAATCCCACCAGAAGCAAAGGAACAGTTAAATCTGCCGTCCACCCCTCAACATCCGGATTCCAATCTCCAAGGACCCTCTCGCCGTTCTTCACACTCAGCATCGACAGCTAACGAGCCCGACAATGTCCTGGTCAATACCCTCAGTGGCACAAGGGTCGACCCTGAGAGAGGACGGGACACAGACATTGTTGATTGGTATGGTCCTGACGATCCAGAAAACCCCCGCAACTGGGGACGAGCCAAAAAAATATGGGTTACCTTCGAGATTTGCCTGTTGACCTTTTCCGTCTACATTGGCTCGTCGATATATACTGCTGGGATATTGGACGTGAGCAAAGACTTCGGCGTCAGCCGTGTCGCCGCCACTCTCGGACTGACGCTGTTTGTGTTGGGCTACGGAATTGGTCCAATGTTTCTGAGTCCCTTGTCGGAGCTTCCGCAGACTGGAAGAGGCCCGATCTATATCGGAACCCTGGCGCTCTTCGTCATCCTGCAGGTGCCGACTGCTTTGGCAACCAACTTCGGCATGCTGATGGCATTTCGTTTCATCACGGGTTTCGTTGGATCGCCGCCTCTCGCCACCGGCGGCGCCACGATCGGGGACATGTATTCTCCTGCCAAAAGAACGTACGGCATGGCGGTATGGGGCATTGGAGCTGTTTGTGGACCTGTCATGGTGAGTTCGTGTCCTCTTCCGGGAACCTTTTAATTTTCAGTTCTGAGCTTGTGAACTAACGTGAATGGCAGGGGCCTCTCGTCGGGGGTTTTGCAGCAGAATCAGAGGGATGGGCCTGGACAATCTGGGAACTCATGTGGCTCTCGGGATTCACCTTGGTCGTCCTCCTGTTGTTGCTGCCCGAGACCTCTTCGGCCAATATCCTTTACCGACGCACGATGCGCCTTCGCAAATTGACGGGCAACCAAAAACTCATGTGTGAGCCGCAGCTGCTCGGCGAAACCATGACGCCCAGGGAAATCGTCATGATGACGCTCGTCCGCCCTTTTCTACTGTGCTTTACGGAACCCATGGTCTTCCTGCTGAATATGTACATCGCTCTTATCTACGGCCTGCTGTACATCTGGTTTGAGAGCTTCCCCATCGTCTTCAATGGGATATACGGCTTCAGTCTGGGTCTGGAAGGGACTGCGTTTATGGGCATTCTCGTTGGCGTCTTGATCACACTTCCCCCGTTCATCTGGTATCAACGGAAATACATCGAGCCCAAAATCAACGACAAAGGCGAGCTCCAGCCCGAATGGCGCCTTCCACCTGCCTTTGTCGGTGCCTTCGCCATCCCAATCTGTCTGTTCTGGTTTGGCTGGTCTGCCCGGCCGGACATCCACTGGATCATGCCCATCATCGGCACGGCCTGGTTTTCTATCGGCGCGTTCTTGCTCTTTAACTCGGTCCTCAATTACCTGGCCGACGCATACCCGGCGTACGCTGCCAGTGTGCTGGCCGGCAACGACTTCTTCCGATCCTCTTTCGGTGCAGGCTTCCCACTTTTTGCCTCGGCCATGTACAAAAACCTTGGAGTCGGCTGGGCGAGTTCGACATTGGGCTTTCTGGCCATTGCCTTTATCCCCATCCCTTTCTTCTTGTTCAAGGTGAGTTCATTTCCGCTTCCCCTTTTCTTTAGGGTGAAAAAGTCGTCGATTGCTGATCTACGACCGCAGTACGGTGAACGACTGAGGGTGAGGAGTAGATATGCCCAGAAGGACTACTAGAGATGGAACCGATTTGGATCACTAGGTGGCAAGAAATGGGCGGAAATGCATTGGTTTTGGTCATGATACCTCCCTTCACCTCTCTTGAGATCTTCCGCTGCAATTGTCATGGCGATGACAGAGACCAAACTCTGGAATACAGGCAAAATACAGGACCTAGGTAGATAGATCATGTGTTTCCCCTCTTCTCCTTCTTCTTCTTCTTCTTCTTCTTCTTCTTCTTCTTCTTCTTCTTCTTCTTCTCAAACTCGCAGCGCAGCGGCCTAGTTGAGTTTCCACCTTCAATTTCATTTACTTTCCCACGTCCTATTTTTAGTCGACATCGACATTTCCAAAAACAAACTTGGGAATCTTTGGTGCTATGACCCTGTTCCGAACGTATACGATATCCCCGAAAAGTGCAGGGTCATTCCGACCGTGCCTGAGAAGGAGTTCTCAGATTAAATACATGTCAGATTTGGGCCATGTCATCGTTTCATTTATGCGGGTTATGTTCACACTATGTATGTCATGTTTATTTGTTTCCTCCGCGAACAAAAGAAAGAAAGACAGCAACGTGTCGCCGCCGAGGCTGTGTGTGGGTGTGTGTGTGTGGCTTCTCATGATTATCCCCCAGCATCAGTGGTGGTTTCGTCGTGGGTTTTTTTTTGTGTTTAGTATTCGAATGGACGCACAGTACAAATATATACTTAAAGTGGCAGGCGTCTTCTCGTCCTTCTTTTTCTCTTCTGGGGCGGGGATGGGGGATTTGATCTGGCTGCGAAACAACAAAGGAGATTTCAAGTGCAAGGTTGGGCTCGAGCTCGACCCCAGCGGTGGCCCGGCCGGTTTCTTGTTCATGTCTTTTCTCTAGACAGACTCTCTTCTCTCTCGGAGGTGGGGTGCTTTCGTCCACGGGACATATGTCCATGATGGATGGCACTCGTGTATTTAAATACACCCTCAGACTTTGGTGGTGGTGTTGAAGACATAGCCCTGGAATACGGCGGTGACTTTGACGCTGTCGTAAAAGCCAATGACCTCGACGATCTTCCTGGCGCCCGTGTCGCTGTCGAGCGCCGTCCTCATCAGCCATGCGTACTGCATGTCGTAGTTGGCGCCGTTCTTGCCGACCACGCCCTGACTCCGCCAGTTAACTGTGGCCCAGTCGCCGTCGGCGAAGATGTGCTCGACGATCGGCACGGGCAGCGTCACCAGCACGTCCCGTAACGGCGTGAGCACCTGGTCGATGTAGACCTGTTTGCCGTTGTACGTGCCCGCGATCGGGCTGCTGCCGGTGACCGTCCACACGAGGTCGTCGGACAGCGCGGCGGCGAACGAGGTGCCGAAATTGTCCAGCGCCACCGCCGTGAATAGCGACTCGATGAACGACCGGGTCGCCTCGGTCGTGCCATTGACGCACGTGTGGTGTGGGGGGAACGGATGGGCGTCTGCGGCCATCATGAAACCCAGTCCGGCTGGCCCTGAGTGATGCTTCGTCGTCGTCGTCAACAAGCGCGGATAATTTTGATAGGCGTGATAATGAACGTCGCCGTTGCTGCGGCTGCTACTGCTGCGGCTGAGGGGCAAAGACCAGAAAGATAGCAGAACTTGCAGCACGGTGATGAAGCAGACGGCCGTTCGGGCCGGTGACAGCATTTTGGCCATGCTTGCAACTCCGGCGGCACCCCGGATGGCGCTTAGGGGAAGTGCATAACAAGCCTCTCTCCTTCCCTTCCAATGGTGGTGGTGGTGGTGAGCTCCGACATTATATATATAGGTAAGCAAGGTAAGCTACACAGTATGTACCTACCTACTTTTCACCCTCTCTTTCTGCCTTCTCTTTTCCTTCACCGACAATTGTGACACGTGTGTGGACAGCAAAGCAAGTGCGCTTGGCTGCATAGTCAACGGGCAAACTGCTCGGAGCTGCGGGGGGGGTGGGGGGGGACCTGATAGTGTGGTAACCCAGCCTCTGCGGCGGCCGGGCCGGCGCCGGGCGTTAGCACCCTGGAGCTTCGGGGGGGGGGGGGGGGGGGACGCTTATGAATGTACCCAGACGATGCCGCTTCCGAGACCACTCACTCGCTTTTATACCGAGTACTTTTTCCCTCGCTATTGTTGAACTCATCATGAGTCCTAGTTGAGATTGCAATTAGTTGAATATATGATATATGACCTGTCCCGAAACGTATTGAAACGGACCCCCTAACCACCATGGAGGTGGTACTATGCGCTAAGAATTCTAGGTACTTCGATGGCGTGGTTGCTCCCATCGTTTTCTTTCGGGGCTCATGCATGTTCTTGGCTGACATATGGGAACAGACGAGTTGGCCCGGCAGACAGATAGATGTGGGACGAAAGACGTCTCTGCCTCGAATCTGCCATGTCCCTCTCTGGAAGTAGAGTCAAGTTTGTCATGAGAACCGGTCGTTCAGTATCTATCTATCTTCCTACTATTTCGAGGAAGGAGGAAACTGGTGATAGCCGCTCCACCACTCTTCAACGCTGCAGAAGTGCCACAGTCCACTAAAACCAGCTTACCCAGCGACGCTGTTAGTACCAAGTTACCTTAAGTACTCGCGGGTGCTCTAATCTACAACGAGCCATTGTGCCGAGTAGTACTTGGGAGAATGTCTTTCTGACTTGTGTTACAATGACAAATATAACTTCCGCTTTAGCACCCATGGACAGCGGTCGCCTGCGGCCTCTCTTGATAGATAGGCCTGGTATTCCATGGACTTGTCGGCCGCGTGAGATCGGGTCTCGTGTATGGGTTTCGGGTCCCCAACCCTCATCCATACCGTGCATTCTCAACCTCTTCGTCGAACCACGCAGGAGGAATGCCATAGTTGATCACGGTGCTCTTGACCTTCGTATAGCTCTCGTAGGCCTCGACGCCATTCTCCTTGCCCATCCCGCTTTCTTTAAACCCTCCCCAGGGCGACGAAGGGTCGTTCAGGTGGTGTCCGTTGATCCAGACGATGCCCGCCTCAATCTTTTCCGCCATCCGATGTGCCTGGGAGATATCGTTCGTCCAGACCGACGCTCCCAACGCAAAGGGGCTGTCATTGGCGACACGGATAATGTCCTCCTCAGACTCGCATTTGACAAGCGCGATGACTGGTCCAAAGACCTCGTTGCAGGATAAATCAGAGCCATGGTGCGTTTCGATGATAGTGGGCTCGAAGAAGAACCCCTTCCCTGCCACAGTCGTCGGGTTTCCACCACAGAGGATCTTGCCACCTTCCTTGACGGCACGGTCCACGAATGCGGTGCATCTCGCTTGAGCGGCCTTCGAGATGACCGCTCCAATCTGTGTCTGTGGATTTTGTGGATCGCCTATCCGCAGGGCCTTGACTCTCCTCCCCAACAGCTCGGCAAATCCATCATAGAAATCCTTGTGTACGAGCAGACGACTTCCGGTCACGCACGTCTGGCCACTTGCGATGAAGCTGGCGAAAAGTGCGGCCCTCACGGCCTGCTCGACTTCGACGCTTGGGAGAAAACAGACTGGGGCCTTTCCCCCCAGCTCCGCCGTGATCGGAATCATGTTTTCCCCCGCCTTCGACGCGATGGCCTTGTACGTGGCGATCCCGCCGGTCAAATCAATCTTGGCCACCAGGGGATTCTCGCATAAGAACTTGCCCGTGTCTCGTCCGTAGCCACACACGATCTGCAACGTCCCATCTGGTAGTCCGGCCTCTTGAAACAACGCTCCGAGCCGCAAAACCGACAACGGTGCCAGCTCGGAGGGCTTCACCACCACCACATTACCCGCCGCGAGCGCCGCCGCGATCTTCTTCGTCGCTATCAGGAGAGGATGGTTCCAGGGCGTAATCTGCACCACCACGCCCAGCGGCAGGCGCGTGACAGTATTGATGACCGGTCCCTTGAAGGGCGTGACCCGTCCCTCATGCACACGAGCCAGCGACGCAAAATACTCCAGCCACTCCGGTATCCTGGCCAACTGGGCACGCATCTCACGGACAGGCCGGCCGGTCTGCTGCGTCTCCAGCTCGACGAACTCTGCCATCCGCCCTCGCAGCAGCACTGCCGCCTTGGACAGGACGGAGAATCTCTCTGACGCGTCGGCGCGTGACCATTTGCCAGTGCGAAATGAGTGCAGAGAATCGGAGATGATTGCATCGACGGCTTCTCGCGGCGTGGCGTCGACAGTGCCTATCGTGGACTCGGTCGCGGGGTTGATCACCTGTATGTGGTCGGCGGTGGGAGCGGTGTGCGCACCGTCCACCCAATTAGACGTATGTAGCAGGGCTGGCATCGTGCGACCCTATTGATGTGGATGCTAAGATACTGCTGCCATGTGGGAGGGTACATAGTAGTACTATCTATCAACCGTCCACATCAGTTTGCCCACCAACGCCAAGATGAGTAAAATCTGCTGCTCGGAGCTTTTAGCCCGAGTGGAGACGAATATATTGCCGCCCTACGCTCAGCCATGCTTATCTTGACCCCACTATTATACACCTGAAACGGCAATCGTGCCTATTGCTGCCCTTTAGAGTGTGATAAGCACTCAGAGGTCACTTCATATACTTACTATACAGCATTTCCTCTAGCATTCTCGCACATTGCGTTGTAACAACCTCAATGCGTGTGATGGCCCCCCATTACCGAGCTCCCACTTCGATCTTCGCATAGTCGCACGCCAACGTGATGCTTATCCAATTCTAATTACTAGACGCATCAAGGGGCTTTTTGACAGGCGCATCAAGTGCGCCGACGCGGCATTGACGCAGTCTTGAGAAAAATGATAACTATTAGTAGTACTGCCGGTTACATTTATTCTCGCGAGCGTCCTCATGACCAAGTGAAAAAGAAACGACTCAGAGAATCTAAGACGAAATTCAGAAGCCGCACACTTCTTGGTCTTGATGTGTTCCCATCAGCCTATCTATGACAGTCACTTCGACATGTGGTCATGTTTTGGCAGACACTGCTTTCTTTGGTCAAGGGTCACAAAAGGACTAGTAAGCCTGCTCTATTGTTGGTGGTATGCTTGAGTGCAATGTAAAGGCGACACGAATTACTACGAATTAGGTTTAGCTGGCTTTGTATCAATCCTTTCCCTGTTGGGAAAAGCACCCAAAGGCGCGACCACCCCTTTGACTGCGTTTAGATGTTGTCGTTGAGTCATCGCCTGAGTATGAATACTACTAATAAGTGTTTGGCATGGGGTGCTTCTAATATGCACTAACAACTACCCCAGTTCGAGCTTTAAGCAATTATAGTCTTCTGCTGTCGACTGATCTACCCTTGCTCAACAAGTAATCGCCACCAACCAGGAATTTGATCAGTCCGTAAACACCGGGTAGAGGTCTGGTTCGCCAAAACCAAGCGACCACCCAGCTTGTTGCTTCCCCCTGACCCTCAAGTCGTGCACGCAGCACGTCATTCCGTGTAAGGCCCAATTTGCCAGTTTCCGCTTCGGTCGGGTCCTGGACCTTCTCATATACAGACGGCAAGGATGCTGCATTGTACTTCTCCCGCAGGGCGGTGTACCACTTGCGATCATAAATTGACCAGAATTCGTCCTCGGTATAGAATGAGCTAGCAAACAAGGCTTTCTGGCCGCCGTGTATGCGGAGCGACCTCTCGAGAGCTCGATTGACATTACCAAACTCTTCCGCATTGGCGAAAGACATCCCGTAGAGACCAACATCGATCAATTTTTCAGGCTCCCTCGTGCGCGGGCACCTTACTGAAGAAGTAAAGGTGGGTTTGTCGTGATAGATATTGGTGACGGGACATAGCCAAATGGGTCGCTCGGAGAGGTCAAGGATCTGCGATATGTCGCTTAAAAAAGAGCTCGCATTAGACAGTGGCACTGCGAGATCTTGGACCACGAAACTCCGCGCCAGTTTCGCTGTATGAATGACTTGGGTCAGGGCTGTCGCCTGAAGCAGAGAATCCAATGCCCAACGAAACAGACGGTTGCAGGGCAGGTTGAAGTACGCAAGAGCAGCGTTACCTCCCCAGAATGCGCCGCGGTCGTAACGAAAGAGATAGTCCAAGATTGGGACTGTGATTGTCGTCTTCTCCTGTGCCAATGTAAGTGATAGGGCATGCATGCAAAACCAAGGGTCGCTTCTTTGCTGGAATGTCTGATGCAGGCCTGGTGGGAGTCGCTTCCTACTCAGCCGACCCGTCATGACCAGAGCAAGATTGTGTCGGAATATAATGCCATCCACGTAATCGACTCTGTTCTCGCGGACTTCGGATTGGATTTGCTTCAGGGCATCATCTTTCGCGGCAGCTCCACAGAAAGGACTGTATGTCAGCTCAACGTAGGGGCTCGCAGGGATGCACTGCACCCGCAAAAGTGTGACGATGCCCAAGGTCCCTAAAGTTCCAGCAGCACCATAAAAGAGGTCTGGGTGTTCGTGTGGTGATGCGGTCACGATACGACCATCGGCAAGCACTATTTCGATCCAGTCGATCGTCTGCTCGAACAGCCCAAACTTGAAGCAGCTGCTATTCCCGGACGCTCCTGAAAATGCCCCGCCAACAGTGACATTGGGAAACTCCATGACAACCTTGGGCAGCAACCCGTAAGGAAGGACAGCTTGGACGAGGTCAAAGATGGTGACATTTGGTTCCACCAATGCATATTGCGCTTCCTTGTTGATCGAACATATTTTTGACAGATGGCTTATGTCGACGATCTGGTTGGGGTTAAATAGAGTGGGCCTTGTACAACTCGTTGTTTTGTGGTAGATTCGAAACCCCTTCTTGCGGAGGTGGAATGTCTTCACCTCAGATGCCAGGTGCTCAACACAAATGGCATGGCTTATGCGCTGGGATGCGAGCCTCTCTGTTTATAGTCAGCTAGTGGCCTCGTCAAGTATAGTGTCCGCCGGGGGGAAGTTTCGGACCAACCTTGACGATGACATCGTTGCCAGTGGAGAAATCGCAAGCAAAGAATGAGAGATAATCCGGAGAATACGATTATCAAGTGAGGGGTGGAAGCAGTCTGTAAAATTAAGAGCATTGTCTGCAGAGGGAAGGGCAATGCCATTGTGCGAGTGAGTACTATACCAGAGAAGATTGCTCAAGGGCAACGACAGCACCTCCCAAGAGCTGCTTTAACTCTATCTCGGTTTTCCAAAAAAGAAATACATTGGAATGCGGCTCTCTCTCTCTCTCCTCAGTGTGTCTGCCCTGCCGGTTAGCCATCGGGCCTTGCCGATGCAGTACTGACAGTAGCTGCAGATGATGGTGACAGTCAAGGATCGCCGGTTGCCCTATTCTGTAAGAACAGATGTCTTCGTCATATCAATACCGCGCCTTGCAAGACCCCGGGACTCAAATCTCAGCATTCAGGCCAGCCGCCTGGATGAAAGTGAGGCAATGCGAGGGCCAAACCAGGCGTTTTAGTTGGACTTGTGGGCCCATCGATCAGGCTCGCCCCACAGCGGCCCGCAGGGTTGCACCTTTCCTTGACCGGTTTAGTGGAAATGCTAAATTTCACCTACCGTGCCGTCCCGACTGCGCCTTGTTTGTACCTCCGCACTCTGCGTTAGTACGGAGTAGGTAGGTTCCCATGAAACAACGCATTCCTTCCACACAAGCGAGCGCCCGAGCAGCTAGCCCTAGTCTCTGTTAGGCATCAAGACTTTCCCGACCTCCAGACAGTTGAACCCGTTGTTCTTTGAATGTGATCAGGTGATAAGGGTGAGGGATCCATTCTGCAAGGCAGACACGATCACTTCCACCCTCGTAAGAGGCAGGAGGTTTTTTCATGGGACGCAGCGCCAAGGACCAGAAACTACATACAGTACATGCAACTGCCAAACAGCCTACAAATTTGGTCACAGCCTAGTACATCATCTCCAACCCTCTGCTCACAAGCCCCCTTTCGCCCCTTCGTCAAGACCACTTCAGGCTTTTCATACAGACCAGCCTAGGTCAATGTGACATCCTTCACCGAGCCTACCTCTTCAGTATGTCACCTTCGCACACTTCAACAATGCGTGAGTCGGATCCATGCTCCTCGATAAAAACATCAAGACCGAGTCCCATGTTCTTGGCCGACAAAATCATGTCAGGACGTCGACGGCATGTCCTGGTTACAATTGCACTGCTTCTGATCTTCGGATTCGCGGTTGACAGCATGTGGTTGCTTCTGCTGCGCAATAGCTACATGTCGACCCTGGCTCACATCAGAGACGTTGGACCCCGACACCTGCCAGGCTCTGATACGCCAATTCGCTCGCGATATTCGGGCATCCCTTTGTTGGATTATTGGTTTGCCGTCATGCAAACAATTCTGGCCAACGTAACAGATGGCAGCGCCCCAAGGCTTTCTCTGTATGCCTTTCACTTTGCAGGACAACTCGGCTCGATGACGACACTATTGATTATGGAGTCGATGCGAGTTGGTAACAAAGGGACCCTTGTCAGTTGGTGAGATACATCAATACCTGCCTTCCCTTGTTTCTTTTGGGCTCGGTGCCCCGGTATCTGAGACACTGACGTTTGCAAAGGTTTATGCCTTGGGGCCTTTTGATGACCGCATATGGCTACGCAGTGATCATGCCAGTCTATGGCATCGTGCATCTGTTTGTATCATCGACGACGTCGCCGTCATCGGAAAACGTGCAGGCAAAGCAGGAAATCCAGATTCCCGATCACATTGGACTGTACACGTTGCCTGCGGCTATTGTGCTGGGCTACGGAATGCCGGTGCTTCTCATGGCGCTCCCGATATTCACTACGGATTGGCATCAGCTATTTGTCGCTGGCTGGCATCTCTTTCCGATTTGGGTGGCTCTCTCCCATTTCCTCCTCAAACTCTTAGCCTCGTCTGTTTCCATTGGCCCCCCACTCAATTCCACCCCGAATCAGACGATGTCCAGCGCTACAGAGTACGACAAAACCTATCGCTTTACAAGAAAAAGAAGCCTCAGACGATCTTACAGAATCGCGTTCAGGTTATCTGCAGCCACACATGTCCTTACCATAATAATCATCGGTCTGGCCCAAAGATTTCCTTCATTATTTCCTTCGCCGCAAGATCAACCTATTTCGTGGTCGAGTGTATTCCTCCCGGATTACTGGCGAAGCACCACACCAATGCAGGATTTTGTACAGGGCACCTTGAACCTGCTTCAATACGACCAATATTCAGGTTCCCTGGCCGCCCTTACCTGGGGTGTCGGGGTTTACTGGCTCTCATTGCCTGAGAAACGTGATGTCATGGATTGGGTCTTCATGGCAATCGAAGTCACGGCAATCAGCGTGTGCTTTGGGCCCGCAGCAGCCTTGACGATACTGCTGTCGAGAAGGGACCAGCATCTGGTAAATCCATTTCCAGAGCTCCGACGTGGGCGGTTAACGTTCGTGTAAAGCTTTAACCATTTGTTAAGCGAAAGAGCTGCAAGAGGGAATAACAAGTGAGTCGATGAAGCTAAAGCCTGCCCGCAAAGTGCGACAATGTCGGGCACCCATCGGGCAACATAGAATTGCTTACTTGAATACGCAAATAAGGCGCCTCCGTGCTTGTTTCTCCGAGTATCGCGGGCGCAAGATCTATTGTACGCCTGTGATTGGACTGTCAGAGTCACCGGTTTGTAGGCGAGCCTCGAATTTCCGCCCTTGCATGGTCTAACACAGGGCACTGTGCATTAGTGCGTCAATGCTATTGGTGCGTCGTGCCAGCCACCTCACCCACTACCTGCTGGCGTTAGATTCCTATGCAAGCCTGTCACAAGGATCACATCTGTGGATAATGTTTGGCACAGAGTATCGCCCTGTGGTACTGCTTTGGACAAGCCATATAAGGATTTCCGCGTGGGAGCTCTGAGCCTCGTTGGCTTACCTCAACTAACGGCAAAACTCTTGTTTCGCAATATTATTCAGTTCTTTAGAGTCCCGCACGAATTATTTCCCCCAAGATATTGAACGTGACGATGGCCAGGTCCTTCAGATTTAAGGAATTTGTCCTGGTATGTCTTCAGCTCCTGCTAGGCTGTGCAATGAGTTTGCTGATCCGCTCGAATCCAGTTTCTGTCCAGTATCAGGGGCGATATCGCCAATGTGACAGCGCCTCCCTTCTTTCTCGCACCACAGTCCTTCCTAGAAGGCCTCAAGTGCTTTACAGAGCGTCCGGCATTGTTTTCGGCCCCTGCCCTAGAGACTGACCCGGATAAGCGAGCAATGCTAGTGGTGAAATGGTGGCTTTCCTCTCTGAAGGCCGCGTTCTACGTTGGACAGAACGACAAAGCTGGAATACGCAAGCCATTGAACCCATTCCTCGGGGAACTCTGGTTTGGAGACTGGCAGGACGAGACTAACAAGACTAGCATGATAGTCGAACAAGTTAGGTTTGTCTTCCTACTCGCCGGCGGTAAGACTAGTGTGGGCAAAGCGCTTATTGACGGCTGGTTTCAGTCATCATCCTCCCATCACCGCTTGCTACATGTGGGATGAGGAGAACGGGATTCGGGTAAGTTTAGAGCTTAGGTGTCTACGTCTGCAAAGGCAACTAACTGCAGCATGACAGGGCGAAGGTTACACACGGGTTGAGATGACATTCTCCGGCTTTCTCAATGTCAAACAGACGGGCCACGCAATCCTGCACATAGACAGGTACAACGAGAACCATTTGCTACCGTTACCGAGTTTCCAGGTGAGAGGATTCATGGGAGGACACCTGTACCCGGAAATCACAGCAACCTATCATGTTGTGTCGAGCTCTGGATTCACGACCGAGGTCCAATTTCTGGGCAGAGGGCTTTTCTCCGGAGTCAGAAATAGCTTTCGCGCCCAGATGTATCGAACCGACGACAAGGCCCGAACAGCGGTTTACAAATTCGAAGGTCAGTGGAACGACAAATTTGAAATATGTCACGTTCCGACGGGATCTTTGGAAATGCATACCGTGGATTCGTCGCCCTCAGCGACCACTTTGGGCAAAGACCTCTCGGACCAGGACCCCTGGGAAAGTAGGAAAGCATGGGCCAAAGTACACGAAGCGCTGCAGCAAGGCGACATGCAGGCAACCATCAAAGAAAAGTCGAAGCTGGAGCAGGCGCAGCGGGATATGCGGAAGAAAGAAAAGGCGGAGGCCAGAGGTTGGGATGCTCTCTTCTTCTCACAGATGGAAGACCAATATACCCTATTCCACGACCTGACCTCCAACGTCCATTGGCCCCTGCAGCCAGAACGGACCAAGGGAGTGTGGAAATTCGACCACGAGAAGGCAAGAGAAGCGTCGAGCCCCTATCGCAACGGGCTGACTCCTCTGGGTTGACGCTATGAACGATTTTCTATGACTTTGTGGATTAGGAACGGATCGCCGCGTGGGAGAGGAAGTACCTTGCCGATCTCCAGGCTGCTGGCCGAAAGGCTAAACAAGCCAGGTGTAGCAACATACATGCCTACCATGAGCAGCTTTCCTGGGACTCATATGCGGGACCCTGAACACTTTGGATGCCCTCTAACCCAAATAATCTCTCCGTAGCCTTCACGGGTCATTGCCTATCTGAATCGTCAATCATGGCTGATGTTATCCCGACCGCAGTCCCCTGATGGCTACGCTTATCCAGAGGCACAGTTTAGTATAAAACCCCTGGTAACATGCAAGGGCCTACCCTGTGGCACAAGATACTAATGGCGAACACTCTGTGTAGGACGGTAAAGGCAACCGTGGCACTTTGCACGGCCACAAATAGTTGAAGTCTATTGGGCCTCGATGCTGGTTATTTGTCCCTAGCATCCTGCCAACGCATTCGTCTGCTATTTTGCTTGGCCAACAACCTGGACAAAAAGGCAACCAATGATCCCGGAAGCGAGTTTTATTGACCGGGTTCAGGGCCCCCTAAATATACCTCTACGCTTTCATATGACGATCTTTACCGAGTCGAGATAGGAGCGAGCAAGCCTCACCCATGAAGGGCCAGCCAAATTATGAAACTGCCGTGCCTGTGGGTTTCCGGAACATGAGGCTCTTTGCATTGTGCAACAAACATGTTTGTTTGATCCACAAGGCCTGGTTTCACCGGGAAGGGTATCTTCATGTGAGCAAGGCTGCTGCTAATCTTGCCTCGCAATCTCCATGCTCAGCTCGTGGGACTTGGTTTCGAAACTGGCATCGCATCGGCATCTCAACAGGCTTCCACGAGCATCCAGTATTGATGACGGCCGCTAACGCTCACATGGTTCAGTCATAAAACGACGTGGCGATGCTTCCCTGCTGATCGACGACCAGGCAGAAGAGAGCCAGGCAACGAATAATCATTGGAGGGGCCCACCACTAGGGATAAAGCAGACATGGAGCTTGTTGCAACGAGGTTAGGCAATTCGGCAGGACTGTGATGGCCTTACTACGGGCACGGGATCGTGGAAGGTCGGCTCTACACCTCATCGGTCATGGCAATTCCCGGCTTTTTTTATGTTTAATGCTTCCTTGAGTTACTGCACACGTTATTGTTGTACAGTATGTCCCAAAGCACTCACATTCATTCACTGGCCGGCTCAGGGGGGCAAGAGGGAGCCGTCTGCGCCATGAAAGCCGGGGGCGACAGTTACATTCCTATATCTATGGCATTGGTACGGCGATGGCAAACTGCACACCGATGTTTCCTGTAACGAAGACCCATCCGATGGCAGCCCCAAATGAACCTATCCACGGCGGCTCTTCCACGTCTGGTCTTGACCTGGTCCATGGCTGGGTCGGGTCACCCAATATCCGTGGGACGGCCGACATCGTCAAGAGCTGTGTTGTGACGCTGGGACTCTGCAGCTGGTCCGTACTATGCTTGAACGTCCCTGATCCCACGGACACGGTGCGTCGCTGTGGTTTCCTCCGAGTGAAGCTATGGTGGACCATGGTGGCGTTGGTATTCCCCGAGGTCGTCACTGGCGTTGCTGGCGAGCAGTGGCGGGCCGCGACTCAATGCAAAGAAGACTTTGTCGCGATGGGTTTCGCAGACTGGTCGATGAGGATGGCCTTCTTCGCAAACATGGGTGGCTTCATGCTGAAGGCGCCCGACTTCCCCGAGTTCCCCATCAACGGCCAGCAGCTTGCATATCTCATCCAGCGAAAGTATGTGGCTCTACCCGACTCGATCGACTCTGCCATCCGAGACAAGAACAAGGCTGATGGCTTTGCCCGGATGGTCACCGTCGTGCAAATGGTGTGGTTCATGCTGCAGTGTCTGGGTCGCGCATTCCAGAGCCTGGGGCTCTCGACTCTCGAGCTCACCGTGGTGGCGAACATCTTCGGCACCATCTGTTCCTTCGCATTCTGGGCCCACAAGCCCCTCGACGTCGAGAGCCACGTCGTCCTGACCACGACCACACCAATGGCCACCATCCTCGTCGAAGCCGGCGACGTCGCCTGCAAGCCCTACTCACGGACTCCCCTCGACTTTGTCAAACCCGCCCGGACCCGACCGAACCTCACGACAACCTGCTGGCTGGGAGTGCAAACCATGTTCAACGCCGAACGCGATCCTCCCGGCCGCCCCATCCGCTCCATCGGCAACACCGAAACCCTTCCGGCGGGGAGCTACCACAAGTGGGACGTGTGTTTCTTCGTCCTGTTCCCGCTGCTCTTCTTCGGTCTGCACGGCGTGGCCTGGTGGTTCACTTTCCCGACCCCCGTCGAGGCGCTGCTGTGGAAGATCGCGACCGTGTCCCTCCTCAGCATCAACGTCCTGCACTACGGCCTCGTCTACACGTACATCTACCACCCGAAGGAGATCGGCATGGCCGTCGCCGGCCGCCCTACCAGGGACATCTGGGAGTTCTACGAGGTGGCTCCGCGTTGGCTGATCTACAGCAGCCACTGGTTCGGCATGTTGATCTACATGTTTGCCCGCCTGTACATCCTGGTCGAGGGGTGGAGTGGCCTGAGGAGCCTGCAGAGCCGACTGTACCGCAGTGTAGACTGGTCGAATTATATCCCCCATTACTGAACATGAGCAGTTTCTCTCTCTCCAGGAGTTTGGAGACAGAAGAGAAAAATAACAAATAGGGGATTTGTGTATTTAGAGTGACATAGAATTCTATTCTTCTCCATAGTCCTTGTCGTGTGCCGTGTCCCTCCCTGAGACGTCTTTATTCGTAAACCTGTACACCGTGCAAGAGTCGCTGTCGACAATACCCCCCTACTGTGTTGTCTTGACGCGGAACGGACACGCACCCTTCGGCAGCATCTCATCCTTCAAGTTCTGCGCGGCCTCATTCCCATCTGGCACCAGGCCTCGCGGACCGACCTCGCGCAGATCGTAGCCCTGAGGCAGGTAGGCGTCGCCGTGGTCACCGGGGATGGGCTTGCCCAGGGCCCAGAAGATCCAGGCCTGCAGGTTCCAGCGCGCCGCGAAGTCGTCCTTGACGTAAATGGGCAGCCCGCCGTAGATCTTGGTGTTGTAGCGGCCGTGAGTGTTGCTCGTGTCATCGATGTACCGCGTGCGCCACATTTCCGGGCGCGGCAGGGCGAGGTGGCGTAGGATGACGCGGCGGCAGGCGAGCACGATCTGCGTGAAGGTGTAGAAGAACTGGGGGGGTTTCTCGAGCCTGAGTTCAGATGAAGCAGAATTGGGTTGGTCAGCTGGTTAATCCTTTCCTGATCGAACTGGATTGGGAAGAAAGGAAAACGGGGCTAGGGGATGAAGGGGTGGGGAGAGAAAGGCAAACCGTACATGACTGCTTTCGTGAGCCGATCGTCCATCAGTGACTGGAAGGCACAATACCCCGTCGCCACGAACCTCTTGGGAACGGGCCATAGGATGTAATTGAGTGATGCACAGGCCAGCTTATGATTGTTTTCGTGAGGCACCATCGCCGTCTGCTCGTATGCTTCTCCCCATAGCAGAATCTCATCCAACCAGTGTGCACCGTCCTCCCAGCCTTGGTCACAACTGGGCAGCGCAGCGTAGTCTACGTGCATGGCGTCGCCCACGCCTTTCCAAAACGTCCCAATCGCCGCCTTCTCCATGGGCGTGAACTCGCGCCATTCGTAGCGGGAGATCCAGCGGAGTGGCTCGCCAGCGAACAGGCTGAGGGTGTATAGCATGTCTTCCTCGGAGATCTTGCCGGCTCTGCGGTAGGTGTCGTGGATACGGTTGGTGCGTGCGACGGCCTGCAGCCACCTGATCGAGGAGGGCAGGCTGCCCTCGATTTCAAACATCAGAACACCCGTATCGGCGAGGCGTTTCGGGATAATGTCCGTCGAGGTGAGCTGCTTGGTGGACACCAGGAGCGACGAGATAGATGGGATGCCATATGTCTGGGGCAACTGTCAGCTAGGCGGCCTGGTTCACTCACGTCGCAGCCAATCCACAGTGCGACTCCCCAAGCGTCTGCATACCCTGAAAAGTGCGAACTCCATGGAGTTGAGAAAACTGAACGGGAACTCCATCTCAGCCAGCTCGTGGTGAATGGATGCCGCATCTTCAAAGGTCATGGCCCCCATGGGCTTCACGGTGCCATAGCCAAAGCGGCAAAGCAGAGCGTCTCTTCTTTGGAATCGAAGCGCGCGAACAATCAGCAAATACGCAATGCACCCGATTGCAAGAGCTAGGCTCTGCGTCGGAGTGAGCGAAGTCATAATGGGTTGCCTTTTCCTTGGGTGGACAGAGGTGGGATCTGGTTCAGTTTGGGAAAAGAGTGTGCTAAAGTCAAGGGAAGAACCACGCCATCTGCCTCTTGGTTGTTTCGTGAAGGTGATGTGCCGTGAGTGCAGCCTCAGTGAGGCCAGCCTTGTAAGTGACACTGCTGGGCGCCCGACTCGGCGGGTTGGAGAGTTTCAGGGCGACTAGGTGAGGTTAGTTCAGGTTGGTGAGGTTAGCGGTGCCCACAGTTTTACTGCCTGGGCATCGGGGGCGGGAGGGGAGGAAGTTAGTTTTAGGGGGGGGCGTGTAGGGGGCGTGGTTGCCTTGCTGCGGGCGCTAATACTGTATCTACTGTATTAGATTACTGGTAAGCTTAAGGGACCCTTTAGGCGTCCCCGCGGCTCCTTTTCAAGTTCTTGCTCCTTGAGGTTTAGCACTTTGACAACCACGACCTTATCAGATGTTGCCCATGTCTCCCATTACTGGAAGTCTTTCATTGACAGCAGCGCTCGTAACCCCAAGAGAATAGTGGTTCGCTCAACTACACGATGTAGGGGCCAAATCGACCGGGGCACAAAAGCCTCAAAGTGGTTCTCCTGCCGTTCACTCGTCAGGATGGTTATGATTAAGGCGGCGGGGTGCCGATCAAAAGAGGAAAGTGTAGGCAAACGCCGAGGCTTGTGTCCTTCTATCTTCCGTCCGTGGTTCCGACTTCTTCATTCGTCCATATCACCATTCTGCACGTATTCGTCGCTGGCATGGTGGATAGCTCTGCAGAGTCAACGCCACGTCGAAGGGTCCGCACCGGTTGCTTGACCTGCCGAGGGAGAAGGCGCAAATGTAGGCAAAACTCGGATTCTGGCCTCGAATATATAAACCCCCCCCCCCTGACTGCATGCTAACGGGGCCTAGGTGATGAGGGCAAGCCGCAGTGTCAAAACTGCCGCACCAAGAACCTTCACTGTCGATATGGGCTCAACATCACCTTTGTCGGTTCCAGGAAGAAAGGAGGTGACGAAGCAGAGAGAAACAGCATACACTTAGCTGGCACATCCCGTAATGACCTGCAAGCTGAGCAGGCGGTAGCAAGCTCGCTGGAGCTAAGTTCTCGAGACGAGCATAGACTTGCAGACCAGACCGTCATTGAGCCTTCTCAAAGCGCGTCTCAAACCCAGACTCTTTCGGCGAACCTTGGTGACGCCGGGAACCTTGTCCTGGATCACCGTCCTCCAAAAAGCCCGGCTCGGCTGTTTTCTGGCAGAGCTTTCGAGCCGTTCCGTCAAGATATTGATTCTTCCCTCACTTCACCTTCCAGCACCAGAGCTTCTCGAGCATGGGACAACGAAGCGCGCCGCGAACCTGACTCGGCAGATGGGCTTATTCTCCCATCCCAGCCTAATGTCCTGGATATCTTGATATACTACCGATACAATACGGCTGTCCAGATAGACCTTGGTGTCGGGGAAGAGTACTTTGGTGTTCGAGTTTTACATCGAGCCGCTCACTGTCTGAGAGTCCAAAGAAGCATTCTTGCCCTTGCAAGTTACCAGCGAGCGTTCAGTGGCTCTTTTCATCGGCCAGACGAAGAAATTGCCAGCTTTGAATATGCTACAGCGGCAGAGGAGATCTGTGAAGAGACAGACGAGCAGGAGGACATCCTAGTTTCTCAGTCTCTTCTGACACTGCGCAGCATGATCATCAACTCGCCTCATCAGTGGGAGAATGATGTTCAAGGTATTTGCGGAGCCCTTGCTTCCGTCCCCACCGGCGAGTTCGAAGAGCTCTGGCATCTTGTTGCACGTCTTTGTCTTGCAGCAGGATTGATGGCAAAACACACATCACCCGTGGTGAGCTTGTCCTTCCTGACGCGGAGTACTGTCCCGATTTTTGCAGGACAACAGATATCCAAGAAGCAGCAACTCGGACAGATTATGTCCATTCTCGAACGCACTCTACCTCTGTCCTTCTCCCTGAATCGGCACCAACTCACGAGAAATGTACCCGTGGCTGCGGAATGGCAATCCTGCTGGAGCAACTCTCAACTGTGGTATGCGACACGCAGCGATGACATGCAACAAATTCTTGGAGTCGAAAGCCCAAATGGGTCGCACGACGATGTTGGCTGGACGGTCCTGGGGTTCCCAACCCTGATTTTCAGTAACGCTTGTGCCCTGGTGGCGAACATGGTCTATCATTTGACCTCCCTTCTCCTTCTACAGTACAAACCACGGCTGGTTAAAGCTATGACAGACGGCGGTTCATCGACGTCTGCGCAGTGGCATGCGCTCAGGATCATTGGAATGGTTTCCTCATCCGATAGCAGCTCTGTGTGGAATCCGTTGGTGGCCGCTGCTGTCATCCGTGCCGCGCAGAGTCTCAGCCACCCTTCCCAACTTCGTGCAGTCGCAGACCTGTTACGTGATGCTGTCAAGTCTAGCGGGATGAATCTGCAAGAAGAGATTCAAAGGCTGGAAAGTGTGGAATATGCATTTTGATACTGCAGCACGTACTCACATTTGTATACATACATGTATTCTTCTCATGATTTATCCCAAGGGGAGTTATTTTTGCTCTAAATTTTATGCAGTATTTGCAAACATCAACCTCTTCATCCAGACCGAACTTACCTATTGGCAGGTCGTCGCGAATTAAACTCGGAGTAAGTAAAGGGCTTATAGGCATCCCTTAACTGGGTGCCACAGGCTCTAAGCCTACTAGCCTGGTAGCCCCTGTCGAGTATGCCTAATACTGTGCCTCACCAGCCTAACAGACGCTAATAACTTCCTGTCTAGGCCGGTCCGGGAACCACCTCCGGGAGGCTCGCGAAACTTGCCTGGGACGAAGATGTACCTTCAGCAGGCATGACCCGGCACGACTCACGACTCAGCGCGTGTGGAGATGTGGTTCATGCATGGCAGTCAGAGCTGCCATATCAGGGCTTACCGCTGAAGATGGACTCGGAATCCGCGGCCTTACATTTCATCTCCCCCGGAGCCCTGTCGAGTGAGAGTGTATTCGACGAATACGCCGCAGACCCGCGTTTCCAGCGGCTCCAGACAGAGCTGCGATCATGGCTGTTCGTGGGGGCGCGGAGTGGTGGCACGACCAGAGCCCACAGCGTGACCGCTGGGGAGGATGACACACTGACGGACCGGACGAAACCAGGCCACCACTACTTTGGCGAGCAGGTCTTCAACTCTGCCCAGGAGATCCCGGTCGAGAGAAAGCTCAAGTACCTCAAGGTTTGGATTACCGACTGCGCTCCGTGGCTGGACATGTTCGATCAAGAGCGACATTTTGGTCTCCAGGTCCCCATTCTGGCTCAAGGTTCTTCTGCCGTCTTCAACGCTCTCCTCGCGGTCGGGGCAAGGACTGCAGAACGGCAAGGTAACATTGCCGGCTTCCGCGACAGCCTCGGACTCTACTCTCAGGCCATCTCCTCGCTCACCTCTTCCCTCAACACCAAAGAACCTAACGTGGTTGTAGCAGCCTGTCTTCTTTGCGTGCTGGAGATGATGAGTGTCAGTCCTCGCGACTGGAGGAAACACGTCGAAGGCTGTGCGGCTTTATTTGTCGCCTCGGGCATCAATGGCTTCTCCGGAGGCCTGCTCCAAGCTGTTTTCTGGTGCTATGCTCGAATGGATCTCTGTGGTGCCATAATTGCAGACGGAGCGGAAAGCACTGTTATGCCTATTGATAAGTGGGCCTTGCTGTCAACGATTCCTCCTTCGCGGTCAGACGCCCTCCGCGAGATCAAAGCCGTCTTCTGGGAACAAGGTCGACGAGTGCCTGACATGTATGCGAACTATGCTGTATACCTGTGCGCGAGGACCTGTGATCTGCTGTCCCGCCACATTCGCTGCGTTGAGTTGGGTGAGGAGAATGGGTGCATCGGAGAGTCCTTTGAGGGTGCATGGAATGATCTCTGGACAGATTTACAGGAGTGGTTGTCGAAAAGACCACAGGCAATGCTGCCCGTGGACATTGAGGCGAGCAGCGCCGAAAAAGGTCCGTTCCCACATATCTTCTTTGCGCACTGGGCGGCGATATCCAGTACCCAACTCTACCACACCGCATGCATTCTCCTGCTCGACATCAAGCCCAGCACCGAGACCGAGATTTATCGAAGTACCTATTACTCACGTCTATGGCATGCACGAAGGATCGTGGGCATATCTTTGACCAATCCTCACGCGGGATGTATCAACAACGCAATTCAGCCATTATATGTCGCAGGAAAGCTTTTCACACACCCCGACGAGCAGAATATTATCGTCAACCTGATCGACTCAATCGAAGCTCGGACCGGGTGGGGCTCTCGTTGGAGGATCAAAGACCTCAAGGCGGCATGGGGCTACCCTCGCGGAGCGTGACTGGGATAAGGACGGTCTACAAGAAACAAGAGGGCACAGACTGCCACAAGGGCACCGACTGCCACAACAATCTGTTCAATCCAAGTGAAAGCAGCGTGATGTACCGCAAGGGTAGCTGTTACATTCGGCACCCCAGAAAAGCCGAATTTGGCCTCCAGATGCCGCCCACATTGGTCACCTAGGCAGAGCCATGTGGAGGCACTCCAAGCGCCCGCAACGTGAGCGGTAGCTGCTGGAGATTTCCTGGCTTTAGCCAGTCTGTCTCCTTTCCTCGGGAGATAGAAAGACATCCACTGTTGAGACGGTCTGATATCACCCTCACTGTCAAGCATCTGCTCGTTCAGCAAGGCCGAGGGTCAAGGTCAGGCTGCCAAGAGGAGAATTGAGGTTTCGTCAACTGTTTTGATGATCACGACAAGCCAGAAGTGTATGGTCATTGAAAGCTTTAGACGATCTTTGTGTGGAAACCCTCCTCCATTATAGAGAAGTCTTGTGGGCGGGGAGATGGACGGCGGAGATGATACGATATGCCAGCTGAAGAAGATGACGAAGCAGTCCTTGCCGTTACTTGGGCCTCAAACCGACTGAGCAACAGGGCATGAGCAGGGTACATGTGTACATAGCTCGCCAGGTAACTTAACGAGTTGATCCCCTCTTCTGTTATATTTCGTGGGCCGTGATAGCCTTCACTACTAGCCTGAGACTAGGGCAGCACCATCTCCTTTCCCAATGCGGGGTTAGGCATTACTTGCCTTATTCGGAACATCAACATCACCTGCTCTTGCTCGCCTGCTCTGTCCAACACCCGCATCCATCTTACACCCACAAGAACTCAACATGACCTCGAGGCGATAGCATAGTTCTCTCTGCCCAAGGCCGTCCACCCAAAGCCTCCATCATGGAGCCGCACTGCGAAGAAATCGCCCGAATCAGCTACACCAACTTCGCACTGTCTCTGTTCGTAACCATCCTGGTTCTTCTGTCTCTCTTCTTGCCCTCCACGTCTAACCCTCGGCTTCCCACAGGTTGATTCTTGTCGGCATCCTGATATCTTACCTCCCGCAACATATCCGCATCATCCAGCTGCGCTCCTCCTTTGGGCTGTCCCCATACTTCGTCCTGCTCGGCACCACCAGCGGCACCTGCGCCTTCGCAAACATCCTTGTCCTTCCAAGATCGCGAGCCGATGTCGCATGTTGTCGTGAGGTGGATCAGTTTGCCTGCGTTGCTGGGCTACTAGGGATTCACAGGTGGGCGTACAGTGGTCTTGTTTTGGAGTGATGTGAGTTCGTCCGTCCAACTTATAATACAAGTCCATCTCGGGACTGGGGCGAGACACTGACATGGACAATCTCTAGTCTCCTCTTGTTCCTGATCTTCTTTCCTCGCAACCAACTCCCCTCTGCACCTCCTGAGGAGGACGTCGCCGACGGCCTCGATGCCAATCCTCCCGACTATTCTGCCACGTCAGACACCCCTCCGCCATCCCCTGTGAAAGAGACCGCGCCCCTCGCTCCATCCTATCGTACAGCTCTCGTCGTGGTCGCAATCTGTGTCTTGCACGCCGCAGTCACAGCAATCTTATCGTTCTATTTTATATACGCTGCCCCCCGGCATGCACAGTCATGGGCCAATTTCCTGGGCATATTGTCCACCGTCCTCGCGAGCATCCAATATTTTCCTCAAATATATACCACGTTCACCCTCAAGAGAGTGGGAAGCCTGAGCATTCCAATGATGTGCATTCAAACCCCCGGCAGCTTCGTTTGGGCCGGGAGTCTTGCAGCAAGGCTGGGCCCGGAAGGATGGTCGGCATGGGGTGTTTACCTGGTGACCGGTTGTCTGCAAGGCACTTTGCTGGCCATGGGAAGCTATTTCGAGATTGCCCGGAGGAGGAAAGAGAAAGAGGAGTTGAAGAGGCGCATGCAGTACGATCTGAGCGCAGAGCCCGAAGAAACAACAGAACAGGAGGCATCGGAAGAGACGCCATTGCTTAGATCAGGCTGAATACCGGAAATGATCATTTTATGCCTGCCTTTTGCACACCTGCAATGCTTTGTGTTTGCTGCCCTTCTTTTGTTTTTTGATTGAAACTCTCAAGACCAATTGTGATCATAAGCTTGTCCTGGGGACCTGTGGAGGCGATGGTTCCTCCGGGGCGTGGCGTTTACCGTCCGCCAGCGCTGTCATCTCCTCCAACTCTTTGTCTGTCATACCGTCGACAGTGGGCCGGTTGTTTGCCGAGGCGTCTCTCTCATCGCCAACTTCAATCCCGTATTTCGCGAAATCAAACTCCTCCAATGAGGCCAGCAGCTCTGCCCATCCGTCCATGAGCTCCCCTGGGTAGCCGGGACTGCCCGCGAGAGGGACACCCTCGGTGTGATCTAGGTCGTCCTCTTTATGCTCGCCAGTCTGCCCCGCCAGAACCTCCTCTTCTCGCCCGGTGTACACGTCGAGCAACCCCGGATGTGGCACCCACACTACCCGCATGCCTGCCCTTCTGCCCGCCTCGACTCCAGGCACGCTGTCTTCAAACACAAGACACTCGTCCGGCGTGATCGGTCTTTCACCCTCGCCCTCCACCATCAGGGTGTCGTTGATCGTCTGCAAGGCCAACAGGTAGATATCTGGCAACGGCTTCCCTCTCCCCTTGGGTATCCGCGGATCGTCACCCAGGATGACATGTCTCTGAGGGAAGACGCTAAACAGGTCTTTCATGTTCTTGGTTTTGATCTCAAAGTTTTTGGCGTGTGAGCTCGTTGCCAGCGCGAGGTGGACCCTCTTCTTGTTTGCCGGGTCCGGGGAGACGGACGCCCCGTGGCTACTCTTTGCATGCGCCCGTTGCAGCTTCCGCAGCAGCTTCTCTACGCCCGGCAGGGGTTTGCAGTTCAAAAAGGCGTCGGCCTGTAACTCGGCCTGCCGGGTCAGAAACTGCTCGCGCGAGATGGGCAGCTGCGCCCACTCGTGGAAGATCTTGCCCGCCGAGTGAGAGGGTCGACCCTGGAGTTGTGCTTTGATCTTCCAGGGCAGGTCGGGCCGGCCGTTCTCCCGCAGGATCGTGTTGGTGACCACGGTGTAGGCGTCTTCGGAGTCGATCAGGAGGCCGTCCATGTCGAAAATGCAGGCCCGGACGGGCGGGAAGCTGGGTGCGAGACGTGCTGGTTAGTTCCTTTTCATGCGAGTAGGGAATCAATCAGACGTAGGCAAGAGCTCTGAGGACAGCAATGGGCAAAGGTAATACGTACTCTCGGGGTTGCTGCATTGAAGCATTGGTCTCGGGTGCCATGTTTGAATGGAGGGGTATACCGAAAACGACAGTAGGTGGTCTGGAAGGAGAGAGAGAGAGAGTTCGGTCGAGGATTATTACTATTATCTGGATGTAGATTTCCAGTGGTTCGTCGACACACCCACCCCTGCATCGTCCCCGGTTTTTCCAGCCCACGGATCTTGGATTTGCCCGTCTATCTCACCCATCAAGGTTGAGTTTTTGGTGGGGGTGTCCAGATTCCCTAGCCGAACACGAGCAACGTGCAACGTCATCTGTTCTGTGGAGTCGCATGGACAATGCAGCCTCGTTTATTTTTCTTATTCTGCGATGTTAAAAACATAGAATCAGCCCAGCATTCCCCCTAGAACTGTGTATATCCCTGACACACACAGAAAGAGAGAACCCAAATCCATATCAGACATGTCCTTGAAAGCAGATGGACCCAGAGTTCGCCCCGAGCGAGTAAAACCACCGCCACCTTCTTCTCCTCCCACCGAAGCACATCCCAATCCGCCATCATGGTCCCGCCGCTCCTCGACCGCGTCCACGACCTCGTTCCACTCCGCCCACTCGGTGCAGCTAGACCGCTTCTCCCCGGCCGAGGAGTCTCGCATGCTGTCGCGCTCCAACGACCTGAAATCCCAAGCCAACACCCTCTTCTCCCGTCAAGACTACGAGTCCGCCATCCAGACCTACGACCGCGCATTGGCGGAACTGCCGCGGTATCTGGACTACGAGAGGGCGGTGCTGCAGAGCAACATCGCGGCGTGCCATCTGAAGCTTGATCAGTGGAAGGATGCAGTGGACTGTTGCGAGAGAGGCTTGGACGGTTTAGAACGAGAGTTGCCGACGAAGAAGAAAGAAGTGAAGGCCAAGAAAAGGACAGGGAAGGGAGCTGGAGCAAAGAAATCGTCCTCAACGGCACACACCAATGGCAAGAGTCGGAATGGACGGTTAAATTCAGACTCTGAGTCGGACGACGAAGGGGCGTCACCGGCACAGTCTGCAGACCAGGCGGTACAGGACGACACCGTCGTCGAACTCCCCTCGGACGAGGAAGACGAGACCGCCGCACTGAACAATCTTCAACTCTCAGATACGAGGAAAGCCGACATCACACGAATACGGGTCAAACTCCTGCTGCGCCGCGCCCGGGCGAGATCAAACATGTCCCTCCTCCCACCTTCGTCGTCAACAGCAAAATCATCAGCCACATCCGACCTGTCCTCCACCACGTCGGCGTCAAAAGCCTCCTCCGCCCCCACCACCTCCGCCTGGTCCAACCTCAGCTCCGCGCTCGAAGACTACAAGACCCTCTCCTCCACGCCCCAATACTGGGAGACGCTGCCGGCCTTCGACAAGAGGACCGTCCGCGACGCGCTGGTCCTGCTCCCGCCCAAAATCGAGGAGGCCAAGCAGAAGGAAGTCAGTGAGATGATGGGCAAGCTCAAGGATCTGGGCAACGGCATTTTGAGGCCGTTTGGGCTGAGTACCGACAACTTCAAGGTCGTCCAGGGCGAGGGCGGCGGATATAGTCTGAGTTTCGACGGGGGAGGGAAGAAAGGGTGACGAACCAAGCAAAGGGGGTCCATGGAAGTGGAGTGAGACGGAGAACAATGCTTGCTGCCTTTCAAGACGAGGATACATGACGAGAGCGAAAGCGATTGACACAGGTCGCCCATGACGCCTGCTACGTGATAATGACTACACATGCCACATCCGATAACACATATAATGATAATCCTCATAATATCATGCAGTGGGATCCATTTTCGCTCCAGAGTGAGCTACTTACTTGCTGTAACTCTACTTACAGCATCTGTTTTCACAATATCACAATGCGGAATTGAACGAATCTTTGCAATGTTTGTATGTATGCATGCATGCATGAATTCTTGCTCCGGCCACTCCCTCAGTCACTCACTCGCTATAATAGTAAGTAGGCTGAGCACCAGCTCGATGTCCAGGCAGATAGGTAGGTAGGCAGGCAGGTCCATGTTAGGACCCTTTTTGATCCATCATCACCATCACCAATCACCATCACCAGTTGTCCAATGACGATCTGCATTGCATTGTATGTAATCTGGAAAAAGCGACACACCACACCCATCCACACACACACACACACACACACACACGAGATCCCCTCTTCCAGTACCTGAATTATCTCCCCTGCTGTGTGGCTGCCGTGCCTTATCCAACCAATCCCCGTCTTCTTCTCTCTGCATCAGAAGAAATTTCTGGCCGGGCGGGATGTTGGTAGTGGTGGTGGTGGTATGTAGCTCTGTCATTGAATCTCCTCTCTATCTCTCTCTCGGTCTTTCCCCCACAGTGACCGCGCAAGTAAACACTGACCCTTAATCCATCCCTGTCATTCCTACCCCTACCCCTGTCCCTTGCTTTGCAGACCTTGGAAGGACCTGCCTTCGAAAGCGCCACCCTCCCCCCCCACCGAACTCGAAACCCACACATTTCCCATTGTGCATACCGTCGCCGCTGGCTTGGATGTGTATTCGGACCGCCATACTCTCCGTGTTGAGAGAAAAAAAGACAAAGCATAAAGAGAAGAAGAAGAGAAAAAAAAGGATATGGAGTGCATTGATAGCCCACAGTGCCTTTGTCTGTTGATTGTTGTTGTCTTTGTCGCCCATCTTCCAAAACAAAAGAAAGAAAAAAGAGACAGACCAGGCTCGCAGGAATAATGCATTGTCGCATGCATGCATTGTGGTGAGAATGAAGAAAATGATGCGTTATACCAGCCCTGTATTCGTTGCTGCGCAGCGAGGATGGCGACGACCACGTGTGTCCATACTCTTTCACTGATGATGTGTCCGTACAGCTGGAAGCTCGATTAACAGGACCTTGGAAAGAGAAAGAGACGACGAGAGTCGTCAGAGTGGCTGGGTTGGTACTGAGTCCATGGCCACACGGGTGTGGGAAGACGGAAGACGTGGTTCAGTCAACTTCGACTTCGAAGTCTCCGTCTTCACTCTCGGACTCGGTCGATCCCCCGTGTCGATTTGCGTGTTGTGCCTCTTCATGGGCAAGGAGATCGGACATGCTCATGTGGCAATTTGGTCTCTCCGTCTTGTTGAAGCCGTCATTGTCGGCGAAGGTGGTGGCGGCATCGGTCAAGGCGTTCAGACCGGAGCTGAAGCTGTCGTTCCACTGTGGATCCTCGTTGGCGGAGTACGACACGAATGGATCGTGCGAGACGGTCGATGCGGCGGTGTGATAGCCATTGTGGATGCTGTAGTTCTCCTGCACCGGCTGGCTTAGCCAGCTATGTGATGAGCCATGGTCACTGGAAGCCACGGAGCCAGCGGGACGGGAGGATGCTCGGGACACGGATCGGGGGCTGGGGGTGGACGGCGTTGCATAGAAGCGGGTATCAGAGGTCGTGGCATAGCTTGGTGGTGTGTACAATGGTGAATGCTGTTGCGTGCCATTTCGCTGCATGGACGATGGTGTCTGCATCCTCGCATGTCCATTGTTCGGCGAGTATGGTGGACGGCGCGGATTACCAAACATTCCTAATGGAGTGCCACGACGAGATGGGCTGATGTTGTACACGTCGTTGGGATGCGGCAGAGGGGTTGCTGGAAGACCCTGTGCATGGTGGGGCCGATACAGCGTTGGTGGTGCCATGGACATGTTTGTAGGAGCTGATGGTGGATGCAGATAGGGAGGCGAGGGTCGTGTGGGAGTGGCCACAGGGTGTCCAGCTGTACCAGGCGCCGTTGTGGGCATCCGAGGACGGCGCTGGCGACCCGGCTTGACAGAGAAGTCATCGTCATCGCTGTCCATGGGCTCTTTAACCTTGACACGTTTGGCTTGTCTCTTGTCCTCGGCCTCAGCCTCCTTGCCTCGCTTCATGACTCGGGCCTTGAGGCCATTGAGTTTGCGATTTGCCTCGACACGCTCGGCGTTGGTCTTGGGGTCGTCCACAACTTTCAACAGGTACTTGACGTCGAAGAGGTGCTTGCAGATGGTCTTCGAGGTCGCTATGGTCTCCACAAGGCTGTCAAAGCGCTCTTCGAAGGTCCAGTCACTCGTTCTCTTGTACTTGAACTTTCCCGGTTCCCATGCGTCCACTAGGTTGGCATCTTTCTTCGAACGCTCGATGCACGCCTCCAACATCTCCCAGCAGAGACATTCGACAAGATAGTTGTCATGGACCTGGTTTTTGAAGGGGCGCTTGATTGCGTCTTGGCAGTAACACTCGTCGGGAACGCATTTGAAAGCCTTGAAGAGGACTTTGACATGGGCTCGCTGCTGGTCTTGAGTTGTCGGGATGGTGGTGTCTGTGCCTCGTTTGTTGGGCAGTAGAGCCTGACGGAACATGCGTGCCTGCAGGACTGTGTCGAAGATGGTGTCAAGGTCCTCCTCCGCGTCGGTGACCATCAGGTCTGCGGACTTGGCAAGATCGTCGAGGGTGCTGTTGACGTACTCGGAGGCTCCTCGCTGTGATAGCGGGATCTGTTGGAGGACTTCGAGAACGGAGCGGACCGCAGCTTCGGTGCTGCATCTCTCCTGGACATCCGGGCAAGTGGTTGGATCGTGCTGACCAGGCTTTCGGCGAGAGGCCATATTTGACTAAGTTAATCTGGGTTGTGGGGCAATGGGATAAGATCTGGTTTGGGAGCAATAGAATTTGAAGATGATCAGTTACAAAGTGAGATTGCAAGATGTGTGTTGGGAAAATATTAAAACTTACACATCACTATGCCAAGGCACACATATTTATATACGGGGAGGGGGAGGCAGTCCAGCATGGCGGGACAGGTGACTGTGCGGCAGTATTTCTCGACTTTGTCACTAACTGCCTTCTTGACATGTGAGAGGCGGTTGGAATCACCGGACATACCTTGTCACTCTGGGTCTTGTCACTGATTGAAACAAAGACATGTTCGCCCTTCTGAAGTGAAGTGAAGGTACAGCCGAAGCCATCCGATGTTCAGCCACGTTCGGATGTTCAGAAAGAAGTGTTGTGACAAGGCGATGGTATCGTTACCGGCTGTGTCAGACTCGTTGGCGCATTGTCGGCACAGCTCTCCCATACAAGGAGACGTGCGATCAGCCAGTCCCTGTCCTGTGATCTTTGCCTGAATCGATATCCTGCTCTTCTACCGTGCTCCATTGGGTCATGGGAGACGGGTGCACTCGAAAATTGTCCTGGCCTTCCTGAAAGGATCGAAGTCTCACCGTGAGTACAGAACAGGCCGAGTATGTCAATCGGCCACTCCCTCAGCTCCAGCTGGAGTCAGTATGTGACTGACAGCAAAATCCAGTGCTTGCTTACCATCTGGGACATTTCCTGGAAATTTCCTGATGCGGTGGTTATCATTGAAGGTCCAACTTCCCATCGCAGGCTGGTGGCGGGTAGGCTTGTTGACAGGAGAAAACTGACTGTTTCGAGGTCTCGAGATTTGGCTTCTTGGTGATTGATCAACAAGGAGCTCGGAGATTGGCTTTATTGGGCTTGTGAAAACCAGGTCTGTGTTCTGTGAGGGTGATAACAGCCGCAGTGAAAGACAAAAGAAAAGGACATGGTGCGATTACAAAGGAACCTTCACAAGACTGAAGATATGGCCAGTCCAGTGGAGAGAAGAGTGGGCGAATGCGAGAAATGCGGTAAAATTCATGCGCAGAAACAAGACATAAGTTAAGAGGAAGATACATCGTCACTTCAGCTCGGGGTCCTGCGCGCGAGAGGTTCGTCGTTGACGAGCTCGACACATCTGCTGAAGCTGACCCAATGGAGGGAGGGTAAGACATCAGTCATTTCACAGTGTAAGCTATGCATTTAGCTGAATGTCAGTACACCAGAGCAGGTAGAGAAGGAGAATGCTGCTCCCTTCGTGAGAAGAGATACAAAGCAAGAGAGAAAAGGGGTTGGGACGAGCGGTGCATGAAGCACTACTTAGTCTTGCGACAGTAGGCCATTCAGAGCTTTTGGGCTGCAAATTCCAGCTTGCCACAACACAGGTAGTGGAAGCATCGACAGGGAGCAGCGAGCAGAAAGGAGAAAGGAGAGAGGAGAAAGGACGTCAGAGTGAGGCCAATCACCATTTCTCCGCTAGTCCACTCCCGGTATTATTATGGCGTCGCACAACGACCCACCTTCGACAGCAATGGATGCGATATTCAACCAGTTCAACAAGATCCCCCAGCTCTCGTCTACACAACATCATCAACGTGTTTGCTGGTGAGGGCAATGGCACAAGTACCTGCTGCCGGGACATTTCCGAAGAAGCTATATAAGTTGTACAAGTCGTTGAGCGACGAGAGGCGCCGCAGATAGACTTGGCAATATGGATCTGTGTCCATCGTTGGCAACAGCAATACATCATAAATGCCAGATTTTCAAATTGTAATCCATCATTTTCTCTTCTGCTTGCGCATCTTTGTCCTCCATGAGGAGATGCCGTTGGCCAGATGAAGTGGCAAGCACGCCACCTCCGTGATGAACGACAGCACTCGACACAGCGTCTTTGCAGGATATTAGCAGGGACTTTCAATGTGTGGGAAGAGTCATGTGCTTACCATCGTGGCCCTTGAACTCGAAGGTCGGTGAAATCGGGCCTTCCTTACGTTGAGGATCCTTCCACATCCTGACGAGGCCGTCAAGACCGCCGGCCCATATTTCATGAGCCACCTCATCACCTGTGCGGACAAGGTCAATACCCAACCGTTGATTGGTCATGGCTGCTCGACCCTCCAGCCACGCCAGAAGCTGGCCGGTTTTACGGATATCATAGAGCATGGCACCGTTGCTTTTCCGCTCAACAATGTAGAGATATCTTCCGCACGGACTCCAGAGGACCTGCGTTATCCCCCCTCCACCAATTTGCAGGTCAGCGCCAGTGCCTTTGACGGAGAAGACGCCAACGCAGTCTCCCTGGCCCAAGGAATCATACAAGCCAACATAGCGGCTGTAAGTCCCAGCGGCCAGAAGGCCGGTTGAGGGCTCAACGGAAAGCGCAGACACGATCCCGCGCATGTTGACCGCGCCATTGTACTCGACCACCTTTCTCCATCTTGGTCCCGTGGGGATCGAAGAGATCGGTTCCTGTCCTGGACGGGCCACATCAAAGACCGAGATCAGGGATTCCGAACCGGCAACGATACGATCACCCTGACTGCTGAACAGCAAGGAATGGGGACTGATGAACTCCTCGGTCATGGGATTGACTAGTGGATAAGACGCCCCTTGCTGGCCAGTTAGAGCCGAGTTCAGCCGAATTGGATGATCTCTCATGGACGACAAGATCAATGTGGTGGCAGGATCCTGCAGGTTGAAAAATGGATATCCGACCACAGCCTTGACAGATTCTGCCGAATGGATGCTGCAATACGGGGAGAGCGTTCGTGGCTCAGGTGCTTCTTCAAGGAGGTCGACTGGTCTATATTCTGGATTAACAGTCTGTAGACTGGAAACGCGGTATGCACTCACACGACAAAGGTATCGATGGCATTGCTCGAGCGGTTGGCAATTAGACAAGTTCCATCGGCACTCCTAACAATCGTTAGGGATGTCATTGTCTGCATGAAGCAGGTCGTACTGACCATTGAACACTCTTGTAGTAACTCCTGGAAACGGCAACTTGGAAATCTTCTGGCACCCCTTCAAGGGGGGACTGAGAGGTCGTAGCCACACATTTCGGCCGAAACATTTTCCTCCCAATGCTTCTGTTGGCTTTGTGCCTATTCGGGTTTGGGGAGAGGGTTATTCATAATGACACAGCCGTTCCACGAGGGAGACACTGGAAGTAGTCGAAGGAAGCGAATGGATTCGGGAGTACATTTTCCGAATCAAACTGGAAACGGCTGCAGTGGTGGAGGAGGAGGAGGCTGCGATGTTGACAATTGACAAAGAAGCACACTAATGCTCCACCGTATCTACCATTTAGCTTGTACGGCGGGTCACGGAAGTTGAGCCGCACTTCTGCATCGCGCATCGCGTCTTTCAGGCTCAAAGAACTTCGCTCTACGAAATCACCATCAGCGCGCTCAACACTTCAACAGACATAATGTCGCTCTTTGGTGCTCCAGCATCAAAACCTACGTTGAACTTGGGGACCAGTACTGCTACGTCGGCTCCCCTAAGCTTGTAAGTGACCTCAATGGAACCTAACGGCGTTGTTTGCCCAAGTGCTAACACAGTCTGCACAGAGGCCAGAATACAACGACTCAGCCACCAGCGAACACCCCCGCGACAGGCGCATCCTCTCAGCCCCAGATAGATATCGCTCACCTGCGCTCCACCACGAAATTTGACCAGCTTACGCCCGACCTGCAGCAAGAAATCGAGGCGGTTGACACTTTCATCCTCAACCAGATCAAACTCGCCTCCGAAGTCGCAGACCTTCTTCCAACCGTGGTTGCCGCAGGCGAAACGCTACCTAACGGTGTGGATTTTGTGAGCCAGAAGCTGGACGAGGTGGAAGCTGGGTTGGGCAACGATGCTGAAGCGATTGTGGCCGCGAGGGACGGTGGTGTCAAAAAGAACGAATTGGAAGCAAAATGCGTTTTCAGAGCCATCGACCGACTGAAGATGCCCAGGCAATACCAACAGGTTGCTCATGCGCAGAATGAAAGCCTAAATGGCGGCGGTGTGTACGGTGGAACGGGTCTAAGCGGATGGTGGAACAATCCTCAGACGTTGAGGGGAAGCGTCCGGGCTGGACATGTTCAGGGAGATAAGATCCAACTCCCAGGTGAAGAGGCAGAAGAAATACAGGGTCCGAAGAACTTGGTTGAATTATTCAATACGAGGACCGACGAGATGCAGAACATGATCCAAGGCAACCGACAACTTCTGAGCGAAATCGAGGATTTCGTTCAAGGCTTGGAAGGGAAGGTCATTGGCAAGGAGAGAGAGTTGAACGACCGACTGAACTATGGTGATCGAAACGGCGGGGTTGTCAGTGAAAAAGACCATCAGATGCAATTGCTCCGCTTTGTATTCGGTGAGGTGCAGAGGAGTCTTTACGACGTGGCCGACAAGGTTGGAGCGGCGAGGGACGAGGTCGCACAATTGACAATTGGGAGATGATTGAAGCCTTTAGCAGGAACACAACATTCACCTGGGGATGAAGCTCGACAAGGACGAAAATGGCTCTGGGACCATCACCGCAGACATGATCTAGGAGAGTCTCAGGCATACCACACCTTGACTCTACACCACCGGCTGCTGCTCAGCCATTCTGACCTTACCGGCGCAACTACGGTCTGCACCGCAAAGCCGCGCGCTGGCAGCTACTTGAGCTTCACTGACCGGACAGCGTCTTCACTACAAGCCGGAGTCCTGTCGCACTGCACCGAAACAACCGGTTCATCTCCGGCGGCCCCTTCATTGTGACTGTTGCATGTTTCAAAACACGGTCATGAGGTCTCACAGAGCCGACATTGGCTTCCTGTACCGGGCAGGAGGCTACACGTTGCTTGCAAGGTGAATCGAGAATACAAGGACGACTGGTACCTGAGAGCAATTGGCATGGATGAGGCATGAGCCCGACGGACGCTAAGGCTGAAGTTCAGCATTTGGGAGAGACATGATACACACGCCCATCATGAGTTGACACGGCTGGATGGAAGACCTAGCCCTTCATAATCGTTAGAGGATTTCCACTTGGCAAAGATCGACCGACAACATGTATACGAGGTACTTGTAAGCTCAGCAAACCCAATTCTCCAGCAACTCGTGAAGTTGGCACGGGTTGAATTGCCCAAAACATCATCCTGCCACGTCGTCTAGCCAGGGGTAAAGGCCGAATATCTGTCTTCAAGGTCGCGGCGTCATGATCCGCTCCATTCAAGGTGGATATGTATGACTTCATTGCGGCTCCAACGTTTCAGCAAAAAGGATGAGATTGTGATGTCATGCTTCTTCTTCGACAACGACCACAAATATTCATCAATTCCTGCCATTGTCCCGTTAATCTGTCTCTCTCAAAAAGAAATACTTGACTACGTGACAGAGTGTACTTTCAACACTATCCAGTCTCCCAAACCTCCAGACTTGAGGGCACACATACTTCGAAACAACACCACAGATCTCTCCCCCTCCTCCAAAACATTACATACACCTTTTCTCTTTCCAAAGAATACCGCCCTGTGAAAAATATGTCTGGCACGTCCAGCGTCGGCAACAGCAACGTCTACGAGGCCGGTGACCAGCGGGTGCCGCCGGACTCGCAGAAGGGAGGCGAGCAACCGTATGAGGAAGGACAGAAGAATTCCCACTTGGGCAATGATTCGAGTATGTATACTTCCCCTGATTTCCGTTCTTTCCGCCAGCTGTGTTCTGCTCTATCCTGTGCTCCGTGGATTAGGTGGATGGGGATGGAGAAAAGCCGGGGAGAAGAGAGAGCATGAGGAGCAAGAATAGCATGATGCAGGAATCCGGCTGTGTGAGAGGATTGCAACAAGTCAGAAAATGGGAGAAGAAGTGGAGGGACACGGGACCTGTGCAATCGAGGAAGAGATCAAGGCCCATAAGCCGAGCAGGAGACGGTGGCTGTGCCGTGTTGTGTACGCATGGCGTAGGCCCTCTCTTCGCTGTGTTTCACCCTGAGCTCTGTCCTGTGTGCTATACTATCATCAGCCGGGCTCTTCCATGATGCATGCCTCTCTTCTCTCCCCAATCACTGCCTCCATCCTAACCACAAGCCACCCCCGTCCTTGCTCCCAACCCCAACACCGCCACCCCCCATCACACGGTTCACTGACCAACCCCCCTCTTCTCTCCACCTATATAGAAGACAGCCGCTCGATAGCGAACCGCCTGGCCGCGTCGGGCCCACAGAACACGCAGTCCACGGACGATAGCAGCTCGTCGGGCAAGGCCAAGAGTGCCGAGACGCGCGCCGGCGAGGTCGACGCCACGGCCCCCGCGCGCATGCACGGCAACGAGCCCAGCCGCGGCGCCCGCATCGACAAGGAGCTGCAGGACGAGGAGGCCGCCATCCTGGCCAAGAAAGACGCCGCCAAGGGCGGGAACAAGAGTGGTGGCACGGGCGACGTGGCGGGGAAGAAGATGTGAGGCGAGGTGAGGTGAGGTATGGGACCAGACCAGACCAGACCAGACGGGAGGAGAGGAGAGGAAGGTGTCTTTGGTCTTAGGACGAAGTAATTATCACGTGGTAGCAGAAACCAACCACGTATGGGTAGAAGAAGACGCTGTACAATACGAAATGAATGGATGGATGGCTGTGATGGCAAGAGTCCGACCAACCAAAAAAAAGTGCATATAACCCGCATTCAGACTTGCTTGATCTCCAGACGCAGCTACTAGTTACTTCTTTTGCATGGAGAGACTGTCAGAGTGCCTCGAAAAAGGACCAGCTTATTGTGTATTTTGAGAGCCTGAGAAGGCAATGAAGGCCACCCAAGCAAGAACTTCACCTCGTATCATGATGGAGAATTGTATAAATCGCTAGACAGAAAAAGACCGTGCACGACTATGAGGGTACGCCTGGGCTTTTATATGTATCCCAAAAAACATCCTCCCCTCCCCTTTTACCTTTGTGGGGATCTCTTCTGCTTCCATTGCACCCATCACCGGTTGTGGTGGTGCCTCTCTCGCTCGTGGCTCTCTTGCCGCTCCAGCTCGCGGCGCACCAACGCGACGCACTCGTCCATGACATCTCCACCGACCCTCCACTTCCTCAACACCACCCCTTTCGAATGCATGATCTCCTCTGCCCTAGCCCATCGTCTGCGCCAGATCTCCAACTTCTTATCGTATGGTGCATTGGCTCCGGGAGGCGGCGGGATAACGCTCCCATCGCTGCCAGTTGCGAGGGGATCGGAGCCCGCATATCCGTAGCCCGTGGCCCATCGTGCCGCCGCCGCTGGGTAAGATGAGATGGCCCTTCGTGCAGGCAGTGGTGGATTTTGACGGTTGTCGCCCGGTCCGCCGCCTTGGTCGGACGAAATGGTTGCACTGCGCGACGGTGAGGATGCGCGGATTGCTGGGAGCGCGTTGTATGCGGAAGAGATTTGCCGACGAGCAACGGTCACGTAGCCGTCGTCATTTCGCGAAGAAGTGCTGGCAGATGTGGACGTGCGGGAAACGGAAGGCGTGAGAGACGGTGGAGTCGAGTTTGAACTTGTCTGCCTTCCAAGGTCTGAGGGGAACTGGGGTTGGCTTTGATTCTGACGAGGGGAGGAGAACGGAGCTCTTGAAAGAGGCTGTGGTGTTGGCTCGCTCATGGCATGTCCAGTGTTGGCATCCGCCGTCCGTCCACTCCGACGGGGTTTAGGTGGTGGCGGCGGCGGGGGTCTCTTCTTCACTGCCTCTTGGGTCTCTGTATCGGACGCCGCCGATAATCTCTCATGGTTCGTGGGCGGTGTTGATTGGGACGAGATGGAGAAATTTCGCAGACTCGAAGGCTTGTTGGGTTTATTGGGAGCATGGGGTTTGCCATTCGCGTCCAGCTGGCGCATGTCACTCAAGTGCGTAGGAGGCTTCAACGAGCCTTGCTTCGCTTCCGAATTGTCCGTGAAATCAATCAGGTCTCCCTCTGCAATGGTTGGATCCATCGTCGATCTTGGTCTCTCGGGCAGAGCCGGCCTGTTCCCAGGAGCATCAGAGTTCACGTCTCCTGGCGACCGACTAAGTCGTCCGCCGTCTCTTGCAATCATGGAATCCGGTGGTGTGTTCGATATCGCCTGATCAAAAAACCCCTTCTTGACCGGCGTTGTCACATCTCTGATGAACACTCCCAACACTCGTCCTGGGTGTTCAAGGACAACATCAGTGTACACTTCCAAATCTGCCTCTCCACTGTCCCCAACAAGGATAAATTTCCGCTCCGGAAAGTCATTCATGATTCGATCCAGCGAACCGCGCTTCCGTTCTGCCGCAGGTTCGAATATCCCCTGCAACATTCCCGAGTATTGCTTGAGGTGGAACGAGCCTGGCGGCAGTCCTGCAAGGGAGAAATAACTGCGCAGCAGGGGATACATCTGCCAGGGAGAATTGGAGACGTAGTGGAGCTGAACACCCATGACGGACAGTTTCGAATACCACTCCTTGACGCCTTTGATGGTCAGATCGCCCAATTCTCGGATGAAAGCATTTTTGAAAATCTCTCGCGCGCCGCTGCTGATCCCGGAATGTTTGATCGTATCGTCAATGTCGCTCACCAGACTGATGCCCTTACTCTGGGTGACGATAACATCTTCCACCGCAGACAATTTATCCGAGGCTATGACCCGGACTTGGTCAGGGATAAAATCCAATGCGGCTCGCAAATTGAAGTGGCCTGACTCATCTGTTGTCACGGACTTCGAAGTCGACTTGTCCTGGTTGAAGAAGATGACCGTCAGCCGTGCATGTGCAGTGGGCATTGACATAAAAGGCTTCAGCCGGGTCAACAGCAACTCGTTCGCCGCCGACAACTCTTCCCTGCTCATGTTCGCCGGTTCATTCCACGATTGGCGCTTAACCATCGATCGGCGACCCGGATCTTCGTCGTCGTAGTCTGCGGACGTTGCAATGGATCGTGTTGGCGAGTTCGATCGACTACCACTAGGGGTCCCTCCTCTGGAAGGAGTCGAGCTGTAAGTCCCTCTGACCGCTGCATCCGCTTCTCGCTGTCCGCGACGGGTAATATTCTCTGCTTCTTTTGCAGCGACTTCGTCCTCATACTTGGACGAACTGTCGTCCTGGGGTATGCGATTGGTAGGAGCTTGGCTCGACGGACGCGAGGTCGTGGGACTGGTGGTGGGAGCGTAGATGCCACTGAGTCTCCTGGCAACCGCCACAAGAAGCCGGTTCTTCCTATTCAGAGGCCCTTGTTGAGGAGAATAGATCCATCCCCGAACATCCACGTCGACGATGGCATTCGCATCTTCATATTTTTCCCACTCTCGTTTCCAATAGTCTGCGTCTCCGCTGCTATGCGGCATTTCCACAGACTCGTGCGTCCCAGGAGGATATCGGGGGGCGTCATCGTACCGGCTGCTCCGCCTCGTGTGATGCCTCGCATAGCTGGGGAACAGAAGCATCTCCTCATTCTCACTTCTTGCAATCTCGACATCGGGCCAATCTCTCGACGTCCCGCCATCGCCAACGCTCTCTTGCAGTCTCTGCTGGATCTGTGCCTGGTATGTCTGTCTTATCTCATTGGCCGCCCTCAGGTAGCCCTTCATCTTCTCCCTCCTTGCGCCCGGCACCCGGTTCCCGCCATAACTTGTCATCTGATCGGTTGCTGAGGTTGATCTCGTTCCCCGCCAAATGTGTCGACCACCAGCATGGTGCGGTGTTCCATATATGGCCCTCAGAATACGGCTTTTCGCGATTCGCCGCCGTAGGAATGAGGCAACACGGCTTTTCCTGATCCGTCTCCGAAATAAAAAGACAAGGTCTCGTCTTGCTTCCCTCCTTTCTCGCTTCTTCTGCTGCCTGCGCACAATGGCCCGGTAGATACTCGACTGTGCTTGGAGACGCAGCTGAGGGATATATTCGTGACGGAAGCCTAGATACCTTTCGCGAGCGCGTCGATGAGTGTTTGGGAAGAGGTAACGAAGGAGCGAGAAGGCGTTTCGGGACCTGGTCAACCCGCGGAGTGGAGGAGCCACGATGGTCAGGGTCGACCGGTGAAGGTTATTTGCCCACGTGCTGAGGTTGGTGAACCCAGCAGAGTCACAGGGAGGAAAGCAGTGGTGGCTTGACAGAAAAGGCGCATGACCAGAGGCTCAGCGAGTACCAGCGTCCAGATTTACCCAGAGAATGAGTGGGAAGTGTTTGTGTCCTTGGTCAGTTCCTGCGTCGTTGGTTGCCGCCTCTATGCAGAATAACCAGCCGCGTACGTCATTGGGTCAACTCTGCGGCTGTGGATCTATCCATATTAATATGTGATCTAAATAATAGCCACTCGCATATCACCAAGTCTGTTGCATTCATCACATACTTCTCGTCCTGTCACATCTTCTACGGTATTCCTAGCACTGCTCAACTCGAATTGAACACGCGACAGCCTTGATATCTGGTCGGGGAGCTCCTACCTTACCAAGGCACAGCCCAGCCTGCATTGTGCATTGTCAGCATCGTGCATGGGTCGAAAGCTATGCTTCTCATCTCCAGCCCCAATTTTTCTCAAGTACGGCATTAATCCTCCCGAGTGCTCTTCGCCCTAGTGTCTCGGCAAACATGTCCATGCGCTCGTCAGGAAGCATCTCCACGAACCTCCTCAGTCCCCAACTCTGGTCAAGTGTGTTTTGAAGTGGGCCAGCTTTCCTCAATCTTCCAAGGACAACCTGGGCTGCCATAGGATTGAGTCCGGCTTTTCTTAGGAATTTCTCCCAGAGAGTCTCTTCGTTGATGAGGTTTGCTGTTTCTACTCTCGGGTGCAGGGACTGGGACGGGTCGGTATCCGGAAATCCGTGACAGCAAACCACGTTCCAGGTCAGCCTGCAAAGAGCCGTCTCGACTGATTGAGGTCCGTATCTTGACGAGACCCAGAGGGGTTGCACGCGGAGGCCGTGGCGGCTAGAAATATTTGCACAAAAACCTGCAAAAGTAGTAATTGTGTCAATTTGTGGCGGCAGCAAGCTATCCTCAACACCATTCATGGCTACCATAATGAACAGTTGCGTATAGTCATGTGCGAGCCTCAGGACTCTGCTCTGAACTATGCCTTGACCTGCTTGTACCCCTTGTCCGGGAAGGCTTTTCTGGTGCAAAGCCTGTAAATTCGTGAACACGATGGCCGTTCTCGGATTCAAAATGATGTCGGGGGACGCAGAATGAGGCGCACTGCGGTCGGGTCTGGTCATTTCCCGGTATACCATGTTAAGTCGGTCGCCTCCATTTACCTCCAGAAAACTGACAAGCGAACGATATCTCCCGAGAGTGGCTGTCTCAACCAAAATTGTTCTTGGCCATTTCGGCTCCATGAGGCGGTGGAGATCGTCGTTGCCACTGGTGTGTGCAGTTTTGATCGGGGTTGACGGTACCTGGACGGTGCATGGGTTCATCCCGGTCATTGGTTCTGATGGCTGGGAGAGCAAATCGCGAACCAAATTGGGACGATTCCCTTCTTCAGATTGGGTCGCCTGGATTGGATCGTCTGCGAGTTCGTTTGCCGAAGGTGGTTGCGGTGGTGCAGCTCTCTTGAACTTGGCCCCTCGTAGGTCAAGGTATGCTTCCAACGCATTGGAGGTTGAGAAACCGTTCAATGCACGGGCGGTCTTGTTTGGCACCAAATTCTGGACGTTACTGGGATACAACGTGCAAGACTTCTTGGATGCCATCTCCTGGCTGGAGTCTGACTCAAGATTGAGTCTCTTCCCTGGAACGATGGGCTCGACCAGTTTGGATATGTCTTCGTGCAAGGAAAGGTCCTCTTCTATTTCGCTGTCACTCTCGTCATCTGTGTCAAGGATGCGTAGACCAGGTGGTTTCCAAAGCAGTTGCTCGCTCCTGGTAACTCCTTGCGGTAGATTCACCAGTCTGCAAAGACTGCCATCATCCTCGATATTGTCGGCAAGGTCCAGCTTTGTGAATCCGGGCGGGAAGGGAGACCAATTGAGCTTCATGTCAGTCTGCAAGTGTCCCATACTCGGGGTCACCATGAACATCTCATCAAATTTGCGCATGAGAAGCTCGACCTCTTGTAAGTCACGCGCAGATCGGGCAAAGAAAGGTTCCAGTGGAGGCACTGGTTGTTTCAAGCACTTCTCTGGTATGCTAATCTTGTCACCTCTCAAGCGAGCATCTATCTCTTTCTCTGCATTCTTGACGAATTTGATCAGCTCTTCATCCAGATCACCTTCTATCGCATTAAAACCATCCTCTTCAGACGTCATCATTGTAGAGGACAGCACCTCTTCGAGGGAAGGTTGGTTCCCGTTGCTGACTGCACATCCTGTTGTTATTGCATCCAGTTTAATCTCGACGCTGGGGTTATTTGGTGCAGTGACTGTAGAGGCTGGGGCCAAAGGAGCTCGTTTATGGTCCACGGGGGATGGCAATTCATCTTCTTGTTCGCTTGATTGCTCGGATTGCGAAGTGGATGAGAGCATTGGCACATCAAGCTGCAGACTTTTGAGGTCTTTTCTCTCCTGCCGACGCTCATCGAGTGATGCACAGACCGCTTCCATTCGCAGCTCCGCTTCGACCTCCAGTTGCGTCGCGTTCTGAATCTCTTCAAGCACTTGTTTGGCTACCGTTGTACCCGCTTCGTCGACTCCTTCGGATGGTATCTGGTCTTGCTCTTGCATCTCCCTCTCAAGCTGAAGCAAAAGACTGTCAAGATCAATGTCTTCTTCCGATCGTAGAGGGAAGTCTAGGTCGGGAGAAGACGGGGCTTGCGGCACTGGCGACTCTGGCATCAACAAGGGTGTGAGAGATCTCGGTCGTGGTTTCTACATGTCGTCAGCTCGGTTTGAGGCGTGGGAGACTGGGAGTCAAGCCTTCACCACAGGGACAAGGCTGTCGAATATTGTGGCCTTTGTGCCCGCGCTCAAAGTGTCCTTCAGCGAGGCGGACAAATGCACCAGCGCCTCTTTCGTAGTATGGCATTTCTCATCTTCCAGCATTTGTTCGACATCTCTCAGAGCCTGACCAGATTCGATGTCGTTCCACTCATCCTCGAAGTCCTGTCCTGACACTGAACTGATCAGAGAACAAGTCTCAAAGAGGTGTTCGGGGTCGATGTGGCTCGCTGCATCACGTTTGAAACGGTGCACATCTGCCTCGTGGTCCCCTGCAAGCAATGGTTTTTCAAGTTTCAAGTTTCGTACACGGTGCCGTTCCGGCAGGAAGTTCCTCCAATTCACGACAGAGCGAGGATCTTCGATGCTCTGAGCCAACAAGCTGCCTGCATGGCGGGTGAGCTGGAACTTCGGCTCTGCGATGTTGTCAGCAAAAACTGAGAAATCTGGGTCTGGCAGCTGTTGGCTATCCTCAATGGCTCGGAGTGGTAGTTGGGAAATGTTCTCTAGGATATCTACTGAAGTGTGGTCGATAGCCAGGCTATGGAAACGGGCATAATCGAGAACAGTTGGTGCAGACATAATGAGACAACATTTTAATTTCACTGAGCTCGAACACATTTGCTTTAAAAAATGAGAGTGAGAAGTGAAGGGAAGAGGACGAACAAGGCGTGCGCTTCCATGCCAGGTTGCCAAGCCTCAAGTGCAAGGTTGGAGGTATACGGTTGCTCTACCTACATGCATGTATGTAGGCATTGGAGAACTTTGCAACCAGAAATTTCTGTTGGCAACGTGTGCTTGCATACACTCTTGACTTGGTTACTCATTATGGTTTCATCTCCTTGACCCGTCCTTATTTGTCTGTGGCAGGCTCCATTTCCTGTTGTGCTCCTCTTCCTGATCCCAGTGCCACAAATACGTCGGGGTACAGAGAGCACGTTGGTCCAATGGTTGGTCTGTCGTGTAAATGATCTTCAACCCCTTCTTTCTGAGGCATCGAAGTCGTAGCATGCCTATGAAGCGTGCCAAAGAACTTTCCCAGCTCTTTTTGGGCCTCAATATCGAAGTCTTCTTGATTGCGGAAGAATACAACTCTCGAAGTCACAATGAGCCTTGCCAGATCACACTTTTGCGCAGCAGTGAGCTGTGTCATCTTGATGCCACTGATCTCCGTGCCAATCTTTCGGATGTAGTCGAACACATCTTCGGCAGCATCAAGCAGATCCCGAAATCGTGGATCTCCATGGAGGCCTTTGTGCTCGTAAGGGATGTCTTTCAGTTCATCCCAATGGAAAACAGGAAAAGGCGAGCCAAGGTGGTCGTAGGCATAATATTCGTGACGTTCTGGCTGCACATGTCCTGGTTCGAATATCTCTGACAATTTCTTTCCAATCTTAGGATCCCCGTCCAAGGAAGGCACCGTGCTTTCAGCCTTTTGCATTTAGTTGATCAGGTGAGTCTGGCTGGTATGCCAGCAGTCCAGGATCTTCAGCATGAGGCGCCAATTGCAGTGATCGAGCCACTGGTGAATAGCTAACAATGAAGGTGGCAGATAACGTGGCTAGACAGGATACTAGGCCGAGCAGTGTCGGGCTCGAGAACCATTATACGTTCGTTCTGTCCCTATGATGAATAGCAATTGCCATTTCCGAGCTAGAATTGCCTCATCGTGTGGCAAACCCATTTAGTTACCACTCCCTTGATGCTTCACAGATGAGCGGCGGCCGCTGTTCACGTAACGTGAGCACAAAGGCTCCCGTCCAATTTGGTCACAACCACGTGCCATCCTATCACACATTCGGGGTGTCTACAGACGGTTGCTAAGTCTTGTTGGGCTGTATCTGGGTTTGGCTTCAGCTGGCCGTTCCTGTACAAGGCGGGGGCCTTCTCTCGAAGGATTCTTGTTCTCGTTGTTCGTGTTTCGTGGTCACGATAATATAGTCTCATACCGAATAACCAGATTGATCGGCCAGGGACGATGCGCACGGGCCACTTCAGGCGAGCACGCAAACCAGCCGCCTCGTGTCATCAACTGAGCAGATGGTGGACTGGATGGTGAGCTACCGGACTTCTCCACCGTCACACATAAGGCTCCTTCTCCCTTTTCTTAACCCACTTCTCCGGTTCTCACTGTGATATCAACTCACTTGGATGAAGTGGAAAGGCAGAGACGTTCGAGCCAATAGTTATTGCCTGGCAAATGTTTCTTTGATCTCCGGAGGCAGAGCTGTTTCCTGGACCCTCTGTCATGGCATTCGCGAGACCCTGGGTAGACGATGCATTGAGGTGATCTGCAAGTAATTCATTCTTCAAGACCGCGAGACAATGAGGTCCTGTCGTGGAAATTGTGCTCTTGAGGCGAAATTCCTTTGCAGGTGCGTTTCTATTTTCTAAGTGATCTTCCAAGGACTCCTAAATACAGAGGCTCGTGGCCTCCCAGACCGATTCGATGGCCGCCCGGCTACGTCACCTTGACTCTCGAAGCCTGGCCCGTCACAAAACCCTCCAAACCCATATAGCCGATGGACTCCCCGCCCTCCCCCCCTCGCACACCCTCTACCATTGAAACGCCATCGAGTCGCCTCTCATCCTCTATTCAAGCTCGATTGTACCAGGAGGCTTGCTTGTAACATCGTACAACACACGGCAAACACCATCAACTTCGTTGACAATACGGTTGCTGACCCGCTTGATGAAGTCTCCATTAAAGGGAAACCAATCAGCCGTCATAAAATCAGTCGTTTCAACTGCTCGTAGGGCGATCACTTGGGCGTGCACTCTTTTGTCACCCATGACACCGACGGCTTTGACGGGCAGAAGCCCAGCGAATGCCTGTGAGATTTTCCGATACAAGCCGGCCGAGACGATCTCATCGATGAAGATTTTGTCTGCATGTCGAGCAATCTTGAGCTGCGATTCATTGACCTCACCGAGAATTCGAATTGCTAAGCCAGGCCCGGGGAATGGATGTCTCCAGACAAGATCTTCAGGTATGCCCAGGTTCGTACCTAGTGCTCTCACCTCATCTTTGAACAACTCTCTCAGAGGCTCGATCAACTTGAGATGCATGTTCTCCAAAAGACCACCGACATTGTGGTGAGTCTTGATGGTGGCCGATGGTCCTTTAAATGAAATGCTCTCTATGACATCGGGATAAAGTGTGCCTTGAAGCAACCACTCGATGTCGCCAGCTCGAGGGGAGTTTGCTGCGGCGTCCGCGATGGCTTTTGCCTTATCCTGGAATACTTCGATGAATGTGTTGCCGATTATTTTCCGCTTTGTTTCAGGATCGGAGACACCTTTAAGTCGGCCCAAGAACAGGTCCGCGGCATCGACAACCGTCAGGTTGATACCCAAATGCTTCGTCAATGTCTCCTTGACTGTTGCTGCCTCATCCAGACGGAGAACGCCATTATCGACCAAGACCGCATGGAATCGATCTCCTATGGCCTCCTGCATGAGTTTTGCTGCAACAGTGGAATCAACTCCGCCGCTTACGGCGCCAATCACTTGACCTTTGGGACCAACCATGGCTCGAATGCGTTCGATTTCCTTATCGACGAACTTCTCCATGGTCCAGTCTTGCCGAGCTTGGCAGATCTTGACTGCGAAATTGCTCAAAATCTGTGTACCTCGCGGCGTGTGTGTGACTTCCGGGTGGAATTGGATGCCGAAATACGGTCGAGACATACTGGCGATACCAGCGAAAGGGGCATTAGCTGTACTTGCAATGGGGTGGAAGTTGTCAGGTAGCTTTGACAGCTTGTCCCCGTGACTCATCCAGACCTCGATATCATCTTCAATGCCTTCGAAAAGGCGATCGATGTGCTCTTCCTTGCCAGTGTGTCTCTCGATTTTGAGATAGGCGTGGCCGTACTCTCTCTTCTCGCCGGCCAGCACGTTTTTGCCAAAATGCCATGCCATCTCTTGCAGTCCGTAGCATATCCCCAGGATCGGCACACCAAGATCGAATGCCGCAGGATCAACATGGGGAGCGCCATCCTCGTACACTGAATAGGGGCCTCCAGATAGAATGATCCCTTTTGGCTGAAAGTGCAAGTCCGCGATCTTCTGAGTGCATGGCAGCATCTCGGAGTAGATGTTCAGCTCGCGCAGTCGCCGTGTTATCAGGTGCGAGTATTGCGATCTTCAACCGGTCGTAAGTTGGTGCGCTTTGAGATCAGGGCAGTGGAAATTTCCGACTTACCCAAAGTCGAGTACGAGGATGGTGTCGAAGGTCTTCGCAGGGACGTTGACGGCGGCGCCATTGACCTCGCCATTGACGTTGGCAGCCATGGTGACTGGGGAACAAGGTCGAATGGGCACAAGAGATACTGGGACAAGTGGTGCACGAGGGAATCAAAGGGAATTAATTATGAGTCCCCTGCAACAAAGTGGGCTGGCTATAAAATTTTGTGGAGATAGAAATTATCATGTGAAATGCCCCGCTGAGGAGAATTTGATACCGCAACGACGTTTCGGTGTGGAGGGCTACATACGGACTCGAACAATTGCGCGGAGAAATTTCTTTGAACCAAACATCCCAGGCATAAGCAGCACGGCCCATAACGGAAAGCCCTTGACCACGTATTGGCACCCCAAAGAGATCCCTCCGCCTAGTAACGCCGCCGGCATCCTGTCACATTTCCCTACACCCCAAATTTCGAGATCGAGTACTGGACCGAAATCAATCCTTCCACAGTCGGGGACCTGTCCTACGGCAAATATGAGCAAAAGGAAGCAGGAGACCGGCAAAGATGTCGTCAAGGACGACGTAGACATGGAAAATGACAGTGGCGACGACGAGGTTTGTCCGTCTCGCAATATATGATGCTGAATGGCTGCTGATTTTCTGCGGAGGATTTCGATGTCCTCGATGTCGACTTCGAGTGGTTCGACCCTCAGCCGGAGTATGATTTCCACGGAATCAAGACCTTGCTCCAGCAGCTATTTGATGTGGACGCTCAATCGTTTGATTTGTCTGCACTAACCGACCTGATATTGTCGCAACCTACATTGGGATCAACCGTCAAAGTGGATGGCAATGAGACCGACGCATACGCTTTTCTCTCCGTTTTGAATCTCCAAGAACACAAGGTCGGTTCTTCCTGGTAAACAAGTACCAGGCATACTTACTGATAGAAACATAGGACAAGCCGTTCATGGGCAAGATCGTGCAATATTTACTATCCAAAGCAAAGTCAAAACCCGCCCTTGCTCCCCTCGCGGAGCTTCTTTCCCAGGCCACGATTCCCCAAATCGGCCTGATCCTTACAGAGCGTCTGATCAATGTCCCGGCCGAAGTCGTCCCTCCCATGTACACAATGCTGTTGGAAGAGATGGAATGGGCTGTCCAGGATGGCGAACCATACAACTTCAGTCACTATCTCATCCTCTCCAAGACATACACAGAAGTTGCTTCGAAGCTCGACGCTGAGAATGACCCTCCGAAAAAGAAAAAGAAAGCAACCTCTGGTTCATTCGAGACATTGTACTTTCACCCGGAGGACGAGATCCTGCATCGACATGCCATCTGTCACAGCGGCTTTGATTATTCCACCAAACAGGATGAGGGACATTCAGACTCGAAACGAGCATTTCAAGAGCTGGGGATCAAACCGCAAGGTCATGCCATACTCATTGCTGGGGAGAAGTTCAAGGACGCAGTCCAGAATGTGGCCGAATACCTGAAGCCTCAGCCCTGAGCAGGCTGTCTGTTCTATTCCCACTGGGTCCCCTTAAGTCTCTGCATAAGATACTCCACCTCGACGACCTTGGTCAAAGGAATAACAACCTGAGCGTACATTTTGACCACCGCCTCGACGTTGATCTTTTCCTCTCCGCCGGCCCCGTTGGAGGTCACCGAGGGATCTTTGCCATAAGTCTTGGCTTTCAACCGCAGCCGCTCAAGGACCTGCTGCTCGACCTTTTCGTTAGTGATGGCAGCGTCGATACCCTCGCGGTCCTCGGCTTTAATGAGCTTGACGAAACGCTCCGTCTCCGCCTGGAACTTGCTCTCGGCCACAAATTTACCAAAATGTATTCGCCTGCTTAAGGCCTGCAAACAAGCGACATCACAAGTTGCGGCGCTACCGTAATTCTCTTTCGTCTCACCACGGTCTTCCCGCCCAAACTTTCTGCAAGCTTCCGGCAAGACTTCCTTGATATACTTCTCTTTGATGGTGTCATTAACATTCACATCGTTATCGTGGAGGATCTTGGGGTATGCTATGGCTTTGAGCATGGGCCGCTGCAAGACCTGGGGGAAGAAAGGATATTCGTCCGGAGCATCATATCGACGGATAAGAGAGTGTAAACGTTCGGTTTCGGAGAGAAGATAGTCGCAGAGAGAGATCTGCGCGGGTAAAGCTAGATTACTGGAGGGTATGGGTAGTGCGGCAGCGTCGTAAATGGTCGCATTGAGGGGAAACTGGACTCGTTCGATCAGGTGGAAAGTGATAGTGTCCTCAAGTCGGCTGTGCTCGAATCAGTAGCTGAGCTTTTCTCTGGAGATTGGGCAAAAAGCCACGAACATTAGTTGAAAGCGAATATTGGCCAAATCCAAAGCCTTTGAGGCATCTGACAGATCGATTGCGGTATCCATCTCCAAAAGTGGCATATGTTAAGATCGCGTGCTCGGTATGTCTAGGCCCGGCGTAAAACACGACCGGGGACCACTGCCAGAGAGACACCTCAGGGCAACGGGAAGATGGAAGAGTAGCTCGCAGCTATTTGAGAAGAGTCAGAGAGTAGGTGTCTCCCCGGTAAGCATCGCAGTATGCGATGATATCCGAAGTGGGCGAACGAGCAGTTTTGTGCTGGGGGAAAAATACGTCAGAGTTTCGCAGCTCCGACTTCGCGTCTCCGAGAAACCAAGCCGCAGCCAACCAACACCACTAGAGGACCTTCTCTCTGCATTCTACAATAGAGTCTTGAAGAGCTTCAGGATTTGGCCTGCCTCGCTGCGCTTTACTTCGCGTCTATTCCAACCTCGAAAAGTGCATTTCCCTCTGACGCCCAGGGCGTTCGAACTGCATGGCCGGATCGCGGCCACACAGTCGTACTCCTTCCCAGACTCGCAGGCCTGCTGGAGATGGGGAAGATTCTGTTCTCGGCGCGGTGCTTGACGTGAGAGACCCTCGCTATAGCTATGATCATACACTGACTTCTGGGGGATAGACGCGCCAGCTGGAAGCCTTTGGTCGAAAGGTGACAGCGACCGCGAGCCATCTCATGGGCGACAATTCTACCGCTCACTACCCTGCCGCCATGAACACTATCTCCCGGCAAATGCGACGCCCGGGCATTCAGAGAGCTGTGTTCTCCTTCTCCCAGCAGGCGCCTTCTGAGATAGTCAGAGCGAAACTCTCCACAAGTGAAATCGCCCATCGAGCCCTAACCTACATTTCCGAAGAACAACTGCAAAATATTCCCGAAGACGAAAATACCTACTCCTTATTCCAGGGATTTCAAGCATCTTTGCCTGAAGGTGAATCCGAACATCGAAAAGGTCATCGACGGCGGAGTTCCAAGCAGCACAGGCTTTTGGGTGCTGGGGATGTTGAAGAGGATGGCCCTCCGTCGATACAACACCTCAAGAAGAAGAGGAACACTGTCAACCACAGGTTGGAAATGATGGCCATACGGAAAAATATGTGCACCACTGAGATCCGAGACATTGACAACAAAATTGCCAACCTGCACAATATGCGCAAGCTTGCCGTCGAAAGATTGGCCGACCTCGAAAACGACGAGGCCGAGGTTGAGCATGAGCTGCTTGAACTTGACAACAAGATCGAAGAGATGCAGGAGGAGCTCGAGGAGCAAGGCGCAATGGACCAGTCGACCAGCACCCTCAATGCTCCCCGCGTAGCCACACCCGAATCTGAAGCAATGGATGCTTCTTTCATGTCCCAGTCCATCTACGAAAAACTACCCTCTTCTGCGTCCCCCAAGTCGAAACGCCGGCCAAAATATACTAAGAGAAGATCTATGCCGGTGTTGCACGAGCACCTTGAACCTGGTTCACACATCAAGACCGTTCCTGCACATAACGACTCGATAACCGCCATAGATTTTGACCAACCATTTGGGACAATGGTCACTGCAGCACTGGACGATACGGTCCGTGTGTGGGACCTCAATCTTGGCCGCTGCATGGGCTTTTTGGAAGGTCACACTGCGTCGGTTCGTTGTCTACAGGTTGAAGACAATATTGTGGCAACTGGAAGCCTTGATGCCACCATTCGACTGTGGGATCTGAGCCGTGCCAAGTACGAGCCATACGAACACAAAATCCTCGAAAACGGCGAGGATGACAAGGGCGATGACGACGACGGTCTCGGCTTTGGCAACGAAAACGAAGATGCCCCCCCTCCACCACCCCCTGATGCAATGGAAGAATGCCCGCTATTTGTACTCGAGGCCCACGTCGACGAAATCACTGCATTACACCTTCGTGGTGATATGCTGGTCTCTGGATCAGCGGACAAGACTTTACGGCAGTGGGACCTGGTAAAAGGCCGGTGTGTCCAGACGCTTGACGTATTGTGGGCAGCAGCTCAGGCCAGCTCAACGGTAAACAGTTCAGAAACACAGTGGCGTCCGACTGGAAGATCTGCAGATTCCAATGCCGACTTCGTTGGGGCTCTGCAATGTTTCGACGCAGCGCTGGCCTGCGGTACGGCCGACGGAATGGTCCGACTGTGGGATCTCAGAAGCGGACAGGTCCATAGGAGTCTGGTGGGCCATACAGGGCCAGTGACGTGCCTTCAATTTGACGATACCCATCTTGTTACGGGTAGCGTTGACAGGAGTATCAGAGTAAGTTTGCAAGTTTCAGCAATCGTTCCATTCGCTGGACTAACGGTGGACAACAGATATGGGACCTGCGCACAGGAACTATTTTTGATGCATATGCATACGATGCGCCCATCACGAGCATGATGTTTGATTCCCGACACATTGTCTGTGCGGCGGGTGAGGACGTCGTCAAGGTCTACGATAAGGCTGATGGCCGCCACTGGGATTGTGGTGTTGGCGCCAACACCAGCGTCGAAGATCGCATGGCCGGGACCAAAACAAGCATCGTTGATCGTGTCAGACTGAAAGATGGGTATTTGGTTGAGGGAAGGAAGAATGGAGAAGTTGGAGTCTGGAAGTGTTGATGCATAGTACAACTGAATCACACGACACTTAGAATCGATCATCAAGACTCGTGAGGTTTTGTTTGATATCTGATTTCCTATACTATCTAACACCTGTGATAGTCATGTACCGTCTTGTGCCGTCGAGCTCATCTGTATATCGAGATTCCAACTGGCCGCCGGTCGGCACAGGCTCGCCTCTGATATATGGCGAGGACTCTATATCTATGTACAAACATCAACAATGCATCTCTCCCGATCCAAATGACTCGATCCTTTCACAGAGGCCATCACTAACACCAGCGCCTCGCCCATCTGTCCAGGTTGGCGTCCTCTACTTTCTCAAAAGGCCACCCAATATCGGTATCCCACCAGAGGACTCCAGTGACCCACACCCAAGAGCTTCATCCATATATATCTTCCTGCAACGTCCGTTTGTCCATAATAGGTATACTTCCCCCGTAGCACTTCAAGTGCAAGCTTAATCCCCGCCCCAGTCATCCTACTGACTGATGTCCCGCAGGTCAAGGGAGACTTTCCTGTAGACAAGGAATGTCTTCCTCCTATCGGGTACTGTAACAGACGCTGGCGGCCTCCTACCACCTGTCCGCTGTGACGACGAGGTATATATACTTGAGCGCCGAGCCAGAAGTTGAGGTGACTCATTTCGAATTGGATAGCAATCCTTGAGGTGGTACGCAGGACATCGATATTCCGGGAGCAACCCTTGAGGTGGGCGCATCGCCCGACGGCACCCGGTATATGAAGCCGTAAGGTGTCTAGATGAACTCGACGTTCAACTCGGTGTATAGGGAGGCCACACTACCATCCGCCTGGATATGGGCAGCCGTTGGGCCTGGATCTCGTGGTCTTACATATCTGATTGACGACGTTCGACTCAATCAATGAGTGTCGTCCTGCGTCATGTACTTCAGTGCGAGCTCTTCCACCCTTGACACTCCCAAGGGGTGGCTGGTCCGCCCAACCAGGTCGACTATTGCGGCGCTCAGTCTCTCCAGAGCTCCCTGTTGTCAACAGGGCCAGGAGCATCTCCAAATACCCGTTCTGCCTGCCACGCTAAAGGCCCCTTCTTAAGCAGTTTGCTCGAGCTCAACCGCATACTAGATATCGCAGACTGGACGGGCTTAGTGTGTTCCAGGAAAGCATATTATAGCTGCAGACACTGATGCCAGCTCCCGTCCTGATGACTGTTGTTGCTGATAGTTGATTCTATGGTCCTGCTGGTCGAGAAAGCCAACAGTGTGTTCACCACCACATCCAAGATGGCGTTTAACCCGGTCCTCTTCAAGGTCCCTGAGAAGTGGACCTTTATAAGGTGCGCACCGGGCTCCTCGCTCATCTCCTCGTCGACATCTGTCTGAACAGACTACAACCCACCTGCCGCCACATTCGATGCGGCGTTCAACTTGACCTCCGACGAGATATTCGACATGGAAACCAAGCAGGCCCTAGCAAGCTTTTTTCTCTCTCCCGCGTGTGCTCACTGGCCCACGTGTCGAGTTTTGGCCTTGAGATTTAGGTTGAGCTCAACCCTGTCCAAACACGTGTGTTTGGAATTTTCGAGGCTGTGATGTCTTCAGCATAGCCCAGCGATGGTTTCTGGGACCACAACTGCCTTGGTAGGCGGTTGAGCACTGGGAAGCTAAGAGGATGGCAGGAGGGGAAGCTGTTGATAATGTAACATAGTAAAATAGTAGGTAGCTAGAAGATCGAGTGTATAACTTGAGGAAGACTGAGTGCTTGTGGGAGTGTTTTAATTATATGATAATGGTGAACGAGGAAATGGAACCGGAAGATGTCTCTGGTTTATGTCCTTTAGAACCGGTTGCCGGACGCCATCAGTCCCACTACAAACAGTAAAGAATGAAATCCACCGTAAATACGAACCATATTTATGTACGTATGTTTGACCTATCCTTAAGGTAGGCAACGAAGGCGGCTCCGGTCGATATTATCCACCTGAGGCACTATTGTTGCAAAGCTTGACCCATATGTTATCCTACTGAGATATCTGGTGGTTCGCCTCAATACAAAGCATCATTCCCACAAAAGGAAATTCAGGGTTCGTCGCTGGACAGGCAGGAAAAGAGAAACCCGACCAGGACTAGTTTGACAGAGATTAATCCGCAGTGTTTGATCCTCACATAGTTTAGAGGACCGACCTCAAGCAGGTGGGGTACATAATGACAAACGTGTCCCTAGTGATGGGAATCCGCAGTAATACTTCAGAATCAAATTTCTTTACGAGGACCTTTGGGACCAGCAATACGTTGTTGTCTATACGGTGTGCTGTAATTACTATTAAATGGAAACCAATAAGGCCGGGTTGCCATTACTCTACCATGGTCTACTTTACCGGATTAGGTTAGCGGTGGGTCTTACCATCAAGGTGTAAGGCTGGACATGAAAAGGAGGTGGAGCTGTGGTATTGTGTATTTGCCGCACGTATCCTCTCTCTCTCCTGTTCACTGCCCTATCCTCAATAATCCATCTGGAGGTATCATAGGTATCTCCATAACGTCTCTTTCAGGTTGCTGTATTGAAAAGGGTGACGCACCACCACGTCGTCCAGTAACTGCACCAGCTGTTGTTCGCGCCTGGTGCTCACGAGCCCCTCTTCTGACCTGTCGGAACATTCTGCTTTTCGTCGTGCCAGCCTGATTGCTCGAATCTTTGCAGCGTCGTTCTCGACTTCCCACCGAAAGAGGTATTCGGCACTGTCTCTGGTGCACGTAGTGTAATATTCCCCTGTTAACGAGGGGCGGCCCCAGAGGATGGCTCGTAAGGCCACAGGGAAGGCGCGCTCGATCGAGGAGGAGTGTTTGCCGTCGACCTGATCTGTGTCTAACCCCATATCCTCGTCTTCACCTCCCTTTTCCTCCTCGTCCTCATAGTTCAGCGCGTTATGCTGCCCACTCTCCGTGCCTCGGATTCCTCCACCCCCCCTGCTCTCCTTCAGATCGCCTTTTTTAAAATGTCCGGTATAATCTGAGTTATATCCGGAGTCTCGGAACATGTGCCCCCGTTCACCGTCGTCTCCGTCCTCCCACATCTTCAAATCCGCCGCTGGGATCCGCCACAGACACCGATAGTGACAGCTCAACAACCCTCGGGAGCTCGTCGGCCAGAATTCAACTCTCATTTCTCCACGGCGTCCTTCTTGCAGCGAAGTCTTCTCAAAAACCAAATTCCGGGGGTGAACTGTCTCAAGAAACTGTCTCCCCTCGTCTGAGAGTGTCGAACGGGCGATATCGCCCTGATAGTATAAAATGTAATACCATGACGTGGTCTCCATATCGTACACCTTATGGAGGAAGCTGTGCAACCCGACTTTAGAGAAGGTGGAAATCCATCCTTCCAACGAGAATCTCTCGTGGTTGGGAAGGGTGGCCGTTGGAGTGCAATTGTGGCACACTGTTGGTGCAAGTGCTGGCGTTGAGACAAATTTCAGCCCATTTGGTTGGTGCTTTGTCCTCGCCAGTACCGTTGGACCAGATGGTTCTGGGTTGGAGAAAGAGGAGGAAGCCACGGTGGAATCAGACCAGGTGGCTTCGAGGAAGGAGGCCATATTGAGAGATGATGCCTACAGTGCTGTGTCTCACAAGGAAGATCGGTATCTGCTCGACCTGTATAGGTGTGGAATGCATAGTAGACAGACCCTGATGATTTTTTCTCTAGAATATAAGTTTATCCCTTTTCTATGGTGCGAGGACCTGTAGTACGAGGACCTATACTTGCCCTCCTCAATCTGTGGAGGACGCACTTTCTACTCTCAACTTTATCGTTGAGGACCTCCAGCTTCTTATTCGACTATGTCTACTGATGATAGCCTAGTGAAGATTCGAAGAAAATACAACACACTAACCGGTGAATATCGTTAGAGACAGAGACTGCCTCAGTATCTTCTTGCACCTGAGATATACCTGACGAACTCCTTCTGCACAACGAAACCATACAGTATTCTACAATAAATCATCAACAACCTCAGCCTACCTCTCCCACGTCTCGCCACCACCTTCCCCCCCAACACTTCCTTAGAGTGGCCCCTTTTCAACATGGACGGCTGTAGCAACATGCCCTCGCGGACCGCGGCAGAAGAAGAAGCCGGCCAAAACCTCTGCGAGTTCTGGGCCAGAGCGTGGCAAGAGCACGATGCCGCCCTGGCTCTCCAACAGATGCGAAACGGCACACTGTGGTTGTCGTCCACTCACATTCCACCAACCAACGGCCTTTCCTGCAGGCGTGGAGTGCCTGCAGCTGAGGCGGCGGCGCTGGATCGGGCGCTCCCCTCAACTGAAGACACCGAGAGCGAGCCTGAGAACTCGGTTTCAAGGGCTTCCTCGTGTCAAGGACTGACCTTCCAGAGGGCCGCCGAGGGTCTGCACCCAACGCCCTGCCCGACAAATGCGTTGAAATTGACTGAGGAGGCGAAGCGAAGAGTCCAGGACACGATCCTGTACTCGCCGGCATACAAGGCTGGTAGAGGTAACAAAGGGGTGCCTCATCCCAGAGCTGCACAAAAGACGGTGGGTGCCGCAGGCCACAGAACCACTCGAGAGGCCGCTGCTTCCGATGTCGATGCGAGGGGCAGAGTGGCAAAGGCGCCTACGCGCGGGACAACGGTTGCAATGAACCTGAAGCGCTCCAACGGGCTGAAATCGGCTCGAATCCAGTCACTCCTGAAGGGTTGAGGAGCCGGAAGCAGCAAAAGTCAACAAGATGTCCGCCTTTCATGAAACTAGAATAGTGGGTGCGACGGTTGCGATGTATATCACCTGCTAGGTCCTATACTGCATTGTAAACAAGTTAAACATTCATCAGCCAAGCTTCCCCCGGAAGTTCCTCTTCGAGTGTGTGGGTGTTGAGATACGTTGGCTGCCCTTCACGTACCCACGTTTCGGCTCAGACATCTATCGCCATTACAGGTGTCCCTCCTCTGCCATAGCCAGGTCAAAGGACATTCAGAGTATTCTCTACAGCGCTCAACCACTACCACGAGAACGACTCCTCCACCAACCTGACATTGAGATGCTTTTTCCTCTTTGCAATCTCACACACCGCGATCCTCACATCGTCCGCCATCCCGTCCGGCCCACTGACCACAACCGCGCAACTGTTCCCGGCGATAGGAGAATCCAGCTCTCGCTCCAGCTCCTCGCGCACATTCATGCGCTTACCCACGAAAATCTGCTTCTCCACTCCGTCTAGCTGGTCGGCCATGGCTTCGCTGAGCGAGGGAGTACGCATCCCCCACAGAAGTTTGGTTCGTCCTGGATGGCCACGCAGGAGTGGGAGGACTGTGGTAATTCCAACTCCGCCGGCAACGCAGATCACAGTTGGATAGTCTAAGAGGTCAGTGTGCTGGTGCTGCTGCCCGTACCCGGACTCGACGAGCACCGGAATTCTGGATTTCGAGCGCAGGACCGAGGTGAGACCCCCGCGTGTACGGAGCAAGAAAGTCATGGCCAATTCTGGTGGTTGGCGCTGGTGGTCATCATCAGCGTCTCCATCGCTAGAGTGATCCGAGCTGACGGCGTCAGCAGCGGCGAAGATAATATCCTTCTCAACGTCGGCCATCATGCGTTTGACGCCTGTCTTGGGCGCGGATGGCTTCGGAGTGTAGAGCATAGTTGAAGCCACAGAAAACGGGTGGTTCTCCCACACCCGCCAGGTCAACGTGGGGAAGTACAGGTAGGCATGGCCATGGCCGCCGACGCCTTTGATATCGACGCGGATATAGTCTTGGTCGATAATGGTGATCCTGGCATATCGGAGACCAGCGCGGGCAAACCGGCCTATTCGGAGGAGTCGATCGAACACCCAGACGGCAATGGCGACGTAGATCCAAACTTCGTATCCCCACTGGTGATCGAAACGGTCGTAGATGTGCAGGTAGCATCCCACCACCACCAAGACAGAGATTGCAATGTGCCATAGGAGGAAGGCCTCGTATAGCATACGTCGAAGTGGCAGGATCGACGTCGGCAGCAATATCGACATGCCGATGGTTGCAATGGCTCCCCAGTACCAGTATGGAAGTTTGCTTTCGCTCGAATGGTCACCATCCACATTGTAGATGTAAAGGTAGATCAGAGAATGGATAATGGCCTGCAGACTAGCAATCCCCGCGACGTAGCGGTGCAGCAGGATGAATGTGTCGTGACTCCAGTTCGTCAGCCACAGCAGGACGTTGTTTCGGCCAGCGTATAAGATGAGCAGTGGTATGTTGGCAAAACTGAGCACTCCGGTTCGGTTGGTCACATAGGTCAAAATCTCTCGGTCTCGATCATCGGGCCACCAGCTATTTGGCTGCCTTGAAGAGTATCCCGTAGCACAGAGAAGGATGTTGAGAATTGTCAGATATGCGATGAACAAGGCCTGTCCTCGGGTAGGCATGTTTGTTAATCCCCAGAAGATCGGCACCTTGTGGTGATGACCGATGGCAGGAGGGTCGACGATCCATGCGTTGAAGAGAGTTACCCACCGGCCTGGAAAGGGGAGGAAACGGAGGAGTGAGAAGCCGACGGGGACGACAACTCCAGAAAGGAACACGACAAGCCTGCAGTCAAGCGTCAGAGGCATAAGTTTTGGTCATGAAGAGTCTTTGGTCGCAGCTCACCCATAACGCTCGTGCAGGATCTCGATATGCTCGAATATCTTGTCGGCGTTCCAGTTAGGTTGATAGTCTTCGACAGATACCAACATTGTCCTGTTCAGAGGATCGCCCGCCATCAGGGTTTCCTTTGGCACGGTGGTCACCTTGGCCAATGCCTCTGCGTAAGATTCCTTTGGATCAGGTTGTACCGCAGCACTCCCAACGACATTCATCGCCCACCATTTTTCGATCTGCCAGTCCTTGAGTTCGTGTTCGCGGGCGTCCTGTGGACAGCGTTGGCTGATGCAGAGTGCAAGCGACTGGAGGAAGGCATCGTCGGTGGCATAGCACTGAGGCATGGTAGTGAAGCCGCCATCACCACTCATGTCCATACCGCTCATGTCTTCCACCTCCGTGGCCTCGGAGCAATTAAGTTTGCTCCCAGACAAAACATTACGGCATGCCGTGCAACAGTACGGGAAGTACATGTTGATACCGTAGCCGATCAGACCGTGGCCAGCACGACCTGAGGATGTCATGCATTGTGCTGGAAGAAACAGAGCACTGGTGAACAGCAGCGCCACACAGCGAGAGAGGAGGTTCATACTGACTTCGAGAAGCACAGACCTGGGAGATTTTTCGACGGACTTACCCGTGGTCACATAGAGCAACTTTATACCTTGGAGAACTGTGCAACTGTCTGAAGGAGACCATGCATTGGGACACTCAAAGGGTCCAACTCACTCACCGAAAGGGTCAATCGAACCCAGAAAAGTCGACGGCCAGACTCGCGAAGAAGAGCACATGCCAAAGGGAAAGACTCTTGCCCATGTTGTAAAGGGCCAAGACGTGCTTGACGGGTGACTGAGAAACTTGCTCAACCCAGTGCATCTATCAACCGTCCCGAGACTTGTTGCTTGGCATCCCGCCATTCGGTTCCTCTTGGAGCGGTAAAGGCCCATCTTGACAAAGTCTTTCCTGACGCTGTTGAGGACGGAGGAGGTCACCGGAGCAGAAGAAGCTTGAAGGATGAATTGTAAGCAATGCTGGCTTGAAGAAGGAGAAACGAGGTCTAAGTGCCCAAAGTGGCCTAGCGCAGGAGAGATGCCTCAGAAGCCATAACGACATCACACAATGGCAACACACATGCAGCTACAACATATCTCTTATTAGTATTCTCGTTCGGACTTACGAGGTATCTCGACATTGAAATTACAACTAAAGCAGGTAATTGGGACCCTGTCACCCGTCTCTATCCACGCAGAGGAACACGAGGATTCCCAGGATCCCCACCATCCTCCAATCACAGAATCCCCATATCACAAACAGCAGCCCCGTTCAAGCTCGCGCAAGACCCAGTTGCGCAAGTTTCGAGAAGGCACTAATGTACCCCGGCGGCCACCTGGATACTCAGATCAAGCACGATCAACCCAATCACACCATGACACATTTCAGGGGTTGACCCAACTATTGCCAGGCCCAGCGAATGCAGGCGATGTAGTTTATCCATACCTCTCTAGGCACTGGCTCTATCAACATCTGACGGGTTCGCTTCGCCAGGAGGACCAGGATAGCTCACCTCATATTTTCCTTCTCAGGACTGGCGTGGATGGCAAAGCCCAATCACAATACTGCTTGATATATCAACAAGAAGTGATACTGAGCAAGTATTCCCTTTCCATCGAGACCACGTCGGGGAAAAGCGACCAAGTCATGCTGCCAAAGATGCGAAGTCCTCAGGGCTCAGGCATTGAGCACATATCTTCTAATGGCCCGCTCCCGAAGGTTTCGTGCTCGGCACCATCTACAATGGTGATTTAGCCCACTTGCTACCAGGTGGCCTACGCTCCCCATGTCTCATTCATTTTCGTGTATGAGCAACAAAATCAAAGGGCAGCGGATATGGAATCTTTTAATGTCATCATTGCCCAAATTTTTTTACTCTTTCTGACGACCCTATCAGATCGCGAAGACGAGAGAGGACATTGCGAACTCTTTCCCTCAGACAATTTCAACACAAACTCACTGCCTCGCCCGAGTTGCTCTCACTACCGTATATTTGATGCTTTCTGACCGCTAGCCTTTCCCTTTCTCAGACATCGGGCAATGCCACGAGGTCATTACCAACACCGAAAATCATGCTATGTGGGCTACGGTGTTGGAAGGGCGAGTAGAGCTTACTGGCTGCAGACCTTCTTGTGCAACCACAACATCTCGAGGTCTTGTATAGGCAGCGGCAACCCTTCTTTGTTCACAATATCTCGACCTGACCTAATCTTGCAGGACAGTAATTTTGTGGCATGCCACATAAAACTCGACAATCCCACTGACAGCACACAATCGACCAACACCAGTCCCACCGGATTCCGCCGTATCAAGCCTTCGACTTTCCCTTCCAGTCATACGCAAGAGTAACGTTCAACGTCTCATCTTCCTTCTTCACATGGATCTTCCTAGTCTTATACCGTTGGCCCTTGATCGTGGTAAATCCCCAGATCTGTTCCGCGGTCCAGCCTCGTTCCTCGTTCATGACCCAATTCTGGACGAATCCCTCCCCATTCGGGCCAACTTTCTCGTGCAGCCAACCCTCGGTCAGATAGGGATCGAGGGGCCCTCCGTTTCCACTCTCACATGTCTTGGGGTCGGCGATCCAGCGGTTGCGGCTCTTCAAGATGCCGAAAATGTGATCCTCATGAATGGTCTCACTCCAGTCCAGGATGCGCAGTTCACTGGTGCCCTGGATGCCGCCCGTGGCAGTCTGGTCCAAATCGATATGTGTGATCCCCTTGTCGTCAATATATTCCTTGACGGACAAGGTCACTGTGGCGAGCAGAATGACTTTGCGTTTCAGCCAGGGGACACCCTGGAACGCTAGCATTGGGTCGGGATCATCGGCTACGCCACGGTTCTAGATGCAGTCAAACCAAAAGTACCGACGAAAGTCTTGAAATGATCCATACGTACCAGGACCCATTTTCCGGACAGGGCTGCAAGGTTGACTTCGGGTGGTGCTGCCATATCGAGAGTGCTGATTTGATTGAGAAAGGGAAAGGAGAAGAAGGCTGAGCGAGATGAAGAGTTCTGAGTCCGGTCTTTATACACACACAGAGGCTCGTCCAGCTTCGCGCGAAACCACTAACTAGCCACCAAAAGTCCAACGCAACCGCCGTATTGCAGTAGGGCGTCTACTGTCCTTCAGCTGCAAAGGCGAGCCCAACCTTGCGACAGAAGTGCAGATAAGCGACGCGCTAGAACTTCCCACTCGCATCTCAATCAAACTCAAGTCTTCAAGCTGGGATCGCTCTCTCCACAAGCTGAGTGAGTGGAGGAGTGCTTCAGCAGCATGCATTTAGACACCTACTTGGATTATTCGAGAACTACAGATCAAGGTGCAGTAGTTCTACGGCGCTTAGGTTCATCCCTCCCAACCAACCCATTCCCCCTCTCCAAGCAAAAAGTTGTAGCAGGGATTTCGGGCAACACCCTGTTCTTCTCTAGCCAAGGACGATGATGAATTGTGTGCTCAAACAATAGTGAACCCAAACCTGCACCCGGCCACTGCCATTTAGGTCAGTGGACCTGGGAGCCGTGTAAAAACATGCGGTTTCGAGCTGATTGGATTTCTGAGTTCCAAATGGCGAGGTGCCTGAGCCGAGGGTAGGGAGCCTAATCTAGCTCCCTTTTCACGACTACCCAGGGACGTATTCAAACAACCACGCGCTTGAAGCGGAAGTTGTTTTCCCATGTCTTCTCGAAGCGGAAGGCGTTTCTCCTCAGCCAGCCACAAGGTCCAAAACTACCGCTCGCACTAGTCGTGTTTCTGGAAAAGGTCTCTTTAACGATAAATCGAGGCGCCACTTCCATTCGCCAATCGCTTGCGACAATGGCCGTGGTGTGGGAAGTTACTTGCAGGCCATGGTTTCGACTTTCTTCGTAGGCCGGTGTGGCCTGGCGAGGAGGGATCATATCATTTCTCGACTTTTCCGCACAGAGGCTGCACCTTTGAGCCTGATACCTCCTACATCTCTGCAGCTCTGCCGATTCCATCTGTTCTTCATTAGTTTTTCAGCTGAAAGGAGGAATAGGGGGACTTATAAAAAGGAAGTCACGCTGTCCAAGGACCATGCAAGCATCCAGGGACAGCGGCAACACCTCGCCTCTGTGTCCACGTGTCAAAACACCAGTACCAAAAGGCACTCTGCATTTATCGAAGCAAGTTTATCACCTCCCACATGTGATCCGTCACGTCGAGTTCACTGAAGAGTCGTCCTCGTAGCCCGAGCAAGATTTATCCATCGTGGTCACCAAAGGCAAGACGCCTCACAGAGAACTTCACACAGATTAGGAGCAGCTCGGGACTGTATCTGACAAACAGCAAGCGGCGAGAACAGACAAGCCAAAGCTTTGATCCTCACTCGAGAGAGGTCCCGTCCCACACGCTTGGTGATCCTGTCTATCTCAAAAGTCCCTTCCATTTCCGGTCTGTGCATCCATTACGCTGCAGGATTTCTTGCTTGGACATGTTGATGACGTTGCAGGACTCGTCTGACACTCAGGCAGCTAGACTTCTCAAGGCTCTTTGCGACAATATTATACCGTGGATCCGTGTGTAAGTTGAGACTTGGCAACGATGTGCAGATTGCTTGATAGAGGCTGTTGTAGGAGAATCACAGAGCGGTGTTGTGTTTGAGACGCGTCCGTAGGGGTGCACAATCGAACCCTCGCTCTTCGGCTTCGCAATCATCCCCCCGAATTCATCTTGTAGCCCACGATGTATTCGACGCTCTTTCTCACGCGGCACACAGATTCCAGACCTGACGCAACTTCCAGGCCCTGTAAAAACAGGATATAACGCCTCTCTCGTGTGTGATACAGTAATCTCAAAGACAGGATTTTAGTTTTCTCTTCTGTTCTGTCCCTCGTGAGACTAATCGAAGGACATTCGCCGTATCTCAGGCCAGGACGCACAAATAACGTCTTAAAAAATCGTCCTCTTCTCGCCCGAAAGCGAGGTTCATCATGCGCCCAGAGGTCCCAAAGAACCAAGGGCACACTGAATCGGCGCTCTCCATTTCACCATGCTGAACATGATGTGGAAGACTGACGCGGTTGATCGGGATCTTCAGCTGAAGTACACACCAGATAGCTGTTGCCTCGGTGCGCGTTTGGTGAAGGAGCTGGCGCATGGTTGAGCACGCACTGTGAGAACAAGAAACGAGTTGGAGAGGAGTGACAGCCAATGCTGAGCTTGACGTCTGCTGATAATCTAGGCTGGTCATAGCCTTCCGGAACAAACAGAGTGCCATGTTGGAAGATATGCTGACCTGGAATCCTTGTAGTCACCTCCGAGACCTGGCATCCAAGCTAACATGAAACTCGGATTCCGGCCAGTGGATCTCGTCGGCTTCCAAAGGGAAATTCCAGCAATCTTGTGTGTAGGCCAAAAATCTCCGTGCTCTAGGCATAGACCTTGTACGCTTATCCTAGCAAGTCGTTCTCTCCGCTCTCTCTTGATTCTTGTCTCACGCTCCTGTACACCATAACATCCCATGCATGATCACGTATAATGTTCAGCGTTGGAAAGCCGACGCGCGATCCCTCAGGGATGCTTACCAACTTGACGCATGGCTAAACCGTCTTTCACTGCCCTTGGAAGAAGGCTCTGAACGTCGCATTCTCCTTTGGCCGCGTTCAATCCGACCTGCCATTCTTCGCCGGAGCAAATAGTAGGCAGGAGGCGCGCAAACGTAGTTACTCAGAGAGCCGACAACTGGACCGCGACACTTGAACCGACAAACATCTTAGGGTTACGTTCCGACACGCATCCACATTGTCACCTGAAAATCAATCCAGTTGCTCTTAATGAGACCATGCCACGAGGCTCGAGCGATCGGAAAGGTAGGTGACACCGGCTCAAAGAGCTCGACTTGTGTCGGGAAACTCGGGGGAGATTGAACTGTATAGAGTGCCCGGGGCAGGGCGAGAGGGTAGTGGACGGAGCGACTGAAACTGGAAGTTGGCTCTGTGGCGTTGTTCGAGATGGCATGGGATATCCGGAGACTGGCTTCAAGGAGACAATCCAGGAGTCATGCCGAAGGGACCAAGGATGGTTGAAGAGCGTGCACAACGCCATGAAACATGTCGGTAGTGGATTCAAGTTGAATGCATGTCGAGCGCAGTTGGGCCTTGAAAGTGAAAATGAAGACCGCGACGCGTTCTTTCCTACTTAGGCTAGACCCAAATAGTCCTTCCCCAGCACTTAGGAATATCTGCTGTCGGATATCAAGAAGACATGCTTCTGTACATTGTTCGTCCCAGCATGATTGTGCGTCCTCCGAGCTACTTCATTCTCACTTTCGATCACCCTAAATTGGACAGCTATAATTCACTCAGTCTCCTTCAAGGGCCTTACGCGTGGCTCATCAGTGAGGATCCAAACTCGTCCCACTACAATAACATAAGTCTGTCCAAGACGGAGATCAGGATGCTATAAGAAAAAGGCGGCACTGGACAGTCTACCTGGAACTGTCGGGAAATGGTCCTTCGGTGCTTCCGAAGAATGATCCCTTTGCTCGACAGGTCTCCTTACCAAGATCCCTTGTTGTCATATCTTGTCAACACTATCCCTATCGCCAGAGGCATCGACAGTGGTGTTGAAAAGGCCCTCCTCACTTAGACAACGCCTTTCACGATACGATCAGAGGTGTAACCACGGACGGGCCACCTCAATACATGCTCAATGTGTGACAAGTGAACAAGGGGTCCTTCAGCTTTAGTGTTTTGATTGTGAGGTCAAGAGCATATCTATCCCAATTGCTCAAGTCAAGTCTGCTTTGAACAGACGCAGCTGTCTGAGCTAAAACGTTCCTCCCTTTTTTCCAAGAGCCGACCACTCGACAGAAAGGTGTACAGTGAATTGAGCTCCCTTGCGATCCCCTGTCCAGCAGAACGGTTTCCAATGATCTGCCCACCCAGGTATCCAAGACCATTTCCTTTGTTCATCTCCTCTTTGGCTTCTCATCATCCGCATCAAATGGGTCTATCATCATCACACGGCGTGGTTTGATTGCACCACCAACACGACCAGCTCTCTGCACCTTCTTGGTGCGGGTACAACGCTTGCGAGTCTGACACCCCTGACACGGACGAGGGCTGAATCTCATCTGGGGCCGAAGCTTCGGTTGGACTTTGCGACAGCTGCTGTTGGGACACTGAATGTGTGCAGTTGAGTTTGCACGCGACTTCTTGCCGCAGTCGAGGCATTTCCATTCGATCGCTTGGCGGTAGCACATGTTGTCTGTTGTGAGGAGGTAGTGAGGAGGTGGATTGAAAAATTGCCGGTCAATGGAGAATGTCGTTGAGGCAGATACTCTGCAGGTTGACAAAAGCTGACAGAGTGCTGGGTAGGTAGAATGTGACCTTGGAAATGATGAGATGGATGTTGTGAGGAAGTTGGCGCTTGTTTGATTTGGTTGTGTCAGGTCCAATGCTGAGGATTGTTCTCAATGCAGAGGTATTTCTGGGAGAGACTAGCAAGAAGTTGATGTGAAAAACCTGTGAACAGTTCTGAAGACCTCAAGATAGGCGTGAAGCTGTATTGAAGGCGATATTGAAGAACCAAGTTGCTGGAAAGGTATGGAGGGACAATATATATACATTTGTGCAAACGCACCCCCAGCCATCTTTGAAGGAAGTGAAGACGAGTGATGCCATTGATCATGTCTATTCAATTCACCACCTACCTATTCACAGTCTCAGAGTGAGTGAATAAATGCCTCACCCAGTACAATAGCATGGGTGGCTGGCGAAATTCACTGCCTGCTTCTGTTGAGGGAAGAGGGTCTGGTACATACGCATGAATCACCTGTCCACCCACCCACTGACCTGCCTGCCCGCCTTTGTTGTTCGGAAATGAGTGTTTGACAGAGCAACCCAAAAGAGAAGTCGAACCCCTTGGCCTCCGAATCCCATTGTCTTGCTTGTATGAGAAGACCAGACCCTCCCTTCCTTATTCCATGTCATTTCAAATGAAGTGAAGCGAAGTGAAGCGAAGTGAAGCGAAGGGAAGGGAAGGGAAGGGAAGGGAAGGGGAACGTAGTGGAGCAGACTTCTGGAGCGGAAGAGTGCTAGCGGTCGGTTTCACCCGCGCGGCTTGCTGACCTGCTTTTGACCCATTCCAGGAACACGTCCTCATTGTTCTCAGCTGCTGTGGGCCCTCCTGGACTGGCCAGCTAATGCCAGCTACCCTTGTCTTGCATTGCTCTGTTCCACCCGGCTGGCTGGCTGGCTGTATAAGGAGAGAGAGCGAGAGGATGGGAGCTTGCAAAAGTGCCAAGAGCGTAACAGCGGAGCGGGGCGGGGCGGAGATCGGATTTTGAGGCGATTGAATTTAGGGCTTAGCAAAACGTCTTCCCAAGAATCAATGCCGCAAACCCCATCATGTGTCAAGATCCAGAGACAGCGACTGTCTTCCTGTTTCTTGCTTTTTCCAAGTCTTCCCAATTGGTATCCGGACTCCGGACTGGTGGTAAGAATCATGAGCTCCGTGTCCCAGAATTTGTATACCTCTCCTCGTATCCTGACTCGACCCGTCTCTCGAGCTTTGCCTTTTGAAGCTAACGCAACCGCCTCAGCTGTTCCCCCCACGCCCTGACCTCTTGTATTGTCACTCCCAATTGCCCCTCCATCAAGCCGCCTTCCCTTATAACTTCTTCCAGCTCTTCATCACTCATGCTTAGTAACGCCTGTTCTAACATCTCTCCGTCCACCACTCTGAACGGCTCATCTTTCTCCAAAATATTAGTCTTGAATGCCCGGAATTTACTCCAAGGCATATAGCCTGGGGTCTGCACTCGACTCGCCAACGCGGACTGCAAGGTCAGAAGCACGTTCACGAAACCCGGATTGATGGTTGCAAGCATATATATCGCACCCTCGACGGTCGCCACGAATGCCCGCGGCGTAACGACCGGTCCCTTCCGGGAAGCCTCGGGGGCGACCGACTGCTCAGCGCTGTCATAACGCCGACCATCGGGGTTTGAAAGGTCCTCGACCAACTCCGGATTCTTTCCGTGGCTGTTCCTGTTTTTTCCTGGTGATGCTGGAGTGCGTGCTAAGGGGACAATTTGGTTGACGACCTCATTCAGTCGGAACTCCCCCGTAACTTCTAGCCGGTAGTCGAAACCACTAGGCTTATTGACATCTCTGGTTTGGCGAAGCATGATTAAGTTGCCTTCCATGTCGGCAAGAACCCACTCGTTTTCCATTATGATCGCAGTGGCTGAGGACCAGACTGTAGCAAAATGGCGGGATATTTCTGGTAGCGAGTAGCCCGTGGACGAAGAAGAATCATAGATGACTTGAAGGATGGATAGCGATTTCATTAGATCGGCGACAGCAATTGAGGCGGGTTCGTCGAGAGAGGCGGGCTTGACGGCAAGAGACAGTGGGTTTGTCGATGTGCGGTAGGTGGCCAGCTTTTCCAGTCTGAGGGAGGGGTCTCCTCTTGTTGATGAAGGCACGAAACCGTAAAGAACGATCTGGTGACGCCAGTTAGCTGCAGAGCCAGCCGGCCACGAAAGACTAAGAACTCACCGTCTTCATCAAGCCCGCCACAAGCTTGCCGTCACACATGGCTAGACTTTTACACGCAGCCTTGACCTGGAGTTGTGTAACTTCCATCAACTTGTTCTCTTTGTTGACCTCGTAAACAAGAATTCGGCCTCTCGGCCACTCCACAGACTCTTTTTCCTCGATAAAGCTTGTCCCTACCACAAACATCTCTCCGTAGGTACGGGATTCGGTCTCCGTCTCGAACGAGCCAGTCGAAACAACACACTCTACCAACTCGTTGTTTCCCAGTTCTATTGCGTCCAACTCCCTGAAGCTCACCTCATCTGCAATCTTGACGGAGCTCATCGTCACTTCCTCGCCATCTTCGATGTCTCGAGTGACGCAGCCCATCGCGAATATCTTAGCCTTGGGTTCGTAGGTGAGACATCTGACTGTTTCATGAATGGGGAGGGTTTGCACTTGAGTCGTCCTCTCCGTACCGATCAAGGCCAGCTTCAGCTCGCTTGGAGTCGCTATAGCAATGGCCTCAGGATATGCTTCGGAATTGAAGCTGCACACACGAGAGGCACTATCAGTATTTACAGCTGAGTATATAATGCGGCCTTCAGAGGAATAGATCAAGGAGGGCTGTTCGCAAGAAGCGAAGATATTAAACAATCCTGACCGTCGATCCTTGGGTAGTTGTTTGAAGAACACGGGCTCTGTCCCCAATAAGATCCTCGTCATACCCGACAGAGCACTCTTCAAGGGGTCAACAGAATATGACAGAACTGTGCCGTCGGCCATTGCAACGAACAAAGTCGGGGGGCTGTCAGGCACGACGTTAGCAACCAGGACTGATCGTGGGATATCTGTCCCAGGACTGCCAACCACCTGTGAATAGAGGGTATCCAGGGAGTGTAGGTCGAGAATGGCAACAGAGGCTGTTTGCCAGAATGACACGATACAGATGCTACTCTGTGTGTCTGGAATGGTCACACCTGATATCTGCGAATTGGGCGGGAAGGTCTTCGAGACGGCGGGTTTGGCCGCGCTGTTCGTAACGTGGAAGACGTGAAGAGTGTGACCACCTTCCACAAGGAGCAGATGGGCTGAAGAGGCACTCGCAGCCGTTATCTTGGCCGCCGCATCGGGCGATTTCCATTCCATTGTCAGCATACTCGACTCAAGATCTGTAATTCGAAAACCAGTCTCATAGACTTGGACGAGCTTTCGGTCTGGAAGATTTGTTGCGAGCAGCGTTGGCTGAGAGAACTCGAGATGATTAAAATCATCAACTTCTTCAACCGAGGCTTCGGCATCAAATTTGAATATTCGAGTCTCGTTGACGAAAGACACAAGCAAAGTGTCTTGGGTGTCATCCAGACCTGTTGAGCTCAAGCCCCATAGGTCGATAATGTGAGAGAGCTCGCCAATAGAGCCAATCTCTTCCAGTCCAACACCACTTCTGACGCTCCGAATGCTACCATCCTGCCAAGCCCCAGAGGCTGCCACTATCCTGGCCTGACCAGAAGAGAATTCAAGAGCTGCATTACCTTCGGAACCTCGACCTAGATCCATAATGGTGAAGTCGAGGATAGGCGCAATGTTGGGAAGGGTCTGTATGACACGAACCCCTTCCTCTTCGATATGCACAACTTGTGAATCGCCTGAATGTGAACCGACAAAGACGTTGCCCTCATCGAGATAGATCAAGGAAGAGGCCCTCGAGGTAACTCCGACAGGATCGAGTCTCCATGAGATCACCTCGGAGAAGCTAGTTTCGATCATCAAAAAGAACAATTTGCCATAGTCATCTGCAAGCAGCCACCGTCGATCGTCGACTTTCGCCCAAGTGGTCCATATCGCTGGGCCACCCTCTGGAATCTTCTGAGTTATGACATTGGTGAGGTCGCGGTCGACGTAGCGAATGGCGTGGTCGCCCAGAATCAGAAAGCCTCCATAAGGAACGGGGACGGGAATGAGGTGGCTCACGCCTTTGTCGAGCTGGTTACCCTTGAGTTCGGCCACTTTCTCCAAATCTGCAGATGCCTGCTCTCCCCCAGGGCGGTACTTGAGCTCTCTTAGCACCAATTGCGGGAACTCCAAATTGTCTTCCCACAAGATCGCCAGCCTCGGATTGTCTTTTGAGTCGGGATCCATGTCCAAGAAAGCAGACGATCTCGTCAACAACTCTTCGATTCTGACCTGCACCGGCTCCCCAAGGGCTCCCACCTGAGTGGTGGAAGTGGTTTCCCTTTTGACCCGTTTGTTGGAAGGTTGAATGAAAGGCAACACTGATATTACTCCATCGTATAGCTCCAACGTCATGTATCGCCGCGTTGGATCTACATGGCCTCTGTCCGCCTCTTGCGAGCTGTGAAGAGCCTTGTCCGCCAAATCCACATAGCTCTGCTCTGTTCGTAGCTGTTTTGTCTGCGCATTCCATGAACAGGTGAAGTACTGGTAGCAATCGGTGCCGACGAAAAGGTGATCGGTCTTGGAAGACTCTGGGCGGAGCTTCTCAAGGATGGTGATGTAGCCGGGTATGACCTTCGTGTGCAGCAGGCTTAAGCCTTCTGGTCCTTGCTCGAATATTTCGAGTCGATTCGCTTTCCTGGATTATGCACTCAGCCTAGGCCGTCGGCGACGGGTTTTGCAAGTGTACTTACGAGACAATGAGCGTATCAGTGGTAGGATCTAAGAAATTCAACTTGATGGCGTGGCGTACACCACTCGGAGGGTGGATTGGTACAATGTAAGACATTGTGAATCTTGTTCGATAAGTCCTGATCTCATAGAGGGGCCGTACATTCGCGATTCATCTCCCACGGCCGGGCAACGAGGTGGAATGGGTTGTGGTATGAGACAACCCAGAACGAGTCGTAAGGTCGATGCGGCGCACTCGTTGCAGATTGAAGCCTCAGCCTCAAGCCTCCAGCGTTGTGGGTTGTTTGTCAGTTGGTCATGGATAATTCTCCTGCTAGGTGCGTCGGAGAAGCGCAGTTTGCGGGATGCGGAGAAATCGTATGTAATCGACGCGAGGCGCGCAGTGCTTCTCTACAGGGCGAGATGGGTCGTAGCATGTGGAATTGAATTCAAAAGTCATTGGATCATCTCAAGGGCCTGAAGACTTCTCCTCAGCAGTGCTGATGTACAATAGAGCCTCTGGACATGCACATCTCCAGCAACACGAGGTTGTTGTGTACGCAGTATCACAAAGTCACTCACTATTCCTCATCGGCGAAAAATCCTGGATCAACACGCCTCATATCATGCTTGCTGCTTGTCCCCTGTCCCATCCCATTCCGTAGCCCTCAGATGCCAGTCCTGTTGTCCTAATGCTTTGGAAGCCAACGCCATCGCTGTGAACACATCCAGAGATTCATCCACCCACATCTCCCGTTATTCCTCAGCTTCGTGAACACAAAGCCACCACCACTCCAACGTCTCGTATCCCTTCGACCTGTTATCAACCTTTGCAAATCCAGACTGTACACACCACTGCAAAATGAGTTCCACTTCGACTTCATCAAGCACAAATCCAAAAGACCTCGAAATCTGCGAAGCAGATACACCCGGCGTTTGTGAGACGAGCCCGATCACGCCGACAAGAAAGATGCGCCATAGTGTCATTTGCACATTTCCATGAATGTCAACCCACATTGGGATGAAACCCATCGGCTCATCTGCCTGCCCACGCGGAATGGGGAGCTGGCGTACTCCTAAAGCGCCTGACCAGGGATCTCCAAAAAAGTAATCCTTTGTCGGTGTGAGCTCGACGCTGAAGCCCAACAACTTCTTGTCCAAATTTTTGGTCCGGTACCCTATGCGTTCATGGTCCAAGCCATAGCGAGTCTTTGGCACGTCCGCACCCGGTCGGAGTCTGACTCGTCCCGATGCCATCAAATTTAAAACTGCCATCATCTCACCGTCTAGGACCAGCTCTTCTTTCTCAATCTTGACAGTGTTTCGCCTCGCAAACTCGCGGTCCAGAACTTTCGATTTGTATGTAACAGCACAACGCAGCACGTTCGGGGTGAGCATGCCGCGCTCCTCAAATCGCTCAAAGAACTTCCGGTGAGCTTCCCAAGTGCGCACACGCAATGCTTGCTCCGATGAGTGATCATTGAGTTTACGTTGAATGACCTTCTCATCCTGGAGCAACTTTAACGCACGTGTAAGGAGCGCATCGCATTCTCCCGGATTTGGGGCAAGGGTGGAGAGCTTCTTCTGCGCTAAATCCGGATTGAAAACCGATTGCGGGGTGAAAATGGTCGCGAGGGCCCATGACTTGGCTATCCGAAGGGCTGGATTAGCCATCTCGAGTTCGAACCCGTGATGATAGCGAAGAACGGCGTGTTGTATTGTAGAATTGGCAAATGTGCCGAAAATTGTCGACCTTGCGACTTCTTCTTTGGCACTCGCTGTGCCGTTATTCCAAGAGATATCGTGGAAAGATTTGAGTTGGGTGAATTCCAGGGTATAGGTATTCAGCAACTCATCTCGCTTGGCTGGAAGGTATGCGATCCGTTTCAAGTGGAAATGGTCGAGGTTCTTCAAGGCCCACTCAACGATGGCGCGCCAGTCCGTGGCTTCGAGGTTATCAAAGGCGATCGACGCTACCTCGCCCACTTGTAGAGCTTGCAAGTACTTCGACTGCAGATCCGATGTGAGGATTTGTATATCAGCACCATATCTGGTCGATAGTGTATTCCAGCGGGCTTTGATAACTTCTTCCTTTTGATCGGGGAATAGCGTCATGACAATCTGCCAGTTGATAAAACTTGACATGCCCCCTGCTAGCGTCCGAACCACAATGACAGCAACGGCAATTCGGTAGATCACCTCCTCTGGCATAGTCTGCAGCCACTTGGCGTTTCTAGGGAGTCTTCGGCTTGTACTGTTAAAGGCTGAGATTTCCCTATGCCTCGAGGGTGCCAAGTCCGCAGCCCGTACCATCCTTCTGCGGCGTTTAGGCGAAGGCAGAGTGCTGAAGCCATTGTCATCTTCGGACATCCTGCGCTTCAGTGGTCTGTTTGGTTGTCGAGGTCCAAGTCCTGGGGAGGGTGGTGGCATCAATTGTAGATCTGCCTCGTTTACCGCAGCAATTTGAGAAGCAGCATTGGGAGATGCTTGGAGGGCGCTCACAAATGCTGCCCATGATTCAACAGGCGGATAGATAACCTCGACCTCATTCCCATCCCCATCGAACTGTACCATACTGCTAAACTCGACCGCCAGGGGAAGGACCGACCCCATGTATAGGGCGGCTGGGACCGAATGATTGATGAACGCGAACCTAGACCGCTTCGACAGAGCCGCGTCAGGCTCCTGTTCTTCCCAGGCACGAACTCCCTCAACTTCGCAGGCGAAGCGCTGCCAGTCAGCATCGTGAGCTTGGAAGGCATCGTAGTCCAGCTTAAGATTTGGTTGCTGCAGAATATCTTCCAAGGAAGAAGGAAAATTTCGCCATATTATTGACCTTCCAGCTGTCCGAGAACCTTGCTCTTCGAACCTTCGCTGCCGCCGAACGCGTCGAAAAGCACTGGATTTCCAAGGATTCGCGTCGGAAGTGTCGGAGCGCAATGCACTCACGGGACACTCCTCTCTCCACCTATGGAGATGGACGACAGGAAGCGACCCTAACGACGGAATTCTGAGCGTGACAAAGCTGCTCGCTGGCGTTTCTGGCAGCGGTGATGCGACTGGCTTTGTGCGGCTTCTCTTATCCCTACTGGTAGTGGAGGCGTTCGTCCCTTCCGACCCAGCCAACGATGCACGCCGTCTCCTCATTGGTTGCTCTTCGACCTCAGGGCTTCTGCTCGGGGCCCTTTTGTTGACAAGAGGAATACGGTAGCTTTCATCCCTCCACTCAGGGGGGATGTAATCAGTGGGTTCGGCATTGATAATGTTCTGCTTCATATCCTCGACGGCCTGAGACAAAGGGTCAATTTGCGGTAAGAAAACAACCGAACGCTGAACCATGATTCCAGCTTTTCCTCGAAACGTGAACGTAACCTGCTTCAGCCTCCGAGACTCGGTCAAGGACTTCATTACTGCTTTGATGGTTTTAAGTAGGGGTCGACCTTCTCCTCCCGCCTCTTGCCAGCGAGGCAGTGAGACACGTTTGAAAGTTGAAGGATCGTTTGGCACGACTCCTGATGTTTCCTGAATCAGTTGAAGAATGATCCTGCGGAAAAGAGCATTGGCGCCCTCGAAATAGCGTTTGGTTCCCTGAGCATGTCGCTTCTTTGGCCGTGATTCCTCTCCGGAATCTCCCACTTCAACAGACACAGTTCTTGCGCTGTTTGCCCTTGAGACTCGCATTTTGACAACGGTTTCTGGTGGAAAGGAACTTTTCTGTGAGACGTTGTCCCGCACCTCTGTTGCGTGATTGTCCTGTTGCAGCTGGTCACTCATGGGAGGGCTTCTAGATGCCGCAATGTCGGGGATTCCCTCAAAAAATGTTTCTGGTGGTGAACTCTCAGGCTGTTCTCTTTCAACCGATGGAATCACCATTGGTTCCGTCTCGTCAGCATTAGGACTGACAGAAGCAACCATTTCTTTGTCACTGGAAGCAGGGGATTGTGTATACTGAGCAATTCGAGTCTTGACGACGTTTGAGTATGACGCATCTGTGGAGTGCTCCTTCATAGGCGAGTGGCAAGTAGAATACGACGGTTCCTTTGCGCGGAATACTTCGGATTTTCGATCAGCGGACGTCTGATTGCGAAGGTCAAAATCCGTAATAAGAACTCCGGATGAAACCTCTGGGACATCGGGAAGGACATGAAGGTCCCGGTTGTGGTCTGGCTGCAAGGACTCCTTTGCTTTTTGGGTTAACTTCCGATTTCTGGTAGATCTGGTACTGGGGTTCCCGGTCATGTCAACGTTCGGACCCGGAGCAATTGGGGTTTTGGCGTCTTTTTCTTGGGTGCTTCGTTGCGACTCTCTCCTAGCTTGACCATTTCCAATTCTTGCGTGATCTGAGAACACGGTCTCATTTGCATCAGATGAGGCTTTGGTCGCCCTAGTGCTTTCAAAAGGAGGTCCATTGTCTTCATCAGTAGTGTCCGTGACCACATTCACTGGAAGTTGAACATCAGGTGAGTTAAGAAGTCGAGGAGGTAGTGCTGTCCGCAGGCCCGGGTCTTCGTAGAAAACGCCCAACTTGGGTCCTTGTCTCTTATTTTCTTGGTCCTTACCGGCTGCGATTCGACCCTGGCGCTTCGATTTCCTTGGCGTACGTGGTACTGATGTATGCATAGTTGGGAGATCGGGGTAGTACCTTCTGTATATGAAGCTGTGTGATGCGCTGGAGGAGATGAAGCGGAATGGATAGACAACAGTCCTGTCGTTGAAGTCGACTGATGTTAAACGTGGAGTTTTCACGATCATTATTTGGGCTAACCGCTGGCTGTTGTCAGAGCGAAGCCCTTTGGGAGATATATAGATCCCCTCGAGAGAACGTTCAAGAATGGCCCTTGTGGAACGGATCCAATCCTCGTTGATGTCTTCTGGAAGCATGGGAATTGGCAACCCAGCCTCCAAGGCCTGGACCAAATTCTCATCGAAATTTGCCGGACGACGGGCGTACAGAGCAATAGCTGAGGGATCTTGGGCCGTTCCCTTTTTGAGATCGTCAGGATTCGCCCCGGCCTCCAGTCTGGCTTGCTTGAATTGCATCCGCCAGAACTTTTCTGTGCCCCGCATGTATTTGCGAGGTCGACCGATCACTATTTTCTCTTCCTCATCGGAGTCCCTGCGGCGTTTCGGTTGTCGCGTCGGCTGGCGCGAAGGGTGAGACAAACGAGCAGACCTATTCGTCGTGCTGGACGATACAGGCACCTCATTGCGTAACATCATAGTCACCTTCGTCCCTTGCTTGACAATTACAGGCTCTCCATTGCGTTTTGTGACATCTCCGGGCGCAGCTGCTGTTATCAGGTCGAAAAAGGTAACCTCGCCATGCCGCAGCTGCAAGGCTAACGGGGCTTGCAATGGAAATCCGAATTCGTCCGTATTAGCATGAGATAGGGAGGTCTCGCCATCTTCATAAGCAGTCTCCTTCTCTGCGAGCCCCTTCATGATTTGACGAGCCCCTGGAACTTCAGAAACGTCGAGATGGCCGGCTGCCACCTTCTCTCGAAAAGCATCCCATGAGTAGTGAACATACTGGACGACCCCTTCGTGTCTTACAGTGGTCCGGACAATGGCCAGGTGTCGCAAATGCTGTGGTTGCATGATAAGTGACTCGCAAGATATTCGGTGCAACAGAGACTCTAATTGACGACGCACAAAATCTCCAGTAGTCATCTTACGTGCATTCTTGTCATTGTTAGATCTGCAACACACATAAAGAGGTAGAAGGGCATACCAAGTTGGTCAGACCATCCGAACCCGCAAGCCGGACGGCATCAACTAGAATATTAGGCATTGAGCGATCGGGGTTCCATCTGGCAGGTTTATACACGGCTTCTGAAGTCTCTTCATTTTCCTCCTCGGTCGGATGAACCGCAGCACTTCCATTGTTTCGATCTTCTGCGTCGGAAATAGATGCCAATTCCTCAATTGTTTGATTCAAAGCCAGCCTCTCCGTGTCGAAACTCTCTAGATCTGCAGTGTCAGGGCGATGCAGAAGTTGAACGAAATGTCGAAGGTCGTCAGATGTTGCAGAAGGTCCAACCGCAGTTCGAACTCTCTTGATGCACTTCAGCTTCTCGAGCCGACGAATAATCTTGGACAGTATGGCTGACTCTCCCGAAGCCTCCAGGCTCAGCTCTTCCGCCAGTTCGGTCTGAGATATAAGATTGTGGTCTTCCAACACATCAAAGATCCGGCGGACAACATCTCGCAAAGTCGATCCATGTTGTGGGAGGCTATGAAGTTTATGGAATGGCTCGGCGTCGGCTGTATTATTATGGGCGAACTTTTTCAAGGTGAGCCGGCTGGTCCGAGTACCGTGGCGAAAGACGATTTCTTTGGTTATGTAGCCCTTCTTTTGCAACGAATCCGTGCGTTTTGGCACAGAGCGTTTGTCCTGCCCAGAAGCTCGCACAAGGTCTCCCTGAAGAATCCCAGTTGACCTCGCTGCAGCAATATGAGACAAGAGTTCGAACTCAAGCGGCACAACCTTGCTGATATCCGGGGGGTGGCCACATATAGCGTGATAGATTCGCGCCTCATTAAGAGAGATACGTGGTCCCTGAACAGCACGGGCTTTTCCAGGACTTGGTCGTTTCTTCGGCGTTGCACTCGGTTCGTTCGACCTGTCAGATGTGGTGTTGTCCTCAGTAGGTGTTTGCCTGTGGCCAAAGCCAAGGTCGAGGTAGTTCGGGAATTGGACCTCGATCTCGGCCAACGATGTCTTTTTGTACTGTTTATTGTCACCAATAGAGACATCGGGATGCTGACCTAGCCATGACCAGACCTTGGAAAGTAAAGGCCGGTCAACTGTGACTCTTGAGTCAGGGTCAATGTCCCCGACGGGCACATTGGGTCCTGAGGCATCTTCTGGGTCGTCGTAAAATGAAGAAATGAACTGTGCGACTTCACTAATGGTGACACCTATGCGTAGACTTCGACGTTAGCATTCGTGATGCATGGGTGTGGGGCGGGAGCCAGTGGTGAGGATGTGAAGCTGGAGCCATCGCCACTGGGAACCTCGGATCATGCAAGTCTGGAGGGGAAAATGTGTCGCGAAATAAACTGACCTCGACTTCCACTGACGGCAATTTCTTCGAGTAGAAACTCGATCAAGTCGTCCAAGCCCTTCGCCATCGTCTGTACCCCATCTCATGATGCGTTGAAGGGCTCCTGGGGGTTCTGGCCACCAGATGGGAGTGTTGTCACATTCGTGACTCTTTTTTTCCCTCCCTGGTTCGAGTCCAGCTGCCTCAAATTTTGGCTGTGGCCTTGGCACGGAATGTCTCGCATGTTGATTGGCTTGGATGGCACCGCCAATCACGGTCAAAGCACGTGATCCAGATGCCACTGGATACATAGCTGTGCTAGCACTGCTGTTATAGCTAGTCGTTCAGATCAGTAGCAGGTGAAATAGTCTGCACTTAAAGTCTCTCGCCAGTGACATTGGCTCATTGGGCTACGCGTTACGAGACATGTTTACTGAACAGGGAGGGGGGCGATTTCGGATAAAGGACGGACACACGTCTTAAAAGGTCAATACTTGTTCTATGATCCATCTAGAAGGCGATGTGGTCTGTTGTATTTGGCCAGCCTTGAATGAACATGTAAGTGCGAGTCGAGAGACTGTCTCTTCAAATGAGTTTTTCCGGTGCCTCGATCCCATCCCTATCACAGACTTTCTCTGGCTACAATTCCGCACATTCCCCCTGCCCTAACTCCCCATGCTGGACAAAGCAAGCAGACTCCCGATTCCTTGCATTTTTGGGAACAAGTGGGAACACTGGAGAATAGCCAAAAGTGCTGAGATCTGCCTTCCCACACCGACTGTACTTCGAAGCCGCATGTCGGCCAGATATGGTGAGAGACGAGTAGATGTACAAAAGGCCGCAATACCAGCTTCTGGTACAGCATGTGCAGCGTCAGAGATCGCACGGCCTGCAGTGGCAACTTTTGAGGCGACATCAGGACGCCGCGCCTCTTGACGGACCATATCTTCGATTATTGCGCTGCTTTTGTGGCTTGGACACTGTGCTCCAGCCGTCTTCTTCCAGTTCTGTTGCCGTGCTGGCTGCAGGAGGCTGGGCGGCTGGTCCATTCCTCCACGAACCGTTAGCCTTCGTAGACGTAGGGGTCTGCACAATTTGTTTGGGTTTCACAGCTTTGTCGTCGGTTGGTTGAGGCTGTTCTTCACCCTCATCATTTTCCTCATCTGCGACCATATCATTCATGCCTGTGTCGGCACGGCGAAGAATATCAAACTTGGGAGTAGCTTGAGTGTCGTCCTCGCCGTTCTCTTTCGTGGTTCCGAGCTCCTTTGTCTCCTTGGGCTCCTTGGGCTCCTTGCTCTCTTTGCTCTCCTTGCTGGGTGTTTCCTTAGCTCGGTCCTTGTCCGATTCGGCTTTCTCCTTTGCCAGTCTCTTTTCCTCGGCCCTTTCGGCCTTTGCCTTTTCTTCTGCCTCCCTTTTCTGACGGATAGCGAGTTGGCGCTTTTCTTCAACCTCCTTCTCTTTCGAAGCCGTGTCGACCGGACGGGCTGCTCCAAATGGGCTCGATTTGGTGTCCGAAATTGCAGCTGGGGATGCAGCGGGGTCCGTTTCGGAAACGGTTCTCTTCTGCAAATTCAATTTCGGCCTGGTCGCCGGAGCTGGCGGCGCTGCAGGAGAGGAAGGCTCGCTGGCCTCGGGTGTTGGCGCTTTGGCAGCATCGGGCCTCATTCGAGCGCGCCATTGATTATCGAGTTCCGGTGCTGTCGGCTGTCGCTCAGGAGGGGGGCGTTCGGCGTATTCGCGTCGTGGAGGTCGAGACCCGTCCTGTGATCTCGCCTCGCCCCAGGACGGCGAATTCTTGCGGAAGTTGTAGCCCTCCTTACTTCCTTGCCTCCCTCCCTCCCGCAGAGTCGTGGGTCCAGGAGTAACTGGTGACAACGGACCTTTTCTTTCCCAATTCGAGAAGTCCCTAACCTTTCCATCTCCTTCTCCATATCCGCGCCGTGGACCACGTTCGTTGCCGTGGCCCCTCTCACTTCCGGCGTCGGACATGTTATCATAGCTGCGCCCTCCATAACCACCTGGCCTGTCAGAAACTCGGCGTTGATTCGGCAGTTCTGGGAGGGGTCCTTTTCTTGACCAGTCGCCGAAATCGCGGGTTTCATGTCTTTCCTTTGCTAACCAGACAGTCAGTTCAAGCCATAGAAAGGACCCGGTGGTAACTCACGTGGTTCAGCGACGCTAACACGGACCTGGCGACCTGCCAAGTTGCTGCCACTGAGAGCCAATGCAGCCTTCAGACCATCCAGAGTTGCAAATTCAACATAACCAAATCCCTTGGGCTTGCGATCTTGTTTGTCTTCCACAATGCGGACGTTTGTAACCTGGCAATCTCGAAAGAAATCGTTTATGTCTCCTTGTGTGGCATCGAATGATAGGTTTGCAAGATGTGCAGTGAAAGGAGGTTGCGTGGGCAGAGGGAGTTGTTCTCTTGCAGGGTATGTGTCTCGTCGTTCTGTTGGTGATTGCAGTCTACAGTCAGTCTGTCCTATTTTGGAATCCGACAGATGGCGACGAACCTTGATAGCCATTACCCATGCCAGTAGTTGTGCTAAACGCCCTTCGTTCTGACCCATAGCTTGGTCTTGTGTCGGAGGCTGTTGTTGCACAAAGTCAGCGTCCGTTGCCCCTTGAAGGTTTTTATCACGTTTGCAGAGTACTCACTAGGAAGGGGCATGTCCTCCATCTCATCCGCCCAGGAGCCATAGTCTACCGACAGTTAGCGACTTGGTCGGCTGCATTCAGCCTCGGGTGAAACGCACTCTCATCCTGCAAGAAGGTCCCGAGGGACATTTTTTGGTTCTTTTTGGGAGCTGGAACATGTCAGCAAGTGAACGTCCCGACACAACCAGTTGCGCAGGCCCTGCGCCGAAAGACGCCATATGCTCATACCCATGATTGCGAAATATCAGCGGGCGCACAAAGTATGTACGTCCCGTGGTGAATTCGGAAAGGCGAGCCGTAAGTCACAGCCCGAGCACGTCGTCGAATGTATTACGACCAGACAAAGGCCTGAAATTGATAGCGTTTGATAGTAGACGAAGTGCAGCGCCTCGTGGACGTCGGCGCGGTGGATGTGTACGAAAGTCTCTGAAAGATTTGCGGGCGGTAGGAGAGACTGCAGGCAAGTTTGTCCGGCCATTTCTTTCCTTGACCCGCTCGCTGCCACTTTGGGTTTGGCGCGGCAGGCCAAATTGGGGGCTTGGCGCGATCCTGCATCTCCAACGTGAAAGGTGCATCCGTTCACCCATTATTCACCCATTCTGCCATTCCTTTCGGCTTGTACGGCGTTCTAAGAGCTGTAGAATGCGCCATGTCCGATGAGCAGCCTCACGTTAGGAAAGACGTCCTCTGGAAGCCCTTTGTGCCGGCCCTCTACGTGGGAGCCGCGACAGGTGGGAAACCATGCTATCCAAAGGACAGTCAATGATCTGATCCATTGACTGTGGCAAACAGGGGCTTGTGGTGCGGCGTACGGCGGTATAGCTGGCACTCTCATTCAAACTTCAAACCCATTGGCCTATACTGCAATCTCTGCAACACAATGGTTCTGTGCTGGCACCACCTTCTTCTGTCTGTGTCACTACTGCCCAAATTTCCGCCTAGCATCTGCTCATAATTTTCTAGATTGCCGGAGTGTATTGCTGGCAGGCCCCCTATCTCGGGATAAGGACCTGCACCGGGTCGCCGCGAGCGGCATTGCAGGTTCATGTTCAGGAGCAGTGATTGCAACCTTCTGTGAGTGGCGGATGCAAGAGCGGTACGGACATGGTTTAACAGCAGTCAGTGCCTCGAGGAAGTTTCGTGACGGGCGGCATCATGTTCGGGGTCATTGCTGCTTTGTCTCAAGCAGGGTTGAATACCACGCAAGGCTCCCCATCTTTTGCCCACCTCTCTTCACGCCTGAAAAATGGCTTTTCATCATTCTCTCCCATGAAATCTCTGTCGGACAAGGAGTATGAGGACCTACTTTTAGACAAGCTTCTCAGGATTGATGCGGAGATTGCTATACTGGACGACAAGATAGCCAGCCTACGCGCCGCAACGGACCAACGTGTCCACATGGAGGACCAGGAGCCGAAAAGCCGCCCAAGCTGAAACCTATTTTACCTTACCAAAAATCGTTCATTATCGCCTTGATGAAGATGCGTCTGGGCGTGTGGTGACGAAGAGTGTGATGGCACTTTTCAAGCAGAATGCCGCTGGAAATACGTATCTGGAAGATCAACGTTCCATTAAGATCGACGACTGGGAGTCCCAGAGTGGCTATTCTGTTCGACAGGATATTGTCCAGTCGGTACAACGCGGGCAATCGACGAAAGGCAAGCTTCGCAAAAAGTACCCACACCACGGAACAGACGATTGGCGACTGATAGCCTCGACTGAGGCATGCGCTCCGTGCAGCCAGCCCTCCTCCAAATATGGGTAGAGATACGGAGACAGCCAAAAATGAAAGATTGGCGAGTACCTGGAGATTTCAGAAAGAAGCGATGACGAGAGACGGGTCGCCTGGTTGTAGGATGATTTCGAGAGATATGATTGGCATGGGTAGATGCTCTACTAAGGATCGTGAGAGACGGCAGTTATTTGCTGCACTACGATATGAACAAATTTAGGCATAAATTAGGACGGGATGCTTCAAGAAGACATTGGAGCTTGGAGCTTGATCATCTAGACTGCCCTTCTCATCCTTTACACAGGCTGAGTCACCAATGGATAGCTGCTTTGGGCTGCATATGTGCCGAAGAGCTTCTTCCCAGTGCGGCGTGCCCACTCCACCCTCCGAACCCTCGTATTTTCCGGCCCGCACTCTCGCGACATTCCATGCTTCCTTGCTCCACCATGCGTTTTGATTAACAGTGACCGGGGGCGCCGGCAACTCTCTCCCTCGCTGTCGCATGGCTTCAGCCTATTGACTTGGAGTGCGACAGAACGATATATCACCCGCCGGCCGTCTGAAGTAACTGCGCCTGTGCTTCACTGCTGTCACACTCGCCACCCTGGGCAATACCTCAGCAGCCCGCAGCCCGCAGTCCGTCCCCCACACGTCTTGAAGAACGCACCTGGAGACTTCGACCGGGATATTGGAGTCCACGCCCACCCACTGCGTCTATGCGCTGTTGCAGTGCTCTGAGGTGTAATTTGAAGGGTGATGGGAAAAGCTCTGTCAACTATGTGGCTTCAGAGAGACTACAGTCTCGACGATAGCGATTCTACTTGGGAAATGAGATGACACGAGTAACCGCACGCCTGACCACTATTGCCTCTTTCCGGTCGGTGTTGAAACACTGGAAGAGAGTGCTGGAGTACCAAGATGCCTCTCGTCAATGTCACCTCTGTCGCGGCCGTCCTCCTACTCCTCTATCTATCCTCCTTTATCCTACTCGCGATTCTGCGGATTGCGACCGGCATATCAATTCAGCGCATTGGCTACTTTAGCTTGAGGCACATTTCATACACTCCAAAAGAAGGACTGAGAATAGATCTGCGAGGTGTTGGATTGAGTTTGCGCAGGCCTACTTTCGCCCAACCGGCATGGGTCAGTATTGTGTTCGAAGATTTGAAGGTCACCATCGATCCGACGGCGCTAGAAAACACATCTGCAAAGGCAGACTCACAGCACATGACCAAAGGGAAGCTGGAGGAAGATGCAGACCCGCGCCGGCATAATGGACGCAAAAGCCAGCTTTGGAAGAGGTTGACCAACATTAAAGAACACATCAAACGCCTGCACCGCAAAATCCACCTGCTGCGGATGTTTGATGTCAGCGCCTACAATACATCTGCGGAGATTGCGGGCGTCGGCTACGTCCAGATTTCAACCTTCACAGCGGCTGTTTACACCAGACGGAAACTCCTTGATCGCGGACGACTGTTCAGACACAAGAAGGATCCTCTAGGAGACCAGAAGCCTGCGGAATGGGTTTTTACAGTCAAGAGCATCCAGATGGGCGTTGGTGGCCGTGATCCGATAGAGATCCTCGATGCGCTAACAATCAACGTGCATGGGCTGCTTTACAAGGACCGGGAAGGCCTCCGGGACACTTCGATCGCGATCAAAGGCGGCCGAGTCTACGTGCCTGTCGATGAGCTGATTCATTTCTCACGGAAGGGCAGAAGGATGACAAGGCCATACGAACAGTATGACGTACTAAGTCCGATCGATGAGATTTCCTTTGAGGATGTCGCAGAAGAATTGGACAGTCCCGGAAGTCGTGAGGCTGCTATCGTGCAGACAGTGGCAGACTCAAAAGAGTTCTTGCGTTCTGCCCTTCAGAGCGTCCAGGAAATCCAGGTCGGCATGAGCTTTGTGCGCATATCGAAAGAGATTGTGTCACTCAGGCAAGCCAATCTTCCCTTGGTCGCCAACGTCGTCATTCACGAAATTGGCATTGACCTGCATAGGCTTGAACAAAACTCGCCTGCTCATCGTATGTATTTCCAAAGGGAAGACACCGCTCACCAAGCCTTGCTTGCCGCCCTGTCGATTTCTGTCAGCCTTGATGAAGACGATGCCACCCCGAACAGGATCATGTACATACCCATGGCTACGACGACGATCAGGACGACTCTACCAGCCAAGACTATGAGTTTCTCGCAGGACCGGGACGTCGCTGAAAGGAACACTAATATCCTGTTCGCCAATCTTGTCGTCACTTCACCATCGCTCGACTTGGCTCCACAGCACCTCATGAAATTGCTGGCTCTCACTCAGGAAACTCCCGACTCTCATGCTCAAGCTCCTTCTCGTAATCACCACCGTCTCATCTCAAGATTGCTTCCCAAAGCTAGCATCAAGTTTTCAATCCATGAACCTGTGCTCAGATTTGTGTTGCCCGTCGCAAATCCTGCCAACGCCGGCCCAGGCGAGTACGACATGATTATCTCCTCCATTTCTTCCATCTCTCTGGACGTCGAATCCTCCCACTCAGCAGGAGGAGAGCTGTTGTATTCTCTTGGTTCAAGCTTCCGCGTTCTATCACACAGATTGTATTATCAAGCTTCTACAGGCACGACACACAACTTAATCATTACCGAAGCCTTGGAACTCAAGGTCCAACTCACTGCGTCAACGCATGTTTCCGTCATACTCCAAGGAAATTTGCGGACTTTCTCCATTCTCATGGTTCGAGAAGAAGTAAGCAAGGCAATCTATAACATAGTGAGGCACTTTAAACGCCATGCTCCTGAAGATAAAGCGGCCGTCCCAAAGTCGCCATCTACCGCCTTCTTGCGGAAACTTCCTGCTTGGCTTATTGAGGCGAGCTTCGAAGGTTCTGGTTGCAGTCTCGAGGTTGCGGGTGTCGACTCTAGCGTCTCTGCCCAGACACGAGGTGTTGCCTTTGAGCTTGAATCCTGGTCAGCGCACTACACATCGGCAAAATCAGATTCAGGACGAAAGACGAAAGGACGGAAAGTTAGTACCTCAGTCCGCTATGAGGAAACATTTTCAGGGGGCAAAAGCGTTTCCCCATCCCATCCCCAGCAGAAGCATCACCCTAGTGATCCCACGGATGGAAGGCGACTCGCATGCCATGTCAAGGGCTTTGACGGCTTCATCATTGAATCTCTTGATAGGTGGGAACCGACGCCATTCATGTCTATCCCAAGATTTGAGACTGCTTTCAGCACATCAAGCGATCAGCAAGGACCATTGTTCCACATTCACTCCACCATTCGTGCATTCTATCTAGACTTCTCGCTTTACAGATTCTACTCGATAGGGGTTGCAGGTTTCGTTGTGAAAGAAGCGTTTCTGGGACCGGTCCCGATCAAACAAGATCTGGATCACCACCCGAAAACAGCAGATCACCACATTGTTCATGGACATCTGCCAGTGCCTTTGGATGCAGAACTTTTTGCCATCGACGTGAAGGCGCATTACGTTCAAGTCAAAGCTGATATGCCGCATGACCCGCCAATGCTGCTGCAGATCTACCAAGTCTCAGGGGGGCGACACAGATGGTCCGCCCCTTTCATTAAAGCCGAACTTGTTCGTTTACATGCGGAAGCACCACACCTCAGACGGATCTGGGCACGTGTTGTCAGCATCAGCAATGTCAGGGTGGATCTACGCCACACCAAGAAGAAGACGCAGCACGGCACGATGGAAGAAAAGACCATCGACGTCTCAACCGACTTCATTCGTTTAGCGGTGCCTCACGGGCTGCAAATGTACCGGGTTTTTGACAACTTCATCAATACTTCGAAGGCCATACAACAGCTACAACACCGGTTCCAGACGCGGTCAAACGAATATGTACTGGCTAAACATCCTGTCTCTCCTGTCAAAGTTCCTCGGATCTCAGTTCGGTCCAAAGCCCTTTGTTTCGAGCTGGAAGATGACCCGTTCGAATGGAAACTTGGTGTGATCTATCACGTTGGCCGCATCGAGCAGAAGCAACGCCTTGCCCGTGAAGATGCCTTCCGCTTGAAGGTTAAGCGAATGAATGACGAGAGGCGACCTCGGTCGTCGTCCCGACTGCGAACCCAGTCAGCCCACTCGAGTCGCCGTGGCTCTCCGAACGCTCCTCATGATGGTGAGCATCACCGGCGGTCCCGTAGTGTTGATGCCACCCCGAGAAAACGATCGACATCTCGGGGAAGGCGAGGCAGAGAATCGCATCGAATTCGGTACGATCGTGAAGGTGTTTGTTCGTTGACAACCCATGCCAAGATCGAAGCGAGCGAGGCATGGGACAAGCTTCAGGAGCACAATTCCCGGAGCTGGAAAAGACGGATAGACTGGATGCTTCGTCTGCAGAATAACACCGTGAAGAGCATCAGACAGCTGTTCATGGGCGCAGATGAACCCCCTCACGATGACCATGAGACCGAGACAATTCTTGGCATTCCAAATCGTCCTGGCTTGATGACCTTGATCATCAGCGACCTGCACCTCATCATTGACAAGCCCTCTTTTCCGGAAGCTGACCTGCCCAAGTTCCTCCATGAGATTGGAAAAGGCATGCCGTACGACATGAAGTATGGACTGCTTATACCCACAAGCCTCAGTCTTGACATGGGAGAGGCGCGCGTTTTCCTCCGAGATTATCCCCTCAACCTTCTCCATATTCCCGCCATACGTCCTGGACAGCCTGCTCGCTTGCCAAGCTGGTCTCTCAGAACAGACTTTGTGATTGCAGAAGAATTTCGAGATGAAAAATCTATCAAGCATGTTAAAGTCGAGGTTGTCCCAAAAGGGCAGCATGGAACACATGGAGAAGAAATCCCTGCCTTTGCCATTGACGTCAGAAGAACGGTGGCGCCAGTCAAGACGTATTCCAAGCCTGTCATCGATATCAACACCAGCCTGCCAACCACCATTTCCTGGGGCACTTCATACCAACCCGTAATACAAGACATGATGATGATCATCGAGAGCTTCACGAAGCCTGAAATCGACCCTTCCGAAAGGGTCGGCTTCTGGGATAAGATTCGGCTGAGCTTTCACTCGCGGCTTGTTGTAAATTGGAAAGGGGACGGAGATGTTCAACTTCGACTCAAGGGCACGAGGGATCCGTATATTGTCACTGGATACGGTGCTGGTTTTGCGATGTGTTGGCGGAACGACGTGCAATGGTTGATACACCAGGTCGATGACCCACGCGAGTTCATGACAGTGAAAAGTGGCGAATTCATATTGGCCATCCCCGACTACAGCCACGAGGCCCGCAATACACCGGAGCAGAGAGCAAGCAAAGATTCAGACAGCATGTCTAGCACCATTTCTACGAAAAATAGCGCCATCTTCAAAAAGGTCATCATGAAATTATCCGGGAATGTTCAATGGACTGCTGGTCTAGTCTTTGAACGCGATTTGCCGGGCGGGAGCCGCACTTCAGAATCTAGACATCACTATGATGTGGTGCTGAGGAATCCCCTCTTCCTCCAAGACGTCGATTTGAATTCCTATGATGCGTTCAGTGGCTTCCGCAGTAATCACGTCCATCTCTCCCTGGCCGTTGCTGCACCGTATGACAAGAATTGGGTCGGTGCTGATTCGGCGCCCTCGGAAAGCTACAACAGCGTCCATCTGAGTCCAAAATTCTTTTCTCACTTCTTCAGTTGGTGGTCGACGTTCTCTGGCGTGATGTCACTGCCAGTTAGACAAGGTACGCTATGGAGAGGGCAGGGCCAGACTAGCAAGAAATTTGGACGACATCTTGCGACGATCAAGTACAACCTGCTTTTATCCCCGCTCTTCATTTCACACGTCTACAAGCACAAGGATGCTGAGGACTACCAGGCTGATGTTGTCTCTGCAACTGGCTTGAAAATCAAAATTGATAGCTTCATGCTGGATCTACATCAACGCCGGGAGTATTTCAATACCATGGCAAAAGTGCGGGCAAAACAGATGAGGACCAGCGGCATGAAGATCTATAAAACTGAACTCGACTTTGTACGCGCTGACTTGAGGGCTGTTGCTGCACTCATTGCAGGGACAACGGCGGAGGACATTCAAAATGCAAGCGATGAAACGCTATCCTCCTTACAAGAAGTGCCTGCCAACATCGACTTGTCCCAATTCACCATCCCAGATCAAGACCTGTCATGGATTGATATGGACGACTTTGTGGAATTGGATTGGGTGTTACCTGCAGAGTCGAACCCCGAAACCAAGATCTTGCCACTGGCTTTCACTCCGCGTTTCACTTACTTTCGACAGACCGATCATGGAGGCGCCATTCAAGGAGACGAGTCCCGTACCAGTCCGTTTGGCGACGAGGACACTCATTTTTGCGTGATGGGTCGTGACAATAACCCGAGAAAGGTCCAGATGAATCTCATCGAAACTAGGCTGCACGATCTGGAAGACAGACTTCAAACCCATGTGCGCATTATGAACGAGCACGAACTTCTGCTGGTCAGGGAAGGAGATCACGACAAGGCGATCCGAGATAGGCATGAGCTTCTCATCGCACAACAGAAGGAGTTAGAAAGCAAACGACGATTCCTACAGCATGGACTCCGACGTTTAGTAGGCCATGCGAACCCCGGCGAAGCTCAGCCAGTCGAAAATACTCCGCAACCAAATGGAGACGTAACGAAGTCTACGCCTGACTTGGAAGGGCAGTCACCAGGCACGCCTCAAATGGATATGGACGGGTTGTACTCGGCTCCCCACGACGAGTTCGCCAGTGATTTCAACAACCGCTTCATCATCCATAATGTTCAGTTGAAATGGAACAACTCATTGAGGAACATCATCCTTCGTTACAGCCATCAAGTCAGCCAACGGCGAGGCTTTGTGTACTACATGTCACGCCGCGCGGTTAAATTCATTCTCGACATTGTTGACGAGCAAGCGAAGGCAAAAGAGGAGCGCCGCAGACAAGAGAGGAAGAACCAACCACCAGTTCCGCCTACGCCGAGTGTCATTTCTCCAAGTGAGGAGAAAGATGAAGACTCGGTGATAGAAGACCGGATCAACCAGCTTCTGAATGATGCGAAACGGTTTGTCCAAATCCCTGAAGCAGATGCGGATGAAAAGCGCACGTCACCTGGGGCCGACTACGACGATATCGAGAGGCGACCGTCGACTGCTGATCTTGGTGACAAGATTGCAGAAAACTTCCAGCCGATGAACAGCTACCACCTACGTCTAATCGCCCCCCAGATACAACTTCAAAGTGAGAAAAACACGAAGGCTATCGTGCTCATATCCGCCAAAGGAATGCAGCTGAAAGTTGTATCAATCATGGACAAGGCTCGCATGTCGGACGACGTCAGTGGGCTTGTTCAGCGTCGCTTCGCACTTGATATGGACGGAGCACAATTCTTTGTAGCCACGCAAAAGACGCTGGCCAGGTATCTCCACCTCTACTCCGGCAACAGATATGGCAATACCCCTGGATCCTCGTGGCCACCCTGGGTTTCACTTGAAGCTATGTTCGATTTCCACCTAGAACCGTTCGGTTTCCAGAGAGTGATTCAGAAGACTTCCGCCAGTCTTCGGTACGAGAAGTACAATCCTCTTCGACTCAAATACAACGAGGAGGTTGAGAGTAACGAAAATGGTGAACCGAATGATGCAGCACGCAGAGAACACCGGATTGATCAGTTGTGGGTCGACTTTCCCCGGATCCGTGCTCGGTGCGACTCGACTCAGTACTACGCGATGTATATCATAGTTCTCGACTTGCTGCTATACAGCGAGCCTTTGGAGAAGACAAGAAGCGAACGACTGGAGAAAATCATGCTCGCATCTGACTTCAGTGATTTGCGAGGGGCTCCAGAGATGGCCGAAAGCCTCCAAGAACGCATCCGACAACTGGAGGACATCAAACTTCATTTCCAGATCCATGCCAAATATCTCGACAAGCAAGGCTGGCAAGATCGGATCAATCTTGAGAAGGACCTTGCCAGTTGTGAAGACGAATTGTTCTTTATAATGAAAGCCATCAATACTTCACAACAAAAGAGTGAGGACCGGAAAGCTTCTCAATCAAGCGGTCTCCTACGGTGGTATCTCAGTGCCTCGGAAATTGTCTGGCACCTTATGCGTGACAAGGACGAACCTCTACTCGAGTTCCAATTAGGCAATGCTGCATATGAGCGAATTGACAATACGGACGGTTCTAATCACAATGCCCTGGAAGTGGAACACATCAGAGGCTGGAACCTCCTACCCAATGCACTGTATCCGGAAATCATTGGACCCTACTACGAAGCATCGGACAAAGACAGACGACATAGCATCATGGAGTCCCAGAAGATGCTCCAGGTCCACTGGTACATGCTTGAAGCCATTGCCGGTATCCCCGTCCTGGAACGCTTCCAGGTCACCGTGTTCCCGCTAAAAGTGCAGCTCGAACGTGAGCTTGGCAAAAAGCTCTTCGAATATATTTTCCCGGGCGTGGGATCGAACGCCTTCGAGAATGGCAATTTCTCTCCGCTCATGGTCAAGAACATGGAGCCCACGGATGACGGAGACGATCAAGAATTTGTGGAAGCACACAGTGCGTTAATGTCGGAGCAGGATCTTCAAAGCCCTAGCCCGGAAAAGACTCGCAATACTTCACCAGGTGCTGTGGCAAGAAGATTGAAACCCACATACGGCCTTGATTATGACGAGAAGCAAAAGGACTCAGCCTCCCACGGCAAGAATAGAGGTCTCGGTATCTCGGGGGATCACCACAAATTCTTCAAGCACTTCAACAAATCCGAGGCTCGCTCTGCATTGAAGGAACCAACGCGCAAAGGATCTTCGACCAGCCTGAGATCGGCAAAGAAAAATGATATGTCGTCCACCAGTCTCGTTGCCCTTGGTAACAGCGACGGCGGAACAGAGAGAAAGCGTTTTCCGATACATCGGACAGCGAGCAAAGAACGTGGGCTCACGGGCAAGAAAGACAAAAAGGACAAGACCAGCACACCCAATGACGACCTCTCGCAAATGATGTCTCGTGCGTCCAATTACATGACACTCGCGCACATCAAACTCAACAGCTTTGTCGTCTGCCTCTCGTATAAGGGCAAATCCGATCGTAACTTCGAGGATCTCCACGACTTTGTGTTCCGTATGCCGACGCTCGAGTATCGGAATAAGACGTGGTCAAACTTGGATCTTGCGCTCAGGTTGAAGAAGGATGTGATCAGGGCATTGATCAGCCATACCGGAGCGATCATTGGGAACAAATTCTCCCATCACAGACCTAGTAAAAAGCAGGTCGAACGACTCAAGGAGATCGCCCACTCAAGCACGATTGCGAATTCGGACATCAACCTTCAACTCTCGGGAACATCGGAGACAACAAGTCTGTATAGTTTTTCGCAGGATGGAAGGGATGATGACTTTGAGTCCTCGGGTATATCATTCCAGTCGCCCCCCGGAACGAATGGGCATCACAAGGGAAGCGCTTTCCATGGGCCCAGCCCCTTACTGCGCAGCGGCTCGTGGTCGTCGAGCGTCAATCCACCAACTTTGGGAGCGACTGGGAGTGGGACTCTCACAACGAACACGCCACGTTCGGTCCCCGGCACTGCTGGCGGAGGAAGCGTTGGTGGGAGTGGAATCATCGGTAGCACATCTTCCTTTTTCTCGAGACCGCGATCTGCACATCCGAGCTCCGCAACCGACTCCAGTCCGAACCTCAACAGCCCCAACAATTCACCTTCGTCTCCAAGCAGAAGTCTCCTGAAGGACACGATTGGGAGACATTTCTCTGGGGACACGGTCAAGGGAAGAGTGCATTTTGGCGGACTTTCGTTGATCAAGAGTGAGAGTCACTCGCACCGGGAGAGAAGCGACAGTCACGGCAGCCATACCCCTAGCACAAGAGAGAAGGAAAGAGATGCTGGTGGAAACGAAGAAGGTTCGGCCGGAGGTGTTACCAGTGGGACTACTGGAGGTGCTAGCGGGTTGAGCACAGACAGTGACGCGGAGACCAACAAAAGAAAGAGTGTATTGATGTTGGGCAAAAAGGTGTTGAACCGGTTGAGCTAGGATTTCGACTGATCGACTGAGAGACTGGCCACCGAGCTCCGCAGCAGAACGACTCGAACGCAAAGGGTTTAGGGAATGGATACCAGGACCAAAAGTTTCATTTTGCAGAGGAATTGGACATTTGGGAGGCGGGCGCCCCGTGAAATGTTGACGGGATTCAGCGACATGACTTGAAGTGAACCTCGACATCGGACTCTTACAGGTTTTCTTTTTCGTGAACGAACAATGGGATTGTGATTGCGACGGTGGCTTCAATGAGGGAAGAAACATTTCAGGCCTCGCATGCCTGCTTCATATATACCTAACTAGTGAGCGCCAGGTCTGGGGGAGGGGTTGGTTTGTGCGTGCATGCATGCATGTGTATACTTGCTCAGCACGCTGTATACATCTTCTGACTTGTACGCTATCTATCAATATACTAGCGCCATCTAAGGAACTCTCTAAAGTTGACGAATACGCCTTCACCGTCGTCCTCACGCCACTCTGGGCCCACATCTGGATACCAAATATATACATACATACACACATATACCTACCTGTATTTCTGTGGACATCAATCAAGCTTGTCCTTATCATAGGTGGGTTCCTCGCCCAAGATCGTAGACGGCGACTGGTGCATGCATCCGCCAGATATACAGACACAAGGCAAAAAGAGAGAGAGAGAGAGAGAGAGAGAGAGAGAGAGATTCACTGCTCCGTCGGCAGGCCCGTGTGCCCGGGATCCCATCTGGCAGTTGTCAAGACAGATCTGTCAGGCATGAATGGCTTCATTGGTATTCAGGGACTGCTATGTCTTGCAGGCACTTCTGACTTGAGCTTGGCCAAGGTAAATCGCGAAGAACGTTGCCCGGGCTAGGGAGGGGTTTAGGGTGCTATCAGTCACCAGTTCCCATGTAAAGATGTGCTGTGTGTGTCCCCCGACTGGCATGTTTGACCATTACTCGGAAGGCACCTTTTCACCTGCCTCAGCTGCCACGTCCTTCCCAGGTTCCCCAAGACCATCTTCGTCACCCTCACCATCGTCATCGTTTTCTCCATCACTGTCACACCCAGGAACGTAATCCAACGCGCCCTTGAGCGGCTTGGGGCCTTTCCACCCCGCCACCATCTCGTTGACCAGAAACTCGTCGAACGACGGGTACACGTTCAGCACCTCGTCGAAGAACACGATGCCACAGCCCAGGGTCCGCACGGTGGCTTCAACCTTGGTGCCGACGCGCAGGTAGGACTGGAAGATGGCCTCGACGAAGAAAACGTATTCTGTCTCCGCGCCCGGGTCGGAAGATGAAGTGGACAATGCGTCCTGCTCGGACGGTGTCAGGTCTTCGGGTGGCGCATCGGGGTTCTTCCACGGTTTGGCGTACACGCGGCCCACCGGTCGGAAGTGCTGCGAGTGCGTCGTGTAGATGAGCTTGCATTGCTCGGTGGGCGGCTCGAGACGAGTGACTTCGAAGCCCGTGCGTTCCTGCGTGTCCACGACATCCAACATCCTCGGTGCCTGGTCCTGCACTCCTGCGAGAAATGCGGTATACACCTGTTCAGTGGCGGCACCGGCCACGCCGAACTTGACGATCTGCTGTGCTTCTTCCGGCTTCAACCCCACGAAGACGGATCCTTCGGTGTCGGGATTCCCCCACCATGTTTCTCCATCGTAGTTGCGCGCGTAGCTGCCGTCGAAGAGAGTCGAGCATGCGATGTTGAACTCTCCTGGCAGGCGGCGCGTCGCCTCGGCCATGTCCCAGAGCTCGGGGGCGACTTTGCGGCACAGCGCACGGGTCGCGAGCAAGTCCTCCTTGTATTCGGGGCAGACGTCGTGCTGGAGGAGGTAGTCCAAAAACCTCTCCAAGGTGGTGCACACCACGTCGACCTCGTCCTTGGTTTCGAGGCCATAGATGTTCTTCGCGCGACGGCTCAAGAAGCCCCTGGCGCAGCCGAGGAAGTCGACCTCCCAGACACTGGTCTCGGTGCCCAGGTCTCGCTTGTCCTCACTGGTGCCAACCTGTGTGCGCGCGAGGGCGATCTGAGTCCTGTCCATGCCTTCGGAATCTTGACCTCCTTGGCCGAAGCTGGGGCCTACGCTGAAGCCGCCGTAGGAAAGGTATTTGTACAAGACATTTCTGCGCTGTGGAGTGAGTTTCCGGGTTCTTTCGAAGCGTGCTATGGCCACGGTCAATCTGTCCACGAAGAGAAGACCGCTGGGGAGGGGGAAACACATGATTAGCAGATCTGAGAATCACTCGTTTCAGGAGAGGTTGTGGCGTGTGGCTCACTCACGGATGATAGAGTTCTTGCTCCTCAGCATGTTCTGCTGGTGTCAAGGGAGGATCTGCAAAGTAGTCTTCGAAACCAGTGGGCTTGTCCTTTTTCAACGGTCGTCAGTACGGACTGTCCTTCCTCCTGATTGGGATTGGATTTGAAGCCTTACCAGCCCGCGTTTACCCTTTGACTTCTTGTTCTTTCTCTTCTTCCTCCTCCCCTTTGTCTCCGTTTCAGCCGGGGTGGCATTGGTCACCTCGCCGTAGTCCCGACCATCTTGTTCTTCTTGGTCACTGTCGTTCCCATCCCCTTCGCCTGCCACGGCTTGCTGGGCAGGTTGGGCCGAGACACCAGTCTCACTGGCTGTGGTGGCATTGGTTCGAAGTCTCAGTGGGAGTTTTGTTGTCCCAGAGTCGTTCATGGCGGCGGTCGACATGAGATCGGCTTCGTTGACCGCTGGCTCAGAATCTTGTGCTGGCATGTCAGTTTCCTCAGGTGGGATCTTGGACAAGTATGGAGAGAGGATGACAGAGGTCAAGGCAGGGAGTCTTAAATATAAGATACTGGGGGAAAGGCAAGGGTGATTCACTGTAACCTTGAATGGAAAGGGAAGTTGAAGCATTATTGATCAGTGTCGAATTAGCAAACAATCATATCTGCACAAGGCCACAGTGCAGCAGCGCGAACGACGTGTGTGACATGATTCACCTCTCGATCTCATTCACGTCCACCCACGAAGTCCATGTCTGACACTTCCAACTTGGACCTGTTGACCTTGGGTGAGGCTGTAGCCTGTGAGATCAAAAGAACCTTGCTGCGACTAACGGGACTGAGTATGGACTGAGTTTGGATGGTGGTGACAGTGTTTGAATTAATTAATAATTAATTACATAAACTGCGTCCGCCAATTGTCTCCGCGTCTGCGCGGGCAGGTCAATGCGGGAGTGCTTTCGAGAAATGTCCATGCCCACACAGTCGATCTCTACATACCTCGTAGACCTATTCACTTCTGCTCACCATGTTTGATCTTTGATAGCTCTCCCACCCCTCCTTGGAGTATCGTCTGCAGACCTGTCAAGAATGGACAGCTCTTCCTCAGCACATGCACGCAAACGCATTGCAGCAATGCTCTCTGAGTCCGAGCTGGTGGCATTCGACCACACGGCTGCTGGACAGTAAGAAAACCCTTCTGCCAGGAGCTATGTTTCGTACCCGCGTGACACTGACAGACCTTGATCCCCACAGCGACGGCATCAGCTCCAATGCCTCCGGCTCCCTCATCATCAAGCCCTGTACGGCAGCCGAGATCAACTTCTACGAGTCCGCCAAAGACCACCCCTTGTTCCAAGCTCACATGCCTACTTTCCTTGGGTCGCTCTCCGAACACAACGACCAAGACAACGTGGCACCGCTGCTACAGTCTTCCCAAGACGGCGTAGCCGCACCGGGGTTGAATAGGCGCACTTCGTGGAAACCCTCGGGAGGCAAGAAGATTTCCACCGGTCTGGCGGTCGTGCTGGAGAATGTCGCGGCCGGGTTCAAGCACCCCAACGTGTTGGACGTGAAGCTCGGCGTCCGGCTGTGGGACGATGACGCCCCCTTGGCCAAGAGACAGAAACTCGACGACGTGGCGGCGAGGACGACGAGCGGGAGTCTCGGCTTTCGTCTCGCCGGGATGAAGCTGTGGGCTGGCGCACAGGGCAAGCCAGACTCGGAAGTCGAGGTGGCACCGTCCGAGAAAGAGTACGTGGAGGTCAAGAACGGGTACAAGTCCTACAACAAGTTCTACGGGCAGTCCTTCACGGCGGAAAACGTCGTGGACGCCTTCAAGACGTATTTCGGCGGCGTAGCCGTCGGCCCGGATAACGACTCCGGTGATGATGGCACGACGACGGCGACGACCATGAGGAAAGTCCGGTTCAAGCACCCGCGGGCCGAGTTCCTCATCCGCCGCTTCATGAGGGAGCTGGAGAGTGTCGAGTACGCCCTGCAAGAAGAAGAGAGTCGGATGTACAGCGCCAGCGTGTTGATGGTGTACGAAGGAGACCCGGAGACGCTGGAGGCCAGCATTGCGAAGGAGGAGAAGCAGGAGCAGCAGGAGGAGGGCATGGCGGAGCAAGATGAGGACGAGATCGAAGACGAAGACGAAGACGACGACGACGACGTACAGCCACACAAGGTCCACGAGGTGCGACTCATTGACTTTGCCCACGCTCGGTGGACGCCAGGCGAAGGGCCCGACCAGAATGTCCTCACAGGCATCCGGCATCTGCTACGTATCCTGCAGGACTTCGTCTATGGATAGTACTAACCATCAGGGGACGCGCGGGCGCTTTCTCTTTCCACCGGTGCTCTGTCACCGTCTGCCAGGAAAACGATTGGACGGACTGTTTGACACTCCGATCCATATCGGGAATGTACAACAAGGAGGACCACAGAATCCAGATGCCAAAAGTCCAAATTACCTCCAATCAAGATAGCTGTTTTTCTATCCACGGTTTTCTATTCGAAGTCTCTGGTGCAAGCTTGACGTGTTGACCCAATCCTTCCATCCCAGGTGACGACTTTTTTCCCTTGACATTTTGCAGCTTTTGTTCCAAATCAGGTCCTCTCCAACCCCAGTACACCTTCCGGCCAGCCCGCCCACACGATCGCCCGGCTCGGCACACGCCCTGCAACAGGACTTAACACGCTGATTCGTCCTCTTGCTTCATCTGTATCTGTGACGTACAGAAACCCCATGACGGTGCTGTCGCGAATAACCTCTTGTTCGGCTTCTTGGTCACAGTTCATCACTGCGAGGACCGAACTGCGCATTGCTGCAATGGGGCCGGCCATGTGTTCAAATATCTGAGATGCGGGAAGCGGGACCTTTGATGTGGAGGAAGGCGATGTATCTTCGGCGCCATCGCCGGTACCGCCGGGCAGGAACGAATCCTCGTCGTCTGAGTCCACGTAGGCACTTGCTGAAGGGTCTGGGGTGGTTCCAATCCGTCGCCAAACGGTCAAGGTAGAGAAATCCACTTGCTGATGGCGAGGTTGAAGGGAGATACCGTTGCTCAGGCGGGGGTTGCCGTAGAAATATGTCCTGATTTGTGCCGCGCGGAAGGCCGTCATGAATGCTTCGTCGCGGTCGACGCAGCCGCCAGATTTGGCAAGTTTTATTACTGAGATTGTTTCAGGCGTGGCGGATGCGACTGTCGTGCTCGATGAGGGTCGAAATGCTGTGGGCTGTCCATCGAACTTTTTGACCATATCGCTATACAGTCTCTCCGAGCCCATGCAGATGATGGCTGAAACAGCAAATTCAGAAACAATGTCCTGGATAATGTCGTATCCGACAGTGTTGCCAGATTTCATCGTCGTCAGACTTCCCGGGGTGTCGATAATAATACCACTTTCTCTCGCATCGGGGTCCTGAGCTGTGCGTCCCGCTACCGCGAGAGCCAACCGGTTAATCTGAGCTCTGTAGACCCTGCCTTCCTTTTCCTCGGGTTTCGAGCTGCCAAAGAAGTAGACGAGTGGTAATTTGACGGGAATGGCGCCGTTTGGGCCCGACATTGGCGCCGTTCCCCATCCTTCTTCAACGTCCATCAAGGTTTTGAAGACGGTCGCAGTCAGGGTGCCCGCAATGCTCATGACACCTTCCTTGACGTCCAGGTTGACCACCACCGGGGATCGTGCCGCTCGAGAAGCATAACCGGTGAGGATCTTGGCAAGAGAGGTTTTGCCTGCATCTTCGGGGCCCAAGATCAAGACTCGGGGGCCTTCACGGCCGGTAGCTTGAGCTTGACCACGCAAACTTTCGAGGCTGAAATGGGTGTTGATGTACTCGCTCATGGGGGTCTCTTCAGCGGTGTATTCGCTTTGCAGTGCATCGCCACTGACCTGGAATGAGCAACCATTCCAAGTGTAGATGGCCGCCTTTGTGCCCGTAAAGGTGTACGTGTTCCCGATCACCAGTTCAGTTCCAAACAGCTCAGCGGTTCCTGACAACAACTGCAGGGACGGCTCATCAGAGGCGGATCGGGATTCAGCAGCAGCAGCGAGGAAGGCTGGACTCACCTTGACCTGGACATACTTGCCCACGGCGACCTCGAAGCGCCATTCCGTCTCCTGTGCGAGATCGTGGTGGGTGGCCTCAACGGTGTGAACCTCTTCTGGCTCTTCTAGCCCAAGACCAGGCAACGACATTTGATCATCGTGTCGCGACTGAGATGGCGACAGAGTTTGTTATGGGGGTGGTGGAAGGGGGGCGTATCTCGTATCGCGCGACTAGGCTGCAGAGGGTAATGATGTTATTATTGCCACGAGGTTGGCTGATTTTTGCGATGCGAGCTGCAATGTGTCTGTGTTTGTTCGGCCGACGGCGACGAGGTTTCCTGCCGGCGCCGCCGGATTCGGAAGTGGTGGCTTGGCATCATCGTGTCGTCACACACAGCATTATTTGTTGTGACCCAGCATTTTCTTCTCAATTTCTTATCTTCACTGTTTGTTCCTTCAGCTGAGTTGCATGCACATGGGAAAAAACTCTCCCGTATTCGAGTCCCCTGTTTGATTCGGTGCTTGCATCGCCCCGTCCAACTCGGCACAAATCATCGTTTCGCCAGCTTCCATCTCCCTCCGTTCGTGTCAACACTGGTGGACACTTGAATTCGGAATAGTCTCCTTCTGCACTCCGGGGCTCCATTCTTAGTGCATCGTGCACAAGCGTATTATTGCCACCCTTGTGCCTTGGCCCCGGACGCGGACGCTGGTCCCTCCGTTACGAGCAGAGGACCCGGTGCATTGACGAGTACGCGGGAGGTTCGCAATCTACTGTACCTCTTACTAGCCCTGCTGCAGCGCAGTAAGCGACGCTAAACCTCAGTGACACCCCGTCACCCTTGCCAGTTGTCTCTTTCAGGCAAAGAGCCAAGCTTCAGCGTCATTATGTAAGGCGTTAAGTAACAGACAATCACGTCTCAGGCCACTCAAGGCCCCGTCGGAATTTGCCCTTGACACAATACGCATTTTTCAGTGCTTTGTTCCAACCACCCGCCGATCTCCCAAATTGGGCGGTCAGAAACCATGTTGTTGTTCCAGGTACCGGCATCGGTACCTGGGCCCTGCCATTCAATCATGCTACAAGATCAGCGCCATTCACCCGATGGCATAATCTAATACGAGTAACCTCGTACTATCGGTCGAATTGTTCCTAGCGCATCGAATGCATCGACAATGGTGGGGATAAGAGTTTCACGCCCACAAATTGGTTCTTCGAGCGGGATTTTCCAGCAGTTCCCGTAGACCCAGTCTCGGCGGGGTTCTGAAGCCTTGACCCTTGACGGACGGCCGAGGGGCTATGCAAGGATTCCATACGAGTCCTTCGCTCCAGAAGCCGGGAATACCACATACTGTCCTCCAATGAGGCGCGCTATTCGGCTTAGACATCTACGTCGTGCAAACGGGCATCATACTCGGACGATTTCATTCCTCCATTGACACTGCTCTCTGATCCTAATGTTTCTGCTTCAGCCTCAGCGACGCCCATGAAATGTCCCTGCCACTGCCTATATAGTTGTTGACGCTTTTGATTCCCAGCTCTCAGCACGCGGAAGTCCAAAGGCGAGGTCGTTCGAGCATTTCGAAACCTCTAATTCACATTCTGCATTACCTTTTTTCTTCCCGCACTCTGTCTGCAGTCTGTTTTAAAAGACCCCGATTGATATCGACATCATGGCCCAAGAAGATGAGACCATTAATCCTTCCCCAACCCGCCATTCTCTGGAGCGTGAGGTGTCGACAAGCAGCTCTGAAGGACCAAGATTCGAGCCAATCCGAACGCGAAAATCGAGAGACACAGACGACTACCGCTTCGATGATGAAGAACAAACAAGACCAGATGAGCTTGCGAGGATTGCATCCATTCTGTCCGGAGCTCGAACGCGCACCATGACCAGCGATGGTCTACAGAGGCAGGACACTGTTGCCGGCATGAGCATTGAGTCTCCCGAATTCGATCCGAACAGTCCTGCATTCAACTTTTTCCTCTGGATTCGCAAGTTTCTCCAACTTCTCGAGCAGCAGAACATCAAAGTGCGAAGAACTGGCTTCACTTTCAAGAATCTCGCTGTCTCTGGGAAGGGCGCCGCTCTTGTTCTCCAGCAGAATGTCGGCTCCATCTTCATGCAGCCTTTCCGCATCCGCGAGCTTTTCCAACATCCTGCTGAGAAGCAGATATTACGCAATTTCAATGGACACGTCAATAGCGGGGAGTTGCTGATTGTCCTGGGTCGCCCTGGCAGTGGCTGTTCTACATTTCTCAAGACCATCTGCGGCGAGTTCCAAGGTCTGCAGCTCTCAAAAGACTCCAAAATCACCTACAGCGGAATACCGCAAGAGCTGTTCGTGAAAGAGTTCAAGGGGGAGGCAATATATAATCAAGAGAATGAAAAGCATTTTCCTCACTTGACGGTCGGGGAAACTCTCAACTTTGCCGCCGCCTGCCGCACTCCGTCGAACAGGGTTCTTGATGTCCCTCGAGCCGACTGGGCGAAATACATGGCATCTGTTATGATGAACATATTTGGTTTGTGTAGGTTGTTTGGATCCTATAAGAGGCTCGTTTGAGAGAGGAGACTGACCTCATACTAGCACACACCCGTAACACCAAAGTTGGGGACGATTTTGTTCGTGGTGTGAGTGGTGGAGAGCGAAAACGTGTCAGTATCGCCGAAATGGCACTGGCCGGTAAGAGGGATTCGAACTTGTCCAAAGCCGCATGCTCATTATCTCCTGACAGGTTCGCCGATTGCCGCATGGGACAACTCTACTCGTGGCCTTGACTCGCAAACCGCTCTCGAATTCGTTCGCTCGCTCAGAATCGCTGCAGACTTCGCAGGCCTCACGTCGCTTATCGCAATCTACCAGGCTTCACAAGCCATTTATGACTTGTGCGACAAGGCAATCGTGCTGTATGAAGGTCGACAGATTTACTTTGGACCCTGTGATGAGGCTCGGGCATATTTCGAAGACATGGGTTGGTATTGTCCTCCCAGACAAACCACAGGCGATTTCTTGACGTATGTTATACTTCCAATTTCGACAAACTGGTCCAGAAAATGGAGTTACTAAACGCATCATGCTAGGTCTGTCACCAATCCCCAAGAGAGGAGACCCAGAGAAGGATTTGAGACCAAGGTGCCCCGTACGGCTGCCGAGTTTGAAAAGTATTGGCTGGAGAGCCCCCAGTACAAGGCGGCTCAAGAGGAAGCCACTCATGCAGAAGAAGTCGATGCGGACGGCGAAGAAGCTCTCCAAGCATTCCGAGAAGCCCATCATCAGAGGCAAGCCGAGCATGTGCGCCCACAATCACCATACGTGATAAGCATTCCGATGCAAATTCGCCTGTGCGTTACTCGAGCTTACCAGAGGCTCTGGAACGACAAAGCATCAACCATGTAAGTCACACTCACGAACTCGTTATCTGACGCCTTCGCAGCGAAGCTAACGTCCGATCCAGCGCCGTCATCTTCAGTCAGATCGCCCAAGCCCTGATCATCGGCTCTATCTTCTTCGGCACTCCGCTCTCCACCGGCAGCTTCTTCGCCAAAGGCTCGGTCTTATTCTTCGCTGTTTTGCTCAGTGCTCTGCAGTCTATTGTCGAGATCAACACCTTGTACAGCCAACGACCTATTGTCGCCAAACACAAGTCATACGCCTTTTACCATCCTTTCACGGAGGCTGTTGCAGGCATTGTGGCCGACTTGCCCATCAAATTCTGCACCACTACCGTGTTCAACATTATCTTGTACTTCCTGGCTGGGCTGAGGTACAGGGCGTCCAACTTCTTCATTTTCTTCCTCTTCAACTTTGTGGCCATGTTGACCATGTCGGCGATCTTTCGCACAACGGCAGCAATCACGAAAACCATTTCTGCCGCTTTGGCCATTGCTGGGGTAATGGTCCTTTGGATTGTTATCTGTAAGTAGCCTTTGTTGTGTTTTGATGGGGATGTTCTTCAGCTATTGCTCCTCGTGCAATACTCCCAAGCTAACGACATGCCAGACACGGGATTTACGCTGCAACGGTCTTTCATGCATCCGTGGTTCAGATGGACTTCCTGGATCAATCCGATCGCCTACGCATTCGAATCGCTGCTTGTCAACGAAGTTCATGGCCGGGACTTTCCATGTGCTCCTACCAGCTTAGTCCCACCCTACGGCACGGGCGACCATTTTCAATGCGCCGTCGCTGGCGCCGTGGCCGGCCGAACTGCTGTTTCCGGAGACTCATGGGTGCAATCGTCCTATGGATACTCTTATAGCCACATCTGGCGAAATCTCGGCTTTCTCTTCGCCTTCATGATATTCTTCTTCTCAATTTATTTCATCGCTACTGAACTCAACTCCGACACCACCTCGACCGCGGAATTTCTGGTCTTCAGAAGAGGGCATGTGCCGGCATACTTACAGGGCGGCAAGAATGACGAGGAGCGTATACAAGCCGACGAAAAAGGTTTGGGGTCGGTCGATCCGGTCCACGAAAAGCAAGCCGAGGAAGTCAAAGCTCTCCCTGCACAAAAGGACATCTTCACTTGGCGAAATGTGACTCTCGACATCAAAATCAAGGGTGAGCCTCGAAGATTATTGGATGGCATCTCGGGATGGGTTAAGCCCGGCACTTTAACCGCCCTGATGGGGACTTCGGGAGCCGGAAAGACCACCTTGCTGGATGCACTGGCGCAGAGGACGAACATAGGTGTTTTGACGGGAGATATGGTAAGCTTTCCAAACGAACCCAGATCAGCTCAGATCAGCTCTTTTGACCTCTTCTTTTTTGGCAGCTTGTGAATGGCAAACCCCTCGATCGCTCTTTTCAGCGGAAGACGGGCTATGTGCAGCAACAAGACCTCCACCTGGAGACCACCACCGTCAGAGAAGCGCTTCGGTTTTCAGCTTACCTTCGCCAACCAAAATCCGTGACCAAGCAGGAGAAGGATGACTTCGTTGAAGAGGTTATCAAAATGCTCAACATGGAAGATTTTGCGGAGGCTATCGTTGGAAATCCCGGAGAAGGTCTCAATGTCGAGCAACGTAAACTCCTGACGATCGGCGTCGAACTCGCAGCGAAGCCAGCCCTCCTCATCTTCCTCGACGAACCCACCTCAGGCCTGGATTCCCAAAGTTCTTGGTCCATTGTTGCCTTCCTTCGCAAGCTCGCAGACTCAGGGCAAGCAATTCTTTGTACGATTCATCAACCATCGGCTATCCTGTTCCAAGAGTTTGACCGACTCCTTTTCCTGATGAAAGGGGGCAAGACGATTTATTTCGGCGACATTGGCAAGAACTCTAGCATTTTGTTGGATTACTTCGAAAGGAACGGTGCGCCCAAGTGCGACGACGATGCAAACCCGGCTGAATATATGCTCGATATCTGCGGGAAGAAGTCTGACCGTGACTGGAGCGAAGTGTGGAAAACGACGCCCGAAGCCAAAGAGGTGCAGGCAGAACTGGATCGAATTCAACAGGCCAAACAATCAGAGCCGGCAGGAGACGTATCGTCAACATCCGAATTCGCTATGCCACTCACTGCCCAGATCTACCACGTCACTCACCGGGTATTTCAACAATATTGGAGAACGCCATCTTATATCAGCGGCAAGTAAGTTTGGTCCCTGCCTCTCTGGACAGATCCTCAGAGACTGACGTGCTTCCAGATTTCTTTTGGGGATCATGTCTGCACTGTTTATCGGCTTCTCGTTCTACAAGCAAAACACAACCTCGACCGGCTTGCAGAACACCATATTCGGCATTTTTATGCTTGTCACGTTAGTGGAACTCTTGCGCGTTGAGGTGTATTCTGCTGGTACTGAACACGTGTACAGGATCTTTTCGTCCCTCGTCCAACAAATCATGCCCCGGTTTGTCGTCCAGCGATCCCTCTACGAAGTTCGGGAGCGTCCATCCAAGGCGTATTCATGGATTGCCTTTCTCATTGCCAACATCGCCGTTGAGATCCCCTACCAGATCGTTTTAGCCATCCTCATGTGGATTTCGTGGTACTTTGCGATTTTCGGCAAGAACCAGAACGACGAAACGCGAGGGCTGATGTTGCTTTTCGTGATCCAATTCATGGTCTTCTCCAGCACGTTTGCTCACATGATCATTGCAGCAATGCCTGACGCAGAAACGGCGGGCAACATCGCTACGCTGTTGTTCAGCATGATGCTCACCTTCAACGGTGTCTTGCAAAGCCCCACTGCATTGCCGGGCTTTTGGATCTTCATGTGTAAGTCCGGGTGCCTGTCCGACGTTGGTTTGTCCCGCAAGAGACTAACCATGATTTCCCAGATCGGGTGTCGCCCATGACCTACCTCATCGCTGGCTGGGCCGGTACAGGTCTCCACGGTCGGCTCGTCCACTGCGCACAGAACGAGCTCGCCAAATTTGACCCGCCATCGGGCCAAACCTGCGCGCAGTACCTGGCCGCGTACCTGAATGGCGGCGCACCGGGCCAGTTGTACAATCCCCACGCGACCAGCGGGTGCCAGTACTGTCCCCTCACGTCGGCCGACCAGTTCCTGGCCGGCAGCAAGATCTACCCGAGCGACCGATGGCGAAACTTTGGCATTGGATTCGCCTATATCGTCTTCAACGTGAGCTTCCCCCCGCCCTTCCTCTCTCCCCCCCTCCTTTTTCAGCGCCCCTGTGAGTGAGTGAAGTCGTAGCCTTGCTGACCGCCTTGACCTCTCCGTCGTTCGTGTCTGCCACAGATCTTCGCCTGCATTTTCCTGTACTACCTCTTCCGCGTCCGCCGGATCCGCATCTCGAGCCTGGCCAAGGGCCCCGCGCGCGTCGTGGACGCCGTCGTCAACCAGGGCTTGAGGAGGCTGTTTGCCCGACACGCAGAGCCGACACCTCCCGGGAAAGAGGCGGAACGGCACCGGGCGTTCTGAAATCAGCATTATTATTTCAGGTTGTTTGTAGGTTGGTGACTTACATGCATATCAGGGATGTAGGGGTTTCGGGTCAAATGTGTCATTGGAGTGTGTGGTTTGCAAGACTTTCTAATTCCTTATTTCCCACGTATGTATGGATGGGGAAGTAAGTACCTTTTGTATCTATCATAGTTCGCACCGTTTATCCAGCTAGCTAGCCCGCCCATGTCCGGCCCTGCATGGTCTCTAGAGAACGCGCGCCAATTCAAGAAGTACATTTTTTGGGCAGGGCGCTCCGTTCCCCCTTTCCCGAATCATTCAAGCATTCATGCATTCACTCATGCAGTAGTCACATTTGCGACCAGTTTCCCAGCCTCAGCCTCGACGTCGTACAGGAAGAAAAAATCGTTGTATTCCTTGGAGAAGGTGATGGCTCTGGGGCCCGGGATGGCGCCGGCGTAGTACCGCTTGACCTCGGCGAGCATCTTGTCCGGCGGGCCCATCATCTTGTTGGACATGGTCTGCACGGCGCCGACGCGGGGGAGACGGAGCGTGTCGAACAGCCGCAGCCTCTCCGGGACGGCGTCCGGGCCGCCGCTGTCGTCGACGTCGCGGAAGAGAACGTGCAGCGCCAGGGCGTCTTCCAGGGCCATGGACGCGCCTTGGCCGTGCGTGGGCAGCATCAGGTGGGCAGCGTCGCCGATCAGCACGGCCCGGCCTTTCGTAAAGTTCTCGATCGGGTCGCGCCACATCTGGGTGTACACTTTGATGTCGGTGGCGCCCTCACACACGGCCTGCACGGCCGGGTGGAAGCCCTGGGCGTCAGCCAGCACGTCGGCCAGTTCGGCGGGCGAGTCCCAGCCCTCAATGCCCTTCTCCTTGGGCTTGGTCGGGTGCACGAGCGCCACGTACAGCAGCTCGCCGCCGCGGCAGGGGTAGGTGTTGAGGAGCAGGCCCGGGCGGCCCACCTCGGTCTTGTAGAAGGTGGTGAATCCGGGCGGCTGGTTCTGATAGAATCGTCCGGCGGCCGGGTGGGCGAGGACGGTGTCGAAGGGCTGCAGAAACCGGTACATGGACATGGGTGACTTGCTCACCGGGTACGGGCGGCCGATGACCTTGGCGATGAGCTCGCTGTGGGCGCCGTCGGCGACGACCACGAGGTCCTTCTTGACTTGTTCACCACCGGCCAGGGTGAGGACGCCCGTCTCGACGTCGAGGTCGACGACCTGCGTGCCCAGGTGGATTTGCGGGCGAGGCTGCTGACCCGACGCCTCCACCAACGCCTTCAGTCCTGCATGCAGATCGGCACGGTGGAAGAGCAGCCACCGGTCCCCGTATTGCTCCTTGATGTTGGTGAAGAACTCCTCGGAGTCGAGCTCGGCGGTGTCGGCCCTGATCCGACGCATCTGGCTGTAGTCCAGGGCGCCGGCCTTGACGAAGTCGAATCCCCATTTGGACAGGATGCGGGTGCCGTTGGGCCCGATGATGATGGCGGCGCCCGTCTCGTTGCGAAATCTGGACTTTTCATACAGAGAGACTGCGTGGCCGGATCGGGAGAGTGCGATGGCCGCGGCCAGCCCAGCGATGCCTGCGCCGACAATGCCCACTTCCAATTGGCGCGTTGGCATTGTGCCTTGTTTTGTTTCTCTCGAGCGATTGGCGAGTACGAGTACGGGGTACGAGTTGGGATGTGGCTGTGGTGGCTGTAGTGAAGCGACCCAACGAGAGTTGAAAGGGGAGCGGATTGTGTAACCAACAGGATGGAGAGGACTGGCTCTTTCTTTTATAACAGTGTCAGTTTCTCGCACCGATCAGCCAACCTCCTGGACCTGCACCAGGCGAGGTGAGACGAAGGACGACGGTATTATCAGCTGCTCCTTCAGGCCGCCACCGTTTAGCTATAACCTTTGCATTAGTATTATGCTGGGGGGGACGTTAGCGCCGGGGAGAAGTTGATAAGGTTGATCGGATAGGGGTTGGCTAGCTGGCTGGCTGGCTGACTGATTGAGTTGGTTGACGGAGGGATTGAAGCCCCTGAAGAGGTGTGTATGTGTGTGTGTGTTGTGTGCGTGTATGTACTGAGTAATCGTACTGTACCCCGTTTTCCGTACTGCGTAATCGATGTGGACGTGTGGCATTCCTTACACACCACACCTGCAACTGCAACTGCAACTGCGCCCATGACCTCTCACTCTCTCACGTACCGAGTAGACTGCAGATCCACTGACTCACCTACCTTGAGCCTTCGAATCTAATCCTTCGAATCCAATCCAATCCCATCGAATCCAAGCCAATCCAATCCAATCCAATCCATCACCAACCACCCATCACCATGTCCTCCTCCGACGCCGTCCTGCCCACCCGCATCATCTTCTCCCTGCTGGGTCTCGCCTCTGCCGTCGGGGGCTACCTTGCCGACTGGAACGAGACGCACGTCTTCAACCCACGATGGACGCCACACGCCAAATTCCACAACGGCCAGACCATGTCGACGGGGCTCGGCCTGGGCATGCTCACCTGGTACTATACCTGGCGGAGCACCAACACGGCGAGCACGTCGGGTCTGCTGGACAATCTGCTGACGGCGGCGCTGATGAGCAGCCTGTACTGGGCCACGCAGGTGTCGGCCATCCTGTACCCTGGCACTAAGTGGGTGGACGACGAGTTCAAAGAGAGCCACGGTGAACCGCAAAAGCGCGGCGCCCCTGTGCTGCTGGGATTGAGCTGGGCCGCCTATGGGCTGGGCTGGTATCGTTTGACCAACGGGGGTAAATCGATCGGCCTCTGAAAGAGATGTGGTGAGGATCTCGGGATACAAAGCTGCTGGGCCCGCAGTCCACACTCTTCTTGCCGGTCACAGGCCAGCCTGGATGGATGGGGCCCCTGGGCGTTCAAAGGCCTCGAGGAGAAGGGAAGGGCACGAAGAGACAGCACAGGAAAAGGCACAGTGAGGAAAAGCACAGGCAAACTTGTCATTATATGTGATGCCCCTGTCAGGTTTCTTTTAGGAATGTATTCATTGCCAATCAAAGTGATAGTCATAATGAGTAATCCCTGCCCACTTTCACTTTCACTTTCTTGTCGTGCGAGCACAATGTAGGGATAGATAGATACACGGACGATACGTGTAGAGAGATGGCCGTGCTCGATGCTCTGGACCTGCATCCTGGGTGGTGCAGTCCATCACTGGGAGGGAGAGAGCACTGTGTGTGTGTGTGTGTGTGTGTGTGTGTGTGTTAGAGATAATTGGCCGGGTCGCAGTTCTATCTCCGGCCGCATGTGTGTGTGTTGGCCCCCAATTCTGGAGACGGTGGAGTTAATGTCCAGGCACCGAGCACCTAATACTCGGTACATAGGCACTAAACGGCTCGTCGGCCGTAAGGAGCCGCCCGCCTGGAGCATCGCCTAGTGGCCTAGGATTATTATGTCCCTCCACGGTATGTCCCTTCTTTCATGGGGGCTATCCAGCCTAGCTGCCCACCAGCACATCACTGACCTCAGGCATTGCGTGCTCGACCCGAGCCGATGAGCCATCCTCGGGCGGTACGGTACCTCTCTCTCTCTCTCTCTCTCTCTTTCTTTATCTCCTTCAACTCCATACCCTCCTTGACTTGTGGCTTCATAGCTGTTCGGCCCCGACCAACACGTCGCTCGGGGACGGCTTGTCATCGAAGCGGAGCGACGTCGTCAAGCCAGAGAGTTCTATGGACATGCATGACGATGGGCTTCATGGCCTGATGAATTACTATCGTTATCGTATGGGCGGGATGATTGATTGATTGATTGACTGGGATCGAATTGCCAGAGAATTACCTATATAAACCTCCAGGGAAGCCAGCCAGCTGCTGCCATCTCGAACTACCCACGGACAAGCAAAGCCCACCAGACTCACAATAAATTCCAAGAGATACCATATACTACTACTGTACCACTCAGACAAAAATGTCCTCCTCCCCCGTCACCACCGCGGCGACCAACATCCTCCTCGCTGCCGTCGAAAACCGCCGCTCGTGCTACACCCTTACCAAGAATGCGCCACCCGTCACCGACGCGCGCATCCGCGAGATCGTCCAGGCCGCCGTCACGCACACGCCCTCGGCCTTCAACGTGCAGTCCACGCGCGCCGTCGTCCTGGTGCAACGGGACCACGAGGCGCTGTGGGACCTGGGCGACGCCGCCCTGAAAGCCGCCATGCCCGGGCCGGCGTACGCCGCGCTGGCGCCCAAGGTGCAGGGCTTCCGCGCCGCGTACGGCACCGTCTTGTGGTTCGAGGACCAGGCCGCGCTCGACGCCCTGAAGGAGAAGAACCCGGCGCTCCAGCACGTCGTGCCGCAGTGTAAGTCCCGTCCAGTCCCGGCCGGCCCTGTTCTGTGGGATGGGTTTTTATGATTTGCTGAACTCAACACAACAAAATAGGGTCGGCACATTCCAACGGCATGCACCAATTCCTCGTGTGGACCGCCCTGGAACTCGAAGGCCTGGGCTGCAACCTCCAGCACTACAACTTCATGCCCGAGTTCCGACACGAGGTGCAACGTCGGTGGAACATCCCGTCCACCTGGGCCTTGCACGCCCAGCTGGTCTTTGGGACGCCGGTGGACGGTCTGAAAAGGAGCCGAGAGCGGACGTACCTGCCTCTCGAGGAGCGGGTGAAGATGTTTGGCGCGGAATGACCAGAAAGAAAGAAAGTTATGGTGTAAAGAACTGTGGAGATCTGAGCCTGTGGGACGGCGATAAGACAAGATTCCAAGAAGTTTCTTTGTCTTTTTTTTCTGTTTCGTTCTTTGAGTAAGAAAAAAAAGAAAGTCTCATTCATGTTTCCCCTACTACGGCGCAGCCTCGCGCCCATCTCCACTCGCAATATTGATTGAAAACGCCAGAATTGACTCGTGTGCGTGTGGTTGGGCTGCAATTCATTCATTCGTTCATTCATTCATTTCCGTGACGACCGGCCACGTTGTACGCGCATTCGCCTGCCTGCCCATCCCCCAAAACCCGGGGTTCGGTCAGGCAATAAAGAGGCTGTTGTTGTTGGTTATGTTCAGTACCACCACACACGAACAAACCAGTGAACCACCACCGACTTAAACCTTGATGAATTCCCATACAATCTCCTCGCCGAGAGCATCCTCGCCGTCGATCTTGGCCAGGATTGCCTCTGCTCCTCTTTCTTTCCCCTGCACCTGCTGCTGTTTTTCGACCAGCCGTGTGCCCACGCGCCACAGCTGGTCATAGTGGGTGGTGAACAGGAGATAGCCGCCGTCGGGCCGGGGCCGGACGACGAAGTTCTCCCAGCCCCGGTGGTGCGGGCTGACGCAGACCAGACGCCCATGGCGGTTGCCCTTGCCGTCGTACCCCAAGTATTTGCCCGACGCCACGTTCCGGAACCCCAGCCAGCCCTTGTTTTCCTCGCACGCCCAGTGCACGCTTCCGCCCACGGCGCCGATGCCGCGGTCGTCCGGTTCGGACAGGATAACCTCCCCGCCGTGCAGCGTTAGGATCTTCCCCCATGAGGACTGGATCATGTACAACGACCCGGGCCACGGGCACAGGAAGCGAGGCCGCGGAGGCGATGATAGTGTATAGTCGTCGTCGTCGTCATCGCCTTTGTCCGAGAGTGCAGAGATGGTGGTCGGTGGTGTTGCGTCCATGATGGTCATGGTCGATTCCATGGGAGTGGTGGAAGAGCTCTCAAGGCCGTGGTCGTGGTTGTGGTCGTGGTCGAGGTCTAGTTTCGTGAGCTGGTCAAGGGCTGCGATGGTGGGGGAGGCGGCTTTGGTGATGGCCATCATGCTGGCAGCTGGGTCAGTGAGTGATTGCGTGTCTGTATCTTGTCAACTTGGGTTTGTGAGCTTTTGGCGAAGATGAAGTTGATAAAGATGGACGATCAGGCTGGATTTTAGACGCCGTTGCCTTGTTCCTCAGGCAAGACGTGTGGGGCCATACAGAAGCTTGGCAGCGCACTAACAACTTTTAATATTGTAGCTTCAACCACATCGGGGAAGGTTAGGCGGGCCTCTCCGCCTCACTAGCCTTAGCCATCCCACAAACTTCACTAACATTTTGCGCCTCCACTTGTGCCTGGAGTTTCCATGACCCGTTGGAAGCCTTTATCAAATACCTCGTAGGCACCCAGTAGATCTGGACGACTTGGATCCGTCATGTTAGCCAGTCTCCCGCCTCTGAAACATCTGATTGAATCCGGCCTTTTCCACCTGAAAATCTTCTGTCAAAACTGTGAGATGGCATACCAGGACGGCTCCTCCCCATTCGTCACCGCTGCTCTCTCGTGTTCTCGCTGGATTGAACCGGAGAGGGAGGCCTCGTTTTCTGGCCCCAGACGACAATTCTGCCAACGACTCGTCAGTCTCGCCAGCGATCAGGGTTCGGCCCCCGAACGGGAAGGAACAGGCCACTCACATTGGCCAGTATGCGTGGATCGCAGAATTGCGCAGATCTTTCCGTACCGCCGGGAGATATGCCAGGACCTGCTCGCGCGTCCAGCCGTGGCCCCGCGACAACAGCGCCATGCTCAAGCCATCGAGGCCTTGGCCAATATTCGCGAGTGTCCAGAGCCCAACCAGCTTGTGTTTCGGGTCCTTGGGCCAGCTGTTTGTGGGCCATTTGAAGTGCTTCACAGACACGTTGGTGAAACCGGCGGCGATCATGTGCTCGCGGTGCTGGGTGGCGGCACCCAACGACCGTCCCAGCTTCTCACTGGCTTCGAGCAGTAAGTTGCCCCATTCCCAGATGGTCTGGCCCTTGTGGAAGGTGCCGTCGTCGGTGGCGAGAGGGAAAATGCAATCCTGGAGTTCCAGCCAGCCGCCAGGAGTTAAATTCCTTGTCGAACCGAAGTCGGACATTCCGTCAATATCATGGTCCAGCTAGCCAGGGAGGGGGCGGGGTGGGTTAAGGTATCAGGGTCAAATTGTTGAGCAGCAGGTGGACATACTCATAAGCCCGGCTTATAAAACTGGGCCAGTCAGCAAAGCTGCCCACCATCATCCTACTGAAGATGTAATCAAAGGGGAACGACCACGTCCACTCCTGTTCGACGTCGTCAATCTCAAACGAGCAATTCGGTGCAACACTGCATTGTCGTCAGCAACCCGTTGCAGAGGCCCCTCCAGAGCGTTCTTTCGCTTACTTTTCAGGCTGGATCGGGCTCAAATCGACGCCGATAACCTCCAGAATAATGACGGTCAGTACATAGCGACACTGGCGAGCCAGCTTGCCGGGGCTGTGGTACCTGAGCCGCAGGGTGATTATCAGCTGCAGCTTTCATCAGTAAATGTTTGAGGGTGCGAGGCGCATAGTCTCGATACCATATTGCATTGCCCAGATGCCCGTTCCTGTTCCGACATCGAGCACTCGTTGGGCTGTGTCTGCTCCCGGTGCAAAGTGGGCACGGTCGTCGAATGTCGCCAAAAAGTGTTGGTTTTGGACGTCTGTTGCCATTGTCTTTGTCAGATTGTCTTCCTTTCCCTTGTTAACGTGGATGGTTCAACCCTACCTAGCCGCTCGTTTTCTGGCTGCCGGGTGAGACTTCAGCAAGCGCACGTAGCAGAAAGAGAGGCAAATGACCTCGTCATTGGGCAGGATGTACTCTGGACGCAATGGTGTTCAGTATCCATCGACATGAGAGCGAGAAGGCAGCACTGACTTCCAGCACTGAGCGCGTGGTAAGTTCGCCCATTTTCAATGTGATAATTTCGAATAGTGGACGTGATTGAGGTTGTCGAGATTTGGTCTTCGCCCTGCAGCACCAGACGGGTTATTGCCTATCCTCTGGTGAAAGGCCTGTTGGCATACCAGGTCGACCGCTGAGTCCTGGTCATCGTCGGCCTCCTGGAATCTAATGTCAATTTCAGCACGGCGGCGTTCCAGCGTGAGTGCTTACTAGAACCTGATCGACTTGCTGCTCCTCGTCGGCTTCCTGCATCGCGCGTGACTGCAGATGGACTCGAAGATACGACGGGTCTTCCTGGGCAGAAGAAAGTGGCAACTCGGTACACGGCCGATCGAAAGGTGGGTTGTCCTGATCTTTTGTCGCGTAGGGATTCGGCTTGCCGTGAGCTACCGGCCCCCTCCGCTACTAGGAACACCTCCGTAGGAGGTTAAATCACCATCTAACGCCGGTAAACAGTCGTACAGTAGTAGCATCCGGTGACGCTAAGTAAGAGTTCGAACGGCTGATCGGGCCAGTAGACGACGACACCATTCGCCCTACGCGGGGTTGGTTATGTACCCAAATGAGCGCCTTACAGATGGGCGTAAATAGGCCATTCAGGAATACGTGGTGGTCACAGTCTAGCATCCCGGGCGAAATCGGGTCCAAGTAATGGCATCTCGTCTCAAGATAAGCTGCCGTCCGAATTAGCTCTGCTTGCGAAGTCCTGGTGAAACTGTGACATGTTGTTGGCCTCTACGTGTAAGTTGTATCGTCCTCTTCTCTGCCGTCGACGCTTTACACGGGACTATTCCGCCTCGTAATCTTCATCATGAGGTTCCATTGCGTCATGACGCCGTAGTCAAAGGTGTCCATAGGATGAGCAGGGTTGACGACAGTAAAGTCAAAGCGTCGTAGAAGCTGTAACAGTTAAGCACGGACTTCCGTCGTGTTGACATGCACGTACCTCGACGAACACCTTGTTCAGCTCCAAGAGGGCAATAGGCTTGCCCAGACAACCCCATTTGCCTTGACCAAAGATAAGCTCGATGGTATTCTCCATGATTCGAAGCTGCTCGCCCTGAGCAAGTATCCATCGCTCAGGGGCGAAGAAGTCTGCGTCATCCCCAAAAACATTCCTGTCTCGCATCACTGAGCGCGCGCTCCAGCCAACGTTTGTGTGGGCCGGAACGCGATGGCCACAGACCACGGCATCCGTATTGGAGGTCCGCGGGACGATGCCAGTAATAGGAGGCCAGATCCGGAAGCACTCTTTGATGAAGGCCTGTAAGTATGGAAGTGCCCGTGCCTCGCTATCTTTGATTGGAGACGATATCTGACCAGCTTTGGCGCCCCGGTCAATCTCTTCTTGCAACTTCTGATATACGAGGGGCGACGTGGAGGCGTGAAACATGCCTATCCTGATCACCGTGGCAGTCGTGTCAGAGCCCGCCACGATCTGAACAAGAGACTCAGACTCGGCGTCCTTTTGTGTCAGACCGTGAGCAACGAATGACCCCAGCATGTCTCGTTTGACAATCTTCGCATCGCCGTATCGCTCGGCCACGATTTCTTTAGCAAGCCCCATAACCTTGCCGAGCCCAATCGCATCAGTGTGCGTTGGCCGGATCGCTTTGAATAGAGGAGACTGTAGGACGCTCAAGAGCCCTGGCAGTAAGGCGATCATTTGCATGAGAGGGAGTGACTCTTCCGTCGTCTTGATGTAGTCGTAGAGGTCGCCATCCCTGTCCACGAAGCCAAACGTCCGTCCCAATGCGAATGTGGAAACGAGGTCCAAGGTCAAGAACTGAATCTTACGAGCGAAATCAACTGGGCGGAAATCCGTCTCGGTCGAGAGATATTTCCCCTCTATAAAGCGAACGAACTTGGCTATTTGCTGGTCAATCGACTCATGTAACCCGTCAATGTCCTTTCCTGAGTACTATTTCATCTTAGTCCTCGAATGGCTGGTTGGTGACGATACTTACTCCAGGGAGAAGTTTGGATCTGAGCGCCGTGTGCAGGGTGCTGTCACGTATGGACAGGGTACAGTCGTTTGGTGGATCAAGCTGGAACCCCTTGAACCATGGTGCTCGATCGAACTGAGAGCGTACTCCCCATATGCGGCGAACTTCAATTGGGTCGCCGCATATCAAGTAGTCGGGTGCAACGCGGACAAGAGGTCCTTTTATAGCGCTTCAATCAGTGGACGTTCCATGTTCTCTTTCAACGGAGACCACACACCATACTTGTGGCATAAATCGTCAAGATCCCGGTACAGTGACCCTCTGAAGGCTCTCCGAAGTATCCATAGATCCGACCAGCCGCACCACAACGGGCCCGGGATGTGCCGCAGGCGTTTCCATGTCAGAAACCTTGTGGTGAGGACAAGGATGGCGATCACGGCAGGGCCAATGAGCCAATATGCCATCCTGGACACTTGTTCTGTTAAATCTTCCTTTCTCTCCGAGTGCCTGGCTTTGGACAATGGTGCCAGAATGGTTGGCCTGGCAGCTTGTGAAGCGAAGAATCTGGTGGAGGTGACAAGTTGGAACTAAATCCCGTCCGGAGGGAAGGGGCCGTGGCTAGGGATCGCTCGGCTAACTTCAGCTCCTGCGTGGGCTCCAGAATGATTGGCACCACGTTGACCCGCGACTTATCGACAGGTAGGAGTCCATCGTGGCACCCCGCACAATTTGGCTATCTGCACAGGAATTCGGGAGTTTGCAAACTTGTATAGGGTGCGACTGTTGACGACCAGGATGTCGAGATTATGCTGAATGAGTCCAGGTGAAAAAGAGATGTGTTCTTTCCCCTCTCTCTTTTCTTCCCAATTCAACGAACTTCAGAGCCTGGTGCACGTGCTATGACATGCAAGGCGGAAAACATGCCACCTGCTGAATGTACGAATTGATGACAATAAGGAGTATATGGACGTCACCAAGGGAGTTTGTTGTATGCGACAGGACTCATACCTGAATTTCACAATAATCAAAACAAGTCGAATATCGAAGGAAAATGTCCTGGGCCTTTATAGACCTGATAGCTCGAATGGAATGCTCTATTGAGATCCTTTGAGTAACCCCTCCTTTTCGATATTCTAACTTCAATCATGTCTCTATAACTCGAAGTGTATCGATCTTTTCTTCAGTGCCAAATGTCATTGGTGCAGAATCGACATCAGGTTGAACCGGCCCTACGCCCATTTTGCTGTTTCTTGACTTCCCAATTCCTCCACGTCCCTCCATCCACCATCCCCTCGACGAAATCTCCAATACCGTAGCCTTGATTCCACTGCTTATTTTGGGTTGACTCACTTATCTTCCAAAACAGGGTTCCATCATAACAGCCTCGAAGATCCTCTTTCCACACTCTCCCATCTCTCTGGAGTAGCAGCCACGTCGTCCACATTTCCATGAATCCGAAACACCAACCGGCCAAGTCGGCTGCCAGACGGTTCTTCTTCCACATGAGCCACATCTCGTCAGCACTCAGACCGCCACAGCGTGAGGTATCCCAGCGGTCGAACATGGCGTCGAACCTGTCGGCGTGGAAATGCCCGTCGACATCAAAAATACCGGTGTCGGAGCCGTGTTTTGCTTTGTGGATGCTTCCGACGAAGATCCGGAACCAAGGATCAGGAAACCAGCTATGTGCCAGAGTGGTCGGGTACGAGAAAAACAAGGGTATGAGGAGCGACCCCAGGGAAAAGAGAATCCCGAACCCCAGGTCGCGAAATCCATTGTAGACGTCCCAAGGGTGGATGACGCCGTCGTTATCACGGTCCCAGAACAGCACATGTTGTTGGAGGGCGGTGAGTTGTGGCTGTGGCTTGGTTGGGGACGTGGACAGACCGTTGGTGAAGCTCCCGTGAATAGGAGATGTGTGATGTGTTTGGTTCGAGGCGGGAGAGGCGGGCAGTTTTCCCGAATCTGTGGATGCACCGAGACTACCCATGTCTGTGTCTCGCTATTATCTTGATGTGAGAATGTGAACGACGGAGGAAAGGTGGTCTATGATGCTCGCTCAGTCACCGATGGCAGAAAGAAATCAAAGCCCACGGATGACTCGACGAGTCCACGTCAATGATGTAGTTGGCCGGACAACGTTTCCGTACAGACAATAAATCTCTGAGGGAAGAACAAGCAGCAGCTATTCCGAGTCTCACCGCCTTGGTGTGTCCGAATCAGGCCACTTTGATCTCACCTGCATCTGTCTATGAGAAAAGGAGTACATGCGAGAAAGCTTGATGTGCGGGTGCATTGGATATGTAAAGGCCCAACAAAAAATTCGCCAATGCCCTGAAAGGAGCTTAGATCGAATAAGGGAGAGTAAGGGAGACAAGCACACGACATGCAGCAAATGGAAGACTAATCCGATGCTATGTATTATGTACTCGGTAGATGACGACAAGACACTCTAAAAGTGAGGTATCAGTGGGGAGCTTGGCACGTAACATGTCCGTCTGACTGGGTTAATTCCCTTGACCCTGTGACACATTCTCCCCCCTCACCTTTTGAAATGACAGGGTTACACATCCCATGCACCTCCCTCACACATTTCACCCACCGCTCAAAATCAGCCTCTTCCCGAACCCCCAAACATCTTATTCCCTTGACAGCCGCCAGGGAGCCAACAGGACTCAATGGGCGACTCAACGGAGGAGCCAGACACAAAGCACGCAGGAGACAAGTACGAAGTGCCCACGTACGAGGCACACTCCTCGTTTGACAGCCTGAAACAACGCATACGGCAACACTATGAGATCGCTTCAGACTATTACTACTCTCTGTGGTAAGTGGGCTTTGCTTTACAAATTAGAGGGATAATGAAAGAACGTGGACATTTACCGTCACGACAATTTTTGTGTCGAGCTTGTGTATCTGACCGTATGCCAGGGGCCAACACATCCACCACGCCTACTTTCTCACTTCGGAGGACACCAAGGAGACGGGTCAAACCAACCTGATCAACCTGCTGCTCGACATCTCCAAACTTGCACCCAATTCCACGGTTCTCGATGTTGGCTGTGGCATTGGCGGCACGACGCGGCACCTGGCACGCGAGCATGGCTGCACCGTGACGGGTATCACAATCAGCGGACGACAAGTCCAGATCGCCAAGCGTCTCACGAGCGATGAAGCGGCCCGAGATTCCAGAAATACTTCTTCGAACGTGGTGGCAACGACGACGCCCTCCTCCGCAGGTCGCGATGGCGCAGACAAATCATTCATGCCTCTCGGGTCCAAGAACGGCCGAGTGCACTATTTCGAACTCGACGCGGAAAAGATGGAGAGCCGCTTCTCACCCGAGTCGTTTGACTGCGTCTGGATCTCCGAGGCACTGTCCCATTTCCCCGACAAGGCCTTGTTCTTCCGCAACGCGGCGCGCGTGCTGCGCCCTCACGGCGGCAAGCTCGTGCTGGCCGACTGGTTTAAGTCGGCGCCCCTGACACCCGAGCAGATGGAGAACGACATCAAGCCCATCGAGGACGGCATGCTGCTGCCGCCCCTCAAAACCATGGCCGAGTACGTGGCCCTGGCCGAGGCGGCCGGCCTGCGCGTCTTCCACGCGCCCCAGGACATCTCCCAGCAGGTAGCCCGCACCTGGGACATCAGCTGGGAGTTGGTCAGCAATCCCAGCCTGTGGGCCTTTGCCATCTCCCAGGGTCGGGACGGGCTCGCCTTTCTGCAGGCCTTCCGAGCCATGAGGCGCGGGTACAGCAATGGCACATTCCGCTACGGTGTCATGTGTTTCGAGAAGGCGTGATCTTCCACGTGCTTCGGCATACACGATACATACATAGATATCCATATGGAACAGCCACAGGAGCAGGGGGCCATAATGTTGGAAGGTGGGTTTGTATACACGAAGCCCGGGCTGGGGGCCAATCTCACGAAGTGCTGCAGACAGAACTGAGAAGCATAGAACACACACGCCCAGAGTGCGTGACGAAATGCAAGAGAAGGATGGAACTAGAGGATAGACCCAAAAAGATCCAAGACCGGGGAGTATTGTTTATAAGGAGTGTGATTTCTCTAGTATAGTAATAACCCATTTATTTACTGCGGCCAAGACTTTTTCACTATGGGTGTCACTCCTCTCATCGGCACAACGCGATACAATTTTTTGATATATATATATATATATACTTCAAACCCCGTGCTTCGTCCGTGCTATGCAGAGCTATCAAACCAAAGAGAGTGCCAATCTGGAATTTTCACGTCGCCGGCAGGGTTCTCGGAAGACCAAGCAGGTCATGGCAGATATATGTTACTGACCCGTCCATCTGTTTACTCGGCGTCGCTCTCCTCCTCGGCGGTGTTGTCGTGGAAGTTCTTGCCCTCGGTGGTCTCGTTGATGACGCCGGCGCGGATGGTCCAGTCGCCAAAGTGCTCGCCGTCGGTGCGCTCCTTGGAGTAGCGGGCCAGCAGGTCCCGCATGATGTCCAGGATCTCGTCCTCCTTGATACTGCTGCGGTACAGCTTGTTCAGGCGCTGGCCATGGTAGCCGCCGCCTAGGTACATATTGTAGGCGCCATAGGCTTTGCCGACAAAGGCGGCCTCGGCGACCCACGGGCGGGCGCAGCCATTGGGGCAACCCGTCATGCGCATCACGATCGAGTCCTGCGACAGTCCATTCTCTTCCAGGCATGCCTCCAGCTTACTGATCAACGTTGGCAAGTACCTCTCCGACTCGGCCATGGCAAGACCGCAGGTTGGGAAGGCAACGCACGCTGAGCTGGACAGCCGCATGCCCGAGAACTGCGTGTTGTCCAGCTTGTATTTCTTCATCAGCTCGACGATGGCTGGTTTGGCTTCGTCGGTGACGTTGGACAGGATCAAGTGCTGATTTCCCGTGAGGCGGAACTCGCCCTTGTGGATCTTTGCAATTTCTCTCAGGCCCGTCCGCATCAAGAAGTCTGCCGTGTCCTCCACGCGACCGTTCTCGATGAAGAAGGTAAAGTGGTTCATACCCTTTTCGTCGCGGAGCCAGCCGAATGTGTCAATGTTCGAATCGAACTTGTACGGGCGTGGCGTGTCGAAGGTGATGCCTAGCGGGGTGAGGAGCTCTTGGACTTTCGACTTGAAGACTTCGTTGCCCATGTCGTCCATGGTGTACTTCAACCGTGCGTGTTTGCGGTTCTTCCGGTCACCGTTGTCGCGTTGCACGAGCATGATCTTTTCGCACACCAAATGTGCCACGTCGGCGGGGACATAGCCCATCATATATCCCAGTCGAGGGTAAGTCTTCTTATTATTGTGTGTAACACCCATACCGCCGCCGGCGAGGATGTTGAAGCCTTCAAGATGGCCGTTGTCCTTGGACCGGATGGCAATGAGGCCGACATCGTGAGCATAGACGTCGGTGTCGTTGTGGGGGGGAATGGCAATGGTGATCTTGAACTTCCTGGGGAGATAGGTCGGGCCGTAGAGGGGCTCAAAGTCTTGCACGGCGTCACCGGCGACTTGCGTCTTCTCACCAGTGGTGTCATCCTTCAACCAAATCTCATGGTAGGCCGTGGTGGAGGGCAAGAGATGGTCGGATATTCTCTTTGAAACGGCGTGGACTTCCTGGTGATATTCGGACAGGGTCGGCAAGCTCGAGCACATGACGTTCCTGTTGATATCGCCGCAAGCCGCGATGGTCGTCATGAGCGCCTTGTTGATCGCTCGCATGGCTGGCTTGAGCTTCGACTTGATGACACCGTGGAATTGGAACGTTTGCCTCGTGGTGAGCTTGATGGTTTCGTTGCCATGAGCCGAAGCAATTGCGTCCATCTGAACCCACTGTGATGGAGTCGCGACACCTCCTGGCAGCCGACATCTGATCATGAAGGAATAGGCTGGCTCAAGACCTTGTGCTTTGCGTTCATCGCGCAGGTCACGATCATCTTGTTGATAGGTACCGTGGAATTTAGTGAGCTGTTGATCCGACGCGGATATAGCACCGGTTGAAGTATCCGCGAGTCCTTCCTCGATGGTGCCTCGGAGGTAGTTCGACGCCAGCTTGATGTCTTCGTTGGTCAACGGCGGTGGCTCTTCTGGCAGCCCCTCCACATTGGCAACGTTGAGCGCTTGCCAGAGTCTAGGCTCCCACTCCTGGTACCCGGTTTGGAAGCTATCAGGGTCCTGATCGTCACCCAAACCAATGGCAGTCAGCAGCTTGCCTCCCAGGAATTGAACGCGAGTGTCCAGATCTTTTCCAGGCTTGTTGTAGAAAATCTTGTCTTCTTTTCGTGGCCAATAGTGGCTGTCACCGAGCGCAAAGACCGAGTAGTGGACATTGGAGAGGTCGAGGTCCGCAGCATCTTTGATCCCTTCCCAGAAAGCACGACCATTTTGTGGAAATTCACCTTGGCCGGCTGTGCTAGTGATGAACACCACGTTCTCCTCGTTTGGAAGATCCTCCAAGGGGTAATCGTCCATGGCGAACACCATAGTCTTCAAACCCCGAGCTTTTCCCCGGTTGCCTAGTCTCTTTGCCAGACCTTCTGCATTACCGTTGTCAGAGGCGAAAAGGACCGTCAGTGGCGCTCCGTATAAGCCCTCCAACATCTGTTCGTACGCGTCCTTCGCTTTGCGTTTCTGCAGCTTGCGGACTTCAGAACCGTAAGATTCTGAAAGGCTGGCGGCAAATTGAGGATGGCGGTTCATTACCTGTGTGAGCTGGTTGTCGCGACGCAAAAATTCCTCCAGCTCTCGTTTTATGCGTTCGGAATCGAGCGAGAAGGAAGGTTCCCCCTTGTCTTCATTGGACGGATCCCATCGGTACAATGGCCAATAACCCATGTCGACGGCTTTCTTCGTCTCTTGCAGGACGGTTAGCGGCGAATCGGTTTCCTTGTTGTAAGGGAGGTAGGCTAAAACGACTGACGGTCCGTTGAATCTTTCAGCCTCGATCATCGCTTGCAGGACTTGTGTGTAAGAACTGTACACGGCCACTGAGGCGACATAAGCGTTGCCAAAATTCATGGCATAGAGACCAATGTCTTTCTTGCGTCTCATGGCATCAGCTGCAGCCCGCTCCGAATACGGTTCTGAATCGATTATGAGCAAATTGACGTTAGCACCCGAGGCAAGAACGTGATGAACCCCAGAATTGCCCAGGTCATATGCCCAAGCATCGGAGCCAATCAACCACTGCGATTCCTTGAAAAAGAACGCTTTCTTGTCGAGGAGTGAATTGGCTAGCCGTGAGCCATCAGTGGATAGACGTGCAACGACCTCGGGAGCGATCTCGTTTGCTTTCGCCGCGTCATTAGCGTTCAAGGCCCATCGTGATAACCATTGCTTGGGAGATTCCGTGATGAATTGATTGCTGCGTGCAGCTCCTTCCACCTCCTTCACAAATTCTTGACGCCGTTCAGTCCGAGCGAGCAAGGAGCCAAAACCATACTCCGGTGATGCTGCAAGCGTGGAGGAGACGCCAGCGTTCTTCTTGTCGAGTAAATTGGCAATGTAGAGTCTGGTGCTGAACAACTGGTCGAGAATTTTAAGATAGGCATTCTCAACCTCGGGTTGTTCGGGGATAAAGCTGTCAACCGCAGGTTCTACCTCGTGACCAATACTGAGGTTCTGGATCGAGACGGCCGCGGCTTGGGAATAGCCGCGGCGTCGAGAGTGTTTTCGGGGCGTGACCGGAGGGGCGAGATTTTGGAAAATGCCACGAAGTGCTTGGAGAGCTGTTGATGCATCGATCTGACCCAGCCTGTACTGGACCAGAGAGATTGCACTTTGACCGCCAGCACCCGGGTTCAAACTTGACAACAAATCAAGGAACGAAGGGCCCCATTTCGTGGTCTTCCTCCTGATCTGCTCTAATACCGCAATCTTCTGAATCGTTTTTGGGATAGAGTCCAACAGAACAGCGCTCCCAAGCCATGGCCGGTACAACCGGGCAGTGATGATGCCGAGACTCGAAAGATCGGCTGGGACATCATCAGCGTCGAGGACGTCAACAAATACCCCAGTTGAGCCAAAGATATAGAGAGCTGCCTCGGCATCCGGAGGACCCGAGTATTCAATCGCAGAATAGTTGCGACCAGTTATACGGGAGATAGCCGCCCAAATTTCACTGACGTAATTAAAGATGTCAGTAGCGCTCACCGCGCGAGAAACTGGTGTCTCTATCGTAGTCGCAATTGACGATGGTGCGACGCTGCCTGAGGAACTCTCTCGTCGTGAGGAGGAAGATGCTGCCGAGGACGAATCCGTGTGCCCATTGGTTGATGTAGGGGCGGCAACAGGCGACAAAACTTCTCTCGAAGCTGGTGCGGGCGCTTGCGCAGGAGCAATTTCTGGGAGACCAAGATCTGTGACAGTGGCAGTCCTTCCACTATCGGTATAAAGGGTGTGTTCGGTTTCACCCGTATGCGAAGCCTTAATACCACTCTCAAGAAGTGCTTGAAGCAGCTCGCGGCTCTCGATCGCGACTGGATTGTCCTGGACGGAGTTGCTGGGGTCGTAGAAGTGAATGACACCTTTGCCGCTTCTCACAGCCAGGGCGTGAGCTGTCAACGCGATGTCCTGTGCCTCTTGTAGGGTCTCCGAGTGCAAAAAAGTAAAACCGCATTGTCTTATTGAGCTGATTTCCGAGAAGTCTGGCTGGGGTGTGGCCAGCGCCACGTGGAGGACAACTGGATATTGAGCGAGTTTATACAAATGAGGTACCGAGTTCAACAGAATGGAGGAGGGAGCCGTAACCGAGACCAGTTTACCGGCCTGAAGGGGCGTGTATGCAGAGAGCAGCGGGTCTGCATTCTGCCGCACGGGAACGATCTCGGGGAGGGATTTGGAGACGAAGTTCTTTGCTTTGCTCGCAACAAATCGAGAGAGATGAGGTGAGAACTCGGAATCGGTGCCCAGCGAAGGTTGGACGGAGAGAACGACATCGCTGGCGAGGTAGGCGATTCTCGCGACTGTCCAGTCCCGGTATGTTAGTCCCTGCAAATTGCCAACCCAGATTTCCACAAAGACAGTGGAAGCGGGGAACCAGATCTCAATAGATACATACCGGCTTCTGCGGGGCTAGCAACGGACCCCATGTCGCTTGTCGCTTGTCTGGTGGTCTAAGAGAATGACAGTAAACAAAGCATACAAGGTCGAGAAAAAGCAGAGCAGGAGGAAGAATCGACCGAACTGTAATACTTGAAGCAATATTGCCCTGCTGCACCATTCTCCGCTTTCTCATGCCTCCACAGCAGCCTCGACCACCGCCGGTATGCAAAAGCCGCCTCTCAAATTTTTGCTGCTACGGCTGTCGGTCTCGTCATTCGCTCTCCCGTCATTCTGATTGGTCGCCTCCCGATTGCGACATCGTGTGCCGATGGTTCGTGACGGCGACGGAGTGAGGATTTGAAGGGAAGAGCGGTTACAATTGACAAAAGAGATAGACTTGCCTAAAGCAGACTCCAGAGTGGGATCGGAGGATGTCGTGGGTATGTCTGCGTTTGGGAGGCCATCCCAATTCAACCTCTGCTAACAACATCTCATCGCACACAGCATACCTCACACAAACTTTGAGGAAATCTCCGAAGCGTAAAAAAAAGGACCAAACGGTCTGGAAACAGATGGTTTGAGTAATACGAAGGGGGGATGGTACACCATCTACCGGTTCTTACCACTGTAGCTTCGAGCTCGTGCCTGTTTGGAGTATCTACTCGACGAGCAGATTCCTCGTTTTCTGTGCTTGGAAGGATAACCATGCGGCCCCAAGAATGATTGATACCTGAGTCGCCTCAGGGACTAGATCCAGTCTACTAGCATAGGCATAGGAGTGTATGCCGATGGTAGGATAGGTGTTGGTGTTGTAGGTAGATCATGGCATCAAATTGCGTGCTCAACACCGAGTGCCGTTGGTGAGAAGGTCGCCTCAGCCTTGCATGCTCCGCGCAGCGAATCTTCAGTCTTGGCTCACGTCATTCGCGGATCATCTTTGTTCCGCGGTTTGAAGGGTTGAGAATAATTTTCCGCAATAATAGATGCACTGCACTGCGCTGCATGACCAGACCGTGTAGTCGCTCTTGCCAATCCAGCTAACCATGGCCGACGACGACGATCCTGTCATCGCCTCCTACGATGTCTGCCTGGCCAGTAGCATCTCCTCTCCTGATAGGGGTTCCTCCAAGTTGTATCTCCTCCAGTATCCCTCCCACCGCCCTTACCACATACCGTACAGTGCTGCAATATCGCAAGCTCCAACTGCCCTTCGTCTCAAATCCGAAGCTGGCTTCATAGAAATCGACGTCCCCATGTGCACATACGATAATTACAGCGAAGTTGCTGGTGAAAGATTTGGGAAAGCCATGGCCGAGAGCCGCACCATCAATACCGGAGGCTCATTTGGGTTGGCTGGTGGCTTTGGAGGGGGCACAACGCAACCGAGACTGAAGGATATTCCTATGCATGATCAACATACCTCACCTGCGCCGTTGCTTGAGACCCAAACACTGGGTGGAAAGATACCAAATCCGAGCACCCGCGATCCTATCTATCTGGTAGGGTGCTTCCGCCAAAACCAGATCCACCTGTCCTACTTAGATGCTGTGGTGCAAATGCGGCCCCAATTTCATCACATTGATGCTGAAGATGAATCCATCCAGAGACGGGCTGCAGGTGCCAGTAATGCCGGTTCGTCTCGTCCAAAACCTGGCCTGGAGCCGCCGGCACCCAAGGTGGAGTCGAAAGCTATCGAAATCAAAATCAGAGATACCAAAGATGATTCCAAGGATCGTGCCATGAATGACAACGCGCGACAACTGCGGGACATTCAAATGGACCAGTGGCAGACTTATGGGTGGGTGGATGAGGACGATCCCCTTGCTAAGACTGTGCTCGATTCGCGGATGCGCCTTGTCTCCGATCCAATGCACGCTCCCCCTAAACTGCACAGCTGTATCAGCAACGGTGACTGGTTGGACAGAATGAGTGCGCCCCGAGAAGATGGAAAGAAGGGCTTACTGGCCAAGTTACGCGGACGAGAACGAGAGCGAGCTCGTCGGAAGAAGGCCGAAGAAGAGAAACGACAACGGCAGAAGGAGGCGAGCGGGGCGGCGTCAAGCAGTCATGATCTGCTGGTCTGCATGAGCGAGGATAGCGACTTGAGTAGCCCAGATATTACAGACGATGACCTCCCAGAAGAAGACTTGACAGCGGGAAAGGACGTGGTGGACAATATTCAAATCAAGCAAGAGCCCACTGCTCCTTTCCCATCGTCCAGACGGAACCTCATATCGTCAAGCACAAAGTCCGGCCCGAGCAATCCTCCAAAAAAGAGAGGACGACCGAGGAAAAATCCAGCTCCCGACTCAATCCCCTTTGGAGACTAATTCTGGGAATCAGTCTGGCCATCTCATCGACCAAGGGGTGCCTTCCCGAGGGCGGCAGTGCAGAGGATGGCCATCTCTTTTCTTGCTCTGGAGAGCGAAGCAATTACGATACCCCCTAAATCATATCTCAGGCTATGGCTGGGTTTTTGTCCCAGCCTTAATGATCATTTGAAAAATCTTCAGATCCATCTTTGCATCCTTTGCCGTGGTCTTCACTTCCTTTCCGTTGGCAACCATCTGGTACAATTCCTTCATTTCCAAAGTATAAGGATCTTCATAGGTCCGCTTGACCGTTGACTCTCGGTACACTCCGTCGATGTTTTCGCAGACAACCATGGTCACTGGCAGACCCTTAACATAGGGGCTGTCATATTTGACTCGAACGGATTTTGTCATGCTATACACCTCAATATGGGCATCAAAACGAGGAACATTGTCAACCCCAGATTCATAGGTTACCGAAAAGGTGGGATATTCCAACAGTGCACTGTACACGTCAGTTAACCACAGCCCAATGCAAGATATCGTCAAGCATACCTCCAGAATGGAAGATTTATCGATGCTCCGATGACACGTCCCGGCATCCCGAGAGCTTCTCTCATTGCCGACAAGTCATGAGAACCCAGGCCACCCAACAGTCGCCACATCCTCGTGGACTCGGCATTGACAGGTAATCCACATTCGACTGACAGTGCTTGATACACTATTTCCGATGCCCTGTCATTTTTGTCTTGCACGGCTTCCGGTGTGAAATCAGTGAACACCTTTGGAAAAGTGCCTGATTGTGCGACAAAGTGGCTGTTGGGTCCGATTATATCTGTTCAACAGAGGCTGCCGTTCAGAGTCTGCGCCACCAATCATTTGAGACAGGAGAGTTATGTACCTCTAACTCGAGCATACAGAATCTTGTCCATCCCTCCAATCTCCTTTGTCAGGTCTACAAAGGCTGCAGCATACCGACGCATATATCCCACCATTACTTTACCTCTGGACTTTTCTTCCGCCTCGATAATGGCGTCGGCATCCCTCAGGCACAGCGCCATTGGTTTCTCGACAAAAACATGCTTGTCGTGCCTCAGCCCCTCTATTACATGCACGGCATGGTACTCATCGGAGCTCGCTATGAAGACCAGGTCGACATCTGGTGAAGCGCAAAGCTCAGCCGGATTCTGTGTGATTTGCGGGATGTGGTTGATGACCTTCTGAGCATTGTGCCTGAGAGATTCTGCTGATACATCACACAGGTAGGTGATGGTGAAGAAATCAGAGAGGAAACCCAATGTCGAGATGTGTGCAACCTGTGTTATCTCGCCACAGCCTATTATGCCCACCCTGACAAGCTTGTTGGCGACCATCTTGAGAATGGACTGTAGAGTGTAGATGGACTATTCGAGGAGCCTCAGGCTGGACCCTGAGATCCCTTTTGCCTTCCTCACGTGCTACTCTGCCGCGTGTGGGGCCGCATCAGTAGCGTGTATTGACATTATTGGTGTCTTCTGTGAAGGCACGTGAGCCGGGCTCCACCGGGAAAGCTCCGTCCAATGCTGGCAGATGCAGATGCTCCTGAACCCGAAATGATTTTTTGCCATGCGCTTCAAGTCACTCCATCTTCTTCCTATCGACGGCATTGTACCATCACCTCAATTTCCTTTCTTTCCATCCGTTGGGCGCTGTGCAGGGCTTCTGTGATGATAGATTTCTCGGAAATTCCTATCGTTGCAGCTTGTACGAGCAGTTTTAGATCTGGTTTTGCGCAATGCTGCGCACGCGAGCTACAGCCAACTCGAAGCATGCCCTTCAATATGTCCAACAGGCAGCAGAAAGGATACAGCTGCCATGGCTGTGTCCTGCCCTCGCTCAGTCATATACTGTCAGATCCCAGCACAGATCAATAAGCACACGTCCCACGGTCTCGCGCTCCAAGACGTTGCCTGCACCCATCACCCAGTCCAGGCATCTTGCCTCCCCAGCATCCGCACACGAGAGTTTCGACCGCAGCGATGATTATATCCCTTTTACCTATGGCAACCGAGAATATCCCATAGCCCAGAATCCGCATCGGTCTTCCAAAGATGACCTTTCTCCGTTTGACCTGTCTCAGATATTGATGCTCGATGCTGCGGACCTTGTTGAAGACCACCTCGAGACCAATGCGGGCAGCAACAAGCTAAGGAATATCGATGAAATCGAAGCCACCCTAGACGCTTGTTTGCAAGTGCACCGATGGGATCGGGCATTCACACTGCTGTCACAACTGAGCCTTTTCTGTCAAAATAATCCCTCTCGATTGCGGAACTCATTCAATCGCGTCCTTGGGGCTATGGTGGACGATCTTATATGGAGTCGCAATGACGAACATGAAAAAAGGATAAATGAATGGATCGAGGTGCACATGAGAAAAGCCGAGCTGGAACCGGACGCTCATACCTTTGCATTAAAATTAAAAGTGGCTTTGGAGACCTTGATCGGATCGAAAAGAGATCGAACAGTGCGTCGCTACTGGGACATGACCAAAAGATATCAATTGGAGAGCAAAGTCCTGAGTATGCGAGATGTCTTGGATGACAGAGATCTTGGGAGACTTTCTGAAATTTGTCCAATCGAAGTCACGGCCCGTCAACCGGAGCGACTGGACGATCCCCTGCCGCAAGATTCCGTGCGGACCGGATCTTTAGAGAAAGAGCAGGTCCATGTTCGAGAAACTGAACAAAAAGGGTTGGGATTGTCCTCGCTCAGACGCTCGCTGTCTCTCTTTTCTGAACGGACAGAGAACACTGTTGAGGCGAGATCAAAGGAAGACCCTCTTACACAAAGGCAAAGGCGATTGGAGAGAGACGCAATACAATCCGCTCTCGACAGGTGGAAGGCCGAATTTCAGAAAAGAGCTAGCATAGGGATTCTGCCGACGGATCTCGCTCATGGCGAAATTGGAGCTTTGCTTTGGCAATGGCACGAGATAATGGCTGAAAAGATCAAGCAAGAAATCAAGCTGGCCAGGGAAGAGGATGGACTGCCGGGTCCAAAATCAGCGCAACAGAAGCTTCGAGCCGAATGTTCACCATTCCTCGAGCTGCTACCCCCGGAGCACGTTGCTGCCGTGACCTCCATTGCCCTGGTCCAGATCATGAGCAAGGTCGGCGCATCGAAGTCGGTCAAGCTCGTCCGGCTGGTCACTTCACTTGGACAAACACTTGAAAACGAACACAACGCGACGAATATCAATCGGGAAAGAAATGCAGTGCGCAAGGCGAAGCGACAAGGAATCATTGAATCCCCGTTCGAGCATGGAGCAATCCTATCCTCGCATCTGCACAGACGCTCGTCTCACCATGCTGCTCGACCATTTGTGTACAATAAAGAGTGGACTAAAGCAATACACGGGAAGGTCGGGGCTGTACTCTGTGAACTTATGTTTGAGACGGCCAAGATCACGATCACAAGAAAGGACTCAACGACGGGAGCTGCGCTTTCAATGCCTCAGCCTGTCTTCTTGCACTCCACGGCCTACCAGAATGGTCGAAAGGTGGGGATGGTGTCCTTGCATGAAGACTTTGTCAAGCTTCTTGTCAGCGAGCCTGCAGAACATCTGATTGCCAAGCAATTACCCATGGTGTGCCCGCCAAAACCGTGGAAAGGCTTCTACGACGGCGGTTTTCTAGAGTCGAAGCAACCCTTTCTCCGCATCAAACAGAATGAAACCGCGCAAAAGGACTACGGCATCGCTGCTGCAAGCCGAGGTGACCTTGACCAACTTTTTGCTGGAGTTGACGTCCTGGGCAAGACCGGATGGCGAATCAACAAGGATGTGTTTTCTGTTATGCTCGAAGCGTGGAACAGCGGTGAAGAAGTCGCCAACCTCCCACCTCTTAACAAAGTCTTCCCTGAAGTCGAACGGCCTGGAGAGAACGCAACGCAAAAGGAGCGCTGGGAGTGGTTTTCGAAGATGCGTGCCATGGACAACGAGAGGACAGGCATCCATTCAAATCGGTGTTTTCAAAATTTCCAGATGGAGATCGCGAAGGCCTACCTCAACGAGACGTTCTATCTGCCACACAACATCGACTTCCGCGGGCGTGCCTATCCTATCCCACCGTATCTCAACCAAATGGGTGCCGATAATTGCCGAGGGCTCCTGTTGTTTGATAAAGGGCGTGAGCTGGGCAACGACGGACTGCGCTGGCTGAAAATCCATCTTGCCAATGTGTACGGGTACGACAAGGCCAGCCTCTCTGACCGTGCTCAGTTTCCCATGGACCACCTGGACGACATTTACGATTCTGTTCGGAATCCTCTCAACGGCAGGCGCTGGTGGCTCTCCGCAGAGGATCCGTGGCAATGTCTGGCCACTTGTTTCGAATTGACTAGCGCTCTTGAAAGCCCCGATCCGACGAAGTTTGTTTCGCGACTCCCAATTCATCAGGATGGGTCGTGCAATGGACTGCAACATTATGCGGCGCTCGGCGGCGATCTGGCTGGAGCCCGGCAAGTCAACTTAGAACCGGGCGACAAGCCTGCTGACGTCTATAGCGGTGTGTGCGAGCTGGTCAAAGCCGAGATCAAGGAAGACGCTGCCAAGGGTGACGCGCTGGCAAAAATGCTTGATGGCAAAGTTACACGCAAAGTGGTCAAACAGACTGTCATGACCAATGTGTACGGAGTCACGTTCCTTGGTGCCATCCGGCAAGTGCGTAAACAGGTGGAGGTCCTGATTCCCGAAGTCGAAGCTGCTGGGCTTTCGGGCAAAGCATCGACGTATATTGCAAGAAAGATCTTCAGAGGTCTCGGTGCACTGTTTACGGGAGCTCATGAAATCCAATACTGGCTGGGTGATTGCGCCAACCGTATCAGCTCCTCGATCTCGCCAGCCCAGCAAGAAAAGATTTATGCAAAGGAAGCCTCGGGCGTCACGAAGACTAAAGAGCGGTCAGGCCGAGGCAAAGCCAAGGGCAAGGAGGTATTAGAATCTGCGGCGTTCCGGTCACCGGTTATTTGGACCACGCCTCTCAAACTGCCTGTGGTACAGCCATATCGCATCAACAAGGGGTTGACAATCCAGACGAATCTGCAGAGCATCACACTGGCCCAACCGAGTGTGGCAGACTCTGTTAACAAGAGAAAACAACTGCAGGCATTCCCTCCAAATTTTATCCACTCGCTTGATGCCACGCATATGGTCCTCTCAGCTTTGAAGGCCAACGAACTTGGACTCAGCTTCTCTGCCGTGCACGACAGTTTCTGGACCCACGCTGCCGACGTCAACTCTCTCAGCGAACTCTTGCGAGATGCTTTCATCCGCATGCACAGCGACGACATCATCGGGCGGCTTGCGGCCGAGTTCAACAAGCGATACGACGGTCATTTCTACTTGGCGCAAATCAACAAGTCTAATGTGCTAGGTAAGGCCATCACCGCGTACCGTAAGCAGATGGTTGCCGAAGGCGTCTTCCCTGCGGGCAATGGATCGAAGAGCATCCAGCAAAGACGGCATGCCGAATTGTTGCGAGAAATCCGAAAGAAGAAACTGATGGCCAGTAATGATCCTAAACAGAGAGAGGAAGGTGAAAGGATGACGACGGCGGCGAGTCTGTATGAGCAATACGATGGAGATAAGTATCTGTTTCATCGCGATTCTCTTGGAGAGACAGCCATCGGTGCTATTCCCGAGACGATGGAGTGTGCCAAGGAGGAGATCGTGGAGGCAGCTCTGAACGCGAGCGAAGTTGCCGATGATATCGACCTTCCAAGCACGTTGGATCCGCTAAGAGATTCGGTCGCCAACGAGAGTGATGAAGACCCCATCGACGTCAAGACTGGCAGCACCACCCCCGATGGTCCTGCGTCCGACCTACTCGCCAACGCGCACCAAGCTGCTGTCAATGCCTTTGGCCAGAGGCTCCGAACACAAAAGAAGAAGAGTAGTCAGAAGAGCCAAAATAACCAAATATGGCTGTGGCTGCCCATCAAATTCCGGCCTGTGCCGAAAAGGGGTGACTTTGACGTTAAGAGGCTGAAGGACAGCACTTACTTCTTTTCATGACTGTATTACATGCTGGAGACCAGTGGAAGAGGGGGCGTCTTTTGCATGGTGCAGGCGCACCTAAGATGACATTTAGCAGCAAGGAGTTTGGGAGACGGAAGAACTCATGAAAAAAGTGCATGCATGATAAAAGGGCGTTTGCATATATAATGGGTGTGTATCCAAGGAGGGGCTGTATGGGGTAGATTTGAGTGATCTACTGTCCACTTGAAGTGCATGTGTGTGTATATGTATATATATACCAGCTCTCCTCATTGGAACTGGGATGTGTGATAGTACAGAGGTGACACTGTGATATACCGGCATATGGAGAGCCTGATCTGGTCCTTCGCGGACCGAGTGATATAGCTGCAGAGCAGGGAAAATGTAAATTACATGGCGATATCCCATCGTGCCCATCCCTATTTCCTTTCGTGCTTGGGGAGATCAAGTCGTACTACATACAGTACCTGCTGGCCACATACATACATACATACATAAATTTCCAAATGAAAGCCAGTTTAGGCACTCCAAGAGGATGATGATGATGGCTCAGAACGAGGTGGCACACTCGAAGCTCTCGGCCTTCCCCACGTCGCCGTGACCCTTGTACCGCGCCACGAGGGGATACGGACACAGCGGCCTGTGGATCTTGTGGCCGTGCGGCCGGGTGAAGCTCTCCCCGTGGAGCACGTCGGGCGCGACGCCCTCTTCGACCCACCGTCTCAGCTGGGCCAGCACGCCGACGGGCAGCGCGCCCTCGCCGCTGCCGCAGTGCTGAACGCCCGGGACGAGGAAGAGGCGGTAGAAGTCTCGCACGTGGCTACCGTTGTCGCTGTGACTACCACCAAACCGCCGCAGCACCTCGTCGTAGTACTGCTGCGTCTGGCCCGGCATGATGGCCTCGTCGCTGGTGCCGTGCCAGGTGATGATCTTACCGCCGCGGGCGTGGAAGGCGCTCAGGTCCGGGTTGCTGGTGGAAAGGAGCGAGTGGTACTCCTCGTCAGACTGGTCGAAGAGGCGGACGAGTTCGGCCAGCGTGATGCGCTCGGCCAGGTCCGCCGCGGTGAGGCTCGGGTCCTTGTACAGGAATAGTCGGATCCAGTCCAGCACCAGCGAACTCGGGTTGGCCACGCAGGTCTGGTTTTTCCAGAAACACGTCGTCGCTGCGAAGGACGTCAGCGGCGTCGAATGCGTCACTCGGTGCCAGTTGGGTTGTCTAATCGAGCCCGGCGCCGCGCCCCAGAGGTGCCACGCAATGTGCGGGCCAGCGTAGCCGATCTTGATTGTGGTGTGGTTGACGCGTTGCTGGCGGTTTTCGTCGTCTTCGTCTCTGTCGTCTGCGTATTCCATCTCGCAGTCGATCTCCTTCCCCACGAGCTTGAATGGGTCGAATTCGCAGTCTTCTTCATTCGAGATGATCCCGTCCTTAACACCGTCCAGCTCGTCGCACTCCTCGATCGCGGCTTTTGTGATCGCCTCGAGTTCGCACGCCGGGGGATACTCCTTGAGCGAGTGCATCATCATGTACGAGAAATAGTGCATGACGATCAACTTGGGCCAGTATATAGCCGGAGCGGCCGCCAATATGCCGTCGTAATCCTGGGGGTAGCGTTGGGCCAGCATCAAGCCTTGTCTGCCACCGGTGGAACAGCCCTGAAAGTAGCTATATTTCGGGGCGATGCCGTAGAAGGAGGTGACGATGGACTTGGATATGACGGCCATATCGTGCAGGCACACCGAGGCGAAGTCCTGCAGGAGATAAAGGTTGACGTTGCCCGGGGAGAGCATGGCCCATGTCTCGGTTTCGGGCTCCTCGGGGCTGAGGGTTAGGGGGGGATGGCCTCCGTCTGTGCGTGAGATGGCGTAGCCCTGCAAAAGGGCGGTATGAGAAATGAAGGGGGGAAGGCACATGGAGAAGCCGCCTCCGCCTTGGGAGAGGAGAAGACCGTTCCAGGACGGTGATGTGCCACCATTGCCATAGCGGGCATGATCTGGCCTGCTACTACGAGAACCCGCATAGACCTCGTCCGACACTGACAGGGGCAGCCACATATTCACATTGATGGTGTCGTGTTGGCCCGGGTGCGTATACGTGACGGTGACATTGCAAAAGTCGAGGTTGCCGTCATGGCCGTACATTGGCGGGTCCGAGTTGAAGAAGTTTGGGGGTTGCCAATAGTGCGCGGTATAGTTGCTGACCAGCGACGAGGTGACGTTGAGAATCTCTGCGCCGAATAGAGTCGGGCTGGGCAGGTTTGAGGAGAGACATGCGGCCGTCAGGTTCAGAGAGCCCGAGCCAAGGGGAGAGAAGGAGAACGGAGCTTGTGGTGTGAGAGAATCCATGGTATATTTCGTCGAGTGAGCCCGATTGAGGTCTATCTAGCAATCGACGAGGCTCCAGCGAGCGAGGTTGGTGATTGCCTAATTCAAGAGCAGGTTCACGGGGGAGCACGAAGAATGCTGGGTGTTCACATGTGTGGAGGAGCTTAACAGCAGCCAATGCAAGAAGGGATATTGTTGAACGAAGGATGCCTGTTCAATGAGGTTCCAGGCAGATTGATTGTGACCATTTCCCACGGACAAGCGTATTCGTAAGCTTCTCCACCAGAGGTATCGACAGGGTTGTAGAGGGTTGTCCTCGGTATTACGTAGGCGATACTTACCATAAGCGACAGGGGTTGACAAAGAGGAGGAGGAGGAGGTGGTGGTGGTGGTGGTAGAGGAGATGGTGGTGGAGTTAAGCTCGTGCGAGGGGGCCCCGGATCATTGTATTCCCGAAGGCCGGACGGATCATTTAAACTGTCAAGCCTTGTCCCGAGTACATCCAACAACTACTTGATATTGGACTCCCCCTCTGTTAAATACAGCTCCTTCTTCTTCTTCGCTCCTCTTCTAGCCTAGAAGTGTGATGAGTGTCCGAATACATCGCCAAGAAAACAGACAGCACCACAATGAGCTCGCCGCCTCTCCTTCGTCCAGCTATATTGGTCGTCTCCGACACCGCGGCTGCTGATCCCTCGACCGACAAAGCCATCCCCATCCTCAAGGACGTCTTCTCACACGACGGCGCTGGGAAATGGAGTGAGCCGCTCTTCGACATCGTCAAGGATGATGTGCTGGAGATCCAACGGGTAGTCCGCGGGTGGACGGATTCCGAGACTGAGACCACCAATAGCGGCGTGGTCAACTTGGTTATTACCACCGGAGGGACAGGCTTCGCACGACGAGACTTCACCCCGGAAGCTATTGCACCCTTGCTCCACCGGAACGCTCCTGGAATTGTGCATGGGATGCTGTCTGCGTCATTCCAGATCACGCCGTTCGCCATGATGTCGCGGCCTGTGGCGGGCGTCAGGAACAAGTCCATCATCATCACCTTGCCCGGGTCGCCCAAGGGCGCCAAGGAGAACCTTCAGGCGGTGTTGAAGCTGCTGCCTCACGCCTGCTTGCAGGCCGCAGGCCAGGATTCGCGAACGGCCCATGTGGGAGGAGTGAAGAAACTGGAGCAGGAGGCTGGAGTTGGCCCATCTGTTTCTGGTGGTGCTGCTACGGCTGGCGGACATGATCACGATCACTGCCATCAACACAACCACCATCACGACCACAGCCATGGAGGAGGAGGTGGTGGTGGTGGCCATCATGGTGGACACAGAATTCCCAAAGCACACACCACGCCCTCGGAGCGACCTCAACTACAATCCAACGACCCCCGTCTCGGCGCCGGCGCACGCTACCGATCATCGCCATACCCGATGCTGAACGTGTCTGACGCCGTGTCGAAAATCTTTGAAAACACCCCATCCCCCACAGTCGAACTCCGAGACGTGTCACCAGATCTGGTCGGCTACGTAGTCGCTGAAGACATCAAAGCCGCAGAGGCTGTCCCGGCTTACCGCGCAAGTATCGTGGATGGATATGCTGTGATCGTACCCGACAAGGCCACTTCGCAAAGCATCAAGGGGATTTTTCCAGTCGCCTCGGTTTCACATGCCCAAGCGTCGTCCTTACCACCGCCTCTCCAACAAGGTCAGATCGCCCGGATCACCACGGGCGCACCGCTACCGGAACACGCCAACGCGGTCGTCATGGTCGAAGACACCGTCATCGCCACCCTCACACCCGACGGGAAGGAAGAAGCCTGCGTGGAGATCCTCACGGACGAACTCGTCGAGGGCGAAAACATTCGCGAGCCCGGGAGCGACATCGAACTGGGTCAAGTTGTTGTCGCCAAGGGCACACAGATCAGTGCGCTGGGCGGCGAGATCGGGGTCCTTGCGGCGGCCGGCATCAAGAAGGCTCCCGTCTACCGCAAACCACGGGCCGGCGTCATGTCGACCGGTGACGAAGTGATGGACGTCACCTACGACGGCGCCCTGAGCGGCGGCATGATCCGCGACTCGAACCGGCCATCGCTGCTGACGCTGCTGCGCGGCTGGCGGATGTGCGACGAGGTGGTGGACCTGGGCGTGGCGCGGGACACGCCGCACCACGAGCTCGAGCACAAGCTGCGGGACGCCTTCCGGCTGCACGACCTGGACATGGTCATCACGACAGGGGGCGTGTCGATGGGCGAGCTGGACCTGCTCAAGCCGACCATCGAGCGCGCCCTGGGCGGCCAGGTGCACTTCGGCCGCGTCAACATGAAGCCGGGCAAGCCCACGACGTTCGCCAGCGTGCCGATCAAAGACGCCGGGGAGCGCCAGCAGAGACTCATCTTCGGCCTGCCCGGCAACCCGGCCAGCGCGCTGGTGACGGCGAACCTGTTCGTGCTGCCGTGCCTCCAGCACATGACGGGCCTGCCGGCGGACGAGGCGCGGGGGCCCCCACGGGTCAAAGTGCGCGTGCAGGGCCGGGTGCGGTGCGACAAGACCCGCGTCGAGTACCACCGCGTACTGGTCTCCGTGGACCCGGAAGACGGCAGCAAGCTCGTGGCGCGCAGCACCGGCATGCAGCGCAGTTCGCGGGTCGGCAGCCTCGCGAGCGCCAACGGGTTGTTGGTCTTGCCCCAGAGAGAAGGGTATATCGAGAACGGGGGCGAGTGTGAGGCGCTCCTGGTCGGGATGGTGCTGGGATATTGATTGATTGACTGATGGATAGATGGATGAGAATGGGACTCGACATGGTGATGAGGAGGAAGGTGGGAAGCTCAACAACACCAAAGAAAGACTTGAATTCACAGCGAAGGAAGTTGTCATGAGCACACACGTTGGTTGATGTGATGTGATGTGATGTGATGTGATGTGACGAGGCAGAAGTTCAAGCTTGCATTCGCATATATGAAGCACCTCGTACCCAGCCTGTCTATCTATATAATCCATCCACCAGAGTGCAGAGTGCAGAGTGCAGAGAGGGGGTATCAATGTCATAAGAATAACACACACGCCGTGAGACACATACACACACACGCCAACGCACCAGATCCGTCGCTGTGATTTGATGCTTTCTCTGGCTTGCAGCCTTTTCTCGTGATGCTGTGGTCTGTCTGTCTGTTCGTTCTTTGAATCAACCCGTACTTAGACGCCACGGAACCGTAACATGCAAAGCGGCTCTTTAATCAAACCGGTATCGGAAGTCATCCTACTCAAGGAATATCGCCTCTCTTGTACTCACGCCTCTTGACCGCTCTCAGCGCCGGTAGTGTATGACTCCTCCCCGGCTCTCGACCAATCTCCACGACCAAAAATCGGACAAAGTCCTGCAAAATCCAATAACTGCTGTGTGCACTGAGCATGTTCAAATATTGGAATTCCAAGGGCCCGGCGCCCGCGGATAGGAACCAATCAATCTGTCCGTTGTCATTGAGCAGATACATGCGCTTTTCGGCAATTTCCTCCCGCGTGAAATTGTGCGTCTCCAGCTCCACGGTGCTGGGCATTTGAGTGAGTTGTGGGCGGGAGGGCGAGGCGATAGCAGAATAAGGATCACCTGTGGTACCCGACGCCCATCGTAGGTTGTGGCCGATGCGTGTCATGAAACTAACACTAGCGCTGGGTATAACGGCCTGTTGAAGGGACTTTGCATAGAGCTCATCCACGGATGCATTTTGCAGGTAGGAGATCGGATCGTTTCTGTGGACGATATTATAGATGTTGTCGACAGCAAGGCATCCGTATTGCGCCTCGCTGGCAATGCCCGCTTGACGATCTTCTCCTTTCATACCGGGCTTGTTCCTGCCCTTTCGCGGGACGAGATTCGCACTGTGAAGAAGCAGGAAGAAACCCGAAGGACTTCCGCAGCAGAAGATGTTGGTGGTATCAAACTCGAAAATCTTTTCGCTGGGCGTTTTGGGGTCAAATTTGATGTCCTTGCCAAGTCGAGTGGGCTGTTGGCTGAGAATCTCCATGGCCATGACAGAACCGAGGGAATGGGCAATCAGATGCACCCTGCCATAGTCTTCGAACCCTGGGTTATTACGACACCAAAGTCGGTAGACCCGGTTGGCTTCCCTAATGACTGCCGAGGTCATCTTTTCCTTGTGGTGCGACATATAGTAGGGAATGTCCAGCATAACGTCGCTGATAATGGATCGCACGGCAGGGAGAGTGTCGGGAGTGATGTCTTTCAAGGCGTACTTATTCTCGGTGTCTCCAGAAGCAGCCTTGATGTCCTCGTCGAACGAGACGGTCAACCGCCAGTTCACAGGCAGGACCATGATACCCGTTCCGTGTCTCAGATTCCCTTTCACGACTTCACTTGCCAGCTCAACATTAAATTCTCGTCGCAGACCATTCACGGCGTGAGTGAAATGGAAGCTGTCTACTCTCTCAGAAAGCTTTTGCCCAATGCCATGAATGACGAAGACCAGGTCAGTAACCTTGGGCGCTTTACTATCGTGTTCGCATGCTGCGCACGACATCCGTCGTCCTCGGGTAGTGGCATCCCCCGATTGAGACATATAGGCTCCGACCTTCGCATGAGCAGCTTTAGCGTCCATCTTGGGGTCAGGGTGGGTTTTCAACCACGCTTTACGGTCAAACCCGCGGACTACGGCCACACCGATCTGTCTCCCTTTCCGAAGGGAGCTCAAAGGCCGGCGATTCTGTGTGATGGAAGGAAGCAGGTTAGGCTTCAAGATTTGAGCGTTTCTAGCATCGGTGTAGATGACGCTGTGAGTAACAAAGAGCCGTTTCTCTGGGGTATTTCGAGGATCGGCCGCGGCGTTCTGGATGATCTCGGGGAGGTCTTTGCTCCCCTTCCGCTGTCTGTCATTTTCGTTGAATTCCTTCGTGTCCATGGCAGTGGAAGGTCTGCTCGATTTCGACTCGCCTGGCCACAGCTTGTAGACCACCTTCATTTCCGCAGAAGCACCATTGTCGATGCAAGCCTGCAGTTCCTCTTGGTAAGCGGGGCCAAATGGCTTGATATATTCGTAGCCGATTTCCAGACGATTTGCCACATCAGCTGGAACAGGCAACATAGTGTCTTTGTAGAACCAGGTGGCCCGAATCACGTTGGATGTGTCGTTGATGGGAGACCAATATATCGGTTTCATAACAAGGTCAGGCATTTCGACCAAATGAAGACGAGATACGCCCACCGGGACATAAGCTTTTCCATTCTCCTTCTCATTCTTGCGACGACAACCCGAACTCCGAGACCGACTTCGAGACTCAGCTTCTGATTCATCAGAATAGACTCCGCCGGGTTCATAGGTCAGCGCAGAACTGACATTGCGCCCACTAGGCGCGCGTGCAAATGGGCGACCGCTGATGTCGGAGCCAGGATCCAGTGAGGGTTGTGTTCCCTGTGTAGTCGTCTCGTCCACGTTGGCAGCCCTAGGAAGAGCATCGCGGTTGTCTTTTCCTTCCTTGTGCCGGCGGTGAAAGGGCGAAAATCGCCTCCTGTGCTTGCTCGAGTCTTTGCTGGGCTGTTGTTGGAGTTCTGCATTTTCCCGCAGCTCTTCAGCATCGACAGGTGGACCGTCCCCTTTCGAAGCGGCGTGTGCGTGCTCCAGCATGACCTCCGAACCTGCTGAAGGTGATTTGGGGGTGGGTCTTGAACGGCCACGCGGACCGCCTTTGGTCCCAGAGGAACCGGACTTTGTTGCTTGCAATTCTCCTCTGGTGCCCTGTCCATCTCGGAGTTGGGAAAATGAGAATATTCCTTGTGCCAGATTCCTCCTCCTGCTCACACCTTCTCCGCTGCATGCCTCTTCACCGGCTTTGTGGAAGGTCTGCCATGCTTCTTCCAACGCGGCATTGTCCCGGACCGAGAACGGTTGAGGAGGAAGGTCGGTGGCCTTGTCCGCAGACACTGGTGGCAGAGGAGAGAGAGGGTCATCAATCGGGAGCGAGGACACGTAGAAGAACTGTGCTTTGACTTTCGGGGGCGTTAATCCATCACTGGAGGTGTCATCAGGCTCGTCCTCGTAAAAGGCACATGTCGGTCCCAGCGAATGGACGAGCTGGGCCATGGTTATGGAAATAGTTGCATGTAGTTCGATTCCCTTATTTCCTGGGGGACATGCGGAGTTGCCTGAATCCAGTAACACCAGAAATGCATCCTCGTCCTAAAGTAAAATTAAAGGAAAGGAAAGGCCATACAAGTAGAAAACTTCAAAAAAAAGGTCTTCCAGAAACCTCTTACCTGTCATGTCGAATGACATGGCGGCGGAAGCCTGGAGGTTCGACGGCGAAGACACGAGGAAAAGCCCAACAAGCGGTGACGTATGTTGCTCCGTTGCTGGCTGCATCTGGTGCACCAGTGTACCGAGTACATGCAACTCAATTGGTCAGGCAAACCAAGCAATAGTTATATACTATTAACTACGAGGTACAATTCCATTGTCCTGATTGAGAACGAAGCAACTGAACGTGAATAGACCGTGACGGTCTTGAATTCTAGCTTTTAAATCGAATATCCATCCAGTCGTATGCCGACTGTCCTCATAACACAACCTCGCCTGGGGTCGCTTGAACGTTCAGCCCTGAACACCCCCGAGAACGATGCCTCACCAGCGTAAATATATACAGAGTCTAGCCTGGACTTATGCAAACATCATCCCAGCATTCCCCATCCAGCCAATGTGGTGCAGTCATCTCAATCTGCAGCTCCAGCTTCAACCTTTTGCCGAGAGTTCTCTTCGACCCTGGTGCTCAATCCAGTGCTCGTCCGAACACCCTTTTTCAGTAGCAAGAAACCAGCCTCTTATGGAGGTCCTCCTCGTAGCCTTGCGTTGGCATATCTGCCCGCCACTACCTGGTCCAGCGGTCACTCAAACTCGGCGGCCTTTGAACTCACCAGCAACCCAATAATCAGCCCAAACAGACCTAGCACACTCGAAAAGATCTCAATCACCAAGACCTTCACAAACATGCTCGCGTCCGCCGCATCGGCAAGGGCCGCACTGCTCCCGTTGATCCCAACGCTCACGCCACAGATCAAGTTACACATCCCCACCGTCATTCCGGCCCAGAATAAGGCGTAGCCTGTGTAGTAATTGGGTCCCGTGTACAGTGACTCTTCAGGTACCATATTGATTTTGGAGGAAAAGACGATGGACATGATGACGCCGTAAATCGCTACGACTTCGCAAAAGATGATAGAGATGAGATTCTTCGTCCGTATTCGTGGAGCCTTGACGCCGCCTCCGAGGATCGATGTGCCGGTGATAAAGATACCCCTACGTAGTAGACAAGGGTCAGTAATGCGCCAGGATGATCTCGAGTGCCCTTCAATTCAATACTGGAAGGCAAGCTTGAAAGGGAAATTTGTAGTATTCTTACCATGCCGCACCCACGACTGATAGACCTATACAAAGGCCGATGCCGAGATCTGCCCATACGTATGGAGACACTGTCTCGAGGAATTGTCCAACCTGCAGTCTCGTACGTCAGCCTCATGGTTTGTACAGAGAGTGAAGGGTGTCGTGGTCAGTTGCATACGTTGAATTGTTCGCCCTCGCCGTTGAAGAGCATATCTGGAAGCAATCTGTTAGTGGTGGCTGTTCAAATCGCAGGGATTAAGTTGATAATCTCACAAAGGCCAACAACTCCCAATGCGGCAACAGCGCCACCGGCAGGGTAGATGAGACTCATCTTGAACCCTCACCAATTTGGGAATGCTTGAAAGGTGATTGAATGTGTCGCGATCGCGGGAAAGTAAATGGAAGACGAGCTCATCATGCAGCAGAGGCCGCAGCTTGGGAATCCTTCGGCCTAAAAGCCAGGGCAGGTCAACCGAGTCTGTCACGTGGAAGGCTATCAGTCAGGAGTGGGGGTTGTATGAATGCTGTGGACAAGGAGATCCGTTGATGCTCACAATCAATACTGTCTCAGATATGCATAAGGAGACTTGATGCACCTAGATATTTAGCAGTGTGGATGTTGCTATCCAGCTTTTAGTTCGCCTTGATGGCTGCACCGCAATAGAATCCAATGCCGATGCCCCCGAATTTTCCAACCGCCCCCTTCCCAGTCATGAATCCCTGCTCACATTCGTCGTTATTCGATAGACTTCCAGATGGAGATGTTCTTCTCCATCTCTGCCCTCCGATCAATACCGGCTTGTAAATCCAGTTCGTACAGTTTGTGTATCTCCTGCAGCCGATGCTCCATATTATAGCGGTATCTAGCCGCCGACTTCAAGCTCTCAAAATCATTCCGGTTCACCGCATCATGGAAGATTCTTCTCATGCGATCACTGTAGAGTTGGCAACTTGTTCCTCGAAGTAAAGAGTTTTTGCGCAAGACAGGCACGAGTTTGAGTGTCTTGGAGACGTCTCGTGCAATGGGTCGATCTCTGAGAGGCCACACAACCTCTTCGTAACACTCCTCACAGATCGTGAACTCTGGAAGATCCGAGATATAGTGCCAGGATTGAGTTGCGAGTAAGGTGTCCTTCACGCAGTGTCGGTTGCGCGAAATGCGGCGAACAAAATCCACAAACTCCTGAAAGTCCCTGTGCCGCATAGTCTCCCTCGACCGCTCAGCTAGTCGCTCCAGCTCGCTTAACATTGGCAAGAAATGACGGCTCTCGGCGTTCAGATTACATATCTTTTCTTGCTCTTTCTTCTCCTGCGGCCGGTCAAACACGCAGAATTGGAGTGTGGGAAAGATCATATCAATATTTCTTACACAGGCCGAGCAGATGTCGAAGTTATCCACCGGCTTTTTCGTTCTAGGATCGGTCAGATGGTACCATCTTCTGACGTCGGCTTTAGTGCCTGCACATGGCTTGGTCCCTGCTGGCGGACCGTTGGCAATTTGCCAGACAAGAGAAAGGTCCTTTCTGTCTTGTCGAATTGATTGCAGCCAAGCAACTCGAAGCCATGGGAAGCTCATTGCACAAGCCACCGGTCGGCGGGGATCTTTCGGTAGACTCGGGATAAAGTGGTCGCGAAAGCGAGTGGCACCCAGAAAACTCATGCAAGAAGGGCAGAAATCCAGGAACGACATGTCTCGGATTGTGTACCAATCATGGTGTCCGGCAGTCGGTCTCGACCGCGGACACGGAGGCAATGAGTTTGGTCTGGTTGTGCTATTAGACAAGACCGCGGGAGGCTCTAGATTCATCGGGCTTGACATCAGCGCCGGTTGGGCAGGGAAGTGAGCTGGCTGTTGGGGGGGTTGAGCGGGCATGCTTGAAAAGGCCCGGAAGGGAGCTGGAGGGCGCAGCTCAGGAGAATGGGAATAAGAGGATGATCTCGATGCTGTCCGAGGAGGCTCAGGTGGCGCCGGTGCGTACAGTCCACTCTTTGACGCTGGACGCTCTTCGTTCACCACGTAGGTTGTCGTCCGCGTACTCGTGCTGTCATTCCGACCTACCATAGAATTCGTCCTAGATAGACTCTGATACGCCGGTTGGGACTCTTCAATAACAGGGGACGGCTTTCTCGAACGTTGACCGCTGCCTGGCCTGCTCTGAGAGCTACTACTTTGTGTGTCCAGAGACTGTGAAGTATTTGATCGAGACAGGGCAGGGATCGCCTTCGCTGCTAGGGAAGCACCTAATGTCGCGGCTCCTAAGAGAGATGTGACGTTCTTAATGTCTTTAAAATGGGTGTCATCAATTGACTGTGGACGAGATCGTTGCTTTGATGACCTCGACCCGTGGTAGGGCTGTTCGAAATAGTCTCTAGGTGATCTGTCCCCGCCTCGAGGCGTCTGGGGGGGACTGTGCGCTGGAGAGCCTCGCGGAGAACCATGACGAGAATGGCTGTCTCCATTGTTAAATTGTTTGGCTTTATTCTCCGTAAAGGCCCTTTCGAGAAAGTCCTCCATGCCTGACGTCGTCCGGTTCGAGAGAGATGGAGGAGCCTCACGATAGGGACGTTCACCAGAGGGATATTGTTCTTGTCTGGACTCGTCCTTGGGTAACGCGTCATGGTGACGAGATCGGGTGCGGGTTAGGGTTGGTCTCTCGTCCTTGTCGCTACAGTTGCGTGAGTTTCGTCTTGATCGGCCTGCTCTATCAGCCCTTCTCTCGTCAACTGGCCGTGGGCGACGGCTGTGACTCTCTTCAGCGGAAGAGCTGTACGGAGAATCCGCAGTCAATCTTGACGATATCTGACGAGTGCTTGGTTGCTCAGGGACAGTGGCATGGTCGATCACAGATGATCGTGCAGATTCATTGTTCAGCTTCGGGGTCTGAGGGGGGGTGATGTGGTCTTGAGCAGTGTATGTATAGCCGGTGAAACCTCCTTGGGTTGGAGCTGGGCTGCGATATCGATGAGCGCGCCGACTGAATTTGCCGTCCGGGCTTTCGTTCCGAGTAGGGAGTTTCGACGACTTGGTCTTCTCCGATTCTGACCTATCTGAGTGGGAGAAACTTTCCCTTGCAGCTCGACTTCGACTCCGTTCCGTTCTTCTTCTCGATTTCGACCTCCGATCGGAGTCACTACTTTCTCGGTCGAATCCTCCTGTCCTAGGATGGACAGAAGCCGTCCTTCTCGGCTCATTGGCATGCATTGGCGACAACAATGTGCTTTTACGTTGAACCTCTGGGGAAAGAGTGTCCATCAGGCCCGTAGGAGTGTGAGCATAGGGGGAAGGGGCACGGCGGTGGCCTGTCCGCATGCCCTCCAGGCCTGGCCCCAGATCTGTGTGTATCCTTGTGACATGAGGTCTCCCTCTCGGCACATCATGCTTTGGGAGCTGAGTTGTTGATTTGGACCGTTGCAAAGGCTCAGTATGGATGTCAATTTCGAACTCAGATTCCGAGGGCTGTGGAGGCACGAGGACAAACCTCTTTTCGGTGTTCACAGCTGGCTGCCGATGAGCGTTTGGAGGTATGCCATCTGTTACCAGCTCGTTCTCCTTGGAAGAGCAGGATTTGGTCGGGGCTTGGTTGTCGAGGATGATAGGATATTGATCCACCGAACCCCGACTGCTTGCAGGTTGGTTCTCGCTTTTCAATTGATGTAGAGTGCTGCCGGGGATGTGTTCCCTCGCTAATGCCACTTCTTCGTCCTCCACGCATGGGGACGGCGGCCAAATCTGCGTCATCTCAACTAACTCAACCTAGTAGCCAAATAAATAACCATGTACTCATTGCCAAGTTGTCCCACGTGCAGTCCGGCTACCTTTATATACAACGTCTTCACTGCACCTCAGGCCACACATCAAGGCTATCAAATGCGGTCGCTGTGATGTTGTTGGGGCAAAGGCGAGCGAATTTTAAGTGTTGTTGGACGAAGCACCGTCACCTGAGGAAACCCGTATCGTAGGGCGCTGGGAGTTGGGGTGGTTGTGTTTCGAATCGTGTCGCAGGTGGGCGCAGGTCGTGCAAGAAGTAACAGGCCAGATCGAAATCAGCACATCATATGCAATAGGCGGATGAACTTCTCGCTCCCCGGACCCGTAGGAGGACGACGCAATCGACTCAACGTCAGAGTTCCTTTGCCCAGGATGGCGAGTTGCAAAGCGTTGAAGCCGCGTTGGTAGTTTTGCGGGTGAGGCTACACAGGTGGCTGAGGGTTGTCCGCGTCCACAGAATATGTTATACCGGGTGTGCCTCAATCAACCAAATCTTCATCTTCCCCAGTGAAAGGCCATCAGGATGCAAATCGGACAACAATGGAGCTGGGCAAAGAGGAGAACGGTAGCGGGCCGTGAATGCCTACGATCCGGAGGGGCATGCTGCGGTTGTGGGTACCCGAGAGGTTCTGTTTGAGGCGAAACGTGAGTGGAGATGAGGGAGTCGAGGGAAATGGCGGTGTCCCCCCAGTCTACTCAGTGCAAAGACACATGCTAACCAGGGACGTAGATGAGGCTTTTCTGTGCAAGGATGAGTGAAGTTGGGATCGGTAGGGCTCTCGTTCCATCAGAGACGACGATTCGACGCCCAAGCGAGCGCGTTGCAAACATACAGGATCAGACGGTGAAGCTGCACACCCAAACACCCCACACAAAACTAACCATGCCACCATCATCATTCTTGCATGGATTCGAATGCACTAACTGCGTCCCCCTGGCCTTGCCGCCCGCCCACCTGCGCCTCCCTCCGTCCTCATTTGTCGGCCCAGAAGCCCTTACAAAGCCATTGGGGATCCCCTGGAACTTTCAGCGCCCTGCCTGGGTACCGCCTGTGGCCACCCCTCTCTCATCGTCTGCGAAGACATACCGAAGGTGGCACAAGACCACGCTCCAGCTTTGTCGATGCATGATTGCGCGAGCATTCGGACTCCAGCAGACGATTGATGCAGTAATATACAGTCCGACGCCGCTATGAACGCGACCGTCGATCCTTCGGCGGGCTTTCTCGTTTTACCATTATTAGCATGCATATTAGCACATGACAAAGGTGCTTGGTGCTGACAGGGCCATTACCATAGCCCCTTGATACCCTCATCGACGCTTGGGAAGCCCTCTTACTCTGCAATGTACTTCCGCAACAGGCTGATGTGAGGTGGGATGCTTGTGCAGTACTCGGTACATGAAGAAAGTTCCAACGACTACCAAAGGCCCTGTCAGGGTGCTCAGCCCAATTGGGTTGGTTATGTTGACAGGCCATTTTTGCGAGCCACTCATGAACGCGCCGTGCCTGACATGGATCGTCTATCAGCGAAAAATGCCACACATGAGGGCACGGCCACAATCCTGTGGTGAGAGCCAGTGGCCAGTGGCGAGGCTTGCCATCACAGCGGTCTCTGCCCAAGCCTCGTTGTCAATCCATCAATGGCAGGCTTTTTGTCCCATACATAACGCCACGGACCTATCTTCTTGTTGGGAAGAATGATTTGACCAATGTGGCATGACTCAGCTTCTCCTTCATTGATGGATAGATAGGAAGTGGCAGAGATCGCCCGATTGTCACGCCAGATGTTTTGTCCTACCAACGCACACTTTTCTACACGCCATGGTTGCTCTTCTGACTATCGCCTTGTTGTCCGGTTCCACGACCGCAGCAACTGCCTCCTGTGTAGATGCCCGCCTGGATATGGCACTAATCTCACGACGGCATGACGAAGGCGAACTGGGAACTTTTGTGTGACGTTTTGACGTGCAGAAAAGTGGTCGAAGGAAGACCGGTCAATGGCTTCGTGGACCAGGCCTTACAAGCATGACATATTGGGGGCGCATCCTGCAATCTTTCTCCCTCGCCCGGAAGTAGCCATCCTCATTCGGCCTTTCTCGCTTAACACCTGTTCCACGGGCACAAAATCCAGCTCGCGTGCCAATCACGTCTTATTGACGCCTGCCATTGTCTCTACAAGTTGAGTCCAGGCGCTGCACATCTTGAGAGAGGATGAGTTCCTTCTCAGCCTCGGTTTAAGACGGCTAGTTCCACCGGTCTCACACAATCGATCCCAACGGTCTATCACACCCAGTTATAGTGGTCGAATCGGCAGGATAACAGGCCATGTGGAAGTTCACCGTTCCATACTGGCTGCCGCCATCTGAAGCTTGAGGGGTTCGCGGGGAAAGACGGTGAACGATTTCCCGCGTCAGTTTAGAACGACGATCCCGAAAGGTAGTTGTCAAACATGAGCAAAAAGCGGCATTCAATCCGAGAGATAATTAATAAGCACAGATGCCATCAACGATCAGCCAACCGGCACAATCGAATGAAGACACCGGGGCATCTGCGATGTCGGCAAGGCCATTAAGGTCCCCTAAGTTTGCGGGGAGAAGTTCGAGTTGATCTGCTCATGCTTAGAAATATACGAGGGATGAATGAAGGGCTCGTGGGAGATGGTAGTGAACCACTATTTTACTAGCGACACTGTCCCACGAATTCCGACGCCCTGGCGGCACTACTGTTTCTCCTCACCAAAAGGACCAACCACTACATAAGCATCCAGACAGGTGCTGAGGTCGAATTGCCTTGTATGGATAGTTGGAGATTGCCCTGCTGAAGCATTGGGTCGCACGGAAACGGGCCGGGAGAAACCCCCGTTCCCCATATCAGAGAAGGCTATATTACAATCGACAGTTAGCACGAGTTCACCTTTCACACGAAATTCATGTCTTCACGGCATCGAGCAGCGTTGATTAAGATCACAACCACAGCGACCGCATCCACTCGTCTCGGCAGCCTCACCTCGCAACTGTCCCTCCGCCAGACTCCTTCATCGCGCTTTAGTCTGAATCCTACTGCAACCCGCACCATGTCATCCCTCCCATCTACAATGAAGGCTGTCTTTTTCTCCAAAACCGGCGGGCCGGATGTCCTGGAGTACACCGAGTCTCAACCTCTGCCTAAGCTCGAGGACGGGCAACTTTTGGTGAAAAATAACTTTGCTGGCGTGAACTACATCGACACCTATTTCCGCAGTGGCCTGTACCCCGCATCCTACCCCTTGATCCCTGGTCAGGAGGCTGCTAGTACAGTTGTAAAGATTCAAGGAAATAACCCGCTGGGATTCAAAGAGGGGGATCGCGTGGTTTGGATAAAGCAAGGAAGTTATGCTGAATACACAGCAGTGAATGCGGATCGAACGATTAAGATCCCTGATGGTGTCTCGGATGAAGATGCTGTTGGCGGTTTCCTCATGGGAATGACTGCTCTCTCGCTCATCAAGGAGGCATACCCTGTGAAGAAGGGCGAAACAATCCTGGTTCATGCTGCCGCAGGAGGGATGGGGCTGCTCCTCTGCCAACTCCTCAGCGACATGGGTTGTACTGTAATTGGCACTGCCGGCGGCCCTGAAAAGTGTGCTCTTGCCAAGGAGAACGGTGCAACGCATGTGATCGACTACAAGGCCACCAGCGGGCCGAGTTGGGTCGAGCAGGTGTTGAAATTGACCAACGGCGAGGGCGTGGATTGCACGTTCGACGGCGTGGGCAAGGACACCTGGGAAGGCAGTATGGAAGTCGCAAAGAGAAAGAGTAAGGTTGTGTACTTCGGTAACGGTAAGTCTCACAACCCCCTTCTTGTATATCCAGCTCTCTCCTGTATGCTTCTGCTTTATCTGCCTCCAGCCTCTAACTATGTGAGAATAGCATCTGGCGCCATTCCTCCCATCAACATCGCACGTCTGACGGCGAAGAACCTCTCCATCATGCGTTCCACTTTAATGAACTACATCGTCACCCGCCAGGAACTTGAGACCTATGCAAACGGTGTATTGGACTTGATCAAGGCTGGGAAACTTAAAATTAAAATTCACAAGGTGTATCCGCTGAGCGAGGCGAAGCAGGCACACATAGACTTGGAAGGACGGAAGACCACAGGGAAGTTATTGCTGAAGTGTTAAAACGTCAACTTGGCGAGGGAGCACAGTTCCGACATCTTCACAATTCCTAAAGCGAAAGGCAACGGAAGCTTGGGACAGGGAACAGAAAAGTGGCTGTCTCTCAGATGCCTCAGCTCTAGATAGGGCGTGTCCTGACATGTGTTGGATCTTCCTCACTATGATCAGCCATCTCCAAAGCTCCTTGACGGTTATTCTGGTACACTATTCTTCTGTACCCTGAATGTTGTTCTTTGTACTCCGTCCTAGCTCTTACTCGTTCCGAAAGCTTCTCCTCCCTGAGCGATGCCCAAGGTTGTCTCCGTAGCACAGCATGGGGACGCACATGATGAGCTTCAGCCAGTCGCTGCTATCCCAACGCCATTCAACGTGACATGCAGCGCCTTTGATGGATCCCTGTAAAGTCACAATAGTGGCCAACACTCTTGTGTTCGAGCCGTAGATTTCAATCGGTCAGCCTCGCCCCACAATGGAACTTTCCATCTGGTCCTCATTCATATCTACCGTAGCGGACTAACGTGTCTTCGTCTCACTCTGATCTTCTTCATTGCTCTTCGACAACGTGATCGAGGTCCCCAAGGGTCTGGCTCACGGGACAATCGCGGCGCGTCTAGCCCCGGTATAGGGAGGGTCGAATCCGTACACGGGAGTTCCCATCTGCCAACAGAGGCTGGTCAACATCGACGACCGAAGGAAGCAGGAACGAACGAGTCCAAGGTTTGGAGAAGCAACTCACTCGACGCAGAACAAATATGACATCCTTGGTCGTGACGGTCTATGCTCGTGTTGATCAGCCAACCGGTTCCGAAGACGCACAGATGTTGACACAAAGGCTCTGACAGGCGCTGGTCGAGTTGGTCACCTACCCGTCTTCTCTTTCCGTGGACGCCCCCGAGTAGCCCGTCTTCGTGATTGGGATCGCCTGAGTTTCCAAGGACGATTGTGAGGTTCTTGATAATCTGCATGAAGAGACGGTCACGTCAGTCAACTCTTGGGATTTGAAGTGAATAGTATATGAACAAGAAGAGCCTGCCATGAGGGGAGCAGACAAGCAGACAAGCAAAGGACGAAGATCGAGCTGATTTCGGACCGGCTTGGTATTGAGACTCACTGCCTTCAATCGTCCCTCCAAAACGTTGCGAGTAGTAGGGTAGATTTCCTGCCGGATCCGGTACACACCGCCTCTGCGCGCAAGTCGTCTGCATCAAGCACCGTCAAGTTAGCACGGGGACAGAAGTGATGTGGTGGAGCTGCGACCATACTTGATATCGCCTCTGGCTGTTTGTTGGTGGAAGAGATCAGTCAGCCAATCTATTCCGTTTCAAATCATGTCTCAAGCCAGGCTCGACGAGCAAACAAATGGGGACGAACTCACTGATGGCGTTGATGTTGTCCCTGAGCACCTTTCGGTGCCGTCTTGGAACAGTCGGCCCGTGTAATCCCTTTCCTCTGAAAGCGAGCGGGGAGCCTGCCATGTTGAGACTTGGTAAGGTTTCCTATGACAAACCTGCGGTAGGAAACACTGAGGTGGAGGACAGGTGAGGGCGAAGAGCAGACGGAAAGACACTGCAAGGGATTTCTCGGCACTCGGTGTTTGAAGCGGGACTGAGTGTGTGGACGAGGACGCTGGAATGTGTCGAAGTACTTGAGTGAATGTTGCTGATGGCCAATTGTGAGAAGTGAAGTGAAGTGAACATGGTATCGGAGGCGGAAAGGGAAAAACAAAGTGAAGACCTGTCCAGAGAAGTAACGGGTTGAGCATCGAAGAATTACACATTAAACAGCTTGCTAAGACATAACATCTCCCATATTCAAACCATAATGTGCCTATCCAGCCCTCATCCAATTTCTATTCCAGTCATGCATTGTCATGAGTACGAGAAACCTGATTGTGGTGTTCAGTCTTTATGAGATAAACGTCGCCTCAGAGAAGACTTTGCCGGGCTCGGAAACCTCTGCCTCGTCGCCGACCTTGAGTTTGAGCTCGAGTTGGTCATTCGATAGATACTGCTCAACAGATTAGATCGAATGCAAAGAAGGGGAGAGGCCTCTTACCTGGAAGATGTGTGGTTTCAAGCCGGTCGCGTGACCAATGAAAGTCTTAACGAAGCCGGGCAGATGTGCCAGGACATCAACCCGATCTGACTTGGGCGGCAAATCGCCCCTGACCTCGCAATGGACAGGCTTGCCATTCTCTTCGCCGGTCCACTTCCACAATATCTTCCTTGGTTCTGGCCAATCGTGGGGTGTTTCCCGCATGGATGTGAGATGCTCAGCGGTACATGGGCCCACGCATATCAATTCGCCGTCTTTGGCGATGCCACCGACTCCAACCGTTGTCTTACCATAAGAGGCGGGTGTGGTATATTCCATGAGAATGGCCGAATAGTCTTTGGTGTGAACGTTCGCAAAATTCCACCTATTTGCCAAGTGGTGTGGCTTCATCCCCTGGAGAGCGTAGATGTAGGTGCCTTTGCCCTCCAAGTTGTACGTCTTCGAGGGCGTCTGCATGGTGCCGCTCACGGCACATCGCGGCCAAAAAGCGTGTCGCATTGACCCCCACGGGTGCTTCACATCAGTGCCAAAGTAGGTTGTGCCATCTTTGCCGACCTGAAATCCAGGCGCTGTCTTTTTAACAGTCAAGTTGACAATGCAGTTGTCATTTCTCGCAGACTTGATGGTGTAAGTGTCACCCGCCTCGTTCATTTCCAGAGCCACGTTATCGGCGTAGAAGCTCGTCTTCGGCTGGTCGAAGCCGTAGTCTTTCAGCGGGTCTGAGCACCAGAGATGTTTCCCGGGACCTTCATAGTTGAAGATTTTGCTATTGAATTGTGCCGTGGTGTGGAGTCCCCTGGTGGTTGATTGTCAGTGTATGCGCAGCAACGACATCCACGATTATCGTGCAATCCTTACCCAACATTGCTGTAAATGACTTGAGCAAGAGCGGTTGTCCCGTCGTCGGCGTAGAAGTAGAACGTCTCCGTCTCGACATTTGTGTGATCCATGGCCTTCCACCGCAAGTCATCCTTGGAGAGGATGGAGTAGGGCACTTCCTGCTTGGTCACCGGGTGGACTGCGGAAGGCCCATATTCGGGCTCCTCAGTGCCCACGACGTTGGCTAATTGCTGCTTGAACCAATTCATGTTGTCTGTAGTACTGCGACGCAAATTCTGAAGAGGACAACAGGGAAAACAACGAGTTGTTTATCAATTACATCGGGCAAATGTAAGCCTATGGATGTACGGGAGCAAACCGATGCATCAGCCATCCAGGGGCACTCGACGTCACCATAGGCGAATGGGACCCCTGCAGTGCCTTGGGTATCGGGGGAAAATCGTTGTCACACTTAAAGAGCCGCCCACCGGCTAACAGAAATTTTAAGGCTAGGCCTCCCTCTTGTAGGCTGTCAAGCCCAGTTGCCGTTGTGGCCATCTCGGCGGAAGCACACGGGACGCCAGTCAGCAACCTGCGCTAGATCTTTTAGGGCTTAGTCGCCAGTGACTGCGCTCTTCGCTGCTGGCGCTACAGGGGTCCAGTTTGCTTCATCGAGTCGAGCTTCAATATTTTCTAAGATTCATCGCAATCTCAAGCTCCCTATTAATCTATCTTCCATCTCTCCACCGCGAGTCTAGTCTCTCCTTACACCAGGACCGAACACATCCCTTCGACCTGGAACGGCCTCTGCTTTACAGCCCAATCCTCCCGTTGAGTTTGCCAAATTCTCGTCCATCATGGCGAAGAAGGTGCCTGCTCGTGATCAGATCGTCAAATTGATTGTTGGCGCTGGTCAAGCCAGTCCGAGTCCGCCAGTAGGTCCCGCTCTTGGTAGCAAAGGCGTCAAGAGCATGGACTTTTGCAAGGTATGGATATTCACCAGAGCAGCCGAGAAGTGGCCTTGCTGATGTCGGAGAAGGAATTCAATGCCCGTACCGCACATATCACCACCGGTGTCCCAATTCCAGCGCGAGTCACAGTCCGGCCTGATCGCTCTTTCAGCTTCGACATACGCACACCCAACACCTCTTGGCTGCTCCTCCAAGCAGCCGGAGTGAAAGAGGTGAAGGGCAAAATCAAAGGTGCCAATCGGCCAGGCCACGAAAGCGTTGGCACAGTTTCACTCAAACACATATACGAGATTGCAAAAATCAAGCAAAGCGAGACACGGCTATCTGGGTTGAGCCTTGAAGGTCTTTGCAAATGCGTCATGTGGCAATGCAAATCTATTGGCGTCAAAGTCGTTCCGTAATCCGATCCACCAGATCAGATACAAGTGTGTCTACCCAGCTCGAGCCTCGGAGAAGCTCTGATCACCAGGCACATTATTCATTCGGCCGATTGATGGAGCTTTCAATGGAGGAAACACGCATCAACCCTGCCGCTATTACGGCTGGCAGATGCTGCACCTCCTCCAAAGAGCCGAGCAGTCGGTGGGCAGATCAGAGTCTGAGAAGCTACAATGTCCCTTGCATGGGCCAGTCTCAACCTTTGGACATGATTCCTGTGAAGTGGGTGGCACGGGAGGATAGAATTGCCTCGGGACCAAGCCTGACGATCGACGTCCGCGCAAATACCTCGATTGGGGTCAAGGCCGAGCGTCCTTAGCCGCAATGTGCTCAAGGACAACGGATCATGGGAGCAAACAACAAGTCCAGCACGGAGATGGAGACGATCACAGTCCACCATTGCCCGAGGCTGGGGGGTTGCCTCAGGGTGAGCCGAGAGAATGCCGAGAGGGCTGACTCCGAGATGGGATATTGGTTGACTACCCCAACTGCCTTTCGAATATCTCGCATGAAGGACAATATGAGGCAACCATACGACCCCGTGGGGACGGCAGTATTTCAAGCACCAAGATACCCTGGTCGGACTATCTTATTTCATGGGTCGGTTCCGGCGGCTTAGGGTGACCGTGAATTGTGAGAATAAGGCCCGGAGGGCCCATTGGCACATGTAACATTGTGTACGCAGCCTCAAATCAAACGAACCTCGGTGTGACGAGGATGACTCGTTATCCGGAAGCTTCCCAAAAGAATACGAGAACGAAGATGACGTCTTGCCTGAAAGAACCTTCTGCCTTGTGTGTTCAGGCAGACACACGACACTTGGTAATGAGTGGGTGTATGATATGCACATTGTCATCATATTGTCTCCCGGCTGGACCGGAAGGAAATCCTGGACGGAAAGCTGGAGGCAAACCCCAAGCAAAAACCATCATGTCGCAATAGAGAAACAGCTTAAGAAGAGTGCAGGTGTTTGTCAGACAGCCCCAAACCGGTCGGCTGGTTCAGCGCGCCGCTCAATGGCCCGTGAAACGAAAACACCGCCTTGCCTCCAGTGGTAATAGTTGGGAGTGGTGGATGTAGTACTGTAGGCAGTAACCGCATGGCACGCCATCTAGATACCCTGCGTCAAGTCTGGATCAAGTTTGGTCCCCGTGAGCCGGGCTCATGAGCTTGATCTTGTCAGCCCAAATGACATTTGTCCCGTTGTCCCATAGTCAGTAAACGGAAAAAGGGTCCTCCTGTACTCCCCCATGACTATCGCAGCATGGAGGGGGAGCTCCGGGAACGCAGGCCGGTAGAATACCACCCGCTAGAAGGAGTAATGATACGCTGCAATGGGCCTTTAGCGGGGCATTTCTTTAAACATCCCACCTTTTTCGTCTGTTTCGCTTCGCCTGAGTCGCTGAATTTTCTCCCGCTCGTCCTCCCTCCCCCATTTTTCAAAGGCCCGTGTTGGGTTATTATTAAGTGAGCATACAGCTGTTATGACTGTACCTGACATCCCTGGGGACACCGCTTTCACTTTCATATGCCAGACCACAAGGCCTTCTTTCTGCCCATCCTGCCTCCTGCTGTCTCACTTCCTACCTTCTCATCTGTCCAGCTGTCGCTCCGCCAGGTCCACTTCTTCTCGGTCCTTCCGATTGCGTTTAATAGATCGGAAGCAAGAGATCAAAATCTCGCATTCGACGTAACTGAGCAGCATGTGAGTTCCGTTGGCCCTCCTGTTCCCGGCCAATGCCTTTCCGCTACCCGTATTAGCTCATCTGTTCCCCCCGACGAGCCACCCCAACGCAGTGTTCTGTGATAGTCATCTCTGCTCTAACATGAATTCAACTCAGATCCTTCATTTCTAGCCATATCTTACTTTTTTGCTGTTCTCGGGAAAGTTTACCAAACAACACCACTCGTTAATGTAGTCGATCACCCTCGCTTCCGATCTCTACCGCAATCCACCACTCTTCCGACCCACGATCTTCCGATAACAATGACTTCCAGACTGTCCGCCATGTTTCTCCCCGGCGACGACCCCAAACCCGACCCAGGTACGAGAGAAATGCTGCAGGGTGCAGAACCATGGTGCAATTGGCTGACCCGGCGGTTCTAGATGTCAAAGAGAAGCGAGAACCAGCACAAAACACCGAGACAAAAGAAAAGCCGGAGTCCCCGCAAGGTGCGGTGCGATTTGCTTCGGAAAATGAAGAAATAGATCCTCTGGACAAGTCGAGGCGTCTTTCCCAAGCTGGTGGAGTGAAGAATGAGGAACTCAGTCCCGAAGCCCATGAACAGATTAGGAATTTGGCCATGTCTCTACAAAAGTCACGGTTGCAGGAGAACCGCATGGCCAATTTTGCCTACGAAACAGTGTCTATGCCTCCCTCACGGGTATGCGGAATCTTCCATCTTACTGTATCAAGCTGACGAAAGGCTCCCAGGTTCCCTCGAGAGATAGTGAGACGCCCGGTACTCCTCGCGGCTCAATAAGACAGGGCCACGGCTCCATGTCCTCTGCGTTTCAATCTCCTCCCTTGACACCACATGGCTCAAAAGACGGGAAGCAAGACTCTGTTTCTGCAGGACGTGGCCAGCAAGGCCAACATGCGATAACGCCGCAAACGTCTCCACCTCCAGACTCACAGGGCAAGGGACTCTCTCAGTCGATATCGCCTTCTCACCCTGTTTCTCCACCTCAGTCCTCCGAACAAGCCCCCGGAAAGCCAGAACAAGGGCATGAGAGACGTATAGCCAAATTTGAGATTGGTCCCTCTGAATCTGCCACCCCGGTGGACCAGAGTCCTGTTGGGACGCCCAAACTTCGTCCTTCTTCCCCTCAGCCTGGTGCTCAACAGAAGCCGCCGGAGCCGCGGCATTTCGGAAGCCTTGGAAGAGGCTCCTTGGCCCCAGCCATTGCGGCGGCAGCAGAGCGGATACCGCGACAATCGAGTTCTACAGATCTCTCTGATAAGCGAGGATCAATATTTGGATCCAACAAGAAAGATCCTTATTCCCACGTCACTGACAGTGGCAGCGAGAAAAGCGGCCTGGACGGGAGGAAACATGGATCAATGTCTGAACTAAAACGATTCTTCAGGCTTGGACACGGCCACAAGAAGCACAACCAGCAAGACTCATTGGCATCGACCGTTCCGGCCTCACGCAAGTCGAGCCAAAGGTCGGGAACCAGGACGCCTCCCCACCAAGCTCCACCGGCCAATGTACCCTTTATGGACGACCACAGCCTGGAGGCAAAGTATGGAAAATTCGGCAAGGTCCTCGGCTCTGGCGCGGGCGGCTCGGTGAGGTTACTCAAGCGAAGCAGCGATGGAGTTACCTTTGCCGTCAAGCAATTCCGAGAGAAACATTCTTGGGAAAGCGAAAAGGACTATTCGAAAAAAGTCACAGCAGAGTTCTGTATTGGCTCAACTCTACATCATGGCAACATCATCGAAACTATGGACATCATCCAGGAAAACCATCGATGGTACGAAGTGATGGAGTACGCCCCCTATGACCTATTTGCGATCGTGATGACGGGCAAGATGAGCAGGGAGGAGATTGCATGTTCTTTCCTCCAGATTGTCAATGGTGTCAGCTATTTACACAGCATGGGGCTCGCCCATCGCGATCTCAAGTTGGATAATGTGGTGGTCAGCGAGCATGGCATAATGAAGCTGATCGACTTTGGGAGTGCGACAGTGTTCAGGTATCCTTTCGAGAACGAAATTGTTCTGGCTTCAGGTTCGTGATCGCTCCCTGGGCATGAAAACAAGTACGCTGACATGATATTGCAGGTATTGTTGGATCGGATCCTTACCTCGCCCCGGAGGTGTACGATGAAAAGAAGTACGACCCAACAGCCACGGATATCTGGTCTTTGGCAATAATTTTCTGCTGCATGTCTCTCCGCCGCTTCCCGTGGAAGCAGCCACGACTTGTCGACAACTCATACAAACTGTTCGCTTCTCCTCCTACACCTGGAACGCCGGTCCCAGATTCACACCCCCGGAAATCTTCGCATCTAAGTCCGAACGAAGATAACCCCTCACGACAACATGCTGATGCCAACGGCAGTGCCAATGCATCGCACCATCATCACCACCACTCGGAAAGCGTGGATGAAGGCCGGCCTTCGACATCCAGTGGGGATAGGCAGGAAGTGATCAAAGGCCCATGGCGACTCCTCCGCATCCTTCCACGGGAAAGCCGTCACATCATTGGCCGCATGCTCAAAATCGACCCAGCCGAACGAGCGACCATGGAAGAAGTGCTTGAGGACGACTGGGTATTGGGCGCCAGAGTCTGTTATCAGGAAGAGAATGGCACCGTTCACCATGCAGAAGGCCACACCCACGTTTTGGAAGCCGGATCCGGCGGACCACCGCCAGCCAAGTAACAGACAAGGCTGGGAAACGAGATTACCACCTTGAGTCCTGGAGACCTATGATGGAACAGCTATGTTCATGTGGCACGGCAACACTAATGGGATCGCAATGTGTAGAATTTGGAAGATTGAAACGCACGGGGAGCTTGATGGGTGACGGGTTTCCTTGTCTTCTTCTGGCCGCGGGCCTTGGTTGGATTGTGTGTTGGAGAAAACCAAAGTGTTGAAAATGTCGTCTGCGAAGGGCCTTGATATTATTTGTAGATACCAGTTTATCACGTTCAACCATCACTCAGACCTTTTGAGGGATGTTTTTGGAAGCTGCAAGCTCAACGAGCAGAAGAATCCCACACAAGAACACTTTCTCCCCTCGAACAGTTCGGACTAATTTTAAACCGGGTATCTTGGAGACGGTGGTTAGGCCCCCCCCCAGCTTCTAGAATGGGCACTCGCGGGAACTAGCTCCTTGCTGGCGTGCCATCCGTCGTCCACTGCGCCCGCACTTCACAACGGCGCAGGCTAAATAATACTACGTGATCTGCCGATGCAGCTCTTCCGTCGTTTCTACAACCTCAGCAAAGGCACCGGAGGCAAACTCGTGGCTACGGTAGTGTTCTTTTGACTGGATCCTGCAGAAATGGCCGGCTGAGGGAGACCTATTGGGTTTGTCGCAAAGCTTGGAGAGAATCGCGAGGCTTCAGTACACATCTCCCGCATATGGCCAAGAAGAAGCGCCAGAGGATCAGCTATGGTTTGTCATCTGTGCTCACACTCCGAGGGCGCGTATGGCTAACTGTGAGCAGTACTGCCTCTGGCAAGTACGCCAGGTGGCCATCGACTTGGGGTGAACGGGCTAGCATTTGACGAGGATCGCTCCATACTGTGCGCAACCGCTCCCTTCATATCGATCGCCGCGACCGAATACTGAGCAATGATACAGATACACGGGCGGCCGAGATGGCGTGATATGCGCGTGGGATTTGGATTTGGAGGCGCAGAGGTTGTACCAACAAGAAGCAGACGCAGCCAAAGACAAGAAAAGCACAGTGTCATTCCGCAAGCAGGTGCAGGCACATACCCATTGGGTCAACGATATTGTCCTGGTCAAAAATAACCTGGGACTTGTCTCTGCTTCATCCGATGTCACTGTCAAGCTGTGGAGGCCGCATGCACATGAATCGTCTCAAGCCTACACCATCGGCTCTCACAGTGACTACATCAAATGCCTCGCAACACCTGACCGGACCGCCAATTGGGTCGCCTCAGGAGGCTTGGACCACAGGATTTGTCTGTGGGATCTAAATGGAGGTGGCAAGAACCTCGAAATCAACGTGGCAAAGGTAGAGGATGTGGTCAAGGGATCTGTATACTGCCTCCGCGCGCGAGGGTCTCTGCTCGCCAGCGGAGGGCCGGAAAGTGTCGTTCGACTGTGGGATATCAAGTCCGGCAAAGGTATAACCAAGCTTGTCGGGCATACGGACAATGTCAGGGACATCTTGATCAGCGACGATGGTGATACACTGCTCACGGCCTCGTCCGATCAGACAATCAAGGTCTGGTCCATTGCCGCCGGTCGATGCATTCATACCTTGACCATGCACAACGACAGCGTCTGGTGCATGTACTCGGACGATCCCAATCTGTCTGTCTTCTACTCCGGAGACAAGTCAGGCCTGGTGGCTAAGACCGATACTCGACGGGCAATGGAGATTGACGATGGGGTGTCCGTTGCGGTTTGTCAAGAACACGATGGGATTGCTCGGGTTCTCCCTGTTGGCGACTCTGTGTGGACAGCTACCTCGAGCTCAAGCGTCAATCGCTGGCTTGATGTCGATACCGAGCTTGAGGTTGAAACACCTCCCGCGTCCCCTCGCGAAGAAAGGGCCGCCAGCCCAGAGTCAAGAACTCATTTGAGCCCCGAGCCTGCTGCGGCTTCGCCAACGAACGGCACCACGAACGGTGAAGTTGAGCACAAAAAGAAAATCCCCCACAATGCAATTTTGCGCGTGTCAAACACCGCCGTTCATCCTGGCAGGAAGCATCTGGGTAGACATGCCAACGTATCGACGACAAATTTGAGGAAGGCTTCGGAAGCGATGATTACTGATGATCTGAGTCTGGTTGTGCCTATCAGGGGTCAACCCGCTGAGACCATCGAGGGCCAAAATGGACTCATTAAGCATGTTATGCTGAATGATCGGAAGAGGATACTCACATTGGATACTGCCGGCGAGGTAGTTTTGTGGGACCTTCTCAAGGCAAGGCGTACTTCTTCCAAAGGCGATGTCCGCAGACTGACATTGAAATAGTGCATTCCTATCAAATCTTTTGGCCGTCGTCATCTTGACGAAGTGGTGCCCGAGGTCAACACAACTGAAAGCGTCGCTAATTGGTGCGGCGTGGATACCAAGACCGGAAAGATCACGGTCATGCTCGAGGAGAATTACTGCTTTGATGCTGAAGTGTATGCAGACGAGCTAGACTTGCCCAGCGATCTCGCCTTTCGCGAGGACCAGAGAAGTAGGTCGATCCCAATTCGAAAGAGGTATGAAGGGGAACTGACAACTACTGAACAGTCAATCTCGGCAAATGGGTACTGCGCAACTTGTTTTCGAAGCTCGTCGACGAAGAGATTGCTCGAGATGAAGCATATCGACGCACGCTGCAGAGTCCTGTCGTCGCTGCTCCAACTCCTAGTGGTCTTATTCGCCCTGGTGCACCAACCAGCATCAAATTGCCGGAATCGGTTGGCACGACACCCATGGTGTCACCGGGAACAGTTGTGACGCCTCGTGCATCGAATGGCTTCTCAATGGTTCCTGCAACTCCTGGATTGGCGATTGGCGCAGCCACACCGGGCTTTGCGCCATTGAACACTATGCTTCCTCCCACTGCAGAAGAAGAGCCAGTGCAGACTCCCAACGGGGCCCCTTCAAGGTCATCACGCGTGCAGACCCCGCAAGTGCAGACACCTCATGTACAGCCAACACCGTCGGCGACGGAATCCCAGAGCGTCGACTATTTCTCTTCAAACAACACCACGGCCAACAATCAGTCTGAGGCATCTTCGGAAAGCGAAAAAGTACCCAAAACACCGGGAGGTGGCCCGGTGACGACGGATAACAGCGCTCAGGGCCTGGTCTCGACTCCGACATCTCCTACTGAGGAGCGGAAAAAGGGCCTCTTTGGCAAGAAGTTCGGCATGGGCATGTCCTTCCCTAAGAAGATGGCGAGCCGTTCGTCTGCAGAAGTAAAACCGCCCGTTGTATCAACAGAAGAGAGATCCTCTGACACGGCGTCAGTCCGTTCCTCGGAGAAGGACGTCGAGAAGGTCAACATCGAAGATAACTTTTTCGGTGTCGTTCAGAAGATCAGGCTAGAGTATGAGGAGCATCTCGAGACCAAACCCGATCAACCTCTGCCGCAAGGGATAACTCCTTCTCTACCGACAGAAACGCCTGTATTACATCCACCGCCACACACCACCATCATCATCCAGGAAGATAACCCAGAAAGTGGTGGATTGGCGGACCTCTACAGGGGTGAGATCAGTGAGTTGGGCAATCCTGCAGAGGTTGATGCCCTCGAGAAGATTGCCCCCATGTGGCTGGGTGACTTGTTACTGAAGGTGAGTTTGGACCGTAATATTCCCTCTATGCTTCCTGCACTCCTGGGTTTCCTGGTGTCTTTTTGGCAAGGATGGAGCCGCTGACTCTGTGTGGCATGCAGAACCAAATCCCCTTCAAAGACACCGTCAAGGTGTCCTTCGTCTTGCACCCCTACGAGAATTTACTGCCACCCATTGCTTCACCTGACGGCAATGCTCGGCTTAACGCGAACCGGATGCTCCGCGCGAAGAAAATCATGGCGTACATCGCTGAAAGGATTGAAGCCCCCGCAGGTCAACAGGCCCAGTCTACCGAGGCCACGGAAGGACAACAGCCCACTGAAACACAGCATGCCGAGATCACCCCTGCCGAAGCAGAAGAGAACCCGGAGTCCCAGCTCAAGCCGGAGGAGTACTTGGAGCTGTACTGCCAAAACCAGCTGGTGCATCCCAACACCACACTGGCCACACTACGCGTGCATGTTTGGCGAACCGGTGGCGACGTGGTGCTGTATTATAAATCCAACGGAAGGAAAAAGTTGACGTTACCCCATCCCTCACAGGTGCCCACGGATGTAGAGAGTGAGGAGACGACGGGTGTCGTACGATAGAGCAAAGGGACTGCAGCAAGAGGAGAGGCATAGAGTTGCCGAGCAGTGCAGCTGCAGCCATCCAGAGCAAGTGTACAGGAAGAGCGGACCCGAAGGAACAAGCACCCGAGGTAAAGGGGTGACTACAAGGTCGAGGGTATTGCTCCGTCTTGGTCGTCTTGGAACTAATGAGAGACTAGGTGAACAATAACGTGGGTGTGTTGAATGCGTGCGAGCGCCGGTCAACACGTGCTCCGGGGGACAGAAAGGGGGAACCAAAAAAAAGACCAGCTGCAGAATATACATGATTTGAATTTATAGAATGCTTTTCCATTTCCCGAGCGTGGAGACCGTCCAGATCTCGTCGACACGTATGTGGTCGATGCAGACCCGGCATGGCATGGCACGTCTTCATGCTTCCTCAGGTCCCAAGAGATTCCAGACGTATTGATATGTCCCGAGAAAGATCGCGCCTCCCGTGCTGATCCAACCCACCCGGGGCACGAAGCCACGAAACAAGCCCGCAGCGCCCTCATCCCTCCATATTTGCTGCAGGACCCTGGCGGGACCGGCTCGTGTGGACGACTGGCCTGCCTCCTTCCGTGCGAGCATGATGCGCGTTTTGAGCACGTCGAGAGGTGTGGTGAGGCCGGCGGCTATACCTCCCGCGACGCTGCCGAAGATTGCGCTCTCCCAGGCGGTGACCAGCCCCTCATGCCGCCCGGTCAGTCTGTGCTGTCGGTCTGAGTAGGAGGCCTTGAAGTATTCCCACAGGCTGAACTGGGTGATGGTGAAGGGTATCTCGCGCATAATGGTGACTCCGCCTCCTCTGTACAGCTCGCGGACCATGGTCGTGTAGCCGTCCGACTTCCGCAGGGCCAGGATGTCCTGCAACGCACGCAGCGCCGAGCCGCCGAACAGGCCCGCCTGGGCGCGTTGCTTGACGACCTCGGTGGGCACGCGGATGGCGCAGGCGGCGATCTCGCCCAGCGATGAGGCCAGCATGTGCGCCGAAGCCTGCTGGGAGGACGACTGCGTGGTCGGATCGATCAGTGCGCGCTTGACGCCGTCGTAGACGACGAAGAACGACGCCGCCGACGGCATCGACCCCAGCAGGGCCGAGGGGAGGCCCGCGTACATGCTCCGCAACGTACCCCGGAGGGTGTGGCGCGGGAGGATGGTGGATGAGGGCAATGACGATGCATGGTGCGTCAGGTTGGACTGCAGCCGTGTCTTGATCGTGTCGAGCGGGTAGAGGGAGAAGTCGACCGTGAGGCCGGCGACGGCGCCTGCCTGTGTACATCATATGACCGTGGGTCGTCAGAATTCATGGCTCGGTCGATATACGTGGGAGGAGGGATTTACAAGGAGGGACCGAGTCCACTGTGATGAGGGCGCGAGCAGGTCTCCTGCCCCTCGAGGAGCTTCTGGCAGGGTCACATCCTGCTCGGTCATTCCTGGAAGTAGTGCCGGTGCCTGAGAGAGGCAGAGGCAGAGGGGCCGACCGTTGCAGCTTTTGAGGGGCGTTGAGATGCCCTGTGGATGTCTGTGGGCGAGGAGGTAGAGGCGTCGGTGGGAGAGATGAGTCGCATGCATTGACTAGAGTTGGAGATAGTTTTCAAATGACGGTGATATAATCATAATATCTGTCACGATCCGGATTGGGCAGCATGTCGTGCTGTCTGGGGATGCCAACTAATTAATGCGTTGGGAATTATTGCTTTCTCGATTCTTATAGTCCGTTTCCGTTGGATCCTATGTACGGTTGCCTCTCTCGTCTTATACCACGTGGTGCGTGTGCTCAGCAGGATTTTATTGCAGTGAGGGCATTCTTGGCTGGGTGCTTGGGGAGATAGGACATCTTGTGACGGAATGTCTGAGGCGAGAGGGTGTCCACCATAGCGAATACTTGCTGCTGCTGATCAACAAGGGTATCGACTTGCCTTTTGAATATATACTGTACCTCTGGGCAGGTGGTGCAACTACCCCAACCGATTCGTGTCGGTATAATATTGTATTGTACTGGAGGGGATGGTGTTGGCTGGTTGCCTGGCAACAACGAGATGTGTCGAGTTGTGGGGCAGCCAAAATATCGGAGCCCGGAACAAATGTCCCGATTCCCGAATGACAAGAAAGACACACACATTCTGACCGCGTCGCAGTCCAAGAACCTCAGCCACTAGACATCAATCAGCCAGCCACTTATTGTCCCGCATTGCTCTATGGTAATTCAACCGCCTCTTCGCTATGGTTACAGCCTGCATTGTTTTCCTGTATGCGATACCCAGGTCGCCTGCTTGAGCATTGACTCCTGCTCCGACACGCGACCCTCCCCCATTGATACCGGCCACACGCCCACACCTTTATCTGCGAGTTATTCAGCCATTACCTTCAATCCCCCCAGGTCACGACGCCGTCGCCATGGAGCCGTGGCTGGACTCGCTGTCAGAAGACTGGAAGTCTGAACACCGCTCATCCTCGCCCGCACCGTCTGTCTCGAGCCATCCTCAGTATGGTAGTGTCGCACTGGGCCGCTCCCAGAGTCGCATCCCGCACCTCGCGCACAATATCCGTAAAGACTCGTCCGCCGGGAGCTTTCTGAGACACAGGTCAACCCGCGGACAAGCTCGCCAGAGCAGCAAATCCATCCTCCGCGAACGCAGCGCCTCCAGCCTCAACGTACCTAATGCATCGGGTTCGCATAAAGCCCCAAGCCTGCCGCGTCGAACGTCTAGCAATTTCTCAGAGTCCCAGAATTCGGTGCAACATCACTCTGTCCACGAGAAACCTGCTCAGGCAGAAACGCCAGAGTGGAAGAGACGGCTTGCCGCGGGGGAAGATGTCAATAGCGACGGCTTCGACCTCTTCTCGCCCTCAAAACTCGAGGGCGTCTTCAAACAGCCAAATTCTTCACAGCTACAGAGTGATAAAGTCGAAGTGCCCGAAACAGGCTCGTTCCGGAAACCCTTCAACCTACCCGCAACCAATTTCTTTCCCGATCAGTACTCGAGCTATCGAGCCAACAGAAGTCGGCTGAACCTGGGGATTTTGGAAGAGGTCAATGAGGAGGAAGAGGTGGCCCAACAAAACTTGTCTGCCGTGTCCTCGGAGCTTGTCAGGACTGGCTCTCTCCGAGATCTCGTGAAGCAGCGCGTCCAGTCTCTCGAGCGGGTGGGGAGGAGTTACTCAACTCCGTCGTCACCCAGTGGCTATGATGCACAAGATCCTCGATGGAGGACGATGAGCGGTCAAGAAGAATTGCGAAACGAGTTCATCTCTCCGGTCACGGTGTCCAAGCAGAACTCGATCCGCGATACCGTGCTACGGGCAGATCTCGATATACAGGCATTGAGAAACAAGCTGCAAAGCGCCGCCTCGGAGGGGGACGATCGGCCCAGCTCGAGCTTGAGCGACAGTCGTATCAGCTATACAAGAAAGAAGGATACCGAAGCACACTTCAAGGACGAGCCCCTCCCTGATCTGACCTCTCAATCTTTGCCCGACGACTTGTCGATGGGGACACAAGATTTCGTTACAAATGGAGGCTTCATAAACTCGCGGCGTGGCGGCCGTTCGAATGAAGCCTCGTTCCTCCGTAAAAGTCTCAGCTTCAGCCAGGAGCCTTCACAGATCGAACCAGACTCGCGAGCCGACCTACATTTTTACAGCTCACCCCCTCCCAGTTCTGGACTTTTCCACGACGGCGTCGATCTGAGCAGGCTCAGCGCAAGTGCCCCAACCACGCCTCAAGATACGAGTGTTGTCCACCACACGGAAAGCCATCTCCGTCCGGCCTCTTCTGGAAGCCCCTTGAAGTTGTTCGGAAACCGAGACACATACACAAACAATAAGCTGATGCGTATTTTGAGCCAGTTCGAGGAACCCGATGACTCTAGCGAGAAACTGGCCGGGCCTGCACCAGCAGAAGCACAAGAAACCGAGCTCCGTATGAGCCAATTTGGCCAAGGTGATCTCGATGGGTTTGGGTTTGAGCAAAACGTCCGCCGACCTTCGCCTATCGAGCCAACCATGGTCAAGCCAGAAGATAGGATCTTCAAATCCCTTCTGTCAGAGACGTCGGATATTTCTGAATTGACCCCCGATACGGCCGCAACAGAAGGAGCGCTCGAACCGGCTCAAGGGAGCGCAGACCGGAAGGATGCCACCAGCCACGCTGAGAATGATAGAACAACCAAACGTCGCAAGACAATTGTCAAAGACCCAGTGCCGCCATCAGATCACGAAGTTGAAGTCAAGGTCGCCGACCTTGGAGATGCAGCCACATATGCCGGAAAGAAGAGAAAGGATGCTCGGCCTGGAGATGAAGGAGTTGAGGCCGATCCAGAAGTCCTTGCTTCGCGCGATCTGTTGAGACCGAGATCGGCGCGAAGGACGTCTTCTGTCGGTCGAGCCACTGTCATACCCAGTGCCGAAGCTACTGACCAAGACCTAACCCCCCAAGCGGGTAACGAGGATCTCACGGAAGCTTTGGCCGCAGAGTTGGCCACGTTCGCGCAGGAGGCGGCTCAAGTGAACAATGATTCACGCAAACCATCGCTCGCCACCAAGGACTACATGGAGGAAGCCAACAAGGTCATGCAGTTCATTCGGTCCCGAGGAAAACCGAAACCTGCTGCTGCTCTGCCAGAAATCACTGAGCCAGCTGACGTGTCCGAGCTGAATCCAGATGCTATCCTGGACCTGGACATTGACGCAGACTCTACCAAGGATGATTTTTCTCGACCGCCGTCCCGAGAGAATATGCCACGAGCCGCTCAAGACCGTCGTCACGCGCGCCATGATTCTCGGACAGCGAGCTATTTGCGCAAATATCGCGACGAAGACGACATGGACGCTCTGGGGAGCACCTCGGTGTTTGGCACGCTCGCACCAGTAAATGAAGCCGTTGCTTTGGAAACAGCTGAAACCACAACTTTAGAGGAGTTACAGGAGAGCAATCCTCCGAACATGCGGATTCTGAATGCCGCTGATACCATGAGAAAACGCAAGTACTCCAGCTCCACGGTCGAAGGCCAGCAGGATTTTACACAAGATCGTCTGGCTCACACTCAACAATCCTACCACAGTTCCACTCAGCAGTCCTTCCCTACACGCTCGTCTGCATCCGGACAGAAGGGTGTCATTTCTTCTGGGACTGTTTCGATTCCCGACCGCGTAGGTGCGATGACGTTCGATCACGACAAGAAGGTGTGGGTGAAGAAGCTGTCTACCAACGACGGATCGCGACGAAATGCCCGACAAGAGCGTCAAACCGTGACCGAAGATGACCCATTTGAAGATATCCCTGACTTGAGCATCGACGAACAACGAGAGTTGCAGTCTGACAGGCAGCCTGTCAAGAATGCTGTGGACCAGCAAGAAACCGTGTTTGATGTCGATGTCTCGGATGCTAGAGACGACTCTCGACTCTCCCCTAAGCCCTTTCCGAACTCCGATGCCCACCCCATCAATGAGGAATCTCAACACAGATTGGCAGTCGAAGACGATGTCGAGGAAATTGAGCGAAGTTCTCTGCGTTCCAAGGCTTCAGCGCACGAAGCAAAGCTCCACAATGGCATCCCGTCCAAGCCCCCAAGCCAGCTCAAGGACGATCGCAAGCAAGCTCGAGCAGTAACTATTGCATTTTCTTCCCCAGTTGTCTCGGCTGTGAACTACGCAAACCTTTCCGAGGACGACTTTGACGATCTGCCGCGTGAAGAAGACCTTCCCCTTGATGATTCGGCAATTGAGCTTGATGTTGAGCAAGATGAGCCAGACTTGCCCCAAAAAGCTGCCCTTCCTCTGTCCACAGACTCCTTCAGAAAAGGCAGTCAAGTGCGATTACTCAGCCAGGAACGGGTAGTCACATTCCAGCCTCGGACGATCTCGCCAATTGTGGAGGACGATGAAGAACACTTCGACCCTCAGATGAGCCTGGTCCATGTGAAAGTGTCGGATATGGTAACCCCGGCGCCTCCAAAAACTATCGCCAAACTTCAAAAGACCGGCAACAAAGCGTCAAGCATCCTGTGCTTGACTCCGCTGTCGGATTTTTCTCTCCATCAAGTTGATAAGGCTCGGGATCCCGACCAGAGTTATGTTGATGACAGAAAACACCCCAACGCACTACGGCAAGCTCATGGCTCGCTCGCGTTGGTTGTGGATGAACTCATCAAAGCCATAACAGATGCGGCGCCCGACGAACTATTTTGGGACCAGCTCCGCCGAATGACGCTTGCTCCAGGCAGTGTGTCGTCAGTGCATGGTCTGAAAGATTATTGTCCAAACTTGGAAGAGCTGGATATGTCCGGCAACAAAATCTCCCAGCTAGGCGGCTTACCACCTACCTTGAGGATCCTCGACATCCAGAACAACTTGGTTAATGACCTGACTTCGTGGAGTCACCTCCGCAATCTTCAGTACCTCGATGTATCCGGGAATCGGCTAGACAGCTTGGAGGGTTTCAGTTCTCTGGTCCACCTGCGGCGCCTGAACGCCAGCAACAATCAGATCTCAAACATTGACGGAGTCTTGGATTTGGATGGCCTGCTCGAACTCGAACTCCGCGACAATGACTTGACGAGGGTTGATTTTGAGGGTTGTGATTTGAAGCGACTGAAGACATTGAATCTCAGCCACAACCAACTGGAGGTCGTGGGAAATATCCAGTGCTTGCCTGCTCTTGAAGAACTGGATGTTTCTCACAATGCTCTGCAGAATTTCCCGGCGATCTGCGATGGCACACCCATTCCCATACGGAAGCTGCGGCTCAGCCACAACGAACTCGAGTCCATTGCCCTGAAACATATGCGAACTCTTCGATACCTGGATCTAGACAATAACAAGATCGGGGACATTCAGGGGCTGCCCTCGGCATATCACCTGGAGTTTTTGTCTCTCAGGTCACAGAGAGAACAATCAGACATTGTTGATGTCGTTCTGTCTACACCGAACGAATGCCGCCACATCCGTCTATCGTCAAACTTGGTGGTGAATGGGACATTGAAACTGCCGACATCGCCTCAAAACAACCTCCGCGAACTAGAGATCGCGGCCTGTGGCATTGCAGAGCTTCCTGAGAGGTTTGGCCTGTTTTTTCCCAACTGCCGCCACCTGAACGCGAATTTCAATGCCATCAGGGAGATTGATCCGTTGCGGAAGATGGCTCATCTCAATACCTTACTTTTGGCGAAGAATCGGGTGAAGAAACTGAGACGGACATGCCTGGTCATGTCTCGGCTGCCGGCGCTGCGGCAGATTGATCTGCGCGACAATCCCTTAACTGTGGGGTTCTACAGTCCTGCGGCGGCTCAAATGGCCGATGTGGATTCGGCGCGATACTACCTGCCTGACAGGTCGGAAGCAGACGACGTGTCGTGGCTGAAAGTGCTTGACGAAGTGACGGGCCTCAAACGACGGATGATCGAGTTAATGCTGACGGAGCACTGCAAGAATCTGGTTCAGCTCGATGGATTGAGTCTTTTCCGGGAGCGGTCGCGGTCAGAGGACGAGACATGGAATAAACTGACCGGCCAAGGAGTGCTTGTGAAGCCGAGCACCATGCAAGTGGAAGAAGCTGGTGGGAAGGACGCGAGTGGAAAGTGTATGGATGGCGGTGGATGGAGTCCGCTGCCTGAAGTATCCATTGCCAACGACGGGGATGTATTTAATGGATGAATGAATGTACAACAGCCTTTTTGGTGGGAGGGATGACGGGTTAGATAGGGCCTTACAAAAGTCGGTTGGTTTCGGTTTCCTTCTGGACACTCTGATGGCTTGGGGGGGCTGTTCTGCTGCTTGTTGAGCGCGTGTTTGGCACGCACGGCATTGTGTTAGTATGTACATCTGGACCGTTATGAATGACGAATCATTACAGGACACTCGTTCATGGTGCTCATGGCCTCTGAAAGCTTTGACTCTTTTGCAGTGATGGGCCCGTGCACATTCCAACTGGTGGATTCCGGCCACCTCCTGGATCTCGTCAGCCTCGTCCATGTACTGGGTCGGTACTGGTGCTGGCTGGCATTCCTCACTATGTGTGTGTTCCAGACAACGCACAGACTCGCTGCCGGCCTTGTGCATTTATTTCAGTTCCATCGATATGCACCTACCTACCTATCTACCTCCCTCCCAACCCCGAGATGGAGACAGGCAATATGCCATGGCTGGGCATGCTTTTGCTGATGAGGTACATATAGATTCATGGTGGCACACATATTGTTCAAAACTTCTCTTCTTTCCTTGTCTCAGACATCGATCTATCTCTCTATCTCTCTCTGTGTGTGTGTGCCTCTCTCTCTACTTCCAGTGATATCCCATCCAAAGTCATGATCCATCCTCTTTCCATCTCGATTCTGTTCTACTCATGGGCGGTATCTGCATCCCCAATCGCATCCCCACTGGCGGTGACGGCGGCAATCTCTCCACCACAGGCACCACCACCAGGATGCACGGGCTCGTTTCCCGGCGTGTTCGGCATCGCACTGATGAACATCTCGATGTCTGCGTCTGCCTCAGGCTCGGGTGTTGCTGGTGGCAGACTCCGCGTGAGACGACAGGGACAGGCGCCACCGGCTCCGATCTTCACCATGGGCGTCGTCTCGCAGATCGGTGACGGCCAGGTACAGGGCGGGATGCACACTGCGGCCGTCACCATGGCGTTGACCCCTCTGGCGCCGGTGTCGCAGATCGGTGACGGGCAGATTCAGGGGCCCGTGGTGACTGCCGGTGTGCCTGACAACATTGCCGTGACGACTCCAACGACAGCAAGTTCGGTTGTGCCAACTTCGAGTGTTCCTGTTCCTGTTCCTATCCCTTTCCCTCCACAAGGACAAGACCATCCTTCTGCGGCTGCAACACCGAGCAAGCCCCCAACTGTGATCGAGCAGGCGTGCGGCTTCTCGACGCGACCGAGCCTTGTCCCACCACCGTCGACATCCTCTATTCCACCCTCACCCACCTCGCCCGATCTCAATGCAGCCCCATCTTCATCCTCATCCTCGTACTCGTCGATCTCATCACCATCACCGACGTCACCCCTGGTCTCCTGCCTGACGAATTCAACCCTCCGCCTGCACTTGAGCGACAACAACTTGTACGATGCGTTCAACCGGACCGGCTATATCGCATCAAACTACCAGTTCCAGTTCGATGGGCCCCCGCAGGCCGGGGCGCTGTGGACGAGTGGGTGGAGTATCTGTCCTGTTGACAACAACAATAACGACAACAGCGCCAACGGCGACGGCGGCGACAATAGCACAATTCCGAGTGCCAGCCCAAGTGACGGTGAAGGCCCCGGTATCAGCACCCTGGCGCTCGGCGACAGCACCACGTTCTGGCAGTGCCTCAGCGGCGACTTTTACAACCTCTACACAGAGAACTGGGCCGCGCAGTGCAGCCCGGTCGAGTTGCGGGTGGTGAGTCTGGTGGACTGTGGTGGTGGTCGGTGAGGGAGGATACACACACACACTGGGTGGTCTGGAAGTGAAGACAGACAGGGACAGAGAGAGGGGGGAAAGAGTAATAGGTCACTATTTGATGGAGTCTTTGGTTTTATTCTAATGAGGAAAAGGCGTTCTTAAGATGGTGGAGTTTATATTTGCCAAATACACCTCCTACTAATAATACCACGACGACGAGGTACTCATAAAGATATGATACGATATGATGTGAAGGATTGATTGATTGATTGATTGATTACTTTTGGAATTTCATTCCCCACCTGCCTTCCTCATAATTGATCTCTCGTGTAAAAGTGTATGTTATGACATCTTGCTACATTGAAGAGGTCTGGTCCCCTAAGTCTAAGATATATATATGTGTATATATACTTCCCGGATAGTCAGATACTACTGCTGGCAAATGGCGTCCGCTTCTCCATTCATTCTTCCATACGTCCCAACGAGACGGGAATTTACTGGATAACAGCCTGAAGGAGAAAGGCTAAAGATCAGACGGTGCGTCACAACTTCACGGTGGAAAACAGCTATGAAGCACGGATCTTCTGGATTCATCTGCATGAGACTGATAGTCGCCCATGTGACGAATGTCCGTCCTACCAATTGTCAGACTGCGCAACGGCCGAACAACCCGTCCCTCCAATGAATTCCCTGGCCTCCTTTTCATTGTCCACAATCCGCGGATGCTGACACGTGGGCAGGCTGCCCAAGTCCATCTGCAAGACACTGTTGGGATCGATCACCACGACCGTTCTCCCCTCGGCGAGCAACCGTTTGATACTCTCGTGGATCACCCGGCGGGCCACGAGATTGAGAGAAAATGCGTCCCGGAGCGACACCACGATGGCGCACGCGTCCCGGTGCTCCCCCGAGCCGGGATCCTGGGGATCGGGCTCGCCGAGTTCCCGCACAATGGCGCGCGTGAGGCGCTCGGAGCCCGCGAAGCGGACGGCCCCTCGCAGGGCAAAGATGACCACCCGTCGATCGCAGTTGGGGTGGTGAGGTTCTTCCTCTCCCGCCACGATTTTGGCCACCGAGGTGCTCACACTCGCCCGGGCGATCTGGCTCACGTCCATCATGTGGAAGCCCATGTCGCGTGATAATTGCTCAAAGAGAGCGACCGCGCGGACACTGTTGCCACGGTCGTCCAGTTTGGGTGAGAATGCGGCGATGCCAACCTGGCCCGGCAGGGCGCCAATGACGCCGCCAGCGACACCACTCTTGGCCGGAATGCCCACGCGGGACACCCACTGACCCGCCGCATCGTACATGCCACATGTGGTCATGACCGAAAGCACCTGGCGGACACTGTCTGCGGGCATAATGGTTTCACCGGTGACCGGATTCACCCCGGCGTTGCACAGGGTCGCTGCCATCATGGCTAAATCGCGGACGTTGACGTTGATGGAGCACTGGCGGATGTAACCCTTGACCACCTCTGCTGGCTTGCACGAGATAATGCCCGCGGCCTTCAGCATGTATCCAATTCCCATGTTGCGGTCGGCCTCCTCCATCTCGGCTTCGTACACCTCCTCATCCACGTACAGCTGACGCCCAGCGAGCCTCGACATGGTCTTCAGGATGCGGTCCGTTCTCTCCTCGGCTGTGGCGTTCGGGTGGACCACCAGTGAATGCGCCGCAATCGCTCCGGCGTTGATCATGGGGTTCATTGGTCGGTTGGTGCCTTTGTGCAGCGACAATTTGTTGAAGGCGTCGCCGGATGGCTCGACACCGATCCGTTCCAGAACATGCTCCAGCCCGGCATCCTCGATGGCGATGGCATAGACAAAGGCTTTGGAAATGGACTGAATAGAAAACTCGACGTGGTCGTCCCCCGCGGAGTACACGTTGCCATCGACCATGACGAGGGCCACGGCGAGCTTCGAGGTGTCTGCATGGGCCAAGGTCTTGATATATTGGGCTGGTTGGCCTTCTTCGTTGGGCCGGACCTTGTCCAGCAAGACATTCAGGTAGTCCGGGATCGGGGACTTCATACCGAAGGCGGAGTCAGAGCAGTCTCATAGGACACGAGAGTGAGGAGAAGCTGATCTTCAGAACTTCTTTGCAAGCTTTGTTTGTCCACGAAGCCCAGCGGCGCCAATGCTTGAGCGTCCCTTAGCGGGTGCCATGGGTGTGTACATAAGCGAATGTGTGTACATAAGCGAGTGTGCTAGACTGTGGAGCCACACTAGCCCAAAGCGGACTCTGACCCACTAAGTGCTAACCTGGGCAGCTTAGGCGAGGAAAGGTTACCCTAATCCTGTCTAGGAAGGTTTAGCGTACCCAGTCTATATCTCCCACACTCCACCTTGACACCTCGACACCTCACACACATACCGACATCCACCTACCTATCAGCCTCACAGCGTGACCTAGAGGGCTGCTCAGTTTGTGCCACGGCTCGCTTTATCTGAAAGAACCACTGCAATCACCTGGTTCCACACGCACAACGCTATCCCCGTAAGCTCGACCGGGCCTCGTCGTGCAACACGTGTCTGTGTCTTATTATATTTTACGAATCCAGGATGAAGAGCAGAAAGCAGGCCTGTTGTGGTCGAATGAATATGGGCCTTCAGCTTCCCCTACAGAGACATATAACGATGCGAAAAAAGGGTAGATCTCCCCAAGAACTCCTATGATTGATTCCTCTCTCTCTCCCTCTCTCTCCCCCCTCTCTCTTCTCTCTCTACCTACCTTCCCACTCCCCTGCCCTACTCCAGCACACTTCGCACCCCCCACAGGTCCTTGAGGTCGTTCTTGTTCCACTCCCAGTCGACCTTCTGGAACTTCTCCTCGAGCACGGCCCGGTTGGCGGCCAGTTTCCCCTTCAGGTCGTCCCAGTCGACCTTGGTGAGACGGCCAGCCCGCTTGACCACCTCGCCGTTGACGAGCACCGTGTCGACGTCGGACGCCATGGCATGGGTGACCAGCGCCGCCGAGAAATCGACGCTGCCGACCATCGAGGGCGTGTCGGCGCGCACGAGCACAATGTCCGCACACTTGCCCACCTCGAGGCTCCCAATCTTATCTTCTAGGTGGATTGCCGCCGCGCCCCCCAGCGTCGCCATGTACAGCACCTCGTCGGTGCGCGCGGGTACCAGGTCCGGCAGCTTGCCTCGCGCGTGGAAGCCGGCGTTGGCCCGCATGCGCTCCTGCTGCAGCGCCAGCCGCATGGTGAAGAACAGGTCGCCTGAGCAGATGGCCGGCGAGTCGACGCCGAGCCCGATGCGGCACCCCGGGGCGCGGTGGAAGTCGAATGCCGACGGGATCCCGTGCGACATGGCCATCTCCGACTCGGGCGTGCACACGATACCGATCTGCTGGGCGCGCACAAACTCGATTTCCGCGGCGGATGGCTCACACGTGTGCGACAACGTCACCTGCGGCGGTACCGGCATGGCCTTGTCCCGCAGGAACGCCAGCGACGGGAGGTTGTAGCGCGGCACGTCGTGGCACGTCACAGGGACGGAGTTGTCTCGCGCAAAGGTGAGGATCTCGCGCGCCTCGGCCTCGGGGATCCAGTGCATGGTGTCGAAGCCCAGGCCCAGCGTGACGCGGCCGTCATTTCCGGGTCCGCCGAGTGGCCGCTGGCGCCACAGCGTCTTGAACAGCTCGATCTGCCCGGCGTGATGGCCGGTCATATCCGGCAGGGTCAGCGGGTTGAGGGACGTGGGGATGGTAAAGGGCGACGCGCAATAGACGCTGCGAATCCCCGACTCGAGCGTGGCCTGGATGCAGCGGCTCGCGTGGGCCGGCGTGGTCACCACGTGCGAGTGGTCCATGACGGTGGTGACGCCGCAGAACAGCGCCTCGCTGGCCCCGGACAGCTGCGACAGGTACATGTCCTCGGGCTGCAGGAACGTCATGCGGCCCTGCAGCAGGTGCGCGCAGTACTCGAGCAGCGTGTGGTTGCTGACCGTCGACCGCAGCTGGGACTGGAACACGTGGCGATGGCCATCGATGAAGCCAGGCGTCACGATGCAGTCGGCGGCGTCGATGACCTCGATTGAGGACGACGGAGCATTGAGATTCGGCCCAATTTTGGTGATCAGGTTGCCCTCGACGAGGATGTCCAGCTGCGGGAACGACGACTTTTGTTCCCGGTCCCACGTCAGGACGCGGCCGTTCTTGATCAGATAACCCCCCGGCATGTTGTGTAGTTCTTTTTGGTACACACACACAGACACACACGCACAGAGTAAACTGGGGCGGAAGAATAAAGAGAGAGTTCAACAAGCTGGTGATGAAGAAACGGCCGAGTATATCAAGAACAAACCGACCTCCTTTCTTTTCATCAGAGGACTATCCACGGGCTCATGTGAGGGATGTGGCCATCGACAACCTTTTAAATGGGGATATCCTGGGGCCATGCATCCCTCCAACCCTCCGTCCTCTCTCTACCGCCATTCTCTCCCTCGCTCGACACCAGGATGACTGACCGACCGACTGACCGTTCCCCACAGCTTCCATTCATACGCAGTTAAGTACCTGAGTAAATAGTAGTCGCCAGAAATCCTCACCCAAATCTCCCCCTTCTCTCTGCCCGGTCATGTTTCATCAAGCCGGCGAACTCGGTGTATCCGGCTGCGCCAGGCTCAGCAGAAGATGGACCGGGAATAGCACCGACGGGCCGAGCATCATGTGGGAGCCAATAACCTATCAGCCAGTACCACGGCACACGGAAAATATGGACCACCCGACCGACCATGTATCTCTTGACCGCGAAGCTAACCCGACTGGATATGGATATGATACGAGTCTATTACCACGAGGACACTACGAGGACGAGGACGAGGTCCATGTTGTGTCCCCCCGCCCCCCTCCCTCCCTCCGCCCTTGTCCGTACCCGTCGTTGCCCGGGGTGGGACCGATGCTCTTTCCTATTCCGGTCATGGGGACATATTGATCACCACCTCTATTCGTGACGAGATGGGGTGGGTGATTGATTGATTGGGCACCGTGGCCATGCTTATGTATCTTTGGGAGACCGCGTGGACTCGAAAGGGGAAACAAACATCACAGTTGGCTGCTTTATTTTCAACGCCGTGGGCCCCCCACCCTCCGGGGAAATCAACAATATACCCTACAGAGTCGCTGGAGCTGGGCTCCCGACTCAGGTTCATTCCACGGGGACTCGTTACTCGAAAAAATAGGTCCACAGCAAAAGTACAAGCGCACTCGTGATCACGACCACATTTGTGAGGGTGAGCATGGCAGGGCAGGGCAGGGCTGGGACATGACTGGACGGATCACGTATGTGTGTATTGGGAAACCCCCCGAGACTCCAATGCCGACGCGGCTCGACTCGACTCGACTGAACTCGGCCTGCTTTTCTGTCTGTCTGTCTGTCTGCATGATCGGATCGCCCGCCCGCCGCGTGTTCGTATCCACCCTGAGTGGTATGTAAAGGGGGCATCCCAGCCAAAATTTGTCATCCGTGCGCGCGCCATTTCCGCCTCGCCTCACACAGCGTGCAACGACGGAGTTAGTCAGTTGGTCTAGAGTGTTGGTTCACGAGGGAGGTGTACTGTACATATGCCTCGATTGATTGATTGGAAAGGAACAGGAGAGCCGGTGAGCAGACGCGTAGACTGCCCTGCACTGCACTACACGACGGTAGCTAGAAGTACAACAACAACAACTTCTAACTTTTCAACCGGAGGTATGGAACCAACGTTGCGTCCGGGGGGCATGAAGCGTGATAGTTGGTGTACCTATATCATCATCACACCTGACTAGATGCGGGTCAGTCGCTGTTTCCGGGGCCAGCGGAGGTTTAGAGAGGGAGGGGGTCATGGCATGGCATGGCATGAAATCCTCCGAGGAGTGAGTGGGAGGATCGAGAAGAAGAATGGGATACTCACCCTCACTCGCTGGAGAGCTCTCTCTCTCTCTACACCTTTGCCTCCGCCTCTACCACCAACTATCGTATGCCCCGAGTATACGTACGCACGTATATCTATCTGCCCCATCTGTCTGCCGAAGGAACCACAGGCCACAAGTCGTGAATGGGTCGATGGATGTCACCCACCCAGCGACGCATCCCACCATGCATCCACCCCATGGGGTCTCCATCCATCTGCCAGTCCGTCCGTATATTTGGAGGAGGACGACACGCGAGAGAGAGAGAGAAAGGGAGGGGAACATAGAAAATCGGTCCGAAACACAACACAGACAAAAGATCCGCCCGAGGCTGTCCCAGAAAAAGGGGGACGGCGGCGCGGGGACATAGATATGTAGATGGGGAAAGGGAGCGGAGGGTGAAGGGGGAGGAGGGGAAGGCTGTATTGAATAATTAGACCGAGAGATATCTCCATTCTATGCTGCAAGGCATGGGTCCCCATCCCTCCTATTGCCCGGCAATTGTTGCTACTGCTACTGCTACTGCTGTTGTGTTGCCATCCAGACGGGGTTTCATATTCGGGGCAACAAAGGAACAAACAGGCGAGGAAGCCATCGAGCTTAAATACGACACGGACGGACACACACCGCCGTGTCATTCCTCTCTCAGATACGCACCCAGTTCAATACTCTCTCTCTCTCATCTTCATCCCCATTTGCCTCGCCTCACCTGACCAAGATGTTGGTTCTCGTCGTCGGAATCACAGGGAACGTCGGCTCCAAGCTGATCGCTCCCCTCAAACAGCATGGAGCTCAGGTGCGCGGACTGGCCCGGCACAAGTCCAAACTCGCGCCTGAGAAGCTGCAAGCCCTCGAAAGCTTCCACGACATGGAAGCCTGGTATGACGTCCCGGCCATCAAGAAGGCCCTGAACGGCGTCGATGCCGTCATCTGCGCGTACGGGCCCATCCCCGAGCTGGTGTTGGATGCCCAGCTGCTGCTTGTGAGGTTGATGGATGAGCAAGGCATAACGGTAAGTCAAGCGTTTTCATGATAAACGCAAATCGTGAAGATGGCGCATGCTGACTCGATTCGCCGGCAGCGATTTGTGCCCTCCGCCTGGAACCTGGACTGGTCGCTGCTGTCGTTTGGGGATATTGTGTATTATGACCTCTTCCTGGCATTCCAGCGCCAGATCGCCATGTCGTCCCGCATCAAGCCCATGTACATATTCATTGGCTTTTTCGCAGAGACCTTCTTCTCTCTGGACGGCCATGGAGTATTCAACCCGAGCACGCATGGGGTCTGGGACTCGGCTGGAGGAAATCCACGGGCTGAGTTCTGGGGCACGGGCGACGAGAAATGGCAGATCACCACCGAACAAGACACGGCCGACTTCACCGCGGCCTTGATCTGTGACCTGTCCCGGGAGAGCGCCGTGTACAGGTATTGTAGCTGGGAGTACAACATCAAGGAAATCGCGGCGATTTACGAGAAGGCAAAGGGAATTCCCGTCAAGCTGGAACGCCTGGGGTCGTTGCAAGATCTGGCGGTGACGGCGCAAAAGAGTCAGCAGGAGTTAGGTCTATCTAGGTTTTGGGAGTGGATGGGCTATACTTACCAGATCCACCAACTCAGTGGCAAGACCATGATGAACGTGTTGGACGACAAGCTGTATCCAGATCTCAAGCGAACCAAGCTGGAGGACTTTTTGAAACAGCATCCCGAAATATAAAATGGACAATCTATTTATTCTCATGTCGTATTGGTCAAGGATTTTTTAAAAACTAGTGGTAGCATTCGATTGGAGTGGTCTTTGACGTCCGGTCTGCCCGGCATCATTCGGGGTTTTAGGCTGTATGACGAGAGTGTGGAAAGGCCTTTTTTCAAAACTGAGAAGATATATGATGTATTATGTCGGAGGGCAACCCGAAGGAAACAAGTCAGCTAGGTCTTGTCCCCAAAAGTCCCAGTTGTCCCCGCAGAAATCATACATAAAGGCCTGTAGTTCACTCTCCGTAGGTTTGTCGGCCGAGAGCGCCGTGTCGAAGGGTATTTGACTTGCGCTGGCTTGGATGTAGTCGACGCCGTTTGACATTGGCATGTTTTCCAGAGCGGTCTTCGTCGCGGCGGCAGAGGTGTTGTCATTCTGCCCAGCTTTCCCTGGTAACATATCATTCAGGTCATCGAAAGCGTTGGTGCCGACGCTGGCGTAATCAACCTCATTGAGACACCCCAGGGCATCGGAGCCGCCGCCTTGGGATTCGGCCAATCTAGCACTGAGCTCTCCGAGCCGCGAGCCCAGTGTGTCGATGTTTTTGACCATCAACTCGGACGTCTTCCAGAACTTGTGGCTATGGTCAAGTGTGAGCCGGAGAAGATCGAAGTTGGACTGCGCCAGCTCTCGTTCGGCCTCGTCTTGGGCGAACGCCTTCTTAAACAACTGAGTGGCCGCGACAATCCAAAACGTACAGGCGAGGAGCGGATGGCCATATCTGATGTGGTTCGGCGACGCATTCCGGACGACACGCATGATCTCCTCTGCAGCCCCGAGATATCTCTCCCAGGCAGATTGATCATCCGAGAACCCCAAGATCGCTCGAAGCTTCTGAGTCACCGACGGCCCACTGAGTGACAGATACTCCAACAGCTTCTTGCCTCGGAGAACGGAAGGACCAGAGTTTCTGATACAATAATGATGTAGGATCATGAGTCTGCCTAGATGAGTCATGGCGTGAACCAACTGTTTCTCGCAGTCTTCTTTCGCCGTCGGTGCGCTGTATGAGTCGCCAGAGATGGAGAACGAAAGGTAGTCACCTTGGTATGCGCATTCCTTCGGCATCATGGTTTTAAAGTATAAAATAAAGTCGTCCAGCACCGCGAGTCTCCGCTCGTCCACGGAATTGCCACTTGCCGTGTCGACCAAAGGGGAAACATCCGTCCTCGGTAGTCCGCGATCGCAATGTGAGGTCGGATTGGCAGTTGTATGCGCATCGCGGACCAGCGAGTTGATGACAATGAACCAAGCATTGCCGTTGGAGTTTCCACATTCGCGGAGCTTTCGGGTTCGATGCAGGGGATCAGGGTCCAAGAAACAGCTTGGCTGATAGTGTCCTTCCAACCAGGCTCGTTCACTCACTGGCAGAAGGACGGCATGCTCTCCGTCGTGGATGGACGCCGGACGTCGGCGAACCGTCGAAGCGAAAACGTCCAGCTCCCATAGCAGCCACCAGGCTCTTCGTTGTTCCTCTTTGCGCGACCAAGCCTCGGTCAAGGCTTTCTGCTCCTGCAGCGACTTTCCTTGCAGTGTCGAGTCTGTCAAATGCAGCTCGATCTCGTGGGCGACGCGGACGCAGGTCCCCAGGGATCTCCATGCCCTGCCTCGGGCACTGACGATCATCTCGTAGTACGCGATGAGAATGAGTGCTTGAAGGAGTGCAAGTGGCGGCTTGCCGTCACCACATTTATCCAGCAGCTCAGTTGTGATGGTGCAGGCCAGCTTGTAGAAATGATGGGGAGTGTGGGTGGCCGCGTGACTCGGATCTGGCCGGTCTTCCATGTAATGGGCAGCGATAGTACATACCGCAGCAAGAAGAGCCGAAGAGGGGCCCTGCTGGATCTTGTTATAGACCATCGCATCGAATGTTGGTCTGTGGAAGAGAGACAAAAAGGGCACTTTTTCAAAGTATGTTCTTGTTCTGCACGTTTTCATCAGCAAAAAGCTTCCGCTTGACTTCTGGCCATGATCCTTACAGCGTAAACAGCACTTCTTTGGAGACACCAAGCGTCCGGCAGACGTAGCCGGTGTTGTCTTGTGAAGGCCACGCATACGCCGCGAGAGTCTCGCTGGGGTTGGCATGGTCACATGCGGTGAATTGCGAAATGCTGTACGATTGATCCTCGTGGAAATGATGGAACACCCAGGATTGTGCCGTCGTCGACTCAGGGCTCGAAGCGTCCGAGGCCGTGCTGTTATTATCTCCATACAAGACTAAATTTTGTCTCTGGTGTCCTCTGTTTCTCCGAATGCTATTGCTATCCTCAGCCTCCCTGACGTCTTCCTGGCGGCTGGGCGAACGATCTTCTAAACGCCAGCAAATCCGCTTTCGGTGCTTGGACGAGTGCGACCCTGCAAACGGCAGGTGGAATGAGCAAGGCCAAGGTCATATGAGTAACTCCTTTGGGGAGGTGGCAACGTGCTTACCTAGCTTGGGGCCTGGTTTGTGTTGAACCTCCGGGTAGCGACATGGCATGGCATACTTTGTGCAGACACGACAAGCAGGAAGGGATTTGTCACTATGTAGAGCAGTCAATAGCTGCAACACGTGCGACAGGAGACGACGGGAGAATGACTGTGATGAGTATAGGTAGGACAGACCACTTGACCTTGCGTCTGGCTCAATGTTAGCATCTCTGCCAGCAGCATCGTGTGGTGTGTCGAGGCACTCAACCTTCTGCATGAATAACATGCCAGTGTTGACTGATTTTCCGCAGTTAACCTGGAGCCTTTCATCAAAGTCCAGCCCTGGGAATGGGACAAAGTAGTCTTGGCCGACAGAGGTTCAACCGGTTCTTCTGTCTGGTCCGACATTTCGTAGTCAAAACACCCACACAGAGAGGTAGGTAGAAAAGGAGCGTGCTGAGGATTCATACACAGCGTACCCATGACTGACGGGTTTCCTGGTGGTATGGGAAGAAACTTGTTGATGTGAAGGAGAGAAATGCATGCCTGACATGGGACGGGAACGAGGGGCGGAAAATCCCAAACAGGAAATACACCGAAGATGCAGCGAGCAGCCCCATGTCTGGAATCCTGGGGAAGGTGGGAACACGCTTGACTGAACACGCAGCCAGTGGCAGCCTATGGGAAGCAAGTGTCAAGTGCCAAGTTGTCAATGTGCTAAGGCTTGTAAGAAAAGTTCCCACATTTTTGCCTCCAGAAAAACTCCGGCTAACTATGGGAGGTATAAGGAATTGTCGGTGCTCACCGCGTGTGCGATATTAGATCTCGACAAAAATAATCCACAACCCAGTAAGACAAACATCCCGCAGCTTATTGTCTCTCCTCTGCTTGGGCCTTCAAGCAGTGGCAGCCCACTGGTTCCTGAAGTTGTTGAGACCGGCCATCAGGCCAAAAAAGCCGACCAACCCCGTATTCATGCCTGGAAGGCCCTCGGGGTACAGGCTGTAGTGAAGAGCGACAGGCATCCAATATGCCGCAACCATGAACTCGTTCCACCACTTGCGATCGTAGTCTTCCCTCTCCTTGGCCGACTTGCTGCTCTGCTTTCCCTTTTCGATCTCAGCTTCGCGCCACAGGCGGAGGAAGTCGCTGGCTACTCCCACACACCATGCACGACAGCTCCATGCAACCCACTTGGCGACACCTCCTCGCTTTTCGATGAATGAGAGAGGCACGACGCCCTTGCCGGCCAGGTGGTATACGTTTTCCAGGGCTTGGAAACCGATGTATCCCCCACATTGTAGCAGCGCCACCCGCCGGAGGGCCGGGTCCATATCGGCCGCGGCTTTTTTGGACAAAAGCGTCTTCATCCAGATGTATAAGGGCAGCAATCCAATCAAGCGCAGCGATGTACGGGTATCAGACACAAGAGCTCCCAGCGGGGTGAGGAACGAGGTAGCGCCGGCCGGACCTACAGCGGCAGCAGGGAGCTTCGAAGGTGTGCGACCGATGAGGCGTGAGATGTATGCAATGATGGCAGCGCGGGAGGGAGCCTTGGTCTCGAGGTATGCGGCGAGATAGATGGCATAGTTGAGAGTGGACAGAGCGGCACCGAGGCCTGCGGTAGTCTTGACCAACCTGGATTCGGCGCATTAGCGGAAGTGCCCTTGCTTTCACCTTCTTGGAATGTTGCATACTTGCTGATGCGCAGAATGATCTCGTCTGCGTGGGAAATGGTACTTTTGACTTCCTTGGGCACCTTGTTCAATGCCGGGTGCTGCGAAGGCTTGATGGGTTCAACTTCGCCCTTAACCTCGACAGGGTCTTGGGGGACGACACTGGGGTCTGGGTTTGCCGCCTCGCTACTCGACATGTTTGCAATCCAGATGGAAGGACTCTGACCAGAAGGGGGAAAAGGGGGGTCGCCGTCGGTATAAAACGATGATGGTGCAAGAGGTGCTTGCTCAACCCAAGTAATCAATTGCGTGCGGCCCGAGATCTTACGGCCGGGTCTATCGTCAGAGTCAGATTATGGCAGGAAATAAACCACACGCAGCAGTCGAGGTGATGGAGAACTGATTGAAGTAATCATGATATATTATTATTGTTATTTGTTGTTTCCCCATCCAAGTTCCAAGTTTCTCCTCCCTCGTCAAAGTCGGTATCCGGTTCCCTTTCAGCCGAGGCTTGGGGACGGGTTGCTTTCGGCTAGACTCAGGAGCCAGCAACTGGCAGCTTGACAGTCACGTGTCGCCAAGCACAGTACCCCCTCGCCCGTACTCCCCGTGGGTACTCTGTTCGTCGTACCGGCAGTGCACGTGACCCTCCTCGCAGCCGCCGCTATCTCGTACACAAGTGCGCTGGAATCCGTGAAAAACGTCATTACTCAGCCTCTCACAGCCTCGCCCTAATCAACCTCCAAGACTGCGCCCTCAGTCACTCAAGCTCTCACCACCCGCCAGGCAACCTCATTTCTTCTGCAGACAGGGAAAACTTTTTCTTCCTGGGCCCTGCCCTATATCTTCTCTGCCCGAGACTCTCTCGTTACCGTCCTCTTCCTCGTTCGATGCCAATCGTCATTTCTGAACGTCAAACAACCATCACCATGACATGTGGTGACATCTTCTTGGCTTTGATAGCCGTCCTCTTCCCCCCGATCGCAGGTATGTTTGCCACCCACACGTTTCAATCATGGTGGTCATTTGCTGATATTGCTGCTCATGGTAGTGTGGATCAAGTCCGGCATCTGCTCCGTTGACTCCCTGCTCAATATCCTCCTCTGCATGCTCGGCTACCTTCCTGGTCTGCTACACGCATGGTACATCATCGCCCGCAACCCCGAGCGAGACTACGACTATGAAGTTATCCCCGACTCCGAGCGCGGAGGTCGGGGTGGTCGAGTCACATACTACTACATCCGCCATGAAACCGTGCCGCGGCAAGATTATGGTACTCAACCTCAGTCGCACGATCGACCTGCCCCTCCACCCCCGGCTGGCCAGGGGAGCAACAGACCGGCTCCACCTCCGCCTTCAGGTTCCTCAGCCCATGGAGTTGAGCCAGCTGGACCAAGTGTGGGTGCCGGAAGCGATGAGCCTGGAGCGCCGCCCAGCTATTCGGAAGTCGTAAAGGGCGATCACAAGATCCAGAGTCAAGATTAAGCATCCCCCCACCAGACTAGACGATCTGGCAGTGGAGACTATTATACCATTGTCCGCAGGGAGGATGACGTTCTTATCGTGTTTCTGTGGAAGAAGGCGCATGGGGTTAAGAGGTCTGAAGGAGGAGTAAGAGGAGAATTCCCGACAGTGGGAAAGGGGGGAGGGCTCTTGTACCGGGTACCTCGTACGGTAGGGGGATTTAATGAACTAATGGTGTATTGTTAGCTCATGCGAGCTTGATCCTTGATCTTCTAAACTAACGACGGGGAAGGATTGGCTTGATCTTGTCGTCCTACTTTGCCCATGATTTTTCTGTTAAAACAATATCAGGAGGCTGAACTTTGTCCACTTTTCATGGCCATCCCTGGGCTATTTTGAGCTTGCTCTACCCTCGTGTTTACCACACGCTCTGAGTCGATCCCTGCTCGGGCCAAATGGCGTTAAACAGTCGCCCCTGAGGAGGCCGGCATTGCATATTGAGCAAAGCCCCAGTCTGTTCCAACTCGAATGGTCGCAGATAACGGATTCCACGTCAACCACCTAGCGATGGTGGAGTGTGATGACTGGCGAGAGAAGGGGAAAACATCATATCGTTGATCGTTGGGTTGGGTTGTTTCTTCGTGTTGTAGACCGTAGGACCTAACCCGAGATCCTCCGAGCAATTGGTAAGGGTTGTGTCGGCATTGAAGAATTTTGCATGATCTCGCCTGATTGAAGGGACCCCCGCGCTGTGAGATTGTACTCCATCATTGATATGGGCATATTCGCTTCGTGCCGCTCAAGAGATGGTGCGGATGGGGATAGATAGTATATCCGCGCAAGGCGACCAGGGAGACGCCACGCTATTGGCGGTATAGAGAAGAGAGGAAAAACGAATCTATTCGAATCTTTCTTGCCTGGGATTGAGGCACTATATATCCTAAAATCTCTCTCTCTTCCTCTTTCTTCACCGTTCAGTCGGCATCCATAGTATATAATTATCCAAGCAGATAGGCCAAGGCAATAATCCAGTGGGTATCTTATGCCTAGACAGCTATGTATATACATATATGTCTCTTAGCTCCCTCGTATAAGACTACTCTACTCTACTCCCCCCAGTCGAGAGTCTGAAACTGGTTTGGCTGTGTCTCGTGCTTCCAGATCGAATCACATGGGCAGACGGCGTTGTAACGGCAAAGCAAAAGGAAGGTACAGAGTGACTGGATTCCGCGTCTTGTTTTGCATTAGAAGTAGAGGAAAAGACATATACAAATATTGTTCGCCTTCGTTTGAATGATGAAACGGCCGCTTCCTTGAAACAGAGTGCCTCGACTGTCTCAGCTGTTCGCCCGAGATTTCTCGCTACTAGAGTCTCCTAATCGTTGTCAAACTCTCCACACTGAACTTCCCAATTGACCCTACATACACATCACGCTGGCGGAATAATCGCTCCGCAAGGACCGTTGCCGGTTACAAATGTATACTCGTCAGCACCTTCAGTGATAACGGTGGCTTGCTGGGTCGCTTGTGAGCACACACCCCCCGGAAGATTGCCACCCAGGATACATGCTGCATCATTGACATTCCAGGCCCAAATGAGGATCTGGTCGGTGCTGAGAAGAGCCGCTACACAGCATTGGTATGCATCGACATCCGGCAGGGATTGGTAGGCGTTATATGCCCCGCCGTTGGGCAAAGGGATGATGTTAGCAATCCCTTGGCCATCATACTGGTCGGCGAAGTTGTTGGTCGCGCAGGCAGCGTAGACGGTCGTGGTTGTGGAGAAAGCCGTGTCTGTCTCAGTCGACGTGCTGGTCGTCACGTCGGTCTCGGTCGATGTTGACGTCGTTGTCGTGGTGCTAATGACGGTCGTTGTCGCGGCGCCTGGGGTCGATGTCACTGTCACTGTCGAAGTTACCGTGGTGGTGATCGGAGGGGGTGTTGGACCGGTGACTGTGGTGGTCGTCGTGGCCGTGCTTACTGAGCACCTGGGACTAGGCTGCCACATCTGGCATGTGACGCCCTGGGGGTTTCGCTGTTGGTTGGGAGAGATGCCTGGACCGTGCGGTGGAATCTGGGCGCCGCGCTCGACGTTGGATTTGGGTGCGAGGGCTTCGTGAACGAGGTCTCGCTTTTTCGAGACGGGGCTGCCTCCACCATTGCCTGAATAGGTAGAGCCCGGCAGGCTGGTCTGGACGGGGATAAATCCAACAGGAGCAGCGACCGTTGATGCGACGCTGGACGTTGTGGTTGTGGTTGTGGTTGTGGAGACTGTGCTGGTGGTGGTGGTGCTTTCAGTGTTGGTCACCGTCAATGTGGAAGTGGCCGTGTCTGTCACAGTAGAACCAATTGAAGTGGTCGTCGTGACAACGGTAGACGTAGACGTGCCTTGGGAAGGAGTCGAAGTCTTGGTGACAGTCACGGTCGCGGTCGATGTGCAGGGAGTATAGCGGGTTGTCCAACTGGTGGTTGTCCGCCAAAGTGCGGGAGTCGTGGCCACCTTGGTGTAGCATAAAGTGCTGGTTGACTGAGAGCCGGGTCCACGGTTAGGACCTGCTGGATAGCCAGGAGCGGCCCACGAAATGCCAGCAAAGCCGGCCACGGCGGCCAAACCGCGAATAATATGCATGATTGAAGAAGGTGAAGAGGAACGAGCGGAACGGAGGGATGCCTCCAAGAATGATTAAAGAGCGACTTGGTCGGGAGGGACGAAAGGTAGAAAGACGGCGAGCCACCAGAACTTGTACTATTTTCCAATACAGTGAACTACCCCTTGTCGCTTGTAGTGCACGCCATGGTTAAACTATCCTGGGAATGATGCCATCCACAACACCCGAAAGCTAGGTGTGCGGCGCGTATGGACAAATGAAGCAAGGCTTCTGCGAACGAATGTGGAAATTAGGGGGTGACAATACGAAAGATCAGCTCTATTCAGCCAGCGCCAGGTTCTAAGATGCGACCAGACCATATTGACCCAGAGCAGGACATGTTTCAGACGTGTGCAACTCGCATCATGATCTACCGGCGGTTGTCATGAATGCGCTTCATTTGTAATAGTGGGAAGAGACTGGGCAATTCGATCAAGTGGACTTCGAATTGACTTTTGTGGGGGAGAGTGCTTGTCACAAAGAAGCTCGGACCTGATAATTTCGCTTACCGCATCTGGTGGACTATTAAGCAACATCTCAGGGGGTAGTTAGACCTTTCTGTGCGTATTTTTTGTTTCATGACACTGAGACGCTATGTAGCGAGTCAGAGCTGAGGAGCGAGGAGAGTGCGAAAGAGGAAAGCGCAGCCTTTTCCAGGATATAGTGTCGGATCGGGGTGGGTCGCATGCGAGCTCCGAGTAGTTTTTACTCTTCCTTGTATGCCAGGTAAACTCACTGTCCGTAATGCGGCCTCTTGAGCATGGCGCAAAAACTGAAAGTTTCAATTCTTCCTGAGGGCACTCAGCGACTAGTTTATTACCGTTAAGACAAACAGATTTTTACTGAGGCCGCGTGCCTAGTGCCTAACCCTAAGTGCCCAGAGTGTCCTATTGATAGCAATAGTTAATGGCGATGGTTAATGGGCTGGGGTGTCCTAAATGTCCTGTTAATAGCGATGGTTGAGCGCGATCAGTCTTTTGTTGTTGTTGTTGTTGTTGTTGTTGTTTGTTGTGGTACAGCAATTAGACCTTTAGTGTCTATAACGTAATTGGTCAAGAGCTACCGCTATTACATGACTGTAACAGTAATTGACCAATCGAATTTGAAGAGTCTTCCGCACCAATCAAATCGGCGGCTTTTTTGACGAAGTTGCCTGCTAAATCTGTTTTCGCTACAAGCAGTAATACGGCCAACTCGTCACCATGTATTATCGACAAGTTCGGCAACGGTAGAAAATACCCCACTAGGGATGACGTTCAACACGCCTTTGTCGTGAGCAAGTCCCCAGCGCATACGACGCTCGAACGGCCGCTTTTCTACATCATCTTCATGAGCACAAGTCTCACATTCGTATGCTCACTTGGCGGAGTTGCCATCATACTGTCATCAGTGTGAGTGTCTCAAACGGTATACTCGCTTCCTGTCTGACGGGGGACTTGAGAAAAGGATGGTCCCCCAAGACAATAGGTCGAAACAAGAAAAAGCTGAAACCCACAAACTTGTCACCATTGAAAGCACGGTAGATACAGCAGCTCTACCAAGTGAGGCCGGCAGCTGCGTGAGCGATACACTCATTGGAGAACCAACAACACAGTCCTACCAAATATCAACAACGCATTACAGACCCTCTCTTGGGCCCTCCAATCGCGGCCTTGACTCGCCATTGTACTCTCACCTCGTCCACCTCAGTGACACTGGCAAGCTCATCTTCCTAGGCGCAAACTCCTGGGTGAGCTCCATTGAGCTCGGCGAATTTGACCGATCCATCGCAGCAAGCACGGCAAAAGCTCCAAGATCCTGCAGGACCACTTGCCGCCAATCCAGTACTCGAGGACTATTATCCAGTTGTACCTGACCCCGATCTTCTCGTCCTCCATGATCATAAAACGAGCCAGGCCTAGATGCCCGAGTCGGACTGAAGGGGCTCCTCGTCGGGATCGAGGTAGCCACACGGATCGGACGGGTCGTGGATGCGCGGGTTCCAGTCGTCCCACGTCTTACACATGTGGGCGAAGCGCTCCTCCCAGGGGTGCGGGAAGTGGATCTCCTTGCGGTTCTCCATGATCTGCACGGCCAGGCCGGACGAGGCGTGGAACGCGATGTGGCAGTGCATGATCCAGACGCCCGGGTTGTCGGCCCGGAAGGCGATGATCAGGTAGCCCTCGTCGGGGAGGAAGGCGACATCGCGGCGCGGCGGGTTGACCAGGGTCAGGTTGGCTTGGGACACATCGCACGCCGTCCTGTCGTCCGGCACGCATTGGTCCAGCACTGCGAAGTCGTGCCCGTGCAGGTGGATCGGGTGCTCTCCGGGCACGTAGACGCCGGGGACCTTGGGCACCGGGTGCGGCAGCAGCGGCGCCGAGGACTTCTTGCTCCCAGAGATGATGGTCAGCTGCACCCACTCTTCTGCCTTGGTGTCGTTGGTGTCGACCACGGCCAGCCAGCCCTTCTGGGTGAAGTTCTGGTCCAGGTTCCAGAGCGTCGGCCCGCTGAAGTTGAGCCACATCGGGTGGTTAGGCACGAGCTCGAATCTATTGACTGTCTTGTCGCATGGCCAGTACGGATAGCCCGTCATGCGCTGTATGGTGAGATAGAGCGGGTCCACCTCTGCTCTCGAGATCGTCAGCGTGCAATTCTTCATGCTAGAGACGGGATAGGGCCCGCTTGTATGATCTGCATCGTGGGCATTCCTTTCTCACCTTTTCGCGAAGTGCTGACCGTCCAAGGAACGATGGGAGTGATGTTCCTATAGTAAGTCTCGTCCGCACAGGTGGGTTTAAATGGATGTCTCAAAGTGCTAGGCAGCTCGTCACTCAGGGTGTATCGAACAATCCCGGTACGCTCATCGGGTTGGATACCATTCGGGTCGAAAGAACTGCAGTTCGTCGCGGGAGTGGTTCGGATCCAGTAGCTATGGTCGCTGGTGTACCTTTCCGGGTTTGCATCGACGATGATATTGTATCGTTGTCCTAGAGGCGGGTTGTGTCAGATTTATGGGAACAACTCAGTATGTTCAATTTCTTGAAGCTCACCTATCCCGACCACGATGTGGTCGGTATAATATGGCTCGATCGCAACAAAGTCGGTGGAAACAACCCAGAATTTATGGTCGTCGATGGAGAATACAAAAGTCGTGTCGGCGGCACCATTGATGAGCCTCATCAGGTATTTCACACCCTATTTCTGCATCAGAGTGACGTCGGTGACCACCAAAGGGGGGAAGCTGTACCTTCTGGAAGAAGACCTCATTGAATTTGGGCTTATGGGACGCCTCAACGGCAGGCGGCCAGTGACCTACAAAGTCTCACTTAGCCTGGCGATTCCCTCCCTGGGTTGTTGACTTACCGATGCCGTTTTGCAGGATATTGTCAACGAATATCTGTGTCCCCTTTTGTTGGATGGAAGCATCCCACTTCTGGTACACGCTGGACAGCCACCGACATTAGAGGCACAGCCGATGTACAATCGAAGAGAGTTGTATACGTGCCTTCGGTGGAGCCAGTCGCTCATAATGATGGGATATAACTGGTGGTCGTAATTTTTGGACACCGGCCCATAGACGGTCAGTGGCCCCAGAGCACCGGCGGCATACTAGCCAAGAACAGCTCAGTTTATGAACCGGAGAACCCAGGATGAGTGAGACGTGACAAACCTGCAAAGAATAGTGGCTGTGGTACCACGAAGTTCCGTACTGGGTGATGTTGAAGACGTATGTGAAGCTGGTACCAGGAGCGATGGGACACTGTGTGACTGCATTGACGCCGTCCATGTAGCCGGTATGCAACTGTCTGAAGCCATGCCAATGAATAGTGGTGCCATTTCCGGGATTTTCCTCCGTGTGGTTGCCCACCAACTTGTTGTGGATTGTGATATGCACTTGATCACCCCAGCAAGCTTGAATTCGAGGACCAGGAAAGCTGTTGTTGAATATCTGCACCGGTAGAGAGCCAAAGCCATCAGGGTTCCAAGTGGTTTCTTCCAGGTCCAGAGAGTAATGTCTCACAATACCCTTGGGGCCGTTGTTCTCGTAGTCAGTGTGGATATCAAACTTTTGGCCAGTCTTGATATTCTTGAGCCAACATTGCCTGTCCGTCTTGGTGTTGCAGGACACCCAGCCCTCCTCTTCTGGGTAGTGGGGATATTCACATCGGAAAGGTGCGTCTTCAAGGTCATCTGGTGGATTGAAGATCGGGTATCTTGTGGCCTCTGGCTGAACCGGTTGCACTGGGATCTGGAGATCTGGAGTGCTCTCAGGAGAATGAAGCTTGTTTGGCGAATTTGTCAGAAAATCGAAGAAGCACACGATCCCCGTCCACCACTTTTGTATCGGGGCCATATCGGTGGTGGGCTTTGGCGGAGTTGTTACTATCAAGCTCGATGGATGAGGGGCGAAATCTGGAAAAGAATGAAAGTCATATATGAACAAGCTCCCAGTCGAGGGGGAACAGAACCCCGCTCATTGCTCGATGATGTGAATGCTGGTCTGAAGCATTCCGAACTTGATGGCTTTTCTTCCTCTGTCAGCCTGGCGATCCATTCCAGTGAGCGGGTATTCCTCGATATTGTCACTTGGGGAGCCAGTCACGATCGGTGCTGAGACCTCGCCGAGCCAGGCCGACATCGTGGTCTCGGACATGATGATGCCAGACGTCCAACCGTTGCGCCCGCATTGAGGGAGAGAGGATGTTCAGCTCTGAGTCGGAGATAGCTTGCATAAAGGTCGTTGCGAACAGGGCGCCTCGACAACTGAAAGGGTGTGCTGCCCAGTCGAATTCGAAAGAGACAGCAGCTCATTGGAGGCCTAATTCGCGACAACTTTGGGCAAATGCATATACGAGACACAGAGTGACGGCCTTGCCACAAATTTGCACATGCAGGCGAGCTGAGAAGTCTCTGACATCTAATGAGTTTCCTCATTACCCCTTCCTTCCTAGTATGGAAAGCATCCTTGCCTCCACTTCAGCTTGACTTGGACAAAGGGGGAGAGCGAGACAGTGGCTGGCTGAGTTTAGAACCCTGGTTGTGTTCTGGGTGCCTCTCACGCCGGTTCAGCCTCTGCGGGGTTTCCTGCAAGTCAGTCCGGTGACGTCTGTTGGGTTCACTGCGAATAGACAGGCTTCCGAGCAAGGCAGTTCCTGCCAAGGGATATTGCCCAGATCATTTTGATGCTGTTGACTCCGGAAAGCTCGTTGAAGATCACCACCTCGAGCACGGGTCAGAAACAGGAATAGAGGGCACATCGGACGATGCCTTGACAGCCAATCATCGTGGATCTGCAAGCTGTCACTTTGAGAGGTGAAAGGTGAAAGCGGAAAGCATGTGCGGTCTTAGGTCTATAATCTGGTTGTGGACTTGACCATTCACCAGAACACATAGGGCTTCACGGAGGTTTGGGTGACGCAATGGGGACAATCGTTCAACATGATCTTCCGTCGATGTGACCAATCTCCCCAAATGTAGGAGATCGTGTGATATTGATAGTGTCCGTACAAGGGCACATTGTGGACTGAGATATTCAGGACCTCTCCCTCATTCATCGCCTGTGGGAGCTTAAGGAGACGAAACATGTTCTTTTGGAGGTCGAGGGGCTCCCATTTATAGATAGAATGGGGTGTTTGGTGGGGCCCCGCCCGCTCGATATACGCAGTAGGTGTAGACTGGACCGGAGTCGCTTTTTGTGTTTCGACGAGAGAAATCACTCCCTGCACCATCTTCTCCCCTCCACATGCCCCCGAGCCTGGCTCTATCGCAAGCTGCAAGAGCGCCAGACCGGACAGATCGACACTCAAGGTGTATATGGCGGTGTATATAAAGTCTCCTCAAAGCCACAGCCTTGTTATGACGGGCCTACCCGCAATATAAACGATATACTCGTTATTGTGGCTGTAATTGCTGCAGCGTAAATAAGCGTAACGGGTATGGTAAATGGGAAAAGTGACTTCTGGCTGAGTCGATGGATGAAGCTAGTATGTAGCCTAACGCCATCGCCAGCTCTTTCGATGATTCTCGCGAGGATGTGATGGTTTCGCATCTCAATGTTACCTTCTCATCGACGTACGTTATGACCAGGCTCGAGCTAATACAATTGTACGGAGTACACATATCTAGCACCTGCGCCTTTTAGTTTTGGTCGAACGCCGTGGCTAATCCACGTACTTCCATGCTGTAGGGTGGCATGTCGAATTTCCGAACATTATATCGTCAGTCGTGGCACCTGAAGAACCTCGTCATCATAGCAACCTGATCAACATCAATCTCTCAGAATAGGCCCAAGGATTGCAGGGCAACTTCACCAGCCCCCAGCACCTCTTGGCTAGAACTCCCACTCAATCAGCATTCCATCAGGGCCTCTCATCTCCCCTGGCCTTTCAGCTCCATCCTCTCCCTCATAGTCTGCATCTGCATCCTTCTTCTTTTTACTTTCCTTTTCCTTCCTTACCACATTCTTTGGCGGCGGCCTTGCTCTGTCCACCTTCCTGAGGAGGCTTGGAATGTTTTGCCTGCGAGACAGACCAATTCGGTAAATCACTTTCCTCCCCGAACTCGTAAGACTCGGCGGGTTGATGGGGGAGTGCTTTGTTGGACCTTTTTCTGCAGACGAGGGTGGTGCAGCAGGCTTTGACTTTGCGGGTGTGGTGATTGACTGATTTCTTTTGCCTCCGCCAGATGAGGCGCCGTTCTCCTCCGACTGCGCATGCTTCTCATCCTCTGGCTCGGGAGATGTGATCGGTGAGACAGTGGGCGCCTGTCTCGAGGCTTTCTCGGCCAGATCCTTGTCTGCGCCGTTGAGTATATTCTTGGACTTCTCGGCTAGCGGTGAACGACTTTTTGGACATGATACTTGCTCTTCTTCCACTTCTTCATTAGTATTGTGATCCTGTTGCTGTGGTCCTGTTTCCTTTGGCTTCCTGCCGCGCTTCTTAGGCTCCACTACATGGTCCTTAACCTCGGACCGATTGGGAATCTCGATCGTGATATTGGTGCTCTTAGCACTTTTGACCTCCTCGCTCTCCTGTCTGTATTCATACTCTTGCTTGCCCTTGGGTGCATCGGGATCTTTCTTCAACGCCTTCAAGTCAGGCGGTAGGTCTAACTTGACCGGTGCCGGTTTCGAGTCCATCCAGACGACGTCTTCTTCACCATCACTTAACATTGGGTCGGCCTTTTTGAGCAGGGCCGCAGCTGAGGTTTTCGCACGCTTGACTTTGCTCTTTCTCCCTTCCTTTGAGCTTGATTTTGCCGCAGGTATGACAGGGGTTTCTTGATCTAAATTGTCGTTGCTATTGTCCTTTGCTGGAGTGCAGTGTTCATCATCGGCTCCCCGTGGAATAAGAAGACCCTCATCTTGGTCAACAAACTTCTTTGATCGCGTGCGACTAGGACGGGGCTTGTAAGCTTCTCTGGGTAGTCCAATCAACACTTCATCACTAGGATTGAGGTCGCTTGTTGGCTGTTTGACGGGCGAGGATTCAGTGGTCTGTTGCTCTGTCTCGTCTTCCACAATAATTTTAGAGCGAGAGCGGCTAGGGCGTGGATTGTACGCTTCTTTGGGCAGCCCAATCATAACTTCGTCGCTCAAATTCAAATCGCCCATTGGGTGCTCTACAATTGTCAATTCCGCAGCATCCCCTCCAGCTTCCTCTTCATCGATTTGTGTCGATTTCCTTCTCTTCCGCTTCTTGCTGGGAGCGTTTGTCGCAGATATTTGAGATGCTTGAGATTCCGACTCCACTGTTCCTCGTCGAGCTCTGGTAGGGTTCGCCAGAACTGAGAAATCTACATTGTTTAGATCCTCATCGAGACTAGGGGCAGGAGACTTGGAGGGAAGTCTCGAATTTTTCGCTTTACGGCCTCGTTTTTTGGGCCCTGAGGCTTTTTCCATGGACAGTGTCACATTTTCCGCCCCGTTGGCTGGATCAGGCATATCGTTCGGGATCTCAGGTACATGGAAGCGATCGTCTCCGTCGGCATAGGATGCAGCTCCGTCCTTGCGCGTGTGAGCAGCATCAATGGCCAGAGGTCTTGGTGGTGAGGACTGTGATAGGACATGCAGCGATTGGTCTTGACATGGCTCGTGAGCAGAGACCATATGATAATATCCGCCACTGTCAGTCGATTTGGCCCCGTCAACCTCGGTCAAATCCGTGACGTATCCAGGATTCGCTTGACTGGGTTCTTCCACGAAGGAGACTTGACTTAATGGTCCAAATGGATTTGTATTGACATCCAGCCCGTGACCCGAGCCCCGGAAGTCTATGTTAATTGATTGGTATTTTCCCATCGAGGCTATTGAGGTGGTCATGCAGTGAGTCGAGTCAGCCAAGGATCGGTCGAGGAGCGGAAACACCCCGGTTTGCTTGCTTGTGTCGGTCGAGACTGGCATGCTCAGATGAGCAGGGATAGTACGTGTGTCCGTCACTATCTGATCTGCTGCGCCATGATCCTGATCGATAGATTTTGAATCCCTGGGCTCGAGAGCGCATTCGGGGGATGGTGCAAACAAATTGTCATCTTGGCTAGTTCGAGGTCTGGATGCTGCACCATACGTTTTTGACCTCTTTACTTTCGGGTTCTCAGTCGGTTTATGGTGCTGTAACTCGCCGAGACTATCTTGCAAAGCACTATGGGCTCTCTTCTTGGTTCCCATTCCCGGCAAGATATCTCCCACGAGTGTGGTGGTTTGTAAGTCGGCTGTTCTGGAGACGGTAATGTCCGTAGAGCCATCCAGCTGATTGAAGTCACTTAGATAGTGCGGAATGGAGGATGAGAGCTTTTGAGTTGGATCCAGATATTCATCAAGATCGATGACGGGAAGTGAAACCAGACTTGGGAGGGGGTTTTCTTTTCCAGGCTCGTGAACGGCGGGTCTCTTAACAGGCGAGTCGAAATCGGACTCGGCGTCCGAATCTGCTATCTCAAAAGGCATTGCCACAATACGACCATTCTGGTCTCCATGGAATGTTTGCTACGAAACAACAAGTGGTTCGTGGGTTGCGTGACGTTGTCAGTGCTCGCAGCGCGCACTTCCGCGAGCGCGTCAAGCTGCACAAGACGCGCGTGAGCACGTGATATCGCTCCACCCGCTCGCTCATCCACTCTGTGGCAACTTCTTCTAATGTGCGAGATGGCGAGTTTCGGAGAGATTTTGCTAGCGCTATGGCCTGTCCGCATATAGTATTCTCGGTGAGATCAACAACTATAATTCGAGATGCAGCGGAAGGCGAGGCGCGAAAACGCTGGTCGGCTTTGCCCTAGGCTCGAAATCTCAGCCTTGCGATGAAAGTATCCACGGTATGTAAGAGTTCATGGCTGTGCAGGACTACAGCTCGACCTTGCAAAACTAAAGCTACAAAAGATGGTCTTATTTAACCTCTTGAACGAAAGCTGCTGGAGGCCCCGGTCTGTTAGGCAGAGTAGACAGCCCAAGCGAGAACTTCGAACTCTCGAAACCGACCATAGAAGTCCTTCAATGGGAGGAACGAGGTCTCTGATCATTGGAATAACTCCTATCGGTCTAACAGCCCAGGCGATAACCACACTGGAAGCACTCGTAGTCGGATTCTTATTGATCTTTACCGATGAGACAAGACCAAAGTCCAAACTATCAATAAGTAGTCGGTACCGGAAACCAACACGGACGGGAAGTGCCGACACTTCCACACGAATTTCTTCCCAAGACAAACAGGACCTACTACTAGAAAATGTGCCGGCAACCGTCAGGGCGATGGGGATAAGCGGGGTGAGAGCTGGTGACCTCTAGAATCCAAATGCTGCCTCTAGCGAGCCAAAGTCAGTGAATATGATGGTGTCGCCTGCACTCATTGCTCGTCATGTCAAGAACTTCAACATCAAGACTTACGCTGGTCCATTCCCTGGAAGTCACCTGAAAAGGTTTTGAACAACCGTTGTGGAAAGGTTCGTGACGAAGCCAATTGCCAATTGGGAGGCTGGTGGATGACTCGAAACCGGAGTAAAGGGCTTCATACCATCCTTGTTGTCACGGTTGGACCTCGTTCTTCGAAGAATACTGCCATTTGCGACAATAGCTCTTTGACGAGTGCATGGACTCCACGACTCTCCAGATATCCCCAGAGCTAAGGGACCCCAAGAAATCGGAGAAGTTGAGGGAGCCGAGAGAGGCCCAGACGAGCCGAAAACTTGTTGTGCAGGACCACCTTTACCTCGTCTTTCGGTAATGCATGCGTAGGGCTCCCTTGTCAGGAGTCTGGCCGTCAATGCTGAGAATTGCGCGCGCACGCACATTAAACGGGCACGGAATGTCTCGGATGGGTTTGTTGGTCGATCATTTTGATTTGAGGTTGAAAGAGAGAAGGTATTGTTGCAGATGTTTGCTCACCGGGACAATATGTTACACAGAAGACTCCTTCAATGTCACATGCGAAATCTCTGGGATGTCAATGGTGAATTGTCTGAAAGGCTGTTCCATCCCACGGTGTCTTATAGGGCTCAGAACAGATGGATAAAGTCCATACCGCGTACTCGAGTCTTTCCTGGAGCAGCAGGCCCACAGCGGAGTATTGCTCGAAGCTTGGGAGACTGGATGGTCTGGTTCGGGACGCGGATTCGTGGACAGCGGAGCGTGAAGCCCCAGCCATCGAGCTCGAAGGGTTGGGAAATGTGCCCTCGTCTCGGACCGGTCGACGTGGCTTCAAGATGGTGGACGAAGCGTCGATGGGGGGAGACGGAGAGTTCCTTCCGCAGTCCTGCAGTCATAGCGGGTTCTGCGCGGGAGCACAACGTGCAACGTCCTCGCACGAGGATTGGTCGAAGCGATGAGGCAGGAAATCATGTCCAAAGGAAGTGCCGCGAGCCCCTGGGGCGATCGGGTAAAGGGTTAATGCAGGCTTTGGGAGCAATGCGCGGTGTGGAGGACGTGCAGCCATGGCAGAAAGCGTGATGGGAGGTCTGCAAGATTGGCAGGAGATGGGTTTGGGGATGAGATAGGTACAATTTGGATGGCGGGAAGGGGACAAAGTGGGCGCATGCTGGATTCTCTGAGTGGACAGTCCTGCACGGGGAAGTCCTTGGACATTACGATGATTCAACGTCATGGTCGCACACAAAAATCGGGCAGGGGAGAAAAAAATGGAGAAGCGAGATGTTGGGCGCGAGTCTAGCAGTAGCAGGGAACGGGTAGGCAATCAATAGCCCTCTCCGCTCCAGAGCGCACCTAGAGAAGGGAGGAGAGAGCCGCCTGGAAGTTTGTTGCCGCCGCCACCACCACTACACCACTACCGACTTCGCACCTCCATCTCAGATACACAGGGCTAAAGTGACTCCGACATGATCCAAGATACCTCTCTGCTCAGATACAACTAACACAACAGAACAATACCCAACGTCTGACCGCTTCGCGCCATTGGCACCACAAGGCACCCTGCATCCGCTACACTTATCATCGAGATCAACGCCCCCTACACCCCTCCCCAACCCTTCAAACAACAACACGACGCTACTCGCCCACCGAATCACCATCTCTCTCGACACTCAGCCTCTCGCTCCTCCACGTGTCTGCTGGACGACTCCGTCCTGTCCCACCAGAGATTGACCGCCTCCTCCGGCTCTTGTACCTGCTCCAACTCTCGTTCGCAGCACGTTGGCGTCCTCAGCACTACCCGACGTTTGCTCCTCTGCTCGCTTCTCATCTCTCACCCCCTTCACGATCACTCGTAGCGAATCGTCGTTACACGCACGGCCGCTTCCCTGCCGACTCCATTGATCCACGGAGCAGTTGAGACCGCAGACTGCTCGCCCAATGTCCTCCCCATGTCAAATAGCGCTCCCGCCGGAAGACCGTCCGCCGCAGGCTCGACGGTAAATGGACACACTCTGCTCCGCCATGAACCAGGCTCTACTTCCACTGCTCCCAGTCCGAGTCCCTCGTCCAGCTCCAAGCCCATTCCCATCTCACGGGGGACAAAAGGAGCATATTCCTCTACAAATCCAAACAATGGCAGAGGTCCGCTCTACAGTCTTCACCGGGCAGCCACGTTGGGCGAGCACATTCCTCAACTATCAGAAAGAGAGAGTATCTTTGCTGAACACTATGTATCTCCTCCGAGCGAAGCTTCCACTCCCTTAGACGGGGCGAGAGCGTCTCCGTCTTCCACTACACCGCGGAAAGTGCCATTCAACATGTCGACCATGGTTACCCATCCAATCTCCCCTCCAGACACCAGCAAAACTCCGCGCACCCATTCCCCACGGAAGCTGGACTGGCTTCGACGATCCGACTCTTTGACTGAGGTAGACACTCCTCTTTCGCCGTCCCATCCTTCGACCGGCACGATACATGGGATCCGACGCATAGCCTCCGATTCGAACTCATGGACTAAGAAGTTTCATGTGACATTGGGCAAGATAGAGAACCAGGAGGGGAAAGATCAAGAGACGGGAATTGCACGACAACATCAGTATGGTGGAGCAGGCCCAGAAAGCGACATCTCGGCGGAACAAGAAAGTGGGCAACACACAATGGTTGAGAGAGGCAATTCCATGCGTACTGTCATGAAGGGCCCTCGCACAGAGCGGAGTGTCAGTCGTGGCAGGGCACATGTGGACAAAAGTATAGAAGCTACCGTGAAGAACCCCGAAGTTGGAGGCACTGCACGTAGCAGGAAGGCCAGCCATATGATGGGTATATTCGATCCACGAACTGGCTCGCAGTCTCCAGGGTTGCTGTCGGTGACCAATTAGGTCTCGTTGGTGCCAGCAGAGAACCCTCAAAGTCTTCCTCACGACCGACAAGCCCAGCTACCCAAGATACTAAATTCTCATGGAGTGTACCTTCAAGGGAATTCGTTGAACCCGCCGTCACCGCTTCTCAAGACGCCCCTCGCCCAGGGAGTATACGCAGTTCCCAGGCTACTTCTCCGCTCAGACCTGACCTCGACCCTTATTTCCGTCAACAGGACCTGGCACAGAAACCAGACGTGAACGGGAGAGTGTTGGATGACGGACAGGAAGCCCATAAAACGACTCTCCGCGATGCCGCCCCTGCCGAGACGTTCTCTGACGAGGACAGACAAGAGGATCATCACCCTTCTGAAGAGGAGCATATATCAGCAGCTGTTTACTACCCTCATCCAGGCCCGTCTCCTGAAGAAATTGAGCGCTTCACATCCCCAGGAGAGATTGTTTCACCCAATCTGAGCAGCAATCGGCAAACTCCAAGGGTGGCGGAGGATATCGTTCTCTCCACCGACACCAAAACAAATGAAGCATTGGGAGGTACAGAACACATCGACATATCAGTCGTATCTCAGAATGAGAAAAGAATGTTTCATGGCAATTATCGCCCTTTGGACGAAGTTGCAGGGGAGCGTCAAGTGCCAGCTCTGTCCCCTCTCGAAGAAGCTCCGTCGACTGCAATTGTTAGTACTTCAGAGTCGGAAATTGAATCTGGTGATGATATCAGTCGGCAAAGCCAAGCGGATGACATGTCGACGACGCCGACGCAACGAAGCACGCTATCCAGGCGGCCGACCGACATACAAGCGCCGCCGAGGACGAAGGGCAAGGTTGTTCTTGAACCTTACAAGCACCAAGTGGGAGGGCATTCGACAATCTTTCGCTTTTCTCGTCGCGCGGTCTGCAAACAGCTAAATAATCGGGAGAACGAATTTTACGAACGAATCGAGCAGAGGCATCCGGATATGCTCAAATTCCTTCCCAGGTATGTCCATCTTTCCCCGCCAATTCGCACCTTAGCTACTTCAAATAAATTGAATAGAGATGGAAATCACTAACGTGGTGGATAGATACATTGGCGTACTGAATGTAACGTTCTCCAAGATACCGAAACAACTACAGAACTCTGAGGCAAGACCCGATGACAATATAAGGGCTGAGAATCCCAGCCAAGACGAAGACCGCTCCAAGGAAGTGGATAGTACGTCGGGGATGGGCTCGAGGCCAATCGGTTCTTCGTCTGGAGACCAGCCACGCATCGTCAGCCACTCGATGCAGCAAATCGGCAGCATTCCTGAGGTTATTTTAGAACAAAACAAACACATCATCCCCTCCAATTACTTCGCTTTACCAGAGCGCCCCAAAAGTGCCGATCCTAATCACGGGCGACGGCGAAGCAAGGACTTCGATGTTCCGGGAGCCCCGGCGCAGGACGTCTTTGAAGCAGAGAAGTCTGCGAACAGACCATCAATGCCCGAACATTCCAACAGTTGGGGACATACCACTGTCAACGAGGGCTTGAAGGACAAGATTCTACGCGAAGTTTTCGGGCCCCCTCCCGTCCAATATTTCCGTCGTCACATACCCTCACACAGTACCATCCCGCGACTCAAAGGAAATCATGTGCCCCGCCGAAGGAGTAATCTCTCTACAAATTCGTTTCCTCATGCAGATACTAGGGACTCGATTCAGTCAAAAGGTCATCTGGAGACACCGATATTACATAACGAAACCACTTACATGCCTCCTATCAGTAAGATACGCTCGCAGACCAGCGACGGCCCTAGTGTGTATTCTTCATCAGCTTCGGCATTTGATGACCTCAAATACAATCTCGAACAAGTCAAAACGGCTGGCAGCGAGGTGCCGAACTCTTCTGGACCAGAGAACAGACAACATGTGAAAAGGCGCCATTCCGGCATGGGCCTGCGACGTCGACGCCAATCAGTAAATGAGAAACAGACTCCAGAGCTAGAATATTTCGAAGATGAAGCTTACACAACAGATTTCGGTCCTGACACCGGAGATGTCTTCAGCATGGACCAGGAGAAGAAACGAGATGCAACGAAGCACCGCCTAAGTCATTCAACAACTAACGGCTCGAGCAAATTTCAAGCAGGAGAGACCAAGATCTCCAGTGGCCACCCGAACACTGCCAGCAGACCCAAAGAACCAGCCACGGAGAGCTTGATACCGTCCAATCCAAAAGAGGCGCAAAAAACCTACAATGCTTCTGGCGATCGAGTAGTATTCTTCATCTTACTGGAGGACCTCACCAGTGGCATGGGTCGTCCCTGTGTCCTTGATCTTAAAATGGGGACACGGCAGTTTGGGGTCGAAGCCACCAAAAAGAAGATGGAATCTCAGCGCCGCAAGTGCAAGTCGACGACCTCTCAGCAATTAGGTGTCAGAATATGCGGCATGCAAACTTTCAATGCAAAAACTCAAAAGGTATCATACGAAGACAAATACTATGGCCGCGATTTGAAGGCTGGGCGGGAGTTTAGGGACGCGCTCACGAGGTTTCTGTATGATGGTCTTAGCTATGACAGTGTTGCACGGCACATCCCCACCATTTTGCACAAACTCTCCAAGCTTGAGAGCATGGTTCGAAGATTGCCTGGATACCGATTCTACGCGAGTTCCCTCCTCATGCTATATGATGCCGAGCCCTACAAGTCTCGGGAAGCTGAAGAGGCGGCAAGGAACGGTATTGATATCGCCGAGCAAAAGAAAAAGGAGGGCAAAAAGTGGCCTCCACCAATTGACATCAAGATTGTGGATTTTGCCAACTGCATCACGGGCGAGGATGAACTGCCTCCCAACGCTCAAGCGCCGCCTGCCCACCCCAAAGACATCGATCGCGGCTACTTGCGCGGGCTAAGGACCTTGAAAGCCTACTTCGAACGGATCCTCGCCGACATCAAAAACAACGAAAAGAAAGAGATCAGCGGCAGAGAGGAGTTAACAACGGACGACGAAGGCAGCAGCCATGTTTCAAATGGGGGACATGATGCCCCCGAGGACGAAGGTGAAGTCAGTGTCTAAATGACGAACTGATTCCCACCAGGACTAGATTAAACACGGGGCAATCCCGGACTTGTCAAAACCCTTCAGCTTTAGCGAGGAGTGTGGAGTTATGTAACGTTTTGTTCAGGACCAACGTGCTTGTGTACATACCCAGGGCGGGCGATTTTGGCCCTCTCGGCCAAGTACTTGTTATCGGTCAAGCAGGAGGAGGAACATGGAGCTTGGAGTAAACCTGGAAATGTCTCTTTTTCATTGGACGGAGTTGGACTGACGCCGTGGTCCTTCTCATACCATGTTACGAATAATGCAGTGCACCGGTCACTCCAGGCTATAGACGCGTCCGAAGATTAGGACCAATGCATGAATGGATGAACATGGCATATACGTCAAAGACCACTCGTCGCCAAAGATTGACATCCTCCGGCGCGGCCGGAGAACAAAGATACATATGTGTTCGGTGCGTTGCCTGCTCGAAACTCCCAACAACTGAGCTGGGAGCTTTTCTGTCTGGTATCTTTGCCCTCTCCAGATGTCCTCGAAGACGGTTCTCGTGTTTTCTGAGAGGTTAAAACCATGGCATGTTTGGGGTGAGGACCTGTGGGAGCACTTTTCCTTGGATCAGCCAATCCCATCTTCACACCAGCCAGCCTTGTCCCTTAGCGGTGTTCCCGATCATCCTGACCTTTCGGTAAGACAGACAGATTGTCGAGGACCTTCTGAAGAAATTCAAGAAAAGGCCACATATAAGACAGAAACAGTTGTCTTCACTCACCGTTCCCACATCATTCCCTGCTTATCATCGACGCCCTCCTTGAATACATCACAACATCACCTGACACCACAGAAGCTTTTCACAGGTGTCTTTCTCAGAGATCACAATGGCCTCAACGTCTTCCGCCACCACAACCTCATCACAAGATATATCCACCACTGCTACCACAGCCCGAATCCTCGTCAACCTCGAGAAGATGGGCGCCTCCCTGCGCAGATCCGGCAGGAGGCTCTCCTCGCGGCTCCGAGAGCATTGGGCGGACGCGCCGAAGAGCCCCAAAGCAGATGTGTGGCGAGGGACGTCGTATTTACCTTATGGGATGGAGACGGCCGCAGAAGCAGAGGAATCAGTCGAGATGGCGTGCTTCGCATGGTGGAGTCTACCCACGGCGCAAAAGAATCAGCCGCTGTTCCAACGGACGCAAGAGGTCTTCGACAGTACCAGCGACATTTTGAGCGGTGAACGTCTTTGACAATGCTGGTAGCGGTTTCCGGTAAACAAAGTATTGTGCCTGGGCCACCGCCTTTCGTGTCGTCGAGCCGCAAAGCTGCAAGAGAGAGACATGAGCTCCAGGTCTGTACCAGCTCCACCACTGTCCCGTACCGACCGACCCAATCGTGACAGAGTCATTGCCTACAGGTCCCCACAAAGACCGTTCTGGCTATTTCCATCTCTTTATCTCAGAAAAGTTTCCGCAGAGCTCGCATTGGCACCTTGGTCTGCGGAGCGAAGGGACTCAAGCAGGAGGAGCGTCAGGTGTGGTCTATGTTTGATATTCTCCAAGACAGGGGAGTGTAGCCGTCGAGGAAGGGGAACGTGCATTCGTGGTCTCTGTACTGTACATGTCTGCATATGTATGTTTGTAGACTGACAATTGATTGTGGTCAGCCCACTTCGGTCCATCTTGTCCCGCGATCGGGAAATTTACCCCTGGCACGTGACACGGACTTTGTGCTTCCCTGTGGCAATATTTTTCTAGTCGCTCCTAGCATTTCACCGCCTTAGAGCAGATCATTGAGAAACCCATTTTTCCCACCCCGCCGTTTCTCCCACTCTCGCCTCCCTCAGGCTGTCACTGTCACTCTCGACTCTGTACTCTAATATCTCCTACACTGCCAATATGTCTTCGGTCACAATCACCCGCGACAATGTCACGACCCTCTTCCCCGACGTCCACACGAGGTTGATCGGCGCCGACATGGCTCCCAACGCCACACCCAACGGTTCGTCAGAGACCAACTCGGACGACACGCTCGCCGGCTACGACGAGGAACAGATCCGTCTCATGGACGAGGTCTGCATCGTCCTGGATAACAACGACATGCCCATCGGCTCTGCCTCCAAGAAGGCGTGCCATCTGATGTCCAACATCAACCAGGGACTCCTCCATCGCGCCTTCTCGGTGTTTCTATTCGACCCGACGACGAAAAAGCTGCTCCTGCAGCAAAGAGCGAGTGAAAAGATTACGTTCCCGGACATGTGGACGAACACCTGCTGCTCACACCCACTGGCGCACCCTTCGGAGACCGGGAACGGCGAGCTGGCCAGCAACGTCGAGGGCGCCAAACGCGCCGCTCAGCGCAAGCTCAATCACGAACTCGGCATCCAGTCGTCGCAGGTGCCCCTCACGGACTTCTCCTTCCTGTCGCGCATCCACTACCTGGCACCTTCGGACGGCAAATGGGGCGAGCACGAGATCGACTACATCCTCTTCATCGAGGCTGACGTCACGCTCGACATCAACAAGAACGAGGTGCGAGATACGCGGTGGGTCAGTCAGGAGGAGCTGAGACAGATGTTCAAGGACGTCGAGACGCAGACCGGCGAGGATAAGGCTCTGAAATACACACCCTGGTTCCGGCTGATCTGCGAGGGGATGCTGTTTCAGTGGTGGGACAAGCTTGTGCAGGGCAAGTTGGCCGACGTGGTGGACGAGACGCAAATTCGGAGGATGTAAAGTGATGTGGCCCAAGGAGGTCGTCCCGCGCGGGACTCAGGCTCTTTCCTCGGGGATTGATCGCACGGGAGTTTCGCAATGCGATGCCATACAGGATCACAGAGAATGGTACCAACTCGCTGTCTGGCGTTCTCGGCGTGGGAAAACAGAGCGGAAAGAAAGGGAATAGTGTATAAGTACGCATATTGAGATCGATACCCTGAAACACGTAGTTTGATTCCTCCAGATCACTCGTATTGGCACAAGCCCACGCACGTGAGAGTCAACACCGAGTCTGAATCTTCATTAAATGTTCATTGCATCTATCGTACCTGTACGGCAAGATCATCTTATCATCTGGAGGGAACAAACAGGCAGAGAGAGAGAGAGAGAGAGATGTCTGGGGATATATAATATATGTCGTCAAAAGATCACTTTTTGGTTAGTTCTGTCGCCCGTCCAAATCACAGACCGCCTTCGAGGTTCCTCGCCCGCGCCTCGTCCACGCTCCTCTGCCAGTCGGTCCTGGCCAGATACACGAATTCAATCAGCGCCACCAGGCCCAGTGCGAGAGCTACACCGGTCCAGAGGCCCCAGAGGCCCCAGCCGGCCCCGAACGCAGTGCCGAAGCTGATCGGCATCGCGAAGACGTAGTAGCAGAACAGCTGCACGTAGCCGCCGAATTCTTGCCGGCCGAGGCCGCGGAGGATGCCGTTGCAGTTGGCGGCCAGAGCGTCGAAGAGCTGGAAGGCCGCGCACAGGGGTAGGATGTCGCTGACGATGCGGACCACTTCGGGGTCGGAGGTGAAGAGGTGGGGGATGTAGTCCTTCAGGGCGGAGAGGAGGGTCACGTTGAGAATGCCGACGATGATGGCGGCGGAAAAGGTCACCCGCGTCGACACTTTTGCGGCGTCGGCCAAGGTGGCACCAATGAGGTTGGCGACGCGCGTGGAGCCCGCGATAGAGAGCGGGAAGGGAATCTGGAAGGTAAGGGAGGTGAGGGTCGCGAGGACAGATTGTGCGGCGAGGACCGTGGTGCCAAAATACGAGGCCGCAAAGGTCAAAATTTCAAAGGCAAGCACTTCGGCTTCAATCATCACCACCCCCGGCAAGGCCAGCTTGACCATGGGCCCCCAGTTATGGAAAGCCTTTTTCGTAAATCCATTCCAGCACGACATGCCGGTCTTGGAGAAGAAACGGACGTAGATAAACAGACCTATCGGGAGCAGGTTATCCGTGATGGCAACAGCAATCGGGGCGCCCACGAATCCCATCTTTAATTTCCATACGAACAGCCAGTTCATGAACGCGTTGAAAGGGGCGCAGAAGAGGAGGACATAGAGGGAAGCTGAGAAGAGTCCCTGTGCCTGGACGAAGCGTTTCCCGGACTCAAAGGCTGCATAGCCAGGGGCACCGAGCAGAACGACCTTCAGATACAGCCCTGCCAGCTTGGCCACCTCAGGCTCAGGGACCAGAGCAAGGAGGATATTTTCTGCGAGCAGCCAGATAACGGCGATAGGGACGGTGATGGTCCATAAAAAGTAGATCATGCGCTGCATTTGCAGGCCGACAAGTTTCTTGCGGCCGGATCCGTAGGCTTGTGCGCAGAGGGTGTCAAGAGACGTGGCTAAGCCTTGGTAGATGGCATAGCCGGTAATGTTGGCAGACATGGAAGCCAGGCTCACGGCCCCTAGCTCCACTGTGCCAATATGCCCGACGGTGAAAATGCTCGCGACGGTAAGCGAATATTGAAGAACAAAGGTCACCATCAAGGGCGCGGAGTAGCGAGCAAGGACTTTGGCTTCACGCTGCCAGGTGGTGTGAATCATGCCTGCTGCCACAGCTTCCTCCCACTTCTGATTGATGGTCTGGGCGTCATCTTGACCACCATAGGGCAGGTTTGGGTCGCCTAGCAGCGGCGAGACTTCGGTTGCAAGGCCCACGTTGATCTCGACCGCCGGAACAGCCTCTTCATCTCGAGAGACTTTGCGGTCACCGCCAGGTATGTGGAAAATGCTTCTCTTGCGACCGCCTTGGTCGGCCGAGGCTTGAGGATGTTTGGGTGGGATTATGTTGTTGTCTCTCAACAGAGACCGCTCTTCCTCCATTGCCCGTTGTCTCTCTTCCCGGGAAAGGCGCTCATGTTCTGGTGCGATCCGCGGAAGGAGAGTAGCTCTGTTTCCCGCTCCAGCAAAGCTTGGTCTGCGGTATGATCCGACAAATGAGTATCCTCCCGTTCCCGGGGCAGAGGTGGACGGACGCAGGGTAGAGCTTTCTGACTCGGACTCTGTGCCTGCGGAATCTTCGTCTGTGTCGTCCTCTATATCCCGGGCAAGTGAGGCCTGGGCGATGGGAGACGGATCTGGGAGGGAATGGGCGAAGACTCGATTCGTGACGCTGGAGACGCGCTCAAGAGTGCTGGAATACTTGGGAGGCGTCGCCATGTTGGGCAGGCCTCTTGACGAGAGAGAAATACTCGCTGGTTGTGACTCGGACGGTGCACAGGTTACTCCACTATCTCGTGAGACAGAACGGGTGGCATGTTCAGATGGATGAGGACCTTGGGATCACTATATATCAACAAAAACAAGCTGCAGAACGACGATGGCACCACGAATCATGCTCATTTCCGCGTTGGATCAAGGTTGAGAAGATACGGTTGAAATGGCGGCGAGGTTTTGGCTTCTGGACAGATAAAGCTCCAAGGGCCTAACTAATAGCTAGCTTCTCCGCACCTGTGCGTATCGGCTGCACTGACCAAATCAGGTACCAGCACTCGCCTGCGCTTAGCCGCTTCCAGGTGCCCGGGAGCTGCTTTTCTCCGTTTTCTCAGGCGTCATTGGTGCCCCGCGGTGCCTATCGTTGGAGGAGGGCAGGGGCCGGGGCTTGCTGACTAGGTATCCTCGCCCGGCTCTGGCTGCCATGTCGAGCACGATTGCCCTTACCATGGCTGGCGTCGATCGATGGCGAAAAGTAGGAAAATATTTTGGCGGATAGGGATGAGCGTATACTGTATATCCAGGTGCTCAAGTACCGAGTACCTATGTAGGTACTGGATGTATCCCGATGGATGGTGCCAAGTGCCCCGTAGGCCTGAGAACCCCCAAAACCAGCCGTTCGGGGCTTGAAGTTCAACTAATCAATACCTAGAAGGAGCCCCAATGCTGCCTCCCCCCCCGGATCGGTTGCGTCATTTTAGAGCCTCGCGAATCATCCCATCCAGAGCTCTGCGATTCCAACCACCATCTCCTTGTACCGAGTATTCAAATCAGAATATCCATCCATACATGTGTGTCTCCAACTTGTACATTCGTGTTCCCTCGTCAATATACAATGGATACCACCGACCCCGACACCAGCCCTCCTGGCGTCGTGGAGGATGCCTGGCATATTCTCTACAATCCCTTCCGTGCCACCATCAATGTTGACGAGTAAGTGTCATCTCGCTCACGAGGACGGCGAGGACATCCAAGGGCCTAATGGACGTATTACACAGGAACCATCCCGGAAACCCCATCAAAATGTTTCTCCTGCAGCCTCTCTATGCGCCTCTTCTATTCTCTAATGTTTCCTCTGATGCCCGCGACCACTGTGCCAACGAACGAACATTTTTATCCTGGCTCCGATTGTCCGTCTACATGGCGGTGGTCGCTGTCGCCATCTGCATCAACTTTCATCTGAAGAGCCAGCCCACTTCCCTGGAAGAGCGGCTGTCCCACCCGCTCGGTATCATTTTCTGGGTCCTTTCTCTGGCATGTCTGGCGAGTGGATTGGGCATCTACATGCGGACAGTGACGAAATACGCGAGACGACGGGCGTTGGTTCAGACAGGAGTCAAGACCCAAATCATCTTTGGGGTAGTCTCGACTGCTATTATTGCCGCTTGTGCCTTGTTCTTGGGGGCGGAAGCGCAGGCTTCAAGACAAAGGCGGGCTGCAGCCGCGGCGAATGTATTGTACCGTACCTAGCCCGAGAGAGGGATGGATATTCACTGTAACGCGCTCACTACTGGAAGCTTGATGATGAGACTTTCTCGGCGTTGATTGGAGTCTGTAGACGCGTCGGCCGTGGTCGAGCGTGCCTCGAGTGTTGATTCGCTATGTAAGGGCTGCTGTCAACCCTACTTTACCTAAACACCAAAACTTCATCCTTTGACCACATCCGCAGCCTCAGACCGACGCTCACCCACGCTGCATGAGTCGATTCAAGGCTTCATCCGCAGGCTTTCGAAGCTAACTTCCATCATTCCCTTCAACCCGTCCTTCGCTCGCTGTCGCTGCCGCCATGGATCCTACCGCTCCCACTGAATACCCCGCCGATTCGGCCTACAGCCCTCACATCGTCAATGACCAAGACCAGCCGCAAGAAGACACTGCCGCCATTCAGAGCGGCCATCAATCTCAGGCTTCCACTGTGACCGCAACTCCTCCAATGGACAATGATTCCAATCAGAGATACAACTCTCCCAGCCTCTACCAACAGCCGACGTCAAGACCTGGTTCTGGAATGGGCGGACATCAACAAACACAATATCAAGAGAACAGACAGCCACAACCGTCCAGCAAATCCAGTGTCGTCATCAAAGTTGGCATGGTGGGCGATGCTCAGATAGGGAAGACAAGTTTGATGGTCAAATATGTCGAGGGCAGTTGGGACGAGGACTACATACAGACATTGGGTGCGCTTCCTCCTCCTCTCTGGTGATTTAGCTGCCCGTTCGTCAGCTAACGTCTCTGCAGGCGTCAACTTCATGGAAAAGACCATCTCAATACGCAATACAGAAATCACCTTCTCGATTTGGGACCTCGGTGGCCAACGGGAGTTTGTCAACATGCTCCCCCTGGTCTGCAACGACGCCGTGGCCATCCTCTTCATGTTCGACCTGACGCGGAAGTCAACGCTCAACAGCATAAAAGAGTGGTACAGACAGGGTCGAGGATTTAACAAGACTGCCATCCCTTTCTTGATCGGTACAAAGTACGACCATTTTGTTAATTTCCCACGGGAGGATCAAGAGGAGATCAGCAACCAGGTAAGATGCACGCCGACATGGACACAATCATCATCTCGGAGACACTGACAATCCATGTGTTGCATAGGCCCGAAGATTTGCAAAGGCCATGCGGGCGAGTCTTATCTTCAGCAGCACGAGCCACAGCATCAATGTCCAAAAGATCTTCAAGATTGTGCTCTCCAAAGCCTTCGACCTGAAATGCACGATTCCGGAGATTGAGAACGTCGGCGAACCACTGCTGCTGTACCAGTCGGTCAATTGATGTGGCAATCCCTCCCCTTAATACTTCGCTCCCAGCACCAAAGAAGGCTCATTGCCGCAGCGGCTAGACCTTTGCTCTCTTTACATGTACTAAACGAGTTCGATACGGACGAACGATTCTCGGCCGTGCAATGCTCTTGGGATCTATTGATGGGGAGAGTCGGACACGACCACAAAAACCAAACCAGACGCCACACCTACCCTCGGACTGTCTGGGGCGGATGTCAGCACCTCATCGGATTGCCATCTTCATGAGGCCGGCCCCGCTCTAAACCTGTATTCTGTCTGTTTACGCTCGCTTGTGTCGGGCATAGTGTCGAAATCTCTGCTTAAATTCCAGCAGTGGCGTTGATGGACGTAGCTGTCATGTTCATGTTTTGCAACCACAGCTCTTTTCGGGATGGTCTCTGGCTGCATTTCTCTGCGGTGGGAGAACCCAAGCAGAGCGGAACGAAGGCAGATCTTCGTGGTCGATAGAACTCATCTGGGGAAAGAGTTGCATGAAGGACCATGATCGACGGAGCGACGAGTATTTGTTTCTTCGAGCGATGAGGATGTTCAAAGAGGTATTAGTTTAGTGCAGAGAGACCACGCTCGCGTGGTCCCCAAAACAGTTCAAAGACCCCAGAATGAATCTGAATGAATCAAACTTTGCGGTGGAAATACAGAATGCCACGCTCTATCTCAAAGGACTCGACTTGACTCGTTCCCATCATTTTGGCCGCAAAGGGGTTTCATCCAAACACATTCGGAGTGCTCACTGTCTGCCACATGTCCACACATCTTGGTGTGCAAGTGACTGAAGCTTTTCACTCATGCCACCTGCAAGCACGTAATATTGGCAAGGGATCGCCTTTTGGAGGGCGAACGAAGCCACCGAAATCTTTAGAATCTCTCATTCCAACCCGCCACCGGGCGAGGCGATAACAACGACTTAGAACTCAAATGTTTCTCCGACAAGCCGCTCACTGAGCTCCCAGACTCGGTCGATGTATTGCTCGTGGCCCTCGTGAACACCCACTTTCGACACCTGGCAGTCGTCCAGGTAGGCGCCGGAGTCGGCCGCGAGAGCCGGGTCCAGGGCAGCACGGAGCTGCGTGGCGCAGCCCTGCTGCAGGGTCTTGGGCTCGGGCATCTTGAACGCCGGGTTATACCTCTTCGCGGCTTCGATCGCTTTGCTGCGTATATCGCCGGCCAAGTAGGCCTGGAGATTTGTCCGGATGCTGCCCGGGTTCAGGCTGAAGACGGCAAGGCCTGGGTATTTCTGCTGGAGCACCCTCGCGAGCCGCTTCCCGTAGAGGACACTGCATGCCTTGGAGAAGGTGTATGCTTGCATCGGATCGTATGCCCGGCCCTGGTCGTAGGTCACATCGCCCAGGGGCTGGAAGGCGTACTCGGCCACGCGTTCGGACGCTGAGCTGCTGACGATGACGATACGCGAACGCACCAGATCGTTCTTCAGGAGGAGGTTGTTGAAGAGAAAGTGGCCCAGGTGGTTTGTTCCGAACTGCGTCTCGACGCCGTCTTCCGTCAGACCGTACGGACACGCCATGATGGCGGCATTGAGGATCACGCCGTGGATCTTGTCGTCCCCTGCGAGGAGCGCCTTGACGTGCTCGACCGCCTGCCGCACGGACTTGTGGCTCCCGAGGTCGAGCGGGACGAAGCTGGTTTTCACGCTCGCGTCAATCTCCCGAACCTGGTCGAGCAGAGGCTGGATCTTCTGGCTCGAGCGACCCGCAAGAATCAGATGTTTGGGCTTCGCCCGCGCGAGGCAGAGTGCCGATTCGGCGCCGATTCCTCCTGGAGTTGGACCGGTGATCAGGACTAGAAATCTATCTGTAAACAGCTATTCATTTTTCTCGTGTCTAAAAATCTGGACGTACAGGTCTTGCCCTTGACTTGGTTTTTGAAGGTGTTGACGATTTCGTCGCCGGTTGTCTCAAATCCGAACGCCATTGCGATCAGCTGGAAGAAGAGTACTCCGTCGATGTTGGAGACCGTGAAATCGTATGGAAGTCGTTGCTGGTGAACCGAATCCTGACTCTGGTGGTTTAACATTCAAGAATACTGCGTCTCTTTATACTACACGTCTCTCTCTCACACACACGGTACCACGACCGCCCACGATGATTTACTTACATAACCACTGGACTGTTCACTGTGAGTGGGTGGGTGCCTATATGCAGCACGTATGCATGGACGTCTTTAAACCCGTCGCGCCACCTGTCAGCGTGCGACAGCAGCAAGATTGACCAATGCCCTCTCTGCAAATGATCTCGGCTGCCGTGTCATCCTTAGCGTGGTGGTTTGGGCAGGCCTATCTCCGGCTCGGTCGTGTAGCGTGCATGGATCGTCTATGCAGGAACGAGCGAGGCTGTGGGGACTGCCAGGAGCTATGATGTGTCAAGGCGACAAATTAATTCTCGCATGGTAATATGACCTCGAAAGGAGATTTGGGGGACGACATGGAATGGAAGATCTTGATAGAGCAGAAGCGTCACCTGGGATTTTTGGTATCCTCTGGTCGCCACAGAACACCAATCTTCCACCAAATGTACTGCACCTGCACAAGCAACAACAACACTCTGCTTCTTTAAGACGAAAGTAAGTCATATGGTACGGTGGTTTGTGGAGGTTATCCAGTATCGTTTCAAGAAACCATACGGCCTCCCTTTCTCCGGTGCTGTTCTGCGTCGGTTGGTGATCATTGCCACAGTCTCGAGTACTCCGTGGAGGCTGTCGTTCAATATTACCTCTCAGTACAAAAGAAGGTCAGTGGTTTTCAATTACTTGAGCTTGTGGAGTATAGGAATAGGCAATGGTGGCCGCAATATTCCTTGTCAGGGCAAATCGAACAGAGCCATCATCGTTTCGCAGAAACTCAACTCATTTGGAGGCAGAAAACTTCATCACAGGAATAGTGCTGGTCGTGGAATGGGCTGAGGAGGCTCTACTTACTTCCAGTAAGGTGGTGTCCAAAGAATCCTCACGAGCATCGACGAGCAGTTGACCAGCACTCAGGACCGTTCCTGTTTCTCAGTTTGGTTGTTGCAAGCTTGGAACGACTCTCAAAGACTCGGGTCAGCATATGCATCGACGAAGGCAGAGAGACGCGAGCACGAACGACCAAGCCTGTTCAGTCAAGTATAAGCCTCTGTTCGCATTTACACAGGTGCCCTGAAGGGTCGTGCGTATTGACAAACCGTTCTCTTGTCGTCATGGTCTGGCTTTGGGCGGTATTCCGGCATGGGATCGCCCACTTACCATGCGTGTTTCTGCTTACAGCTCGCCTCTTGGAGGCATTTCGCTGAAAGATTCAACGATGTGATTGGAAGTCAGTTCTTTGCCCTTGCTTTTAAGTGTTCCCATGCCCTAAATTTGGTATTTGCTCCAGCTCGCTGTGGTGTTTCGTGGTGTTTCGTTGTTGCACAAGTTGCTGGGAAGTTGGATGGCCGGCGTGTAGCCTACTGCACCTTCTCAACAAGACCAAGGCCAGGGAGATGAGGGTAAGTTGAGTGGTCTCAGCAGGATTCAGCAGAGACGGCCTCGGTGTCGTCGAAGGCCACGCATTTTGTCATCGACCATTGTCTTCAAGATCTGCTCCGAAGGTGTCAGCTTTGGCTTTGTGCCATCAACTCTGCAGAGACGGAGAAGAGGATCATCATCTCCTTGTCGAAGGGCTGTCTTACTCTGATCAACAGATGGGATCTGTCTCATTCTCTTCTCAAAGGAGCACTCCACGTTTTGACAGAGAATTAGGTCAGTTTGGAAACAAACAACAGCTGGGTCACACTCAAGGCCATTGAAAGAAAGGAATTTGTCTCTTATTGCACGGAGACCGGCAGTATTGAATCAACATAACCACAACAATGGCCCTCGGCGGGTCTGTCGTTGTCTCTAAGCCGCAATGGCTCCGAACCGCGCCCTATCTGGGGTTTCGACTGCTGGCTGCGGTTGGTTCGACGTCCTGCCTGTCTATTCTGTGAGCTGCCATGCACAATAGGAAATCCTTGAATGTGAATCGGTGGTGCTCGATTCTCGGCTTGAATGAAACAAATCGTGTACTTTGTATATCTTTGATCCCAGTCTAGATACTTGCACTATTACCCATCCCTGTCGGCGATCCATCTCCATTCTCTCTTCGCCTTCCACTACCAGGCTTTGATAGTCCTTGCATCCAGGTACACGGAATACAGACAGTTCAGAATCAAAGGTGTCGAGACGAGCTGTGTTGCAGGAATCAAGGGGGCCACCAGATCCTATAAGAGACGCATTTCTCCAACCATCGTTCAGGAATACCACGGCCACAAACATATGATTCTCGTCCACGACAGAATTTGACAAAGAGAGCTACTGATGCTCTTCCAAGCAAACTTTCCTGTCACAAGACATCCTGTTCCAAGTAACGCGGAAGGATAGTTTTGCTTTCCTCAACCATCCTCGCCTGTCCCTTGTACAACAACAATCTCTACGAAGTCGACGCTAAGAAGGGACCAGAAGGCACAGCACCAGCACTAGCACCAAGCCAGCCAGCCAGCCGGTATGTGGAGCTTCGTCCTCACGCCGGCCAGGAGGATGGGCCTGGTGTGGATCGCGTGGATCACCGGCCTGGTCGGGGACTGTTTCGACATCGTGGAAGATGACGCTGGAGAGCTGTGGCTGCTGGTCAACGAACGGGACGGCGTGCGCCGGTTTTTCCAGCTGTGGAGAGACCTTTTCGAAGACCTGATGAACGAGGAATGGTGATGCCGGTGATGAGGAAGAAGAGGGTGCTTAAAGAGTTTTTGCGGTTGCAGCCAGGGCATTGGTGGGAAATTTCTTGGATATCGTCCCCTTGGAATAGCATTTGCCTCGTCCACGCATTGTCCTGCTGCTCCAGGCGGCGTTTCTTGAGAGGGAGAAGGGATGCAGGCAAGGTCTGTAATTTCCGAATACAACATCTCAGACCAGTAGTTACATACACCCCTTGAGTCTGCATATGCGCTGGCGCTGATCAGGCCGAATTGTGCTGATTGCATGTCCGTGGACGCGTCTAAGATCTGCGTGGGTGGTTGATACAAAGCGGCAAGGCTGGCGCGGGAAAGGGGCTTGAATGGGAGACATACGAAGATAAGTAAGTAGCTTGGTGGAACCACGTCGCCCACGCCCACACCACCACTTCTGTCTGGTCGTGGTGGCATCTACTCTATCAACAGCATGATAATCCCTCAGTGTCGACTACGGTCTTGACTGATAATTTCCTCAAAAGCTTTTATGGCTCTGCGAGCATGTATATCATATGCACAGCCCAGTTACGGGGCACTCCTACTCAAGCGGACTAGCCAACGACTGACAACTGGACGCAAATCTCACTGTCAAGTTCAGGCACACTTGCCCACAAACGCAATCAGCGCATTATCGACCTCCTTGGGGTGCGACGCGGACAAAAAGTGCGCGCCGCCGGGCACCACAACCAATTCTGCCGATGGGGCGTTCGTGAAGAGCTTGATCTCCTGCTCGGCGTTGGCCACGCTGTAGACCACGTCGTCGGTGCCCTAACATTGTCCCTCGAGTTAGCATCTGTAGCATCTGACACAAAACCAATGGCCTGCAGGCTAAGACCCATATGAAGTCGGGGAGAGCTCGTGGTGATGTTTTAGAAGGGGGGGTTTCTCTCTCACATGCAACCACATGACGGGACACTTGACGTCGAACAAGCGGCCGTGCAGGCCGTCCCTCTCGCGCAGATTGATGGCCGCCATGCGTGCGCGCCGGCGCCCGTCGTCGCCCTGGTAGTTTGCCTGGATGGTCTTGCGCCAGAAGTCGCGCACCTCCTGCGAGCAGCCCTTGCCGAAGCCAATGTCGATCAGGAAGTCGCAGTACGCGATGTCGGGCTGGAAATCCGGCGTGGGCGTCTTGCTCGTCCACTGGTCGATGGGGCCCGTGCAGGCTGCCACGCCGTCCCAGCAGCCGAGCTTGCGTGTGCGCTCCGACTCGTAGTCCAGCGAGGTGCCGAGGGGGATGATGCCTTGGATCTATATATGGTGGGGTGGCATGTCAGCGTATATATATATATAGAGCTGGCCCCTCCCCGAGAAAGGGGAGTGGGGTTGGATACATTACCTTGTCAGGGGCCAACAGCGCCATTCGCACCGTGATCCACCCGCCCTGGCTGGTGCCGAGGACGAAAGCCTTCTTGATGCCCAGTGCCTCCATGACCTGGATGTTCATAATTGCCGTGTCCCAGTAAGTAAAGTTCTCCGACTTGGTGCGTGTCTGCCCGTGGCCGAGCAGCTCGATGGCCACAAGGTTCATCTTGTCCGTAAGGGCTTTGTTCGCGTACTGCTGCCGGTAGAGCTCAGACGACGTGGTGAAGCTGTTCACCAGGATCAACGTCGGCTTGGACGCGTCGTAGGGGTGAGGCATCTGGTACGCGGCATCGATGCCGCCCAGGTGGGGGACGTGGACCGTCTTAGTGTTGGGCATCTTGTGATTGCTAGGGGTGGTCGGTGCTGGTTAAGGGAGTATACAGCAAAATAGACAGGGCTTTGCTTGCAGGTTTTTTTTCTTGTGTGAGAGAGACGCAGGATATATGTCTCGGATGACGATGCTGTGCACTTGGGGATTCCAACTGCCGGGGGTCTGGATAATAAAGGTTTGTCTTCGTATACTTACTTGCTCATCATCGTCTCTTGTCGGACCCTGTCTTCTCCATCCTCATTTCTCTCCTCTCCCCTCATTCCACGACTTGCGGTTCCGCTCTGACGCCACGGTTGACCAGGAGGACGTGTTACCCATCATCGAGGAGGGGAACCCCATTTATCTCACTGTGGACCCTGGACGGCTCTTTCGCGCTCTCTGCTTGGCTCGGTCGGCCTGGCGATTGTCCCCGTGAAGCAGATCCGAGTCTAACGAGGAAGCTAGACCCCCAGCTTGGTGATCTAGCGAGCTGGTGATGGGTGCGTAATCCACATTCAGATATCGAGGACAACTTTGTTTTCACCCGGGATTTGTCCGGTCCTTGAAGCTCTGTGTCGTAGCCCCATTTGGCCGAAGGTCAAGCGCGCCGAAGAGAAGTGAAGGTTGTAAGATTTGGAGAAACGGTCGACGGAAGAGATCGACGATGAAACGATTCGATCGTCCGGCGCTCTCCTTTGCTTCTGACTGCCAGAAAATCCAAATTCCCCCAAACCGGAAAGACATCCACGAGCTGTAATTGGCGCGACTTCTTCTGGCCCTGAGGGTGTTTGGCGAAGCGGGCTCGCTGCGAGGACGAGAAGCAGATGATACGGGTGAGACTGGGCCAACACCATGTTTTAGCAAGAAGCACCAGAAGAAAACATCTCCATGACATGACCGGGACAAGGCTTGGGGTAATCCAACCTGGCCCCGAAATGGGGTTTAACCGGGCCCCTCCCTGTGTGGGGGGAATCGTGCTCTCTATTACAGTAGATATACTCTTACTTCTGCATAGCGACCTACGGACACAGGTACTGCCAGCCAAGGTTTAGATTGATACTGGAAGGAAAAAGAAAAGGGATGAATTGGAAACAAATACAGCAGCAAGTGGAAGTTGTATGTACGTTTTATTCTTCTTTGTACAACTAGCTAGTCATATCATAACTGAATCAAACAGTCGTGTGCTGTGAACCATGTATCTGTGCTCCCTAGTATTCACACCTCCCACACTTATCCGGCCTCATGCTATATCCAAATGCTTCATATGCACCAGTGCCTTTTCGTGTCGTATTCGCACCCCTGAACCTCCCGGATTTCCCTGGGGTAATATGTGTGTGTCGAACAATCAAACAAGTGAACTTGAGTATTAGTCGGTCGTAAGTCATAAAAATCAAATGTCGTCGTCGAGAAAATATCGTTGAACTGAACGGTGATGAAGCGCCGATGAACCTCTTGCCTGTTATTGTGCCCCCTCCCCAACTTGCCGGCTTATCAACAATGGAACGTGATGCACGCACTTCACTGCTTGTGCCATAGCCCCCATCACTCTCGATTTAGAGCAAGGGCAAAACAGCAACCACAGCCACAAAAAGCATGCTTGCGGGGGAGCCGAGTTTGTTTGCAGCACCCATAAAAGTAGATGCCATAGGTGCGTGTGGTGTGCTGCTTGAAATGCCCACCGAAACAGACGGAGTCGCACCAAAGGTCCAGGTCTTGGTTGAGGAGCTGGATGGGACCGAAGGGAGAGTGGGCATACTGGACCAGTCTTCCCAAGTTGACGATGGGGCTTCGGTGGTAGCGGCGGGCGTCGGTGTAGTGGAACTCCAGTCTTCCCACGAGGAGCTTGTAGTCTCAGGAGCGGGAGGAGCGGACGAAGCAGGGATGCTCCAGTCAGACCATGTCTCTTCTGCTTGGCTCGTGGCGGCGGGGCTTGGGCTCTCAGTAGACCAATCGACCCATTCAGAAGTCGAAGAAGTCGTCGTGGTGTTGGACCAGTCGGCCCATTGAGAAGAAGGAGAAGGAGTCGCTGTGCTGGAGACTGTACTCGACCAATCGGCCCACTGAGTCGAAGAAGGTGTGGTGGTGGGCGCGCTGGCGTTAGACCACTGGATGCCTTGGCCTGTCGGGACTCTTCCAGTAATAGAAGCGCTGTTTTTGGCTGGTTCGCGTTGCTCTGCGCAGTAGGTGACCAACCCACCGATTTCGGCCGCAACAGATTCGGGCGGGGCCGTTGAAACGATGCAATATTGGATAGCGGCAACAGAGTCGGGGTTGCAGATGTTCGTTTCGTCGGACGAAGTTGACGCAATGCAGGCAGCCAAGTAGCCCCCTTGACCTGAAGCAGTGCCTTGCGCTTTGGGAAGTGCTGAAGACAAGGGCAGCAAAGAGAGAACGGTTGCCGCGATGACGGCGGATCTTGTGCGGGAAAGCATGATTGGCTGAGAAGAGATTGTTATGCAAAAGTACCGAGTACTCCGTCGAGGTAATCTTGGTGTCAGATGAAAGAGGAGAGATATGAAAAGCACGCTTGGCTCAGTTGTCAAGAATCCAATCAGAGCTACTCCTCGGTAGAGTCTTGGATGAATGAGAGAGGAAAGTGCACAAACATCTAAGCAACCCTGTAATATATAGACGTGATGCAGGACCTTGGAGCAGTCCAAACCAGCCTCCATTGTGAGAGACGACAATTGCATGCAGTGTTGATCAGTGGCTAGCAAGCCAAATGGCCAAAACGATGGATGATCTCGGTGGCAGCAGAGAAGAGTCCAGAAGGCAGGGGTCGATCTAGCGCCGATCTTGGGCAATGCTAAGCTTTTCTCTGGCAGATCTCGCTATTACCATTGGCCGCAGAGTTCATAGTGGATACGCCAGCCTTTCTGCACTAGACCTAAATTGAGCAATATAAACAAATATGGACGGCGCCGACGGCTGGGCATGAGACGTGTTCCTCACTATCGTTTCGAGGTTAACCTTAATATCAAGGGTCTGGAGCTGTCTGAGACTCTCTATATAAGGTGACGGTAGCCTGATGCGTCAAATCGGGGTCACGTGCACGACATCTCGCCATGGACGATGTTGACCATGTATATTTGTATCTACTTCTACACAAGCACAGTCGCAAGGGAAAAATGGATACGTCACAGATACTGGTCCTATCGAAGCAACCTTCGAAAATTGGTGATATCAACAACCATTTTCTTCACTCAGTCGAATTGTTGAAGCTCTAACCATTGAAGGCTGGGTGCGCGTTTCAGCCTCAACGACCCCACCTTGTGATTACGAGTACTCCCCGTATATGAGAGTACTCAACTCCACACTTCGTCATAGCCTCCTCAATCTTGAAACGCAATGCACAGAAGCCCTCGACAAAGTTCCAGTCTTCTTCTTTGAAAAGCAAGACCACACAGTCACCCCAGCCTTCTCATGATGGTCAAGGTTTAGTGCACGCTTTCTTTGATTAACTCGTTCGCTTCCAAGCTAAACGGGTCTCGATTTCTACTCTACTACTAACCTTTTCTTGTCGCACAGTGTCACTTGGATTCTACTGCGACACTCATGCGTCTCGAAAGACATTGAGTTGTCTCAACCACGTCCAGCCGTCCGCATTCTCAAACCCAGCTTACTGAAGATCAATAGCGCCACCACCTGTGTGTCTGCAACTTGGAAGGACTCGCCTTTCGCAACTTCTGGGACTTCCGTCTGCAGTCGTGGGGGGCGCAGTCACGGAAATGGCTCGCCGTCGCCTTCACATTCAGGAGCCACAGACTCGTACGAGAGCGCCTTGTGACGACAATCAACCACGATACAACATCGTAACCAGCATTGAATGATTCAGTCTGTGGAGAATATGCTAAGAAAGATCAGGAAAGGATTTAGCAGGGCAAGAGAAGAATCAAGGCGAGATAGGAAGGAGCGAGGAAGAGAAGAGAAAGAACTGAACAGACGAATCGATAGGAGAGACGTGCCACAATGGAAGTAGGAGATTAGCTGGAGCAGACAATGCTGCTTCAGACTGACTATCTGGCGATGGTTCAGACACAGCACCACCACCGTTCAAAGCAGTCCTTCGATGCTAACTCCGACCCTGGCCGACAAACGAGATGAGTTGCTGACATCCCCTCGGTTGATGAGAGAGGCCTTGAAGGGCTGAGGGGCAAGAGTTTTGTTCTCGAGTGGAAGATTGCTTCCCACATATGCCAATCTGAAAATGGGATATTTGTGTCCTATGACTGATAAGTCCTCCAGACATGGCTCTCTAGCAACCACCTCGCGCCTCAAATTTCGACTCTATCGCACTGGCTGGCCGAATTCACTCGGAACAGCAGAGTTCATGTGTGTCAGGAGAGGAACTAACTGTACCTTTTCGCTGGTTAGCTATGCCATATATACCTAGAAGTGTCGTGGCATCGTCAGCGCTTAACTATTAGCCCCTCTGTGTATCTCCACCTTTCTTCTGTCCTTCAACGGGCACGGAGTGAGCTTAACAGTATGGCCACGGTGTCGCCATGCCCCAGACTTGGATAAGGCATTCGTCATCTACAGCCGGCCCACAAGGGCCATCTGGCCTTTGCGACAGATCTCCACCCGGGAGTATTATGTAGTTCGATTGAAGTCGAAACTGGCATGCGTGCATGGTCATTGCGCTGGCATTGTGCAACCTCTCAATGACGTCCTAAAGGGTTGTTCAGGCGACACAGACTGGCACAGACCGCCCTGCAATCAATCACGATGCTGTGAAATACGAGGCTGTAGTCGTGTGGCCGTGCGTTTGCCGGGGCGAGGGCTGCAGCATTCCGTGGGCTGTTTATGCATGGCTCACCAGACGCGTGATCAGGCTGTCTGTCTGCCTCGACCTTTTGCGAATAATGCCGAGCGGGGAACGCATTCCAGCTGGTCTCAGGGGCCAGATGACCATCCCCAGCAGCCGTATGAGCAGACATAGACCTGAGAAAGTGGCAGGAATCCTTCGTAGAAGGTCCTCGATTTTGACTTGGCATAAGGCTGGGGAGGCTGCAGGTGGAGCGTCGGTGAAGGTCACTAGGCGGCAAGTCGCAGGCGCAGGCGCAGGCGGCATGTTTGAGATGTTTGCTCCTTCGAAACAGCACCAGACCTTGGGATCCCGCCATGAGTGCCTGATTACTTGATCCTGGGCTCTGTTCAACCGTGACGCATTCTTTGTGCCTGCCTGGATCATTCCAAACGGCACCGCCACTCTACATACATGAGATTGTCTGTTCGTCTGGCATCCTTGGCTCTCATCCCTCTTCGAATCCCTTCCCTCCCCCGTCCCCGGCCGTCATCGAAGCCTCTGGCCACGACTTCTCGATTTTCGGCAAATTCTTGGACGCGGTCCTTCGCTACCGTCATGAACTCAGTCAGGCGCATAACAGATGATTTGGAGAAGCCAGACCTTGACGACAGATCCTACAGAGTCATCGAGCTTCCGAACAAGCTCGAGGCCCTCCTAGTCCACGATGCAGAGACCGACAAAGCCAGCGCAAGTCTCAACGTCAATGTTGGAAATTTTTCTGACGAGGAGGACATGCCCGGCATGGCTCATGCCGTAGAGCATTTGCTCTTCATGGGCACGGAGAAAGTGCGTCCACACCGCCATCTTTAACTCTCTGCTCGGGTTGCTGACCGCCAACACAGTACCCCATAGAAAACGAATACAGTTCCTACCTATCGTCGAACTCGGGGCATTCAAATGCATACACAGCCGCTACGCAGACAAACTATTTCTTCGAGTGTGCGGCGCGGCACGAGTCGAATGACAAACTTGCCAATGGTGTAGTGAATGGGACTACCAACGTCGCGAAAGATCGTATGTCGAGAGGGCCTCTGTACGGAGCCTTGGACCGGTTTGCACAATTCTTCGTGAAGCCACTCTTTCTAGAGAACACTTTGGACAGAGAGTTGCGGGCAGTGGACTCAGAGAACAAGAAGAACCTACAAAGTGACGGATGGCGTCTCTCTCAACTGGCCAAATCACTCTCAAACCCTAAACATCCATTCCATCATTTCTCAACAGGGAATCTCCAAACCCTGAGAGACGAGCCCGAGAAGAAGGGCGTCAAGATCCGCGACGAATTCATCCGTTTCTACGAGCGGCATTACTCCGCGAACAGAATGAAGCTCGTCGTTTTGGGTCGTGAGTCTCTCGATGAACTAGAAAACTGGGTAGTCGAGCTCTTTTCCGAAGTAAAGAACAAAAACTTGCCTCAGAATCGTTGGGATGATGTTGAGGTGCTGAGCAAAGATCAACTATCCACCGAGATCTACGCAAAGCCGGTCATGGAGTCTCGTTCTTTGGAGATCAGCTTCCCTTGGCAAGACGAAGAAGAGATGTTTGAGACCCAACCCGCTCGGTACATCAGTCACTTGATAGGCCACGAAGGTCCTGGCAGCATATTGGCGTATCTGAAAGACAGAGGTCTGGCCCAGACCCTGTCCGCTGGCTATCATCCTGTTTGCCCAGGATCCGCCTTTTTCGAGATCGATATCGGGTTGACGCCTGACGGGCTGAAAAATTATCACGAGATTGTCAAGATTGTTTTCCGATACATTGGAATGATGAAGGCGAGCCCCCCGGTTGCCTGGATGCACGAAGAGATGAAGAATATGGCAGAAGTGGATTTTCGGTTTCGCCAGAAGTCCCCTGCAAGTCGGTTTACCAGCGCCATCAGCTGCGTGTTGCAGAAGCCTGGCTTGCCGCGCAGCTGGCTGCTCAGCAGCACGAGTAAGTTTAGAAAATTCGATGCCCAGGCCATTGCGCAAGCTATGCAATATCTCCGGGAAGACAACTTCAGGCTCATGCTAGTGTCTCAGGAGTTCCCCGGAGACTGGGATCAGAAAGAGAAGTGGTACGGAACAGAGTACAAAGTCGAGAGAATACCTACCGACGTGCTCTCGGACATCTGCAAGGCATTGTCCGATCCGGAATCCGATAGAATTCCGGAGCTCCATCTGCCACATAAGAATGAATTCATTCCTACGAAGTTGGATGTGGAGAAGGTGGACGTCAAAGAACCTGCAAAGGCGCCAAAGCTGCTTCGAAATGACGACAAGGTACGCCTGTGGTGGAAAAAGGATGATACCTTCTGGGTGCCAAAGGCCAATTTGCACATCAAGATCCGAAACACTGTTACCTCTGCCAACATCGCGAACTTTGTCAAGACAAGCCTTTTCATCGACCTTGTCAAGGATGCACTGTCAAGCTACTCCTATGACGCCGAGATATCTGGCCTCTCTTATGGTATTGGGCCAAACATGGTTGGCTTCGACATTACCGTGCACGGCTACAACGACAAGATGGCTGTGCTCTTGGAGAAGATCTTGACCACGATGCGAGCCATGGAGATACGAACGGATCGATTTGAGATCATTAAGGAGCGTACGGCCAGGAAATATAAGAACTGGGCATATCAGCAGCCGTACTATCAGATTGGAGACTACACCAGATGGCTCTTGAACGAACGTTCATGGATGAACGATGCCTACGCCAGGGAACTTCCGCATATCACAGTAGACGACATCCGAACATTCGTCCCAGAACTCCTCCAACAGGCGCATATCGAAGTGCTCGCACACGGAAATCTCTACAAAGAAGAAGCCAAGAGAATCGGCAATCTAATTGAGTCAACGTTGAAACCACGCGCATTCCCCGCCTCGGAATGGTTGTTGCGCAGGAATATCATCCTGCCGGAAGGAAGCAATTTCGTCTACAAACACGTGTTGACTGATCCCGCCAATATCAACCATGCAATCGAGTATTATCTGGATGTCGGCCACGTCATGGATCTGGATCTGCGAGCGAAAACTCAGCTGTTCAGTCAGATGACAGATGAACCAGCTTTCGATCAATTGAGAACCAAGGAACAGCTCGGATACGTTGTATGGAGTGGAATACGCCCTGCAGCCGCTACGATGGGTTACAGGGTCCTGATTCAGAGCGAACGAGATCCTGACTACCTCGAGACGCGGATCAATGCCTTCCTGCTCAAGTTCAAATCGGACTTGGAGTCGATGTCGGACGAAGAGTTCGAGGGCCACAAACGCAGCCTTGTCAATAAACGACTGGAAAAGCTCAAAAATCTCGACTTCGAGACAGGTCGCCTGTGGGCCTACATCAGCGCGGAATATCTCAACTTCTATCAAGTGGATCGAGATGTTGCGTCAATCAGACAGCTCACCAAAGATGATATGAAGCGCTTTTATGCACAGTATATCGATCCGGAGTCTCCCAAGCGAAGAAAATTGTCAATTCATCTCGAGGCTCAAGCGTCAAGCCCAGTGCCGGAGACTTCCCCAGCGACGCAGAAGGCCCAGTTTGTGGAGCTAGTTGGCCAGATTCTAGGATCTCTCGGCATTGATGTTGGCCAAGACACATTGAAGGTTCAATTCGAGAAGGTTGACCCTTCCAGCCTGCCTGAAGTCTCGAATGCAATCAATGAATATCTTGGGAAGTCGAATTCCCCAGCGGCGAAGAGCAATGAAACCCTTCAGCAGATCAAACAAGCTCTCCCACAACTGCAGATTGCGCTCAAGATCAAGCCCGTGGAGCCATCGAAGGACGTGGCAAAGGTGGCAGCGCAAATTCCAGCCCCCATCATTATCAAGGATGTCGCCATGTGGAGAGCTGGTCTGGAAGTGACCAAGGGACCTGTCCCAGTTGAAGATGTGCACAGTTTCGAAGACCTTGAATCCAAGCTGTGAAATGGTAAGAGGTCGCAGCCTTGCCGTTAATTAGAAGAGGATTGAGGAACATGTCATCGCTATTGTCATCGCCCTGACAACAGAACATATATCGAAAGCGTTGTTGGCAAGATCGCCAGACACCTGTATAGTAGACATAGATCTGAAGATACACTTCAAATAAAAGATCAATTGACCTCGCAAAAGCTTGGATTGTTTGTCCGTATGTCAGTGTCGATTTCTGGGGCGAACGGGCTTCTGACGGGGGTGAAATTACTCTATCAGATCTCGGGCTTTGAGTGCGGGCGCGTCGCGATGTCGGCGTAAATCATTTTGTAACGCGCATGCAACCCCGGGAGAACTTCAATTCTAATTGAGCAAAAGACTCGTGGTTTTCACAAGCGTTAGGCTCTTTGCCTGTGCACGTTCTTACTCTAACTTCACCATCTGCTTTGGACGGCCTGACCACTCTCACATTCCCTCTTCCCAGACGCCAGGTCTATGTATAAGCCATGTCCACACTTACCACAACCACATTGAAATCTGCATACCCGTACGAGCCTGATCATAGCCGTTGAAGAACCTGAGACCTAACCTGCTGAAAGACCTATTTTACCACCTCCATTCACAGCCAATCAACCACCGACCATCAGGTTATACCCGCTTTCGAACTACACGTTTGGCACGAAAGAAACCCAACCGGAGGAGGATCCCTCAGTCGCAGCCCGGTTAAAGAGACTGGAAGAACACTATCAAAATTATGGCATGAGACGAACATGCGAGGGCATCTTGGTCTGTCACGAATACAACCACCCGCATGTGCTCATGCTGCAGATTGCCAACGCCTTTTTCAAACTGTGCGTCTCTCCGTGCAAGACTCTGGTGCCATGTCAACAGCGTCGGCTTGATCACTGACCAGCAACGACGTGGACTAGGCCCGGGGACTATCTTCCTCATGATGCAGACGAGATTGAAGGCTTCAAAATGCGGCTCAACGAGAGGTTGGCACCCACAAACCCGAAAGAAGGGGACACGGAATGGGAGGTGGGAGACTGTATCGCGCAATGGTTCGTTGTCTCACAACAAACCGGGATTTCTTCCAGTGATGAATACTATCCCTAACATCTCATACCCAGGTGGCGTCCCAATTACGAAACCTTTCTCTACCCATTCCTCCCGGCCCACGTCTCGCGCCCCAAAGAATTGAAGAAACTCTACCTGATTCACCTCCCGCCCAACAAGGTGCTCAGTGTGCCCAAAAACATGAAACTGCTGGCCGTCCCCCTGTTCGAGCTGTACGATAACACCGCACGCTATGGGCCGCAGTTGAGCGCCATCCCACACTACCTGTCACGGTATAGATTTGAGTTCGTCGACGAGGACGGGAATGTTTCGAGTGTCATGCCCGGTGCAGGCGCCTTACCTGGACCAGATGGAAAGATCGAAATCAAGGTCTTGGCCGAAGGAGACGTAAAGGAGGAGGTGGAGAATGGCCATTGAGCGGGAGGCTCTATTTGGCAGATACATTCCTCGTCGCTTCGAATGAATGGCTGCGAGTTCAAAGAGCTGGGCCACAATCAGAACACACTCGAGAAACGGCGCTTTAGACAGCCAGGATAGGCAGCCTCGACACTGTGGCAGCCCTGTCATGGCAAGGCACGTTGCAAGACTGCAAGGCGGGAGTGCCATGACTGGGATGAGAACATGCCCGTAGGTGGCTTGCAGATTTAAAGGCACGGGTTGGAATCAGCTTCAGTCGTTGCGGCGCAGAATGCACGCAGACCCTGAGGTTCGCTCACAAAGTGGGACAGGGAGAGATTCTCTTCCGAACGTTGCGTGGGCGGGTAAGGTTTGGAACGTCTCTCCATAGTCCCCAAGTACCTCGTAGAGAGGGAGGACTTCAACGTGGTGAGCTTGTGCTCACGTGCCTAGATCCGCGGCTCAAATTGACGTGGCGGGCCAGATTGCGCCTTGCGCTTCCTGCCACCCACTTCATTTTTCTCCATTCTCCAATTCGCTTGGCGGGCGAAATTGCGATATAGCCATCTGTCCGTTTGTCTCTTCACAAGAGGTCCCTCGATTCAAGATCCCGCTCCGCTGCCTCCATTGACCAAGACAGTGATTGCGATCACTCCTCACTGTGCTTCCACGCAACTCATCCCATACCGCCCACCATGAATTTCATGAATCCTCAAGTGTACAGATCTCACACCCGGTTAAATGCTAGACTCGTGACTGACGGTTTGCAGCACCAACCTGGTGATCATCCTTGGGATGATGCAGGTCTCGAAGCGGATACCCTTTGATGACCCTCAAGTTCTCATGGGTGTCCGGATCCTCTACATTGTGTCCAACTTGATCATCTTCGGTCTCTACTACTATATCGGCATGAAGATAAAGGCGAAGCGAGGTACGCGGAAGAAAGGTGGCCATGCTGAAATCATGTGGACTGACAATAACATGTAGACCTCACCACACTGAAATACGTCGAGCCTGCGCCTATGGGCTCGGGCGAGGAGCCCAAACTCGTCACCACCACCATCCAAGAGTATGATCAAAACCAGCTCGCGTCCGCCTACAAGGGCCAGTTGATGGGCATCGGCATGATGGCGTTCATGCACTTGTACCTCAAATACACCAACCCACTCCTCATCCAGTCCATTATCCCTCTGAAGGGTGCCTTTGAGTCGAACTTGGTCAAGGTCCACGTCTTTGGCAAGCCTGCGGTGGCTGAGTTGAAGCGGCCATGGAAAGCCTCCGGGGGCATGATGGGTATGGGGCAGGGCGAGACAAAGAGTGATAAAGCTAGCATCGAGGCTGCTGAACGCGCAGGTCGGGGCGGAGCGAAGGAAGAGTAGCGGCACCATGAGTCGGGGGAAAAATGGCCCACGGCTCGCCACCCGGGTTGAGGGAATGGATAGATACGCCTTTGGTTCTGGCAAGGACATTAGAACAAACAATCTATGCTCACCGTCTGTAATGATGTAGGTATGATGGCCAGCTCTTGCGTATGCGCTGTTTTCTCATTTCATGAACACGGCATGTGTTAGATGATCTGCTAAGCTCCAGAAAATTTCGAGTTGCTCTTGTAATTATCCTGCTGCATTGTCCTCATGTGGACGAAAAAGAGCGCGGCTGCGACGGAGGGATTCGCGGATCAATACGATAATCCGAAGCCAGTGCCGCATAGCCAGAACAGAGCAGACAGGCGATTGGATGACACAGGCTGTGTCTGGTCGTTGCTGCTTTTTCTGCATCAGACCAGGTATGTGATAATCAGCTGTGGGTTGAGTCATGCCTGGCGCATATGCCTCTGAAAGCTTTCTCACTGGCGATCCTGTGATCTGCGGGAACAGACCCTGGGCCTGGAATCGACCATCAGGATGGAGTATAAGTGTCGGAGACCGTAGAAGTTTTGGCTGGGGGGAACAGAAGCAAGCAACAGCTAGAGACAATTTTCGTCCAAACCAGCAGCCTTTCCACACAGAGAAGCGCCGTTTATTTATCGTCCTCTGACGGAAGCAGCACTGAGAGTATCAGGTAAGTTCTCGGAGCCATTTTCGTCGCCCCCCCTCCCCCCGGAAAGGGTCCTCGATAGGGAGCCCGGAAGCCCCTGCCTGACTGTCGTCGGCCAAGAAGACCCGAGAGCTCCAGAGGACCAGCTTTGCCCCTCAACGTCAACACTGCCCCACCATTATTCACCTGTCACTCAACTCACCACTTGGTTTCGCAGGGACAACAAAAAGCTTTCCACATCCTCCCGTCACACCACCCCGTTCTTTCTTCGAGTTATACCAAGTTCCTCTATCTGACGACCTTTGGAATCCGGACATCCGCATCGTTATTTAAATTTCATGTGAGTTGCTCGCAGTCCTCTCCCGTTCAGTGTTTTGCGTTGGCCTCGTCTTCCCTTCGTTGGAAGCTGCCATTGATATTGTTCCCAGCGACTGACTTTGTGCAAATTTTCTCCTCTCAGCAACCTACACACCTCGACGACATTATGGTTACTCAAGTCGGAATCAACGGCTTCGGCCGTATTGGCAGAATCGTAAGTCGCAGCCAGCACTGTCACTGTCGAAATCAGCTAACGGGCAAGCTAGGTCTTCAGAAATGCGTGAGTCTCTTCTCAACACACTCCATGGGCATGCGAAAAGTTTCCTCTCCCTCTAACTGCAGCACTCCCAGTATCGAGCACGATGATGTCCACGTTGTCGCTGTTAACGATCCCTTCATTGAGCCCAAGTACGCTGTATGTACCCTCCCTTACCCTCCCAGATTTCGGATGCGTCGTTAACATCCAGCTAGGCATACATGCTCAAATATGACAGCACGCACGGTGTCTTCAAGGGCACGATCGAGGTCCAGGGCGACGCTCTGATCGTCAACGGCAAGAAGGTTACGTTCTACATGAAGAGAGACCCGGCCGAGATCCCGTGGTCGGAGACTGGTGCTGAATACATTGTTGAGTCGACCGGTGTCTTCACAACCACAGAAAAGGCCTCGGCCCACTTGAAGGGTGGTGCGAAGAAGGTCGTCATCTCTGCTCCCTCTGCCGATGCTCCCATGTTCGTCATGGGCGTCAACCAGGAGACCTACAAGTCCGACATCCCCGTAATTTCCAATGCCTCCTGTACGACCAACTGCCTGGCACCTCTCGCCAAGGTCATCAACGACAAGTTCGGCATGAAGGAAGGTCTCATGACCACCATTCACTCATACACCGCTACCCAGAAGACCGTCGATGGACCCTCGGGCAAGGATTGGCGAGGTGGCCGTGCCGCGGCTACAAACATCATCCCCAGCAGCACGGGTGCCGCCAAGGCTGTGGGCAAGGTTATTCCATCTCTTAATGGCAAACTCACTGGCATGTCCATGCGTGTGCCGACCTCCAATGTGTCCGTGGTGGATCTCACTTGCGTGCTGGAGAAGCCTGCCACCTACGATGAAATCAAGCAAGCGGTGAAGGACGCCGCCAACGGCCCTCTCAAAGGTAAGCCTACATGACCTCCATTCCACCCGCCTTCTTTCAGAGCGTCTGACAGAGAACAGGTATCATGGGCTACTCCGAGGATGACCTCGTCTCCAGTGACTTGAACGGCGACACCCACTCTTCCATCTTCGATGCCAAGGCCGGTATCTCCCTCAATGACCACTTCGTCAAGCTCGTCTCCTGGTACGACAACGAGTGGGGATATTCCCGACGTGTCATCGATCTTTTGGGTGAGTGCTTTATCCGATCGGGAAGATTCGGGATACGGTAAACTGACATGGAGATCTAGCGTACATTGCCAAGGTTGATGCAGGCAAGGCCTAAAAGACAGGTCCTGAGACCAACTGAGTCTTTTAGCAGACGCCACCAATTCTTCCCCAAACGAGGCTTCGGAATTCGAGGTTAGTGTCGCAGGAGGTAAAAAGAAGATTGGGCCAAAGACGGGACGAAGCGCAACATAGATCAAGTCTCCCCTGGTGATATGCTTTGCATGGAAGCACCGATACGTATCCTTACCACGACCTAGTTGAGATAGGAAATACGAGTCTCTCTGTATTGACACCAAGAACAAGTATTATCATTCTATGGATTGGTGTATTCTAAACAGCCCGTACTGAAGGCTCGCCACGTGACCAGCACCTCGCTGTGCCAATCACGTGAAAGACCTCTTGGCACTCCCTGGGCGCGCTTCTTCTGAAACGTTCCGTCTCTGATGTATTAATTGCTACCGGCAAACGTGACAAGATCAACAGACGGGCTCCTGGGTCATTTACGATCTTTGCCTGGGGTCTTTTCATTTTTCTGATCAAAGCTCACGACGTTCCACTCGGTGAACGAAGGGGCTCAAGCACCGGCTTAGGTATGTGAATAACAAGTCAAGAGCGGCTCGGTATAATGTACCAAACCGCTATACCAAGTCCTCTTATGCTCTGGCCTCAATTTACATCCATAGGAGGCGTACTTCAGTTGCTGACGTTCTCCTTCCAAGGCGACATAGAGAGGTCTTTTCTGAGCCTGAAGTGACTCGATAAACTTTCATTCGCCGGCGTGGCTTTTATAAACACTATGCGACCTCTTTAACCCGTCACTAGCTTACCTTCTAAGCTCACGGGAGTCTTTGAACTCTGCCGACAAGTTGGTCTCTCGAGATGGCTCAGATACCACCACCAGGCCAGGAAAGATTTCATTCTGCGCATGGCGCAGCGTTAGCCAACGCCATTCCACAACTACAGGAGCCAAACTCACTGTCAGGTGACACGTCCATGAGGGAAACCCCCGATGTGTCTGCAGAAATCGGCAGCCGCTTACACATCGAGAGTCCATCGGACGAAGATGACGACGAAGACAGCTTGCTTTCTGACACGTCTTCCGAAGCCCTCGAGCCGCTCACACCATCCAAACGGGGTCTGCCGATTGCCAAGCTTCCCACCGGCCTCTGCTACGATGAACGTATGCGATATCATACCGAAGTGGCAGCAATGAGCGGCGACAATGTGCACCCCGAAGACCCCAGACGGATATACTACATCTACAAAGAACTCTGTGAGGCTGGATTGGTTGATGACAAGAAGTACCCGCCTGTGGTAGAGATGCCCTTGTTTCGAATTAATGCCCGTGAAGCTACGGAGGAAGAGTGTCTGTTGGTTCACACGAAGAAGCAGTATGAAGAGATCAAGGAAACCGCTGGTAGGTGCCTTTGACGAAACCGAGCGACCACCCAAGAAGTTCTGAGCCGAGCTAATTCTTCGGGAACCGCCTTACAGGCTTGAGCGACGAAGAGCTCATCGAGCGTTCGGAGCGGTACGATATGGATTCCGTCTACTTCAACCAGCTGTCGTTCTTCTCTGCCAGTCTATCGACAGGCGCAGCGATTGAGACATGCCGAGCAGTAATGTCTCGAAAGGTAAAGAACGCTATCGCCGTCATCCGCCCCCCTGGTCATCATGCCGAGATCAAAAGGCCTATGGGCTTTTGCCTCTTCAACAATGTCTCTGTTGCTTCTCGAGTTTGTCAGAATGATTTTGGGGAGGAATGCAGGAAAATCTTGATTGTAGATTGGTCAGTTGTCTCTCGTGTAGGGGTGGGCTCGACTATAAAGCTAACACAAAGAATCTCAGGGATGTCCACCACGGTCAGCCAAGGCGCTCTTTGGGGATGTGCCCAGTCCGACTGACATGTTTTAGGCAATGGCTGCCAACAAGCTTTCTATGAGGACCCCAACGTTCTCTACATATCTTTGCATGTCCATATGGACGGAACGTTCTATCCCACGGGCGACGAAGGTGACATGTACCACTGTGGGGTTGGCGCTGGCGAGGGAAAGTAAGTTCAATGAGCCTCCGCAGTCCTTCTTTGGCAAAAACTTACGATGCGGAAGAAATGTCAATATTCCCTGGCCCGTGAAAGGTATGGGTGATGGTGATTACATGTACGCATTTCAAAACGTCGTCATGCCTATTGCCAATGAATTCGACCCCGACTTTGTCATCGTCGCCTCGGGCTTCGACGCCGCCGCTGGGGATGAACTGGGTGGTTGCTTCGTCTCGCCACCGTGCTATGCGCATATGACGCACATGCTTATGTCCCTTGCTGGAGGGAGAATTGCGGTGTGTTTGGAAGGGGGTTACAACTTCAGGGCTATCTCGAAATCCGCTCTCGCGGTCACGCGTACCCTGATGGGTGAACCCCCTGATCGCCTGCACGCTACGGCGGCCACACAGGCTGGGCTGGAGACAGTGGCCCAGGTTCGAAATATCCAATCGAAGTATTGGAGAAGTATTTATCCTAAGGAACCTGTCGGCGGAATATTCGGCGGAGAGAGATTGCATGGTAAGACCTCAGCCTAGGATGCGCTCTCTCCCTTCTTCCGCCTCGTTCTTGCAGACAAGCTCACTCCTTTCTTCTCCAACTAGACATCATCCGCCAATATCAGGCAGCGCACCTCTATGACCAATACAAGTTTACGCAACTGCATATCTATCGCAACACAGTGTCAAAATCCTTTGACCAGCAGGTCCTCGCAACGTGAGCTTCATTTTCTCTGGAGCAGATTCTGGATCCCTGGCTGATCTGGAAAACAGACCCAATTATGAGCGCAAGAAAGCTTTGTTGATCATATTCCATGACTCGTAAGTTTGCACGGTACGCCTAGACTGGGCCAAACGGGGAAGCTGACAGGACCTGGTGTAGACCCGATCTTCTCGGTGGGAACAATGGTCTATCCACGCAACAAAAACTGCATGACACATGGCTCGTACGTACCCTTTTACTACTCTTTTTAGCCTTTGCTTTTCCTTTCCTTCCCTTCTCAATCCGATAATGAATTCTTCCAACTTGCTCACACATGCAAAGGTTGACGGCGCACAGTCGTACGTCCACTGGGCGGTTTCCTCCGATTTGGGTGTTATCGACGTCAATATTCCCGAATTCATCACTGTTTCTCAGCCTGATGACAAATCGGAGTATTTCTCCCCTAACAATCCATATGGATCTTTTACAGACGTTGAATACGCGTCCACAATGACAGACAGTGCCAGAAAAGAAGGCGAGAAACTCGCATTGTATCTCTGGGAGAACTACATCGAGCCGTACGACTTCCCCTGGGGAATCATCCTTATGGGCGCTGGCAACGCGTTCCACGCCATCGCGAAGCTGGTGTCAGAGAACCCGCGCGTCTACCCCAAGCTAGTGGGGATCTTGTGTTTCATATCCACGCAGCCGATCCGACCCATAAGCAATCCAAGTGGGCATCACTGGGTGAGTCAGTGGTACCGCGAAAATTCGTTGGTGTTCATCAGCGGCCGGCACAGCTTGTGGAAAAAGGAAATGAAAACGAGCAAGCGGTACGGACGGCTGATCAAGAGTGACGGAGAGGTTCTGAACCAGATCATGATCCTGCACAGAGACGAGGCCTACGAGTGGATGGTGGACAAAATCAAGCAGCGCCGGGACGAGATGCGAGGCAGTTCTTCGGAGTTAGAGAACACAGAGGACGATTACATGATGGCAGGGGCGCTCCAGGACGGAGATGCAGACCAGATGGGGAGGGAGAAGGGGAAGGGAAAGGAGAGCGATGCCGACGAGCCCCCCACGATGAAAGCCGAGCGTGATGCCCCTTCGCGAGCCACGCAGGCTGGCGGATCGGGACGACTGAGCGTCAGCGCGGTGGGCAACGGAGTCGCCGGTGGGTTCTTGAACACTGCGGTGGCAGAAACAGGTCACACACGCTCAGCGTCTGCCGCTGACATCAAGGACGTGTATATGGCGTTGGGGCCGTGAGGGTGGGTGGGAGTGTCCGTGATGGGCGTTCTGCGCGCCTCATCCTCCCGCTGGATGTAGACGGGCAGGGCAGGGCGATGTCAAATGTGGCTCGGAGGGGTAAACAACAGTGGGAACCCTATGTATGTGACGGCGGCTCAGCTCCCGGCCCCCAAGCCGAGGTGGTCAACAAGCGACCTTGGAAAGAGAGGGAGAGGGAGAGGGAGAGGAACAGGAACAGGAACAGGGACAGGGACAGGGAGGCAGGGGTTCGTGGGATATGGAAGGATCACTGTCTGGGCGCGTCAGTGTGTAGATTAGAAGAGCGCGGAAGTCTCAACCTGGGGTTTACATGCTTTACGTACTACATACACTCAGTGTTTAAGCTGATATGACACAAATGCTCTGTGAAGAAGACACCTTTGCTGCATGCATTTCCATTAGACGTCGTATTGATCTGAAAGGTCTCGGTCTCGACTGTCCAACTGCCCAAGTAGCTCATCATATTCATCTATCTGTTTCATAACTATCTAGGGTCCCGTCCTAGCAAGGGGGAAAAAGCTCATGTCTATATGGTAAGCAGATAGGTAACCAGGCACTGCTGCTTGCTTGTCCCAGCTCGTGGAGCGTCACATAATGAAAGCTTCTGTTTGCCTGGTAGCCTTCGAATTCGACTCAGCTGTCCTTCTCAAAAGCCTGGGCCATGTTTGTTCGAGAATATGCAGTGTTCACCTCACGCGCATAGAAGCGAGTACCATCTCCAACCGACGACTCCCCCAATCCTTCCCCTTGTCTTGGTGCGTCGAAAACGAGGCGTTCGCGTGCATGGTGGTGTTTCTGGTCTGCGTCAAGTCAGCTGCTGTGCTGGCCAGGGGTCCGTCTCGGAATCCAGACTTGCAATGCCGGGACTGTGTCTCCTCGCGCTACCCCATGAGAGATGCCAGTTAATTCCACGACAGGCTAATTCCTGATTTGGGTCTCGCATAACGAGATAGTGTACGGCGACGCAATGTTCCTATCTTCCTGTACCACCCGGACGGCTCCTCAGATCGAGACTCAGTATCAGTGTCACTCGGTGTCGATCTTTTACCGCGAGACCCCACGTTCGGTGACCCGCTTACGCGCCGGCCAGGTCTGATGATATTGTCTTCGCTGTCGCTGTCAAGAACCACATTGGGCCCACGCTCGTAATCTTCTTTGAAGTTTCCGATCTTGTCGCAGTCGCTCTCGTGCTTTCGAGAATTGCCTTCGCTTTCATCCACTCCGTCGACAATTTGCTCGCAGATCAATGCTTCCTTAGAGGACAGGATGCGCTGCATCAGTTCTTGGAACTCATCTGGAGTGATGCCTGTGATTCTTTGATACATCTCGCTTTGAATGTCCCTGATCATGGTTGGGGTTGCCGTGTCTTCAGCCGCCCTAACGATTTTTTGTTCAAAGGCGTGGTTGCTTATTGCATGGATTGCAATATCTTCGATCTCTGAAGGACTCATGTCAAGTATTTCAGCTTGACGAGCGACTTCGGCGGTTTGATTTTCAAAATCACTTTCCAGCTCCTTCTCCAAATGCGCAACTTCGGTCTTGCGACCACGGATAGATGCTTCTACCATGGTGATCTCTTTTTTCAACTGGCGGACAGACCTGCCCATGTGAAGGAAGTCCTTTTCCTTGGACGTGAACTCAGCTTGAGCTTGCCTGATTTTCTTCTCGATCTCATCAAGACTCTTTTTCTCTGCTAGAAGGGTTTGCTCTTCCCACATCAGAGTTTGGCGCAGTCTGGATTCACGATCACGGCTGTCACCAAGCTCCTTCTTTATCTGCTTCAGTTTGTTACGGACGACATCTTTCTCTCGACGATTCCTCTCGAGCCGAGACTGGATGTAATGTGCCCGTCGTTCAGAGGCTGGAGTACCTACTGTCGTCGATGGCACGCTGGTCGTCGATGGCACGCTGGTCGTCGATGGCACGCTGGTCGTCGATGGCACGTTGGTCGTTGATGTAAGGGGAGGCAACGTGGAAACAGTCGCAGTCATGTCCAGCACATCTGAAGTGCTATTCATTTTGAGATTCTTTCAGAGGGTCTGACCGATCAAAGAGGAAGTTTAACGATCAAGAAGACCAGGGCCGTCTTGACAGACAGGCACTTATCTCCTCAAGGATGTTAGCATGAACAAGAACATCAGGGTGTGATACAGTCAGAAGCATGAAAAATGAGTGACCCTCTGAGTCAATTGAAATCTCATGAGTAGAGTTGACAGAGAACTCAAAGCGAGATAAGAGTTCAACCTCGAAAGCATCCCATCTGCGAAGCTCTTCTGACCCGGAAAGAGCGTCAATCTTTTTGAGAAGTGACTGAAGACTTATATGTCAGCAGACAACCATGGCTCTTGGGGAAGCCGCTGAGCGCCAGAAGACAGCTGAGAGTCGTACCTGAATGTCTATGCCAGACCCGAGACCTCACATGTGGTTCAATCGATGCTCTGGTTGCAGAGGTTTCTGGCACACCCCTGTGTAGCACTCTCCACTTGTCGACAATTCAATGCATATATTTTAGTCTGTCGCATTTTCTGTCAGCACTTCAGATGAAGTCAACCGGTGCCTGACTACATGACTATCGGTTTACCATGTTTTCATACTTAACTGGGTGCTTTGATGATGATTGCAATCCGTAGGCCGTAGAAACGAACCGAGAAAAAGCCTCGAATGCAAATCGTAGGAGAAAGGTTTCGCTTCCCTTGAAGGCGCCACAAATGTGGATGACACCTTCGAGGCGGAATTTTTGCTCTTTGAACTTTTCGTATGGGGGTGTTTTCGTGGTTGTGATTCTGATTTTTTGGGTCGAGTTGAACCGGGGATATCGTGGGAAACCTTTGGTGAGCAGGATGCTCCTCTTGGCTGTATCGCGTGCAAATTCATCCTATACCGTCAAGTCCCATATCCTCAGCAGTGGCCTAGCCTCATTGCGAAGGCTCAATACAACCAACGCTCCCTGGCTCATTAGGTTCTGGACTCAACTCCCAACATTACGGGCCCAAGTGTGTGAGAGCATTAGCAATAAGGTCAAATCAGCGACTTGAGAGAAGTACGGAGACTGAGCAATCTGGTCTCTTTGTGTCAAGCAGGGAAAGGAGGAAGGAAGTCGCCGGAATAAACACTGTTTGCTCCAACCCTAAGAAGTTGTTTATCCGCAACGAGAAGATCCGCCTTCCTCATATCCTGCATGTTCAATTTTCCTACTTAGAGGTCCATGAAGGCAGGCCTGCTGAGCTGTTGTGATTTTTTCTGTTTGGCGCACTGAAGAATTGCCATCAAACTTCGCTGTTGTTGCCGATCATGTCGCTTTGCAAACAACAATGTCGTCTGGGAGTCCAACACGAGGCTGAAGAAGGCTGAATAGGGGGCGGAGACTGTTGCCGGACAAGGATCAACGTTGTCCCGAAGACTTATTGACATTCATATTTTTGGGGGATGCGACTCTTCCTCGAAAAACATTCATATCCAGACTTCTTTCCCATATCTCTGGATATACACCAGGCCTGTCTGGTGTCAAGATGCACCGATCGATGGTGCGATGCACGTCCTGTCGATTTTCCGTCCTGGAGGCATTCACCTCCCTCGCTGGGGTTTCAATCGCAGTTAAAGCCGCTCCTCCTCCACGACTTCCCCGACCATCAAGCCAACCAACAAGGAGATTTACTCGCTTGGCACCTTTACGAGAGTCCGAGGGTCGGCTTGCATCAGAACCCTCGTCGGCACCCCCTACCGCAACCTCTGCTGTGCCGTGGTACCTGCAAATCGAAGATCCTACTCCGCCCTCGCCTATATCGCCTCTGCTCGCTTTACAGGAAATCCCGCCCTTACCACATGATCCCCCACCCATCCTCTCACCTGTCCTTACCCACCTGTCTACGCAAATCGGGCTCGACAACCTCACCCTTCTGGACCTCCGGCACCTGGACCCGCCACCCGCGCTGGGTTCTAATCTCCTCATGATCATTGGCACTGCACGATCCGTCAAACATCTAAATGTGTCCGCCGATAGATTTTGCCGTTGGGCGAGGAAAGAGTACAAATTGAGGCCCTACGCGGACGGGTTGCTGGGGAGGAACGAGTTGAAGTTGAAGCTGAGGCGGAAGGCGAGGAAGATGAAGCTGGCACAGAGCGTGGGAAATACGGTCGCTATGAAGGACGCCGATGACGGAATCACCACGGGGTGGATATGCGTAAATATGGGACCGATTGATGATGCGGTGCTGCCTGAAATGCAGGAAGCCGCCGAAGCTCGTATGGGAATAGAGGCTGAAGAGGGACAGCATGCCTCCTCCGCTTCTCCCACCAACGCCACCATGACACGAAAGATGCAGGAGACACTCGCAGAGGATGAAGAGGAGGAATACCACAATCCCGCAGAGGAATACGTGGGCTTCGGCTCGCGTACAGACTCTCCACGTATCGTGGTGCAAATGTTTACCGAAGACAAGCGGGTCGAGATGGATTTGGAAGGCCTATGGGATGTGCGGAACACGAGACGCGCACAGAGAGAGGAGAAGGCCAACGTCGAAGCCGAGGCTACAGTAGGACGGTTGCAGCAGGAGCAACAAGGGAGAGCAGGTGGCGTCCAAGTCGATTTATGAGCATAAAGCGTGTATATAAGGATGACGGGCAAGCTATGGTGAGAGGGCAAGAGAAAAAGAAGATCTAGGTTCTGGGACATTCAGAGCTGAACGAAGCCCAGTAGGCCTTTGGTCAAGCATAACATTTGGGTTCAATGTGTCCAGCTGGACCAAACTGATCGTCATGTCTCATTGCCGTTGTCATGAAAGCCGTTCTGATGGCTCTTAACGAGTCTATGTCATTCATGTCCTGTCCTCCCGTATCCTATGAGCTCCTGTTGTCCTAGCTAGCCAAGTAATGCACAATACTGTCGGTATGCTGCAACATCACACCATATCATTCACGCAAAGCTCGGTCCGAGCATGATGACGCTGAATCGCAGCTCGCCACCGCCCGCTTCTTCCTCCCTCTTCAAGAAAGCCCTGACGCCCAGCTCCTGGCCCTGTTCGCTCAACACATCGTGATCGGGGCCCAGGTAGCCTCTCTTTAACGGACCCTTCCTGGACCCGTCCATCTCCCACAAGTAACCATCTTTGTCCTTGATGAACGCGACGAAGTGGAGGTCGACGTTCGCTTCGGCCTCGGGGGCTTCTGTGTCGCCCTGCGCCGCGGCCGTGGCGTGCGCTGCTTCGAGGGTGGGGCTGTTGTAGAGATATTCTGCGCGTTCGGCGGGCTTGAGCGGGATGGCCTCCTTGAGCAGTTTCTCCAGGTCGCTGCCGGGGACGATTTCGGACCGGGCCTCGCCGTTGGTGATGGCGTGAAGCAATCCGATCAACCCGCACGCGTTGCCGATCGTCTGCTTGAACCAGACCACGGGCTCTTGGTCGCCGGACCCGGTGTACTCCTCGCGCGACGAGTCCTCTTCAGCGCGAAACTTCTCGTACGTGCGCGTGACGGGGAAGACCAGCAGCAGGGCGAGGGCCGGGCGGGGGAGGAATTCTAGCAAAGATGGTTCGGTGAGGGAGTACACGTCGTGGAATTGGAGGGAGGGAGATAGGCCGAGTTCGTGCACGAGGTTGGTCATCACCTCCGGGTTGTTCTCTGGGGACACCGCAATTCGTTAGTGGGGGGGTTTGTTGTCAGGGCATTTATTTATTCGGCCGGTGTTTGAGATGGGACGAGGGACTGTTTACCGAGAGGGACAAACATCTTTTTCTTTGCCGCTTCCGTCATTTTGGTTGCAGTCGTAGTGGTTCTTTTCACAGGGGCGTTTACAAGATAAGGGAGAGAACAAGAATGAATGAGTAGTGAGTTAGTGAGTTTGTGAGTGAGTGACTGAGGCTCACAGACAAATATCAGGCAATTGCCAATTGCGTCAATGGCGGGGAGAGATGCAGGCACCGCGAGGTTCTCATTGGTGGAAGTGATCAGCCTTGCGCAAGTCACTGCAAGGCTGAGAATGCCCAGTTGAATACAGTGTGAGCGGTCTTGTAGAGTTGCTCTCAAAGGGGTGTTCTAAAATGCTACTTCATCTCGTCCATAAACATCCCATTGGCTTTCGTGTTGAAACTTCAACACCTCGTCGCCCCACGACCACCACCCGGCGGTCAGACTTCTTGCAAAAAGTTCCAGGGCGCTGTACTTTGCCGGTAGCTGCTGTTCGAACAGTACCTTCAGACACGGTTTCCGCGAGTGCAAGTCCGGAACGGCGGCAATGACCTTTCGAACAGGATCTTCAAGAGGCTGACCTGTCCGAAATAACAGCAGGATCTCGTATGGCCTCCGCCAGACTCCGTCAATCTGGCTGACAGGGACACCTTGGGCAGTGATCTTGATCCAAACCCATTCCTCATGGAGATGGAGACCGAGTGCTTGGATAGTCTGCAACACTTTAGCGCGTATGGAGGATCTGTTAGTGATCCAAATGGCCAGGAGGCCTTCCGGGGCAAGAAAATCCCGGGCAATCCGCCCTGCTGGCAGAAATGGATCCTGATCCTGGGCTTCCGACGTCCTATAGGCATTAGAGTTGCGGACTGAGCGATTGGGCCAGGGGGGATCCATCAGGATGAGGTCAAGGGCCATTTTCTCAGGTGATTCTTTTCGGCGGGCGGAGAGAAAGGCAGGGATCCCTTGTTTGAGGCTTGCCAAAATGAAGGCAGCCCCCGCAGGAACCATAAAGTCCCCAGCTTCACCAACTTCAACTATCGCAGTGTCTGAACGGATGTTGTAGACGATGCTACCCTGCAGATCGCTAAGAGAGCGAAACTTGTTGCGCCTTTCGGTGGTTGACAGAACCACAGGCACTGCTGTGGAGAAACGGTCAATGCTCACGGGCCACTTTGAAATGCTTGTTGTCGCTGGTGATGGAAACGCCGAGTCAGCATGTGAGGTCAAAGCGTGGCGTGGATGGCACCAAACGCTGCCCTGGCCATGTAATTGTGTCCGAATCTCAAGCAATGCAGCACGAATCTCCCTTTGCACGGACTCATGATAGAGCTGCTCGTCGACCGGGGTCGCGTTGAGCACAGCCTCTCGCTTCACGCCCTTGGGTTCGGTGCTAGGGTAGGGGATTTGCAGAGCTAGCGATGATCGGAGCGCGTAAGGAGCTTGTTGGGCCTCGCGAATAGATTGAGGGATGTCGATCAGGACAACAGTCGCGGGTTGGTTGCGGTAAAGGATCGTCCCCGACATAATGGGCGTCCAGGTGAAACAACAACGGAATCGTGTTCCACATCGTGGGGAGCTCAGCACGGCGGAGTATTTAGGGCACCCATGAGCGTGTGTGTGCTTCGGGTCGGGTATTTAGGACACGGACAAGGTTGACACGTTGAAGAGAAGGACGGAGAGCTGGAGACATGTGACTCAGTACAAAACCCAGTTTGCAGTTGCCAGACACGCTAGCCTCCTTTTGGAATGTGTATAGAAGGGGTTCATGGCATGTGGCTTTTTCTCTTCTCCCTCTTTCCTCTTCCCTCTCCCAGCGGAAGACCCGAAGCAAACTCAGACCGTCATCCAGTTCTCGCACAGATCACTGAGATGTCATTGCACCTCATGACGGCCATCGCCGAACATCCTGATGACGGAGCTTGACTCTATGGCCCAATTATTGGGCCAGTTATCCGGCCTGTTACCCGGCTGCCATTCCCTTCTTGTTCATCCGAAGTTTGGCAGATGCTTCACAACAACATTCCTGACGGTGGGTCTGAACTCTCTACTCACAGGATGCAGGGACTTTTGCAGGATCGTCCCCTAGGTCTCCTTTTCAGTTGGTGTTGATCATTTGGCTCGCTCTCTCGTGTGCATCCCTCTCGACGCGCATTACAAGAACCCATATTCACGGTACCTGCCAGTGTCTGGTCTGTTTGGTCGTCTTTCACTACTGGTCTTGTCTTCTACAGAGAGAGCACACCCTCCATTTTGTGACTTTTTGAGCAAAGCATGTTACGAGTGATGACGGGTTTTGGGGATTTTTGGTGATCTTAACAACAATTCCTCTCATGGTTCGACTTTCTCCACTGGAGCGAGTATCAGACATTCTCGATCCCAGTATCAGATCACACAATTTGACATGGCGGGACAGCACCGCCAACATGGGCACACCGGGGGGGAGTGCCAACGGTGCGTTAAGCGATGAACAAAATCAAGCCATTCTGATTTCTGCGCTGGCATGCGCTTCCCTGAGTTTGGTCGTGGTCCTGGTTACGTTACGATGGTTCCTCATCATGCGGAGGAGCTTCCGGCATCGCCTGGTTTTGTATCTCATCATCAGCGACACATTCAAAGCGGTTTGGTACTTCGTCTTTCCAACCGTGGTGTTCGTTAAAGGACCGGTCAAAAGCAATTCGAATTTCTGTCAAGCCAGCGGGTTCATGCTTGTGATTGCGATCGAGGCTTCCGACATGGCCATTCTCATCATTGCCCTGCATTCCATCCTCTACATTCTCAGACCGAGTAGCAAATTGGGGGAGGGAGGACTGTATCGATATCGCCGTTGGACTTATCTCATGTGGCTTGGTCCGCCGGTGTTGGCAGCATCATTGGCGTTCCTTCATGACAACAATGCCTATATTACAGCCGGTACCTTCTGCTACCTTCCCAAACGGCCCTTCTGGTATCGACTGGCCCTGTCATGGGTTCCCCGATATCTCATCATAGCCATAATCCTGCTCATGTATATCTGGATTTACATCTACGTCCACATCAAATTCCGGGGGTTTGATAACCTCGGCGCCACGAATTCCTCCTACGGTTCTGGGTTGAGACAACGATCGGACCATTCGACCCGGTGTCTCGATACCGAGAACCGGCCAGCGCGCCTCCCCTCCCAAGCCTCGATGTTGCAGACCCAGAATCCCATCGTCGGGGCGGCTGTGGCACCTGAAGAACGTCAGCCTTGGGACGACATGAACTTTATTACCTCGAAGCCGCTCCAGAGCATCGCGATTGAAAGTCGTCGGGGAAGCGAAGCGAGGAACAAGTTGGCGCGGGGGAGCGAGTGGTCTGGTGAAACCCACATCCCTCCGGATCATGCTGTTGAACCACCATCCTCGACAACCCCTGAGGTGCAGAATAGGTCAGCAGTCCCGCGATCTCTGTCCCTGACGAAGGACCAGATTATGGGAATGTCCGTTGCCTGCCCACTGACACCGACCACCAACTCGACCGGAGTCAATGACCCCCTCAAGAAGACCAGGTTGGCGATACGCAAGCAGCTGCGGTATTTGTTCATCTATCCGCTTATCTACATCATCATGTGGAGTTTTCCGTTCGCAGCTCACGCCCTCAACTACAGTAACTACTACGTTGGGCATCCTATCTTCTGGCTGTCTTTGGTGCAGACCGTCATGCTGAGTCTGCAGGCCGGCGTGGACAGCGTCCTGTTCTCCTGGACCGAAAAGCCGTGGAGACGGGTTGACCCGAGTTCCAAATTTTCCATCGCTTTCCTGCGACAGCGCAGCAAGGCATTGCTGGAACGTCGTGGCCGAGGACAGCAGGCTTCGCGTGCCGCAGACGAAGGAGCGGTGCCGGAACCTGCAGCAAGACAGAACCCACACTGGTGGGAGGCTGAGGGCCGACGGCGCAACGACAGTGTCTGGCTTGGAACGAATAGGCTGTCCGACTTTTTCTCCCCCATCACCAGCCGAGCGCGGTCACGAAGCCCAGATAAGAACAGAAGAAGCTACCATGCACGGACACGGAGTCCTGAACTATTTGTGCCCAGGCTTCAGACCATCTTTCCGGGAAAACTTCACGTTTCCAAAAGAGACACGGTGTCGCCCGTGGCCATGGAAGGGTTACTGGAAGTGCTGGAGTTGACCTGCAAGGCAGAGCGGTGTCTGAGTGAGCATACCAGCGAGCAGGAGAGTCCCACTCTCGGCTAAGGTGGCCTTGGGGAAGATGTTGCTGGACAATGTACCTCGTACGAGGGTGCCATTAGCACGTTTGACTCCTCTGCAAAAGTAATATGCCGCGAATAAGCGAAGCTGCCCCTGTGGTACACCACATTGTCAAAGAAGCAACATATTTTTTCTGAGAATCACGAAGGGGTGCACCTGAGCACCTTGTGACGAAGGATGTCTAGATAGAATCATAAATATTCCGTCGACTCCAATGCCGGATGATCGGCTGGTTTTCAACGGTTGATGACCTACAACAATAATACTCCGTATGACATACATAATCATCCCCATTGTTCGAGATCCGAGAGGCGAAAACCGCCGAGATTGCAGCGACCCGGCATCGGAAGCGGAACCTGGAGACGCAGGAATCTCGCCTCTTCCCCCGTAGCTGCCCCCCGTCTTTCCTCCCTCGTTACATATTATTATTCCGCCCATCACTGGTCGGTGATCAGTGGTCACTCAACGTCACAAAATCCCACCACGAAAACAGCCCCCCTCGCTCAGTCCATCATCTTCTGTTCTGTTGTGAAGAGTCCCTCTGGCCTGGCTATGTTCTTAGGGAGCTTGTGAATGCCTGTCTCTGGTCTGGGCCATGCAGCAACTTCACTACAATCCTCACAATCACCAGAGATGGACAGCCGAGGCGCCTCGAGGCTGCTCGAGGAGCCACGCCCGGCCGGCGACCGCAGACTGTTCCCTGACAACGATGCATCGATAACCCTGACACGACCGCCGACGCCCCAGGCGCGGACGCCTCTGGACAAGCACAGCCTCGAGTATGTCATCCGCTCCGGGCTCGCAGGTGGATTGGCAGGATGTGCAGTACGTGAACAGCTCCCCCGAGCCAGGTGCGACAATGCTGATTTAGTGTTTGCAGGCGAAAACCGTTGTCGGCCCTCTTGACCGGGTCAAAATCCTCTTCCAAGCCTCCAATCCTCAGTTCGCAAAGTACACGGGCTCCTGGTTCGGTGTGGTGACGGCAATGCGGGACATCAAATCACACGAAGGCTTCCGAGGGTTATTTCGTGGACATTCTGCGACCCTCCTGAGGGTCTTCCCATATGCCGGGATCAAGTTCCTCGCCTACGAGCAGATTCGAGCCGGGGTCATTCCAGACAAAATCTACGAAACACCATTCCGACGATTTATATCTGGGTCGATGGCAGGCATCACGTCCGTCTTCTTCACCTACCCTCTCGAGGTCATCCGCGTGCGGTTGGCTTTCGAAACCAAACGGGACTCACGGTCGTCTCTGACCAGGATCTGTCGACAAATCTACCACGAACAGCCTCCGCAACCAGAGAATCTCGCGGGTCACTCGCCGGTTGCCGCCGCCTCGAGTGCGGCGCATCGAGCTGTCCCAAAATCGGGGCTGGTCAACTTCTACCGCGGGTTTTCCCCCACCTTGTTGGGCATGTTGCCATATGCGGGAATGTCATTCTTGACGCACGACACGATAGGCGACATATTCAGACATCCCGTCCTGGCGCCATACACCGTGTTACGCTCAACCGCGACCGCCGCCGCCCCTCCTCCAGGAGAAGGCCGTTCAAATACTCAGGTTCACCGGCGAGCCCAACTGACGGCCCCGGCGGAGCTCACCTCGGGCGCCATCGCAGGCCTCGTCTCTCAAACCTCGTCGTACCCGCTGGAGGTGATTCGGCGGAGAATGCAAGTCGGTGGTGCTATAGGAGATGGCCATCGCTTGACTATTGCCGAAACCGCGCGTCGGATATGGCTGGAACGAGGGTGGAGAGGGTTCTTCGTCGGCCTCACCATTGGCTATGTGAAGGTCATACCGATGGTCGCCACGAGTTTCTATGTTTACGAACGCAGCAAATGGCTGTTGGGAATTGCTTAATCGTGTTTTCGGCCAACCTTACGGGAGTTGGATGTCAACACTGGGCTAGCTGTAGCTAACCCAGTAACAGGGACGCATGCGCGGGTTTCTCAGGGACAGTGATGGTCCACTGTCCTTCCAACCCAACGAGAGGCAAGAGCAAAAGAAGAAAGCGACGTTTCCACGGCAACAAACCAGCACAGCCGTGATGTCGACGTGAAATGAAACCACTCTGGCGCCGTCGTGTTTGTGCCTGGGGATGACGGCCTCCCGTACACCAATGGTGCCTATGTGGTTTGCACAACACCACACAGGGTGTTCAGACTGTTTGTCCACCAGTCAGATCTGGTGTCAATGCCATGACGGGGGGCAAAAGAACTACGGGGTTCCCGGCCATGGTGGCCCAGCGGAGTATATGTCCGCGTGGGGCTGATCAGAACCTGTGGACTGGGAGTTTACATCTTATTGATGATTATTATGTGGTCGAAAAGTCGTTCGGCGTCGAGGGCGTGTTGTGCACCTGTGGCTGCGTGTGATACCTGCCTCTTTTTGGTCTCTGAAGCACACAACATTTTATGCCCGATTTGGATGTACAAATGTGGCAGCTTGGCATAACGGGGTTTTCATTCGACCTTCTACGCTTGCCTGGGATTCTCATATATCATATTATATAACTACTCCGTATAGGATCCCCGAACCTTCGTCGCCCACGGCTTTTCGCTGACTCATCACTCGCCGCTTTTCTCTCCTGCTAACGACTACCTCGTATATAGTCGAATCGCTCCCTCGTCCGCTCTCTTCCACCCCCTTCCTCTCTTTCGTCCTAGGCGCTAACGTTAGCATCTAGCCTCGTGGTAACTTTACCCGAATATATGTAGTAATGATGGCCCGTTTCGGCCATTGAAAGGTAGGATCCCTAAGAGGATACTCTACTACGTCGCTGAACGGGATTAACTAAATCCCCCAATTCCATAGGATAATGCTTCTATTCCTCTCTCCCTTTCCCTCTCCCTCTCTCGGTCCTCACATTTTCCCCTACCCCTAGTAAGAATAAGGGCCGGAAAACTATAGCGAGCTCGTAACAAAGCTCACCCCGACGGTGCCGCTTTCAAAACCCCGTTGCACGCCACTCCCCCCGGGGAGAGCTGTTCGATCCCTGCCAGCCCCTTTTCCTATATAGAGCAAGTAGAACTAGATGGGTAAATTAGTCCCGGACTTGTCGACACTTGCCTGACATCTTTGCCTTTTTAATGTCCGGGAAGCCAATACCTCTTTTGTCTCGGAGACGACGACAGTCGTGCCACAGTCACGCGGACGCGATGCTTGCTTGGCCTAACTCGGCTTGTCTAATGCTTTATTGTCTTCCCAATGCACGAGTCAAAGTGAGAGACAATTTCCATTGATCATCCATTGAGAACCACTAGTGACAGCAGATCCCAAAGGAAAAATAAAGACTGGATCTAGAATCGGGATGTCTGTTATCTCCCTCGCAACTCACAGCCAGGCTACCATTTATACACGAAATGAGGATCCGAGTCTCCTAACTCTGGCTGAGGCGCAATGGGTGTGCCGTTCTCCTCTGCCCGCCGCAACTTCTCGGCTCGCTGGCGATTCACGATTTTAATTCCGATCATCATGCTCACCATCGACAGGAAGGCGACACCCGCTAAGCCCATTGCAACATACATACCCTTGAGGTACCGAGGTGAAGTGTCGGAGGTAAAGATCTGACCGACAGCCACCCCAGCTGTGTTGGCAAGGGTGGTTGTGGCGCCCAGCATGGTGGCACGTTTGAAATGCCGCGATACATTGTCATTGAGCCACATGAGTGAGGTACCAGTATTAGCGTATATGGCCGTGGCGACGACTTCGAGAAGAGAGCCGAGTTAGCTCAAAGGACGAGGAACGTGGCAGGAGAAGAGGAGACGTACCGAAACATCCAAAATATCGAACACCCAGAGAGTCGACGGCCACCAGGATTGAGTATCCGATGATCAGGACCAGAAGATGTGCTGCGATAAATGGTCCTCGGAGACCAGATCTGTCCGAAGCCCAGGCGATGAACAAACACCAGAACATGCCCCAAAAGTAGACCGGGACGGTCATTAGATTGGCACGGACATTGTGGTAGCCCAACCCGCTGATAATCGAGGGAAGGAAGGTAGTGAAAGAGTACAACGAGATGTTGATGGAGAACTGGTATATCCAGCTATGCCACACTCAGTCAGCGACATGTCCCAAGGCAAAAGAAAGACACAGATGACGAGTGACTCACAAGCAGTACCATTTGGGATCCTTAAAGATCTTGAAAACTTCCACCCAGCTGAATCCTTCGTCAATTCCCCAGTGAGGATCGCTGTCGTATCTTGCTCGCATGATTTGCTTCTCTTCGGGAGTGAGAAACCAAGCCTCCAGCGGCGAGATGGGGAAAACGAAGAAGAAGAGCGGCACCAGCAGAATGGTCAATATGCCTTCCACGATAAACAGCCAGCGCCAGCCCTCGAAGCTGCCAGGGCCGGAGATCTGGCAAAGACCATACGCGAAAAGGCCGCCGAAAGCGCTGGAGCAGGCTGAGAAGGCGAAGATGACGGCAGATCGTTTGGCGCGCTCCTCCTTTTTGTAGACGAGGCCGAGGTAGACATCTGTGCCACGCGGACATTATAAGCTAGGAAGCATGTGAAGGAGAGGACACAGATAACTCACTGATACAAGGGATCAGACCCGCTTCAAAGGCCCCGATGAGAAGCCGACACGCGTACAGCCCCTTGTAGTTTTGGATGAATCCCATGCCAAGGCAGGAGACACCCCATGCAAATGCACAGACCGAGAGAAGAGGTTTCGGACCGACGATCTTCAAGAGCACGGCGACGGGGGTCTCGAAGGGGACATATGTGGCGTACAAAAGCGTTGTCGCCGTTCCGAATTGGTTGCCGACGAGGCCGAGGTCCTTACTCATGCCAGCTACGTTGGCGTTTCCAATGTTGCCCCTTGAATGTTGAAAACGTCAGTAATGATGAATCCCAAGTCGGCCTGGCTTCCCCTCCGTTGTTCCTGATTCAATGCTGGGACATACCGGTCGAGATTTGCGGCCATGTAAAAAAGGCCCAAGAGGCCGATGGCATAGAACTGTTCCCCGATTAGATCCCAACTGAACTTGGAGAGATGCGTTGGATTGATACATCCTTACATCAAACTTCCTCATGACTTTGCGTTCCTTGACGGGGTCAATGTAGAAGGAGGCGGCTCCCATCGCGTCGCCGCTTGTCCTCTCACCAACGGCAGTGCTCTCAATCACCCCCATGTCTTTAGAGGTTGGGGTCTCTGTCTTCTCCGCCATGTTCAGAGATATTAGTCCACGAAAACGTGGCTTTCTTTTGATTTTGGTGTTCTGAACGTCGTGTTCTTGGACGAGTTTGGGGACACGAGATCGCAGGAGGATAGGTCCCTTTTATCACCACCGGCAGGATAGACATTCGAGGTAGACAAGATACCATATCGTGTTCCAGGGCTGGCAATTGACCCCTTCGACGCTTTCTTTGACCACAACCGTGCCGTCTTCGCAAAGGTAAATTAATGGTTTGCACTAAATTGGGTAAGATCGGAATATGGATCGGTCTGCCGATATTTCCTATCGCACAGGATATCGGCGTAACGCACTCGCTACACCGAGCGTGGAGCACGAGGTGCAGTCTAAGCTCTAGACAGACCATGGACAATGCTGGCACAAGGCACATGGGTGCCGAATCCCAATCAACGGCCGGTGTTATATCGGTCGGCTCAGTAAATCACGCAAGGTCTAAATGAGCCTCCTTCCAAGGGATCAAATGGGGAAAGACGAGTCGATATCATCAGACCCAATGCAGCCCTTGGCGAACAAGTACTTCTTGCGATCCCAGGTCGAGGTTTTGGTTGCCGTTACAGACCGATCAGCTCTGACACGATGGGATCTATAGCAGCATCAGGGCCGTCACAGTCAGGGATACGGATAGCAATTGATCGAGGAGGCACATTTTGCGATTTGTATGGCTAGATTTCCTCCAGTATACAGGTGATGGAAGCTGACCGTGTATAAAACCTTTAGCTGGGCACGAATTCCTGGACGAAAAGACGATGTGATTCTCAAAATCCTTTCGAGCGCACCGGAGGAGTATGAAGATGCCCCGACCGAAGGGATCCGCCAGATATTGAGCATCGCGGAGGGAAAGGAGATCCCAAAGGGCACCCTGATTGACCTGGCGGGAGTCGAATCCATCAGAATGGGAACAACTGTTGCCACCAAGTACCGATGCTGTCCTACATGTTTCGACGGCGAAGATGATTCTAACGGTGCTGTCTAGTGCCTTATTGGAAAGAAAGGGGGCACGAGTGGCTCTTCTGATGACCAAAGGCTTTCGTGACTTGTTGGTGATTGGCAATCAGGCTCGCCCACATCTCTTTGACCTGTCCATCCACAAACTCGATGTCCTCTACGAAAAAGTGGTGGAGATCGACGAGCGAGTCACTGTGGAAGGCTTTGCTGAAGATCCCGAGCCTGAGCCCATTGACATTCAATCCGATCAGCAACTCGTCGAGGGATTAACGGGAGAGGCCATTCGGATTCTGAAGGTGCCGGATCTGGAGATAGTCACCAAGGACCTGCTCAGCTTATGGGAAGAGGGCTACCGTGACATTTCTCTGGCCCTTTTACACTCGTACGCTTATCCCAACCATGAGGCCGCCATCGCGAGAATCGCTCGCCAGATCGGGTTCCGTGTCTCGGTCTCATCCGAACTGCAGCAGATGATCAAGATAGTGCCCCGGGCTCAATCGGCCACTGCAGATGCCTACCTTTCTCCGGTCATCATACGGTATTTGGATGGCTTCCGCAAGTCATTCAAGGGGCAGCTTACGGACGAGAATGCAAATAAGTTCCTGTTATGTCAATCCGACGGAGGCTTAACGCCCATTACTACTTTTACAGGACTTCGTGCGATCCTCTCCGGGCCCGCAGGAGGCGTTCTTGGGGCTGCCAAAACGTGCTACGATCCCGAGCAAGGCGTCCCAATTCTCGGCTTTGATATGGGAGGTACTAGCACCGACGTTTCTCGGTTCAGCGGGACCCTAGAGCATGTGTTCGAGACCACGGTTGCCCAGGTCACCATACAGAACCCCCAGTTGGACGTCCAAACTGGTATGAACCCCCGTTGAGAGGTGTCTGCATCCTCATCAATTGGATATTCTGACAGATTTATAGTCGCGGCGGGCGGCGGAAGTCGATTATTCTACCACAACGGCCTCTTCGTGGTCGGTCCGGAGTCCGCAGGAGCGTATCCTGGTCCGGCATGCTACGGGCATGGAGGACCTCTGACGATAACAGATGCGAACTTTTTCCTCGGCCGCATATTACCACACTATTTCGCGCGTCCATTGGACAGGCAGGTGGTGGAGACGAAATTTCAGGAGCTCACTCGCGAGATCAATGCTCAACGGCGACAAGAAGACCCTCTCACGGCCGAGCAGGTTGCCACGGGGTTTCTGCTGGTTGCAAATGCGGCCATGACCCGCCCCATTCGTTCTCTTAGCGAAGGCCGGGGGTTCGAAACGTCTGCTCACCACTTGGTATGTTTTGGCGGCGCCGGCGGCCAACATGCCACGGCGATGGCACGGGATCTGGGGATCAAACGAGTCATCATTCACCGGTATTCGAGTATTCTCTCCGCCTATGGCATGGCTCTTGCAGATGTTGTGGTCGACCTTCAAGAACCCGAATCGATCACCTACTCCGGCGATACTACTCCCAGAATCCGAGAGCGCTTTGACCTCTTGAAGCAGCGGGCGATAGGACAGCTACTGGCTCAGGGTTTCACTACTGAGAGGATCGAGTGCGAGACGTTTCTCAACATGCGCTACAGAGGAAGTGACACGTCCTTGATGATTCAATCCATGCCAGAGTCAGACGATTTTGGGAAGATGTTTGTCGAGCGGCATCGACGCGAATTCGGATTTGACCAACCCAGGGAAATCTTGGTCGATGACATTCGAGTCCGCGCGATTGGAAAAAGTGTCGAGCTGCCGACGCCCAGCCGATTTGGCGGGTTAAAACAGATTGGACAAGGGGAGCCAATGCCTCAAGATATTCGACAAGTATATTTCGAGAAGCAAGGCTGGTTGGACGCAAAGGTCTATCATCTTGGAACTGTCCCAAAAGGCACCAGATTCCGGGGCCCCGCCATGGTCGTGGATGAGACTCAGACGATCGTCCTTGACCCAGACAGCGAAGCAAGCATCCTTGCCGAGCATGTTGTGATCGAGTTGCTGGATGCGAAGGTGGATAAGATCAGCACTGAAGAAATTGACCCTGTCAGGCTGTCTGTCTTCGGGCATCGGTTCATGAGCGTCGCTGAACAGGTACGATTCATTCGAGCGGTGATGTTGTTCCAAGGTGGTAGCTAACTTGAAGGCGCAGATGGGCGAGACGCTCCGAAAGACCTCAATCTCAACCAATATCAAAGAGCGGCTCGATTACAGCTGTGCAGTGTTCGACGCTCAAGGAATGTTAATAGCAAACGCACCTCATATTCCAGGCCATCTGGGCTCGATGAGTTACGCAATTCGATACCAAGCAGAGAAGTATGCTAAGGATGAACTGAAGCCGGGAGATGTCTTGCTGTCTAACCATCCCTGCGCGGGTGGTACACATCTCCCTGATTTGACCGTCATCACACCAGTCTTCGATGATGACGAGACACCGACCGAAATATTGTTTTTCGTCGCGAATCGAGGTCATCACGCCGACATCGGCGGGATAGCTGCCGGCTCGATGCCGCCCAATTCCACCGAGCTCTGGCAGGAGGGAGCAGCCATCGAGTCGTTCAAGATGGTCAATCAGGGGGCATTCGACGAGGTAGGCTTGATCCACCACTTGGTGGATGTCCCCAGTAGGTATCCCGGCTGTTCGGGAACGCGAACATTGAAAGACAACATCGCGGATCTCAAGGCTGGCATTGCCGCGAACCAGCGGGGGATCCACCTCATTCAGGGTCTCATTCGCGAGTATACCTGGCCGGTGATCCAATTCTACATGGACGGGATCCAGAAGAATGCCGAGAGCACGATTCGCGCCCTCCTCAAGGCTTTTAGCCGTCGATTCCGCGGGCGACCTCTGCGCGCGGTGGACTACCTTGACGATGGGACTGCCCTGGTGCTGAACATCATCATCAACCCCGACGACGGCTCTGCCAAATTCGACTTCACTGGCACGGGCCCGGAAGCTCTGAACAACCTAAACGCCCCACCGGCGATCATGTTCAGTGGCATCATGTACTGCCTTCGAACCATGGTCTCAGCGGACATACCACTGAATCAAGGTTGTCTCACCCCAATTGAGGTGATCTGTCCGCCCAACTCCATCCTCAAGCCCAGCCTGAGCGCTGCGACGGTCGGTTCGAACGTGGAGACCTCCCAGCGCATTGTCGACGTCATCTTCAAGGCATTCCGCGTCGCCGGCGCCAGCCAGGGCACGTGCAACAATCTAACATTTGGCTACGGCGGCAGCGACGGCCAGGGAAACACAGTCAAGGGGTTTGGATACTACGAGACCATTGCAGGCGGCTCAGGGGCCGGCGCTGATTGGGACGGACAGCACGGCGTGCACACGCATATCACCAACACGCGGATGACGGATCCGGAGACGCTGGAGAAAAGATATCCCGTCCTTCTGCGCGAGTTCTCCATCCGAAAGGGCAGCGGAGGCGACGGCCGTACTCGCGGCGGCGACGGGTGCGTCCGCGACATTGAGATGCGCCGTCCATTGCAGGTGAGCATCCTGTCGGAGCGGCGCGTGATTCCGCCATATGGAATGGCTGGCGGGGAGGCCGGCGCACGGGGCTGCAATCTCTGGATCAGACACGATCGGGAGGCCGGGACGTGTCGAACCATCAATCTCGGCGGCAAGGCCAGCGTGCAAATGGATGTTGGTGATCGCATTATAGTCATGACCCCCGGCGGTGGTGGCTATGGTGTGTCACCCACAAAGGTTCCGGAACCGGACATGGAGACGGAGTTTACGATCAAGGATCGCGTGAGATTGTTTTGATGTGTGAGAGAGAGAGGGAGAAGGAGAAACCCCAGGAGAGGTGAAGACGGAAGGGGGGATGCTACGAGAAATCAATCGGCTGAACGATGCATGGCGACTGGAAATACCTTGGTAGCACTTCAGAGGAGTTGAGAGTGCATCTTAGAGGATGTTTAGAACGTAAAAAAAGGAAAAAGCATGCTGGAACACAATATATATCAGACCTATGTCCTCGGCATCGTTTCAGCAAACCGCCTGCTTTTGCTCTTTTGTTATTTTGGCCACATGACGGGGTAATAATAACCAAGGTGGAAGGGATGGAAAACGAGCAGACCTGTGGGGGCCATATGAAGCCAGCCTCTATCTACCTAGATTTGATCTTCTGTACTCATCTTGTGTTTCTTCGTCATCCTTGCCTCCGCACGACAGCATCAATGGCATTCGCAACGTAGCATACATTCTTTGTATTGACTGTACCATGAGTCAGTGCATATTTTGGGCAACTCACGATAAACTGAAATGCGAAGGCGGGGGGAGGGATGCATGGAGAGATAGCAGTGACTCACGGCCAGCGATGGAGATCCGTCCGGAGTCAAGGAGATAGATGCTGTATTCGTCTCTCAGTATCTTCGCTTGTGTGGCGTTCAACCCAGTGTACGAGAACATGCCGATCTGCTTCACTACGTGGTCCCACTCCCCAGGTGTCTGTAGCCTGCGAAGCTCATCGTAGAGAGCACGCCGCATGTCTTTGATGCGTCCACTCATGGTCTGGAGATCTGACTTCCACTCAGCGAAGAGTACAGGATCGCCGAGAACTGTCGCGGCGATGCTGGCCCCGTACAGTGGGGGCGTTGAGATCTCGCCACGCTGCAGCCGTGCAAGCTGTGAGCGTGTCTGAGTCGCGGACGAGGGAGAAGACGTGACGAGGTGAAATGCACCGACCCGCTCGCCGTACAGACCCATGTTTTTGGCAAAAGACTGTGCGACGCCAAACTCCATGGTTTCGAGGGAGAGGAAATGCCGGATTGCGAAGGAATCTGCGTCGAGGGACCCTGTCGCAAAACCTTGACTGTGCGTGTTGTGAGAAATCCAGGACAAGTAGGAGTGTAGTGGAGAGCATGTCGGATTGATTGACTTACTATGCACAGTCGAAGAAAGGGAAGAGCTTCTGCCTCTCGCAAAGATTGGCGATTGCCTCCCACTGCTCGGGAGACGGATCGAGGCCGGTGGGATTATGGGCACAAGCATGCAGAATGACAACATCACCCGCCGTTGCGTCCTTTTTTAATGTATCCATCATGCCGTCGAAGTCGAAAGACCTGGAAGTCTCCTCGTAGTAAGGATAAAGTCTTTGTTGAATGTGTCCCCCGTCCGTGTTTCGGCTCGGGCTGACCAATGTCCAGATCAAGTGGTGATTGCCCCAAGTAGGGTCAGAGATCCATACCCGGCATGGTTTGAGAGTGTCTGCAAGAAATCTGGCTCCGAGATGGTTCGCCCCGGTGCCTGAGATGCACTGCACTGAGGCTATGCAGGCGCAAACGTCCAAGTCCTTGGTGCCAAACAATAATTCTTGCGCGAGATCGATGAACTTGGCATGACCGACGATGGGAAGGTATTCGTGGTCAGTTCCCGGATCCTCGTTCAGTCTGGCCTTCGCCTGATGGCATAATCAGGCCATTGCCGGGTGAATGAGAGAAGATGGATGCAAGCCGCACAGAAACAGACGCACCTTCTTGACCACGGGGAGTATCCACGGTTTGGCATCGTCGTCGCGATACACACCAGATCCGAGACTGACCTTGCTTGAAGAAGCGTCTGTCTTGAAAGCAGCCGTTAGTGCGAATGCTGGATCCGATGGAGCAACTGAGACGTTCGAGAAGAACGAGTCCGTAACCTTCAAAGCCATGGCTCGTTAAACCACTTCACGATGGTGACATGGGAAAGACTGTCAGTTGGGGACGAAGCCTTGTCTTTTTTTATCTTTCTTTTCTTCGCATCTCTATTGATGCCGCAGCATTGTTCGGATAACAACCCGCTGAGCTTCCGAGTTCTCCTCCATTATCACTGTCTCACCTGGTCCGGATCGGCATTGTAGGCCAATTCCCGACAAGGCTGTCTCAAATCCCTCATTTGTTCCGAGAGAGGCGGGACTGATCCACGAAGTGGATGGTCAGTGGGGATGCCATTCTATGCATGAAGAAACAGTGCGGTGTATATACAGATCCCAGAGCCAGGCCTTTTGTGCCTGTCCTGAATCATCGATCCTGTCTATCGTTGTATGTCGAGTCATGGCATGCTCTCATTCTTCTGGCTTGGTACCTCCCTCCGGTGTCTGGTGCCCGGCCGTGACATTCTTCGAGCCCAGGACCGATACTCTCGATTTGGTGTCCCAGAAGAAATACTATGCCCATCTCAGCACGACAGGTCTTGCAGGTCTGGTGATTCTAGGCACCAATGCTGAGGCCTTTCTCTTGACAAGGGAGGAACGATTTCGACTGATTCAAGCTGCCCGGCAGGCAGTCGGGCCAGAATTTCCCATCATGGCCGGTGTGGGCGCACATTCGACCGGCCAGGTGCTACAACTGATCAACGATGCGGCTCAAGCGGGCGCAAACTACGTTCTTCTTCTTCCAGCGGCATACTTTGGCAAAGCGACCACACCAGAGGTCATCCAGGCGTTCTACGATCAGGTGGCTCAGGCATCCTCGCTGCCCATTCTCATCTACAATTTCCCTCAAGTCTGTAACGGGGTCGACCTGGACTCAGAACTGATTACCAAGATAGCGAAGCGGCATCCCTCCAAGATTGTTGGCGTCAAATTGACGTGCGGCAGCGTTGCCAAAATCGTCCGCTTGACAGCGAATCTACCGCCTTCGGAATTTGCTACGTTCGGTGGCCAGTCAGATTTCCTGGTCGGGGGTCTCAGCGTGGGCTCTGCTGGCTGTATTGCTGCCTTTGCAAATGTCTTTCCCCGGACTGTTTCTCGGATATACGCGCTCTACAAGCAGGGGAGAACCGAAGAGGCTCTGGAGTTACATCGCAGGGCTGCGTTGGCAGAGAGCCCAATCAAAGCGGGAATCGCAGTCACCAAATATGCAGTCGCACGCTTCTCCGCCCCCATGGCCGGTATAGAAAGCGCTGAAGAGAAGCTGTGGCCGCGGCGACCTTACCAGCCGCCGTGTGAGGCAGCAAAGGCTGGCATTGAGGCATCCATGGCCTCATTATGGGAGACTGAGAAGAGCTTAGATTACGCACATAGTGTACTCCGAACGGTCGACAATCCGAAGTTGTGACCTCTCCGGAAGGCCCACCTGATGTCTTGGACGCCTGTGCTTTCGGGTGGACTATAAAGTGTATTCCTCGCGTTCGGGTTAATCGAGACAAATCGCCGACGACAATCGGCTTAACCGGACTCCCAGAGATTTCTCTCCTTCCTTCTACCTTTTACCTTTTTGTTATCTTGCGAGTCAGCTGTTGGATTCTGGGTAGTGCTTCCACGGGACAACGAGCTCATTATTCCGGGACGGCGGGCAAAGTCGTTCGCCCCCCTGGTCCAAGATCTCTATATCGCAAGTGTCATGATGGAGACAACCACCGACGGGGATTTTTCGCCCATCGATGCAGCGGCGGCCGCTGTTCCTGTCGCAAAACGCGTGAGACGCGATGGCGCGTATGTCTCTCCTTCCGAAGGGGATGACCCGTTCCGGGAGAGGGACTAATGGGACTCTTCCGTGAAACAGTTGCGTGCGATGCCACGCCCACAAGATCAAATGCTCTCGTGAACAACCGTGTCGGAACTGCGTGCTGTCCCAAAATGTTGCCGACTGCGTATATCCCAGGCGAGACCGGAAAATCTTGATTCCCGAAAGGTCTGTCGTCTTTCAGATCCGGATACTATTCTTTTTCACTGACCCTGGCGGCGTGTGTAGTCAGATCAAGCGGCTTGAGCAGGAGAATGCGAGGCTCAAACGAGTGACGCAGGAGTATGCCGCCGCAAATACAGCTGCCGGTGTCGCAGCCGCATCAGGGCCTACTACGCCCTCTCATGGCCACGGGCATGAGAAGGCCGTGGGCAGTCTCAGCATGGCGGATGTCGAGATATCCAATCCACTAATTGAAGATCGCATGTGTTTTGTACGCGATTACAATTCGTCCCAAGTGGCCTATATCGGTGAGGCTTCTTGCACATCCTTTGGGACTCGTCTCTATCAGTATCTGGACCGAAGCACCTCTCTGGCACCCATCCCGCCGGCTCGCCTCGTCAGCGACAAGACACTGTTTCAACACATCTTCACCGAGTACGAACTGCCCGGACGTGCTCATGCTCACGTGCTCATCAGGGTCGCCATACGTCTCGTGGGATTAGACTACCATCTGATGATGCGGAAACACACCTTGGAGCAACTGGACAGTCTCTACAGCGGACGACTGACCATAGAACAAGATCCGCTGCTGGCATGCCGCCTGTTCACAATATTTGCCCTCGGAGAATTGTACACCAACCGGGCAAAGCAGGACCAGAAGCTAGAGAATGCGCCTGGTGTGCCAGGTCTGGCGTTTTTTGTTCGGGCAATGAGCCTGTTTCAAGAAATCCGCGAGGAGGCCACCATGTCCTACATTGAGGCTCTGCTTCTTATAGTAAGTTGTGTCTGATCGAGTTGTCACTCCTAGAAGGGTGCAAGTACACTGGACTGATATGTTGAGCCGAAGTCTCTTTACTCTCTTGCATTGAACCGGGCCAATTCAGCCTACATCTACGCCGGGATCGCTCTCCGACTGAGTTTGACTCTCGGGCTTCACCACAATGTCCCCGACAATCAAATGTTCAGTCCCCTGGAGCGAGAGCGTCGGATTCGCGTCTGGTGGACTGTGTACATCTTCGACCGGAACTGGAGCTCGAAATTGGGCCATCCCACCAGTATCCGGGACGAAGACATCGACGTGGATTTGCCGTCCATGGACAATCTGACCGGCGTGGAAAAAGAGGAATTCTCAGAGCCCGATCATCTGGTCGCCAATGTGCAATTGGCTCGCATCACCGGGGACATCATGAACCACATCTACGCCAAAAGCCGCCAGGGACAAAGATCCGTGCAAAGCGTGCAAATGGTGCTGCGAAGGTTACGGACGTTGGCAGAAACTCTCCCCAGCAGCATCCGGTTGCAGCAAGACTCCTCTCGCATCTATCCGGCGAGGCATGTGGCGTCCCTCCACTTGTGCTTCAATCAGGTGCGTGGCAGTAGCTAGCCCCCGAACCATTCCCCATGGCGGCATCAGAGTCCTAACGATCACTGTTGACAAAGTGTGCGATATTGACCACGCGGCCGATTTTGTTCCACGTGTTGAAGACCAAATTCAACCCGATTCTCGAAGACCAGACCACACAGGCGCCTCGGCCAGTGTCGGCTATCGCCAGCGCTCTCGCCGATGCATGTATCCACGCTGCTCGAAGCTCGAACCAAATCTTAACTCAGCTCTGGGTGGATGGATCGATTGCCGTATTTGGCTTCTTCGATGCGCATTATCTGTTTTCGTCGACCCTGGTCCTACTAACCGCAACCCTGTTGCGACCTAGGGCAGCCGATGCCGAAGCGTTAGACACGGCCACTCACCTATTGAGGTCCATGTCCGAAGATGGCAACCTACCGGCGTTCAGATACTACGGCCACCTGATGCAGTTACGAGAGGTGGTAAACTCTCTGCAGGATAAGAGCCAACACGTCGAAGAATGTAAGATCATGGCCGCCGTACAGGAAACATGTCTGACCCAAGATGCAGACGCTGCTGTCGCAGCAGCAGAGGCTCCAGACAATCTTCAACCTGAACTCACCATGCCTGCTGTACCTGCTCTTCAACACGTGCAGGCAAGCAATCCTCCATTGACTAATCTACTCGTCGCCGGATCCGCACTGGACGACCCTTTCATCGAGAATTTCCTGTCGTTCTCGGACTTTCAGTGGCCTGCAGTTGGTGATGCATTTGGTGGTGTGGTCGTGGGAAGCACAGTCTCACCTCCACAATGGGTGTTTGAATGGGATGCGCAGAACCAAGATCTGTATGGCGCGGCGAGGGCTTGAACACAGCGGCTGGGCTGATCCTCTATGGCCCCCTTTGCTGGGACGTTCGCGGACTCTTGACAATGGAAGATGAGGAAGTGGTCACACAGCATCCACCATGTGTGCTTATCGTATCACTTCTAACGCAACTCTCTAAATTGCTGGGAATGCACTTGTTTCGGCGGAGGATGTCCTTGGGCCGAAAGGATCCACAACAGCATATCGGTCTCAGGATGTGCAGTCGATCAAGGTATTCGCCTGAAGGACCCGAACTCTTAAGCCAACTTATCCTATCGGCTTTCGTACGATATCCTGGTGGGAATAGATGTGCCCTGTCCTTGGTCACCGTTACTGTTCAATTCTGGCTGTCCAATCCGCCATGCTCACTGTCAACTGCAGAGGTTCACCATATGAGGTTTGTGATGATGCTGAGGCTGCTGATGATAATATTACTCCTTGGCTTGATAAGTGTGCGCCGACTAACCAGCGTTTGCTACCAGGTCGGACGCTGCCACGGAGAGGCGGCGAAAGAAGCCATTGAGAGATGTATAGCGTTCTACTCCGGGTTGTTCGTCCGTTACAGCAAGCGACCATGGCCCCAAGTGAGGGAAATTGCCAGTGATTTTGCGAGTGAGATTCGCCAGCGGTGGCCCCGGTATCATGAGGAGATGAGAGGTACGCACGAAAGAAATCTGGCTTAGCGACCTCAGATCTGTCTGCCCTTGCACCTCCTTCTCCCATCACGAACGATTTATTCCGGTTTTACTGTGCCTGTGTGCCATTGCTACATTCAACTGTTCCCGAGCGAGACCTGCAGATCACTAAAGTGTGCCCTGTGCGTCACCAGGAATTGCCGATGGATCCAAAGTCGACATGGTGGACATCGTAGCACTTAACGTGCGGACGGAGATCGCGTTCGGGCTTTTCAGCGATGGCTGCACGAGTCTCTCCTGGAAAACTGGACGCCATACGTTCCTCGGTCAGAACTGGGATGTACGTGTAATCCTGTTTACCCTTCTCCCGACAAGACCCTGGGTGAGAGGAACTGTTTGATATGCTGATATATACTGCGTCATCTGTTCTATAGTGGATGGAAGCACAGAAGGAAAATCTCATTCAAATCAACATCGTCCAGACCGACCTGCCGACGATCAAGATGATTACCGAAGCCGGCATCATTGGCAAGATCGGGCTGAACTCTTGTGGTGTCGGAGTCTGTCTCAACGCGATCCGCGCTGGGGGGATGGATTCGAAGCGCCTCCCCGTCCATCTCGGCTTGCGCATGGCACTAGAACAAACCTCGGCCCTGGACGCCGTCGCGGTGCTGGAGGCAGGTGGCATGGCCAGCTCGGCGCACCTGTTGATCGCAGACGCCATGCACGCAACGGGACTAGAAGTCACGTCGTCAACCATTGCGAAAATCCAGCCGGACGAGGATGGACGAATTGTGCACACGAACCACCTCCTCAGGGAACATCTGGGGGTGAACGAGCCTAAATGGCTGCCCGACTCGGAGTTTCGCCTGCAGCGCATCCAGACACTGATTTCGGGCCTCCACAATCGGTCGAGAGGCGTTCACGATGATGAAGACAATGATGATGATGGTCCGACATGGGGAGACATTGCAGCACTGTTTGAAGACCAAGAGAATTGGCCGGTGGCTATATGTCGGTCGCCTAACAAGGACTCGGGCAGCCTCAGCGCCACACTGTTCAATATTGTAATGGATCTCAAAGCCAGACGGGCGGTGGTCAGAGTGGGAAGACCGTGCGACGTGGAAGAAACGATTGAGCTGGACCTCGGGTCTTAACAAGCTGCAATACGAGCCTTGAGACAGAGGCTGTGGGCGAGACCTGTCTGGAGCACCTCTGGGAGATTGAACAATGAGTCCAATTCATCATCATACCTTGAACCTGGCGCACAGCAGTTCTAAGATTGCAAGAATTAGAACACGGCATGAAAGCAGCCGACTTGGCCTTCGGTGCTCCCAGCGTCCTCGGTTGTAAAGGCACGTCAGTTCGTGTCTGTCGGCCTCACGCGGCTCTTTTATGCCTTATGCCGAAATCTCCTGGGGCCCGGTGTAAGCCAATTTTATCCCGAATGTAAAGTTCCTTGTTGACTCATGGCGACCACAATTGAATTCCCTATCGACCCGCCCATCAAGGCGACAGGTCCTTCAACGCTCCTGTTCCACAGTCAGGGCAAGGGCGGGCCCAGGGAGTAAGTCCGGATGGCGGGAAGAATGGCGCTTGCACTCCCATCCATGCTATCCTTCTTCTAGGCCGTCAGTACGCCTGGCATTTTGATGAAACGGTCGTCGGGATTTGGAGGAGGAACAGATATCCTCTGTCGAAGGCCGCACGGCAAGCTCAAGATCGGTCTGAATCAGGTGCACTGATGCCGTCAACTCACCCCAACGGTATAATCACCAACGGCGACTCTTCCGTCGGGGATGGAGCGCCCAGCAGGAAGACCAAGCCGACTGTGCTGTTCGTCAATTCTTCGGTCCGTGAGATCGACGCTGCCCGCTGGAAGGACATCCAAACCCGCTTCGACATTCTCGACTACGACTGCTCCACGGTCGACGAGTTCATGGCATGCGTGAAGACCCCAGGTCACCCGTACACAAGGATCGATGCGCTGGTGTGGACAGGCTGGTTCAAAGCCGGGCCTTTCGCCCCGCAGACTGAGCTGCTCCTGCGAGGAGAACCGCTGGAGCTGATGCCGCCGTCGCTCAAGCTGATCTGCTGCTCCGGTCACGGGTACGACCACGCAGACGTCGCGCGCATGACGGAGCGCGGCATCCTGTACTGCAACACCCCTGAGGCGTGCACGGAGGCGACGGCCAACGTCGGCCTCATGCTGATCCTCAACGCGTTCCGGTATCTGTCCTTCGCAGAGAGATGTGCGCGGACGCTCGAGGACGGCGGATGGAACAAGAGCCGGACGCTGGGATCCCGAGCCATCGACCCAGAAGGTCAGGTTCTGGGGATCGTCGGCATGGGCTCCATCGGACGTGCAATTGCGCGGAAGGCAGCAACCGCGCTGGGCATGGAGATCCATTACTACAATCGACGCCAGCTCAGCGAGCGCGACGAGATGCTCGCGCCCGGCTGCCGAGCCACATACCACGCCTCGTTGGACTCGCTGGTGAGCGCGGCGGACTGTCTGTGCCTGGCATGTGGATGCACGCCTGACATGGTTCACATGTTGTCCACGCCGCAGTTCAACCTTGCCAAACCGACGGGCCTGCGCATCGTGAACGTGGGCCGTGGCGCGCTGATTGACGAGACAGCACTGCTGAGTGCGATCGAGGCCGGCAAGGTGATCGGAGTAGGGCTCGACGTTCACGCGGATGAGCCCAATATCAACCCGGCCCTACGAGAGAACTACATGGTTACGGTGCTGCCTCACATCGGCACCTGCAGTCGCACCAGTTGGGCTAATATCGAGAAGAAACAATTAGACGATCTCGACGAGTTCTTCTTCGGAAGCGGAAAGCCACGCAACGCAGTCAACAAGCAGGTCTGTGGACAGAGTTGGGGATCTCATAGCTGAGCCTGCACACGGGTGACAGGAAAGCTTTACAAAAGGCCACACGCACCCACTGTGTGGCCCTTACGCCAGTCCAAATAGATTCGGGGTTGATGACCCAGGGTGCCCAGAGGGATCTGATTGTCTAGTTCAGACGGAGTGGCTTGCACACTGACATGACACCGGGCGAAGGACATTCGAAAGCTGGGAGGTCTATTGGCCACCCATCTTGCCTGCATTTGGCAGTGTTCGAGCACGTAGATATACCGCCAAAGTAGGGAGTCTAAATTATATACATCTGCCATCCTGGGGTCTTCTGCCGGTATAGAAGTAGCTACATTCAGGTATATTTCGTCCATCCAGCTCGGACATGGTTTGCACCTCCTATATAGTAATAAATCGATTTTGTACTCCGCCAATCCATCCAACGCCATGTCGCCCATCGCCTCCTCGGCGATCTCCCAAGAATGCCGACGCCACTTTCTCACTAGTACACCTATCTTGGCCCTGTTGGCGATAGGCAGGCAGAGGCCGTTTTGCCATTTGTGGCTGGCATCACCATGAGGGATTATGAAAAGTTGGGGGGATCCTGCTGGACCGTCACTGTGAGCCGAGTGACATACTGAGCATCGTTCTTCTTACGTGCGAGCTGAAACATGAAGCGTGTTCTTGTAGGGTATGGGATCGACCTGGACGCCATCAGTGGATGGTACGCTTTTTCTCCTTTCCCTCTCCTTGTCTGTAGTGGAATTGACGTTAGTTGACGTGTTCCACCTGTCTGTTTTCTAGGATCAACACGAGAAATGGTACTCCGGCATCAGCCACCGACGTCTCGCGAGGTGTCTTTGGAGCCACCTTTGGCACGGATCGTCTGTTGAAGCTGTGGGACAAATACAACATCAAGACCACATGGTTCGTCCCAGCGCACACTGCCGTCTCTTTCCCGGATGCAGTGCGGAAAGTTCGAGACGCCGGGCACGAAATGTGAGAGCTTTCCCTTTTCCTTCAGCTATGTTTCTCCCCACAAGCTGGCAGGGCCGGGAGTTTGATTGGCTTTTCCATTCCACGGCACATTCTGCTCTCATCTCAGCAAACTTGGCTTGCTTACCCAAAAACGATGACTTAGAGGCCTTCACGGTTGGACACATGAGTACGTGACCACGCTGGACGAGGAGCAGCAGCGCGAGGTCCTCCGAGAATCCATCGAGGTCATCACCGAGATTGCAGGCACGCGACCGAAGGGATGGACGGCGCCAGGGTTCGAGGCCTCGCGCCAGACGGTCCAACTGCTGGAAGAGTTCGGGCTCGAGTACGACCACAGCTTCATGTACCATGACTCGCAGCCGTATTGGCTGCCATATGTCCCGACGTGGAAGGAGACGAGCATGACGCGGGTTCGCGCCGACGGAGAACCCCCCGTGAAGGCTTCTGACTGGATGGTGGGCATGTCGGCGCTGCAGCCCAGCTCGATCGTCGAAATACCGGCCAACTGGCACCTGGACGACTGGCCGCCGCTGCAGCTGAACCTCAAGCAGGCCAGTACGCACGGATTCGTCGACCCATACGTGGTGGAGAGGCTTTGGAAGGACCAGTTCGACTTCTACTATCGCGAGTACGACCAGTTCATCTTCCCCATCTCCATCCACCCGCAAGTCAGCGGCAAGGCGCAGGTGATACTGATGCATGAGAGGCTGATCGAATATATTAACGGCCACAGCGGAGTCAAGTGGTGTACTATGGCAGAGATGGCACAGGAGTTCCGAGACGGCACTCTGGAGGGAGTGACTGTAACAGGTGGTGTCACTATACCCCATTCACTAGGGGTTGATCAGTAAGTTGATGTACATAGAAGCCTGGGTTGGCAGAATAAAAGATTCCGTTCCTGGAATGCTCAAACAGCCTTCGTTCTACCTCACATCCCGTGAAGAAGGTCATTCCACCGTCGCTGCCGACGAGGCCTTATGTAGAATATAAAAACGTTTAGTGCAGCTTCGGCTGGGCATCAGTATTTCAAGAGTATCCGTTTAAATCAATAACTGTCCTTTGGTCTTCTCGACCTTTCTACCTGGATACCATTGCAGTCGACTGTGATTCGAAGACATCACAGCTGGCTCAGTATATATTCAACAAGCCAGAGCAAGCCCCCATACGTTCACTGTTCTGCATGGGAGCCCTTTTAGCAGGCTGGCGAGCTCTGCTACTCCTACATATCCACATCCAAAAGCCTCATTATTCGCATTCGCCTAGTGTGGGACTTTCCCATCAGTCTGATATGTGCAGCAATGGTCTTTTTGCCAATACAAACCTTCATCGACCTTCTGACAACACTCCGTTATGACGCCGTGACTATCCGCGTCCCTGCTACCCATTTCCTGCCCTGTCACACAATTTCAGAGACTTTCTTGCACCAGTAGAAGCAAAGGCAGCCAAACAGGTGGCGTGGCCCCCGTGGTGCCTCCGAGCCAATTGAGGTTGTCGATATCTTGACTAGGGACTTTAAAGCCATCGCCGAACATGCCTATACAAACGAGCTCGGAGGGTCTTCGCGGTTGGGGGATTAGAACGACATTAGGGTCCCAAGTATGACCTAGGAGGGAATGGGAGATGGTGTTAGGAAAACCTGGATAGAAGAATGGATATGCTGCGAAAGTAGCGAGAGTAGTAAGAGCGAGCGGGAGAGAAAAGGAGAGTGTTTATCGAGATATCTTCTACCCTCTACGTAGTATAGTAGATATCCTTCTAATTTAAACGAGTAGTAACCAACATCCTGGCGTGGTGGAATGCCCTGCGTGGTGAAATGAGCGGGCGGTTACTTCTAGTTCGTCTACGCCGTGAATATCACTCATTTGAGGAAGCGAGCTGATTAGCGTGGATGTTGCATAATGTATAAAATCACCACCCTAGTGTGACCATTACACGCGCGGACATCTTCTATACCAGTTCCCCTCCTCTCCTTTCCGGAGCCTCGGCAGTGGCATACTCCAGTGCTTAATATGCCAGACAGCAGTTCCATATTGCCAGCTCACTTCTCTTGCATGTTAACAAACTCCGAAACGGTAAGGTTCAGTCGTTAGTTGGTGCCATGGTGCATCGTTTAATTACCATGTGCACGGTCAGCATGCGTCCATGCGGGGCCCCGGCAAGAGCCGAGTCGCCAAGCCGAGATCGCTTGGCACGAACATTATTACCGAGTATTATACCAGTGTTGTTGCGGCATTGTTAATACCGCATTGAACAACCATCCGATTTCATCGACCACGTCAATCTGGCAGCTGCATAGTCTGTCATTTGAAAGCAGTTCTCGCACACTGCTGTTATTTCACTGGTCGTTCCACGCGCGTCGTACATTTCAGCCCCCGCCCCCATGCCTGCTCTTTTTTGCAGGTGCCACGTTGTCGCCTGTATGCAGACCTCTGCGCTGTCTGAGACATATACTTCAGCCTGATCGCACAGTTTTCACGATGCCTCTGTCCTCCGTCTATGACCTTGATGTGAGAGCAACTCTCACACTTCCCGACGTCGCAGTCGCAGTCGGACTCTTAACCCTCTTCCACCCCCCTCCAGGGCCTCACGATATCCCTAGTTGACAATGCGTCTTTTGCAAGCACTGCCAAATGGATGCTTTCGTCTCACCGAAGACTTCCCCGACCATGCGGTCCCTCCCTATGCCATCCTCTCACACCGATGGGAAAATGATGATCAGGAAGTCACTTATGAAGACATGGAAAAAGGGTTGGGTCGAGACAAGGCTGGATATGATAAGATCCAGTTCTGTGGGGAACAGGCGACCAGAGACGGCTTACAATACTTCTGGGTGGACAGTTGTTGCATCAATAAATCAAACGAGGGTGAACATCAGAGAGCTATCCAATCCATGTTCCGCTGGTACCGCAGAGCGAGTCGATGCTATGTCTACTTGTCGGATGTTTCTGTATCTCCCGGTGACAACAATGATATGCAGCAATGGGGACTAGATTTCCAAAACAGCAAATGGTTCACTCGGGGCTGGACACTCCAAGAGCTCCTAGCTCCAGCTTCGGTCGAATTTTTCTCTTGCAACCGCGCACGACTCGGCGATAAAGTTTCGCTACAGCAACCGATTCAGCAGAAAACGGGAATTGATATTCGAGCACTTCAAGGAGAACGCTTAACTCAGTTCAGCGACAAGGAACGATTCGCATGGATAGAATGCCGCCAGACCACACTGGAAGAAGATAAAGCGTACTCACTCCTAGGCATTTTCGACGTCTCCATCCCTATTCGTTATCGTGAAGGCATAGCGAATGCGTTTAAGAGGCTCGAAGACGAGATCAATGCGCAGTCGAAGTGTATCCGAGACCTACGCGTCACCGATCCCCGCGATGACAAGAAACGGATTGTGGACACTAAAGGCTGCTTGCTGGCGGACTTATACCACTGGATCCTGGAACATAGTGACTTTCAACAATGGCGTGGTGGCCAGCAGAGTCAGATGCTGTGGATTAAAGGCGACCCAGGCAAGGGCAAGACGATGCTTCTCTGCGGAATTATTGACGAATTGGAGAGGAGCATGCCCAAATCCCATCTCCTGTCCTACTTCTTCTGTCAGGCAACGGATTCGAGAATCAACAACGCCGTGGCGGTTTTGCGGGGCCTCTTATTCTTGCTCATCGAGCAACAGCCTTCGCTCGTCTCGCACATTCGAAAGCAGCACGACCATGCCGGCGAAGATCTCTTCAAAGATGCCAATGCTTGGGTTGCTCTGTCGGAGATCTTTACTAACGTTTTGCGGGACCCGAACCTAGAAAATACTTTTTTGATCATCGATGCGCTCGACGAATGTACGCTAGGCTGGGACAAGCTACTGCACTTTATTGCGCGTTGCTCGTCGCTGTCGCCGCGAGTCAAATGGCTTGTCTCAAGCCGTAACTGGCCTCCCGTCGAGGAGCGGCTAGATAAGGCCGAAAGTAAGGTGAGGCTATGCCTCGAGCTGAATGCCGACTCTATTTCTGCGGCTGTCCACATCTACATCAAGCATAAGGTACGCCAGCTGACGCAGAGGAAGAAGTATGACGACAAGACGCGAGATGCGGTGGTTGAACATTTGTCCTCGAACGCAAATGACACATTCCTCTGGGTTGCTTTGGCCTGCCAAAGCCTCGAATCGGTTTCCCGATGGAATGTTCGTGCAAAGCTGAAGACTCTTCCACTCGGCCTTAACTCTCTTTACCGGCGAATGATGCAACAGATTAGAGATTCGGAGAGTTCAACACTCTGCAAGCGGATTCTTGCCTCGATCGCAAGCGTATACGAACCCATCACTATATTCGAATTGACGTCACTTATCGACACTCTTAAGGATATGTCCGAGGATCCAGAGTCATTACGGGAGATTATTGGTTTATGTGGTTCGTTCCTGACCATTCGAAAAGACACTATCTACTTCGTGCATCAGTCAGCAAAGGACTATCTACTCTCAGAGGCGTCTGTTGAGATCTTTCCATCTGGGAGCAAAGAGATCCACTATGGGTTCTTCTCGAGATCCCTCGAAGTCATGTCTAGGACGCTACACCGGGACATGTATGGCTTAGGTGCTCCAGGATATACGATTGAGCGGGTCAAACAGCCAGACCCCGACCCATTGTCGGTGCTACGGTATTCCTGCATGTATTGGGTTGATCACCTCTGCGAGTGTGAAGCTCACAGACTAGTAAATCACCAAATCGACCTGCAGATGTTCGTGAGAGAGAAATTCTTGTATTGGCTCGAGGCTCTTAGCTTATCGAAAGCCATGTCGAAAGGAGTGCTTGCAATGACGACACTCGAGAAGCTCATCCAGGTAACCTTTAACTGGTGTCATAAATGTATAACTCCTACTGACAAGATATAGGGGAGAGCAGATGCATCCGCACTGCTCGAGCTGATTCACGATGCTCGTCGATTCGTTATGTACCATAAGCAGGGAATCGAGATCAGCCCTCTTCAGGCGTATATTTCTGCACTCATCTTCAGTCCAAGTAACAGCTTAACAAGGCGTCATTTTAAAGAGGAAGAGCCAAAATGGATCGCGATAAAGCCAGGTACGGGAGAAAATTGGAGTGCCTGTCTGCAGACGCTCGAGGGCCACAGCGACTGGGTCAACTCGGTAGCGTTCTCGCCCGACTCGACCCGACTCGCGTCGGCGTCGGTCGACGGTACAGTGAAGATCTGGAACGTTAGCAGCGGCGCCTCCCTTCAGACGCTCGAGGGCCATAGCGCCGGGGTCAACTCGGTAGCGTTCTCGCCCGACTCGACCCGGCTCGCGTCGGCGTCGGACGACCGCACAGTGAAGATCTGGGACGCTAGTAGCGGCGCCTATCTACAGACGCTCGAGGGCCACAGCAGCTGGGTCAGCTCGGTAACGTTCTCGCCCGACTCGACCCGGCTCGCGTCGGCGTCGAACGACTGCACAGTGAAGATCTGGGACGCTAGCAGCGGCGCCTCCCTTCAGACGCTCGAGGGCCACAGCGCCTGGGTCAACTCGATAGCGTTCTCGCCCGACTCGACCCGGCTCGCGTCGGCGTCTGACGACTGCACAGTGAAGATCTGGGACGTTAACAGCGGCGCCTCCCTTCAGACGCTCGAGGGCCACAGCGCCGGGGTCAACTCGGTAGCGTTCTCGCCCGACTCGACCCGGCTCGCGTCGGCGTCGGTCGACGGTACAGTGAAGATCTGGAACGTTAGTAGCGGCGTCTATCTACAGACGCTCGAGGGCCACAGCGCCAGAGTCAACTCGGTAGTATTCTCGCCCGACTCGACCCGGCTCGTGTCGACGTCGGACGACGGTACAGTGAAGATCTGGGACGCCAGTAGCGGCGCCTATCTACAGACGCTCGAGGGCCACAGTAGCTGGGTCAGCTCGGTAACGTTCTCGCCCGACTCGACCCGGCTCGCGTCGGCGTCGGACGACTGCACAGTGAAGATCTGGGACGCCAGTAGCGGCGCCTATCTACAGACGCTCGAGGGCCACAGCAGCTGGGTCAGCTCGGTAACGTTCTCGCCTGACTCGACCCGGCTCGCGTCGGCGTCGGACGACTGCACAGTGAAGATCTGGGACGTTAGCAGCGGCGCCTCCCTTCAGACGCTCGAGGGCCACAGCGCCAGAGTCAACTCGGTAGTATTCTCGCCCGACTCGACCCGGCTCGCGTCGGCGTCGGACGACGGTACAGTGAAGATCTGGGACGTTAGTAGCGGCGTCTGTCTACTAACGCTCGAGGGCCACAGCGTCGCGGTTAACCCGATAGCGTTCTCGCCCGACTCGACCCGGCTCGTGTCGGCGTCGGACGACGGTACAGTGAAGATCTGGGACGTTAGCAGCGGCGTCTATCTACTAACGCTCGAGGGCCACAGCAGCTGGGTCAGGTCGGTAACGTTCTCGCCCGACTCGACCCGGCTCGCGTCGGCGTCGAACGACTGCACAGTGAAGATCTGGGACGTTAGCAGCGGCGCCTCCCTTCAGACGCTTAGTATTGGCAAGCGGCTTAGGACTATATCATTCGACATCACAGGCTCGTATCTTCATACTAATATCGGGATCGTCACTATTGATGTATCTTCAGCTACAGGCATGACGCCGGATAAAATGGAACATCAGAACCCGCAATATGAAGGTGTGGGCTTGGGTCTAAACGGAGATTGGATTACATGCAATTCACAGAACATCATATGGCTACCTTCCGAGTATCGGCCACAGTCTTCAGCCGTGTCGGGGAGGACGATGGCGATCGGCGCAGGATCTGGAAAGGTGTGGATGTGCGAACTTCAGCGTACCGGCTTCGAACATTGTTAGAGATATCTGTGTGACGCGTTTGACTTTCGTTATCCTGTACTGTGCAGTATAACTGATATATTTTTATTACCTCTACTTCACAGAGGGCTCTGGGGGGAGGTATGAATAAATTGCCTGCTGCTTAGGTCGAAGCTTCTGGAACATCAGCGCACTCATCTTCAAGGCATCTCATCACATCATTACGCCACTGATCGTGTAAAGGGGAGAGTTATTTGAACTTCTCCGGTCAGGCTCAGATCGCCCTTGTCGAATCTCCGAAGGCGCATTGTGTCAAGTGCGCTCTGGCGGCACGTTATGAGTATATGTGCGGCCTAGACAAGCACTGGGTGCCTCCCATGGCTCAAAAACCTTGAGTGCTCGTTGTCACCAGCCGTGGGGTGCTAGAGTGCTGCTCTGACAAGCAGCGCGCGCGAAGAGAGGCAGTCGTCGTGGTTTGCAAATGAGGGCAAGGTAACGGCAAAGTTAGAGTCAGTTGGGGGCGTTTAACACTGGACAGCAAGGGACGACTAATATTAGATATCTTTCGTGACACTGAATGCTTGGGAGCATCGGCCAGGAATGATGCAAGGATTGTAGAAAGATATCGTCGAGAGGGACCGATCGGGCAATGAGGATCTTTGGACATTGAATCTGGTAATGATATCGCATGCATACCTTGCATGGGGTAGGCAATCCACCACGGCACCAACCAACGGCTGAACCTGTCCATTTCGGACTTTTATAATGCGTGGGAAGAGAGGCCTAGCAGTCGGGAACTGCTATCTATCATGCTGAGCAGGAGAGTACTGGTTCGGCCGAGACGCCGGAAAGGACAGTGGGCGAAATCGCAATCGGATAGATAATTTCCACACGTTATGGTCACATAGCTGTCGTAATTTAATACATTATATAGGAATATAGGTGATTCAACGTCCACGGTATCAGTTCCTTCGGTCCAATGAGTGATAACATTCGCATTTGTGTTTGATAGAGACGCGAGCAAAGTAAAAGTGGGGCCACACCCAGGGCATTTCATTGCATAGGGATGCGCGTTATATATCTTGATCGAACGAACGAAGCGAGCGACTGTGCCAATGTACCAGAGCATGCAAAAGCTCCCTCCCAAACCGAAGGCCGTATCATATCATACAATTGAGAACCTCGCAACTACACACGGCTGCAGGACCCGATCCAACAGCTTGACAGCACGGCACGAAGCCATCCATCAAAACCCGAAGGGGGGGGATAAAAGATCGAAGGCCGACCGAGCTAGTCTTGCTTCGTTGTTTACTTCGTCTTTCTTTCAAATCCCCCGTGACCTCCATTCCCTTACCCTTCCCTCGGCGTTGGGCACGGGTGTGTTCTGGCCGAGGTACACACGTACATACGTCCACACATAACTTATTGAACGAGACTCTCATTGGCGCATCGCCTCTTAGTATGTACTACAGTACCGAGTAGAATGTAAGATTTTGGATTGGAGGCCAAGCGTGTCCAAAGCCCCCCCCGAGATCGTCCCGACTTTAGCCACCGATCGATCCCGAGCGAGGCAGAACCGGGGTGTGTGTGTGTGTGTGTGTGGGATCCGAATATTAACGCCATACACGTACAAGTACTGTACGGAGTAGGTATACATCACACCTAATGATAGTACATTACCTACTGTACCTATATCAATCATATTTCCAGACAGCATGCATACTGTATGCATGGACGGTAAGGTAGGTACAGGCATGCATGCCAGACATAATATCGAATATAGCCTGGTGGTGGGCCGTCTGCTGCACAAAGACAGACGTATGGCATCTAAATATGTATATAGTAGTTTGATTATAGGCCATGAGCTGTAGAGCTATGAACGGTATGTATGTATGGATACTGGAGACACGACAGAACAGAGACATGTACATGGCAGACGGAGGGGTGGAGGGAGGGAGGGATTGACTGATCAATCGAGCTGGATGGTTGGTGAGAAATATGCAAAATGTGGTCCGCACACAAGTCATACTAATTTAATGATGATGATTATGACAAGATATTTCTTTTCTTTTCTTTTTCTTTTTTCTTTTCATCGTCGTCTTCTCCTTCTTCTAGTTATTGCTTGCCCCTACATTGTATTTCTATAGTCGGTGAGATCATTAGGTACGCATCCATCCCATTTTGCGTGGCGAAAGGAGAGGGGGAGGGCCGCCTTGTCGTCCCTCCCCCTTTTCAACATCTCAATGCGGCGCGTCTATATTCTCCCCGCCTGGATACATCACAGAGGCACGGGCACATACCCAATTCAGCCACGACAAGCTGAGACGGACAACTTTCGCATTCTCTCAAATCACTCCCTCCCCAACCTCTCGCCGTCATCTGCCGTCATTTCGTAGGCTGGCTTGTAACATTCCTCCCCGTGCTCGTCCGTGTACCGCAGCTTCGGGTTCTTCACCGTGTCGTTGACGCCCCCGAGACTGGTGTAGCCCGCGTCATACATCTCACAGTATCTCAATGGCGGGGCGGCGCCCTCCTCGGCCCCCGGTGCTCGACCGTTGCTCGCGCGGCTGTCCAACATACGACCAATGTCTTTCAGGTGCGGGGAGCGCAAAAAGCACCAGATCTCCGAGAGATGCCAGTCAATCACAGGATGGATGCGCATGAACGGCGGCCAGTTGTGGTCGGTGGGGTCAAAGTGTGTCAAGTGCGAACCGTGCGGGTCGGTGCGACGGGTACCGACGAAGATGGCTTTGATGTGCGGGTTGGAAGAGAGGTAGAGGGCAAAGGCGTCGCGGAAGGAGATGATGGGTTTGTCTGACGAGTTCTGTAACGAGTTGGAGGCGGTTTTGGTCTTCTGAATGGGAGTGAGACTGTCTGGTCCGAGTCCTTCCAAGGTAGATGAGAGGGGGGGATTGGAATGTGACCTCCGCTTCTTTCCTGGACCAGGATTCGTGGATATATGGGTCAGGTCGAGGTGGTAGAGGCGCGCCGAATAGTCGACAAAATCTGAAACGGCCGGAAAGGGATCGGGTGGTTTGGCGTAGATGGAGGGAATGGATTTGGGAAACTCTTTCCGCCTGTTTCTGGGGTGCGTGAAATGTGTATGGATCACGGCGAGGTATAAGATCAGGAGGACGAGGCAGTCCTTCCCACCGTTATACGAGAGGGACAGAGTCTCGAACCTGCGCCGCAGCCTCTGTCAGATCTTTTGGTGATTCGAGCGGGATTGGCGGGGTCATGGCTCACTCACTCATAGTCATTCAACGCCTTTTCTATCACCCCCATGGATATCCTCGCCTGCTCTTGAGTTCTCCTGGTCACGTCGTCTTCCGGGGCCGCAGAAAGAAACGCCGAGACCTGCGCATGGACGAGAGCACAGACGTCCTGCAACGAGTGGGCCGAGGCGGACGAGGAGGATACATCAGCTTCTCCATTGACCGCGGCGAGGGTTCCATTGGCCATGGGGGCATTGGGCGGCAGCGATGTAGCGCTCATAATGGCGCCGACATGGATAGGGAAGGGTGGCACTGGTGGTAATGTGAGGGACACGGGAAAAGAGAGCGAGACCGAGTCAAGTATTAAGTTGCCTTGTGGAAAATCGGAGAAAGATGACATCGGGCGGGAGAGAGACTGTGTGTGGGGGAAACAACAACTTTGGGGGCTGCCCTGACACGATATTTCTTCTAACTCGTACATTGAATGCTAGCGAGATATTACGAGTTTCCAAGGCTGACACAGACTGTTGCCGGATGTACCGTCTCTCGTCGTTGACCGAAGCCGGGAGAAAGACAACTCGTCTATCCAGAGAGTCTCGCCGTTTCCGTTGCCCCGCGGAATCATCGTAGCCCCCACCAGCTCCTCCGAGGCAGGCTCCCTACGGAGTTATCTCCAGGTTCATGTTGTTGTCGTCTACACTCTTCTCGGCACCTGGATGGCTCCCCGTCCTCACAGATCTTTGAGCTCTGAGGGCCGTCCCCATCAGTTTTGCCCATTCTGCAAGCTCTGTGAGGGTGGGAGGGATATCGGTTTGTGGATCCTCGAACAGATATGGCGTCGGCATCGTCCCTATCACCCAGTCAGTGCCAGACGGAGAAAGATACAGAGCGGAGAACACACCCCAAAAGCAATCACTGAACTCTGCTTGCACCATCTTGTCGTCCTGAGGTCGGGCCTTCATGGCAAGAACCCATATCATCATGGGGATCATCCACTGACAACCAAAGCACAATGCCAATCGCCGTGCTCCCTCTATATCCCCTGCAGTCACCGCCTCTTCCTCGCGGTACCAAACATGCCGAAGCTGTTCCAATCGGTTTCGAAGTTCCCCCCGGTAAGTTTCGTCGTCGAGCTCAGGAAGGATCTGGAAAAGGCCTCCTGCCGTAATCAGTTGACTCATAGAGACGAGGCCGTCTGACTCCGAAGCCGTCGGCGGATGAACACACAGCTCAAATTGAGCCAGGTATTCCGCTTCATGGTAATCGTGGCGCAGCCGAGGATGGTCGTTTTCGTCGAGACCATGATCTTTCAGAAGATCCACCGTCCAGGAAAACGTGCCAGGCGGATATTTCGACGTGTCGATCACATGTATGTAGCAGTTTTCTGCAGTCGTGTGCTGACACGTGGCAATCTTGCGAACACAGTGCTGGAGGGCAAAGAGAAAGGATGAGGTAAACGATATAAAGATGTCGTCGTTTCGCTCTTTCCGGCTTTCCCAAATGAGGTGATCTTTGACCATGCTGCGTGCTGCCCCAGGCGCGAGCTGGGCTAGGGACGTGATGTCAAGGATGTCGTTGGTTCGCGCCATCGACCCGAATCTCTCACGACTATTATAACCCTCTGATGCTGGGGAATACGCACGAAAGAGGTACCGGGGTACATTCGATGCCGTCGACATCTTGTTTCTTTCGATTTGCATAGCAGGGAGGCTAGAGATGTGGACGACTATGATGGAGGAGAGCCTGCTGCAGCTGAGTGCATTATATAGTCAAGCTGGAGGCAGACGCCACGGTGACACGATCTGATGCAGGCCGGTTTGATCCAAACAACCTGGAAGGCGTGCTCACATGCCTGAGCTCTCCATAGTCGTGACTCGGATCATCGACAGGTTTCTTGCTGGCTGCAATCGAGCCAATGAGCAGTACACGGAGTGACACGGTTGACAGCTGAGCGGCATCAACGTCTTTCATCGTCGTGCCCCGAAGAGAAATGGTCATATTGCGAGTGTGAACAGGCCACCCCGGCTGTGAATTCGAGTACCTGATAGCGCCCAGCCCCAGATATTCGACCATCATTCGCCAGTTAACTGTGTGCACATCCCAGAGCCGCGAATGGGTCGTCAAATCTGGCTCGTCTTGTTGTATGCGCAGAAAAAGAACATAAACACCCATGCCATGCCATCGCTTGTGGGATGAGATCAACCCAGCACCTTCATCTTCTTTTTCTTCTTCCCCTCCTCACCCTTCTTGACGCCCTTCTGAAAGTCGCGCCAGCTCCCGATGCGCTGCTCTCTGGTCTCCTCCCAATCCTTCTCGTGGTCTCGCTTCCGTTTTCGCTCCTCTAGCTGCGCATCCTCTTTCGCCTTCTCACGACCTTCTTCTTGCATTCTTGCCTTCATCTGTCGCCGTCTCCGGGCCTCGGCTTCCACCAGGACTTCCACCGTCTTTCTTCGCCATTCCTGCTTAAACTCCTCGGTTTTCAATTCCTCAGAGTCCACGGTGTATTTGTGCTGTCTGATCAACAGTTGCCTCGCATCTGCAATGCATTCGTCAAGATGCTGACGTTGGCTCTCATCCAGTAACGCAGTCTGTGCTTTTTTGAGTCGGTCAAATGCCTCAGGAGCCTGGGGGTTCTTGGTCTTATCCGGGTGGATTAGTAGAGACTTTTTGCGATAGACAATCTTGATGTCCGATTCAGGTACTCCCGGCTGGAGGTCTAATACTGCGTAGCTGCGAAATGGGTCAGCGGCTTCAGAGCGAACCAAGGCGTGGCGACACTTACGCATCGAGTTTAAAGGCATTGAGAATGCGATCGATTTCAGCGTCCTGGTGGCATGTTAGCCAGACGGGTAACGCGCCAGTTAAGCATACACACCTTGTCATATTCCTTTGCTTCTTTCTCAAGCACATCGAGAGCATCGGACTCATCATTAGCCATGGTGGGCTGATAGTATGTAGCTTACCGATGTCTATCAAGATCTTCACCTTTTGGAGACAAAGTTGATGTGTCAAAAGCGAGTGAGTTGATGGAAGGAGAGTAGTAGCCTTGCCCAAGACTTCAGGATATTCACCAGACGCTATTTAATTGCGACTGTACCCCGTCAAACTTAAAGGTGCGACAGCGGCGCAAGAACAGCGTAATACGAGAGGCTCTCTGCCTTCCTGGGTTGGGAAGGTATTCCGATCGGGCCTGCCGAGGTTGTCCCGCTTATCGATAAGGCATCTCATCACATGACCGCGAAAATAATTTGAGCCGCAACCAACTCGTCAACTCGCCAACCCTCCGCACAATATTGTCTCAGACGCAGTCTTCACATTCTTACAATGGGGTCGCAGGGCCACCGCAGGGGCCCAAGGGGCCCCAAGAAAACCTTCCAGAGACCCAGGGTACTCAAACGGAAACGAGAAGAGGAAGACCTCGACGCCCTCGCCCAGCGGGTCGCCAACTTCGATCCGAAAACTGCGCCGCCGCCGGAGAACTTCGTTGACCTCCCATTGTGTCAAGCCACCCAAGATGGACTCGCGGCCTCGCACTTCAAAACCTTGACCACCATCCAGAGCAGAACTATTCCGCTGGCGCTGCAGGGTGCGGATATCTTGGGCGCAGCGAAAACGGGTTCGGGCAAGACACTGGCATTTCTGGTACCTGTTCTGGAGAACTTGTACCGCAAGAGATGGACCGACTACGATGGCCTGGGAGCGTTGATTCTCTCTCCCACTCGAGAGCTGGCCATCCAGATCTTCGAAGTTCTGCGGAAAGTTGGCCGCAACCACACTTTCTCCGCCGGGTTGGTGATTGGAGGGAAAAGCCTACAAGAGGAGAGAGAACGACTCGGACGTATGAATATTCTGGTCGCCACACCGGGTCGGATGCTACAGCACATGGACCAGACAGCAGAATTGGACATTGGAAATCTACAAATGCTGGTGTTGGACGAGGCCGACCGAATTATGGACATGGGGTTCAAGCAGACTATTGACGCCCTGCTCGAGCACCTCCCCCCGGACAGGCAGACTCTCATGTTCAGCGCCACTCAGACTAAGAAGGTTTCTGACCTTGCAAGATTGAATCTGAAAGAACCGGAATTCGTCTCTGTCCACGAAGCAGCCGACAGCGCAACGCCCTCGTCACTGCAACAGAACTACGTCGTCACACCACTGCCAGACAAGCTCGACACCCTGTGGTCATTTATCCGTGCAAACGTCAAAAAGAAAATCCTGGTCTTTCTAAGCAGCGGCAAGCAAGTTCGCTTTGTGTACGAGGCCTTTCGGCATCTCCAGCCCGGTATCCCATTGCTTCACCTGCACGGGCGACAAAAACAGACAGCCCGAGTTGAGATCACCACGAAATACTCAAACAGCCAATACGTATGCTTGTTTTCAACAGATGTGGCGGCTCGAGGATTGGACTTCCCCTCTGTTGACTGGGTTGTCCAGGTCGACTGTCCGGAAGACGCTGACACTTATATCCACCGAGTAGGGCGAACGGCACGGTTCGAGCACGATGGCCGGGCGGTGTTATTCCTCGACCCCAGTGAAGAAGATGGCATGCTGAATGCCCTAGCGAGAAAGAAGGTCAGCCTGGAGAAGATCAACGTGCGCCAGAAGAAAATGCAGCAGACCATCCGCAACCAGCTGCAGAATATGTGTTTCAAAGATCCCGAGTTGAAGTACTTGGGCCAAAAAGCCTTCATCAGCTACGTGCGCAGTGTCCATGTTCAGAAGGACAAGGAAACTTTCAACCTGAAAAGGCTCGACCTGGAAGGTTTTGCGGCGAGTCTGGGCCTCCCTGGCGCACCTCGCGTGAAATTTGTCAAAGGGGAGGATGCAAAGGCCAAGAAAAATGCACCGCGACAGCTTCTGGCTGCGCTGGAGTCGAGTAGCGACGAGAGTGATGCTGAAGGCGAGCAGCGTTCCAAGCAAAAACAACGGAATGGAGGAGTCAGGACGAGATACGACCGCATGTTCGAACGGCGTAACCAGGACGTCTTGGCTGAGCATTACACGAAACTGATCGAAGACGACGATGAAGATGACGGCGGCCACGACGACACTGCATCGAAAGTGAAAGCAACAAACAATGGCGCCACCGCGGCCAATGATGAAGTGGACGATTTCCTCTCTGTGAAGCGCCGCTTCGAAGCCGGCGACTCAGATCTCGACCAGGCCAGTGGCAGCGATTCGGCCTCGTCCAGAGGAACGAAGGGAAGACCGAGGTCCGGGTCATCCCTGGAACCCAAAAGCATCCAGCTATCCAGCAACCCTGATGCCCCAGCGCTGACCATCGACTCGCACCGGCGCGAGAAGCTCCTGGCCTCGAAGAAGAAGCTGCTCAAGTACCGTGGGCGAGGGGCTCACCTGACCTTCGACTCGGACAGCGACACACCGAAGGACAAGAAAGCGTACCAGGACGAGGCCGCGTTCACGGCCGCAGAGGAGGAGCGGCGGGCGTTCTTGGAGCGCGAGGCCGAGAGGGCGCGGGAGGCGGACCTCGTGGACAAGGAGATCGCGCGGGGCAAGAGGCGGGAGAAGAAGGAGAAGCGCAAAGAGAGGGAAAGGCAGCAGCGGGCCGGGTATGGGAGGGACAGCGGGGACCTCGATGGAGAAGACGGTGTCCAACTGGTTCCGTACGAGGACGGAGTCGACGATGAGCCTCTCAGATCTCAATCTCCAGCAGACCTCGAAACCGAAGCCGAGCCCGAGCCCAAACCCAAGCGCCAGAAGAAATGGTTCCAAGACTCGTCCGACGAGGAGACCACGACCGCGGCCCAGAAGGACCAGAGCAGGGAGAACAACATCAGCGACAAGAAGAAGAAAACGAACAAGAACAAGAAGGACCGCCGCGCCACAGACGCCGGTGGTGGCGGTGCCCAGCAGCCGCAGACACTGGAGGATCTGGAGGCGTTGGCCGCCGGTCTCCTTGCGACGGGCTAGCGCATATACTGTCTGTAGCTCACACGCCATTGCATTCATCGGTACGAGGTGCAGCAACACACATACAGTACGAGGTCTCATCACACAGGGAATCAATATTACACTACCCTACAATGACGAAAGAAGCAGCCTGGACAGACCGGTCGCAATGTCGTCCGGACAACTATTACCACCCTCGTTCTTCTATGTAGGATATGATATGACATCGATCTGCAGACATGAAAAGCCGTCCCGTCAGCTCTATCTTCTAGGCAGTTGCATCGATCGCATCACTTATATAATATTTAAGTGGACAGATATAGCAAATTCCCTCAAAGAAATGAACGAGAGTTTGAAAAATAAAGAAAACAGCAGCCCAGCCAGGGGCCGTCGTGATTGTATTTCTACAGTAAACCGCCCCAAACATTCCTCCTTCGTATGAACTAATAAGATCTTTCACATTTCCCATTTCCCATTTTATCCTTCCCGACCCTCGCTTTGTTGTATCAGGGAGAGAGGGGGAGATGGTCTCGACTCTTTTTTCCCTCCGATAAACTGTTGTCCGCAAGGGTCACAAACTTGGAGACCGTTACAATGATATCATCCGATCGATTGACAAAGGTAAGGCAAGGCATATCTTCCCCCCCCCCGGCGACTCTGTCCATGCTTCCCAGGTTTTCCGTGGGAAGCCCACCAGCTCAATATCCCGGAGTCGCCAAATGCCTGTGTATCGTTGTATTCATCACCACAATGCAGGCGTCGTCTGCCGACCACAAGAGGACCTCGCATGTGCTCCAACCCGACTTCTCGAGTTCCATTTCCCTCGAGATGGGAAGACTGGCTCACTGCTCCCTTGTGCCCACGCTTTCTTATTCGACTACCCACAGATGATGACCCTGCCACAAAGGAAAAAAGCTCAGAGGTTGCATTTTATACCAAGGAAATTGTATGGCCACGAGTCCCGTCGACTGGGCATCACGGCATACGAAGCTGACTGATCACGATTTCCGCCGATTTTCATGTATATTCTATGTTGTGCTGTTGACCACGTGTGTAGAATGGGTATCGAAAGTTCTCGCTATGAGGTTCGTTGCGCGCGAGCCGAAATCGACCGGCGCGCTTCCGACACTAGTTAGAACTTTGTCTTCGCTTTCGTGAAATTGTCCCTCTTTTCGAAGAGGAACGTGAGGGTCTTCTGCCGTTGCTCATGCTCTTGTATCCGTTAGAAAGGCACAATCAGTCCCGTGTCCCGCACAGACCATTTTCTGCCTCATTAAGATAGTTGTACAGAATTTAAAACTGGGAGGAAACAGAAGTTTCTGCTCCAGGTTTGCTCCCAGGCGCTCGTTTCTTCGTTCAACAAAAGGGACGGTTTCGTGGGATGTGAGTGACTACAGGCGTCGTCCTTTCGGGTCTGGCGCTCGCCGTGCCGGCCGGGGAACGTCCTCCAGTTTATTCGTTTCGAGGACCTAGGATGCCCTGTATGTCCATCTTCGGTCTTTTCGGATCTGGCTCTTGGGTCCCTTCACCTCTGCTTCCCTGCTGTCCTCGGGGAGACGGTAGCGTCTGCGGAGGAAGCTGCTGCACAATTGCCGGGTCGATCGGGCCGGAAAGTGCTGGCAAAATCGGTGGCAACTGGAGACTGGATGATGTGCTCAAGGGCGGCAGCTGTTCAGAAGACAAGGATGACGGAGGACGCGGGAAGATAGGGCTGGGAGCGTAATACCCAGGAGGTCCCACCTGTCCTGGCTGGGATGGGTAGTTGTAACCAGCGCCGTAACTCATCGATCGGAAGGTGGACTCTGGTTGAGCAGGGTTGTAGGACGGTGATGCTTGCCCTGGCATAGGAGCAAGACCTCCGTGATATTGACGGGACGAGGGGGGTACAAATGTCCCTTCTGCCATTGCTAGGCTCGGTGATATCGATGGCGGAGCGTGTAAGGTCAAGACTGACGATCTTGGCTGTCCGAGTCGAGAAGTAGGTGCAGCATAAGGCCTGAGCGGCGGATATCCTGCTGTCGGGGGGTACATTGGCGGGTCCCCGAATCTCCTCTGCGGTTCGCCTAACCGCCCGGGCAAGGGAGTCAGTGCTGCTTCAAAGGGCCGTCTTGTAGAAGCGTCATCTGGTTTCAAGGGGGGACGCCCCCTCTTCTTGTGCTCGACATCTACGCAGGATTCCTAGAAACCCCAGATTCGTCAGCTCATTTCATGGGGCAAGAATTCCGCAATCGCACCTCTTTACCACTCTGTACACATCTTCGACATGGGCGGCTACTGTCACATCTCAGATGCTTCTTCTTGCAATTTACGCAGGCTGATGCGACGTGCGCCTTGGGCTTCCGAGCCGTGCGTGGTGAAACAGGGCTCAGCCCCGAACGAGTCGGGGGACCGCTGATGGACGTTGAGGCGAAGCTCGATGCAGACTGGTATGGAACTGGAGGGAGCGGATAGTTCAGCGCATACGGCCCAGGCTGCACCGCAAGTTCGGTAACAATCTCCCCTCCTCTTGATATCGCACTTGGTCGGGGCACGGTGGCGTCCAAAGGCGCTATAGGCGAAGCGACGGCTGCCGTCGTCGTGACTGTCGTTGTTGGAGGAGTGTGAGATCGAGACCGCTTCCTTCGTCGACCAGCAATCTGGGCAGGTTCAGCAGGGGGTTCCGGTGGAGGAGAACCGGACATGGGAGGGGTGGGAAGAGATGCCCAAACGGGCGCGGCGACTGGCTTCGGCAGAGTGAGGTGCTCTATGGTGAATCTTGTGCTGTCGAGGCTTGATCGGTGTTTCTTGAATGACGGGCACAGAGGAAACTGAGGTGGGCGTGAATGCTGCATCAGGTACGTTTCTCTCTGAACTCGCTCCAAGATCGCATAGACCGCCCGTTTCCCGTTCGCCTTTCACAGATTTTCGCGCACGGAACAATGGTCCAGTGACTGCAACGCAGCCTCTCCTTCAGATGTCCGTGCTGAGATACCGTTGCGGATTCAGAGTCACTCTGCTTCGACCATGTACCCAGTGTACCTCCGACGCTTATTTAGATGTCCGTTGCAAGTGCCTTTGGCCCAAGTCAGTGTACTGCGTCGAGACCCAATGGATTGAAGAGGAATTGAACACAACATATCCCTCAAGAGTTGTGTTGCCTACCTGATCCGGTTTGCGAGACTTCCCTTCTGGCCCCCAATTTGATATCCAACCAATATTGACCAAACAGAATGATAGCAAGTACAGATGCCCGTCGTCGAGGGATTCAAGGATCAAACAGAAATTTGGAGGTCGTCACGTTTGGACAAATCCAGAGGACACGGCGCGCCAGCTGGGCAAGAGCGAATCACTGGACGTCAATTCGAGAAGGGAGCGTCTGGACTCGAATGGTCCGTGGTCCACGAAGAGTTGAAGTAGGAGAGGAAGCAAGACTAGGCGGATATGATCCGGAAGTCATGACAGGACCAGAGCACCGAACTCACTGTCAGAGACGCGGGCCAATGTGATCGTAGACATGTTCATCTGTATGCAAGGGCAGCAGCCTCTGGGCCATGCAGAGACAAAGCGGGAACCTGAGCAGCAGACAAATTTCCTCATGTTCGTGAATCGTGACGGCGATCTGCTCTATTGAGAGGCAGTAGAACGGAGTACTCACCCAATAGTCCCGGTTAACAGCTCCACATTGGTATGGATGCGCAGCCCACTCGCTCATGAGATCCAGGGATCCAGGAAGCTGAGAAGCTGAAAAGGTATGCATTAGCTTTTGCATCGGAGCGGACACTTGGCCCCGTCTCCCGCTGTCAATTGCGACATCCTATAATCCGCAGGGTTGTGTGGGCGATGTTTCGCCGCCTGTCGCGAGAGCCATGGTACCATGGTGTGCATCTCTAGGTCGGTGGCACCAGATAGTGGTGTCTCGGCAAGCCAGCGACGCGATGGCACCAGCCACAATCCGCCCCCCAGGCTGGCGGGGAACATGAGGCCAGCTATACGAAATGGCTTGCCCTGGGTGAGCACTGCCTGATTTGCTTGCAGAACACACACGCAGCCAGGCGCAAAGGGTGGCCAACCCGACCAAGCACTCCAAAAGCATATTTCTCCAGGTAAGCTTTCGCCCGGGTCCGGGCCCAATGAAAGGATTGTCATGGAAATTCCCCAACCCGGCGTGGTGCTTTGGCAGAAGCCGCGGGAGAAACACTCGGGGCATGCCAATCGAGAGCCTTCTTGCCCGAACTCCCCCAAAAGGCTTCAGGGCTCAAGGTTCTGACCATTGGCCGGACGGAGACTGGTTTGGGTGATGGCAATTGGGCAAGGCCGGCCGTTGAAAACGGAGCCTTGATAGCAACGTCGATTGGCGACACCTTCGCAAACATGGAGAAACAGGGGAGAGACAAGACCAGACGGCCTCTGCCCGAAACGACCGAATCAATGACGGGCATGCTCATCATGCAACAAGAGAGGGTAAAGCGTTGGCCCCCAAGCGACCCAGTGGTGGCAGGTTTCTTGCCCTGTTTCGAAGACGCAGGAAGTAGTTCGCCCGGCTGTGACCAAGGTTCGGCCAGGGGGGATTCGAACCAGCGTCCAAAGGGGGTCAACACTGAACAGCAATGGCTCGCATGAGTCGGGGATCTGATGTCGTTCTGCCAATCTCAAGGTATTGACTATCGGGCTGCATTTGGCCAGAAATAGTCCAGCTGTACCACCGATGACGAGCTACGAACCTCCGCGGTGGACTCCAAGTCCCACAAATCCTACTGACAAGTTGCAGAGTCACTGAGACCTTTTTCTTTTTTGTTATTGTTGTTTTGGCGTCAATCGGGCTTTGCCTTTTAGGCATCCGCGGCGGGGGCCCGACGTGGATTCAATAATGATGGCCAGTGGGCATGTTGGGTCTTCATTCTCCTCGACATCATCATCATCTCCATCAGCCACTGCATTTCCAGCACCTAGCAGGGGAGCCCTGACCGATGGGAATAGGCGCAATCGATAAGGGGATCTTCCGTCGCTTTCTTCTTCGTAGACCCTAGAAATGTTGCCCCCTTTTTCTTTTTCTTCGTCTTCGCTCGGGAGATGCCGCTACAAGCTGACGCTCGGAAGTCAAGCCATATTGGCGCTGCCTGCCTGTGCGTCGGTGTGGCTGATGTGGCCCGGATCTCGCCCTGGCTCATTCCACAGATGCTCGAGAGTCTCGTCGCTTGTATTTGCCATTGATGTCGGTTTTTACTGCATGTTGGGCGCGTGATTGGCTCCCAACGCCACTTACATTTGGCAGAATGATATGTCCAAGAAGCTTCTGCTGCTTCAGCCAGACCAGGGGTTTCGGATCAATACCGATGGATCCCGAAGTCTAAGAGGAATCTCCCGTTGGTTGAGACACTTCGCACTGGTTTCTCGCTTGGTGGTAATCCTCCGGCTGGGCAGGTTACTGAACACCCCATTTCGGAATGCCTGAAGAATAGGGCCCCCTGGTATGAATTCTGCTTGTGCTCGGCCATGTGGGATATATTCTCCTTGGGAGGAGTTCCATAAATAATCCTGTCGCGGGAGGAGGCGAGTGACCGTCGCGTGCCCCTGGGTTGGAAGACATCCACTCCCTCTACGGAGTACGGAGTATTTGTTTAATAATAATGTTGTTGCTGGTTCTCGAGCTCGTGCTGGCAGGAGTCATGGTACTAAGCCGGAACGGAGGTCATCCTTGTTCGTTGTGTCTTCCTATTCTGCGGGAAGCCGTCATCCTTAGACCCTGCCCACCAACACGGTGTCAGGGTTGACACCTCACATCCGATAGCCTATAAGGACCCCTGGCATTCCGTTGTTCAAGCATGTCTGTCATCTGGCGTACCTATGCACTCACATGCATGCCTATGTGGAAGGGACCACTACGAACATCAATTCGGGCCTTTTCACTTCGACAGTGATCTCATTTTGTGTTCAATAGTTAAAGTGCTGGAAAACACCCGTCGATCAAGAGACTATTGGTTCCTAGTTTGGGTAGTTTGTGGAGAGATCGTCGTTAAACTTCTCACTTCAGGCCGAACGCACCAGGCTTCCGAAGACGGCGCCTCAAAAGCCTAGTTAGGATCGATGACGGACAAGCGAGAAAGAGGCTCGATCCGCCAGGGTACATTTCGGGTCGTCAGTTATTCTCCGCAAAAGCTCCGTCCATCCTGCGACAAAGTTGACAGTTTTGGTGACGATCCGAGGGTGAGTTTGCGCAGGCTACAGAGGCGCAATTCTCGTCGCTTTTCTCTGGGGTGATTTCTGGGAAAACGCGTCAGAAGGGGGCCAGTTCAGGATCCCTACCATATGTAATTTCGAATCCACGTCGACATGTTCAAGGGCCCTAGATTAGTTCTGTGGGAGCAAATTCCAACGGCCAAAACTGGAGCATTGTCTGGTGCCCCTGACCCTGTATCTTCCACGCGGATTGAGTACTGTAGACTATGTAGGGCTTCCCTCACTCAGCCCGAGACTAAAAATGTCCCCCTTTGAGTCCCCGTCGTACTCCGTATCATCTCGAAGGTCGAGTGGGCTTCTGCGTCCAGTGGCCGAGGTGGCACTGGCGGAGGCTGCACTAGAAGGCATTTATTTTCCCTAGTCCTGCGCCACTCAAATCTCAATTCGTGATTTCTTGGGGAAACCCACGTGGCAATCACAATCCATGTCTGGCCGAGGTTAGTGTGCTGGGGGCTGTCAGTGCTTCTTTTGAGACATCTCAGCTGTAGAAGGCCACCTCGCCTCTCTCTCGTGAGGCTGTGGAGGAGATTAATTTCGAGACAGCCGCGAGCCGGGAATTTTCTTTGCGAGAAAGAAATTCTCCGATGCGAATAAGTAAGTTGGATGAAACTCGTTCGCCTTTGCGAGAACGTGATGCTCGTACTCGTGTTCAAGACCTGCCCATATGGAGAAGGGCTACCTTGTGCTGAAACTTGCCCACTGTCGAGACACAGCCACCAGCTGAGTTATGCCATTGATAACACCGTACCACCCGCACAACCGGGCAGCGTGTTCGCCAAGGCTTACCCTTTAGGCTGATATCGAAGCTACAAATCTCAGCTGAGAAGGGGAGAAGGGGATCAAGGTCAAACGACTGTGCATGCCTTATCATGGCGAAGGGCAGCCAGGCTGAGAATAGGAGCCGAACTGATCAGATAAGGAAGGGCATCGTGGTGATTCTCCTGCTCAACCCTCCCGGTAAACAACCCTTGTTTGAGTGGGATCCCTCCTTTCTTGCCAGGCAGACGAGTGGTGTCCTAGTGACAGTGTGGCATGTGGGAGCTGAACGAGTGAGTCGATCGCAGTCTGATAGCCTCCATACACACATGTAAGGCAGCCAAATATGTAGAAAATATTATGTAGTGTGGTATATGCCGGATGCTGCGTTGCGGCTGCCAAGAAGTGAAATGACGACAATCCAAAGTCGCCGCGAATGTCAAGTCGAACTTCACATCAACAATCTCAACCGTCACCTCTGGTCATCACCTCCTTGACAACGACTGCACTAAGTCCAAGCATCAGTTCGCTCATGGCTTGAGCTGCCTCTCACCCCTGTCATCATTAGAGCCTCCTCAGCTCCTCTGCAAAAGCTGGTTCTGCTTGCACCAATACATGTCGTGTGCCCCTTCCGACCGCCCCCTCACTCGTTGAGCTCTGTTAGAATCCCAGTATACCAACCCCCGGTACAGCCTCGACATGATGGCGGCTCAAGCTGGCGCAGAAGATCCTCTTGTCTCGGCTTTACCTCCGGCTACTGATTACATGACTTACCTGACGTTGTTGGAGTACCAATTGACCCCGCAGAACCTGCCCACACTGAGCAGACTCCTTGGCGACGACGACGGTAAACTTGCTGAAGAGATCGGATGGGATCTCTTGAAGCTCATTCTGCCCATGCTGAAGGAGACGCCCGAAGAGGCTAATCGATGCTTGGAGATTGTCGCTCGACGGGGCAATCCCAGGGAAGTCGTTGTCCGTGTTGCCGAAGAGCTGGAGAAGTTGAGTGATGAAGCCCAGGGCTCAGATAACGAAGATGACTTTGATGAGAGACATGACGAAGACGAGTTGCCCACCTTCCCGGGTGAAGCACCTCGAGTCCATCTTGGGCAAATGACCCTGCAAGGCATGTCCGCCGATAGCCCTTCCAATAAAGGCGCCGGCGAATCGAGCATTGCGCAGGAAACAGTATCAGACAAGGCACTCAAGCTGCAAGCGCTCTTCAATATGCTGAGCATCCTTCACTCTAGGATCAAAACACAGTTCCCCAGTCGCTTCCTTGCAACTTCCCTTCCGGCGGCGCTCGGCGCTTATCGACAGGTACCCATTTCAGCCGTGACTACTTCCTCATTCTTGACCATGCTGGAAAAGATAGCTGGCAAGAAACGGCCTCCCCTGCCTCCTCGTAGCAGCACCCAAGGTGAGCGACCGTCTTCAAGCAAACCAGCACAGGATGTGCCTACTTCGGCCGCACCCTTACCGGATCCGGAGGCTAAGGCTGAAGTGGAAGATACTGGAGTCAATGAGCCTTCGCAAGATGAAAAGGCCATCATTTTCCGACTTCTTGACGCCGTGCTGCTCGAAGTGTTGGACGAATACATGTCCTCACTAGCAACTCACGATCATCCCTCCATGTCCTGGACTGCTCGACTACGGGAGCATTGTGAGCCAAGAAGAGTTGTATCTGGTAGACCGACAGAAACCGATGTCTGGGACAAAACACCAGAATTGCAAGAACGCGACGCTCTCCTCGCCCGATTCTTCTCGATCAGTAAGCAGATGCAACTCGACTCTAACCAAGAGATTACAAAACTCGTCCACGAAGATGAGGACGAAGATGTCGGGAATCCGTACCATGACCCCAATGCAGCGTCCGAATACCCAACTACGCCATCTCAAATCCCGTTTCCCAGAGCTGGAGTGATCTTCCTACACGCTTACCAATCTTATATGAATCCGTCCGACACAGAACCGCTGCTTACCACCTCCGAACTCACAAAACTCATCGCTCATTCATTTCCTCTCAGCGCAACCCCCTCCATACCTCTGCCACCACTCCAAGACTCGCTCCTCTCTCTTTTGTACAAACGGACTCTGGCAGTCACTGCTGCCCCAACCACACCGCAACCCTCGCCCGCCAAATTTCTCCTTTTGATTAGCACATTGACCCAACTCTTTACCATCACGCCTTACCCAACTCTCCGTGATTCGGCACATTATATCGCGACAAAACTGCTCCACGCGTATCCCGATCCACCCGTGCGCTTACAAGTCATCGCGCAAACACTTCGAGGAGACACGCTGAGCACCAATTGGGCGGAAATTGAAGATGAGCTGGGGGGGACGGAGCCGCCAGCGCCGGGGATCGATGAAGAGACGGGCCTCACAAGGAGCACTTCGGCGTTGCAGCCGCACCCAATTCCGCTCGCACCGCCGCAGCAACTCGGCTCGTTGAAGGCTGTAGGGGTGGACTGGTTGAAGGATGAATTTTTGGAGTGGATTAGTACAAAACCGCGAGTTCAGGCTGAGGAGGGTACCGCAGTGGTTGGTGCTCTGGATCCGTCGGTGATCCTCCTAACACCAGAAGATACGAGCGCAAAGGAAGTGGCGAGTGAGGACAAGGACACGGCAACACTCTCCCTTCTCGATCTACTCTTTCCGCCTGATCTGCCCTCAGTCGCTCTCCTCTCAACCTCTCCAGAAGAGTCATCCTCGGACAACCTGGCAGAATTTCTGCTTTCCATCCCTTTCTACATCTCAACCCTGAATCTCATTTGCATTGTGCTTCCCCATCTACCGTTGTCTCTGCATCCAACCTCATCTCTTAAAGCTCGGATCTCGACTCATCTGTCGTACCTGACTAATGCATTGAATTTGCTACTTGAACTACTGCGGCATGCACAGGCGTCAACTTCAACCACTGCGACCGGAAGTGGGCATGATGGATTCCTGGAAGAATCACGTGCAGATATCTACGCGTTTCAGGATGCCTGTATCAGGGCCACCGGGGTGTGGGAGAAGGTGCATGATGGATGAGCATGAAGGGACAGGCCGCTGCTGGGGCACCTCTTCGCTATCCAGCATGTACACATCACCAAAGATTTTCACATCCTGGAAGTGAAAGAGAGAAGAGAGAAGACAGTGAAAAAGCGAATGACCAGACGAGATGCGAGTTTTTGTTCTCAGTACGCCTTCAAAGACACAAGGCGGGCGTAGGATCCATCCTAGTACGATCAGTTAAAAGGAAGCAATCCCGAAAAGAAAAAGGACTGAGTTTGTGGGCGTGTGGCTTGAAGAATGGTAGGTGGTAGCTGGAGATACATAGCTTGAGTTTTATCTTGCTTTAACGTACATGGTTGAAATGAGCCATAATCAGTCAGTCATTCAGTCAATCGATCACTCAATCACACTATCCATCAACCAGGGAGTTAGTTCTTCAGACAGAATACGAAATGCACTTGGAAGGAGTTTCTCTGTTGAAATCCTTTGTGTGTATATATATCCTTCAATTGCTTACATTCATTATTTATTTATCCAGGGCGTTTTCCTTCTTCACTCGGGTCGGCTGAGGAGAGGAGAGGGGCAGAGGAGGGTCTACCTCACAACTCGGTCGTTTTCTGCAGCGAACAGGCAAAAGGCAAAGCAAAATCAAAACAGGGCCCAATCATCCTCTTCCTCTCGTCTCCTGTCTCTGTCGTATAAACCAGTGAGAACAAAATCCGTCCCGAGCGGTCTAGTTCGCCCCTCCCAGTCTAAAACTCCCCCGATGCCGAACGCCTATTATTCAGTTGAAGAAGTCATAAAACTGTGAACAAAGCAGTCCCGTTAATCTCGGGTCCCACATCCAGAAACAAACTCCCCAGGGGGAATCGATCAGTCGGAGACGTGAACACTGGTGCTCGGAGCGAGGAGTTGAGCCAGTCGAGCCAGTCGAGCCAGTCGGTGCATGTGGCGACCCTGTTCTCTCCGACGGCGCCGAAAGCCATCACCAACCCCACATTGGTTCCTTGGTCCTAATCCCATCCTTTGAACCCCACGGCAAGTTGGCCAGATGTGGCCATGTGAACATGTGAACAGCTGAACCTTTCCGATTCTTTCCAGGTCGCCTTCCGATCTTCGAACCAAAACTTGGGGGAGGCGGACAGGACAAGATCGCTATTCCATGACACACACGGTTGTGATTGGTTTTCTTCTTTTTGATATGCGCATCATCCCGCCTGTTCCGATCACTCCCCTCGATCTTTGGTCGCCGATGCCTCTTCGGCGCACAAATGCGAAGCCGAAGAGCGACTGCCGTAATCTGCCACCGGCTGCGTCGTACCCTTCCCGACCAGCTGCACACCTTCCGATTTTTTTTTTTCAACAAGGTGTCTTCAAAGCAGTCGGCGTAAGTGTAAATGTTTACGACCAGACGTCTTCCTGGTAGACTCCGCTGCTGCGCATACTCTTGACCACTTGTTCAGCCTTCTTCTCGTCAACTCCTCGCTCAGTGGCAATGATCTGACCCAGGACTTCGTTGACTTCTCGTGCCATGTGAGCAGCATCACCACAAACGTAGAAATTAGCCTTCTGTTGCAGGAGTTCATTGACCAATTTCGCATTTTCTTTGAGCAAGTGTTGGACGTAGACCTTCTTCGAAGTCTCGCGAGAGAACGCGTTGAAGACGGTCAATTTGTCGCCCAAAATCTTCTTGTATTCCTGGAACACCCAATTAGCAATCGAGTGCATAAACAAAATGGACAACGGGTGGACTTACCTCCCACTCCTCCTTGTAGAGCCAGTCCTCGGTCGATCGACGGCAACCATAGAAGAGTACTGTGTGACCGACTTCTTCACCTCTCTTCGCTTGCTCTGCACGCTCTTGCACGAAGCCTCGGAAAGGAGCAACACCGGTGCCAGGACCGACCATGATGATGGGTTTACTAGGATTTGATGGCAGTTTGAAGTTGGAGTGACGGACATGAACCGGGACATGGATACCATCGTACTTATTGCGGGGCCCGGTGATGGCGTAGGTCAGACCGTGAGGTGATGGGTCGGGGTCTCCGTTTTGCTTCTGCTTTAAAGCCAGAAGGTAGTTGGTCGTGACACCTTTGACAATGTGGCCGGCACCCGGAACGCGGATTGATTCCACCACAGCGGTGATAGAGATCTTCTGCGGCTGGACCAGTGAAGACGAAGAAATGGAGTAATATCGAGGTTGCAACTTGTTGAGACCCTCCACGAGGCAAGAGAACGGGACGGCAGACCAAGGTCCGGGATGGACAGCGGATACCGCCTGGGCGATATTCAACATTTGCGAGGCAACCTTCTCCTTGAAGTAGTCGGCATCCGAACCCAGTTTGGCCATTTCCTTCTTTGCTTCCTCGTTGGGAGCAAAAGCAGCCAAGGTGGCCAAGAATTGACGGGAAACCGGAGCGCAGATTTCCATGTGGTAGCGAACAGCAGCATCGTAAGTCGTTGGAGTTGGGAAGGGCACCTTGGCTGTGGGATCCATACCCTTCATGCTGATAACCTTGTGTCTCTTCTCTTCCAAGCCAAAGGTCTTGATCAAACGGTCCACTTCCAAGCCTGCGTTCGTGGGCCACACCGCGATATGGTCGCCGGTGGTGTAAGAGATGCCAGAACCAGACACATCGATCTCGCAATGGAGGCAGTTGCGATCCTTGACCGTGAACAATTCCTTGGACTCGACAATCGGGGCAATGAACGGGTTGTGAGCATTGTAGGGGCCCTTCTGGGTGCCTTCAAGGTGGTTCTTGTTGGGCTCTCCCAGATACACGGTGTCACTTTCTGGGGACAGATCATCCCTCTCTTCCACGCTGAATACTGGCTCGTACACGGCTTCACGTTCTTCGAGACCCATTTTCTCCGCAAGAGCAGCCCACATGGGTTCTTTCCATGCCAAAAAGTCTTCTTCCATGGTACCAGCACCGTCGTCTCCTTCGCCGGCAGCACCGATTCTCTCCGCACCCAGTTTGGTCAGGATCTTGTCCAAGTTCCGGACCATGGAGTTGTAGTGCTCGTACGTGTTGTTACCCAGGCCAAACGCAACATATTTGAGGTTACTCAAGGGCTTATCTTCAGAGGCTTCGGAGAAGGAAGGAGGATCTTGGTTCATGAATTCCCAGAATTCGACAGCGTTGTCGGTCGGTTCACCCTCGCCATAGGTGGCCATGACGAAGAATGCAACTTTATCCTCGGGAAATTTGTCCAGGTTTTCATAGTCGAAATCTTCCAGGTCAGCAGTCATTGTGTTCAATCCAAACCGAGCGTGGCCCTCTTTCGCCAGACGGGAGGCATAATCCTCTGCAGTACCAGTCTGCGAGCCGTAGAAGATGACGCAGTTCTTGCCCGACTCCTCCATCTTCTCGAGGATATTGCGAGAACCCTTTTTGGAAGCGCTGCCATTGAGGGCGGATGTAGCGTAGGGGTCCTTGGGGACGCCCCAATAGGTGCCTTTGGTGAAGTAGGCGATGCTGCCGAGAAGTAGCAAGACGAGGACAATAATGTCCAGGGTGTCGACCTGAGCCATGGTGGGAATGTGTATGGGTTGAGGCTCAGTGGACATGAGGTCTGCGAATGGGTTCGAAAAGTGTAAAAAAGAGGTGTTCTAAAGTAGCAGAGCGACGCTGCTTATATACGACCGCAGCCGCTCGGTGGTGAGCAATTGGACAGCGTGGAGATACGGGCTCGATGGGTACTCTGGGCGGCCGCAAAACTGTATGTGGCCTGATGTGGCCAAGATTACGGCGTGCAGATGTGCAGGGTGCGCAGGGTGTGCACCTGGATTGCTGGGTTCCTCGGTGGGGTAGACTGCCGTGACTGCGCAGGCTGCGTGTTCGTTCCTCTTTTTTGTTTTCGCTTTTGTGTGGGCTGGGCGTCGCGTTGTAGGCTGGGGGGTGAGGGGAGGGATGTGAGCAGCGTGGCAGGGTAGGTTCGGATGGAGGCCAATCACTCGGTACGGTAAATGGGGCTGGTGAGGCTAGATGAGCCCTTATCGGGGGTGGTTCGTCGCCGTTGGAAATATAAACCTGTGAGGGAATTTTGCACCAGGAGCTTTGGGTGAGGTGTCGTTTTTGGCATGGGCAAAATCCAAAAGTGTAGTGCCAAAGGAAGTCGAGGGTGAGCAAGAGCAGGCTTTTATACGAAGCACAGGACGTCCAGGATCTCAGCAATGCTGGTAGACCGGCAATTGGGAGAATCGAGGAAAATATAGAGGATCTGGGGTCTGGAGAAACTTGGCCTTTTGGGCGCAACGGCAAAGCGAGTTCGCGGAATTATTTGGTGGGTTCGGGTGCAGAATCGCGGCTTTGCGCGAGACAACAGTGGCTCTGGTGGCTATTCGGCACCCGTCGATGGTGGTGATGGGGGCGACTGCCGGAAAGAATCACAGGCGGCACCAGGGCTTTCGGAATGGGGGGGTGGGAGCACGAGCTGGACGCAGAGAGCCTCGTGAGTACCCCCGCGGGAATGATGACGGCTTTTGAGGGACGGCAGTTGCGAACAGTCGAGGGGCCAATGTTCCTTTTATTTCTATCCTGATCCAGCCCATCGATACTGACCGCTGCTCTCTATCGAGTAGTGCCTAATTGCGATGCCCTCATCGACGTCTGACTGTGAAGGCAAAGAGACTCCCTAAGCTTGTGTGGGTTCATCTGGTGGCAACTCATTCTTACCTACGTTGGCCGCCTTCTCTTACTGCGCATGCTCCCCACATCCCACGCAAGTACATCCTGCTGGTGCTACCCCTTCATGCTTTATCTAAGCTACTCAGCACAGTCAGCACAACATGAGGAAACGCACTGAGTGCGCACTCCTCGAAGCCTTGTAGCCGCCACTGCTGTGGCAAGGGGAATCGCAAGCCCGCACCAAACCAGGCAACCCTCGATCGTCTCCTCGTATATCATCTTCCTGTCTTACGAGCCCCCGAGCCTATGACAACCCCGTTCGGACTACTCCGTGTCTCGTATCTACCAGGGAGTCGGCCCCAAAATAACTTCGAAACATGGGCCAGAAATTGCACACAATGCACATAATACAGGGGATTGCCTTGAAGGTGTCAATCTTTGGGCCTGGAGGAAGAGAGGGAAATGATCAACCACCATTTGCCGCCCGATGCGAGTCAGCCAGGACCATGAAAACGAAACGGCACGACCAGTATCGCAGTTCCGCTTGCAGTCCGCCTTCAAGCACATCACGCTGCCCCTTTAGCTGGTCATGTTTCCACGATGCGAGATATCTATTGGTGTGCCTGGCTTGTAGTCCGACTCAACCGTGAAGCATCGTCACGCTTGCCCCATCTGATTCGACCAGATGTGCCCGATGACAGCGAATCGCACAGTGTAGCACACAAAACCGTCCAATTTGTAGACAGTGACTGTCTCTTTCGCAAACCGTCCTACACCGCACTAGACAATAGAGTGCACTTAGAATGGCCAGTTCAGCCCTCAGTTTATGTGATTTCCCTCTCTTCTCATCTCGTAGAAGTCCTCCAAGTTTGAGGGGTCTTGAATGTTGATGTGATTGGTGGACATCCCTCGTTGTGCTCGTACCTCCTCTCCTTTGTAGCGGGCGATTAAAATTCCAACTTCAACCACATCTCGTTGCAGTCTCTCTTCCGTCTTTGCACTCCGTCCACTGCCTCTCTCACCCTGCGCTTCTTCGTCCAGAAGCAATGACGCAGACTCTGCCCTCTTCTCAACGTCGGCCAACAGGGGCGCACAATGTTGCATAACCGTGAGTGTCAATTCGGAATTCTTCCGCTGCCATTCAACAGCCGTCCCTCCATTCTCTATCTCCACACGCCTGCACGACTTGCCCACGATCGATGTTCTGCGTCAAAATGAGCGAGGCCACGAGCACATGACCCCATGCTAACCGCGTCCAATGCTATCAGATGCTCAGTCTGCTTCCAACGAGCCCTCCGTCTTCCCCCTCGATGGCCCCGGACCCGAACAGATTTCACAGCCCTTGCCCAACGGCCGTCCGCAGCTCGCTCCCCCAATCCATACCAGAGACGTATCCGTGACCAGAGGCAGGCCTCAACAGCCCTCGACTCAGGCATACGCTCCTAGTGTCGCGGCATCATCGCGTTCAGGCTCAGTGCAGCCCCAGCCACATGGCCCAGAGTCATCCGTGAGCTCACGAGGTGGATCGGCTATCGATCCAACCCTGCAGAGGCGGACGTCAAACAGTTATGGCCATCACCGCCAAACATCCGTTATACATGGCCTGCAGCACTCGAGAAGCCCGAGCTTCAACTCCCCCTCGACCGCCAGCCCTCTGACCCCGGACTCTTTGCTGAGCCCCCCCAACTATGGGAGGTATCCGAATGCGAATCGACGCGGTCAATATTCTAGCACAGAAAATACCTCGACTTACACCAGCCCAGTTTCTTCATATCAGGGTCATACTCAAGGGCATTCCATAGATTCTCTTATTGATGGTGGCTCCTCGGTGCATGAGTCTGCTTCCTCGCAGCACAGGAGGCGCAAGGAGCAGTCCCGAACAAGACGTGGTCAGCAGGGCCACTCATCTCATTCCTCCAGTAGCCACCAGCAGCTGGAACCGCGCACTCCGGCCGAATACGCACTCTATCATCTATTCCATGCATTTGTACTGCGGGCGGATCAGAGAATCAAACACTGCCTTACCCTCCTGGACAATGCTCCTGCTCCTGTGGAGCAAGCGTGTGGCCCGGGTGTCGACGTCGGATTTGACCAATTGATCGCTTCGCTTGGACACATATCTCGTCAAGGCCCAAAGCCTTTGGTGGATTCTTTGATGCTGTGGCGAAAAGGAAAGGGCGATACCGCGGCCGCTTTGAAGAGGAAGGTCTATCAGCAGAGACTACAAATGGGCCTGACCAATTCGCCTCTGCCTCCTTCGCTGCCCAGACGTCATACAGAACCTCTTCAAGTTCCAGGAGAGAGCGACATCCCCCAGCTCACCACTGAGCAGAGCTCTTTAACAGAAGACCAACTTACGCAGGAGTATCTGCTGGCAGATCGTTGCGCCACGATATCAGTCTACATCCTCTGTCGAGTCCTCATAGCAATTTTCGAACAAAGTAGTCTGGCTGCAATAACCCAAGATCTGGCCAACAAGCTAGAGGACATTTTATTCACCCAGTTAAGGGAGGTCGAACCGCCGCAGATTTTCTCATCAACCGTTCGACACGCCAACTGGAAGATTTATGGCGAGGTTTTAGGCCACATGAGCCGCCTCGACTTTGTCAACGTCACGTTCCGGTTCACTCAGCAACTTGAACAGTGGCAACTGGATTTCGCAAAAAGTCCGGGGACTGCTACGGCTAGAGATATCGAATCTCGTCTCGAATTACTCCTGCTGAGTATGCGCCCTCTCCATATTTCTGTTACAAAAGAAGCCGCCTTGAGTGTCGCCGAATTCTTAAGGACTCTTGGCGCCCTGTTCTCCGACGCACATGGACTGCATGTGAAGCAAGCATATTGCCAGCTCTTCGAGCGCATGCTAACGACGGTGGCGAGTAATCCCGAATGTTTCCAGACCGTGCCGAAATGGAAAGACTTTATAGAGACTGTCAACTCGCGCCTAGGAAACATGTTGGCAAAGGTCCGTCATTGGAATATTGGCTTTCCGGTATCGATTCTGCTTATGTGCATTTCGCCCATCGATGTGTTCTCCACGCAGTGGCTGCCGATGATTTCGAACCTGGCGCCGAAACTGAAGGATAGAACAACGCGGGCTCTGGCTTTGCAAGCAATCTGTCAGCTGGTCTGGACATACCTCAGACGTGTTACAGAGACCACGCAGGTTAAGCTGCGTCGATTGGAAGACATCATTAAAATCACTGTTCCGCAAGGGAGAAAGACCCATGTCGTCTCAGAGCCGTCTACCGCTGCCGCTTTGGTCCAGTTCATTAGAATTATTGGCTTTGCAGCTCAGGACCTCTGCTTCCGTTCAATCATCTTTCCCCTTCTACATTATGACATGTTCCAAACGAGTCGAAGCCTCAAGATTGAAAACATGGAGCCAGAACGAATGGTCATTGGCATTCGGGCATTCCTCGCCGTCATGGCCGATTTGGAAAAGGACAGCACGAGCGGCCCACCATTTCCTGCCTTCGCCGGACAGTCGCGGAATGTCGATGGTCTGCCATCTTCACCCGGGAGCAGGAGGACCAGTCTGGGGATTGATTCGCCACTCCCACCACGATTTGAAGATGAGAACCCCTCTTCGCTCCCAGTAAACACAGCCGTCTTGGATGAAAATGCCAGGCAATACTATCTGCAGTTCTGTCAGATCTTGGGCAAGATCACGATCCTCTGCGATAACACTTTCGGCGGACAAGTTACGTTGAACGAGAAATTGTCCTCGACCAACGTAACCCCCAAGACACCTCTTGCTGATACATTCACCTTGGCTCGAGGCCCAGATGGGACGGCCATAGACCAGCGCCAATCGTACTACGAACTGCTTCACGTCGCCATCCAAGCTCTTCCCCGCTGCTTTACCGATCACATTCCCTTGAGCCCATTGATCAACCTTCTGTGCACAGGCTCTGCCCATGTACAAGCCAACATAGCAGCGTCTGCCACCCAATCTTTGAAAGCGATTGCAAAGCAGGGTCACGCTCAAGCTGTGGCCATCGCCTTTCCACGATTCATTTTCCACTATGACTCCCAGTACTCTACCATGTCGGATGAGGGCCGTCTTGGACCGGCGCACATCGAGGCAACCTTGACGCTATATCTTGAATTACTGCGAATTTGGACAGAGCAGCTCAAGCAGAAGGCGGTGGCAAGCTCGTCGGAAACAAGAGATCGTTCAATCTCAGGCTCCCATCGAGCCTTGCAAATGGAACTCACACATGTCATACCACATGTGGATGAAATCGAAGCCTACGGACTGTTCTTCCTTTGCTCGCAGTCTCGTCGCGTGAGAGCATTCGCTATCAAGGTCCTTCGACTTGTTGTTCACTTTGATTCGGTCCTCGGTCAAGAAGTACCTTCTAGGATTATAAAGCTTCTTGAAGACCAGTCGTCTACAATTCTGGATTTGCAGGAGGATGCGCTGAATGTCGCGGAACGCAGCCGATTACAAAAAGACAAGCGTACCGGGCCTGGCCAAAGTACACTGATTGAGATTTGCAGCTCTGAAGTGTCATACGATTCCACCCTCTGGTTCAAGGCATTCCCTAATCTGATCCGTGTTGTGTTTGATGCATGCCCAAATGCCATCGCTCTATGCCGCGGGACAGTCACGGACAGACTGATGATGATGCAGAATGATATTGAGGCCTTTTCAGTGACACCCGGTGCAAATGCAGCCCTATTCGAGTATCGATTGCAGGGACGAAGCTCGGCAACGTCGGCAGAAGTACTCTTTGAGCAGTGGAAGTTGTACCTCATCATGGCCTGCGTCACTCTGAGCTCTCCAGGCGGCCAGTCTCGGAGCCAGCTAGCTGATGCTGCTGCGCATTTGAGGAAATCATCCAAGAGTGCCGCAACAGCACAGGACAAGATGAGCTCTGCTCGGGCGTTGTTCTCTGCCATTATTCCAATGCTTGGCGCCGCCCCTGACGCTATTCGCGATGCGGTAGTCTCTGCTCTTGGTTCCATCAACCGCAAACTTTGCCGTACACTTCTCGAATCGCTTCAGTATGCAGTGATCAAGTGCAACGATGAAGCAAAGGCGCGAATCAACCATCAGAGAACTCCAAGTAGTCCACAGCGATCTCAGCAGACTGAGCGACTGCGGACTGAGGTTACCCATGTTTACAAGCTCACTGCGGCTTTTCTGCGCCATGAAGACATCTACGAAGACGACTGGATCCTGCATAACCTTGTCAATTACACGAGGGATCTGCGCATCTTTCTGAGTGATACTGATGTACAGAACGATTGGCGATTCCAAAAGTTGAGGTACCATTTCTGCGGTTTGGTCGAGGAAGTTTTCGAAGGTGTGAACAGATCAAAGTCGCCTTCCCGCTGGATGCCTTTCGAATCAAGGAAGTCTGCATTTGCATTAATGGAAGACTGGTGCGGCTATTCTGCGGAGCGAAATTTGATGGATCCCAATCACGGCAACACCCGTGATTTGAATGATAGGATGAACGCAAGCGCTGCGCTTGAAAAAGAGAAGAACAACCTGAGAGTAGCTGCTCTGAGTGCAATGGCGACCTTGTGCGGTGGCCCGATCAGTATCAAGACTGACAGTAACGCGATTCTATCGTTCAATCTTCAACGAATGCTCTCATGGATTGATACTATCTTCGCGACCAGCAACCATAAGATGCATACCATTGGGCGACGAGCGCTGAAACTCCTCCTCATGCACAACCCGGAGCATCTTGTGCTTGCCGAACATGCTATTGAACAATGCTACAGGACTGAATCTCCAACGGCATTGGAAAGCTATTTCACTGTGGTTTCCGAGGTTCTCATTCAACAGCCGGACTATCCCTTAGCCTTCTGGAAAATTCTCAGCATCATTGTGTTCACATTGGGAAATGAAAATCGTGAAATCAGAATGCAATCGGCGCATTTGATCCGCACCCTTGACGAACGTCAACATAAGAGCACCAACCTCCAAGAATTTGACATCAGCATCTCCGACAAGACCCGTGCTGTATACAAACTCGCTCAGTTCGAATACTCCAAGAGGCTGGCCCAGGCCAATTCAGATATCGCATTCATGATCTTCTCCGAGTTCTCGCTCCATTATAAATCTGCGCGAAACGACCATCAGCGCAATATGGTGGTCGCCATCTTACCGTGGCTACAAACACTCGAACTTCAAGTCGACAGTAAGACGGGCTATCCAACTGACGTCTCGTATATGCTCTTGGCAAACATGTTCGAGATAACGATTTGTTCGAGCAGCGCAATGCATAACGAAGTGCAAGCCTTGTGGCAAGCTCTATCAACCGGACCTCATGCGGGAAACGTACAACTGATTCTTGACTTCATTATCTACCTGTCGCTCGATCGCCGTGATCAGAACTTTGTTGAGTACGCAAAGCAAATCGTCGTGTACTTGTCCTCTACCCCTGCCGGTTCACGAGTGCTGGAATTTTTCATGTTGCAACTCACTCCGAAGAACATGGTCAATGACAGAAAGGAAGAGGAAGTAGTGGTGATGCCTGATACGAGACACCTTCCCTACGTTGCTGATCTGACTTCTCTTCTGCCTATGGGCAACAAACAGGTATATTGACCCAGATTTTCTGAAGAGCCATATACTCACGAGTCAATAGGTTGGTCTTTCTTTAGGACAAGTCTCCCTGATTTTCCTAGTCGACCTCATGGTCACTCCGGTAACCCTGGGCAAAGATGAGGCGATTAAGCTCATTCACACCGTCCTTATCCTTTGGGACCACTATACAACGTCAGTTCAGGAACAGGCGAGAGAGATGCTGGTCCACCTCATTCACGAATTGGTAACCACAAAGATCGACTCGCAGGTCCTTAGCTCTGCCAAGTCAAGCATTGAAAGCCTTGTTGCAGCGATTCGAAGCAATAGTTCTCGGATAAGCTGGAATTACGAGAGCAACACGAGAAAAGATGAAGATGATGGCGCTAGCCGGGTTCCACAGGCAATGGCGGTCCTCACCTCAGAAATTGTCAACATCTTCAACCTCGCATTTGACAGCTTCAGCGATAGCTGGGCTAAAGAGGCGCTACACTGGGCCTCCATCTGTCCAGTTCGGCATTTGGCATGTCGGTCATTCCAAATATTTCGCTGCATCTCTGTCAGCTTGGATATCAAAATGCTTTCGAATATGCTTGCTCGACTTTCTAACACGATTGCCGACGAGCACACGGACTATCAGACCTTTTCGTTGGAGATCTTGACGACACTCAAAGTCATCATAGGAGCCCTCGAACCTAAAAATCTCCTGCGATATTCACAGCTCTTCTGGACGACATGCGCCTGTCTAAACACCATTCACGAGAGGGAATTCCACGAGACCTTGGGAATGCTCGAGAAATTTCTCGACAAGTTGGATTTGTCCGCTCCGGATGTTACGGAAGCTATGATGAAGGGATTTCCTGGAAAATGGGATGGCAGTTTTGAGGGGCTGCAGCCACTGCTCTACAAAGGCCTGAAGTCCGCCGACAGCTTAGACAAGACTCTTTTCATGCTTCACAAGCTCGCAGACCTACCAGATTGCCCGTTAGTTGGAACTGACAATCGTCTCCTCTACTGTGTCCTTGCGAACCTACCACGATGGCTGCGAAAATTCGAGCTGGACGATATCGAGCCTATGACGATCGCCTCTGCACAAAGACTTGCAAAGGTGGCAAGTGCCGCTGGCCATGATCTACTCTCGGCCTGTCTTGGACGCTTCGCCAGTAACGAAATGACATCGGGCCAGGAGATGCTTACCACAACCATTCAAGCCTTGAAAGCGGCATACTTTCCAGCATATGACGCCCCAAGCTTGATTTTCATGATCGGGTTGTTGACCAACAGGATACCTTGGTTCCGAGTCAAGTTGATGGACATTCTGTGCGAGCTGATCCCGATCGTAGACATGAAAAGTCAGGCCATCACAACGCATGGACCAGATCTCATCTCCCCCTTGCTGAGGCTTTTGCAGACTGAGCACTGTACACAGGCCCTAGAAGTGATGGATTATATCATGGAAGTAGCAACCACGCCTATGGAAAGGCATCATATGCGCATGAGCATGGCTTCTGGCTCAGCCAAGGCTATCAGAAAAGAGTATGAACGAACGGAGAGTCTCTACGGGATTCCTCACTCAACCGGCTGGTCTATCCCGACGCCAGCGATCTATTCTGGCAAGACGAGGCGCAATGTCCATGCCGCCTTCTTGACATGCGGAGATCCGAAACACCCGCAGGCTCAAGAGACCGCTACTCCAGATGTAGAATTCCAGGGTGATGATGGCTACGGCGATTCATACTTCCCACCACAGAGTCGTGCCGAGACGATCCGGTCGCTGGAAGTGGCTGCAGATACCAATGTCAGCGACCTGGTCAACACTCTTGACAGCCTCGACGATTTCTTTGATGATGTGGATGGTGACGACGTTCTAACGCCAACCGGAGCCAGCCAGATGGGAGTCTCCGCAATCACGATTCCTACTCTTACTGAACAGAGCACAGCATTGTACGACGAGCAGACCGCCCCGATTCTTCGTCAGAGTCTGGCGCGGACTGCTTCAGCAGCGACAGTACAGGATGGGTTCACCGAAGCTGGACCTCTTCTTGGCATCACCCATCGAACTCAGCCTAGTCTGTCTTCTCCGAACTCGACGGCGGCGACACAATCATCCTTCTCTTCGATCGATGAACTGGGCGGCCCAGGACCTTCATTGCCTAGTTCAACAAAGAAGCCAATACTTCAGAGTGTTATCAATTCGGTGAACTATACTCGACCTGGGCTTCACGCCAGATCGATTACGTCTCCAGCTAACCAATATCCGGTGTCACAACCCACGTCAACTGGAATGGCGCCCATGTTTGAAGGCGTTTCGTTCAGGTCGCAGGACGATTATGCTGATCAGTATGATGATGCTATTTTGTCGGATGGAGAGAATAGCCCTTTCCCGTCGCTGAGCATGACAATATCAAACCAGAACAAATCTTTGTCAGGGCCGGGGCCATCTGAATATCAGATAACCCCAACCTCTGCAACTGAGAGTGGTGGCGCGTTCAGCCTGCAAGGAATGCGAAGAGGCATGCGACGCCTCACAGGCGGTAAGAGTGAAAGTCAAAAAGAGAAGGACAAGATCAAAGATCTGGCACGTTTACGTGCGCAATCTGGAGGGCAGGGCCAAATGACCGCGGCGTTGCAGAGTCCCAGAGTTCCAAGAGTCCCTCCGGAGTACCTCAATGCCCCCAATGCGAGCGGAGTCAGCCCAACCGAGAGTCCTGGAGCTTGAAGAGACATGGGAATGATGTTTCTGTTTCGAATTTCCTTTTCTTTCAGCACAACAATGATACCCATAATAGAGCATCATGCAACATGACGGCAGTATCACCGGCGTTTCTTGAGCATTTCCAGCGGCCACAATATGTCTGTGTATCATATGCAAAGGGTGTCCTCGAAAGCGAAGACAAAAAGCTAAGTTTGTATATTAGTTTTAGCAATTGCAGGCGCCCCGGGAAGAGATGTACCGCAAAAACCAAAAGGCTTTCGACATCCTACTAAGATTCTTACTTCGTTCAAATTAACATTGCTGTTCTTTTCGAGATAATATGACGGAGACTTGTTAACAGCGCACTGACCATCACCAGCATTCCTAACCCTACATTCCGGGTCATGGGCCCAAACACCGCAGCCAGATGACACGCGACTTCAGACTGTTTCTCTACGACAGATAGAGGTGAGTGAAGCAAGACACGAGGTGGACGCGACAAAGATGCAGCTTACGAAGTGCGTCAGGTTAGACTATGTTCTGCTGGTCTTGCATAGCTTGACAGCAGTGTCTACAGCGCAGTCCGGTTAGGATTGGTCATCACCTCGAATTCCCAAATGCTTACTGCCTTACAGTCTCGACGTTGCCGAACGGTTGTTACATTACTTCATCAATCGTCTACGGGAACATCTCCTGGTCAAGCACTGTGAGCACCACCGGCCAGAGCCAGTCAAGTATATCTACGAGCTCTCCGGCAACAACATCAAGCGTTAGCAATGGCGCATCCTCCTCCTCCTACTCTACAAGTACGCCTCTCAATCCCTCCAGCACAACGAGTTCCACGCTCCCGACCACAACCGCCTCGTCTCCAACCTCAGCCCCCTTCCTGATCGCTGCCAACGGTTTCGGCAGTAAGCTGAGGGCTCGCGCACTGGACTTTGTGGCATTCAACGGAAATAATGCATATCTCTTTCCTAACAATGGCCTTGCCGCTGTTTTTCTCCTCACTGTGGATGGCCGGTTGCAAGTCGGGAATGGCAGCGTCGGCACCAACGGAAACACAGGCACATTGCCTCTCGTGCAGCTCTCAGATGAAAACCAGCCAAGTGGATATATATGGTCTTTCAACGGAACCAGACTGATATTTGGAGATACGACGTTCTCGGCGATTGCTGACGGACAGCTATATGTGGTTTTTCCTGGCAGTCAACCCCCTGAGGGAGCTGTGCAAGTTGGGATGGTGGCTGAGTTCGTGGATGTTTCAACATCGAGCTCAAGTCTATCCGCTTTGACAAGTACCAGCTCGAGTTCTCTACAGAGCACAAGCACTCGGGGGGCCATCACGAGCACGTCTGAGCAACAGACGAGCGAGACCCTTCAACAGACGTCTGGAAGCACCTCTATCACCAATCAAGTCAGCTCTCTTGTCACCAGCGCAGGGACAAGTTCGTCGCCGGACACAATAACCATCACGACCACGACCACGACCACGACCTCGACAGTAGAAACGACGTCTGCTTCTTTACGAACCACGCGAACAACTTACACTAGCACAAGTACCTCTTCGTCATTGGCAGGGTCGAGCTCGACAAGTCTCGTGTCTCAGTCCTCGGGCCAGAGTAAAAGCTCCATGCCGTCTTCAACGCCGCAGTCAGCGACCTCTTCCCCTCTCCAATCATCTCTTTCAGCCATAACAAGCAGCGCAACAGTTTCGAATGGCTTCACCTCGTCGTCTTCCAGCCAGACCAGAAATGTCCAAACTAGTGTGACAACGCCCATGTCGAGGATGACGAGCGTCACCACCACGGGAGGTGCTTCGTCGTCCCAACCAACTTCAACTTATTCTTCTGTCATAACGACGGCGTTGTCAAGTGCAACGGACTCGTCTTCGAAAAATGTATCTGCTAGTCAGTCCTTGAGTCTATCATCCAGTATGATGAAGTCAACAGCCACGGTAGCAAGTCAGTCCACCACCACCAGTCCATCCAGGCAGAGTACTATCAGCTCGGCTTTGATTTCCTCGATTTCTGCCAGCAGCAGCACCACCACCACCACCACAAGCAGGACGAGTTCTACAAGCCCATATTCGGGGTTGACATCCAGCACCACAAGCGTCTCAACCACGAGCCCCTCTTCCTTTGGCCCAAGCACGTCGTCTTCAAATCCCATACCCTCCCCGTACCCAGCCAAACGAGGTCTTGTATACACGAATGTAACAACCCTCGACTTTTACCCCCCACCGTCCCCTTACATTTCATGGTCATACGACTACTATTCCCTGCCCAACGCGAGTGACAACGTCGGGCCGTACCCTTCAAGCCAATACCGCTTCATCCCCCTCCTGTACAATGACGCCGATTCTCTCACGTCCGTCTGGTCCGCCAACGTCAACTTTTCTATCGCAAACTACGGCACGGACGCCATATTCGGGTTCAATGAGCCCGACGCCAGCAACCCCGGCCAATCAGCCGACATGACGGTCGCTCAATCGATCCACGGCTACCAGAACTTCATGCAACCGTTCGCCGGGCGCGTCAAGATCGGGGCGCCTGCCGTGACCAACGCCGGCGGCGGACTGACCTACCTGGCGCAGTTCCTGGGCAACGCGACGCAGCTGAACCTGACGATCGACTTCCTCAATATCCACTGGTACGCGTCGCCGTACAACATCGACTACTTCGAGAGCTACCTCGTTCAGGCGTACAACCTGTCGCTCACCTACTTCCCCACCGCGCCCATCCCCGTCTGGGTCACCGAGTTCGGCATGGACCAGAACAACTACGACCAAGCCACAATCGTGCAGTTCCTCAAGAACGCCTCCCGCTGGATGGACGACCAACTCTGGGTCGAGCGCTATTCCTGGTTCGGCAACTTCGCCGGCGGATACACCAGCTCCGGCGCCCCCACGACGGACATGCTGCTCAACGTCGACGGCAGCGGGCTTGGCGTGCTGGGCGAGGTCTGGTATACATATAACGGGACGGATTGAGGCCTTTTAGTGAGCGGGCAGACGAGAGGGACAGAGAAAGAGACAGGGGGAGTAGAACGGAAGGGTGAGGGAAGCAGAAACCAACAACCAGAGGGAGATGACGACCGGGAGATGTGATGGAAAGTTCTCAACACACGTATCCCTCTACTTGGCTGCCTGGCTGACTGCCTAACTAAGTATTCCCCAGTCGGAGAGGGAAGGGACGTACTTTCAACAAAGATATCCACAGGGCTCATTGCAGCTGGGAGCGATCATTTTTTTGGTTTTGTTATTGGCTGCCACCACTAGCTTGATTGATGGATTTCCTTGTACTGGTCTATCGTCCAAAGGGGGCGGAATGTCGAGTCAAAGTCTTCACATTCACCATTTGCACCACTGAGATGCCCTGCTCTTGAAAATTTCGATGCTTCGTATCTAGAAAGCTTGCAAGTATTTGATCTTACATTCATTCGTCAAATTGTACAGGCCTCTAATACATTTTCTAGCATCGCTCGAAGACACGGTACAGACCCTTCAGGTTGGCCACTTCGACGACACCTTTCAACATCCCTTGTGTGGCGACGATCCTTGATCGGAATGCAGGGAAGAGTACGTGCTCTAGTGCGTATTCGAGTTCTGTCCTCCTTTTCTCTGTAGCTTCATCGACGTCGTCCCTGTTATCTGTAAGAGGGCGAGACGCAGATGTGTCTCGCCCGTCAACTTCGAACTCGCTCCCGACGTCTTCCATATCTCCTTCTGCCTCCTTCGTCTCCCTGCATTGGTCCTTGCTCGTACACGGCGCTGATTTGGGCGTTGGCAATATCTCCGGCACGTAAAAACTCGCCAATTCCCTCAGAAACGTACGAAAACACTCTTCCTCCTCTGTCCAGTTCACAAAAGGCCCCAGCCTCAGCAAGAAAATGGGCAACTTCGCCATGGATGGCGTATATCCTTTCAACAGCAGCGGGATTGTTTGCAAATGACCGTCGTCCGAGATTTCGAGGCTGAAATATTCCTCTAACATGTCTTTGCGTTCCATGAGTTGCTCATATACCTTGTCAACGACTTGGCCTTTGTCTAGGCCTGTGCAGGTAGGATCAGTTGAAATTTGATGCTCTGCTGCAACATCCAGAAGCTCCTTCAAGTGCGGCGCAGGCTCGAACCGAATGAGCCCGAAATTGGCAAAGTCAGTCAATCCGACTTGATAGAAGAACTCGTTACAGGTCATGCCGTAGTCAACGAGGTATAGTTTGACGCCAGACTGGATGGCGGCGAGTCGTCTGTTGCTGTCTACAATACCGACGTAGGTTAGAGAAGCGAATACTTCCGTAAGACCATTGTGCATTGTGTCACGGACATCAGCTCGGAGTTTCTTCACGGACCCGAGGAGCACTCGGGAGTATTCTCGATCGGTGGTTGCGTACTGTATGCCGGCAGTTGTCAGCGTTTCATCCAGAGAGGTTGAAGTGGTCAAGGCCGGTGGAAGCATGGAAGTGATTTTCCGCATTTTTGAGTCAGTGCGGACTAGATTGTTCTCATAGGGCTTTTTAGAGGTTGAGGTTCTTCTGTCAGTACTTTCTTCTGCAGCAGGAATTTGATTCCGAGCCGGAGTCCTTGGGTTGACGGGCGTCATTGGCGTGACTCCAGGAAGGAGTGTTTGTGTCTTGAATGTCCGGCTCGTATCGACTTTTGCAAGGTTTTCCCGGATGTTTGCACAGACCAATTCGATGATCTCGTCCTCGTTTAAGAAATGGACTTCTCGCTTGGTGGGATGTACATTAACATCAAGCCGGGCAGGATCAATGTCCAAGCTGAGGTACACAAATGGATGTCCACCTTTGGGGAGGAATAACTGATATGTCTGTTCAACAGCTTTCTTGACAGCTGATGACTCGACTGACCGGTTATTGATGAAGAGGAGCAACATCGTTCGTTTAGAACTGTAGTTAGCATTGGTAGCATAGCCCGAAGCTCTGAAGCCCCAGCGAGAATCTTCGGTGCCAAACTCCATGATCTCTTTTGCAACACTTCCACCATAGGCCTGTCTCAGTCGGTCAATTTTGGTTGCGGCAGCAGCTACTGAGAAACCGATCCCGGTTTCACCGTGCTTCTTCACGGAGAAGGCGACACCCTCGCGGTGCACAGCGTAACGGGTGATGACATCGAGCACCTTAGCATACTCTTCTGATGGAGACCGAAAGGCGCGACGACGGTTCGGGATATTGTAGAAGAGGTCTTCAACAGTGATCTGAGTGCCAGGCCGGCCAGCACAGGGTTTCGGGTCGGGAGACTGACCAGGTTGGGGGGCAGTAAGCTTTCCATCCTGATAACGCGCTTGCCACGCACAGCTGGAGTTAGCAGTCCTGGTCGTTACTTTGAGGTGGGCAATGTGGCTGATGCTGGCGAGAGCTTCTCCTCGGAAACCGTAGGTACCAATGGACATGAGATCCTCGAAGTTTTTCAGCTTGGATGTTGTAAATCGTTCGCAGAGAATGGGCAAGTCATCTTTCTGTTGCACGTTAGGCCCGGAAATTCCGTCTCGTCATAGATCATACCTCGATTCCGTGGCCATTGTCGGTGATCTGCAAGAGCTTGAGGCCACCGTCTCTGACCAGAACCTCGATGGAAGTTGATCCAGCGTCGATGGAGTTTTCGAGCAACTCCTTGAGAGCGTTCATAGGGGCCACGATGATTTCACCGGCGGCAATCTTGTTGACGACATCCTGATCAAGAGCCTTTAACAGCACGAGTTAGCACAAGTCTGGTCCTACTGCTGCGAAGTCCTCAACATGCCTTGATACGACGCGGAGCCTCAGGAGGCAAGCCCGCTTCCTCGGCCGTGCGTTTGATGCCTCGCGGCGGATCTGTGTCGATATCCATGGGTTCAGCCATCTTGTGTGCCTGTCAGATGCAGAATACTCTGTTATTTTTCGGGGAAAAGTCCCATCGTTGGCTGCGAAGGGATATCTCGAAGATGCTGGCATGGTGCTTGCCTACATGGTCAAGTCGCATATGGAATGTGGGGAGAAAGCGCGACGTCACATGCTTTCGTTATTAATATGCCTATTAGCGAGGCTGCCACCGCAACCCAAAGCAAAACTGGTCCACCTCTCTTGACCGTTTTGTTTGTTGTCGACAACGCATTCTACCTTGTTGTCTTCGTGTCTTTCCTGCAGCGTCGAGGATAGAAAGGTCGCTTCCCTCGCCAAAGTCGCCAAAGTGAGAATCTGGCCCATGGACGAACACCGGTAGCACGAGCAGCAGCAGCTGACCGCCCACCATGGCCATGAACTTTGTGACATTCAATCAGGACTATAGCCATTTGGCAGTAGGTACGTGGCTGTCATGATTGCTCGATTAGCTAGCTGTGTGCACGACCTGACTTCCTTCAGGAACCTCGAGAGGTTTCCGCATCTTCACCACCGAACCGTTCGCAAAGTCATTTGAATCCCGCGATGCCGGCAACGTTGCTATCCTCGAGATGCTTTTCTCTACCTCTCTTGTGGCCCTCATTCTGTCTCCGAGGAGACTTCAGATCAAAAACACGAAACGAGACCTGATAATATGCGAACTCACCTTCCCTAACGCCGTCCTCGCGGTGCGGCTGAACAGAAAGAGGCTGGTGATTGTCCTGGAAGATCAGATTTACCTCTATGACATCCAGACCATGAAACTGTTGTACACAATCGAGACATCCCCAAACCCAGCAGCAATTTGTGCCCTCTCCCCATCTCAAGAGAATTGCTACCTGGCATATCCTTTGCCTCAAAAGGCCGTGGCGTCGTCGTTTGCTCCGCCTTCGCATGCTCCGCCAAACAGTACACATGTTCCTCCTACCACCGGAGAAGTCCTGCTCTTTGATGCCGTCAAACTAGAAGCCGTGAACGTCGTGGAAGCTCACCGGTCTCCACTCTCTTGCGTGATCTTCAACAATGAAGGAACGCTGCTGGCCACGGCGTCCGACAAAGGCACCATCATCCGAGTCTTCTCGGTTCCGGATGCACACAAACTATACCAGTTCAGAAGGGGCTCTATGCCTTCCAGGATCTACAGTATGGCCTTCAATATAACTTCGACCCTCCTCTGTGTATCCTCGGCCACAGAGACCGTCCACATTTTCAAACTCGGTCCGCAACACAGCCGTAACACGGAAGAGGGCGACGAACCTGCCTCCCCGAGCAAGACGAGCAATACGTTCAGTCGGAGACTAAGTCAAGGTAGCGACACTCTCGTGGACCAACCAGTCGACGAGGAAGACGGAGCAGAATCCCCCACTGCCATGGCAAACCGCAAACCCAATGGAACATTCATGGGCCTTCTTCGGAGGACGTCGCAACATGTCGGGATCAATCTGGCCTCCACAGTCGGAGGATACCTCCCCAAGGGAGTTGCCGAGATGTGGGAGCCGGCGAGAGACTTTGCATGGATTCGACTACCCCGATCGAGCTCGGGTGCTGCACCAAGCCAGTTGCGCAGCGTGGTGGCCATGAGTGCCAATTCACCCCAGGTCATGGTTGTAACGAATGAGGGGAATTTCTACGTCTTTACCATTGATTTGGCTAAGGGAGGTGAAGGGCTTTTGACGAAGCAATACTCGTAAGTCGCTGTCGATTCGCGACATGTGTGTGCAAAAAAGCTAACAGAACGTAGGGTCCTTGATATAAACGATAAGATGGGAGCATCAGGAATGGACTTCTGATTTCAAAAGCCGCGATAACGAGTAGGCTTAACAGTCGGTCAAGGACCAGATATTGACGTGCACCGACTTCTGACATTTAGCGCTGGCGTTGTGGCGTCTTCATATGTAAGGGACCCTTTATTCTCTTTCGCGGTAGCGAATGAGATGCGGAGGGCGATTAATGTTTTATTCGAAATAACCGAGCTGGAGAATTAATCCCCTCCGGGTTGATATGACGCTCCAATCGAAGTCATGGATTTGAAACTCGAGATGAGATATCACATGCGAGATGGGGAGTCAACTGTGTTTACTCGCAATCAGCACGCAGTCAAAGAAACCCCGTTATACATAGCCGTCTATAATGCGGATATATATTTCCCTTTGTCTCCTTTGCTGCCTGACTGTACTCTCTCCGTGGTTATGGCGAGGATGTGGTCGGTGACGACTGGCAAAGCACCACCGCCATCAGCCAATAATAGTATAAGGACCAAAGAGAAACCGTTGGGAAATGAGACGTTGTGGCTGTGTTTGGTCAGTGACTCGTCGACCCAAAAGAGCAGATACATGTCAGTCAGTCAGTCGTGGAACAAAGTGGACGGGCAAGGCCATGCTTTATTGAAGAGCTCAGCTTGCCTGACGATCAGTCCCGGCTCAATGTAGATGTTTATTTTCGCGGAATGTCGGGAGGCACCTATTATAGCTCGTACAGCAGCAGCAGCTCAGGTTCACTAGGTCGTCCTGGAAGATGCCCTCCAGCCAACAATAGCATATGTCTGTCTTTGTGCCTTTGCTGAGCTGTACCAACCAAGCCTTTCGTTTGCAAAGCCCATAAATATCCTAAAATCGTGTCTCTCGATGCCCGCGATATGCAGGTCTCCGTTGAGCTCATTTCGAATTGTCCGCTATGTCGTTCCCGTCCAAGAAAGCCTCAAATTGCCCGAGATCATGCGTCCTGTAGATGTTGGTTTTTCGTCCTCAGCCCCTTCGGGCTCCCGCAAAATGCCCGCCGTCAATTAGCAGTAGCCTTTCACAAGCACTTTTCATTGATTCTCAAAAGTGATCGTTGAACGCTTGCCCCCCTGGTCTGTTGGATGGTCGGCCAGGCCGACTCCTCATGCTCCGCCCTGCCGGGTCTGAACCCTTCGCTAGAAATCACCGCTGCATTCGTCTTCGGAGTCGTCTGTGAACCTTCCCTCTCCAGGTTTCTGCTTGGCCACAAGAGACGGCTCAGCCTCCCCCGCATGGCCCTGGGTGGGTGATTGTGGCTCTAGCGTAGGTGCAGCCTCGGCGCTAACAGCGTCCTTGATCCCGAGCTCAACGCTGTCGACATTCTTCAGGACTTTGTCGTACAGGAGTCGCCGGTTTTGGACCTCATCCTTTCGGGTAACTATGACACCAACATACTCCCTCTGTATACTCCTGAGAATGTCATTAACAACGCTCCAGATCAGATGTTTCCTCAGGGCCGTTGGGATTTGCATGATATGTGCGCGGACGTGGTTAAAGATGATGTCAAACATGGACATCTTCTTGTTCTGGATATACCGCTCCATCTTTCCCTTCATTCGTTGGTACGCTCCCATGCCGGACTCGTTGGCGCAAAGAGCATATCCGTCGTGCATATGCTCACTGATTTGTGTTTCAAATAAGCGGCTGTAGTTGCGCTGCAAGTTGTTAATATAAAGTTTCGCCTGATTGGCCATATCTCTCAGCTTTTCTTGATAAATGCGTATTTGCCGCTTGAGAATCTCGAAAGCAGCTGCAGAGGCACCATTGCCGACAGCAGCGCTTTCAACATCGTTGTGGAAAGTGGTGAACATGTGAACCACATCAGCTGAGAATTCGTCGAGCATCTCGGGCATCGCGATGACAAAGGCAAATTCCCATGGTGCGGCGAGGTGACTCGTCAGGGGTTCAAGCAGATCCTCGTTGAAATTAAGGTAACCCCGAGAACTGGCAAAGCGTCCATCACGGCAAACCACAGCCTTGTACGTTGAATAGTGGAGACCACCCCCATTGACAGGCAAACCCCATCTGCGAACGATACTGTCTGCCTGAGCTCGTGCCAAAGCCGTAGCACTGAGAGCCGCTTCGCGGAAGTTGGTCTCAAGGCGATCGTGAGTACTGTCGACAAAAGCGTCGCATGCCTTTTCCAACGTCTAACAGCTGTCAGTAAGAAATACCTCGGAGACAACGCCGATAAGGGATTTATATCGCCAGAAGTGCAGGAAACTCACTGATTTCAAGTTGTTGAGCCTCTCTTTCAGCATTTGAGCTACCTGAACTGATCTTAACCCAGTGAGATTGTTTGCCTGGCTAGCATTCGAGGCCCATAGACGGAGTGAATTTAGATAGTGAAATATGTTGGAAAGGATTTTGCGGCAGTACGCCTGACGAGCAGGGGCGGTCATTTGGACGCAGTGGGCCTGCAGTGCAGGGAGTTCCGTTTCGTCAATGTGTTTGAAGCCTGGCGGGGTGGCATCTTGGGGGAGTCTCCCCTTCAACTTCTGATACGCACGAGATGATACACAAAAGACGGGTAACTTGCGAGCCACTTCATCGTAATCACGCGTACGGACCTCAGGGTCAAAACTTGCGGCGTCTTCTTCCTCGGCCAGTTCCTGGTCCAATTCAAGGATGCCCGCTGCGTAGTCTTGACGTATAGCATCCCGTGAACGCTCGTTGCGATATGCAATACAGCAGGCGTATAGCTTTTCGGAGATATTCTCGAATTTCTTGTCAACTTCTTGAACTTGAGCTCGCAATTCCAGGATTTTCTTCTCAATCTTGTGCTGCTCCCGCCGGCCGTCGGCCATGGCAGTTCGGGACTCGATGATCTTCTTTGAGATCTCATTGTGTGTAAGGGCTTCGCCCTGATAGTGGCCAGTATTGGAGGTTGCATAGCCAGATTGTGCTGTGCTGGCACGCTGATCGCTGTCATTTGGGCAGTCACGGCCCGACTCAGTCTTACTAGCTCCTACCAGTCGCTCCACGCTGCTGCTCCTAATTAAGACTTTGCGTTTCTTTGACTTCGGCTCGGGCTTAAAGACGGTTTTACCCTCTTCCAACTCAGTCTGCAATCTTTCCCAGATTTTTAGTTGATCATTGATGGAATGTAGAGTTAATATCATGTCGGACTTGGAGTGTTTGAGATCTTCGAGCTGCTTCTGCGATGCTCCCTTCTTAACTTTTAGGGCTCGCTGTTCCGTACACAAATGTTCCAGCTCTTCCTCGAGCCGCAGGGCATGCTGGGCTTCGGCGATCGAGATATCGTCAGTCTTGCTGCAAATAAACGTCACCGAACTGAGGCCTCCGTCCATCTTCAGTTGGCGTCTGAAAGAGGTACCAAGCAGGGTCTGTGCTGTTTTGTCGTCGACCGCTCTTGTAATAGGTGCAACAATTAATAGTGCATTACAATGTTTCATGTAGTCCTGGATCATCGTTAACATTGGGAGGCTGCCGAGGGGCAAACATCATTCGAAACGAAGAAAACATGATATCCGACAATCTTGGTCGTGGAAAGGACTTACTCTTGCGACAGCTGCGCGAGCCTGGTTGCTGTCGTGCATACCTGGAAGATCCACAATCACGGCACCAGTGGCTAAAACGGGAGCTTTGACGTAGAGTTTTACGACCCGTATGAGAGGCCAAAACCCCACCTCGCGCGGTTTCTTCTCCCTCCCATCCCTATCTCTTACTCCGATGGTGTTCTTGCTGCTCACAAAGTGCTGCAGGCCCTTGTAGAAAGCTGTACCATCCTCAGACTCAATATCACGTTTGGTGCCGAGACAGGCGACGTTCTCATGCTCCATCAGTTTGTCGACAGGGACCTTGGCCATTTCTTCTTTGGTGAGTTCAGGATAAACCGCCTTGACCTGGGCATATGCAATGCCGGCTTCCGAATTTTCGTTCATGCATTCTGGAAATACTTGTCCTGAACTGTTCAACAGATCCTGGAATAGAACCTCCAGTGTCCTTCGCCAGTCATCCCTTGAAATAAATTCTACCTCGGCGACGTATGGGGAATCTCCTGGCCGGGAGTAGCTGATTTCAGTGACGACAGCGGTACAGGCTCCCATGCAGCTGGTCGGAACAAAACATTCTTCATCGACTATGGCATTGATGAGAGAGCTTTTGCCCGCGCCCGTCGCACCAAGAACACCAATGATGGTTTTGGAAGGCGCAGCGGGAGACTGGATATTGTCAATCAATTCTGACCATTGACTTACTTCTTGAATCGACGCCTCTCTTAGGGTTCGCGTCAGCTCCTCCATCAACTGCAGGCCAACTTGGACGCCCTTCTCTAGCTGCTCGGGTGAACGACCATCGAAGAGATCAGAAATGTCAGGACGAGTCGTCACAGCATCTTTCGGACGAGGCTCGTTTCGAACGTTGCTGCGAGGATCTATCATTTCGTTCGCGGGGCCGGCGGACTGAGAAATCGTTCTGTCTTGAGAGCTCGGAATCGATGTCTGATGTCGACTCACACACACAGGGTTGGATTCTGAGCTGAGCGAGGATTGAACTGGCATTGTTAAGAGGCGAGCGTGGTCGACAACACCACATTGTATTGCAGGAGCAGGATATTGCGATCTTGCGGCCGTCAATTTCTTTCTTAAATCGACCATTTCTGTCTGCAGTGAATGTTCCTGTTGTTCAGTTCCGGGAGAATGAGTCGGTATCTTGAAGGGCTGTATAAAGGCAGGGGAGGCACGAGCAGGCATGACTTGGACATTGTGAAGATCGAAGTCACCGATTTTGGGGAGACATTGGTCAGCGCAGGCCCGGCCGTTCCTTGCAGGAGACTCGCTTGTTTCTTGAGGCAATAAATCCCAGCTTTCGCTCACTTGTTTGTTCACGCCGTGATTGGCCTCGCTCGACGTAGAATGTACCGGAGCATCCATAATCTTTCTCTTACCGAAGTCTTCGATACCTTTGGTTTAGGGATAAGCCAATTCACTGGGCGGTGAAAGTTGGGTGAGGCGACCTTGAGATATCCTTAGGTTTTGAAAGATATGCACCTCCGATGAGAGAATGGGATTGTTTCTGCTCAAACGACCGGTAGCATCAAGTACCATATCATTCATGCTGAGGCAGAGTGCGGCTACGTGAATACCCTTGGGCGGAGTTGTTAGGAGAATGAGAGTTGAGTTGGTTGGTGAGGATAGTTTGTGATGGAACGCCTCTTTTGAAAGCGCCAAGGCCAAGCACGTCGGAGCATAGAGACCACATTGATAGCCAGCGCTGGGTGGCCCACCGTATTCAACGCCAAGCCTGACCCAAGTCGTGATGTACATAGGAACCTCCTCCACTCCTCGCACCACCAGCCGCTCCCACCAATGCCAAGTGGATGACAGCAGAATAATTCAACCGAACAATTCAGCGAGGGTTCATGGCTCCGAAAGCGGTACCTGGCTGGTCTTCCTGATTCAGCCCAAGATCCTCTTCGAGAATATCGGCCCGCCATCTCTTCACGGTCTGCGCCGCCGTCTATGCCCGGCTAATCTTCGGACAGGTGAGATCATTGGTTTGCATTGACTCGCTTTCACTTTTATGACAAGAGGATCCTTTCCTTACCGCATATCCTTGGAAATTGTGAGCACATATATTTCTTGAATGGACATCTATGTCTCCTTTCAAGGTCTGGAACCCATCTCAGGCCCATCTTGCTACGCGTGAAGCCCTGATCTTCTCCTGAGAATCTCAAAAGCCATATAAGAGACCTGGCAGAATGCAGCTCAATAACTCATCATCTTATGGAGGCTCTACGGTCGCCCTTGAGATGCCGTCGCGGTCCCATCAACCGCAGGATATGGGCAAGAGGCCACCCGTCTATGAAGATATATCAGCTGGAGCCTTGCCTCCTCCCTCGACCGCTACACCTCAATTGCAAAAATGGAACTCCCCCAGAATCAACTTGTGGCGCTGTCTGGGAACCTTCTATTCTTTCATTATCTTGGGTGCCAACGACGGTGCATACGGAGCGCTAATACCCTACCTCGAAACATTCTACGGCGTCAACTATACGGTCATCAGTTTGATATTTCTATCCCCCATAGTTGGTTACACGATGTCTGCTCTATTGAACAACTACATTCATACCGTGTACGGACAAAGGGGAGTTGCGTGGATCATGAGCATGTCCCATTTGTGTGCTTACAGTGAGTATGTTGACATCTAAATGGAATCCGTAACTAACCCGTTGCCACAGCCGTCATATGCGTTCACCCACCTTATCCAGTTTTGGTAATAGTGTTTATTCTCGCCGGCTTTGGTAATGGCTTGGGCGACAGCGGCTGGTGGGTTGAAGTCATTAGCCTTCTCGTGTCATGAATACTAAACTTGCGGCCACAGGAATGCCTGGATTGGCGACATGGCTAACCCAAACGAAGTGCTTGGCTTCTTGCACGGCTTTTACGGCCTTGGTGCCGCACTCTCGCCTCTGATCGCGACAACACTGGTCACTAAAGCGGGCTGGCGATGGTACGAGTTTTACTATCTTATGGTGGGTGCAGCAGCTATTGAGGTTGTAGTTCTCGTCGGCACTTTCTGGAAAGCAGACGGACGGGCGTATAAAGCTGAGCATCCCCAGACCGCCGATATGGAAACCTCCGAATCAAGCACTCCTACCTCAGATAACACTGTTGCCGGCAGTCCAGTCGACAAGCAACGAAGTATTTTCGCTAAACTCAATCCACTCCGCAAAAGAGCGAAGGGCAAGAGCAAGACTCTGGAAGCGGTGAAGCAGAAGGTGACCATGCTCGCCTCGGTGTTTCTGCTTATCTATGTGGGTGTCGAGGTCAGTGTTGGTGGCTGGATTGTGACCTTCATGTGGCATGTCAGGAAAGGCTCGCCGTTTGCCTCCGGCCTCACATCGACGGGCTTTTGGTTGGGCATCACCGTCGGTCGATTAATACTCGGCTTCGTGACAGCTCGGGTATTCAAGTCAGAAAAGCACGCGATAGCCGTGTACTTGTTGTGCAGCGTGGCCCTTCAGTTGATGTTCTGGCTCATTCCCAACTTCGTCGTCAGCGCCGTCATGGTTGGCATGCTGGGCTTTTTCTTGGGGCCTCTGTTCCCCGCAGCCATTGTGGCCCTCACCAAGTTGCTCCCCAAGAGGCTGCATGTACCCGCGGTGGGGTTTGCCGCTGCTTTTGGGGCGAGTGGTGCCTGTGTGCTGCCATTTGCTGTTGGGGCAATTGCAAATGCAAAGGGAGTCAAGGTGTTGCAACCCATCATTTTGGCCGCCCTAGTGCTGTGCTTGGCTGTGTGGCTGTTGGTTCCCAAGCTCCCCAAACAAAGGATGGCGTGACCATTCCGAGAGGATATGATTGCAGGTGGCACAGGATATGTCTCCAGCAACAACCTCTGCAGCAAACACTGCATCGACTGACGGTGCCCTTGGACATTGACATTGCTTGGCATATCCTGAAGTTCTGTCGCTTTGACGTTTTCAAGCGAAGGGGGAAATTGTTTTGGGGCCTCTATTTATAGCCATGTGCCCAGGCCTCCTCACAACTGTGTTCAGGGTTAGCTGCAGATCTCCCAACGGCGGGATCTCATGCAAGTCATCGACGGAAGGAACATGGATCTGTGGCACCATAATCATGAGACAGGCGTTTCATGGTTGGTGGAGCATGTGCTAATACTGTAGTACTGTACTAAGTGAATGCACACCGACCTCCTGCTTCCTCTGTTGTAGGGGGATGTCGTATGTTGGCCTGATGAAAAGAAACAATAAGGGGAAGAAGGCGGCAATGGCGCAGCATCAAAAGTGAAACAAGTGGAGCCGAAGATGGAAGCGACAGCCGAAGTGCGCTAGTCCGGATGGGGCGATATGGGAGGGGGCAAAGGGATACGAGTCTTCAGCTGCTTGATCAAGTTTTCTGACCATCCATCTTCGAACCCCCTTGTTCGTTCGTGTTCAGATCTCTTTTCCAACGACATCCCTCCCGGCAACTCTGCATCTTCTTCAATTTGTCCCCATCATGGCCATCTCTGAGCAATCATTTAATCTCGTACTCTAGACTAGACTGGTTGGGTTTTTGGAGATCGCTGCGACGGCGTAAAGGGGAAGACAGCTGGCCCCTTGTCGCGTCTGGAACGCGTGTTTCGCCACTTATTAAGACACCGTTTTTGAGTTTTTGGGGCATATTGGCCGGCTTAATCGACATCTGGCGTCAACCTCTATCATTGGAATTGAGCAACACTCAACAACTATCGACATCGACCCTCAGCTGCGTTCCCCTGGAGGCATGTTTACTCCAAGACATGCGCCCCTCAAAGAGGGTCGCTCTTTCCCGGGCCTACCCAATGCTGGACCAACACGACGAAGTCTGCGCTCGCGACAAGGACTTTTTATTATTATATTACTGTTATGCATTCCACTAATATACTTACTCACCTCTGGGGACCCAACTTCGACAATCCAGCCGCAGGTTGTATCACCTGCCGACAGATCAAAAGACTTTTCATCGGATCCCGAACCCATATTTCGAGCACCGCAAAATGACGCCCTCGGCCAAGAACAGCTCTCTGGCAATACGATAATGCGTGAGCCCACAGAACCGAAATCGAATCCTGACATGCGGTTTGAGGCTCCTCCGGTTGAACCACCCATGCAAAATCCGAAGGCTTCAGAACAGCCAGACTCGTTGGACGAAGAGCCTTTTTCCCCCAAGCAGAACGATGTGGCCGCACAACCAAAGTCCTATTCTCCCAAGGGATCCAGCCATTCAGGATCATCCAAGGCGCCAGCTAACCCAAGCTCATTTTCCGAACGTCCCAAGTTCGAGAAGGCTCTTGCACGAGTAATCAGTCTTCTTCCGGGCGAAATGGAAGGCAGAGACTTGCTACGCGCCGTTGAAGGTACCGGAAAGGAGAAGCTTCGCGAAATGGGTTTGCGGGTCCGCGAGTATAAGAAGTTCTTTGAGGCTTGGGAAGAGCTTCATCTCACTTTCGATGAAGAAGGCGGCAGCTACGTGCGGGACGACGTTATCCAATATCTGCGACACCATCAGCACCAGCCTTCCGACGACGACATCGGCGAGTCCTCTCTGGCCCAAACCATCCATTCCTACGAGGCGTACCGATACTTTTTGGTCAAATTCGGACAACTGCTCTTCCCGTGGACCGCACCCTACTTCCCTGACCACATGACTCTCCACTCTCACTTCAAGAAGGGTGGTAGAGGTATCGTTCTGACAGCAGGTGATGATCAGGCCCCATTCCTACTCACGATTATCCCCACGTTTCGAAAACTTGGATGCAACCTGCCAATTGAGATCATGTACTTGGGTGATTCAGATCTCTCTGAAGACTACCGTTCTGATCTGGAAAGTCTGGATGGCGTACTCACTCGGGACATAGCGCAAATGGTGAACGACGAGGGCTGGAAATTGGCGGGCTGGGCCGCGAAGCCATTCGCAATCTTGTATTCCAGTTTCCGTGAAGTAATCTTCATTGATGCCGACAGTCTGTTTTTCGTCAACCCGGAAGTCCTGTTCGAGGATCCGTCGTACCAGAAATCCGGTGCTCTTTTCTTCAGGGATCGTCTGATCATGCCAGAGTCGAAGAAGCGGTGGCTTCAGCAAATCTTGCCCAAGCCCATTTCGAGACAAGTGAAGCAGAGCCGGTTTTGGACGGGCGATAGCGGCCACATGCAAGAATCGGGCGTTGTGGTGGTTGACAAGTGGCGCCACTTCATTGCGCTCCTCCTGGTCACGCGAATGAATGGACCTGACCGAGATGGAAATAAAGAAGAAGGCAGGGTCGGCATATATGACATGGTATACGGTAGGCTTGGTCTCTGATCCTCGGCGGCTGCCTTTGCTGACAATCTCTCCAGGTGACAAAGAGACCTTCTGGCTCGGTTGGGAGCTTGTCGGAGACCAGGACTACGCTTTTCATCAAGGCGACGCTGGCACGATGGGCGTTGTTCAAGAGCCCAAAGATCAAGAACAGAAGCCCAGGATGATGAAAAAGAAGAGGCCAGTCGTGGACGAAAACGGCCAGCCCAGACGGGACGAGAACGGGCAAGAGATTATGGAAGAATACGAAGTCCCCGAAGAACCCGAGGAGCAGGAGCCCGAGGAGAAGCCCGAGCCTTCGAACTACACTATCTGCGCTCCACAGCTTCTCCATCTGGATCTCCAAGGCAAGCCGCTCTGGTTCAATGGATGGCTGTTGGACAACAAATTCGCCGACAAGAAACAGAAGAAGTTTGGCAAGTTTGAACACTACCTGATCGAACCAAGGGATATCAGAGAACCCGGTGCTTGGCAGTTGGAGGAAAGCAACATGTGCTGTCTGACAACTGACGCAGAATTGAAACGAGATTTCTCACCGGACGAGAAGGCAGTATTGGACATGATGATCAACCAAGCCAAGGAGATTGGTGTGGCCGGGTGATTGGGAGGTGCACAACCTGGTGGAGAGGAAACATTGTTCGAAGCATTAATGAAGGCGTCATGAATTTTTGGATGTGTCCGGGTTTTAGATGGCAGATACCGACTTGATTTAGCGAGTGTCATGCTCTTGCAACCTTGGTGCCAGTGTAAGCATACTATGTCCAACTTCGAGTTGGGGCGGAGGGGGCAGGATCAGCCAGGGTCAAAAACGTTGAATCGACATTTTCAAAAGCTGTTCTTCTCTCTGTGTTTTGGGAGATGGAGTAACATTGTCCTTTCGACATCGGGTCGAGGATCTCGAGTACGTAGTGGTGGTGCAACAGAGTTATCTTGTGCAGCGGAGTCTTGGGGCCTCATATCAAGAAGGGCCACGGCCTCCGAGATATAGTCATAGATCATCATCGAGATACCCAGTTGCACATGTTGCATTCGTGGTCTTCACGATTCGAGATGATAATATCTTCGTCGTTTATTCCATGTCGGAACAAGAGACCCGCATCGGGTTGACAGCCAATCAGAGACCATGCCTCGTCAGTAGTCACCGCAACGCCGAAGGGCACCGGACGCATTGCCGGTTTTCGTTCAGACAAACTATCCCACGGAACCGAGATGTCTTCAGAAGTGACAAGACCACAGGCTTACCATTCGCAGCAAGAGGGCACATCGAAGCCCAGGAAGAATAAAGCTCCGAACAATCCTTTGGTCCGAGGTATTTTCCTGTTCTGCACAGAATGGCAGGCTCGTGGCAATGGCATTGGCAGTGGCAGTGGCAGGTGCACCGCAGACAACAGGGATGGCTCGACATGGATTCCAGCTGCGAAGGAGGATGGCGAGCAAGAGGCATCATTACCAGCGGCTCTCACCACGCTGGCTGCCGCGGATATGCCAAGGCGGTATACGCTCTACCCGCCGCTCCTCCTTCTTCCGCCCAACTTCCCGACGCAGAATCCGCAGTGGACGGCGTTCTATCATGCACTCAGTGAGGTTGACAGGGTGGAACTCTTCCGATGCATCGCTGAAAAGGGGTTCAAGGGCATGGGTGTCTCGCGGGTCGCAATCAATGCGCCTATTGCGGCCGAGGTCGATAAAGACCAAGACGGCGCTGACGGTGTCGGCGATGTCAAAGAGCCTGTAGACGTCACGGTGCAGGATCCTACGGCCAAGGAACAAAACGTTCTTCGCTGTCCTTCAGGTCTGGTCCCGGTGTACGGTGACTGGGGTGCCATGCCCGACGCCACCCAGCATCGAGACAGGATACTACACCCGACGGCTAAGGATTTCGACGAGGCTTTCTGGACATCCACGTCACAGCACCAAGGGATTTTGCAGTGTTGGGCGCCATTATACACAATGTTCAGTCGGGGGAATATCTCTGAGAAAGCACGGATCCTGGGACTGCAGTCACATTTCCCCGGCCTGGGTCAGTCTGAGTTGCATCAGCCGGTTGGCGACGTCGATGTGGTCGATTTCTACGTTGGCATTGGCTATTTCGCATCGTGTTATCTTGCTCGAGGCGTGCGACGAGTTTACGGGTTCGACCTCAATCCATGGAGTATCGAAGGGCTGCGGCGGGGCTGTGAGAGGAACGGATGGAGGTGCTTGATCGTCAGAATCGGTGAGGCAGGGACTCTGCAAGGACAGGGAGCCATCAGGGAACTGGTGGAGGAGATTGAAAGAGGCGACCAAACAGGTAATCCGGAAGGAGTCGTCAGATGCGTGGCCTTCCTGGGAAATAACAAATGGGCGTGGAAGGTCCTCGAGGAGATGCGACACGGATATGGACGTGTTGACAAGGACAAGAGGAAGACGGGACTGCGGTTGAATGTCAGACATGCGAATCTTGGACTCCTTCCCTCTTCAACAGCCAGTTGGCCGGATGGCGTCAAGGTGGTAACGGGTTTGAACGAAGATGCATCAGGCGGATGGTTGCACGTCCATGAGAACGTCGATGTCCAGCAGATCAAGGCAATGGAAGGGAAAATTGTGAGAGAAATTGATGTACTGGTACAGCGAGAAGCTCCATATCCTTACGCAGTTTCTGGTGCACATGTTGAGCAAGTCAAGACGTATGCGCCTGGCGTTATGCATTGTGTGTTTGACATCGAGATCAAACCCAATGGCTGATATCCGTTTTCACCTCCACGCCTTTCTAATTCCTATGCCCACAAGCTCATGGCTGTCTCCTAAACTTGAGCGGGATATTCCTCTCCACAATGCTCTGTTGTTGTTCTCTCAGGATGCGATCAGCCTCGTCTTCCCTCATGTCGTGTTTTCTGAAATGCTCGATATCTTCGGGATGGATCAGGTCCTCCTCTTGCGTGTTCTCGTCATGGTATTTCTCAAAATGGTGGATCTCATACTCATATTCGTCGTCGCCGTGATGGCCTGGGCCTAACTTAGAGTCTGGAAACTTCTTGCCGGCACGTATGCCCTCGAGCCACTGATCACGGGTGATGAGGCCGGTGCTGTGAGGGTCGAATAGTTTGAAGACGTCAAGGACGGCCCTGTCTTTGGCAGCGGCGGGAGTGGATTTCAGAGATTCATCGTCGAGGCCATAAGTACGGCGGACTTCGTCAGGCGTCCACGCACCATCGTTGTTGAAGTCATGGAGTGCGAAGAATGAGGCTGGATCAAAGTTGGAGATATCTGTACGCGTCTGTCAGGAACAATCTCTAGTTGACCGGTTCGGGACCACGTACGATGTTCTTCTTGCATGTGGTACAAGGCCCAGTCGTCTGCTGGATTGGCCAGCTCCTCTTGTGAGTGAGAGCCATGGGCACTGGCCACGGCAACAAGCGCAATGAATGCGGCCACCAAAGCCCCCATTGCAGCTGTGCAGCTTTGTGCGTATTTGGTGGTGATTTGCCTCAGTCCTTACTGTATCCCAATGCCATGGTTGTATGGTGGCTTTGTCGCGACAAGGAATGACATAATATCAAGAAGAAGTCCCCTGGATGCATGCAAGGGGCGCCCTTGGCTAGGCTCACTAGGCATAGTGCAGCCCGTGGCTACCTAGGCTCGGTTGGGTGGTTCGCTCCTGGCCACCAATTGGGGCCAATAGGTTGGTGGACCAAGGAATCACACAACGAGCCGGCCTAGGAATGTGTGAGACAGCCGCCGCCGCTACTTCCTTTCAGATTCTACCAGATGGAGAGGGTGTGACACTGCTACAGGAATGGTAAGCTTGATGCATTGAGGTAGGAAGGCACCGGTTAGACAAAGTGATGGCGATCTATCAACATGTTGTGCCTTTGTTTGCTTGCCTGCGCGTTACCCGTCACCCCCAACTTTCTGTAATCGTGCGTTCTTCATTCACTCCCTGCGGATTGATCTTCAATCTCTCAATTAATATCATGAAATCCATCACGGCCACACTTCCTCCTCAGTCTACGCAACTTGAAGCTCGTGTCCACCGTCCGCAGGATGGACGAACCTGACAAGCTTGTCGTCCCAGAGGGCCACAACTCTACGCTTGATCCAGACCAGTCTGAGCCAGGCTATGGCACAGAGTCCGAGGACGAATCCAAACCTCACCATGCCGAGCTAGAAAGCGCCAACGAGCAAGAGGCTAACGAGGCAATCCTCAACCGCTATCTCATCACTCACGCCAACAGCGACGAGATCCAGAGCCGACACGATGAGGAGCACAAACGGTCTAAAGCGATTATCGACCGAGCCCGTGATTACCAGCAAGAGCTCTTTGAAAAGGCCAAGGAAGAGAATATCATCGCCGTCCTGGACACTGGCAGTGGCAAGACCCTCATTGCTGCGTTGCTCATTAGACATTACCTACAACAAGAACTCATCGATCGAAGCAGGGGCAAACCAGCAAAGATCGTCTTCTTCCTTGTGAACAGCGTCCACCTTGCGCGACAACAGGCCCGATTCCTCTCCAACAACCTCCCCCAGAAGATCATCCCCCTGTTCGGCGACGTCTCGGACGACCTATGGGCAAAGGCAGAATGGGACAAAATCTTTGCGGAGAACAGTGTTGTCGTGTGTACAGCGGCGGTGCTGGACGCGTGCCTGATGAATTCCCACCTGAAAATCCATCAAATCTCACTCATTGTCTTCGACGAAGCCCACCACTGCAAGAAGAACCACGCATACTCGAGAATCATTCGAGATTACTATCTCAGAGGGGAGGGGGAGAAGCCTCGTATCTTCGGGATGACGGCGTCCCCTGTCGACTCCCGGCGGGATATTCACCGCGTTGCTGAAGACTTGCAATCACTCTTACAGAGCAAAATCGTGACCACCAACGACCTGTCTGTCTTCGATTTCGCACCTCGAGCCAAGGATGTCAAATGGTTGTATCCTCCACTGAGAGCTGAGTTCGAGACTCCCCTCTACTTGCAACTCAAGCCCCTCTGTGGCTTCATCGAAGACCTTGAACAATACTTCCGTTTCGCACGCACGGCTTCCCGGCAACTCGGCGCCTGGGCAGCAGACAGAATCTGGCAATACGCCCTTCCCACTTCTGAATACTCATCAGCCGTCATTCTCCGGAAATTCGAACGAAGCAGGGCATACGAGAGCGGGGTGGCGGCCTTAGATGCCATCCGTGAGGCCATTTCGATCGTCCAAAACCATTCATTTGAGCCTCCACAGGTTGACTCGGACTGTGACTTATCTTCCAAAGTGAAGAAGCTGTATATCGAACTTAAGGACCGCTTTTCGCGTGAAGCCACGACTCGCGGAATCGTGTTTGTGAGCGAAAGATTGAAGGCGCTTGTTCTTTGCGACTTGTTCATGTCACTCCAGATCCCTAATCTCCGAGCCGGCGTTCTCATGGGTCACTCGTCCGTTTTGACGCTGGGAAATTCGTGGAAAGATCAAGAGACCGTCATGGAAAATTTCCGCACGGGAACCATCAACCTCATCTTCGCAACCAGTGTCGCTGAAGAGGGGATCGACATACCTCAATGCAATGTGGTGGTCAGATTCGATCTGTACAAAACACCAATTCAGTACATGCAGAGTCGTGGGCGGGCACGGATGAAGGGCTCTATATTCGTTCATATGATCGAAGAAGATAACCAGTCCCAGGAAGCAGACGTCGAATTTGCCATCAATCAAGATGACTACATAAGAGGGTATTGTCAACAGCTCCCCCCCGATCGCCTATTGGGCCAAGGTTCCAAATTAAGGCAGCTCATGGCCAAAGACGCGAGTTGCCACAGTTTCCTGACCTCTTCTGGCGTCCTTGCGAACTACTCCAATTCACTAGTGCTCCTGAGTCGGTATGCCGACTCCTTGAGGAAGATTGGGGCGGTCTGCTCAGAAGTTTACGAGGAGATGATCAATGTCGAGGAGAACATGTTTCGATACAGAGTCATACTTCCTGCCACGGACGACGAGCGGACTGCACAGGTCAAAGGTGCCAACGGCGAGGCGCGAACAAACAAGGCACTCGCGAAGCGCTCTGCTGCCTGGCGTTGCCTTTTTAAGTTACGCAAAGCCCAACTGTTGGATGAAAATCTCAACAGCATATTCTTCAAAGCCAAGCCAAGTAACCACAATGCCAAAATCGCCGTTCCCCAACAGAAGGACAAATATGATAAGAAGGTGAAGCCCAATTTCTGGATCGAGAGCGGTGCGACATCGTCCACGCTGCCAACGGAACTTTTTGTCACCCACATCACAGTTGGGCCAAAATCCCTGTCCTGGTGCACCGATGGCTTGCTGCTTCTGACGCGCACACCGCTTCCAGACATACCCAAATTTCCCGTCTTTGTAGATGAAAATGTTGAGAAACAGGTCCATTTCAACCGATTCATAGACCCAGTGGCGGTAACACCGGAACAGATAGAGGCACTCACAGCATTTACTCTTTGTGGCGTGTTCCACGACGTTTTCAACAAAGTCTACACCCAGAAGTCGACATCTATGAGCTACTGGCTAGCACCTCCAGCCAAGGGGGAGTTAAAGGAAGCTTTTGATTCAATTGTCGACGTGGGTGAGCTTTCGGTCGCGCAACTCAAAGAACGCCACTGCTGGAAGCCATCTGCAAGTGTGGCAGAGGCAGAGGAAAACGGAGAGAAATGGTGCAATGCATTTCTCGTTGATCCAAGAAGTGGAAGATCCCGCTATCTTACGGGTGATATCTTGCCAGGAAAATCTATCTGGGACCCGATTCCTGAAAGTGCAAAATCAATTCAGAAGAAATCGAGCAACTCTATCATCGAATTCTCCGACAGTTCATGGGGAGCAAGGAAAAAAGACGCCAAAATGTACGATTCAAATCAACCCGTGTTGAATGCTAAGGTTGTTATTGCAGGTCGCAATTTCCTAACGCCATACCCGGTAGGCCGACCGCGATATGCCACGTGCCACATTGGCCCCCAATTCTTGGAGCTTGGTCGAATCTCGTGTTCGGTGGCCCAAACTTGTCTACTGTGGCCTTCCATCCTGCGTCGATTAGAGGACTATCTGATCGTGCGGGAAGCTTTCGAAAAGCTTGACCTTCTCGAAGTGCCTCTGGATCTTGCCCTGGAAGCCTACACGCAAGAGGATCATACAAAGGCCTATGGCACTGAAATACGGCCATTGCCTCTGGATGGGGATGATGTTGGAGAACAGTGTAGTAGGAAGGAATCAAGGGCGCCTATGAATTATGAGCGATTGGAATTTATCGGTGATGCCCTACTCAAGCTGATGACCACCATCACAGTGTTTAACCGCACAACGTGCGACGAAGAGGGAATGCATTGCAAGCGTATGGACTTGCTCTCCAACAGCCGGCTGTGTACCACTGCATCTGCTCCGCAGTACGAGCTTTTTCGCTACATCCGCTCTACAGATGAGCATTGGCGTGACACATGGTACCCGGAATTTCTGGAGCTCAAGAAAGGTCGGAACATCAAACTGGCAGGCAAACACCGCAAGCATGCGCTTAGCCAGAAGACTTTAGCTGACGTGTGTGAGGCCACTATTGGAGCATGTATCATGACTACTTGTTGCTTGCCCACTGCGGAAAAGTTCGATCTCGGGATCAAGGCCATCTCCAAGTTTGTGGAACATCCGGACCATGCCATCAACTCGTGGAAAGAGATTCTGCCAATGTACAAGCCGGCGCCATGGGTGGCCGACTTGAACGATCCAATTGCAAACGATATTGCTGATAAGCTCTTCCAAGCCACCGGCTATCGATTCAAGCATCCTCGCCTCGCACGCTCAGCGTTTACTCATTCCTCTGACCAGCACTCGCCAGTTCAAAATCTTCAACGACTTGAGTTCTTGGGTGATGCTTGCCTAGATTGGGTTTGCATATGGTGGTTGTTCTCAACCAACCCGACTCGCGGTCCTCAGTGGTTAACCGAGCACAAAATGGCCATGGTGTCGAACAAATTTCTCGCCGCATTGGCAGTGATCCTAGGATTCAATAAGCTCCTCTATGCTCATAGTCCGGCCGTTTATGATGATGTAGGCCGCTACGCATCCAAAGTTCAAGAGGCCTGGCAACAAAAGGACGTGAAACCCGATTTCTGGACTCGAGATATATCCGGAGGCAACGTACCAAAGGTCCTGGCAGACCTCGTTGAGAGTTATGCAGCCGCTGTGCTTATCGACTCCGGCTTCGACTATCGGGAGATTGAGCATTTCTTTGAGAGACACGTAAAACGCTTCTTCGAAGATATTGAGGCATACGACACTTTTGCAAATCGCCACCCAACCACCTACCTTTACCATCTGCTTCAACAAGAATTTCAATGTCGGAAGATTTCCCTCACAGTCCAAGAACGCAGCATCCAGCCGACCACAACCACCTCTAGAGACACTGATCAAAGTGAGGATGAAGGCGACGAAGCGGTCTCTGGAGTGATAGTGGATGCGGCCTGGATTGTGCATGGGCAGGTCGTGGCAGTGAACCATGGACGGGGAGCGAAGTTCGCCAAAGTCCGAGCAAGTCATAGCGCGCTGAAGAAATTAAGGACATTGACTCCCAACGAGTTCCGGCGTCAGTGGGGTTGCGATTGTGTAAAGAAAGAGGCTGATGATGCACTGGCCAAGGATGAGAAATGAAATGAAGCTATGCATAAGCTTTCTGTACTTGATGAGAAGCATAGTCCGTGAGGAGCTGACAGAAATCAGGCGCGAAAGAGTATACAAGCTTGCTGTCTTGATGAGGAAACTGTATGAGATCTGACAACAGTACCATGAGATTCCTGCTCCCAATCAGGTGAAAGAAGCGGTGGTGAATGATATCTCTCCCTCGAGTTGATGAGCTTGGGAAAAGGCATCACTGGCTCTCCGGCCAGCTCGTTCCCAGTACGACGGTTGTTTCAAAAAGATTGCTGACGAAAAGGGCGGAAAGAGCAAGCAGAAGCATTAGTTCCATAGCAAGCGAGCTACGTATCATTCACGATCCAGCTTCTACTTTAGTAGATCCGGTATCTCAAGCAGTCAATCTGTTAAATAGTCGGTCAATACATAAACATTTTGAAAGGGGACAGTCGTTGCGGATTAATTTCACCGACACAACGTGCATGCACGCACGGCATGTAACAGCCGCAACCGGTGGGTGCATACGTGGTTTGGGCGGCAGATATAAATGAATCATTCATGTCCAGTCTGCCATTCATTCTCCTTGTCTCCCAATGCCTATTGCTACGGTACAGGGAGACCCATGGCGCTAGCTATGGTAAGTAGCTACGAAAAAGAACCCAAGCACCCACCCCCGCTTCCCCTTTTCCATTCGAACTACAATAAAGGACGGGGGCATCGTGTTTGTTCTTCTCCCCTTTCATCTCTTTTCGCCATCTCTCGTCTGCGGTCGTGACCCAATGCTGACACGCTGCTGCTGCTGCCCTGGTTTACGATTCTCGTCTTCGCCGCCGCCGCTACCAGAAGTAGTAGCCGCAGGAGTATGTTCAGGCTCAGGTTCGTGTTCCGGAGGGAACAGCTCCTGCACCAGACCCGGTAGGAACCTATCCAAGCGCCTCACCGTCTCGGGCCAGATTTGAATCTGCCCATTGTCGTCCAGAGCACGCGGGCTGCGGGGAGATTGGCTTATCCCGGCAGCCTGTTCCGTGCGACCAAGGTAACCCGCCCCATCCATGACGAGTAGCGTATTTTTCACTCCCTCACGGACAGCCTCAGCAAGTGCGTCGCCTTGCTGTTCAACCACGGTGCCGGCGTTCATCAGACGATCGAGAAGTTCAAGGGTCTTGATCCAGACGTCGGTCATTTTGTTGCCGCCGCCTTGGCCCTTTGCCGTGGCGGTAGTCTTCTGCTGCTCTTCGTCACCTTGCTCGGTTTCCCCTTCCTCGTCATCCCCTTCCTCATCATCTTCGCTCCGAGGAAGAAGTGGGATGTCGTTCAGTCTGTCGAGATACCTGAGAAAGACTTTGCACAGTAAGCCACCCATCTGCGCTCGTGTTTCGTTCATTCCAGGCGGATCCAACTGGTATATCTCGGGCTTCAGCAACCTAAGCGTAAGCGGAAACAATACCTCATCGAATATTGCTGTCCATGCGGGATGTTGGTCCTTTCCAGCACCTTTCTCATCTGCCACCATCTCGGAGAGCAACGTGCGCTGCAACGCAGACAACGCACGATGTCTTACTTCACGACACGGGTTAACACACTGCGAGCACAGGGCTCGAAAGATCGGACTCCAATACGCAGCCCAAGCTTCATTCCTCTCCAGATGACTTTGGTCGATCAAACCTGTGACACGACCAGTCAGCTGATAGATCAGCCCAATGGCTTTGTTCGCCCGCTGAACGACCACAATGTCTTCCGGTTTTGCAGGCTTGGCTTGCCGACCGTGTTTCGCAGCAAAGTCACGGCGCTTTTCTTGGATGGAGCCGATCGAGCCAGCAGACGCAAAGTCATTGGCAAGGGAAATGGCTGATTCGAAGTTATCTGCGGTCAGCGCTTGCTGGTCTGGTGCCTTGCTCGGAGACGGAGTAGAAAGGAGCGTCAAAATGTCGAAAACATGCTCTGCTTCTGTCTTGTGCTGATGTAGACGCTGCAATGTCGACCAGAAATCGGGGGATTTCGTGATCTCATTGCGTAGGGCAGAAGGAGAACCAATAGCATTAGAGAGTCCTTGGATTACGGTGGAGGCGGTTCGGTCGAGCACAGCGTCGTCGAAGCTTGAAATCGCGTGTAGAACGACGGGGGCACGCATGAAGTCGTGGGTCTATTTTGGTCAGTCGCATGCTTTCACATCAGATGTCGGCGGGGGTTGAGACACTTACGTAGCTATACCGCAATAATTCAAGAAGGTAATGCACGACTCTAGACGCTGCAAGAGGATGGAGATTTGCAGCATCTCTGACTGCATTCTGTAGCGAGCCGGTAAGTTGCTCTCCGGCTGCAGCAATCGTTTCCTCGTCTCTCAAGGTGAGCAGCGTCGCCAGCTCGAGTAAAAACACCGAGCCAGGATCATACTCCGGTCCAGCTTTCGGCATGCGGTGGCCATTGACCCTCACAGTAACAGGGATAGGGCGTTCAGGCTTGACGGTCACGACCGGGGACATTTCTTCCATCTGCGACAGCAGAGCGGACACGACCCTCTTGATTTGGGAAGCGGGTAGCGAGGCCACATGCTGCAGGACAGTATCAGGTCGACATGCCTTCACACAGTCGACACATGAAAGTGTGTTCTCCAGTTCTTCTTCCGAAGGCTCCGGGGGATCGTCGGCGGCATAACTTGAGAGGTAGGAGGTAAACGTTGAGAAGATGCCGCTGTCGCTGAGTCGACCATCTCGGTCGATGACTTGTGATGGTGGTTGTAAAGGTATCGGGCCAAGGCTGTGAAATCTATTTTGCTCGAACTTTGGCAATGTGATGAGAGAGTTGACAAACAGGTTCCTCAAGATACGTACGACGTAAATCCAAGTCTCCCCAACGGCATCTTCATGACCCTGCAATATTCTGAATAGTAATACGGTCGATAACTGGGCGCGAAAGTCTCGCCCAAGCCTCACGGCCATTTCACTGACCATGATCCTCTTCTTCCCAACTTGAACTTCCGTGTTCAAGGAAGTGCTTGGAGGGACTTCTGCCGCCAGCCCGCTGATATGACTGACGCTGTAGATAATGCGATCAAACGCTTCAGTGATCCCATATTTTGCCGCGATCTGCGCGCACTGATCGAAACCAACCACGACTCGGGAGAAAACGGCATCATCGGAAGCCGACATGAATACGTAACACAGAGTCGCCACTATTGGCTTCCAAGCAGCCTTGAACATTTCTGCATCGAAGGCGTTGGAGTTACACAGTTCCAGAGATCCAGCGTTGTGCGTCTTCAGCAAAAGCTCCTTCCAAGCGTATTCAAAGGCATGTTTGTTTTCGTGCTCATCCGGGAGAATGATCTCGTTCTCTTTGATGGCTTCGTAAATATCCTGCAGTAGCTCTGGGGAAAAGTCCTTGCCTGCGTTAACGCCTCGAAGGTTTCGCGCAAAGTCCTCATAAGACATTCGCTTTTGTGTCTTCGCGACGTTAGGATTGTAGAGATCGGTGTTCAGCATGATAATCGCATAAGCGAGGACAAAAGCAGCATCCTTGTCTGCAATCTCCTCGGAGGCGACCGTCCTGCAGTACTTCTCGGTGAAATTATTGACGATTCGTTCGATAAGTGCAGCTTCACCAGGAAGGCGGAAAGATCCCAAGACTTCCCGAAGAGCCTCGTCAATGCGTTTGTCTTCGAAATCAAATAACCCGATGAAGGCTATCAGCAGCGGTTCATTTGACTTCTTGGTCAAAAACTCCCCTAGAACCCTTTTAGAGACACGAGAGGTGCCTTTCAAAAACTGAGCCACCTGTACAGGATCATCTGGGTTTTCTATAATGCTGTTCCTGACCAAATATGCCACACCTGCTTTCGGATCGTCGTTGAATTTGGACGCACCACTTTTGATGATCTTCTTCCTTGTTCGTTGCAAACGCAACTTGTCTATCCGCTCAGGCGCCCATGCTGGCATTTCATGATCAAGTCGCTCGGCAATGAACTGGACAAAACTCAGCAGCGAGTCCAGACACAGCGGTGGCACATTTGTCGTGCTCCAAGTAGCGGAATCTGGGAAAGCATTTCGCGAAAGAAGCCCAACCATATCTTCACAGAGGTCCTGCCGATCCACTTCGCAGTCATAATTGAGGAAGAGCTCCACCATGAAACCCGGGATGCGAATCAAGGTGCCAATACTTTCAACCATTGCTTCCCTGGCTTCGGGCCTTCTAGTACCGCCTTCTAGACCCAGCTTTTGCCTGTCTTTGATCGGCACCGGGGTGGACCGACCACTGCTTGGCTGCGATGGTGCTGGTTTCACCAATTTAGGAGACTGAGGCACACCCTCATACAGCGACGGATCGATTCCTGGTTCTTGCGGAATATCCACACGGGGATGCAAACAAGCCACCAAGTACGAAAGGAACAGCTCTTGCTGCAGCTTAAGCAGCTGTCGACATGTAGCCAGCAATGTGCCAGCGACACGTAGAGAGCTGTTCAGAAGGACCATGTTGTCCGATCGAACGAGCTGGAATAAATGGCGGCAAAGGTCATCCTGGACTAGTGCTGCCAGAACAGGCTGTTTCGCAATCGAGGGCCCAGAAACTTCAAGAGCAACATCAATAATTCTGAGGGCCATGATTCGCATTGCGTCCGTATGTGTTCTGTCGTGTGGGTCAAGAAGGTCGATTAGAACGCGGAAGAGCTCTTTGATTGACGGTAGGGCGTAAGGCTCCACATCATCGAACTCATCTTCCTTTGCCGGTGCGGTGGTATTTTGCGGATCTTTGGAAAGCTTGGATCCAGTGCCGTCGTCGACACTGGATCGTCCGTCGACGTCAACACTCGGTCTCTCCGGTTCACTATTTCCCATGACGCTGCCCGTCATGGGCGGTTCGATCTTCAATTCTTCGGCAGCACTCAGCAAAGTCGTTCTCGTGTTCGACCGACTCCGTGACTTCGGTATCTCTTCCACCTTCAAGGACTTCAGTCTGCTAAACACCACCTGACACATAGTGACCATGGCCATCTCAGCAGACCTTCTGAGAACCTCTGACAGCCGTGACTGGCAACACATGCTTAAACCCGTGCTCATCATCTCGCAGATACTCTCGTCACCCAGCAGCTGGCCTTCTGGCCTGGATATGATCAACTCCATGAGCCTCAGAATGCGCAGGAGGACGACCTCATCCGCCGCCGTGTCACTAGCTTCGAACCGGCAGTGGGTGATGGCCGCACTAAGAAGGTGCATACCCTGAGAGATTCGTGGTGACCGAACCGTGATAATGTTGTACGCAAAGAACTTCGTGATTGATATCACCGCCAGACTAGTAATCGCGGCGCTCGTGGAGGAACTGCGTATGACCTGTAGGAAAGGGTGTAACAACTCGGGGGCATCCACGGCAGCCACATCTCGACAGCCGGCCAGGTCTCTTCTGAGACGCGCAAAGGCAGTCAGCAAGGGGTTATCCTGCATGCTCTTGCCCTTTCGACCTCGCAGCCCCCATCGACTAGCCAAGCTGGAGTTTTCGTCGTCTGAGGTGTTGGGGACGTTCAGCCTGGCCATGCCAGGGTCGAGTATCACAGGTCCTTTACCGCTCCTGCGACTTTGCGAGGAGGAGCGTAGAAAGTCCTTCTCTTGCAATCTTGTGGCGCCTCCACCCAGAATGGCAGACACTGAAGACTGTGCCCAGCGGGCATGTTTCCGCATGGCAGACGTGATCGTTATGCATTCCTGAGTAATGAGAGCAATTGGATCTATCGCAATTGCTGGTGTTGGGTCAAAGACCACATCAAGCGCGGTCGGTGTCATTGTCTGTGCTTGTGAGGGAAAAGGCTGAGGTATCGCGACACTGGGACGGCGTACATCGTCGCTGCGCTCAATATCATTGACGGCGGCCATGGTGGGCCGTGGTGCCTGCGGAGGTGTCCCAGGTATCGGAGTTATGGGCGTGAGGACTTCATTCTGATCTGGCCGACGTCTGTTTTCTCAGCATTCCTTTTGGTCTTTGTTGCCAGGTCGAGAGAAGACTTTCAGCTCGGTCAGCTGCAGCGATCTCCCGCAGAAACATATATTCCTGACCTCAAATGGCCACCTAGCTTGCTGGGTCTTCACCTCCGCGGCGTGTTGAACATCGAGTGAAGTGTCCGCAGTTCAATCTGGGAAAGTCTTCCGGGGTCTGTTCACGTGATGTTCAGCCTCGTTACTGTTAGGATCTCGCTATCAGTCCGAATGCTGAGTCTAATCAAAGGAACGACTCTCTAAGTATGTCCATGGAATCTATCTAAGACAAGGGCCGTAGCCGCAGCAGAACGACACAGGGTATACCCGGAACATAATCACCCTCAAACGCCTTTCGCCATGCGCTCAATAAATGCGACAACGACGAGTTGAAACCCCGTTTCGTGTCGAACAAAAGAGAAAATCGTCCATGTGGACACTGACACTCTGTGGTCATGATTGAAATAGCCCTCTGCTTCATGATATCCAAGCGCCTGCCCAATATTCTCCGTGATAAGAACCCAAGAGCAGCCATGCTCCTACGACAAGGTCTGCTCTCCTTCCTCAAGTAAATCCGTTATCCTGGCAAGATTTCCAATCGTCTCTCTTCCTTGCCCCATCAACAATAATTTCTCCGCATCTGCAGGTAGCCCCAGATACGCTGGGGGTTCTCGCTCAGGTAACTGGTCGACCCAGCCCATGAAGTCGCGAATTGTTGTCCCAGAGGGAACTTTGAGCGCCTGGCCTTCTTGCGGAGCTGACACGAGTTCATGGTCGTTTTCGTACGCTGCAGGATCAAACACCTTGCCCACAATTTGACTCAGTAATGAGAAGTCGCCTTCATCATCAATCTTACCACCGTACATCTCGGTAATCAAGGTTCGAAGCAAATCCCAAGGTAATTTGGCAGGTGCAACATTTGATCTTCCTTGTGCAATCGCATCGATCCAGACGTCGATGATGAAAGAGCAACACTCGTAGTCACTGTCGTTGAACTCCCAAAGTCCCTTCCAGCCTAGAGTTGGGGCATATCTAAGGCGCTCTTGGAGTACAGCATGAAGGAAACAGAGGAGTAGATAAAGCCTGCCCTTCTCGACGGGGGTTCGGGTGCCTCGGTCCGACACTACGGTCAAGGTGTCCTTCATGTTTGCTCTCATGCCTGCTGGTTGTTCATAGACGAGAGTCCTGGAGGCTTGAAGTAGGTTGACGGGTATTTTCGGACTGGACTCCATGGAAAGGAATAGTCTGAAGTCATTATGCGGTTTTAGAGCCGATAGGCGCTTCTCTAGGCTCTGCAGCCACTGCGGTGCAAGGTGGACATTCTTGATCAAAACCCAGGTGCCGTTCGCGGCTGCACTGGTGATGGCTTTATCGGCACTTGCAACGCTCTCATCAGAGCCCATTGCAACATTGGCGCAGTTTGCATTCTGCTTCTCCACAAGGGCATCGACTTTGTAACTTGCGTCAAACCCAGGATTGGAGCAGAGTGCAATCGGAATCGAGGAGTTGACCTGATTGACGATCGTCGCCAGGTCATCAGTACCCTGGAAGATTTCAGGTCCAAAAACGCTCGCGACAAGTGCTTGGGCTGCCGGCAAGAACCTGTCCGGTCGGGCCAGCTTGACAAGGAGTAGTTTGTAAAGGTTTTGGTCGATTGTATTGTCAGTGTCGTTCCAGAGCGTGGGAACACAGTGCTCAGCACGTTCAGCTGAGAGGAACTGCATCCAGCTCTTGCTCGTCGGGTCAATCTTGTCGCTCTTGAAAATAGGAATTCGCTTCACGGCTATCAATACGTCCTCGGCGCGATTGTCATTAGCCACGGTACCTCGAGAATGCGGTCGATCTTCTAGTATCAATTCCATTGCAGACCGATCAAAACTGTATGGGGAGGCGCGGACCAGAAGCATGGCCAGTGTAATGCGATCCTTTTGCAACAGAGAGAGGGATGTTCGTCGATAAGTCTCAACAAATATGTCCTTCAGGATGATCTCGCCACGTTCTTCGTGATTTGTCTTGTTGCTGAGATGTGGGTTGTTATGGAGCACTGAGTTGAAGATATCGATGAAATATGGCAGCGAGAATCGATACCCGTGATTGAGATGGTGTAGCTGCTCAAGCAAGGCAAAAATGGCACTGCAGGCGTTGGCGATGTGGCTGTAGCCTTGCGTGATACGCTCAACTTCTGCCATGACGCCTTCCGTTTCCGCGACCTTCTTTGTGATGACCGCTGCCTCCTTCTTGAGTGTTTCGAGGGTCTGAATGACGTTGTCATCATCAAGAATATTGCCCCGAGATTCATTGAGAGCTTGCAAGAGTCTCTTTTCCAATTGCCTTAGGTTTGTGTCAAACTCTCCCTGCATTTTGACCAAGTTTGTTCTTCGTTTATCGACATCTGGTCGCTCAGCTTTGAGAACTTCGTTCAGAGACTGTGTTCGCAAACTACTGCGGGTAACCGTGAAATTGATGAAGGTAGTCCTGCTGCAAACGTCGGGGGCAAAGGCCGCCGATGGGTCACGAGTAGAGAGATATAGTTGGAAGTGCTCTGAAAAGTCGATCTCTTGCTTGCCAAGCTGGATAAGTACCCGCCCACCAGTCTTCTGGTATTCTTTGTTCAAGACATGCGTCAATATAGGATCCAGATATTCTGCGTCTTGAATCAGGATCGGATTGCCAAAGCGCAAGGCGCTCTCAAGCTGCTTTGTGAAGGCGTCGTCCAGAAAGCTTGTTACTGTTAGCTTCCGCCCTTGATGTTCTTGTTTCAGGAATTCCGTCACCCTGCCAGGTGGGTCAATGATCAATGGATAGCGGTTGAAGCGCTTGAGCATGATGGCATTCTCCATGCACAAATCATCAGCTGGAAGAGAGTGACGCTGCCACTGAAGGCGTTCGTCGGCAGAGGACAGATATCCAAGGACAGAGCCATCGCTTTTGCAAGATATACCAGACTGTGACATATGATGCATCCAATCATCGACCATCGTCTTTCTGAATTGTTGATCGTAGAGACCTCCATATGCAAGGAATGCCGATGCAATGACCACATCTCCCACCAGCGTCTGGATTTGAGTCTCAAACGACTTACTAGCTGCTTCCCATCTGACCCGTTCGGAAGACAGACTGTCAAGTAGACGCAGACTGCGATCTACCTTCGTCTGAACTCGTGCCATTTCGCTCTTGATTGCTTGCGTTTCACTGATGAGGGCCGCATACTCCGTTTTGTAGGTTGCAATGCTCTCCTCTAGCTTAACGATTCTGTTTTCGATGGCTTTGGCTTCTGCTTTGGTTTGTAGAGCCTTGTCTTCAAGCTGCTCAACTTCGGCACGGAGAGGCCCCACACGGTCAAGAATCTCGGAGTAATTGACTTGAGCTTCCACCCACTGTACCAGAGGCCCACAGGCTTTACTTGCACGGTTGACCTTCTCGAAGGTGAAGTCATCGTTGGACAAATAGTCGTGGCGCATTTTTTGCCGAAGACTTGGTGTCATGTCTTTCTCGTTGTCGTAGTTGACGATATTTGCAATGAAATCGTCCCGTCGAACAACAGCTTGAATGGCCTTCCAGTTATCGACCTTATGACCAAGTAAGGTGCATACTGATTCCAAGGCAAGCTTAACACCAGATGGAGGATTAGCCATGGACCTCACCTCAGTGAGATGTTGTCTCTTGATGTTGCTGACGCTTCGCTGCGCTTCGATGACAGCGGGTTCCGCCTTTGCCAGGTCCTCTAATACGATCTCTTTCCGGCTGGCGATCTCTTTCTCCTGTTTCTCCAGTTCAGTCTGTATCTCGATGGAGGTTGTCTTCTGCGACTCCGCAGTTCGTTGATCTGCAACCATTCGTTGAAGCTTTTCATTCGCCTCGGCATCCTTCAGCTCGAGCTGATGCTTTTTCTGGGCCAAGCTTGCTCTCAAGTCCCGTACTTTGTCGACGGTATCTCGAAGCTTATCTAGACCCACGTTGAGGTGGCGTTGTTGTTCTTCAAGATCTTCGCGCTTCTCCCTGAAGAGTTTGCGGAACTGTGTTACGAAGTCGAGGTAATGCCGAGGAGTAAGATAAGTAACAATGCCCTGTTGACGTTCCAGGCGCTCGTTGGTCTTCTGGACAGAATAGTGTATGTGCACCATTGCGTTGATAATCGTGTCGCGGTGCGAGGCAGGAAGGGATAGGCCACGATACGCGACGGGGATACTGTCAGGAGCGGAGAAGTTCGGTTTGTCAAGATCGATTGAGTGTGTAAGTTCGTACCCGACCTGGAAGAGAGCTTGATCCGACCAATCACCCATCCAGTTGAGAACGCATCTGTTGAACAAGGCCGGGCTAGTAGCTGCCTTCGATGAGAGACCATCCTGTGGCGGGTTCATTGTGAAGACGACATGTAAATTGCGGACGATTTGCTGGGTGAACCACTTGTAAAGCTCTTCTTGCGAATCCAAAAGCAGACCTTGTCGTTGGGCACCTTCCTTGCAAGCAGTCATGAGGGCAGAGTACTCATCTCCCTCAAAAAGACCGGGGACTTCTCCATTGGCTAGCAAAGTATTCATCCGCTCCAGGAAACCAGAGTCGAGGACATTGGATTCGTCCATGATGAAGCATATTTTTTGGCCTCGGCAGCCACACGCTCGGAGAACCCCTCTCAAATCATCATCAAAATCTTCAGCAGAATAGCGGCCATGGACCTTGATCTGGAATATGGTCAAGCCGTTCATCCAGGCGACAAACCTAGACAATGTGGTTTTGCCGCTACCGCTAGTGCCGATTAGGATGAGATGGCCTTGTGGTTGGCGGAAAACTCGGTCAATGCGCAAAGCATGCTCGAGGACATCATTGAATAACACAAGAGGGACATCCACCTCTTCCTCGCAGAAAGTCTTGAGGCGCGCTTTGACAAATTCACGTAATTGTTCTTGCTCGACAGAGACATAATTTTTCGAAAGCCAGTTAGAGAAGAGGATGGGTCCCTGTAAGGCCTGATCGATGTCGGCAGTGGGGAAGTGTTCTAGCGCAGTCTGTCGTACCATATCAGACGTCCAGGCTCGCTCCTCTTGTTCGACAAGTCGATCTTGGAACAGTCGCAATGCTTCGTGCGCCCAAATACGAATCAGTCCTTCCAGTGAGAGATGTTCGAGAGGCGCTATGGCCTCATATATACCACGAACCCATCGGGTCAGCTCTCGGGGCGAGTAGACATAGTGAGGCTGGATGTCTGGCGTAAACCTAGTTTGAGATTTCAGGTAAAACTCGACCATTGCGTGCGTTAGAGCTTCAGCAAATCCCCGTAATGAGGGCACCACCTTGAGGACCGCGTTGTTGAAGGTGCCGTAAATCTGGGTCAAGGAGACCTCACCAGGGTAGTCGACCATGACCACGGGAGCGTGTCTCAAGAATCTGTCACCCATAGGATGACGTCCCACATCTTCTGGAGGATTGCAAGCGCCGACGAATTGTATACGTTCCAAAGACACCCACACTCTATCAGTGGTACGCCAAAAACCATTTTGTTCCACGAGCTGCCGCAGGAAACTGATAGCGCGCTGAGTACCGTATTTATCGGGAGCAGGAAGATTGATCTCGTCGCAGAATATGACCAGCCAACGACCAAGTTGGGTGGGGGAAAGCACCATTCCATTGAGAGTCTTTTTATACTCGCAGTACTGCTCAAATGTCTTAATGACGAGCTCTGGCTGTGTCGCGCTGGAAAAGTTGAGACCGACAACCTCCATATCGGGAAGTTTCCGAAGGGCACTGAAGAGAGTCATTGTTTTGCCAGAACCTGGCGGACCACATAACATCAATGGTTTGTGTTCCGACAACCACGAATACAGGACATCCTCATGGCGGACTGTATCAATCGTAGGTATGATAACATCAGTTTGCGTAATCGAGTGAGTGTTCAGGTCGACGGTGGGAACTTGGGCCTGCCATGGTACCCACTGACCATTGGGCAGAGTCACATCGTAATCAATGAGGGAAGCCGAGCTGTCGAGGGTGGGGAGGTCGATAGTCGTCATTGAAGACAAGAAATCGCCGAATTCCTTGCGGACGCCCAGAGACGCATCGCCCACGAAACTCCAGACAATCGCCAATAGAAGCTTCTTCGAAATGAAGACCTCCGTCTGCTCCGGTTCTAGCGGGAATTCGGCATGATTCATGTTGTACTCCAAGATAGTGCGACATCCTTTGGCTAGCAGACTGAACAGGCTGCCAAGCGCCCTGGCCGTAGTGAATTCCATGATATGCTTGTGAGATGCGGCAGTAGAGAGTGCCTTCAGAAGAAAATCATCACGCTGCATCAAGTCCCTTAGGGTTTCGACCGCATGGCGCTGCGTATCTTGAGCTTTCGTCCTGAGCCCAGCTGCTTTGATCTCATCATCCAAATCCTCAAATGTCCGATCCGCGAGCTTCTGCACGAAGTGATCTATCATGAGCGACGGGCTTACTGTGTCATCGGAGAACCACACCATGCCACAACGGCTGACCGTGGCGAGGGTGGCATATTTGAGACTCTCGACTTCGAACATGATCCGAACATTTGAAGGCAGATTCAATCTTTCACCGTTCGGAAGCGTCAATAGTTTGTTGTCGTCAAGAACGCTGTTCAGATTTTCAACCCATTCAGGATCGACATCTCCGTCAAAAACGATCCAGTGGCGCTTGCTGTCTTCGCCACGAAGATTGTCAACAACCTTCCGTAAGATGGCCGTAAACAGGCCATCAGTCCACTCTCGAGTCGTGCTATCGAGGCTACCATAAAGAGCTTCCTTTGACATGACCTTTGGATCAATCACATGGAATACTCCTTCAACTCCTTCCACCTTTTGCAGGGCTTGTAAAAGGACTCTCCATATGGCAGATTTACCAGAAGCGGATTGTCCAACCATCATAACACCATGGTGGATGTTTTGGATTTGATACAGCTGAAGAATCTTCGTCATCCAGGCCTCGCTCTCGGTGAGATGCTGTTCATGCATTACTTGTTTGATTGCCTCGGTCAATGTGGTCATGTTTGCAGGGACATATTCCACGCCCGGAAAGTCTTCCGCCTGCACATCAATGAGAGTCTCGACGTCTTGTTTAATCAGCTTTGGAGACACTGTTTCTCGAATGCTTTGCACAATGATTTGCGGCTCGATGAGACTTTCATCTCCTTTGGTCCCTTCTGACGTTTGCATCCGAACTCTCTTAAGCCCGCCAGAGCTAATTAAGACACTTTTCAGGGCTCTCAGACCGAAATCGTAATGAGGTTGCTTCGAAAGCCGCTGCGCACAGTGGTCGAAAAATGGGACGATCTGGTGTGAAATATGTTTGGCCTGCTTGAAGCCTTGCGAGAAAAGCATGACTTCAGCAATCAACTCCTTGTCTGGCTTGGACATTGCAACACTCCTAAACAGCTTCTTCAAATTGTCTGGCAGGTTGGAACGGCCAGCGTACCCGGGATTCATCGTGATGAACAAGCCGGAATTTGGGTTGACTTTGAAGCGACGCCCAACCAGGTCGATTTGCGCCTTCTGCTCGTTCGTGGTGTATTTAAGACCAATTTGAATATTTTGAATTTGTTGTGAGACAGCCGAAAGAATTCTCTCTTCAAGACGATTGAATTCATCAAAACATCCCCAAGCCCCTACCTGACACAGTCCTAGAAATATGCGACCCATTGCCTGGAAGTCGAAGGTGTCATCACAACAGAAGACTAAGGTGAAGCGGCCCAGTTGAAGTCCCAAGGCTTTTACTGATTCAGTCTTTCCAGTTCCTGCAGGACCATAAGGTGATCCACCCAGTCTTTGGCAAAGAGCTTGTGTGAGGGTCAAAAAGCATCGATCGGTGAGCGGTGTCCGAACCAGGCGATCCGGCACACCGAGATATTCATAACCATAATCCAGGTCCGCGTTTGCCATTTGGATACGGAGGCGATTCATGAGGTCTGCATTGGGGTCGTAAACATACCGCATCTGCAGAAGCCAAAGATAATGTCCGGGTGTATTTGCTTCTGCTTTCATGAGCTTCGCAATAACGTCCCGTTGATGAACAGCCTCAGTGATAAAGTGCTCGCATTTCTTTCGAGTCAAGGCGGGGAGATCTTGCAACACGCTCTCGGCCAGGATATCTAGCAGACGCACCTCATATTCGTGAAGTTTCGACAGTCCTTGGCCTCCAGCTTCAAGTGCTCCTTGAACAAGGTCGGTCCATACAACTTGCGCCGCTAGAATCATGATCTGAGCAGGAAAGCGAGTCATATACTCCTGAAATTGCTGGACGTCTAGTTCAGGCGCAGTAAACAATGGCTTGAAGGCAGTGGCCGCTTCCGCAAGCAATTCGGCCAAAGTCTGCTTAACGCTGGTGTCGAGAGCCGTGAGCCAATCGTTGATTTTGGGGAGTTTAATGAGAGAAACTTCCTTCTTCAGCTTCACGACTTCGCCTTCCTTCGAAGTAACGGCGGCAATCGTATTGTCATCATTCACTTCTGCGCCACATATCCCGGCAAACATCTTCTTGAAGTGCTTCGCGACACGGGTGCTGTCATTACTGTTGCCAATGATTTCAAGCAAGTCCTCATCACCAACAAAATAGAATCGAGGGAAAGAGACACGCTCCCGTTCGAGATATTCGCCCAAAGCCTTCTGAATTTTGCTCAAGAGTTCTGCCAGCCGTTCCAGAGACTTCTGCACTCCAGGAATGGCGAGGACGTCCATGACAAAGGGAGATTTATAAACCTTCTTCATGACTGCGGAAAATTCAGTGTTGATGTTCGAGAACCTGCTGGACTCGGTGGGCAGAAGATGCTTGATATCGTTGTTGCCAGTAAAGACGCCTTCCAAGTAGACCCATTGCCTTTGAACGTCAATCCAGATATCGAAAAGAACATGGACGCGATTTAGTTTGTCTTCCCAAGACGAGGCTTCTTCCTCAAACTCTTTGTAATACGGAGAGTGTCGCATAGCCTGGAGGGAGTTCAGGTTCTCGCTGCATTTGGAGAAAAGATCATCCCAGCCCCGAATCAATCGGCACTTGTTCTGATAGTTTACCAGATCAAGTGGATAGCTTTGCCAAGTCTCCCGGACTTGTCTGACGAACTCTTCGAGGGCCAGCTCTCCCCTTGCCTGGGCAATAATATCTCTGATAGTTGCTTCACTGGTGATCAACTGAAGATCCCAGACATCACCCAAAGTCATCGAGACCTCGGAATATCTCTTGCTGGGCTTCAAGGCTTTGTAAATCTTCAGCCAATGTCTTTCCCGAATGGCATCAGACTTGAGGTCGTTTAGAAGTGGATTGGCCTTGATCAGTTGGCGCAGAACTGTCTGGACATGCTCGAAAGCTGCATACTGCCGCATTCGACTTGGCATCTCTTTCGTCATCTTCACCAAACCATCTAATGATTGACGAAGCTTTCGTGGTTGTAAACTGGTCCACAACATATCACGGAGTTCGTTGATGCTTTCCCATATCGTGGACAGGTTGGACCAGACGGATTTGAAATCGCTTACCTCCTCCAAGGCAGCAGTCAGAGAGTCATCCCGGGTAGATGGCAATGCAAGGGCTTCCTTCGCTCGCGAGACCGTTTCGGCTTCGGCTTGCAACTTCTCCATACGTGCTTGGTACACACGCAAGAGCTCAGCAGCTTCTCCAGGTGGAATGGTCCCAGAAACGGGCTTCTCCTCTGTCCACTGAGCAACCACATCAGCGATGCGGCTGGCAATAAGGCGATCTTCGGCAATGATATTGGCCCGCAGCGCATCCGTCTGATCTTCAACAACCTTGCTTTTGCGATTCAGTATCTCCTCGAAAGCATCCCATTCGTCGCTCAGTTGGTTTGCAGACAGCCAGTCACTAGCAAAGTTGTACCGCTGCCTTGACAGAGTCGTCTGGCCTTGCCTAAAGATCTCGACTTCGGGACCCCATATCATGGCATTTCGTCTGCATTGTTGGACAATGGTGATGAATGCAACCGCTTGCGCCGTGGATGACGCTTCAAGAGAGTGATTTTCGAGCTCGAGGCGCGATCGTTTCATATCAGTGTACACTTCTGCCATGCGATTGCCAAGGATACCACCAAACTTGCTGGTTATCTCATATTGCCATTGATCATATTTCTGTGTGATCTTCGATTGGACCTGCTCATAATCGAAGACGACGCTGCCGAAGCTCTTGCGCCCCTCAGAGGTGTCAAAGGTTGAACGCGCATGGCGAACTTCCTGTAGTAGCTGGTGCCATTGGGCGAGATCGTCACCAAGGGTTTCATGTAATTGATCGCTCCGGAGATCCCACAAATTCTGATAGGTGTACCACTCCTCTAGGTAGACGGCCATATTTTCGATCCTAGTATCAATGGCGTTGTAGGCAGCTTGCAGCACCTCAACATTCTGCAACGGTAGATCTGTGAATGAAGGTGTCGCCTGTGGTGACCCAATATCCGCAATCACCGAGTATCGAGAAGCTCTGACCTGTGGCAAATGGCACAAGACCTCCAGCCAATCTTCCAGCTGAAGTACCCACGATGCCCTGACGAAGTTGAGAGGAGGGTCGACGAAAACTGTTTGATTGTTCATCATTATCTCGATTTGCGTAAGGGGAAACTGAACATGGTGCATCGACTCTTCTGAGGCTGGGTATTGTTCATCCGTGGAGGTGAAAGACGTGATCCAGTACTTCAGAGCAGCTCGTAATCGTTCCTCAAAAATGTGGCGCAATTGCGAGTTTAATTGAGATACCCATGTAGAGAGATTCGAGTAGTTCTCTAAGTTCATCTTGTCCACAGCATTCTGGACAATGTCCATTTGAGCCTGGAAATTCTTAGCAGTATAAGGACAGCTCTTCATCTCAGAAAGAGCGACTTGGATGTTTTGATCAAGGCTTCGTACCGTCGCGGTCTTGCTTTGCAGGGTTGTAACCGCCGTAGCCAAGTCACGAACGTACTGCACATGTGCCGAATCATTGGTAGTGGCTTTTCCTTTGATGTGCAGTTCGTAGGAATGTATGAAAGAGTCCCATTTCAGCTTGATGCCGGTGGCGAAGAGGCTTTGCACTTCCTTTTCGTAGCCCGCCATCAGCGGTGCTGTGTTGGGCATTTCCTGAATGGATCGAACAGCAGAAAAGTATCCTGCAACACTCTCCATAAGACTCAAGGCGTATGGATACACACGTTGAGCTTGTTTTGCCGTTGTTGCTATCCGGTGCGGGATTTGGTAGTTCAGCCAACTCAGATTTCTGACTTCCTTGAACAGAGAAATGGCATGGTTGTCAAAGTTCACAATGAGCTCCATGGCGCCGTTTGCCGTACGGCTCCGGGAGATAGAGAACAGCCTTCCAGTAACGGAGATGTCCCTTGCCAGAACATCCCGAAGCCATGCTTCATAGATGTCTCTGGTTGTGAGCTTCTTTCGAAACAGATTGCTCTCAGCTTCTAGCTTCTCTCCGTCTGTATGCAGCATCCAGTCTTCTCCCAGGACTGCTTGGACCTTGGACATATAATTATTCAACTGTGCTTCGATTTGACGGACCCAGAGAATGGCACCCGCCACAGGAGGGATATCGCGAAGTTGAGCCATCATCTGTGCTTCGGAGCCCCCATACTGTTGTTTAAATCTTTCGTGGAGGGAGGCAATCGCGTTTTTGACATTGTCCAGGAGCTGAGTTTGATACGCTGCGATGGCTCCTCGAACTTTCGGTCGGACCAGTAACGCGTTGAACTTTTCAAAAACTCGAAACATCTCGTTTGCCGTCTTCGCTTTGCCCAAGCGATCTCTTAACCTTGTGATGATCGAGTCCTCAACCCGAGAGGTCCGTTCGGTATATTGCATCTCAGCCTGGACCCAAATCTCCGTTCCCTTCGGGGATACATCTAGCACATCCACATGGCGGACAATGTCATAGGCACCAGCGACTTCCTCGACGGCATCAACATCTCCCAGCTCCTCAATGATTGCAGCTCCGCTATCATCCGCTGGTCGGGTCGAGTCAGCCGCATGAGCCTTGGATCCAAGCACATTGATAATCGTCCGGCGCAGTTGTTCGTGGTCGTTTCGGAAGCGGTAGACGTAGCGCAGTCGCTCCTGAGTTTGGGCGTGTTTAGGAATTATCTTTACGGGCACGAAATCGGTGTTTTTGCGTCTTGTGATTTCCCGAGCAACGGCAGTGAAACTTTTCATTTGATCATCCCAAGTCTCCCAGACCAGATTGACCGAGTTCATCAGGTCAGTAAATTCATCCCAGCTGAGGGACATGATCGAGCGGCCTTGGAGCAGACGAAGAATTTGAGTGTTCATGTCCTCCGAGATACCCTCCACGAGCCTGAGCGCTCGGCGAATGGGATAGTTGCATACCCTCCATTTCTTGTTCAGGTGATTGAAGATCAGGACAAGAGCTTCTGCCAGTTTTTGCAGAGATGTTGCAGAAGACAATTCGTCCAGGGGGAAGTCTCTCATGAGAGTGTTGTAGTTCCGCACGACTTCCAAGGCGTCTCTCCAGCCGGTGTCGGTTTCAAAACTTACGACCGCCTGCTGCCGCTTCGCCTTCTTCAGAATCTCCAACGTCAAACGGACGTGGTCGAGACTTATTTCTTCCACTAATTTGTTCAATGAGGCTTCCAGAGACAGCCAGAAATTGATCTCCTGCGCCGCAGAGGTCTGTGTCGGGGTTGCATCCTTGACATCCCTGGTCAGTTTGGTGATATTCTGGATTGACTTGATCCACCCAATAACATGGTTTTGGATACTGTTCAGAACGGTAGTATTCTCGAGGACGTGGGCCGGAATCAATTGCACAGAAGGTGATATTCCTTGGGCTTCGGCATTTTGTAAGGCTCCCATGACCACTTCGTGCATGGGCAGGTGTATCATCGGAATATCCGTGTTTTGTTGCAGGTGCAGCAGGCTCATTTCCAGTTCCGCAATTCTTCTCTTCGCACCGGGAATCCCGCCTTTTGCCTGAGGATCATACCAATTCCGGTTTGTTGAGCCATGTTGTCGGGTATACGCCTCGAAGTATGGGCTCAGAACGTTGTGCAGAAGTGAGTAGACTACTTCGTAGGGTGAGACAACATCTCCGTCGTTGTTTGGTTCACCTCCAATATTGTAGGAGCCGGGGAGATTAAAGACTTGAATCTGACTGGCAATCGATTTTCGTCCATCAAGGGGTCCAGAGAGTTTCAAAAAAGCAATTGTGGCAACGGTCGTCTGTGCAGGTGACAACTCGGATGAGAGGGTATAGAGATGCTCGATTTCTGCCAATCCATTAGAAGATCTTCGCCTGCTGGCATTATTTTGTGACTGACTTGGAGTATCATCATGACCATTAACCAGTTCTTCTCGTACATCCTTCTGCGCATAGAGAGTAGTCTGAGGATCGACAGCAAATCGAGCACATTTATGGAGGGACTCGGGACGACTGGCTTTCGACAAAAGGCTGCCAACGGCTTCGAGCTCTCTTCTGGCAGCACCCAGTGTAGTCTCAATCAGGTTGGCGATGTGTTCGAGGACTTCGAGGGGATCCACGGGCTCCAATATCGCCGTAGGACCGGGGTCCCCGTTGGGAGTGCTAGTCGAAAGGACGTCCATAGGGGATGGGTCTATCAGTCTGGCAGAAGAACAAATTCGACGACTGAGACATTTGCCAGAATATCAGATGCCCTCCAGCGCCGGCGCAATGCTGACAAGAATAGACGTCCGTGGCGAGGAGCAAGGTTGGGGAGTGGAAAAACAGAGAAAGAAATTGATGATTCCAGGCGTCGATTTGTACAGGTATCAACTAGGAATCGCGCAGGGCCCGCAGACGCGTTTGGTTGTCTGCGTTGGAAGTGGTCGTACATGGGTTGAGAGGCTCGGGAGGGTCCTTGTGCCAAGGAAACGGTCGGGGCATTGGTTGTCCGCGGGCCAGTTAAATTGCGGGCAGGCGAGAGTCACTAGGGTGGCTCGCCAGGCTAGTAGGGCTAGTGGGCTCATTACGCTGCTGGGCCCCCTTGATGCGCCCAGGGGGCCTCTTGAACACCTGCTCGAGCTGGCTACCGACACGCACGGGGTAATTATCTGGTGACATGGTAGGGATGTTACAATTCCTCCGTACGAGGTACTTCGTACTTATTCGGTGTATACAGGCAGGTACATTAACCCAACGACAGATCCGCCGAGCACATAAATCTGACTGCTATTGCTCTTCCTAATCCAAGCTAACTTGCTATGTATCAACGTCTCGGCAATATCATGGGGTATCATGGATATGAAAGCTTTCCAAAATATTTTCCTGGTCCGTTCCTTCGTACCTCGTTCCTGGGGTCCGCACGGGGTACTCCACGCTCATTCAGAGCCCAGTGGACAGTTCTTGCGGTCCACTGCCTCGTGTCGGGTCCTGTTCCTTCGAGGTCTGGGAAATACCGCTCTTTCAATGAAAGCAGGTCCCATTGACAATCTGAAAAGGATGGCCCTATTTGTTCGGCATTCGCGCGTCGGAAAGGCGCCTCTGGCTGTCTTAACGGCGAGATGAGTCGCGCGCGTGACAGGTGGTAGTGCTTCCTGAAAGCCTGACCACAACTGCATCAGGCAGGCAGACGTTCCAGGTCGGCCAAGTCCATGAGCAGCTCTCATGGCTGAACCGGATTATCAATACCACGCCGTGCCCGTGAAGCTCTGCGCGTCATCTGCTGGGGATCGTTGCTAGGAGTGCCCTGCCGAGGGCAGACCTGCAAGGATTACTTGGCCACCCCTATTGATTTGCTTCTATTACGCTGTTGTTCCGTAGAATCATTGGTCATCGACCGGACAGCCATGGCATACTCTATATCCGCGTCGGAAGTTTCTTCAGAGGACCGTCTTTGGAGCCAGCTGGTTTGCGCTTTGAGCATTTGAGTGTCACTGGACTCTCGTTGAGGGTCGGCGTAGTCTATCGCATTGAAAGGGTTCACCTCTGGGTCGCGATCTCTCGAGCCGTTCCGAGCAACATCTGCGAGGTTCTTGTTTTCCAGATGGGCGGAGCGTCCGTCTTTCAGATCCTCCCACCGAGGCTTGATATAGTCACTGTCAGGACTAGGCATCGTCGGCAGAGGGGCAACGGGTTGAGGTCTATCCCCATTTGGTGGCGGAGGCGGCATGGTCCAGTTGTTGGCGCTATTCACATCCTCCTTGTGCTTCTTGTTGCGATAGTCTCCAGCATCCATTGCAAAACTGCCAAGCCGGCTCATTTTGAATGCCCTCAATCGGTCCAAAGCTGTTTTGAAATCGTCCAAGACAACCGAGTCGGTCAAACACTTGAAAACAAAGGACAGCTTCCAGAATGGGTTGATGCCCACCGGTAACACAGACTTCAGGGCCGAGGTAACGGAGAGTACGTCCAGAATTATAAAACATATGCTGAGGACCATGGCACCCAGCATAACAGCAAAGCGAGGTGAAATGCGAACAATTTGGGTGATAGTCAGGTCGTATTTGGTCTTGATGTTGTATATCAGGAGGCAGGCCGCCAGTATCCACCAAGGATCCCGACATAGTGCTTCCCACGGCCGTGTCTTCAGGAAGACCTTATTGACATTGTGAAAATAGGTGAAGTTGGCGTATATCTCGACAACCCAATACGGGATCACCAAAATCACGGTGCCGATGAAAAGTCGACTGACAGTTTTGTTGAGGAAAGGCCTCAGCTTCATCCAAGCGATTACATTATGCAACCACCATGAGATGTTGAGCGGAATGGCGGCAATGGAGAGCCACCAGGCGTACACAGGCGGGTTGAACAAAATGAAAAAGCCTTGCCAATACCCGAGGATGAGCTGCCACACCGAGCGAGTCTCTGGTCAGTCACCGTGGCAATATCACCCAAATATCGAGGGCAAGGCCTCAACTTACCTCGAGCAAGATTAGCTTGTGCAGCAGCACGCCTTTCCGCATATTTGCCAACGTGATGCAGGACATGATGATAAGCGACCCGACCATATATCCCTGCGCTGTTATCTCCCCAAAGGTTTCGTTTGTCAGCTGTTTGTTCTTGTGGTGGATTGTACAACGCTGAGGAACAAGGCATTACCCACCCCACGCTTCAAGGACAAGGCCATTTGGGTCGCTGGGTCTCTGCTCTGGATTATCAGGCTCATCGCGCCTAATCCAGGTATGCACGACATTTTCAATTGTTGGAATTGGGCTCATGTTTGTCCGGGTTCCAAAGCAACGCAACCCATGCGCAACGAGCAAAAGGGCGAAAGTCCGGTCGCGCCCATCAAGACCGGGTTCTCTGCGACGCCCTGCGCATAGCAGAGCAGAAGAGGGGGGAGCTTCTCACGAGTGTTGTTCGAGGCGGGTAAGTCGAGAGTTTTGATGCTGGAGGATGTGAAGCCTGTCGATGGGCGACAGAAACTGACTGGTAGAGACAGTGGCTTTCGGCGAACAGGCGGGATGCAGGGTTGTGAGCTGAGCAACGAGCGATGTCAACGGAGTGACCGAGCAGAGGTCGAGGAGAGGAGTATGGAGGAAGTTGTAGGTGGTTTGTACAAGAACGAGGAAGCGATGTAATGATCCTCGAACCAAAAGTGAAATATGCGGGTGAGTGGGAGAAGGTGGAGGGCCCGTTGTTCCGGTCGAAGTGAAAACGTGAAAAGATGACACTCTCCACACCGACGCACCCACCAGACCCGGCCAAAACGCCATCGGCACCTGAGACCCAGACCTGGTCCTGGGGAATTTTGGGGGCAAGGGAATTTCGCAACGAAATGCGTTGGCCGGGGGGCGGAGGGTGGTCAAGGCGGGTTGCCAGTGGTCCCCCAGTGGCCTCCCAGTGGTAGAGGAGATATTCTCCTTACGCCATTTTTCGGTCAATCAGCCCCTTCTCGGGTTAAAGCGAAAGCTTACGAGGCACGAGCTAAGGAGCCTACGGAGTACATAAACCTAGGCAGGATCAAGCAACCCTGAGAAGCCCTAGGAGGCAAGGAGCACGAGCCTCCCGCCGTTCGCGTGTCTCGAGGGTCGATCAACCTCGACTGCCGTCGTCTCAACTCGCGATCTCCGTATCACACCGCTGGTGGTCACATATTTCGATTTCACCGGGTCGCGGTTCACGTATTCTTTCCTCAGCCGGCACAGCGTCGAGTCCGGTCACACAGCCGAGCTCGACGGTTGGGAGCTCTGCCAACGGAATATTTCCACCTTGTCCAGAGCAACCGTTGAGCACATCCGAATACCTCGATTTGTCTGGGCCCTGAGACCTGCAGGAAGGTCATGGATGGACTTCGGCAAAAGTGACGTCGCCCGTTCCAGGCAATGAATGCACACAATACCGAGTACTTCGGGACATACAAGCTAGATGGTCCAAGCGTACCGCAGCCACTCAAGTGTGGTGGCTGTTAGGACACGGCTGGAGGTCTCCGAAGTCGTCGAGTCGTCGCTACCGGGGCCATCCCGTCTGGAACTTGTAGGTGGGTGCTCATGATTCATCTGCTGACAGAATCGGGACCATCAATCAAGCCAATCAACTGGCCACGCCATTCCTCCATTAGGCAGTCTATCATAGTACTCAGTCATACGAGGTAGAGGAGAAGATACATACTTCGTATATACATCCTTTTTCCCAAGACAAAGGAAAGCTCAAGGTCTTGTCGTCTTCGCTTGCTGTGACCATAGCCTGTGACTCCTTCTCCATACCTCGTAGTAGTTGAATGTGTTTGGTGTTGCGGGGACTCCTGATTCTGATGCTCATGCGCTGATCCCTTGGGCACTAGGGCGGGTCTTTTTGGCTCCTTCGCTTGAGCCTGCACCAGCTAAAGGGTCCTGGCCTGGCTACCAATCCACGCGGCCAATTTTCCTCTCGCTCGGGTGCGAGTTTGCGCGAATAATACGCACCGCTGCCCTCGGTATAGGATTCTTAGTTCCGTGACAAATCGAGGAAAGCCCCTTCAGTTAACGCTTCCGAGCTTCTTAAACGGCCCAGTCGCTCCTGTCACACAGTTCGCCCAAACTCAGGGGGGCTTGCCCTGCATCGTGTGTGCTTCATCTTCACAACTCCCCCAGTGAACGAAACCCCGGAATTTTTCCACGAATCCTCGAAGTTCGTCTCCTGCTCATCGATCGTCGCCCTCCATGCAATCGAAAAGCCGAGCAATTTTCTAAATTCTGCTGCCCATAGCCAAAAAAGGTCACAGAGGCACCCAAACGGGACGAGCATGACGCGCCCGTCAAGGTATTGACGCGTCACGACAAACCCCGCTCCTGAGTCTCCATGCCTGCGAGGACGCCGGCGCCAATGATGCCGCCGTCCCGGGCTTCTCTTAAGAACACACTCTTGCCGCCGTCCTGAGGACCTGCTCTCATCACGAGCCGGTCAATGAACCGTTGGCATTGTTCTTTGAAGTTGGGATAGTGCTGGATAATCCCACCGGTGTAAGCGATGACCAATTCTTCCGGTCCTGACTTCCAGGCGGTGGCACCTGGAGCGGGCGACAGTCCATCTCTCGCGTCACGATGTGGGAGAGCAGGTACGCTTGACTTGGGGGATGCCGGCTTGCTGTCGGTCAAGATCATCCCCTCCGGAAGCGAGGCAGGGCTGCCAGGCTCTGTCAGTGCGATCTCGCCCACGGTAGCCAGAAGACCGACCGTGGCCGCAGCAATCAGTCCGGCAGAGCGTATCTGAACCATCTGTGCAATTTTGCGCAGTGCGCCCGCCGAATGCGGTGACCAACCCCAGTTCGAAGACTCCGGAGGCGGGATGCGACGCTTCAATTCGCCTGCCAATTCTGAATCTGACCGGGCTCGTGCGACAACCGCACTCACAAACGTGGTGCTAAAACTATAGCTGTGTACAATCGTGGCAGGAAGCGACGCTGCCGGCACTGGTGGTTTGTGGGCACGCGTCATGTAGTCAAAGAAAATGATGCGAATCAGCTCTCCAATGTATCGGCCTCCAGTCATATATTCCAAAGGTTGAAAGCCGGGTCGCGCGCACGCTCGATCCAGTTCACGATCCCAATCAGTTGTGATATCTTGTAAAGGGCCGCAAGCACCGGAGATTGTGATTTCCGTATTCACGACCGTTTCGGTCGCATGAGGTTTGTTCTTCCTGATGGGTTCGACTTTGGCCTCGCCCAAGCTTGAGAACTTCATAGGGATCGTGGCGTTACAACCTGTGCCGACAATAATACCAGCGACGACCCGCGAGTTCGGCAGGGACTTGACGCTGTATGCCAGGGAAGCGAGAGTGGCAATTGTATCGTTGGTGATGGCTGTGATCTTGAGCCGGGGCAGCGGGCCGAGCCTCCTTCGCTTTGCTTTCGGGGACGAGCTTGAGGGAGACTGTCGACGGGTGTGGCGAGCGTAGCCTTGTAACAGGGTAGATCCGAGGTCAAGGTCAGAACTGATGGTAAATCCTTTTCCCATGGGCATCAACGTCGCGGCGGATAGTTCGGTTTGCCTTGATTCCCTGTCAGCAGCTGGACGTTCTGCAGGAGTCGTCGACGGACTTACATCATGGGGAAGCTGAAAGTGATGCCCATAGGGAGCTCATCTGGAACAGCCACTTTGCCCATGTCTGAAGTCAGCCGATCTCCGACGACTTCGGCTATACAGTCGCCGATCCAAGCGAAGAGGTCCTCCGTCTTGTCCATCTTCAAATGCTCTCCGATGGGCCATGCCTTCTCCAGCGTCCGCCGCACGCGAGGGCGTTGAGCATTCCGGATCGTCTCACGTGACCGTTCCACACCATTGGCTGTAGGCAACAGTTCCTCGGCGTCGCCCAACAATTCAATGAACGCGACTCGCAAGTTAGTCCCTCCAACATCGATAGCCAGAAACTGGCCAGTCTCATGTCCCGTGGGCAGTTTGGTGACGGGCGTAGGCAGAAACTGCTCCTCAGAATGTATGGCTAGTTCAGCATATACCTTGGAGAACTTGTATGCCAGGCTGTGGACCACGTTGTCGTCGATAAGCAGCGGCTGAGTAAAGGCGTCGAGTTCCTGCTCCAGATCATCAGGTGGCGGACTTCCATTGCTGGCCGATCGGTGCGATGCTTGCTCTGACATGGTGCTGGGTGGTTTGGGGATTTTGCAAACTCGAATGGCGGAAAGGTGACTCTCGTCCGCTCACGTGCGAGGCGACCTAGGTCAGCCTCGGAAAGGGAGGATGAGCTGGGTTGACCTGGCAGCAGTTGTCAAGGCAGTTTGAATATTCAGATTGTCAGTGTCAGTTCGAGAGTCAAGTTTCGGCAGCGGGTCAGCGAAGGTTCAAAGATGAAGAAGACCCCGGATAAGGAGACTGTGCCCGTGAAGAACAGGATTCGATTGCTATATCTCGTGGTTCAGATGTGACCCTGGGGAGTCGGAATGTGACGCTGGGACTTGAAGGAGGGAAAAGGGCAAAGTCAGCCTCAAGCCCTTTTTTTTCTCGAGTGCGAATCAGCAACCATCTGAAAAAGGTTTCAGGGCATGTTTAGGCGCACAGGCCCTAGCGGGGACCAACAGCAAGGGGGAGGTTTTTGTGCACAAGATGCAGTAGCTAATGAATGAGGCTTGGGAGGGGGTGGGAGGCTAGACCGGCGAAGTGACCTTGGATGTACCCGGGTACGGGGACGGAGTACTCCAGACTGCCTGCCACATGGCTCCCTACTGTAGGTACTAGGTTACCTTAAAGTAGGGCTACCACCGCTTTTCGGAGCTCGCTATGGGCCACGTAGATGAAGTCATTCTTGATGCGTACGTAAAGACGCCCCTCAGCTGGATCTGGGTAACTATTTTTGCCTAATTGGACCTGCGATAACGGCAGGGCTGGAGGCAGGCTGAGGGAGTCGGTGTTAGGGACAGCTTGGGCGAGTTCGCCGGTCCATGTGTACTCCTTACCGAGGACGTGGTCCCCCAAGACGTCGTTCCTGAGGAGCTGCTGAGGCTATGTTTCCATCTATCTCTGGAGGCATGAGTACCTACCTTAGTTTGACGTATAGTCTTGAGAGAAGAGCGTACCCAACTCCCTCAACAGCCGCCACACCCGCACGAACAACGCCTTGTGAGCGTGCCACGGAGTACTCCGGGTCGTCGCTCGGGACCTGCCATTGCGCCCACCACTAGCCTCACTAGCCCCACGACCCCCCGCAGGATGCCTGCTGCAGGCAGACTTGCAGGCGTGAAGACTTGGAGACCTGCCAAGACGAATACCATCCCCCCATCTCGACCTACCGAGAAAAGACACCTCCCTACCTACAAACGCTTTCCTTATGTAGTACGCTAGTAGTAGACACCGAACGCACCTGCACCCACCATGGCTATCGAGATGCCGCATTCCGAGGAAAAGCTCCCGCTACACAAACCCTCCGAACCTACAGCTCTGCCCAAGCAGCATGGCCCTCGAAGACATTACTTCGTGCGACGAGTCATCCCAGCCATCCTGACGATACTGGTGATTTTCTCCCTGTTCCGCACTACGTTCGTCTGCGACCACCACTATGACCCGACCCTATCCCGAGTACCCTCAAGTGTCGTCACAGAGGATGAGCCCTCGAGAAACAAAGTTCCGCTGGAAGTACATGTCATGTCCAAATGTCCAGACGCCCGGGACTGTCTGCGCGAGCTGATTGTGCCGACAATGATTCGAGTGAATGAAAAGGTCAATTTCACAATGTCATTTATTGGAAGGTATGCTATTCGGCCCTCCGTCTAGAATCAATCCGTAGCTGACATGACCACAGCATCGATCCTGACTCTGACGCGGTTTCATGTATGCATGGTCCGGGCGAATGCCTGGGCAACATCATCCTCTTGTGTGCAGCCAAAGTCTATCCCGAAGTCAAACTCTGGCTCGGATTTGCCAACTGCATGATCTCCGAATATCCCGACATCCCCAAGCGAGACCTCGTCCAGAGCTGTGCCATGGAACATGGTCTTGATTTCCAGCAGCTTAATTCATGCATCAGCGATGAAGGAGAAGGAATTGATCTGCTTCGAGCCAGCATCGAAAGGAGCCAGGAGAACAATGTAACAAAGAGTTGCACAGTTAGGCTCGCAGAAAAGGTTCGATGCATCCGTGATGGGGGAAAGTGGTATGACTGTCCAGGAGGCAGCTCCGTCGACGCTCTCGTTCGTGATATCAACAACTTGTATGACTAGGATGGCGTTTCGCTCCTTTGGTTGTTTTTCAACGCTGGCAGTTTTCGATGTTGTTCAGCTCGCATGATACCCGAGTTCGACATGATCAACTCCCTTGAGCTTTTTCACAAACATAGTCTCATCACACAGCGTTATGCAGGCTCTGATGTCATTGTTTGCGGTCTGACCCATCAAGTTCAAATATATCTGAACATGTTCTCTCGAACACCCCGCTTCATGGCAACAGGCTTGCCATCCTCTAGCTCGAGTCCAGCCTCTCCCCCATCTCCCGCTAGATTCTCCATGGCTTGCCGCATTTCCTCATCGGCGTCAGCCATGCTCTTTTGCATCTTCTTCATCTTATCAACCGCCTCTTTCTTTTTTGCAGTTTCCTGTGCATTGGCTGGCTTGTCCAAAGATTCCGTCTTCGCAGTCGAGGTAGATGTAAAGCGAGGCTGTCTCAGCACATATTTTATGAGAAGTGGCTGGCCACGACAAATGGTCATGAGGAGAGCTAGAGCCTGTTGCTTCATTGTTGCAGACAGCCCAACTGGGTACGCCTTTCCAGCTTCAGATAGCTCTTTGAGAAGACGGAATGGTTAACTTTTTGAATATGAAGCTCTCATGTTTGGTTTTGCGGGGTGAGCCGACCAGGTGAGATATGAACCAATGACGTGCGAGATGAACGCCAAGCCCGGGTTTTTTATTCCAGCCAACCATTCTTGCAGACTAGACTTGCGACTTCTCAAGCCCCGATCGAGTCATATTAATATTGATGTATGTCCTTCTCATTCCTGCGACTTTTACACTCACTTTTCTCTCCGCTCTCGTCGCAGAAGACCCCAAGACTCGAGCGCTTGTCGGGAAGGGTTCAGACTCTGAGAAATCTAAGTAAGAGCATATTACAGCGATAATGGCGACGCAACAGTATTACGAGCTGTATCGGGGCAGCAGGTAGGTCACCCTCTGCCACCTGGTGCCTGTTGATTTATTATGTTCCCGCCTCGCAACACACTTGGTGAGATGATCAGGGGAAGATATTGACAGATGATGCAGCATCGGCGAAGCGCTTATCGATACGATTGACGATCTCATCAATGACGGCCGAATTGAACCCCAACTGGCTATGAAGATCCTCAGCAACTTCGATCGCGCAATCGCCGAGACGCTGGCAGAGAAGGTCAAGTCCAGACTGACATTCAAGGTTGGCATCACAGACCGGCAGCCGGACAGTAGATGCGCTGACAGGTAATTTAGGGGCACCTGGAGACCTATCGATTCTGCGACGATGTGTGGACATTCCTCGTTAAGGACGTCAGGTTCAAGAGTGACGGTGGGCAAGAGTTCCATGCGGACAAAGTCAAGATCGTCAGCTGCAATTCGAAGAAACCGGGCGAGGCATAGGTGCCCGAATGAACATGGACACGGTTATTCCACGGTGGCGCTCTGTCAGCAAGACTGCACTATCGAATGCGCATACGGATCTCGAGTGCTGCTACAATATACCCTTGGGCGGCGACAGGGACGGAATATTAACAAGAACGTTTACACGGAGTTGAGGGCTTTACTATGGAGTATGCGCACTCTGCGCGAAATGGAATCATGATACCCCGGGCATGATTAGACCCAGTTGAGGTGGCGAGAAGGCACCTCCAAATATCAAAAATTGTTGTACAAAATCCTCGTCGTGATGGTTTCGTCCATAAGTGATCAGCTCCTCATGGTAGCCATGGCATTCGGCTCCGTAGCAAGGCTCACTACCTAGGCTCGCACTTGTGAAGAGGTAGCAGGGTGCACGGTGGGGCATAGAGATTCAGCCATCACAACCTTACCAAACATCTTTGTTCACGCTGCTCTCCGTCGTGATCACAGATTCACTGCCTTCACAGTTTGGTCTCACCGGAAGCAGGCAGACATGCACAGATTGCTTTTTAGCAAATGCAATTCGCAACGGGCAAATCCACCTTGAGTTTCTGCACACTAGGGGTTTCCAGGCTACAGGTGTCGCGATGGCGCGCACTTTGCCTTGGTCGGTTGACCGTCTTCCGGCCGCAAACAAAGCACGAATGACTCCCGCGCCTCGTGTAAAGCGCGAGAGAGCACTCTCCCCAGCGCGCAGTGAGAATTTGGCCGATAAAGTACGCGCGACTGACCGCGGACGACCGCTCAAGACAGTCACTCGGACAAATTTGAGTCGTGTGTTCATTCAAGGCAACAAGGTGGAATGGATCTCGCTGACAGCTGGATAGGGAGAACACCTTCCTCTTCTCCTGTTCGAGGGCCTCCAACTATAGAGTGAGTATTCCTACTCGGTCACAGAGTATGCTCTAACAACGTCCCAGGCTCATGCAAGAGGGATACGATGCCGACGACAACTATATCATGGTGGAGGACGAGTTCCAGACAGTCGCACAGTCGTATACTGCACATCTGCACCACGCCGAGTACAAGAGACTGGTCAAACAAGCGCGAGAAGCAGCTCCGAAGGCTCTTCCTGAACCTACATCCCCCATGTCTGAGAGAACGAAGAGATGGCTCAAATCTGCCGCCTTGCAGAATAAACAAAACGAGACTTTACGACGAGTCATGGGAGATCCGATACTCGAAGAAGAAGAGGACGAGGACAAGGTCACCGACTTGTGGTCTGGCACCAGTCTCGCACCGCTGATGGCAAGCAGCAGCCAGCAGAAGAGGTCTCTGGTTGGCCTGGAGGGAATTTCGAGCAGTACAAAGGCTGGCATGGGCCTCGCCAGAAGTCAGAGCAGCAGAAGAAGCACCAGCAGCAACCCGAAAGCGGATGATCGTCCTCAGCACGCATTTTCAAGACGAGACAATATCAAGCCTTCATCGACTTCTGGAGCGGTGGAGGAGCGGGAAACTCGACAGAACGATCTGCCACCCATGTCGACATCTCGAATGTCTGGCCATAGTGTCCGAGAACACAGACACACTCCAGCACGGAACACCTCTGATGAGCGACCTGCAAAGCGCAGGTTCGTTGTGGACCTCGATGATGATTCTGGCCCACCGCCTGCGATGTATGACTCTCATGACGGCGGATGCAGATCAAGAGCAGCACCGCAATTAAACGGGAAGCCCTTATCGAAGGGCATGGCAAACAAGGAACGAGACAAGAAATCGCGACTTGAAGAAGTGCCGATGTTCATAATTTGAATTATCGGAGAGACCTTGTACCCTTATCCTATTTGCACCAGCCTATCCAAGGGTCCGTCCGGCACGACGGCCTAGAATCACAAGTTGATCAGCTCAGAGCTCTTCGAATTCGTGGCATATGTTTAAAGTCTGCTGCCATCCTAGCAGACGATGATTGTTTGGGTTGCTTCCACATGGTTCCCGATTTGTAGCTGTTGTGCGTCTCTCAAGCTGTGTTCTCCAGGGACTGTGTCTTCGAGGCAAGGTGCATCGCTTGGGCGTCCTCTCGAGCCTTTTCCACAAGTACCGTGTTTCTGAGGGGCCATACATCAGCAAAATGTTCCGTAGGAAAGGGTTCTTCATCTTGGAGACTCGTACCCTTCGACGTCTGTTCCCAGAGTGATGTTCTCACGACGAAAATCAGTTGGATGTCCCTTCAGTCGGCATACATTAGCAACTCTCTATTTCTGCGAGACGCCTCGCCGTCCTCAGCTTACAATGACGAGTTTCTTCTCTTTCGGAGCTCTCTGGAAACGTCCTCGGAGCTTTCCCTTGAGCCATTTGTGACCCGAGCGAAACTGATTCATTGTGGCGGTCTTGAGTTCTCGAAATGATGGCATTGATAGTTTCGCGGCAACAGGACAGGACTCGGGGTTTTCGGAGCTGTGACCGGAAGGTGTTGTTGGGTACTCGGACGGACGCCCTTGGGACCGGCTCATTCAGATATACACAGGATAGGGAGGTGATGCGAAGCTGTCAACGCTCGTTTGTCGACCTGACTTTGACTTGGTGCGTGTGAACAGCAGAGAAACCAATTTTTGTTTGCCGCGCTATGACAAGACATGTACAAAGGAGTGACTAGTGAATTGGACGTGAAACGAAAGAGGCGCGGGAAAGGCCCAAAAAGAAAGAATGAGAGACGACGAACATGCACCTCGCGAAGAGAACGTAACTGGGAAAAGAGAGATGGACGATCAGGCCATGACTTGGGTGTCGTGGCGCCCAGGTTGCCTTGGTGAGGAACGGTGAAGACACGGTGAGATGGAGAGGTTGATGGCAGCATGCCTAGTATGCGGAGCCCTTTCAAAACGTCAAACCGAGGCCTCATTCACTCATTGTTCAGGACGCACACGCCCACGGACCAACAAAGACAATGAGAGGGGGTCGCGTCTGTTGAAAGAGGTTGTCCGCCCTTCCTTGCCTCTGAGATCTTCCACGAACACGAGGGATCACCACTCGCCTTCTTATCCTGCACATGGGATCAGTGAGTGATGCATGAGGAGACAATTTCCAACACGACCGGCCAGCTCGCTCATGGCACCACCTTCTGAAACAGTGGGGACCATTGACACATACAAGACACGTTTCCGCCTCTTACAAAAAGCCTGTCTGCGAATGTCCGTGTTCCCCCATTCCTCAGGTTGATCCGACGGCGTGGGCACAGGTCCGGGCTCCTTGCACCGTCATGGTGTCCAGCGATGCCACCTCGACTGACGTCTCTTCAATTACCGGGCTCCTCCGAGTTACACCGCATGTGGGAAGCCAGCGCGAAGGAGGGCTTCCAGAAGATTGCTCGCTCACACTGTTTCAATGCTCAATTCTCCATGAGGGCGTCGACAACCACCTCCTTGCATCGCAGCAAAAAGTGGAAGTGGAAATGGGCGTGGCATGTCAATGGGCTGGACATGATTCAAGGGATACATTGCTGATCAACGGGCCATCGGAGCAACCCTTACGTCCATCTCCACGAGCTGTTCTTGACCTTACATACAGAGGCTGGAATAGGAACAGACAGGACTCGCGGCTCGAGGACAAGTCTTCTATCTTAGCAGCTAAACGACCAACTATATCTAGCAACGCCCCGGTTCCCTCCCATCAATCAATTCATCCTTTGCGTCAGCTGGAATGGGGGCAAATCGCCGTCATTGCATCCTGATAGAGAGAGAAAGAGAAAGCTATGGCCACTCAATCAATCCTGGCTCGTATCCACCACCGCCGCCAACGCATACTTCTCGTTCTGCTTGCTCATCTCCTTCGCAAACTCCTTAACGTGCTCGGGGACACTGTCCACCCGGTTTCCCTTTTCGTCGCCTTGCACCACGCCCTTGTATTCCACCGGCTCGCCGAAACACTCCCACACGGGAATCACGCCGGTCCACACTTTGTCCCGGATATCGTCCCTCTTCAGGTCCTTGAGCTCGTCGCGCGGGCCGCCGACCCGCACCTTGCCGCTGCCCCCGACGACCTTGACCCTCAGGATGCTGGTGCTCTGCATCTCCGCGCCGTCGGGCGGCACGCGCGTGTGGCGCCAGCGGTCGCGCACCACCGAGTTCGTGACCTGTTCCATGGCCCAGAGCTTCTCCTCCAGCGACGTCACCAGGCTGGCGTAGCCGAACAAGGTGGCGGATCGGTAGTTGACGTCGTGCGTGTTTGGCGTGAGCGTCAAGACGAGCCCGTCGACCAGCGTGGCCGACACCGTCACGGGCAGGCCTTGTGCGGTACCTCCTCCGCCAACGCCACTACCGCGATCGGAAGCCGAGTCGGGCGCGTCGGTGTGGCCGGCGTTGCGCGACAGGTTCATCAGCCGCGAACTGACGTACCCGTGCAGGTAGATGTCGAGTGGCTCGCCCAGCGACGCCGACGGGTGCTCGAAGCTCGCCGCTACGCCGACCATGGGCAGCGTGACCGGGAACGGATTCGACGGGTCGGGCGTGTTGAACGAGACGTGGACGACCGTGCTGGTGTTGATGATGGAGTGGATTTGCTCGAGGTCGTACGTTGCTGTTTTTCAATCAGTGTGGTGAGCAAAGCGGTCATTCATTGGTGAGTAAGTAATAATAACGCTGTGGCTTGCTCTCTTCTCCAAGTGTACTCTCTTTTTTGGGAAGGGGTAGGGCGTTCTGAAAGTCACAAAGAGAACAGCAGAACACAAGCAAGGAATGACAAAGTATGGCTCGCCCATATATCAGCAAAAGGCAAGAGAAAGCCGAAACGTTTCCCACCAAGAATCGACCACCACCACCACCACCACCACCAACGTGTCTCTGTTTCAACGTTCGCGTCCTCGTTACACATTCGAAATCATGGAGGAAGGTACTCCCCTCTCTCTTCTTCCGGTGGAAGATACCGTGGTGTATGTCCCCCGGATCCCCTTGCATCTTCTCCATCTCTCTCCATTTACCACACACGCGCCTAACTCAATCTCTCTCGCTCCACTTCTTCGGAGGTACGGACGCATCACACACATCACATCGTATCCCGTGGTCTGCTGCTGCTGCTGCTGCTGCTGCTGCTTCGGCACTCACCTCGCTGATTATACCGGTTGACCCTGTTCACCGGCGTCTTCGGGTACTCGAGCGTCCTGCCGTGACCCATCGTGACACTTGTAGTAGCGCTCCGGGAGGGACCTCGGATCCGTGTGGCTGGCCGGCTGGGTTCAGGTAGTCTAGGCTGGGTCTGGATAGATGGATAGATGGACGGACGTGGCGAGAGGGATCGTGGGTCGAGGACCGTGGATCCCCTTTTGCTGCGGTATATTTACCTGCTACTCAGGTGCAGGTCTTTGGGGAGGCGTGCTGCCTGCTCGGCCACAATCAATGATCGAGCTTGGTACTTTAATAGAAGAAAAGTGAGATTAAAATTGTTCAAGTAGAGAAGGGCAGGGGTCTCCGTGAGGAATATATCGATTGATTGTTGTCGTTGTTACACACCGCGCGGGCCTGTCGTTTACCTACTCGGAACAAGAGGTGGGAAAGTGGACACACACATACATATACGTGTGGAGGTAGGTATAAATACTCATGGTCATAGTTATATGGCGTCTATTTACTTTGGTAGATTCATTATCAATACCAAACTGCTCACTCGATGGCAGAAGCACAAACGCATCACGCCCCTTCCGCGACCCAATCCGAACTTCCGCAGCAAAGGTTGGGAGAAATAGTCGGAGCCTTATCAGATATTGGCATGTAGACCATGCACCCTCGCTCGCGGTCGCCTACCCCCCTTCTCCATTTTCTCCTTCCGGTCAACCAATCCTGGTGTATCTGCCCATGGACTGGGTTGAAGGTAAGGGCCGCAGAAGACCGCCCCCACAAAGAGCAGGTCCACCCGAGCACAAAGCGAAAACAAGCGAATCGGCAAGGCTCGTCAAGATAAGGAGCTTCCTGGGGAACTTCCTGCTTCGAAATGGCCGCTCTTCCATTCGGCCAGGCAGAACATGTGAGTGTCTTAGACGAGGCCGAAAACGAGCACGTATGAGGGCCATCCCTTTCTCCTCGGCACCGGAGCTGTTTGTGAAGACCAACAAAACCGAGGCAGAAGCAAGTCACTTGCTGACGCCCTGATCGACGGAAATTTACTATATAGCCTCTCACATAGGTTGTTTCTAGATCAATCCCTTTGGAGATTATCGATTTTTAAAGGCAGGCTTGAATTCGGCCAGCCGCAGTAACATCACAATTTGACTCTTTCTTGACTGCCACTGAGCCTTCGCATCTGTGGTCGGAAACTGGGACTCGATGCCACATTCGCGCTGCCTGAAGGTTGACCTTCCGAGCTCGATCCCTGGCCTGACCCTTCGGTGTCTTCAGATACCGAACTCCTCGCCGAAGGCGCCATGTTTGGGCCAGGGGGCTGGGCTGACGGTGCTCGGCCTCGCACTAGCCCCGCCTGTTGCTGCTGGCCGACTCGTTCGCGGTTCAGAAGCCACTGGACCTGTGATCTGGTGCTGAACAAGGCGGCGTTGGTATGAGCCAGCTCCTCTTTTATCCGTAACGTTTCGTTCATGATCTGCATTGAAGCTCGAGCGTCAAGATCTGTCAGTGCATTGGTAATTGCCGAAATCTCATGCTCGAGACTCGACACGGTGCCACGCAGAGATTCGTGCAAAGCCAGGAGATGCTGTTGCGTTTGAGAAATGGAGGAAGCCTCCGGGTCTGGAGAAGGTGTCAAGGCGCGAAGATGTGCCGGCATGAGGAGATCACGGTGCGATATGGCCGATGGAATGTGGTCTCGCTCAATCTCCTCGATGTCGGAAGCATCACCAGCCTGAGAATGGTCGGAATGACCAATGTGAGGGAGGACACGGTCATTGACAATATCGTTGATTTTGTCAAAGCCTGCCTCGAGCACTTCGTTGCGAACCTTGACCATGGCAAGTTGTTCCTGGAGAGATTTGAGCAGCTGAGATTGCTTCTGGAGGTACGGTGCTATGTGAGCCAGCGGGCACGTTTTGACATGATTCTCCCGATCATCAGGGTGGAAATCTTCCGTGCAGCCGTATCCTCGGCCGGGACAGCGCTGGCCTTCCTCGGCGCCGCAGATGTGGCCGGTAATCCCGTTCAAATAATCCCTGGCTGAAATCCTCTGACCACATACTTTACACTTGACGCCAGTATTTGGACAGTCTTCATCCTTGTGTCTCAACCAATCGCCTTTGCCCAGCTCGATGACGGCGCCGCAGTCACATTCAATGTGTGAAGAGTGAATGCACTGCTCCGGCACATAGTTCCTTCGTTTGACCAGTTTCCCACAAGCTGGATCTGGACACTGAAGCCGCTCGTGCGGACACTCTTTCGTTGCGTGTCGTTCGACGTAGCCTCGCGCGAAAACCTCCTCACAATCCTCGTTGGGACACTTGACTCTGATATCATTGCACATGTTGACTATGAGACGGGAAGCCTTGTGGGCGGTCGACAGGAGAAAGGAGCGACACGAAGGACACTGGTTGCGTGAACCGCTAGAGCCTCCCTCTCTATATTCTTTCAGGCATGATTCGCAGAATGTGTGATCGCATTCGAGGACAACGGGCTCGATGAAAGGGACGTGGCAGATGGGACACATCAAATTGGGGTCGTATTCCGACGCATAGTCGAGTGCTCGGAGGTCTATAGTCTTCTTCTCGAGCTCCCTCGACAGCGGTTCGTGAGACAGTGACGAGGGCGATCGTGGAGGTGAGACTCGGGGACGAGAGCGAGCGAACTCGGCAAAGAGGGTGTCGAACTGGGACTGAATGGGACTTGGTGAGGGCAGGGAACCAGAGCCTGCCCCAGAGTATCTCACATCATCATCATCCATATTGGCAGTTGACAGGATTGAGTCGACAACCTAATGAGAGAGAAGAGGAGAATCCTCGCATTTGACTGCCAGAGGGGCATGTTTTAAGAGAGGACGCTGTTTGGTTGAAGTCAAGTCTGGTTGTTGGAAGATGGATCGGAAGACGACGTGTGGAGAAAAGATTCGTCGCCTCGGGGCTCGGAATGTGGTCGCCACTATTAATTATTATTGCATGATGGACCTACGGAAGAGGGTGCGTTGTTCCTGGGTCCTGGGTCTGGGCCCCGCCTAGGGAGCCCTTGCCTGATCTGACCCCAGGGCTACCTAGAGAGGCCTCACCGGCCTAGCTAGTGGTCCTGGGCATGAAGGAGGACCCTGGAGGGGCGAAGGGGGGCACCCTCATGCTTGGCAGGTGCAACTCCCGGCCACTAGCCTGGCTGCACCTTGCCCCGGACTTTCCGCTGCTATTCCTTCTCCCAGGCTTCCGCTGACTACGTCCAGGCGCTCTCTATACAAAAGAGCCTCTTAGCCCATGCGATTCGTCCAACCGTGTGAGACACTCTCTACATCCTCGCACATAGACAGGACGTCCGCAATCATCATTTTGCCTCTCTCGTTCTCTTGCGCGTACCTTGGCATCGACTCCGGACCATCCAGCGACCTGCAACCTCCCCCGCGACATCTCGCCTCATACCTCGCGCTCAGGTCGAGCTCACCATGTCCAATCCCTCCCAACTCCTGCTCCTCGCGGACCACATTAAACTTTCCCTTCTCGAGCGCCAGCGCGCAATATCCCTCGATCTCGATGTCAACCCTTCGCAAGACTCGAACATCGCCCGCTCATTAGAATCCTTCCGAGAAGGCATCGAGGCCCTCTCCAACCGCACCCCCGACGAAGACTCGCTCCCCCAGCTGTGGAGTCAATTCAATGACCTGTCGCGACAGTTTCAAGGAGAAAGCTCCGCCACGGTTGACGACACACTCTCGTCACCGAATGACCCGACATTGAAAGAAGATTTTGAACGTGCAAAGACCCGCAAACCCGGTGACGCCGCCCAACATCAGAAGGCTTCGAACCTGCGGAAGCAGGATGCGGCAGTGGCGCAGAGTCAAGGCGCCAAAAATGTCCGCTTCCGCGATGACCCTTCGCAAGAATCACTCGATGCCCAAGATGAAGCGAACCGTGCGGCTCTCTTCCCTGCCCGCTATACTGATGAGGAGGACTCTCGGGCTCGCACACCCGACCCCACAGAGAGCATGGACAACCAACAGATCCACATCTACCACCGACAGGTGATTGCTGAGCAAGACGAGCAGCTTGACCGACTCGGTGAATCTATTGGCCGTCAACGTCATTTGGCTATGCAGGTGGGCGATGAGTTAGAGGGTCAAATTGCCCTCTTGGATGAAGTCGACAGGGGTGTCGATAGGCATCAGGGTCGGCTGGATGGCGCTAAACGACGGTTAAAAGGTGTGAGCGAACGGGCGAAGCAGAATTGGGGCATGACGACGATCGTCGTGCTGATTGTTATACTGGTGTTGTTGATTGTATTGTTAAAATGAAGCGGGGGCTCACGGAGTGAGAACCCATGGTGTTTAGGCAAGTGAGCAGGCGACGACCTTATAGATGGGTATACTGACAGGGATATTGGGTCCTCGTGCAGATTCAGGAGCCCCCAAGGCGAGGCAAAGCGAGAGGAATGGACTTTGACCCCCCCGGGGTCCTCCGCCATCTGCATTAATGTCTGGACTTTGCGCTTCCAAGTGAACTGGGTATCTTATTCCCTATACCATGCATTTTGGCCTGAGGACGTGTCTGCCCATGTGCCCTTCAGTCCCCTGATGGAATGCGAGATAATGCAACAGGACACGCAACGCAGCGCAGCGCTTGTAGCTCTCTCTATGCTCTAGCTGCTTCTCGGTCGGAATGTCTTTGTCGTAAAAACCAATTCATCTCCATATGCACCACCGCGTAGATATCATTTTGAGGCCTCCCTGACGTCGTCGTCAACAGAAGGTGTATGACGTTCATCTTTCTCTCACCCACGCCACATACGCCTGGGGAATTGGTCCTCTGGTGGGATGGATTGGGCGAGTTCGTCCCGACAACCAACGACTGGTGTCCAAATCACCTCACGACAGCTCCCTTCAGCGTCTTGACCGTACATCTCCCCTTGCCCTCCACAATCAACCAGCCCTTCTTCTCCTTGTCGCCCTCGATCTCCACGCCCGGCCTTCCTGCATCGAAGCCCACCGCACAATCCTCGCTCGTGAAGAAGCCCGGTTGTACGCTCTCCCACACCTTCTTCTTGGGGTTTAACTGCTTCTCCGGTCCCATGCCTTCGCCGTACGGCCAGCCCTCAAAGTAGACTTTGTCGCCTGCCTCGCTGCCCTCGGGGGGGTTGACCAGTTCCACCACGCGATCGGCCGCGTGCGGGTCGGCGCCCTCTTCCGCCCGGGGGGACGCTGCCAGCACCATGGCCGCGGACTTGATGCTTCGCATGTTCACCGGCTTCAGGTTCGCCACCACCACGACTTTTCGATTTTGCATTTCCTCCAGCGGCACCAGTCCGTTCAAGCCCGAGCATACTGTCCGCACCACCTTGCCCGTCTCCTCGTCAACTTGGGTGTGTTCTGTCCCTTCGGGGTCGCCCATGGCAACGGTGGAGACGTAGAGGGAGTCGGCATTGGGGTGTGCGATCGCGCGCAGAAGGTGGCCGACTCGCAGGTCGATGAGGGCGGGCGACACCGGCGCTGCGGGCGTGGCGGGGGCTTTGGGTTGCTTGGGCTGCTTCGGGGCCTTTTTCCTTCTTTTTATTGTTGGTGGACGGCGTGGTGCTGCCCTCGGCGGTGGGGGCGGGGGCGGAGGTATTGGATTTGACGTTCTCGGCGATCTCGTGGTTGAGGGCGGCCTTTGTCTCGGCGGAAATGGCTTTGTCGACCGGCCCGCTGCTGCTACTCGAGGGGGCATCCATGGCGGCAGGAGACTGGGGTTTGGTGCGGCCCACGACCAGAGGTTTGTGCTGTGCGGGAGCGGGAGCGGGAGCAGAAGGTGAGGTTGAAGTCATTGATGATGTGAACCCCCGGCGAGTGGTGCTGAGGGCAAATGGTGAGGAGGAAACAAGAAGAGGAAGAAGAAGAAGCCTGGACGGTGGTGTTTGTCTGGTAAGAATCAAATTTTTGAGATGACTGCGTCGCGGAGTCACGATGATCGGCGTGCGGAGTTTCATTCACTACTGTTTTGCGCGCGTGTCTGTTGTCGCTGGCCCTGCAATAGGCGGGTCAAATTCGTTTTGCGAAGCACGTGATGTCACCTCCTTCCGGTGTCTGGTGGTCGAGGTAGTTGTTCGACTTGGAGATAGATATAGGATTTCTGGAGGTGAAAGTCTCTCTAATTCCCAGTACAAGTTGTGCTGGTCGTCGGTGCAGTTTGCGACATGCACCGCCAGGGGGGGCCGAGAGGAGGGTCTGAGATGGCGGGCTTGGCGATCACATACTGTCATTACAAAAATAAGAGTCACTCCATGGACGACCTGCACTGTACGCAGTACTGGGTAGTACATCAAGACATGGGTTGAAACCAGCATGGCAATACCTCTCTCATCTCCAAACATCAGCTTGGCGGCCTGGCAGTTTCGAGGAACACGACGAACTATCAAGAACAGCCCCTTCTCTTCTATCATTCCCGTCGCTCTGATGTGGCAGGAGGAAGTCCATCACAGTTTACCGAGTCTACAAGGTGAGCTGGGATCTCAAAAGGCTGATGTCTCATGCCTGGTGATGCTGTCCGCTAGAATATAGGCCCGATCCATCGGCTATTATAAACCCAGTGCAGGGACGGACACATAGTAAGTAGTCTGACAATCCTGAAACCGCGTCGGAAGACCGGAGCAAGAAGATGGGGGACAGGATATCTGCTCTTCCTTCTCCCTGGCCCTCCGTCTCATGAGAACAATGTCAGTTGATACCTGTTTCTTTGCTTGATTCATCGTCAGCATTCTTACTACCATCAACACCACCACCACTATGGCTCCTCCAGTCGCCATCGTCACCGGTGGCTCATCAGGCATAGGCGCAGCATTGGTAGAACACCTCGTCTCTCGGGGATGGCACGTGGTCATCGCCGATATCCACCAACCCAAGCACGCCCTCCCGGGCACTCTTTACATCCACACCAACGTGTCCTCGTGGGAACAGCAGGCCGACATGTTCAAAAAGGCCTACGAGTGGGGCCAGCGGCTAGACTTCTGCGCGTTGAATGCCGGCATCGACGACCGCGACGACATCTTCAACACTCTGTCGTATGACCTGCACAAGCCGCCCAAAAGGCCCAACACGGATACTTTCTCTGTCAATATCACTGGAACGTATGCGATATATTTCCCGCAGTCTCATTAACCATCTTTTTTTGTTTCCTGGCGGGAGAAGTGGGACCCCAAGAGTGTGATTGACTGACTGAATCACTAATTCCTTTTTCTCATTTCGGGCGTCTTAGATACTACGGCATCAAGCTCGCCGCACACTACATGACCGTCCCCAGCGGCGCGGCGGGCGGCAAGTCGAAGCCCGGCGGCAAGATCGTCGTCACAGGGTCCGGGGCCGGTCTCGTCCCGTCTGCGTCCACCCCGCAGTACACGACCAGCAAGCATGCCCTGATCGGCCTCGTACGCGCCCTGGGCATCTCCGACGCCGCCCTCGCCGCCAACGTGCGCATCAACACAGTCTGCCCCGCCATCGTCGACACGGGGGGCCTGCCGCTGGGTCTGCTGGACAAGCTCCTTCCGGGCCAGATCACGCCCATGAGCACCGTCTTGCGCTGCTTCGATACCGTGGCCGATCTAGCGAGCGTGACCAATGAAGACTGGGTCGAACGCGGCCCAGCCGGCGAGACCCTGGAGGCCAAAGTCCACGACTTGATCTGGCATTCCCCGCCCGAGAGGTCGCAAGGGGCAAAGGTTGAGTCCATCACAGCGGATCCTGTTGCTTACGTTACTGCTGCTGCTGCTGCTGCTGCTGCTTCAGACGCAGACAAGGCAGAGCACAAGGTCTTTTGGTACGAATAGAAGAGATATACCCCACTCATTCATCCACCCATCCCATCTGGCCCTTATCCCTCTCCCCTAATCGAGACGTCATGATGCTCCCGACTCTCCGTTTTCATTTCGTGCCCGCTTCGATAGATAATCAAGATGGATAGCTGGATAGGTAGATAGGCAGACACACAGACATGAAAACGCCAAACGGACTGCTATAATAAGATAGATAGATTATGTATGAGCAGACTGAACACACTTCTTTACCTCTTCCAAGGCTGCAAGGGGCTTTTGTCCTCTCGAGACAGAGTGGGAGAGATCCGTAGTCCTGCGGGTCCCGTGCGAGGCGATGCTGGGGGGGCTTGGAGGGGAAAGGGAAAAAAGAGGGAAAGGGCGAATTGAAGAGGGTCACTGCCCACGTGAGCTTCTTCTTACATCTCAGTCACAATACGGTCAATTTTGGATTTCGAGGGGAAGGGAAGGGAATGGGAGGAAGGGGTGGGGGAGTGCAGATGGTCAACATGAAAGGGAGACTTGGCTTCGCAGGATCGGTCTGTTCTGCGATCCAATATCCGAACGCGAGTGCTGCTAGTTCTTGAGAACTGAAGCTGAATACAACTAATAGGACCAATGCTCAGCGCATTGATTCAACGTCCTACTATCGATCTCTTAAGCTTTGAAGGGGGGACCTGCGACTTATTCGTACGGACTGTCCCTCGTCCGCACCAATCTGTTGTCGACGTGCCCACGACACACCACACCAGTCTCGGTAATTAAATAAATACCAGCACAATCAATCCCCCAAATCCGGATGGACTTTCAAACTCTAGCCTTCTGAGTTGTCCCGTTCACTCCCAAAAACTGGAACGCCATGCAGCCTCACCCGATATAAACAAGCATACTCGGCGCCATAGTTTTCAGTCACCCTCACCACGAAATTCTGCGCCGCGTACGCCAACGAGCCCTGGTTCACATCCAGTGGGAAGGTTTGGACGTGGCTTGCTTCGCTGGAGGCGTCGTATTCCATCTTCCCAATCAGGGCGTAGGCAGGGCCGAAAGGACTGCCCGTCACCCCCTGCATCGCCCTGATGTTCAGCTTTTCCCACGCCAGACTGTCCAGCTGTTCGAAATCGGCCCACAGCTCGAGCTTTTTGGGCGTCGACCCGGGCGATAACGAACCGGCGCTGGGGTAGTTCTCCAGGACCACTTCGGTGGGATAGATCATCTCCGTCACTCTCACGCCGAGTCTCATCACGTCGTCCTCGTGCCGGGGCCCGACGCTTCGAACAGCCGAGGCGCACCAACAGTCCCCCACATCTTGCCACGGAGTAAGAGCTGTGATGGGTGGCTTGGTCACATACCGCGTCGACAGGAACACTCGGAGCAGCACTCGGTGTGCGAGTGCCAGCGGCTTCTGCATGGTCGGCGAAGTCAATCGTGGCTCCACCAAGGCTCCATTGTTGGGGGCAAAGTAGTTGACTTTCGGAATGACTGGAGAGGGCACGTTGGTGGACAAAGATCCCGTTCTGCCTCCCGGTCCCAGCCCAGCCATGTGGCTGGACAACTCTAAATGCTGTTTTTTGAGGGTTTCAATGTCTTGAGCCATTGCCGCAGACTGTGAGTCGAGCTTGTCCGTCAGTCGAGTCTCGAGAATCCGAAGTTGTTGGTTGATGTGGTTTATTGCGGCTGAGAGCTTTGACAAATCGTTCCCACTGCCGGCTGTCAGGTTGACAGACGCTATGCTCGGGCTCCGCGTACATGTGCCGCAGACTTTCTGAAGAGTTAACGCTGTAGGCGAAGTTGATAGAGGGTCGCAAATAAAATTAGTGTAGGTGTAACATAGTAGAAAGCTTACTCCACCGATAAACAGTGACGCGAGAACAATACTCATCATGGGAACAAGAAGTAGATTTGAGAGATCTCTGATCGCTCTGCTGCTGGCACGTAATGACCGTATGGACCTGTGCCACGTCGAAGACAAAATTTCCAAGGAGGTCTGCCACGTTTGGAGCATAGCATCTTTGATATTGTTCCAGGCCTTTCGAAACCGTGGCTCTTGTCGTTCTCGTATCGTGACCTGGGGTTTCCGGATGCCCCGCTCATAATTGTAGCTGTGATCAAATATTCCACTGGGAAAGCTGGAGGGGTCTGTTCCCCTGTCTGTTTCCTTATTCGTGTCATCGTCGTCAGAGGAACCATCATTGACGACCCAAGACCCCTCGGGGGCGATTGCAGAGTCCCCTGCTTCTTGACCTTCTTCTGGTATTTCATTTAGTCGGTTATCATCTAAAGAACTGGCCCATGCTGCTACTCGCTGTGACCGCTGTCGCTCGGCATCCTCGCTCGCCACCGAGGCTTCCCGCGAGTTTTCGCGAGAAGCTCTCCGCCGAGCCCTTTCAGCGCGAGGGTCCTTCTGCAGATTTGCATGCGTTTCTTCGATATGATTTTGGAGATGCTGCTGCGCTTGTTCGACCCCGGCATCGATCGTTTCCGCCATCTCCGTCAAGTTCATCCGACTTCGCGCGACCAACTGGGTCGGTAAAACGGGAGTCTTGCTCGATCCATAGGCATAAGACTGCTGGATTTGCACCTCAGGCAGCCTCGGATTGTTCACAGCGCCATCTGCGATGCTCGCTTGTTTTGAGTGCCCACGAGTGGATCGACGCGGGATGGAACTCTCCGGTGATTGGGCGCTGCCTGCACGAGTTGATCGCTTTGCTGGTGAGGATGCGCGTACTGGCGTGGCTGTTGACGCTCTGGCCGTAGACCGACGAGGCACCATGTTGCGCTGTTACGGAACAGGGATGATGTAGGCAGGTTGCGGCAGCCTTTTGGATGATGAGTTATGGGGTAAATGGAGCGCCAAAGTCGATTGCAAAAAGTAGAGGGGATGGATGAACCTTCACTCGCTCCGTGAACAGTCACCGCTTCTCTGACCCATCGGCGCTGAGGCGAAAGTGAATCTAAAGACTCCTCGTTATCGACTTCTGTCGTACTGAACAACCACCGATGCTGTCAACGACACTGGGGTTTGTCGCGGTTTCCAGCACATGAATTTGCAACGCAGTATCCGTGGGCGAGATCGCTGGAGCCGCCGGGGGGAAAGCCTAACGAGTACGCGAGTGGCCCAGTTGCGTTCCCGAGGCTAGATGGTGTGAGAAGGCACTGAGAACCAAGGTGGAGGTGGCTAGGGCGAGATGAAGTAGGCTGACACGATCATTCACTGCGACTTTGGCGCACACATGGGATTGTGTACGGCGTCAACAACAGGGTGCTCGCAGATTGATAGTTCAAGCTTTCACTTTGATGGGATCCGAGGCTACTTTTGAAGTGTCTTCGAGTCTTGAATGTTTGCATTGTCTATCCAGGACGCGTCGAAATGTGGTTGTCCAGTTGCCGAAAGTTTGTTTGTCGCATTCCATAAAAAACCGTGTTACTAAGCCTCGGCTAAGTTGCTGTTTGTGAATTCGTGACCCACTGATCCAGCCTCGCGCTCTTTGCCCCTTTTTCCACTTCGCCATCCACAACCGTCTCGGTACGGGTACTCTGTGGCGACTTGGGCATCTTGATTGACTCTCAACCTCCTAATTCATTCCTATCTGGTCATTCAATGCTCAATACTAGGCTGGTGATAACTAACATTTCTAATCAGGACGTTATAACCGGGCAGGCGAATCGTCAGGGAAGTAAGCATAGAGGAAAGCGGTGGGTGGCTTTCCCCTTTTTAGAGTGCATAGTACATTAGTGCATCGTCCACAGGCTGTTCTAAGTGGACTGAGTCGACAACTTCAAGAAAGTGGTCTGGGGATGAATTGGTCGTTGGATCTGTTGGTGGAAGGGTGACACTGAAACTCGCCCCATAAAACACTTGCAAAAGGCTTGGTTGGCCTCGGTCCTGCACAAGGAGCCTGAAAAGAGGTCGTTGTTTTCCAAACCACCGCAAGATTCGGCTGGGTCAGTGCAGATTCGAAGCTCAGAGACGGCCGATCATCTGGGAGATGTCGATAAAGGACCAGGAATTTTTAGCGAATCCGACACTGTGTTGGAGAGATATACGTGCAGAAACAATCGGTTTCAGGTCATGGATTACCCGACAATTTGCATGAAGTATGGGCGAGGGCTACGAATGGTCAGAGAACGCTTACTTACTTGGAGCATCGAGATTTACGTCGAAGTCTATACACACCATTCTAGGCTAGTCAGATAAAGGCCCCACTAATACGGTCCACTAGCAACAGCCATATAACGGCCATGCCTGCTCCTTCAGTTGTAGTACAAGGACTTGACCGAGCTTGTTTCTCAGTCGCATCCTTTTTGAGGGAGATTGATATCCCGGCGTGTGAGATCGTCAAACTGGGCTTGGCCCCCGTTTAATCGGCATTTGATCGTCGAACACTTCTTCTTCGGAGTTTACTCGAGTTGCGGGACTGCTGTCGCCACCACCGGCACCTCTGACTTCGTCCTCTTTCTCTTGGGATCTTGGTTCTGCGCTATAATCTTTTGCTGCCGCTCGGAACGTGGAGTCGACGGTCGACCCTCAGCATCAGGTGTAGGTAGATGACAATCGTCTCGAGTGTGAAGTTGAAAAAGTAGAAGCACCACTTTTCGTCAAACCACGCCGAATTGTCTCTCGGTCAGGGGTCTTTGTGTGTCATTGAGGCGCGGAACGATGATCTCAGGCATAGGAGGACCGACGAAGTGAGGAGGACGGCAACCTTACTCCACCAACACCCACTTCCAACCTTCTCGACTCTAGTCTTTCGAGGAATTACAAGGGATAAGATGACGATCGGGATGGGTAGGAATGACAGGATTAGGAAATAGGTCACCGCAGCTATGGTGAGACCCAGGATAGTGCTGTGGGCGTTGGGTTTAAGAACGAAGGAGTCCACAGTTGCGGTGATTATGATGGCAAGCATGACGACTATCAAGCCGTACAGGATCTTGAAGGTGGTTGAGATCGCTTTGTCCCTTCCCAGGTGAGGATGAGAAGCTCGAAGGATTCGTTGTGCGAAGATGAGGTGTACGAAGAACAGAAGGAGCACGCCGATTGGGACGAAGACGGCTGCGGCAATGGCTATCTGGGTGACCTCGGGGTAGACCGCCCACACTATTCGCTGCAAGAGTACATAAGCCGAGGAGCAATTGTGGCCAAATAGAGAAAGATGGAGCCCATCCACCACGTTTGGCAGACCCAGGACAAAACAAGTCGATGCGGTGACTTCCTATGGTCAATGCCACCTCACGAGCCATACAGAAGCCGAACAGAATGCCGCTCATCAGAAACTTGTGGCCTCGACTCAGGTTGATTTGCAGGATGGTCATATGGCAGACGGCTCCATCAAGGAAAAGGAACATTAATACACTGCAGATTGGGACATCGACGTCGACGGTGGGGACTTCACCAACATTGACGGTCTGTGGCTGGTACGGAGTGCCTGGTGGCTATGCATCTTCAGCATGGAATTTAAAGCTTGTTGAGAAGGACGTACGGGTCCGGATGGTGCCATGTTGGCGGGGTTTCTGCTCCTATTGTTGATAGAATTATTGGTGGCGAGGGCGAGGGCGAGAATGAAGCCGGCGTATACAAACATAAAGAGAGAAGGAGGGAGTCGCTGGATTTTAAGCCCAATCAAGCAGCTAAAAGAAGCCTAGAGCATTTATAGCCCTTCTAGTATGTCGTGTTATCTAGCAGAGGACGAGGCCTACATGTCCACAACATCGCATTCAGTTTTGATATCCGGATTCCGACAGGCAGGGGTCTTGCGGTGGCTCGCGCTAGCGAACTTGAGCTCGCACATAACTATCGCGAAGTCTCTTGGGTTAGTTAGGACTCGTCAACCTACCATGCCACTGTAATTGTCGGTCTTCAGAGATCTCAATCCTTCCTGGCGCAACCAGAGATATTAGCTCTGGCGGGCTTCGTGTTTACCTTGTTCAACCTCAGGTTGTATCCAATGGTTATTTCTTCCTGCCTCTTGGATAAGAAACATCTTTCGGTCATCCCAGGGTGACCCTTGAGAATGACCGCGAGTGCAGAAGCAAAGGGCGTCCAAAGTCTAAGTAAACCTCGTGTCGCATCGGTCGTTGGTGCTGTGACTTTGTGGTGGACAAAAGACATGGCAAGCTGAGTCTCCGGTCAGTGAATCAAGGGCGTCCTCCACTATTGATCAACGACATAGAGTAACTCGGATCCTCGGAAGCCGTGTATGTTCCTAGATGCCTCACTCACGCACTGTCAGGTATTGTGCCAGGGTCGCGTTCAATGGACGGCCACCACCTCGGAAATATATCCTATGACGTACCGTCGTAGTCTGCCACGGCGGCCGACCGAGGGTGAATGCGATTGTATTGTTTCACGCGGCAGATAGTTGGGCAAAGTTATCATCATCCTGTGAGGAAGGTTTGGACGAGCAAATTGTCTAGGGCGTCGAAAGAAGCATTCAGCGCCAGAGGTGAAATGCAACAAAAGTACCTCTGGGTGCGTCAATGGAGATGCTTGTTTGGGAGTGAATCCCTGCTTCGGAGCTGGTGCCATGTCCAACATCCGCTAGCATTGCCACTTTGTGCATTGATTTCCATGCCAGACCAACCTGGGGTGAGCTCTTCCAAGGTCCATATAGAAGACCCAGGACTTTCGACCTTCGGAGGGTGGAATGCGAGGGCAACTTAGCCGACTCGGACGATGATGTCAGTCACTAACCGAAGTGAATTGCGCGTGTCTTGTGCACCAGCGGCGCGTCCCCCGCAGCGGAGAGACTTTTGTAGGCGCATGCACCATCCAACTCAGGCCACACGTTGCCCGTTCGCTGCCTGTTCTCTCTCCACGAACCTATCTCGACTGCATTTCCTGCTTTAGTCGAGTATCTACATCCCATTCGATTCCTGACGACGCCATGGCCCCAGCTTCCGGGAGCGCCTTGAGCGCAGACTCAATCCTCGACTACATGGACAAGAGCCTGCCGACCCCGCCTTCCGACTCAGAACAATCCTCACTCATCAAAGATCCATTTGCCGCCATTGCCCTCTTCTCCCATGCCTGCATGCTTGCCGTGGGGTTTCGTCTCGTTGGTTTGGGGGAGGACCACAAGATAGGTAGGAATCTGTGTCGATTCGCAGTGTTCCAGACATCTCACCACGAGCAGACGCACAATCAGACCCCCAGGATGCTCAACCCTTGCCTTCCGAGTGGGACAAATCCTCTTCCTACGCTTTCCGCTATGCTCATTCACAATCCGCTATGGAGTACCTCATCAAGGTGAATCGATTAGGAGGCAAGGCTATCATATTTGGGGTTGGTATGGGTGACGACAAGACTGCCTCGTTCGAGGTCAAGGCCAATGACTACATCTCCGAGGGGTCAATAAAAGACGCAACCCGGGAATCGAGCAAACTGTCCGCGCTTCGGAATATCTTTATATCCAATGGACGAATTGCAGATCTCGCGTCACTTTTCAAACTCAACATCATCCAGAAACTGGCTCCAGGAATTCAGAAGGCGGGGTACGAGGATACAGCTTCCACCGTAGAGCAGCCGCGGCGGCATGAGGAGACTCGCCCTCCTGAGCGCGACCCGCTACGAGACGATCATCCTCCACCAGCACGACCCTATCCTTTCGACGATCCACTGGCCATACCTCCCCGAAGACCCCATGCGCCTGGGGACTTTCCACCACCCGGTTTTGAAGACGAGTACGAAATTAATCGACCTCCACGCGGTATGCTACCAGGCCATCAGCCATTTGGAGGAATCGGCGACAGAGACCTATATCCTCCTGGCCTAGGTCCACATGACCCTCTCAGGATAGGACCTGGAGGCGGTTTTCGCGGTGGGGGAGGTATGCATCCAACTTTTGACGACCCTTTGTTTGGTGGCCAAGGGGGTCAAAGACCTTTTGACCCTCAGGTACCTCCTGGGGCTCGATATGACCCGATTGGCCCAGGCGACGGTCCGCCAAATCTTCGCGGAGGGCCACGGTTTCCCGGAGGCGGTGGTAGAGGATGGGGCGGTAACAATCCGTTCGGAGGATTTGGAAGCGGTGACTTTATATAGAGTGCTGCAGACAGACCCAGATAAGAGCTTGAAGGCAGCAAGTCCTGGACGAGACATATCTGCTGTACAGGCAACCGGAAATCACTCCTGCAGACATTGCATCTCACGATTGCAAGGACCTGAAAGAAGACAACATCTTGAAAAAGACCAGTAGCAGCGAGTATCGGGATGAGTCTTGTTCAATATATGACATGCATGACCTTGAGTCTGAGAAACAAATCCATCCGTACTCACTCCATATACTACAGCCCTTCCCCAAATTGGTAGTGTTCTTCGGCCTCACCAACCCTTGACCACACCACCTCTGTCTCTCCGTCTAGGCTGTTCGCCTTGCTTCTCTCGTATTCATTCTCTGATCCTCGCCGCAACCCGGTCAGTCATGTACCTGGAGACATTGCCCAGGAACATGCAAGCGACGATAGCACAGCCGCCGAACGCGATACTGGTCAGCCAAATGTACTTGAGACTGTCGGCGTACGCCCACCTGCTGGCCAACGACGCGGCGGCGATGATCTGTTTGTTCACCCCGGGAAGTCTGGCTAGCTCGGCGAGAGATCCGCCTACGAAGACCTCGACAAACTCCGCCGCCCCGGCCACGGGGAGGCCCGCTCGAACGGCGCTCCGCGCGACATACGCGGGGAGTTTGGACTTGAGCTTGTTGACGAAGATGTTGTAGTAGATGGCGGCGCCAATGCTCCCTCCCACAGCGCGGATAGTCAGTGAAAGCGCCACACAGGTCGCAATTGACGTGTCCGGGGCCACCGTGATGGCCACAGTGGCAGCCGGTACCAGGACCGCCCCCACGCCCAAGCCCGTGCTTATCCCGAGACCTATCGCCAGGCCTTCTCGGTCCGGTGTCACGGCGGCGAAAGCTCCGCCGAATGCAGCTGGAGGAAAGGCGTTAGCATGCACAAAAAAGCCTCGGTCATGCTTGGTGGCACGGCGGCAGGAAAGTGGCGTGCATACTCATGATAACACATCCGGCCAGCAGGATCTCTCGGTTGTGGCCCCGGAACCACGACAGGGAGGAATTGGCAACGACAGCCCCCAGGGTGGTGCTGATGCCCGGACCCAGATCCCTAAGACCGACTTTGATAGGGTCCGGGGTAAAGACCCTTTGGAAGACCAGCGGGAAGAAGTTGATCATGGCATAGAAGTTCATGCCTGCAGAGACTTCATTAGTTTTTTAGGTCTTTGAATCTCTGGGAAGGCTTGCCTGCAACAAATGCAATCCCATATGCGATGGCCACGATGCGCTGTCCGGTGAATAGCTCGTGGGGGACCATAGGATCTTTGCAGTATTTCCACTCCCAAACCACGAATGCAACAAGTAAGGCAATCCCGAGCAGAAGCTGAGCAAGGGTATATGCGCTGTTCCACGAATGGGAGTAGCCTCCAGCTTCGAGTGCAACCAGGCTGCGACATGTCAGGGGGGTATTGCATAATGAAGTAGCGCAGACTGGTCTTACATAAGGGTCAGGCCTGTGGTCGAGGTGATTCCGCCAATGTAGTCAATCTTCTTCAAGGCCTCTTTTGACATCATTCCATGTGCCCTTGTTTGCGATTCGGGGAAGTAGACGACCAACAGCACCAACCACCAGAATCCGTTCCATATTCTGATAACCAGTTAGTAGTGCTTGGGCTGGATGACATAGTATTGGAACACACGAACAAACAGATCCACAAGCCCCAGCGCCACGTATGATATGCAGATAGAAGTTGAGCATAAACCACATATGGAGTAAAAGGAAGGACGAAGCCAGTGACTAGCGTCAGATACGTGCCACGCTTGTTGACAGGCACTAGCTCGGATGTCCTAGGTGTATTTACTAGTTGGAACGGGGTCAAGGGATCCAGGCCGGCCTGGAAAGAGATTGATTCACTCACCCGGCAAGAGCACTGGGCTCTCCTATTGCCGCTCCCGCTCCAGCAAAGCCCATGCCCACGATACCTTCGCGGAAGTGATGAGCAGTGGCTACGATCAAGCAGCCCATCATAATGGCAACACCACAAGCGAATGTGATATTCCGGCGTCCTAGTAGATCCTGTAGGTAGCCACAGAAAGGAGCGACAGCTGCGAGAGGCAGAACGTAAGCAACAGACAGTCATGAAGATGCTTCGACACCGCCAATGTCGGCAGCCACATATGACAATGCTGCTCCAACGAAATATAGGGGTATCTGAGATCCAACGTAAAGGCCTGCCAATGCCAGGGTGGCAAGGAAGGTCTTGACTGTCCATACAGTTTGATTCAGAGCGGTAGGAGAGCTGCTCCCCTTGTCCGAGTCGGTCAGAGCTGGACTCTCAGCGGTCGTGGTGTGAACCTTCTGGTCTTTCTTCACTACGGAAGAGGCATATTCATGATGGATGGCGAGATCATGTAGCCTTTCGAGTTCGAATTTATCTGTATTTTCCGGTGGCACGACACTCATGATGACAATGTCTCGGTTTCACACACGTATAATGATTCTGTCCCCAGAGGACTCCTGCATGAACTTGAGAGGGGGGCTGGGAGGAGGACCACAAAAGCCATGAATTCATGTCGAAATTATATGGCTTCAGAGAGTTGTTCAACGAGAAAAATCCCCTGCGTTTACCGGATTTCAACAATGGAGTTGTGGAGGCATTGCTTGGATACTGGGGATGATAATCCGGGGGGAGTTCGTTGCCGAAAACAACTTCACCCCTACCGAGTCCCTGATCTGGTCGGCCGACCCCGATACTCGGCCCGGTGTACAAGATGATTGACAGCGCCTCATCGGGATACTCTTTCAGATCAGAAGAACAACACGACACCGGCTCCTGCGTCGACGCTGACTGGATGTTCGAATTCTTAGTCTCGTCCATGATCGGTAAGGCTTGCGAACTCCGCAGGCCTGCGTGACCGACTACGTACTACCAAGCAGTCAGCGGGCCATGATTTAAGAGAGAACTGTAGGGTGGACTTTGCCACGACTGAAAACTTAACAATAAGGCTGGGAATAGATATCTCGTATGGAGGGAACATTACTTCATCGCTCCAGCCCCCCAAATCCTCCCCACCAACCGGAGTCGCAGCCTAACCCCAGATCGGCTTCTGTAATATCTAGATAGGCGGACCAGTCCTCGATGCTGAAGGGGAACAGATTCATGTTTCCTTGGACGTCTGCCATAGTCGCATTTACGCCATCAGCTGCTGTAGATCCTGACATAGCTACATCCATAGATCCGACAGATCTGTTCACGCTTGATGATGGGGCTGTGCTGCTCCCCTGATTATTGTTGTTGTTATCGACATTGCCGCGGCCACTGTCTGGTGGTCTGGGACCCCTCTTCGAATTCTGACGACGCCAGCGGATCGCAGTAGCAATGAGTTCAAGCCACAGTGAGGCGCCAAAGCGGGATTCGACGGATGATTTGCCTCGAACGGAGTCAATCACGCCCTTCTTGCAAAGGACTTCCACTACGCTCGCGGCCCTGTGAAATTCGTCGCCTTCGGAGGAAGATCCAGACACGAGCGCTCCGTGGCCAAGTCGAATCGCGTCGTCCACTTCGCCAAGTTCTCGTAAAGAGATCTGATTGAGGGCGGAGATCTTGAGGAGCATAAGGAGTGCGATGACGTGGAATCGAAGATAGAATTTAGGTAAATATCTCTGCAGGCATGGCTGAGAACTTAGTGTCCCGACGAGGGGTAATGGCGAGCTCGAATAAAGCTTGATCAGCTGGCCGGCAGCATGCGCGGCGGAACTTTGAATTATCGAATGGTCGGGGTCGCTAAGTGACGACCAACGGAGACAGAAAGGATATAGGTTAAGAAGGACACCCAGATACACGAACTCGACAGAGGGATCCCATTGCGCTGGGGACTGGCGAAGTCCAGATCCCAACGAGTTGATGTCCTTCTCCAATAGGCGAACCATCCTCAATCGGTAGCTACCATCGGTGCAAGTATTGTCGCCCAAAGTGTCATTAATTCGACTAACGTATAAGACAATTCGAAGCTTGGAGATGAAGTCTGCAGGCAGAGCGGCTTCATCCCGAGGCTTGATCTCGAGTGCATCAAAGGGGACCAGAGAAGGGAGTCCAAGTTCACAGCTAAGTCTGAACATGGTTAGCACAGCATACACTGGGGGGATTGGTGATGATTCGCGTACAGTGCATTGGCAAAGCACCAACAGCGCCATATTCGTGTATGGCTCCGCTCATTTGAGGGCGACTTGGAATAGGTGAATGCATGATACTCATGCTCGTAACCAACACGGTGGCATCCGGCATGCAATGCCATCTGCATGGCCATACCATTGTACAGTCACCGCATATCGTCAGATTGTCGTGCAGTCGGTGGAGGCCACACGCTCAATATGAGCAGTGCTTGTATTGTGTAGATTGAATCTTGACGACACATCATAAGTTGACCCAAAAGGCCAGCCAGCTTGTTGCATAAACTTCGAAAATGATGTTGCTGAGATGGGAGATTTCGGCAAGCTGTGAAGATAATGGTCCAAAACAGAAGGGGACTCTCATCCATGATGACGGCAGGTTCAGCTTTCACGTCCATGACTGGGAGCTGCTGATGATAATGGAGAAAGTATCTGTTGTGTATAAGGACCGTTAATGCAAGGTTCCAACTTCAAGTGGTTAATGTCCCATTGTCGAGGCACGTACTCTCGAAACAGGTCATCCACATCAGCTTTTTGCAGAACAAGATCCTCAAACTTGAAAGCCTTGTCATGGCCACTCTGAGACTTTTTGAGCGGTGTCGTGGAAGCAGACTCAGGGATAGCTTCGGCTCTTGGGGAGGTGTCACCGCCGGTAGATGTGCTGAGCTGAGTTGGCAGAGCTTGGTTGGGCCATTTCTCGCTCTCTCCTGGCATCTGGAGACCTGACTTGAGCCTGTCGAGTTCTTGAGTGAGTTGTTCGACCCGACAGTGTGTTTGTTAGCGTGTGTCACAACGGCGTATGTCCTGAGCCTGGGCACATACTTCCTTGTAGGGACTCGCTTGTAATTTAGATCAATCCTGCAGGCAATGTTTCGTGCTCCACATCTCGAACATGGCGCTGGAAAGGTAGAAGATGCATTGCAACGGAGCTATTGATTGTGTCAGGTACGCATGTACAGACAACTTTGGGTGCCATCGCAACCATAGCAGCCCTAAGCATACCTTGTTCTGTCGGCAGGTGATACATGCAGCTGGCCTAGCCATCGTACGGTCGCTCCGTTGGCGAACTGGCGCTGGGCTCTGGCAGAACTTCTAAAGTTTCCAGGCCTGTGATCACAACAACGCTCCAAATGACAAGTCAGTGAGCTGATCGCTTGGACAGCCGTCAAGCTGAATTAAGCAGGTTGAAGTGGTTAAAGGGAATGGAGAAAGTGAGTGGGCGGAGGAGAAAGAAAAGGCCTGTAGGCATTCCAAGGCCATGTGCCGAGGCTCCCAATCGAAATACTTCCAGACTGGACGTCATGTTCGCCTAGAATATTATCCTGTGGACTGGACTAGAAAGCCTACTGAATGGGTTCATCTCATTGCTTGAAGCTGGCAAGTCTCGAGTTGTAATTGTTGTTGTTCTGGTAAATGTTCTGAGGCTATTTCGACTACTCCTACCTACTCGACTACCAATCATCCCTGGACAGTCGTTTCAAATACGTATTTGCCTGTTTGTGAATGGAAACCTCCTCGCACTGTTCCTGGCCTCTCATCTCTGTAGAAATCGACGACCTTGGGGCTCAGCTTCCGGCTGTTGGGGGGACACAGCCATACTCGCAACAAATGTCGCTTTGTCTCCTCCGTGTCCCCGTCCTCAAACTCGGTGCGGGCATGCAAGGTGATGTGGTTGTTCAAGAACTGTATATCTCCTGGCTCGAACATCATGGCAAAGTGGAATTTCTCTTCGTTGGCGACCTGAGTGATCAACATGATGGCTTCCTTTTGCTGCTCGGTGAGACGAGGGATCTCAGGGTACTCTTGAGCGGTGAAGATGTGTGGTGGAATGTAGCGGCATGAGAAGCGTCCGCCTTCCTCGCTGAAGATGGGAATCTTATAGTATGGACCAGCTCCAGGGGGAGAGTTTCCTTTCCAGCTCCAGTAGAAGTCTTCGTACAAGACCTTGAGTAGGTCGGGCCGGCGCCGGGCAATTTCGTTCCTCACGGCTACCGAACTGCAAATCATGCTGAGCCCGCCACTCTTGGCGACTTGAAGTACCATAAGACCAACAACATCCGAGCTGTCGGTATGGAATGACAGATGGACGCGAGACATGTATCCGCGACCAGTCGTGGAGGATGGGTGGATGTTATCGCCGAAGTTCTTGACATCACCAAGAACATCTCCCTTTCCACTTTGCGACACTGCCACGCCCATGTTCAGGCCGATTCCCCAGTAAATCATCCTCATCTCTGCCTTTGTGTACTTCTCTGCAGGGATGCCGCGCAAGACAAAGAGCCCCATGTCATTCTCTAGATGCTCGAGGACCTGCTGCAACGGCTTCTCGGATAGACCTAACGGGAAATCCTCCTTGGTCATCGTTTCGCAAGTCTTGTGGCCTTTGCTCAGCGTGGTCTGCAAAGCATGATCGATGTCCCTGAGCTCTTCCTCTGTGAATCTGTGGATCCATCTGTCAGGGTTGTTTTGAGCATCCACGGCCAGCCATTCTGCGGCGACAGTCATTTAGTATATCTCAAGAATACTTGCAGAGCAACACTGAACAGGCACACGCACGAGAACCTACCTCGATCCAGAAGCTTCGTTTCAGTTTGATTTTCTGCCATTTCTCTCCTCAAGAGCTGATCCTGTAGTTTAGTTCTTCGAAGGGGTCAGTGGATGTCAGTTCAACATGACAGCGATCGCATCTCTTATATCGGACTCTACCGTCCAGGTCTTTCATGTCATATCATCTGATCCACAAGATGGTAGAGTGGCAAGAGAAGCCTCAGCCGACCTTAGCAACCTCGTTCAGCCTTCATACTCATAGACGACATCGTGTATGAGGGGTTCGGCCAGAGGAAGACGGCATGGAGACAATGGCAGGCGGCGGGACAAAGAGCAAAAAGGGGCTGCAGCCGAGCGAGATTCGGGGCCGATGCTAGCCTCGCCGAATTTCGGGGAGCGTCACGTGGTCGTCGTAGAAATTCCAACTCCACGTCAAGGCTCCTCTACTGTTAGCAAACACAACCTTGAGACCGACAATGGTGGCCGAGCTTGGGCATGTTTATCGTCCATCAAACCGGCGCCGACGCATGGTGCTTGGGTCCCTGAAGCCGAGAAAATGGATCGTTCGCAGCGGCATGGAATCTACACGCTGCCGATGTCAGCTCACCGTGATCTGGACGTGTCGGCCTCTGATGAGCTGGGACCTAGCGATCCTGAAATGAGAAATCATTGCCTCATCGCTTCAGTTGGTCCATCACTGTCATGGTCTGCTCCTTTGTCTCTAAAATCTTCGAAATAACTAACAGAAGTTAAGTCAAAGCGTGTTTTCGACAGTTTTCAAGCATGTCTTTGAACACGATAGCACCAATGGCAATACCATCGATTGATGCCTCTGCCAATGGCGCTGAATCAACACTGCAGCAAACTCAGGAGCCGCTCTGTGCCATTGTCACTCCACTGGGGATGCTGGGCTATGGCTTCGAAGAACATCTCCTGACGAACAAACTGGACGAACTGACCAAGATCACCCCGCCCCTCCCTCTGGCCGTTGTTATGGACTCTGGCTCAACGGATTCTGGCCCTTCGAAGTTTGCTTTGGGGTCCATGACTTGCCCCGAGGCATCCTACCGAAGGGACTTAACCAAGCTGGTTCGAGCTATCATCAATTATCACGTGCCTGTTCTCGTGTCGTCGGTTGGGGGAGACGGTAGCAACGAGCATGTCGATCTCTTCATTGAGATGATCAAAGAGATCAGCTCGTCGCTCAACTGGTCATTCCCGATTTCAATACCCGGGAGTTTTCAACACTAACGGTGGCCATACAGCCCGAGGGAATTGAAGGTTCTTGCCGTGTATTCTGAATTGTCCAAAGAAGTTGTAGAGAAGAAACTTGTGGCCGGCGACATATCTGGATGTGGAGATGAAGTCCCTCAACTAACAAGTGAAGAAATAACAGCCACTCCACGGATTGGCTCAAATGGGCCCGGAGCCAATCTTGAACGCTATGCATTCGAACCCCGATTTTGACATACTCGTTGCAGGACGTGCATATGATCCGGCGATATTTGTCGCGTTTTGTGCCATGAACTGTGTCAAGTCTTCATCCTCACCCTTCAATTCACTTGGCATCAACTTATTAGGAGGTTTCTATCACATGGGAAAGATCATGGAATGCGGTGGTCTATGTGCCACGCCTAAATCATCCGGTGCAACAGCCGTGATGTACAAAGACGGTACATTCGACATTTCGCCCCTGGATCCGATGGCAAAGTGTGTCCCTCTCAGCGTTGCTGCACACACCCTTTACGAGAAATCCCGGCCCGATATCCTGTATGGCCCAGGAGGATATCTGGACCTCACGCACACCGCCTACGAGCAGTTGCCGAACGGAATTTCCGTACGAGTCCGGGGAGGAGACTTCCATTTCTCAACCTCTGAAGGATCACCTTATACGGTCAAACTGGAAGGCGCTCGCGTCATTGGTTACCGTAACCTCTTTATCGGATCATTCAGGGACCCGATTCTGATCGGGCAGATACATGAATATCTTGAGGCAGGCAAGAACCGGGTTGCCCGCCAACACAGAGACATGGATGCCAAGTGGACACTCGACTTTCACATCTACGGTGCTCCGGAGACGGGGGCCGCCGGATCGACTTGTAATGATGAGACCTGGACTTCCAAAGAAGTCTTCATCGTGGGAGAAGTTCTCGCAGACTCACCAGCGCTTGCCAAAAGTGTTGCATCTACGGCACGGGTGTATTGCTCTCATGGCCCCTTACAAAGGACAGATGGCGACCTCGGGTAATTTTGCATTCGGTATTGGCGGGGTGACTGAATTGGATGTTGGTCCTTGCTGCGAGTTTTCCATCTATCACCTAATGAATTTGGTTGACGGGGAAGAAAACAGCCACTCCATATCAAACGGTGAAGGCAAAACAGTCGCCAAAGACCACACCAAGGATGGATTATTTACCTCGGAAACAATAGTCATCCCAGTCTCCCCGCCTGGAGTCTCGATTTCCAACGGAACGATTCCAGTGTTGGAGACCAAGGTCGCTGCCAACGGCATTACAAAACGAGCCGCACAAAACGGGACGGCGCACGCGGTTCGAACGACGAGCGATCCCCAATCGCTCCGAGACGTGGCAAAAGTCATCCGCTCGAAGAACGCAGGACCATTCCAGCTCACGTTTGATGTCATCTTTGACGACCCCGCCGTCTACAAAGCGGTGAAATCGTCCGGGCTCCTGAGCAGGGATGCCATGGCCCAGCTCTTCGGGAGGTCGGCAGAGGAAGTCGTCTACTGCGGCTTCTTCGACCAGGCGTTGGCGTTCAAGCTCACCCTGCCCAGGACGCGTGGGGGCCAGCTCAGCTGCTCCGGCGGGTACATGGAAAGCGACGTCCATGGATCCCAGCAGTACATGCCGCTCATGAAGCTGCCGTTGACTGAGGATCTCAGGCATTCCCTACGAGCTTTGAATTCAATACGCACGAGCGAGGCACATTGAGAGCAGAACTCGAGTCTAGGGACCTGTATATAGGTGCCTCTTATTAGATGCCAGCGACAATAAGATTGCCCATATGGCACCAGAGCGTTCAGAGTTCTCGTGATCCGGAATTGCATTCCCTTTCGCCTTCTTGAACGCCGATGTGGAGCCTTGGAGCGAGCCAGGACTGGTTTTGGAATGAAAAGATTCCGACAGCATACGGGCGCGAGTGAGATAAATACAGAACCCTCAAAGATACAAATGGATCACCACATGCTTTGTGGGAGTATGTCAGAGTTCAGGATCCCTACAGATACCCCTCTGTCGAATAACTAACTATCTAGATCTACCCTCCGTACCCACAAGGCTGGATTGAAGATCTCACTTCCTGAGGGCCTGGGTGAAGACGCTCAGGTCGGGCTGGTTCTCCAGGCCGTAGAACAAGTCCAGGATGTCCCGGGCGCCCTGGACATCGTAGACCTTCTCGGCCATGGGGAGGAACTTCTTCTCGACCTCGGGCAGGCCGATGGGGTTCTCGGGCTCGCCGAGCGGGAACTCGACCTTGACCTTCTTGTCGCCCAGCCGGGCCACGGTGACCAGCGAGCCGTCGCGCAGGTCGTCGTCGACCAGCACCGTGATGCGTCGACACAGCGCCAGCACCGCCTCGTCCTTCAGCAGCGCGTACATGTCCCACGTGTTGCGCCCATACAGCCACGCCACCGCGAACTGGAAGTACAGGCTGAACTGGCCCTCGACGATGTTGGTCGGTCGGATCTTGTTCGGTGCGGTGGCCCCGACGCCCATGAACGCCTTGCGGCCGACGGTGACTTCGATGGTGGCCGTGGTGTCCGCGAGTGCCGCGTCCCGGTCCGGAAACTGCTTGCGCAGCGCGTACGCCGCCTCGATCGGCCCGTGCGTTAGCCGGCACGACGGGTACGGCTTGATGGCCGTGTTGGACGTCTCCCAGAACGAGCCTAGCGCCTCGACGATGTGCAGGTCGGGCTCGGGCAGCCGCGCGTACGAGTACAGCAGGCCGCGTTTGCCGTCGATGGCCTTGGTCGCGCCCATCATACCGGCCTTGACAAACTGCACGCCCAGCAGAGCGTTGTGCGCCGCGATCCCAGGGTGAAAGCGCTTGTTCCATCCGCCGTTCTCTAAGCACTGAAGCGATCCACTGGCCATACTTCCAACCACCCCGAACAGGTGCTCGATCTGGCTCGCGTCGAAGCCTGCGAGTTTCCCGGCCGTGGCGGCGGCGCCAAACACTCCGGCCACACACGTCGGGTGGAAGCCCATCCGGTGCAGCACGTCGCTGATCGACCGTCCCAGGCGGCATGTCACCTCATACCCCACCGCCACGGCCGTGAGGAACTCGCGCCCCGCCACCTTGCGGCCGCTGGCGGCACTCATCTCCAGCTCGGCTTGCGCCAGGGCCGCTGAGATGGCAGAGGCACCCGGGTGCAGGGACGCGACGCTGTTGGTATCGTCCCAGTCCATGGAGTGCACCAAGGTCCCGTTCAGCAGGGCACTGTATTGCGCTTGGTACCGGCGTGAGAGGCCCAGGGCCGAACCGGGCCCGGTGGCGGACAGGTTGTTGACTGCTTCAATGAAGGCCTGGCTCGAGGTGACGTGGTCGACCGCGTACGAGGCAAGTCCAATGTAATCTAAGAGGCCGCACTCGAGCACATTGCGGATGGGCTGGATGTCGTCCCATGTCGTTTGGTATACAAACTCGGCCAACTGGCGAGTAATGCCCACGAGCCCAGTCTCTATCGTGGAATTGATCAGCTTTTCCACATTGTTCAGATAATGAGGGAGTGGCCCTTCTCCTCTTGACACACCTACCTTCTGATGACGCGTGAGGCATCCTTCCTCTTTCTGCACTGTCTTATTTCGGAGCTGGTGAGCAGAGGATCGGTATATGGATGATGCCAAGGACCAGAGTGTGCCACAGGAGGAGAAACTTGCCTCCTTTTCAATGAGGATGCGTGAGACGTAACAGCTAACCACAGTCAAATGTTAGTCCGTTGTGAGACTGGCTAAGCTGTCTGAGTCGGTTCCTCGAGAGACCTTGCGACCTGTCAATCAGTCCTCTATCATCACATCGCGGCTTTCGCTTGCCGACAATCGGGACGAGCCCGAAAGCGAACCTCGGAGCGATACATATATTGATCAGTGCCAGGGAACGGCGTCGGCCTTGTTTGAGTCTAGGGCGATAGAAGGCCGGCTCGAGCAGCTTAGACGAACTTCCAGGACCGTAGGATCGGGGAGGCTGAGAAGCGAGGCAGCAAGTGTTGGGGAAAAGCCCAGGCTTTGCTACAGGCACAATAGTTGGTCCTAGTCAGCGAGAGGTCTTCAGATCTTGTGGAGGAATGAATGAATGATATTTGTCTTACAACTAACTAACAATCTGATTGCCTCGTATGCTGTTACCAGTCTTTCTTGAAACCCTCTCGTCCTGCGAATCACGATTCTCCCTCTTTGTCCCCCACAGGCACAATGAACGACAACTTCCAGTCTCATTTTCTCTGCATTCATCGCTTCTGCTCCGTTCACGTCATGTAGTTAAAATCCGGGTGCTTGTTGCCGATGTCTTCAATGCCCAAAGAGCGCTAGCTCCTAGCGAGGTCATGTCCATGTCCCGACGCTTCGTTGCATTTTCATTTTTGAGATCAAAGTACGACACGATAGTGGCAATTCCACCGACCACACAGGCTCCAAACGCACAGCCAGTCCCCAGGTAAGAATGTTGGCAGGAGGCCGAGCGAGCCTCATTGCTAAGTTCGGCTACCTCTTTGCTGTGGCGGAAACTGGGGAACCACGAAGGGGGGATCCCGGGTGTGTGTCCCATCCCATGCATCCATCAAAACTGCCAGTGGATTACAAGAGAAACATTAATAGAGGGAGGGAGGGAGTAATAAAAGGGGAAGTTCTACCCATATCAGGCTCGGATCAACCTAAATCCGCACTCTAGACTTGCGTAGCACAATATCATGCTATGATACCCCGTCTGAGAAGGTATTCCGAGATGCTAAGCACCGAAGCGGGCTAGTGGATTATTAGGTCCGAGTACATGCCTTGTGGCAGGATTTCGACCAGGTATGTCATGGCCGCAGTAAGTTGACCACAGCCCAATAGCACAGCAACCTCAGTTCAGCGTGTGCTTGTGACAAATATCGAAGCCAGTTGAACTTCTCTCCACTTCCATTCTACGCCTGGCCTTCCATCACACGCCACTCCCCCGTTCGATCGCGCTGCGTTCGTTTCTCCTGGACGGAGACCACAACAAACCATCCCACCCCAAGCACACGACCACCCTCCGATCCCCCTCCGCGACTCGTCTCTCGTCCTTGTCCATTGCCATTCTTCGTTCCATTTGATATTCTGAAAGATCTACGCTCAACCATGGATACAAAGATGGACGTTGACGTGGGGAAACCAACACAGCCTCACGGCTTGTCTCCTGCCACTGACCCGCAGTCAATACCGACCCTCGATGGCTGGATTGAGAGCTTGATGGACTGCAAACAGTTGGCGGAGAGTGATGTATCAAGACTTTGCGATAGAGTAAGGAAGGCCTGCAACCATGTGCAAGCCAACAGGCTGATGTGAGCGCCCGCAGGCTAGAGAAGTTCTCCAGGAGGAGTCAAACGTACAGCCAGTGGTGAGTTCTCTGTTCTGGTGATATGAGGCTCTCTATCCAGATAGCTGACTTTGCGCAGAAATGTCCCGTTACTGTCTGCGGCGACATTCATGGCCAGTTCCACGACTTGATGGAACTCTTCCGCATTGGCGGTCCGAACCCAGACACGAACTACCTCTTTATGGGTGGGTTAAAGAGACTGTGTCAGTTTGTCCACACCTACTGACAACGATAAACAGGAGACTATGTAGATCGTGGCTACTACTCCGTCGAAACCGTGACCCTTCTTGTCGCCCTCAAAATCCGATATCCTGCCCGCATCACCATCCTCCGTGGTAATCATGAGTCCAGACAGATCACCCAGGTCTATGGTTTCTACGACGAGTGCTTGCGAAAATATGGCAACGCCAACGTCTGGAAATACTTCACCGATCTCTTCGACTACCTCCCCCTCACTGCTCTGATCGACAACCAGATCTTCTGCCTGCACGGCGGGCTTTCCCCCAGCATCGACACCCTCGATAACATCCGGTCGCTTGACAGAATTCAAGAAGTCCCTCATGAAGGGCCCATGTGTGATCTTTTGTGGAGCGACCCGGACGACCGATGCGGATGGGGCATCAGCCCAAGAGGAGCTGGCTACACATTCGGGCAAGACATCTCAGAAGCATTCAACCACAACAACGGCCTGACGCTGGTGGCGAGAGCTCATCAATTGGTCATGGAGGGCTACAACTGGAGCCAGGATCGAAATGTGGTGACCATCTTCAGTGCGCCCAACTACTGTTACAGATGTGGTAACCAGGCTGCCATCATGGAGATTGACGAGCATCTTAAGTATACGTTGTAAGTGTAATTCCTGTCTGCTCCCGATCGCTATACTGACAGAAATGATCTCCAGCTTGCAATTCGATCCATGTCCTCGAGCAGGCGAACCAATGGTCAGCCGAAGAACGCCAGATTACTTCCTCTAAACAAGAGACGGCGCACGATCTTGCCCCCAATACACGACTAGAGTCCCAGAACTGTCACATCTTGGGGTGGATGTGGTCATACAATGGCCTTAATAGACGATGGGCTCAAGCACGAAACAACAAGGGACGACGACATGCAGAGAGAGAGAGAGAGAGAGAGAATATTCCCGTGTAAGCAGGAGGATCCACAAAGCAGTTGGTCGGCGAACAGTGATTCCAGACATCTATGGACGTGAGGAGAGGGGATGCCTTGAACATGATGAGCGTGAACGAAGATGCAAGCAGCGTGTGAGCAGCAGCAGCAGCCGAAATACCCTCCAGAAAGACACAAAGAAGCGACACGTTTGATAGACATACAACAACCCCAACCCCAACCCCAACCCTGCCCTTGCCAGACAGATGGGCATGAGACTCTACTTAGTCTGCTTCACGCACGCTGGCTCTGCGTAGCGCTTCGACCTTTTTGTGCAATGTATTACCAGACCAGACCGCTAATGATGGGCAAAGAGAATTCTCGTTTGGGCGTGCCTCTTGCTTTATCTTGTTCCGGTCTCTCCTGCTCGTCTCATCCATCGTCGGTTTGGCATTGATTGCTACTCGTTGGCCCCCTTTTTACGCTTGCAGAGGAATCATTCCATTATACGTTGTAGACAGCTGCCAGGGCGCTGTGTATTTCCTATATTGTTATATTGTTTTGTCTACCCGTGCATCTCTCTCTCTCCCCCTCTCTGTCTCTCTCCCTCACTCCGCCCCCTTCCACACCATGTCCGTCGCCACACCACCATGGCACCAGTGCTCCTCTCGGCAACAGGCCCCACCACCACCTCCTCCTCCTTTTTCCTCTTTCTCCTACTTGAGTTCTCCCGCAAACTCAGGCAGGGCAAAGACGTCGGGCTTGTCCCGGCCCTGGGCGGCCTCCTTGGTCAAGGGCCCGTTCTTGACCATGATGGTCATGACCTCGTAGAGCACGTCGGCAGCGGCCATGGTGGTCAGCTCGGCGTTGGTGTCGTAGGCCGGGGCGACCTCGACGATGTCGGCGGCGACGAAGTTGAGGCCCTCGAGCCCGCGCAGGATGGTGCGCAGCTCGCGCGTGCTCCAGCCACCCGTCTCGGGCGTGCCGGTGGCCGGCGCGAACGCCGGGTCCAGCGTGTCGATGTCGATCGACAGGTACACGGGGCGGTCGGTGCCGACGCGCTCGCGGATGCGCCGCACGATGCCGTGCACGCCGATGGTGTCGATCTCGCGCGCCTCGACCCGCGTGAACCCGCAGTAGCCGTCGTTCTCGTAGTCCGAGGGACCCGACAGCGTCGTCCGGATGCCCGCGTGGATCGAGCTGTCGTTGGCCAGCAGCCCTTCCTCCGACGCCCAGTAGAAGTACGTCCCGTGGTTGATGGCCGCCTGCTTCGACGGCGCCCCGCCAAACACCTTGGGTTTCCACGTGTCCAGGTGCGAGTCGAAGTGGATGACGCTGATCGGCCCGTACGCCTTGTTGATCGACCGCAGCAGCGGCAGCGTGATCGTGTGGTCGCCGCCCAGCGTGATGATGCGCGGGAGCGTCTTGCCGGCCTTGGAGATGCCCGGCTCGTTCGCGGCGGTGTAGGGCGTGCGCATGAGCAGCGTATTGTGCCCGTCTTCGATCTGCTGCAGGGCGTAGTGGTTGTCGTACCTAGCGTTCCCATCGTCAGAACGTGCACAGAAACCGAAACCTGGGTCTGGGCTTTGAAAGGCCGGGGTTAAGGTGGTAGGTAGGCACTCACGAGGTGACTGGGATGTCGCCGCAGTCAATGACTTTGCCCCAGAAGTTGAAGGGGTTGGATTTCATCGGTCTGTTTGCATATCATCTCCCAATACGTTAGTTAGTCTTATTCCTTTCTACCACGGCTATTGCTGGGGTGTTTGTTGTTCTTGCTCCTCTTCGTCCTCTTGCACAACTCCAGCATTTCAATCTTGAGCGTGCGCATGAGACGACAGGGCGAATGGGGAGAGTGGGAGGAGGAGGAGCAGGAGGAGGAGGGACCAGCCACGTACACATTATACCCGCCGCTAAATCCCAGCTTTCGTGAGCCTTTTGATCCAATCGCAAAGTAAGCCTGTGAGCAGACACGAAAATAGAACGTACTAGAGGTTGAGGCGTCGAGAACCTTGTCTGATCCCGCTGGGTCCAAATCGAGCTCCAGGTCGGTACGAGGTGCCCGTGTCGAATGGCGCGCCTGTTGTAGACGCAATTAGCTCTTCAGGTCTCGTCTGCGGAGGAGAGAGATCCAAAATCGACGGTTGGATGGCCCACCCAGGAATGCGATGTCATATTTCTCTTCGTCGCTGGTCAGGCAGGGGAAGTAGGGCAGGCGGCCGAAGGTCGAGATGCCAGAGAAGACAGAGTCGGCCTGGGTTGCAAGAGTGTCAATGAAACTCATCCCTGTCGCCATATAACTCCCGTATTTATGCTCACCTGTGTGCCGCCGTCACCTGGTAGGGTGTTGTACCAAAGAGACTTGTGCGGTCCTTCGATGGGAGTCTGCTCGTGGCCGTGGTCGCCATGCGCGAGCGCGCAGCTGGCACACGCCAGGAGAGCAAATGACTTGAACAGCATCTTATGCTGTGAGTGTGAGAGAGGTTAATCACGTTCCAGACACCACACCACGATGAAAGCTCAATCAGCGAAAAACTTGAAGAGAGAGAGAGAGAAGAGCTTTCGAGAGAAAAGCACGACACCCCACGAAGCAGGAACTCGGAGCTCCAGGAGTGAGCACAGCTTTGTTGTTATTTTTTTCCCACGAGCTAGGTAACCCAGCTCCCTCCCAGCCAGTGAGTTCCTGCAGATAGCTTCCAGCTCCGGCACCTTACCTGGCCCATATCCAATGATGCAGATTGGGATTTCCTCTTACCTAAAGCTTCCATGCATGACAAGTCAGTGGGCGCGGGAGACTTCCGAGCAAGACAGAAGCTCTGCTATCAATGCACGCCCCGCCATTGTTGACAAGAGGAATCGCCAAATCATGACGGCATGAGAAATGTCCCAGCCGACGCCGAGTCCAGAGGCCGAGACCAGGGCTCTGGGAAACCTACAGTATCTTCGGAACAACCATCTCTCGAGCATATCGCGGGGAGGGGGGTGGGTGTGGCAAAGAGCCGGTGAGCAAGCAACGAAGCCACATGGGCTTGGGTGGAAGCGGAGGCAGGCAGCGCGCAAGTCCATCCGAGGGGCATGCAGATGGACTTGAGCGGCGAGATGTCAGAAACCACAGGTGTGAGCGAATGTTGTGTGTCATTGAAGGGGTGACGCAGTCACTGATGAGGTGCTTATCAGTGGGAATGGAAAATGGACGACAGGGAGAGAGAGAGAGAAGCTCGTATCATGTGCAGGGTTTTGTCCGACGTTCAAATCGAGGCCCTCGGGACCCACGCACGGCCGCGCTAACCCAAAGAGGAAGCTTGTGTCGCCGTATTAGGGCTGTCCCACTCCCAGCACCAGATTACGTTTTATGATCTATATTACTCGGTACTATCTATCTATCTATCTATCTTGGGTGTCGTCATGTACCATGCATCATGTATCATGTTTATCATGTATCATTCATTTGCTTATTGAGGCCCATTCCCCGCCGGTGCTGCCACAGACGCCGTTGCGTGACCTCCCTCCACTAGCTCGTCCTTGTCCATCCGGGCAAAAGCCTTGTCGACCTCGTGCTCCCAGTTGCTGAACGCCACAATGGCCCATTCGGCAATCCCCACCAGATACAGGGCAATGCACTGGCCGACCCAGAGTCCCGGGAGGCCCCAGCCATGGAAGGCGAGCCAGATGCCCAGGGGGAGGGCGCCGCAATAGTAGCTGACGATGTTGACGGCAGCTCCAATATGCTGGCGGCCCATGCCTCGGAGAGAACCACCACAGCTACCGTTCAGCCCGTCTGCGATCTGGAACAGCGCCACGTACGGCAAGACGTGGGCGGTCAGCTTGACCACCCGCTCGTCGTCGTTGAAGATCTTGGCAAAGACGTTCTTCGTGCCCATCAGGACGGCCAACACCAGGGCTCCCATGAACATGCTCAGCCAGGCCGCCACGTTGGCCGACCGTGCGGCTCCTTTGGCATTGCGGGAACCGAGCATGTTGCCCACCCGTGCGCTGGCGGCAACGCCAATGCCGAAGGGGATGGTGTTCATGACTTGGTCTGCGGTCATGATGACACTCTGGGACGCGAGAGGGATTTCTCCCAGTCGACCGGCCGCCAAAGCAACAATCTCAAAAGCCCACCACTCGGTGCCCACATGAATAACCCCCAACGATGCTAACTTGGCGAAAACTCCCATGTTCTGGAGGCATCTCTTGGTCCAGCCGCCCCAACACTCCCCGCCGGCCACGAATTTGGCATAGAGCACGAGGCCCAGGAACGACAGCCAGTAGCCGATGCCGGTTGCAAATGGAGCGGCAAAGATGCCCCAGCCGGCCACGTAGACAAACAGGTAATTCAGCAACGCGCTGATGGGGGAGGTGATCAGAAGCACATAGGTGCCTGGACGCATGATCTCTTGGGCTTGAAGGTATTTCTTCATGGTCTCAAAGTAGATGTACCCCAGTCCGCCGGGGATCAGACAGCTCAGGAATTTTGAACTGTCATGCGACAGCTGAGGACTTTGGCCCAGAGCTCTGAATACCGGTTCCGAACACAGCCACAAGATGGCGACGGGGACGTAGAACAGCGTCAGGACGATGAAGGCCCGCTGTAGCAGGATGCCCAAGTCATGCTTGTTCTTACTTCCGGTGAACGTGGAACTCGCCAGCGTGTCCAAGGCCGTCGACCCTCCCATCCCAATCAGCCAACCGGTACACATGGCGAACATGTAAGAGAAGGCCGCAGTGGAGAGATCTTGGGGTGATGCGCGGCCGACGATCAAGATTGATACCGTTTGCAGCGAGTTCTGTAGCGAGTAGGCCAGGATGACGGGTATAGAGCCTCGAAACAGGACCCAGAATTCGTGCAGAATGAGCTTCCGCCTCGGCGTCTCGCCTTCTGGGAGGATGTCCAGCACCTCGCCTTCCTCCTGGCTGGACGCTTGGTCGGCATCGTGGCGCTTCTTGGGCAGCAGCCCCGTGTGCTCGTTGGGCTCCTCCCGTTGGATTTCCTCGCTCATCAATGCCACTGCTGAACGCCGTCGGTCGTGATCTTCTTCTGTCGAGCCGCTTCGTGAGCGTGGATTATCTCTGAGCGGCTATCACGACCGAGACTTACCGGTGGAGCTATATCTTCGCATGGCTCATCAGCAAAGCAGTGTATTCTTTTCGGGAGTCCAAAATCTTGCTAGATTGTCGTCAAAAGAAGAGGACACAAAAGCCCAGACCTTGGAGAACCAACACAGGCTAGTTATGGAACAGGGCCAAAAAACATGCGGACATGCAGTTAGTCAACATATCCACGAGCAGCCCCATCCCAGATACCGGTGGCCTGGACGGACCACACGTCCCTAGAGTGGGCAAACCATCTGAGAGCAGATGCATTGGCGATCGATGGTCGGACTGGGCCCCGGCCGCCCTATCGAAATCTTCTGATGTGAAATGGTAAAACGTAAACGGGGAGACGCCTATCAACGCATGTGCTGAACAAAGATGCAGTGAAGCCTTTTTGGCTATGTCGACAAATTCATTGCCGTTATCCAATTGATGGCCACGCTTTTCCATGATTGCTTATCTTCAGCCCGAGTCTGACGTGACGTGACGCCGGTGCCGATTGGGAGAATGAGGTCTGGGGGAAGGGGAGCTTTGAACTAAGCCCCGAACGACAATCTTCCCGCCGTTTGTGCGTGTGGGCCTTGATTAGGCTGGGCTTGAAGCCATGGCTATTGGAGAGCTCATTGATATGTCGTCGAGAGCGATATATGTATAACTGTATGTCTCAGGGTAGAATGAGAAAGAGATGGCCGTGGTATTGTGAGGACTCTGACACTGTGAGGTGAACCCAGAGCCCTAAAGAGTCGACTGAACAGATAATTACCGCCCTACGGCAAGCCACATCTCTGGGATTCTCAGTACACAAAACTGTAGGGCACCGTCGACTGCCTCGATCCGGTAGTATTTTATTTATGCCTTGTCAGAAATGAAATCAATTAGGTGTCAATGTATCTTGTCGACTGCTCGTTGGCGACGCTTGAAAAACTCCAGTGAAGGATGAACGACGCTGCCCGAAACTTGGCCCTCTGATTGGCTACCACCCCGCCACCAGGAAAAATGAACAGCCTCGCCGACTGAATATGAATTCTCTTCCTCTTCATCCTGTGCCGTTGGCCACTTACAAAAGATGGATAGGGCCGAGATCCTGAACGTGCTCGCACAAGATCCCCAGCGTGAACGCCCTCAAAGCGCCGAACTGCGGCGACAGGCTCAATCCATAATCCCCAGCATCCCGTCCGATGGTGACCACAACCATGCACACGACCTGCCTGCCGCACTGCTTGACCTTCTCACACAGATCATCAAGCCCCTCTTCACCGGCACAAAGCACCCACAGTTGACATCGACGGGTCGCAAGAACCTCGTCCCGGGGCCGCCGCCGTCGATAGCAGCAGCACGCTTTCTCACCCCTTTAGCTGACGCCGATGGGGAAGAAGAAAACCAGAGACCGTGGAAGAGGACACCCTTCACGGTGCCGTTACTGAAGTATATTTTGCAAAGCTATTCGCTGCTGCCCCAACCGGCGCAGAAATCTACGATCGAGGCGCATTTCCACCTCCTGGTCCCGCCCATTCTCAACATGATCGACGATGCGTCTCCCCAGTTCAAATCCGACGGCTGTCTCTTACTACGCTTGCTATGCACGACGCTCGTCTCGACGCAGAGCGACATGCTGCGACGCACGGGATTGACGGACGTGTTCGTCGACGCGCTTAAGACGAACTTCCTGCTGCTGCCCACCCTGACGCCCGAGGAAGACAGTCTGCTGGTGTTAAGGGAGCTCTACCCGGCGTATCTGGTGCTCGTGGAAGCACGGTTCGTCAAGCTCCAAGTCGCCATGACCGAGGGAGTCGATATCTCTATAGGCAAGAAATCTGACGCCGGGGCGACCTCGGCTATGGCCGAGGACTTCATGGCCCGAGAAGCCATGCTCACAAAGCTCTACCGACACGGCATCATGGCGTCCCTATCCCACCTGTCTTCCGCGACAGATTCATTTTCAAATACCATCTCCGCGCCACTCACGACGTTCCTGCTCAAGCAGATCCCACTCATATTTCGGCGGCTGGGCATCCACGCCGTGAAGCACCTCCAGACCCTGTTGCCGATGATGCGGGTGGCCTTGATGGACCCGTTCGTCCTCGCCGCGCCGGCGATGGCGCTCGCGTTGTTGGATGTCCTGGCCGTGGTGGTCGAAGTGTGCGCGCCCCGGGTCAGGGATAAGTGGTGGGCTGAGATTCTCCGGGCCTGTGTCGCGTGCTGGTGCAATTGTTTCGACGAGCAGGGGGCAGCCGCCGGTGAAGGGACCGCGAAGGCTCTACAGGAGATAATGAACGCGGTCAAGGGAGTGGTAAAGACGCTGCGAGACGTCCTGGGGAAGGAGCAATGGGGCGACGTCAAGGCGAAATTGCTGGCCGAGGAGAAAGACTTGAACGGGTTGTTGGAGGGGTAGAGCCATCGTTCGAAGAACATTCATCCCAGGAATCGCCAATCCCAGCAATACCGGCATGATGGGTCCAGGCGAGCCGTGCAAAACACCTGCAAACAAGATGGAAATGCAAACAAGATGGAAAGGGCGCATAGTGTCTTTGTGCCTGTACACCAGGCTTTCACCCATGTCATTCTGCAGGAACAAACAGAACCCAAATGCCTCGCCACAATCTCAGGAAATATCAGTCTAGACGGGTATCACGAAAGACGCAACACAAAAGAAAGTCCTCTTGACACCACCATGACCTCGCTGTCGACTCGCCGCCCGTGAGCAGCAACCCCCAACAAATTTAACTCCGAACGCGCACCCGGCTACCCGACGACCGGTCCATCGGCATTTCCTGACACCTCGTCGCCAACGACGGGCCTCTGTTTGAACAGACTCTTGCCCCTCAACCACTTCCTATACGCCTTGTACCGCTTCTTCCCGCCGTCCTCTTCCTTCACGGTCAGCGGTTCCTCCACCTGCCCACTCGCCACGTACTCGTAATACTCATCAATACTGGCTTCAGCTCTCTCCTCCATCGTCAGAGTCACCGCACCTCGTTCGTCGTCGAAGTGCCTGAGCACCTTGTGATCGGCCGGGTCAGAGGTGGTTTTGGACAGGTACTCGAGGAATTCGAGTGGCGCCGAGGAGTAGTCAATGTCGCTGGACACCACCAACGGAATGGTCGATGGGTGTGCGACGTAGCGCTGATACTCGTCCAACTGGCGCACCTGCGGGTTGAGAGAGTTTTCAATCAGGGATGTGAAGGCATCAAGGGCCAGTTCGGCTTTTGTGGGCGGGCCCAGTAGAACAGAACTGTTAGTCAGGTCGCTACTGGTGGTGGTCGGCAGTCTCGGAATTTTAGGCACCGAGGTTGACTGGACTTCAAAGGATGGCTCCTTGATGATCCCGGTGTATCGGCGGCCTCTCAGGGCGTTGTGAAGTTGCTGCTGTGCATCGAGCCAAGGCCCCAAAGTGCTGGGTTTCGGAGTCGGCTCAATTGCTGCAGGAGTGGCCGGTTTTAGACGTCCGTCGGCGGACGACAGCATCGTTTCTCCTCCGACCGTGGACGTTGTATCATCCGACGGCGCAATTATCTTCACACCCTTCCGAGTGCCTGGCCCTTTGTCATGTCCTTCTCCGTCGCTGTCATTCGCCGTCCGCACCCGAAACGGGCTGAGGTCGTATTTTCCCACCGACGTCGAGCTGATCGGGATGTACTGTAAATTCGAGCGCATCTTGAAAGGAAAGAGCTTCCGGAATGAAGAGATGGCGAGGGGGCGGTAGTATTCGACCCAATAGTCATCGAAATACGACAACGGTCGGTCGCGCAGCTCACGCGGCCACAGTGACGGTGGCATTTGCGGCGGGTCGAGATAATCATCCGTGTACCAGTGCCGATAACTCGGTCTCCGTTTCCCAAACATCGAACGCGGGTCGGAGTGGTGCAAGTAGTAGTCTGTGGTGAGGTCCCAAAGCATGGGCTGGCCCTGGGCAAAGACGTAGTTTCCCAAGAAAAGGTTGTACGCTTCCTGCCGTTGGGCGTCCATGAACGAGTTGTTGTAGTAGCGCTTGAAGCTCTCGACCATGTCACGCGAATGGCTCGTCCACTGGTTGATCTTGCGGTAGGTGGCCATAGTGTTGACCAGATGTGAGCCACCATACTGCACGGCTATCGTGTCGCCATGGTCGTGCCACATGTGGGTGAACAGGTTCACGGCATCAGAGTCGTACTCGACCGATGGATGCTCAATCACTCCTAACGCCTGAAGTTGATAACCAAAAGCCTTCTTTGCAATGACAAATTGCGCGGCGTTGGTCCGGTCGAGACAGTCGATGCAGTTGGTTCTTGCGACACCTGTTTGAAGCCGGAGACCCGATTCCTCGTCACTGCCATTCTGGAAGAAGCCCGTCCGCGGGAGGATATCTTCCGCTATTGCCTCAAGGCTGCCGATGACATCTTGATCTCTACTCTTTGATGCACGACTCATATCCCAGGCATGATACACAATCTGCTTGTCTTTGGGCAAGAATTGGTTGAGATAGTTGACAGCGAGAGTGTACTCTTTGAGCAGCTTGGACTCTCTCGGGGTGCGCTCGCGCGCCTTGATCAGGTTGAGCACGTAGATGGGCGTGCCGTACCGCTTGAAGAGATTGTCGAAGTGAAGGGCAGCAGCACTGAAGAAGGGGTCCACCACGTTAAGATGAATATCAGGTTTCGGTGAGACCCCTGTGCTGTCTTGAGTCCAATGTAGTGGGATGCTGCCACGGTGCTGCACGTAGGAAGTATATTTGTTGTTCGCGAACAGCTCCGGACCCGGGGCGTGGAATGAAGTGGTCAGCATCTCGGAAACGATTTGCTCAGTTTCCACATCGTTGGCCACGTATCCAAGGTCATTGGCACCTCGCTTCAGGAATCTGGCGCCGGCAAAGAATCTCGACCGACGGGCGATGATCGTCACATAAACGACCCGGCCCCAATACACTGACAAGGCGCTCTGGTCGACGTAGCCATGCACCACCGATAAGCACCAGTCGTACGGATTCTTGAGAACTTCTTTGGCGGGTTGCAAGAGATGGTGGTTCCAGACAAACATATCATTGTGGTCCGGCTTGTGAGGTTGCGTCAGTCCCTCCTGGAGTGCTTGCCGTTCTCGCATGATGTTGTGCTGTAACGTTCGAGTGACATCGTACGAATAGCTAAAATAGAACGACCTGGTGAGATCGAGGTTGTTCAGGATACCGACAAACCGTGTTTCTTCGAGGTGTCGATCCGACTTTGTTCGCGTAGATGCCGCCGTTACCAAAGGCATGAGTTCCGTCTTGTCAATCTGGTAGATATAATGGCCACCGATCATGGCCACTTGACTCCTTTTGGTGACATACAACATGTAATATTGGGCCGTGAAGCGAATGAAACCGAGCAGGCCCCAGAAGCTGGTTTTGATCTTCAGCCCGCCCGTCGCTCGATTCCCTTCGTCAATGGCACTGAGAATCTGTTGGGTCTCCTTCTTGGTGTACACAATGTCGTCTTCCGTAATATTGAGCTCGCCAGGTTCTGAAGTCCGATCGATCTTCAATATCCGGAAGGCTGAGTCGAGCAGGTCTGAACCAACAATGTAGTAATAGTTGGCGGTCTCGTGGAGAGTAAATTTGTGCATCTTGCTGACGCCTTCTTCTCCCACTTTGCTGACCAGTGCGCCCCTATTACGCTGCAGTGCCGTCGGAGACGGGCTCGCTGTGCGTTGAAAGGACTTGGACAGATCAAATTCGTCCTCATCATCCTCAACCTGCCTTTGGCCTGGTGCTAAAGGTGGAGATTCTGGGGGGTTATTTGACAGCTGAGGATATTTCTGAGGCAGTGTCTTCTCCGTCTCGTCCGAATTGGACTTGTTGACCTCCACGGTGTGAGGAGCGTTCTTGCCAATCTCGACTTCATTTGTGCCCTGTCCGTCCGTACCATTGGCGGAGCCATCTTCGGTGGTATCTGCATAGCCCTCGCCAGATTTAACCAGAACCTGATTGGCAACGAACTCTCTGAAGGATTCCATCTTCGAATGTCGCGTCTCACGGTGCCTGGAGTGGCAACCAACAACACCCGTCCACCGCCATCAACGACCGTCGCATTCGAGATTGATCAGTATTTCTACCGGTAGCAGAATAAATTCGGTTCATCCGAGGCCATGATACGGGCTATAACGATGGAAACCTCACCTCAGAGCCTGTGCCTTGATATCCACACAGAAGGGGAAACGAAACACGAAGGCCAAAGTCTTGGTGATGTAATGGCTTCCATTTCTAGTTTAGCATCGCCAAGCATTCGAGGCCGAGGCTTGTTTCGGGCTCGATCTTGTGTTTTGCTCCCCGCGCCTCTACCTAAGGGTGCTAAGGTCCTTACCTAGGTGTTGCTCCATCTCCAGCTTATTTTTAACAATGTAGCCAGCTGTACGCTGGAAGCTCGAGCTTCCCGACCACCTGGCTCTATAGCAACAGCCCTACCATGGCTCCCACTCCTCCTGCCCCCTTCTCCGAGCCACTCCTCCCTCAGCTCGACCTACCTGAAAACCCGTACTACACCGAGAAACACCACCGTCTCCGTGCTTTTGTCCGCAACTACGTCGACACAGAAATCGCACCCTATGCCCAAGAATGGGAGATCGCAGGACAGGTGCCTGAGGACGTCCGTCTGCGATATTGTCAGCTAGGGTTCTCCATCGTTCACCCGGTCGTTGATCCAGCCGACGCCGGTGGTGTCCAGCAGCCTGCCGGAATTCCTTATCACGAATGGGATACCTGGTGCGGTGTCATTGTGGGCGATGAGTTCTCTCGCCTGGGTTGGTGTGGTCCAATATGGGGTTTAGGAGGGGGGAATGGGATCGGTGCACCGCCGATCAGCCGCTTTGGAACGAAAGATCAGAGACAAAGGTGGCTACCAAAGATTGCCAGAGGGGAGATCAGGTTCTGTCTAGGTATTACCGAACCAGATGGAGGAAGTGATGTGGCAAACATAAGGACGACTGCGGAGAGGCGAGGAAACAGTTACATCGTGAACGGTAGCAAGAAATGGATCACCAACGGAATATGGTGCGACTATGTGACAGCGGCCGTGAGAACGGGCGGACCTGGCCATGGGGGTATCAGCCTTTTGGTTGTGCCGCTGAAATCGAAGGGTGTTACCACAAGAAGGATGGAGAACCAAGGAGTCAACGCTAGCGGTATGATATGTCGCCCTGCCCATTGCTATCCTTTCCGCTAACATCTCAGGCTCGACCTTTATCACCTTCGAGGACGTCGAAGTGCCGGCGGATAATCTCATTGGGCAAGAAAATCACGGGTTCCAGCTGATCATGTCCAACTTCAACCCAGAGCGCTTGTCGCTGGCCACGGCGGCACTCCGTCTTGCCCGAGTCTGCGCCCAAGATGCATACACCTATGCTTGCGAACGGGAAACGTTTGGCAAGAAACTGATCGAACATGCTCCCATCAAATCAAAGATCGCCTCGTTCGGACTCTTAATCGAACCCGCCCATGCGTTCCTAGAACAGCTGTGCTACATCATCGAGACTTCACGCGTTACAGGAAAGGAGGTCAATGTTGGCGGCATGACGGCCTTGTTGAAGGTGATGAGCACAAGATGCTTAGAGAAAGTCTGCCGAGAGGCTCAACAGATCATGGGTGGAGCGGGTTATTCCAAGACTGGACGGGGCGCTCGCATCGAGCAGATCAGTCGGGACGTGCGTGTCCATGTCGTCGGGGGTGGTAGTGAAGAGATCATGCTTGATTTGGCTGTCCGTCAAGAGGTGAGGGATGTCAAGGTGAGAGCCGCCAGGCTTGCAGCGAGCTCCAAGCTGTAAGAGGAACAAAAAGTTTGTGGCAATAGGATTGGGCTATTTTGTGTGCAATCTATTTCCATCACAATGTGTGCCTCCCACTTGCTGTGCGCTTCTCGCCTTCATAATCCATTAAATTGCTCTGCAAGTCGCCGCCGGACGCAATTGTGAGATTGCAGTCAAGGCCGGTGATGTTTGCTGCTCATCACCTTCCTCGCTGGCTGGCCGCCTAGAGCAAAGCCATCAACGCTCGGCGCCCGGGACGAACAGAAAACAGTTGATTTCTGTCTGTCTCTCTTGGAGGGAGAGCGACTGCCCTATCGAAAGCTTGCGTTTTGCTGTTCATCAAGAACACCCCCACCCAACATTGCCGGAGCTGCTGCCGTTGCGCTTGTTGCTAGACATTGCTGGCGGGCGGTGTTGATGGACGTCCTGTCAATTCTGGCAGAGAACAACAAAGACAAACAAGGGGAAAAGGAGAGCCTTATTCTCGATGAATATGCGCAGTACGACTTGCGCGTCCTTTGTAGATTCGCCCAGGACGAAACGTCACTGCTCCCGAAACTCCACCGTATAAAGGAGTGAACTCCCTCGGGTTGGGTTCCTGCCACTAGCCGTGATGCGCAGACTTATCAGCCTTCGACTGTGGACATTTGAGCCATCACACAGCAATGCTCGAAGGACATGCGGGCCGCAAAAACGGACCATCCATCGATATGGAACGTCTTCCCACCGGGCCATGTAACGAACGCCCTGAGCATGGGGTTTTAGGTGGAGGGGGGGTGGGTACCTTGATCGTTCGCCGTGGCAAGCTCGCAATCGTGGCACGAGGGCACCTTCAACCGAGCCCAAATTCCGATCGTTTGGCAGAGACCATTTCAATTGCCTCTTCCGTCGTCCCCGTGGGATGATTGAACTGCCAGCGCGCGAGTTCATCGACCGCCTTTTTAAGCCACGGGCCACCCTTGGGGTCGCCCAGTGCTTTCTTGATCTCGTTGCCCTTTAGGATCGGGGTGAGAGCATACGCCGCTTCGAGGTCTTGGTCGTGCACGTAGGCGACAAACTTCTGATAGCGGTCCGTCGCGGTCGAGAAGTGGTGCTCCACGATGTCGCAGAGCAGGGAGAACAGCACGTGCGATCGCCATGCCTCTCTGCACTGTCTCAGAATCATACCCACGTCGCCTCGAACGGCTTTCTCGTCGTTTACTGATTGCACTGCTTCGAGAATGGAAGGTCGCAGGTCGATGGCATCTTTCAGGACTTTGCTCATGCTGTTGGTCGCCTTGATGCCTTCTCTGGACGCTTGATATGCTTTGGCAGATGATTTGTACCACGGCGTGTACGCCGCGAGGAACCAGCTCAGGGCTTGGTCTTCTTTGGGTTTCAGAGTCAGGCAGATCGAGGACTTCTCGTCCAGAATCTTCTGGAGTCCGTCGTATGCGATAACGGCGTGGGCCGGATCGACTGAGTCGTCGGTAGGCTCTGTTGCCGGGTCGGCGAACACGGTGAAGTAGAGATCAAACTCGTTGACATATTTCAGTCCGGTGTACGGATCGGGCCCAGCCATGATCTTGCCGATCTCGACGCCCACGCGCTCCCTACTGATCTTCAAGCGAAGGGCCTCGTGGATAGTTTTGTCTTTCATCGCCTCTTTTGCAGTCGCCTCGATCTCGTACTGAAGCCGGCAGGCGAACCGGATGAGGCGCAGGACTCGGAGCGGGTCGTCTTTAAAGGTCTGATACGGTGCAAGAGGCGTCCGAATGATCTTGTTCTTCATATCCTCGAGCCCCCTGCGCGTAAAGTCCTCGACCGCTTGTGTGTCCAGGTTGTAGAAGAGCGCATTAACTGTGGCGTCGCGACGGAGGGCATCTTCTTCCGCAGTGCCAAACTCCACTTGAGGATGGCGGGTTTGTTGATCGTAGACTTCTTTCCTGAGGTTGACAAAGTCGACGTCAATCCCGAACATCCTCGTGGTGATGGTCTCCAGGTGCTTCGACTTGTCCGGGTTCGCCGCGATCTTGTGGATATCCTTGACCTGCGAGTTGAAGCCTTGTTTCGCGGCCTGCTCCTCGTACTTTGCGCCGTGCTCTTTGATGAAAGTCTGCAGGGCTTGGCCGAACTCCCACCCGGTCATCGTACTCAGTGCCACGTCGATGTCGTGGCTCTGCACACCGAGCAACTTATCCCGCACCCAGCCTCCCGTCCACCTCAGCACGAGATCCTTCATGCCGGGGACGGACTGCATCTCCTCGCGGCAGTCTAGCAGGCATTGCCGGAACAACTTCTCGGCTGGTGTCAACGGGAGTTGTATGGTAGTCATCGTGGACGATGTCCTGGACTGGGAAATATGTCGGGCTGGACTTGCAAATTTCTTGACGCCTTTGAGGGCTCGGAAGGTCATAATATGTACCCACTGTCAAAAGTTCGATCGATCTTAGTTCGATTGACAATTTCGCATTTAACTCAAGAGTGTTCGACTGGTGTGCATGGCGCTATGAAGAAAAAGGGAACATTTTCGTCCCCTGCATGAGTCACTGTCGGCGGAACGTCAAGCCGGATGGTCACAAGTCACAGGTTCGCTGATTGCTGGCTTCTCCCCAGTGCACGGATATGTTCTGTGTTTGAGACTGCTTTCGTGTCACTGGTGCACAATCCCTTTGGGTTGGATTTGATTTTCATCAGGCTAAACATCAGCCTCGCTGAGTAAACCATCCATTCGGACTATTGTTAAGCCGGAATCCGAGATCAACCTCGGCCATTGTCGGCATGCGCAGTCCGAGTGAACACTGCTGTGGTGCGATCCAAACTACAGAGAAGAGTTGCACTGCTAAGAGCTCTCTGCAATACTGTCTTTGAGAGTCTTCTATGCTCGAGTAACACGGGCTTTGCAGAGAAACGCACAATGCTTGTCATCGGTCTCACAGGCTCGATCGCAACGGGCAAATCCACCTGCTCCCAGATACTGTCCTCCCCGCCATACTCGCTGCCCCTGGTGGACGCCGACCTGCTTGCACGAAAAGCCGTGGAACCGGGCACATGGGGGTACCGGCGCATTGTGGCCACGTTTGGTCCCACCACACCCGATCTCCTCCTGACGGCTTCGGACCCCCAGTGTGGTGGAAGGGAAGACGGGCCGAACGGGAAAGGGAGACCGCTGAACAGACCCGCGCTGGGGAGAAGAGTATTTGGAAACACGGAAGAGAGGGTCCGCGATCGGAAGAAGCTGAATGCCATCGTACACCCCGCGGTACGCTTTCTCATGGTGCGCGCGATGCTGTATTACTATCTCCGAGGCCACTGGGCGGTCCTGGTCGACGTGCCCTTGTTGTTTGAGTCCGGCCTCGACATCTTCTGCAGCACGGTCATCGTCGTGGCCGTCTCTGATCCGGCGATCCAGATGCAACGGCTCCGCGAGCGAGATCCGCATCTGTCGCCTGAGGACGCCGAGAACAGGGTCAAGAGCCAGGTCGATGTCCGAGAGAAGGCCGCACGGTGTGAGCGTCGAAACAACGGCAAGCCCGATGCTGGGAAAGGTTATGTTCTCTACAATGACGGCAACAAAGACGAGCTCAAGCTTCAGATTGCAGACGTCATGGGCAAGATCAAGTCCACGAGCCCGCGGTGGTGGAGTCTCCTGCTTCTGGTGTGTCCACCTCTCATGGCGACAGTCGCATCCTGGGAAGTCCTCTGGAACTGGTATGCCCGACGAAAGACTATTCAGGAGAGAGGCGAAGAGATGGCCAAACCAAAATAAAAATGACGGATGAGAAACAGTGCTTCGTACATTTGTATACAACAAGATCCGGCTGGTAAACGGCTGGTCTTCACGCAACCCTCAGAACTAATAGAATCAGATCGATTTTACAAAGAAGAGGGAGGAGTCTTTCTCCTTTTGTCCTTCTACTTTCGTGCTTCTCATTACCTTCAGCTTCAAACTTCAGAGAAACAAAAATAACCAGAAAGCAGAAAGAGCAAAAAAAGTTCACAGCCCCATCAGTTCTGATCTTACCTTCTCCCCCCCAACAACCGGATCCTCTGGATCCGTCGTCCAGGGGTACTGCAACTTCCTCCGCCTTCCCTGCCCTTTAGAGGGGGAGAGGGAGGCGTTGTTTGTGAGGAATTTGTTGCAGTAAACCCACCAGATCCGGTTGTTGTGTCAACCCTTGTTCGAGGAGACAAGCTACATATGGTCCGAGACCTTCCCGTGCTACCCACACCCCTTTTAAGATGAGGAGGGGGGCAACAAGCGAGGCGCATATGTAAATTTACTTGTCTTTGGAACAAGGGAGGGGGGAGAAGGCCCCGCCCGCCAAACCCGATGTTTTGTCAGAACCATGAACTTTTTGGTGTGTGTGCACAAAAGGCCCATATATCCCGGACTCGAAGTGGTAGCTAGTTTTGTGTGGAAGGTCTCGATTACTTCGCTAGTTGCCCACTTCTTTCTAATTGGGTGTATATATGTTGACAGGATTTGAGGAGTTGCAATTTATATGCATTAACATGTGATCTTTGAGAATTTGGACCTTGGCGAAGGTGGTGGTGAATTTCCCCCGGGAACGACGAGGCTTTACCAGGCTGCGCAAGGCTGCGGCTACAAAGTCCCCTACAACTTCTCCACATCACGCCACCATTTCGATTTCGTGTCTGCGGAAGTTGGAGGCATCCAGGACACATAACGCTATGCTCAGCTACCAGGTATTCAGTTGCAATTCGAAGTGCGGCGTGTTTCGCTCGATTATCATGCAGGAACGGAACGTTGTCCACGCTGGTGCATACTACAGTCGACGTCGAAATTCCTTTAGTACACTCTCTCGGTTGAAGCTTTCGGCGGATGGACGTAGAAAAACGCGAGTAGCATTATATGAATGATATTGGGCTCGCATGATACGCGAAAGATAAAATTAACAAAACTCCTACTGAGACGGCTTCCACCCCATCTCCGTTGCTCGCCCCTGCCACCTTTTCTTCTCAGCTTCAATGGTTGCCAACTTCTTCTCCAGCTCTCTAATCTTGTCAAGCTTGTTTTGACGATGTTTTCGAGAGTTCATGGTATTCCGAATACGCTGAGCTCCCTTCTTGTCAGCCATGTCGACGAAATGAATTTCTGGTCCGTACTTCGTCTTCGGGCCGGCCGGGCCCTTGGGCACTGGATGTGTGTCACTTGCATTAGAAGGAGTGTGGACAATCGACCTCGGCGTTTGCATTGAGTTGTTGAAGTCGGAAATCCCAGGAAGGGCAGCATCATGAGTGACTGGAGACGACTTTGTGCTAAGATTTCCCGGGCTCGCGACTGACGGTGAGGTGCATCCTGGAATAAGTTGGCTGGTGGGTGCTCCTGGACATGGAATATCTCCCGGGAAAGAAACAGCAAAGGGATTGGCAAAGAAACTCTCGGGAAAGGTCAGAGCAAAGTTGCCAAACACCTCAGCTGCATCCTCCCCGGGAGGCTCTGTCTCTCCCATCTGAGGAGAAGCCTCACCTATTTGGTGCGTGGCCTCCTCTAGAATCCGATATGTGTCTTCATCGCGGCAGGCGTCGCCGATGCAGTCACCGGAGACGTCAAGGTTGTCCCAGCCGAGCGCCGAAGAGCTATCATCGTGGCCGACGGGACAGTCGTAGTATTGTGATTGAACAGTTCGCTGGCCATGGTTGATGGCCAGAGGATAGGACCGTAGGTAATGATGCTGTGAAACCGAATTCTCCCACTCGGGCCATAGATGGTTCTTATGGTGGGAAGAGTGAGAGGCGCTGACGGGTAGGTTGGGCCGTAATTGTAGCAGCCATGGTGAACAACTGTCCAAAGTGACCTCCGGTCAGGACAGGGGGAAGAGCAGTAGACGCCTTGCTTGGTTTGCCTGGTGCAAGGCGGTTGAGGGGGAGAGGTGTGGGAAGGAAAAGAGAGGAGAGGAAAGAGGGAAGTGGGATGAGAGCGTTCAAAAACCACATTGAGCTTGTCGTCGTCCGAGGCGGATGAATCTATTCCAAATGCAGTAACTGGGACGGAGTTTTGGTCTGACCGAATCAAACTCAAATTATCACCTCACGATAATCCCATAACCGCTCGTCAGACCAGCACACTTTCTTGGTCGGCCGCAATGACTCACTCACGTTACAACGAACATTGCTCCGCCTCGCTCTGTCCGACGACATAGTGTAACCTGCTGCAACCGAACAAGACGGGGAAATGAAAGTTCGATCCTCGAAGCCTTTCCTCTTTAGATCGCTTCCGGAACATACGAGTTAGGAAGCATTGAAAGGGTTGTGCCTCCTCCTATGTCTTCCCTCCCCACAGTATCCAGATTGCCAGAGATTTCCAGATACTAGAAACGGCCTTGGGGCGTGGGACCGAGATCTCGCTGTCGGTCGTCGACTGTTCTCACCACTTGCCTGAACAGTCCGACAGCAATAACACCGATAGAAGATCTTGAATAGAACGACAGTCCAGTCTCGACGGGGGAATCATCTTTAAAAAGAGACAGTACTTCATCCTGCTGTTGGGAAGTTCTCCGTGAACAACCCAGCAGCAGTGATGACGAACGTTTCTCTCGATTGTCCAGCCGACATCGTTTGATACCCCTCGTGAAAAGTACCGATTTTGCCGATCTGAGCTCTGGTTTTTGGTTCACTATCGCTTTTCCCTTTGTTGCCTTAATGATCTGCTGCATAGGCAATTGGGAACGGTGGGAAGGAGAGACTAAGTCGAGGTCTTGGAGCACGAACCAAGCTGTTCGGAGGGACCAACATATGCCTTTATGGCGGCTGCCATGTACCATTGCATTAGATATCTGTTTGAATATACAAGAATTTTGAGTTATTTTCCTCTTGGGGTTCTCGCTGGTGGCCCCTTTCCAACCGCGCTATGCAAATGTGTAAGGATTGGACAGCTCACTGTGAGCCGATGGATTAGGAGTGTTCTATGCAGCATTCGATTCGCTCGCTCATGAACCGCAGGTCATGTCGATGAGAGGGTCGTAGTTGGAGTCGACGACGGCAAAGCTGGGCGAAGCGGCAAAATCATCAACATCATAGAAGAAGTAGTTCAAGCTGTCGAAGCTGGCGCACGAGACTTGCCACCAGTAGGTTTGCAGGCTGTCCACCGAGGGGACAGCACTGCCGACAGCGTCGCCCGAAATTGGCCAGCCGGTCTCGGTCGTCCACACATCGCGACCGCCAGCCACCGCTCGCACTTGGTTGACCGCCGCCCAGTATGCATCATTAGCAGCACCGTTGTCGATTTCGACGCCCTGCCAGTAAGGGTATGCGTCGTTACCGAGCCAGTCGACGGCATCAATCACCGCAGTGTTGGCAGGGTCCACCCACGCGGTCCAGGTATCAACGTGGCCGACAGATTTGCTGCTAGCTCCAAGACCCCAAAGCATACCGCGGACATCATTGATTTGCGATGCCAGAGTGTTGGCATCAGTGTCGCCTCGGTATAGATCTTCGGACCCCACAGAAACAGCCAAGATCCAGTCGTGCCCGTATTGTTGAATTGCTTCCAATAATGCTTGCTTCTCTGCCTCATAATGGGTATCGTCTTCGGTCCAGATGCCGACAAGAAGTGAGGTACCAGTATTGATGGCGGCTGGGACCGCATTTGCCAGAGTATTGCAGTCGCTGGACGCATACAGCCGAGCGTTCTTAAAGTTTCCGGGAAAACTCGCGATCTTGTTGAAGACAAACTCCCAATCCGACTCGCTTCGACAGGCTCCATTTGCCAGATTGGCCCCGACATTGAATCCTTTGTAGTATGCCTCTGCTCCTGAAGCGGTGGCAGCCGCAAGGGCAATCAATTGACTTGTCCTCATACTGAATTAGAGACCTTGGAAGGCGTATACCTTTTCACAGGAGTGATTGAACAGAAATAAGAGCAAATAGACAAACGAACGACTGTGACACGGGTAGCAACCAAAAGAAGGGACTTGTATATGATCAAGCGAGAGACATGAACAACAAGGTTGAAGAACAGGACGATGCGGCGACCATGGAACAGGATTATGTGCCTCGACGAAGAGACACAAGATCCAGAACATTCAAGGTTGGCCCTTGCAACCAACGAGACATGGACCGGGACTGCCATCTGCCATCCGCCCTTGGTGGAGACGCTGAAGCCTGTCAAGCAGGGAAAAGGGGCGCCACCATCCGCCATCCGACAGCCACTGATCCATCCCGTCGGGGCAGGATCAGCGTCCGTTGTTTGTGGCTGTACCTGCCTTAGTGCAGCCCGCGAGATTGAATGGGCCTGCTCGTTGACGAATTGGTTCAATATTCCGGGATGCCTTGCCAACGGGTGGACTATGAATTCAGAGACATTTATTTCCGGGCTTGACCACTGATTTCCTGGAAGGTGCTGCGTACATAGTCTCGAGAAAAAGATGTGTTGAAAAGCTTCTTGGAGGACTCGTTGGTTGGAGAAATCGACACCAGCAACGGCTCGCTGGGCGCGAAGATCAGTTATTCGCCTCCAGCGGCCTCTAGACTGGAATGGGCCTAACCCCTGACATGGGGTGTTTTAAAATGAAGACTTCATGATCGAAATCCTTCTTAGACCGATTCCAGCACCTCGTTGGTCGACAGAGCCAGATCAGAAACTTGATGACAAGGCTGGACTTGCACGAACACATGAGTTCTTTCGCTTTTCTCGTGCTCTGATGAGGCAAGAAGAGATCGCCCCTGTCAGCATGAGTTAGTGGACATCTTGAAATATCGCACCCTGTCGTACCTACCACGCTATGGCGATCCGCGGAAAAAGGCTCGTGCTTGTGGTGTCTTTTGTATGCACTCTGTTCTTCTTTCTCTTGCATCTCTATGGATCCTCCCTCGGGACCCTTCATAGTGCTGAAGGAGAGCCGTTTGGTAGGCTGGAAGGAGTCACTCACCAGCTCTTGAAGCCCTTGAAGGGCCATGTGATCAATCCCATTGTCAGCTATATCCCTCTTCCCACAGCGGTTCAAGTTCTCCCTAAAATCCAACACGATTTCAAGCCGGAGACTGGGCTTGCCAGGGAATCTCGACTGGCTCGTCTGGAGGTGATCAAAGAGGCCATGATGCACTCGTGGACAGGATACAGACAGAGGGCCTGGTTGCAAGATGAGTTGGCTCCGGTGTCAGGAGGATATAGAACGTCCTTTGGTGACTGGTCTTTGACGCTGGTAGATGCCCTGGACACGCTTTGGCTGATGGGCTTCAAGGATGAGTTCGAGACCGCGATTCACGCTGTGGCCAGCATTGACTTCACAACTGCTAAGCAAGTGCCCATCAATGTCTTTGAGACCACGATCCGGCATCTTGGAGGGTTGCTCGGGGCGTACGATGTGAGCCGTCGACAATATCCCAAATTGCTCGAGAAGGCCATAGAGCTTGGTGATATGCTGTACGGTGCATTCGACACACCGAACCATATGCCAGTCACCAAGTGGTCAAAGATTGGCGTAGAAGGCGCATCAGGCCATACACTCGTTGCTGAACTTGGGACGCTGAGTCTCGAATTTACCAGGCTCACGCAGCTGACTGGAGACCCGAAGTACTATGACGCGGTGCAGCGCATCTCTGACTGCCTTGAATCCCAGCAGAACTATACAAGGGCTCCGGGTCTTTTCCCTCATATTGTCAATGCGAGGGAATGCTGGTTTGGGGACGGTGTGACCTTTTCTATCGGCGGGTCTGCTGACTCTGTCTACGAATATTTCCCCAAGGAATATCAGCTGCTTGGTGGCGCCAACGACCAGTACAAGAAGCTCTATGAAATCGCCAATAACCCGATGAAGGAGTATATTCTCTTCAGACCCATGACTCCGACCAACGAAGACATTCTCATGGCTGGCACCCTAAAGTCCTTCAGGCCCGGTCATAATGAACTCATACCACAGACCCAACATCTCGCTTGCTTTGCAGGAGGCATGTTCGCTTTGGCAGCGAAGCTTTTTGACAACCCTGGAGACCTGGAGACGGCCGGAAAACTGGTCCACGGCTGCATCTGGGCGTACCAGCAGACTGCGACAGCCATCATGCCAGAGATGTTCCACCTCATCTCGTGCCCCGCTGACGATCGTCAATGTCAATGGGACAGCAAGGCCTGGTTCAAGCACATGCTTCTCCACAACTCCCACGACGAGACTCCTCAGGACAAACTGCTGCCTGAAGACGAACGCCTTCGCAAGAAGTCACAACGGCTGCGCTTGCCCAAAGGCGTCTCAGCCATCGCCAGCCGTGCCTACGAACTGCGCCCAGAAGCAATCGAGTCGATCTTCGTCCTGTATCGGATCACCGGGGACGAGTCCCTGCGTGAAAGCGCGTGGGCCATGTTCGAGACCATCACTAACCACACGCGCACCGAGTTTGGGTATTCGTGCATCGAAGATGTAACACAGTCCAACCCGAGGAAGACGGACAGGATGGAAAGTTTCTGGATGGCAGAGACGCTGAAGTACTTTTGGCTGTTATTCGAAGATCCCAGCGTCGTGAGCCTCGACGAGTTCGTCCTCAACACAGAGGCGCACCCGTTTCGATTGCCGAAGCAGCGGTGACATGACGTGCGTGATAAACGAAAACCTTGCGGGCTGGTTCCCTAGAATCTGGTTGATCGTTTCAACGTAGTGTGGCAGACTAGAAAATCCTGTTCAACACTTCTTTCACGTCGTCACTGATCTTCTCCGGGCCAGCAGTGTCTTGCCCCTTCTTCTTGCCCTTGACTTCAGTCTGCCTCCAAGTTCTCCTGACATCCGCAGCGGCAGCGTCACCTGTAGCGTGATTGGAGCCCTCCTCGCCCTCTCCTTTCCTGATAGCCTTCTTCCTCTTGATGCCCTCGACCCTCCTCCCCTCCTCCACGCCCTCGATAAAGCGCTTCGTCTCCCGGGCGATGATCCTCCTCTCCTCGTCCCGCCTGCCCTCCTCCTCTCTCTTCTCTTCCCTCACTCCAGCCATCAACTCCTCCCACCTCATGCCCTTGAGGTACTTCATGTTCCACACGTCGTCGCGATACCAGCCGCCCTTCTTGCCGCCGACCGTCGTGGCGTTCAATGCCTCCGCGCACCGGCGCGCGACCTTTTTGGACGAGAACTCGATCCAGCCTTCTGTGTAGAGCTGCCGCGAGTTCTTCTTCGAGTTGTGCGCGTGCCGCGAGGCCGGGGACAGGAAGAGCCGTTTGATCGGAGAGAAGCCGCGCTGTTCCAAGAGGTTGCGAAGCGCCGAGGGCTTGAGATACGGAGGGAGTGATGAGAGGTAGACCACGCCCGGGGTGGTCTCCTTGGATTTGGATTTGGATTTGGATTTCTTGGGTTTCTTCTGGGTCGTCGGCTCGCTTGTTGTTATGGACGCAGATTGGATTTCTTCAACCCTCGCCGCTTCACTCTCTTCTATAGCCTGGTCTTCATCCTGGGTGTGCTTTTCTTTCTCATCATCATTATTATCGTCATCCTCGTCCTCGTCCTCTCCATCCTCCGTCTTTGGCTGGGTCGCAGCGGCCGCTGCCCTCGAGGCCTTCGGCGTTCGACTGCGGATCAGGTTGGGGGTGAAAAATTCGTCTTCACCGCTGCTTTCGTGTTCGACCTTCCGCCTCTTACTTGCTCGGCCGGCTTTCGACACTTCGGCGGCTTCGGAGTCGTAGCCGGCATCCTGGTCGGATTCGTCCGGGAACCCGGCGTCGAGGTACGCATTCCTCCTCTCAGAACTCATGACAAAGGTGGCCCCACGGTTTCGATTTCGCAAATCGAGAGAGATGTGTTAAATCTCTACCTGTAGGTGTGATATTGAAAAACAAGTTGTTGTTTTGAGGACGAAGTGAAAGAACTGGGACAACACCCACTACGAGTTGCGGTGGTTAACGTGTGAAAATGCGGAGGAAATTTTTGGTTGGAGAAGGAGAGGAAAGACATCGAGTTGAAAAAGCAAACCTATTAGTGGCCGTCAATCCAGATCGTAATGGTCGCATGCAAATATTTCCTCTCATAATGCTACAAATTGTCTATAACCTTTTGATGTGCCTCATCTATAAACGGGCACTTTCGCCCTTCCACCGAAGTTCATTTCCATCACTAGAGACAGTCTTGCGTGCGATTACATCTTGGACTTTCTCTTTCACGCCGGCTTTGTTTTTCCACTGCCTCAAAACCTCATCAATCACTCTCTTTGAACCTTCCTTGCCTAGATCCTTCACAACAGCCTCAATATCCGACTCCCGTGGCAACGCGAATTTGGCGTGCGGATAGTCTGTGTAATGCTGATCCAGCGCTCCTTGGCTAGGCTCGACCAACTTCAGAGCCTCCTGCTCGGTAGGCGCGGCAAAGAATTCGTCCACATCTGCCGTCGAGACATCCTCCAATTTGGCAGGGTTCCACACAGGCTTCGTGGGCGGTTTGTTGATCAGGCGGGCAGAGACGCCCTCAACAAAGTCAGGGTGTGCCATGAATCTGCTGGCCATCTTGTGCTCTTTGATGAAGGTCTCGGAGATGTTCCAGTGTTTCCCTTCCCTGAGTTGACGTAGGGTGACACGCAGGCTGGTGGGTGATCGGATGGCGATAGTCTTTTGAGTTGCTTTCGCCCATTCGGCAATCTTCTCATCTGCCGATTCGGTTTCCTTCTGAAGGGCGGCCAATATCTCCTCTATCGTGTTATACTTGAAAACCCGATCGACAGCGTCCCGCAAGGCGCCGGTGATGTTGCCATACTTAGCAGCTTCATAAGAATCCGGGGAGGGCAGACTGCTCGAAAACTCAGAGATGGTGGAATCGATCAGCTCCAACCGTTCGTTGAGATCCGCGTAATCTTTGAAGACGAGCTCGGAGAGACGAGTTGTCAATTGTGCCAACACAGAACTGTCGATGTAGTGCGTCGCAACGCCGGCGTAGAAGGCCTGCACGCCATGTAGTCGTTCGGAGGTCAGGGATAGATATGTACCAATTTCGCCATCCAGACGCGGCAAAAAGAAACTTCCACCAACGTCCGGGAAGAAACCAATGGTCGTCTCAGGCATGGCAAAGACGGTCTTTTCGGTAGCAATGCGGAAAGGTGCATGGACTGAGAGACCAACACCACCACCCATCGTGATACCATCCATGATGGCAATGTATGGCTTGCTGTATGTCGCGATCAGATGGTCCAATTGGTATTCGAGAGCAAAGTAGTCCGAGGACTTCTTTTGACCTTCTGGTCCCTGTTTGTTCTGCATCGCAAGTTCCGCAACGTCACCTCCTGCGCAGAAGGCTTTCGGGCCAGCACCGCTGATCAGAACGACATTGGCCATTTGAGACTTTTCCCACTCCCGAAGACGAGGGAGGATTTTCCTAGCCATTGATCCGTTGAGTGAGTTCAGCTTCTTGGGCCGGTTCAATTCTATGGTCCGCACGCCGTAGAGGGAGTTGAACAGGACGTCGTCGGGGTCGTCTGTGGGGAGTTCTTTCGGCATTGCGCCGTACTTGATGGTCGAGGAAGACATCTGCTGCGGCGTGAGCTCAAAATTCGTACTCTTATACAGGACATAGCCTACCGTTCGACGACCTAGTGCCAATGGAGAAAATGGAGCTCTAGACCTTGCGGCCAAGGCCGCTGTTCTAGCAATCGTACCGGGAGCGACAAGAGAGGCCGCGTATCTCGCACAGCAGGCTTTCATGTCGAAGAAAAAAGCACAAATGTAATCACATTGAACCGCAGTTACGAAGTTGGTTTGGGGATTTCGTTCAATATGACGGCTTGCGAAGGACGAACCTCGGGGATTTGTCCGCATCTTTCACACCGAGGCTTTTCGTTCCCCTGCCTAGCATTCAGCATGATCCATCGAGGAAGGTAAAGCGAGGACCCTCACGTGCAAGGCTGCGACTTAAAAGTTTTTCTTGGCGCCGACCGGGGCTCAGCAAGTGGGAGGCGAATTCTGAATAATAGAGAATCGCTTTTTCTCAAATCTTCTATTGCTCGGTCATTTCTTTCCTCGCCCCTTGAGTCTTTGATCTTTATCTTCCTGGGGCTTATAGGAGTGACTGTTGGTCAATATTGTATCTGGACAACATCACCGAGTTTCACAATGTCGATGGATCTTGATGCCCCGGTTGCCCTTCCTTCGGTGAACAAGCCACAAGCAGCGACCATCCTCTGCTGTAACTGTGGCGCTCCCATCGATGGGACTGCCTCCGCAGGTGCTTTGTGCTATGACTGTATCAAACTCACTGTCGATGTATCGGAAGGAATCCAGAGGGAAGGCGTACTTCACACTTGCCGAGATTGTGAAAGATGGTTAAGCCCACCTTCACAGTGGGTATCGGCAGCTCCAGAGAGTAGAGAATTGCTCGCTCTCTGTCTGCGGAAACTTCGAGGTCTCAACAAAGTCCGGATCATAGATGCTAGTTTCCTCTGGACAGAACCTCATTCTAGGCGGATTAAGGTAAAGATCACTGTTCAACAAGAAGCCTACGAAGGAACGATCTTGCAGCAGACTTTCGAGGTGGAATACGTCGTCGCCTACCAACAATGCCCCGAGTGTGCCAAGTCATATACGCCAAACACATGGCGGGCCTCAGTCCAAGTTCGACAGAAAGTGCCTCATAAGCGAACCTTCTTGTACCTCGAGCAGCTCGTGCTCAAACACCAAGCGCATAAAGACACGATCAACATCAAGGAAGTCAAAGACGGCCTAGATTTCTATTTCTCTCAGCGGAACCATGCAGAAAAGTTTGTCGACTTCCTCACCTCCGTGACACCGGTCAGGGTAAAGAAATCCCAGGAACTCATTTCCATGGACATCCATACCTCGTCAAAATCATACAAATTCACCTTCTCATGCGAACTATTACCGATTTGCAAAGATGATCTAGTGGCATTGCCTATCAAGATGGCCAAGTCCATCGGCAACATCGCACCCCTAACCCTCTGTTACAGAGTGGGCACGTCAGTCAACCTCCTGGATCCGACCACACTACAGACAACAGACATGCCGACGTCGACATACTGGCGTACGCCTTTCAAAAGTCTCGCAGACGTGCAGGAGCTTGTGGAGTTTGTTGTGCTGGACATCGAACCTTTAGGCACCCAAAATGGCCGATTCTTTGGAGCCGAGGCAACAGTGGCCAGGGCATCCGATCTTGGGGTCAATGACAAGACTTATTACTGCAGAACCCACCTCGGTGGGGTGTTGCACGCCGGCGATTCAGTGCTTGGTTACCACTTGACGGGAACAAACTTCAACAATCAGCAGTTTGAAGATTTGGAGCAAAGCAGCAATTATTCGTCGACTATTCCAGATGTGATGCTAGTCAAGAAGTTCTATGCCAGGAAGAAGAAGCCCAAGAGCAGAAATTGGAGGCTGAAGCGAATGGCCAAGGATGAGGGCGAGCTGTTGCCGAAGAAGGCCGACCAGGAGAGGATGGATGCGGACTATGAAATGTTCTTGCGAGACGTGGAGGAAGATGAAGAGCTGAGACAAACGTTAGCGTTGTACAAGGCCAAGCATCAGAAGAAGAAGGATGCAGATGAGATGAGCATGGTGACTGGGGAGAGCAGTGAGGATGAGGTGCCTCGGATCAACATGGATGAGCTACTGGAGGACTTTGAAGATCTTGATGTGAACGATGAGGTATGATTGAGGAATGAGAACAAGGAAATAAGACCATTTGACGATGGAGTGTTTGGAAGCATCGTATAAATCAATCAGTGACCTCGTGCACCTTCGCGGCTTCACGTGTCTCCTATGATGTCACATCACATTCACTATTGCTAGCGTGTCTCGATAAGTTTTTGATTCGGCGTGACGGTCACTGAGTCAGCTATCAAGTGTCTGGGTGCCTGCGAAGTGAAAGACAGTGTAGACTGGGCTGAACGTCTTTGTCTTTGACTCTTGCTGCCTACTTTATCACATTGTCAATGTGCGCGCCCTTTGGTTTTGCCAGTCAGACCGAACAGCGTCGAATCGCGTGGCACGCTGCGCCAAGCTATGAATGGCTGCCGAAAAGGTGTCCAGTATCCTCCATTGCTGTGAAAGGCCACGACACAAGCGTGACAATTGTCTTGTATAGTATGAGCCACTGAGCACGTGTTTTCCAATTGTGTACAGAAGGCCGCGATTGTCTCTCGTCGTTTAGCTCCTCACCTAAGCCCGGATCTTTTACCAGATTGCTCCCTCTTCGTGCGATGGTCATTGTCTCCGGAGAGCTGCAGCGAGTGAGATCGATTGGGTGTGATAGAAGTGATGAGTTCTGCTTTCTTTCGACGACCTACCGAAGGAAGTTCCAGCTCCAGCTCAGACGGCGATAGCTCAGGGGAAGACGATGTCCCACCACATCAACTTCATGAAAGTGTCGAAGAAGGCCAGACCATTATCACCGAATCACTTTCCAGCCATGGCACTGTCTCATTCGGAGACGAGATGGATGCCCCAGCAACTTCCTTCCCCAACATTGACCAGCACCGGACCAACCTGCTCAGCGCTCTTCTCGAGGACTTTGCCAGAAATCGAGCATGTGAGATCATGAACAATGCAAGGCCAGGGTCCAGGTTCACGAAATTGTCAGCGGAAGTCCAACCGTTGGCGGACAAGCTCTACGAGCAACTTAGTCAATCATTATCTCTGACTGGCGTTCTCTCGGCCGGTACCGACAGAGACAACGAGCAAACGAGAGCAGCATACTTGGCCGGCCTCGAGAGTCTTGCACTCGGAGGCGTCCAGACTCACGATCTCCTGCATGGGCCAGCTCGCAGTCAACTTCCGCCACTTGAAAATCAACTGGCCATAAAAAACGTCGATAATCAACCGCATTCACTCGTTCCCACCTTGCTCGCAGCATCCATGACAAACCTCGCTCTTCACGGTCCGTCTCGTTTGTCGCCGTATAGTGACCTCGTCTTGTCGACGCCCACAACTCGTCGCAGTCACTACGAGTCCAGCTTTCAGCAACTGAGACTGCTCGGAAAAGGAGGCTTTGGCAGAGTATATCATGCTTACAACCTATTTGACAAGAAGGAATACGCAATCAAGAAGATTCCCCTAAGCCCTCGGTTATCGCAGCGATATCGAGAATCGGGGCACAAGGAGCTGGAAAACATACTACGAGAGGTCCAGGCCTTGGCGCAGCTGGAGCATAACAATGTTGTCCGTTATCATGCGACGTGGATAGAGGAGCCTAGAGGTGCATCTACCACAATACCTCAGCTTAGGAAGCAAAACATCACAGTTCAGGGCAGGAGACTCATTACCGATCGCCCAGCACATTCCCGACCGGCGGATCGAAATACCCCGGCCAACTGGCAAGTCTCAGATCATGGTGACGGTATCGTCTTCGGCTTTGACAGTCGACCCACCACTCCTGCTCAAGACCTAGAGAGTGCGGTCCATCCGACCCGATCCATCAGTGAGACAGATCACGACCAATCTTCCGCACGAGCTTCTGAGATCTTCACAGATGGCAATGCAAGGGCCAGCATTATGCACGATCCGGCCATGGATGATTCGGTGTATGTGCTACATGTGCAGATGTCAGTATATCCCATGACCCTGGCGCAGTATTTGGCACCAGCACCGCCCAATGCCAGAAGCGCACCCAGCAACCCCATTCGCAGACACTGTTTCCACCTCATCCCAGCTCTACGGCTGCTGATGGGCATTCTGTGTGGCTTGCAGTACATCCATGCAAAGGGACTTGTGCACCGTGACATCAAACCATCCAATATTTTCATCTCAAGCCTGAGCTTCCCTGCGGTAGGATTGATTTCAGACGGTTATTACGACGTGGGATCCTGTATCGGTTGCGCGAATCCTACCCCATATTACATTAACCCCCGAATTGGTGATTTCGGACTTGTTGCACAGCTGGCCAAGGAAGATGACCTCGAGACAAGCAACCATGGCCAAAAAGCCGGCAAGATGGTGGGGACAGAATACTATCGACCTCCGCCATGGATTGACTCCAAAGGCAAGACAAAATCTAACGCACAAATGGACGAGAAAGTGGATGTGTTTGCGCTTGGTGTTATTTTCGTGGAACTACTCTGGCCCTGCCTGACCAGTACGGAGCGCATGCATGTTTTGCGAGACCTACAGAAGGGCAGGACTCCAACTGGCCTTGCCGAGAAAATCGACAATGAAGGGCACGAATCTGGCACAGGCGAAATGGTTGTTCGATGCATATCCGGAATGCTCGAACGAGACCCGCGGCGCCGATGGAGATGTGAGGAGATCAAGCAATGGCTGGACAAGCTACTGACCAGATTCCCGACCTTGGTTGATCATGGTAGTAATGGAGGTATCAGCGGGACTGAAGGCGTCGACATGAGAAAAGTCCACAGTTTCAGCGAAGCGAATGGAGAGGCAGGGGGCTAGCAGGAAGATCGCTGCTAAGTCAAGACATTGAAGCCGTCAACGGCGACGGAGCCTCATAGTCAGTCACTCAACAAAGTCAAAAATGCAATGACTATGCGTGAGCGAGAAACACATTCGCCAGATAGAGAGAAGTTCGGTCCCCACGTCAGGCAAGAGAAGAGGCTTTCATGCCCTTTGGACGACACCCTGGTTGTGCAACTACAACTACGAATAGTTGATGAACGCCTGCTGTAGGTCGTAGCAACCCGAGAGTGCTCTGGGTAGAGAGGACAAGGGGTAATCTGGAGTCGCCATCCGCCATTTCCCCGCTTCCACAACTCATCTCCCGCACAATCTGGCGCAGACGGAGCTGGCTATGGCCGCTTGCCTAGCAACGGCACCGGTCTTTTGCAGCTTTTCCAGAAGTGATGTCTGACGGCAATGAGGCACGTGAGCATATTTGCCAGGAACGGAAAAGCGCCTCATTTCCCGGAAAGTCGGCGAATCCTTGGCATTTAACTGCGCTTCCCTGGTGCAACTACGTTGTCACCGGCGCGAACAGGAGACATCCACCTGCGTTTAACCGACGATACGAGCAATCTCAGCCTCCAGCTTAGCTCCTAGTATGAACGCTGGTCGTCGGTTTTGGCTCTATTGGTTTCATCTAGTCAACAAGAATGAAGCCGGTGCCTGCAGCTCACTTCCCAATCAAGCGCCTGTCTCGGGAGCAGGCTGGCACGATTCACGCAGGACTTGGACAGTCTGCCAACTTCATCTCAACGTCAAATCTCGCTTGGCCCGAAAGCATATCGGTTCAGATAACGGGTGATCGCCCCGTTGATTTCTCGGGCACAAGTATCTGATGTGTCCAGGGCATACTCGCGCTGGATCTACGCAGTAAGAGCTGTCTGGAGCTGCCGCCGTCTGTGCTCCCACAGAATGGTTGGTACTGAAGAGCTTGGGAGACCCAGAAACCCATCCTGTTTTCGTCGCTATGTCTGTCTCGCTTTGATCCTTGTGGGTACTCTTTGTGAGCTTCCCTAGTAACTTACTGGCTGGGGCACATTCCGCACGATTATGGCGCTTTCGGTACCTTGGCAGGGGATTGGACCGAAACGAAAAAGGGGCAGTTTGAGATGCTGGTCCGACACCGTCGACACATGCCAATTTCCCCAAAAATGCACCGGGACTCGGGACAAAGGGTTTGACACTGTCCGTGGAGGGACTATGAGATGCACCTCTTTCCTCCGACCTGCTGTGGCTTTTCTTCCCTCGCCGTCTTGACCTCGTATCTGCTTGAGCCTCGTCCGTTATACCTCTCGACTAACCACACTCCTTTCACAACCAACTCGTCGAAGCGCGCATAACATTGACAACGATGGTCGCCATGAAGAGATCAGCCCTCGCATTGGCGATGGCTGCCGTGGTTGGCGCTCAAAGCTCGTCAGTCATCAATGTCTTCATTCCTGATGCGGACGACCAAACTCTTCTGGGATCCCTCATTGCTTCTGTATGTACAGGTACTCTCTGCTCTTGTTATGTATCCACCGACTCACCTTGATGGCAGGATGCGACCAAAACCACCATGGCCATCTCGTGTCCGTCCAACGCCGACATGAGCGAATGCGGATTCGGCCCTGACGCGGTTACCATCACTTTCGGTCCCTCAACCTTCCGCGCCGCGGAGACCCTCGACCCATTGTCGCTCATGCTCGACTGCAATGTGAAGGGCACAACAGCCGCCACGTGCACAGAGACATACATTGGACCTGCAGATATCCTGGATACGGAAACGGCGACGGCCACTGACTCAATAACCGATACCGATACCAAAATGATCACGACGACCACCACGACAGTCCTATCGCAGTCCGAGATGTAGGTTGAAGTTATTGCCAGAGAGATTTCGAGGTGCTCACAACGAAATAGTGTTTTCATTCCCGTGACGATCACCGCGTTCGCCGACTCCAGCAGCAATACTAGTGCTACCACCACTGGGGCGAGTGGAAGCACAGCCTCACTAGCCACAGCTACGTCAACGGGCTCTGGGAGCAGTAGCTCGGCGTCTAGCAGCGCCAGCGCAAGTACGAGCCCATTGGATCAGAGCAACAGCGCTGGAAGCGTGGGCGCCACTCGCTGGGAGTTGGTATCCGCAGCGGGAGCCGGGCTGATCGGACTGACGCTTGTCCTGTTGTAAAACAAAAAAGCCGGGTGTGGGTGGGTGCGCAAATCGTCCAAGCATAGCATAGGAGCAAGGAGCATGGGAAAGGTGTGTGACAACAAATGGGGATTACAAGGACCCGAGTATGACGGCATACCTCCGGTTACTTGTGGGCCTCTTGAGCAAAGGAAGATACACCATAATAACAAGATACCCAACAAAGCAACTATCGACAAGAAACCTGTCTTTCGATTGCCTGCGCGGCTCAATTATCCGCGCCGCAGCTTGCACACACCACAAACGGTTACAATGCCCGGATCTCTTGTCCGGAGCAGATGCGTTGCTGATGGTGGGAAGATGACGTACCCGATTACCTTGTAGATGGTCACTGCATTGTTGTTTCCCTTCGTCTTATCTCCCAGCTTATGGTTCCCTTTGCCTTTCGTTTCGTTGTATTGAGAAAAGGCGAGCAGAAGACCAGATCATTGGGCCACGCGAGCACCAGATTCTCCCATGTTCCAATTGAGTTTTTTCTCCCTCCCCCGTCCCGTCGTCGGCTGCCACGAGGCCTTTTGTCTTTCGACTTCAAAAGGACGAGAGGGAGGTGATTCGCCGCCAGTTGACGTAGCCGAGGGAATTGCACGGATGGGAGTTGGGCGTTTATGTAAGACAGGCGATCGGTGTTGGTGGTGACAGCGGCATCCGCCTCTCGGCGCGTTGCTGAGGCTTGCACAGGCACTTGATTCGACGGATTGCAGGCCCCAAGTGGCGCTCAGTAGCGAGAGATCAGCCCAGCAGATGGCACTTTGTTGAATTCCCATGACCAGACCCCACCCAGAAACTGGGGGGATCTCCGCCGATCTCCATGCCCGATCGTCGATGACATAGGCGGCATGCGATCTCCTAGGCTAGGGAGCTAGGGGAGCCTATGTAGGGGAGGGGAGGGGCTTCATCGATGCAGGCACAGATGCTCGATGCACACGCCCAATCCGCACCTTCGGGCAATCGTCTCGGAAGCCGTGACATGCCCACACCAACTGCAAACAGTAGTGTTCCGTAGTAGCACAGACAGAGAGGGAGAGAGCTGGTGCAGCTTGGCCTGGGAATTAGTGGCTGCATCCAGAGGTACCTCCAGGGCAGTGGCGGCTGCAGAGCCGTTTCTCTCCACTTCCACCACTCTTACGTGCTCCTGTTCTTTGTTTCCAGTGTTCCCGGCAACCTGTTTTTTCCTTTTTCCTTGTGTCGCTGCCTGCCCCGCACTTCAGAAAAGCCTCAATCCCGCTCTTTTCCTTCACATGCCGTTCTTGGACACCACGAGCGAGCTGCCTCCCTCAATTCTCATTTGCTCTCCTACATTTGCCCCTCCTCCCTCTCCTCCCTCCTGGATGCTTATTCCGGGGCCCTTCCAGCATTTCATGTCGAATCAGCCACTCCACCCTTGCCGTGTCACAGCCACCTGGTGAGAAAAGCCACTCTCAGCCCGCAGTTCTTCCAACTCAACTCACCGGCCCAAGCATCCGCCGCTCCAGCTAGAGCCATCGGTCGATCTCTTACTCCTCTCCTTGCCATCTCGCTCCACCCAGGCGCGGCCCACCTGTGTTAGCAAGACAGCCCACCGCGTCCACCTGCAATTCTCAACACGTTCACCAGAGGCCGAAGGCTGCCTGACATTTTCCATTTTCTCCGATCCTTCCTCAGTTCCAAACCGACCTATCTTCCTTCGAATTCCACCACCCCCCCCCCTCTCCGTTACTACCCACCGATTGCTGATCCTAAATAAAACACGATCCCTTAGCTACGCGCCTTACCCTTCTCCTGGAAGTATTTCCCTAGCCACCCTCTCTCCCCCCTCCTCTGGAACATTCTTGTACCTTCAGCGGCCCCAGATCCCACAGAAGGAATCATATATCCCTTCTGTGTTCTAGATACGTCCAAAGCAAACACCAACACCGTCCGACAAACAGACCAATCCAGGCGCCACGTCCTTACGTGCACCGCGAGGGACTACCCAAACAGAACTTGTGTACAAGCCACATCTGTTCTGGGGCATCGAAGCTCTCTAAGATCTTACCATTGTCGCCTCAAAGAAATAGCAGTCTCCCCAACCGACCATGGGCACCCTTGCGAGCCACTCAGGCATGTCGTCGGCGGGTGTCTCGTCTGCCACCCCCAGCATCAGTGACTTGGATGGTTACACCTTTCGCGACTACCACTTTCCCTCCAGCTCCGCCTACGCCCCCGTTCAGCTTGAAGACGACGAGTTTGGCTTCGACCCTCCCCAGAAGCCTCTGACGATGAATGACTATCAAGTTTACAGCCCACCAAATGACTATCCCCTGTCTCAATGGCCCGAGTTCGAGCGAGACGACGACGACTTGAAGCCGTCGACCGAGAACCCGCTCAACATGGATGCCTACGAGATGGACAAGTTTATCAGCTCCGTATTACCTAATTCCTCCACAGCAATTGCACGATATGGCCAAATGACTCCTCCACGGTCTGACTCCACCGCCAGCACCGATTCAAAAGAGGAGAAGCTGTCGCCCAAGTCTCAGCCAGTGGAGCCACAACCGCGAAAACGAGGAAAGGGTCGGCCTAGAGCCTCAGAGACAGCCTCTGCGCCGTCCAAGACGACAACTACCGCAGGCCGCAAGCGAAAGGCGACGCGTAAAGCCTCCGCCACCATCGAAGAGGGAGATACCCCGGAGGACCAAAAGAGAAAACAATCACTCGAGAAAAACAGACTGGCTGCTGCAAAGTGCCGAATCAACAAGAAGGAAAAGACGGAGAGGCTACAGCGAGACTCCCAAGAGAAAGCGATTGAGAACGCCTTCCTCAAAGATCAGATTATGCGCATGAAGGACGAGATTCAACAGATGAACGCCATCCTTGTTACGCACGCCAGCTGTGAAGGCTGCAAGTCCCCGGAAGAGATCCAGGCACACCTCAATGCCCTGGGCAACGACTTCTTCAGCCAACAACTCGCCCTCGCCAGTCAAAGCTATGGACAGTTTCCAGTAAGCCTTAGCAGTTTACCTGTCATGCCCGACACTTTCTTTCCAGAGCCGACCGCCGACGACATGCTGCATCCGCCTCTGCCAGAGTTCAATCGCTCTGCAGAGTTCGAGGTGCAGACTCCGGCGCCAACGGATTGAAGCGAGGAAAACCCAAGGCGGTCACTGCTCAATCAACCATTCTGTTTAGTCAATGTATCAATTAGCGCGGATTCGTTTTGCTGCCTCAGACCCACGACCAGATCTTTCGTCGATGCCGGGCCAAGGCGGGCTTTTTGTCCGATGGTACCCCTCACAGAAGTTTCTCTCTTGACAGCAGCTTCGCGGAATACCAAGGTCGACTCAGTCAAATCAGACGTGCAGGTGCTCTTGTCAAAGACAGTTAGCCAGTCATTGGCGGGGTCAAAATCTTGCCTCTGCCCCGCTCCATGTGGCGGTGCGTGCAAGGTGGTGACTGGCCGAAATGCTCGCGATTTGACGCTTCCGGCCTCTTGTCACCACCGCTTCAGCTCTGCTGTCGCCAGGACGCCCAGGTAGGCCCCCTGTCCTCTGCGGACCCGGTTTTGCAGCACCGGAGGCTACAGCTTGGGCGTGGCTTGGTCGTTGGTCGAGGGCCCTGCCACGATTTGACGAGCATGGAAAGGTTCTGCACGGGTAGCTTTTCTGACTGCATCTAATGCGTGCACATGGAGGTCTGGACGGGGCGGGACAGGTGGGAAGGAACAACAGGACACGGAAAGGGAATGGCATTGTCACTTTGAACAATCGAGTTCAGCTGCTCTTGTTCTTGGACGCCGACGCGGCGGAATTTGTGCCGATCCGAGCTTACGAATGGATTCCGAGAAACGAGATATGTAATGATAGTTATTAGTTGCCACGCAATAGGAAGTACATATGCAATAATTGCGTGCAACCTGTCTGGTTACGACTTGTCCAATCGTTCCACTTCGTCATATGCTGTCCTGTTAAGCAAAGCGTCGGATTTATTTGGGGGTGGTCGATCGCCGGACTGGGATGAGCTGGAGGGGGGCCGGCTTCTCACGGATTTCGAAACTCAAGCTTTCAGCATTCAGCACCCCCGAACATGATTATACTTTCTCTCACTAATTAATTAATTAACTTCTGAAAGACAATAGAAGAGAGTGCCAACCAGGGGTCTAGATTGGATAGGGCGTCCAGTATGATCCGGCGGGTATACACCCGAGCACTGTCAAAGGTCAAGGGAAGCTTGCTCGTTCACTTCTTCCAGATACTTCCAGAGAAAAGAGTTCGAGGCAACCATTTTGGGGTTGACTGTCAGCTGTCTTTCGATGTGTGTGTGTGTGTGTGTGTGTGTGTTTGTGTGTGTCGATCTTGTCCGAGCCTGCAAGGGCCCCGAACAGGAATTTGTCTTAAGCTGCGGCTGACTCTGCTCTTGCAGGTATGTATGTATGTGTGTATGTATGTATATATGTATGTGTGAATGTGTGAATGAATGAAAACATGCTCGCCGAGCCCTGACTGATTTGAACAGTATGGCCAAAGCGTCCCGCTCGAGCCAGCAACTAACAGTCTCTTCCTCAATCAGCTAATCTGCTCAAAAGTCTGTTCAATCGATAACGCATTGGGTCTCCTGGGGAGGTAGAGAGGTAGAGAGGTACAGAGGGAGAGTTCCAGGGCAATGATGCAAACAAGGTGCACGCACCAAGGGCGACCGGCCTCGAGGGCTCACTCTCGATGACCCGGATATCGTGATCCGGGAAGTTAACTCAAGTCAAGTCAAGTCACCTACCTACCTACCCACGTACCTACCTAACCACCACCTTATCTAGGCAGTCGGATTTGGGTGGGGGGGATTCTTTTTCCGGGTTGCGTGTGTGAGTTGCACAAAACGAACGAAACGAAAGCAACGATCTGGGATCTGCATTTCCCCCAAGGCTGATCGATGTAATCAGCAGATCAGCATATTATTCTTCGATCGCACACTTTTGTCTAGATCGATAGGCCCGGGGCGGCAAGGCCAGGCAGGCTGGCAGGAGCTCCATTAATGGGGGCTGGTGGGGGAGGTTGATGGATCGGGGTGGAGTGGAGGGGAGAGGGGATGGGAATTGATCGGCCGGCCCCATTCATTCATTCCTTCATTCATTGAAATGCCATCTTGGGAACTGGTGGGAACACACCACTACCACCACCCCCCTTGCCCTGGTTGCTGATGACGTCAACTTTGCACCAGAGGGTGGTTGGGGGTTGGGGTCAGGGCCCGGGGGGGGTTGTGTGAGATGTCAGACTTTCCATTGTGCCATTCTGAGATTTGCGCTTGTCAGTCAGAGTTAGACATCCAGGGATGGAGAGAGGCAGAGAGAACCACGGGGTTGTCAGATTCGTTACGATCACCTCCCACCCACAGTGCTGTAAATACATACAGGATATACAAGTCCATTCATGTACTGGATGGATTACTGACCCAGTGGGTGGTGGATGAGTGGGGGTACTGCTATATACTGCCATCTCCCCCCCCATTGAATGTACTGTAGGTAGGTAGGTAGGTACACGGTGCAGCGTACTTGAAGTACTCGATACCTACACCACCTCGCTACCTACCTATGTATGTATGTATGTATGTACCTGGTAGGCAAATGACATCATCACCCCTGCCCACCTAACCTTCAGTGACCGACCGGCCAACCCACCCACGATGACATCGATTGGGGGGACGCCCTGAGCTGACTTGACTTGCTAATACCTACCATTCTTGCCCTGGCTTGGGTCCTTGACGCCCGCCTTTCTTTTCCGTCTGGTCCGTCTGTTGTGGCTGGTGAGAGAGCAACATACAGTACTCGGTGGATACCACGCCGCGCAAGGCTGGGGATGGGGGTTGCTCATCGTCTCATCATCATCATCACCATCAACGTCGTTAGTCGCCGCCGCCGCCTCCTCCTCCACCTCCTCTTCCTTCTTGACGAGGCTGTATGGTAGGTGGGCGGGGTGTGTCCTGTAGGGCTGAAAGGCTCGCTGGCTCCATCCCTGACAAAAGCGAGATAGAGTCCCTCGCTATTGTGTAATTAGGTGGCTCGCTAAAGTAGTACGGAGTTACCTATTTAATTACCTACCAACCAAATAATAATACTCGTCGAACGTCGGGTCTACCACATCACGTCACCGCAGCACGACTCTGACGACAGCTTCGCTCGCACAACAGGCCCCTTTTTCCTTTTTCCATGAGAGCGTCGTTCTGCACGTGGGCGCTGAGAGCTGGGCTTTTTGCTCGTCTACGGCGGAATATAAGCTAGGAGTGAAGAATCGAACCCCTCGCCCCAAATCTCAGATGCTGGAGCGCCCCTTGGGGCCGGGTAAGCGAGGGAGAAAAGAATAGCAGGACAAGATGATAGATAGATTCCGCAACCGTGACCGTGACCGTAACCGTCACTGTATGGATACTGTTGGGCAAAAAAACGACGTTTCCATTTTCTGGCACAGTTGCTGGACGAATCTTCCCGCCTCGGGGGTCGCTAAACTCCATATCTTGAGCTGACTATCAAACAGTATATGTCAAAATCCCCCGTACGTCTGGCTCAAATTCGGTCTAGATCTGTTCGCGTTCCCTCCCTCTTCGGTCGTCCGACCTGTCTGGCCTTCTTCACTTTGACCGCCGATTCCGTCTCTCGAGGCCTGGAGACAACGGAAGTGCCTCAGACTGCGCCGCCTGCGACGACGGTGTCGGCAGCCATTCACTACTACTACCACCACTGCCCACGCTCCCGTGCTGCTGCTGCTGCTGCTGCTCTGAGAACCCCAGTTCCGCGGCTTCGTTGACGTCGCCGCCCGTCTGATGGAGTAGGTACTCGGCTCTGGCTCGGCCGATGCCCAGGCTCGCCAGTTGTTGGATCTTGGCGGAGTCGGCGCGCGAAGTTGAACTCGGGGGCGCGGGCGCCGACAGCACGGGCGGCGCAGGAGGGGCTCGCGACGGTCGTGTCGGGAACGACCGGTCTTCTCGAGCGGGCTCTGGGAACGGCGCCTGTGAGCTGGGCTCCGGGTTGATGTCCTTTCTCCTGACCGGTGAGGCATAATTGTCGTTCGAGAACGCCCCTCGGTGGCGGTGCGGGCGGAAAGTCTTGGTAGAAGGGATTGCGAGGGTCGTGGCTGGCAGTATCGTGAGCCGGGAAGCCCCCCGGGATACCGAAAACATCTGACGGATCCGCGTAGGCGCGGGGTCCTCCACTAGGTTGCTCTGGTCGGGACACATCCACAGGAGTATAGGTCCTCTCTGCTTGTGTGGGCACTTCTCTCTTCGGCCGTGGTTGCGAGGCTCGCTCGGATTCTGCTGGCATAGCTCCGTGTGACGGGGTCTGCTTGACGGGTGTGGCGGGGCTATTGGGGACCGCCGGCGAGGCTGCTGGACCAGGCCAGATCGAATTCGAGGGTACCGGTCGTCGGCTGGAAGGACTTTGGACCATTTCCGGGTCGCGAGCCGTCGGTCTCTCCGGCGTCGCTTCCATGGCCGGTGCTGGGCGTGATCTCCGTTTCGGCCGTTCGGGAACAGAGGGAGCTCGAACTTGCTCTTCCCTGACGGGCTCGCGCGGCGGGTACGGCGTCGGGGGTTGGACATCCTTGATCAGATCACAAGATTGGAGATGGTTCTTCAAGGCGGCCACCGAGGTCTCGATGGATGTCTTCCCTCTCTCGAGGCACGCATAACACGAGTAGGCGGCTCGACGGTCGTGCAGCGAGGCACACGCCTGGACGTGACAGCTCACGACCAGCGGCCAGTCCTTGTCCGAGGAGATGGTCGGCAAGTTGCCAGCGTCGGCGATGACGAGGTAGCAGTGTCTGCAGGTCAGGTTGCCATTGGGGCGTTGGACCAGGATGGTATCGATGTCGGCTTGCGAGTCTTGCAGCAGACGTGCCCCTTCGCAGTAGGTGATGTCCATGGCGGTGGGAACGGAGACCATGGTGGTTTTGTTGCGTGAGGTGAGGACTATAGATAGATATCTAGTGATGGGTAGGCTTTAGGACGAGACAGATAGACACGAACACAGACACACGACCAGACACTGGGCGACTGTGGCGATAACAAACAGGGGACCGAGTTACAGGTGAGCCTTTCCCAGAGATTCCCATGACAGAGGCTGCGGAGAAGAGAAGGGTAAATCACTGCCTGCTTCGGCCGCTGCTTCTGGAAACGGGGGTGGAAGTGGGCTGGACGATCAGGCAGGGCGTTTTTGTGGCAGTGTGCGTTGATCCCCCAGGGAGAAACTCTAGATCAGGCTGGGCTGAAAAAGATCCCTGTCGGATTGTTGTGTTGTGTACGCCAGCCAGGACGCGTGCGCCAAGGGAGGACGCCACTGGAGCCTGAGCCTGAGCCTCAGTTCTCTGTCGCCGACATGAGAGAAAGACAGGATGGATGGGTAGATGGGCCTATGACCAAGGCAGAAAGCATAACAGCCAGCGGGAAGAGAGAGACAGAGACAGACCAGGGCGTCGTCTCTTCTCAGCATCAGTTCAGCAGCTAATAACCATTCTCCCAAACAAGAACAAGGCACCGAGGCAACATCAGATACAGACACAGTACCGAGTACTCCGTACATACTCGGTTGTGCATGTGTCCATCCATCACCTCATCCGTCTCTGCACGTTTGTTTGTTTGTTAGGCTGCCGTCATTGCACTTCGCCACCGCCGCACCGCATATCAGCCACGCAACCGCCAATCACGTCTCATCGACATCGCCCATCACGACGTCGGTCGGCACGACGACTACTACGCCCCATTCTGCCTTTTTGTTTCGCGGTAGCCTGGCCTGCCTGTGGCCCGATTCGATGCATTGAGCCGAGGGGAGGGGAGGGCCACGCAATGATGGCGAATTGTGCATGACGGTGGTGGTGGTGGCACCCAAATGGTAAGTAAGGCTGGCAGTGTATGTGCTGCTTGAGAGGAAAGCAACTACCGGGAGACCGGGGACACACTCTCCTTCAGCCCCCCTTGGCATTGGAACGACACTCCCGGTGGCTGTTCTGGAACATCTACTCCTTGTATGTATGTGTCTGTGTGTACCTGGTCTCGGTGTGTATAGGCATCTCTTTCATCAATTGTCTCTCTTTCGTGACTGGACTCGCCACCTTTCCTGCTACAACTTCTAACCAACCCTTCTTTCTTCGACTGTTCCCCCCTCTCGTGTCATTGCACATGGCGTATCAACAGAGTCACGGCACGTCGGTGCCAGATCCCATACAGACCAACGGATACGTCGACGTTTCGAACCCGTTCACCGATCGCCTGAAGGGTCTGCAGAGCGAGGAGGAGAGACGGCTGTTTGACCTGGTCGACAGACTCAAGGACCTCGACGTGAACCGAGAGCTGCAGCTCCCCCAGCTGGTCGTCTGTGGGAGCCAGTCGTCGGGCAAGAGTTCCGTCCTCGAGGCCATCAGCGGCCTGTCCTTTCCGCGAGGAGAGTTTACTTGCACCAAATTCGTGACTGAGTGGGTTTCTGCGGATCCTTTGCTTACAACTACACTGTCGGGAAGACTCTTGCTAACGGTGGCTGTTGTGCAGACTTCGGTTTCGGCCAGGGAATGTCGAGTCAATCAACATCGAGATCGTGCCCGACACGAGACGCAATCCGGACGACCAGGCACGCCTCCGAAACGCCCGATTCAAACCCAGGAGGCTGGCCGAGCTGGGCCAAATCGTCAAGGAAGCCGAGAAGTGGCTGTTGGGCGGCCGTGGAGGGTTTGCCACGGACGTGCTCAAGGTCGAGGTGGTGAGGCCCCGACAGCAGCCACTCACTCTCATCGACACTCCCGGTCTGATCGCCTCGCACAATGAAGGCCGCGAGTACATCGACCTGGTCCGTCGGATGGTGGACGACTGGATCCAGCAGCCACGCACCCTGATCTTGGCCGTGGTAGAGGCCAACCTCGACCCGCAAAAGCAGTCCGTCCTCACCATCGCCAAGGAAGTCGATCCCACCGGAGCGCGGACCTTTGGCATCATCACCAAGCCCGATCTCGTCGAGTCACCGTCGGGCTTGGAGGACTTCTGGATCAAGAAAGCCCAGAATGGTGCCGACAGCATGGCCGAATTCAACTTTGCCAAGGGCTGGCATGTCCTCCGCAACCGTGGCGTGCGCGAAACCGGCAACGAGACCTCGGCGGCCGAGAGAGACGAAGCCGAACGCATGTTCTTCACGTCTCCCGAGCGCAGATGGAGTCAGGTCGATCCAGCACATTGGGGCATTGACTCCCTCCAAGACCGTCTCAGGAGCATCTACTACGACCACACCCGGCGGCAGCTCCCGATCATCCAGGACGACATCCTCCACAGGCTCCAGAAGGCGATGAGGGAAGTGGATGGGATCAACGAGAAGCTGGCCGACGCCGACGAGATCTGGGCTCGGTTTTCCGAGCAGCGGACTGGGCTGGCCGTGCAGGCCAAAGGCTGTGTGGACGGCACGTACCTGGACGGCGCGGCCGACTGGAACGACGCACCCAACTACTACCTGCGGTCGCGGATCGAGGAGGATCACGACGAGTTTGCGCGCGAGGTGGAACTGAACGGCCACGGCCTGCGTCAGGACCGATCGGCGCGCAGCCTCACCGAGGACCGGGACGGCTTCCTGACCTACGTCCAGCAGATGCTGGAGTCGACCCGGGGCCGCGAGTTGAAGGACAGCTATGACCCCAACCGGCTGAATCTGCTGTTCCGCAAGCACTCGGAACCCTGGCACGGCATCGGGAAGCTGCACCTGGACCGCGCCCACGAGCGGTGCGTCAAGTTTGTCGAGCATATTGTCGAAAACGTGCTCCGGCATGAACTCCCGGCGCTGCCGACGCGGGTGTCGCAGGCCATGAAGGACCATCTGTACCAGGCTCTCGAGAAGCAGAAGAAGAAGGCCGAGGACGAGCTCAAGGCCATCGAACAGGACCGGAAGCAGCCCGCCCAGACGCAGAGTCGACGCTTTGAGAAGCTGGCTCGGCAGTTGAAGGTCAACAAGAACTTTGCCCTCGTCAACCGGGTGGCGGAGGAGGAGTACCCGTACATGGCACATGCGTCGTCGCCGAACCGGACGGAAAACCCGAATGAGAGGGAGAACATGCCGCCCCCCGCGACGCCGGGGAGTGCCACACGATTTACCCCGGCGCATGTGGACCGGGTGCTGGCTCAGGACAGTCGCGCCGAGTCAGCGGAGGAGATTGGCAAGAGGATGATCATTTACTACGAGGTGAGGAACCACATATCTGGGTGTTCGTTGTCGAAACGAAAGAACTAACTTTTGTGTGAACAGATCGCTCGTGAAGTCTTTATCGACAACGTGGTGGTCCAGGTGGTGGAGCGACATCTTCTACGGCCGCTGCACACGCTGTTCCAGGGCGACTTTGGCATCGACAAGGACACCTTCACACGTGCGGTGGATGCCGAGAGAGACCAGAATCTGACGGCGAGGAGGAATGCGTTGAACGAGAGGGTCAAGCGGTTACGGACGTTTGCTGACCAGCTGCGTGCCATTTGATGGATTGCGAGGTAGGGGGGAGTGTATTTTATTACCTGGGGGCATCTTGGACCGTCGTGAACATTGGAGATTTGGGACTTGATATTATGTCACCGGCATCACGCAAGGAAGGACATTATATTTATAAATTATATATCACTGGCTACTTATACCGTAAATGAATTACAGTAGGGACAGTATGTTTTTACGAGGATGAATCTTATATACGGGACGGAGCTCGGGTTTTTGTTAGGCCGAAGCCGCAGCCGAGGCTCGAATCAAAATCCATCATCCGCAGCAATTATTCATTCTCTAGTATTTGCTTCCCAGGGCTCAGCGTGTCCATTTCAGCGTGTCCATTTGAGATTATCCATCATCCACAACCCATAATCCACCATGCGTCTGCTGCTGCTGCTGCTCCCGTTGTCGTTGTCACAGAGATGATACCGACGTCGCCCCTTTAATTCCAACACTACACGTACCCAACCCACCCACCGACCCGTACAGTCCATCCATCCTCCACAACCATCACCACCAGCCATGGAATACCTCTCGACGCTGCAGTCGCCGGTGGACGACCTGAAGCCCTCACTGTTCGAGCTGCTCTCGGAGCAACAACTCTCCGCCCTGCTGCCGCCCACGATCCGCTACCTGCTGGCCGTGCTCACGCACCGCTACCCGCGCTACCTGCTGCGCATCCTGAACAACTACGACGAGGTGTACGCGCTGCTGTCGGTCGCAGTCGAGAAGTACTACCTGGAGCACTTTGGCGGCAGCTTCACCGAGAACTTCTACGGGCTCAAGCGCGAGAAGGTGCTCAGCCTGCGTGGCGGCGAGGTCAAGCGCACCCAGATCGCCGTCCCCGCAGAGGTGCGTGAGCGCCTGAGGCTCCAGGGCCGCGATATCTGGGCCAATCTCGCCGTTTTGGTCGGCGTGCCCTACCTTAAGAGGAAGCTGGACGAGAGTTATGATATCCATATCGCCCCGTCGGCCGGGTTGTTGATCAGTGGTGGCGGAGGAGGAGGAGGGCTGGGTGGAGTGGAAGGCAGGAGGTATCTGGATCGAGACGCCCTGCCACCGAACCCGACCATCAAGCAAAGAATCATGTGGTATTACAAGTGGTTTCTGCGACACGTCTACCCAAGCTTGAATGCGGCCTACTACTTCAGCATTTTGGCTTTTAGTCTGTGGTACCTGTTAGACGGGACCAAATATTCGAGCCCGTTCCCGTGGTTGGTTGCCACGAGGATGCGGAGAATGGGCGCCGCGGCTCAGCAGGCTATTGACGCCGCGAGAGACGCCGCCGATAAGGCTCTCGCGGCGAGTGCTGCGGGGAGACCGGGACAAGGGTTGAGTGGCATGTTCAATCCACGGACGCTGTATCCTCGATTACTGTCCAGCTTGAGGATCCTCTTGCCGACGAGTATCTTCGCATTGAAGTTTTTGGAGTGGTGGCACGCCAGCGATTTCTCGAGACAGTTGAGCAGAAAAGCCGCCGAAGGGTTGGAATTGCCGCCGCCGGTGGTCTCTGGGATGGAACTCGCCCGAAAGCCTATGCCGGAGCCACAAGGCGTTTTGCGAACCTTGACGACAAAGAACACGACAGACAAACGAACGCCGCCGGTCTCGAGTATCACATTCCTCCCCATCTTCACGGTCCCGCCGCCCCCGACGAGCGACCTGTGTCCGATCTGTCTACACCCGATCTCGACAGCCGCGGCGTGCCAGACCGGGTATGTTTTTGATTACAAGTGCATCTTCCAGTGGATTGAGGGCACGCACGAGCGACAGGAGGCGTTTATGAAGGGCGAGAAAATGAGCGAATGGGAAGATGACGACGAGGAGGAAGAGGACGACGACAAACACGGACAGGCCGGGGATGCGTCGACGAAAAAAGCACACAAGAGCCGTGAGGGCAGTTGGGAAAGCGGGAAGGGAAGGTGTGCGGTGACCGGCCGACGGGTCCTCGGCGGCACCAGCGGGCTGCGCAGAGTCATGGTTTGAGCGGCCTGGCCGGAACTGCTCGGTCGATGGCAATGGAATCTCCCGAAGCACCGCCTCCTGTCGAACCGCGACACGGGTCGGCTTGTACAGGTCTCACCAGCGCCGGGCTCGAGCCGGAGCTTTGTCGCTACAACCAGGCCAGGATCAATCACACGCCTCATTGAATATGATGATGATCAGTGGGGCATCAAATGACGAGATTCGTCTCTTCCTGAAGATATCCTTTCACGAGGCGTCAAGATGCGTTGTAAAACACAGCAACCCAACGGGGTCGCACTCCAAGACAGCTAGGTAGCAACGACCGCTACTTCCTCGACCTCAGTCTCCACCACAGCCACCGCTGGCTTTGCGGGTATGGGAACCTCTTCGGCAACGTAGTTGATCTTCTCCGACGCGACATACAGGGGGAGGACAGCCTCACGCCACGGCTTGGGCATATAGAGCAGAATACTTTTCAAACACCACCCGCTCAGGGCCTGGGTCTGGGTCGCGTCCCACAGCGTCAACCCCGGGGCCTTTCGGTGCAGGCATACGCTCGCCATGTTGATCCGGTCATAGCGGCCAGGTCCACCGTTCTTGATGGCATCTTCGGCCAGCGCCCAGGCCAGCGAGCTGTACATGACCCCCTCGTGCGAGTACGCCAGCCCGGCCGGCTTCATGAAGGCGGCGACCTGCAGCTCGCAGTTGGTCACTCCGACCTTTCTCTCGTCCTTCATCAAGGCCGAAGCGTGCGACCCGAACTGCGGCTGCACGACCTCGTCTGTCGCCGAGTATATTGACGTGGTGGGCACGTAGGCCGAGTCGCCGCCGTTCGAGCGCAACGTGGCGATGAACTTGGAATTGACGGTCTGGTTCCACACGGCGGGCGTGCCCGGCACCATGCCTTGGAGCGGCGTCAGGCCCCAGGCTTCGACGGTCCCTTTGAAGTCGGCCGACAGACAAATGAAGTTGCTGACCTGCGCGCGGGTGCTCGGCCAGTATTTCAACGCCCACTGTGTCGCCAGGTTTCCCTGCGACCAGGCCACCACGGCCACCTTCTTGCCGCACACGGTGGCGATGTAGTTGATGGCATATGCCACGTGCTCGGCATTCCGGGGCGCCTCGTCGCACATGCGGCCGGGGATGTTCAGCCACACGGGATCGGCGAAGGTGCTGGCGCGGAGGAGTTTGGCGAAGTTGTGCTCGAACGCCTCGCCGCCGTACGAGCCCGTGCCCGGTACGAGGACCACGGGCGTCTTGCCGTCGGCGCCATGCTTGAAGTCGGCCGGGATGAAGATGGCCGAGCGCAAGGGCTGCTCTTGGATGGAATAGGGGGCGTCGGATGCGTGGAAGGCTGGGTAGATGGCGGGGGAGGGGTCGGGGTTTTTGTTTTGGTGGCTGTTGATGTTGACGTTGATGCTGCCGAAGCCGAGCACCATGTTGGGCGATATTGAAGATCAACGGTTGGTCTTGAGCGTTGGTATGAACCAGACACGGAACCAGACTCAGCGAGAGGGGGACTTTGAGTGTATCCTTCGCGGGACTTGTCCTCGTGAGAGCTCGGATACTGAATGAAGATCTATCTGATAGAGGCAAGCCTGGGCAATGATACATATATACCCGTTGTTGTCGTTCAACCGCTATGTATGTGTCTTGTCACATTGTTTTAAAAGGCTACGACTCAACAGGGCAGCTGAGCCCGCCCCGAGAACCATTCATTATCTGTGCTGCGCGCAGTAGTGCTATTTCCAGCTCTATTCTTTCTACAATTGATACTTACTTCTTGAAGAGTGAGTGCCTCTCTCATCTCACAGCCCACGTCCAATGAATGCCAGCAGCGAAGCGACAACGGCCACTCCGTCGTCTCCCCCGCATGTCTCGACGTCTCTACACGTAAAAACATACTTACTTCGTCCAATAATAAGACGGGCCGCCGTCGTTCCCGAGCGAGTCGTGGTTCTTAGTGCTCTCTCGCTTCCGTTCCGCCATTCACATCATTCCCTCCTACATACGAGGAAACTCACAGAGTTGGTTGTCCATGTCCCAATGGGCTTCAAGGCTGAGGGAGGGACGTGGAAGCAGGACGAGGAGTGAGAAGTGATCGTCGCCCACTTCGCCCCTTTTTGTCCTGTCCTGTGTCCTTTGGGTCTTTTAATACCATGGCATGGCACACGCCCACGCCGTTTTACGTACACGATGGATGTCATTACCCTCTCCTCTCTGCCCCCTTTGGTATGGGCTACACTCGATCACGCCGCCGGTCGGAGACTCTCTGATGGTAGGTACGGTTCGTCCGAGGACAAGGTTTTGTGCTGGCCCCGTCTTTGTCGCTCTCTTTGCGTCTCGTTTCCCCAATGGAGGGACAACCCCGGGCTTCGTTTCCTGTGCAACTCAGCCAGCCCAGCCAGCCAGCCAGCCAACAAGCCATGCTGAAGCGAGCGAGAGACACCACGGCCCTGAAGCAGAGTACAGTTGGTATACTGACTCTGACTCGCCGTACTCGTGATGGGACTTTTCGTCCTTGTCGGGAATGCCGTTCGACCTTTTTGTGGACGACCACGCACGCCAGCAGCCATACAGGGTTCCATACATACTCAGCCCACCCACCAAGCATGGCCCTCATGCAGGGTACGAGATATTTATGTACACACCAAGTAAGTCTCTCTTTCTAGGACCATCAGGTCTTTTCGGTCAGTCATCTACCGATGATGTCCAGTCCAGCTGCAAGAATGTTCTAAGAAGCACTCGTATAAAGCATATCTCTCCCACACCCTGGCAGCAGCATAACACACACACACCCACACACACCAGGGCGAATGAACCATGTCGTACCTCCTCAACAAAGCCACCAGCGCCGCCAAAAGCGTGCAGAGCACCGTGGTCAGCACAACCCACCACCTCCCTGACAGCGTCACCAGCAGATTCGGCTTCGAGAGCGTCACCAACGCAGTGACGAGCATCGTCGCCACCAAGGAGGATACCACCCGGCCCCCCAAGCACCACCGATACTCCAGCTCGGCGCCCGTCTCGGAGGGGAACACCGTCAAATTCCATGTCTGTGGGTATGCGTACTTCTGGGCCGTCTCGGAAGCGCTGGAGAAGGCCACCGAGTCGGTTTGGATCCTGGGCTGTATGTATCCTCTCCCAAATCATCTATCCATGTTTGTTCATAAAGAGACGAGGCTGATCGACGATGTCCATGACGGTACATACAGGGTGGGTTTCTCCTGAGGTATATCTCCGGCGACCACCCTCCGAAAATGAAAAGTACCGACTCGATCGCATGCTGCTGGCCGCGGCGGAGCGCGGCGTCAAGGTCAACATCATCGTGTTCAAGGAGGTTCCTCAGTTCATGTACCGTAAGTACTCGATTCATCGAAGAGAGAGAGAGAGGCCTGTGTGTGTTAAGACATCTCTCCCGCCCAGTCTCGTCGCACCACACCCAACGCGCTCTGGAGGCACTGCACCCCAACATCGCCGTCTTCCGCTATCCGGACCACTACACCGGCGCCAAGGGCGTCCTGTCGTCGACGAAGAGCCTGCTGCAGAACACTCTCGCCGCCGGCGCCGCCAATCTCGGGAAAGTGTCGGACGAGTCGCTGCAGAACCTGTTCGCCCTGGCCGGCGGACCGACCCTGCTGTGGGCGCACCACGAGAAACTGGTCATCTGCGACCGCCGCCTTGCCTTCGTGGGCGGCATCGACCTCGCCTACGGCCGGTGGGACACGGTCCAGCACCCCATCGCCGACGCCCACCCGGGCAACCTCGACGACATCGTGTTCCCGGGCCAGGACTACAACAACGCCCGCGTCATGGACTTCAAGAACCTCGACGACTGGCAGCGCAACAAGCTCAGCCGTCTGACCACGTCGCGCATGGGCTGGCAGGACATCTCCGTCAGTCTCGTCGGGCCGACGGTCGCGGATCTGTGCCGGCACTTCGTCGACCGCTGGAACTTTGTCCACAGCATGAAATACAACACGGGGCTGCCGCGGGACTCGCGCTACGAGCGTCTTCTCCCTCTCCCTCCCCCACCCGCGACCGAGCAATCGACCCCGAGCCCGCCGTCCGTGCCGGTCGGTCCGATGACGTGCCAGCTCGTGCGCAGCATCGGCAGCTGGAGCGGTGGCGCCGAGCACAGCATCTACAACGCATACGTCGACATCATCGCGCAGAGCGAGCACTTTGTGTACATCGAGCAGCAGTTCTTCATCACGTCGACGGGGTCGTGGCTGGGCACGGTGTGGAACCGGGTCGGGGAAGCCCTGGTGCAGCGCATCCTGCGCGCCGTGCAGGAGCAGAAACGCTACAAGGTGTTCGTCGTCTTACCCTCCGTGCCGGCCTTTCCCGGCGACCTCCAGGCCCTGATCTCCGGCCACCCGCCGCGCGCCATCATGAAGCTGCAGTACCAGTCCATCTGCCGCGGCGGGGCCAGCATCCTGGACAAGCTGCGCCAGGCCGGCGTCGACAACCCCCACGAGTACATCCGCTTCTACAACCTGCGCAACTACGACCGCATCAACGAGGGCGGCGTGCTGCAGCGCGCCGAGCGGGCCAGCGGCGTGGCATATCAACTCGCCAGCCAGGACCACGACGACATGGTGGATCCGTTCGGCCTGCGCGCGCAGCAGGAGGTGGGCGAGTTCGAGGCCGGCCCCGTCCCGGGGAATCACCAGGCGTACGAGAAATACCAGCGCGCCACGGGTGCGAACAACCATGCACACAGTGCCTGGGATACGGTCAGTCCGTGCTACATGCTCGGGGGGGAGGACATCCGCACGGTGCCCTGGACGACCACGGGGAGTGGCGGGGTGAAAGAAATCGACGCCTTCGTCAGCGAACAACTCTACGTGCACTCCAAGGTGCTGATCGCCGACGACCGCGTCGTGCTGTGCGGGTCGGCCAACCTCAACGACCGCTCGCTCAAGGGCAGCCGTGACTCGGAGATGGCGCTGGTGATCGAAGACCCCACGCCGCTACCGCGGGAAACAGCGGCCACCACCACCATGCACGGCCAGCCGTTCCACCACCGCGCGAGTCGCTTCGCCGCGAGTCTGCGCCGGTACCTGTTCCGCAAGCACCTGGGCCTGCTGGCGCCGCAGGACATGCGCGTGGCGGACGCGCACTGTACGCCCGCCGGCGCCGACACCGACAACGGGTACGATTTCGGGAGCGCGGAGGACCTGCTCGTCGCGGACCCGCTGAGCGACGCGTTCCTGGCGCTCTGGAACGGCGTGGCGCGCGAAAACACCCTCGCCTTCCGCACCGTCTTCGCGCCCGTCCCCGACGACACCGTCCAGACGTGGCTCCAGTACCAGACGCAGTTCTGGAAGCAGTTCACGGGCGGCGGCGGCGGACCCGATGGCTCGCTACGAGGCTTATCATTACACATGGCGCAGTGGGGACACGTGCGCAAAGATCATTTTCCCGGCACTGACGCAGGCGTCGAGGCCGTCAAGGACGAACTGGCCAAGATCCGCGGCACGCTCGTCGAAATGCCCCTCGAGTTCCTGGCCCGCACGGATATTCAGATCGAGGATCCCGGGTATAATATCATCACGAGGCAGGGGTATGTATAAAATGAGGGAATGAGAGAGGGAGGGAGGATATCTACACACACACACACACACTCTCTCTCTCTCTGTATGTGTCTATGTTTGTCTATGTCTGCCTCAGTATGTGTATGGGTAGATGGCTCAGGGACGGTGGAAGAAAGTATACCAGGATCTTGGGGAGGAGGGAGGGGATATACATATATAGTATACCCAGACATACCGTACGTATATGGCCAGACAGTCCAGTATCTGCACAACATACCAGGTAATACCCACTGTATAGATAGACAGACAGACAGACAGACACTCAGTCTGCCCCCTAACACTTCCCCTTATATGTCGACAAACAGACACTCCAAAGATCGATCAATTGAGAATGCACACACACACACCTTCGGATATCATTGATTTCTAAACTTTTGGGGAACCCATTGCATTCATTCTCTTGATCCAGCTCAGTTCCCTCTTTGCACACTGCTTTTCGCGAATGCTGCTTGCTGGCCCGGGGTATCATGGTAACACGCGTGTACGTAACAATAAAACCTGCCCACACACAGGGCAAAGCAAAAAGCAAAAAGACAACAAAAGAAAAGTCGTCAGGGTGTTTTCCACTCTTTCTTTTCCTTCTCCATCTCCACCTGACCATCACATGGGTCCGCCGGCGCTTCGTTCGTGGTGAACCACCACCCTCGCCCCAAGACAGACACCCACCGTCACTCTTTCATGCATATCCTGGGCAGATCCAGAATGTTTTAGCCCCCCATCGAATTGTTTATCCTGAGGAGGCTCCAAGCTCGAGTTCCAGCCCAATGTTTCGTCCAACCATTCTATCTCAATAGCGGGCGGCAAGTAATCCCCCTGGATGAATGTATAAATTCTGCGTCTTCTGTCCTCGAACTTGCCAGGTATAGACGGATGGCCGTTTGATGGTGCTTGCCATGCTGAAATATAGTCGACTGGTTCGTGATAGGGACCAACCCGTCGTTGGGCTCACGGCCCCAGCTCTTTGATCGCCTGTTTCCTCCTCTCCAGCACTTCTTTCCTCACAATTCTCGTCCGCAGTGCCTCACTCGCCTGCACCAGCGCATCAATGCTGATGGCGTGATTCGTCATATTGTGGTTGATATACGTATACACCTGTGCGGCCGAGTCCAGGGCGAGGATGGCGTTTTCGTTGAGTTTGAGCAAAGCGAGAGCCAGTTGGAAGAGGAACGGCGACGATGTCCCATCATGCTCGTCAGAGGAGTGGTCTGCCGCAAGGCCAGGTTCTGTTTGGGGGTGCAACGGCGTCACCGGTGTAGATGGGCCGCTGGTCAGCCCCAGAGACGGCATCTCCACGGTGAGGGTGGTCTTGGACTGGTTCAAGGCCTGTGGCGGGGCGTCGGAGCTGTTGAGACAGAGACTGGTGGCGACAAGTTAGCAGAGTGTTCCCGCAAACGGTGGACATGTCAAAACTCACATCACGTCCCAAACGCGATACAGGGCCTCCCCGCCCGTCAACACACCCGTGTATAACGACAAGAACCAATGAAACGTGCACGCCTCCAGCTCGACACCCAACTCATCCAATTTGGCACTCAACTTCGGCAGGACTTCGGCCACATACTGGCGAAGAACCACTTGATCAGCCCGAGCCACAAGCAGGGTCGAGCTGAAATATTGACTCGGAAGAATGACATCAATGATGGCCACGAGGAGCCAAAAACAATCTTCCGCCGTCGCACAAATGAGCAGCAAAGACGCCGTGATAAGATTCATCCCTTGACAGTATCCAATACGTGGATTGTGCAAGGAATATGCCCTCAGCAACTCTTCCAACCTCTGGACGCCAGGCCCGTGCCGGAAGAAGACATTGTCGGTGAGCGTCCGGTGAACATCCGCCTTGATCTGGCTGGCGATATCCGGGTCGATGTCGGTCCCTTCTTGCGATCGGGCAACGAGATCCTCGTAGTAGCCGGGAATCCTCAAGGCACTGGCACCGGAGCATTCAGCCCAAATCTTGGGCCGAAGGGAGACCGGTATCCCAGCCAAGACCAGCGACTTGAAGTGCATGTACTTCGCCTTCGTCTTCGTAGAGCGCCCCAGGGTTGCTATACCGATGAGCTCGCCGTTGAGAAGGTCCGCTTCGGGGGTGTTGCCGTTGCTCGCACGGTCCGTGTTGCTCGCCCGTTCCGCTCGGACCCTGCGCAGAAAATCATTCCACCGAACCGCCCTCTCTGCTTGAAGTGCGTCGTGCAATTCGGTCAGCTGCTCCAGAAGTAACTTCGCGAGGCCGGAGTCCCCCGCGGTGTCGCACTCGGAATCCGGCGTAAAGTCCGCAGAAGTCGCCGTCACGGCCGAGGGCTGTGGTTCCATCACTACACTGGTGGTGGGGAGAGCTTTTTGTGAAGCCGCGTTCACCGAAATGGAGGTCTCTCTGCTTCGACGCGGCGGCGTGGTGGTGCCTGCCGCGTCCACCGTACTGACTGTGACTACGGCACCCGCAGACGGCGTATGTGAGAGGAGTTCTTTGGGCCTCCCCGAAGACAAAGCCGCGGGCACCTTGAGGTATTCTTGCCACGATTTTTTCGGTGCCTCCTCATCGACAGACACCGGCGTGGCCGGTCTCTCGACCGAGAGCTCATCAGCGGGTGGATTTTCACCGGCTCTGAAACTGGCGATGGTTTCGGCACCACTCAGCTTGTTTCGTCTGTGTCCTCGAACCGGGAGGTTCTGTCGCTTCCGCCGCTTCTGGTCGTAGATGAAGCCGAATCGGTCCGTCAACAAACCTGTCGTGTCCAGACTCTGCGTCGTCATCGTGGGTGGCAATTGCGAACTTTCAATCATGGAGTCGAGCTCGACGGTGGGAGGGAGGCTGCTAGCGTTCGACTCTTTCCGTGCATGATTCGGACTGGCAGAAAGGCGCGTGGCAGTCGGTGTACGCTTGGCGGGTGGTCGACTTTTGACCGTCCCTGCCGTCGGTAATGATGCAGACGATTTGTTGGTAATTAAAGGCGGATTCGTGCGTGACTTCGGTACAGTGGGTTCTGCTTCGCCTGGTGCATTCTGCTGTCCCAGTGACGATGCCCTAGATCGACCAGGCTGGGTCTTTCCACCAAAAATCTGGGTCCAAGAGGCGAAAGAGCGATTAGACTGACTGGAGCGGATGCTGGCTTCGTCGCTGGCTTTGGGCTTCCGGACTGATTTGCCCCCAATAAAATAGCTCGACGACTGTGTTGGAGGCTGGAAGATGCTCTGTAGACCGGACAACTTGGAGGTATTTGAACTCGATACCCGCGGACGCAAGGTGGCTTCCATATCCTGGCTGCTGTCGCTGACACTGCTGTTGGCCCTGCTAGGGGTTCGGCTTGCCTTGGCGAGACTGGATGCCGTTGAACCAGCCCTGCTCCGACTTGCCTCTGGGTCGGCTTGCAAGGCTCCTGACGGGCTCCGAGCGTCTGAGGCCTGGCCGATAGGGAAACTCCCGTCCAAAGGGCTGCTAACCACAATGCCATCTGCCATTGCTTCGCTCATCATCCCGTCGAGCAAGGGAGCTGTTCGATCTACCGGACCTGACGCGGTTCCAACACTTGAGTCGGTCTCTCCCTGTTCCAGCCTGAGAAGCCTCTTCTCCACCTCTGCCGAGGGGACGTTGGCCTCGCGCAGGATCTTTTTCAGCTCCCTCTCCCTGTGATCTGCTCGGATTCGTAGGGCGGATATTTCGGCGTCTCTTTGGGCAAGATCCGAGGCATACTGACGGACCAACTTGACCGCTCCCGTCCTGGCAATAAGTCTTTCGATGTGCTCGTCGCTTGCCAAATGCAAGGAACCCGGGATGTCTAGGGATGACCGCGGAGAATCGTCGAACAGTGCGTTTTGTCTGTTGAGAGAAGGAGATGCACTTGTCAAGCCTGCAAGAGTGGCCTTTCTATCTCTCGCCTTCTGTGATATTGTACGTATGGGTTTGGGTACCACCTCTTGAGCAATGCTTGCCGACTTTGTGTCTGCCTCTGGAGAGAAGGAGGGAAAGGAGGTCAGGGAAGGGTCGTTCTCTTCGAAGGATTTCGACGAGTTTTTCGAGCCATGACGTTTGGGGGCTCCCCGGAGAGTCTTCGGTCTCTTGAATTCGGCGGACTGATTGGAAGTCTGTGACGAGGATCGTCTCGACTCATTGCTGCCATGTTCGGACATTTTGAAGCCGGCACTGGCCCTATCGACCCGTCGATCTCTGCGTTGATCGTCCAAGCGCTGCTGCCCGCATCTTCACAATTCACAAACTAGTCGTAAGCAGTTTTGGATCGTGGGAGGAAGTCAGAGTCTCAGGATAAGGGATCCGGCCATGGTCTTAGATTTGATGACGATGAGACTGATGACGTCTGTGGTGAACGGAAGACAAGGTGGTAGAGAAGGAGAGAATAGCTGCTTTGTCGCAGTAGAGGAAGAGGAAGAGGCGGTGATGGTGATGGACAACACAGAAGGAAGTCCCTGACCTGACCGCACATCAAACGCACTCTGCCTGAAGATTGGTAGTATGGTTGGGCATCTTCTGGCAGCTGGCAGAAAGAATGCTCGTGTGATATGACGAAACGACAAGAAACCCACAAGTAGCAGCAGCCCGGCGAACAGGTTGGCGCCGGGTGTTACAGGGGGGTGGAGCTTGTTCATGCCACGCACATGCGGCATTGGTGCAGTGCAATCAAGCAAAAAGACGCGGGTGGCAGCGGTGGCCGTGGCGGCCCTAGTGGGTGGCTCTGGTGGCTTCTGGGTGGCACCAAAGGGCTACTAGGCACCAAGGGGCACCGTGGGGGGCACCTAGAGGGAAGGGGAGAGTTGTGCGCCGCAACCCGGAGATCCAATCATGTGATCAGGTGCCTGCAAGGGCCGTGACCAACACTCCCTGTATGGCGTACATGTCCCTTTCCATCAAAGGACCACCAGTCAACCAACTAACCCCCAACAACGACCCATCGTATGCGACATCTTGTCCTTGACAACAACGACAGTTACATCTTCCGGGCCACTCCCGAGCTGTCCAAGCCAACATCGCCCTATAGTCGTCCAAACGAAAGCTGCACACATATCAGGCACCTCCCACTGCCCTCCCTTTGACGTATCAAGCAGATATTCTGGGCGCGGCCGTGCCCTCCAGCATATGCTGCAGCAGAGATTGAACACATAAACCCATCATGGACGGCAAAACGTCTTTGTTCCTCCCTTAGTCGGCATCTGGACCTGCTCTCGGAGCCTCTTTATCCCCTTGACCCATCCACCGAGTAGCCACCTCAAGGCATCTCGCTTACCACTCATTCAAAATGGGCCAAGGCTATTCCATGACTACCCTTTCTGCAGCGTCCGCCAGCATCGATGTCCCCGAGCTTGCGGACCTGGTGCACGAGAAGACCCTGGCCTCGGCGCGCTTTATGAAAAGCGTCCGTGCGAGAAGTCAGCAGGGCTTCGTGTTTGTCAAGGCGGTCATGAAGCCATACTCGTCTTTCCAGGTCCACGAGTACATCCGTCAACTGACAGAGGAGAGAAATGTTCTGGCCAACATCCCCAACGCCCTGGGTTATCAGCGAATCATCGAGGTTCCGAGCGGTGGCTTCCTCGTCCGGCAGTACATGTTCAGCTCGGTATATGACCGGATGAGTACCCGCCCATTTTTGGAGGATATCGAAAAGAAATGGCTGGCCTTCCAGCTACTTTGCGCGGTTCGTGATTGTCACGCGCACAACGTTTACCATGGTGACATCAAGACGGAAAACATCCTCGTCACTTCGTGGAACTGGCTCTACCTCACCGACTTTTCCTCCTCATTCAAGCCTGTCCGTCTGCCCGAAGACAACCCAGCCGACTTCTCTTTCTATTTTGACACTTCGTCGCGACGGACCTGCTACATCGCTCCAGAACGATTCACTTCGGACAGCCTGGAAGAGTCGCAAGGGGAGCTGAATTGGGCCATGGATATCTTCAGCGTTGGGTGTGTGATTGCTGAAATCTTTCTGGAAGGACCCATCTTCTCTCTAAGCCAGCTGTTCAAGTATCGATCAGGAGATTATAGCCCCGAGCATACCCATCTCAACAAGATTGAAGATCCTGAAGTGCGCGCAATGGTTCTCAACATGATTGAATTGGATCCAGAAAAGCGCTACAATGCAGAACAGCATCTCTCCTTCTACCGGTCCAAGATCTTTCCCGAATACTTTTACAGCTTCCTTCATCAATATATGCTCGACCTCACCAAGTCTGCTACTGCTCTGAAACCCGTGGAACTGAACCCCGGGAGCCTGAGTGAATTCGATGAGAAGATTGAACGCGTGTATTACGATTTCGACAAGATCTCCTTTTTTCTCGGCTATGGCCCGAGTTCCACAAAACTGTCGTCGCGGTCGCCGTTGACCATGAAGTCTAACAACAAAGTCAAACCCCCGGATGCAGACCCTAGTCTTTACGACGGTAGCCTGCTATTCCTCACTCTGGTCGAGTCCAGTTTGAGGAACACGGCAAGGGCATCGGCACGACTCAAGGCGTGTGATCTGTTGGTTGCCTTTGCTGAACGACTTCCGGACGAGGCAAAGTTGGATCGAGTCTTGCCGTACATTGTTGGCTTAGTCGCAGATCCATCAGACGTGGTCAGGGCTGCCGCGATTTACGCCATGACCTCAATCTTCGAAATGATTGAAGTTGTCTCTCCCATCAATGCATATGTCTTTCCCGAGTATATCCTACCGCGTCTGAAGCATTTTGGATTTGGTCCTTCAGGCGAGCCGAGCATTCTGGTGCGCTCCGCATACGCGTCATGTCTTGCTTCGCTAGCATTGTCGGCGCAAAGAGTCCTCGACATGGTCCACGCCATCCGAGCCGACGGACGACTGTCCGCATTGCGGGAAGATGAACTGGCTCCCCAGCAGTCGTTCGACGCCCTCTATGACTATGGTCGGCGCGAAATCGTCCCGCATTTTGAAGAGTCGACCGTTGCTTTGATAACAGATCCGGAAGCATCTGTCAGAAGAGCTTTGCTGGGCTCAATATCCCGACTATGTGTCTTTTTTGGCAGTCAACAATCCAGTGACGTGATACTAACACACCTCAACACGTACCTCAATGACAAGGACTGGATCTTGCGGTGTTCATTCTTCGAGGCCCTCGTTGGAATCGCCTCCTACATTGGAGCTACGAGTCTCGAAAAGTTCATCTTGCCGGTCATGGTTGGCACTTTGACGGACCCCGAGAACTTTGTCGTGGAGAAAGTCTTCCGGTCTCTGGCCCGGATGGCTGCACTAGGTCTCTTACAGAAGAGTACAACGTGGGAACTTGTCGGCATCGCTGCGAGGTTCTCGGTTCATCCCAGCATTTGGGTGCGGGAGAGTGCTATACAGTTTATTGTCCTGTCCGCCAAGTACATCTCAGCAGCTGATCAGTACTGTATCGTCCTTCCGATCATCCAGCCATTCCTGAAAGGACCTATATCTGCTCTGACGGAAGAGCGAATCTTGGACAACCTGAAGCGGCCGCTCCCAAAGATCGTGTTTGATTCGGCCGCCAACTGGGCCGCGAGGAAAGGAAACAGCTTGTTCTGGACGGCCGCCAGCCGAGACGGCGGATTGACACTGTCTGATCCCTCGACACCACAGAACCCGTCGGCACTCACAAAGCGGCTGTTGACTCGAATACCTCCATCCCAGAAAGACAAAGATGATCAAATATCTCTCGAGAGTCTGCGAAACCTCGGAATGACGGCGGACGATGAGATCAAGCTGCTTGCGCTTCGCGAGTACATATTGAAAATATCCAGGCACAAGCCGTCAGAGGACGCGGACGAAAGATATCGCATGTTGAACAACATCATCGCTCTGAATCAGATCGATGTGGCTCCGCAGAATGTCTTCTTTGACTCGCGTCAACCGATCAGAGAGAACACGACCGGACCTAGAAGAGCACAGGTGAGGTCACGAGTGGACGAGAGACATAGTCTGGCAGATGCTCTTATGGACGCATCAACCAGCATTGACGACCATATGTCGAGACGGATTGCGTCCGCAGAGCAGTCCAGCGGGACGGCAACGCCGGTTACCAGGCCCATGGACATCCTCAATCGCAAACCCTCGGAAATGAGAACTAACGGCACCCCTACCATTGCTCTGGAAAGAGCGAGTGTGTCCTCCAGGCCCAGCATTTCGGCTTCAATCAACGGAGACAAGATGTCGCTGCGCCGCAACACTTCGCTCGAACTCAGACATCGGAACAGCGGTTTGAATCTGATGAATCGAACAGATTCTGCAAAGGCGGACGCCGAAACATCCACCATCTCAGAGAACGCGTTCGGCCGGGTCGAAATTGACGGCCAGTCTCATCGACGAAGCACGGCGGGTCCCTCAGCGTTGTCAGTGACGGCAAATGTCGCCGCCAAGTCTCGCTCTGTTTCACCTCGCGGCAGCGGGGCGAGGACGCCGCTCTACGAGCCCAACCATTCGTATCAAGGAAACGATGCCAATGTTTTGCGATTACTGGACAATCACTTTTTGGAAAACTTTCCCATAGATCAGATGGACTTTGGCGGGAGTCGTCCTCCGGCAGACACCAGGACGCCTATTCGGAGAGCTACCGACCTCTTGCAACAGAGCGGCGGGAAAGCGGCGCAGCAGGAAGAGAAGTTTCGCAGCGAGCCATGGCGTCCTTCGGGCCAGCTGCTGACACAGTTTTCCGAGCATACGGCTGCCATCAATCGTGTATGTGCGGCACCTGATCACGCCTTTTTCGTGACGGCGTCAGATGATGGAACCTGCAAGATTTGGGACACGATCAGGCTGGAAAAGAATGTGACGGCCCGTTCGAGGTACACACATCGACGCGCCGAGGGAGTGAGGGTCAAGAGTCTCTGCTTCATCGAAGAGACGCACACCTTTCTCAGCGGCGCCGACGACGGCAGCATCCATGCTGTACGAGTTGACTACCGAAGTGTCGAAGGTGGTGAGACGTCTCGATATGGCAGACCGAGTCTCGTGCGGGACTATCTGATACCATCCAACCGAGCTATGGACAACGTCGGTGGCTCCGAGGGCAGTGCTGCGGGATCCGTGGCAGAATACGCTGTTTGGCTTCACCACTATCGCACGCCAAACTCCCAATCCATCTTACTGGCAGCGACCAACAGGTGTCGTGTTCTCGTGATTGACATGAAGAACATGGACATCCTCCACAGCATGGACAACCCGATCCATCACGGTACGCCAACCACATTTTGTGTCGACAGGAAACACCATTGGCTGCTCCTGGGGACGAGCCACGGAATTTTGGACCTGTGGGACTTGCGTTTCAAGTTGCATCTACGCAGTTTTGGCATCCAGACCGACTCTCGAATCGATCGGCTGTTAATTCATCCCGCCAAAGGGCACGGGAGATGGGTGATGGTGAGCGCAGGGGGAGAGATCAGTGCCTGGGACGTTGAAAAGATGGTCTGCCGAGAAGTTCTCCGACCAAGCACATTCAATCCCAGAGGTGGGCAGACCCGCCCGTACGAAGCATGGTCTCCCGATGAGGAGAGTCGCGAAAGGATTCTGGCGCGATTTGCTCAAGAGGTCTCTGGCAACGACAGCCTGATGGCACCGCAATTTCAACGGCCTTCGACCCCGGCCGAGATGTCGGACGGGTCACCTGGGAAGAGGTCTCTTTCCCCGTCCAGCGCAGGCTCAGCTTCCACCTTTCCGATTCTTGCAATGTACATCTTCACCGACTATACCCAGAGTTCGAACCCAGATACTCCCAACAAGCACTCGATCCTTCTGACCGGCGGTGTTGATCGAGCTTTACGGTACTGGGACATCGGTCGACCTGAGAACAGCTTTATTATCTCTGGGCCGCAATTACATGATGGAAGTGAGGAGAGCCATGCGTCTCCTGCGAGCTTTAAGTCCAAATACAAATACGAAGTCTCACATCCACTAAGCTTGAGCGCCGGAGCGCAGATCGCACTCGTGCAGGAAAAGGCCAGCATCAGTGACGAAGCCGCTACGTCGGGGCAGACGCCGAGGAAGACGTCCGCCTATACGCGTTCTTCGAGAGATGCCACGACTCAGGTAGCTTCAACTCCAACGAAACGATCCAATACGCCGACACCCAATACCACGACGACCAGTCAGCCGGGCACACCGAACGTGCACCGAAGCTCCGGGACCAACGCTGCGTCGACGCCTTCAACCCCTCAAGCAATCAAACCTCCTCGGAATACCATTATCAGTGCGGCACAACAGCAATTGCTCAGGACGCACTTGGATTCCATTACGGATGTGGTCATGCTGAGGAAACCGTATGGATGCGTGGTCAGTGTGGACCGTGGGGGGAATATCTTTATATTCCACTGAGCAGCGGATGGAAAGACGAGCCCTCGTTCTTCCACCTGTTTAAGGCCATGGAAGTTACTCACGTTGTAAGAATGCCCAGGCTTGTTCGGGGGATTTCCCCCCCTCAGTCCTCCCCATCGAGGGCATTCAAAAGATAGAATAATAGCCATCAATGGAAGTCAAATCCATGATGCCAGCCAGCATCGATCGCCAGGCATGAACCCACATTTCTCGACTCGACTCGCCGATGTGCCGACGGCATGCGGAGTAGATACACTCGATACGTACCACGGCGTTCATACTACCGAGTTTCCTTTCTGTCGTTTCTCCAAACTTTCCCGGATCTCGTCCGATTATTTATTTATTGCCCGACCTATTCCCGGACCTCTGTCTGCCCTTCTTGGTTTTTCTATTAACGAAAGGAACCCTCTACTGTACTGTCTGTGAGTGGCTACTTCGGGTTGTCGCGTAGAGAGACAGACACGTACAGGTGAGTAAGTAGAGAAAACAGGGGTTTCCTGAACGGAACAGAGGCGACGACGGAGGAAAGGAGAAAAGGGAAAGAAAGGAAGGACAGAGCAGCAACAGGAAGAGGAGAGAAAGTAAGGCTATATTATATTGACCGGCACTTCAGGGAGAATCGAGCGAGCTGGGCCATCTCAACTGGAGATTCAACTTCCCCTTGGACTACACAAGACGGAACGAGAAGAGAGAAGAGCAACGAAACGAGGTCACAATTACTTACTCGTCCTTTGTCCACATCTTCTTTCTCTCCATCCATCCATCCATCCATCTATCCCATGACATCTCGCAAAGATGACAGCCCCCCAAGACCAACAACAACAACCCTCCTATGAGCCCCTATCGACACCAACCTCGACCTCACTGCCCCATGGCAACGAGCACATCGCCCTGATCGGCGTGGGCGCCATCGGCATCTCCTTCCTGGCGCTGCACCTGACCTACACGGCAGCGCGGGTGTCGGTGTTCGACCCGCGCCCGGATCTGCAGGAGCACGTCGCCGCCATGCTGCCCTTGTATCTCCCGTCGTCGTCGGATTCCCCGTCTCATGCTCTCTCGTCGTCGTCGTCGTCGTCGTCGGTCACGCAGCTCGCCGCGTCCGGCCGGTTGCGGTTCTGCTCCACGCTGCGCGACGCAGTGCAGCACGCCACCATCGTCCAGGAACAGGGTCCCGAGAACGTGCTGTTCAAGCAGCGCACCTGGTCCGAGGTGCTGCGCCACGTGAGTCCCCACACGCACCTGTGGTCCTCGACCAGCGGCATCCCCGCGAGCCAGCAACTCGCCCACCTTACCGCCACTCCCGGTAGCAGCAACAGCAGCAGCAGCGACGTGGATGCCCCCCTCTCGGAGGAAACCATCGCCTCGGCCCGCGCGCGCCTGCTGATCGTGCACCCGTTCAACCCGCCGCACCTGATGCCGTTGCTGGAGGTGGTTCCGGCCACGGACACCACCTCGGCCGACGAAACGGCTTTCGCACAGGCGTACTTCCGCGCGCTGGGCTCGATCCACCGCCCGATCACGGTTCAGCGCGAGACGGCCGGCTTCGTGGCCAACCGGCTCTCGTTCATCCTGTTCCGCGAGGCGTGCCACCTGGTGGCGACGGGCGTGTGCTCGGCGCGCGACCTGGACGAGATCGTGCGCGCCAGCCTGGGCCCGCGCTGGGCCGTCGCGGGACCCTTCCACATGTACAACTTCGGCGGCGGGCCGCGCGGCATGCGCGGCTTCCTCGACAATATCGGCGAGGCCATCGATGCCGTCTGGAAGGATGCAGGGGAGCTGAGCATGGACGACAACACGCCCGGCGGGTGGAAGGATGTCGTCGTCGAGCAGACCGCCGCGGCGTACGGTGCGCCGACCCCCGAGGATATCAGGAAGCGAGATAGGGGGTTGAGGGTGGTCGTGAAGGTGCAGGACGAGCTGGAGAAGGAGAACGAGAAGGACTAGAGAGAGACACAGACGACGAGGCCAGAAGCATGGAGCGTGAGAGCAAGAGGGGAGGAGGAATATCTAGAGACAGACCGCCGCTCATGAAGTCATGCTGTCCGAAGGAAAGGCATGAAGATCGAGATATAAAGACAGGTGGGACAATTGGAAGTCGGAGACCAGGAGGACATCAAAACCCCCTTCAAACTGTCGCAATCGACCACCTACAGTAGAACGTGAATGAAACAACGTTTGAACATTGATGCCGACGTATGGATGGATGGATGGAACTCTGCCTCTCTGATCTGATCTGATCTGATCTGGTTCCGATTCCGATTCTGGTTCTGGTTCTATTCTCAAACATAATACTTTGTTTGTTCTGGGTTTTCCCATTCCCTCGAAATGCCAAACATCTTTCTTCTGCCTTCTTTTTCAAGTGAAGGGGAGGAGCAGGCCACACACACACACACACATATATCCATCAGAGGGGTTTCAACCGTCATGCCCGCTGAAGAAAATTCGGCAATCCAACTGAGTGAGTACAGGGAGCTTGTCATGAAAAGAAACACAACTTGGTAATGTAAATCAACAAAGCAAAAACAGGAAAAAACACACACAAAACACAAGAGGCAAGCAATAATCACAACCGTAGAAGCCGTAAGCAACATTCCGCCGCACCTGAATTACAGATTAACCCCGTCAAAGAAACACAAGTAGGAACATGTCCCAACGTCGGTCGGCGAGGGCAAGTATGTTGCCTCGACAGACTCGACGGCGAAAGGGTGCGGACATCGTTCGTGCCGCTCACGTTCCCAAGACGTATTTTGCGCCAAAGCTCCTTGCCATCCCGAGTTCGATGCAAATCCGAATCCAAAGCAAAGCCGTATTATGCAAAATGGTAGATATCCCAGTCTAGTGCTGCCTCACGCCTCGAGGACACGGCTGAGAACGGGGCCTCGAGCAGGAGGAGGCTGTTTGACATTGTCCTCGGACGCGGAGTCTCCCTTGACACTGCCGGTACCGCTGGTCACAATAGCGTGGGCACGTTCGGCATCTTCGTCCTCAACAATCTTCGTACGGTCCGGACCCCGAGTGTTGTGGTTGAGCGACTCGCGAGCGGTGTAGTTCGTCGGCGCTGTGCTTGCCATGCTCAACGCAGTGCTGGACCGTTGGTGAACCAAGTCTGGAGTCGGGGGGATGGAGCTTCGCTCGCTCTGGGGAGTCAAGTGGCCTGTGCCTGCACGAGAGTCGGCGGCACCATGGTCCACGGGAGACAAATTTTCGCTGTCTTGTCGAGCATGGCCCGTCGAGGTCGACATACTGGTCTCATCTGCCTCGGCCTGCTCGTCTTCTTCAACATCGGCGGCTTCGTTGGCGAGCTGCAGACCTTCGACCGCGGCGGCACACTGCTCACTGATATTGCGGATGATATCAGCAATGGCATCAGTCTTGTCACGAAGATGGCGATCGGCCACATCAGACATGCTAAGCTCGGAGTAGCGTTTGCTCGCTCTCTTGTTGGCGGCCAAGAGCTTGTTCTCCATTTGCGGCGTGACGTCTTGACCGTCAATGGAGCCGGTTCTCGAAGGTCGTTTGCCTGCTCTGGTGCTCTTGAGTTCATCACCCTCCTCGGCGATGTCGTCGTGCTCTTCCTCGCCTGGCTCTCCTTCTCCCTCTTCATCCTCCTCCTCTTCGTACCCTTCATTAATGTACTCCGCCAGCTCGGAAGCGGATCCGATAGAGCGGACAATGTGTTCCATGTGGTGGGTTTGTCCAGTGATGAGAGACCGGAGGTGGAGAACGACACGCTGGGCTTCATCTCGCTGGCGCTGAAGGGTCTGATTGGTATGTTGCAGGGCCGCAATCTCCTTCCGATTGCGAGCACGCTCCTTCTCCAGATCTTCGGCAATACCTTGCTGGAGCACCAACGCCTCAAGAGCGTTGTCACGCTGTCTCTCAGTGCCAGACAGGCGGAGAGCAAGACGGGCAGCATCGTCCTTTTGTTGGTCGATGAGGCCGGTAAGTCTGCGGTTCTCACGCTTGTGGGACTCAATCTTGACGCGAAGTTCGGCCAGTTCCTTGTTGAGGGACTCGACGAAGGCTTGGAATTTCTGGAATTGCAACTTCCAGGTCTCGACCTCCTGCTCGAGGTAGTTATTCCTCTTCGCAACCTTGGCCAGCTCTGTGTCCATGCGGCCCTTCAGGTTGATGAAGTCTTGCCATGCTTCAAGTGCGTCTCTTGAATATTGGTTCCGTTCTCGAACAATCTCATTCATATGTCTCATGGAGATCTTGGTCATCAGGGGCTTCTTCATGGTTCCGCCGAAGATGGCCTTGACACCGGTGTTGCGGCCGAGCTTCTCGCACACGTGGTCCATGACGGCCATCACGGCATCTTGGTTCCACCATGATGGATCTTGGACACTTTCAACTTCGCCGCGCAGGACAATGATCTGTCCGGCAGGGATGAGCTTGCCACCTCCATAAGCAGACTTGAGATGCTGGGGGACACCGCTAATTTCCACGTCGCTGTTCAAGGCTTGTGTGAGACGGTTGATCATCTTGGTGCGTTGGCCAGCGGTCAAGATATTCGGTGGGTGATCCGTAATGACGAGATTCCGGTCCAGGTCAACCAGGAGAGCATCCTTCGGAGGCTGGAAGAGTGATCGGCACTCGGTGGTAATACCCAAGATATATGGGCCAGGCTCTTGCACCATTTCACTGGCGTTGCGAGCATGGACAACGGGCACGTACAAGCCGCTCCATTCGTATACTCGAACGCAGAATCTGATGGTTTCGGCCGCGATGGTGAGCATCGCTGGGTGGTGGCTGGTGAGAATGATACGGCGGGTGGGCGAGACAGACGCTTCAATGAGGCCTACGATGTTGGGAATGCTCAAACAGCAGAAGAGTGGCCACATGTTGAAGTTCTGGAACCCGGTGGGCGAGGATGGAAATTGATAGCAGAGGGCATAATCTTTCATATCGATCCGTACAAGGTCGTTCAGTCGTGGAGCAGGAAAGCTGAGGATCCTCGACACCTCCTCAGCATGAAACAAATTGGTGGCTTTGTTCCAGTGAATCCACATTCCTCGCAGGTAGTCGCCCAAGAGGTTATAAAGCGGATATCTGGAAAGAAAGCTGAGGCAGTAAGGAATCCAGTACGTCTCATCGGCGACATCTCTGTACTCGGTCTCAGTCTTGCGACGAAGGTCCCGAATGGTCTCGGCTCGTTTCTCGTCCGCCCGTGACCAAACTCGCAGGGCAATTCCGTAGAGGGTATGTTGGGAGTCCTGTTGGAGAACGAAGGAGTGGTGAACGCAGTGCGGCTGGCTTCTGCCCGTGCAGATCTCGACATCATGGGGAAAACACGCCTATCCAACGGTCAGTGATTGCTATCAATGCGTGGGGAGTAACAAAGCCACGAACCCTCATGGCACTGTGCAGAGCTCGTGCAATTTCATTGTCGGTCTCCAGCCTGGGGCTGCTGCCCAATATTTCGGGAAGCCAAAACTGCCCCACGGCCCCCTTCATATGCTGGATCTTGCCATGCGATGGAGCTGGTGCCTTTACCCATTGCGAGGGTTCCCTTCCTACACCGCAGACCATGTATGCATGGGTCAGTGTCTTTGGTGTTGGCCGATTGTTCGACTTTGCTAGAGTCGAGGGGAGTGGTTGGGTGATGCGTGAGTGGAGAGACGAGGTTCGACTGGGAACCATGGCGTTGTCAACTTGCTGTTCCCGGGTAGCAGGGCGATTTGTATCACGAGTCTGAGGTCGAGCAGCCATCGAAGTCATTGAGGTATGACCTCTGAGTGAAGGACCCATGGTGCCGGCTCGAAGGTGGTCTGGAGGTCAAGCTGCAGAGTTTTGAGATCGTCTGTGGTCCTGGGGGTATCAATCCTCCGGTAAATCAACCCAGAAACAATAGATAGCTCCAGACGACCTTGCAGCCTTGTGTATCTGGGAGTATCTTCGCGAAGACAATTGTGTTTTTTCTGTTCTCCTCAAGACAGACGGAGGGGAAGACAACGAGGCTCATAGATGGCCCCCGCGGTGTGAAGAAGAAAGGAAAAAGAAGCAACGGGATCCGACCGTTGGGAGGATTGAAAAGCACCACGGATACTGGAACGGGCGTAGGTGCCAGGAGAGATTGTTGCAAGGCACAATTGAAGCTCCATAGATTTCAGGAGTCCATCTGGCATTGGAAGCGAGAGAACGCGCAACAAGAGGTGTCAGGCCAAGCCAACCGGAGGCACATCAAGTGCCAGGACTAGCAGTGGTGGACTCCGGATATGCAGCTAACAAGATGAGGCTTGCAGGGGTCAGAAACCACCCTGGAGCGTGGAGCCCACCACCGAAAATGGGTGTGCCCTAGGTGCACCCATCTCGATGGGATGGGTATCCAAGAGCCTGCGAGGTGCCCGGTGCAGACAAGATCAGCCACAAGATTGAGTGAATCTGCCGAGTCCTCTTCCTCTGCCAAAGCTGTGTATGTCTACGGTACTCACGCCTATGCACCTCTGGACAGCACAAAAGGACAAGCTTCTGCCCGGTTCAGGTACCCAAAGTCAAATGGCGAAATCTCAACGCACTAACCTTTGCCTGTGTCCTGCGCCTGCGCCTGTCCCTGAGCCTGAGCCGTGCCCGTGGGCCCCTGTTGCAAATCATCCCACAACCAAAAGAGCTACCCATCCACCCCACCCCCCATCCGCCCCCAAGTTGGGTCTAGCCAGGAGCTGAGGGACACACACCATCCAGGTCGAGCTGCACGCCCACACGGAACGACGCCGCTTTGGGTTGGACGTGCCCCTGGTGTCCTGCAGGACCCTGGCTCAGTCTCTTCCCCGACAGCCTTCAATTTGGTTGGCAACCAACAGTCCTGGTCCACTTGTTTGTGATGAGCCAGCAAACTTGGTCGACGGCTGGTGACAGTCTGGGTGACAGAGGGGTGCCCGAGAGCCCCAATCTGTGGCAGGCCTCTTTGGGCCACTTCCATCACAGGCGGGCTGAGGCTTTTGGGTTTTCTGGGGGAAAGAACGTGCCTCGTCTTGTTTGTCTGGGCTTTTCAGGAGAGCTCACCTTCTCGTCTGGGCTGCTCCTCTTGCCCTCTCTTGCATAAATGTGGCTTGCGCACACCCAAGCTTCTAGGCTTTCGTATACCGGCAACCGACTACTCCGTACAGCACGAGCACTCCTTCACCCCTCCTCACCCTCCGATTCTTGACGAATTCTGTGCCTTGGCCTCAAGTCCCGACATTCGGGCTCGGTGCATTTCTTTTCAACCTATTTGATGGGAAGTCCCCGAACACAAGCAACTTTCGCGTATTTCTGTGGTTCTAGCCATCTGGCCACATGGTTTTTATGTAAAGGCAAAGCACGTAATTGGCGCTCGTGCAGTCAAGGTTTCTACTACAACTGCAACTGCTTGGATTTTTCCTTGCCAGCACGGCAACAGTGAAATCTTGGAGGCTGCACGCGTTACACACGGCACACGGGAAGGAGCTGACTAGGAGAAATGTTCCCGTCTCGTTCGCAATCCCAAACCACATTCGGCCGCGTTTCACGTCAAGGCTGATGATCCACGCCATCACCTACCTGCATTTACATTTCCGTCTTGCATGGAGAAACATGCTCCTGTTGGTCTGTTGCCGCGCATCAAAGTTTTTGGCCGTGCTTCCAGAAGTAACGCTGCACGCCTCAGGGGCATGTCATGTACCCCATCGAAAGGAATCTCGTGGGGTCGCCGGAAGGGATTGCGTCCAATCGAGATTCTAGGACACGATCTGTTGGATCATGGCAGAAGCGAAGGAACGTTATCTAGGTTTGCCAGGATGTGCTCTACATCTCAAACTCTCGATTCCACGGGGAGGGAATTGGTGAGGGCAATAAGGTTGGTGCAGCACCCAATGAATTGGCCGTCCTGATCATCTAATCCTACATGCATGTTGCGTTGTCTGCAACCAGCCGATCGGCCACAACATTCACCAACAAGGAGGAGAAGGGAGGCAGGGAGGGTGGTGAGATGAGCGGTTTGCTCGATCGCTCGAAGCTGCTGCTCTTCCTGCTGTTGCCTCGTCTTGCTCCACCGGGCAGCAGCTTCGGCGAAACAAACACCGGATTTCGAACTCCCAGACCACACAGGTTCCCAGGCATGCATGTGCAGGGTAACGGGTTTCTCTGATTCCAATATCAGGTTCCAGCAGCCTCTGTCAAAGCTAAAGATGTTTATTTGCAGACCAGGGATGGCTCTAACATACACTGTCAGTTCATTTGCGGATCATCAACGATCAGACCCAGACTGAGACAGATGCGGGTGCTTTAGGGCAAAGGGTCTCCAGTTCGGGAGCGGCTGACACCCACCTTGGCTGTCAACACCGCTGGGTACAAATGAGGGGAAGTGATAGAGTCATCTAGATGGTGGCTCGATAGTAACATGGCTGGACGGTATTGAGCAGTTACCAGAATCTGATAGGAGAAAGCTGGCGAGAGCTTCTAGAAAAGGGACCGCGAGTAGAGGACGCAGTTTCTACGACGACAAAACAGATATCACCCTGGGTCTCCTGGGTCGGTTGCTGGGCCACAGACAGAATGCAAGGACGGTCTAGAGGGTAGGCATTCACATAAGGAGCGAAAAAAGAAGAGAACAAGGGTAAGCGGAGATGGACCACAGCTTGTCGTATTTGTATTCTGCGCGGGCCGCTTTTGCGCGACTTGGAGGTGCACAGTGACGTCGAAGTTCATCCCTATCTGGAGTACTGTACCACCTTTGTTATCGATAAGAAAATAACAGAAGTTTCAGAGGGAGTCTTGCGTCAACCCGTACAATTTTCTCAGCCCATTTCCCTGCGTTATACATCGCTGAAATTGATGATGCCATGCAGGAAACAGCTGGCGAAGTACTGTTGACTGATCTCTGTGCCATTTGGTAAGCTTGAACCTGTTCCTACCATTTCGGCAAAGACTAATCCTCGACCTTGAATAGCCACGTCAATCCGATCAAATACACTTGCCCTCGATGTGAAGTCCATACATGCTCCTTGCCATGCGTCAAGCGTCACAAGTCCTGGGCCCAGTGCTCGGGCGTCCGAGACCCTACTGCCTACCGGAAGCGAGCTGAACTAGCCACACCCAGCTCTGTCGATCAGGACTTCAACTTCATCACTTCCGTCGAAAGATCCCTGGCGCGTGCCGACGAACTTACTCAAACTAAGGGGATTGACTTGGCTCCCAGTGGCATCGCACGAAAGGGCCAAGAGGCGAGACGGAAGTTTGATGCCGAGCTCGAAGAGAGAGGAATATGCTTGATCAAGGCCCCTCAAGGACTGTCGAGGCACAAACAGAACAAGTCGCACTGGGCGGGCCACGGAAAGTGTCTCATGTGGACGACGGAATGGCTTTGTTATGATGGCGACAAGAGAACTTGCAATGTCCTCGAGTCGAGGACCGTCGAGGAAGCCTTTCTGAGTGCATTTGGGAAACACGCCGTCAACCGCAAGAAACGCAAACGAGGTGATGCTGAAACAACGACGGTCTCAGCTCCTCCACCCGGCGGTCAATCTGCTCAGCCGGTCTCTGCCGGAGAGATCGAGAGGGCATCCTCCCACACTGGGAATACGGAAGGAAAACCTGTAAAGCTGGAAAATGAATTGGCCGCCCACGAACCTGTCACTGACCAGACGGGGACTGGCACAACTCCTGGCTCGGAACGAAGGAATGGGCAGCCTCCATCAACTCCGTACGCATCACAGAGCCTCAAATTTTATCTTTTCAAACCGAACACAATATCGAAAGTAAAATGTTTGATCCCGGTCGCGTCGGACTCGAAGCTGGTCGATGTTCTTCGCAATCAGACCGTCTTGGAGTTCCCGACTTTCTACGTTCGACAAGAAGCTCCCCAGGATCTGCCTGCTCCATTCATCACAGAAGAAAATTACAACGAACATTACGGGGCAGAAATACCAGTCAGCCTGCCAACCTACACCCCGGGGAACACGGCAGATGAAGAAAAGCTTGCTTCTTTGGACAACATTGATGAGAAGAAGGTCCTAGAAGTCCTTCAGAAAGACCTGAACGGATAAGTCTAGTTGTTTAGACCTCCACAGATCCCTCAACCTAGTTTTCCTGGGACAAAGGGATGTCCAGCACTCAGCCCACCACATACAGCCCACGCCTGGCCATTAACGTAGCTAGCCTCGTCGCTTCCCAAAAACAAGGCGACTCTGGCAACCTCGTCGGCCACTGCGCCTCTCTGCAACGGATTCAACTGGCCGATCTTCTTCTCGGTGCCTCGGTTTCGTGCTGCATCATACATGGGCTTGGTCATGCCAGTCTCGATCACACCTGGGCAGATGGCATTGACTCTGATGCCTGTCCCGCTTAATTGATAGGACATGGTCTGTGCCATCGATACCACAGCAGCTTTGCTGGCCGAGTAGTCCGTCCCTCCAGCATTCGATCGGATACCAGCCACCGATGCCGTGCCGATGATGCTCCCTCCTGGGTATTTCTTCTCGGGACTGGTCTTTTGCATCGCAATGGCAGCGTATTTGAAACAGAGAAACACACCCAGTGCGTTGACCCTCATTGTTTTCATGTATGCTGTGCTCGAGATATGTTCGAATGTGTTGGGAACACCCGAGATGCCAGCATTCGCAAACATGATGTCCAGTCTGCCGTATTTCGCCAGGCATTGATCCACCACGGCTTTCACCTGAGATTCCTCCCCGACGTCCATCTTTACACAATGGACCTCGCACTCGGGGTATAATGAAGCCATCTCCCGCTTGTGCGTCTCCAAATACTTGTCATCGTAATCACAGATATAGACCGCTTTCGCGCCGTTCTGGGCGTATTGGTGTGCCGATGCTCGACCAATGCCAATGGGAGAGTTACATCCTAAAGAGCCAATATTATGAGTTTGAGTTTTAGTTTCTCAGTGGAGGCTGAAGCCCGTCCATTGTTGTATTCTTTGAGCATACCGGTAACGATAACAACCTTCCCCTTGACTCTCGGCCCTGCTGAGGCGTCTGCGACATGTCTGATGCGAGGGATCTCCTCAAACGTGCCCTCGGAAGGAATGCCTTCCGCAAGTTGTTTCGATAGCGCCGCGAGGCGTCTTTTGGGTGCAGCCGTCATGACTCTTTCTGTCTTTGGAATTCGAGCCTGGGAAAAGGACAGGAAGTGAGTTGCAGGTGCAGAACGTGTAGCACAACGAGAGCTGATCTCTTTCAATGCGCTTCGAGTCGAAGTGGGTGTGCAGGGAAGACAGGTACGGAGACGAAGGTAACTGCGTAAATTGTTCAAGGCGCAAGGACAGTAGTCAACAACTCAACCGTCGTGCTCCACCGCCAGGACAATCTCAGGGGAGCAGTGCTGTACTTTTAAGCTGAACATGCAGTTTTGTACAGAGTGCGGGAGAACGCACTCGGCAGCCGTATGGAGATCTCCATACCTGGGGGTGGGCCCTTATAATTAAGAGCCGAGGCTATTTCACTAATATGGCAGCGCACTCGACGCTGGTCGAGGCCGGTAATCAGGCGGCTATGCCTTGATCCTTTTCTGAAAATGGCTTTCCACCGGAGGAGCATCTTGCACCGTAGATAAGTAGAAAATTAGCTTGAGAGATTCATGCACAGCCGGAAGTAGATGCAAATGGCGGTTTGGGCACCAGACATCCCACCTGCACGTGACCGCGGTTACATCAGCAACTGTTGGAGAAAAAAATAATTTCGAAATTCGTGTGCGGAGAGAGAAATGCAGGTTTGCTGAGCGCCCAACAGGCTTTGCCTTGATTGTGCCACTGTGAATAACACTGCCGACTGACCAAGATGTCGAAAAGAACCGCGGAGACCCAGGGAAACCTGGAGTCCCTCAAGGCAGGGCAACGGCCAGAGTCGAGCGCAAACGGCGACCCCACCCTTGACTTTGAAGACGAATTCGAGGATGAATACGAGTCGGAAGACGAGGTCATGGAGGCCGGTGTGGATGGGCGACCAGACGCAGAAAGAGAAGCAGAGCAGGCACAAGATGCTATGGATGTCGACACAAAGGAGCAGACATTCATCCCAGGCCGATCGGTATTGCAGCCTGGGATGTCGCTGACCCCAGACCCTTCCACCTACGAGATGCTTCACCTCATGTCCACGACGTGGCCTTGTCTATCATTCGATGTGGTGCGAGATAACCTGGGTGACAATCGTAAGCAATACCCAAGAACGGTCTATGCGGTTGCTGGAACTCAAGCCGAGTCGTCACGTGCAAAGGAGAATGAGCTGTACATTTTGCGGTTGAGCAGTCTGTCAAAGATGGATCGCGGTAATCAGACGGACTCGGAGAGCGATAGCGATGACGACGAGGACGACGAGGGCTCATCCGACCCAGTGCTGGAGTCGAGGTCAATACCACTTCCAAGCACAACCAACAGAATAAGAGCGTTCCAGCCAGCGACAGCCACTGCTGATATGACTCAAATACCTCAGACGTTGACAGCCACATCGTTGGAAAATGGTCAGGTTCTGATCCACGACGTATCCCCACATCTCCAATCTCTTTCAACACCCGGCTACACACTGCCTCCAAACGCCTCGAAGCCTCTCAGCACCCTCCGAATGCACAAAACAGAAGGATACGCACTGGACTGGGCGCCAGCTTCCTCGCATCCCCATGGTCGGCTGCTCTCCGGTGACAATGCCGGACAGATATTCAGCACACAGCGAACCGAGGGTGGCGGCTGGGTGACGGATACCAGAGCATTTGTAGGCCACACCGATGCAGTAGAAGAACTTCAATGGTCACCCAACGAGAAATTTGTGTTTGCGTCCGCAAGCTCCGACGGCACTGTCAAGGTGTGGGATGCGCGAAGTAAGAGTCGCAAACCCGCTGTTGATGTGAAGATCAGCAACACCGATGTCAACGTGATGTCGTGGTCGCGCCAGACGTTCCATTTGCTGGCCACTGGCGCCGATGACGGCCAATGGGCGGTATGGGATTTGCGGCAGTGGAAGCCTCAGTCAGGAGCCTCAACGGGCGCGCCCATCAAACCGAGCCCTGTCGCCGACTTTCATTTCCACAAGAAGCCTATCACTTCGATAGAGTGGCACCCGACGGATGACAGCGTTGTGGCTGTTGCTTGCGCAGACAACACAGCAACTCTGTGGGATCTCGCGGTCGAGCTTGACGACGAGGAATACGGCCGAGAAACGGGCTTGGGCCTGGGTGAAGGCGCCGAAAAGGTCCCTCCACAATTGCTGTTCATCCACCATGTTGAAGATGGCAAGGAATTGCACTGGCATCCACAAATGCCTGGTACGGTCATGGTCACCGGCGGAAGCGGTCTGGGAGTTTTTAAAACAATCAGCGTCTGAGGGACTGAGGTACTGAGACGGCCGGATTTGTTACTGTTGATTCAATGAATGACTATTATGCGCAACACATGGGCTATCGTGCTCATATTCACACTGCAGGCGGATATTCACTGCTTTTCACCTCTCCCTTACCACCCAGAATTGTCACTTCAGTTGCCCAAACAGCCAGCTTGAAGTCAAAATCATCCTCTTCAACGCTTCAACTCACCTTTCGAACCAGCTTCCTAGATCAAGAGACCGTGGATCTGATCTCCCAGATGATATCCCACTTGCAGGGAGTGTCTTTAGTCACTCGAGACTCACATTTTCTCTCTCTTACTGCGGGAATCCTCTTCCAGATCTACTTTGTCTCCCTCGTCACCGTTATCGGTCCGTTGTACCTCGCTGTTTGAACCTCGGATTGTCTCCTAGTTGCCCCCTTCAACAAGATCCGTTACTGCTTCCATCCCTTTTGCCTCGAGACTACCAGTGACACAGAAGGAATGGATCGGTTCACACGCACCAAAGAGTACTACCTGCAAGGTAGACATCGATGTCGGCAACCAGAAACACCTCCGACCTCTCAATCTGCGGACTTCGTCTTCGATTTCGATTTCAAAGATTCGAAACTTGACCTCAGCTTTGATGTCGGAAATTCTGTCGACCAAAGTGACCGGACGGTGAGGCATCAGATCGACCCTAGCGAGAGCATAGGTGTTGCACTTTCAGATGGGCCTTACCAGCAGCACGGAGGACTCAACTGTTCACCCGCAATAGAGGACCGGCGCCACTGTCAAAAACACCGGAACGAACCAATCTCGTCTATTCCAGACATCCCGACTGAAACGCATATCAAATTCTCCTCTCGATGCGAACAACCCTCAACGAATCTCCCACTTTGCTCCATCTACTCAAAAGCATGGAGAGAGCGCGTGAGACGAACAATAACGCCGCCACAGCAAACCTTGGACCACGTCTCTGCAGATCGTGCAGCTCCCTTCTCGGAGGAAACTTCCAGCGAACTGATTGAGTCGGAAAGCACAGGCCCAAAGAGTGGGAACGAAGCTGACCAGGAGTCGCCGCCACCACCATCACCACCACCACCACCATCATCACCACCAGAGTCGTGCCCCGAGGACGTGCATGAGGCAAACGAACGGCGGAACCTGCTAGCCGGTATTCCTTACGAACATAACACCAAGGAGAATGGAAAAAGATTTTCCAAAATTGGAGAGTGGCTGCTGCGGCCAAAAAGGCGCTGGGACGCGAGAGTCGCTCTTTGTAGCCCCAGCACGAGCGTGGAAACGATGTCCTCAAGGACACCAACTCCCTCTCCCAGCTCTTCTCAAGATACATCAAATCAGCACCAGTATCCGAGGATCGGCGACGCTCTTCGAACACGAGTAGCACAGAAGCTGACCGAAGCTCATGATCCAATTTCTCTACCGCAGTCTCCGACAGAATCTGTGCGTGGTGGAGGCAACTCCCACTCTGTCACTGCAGACCCCCGACGGAACAACGATCACGGTGCGCACAATCATCGCAGACGTGGCTCCCACCGCCATCGCTCTTCAAGTGTTTTCACTGCTCACAATGGTGTCGTCGTATCTCCCGAGAATGAGGATCGTCGTGGTGACATCCGCCATTCGTCCGCATCTCGCCCAGTGCGTCACCAGCCTGGTCGACCTGGAACGTCCAGAGACCGATCTCAATGGCCCTATCCTCGGTCGCCTCCACATCGGGGCCCGGTTCGGACTACTGGCACGCGCCCTACGCAAACACCCCCAGGAAATTCGCTGACCCGCATTCAGAGATCTCGAAGCCCAGGCCGACGGACACAGCGCGATGAAGATGACAGAAGAGGGCAAAGACTCAAGCAAGGAACACGCGGGCCGAGTAATCGAAGACCTGAGCATCGCACAAAGGAAGCAGGAGAGCAAAGAGTTCATGGGTCGTCGCGTCTGACTCCCACGAACAACCCAGAAGCCGCAACCCCTCGGGGACTGGGTGAAGGGCGCCAGAATCCTATCACGTCTCTTCCTCAGCAGCCGAGCCCTACAAGCCATTCGACTCAGCAGAGCCACCCTAGCTCCCATCAGAGTACCGCTTCGAGACCACCAGTGGAGAGTGAAAAACAACCCGAGCAAGGAGACGGCCCACGCCAGGGAGCTTCGCAAGCAGAGCCGTCCCAACCACAACTCGATCCCAACTTTCCGTATGGCTCATCGATCCGCGTCTTGTTAGGCGATGGCCGCGTGGTCAGTATGTCACAGTACAAGACTCTGCAGGAAAAGAGAGCGGGCAAGAAGAAGGCTGCAGCTCCCAGAGGAGAGAGCACGGGAATCAAGTCCATGTTCGCAGCACTATCCTCAAAAAAGAAAACCCAGAAATCTCCTGCGTCTCTCCAGCGGGCGGTGCTATCGACGAAAGCGAGTCCGCGGCGAGAAACCTCGACACTCCAGCAACAAGGACCGGGAGACAAAGCTCAATCCGAGAAGCCAGCGTGGGCACGTTCAAGTGCAGAGGAACCGTTGCACGCAGCTGACCCCGAATCACAGTCTAGCAGTCCATTCGGAGCAACTGCTAACGGAAAGCAAGTCGCAAAAAGTCCCAACGTCCAGGCGGGTGAGCACTCGGCAGCTAACACTATTCCCGGTCCCTCGACTCGGCAGCGGCCAAGTCCAGTTTCAGACCTCTCGACGAGCCGGCAGCAGGGCTCGCCTACGGCAACCGCATCAAGCCCACAGTCCCTGAGCAGCACCAGTACCAGTGTCATCCCCGCGGGAAGAACCTCAGACGTCCCCGGTCCGGCAGCAAGCCAGCAGTCAACAACAGCAACCACAGTCCCGGCAGTCTCATCCGTCGACCCTCCACCACCATCACTACTTCCACCATCATCGGACAATCAGCGGTCCACAGCCCGTTCGACTCCAGACACAACGACCGCGCAGGAAACGGAGGCGAGGAAAGACGGTGCGAGTTACCCCCTTGCCCAGGTTGAGACACAGGAGGAGGAGGAAGAGCCGACGTGGAGCTTTGCGAACCTCAAGCTTTAGAGCTCGACCGGCGAGCGCTTCGACTTCCTCTACTTTTTGTTTCAGTTTCAAGCAGCTTTTTACTTTCCCTCACCTCACAGGACCGGAACTAACAGTGGGCTCAGAGGTTGGGTGGGATGCACGGGCGCTGAAGCCAGGACAGGAAGGAAGGAAGGAAGCAAGGAAGGGTACAGGGCGTTGGCTGAGGAGTTTGCTTGGTAGATGTCGAAATGACTAAAATATGCAACGAACGAGCTGCGTTTGCATTCGAGCCCTGACAACCAAGGACTACTGGCGTGAGTGAGCATGGAATCCACACGATTCATAACTGGCGGATTCGATGTTGATTAATAGTAGTTAGTTAGCTTGACGACTGCCGGGGCGAGTCTCGTCCTCGTCCGGAGAATGAACTGATGATGAATCCTCGCACGCATATAGAGATTCTCGAGAAAAGGTCCTTTGCTTGTCTCAACGCGACGAAGACAAAGAAGAATCGATCGACCGCCCGAAGCCGAAGGCAACCTTTCCATCCCAAAAGCCCATGCGCCAGAATTCGTGTCCTGTGTCCCTCACCGCTTTTTCATGCCCCTCGATAGCCGTGGTCCGAGTCCTCATTCCCACCTCATTCCCGGTTCTGTCGAGACATTCGGCGCCTTCGAGCACTGCATCGGCACAGAAGTTACTGGTGTCTTTGGGGAGAACCCCTCGGGACGAAAGATTGTTGCACGGCTGTGTATGGTACATACATACATATACACGGATCGTCATTGCTACTGTGAAGCATGTTTTGTCAGGGGGCGCCAGCGCAAGAGGGAAAGAGTGATAACATGTCCAGACGTCAAACGACCGATGACAACCTCGAATAATAGACCAAAAATTTTCGGCGTATTATGTAGTACGAGTTGGCTCCTGTGGTGTGGATCTTGACTTGCCTTGACTGGGCTCCGCGATGTCGATCAGGTCTCCCACTCTCTCCCGCACCAATAAACGCGTGCGCCCGCATAAATCACATGCGCTTCGTTTGCAAGTGTCACATCTTGATGACTGGGACACGAGAAAGCCAGGCTGTAAGGAGAGTTTGGCATGTCTGAAATTGAGGTGGTTAGGCGTACAGCATAGGCTGAGAAGCCGCACGGAGCGGTGCGAGCGGATTGAGGGATGCTGCTTGGGGCCTATGTCTGGCTCTTGATCGATGCTCAGGCACAAATGTAGAAAGCTTTTGACGGGGTCTCTGCGTATAAGAGTCTTCAGCGCTCTGCGTTTTTCGAATTTGGATCGTCCTTGTCGGGGGTCAGAAAACTCATAATCTCAGGATGTAGCCCAACCAGGTTACGTTCATCCTCCACGGAGCCTGGCACGGTCCGGCACACTTCGAGCCGGTCAGGTCCCGGTTCGAAGCGCTGGGATATACCATCCTCTGTCCCCAACAACCCTCGACTGGAGCAACGTTCCCAACCATAACCCTGCGCGACGACGCAGCTTAGGTTCTGGCGGAGGTGAAGCACTTGGTCGAACAAGGCGAAGACGTTGTCTTAGTGATGCACTCGTATGGCAGTATGGAGGGGACGGAAGCAGCGACCGGGCTGGGGAAGGCTGTGAGGATGAGTCGAGGGCAACAAGGCGGCATAGTCCGAGCGTTTTATGCGTGTGCCTTTCTTCCGCCTGTGGGAAAGTCTCTGGTTGCTGGGCTCGGTGGTCTCCCGCCGTGGGTCAAGGAAGAGGCAAGCAAGAGACGGATTCCTCAGCTTCTTTCAATAGTGCTAGCTCGAGCTCCCGGACTCCAGGAAGATGGCAGCACCAACGCAACCACTCCCGAGCAAGTGTTCTACAACGATCTGCCAGCTGAAGAACAGAAGTATTGGCTGTCGAAGCTGAAACATCATAGCAGCATCGCCACGAAGACTCCGCTGACTCAGGTCGGCTATACCAACATTTCAGTGCTGTACCCGTACTGTGAAGATGATCAAGCCCTCCCGCTCCCCATGCAGGAGATGATGGTCGAGCAGTCGGGTTTGAAGGATATGCAGGATATAAGGTGTGGAGCCGGGCATTCGCCCTTCCTGAGCCGGGCTGATCTGTTCGTAGATAGCATCATCAAGTCGATAACTGCTTGACACAAACACTGCAGTGTCATGAAAATCAGGTCACAGTCTCAAGGAGCGTTCCTGAGCAGCGGGTGGAGATTATCCCGTGGCTCTCGAGATCGGTACAGCTTGACCGTACAGTTGATGGGAGCTAAGCGCAGTGTTCTATAGGGGTGAGAGATCGGGTAGCTGATCTGATGGAGAAGGATTGCGATTTCATTGGGTGAATACAGCGCCTTCGTGCGCCATTTTTCTTAGGGGCAAGGTGGCCTCTGTCCACAACTTTGCCACAGGCTGTATGAATATGCAATCCCACCACAGATATGTAGCCATGAGGCTGGTGTAAGCATCCCATTCGGTAGCATATGGCCAACGGAAGACGTATTCCTGCATCTTCCGAACAAAATATTGCTTGTGGGGTGTGTTTAGCGCAGCAAGTCCTCCGAGCGTCAGAGCCCACAGCACCAGACAGGTGTAATCCTCTGTTTTGGTGTCTTGATCCAGAGATATAACTTCTTCTGTCTGAAATACTTCAAAATGCTCCACGTAAAGGCGAAGTTCTCCGGCCAGCCGAGCTCGGACATCGGTCGTGTATGGCATGGGAAACAGGACCAAGTCGCTGTAGATGAGGCCAGCCACACGACATAGGTCCCACAAGTATTCGGTCTTGTGCGGATCGAGAGTGACCCTCGGTCGGAAAGATGCTAGCTTGTGGTGAGCCTCATTCGCTGCAAAGACAATATCGGCCAGAGATGGTGCTTTTGGACGGCGCTGTTGGTAGTGATCAAGAGCGACGGTGACCTCGGCTGCGGCTCTCAGGGCATTTGCTAAATCCACATCTATAGGGTCTAGCTGTCCGAAGCCTGTGCCGATCACCATTGACATCATGACAGCATTGTGGTCAGGCTGATAGCCCGGCTTGTTGAGAATGGACGGCCCTGGAAGCAGCCAGGGAAAAGAAGGTTGCACCCCGAGCCGTGAGCTGACCATCATGTCGGCGCTAACATCAATATCAGCTGGAGACTAGGACAAAACGGACAGAAATACAAACTGACAATTGAAGAATCTGTTGGAGTCCATATTGTTGTACAGATTGTATCCCGCCACGTTTGACGACGACTTCCAACAGTGCTTGGATCATCGAAGGTATAACCGTAAGTTTGGCATAGAGGTGTAGATTTAGAGCAGTCGCCAGGGGAGAGGATGGAACTACTTCTGCAGGTTGAGGTGGATTCGGAATAGGATCGGTTAGGTTTGCCACCATAACCAGGGCCATGATCAATGAATCCGGCGCCGGGCCTTTGAGGGTCTGGAGCTCCCTCGTCACCAGAGCCAGCCCTCGTGCCTGGTGTTTCAGTCGCAGGACTTCGATGTTGTGGGGGAACCGCTCGTTGTCGGTGCCTACGCGGACGAGGTTTGCCGCAGCAGCAACTTGCAAGTGGTACATACATGGCCAGTCTTGGCCGAGCCGTTTCCAGGCTATTTTGACGTTGGCCACGTCGACAGTTACTAGCTTCGGATGTATAGACTCGTAGGCTTCCAAGATCACGATACGTCAGTCGGAATGAACAGCCAACAGATCGGATGTCAACCCACCATAGTCAAGAATCGACTGCAAATATCTCGGCAATGCCGTGTGAGGGTTTGATGCAAAAGGGTCGGCCTTGTCTTGCGAAAGATATGAGAGCGGGCTGATCTTGAATCCAGACACCTGGACCTTGTCTTGTGCGGGCTTTGGAATGTTGTCCTCCTGAGAGCCTGAGCTCTCGACAATCCATTTGACGACGGTCTGTCCACGTTTTGCTTTCCTTCTCGAATGTGTGACTCGGGCGGCATGAGCGCGTGCTCGGGACTTTTCCAACGATTTCCGGGTCGCCGCGTTTGAAGGATCCTGAAATGCCACGAAATGAAAGGCGTCCTTTTCATTTTTCCGATCAGCCATCACGGTCTGTTCAGTAAGACCAGCAGGCTTGGTGATTCTTTGATAAATTTGTCAAACGATAACTTGTCGAGTTACAACAGAAAGGTCAATTCAGGCAGCCGAAGAAAAGTCGAGGTGATCGCTTATTGTTATATCTGAACACAACGCCCGGGCCTAGGTCAGCCGCGTGTCGCTAGCGTGAGCCGTCAGTCAGGGCATGGATTGAATACACCACTCTTTGATTATTGTCTGTCATTTATCTGTAGTCTTCCACCAACAAGACGGGACATGCTGAGGCGCCGTAAAGAGGCTTCGTGATCGGAACACAACCTTCCTCGAAGTAGAAACAGGAGAGAATAAACTGTCACGTAAGAAATATGGCCCGAGCTCACCACTGCGCGCGGTCTGGGGCCGCTCGGGTGGCCGAAGCCCGCGGGGAGACTTAGTCATCCTGGATGCTAGTCATAAACAGAAAATGGTGGTCTAGAGGAAGGAGATGATGACAAGGACCAGTGTGAAAAGCCCAAGAACCGAATGAACCATCACCAATGCCTATTATTGGAGATTTATTGAGGTGCCTGAGCAAGGGAAGGCAAGCCGAAAGCCAACGTCGACCAGCCGCTTAGCAAATATATTATATAAGGACTCAGTCAGCTAGAGCATGCCTGAGGCGAGATGACCGTGTTGATGTTTCCCAGCTGGCTGATAGTGATACGGTTACTGGTCAAGGAACAGTTTCGGCCGTGAGCATTGAGCACAAGCCGAGGGAAGTTGAAGACAACACTACGATGGTTGGGCGCATTCGCAGTTCTGGGGGTCCAATTCAGTCGCTCCCTTGGTCACGCTCTTGAGAAAACGAACGTTGTTTGCTTTCCCAGGGGAATGAACGTCGAGGCGGCGTTACATACCGGTTCTGGGACGAGGCCCGTTAGAGGCTGATCCGGGGAAATGAGATGGGCAAGGGTTCGAACCTACTTGGAACTGGTCCTTAAGCCGCTGGCCAGGGGAAGAGTGGTGTGCCGAGGCTCGAATGATGTCTTGGTCGAGATGCTTTTAATTCAGGAGATCCCGTACTCTTACAAGAGACTATACGGTAGGGAACGAGTAATAGAGCAGAATCAAACCTGAAGAGGGATGGGATGCTGCGTAGACAGGAAGGAGAAAAAGAACGGCATGAATGAAGGTGAAAAGTGAAAACCCGCTCTTATATCTGGCGGGGACTTACCAACTAATCTGGGAATAGACTGATTCCCTCTCTCAACGTCCCTAAGCAGCTGATTGGCTAGCAGCATCTCTCCTCTCATTTCAGCGCAGCACTGCCATTCGATCTCTTCGAACGCGTCCTCCCTCGACTTCATCGAGCGCTTCGCCTCTATGGGTTCAGCAATCTTGATGCGGTTCTTGAGCCTGCTATTTCTGTTGGTCAGAGCAATATTGGCCATCACACATCCTCTGCACGGCTCATTTACTCCACATGGAAAGGGCTGGCCGATCGAGACTATCAGCTTGGCCGAACGTGGCAGGCCAACTTCCTTATTCCTACCCGATCCTTATTCCTCGAGATTACATTTCCTTCCTCGGTTCTTCAGCATCAACTTCCATCTTCTGTATACCCTGCTTGACTATCGAGCACCTGCATTAGCTTCAGGCTCAACGCGCAAGCTTTGTGGGGAAGATGCCGACTCTAGTACCAGTCACTTGCGTTGCTTTCCAATGCTGAAATCCCTCCAAGAACTGATACTTCATATGAAGCATCTGCCGCCGACCTCGCCTCAGTTTTTTATTCATTCCTCCCACCTGCATGAGGCTTTTCTGTCCCAGTCATATATCGTTCTCTCCATTCCTTTAGTCTCACATCCTGGTGCTTGCCCTGCTTGTCGAGGGTTTCCACTCTTTCACCCCCGTCGCTCCTTGCACGTCTTCTGTTCAGTCTCTTGCAGCATCTTTACCAGGACAGACGCTCACTCACTTCTCCCCGTCGGTGCTGTTCCAGGAGTTCGATTCTTTCCCCAACATGTCTTCCACTTCCATTTATGTATCGTTCCTTCTATTTCTAACCCTTGTCAACGCCGCACCGTTTGCGCTTCAGAAGAGAGGTACGGTGAATCTCAATGAGTGATAGCGGTCCGTGCTGATGTCTTTCTTCAGCGATTTCTCAGGACTTATTTAACCAGCTGTCATTCTTCGAACAATACTCGGCAGCTGCGTACTGTACGAACAATAACGTAGCCGCTTCCAACTCAAACATTACATGCGCGGCCGAGAACTGCCCTCTTGTTCAGACCGCAGGGGCAGAGTCACTGCTTGAATTTCAAAAGTATGCTGTATTTCAACCTCCATCTTGTTTTGCGGTGGGTGTGACTACGGCTGACGTCTTTCTACTACTCACAGTGAAGGGCCAGAGGACTCAACGGGGTTTGTTGCCGTCGACCACACGAACCAATTGATTGTAATGTCCTTCCGAGGCACTACATCGTTCGGAAACATCCTCGCAGACATCAATCTGGTGATGACTCCCTGGAGCGTGTGCGATTCGTGTACCGCACATTCTGGCTTCCTTGACTCCTGGCAGACTGTCAAGCCGCAGATTCAGGGAGTTCTCAGCAGCGCCAAAGCTAGCTATCCCTCGTACAAGATTATTGCCACGGGCCATAGTCTTGGTGGTGCAGTAGCGACTCTGGCTGCCGCTGATCTGAGAGGGTCAGGCTACAACATTGCTTTGGTATGTCGGCATCCGCGGATCCATCTGAGTTCGCAAGTCATTTACTGATAGTGGTTTTAAGTATACATACGGCTCTCCGATGGTTGGGAATTATGTTCTGGCGACATTTATTACGAACCAGTCGGGTGGCAACTACCGCGTGACCCACGCCCAGGACATTGTCCCCAAGCTGCCGGGCTACCCAATATTCGCCCATGTCTCGCCCGAATACTGGATCACGTCGCCCACCAATGTTGCGGTGACGGTCAATGACATCCAGGAGAGCACCGGCGTGATTGATTTACAGGGCAACCAGGGACAGCTGGAGAGCAGCATTGTGGATCACGGTTGGTATTTCAATAGTATTGCAGCGTGTTCGCCAGGGCTGGGGTCAGAGTTGGTCAAATAACGATAACGGCGCCGTTATTGGAGGTCTCGCGGTATGATCAGAGTGTCCACGTATGCGGATATGCTCATGGTTCACCAGGCGTCAAGCGGACCTTTTCTTTTCCTTCGGCGCGCTCGACGGGCCGGGGTTAATAGTAGGGCCACCCCTGCGGCTGCGAAGCCGGAGCTGACACGCGAGGCTGAAGCGTATACAATCTGATTTGTTCCAACCATTTGCCATTTGCTCAACCGGATGGAGCGAGGCTTGAGGCCGTCCGTTTGACCCTCTTAGGGAGTCGTTCTCCTGTCGTGCAATGCATATTGGGCCACCATTCGCCTCCGACTCGCGCAAATCGGGTTCGATCACGAATGTCTCTCCTAAATCCTCGTTAAGAGCGGTAGTTCAGAGTGAAATCCTTTGTCTCCGCTTGATACACGCTCTTCATCGACCGCTTGGGATCTCGAGCGCTAATTAATGCGCCCTTGGCGGCCGCAGATGAGTAATTGAGGCCTGCTAGCACGGGGAGGGAGGATATATCTATCAGCTGCCCGATGTGAAAATGGACTGGCATGCATTTTGGAAGGGGGGAGAGCTTGGTCGGAAGAAGACTATTCCTCACGACGCCGGCATTGGGGTGGAGAAATCAAGCGGCGAGCTGCTATCGTAAACAGATGGCTTTCATTGCCGCCCTCGTCCTTTCGGAAGCAATTCCAGTCTCTCCCGTCACGGGCCAGCAAGCTTGGAGACAAAATTCCCGAAATTTTCGGTTTCTCCAGAACCAAGGCCAGGGGGGAATTAAGCGACCCCGGTTATTCAACTCCAGCAACTTTACAGGTTGCCCAAATGTGGGGTTGACATTGGTCGTTCGTTATCCTCTTGACAGGCTGCGGAGATTCTTGTATTACACCCCTCCTGTTCCTCCTCCTCATCTCCTCCTCTTTCTCGTATACTCGTCATCACGAATTCCGAGGGGCACGGCGGGTGAACGGGACAAGATTTGTGACCTCAGAACGTCCACCGGGCATCAATTAGTCAGCCGGTATTGAGACGCCGGGTTTCCAACTGGAGCCTACCCCGCCCCGTGATGGAGGAGAGACTAACCGGTGCGAGAAGGAGGAGCCATGGTATCGAGTGGGCGTTGGAGATGGTGGATGTTCGTGTGTGCGAGAGATTCAATCTCGCGCAGTCTGTAGACTTTTCCTCCGTAGAGCAACCATAAGGTAATATTGAGCCTCTGTCGAGAACATCCCTCACCAGCAGAGCAAGAAGTGCCAACATCAAGACTATGGCGTCGTCCAATATCGCGGCCTTGCTCTCTCAGGCAGGGGTCCCGGCGTTCAAGTGCCCCCCTGGGACAAAGATGCACTTCCTGGATCTCGGCATCCTCCAGGGCGACGAAGGATGGTAAGACACTGGTTCAATCTGGGGGCTCTCCCTAAATGACTTGTTGTTCGTGGGATTGACCCGGCCCTGACCTTTCTGCAACAGGCTTCTTCGTGGCGCAAACACCAGTACTTTGAGTAATAAGAACCCCGAGAACAAGCGTCGTGATTTGATCGTTTTGGCGGCCTTGATCGAATACCCCGGTGTCGGGTGCATTCTCTTCGAGACGGGCTGTGCGGAGGACCTTCAAATCGTAGGTTTGTCCCATGTTCTTCTTGTCCTTTGATGCTACTAGGTATGATGGATGCAAACTCACTATCACCGCGCTCGATCACAGGCATGGCCGGCGCCCTTGACCGATGTCTTCCCCCGGACAGTGTATGACGAGAAGCACAAGCTTCCTGCAGCCATTAAGGCTACCGGAAATGACATCAAGGACGTGAAAGCTGTCGTGATCGGCCATTTGCACCTGGATCACGCCGGCGGGCTTGAGCACTTCATGGACACCGATGTCCCCATCTTCGTGCACGAAGAAGAGTTCAAGCACGCCTGTTGGGCCGTGGCCACGGGCGCCGACCTCGGCGTCTATCTTCCCGGCTACATGAGCCTCGACCGTTTGAAGTGGAACACCTTCACCGAGGACCATCTGGACTTGTACCAGGGCATCACGCTCCACCATTCCCCGGGCCACACACCGGGCCTTTGTATTATGCAGGTCAACCTCGAGCAGAGCGGGACGTGGATCTGGACAACGGACCAGTTCCATATCGCTGACAACTATGAGCTCAGTCATCCGCACGGCTGGTTGGCTCGAGACCACAATGCCTGGATCAAGAGCTTGAAGATGATCCAACGGTTGCAGAGGCTCTTTGATGCGAAGTTGGTGTTTGGCCACGATATGGATGTTGCGAAGAAGTACATGGGGAAGTCATACGAATGACCACGCTTGATAGAGGCTGGACAAGGTGGCATCAGACATTCCGATCGGTTGAGAACGTGTGATAAAGGGTGGAAGAAGCGCAAGACAAGGATCGACCCCGTGACTGTCAGTGTGGTATTGGTGCAAGATGTTCAGCCGCCATATGTCTGTATGTATTATGGACCAAATAGTTGGGATTCATCCCTTCAATCTGAGCCATCTTTCATCAAAGTCGTCCCTGTCTGTCTCCCATATATCGACATTGTTGCTACGAGCAGAGTCCGCTGTTTGAGAAATAGCGACTACTCGATACTGATGTCGGGAGCCGCGAAGACAAGACAAGGACTGAAGGCGGCAACACGGGAGGCAAATATTCTTCCGATACACTATTGTGACCAGAACTTACATCTTCATCACTCATGCAGCCGTAAATATCATCACACGCAACATTTTTTCTGCTGATGTCCCTAGCTGACACGTTGAGACTCTCGCGCGAGATCGAATCGAATTGAGGCTGATAACCAAGGGCCCAGTATAGTATCCAGAAAATACACATGTGAGCGTACGACTTGAATCGAAACCGCCCTGAGCGCCGAGAAGAGTTGGTGTCTTGAATGTATCGAAGGAAGCATGCCACGCTCCAGCTAGATCACTACCATAAGCACCCTGGAGGCTCGTAGAAGACGGAGGCGCCAGCACTTGAGCGTTCCGTCGCAGGAAGATGCTGACAGAGAATGAAGCTTGCTTGCTCGCGACCGTCAATTGAGAGTCAGTATGAAAAAAGGGGCCTCATCACGTGATGCCAGTCCGGACTTCGGGGAATCTGTGGCTCGATTCAAAGATTCCTTTACATACTCTAGATCCATTGTAAATTCAACGTCTCGTCTCAAAGCGGCTGCAGAGGGTCAGCCTTCGGGCGTCGAGGGCCATGAACAATGTTGGAACGATAGCTCTGCGAATAGCCCGAACAGGCTTAAAAGCTTCGCCTTCCACCCTCCCTCACAGGCCAATTTCACGAGCATGGCTTTTGAGTACATTCTTCTGTCATAGCCAGAAGCCTCTGATATCCCAGCAATCGCGCAATCCGTCACTTAAATCTCCCTTCTCGACAGTCACGTTGCGCACCTTCTCGCAAACCACACGACGCAGCTTCCGCCAGTCTCTCATTGTGCAGAAGCTCAAACCTTACGGAGCCGACAACAAGCCTGAAAAGGGCCTGAAGTTTCAGGACGCCGAACTCAGCAGAGAGCAGATATTATCTATCTTTGGACGTCACGCTCCTCCTACTCAAGTTGCGAATCGACTGCTCCGAGTCCTCCATGGGCGCCGCCACGATGGAACGTTGGATCTACCTCTTCCCAAAGATGTCGAGTCGCAGCTTGGAAAATTTCCCCACGCGGTCGAAGACGGTCTACGCTATTTGAGACAGGCATATCCCATCGACGAAGATGAGGCGATTTTGTACCGCATTGAGCGAGAAGAGGACGAACTTGACAAGGAGCATCCTTCAGTTCTAATGCAAAGGGGACAAGATATTGGTCTTTACAGGGCACATAACGCACCGGAGGAACCCTATTACGGCCCCCAGAGCGGACATTATCAGGCGGAACTTAGCGAAAAAGAGAGCGACCCATATGGAAAGAGTGAATTGGACAGGATCCGCGCCGAAAATGAAGCCAGACGTGAACAGGAAGAGGCGGAATTGCAGGCACAAATCGACAAGGAAATGGAGAAAGCCCAGAAAGCCCAAAATGATCGATCTAAAGCCCTTGCTGCACGACCAGAACAAGGACTAGAATCGGCCAAGGAGCTCAGGCCGCCCAACAGTTTTGAAAGATGGGTGCTGAGAGCCCGTAATCGAGCCCAGTCTAAGCTGACGCTCGAATCACCAGAGATCGCCGAGATGTCCATACTGCGGCGCCTCTTTCCTTCACTGTTCCTTGTCGCCTTGCTCTGTGGTGGTTGCTTCGTCTTTGCCCAAGACTGGACTCGACCAAAGCAGTCCGACCGACTCTTTCCGTCTGTGTCGCTTTCATTCGCCACGATTGGCACTCTGATCGCCATCAATGCCACCGTGTGGCTGGCTTGGAAGTTCCCGCCGTGCTGGTCCCTGCTGAACAAGTACTTCTTGTTCGTTCCCGCCTATCCTTATGCACTCAGCATGGTGGGAAACCTGTTTAGCCACCAAACACTATGGCACTTGACGATGAACATGGGGGCTTTGGCGATCTTTGGTCTTCCTCTTCATGAAGAAATTGGCCGTGGAAACTTTCTATCCATTTACTTTACCTCGGGCCTGATAGGAGGCTTCGTGAGTTTTGCCCGCCACCTTGCTCAACGCAATTTGGCAACTTCTGTCCTTGGTGCCAGTGGGTGTGTGTATGGCATTATTGCTGCATATCTTGCTCTTCATTCCCGGTAAGGACAGACTCCTAAACTCATCGGATCTCATGACTTACTGACCTTACCGTCACAGCGACAACTTCTCTCTTATATTCATTCCCCGTGACTGGACAGATAAATTATCATTCAGTGGCCAGACAGTCCTTGTGCTCCTTACTGTGAGTCAAGTTTTTGGAGCACTGGGGCGCCTGGGAAGGTACGACTACATCGACCACTTAGGGGGAATGGCGGTGGGTTATGCCTACGCTCGATGGCTACAGAGCAACGGGCACAGGCGGAAAGCAGACACAACCAGACTGGGTTCATGGTGGACGAACATGGTCGGGAAAAAGCCGTGAGCCAGTCCCCCAATCTTGTTTGCAGAGGAAACAGCCAATGCCGCATTATGTTCGTTATATGCGGCTGCGAAGGGTCGTTCCCCCTGCCAGGCATGAGATGGAGAACTTTTGATACTCCATTCTGGTCCAAAGACCTTCGCTCGAACACGCAACGACCAGACGGGACGTTGCCGTCTTAGAGATATAGTGCGTTATGCAGCATGTCAAGCATCAGCTTGGCCATTGTAGCACAGTACAGCTCCGTAGCTAGGTTGGGTAGAGAACAATTCCACTCAAATACCGGATATCACCATTGGCAATCAATGAAAGAACCCTAGAACGGGCACAATCTCACACGGTGGTTGCTTCTGAAACCCTATTGAGCTATCATCAGTCCATAGCAGTCTTCTATGATATTATGAACACTCCTTAGGGCAATTGACTATTTTCAAAGCCCGTCAAAGTCGAGGGCCGGATCTATCTCGAGCATCTCCGCCCCGCCGACGTCAGAGTCTCCGATTTGTCAGAGACAATTTTGGACAATTTTCCGCCAGCAAACACCTCCATACACTCCAATATCCCGGACTATCCCACTTCTCCCGCTGCAAGTTTTCTAGCTACTTGTGTGCTTGCGCCTTGCCCTTGGCACCTGGAGTCGCTCGACTGAAGCATCAAGCGTTGTCGGGGCTCGGCCTCACACCACTTTCTTGTCACACGCACAACGCACTCTTGCCTGCGATGGCGAATGCGTCTCCCTCCCAATCACCGCCTTCCCTGTCGCTGTTGAAAACCCTCCACCCTCCAGGCTCGGGGGCGAGCCGGTCATGGCAGTCGAGTCCCCATCCAGATCCCTCGACACCGCTTCTTGCAACCGGGTCGGCAGATAAATCCGTCAACATCTGGTCGCTGCGAGATTTCTCGTTGGTCTCGACGATAAGCGGGGGACACAAGAGGAGCGTGAGAACGGTCGCATGGAAGGATTTCGGCGGTAGCACCAAGGTCAGGACGAAAGCGGAGAAAAAGAAACCTGTGGTGTTGGGCACCGGGAGCTTCGATGCGAACGTCGGCATCTGGGTGTGGAATGACCATCGGAGGTGGGCGGCCTTTCGAGATGCGGATGATCAGCAGAACGGGGACGAGCGAACGCTGCACAACGAACGGGGCTTGTCTTCTGACACGGACGAAGTCGACATGACCAACGACCAGGAAGATGAGGAGTGGCACTTTTCAACGCTGCTCACTGGGCCTGACTCGGAGATCAAATCCATCGAATTCTCCCCTCCTCACTACCCCGCCAATCTCTTAGCGACCAGTTCAAGAGACAAGAGTGTCTGGATCTGGGAAGAGGTGGAGCCCGAAGAATGGGAGACGATTGCAGTTCTGAGTGAGCATACGGGCGATGTCAAATGCGTGGGATGGTGTCAAGGAGCGAGAAGGGGAAATGGCCGCAGATCGAAGAGAAGAAAACTCGGAAATACAGGGGACCGTGATGGGGATGTCGATATGGGAGAGACAGTTGCGCAATCAAATGGCACCGGTGCCGGAACGACGAGAACCCAACAAGACATGGACATTGATGAGGAAGGCGAGTTCGACATTCTTGGCTCTCGCCCCATCCTCGCAAGTGGCTCATACGATGACACTGTTCGCCTCTGGCGTGATGTCGAAGAGGAGGGCGACTGGATCTGCGTTGGCGTCATTGACGGACACAAAGGGACAGTGTGGGATCTCAAGTGGGAAAAGCATATCAACTACTCTCTCCTGAATCTTTCACAGTGTCCCACCGAACGAGACAGAGATATCGCAACACGAGAATTTGAAGCAGACTGGATGCCTCGCATCATCTCTTGCTCCGACGATCTCAGCGTGCGTGTATGGAGGAGGGAGTTGAGCGAGGCTGAGAAGGAGAAAAGACGGGCGCAATCCCAACACCAACCGGCACCCATGGGCTTTGCATCTACGCGAATACCGAGCGTGATACGCCCGATGAGTGCAATGGAGAAATGGGTTGAGGACACTGCATTGCCCGCCGTGCATGTCCGGAGTGTGTATGCGGTCGATTGGTCGAAGAGGACAGGGATGGTAGTTAGTTGTGGTGGAGATGGCACAATTGTCGTGTACAGGGAAGTACCTGCATCAGAATCAGCAACCGGAACCGAGGGTCACGCTGCGGCCGCTGGTAGCAGCGCAGGAGACGACGTCGTGATGAACGGCACAACCTCGCTGGCTAAACCTGCAGAGGAGGTGCCATACAAGCTGCATACCCCGAAGTGGGAGATTGTGGCCCTTTTGGAAGCCGCCCACGACGAATTCGAGATCAACCACGTCTGCTGGGCCGAGCGGCGGGACAAGGACAGAAGGTTCGACGGCGAGGAAATGATCATTTCGACCGGGGACGAGGGCGACGTGCGGATATGGACCCTGCCTGACGACCTTCTCGACGAGTTCGATTAAGAAAAAGAGAGCAAGAGCTGTGATGGTGAGGTTATAGGCCGGATGCCATGTATATAGATGGGAGGAAGATGATGCGGACTGATATATAGGTTGTTTTAGAGACCCTGTGAATAGATACGTGATGACCAGACAACGAAGAATTGGCGTCCCCTATTCTGACGCCGCCCATGCCGTCTCTACCATTATAAACTCTTCCTTCTGTCACCCTTTCTACCTCATCCCTCCGCCTCTTTGGTTTCCAAAATGTTCGCCTGCCGCTTCCCATCCTGTGGTATTCCCGGATCTGTGTAAGAGCGAGGCGGTATTCTTGAGAGGCGGGACCGTCTGTCTATCCAGGTAGCTTGTTTATCTCCCAACACTGATGGCTTTTCGGGTCAAGCGTACCACAATATCACTGCTTCAATCGGTCCATTGGCAAGAGGCAGGAGGAGGAAGATGGTAGTACATTTATGTACAGGGTAGATTTACAGGATCATTAGAGTCCAGATTCATCGTACATAGAGGAGATCTTGGAAGCTTGCCTCATCTGTATAGACACGTGGAGACTTGAAACGGCCACAGACCGAGCAGGAGAGAAGTCGTGCTTGTATTGCAGGAGTTGAGATGGATTCCTCTCCGATGGGAGACTTTGTTTTTCTGCGTCGAGTCCATCATTGATCACGGGCGTGAATCCCTCTCGGCTCAGCCTTGCCTGTGAAGACTGTCCCCGGGCACTTCACATAGCGAGGCTGAACCGACTCCACCGGGTCTGGTCCAAATAAATCAGATATATAATTTGGAAACCCGGAATTTGTTTTCACACCAAGACCCCCTACTACGACTAGGGCGAAGATCGAACCGACGACAGAAATTCAGTCCAGGTCCTGTCAGGTACAAACTAGCACCGGGCTAGAAGGCATCAGGACCTCGATTCGAACCTCGCTCCGAGCATAATTCAGTCGAATAAATAATCTAGGGTCTGCCAGGTCGAACCAACACCGAGTTGGGGGCAGCAGATCCTCGATTCCTCTCCCACTTCGGATCTCAGGACTCAACTTATAAAATTCGTAGTATAACCGGCCGGCCGAGAAAAACCAACCCGAAAGGGCGAGTTTCGCTTATCATGAACCAGAGTTGAGCTGCTTCATCGATAAGTTTTTGCAATTTTTGTCGCCGGATATCGATCACATTTTGATAAGTCTGTGTTGTGGGCGTGTGGTCGTGGGCGGACACGCTTGGCGGAGGTGTGATATAACAACGGGCCACCGCCAAGGGTGAAGGGTAAAGAAGAGCATCTGACCTATGATCTTTTATTCCCTCTTGGTCGTGAGATGAGTTCAATCACAGTTCAGTCTGCTTCCAGGTAGGCATCCTTCTTCTGTTGTTTCGCAGCTTTGCGAGCTTGATTCATGCTCCCTCCCAGGAACTCGAGTTGCCGAATCCGCTCAGCCAGCGCCTCTTCAGTCACATCGTCCAACACGAATTTGCCCATCTGCCCACTTCTCCATTTCTGCACAAACTGCAGAGCCGCAGATTCAAAATCTGGTACCCCACCCTTCTTCAGACGACCCTGTTTCCGCGCAAGGCCCTCCAGGACAACGAAAATATCGTTTGTTGGCTCGGAAAACATGCTGTACAAGGCTGGATCTCGAAGATTGAGGTGGTACAAAAGATAATCGGCGATGGTCGTCGGTGGGATAATCGTGTCTTTGACATTTCCGCAAAGAGCGAGTTTCAGCATGCTCTCGGCATCGGGAACGTAAGGAACGAAGACACCAGGAGTGTCCAGAACGTATACGGCTTCTCTGCCGTCTTCCGCCTCCAATATTTTGACATCACTGCCGATCTTCCTGGTTACTCCGGGTTGGTCACCGGTCCTTGCAGCCTTCCTCTTGCCCAAGCTGACATTCCGCAAAGCGTTGAGAAGGGACGACTTTCCGACATTAGGCATGCCCACAACCATGAGCCGGGTGCCGAAGAGGGAGGTCGAGGCATTCGCGTGCGCCCGGGCAAAGTCAAGGACTCGGTTGATGGCAACCCGGGATTTCACATCTGCGAAGAACGAGGTGGATGGAGCATCCCATTTCTTGATGATCTTTTCCCTCTGTTCCATGTCAGAAGGCCATCCATGCACGAGCTCATTCCTGGGGCTGCCCTACCTGCTTGTCCTCACTTGTGAAATTACTCCCCAGATCTTGCTTGGTGTACACTATCAGGCGTGGTCGCTCGCCGAGGTTGGCTTCGAACAACGGATTACGGGATACAAGAGGCGTACGATAGTCTCGGCACTCGATAACAAGATCGATTTGCGAGATCATCGATTTCATCTTCGACAACCCGGCCGCATGGTGGCCTAGGTAGTAGGATCTAGGTATCGACCCGAGGTGAGGGTACATTCGGCGAGGCACGAATGCGCCCATGGTGAATGTACTTATTTGGCGGTTGAGGGCACAAGTCTCCGGCCATTGTCCTCATCTTTCCTGCTCTATGTGGAAGTAGTGCATGCTGGAGGACTTTGAGTGATTTCGAAACAGTTGGTTCCAGCAAACCAAAATTGCGCATGAACCGAGAAGCGCTGGCTACGGTGAAGCATTACAAGACGTAGAGCAACCTTGTTTCCACTCATGCCACACCCAGCGAGGCTTCCAACACCACCCTCCGCTCTCTATTTCACGCAGACGTTCTGTGAGAAGGCCAGGAAGCTGGGTTCGCACCAAATCCAGCGCGCAAGAGATGACTGTGGGGTCTTCTTAATATGTCGAGGCCTGCCTCGTCCCGTGTCCATCGCACCGGGATCGAGGGCCTATGAGCTCACCGAGCGATTTGACATTCTCACACAGCGTGGGTTGACCAAGGCTTGACTTCAACCAGCCCCTTCGCTTAAAGACGGTTGCTGCGGTGCCCCAGTGAGAGAGGGTACGGAATTGCATATCCTTCCGGCATGACATTGCACTGCATCGCTTACTTTGGACTCTCAGGCCCCTCCGCCGTGACGAAAGTGTGGCACACAGACGCTGGACGCAAAAGGCTGCACTGTACGACAGTTCTCTTTTCCATCCAGCACGACCTTTGTAGCTTCGGCTAATGCCCATGTCAAGTGACTGCGCAGGCATTAGCAGGGAACGGTGTGAGATTTGATTTGCCATTGTCCACCGAACCGACTTCTTCTCTGCGCGGATCACTTCCCGCTTTTGCAAGGAAATTGAGCTGTGAGGGTATCGAGATGCCCATGATTGCACTTGTCCGGGTTGTGGATCGTCAAACATTCCTGGCCTCATACGTTCGCGGCCTTTTGATCTCCGCTGCGACGCAGATGCTGTCCAGTTCTGAATATCCAATGGCTCGGTTGAACGCACAGGCAGCGTTGCACTGAATCTCACATATCAATAAATGTTGTCCAATGCCTGCAGGAAGCAAAAGTTTCCTTGCAACTTACAGAGTGGCTTTCCAAGGCTCCATATACGGGTCGCTCACCCTTTCTTCGAGATAGACAACCACCTTGTCATTTCGCATGGAGCAAGGAACCGGGATCCTGTTTGGTCGTGCTTCAATCAGTGAATTGGGGAGGAGGGCTTTTGAAATTGCTTCGTACACCGAAGACCACGCACTGCAGACAGTCTGACGCAACCGAACAAGGAAATACTAGCGGTCTGAGTGCTCAAGGAAGGAAAGACTGCATCGAGAGAATTCGAACGCACAAATCCAGGATGTCGTCCACATTATACTGTCCTTCGTCAATTCTCCATCGAGTTCAAGTTTCCTCGAAGATGCCCCAGAATAGCATCTCCCAAAGTCACGATAGATATCGAAGATCCTGCTGGTTTGCCATTACTCGAGTCCTGAGGCGTCCTACCTTCGAAATGCCACAGGAGCCTCAATATTGGGGAGCTCGCAACATATCCATGGGTTACACGGTCATTTACGCTGTGACGACTGCCGTTGAGGAAGCAGTTGCACCAACAGGCAAAACCGGTGGGCGTCTCTTGATATCAGCACCCAGCTCGCCCTGTATTCCTTTACCATGTCACTCACAAGTAGTGGCCGGGACTGGCTAAGTTTTTGGTCCAATATTTAGCGACGAATCCAGCAATAAGGCGCAGAATCAAGATACGCAACAGCGCACGAAAGACCTACGGATTGCTCTGGATATTATCTCGAAGTTCGCCCTATCTTACAAGGCTGGAGATAGAAGCCCTAGCGAGGTTGGAATTGAGATGAACCCATTAAAACGTGACGACAGCAGCCACCAAGAACGGGTGAACCGAATGGCTGGATACAAACCTGAGGAAGCTGTCGTACACGGGGGCGGTAAGCCAGCATTTTCAATCCCCAGTTCCACCTGCAAGGAATTCCAGTAGTCGCTTTTGAACGACCAACGGGAAACCAAAAATACGCGTCTCTTTGTCCAAGCAATTGGCTCCTTTTCTCACAATCATAGTGAGAGTCGTGGCAAATGACCCTTTCACGATCAGCAGCCCAGCAGCAGATCGGCAAGCATCCGAAGGGTGGTGACCACGTGTGGACATATCCAGGTGATTGGGCAGCCAGCTGAAGGAGTGTTGCACGGAGCATTGTGTCACAGCATGTCGTCCCCATGATTGCTTCGAGAACTCGACCAGGCTGATGATACAGGCGACGACAATGGACGTGGCACAGGAGGAGCAAATTATGAGATTGGCGGTTCTTGTGTGCTCCGTGTGCATAGGACAGACATGTCGCGCCTTGAACATCAACTGGCTCGCCTGGCGAGGGTTCGAGTGTCTTGTCGTCGTCAGGCGAGGTGATCCTGGCTCCAGGACAACAGGGCGACGGACCCCCAGACGTCAAGGCCGGGATAGATTTGCCCGAAAGAGGAACAATCGGTGGATGGCAAAAGTGGGGGTCGCGGGGTCAATCAGCCACCAATCAGACGCTGTAAGTGGGTTCAATACGTTATCGCCGTATCAGTCGTGGACTAAACCACTTTTGGCAAGGCTGTCCGTGCAGCCAACCGCTGGCCTTTGCATTCGGACGACCAGCATCGTTCTGTCGCTCCTTCTACCTTCTTGTTCGGATCCTTGGATGGCCAGTCAGGTTGGTCCTGGATCTGGCTTCCTTCTGCTTCTGGTCTCTTGGGCGCACACTAGATAGCCTGTCACGAACCACTGCCATCATCCCCCGTCGAGGATAGGCTCCGCCACCGGTACCTGTCCCGCCATTCTCATCGCGGTTGGGATCGAAGTACCTACCTGGTTTGAGCTGTCTGGGCTGATAGCTCTATAACTCCCTGCCCAATAAGCGGTGGGGTTCGCAATTGGCCACAGCCGCGGCCCGTGCTGGCTCTACACCCATTTGAGCTCACTTCTCCCTTCAGACAACATCATCAAAAAAATCCCCCTCTGATTTCCCCAATTTCACATCGCTTGCTGCAAGCTCAATCTTTCTGACTTTCGACCTGCCCTTCCTGCGCCTTTGTTCGACGGGGCAGGCCTTGTCTTACCGCTGTTCTAAACGTTACAAAGCCTCGGTGGTGTGACTCGACCCATTTATCTTTGTTCTTGCTTGCATTTTGCCCTGTTCGGGAGATCTTGAAGATCTGCCGTCGATATTTATACCAGCGCCATTTCACCGTCCCTGGCATTGATTGTCAACAAGCGGTCCTTGGCTTCTGCCCACTTAAGGTGACATACGCCGCTTGGCCGTCGTTGGTGGTTGTGGCTTGCAACGTCTGACTGAATTTGAGACCAGTTCACATCGAGCTCGTCCCTGTTCAAGGACCTTTGTGTGTTGTACATATATCTCGCACTTTACTACTTCGACCTTGCACTCGGTGTCTCTCCCATTTCGTCAGAGATGGGGTCATTCCAGGACGAGCGAACCCTGCTCTACGTGGGTCTCGCCGTCTGTGTCAGTATTATCACCTACCTGAGCCTCAGCCAACGTCAAAAAGAGGTCGTCTTCAGAAGGTTGGCGTTACGAGGACGTCGTTCGTCAAGTGCAGACACGCCTCCTCGTTCCCTCTCGCCAGAGAAGAAGGAGCCCAGCAACTCTCCGCCAAAGTCATCCGAATATGTCAACACGTTCCCGCCCCTGACCAGAGAGAACCTTTCGGAGGCCGCTGCCTCGCTCCCTCAGGATCGCCGCGTGGCTCTGCAGAATGCGACGTTCGACAAGGAGAACTGGATGAAATCTATTCTCGATTTTGACGAGGACTTCCGCAAGGCGGACCCCAGCAAATATGTCTACACCGGCTACAAGATCGAGGAAATTCGGGCTTTAGGAGACTTCCCCGATTACGCTGCCCTCAGCGGTGTCCCGCTCCCAAAACCATACCATGAGCACGACATCAACAAGGCACTGCCACGACCTTACCGACCTTTCCGATGGGCTTATCATCAGACCATGTGTCAGTCCCCACGTCCTTCATTCTCTCGATTGCTCTACTGACTCTCTGCCGACAGCACTTACCAAGTTAGAGCCAAACTGGTGGCTGGAGCTGGAAAACACCTACGTCACCCGCATTGCTCAACGCAAAAAGCTGTACGCCGAGCACGGCGAGGCCGTCCTCCAGTGGCTGCCTGGATCCGAACTGGCCTGCAAAGAACTCATGGAGATGTCGCTCCAGTTCCTTTGTGCCCGCTATCCCCAGTACTTCCGCCTCCACGCCGACAAGAAGACGTTCGAAAACAAGATCCTCGGCACCAAGCAGGACGTCTCGGCCAAGCACCCTCTTCTGGTCCTGTTGGATAACGTCCCCGAAGACTTTGCCATCACGCTGCGAAACCCGGAGACCGGCTACTACCACTTCCGTGCGGGAATGATCTGCTCGGCCTTGGGCTGGAATGTCGGGACCAAGATTGGACTGCAGCTGCACCAGATCCACGCCCCGATCCCCGACTACAAGGAGAAGATGCAGTTCAGCATGGATCGGTAAGCTGAGTTCCCCAACTCACAGCATTCGATTATCGGTTGGAGGCTAACGTGTCGCTCCCACAGATTCTTCACCAAGATGCCCTCCCCCAAGCCCATCCAGCGCGGCTCCTGGGGTCTCGAAGTGGACCAACCGCTGTACATGCCGCCGGGCGACCCGCACGAGAAGTACCGCGACTTCCAGTCCCCCGACCTCGACCTCTCGCGCATCCACCTGCGGGTCGACTGGCAGACGCTCCGCCGGCTGCCCCTGTCGGGCGGGATTGTGTTCAACTTCAAGGCGCTGTTCACGCCCGTGTCCGAGTTCCGCGACGAGCCGTACATCCCCAGCCTGGTACTGAAAGTGCTCAAGGACGGCAAGGAGAACCTGATGAAGTACAAGAACACGTGGCACGTCGAGCACGTGGTGATCCCGGCCCTAGAGGAGTACGAGCGCGAGCAGATCCAGAAGGGCCTCGTCGAGAAGGACTGGCAGCACCACACCCTGGACGAGAGCCCGTGGTTCCCCGGCTGGAAGGAGAAGTGGGTGCGACAGCAGGGTTTTGGGGATGTTGAGTAGAGCTTTTTGAACAGAGCGAAGCGAGGGGCGGCGGATATTGCATCTAGGCATGGTGATGGTGATGGTGCCGTGCGGGTTGTTAGGCGATCTGTTCGTGGGCGGGACGAACGATCGACGCAAAGATAGATACACCACCACCACTACCACCACCCGCAAGGCGCACGCAAGAGGGAGGAAAAGATTTTACCATGATCCTTAAAACCACCCATATAGTAGCTAGTACCCCGGCGCCATTTCACGCACTTGCATCATCAGCACCATCAGCATCTGAGGTATATACCGGAGAACCCAAAAAACCCCCTCCCCCTTCCCCAAGCGAAATGATTTTAGAGCTCGTTGATTGACATTCACAAGAAATGTACCTTGGGAGGTTCGAGTTGTTGTTCGTCAAACGCCGGTGGCTGGCTCTGCTACAGGACGTAGATAATGATTGGGAGCGGCTTTCCAGGTCCGAGCCCTATCATACGTGGTACAGTACGTGGTGGTGGTAGTGGTTGCTTTGCTTGGCTTGGCTATTATGTATGTATTTATCACAGACCCGACCTGAATGGGGACGGACGATCAGGACGTCAGCGATCTTCACCGATGGGCGCTCGAGAAAAGTTAAGAGACAGAGCATGTGATAATTCTGATATCCTGTCCCGCCTGTGCAGATAGATGTCAGAGAGAGAGTAGTAGAGAAAACTAGTTCGTTAGGTGTGATCCCTCTTTCTGCTTTCTTCTTATCTTGTTCGTTCTTCACACTATTATTAAGAGGTAATTAGTGAATGAATGTTTCAGAAGAGAGAGAGAGAGATAGATGCAGAGTTTATGAAATTCATCTATATAATATTGCTTGTCTACTCTGGATATCGATCGTCTGAGACCCCAGGAACCGGTTCAGCAGGAGCGCTGACGCAATATCGACATTCAGGATTCTGAAGCTTTAGATCTGGTCAGACGCGTGCCACTGGGAAAAAAGTGACGAGCAAGCTCAATACACACATACACACACACACACATACACACACACACACACATACACACACACATCGCGACTGCGCAGCCGCATAAAACACGAGATACAATTGCAGGTCGCCACCGCTCCCGAGCTTATCGCGGACATCCATCATCGGGGAGAAGAAGACGATGGATATTCCAGACGCACAAGCTCAGACGATGAGCATTCTGGACCTACCAGGGTCCCTCGGGGTCAATGTTGACGATATCATCTCCTTTAGCGAAGAGGGCGCCACACATGAGGACACAGGCGCGGGACATACTGGTGCCGGGATCCTCCTCGTGGCCAAAATATGTGACGCCGTGTTGCACTGGGGTGGCTACGGCGACGAGGACGCCCAGAAAGTCGCCAACCTCGTCGCGAGGAACTTAATCACCTGTGAAGCATCGCACGTTGAAGGGGAGCATCAGATCAGCAGCGACGAGCACAGCAACAGTGGGGATATGGAAAGAGAGGTTCCAGGGAAGACCGTCGCCTCGATGCTCAAAAAGCTCCTCGATCCTACTGTTCCCCATCCAAGGCATGTCCACATAAACTCCAATGAGCCGGTGTTGCTCATCAATTTCGAACAAAATTTCCACCCAAAGGACAGAAACCATGTTAATGACGTGGTCGATGCAACGGTTGAGCAGCTGCAACAGCAGTGGAATGTATGGCCCGTTCGTGTATATGGCCATGTGGGCGCGTTGACACGGCGGGAACTAGAGGGGGCTGGCAATGCTGCTAAATATGGAGATATGCGTGACGGTCGCTTTTCCATGACATTGCTGAATGTCGTAAACACTGAAATTGGTGGCCCGAGCATGCCCCAATTACTCGATGCCTCATGCGACGCACCTGAGTGGAGGAGGTATGTGAGGCGGGAGGTGTGGAGGGGACGCGACCTCGTGTCTCGTGAAGAGGGCGAGGGAAGCTGGAGTCAGCAGGATGATGTTGCTGCCGCAGAGGCCGACAATGCTTCGGAGCGATCGTTTAGGAGCGAAAATGGGGACGATGATGATCAGTCCGTGGGCTCAGATGAACTGAGCTTGGCCATCCCGAAGAGTCCGGAGCAGCCTGAGTCGCTGGGCCGGGAGGATGAAGCGACCGAAGCGCACGAGCAAGGAGACCTGGAGAACGGTGCTCATAGAGAATCTCAACACTCCGCACATCTCGAGGAGTCATTCGAGAGCGGCATTGATGATGGCGACAATGATCGAGAGGCGGCTTCCGCCACGACCCAGAGTGAGCCGCCGTCGCAGGACGTCAAGCACCCGACATGGGAACGCCACGATGACAGCACGTCCCTGATCGACCTTATCAGATCTCAGGCGTTGATGCTTGCGCCATTTGGAATAGAAGATGCAGGACACGGTGTCGGCGACATTGAGGGCGAGCTGACCAAGTCGAGATCGGAGAGGGTTGGGTCACCATCCCCCGAGGAGGACGAGTTTGTCGTCGTCTGAGGTGACGCATCTCAAGTGACAAGCTCTGATGTTGGTGCAGACCATGTAATGCGTGCCTTGGCTTCAATCACTGATCGAACGACTTCTGCTCCTGCTCAACGACCTAGGACTCCTCCCATCCTCAGAAGCCGTTCCACCCGTATCCTCATCGTGTTTCTCGCCGTTTGCCCCTTCTTCCTCCTCTTCTTCCATGGCATCCAGCTCCGCCTGCAACGGACTGACCCTCTCATCCAGCTGTTCTAGATCCTCCAACAGCTGCCTGGCCGGCAGTTTCCACAAACTCGTCCCGCACACCCTGTCCTTCGTGAGCAGATTATCCACAAACTCGTCCATGTGGATCAACACGTAAGACTCCTTCCTCCGCTGTCTTAATTTTCGCGAGTCCTCCAGAAACGGCTCCAGGGTCTTGTAGACGTCTGCCGGCTCAAATGTCAGGCGGACATAGAATGCCGCGAGTGCCCTCAAGTATTTCCACTCTTCGCCCCCGTTTTTGAGGTATTCAAGCACGATCTCCCGGTCGGGGACGAGGGTAAGGAGTTTGAAGGCGAGGCAGATGAAGGGCGTAGGTTTCATGGCGACGCCGTACGTGCCGCCAATGTAGGTGAGTTCGACAGCTCGGTCGCACAGAGTGGCTGCGTTCAACCCGAAGCATTGTTCTTTCCAGTAGAGAGAGTCGGTAATGCGGTCGCGCATGGCGGTTTCTAAGAGCAGGGCAGGGTTTTGGCCGCGCACCAGCGGACCGCTGTAGCCGCGGTTGTCGAGCGTGTTGGAGGCATCGGCGCGGTGCGTCATGGTAGCTGTTTATTATCGATAGAGGGGCGGGGGAAAGAGTCGGTCGGTCTCTGGGTCACCTTGTGTGGCGTGGGTGAACATGTTTCATTATCGCATACCACAGAAAACGTGCAGCAACGTCATGGGAGCCATTACCCTTCTTTCGGCTTAGCGTGGTGCCGCCCTATGCACAGATAGTGACCACCAACGACTAGCTCTATATATGGTGCTATTAGATGAGGACGGATGAAGTGTACCAATTAGAGTGAACGAAGATATTAACATTAAGAGCGGTACTTATCAGCCTGACTCCCTAGATAGTTACCGCAACACGGGTTTCGCAATGACCTCCCTCGCCAAAATCTTCAATATCAGTCTGGCGTCGACCACACCTCATACTCTTTCATCACCTGTTCTGACAGAAGCCCATCATCGAATTCTCGGTCTGAATCCGCCAGGCTCTCTGTCGTCGTTACCCGAGCAAGGTTGTTTGACGACTTTGGGGGAGTAGGCTGGGCGGTAGGTGACAATGGCAAAGAAGCTGTGGCCTCGCTCGCGGCTTCACGACGTCTTGCCAGCTCCTGCACCCGTTTCTGCAATCTCGACGCTGCAGTTCTGTGTCAGTCCTGTTCGGGATCGAGATGGAAGAGCTAGTGGGAAGAAGTCATACCGTTCCTCTCATTCTCCACGATAAATTTGCGCGGGAAGCCACTGATGGGATAGTCACACGTGTGGACTCTACCCGACTTCGAGTTAGACTGTCTCAGCCGCAAGAGGATGTAGACTGGTTCCTCGCGGTCCCAAAGCTCGATCTCTCCATTCCATGCTCCCTCGAACACTTTGCGAGTGTACATGTCGGCAAGGAACTCTCTGTCCAGATCGAAGAGCTGTACCACAATTTCAATTCAGCGCTGCTCCTATGCAGAAGAGATGTTCCTCAAATTACAAGACAGTAATTACGCACCGTGTGTTCGTCCGACGAAGTCAAATGCTTCTTCACAACAAAACAGGGGACAAAGTCCCCGATGATGTGGTTTTGGAGAAATTCAGCCAGAGTTTTGATGCTCTGGTCCTGGTGGGCGAGCTTGCAGCGGATATGGCCTTTTCGAACTTGTTAGTCGATTCCTTCCCGTTGTCATCTGCACTCACCTGAGCAGACGAAGGCCCGTTTTTGCTTGTCACCACGGACATGTGACTCGTCCTTTTTGAAATAGAAGGTGCTGGCAACGAGAGTGTTCGCAATTTCTGTAATCTCGCGGGCTAATGGAGCTTGTCTCAGCAGTTTATGTACCCTGGCTTGAAGGTTGTCCACTTCAAGTTTTGCATCTAATGGTGGTGGCTTTTGTCGGAGGTCAGGATTGATGCGGACATAATGGGACGCAAAGTCCGTTGCCCACTGCTCGCCTACCGTGTCGCGGTAGAACTCATTCCAGGCCCATTCAGTGTCGAGGATATTATCAATTTTGTCGACCTGAAGGAGCAAGGTCAGAGGTGCCATGGACCATTGGGAGAAGGAGGTGGCGCCATGATACTTACGAGGACGCTGAAGTAGTTTTGGATGCCCTTGATGGCTCGATAGCGCTTTCGAGAGTCTCGCGGTACTTCCTTTTGCTGTCTTCTTCTGATATGATCCTCTCTGGAATGGCCAGAGAGCTTCTCCAGTTTTCGGGTCATTTCTGCTGCATGTTGACCTGTGCCAAGTGAGAGAAAAATATCAGGGTGTCGAGATTCAACATCTGGCCATAGCAACCTTCGCTCCCTTTTCGCGACAATCACGGGGTTGTTATGATTGATGGCCCCATCAAGATAAGTCCTTCCACGCCGCACAAAAGGTTTGAAATATGACGGGGCGGCAGAGGTTGCCGCGGCAGCTTCCCAGACACGGAATGCTTCGCTCGGAACTCTGGCGGTTTCCAAAGTGTAACCGGGATCCGAGGTCTGCTGGCGGTTGTAGTTGGCCATGATCAAGGCTCGGTTCCCTGTACCTGACGTAGACACCACAGCTACCTTCGTGGCATATCTCGCCGCGGTACTCCTCCCCCCAAACAAAAGATCGTCGCCAAAGGACTCTTGCAAAACTTCGTGTAATGGTGTCGTCCTATATTTACTCCCGTGGTTCAAGGTCGCCAGTTTCTCGAAGACTGTATCTGCGAATTCCCGTTCGGAGAATGCTTTCCGACAAACATTCCTGAACCTGTGCGTGCATTCAGATACCGACCACTGGGCTGCTACCAAACCGAGAGCGACAATGCCACCGGTGCTAAGCGAGTCAGAATTGGCAGAGGGACAGAGGTCAGCCCACTCACCTTGTTCCCACAATAAGGTCGAACAGTTGCTGGATTTGAATCCCAGGGGTTGAATGGTAACTGTTGATGCAATTTTCAATGGCAGCTAAAATTTCGAGCTCCACGATCCCACGGATTCCTCCCCTTCAGTCGCCATTGTTAGTCGTTTATAAGATGCTGCGGAGACATACTCACCCGTCTAGGCACAGAATCCTGAGTCCTGCGAATTCGGGCTTTTTCGCTATTTCCCAGTTCATGTATTTCTTGCCTCCATGTAAGGGGCAGCTTCCGACCAGAATGATAAGATCATCCTGTTCCTCTCCGTGTTCTCGAATGCAAGAGTCGCAGAGGATGTGACCACATTCCAACGCGTGTTCTGGCGTTGCCATGAGACATCGAAAGCAGCTCACACAGCTGATGAAGTCCAGTGAAGATTTACTCTGGGACGAGAAGAACTCGGCAAGCTTCTCATCATGTAATCTGGAGACCAGTTTGAGGTCCTCTGAAATGGAACTTTCCTGATTGCTGGAAAGATCAGTTCGAGATCGCCTTTGAAGTGTAAACTTCGAGCGGAGCTGTTGTATAAAAGCGTTATTGAGCTCCCTCAGATTGTTTTCGATCTTCCTCAACCAGTCTTTCTCATATGAAGAAGCCATAAGAGAAGATTTGTACTCTCCGATTTCTCTCTTGCCCTTCTCATTCTGGTGTCCCTTGTCGTGGGCTGACTTGACGTTGAAACAGTAGGGAATTTTCTTACTTGTGTATTCACAAGGCATAACATCGTTGCAGAACATGTGTAAGGCTGTCCTGCAGAAGGGCGCATAATCTTTCGGGAAATAATCAATCACAGGGCCTGGCCAAGATGTTATTAAGACGTCTTAGTATTGCGAAAGAACTGCACGGACTCACCCTGCAAGTTATTTCGGACGTAGTCGAGCAGAATGCATGATGCTATCAACGAACATAAGCCAGCGAGGAGCTTTATCGGTTGCAAACGCTCGTGACGAGTACTCTCGTGAATCGTTCTTGCCAACGTCAAAATGTGATCGCCAAAGTCGTGGGCAATGAGTTTATTACGCGTGGACACCATTCTGAAGTCAAAGGGTCTTTCAATGTCGTTGGCAAAATGCTCGAAACCTGCTTGAAGATATTGCTGCAGGTCGTCGGCGTTGACCAGCCGGCGTTTGATCCTTTTCTCGTAGTGAGCGGTCTGACACACGCTGACAATCTCCTCCCGGAGGAGCAAGATTTGGTTGTTGATCAAGTTGTACGTCTCGGAGCTTTTCGCAGGAATGCGAATGACGCGGACAGATCGATAGTAGCATTCAAGCAGCTCTCGAGCAGACAAGCCACGGCGGTCCCCTTCGGGAGCGAAGTTTCTCGCGAGCTCTTTGAGATCATGCTCGGTGCTTGTGATGCCTTCGACGTCTCGAAAAAAACTATTCGTCGCGTGTTCGACCGTCCATCTCTCCTCCTTACCAGCTACCTCGACAGCGTTGAGGACCACTATCGCGCTCGGCAGAATAGGTTGATTCAGCGATTTTTCGACACTGCGCTTTGCCCAGTCGACGAGATACTTGTACGTGATGTGGAGTTGGCTGGTGTGTCGTCGTCAGTAGGGTCCTCCTCCTGAATGAAGCATACTCACTTCGGATTTCTCTGGACGAAAACAATGGCATCAGAGAATGTATAGAGAAACCTCGGGTACAGATTGGTGACGGCATACTCTCGAGTCCCCTTTACTGGATCGTTTGGTTTTGTCCATTCAATGGGGACAGATCTCCCTGGCATCCTCTTTTTTATTTTCCTTGGGCCACTCGACTCTTTCATCGATCTTTTGGAGTGCGACGACTCTTTTGTTGTCTTCCTGGAATGGGACGACTCGTCGGCAGCGAAAGGTATCTTCTCACCCGCATTCAAACCCTCGCAGTCCGCGTAAAGGATAGGCATCTCAACCTCCAGATGCTCCGGATCTGCGTAAAGGTGCACGCCTTCAGACGTGGCTGTTCCTTCATTGGCCCTGGAACCTGGAACCGGAGTCTGAAGGGAATTGCGGTCGGTCTCGGGTGACACCAGACCGCCGTGAGAAACAAGAGCTTTGACAATTGTGCTCTTCCCGGCATCTTGTCCATGTTAGAAAGCTGCCAGAAAGTAGGTCTCAGGGAACCTACAAGTGTCCCCAATGAAAGAGACTAGCTTTGGGTATCTCACGGCGCCACCGAGTGGCCGGCTCTCCATCATCACCTGACCGTAACGGCCAAAGTCATAAAACTCTGATTTTCTACCACTAGTAGATTTGACGACCCCGAACCATCTTGTGTCTTGGTCTTTGTCGTGCAGATCCCTGATCTCTTGCGGATCCATCGGCGGCTCCAGGATTGAACGTATCATCAATATCGTGGCCCTGTCTTCCTTCACATGGGGCCGTTTACCGAGATTCGTGGTCTTTGCCTTGTGGGCAGCCTGTTCTGGCCAGCATTCATCACAGAGTAAGATACCGGAACAAGATGAACAAAGCCAGACAGGGGCATGAGACCGGTCACAGCCATCACAAGCATTGCTGTTAGACATGGTCAACACAGTGCAATTTTGGGTTGAAGTTTTGGATTTGGCGTCGAGAATTTGCCAGGAGAGAAGAATCAAGGCAGGCGCAGCTGGATCACACGGAAAGATATAGGTTTGGTCAGGCAGAGGAGGAGAGGGGTTGAGGATGTGAAAGTCAGGCCTCAGCCTCACCATCGATACGAGCGCAGCGGATACCCATGGTATTTTGGACCAGTCGTGCCACCTTGCGTATTTGGATGGCTGCTGCTGCTGAGTGAGTCCCACGGTTCCAAGCACCCAGCCATGAATCAGCATGGCCGTTCATTGCTCATGAAAAGGCAACTAAAAGGCAGTGGCCCAGACATGCAGATACACTAGCCTTACCGAGAAGGAAGGGCGGCCTCAGAGTCTGGGCACATGCACGCAGGCTTCGCCTAGAACCTGGTCGCCTCGAAAGTTTCGTGGGAAGGCTAGGCGTGCCCTTGCAAGGGTCACCCAAGGCAGGCCTTCTCGTGGCACTGAGACAGCGGCATGGCGTTGGGTTCAGAACGGCACTCGTGTAGAGCGGCTGGACGGCAGGAGGTAACAGCAACGTTAATGGCTGTGCTTGCACTTATGCGTACCGCGAAGGACAGCCCGATAGAATATGTGTGGAACCGTCGTTCTGTTGATTGAAAGGCTGTCTCGGGGAGCTGCACAGAACAGGCCAGGTCTGCAGCTCGCGACCCGGTGGGTCTTTATGAGAGAGGGTCGAGACCTCAGACGAGGAGACAAGGTGCATTTTCGCAGTAGGGACGGGAGGAAACTGCCGAAGCAGGCCGGGGGGGTTTGAAAGAGGAGCACATATTCGACGAGCGGGAAGCGTGGAGAGCACGGGGTGAAAATGTGAAAATACGCAGAGCCGCAGGTGGCCGCAATCTAAAAGCGGCGGTGCTGGTGGAGATCCTTGCCAGCCCCCATTGGCCCGCCAAGCAATCCTGTCGTCCCTCGCAACGGAGGCTGTAAACACGCCCACTCTACGAGGAGTACCTAATAACTGGACGACCAAGTTCCCTGCACATGAGCGGCCTCACCCGAAGCCCATCTCAGAAAAGCAGACGGAAGTCAGAACTCACCGAGCATCTATCCAAGAAGATCTAATCTTTGAAGTAGAGGTCGGACAAGAACATTCCGCGTACCACCACCACGGTGCCAACCAGCTGTATGAATACCCCCGTTTCCCGGATCACGAATTGATCCCTGCAGGGCAATGGTCCTCCTTACACACTCGACCGTCTCGGTCATTGTCTCTGGTGGGGTGGTCTGCATGTTCACATTCCTGCTCTTTCTCTCGGGATACGTGCTACAACAGCAGTCTGTACGGTCCATACAAGAAGCCATTCGACGACCGCCTGAACGAAAGCCCGTGCCTACTTTGCCTCCTCAGTTTCAACATGAAGACAATGAGACTGTGCCGACAGCGTTAGAACAGCCTCAAGACGGTTCGCAGTCTGTTATCGTCGTTGACGGTATTGAGAGGTCCGGAAGCGAAGGAGGACTGATGGACTCGGGCCAGGTCCAGGTGATCATCTCAGGCAAGAAACAAGCTCCCTTGGACGCCACTCCAGACCTGTCGGAATCAACTTCGAGAGACGAAACGCCGCTCCAGCGTCTTGCGTACATGTTCGCCCTCCTTGAGCCACACCACCTGTGCTCGGCCCTCCTTTTCGCAAAACAACAGCGGTCGTCCACGCGGCTGTCCAAAGAACCATCGATCGTGCTCCTCTATCCATCCACGTGGGAAACCGATTCCTCTCCCCTTTACATATCAACGTTGAGTTTCATGCGCGAAATCCAGGAGCTGCACAACCTCATATACCACCCCGTGCGGATATACGATGCATGGGAGGTCAGGTCGCAATTACTGGGAGAATTGCAATGGGGGCGGTGGGACTATGACCAAGCACTGTTCTTACGCTCGCCGGGAATGGCGCTCGATAGCAAGGCACTGGACGCCGCATTAGCGTCTTCTGATATAAGGCAGACATGGGCGCCGTTGAATCCTTCTTCAGGAGACGACCCAGAGCTCTTGCTCATCACTCCCAGGGGTCTTCAAAGCCCGAGGAGGGAAACGAAGAAGTTGGTGTATTCCGTTGCCACGGGTGACGACGGCGCGCACATACAACAAGCGGGGCAGGAACCTGCTTATGTGCTGCTTGATGACCAAGCCTTCGGTGACGAAGTTAACGATGTGTGGCACAACGAAATAAAGCGGAAGTTTGACCAAGGGACAAGCAATGTTTGTGGAGGCAGCGGGCTCTTGGAAGAAAGTTTGAAATTGGCGTTGAACAAATCTCTGTAGATAATGAGCACGAAAGGGGATGTATATGATTCATTCAGAAAATAGAAATGTCGGATACCACTGCTTACTAGTTTCCTGATGCTCTCACCGGGTGTCAGTCACTGGATGTCAACCATGACATCGAGCTGGTCTGGACAATCGCCGCTATCTTTCGCTCCCAGTCTCGACGAAGCAGATCCTCACAATAACCCAGCCTTGGAAGAGCCATGCCACATAATGCCATGCAATCGCAGCAAGTAAAATTGTCCCGTACTCGATCCAGTTCAACCCCAGTGCTCCACCGCGAAAACGGAATCCCGTTGCAGCATTGATGTCACATTGAGCGAGGTTGCTCTCATACAGAAACCAGGCGTCCCGTTTACATGTCTCACTCAACGCGGCCTTCTTGGCGCGAGTATATCGTAGGTAGTGCAACAGTAGGGCGCAAAATGCTATGACGGAGAGGAGCTGGACGACCCAATGTATCAGACTCGGTGTAAGCCATTTTCTGGGCGAGAAGGAAGCCATCGATAATTTCCTGTTGGATTGGTCGGCGGGGAGTTCTGCAACCTGGAAAAGCATCAGCTTTGTAGAGGACGAATTTGTTTCTTGTGCGCCGTGACAACCTCGAATGCTTCTTCATGTGGGTACTTCTGCGAGGGATGTCGTTCATGTTGGAGGCCATGCAGCAGCCGACACTCCTCTGCGTCAATATCGGCATCCATGACGGAGACGGTGGTGCGTAGGAAGTCGTCCTGAGACGTCACAGCGATGACAATGCGCATCGAGGGTCTGGTCTGTGATTGATTGATGCTAAGAAATAAGTGCACAATGGTCCGCGAGGTGATGATGCTGTGGTGCTGAAGAAGGTGAAGTCAGGTGAAGCACCTTCTTCGTTTGCAGTGCTGAGCATGCAGCACAACCTGCCTTGACTTCTCTCTCTGTGCACATTTCAGTCTGGTCGTATCTCAACACGTGCATGACGTTTCTCGATCTTCTTTTCTTCGAATCTCAATTCATTTCAGTATGGCTCTGCACCGGCCGAAGACTGCGATTGACTTTATCACACGACAGCATCAATAACCTCAGATCGCTTGTTAGCACCGTCACCTACCACGCGAGATTTGAGAAAGAGAAAGATGTTGAAGGAGACAGTTCTTACCTCGGTCAGGCGAATACGCAGTATTTGGAAAACCTTTACGGCCGGTTCCCCATGGCGGGACTGGGCGATGGCCCGCCCGCTGCCAAAGAGCATTCCAAATAGCACCCAGAGAGCGACCCATTGCCCCAATTCGCTTGGCTCCACGGAGGATCAACCTTTACAGGATGGTTGACAAGAAGGGCTGACTAACACCAAGAACCGCAATTACAATCATAGCACCGCAGCTAGCCCGGTGGCTGGACGCAGTTGTTGATGAGTAAGGAGAAGTGAGTCTCGCTTCTGGAGAGGAACCCTAATAATATGCGCTTGAGTTTCGGTAGGGATGCCTGGAAGCTCTTCCACAATAGGCTTCGTCTTACTTAAAAAACCCAACGGCCGAGGCGGCGGGGCGTCCATCCACTAACAGCATGACGTCTCGACCTCTCGCAGTTGCATTTCTTCAACCATGCGGACCGGGGGAGAAGTCAACCGAATGACTTGGTAATGCAAGCCACCACGATGAATAAAGACTGATAGCAAAGGTTTGATACCTGGTATACGAGGCTCAGGAAAAGTATATCATGAGACTTCCCCTGCCTTTCAACCCGAGATTTTTCTTCATCAGCATCGTGACTTGACGAGTTTCGATAACTTCATCAACAGGCCAAATACCTCTACAACAAAGAACAACACCACTTTTCACCTGCGCCTTCACCATGTCTACCTCCAAATCCGCTGCCTCCTTGATTCCCTCTGACCCGGCCAAGGTCATGGTCATCCGAGATGTTACTCCCAATATCACTACGCTCAGTGTACCTTTCCTGCGGTTCGGACACATCAAGCTTGGCGGTCGGGGGACCTTGGTCAAGCTCCAAACAGGCAACGTAGCTGTCTTTTCTCCCGTCGCGCTCACACCGGATGTCAAGGCCAAAGTCACGTCCATGGGTCCGATCAAATACATTGTTGCCCCGGACATCGAGCATCACATATTCATCTCCACATGGGCCAAGGAATACCCCGAAGCAGAAGTGATTGGGATGGAAGGGCTGCCAGAGAAGAGGGAGGGCGATCCAGCTACAAAGGGCATAAAATTTGCACATGTTTTCTCCGCAAAGAACAAGCTCGACATGCACATCACGCCCGAATTCGACACCGAGTTCTCGTACGAATACTTCCACTCCCACACCAACAAGGAGCTGGTCTTCCTCCACAAACCCAGCAGGACCATGATCGAGGCCGACTTGCTCTTCAACCTCCCTGCCACCGAGCAATACTCTAAGGCTGGAGTGGCTCCCAATTCCGGACTTTTGACCAAGCTCTTTGCGGGTATTATGAACACCAAAGGCGAGATGACCTGGCAAAAGCGCTTTCTGTGGTACGCAGCTGCGGGCAAAGACAGGCAGGGTTTTGCGGAGTCGGCCAAGAGAATCAAGTCGTGGGACTATGACAGGATCATTCCTTGCCATGGAGATGTCATCGAAACGGGTGGGAAGGTGATTGTGGACAAGGCGACTTCGTGGTTTACCGAGGGCAAGCATTGATCGGTCAACGGTGTGGTGTAGTGTGGTGTAGTGAAAAGGTTTAGGCGGTGTTCTGATTCACTTGCTTTTGCAGTTTAGAGATACCATTGATAGCTTGTTTGCAGATTCTCGTTCAATCATAATTAGTATTCAACCAACTTGTATATATGCCATACTACACGCCAGTCCTAGAGAGCTGTGCCCAACCTCAAGGGCACGTAGAAAGAAAAATGAGCATAGTGAGCAACACTATCTTGCTTTGTTTGAGATGAAGACGTTGACGTGAAGGGCAGGATGTCTTTATATACCTCCAATGGGGACAGACTCGGGGAATCCAAGGTATCAACTGGGCACAATTTAATATACTTCGCAGCGATACCTTGACCGCTGCAACCCTACACAGTGCCACGTTTGCCTCCTCATCTCCTCCACACCATAATAATTACCATCCATGCAGGTCCCCCCTCCGGAGTACGTACTACCTTCGAGCTTCCCGAACTCAATAGTACAGCGACTTCTGCCACCAGCGACAGCGATCGTTGTCGTTCGGGTCCGCAATCACCGTCAGCCCCGTGACGTTGAGGTCGAGGATCTTGCCTGCCGCCGCCGCCCCCTGGCTCTGGTTCTGGTCCTGATATACAGGCATGACGGTGCTCGGGGCGTCGCCCTTGCGGTTCGGATTGCCGGTCAGCGCGAAGCGCGTCAGGGCGCGCTGCATGAGCAGGGCGATGGTGGCGTTGACGCTCGCGCCGGCCGTCGCGGGGTTGTAGTACGTGTAAGCCACGTCTTGGCCGTGGTAGGCGGGCGGGACGCTGAAGCGGTAGCCGTAGTCCGCCGCCGGGTTCTTCAGTTTGCGGGCGGCGGCCGTCTGCAGGAAGAAGGTGTTGCAGGTGAAGGCGCTCTCCTGCAGCGTGAGCTCGGCGCGCTCGTAGAACGAGGTGTAGGGGTAGCTCCCGTTGAAGATCGGCGGGTACAGCGTCTCGGCCACGTAGTTTGCCACCGACGGCTGGATGCCCGGGAACGTCCCCGTGATGCTGGACAGGAAGATCGAGTTGTTGGTGCTGTCCGGGTCGGTGAAGTACAGCGTCTCGTGCGTGTTGAAGCCCGTCATGATCTGCACCGTCGTGTCGTAGTTCCCCTGCGCCAGCAGATTGCCCGGCAGGCTGGGCACGAGGTCGCCGTCGACCGTGGGCGCGAACGTGAACGTCCCATAGGGAGAAGATGCGACGAGTTCCACGTTGGCGGCAGAGAGGGCAGCGAAGGGCAAACCGCGCGCCTCTTGGATGGTTGACACGTTGAGGAGGCCCAGGTACCTCTGCAGCAGGTTGTCCTGCTCCCAGTGACTGGGAAACGGTTCGAAGCCCGGGGATTGCAGAATGGCCCGCTGGAAAGGTGCCGGTCCCTTCAAGCCCGCGTACGCCGTGATCTGGTGCATGATGGACCCGGCTCCCGCGGACTGTCCGAACACGGTGACCTGCTTGGGATCGCCTCCAAAAAGATGGATGTACTGTTGCACCCACTCGAGTGCCATACGCTGGTCAAGAAGGCCCGCGTTGGCCGTGCCGTTGGATTGGACATTGGGTCCTGATAAGAAACCAAACGCTCCGCCCTGTGGGTTTGCGTCAGATACCTCTGAGAATCAAGGGGGTGTAAGGGCGTGGTCGCCTACTCTATAGTTGAAGGTAACGTAGATCACGCCTTTGCCACTGGGGTCCTCTTCGCGGCTTCTCTGAATGAGCCCGGCAGGATTTCCATCCTGATACATCTTGCTGAACGTAAAACCACCTCCGTACACCCAGACCATCACCGGGGCTCCTGTCGCGTGTTTTGCGCTGGCGTTTGGGAAGATCTGTTTCGGGACAATGACATCCAGGAATAGGCAGTCTTCCTGTTCCGTAGGTTCAGGTTTAGGAATAAGGCCGGCATCGCAGGAAGCGGTGGAGGTAATGGAGCCGCTCAGCAGAGCCAAGCCACAGAGGTACCAGACAGGGTATGATTGAGGACAGGTGCCTCCGGAGCTGCCATCTTGCACCGTTCTGTTCGTCAATGGAGGCTGGGGAGCCGTGAAGCGAAGACTGCCGGTTGGAGGCCGAGCATATCGGATGTTGGAGAAGTTGTAGAAGTCGAAGGTCCCCTACAAACGGGTCAGTCAGTCATCCCCTCTTGCAGCTGCACAAATCATTTTTGCCTACATTGTATCCAATTGCTTGATGGAGTCCATACCCAAGGTCGACAACGGGCAACTTGGCACCCTGAGCAAGTCCCACGAAGGCAACGATGGGGGCCAAAAGCACCGGGAGGAGCATCTTCTCTGTGAAGAAAACTGACTTGGAGTTGCCAGCCCGTGCTCGACTCTCGGCGTGGCAAGAATAGCCACTGAGCTCTTATATGCCGACATCAGTTCTGCTTTTGAGACGGACAACGGAGCCAATATTGACGGCTCAATTTCGACAGGTATACCGCCGTTGGATCAAGTGGCGTGCTGCAGAGCCCTGCCGTGCCGGCTCGATTCGCTCGTCGTCTAGCAGCAGCGACTTATAGAATGGTTGGAAGGGAAAACCCAGTCCGTGATTGGTTAGCTTTGCGGAGAGACCAATCAAAACCGGCGAGTATTCGCCTCAATATCAAGCACTTCGCACGTATGCCACTAGGACGGATGATAGGTAATTAGGCTGCAAGGGGGTCTTCGGCAGTAGGACCCGACGCAAGTCCTCATCTGTCCATGCAGAGTTAGACATATTAGTCCATCTCTTGTACCTTAGCTCCGTTTCAATTCCAGACACTTCCGGCCTGACAGTCACCATACGCCCACAGCTCGCTGTGTGAGAAGGGGATTGTGTCTCTTTCGTGGCACAAACTCTGGCTCATGGAAAGCGCCAGTCCAATACCCAGGTTATTCCCAATTCGTTTCAGATGATTCGAGATCCATATTTTTCGTTCGGGGCTGGTTGTAGGCAACGCACCGGCCATGAAGAGGGGCCAGAGGAGGAGTTCGCCGCCTGGGATGGAGTGTGCGCCCATTGCATTCTGGTGGTCATTGGAATTGTAGTGTGGGGTCTTCAGATTGGGTCTGAGGTGGTAGTCGACGCTCAGGCAGATTCCAGTGCTCATCCGGTGTAACAAATTGATGGTCGTGTGTAGTTGCTTGCTGTCGACCTCAGTGGTGATGGGAGAGGAGACTGCCGTGGACAGCAGCGTCTCGTGAATCAAGATCCGAGCACCGCGATAATTGTTCCAGATAGAGGCACAGTATAAGTCGGGATAGACCTCACAGGGCATTCCTTCAAATTGGGTGTGTAGGGAACAGTCCTCAGAGCAGCAGGCAGGATGAGGCCTCGGCCTCCAGGGCATGGGGAGCTGATCCTCCCAACGCTGAAGCATGTTGTCGATCGGCAAGAGCATAGATGAGACGTCCTCGATCTCTTGTTTCACAGATGCTTTGATCAGTGCCCGGACAGACGCGAGCGTCTCGACAATTTCCGCAAGACGGTTACCGAAATGAACGAACTCGCGATTTTCCCCAATATCGGCGCATTCTACCCATGTGTGCCATTTCTTCAAGGAAAATGGCACAGGTTTTTGGAGCTGGTACGCAGAGAGAACCTGTCACCGTTTTCTGTCAGCAAGACTCCTGTGGCAGCCACCAAGCACACAAGCTGAGATAAGATGGCGCTTACGATGAGGCGTCGAATCTGCAGGAACAGTTGAATGCTAGATCTGTCCTGGAACTGGTTCGGACCACGGAGGTCGATCAGAGCTGCTGCGCCAAGCATGTGATGACTCCATGCCTTCATTGCTTCTCGACCTTTCAGGGCAATGGTCTGTCGCTCATCCGTTACTGATCGTCTCGATCCTCCCGCGCTGGGACGACTCACCTCGTAGATGGCTAACAGCATAATGCTGGCAAGAATATCGTTGGACTTTGCTTCTACTAGATCCCCTAGCGCATGTCTACATTTCAGCATGCCCAGCCCGCATAAGCGGTAGCTTTCCAGCGTCCATCTGGGGACATTCCCCACATTGGCGTAACTGGCGAGCGCAGCAGCACGCACGATCGTAGCCAGAGGACCGTCTGGACTGCCTTGAGCGTACAGTGACGGCAGATATCCGAAGGAGCCAGATTGAAATTTCTCCGAGGTTGCTGGGGGGTGGTGCACATACTGAGAGAAAAAGAAGGAGACTGCACGCGTCACGACGTCCATGTCCAGCCCGCGGGGCAATGCGTCTGGATACTGGGCTTTCGAGTTAGAGGAGCGTTGCCTGGAGCTGCCCTCCAATACAGCCTTGGAGGAGTGCTTTGGTCGGTACGTTTGGTATTTGCGGGTGACGCCTTCGGTTTGATCGCGAAAATAGAGGTCAACGCCTGGCCGATACCCAGGGCAGGGCCAGTCAGCCTTGATGCATTGGATGCATGCCGGTCTGGCTTGGTTGCACTGTTGAAAGGGTGTCATCTACATCTTCCAGGATATGCCCGTGGTGGGAGCAACCTTTCGTACCTTGATCTTTCTCTTCTGGCAGTTGGCGCATGCTCTGCTGGGAAGGCCATGGTTCACCATTGCCTAGACTTGGAGTGTGTGATCACTCGAGCTTTGATAGACGCCCAACAGTGGCTTTGGGGGAATCCTCATGTCCGAGTGGACGGAAACGACGACCCTCTTCGTCCAGGAATATTGAGATAAACCAAGTGCAGGCTATCGGTTCAAGACCCCAACGCCGCCCACGCGGGCAGGTCGGAGGCATGGGGGCCAGAAACACTCGGTCTACCCCAAGTACGAGGTAATTAGTCCGTATCCGACAAAAATACGGAGGATGGCACCCAGTGGCACCCAATCCACCCAAAAGGAGGGAGTATTGGGTATTTGTTATTAGTCATCAGCCCCCTACCATATCGAATGGGGGTGGCAGGCCAGGCTGGTACAATTGAGTATGGTGCCCATAGAGGATTTACGTCCGTAAGCATTTTGGTCCTGGAGCACGAATGAAGCGGAAGTCAGTTCAGTCGACAATACCGCACAGAGAGTGTCCATAGATAGATGCCCGTTTCAGGCACGATCATGAGAGCTCCTCTTCAACGCTCAACTACCTTGTATATCTCTGCCGACATGGAGATGGGGAGAGTACTCCTCTCCTCATTTCGGCTCCATTACTCTCTCCAGCACTAATTCTAATAGTGTTCGCTCCATCTTTTCCGCTTTCGAGACTCAGCTTTCTTTGGTCGACTTCCGAATGCACGATTGCCAGAGACCTGAATGCGTTCCCATCGCCCTTCTCGACTTGGACAATTTTCTATGCGGCCTTTACCAATAAGACACCTACTAAGAATTCCACCACCCTATTCCTGTCGACGCCGACAAGGGGATCCCAAGGTCTGGCTGTTCAGCGAGTAGAAGATGTGAGGAGAACCCGAATCTGATGAACGACGACATCAAGGGAAAAGTGGCCGATTTGTACGATATTGAGGGGAAGGCGTGGTTTTGGCGTGAACAAGCAGGAGAGGGAACGGCACGACGAAGGTAAGAAACACAACGGGCAAGGGTTCGAGAGGGATGTTGGGTTTGCGCGTTCCGTCAAAAGGACAGCGTGGGTTGTCAGCCATCAGGGCGAGGCACGTGGTTACACACCATCAAGAGATTTCACCTCAACGATAGAGAAGAGAGAGAGAGGGAAAGATGGATGGAAGCGAAGCAACTCTGGGCGCAGTTGATCGAGACCTGACGTCATGTGTGTGTCTCGTGACCTCCACGCTGGACTTGATTTCCGGTCCGTCGCTTCTCGCTTACCACTTTCTGGATCACAACAAAGTCGAAGTCGACCTCACCTCTCAGCACCTTGTCAGATCTTCTCCCCGTGGGGCTTCCAGGTTGGTGAGGCTCAAGCATTCTGCCTGGTTTTGGTAGCATGTTTTCCTATCCCAATTGTCCCCTATGACGTCTGCCATGTTTGTGCAACGCGTTCCCCTGTCACGCGCCCCTTGACTATCGAGCAATCCCATGTCTAAACCAGGGTCGTGGTAGGACAGCACACGGTCTGGTGTGGCACAAAATCAAGGCATGGCATGGCCATGAATCTCCTAGGCAAGAAATGTCAGTTCAAGGTGAGGATAGAGTGGTGATGTAGGTGTCTGGCAAACGGAGAATTTCTGTGTCGCCTTGTCAACTACCCTTAAAGTTTCACAGAGCTCCCTTCACTCAAAAGGTACCACATCACCCTCGTCAGCGGCAAGTGAAATTCTTCTCACCGACTTTGTCCCTTTCTGACTGGCAATATTACCTGTTCCCCTCCAAGCATCTCTTTTCTCTCTCAAAAAACTTCTCACCAGTCAACCGCTCGTCAAAATGCCCGTCATCTCCAGGATTGTGTCGATGGGCCTGCGTGTCTGCGAGCTCGCTTTCGCGGGGGTAAGTGTAACTCTGACCGATCTAACCAGCATTTCTGAACTATGTACAGGTCGTTGCGGGCATCGTCGGCTCCTACCTCCAGGACTACCGCCACGGCAACGGTTGGCCTCTTGCGCGCTTCATCTATATCGAGATCGTTGCTGGAATCTCTCTTCTTCTCGGTCTTCTCTGGTTGCTTCCGTTTGCAGGTGGCTTCTTTCACTGTACGTGTCAAGTGACGCAATATGGTGTTCAAAGGAAGACATGCTGACCGCGGACTACTCTTCTTGAATAGGGCCGATGGATATCATCCTCTCGTTTGCCTGGTTCGCCGCCTTTGGGCTCCTCGTCGAATGGGCAAACGGCACCAGCTGTGATGGAGACACCTTCGACTGGAACCAGATCAGCTTTCATGGGTTCTGCGGTCGCTACAGGTCCGCCGAGGCGTTCTCTTTCTTATCTGCGATCCTGTGGATCCTGAGCGCTCTGGTGGGCATCTGGTTCGTTCATCGTGAGAGGCGCAAGACTGTTGCGGCGGCTCCTGCCGCCAACGGAGCGTAAGGTTGACCACAAAACTTGCTGGGAATCAGTATGTGCTTACCAAGGCTGTCAGATACGGACGCCGCCGACCCTGGTACCGACGCAGCCGCGTCTAGATGGAGGAAGTGAACCAGTGTCCGCTGGTCAAAATTGGAAGTCTCAGGTCTTGGGTTCATGCGCAGTCGGCTGGTGAGGATGGCGCATTCTATCGTCCTTATTTTCAGAGATACCCCTTATGCCTGTGGATTGTCATATGCTTGATACGGGGATGAAGTTCTGTCAGGGGTTGGTGGTAATGATGGGGTGAAAGGGCAACTTGACAGACAGGAGTGCATGTAATAGCTGATACCAGATGACTCTTTCTGACGAGTGCTCTCTACGTTTTGTTTGTAGCGCCATCGAGTACCTTCGACCGTGGCCCTTACGATTAGAGCGAAAACAAGTCCGTAATATTCCAGGCTGGAAGGCGAGACGCCACGCACCGTGAAGATTCAGCTTCCTATGACTGCTGGCGGCCTTTTCCCCTCCGACCACATTGCTAAGACTCTCGAGGCTCTACCACGGAGGAATCAACAGACTCACTTTGCACCTCCCTGGCCCCGATGAAATCCACCTGGCGTCAAGAGCACCCGAAGACGGATCGTGTCCATTCCTCGCCATTTTGCCAGAGTTACGGGTCAAGATCTACCATTGTGTCTTTGACAAACTCGAAATCAACATGTCAAGAACGTGGAGAAAACTGAGCGAGGGACAGGGTTCTCCCACCAAGTTTCTTCAAATCCCCCTTTCATTTGGCCCTGCTACGAGTGGACAAAAGGGCCAAAGAAGAGAGGTAGGTGCCTTACAAGATACGAGCTGGCCTCTTCGCGAATGCAGGCAATACGAGTGGGAACAACGGGTCAGTCGCATCACAACTTCGCGTTTTAACCTTGCACTGTGGCTAGAGAGGCCACACAGCTGTTTCTCCTACTACCCTGATCGAATTTCGGAAATATCGACGATACCGCTGGAGACGGGTTGAAGATGTGCCCCATTGTCTCCTTCCTACCACGAGCAGATATTGTCGTGTTTACTGTTGAGAGCTCGGGATGAAATCCTGGAGTTTTTTGTTTTTTCTTATGAGCTGAATCCGATCCGTTAAGGGGATTGGACCTGGAATTGAGCGATACAAACTCCGAAACATGCATGTGCAGAAACAATGAGCATCTCCCCTTGTCCACGGGCTTCTGGTTCCAGCCCTTCGTCGGCCATTGTGTCTCTTCAGTCTTCGATGTTGATAAGAATTCAGGACAAAACAACCGTGGACTGGTGAATTACTACTGTGAGTCCACCTGCACGATCCGCATCGCCCGTTCTCGCCAGCACATTTTTTCAGTTGAGATTTGGGGCCCCGTTCCAGCTCCATACACAACCTCCACTCTCATGTCGTCCCTCTAACCAAGGCTGACGTGTGGGTTCCCACAGAAAAAAAGAAGCAAGGCTGCTAGGCCTCCACAGGCTGATAACGTCGGTTCAATATTCCACGGTCGACATTCCAGATCCCGCCACGCCCGCCTAGCCGGCCAATGGGTGATCTCCGCCCTTGGCATCCACCGGGCAACTTGGCGAGGCATTCCCGCTGTTACATCCTTGGCTGACTCCATTCCTCTTTTCCCTCCACTTGATCATTCCTTGCCCATATCTGGGTGTTTTGAGTTATCCCTGGTGGGGGTCTCTGCCCGAATTTCCCCATCATCTTCTTCTCTATTGACGACGCCCGGCAGGCCATGAAAAAGGCTGTGCTTGCACGGTTTTGGGATATCGATCACTTATAAGGTTATTGATACTCATTTCTGGGCGATGCTGGATGACATCTGCCAACATTTCTTGGTTCTTGGTGCGGTGGAGGTTTCTCCGCTGCCAAGGGCTTTGCCTGCGAGTTGGAGGGGCGCCCGCTAGGCTTGTGTCTGAGAAGCGGCCTTCTAGAAAGCTCATTGTTTTCTACTGAATGGCCGGATTGTGCTCCGTTTTGACTGGGGGTTCCCATGCAAACTTTTGCCGTGTATGAGACGATGTCACCGTACTCCAGATCATCTCCAGTGGACTGGATCAGCGCGCGGGGTTGGGGATAGATGATCCATGGTATATGAATGGGACGGAGCCCCGTGGTCCCCCTCCCTCTTGTGAATATCTCCTGTCCCGACATATCTGGGCAATCCCTTTTGACAATCCCGGTTCTTTCACACATCAAATATGTCGGACCCCAAGACCGCCGATGGCTTCGACAACAGGCCTAGCGCAGACCACCATGAAAAGCCCACAGGTACGGAGCGCCGGCGCTCATCCATCGCGGATCTCAACCGAAACAAGAACTTGGATGCAAAGTAGGCGGCGCCGCGCCCTTGGTGTCTAGATGTTTTGGCTAAGCTTCGACAGGATCTCAAATCCACTTTCTGATATCCCTCAAGAAGAGTTGTTGGCGGATGTGAGAAACACCTCCCAATATTTCGTCTCAAGTCTCAATCTGACGGTGTGATGACCGACAGGTGGAAGATTTCGCCAACCGTGGCGGCCTGGCTTCCGAAGTCGAGCTGATCAAGAAGGGCGCCCTGGTCGCCCAGAACCCCGGCCAATTTGAGAACCTCGCGTTTCTGACCGACGAGGAGAAGGATGCTCTTCGTATGGAAGTTTCGCACAAATGGAAACACCCGTGGAAGCTCTACATGACCGTTATCGTCTGTTCTATCGGTGCCGCCGTCCAAGGCTGGGATCAAACCGGGACCAACGGTGCCAATCTGTCGTTCCCGGAAGCCTTCGGCCTCAATACACCAGAGGGAGAGCCCGGCTACGAGAGAGATTTCTGGATCATCGGTCTCGTCAACTCGGCTCCCTACATCGGCAGTGCCTTCCTGGGCTGCTGGCTGTCGGACCCTTGCAACTACTACCTAGGTCGTCGAGGTACCATCTTCACCTCTGCCATCTTTCTGATCGCCACGCCAATTGGTGGCGCCTTTAGCAAGACCTGGGAAGAGTTGCTTGCCACCCGTGTTCTCATGGGCATCGGTATGGGTTTGAAGGGCGCCACTACGCCCGTCTTCGCTGCTGAGAACTCTCCCGCCGCAATTCGAGGGTGATTCCCCCCCTTTCCCCCTTGCCCTGGAGAGTAATATCCCCTGGAAGGACTATATCGCTGACATTTGCTCGCAGCGCCCTTGTGATGACGTGGCAATTCTGGACGGCTTTTGGGATTTTCCTGGGCACCGCATTCAACTTGGCTGTCTGGAACGCTGGCGACATTGGCTGGCGACTTCAGCTCGGCTCAGCCTTCATTCCTGCTATTCCCCTCGCTGGGATGATCTTTTTCTGCCCGTAAGTCTCCAGTTTGCAGCCCCTTTTGCTGTTTTCATTGAACCTCTTCGCCCTCTTATCATCCCCTTGGTCTTCCCAATATTGACTCAACCACACCGAATCTGACAATGTTTCTTGAACAGAGAGAGTCCAAGATGGTATATCAAGCACGGCAAACCGGCCAAAGCATACCAATCTCTCCTCAAGCTCAGAAACCACCCTCTCCTTGCCGCCAGAGACTTGTACTACATCAGCACCCAGATCCAGATCGAGCACGACATTGTCGGGGATTCTACCTACGTATCACGGTTCATGCAGCTGTTCACCATGCCTCGTGTCCGTCGCGCCACCCTGGCTTCCTTCACGGTCATGATCGCACAACAGATGTGCGGCATCAATATCATGGCGTTCTACTCCTCGACAATCTTTCGCGAGGGCGGTGCGTCCGACTTTGAGGCGCTGTTGGGCTCGTTCGGCTTCGGCGCCGTTAACTTCATCTTCGCCATTCCGGCCTTCCTCACCATCGACACCTTCGGCCGACGTGCCTTGCTTTTGTTTACGTTCCCGAACATGGCTTGGACGCTCCTCGCCGCCGGATTTGCCTTCTATATCCCGCGATCGAGCAGTGCTCACTTGGGTGTCATCGCCCTGTTTGTGTACCTCTTCGCCGCATTCTACTCACCCGGCGAAGGCCCCGTGCCGTTCACCTACTCCGCCGAGGTCTTCCCGCTGTCTCATCGCGAGGTTGGCATGGGCTGGGCCGTGGCGACGTGTCTGTTCTGGGCCGCCGTGCTGGGCCTGACCTTCCCCAAGATCCTCGAAGCGTTCACCCCCACCGGCGCCTTTGGCTTCTTTGCGGGCTTGAACATCGTCGCCCTGGTCATGATCTTCTTCTGGGTTCCCGAGACCAAGGTAAGATACATACATCCTAACACCCTTAGCCTGTTCTCCTTGCGTCCCCATCCCTTCTCGCCCTCATGCCACTCGTCCATACCGTGCTCCGTATACTCTAATATCAGGCTAACCATTCTCTGTCCCAATCGTACAGCAACGCACGCTCGAAGAACTCGACTACATCTTCGCCGTGCCCACCCGCCGCTTCATGTCCTACCAGGTCGGCACCTGGCTACCGTGGTGGTTCAAGCGCTACGTGCTGTTCCAGAAGTCTGCCGAGCTGAAGCCGCTGTACACCTTCGACCGTGGTATCGTCGCCGACATCCGTGAGCAGCAGCGCGAGGTGCGCGAGCACGAGGAGGCCGAGAGGGCCGCCAGCATCTCGCGCGACGTCATCAAGACGGCGTGAATCCCAAGTCGTCCGGCTCGTCAGGCCACGCCACACACACCACAGTAGAGGGAAACTAGGTCGCGTGGCGCAGGAAGCCTCTCGACAAGAGAGGTGAGGTACATACCTACCTACCTGGACGATGGTGGCGGATGAGCAAGCCAGCCAGCGAGCGCCACGCAAGGAAAGATGTGTCATGATGTCGAAGATTCCTAGAATGAAATGCCCCCCTGTCTACATTTACATAGCCGCTTTTCTTTTTGGATGATATATATATTGAATTCGACACACAATCAATGAACAAATGAATGAATGAATGAATGAACGAACCAAGGAAAGAATCAATAAATCACCCAATCAATCAATCTATGCAGTCAACATGCGCAATGTCCAGAGGGGTTCATTCAGCCATGTTCGTCCGGATACGCTGATCTCACCCCAACAACAACAAAGTAGACGTGTGCCAGAGTAGTGCTAAACAAATAGAAAAGATAAGATAGATTGGGGGAAAACTGTATCATTCATGGACTCCGCGGGAGCTATGAGCTATATGTATATATAATATATCTGAGTAAGTAGTTAAAAAGGGAACGAGTCTCTCCCTTCTCTCTCTCCCCCAGCACCCAGCACCCACTCACTACCACCACGAATTCGCTCCTCGCGATGACGACGAACTGCGTTCGCGCATAACTCACTCACTCATTCATCATCACCACCACCTCCACCTTCCTTCACGGTGTAGTAGACGCTCGCCTCGCCTCGGGCCATGTAGTCGAATGATTCCTCGCTGGTCGTGGTCGCAGGGGGGCTTGGGGTCTCCTCGCCGTCTCCCGCTTTCTTGCTGACACCACCCGCGCCGACTCCGAGACCTCCGGCCACGTTGTCGTTGTCGTTGTCGCCGTCATCATCCCCTGGCGTCGTCGAAGCCTGTCTCCCCTCCCACAAGATGCCGTCACCGAATCCCCAGCCGAGCCCCTTCTTCGTCCGGCGGACTTCTCCCTCCATCAGCCTCAACCCGGCGTGTGGCGCGTCTTTCCCGCTACCACCGGTAGATGTTGTTGTTGTCTTCAAGGGGAGATTTCGCTGGTGCCACTCCCCCAGGAACATGCCCTCGGGGTCACTTTCGTCTCGGGTCTTCATGAAGTCGCGCATGTCGTTGCCGTATGCCTCGTTGATGTACGCGCCCACCGTGTCTGAGAAGTTCTTGGCCCAGTGCGGCTTCCCACCCAGCTCCCGCATCAGGTATTCGAAGGCCTCGTAGTACGTGGCGTGGCAGGGTGGGTCACGGCCGTAGGGCCGATACAGCGTGGCATTCAGATAGAGCGTCGGACCGTCGGGGACGGTCGGGTCGAGATACGGTCTCACGCCGGAACGATTGGGGTTGACCTGACCGGTATGGGTGACGCGCACTTCGACGGGGCAATGCACCCAGATTCCCTTGCTGGAGATGGGAATCCGCGCCTTGGCATCGTCATGGTTGATCCACGCCGAGAGCCGAGTGATAGCCTCGGGACCCTTGTCAAGCGGCAAAGCCCATTCGTTCACAAACTGAGAGTAAAGGCAATCCATCAGCAGCCCCTCGCGCGCGGGCTGCACCGCGGACATGACAAAGCTGCCCGGTTTAAAGCCGTATTGCATGCCGAAAACGAACCATTCGATCCACGGCAGAATACGCGGGAAGGTGTTGGACAACCACAGCAGATTGTGATAGACGTAGTAGCCGAACATACCGCCGTAGAAAGTGGTGTTCGGTGGACGACTGGGGGAGTCGGTTCGTGAGCCGCGCCAAATCACAGCGCGGTCGAGGTACGGAAGCCACCAGACCCGAGTGAATTCGTCCTTGGTCCACAGGTCGGTGTTCCAGGATTCGAGAACGGAGCGCAAGGTGTGCAGCGACTGGGACCAGGAGATTTTGAAATCGGGAACCGCCTGGATGGTGATCTCGACAATAATGCCCAGAGCCCCCAGCGAGAGAAGCCCAGCCCGGAAGAGCTCTGGATTTTTGGTCGCAGAACATGTGACGAGTTGCGAGTTGGAGAGGAGGATTGTCATGGAGGTTATAGACTCGGAGATCAAGCCGTGTTTGAGACTCGAACCGTGCGTCCCAGTTGAGATGACTCCAGCGACCGACTGGACATCGATAGATCCCAGATTGGGCAACGTATAGCCGTCCTGGGCCAGTACCGTGTTCAAATCATGCAGGGATATGCCGGCCTGGATGCGATAGAGGCCAGGAGTACCATCGACCCCCTTCTCGAGGACTTGATTGAGGTGGTCGAGGTTGATCAGCCACGACGAGGTACAGGTGAGATCTGATGGCGAGTGTCCGAATCCGGTCACACAGATGCGTTTTCGACATCGCCGCGCGAGAGTGACCACTTTCTGTAACTCGGGGATTGACGCCGGCTGAAAGTACAGCTCCGGTCGCGAGAAGAATGTCTGCGCCCAGGTATGATGCAGATAGCGGGCTTTGGGGTTGAACGGGATGGAGTCATCGAGCCGGGACAGCTCGCGCTGTAGTCTCGGGTCCAGATTGACGGTGGCGGTGGGGCCCGTGGAGAGGACGGAGGTATTGGGTTTCGTCTGAGGGAGATTCGACGCCGCCCAGTCCATGGCTATCAGCACACGGCGGCACAAGGGACTTCTGGGAAGTCAATAACAAGGGACTGGTACATTCAGTTGAGGTGGTTTGATGCGACGGGCAGCGACGGGCAGAAGGAAAGAAATAGTGCCAAGCAACCTCGGAATGAATCTAGACCCCAATGACGAATCTCGTTACCTAAGCACGCTCCGATTGGACGACAATTGACGACAGCGGTTTCAAAGCCAGCACCGGGCCGAAGTCCATTGTCCGCTAAGTTCGTTGTATCAAGCACATATTCCTCCAGACGAAAATTAGCCAATCCTCTTTCTTTTAGGACATCTTGTTTGAAATCTGCCAGAACCCCTGATCATCCAAATGGTAAGATGCACATGCATGCCGTGAGCCCGACCCAACCACCCACCCACTCAGGGATCCAGGTGCTCCAAGATTCGTCCGAATAATCAATCATCCTCCAAATCCAGCCTCCGATTCCGGTCATCAACCCGCCATCATCCGTTTACAGCATGATGCCTAGTTCCTGTATCACTTCTTCAACTCGTATACACACGGGCTCGTCCCGTGAAGCTGATCTTTCGGGCTTCCATTTTCGAAAGACTGATTTAATGTTTTCCGGAGGATCACCCATCACCACATAGCAAGCAGGCAAAAGAGGTCTATCCTGAACAGAGGGAGACAGAACAGCAATTTCTTGCGCGACCTGTACAGCTGTTACAAACTCGGCAGGCTTTTTGGCTGACCCACCAACGAGGCTGTCAAACACAACAATTGTCAGCACAGCTCTTATATCGACGACGGGGGGACCAAACTTACACATAGAGCTCCCCATAGGTGTCAAGGATGTGGATATGGTTGGGATCAAGGTCCTTCTGACTGAAAGGGGCAACTTCTTCCACCAGTGCCTTGATAGGCTGTTTTGGTGGCGATGACGCCCTCAAGCCCCAGAAACCGCCGGACGATTTTGGGCGGTCGTGCTCCACACGGTATAACCTGGGAGCATGACCACGAAATTGGCTTGGCTGGTTGTGTGCTCGAGAGGCGACTCGCTTGCCCGGACGGGATGGGAAGGCTTCCCAAAAACTGGCGGGCTCTTCACCTTCTGAGACTTCTTCAATTTCACCCGTGAGCCCCATGTCCATGCCAATCAGCCTTGCACATCCCACATCTTCCGGGTTGCTGCCCTTTCCTTTCCAGAGATAGAGCTTTCCGAATTTGGCCGATATCAGAAACGGTAGTCCAGAAGATAGGCTATCAGCAGATAAATCGACCTCGTCGAAAGCAACGTGTCCAAGGTGTCGCCTGCCACACAGCATATATAGAGCTGCTGACTTGCTCCTCCGGACTATGACGATCCCACCAAGAGCCTGGAAAAATTCGGAACTCTCTTTGCCTTGCTTGACCACCTCAAGTTTAGCGTTATTCTCGCGAGCAACTTTTCGGCAAAACAGCTGAGTATCCTCTACAGCAGCCTCTGGGACCTCGTCACCACACCAGAGATAGACTTCGGCACATTTTGAGCCGCTGGGCGATTCCATTGTATGCACACACAGGTACATACAGTCTTCGAAGAGTATGTGTTCTTGTTGAGGGGGCATGGTTGCTTTCTTTCCATCGCCGGCTATTTCCCAAATCTGTTTGCCGAGAGTCTTGGACTTTTCTGCCGCTTTGTTCTGGGAGGACAAAAATGCGTGTGTGTCGAATTCGGCCTTGTCTCTCGCTTGCGGCAAAACTCCAAAGAAACTTTCGAACTGGGGCTTCACCGAGCGAGCAAACTTTGTGGGAGATGCAGGACTCCGGGAGGATGTTGCCAATTTGGTCGTTGGAGCCTCGGGCTCTGGGGGCGGCGTCAACTCGGGTGTGGCTGTTGGCTTCTGAGAAACAGAGGCAAGCTGAAGGCCAAGGTCATTGGCCCTAGATGAAGAGAGTGAGGACGGCTTCAGCGAGCTGTTCACTTCGGGCTTTGGTTCTTTGGGGGTATTGATCTTAAATTTATTCGGTGTTAGAGGTGAGTTCACTCCAGGCGGAGGCGAAAGAGGGCTGTTCTTTCTCAGGCCCTCAAAGTGGGGAGGACGCGACACAACTTGTGCACGGTCCGCCAGAACCTCGAACTTCTTCGGCGTAGAGGGCTTGGCTTGAGACGGCTGCTGAACATTCTTCGGTAGCAGTGCAGGATTCGATGTCATTTTCAGCTCCGCAGATTTGCCTGGTTTGACTGGATCGGATTCATCTGCAACGTGCGCTGATGACAGTGCAGGACTCGATACTTTTCGGAGCTCGGCTGATTTGTTGGCTACAGCTGGTTTTGGTTTTGGGTTCACTTCTGGCTCCGATATAGGCTTCGGCCCGGCTGGAGCAGCGTTTCCGACACCCTGTTCATCTGGTTTGCGCTTTTCTGATCTTGGCTGCGATGCTGAGTCGTCGGCGGCAGCCACAGCTGGCTTCTTGTCCTCAACTTCAGCCAAAGGCCTGCTGGAAATCGACTTTGGTCCGAATACCCGCAAGGGAAGGGTATTGCCTGTATCAACGATTGCTTGTCGGGACGAGACTGACGATGAAATTGTAGGAGCATCAGTGCCAGAGCTCACAACCGGCCTTTGAACAGAGGTTGTACTGGTCCTTTTTGAGGATGGCCCGCTCTGAGGTGCTCTTCTCTTCGGACCCTTCGCCCGAGCCTTTGTCATGTGGGTTAACTCTGCATTATCGTCATTCGTGTTCTCGCGTGGCCCTAATGTGGCCTCCCGGACTTGTATCGTGGCTGCACCGTTAGATGGTGCCTCACCGGAGGGTTTGGGGCTACCACTTCGCGATAAGATGCCGGCCAGTGCAGGGTTGAGGCGGGCTGCAAGCTTGCTATTTTCTGGTGCTCTCGTTTTGAGCGTCGACGCCATCACAGGGATGGCCGTAGCCGAATATGTGTCTGCTTTTGGGTGGCTGTCGTCACTGCGGGTTTCGGGCGCTGATTTGACAGGCAAGACAGTCGTCGAGATAGATTCAGACTTCTCGGGTCTGCCCGCAGGTAGTTTCTGTGCTGAGATCGGTGCTCGTCCCGCGGGTACAGGGGGATTGTGCTTCTCTGGGTCTGACTTGACAGAAACACTCTGAGGTTTTGATGAGGAAACTGCCGCCCTGACTGCTGTATCGGTTGCTTGCAAGACTTCGACCTTTTCATTGGACGGCCCAGTTTTATGCAGTGTCATACGCCTTGCCAACGCCTCAGGGACAGCCTGGGCAGGTTTTTCAAGAGGACTAGGTGCGTCCGGACGTTTTCCAATTGAACCACCCCCCGTCTTCATAGCTTCTTTCTTCTGTAAAATGCTCTCTTTGAATTCATCCACGCGCTTGGTCTTTTGTGGTCCGCCCGTGGCGGCCAGTCCTGCCTTGCCTTTGGTGATATTGTCTTTCAAGACGTCGGGAGCGACATAGTTCTGAGTTTGTGCCCTCTTCAGTTTCCCGAAGACGGCCTTGAACTCGGGCTCTGCTTCGTTATTACTTGCCGGTGCTGCTTGGCGCGACTTCAGACCGGCTCTGAAGTCGGTCTTAGGAGGCGTCTGGGGTTTCGGCTTCAAAATTGGTGGCTTCAAGTCAGAAGTGTTTGTTTGCAGGGCCTCGATCGAATCTTCTTTGTTCTCGTTAGATGCCACCGCCGCAGATTCAGGTTTGCTGTTTGAACTTGTCCCATGTGAAATAGGGGTGACGTTTCTCTTAGAAGGAACTGCCGGTTTCGCATCCTTTTTCTCGACCTTGGGCCGTTCGATTTCTGAGATGGGCGTGCCACGAGGTGCTGGTGCCTCATCTTCTGGGCCTTCCGCGGAGTCTGCTCCTTCTTCCGCTGCTGTTGTGCACGGGGCTTTCTTAACTACCGGTTCACTCAGCACGGCCGACTCCCTCAGGGGAGGTGAAATGAGAGGTTTGGGGGCCACAGCAGGCTTCGCTGGTACATTATCTGCAGCTTCGAACGATCGCTGTTGCTGTTCTTGTTTAGCACGCTGCATGTTGAGCATCCAGGCAGGTGTTTCAGATTTAGCTGGAGTAATTCTCGGAGAATCTGGTTTGTTGAGTGCACTCTCGAGCCAACTGGCTTTGGTCGGACTCCAGCGGCGAGGATCCATAGTCTTGGATGGGCTGCGAGACAAAAGCGTCTCAGTCGCTGGAGGAGTAGTTGGGCGGCCCTGTTGCTGTACTTTGGAGCCTGCATGGCCAACTTGGTTACCTTGCGCATTGGCAGTGTCAACTTCTGAGGGTACTGCAAGGACATCGTCTGTGCGGCTCAGTGGGCGGGCTTTTGTAAGAGGGATCGGTTCAGCACCATGACTCGAAACAGGCCTTGACGTTGATAGCGGAGATGACATGCCGTCCCGTACGCCTCTGACATCTCTGGATGGACCACGGCCGTGTCCAGGACTAAAGCCTGACGTCCCAGAAGCTTGAGCTGGGCGAGGTGTGGCAACCGAGTCCCCTCGCTTCAAACCTGCATTCGCTTGTACGCTCCATCTCTTACTCACACTATCTGATCGTTTCATCATCGCGCTCTCAACAAAACCGCCCAAGCCTTTGGTAGGCGAAGATGGGCGTCCGGCAGACGGCAGAATGCTGGATGTTCTTCCCAGACCGGATGACTCGGCCACAGACGAAGAGTTAAGGTCCAAAGGCGTAAAACTTGGCAGGTCCAAGGCAGGAGGCTTTGATGGCGACAAAGACACCATGGAGAGCGGTCTCGTTGGTCTGGGATCATCCTGCCTTGACAGCTGTTCCTGGTCCAGGGGCTGAGCGAAAGATGATTTCGGAGGGGACGCTGGAGGAGTCGCTTTCTCAGGATCATCCCTTGCGCGATCTGCGGGGACGCTGGAATCTTTTGACATGCCTGGGAGTCTCATGGTCCGACTCGAGAATGATGGGGCTGGCTCTGGATCAATCTCATTCTTGCGATACGCAGCTGAACCAATACCGCGATCAGCAGTCTGACGAAACCAAGAAGGGTCTTTGGCTCCTAATGAAGCCGCAATATCTTTCCTCGTCATATCATCACCATCCTTGGACGGAGCGGGACTCTGAGGGGTCAAATCGGGTATGGATGCCACAGAGAGCGGTCGGGGTCTTGAGCCCACACCCTTCGACGAAGGCCGCTGTTGCCACGATAAAGTCCCGCTCCTGGAGAGTGCGGTGGTATTAAGAATTGGGCTGGGCATTGAGGTGTTTTCGCTTGCAGGCTGAGGTGGGAGAGGTCGAGTGAAGTCGAGCCCGGAAGCCGCAGCTCGCTCCGGTCTTGGAGAGATCGAGTCGGAGCGGCCGAATGTACGAGACTGGAGGGGAGGAGGTGTGAGAGATACCGGAGGGTCGATCCCCTGCGTGGGTTTTCGAGAACTCTCTCCCGCAAGGCGCAGGGACGGCGTCGGGCCGGTTTTCGAAGGGGATAGAGACCGAGCGCGTTCTGCGAATGATCAGTATCTCCACTGGATTTTGTGATGGGACACTCTGCCAATAATACCTGCTCTTCTGGCCTGTCGCTCTTTTCTAGCCTGCAACATTTCCTCCTCCATCCTCCTTGATCGCTCGGCTTCTTCCTGGCCCTGCTTTGAGCTCAGACTGGCAATTCGGGCAAGAAACTGGTCGACCGACTCGGAGCCATCATTAGACGCGTCCATGTTGACTCTTGTGTAAGCGGTAGGCTTTCCAATCGGTAACCGTCCGTGCTAAAGGTGAAGATTATGCCGCACTCTGCATTGAGAATGAGAAGAAAGAATGGCCACCAGCTGGAGAGTGCAAAAGATAAGCGAACGAAGGCGAAATGAAGGTGTTGTAGGCCAGCGACAGGCAAGGATAGCCGGGTGAGGAAGTAGTAGTACAGCCCGCAGAATATTGTTGGATTGTATCAATTGTTGATGTTTGATGCGTGGTTGCGAGAGGCAAAGAGGAGCGGGACGCCGGGAACACGCGCGCAACACGTCTCCGCAGCCAAATCCAAAACCCAACCAACGGCTGATCTGTTTATATTCCCCCTCTTCTTCTCCGGAGCGACCTCGACCCTCGTTCCTTGTCTTCGTCTCGGACTGTCGTTGAAGCTCGACACGGCGGTGATGAGCAGGAGGTTTCAAGATGTTGGAATGGAGTAGGGCTGGTACTGCGCCTGTCCTGGTTGGCCTCTTTGGTCTGGCCGGCAAAAGGCCAATTTACGCCCTGTGCATTATTGGACCTGCCGGGGTCCCATGTGGCTTTTGCTTCGACGGTTTCAGCTGTTCGAAACTCGGGATTGCTTAGATATCTCCATAGCTTAACGGCGACTTCGCTGCATTGTGCCCCTCTTGTTCTAACCATATTTTCCGTGATGTATCAGTACAAAAACAACCGATCCCGAGCGTCCTGCACCACCCAATCCAGACCTTTCTCCAGGTTCTCGCCAGTCATTGCACTGCAAGGAACGACAACCCAACGATGGGTCAAGATGCGCTCAAGGTCAAGCAGCTGCGTGACTTCTTCCTTGGTCATCCCCCCTGCGACGTCGGTCTTGTTCAGGAAGACCAACAGACTTGCTCCGGCTAACCGCTGGTCCTGGTCAACGAGTGCACGGTTATACCGTATGCTGGCGTACCTCTTCGAGCAACAATCCCTTCAGTTCCATCTTGCAGTCATCCATTCGCAGCCGGTCTGTTGCGTCCACTACCCAGATGAGTGCGTCGGTCTTTTCAAAATAGTTTCTCCAGTATGATCTTATAGTCTTCTGGCCCCCGACATCCCAGATATTGAGTTTGTAACTGCGTGGCCATGCATTAGTCCCCCCTACGCAACAGTGTCAGAGCTGACAGTACCCCTGGAAATCAATAGTCTTGATAATGAAGCCTAGCGTCGGGCTGACAGTGTTGACATCTTCATTCATAATCTTTTTGACGATGGTCGTCTTTCCGGCGTTGTCGAGTCCTCTGGGACACAAATCAGTATCTTGCCGTCATAAGAGGATCATACACGTACAGCATCAGGATGCGCATCTCCTTATCCTTCAACCGAGCTTTGCGAAGGATGGAAAGCATGACGACGTGTTCCCCTTGCCCGTCGTCGCTTCTGGTCGTCGAACTGTGACTGCGTAGCTTCCATGCAGGAATGCCGGTATTTGTCAGCCGCAAGCCAGGGTGGATCGTTATTGGGATGCGTCAACGTGCACGGATCGACCAAGTGCTAATAAGTGTGCGTCCTCTCGTTGTAGTCCTTTGTGACTGGCTCGTTGCCATGGTTTCTCTTGACAAGTCGGTGTTGGTGTATAGCAGCCCGCCGCTTTTAGAGCCAATATGACGAGGCGATCATCACAGCAGCTGCCAATTAGCTGGAGCTGTGACAATATACAAGGAAGGTGCAGCGAAACGGTCAAGCGGCAACCAGTCAACCTTTCCTCCTTGTTGTGAAGATCAGGTCTCACTGTGATGAGACAGGGTGATCCTTCATCCTCACCTTCACCAGTCAGTATTTCGTCGGTTCCCGGACATGGCTCAGCTTTGTTCATCTGCAGCTGCTCACCTTGTGCCCTGGGTGGCCGTTAATGAACAGCGCAGGATTTCCCCACGCGCGTGTCCGACCGACGACTCTGATTCTACAGCGTCAAGCGGAGAAGGAGATCCCCTTTCTGCACCTAGTCTTGGTTCGTCATGCTGAATTCAACGTTGGCTCTTTCCATGTGCCTCACCCACCCTTCTCCAGTTCATCACTTGTTTCACCAAAACAGATCGCACATGTTAGTGACAGTCCTCGAGCAGTAGCACGTGGTCAATATCACGGTCAATATCACTCGGGAAAGGCAAGTGTGTCTCGTCTATTTAAGTCCCAGTTCATGTTCATATGTTGTAGTTGCTGGTTACCTCGTTTTGTTCGTTTAACCCCTACAGCAGTTGCTCACGCCTTGGTCCCCCTCTCCGAAAAGCACCATGGGTTTTCACCCTGATCAATATGGATGTCCTACGGCAAAGAGGAGGCCCAGTGAAGCGGCTCAAAATCACTCTCAGTTGGACTGCGATCCAGGCTGGTACCCCCTGTTGAATAAACCTGTCACCCAACAGCCTTCCTGCATGTCAAGGCAATCCACACAGAGCGGAGTGACAATTCCAAGCAGTAGGGATGCAGCACTGACAGAAATGGAGAAAACAGGCTTAACTTCAGTTGTTAAAACAAGCGGAAGAGAGACCCGAACGAAAGAACAGAGTGATACAAAGCCTTCTCCGAGTGCCAAGTCGCCCAATCCAGCGGGCGCAGTCATGACAATCCCCGGTTTCGACAAGAAGGCCTACGGTGACCCGACGCGACGAGGTCCAGGTCAGCGTTCGAATACAAGAACAGAAAGCGAACGAGACCTGAACCCTCCCTCCCGGCACAGCTCAGAGCCTGTATTGCAAGCGGAGACGGTGGTAACTTCAAACTTGAACCACATCAGATCCGAAGAAAAGTCTCGAGGTTCTCAGACTTCGCCACCTTCCCTCACCCCCTTTTTACCTTCATCTCAGATCCCTAGCACACACTCTACAGAGGTTCGCCCAGCTGACCAAGGGCTGAAAGACGACAAACTTAACGAGGACCGACGTCGCAGTTTAACAACGATAAGCAAGATGAATTCTGCTGAGAAAGCTAGGTTGTTGGGTCGCCCCGAGACCTTCGAGACTCTCAAGCAAGGGAACGAGAACGCAGATCAAGTCATCACTCGCCTTCAAGCAAAAGGTCTTCGCGAAGTGACTCGACGTATCCAGCAGAAAGATCATGGTGAGAACATTACCACCACAGGTGTCTCTATGCTCGACTTCCTCCGAAGTTGCCCCCAACCCGACTCAGAAAGATCTCAGCAGAGAGGAGCCACTTTCCCAGCAAGTCCCTTTCAAGATCCCAATCACAGCCCCCCACGGGATCAATCTACCCGAAACAGAGGTCAACTGTCTAGCTTCAACCCTCCAGAGTCAAACCAAGTTGGAAAGGCGAAGAGATGGCCGAGCATGAATAAAAAGAATCCCGCACAATGGAGCAATGCTGAAGCCTGTGAGGAACCAGAAAGCGATAATGACTCGACAAAACCCATGGCAAGTGGCTTTGGCCGACTCATCCATAGTCGAATCCCTGAAGTGGCCGAGGACGATCTTGCAGGCTGGGACGGAAACTTTCAGCCGGCGCCTCTTGAATGGGAACATCGTCCTAGCTTCAGCAAACTTTCTCCAGGGTTCATTGCAAACATCCATCAGTGGCTTGGTGCAAACACGATGAGAACCATGGCGCACAAACCTAAGGTCGAATTCTCCACTATCCCCACAGAAGAAGTCAAGAATATAGACAACCATGCTGATGGCATTGGTTTCACCTCAAAAGAGACGGTGATTGACATAAACAATGCAGAGCGCTATGGCTTCGCAATCGCCGATCTGAGGACGCTAGGTGTTTCTCACCCAGCAGACTTCGACAACGACGCAAAACTGGATCTTTCCGATCCCGACAACGCTTGTTACAAGGATGAAACCGCGCAGGTGTTCATCGATAAGCATATGGAATGCCTCGGACGCGAGGCAAAGGAGGAGAAAACCAGAATGGTGCTGCCAGTCCCAGTCGAGTCCGAGAACGATATTGCCAGCGAGCAGGAAATAACACAACGCAAAGATCCCGGCACTCCCATAGCAATGACAAACATCTACCTTCGTCCCGCCGTCAGTGCGGACATCCGCGGTATGAAAGCCATTCTGAACTGGCATATTGCCCAGGGCGTTCGTCCCTCGGAACTGTCAGAAATCACGGACGACGACATGCACCAGCGGCTTGATCTTTCAACCCAAGCTCGCCTACCATATATCGTCGCCGTGGAACGGAACCGTAAAAACACCCGCACCAAGTCTCGTAAGGCCCCGAGAGTCAATCCCAACCATCCCATCCAAAATATTGACCCTAACTACGATGGCCTCGTGAAGGATGAGCCCATCGTTGGTTGGGCTGCTGCCACAGACTGGTCAGCGTCTGATTACGTTGAAACCATCACAGCGGAACTGGAGTTGTATGTGGCGCCTGGTCACCGCAAATCAGGCGTGGGACGATGCTTGATGGACGCTCTACTGGATGCTACAGACCGCGGATACCTGAAAAAGGGCGGCTACGAATTTCGAGTTGCACCAGAGATAAAGCATCTGTACTGTGCCGGTGGTGGACGTGATTTGCACAAGTTGATATTTCAAGTGCGCAGCTTCAACAAACCCATGTCCCCGCAGCATCTTGACGGCATGCTGGGAGCATCTCAGAGACACGCTGATTTTCCGACCACTAAGAATGGCCTGGGCAGTCTCAATAAAAAGGGTTCAGGAAGGAAGTCATCTTTCGCAAGCGCTGGCAAACAAGAAAAGCGAAAGGATTACTCTGCAGCCGCAAAACTCGATGACCGCGAAGACGACTATGAAATTTGGCTAAAACAATGGCTCGAGAGACAAGGCTTCGAACAGGAAGCGCATCTGAAGAAACTCGGAACGAAGAACGGGAGATTCGTGGATGTGAGATACATGACTCGTGAGACCTGCTGGCAACCTACGGATCATCGACTTCCAGACTACTCCAAAGGTTTCTGAGGAGCCCGACACGCTGTGCAACATATGTCAGCTAATGCGGAGATACTGCGCTCGCCTTCATTCACAATTAGACGGCATCATGGGCCCTTACTTCCACCTCCTGATTCAATGGCCTGGTTTTTTTCATTCTTTGGTCAATGTTTCCAACGGCAGTTCATTGCCCCTTTTTCCGCATACAACAGACGTGAAAGGGTCTCACTTCAGCATGCACAATGTTTTCGGTTTCCTCCACCCTTCTCTCAGTCCATGCGAAGAATCAACGACGTACACATTGACACCAACAGCTGAAGGGACGGAGACGATACTGGGTAACGCGCCAGTAATCTACAGTCTCGGCTCGTCTGATCGTCAGACATGCTCAAATTGCCTCTGGGCGACGAAGAATTCCTTTTCTTTGCAGTACTCGTGCCGACATTGGACCTTTAACGCAACCACAGCAACCATGCCACAATTTGACGTTATTGAGTCGTGGCCGTCGCGAGATAGTTGCGGACTGGGAAATTCCACGAATTAGTGCTGCACAGAACCATATTGCTAAAGATCACGACGAGGTTCTGGTGATGGGCAAGAGTGGTTTCTTCATCATCGGAGGGTTTTTTGTTTCCATTCCTTAGCAATTGCTTACACTGTGCACAAGATGCACATTGTACGAACTCGATGATTAGCGAAATCACGACAGAAACTAGGCTAAGGGGACTATGATACCAGCGGAGACGGGCACAAGGGGGCGTTGATTTCAGCAATTGCATCGAACAGAGCGCTCACGTAGATTCAGAGCACACCTGACAGAAACGGTGGAGGGCTATGTAAGGGGTCGTGACGAATCCATAGCACAATCAAGGGCACATGGCTCGACTTCCATACAAAATTCAAGGGCCTGTTTGCCACATTAGACGAGACGGGGTTGTGCATTGCCAACAAATCCGCGTGAGGTCCAGGAAAGGCTGCGTTACAGGCTGTAGAACAAGAGAAGTTGTAGGATGGCCGGGGTAGTTGCTACGGCTTCGAGCCTCACCAACCGATTTGGACAAGCATTTACAGGTATGGGAAATCCAGCACACAGAAAAAGGGCAAGAAGAGCACCGAATACGGGCTGGAAGACGCTATTCCCTGTCTTTTCTCTACACTTCCCCCGTGCTTCTGTTCAATCAGGTCGCTGATCAGGGCTTCCGAAGAAAGGGTGCAACAACATCCGACTTCGACCCAAACTGCTCTGGGGAAGGTCCGCAAGCCACCGACGCAGCCCCAAACGCAATTGGATCTTGCCAAGGGCAAGAAAGGCCGATAGGGCCGGACGATTGCGGCACACCGCGCTCTAGATTCTTCTCAGAAATTTTCTCGTCTGGGCGCGGCCGGGAATGACAGGGTATGCACTTTGTCAGGGGAGATATGCTGGGAGACATACAAGTTCCTTCGTTCCACGGACACAGCCTAGGGTCATGGTAAGGAATAGTGGTGGTCTATCTGCCACGATCTCGTATCCGATATCTCACTGTATCTGCCGCCGCCGGAAGCTTGGGCCACGTCCAAGGACAATTAGGGTTCCCACCATTCTTGCCAGGCGACCCCACCGAGCCCGATGACAGGCCAAGTTTCTTGCATCAGCGGGACATTTTGCTCGGTTGAGATTTCCGAATGGTCGTCCGGCCTTCTTGGAGAATGTGAGACCGTGCTCGAGGCTACGCCTTGACCCTGCGCCTGACTGTGCCTGACAAACATCACGATGCGTCAGCATTCATCTCGCGAGCCTCAGCATTCTTTTCCGGCATCAAGCAGCGTCCCTGACCTGCAACTCGATATCGGTGGGGATGTGTTTGGTGTGACCCAAGGGATCACCAAGAGGAGGACGGAGTTCGAGATAGGCGAGGCCGGCGGCTGAACGATCGGTCAACTGGATTGTTCGGGTATGCAGGTCATCGCATCATTAAGGCGTATGATTGGCTTGCACGATCCTGCTTGATGCGCCTGATGGCATTGGGCATCAACAAACACGTTTTGGGATGTCTCTGAAGTCGCACAACGCCTGACAATGACAGCTGTCAGCGAACAAATGTATGTACCCGACCAAACAGACAATCAGGAGGTCTCGAAGGCTGTAGTTGGGGCTGAAGCATCCCCCGCAGCAACACCCTTTTATTTTCAAGGTGTAGATGCCATCCTGGGCCAGGATTGAGTTTCGGACAGGGCTCGAAATAAGGGAATAGGCTTTGTGGACAAGGAGGTCCTAAGCCCACCGGAGTTGCGCATCGCATGTTGACCCCTCGAAAACTGATAATTTGTCCATTTGTGTCGCTACAGACTCCTGGATAGCGCCAGATCAGGGCGTGTTGCAGGTGGACGGACAAATGATTGACAACAGCATGGTCCTTTCTGACAGGGTTTCGTGTTGGTGGCGTAATCCATGGTGTGCATGGCTAGCATGGTATCTACAGAAACTAGCAGTCTGGGGCTGGGAGACTTCGGAGCTGAAGATGGACATGCTGAAGGGGGGTAAGAGGATCGATTGTCTTGAGCAGGGGAGCTAGGAGAGGGTTGTTGATCCTGCAATTGTTTAGACCAGGATTGTGTGGGATGTGGTCAAGACAAGGCTGATCGTTGGTAAAGGCAAACAGGGTAAGAAACGGTGCAGTCAGGTATCGAGTTAGAAGTTGAAGAAAAGCCCATTGTTATGGAGAAGAGACTTCTTTCTCACTTTGCCGTCATTCTTCTCATGTCATGGGCGAAGAGTTTTCATGGGTTTCCCGTCATCATCTGTTCGCCTAAATATGCCCCCCAAGCTTTCAGGCTTCCGCTTCCCCCTTCTGGCGCCTCTAGGTCTCTAAGTTCAAACCTTAGTTAGCTGCCACTTAGCCTTCAGTGGCCCTTGGGTGGCCCTGAGTAACCCCTCGCGCACCCAACCCACACCCACACCCACACTCGAAGTGCTCCCCCCCAGCCCAGTTCTCCTCTGCCTTCTTCTCGTTGAGTTTTAGTCCTGCTTCCCGCACTTTTCCTTGGATTTCCCACTTGTCTTTCTTCTGCCTCACCCCTCCATCTTCTCGACCTCTCTTGTTCCTGCGCGCGTCTCTCTTAATATCGCAGTTCTGCTTCTGCTTTCCTGCTTCCATTGGCGCCTGCTCTTCTCGGAGTTCCTCACGTTTGCGTCTGGTCTGATCTGTGGCTTGCACTGACATTTTTGGCCCCATCTAACCACTGCGCATTTGATCCGGTATGTGCAGAAGCCCTTGATCCCCCTCTACATCCCTTTTCCAAACCTCCCTCAACCTGTGCGCAAACGCAAGAGACGGATATCGTGCAGGGGCATAGCTGCGCGTGAGAGTACACTTCCTGTCAGGTTCGCCAGGTAGATGGAAGTCGCAAAGCGAAGGTCGACGCAGCACAAAAGACGATTGAAGAGCACCACCAACTGCTCAGACGTCAACCAAAGTCGCACTAGTCACAAGAGCTAGAATCGCAAACTTGTCTAGAACCTTTGGACCATCCAACTACAGTTCACAGCTTGGTGTTGGCAAAGACCGCCCCGAAATTCACATGTCCGTGACATTTGCTGCTGTATGGCATGCGCTAACATTCACTTTCTGCTAGACTTCAGAACAACCTTCGATTCCCAAAGACTCTTTGCGATCGCTTTGTACCCTGCTGCCTTGGACATTCGCCGTTCGGGATATTCTTGTGCGACAAAAGTTGGTTGAGTTGTCAAAAAGTCCACATAATTCCTTCGATATCCTTTTCGCGGCAACCTCTCGCAAGAGACCTCTGTCCCGTCGATCTTGGTATGTGCAACTCACACCCGCGGGCCTCCTGATGACCGCGACACCCGCTACCACCGCTGGGTGGGAAATGGCGGGAGACCCGTCATCAAATTCGGCATGGAATCTGACTCATCTCACAGGAAGTGTACTTTAGCCTTCAAGCTCGTCATCTTGATTTTCGTCCTTCAATATGTCTTTTCCTGAATACGGTCAATTCCCAAACACCCCGCAAGAGGGAGCTCCGGGTCAAGTTCCTACTCCTCAGGATGGAGCAGCTCCGGGCCAGCCAACCGACCCATCCGCTCAACAACAGATGCCATTCCCGAACCCGGAAGTAAACGCTGGAGCACAAGCTGGTGCAGGCGCGGAGGGAAAGACTACCCTCTGGTGAGTCCAGAACACAAGCCGCCCACTATCTTGGGACATGTTACTGACACTTCCGTAGGATGGGAGAATTGGAACCATGGATCGATGAGAACTTCGTCCGCAACCTCTGGTTTCAAATGGGCGAGCAAGTCAGTGTCAAGATGATCCGTGACAAGTTCTCAGGGTGAGTTGCGGCAAAGCCATCCCCCTCCCTCGCACGTCTCTGAACTCATGGTAGCAGCAACGCTGGCTATTGCTTTGTCGACTTCTCGTCCCCTCAGGCCGCGGCCAAGGCTCTCCAACTGAGTGGTCAACCCATGCCCAACTCCAGCCGCCCCTTCAAACTCAACTGGGCTTCTGGAGGCGGTCTCGCCGATCGACGCGACGACCGCGGGCCCGAGTACTCGATTTTCGTTGGCGATCTCGGCCCCGAAGTCAATGAGTACGTCTTGGTCTCGCTCTTCCAGAGCCGTTTCCCATCCTGCAAGTCGGCCAAGATCATGACCGATCCTCTCTCCGGCATGTCTCGTGGATATGGTTTTGTTCGCTTCTCGGATGAAGGCGACCAGCAGCGCGCTCTTAGTGAGATGCAGGGCGTCTACTGCGGCAACCGTCCCATGCGCATTTCTACGGCAACCCCTAAGAACAAAGGCGGACCGATGGGGAACATGGGGATGGGTATGCCTGGTGGCGGCCCTATGGGCTACCCACCCATGGGCCAACAACCTATGCCCTTCTACGGTGGCGGTCAGCAACAGCCACAACCCATGAATCAGTTTACCGACCCCAACAATACCACGGTCTTTGTGGGAGGTCTCTCTGGATACGTCACCGAGGATGAGCTGCGCTCTTTCTTCCAGGGCTTCGGGGAGATCACCTACGTCAAGATTCCACCGGGCAAGGGCTGCGGTTTTGTGCAATTTGTTCAACGCCACGCTGCCGAAATGGCCATCAACCAAATGCAAGGCTATCCGATCGGCAACTCGCGAGTCCGTCTGAGCTGGGGACGTAGCCAGAACAATTCTGGTCCAGCGGGCACGCCCTACCGCCCTGCGCCGCCGCCTCCGATCTACCCTTCGATGGGCATGCCTCCTGCTCACTCATACGGCAATTTCGCGCCTATGAAGGTTGGTCACAGTCCTGTGCCCACTCCACCCATGGGGCGATACTGACCTCAGGCAGTGAAACCCTTTTGACAAACTCGGCGCAGCAGGCGTTTCGTCCATGGGCATGCTTTTTTCCTGGTGGGCAGCGGAAAAAGCAACGTTTTCATTTGTCAAGTCATTGAAAGCAGCGCGCAAAATCGAAATCTTAGCGTCATCATCGTTGGTATGGGAGGGTGTTTGTCCAAGAGCAACAGAAAAGTTTCTTTCATTTCACATTTGCGATGACCCCTGACCACCGACTGTCTTTCGTCAACGGCAGCCGGCTGTGTACAACACGATCGAACAAACTTGGCATTCGCTTTTTGGTTGAGAGTGAGATACGATACCAACGAAAACGAGACATTAGCATGTGCTTGGGAAGCACTCACGGCAAGGGAGCGGAAGCATGGACGGATCGTCGCAAAAACGGCACCCGGGGGTGGTGATGACACTCAGTTGACAGAAATGGGCTCTTTCTTTCCTTTTTTCCCCTCTCTGTTTCTCTCTTTTCTTTCAGTCTCTCTCATCTGGGCCAAGAGGTCCTGATGGAATCCTTGAGCCCACATGGCACAAGATCGGGGACGTATTAAGCAACGATGGACTTTGGATGAGATGAGCTGGTACGAGGGAAACCATGGGTTGGTTCATAGTGAGCGGACCAATACAAGACAATCGTTGACAAGTCGGTTTCTCTGCAAGACGTTTCTATGTCCTCTGCCATCCGTCGTCTGTCCGTCTTGTGTTTCTTCCATCCACTGCTTCATGCCGCCTTTGAACTATCCTTCCTCTTTCGCGAGAGGCTGGGTTTGAGTGTCTCCCTCGACCCTCAGACCGGCCCGGTGACACCGGATATATTCTCCGCAAGCCTCGGCGCCAAGCATCTTGACCTCGGGATCTCGGCGGCTTCTCCAACTTCTCCTAAAGAGCATCCCCAGGACGAAGCCGCAGCACGTATAGCGACATGTAACGGCTGTCATATCGAAGCCGAATGAGCTTCGTTCGGTAAGTTCACGCTATAAACTATTCTGTCTTTTGATCGGATAATATCATCTAGCTATTGCGGACTGAAAAGGGGAGATTGATCCAAGGTACACACACAGGCGGACCCTTTTTTCCCCGCACCACGCGAGCATCATACCTTGCCTTGTACTCGGTACATAGAACTCTCTTCAAGAGCCCTGCCACGACTTCGGAGCCTCAACCTCTCAGAGAATCTTCAAGGCAAGGGCGCAAGCACTGTAGAGCACTTCAAACATGACGTCCAGGCCAATCCGTATCGCAGGTAAGCTAATCCCCCTCTCCATTCCCGGTCCCTATCCTTTCCTATCCTATCCTGAACCGTTCACCATCTAACATTCTCTCTCTGAGCCTTGTCATAAAGGCGCGTCCGGTTCCGTTTCCGACCGCCGCCATGCCATGGCTGCATTTGCAAAGGCTTACCCTACCGACCCGGTGGACGTCATCATCTCGGACTACATGTCGGAGGTGAACATGACGGTCGGGGCGGCTAGGAAGGTCGACTCGACCCAGTTGGCGGCGGACGTAGGCAACGCCTTCCTCGGCGCCGGCGCGGGCCCAGCGTTTGAAAGCTCGTTCCTCGAGGCCCTGGAGCCGGCGCTGGAAGACCTGGGCAGGTACGGGATCAAGGTGGCCGCCAACGCCGGGAACGCCGACGTGCAGGGCCTGTACAAGATCGTGGTCGACATGGTCCGGAAGAAGGGCCTGGAGGGCAAGATCAAGGTCGCGTGGATCTCGGGCGACGAGGTCTTGCCGGCCATCAACGAGGGGCTCAAGAACGGGAGCTCCAAGTTCAAAAACATCTACACGGGCCAGGTGCTGGAGAGCTGGGAGTTCGAGCCCATCTACGCCCACGCCTATCTGGGTGGCATGGGCATTGCCGAGGCGTTCCGCCAGGGCGCGCAGATTGTCATCTGCGGCCGGGTCGCGGATGCGTCTCCCGTCATCGGCGCCGCGGCGTGGTTTCACCGGTGGACGCGAGAGAACCTGGATCAGCTGGCCAATGCCTTCGTCGCGGGCCATATGATCGAGTGCTCGACCTACGTCACGGGCGGCAATTTCACGGGGTTCAAGAGCCTCGAGGCCGGGGGGCGCTGGGTCGACATTGGGTTCCCGATCGCGGAGATTTCACCAGACGGGCAAGTGGTGATCACGAAACAGAAGAATTCCGCCGGCGGGATGGTGACCGTCCACACGTGCTCGTCGCAGCTGCTGTATGAGATCCAAGGGCCGTGGTACTTCAACAGCGACGTCACCGCCGTCCTGGACCAGCTCTGGTTCGAGCAGCTAGGCCCCGACCGCGTCGCATTGCACGGCGTCAAGGCCCTGCCGCCACCCCCGACGACGAAAGTCGGCATCACCGCTCGCGGCGGATTCCAGGCGGAGGTGTCATACTATCTGACTGGATTGGATATTGCCGAAAAAGCCCGGATGACCGAAGCACAACTGCGCCACAGTCTCAGGAAATACTCGGACAAGTTTACGACGCTGTCATTCAGTATCCTCGGAACTCCGGGCGTGGACGCGGACAACCAAAATGCCGCGACGTGCACATTCCGAATTTTCGTGCAAGGAAAGGAAGAGAGAGATATCTCCTCCGGCAAATTCCTTAGACCGGTGATTGACAACATCATGCAGGGCTATCCTGGTTCCACGTTCCATCTGGACTTCCGTCTGGGCATCCCCAAGCCATACTTTGAATATTATGTTACCTTGTTGGATCAGAAGAAGGTGTCGCACGTGGTACATTTCGACGGCCGAGAAACACTGGTCCCGCCACCGACGGTCACAAAGGTCTTCGCGGAGAGGCAGCCCAGTCAGCCGGCCACGCAACTCCAGGTCGACCTATCCAAATTCGGGCCGACGGAACGAGTTCCCCTGGGGTCTATTGTGAATGCTCGCTCCGGGGACAAGGGGTCGGACTGTAATTGCGGCTTCTGGGTTGCGCGGGAGGACGAATACGTGTGGCTGAAGAACCTGCTCTCCGTCGCGAACATCAAACTCCTCTTGGGCAAAGAGTACGACGAGACGAGAGTGCCCAAGCTTGAAATCGACAGGTTCGAGCTGCCGAATCTGAGAGGTGTCCATTTCTTGTTCCGCAATCTCCTGGACCGAGGTGCCACCAGTACGAGCACCGTGGACTTCCTAGGTAAGAATTGCGCCGAGTTCTTGAGAGCACGACACGTCGACGTGCCCGTTAAGTTCTTGGCCAGAGGCAGGTTGTGAATTCGGTGCCGGTTCTGCCTGGCAATCGAGCCGAGATTAACACCAAGTCCGGTGAAGATGGAAAAGCCCAATTTGAACGGGATAAAAAGGATAGATTCGATGCTTGAAACTCGCAATCCATTTGTGCTTGTCCATGCAGATTCTGGTTCTGTCAACCTTCCGTGTCCATCGTTCGTCTCCCGGAACTAGATGCTTTCTCGCCGTCAGAGCTTTGGCGCTCTGGTACGAAGAGAGACGAACCACTCACTACCTTCGATCTACCCGGCGCAGCATATTGTTGGTGCACCATAGTCCCGGACTGTGAACGGTCTGTGTGCTGACGCCGTCGAGTCCTTCTTTGCCAGGACATGTCCACACATCTTGAGCTGCTAAGAGCTCGATAGAGGCTTTTTCCATTCTACCCTTATCCCAGGACTTGCGAGCGCAAATATATCCCTCCTCTGGGGGCATGCAAGCGCTTTTCTCTATTCAAGCTCCTTGTGCCAGTGCCCACACTAGAAGCCCCGTCTTGTTGCACACTCCGGGAGGAGTGGGAAACGGGAAATATCTCACGCCTTCTTCCTGCCATCCTTCTTCTTGCCACCTTTCCCATTCTTCCCTCCCGTTCCCTGCTGCTGCTGCTGCCGTGACTGCGGCGGCGGCACAACCTGATATATCTTCCCATCCTTCCCGATGATCCCCACACTCTTGCCCAGTCCAGCCGCAGCCTGCTGCCGCTCCTGCTGCAGCCGAATATACTCCATCCGCGCGCGGGCCTCCTCCTCCCTCCTGTCCGGCGTCCCCGTCATCTTGCGGAACAGAGACTCCAGTTGCGGCCGGAACAGGATGTACGTCGAGATGGCGACGATGACGCGCAGGAGAGTTTGCAGGTTCTGTCGGGTCAGGTACACCTGGAGAGCCGGCGGAAGGTATGGTTCGAGCAGCGCGGGGATGTCTCGGACAGAGAAGTTGGACATGGTGATTGATTCGTTCTGTTTCCGGGGGTTCTCGAGGGGTTTGTCGTTGTGTGGAAGGGAGCAGCTTCAGGTAATGGAGACGTGCCCGGGCTCAAAATCAAGAGCTTGTGTGTTTCCGATAGAGGGTAAGAACATCTAGCATTTCCGTTTACTAGGAAATTTCACTCCGAGTATAGCGATAGCCACCGCCGCTTTTGGAGATGGACTGATACCGACCACCGAGATGAGGCCACCCACCTGAAACGGGCGGATCACCTAAACTGTGGCTGTGCTCTGCCGTGGTGCTTGCCCTGACCATATGGTCGAACGTAATGCGCCCCCAACGCGCCCACGCGTAACTGAGTTGTCGCGTCCAGTCTTGCACCACGTCTTTCCCCTGCAATGCATGCTTGAAATATATTTCTCATACACTCGCCCAGACAACTTCAAAGAATACGCCTGTACTTGATCCCTGTGTCGTCCGTCTATTCCTGATGGCCTCATCGACAGGTGCAGAAGCAGAGTCCCTGCAGAAGGTGACAACCCCGAGTTTCTTCATCGTAATGCCACTAACATAACATTATTCCCTCAGAAACTCCGCTCTGCGCTATGGTTCCAGATTGGTAAGATGGTCGATGAAGAGGGTATCAGCCTGGGAGTCAATGCGACGCCGCAGTACATTGGCAGTCTGATGGAACTGGTATGGGCACAGATCGGTACGATAGGATACATGCGTCCTTCTGCTGCCTGGAGGACATACGGGGCGGTTCAGCTAACAAAAACGCCTCCCCAGGAAATGCCGCTGTCGACCTCGAGGCATTCGCCAAACACGCAGGGAGATCCACGATCAAAACGGACGATGTCATGCTGCTCGCTCGGCGGAACGAAGGGCTAGAGCAGATTCTCCGTGTCGAATTGAAGCAACTTGAGCAAGCAAAGTCCAAGCACGATAAGACTCGGTGAAGTAAGCAATTACGAGCTATCCAGAACAGTGCGGGGTCTGGCGTTGGTGAGACAGAAGCCACTGGTCCCAGCAAATATTGCCTAGAGGAGAAGCACTCTTTATCGGCTTCCTAGAGCTTCAGGCCAAACGTCAAATGAGAATAACATTTTGCGGTGTCTCAGCTTCAGCAACAGCGATTCCATATCTACCTCTGAAACGCGCCTGCCGGACACCATTCTTGCGCTCAATACCGGCTACCGGATCTGTCAAGATCATCCTCCCACCCTCGCGCCATGAGCCTCAGCCAAGTCAATCGAGCTATTTGCGCCCGACTCGATGGGGCTGACTTACTTTGGGCAAGAGAGCTGAGGAGAGTCTACTCGAAAGTGATACTATCCCGGAGTGCCAATGAGAATGTCAAGCCTGGAAACGAAAGATGCTCACTAATCAAGGACACTCAGAAACTTGTGTTGGAATAACTGGGAGCCTCACTGCAGCAAGGGACAATCACACTGTTCACGTCATGAACGATTATGGGATGTTTCAGCGCCGACCAGAATAGACAACGATTCACCCCATGGCCGCTGTCGTCGATCGACGGATCGTCAGACAACTCCCAAAGTCTTGTGGCCGCCAGGGCGAGCAGCACTTGAGGGCTCTCTTTAGCACTCTTGAGTGGCATTTTCGGTTTGATGTGCGCATCGAGAGATAAGGCTTTTTTGTATATTTCGTGATATGTCGGTGTCAGCCAGGCCTTCAAATGCAACGTCAAAAAAGTCAGAGGCGACGAAGTCTACAACCGCAAGCCACAATGGTTATCCACTCTCGCTCGGCTACGGCCCAATCGCCACCGGCCCGAAATGACGCCAGTTGGTTGGCCTTAACCACATTCCGCGAACTATAGTCTTCGGCCTGCCCGATTCAGCCCTATTATTTTAGAAATGCAGCTGTGTGTTTGACTTCCAGCATATCACACGAGAAAGGAGCTACTCGATGAGCGTGCTTGGCCTGCATACTCCGAGCAAACGTTAAATCCGAGGACATCTAAAACAACACCCAGCAAACGATCCTGCGTAGCGAGAGCGACCTTTAGAGTGGTACTGTCTGACGAAAATGATATTGGTTGACCATTAGACACAATGGTATCCCTATTCATGTTGACCGTATCAGCCACATGGGATTTGGCGGCCGCTTCGTCGCTATCGAGTGACAGGCTACATCTTCGGACGGCGACTATTCGTGTCAGATTGTGGCAATTCTTCCGGAAGGAGGGCCGGCGGCTCGTCTGACGTGTACGCTAGTCTCTAGTGGATATGCTTGGTCACTCTGCGAGACCTTATACAATGGCGAATACGACATGCTGCCAGATCACTAAACGATCTCTTTCCCGCCAGTGCTACGGCGTCGTACTATGAAGGAGCTAATTTGGCACAGGTTGAGGTCTTCTCAGATCTACGGCCTTGAGATGCTGTACCCCTTCGAGGGTGCTTCCGGCTCAAGCATCCCATTAATGTCGTGTTCCTGTCCATGTCTACGGCAAATAGTCATATTGGTTTTGACAAAAAACCCTGCCTAACCCGAGGATTTGCGAAAGAGTCGTTATGAGGTCACGACGTTGCAGAGAAGCATACATCGGGCAGCCCCATACGATGGCGAAAGGCTCGTGCCTCTCCGATTAGCAGTGTCCATCTCACAGTGCGACGATCCATCCTTGAGTTTTAGACCGATGCATCCTTCCTGGCCCTTCCCACTGGGCCAAGAATTCCCCGTTTGGACCACAGTGGCGCAAGCCCTGGAGGTCTTTACTTAGTAACACTGAAGGACCAACATACTGGATTTACAACTATGGTGGATACAGCAATGCCTAGTCATGAATGACACAGTGGTGATCTGGCCGTAGCTCGAAGGCTCCATCACTCCTCGCCGGGCAGACGTCTCCTGAAGGAATAGTATGCGACAACATTTTCTGCAGACTGCTGTGCTAGAAACGGCGGTGGCAAGCTGTACTCTGCGTTCTTGAGTTTTGGGAACCTAGGTTGTCTTTGCTGCACCCTGCCGTGAGTCGGTGTGCTCTTTGGATCTGCCTTTTTACAGTATTTTGAGGCTGCAGCTGTGCAGCTTGAGGTTCTGAAGTGGAGCGGAAGGGATGTGATGCTTCTAACTCCAAGCTGAGTTCCCACAATGCTCACTTTGCCCCCGGTTCAACTTTGATCCAGGTGAGCTTCTTCTTCTTCTCTTTCTGCTGCTGGGAGGTCAAGTTGCTTGAGGCATCGACCAACCCACCAAACATACACAAGGGAAGGACATCAGCCCTGTCTGCGAGTACTTTTGCTAGTGACGCGGTGGAGTGTTCTGTGGCCTTCTGATTACTTGGTGATTGCAACTGAGGATCATTCTGAGGTGAGAAGGAATCGCTTGACGGCGACGCGGAGTCGGATGACGAACTCGAATGCGACGTCGATCGGGTAGGAGAATTCATTCGGTTTGATCCGTGGACAGGGGTGAGAGTTCGTCTGCTCGAGTCACTGGGGCCAGTGCGGCTCGTGGTCCAGCTACGAAGCAAGATCCCACCAAGCGCCGCCGTTTTATTGGACACACGGATGTATCGCTGTCAGCGGCGAGGCTGAGCGGGGCAAGCCAATGGAGATGGAATTGGGCCCGGATCTTGGGAAGATGGCGATGTGTCGATTAGAGATATCGCTGGGTCCAAAACTCCAGAACCGAGTGATGAGAACATCAAGAAGGAAGGAAGAAAGAAAAAAAGGATTTGACCTCATCCTTGAAAACTGAGGGTCGGGGCAATGGGAAATTATACAACAGAAAATTACCACGAATACAGGCACGGCGACGGCGGAGACGGAGGGGTGTATTGTTGACGAGCACGATCTAGACGCAAACGAGCCACCGTACCTCCGTCTTTGAACGCCTCATACGTCTGGTGTATGGAGGAGAGCCGACGAGCAAGACCTGGTACTGGACGAGGCTGGTACAACGTGGGTATAGACATGATTACACGGCGTCTGTCAAAGCCCAACTTGCCCGTCGCTGCTGGGTCATCCCGCTTGGCCCTTCCAGCAATCAGTCCCAATTCTCTTGCGGCGGCTGAGTCTTGTTGGCCAAGGCTGCTCCGCCAATCTAACTTGGTCGACGCTAGCTGCAGCCCTACGGCTTATGAGCCTTGGCCACTATGTGGGCTAGAGATGGGCCACGAGCCAGCTGTCAGCTCGCGTAATGCCTCTAGATGAGGAACAGCGCAGCCACTATGGCGGTATTGGCACATAGGACGACCATGTGCAACACCTTAAAGGGCCGAAGATCTCGATAAACACATTCCGAAGCGGGAAGTGGGCATCCAGGTAAGCTTTGAGGCGTATATGCGACGATGAGGCATATGGAGGCCGTGGAGATGGTCGGGCCTCCCTTGACGCGCCGCGCTACATTGCGTCAAATGCGACAATCACTGAATGTCACTCGGACTGGGCATGTCATTCCCAATTCACATGGTCCCAGTGAAGAATCCGGCAATGTACATGTCTATAAACGTACTCGCTGGCAGTGCACGTCTCCCCACGATGATTTCTTGGTGCTTATGCTGCAGTGACAATTTTGGTCCGTTGCCATTGTCACCACCAAGTACCACCGACCAGACAAACATCTTATATGTTACGCACACTCTTCCAGGATGTCCGCCACAAGCAACAGTCCTACGGCCACGGGTCCTTCTCCTTCTTCCTCGTCCCACAACCCCGAGTCTGAAGCCAAAGAGACACCTTCTCCCACCAATACAACACAGTCCAACATGATACATCCCGAGCAGGATGCTGAACAGCATGCATCCCTCATCAAGGAGGCTCCTCATCCAAAATGGAAGCCATCGGCCACAGAGGCACTGGTTATGGTGACCCTGGCCATCATCTCTTTGATGGTCAGCCTCGACGCCACCGTCATTGTCACTGCCTTGTCGGTACGTACCTCTAAATACTTCACCTTATCTCGAACGTGTGACTTTTCTAACCAAGCACAGACAATCGTCCAGGCTTTAGATGCGACGTCCACCCAAGGGTTTTGGATAGGCACCTCCTACCTCCTTGTCGTCGCGGTGACCATGCCATTCACTGCCTCAATCAGTGACATTGTTGGACGTCCTCAGACCCTCTTCACAGTCTTGTTGAGCTTCACCGTCGGCACCATCCTTTGTGCCACCGCTCACAGTATCGGTATCATGCTCGTGGGCCGTTGCCTGCAGGGCATCGGTGGTGGTGGCGTCATTATTCTTTCCCTCGTTATCTTTTCCGACATTGTCCCTCTACGATTCCGGCCACAATACGTCGGTGTCCTGTAAGTTGCTCGCAAACAGCGAGATACTTTGTTTGGTCTTGAGCTCGTTTACTGACATCGATTGACCTCCTAGTCAAGGCGCATGGGCCTTAGGCAGCGTCATTGGACCGATCATCGGCGGCGCCTTCGCGAGCCCAACTCGCTGGCGCTGGGTCTTCTATCTGATGTTGCCCTTTTGTGGCGTGGGGTTGGTCTTCGTGCCGCTCTTCGTGCGGCTTAGGCGTCCCGAGGCCACCCTGAAGGAGATGCTGGGCCGTGTCGACTGGATCGGCGGGGTCCTCTTCATCTCATCGGCGACCAGCTTCCTGATCGCCATCTCGTGGGGCGGCACAATCTATGCCTGGAACCACTGGAGAACCTTGGTACCCTTGCTGATCGGCCTGGCCGGCCTCGTGGCTACCATGATCTGGGAACGATTTGGCGCCAAAGAGACGGCATTCCTGAGGCATTCGCTCTTCCACGTGTGGTCGGCTCACGCCATCTACTTTGGCGCTTTCGCTCAAGGCCTAATTGTAAGTCTCACTCCCCCGAGGCCCCCCTTAGCATGACGCAATGCACTTCCCATCGCAACCAGCTTTGCTAACGGTCTGTTATCCGTCCCGTTTAGCTTTACGCCCAGCTCTACTACATCCCCTTCTTCTTCGAGTCTGCCAAACTGTACTCTCCGATCCGCACCGGCGTCTCCCTCCTGCCCGTGTTGCTGACGCTGGTGCCCGCCTCCATCATCGTCGGCGCCGCGATCACGCGGACCGGCAAATTCCGCTGGGCCATCACCACGGGCTGGGTCCTGACCACCGTGGGGACGGGCCTGAGCATCTCATGGGTCCGGGGCACCCAGACGGCCGTGTGGGCGGTAGAGATGATCGTCCTAGGCTTCGGGCACGGACTCAATCTCAACGCGCTGAACACGGCCTCGCAGGCGGCGTGCAAGCCCGGCGACGAGGGACGCGCGGTCGGCATGTACGCATTCTTGCGCAGCTTCGGCATGGCCATCGGCGTGGGCGTGGGCGGGTCGGTATTCCAGAACGTGATGAAGTCGAAGCTCGCGGCGCTGGGCCTGCCCACGGACATCGCGCTGCGCGCCGAGGCGTACCTGGAGGTGCTCAAGCGGATGCCGGCCGACTCGCCGCAGCGCGCGGCCGCGGTCGACGCCTACATCGCCGGGTTCCACGGCGTCTTCGGCTTCCTGACGGGGCTGGCGGGGCTGGCTCTCGTCGTCGGCCTCTTCGTCCAACACTTCGAGATCAACAAGGAGCTCATCACAGAGCACAAGCTCGTCAGCGAGTCGCGCATCAGCTGGCGCCGCGGGAGCCACAGCCAGGCGGGCACCCGCAGTGGCCTCTCGACCGCCGACCACTCGCGTCTGCCGAGTCCTGAGCGCGGCAGCCAGATGGCCGTTGCCGAGCAGGTCTAAAAAGGAATCGATCGATCGAACGACGAGACTCTCGCGTATCCTTCCAGCATGTGTCGTTCCGCCGTAGATCGATCTTCTTGCACCACAAGTTCCAGATTCCGGAAAGGCTGACGACGACGACGACGACGAAAGCGATCCTCCTTTTTCCTTGCCGTGTGTACCACCACCAACAACACACACCCATGCCATCCATCCATCCGTCCGATGTACTATTATGACATGACTTACCATGACCATTGTTATTACCACCACCACCACCACCACCACCAGCAAACGGACCACTAGTATTACGATTGTGACGGTTTCAGAAAGCGCACACGTTATTAATGGCGATAATCCAGTAATGAAGATGAGGATGAGAGAGAGTCCTTTAACAGATAAACTTGGGTTGAACTCGGACGGGAACAGGCCTTCATTGACATAGATAATAACAGGATTGGATTGGATTGGATTGGATTGGATTGGATTGGATTGGGTTCTGGGATCGCAAACAAAAGGCGGAAGGGGAGACGTCCATGTCTTGTTTTCCATTGATAAATAACATGACCAGAAGAAGAATCCCAATAACCCAAAAGGAAATAGAAAATTAAAAGAAGGGGCACTTTTTATTCTTTCCTCTTGAGAAGAGAACCTTTGTTCTTATCTCTCTCTTTCTCTCTCTCTCTCTCTCTCGCGCGCGCGCGCATATCCTCAACGTCGTCAACCAGATTCGATTTGACGGGCACGGGAGAGAAAGTGTAGGTTGTCCCAGCTCGAATCGTCGCCGCATGCATCCAGTTGAGCGTTTTGTGCTCGAATCTTGGGAATGTTGTCGTCGTCGTGCTCGTCCGCTCGCTGCTTCTTCGGGTACAGCATTTCCCCCCCTGATCTCTCTTCTGCGCCATATCGCCCTCTCCAGTCCGCTTTCACTGTTCTTCCTGCCGACAGATCCACATATCCGCAGCACCGCCCACACCGACTAGTCAGTAAGCTGCTGAATCCACCCCCACTCCGCAGACCCTAGCCCCTAGACTTCAGACCTCAAATCCCCGATCCCACGTCGACCAAGATCTTGACGTGGTTCTCCTTGTCCTCGATCAAGGTCTTGAAGCCCTCCTCGGCGACCTGGTCGAGCTTGATCGTCTTGGTGATCATGCCGGCGGGTTTCATGGCGCCTGTTACGGATGTCAGTTTGGGGAAAAACGTACTTCTTAAGAAGAAGAGTGAGAGTTCATAGAACCTACCGGTTGAGATGGCTTTGATCACGGCTTCAAAGTCGCCGAGGGCGTAGGTGGCGCTGTAGGCACCGTCAGTCAGCCACTCTTAGGCAATATGTTTTGCGGAGATGAGACGATGCGGGCTTCAAGAGGCCATGGACAATCCGGCCCCTGCTCGCCAACAGGAATATAAAGGTCGGTCTGAACTTACACTCCCATATACCCTCTCTCCCTGAACACGATATCGTTCATCTGTAGTGTCGCTCTCTTTTCCCACACGGCGATGTTGACCAACGTCCCCCTGGCCTTGATGGCTTTGAACGCGGTATCCACCGCGACCTGCACGCCCGCGGCGTCGAACCCGACGTCGGCCCCCTCGTTGTTGGTCAACTTCTCCACTTCCTCGACGACGTCCACCTTGAGCGGATCAATCACATGGTGCGCGCCGAACTGCTTGGCGAATTCTCGCCGCCGGCCGCTGACCTCGCTGACCATGATGTTCTTGCAGCCCTTGCCGACCAGCGCCTGCACAACCGCGAGACCAATGGGCCCACCGCCCAGCACGAGCACCGAGTCGCCGTCTTTGTAGGGGGATATGTCGACCGCGTGCCAGCCCACCGCCAGTGGTTCGATCAAGGCACCAACCTCCAAGGGGATGTTGTCCGGCAACGGCTTGACGCAACTCTCAGGCACGACCATGTGTTCGCACAGCCCGCCCCCCCAGCCACTCAGGCCCACGAAGCCATTCTTGTCGCAGCAATTCACCAGCCCTCGTTTGCACGCGCGACAGCTGCCGTCATAGATGGTGGGCTGCACGCAGACGCGATCGCCCGGCTTGACGTTCGTAACGCCCTCGCCCACCTCCTCCACGATGCCGCTGAACTCGTGGCCCAGCGTCAGAGGCAGGGTCTCGCCGGTAATGGGGTGCGGGTGGCCTTCTTGGGGGATCAGGTTCGCACCGCCGAGATACTCGTGCAGGTCGGAACCACAGATGCCGCAGAACTTAGGGGCGATCTTGACCTGGCCGGGCTTGACGGAGGGGACGGGGATCTGGTCGAGGCGGATGTCGCGTTGGCCGTAGAAACGCACTGCATTCATTTGCGACATGGTGGGAGGAGCCACTTGGGACAAAGAAGCACGAAGGGAGCCTGATGATAGAGATAAAGATATCGCGGAATGGTGAGATTGGCTCTGGTATGTATAGAAGAGGGGAAGTAAGGAAGGAAAGAGGGAAACACACGCAGAAATTAACTGAGCAGCAGCTCTCCAACTATCGTCATCTCATCGAAGCGCGGACTCCGCTCTGCTTTCGACCGAGACGATCCACCGTTTTGAGGTATTCAGTCGCATGTGGCATCCCGCGACGGCGACAACGAAGAACAGGCCATTGCCGGCGTTGGCCCCGCTCGGTGCCTCCTCCTGCTGTGAGACCACAGTCCGTCCATCCATTTCATTTGTCTCGGAATGCACCGTCCTCTGCTCTGCTCTCCACTGCACATTGTTTTTCGCCTCCATGGGATCCTCTATTAGGAAATCCCGGATGAGGGGCAAAAGATGGAGGAAGAGGAGGTCGGGATCGTCGAGTCTGGGGAAATACTGCAAAGGGCAGGTTGGCCGAGTCCATCGTATTCGCGTTTGAAAATCGGTCACTGGTTATACAAATAGCAGGGTTGGAGAAGAGTTTGCTCCAGCGGGCAACATGGCGGTGGGAGTGCAAGGATCCCCGACTGGCTGTCTGCAAAGAGATCCCTTGCATCGGCTCTCAAGAATCTTTCTGCCTGGACCTAGTCCCAATCCTGATGATGGCCTTTTGGCACTTGGGTAATGAAGGGATGATAATATGTATATAAAGCTCAAGGGATTATAGTCTGCTCCAGGAATCAAATACCTTCGAGGTTGCACAGTGTTGCGCGACATCCCCTTCTCGTTCTTGTTTTGCACTCCCTCAACAATGTCTTCATCGCCGTCGGGACGAGCCTCAAATTTCGTGGCCGGCAAAACCATTCTCGTGAGTGGTGGTGGCATAGCTGGACTAACGTTCGCCATTGCGATAGCCCAATTCTTCCCAGAAGAATCTTCAGTATCGACAAAACCCCAGATCGTCATATACGAGCGAGACAGCTATGAGGTCCGCACCGGACGTGAAGGGTATACTCTATCCTTGAGAACAGACAACGACCCTGGTGCCATTCAGGTCTTGGATTCTCTTGGGCTGTATGAGCTTGTCAGGCGTGTGAGTGTCAACGGTGAAGGGCCCCCGGAAGCGAAAGGCTCTTTCAACCTCTGGAACCCTCAGTTTCGCCCCTTCTTGCGCTTTACGGCACAACCAGTCGGACCCAAAAAGCTGCTTGGCATGAGAATTCGCCGCAATGCTCTGCAGAAAGTTCTCGTCGACGCCGCCCTGGAATCGGGAGCTCAAATCCACTGGGACACGGCAGTAGTAGGGGCAGAGCTGACGGATGACGGGCGGATGAGACTAACCCTCAGCACTGGCTTGACGGTTCTCGGTGACATTCTACTGGCGGCTGACGGATCTCGAAGCAAGTTGCGCTCGTTATTGAGACCAAACGATGGCCTCAATTACGCCGGCGTTTTTGTCCGGACAGGTGTCGCCAAGTTTGCCAGTCAGGACGATGTTCCAAAGCCCCTGGATCGTGACTGGGGTGGGGTGTTGGGTGCAAATGGAGTCGGGCTTTTTGTCTCTCCAGTGGACGAGAAATCCGTGCTCTGGGCCTTCAGTCGTCGCGATCCCGCGATGCAGGAGTCACTGCGATACCCTATCCCTCAAAAGCGCCTCGACGAATTGCTGAAAGAATCAATGGATCAGGCGGCACACTTTGCTCCTCTGGTGAAGAAGCTCGTTTCGGCGACGGATCCAAGCACGATCATGCAGTTCAATGCAATGGATCGACCCCCGTTCCCACATCAGTCCCTGGAGCATGCGCCCGTGGTATGGATCGGAGATGCAAACCATGCAGTTAGTCCTTTTGCAGGCAACGGTGCCAATATGGCAATAATGGATGCATGGGACCTTGCTAGGACACTCAAGGATGCCCCAACCCTTACAGAAGCCATCCGGGCTTATGACAAGGTGGCTGTTCCTCGAGCCAACAAGGTTTTGAAGGCCTCACATTGGGCCATTGACGCCTTGCATGCCACAGGAGTCAAGTTGCTCCTTTACAAGATAGCTCTCCAGGTGGTGGGGTTCTTAACGTGGATCGCCGGTGGACGTGATTGATGAATTTCAGGGGTTCGATCTTGCTCCATATGGGTCCCCAGTGTTTTTTAACAAAGGAAATCCTTTGGGAATCCATAGGCATCTCCTTCTCTTCTCCACCCTGTCAGGTAAAGAACTGGTTCGGGCCTGATCAAGCTGTAGCAGTATGGGTCAATGGTGACCTTGGAATCCACACTCCGCCGTTTCCGATCAATCTGTCCTTCATGGCCGCACCTTCTGTTCGCACTCCCAACCGGTGGACAGGCACTCGATCGATTTGACTCTGTGTGCTCTGCCTGAAATCAACATAGCGTTCAGTCAAGGATCGACTAGACGACGCCGACTTGATGCGCTCCAATGTAGCATCCGCCGCCCAGGCGGGCCGAGCCAAACTGGCATTCGTAACGGCGACATCTTTGTAAAAATCAAAGAGCTGTGCTTCAACATCCAACTCCTGGTTTGACGCGAGCTCGAGAGCTCGCAAGTAACCCATCATCAGCACAGACAGTTTGGCATCAACGAAGTCGACCGACTGGAAATCATGTATCAGGTAGACTCGCGCAGTGTTCTTCTCTACCACAGATCTTTTTCCATATGGGTCTGGCGACAAGAATATGATTGCCTGATGCCATTCATCTGAGATGTTTTTTTCCGCGGCAACCTTGCTACGCAGATTTACCGTAGCCCAACCGAAGAAGACGCCTTTATATCGTAGAAGCACGTCTTCGGGAATACCTGTCAAGTTGGCCGTTGGCATGTTCAGGGCAGCCCTACTCCTCCCGGTGCCGGCGACCACCTTTCCATGAAATCGTACCGGAAACGGCGGTACTGGGCCAGACTCGGGCCCGATAACGCTTGGGCGAGCCAGGGCATCGTACTCACCCAGGTCGGTTTTGGAGTAAGACTCATCTCGAGTAGTGTCGTACTGCTCATTCATATTGTCAAAGCGATCCTGAATTCCACTCTGATCATAAGCAACAGCAAAGGCCTCTTGAGCCACCGCGCTGGGTCGATAGACTGAAGTGAGCTGATTTGTGACTGTCTGTCGTGCAGTTTGGACATAAGGGCCGGCAGTAGCCGTGACGAATTGTCTTCCAACAACTGTGGCTAGTTTGATGCCCGCTTCGAGTGGCATGGTCTTGAGAGACGAGCCTCTGATGACACTCGAGTCTGTCGAGGAGGATGCTAGTCGGAAGACTGGACTGCCGCACAGCGTCCGTTTTCCATCGGCAGAGCAGAGGACCACCCTCAAATAGCCATCGTCGGCGTCGCAAGGAATGCGGAGGATGTCCGTCTCGCGCGGTCGATGAGCTCGAAGTTCTTTCGGCGCTTTCTTCAAAAACTTCTTGATGTCTCTCTGCCAGGCGCGTTCGTCGGTAGGGTTGACTTGCTCCGGCGTCGCCTTGGTGGATGGTGTCACTTCGATCCAGGTGCTTCTGGCGCCCAATATCCCCCCGATCTTCAAACCCGTCTTGCCAGAGAAGCCTCTTCGCTGTAACCAAAGAGTCCGATCGGGGGGTAGCTCTCGGTCGGAGAAGATTGTGATGGCCAAATTTGTCGACGAACCACTATAGTAGACTATCCCAAAGGAATGTCGTAGGATCGTGTAGTGCTTGGTGGACTCGTAGGGGTGACTGATTAAACCGCCTGCAAAATGTCGCACATCCTGCAAGGCTGACACAAATTTTGACTGGGATGGGGAGGGAGTCTGGGCTGGCGGTGACAGAGGCGTGATCGGGGTTGTCGGCGTCGATGCGGAACCATAGCTTTGGAAGCCGGATTCAGTGGACAGGCTGGTTGGCGACTGAACAATGCCAGGAGATGTGTAGGGTGGTAGAGGATGGGGTGATTGGATCCCGGGAGGAGACTCGAGGGTCATCGCCTGTAGGATAGCAGTCTGTTCCTCCACGCTCAGATCCTCGCCCGTGTGGGCACCCGTGAAGTGGCTGAGATCATCTGTTTGAACTCCTCGAAGCTGAGGCCTATTGCTGTTCTCTTCCCCGGCTTCCCCTGGACGATGCTTTGTCAGAGGCATGCTGAAAGGTCATCAAAACGTATGACAACCGAACAGGTTCACCTAATGGCATGATGCCCGGCGATAGACTGGCTATTGGGCGCCCATCTTGGGTAGACGTCAGGGCGGAGAGACAGACATGAGCGCTGCTGCTTCGAAGCAAGAAGCTCTCGACCCATTGGCCTTGTAGCAGAATGGGTACAGATGTGTAACGAGGAAGTTGGGATGAAACCAAGATTGGTGCTAGGATATATTTTGGCTGAAATCACGTGTTCCGCGGATTCCGAGCACGGGTCGGAGTTGCGTATTCGCCATTCGCTACTTTTCCTCCTTCATGATATTCATCTTGAGGTTTTCCAAGACTATCGACTGCATGATAAGAAGTTGGTGAAGTCCACATGCTTCGAGATGAAGATGTTTTGTTCTGCAAGCATTTCTCAGTTGAACTCAACCCGGCACCATCGTGCAGCGTTTTGGCCGGCCTTGCGGTAGCTCGGCAAATGCACAAGGCTTAAGCCCTTAAGAAAGCTGATATTGCACAGGATCGATACATTCATAAGTCAGGCGACAGGCGGCTCAAAGGAGTAGCCCTTTCGTCGGTCGTTCAAGCTCTGAGTTACCACGACACGACTAGAGTGCTGGCCAAGCTCTTCAGTCCGAGGAAACACCTCTTGCACTACAAGGAGGATTCAGTTGGCATTGTCGATGTGTGGCGCAGGCGATGGGCACGTCCAGACCCTCGATCTATTACATACTTGCCCCCCATACATGAAACCCCAATGGAACCGACTGGTGGGGATGAGCAGGAAATTGTTGATGGGTCCCTTGCATGACGTATCAGGGCGTCACCGAACCGGAGAATTCTGATGAAATCTGCCCAGCTGCTAGCGACAGGCGATCATTTCTGCTTTCCACATACTAGGATCCCTCATAGTCCCTCAGCTGTGGTGGGGGGAGACTATGAATCAGGAAAAAAACAAGAGAAAATCAACGCAAGAGAGACCGGCATCTAGGAACTTCTCATCTCGTTGGGATATGATTATTAGATACCTAGCTTTTTCAGCTCGCGAAGTACATATAGCTCTAACATAACATCGTTGTGATGCCCACGCCTCTGACACTCCTTAAAAAGTTGTGACGAGTACTATTGATACATGTGGGAAAAAATTTCCTTGACCATTCAATCTATCCTCCACCTGAGTAACTCTTGGGGTGATTGCCATGAGATTAGTGGCATCAGGATTGGACATGGAAATGTTTGTTGATTAGTTGAATGTTGGTCTGAAGATGTCTAATTCTGTTCCGACCGTGGCTCCGTGGCTGGGTGGTTCGCTCAGTCGAACCAACTAATAATTGGTCGCGGGAGCCGTGTAGCCTTGCATCCCGTATCCTGGCTGACCATACTTCGGCTCTGAGCTAACAGGCGCATGACCACCGTGCATCGTCGATCCGGTCATACCAGTCTCGTGGCTGGGGCGGTAAGTACCTGCGGTGGTTGTCCCTGTCGCCATCTCCGCGTCGCGGGTGGTTCGAGTCGCACGAATGCGCTTCCAGAATGGTCGACGACCGAAACCCTTGGTGTAGTTGTTCGCAGGGCTAGGGCCGAAACGCTTCTCCTTCTTGTGGTGACGAGCCAGCAGCACTTGTAAGCCCGCGGTGATCAGGAACAGGAAGATGTTCAAGATGGCCATGGCGAAGCAGGCAGTGTTCAGGCTGCAGACATAGCCCCAATCACCCGCACCGGGAGCAGCTTGGTTGGAGAGACCGACACCCAAAGGCGTGTTGACAAAGCCCTTGCATGAGTTGGCGCCGTGACGCGTGTAGTAGGCGATGGCGGCAAAGCAACCAACAAAGCAGATATCGAGGATGACGGCAAGCAGGGCGAAGAAAGAGATGCCTCCCAGGCACAAGGTAAAGAGGACGCCGAAGATAGTGTACAGGACGGCCGCTCCAGCCATGCCTTCAACGGCCTTCTCCCATCTGGGTATATGAATGTTCTTGTCGGCCAGGACCGCTAGGAAGTAGCTGTAGATACCGAGAATAATGGCCGAAGACGCAAACTCCAGAAGTCGCAGGCCCGTTTGGCCGAAGCGAAGGACGGCACCGCCGAAAGCCATGGCGTTTTGATGTCGATCGAGCGATGAGTATCAAGCGGAGGGCTTGTCGCGTGGGCTGGAAGATTGGTATGCAGTATGAAGAGAAACGAGAACACGAAAGCAAGTTGGGGGCCACCAGGGCCTCTTGTAGTTTCACGCAAGGGGTCAAGGGGTTTCCCGTGCAACCCTGTTTGTGATCGTCGTGAGGAACAGAAGATGAGCAGAGAAAGTTGGCGGGTGACGTGGTGGCGTCGATCATCCAGCTGTGCATCACTTTCTCTGCTTTTCTCTACATACAAGACGCAGGGCAGTGAAAAGAGGCGCTCACAGAGGCGATCTGATTGGTGGGTTACGCCGCTGCGCCACAGGTATGACATAACAGACACTCCACTCGCATCTTGGCGTCTTCGCCGTGAATGATGCTCCTGTGACGCCATTGGTCCGATCACCACCACCTCATTTTCGATTCAAGAATTTTCATCCGATCAACAAACCCCAAAGGAGAAATGTATGCGCCACACAACAGGACGAGGCTTGAGGCTGGAAGCTTGACCAGATAACTCTGCTCCATCAGGTTGTCACTGAGGTTACATGCCACGCACCCAGCACCCCTGCGAAACTGTTCGATTTCAATGGAACAAAAGCTTGGACTGGTAACAGACGTTCTCTGGATTCATCTAATCATCATTATTACCACCGTCTTATGGCTTGAGACTTCGGCCTGCAAAGTCAATTGCAAATATGTCCATGAAGAGAACGTGAACTATGGCCTTCGGTTCCTTTTGAAGATGCAGTGGATGAAGCCTGAATTCGAAACACCCTCGACGTATGACACGCAATCCATTCCCTATCCCCATCTCGCTCTCCAATTACAACTGCATCACTAGACCGGCACTCAGTGCACCCAAGAGAAGAGATCCAAATCTCATGTCGTCCACTTTGGCGGCTGCATTGGTCTTTGTAGGCTGGCTGCCGGCCGTGGTGGCACTCGGCGACGCAGAACTGCTGGGTGTGCTCCCGCTGGTGTTGTTGCCTGGTAAGTTGCTCTCATCGTTTGGCAGAATGGTCAGTTGTAGCCCGCTGATAACTTGGCCATCGACATCATACACGGTCTGTGAGGGCTTGGTATTTGTGACAGATGAAGTGCCTGTTGGGAACTTGCCCGAGACACCGCTCTGAATCAGGGCGTCGACGCCGTCCGGACGAGCGGGAAGGTCGAAGCTGGTGCTGAAGTTTGACCCGGCTAGGAGATCAACTGCGCACACCGGGGGAGTGAGCGACGTCGCCGTAGCATTGGCTCTCTCAAGTGCGTTGACGTCCAGCGAATCGTACTGCTGTCGAAGATTGTCGTAGTCCTGTAGAATGCTCACGGTTCCGTTGTCGTTGAGGTTCACCAAGCCATAGTTATTGGGTTCCTCGCTGTATTCGTAGATAAGGCCGCCAGAAAAGACAGTTGTCATACTCGGGGAGTAGAGGACAGGCACTTCGGTAAACACTCTTGGAGTGACCAGGTTACACCCGTACTCGGAGAAGAAGACCGGAATTGTGGTATTGCTGAAGTCGCCCACCAGGACATCGTATCCAGAAGACTGGAAAGTGGCATTGCCACACCAAGAGTAAGAGTTGAGGCCGAAGAAATCAATCTTGGAGCTGGTGTCGTTGGCCAGTCCGCAAGACAGGTAGTTAAAGGTACCCATCAGCAACGGGCGAACATCGGCAGCAGAATAACCAACAGGGATCGGTCGTGGTGCTTGTTTCGAGATGTAGTCCTTGAGATCCCGCGTGACTGCCCGAAGGTAGGATGGCACCTCTGGGACCGAGTCCTCGTTGATGACCTCATTCCCACTGAAGAAGCCCAGGGTGTTGTTGAAGTGCATGAAGGCTTCCACGACGTCGAAGACACGTTGGAGATACGCCGAAGTGTACGATTCCCAGGGTGCGCCGCGGTTGAGAGACTGGTTGGGCAAGGGGCTGTTGACGTCCAGGATCATGTAGATACCGGCAGCGTTGAAGATCGAGGCACACGCAGAGTGGTCCAAGTCAGGATCGAGGTTGTAGACGCGGATAGTGTTGACACCAAGGCGTTGCATGAGTACAGCATCTCGGAGGCAGATATCTGCATCGCTCAGCGGGTCAAGGCCAGAGCCCGGATTGAAACCTGAAGAGCCACCCGGTTGATAACTGCCCAACTCAGTCAGTGTATTGCTCGAGCCTCAGCCAGATGCTTTCCTTTCTCTTACGCTACACCAATGATCTGGAAACGCGTGCCATCGACACTGTTGACGAAATCGGACCCTTGAACAACGAGGGGAGAGACAGCCAAAACGTAGGACGCGAACAGGGCGACGAGGGCCAGAAAGGAAGCTTTGAGCTGCCGACACGTTAGAACTCGTTACTCGCCATCGAGGAGATAGCACCGGCTTACCTGAGCCATTGTGACCGATCAGTCGAGCTTTGGATTATGCAAAAGTGGAAGAGTAGAAAATTGAATTGTAGAATAAGATGAACGGAGCGAGAGGACGGCTGGAGACTACTATGCCAGGCGCAAGTGAAGTTTCCGGAACGAAGGACGCAGCTTCAGGCGAAGCAGGCGCGAAAGACGAAGTGAACGGTACGCCGATTGAACACCCGCAGGCGCGACTCTCATGGAAGAGAAAAGCGAATGTGGTGAAGCAACTGATAGAGCAGTTGGAAGAAATGAGACGGGAGGGAGACGACACCCCATATTGAGCTCATGTTCCCTGTCGACGGACAATCTGCACAGTCTATCAGTGTCTGCATCCGGAGCCCATGCACCTACTACACTCTGGGTATGGTATGCCCGATTTCATGGGTGTCATTCGCGGTATGCATCTCCACTTCAGGCCTGCTTGTATGCGACAAGCCAGGGACACGCGGCCCACGCCTCTAGCTGCTGCCAATCATTTCTGCTGCTGGAAAGTGGCGGACCTCGCCAATCCTAACGGGTCTGGAGATTACCCGATGATCGAGCCGGCGCGGGAGACATTTGATTGCGTTCTTTGAGTTGAGCGTCACAGCAGGCGGAAAGGCGGGAGGTGTTGGGCAGGTACAGGAGACGCAAGCTCACTGTGACACGCAATCTTCAGGATACAACACCGACCGGAGCACAACACCTTACAAACGGGAGGATATATATTTGCGGAGGGAAGTGGACACACGATGACGAGCAGCAAACAAGTCTTGTGGGACTGAGATCCGGACATAGGAGGAAGGTCAGCCGATGTGATACTGTGTTCTGCGGTCGCATGTGGGTTTCTTGTTCTACGAGACAAACAAACAAATGCAGCAGTGATGCCACTCTTCGCTGTCTCTCGTGGATATTTCTAATATGGTTTCCTCACAGAAAGCGACTGCTGCTATACCGTTGCGGTCGAAGCAAATTGTCTTCTTCCATCCAGACCTGGGCATTGGTGGTGCAGAGAGATTGATTGTCGATGCTGCAGTCGGCCTACAAGAGCAGGGAAACAAGGTCACAATCTTCACCTCACATTGCGACCCTAATCACTGCTTTGAAGAGGCACGAGATGGTCAGTTCCCATCCCTTGGTGTTGCATCTTCGCTGTAGCTAAATCATTGACAGATCGGTGAGTCTAGGCACCCTCGACGTCAGAGTCCGCGGAAACACTCTCTTTCCCCCCTCGTTCCTGAATCGCTTTCATATCCTACTTGCGATCCTGCGTCAAATCCATCTTATCCTCTCGATCGCCGTGTGGAGCAATGAATTGAGCACACTTCGACCCGACGTCTTTGTGGTCGACCAGCTCTCAGCCTGCATTCCGTTGTTGAGATGGCTGTACCCAAATCGCCAACGGACTCTGTTCTATTGCCATTTCCCAGACCAACTACTTGCCGATCGCCGAGCTTCTGGCCTGCTTGGACTTGCAAAAACAATCTACAGATTCCCCTTTGACTGGTTCGAAGGCTGGAGTATGAGCGCAAGTGACAGGATTGTCGTCAACTCTGGGTTCACAAAATCCGTCGCCTCGAGGGTCTGGCCCTCCTTGGCCGGGTCGTTGGGAGTCATTTATCCCTGCGTCAATGATGGAGAAAAAGAGGCCGCGGCCAAGGTAGCCGAAACGTCATTGTGGGACGGTCAATACAAGATTCTCCTCAGCATAAATCGTTTTGAGCGGAAAAAGGATATCGGTTTGGCCATCCGAGCGTACCATGAACTGCCTCCTGCAGCCCGTCGAGGTACCCGGCTGATCATAGCCGGAGGCTACGACCAAAGGGTTAGTGAGAATGTGGAATATCACAGAGAGCTGGTGGACTTGGCCGAAGGGCTAGGTCTAACTACTGCCACTGCCAAAACGGTACCCACAGCTTTAGCCATTCCGAGCAGCGTACAAGTTTTGTTCTTGCTGTCCGTGCCGGGGTTCTTCAAAGAAACGCTCCTGAAAAACGCTCGACTGCTATTGTACACCCCTTCAAATGAGCACTTTGGGATTGTGCCAGTGGAAGCTATGCAACATGGGCTCCCTGTTCTCGCTTCGAATACCGGTGGACCATTGGAAACGATCGTCGAGGACGAGACAGGTTGGTTGCGTGACTCATCCAACGTGGAAGAATGGACTGCAATCATCAACAAAGTATTGCATGAATGTGGCTCTAGTGATCTCCAGAGGATTGGTCGGAATGGGCGGGAAAGGGTCCAGCAACACTTTACCAGGAGCACAATGGCAGGGAAATTCAACGATGAAATGACCGAGATGCTGAACAGCAAGAGGAGCAGATTTCTAGAGAGGAAAGACATTGTCCTTGCCATTTGGATCACGGCAGCCTTTGTGGCAGCATTGCTGGCCACGGTGATTAAGGCCAAATACGGTCGAGGAGATAGCAGGGCAAGTGCATTCGCCCGTGTTGGGAGAATGAACCCCGAGGTCGACCCTCAGCTAAAGTTCTTTGGTGGCAGAGGACAATAGACGGACAGTAAGTAGACAGATGAAATGGAACGAGCCTTAAAATGCACTTTACGCGTCGCCTATAACAACACGCGACTATCGTATTATGCCAAGCTTGTTTAGACTTTTCCCGATTGGGGCAACAGAGGCTTCCTCAATCATGACAACACCTGCCACTGGTTTCCCGCGAGCAGAGTCCTTCCATTCGCTCACAACGTTGTTGACCGCATACCATCGCTGCTGGCAGAGGATACACCCTCTTTATGCCCACGCTTTACTCTCTGCTATACGCCCGCTGCTGTCCGAATTTGGCTGTCAACAATGACCGAGGTGATTGTGATTCTGTCCTCTTCGCCACCCAGAAGTCCTCGAGCCACGAAGACAGCCCCGGGATCGTTAGGCACAAAGACATGGCGCGATGACGTTGATTTTGATATCGACAATTTTATTGCAACTGGTTCCATTGATTTCGAGATCAATAGGCCTTTTAAGAGGAAACGCACCACCCCGGTGGTGGGCTCGCTTTCAAACCCCAAAAGTGGCAATGTTACGCTCGAAAACCTTTCCAGTGACGGGTCTCAGGAAGACCTCAACCTCAATGCTTCTGCGACTGCCTTCTCGCGCTCCTCAGGACCGAAGAAGTCCAGGCCTCTCGATGACATTACTTTCTCGTCGTCCGCCCCAGAACCATTGACCACAGACAAGACGGGGAATGTGGTTGTTCCCGGGAGGCGCCCATCGGATGGATCTAAAGACGGTCTTCTCGGCGATGGCCTGTTGAGTCTATCACAACCAGTGCAGACCGATGAAGATCAGAGAATAATGTCACTTCTGGCTGCCTTCGACGCGGATTTCGATGAAGGAAGGAGGTTTACATCGAAGCCCTCTAAAGTCAAATCAACACTGAATTTGCCAACGGGAAGGGTGGCACCCAACATTTTCGATGAAATTGAATTTTCTTCCAGTCCTGTGATCACCAAAAGCACCAAACCCTATAAACCGCAAAAGTTCGACAAAGCCACCAACGTTCGTGAGAAGGCAGAAGAAAAGAAACTGGCGAAAGCACAGCGAGAGGTCCTCAAGGAAGCCGAGAAGGAGAGGAAGAAGTTGGAGAAGGAACAGAAGGCGAAGGAGAAACAGAAGGCGGCGGACCTTGTAGAGGTAAACAAATCACGCACGAATAAGAAAGACGCAACCCCCGAAATGATCTTGGATATGTCGAGCTTTTTCAAGGATACAAGTGTCGGCAACCAAGTCGAAGAGCGCATGAAGAACGTCCAGGTCGAGGTCAACTATGTGGATGAGCAGGTCAACTTGGTCAACGGAGATGGCGAACAAGTGCGACGTGGAAGTGTTATCACTTGGCGCCGCAAGGTGAAGTCGATGTACAACGACGAGGATGACCTGTGGGAGCCCACCTCCAGATGCCGTGTCATGAAGGAAAATCACGTCTTGATTCATTTAACTGCTGCAGACTTTGTTGCTATTGCAGCCACGTCGCGGGCAGGGTCTGTGGCAGGCGTGGTACGGGAGGAACATGAGCTTAAGGCAAACCTGGATGCACATGTTTCGTGGATACGCCGGCGTTTCGGCGACTGCGTTCCAATCTATCTCATTGAAGGACTTCGCACTTGGCTCCGGAAAAATGAGAACGCGAAGAATCGAGCATACACTGCCGCTGTTCGAGCTCAGATGTCGCAGACTGAGGGTGATCCGGCCTCATCCCAGGCTAGAAGCCGAAAGCGGAAGAAGCCTGCGCCTGAGTCGCTGGACCTTTCGGTTCTCATGTCGGACACCGTCGATGACCTGCTCCTCCATCTTCAACTGGCTCATCAACCAATACTGATCCAGCATACGTCGACGCCGGCGGACTCGGCGTCTCAAATATGTGCCCTCACACAGCATCTCTCCACCCGACCATACCGCCGCGCCCAGCTTGACTATAACCTCAAGTCTGCATCGTTCTGCATGGACCGTGGACAAGTTCGGACCGGTGACGATCCCAAAGACACATTTGTCAAAATGCTTCAAGAGGTCCAGCGGGTGACTCCCAGCATGGCCTACGGGATTGTCGAAGAATACTCGAGCATTCGAAAGTTGGTTAAAGGGTTCGACAAACACGGCAACCTGATGCTCGAAGACGTTCGCAAGACTGTGAACAAAGACGGCGGGTGGAGCGACAAGAGATTGGGCCCGCAGATTAGCAAGCGGCTGTACAAAGTGTTCATGGGCCGAGACCCTGCATCGACGGATGGGATGTCATGAGAGCATTGGAGACAGGTGTACTCTGTATTTGGGTAAGAATAGATATGTATGGCAAGGTCAGCAAGTAGGGTTGCCCTTTTTATCTTGGCTATTCAAGGTAGGAATGGCTGCTGAATTCTGGGGAAACGAGGCTCGAGATCGGCGAGACAGGAGATTATGGTCTGCTCGAATCCTCTTGGGTGTCTCCGTGCTGGTCGAGCCTGGTTTGAGCAGCACCGCAACACACAAAAGACAATCAATGCTTCCTTCGTCGTCCGTCCGACCTTTCGTCCAGTTCCAGCCCCTCTTCCCGACCCTGCCTTCTCAGGCAGGGCTATGTATTCACTCGTTCATTCATTCAGTTCAGCCCAGTTCAGCCCAGTTCAGCCTAGCTCGTCTCAGCTCTGCTTCACTAGCTGGGCCTGCTCACGAGAGGGCTTTTTATTCCCACCTCGTAATATGTAATGCAATGCAATGCTCCCCTCCGTAGCGTACCCCGTATCCCGTATATCCTAAGTGACCAGGTAGGTAGGTAGGTAGGTAGGTAGGTAGGTAGGTGCTCACTTACTGCACTTTTCTTTCGCGACAAAAGTCCCACCAGGGAGGACTGGGTGATTGATTGCTTGATTGACTGATTGCCCTGGATTTCGTCCTTTTGGATAGTACGAGGGGAGGGAATCTGAGCGGTCATCTTTGTCATAGCGGCCGTCACCAGGGCGCTTTGGTGCCCTTTTCAATGCGTATGAGTCGCATATGGTATCGACCCCCTGCTTGCTCGCCTGCTGACATATATATGTGGAGGGTTGAAATTAACATGTTAGTGCTTCGTACACATGGAATATTGTGCAGCTTATGTAGTTGTAAAGGACCCCAATTCGTGCACAGGCATCATGAAGGGGTTTCAAGGTCTGATTTATCATTCAATGGCCGTTTGTGCCCCTGTGCCCGTGCCCGTGCTTGGCCTTTTCTCCTCTCCTTGCCCTCCCTCCACGGACGAAAAAAAAAAGCTGCACCGTGCAAGCAACGTTCGTGAAAAACGCTAACGTCGAATCCGCGATAGGGATGACCGGTGAGTCTCCATTTTCCCGCCGCGAGCTGCCAATGAGCGTCGGCGGGACACGTCAACAAGAGCGCTATGTACTCGTTGTCTCGCGTGGCAGAAGGAGGATGGAAGGGAGTGTGATTCCCAGCGGAGGGGTTTGTATGTATATATAAAGCTGGTTTGATAACGATGTTTCTTTGCCCTCCCCCTCTATCAATCTGTGTTCGAAGAATCGGTAGTGCTCACTGTCTTCAGCAGCGCAAGGACGACCACTAGGAAACTTACTGCAACACGGTTGTTTCTATACGAATATCTTTTTTTGAGAACAAGACGTCCGCCGTCTCCAGCCTTCCGGTGAGCTTTGCTTGTTTCTGAGTGAGACCAGAAGAGAAGAGAAGAGAAGAAACCAAAGAAAAGAATGGCCGGCCCGATCAAGAAGGTCGTTGTGCTCGGGGTATGGAACTAACTTCCTCCTTACCCTCCTCCCTCCCTTCCTCTCTACGGGAAAAAATGAATATAGGAGGAAAATCTCCAGAGGCCCCCCCACTGACAAAGGTACATGACGCACCATCCAGGCGACAGGCAACGTCGGCAAGCCCATCGCCACCGCGCTGGCCGAGGCCGGGTACACGGTGACGGCGGCCTCGCGCACGCCCGGGCAGAAGTTCCCCGACGCGACGGGCATCGTCTCGGCCGTGGTCGACTACAGCTCGCCGGCGGAGCTCACGGCGCTCTTCACCGGCCAGGATGCCGTGGTCGAAGCCATCCCCCCCAACGCCCTGCACATGCAGGCGACCATCGTCGAAGCCTGCGTCGCCGCGGGCACCGTCCAGCGCATCATCACCCCGGATTTCGCGGGCGACACGTTCAACGAGCACATCACCGAGCTGCCACTGTATGTTCCCAAGGTGGAGGCGCAGAAGGTCCTGGAGGAGAAGGTGAAGGGCACCAACGTGACCTGGAGCGCGATTATTACGGGAGGGTGGTATGACTGGGGTGAGTATAGCCCGTCGTTTTCTCTCAGCTGCCCTTTTCCCTCAGTCTGAGCAGGAGGGGGGCTTTGAATGAATTGCTGTGGTCTCTTCCGTCCAGCAGCGGCTAACACTATCTTTACCACCTCGTGTGTCTTCTCCAGCCATTCCTCTTGGCTACTACTGGATCAATCCGCGCACCAACACCCTCGTGGTCTACGGCAGCGGCGACCAGCGCAACAGCATGTGCCGGGTGTCCACCGCCGCGAAGGCCGTGTGCGACGTGTTCCAGCAGCCCGAGAAATACGCCAACCGACCCGTCTACGTCGCCGACCACACCGTGAGCATGAACCAGCTGATCCCCATCCTCGAGGAGGTCAAGCCCGGTTGGCAGATCCAGAAGGTCGACCTGGACGAGTTCTTCGCCACCGCGAAGAAGATGTGGGACGAGGACACGGCGAAGGGCGTCGAGGTGCGCTTGCTGACTCCTGGTGAGTGATTCCAGCCCCTTCCGCTCCTCCAGTCTCTCTCCTCGCTGCATTGGTCAGACAAAACTTCTTCATCACTTACTCGCTCGATCTAGCGTATAACATGTTGGGAACCTACGGCATCTTCGAAGAGAACAACCGATACAACGCCGACTTCGAACACCTGATCGAGCCCGGGTCGGGGTATCAGAAAACGCTGGAGGACTTGAAGGAGGAGTTGAAGACGCTCGTTGCCTGAGAGTAGGCAACACGCTGAGAAACCACAGAGCTGGATTTCTGAGCGAGCTGAGTGGGTATTCTTCTAGCCGTACAGAGGAGAGACGAAGGGGGGAAAATAGAAATACAAAAAAAAGTAAGAAGAGTGGGAAAAAGATATAGAAGTCATGTGGGCTTACTGGTCTTCTTCATTGCCATGATATCACTCCTCTTTTTGTATCACGTACTCTTGAACGAGAAGAGGCAGCGAAGATGGCCAGACAGTCACAGTAGCTCCTTCGAGGCAAGTCCAATGCACGATATCAAGTAGAATTCGAGGTCATGTTGGTCAAATGACTCAATCAGTCAATCTCTCAATCATCATTGATGTACTTGTCGTAGACATCGGCGTACCACCGGGCGCCGACATCCCGATGACTGCGTATCTTGGTCCGCAGCTGGGCCTCGCCCCAGGTATCGTACTTGCCGCGGAGGAAGGGACTATCTATACGCTGACCCTCGTCGGACTCCCTTCCTCGTGTCCATGTCTTAGCGGCGTCAAAATGATCCCAGAGAGACTTGAGGTCGGCCTTGGTCAGGTCGGGCCGCACGCCCTGGAAGAAGGGCACGCTGTAGCGGTCGTAGTCCCCCGGCGGCAGCAGCACGCGGTGCGTGGTGGCCTTGCAGATGCCGTGGGTCACCACCTCAAAGGCTTGGCCCATGTTGACCACCACCGTGCCCGGGACGGGGGGTGCGTCCAGCCACACCCCATCTTTGGACAGCACCTGGAGCCCCGGGATCGACGGGTCCGACGCTTGCAGCAGGAACGTCATCCACCCGGAACTGTCCTTGTGAGGGCCGACGCCCTGCGTAGAAGAAGAAGAGGAGGACGACGACGACGATGACGACGACATGGGGCGGTAGTGCACGAGTTTGAGCCGGTCCTGTGGGCCCGTGAACCGCTCGAGACTATGTGGAGGCAAGTCGAGTGCCTCGGTGACCAGCTCGAGGAACCGCATCGCGAGATCCTGCATGGCCGCGACGTACGACTCGACGATCTCGCGAAATCTGGGCACCGTATCCTTCCCCGACTCGTCGAGCCACTGATTCGGGCCCTGGAGGCGAACATACAGCGGCTGAGTCGCCGCCGCCGCCCCCGCAGCATCACCTCCATACTTGTCGGGCAACTCGTTGGCGAACTCGAACTGCTCGCGCTGATCCCGGACGCGCGCCGTGATCTCCGATCCAAACTGGCTGTACCCCAAGAAATGGGGCGAGTTGACGAGGGCCACGGACTCCTTGACGGGGTCCGGAAGGGCGAAGAGACGCGGCAACGCGTCCACCAGGTCCTGCACGGTGGCCTCCCGAATGCCGTGGTGCGAGAGGTACAGGAAGCCCACCTCGAACAGCGCGTGGCGCAGATCTTGCAGCAGCTGCGGCCGCGTGGCTGAGTCGTCGGCTCGACGGACGTCGATGGTCGGGATGGACATGGCGGACTGGCGGGCTGACGAGCTGTGTGAAGATGCTAACGATGAATATATATATAAATAGTGTCGATCGTGAGAAAAGTTCGGAGATGGGTGTCTTTTCCAAAATGATGGATCCTACCCTTCTTGACCTGATTAGAGAGAGAGAGAGAGGCTTTCTCAACCGGCAGGCAACCTGGTTGCTTTCATATGTAGATACCTATGACAAACGGAGAGAAGAAGGCAGACATCAAGATACATTGAAATTTAACCCGCTTCAGGTGGAATGATTGTAGCACGCAATCGAAAAAAAGGAGTTCGTGTTATGTAAGCAGATCGGCCTCGAGTGACTGGTTTCCTCGGCCCAAGATGGCCGGCCATAGAAAGGAGACTATTATGTCCAGGGCGTGTCTAGAGCACGAGCACATGAAGGTCAGAGATAGAAACCACACAAGTAGAGGCGCGAGCTTATAGCAGAGGCGATCTGAGAGCGTGTCAACAGGTGGGATTTGGTTCCACAAAGCAGCTACACTTTGTATCTATGTATCCCTTTCCAAGACCTCTGCTCTTTGTCACGCCGTTGATACATCTCACATCCACCAGACCGTCGACTCTAACGGACACGTCTTGGACCGTCCCCTACCAACCGACTCGCTGCCGCAAGTTCGGTGGTCTGTTGCTCCCTCTGTCTCTCCAATTCCGCCATCTCCTCATCCCCTCCGCTTGCCTCGGCGTCGTCGTCTTCGTCGCTACTGCGACCTCCATCTCCCTCATCATCCACTCCCCCGTCTTCATCCTCAGACGGTCTCCTGCGTCTCTCAAAATCCTGTGCGTGGGCAGTTCCAATGATAGTCCCCACGCGTTGCAGGGCCCGCATGGCGGGTGTCCGCGGCGTGGTGGGAGGGCGTCGTTGGCGAAGCGACACGTCTCTCGAGGGTACGCTTTCGAGGTCCACGCCCGTGGCAACATGTTCTTCGGGCTCTGTAGGCTGTGGAGCGGTGGGGGTCTGGCGTCTCTGAACAGGGGAGACCATGCGTGAATCGGGTATGTCGTAGGGCAAAGGAATATCTCGAGAAGCACGGAATTTCCCAACGTTGTTGCAATGTTCGTTTTCGACCCGGAAGAGAGACCACATGCCTCTGCGGAGGGCCTCCGCCACCCCGACCCCGAAGGACATGAATGCGGAATGCTGAATGTCGGTCGTAAAGATAGCGTATAACACCCACTGTTGTCGAAGGATGACATCCGCCACGATGGCACAATAATACATCCACACTTGTTTGTAGGCAAGCCGCTCTCGGAGGAACGGGTACTTGTGGGTGAAGAAATCGCCCAAGCTCCAGTCCATAAACACATCCCACAAGGAGCAATATACTCCATTCACTAGCCCAAAGGTGACAAAGATGGCCCAAGTCGTGTGATTCATGTCGATCCGGTAGATGGACAGCGTCGCATAATAGGCGATGTTGCCGCAATACTTGAGACAGTTGGCGAGATGAGGGAACCAGTTCCGCGAATCGTAATATCGACGCAGACATTGTAGTGCTCGCCAAACCGCAGGAAGGGTGGTGAAGAAACCCAGCAGGCGTGAGTGGCTGGAGTTGCATTGTGGAGGGTTGTTCCACTCATTAACATAGAGGCAGAAGAAGAGTTCAATCTGCCCCATGGCGTAGGTTTCCGAACAGTACATGTCGCCCAGGTAGAAGTCTCGGAACTCCACCGGGTAAAATGGTGCACAGGCGAGCCTCAAGTTGGAGACGGCCCACCATTTCCTCGCGTGGTGATAGATAATGGGAAAAGGCAGAAATGTGATGAGGACGGTGAGGACGATGAGAAACAAAGGCCAATAGATGTAGAACCAATCGTACGAGTTCTGCCGAAAGTTGAGGTAGACAAATAGACCATTGAGGAAGAGGAAAAAGCAAGGGAGTTCCGCCAATTGTCGCCAGTCCAGGACATGTCGGGTGTCGTACTCGAAAATGAAGACGTAGTTGATGTGGTTTTTGTTCCACATTCTGCAGTCCAGAACGAACATCAAGAATAGAATTACAATGAGAAAGTATCCGCCGTATAGCTGCAGCAGGTAGCTGGTCTGCACAGTCATTCTGGGATCGTTCAGTCGAAACGCAGCGTCGACAAGACCGGCCACTCCAAAACAACAGCCCGCCGCCACATAAAGGCCGTTGCGGAACGCCACCGCCGAGTGATCTCCAGTACCAACCTTGGATCGCAGTTTCTTCACGGCGACCTTGTGGTTACCACGCTCAAAGTACCGAGCATATAGATCCTCGATGGCAATAAGGTGATTGTCGACGACGTCGCTCGTGACAAAGTAGGCGTTGTTGACTTTTTCCGTCATATATCGCAGTGGAGGTCTGGCTTGGACCGCCTTGTCGTACTTTTTGTTGATCTTGCGGAAACCAGTTTTGTTCAGAAGGGCATACGATTTGAGCAGTTCCAGTCCGCGGTAGAATTCCTGCAGCGCCAGCTTCAGCCTTTTCTTCGCGACCGAGTACTTGATTTCGCTATCGTGGTCGCGGCGCACGTAATCTTGCTTGGCTTCGTTGATTCTCTTTTGTGCTTGGGGCCCGGGAGGGGAACTCATTTGTGCCATGGCTTGACTGGTCTTCCCGATGGTTGACCGTCGACCCATGACATCTACTATTGGCTTGGGGAGACGGTGGCTGCTGCTTCCGTTGGGCTTTCCGTTTTCCTTGAGAGGACCATCAGATTGTTTCCGTATATCGTCCAGATGTGGCGGTTGCGTGCCGTCCTTGGAGTGTTTCGCCGTCAAAATTTCGGCTATTCTTCGATCCCTCATTTCGTGCAGTTGTGCCCTCAGCATCTGGAGACGTTCGGTCGCCTCGTCTTCCTTGGTCTTGTAGAAATCTTCGATCTTGGTGAGTTCTTTGTCCAAGAACGTGAAAAAATCGGCCTGTTTCTCGTCGACTTCTTGATACGCAGACAGCTGCATATCATTCACTGAGGCCTCGGTCAGATCACGGGGAGCGAACATCTTGCGGAATCTTTGCGACGCGGAGAGGGAGTTCATCCTGCCGGGCGGTCCAGAGAGAGATTGAGTTTTGCCTCCCTGTCGGGGCTTGAACATGGCCTTTGCTAAGCTTCCTGCAAAACTGTGCCTGGCGAGGGGAGGGTGGTGTGTCTGGCCAACGTGGTACGCATCTGGCGAAGCTGGAACCTGGGCGGGAGGGGGAAGTCGTGGAGTTGTGCCGTCAGATTTCGCTGTGTTCTCTGTGGGTGGGCGCGTCCGCTTAGGGGTCAATGCGGGATCTGGGAGTTCAAGAGCGGCCATCATGCCCGGTGTCTCATCTGGAGGTGTGCCTACAATGGATCCATAACTTATCATTCGCCGCGTCGATTGAGAGGGGTAAAGCGGCGTACTTTCTGGCAGTGTTCCTGCATTCTCCTCTTGGGCCGCGGGAATGTATATAGGCGGAGACGCCGCGAACAAAGTATGACTCTGGCGCTGAGATATTGGGGGTCTGTTGACCGGCTCCTCATCTTCGTCTTCGTCAGGCCCGATCTCTTCTATCTCGGCCAAGGACTGGCTCGGTGGCCGGTGAACGTTGAAGTCATAGTGTGTAAAGGGAGCACGCTGCTCCGAGAAGGCGTCGATATTGGCAGAGCGAGGTTCAGTGCCGGGTGTCTTCTGCAGGTTCCTGAGGGCCTTCGAGATGGCTTTGATCTTCTTCTTTCCCAGCTGCGAGCAACAGTCAGCATTGAGCGAAGCTATCCTTGCTGAGAGGGTGACAGGCCTTGTAATTCAAGTATTTGGCTCTCCATTCCGGCACAGCTTCTTCCTCCAATTCCCTGCCACGATCAGTGTCCCCGGTTCCCCTTCTGGGGGCAGGCTCTGAGGACTTACTTTGCGAACTTCATGGCGCGAGTTCAGGCCTTAGCCACAGCGCATCCTGCCTGTCTGCCACCTAGCCGTAGTCATCTACTACAAGGCCGGAACGACACGACCATCGACTGAAGAACAAAGAAAAAGGGTGTGGGGAGGGAGCCATGGGAAGATCGCGAGGGCGGAGAAAGCGAGGGAAACTGGTGAGAAAGTTGCATATGCGCGGCGTCATCGGGGCATAGGCGACATCTCGGCTTGATAGGTCGACAACCCGCGTCTGTCTGCGCACGTGCGTCGTCCATACGACCACCTTCCTTTCTGCTGCTCCTGGCTACAATGGCCGCTCAAACTCAATCTGAGAGGCACTCGGATAGGTACAGTACCTACAGTATAAGAGGCAAGTCAACAGATGACTACCGCTGGGAGGACATCCGCTCTTCCAGGCTCCAAGGTAGTTCCTTGAGAATTCTTAGTATTGATTTAACCTCCTTCTGATATGTACATATCGAATGATTCTTGTTCAGAATCAACCACGCCATTTTCAATGCCTATATAGTCCTTGAACAGTTGCCACGCCATGGAGAAAGTCAGGCTGTGGGTAGAGTGGACCCTGGCCTGATGTCTGCTCGTGTAGCGGTTCGAAGTGTCTTGTGAACCTTTCTTCCTGTTCAAATTCGGCCTTCGTTGGAGTAACTCGCAGACTGCCTATTCTCTGCTCTGCTGCACATCCTCTCTCAATTGCTCTTTCTTCCTGCCTTCGCCCGTCTGCCTCCTCACCAAACCACTCTTCGAAATGTCCGGGTACTCATCATGGGCATTCCGTCCCAAAGCACATGTACCAAGATTATGTTTAACCATACGAAATCTGCGCGTGAGGCTCACCAGGGGCCATGAAATTGGTCTCCGGGTTGCCCGTCTCCTTTGCCGCGCTGCAGCGAGCCATTGTCGGTGAACTAGAGTATCATTAGCATTTTGATGAATATAGAACAAAGGAACAAGGGTGTTGATGAGACATACCTTCTTGAGATCACATCAGTCTGATAGAAGTCTTTGATGGGCAACTCCAGCTTCTGTCCCGAAGCCTTTGAGCCCTTGTTCGCATCCACAAGTTGCACTTTACTTAAGCCCGTCAAGGTTTGCGGCTCGAGGGTGTCGTATCTCCTGAGTGCCGGCGAGATCTCTTCTAGACGATCTCTCAACACCTCCAGGTCGTCATATGGTAACGGGGCGCCCAGGAATTCGGAAGCCGCTCGAATGATCTTCCAGTCCGTCCGCGCCGCGCCGGGTATCGCGACGGCAGAGCGAGTAAGTTGTACACGCCCCTCAGTGTTTACGTAAGTGCCGGACTTCTCGGTGTACGCACAACCAGGAAGAATGACATCCGCCAGCTGGGCACCAGTCTCGCCGTGGTGGCCTTGGTAAACCACAAAGGCGTCCTTAGGAATGTCGGCCTCAGAGACCTCATCCGCGCCTAACAACCAGACCATCTTGGCCTTGGTCTCGGCAACTTTCTGAGATGGAACGGTGAAGCCGACCTCATAAGCTCCTGCTCTGGAGGCCGCTCGCTGAAGGACATTGTACCCTTGCCACTCAGAGGTGTTGAAGTTGGCCTGGTGCTTGTCCACGAAGGAACCGACCGTCTCGAAGATCGCTGCTGCATCCGGGTGCTCGGCGACTGCGCTGCCTACTATGATCATAGGCCTCTTGGCTTCCGCCAATTTCTTGCCGAAGTCACCAGACAGAGCTTTCTTTATTGCTGCAGCATCCGTGCCCAAATGCTCATATTCAAAGGTGCTCTCAAATGGCTCACCAATATACCCAATGTCGAGTGGTGACCGCAGCCATTGTTTGCGAATGCGGGCGTTGAGCACAGCCGCCTCCCAACGAGGATTGCTTCCGATGATAAGCATGCTGGTAGCTTCTTCAATACCCCAGATTCTGGAGTTGAAGAGGTAATTTCCCCGGACGTCGACACCGTGGGCAATTGGCGAGCCGCCTCCAGGTTGGTCAAGAGCGAGGTTCTCGGAGTTCAGTTTATTGGCCAGGTCTTTCATGGCGACTAAGGATTCTGTCTCGACCAAGTGACCGGCAATGGCTTTGAACTCGTTCTCGCCAGGCTGGATCCGCATGTATGCGTTGCCGATTTCTGTTAGAGCTTGTTCCCAAGTAGCTGGAAGGAATTTATCATCCCTTCGGATCAATGGTGTCGTCAACCGCTGCGTCTTCAGCCCGTCAAGAGCAAAGCGGGTCTTATCATCGATCCATTCTTCGTTGACGTCGTCGTTCAGTCTGGGTAGGATTCTCTTGACTTCCAGACCTCTGGCGTCCACCCGGATATTTGAGCCCAGGGCATTCAGGACGTCGATTGACTCGAATTTGGTAAGTTCCCAAGGTCGATAGCTGAACGCTCCCGGTTTTGGCAAGAGAGCACCGACGGGGCACAGGTCAGCCACGTTCCCTGAGAGTTCAGTGTCCAAGTTCCTTTCCAGATATGTGCCGATTTCTAGTCCATTGCCTCTGCCGGTAGATCCTAGCTCCGGTGCCCCAGCGATCTCATTGGCGAACCGAATACATCTTGTGCAGTGAATGCATCTGTTCATCGAAGTCTTGATCAAGGGGCCAATGTTCTTGTCCTCAACGGCACGCTTGCCAGTAACCTCGTGGAAGCGGCCGCGATCGGCACCGTATCTCATAGACTGATCCTGTAAATCACATTGGCCGCCCTGGTCGCAAATAGGGCAATCTAACGGGTGGTTGGCCAGCAGGAACTCCATGATACCTTCTCTTGCTTTGTGGGTCATCGGTGAATCGGTCTTGACAACCATACCCGGTTGGACGGGCCACGCGCAGGATGCGACAGGTTTGGGGACTCGTTCGACTTCGACTAGGCACATACGACAGTTTCCGGCGATGAGGAGTTTTCTAGGCAATGAAGAGTGAGCACCCAGCGGCGTCCTGTGCGGGTCTTTGGGAGGGAACCAGGACGTACTCATGGTAACAGTATCGCGGAATTGTCACACCCGCCTTTTCACAAGCTTGGATCAAGGCTGATCCAGCCTCTATCGACACCTTCTTTCCATCGATGGTGAGTTCGACTTCGGCGTTTCGTCTGGCCGAGGATGTAAACGTCCTGGTCGCCGCTTGTCGTGTGGTTGAGGTCAGCGAAGGTCTTGTGCGCCCTGCGGCGCGGAGAAGCTGAGACCGCATTCTGTCACAACCCGTCGAGCAGGTCCCAGCTCTACAATTCGGAGGCAGTGTGGTTGAGATGAATATGGTGGCGTCGACAAGAAGCTCTTGAAGTTTCGCGGGTTGCAGCTTTCATTGACGACAGCATGGTGCCCACCAATCACATCGCGAGTATTACTGGCTCTGCGATACGGTAGATCATATGCCGCAAATATGCAACCCGCCCAGAATTAGCTGCCCAAACTGAGCATGTAGAGAGCAATCCATACAACCATGTCTCATTTACAGCCCAGGATCTTCTAAACCGATTCAAATGCTTAAGACGAAGCGAGCTGGGTATCTAAAGTTCATGAAACAAGGCTGCCCCTGACCACCGAGGCAGGCCATGATGTGTGTCCTCCTTCTGTCCCTCATTCCCTCGAAAACCATTCTCTCACCTTCCTCCTCCAAGCTCCAAATGTCTGTATGGACACAACATAGGAGTACATCATCGTCTTGAACGGGATCCAGGCCAGCCACCCCTTGGTGAGATCCTTGCCCATTTCCTCGGCGGCCCCATCAATCATGGCCACCAGAAACGCCACGGGTCCTTCCGTACTGAACATGCCCTGCTTATTCGACATCGTCTTTCTCTGATATCTCTCTGCCCGGGGGAACATGTTCTCTTCGTACTGGCGCACCACTTCATCCACGTTGCTCTGATCCTTCAGCGCTTTCTCAAGTGCTTCGGCCAGCTCGAGCGAATCTTTCATTGCCTTGTTCACCCCTTCGCCAGCAAACGGAGTCATCAGACTTGCAGCGTCTCCAATCAGCGTATATCCCTTCTTGTGATCCCAGGTATGTCCGACAGGTAACTCGTAGAGCGCCGAAGCACGGAATCTGGAGCTGGCGCGGATCAGTTCTTTCTGTTGGCGTGTCCAGTCGTGGTAATTTTCCAGGATTTTGTCCTTCAGTTTTTCCTCGTTGTCACCATAAGCACTCATTGTATCGGTCGCCCAGCTCTCTCTGTCTTCCTTTTTAACCCAAGTCCCGATCCTGATGGACTCGTCACCCATTCTCTGCGCAGTTAAAGACCTTCCGTCGGAGTAGGAAAAATAGCTGCCCCTGCCAACCATCTTGGACAGCTTTGGGTGTTCCTCATTCGGTTTTAAGATACGGCTTTCGAAGCCACAGATGCCCGAATAGCGTGGCCTCACGTCTGTCAAGACGTTTCGAACCTTAGACCACGCCCCATCGGCGCCGACGACCAGATCATACGGCCCGGCGGTCGAGCCATCGCGAAAGCTCAGGGTGCCGGTCTCAGGGTCAACCGACTGCAGCGTCTTGCCCCATTTCACCCAGTCGCTCTCAACACTCTCCAATAGCATTTCCTTCAAGATCTCTCGATCTATTTCAGGTCTCTCATAGTCCAATTGCGACTTTCCAGCCTTGACTTTGGGTTGATTCTTGAGGTGGATGATAACCGTATCGTTCTTGTCGGCGATGAATAGTTCCTCACCATCGTAGCGGAGGTGTTTGAGCGCCTCCTCCCATAACCCAGCCTTTCTCAGGGCAGCAAGACCGGTGTCCGTGTGTAAGTCGAGCGAGCCACCCTGGAAGGATCGAGATGTGGGACTTGCGTCCTTTTCGAAGATGGTGATGGAGATGTCGACGGAGGCAACCTGGAGTAGGCGGGCAAGCGTGAGACCTGCGGGACCTGCACCGATGATGGCGAGACTGAACGGCATCGTGGTGAAGATTTCCCGACCGAGCTTGAGTTGACGAGTGGTGTCCCTCTGTGCCGGGTCGAACTGATGGTTTATTAAATCCTAAAACGATGTTGTTGAAGTAAAAAAGCTGGTTACGTCGGTCTGGACTAGTTCAGGATGTCCCTCATGCTTCTTTTAAGTCGCGCAGAGGGTGTTGGTGCCAGAAAATTGGTCGCTGCTGCCTGTCGGCGTTGATGTTCAATAGTGTCGCACTTGTGGTCGGTACCTGTGTAAGGTTTCGTGATGGGCGAGACACCGAGCACTCAGCTTAGCTATTATATTCTGAGACTTACCGTTATTTTAATTAATGGCTCAATCCATGACACAATGGACGACGAGCAACATCCTACCTCCTACTGACGACTGGGGCCCGACAGCCTCTTGACCCAGCGAAATGTATTAATTCGTGGGCTCTATTCCTCCCTCTGGAATTGCAAGGGTCGGGCCCGTGGATGTTGTATGCCGCCGTATCGAGCCTGAGGAAATACGAGGACACGAGGACACCGCCGGACCTACATATGCCGTCTGCGCAGTGGCCAAATTGGCACCCTCGGGCCCGCGCCACACCTGTTGCGGCCGAGGTCAGTGCCCCATCCCCGGTATCCGATAGGTGTTATCTGAATGACGAGGGCGGTTGTTGTGACAGCATCGCGCGACTTTCCAGAAACAGGGTTACTGTGCGAAGAAGCGTCGTCATGGAAAAGTCTCTTCGTATAATGGCTTGATCGTGCGTGGTATTCAGGAAGGTTGGCTGGATACAGATACTTGGTTCTAGGAGCTCTTGTGCCCACGGAAGGTCTATGCCATAAATGCCCCAAAGCCAAACATGGCAGCAATCCCCAGCTTGCCATCTACACTATTTCTTTTTTGTATCGAGGTACCCGCGCCCGAATGGGTCGGAGACGAGCCAGGTTGGCCTGAGCTGTGCGATCCATTACTATAAGTGCTGGCTGTCGGGCATCCCGAGCCATTGCACTTCGCAGCGAGTTCCGTGCTGGGCACAAACGTCTTGACCGGTCTGGTGCTGTTCCTCAATGGTTTGCCATTGACGTCGAGGCTTTCGACCAAACTCCAAGGATAGTACTTGGGTGCAGTGTACATGGTTTCAAACCCATTTCTGTGGACGGTGCCGACAACATCCCAAGGCCCGTTACGCGATGAGCTCGAGTAAACACGCCATTGTGCGACTTGCGTCGCGCCATTCCAGCTCATCCAGTACGATGTCGGTGCACTCGTGTTGTGTGCATACGTGTACAGAGCAGGTGCATCAGTGGGACTGGAGGTGAAATTGTACTTGAAAGCGCGGTAGTGCATTGACCCTTCTGTAGCGAAGTGTCCCTGCTGGACCATTCGCCCATCAGGTGCGTACTCGGAAATAAACGCATTCTTACCCCATCCCATGAAAACGTTCGAGGTCGACCAATCTTGATTGCTTCCAAGGACCTGCAGATTACCTTGTGACGGGGAGATGAATTGGTATGGCGCAATAAATCTTTTAAGCAGTGTGACGGAGTTCGTGGTATGGTCCAGCTTCAAAACCAGGCCAGAGGAGTAGCGGGCAGTTTGGTTGTAGCCATTTGAAGCATTGTCAAACAACGAGACGATGGTGGTGGTTTGGTTCTCTTCGAGGAACCTCGCATCATGCTGGAAACTGAAATTGAGGCCCGGTGGGAAGCTGAAATCGGAGGCTATACCGCCCAGCCGCCAAATGATGTGGCCATCCTGTCCAGATACCTTGTATAGGGTACAGGTGTGGCGCGAAGATACCAAATAGTCCCCGTCGGCATTCTGATCGACGCTGTTGATATGGAAATAGTCCCAGGGGCTTGTCGGTCCGAATCCATCTCCCGAAACCTCTGTCGTATCCGGCAGCACAAAGGTTTCATTGGGAAGAACGTGGTCCAAGGCGGACCATTCAAAGATCAATCGATTCGTTCCAATCTCAATACGTTGAAAGAAGTTGTTCATGATCCAACCCTGCCCTGACGTGATATTGTATGCCGACAGGTCATAGTGCTCGGGGTTGTAGAGCGTAAAAAGAGACGACCCGTCGGGAAGGACGTTGAATTCATGCTCGTCAAAATTGGCCACGCCCGCTTGTGAGTGGATCGAGGTTTTGGTGGTGAAAGTGTCGTCCAGGACTACCGCGTAGCCTCGAACATAACCGACATTCTGACCGCCGGTTATGTAGCAGAGGTTGTCTGTCCCATTGATCGAGCAAAGGTGGAAGTTGTGGCTCGGGCCACCGCCGGTCGAGCCATATCCCGAATACACCAAGTTCTGGCACGGATCAGTTTCTCCTCCCTCTTACATTTGTGGCATGCGGAACTGACCCCTCTGTTGTCGTAGATGTAGATAGCCTCTTGAAACGTCTGGTATGGACCCAGGAAAATATATCCTGGGGTGACCGCATCTTCGTCGAAAAGAGAGATGTTCAGGAAAGGTGCGTAGATGTCGGGTCTCTGTCACGCTCGTCAGTAACAGCTCGGTCGTGAGAAACCAGACAGACTTACAGATTTGTATTGAGACAATGGGCCCGTGCCGTTCGTGGCTATTGACACCTGACCCTGCGCTTGTGCGCTGGGGAAGGTACATGATGCCAAAAGCGCAGTCAGAACAAGTCTAATGGTAGATGTCATGGCGGAGAAGTGAGGCGTCTAAGTCCGTCGAGGCGCCCACTCACATCAACCCGAGCAAGTCGACTTCAATCTGAACACGAGAACTCCTGGCTGAGTTATTGGAGGGGGATCAAGTTCCCATTGCCTGCAAAGAGAACCATCCATCGTTTGCAGTCCAGGACACCGGGGAACTTACTCTGAAGGATCTTCTCCACCAATGACGCACCGTTGCATTTGAGCATTTTTAGCAAGGAGAGAGCTGCAGGTGCCTGGAACCGCAATTGGACTAAATGTGAATTAATTAACAAGGATTGACCATTGAGCAGCCAGAAGCAGACAACACTTGTGCCGCCAGCCTTGACCGGTTGACCCTACATATAAAACTCCCCCTAAGATACTACCCCGTATTCGAACATACCCGGACTGAGGTCGAGGTCTACAAGCTATTGCGAAGGCTGACGGTCGCATTACATGTCTCGAGGATACACGTCCTGGGTATTTAACAGGTAAATTAGTCCCTCCCAATACGTATGCCTCAGGAAAACCAGATTCCCCGGCTAGAGATTAATCGATATTCACTTCCTTATCAAGGAAAAGACAGCACAACACGATGATATTCGAGTTTCATGGCGACTTCATCGCCGGTTTCAGCGTCACGCCCTATTTAACGTGAGATTTTGTTTGCAACCATGAGCGTCAAGGATATGGCTATACCTAGATCGACTTTGCCAAATGAACCAGATCCTACTTTTCGCACAAAGTGGTACCCTGCCCCCGATGGCTATATTTCGCACACGTTGTACAAAGCCGTCTATGCTGTCGTCGTTACAATCGATATCCATCCGTGGGGGCACCAGTGGTTTACTCATGACAGTTTGATCTTCGGCTACTGGCTATACTTTCCTCTAGGCGAATCAATACTAAGATGGCCATCTCCAGCTTTGTGTGCATCATCTCACTGCGCTTCTCACTCCTAGAGGAGAGTCAGAGTATCATATGACCAAGACAAAGGCATTTGAGATGACGAGCGACAAAGAGACATTCGTCACGGCCTCCCTCAACGTCGGCGACCTTGCGAAAAAAGAGCGGGACAATACATTGCCCATGCTAACAAGGTGGCCCGCCAGATGCCTGTACCGGACCCCAACACCAGCCTGACAGCCAGCTGCACATCCCAGTGGACGGCCGTTGTCACCGGAACAGATACCACTGAAGACGAGCCATCACCTCGCTGACACTCAAATGTATTTGTTCAGAACAGGGATCCCGCTTGTCTAGGGAGGTTACTTCTCGTCGCGTGCCCATCTTGCAGAACGTTCCCCTCGTCTGACATCACGCCAGATAGATCGGGTCTCACGACGGCGTTCTGGCGCCGAATAGTCTCAGATGGCTTTTACACCTCCTTGCGGAGGGCATCTAGTCTGTGATGCAACGGGGAGATTCAGCAAGGGGTTCAAAACCAAACTATGGCCACCTTATTTTCCTACCGCTCGCCTCCAAGCAATTCCAGTATCAACCAGGTCCTACAAGCCACAACCCGTTGTGCATACGACATGATGACGGGTTGTCGGGTGGCTACCCCTTCCATTTTATTTTGACGTTCTCTTATGTAGCAGAATACAGCTAGGAGGCCGAACCTTCGGCCTGTGTTGGGGTTTCTCCCTCAACTGGTTTCTGCCCTAGGATAACAAATCTAGGATATGATTAGTGGACAGGAGAGAAACGGCCGCAAAGACAAGGCACCGGGCCACTTACAACGGCCAGTAGCTGTGAACAGTGCGTTCTCTCGCCTCTCTTCGGCAGTCTGTGAGTAAGTTCTCGAGCTCGTCAAGCGAGTACCCGAGGAGCTCCGTGAATATCTTCAGACTCAGGCCTTGGATGCCGTCGAGGATGTTAACGAGACCGAACATCCCAGCTTGTCGAAGTTGAGGATCTTTGGGCCAGGGACCTATGGGCATTTTGTACCTGCGGCAGGCAACATTTACAAAACCTGCGGTGCGCATCTGCTCCACCACGAGCTCGGGTTGGCAGAATCCTCCCAGGTTGATCATTTCCATTCCTCTGGTCCATTCACGTTCCCAGAAGCTGAGCCGACTGCTCGGAGGGATAGTTCCATCGTCACTTCGACGATTGTAGTCAAATTCCTGGCATTCGACCCACCCGCCGGGGTTGAGGCATTGAAATGCCTGTTCGAAGAAATGAGGCCAACTGCGCAAAGTGAAGTCGTTCATGATCCTGCTGTGGACCAGGTCAAATTTGAGAGGGAATGCCCACTCTTCGTCGGCATCTGCAATCTCGAAGCTCAAGTTTGGCGTCACAAAATTCGGCTGAATGGGACTCAGATCAGTGCCGACAACAGTTGCCCCGGGATATGCTTCAGCAGCCTCCATCGCCCATGTACCCGTTCCCGTTCCGATATCGAGAATTCTCCGTGGATGGGGAATCGGGGCGAAGAACAAATTGTTCCTCAACGACAGACGGACAGCGTGGTAGGTGATGTCAATTCTGTCCTGCTCCGACTCGTCATTGGGCATCAGGTATTTGCCACGATGGAAGGAATGATACGTTCGATTATACAGCCTCTCATACTCATAGATGCTGGCCGTCACCGACTGTGTCGTAGATTCCTGGTCCCAATATCCGGAATCCGTCTCGCCCAGTGCCGAGTGGGTATCATCATTCTGGTTCAGTCACTCGTAAATAGATCTTTTCCCACAAGATCTCTAGCGCCATTGACCTACCATATGATCACTAATTGCTTCCAAGGCACTGTCACTGCCAGAGACTGACATTTGAGGGAGCAAGGAGATCTTTGTACGGCGGCGAGCTTTGAGAGTGGGGGGTTCGGTGAAATGGGAGCAGAGTCTTCATATTTTGAACCAGCAGGGCAACTCAAGGGACATTTCGGAAAAGAAGCGACAGCCAGACCGGGAGGCGAAAGACGGGCAAGAAAAGGACACAAGGGCATCCCCGTCCATGGCTCGTTTTCTCTGCCTCCAACAACACCATGACAGGTGTGTGAACAACCCGTCAAGTCACCAATTGGGTGGCCCGATCCAGCTCTTTTACCAATTCTCTAGTTCCTCACCAGCCCGTCCCGGAACTGAGCTGCCCCGGAGACCCGCGTATGCTTGGTCGGTCGTCCGTCTGCATACAGGGCCAAACAGAGTGACAGAGTTGACGTCTCGGCGCTTGTGAAGACGTGGTAAGGCTTAAAGAGGCAAGGAATGACGCCACTAGGAAGATATGGCACCGGCGGAACAGCAGGACGCCGTTGGTGGGTTGATGCCTCTAGTCAACGTGGACAACTTAAACTCTTGACAGCCCCCGATTGACATGTTGTCGACGGTTGACCGAGATGCGTCAGTCTAATGCATGAATGCATGGCGCCCTTTGTCTGTTGTGTCGACGTACAGATAGGCGGGCTCTTTTCTCAATCGGCCTGTTCAGGGCATCGTGTGCGCCTCTGATTTCCACGACAAGGGTTTGCTTGGATAGGCGAGCACCATCACCGGCAACGGCCCATGAGGTAGTTATGTCTCTCTCGATCCCTCCGTCCTGCATCGGGTGTTCTCCATCCCCCCGCTCTGTCCTTTTGTTATGAACGATCTGCCACCCTCCCAGGCATGAGGTTCAAAAGAACGAACTCGGCCGAACGAAGATAGTAAGCTAATCAATGGGAGATTCGTGATTTTGTCTTTATTGCCGAAAGATGCTCGTGTCACCCTAGCTGCTCTTCCATCATTCATCATGTTGTCTGTTCTTCAGCTTCCACACACCCAACTGGGTCTGGCATTTCTTGGAATCGCTGCTGTCGTCTGGTTCGTTTTCAGCACTGTCGTCTCCTATCGCAAACTCAGGCATATTCCTGGACCCTGGTTGGCCTGTTTTTCTCAGCTATGGATTTTCAACGTCACCTCGAAGGGCAACCTGTACCTCACAATGGAAGAAGTGCTGAAGAAGTACGGTATGCTTTCAAATGGGGGAGGATAATTTATCTCGGCTGCACTCAGATGCTGAACTGAAGATACAGGGTCTCCTGCGAGAATAGGTCCCAACATGATCATGACCGAGTGCGCCAGACCTTTTTCTACACTCTGGCATCATATCAATCGCTCTAACTGACTTGCCTCTAGCGACCCTGAGTTCGTTCGGGTCATGACAGCTCCCCGCTCGCCGTTCAGGAGAGGCCATTGGTATAAAGGCATGAAGATCGACCCTCGGATCAATAATCTCCTGTCCGAACAAGACGAGAGACGCCATGCGGAGCTGAGGGCGAAGATGATGCCAGGAGTATAGTCTCTGGGAAAAGCTATCAGATGTTCACGAGCTAACCGAGTCTTCACCCAGTACACGGGCAAAGAAGTCCCCAACCTCGAACAGAGAATCGACGAACGGGTGCTCGATCTGGTGGATCTGATCCAGCGGGAAGGGGTCGAGAAACACGCCCCAATTGATTTTGCCGTCTTTGCCCAGTACTTCACCCTCGACAGCCTCACGCATATTGGTAAAACAAAAAATGAACCCCTTTTCACCCCCCTCCTGTGAGATCATGGTGACAAGAACTAATGGGATATGTAAAACCAGCGTTCGGCCACCCCTTTGGCTTCCTGATCGAAAACAAGGATCTTTACGACTACAACAAGTCCAGCACGGCGTTCTTCCCCGTCATGGAGCTGGGCACGAACCTGCCACTCATCCACTTCATTCTGTCCAGCTCTCTGATGCAGGCCCTCGCGGGTCCCAAGCCGGAAGACAAGGCAGGGCTCGGGGCCATCATCGGCATTGCGCAGAAGATTGTCGCAGATCGCTTCGACCCGACCTCCGAGTCCAAGAGTGAGCAGGACATGCTCAACTCGTTCATCAGGCACGGTTTGACCCAGCTGGAAGCAGAGTCAGAGTCTCTTCTGCAGATCCTCGCCGGCTCGGTAAGGGTGTTCTCTCATTCGTCCCCCTTCTTTTAGAACCTCTTTTAGGTCCTCAAAGCGTTCCCCCCTTTCCTTCTCCGAGGTTAGAAAGAAAGAGAAAGAAAGAAAGAAAGCAGAAGTTTCTAACGACCGACCATTTCCTATACCGCGAGGCTGAGAACAACAGGACTCCACCGCCACCACCATCCGCATGACGTTCATGTACATCCTGACGAACCCGGCCGTGTACGCGAAGCTGCGCGGGGAGATAGACGCGGCCATCCAGGCGGGCCACATCTCGTTCCCGGTGGTCACCCACGCCGAGGCGAACCAGGCACTGCCGTACCTGCAGGCGTGCATCAAGGAAGGGCTGCGGCTGTGGCAGCCGCTGAACGGCATGCAGACCAAGCTGTCGCCGCGCGACGAGGAGATCGTGGTCGGCGGCGGCGTGCGCATCCCGCCCGGCACCCAAGTCGGCGTGAGCCAACACGCCATGATGCGCCGGACGGACCTATTTGGGCCGGACGCCGCCGTCTTCCGGCCCGAGCGCTGGCTCGAGGCGGATCCGGACACGGCCAGGGCGTACGAGCGCGTCTGGGAGCTGTCGTTTGCCGCGGGCCGGTTCACCTGTCTGGGAAAGGGAATTGCGTTGATGGAGTTGAACAAGGTGTTTGTCGAGGTACGGATATGATTTCTTTCTTCTCCGTCGACGACGAGTCTCGGCCCGGTTTGAATTTTCCTCGAATGTATTGTCATTCCCTAGGTGGAGTTTCTTGACGCTGATGGTCTTTCCCATTGATTCGTTGCAGCTCTTCCGCCGCTTCGACTTCGGCCTTGTCAACCCGGTCGAAACCGTCGAGACCAAATGCCACCAGATCCATGTTCAACGGAAGATGTACCTCCATGTCACGGCTCGGGCAAGCTGAGAGCGACCAATGTGCTCGGGTTGCCATGGTGATTTACGTCTCTATGTCAAACATCCAGCATGTAACATGTATTTGGCTCTAATACTAAGAACTTGTAGCGGATGTATGGGGTGAGCGTCTCAATGGGAGCTATCAAGAGAAGAGTGGCCCTCATGATTGTCATGGACTTCACGTATTCGTCGTTTCGTGTATCATAGTCCACTGCTGCTGAATTCTACCATTGTTCCATCTCTACCTATACTCCTCCCAACAAATCGCCTCAACGTTATCTTCCTGGCGTGCGAAGTCACAGAAGGTCGCCTGGCACTGGCCGATCCCACACTCCGACCAGATATCATGCAATTAGAAGCCCCATCCTCCTCGTACAGCAGCAACGATCGTCCACCGGAGTGTCGCGTTCTGATCGGGGCATGTAGCATAGATTTTGCTCTCAGGGCAATGGCTCGTAAGCGCCACCGGTTTTGTGGGCCTCGCGATTGGAGAAGAGGAAGTAGATGAGCATTCCCAGGATGGGGAAGAGGAACACAATGAGACACCAGAGGAGCTTGTGAGTTGGTGGTCGATTAGATTTCAGGACCTCGACTGTTGTTGGTTTTCCCAGTTAGCCAATCCGTTCGTAACAACGTCGAAATGGACGGCGTTGCGCGAACATTGCATCATGCCTCCTTCTTTCGAGCTTGGACAGGACAATGAGAGGGAACTACAAGTGAGAACGTACTGAAGACCAAGACGTCAAGAACCAAAACAATCAGGCCGACGATACCACCACCTGTGCCGTATCCGATCATGTCTTTGCTGGCGGCGTGCAAGGTGCCGTCACCGCTGTCGGGCAGGGGAGCTGCGAAGGCGAGGGCAGCCAGGAAGAGCTGCAGGAGGATGTCCTGGATCATTTTGGGAGATTTCAACGGCGTCACGAAGACGACTGGTGTGAATTCTGTTAGGGGCTCAGGAGGGATAAACCAGATAAGCAGGTGAAAGAGTAGAGGAGCAGAGAGAAGGAGAAACAAAGTCTAGGCAGCGACATTTATGTCAATAGCTATGTCCAACCCAGCAGCTGATTGCTAGGAAGCTGCTGGGCGATTGTGTCACTGCGGGGTCACTTCCTTGGTTGGGGCTAGGCGCCAACTGGGGAAAGGAGACACGCGACGTCATTATTTGGAGGGGCCATTCCAGCTAAAGGCTCTCTCATCGATACACCTGAATGTCATTCCAGCAGGCGCCCTCTCAGCCCACTAGCCTCTGCTAAGCACTCCACTGGAAGGTGCAGGTTACCCAATACTTGATTCGTGCTCATTGTGCCAATAGCGGGTCCTTTCAGCGCATCCTTCATCGACAACACCATCTCGACCTCTGACTCCAAACAAGTGTCTGAGCCAAAAGCATTGGGATCATGTTGGATACTTCCATCATCATCGTCGTCCTTGTTGTCGTTACCGTCCTCGTTTTCATCGTCCCGTCGTATTCGCTGCAGGAAGACGGTTTCCACGCTGTTAGGGATCACTCAGCGACGTTGTCCCTCCTGATGATGTTGATGCGCCCTCTAACCAACATTAGCAGCCTTTGCACCATCTCTATCTCCAAACACACGATTCTTAACAAGGTAAAGACCCCAGTGGTGCCAGGAGGCAGACCCAATGGTAAGGAACTAGGGCCGCTCCGTTGCCACATACTCTCGTCTTCATCATCAATCTCGAAGTTCGCCATGATGGTCACTTCTTTAGGAATGTCTTTGTTGTGATGGTTACAGTCGTTGTCACCGTTGTCACCGTTGTCACCATTGTCACCATTGTCATAATCCTCGCCGTTGTTGTGGGAGGTTCTGCAGTAGAAGATGTCGTCGGGCGAGAAAAGAGGCACCAACATTTCCCATTCATCCACTTCATAGAATGTGTTTGTGCCTGTCCCTGTGGACCATTCCAGGGAGACTTGTCTCCTACTTGCGACACAGTGCAAATTGTGATCGGTTCGTTGTTGACGGAGGCCGTGGCACCTCTTTTTCGCGTGTTGGGGCCCTGCCATGAACCACGCTGGGCATTTTCGTTTCCTTTGAGAGACACCAGGATTTGCGGAAGAGCACCAGCAGTTGCGGGTTTCGTATGCTCTGAATCCCTCCTTAGGACGTTTATTCTCATCCAACCTAATGGCGCCGGCGTGCAACAAATGTCCAACTTTGTCAAGATAGATGTTGATGGCACAGGACAGCTCCAGGTCCATGTTACCCCAATGCCCAAGATTGCACTTGGTATTGCTGCACAAGGAACACATTTCTGATGAATCGTAAAAGACAGACAAACGGTTAACAAGGGTAGCACGTCTCAATACCGAAGAGCTCGGGCTGGCGGGGATCTCGAAGAACAATGTCTGCGCAATATAAAGACAGCGCGGGAGGAAGCCGGCAAGTTTGAAACAGGACAGCGCTATGTGGTTTCCAAAAGACAAGTTGCGAGAGTGACGCCAACCTCTGATGTAAGAACAATGCGTTCAATGACCATGAAATTGGATGTGGCCCGCGGACATTGGAGAGAGGGTACATGTATGTTGAGGAAGTCGTTTCTGACGATTGAACATTCGCGCTTTGGAATGATAAACAATCAATCTGCACAAGGCACGAACCCCTTGTAGGGAATCCAAGTGAGCATTGTAATTTAGAGTTATCGTCCCACTGGCTCGCGTGAGGGACTCGAGAACTAAGACAGTTGTCCACGTCTTCGTTCCAAATATCGTCGGTTGTTTAGACCAGTCCCATTTCGAGAAACAGTAGCCCACAACCGCTGTGAGGGCAAGCACAGCAGCTTGGCCCACCCATCAGCTCAAGGGTGGTGCATGGAGATCTTGATGTTGTTATTTTGGGAGTTGGTGTCCAGTATTGGAGCAGATATCTGGCAGTGTACCACCCTTTGTGTCCCTGGCCAAGAGCATTGTCTCTGGAAATCGATAATCCGCCCTCCTAGACGTGGTGATCGTTGGTTGAGCCACCGAAAAATAACAGCGCCACCTCACAAAAGGCTGTCGAGTCCCTGGGTTCCGCCACCCAATATGGCATAGTCAGCACTGTGCATTGGGAGGCAAAGAGTCTTGCAATGTGGATCCAGACTTTTCGGTACGGCAAACACTACACCTCGACTGTGGACTCGAAAGCAAACTGCTGTGCCGAATGCGCACGGTCTCCAGCTACCCACAGGCGGTCGATCGAAATTCAGATTCAAACAGCGAAATATTTCTCGTACAACGGATCCGTCTCGCCCTCCGCGGTTTCGCGCCAGTCATACTCCAAAGCCTTAGCCAGGCCTCTTGCCACATCTTGGCCACCATAGTATTGCACAACGAACGCCAAAGTCAGATCCATCCCTGCACTTATGCCAGCCGAAGTCCAGATCTCGATTGGGGCACTGTTGCTGCCGTGCGCTTCAGATGGGAGGCTCCGGACCCATCGAGCAAAGTTGACCCACGAGACATTTGGGTTCCGCGCCGTCACCTCCGCCCACCGAGACATGTTGGTAGTCGCGCGGCGTGCGTTGAGCAGACCAGTCTGTGCCAGTGCGTCGGATCCGGTACAAACTGTCAGGATGGCGGTGGTTATGTAAGGTACCACTTTTGGGATAAAATCGAGTAGGCTTTGGACGTTAGATGTTTTGCTGCCATCTGGATGGATGCGCTTCAGTCGTGTACCAACGCCGCCAGGAATAAAGAGGACGTCAACGTGGGCTCCTGTTCTGCCAGAACTGAGGGCTTCCAAATAGTCCGCATATGTGGTATCGGGTTGTAAATACTCGTTGAAGCTGATGTTGACTCTGCCGTTCGTCTTCGGAAACGCGGTTGGCAGATCGAATTTCCAGTCGGCTGATTTAGAGGGGATAGGTTTGACCGGTACCAGGTCTAGCGTTTCAGCAATGAAGGTCAACGATAATGGATACTTGTCTGGATCAAGTTGGGTCGAAAGCAAGTTCAAGATATCCAGTGGACCAGCGAGGTCGAGAAGTTGGAACCCGGGAAAGATTGGTAAAAGGTAATGAATGGGAGGGGAAGCCATGGTGTTGTAAATTTTGGATGGCAGAACCGATCAGAAGAGGCGAGAACAGGTTTACTGAAGTTAGTACATTCAATGGATTCCAAAAACTTACAATATATAGAGATGGTCTGATTCAGAACGAATGCGGAGAAGAAGGGGGAAAGGTGTGGTCGGATGTGGTGCCAGATTGGTCCAAATTACCAGTTCAGTAAACGAATACTGTATCCGTCATAGTTCAGAGGAGGAATAATACACCGTGTGAGAATGAAGTTGACAAAAGGTTATGAGCAAGTCAGTAGAGTGCCAAGTAACCACGTGCATGGCACGCCTTTTGAATGGGCAGAGGGTGTAGGTGGAGAAGGGTGGTCCGTTTGACTGTTCGGTGGTACAGAGGCACAGAGGTAAATGAGTGATCGGAATTTGCCTAGCGGCAACCATATAGTCTAGCGTCATGTAGAACAAATCAACAATGAACCGTAGGACAAACTGGAGATGAAATAATACTCAAACAACAACGACAACTACAACAGACACATCCCTAAGCAAACCGCTCTCCTCCGAGCTGGGAATCTGGAGGGGGAAATAGCATCAGTTTATAGGAGCCTGGCCGGTCGATCGGATATAGTGTTGTTCCGGAATATGCCGTGCCCAACTGAGTCCCAGTCACAAGCTGGACCCAACGTACTAGGACTAGCGGCATTGGGCCTTTGCGATCCAGCGGGTTCGATCGAGATTCAGCCAATCAGTCGCCCATGCTCACACGTCTTCTGACTCACCGCCTTCGCGCCTACACCGCTAACGCCGTCTGGCTCCGTCGCCATCGTGCCAAGCCAGAAACTTCTGCCTCTGTCCGCCACACACGTAGTCGCTGCGTTTATTCTCTCTTCCTTCTTCCTCCTCTTTCCACTGCCAACACCGTTGCCAATAATCGCTGCCACCTGACTTCTTGTTACTGACTTCCAATGCGAACCATCATCTTCTTTTTCTGCCTTGAACCTTGTCTGGATTCGGGCGAGGCTCCTGATGCTGTTTTATGCGCCGCCCCCCTCCTCTTCCGAACTTCTGACTGCCTGACTCTGCTTGACTAAGAAGTAAACCACCGCCTGATCCCGCATTCCGCCACCACTCGCAGGGCCATGCTCACCAAATCACAAGGTCTCGGTGTTGAACCAAACACTTGATTGTTCAAATCTGTTTGCCTGACCTTCACTGTTTTTCGCCTCCCCGTAGTACCACCTGAGAATGACGCATATCCTGATTCATCCCTTCCCAATGGCCCAATCTACGGATTACTCTACAGTGCCATGTCTTCTGCCTGCCCGCGCCGCCGCCTTCACTCACTGCCACACCTGCTATTCATACCATTCCACCATCACCCATTGTTCTTTCCCAATTGTTCATTTCCATTGAATTCGTCCATTGACCTATTCAATTGTCACAAACATCTCTGCTACTCACAATACTGACCTCTTATCATTCATCGCTCTATTGAAGAGGTCGCTGCCGCCTGGAACCATCTGTTTGACTACAAGTATCTTACTGTTTCGCCATTTATCAGCACCATTTTTTTTCAAGCCTCGAGCCACTCGCTGGAAACCCAGCACATCCTGCGCTTTTGCCTGTTAACTCACTTCCCGAGCGCAGCGATCGAACCGACGGCACCACAAACTCAAAGACACTCTCAACAGTGGTAGCCGAAGACCCTTACCCCGACGAGGACCTTTCATGACGAGGACCTGCAATCTCGCGACGGCGCTGAATCAAATATCAATTCCCTCTCCACCACCCAGTCCCAGTGTTGACCGACTACAATCTGTTGATCAGAAAGAGGTGGATCAGACATCGCACATGCGCGGGTATATAGAGCCCGAAATTCTCCTCGACTCTCTCCCATCAGACCTGACGAACATGGCTTCCGAGCCTCTCCTCCCTCCAAAGGAGGGCCCCAGCCTCCCTCCGACATTCAAGACCAACGTGGCTGCTGCTCTCAACCAGAACCATTTGATCACTCCTCCCGACCAACCAGAGCACGACTTCGGCCCCGTCACTGGCCACGAAGACAAGAGCGACGACCCGGTGCTGGTGGTTGACGGATCGGATGTTCTTCCGCCGACACCCAGTTTGTCGCGAAGCTCTTCTCAATCCTCCTCATTCCCTGTTCACGGACTCTTCGATCCCGAACCTGTCCCAGTTTCACAGCCAACCCCTCAACCCAGCAACTACTCCCGCAGCGATATTGCTGATGCGATCACCTTGACATACTGGGGTTACGACTTAATTCTTCAACATCCGAATAAATTCCGTGCTCAGGTTTCCCCTTCTCAGCTCTATCGTCTTTGTGACCGAATGGTGCCGGACGAGGGTCGCTTTGTTCGTGCAGACGAGCTTGCTAGAAGAGTGGAGTGCTTCCTCAACTACCGCATTGACTGGTTCGTCCCTGGGGTCGGCGCTGACACAGTCCGTGACGCCACCTCGTGCTCGCCGGGACCATGGAATGGCATCAAGCGGTTGGCGTTCGCAGGGCTTCTGAAACAGTACGCGGCCGATGACATGGACTCGGTCTTGATGGACATCAGGAATCATCTCTATGCCGGCATCCCATCTTGTATGGAGTGGATTCCCGAAGAATCGAGTCTCCCACGAGTGACCAGGTCTTCTGCTCAAGCTAAACTTGGCGCCAAATTGAAGTCCGCGAAACTCAACGAACGGCGCCATAATCGTCCCGTTGCAGTTGCCGCGCCGCCGCAAGAAAAGAAGGCAAAGGTTCCAGATGCTGCGTTGTATCTCGGCGAAGAAACACTCAGCAGAACCAGAGGAATCAAACGCAGATATGTGGAAGAAGAAGAAGTTCAAGAGCCCCTCGTTGTCGAGGTAAAACCCGTCACAGAACAGGAAACCGCCGAGGAGACCGAGTCCGTCAAGAGCGTCAAGAAGCCTAAAGTGATCTCGGACAACAAACCCAAGCCGACTCGGCGAAGCTCAGATATCAAGTTGAAGAACACTAGAAACCGCAATTCGGACAAGCCAAGGGGTCCAAGCGAATCACTCTGCCGGAACATCAAAGACACTCTCAACAGACGCTCCGAGGACAAGATCAACTTCAAGGCCTTCCAAGATGCGATTTCACCGCCGAACGGGCCGGATATCCACCTGGCTCCTTGCGAGTTTACGGCTGAGGAATTGAAGGATATCCGAGAGCTTCAAGACATTGGCGACTGTACAGGTCTTCATCCAGAAGAGATCAGGCTCTGCAAGCTTTTGGCCATGAGCGCAGACCTGTACAAATGCCAGAAGGCACGGTGCTTTATCGGCCTTGCCTTGTTCGTGGAATACAACCTTGAGAAGCTCACTGAGAACAACCCCAAGTTCAAGGTTTTGAACGTTGGCAAGGCTCAGTTTCAATTGTTTGGCAATGTGGACGTCAACAAGATCAGCAAAATGTACACAACTTTCAAAAAATGGGGTTGGGTTGAGGATATGACGCAGCAGAGCATTCCACAGTCCTACATTGACCGGTTTCCACAAGCTCATCGTCTGGCGCTCAAGAACGAAGTTGCTGAATACGAGGCTACCCTCTCAGCCGAGAAGCGGATCTTCAGAGTGTGAACGGAGCCGGCCTTGTTCGACTGATGATACTGACGAGATACGAGACCCAGTCAGGACAGCATATGGAAGAGTTATTGGGATGAAAGGAACAGGAAACATTGCAAAGGACATATTTGCGGCGCGATTTCACGGCATATTTTCACAGGAGTTGCATACACGGCTTGCATGCTATGGAGGCAGTCCGAGCTCATGGGTCTCGTTCATGACACAGCAGGGTGCTGAGAGGATTTTGCATTCAACGATTGGGAAGGAAGCCTTTTCGTCTGTTTTCACTCATTTACGCTGATACCCCACGGTGGACTGCGACAGTCGCCGGCATCTTTTTATCTTGTGACATTTTGCAAATGGACAACAGGGTATTGTTGTATTACTACGTCGACAGCAGAGCTTGCACCGAGCAGGCTTTTACAGGCTATCTATCTTGCAGACAGAATGAATAGCAATCTATTTAGATATTGAACGTTTTGTTGTGCTCGTTTCTGTAGTAGGATTCTAGCGTCGCCGTACCTGTGTCTGTCTTCCCATGTGCGGGTGATGAAGGAATGATGTCACTGTACATTAGCTGCGGAGGGATCGCATACCTCGCACTCACTTTGTCATTGAGTTTATGGCTCATGCCCATACTCCGGACTACATCCCACGTTGGTTTCCCTCCATGACCCATCTCCACCGGCTTTCCAGGGGGTTCCCGGATTCCCAAATCACATGAGCTTGTTGGTCGGTTCCAGACCCAACCAAGCCCTGAATACGGACCGTGAAGAATCCTCGGCGACCCCGGGGCGGGGGTTTCGGGAACCTCGGAGAGAGCCTTTGAACGCCGAAGACGATGGAAAGAGAGAGAAAGTGGAAGTGAAGTGAAGTGAATAGAACTGAACAGAACTGAACAGAACTGAACAGAACTGAACAGAACTGAACAGAACTGAACAGAACTGAACAGAACTGAACAGAACTGGGGAGAAGAACAAGGACAAGGATGGAGAGGAAGAGGTAGAAAGGAGACGGAATGTGCATGGAAGAGGTGGAGAGGTAGAATAGAGTAGAGTAGAGTAGAGTAGAGAAGAAGAAAACCACAAGACTAGACAAGACAAGACAAGACAGCGTCCGAGAATCTGAATACCCCGTAGAATAGAAGGAACAACGGAGGGAGAGAGAACAAGTCCCCTTCGCCAATGGAGGTCGATTGACCAGGTACATATATAGGTATGTATGTGTTCTATCTGCTCTTTGTGAGAGAAAAGGTGGATAGATGAGCAGATGAGCAGATGGGCATCTAAGATAGATAGTGCACAGGCAGGCAGGCAGGTTACCTACACATGCGTATGTTATGATATGTGCCCAAAAGGATTGCATGCATACAGGTACAACAAATTCTTTCGACCACCCACCTACCAACCCATCCGCTCTTACCCTACCTACCTACCTTTCGTGCTTGGACATGGTTCTTGGAAGCAGGAACATGTGCTTGATTGAGTGATTGAAATTGAACTTGAACGTGGAGGGATGGGTAGATGGATGGGCAGGATTCCTCACCTAGCTTGCGTGCACAAAACGTATATATGTATGTATGTAAGTATACAGTTAATTAGTTAGTTAGTTAGTCGTAAAAGGGGAGAGAGAGGAGGGTGTACAAGGTATATGAACAAGCAAGCATTTGTGCTCCTAGTTTCACGATGATTGATGGGTACAAAGCACAGCTAGCTAGCTTCAACTCGAGGACAGGACAGGATAGGACAAGACATAGCCAAAATCGCTCGACGTCGCCCGATGGTTCCTATTCCAGGCCTATCTATGTGCCCACGTGCTCATGTCCCATTTTCATCTTGATCGATGTCCTCCCTCCCCTGACGAAATCCCACTGATATCGCGTTCGGTTCCCCCCATGATATCCTCAGGAGCCCAGAATTGGCCCGGCCGGTTGTCCTGGATTGCCATTGCTGGGCACTCGGACAGGAGAACGTTCGCTGATTTGCTCCTCGGTCTTCATCATGACTCGTGGTGGTGGTGCTGCTGCTGCTATTGCTCCTCCTTTGCGAGGTTGTCGAATGTCTCCTTCTCCTTCTGCTCCTGTGCTCCGTCGCCCTTCTCTTTGTTCGCCTCGTCACCCATCCTCAACTCGCGCAATAACTCATTGAGCCCCTTCTTCTTCTCATATTGACTTATCCTCCTGCTCCTTCCACCACCGCCGCCGTCTCGTCCCTGCTCAAACCCTTCTTTCTCCTCATCATCTTCCAGTCTCTCCACCTTCAACGGTCCCAGGCTCCGCATCGCCGCCTCGTCCCTCTCGAACTTGACCACCGCCCACTCCATGTTCAGGGACTCCTGCCACGCGCTCGCGCCTCGCTGTCTCGGCCGGACGTGTCCTGTGCGCGGATCCTTCAGACTCCACTTCTGCTCCAGCATGCGGACCAGGTCGGCCGAGTGGGGTTGGAGGAACGTGAGGCGCACGATGCGGTAGTACCCCGCGAACTTGAAGGTGCGCGACGAATCGTTCTGGGTGCGGCGGACTTGACTGAACACTGCAATGGGGCCTTGTCGTTTCCTGGCTTCGGTACCGGTGGCAGACTCAATTTTACTGCCTCGGTTGGCTTCTTCGGGCTCTGGTCCAACTGCTTCATTGAGCCTGTTCTCCTTGCCATCGCCGCCATGGGAAGTCGAAGAAGCCCCGACACTTTCTGGCCCGGTTCCTTCTGGAGCATCTTTATCCTCTGTTTTGTCAGCCAAGTCAGATGGCAAGAGCTGCAAACTCGACTTCGTAAAGATGATCCCGTCGTCCTGCCACCGTGGATTTGCGCCTTTGAACAGCAGCACGTAACTGAGGACCCCTGGAGTCGCCGCAGAATCATGCAACGTCGTTTGTTTGGCGCCTGTAGTTTCGTGCTCCCGGTCTGGCCAGAAGTGGCGTTCAATCTCCTTCGTCGAACAGAGATCTCCGTCCGGAAGAGCGTCCAATCTGGTCATCGTGAGTGGTCGGCCGTAGCCTCCGCGCAGGGTCGGGGGCGTGGAGTCCGGGACGTGGTCGTGGTCGGGGTCGCCGGCCTTGTCAACGTGCTGTTCACGTTTCGCGCGGAGCGCGGGGGGGATGTATCGTCCAGCCATGGCCCCGAGTGGCCTGTCCAGTGACAGAAAGAAACAAGCCGTCGTATTTAGGTCTGCGAGCTGAGAAGTTGGAGCTTGGTGGTCATAGACGGGTCCGGCATTCACTGACTAGGAAAGAAGGAGCATGAATATTTTGGCGTGGGGTGGAATTCAATTTGATCAGTGTCACCATTGATCTGGAGGGGGAGAAGGGGCGAGTCCTCAGCTGTGTCAGTGACATCAATTAGTCTGAGGCAACGCTCTCACTCCTGACATTTTTGACATTCACATTTTGTCCAAGCTACGAGGCAAAGCACAGTTTACAAGCGTGGACGCGAAATATCGATGAAGTGAAGTCGGCCTTGTCCCGCCAAGCAATGACGCAGATGGTCAGAAAATTGATTATTCGAGATATCGGCGGCTTGATCACACTGACATAACAAGATGAAAAGATGAAAAGATGAAAAGATGAAAAGAATGTCATTCTCGCCAGAGGCAGTCAGTACTTCTGTATCCTGTAACGCCCAGCTGGCAAGACCCAAGACCCTACATTGACTGCAATCATCCTCGCCCGCCATCCGTTCCATTAAGTGCTCTACCTCGTTCGGTGCTGTTCCTGGTGCCGAATTCATAGAGTTCCTCATCAAGTCGCAATCTAATCTAAAGTGCGGTGCCAAATCCAAATCGCTCCAGAAAAGAGGTCCGATGGGGCTGTAGTATCGTAACTGCTGAATCTGATGGCGTGTGAAACACTAGTCAAACCCCCGGATTGAAAGGTAACCACCCCGTCATCCATGATGTCTCGTGGGATGCTGTCGCAGTAGCCTCTCCTCCGATACTCTAGGCTGGTCCAGATGCGGCTTAATTTCCAAACACATGCCAGACAGACAGACAGTCTTGGGTTGCTCTTTTCTCGGAGACAGACAGGAATGGCCGCGTGAGATGCCTGCTATCACTGGCCACTCTACTGCACCTGGCTGACAATCTCGCTGGCTTTGCTCAGACTTTCCACCATTTGCAGACACTCTTTGCGTCGTCTGATAGTGTAATCGCTCTCCTTCAGAAGCTCGTCGAGTTCCTGCGCTCGGTAGAGTTGTTCAAGCAATTCTCGCTGCATTTCGTCTTTGGTAAACCTGATCATTGGTTAGCGGCTGCAATCGATGCATAGATAACGGTGGCACTTACTGTACCAGTGTAAGCATGATTGCTTTCGGTACCATGTCGATCATTGTCCTCCGAACAATGTTGAAGTAGCTGTTGATCAACAGCTTGATGACCTCCACTTCTTGGTTCTCACGCTCGGATAACGTTCCACTGGCCTTGAGCGTTGCTGGGGGCGGTTCCATGGCAGCCATCTTCTTCTTATTCTTACTGGCGAAGAACGACCCAAAGAAACCGGAGTTTTGGTCCGAGCCATCAGTGGGCAGGCTGGGGGATGCTGACCGAGGCGGCACCTGTGGTGGCAGGGGTTTACCTGTTTTGGGGTCGACTTGAGTCGGCTTGTTGGCATTGTGTCTGTCATTCACGATCGCCATGGCACGATGGCCATTGAGGAAGTCGGGATGGCCGGTGTTGATGTAGCAAGCTTCCATTGCCACCAGATCTTTGACCAACTTGTTCGTCGGCTCCATTGATTTACGGAAGAAGCTGATGACAACGCCGTGGAATTTTTCTTTGAGTTGAGGATATCTCCGGAACAACTGTTTCTGCAATAGTTGACTCAAAATACGGACCAGTTCGTCGTACACCAGAGAAACACATTTCAACGACGGTTCTTCTAACCGTCGAATTTGTTGCTTCACGATGAGTTCAAATGCAGTAGTGCCGACGAAGAGAGCGGGCGATGAGCCAGACGAGTTGTAAAGTATGGTGCGAATGTCGATATCCTTGACCTGGTCGAACGGATCGATCGCCTTGATACCATTCGAATACAGCTCGTGGTAGACAAAAGAAATTCTGGCACCACCCGAGAGCTCGTTGCTGGACAGTTCGGCACTATTTCCGTCGAGAACGGTACGGTATTCGTTGGCGAATTCGGTAATGATGTTGAGAATGATATTGGAGCTGTTGTTCCCCAGCAGGTCCCCAGCACCCAGCTGCTCCAGTTCTTGGCTATATTTCTGCAAAGAGCTCGCAATGCGGGTCTTGATGTCCGGTAGTGTCTGCTTGATGTGCATCATCAGGATGAGGTTGAGTTTCCGGGCCAGGTACGGAGTACCGCAGTATGAGGCCTTGTTTCGGTAAGAGGGATGGTTTTCGAAGAATTCCTTTTCCGCTTTCAAGGCTAGATCTATTCGCTTCTTGTTCTCAATGTCGCGTTGGCCTCGGTTGACGACAGGGACGTAGCCCAGCCGGAGCGGGATGATTCGGCCGGCAAGAATGTCGACCACGTCGGTCCCGGCATCCATGAGATCTATCTTGGTCAGGACACCAATCGTTCTCTGGCCTTCGGGATCGACTTCTCGGGCAAGTTTGAGACCGTCTGAATTGGCCAGATCAACGTTCGCAGCCGTGACTGCCAGGATGATGGCGTTGGGTTTTTGTATTTGCTTGAGCACCATCTCCTTGATCTGCTTCTCAATATCTCTCGGCTGATCTCCCACGGGCACCTTTGTCAAACCAGGTAAGTCGACCAAGGTGAGGGTGAGGACGTTGGGCGAGTATATCCGCAAGTTGATGGGTTGCGGCGAAATGCCCACGTTTCGGCCTGCCTTTGCCTCTGTTTCCTTGACTATTTCATCCCGGATTTTATTGAAATCATGGAATTTCTGCCCAGGTAGGTGAAGAAACTCTCCCCATTCATCCACATTGGCTTGACTGTCGGTAGTCTTTTTCATGTCTTCCTCGGTGACGCCATTTGTTTGTAGTTTGGTCGGGACCGGTCTGTTGATCAATTGTAGCACGAGAGGGCGGCGAGTCACGATTCCGGACCCTCGAGGCAGACTGGAGCAGGTGTCAGCGGAAGAGATCAGGAGGGCAGGATAAGAAGTTGGGAGGGCGGCCTTACAAGTCTCTTCCCACTATGTTCTCCAGGACTGAACTTTTGCCGCTGGATTGCGAACCCACAACGACAATCTGAGGTAGATCGATGGGATTTTGGACCTGGCAGAGAATCGGTCAGATTGGTCGAACAGAACAGCTGGCGACTAGAACATGGTATTGGTTGACGACGTACCCCGACGGTTGTGAAGACATCTTGTAGTTTGTTGACAAGAGAAATGAGGGTCGGGTCGTTCACGTTAATTCTGTATACATTGTTAGAGAGGCCACGGGTTCATGAAGTTGTTGACATCTGCGGCAGGGAAACCTACGAATATCCCCCCGGTGCTGCCGCCATGGTTGGGGCAAAGGTCAGCGGAACAGGATCCTGAAGTAGATCGGAACGGGTGGATTCGATACTGGTTCTCGCAGAAGTTTGTAGAGCGAGGTCGAGAGATTTGCGCAGAGGGCGAGGGTGAGGAGGATGAGGAATGATATCGATGTTGTGGATGTTGGCTAAATCTTGGGATGAAAGCGTAAGTGGTGATGCACCTGCGCCTGCGACTTTGGGGGCCGCAGTCACAACGGTCGCTGCGTTCGCTGTGGGCGCGACTCCCGTGCTTGCAGCTGCCCGACGACTGGATTCTTGGCGGCCAAACAGAAACGGAAGGTTGCGCGTTGCAGGCGACATCCAGCAGGCACCCTTCAATCCAGCACCTTTTAGCTGCCTCCCCCCGGGTAGGCGGTTGGTATGTAGGTACAGTCTGACGCAACAGCTTACCAGATGCACCAGAGCTCTGTAACTAGCCGTCACAGGGCATTTGTCACGGTGGCGGTAACCTGGCCAGGCACCCTTCAATCCTTCCCCCAGGATGGCGACAAATGCGAGAGACGAAATACCCTCTGCAAGAAGTTTCTCGAAGATGACCGTGAGTTGCGCTGCCAGTGAGGTCTGCGTGTGTCCGTCGCCAATGGACCTGGTAAAATCTTGAGAGGCCTGAGATCACGAGCTAAGGAATCTAAGATGAGAGCATGAACCTCGTGACTGACATCCAATATTCACGACACCACCTCCTTCCGAGCCACTCATCCTCCAGGGGTTAATCCCCTCGAGCGAACAATCGATGGGTCTGTCTGTTTCATTCATAGTATTGAGCAAAGTGGTAGGCTTTAGGTCCTGGTAAAGATAGGGCGAGGTAGCTAAATCTAAGTAGACGTCCGTCAGACATGCCAGCGATCGCGGAATTCCAACCTGCCCTTGTACTCCCGCCCACACATCCACGCTTCATGCTCTGTTGGGTGTTTCGATGCTTCTTCCGGCATTGAAAATCCGTACCAGACAACCCCCTGGCCCGAGCCTGTGCCTGTCAGGCGTAGACGTGCTCTTGTTTCGGTTGAAACACAAATCACTCTGTCAGACACCCCCCAAATGCAATGCTGTATCCAAACTCTCTATATCTGTGCAATTCGTCCCTCGTTACCGTAAACATAGATCCGTGTGGTCCTTTGTCAATGCCGCCAACTCCGTTCAAAGATTTGATATGCCGGCGCGTCACAGTGTCGATCTCATGGCGCTGGTTCGCTCCGAGTCGTGGCGGGCAAGAGCCCTGTTCAGATTGGTAGGAATGTCCTCAACTGGCGAACGCATATTTGTCCATCTGTATGTCATTAGCCATCTGTAGATCAGTCCAACGAGGTCTACGAACTCACATTCGAACTTTACGGTCGTCCCCCCCAGACGCAAACATACCGGCATCTCTGGGGTTCCAGTCCACCGTCGTGACGCATTCCTTCCCACTTTGACCCCGACCATGCCCCGACAACTTCTCGATCAGCGATTCGTTCTCCTTGTGCCACACGTAGATCAATCCATCTGTTATCCTAAATTAGCCATATCTTTTGACACTGGTGGTAGGAGTACTCACCTTCGGAACCACTGACCACAAAATTCTCGGCGGCTCCTCCAAAGCAACTTCGGATCACAAACTCGCCCTGCTTCTGGCCGTGAAACTTGCGAACGGTGTCTCTCGTGACCAAATCGATCATATGAACCTCACCGACAGCCAAGTTGACCAGTACTGTGCTGCTATCCCGACTTAGGGTGATGCTTGTCATCTTGCCCGTAACTTTGATGGGTGGCTCTTCTCGATACGTATGCATGTCGAAGATACGGATGATGTTCTGAGGGTCGAGAGCAACTAGCCAGTTCCCGTCCTCGGTGATGGCGACATCTTGCACACGGAACCCCCTGGGCCATACGTGCTCAGGTTTCTCGCGCTTCGGACTTCGGAGATTCCAATAACACAACTGCGAGTTGCGGTCGTGGCTCGCAGTGACAAAGCCCTGTGAGTCAGGAGTCCATGCAGCGGCGGTGATACCGTAGTTCTGATCCACGCTTTGGTGCTCAAGCGTCACCTCGAGTCTTCCGGTCTCGATGTCGTAAACGCGGGCCTTGCAATCCTGCGAACAAGTGATAATTTTGGTGTCATCTGGGCTCCAAGACACATACGTAACCTCGGCTGAGTGATGAGTAAGAGTATGAAGCCGCTTGAAAGTCACTGTTTCGTAGATGTTGACTGTCTGGTCCTGGCTTGCCGTCGCCAATTTCGTGCCATCATGGGAGAATTGCACGTGCCAGACTTCACCAGCATGATCTTCAAGTTGAAGGAACGTCCGCGACGGGAAATCCTCACGGTCACACATATGATCTGAGTACAACGACGGGGGTTCTGCTGTGTTGTGGTAGAGACACTGGTTGATCTGGCCCTGCTTTACGTGGTCAAATAGTTCCGCCAGCCTGTGGTCTCGAATCATGACAGATGGTGCAATTGACCGAGATAGATCTTGCAATAGCATCTTTCTGGACTCCTCCACGGTGCCCGACCAGTGTGCCTTGGCCCTGAGATCCTCCGGCGGACACATGAGAAGGGTTGAGAGAGCATGTAATTGGTGGGTATCGTGTCCCAGAGGTGTCAGTTCTTGTCTGAGAACCATAAGGGCCATGCCAAGGTCGCGTCGGTCAAGTAACTCGAGAAATTTCTGCTGCCGGATCCAGAACAACATCTGCCCTCTATCAGCACCTTCCGCAAGTACGAGGCCGTCCCCATATTGGTCGTCATCCAGTAGCGGTCCACCACGGTCGGTCTGAGACAAGCCTAACAGTATTGCTTCTGCCTCGGACCATATGCCTTCCAGAATAGCATTTCGAAAGGCGGCGACCGAAGGGCTTTCGAGCTCGTACCCGCTCTCACTCGACAAGACGTTGGCAGCGTCTGAATACCCCATATCTAGCAGGCCCTGGATGAGGATTCTGACCACCTCCTCCCTGTTATGCCCTCTATACGTTGCCGACCGCACAGGGGCCAGTTTTTTGGAAGTGCCATTTGTGTATGAGGGGCTGGATCCGTTCACATGCCCGTTCAGTCCAGAGTGCAGGGCCTTCCTTGGGGTAGAACCGTTGGAACTAGTAGAATGACCATTGGAAAATACTTGATCCGAGTCTTCATCGACTCTCATATTGGATCTGTCGGTTCGCCTGCGCTTCGGCCTGTGTTCGCCCTCAGAACGAGGCTCTTGAGAGACTTCCCCCGATATCTGACTTGGTCCACCCGGGCTATTGTCGGCTTCGGCGGGTCTTTCAAATGATGACCGCCTTCTCCTACGTCTCCCCAGCTCTTGAGAAGCCTGTACCTGCTCTATAGGTGGTTGGCTTGCCGCGAGGGTTTGTGGGTTGGTCGAAAGCAGGTCTGCAGCGGATTCAAAGGTGCCGTCAATTGTAGTTGTATTTGGGGGTGGGGAAGTAGAATCCGTGTAAGAAGAGTGTACAGGGTGAGTCGAGGTGGATGGGTCGTCGGTAGTGATTAGGTTGTAGTCCGTAAAAGGGTGGTGTGCCAGCTCGTGGTGGCGGCAAAGCCGCCGATATGACCGCGAAGACTCCTTTGGTTTAGGAATGGAGTAAACCAGTTGTTTCCAAATACCCGTCCGTGCAAAGAGAGGTTGTGAATGGCGCTGTGAATGTCTTTGAGGGTAATGAACGCCAAATCATACACTGGAACAGCCAAAGACCCTCAAGGAGGAGTAAGAAGGCCGCGCCTGCGGTGGTCAATGTTGGGGGAAGCGCCCCAAGACGTCAAGCCAGAGGGGAAACTGGATGTCTGCAGATTTGCTCGTCCAAGAGAGATCACGGGTTTCGAGCAACAAATTTGCAAAACTGATGGAGAGAGACGGAGTCGTGGAGAGATACAAGAATCAGGAATTATCGGGGCGGATGTTAGAGGAGTCGTGTTGAGTGGGAATACTCGTGGTCTCAACCTCAAAGACGGAGTAGATGACGAGATGCGGACGGGTTGGTGTCGGAACCTGTCGTTTGCCCGCAGCAGCAGCGTATCTCTAACTAAACTATAACTGGCACCTACACTTAGCGGCCCAGCGAGACTAACATAAGTAATCGACCACTACAGTGCGGTTGCACATCGCCCAGCGTTTCTACGCCGTAGGCTCTCCCCTCACCCGCACCAAGTAAGCCCACCACACCTAGACAACCTCGAACCACCTGATCTGCTCCAAGGTCACTTGGACCCAGCCTAGCAGCCACTGCGGCCCCAACTATGTGCACCTGCCCGGCCTGTTTCAGACTATCCCATCCCACGTCCCTCTTCCTTCCTGTAGGGTTGGAGCCTGACCACAATTTTTGTGCACCAAGATAAGACGCTTCTTTCACAGCTAGCTTGTCGCTCACATTTCAGAAACCATTGTCCTGCGGCAGCGAATTTGGGCCTTCTTGCCTCTTGAATGGCGCCCAATAATCCTCACCGATGCCTGATACCTTGCCAGGTGGCAATCCCGCCAGGTTGATGTGTTGCCAGGCGTTGGCCGCACCGCTCTCAAGGCTGGTAGATGCTGCTTGCGACGTTGTGTGGGGATGTGCCATTGGTTGGATGGAGCTGGGAGCTGGCAGCTGTTAGGGGAAGCCTCGGCCAAATGACAGGGTGTTCGGTGTAGTTCCATTGCAAGGGATCAGGTATCAATGCCCTATGTGCGAGTCAATCACAGGCAGGCCATCGAGTGTATTAGACATATACAAGTTCTGAGCAGATAGACTATCTCCCTCCTCACCCAGGAATGTGTCAAAAGAAAGCAAAAACATCTTCCCTGTGTTCTCAGCGCCGGCGAAACTTTGAAGCGTACCTCACCAGGGCGTGCCTGTAACTTATTCGCAGTAGCCTACCCACCTACCCCGAAATTCAAAAGCGCACCTAGACAGCTTCCCGCAGAAGATGATTTCATATGCTTGGATTCGGTCGCCCTCGCCTCAAACATAAAAAGTCGGTGATTGAATTTATAACTGGCAAGAGCATCGACGACCTTGCTACCCTCTCGGACCTCAGATTCCTTCACGTCCAACTTGGCCTCCCTGCTCTTATCGAAGACGATCTAGACGAGGGAGAGCTTGCGGGTCCCAGCTCCGACAACAGCTCTTCCGTCTTTGCTTTTCCGCAACCACTCCAGACCCTGCACACCACTGCTCGCACGTACCGAAGGATGCCTGCTTCCAAAGAGAGTGGTATCGGTGATGACCACCAGAATGGAACTGTCTTTTCCGTCTCTGGTCCGGTCATTGTCGCCGAGAACATGATCGGCGTCGCCATGTATGAACTCTGCAAGGTCGGCCACGATGCACTGGTGGGTGAAGTCATTCGAATAGAGGCCGACAAGGCTACGATTCAAGTCTACGAGGAGACCGGTATGTCAGATGTGCCCTGGCTGCTCTAATTCCTTCCAATTGACTGTTCTGTAGCTGGTGTTACCGTTGGCGACCCTGTCCTGCGGACTGGCAAACCTTTATCCGTCGAGCTCGGCCCTGGGCTCATGGAAACCATTTACGACGGAATTCAGAGACCACTGAAGACCATTGCTGGCGACACAAACAGCATCTACATCCCCCGCGGCATCTCTGTTCCTTCCTTGGACAGGAAGAAAAAATGGGCCTTCACGCCAACCATGAAGGAGGGAGATCACATCAGTGGTGGCGACGTCTGGGGTAAGGTGGTTGAGAACAGCCTGGTCAACGAACACAGAATCCTCTTGCCCCCCCGAGCCAGAGGCACCATCAAGAAGATCGCCCCCAAGGGTGACTACACCGTCGACGAGCCTCTGCTCACTCTTGAATTCAATGGCGAGACTAAAGAGTACCCGATGATGCACACGTGGCCCGTCCGTGTGCCTCGACCCGTCAATGAACGTCTACAAGCTGATTCACCTTTCATTGTCGGTCAACGAGTCCTCGACGCACTGTTCCCCTCCGTCCAAGGTGGCACGGTGTGCATTCCCGGTGCTTTTGGCTGCGGTAAGACAGTCATTTCCCAGTCCGTCTCCAAATTCTCCAATAGCGATATCATCGTCTATGTCGGGTAAGTCTACGCTCGTCCACATGATAGACCCCTTTGCTGAGAAAAGTTACAGCTGTTTCGCTGCTGGTACACCTGTCATGATGGCGGACGGGACCAACATGAACATCGAGGACATCACTGTCGGTGATTCTGTCATGGGAAAGGATGGTAAACCGCGTGTCGTCCAGGCCCTTCCCCGAGGTGAGGACACCATGTATGAGGTTGGTGTCAAGACTCAGCATCGGAACGAGACATTTAGAGAAGTCTCGTATACCTGCAATGCCACGCATCTTCTGGTCCTCAAGACTCCCCAGCATGTCAGGATCACTGACCATCGCATCCGCGGCAAGATGCAGTCGAGCGTGTGCTACTTCACCTACGACACTCGCCGATTCATCACTGAAGGTGGTCTTCGTGGCGTGCGCAAGCTCAAGCAAGTCACGAAGTCCTTCCAGCATGACACTCATGGAGGCGGCAAAAAAGCTCGCCGCCTTGCCGAGGAATTTGCTGCCACTATACCTCGCGAGGATTTCCACTGGACTCTCGAGGCGCGAGACGTTGATTCCCTGGGTGTCCATGTCCGTAAGGCGACCCAGCAGCTCATCTCGCCCGTCTTGCTCCAGAACGAGAGGCTCAATTCTCTCCTCGTCGGTCAGGGCTGCGATGGTCGTCTTGCACCTCAGATGGCCTATCTGCTTGGTTTCTGGGTCGGGGATGGCCATCATGCAGGTTCAAAGATGTCGGTCGATCCCAATGATGAAGAGTTGGTCGACCGTCTCGAAGATTATGGGAAGAAATTCGACTTGGAGACTACATTGGTCCGAAACTACAAGTACTACAATGTCTCTGTCAAAGGGGTTCTCGTGGGCAAAGTTGCTGCCTCCGGGACTGAACGTGTCACTCATTCCCCTCGCCGAAGGACTGTCATGGGTGAAATCATGGGTGAAATGGCCGACGGTGATTCTGGCCTGATCAACTCTCCTCTCTCTGGAAGGGGTTCCGGGGTCGAGAACGACGCTGTCGATTTTGCCCTTCCTCCTCCCGGAAGGACTGTCCTGGGCGAAATTGATGCCAACCGCTCCAAGCCTGCCACTTCTATCCCCGCTGCATTTGGGGTTGCTAAGAATCTCGGACCCAACTATTATGAGGGTAGGGACCTAACGGTCGAGCTTCGAGGCAAAGGCATGTGTACCAAGACCAACAGGAACCTGAACACGAACAACATCTTCTGGGATATGGTCCTAGCTACCGGTGTCCGTGGTCCCGCCGATGGGCAGCGCAAGGTGGTCCCGCTCTGGCTTGCTTCCGAGACCTTCGAAGTCAGGGAGCACTTCCTGGCTGGGTTGATCGACTCTGATGGCTATGTCAAGCTCAATGATAACGAGCGCAGCGCGACTGTGAAGACCATCTACCCGGCGGTATGCGAGGGTCTCGTTCGTGTCGCACGTTCTCTCGGCTTGCGTGTCAGTGTCTGCGTCGAGGAAGAGAAGACCGTCCAGGGTGTCTCGCACCGAAAGGCCTTCTGTGTTTACATGAGTGCTGATGGTATTCTTGACTCTGTTCTGAGCAAGTGTGCACTCCCCAGGAAGACCACTGGCGATCCCGGAAGTGTTGAGCGCAAAGCTCAGCCGGTCTACTTCGATGTTGTGGAAAAACCCGCTGCTCCATACTATGGCATCACTTTGGCTGACGACTCCGACCATCAATTCCTACTGAGCAACTTGATGCTCGTTCACAATTGTGGGGAGCGGGGCAATGAGATGGCCGAAGTCTTGATGGACTTCCCCGAACTTTCCATCACCATCGATGGTCGGAAAGAACCCATCATGAAGCGGACATGTTTGATCGCAAACACCTCCAACATGCCGGTTGCCGCAAGAGAAGCGTCCATCTACACCGGAATTACAGTAGCTGAATATTTTCGCGATCAGGGAAAGGCCGTGGCCATGATGGCGGACTCGTCGTCTCGGTGGGCCGAAGCTCTCCGTGAGATTTCTGGTCGACTTGGAGAAATGCCTGCGGATCAAGGTTTCCCGGCGTATCTGTCTGCCAAACTCGCCTCGTTCTATGAGCGTGCAGGTGCGGCCACCGCGTTGGGCTCCCCTGAACGCAACGGCAGCATCTCTATCGTCGGCGCCGTCTCCCCGCCCGGAGGCGATTTTTCTGATCCGGTCACTTCTGCTACTTTAGGTATCGTCCAAGTCTTTTGGGGGCTTGACAAGAAACTCGCGCAGAGGAAACACTTCCCCAGCGTCAACACCTCCCTCTCCTACAGCAAGTACACCACTATCCTGGACAGATTCTACGCCAAAGACCACCCTGAGTTCCCCCGTCTGCGAGACCGCATCAAGGAACTCCTCACCAATTCCGAAGATCTCGACCAAGTTGTGCAACTCGTGGGTAAATCGGCACTGGGCGACTCGGACAAGATCGTGCTAGACGTCGCTGCCATGCTCAAAGACGACTTCCTTCAACAAAACGGGTACAGTGACTACGATCAGTTTTGTCCGCTCTGGAAGACGGAATACATGATGAAGGCGTTTATGCAGTTCCATGACGAGGCGCAGAAGGCCGTCAGCAGTGGGTTGAGCTGGGCCAAAGTGAGGGAGACAACATCAGAGATTCAGCATGGATTGAGGAGCATGAAGTTCGAGTTGCCGGATGGTCAGGAGGAGGTCAGTGGGAAGTATGACCGCTTGTTGCAGCAGATGAGTGAGAAATTTGCCAGTGTGAGCGATGAGTGAAGGCACAGCGGTGGCGTTGAAGTTGGAGGCTTGTCTTTGCAGTGGCATATCAAGGTGCTCAAGGTCCAGCGATGGGTGGTGTGAATAGTCAAGAGTTAGGTAGACACAGCACTGGAGGGCTCGGGCGTGCTCCAGACGGGGTGTCATGTCTAAAACAAGGCGGCCACTCTCTCTATTTATTGATGTAAGCAGCTTCTTTTGCCGACGGTTCAATTGATGTTTGAAGCTATACACACACGTGACACAATCATCAGCCGTAATTATGTAATTGCCCCTCCTGGCGAGGGACTGCGCCTTTCCGCTTTGGGCATTTGGCTTGTCGTTCTAACTGTTTTATTATTTACAACTTCATCTGTGGCTTCACACATCGACCGTCGTCTGCTCGCTTATCTCTTCCCGTCTCGTCTTCTCTAGCATTGTCTTCAAACATGTTCTCAGCACTTGGCCTATAGTCGCATTGGGAAGCTTTCCCCCTCACTCATTCCAAAGACTGCGATAAACCGTCTTCGAGGCTCATTTCACACTCCAGCATCACCACGTTGCCTCAGGATGCCAGCCGATCTGCCAGGCTACCATTTCGATCCCGTCAAGAACCGCTACTTCAAAATCCAGCCAAACCACATTGCGCCGTCAGGGTCGAACTACAGTGTCCAAGCAGTCAGGGCCGAGGAAGCCATCAAGGATGCCCAACGAGAGGATGAGTTGTTATATCGGTCGAAGCTCGCTATAACACCGAGGCGGTCGAAGCTCCTGCAGCATCCTATGCTGGAGTTTGACAGACGACTGGGCCATCTGAGGAAGAGCGCCGGGGCACTCGTTTCGGAATACTACGCCGCCGGTCTCACAGGCATGGGCGTCTTCCCCGACGTCGAGTTCAAGCCACCCTCTTCATGGGATCCCCTCGGGCCCGACTCTGGATCGTTTGCCATTGCAGAATCTTCGGGCACCTTGTTTGCAGATTGCGTGCGCAAAGAATCGGGGCACAGCATGTACCAGCGACAACGCTCCACACACATGTGCGCCTTTCACCTGCGGCCGCGTCCTCTTGACGATCCGAATCACGACCCCCATTGGTATGTCCCTGGGAACTATGAAACCAGCGCCCCGTACCAGTACAGCAACACCCGATGGTATGATGTTGCAAACTCACCCCGATGTATTCTGGCCCTCGAGTACGATCTGGTCGTGTGGTGCGAGCTGATCACTCATCGCGGTGCGCCCACGACATCGGTGGTCAAGATCGGGGGCGGTTCCAGAGAATTTGCGTACAGGACCGAGCGGATACCCGTGCAATCGGTGGTATGGGGTCTCGCGGCACAGCCGGGCGAATATAGGGCGGCCATGGTCTGTGAGACTGGCTTTTCCCTTCTCGACCTGTCGGCCGTGGATCACCCGATCTCACGGTTTCCGATGGACACCAACGAGATGCTGCAGGCGACCTTCAAGGACCACAACATCGTCCTGTGCGGTACACGCTCCGGCCAGATCCTGATGTGCGACATCCGCGCGCCGGCGCAGCACTCCGACCTGGACGGCTACGGCGGCGTTGGTGCAACGAGCGGGACGCGCCTGCAGCACTCGGACACCGTCAACGACCTCGCGGCGCTTCCTGACGGCAACTGCATCATCGCCAGCGGCCCACGGCAAATGAGCATCTACGATCTGCGCTTCGCGCCCCCCCCGACCCGGGTGTGTCACATGCCCCGGGCTAAATCGTTCCAAGCCAGCCCGGCCGTGCTGGACTTCGTCATCCCCAAGACCTACGCGACGCGGCTGGACAAGACAAACTTCACGTACGATCCAGAGCTTAACATCGTCCTCCGCACCTCGACCGACAACTACCGCAACCACCGCGCCGCTCTGTGGTCCGCCCGCACCGGCCGCCTGCTCGACAGTCCGTTAAACACCACGGTCTTTGAGGAACCCATCGTGTGCGCCGCCATCGCGCGCATCCGGGATGGCCCCAAGAGCGTCTTCATCTCCGCGGACAGAGAAATCACCGAGTGGACTCCGCAGGGCAGGGGCGGCGAGGGCGAAGACGACCAGGAATGAACGAATAAACGAATGAACGAACGAACGAACGAACGAATGATTTGTTTTCATCGAATAGAGGGACAAATGTTACGGGAAAGGGGCATGCATGTCTGTCCCATGTAGAACGCGAGATTGTGGGAACATGGAAAAGGGGAATGGATACGATACCGTGGCGAACATGAAGATGGGTCTGTGCAACGGCGCCGGCCTTCTCGGAATTCTCTTTTGGATAGGAGCATTTGTAGCATTTGTAGCAGCAGCACTACTGGTCGTGGTCTATTTCGTACTCACTGACGCCCATCCCCCACAGGTGTCCCATGTTCACCACCCATTCTCTCCCTACATTGACCCGCCATTTCTCATCTCCTGCATCGTCCCCCATGGCCACGCCGGATCCAGACGTCGACCGCACCACGAGCCTCAGTCTCTCCAGCTCTCCAAGCTCACGGTATATGCGATCACTCACGCCACGTCCAGGCCGGTTGGGGATGCCCTGCGGGTGAATCGCCCGGAGAATCGCCACGAGGCGCTCAAGCGTGAACGGTCGAGGAATGCCCGACTGGGCCCCAGCGGCAAACACAGACCTGGTCCGCGATTTTGTGGATGGGGTCGCGGCGGCATTCTTGGTCGGCGTGCCACTCGGGGTGGCCGACGCCGTTTTCCTTTTGGTTGGCGTATGCCGCAGCCGGCGGATTTTCCTGCTAATCGAGCTCGACGACGCGCTGAGGCGGGAGAAGAGCAGGATGTCATGCTTGGGTAGCGTATGGCTTGCAAGGTATGCCGAGAGCAGCACGAGGGTTGGAAAATGCTTGAGAAGTGACGGCCGGGTCATGGATGGTTCGGAGAATAATGGGTTGGAGGTGGCTTGCCTCAACGATGCCGGCTGGTGGGATTCTGAAGGGGCACGTCTTGACGGCGTTGCTGGCGCACTTGGTATAACATGATCCGAGCCTGATGGACCACCCCCGGACGAAACATGATGTAGAGGCCGATCACTTTCAGGGGCATCTGAGAGCGGTCTTCTTGGAAACGTGTTCTGCAAAGCATCCTCGCCCTCTGACCGAAACAACCCGCGATTTTGCACCAGTAGTCTTGCAAAGTCCCACGATTTCGCTCTCCCAGGCGGTTCATGACCCGACACCATCGGCTCTATGAACCGCGGCCACAGCCTCTCACATGCCAGACCAAAGGTCTCGATAGATGTTGCAGCAGTCGATGAGATCAGGCTGTCGTAGACTGTAACCGCGAACTGAGCAAATAGCTTTGACAGCGCAGCCTCGTCGATTCCCCCAGAGGCCGCGGCGAGCCCGTCTGAGAGCGAAGGTGTGGTTCGAGATACGACGATCGAGATCGCTTCGGAGCGTGTATAGGGTGGGAAGTGTATACATGGCACACCGGCCTTGTGCAGGTTGAGCGGTCTCGGGGAGCTCGAGGTCAATATGATTGAGAAGCCAGGGACCTGTATTTCGCCGCACAGGGTTAGCAACGGCGTAGTCTTCCTCATCCGGCTTCTGTTTCTTGTTTGTTTGGGGTTCCATCTCACCAGATCTCCCAGCCGTGCCAGCGCAGGGAGCAGTGTTGGTCCAGGCTGCTTCAGCGCATCGGCATCCTCGACCACCGCCACGAATTTCTTCCCGCGCACCCGTTCAGACAGCTTGCGCAGGTTGCCCAGGAGCGCGTTGATGCTGTCGGTCCTGTCGAAATGTTCCGTCTGGCTCTCCTGTCCCAGCGCACCCACGCAGACCGCAAACATCTTGGACAGCAGGTGCCTCTGGGAGAGACACTCCCGGCTTTTGATGATTCCATGTGAGATTTCTCTGCATCTCAGCACTTCGACGATGGCTGTTGTCTTGCTTGTGCTCTCCAGGCCGTAGGCAACGAGGACCGAAGGACTGGGGAAAACTTCCTGCGTGGGTTTAGAAAGTTGTTTTGGGGGTGAAATGGGGGAGTTTGGCTCACATTGTAGTACGTCGCAAGTTCCTCGATCTGTGATCTCCGGCAAGGGCATTTCTGCAGGATCAAACACAACAGTTCAGGAGGTAATAAAGTCACCATCTTGCTCGCGAAATCTGGTAGGGGTGGCGAGCAGAGTTGTCCTCTTCAACTCTGATTCCACGCGTCGTGATGTTGGACGCGCTTCCCCGCACGTAAGAGATATAACATGGGGATCCCGCGTCATCAAGAGCAGCTCATTATGTATAGTTCATAATCTTCTACATTTGCTTTGTTGACCGGCTGTTAGCTACTGATACTTCCCATTGCTACAGTGCGGGTCGAGAGACGTTGACAATGTTCCGCCATACGACGTCCTGCTCAAGCACGCTCGTTACCCAGAGAAGGATCAGAATTTGGTCTAAGATACAATTTCTTCTAGCTATCGAGTCTAGTCTCTGATGGTACAGGCTCTGAACGTCCCTTGAGGGAGACGTAGCCAAATGTGACCTTTAGTTGTTGAGTACATGACCCATCCGTCCACGGCACCACAGTCAGGCATCCACTGCTTTTCAAAGTGAGCAATACCATTTCCTGTGCAGATATGAACATGTCGCCAGTTCCCATTTGATGCTCGTGAATACAAGACGCGTGTTGGTACCATGACTGAATGAAACATGATTTTTTTTTTTGGTTTTCCCATGAAGTTCTTTCCAAAAACAAAACAAAAAGAAAAAAGATCTTCTCGCCCACTCGATTTGAAAAAGACCTGTGGGATAGAAGCAAAAATGATAAACCAAGCCATCATTCATGCAAGAGCTCTAGGTTCTTTCCAAAACTCGGCATGAGTCTTCGATCTCCTGCCAGACTGATGCTGGACCGATGAATAGCCTTTTTGAGCATAATACAGGGGTGAGGGCCGTGGAATGTTTGTCGTTAAGTATTCAAACGCTTTTTTTGATGGTGTTGATTGATACAGTCGTAAGATAGCACGCATGAAGACGGAGGCGACACAGGGTCGCAGATCTATGAATGCGTTTGCAGAAAGGAATCTTCAAAGTTTCATCATTTCGTGACTCGTAAGCGTGTCGAGAGCCTCGATGCCAGAGCCGAAGAATCATCAAATGACATTGTTGGAGCCGCCAACTGAACCATTGATGAAGCCAGCGTAGCCGTTCGGCCCGAGATCGTTGGCGAAATTGTGCGCGTTGTACATGTTGACAGTGGAATCCATCAATCCAAAGGAGTTTCCATTGGGAGTGACATTGTTGGAAATATCGGTAGAACCGTAGGCGTCGGAAGTGCGAATGCCGTTGAAGCCGCCACCGACAATTTGAACATTACGACGGCTGTTTGCACGGCCACTGTTGAAACTTGCGAGGATGTTGTCGTTGGCAGGCGCATTGCCACGACCCGTCACATCGTTTCCAAGGATCTTGCTCGCAATTCGTCGGCCATGAGGAGTTTGCTTGATGAGGGGAAGAATGGGGCGAATGGCATCCACAAGACGCATTTTGGTGGTAGGGTCGGCATACTCCATGGCGGTCTGGACCACATAGTTGGCGAAGGAATCGCGGAGCATCTTCTCAAGCTCGTTCCCCATCAGCATTTCCTCAATCATAGTTCTCTTGGTATCGGTGTCTGCGGTGCGCAGGCATTTTTCAATGACGTTGGAGCTGAATTTCTGCTTTGACAAGGCTGGAACACGGCCATAGAAATTTTCGCAGAGAGGCTTGGTGAACGCAGCTTCATCCAGGTCAAGAATGTACTGGACAACGTAGTTGCCAAATGGGTCCTGGACAAGGTCAAAGGCACAGAGGGTAATCCTGGCGATGAGCTGAGCGCGCTGAAAGCCCTGGGCATGGTCAATGCAGCGCTGGAGCACACAGCATCCGTGACGATGAGTGCCGACAATGACACAGAAGTTGCCAACGGCATCGTAGATGAACTGAGAACGTTCGGCCCCTAGACGCGTGAGACATTTCTGGACAACGTGGTTGCCGTTCAAGTCCTGAACAAGTTCGACGACACGAGGAGACAATGCTTGGATGATCGTGTCGACTTGGGATGGAGTGTGAACGAACTCGATCATCTTTTGAAGGGCACGTGTTCCATGTTGGTTAAGAGCAATGGTCGCCAAAGCTGGTGCGGCGGTGTTGATTAAGGTGGTCCGCTGCTCCTCGTTGCAGTGTTCGAATAACTTCTGGCAGAGGTAATTGCCGAAGGGATCGGTCATCAGCTCGATGATATGAGGACATGTCTCGACGAAGATGGCTTGAATATGCTCCTCGTTGCCGTCCTCGAGCTTGCGCTGGAGGTAGCGACAGCCATGTTGGTCTTTACAGAGCTCATACAGATTTCCTCGATATGACTCGAGTGGGACGTTGTTGAATCGGGCTTCATCACCATGGTTACGGCGACCAGTGCCTGAACGCTGCGGCCCAGAATACGTATTGTTCATACCATAGATCCCGCCTTGAGCCTGGCCAAAGGGCTGAATGGCACCGGCAGCAGGGGCTTGGGGATTCATCTGGTTGACGTTGAAAGTTTGCATATTGTACATGTATGGTTGTGGAGGTGGATATGTCGATGTTGGACTGGTCAAAGCCATCACGTTGGAGTCTGAGGCGGTGGTGAAAGACGTGCTGAACGGTGCTGCGCTGGCGTGCAAACTTGACAGCGGGGTTGCAGCGGGCAGGGTTTTGTCTTCTAGCTTGACTGATCCGTTGACGACTTCTCTGCTCTGACGATTGTTCACCGCGCTTGCAGGAATACGTCCCAAACTGACGTTGTGGTTGTGGAATTGCTGCTCAGCTTGCGTCTTGGGAGGCGTCGGAACTGTGTCCAAAGTCAAAGATTTCTTGACTGTTGGGACGTCGTTGGTTGAATAAGAAGTTTGGAGAGATGTGGGCCGAGAGACGGTCAGATTTGCTGGCACAGGTGCAGAATCTTCAAATGTGACTCCCATAGAATGGCGCTGAGACTTGCGACGCGTCAGATCGGCAGGACGGTCCGCTGGTGGGCTGCTGAGATTGAGGTTGGCAAGGATAGGTCTGTACATGGAAGAGTCGGTGTGAGGCATGCTCTGATGGGCTGGTCTGTAGCGAGACCCGAGAGTCCAGTCAAGATCTGGCGTCTTGGAGTTTGCGAGATCCAAAGCAGCAGAATTGGCAGAAAGCTTTATGTGTGAGCTCAGGCTTGAGGCACAACGAGGTGAATAACGTACCTTGAGACCGTCACTCGTCAATGTTGGAAAGGTGTCGTCACCCTCAAGCTGAGCGAAAGCTTTTGCAACAGGAGAAGTCAAGTCGAGCGGGTTGAGTCTTTCATCATCCTCATCAAAGAGAAAGCTGGTGGTGTTTGCAAGACCAAATGAATTGCCACCTGTGCCACTTACACTGAGACGTTGCGGATGACGACTGCTGTTGACTGGCATAGAAAAGCGATTCAACCTGGGGGTCAAAGAAGTTAGATGTTTCCTGTCCTTGCTCACATCAAGGGGGCCAGTGAGGTGCATAAAAGCGGCGAGTTGAGAATCAGGAAAAAAGTGACATGTCGCCAAGAGGTGAAACGATGTGAAAAGTGAAGACTCAATTCACATGCTCACAGAGGGCTATTGTTACGAGAATAGAGGTAAGGTTGAGGTGAGAGTGACTTGAAGCACGTGGTCAACTTACGAAGCAGCAGCTCGAGTGGTAGGCAAATCGTCGGGGTAGTATTCGTCCTCATCGGACCCTCTTCGAGATCCCGGTACTGACTTTGCAGAAGGTTTCTGGGACTGTCCGTAGATGCCGTTGCCTGAAAGACGATTTGGTGGAGGCGAGGTGACTTGAGAGCTAGACTGAGAGACTCGCTTGCTGAGACCCGGAGGTGAAATGATACTGTTCATAGACAGCCTGCTGGAACGCGAGAATCGGTTGCTGAAGCCACTCTCAGCGTACTCTGGAGGAGTGGTGGGTTCGCTGACAGGGCCGTTCAGACTGATTCGATTCAGACGGGTACTCATCCGCTCAAGGTCCTGAGTAGAGGCTCCCATCTGAAGGCTTCGTTCCTGCAGCTCCAACAGCCGTAGCTGCTCCTCTGCCTTGCGCTTCGCATTCTGAATGTCCTCGTACATTTGTTTGTTTTTCGCCTGTTTTGGATCAGGGTCAGCCATGGTGATAACCAGAAGTCTGTGTTGAAGACAAAAAATGGGGACAAGTTGTTTGACAGTGTAGCTCGTGGAGGGAGGAATTATAAACCAACTAGGGTGGTGCTGATTTGACCGTGGTGTTTAGTAGATCTGAAACCAGCATTCACTTCACAACTAGGAGCCAAATCCACAATACCCTATTGTTTCCTCCCGAGCAACACAGTCTTACATCACAATAAGCGTTGTACAGAAATATGTGACATACCGCTGCCGAGTTCATAGACGTATATTGCTGACCAAAGGGTCTGGCCACAGGCATCTTACTCGAGTCCGTTGTAAAGCGACGCTGAAGGCTCGCACGGGCGTCGTTGGATGAGGAGTGCATGTTTGAGAAGAAAGGATTTTGTTCTCGTGTAGAGGAGCCATTCGAACTGTATGGACTTTCGGCATCTGGAGATCGCAGGTTGGGGAAGCGCAGTTCTTCCATACGTCCACTCAGTGTGTTGGAGAACGCCATGTTCGAGGACTACTCAGTGAAAACGGATGTTAGCAGACCTGATACATCAACCATCCAGATCCAGATAATCTGTTAGGCTGAACCCTCGAGGGGTAGGACTCGAATCGGTGATACTGGCTGAACAGACTTGACTGACAGGTGGGCACGAGTTTACTGGAGGCGTCGTCAGAAGCGTACATACCTCGAATGGAGCAAGACCGATACTCAACACTCCGAGCCTTTCTGAAACGGCCACAAGACGTTGGATTCAGTATAATAATGAAACGAGAACTGCTAGCAATCCCCGCAGGCGTGCGCGTGGTCCCCAAGATGACAAAAAGGGTGTGAGAAAATAGATGCAGCCAACGCTGCGTGCGCGCCGAAGGGCAGCACGGCAGTTGAGATATGCTATAAAGACAGTGATAGTAAAAGCAGAGTGTAAGGAAAAGAAAGAATATTGTTACAGGCCTGCAAAGAGGTGAAGTAGGAGGAAAGGCACCTCAGAAATGGGATCGAGTCTGGAGAGTGCTAGAGTAGCAGTGGAGGTTGGATTCGACTCTTGGGGGGCTTTTTGGGTGGTGCGCATTTAGGCAAGCGCCAGAGCCCAGCGTGGGTACTGGCGCTCGATGAGTAGCGGCCTAGACGAGGTTGTTAGCTTAACCTGGCTGCAGCGTGGGTATTCTGGCTAGGGACTTGCCTCTGCCACTACTGGTGCTTTTCCTCTGGTTAGCCCTGGAACTAATCCATCGTTGACCAGGGTAGCGAGTCGCGGGCCACAGACCAGAACGGCCAGGTCGACAAGTAGTTGAGGTTCCAGGTCTGTCGCTGTTCCTGTTGTTGAGGTCCTTTACAGAGTAGTTGGTACCAATTCCGGTGTCGCAGAGGTCGATTCTCTCCAACTTTTCCGACTGATTCCTTTCCCCTCCCTCTTTGAAGATCACTGGCAAGGGATATTGTATTATGTAGATAAAGTTGCCAGTCTGCAGATTTCTGCAAGTCGGCTGCTCAGTGTGTTCGTTTACAGGCAGGTCCCCTGGTGCATATCTCAAAAATCCCGATGCCTAAGGGCGGGCATTTGGCACAACTCTTTGATGGGCGGTTGGTGAGCAGTCGCCCCTCGGTAGCCACCAGCCAGGGACCAGAAGCGAGAGAAAGTGACGAACTGCGACCAGGCCAAAGCCTGTAAGGAGAAACGTCTTTCCCCATCAGACTTTGCGGCAGTCTGGAAGGGCCAGAGCCACTCGGGATGGACCTGGCTGCTGCAGGATAGGCCATGGTCGCCACAGAGCGAGTGAGAATTCTTTCTCCTTCCTGGTCGGAATGGCGACGCAACGCAGGACTGCGCCAATAGGGTCAATTCTTGAGCGCGCATCACAGCGTGGGCACCGGTGGCTCAAACCTCCGCTCACGTTGATGCGTCCACGCTTTGCTCGTCAGACAAGATATTTGTGTGGGGAATGGGCACTTGGGCCCGGGAGGCGTTTTTTGGTTCCCCAATCCCTTGAGCCATGGTCCGTCCAGGGAAAATGGCGGTCAAGGGCGAGAAATCAGGGTCCCCCGCCGAGCAGCAAAGCCCAGTGAGCCTTCCTCGAGGGCTTGCTGCATAGACGATGACACCAGAAATGGAACATATTGGGCGAGGGATTTTGAGTACCTGAAGCCCCGCGTGGGATGTTCCTGGAGTGGCTTCTGTACTCAGTACATGCTCGAAGGTGCCTGCATTCGAGGAATACTTTGTGCTCGTATATCGGTTAAGTTTCCACGGTCCTCCTGATCGGCAAGGGCCATGGCGCAATAATCCAATTCTGGCTCTGTTTGACCTCTGGAGAGTCACTTCGTACCCCACAACCCTGAACCCCCCTGCCATGAGACATTCATAGAGTAGTGTCATGTCATCTTCCACAGTTTGGGTACCCTTACACTCAAAGCCATTTACAGACGCAGGACCTGGGGGCAGACAGCTCCGTGAGAACTCAGGAGTGGACGTTCTGATTTAGGAGTCGGCCCGACGTAAAACGCACCAGTGCTCAACACATGAACCTCTAGTTTGGTACGGGCATGCTGTGGCCCTTTAGGAGCATCGCCAGGGTCAGCAATCCTGGTCCGGTCCAGTATAGGTAGTGACTGGAATATTGAGTCTGCTTCCGAGAAGCATTGTCGGCAATGTCCCAAAGGCAGTGGTACGGAATGATGCTTCCTGCCCGAGCTAATGCTTGCACCTATTGTGGATGTCCTCTATAGAACCACAAGCGACGAGCATGAAAACACCTGAGAGGCCCGTGTCTTCTGTAAGCGACTATTAGGTGGGCTAATGAGGTGCCTGCATCACGTCGCAAGGCAATCCTTCACGCATTATTGTCGAAAGCACACTCCGGCGGCATGCCCAATTAGCCGTAGTGCAACTGGCCCAAGTGTCGTGTACGCTCGAGGATAAACCGAGCTAGAGCTTCGTTCGGCTTGATGCAAGTGCTGAGCCGGGATCGACTCTGATTGAGGGATAAGACCATGAACGGGAAGCACGCCACAGACCCGCTGGCCAGGTGTACAAATGATCCCCTGCATGAAAAGTATGAAAAAGAGGCCATTGAGCAGAAAAGAACCCCACACTTGCAGCTGCGACGCCCGTGAGCGAGTGCGTCCCCCAGGGCAAATCACTCTCCTTGTTGGGCATTCGCATCCGCGTTCAGGCCAACGTCGGAACCTCGGGCGATTGTGTGTTTCAGAATGGCAGGGTCATCCCAGGGACTAAAAAGCCAGAGCACGGGAAGCTTACCTGAGTCTTGTGTTCTGTTGGAGCTGTTGGTGCAATCTGGTTCTGATCCAATGGAAGACCTGCCGGTGCTGGTTGTGTGGGAAATTGTTTCTGAAAGCGGGCCCTCGGCACACTTTCCACACGGGGTCTTGAGGCCTGAAGCCTGGAGCCTGGAGCCTGACCCCTCCCTTCACCGCCCTGGCCTTGCTTAGTCATTTAACATGCGGCAGAATTGTTTGCGAAAAAAGTTGCCCACCTTGACGCATGATTCGTTTGAGCCTTTTCAAGATTGCCTCTACTGACACTTCTGCAGTCTGGCATCTCTCGCCGCAACCAAAAGTCATGCAAGATGTGCATTTAGACCCGTCGCTCCCCTCTATTGCATCCCTTTGATGAGAGATGCCGGCCAAGAAAAAGACCGATGGCGCCGGAGGTGTACCTTCAATCGCTGCGAGGAAGACTGTCGCGAAGGTAAGTCGAGCCGGCGCCTACCCACTATGGATAAATTTAACGTGGATAGACTACAGCAGTGCGTAAGGCACCTGCTAAAGAGGGCCCTCCTACGGACGAATATGTTGCGAAAGACACGATATCTGTCCAGGCCACGAAGGAAAATCCGAAGTCTGGGAGGCAATCTCGAAGACTCCATCACCATGCAGACAGCTTCGACGCGGCGCTAGAACCCTTCTACTATGACAAGTCTCTGACGGATCCTATCGATACTGCTCGAGACAAATGGAACCTGCTCCCTGCCTTCCTGAAGGTGAAGGGCCTCGTCAAGCAGCATGTGGACTCATTTAACCATTTCGTCGATGTCGAGTTGAAAAAGAGCATCGACGCTGAGCCGATCATTACAAGCGACATTGATCCGAAGTTCTACATCAAATATGAAAACATCTACATTGGAAAGCCCTGCAGAATTGACGAGATGGAGAAGTTCTGGCGAAAAGAATTCAGAGAGTCCAGTGTCACTCCCAATGAATGTCGCCTGCGAGATCTTACCTATGCAGCTCCAATTCTGGCCGATATCCGATACACGAAGACGAAGGATGCATATCGCAACAAGGGCGTGCCAATTGGACGCTTGCCATTGATGTTGCGAAGTAACAAATGTGTTCTTGCCAACAAGTCGGAAGCCGAGATGTGCGCGATGGATGAATGTCCCTTGGACCCTGGTGGCTATTTCATTGTCAACGGCACTGAGAAGGTCATTTTGGTCCAAGAGCAGCTCAGCAAGAATCGGATCATTGTCGAGGCTGATCCAAAGAAAGACCTGATCACTGCCTCGGTTACCAGCTCCACCCACGCGAGAAAGTCAAAGAGCTATATTGTGCTCAGGAAAGACCTCTTATACATGAAGCACAATATTCTCAAGGAGGACGTTCCTATTTGTGTCTTGTTGAAAGCAATGGGCGTGTCTTCTGATATGGACATGATGAATATCGTTGCTGGCCCCGACCACACCCTGCAGGAGGACTTCGCGATCAACTTCGAGGAAACGATCAAGAATCAAGTCCATACGCAGCAACAGGCCCTAGAGTACATTGGAGCGCGTCTCAAAATCACCGCAAAGTCGACCCCTTTCGGACAAGCTCGCAGAAATTTCGTCCAGGAAGCTGTGGAAGCCATCAGTTCCGTCTTCATTGCGCATGTTCCAATAGAAGATCTCAATTTCAGACCCAAGGCCCTCTATGTAGCCCATATGGCACGCCGTGCCCTGATGGCAAAGCGAAATCCGGCCCTAGTTGATGACCGAGATTACGTCGGTAACAAGCGGCTAGAGCTAGCAGGGCAGTTACTGTCGCTGCTCTTCGAGGACTTGTTCAAAAAGTTCAATTACGAAATAAAGCTGAAGATCGACAAAGAGCTGAGGAAACAAAATAAGACCGCCTTGGTCGACCCTGTTAGAATCATGGTCGGTGCTCAAGGACATATTACTCAAGGCATGAACAGAGCGATCGCCACAGGCAATTGGAACTTGAAGCGATTTCGAATGGACAGGGCCGGTGTTACCCACCTGCTCAGTCGGTTGAGCTTCATTTCCTCCCTCGGTATGATGACTCGAATATCGAGTCAATTCGAGAAAACTCGCAAAGTCAGTGGCCCTAGGGCGCTCCAACCATCATCATTTGGCATGCTTTGTCCAGCAGATACGCCTGAAGGTGAAGCCTGTGGTCTGGTAAAGAACCTCGCTTTGATGACACACATTACAACAGACGACGAGGAGGCACCGATCAAACGGCTGATCTTCATGCTAGGCGCTGAAGATATAGCCACCGTCGGTGGAACAGAACTCTACGCTCCGGGATCGTACCTTGTGCTGTTGAACGGTACTCCTGTAGCCACTACCCGGCAACCCTCACATTTTCTATCTTCGTTTCGACGTCTGCGCAGATCAGGACGAATCTCCGAGTTCGTATCTATCTTCATCAACCACCACCACAACACAATCCAGGTGGCAACAGATGAAGGTCGGATTTGCCGGCCCCTGATTATTGTTGAGGATAAAAAATCCAAGGTCACCAAACGATATTTGAAATCCCTTAGGCAGGGCTCAATGGACTTTGACGACTTTCTGGCCCGCGGTCTCGTGGAATACCTGGATGTCAACGAAGAAAATGATAGCAATATCGCCATGTATGAATCCGACATCAACGCAACGACCACTCACTTGGAAATTGAACCCTTCACAATTCTTGGGGCAGTGGCAGGCTTGATTCCATATCCTCATCACAACCAGTCGCCTCGAAACACTTATCAATGCGCTATGGGGAAACAAGCTATCGGTTTTATTGCCAATAACCAATTCTTGAGGATCGATACGTTACTATATCTTATGGTCTATCCTCAGAAACCATTGGTGAAAACGAGAACCATCGAATTGGTGAAATATGACAAACTCCCTGCTGGTCAGAACGCGACGGTGGCTGTCATGTCATATAGTGGTTACGATATCGAGGATGCTCTTGTCCTTAACAAAGCATCGGTTGATCGCGGTTTTGGTCGCTGCCAGGTCCTTCGCAAGTATCCCGTCAGCATCAAGACATACGCCAATGAGACCACCGACATGGTTTATCCTCCTTCGAAGAACAGTGATGGCACAATAGCCAAAGGCCATGCTCTGCTAGATTCAGATGGGGTAGCATGTGTCGGTGAAAAGGTCAGTAGCGGGGAAATCTATGTCAACAAGTACGTACCGAGGAACGCCAACTCTTCAGGCCTATCAGAGAATGGCTCTGATAGTCCTCGCACTTTTGGGATGGATCCACAGCCACAAAAGTATCGGCTTCCGGACCCTAGTTACATTGACAAAGTAATGGTGACCGAAGTCGACGGTAACCAGATCATCAAGATTCAGACAAGGCAGACGAGGGTCCCAGAAGTTGGCGACAAGTTCTCCTCCCGACACGGGCAGAAAGGTGTTGTAGGAATCATTGCTGAGCAGGTCGATATGCCCTTCTCAGATCTGGGTATCACGCCAGACATTATCATGAACCCTCACGGTTTCCCCTCTCGAATGACGGTGGGCAAAATGCTGGAGCTCGTTTCTGGCAAAGCTGGTATCCTCAAAGGTAAATTCGAGTACGGCACCGCGTTTGGTGGCAGTAAGCTCGAAGACATGTCGCGGGCTCTGATCGAGGCGGGTTATAGTTATGATGGCAAGGATTATCTCACCTCGGGCATTACTGGAGAACCCCTTCCTGCCTACGTCTTCACTGGGCCGATCTACTATCAAAAACTCAAACACATGGTTCAAGACAAGATGCACAGTCGGTCTCGTGGCCCTCGAGCCATCTTGACACGTCAACCTACCGAAGGCCGTTCCAGAGACGGAGGTCTGCGACTGGGAGAAATGGAGCGCGACTGCCTCATCGCCTACGGCGCGTCACAGTTGCTCCGCGAGCGGCTTATGCTATCGAGCGATCAGCACCAGGTGGACGTCTGTGAAAACTGTGGTTTCATGGCCTTCGCGCGATGGTGTCAGCGGTGCAGCAAGGCAGGCGAACCGGGCTCCAACGTGGTTAGAATGACTCTGCCGTATGCGTTCAAGCTTTTGCTCAACGAACTTGGCAGCATGAACGTCAATACCAGGCTGATTGTGTCCGATGAGTTCCCTTCCGACGGCTCTAGGCGGGCTTGACCAGGAAGGTGGAGATTCGATCATTCGGGCCATTACGAAGTGAACGGATTTGCATGAAACAAGACCCGACCACGCCAAAAAGTCATTTGCATTTATGCATAGCGCTGGTGTCCTTCATCTAGACCAAAGCGGCTCGAAGACCTTGAGCGATGGATACAAGACACTTTATTCAAGGGTTCTTCTTATCCGTATTACATTCCAGACATAAGCGACGGCGCATGTTGTAATTTGTTTGGTTTTCATCTTCAGAGCTTGCCTGTCTCGCTTCCTTTTGAGCAGTGACTTGCTGCTACTGCGCAACTCATCTAGACAACTTGTCACAGGGATCTGGAATCAAAGAGAGGATCTGTTGTTCATGTACACGAGACAGGAGAAGCCAGAAGAACTCCAGAATAGAAAACAATGCCAATACCAATACCAACTATAGGTTTCAAGTATTTTTCTTTCTTTCTCTCTGATATAATAGAAGTAATATCCTGGTGTATCTATTTTTCTTCCAAGGGCTCCCTAAGTCCAAATCAAAACGACTCAATCTCCATGCAAGGACAAGTAAACCAACTTCAATCATCATCATCGTCATCACCACCAACACCAACCACTCTCAAAATACATGTACAGTTTGTGGAATACTCTCAACAAAACACTGCGTCTCCTTTCCTCCTTCCCAGACGCATAACATCAGTCTGTGCCGTCCTTCTGCCCGCCCAACAGGTTCAGGCCCGTAGCGACAGGAACGCCTCGCACACCTTTCATGAGCTTGTAGCTCCCTTCCACCGTTCACGGAGCCGCGGCTAGATTTCCGTCTTGCACGATGAAGCGGACTCTCTTCTGTTTCGGGGGCGACCTGGGCTGGACGAATTGGCCGGCTTGGTTTTGAGGCTGCTGCTGGTTATTGTTATTGTTGTTGTTGTTGTCGTTGTTGGTGTTGTTGCTGCCATTGTTACCACCGTTGTTGCCGTCATCATCGTCGTCGTCGCTGTCGCTACGGCTACCGCTCTCGTGGCTGCCGTCATTGCCCACCTGTGACGAACCCGGTGGCGAGGCGGCCCCGTGGCCTTGGAGGCCGTTGAACCAGCGATCGTGCGGGTTCTGCTGGTCGTACAGCTTCTTCCAGCTGGGCTCGAACCAGCCTTCGGGAAAGCCGCTGTACTTGGCCGCGGGCAGCTTCAGCCGGGGCGCGTCCGGGTCGACAAACTCGCTCTCGATCATATACTTGAAGTCTCCCGCGGTCGGCCGGAATCCCGCGTCCCCGAGTGGCATGTTGTTGATGTCGTGGCCGGGATACACCTTCACGGGGAACTCCCCGGCGCGTTTGGCGCGCTTGATGGCCAGCCGAAGGCCCCGGCGCGTCTGGTCCATGAGTTCGAGCTGCGAGGGCCGGTTGGCCGGGTCGGGGTCGAGGCAGCGGTGGATCAAATGGCGGAGCCGGCTGCTGTACGCGCCCGGTTTCTTGGTGTAGACGTGCGAGATCTGGTGGTTCCCGTTCCGCCGAAATCTCTTGAGGGTTTTGGCGCGGACTTTCTCCAGGTGCTTTTCGCTCTTTCGGAGTGTCACCATCTCGAACATGATCTGCCCTATGCCGTAGATCTATGCGAAGCGTGAAACGGATGGGCTTGTTAGCCATTACCCTCTCTCTACTATTCTCACGGCAACACACTGGGCGAGGGGGGGAGCCAAGTTCAGGCCAACTTACGTTCATTGAGTGATCGAAGAGCACATCACCGCCCAGCTTTTCGTTCTCGTCTTCACGTTGCGTGGCAGCCCTTTGCCAATCAAGCTCCCGGTTGAGGGTATCCCGGGTCCTGACCCACCCGCCGTCAGGTGGGATTTCCCAGTTCACACCATAGTGGCTTTGTTCCTGCGTCAAATTAACTTGTCAGCATCGTCCAACCTTCACAAGGCGAAGCGCGGCGCCTTGAAAGACAGGGTGGAAGGAAAGAATGAAATGCTTGGTTACCGTGGGTTTATGGTAAGGGGTGCCGCGCCACCACAACGCATATGGATTCCACCGTCTAAACGTCAAGCTGTCAGAGATCGCCGTAACCATTGCCAGTCCGTAGTCGTTTAGCAGAGCGGACGGGTACTCCTCGCCCTCGTGTGGATAACCGAGGAGCACATTTGCTGGTTTCCAATCCAGGTGGAGGCAGAATAGCTCGTCTTGGCGGAACTTGTAGAGGTATTCCTCTTTGATGGCCCTGCTGTCGAGGTGGGGAGGATTCCGAAGGGCTTCGCCAGCCTTCGCCAGGTTGGAGAAGACATGCCAGATGAAAACCTCAGGAAGATAGGTATCCCAGCACCGGTATCGGTGGGCAAGGCGAGCAAGACTCCCGTGTGGGCAGTACTCCAGGTAGAATCGATATCGTCCCTCTGCAAAGGCGCGGTCGTCGTAGAAGAACTTGTATTCGCGCAAGTGGGGTGAAACACCGGGCTGTCGAAGATTAATGTCGTTGTGGATGGCGGCTTCTACCAGGTGCCTGGGATAAGCCACGGGATTGACCTCAATCGAGCTGACGGCGGTTTTCCCTTTCGTGTAGCTGGATTCCTTTAGGACCACTTCGTCAACAAGCTGGTTGTTGTCGTCTCGTTTCTGCCACAGGCCGACGATGCCGTAACCACCTCTCCCAAGCAGCCTTATGGGTCCCCATTCCGCATCTTCCTTCTCGTCTTTCTCAAAGTAGAGCCATCTTCGCAAGAAGAACTCGTCTTCCTTCTTCCTCCCCAAGGCGCCTCTCTCTTTTCGATCATCATACCACAGCTGATCAATGTCCCCAGGAACCTGACGCTGCTCATCGAGTCTCGCCCTGTATCTGGTAATGAAGTCGTCGAGTTCACCGAAATCGACTAGGTCAAATGGCTGACCGTCCAAGCGCTTGCCTTGTACAGGCATATTATGATATTTCGATACACTCTTCACTCAGAGCTGTGAGCAGAGAGGGATAGTGACCTTAAAGGCTGAAGTAACAAGCAGTGCTTTGACTGTAAACCATAGAGGAAAATGGCGAGGGGCAGGCGACATTATCGTTCAGTTGGGGTCCGAACGCATCAAAAACACCAATTATAGTTAACAAAGGAGATGTGTCGGTTTAGGCCATCAATGAAACATGCATTCAGCTCATGGTCTCTATAAAGGAGTTCCTGGTGGGTGCCTACCGCGGGAAGCGAGGTCTTTTGCGGTGCGTTCTCAGATTTCATTCAGACCTAGATGTTTCTCAGTGATCATCTGCCATTGTATGAGCGAAGTGGCAAACATTTCACCATCACAGCCTGGTGAGATCATCCTGTCAGTGAGGCAGAAAGTGGCTTGCGATTCCTGGCGGGACAAAGGGTGTGATTGTTGGATTTGTTTCCCAGTGAGCCAGTCAATGCTGCCGCATCGAGCCTAGTGTGTTTGGGGGGTCTTGGCCGCTTAGATAATGCGCACGTCCAGCAAGGGCATTGGTGGGGCAAACCTAGGACAAAGCCGCCCGCACGTGTCGGCCCCTCGATGAATGCGGGCTAACCAATCACCGGCCAGTCCCAGATATCCTCGGTCATGTGCAGGGCCCACCACATTCACTGACATTCTACCCGGGGGTCACACATCCACATCCATTCACTCTCAACGGCTCTCTTGATATTCCTTCATTGCTCCTCCACTTTCTTCCCGATCGAGTGGTGACCTAAAGGAAAGTCCAGCCTGAAGAAGACTGATCTCACAAGATGGCGATCGAAGGAGTCCCTGAAGAAATGCTCGCTGTCCAGGTGGTAGAGGTGAGTTCAAAACGCGGCTCTTGACCAACACCGAACTTGATCTGAGGTGGCCGTGATGGCAATAGTTCAACCAACCTTATAAGATCCATAAGGTGCCCACTCCTACCAGCCTCAAACCACATGAGATCCTGCTGAAAACAGTGGTTGCATCACTATGTCACACCGACGGCATGGTCGTCGCCGGCAAATTTCCCACAAAACTGCCCTGCACGGCGTCGCACGAAGGCACGGGCATCGTCGTTGCCGTGGGTGATGAAGTCACCGAATTCAAAAAGGGCGATCGCGTCATGTCCGGTCTCCCACGGAACCCGTGTCAGCAGTGCTTCAACTGCCAGGGTCCAAAGGACTGGCGGCAATATTGTCAGAAGATCGAAGGATACATAGGTGTTTTCGTGGATGGCGCTTTTAGCGAATATCACATTGCCGATGCACGGACTAGTTGCCACATTCCAGAAAAAGTGAGCTTTGCGAATGCAGCCCCCCTCGCTTGCGCCGGATGTACGATATATCGCGCCATTTCTGTGGCTGATGTACCGGACGGAGGGTGGTTAGGCATCGTGGGTGCCGGCGGCGGGCTAGGCCACCTGGGGATTCAGTTTGCTATAGCCAAAGGGATCTATGTCGTGGCAATTGATGCGAGAGACGAAGGACTCGAGCTGTGCAAAAAAGCGGGTGCGCAGCACATTTTCGATGCGAGGGAAGGGAAAGAGAAGGTCGTGGAAAAGGTCCAAGAGCTCACGGGTGGCTTGGGTGTCCATGCTTCGATCAACGTCTCCGAGCACGAGACCTCGGCCGACATGGCTTGTGCTATTACCAGGATGCATGGAACCATGGTGCAGACTGCGCAGCCGGACCGGTGAGTATAAGTTTGCCAACAGTGGACCTAAGAGCTGACTCTTCGGTAGGGTCTCTGTGGCCTTCCAGGAACTGATTTTCCGAGACATTCGCATCAGGGGGACGTTGATTGCGTCACAGGAGGACAGCCAGGAAATGCTGGACAATGCAGGGAAGTACGGCATCAATGTGGAAACGAACCTCTTTTACGGACTGGAGGAGGTGCCGAAGATGGTCGAGCTGGCACATTCGGGCACGATGAAAGGGAAGGCGGTCTGTGTGGTTGACAGGGCCGAGTTTGAAAAGGAGAACGAACGTTTAGGAGCGTCTCATACGGCTTGAAGCGGAGCGATGGGTGCTGCGAATCGTGCCGGAATGGTCCTGACAGAAACACACATGCCGGATGGCTCACGATATCTGTTAGCTGGGACATGCGACTGAAGCACACAGTAGGGCTTCTCGAACGATCAACATCAGTGAGCTTCCGGAGCTTTCATGCCGCATAGCCTTGATTGGTCGTCAGCTTGCTGGATCTCAGAAGAATGCGTATTTTATGGTCAGCTCTGATCCGCGTTCCGGAAGGGCAACTCTCTTTAGCTAGCGGAATTCAACAAGATGGCAAACGGACGCAAGATGCGAGTCGACAAGGTGTCAGCGCGGGAAAAGAAAAGCACCCCAAGCTCCGCAGTATTACTACATAGTACGTACAATAGGGAATCGCCTACGGTGGGCTATCTGTGGCGACTGACGCATATATCAAGTCCAGGCAAGTCATGCCATGCCTCTACAATCTCCCGACAACTTCATTTCCTTACCCTTCCCCACAGATGACTGACCTGTAACGCTCTCGAATGGGAAACCTGACATACATATCCTCATATGCTCTGGAACGGAGTTACTGCACAAAAGGGGGCAATCCGCTTCAATCCAAGCGCCATTCATTTTGACACGTCGCACACAGGACTCAGGAGACGCTGTGAGTGAGTGAAGCAAGCGAAAAAAAAAGTCAAAAATTATTCTACATAGGGTGGGACGACCTCTCGCTCCATCTCAATTTCTGAACAGGTGAGATCCGTGACCCGGTAGACGTCCGTTGTAACTTGGGCGAGAATGCGTTCCACGAACATACTGTATGGGTAAACCGTCGATGGTGTATCAACGGCTCACCCACCAGGCCTTGCTTGATGGGACCCGATGATTGCTGGATTATTGCTGGAAGATTGCTGGAAACCAACAAGAGAGATTGAAACTTGGGACACGCAGCTGCATACTTCTATGAGATATACTGCATGTACCTCTATTCTCTAGAGAGACAGATCTCTCTGTTGCAATCTGCAAAGACGCCCCGACATGCGCTCACCATTCCAGCAATTTTGGATGTTCATATGTATCCCGTTGAGATTACGACTTGTCTTCTGAGAACTTCATGTAAAGCGGAGAGAGAGAGAGAGAGAGAGCGAGATCTATCGTATCCGCCGGCGGTGTTTGTTCATCCCCTTCTTGAGGCCCGAGTACTATACATCAATCAGCTCCAGTTTGCGCCATATATCTGCTGTTGAGCTCCATCCCAGCCAGATGTATCTGTACGACCAGTCCCTGTCAGTTGCACAATCAATAACCCCTGCAAAAATTCAATTCAAGATGGCACTGTGGTTCTTCAGGAGAATTTCCCGTCGAGGCACCTAAACCCCACTCTTACGCCATGTAAATGCTTCGCTGAACGCTCGTCCCTGTGACCTCGTGTGCAGCTCCAAGCGTGGTGTCGCATGGGAGTCCGCCCTGAACATGCTGCACATTTTATAGCCGATTTCGACGCCTGTGAACGCCATGCATCGCATTAACCCAAATCCACCTCCGACTCTTTCATCCACCCGTTTCCTTATCACAGGCAGAAAGTTGGGATTGTGTTTCGTTCTTCCTCGATCAGTCGCTCTCCGGCATCCGCATATACGCATCGATCGCCGCGCTGAATGCTGCGAAGCCGGCACACCCAAGTGCGGCAGCCTGAGGACCCGCTTTGTACGCCAGTATCCCGCCCGTGATACAGCCGGCAGAGACGCTGTTCGTCAGATCGCTCTTCGCTCGAAAGCCCTCTATACAGCACTCCGTCCCGCTGTAGAGCGCACCGATGAGGGCAAAGTTCTTCGCTGACGAGTATGATTTCGATCCCATATCTTTGAGGCCCCTCCGGAGCTGTTCGCGCACGGGCAGGGAGGTTATTTGTTGGCCTTGAGGGGATAGAGGAGTGTCGTATGCCATCTAACGCGGGTCCAATTAGCGAGGGAAACCTTGCGATGCACACGTGGTACTAAGAAGATCGAACATTCACAGGCAGATTGCGCGGGGAAGGGCAGTCATGAGAAAAGGCGAACTCACACTCGACATGAACAAGCCGAAAGCGCCACCAAGGACGAAACCCATTCCACCTGCTAGAGCTGATTTTGCGACGCAGGATTCCATGCCTTTTTGCATCTGTCCGAGCACCATTTCTGTCAGCAATCACACCCTTTGCGCCAATTGATGGACCATGTTGCCAGCAGGATGTACGGAGAGCTACGCTCCGCATCGCTGCCCCGTTCCAATTTCTTGCGGATGTTTTTGGTGCTTCTCTTACCATCTTCACCATCTGCTGCTCCTGCTCGCTCAAGCCTGCATTCCCTCCAGCTGCTCCGCCGCTCATGCCGGGGCCGCCGAACGCGCCTGGGAATGCCATCGTGAATGAGGTTGTATGGACTGCGGTAGCAAAGGAGTGGATACGGTCAGGTCGGGGGAGGAAGGGTCGGTGTCGAAGCCAGAGGCGTCTGGAGGGAGGAAGCAAGTAATAGTAAGTGAGTACGGAGTAAATGGAGGCGCATATGGGGTTTGCGGCGAAAAGAAATTCGCGACGACGTCGATCGGAGCGGGATTTTTGCGGCGAAAATCATCCATGCTTCCGATTGGCGGAGAGCCGGACTCCATCGGGCACATGGAGACACGAGGCTGCAGTCGGAAGGAGGAGGACTGGGCACTGCGGTATAGTGAAATGCATCATTATGCAATACAAGTTGTGTATGGGATCAGATATGACTTTTTCAACTGTTTCGAATGCCGATCCTCAACTTCTTTGGAGCAGACATGGCAAGCTAATCTCTGCAGGCCTTATAACCCGTGAGAGCAGGCCAGTTCAATGCGACTAGAGAAATGCTTGCACCAGAAAGTACCGTTCACTATGCGAACTCTCCTTCTGTCAAGTGCAGAGGTAGCCTCACAAACCCGTTGCAGTCCTCATCAAAATCCACGATGCTCAGTGACTTGCTATTCCTTTCGCTGGCTGCAGCCACATTCGGTCGCGAATACCTCTGAGTCGCCCAACGAAACGAGGAGACGGATAGGCCACCCTTCGGTCTTTCCCTTCCAAGAGCCCTCCAAACTTCCGAACCTCTGAGGATGTCCTATACTGGTATTGCTTGGTCGGAGGTTGGGATTTCACGTTGTTTTGGCGGTGACGGTGTTGGTTGAAGATCTCGGTCCCCTCTGAGCAACCATTCGAATTCTGTTCAAGTTTGTTCTCAGGAATGCTTGAGCACAGAAAACGCCGTTTTGAAACCCCGACCTGTCCTGGGGTTTTGCATCGGAGGGCCGTAGTCTCCGAACCATGCTACCGTCGCTTGGAAGACCTTTGGCCAGACGTCGCACATCCTCCACACGGTGTAACCTGAAAAGATTTCAAGACATTCGAGATCCGGTTATCTCCCTCGTCCCCGGCCACCGCCTCCGCCAAACATTCCACCCATCTGCTGCATAAGGGCATCCATCCCTCCAGCGCCACCAGCACCAGCTCCCATGCCCATGTTTTGCATCATCTGCATCATTTTGCCAAGGTCACCTCCAGGCATCGCGCCCCGGCCACCACCCATACTTTGCATCCGCTTCTGCATGGCTGCGAGCTGCTGTTGCCTGTTGCCGCCTTGTAACATACTGTTGGCTTTAGCCATGTTCTTCTTCTGTTGACCCATGTTCTTGGCCACGCTAGCCATCACTTTGTGTTGCGTAAGAAGCTCTTCAACATCTCTGACACTGGTGCCCGAGCCGCAGGCAATCCTCAACATCCGAGAGGGCTGTGATATCAGAATTTTGCCGTCAGAGTCCAGCTCTTTGGCCGTCATGCTGTCAAATATGTACACCATTCGTTTCAGCTTTTCAGTTCCGTCCTCATCGGACATGCCTTGCATCAGGCCGCTCATGCCGGGGATCATGCTGCCGATCTTGGAAAGAGGGCCCATCTTCATAATATTCGTGATTTGCTCTTTCATGTCGCGGATCGTGAAGATACCCTCTGCCAAATGTTTCTGGGTCTCCTTCATTCCTGCCGACTCTCTTGTGAGTGTTTGGATGTGATCGATCAGGCCGCTCATGTCTCCATATCCGAGAAGTTTGGAAATGAAGGATCTTGCATCGAATCTCTCCAGATCTGCCAGATGTTCACCGGTACCGAGAAAGATAATAGGGGTATGCGTAGCAGCTGCTGCAGCGATAGCACCTCCTCCTGCTGCACCACCATCTGTTTTTGTGATGATAAGAGCACCAAAGTCGGCTGTAGCTTTGAAGGCAGACGACTGTGCTTCGGCGGCTTGACCAATCGTGCCATCTAGCACCATGATTGTCTGATCTGGTTTGATGGCATTCTGGACAAGAATCATTTCCTGAAACAAGTCTGCTTCTTGCTTGTGTCGCCCCGAGGTGTCAACGATAATAATCTCGAATTTCTCTTTTTTAAATCTCCCAACACCCTCAGCAGCCACCACTGCGGGATCTGTTTGAGTAAGTGAACCGTAATATGGTATCTTCGCTTTTGTAGCATTCTGCTTCAATTGATCATAGGCACCTGCTCTGAAAGTGTCTGCGCAAACCAGGCAAGCCTTGAAACCCCGAGCAGCATAGTATCTGGCCAGCTTCGTACAGGTTGTCGTCTTTCCCGCGCCTTGAAGACCGACCATCATGATCACATTCGACCTTCCTTTCTTGGGCTTATATGGTTCGGCATGAGGATCGACGAGTTGGACAAGGTGTTCGAAGACTGCCTGTTGGATCATGCGCTTTTTGCCGTTGGAAGTCGTGTGGGGCGGTAGGTCTTTGAAATTGACAGCGCTATGTATCGACTTTCGTAGGTTCTTCACAAGTCGCACGTTGACATCGGCCGATAGCAGGGCCGAACATATCTCCTTGATCATGGCATCGAAGGCTTTCTCGTCGAGGTTGGGTTCTCGGTTGAGGTTCGACACGGCGGCATTGATGCGCCGCCCCAGGTCTGAGAGAACCATCTTGCCGAGATGGAAGGGGTGTCTGCCAGAGGCTGTGTGATATTCGGCTAAGTCCTCTTTATGAAGGCGGCGCAATCAACAGGAACGAAGGTGGCATGAAGTTGATGTTCTCGCCGCCCAGTGTGGGGAAGCATAAACGCCAACGTGGGAGCAAAGTTGCTCCCGCAGTTTTGCCGGGGATTTTGAAGAAATTCCAGGTCAAATTTTGGCCGACCTCGAAGAGAAGCAGCACACCCTATCTCCTCGACCATAGTGACCTGTTCACGGACTCTGTCTAAAATGGCCCCTCCATCACAAAGGAAACGTAAAGTTGAAGATGGAATGCGTGGAAAGACCGAGCGACCAAAGAAACGTTTCCGCAAACAACTGGACTACCACAGCTCAAGCGACGAGGAGGATCAGGACGAACAAGGATTTACTCCCGTCAATCTGAACGACAGCGACGAAGAACAGCGCCCGGGTAAAAAAGTCAAGTCGCGGAAGGAAAAGCCCCTGCGGGCTGTTGTGGAGGACGGATCTGACATACAAACCGACGACGAAGATGATGATACGCACTCTGACGCAGCTGCGACTTCGGACGAGGACGGTCCTGAAGAGGGCCCGAACGAGACAGACAGAAGAAAACACATAAGCAAGCGAAATGATCCAGAAGCATTTTCTACCTCAATCTCCAAGATCCTGTCGACTAAGCTATCACAATCCGCTCGCAAAGACCCCGTCCTCTCGAGAAGTAAAGAAGCGGTGGAAACGAGTGTCTCCCTCGCAAATGACCGTTTGGAGAAAAAGGCAAAGGCCAAACTGAGGTCAGAACGCAAGGAAGAGTTAGAGAAAGGAAGAGTCAAGGATGTTCTGGGCTTGAGCTCAGGACAAGCAGGCGAAGTGGCGGAGGAGGAAAAGAAACTGCGGAAAATCGCCCAGCGCGGCGTAATCAAGCTCTTCAACGCTGTCCGCGCGGCCCAGGTCAAAGCGGAACAGGTAGCCAAGGAGGAACGGAAGAAGGGAACCATAGGAATGGCCAACCGCGAGGAGAAGGTCAACGAGATGAGCAAGCAGGGATTCTTGGATCTGATCGCGGGGAAAAAGGATGCTCGGAGCACAACGGCGCAGTGAAACCGGAAGGGCCGCTCTATGACAGTGGAAGGCATTCTGAGTATGATGCCCACCCCAGCGAGGAGCAATGGAGAGCGGTTTTGGTGATGGTACATGTCTAGAACGTTCAACCCTCAGTTTATGATCAACTGCGCTTCTCGAAATCCGAAGCCTGCATGTTCCGCGTCATCTGTGGCAATTTCACCACCAATCCGTCTAACTCCTTGGTCATCTTGACCTGACAGCCCAACCTCGATGTTTCTGTTAAGCCGAAAGCGAGGTCTAGCATGTCGTTTTCGTCGTCGGTGGCCTCGGGGATCTTATCGTACATCTCATCGGACTCGACTATAACGTGGCAGGTAGAACATGCGCATGAGCCACCACAGGCGCCTTGAGAGACATCGTCAGCAAATATGGTGTGGATCAACCGGGGGGAAATGTTCTCAAACACACCTTCCATCTCCAGATCATTGGCCTGCGCAATGTCGAGCAGGTTGTCGCCTTCTGCCACCTCAAACGTGTGCTCATCTCCTTCCTTGTCTATGAATGTAACTTTGAGCCTGTAGTCGTCCATCAGCATCCGTCAAGTTTTGCTGGAGCAGAGGTTGAGCATTACTCCTCTCCCGGCTTCGGCGGATCCAGATGTCCATGCCTCTTCACTTGAGTCGTGGAGAACCTCCTCCTGCCCAGCTCTAGAGAGCGTATATGATCCCTTATTAGACCCTTCTTGATCCCGAGTTCATGTTGATGCCGCCGGCACAGTGATATCGTCGCAGTATGGAGACTGAAGTTCCGATTGAGAATTCGAGGTGCACCGGATTGCAGTTGTCGCGCAGGGTCGGATCGAATGCATCGTAGGGTATTTGCTCCCATGAGACTCCGCACGCCGTTCCATCCGGACATTCTTCTCCTCCCCGAGGGCTCGTGAAATGATGGTTCGAAGGGGTTTCGTCGCTACTCAACAAGAATGTAAAGCGAAAAGTCAAAAGGTTGATTGGGCGTGACGCAAATCGTTCAAGCTCTCGGCCGAAGTAAACCCGCCCCGAGTCTCGTCGCTATTCAAGACAGTCGAGATGATATTAGCCCAAGGTAGCTTCGGTTCCAAGAAAGCTAAGAGATAAACAACAAAGTGGCGCCCAGCACGCGTACATTAAGAAGAACCTTGGGCCAGCCCACACAACTATATACAAGAAGCGAATACCGTGCCTCCTTCTAGGAGCCCCCGACCCATGCATTCCAGTTGATATTTCCACCCACACAGTCTGTGCTTATGGGTGCACCGTCGACAGGACCAAGCTCAGTGCCATCACTCGCGGTAACAGCCACTGTGACATCTCCGGTCATGTCGTTGAATGGCACACTGGAGTGGAAGATACCGGCCGTGGTCGCCGTGACTGTCTGCGTCAAACCGCCAATTGTCACATTGACTGTGGCTATGGTGGTGTCTGGCACAAACGCTGTGAAGAAGACTGCATCAACATCACATTCCTGTGGGTTCAGAGCCACCTGGCCCTGGCTGGGGGTGTTGCATGTCGTTCCGGCGCCACACGCTGTGCCCGAAGCAGGATTGAGGCGGTACCAGAAGGTAACATGGCTCTCATCTGGCCGACTCGTGTTTTTATACGCCGCAATATAGTGAGGCAAATCTTTCAACCAGGCGTCGTGCGGGTTGTTCTCGACGTACGGGCCCGCCCCGGTGGGAATGGCCGAGTCAGTGGGTGGCATTGGGCCGATATAGTGGGATTCTCCCCAATCGTTCCCTGAGTCAACCGTCAAAATGGGTCTTCAAATGGTGGAAACGCGCACTTCACTCACATGTCAGGATCTCGACAAGAGCTGGCTGAATGTTGAGAACATGATCCCAGCGGTCGTGCCATAGATCATCGCCCCGCCAAAGCCAATTCTTTGACCACAGTGGAAGATTGGTGTAGAACCAGGGAGAGACTGGCATCATGTAGGGACGACCATTCAGCGCGGTAACATACGCCTGGTCATCACTGTCTGTCATGTCGTTTGCACCGTTCGGCCATGCGTTCCAGCTGCATTAGTATCAGCAGGTGTTCTTGAGCCCCTTCAGATTGCGGGCAACTTACGACAGCAGACCATCAACATTGGGCTTGCCAGCGGCACCAGCGGCACCTTGGCTTGAGAAGTCGGGGACAAAGAAGCAGTTGGTTTGGGATTTGATATAGGCCCAGTCACCCGCGTTATCTGGACCCTCAAAAGTTGAGACCAGAGGCTTGCCCTGCCATTTGAACTGACTCGAATGCGAGCTGTAACCGTTGACCGTGGTGATCACCGCGTTTTGGTCCCAGGCTCCTTGGGCCAGGTAGTCAAACGACAAGAACATCTGAAAGCCCGCCGCGTCGGCAGCCTGATATGCATTGTCGAGTTGAGCCTGGACAAAACCACTGGGATTAATCGTGTCGACATAGCCGATATTGAGCGCGAATCCGTCAATACCAGCGGCGGCTGCAGTTGCGATGTCGCTCGCCCAGTTAGCTGGAGTGTAACTATATGTGTTTCCCACCTGACCATCGTCAGGAATAACAATTAAGGTCTGAAGACATCAACTCACTATCACATGAGCGAAGACCGATTGAGCTAGGATTGGCGATGCGACGCCAACGAGTATCAGACACGCCAAGGGAAGGGACAACATCGGAAGCACGAGTCTTGAAGGAAAGAGTGACTAGGGTAGGAAACTTTGACTTGAGTCCGGCTCTGTGTGAATTGAAATGAAACAAAGGTAGAGAAACATCGCATATCATGCGAGGTTGGCACTGTTACTTCCATATAACTTTGTCCAAAAAGCGTCTCGTGGAAAACGAGGACCCCATGTGAACTCCATAGCAACTCCTACCTTTGAAATTGGCAACAAGCACCTCTGTGAGAAAGCCACGGTGGAGCATGAGTGTACCATGCTACCTCGAAGCTGTAAATCGAGCCGTGGCTGAGAGGGTTGGAGCAGGTGGGATCGTAGAGCTGCAGTCTTCAACCATCGGTCCTTTTCAATCTATTCCCTTATCAGGCATCGAGAAGGAGTCTTGTGGCGGCGGCAACAAGGTCAGGATATTCACGATCTTGGATCTCGTTATACAAGGGTACCATGCGATGGACCGTATCAAGGCCTGTTATGAAACACCGGGCCGCAGTCCTGTACAAGGTATGAATAATTGCCGGTAGTCCAAGCATATGTAGACCAAGGTACTGTAACAACGTGTGTTGTAAAGAGCATATCAAAGCGACAATTCAATAGACTGGACGAATATGTGATGGCACAGGACAAAGCAGGCACAAGCAAATGGGAGAAGTTGGCGAATGGTCACATTGTCCAATATGCAATACGAGGTAATTCCTGGTGGTACCATATTGTTTCTGAAGCGGCGCCGTTGTTTTGGGAACTGGCCGTAAGCAGTGGAGGAGAAAAGGGGCGATTTTATGCAAACGCCAAAACTCCCAAAGGCTAGCCCATCCTCCTCCATTATTACATACTACCTAATCCTTGCCATGCTTGCTATGTGTTTGCGCAAAGACGGTTCACTCACCTTGGACCTATTGCCAGAAAAACAACACATTCGCCGCCGTAAAGGCTGACGACATCAGCCTGTGCTAGACGTAACAACCTCGAGACAAGATACCCCGAGGGGACTCCTACATGAGCATTGCAGAAGCGCAACCACTAATAAATGCATCCATCGAAGCTATTGTAGGAGAGAAGGATCTCCGTACCTTACCTCGACGATGATTAATCCATCTCCGCACGTTTTGCTGACCCGCCGATGGCCTCAGGCTTGCTCTCGCTGAGGGACATACAGTCAATGGCAGATTACTCTTCCTTACTTCAGATCGCACCCCTCGTTGAAGACGGGTTGCCTTCACCTATCACCTCGGCGTTGCCTCATCATCAACGGCTCCGAGCCTTCGCCTTGCCATAGATCTGCGTGGCCCTCATGCCGTTTTCCTGGTCAAGGGCGCATGGCCATAGCCTGGACTTGTAAGAATGAAATATGCAAACATGGCTGAAAATAGGCCATCTGTCCGACGACATTCAACCCGGCTACCTTTTTATGTCTTTATAGGTAAGGTAGGCTGTTTTCCTTTCCTTTCTTCCTCTCCAAAGCCTTTCCTCGTGCTTCTTTGTTGTTACGTTGGGCCTGGCATCTTGGGAAGAGGCTTTCTATCTCCTCGTGTTTCCAATGGAAGAACCAGACATCCAGGATCAGAATATTCTGCAGAATGCATCCCCTGAGATGCTTCATCGAACCCCAGGGATCAGGAGGCAGCAGACCAACACGGCGGATGCGTTACTTGTGAACTTTGAAGGACCCGACGACTGCTACTCACCCTATAACTGGCCCACGCACAAAAAGTATGGAATATCTGACCCCTCAACCCGCTCTGGCAGGAGCCTGCTAACTGGCCTTAGGATTGTCACGGCTTTTTTCTATGGCTTTTTTTGCTTCACATCCTCTCTCGCATCTGGCATTCTTTCACCAGCCGTGTCAGAGCTGGCCTTTCATTTTCATGTCTCGGTTGAGGTCGCAACACTTTGCTCTTCCACTCTCTTTCTCCTAGGCTACACCACAGGTGAGTTAACGCCTCCTGCCTGTCCCCCACGAGCTTGCACCATGCCGCGGGTCCTTGGCTGAAAAATCGACCATGACTCTTGCCTGGGCTCGCCAGCGCTGTCGGTCGAAAGTCCAATTCCCGGCGTACGTCTGAGCTAACTCTGCCATGATCCTTAAGGTCCCTTTGTCTGGTCGCCGATGTCAGACTTTTATGGCCGCAAAATCCCGATAGTCATCTCGACGTTCGGCTTCGTTTGCTTCGGGGCCGGTTCTGCCACCGCAAAAGACTTCCAGACGTTAGCACTCTGTCGCTTCTTCCAAGGCGTCATGGGAGCTTCTGCCCTGATACTGCCGCTCTCGGCTTATGCAGACTTCTGGAAAGGCGCTCACCGGGGTTATGCGTCGATCGCATTCCTAGCTTCTGTGTTCGGTGCGCCAATGCTTGCTTCTCCATTGGCCGGGTTCACTGTAGACAACCAATCGCTCGGCTGGCGTTGGTGCGCATGGTGGACTGTCATCCTGGGTGGAGGAGACCTCGTTGGGATGGTGTTATTCGCCTCCGAATCCTACGCTCCGTACCTTTTGAAGCAGAAAGCAGTACGGTTGCGTGTCAGCACCGGAGAATGGGCGATTCATGCCAAAATCGAAGAACGGCACGATACATTGGGGCAGATGTTGAAGTATCTGTTCCAGAGACCCTTTATCATGGTGAGCAAGGAGCCGATCTTGCTCTTCATCTGCATCTACGTGGCGTTTGTTTATGCTTTGATATTCACGTTCTTGGTGTCCTATGGGATTGTTTTCGTCGAAGGTTATCACATGAATCGTGGTCTGGGTGGGCTGCCTTTCTTTGGTATCATTACAGGCCTTGCAATTTCGGCAGCCATACACATGGCTCAAGAGAGAAAATACGCCCGCTGGATTAAGGAAAATGATGGGATCATGATTCCCGAGTGGCGAATGCCTATTTGCGTCACAGGAGCCGTGGCCTTCGCTGCCGGCTTGTTCTGGTTCGCCTGGACCGCTGCTTACCCCAGACATGTGCATTGGAGCATTCCAACTGTCAGTGGAGTCGCAACTGGCTATGGGCTTCTTACCATATTTATTGGATGTAAGTTGACCTAGTCGTTCAGAGATCGTTTTGGACGTGGTGCGGAGTTGTCGCAGGGAACAGTCGACGTGGATCGATGTTAACAAATGCTTGCAGGCTTCAATTTCATTCTCGACATATACAAAACCAAGTACGTACTCGTTGTGCAGTCCACAGCAAGCTTAACTGACGCCCTATCCCAGTTCTGCGTCCGCCTTTGCGATCGCAACCATCTCACGTTCGGCTCTCGCGGCGGGATTTCCTATGTTTGCGAGACAAATGTTCCACAATCTAGGTGTGCAGTGGGCAAATACACTGCTGGGCTGCCTCGCTACGCTCCTCATCCCCGTCCCAATATGCTTCTGGGTATGGGGAGCGCGGATACGTGCACGAAGTACCTTCGCCGTGGACAATGTCTTGCCCCCAGGTCCAGGGAGAAGTGGGGAGTGCCGCGATGACACATCTGAGGACAAAGACGTGGAGAGGGCAGGGATGGAGATGAAGCAAGCTGTAGATGACGGCCTGGGAGCACAAGAGAGGGATGAAGGTGGTCCAGAAAAGCACTTTGCAGGCTCCGACTCAACAATAGTGAGCAGCGTTTGAGCAGGCATCAGGATAGTGACTCCAGCTTTGAAGAAGTTGGTTGTTTGCTGTTGTCATACGTGAACGACTTCTTGTGGTCATTGCTGCCGTGATGTATAGAGAAATGAATGACAGTTTCAAATGACACCAATCTACACCTCGTTGGAGGCTTGCTGCACCGTACAATTTCCAGGCCAAATTACGTCGGCGACATTTGAACGGATTGAACCTTGCATTTCGATCACCTTATGTGCTTGGTGACCGCATACAAACAGCTGCACACCAGCAACTTGCGTCGCCTCCAGCGTATCTCGCCATGCAGGACTCGAGATACGTTCCCAATCCCCTCCGGCCATACTACGTCCCTCCATCCATTGGAACCGATGCGCTGCCCAACGCCACCGCGGGTGCCTCGAAACCTATTCCCCAAGGGACTGGTTTCACGTTTCCCGACATCGACTATTCCGACTACATTTCGGATACCTCGCCGTCTCTCCCGGGATCAATCAAATCAATAGTTGACCGCGCGTTATGGAAATATGCAAATGTCGTGCTTGCCCAGCCGTTTGAGGTTGCCAAGCTGATTCTGCAGGCACGCGTTGCTCAAGATGATGAAGAGGAAGACAAAAAGCCGCGACGGAGGTATACATATGGCGAAGGGGAAGACGAAGAGGCACAGGTGCACGACGAATACGACCAAGAACATTCATCGGATGACGAACCCAATTATTTCACGTCTACCGCGCCGTTTGAACAATCGATATCGAGTCGCTCACCAGCTCGGGGTCGGCGTGGAAGGCCACCCCGAGAGACTGCGTCTTCACGCTTTCCCGACCGCCGTCAACAAGCCGATGTACAGTTACACCTCAAGAACCCACATTCTCTTTTCGATGCACTGTCATCTCTGTCGTCGAGTAGTGGAGCGTTGGCTATGTGGCGGGCGACGAATTCTACATTTGTGTACAATATCCTGACACGGACTTTGGAGACCTTCTTCAGAAGTTTCCTGGCGGCTGTTCTTGGAGTGGCCGAGACTGATATTCTGAATACGCCAGCACCGGGAGCAATTCCCGACGTGTCTATCCTCACCTCGACCGCCCCGGTGGTCACCATCTTGATCAGCACTGCGGCGGCGGCGTTGTCTGCCCTTGTCCTTGCACCAATTGATGCTGCCAGGACCAGACTCATCCTCACACCGTCCAGTCAAGAGCCGCGGACACTACTCGGGACTCTACGGACACTTCCCACTCCGTACCTTATTCCCAGCCACCTCATCCCTATCACTTTCTTCAGCTCAACTCTGCCAACACTGATCTCTACAAGCACTCCGGTATTTCTCAAGACTTATCTCGGGCTGGATCCCGTCATCAATCCCGCTACTTGGAGTGTTGCAACATTTGTGGGATCGGCGTTGGACCTATCGATCAAATTTCCTCTGGAGACGGTCCTCCGTCGAGCACAGATTGCCACCTGGACATCCCCAGCGTATGCACCACCTTCTTCATCCTCCAAACGCAAAGTCGTCACGACCATTGTGCCGGTGCCACAGTCCTACCGAGGAATCCTACCGACCTTCTGGAGTATCGCACGCGAAGAAGGTTACTCTGAGACTCGAAAGGACAAAACTGCCGCATTAATGGGCAAGGCCCCTAGGCGGAAGAGGAGAGGACAAGGGATTGAAGGGTTGTATCGCGGCTGGCGAGTTGGCCTATGGGGATTAGTGGGTGTCTGGGGAACAGCATTCGTGGGAGGTCTGCAAGGCGGCAGCGAGTCCAATGCTGCAGAAGCCGGTGTGCACGGTGGTAAGTTTTGATCGGAGACCCCATAATGGTCAGACATTGCTACACGATGGGACGGGATTGTAAATTTAATGGTGGACGAGAACCTCTGAGGGCCAGGGAATGTAGCACGGGCGTTGCAGGCGTTGTATGAGATACCCATACTCTTCTCCGTCACGATATCTGGAGGCATCATCTGAATACCTACCTTTGAATGTACAAACAGTGGCTTGTGTCTCGCTCTCTTGCTAACTTTGAGCTACCTAAGCCCGTACCGACCGTAGTGGTCTGATGCCCTCTTGATCTGATAGCTGTGCCCCGCACGTGCCAAGGCCGATTATCGGTCACATCTAATCTGATAAAATTTGATCCCAATCTCGACCTCGACTCTTCCCGACTTGTTTTCTTGTATGCGCCCTGTCGAACCACCCCGTCCGCCTTGCTGCGACTTACAGAGGGAGAAGCCAAACAGATTTTCCTCCTCAACCCAATGCCACGAGCATATTGCGCCCGCAGCGTTCTCTACGCCGTCAGCGATTGATTGCAGACGGCATCCCACAATCAGCTCATTACAACTACCCTCGGTACTAGGCGGGTTGTCCTGAACCCATGAACCATGGCCTCCAGCGCCGCGTCGTCCCCGGCAGCGGCAGCGCCGAGTACTGCTCACGTCGACGTTAAAGTTGCAATCGCCCGACCACCATCACTATGCATGAAACCAGCTCAGACCCCGCCCGCCACTTCCCCGCCATCATCTACCACCTCCGCGCCCTTGTCTCTCACAAGCAGAGAATGGATCGTCCCTCCTCGGCCCAAGCCAGGCCGGAAGCCAGCAACGGATACCCCTCCCACCAAGCGCAAGGCGCAGAATCGCGCTGCCCAGCGAGCCTTCCGAGAGAGACGCGCTGCTCGGGTAGGTGAACTCGAAGAACAACTGAAGCAAATCGAGGAAGAGAACGAACATGAACAAGAGATCCTGCGAACGACGGTGGATAAACTCGAAAAAGAAATTGAGCACTATCGAACCGACCTAGCACACTGGGTTGATCGGTGCAGGAAACTAGAGAACGAGCTGGCTGCTGCCAGGTCGACAACTGCCGGATCACCTCCAGGCCGAGATAAGGCTCCCACTTCCGCCGACAATGCAACAAATGATTCTTCAATCGGGTGCGGAAATTGCACGCTCGAGACCCGCTGTCAATGCATAGACGACGCCTTCGCGGCGATGGGCGGCGAAGCGACTGAGCCCCGTGACGCCCGTCATCACGAGAAACGTCCGCTCTCCCCATCACACAGAGACGGTGGGGAGAAGAGGATCAAAGTTGAAAGCACGGAGAGCTTGGAAACAGACTTCACGGCAACGTACGCCTCGGACGCTCTCCCAGAGCGCCCTCATTTGGGCAACCACTCTCCTACTTCGGCGATGGCGGATCCATGCGGCTTTTGCTCAGATGGCACACCGTGTATCTGCGCCGAGGTCGCAGCTGAGCAGGAACAAGCACAGACCGCGGCCAACAGCAGGTCGTCGACAGCAGCCGTTCCCATGCACATGCCACCGAGACAACTCGACCAATTCACACCACCTCCATCTGAAGGCGATGTGTCCATGTCTGCCCTACCCGTCGCTGCTGCACCTTCGGGGTGTGGAGCTTCAGGGCCGGGAACGTGTGCTCAGTGCCGCGCCGACCCGAACAGCACTCTGTTCTGCAAGTCTCTTGCGGCCTCCCGTGCTCAATCCCAGACCGCCAACACACCTTCCTCAGGATGCTGCGGCGGGCAAACCCCCGGTGGATCTTGCTGCCAGGCGAATGTCGGGAACAACACTGTGCCTCTGCCCAGAAGGAATCGCACAACCCGGTCCCAAGCCGCAGCTACGCTATCCCACCAGACCGTGGCTCAACAAAGCTCCACAAATGTGCCCAGGGCAGGAGTGACACTCACCTGCGCGGACGCCTACACCACCCTCTCGCGACATCCCGCCTACGAGCGCGCCGCGGGCGACATTGCCGAGTGGATGCCCAAGCTACATGCCTGCGAGCCTACCAACCCGGGCATGGCCGGGAGGCCGGCGTTGGAGATTGACGCCGCGAACGTCATGGCTGTCCTGAGAGATTTTGATCGGAGATTCGGGAAGAGTGCCTAAACCAAACCAAACCAAACCAGCTTGAGGGTAATGAGGGATGGACAAGTAATGACTTCGGCGTCGAGGGGTAGTCAGTCCACAGACTGACCCCGGCCTTCTTTCATCCTGGACGAGGTCACGGTTCGGAAACGGATTGTTATGACGGCGAATGAGGCGAATGGGAGAAGAGAAAGAATAGGCTGGCTAGCTACTTTCACGTGCAGTCTTCAGAAAAATGTTGGACTGTATATAGGTCGCCGGGACTCCGTTCGCGGGGGTCCTTTAATCCTCTGCTTGAGTGGGAAGAAATAAGAAGCAGGAGAAGAAGAAACTGGACCGCAAGGACCGCGCAGGGACACAGGTATTAGGTATATATGATCATGAGTATCCGATGTACATGGAACAAAATTCCCCCCTTCTCTCGAGCTATCCTTATCCTTATCCTTCTTTCTCCTTTGTCTTTCTTCGCCCCCGGTCGGTACCTTGTGAATGACTCGAACTACATAAATAAACTCACTTGGAAAGCTGCATACACACACACATACATACAGGAGTAAGTAGTATTAATATTTGCCAGGCTTGTTAATTAAATCATGCAGTTGCGGTTTCCGGGTATGTACGTACAGTATTACGAACGACGACGTGCACGCCGTTGAGAGAGAGAGATTATACTGTACCGACCAACCGACCGACCTGGTGCCTGCGTGCCAGGGTACCTACAGTAGGTAGGTAGGTAGGTAGGTAGGTAGGTAGGTAGGTAGACTGCTTGCACGCCGTCGGGCGTGCGAGATTGTACTGTCGCGACCAACCGACCGACCTGGTGCCTGCGTGGCAGGCGGCCTACACTCGGTAGGTATGTAGGTAGGTAGGTAGGTAGGTAGGTAGGTAGGTAGGTAGGTAGGTAGGTAGGTAGGTAGGTAGGTAGGTAGGTAGGTAGGTAGGTAGGTAGGTAGGTAGGTAGGCAGGTAACCTAGGATTCGTTCGGCATGCACTCACTACATTACTACTGCTACTGTAAGTAAGGTATAGACGGTATTACATGTATGGACGTTGGATAGCCTGGTGTTGAACTGCGTACTCCGAATCCGTGCTCCGTACCTATGCAACACTGTAAGATGTGGGTATATATGTATGGTATGAATAGTCTCATTTACCAGGTGATTTGGTACAAGTAGCTGGATCCCTCATGTCGTGTTGTCCTCATTAGAATCCCCAATTCGCACACTTTCGTCGTCATAAATTGATCGTAACAATTTGAACTAGATGGGCAGAGGCGTTCAATCCCATAATGACTGTCCCCGGCCAGGACCGCCACGCAGACCCAATCTCTGTAGCCATCCTGTCACACCGGTAGCCTCACCACCCCGAGTCCTCCTCCTGTCCCAGCCACGTCCTCCCGCGGCCTGTGTCGAGCCCGGACTCGGACTCGCGAGCATATATTCCCAGCTCACCTCTCCATTTACATACAGGGTATACTTCAGCACGCTCCTTTGCCCTGTATTCCCCGCATCACCAGCCAGGTTGCGGATTTCAACCACGCCGATCTTGCTGTTTCCGTCGGGAATGTATTTGATGGCGACGTCTTGGTCGTCAACCTGGCGGAATGTCCGGAATGGGAGATAGAACATCGATAACGGCCCAACGGAGAACTCGTGAGGACCGGAGGCGGGGGTGGTGTCATACACGACAGGTTTCGCGATCGGTTCAGCTGCACCTGCATCGGACGTGTCGATTATATTCCCCCCCTGACCTGGTTCCTGCGAGAGGACGGGCGGTGGGTATCTTATCGCAGCAAATTCGTGCCGATCTCCAGAAAGAATCACCACTCTAACGCCGAGTTCGCGTTCAGCATCGTGCATGGCCTGCAGAATTATTGAGCGTTCCCTGAGAAATCCACCCCAGGTGTCGGATGTGCCAAATCGCCAATTCTTCGTGAACGGGACACTGGTGGCGATGATCTTCCAGTGGACGTGTGGGGGCTCGGGTGCGGAGAGATATGCGAGGAGCGAGTCAAGTTGTTGGGCACCGAGCATTGAGTGTGTTTTGGGCGTGGAAGGTGGATGGGAGTATTCCAAAGACGAACCGTACAGGGGCTTTCCTGAACCCGCGGATGCTGAGCTGGTCGATTGCGGTTCGGGGTCAGTCCGGTATCGCCGCGTATCGAGCATGAAGAATGATGCAGGACCGTTGGAGAATTCAAAGTAGGTGGTATTTGTTTCCGGCCCGCTCGGAGAGCCCGGTGGAACTGGCGGGTTCACTGAGACGTGATAATGGATGAAGGGGTCCGAAGCAGCTGGAAACGGATCAGTGTCGTTTCCACCAGACCAGTCATTGGCAATCTCGTGGTCGTCAAGCGTGTGGATCCAGGGCAGAGAGTCAAGACCGGGCAATGACCACGACGGGGAAGCGTAGACGCGTCGATATTCCGACCGATAATGTGCAAGGGACGATGACAGACGGAGGGGCACGTCGACGTAGATGAAGTCTCCGAGGAACAGCATAAATGAGGCCGGCGATGGTAGCGAACGGACAAGTTTGGACAAGTATTCAAAGCCGTGGATCGCAAGAGAATGGGCCGTTGGCCTGTACGGAAAGTTGGCCTTGATACAGGAAGACGTCAGGAACGTCAGGGAATTGGCGGCCTCCGAGTACGGTGATGGAGCGGTAACAAAGGTACCGGATTTGTCATTCGACAAGGAGTAGATATATTTTCTCGAGGGCTGGAGACCGCCAAAGCTGAGTGCGTAGGTGTAGTCGGTGTCCGGTCCCAGGTAGTAGATCGTGTCCGTGGTGGTCCAGCTGGTCTTGTCCGCCGGGGACAGGTAGACGTACATCGGAAGCTGAGCCGGATCAGGTTCTCGAATCAAGACCTTCGCAGAGGTCGAGTCGACGTAGCCAACACGAGTGAAACTCAGATCTTTGGCCGGATGGAGAAGCGGCCCTCGAAAGACCAAATCAACCGTGAACAAGGCTAGCAGGACGTTCACTCCAATAGTTGTGTAGCTCAATCTTCGTTTACGCCAATTGGGGATTCCAAAGATCAAGGTCTTGAACAATGACTTCTCCTCCTCATATAAGATGGGTTCTTCATTGCTTTCATTCGTCCAATCTTGTGCCTTTGGCTGGTCATGGCCATCAGGACGCTGGAGGGCATTGGACGGTGCTTCATACTCGACAGGTCTGCTCGAACCGAAAGCTTCAGACTGGCTAAAGACGAAGGCCAGATAAATAGCCACGGCAGACAGGATGACCGGAGGGAAATGGTGACCAGGGATCTGGGAACGACGTTAGTTGAGGTTTCTGTATTTCGTAGCAGATGCTCTGTTCTGGATGCTCATACCCATCTCAAGAAAGCGTAGGCGGCGAGCCTCGCTATGGACGAGCTTGTCCCAGCTATGATCTCTGCCGGCGACGGCATGTTGATGCTCGGATTGAAGAGAAGATACACTCACTGCCTCAGCAGCGAGGAGTTGGACATGAATCACATCGTTGCCAAAAAGTTGGCTGTGGCAGACAGACGCACAGCCAAACCACGGACGCATTTCCAGTTCGTTTCTCACCGATGACGCCATCACCGAAAAAATGGCTGTCTGACAAAAATAAAATACTTAAGAGATACAGGGAGTGTCAGCCTTCTCATTACTGCAGCTTCTGGCGGTTCAATCTCCTCTATCTACGAGGCACACCGACTGTCAATTGTGTTGCGTTGTGTCTCTGGATTGACGAGCCCCTTAGAGCATGGAAAATAGCCTAAATCACCACTCGAGGCCGTCTCAAAAGGCCAATTCGAGTGACTGATCATACCGGACCAGATATTGTTCACCAACCGGAAGGCCAGTGCAGCGACACCTTCTCCACTGCCCCTGCAAGGCCGAAAGATGGATAGATAAATTGATCATATCCTTTCTCCTCGAGCCTCACCGTGGCGGTCTCACAGAATGTCCCAGAGACATCCTCCGAAGCTGTACCACCAAGGCCGCATCCCGCACCTTCTTCATGCCCATGCACAAGGCCATACAGTACGCCCACATCCAACAGTTCTCGCCTTCCTGGGGCAAGGCGTCCCAGTACTCCCATCCCATCACGCCTCCAAAGTCCGGATACCTCTCGATCAGCAAGCTCAACACCGCCGCCGACAACTCCAGCGGCACGTATCCGCTCCCACCGTGTTTGGGGTTTGTCAACATGCCTGCCACCACCTTCGCTGCCGGCCAGCCATTGCGCATGATCTCATCGTAGGCCGCCGTGTTGTGCAGCCCACCCCATCCGTTGTAAAACTGTGCGTTGTACCAGGCGATGCTGGACCCACGCATGGCCTCGAGCATGCGGTAATCAAACCCGGACAAGTGCGGCCGGCCAGCCATGAGAGCGGTGGCCACGGGAGCGAGTGTGATGATGAACTCTGGCCCAAAGTCCGCCTTCAGACGATCGATCAGATGCACGATCCCAGGAAGGGACATTTCTTCCTCCACGTCAAGATCAATTCCGTCGAGGTTGTACCGTCTGATCATGTCCCGGAGCGGGATATAGTAGCTCTCAAACCGTGCGACAGGCACGTCGGTCCTCGACTCGGAGTAATCTAGCCTGGCAAAGGAGCCTCGCGCGGCGCCTCCCAGCATGCCCAAGACTTTGATCCCTGAATCTTGGAGGACCACGACTTCGTCCCAAAGCTGGGTGTACTTTTCGTGGTCCGGCGGGTCGTCATTGAGCGTCAGGTTCTGCGGGTCCCAGTTGACATGGATAGCTGCCAATATCACATGCGTGATTCCTGAGGGGTTGGTGAGGAGCGGTAGCAATGAGACGTATTCACCCCCGTGATGGTAGGTCTGGAAGTAGCACACTATCCGAGGTTTCCATGCGGCGACGGGTACTGCTGGCAACGGAGGCATGGCTCCATCCGGAGATGCTCTTCGCTGGTCAAATAGAGAGAAACGGGAGAAGAGTCGAATTGCAGCTTGTGTTCCACAATGAGGTGGGGCGGACTAACGAGGCCGAATCGGGAACCCGAACAATGATGCCAAGATAACTGGCAGGTGCATCTGGAGAAAGCGAGGAAAGATATCGAACTGAAAATGAGATGGTTCGTCTGGGTCAGAGTCAGAGACAGCACTTGCTATCATTGTATAACCGACAGGACAACGTTTCAGAGCAGACTACCGAGGAGAGGGACCGTCTTCATGACAAATGCACCACTGTCCGAGGACATGTTGAAAAAGGAAACAGGAATTCATTGGTTTTTCTCTATCCGAATCCATGCTAATCTCGTTCCCCGGCGTATTTCAACTTTCAGGCTTCTTCTCATCGTACATTGAGCGGCAGGGGTGTCGCTCTGATGCTGCCCATTGCATTTCCCGGAGAAAGATCAGGGGGTCCAGACCCCTCTCTTCCTGCTGCTTGCCTCGTTCCCATTTCTGTTGCAGTCGCTAGTTTCAATACTCTCAAACCACTGAATGGTGGGATCCTCCCGGGTGCCGCCAGGGTGCCGCGGGCTTCGCCCATCATGATCATCTCGTTCTGCTGTTGCCTCTGCTGCAAAAGTCGTTCATTACCACCTTCTGGAGGAGCTCCTTGGGGAAGAATTGGCATAGTCGATGTCTTGGGGCTTTGCCAGAACTGGGACTGAGCCAGTGCACCGCTGGACGTGGCCTCAGCCTCGAGCACACTATTGTTTTGGGCCGACGCGTTAGATAGCTGACGTCGCATGAGTTTGGTATGCAGGTTTGTAACAGGCCCTTCCAAGGTCCTGGCTGAGGTAACCACAGACCCGTCATGCCTCAAGCTATTCTCGGAATCACTTCTGCTCCGAGACTGAGATCGACTTCGACTTGTCAAGTTCGACAAAAAAGGTCGAGGGGGTGGCCTAGCAGCATTTTGAGGGGCATCCGGCGCTCGGAGGACCGGCCTCCCTATGAATGATGCATGGCTTTGGGCACTGGGTGCGGGATTATGTGGAAGTCCATTAACGCTAGAAATGGACCCGTTCGTTGGTCTCCGCACGAGTCGTGGCTTATGGTCTGCTAGAGGATTGTTCAAGGTCCTTGATCCAGGTTTCACGGTTGTCGTTCGGGGAAGAGGCCAGTTGCTGATATAGGATGATTGTGAACCTCCGCGTTGATGTTCTGCGGGTCCCGGACGCCCTTCGTCATGTTCCTCCAGAGACGGCACTGATGGTAACCGTTTACTGTTGGTGCCGTACGCTGCCACAATGTTTGCAAAACTCAGGTCCGACGGTAATTGACTCAACCGCTTGATGGAATGCATATTCGAATCCATAAAGGTCGAGATCGATTGAAGTGCATTGCGCGACTCATGGATCTCGTAAGATGACGGAGTATCGAGGCGATGGGCAGCCCTGGCGGTGTGTGAATCGGCCAGACGAACTGGACGAGTGGAGACCGTGTTCGGACTTCGATTTGAATCTCTTCCAACATGTGGCTGACCGGCGTCGATTGCTTGCTGAGCCTGTGAGACAACCTGGGCAAACACGATATCCTGGTCCGCGTATCGCGTGGAGCGGAATGGCTTTGTCGCATGGCTCGCACCGCTAAATGCTGAAGCTTGAGCCAGGATGAAGAACGATCCATCATGTATCTTCCTTTTTAGCACATTCCACCTCGTCCTCGCGGGATTCTTCTCCAATTCCGGGTGATAGATGGATTCTCTTGACAGCCTCGAGTAAAATGTGCCGAGGCGTTCAGCAACACGCTCCAGGACCGAGAGTAGGTATGTGCTAAGACTGACCAATTTGTGTTTATCTGTACCAGACTCGATGCACTCGATGACATCAAAGGCGTCCATACCCATGCAAACATCCTCACGAATTTCTTCCAGAAACCGGACATCCAATTCGGTCACTGCACGGGCGTACTGCAGGATCCCGTTTTCTTGGAATTGGGCTTGCTGGTTATTACAGACAAATGAACCGATTTGCGCGATTTCTTTGGCGGCAGTAGCCGCGGGAGCAGAGGCTTGCGCTCGGGTGATGACGCCAATGACATCCGGCACTCGAGTCTCGGGCGTGCCAGAATTGACCAGCGCGAATGTGAGCTTGAGATGCAGCTCCTGAAGCTTTGCGCCAAACAAGGTTGAAAATCCATTCTGCATTAACCTCGACTGAAACTGATAGAATTTCCTCACCCCGCCCATGTTGAAGAGGTCACCTTGAAACCAGGTCCGGGCATCCTGCTGAATGTAGTTGACCTCGAAGTGCAACGTGGTCAGAGCTTCCACACAACTGCGTAGGTATTCATACCAGAGATCGTAGATACCGCTGATCTCAGTAGAGCGGAAGTCCGGCTTTGCTGCAAGATGGCCGATGAAATATTTCGACAGTAGACTCATAACTTCGGGGTTTGTGGTGTGAGCCACGTCATCAAAAGTCTTTGAGGCATCCAGTCCAGCACTCGCTTGAGCGATCAAGGTGCCACCAGGGTGAATGGGAAGGAAGTCGGTAATGTCGTAAACGCCACCATGAACACCAATGTACATCCTAGATCCTTTACGATGACCAGTGTTCAGTGCCAACTTCGATAGAGGAATGCGTGGAGTGGCGTAACTGATTGGACGCGGTGTCATGAAAATGTCCAGCATGAAGCGTCTTTCCGCGAATGCTTTAGCCAGCAAGCTGTCCGCCGACTCTTTGGTTGACGCCCAATTCTGGTAGATGGCCTGGCGAATCCCTGTTATGATTGTCTCATACATCGCCACGGATCCGCAGATATACAGATGTCCTCCAAGTCCTCCTTGGCTCTTTGAGATGACAAGATCGCAGACCGTCCGCCCTTGTTCGATGATCGTGGCGTCGAGATACCGAGGACTCATCTGCTTCTCGACAAGATCGCGAGACACTGGATCATAAATGAGACCGTTCCTGTCCCTTGAAAATGCAGTATGAAGTTCAAGCTGGCCGTTTTGTACATATTCTCGGAGCTCGTGCTCGTAAGAGAATCGCTCCCGCGACTGTACGCCGAGAAAGAGAATGTTCCTACCGACGCATGTTTGAGCTCTTGCTTGCCAGAATCCTCTGAAAGGGGCAATTCCTGAGCCACCTGCAAACATCGCGATTGGGCCGGTCATAGTACTTGGGAGTTGGAAATTGATGGGCCTAGAAATTCCGATCAGGTACTCTTCGTCATCGAACATCTCTCCAGAGGAAGAGGGATCTGGGTTAAGACATCCGCTGCTCACCCCACAGCGCCGATTGCCGGGGTTGGTGGACTGGAGGATGGGTGCCAACGGGGACTCGGTGCGGGCAACCGTCAGGTCGACAGTGCTCGGAAGTAGCTCATTTGAATAATTCGAAATGCTGTAAGTTCGCGGAACCTCAATTGGGATCAATTTTGGAAGCCACGAAAGATCGGAGAGATTGAATGCTCGGTCCCATATCGTCGAGGGAACTTCTGCGAGTGCGACTTGAAGTAGGTCTCCAATGGAACCCTCGACTGGCCACATCTCTGATCCGAGAACTTTCAACACGCTTGATGATGAGGCTCGAAGTGCCATGTGAAAGGCCATAACCATTTCCTTTGTAAGAGGCGCCAAGTGTCCTCGTCGTAGAATGTCGTGCACCGTCAGAGAGGGTTCGCCGCCGGTTCGACTGACCGATTTCAGATGCCGGGCAAAGCGAATCCAATCTGAATTTTGTGAAAGTGGGAGTGCCTTGTGAAGGAGTTCATCCAGACCTAGCGCAGCAGTGATCTTCCCCATCTCCGTCCAGCTGTTGACTGGCATAATCGCAAGTCGATCTCCGGGTTGGAAGGTGATGCCGGTGCCTTCGAGCCCAAAAGTTACCATGGCCGTGGACCGCAGAGGGTCCGTGTCCACGAAGGAGCGGGACAGAATTCTTGCTTTGAATCTGCATTCTTCGAACGACCCTCGCAGTTCATGGGGTTGGAGGGTGACTTTACCTCGGAAAGGTTCCAATCGCTCTCTCATGGATTCAGAGAGAGTTTTGTGCACCTCTTCCCATGGCCTTCCTACGTTGTCGGACGACCCGGCATTGCCGTTCGTCTCACTTCGTCCAGTTTTGGCGACAACTTCCAAGAAGCCATAGACTTTATCTGTATCAAAATGGTCAGGTAGCAGTTACATTGTTAGACAGGGGTGACTAACAGCGATGTGTCCCGAACCAGCCGCGCTCCGATAGATACGCTTCAAGAATGCCTTCCATCACACCCATCAGACGTGGGTCGCCAGACTTTTTCACAAAGGCAGGAACCTGATAGTGATACTCGATAGCGGCAATGAACGCTCGAATATTCATTGGCAACCAGGCTCTGAGATGCAGGGCTTCTCGTCCCAGAAAGCTGTCGTATTTGCTTCTACCAATAAATGCATCCATCAAAAGGAATACTGGTAATGCAAGTCCGGACAGTGCGGGAACGCGTTTGGAAAGAGGAGCGCTGAATTTCGCATATCTCTGACCCCACTAGAATGCAGTCAGTACTGGTCTCTTTGATCAAAAGTAAAAGGGTGAATTACCTCGACTGGATTAGCAAAATTTTCGCCCGAGTTGGGATTAACGCTGATCTTCTGAAACACGTGGACGAACCTGTCCACTATCGCTTTCAATTTGATGAGCTCCCGAAGGAGTCCTTCTTTGTCCTTCAGCATGACTCGCTCCTGACATCTTGTGATCACCTCAACGCCTTGAGTGAAGCATCCATGCGTCTCGGCCATGCACAGGAGGAACATCGCCTCGCCGCGATCATTGAAAACAGGCCACCGCAGGTCCATGTTTTCGCATCTTGCAACATAGGGATTGATGCTGGTAGGATCTCGGAGCTTGTAGTTGTATACGGAAACATCGTACTGTGTCAAGTGAGGCAAAATTCTGCCCATCCTCGTGCATATCTGACGGAGAGGAATAGCGATATTCCTGGGAATGCCTTTCGTCTCCTCTTCTTCATCATCTGCTTCGCCTGACAAGTTTCGAAAGGTTCCGGGCGGTGCAGTTATGCTGATCCCCTCGTGCCCATCGTTGCGTTCTTCATACCTGTAGACGCTAGCAAGTATACCAAGGCAGACAACCGCAGCCCAGAGGGCTTGATCAGGTATGACATCTTCTGTGCCGTAGACGAGGGGTAAAGCCAGGATTGATTCGCGCATCTTGCCCCGCGCTACCACTGCCGGCATCCTTTCGCAGAGATCTGACCATATTCTTCCAGGTGACATCGAGAGTGCGGCAGGCGCGGCTGAAGCGTCTGGAGGGCAGAAGCCGTGCGTGCTTGTCAGGTAACCGTCCCTCCATCCAGTCAAGGGTCCCAATTCTTGAGCACGCCTGAGGACTTGCCGGGCAGGAGCGCCGAGGGCGGATGCGAGAACGTCAAGATCTGGGGGATTCAGGTGGTCTGCATTTGCAAGACCATTTGTGGTGCTTGTCGGTGGTGCCTCAGGAAGAAGCAGTTCTGTAATAGTTTTTCTTTCTTGAGAAACGAGGTCCTCTATCGACTGGCCGTCTGCGGGGATTCCTTGAGGTGTGTAATGTGACTGTGTGGACAATTGATAAGCTGCAAAAGCGCAGCCTCGTGGACCGACTCGTTGAGTACCAGCTGGACATGACGAGCCTGATCCTCCTCTATGACCGCTGATGGGACATGACCTCTCCGACATTCCGGATGTCGCTAAACGGCAAGAGCGTTCTTCGCTCAAAGAAAGCAGGACAAGGGTGAATAAAATGAGAGCTAATTGCGGAAAATGCAAACACAAGATACAAGTTCGATCACGGTGAAAACACGAGGGTGACCAGCACCTGATTGAAGATGTACGGCTGTACCTAATACAAAGAAAAAGAATCGAAGTGGGCTTTTGTGTTATTTAAGTCTGCCACGGAAGGACAACGGGACCTCAAGACATGAGAACATACCTATATAGTAGAAGCGTTCTGAGCACAATCACGAGAGGCAAGAAACCTGGGCGCAAAGTATGGAGAGGCCCCTGCCAATCGTTACGTGATGAAATCCACGAGTGGACTTCTGCTCGCTCCATTGCTGGTCTTAGCAGACGTCTTGGATATTTTCAGCATGACATTGTGGATAAATGGATGCCCAGCCCTTCGTGCACGACGATCTCTGACACAAGGCTGCGGCCAAGATGTCTTGTGGCTGACGGTACAGGCCTTGTCACCCGTGACAGCATATGCTTGTGTCAGGGGTTAGCGCTTTCCGGTACGCAAGGATTGAAACATGGTAGATATTGATGGCCTTATTGGGCAGGATGGTACCATGGTCTCCGGGGTCCCGAAAAGTGCGCATGCCGCCCAGAGTCCACCGATGCAGAGTCGAGGGATAACCGGCGTCTGGGTTACCTGTTGATAGCCACTGAACATGGTTGCGTCGGTGCCAGGGTCCAGCAATGGAGCGGCCAAGAAGGCTTGACGGGTTGACAGTGTTTGAGGATACCTTCAACCCCTGACCCCATGCTTGGCAGGCTCGAACGCTCAAGTCAGTGAGTAGATGGAGGCTGCCGGTACAGCTGAAGGGAGGAATCATGAAGCTGATTGCTTGTCAACATGGATGCAAAGGGAGTGGCAGTGGGAGTCGCCAGGGAGCAACCTGGCATCACGTAAAACGCCAAAAGAGCCCCATCGGCGCTTGTATACTCCGCCGTATCTGGATGCGCTGGTCTACAACGGTGAAGCAGAAAGCAAAAATACTGCAGACGCAGTTGCAACATCCAAAAAAGCAACTTGTATCACTTGTATATTCATTTCATTTCTTCTGTGCCGACTGCGATTAGAAACCCAGTAGTGAAGCTGACGAGCAATGAACTACATCTAACGCGCTTTGCCTCACCACTTCTGCACATCTCCCTGGTGTGGCGTAAAAGACAGGTTCCTTAGGTTTTATGGAAATCACACCCCTACCCGTCCGCTCACTCCCACCAGATCTGATATCCACTATTCACAGCTCTGACAGATCTTTTATTTATCTTCTTCAATGCAGGCGAGGCTGTTCTCCTAACAAGGCTGCAAGGCTTGGTATCCCCGCCCACTCCCCGCGCTGTGCTCGCCGGGGTATGTATGCGGAGAACCGAGGTGCGAGGTATTGTAGCACGGGTAACTCGTTGAGGTTGAAGCCTCTACAGTTCACATCTGTGCTCAAGACAAGTACATGTATGTTTGCCCGTCATGAGGGGAGTAGCATACTCCCAACCGCAACCAAATTCACGATTAGTTGTCCCATTTTCTGAACCAACATGGCTCCCTTTGTTGATGCCCTGAGAACCCGGGGCCCCTTTTTGGGCACCTTTGTCACGCTGACCTCGACATTATCCGCTGCCATCGTTGGTGCCTCGGGGTATGACTGCGTGATCATTGACATGGAGCATGTTCCGACCTCTGCTTTGGAAGCCACACATGTTGTCCACACGCTGGGTAACGCGTCCAAGGGCACCTGTCTGCCTCTCGTCCGGGTGCCGTCCCACGGGGTAGAATGGATCAAATGGGGACTTGACAGCGGCGCCGCCGGCATCGTTATCCCCATGGTCAACACGGTCGAAGAGGCCCGTCAAATTGTCCAAAAGGCTCGCTATCCGCCACTGGGCCAGCGAAGTTATGGTCCATCTTATGCACCCTTTGCGGACCCGGCATCCGATCGATCAGCAGGTCAATATTTTAACAATACTGCCCCAGGTGTAGCAGTCTTGCCTATGATCGAGTCTGCAACCGGGGTTGAGAACGCCGATGCCATACTGGCGACGGAAGGTGTCAGTGGCGCGTTTGTTGGACCTTTCGATCTGCGATGTTCGCTAGGTCTCCCGGGTGGTGATGGCAAAGAGGACCGTTTCCTTGATGCACTGAAACGGATCGTTGCAGCGGGAAAGAAGGTCGGTAAGCCTGTTGGTATTTATACAGGTTCCAAGGAACAGATGGAGCGCAACTTGAGCTTGGGCTTTGAGTATATTCTTTACCAAGGTGACTCGTCCCTCCTTGCTGCTGCAGCCAAGGCTTCGGTTGAGGAAGGAAGAGCAGTCATTAAGCAGGCAAAGTCTTCGTGAGGTCGATAATGCCAGATCGGATGACTGCCGTCAGCTGATAGATATGACGTTCATCACATTTTGTGAGAATTTAAGCCAAGCACGCAATAGGAAGAGGACGGCGCCATGCGACTCCGAACCAAGCGTTGTATATTGCCTCTACAGGGCCTACCAAGGACATGCCCGGGCTTGAACTTGATAAGAGAGCCACGACAATAACAAAAGAAGTGATGACTGACGTGAATGGTTTTGATCGTTACTTGAACACGGACTGTAGGGAAATCGAAATCCCTCTCCTGCCCACCGCACCCGGGGCGGCTGTTAGATTCAGCAACCTAGCATCTGCCAATGAAAGAAGAGGTTTGGGTCAAATTGCCAAGGCTTCATCAGGAAAAGGTGAGAGGTTAAACGCTCGGATGCAAAGAGGTTTCTGCTTCAAGGTGATGGATGTGGTCCAATCGATGGCTGGGCTTTTGCCAGCAGTTGATGGATCCGGCTGCCAGAACTGAGTAGTATCTCCCATTTTGCATCAGAAGTCACAAAGAGACATTAAGAAGATCCTGTGGTTCTTCAAAGTGATGCTAGAGAGTGTGTTCGGAATGCCGTTTGTGGAAGCTTAGCCGATCCGAGTGTGGAAAGCGACAACAATGAAACTCCATGCAACGACTGCAAACTCCTAAACGAACACAACGCGATCCGACAATAATGCTAAGCTAACACTTCAGCAGGTGAGTTATTTGTTCTCGTCTGCGCTCCGGTAAGTACCAGAAAATTCTCCACGCCTGAATAGAACCTGCTAATCCCTTTATCCAGCTGATTTGCCCATCATGTCGACGACCGCGACATCCCTCGTTCCCTCTCCTTCTTTGAGGTCTAGCTACAATCCTGCCCTTCAGAACGCCCAAAGGGCCGTGTCTCAAGTCACAACTGCCGTCACAAGTGCCCCTAGCCATGTCTCTGGAAAAGCGCAGAATCTCAACCTGTCGCTTTCAAAGTCTTCGCCCAAACCTGTCGACATCCCAACTCCTCCGTCTACTCCTGGAAAGTTTAGACACCCAATGACAACAGAGATATTGAAGAGGAATGCTGCTACAGCACTTACGGATAGAAGTGTCAAGGGTGCCGTGACCAATGCCGCTGCGCTACTATCCACATTCATATTCAGTGATGTCTACTACAGCAGGTATGCATGAGCTCGGGGGTTCCAAATTGCGATAATTGACCTGTGATCAGTGTTCCTCCTCTGCTCAAGTCCAGCGGTATTGCCGACCCCTCTCAGATTACCTGGGCCGCCCTTTTCACCGTCCGCCTTCTCTTCTGCTTGAACATAATCCTTCTCCTCCGACCTGTCATGCCCTACATATCCAAGAAGGACCAAATCACAGATATCCCGTTGACTCCCTCTCAACGGTCCCTCTTGGGCCTCCATCCGTCCCTTCACACAACGCAAAGTCCGGCTGGCTCAGCTGCTAGTTATATCACTCCTCCGCGCTACCGGCGCCTTTCTGGCTCCTTTGGCGGCAGTCCCGCAATGGGCTCTCCGGTCGGTTATGGTTCTGCTTCCACCGACCGTCGCAGCATTTCAGCCAACTACTCCTCATCCCCTCTATCTACATCCCGCTACACTGTCGGCTTCTCACCCACCCCTTCACAATCCTTACGCCGTACGGTCTCTGGTTCACCATTTTCACCATCTCCGACTGCGAGCCCACTTTTCCACAAAGCTGTGAGCCAGAACCAGTCCTCGCAAATCCCAGATAACGAGTTTGCCACCAGCTCTCGTTCTTCGTTTGGAGCAATCGGTGGCGGTAACACGGGCCTCAGTCGATCACAGAGCATGCGTGAAAGGAGACCAACACGCGAGAGCCTCGAGCCGAATTCTCCGTCTCCCACGAGACCCTCACAGCCCGTTCCAGGATTGAATTATAAATGGTTGTATGACAAGGGTAGGAAATTGCCGAAGAGCGACTCTTTTGGCACATTCTGAGGTTGAGAGAGCGCGGTGTTGGTTATGCGGCGATCCAGTTCCGGGCAGAGTTCCACCTTCCGAAGGTGGTAGTTTCTTCAGAGAAGTTGGGTTTCCTGTTTGGAGCTTGGGCGTTTACTCAGAGCAGCGAATATCTTCCGTTGCATTTTGTGCGCATTTGAAGGAACTTACAAACATTGAGTGACTGCTTCTTGACAGGAGGTCCATGTACAGAGTTACCGCGACGGACCCTTTGAGCGACGAGCAACACGAAATGGCATATCTAACGGATCCATACTTCTCTTTCCTCTTCCTATTTTGCGACACTCGTGTATTCGCACATTCCCATCATGTCTTGTCTTTCCCACTCCCACAGAGTCAAACAGAAGTAATGCATGCGAGCTGGGCGCGCCGAAGGACTCTCGATTTCTCCAATAATTGAATTGACGCATGAATCCTTGAGAGTTCGTCGTGGATCGGTCGTTGCAATGGACTGTATATATTTACCTCAGCCACAACGACGACGACAGCAGTGTGTGCACTCGACCTTGTAAAAAAGAAGCTTTTGCGCGCACGAATCTACGAATCTATTCCACGCTTCGTGCGCCAGACGCCGTACGTACTCACTCGGTCGGAACTTGATTGAGAACAAAAATCTAAGAATAGCCAGGCAGGGAGGGCAGGGAGGGCAGGGAGAGGAGGGCTTTGGAAGGAAATTTCATCGAGATGGATACGTAAAGAGGAAGAACGCGTACGCTCAAGGAAATCAGCTTTCTAAGAACGCCACAACAATCGTGAACGGCATGTCCGGTCTTCTTCTCCTTCCTCTCCTTCTTCTTGTTGTTGTTGTTGTTGTTGTTGTTGTTCTCTCCGCGCCGCCTCATACCAATGCAACGCGCCCAGTCTTTCACGCTCCAATTGGAGCATAGCCAATCCGTAACGAGATCAGACTTCTCTCGTGGTGCCTCTTCCCTGGACAGCATCCTCCGTAACATTGCTAGAACTGACACTTCTCACTCCACTTCCGACTCTGGATACCAGACCGCCAAGATTCAAGCCCTGAACGCCCTGCACAATCCTGCTACCCACAGCATCAACTGCTCCTCTCGGTTGGCTTAAGCTTGGACCTTCTCTTCTCCCTTCGGTTGCAACCTGAAACAGCTTGACATTCGTCCCGTTCCAAACACCCACCGGCCCGGCCATGACTCCGCTCCCTGTCAATGTTGCAGCAGTGCTGGAGGCAGGTGCGATGGTCATTTCCGCGGTGAATATCAAGGACCAAAGTACGGACATGTACCAACCAAGGGAGAGCGGTGACCATTCAAAAAGGTGGACCCGTATTGGACTTGGAGAAGCCAGAATTGCGGCTATGGCAGGGTGTGAGGCTGTGGAGGGAATTTGAGCGCGGAAGTCTGTTGGGCTTGCAGTAGGGGAGTTTATCGTGGCGGACTCTTCGCCTCCAGTGAGTGACGAGCGGCGCGAGGAAGCAACCGAGGGAGGGTTGGTGTTATCACCATGAGTGGCGCCGGCATTGCTAACTCGTGGTGATGCTAGAGGATGCGTGGAGAGGACTTTGATCACAGTAAGCAGAGTATGAAGGGGCAGATCGGGGAGCCAGCTCCCTAGCCATTCTGCGGTGGCCGTAAATGAGCCACGGCCTGCGGCATATGTCGATGGAGCTGAAAGACTTATCGTGCTATTTTGTCGAGAGAATGTCGGAGCATTTGCGGGCATCTTGCCCCTGGCCTTTTCTGACATCCCCGATAGTTGAACGGGAACGTGGTCTTCGGGAACGGATGACGAGGCTATCGACGGGGTCCGAGAGGCTTGCACGGAGTGTGTCGACTGAGAAGGAGTTGGTGGCTCTTCGTTGTCCGAGTCATCTGAATCTCCGATGGCGAATGTTCCATCCACTACACTTTCCGGGTTCGGGGACATTCCACTGTGGGCTGCTGGCGAAGTCAAGTTTTCCGTGGTTGATGATCTGGAAATACTGTTTGCGGTATCGTTCAGAGCACTCTCCTTACGACGTTGAGCAGCTCGTTCAATTTCTGCTTGACCGCCCTCCAGCGTGAATTGTCTTAGGCCCTCGATACGTTTCCTCGATCGCCAGACAGCATATATCAAGTTGGCATTGGAGGCATACTGGTGCTCTATCATGCTGGTGATAGACTCCAGCAGCGCTCGAAGAAGGACGTGATTACTCTCATTCGCAAGAAGGAAGCTTGGGGTGGACATCGATACGAGGAGCTGGACCAGTCGAGTGCTTGAGGCCAAAGACAGGTGCTGCACATAGGCTGCCATATTATTAATGATGGCCAGCAAAGCAGGATAGATGGCTTCGAGCTTGCCCTTGCTCCCTGTGATCAAAGTGTGGATTGATGTGATTAAGAAATCCGCATAGGTGCCTTTGAAGTTTGTCAAACGAATGGATGGAGGCAAGGTGTCCTGTGCTTCAAACTTTTTGTTGAGGTTGTTTCCAAAGGTGGATTCGACGCTCATAGTTTGGAGGACGAAGACGCACATTCTCACAATACCTTGTTTCGACACGTCGGTCTTGTATTCGATGGCATAGAATAGCATAAGGATGACGAAATCGTGCGCGCGGTTGGACTCTATAATGAAAGCCCGGAATCTTTTGTTGCACTGGAGTACTTCCCAGAAGAGCATTATCATTTCAGGGGCCCATTTGACCGACTTCTGGCTTCCAGGGAGGTATGAGGTAGTAGCTTGCATTGGCTGGCTTAAGACTCGGGTCATGCCATCGGCAAGGAATTGGAAATCTTCTGGTCTGTGTAGTCGACCAAGATAATGACGGTAGAAGTTCTTCGGCGCCGTACCGTTTCCGCTTTCGGGGACCGGGTACAGAAGAAGGACGAGGAGGATTTGTAAGCTGTAGACGACAAGAGTCTGCTTAGAATCTCGGCGAACCACATGGTCGTACGGGAGACGCCATGAACCAAGATTGGATTTGATCGTGGTATTGATCAAAGAACACAGCATGGAGAGAACAATCTGCTTGTCTGGACAGGTGGCTAGGTACGTGATAGCCCTGACACCTTGAACTGGAAGAATATTGGAATGTGTGTACATCGCCTTGCTGGACAGGGTAAGAAGAAGCCTGAGGACCTCGCATCGATTGCTTTCGAGTTCTTTGTTCGTGGGGATTGAGGATTTGCAACCCACGCCGCTCTGCCAGATCGCATACGTAACCTTGCTCTTCGCCTGTGGCAGTTCGGGTATTGTGAAACCGGCATAGAAGAGGAGATCGGTCAAAGTGTCTATGAGTTCTTCTGCAAGTGGTTTCACATCCTCGAACTCTTGCTCACGATTGTCTGTAGGAGTGGTCTCCTCGATCTGATTGTCATCGAATAGCACCTCGCCTGAGACTTGAGATCTTCTCGTTCGGCGCCGCCTCAATCCCCAGAAGAACTTCTCCTCCCATTCTGTCAAATCATCCGCCTCATATACGTATGGGAGGAGCCGGGTCAGGACTCGTATACAGTTGAGGGCATCCTTTTCCGGGGCAAGATCCGGATCTGGAAACGAGGGGTGGTTCCTCAATACGATTAGGCGCGACGTGACGGCCAGAATAAGGGTTTCAAGGTTCTCGAGCGCCGAGTCTCGGGTTCTGCGTATATCGGTATGCGAAAAGAGACTGAAGACATCCTCAACGGATTCAGGCAACTCCCAGAACTGCGACTATTAGCGCGATCCTTCACAATAACTATAGTGTAGCTCACATTTGTCCAGTACGGGTCATTGGCGGCAATGTTCCTTTCCTCGGAGAGTCTGAAGATGCCCTGCTTGAAGACCAATTTCGACTCTGACGCACCCATGGCTCAAAACGCACATCGCAGATAGGTTTAGAATTGACTTGTGCACGGGGCAGAAGAGTGACTCCTACAGCGGATTGGAAGATGTGGTCGTGTAACTCACCACATGGTGAAGTGAGGCACCAGAGACGCAGGGAAGTCGGCAAGTCGGAGTCTGAATGACGATGCGCCAAGCCAATTGTGGGTCGAGTAACATTACGCATGTCGCGAGGCTGGCGTGCCCCTGGAGGTATATACCCGTGGTACTGCTCCTGGAGTCGACTGATAATGTGTGAAACTCGTAGAAATCGCAAAGATCGGCATCAAGATAGGTTCTATGGTCGTATGGTCACTTGCAATTCAAGGAAGATATCTATTCATGTGAACATGCTACGGTCTAAACCGTGGCCTTTTCCAGCTGGGTCTCGCTACTGATCGCCTCCCCAGTGACATTATTTGTCTTTCGGACCTTCTTCTCCTTTCCATAGCTGGCAAGTGCTGGGAAGAAATAACCGGGATGGAGAAATGTCTGAATGATTGTGGCAGAGCCGACCTGTCTGGATCTTTCATTAGAGCCTTCCCAAAGTATGGATCATAGGACAATACTAACACACTGTCAAGTCCGATAAAGAGGCTTTGATCCTGCATGATCGGATTGCGCCAGCCATTCGCCATCTCAGCCACTCGATAGACGCATCGAATCAAGATGGCAAGGTACGCGACCAGTTGTGCCACCACGAAGATCCGGAACTTCGAATCGCTGATCAGAGACTGCGCAGATTCGGAAAGAGGCTGAGATTTCACCCGTCGAATCGAATAGTCTGCGACAGCCACAGCGAAGATGAGCAGAGTCAGGACCTGCCAAGAGATACCAGTAATCATGAGTCTATCCCCAACGTCTCGAAAATTCTCGTCGTCTCCGGCAGATCCTGCAATACCTCCACCCGCTGCTTGCAGAGTTAGGGCAAGAAAGTCGGCTGTAATGAAACCCCATGTGTAATATTTCGGTCTGATCCTTGACCATTCTCTGCCGAGCTGCAAGACTAGGTGCTTCAAAATCAGATAGATAGCAGCGGAGTTGAAAGCCGGGGCAAACGTGAGGCAACAGATCTGAATCTCGAAGCCGACGGAGTCGAATGGATTGCTGTGCATGAGACATCGACCAACATAGCCGATGCAGCTAGATATGCACGCAAGGGACATTGCAAGCGTGTAGGACCAGGTCCTATAGCGCCAGCCGAGGCCAAGATTGACAATGAAGCAAAGTCCGAAGAGGGCACAGAAAAAGGCGTTGGATGCCAGAATAGGATAGTACCCATAGATCGAAGCTTTGACGGGGCACTGTTCGGAGACTTCGTTGCAATCAAGGGGATTGACGTGAGCTGGGTTGACAGACATCATGAATGTTCTTCAGAGAAATCCAACAACAAAGTCTATGAATAGAAAGAGATTCCCTCCTTTTCCAGTGGAAAATTTTGTCTTGCAGCCTGGTACAAGGCAAGAGAAGAAGGTGCAATGACAGTATGGAAATGCGTAGGCGAAGCATACCAAACACAGTATTTAAATCTGTACTATGATGCCCACCAGGACCAAATACACCCAAATGGTGACGGGGCACAGGCCAGGCAGACACTTCGCGCAAAACACTTCTTTTGGGTATAACGCAGCCTTGGTATGCAGAAGCTGCCGAATCAACATCGAATTGAAAAATCATGAATCATCGGGGACATATAGCCAAACCGTAATACGAGATTGAGTTTGGTCGCGGGAGTCGGGCAGGCAGGTACAAGACATGCTCGGATGACAGTGACTGTTGTGTTAGCAGAGTTCGAACCACCATAAGGATCTCCAGAACCATCCTAGGATATGGCATGCCCGAGACTCAGGGGGACAAGTCTGGTTTGATATGAAGTGGAAAACTGACATGCTCTGCCAAGACGGAACATACCACGACAGACTATTCCCTTTACAGAACATTCCGCGAGGGTTTGGTAAGGCTGAGAACGAGTCTTACGGCCGAAGACTTCGCGATGACTTGAAGCCGTCTCAGATCGATATCGTGCATCGCTCTGAAAGATCGCAGCATCGAGATTGATCACTTTCAATATCATCGATGCGACAGGTGGTGACCATATGTGAGTGGACCGGATTGGATCAATGATGTTGCGGCCCGAGGTACCGACTGCGGCTCCGGGTCATCTGTCTCTTTCCTCCATGGGGCCATCAAGATGCTATTACAGTATTTCGAACGGTTCGATGCCCCTCAAGTTGCTGATAAATGGCAATGGTGGTGCTGTTCCTTATGCTGAGGTGATCCATCGGCAAACCCTCACCAGCCGTCTGATGCCGTCGAGTGACTCGAGTCGGCGCAGCAACGGCCTTAAGCATTGGGAGCTCTAAGTTGCCTCGGTCCCCGGCTGTGTTCGTGTCCCCCACAATTCTCTTCCCCGTGCGTCTCCTGCGCCCATGGTGTTTTGTGATCGCAACCACCTCGGGTCATTTACCATTTGATATATGAAGGACAATATGGTGTTCTGACTTGTACTCGCTCCCTCACTCTCCCTTGCACTCTGTTTTTCCTGTTCGGCTGTTGTATTGTGCACGAGTGTGACTAGACTGTCGAGTCCTCCATTCCCGCCGCGACTGCCTTATCGTGCGAATTTCAAAACACAAACAAAATGGTTTTCAACACCGAACTGACACGCCGACTCGGCATCAAGGGTACATTTTGAGTTGAGAGCTACTCATCGCGCGATTCTGGCTAACAATGGAAAAGTTCCCGTCGTCCAGGGTGGCATGCAGTGGGTGGGATACGCCGAATTAGCATCTGCTGTATCGAACGCAGGAGGTCTGGGTATCGTGAGTGGTACAGAAGCATTGCGACCTCTGCCAATGATGCTAATCAGACCTTAGCTCACGGCTCTTACCCAACCTACCCCCGAAGATCTGCGCAAGGAGATCCGGAAATGCAGAACCATGACCAAGAACCCATTCGCCGTCAACATCACCCTCCTGCCCACGATGAATGCTCCTCCCTATGGCGAGTACGCTCAAGTCTGCATCGATGAGGGCATCAAGGTGGTGGAGACAGCAGGCAACTCGCCTGGTCCGGTCATCAAGCTGCTGAAAGGCGCCGGCATCATCATCCTCCACAAATGCACGACCATTAGACACGCACAGTCGGCTGTGAAGCTGGGGGTGGACTTCCTATCAATTGACGGCTTCGAGTGTGCTGGCCATGTGGGTGAATCAGATATCACCAACTTCATCCTGCTGTCAAGAGCAAGACAATCACTGGGAGCACCTTTCATTGCTTCTGGCGGGTTTGCGGATGGCCAGGGACTGGCTGCTGCCCTTGCCCTCGGCGCCGAAGGTATCAATATGGGCACCCGGTTTATGTGCACCATCGAAGCCCCAATCCATATCAACATCAAGCAGGCGATTGTGGATGCCTCGGAACATGACACCGAGCTTGTTTTGAGAAGATGGAGGAATACTTCCAGACTGTTCAAGAACAAGGTTGCGCAAGAGGCCGTCGCGATCGAGAAGAGCAGCACAAGCGGTAAATTCGAAGAGGTGGCGCCATTCGTATCTGGAAAGCGTGGGCGAGAGGTCTTCATCAACGGAGACAAGGACTATGGCGTCTGGACGGCTGGCCAAGTCATCGGCTTGATCCATGACATTCCCTCGTGCCAGGAGCTTCTGTCGAGAATTGAGAAGGAGGCCATCGAAGCCATCGAAAGGAGTCGGAAGTTCTATCAACCTTCCAGTAAACTATGAGTGGTGCTCGTACGATCATGTTGGGCATAGGGCGTTTACGGTCACAGATTCGAAGACCAAGACTTAGTTAGATCTCGGGACTGTCTGAGTACACTCCTACGAAAGATTCAATGTCGCACCTAACCGACTGATATCAAAGTATAAAATTGGGGGTATGAGCTGATCATCTCTCTAACCTGACTCTGACGCTGGGTGAATCATGTGAGAAACAAGACTCGATCAGAGATATTGTTCTGCCAAGGTGCGTAAAAAGCGTCAATTATATTTCCTTAGCCCTGAGCCTTCGTTCACATCCTCATACTTTGAAAAATGCACGCGGCTTCACGGGTCACTCACCGTGACCGCGCCGCTTTTAGAGTCACTCAACCCGGCTTTCCCCCATGCTATCACCATCCGCTCCTCTTTTACTCCCTCTCGACTTACCCTCCGTCGTTCTTTCGTGTAACTCGTATACCCGCGTCTGCACTAGGATTCGAAATTAGCGTCGGTCGATATGGACCCTCTCTAGGACCAGAGTGATCCTCTTCCCCCCCCCGAGCCACGACGGTTATCGTCCCTCCTCCCCCCAGTCCCCCTCCTTCTAGAATATAAATTAGAGCCGAGTTCGGATCTCAGTTCTTAATTTCTCTCTAGTGCTACATCTACGCCAGCGCCTCTGCGATATGGCTCTACGGCAAATTGCAGGTCGACGCCACCGTCTGTACGCCACCAGTCCGTGTGAGCAGGGCGGTCACCCAGGCGCGATTCCGCAGGCGCCGCTTCGAAGTATCGCAGTCTAGTCAGGATTACAAGAGACAACTGCAGGGTGTAGCTGGTCGAAGTGGCACGCAAGTAAACTTTCGGCCCCATCTTCCTAACTATGATCTGGCGAAGCCTCGCTGCAGGACCACGGGGTTTGGCCCGCTTTCGGCTGTTAGTCTGATTGTTGATTCTGTGCGAGTTCCCCTTTGGAGTCACTCCAAGTCATGGCATGGATGGAATGGAGCAAGAGACATAGCCTGCGTTCATCCGGCGTTGAATCTGCCTCGCGCCGAATGGAGCTCTGCAGACAGGAACCGACGTGTGGGACACGCACACAATCTCCTCCCTGCTCTGTGCAGATGGGTGCGACTTCTAGATTCATCCTGTTTCAGCAGGAGACCAAGCTACTCTGCGGTTTCTGTGCTTCCGTCGTCCCGCGGCTGATATGCACTAGAGGCGACACGATGTCCGGCTAATTAGTCGCGGGCTGGAGCTGTTTCCTGGGAAGCTGCTTCGGAGGCATGCAAAACAGTTGAACCTCCAGCTGCCTCTGCGAATCTGCTCTTGCTGAGGAGACCAACCACTACCCAGGCGATGACCAGCATTTCAGGACCGAGGGCGCGACCTCGAGAAGTCGGAGTCGTCCGTATTTGCATCCTCGCGCTCACCCGACTGTCGGTTGCATACGCCAATAACATAGCACGAGACTCGTCAGAACCTGATGTCAACATCTCCAATGGTACGTGCTATTATTCACCGGGAAATCTGGCAGACCCAAGCTACATTCCTTGTGGAAACACGGCTTTTGGCATCTTCTCGTGCTGCGAAGCCGGATCGAACTGCTTGGACCACAACGCCTGCTACTCAAATGGTGAGTCTTGAACAGTGGAATATGCGAGAGCGCTTCTAAATTGTCCAAGATGGAAATACCTATGTTGCGGGCTGCACTGATCCCACGTACTCGGATCCATCGTGTCCGGTCAAAAGCCCTTATGACGGTGCGCCGAACCCAGGCCCGACGGTAACCGTGCTCGCTAATATACGGTTCAGATCAACAGTGGACAGGTCTGGTTTATTGCAATGGCACTTCGGATGAGTGGACGTTATGCGACGATTCGGGCTCAGGGAGCGACACAGTCACTCCTTGGCCTGGATGTTATTGTCCGGAAGATGAGACCTCGCGGAATGTCGCGTTTAGCGCTCCGGGTGCTCTAGCGGCTTATATCAGCTTGCCCTCTTTTCTCGGAGGGTCAATGAGCTTCTTCGACGGGTATAGCCCAAGCACCAGTATCACGAGCGACTCAGCCTCCCTTCTTGTAGTCACGACGACCTTCTCGGATATCCCTACCTCAACTTCCAGCACGGTCACATCGAATCCCTTAGCCAGCACACCCTCTACCACCTCCGCCTCCACTATATCCTCTGCTGCTTCCGCCGCCAGTAATGCAACCGATGAACACGCGCATAACAGAACAGGCCTAAGTCCGGGTGCAAAAATTGGAATTGGCGTTGGCGTTGGTCTTGGAGGTCTTATTGTTTTGGCCGTGATCGGTGGCATGGCGTTCTATATCCGTCACTTGAAGCAAGGACAACTCAAGCAAGAAGACACCGTCACCCGGCCACCCTCGGAGTTCTCTGCAATGCAAGATGATCGACTCGATGGTCTTGCGCATGGCGTTCCTGCGTGGTCTGGCAACGCATCCGAGCTGGCTGGTAGCGACTCCGGAGACTTCTCTCCAGCGGCGACTCAGCGAGCGTGGACTCGACCGATGTCCGTAGAAGTTGAAGGGAGCATTCCGAACCATCGGAGCGCGGGGAGTCTTCCGTCTCTGGAATCAGGATTTGCCAGATCGGCTTACATGGCACACAAAGGAGCTGAAGCGATGCCCGTCGAAGTGCAAGGGAGTCCGCGGTCGCATGATATTTCGCACACCTCATATCAGCCTGGCAGACAGGTTGGAGATGGGGTGTATGAGATGCCGGGTCACTTGCCCGGGTCTGATTTCCTCGAGAAGCGAAGTCCGTAGTTTTGCGGTCGGCCAGATTATAATATACAAACTGCAGTGTCATCTTTCATTCTGTCGCCCGCGTCGAAGTAACTCGCAGGAACCAAGTTGCTGAGAAGGTGGAATTGTCTCGAGCCAATATTGAGAGGCCGAAGAACGGAATGACAAAACGTCGATTTTGCTCTTAACCACAGCATACAACAAAAGTACACGGCGTGAGATTTCTCTGAAGTCTTTGAGCGAGGCTTTAAGCTGCCACGCTGACGTGCACTGCACAGTCCGTGCCGGTACCCTTCTGCCTCCTGTCATGGAGCTGCAGTCGCAGGTGAGAAAAAGGCAAATACCAGGAATGATGATTCATTTGCGTTCAAGACACTGGTTTGAGAGGGAACCTCTTTTCGGTGGTGGAGGGACTCGTCCTCCTGTTCCTGGAAATAGTCGGCATGAGAACCCCAGAGGCTTTAAAATGAAGTAGATCCCCAGGACGATCTTCAACCGCAGCAATCCCAAATTCCAGCTTAGTGACTTTGTCGATGCCCAGACCCCAGATCGAGCCTTCTTCACCGACAGGCAACTCTCCGAACAGCAGGTTTCGATGCGATGGGACGACGTTGTTCTGATAATGGATCTCCACTGCCCGCAAGCCTGGTATGACGAAACTGTCTACTTCTTCGGGAAGATATGGCTTACCCGGATTTGTTGCTCGATTAATATGTGGCCGTTTGAAGGCGTTTGTATGGACCAGTCGCGCCACGCAGTGTTTCAAGGCTTTTTTCAGGGTATCTGCACTGTTTCCTGCCATTTGCAGTTCGCTTTCGATCTCCTGGAGGCATTCACGCATGTTCCAAGTTGCTCTGCAGTCTGCTGCTTGTGAGAACAGCGGCGCGAGCATAGCGAAAAATTCCGCAGCTTGACCTGGGTTTTGTTCGATGTCGATGATATGGAGGACCCTGTATCGAGGATGGTCATCGATTTCATAAGCGTATAGTGATGCGTCCATTTTCGTTGTCCGATCTTCATCCACAAAGACACCAGCCGGATAAGTGCAAGGGCTCCCAACGGACTGTAGGATTTCCATCAACGATGCATTCTCAAATGAAGAAGACAGGGCCGGCGCCAACCACCCTGGGCGCTCTCCCTTGGCGGCAGCGTCGAAGAGCATAGGCACAAGTTGGTATCGGCCAAGCAACTGCCGATACTGTCTCGAACAATCAACCATTAGATCTTGCAGCGGCATCGACCATGGCGTCTCAGGAACGTGGTAGCCAGGGAGCAGAAGCATTTGCGACAGGATGGCGTCTCGAGTGTGGGATGTGACCCTAATGGACGAGTTTGCGATCATGCTCCAGTTGAAGGCAAACCAGTCTGGATGGACCTCGAGAGGACAATTTTCCGAGGGCAGACTGGGCAGACTACACGAGACAACTTCGCCTCGTATGAGTAGTCGCAAGATTCCTGCAATAACAGCGGACGAAAAGAAGGTGGTGCTGAGATCATATCTGGTGCACCATGTAATCAGACATCCGGCTAGTTCTCGGACGCCGTCCGTAGCCCGAGGCGGGTCATAAGAGCACGGCTGGACCGTCCAGAGGTCGTCTGATATATCGGATGCCTTGGCCACAGTATGTGAGAGCCAATTATTGGCGGTGACGAGCATGAGCGACTTGGAATAAAGGACTTCTTGCCTCGTCCATACCCTTGTCAACCAAGCGTCTGATAGCGCGGGGCAACAGCAGGTTGAAGTGTGTTCTCTCAGCCAGTCGTTCACGTAATCATATCGTGTATTCTCGCCCTCGTTTTCGGGCAGCTCTGGAATATCTCGCGCAGCTTGGCACGGCCAGGATGTCAGCAATGCCACGCAACTCTTCGCATTTTGGAAGACTTTCGGAATCTGCTGGAGTTGCTGGGAGAAGAGCAGCTCATCTTCTCTGGTCTGGTCGATACAGAAGAGATCCAACCAGAACCACGAAGACCACTTGTCTGGAGAGTGCTGGATCTTGAAGAGCCAGTCGAGAAATTGGCGTTTCGCGGGTGACATCGAGATGGGCCACGGAGCAAGGTCTGTAACGACAATGGTGCTCCCAGGCCCTGTACGATCGGTCCAGGCGTGCGAGATTGCGAGATATGGCTCCGTCATGGAGATTTTGTAGTCCAGCTTATAGCCTGTGGTCGTCTCTTTTGCTTCGAGCAAGCGAAATACCAACGTGTGGTCGTTCTTCAAGGCAAAGCGGATAAAATCGCGTGCAATGTCGAGAACTGCCGTCTCACGGCGATATCTGCGGGGCGGGACAAGGCATTGAGCCATTGTTGAGCGCTCCCGTTCGTTCTTGTGCTGGCGGCAAGCTAATGAGAGACTTCAACGTTGGTCAAGGACCTCGCTATGTCCTTCCGTTCGCATGGAGGCGCATTTTGCCAGATGCGAGGACGAGGCCAGCCTCACCCTTTCAGCGGGACGAAGAAACTCTCCACCACTACCAGCTCTACAGGACGCAGTGTGCACTTAGCCAGACCAAGCTAGTCGGTATATCGATGCAAATACACGCCAACAGCTGCTGCGGTTCTTCGTACCGAAGCAGCCTGAGCTTGTCCAAATCGTCTGTCGTTCCTTTGGAGCCCTGACCAGCTGTGGCTTCAACGACTCCAGCTCCGTGGGAGATTCACCGGGCCGACCAATCAAGTCGCCCAACTCATCAGGCGGAGTTGAATGTCCCTAAACCACAAGCGTGAGAATGGCGTCTTCAACGACTACCAGCTGATGTCCATACCTTGGCGTGTTGGCGCTACAAGTGCGTTAGTGGTGCGGATCTCGTCAGTCAGAAACTGGGATCTGCTTACTCGGTTCACGGCACCGTATAGCCTCATTGGACCTTACCACTGGTGAGATACGGCTGATCACTCCCCCGGCTCGCGCAGCCGGGGGTGACTACAGGGCGGCATCACCCTTGACCGATCGAGGGTGATATGAGATCGAAAAGTTTCTCGCCTCTAACCCAAGTTCAATTGGTTGTATACGAGGCACTTCGTATAGGTAACCCTGTTATGAACCTTCTTTCCCCTGTCAAGCGGCCCCCTACCTCAGGCGTCCGATATCATGACAATGGATTTGAAGAAAGGTCTTGCTTCCTTCAAGGAGATTGAGCGGGATAAAGGCGGCCTTAGCTGACCGATGGTAAGATGTTGACAAAATGTGGTAGTTCACTCTCAGTTTGAAGGCCAGGTCTTCTCGAGTCTTTCTTCATCGCGACATGTTCCTATAGCTCTGTTACTGTGACCAGTCACCATAATGGGAAGCATTGATCGACCTTCAAAGCCCTACTCAGTGTTGATTGTGGGTGCAGGCATTGGCGGTCTGTCCGCTGCCATTGCACTCTCTCGCAGGGGTCTAGACGTCACAGTTCTCGAAGGAAAACCAGAGCTGAACGAATTCGGCGCCAGCATCAGCATTGATTCTCATGCAGTCAGGGTGATTAAGAACTACGGCTTGGAGGAGCTGTTCAGGCCCTGCGTCACTGAAAATAGATATATCGATCTTCGAGATGGGGCAAACAACGAGCGCCTGGGTGCGGTATTCCACAATGAAGGGAACCATAGCAGCGTCCTCTGGGGTACACCGAAGTGGAGCATACACCGCGCAGACTATCAACAGCTCCTTGCTGAAGGAGCCCAAGGATATGGCACCAAGATCTTGTTCGATGCCGAAGTCACCAGTGTCGACGTCGACACCAACACAGTGCACCTGAAGGATGGACGTTCCCTCTCCGCCGACCTCGTTGTAGGTGCAGATGGATTGCGCTCTGCGGTCCGTCGATCTATCCCTGCCACAGCCTCCGTCGAGCTGATCCCCTCGGACGAGAAAGCCTATCGTTGCACTGTCGACAAGGACACTATGGTATCAAACCCAAATCTCAACTGGTTGTTGACGCAGGGCACCAGCCAAATATGGCTCATGCCAGGTAAATACATCCTGTCTTGGCCCTTACCACCACACAGGCCGTATGATGTTGTTGTGTGCATCGGCGATGGCTGTAACGTACCCTACGGCTATTGGGGCATCAAGGCCGATCCACAACAAGTCGCTGCCGAGTTTGGAGATGCCTGTCCTACCATAAGAGACCTGCTTGCGAATATCGGCCCTTGTGTTCAGTGGAGGGTGGCCGAGCTTCCTCCTCTGAGTACCTGCCGGAGTGAAAAGGGGGGAGTGGTCCTTCTTGGGGATGCCTGGCATGCCATGCTTCCTCACGCTGGCTCTGGCGGCTCATGTGCGATCGAAGATGGCGCCGTCCTCGGTGAATGCGTGGGCTGGGCGTGGGAAAACGGCCGGTCGATCGCGGATGCCACAAAGGCATACGAGGTGCTTCGAAAGCCGCGCGTCGAACGCATCCAAGCCGCAAGCCATGACGGTGTGGCGTGGTTGAATGGTCATGACGCTGAGGGACGCAACGCTTTTTTGGCTAAGCAGTTCAAGATTGACCAGGCGGAGCTGGCGCGACCGGAACAGGAGAGGAGGGCACAGCCTCTCCCGCCGGCAGACATGAATGCACCCTTCCCGAGCCCCCCATTCCTGCAGTGGCTATATAGCTATGATGCTATAAAGGAGACACGGAAATATCTGGCTCAACAGGCACTTTAAGCTCGCAGGGTCCAGTGTTGTGATCTCTCTCTCGACATACAGGATTCCTAGCCATGCCGGGTTGCGAGGGGGCATCAATCTATTCATCTGGTGACGGAGAGCCTGCGTTGGGCGATAGCCTAGTTATTGTGTGTAGTAACTTGGAACACTATATTTCAGCCATTGAAGAGAAATATATCCATCAGACAATGTCACTGACTTCAAGGCACCCACGATCTACCACACGGTGAATGTTTTGGTGCTCATCCTACGTACCTTGAGCAACAGATTGTACGACATCTTTCAGAGATGAGAGAGCATGATCTGTTATTAAACCATGTCAAAGTCTCATTAAAGCAGCAAGTGGAGTCAAGCCAAGAATCCCATGGCCGATTCCGTGGAACTTCAACTCCAACTTTCGCTGCATTCTACACATCCATCAACGACAGCTCGAGTTCATTCCATCATCGAAGTCGGTCCATCATGTCGGAGGCCGGACTAGCAGAGCGAATCGACGCCAACATCGCCGAGTTTTTTGCATCATGGAACATCTGGACGACCATTCTTGTGCTCGCCCTTGCAGCGTTCCTCATCTACCCGCTGCTTACAGGCCGTGAACCAGACACTCACCCCTATTTGCTCGCGAGGCAAGCACAGGTGGCACCCATCCGTCAGTCAGGTGAGTCGGCCGTCTACCGCGCCATCGACATCCCCCATGGTTATCCTCTCCGTGCCGGTCTGGGTGTCAAAGATCCGGGGACACCAAAGTGGAGTTCTGGCCGACCGGGGGATCTGCGCGATATCTGGAGGACGGCAGTCCGTGGTGCGGTCAACGAAGAGGGCAATCCGACGGGACAAAGAGGCAAGGTTTTGACAGTCCTCGGCCTGGAAAAGGTCATCGATCATAATTTCGAAGATTTGACGCTCGGAATTAATGTCATTGGCCAATATGTGAAGCGGAACAATGGACAGTCTGTGGCCGTCTGCCTCTCCAACTCGGTGGAATTGTTGTCTTCGATTTTTGGTAAGTTGGATGATATTTACACCCTCTTCAGGCGGCATGTCGAGTTTCTTACCGTGCCCGAACAGCTGGATCATTCTATGGCTTCTCGACAATTCTCCTCCCGTACGGCCTTCCGCCCGACAAGCTCAGCTCGCTTCTCTCCAAGGTTTCAGCCGACCATCTGATCGCGGAAGCCGGCACATTGGACCTCGAATCTCTGTCTTCGACCGCCAAAAGCATCAAAAACATCATCTGGGTCACCCGGCCAGAAAATAGGCATATGGACTGGGAGGACGATTCTCCAGCAGGCTTTGCGGTCAGCTCGTGGCAGGAACTGGTGCAGAAGAACCAGAGACCTTCCAACTCAGAGGTATTGCCTTTGGACAAAGATTCCCAGGTCCCGCCGGTGTCGATCTTCTGTCCGACAGCCACTGGAGGGTTTGACCTCGTCAAGTACACCTCAGAAGTAAGCGTCTTCCCTTCTCAACACAGCTCAGTGCCTGTCAATTGATGCCCTGCATACTGACTATCACATCACGGTTTTTTAGAACCTCATCTCTGGTACCGCTGCACTCTCCGCCACTCTACCACGCGCCCAGAAGCTCGGTCCGAACGACTCGTTCCTCCCAACCCTTCCTCTGACAGACAGCTACACTCTTTGCTGGACTTTTGCCGCCCTGTACTCCAATGCGACGCTGGCACTTAACTCCGTTGCCGGAGACAACGTCGACCTCACCCATGCCTCCTCACAGACGTCCCCGACAGTTGTCCTTGCTTCTCCCACCACGGTGCAGGCATATCTATCCCACCCGAATACAGCCCTCCCCAGCGGATTGTCGAAGTATATGACCACACGCACTCTGCAGCAGGGGAATCTCCCAACCAAACAGGCCACCGCTTTCGATACCCTCTCGCACCTCCGCGTCCTCCTCATCCCTCAATCGGTCACCGCCCCGGCGTCAGCCCGTCTGTCGTCGTCCACACTGCATAACATTCGCACCCACTTCAAATGCCGGATTGGATACGCCCTCACGAGTCCTTCCGTGGCCGGCGCGATTGCCCAGACCAACATCTTCGATTATCGTGACAAGGGCGACAAAGTGTGCTGCGTCGGCGCACCGCTGAGTAGTGTGGAGATCAATTTAGCCGGAGAGGAGCCCGCCATGGGATCGCGTACTCCGCGTGGAGCAACGGTATGTCTGTCCATTATGCATCTGTATTGCCTACTCGCTGTTTTCCTGTGTCGAGCTCGTCCCTCGACTTCTTTCGACCCCTTGTGGTCTTCACGAGCATTTCATCCCATGAATGACGTGTGCTGACTCCATGTGGTACAGGTTACGATCAAGGGCCCTGCGGTGGTTGGTGGGAAGACAACTCTCGACGACGTCAATGTGCAGATCGACGAGGATTATACATTGCTTCTTCTCTGAGCCCATCCCGTCCCGCTAAATCCCGTCAGCGGACGACGCCCGGGGTCCTCCCGCGCCATGACACTTGAAGAGCATATATGGGTTCACTTGGATGTGCTGACTGGCCTGGGGGCAATTAGCGAGTAGCTACGCCCGCCGAACTTGCGTCGAGAGCAGCCAGTAACACAGGGTTACAGATCCAGGGGGCGGAGGAAACGACTTAATTATCCTACTGGGACTGAAATGAATCTGACACTGATAGAAAGAGAGAACCAAAAAAAAGTTGCTCGTCGTGGTTTTCAATGCACCTTGTGTAATGTTTCATCAGCCAGTAGAACCTTAGCTCGAGACCTGCTGGTAGATGATCCATTTAGCTATCTGATTCTGTTCCAGGCTTCTGGCTCCCTTTTCGTGATCGCCACCAACTTGCGCCCGTCTAGACAAATTGCAATTATAGAAAAGGAAAGAGAAGAAATGTGCTCGGTGTCGTGTAATGAATGTCCTTTACCCTTTTTTGGTTGGTGGTAATTGTTTGTCCCTTTGTCCCTTTTTTCTCACTCACTCTCTTTTTCTTTTTGAAAGTGGTGATGGTGGTGATGGTGGTGTGTGCCTTGTTTGCTTCTTCTTCTCGTCGATACGCCATGCAATCCAGCTTCGATCAAATAACCAGTGCCGCAAAGACCAATGTTTGGAAAAGCTCATTCTCATCTGCATCACGTGTTGGAAGACAATGGGCCATGCGAGCGATAGGTGCTTTTGCACGTCATAGGAGTGCTTGATCCAAAACGAAGCCCAGATCCATCTGGATCGACCAGTTGATATAGTATTTCGTGTGGAGTGGCACAGCCTGGTATGGTTGCTCGTCTCTCCAGTCCCCAGACTTCGAAAGTAACCTACCCAGGCAGTAACTTTTTTCCTTCGTGGCATCACGCATCAACCATATACGTATGGAGAGCGTACCAGAGGTTGCATTTCTGCAAAGGATCGGAACTCCCAATGAAGAAGAGAGATGAATGTTGGGTTGACGCTGGAAGACCTCATATGACAGTGAATAGCAAATGGGCGTTCGGACAACCAGCTGAGACAGACTTGAGCGGTGAGTGAGGCAGAAGATAGAAAATAGTTGCTTGTGCCTGAGTCTTTGTACAGTCCTTTTCAAATCAGTTTCTGAAGTGAGAAAAAACAACCACGGCTATCTTGCAAGGTTGAAGCCTTCCACAGGCGGATCTGAAGATGGTTGCCTCGTAGTCGTCAAAATTCGACTTGAATACTCGAGTTGCAATCATGCTCCAAGACACATTTCACCTCTTCCCTTTCTTCGGTCTCGAACGTCCCAATTGGCTTGATGGTCTCCCGCCGGTGAGCATGGCTCGCTGCCTTAGATACTGATCCACCACTTTTTGGACACTTCCTATGTCGTGCTCAGGTTTCCTCAAGTAGTAGATTCTCGCCCGTCTCTTCCTCTTCGGCGCTCTCTGAGCTATTTCCATGCTCTGTACCAGTGGACTATGCACCTTGATCTGCATTTCCATTCCTATCCCTGTCAACTGGTTGCGCAACAGGACCGAGGTGTGAGGCCCTGAGCCTTTGATTGACAGAATCACCCCCGAAACTGGCTCCCCTGAGGTGAAAGTCGCAAGCAGGATATCTCCAACCTTTGCACGATCTTTGTTGGTTTTGTCAAACAGTTTTGCCCTCGCTCCTGTGGGATCCAATAGAGCCAATTGTCGACTGTCGACGATGGAGATGGGATTTTTGCAGGTCTCGGCCTCAGATCGGGGTGATTGATGCACTACTATTTCTCTTTTTCCTAACGAAGCCGTTAGCACGTTTGGTCTCCCAATTCAGGATGAATCATTAACCACCTCTATCAGGTCTGAATCTCTCCGGTATTTGCGACCAGTATGGCGACGGTAGATCGGAGGGTATTTCGAGCTTCTCGGCTGGACGGCGCTGTAGCGTGACAAATGTGCGCTGAAAATGTTGTGGTCGAAGCTCTGGAAATAGGGATCGCCAACAGCACATGGACATACGTGAAGCCATGTTTGTCGACATGTTTGAGGGCAGATTATAAGGAGGGGACAGTGTTTGGCAAGAAAAGGTCAATGGCCAAAGGACATGGGAGCTCAATCGCGGTCACTTTTCGCGGTCCAGGAAGCGGAAGGTGGAGCGACTTGAACTTTTGCCCTTATAGAAAATCATCTTTGGAGACTCAATGGGAGCGCAGCCACGAACTGCCATTTTCAGCCAGACCAACAAGAGTCCTCACGGCGGCTCTGCTTAGACACGCTTCGAGGAAGCACATCCATTTACAATGGCGCAGACCGGTCAAAACCTCTTCTACATTTGCAGGAGCTGTCGACGACATATCTCCAGTTCGAGCTGGGCGCAATCGGCGCGGTCATTCAGCACCACACGCTCGAGATCAAAAGGTACGCTCACATCGGTGTCATATCTTCTATTTAGGATTGTCTGTGCTCACACTTGCAAAGCAATACCAGCTTTCAGTCCAACGTCCAATCCCGAATTCGACGACCTCCTCCTGACATGGCGCCAAAAAGTCTTCATGCCGGCTGCGCTGGAAAACCACCATCGCGATCTCATATACAAGGCATCGCGGCATCCAACCCTCACCAACGAACCTGGAGTTACGGTAACAATGGACGATGATGAAGAGATCAAGCTGGAGCCAATGCACTTTTATGACAAGCCGAACGTGCACAAAAGCATCCTCAAGTTGGTGAAACTTCTTGAGGGAAACCACAACGACACAGATTGGTATAATCTGCCTCCGTTCCTCCATGGGTTGGTCATGGCGAAGATCAATCTTCCGTCTAATTTTTACGAGAAAATCACCCGCAAAGCCTGTGAAGTGGGCAAAGAACGAATCATCCTACGGTGTGCAGAAAAACCGGCTGAAACGGGCGTCAAGCTGTCGCGGCAAGGAGTGGCTCGGGAGTTGATGCTAGGCTTCCATAACCGTGCAGTTTCGGCAAAATTCCAGGGCGGCGAACTTGAGGCAGCTTCGCGTCGAGCCGAGTATGTTGCACGAATGTTGGAAGATGAAGTGCATGGGGGCGGCAAGTTAACGAAAGGCGAGGTGGACGCGAGAAAAGATCCTGTCGTTCTGGCGGTATTGCTGGAGTTAGCTGCTGCAAAAGCGGTATACGCCCATGGCAGCCAGGACCAGGAGGGAAAAGTCGCTAACTATGCGACCAAGCTGCTTCACCTGGACAGCAAGAGTTTACATTCCCAACTCGAGCAACAGACAGAGGCCGAGCAGAACTACGCTTTAGTCGCACTGTTGCCGATCAAGAACTCGATGGAATGGGCGCTGAAGATTGAATCTGTCAAGAATGCTGAAATAGGGAAGCAATTGCAGGCTGAACTGAGTAGCTTGTCCATGGCAGTGAAGAGCACTGTGCAAAGCATTCGGGAGAAGGTTGGAGACAAGCCAAGAAGAAGTTTGATCATGTATGATCAACTTGGCGAGTAGGAGCAGACAGCAGCCTCTAGAAAGAGTGCTGCGGGCGAAGCTTGTGGTGTACCAGCCATTGGCTCTGGTTTCTGAGGCATCCAACATGGAGTGAGTGATGGAGGTCCTCTGAACGCCGCCCCGAGCTCTGTGCCAGCTTCTTGTTGCTGTGTTGATCCAACACTCGGGACTATGTATAACTATTACAAACCAATACACAACTGTATCTACTGCAATCCTTTACTGTCTTGTGAGTATGCATTAAAGAAAGGTATTGAAGATCTGTACCTAGGCGTAATACCCCATTCGTCGCCAGCCATGCAAAAGAGTCACCGAGACTCTGCCACGTTTCCGCCAATGCCCTTCAAGGAACCTCAAGCCATCGCCTCTTACACTTCGAGCACGACTTCAACGAATTTGTTTACAACCTAGAATGACCAAACAATAAATTCCCAACGTCGCGCATTTTGCGCCCACCCTCTCTGACCCTCAACCCGTAGACCGTCTTCCCATCATGGCGAACCCTCCTTCCTCCGACCCTTTCCTCGAAGTGCAAACCGACGTGCAGTCCACACTCCAAAGCACACGGCACCTATTCTCCAGCTACCTCCGTATCCGCACGCTGTCCACGTCTGCGACATCCCCAGAACTGCAACAGTCGCGCGCAGAGCTGCGTTCCAACCTCGAAACATTAACAGCAGACCTTGCGGATCTGCTGGACAGCGTCAAGGCCGTTGAGTCGGACCCGTACCGCTTCGGTCTAGATGTTGCGGAGGTGCAACGGAGGAGACAGTTCGTGCAGGATGTAGGCGACGAGGTGGAGGGGATGAGGAGGGAGTTGGAGGGCGTCACTACAGACACACACGTCGCCGGAGGAGTATACCCTACGTCTGCCCCTACAGCACCCGCCGGCGGCGGCGGTGGGAGCACAAGAGGACCGAATGAGAGACTACCGAATCCCTCATCCTTCGAGGATGATCACGATGACGAAGACGACGACGACCCCTACGGCGCTTTCGAGACTCAGCAGCAAGAGATGATGATGCGCGAACAAGACGAACAACTGGACGGCGTGTTCCAAAGTGTCGGCGTCTTGCGTGGTCAGGCAGAAGACATGGGCCGCGAACTAGAGGAACAAGGTGCCCTGCTGGACGAGGTAGACACCCTGGCAGACCGTGTGGGAGGGAAGTTGAGTGTTGGGGTAAAGAAAGTGGGCGAGGTGATTAGACGGAACGAAGATAGCATGAGCAGTTGCTGTATCGGGGTGTTGATTGTGGTTTTGGTGATATTGTTGATCCTAGTCATTGTCATTTGAGGGCGCGGATGTTTCTATCTTTTTGCTTGGATTACTCCAGCACCGACGAGTGCACTTGAGTGCTGTTCGGTTGATCCTTAGGGAACACAACGGTTGGAAGGAAATCAGGTCTCCGAACGCCTGAACGCCACCCGACGATGACAGACAACTTTCGAAGGAAGCCGCTCGATCGCCAGTGTGGATCCCGAAGAGAACTGACAGCCCTTTACCGAGCTGCTTTCTATGAGCGTCCATATCCCAGCTGTATCCAAACGAGCAAGATCGGTCGGTACCTCAACCATTGCGCGGCCTCTTGCGCTGTCTGCCGTCGTTGTCGTCCTCATCCTCTGCGAGCACCAACTCCGGGGCCTCGTCATCATCTTCCTCTTCATCCTCATCACTGTCGAATTCGAAGTCGTCTTCCTCTTGGCCAGCCGATATAAAATAATCCATGGCATCAGGCCAGAGATCCTCTGCCATAGCGGTGGCGACCTCGGCACCGGCTGGGAAGATTTCGACATCCAGCATCTCTTCCAACTCCTCGTCTTCACTCTCATCCTCCTCGTCTTTGGACTCTTCTGCTGCCCCGTTCCCAGACGACTTTTTCGGTTTTTCCGGTTTTTCGGCATCAACCGTGCCCCTGAAGCCGAACCAAGAAAAGAAACTTGGCTGGTGATCGTCATTTTCGTCTTTCTCAAGGTTGAGACGAAGCTTCTCATACTGCCACAGCGCCTCCCGGTCCACGATATTAACCACCTTGTCTCCATTCTTGAGTTTCAGCGCTTCCTCTGCTTCGTACAATTCAACAGCGGCATCGAGGAGACCGCGTGTTAGGTCTTTCTTCTTGCCCTTCCATTTGATTGGAACCGGCTTCGAGATCAGGTCACCAGGTCCGTCTTCAGCTGCGCGAAATTCGAAGTCCTTGACCAAGGTGGTATCAGTCATGAATTCATTGGGGCCAAACTGAAATTTGAATCGAAGGCTGCGGGGTTCGCCTTCGGTTTCAGATTGGATTTGATATCGTTCAACGGAGAACGACTCGATAGCGGCGAGGAGAGGCAAGTCATCTGGAGTGAAGAAGCTTCGAATCTCCTCAGGCCCGGAGCCAAACACTGTCGGCCAAAAATCTGGCACTCGCTTAAATAGTGTCTCTCTCTTCGAATACAGAGGCCGTAAAGAGTATTCCTTTCTTCGCACTGGATCACTGTCAGCTTGTGCGGTAGGCTCGATCGGAATGGCTTCTTACAAGCATCAATCTCAACCTGAGCAAAGTCCCTCTCTAGGTCTCCAAGCTCCTTGAAAACTGAGGCGAGGTCATTTAGAGGTGGCGCCATCTTGCAGAACCCAAATGTGATGTTGGAGTGCTACTGTTGATATGGTCGCAGTCAAGGCTTTTATCGCGAGTGCTTGGGGTCACCGCAGCGACAAAATTTCAGGATATTCTGCCGTGTCAAAAATAAAGGCGGTGAAAGATTTAAAGGCGGTGACAGAGGTACCCATTACCTGGGGTAATAATAACAGTTCTTTTCCGTAGTTCCATCATTAATTAACATACCTTCCAGCACTGCTGCTGTATTCGTTTTTGTCTTTCTCATTGTGAGTTGATTGATGGCTAAAGGTTGAAATCCTCACTCATTGACATGCGAGCCGACATCAGCACAGAGAACTCAGAGTATCACAACCCTTGTGCAAGCTGCGGACAAGTTAGTCACTCCACCAACCAAATGTCGAGAAAATGGACATGGTCCAGTGCTCAGACAGCGGGCCTTTCAGGAGCCCTGGTTGTGGTCAAGCACGGGATTTCATTATGCGATGTTGTGATAGGGACCTCTAGTCGGTAGCTAAGTCCCTTTCACTCCGATGGAAGGCATCTTTTAGTGATGTGACAAACCCCTGGACATCTCACTATCTGGACCCTTTTTCTTTCACGCCAATGTTTCTCTCACAATCACCACTTTTTGCTCGGCGAGTCTCCTTTGGGATCGGAGCGGGCTGCTACCTAGGCGCATTCGCGTTGTTCCTCTGCCACGTTGCTCGCATGGTTCGCTTGTGTGGGCGAAGAGAAGTTGTCTCGAATCTAAGAAAATGCAACAGCGGTGAGGATCTCCTGCAGAACAAGGAGGGGATGCTCGTCTAAAGTCCCTTCGCTTCTCTGCTCAATGCGGTTTAAGTGGAAAGCCTTGCTGGAAATGCGCAACCGCGTAGGATACTCGTGCAACATTGCCGGCGATCGTTCCTCGTCTGGTTGCTAGGTTGGCTGTTAGGTCCGCTGCATGCACTCTCTTGGCTTAGGGGGGGAGGGAAGGGGTTTGGGGCATTGAAAGCGTTCTCTCCTCACCCTGGACTTCATACCCTGGTTCCTGGATAAAGCAACCAACAGCTAACTGTCGACTAAAATCTGCATGTCTACACATCATGCAGACTGCGCGCCATCCACAACGCTGCAGACTCTACTGCTCACGCAATCAATGCTCACAGTCTTTTCCGTCGAGTCCCTCATGTTCGCATTCCACACTTGTGGGTAGGTGCGTTGTCCAAGTGTTCCTCGGGAGGGTTCATTGAGGATTCTCAACCCCTCAGATAAGCTCAAACGACAACACGGGCAAGGCCCCCGGTAAGGCTTGAAATCAGCGGGAAGCTCGTTCCCCAGGATGTGCCGCCCCGTTGATAGTGGCGCTTTTGTGGCCACTTCCCGGCAATGTACGGCGCTGATCCGCGCCCCGACTTGTGTGCCACTATTGGCGGAGGAGTTCCCCTGGAAAAGGCCTGAGATAATGTCTTTCCCTCGTCAGTCCAACACCACTCGTGTCAGCTCGCCGTGTCATTCCTTCAACTCCTCAAGGTCTGGTGGGTTTGCTAGACTTGAGCTCGTCATTTGACACAAGCTGACCTCGAACGCAGCTTGTCAGACTGGGTTTGAAGCAGCAAGCCCTAGCAGCTTGTCTTGTCTCTAGTTGCTTTTGCTCCGAACTCTGTGGAGAACCCATGCCACACTTGGGGCCCTCGAGCGCGAAATCCTTCCAGGTCACACATGTGTCGCATGCCAACACAGACATCGTGGGAAAGGAAATCAAACTAAACTCATGCCCTGGCTCTTTCACACCTCTCGCACCTGTCTCGCCAAGCTAGCGTGAGAAAACAATACTCGTCTCGCTACGAGGCACCATGTGCAAAAGCCATTGCATGCTCCCGATAGGAGAACAAGGAAAGACTCAAGTACCGCGATACCCGCGCCCATGGCTTATGATTCTCCTCCCTTCTGTGCACACTTTTCTTTGATTTCGCGTCTGTTTAACCTATTTTCTGCGCCCTTTCCCTTCCCTAGTCGTGAGTTATCGTCAAAATGACTGTATTCGCTTCAGATGCCGCTGCTTTGGAGGCAGCAGGTAAGAAGCAGGTGTTGAAGGTGGGGTTGACACTACAAAATACTCGTTGTCGCATGTCGCTGACTTGTTGTTACAGCGGGAATGGAACTTTTGGGCGTTGCTGGGTATGTCAGCGTGCACTCTGTGCACATGGGAAGCCACGAGCGCTCTCTTTGCTGGTGCTTACAGCAATGGCGGTCCCGCCTCTGTTGTATACGGATTCATCGTGTCTGTACTTGGAACTCTCTGCATCGCCGGCTCCTTTGCTGAGATGGCTTCTATGTATGGCTTCGAATTACCCCTCATGGAAAATGGCTTACTGACTAGCGATCTAGCTCGCCAATTGCTGGGGCTCAATATCACTGGAGCGCTGAACATTCGCCGGTCAGGTGGCGCGCTATCATCAGCTACGTGCAAGGCTGGGTCACCATCACCGGATGGGTCGCAGCTGTGGCATCTGTGTGTTATTTGATTGCAACCATGATTCAAGGCGTTGCGATCCTGAACTATTCCGGCTACGAAGCGAAGCGGTGGCACGCAACACTGATGATGATCGGGTTTGCTGGAGTGGCCGCGCTGGGAAATACCTATGGCAAGAAATTTCTGCCGCTTTGGGAGACCTTGGGAGGGTTTCTCCATGTGCTATTCTTCTTCATCGTTTTTATCGCCATTTTGGCCACTAGCACAAAGGCTAGCGACAAGGACGTTTGGGGTACATTCATCAACGGGGGCGGATGGAGCAGTGACGGTGTCAGCTTCTGCATTGGGTTCCTTACACCGGCTTTTGCACTCGCGGGCGTTGATGCGGTTGTCCACATGAGCGAGGAAGCGTACAATGCGCCTCTCAACATCCCTCGCGCGATGATTTGGTCAGTTACAATCAACGGATTGGCTGGCTTTGCATACATCATTACAATCCTGTACGCCATCACCGATACCGATGCGGTTCTCACGACACCGACCGGATACCCTATAATTGCGGTCTTTCTGCAAGCCACCAACAACCAGAAGGCTGCGACCGCGATGATGACTGCAGTCATCATTGTCTTCACTATGAACCTCTTTGGGTGCACAGCATCGGTCTCCCGGCTCATCTGGGCATTTGCAAGAGACCATGGCCTTCCATTCTCCGGGTTCTTCTCGCACATCACCCCTTGGAATAAATGTCCGACGAATGCTGTCCTCTCAATCTTCGTCTCCGTTTCGCTGCTATCTCTCATCAACATTGGATCCACCACCGCCTTCAATGCCTTGATCTCTCTGACGACGCTAGGCTTTTACTTTTCCTACGCCATCCCCACCGTCATGTTCGCTATTCGCCGCTATGACACCTCCAATCCTATCAATTTCGGACCTTGGACCATGGGAAAGTTCGGTCTTCCGATAAACATCCTTACGGTAGCATTCTGCGTGTTCCTCATCATCTTCCTGCCATTCCCACCTTATCTTCCGGTCACGGGACAGAATATGAACTACGCTTCTCCTGTATTCGGGTTCGTCATGATTTGTGCTACTGTCAACTATGCCCTGCGAGCCCGCAAGAAGTTTACCGGCCCCATCAAAGAGGTCAGCAGTGAGACCAGCAGTGAGGAGGTCGTTCATGAGAGTGTCATCCCGGAGAAGCAGACTGCCAACTCGGAATCTTCTTGAAGAACCCTCCTTTCTCCAGCAATTCGATTCGGAATGCTCAGCGCTGTCACTTGACACTCTACAGTTGGCTAAGGGCATGGTGGTTTGGAGAAAGGAAAATTGAGAAGGCACTTTGCCTAACCTGCATTTTCGTACATACATTCGGGCATATATCATTGTTCCCGCAGAAACCGGAGTCAAAGTTCAAGCCAACACAAAGTATATAAGGAGATTGACCCTTGTCACCCAGCCCACGGACGGACCATTTTATCGTTTCCTGTCCTACCGTACTCATGTGACACGACCAGCTCATTTGAGTATTTAGTTGTCTGGCCATAATGCCAGTGTCCGGAAGGTGACTTGCCTGTGACGGACTGCATTATTGCTGAAGGTGTTTCACGACCGTGCCCTGACACGAGTGGCACCTTGTGGTTTGAGGAGTTGTCATATGTTCGATATGTCGGCATCAAATAGTTATCGGAAAGAAGGTGCATGGGATGTAGCACGCAGCACGAGGTGGAAGTTGTTCTTTTATATCAGATAACCCATCAACACCCTTCCCAGATGAACTCTGTTGTATAAAGAAACAATCTTTTCTGGTAAGGCGGGTCGTATCCAGAGATTTGCAGACAGGGAGCCACGAAAAAATGTCGGACGGGTAACAGCTGCTGCCTCTCTGTCTTCAAATGGGATTAGTAAAAGTTGCCTGCTCGGTTCGACAGCCACGTTATGATGATCACTGGATCTGGCCAGTGTCAGTCATTCGATCGTCGTGATCAATAGCTCCACTTCCGATCTCCGACCTCATCTCCTCAAATTAGACATAATAGAGGATCAGAGGACTTGGTGACATATCTGACGGTCTGGCGGCATTCATGTCTCGGTTACTAGTACAGCGCGATCTTTGCCTGTCGTGGACCAGACTGCCAGCGAGTCACACGCACATTTTGAGAAGGTCGTCGACGATAAATCCTCCCAGATGGAAGGATTCTCGGTTCGAATCTCCACAGGCAGCCTGTGACAAGCAGTACGCCAAAGGCGTTGTCAGTAGTCGACACTACTGGAGATACGAGATGCGAGTGGAGGTTACATTATGACATTGCAGAAGGATCTTCGCGGCCACATACATATACTGTATACGAGACTCTAACGATGCCACCCGAAATCCTACTAATGATCTCGTTTCTCTCGGTCGAGAAGAAACATGGGAAGCCTTGAAGTCCTCAAGAACCACTTGCCGTGGGAAAGGGCAATTTTATCCTGGTGCCCAATTTTAGATCTTGCTCACCGTGCCAAGACTTGGGGCATAATCTCATTGTTTGGGCTCGCTCTTTGTCTCTTATGGGGCAAGGGAGAAAGGGTATCATGACCACGTCGAAGGAGTCTGGTGTATCTAGTGCTTAAAAGGTCACAGACGGCGGCTGTCGCGATGGATACAGATTCTGGCCTCTGCACATTGCGCAACTGTGGCTGTAGGGCAAAGTGCAGCCACAGATCTCTTGTGCTCCCGAAGACCGAGATGGTGATCGTACGGTATTAGTGTCTCTTTGTTTTTTGGTAGCAGGGGGATATGGATCCAAATGGTGGCAGTTCCATTCAGGCGGTTGCCCCTGAAGGGGATAGTCTAGTCCGGATTCGGAAACCCCATACCCCCTGGCGCGAACCTTGGCACGTGGAGTGGTTGCTGTGCCCAATCAGAGCTCCCAGAAATGACTACATCTTGTTCCACCTCAACTTCAAAAGCCTGGCCCGGAGATTTGAAGCACATCCTTCTCCGTACTCGGTACAAACATCTGTCTTCAAGAAAAAGTCGTTCTCCTAGGCCCGTCCATCGCCTGAGAGGCTTTCGCCGCTTACGCCATGCGATCGTGAAGCGCTGTTGCCCTCACACTCGCAGCCCCTTCTCCCCCTCAAGCCACACCAGTGCAACATGATCCTCCTGATTTCCCCTCGATCGTGCATAGGGCTGCCATCGAGGTTGCTTAATCCTTCAGCAATGTCACCATAGGAGCGCTTTCGCTCGTTTCTGGCCCCAAAAAGGGGACCGCGGCTCCATGGACCGCAGCATGGCCATCAGCCCAATTTCGGTATAGAACCAACGGTAGGGGTGTTCCAGGTTGATGGGTGGAGTGAGTGCCCTTTTGTCATCCCCTCCGCGGGTGCCTCGTCGCAGAGGGAATGGTACAGACGCTTCGTCTGGGACCTCGTCCGTACATATGGGTCGCGTTTTGACTTTGCGGTTTATTGATTTTCTTTCTCTCCCTCTCTCTCTCCTACGCTTTCCATTCATTGCGGTGTTTACCTTTGCGTTTGCAGGCTATTGCTTGCGTCCAGTCCTTCCTTTACGGGCGACTCCAGTCCACACACTCCTTCGCTGCGTGCTTCTTTCGCCTTTCCTTTTTTACATTCACTCTTTTTATATCTCCGTGTTAAGGGAAACGCTACATCATGCATTTTAACAGGTTCGCCGCCAGCTTGCTGGCCACGGCGGCGGCCTTTACGTCTACAATGGCATCACCAATGTTCGGCGCTCGCTCTCCTGCCGTAAAGAGAGCCTCTTCTCCACTAAGCCTGGCTGTGTACTGGGTGAGACACGCGCGAATGGGTACCATGTCTGGTACGGGCGGCTGATTGTGTATAGGGACAAGGACCCAACCAGAAACGCTTGGCCGAGTTCTGCGCGGATACGACCATGGACATCATCCCCATTGGTTTCGTGAATGTCTTCCCAGATCAAACCGCCGGTCCGGGAACAAATTATGGCAATGCTTGTGGCGGTGTTACCTGGAAGGCGCCCGATGGCACCCAGACGAGTGTCTATACAACATGTGACGAGATCGCGACCGACATCGCTGTCTGCCAAGGTATAGGCAAAAAGATCTTTGCCTCGATCGGAGGTGAAGCCAGTGGAAACTTCATCGCCACGTCACAGTCCGCCACAGACTTTGCCGACTTCCTTTGGGGTTCGTTCGGTCCTCTCCAGGACCCGACCATGGTGCAATATCCCCGACCGTTTGGTCTCAACACCGTGGTGGATGGTTTCGACTTGGATATTGAGTCGGGAAGTGATTTCGGATATGCCGACCTGGTGAACGAGCTGCGAACCAGGTTCGCCGAGGCCCCTGACCAGCAGTTCTACATCTCGGCCGCACCACAGTGTGTTGTGCCTGATGCTCATCTTGACGACGCCATCAAGAGCTCCTCGATCGACTATCTGTATGGACCGCCAACCCCATGCTCATCCCCCGAATTAACGGTGCAGAACTAATGTGTCACAGCTTTATCCAATACTACAACACCGACTCCTGCTCGGCAGCATCGTTGTTCAGCTCAGGTTCTCTCGACACCAGCGCCGACATCACCTTCGGTTGGGCACAGTGGCTCAAGGACAACTCGCATAATCATGACATCAAGATATTCTTGGGTCTACCGGCGTCAAAGACCGCCGCCAATCCCAACCACTACTTGGACCTGGACCAGGCGCAAGCACTGATTGAGGCATATGCCTGCTCGGGCTCGTATGACTCTATCTTCGCCGGTGTGATGCTTTGGGAGGCCACCTACTCGGACAACAACCAGATCAACGGAGAGAGCTATGCCGCCAATATCAAGGACATCTTTGGCAAGCTTTCCTGCGCAACGCCGCCGACCACGTCCACCACCTCCTCGACCACTACCACAACAACGACAACGCGCTCGACAACCACGACGACGACCACAACTACGACCACTACTACAACTACTACTACCACGACGACTTCGACAATCCCAACAACAACACCCACCACCACTACCACCACAACGACAACGACAACAACGACGATTCCGGCTGTTCCGACTTCGTCTTCGACGACCAGCGTGCCTGTTCCCGCATCGACGTCGTCTTCCACAACCAGCGCGCCTGTTCCCACATCGACCTCGTCTTCAACAAGCAGTGCCCCCGAGTTCCCGGCCACAACGACACCAAGCACGACGTCGGCAGCTCCTGCTCCAACCACGACCTCGACGACGACTTCCAGCCAAGGTCCTGGCCCTGTTGGTGGGACCACAACCTCGACCACCAGCTCGACCACAACGACCTACAGCCACCCTGTTGGCCCTATTGGCGGAACGACTTCTTCGAGCAGCACGACAACTACCTCTAGCCAGACACCCAGTCCCGTCGGTGGAACCAGCGTGCCTCCTAGCTCTAGCACCACATCGCCGGCAGCAACCACCAGCCCTTACAGCTATTCCCACGGCCACGGTTCCTCGTCCACTTCCTCGGTCTATGTCAGCCCTGCAACAACTTCCAGCTCATCTGGAGCCTATTCGACCGGCTGGCAGTGGGGAGACTGGACTTCGGCCGGCAGCAGCAGCAGCCCCGTTGCTGCCGCGACAACCAAGACCTCGACGACAAGTGGGTATGCCGGCTGGGAAGACTGGTCGGTCACGACGAGCACAACCTCCAGCCCGGCTGGCGAGTACACTGTGACCGTCTGGACCACGGAATACACCGACATCGGTCCCAATGGCTTCACCAAGCATCCGTTCCACTGGACCACCTCGGTCCCGGTTGCGGCGGCCACGACCACGGCACCGTTCGCGTGGCCCACTCAAGGCAATGGATGCCCCTTTGGATTCACCACCACCGTGACTGTCTGCTCCGTGTGCGCTCCCACCGTAACGACGGTGACGTTGACAGTTCCCGTTCCCACTGCGACTGGCATCATGACCCAGACTGTCGTGCCTGTCCCGCCCACCGGTGCAGCGGCAGCGCCCTTGCACCCGTCCGGCACGGCTGAGACTTCCGTCGCAGCGGCTTCTGTCTCCTCAAGCTGGCCCAGTGGCGCAGCCAACACGGCAACGCCTGTCGCAGCTGCATCTACCTCGCCAGGAAGCAACAGCGGATGGCTCGCACCATCTCCGTCGTCCGCATCCTCCACCCCGGTGGCCCCTATCAACGTGACGCCCTTCACGGGGGGTGCCGCCGCTCAGAGCCAGCTTCCTGGCACCATGCTGAGCGTAGCCATGTGTGCGGCTGTTGCTGTTTTTGGACTGTTCTTGTAAAGCGTGCATTTGTTGTAATGGATTGCTGAAGTTCGGGCACTGAGCCAATGTCAAGTTGGCTGGCCATGTTGAGAGAGCATTGGGAAACAAGGAAACAAATGTGACGAAGAACGACTCGTTTTTGAAATCTATCTCCTACACATATACGCCACCCCCTTCGTTCCTTTCCCAATAGCATGGCAAGCAGGCACAGGCATGTTGTTGTTGCCTTTTTGGATTTTCGACTTTCGAGAACCATGGTTGGTGATTCTTGTTTTTGAGCGAATCTCTTCAAATGCACTCCGTGCACTCTGTATACTGTCTGTATATGGACACGAAGAGCTACCAGACAAATAAATAAATAGTCACGGTACATAGCTGCATTCAATCAAGTCAGCCACGTCAAACGAGACAAGAATCAAGCAGTCGTAGTCCATAAATATTGCCTCCCCGTAGTCATGGTCTTGGACTTTGGCACTTTACTCGGTACTGTGACAATAATATTGTTCGACACGTGGTTGGATTGGACGGAAGGGGAAGCATGTTGATTTGATTGTGTGCGGAGGCGCAAACGCAAAGCTCAATGGCAAAATGGCCTAAAATCCTTCCCCCTTCCGCCTCGTACCACTTACTGCTATCATACCGCCGTCTTTTGTCGCATCCAGTCGCTCTTTCTTTTTGTGAACATTATTCTTGTGCACACACACACTCCTTTGAATATGACAGTCACCCGCACACAGGCGGGTAAAACACCCAGGTACGGGCCACCAAAACAGAAACCGTTGGCGGCGTCTCGGTACTAATACACCACAGAAAAACAGTGCGGCCGGACTATGTCGAAACCCCTGGGGTGTATGCGAAGCGTCGGTCGCGTAAATCGCTGGCCGTCGTCGAGGAGCAGGGCGTGCACGTTCCCATCATTGCTCAGCACGAGGACAAGGACAAGGACACGATGGCCTTTGCGAAGCGACGCGTCGACAGCGTCGAACCGGAAACCATGAACGGGCATGCCAATGGACATATCAAACCGACGGCAAATGGACACATCAAGACAGAAAGTCAAGAGAAGGCCTCCGCGGAGCGAGTAGTGGACGGATGGCGACCGGGAATGGACCCCCGAGTCGATACCTCAGGACATTTCGAATTTGGAGGACCATGGGGAGTGACTGCCATGATGGTTGGCTTTCCGTTGCTGATGTACTACATGTGGATTGGTGCCACGTACTACGACGGCAAATTCCCGACTCCCAGAGACGGCGAGTCTCCCAAAGAATTCCTCTACAATCTCTTCCGCATGGCCTACTATGGCGCATGGCCGTCAACAAAAGCCTGGGCCATTTACTGGACCTTCTGCATCTTCGAGAGCGCTTGTTATTGCTTGATGCCCGGGATCTGGACCAAAGGCAAGCCCTTGCCCCATGAGAACGGACGCAGGCTGGACTACTATTGTAGCGGCATGTGGTCCTGGTGGGCGACCATCATCGTGGCTCTGGGGCTTCATTTCTCGGGCCTCTTCAAGCTCTACACCATCATTGACGAGTTTGGCCCGATCATGTCGGTGGCTATTATTTCCGGCTTCGCCGTGGCAGTCATCGCATACGCTTCGGCCATTTATCGAGGCAAGCAGCACCGGATGACGGGGTATCTGATGTACGATTTCTTCATGGGTGCAGAGCTCAACCCCCGCATGTTTGGAATTCTGGACTTCAAGATGTTCTTTGAGGTTCGCTTGCCATGGTACATCCTTTTCTTGATCACGCTGGGCACCGCTGCCCGACAGTATGAGCTGTATGGGTACGTCTCCGGCGAGGTCGGATTCTTGGTCATGGCGCATTTTCTCTACGCGAACGCGTGCAGCAAGGGCGAAGAACTCATTGTACCCACCTGGGACATGTACTACGAAAAATGGGGGTTTATGCTGATCTTCTGGAACCTGGCCGGCGTGCCCCTGACCTACTGCCACTGCACCATCTACCTGGCCAACCACGCCCCAAGCACCTATGTGTGGAACAAATATGCGCTTGCTGCTTTGTATGTGGCATACTTGTTTGTGTATTGGGTTTGGGACACCACAAACAGCCAGAAGAACCGCTTCCGGTCAAAGGAGTCGGGCGGTGCCTTTACCCGAAAAGCCTTTCCACAGCTACCCTGGCAGACAGTTGAGAACCCCAAAGTCATCAAGTCGGAGCATGGAGGAACCATTCTTGCCGATGGCTGGTGTAAGTTGTCTGTGGTGGACCATAGTTGCTTGACTGACGCTCTCACAGACGGCTATGCGAGGAAGATCCACTACACCTGTGACCTCTTTTTTGCCCTTTCATGGGGAGCAGTGACGGGATACAGCTCGCCCTTCCCATGGTTCTATCCTCTCTTCTTCACGGCCATGATCATCCACCGGGCCGCACGAGACATCCAGAAATGCCGGAAGAAGTACGGCAAGGCATGGGAGGAGTATGAGAGACAAGTCCCGTATTTGTTCATCCCTGTGAGTTGGAGCCTTTCGCCAAACATGCCATCCTGAGACTGACAGCGTTCTAGTATGTATTCTAGACAATATTGATGTCCTGCCGCTTGGCGACGCCATTTCTTAGCGTCCCTTAAATATCTGCTTTTGCATCTGCTGGACACAAACTCTTTCTTTCCCCCGTTGTGTATCATCCACCAAACCACGTTATATATATAACGCCCCCGGCGACGGGCATCCTCGCCGACGACATCATATCTCTCGGCGTCGTCTCGGCGTGCTCAGAGGTATGATGTCGTCGGCGATGGATTTTCTGCCCGTCGCCCGCGTTAGCATGCCTTTTTCTGCCGGCGCCTTCTGCTTTGGGTCGAGTTTTGTTTGACCTTCTTTTGAATTCTCTTCACAACTCAGGTTTCATCACCACGAGAAGTGAATCAAAGAACCTCACCATCACTCCAGCACTCTGTAACAACAAGGCCGGTACGTGTCTGACCCTGCCCTCCGCCGCTTCCGCTCAGTCCAGCAATCTGTCACGTCTTTCAGAGTTTGTCTTCTGAGAAGTCACTGAACAATCTCATCTCATTCGCGTGTGAAGACCACTGTGGTACCAAGTTACTGACCTCAACCCCAACTCAGACTTTCTCTGGCCATCCTCTCCCCGATCTTCAACTTCTCATCAACTCAGCTCGACTCGACACTGTGTCACTTCACCAGCAAAACACCTGGTCCGTGAGCGAGTCCCAAGATCCAGGAAAGTTTGAGTCGTGTCCAAGCCTCAGCAAAGACAACGTACCAAAACAGTGAGTCTCATCCCTCTCCTTCACCTCTGTGTGAGAGCGGCAGTTGACAGCTTCGTCGCAGGAACTTCACTTCAAGGAAAGACTCATCCACTTACTCCCGATAGCAACCATGAGATCCTCAACCTTGATCATGGCGCTTCTGGTGGCAGTCTTGTGTGGCTGCGGCATCGAGGCCGCGATGCCAACACCATTCCATGGTGTTGGCATCGTCCCCAACATGAACGAGTCGGTCCCGACAACCAAAACCAGCAGCAACAGCGATGACTTCTTCGCCACTCTGCCCACCAGGACTCTGACTCTCTTCACTGCCGCACCTCCACCAACCCTGACTCCGCCCGGCTTACCTTTGACTCTGTCCACATTTATCATGCCAACCTCGGTCCTTCCTCCAGAGTTTACGCCCCCATTCGAAACCGTCACTATTACAGCCACCAGTGTCAGTACCACCTCGATCTTGCAGAGCAGCAGCGCCACTACTTCTTCACCTTCGATCTCGTCATCTTCTGTCTCTCCAGCCGTCCCTGTAACGACGATCACGGTTTCTCCTCTGCCTGCATCTCCAAGCGCCGACCATACTGGCGGCAACAGTCACCTCTCCGCAAGCAAGACCACAGGAGATCTTGGCATGAACACTTCTGCTGTCTCGAGTCCCCTTCCTACAGCTACATCAAACACCACCGGCAGCACGGCCGGCAAGCGCAAGTCGCTCAGCCGCGCCCAGAAGATTGCGGCAATCATGACACCGATCTTGGGGTTGATCCTCATCGCCGTCGCCGTCTTTATCGGATACTGGCTGAGAATCCGTCGCCGAGAGCGCCAGCGGGCCGACCGCCTGGAGGAGCGGGCCCGCTGGTTCCGACAAGACCACAACGACTGGATCCGATCGCAGATGAGTGGGTTTGATGACAGCAAGGTCGGCCTCCTCAGCCGGGACCCGGTCGCGACGCCGACTCTGAGCAGCACCGACACGATCGATCGCCCGAGAACTCGCTCTCAGCGGTTCCCCGGGTCGACGGTCGTGGTCAGCCGCCCGGAGGAGGCGCTCGTCGACCGGGGGGTTCGGCGACGCGGCGGCGTCGAGGGCCTGCGCAACTAAGGGCGCATCCGGCTGGATGGAGGGAGGGTGGGCGCGTGTGCGTGGTCAGGGCGATGGGTTTTTTCAGCCTTCGGGCGTAGATAGCCTGACTGGCTCTGTGTTTTAAGACAGCAGCAACAGTGTGTCATATGACACAAATCAGAAATGATTTTCTTTTGGCCACATGTTCCTCTCCTTTCCTCTTCTGTTGGCTGTAAATAGTCGCTTCTTCAACAAGCGGTACGTATTCTGTGCGCCATGTTCGTCCATCCACTGTATGTCTGAGGACAATATACAGCGTTCGTTGCCTGACGCCCTATGCACTCTCCGTATCTAGACAACTCTCTCTCTCTCTCCCACTGTCACCACCTTGGTCGTCTGCACTACACATCTCATCACTCGAACGCCATCCCATCCCATCCTATCATCCCATCTCATCCTATCATCTCATCTCACCATGACTACGACCGCCCCCAAGAGACGGCAAGAACGTGCTCCTGACGTACTCGTCGACCCCGACCATCTTGAAACCCTGCCGTGCACTCCACGTGCGCTCCTCCCCCTTGGGCCAGCTCAGCCCTTTCCCCTCGGCGAAGACGACGCGGTACCGCTTGATCATGTCGCCGGGGTCCGCCTCGCTCTCGGCGCGCAGGTGGCCCAGCGGCCACACCTGGCGGACGACCTCCGAGTCCACGCCCACGTCCACATCGGCCACGGCGCGCTCGATCGTGTCCGCCAATTCGCGGTACGTCAGCGTGTCGCCGGCGATATAGACGGGCGTGTTGACGGGCGCGTCCGGCGTGAAGAGGAGCTCCGCCGTGCATTTCCCAATGTCCGCAGCCGTGGTGGTGGTGATCAGGTCGTCCCACGAGTTGAGCGCCGTGATTTGGATCTTTTCCCGTCCTGCTGCTGCCGCTGCTGCTCTGTTTCCTTCAATCGCCGATGACGAGGCCGGTGGAGAGGGCAGCCTCTTCACCACGCCCCAGAAGTCCTCGAACAGGAAACTCATGAAGATGCCGCAGCTGACAATCACCCAGTCCGTCGTCGTCGTCTCCTGGCCCCTCAGCAGCTCCCGCACGTCGATCTGCTCGCTGAACATGCCCTGCCCGCCCTCGCGGCCGATGACATCGTAGTCCACGCCGTACTGCCAGGGGACGTAGTACGGGACGCGGGCCTCGAGGACCGCCCGGGTGACTTTGGTCACGGTGCCCCGCGGCAGGGTCATGCCGCCGGCGTGGATCACGGCCGTGAACGGCGCGAACAGCGCGGCCAGCGCCGCCTGCGACGACGCCTCGATGTCGCCCGCGATGATATCGACGCCGCGGGAGCGCAGCTCGGCCTGCAGCGCCTGTTGTGCCGGCGTCGGGTGCGCCAGGCTCCGCGGCCGGATCAGGAGGGTCAGGCGCGTTGTGGTGGCGGGCGAGAAGCGCGGGTGTGCGAGGATGGCGTGGAGCATGGCCAGGCCCAGTTCGCCGGCGCCCAGCACCAGGATGGATTTCGTCCGGGGCGGGAGTGCTTGTTGTTCTTGTTGAGAGGCCATCGGTTCGAACCGAGGAAGGAATATATAATTACTCCGTCACAATTCCTAGAGCACCGAGTAGTATAGTAGTACCAGGAGTATAGAAGAGAGGTGAGGAGAGGAGAGTATGCAAAGCCCAGTCGGTCCAGGTGATGAGACAGAGAGACAGACAGAACCTGCAGGAGAAAGGGGGGAGGGGGATGTATATACACGAATATATGTACACTACGTATGGTATGTATACAAGGCACGTATATGTCATACTTTGCATAGACGACCACCCCCACCCTTCCTGCTTTAGATATACACATAGTACAACCCTTACTCTGACCCTCAACAGAGCAGCGACAAGCACTTGATTAATAATTAGTAACTCAAGGGTTTGCTCTCTCAAGGGGCTTGCTTCCTCCATCCCTACCATACCCACCATTCCTACGATGCCCAGATACCTGGGCGGGGCAGATAACAACACCTCCCTACCTCCCTAATTACCTGTGTATGTAACCTCGTATACAGAAACAGATAGCTAGCTACAGTAGCCTGATTCTATGGGCCTCGACTGGTCCGTCACACATAATAGAAACTCCTCCCCCTTTCTTAACGCCGGATCCACACCAAGTCGATCACCCACAATGCTCATATTGATACGTACATACATAATACGTAATAATAGGTATGAACGGTATGAATTACCAATCCGTGCTGGGGCACGGGCACCTTGGCTCGGCGGCACCAGGGGGGACGTCCGGAGTTTAGCATTTCATACCGGGCTTGCCATAACCTACCGTATGTTCCATGGGACTTGGGTTGGTGGTGCAGATGGAGCTAGTGACGACAGGCAGGCTGTCTTTCTCCCGTTACCTCCGTGCCATCCCTTGGCACACCTTCTTGGCCCTGGAAATAATGGCAGAGACGACCACGAACGAACTTGATGGGGTTACATCGAGAGAGAGAGAGAGAGAGGAAGAAAAGAAACGGACGGATACGGAGAGGCAGAAAAGGAGAAAAGTATGGTGCTGATCAATCAATTACAGGAAGAAAAAGATATGCATCCTTGTGGACATACTGTAGACACAGTATAGAATTATACAGTATGTATGTGATTTTATGGTCGAACACTTGGAACGTCCCATCAAACTTACCCATTTACATGGCGGAAAAGATAGTATAGAAGGCATGTCAACAATACCCGTCGTGTCCCAGTCCCAGTCCCAGTCCCATGGATGCGGTTACAAGGGCCCCTCCGCATCCACCATCGTTGATTCCTGCCAACACACACTTTGCCTCCCTGGCCCGTCCCAAAAACTTTTGATACCCGCCTAAGGCGCCGGCACTGACGGCTTCCTCCCATACACGATATGTAATCGAGTGTACAAATGATAATTAGGGTTGTTCAGGTCTTTCCTCGCCCCGGCCAGGAGAACCTCGACCTCTGCAGGCTCCCATCCCAGGACCCGGGTGAACAGTGCCAGACTGTAAGCCTGCATGGCTTCGGTCATGATCTCATTCATATTCTCGCCCAGCTCTCTCTGATGAGGATCTTCGGGCCATGGCGACAGCGGAACCTTGAGAGTTACATTAGGACTCTCCACGACAAAAGCGGCTGTCTTACCTTGTGGACTTCATGGACCACGTCTTGGAATCCTGCCCGGTCCACGAGACCTTTGATCTGTGGACTGATGTTCATGATGCGACCGAACTTCTCGGCCGCGTTGGTGAGTTCGGTTTGCCACTGAGACAGAATCAGACCTGGATACTGCACCAAGAACCATTGTTTGAAAGTCATACCGTATGCCAGTATGAATCTTCTGGAAGACTGTCGTCATCCGTGCTGCCCCATGCTACACCCAAAGGTCAATAGTCTTGTTCCGCTCCGTACGGCACGGGATTCCCTACCTTCAAAGTCGATGACTTCCACCCAACCCCCGGGTTTGAGATTTTCCATGCACTGCTGAAACAGCTTCCCCCAGTCCGCTATACTGCCGCCCTATAAGATTAAGCCAGTCAGGTCCGGTTGGGAGCGTCAATGATTGCTTGCTCCGACAAGACGCGGAAACATCAAATCGGCCTACCATGTGTCCTAGGCGGATAAAGTCAAACTGGCGCTGAAACGCCCACTCTACCTCGCAGTCATCTATGAGGAATTGCAGATTCGGCGGGATCCAAGTCGGCTGGATCGGGGATAAATCTGTGGCGGCAACCTCTGTCATGGGGAAATTGTCGGCGAACTGGATCGCCCTGGGGTGAAAAATCAGCCGTGGAAAAAAGCATTTCTGGGGTTCCAGGCCAAGCAGACCAAATTCCAGTGCCGGTGCCTATGTCGAGAACGCGTTGGGGAGTGCCAATCGGTGCTTTAAAGAGCTCTCCCCCAAGGACCATGGATTGAACGTGATGAAGGAGGTCGAGTCGTTCCTGCTCCTGCTCGTCATTGGGAGCGAAGTATTGCCCAGCCTTGTAGGAATGGTAACGGCGGCCATTTTCGTACTGAAAGTCAAAGGCGCTCGAAGTCGCAGCAGTATTTTCGGAGTAGGCGCCGATGCTTTCAGCATAAGCAGAATCGTTGTCACCGTCAGCCGCCATGGAGACGGGTCTTCAGCGGGCCGTGGTTGGAGGCTCCAAGAGACTCTGGTTCATATTGCTGCCGCCTCGTCAGGGAGCGGCCGAGAGAGCAAGTGGAAGAGAAAACCACAGCAGAAGAGTTTATCAGACTTGGGCTAGGTATCTCAGCCTGCAAGAATAATTGCGAGCCTAGATCCTAAGCGGTTTTCTGCGCATCGGGGCATGGCGGGTCCACCAAAACATGGGCGACGGATAAGCGGCGGCGCTGGGCGAATGGAAAACCTGTTCAATTGTGATGGGCAAGCAGTTTAACACCATAGCTCGTAAGCATCCATCAGCCATGGGTCGCTGCCCCCGATGTTCGCCGTTACGAGCGTCATTGTGGGTGTGATTGCAAAAGCCAGGCACCTTGACCGGGGTTTGTCTAACCCTCCACCTAGTGGGGAAATCGCGTGGCTCAATGGCTCTTGTGTTTTTTTTAAATATCTGTGTAGATGGTCGAATCGAATCGGTTCGTCTGTCCTGCGTAGGAGCGCCATGGCTGCAGTAGTTCCTGGTGGTGCACATGGCTGTTGTCGTCCCACCCGTTAACGAGTTGAATTTCCGGAAAAGAGGTGGACAAACCAGTAAAAAGGATGCATCTCACTGCACAGCGGACAACTGAGAGGGGCCTACTCGGCAGGAATTGCTGGTGCGCAGGAAGTGCGCTTGGGAGGACCCGCCCTGGGGCGGGAATATGCAGCTCGTGTGAGTACCGAATACCTCGTAGAGTAACGGCCGCTACCAGTGACTTTTGATTTCCGAGCTGGTGGACGGCGGGGCATACAGTCGTTGTGAGAGAGTGTGGTGGATGATAGTTGGTGGTTGGTGCAGTGGTGGATGGTTGGTTGGTTGGTGGACACAAGCCTAGTGCAGATGTTACAGTAAGTACATGTAGATGCCTGCGTCAAGGCAATCATCGCAGGCAGCTACATACAATACTTCTACTCGGTACTCCCACCTCCACCTCCTCCACCACCACCACCACCACCACGACACCAACGAATTGAGATCGGCACCCTACCCCTCCGAGATGCCTACGCCAGATATCTATCCCCTCCTGGTAGAAACCTCACCGAGTGAGTTGCATGCCCATTGTCAATTGCTGCAATTGCTGATGAGAAGATAGTTTGGAGCCCTGGAATAATGTTCTTTGAGCAGGACATCTAAGCAGGCTCAACATGTTGAAGCGTGGCCTGTCTGTCCTTCTCTATCAACAGCTGGCAAACCGATCTAAGGACCATCCTTGTTGGGATGCTCGCAGCCCGCTATTATGACTACTACTGCGGCCCTTCACCGTGCCTTGACCACAGGCTGCCCACCCCCGGTCCTTAAGCGAGAATCTGCAGAGCAACCCTGTCTTCCGGCCTAGACCTCCCAGATAGGCAGCTCGCTTCATGCGTCCTTCTGTCTCGAAAACGACAGCTAGAGCGTCTCCAAAACACACGCTATCACCCAAAATGTGAACCACTCCGTCCATACATGCTGGCGTCTCCATGTGAACAATTTTAAACCTCCTCACCAGGAAATTCTGTTTGTCCTTCATACTTGATATGCTATCAGAAGTGCAAGTCTAGCGACGGATAATCCCACGGCCCAAAACAAATATGGCTGTCATTTCGTACCCCAGTCTTGCAATCCTATTGGCATTGGCCGGCTTGGGTGGCTTTGCGACTCTGGTTATCTATCGCTTGTTCTTTCATCCCCTTGCGAAGGTTCCTGGGCCGAAAGCGGCAGCCATCTCTCGCTTTTACGATTTCTATTATGACTGTATCCAGGGAGGAAAATTTGTATTCAAGATCGAAGAACTCCACAAACAATATGGTATGCAACCTCACCGAAGTTCTGCTGCGGCGACCAACTATTTTGCAGGACCCATTGTACGGATAGGACCGAACGAGGTCCATATACATGATCCGGACTTTTTCGACGAATTTTACAACGTGACCAGTCGTCTGGACAAGGACCCCTGGTACTATGCTTTTATTGCGTCGAAAGATGCTGGCTTTGGGACGGCCAATGTCGACCTCCACCGTGCCAGGCGAAAAGCCATGAGCCGGTTCTTTGCAACCTCAGCCATCTCCAACCTAGAATCATCGTCGCGGGAAAAAGTGTCCAAGCTGTGCCAACGTCTGAAGAATATGCGTGACGAGGGAAAGCCTGTCAATCTTTCCAATGCCTATCGTTGCCTTGCCGCCGACTCTGTCACCAATTAGTGAGTCTTTTTAGAGATTGGAGGTTGTTCAAGAATACCATCCTGACACTGCACAGCTGCATGCCGAAAGCCTTCAACCTGCTTGATTCAATTGACTTTGCCGATGACTACAACCGCCAGGCACGTGTCATCTCGCACATTGCTGCGTGGCACCGTCACATTCCCATCATCATCCCTATCTTTATGCGGATGCCGAGATGGCTTGTCGCAGCGACCTCGACGGAAGGAGGCGTCATGGCTTTTGACTTCCAGACAGTATGGTGATGTCCGGTTGTTTCTGGATGGGGAACTGACCGTTTACAGGATTTGGCACGACAGGCGACCGATGCTGTCCATGCGGAGAAACGTAGTGACAAGTCAGTCCTTGATGGCATCATCAACTCGGATGCCATTCCAGAGAGCGACAAGACCGTGGACAGGATAACGCAAGAAGCCCGCACACTCGTTGGCGCTGGCAGCGAGACTACAGGAAATACCCTGGAGACAATTACCTTTCATGTTCTTGCCAACCCGGACAAGCTTCGCCGCCTCAAGGAAGAGTTGGCCAGTGCGGTTGAGGCGACCAAGGGCAAAGGAGACCCCATGAGCGACTACAGCACACTGCAGCGGCTGCCTTACCTCACTGCTGTTATCAATGAAGGGTTGCGAATTGCATGCAGCGTGTCGGGCCGACTCGCGAGAGTGAATCCTCGACAGGCATATACCTACGGTTCGTATGTGCTGCCGCCCGGGACTGTCGTCAGCATGAACATCCGCAGCAATCATACTTTTGAGAAAGTGTATCCCGAGCCCTTGTCGTTCAAACCGGAACGTTGGCTCGTGCAGGGCGAAGAGCTGAAAAGGCTCGAGAAGTACTTTGTGCCATTCGGGCGTGGAGGCAGGAGCTGCATCGGCAAGGAGCTTGCCATGATGAATCTTTACCTGACGATTGCAGGTTTCTTCCATGAGTTCGATGCTGAACTCTTTGAGACGACGAGGAAGGATATTGAGATTGAGCACGACTATTTTTCTCCCTTCCCACCGGTCGATTCCAAGGGTTTGCGGGTCATGCTCAAGTAGCTCTAACGGATTGTATATTCCGACAGAGCGTGAGACAGCATCAAAGCCGACAAGAAAAGCTCCAACCAGGCAACGTTGTACGCTTCAGTGAGATGAGGATGGCCTCAGGCGATGTCGCTTAAACATAACATCAGGAGCTATACAATCGTCGTGGTGTTTAGCCGGCCTGTTTGATACGGCGCACCCGAGATACGAGATACGAGTGAAGCTAATTAGTTCTGGAGCTCCGCGCTCGGGGCGAACGAATGGTGTGAAGGTCTAGAACTTCCCTCTATATAACTAATTTATCTTCTCTTTTCCGAATGGCATAGACGTCTATCTTTTCTGTGTATACATACGTGGCGTTGGCGGATAAGACACTGATTGCACGCTGCTGGCTGACGCGTGTCGCTTGTTCCTTTCTAGAAATTGACACGGTTCCCTCTTTTCTGTTTTTATGAGAAGACGTTCACGACTCAACACCTTGACTTAGACAATTAGAGACACCAGAGCTTCATCACATCATGGGCCTCGAGCGCAATTTCGCCGGCGATCACAAGGCGCACTTGGGATATTGGGGCCCTCCTACTTCTGTTGCCAAGTGAGTCTCTCGAGAAGTGTCAAACGTGAGTCGTTTCATGGGTGACTGACGGAGCTCCCTCACAGCTTTTGTGAAGAAGACTACGCCGTCACTCTTTACGTTGCCGAGTTCGTCAACAGCTTCACCAATCTTGCATACGGTGCGCCAACCGGGGAGAAAGAGGGAGATTCAGCTCACTAACGGGGTTGCAGTCTACTGGGCATTCCGAACACTGCTGCCTGGCGAGAGCTTGTTCACCCAACCCTCCAACCTCGCCCTCTTTTTTGTTGGAGTTTCCTCGCTGGTCTTCCATCTGACCTTGAAATATGAGACTCAGGTCTGCGACGACCTGTCCATGTTCTGGGTCTGTGCAGCCCTCGTCTACGAACTGTACACCCTGGGCTGGTCGAAACCGGCGAAGCTGGCATTCGGTTCCATCTTGACCGCGGTGCTGGGCGTCATCAGTGCCTACCACTACGCACTCCATCAGCTGTGGCTGCATAACGTCACCTTCATCGCCCTGGTCACCGCCATCTGGCCCCGAGTGTTGTACCTGATCCGAACGAGGTTCGCCGGCGAGAAGAAGCAATACTGGACCAGGCAATTCCGGGTTGGGGGCCTGTGCTTCCTCATGGGATTTGTTGTGTGGGTGATTGACAGTGCTTATTGTGGCGCTCTCCGGGAGACCAGGAAGCAGCTGGGGATCCCTTTTGCTTTCGTCCTGGAACTGCACGGATGGTGGCATATCCTGACCGCCCTCGGAGCCGGCTACTGTATTCGGGTGACCAAGGTCCTGACGCAGGAACACGCATCCGCCTAGGGTGCCGTAGAGCCTCACCGCAACGGCCCAATGATTCCCTGATGAGTGGAACAGGCCGAAGGGCGATCCGGGTAGCTTATCAGCGACACCCACGTCAGGGCAACTCCATCGGACATGAACTCATCCTCGACCAGAGATCTCTTCCGGCCATTCAGGTATTGAGAGGCCAGCGATAAAACCACCTAATAGGCGCTTCCGAGAGAACCCCGGCAGTCGCTAGGCCCTGCCGCGCATCAGATCTGGGCGGTCCAGTATTAAAACTGGGGAATGATATCAAAGGTTATACCAAACAAACGTCAGAACAATTTGCAATGCTTTTTTTTTTCCCTTTCGATGGGCCCCGGATGCTGTTCGGTTGTGTATGATGTTTGAGTCGCACGCAGCAGCTCGTTGCGACCCAGTACAAGAAGAAGAAGGACAGAGTTTCCACCACTGCCACGCCGTCTGTGGGTATGTTGCGTATGAACCCCGCCCTTCGTTTGCCGTCTAACGTCACTTCGTCTACGAAAACCTGTAAGATGATAGACGGTTTTTGGAGCGTTGGCGATCCTCATCCGGGTAACACGAACTTATTGTCGCGCACCACGCACCATAAATGGGATTATCGGTCATAGCACTTTTGCATCCTGCCCGTGAAAGCCTCGCGTGCCAATACTATCCACCATGTCGTTCATCTCTTCTGTTAGCCACCCTGTGGCATTTCGCAGCTTTACATCCGGTGCAGGTTCGATATCACGATACTATAGCAAATCTCGACGAGCACTGGCACCGTTCGCTAGTCAGCGGAGCCGACCGTTCTCACGAAGTCGCTTTGTACATGCAGCCGCGAATACCTCTGGTGGTCCGTCGTCTAAACAGGCTGGCAAAGATGCCGGCTCCGACACCCCTTCCATCAAGGAGAAACTACCGGATCCCGAGCGGACGCCCTTCCGCTTTCGCGAGTTTGACCTAGAAGGCAAAGTGTTTGTGGTTACGGGCGGGGCGCGGGGACTGGGGTTGGTCTTGTCGGAAGCCCTGATCGAAGCCGGAGGACAAGGTCAGTATATGCTTACCCATTCATTTATGCCGACACTCGCCATTGACATTGGTTGGGGGTGGCCTCCTGTAGTATACTGTCTCGACCGACTACCACAGCCCGACAAGGAATTCTTTACGGTCCAGGAGCGCCTGGGGCCCAGATACGGGGGCTCGCTGAAGTACGACAAGGTGGACGTGCGCGAGGCGGGTAACCTGGACCGGGTGATCGAGGAGATTGCCACGCACCACGGGCGGCTGGACGGGCTGATCGCGGCGGCGGGGGTGCAGAACGTGACGCCGGCGCTGGACTACACGCCGGAGCAGATCGAGGAGATGATGAACATCAACTACAAGGGCGTCTTCTGCTCGGCCGTCAGCTGTGCGCGCCAGATGATCAAGCACGACTGCAGCGGGTCGATCTTGCTCGTGGCGTCCATGAGCGGCATGGTCGCCAACAAGGGCTTCACCTCGTCCGTGTACAACTCGTCCAAGGCCGCCGTGTGCCAGCTGGCCCGGTCACTGGCGATGGAGTGGGGGAAGATTGTCAACGGGAAGCCCATCCGCGTCAATGCTCTGTGTCCCGGTAGGTGGTGGCCTAATCTCGCGTGCTTCTTTCTTTTCCATCTAATCGATCACCTCTCTTTATATGGCAGGCAACATCATGACTCCGATGGTGCGGAAGAACTTCGAGGACGATCCCAAGTTGAAGGCGCTGTGGGAGAAGGAGAACATGGTAAGATTATACAGGCCCTCCATCCCCCTCTGTTGCTGGCCCTTTACTGACGTTGATTCTCCAGCTGGGACGCATATCGACCCCCGCCGAATACAGGGGAGCTGCATTGTTTTGTCTGAGCGACGCGAGTTCATTCATGACCGGTTCAAATGTGAGTGATGATGGAGTTGTGCAGCAGCAGCTTTGCGTTCCCCTACTGACTGATTGGTTTTTTCTTTCTTTCTTCCAGCTCGTTATTGATGGAGGGTACACCGCATGGTAAAATGTTGTGTGTTTTCCGAGGGCGATAGTGGCATGCATGTCTACTGCGAGGAGACCTACCCGAGTGTACCAACAGAGCAGGCTGGAACGGGGGGGGGAGAGGAAAGGGAATGGATCTATGTGTAAAAACAAATATCGTGCCGACCGCACAGCATGTTTTGTGCAATGAGTATATCTGTTCCGACAGCTGCCAGGCCGTTCTGTGCACACTGCATCCATTTGAAGAAGCTGACTTTACCTCCTTGTAGGCTGCCACCTACCGTATCTTAGGTTGTGTTGATGTATATATATGCACCCACCACCATCCACTCGATCGTCTCTCTCATCTACCTAGACGCACACTCACAAAAACGTCCCCGCAAGTCAAAAGGGCTATAATCTCGCATCCGCCACGGGCTGGATCCGAAAGTTGACTCGGGGGAAATGCAGTCTCAGCCGTCCTTCGCCCACGGTGGGTTTACTCGCAATGACCACCTCCTTGACGCCGATCGAGACCAGCTCGCCCTTGTCGTGGTGCGTGAAGCCGGACTCGACGGGGAAAATCTCGACCATCTGGCCCTTTTTCAATCTCAGGGGGTCGGCCGGGTCGACGGTCCCTTCCGGCTCGAAGAAATCCGACGCGAGGATCTTCTGGATGGTGTCCGCGTCCGACAACTCCTCGGGCATGCCGTGCTGTTCCTGCTTCCGAGCGATGGCCTTACGGAAGCGGTCGACGTAGGCAAACGTCCGGGGGAACAGCTGCTCGCTAATGACGTCCTTCTCGAGGTACTCGAGCATGTGCATGCGCGGTTGCAGGGTCCAGTCGAAGGTCCAGATGCCGTGGATGTCGGCGAGGGTGGGCTCGGGCGTGTCGAGCAGGTACCGGCGGCCGTCGGCCAGCAGCTCGTGCTCCATCAGGTGGAAGTACATGCGCGCGTGGGCCAAGGCTTCGGGACGGTTATGCATGAGGGTGTCCATGTCGAAGGAGCGGCCGGACATGCTGGACCGGTCCTTCAGCCAGGCCGGGTCGTGCATGACTTCGGCGGTGGGCGGGATCAGGCCGGCCGTGCGCCAGAAGGGGCCGCCGTCGATGAGCCAGTTCTCGAACAGGTGGGCCAGCCCTTTCTCGAAGGGACTGTTTGGCGAAATCCGTGCCGCCGGGAACAGCTCCTCCAGCTTGTCGATGATGATGCGCGTGTCGCAGTAGATGTCCCGCCCGATGGCCAGGATGGGGATGCGCCGGTAGTGGACGCCCAGCTGTTCGAGTACGGGACGGGGGAGCCGGTTGAGCACGATGCAGTGGAAGTACTTGAGCCCGCTGAGGGCGAAGTACCAGTCCATCTTGCGCCCGAAGACCGAGATGTCGTAGGTGAAGAGGATGATGGGGGGTGGCGGTGGCGGTGGCGTTGGTGTGTCCATGATTGCTGTGGTGGTTGCCCGGTATACGACGAGGCCGTACGCTGATGCCGAGTGTGTGTGTGTGTCTCTCTCTCTCTCCCCCCTGATCAGCTATACTCTGATTAGTGGACCGACCGAGTGATCTCTTGTGGTGTCTCCATCTATCTTTCTGTCCCGGAGTAGTTGGATTTGAGTCCTGCCCAGACTCGGCCAACTTGACAGAACTTACAAATGGTCAGGAACCTGCCCTGCTCTCCTTTCCCTTTCCTCTCTTTTCATCCTCCCTGCCTGTGACAACACCCGTTAGCGACGACCAGATTAGTGGGACTTTGGTGACTGGACTTGATCGAGGACCAAGCCACCCCGCATCGAGCACCCTTCGTTCCCGAGCACCAACCTCGGAATGCCTGGTTGGGGCGTGCAACGGGATGGCCTGGGCAGATCCCAATTCAGCTTTGAACGAGTCAGGAGCCCAGCCCAGCCCAGACCCCGCAGAAGGGGAATGGCATGACACGGGGCATCGTGGTCAACAGGATTGACTCGAGTCGTGAAACTGGAGACTCGAGTACGCACTGAATAAGGGCACACTCCCTTCCCGTGATCGAGCCATCAGTCACTGTGCTGTGCATAAGACGCCTATAAGAACCAGGACAGACGAGAGGTAGGTCTGGGGAAGAAGGGTCCGCACACTCTGAGGTATCGTATACATTTATATCATATACAAACAATAGCCAGGTGGTGCAGTGGTCTACTATCTACTATCCATCTCCTTATACCACGCCATATATACTTACTTATCCATCACAACCCTCCCCCGCCATGCCCACCGACCAGGAACTCAAGTGGAAGATCCCCGAGAAGCGCGACTTCCTCGGCGGCGACCTGGTGGCCCAGAGCCTGGCCCAGCTGGGTGTCGAGGTCTCGTTCGGCCTGCACGGCGGCCACCTCGACGCCTTTCTGATCGGCTGTCGTCTGGCCGGGATCAGGCTCATCGACAGTCGCCACGAGACCACCGCCGTCCAGGCCGCCGAGGGATATGCCAAACTCTCGGGCAAGGTGGGATGCTGCTTTGTGACGGCGAACAGCGGGTACGTGTGGACCTCTCCTTCCTGTATACACCGTTTGTTCGTGTGGTTCTCTCTGTGCACCTTCAGTATATACATGGGGACGACGACGCTGGATGTTTTGAACAACCCAAGAAACGAGGGAAAATGGAAAAAAGAATACTGACCGTGACTCGTCGTTGTCCGACAGCTTCTGTAATTCGATCCCCGGCCTCGCCACCGCCTTCGCCGACCGCTCGCCCATCTTCATGGTCACGTCATCACCGCCGCTCCGCGAGGCCGAGACGAACAGTCTCCAAGGCTTCCACGACCAGGTGGTGCTGGCCAAGCCCGTCACCAAGTTCGCCCACCGCGTCACCACCGTCGAGGAGATCCCGCGCATCGTCAGCTACGCGTTCAAGACGGCCATGTCCGGCCAACCAGGCCCCGTCGTGCTCGACTTCCCCATCGACATCCTCTTCCCCCCGCCGCGGATGAACGCCCTGAGCTTTGGCTCCGTCATGCGGCCCACGGCCGTGTCCCCGGGCCCCGACCCGGCCGCCGTCGACGAGCTGATCGCCCTCTGGAAGGGCGCCAGCCGGCCGGCCATCGTCGTCGGCACCGGCGCCGCGCGCACCACGAACCGCGACTCCCCCAAGACCAGCCCCCTGCTCCAGCTCGCCGAGGCCACCCACACGCCCGTCTTCTACTCGCAGAAGTACACCCCGGCCCTCCCCTTCGACCACCCGCTGCGGGCTGGCAGCTCCGGCGTGCTGGCCAAGGTGCGCTTCGTCAAGCACCAGCAGGCCGACTTTGTGCTGCTGCTGGGCGCGCGGACGGGGTTCTTGCTGGGGGGCCGCTCCGGTGCCATCGTCCCCAACTCCGACTGCAAGCTGGTGCAGGTCGACCTGGACGGCGGCGAGATCGGCAGGTCGCACGCCGTGGACCTCGGCATCGTGTCAGACGCGAACAAGCTCATCAGCGCGGTGCTGGACAAGCTCCAGACACCCCAAAATGACCTCGGTCAGAACAAGCACGAGGCTTGGCTCCAGGCCATCCACGAGACCAAGGCCATGCCGACACAGTACACGGGCGACGCGGTCGTGCGGCCCGACGGCCGCCTCCACCCGTACTTCGCAATGCAGACGGTGATGGAGTCGCTGCCGCCGGACGCGATCGTGATCATGGACGGAGGCGAGGCCGGCGTGTGGGCGATGGAGCACCTCGAGCGGGCGCGGCCGGCCACGGCCATGGTGGCGACGGGCTACCTGGGCTTCCTGGGCAACGGCTGGGGATACTCGCTGGGGGCGGCGCTGGCGTGCCCGGACCGGCTGGTGGTCAACCTGCACGGCGACGGCAGCGCCGGGTTCCACATCCAGGAGCTGGACACGTACGCGCGGCACGACCTGCACGTGCTCACCGTCGTCTTCAACAACTACTTCTGGGGCATGTCGGTGGCCGGCCAGGACCTGCTGTACGCGGACCAGGACCCCACGCGCGCCGTGTCCAGCCTGTCGCCCAGCTGCCGCTACGACCTAGTGGCGCAGGGGTTCAACTGCGGCGGGGCCATTGCGCAGGCGTCGCTGGACGAGATCCGCCACGGCATCGGGTCCCTCCTGGCGGCGACGGCGGACAAGAAGCGGCCCGCCCTCCTCAACTGCATCGTCTCCCGCGACCCCGTCACCGAGGTCACCAAGAGCATGGTCGGCAAGACCGACGACAAGAACTGGATCGTCGTCCCGTACTACGACAACGTGCCGCGGCCGTTCTATCACGAGCAGGGGGCGGCAAAGAACGGTGTGGCGAACGGGCATTGAGGAGAGAAAAAAAAAGAAAATAAAGAAAAGAAAAGAAACAGAAAATCAACGTTGAAGAAACCAGAGGAGAAGAAGAAGAAGAAGAAGAAGAAGAAGAAGAAAAAGTATACGCCACTCATACTCATACACACCTGGCAGTGCCGTGGAACAAGGAGGGATGATATCAAGATGTGAGTGAGGACGGACGAGGCTGAAATTTGAAAAGGGGCTTTGAGGAAGAAGAGCAGAAGAGAAGAGAAGAGACTTTTTATTTGGATTCACAGTATTATGTATGTACTCCGTAATGTCTCCCCAGATATCCATCCCATCCCTTCTTTCCTCACCTCGCATCCCTCCGCGGTTCATAAAGTTGTACACAAAGAGGATGTATTTGTGTGGATCGGTCCTGTTGGGGGGAGGACTCTTTCGAAATGGACCCGAAACAGGACTTTCTTTCCAACAATTCCCTCTACATCTCGGTCAGGAGTCGGAGGCCGAGTTAAATTGTACATCGCGCCTGGACGGAAAGACAGCTCCATGATATCTAAGCAGAGACCTTCCAGTCTGAGGCGCCCCAATCGGTGAAAAGTTCTAATACAAATGTCAAAAGTGGATGGTGGAGGATGAAGTGCACCTGCCCGGGCTTCCTGTACATTCGTCTGCCGTGGTCACTTTATTCGTTCATAGACTTCTGCTGGCCCCTGATTGTTTTCGAGCTGCTGGCAAGTCTAGCTCTTGAAATCGCGGTGTGCCAGAATGCGACGGTTGTGGCGGAATACCTGATACAAACCGAGACTGGCGACTTTTTTTACTTTATCGAATGGACGACAAGTGTGGTTGAGTTTCCAGATATCCCCAGGAGCTTGTCTGTCAAAGCCACAACATTCTCATTTCTCGCCTCTTCCTTTTGGGGTCCCTGGACTAGGCACTTGTCCTTTCGCGACGGAATTCCGGTATGATCGCTGAATTTCCAGGTCCTGCCTTCGCTGGGCCTCGTACTTTGCTGCAGCTTCTTTTTGTTTCTCCAGTTGTTTCTCCTTCATTTTCTTTTCCATTTGCTCTTTGGAGGAGCCTGACACATTTTCCCACGCCTTCTTCCCCATATTTTTCACTGAATCGACCCCTTTGTCGATGATACTGCGATCCGCTGCTGGAGCTGGAGCTGGGGTTGGCTCAGCGGCAGCAGCAGTAGTGGTTCGAGCAGTGGTGGTGATCACGGTCGGCTGGACGTTCATCCGCGAATATGGAGTGGTGGTCCCGGACGAGGCGGCTCTGTGGTGCGGCAGCGGGGTCAGTTTCAGCAGCCGTCGGAAAGATTCGTTCTGCAGCGCCGTAACTTGTAGCTGGGTGAAGAAGCTGTTGATCAGGAAATAGATCTGAACAGAGGCGGGTTGAAATGCGAGGAAGCCGCCTGTAATGAGAGGAATGATGTTTCGCACCACGCCCATCCCGGGAAGCTGAGACTGTCCGCCCTGCGATCTTTGAGTCGTGGCCAAGTTGACCCACGTCAGTGCTGCCGTGGTTATAGGCAAGATATAGGTTGGATCGGTCACGGCTATATTACTTAACCATAGAAAGTGTTCTGCTTCGAACGCCGGCACGGGTAAATGGGAGCAGTTCCTCAGAAGATTCCACGCTCCATAACCAAGGGGAATCTGAAACAATATGGGCCGGAACATCTTTGTGAAAGAGAGCTTCGCATCCTTCCTGAGCTCTCTCATTTGCATCTGTGCCTCCAAGACCGCCGTGCGATCATGGTTGGCCAACGCCTCTTGACTCCTTGCTTGTATTTGTCTGATGAGGGGACTGATTTCCTGGAATTTGGCAGTCATGTCGGACGCCGAGATGGCAAACGGAAGAATTGAACCTCGGATGAGGAGCACAAGGGCGAAGATCGAGGCCGTCCAGGACAATCCGCCGGTGACATGGATGTGTTCCAGACAGAACTCCATGAGAGCGGTCGGACCCGTACCGAAATCAAGGCCACAGACATCTTTCAAATATCCAATACCTTCGGGGACGCTGGCTAGGTCCGGTGTGTCACTGGCTGCTGCCGCGGTGGCTGCGGATGTATTTTCTTGAGTTTGCAGAACCGATTTTTCGATGCTTTGCAGAGCGTCTGGTTCGGCAGCGTCTGAGGTGGAGTGTGAGGCCTTGACTGTTCGTATTGATTCGATCGTCGGTTGCGCAGTGCTCTCTACTGCAGGCGGAGGAGTCGATTGAGCAGAGGGCTGTGCCACCTCGCCGGAGGGCTTGCTGGAGCCCCAGCCAAACAGGGAAAGCGATCGCACTTGCTGTGACGAGTTCAGTCGACTTGAGTGTGCGTCTGGTCTTCGGATTGACCGAGAATTCAAGGTGTGATGGGAGAACTGGAACAGTTAGTCTTTTCACGTCGATTGACAAACTCGTCAGTAGCTCCATACGTGTCGTCCATTTCCGGCACCGACAACCACTTTGCTGTGGACCCTCCGAATCTCCCGACCGGACCACCTCAACCCCATGGATGTTGACATGCTGGACAAGGTGCGCTGCAGGAAGGATCGCGCGTGGGAGGATCATGTCACAGCTTTCAGATGGGCACGCAGCATAAAAAGTTACAGTGGATCAGTCGGGCAGGTGCGCCGAATTTGCCAATCCTCCGCACCTACAGACAGTAAGAGAAAACGGGAGATCGACCTTGAATAGCACAAGTTGCTGAGACGTGGTCTTCTATTTCTAAACTCTCCATCATAAGGAGCCCTTTTTTGGTCTGGCCATGTTCATCTTCGTACTCTCATCCTGGAGTAGACCGTCGCCAGCTCTCGAACATTGGCCGTGCCCGCTCGGCCTTCCCCTGTCACAACGCCAAGTTGATGCAATGCTCGCCTTGATTTAGATGTATCGCTGAACAAGAGCACCTCCTCTCTTAAAGTCTGGAATGTCCCCGAGCACTTGTGACTCGTCTTTGAGATCTTTGCTGGGGAAGATGGTTTGCAGAACAAAGTCCCTAGGGCCGCGTTCGGCTCGTCGAACGAAGTCATACACGTCTCCCATCGTCTGAGTCGTGTTGAAGCGCGTGATCAGTTTCGTACCTGAGCCTAGACTGATCTTCAATACGACGGTTGGCCTCGACTCATCCACCTGCGGCGTCGGAGGAGCTGCAGAGGCTGGTGCGGGCGCTGGTGCCGTGGCGGTCTCTGAGGTGAAGCTTCCAGGCATCGAAGGCACCCCAGGCGTGGGGCTTCCGAGACGTTGGCCGGAGCCTTCGAATGGTCTGTACTTCTTTTTCGGCTTGACGTATTTTTCTTCATGCTGCTTGATTTCCACATCCACTTCCTGGCCCGGTTGGACATTCATGATGTTCAGTGGCGCACGTCCTTGCCGAATGGAGTTCAGGATCTCAGCGTTCCTCGAATCGTCAAATCTGTACAAATCCCCATCGTCGATACTGAAACCGTCCTGCCAGAAATGCAGCACTCGTTCCACTCTCTCGGCTCTCGCACGGGGTTGCTGCGCAGCGGGGATCTCACGTGAGGGTGTCTCATCACCTCCGAGAGTGCGCGCCGAGCCAGTAAAAAATGTTTTTTTGGGAGCAGCCTCTTTTGGTGGAGGAGCACGTTTCTGAGCCTTTTCCAAGATTCTCTTCCTCAAGTCGTCGGGATTCTGCACAGCCAAACCTGACTTTTCGCCCCCAGCAAATAGATCTTGTTTATCGTCATCGTCCGAATCGTCACCGTTGGCACCGCCTGAAGCGAAGTCACCCAAAGTGGCAAACTTCTTTTGGGAAGATTGGTTGTTTTTGGGCTGAGAAGAGCCTGAAGCGGCGGAAGCGGCAGGCGTGGGCTGGGAATCTGAGGGCCCCTCTCCTAGTCTCCGGCCTGCGCCATAGGTGGGATGAGGGGATTGAGATTGGGCTTGACGCGAGGAACTTGGATCCTCTTCATCAGCGTAGTCTGAATCATCGGGATTGTCCTCGGTGTGATCTTCTTGAGCGGCGTAGTAGTTCGACACGGCAGCCTCCAATTCCCAGTCGTTCGCAGCAAGAAACTGATGCGCCTGTGTGAGTGGTCAGCAAAATGAAATTCACAGGCGATCAACGTTGAGACTCAACTTGTCGAGAGGATGTTCCCACGATCGCAGTAAACTGTGCAATCAAGGTGTTTTGTTCTGCAGGGTCAGGGTTCGCCATGCTGGTGAGGAGTTTTGGAGGTCGAAAGGAGAAGTCCCGAATGGAAGGAAAGGTTGATGTCAGAGTATAGCGGTGGTAAGAATTTATCGATGCCTTGTTACTGTCTCATACCACACAGTTGAAGAGTGACATTTGAAGAGAATCACAGGTGCAAATGAGAGAGAGGCAGCTGAGAAAGTACGTCACACAAAAGCGTCGCCTAGGGTGCCTACTTGGTTGCCTCCCACCTCTGGGCACCATGCCGCGGGCTGCCCCCTAATTGGGCCGGTCTGGCCGCAGCTCGTTATTACTTAAGCAGCCCTGCCAGGTCGTGATTTGTTGGGGCGCGAATCTCGTGCCTGGAACATCTTTGAAGCGACAGTAATTCTACCGAAAGCTTCCACTCCTTGACCTTGAACGTGCTGGAATTCCCTATATCGGCATTTCAGCTCCTTTGTCAAGCTCCGAAGAGGGATCATCTACACAGACCTCGACCTCTTTCAATTCATGTCGCTCCTTTGAGGAAGAATGAACACCCAACTGCGGCATTCTTGACGGGTCTTTCACCTCTCTTCACATTCCTACGACGAAGTGTCACATTTTCCGTCATGGCTTCTCGTCATGATCAATCACCTTCACCTCCTCAAGATCTGTCAGGATCCCAATTGACCATTCCCTCTGACTCTGAACCATATTCATCGCTGTCACCACCATCTTCCTCACCGCCTCAATCATCAGATAATAATGGCACGCAGCCAGTCGTCATATATCAGCCGCCAACGATATGGTCGATACTGAGAGGAGCTGCAATCAACCTCGTGCTGCCCTTCGTCAACGGCTTGATGCTGGGCTTTGGTGAACTTCTAGCTCACGAGTTTGCTTTCCGGTTAGGTTGGAGTTCAACCAATGTGAGCCCGAGCCCACGCCCATGATTTCGCTGTGTTTGTCCAGACGTTAACCCTTGTTCCTCGCAGGTATGGCCACGCCATCGATCATCTCACCCTATCGGACCCGGTGTCGAAATGAGAGACGACCCGACCCAGAGGAGAAGAAGAAACAGCTCCTTGGACCCCGACGTGAGAGATGCTGCGTCATTGGAATAAAAAGCATCACATTTCCCCGTCTTCGCTTCTATCAAGACTACATATTGAAAGACATGAAAAACTTTTCCGACCAAAACATAACGGACAGTGGCCATCGACGATTTGAGCCGCAATGTACATATTCCCTCCCCCGAAAAACGCCCAGCTTCCAGATTCGGCACAAAATTGGACAAGACAAGAGAAGGTGGAAACGTCGAGGCAAGTCCAGTGCTATGGACTCGTACAATACCGGCAAGCGCCATCAAGTCGTGTCGCTGGCACTCAATCTGAGCCTGTCTGAGCATTCTCTCCCTTGATTCCTCCCATCGGGCTATTGTTTCATCGCTTTGTAGCATCACTGTTGCATCGCGTCGCTTGTCATATCTCTTATGTGATTTGTTGCTGCATCTGAGGAGCCCATCTACGCACCGCTCTCCAGCTCAGAGCTCCAACATCGCCTGCACCGTCTTGCGCCCACTTGCCCGATCCCCAGAAACCCGCCACTCGATACCTCACCTCGGCCTTTGACCCTCCGTCATGCCAGTCATACCTTTCCATCAGATAGAGAGTGTGCCGACAATCGCCCTCGTACCTAGGGAGGCCGGAGAACGCAATTACTGGGTTTTCTTCGTTGTCTTCGGTAGCATCGTCGGTTTCGCCCTGCTTTCGGCATTGGCGGGGTTAATGTCTGCGAGATATTGCAGCAAGCACGGCGATCGAAAAATCATCAAGAAGATAGCAGCTGAGATCGAAGACACGCAGCATGCCCAGGTTGCGTCGGCCTCTGCATCGTCTCGATCCAGCCTCACTTTGGTGGAGGATCCTATCGTCGAGAGGAGACGAGCGGCTATGGTGCCTCTCGACGCTCCTGTTGGTCTGGAGGAAACAGTTTATGGAGACAAGAAAAGGTCCAGAAGAAGCAGAGGCCGGAAGAGCTCGACTGCTACGCTTCCAATCACGTTGGCCACGCTGAGGAAGTGGGCCAAACGGTCTACTCTCAGTGGTGACCACAATCCATGGCAACAATCCAATCTTACCAGCCCGATGTCCGGTCTCAGTTCAGCAGATTCTATTCCTACCCCTCCGATTCCTCTGCACTGCAAGACCAGGTGCGAAATCGGCACCAGCATGAATTACGATGAACCTGAACGGTTGATCGAAGATATTCGATCCAAGACCAAAGAGAGTATGATGACGTGACTGGAGCCCACAAGACTAAGATGCAACACCATGGAAGATGCTGAGTTAGTCCCTAAGGCGGCGGCGAACACGCGTAACGTTGGAAAATGGCAATAAGATATGCTGGGGCAGGTCTGATCGAGCATCAGTGCGTCGGGAATAGTCTTACACGGGCATTTGGGCAGGTGAAACAGCGGAGGTGGTGGCAAGCCTGCCGATATGTGGATAGCAACCAGACCAACAAAGACCCATTCTTAAAATACCACAGTCAGCCAAGTTTTGCTATAGGTCGCTCGTCATGTACAGCGTGTGATCCTCGTCAAGGAACTGCTTCTTGGACGGATCCGAAACCAGGGCGACACCTACAAGCAAGGAACCCGGGGCATATGGTCTCCGGAAGCGAATGTTCTGCTCCCCCGGACGTTTTTGACTTCTTCCCGTAAAATGCCCTTTGATCGGAGAGAAATGCTGTTGTGATTCGCCGAAATACTATGCCCACGGGGAATATGCTTCCCCCTGCTTGGACCTCGGGATCTGCTGGAACAGGACACAGGCATTTGTCAGAAGATAGAAGGAGTATTTGTTGATTCTAATCAGCCACCACGTACTCAGTCCAGACAGACAGACTGATGGAGTCGTTGTCTGAACTCCACGACCCCGAACCGATCATCACGGGCAACTCAGAGTGCCGCCCCTCGTAGCTTGTAGGTATGCAATGCGGGACATCGTTATCGTGTGCTTTTGGTTTCCCCCCACACTGCCCCGTTTCTCTCCATGGTTTGCTTTTCCAAAGGATTTACCGAGGCTGAGAGGTCATGGGCTCGCGGCTCGCAGCTCGACATATGGAGTATTACCTCGTGGTGGTGGGTGGCTAGTAAGTCAAGCCCAGCCCGGGGGAGCCCTGGTCTACCGGATGAGGAGGTAGGTACGGAGTAGATGCGTCCCCCTTTCCTCCAGAACACCGACTTCCACCGGGTTCATTTGCCTCTGATGTACGCTGACGGACATGGGATGTGGGTGTCAATGTGCGGTGGACAGTGGTACACACGAGTTACGAGTATTAATCAGTTTCGAAGTTTGATATGTATGTATGTATGTGGAGGACCATCCCTCAGTAACAAATCCTGTATGGACGAGTATTGCCGTTGTGCCGTGCCCAGTCTCCTCCGTCTACAATTCCCCATCGGATCGATAAATAATATCCAATGCTAATATTATTATATGCCGAGTACATACCCCCGATTCCACTCAGTCGACGTTTGCTTCAGGACATAACACTTGGCACATACATACACATACACACACACATACATATATACCTACTACATACACCATCCACATCCTCTTGGACCCGGCTTCACCCTGCACCACTTGGATAATCCATTTCAATCGGTGCCGACGACCTGAGCCAGCCAGCCATTGTTATTTCCGGAGTTAAAACTCCTCTCCCCCGTTCGCGATCGCCATTCCCGCCGCATTTAAAAAAGCTGTTCCAAACGATCGGATTGCTGCGACCCCGCGAAAAGGACAATTACGACCGTGGTGATAGAAGCAACCTTATTTTTCTTTCCCTCATAAATATCATTTTATACATACATCTCTCTGCTTGTATATATATCTCACGGTGAAAGACCAGCTCGCTCGCTCGCTAGCTATCTTGTCTTGTCCTGTCTGGTTTTCTCTGTCTCTCTATTGGGGGATCAAATCAATTCATAATTTTCCTGAGCCCTCCTTCTTTTTTTTTGGATCTCTACGGCCACGAGGCGGCGGACCACCAAACAAAAAAGAAAAGAAGGAAAGAGCAAGCCGGAGGACAGTGGGAGCGAGAAAGAGAAAGAGAGAGCCAGAGGAGGGAGCATCTTGAAGGAATCAGGACAGAAGTATCCGGCAGCTGAGCGAACCGACCGACCGATCGACCGACCAACCATGGCCCGGCCGCAGCATCCCATCCCCCGGAAACTGTGGGAGCATCCGGATCCCCAGAGCACCGACATGTGGAAGTTCAAGGTGAGCTTGGAGAGGGCCGCGGGGCGGAAGTTCGAGGTATGTGATAATAACGATGAAACTTGTTGCGTGGCGTGGCGACATGTGCTTTGTTTTCGTTCTCTTCTGTGGGTTACCCCCTGTGCGGGTATCCAGGATCTATGCATGGGACAGTGGCATATGGCCTCGTCTTTCTGGATGGGTCCGGAGATGGGAATTCGCTGGGAGCAGTGTCCCTCATTGAGTGTGCTTGATCTAGTTTCTCCGAGCGAAGAGCACAGAGAGAGAGAGACACACATGCATAGGGGAGCAGCAATGTCTAATCTGATTTGAACGTGGATGAAATTGAACTGGCTAACTCGCTTTTCCTCCTCTCCTCGCAGAACTACGACGCCCTGTACAAGTACTCCGTCACCCACCGATCCGCCTTCTGGCGCCACGTCTTCGACTACTTCCCGATCGTCTACTCCGGCACCGTGCCCGACCCGGTCGTCGACGAATCTGCCCGCATGGACTCCATCCCGCGCTGGTTCACTGGCGTGCGCATGAATTTTGCCCAGAACATTCTCTTCTCGGGCGATCAGTACGGACGGCCGGTTATCGACGCCGCCAAGGCCGACGACAAGATCGCTTGCACCGAGGTACGGGAAGGCTGCTTCTTGGAGCCCATCCGGCACGTCACCTGGAAGGAGCTGAGGCAGAGGGTCGGCCGGCTCAGTCAGGCGATGAGGGCGCACGGGGTGAAGAAGGGAGACCGGGTTGCCCTGGTGGCGAGTACCTGTCTGGACACGCTGACGGTCTTTCTCGCAACGACCACGCTCGGGGCGCTCTTCAGCAGCAGCTCGACGGATATGGGCGTCAAGGGCATCCTGGATCGCCTCACCCAGATCAAGCCTCGGTATCTGTTCATGGACGACTGGGCCGTGTATAATGGCAAGAAGATCGATCTACGACCCAAGATGAAGGACATCATGGCCGGGATGCAAGGCGTGGACGAGTTCCAGGGCCTCATTTCGCAAGCACGCTTCCAGCACTCGCCGGCCGACATTTCGGGTGTGCCGAGAGCCCGGACGTGGGCAGATTTCATCGCCGCCGCAAAGTCGGACAAGCTGGAGTTTGAGGACACGGACTTCGCAGACCCTTTTCTGGTAGTGTATTCCTCGGGGACGACCGGGCAACCCAAATGCATTGTGCATGCCATTGGAGGGGTCATTATCTCGGGCCACAAAGAGTACAGGCTGCACAGGTGCATCAATGCCAACTCCAAACAACTGCAATACACGACGACGGGATGGATTATGTACTTGGCCAGCGTGCAGGCGTTGACCACCGGGTGCCAAATGATCATGTACGACGGGAGTCCCTTTGTCCCCAACCTGACAAATCTGCTCAAGCTGGTGGCACAAGAGAAAATCACCCATCTGGGCATCAGTCCGAGGTACCTGCAGACATTGCAGACCAACGGTGTCATACCCAAGAAAGTCGGGGATCTGAGCAACCTCAAGGTGATCACCAGCACGGGGATGGTCTTGTCGGATCAATTGTTCGAATGGGTCTATGACGAAGGGTTTCCGCCCTCGGTACAGTTGGACAACATCTCAGGGGGAACTGACCTTGCGGCGTGCTTTGGAACAGGCAATCCCATCTTGCCACTGTATGTTGGCGGTTGTCAGTGTCTTTCTCTGGGTGTGCCGGTCAAGGTGTTCGATCAAACCGTCGAGGGCCGTCAGGGCATCGAAGTCGAGGATGGAGTGCCCGGCGAGCTGGTCGCGTATCAAGCGTTCCCCACGATGCCCATCACCTTTTTGGGGGAGAATGGTCCGCAACGCTACTACGACAGCTATTTTGCACGATTCGACAACGTGTGGACACATGGCGATTTCATCATGATCCATCCGGACACGAAACAAGTCATGTTCCTGGGCCGGGCTGATGGCGTGTTGAACCCCAGTGGCGTCCGGTTTGGTTCCGCCGAGATCTACAGCATCATCGAAGCCAAGTTTGCGGACCAGATTAGCGACAGCATCTGCATTGGGCAGAGAAGACCGCAAGATGAAGACGAGAGGGTGATCTTGTTCTTGTTGATGAAACCTGGGCACGCGTTCACGCCACAGCTGGTGAGAGAAGTCAAGGAGGCCATCCGCAAGGCCACCAGTCCCAGGCATGTTCCTAAATTTGTTTTTGAGACCAAGGAAATTCCGGTACGTCCCCTGCATCTCGCACACATCCGTGATGAGTGGCTGACATGTTGAATCCTCTAGACGACGGTCAACTTGAAAAAGGTCGAACTGCCTGTGAAACAGATCGTCTCGGGCAAGGTCATCAAACCTTCTGGCACGTTACTGAACCCCGAGAGCCTGAACTATTACTATCAGTTTGCCAAGGACGAGAATCTGGTTGACGTGACCGAGCCTAGGGCCAAACTGTAGTGTGGTTGCAGCGTTCAGGCAGGAAATGGCAAACGAGGTAGACCTATAGATGTAAATTGGGCAATGTGCTTGCAACTGCGGACTCAGCCGACCATGGCCAGTGGTGACGTGCCTGCATATCAGCTCTCGGTTGAGCCGGGCTTGTGCCCATGATGAGGGAGGAGTATCAGCAGTCTTCGTCTCAGAGATTGTTTGAAGCCGAGTCAATTAAATCTGAAAGCCAGAAAAGGACACGGCGGTTATATCATCTCGCGTTCAAGATGAAGTGATACATCTGCGCCCCGACGTTCAGGTGTCAGCCATGTCTTCATCAGAGACATGGGAGTGGCGAGGCTGGTCGTGCACATGGCCGACGAGAGTGTATCAGCGACGAGGGCTGCAACGACGCCTTGATTGCCTTCACCACACGGCCTCCTTGCTGGGGTTGATTGGAGATGGTGTTGCGAGTTTACAGGTGGAAGTGAAACCACCGAGGTCATGGTCCGGGCTGCCAAGACGGTCGCTGATCCAGGACCAATGGGAGGCGCGTTGTTACGTGGTACTCGGTATGGAACATACGATGTACCGTACCTCATAGACTGACTGGTACTGTACACACTGAGAGTCAATCAACTCTTCATTTGAGGGTTAACATTAACGCAGTTCATTAAAGGGTGTGAACAGACGAGGAGTCATCTTTCCTCTACCGAGTACTCGGTACACAGTGATTAAGAAGTCGGATGCCTTCGGGTGCAACGTCTATTCACTCCGGAAATTGCTGGCCCTCTTCACTGACCTCCCTGTCGCCCGCCCGGCGCGTCTCTTCTCTCACAGACTCCACTTGACGCGTCCCCGATCAACATCATCCCATAACCCTCACACATCGTGCCTCTTCCTTCCCACTTCCCACTTCCCACTTCCCTGTCTCTGGACAGTCTGCACTTCACTATCCGCCCTCGTCGCCCCCCCAGCAACCCAATCGCTGCCTGAGGACGCGTCGCGACCGTCTTCATCTGCTCACCGACCTGCAGTAGCTCCCCAGTCTAACCTTGCCCACTCCTATTATCTCTTCCCTCCTCGCCCAGGATCTCGCGTCCGAACACAGACCCCGCGTCCAGAACGGCTCCCTTGACTGCGCCAGCTTGGCCATAGCGCCTGGTAAGCTCCCTCCAACTGCCATATACCCTCTGCTTCTGCTCTTCTGCTGCCCAACGTTTTCTTCTTCCCACAGCTCTCTGGGTGAATTCTTATGCATGTTATATCTCCACCAAGACTAAGGCAACGGACAACTCACAGTCATCACCCAAGCACCACCAGAGACTTACCACGCATTGGCATTGGGCATTGACTCTGAGGAGCCAAAGCACCAAATACAATCCTCCAAACTGTTGCTTCGACCCCCAACAACTCCTTCAAAATGGCTACTCTCGCTCCAATCACCACGCCCGCTCGTCAGCCGTTTGGCATCTTGAATGAATCCAAGCTCAGAAGCTTGCAAAGTGTTAAGAATCGACAAAATGGTAAGCCCTCCCCTCCTTTCTCTCCTCGAATATCTGCCACTCCCCATGTCTCTTCAATGGAGACCTGATAGACTGATCTTTCCTGCCAGCTATCACACCAAACTCTGCTCCGACCTCACTGAAGCGACGAGCTCCCTCTCCCGAGGTCGAAGGAGGCTCAGACAGCGAGAACGTCGACCCAAATGTTCTGGACTCGTTGCACAAACGCAAGCGATCGGCCTTGGACGAGGATGTATCCCTTGCAAAGACACATCGCATCTCCTTCAATGTAACCACTCTCCCACCGACCAAACCTCGTCTTAGTACCACTGTTGTCTCTACTCCACGCCTCGATACCTTTGTAAAGCCCTCTACCACACCTGCCTCAGCACCTGCAGCAGGGCGCTCGCCGACGCGTCAACGCTCAGGTCTTCTTCAGTCACGGAAACGGTTCAACCCCCCTCCCTTTGCTAGTGCTACCCAATCTCCATCTCTGTCCCTATCCGCCGCTTTGAAGGGAACCAAGAAATCTCGTGTGCATTCCCGCAGGGCCCACAAGAGCACCACCATCGAGACCAGCAAGCCCAAGTCATGGTTCTTCGACATTTATGAGGAGACCGAGGAGGCCCAAGATTACCGCATGAACGAGTGGACTATGACACAGAGCGCGACGGGACTGGATATCAGTGACGATGAGAGCAAGAGTCTGCACAAGAAGTCGTCGTCTGCCGATCGAGGCAAGGAGAACATCGATCCCAACGAGGTAACTGCACCAGTGACCAGGTCCATGGCAGCTGCGGCCACCCAGAAGGCCAAGGAGAAAGAAGTCAGGATGAACGACAATGACGAAGCAGCAAGAAGCCCGCTTGCCGACCTCAATCCTGCCGAATTCTACGCCGAGGGCCTAGATGCCACCAGTGTGGTTCTCGTACAGGATGATGACGAGGAGGCCGAAACCGACGTGGAAGGCGACGAGACCAAGCCGGGTCATGACTTTGCCTTCCAACCCTCAACCACCACAACCACCACGAGCAGCGCTTCACTGTCGTCCACGGCAAAGATCATCGAAAACCTCAACGCACCCAGCCTCGCTGAGATACTTAGTTCCGCCACCCCGAATCCACTACTCGCGGGAGAGACACTCCTGGGAAAGGCCCGAGCCCCTGGCTACCCACTCGCCGACGCGGATGGTGACGTCGAGATCGAGATCTGGGAGAGCGAGAGTGCAAAGGATGAGAACGAGAAAGCCGACCTGCAGCAGCTCGAGAATGCTGTTGTTGTCGACCCGGGCAGTCCGTGCTCTTCTGTCGGCGATCAGAATGTGTTCGCCCTGCAGGAGCTGTGACCCTTGCCGCGGAGCTTTCGCATTTCTCTCTGCCCTGGCCAGTATGTGGCGGATTACTATCCAACGATTGATTGACTGATGGGCTCGTCATCCATCTAGCTCCATCACATGTCCCGAGATACACAAACCCTCGAAGAGAGGTTCCTAGCTTGAGGTTACAAACAACGTCGTGCCCGTCAGCTCTCGAATGGGACGTCGAGCTCCCATCCCAGAGTGTATGCCGTCACTGGCCTAGCCAAGCCGAGCCTAGCCACCTGGGTTTTCAGGAGGAGCTGGCTGCCATTCATCCTTCCTGCCTTACGACAGGCTCGCAACGACCACATTCTCACGGCGCGTGCGCTTGCATTGATGTCCTCCGCGTGTGGAGCTTGATCAGTATTAGCTGTCGTCTCACCCTCTCCCTCACTGTCTCATACTCTCCCGCACGGGTCACCAACATGACATGACCTTGAGGGAGCTGATGATGATCTCCTCCTTGGATCACAGTTGGTCCTATTTGCAGATGAAGACCAGGGCCCCGATGTCATCTTCAACTTTGTGCAGAGCCGATAGATGGATAGATAGATGGATTGACTGACTGCCTGCCTTTGGCATGTGTTTAATGTGCGGATTATGTCTCTTTGGTCTGTTTCCCGTCGTGTGCGCAGATTACACAAAACTGTTGTACTATCTGCATGGGCGTTTAATGCGCGGCGTAGATGACATGGGAATGGGAATACATGATTGCATTGAATGAGCCTGTGTACCTAGCTATGCAGACGAGTTGTCCTGGCGGAGCCGCGTCAGTCTCCTAACTGTGAGCTGGACCATGCAAGCCAGTAGAGATTTTTTGAGTGGGTGGATCTGCATCGAGTCCTTTTCCATAGTGAAAGCACCTCACGCTGTGTTTTAGACAACAAAATGACCATCATAGACGCCCAACGAGCATATGATTAGATCCACTCCCCTTTGTTCACACCCATGCATTAAACTGAAAGTTCTGATTCGTTTCTGTCATGTAACCCATGCTGATGATCAATGTCTTCAGCTTGGACTTGGTATAAAAAAGGGTGCACTGGTTCGAATTCCGAGGGTGATGGACGCGGTCAATCAAGCTTGGCCTGAGTCTCGAAATCGCAGTCAGTCAGACTCCAAGTCGTCATCACTGAGATAGCCTTACGCACGCCCACTCGACATGACGGATCTGACTCGTCTCATTGCCACGTCTGCCCTGCATCGTCCATGATACACGGACAGTCTGTTGCTATGGTTGCCGTTGTCGGCTCCCTGAGCTGTCCATGTCACTGCCTGCCATGGTATCATACCCATCATAATCTGCATCGTCACCACCCTTGTTATCCTCATTATTTGGATCCGAGCTCGTCGAATTTCCTGCGTCTGGCTTGACCGTGGGTGACGATGATACCGGCTCGGTGGGATCTGTGACACACTCCACGCCCGTTGGTTCTCTGGCGACGCCATTAAACATGGTATTTTCTGCTTTCTCCTGCTGGTCGGATATTGCGTTGTCCTTTGATGAGGGCGAGCTCGCCGTCTTTTCCCCTTCGCTGGACTTCATGCTCCCTTTATCAGCCTCAGTGCTCTTCTCTTGTCCCTTTGTTACCTTTGGCTCGGCCTTTTTCTGCAGCTGCTCATTCCTCCATTGAACAACGTCCACGACTGCCTGTGCGGGAGACTTCTTCCTGACCAGGAGAAAGCCCTGGATCTCCGCAGGCGAGAAGGTCCGCTCGGGAAGGGAATTTGCGAATCGCTCCGCGAGGTCCAAGACTGAGTTGTCGTCGGCCGACGTCTCCCCCGATAAAAGTCGTGATCTGCCCATGTCTTTCTGGTGGCCGAGCTTGTCGGTCTGATTATTGCGACCGATATCGCCGTCCTTGGTTGTGTTTGCATTGGGCCAATTGGTCTCCGCCTCATTCGGCAATATGTGGCAGATCTTTGTCGGCTGTCTTCCCATCTCGATCGAGTCAACACAGTACATACGCAGAAAGAGATCTTTGATTTGCTGCCTGGTTGCTAGGTCAAATTTGATGCTCAGATCTATTCGGCCGGGCCGGGTCAGGGCCTCATCCAATCTTTCCGGGTGGTTTGTCGTCATGATGAGGACTCGGCCTTCCTGGCTCGCAACTCCGTCTATGGCATTCAGGAGGCCCGAGAACGTGAGCGTGTTCTTGAGTGTTGATTCTTTCCCGAAGAGACTGGGCTGGTCTTTTGCCTTGCCCGCGGCTTGGGTGGAGTCCTCTTTGTTGTCTTTTTCCTCACCGCACTCCTTCCGGCTCTGTTGATCCTTACCAGATGGTGCCTGTTGTGTCGTTTCTCGCTTTTCTAGGTCCTTCAACTTTGGCGACCTGCCCAGACCAGCGCTGTCTATGTCCTCAAGTAACAGAATACATCGCTTTGGGAGACTGTTGAAGAGCAGGATCAGATCCTCTTCAGTCAGGGTAGCCTCGGAGAGCGCGAGACAATATATGTCAAGCCCAAAAACCCCGGCAAGAGCAAATGACAACGAGGTCTTCCCGGTTCCTGGTGGACCATGAAAGAGGTAACCTCGACGATATGGAATTCCGCGATTGCTATACCATCGTGCTGTTTGGGGGTGCAGAAAGTCGTTGAAATCTTTGAGAATGGCCGCCTTCTGATCGTTGTCCAGCACAACCGTGGCCATCGATCTGCTAGGTCTGTTGGCGATAGTTGTCCAAGCTTGTCCACGACCAGCCCTCTGAGACTTGGGGATAGGACGTTTGATTGTGGTTGTGGTTGTTCGACGGACCAGATGGTATTCTCGAGCTTCCTGAATCATGCTCTTGATGGGGTTGGGAGACAACCAGATAACTGTGATTTCAAGACGTTCTCTTTCGTACACGGCACCAGTGAAGCCGCTAGCTACACGATCGTGACATCGATACAATCTGAACAATCGACCATTGTGGAAGAACCAGCCTGACGAGGTATGGGGTCGGAACGTAGGTGGTGCGCGGGCAGACCAGTTGTTGAAATTGAAAATGGCATCCTCAGGGATCCCTTCTCGAAAATGCAGCTGCAGACTATCTTCCTGTTCATAATCTTCCATGTCATCTTGGAATTGTCCGGCAGTGTGAGCTCGGAGTGAGCGAATATCTTGTAAATACTTTTGGGCGCTGGCCCAATTGAGCACATGACTGTAGATGGGGTCATATTCGTCCACGATCACCGACGAGCTCAGTGCTCTTACAGCGTTGTAGTATGCCGGTATTAGACCGAAGCGGAATGCGGCCCATACAGTCCCCAGGATGGCACTCCACGAGGCGAACAAAGAGACATCGAGGCCAAAGCCAAGCAGGAACGAAGCGAGGTGGGAAGAGCCGGGAACCAACGTATCGAGAATAGTAAGAGGAAGATGGATAGGGCTCGAAGAGATGTTAGGGGCTGACTGGTTAGGAAGCGCCATATGGAGTTGGGCGAGATGGCGCAAGGAAGACATTTCGGAGAGAATGGAAGAATGAAGAAGGAAGAGATCTGTAAGTGTAACAGAAACGTTTAAATAGTCATGGCTTGGCAGAATGCCAGGCAAGCACAAAGCTGCGGGGTTATAAGGCCTTCGAGGTTAGGCAGGCGCGTGTGGACTTGAGGCTGACAGTCGCTCTTACCTTGACATCAGGTGGAGTGGTTCGCATTTCTTAGGATGGATGCCTGGATGGGAGCCTGCAACAAACCTAACATATGTGAGTGACAATACAGAACGGGCACGGCATGCGACAGAATTTGCCGGTTCGTCTAGCTCGTAAGATCCATAGACCTCGCGTAGGCATAGGCAGCCTTGCACGGAGGGAAACTTCTGGTAGCCGCACTCAACTCTGCTTGTCCCCGGTCAGACACTAACAGGCGGATGGATACTTGGATTTTGCCTCCGTCATGGTCAACATGGGAATAGTCCAGAAGCACAATGGTCACCCGTGTAGCATGGGACCGTTTGCTCCATGCCCAGAGAACAGCTAAGTGAGATGTGTCTAGAGAAAGAGCACCAGGGTGTCGCAGTTGTGTAGCCACAGGAGCAAACAATCGCGTAAGGCTGAAGATCTACCAAGTATTGCTGAAAATAGAGCAGGTTTGCCGAACGGGTGGGCACGTGCCGTAGATGGAACGTCCACGGCTAAGTTTCCTGCATGGCAAGCAGACCACGTGCTGCTGGAGCTCCGGAACCGCGCTTCCTAGCCGCTACCAAACGATAAACTTGTAGGGCGCCACCTGTGCGTCATCTGAAACCTCGGCTTATCGAACCTCGTGGCCTGGTGTGGTGGGCTGGCAATCGTGATCCGTCCCGTCCTACCCACCCACCCTCCCTGTATTTTGTCGTGGTAAGGTGGTAGCATCAAGTTTGGCGAGATGGCTGCTGTGGAGTGCTGTGGCTCTGGCATGATCTTCACCCTCCCTAATTATATGGAAATGAGGTACTAATTATATAGGGATCCTCCCCAGTATATAAACAAGTTCGCTGACCCAACCCCGAGCGAAACAACGTCGGGAAAGTTTTGCCTGTCTCGCTGCAATCCGACAATGGTTTGGTTCTGTGTACCATCAAGCTCGTTGGGTATATCATAGCGCCGAATGCAATGATCGCCAAATGAGTGTTACTGATGTCCACGGCTGCACAGATTCCCCAGCCTTATCCATACCCACCCCCATGCTTCATTATCTCGTATTTTTCGTCATATTGTGAGCGGCCGTCTCAGTTTCATGTCCTCCGCGTCGTTGACCCCTGCCTAATCCAGTTGCTGGAATTCTCCGTCAGTATCAATTCTGTCGTCCCACCCCATGATCTCAAAGTATTTGCGTCTGGGGAGCCCGTAGGTGACATCGTGATCCAAGGTAATGCGACTTTGCAGGGGCTGCGCAAAATAATATGCGCCATTGAATTCTGAGGCCTTTTTGGATACCTCCAGAAGAGCCCTCAACCTCTGGTCAACCATCTCCTGCTGTTGAGAAGCACTGTGCCAATAATCCTTCAAACTTTCCAGAACCGGGAATACGCTCCCCATCCAAGCCATGATATCGCTCTGATAGCCCATCAGACTCGATACTAACCCGGCCGAGGTGACGACATCCAATGCGGCTGTTATGGCGAAGCCGCTGAAAGGGCTCGACATCGCGAATCCAAACGAGGAGTCGTGCTTGCTACCGCCGTGCTCGCTACCGCCGTGCTCACGTAGTCTCTGCACTAATTTCAGGATGGCACTGGCGTGCTCGTGTACTCGCGCTGCACACACGCCAATCCGGAGCTGATCCATCTCCAGATAAGGAATGTACCGGTTGAGGATGAGGGCGGTGTAATGATAAAGAATGTGGAAGCCGCCGTCTCTATCTCGTCCGTCTCGGCCTTCTCGACCTTGGCGGTTATGTCTCCTCATGAGGTGGTCCCACGCCTTGAGCCGACTTTGAATGTCCTTACGGAACACGTCTGCCGTCAACCGATCCTTCGCCGGAGACTGCGATTTACCTCTGCTGGCGGTGCTCATCACCTCACTGAAGATACCCGCGATCTCCACCAGGTAGCCAAAAGAGCCGACATCGGATGATTCGTGTGGGGTCGAAGGTTGACTATCCTCGTTGTTCTTGGATAATTCGAGAACGAACGGGGCCAGAGGAACATGCCCGGCCTCATAGGCGGCCTCAGCACATGGTAAGCGCACGTGGCAATCAGAGCGATTGACAGTCGTGACAGAAGCAGACCAACAACAACTAAAGCTGTCCATCAGGTAGGCTGCCCAGAAGGTCCGGCGTCGGCATTCCACCAACATCTGGCGAGAAAAACCGAAGTCCAATGCATACCGATCTTCCATCGTTGAGACTCCCTCCTCAGTGTGGTATCTCAACCCAAAGGCGGTCCGCACAGCGGAACCACAATGATCACTTGCCCGGTTGTATTGGCCTTGGGAAAATGCGAAGAGAGCCAGGATTAATTTGGTCTGAATCAGCTGTAGGCTGAACATGTCGCCATTCTTGATCATGGCCCTGTTGACAATCTCGAGAAACACGTCTTGATGGTGCTTCGAAAACGGTCGTGAGGGTGCAAATACCGTTCCCATTGCCAGAATGGCATACAGCAACATCTTATCAGCCAGTGACTTGGTGTGGCAGTTGCAAATCCAGTGTCGGAAAAGATCTTTGGGGAGAATATGATACGTCACGCCGTCGACGTGCTGAAAGTACGTATCCACGTAGTCGAGGGTCAAGCTACGGCTCAGATCGTAGGGGTCCACGTCCCAAGAGAAGTTGGAGATGATGGATGGCGAGGCGACCGACGCGGCAACCGATTCTGTACCTGAACTCGCGGACATTTGGCCTTGTGATGTAGGGCGAGGAGATGGCGAAACACGAGGCCTCTTTGCTGGGGGTCGGTTTTCTGACCGACCCTCGTGGTTTGCCTGGTTATCTGAGGCGGCATAAGGCATGTTTTCTACCGGCATTGAGGCCTTCGCATGGGTTGCGGGTGAAGACGCTCTTTAGAGGTCATATCCATGGAAGCGGCCGACCCCCTTCGAGGGTGATGATGGTCTTGCCTCTGGCTGAAGTTCGTGAATTTGGGAGTTGAAGATATCGACATCGGATAAGCCGAATTCCGCATAGTAGCACGCGGCCTGTACAGAAGTCAGCGGGGGATAATTATCAAGAAGACGGGACTGCTCACGCCGACCCAAACGTGCAATCACGGTTGATATTTTTACACATTGTGCATATGGGAAATTTGAAGTCACACCTCATCTTCTTCTCTCGGCAACCGTCGCACGCCTGCCCGCTGCGCATTTTTAGTTTGCTTGATTTAGACAAGTTCCACGTGGAGTGGTGGCCATCACTATCCGGGTTCTTGGAACAAATGGTATCGTCCTCATTGGTGGGGTAGCTCTCTGACTCGTCGACGGAGTCTGATTCCACGGCCGCCTGACCAGGGGCATGATCGACGGGAGGGTGTGCTGCACGAGGACCAGGTGCAGCTGGTTGACTTTCTGAACGACCGGTGGCTGAGTAGGACCAAGAGGGACGACTCAGGGCATCAGACTGGGCATGCCAAGATTGGGGCATGGCGGAGGTGGATGGATGCTCTTCCGAAGGTGTGAAGGTATTCCTCCTCACCTCTGCCCGACGGGGCTGGTCAAAGTGCATGGAATTGTTGGCTGCGGCCAGGAATGATCGGAAGGATGGTAAACTTGGCTGTTGTGAAAGGGAGTCTCCCGTCGGCGGTTGAGCCATTGAGCCCGGCAGTCGGCCTGATGAACGCACTGGGGTTTGACGACGTGGTGTGTTTGGTTCAGTGTCGTGCCACTCTTGCACTCGGGATTCCAGAGGTAGCACAACGCCCGTTGCCATTTGCCCACTTTTGGGTTACTAGGAGCAATCTCGTCGGCCAGTGAAGGCCCTGGTGTCTGAGGACGCAGGTCTCTCGGACTTGGTTGACGATGATCCGTCTAACAGCAAAACTTGCGAGTCTGGCTTGGGCTATGACGAGACAATGCTGGAATCAGTGTCGATGAGAGCAATCTTTGTCGGTCCCAGGCCTCGAGGGTACTGCCAGAAAGTGGTCCTAGCAGGCTGGACGTTTGCGAGAAGTACTGTTGTCCTTCAGAGCTTGGCACCAATGAGTTCTCAAGACGTGCCTCATGGCAAGCAGGCCACGGGAACGGTCGCCGCGAGTTACACAGCAGTCGGTAGGTTAAAATGAAGGGATGGGGGGATGGTTTGGTGCAGATATTGTGCCACCCCAGGGTGCTGCCCCTGTGTTATACGCTGCAGATGATTGCTCGACCTGGTGGCCCAACGGATTTACGGAACGACTGTACGCTGGTGAAGAGATATGGAAGCTCTGCGTGCGTTACAGCAAAGTGCGAGCTGAAAGAAGACCGAGACCGGAACGAAAGAAACTCGTTGATTGAGGTATTCGAAACAGTCTTGTATACAAGACGGAGCTGGACCGTTGCGTGTGGATGTGTAACTTGGAGGTCTTTAGCACGTTCAAGAACTTTTTTCCTCTCTTAGAGCAGAGATGGAAGGAAAGGAAGTGGAGAAAAAAGCCTGGAGAGCACACAGATGCAAAGTCAGCGAGAAACTCTGTCGCGTGCGGTGTAAGCGTGGAAGAGGGGTTGGTTATCTACCTAAGCAGATACCAGGTAGCGCTGCTCGGGCCTAAAGAACAGGGTTCAGATCAGATGAGATTTACGGGAGACGAAAAAGTAAAAAGCTATGCTGGGTCATCAATCGCTCTTGGGAGATGTGTGCTGATTTGTGGTTTTCTGCGGAGGGCGGACAGCTCGAGGTGAACGGCTGGGTGGGTAGACCTAGGCCTCTGGGATCGGATAGTTTGGGAATCAATGGGGGATGGCGCCCTCGTGGTCCGTTCGCATCTGTGTAGCCTGGAGGCAACAAACCAGCGTAACGCATGCCATCTGACCCTTGCCGATCGCTTGCAGGGATAATGAGCGCTAAATTGTGACGGGATTGAAGGTGGACTGTGGATGGGCCGGGGGGAGGCAGGCAATCCTTGAGGGTGGAGGAGAGGGAACGGGGACCGGGGGGGGAAGGTTGAGAAGCAGGAAGCAAAAGGGAGGGATGATCAGGGTTTGGTGCGGGTTTGAGAGTGGAGATTTCCACAGCTCAGGAGGCGGTTGGAAGGGAGAAAGAGAGTTTAAAGTTTCAAGAAAGAGGGTGAGATGGGAAATGGGTGGAGTGGCCAGAGTCGATCAAGGCTAGCAACTGGCGAGTTGTCTGTCTGTGCACGCACGGTCCATGCCATGGTCCACGGGAGAGGAGAGGCATGCAAGCAAGGAAGGGTGGGCGGGCTGGCGAGAGCTGTGCAAATAGACAAATGGGCCAGCAAGGAGGGGGAAGCCGGAACACGAAGTAACCCAGTTGATGATTAGGGTCGAAGATTGTTGGCGCGCCACTGGCACTCGTCGCAGCGGGAATTGGGAAGGGTCACTGCGATTATTTGTGGAGGAGTCTTTTCTCTGCTCAGCAGGTGGCCGGCTTGATAGAATGCAGAGGAGACAGTATTATAGTAAAGAGAAAGAGATGAAGCCCGGTGGCAGCAAATGTCAGGAATAATGGGGATGACCGGGGTATGGCTCGGGTGAGATGCGGACAGGTGCGAAGGAAGGAAGCCTGCAGTCATTGCTGGGCTTGTCTCTGCAAACCTCCAAAGGGCGCATGTCAGGTTCATTGCTCCCCTACCTCGTACAGTGGCAGCAGTGTTGTTGGGCAAGCTTGAGGAACAGCCACAGAGCCCAGAGGCCGCAGGTGGGATGAGATGATAGGCCCGGGGATCAACAATGACCTTGGATTCACTTTTGACCTCAGATTTTAGATGGGGGCCTTCGCAGTGCCTGCATCACTGCATCCAATGTCCATCCTTGACCACCACCCATCCCAAGTGAAGAAAATGACGCCTCAATATGACTCAGTCACTTCATGACACGCTTGACACCACCTTGTACCTTTGACACTTTGACCCTCTCTCGACACACACTCCCCTTCCCAATCCGAAGCACACCGCTTGCCAGAAGGCACGTCGCAGGAAGGAAAGGCAAAAGGGCCGCTGTGATGCCGCCAACCAGCCCAAGGGAGTTCCGAACACTTGACGCAGACACGATGCAGCACGCCGCAAATCGGATCGGTTGCACAGCCTGCGAGGAGGGATACGAATCAACCATCCTCCTCTCCTAACTAACCGCATTATGGAATCGATTGGCGAAGCAATCCGAAACCAGCTCACCAGCACAGCAAATGTGCCAGCCAGGACGCCATGACTATCCATACCTCCCAATGGCTGAGTCGACCCTTCAGCCTACCGCCCTCACTCTAGATGCATGAAATTCGCCTGCTATTAATACGAGCAAACTGGTGACTGACTCTAGCGTTCTAGATTTCCCTGAGACATGACCACATTACGGGCACATTTCAGTCATCTGATTCCTTTCTTGCGATGCCCTCCCAACAGCACCTCCCTCCCTCCATCATTGCCACAGTATGGCATCCCCGACTCGGCTGGGTCTACGAGCCATCCGGTCGACCCTCACCCTTCCCCCAGCCTGTGGCGCTCACTAGGCATGCTGCTCGCTGGAGCCATTGGGTCCTGTCCATCCAACCAACATCCAGCCTGTCCAGACACAATTAATTACCCCTTTCACAGCCATTTCCCCTAAACACATCTCCCTCCCTTACAGAACGGGGGACAGACCAGCAGCAATAGCCGCACAGAGCGTTCCATGCAGCGGGAATCTAATTTTACCGGACCTACGAGCCCTGCCTGAAAGCTAAGTATTGAGAGGGGAAAAGAATATGGGTACAGTGTATTACTTGATCCTCCCCGAACTATGTACCCCGTACTATTTATTACTCTACGATCGCTTATCTGGCACACTCAATGTTTGGAATCTTACCAACGCTTTCCACTACGCGGCTAATAGTCGGAACCCAATTCCGTGAATCACATACATGGCGAGTAAAATCCAGGACTTCTTTTGAACACTGAGATTGCAAAGGTATTGGGATAGAGGTTCTCGTTCACTGCCATGGTCACGAGACACACAAGAGCTTCAGACGCACGGCAGGATGGGGCGTGCCCATTCGTTCCCATTTCAGAACTTGGCAGCATCCTGTGGGTTGCATTGATGAGCATGATGAGCTGAGAGGATCATGAAAGCCCCACGGCGACAGGAGAATTGATATGGTGATTGACACTTCCAGTCCGATTGCACGACACTATGTGGCCTTAGAAGCTCGTGCATACACCTGTCAGTCTGCATTCCTGCACCCTCGAAGTCCAATAGTCTGGACCAACCACCCGGCCTTGGCGCTTGCCTGTCTCTCCCCTCTGCTGCAGAAGACAACACCATTGCTGGCAATGGATAAACGGCCAATTTTTTCTGGTGCGGAGCTTGCCGCCAATATCTTGCCCGTCCATGGCGGTCTGTTCGAGGGGACAATACTAGCCCCAACAATGCTAGGTATCAGAAACGGCACAAATTGGAGGCTATTCGTCGTGTCGTCCTTGCGGTACGCCATGCCAAAGCGGGGGTGCCGGCGCCTTGCCCCGACGCTTGAGGGGCTGGACTGGAACCGACGACGTAATGAGTTCAGCTAGGGGTTTTTGTTAGTGGCATTTTGTGTCTGGCGAACACGAGCCCAACGCCCACTGCACCCAGCTCTCCCCGCTGTGGCTCGAATTTCGAGCCTTGTGGTTCACTCCACCGCGGCTTATGACAAACGTGACTGAATGGATTCAGCTCGTGCAACAATGGAATGGCCCTGACGCCCAATCATCGAAAGCCATTAAGCGAGCTTCCCAGCTAGGGCGCGGCTGGAATGTCTTGAGCATTGATTGTTCATCCGCCTTTGGCCTCATTCCAGGTGCTGCTGTTTGTTCCGTTTTCCCGATTTGACAGACACCCTGCATGCTCCTTGAATTGCTGTCAGGAGCACCTTGACCACTGGCGGGACGGGCCAGACAGCGTCTGTGGCAAATGTGACATGTCAGGTCTACTCGAACACTCTAGCGAGCACATGCTCGGCACAGCTCAACGACCCTCACATGATGTTGTCCTTACGTGCTGGTTTCTGATATGAATTTCTAGGGCGAGAACGGTTGATGGGAGGGTCCTGTTAAGACTGAAGGGCCGGAACGAATAACCGGACAACAGGTGATTGGGCGCCGGCTAGGCGATTGATTCTTCCCGTATTTTGCAAGCTGCTGTACCGAGGACTTTGTGCTGCTCAAGCTTGACTCTGATAAGAACCCAGCTGAGCGATGAAAAATGCGCGTTTTACTAACAGCCCACTTTCAAGGCGGGTATATGGTTAGCATGATGCATGTGTAAGTCTCCCGGCCAAAGTCGCTCCCTTGTGCGAGACCATCTCCAGCTCGGGCGGCAGCTCATGCAGCGAGCCGACCAGCGATCTGTGTGCAATAAAGTGGTGCATGAGCAAAGGAGGACCAAATGTAACCTGGGATTATCTTGTATCGGACCGGGCATGGTGCCGTGTTGGTGCGGAGAGCAAAGGCTTCCCCGACCTCTCAGCTTGATGTGGATGCCCCAGGCGTCCGGGCTCATTAGGCTTTGCTAGCGGCTTGTACGGCGCACTGGCAGGCGCATTGAATCGGCTTGTCTCCTGAAATGATACGGCTTGTTGTCTCATGATCCCCATGGCCTCTGGGGGGCATCCCACGCTAAAACTTACCCTCTGCCGGAGATGCTCGGCGCTGATGAATCCAAGCCGCAAAAGAGGACGTTGCTGCGTCCCGCCATGCAAAGGGCAGGAGTTTGAAGTCCCCCTTTTGGCCTCTTGGATATGCTGCATTGAGAAACGCAGTCTTCCGAATCGGTTGTGTGGAATCCAACCTGGGAGCGGAGACTCCATTTACCAGCAGCCACTTTCTGTATTAGCCCGTCAACAGGGGCAAACGAGTTCGGCCCACGTCCACATCATACAAGCAAGGACAATGTGAATGACAATGTCCCATTTTCCATGCTGCTCGTGCTTAGTGCTACCCTTGTCCTTAACCAGAGAAGTATTGGTTCGGGATAAGAAGGGGCCAGCAAGGGCCGTCCCAACCCCGGATCGCCAGTCCCGGTCCGCCAACATTCATGGGCCATTGGGTGGCCAAAGCTCACCCGGGATTCTACCTGTTTGGTCTTAACTGGAGCAGGCTAAGGGCCTAGGAAAGGCCCCCCAAACTCAACGCGCCCTGGTGCTGCATGGCGACTCTCAACCAACTTGGCCATCAAGTATTATCAAACACTCGTCGACTTATGCAAGGCCCATTTGCGTTCCATAAGTACATTTTCGCCCAAAATAAAGTGTTGCCTCGTGGGATGTTGGCTCGACTTCCCCTATCCGCGCAGGGACTCTTGCTGCAGAAGGTTGGGATCGTTGCTGGGCGCGAAGATCTAGGGGTCCCTGTGCCGAATTCTGCCCCAGTCTTTACCGTTCCAACCACCTAGTCACGGTGATCAAAGTCATCCAGCGACCGACTACTGTACTACTAGTTTTTGATCCGCTACCTCCAGGTAAGGCTCCCTCAAACCCTGGCTCTCCTTTCTCTGCTGAAAGGATCAATTGGCTTTCTGAAGTAATTACGAGTAGGGATCGTCTGTGGGAAAAGCACTCCAGGTGCCTAAGCGAACAGCACAGGCCCTTCCATGCTGCTTGACAACGACCAACGAGCGCAAGGGTTCAGCCTTCAAGAACTGAGTTCAAATTCGACCAGGCTGACGGAGCGTTGAAGAGTTTGATCACGCGCAAAAATGGCTGCAAGCGGTCTGTTTTGGAGGGCAAGTCAGGCTCTTTTCGGATATTCAAGCCGCCGTAAAGGGAAGCTCGGAAAGGCAATGAGCTGCACCAAAATGGTGGCAGCCGGCGGACGTTGGTTTTGCGGAGGTGCTCCAGAATGGACCCTCCCCTGAGACAACTAAGACAAAACGTTTGAAGGCTAAACTGGCGGAATTTACGGTGGCAATCCAATTGGGGTGTCCCTTGCACTCGCAGACATCTCTAGAGTCGACTCTGACATGTGTCCCTTGCCAGAAGAACTATTTCCCTGGGTCATTGGCAGACGGCAACGTATCTGAGCCATTTTTCATGCGCTAGTACCGCAACGCCAATGCCAGCCGTGCACGGTCACCCGCCAAAAAGGTCGACTGGCGCAGGGGACGGCGCATCAGACTGCAATGGCAATGCAAAGGCCGGCGGTTGGATGATCACCCTGCCGTCAGACTGATTAGGCATCCTGCCAACAAGTGCCGGCAGGGAGGCAACATGGACGGTCAATCACCTGAAGGCGAAGCCAAAAAGCTCCAGGTGCAGGAGGTTCGCGTCTCTCTAGCGGGTCTCGGGGGCATTTGATAGTCGAGGGGACGGCTCGCTCAATTCAGGTAGAGCTCCGCAACTGTTTTGGGTGGGCAAAGCATCATGTCCACCCCCTTACTGCATACAGTTATAGACAGTTAACTAGGTCATGTAGGTAAAGCTCGAGGTCTGCTGCAAATTTTATTCGCCCCTGCGAATATGACCTGTCACATTCGGATACAGCTACTCCGACGTCTCGCCTGGAAGGCTAAACCGGACATACCTGGAGACCCCTCTCATCTCCAGCATGCAACAGACGGCATATTCCTCATCCTGATATCACGCATGGCCAAATGGACAATCTGGTGCGTGTCTCGCCCGTCGACACAAGTTCTAGGCCTTCAAGGGGAATGGGGTTGAAAATTTGTGCGGGTGACGTCATGACTGGCAATTTGACAGTAGTGTCGCAGCGTACTGAGTGGTCAGGAAGATGTTTGAACTTCGTAGAGAGAACAGCATGCACTTAATCCGACATGGTGAAGTTGCCTTGGTCAAGCACCAGAAGCCTTACGTCTCGAGGTACCGGCTTCCTTGTTGGCCAGTCTTCCACGTAAAGAGATATCCCAACGACAGGATTGCTACAGATGCCAACCGTGGGTGAGGGCAGCTGAACGCCTGTAACACATTTTTACACCCGCAGACCTCTTGTGGAAAGCATTCACCTACACCTCATCTCGAGACGTGGACGCCGCAACTCTTACTGCATGCTGGGCTTTGGTTTTGGACACTTCGTGCGAACGTCTCTCGGCTTTGACCTGTCCTGGTGGAACTGACAGTGCTTCTAGCCACAGCGTCGGCTACGACACTGTCAAAATATGTTCTCAGCATCACCCTTTCACCCGTACCTCAGCGAGCCCCCCTCCGAGGTCAATACTGCTGCTTTACAGGAGGGTTTTGCGGATTGACTTCTTGGAAACACGCCCTCTTCCTAATTTTTACCTGCTTCAAGGGGAGTGAATCGAACACACGACACAGGACAGGAATGGAAAACGATCGAGTTGCAGCCAAGCTGTTGATATTCTGAGAACCGAATGGACATTTGGGAGGACCTGACAGCGATGTTGCTCCCTCAGTTCCCAAGTCTTGGACGCTGTTTGTTGGAAAACCACGGTAATTTTGATTGGAACCACCAATATATCCTCAAACCTGGTTGCCGGCGCCCGTTGATGGGAGACCATGTCGCTCCAGGTAAGCAAGCTTTGCGGAAAGACTTGCTGACCAAATCCACCAACCGCACCAATCTCCCACTAACTCTTAGGCAATGCGCATTTTGTCCCGCATGCTCTTCCTTTCCTACTGCTTATTGGAAATTCCCTTTCTTATTCTTTCATTGGGGTTTGAACCCATTACATTTCGAGGCCATTCTCATGCAGAGCTCTTAGAGCTTCCGATCACAAAAGTCAGTTTTAGTGGCACATCGTGGTGTTTACGCCGCTTGAGTTATTATGATGCCGATAGGGTTGGCGCTTCTGGGCACACAATGAGGTTCTGTTGGGGTTCTTTGTGTTGGCTCCTAGCCTAGAACCCTTGCAGTGATCTACAATCAATGCATGAATAGGGAATATTGTCCGATCGCTTTCTTTGTCTGATCCCATTTTTGCCTATGCCAAGTACATCCTTGCACTTCTCCTAGCCATACGCAACTATTACGTGGACCGCGCCCTTAATTACACATGTGCATTGTTTATCGATGGGTTAATGGTCCCGAACATGCCTTTCCCCACCAGAGTTGACCCAAATCCGGCATGGAAAGCAGGAAAATTGTGACATGTTTGCTTGGATCCGCAAAGACATAAACAGTCTCCGGAGCCTTTCTCTCCAATCTCTCCTTACTGTTGGTCCCGGAAAACTTTTCCCAGCCCGGGCCCTCTGGGACCCGCTGAATCGTCCGTCAGGCCCCATTATTGCTTTACCACATAGCTGGGGGATGTTTGTCAAAATGGTAAACCTTATTCCAGACACAGATCTACTTGTGTGGCCCGTGTCACAAATGTCAGCTCGTTGATCTATTGGACAAATCCAGTTGGTTCCAATTCGCGATATCACGCGGATCGTCGGAAAACCTGGATTTCAAGGTCGATCCTCACACTACGACTCAAGGCACCTGGACCACGGCACATCTGCGTGACAAAGTGGATCTTCTTCTCCAGTAAGATCATGCGTGCTATCCAGATATCCACCAGAGGAGTACATGTTTAACAAAAGTACGGACTGAAACCCTGCGGACAACGCAAACATAGTGGCATAGCCTGACGCCTTACTCTGGCCCGTGTGGCCCCATCGCTCAAGCAAACAGGAGCCTGGCGTGGAACCGGCATTCTAGAGAATGATGATCCATCACTTGGAAGATTCCGCCTTGTGACTCCTGATCGCTGCAGATCTAGTTGTTGCATCCGACGGGGGGCGTTCCGTCGGGGATGGGAGAACTATTATGAGAGGCTGGGTGCGTTGTCTGGAAAGCATCACCCTCATATGGAACAGATGGAACAAAGTGGTCACACGGAAGGAGACAGTGTGAGACAGTGTGCTGTACCCGGAGATGTGAGATTGGAAAACGACGCAAGCCTCTGGCATGAGGGAGCTTAGCGGGACGTCATTCTGGGTCTGCTTCACGGCCGTGTAAGTTGCTCGAGCAATTAATTGTGCAAATGACGGTTTGAGGGAGATAGGAGGAGTTGCTTCAGGTCGATTTACTGCAATCGGGTCTGTCGTCCCCCTGAGGGCATTAAACTCCGCGCACCCTACGGCTACATTAGAAGAGCCATGCCGCCAGGCCACAGGTTTACGGTGTCTTCTATGGTTTGCGTGTTGGGCAACAGGATGGTAAGTCATTTGAGAGGGAATTTCGTGTTTCTGATTCTTTCACTATCATATTTGCTTGAGCGAGGGAAGCACCATCCGAAGGAGATTGGCCATAGACCCTCATGGAATTATCTGCTCGAACCATGAGGCCAGGCCACTGGTGCTCCCAGCCCAGGTCAACTCTTGCTCATTCGTCTAGCGTCCCAACGTGTTTTGCATGGAATCACCGCCCCCTTCGCAGTTCCGGCATTTCTTCGAAAATCAAAAAAGAAAAAGATTCAAGCAAAAGAAATTGCCTAGTTCTCGTGCAAGACCTCTTGGAATTTCTCGTTGACGCGCTCGGGCTTGCCGTGATCCACGCCCTTCTGGCCCAGCTTGTCCTTGGAATACTGGGCAGCGTAGGGGTTGAGGCGGAGCAGCACCTGTCGGTTGCGGAGCGGGTTCTTCTTCTGCACGCCGGTGCGCTTGGTGGTGGCGAAGCCCTTGGGCTCGCGGAGCACGGACTGGATCTCAGAGCTGTTGATGAGGCGGGTGATGTCGGCGTTGGACACGACGTTGGATGGCAGCAGGAAGTCCTTCTTCAAGGCCGAGGCCTCGCTGGTCGATCCGTAGATGGTGTCCAGCGCACCGAAGGCGGCCGACGTCCAGATGATGAAGCGGCCCAAGTGACCGCCCGGGGCGAGCTGAAGGAGGTTCAGCGCAAAGACGGAAGATATCTCGACGCCAGGAATATTGCGGAACGCCCGCGCGAGCTCCTTGCCGTCGACCTCTGGGTTGTACACCACCAGCGGCCCGCGGCGCATGCGGTGACGGCGGTTGCGCATCTTGCCCTTGCCGGCGCGCAGTTTGCGGGATTTCTGCACCTTCACGATGTCCGGCCCGGCGCCGACGGCCTTTAGGAGAGCAGCGGCAGCAGACGTCTTGACAAGCGCGGCTCCTTCAAATACTTTGCTGGAGATGACCAGGGGCACTTCGGGGACGCTCGAGATGCGGTGGCCTCGGGCGAGGAGAAGGGCGGGGACCGAGCTGGCAGCAATGGCGGATGCTGTCGCGAAGCGCCTGTAGGGAAAGAAAAGGCACCGTTAGACAGATCATCCCAAGCAGTAGTAGCAAGGGCAGGAATGGGGCAATCTCATACTTCTGGCCCAAGTTAATCTTCTGATGCCACTTCCTCCAGACCTTGGTGGGTGCGAACATGCGGCCGGACCGACATTGGTTACCAAACGCAGCTTGACCTGCTCTGTGTGTGCCACCGCCGGAGACACGAGGGATACGTGCGACAGCACGACCTGCAAAGTTTTCTCTTGCGTTAGAGGTTTTGTCCCAACACCTTGACACCGGTATTAGATTTTCTCCCTCTCAAAACGCACCTGTGCCCCATGACTCTGCGGATGTCTGCTCGCCTGCCTTCTCGCTCACGGCATATGGTTGTCTCTTGTTCTTGGCCATTCCGGTGTGCACGGTCCTGATCTAACTGTTAGCTCAAACCGTCGTCGACTTCGTGGGAATCGAGAGAGGGTTGCTGCATCGGGAGGAATCATCATACTGGACAATATCAGGACGGATGGGAGAGCTGAAGACGGCGGGCAGAGGATGGGTCTCCCCAGTGCTGGAGCCATCGCCGCCGATGATGCCGACAGTAGGACGGTTCGACATCCTGACTTGCGGTATTGTGGGAGTTGAAGATGGGTGTTGACGAGGTTTGCTGCGGTCTGCGAGAGAAGTTCCCAAATCTTCAATAGCCCAAAAGCGCAGCGAAAATTGGGGGTTGTGGTGTGAGCTAGTCCAAATCAGGGATGAAATCTTGGCGAACGTATAGGTAGTCTTGGCACAGCCTCGCCTAGGTCTACGAAGCCAACATTTACTAGCCAGGTGACCGTGGCCTACAGTACTCGGTACAACACGAGTAATCAAAGTTGCTGGATCTATACTTGCGGGTGTCCAATCTTTAAATCCAGTGCATTTTTCATATCCTGTGCTCCAAAGCAACTGTGGGTGTAGATATTGATTCCTCGGAAAACCCAACCCTGAAAGACGGAAACGATGAGGACCGCTCATCAGACCCTGCAAGATGCAGTCCAAGACCATCTGATTATCGCCTCATAGCTCCTATCTCGGTCCATAGTGCACGACTTACCCATTTACTTGGATTTCAAGGACTAGATCACAGCTTTACGGTATAGAACGTGCCTGACTGGGCAGGATTTTGATAGGTTACTCACCAAAACTCAGAAGAAAAAAAAAATGACGGATCGAAAGAAAATACAACGTGTCTCGAATTGTTTCAGAGTATTGTCCCATTTGTGCATCATACATATGCTGCCGGATAACGGAACAGATTCTGGGCCATTTCGATCTTTGGTCATGAAGCTGCAAGCAAGTCTTTGGGTTAGCCAGCCAGCAAAGTGAGAGAGGTCTGAAATGAAGGGAAAAGGTCTGATGAACAAAGGCACAGTCTGTTGAATAGTCCCAAAACATCTGTGAAATGATGTCTTGTATGCAATTTCATGTTCTGATAACTATCCTGGTCTCGGAATATATAATCAGACGAATGACTCTTATTATTCACTGCAGAGGGTACTGGTAGGGCGTTCGTCGGTGAACGACAAACCCTTCTGCACTTGAGTAAGGTCGAGAGATTGCATAGTGGCCATGAGCAATCTACTCGTTCAAGTGTGAAACACTCGGGGCAGCACTGATATTTATGATCAAGAGAAGGAAGCTCAATATCTCGTGCATATGCATCATGCGCTGCCTGCGTTGCCACAAGAAGATCCTGGCACAAATCTTTCCTGCAGTCGTTGATCTTTGCCTCTGGCATCACCAATGTCCTGTGTCTATGAGTTGGGCCTCAACGTTGCCAGCTCTTTGATGAGACATTTTTTGCACATGCTTGAAACCCTGTCTCGGAATAGGGTGGTGATGACTGGATTTGAGCCTTCCATTAAGGAGCCACAGAAGCACGTGGTAACACATAAAGCCGTCCGAACGAAATGCTGGCAACCAAATTATAGGTCCAAAGGCAAACTCGGGGCACAGGTTCAACTCGTGATGCGAGTAGCGGAAATCCACAGTTACAGGAGTCAGAGGCAGAAGCGTTGTTGCCTTCAATGTTTGATTTACTTAACCTTGCCCATGACCGTGTCCATACCACGTTCTGCATATGTGCTTGCTGCTGCGCGCTTCACTGCTGTGATCATGCCACGATCCCAATCGTCGCGAGTCTTCAGGACCCCTTCGACCCAACTCAATTGCAGGTCCCAGAATTCGCGCTTGAATTGCTCATAAACACGTACAACATCGTTCTTGTCCGTTTCTAGTAGCTGTACAGTATAATTCACAGCTTTCCACTTCGGTTTGATTGTTTCGTTGAACGTCTCGGGATATTTTTCGAAGAAGCCAAATGCCGCAAGGACATCGTCCCTGAATCGTGCTGGGAAGGGTTCGCCTCGCCTGAACTTCACGCCGCGGTTGGTGCGGATGGAAGTGAGATAGCTCACTAGCAGGGCATCTGACAGCTCTTCAATCAGGATATCAATTAAAGAGGGATGCAGGACGGCGCTGTAGTCTCCGATATAGTCGTCGTATGTGGTAGTAATCCTCTGCATCGCGGACTGTTCATACCACTTCCCCGGGATGAACAACTCCGTCAAGATGGTGCGGAAGTCGACCCTGAATATCAGTTGGACGAATCGATTGATGCAGTGGGTGGCCAAATCTACATAGCCATCTCGAAGGGCATCCAGTTCCGTAATCCCATTAGTAGACATGAATTTCGCGGAGGGTGGAGTGGGTAATTTGACGAAATCTTCTCGGAATCGCGTCAGGTATCCCTTTTGCGCTGTGGGATCATCCAATACATCTCCAGCAGCGTCATCGACGCAGGCAATCTGATCATTCGCAATAGCGAGTAGCCAGTCTTGGAGTTGCTGCAGGGTTTCAAGCTGCTCCGTCGTTGGGTTCTTGTATCGCTCCACCTCTTCGTCGACCAGCCTCTCCCATTGCTGCTGCCGAGATTTCAGAGCGGCGAACATGGCGCTCATAACGCCTTCGACGACGTCTTCTCGCTCAGAGTCGCCCGCGGCAACGGCTTGCTCATGCAGCATACGCCACATGTCTCCAAGTGTTTTGGTTCTGAAATGCCCATCTGGATCCTGCTCTATGGCGTCTGGGGCCCTGGACATGAAGTTCTTTCTGTCGGTCACATACATTCTGTCGATCCAAGAGTTAAGAGCTTTAGTGATGATATTTCTGTAGTCGCGGATAAGGTCGCCTTCACGAGAATCAAGAACATGTGGTTTCAATTGAGCCGGCGAAAGGCCCAGCTTGTTCATTCTCTTGTAATAGTCATCGATGAAGTGGACAATTCCCAACATCTGAGGAGGACGGAGATCTTCGGCGTCCACAAAAGACATGAGGAAGTCGTGCATCTGCTTGTGGTAGATATCCACATATGTGTTAAAGATCTTCCACTTTCTGGGGAAGAGATTCTGCATCCCTTGCTTGACAGCGTTGATGTCTTCAAAGAACCATCTGGTCTGACTCTTAAGTTTGGAGGGATCCTCTTGAAACTCGCCTCGGGTCTGTTGAAATTTGCCTTCTGCGACATTTTCGATGGCCTGGAGGAACTTCTCCTTGTAACCACGCGTCGCCTTTGGTCCGATATTGAAAGACGTGAACTTGCTAACAAGATCTTGGTGATCCTTCTGGGCATCCTGCAGCGCCCGAACACGATCATCGTTCTTCTCCTCGGAAGCAAGCACAATGGCTAACCTCACGATGATGCTGGTGTCATCAGCTCGTTGAACGAGGTCGATGAGGTTCATGCAAATGAAACCAATATGCTCATCGAAAAGTTCAATGATGTTGTCCAGCTGCTGAAACCAGTCGAGCAGTGTCTGTTCCAAACTCGAGTCTCTCGCTCGCCGAATCTGATCCAACGCCTCGTCTCGAAAGTCGCGCAGTCGCGTCAAGCGCATGTAGACCTCTAGGAGATTGGGCTGTTTGTACAGGTCGTTCTCGTCCTCCTCCAGGAGTCTTTGGACATAGGAGCAATCTCGTTCGAAGCCATCCAAGCCTGCCTGCATTGCCCGAGTGGCTTCGAAATTGCGATGGACTCTTGCGAGATAGTCTAATTGCGGGAAGTTTTTGCGGATGGCCTGTGCCTGCTCGCAGAGGTCATAGATGCTCTTCATTTCCTCCTTTATTTGTCCAACGAGTTTCTGCCCTTCGGACAGAGTTGACATGCCATTTTGTGTAGTGTCCAGATGCTCTTGCAACCCTTCTCTCAATCTGGTGTCCACATCCCCCTTTTTGCGATTGATTTCTGCCTTTAGGCTCGTGATCTTTTCGAGATCTTCGGGCGTGCGCAGGACATCTTGGATTCGCGGCATGCCCACAGAGCCGCTTGCGCTGAGCCTGGTCGACATGTTTGCTGCGCTGGTCGGCTTCGAGGGGAAGATTAAGCGTCGTGGGCCCACAGAACGTGTCTGGGCCTATCTGTAGTCCAAATGCATCAGTGCATACAGCTTTGATACAGCCCACTGTGACGATCTGGCTACAATGAATGCAAGACAACTGGAAACATTTGATGAGGTCGCGCATGGTGCTCCCGGAGCGGATTGAATTCCATCCGGCTTGAAGTGGTGCCGCCCTATTCCTCCCGGGGCTTGGTGCGGGCGAGTGAGGCCCTGGCAAGTAAGGCGATCACCCGTATGTCGCCCGTAGTGGAAGCTTGAGGCCAAATGGTTTATTAGCGCTTCGGCATAAGACGCTGGAAAAGTGACCCCCACATCGACAACGTCCGAACGTACCCTCAATATATTTCTTCACTGCATGACTTTACTATCGAATCATCTCACACCGAGTTCGAGTTATCTGCGCAGGACCATGCAGCTGAGCCACCAGAGGCCTTGTACGAATCAATGATGCCAACAATCGACCCATAAGTGCCCCCTATCATCAAGAAAGTTCCTGATCCGACCACAAAACAACTGAAGCATACCATCATAGTCAATTTGGTCGTCCGCTCGGCCTTGAACCTGCTCCAGTTGTCGTACAGCCACATACATCCCATCGGCTGGAACGACATGAGAGTCCCGAGCAAAGCACCAACAAGGGACACAAGGCCACCGAAGACGGGAATGGCACTTGCGATCACGTAGGCGGTGATCGCGTTCCCAGCTGTACAGCTCAACCAGGTTATCCAATGCCTAGCAGTACTCTCTGTGAGGTGATGAGTACCGCGCAACAATCGCACAAAAATATACTTCGCCGGCAAATGAATGACAAGGGTCGTGGTCACAATAAGCCCTGGAAGAGCAAAACCGTAGGCGACCTTTTTGAGGAGGACACCGGCTGTCCCAAGAGCAGGTGAGGCCACGTATGAGCCAGCATAATAATAGACCACAACCCCAATGGTGGTGTACGTGGCCGTGACAACACTCTGACAGATGAGGAGAGATCGTGTGTATTGTCGAGGATCTCGCATTTCAGAAACGATTGAAAAGAAAGCAGGCGTCCCGGCGTATGCGAACACCAGAGAGGAACAAGCAGAGATTGCCTCTGTGAAAGATGGATTGTTTGTGATCTTGTAATCGGAGACAAAGACGCCTGCTGTAGGTGCATCGGCGGGGCGATCCTGTACACCAACAGCGACAGTGACGGTGAAAACTACGGAATGTCAGCATCATTTATCAAGCCAGCCGCCAAAAGGCAACGAACGTACTTGCGATCAAGATGCACGCCACTCCTACCCAGGCGAGCCACGATATCTTGCCAAGTGTCTGAATGCTGGAGAGGCAGAACCCTATGATCGCAGCTACCGCAACAAACACGGCAGTACATGCAGCATGGGTTGAGACTGCGTTCAGGGCAATTGAGATACCGAGCATGCCAGCACCCGCGACGAATATCCAATCTGCACAATATCAGCAGGAGTGCCATCATCTTTTTGGTAGGATACACCCACAAAGAACGAACGCCACACCAAATATCTCACGCCCGATACGGCCGAACAACAATTGGCCAACATCGTCGAGACTGTACACGGAGCGGTGTCGAAGCTTGAACACACCGACCATGTAGTCCGACCACGTTGTGATCACAGCGATGACTATCAGGCATATGACGCCGGGAACCAGGCCGAGCACGTCAAAAACTGCTGGAATCGAGAGGACTCCGAGACCAATCTGGGTCTTCATCATGAGAATGGCAGTTGCCATCCAACCGACCTAGCAAAGATGTCAGTTTCTGGGGAATGAAATTCGGCGAAAGACGAACATTGCGATAGTTTGGACCACCTTCGACAATTTCTCCAAAGACATCATCAACGATAGAGACCCGGCGTCCAGTCACAGATAGACGGCGTCCACTCTCGTCTACGCTACAAGATCGATATTCATTCTCTTGAGCACCCACAATCTTGTCGTCAACCTTTTCTTGATTCATATTGGGAGAAGCACGGAGGTTGTGATGAGACAGCTGTTTTCCGACGGTAGGTCAGGATACTCCATCTCAGAGCAGGCCATGGAGCCATGGTTATAGCCTCTTCCGGGCAAGATTGAGCCTCGTATGGAACGGCAATCATTTACTATGATTGGGCGTCAGAAAGGCCGACTGTTTCTGCGAAATCTGGGGTCTAGCATTGTCGGGATCGCCTCCGATGCATATCTCAAACGGGGCGCCATCCGTTCACGACGCTATCCCAATACTGGATAGCAAACGCGAGTGGAAAAGAAATCCACGCCACGCCACAAGAAGAACTCGGAGGTCTACCCGGTCCTTCTGCGCGCGCAGCAGGTGAACAACTGATACTCCAAGGCAAGTCAGTATGCACCGACGGGCGACTTCCCGAACTTCCTGGGGCTTTTTCGAAGGTAAGCTGAAGCTGAATCAGTATTAGAGGAGGTGGGGGAAGTCCGTAGCCGTCGGTCTCTGTGCCGATGTACGAGATAGGTGGTTGGCCCCTGGCCCGATGGCTAGGATCTGTCACGGTCGTAACGATAATGATATGGGTAACAAAAGCCGATGTCAAGAAGCCGGGCAAGGTAGGCCTGTCCTCCTTAGTGGTGCCAATTGTGTGGATGCTGCTTGCATATGTCATTTGGAGTGGCTGATATCGAGTGCGGGCCCCCGGTCTCCCAGGAGGGCGGAGGTGGCGAAACTGGGGGAGGGGCGTGGAATCCAAGCGGAGACAGACCCATTTTACTTGACCGACTCGTTGGGACGGCATGTCTTTGGCAGCGCCATCTTTCGTCGCACCCTCTCCCGCCCAAACAGATTTGGCACATGAGATGCAACTACCTTCAGACAGCGGCATCGTCGACGTGCTGTGAAACCAACACCATGCCCCCGAGATAGCACTTTTCTGCTACCGGCTATGTCCTCCGACAACTACTACCAGAACGCCGTCAGGAAACGGCCGTTCGATGGCCGATACAATGTCACCTCCGTTATCGTCACATTGTCCATCGGGCTGGCCTTCTGCAACTCACTTGAGATGGCGCTTCTGATCTTGACAACCTTCAAGAGAAAGGCAGGGTTATACTTCTGGAGTTTGGCTCTCTGCAACTATGGCGTCGTTTCGTATACACTGGGCATTACTCTGAGTTATTTCAACCTCTGCGACTTCTGGCTGAGTGGACTGCTACTGGACTCGGGGTGGCTGTTAATGATTACCTGCCAATCCCTTGTACTTTACTCGCGCTTGGGTCTGATACTGGACAATGTCACCATTCTGAGAGCCGTGAAGTGGATGATTATAATCAACAGTGTGCTCATCGAAGCGCCCACAGTAATCCTGGACTGGGGGCACACATATTCACGCAATCCAGAATTTGCTCAAGCGTACTATTACATGGAGCACATACAGATGACGATCATTACGCTCCAAGAACTTATCATCTCCGGTCTCTATGTGTGGAAGACCATCAACCTGCTCAAAGTCATCTCGAAAGAAAACACCCGAAGTATGATTTGGCAACTTCTGGCAATCAATATTATGATTATCTGCATGGACGTAAGACATCCAAGAGTCCCTGACGATGTCTATCGCTGACGGTTCTTCAGACGGCGCTCGTCATGTTACAGTACAAGCGCCTCCAGCTTTATCAAGAGAGCATCAAGGGCTTCGTCTACAGTGTCAAGTTGAAGCTCGAGTTGAATATCCTGTCTAAGCTAGTGGATCTTGTTCAAGGAAGCCCAACGGAAAGATCAATGACTTTGGATATCATTGACGCCAGCTCGATCGCGGGGCAGACACAAGCAGCAGTGCGTCGGGAATCATGGGGTCCTGGCCAACTCTCCGCTTGGCCTTCAGCTGCTGATAAAGACATTGAGGAGCATATTGAGGACGTTCACTATCCCAAAACGATGAATGCATCCCTGCATTCTAGGCCTCCTGATGATGTTGATGACATCACGCGTGTCCTTTCTCAGCATTCCAGATATACTGCACGAACAGCGAGCAGGGAGTCTGACATTTTGTACGCGGAGGCTCTCCGCTCCCTGAAGTAGGATCGAGCATGCTTGTGCATATAATTCCCAGGACATCTTTCGAGCAGCGTCAATTATCTGCAGGGGAGACACTACCACTAGCATTTGTGGGAAGCTCCTTGTATTCTTCCGTGGGCTCGGTCCGACTTTGGTGAGAACCGTATTGTTCTCTGTGATATTTGCCGCCTACTTCCACCCGCTGCATGGATGTCTGCAACTCGGTATTTCAAGGTCCAGGGTTGAGAATGCCATGAGAGGCCTTGAGTTGATCATCGATAGCGGAAGAGTGACAGGAGGCTAAGGTGTCAACGGTAGGTAATGCCAACGCCGTGATTGTGGCAAGCTGCAGAACGAAATACAGCTGTTCCCTTCCGTCAACCGTTGCTATCCGCCTGGCCGATATCAAGGTCATCGGACATCGGCCACTGCTCCGAAGTCGTCTTCCCAAAACCTGGAGCACACTAGATCCAACTGCACCGGAGCCTCTGCCGAGATCATCGTAACGGCGTTATGTTTGGCGAACAACCGCATAGTTCACCACGCCTGTGCTGTTTCAGGACGTCCAGCATGAGGCTACTTAGACTCGCGGCACAGCGTCGCTCGTTGATCTGAACCTGTAAGCTGGTGAGAAATACAGCAGCCGCTGAGCTGTAGACACCAGGTGAAAGACACTCGTTCCGTAAGAGTGTTCCCTTCTTCTCTATCAGCAAAAGCTAGGCAGTATCTCATCTTTGACACAACTCTCCCATTCACTTACGTTCTTACCTGTCCCGCAGACCAAGACAGGCCTCTCTCTAAAACAAATCTATTGTAGATCAGTGACTGGAATGTCAGCAGTGATCGTTCTATCTCTACACCAGGGTACATTGTAAGCTGCTGCTTCTCACGCCATGCAGTCATATTATATCCTTGTATCAACAAATTCCTGGCTCAGCCTTCGATGTCCGATTCACACCCTGTCTTGCCGAACGCTCCTCCCTCGACGCTCCCTGTTGTGCAGGTGTCGAACCACCATGGCGTTCACGATCATGGCCGCGCTCAGCACCGCACAGGTGATGTACCCCTTGTGGTATTTCGGGCTGTCGATCTGCTTCCAAACCAGCAGAGGCAGCCAGACCTGCACGCTGTAGGCGATCTCGTTCATCGAGCCTGTCACGAACGCCCTCTCCTCGTTGTCATAGGTACAGATCTCGTGCGCCCACGCATAGCACAAGCCGCTGAGGCCGCCGCCGGCGCCCACCAGGACGAAGCAGGTCCACTTCCAGCCCATCGGGATATCCCACACGGCCAGGCTGATGTAGATCACGATGTTCAGCGTGTTGGCGAAGATGATCGGCGGCCACCGGGCGCCCTGCAGAAACGTGTCGGAGCTCCACGCGTACAGCAGCGTCGTAACGACTTGAACGGCGGCGCTCGTGGAGGGGATCGCGTTGATCTGCGCGATGGTGTACTTGGGGTGCTGCGAGTCTTTCAGGAATAGTGAGAAGAAAGGTTGTGGGATGGCATTGTTGTTCACGAAGATGGTATGCAGGGCCACCACGCCGTAGATGTGCCAGGACGTGAAGACTCCCTTGATCTTGGACCACGTGTATGGTGTCCTGCCTGCACGGCCTTCGAGTACCATCCTGTGCTGAGCCAATTGGATCTCTTCCTCGCTGAGATAGAATGCTTGACACGTATCTGGGACGTCCGGGTAGAATATATAGCCTGCCATTGCAACAGGGACTAAAGGCGGACAAACAGTGAGCCACACTCTCCCATAAGCCTAGTTCAGCCTGCTGGCATTCAACGGGTGCTTACTAGCGATGCAGCCGTCGATGATGAACAGCCATTGCCACCCTCGGAGTCCTCCCCTGCCCTCGAGATGGTAGACAGCCGCCATAAGATAGCCACTGAACATGCCCGCCAGGGCGCCGCACGTGTGGAAGATGCAGGACCGCTTGGCGAGCTCATCCCGTCGGTACCAACACCCGATGAGGTACTGAACGCCCGGATAGAAGCCACTCTCGGAGAGGCCGATCAAGAAGCGTAGACCATATATAGGCTTGATAGTGTTGCAGGCGGCCATGCACATCGTCAAGGCGGACCAGACGATCTGAAGACATGGAATGTAGATTGATGCACCAACGCGTGTTAGTAAGAGGTTTGCTGGAGAGGAAGTCAGCACCGGTCTCGCATCAGTTGTGAGAGAAAGACGTCGAACATGGAATCGCCCCGAGGACGTAGCCAACCGTCCACAGCGTCTGCATGTAGTTTAACTGGTTGCCATAGAGATTCAGATCCTCCTTCATCCCCGAAACGAAGGCATTGCTGATGTTGAGCTGATCCAGGTATTTGATGAAGAAGCCAAATCCCGCGAGGCTTAGGATCGCCGCATCGAGCTTGAAGAGGAGCACGCGCTCGAATGGTTCTTTGTCGAGGCTATCCCACGCGTATGATTTCCAACTTCGTTTCTTGCTTCGGGACGCTGGATCGGATCCTTGTGTGGCGGTGTCGAGAGAGATGGCCACTGCGGCGCTGGGATCTTTACTCGGCATTGGATGGTCTGTAGTCTTCGCCAGACTCAGGTTCTGCTCTTTTTCCATGGCGCCTGACCATGAGGGATGCGGCGTAGCTCCAACAATAAATCCGAGCAAACCAAGGGTTGTGTTTTGGGAGCTATCGGGTGGCGTGAAGGGGGGGTCTTGAATGTATCACGGCTTACACTGTGGTATCGGACTTGAAGACCATTATATCCTGCGGAGATGGATATGCACATGCCCTAGGCTTGTCATAGAGAAATTTCAAAGCGAACTGCTTTACAGTTCATTTGTCAGGAGACCGGGAGTATCGCCAGGACGGTCCTTGACGGCACTTCATGGCGCAGACTCAGACAGTCAGTCACTCACCACGACAACACCTTGCTAATGGTAAGTCAGTTCTCAACACTTCAGCGTCAGCTTCACACAGACAATAATTGACCTCTCCTGTCAAGCTACGGGCAGCGAACGACGGTGGATGACTAGCTTGGAGCTGTCTCGAGGCCAGAGCACAAGGATTAGATCTAGGCAGACCTTGTTGGAATCGCCATTTCAGATCTCCTCGTGTTTAACATAGCGGCTTGTTACGAAAGATAACAAATTCCACACAGAACCCCCTGAAAAGTAAAGGGGTTCGCAGTCGCAGTACACCCGCGAATGAACTATCCCTCTCTCGATAGCCAAGGGGGAACCGCGTGTCGTTTTCCAAGTTTCCCGACGTCGTCCACACGGCAGTTCGGCTGCCCCAAGGAGGACCTGGAGGATGCAACTAACAGCACGTGGGAAGTGATTCAGCGTTGACATAATCGTGCAGAGCAGACGTGAAACTGGGAACTAATATGCCACCAGGCCTTCTCTAGGACAATAGAAGACCCTTTGGTCTATGCATTGGGCTGACTCTGTTGTTGGCTGATGTCTCGTGTTTCGAATCCTGTCGGCAGCTACTTGTAGGAGCCTACATGCTGCGAATGAGGCTCGGAGCACCGGCATGGTACTCGTGCAGGGACTGTCGCTGTTCCCACCCCCCTGCTTGATTCAGGCTCGCTTCGCCAATATTGTTGCTTTTCTTTTTTCTCGGCGCGTTTGCGCGGGACCTACCTGTCGAAGAAAATGGCAAGTGCTGGCCTGGGCACGTCTGCATTAGTCCGGGACGCATGTCAAACTCACCGCAGAAGTTGCACCCAAGGATCGTAGTGTCGTGTCACCGCAGGAAAGAGGACACCCACAGCCGAAGTTTCTGCGGTCGCCGTGGTCAAAAGGACATATCGGACGATCCCATCGAGCCAAGTCAACCTCACGGAGTTAAAACTGGGTTTCCCAGAGAGGAAGTCATTGAACTGGAGTTGATTAGCGGAAACTCACCGACTAGACCAACTCTGTTCGCGGACAACTGCCTAAACGACGCTCACCGGGATTCTTAGAACCCAGGCCACGCTATTCCGCTTTGCCAGTTGGCGTCTTGCGATTCTTTTCTCGAAAAATCGGAAAACCACAGGGACGTCGTGCCCAAAGGACTCCGAACTCGAACCAGGGCAGACGTGCTCATTGCGACAATACCGAGATCAACGAGTCCGCACATCACAATCGAGGTAAAGGTGTGACGTCTATCTCCCTGGCCACGAGAAAAGTGACTCAGCTACTGGCCATTGCGAGGTTTTATGCCATCTGCCTATCGTTTGCGCGTTTGAACTGTCCCGTTGCGGCAAAGGGTAAGAATCCTATCATTCCATTTCGGTCAAGCGAGGAGATACCCTATCAGCTGGCATAGATTGTGTCCTATTCCATTGCCCTCCGGACCTCGGCTTACTTAGATGGCTTGAACTGTGTCTCAATCCCAGTCGGCGAGAGAGTGACTGGACCGGAGCGAGGAAAACTTCGACCTGTAATTATCAGAGATATCGTCGGAGAGGTACTTCGTATCTCGTACCCTCATCGACGAAACGTGGAGAGTTGTCTCTGCAAGGATATCGCATGTCGAGTTCCTTGGTGAAGTCTTTGAAGACACACCAGAATCAAAGCCGAAACCCTGCAGACTGCACATCAGGTTTCCTTGAGGCTCAGTCTTCACAGTTGTGCCTTCGGTGGTCGAAGTCTATGGATACGGAAAACAGACACAAAGCCCTGCTGCATGCGCACGTGAGATGGGAGACAATGGGTCTGAACCCTCCAAGGAGAATCGCAATCCATCTCGGTCACGCCTTATATATCAAAGGTCGGTGAGGCAGCCAAAGATATCCGTCACCTTTATCAATTGCGACAACAAGTCATGGCGTTCCACAGGACGTCAGTCGCAGGTAGCCCTCTCCCACGCAGCCCGGGTTTCGCATAGACGAAAACTCCAAGGCCTCGGACAGACCATCTCAGTGCGTCGACCAGAGACCTTCCTTCCGCCCAAGTTCAGTTCGAGATGGGGCACAAAGTCGACCTCACATAATACCGATAAGAAGAATGATGATGCTGCCCTAAGTAGCACGGACAAGAAATGGAAAGTCTTTACCCCCCAGATTGTCCGTCAACGACATGATAAACACACACACAAGAAAGGAGACTCCCAACCGACTGATCTTTTCGAAAGGGCATATGTTCTTGCGTGCAGGGTGCTCGGCAGCAGCAATCCTTTCGACGTTGCGGCACTGCCGTTATCGCCTCGAGATTCACACCTCATTACACTTGCTCACTCGGTTGGTCTGTTTATGGGTGGCTCTGCCACTCCAGACAAACTCCTTTCCCAGGATATAGCGGACGGCTGGGTCTCGGATGTGCAGTTGTCGTTGTCCAACAAAGACTTGCTTCATGCCCTCATCGCGCTGGGTGCCTCAATTTGTGCTGGCGGGAGTCGAGAAAGGAACGATGCCTACATCACATACGCCGCCAAACACAAATTGGTCGCCGTCTCCAGCCTCCGCCGTATCTCGACGGACCAGCTTCGCAGTTATCGAAGCCTGATACTGATCCGGCTGTTAGTGGCGTGCGAATTCTACGTCGAAGATATCGCTGCGGCGGATGTACACCAAAAGGCGCTACATCACCTCTTTAGCGATCTGACAAAAACGAGCAGTATCTCCCAGATATCAGTCGGCGCAAGCGACATCTGGACGGCGGGGATTCAAGGCCGTCGAACGCGGTCGAGAGAAGGCGAACATGATCCTGGCCCGTGGCAACAGTGTTTCTCCGCTGCTGCGTTCAGGCTTGTGACGGAATACGCCACGGCTTCCGCCCACAACCTACGGGAAACAACCTCAATCGACAGCTCCCTCCGCTTCAATGCCAAGCTCTTTGCGATTGTCGAAAGAATTCGGGACTTTACGTTCATCAATAACGCTGCCAAAGAACATCAATGGAGTGAAGAGAACCATGACGTGGAGCATGAAATCAAGCGATGGTTGCATTTCTACCGAGTTGAGACTTCCAAGCTTCTCAACAACGTCGCCGTGGACCATGCAGAGGCGCTGTCGTCACCGTGCCTGGCCTTCGAGTTTGTGGGTTACCATGCACTGAGCTGCGCCACAGCATTGGCCCTCCGAGCTCAGTGGCTACTGATCAGCAGCATGAGTTCCAGCGCCCAGATCCAGCTTCGATACTGGGATTTGAACGCCAACGCGACCCAGTCCCGGCTTCTGAAGGCCATCAGAACCTGCGAAAAGGCCGGCATCAGACAAGCGCAGGAGAACATCTGGTTTTATGTCCTGTTCATCCACGCTATCCTGGTGCAATACCTGAAGCACTGCAATTCACTTATGGTGGTGAAAGAGGAAGGGTCCTCCCCAGCGGCTAGCGATGATCCGCTCAGCGAAGCGCTCGAGAGACTTAAACGGCAGAAGCTCTACCGCGGTCTTCAAGGACGCTCGGCTGCAGAACAGATTCTTCGTGGGTTTTGGTTCCACAAGTGCTATAGCGACCCCCGCGTGAGAGAGGTCTGGCAGGAATTGACCTAGCAGAGGAGGGGAGAAGACAGGCCACCGCAGATCCGTGGGAAGCTGTACTCAGAAACCCAGCAATGGTAGAGCAGCCTCGACTCTTTAGCAGGGGCTTCGGCAAGCGAGGGAACTGATCTGTTTTACTAATCCAGTGTCCGCCGTCTGAACCGTCTATTGCACGATCAAGAGCATGAAATTTATGTACATCGTGTCCCCTGGGCTCCGATGATCCCCAGCGCCGACACCGGCAAAACTTTTGTCGCCACATGGCGAGGTGCGACCCACCAGGTGTATTGATCCCGATTAGTTACCCTTGCCTGAGTTATTTATGTAGAACTCCAGTGTGGATAAGGGATCTCTGCCCTGTCCCTCAGGAGTCCGCGGAGGAGTAAATAAGGCAGGAAGGAGTAGGTAGCTACGAAATGCGGGTTACGGTCAATTTTGAATCTGACTATCGTTTGAGCGAAACCATATCCACTGGGTCCAGTATATATTGACTCCTGCCAAAGAATATCGCCGCTCAAGAGGGCCGACCTGGTTCAAGATCCAGATAACGTTCCCCCAACCAAACGACAAGGGCTACACTCGAAAAGGGGAACGCGCACCACCAAGGGGGATCAACAATGACGTTGCTTTTGTGGAGGTCTCCTACGCCCATGTTGCCAAGGCGATTCTCTGAGATGATGGGCATGTTTTAATGTCGATCTGAAATGGAATGACGACTGCTAGTCACTGGCGAAGGGGAGGGGGAGGGAAAGGAGGGGAGTATATGATTCTTGATCCGACATCTATGGCGTGATATAGCCAAAGAGAACCCTTTCGGCTGATGATGACTCCCTAACGATATGGCTGGTTCTTGAGACTGTCATGAACATGTTTTCACTCGATATCTGGTATTCCTGTACACTGACAAAGCACCAGGAATGTGTGTATAAGCTTGATGCCTTACCTGTTCCTTCTCCTCCTCCTCCTCCTCCTCGTCGACCACGCATCCCTCCCTGCGGTCGGCCCATAATGCTACATACCTCTTTTCTCACGGCAACCCGACTCGGACATCCGTATGCTCGTTGAGGCTCCAGGCTTGGGCGCTGCTGTCGCGGCGGTACTTGCGCAGGAACGGTCCCCCCACGGCACGGTGCATGGTGCAGGTGTTGTCCCAGACGACCAGGTCGGCGGGGTGCTGCCACTCGATCTCGACCGTGTACTGCAGCTGGGTGGCGTCGGCGTACAGGCGGTCGAACAGGGCGCGCGCCGACTCGGCCTCGTCCGCGGGCAGTAGCCCTTCCCGCCCTTCGCGTTCCAGGTGGTGCACGTGCGACGCAATGTCCAGGTTCATGCGGCCCGAGCTCTCGTGCCGCTGCACCAGGTAGGGCCGCCCCATCGGGTAGTCGAGCGGGTCGAGATCTTTGAAGAACTCGGGCGCTGCCAGCTTGCGTGAGTGGTGCGTCGAGTGCGCCGCCACGTAGTTGTTGCGCGCCAGCGTCTCCTTCACGTCACCTGGCGGGTCAACTTACGCTGTGCTAGTGTGTCCGCGAAGGCCATGTTGCCGCCCATACCTGGAGGTGGCAGCTCGTGCATCAGGAGCAGCGAGTACCCTGCCCGTCGAGGGTTGAAGCTCGAGTTGACCTGGAACAGGTCGTTACCCTGAGTTGGTGTTAGACGAAAGTTGTTGAAAAAAGTGATGAGTTGGAAGCTGTTGGACCATCGAGGGAGAGTCTTCCAAGGACCTGACTACAAGTACTGAGCAAGTCAGGTCTTACCTTGTCGGCTTGGCCTCATGGGCTCTCTGAATCGAGGATGGTGCCATCGACATCGACGTTGCTGACGTTCAAACTGCTCGTCGTAGCGCAATCTGTTCTTGCGCCCGGCCGAGATGTACGGTTTGACGTCGTCGAGCTCCCTGAAACGCCGAGTGAAGTCCAGGTGTGCCTCGTCGGTCAGATTGGTGCCACGGAAGACCACCACCCCGTACTGCCTGGGTGGAGGTATATGTCAGTAAAGCAGTTCCAAACCCGATAATCATATACACTGGATATATGAAGGTCTCCTCCGACAGGGGCTGTGAGAAATCTACGCCGCTAATCTGTGCCGCAAAAGTCGGGTGAAGCTTCTTCACCGTGATGTTATAGAAGTCAGACTCGGGCTGTGCAATAAGACCAGGCATGGTTGGAAATGGCGGAGGCGCAGTGGACTCAGGAGTTATGTTGAATAATATATTTGGAAGAATGAGGAGCTCGTTCAGTGATAATGCTGTAACTGAATATTGTGGATGTCTTTACTTACTATGGCCCGTTGTATTTATATTTCTACAAGACTCTTGGAAGATGAGGCGAGTACTCAGCCTTTGCTTCCTGGAGAAAAGGCGTCGGTTGTGGAAGAATGTCTCTCATTCGTCTCATTTTTCATCCATTGCCGAGAGGATCTCAGTGCTACCTCTTCGATAGGGAAACACAGTATGGCATCCGGCTCAAGCAACTGATGGCGACGGTGTGCCGTGGAAGCAGTGTTGATTCCAGGAAGACTACTTACAGTCCCAGCCCCCATGTCTCGGGAAGCCGTTCTGCACGTGTGGCTTGGGAAAAGACCTCTACCGCAGAGCAACCACCGGCGAAATGGAGAAGACGTGACCTGTTTCCTCGCGGAGTCGTGGCTTCACCAGACGGTCGCTACGTGTTCGAGGCCATCAGAGCTGCAAAGATGGTGTTGAGGATCATCGCCGAATGCGAATGTGGTACTTGTCTGAGATATCTGCCGACTCGATACTACCTTGTTTGTCAAACGCCATTCCCTTAACCCTCCTCCCCTTCTTTTCTCTCGTATTCCATCAGCAAGGTCCAGCTAATCCCATCACAGGTATGGCATATATTCTGGGGTCTTCCTTTCCAAGGCAGAGACCTTTGGCGACCTGACGTCCAGCAACGAACAGCAAGAGGTAAAGGCCCTTGTGAGGAGGTTCATCCTAACGTTGCGGATGGCCGCTTCAAACGAACGCCATGTCGCATGGCGGTATAGTGAGTTGATCAGACGGCTATGGTTTCCCACAGCATCCAAGGTCAGGGCCGCCCATGCCATGAGCAGACACAAACATCGTCGGACATTTGACCAGGCTTCTCAAAGCGAATTCCAACCACCACGCAATGCCACGTCAGACGTCACCATGGGGCATCCAGCGCCTGAGGAGCTTCGCCAAACCCAACACAATGACATGGATCTCCAAAATGCAACGGATACTACCTCATCTCAGAAGCAGCAGAGCAGCAGCACAGATGTTCCAGCCTTGACCTTGATACTATGTCCCTAGAGACAACCCAATCCCATCTTGACTTTGTCGCGGTCCCTGACCTGTCAATGATGCTCCTCCAAGACAACCTCTTCTCCCCAATGCCCGCTCTTGGCTTTGCAGATCATAGCGACGCGTTCCTCGAGCCTGTCTTTGGCCCGAACGAGATGAATATCATCCCCCCTTTCACCGACAACTTGGCAGTCTGGTGACTGCAACAGTTGTTCGACGACTGGGGACGGAGTCTTCTAAATGCTGTGGTTGCATAATACTTGATGGGCAGAAGCAAGGGATGGGAAGACACGCTGCAAGGAATCCGCTGTTGCTGACATCGAAAAGTGATTGACTAATGGCACAGTGTACAGAGATGCACTGCATCTCATGACATGGAGAAACCCATTATTCAAATGCAAAGTGAATAGCAGATTGTCCAGCACTTACTTACATATTCCGCGGAGACGTAGCCAGCTGTTCAGAATACCAGCGTCCTTTCCTCCAGCCGAACCTCTCCAAGACACGTCGAGTCCGCTGCCATGTTTCATCCCATGTGTCTACTCCGAGAGGTCCCTGCACGTTGACCTCGGTATTACCCCGACCCTGTGAGATCCTTGCAGCGCCGCCCTTGAGCACACTCTTGCCCTCCTCCAAAATCGTATCCAGATGTGCATCGCGGCGTGCTCGTAGTGCACATTCGATGGCTGACCCGAAAACCTCAGCCCGCCTCTGGCTCCACCAGCACTGTTGCCGAGGAAGGAGCAAGGAGACGGCACGGTAGAAGAGGCACAAGATGAGGAGCGCGTGGGGATGGTGGTGTTGGACGAGGCGGATGAAGGTGTCGGTCGACCGGGTCGGGAAGGCGAAAATGAAGCGGGCGAGGTCTGAAAGTGGCGGGATTTGGCGACGTCCAACTCTGTCAATACCAGAGGCATTGGATGTTGGATCCTGACCCAAGGCGGTGTCTGTTATAAGATCCGGGTCCGTGATGGCTGATTGCTGCCATTGAAAGAACCCCAAGATCAGCACCAATCGCGAGGTGGCATCGAGGAAGCCGATCAGTTCAACATCCTCGTTCGCCTCTTCCTCCGCGATTTCTTCTCCTGTGAGGGCCTTGTCATCATTATCTGTTTGGAGATGGAAAAAGAACTGTGTCACCGAGTTCAGACCCACGGACTCGGTGCCGACCACCACCGGCCGCCCCGATGTTGCGCGGTGTCTGCAGTACGCCTCGGAAATGAGAATCTCCAGGTCTTGCGAAGGCTTGGAGCGTCCCATCGTCGCTCGCTCCAGCGTCTTGCGAGGGCGATATCGCGCCGGGGTAGCAAAAACGCTCTCCCCAGTGTCGATGAAGTAGTGAGCCTTCATGAACAGCGTTCGCAGACCCTGGGATAAACAGAACAACGGATCTACGTTGAGACTCAATTTTGAATTCTGCCCTTGGACTGCGCCCTCGTCTGTTGCCCAAGCATAGTGGACCAGGAGTGTCGATGTTGCGATAAATGCGTCAGCGTTGGAGGCAGATATCGGTTGTGTGAGAGCGATCCGGAACAGTCGCAATGTTTCCGTGAGGTGCAGTATCGAAGCTGATCGATATGATCCATCACCAGGCCTGAGAAAGCATAGGTGTTTGGAGGCAACGAGGAGCACAGCGTGCATGAGAAACTCGTGCTGGGGCAAAGCTGGTTAATAGAGGGTTTGTTCTCCTCGGAAGACAGATGGACGAAAACTAACTTGCAGCGCCAAAGTCATAACCCGGCCACGCCAGATGGATACATCAAAGACCAGTGTCTCGGCAGTGAGCGTATTGAAATGGTGCAGCAGTTTCATCTGCAGCATGTTGATCTGCGAACGGAGTCCCTGCTGCAGACCCGGCCCACTGCACGGTTCCTGTGGCTGCAGGATCTTTCTTCTCGACGTCGGTATTAGATCCTGCAGGCTGCAAGCTTCCTCCCTCCTCTGGCAGTTGCTGCAACGTGGACGCGCTTCGTCACACTGAAAACAGGCCAGACCTGTCAGCTACATTCAGGGCCTTTCAGGACAATTCCAGGCTGCAGCACCGACCTTAACCCTCCGTCTCCTGCAGGCGGTGCAGCCGAGTCGCGATTTCGGATGACTCCGCCGCTTGCGTGTCCGCTTCGTCTCCGCCTCGTCTGCCGGAGCAGCACTGTTAGGGGACGAGTCGAAGCATCCCAGTGAAGCCATTGTGCATGTGTTGATGATGGCTGCTCCACTAGTACGAAAGTGCACTGCGACCGAGTCCCCGTGGACGCTAGAACGGCCAGATCAGTCCAGAGAATCAATGCGCAGGAAGCAGGAAGCAGGAAGCTCCATGGTATGCTTGTAACGAAAATCAACAGCTGAAGTTGGAATAAGAATCCTTGTTGCCTGGAATCTGTGGAGTAGCGAGCCAGGGGGACACGGGAGGAGGATTCGTTCACTGACGAATCCGATCAGCCGGAGTACGAGGCGGCGAGGCGGACCCCATGTCAGCGAGCTGCCCGGATAATGGCCAAAGTACGAGGTACTCTGGGTATTCCGTACTCGCATACATACCCCTGCAAGTGATTGGATTGGACGACGTGGAAGCGAGAACGACAAGGGGGGCGTTGGATGGGTCAATTGAGCTACGACTACCTGGTAGGTATAATTTCTGTCCTCTCAGTCTTCACGCAGTACGAGGTCAAACGAACTGCTTCTCTTATTCACCACTGCTATCGCCTTTCCAAACTGCTGGAGCTACCAAGAGAAGCTTCTTGAGCCTATGTTTATGACTGATGCCTGCACTTAGTATGGCAGAGGCATGCCTCCACCACATTCGTGGTGCGTCGTGGTGCGACGTTTTGCTGGGGACGGCTGCCTACGCGTCAAGAGACCCCTGGCCTGGGATGGAAGCTCGATATGGGATATATTGGCAGGTATTCGGCATTATATGAGTTGACGAATGCTCCTGGACTTCCATCCATGCCCAGTTCTTGAGCGGTCGACGTTGTGTTCCTCCTTGTCTGCTCCTAAGGCACGACCTATCTAAGGTCAACGATATGGCCTTGGCCGAGAAACCCGGGCACGGCATCAACATACAAGATGACAGCATCCGAGATAGCATTCTCAATTCCCAGCTGGAGGTCCCCGTCGTCGAGGTCACGTACTGGACATTGTTTCGATATGCATCCAGACAGGAGATTGCTATTCTGGTCCTGTCTGCCTCCTGCGCCATTGTTTCCGGAGCTGTACAGCCACTCATGACGGTAGGCAGACCGAGTACCCCCGTTTCTACTGCTTTCTCCCAGAGGCTGATAGACAAAAGCTTGTGCTAGGATCTTTGGCTGGGAAATTTACGGGCTTTCAACCAGGATCAACAAATACATCCGAATTCCATCACCACCTCACCAGACTTGCTCTTTACTTCGTCTATCTTGGTATGTTACATGGCATTGGAGCCTCAGATCGCAGGTATCCTTAGTGACACTCTTCTAAACCAGGCATCGGATCCTTGATTTCCGTCTTCATCACAATCCAGGGGTTTTCCTTCGCCGGAGAGGCAATCACGCAGAGAACGCGTGAAGCATACCTCCAAGCCATCATGCGACAAAACATTGCCTTCTTCGACAGCGTCGGAGCTGGAGAAGTGACCAGCCGCATCACTGGCGATATGAACATGATCCAGGTGATTGTTTTCGCTCCGTCTTCCACCTGTGAAGAGAATGCTGAGGGACACATATCAGGACGGCATATCCCAGAAATTGGGCCTCACCGCCGCGGGAGTGACGACTTTCTTCGCAGCCCTAGCCGTGGGCTTCGTCAGGTCTTGGAAGTTGACGCTTATCATGCTCTCAGTGACCGTGCTGGTCATTTTCGTCATGGGGAGTGCCGGGAGGGGCATCAAGCAGTACCAGCTGCGGTCTAACGACGCTTATGGTGTCGGGGCCACCGTTGCTGAAGAGGCCTTTACTTCCATTCGAAGCACCACTGCCTTTGGTGCACAGGATTGGCTGGCCAAAAAGTTCGGCATGCATTTGGATAACGTCAAACGCTTCGATTTCCGGAGCAAAGCCTTTCTGGCTTTTATGATCGCCGCCATGATGTGCATCATGACCCTGCAGTACGGTCTCGCCTTTTGGGAAGGATCACGCTTACTGCATGATGGCAGCATTTCGGTCTCCAAGATCATCACGGTCATATTCTCTTCCATGCTGGCTGGCGTGTCTATCGGACACGTGGCTCCGCACTTCGGTGCATTTGCAGCGGCGACGGCTGCTGGTCGGAAGATATTTCAGGCCATCGACCGCAAGTCGCCCCTGGATCCGCTCTCTGGGGCGGGCAAGAAGCCCTCAAGCGTCGAGGGTGAGATCGTCTTCCAAGACGTGCGGCACGTGTACCCGTCGCGCCCAGACAAAGTTGTCCTCGACGATTTGAGCTTTGTCGTTCCGTCCGGCAAGGTCACTGCTGTCGTGGGCAAGTCGGGATGCGGCAAGTCGACTCTGGTGGGCTTGATAGAGCGGTTTTATCAACCTGTCGGCGGTGAAATCAGTCTCGATGGTATGCCACTCCACGAGCTGAATCTACATTGGCTTCGGGCCCAGATTGCCATGGTCGGCCAAGAGCCTGTTCTGTTCAACACCACCGTGTCCGAGAACATCCGTTTCGGACTACTGGGGACTGAGCTTGAAAACGTAAGTCTGGTAATGGCTTTGTGGTCTTGGACACCGCTGACCACACTCGTCTTTGACACAAGCAGGCACCTGAGCAGGAAATTACTGGTTTGATTGAAGATGCAGCGCGAACAGCCAATGCGTATGACTTCATCTCGAACTTGCCTGGTGGGTTCCAGGCCCGCGTCGGGGAACGAGGAATGCTCCTTTCCGGCGGCCAGAGGCAGCGAATTGCAATTGCACGGGCTGTCGTGTCGAATCCCAAGATCCTTCTCCTGGATGAAGCCACTGCCTCGCTGGATCTGCACGCTGAGAGCCTCGTGAGAGCTGCCCTTGACGCCGCCGCAAAGAACCGAACCACTCTGATGATCGCCCATCGACTTTCGACCGTCAGGCATGCCGACAACATAATCGTCCTCAGCGCAGGGAAACTTGTCGAGCAAGGCACCCACGACGAGCTCATACGGAGCCGAGGAGTCTATCAGTCGATGGTCGAGGCTCAGCAAATCGAAGCGAATCAGCAATCTGACAGCGTCGCACACCATGCCAGTGGTATGGCAGATCTCGAAAATACGAAAGAATCGATCTCGATCTCGACAGAAAAATCGACAGGCGACACTTCTTCAATCTCCAAGAGCCAGGAACATTATAGTCTCTGGGAGCTTGCCAAATTCATATGGTCTCTCAACCAAGACGAGCAATCATGGATGGCACTTGGATTTGTGGTCTCGATGGGCACAGGAGCCGGGTACCCCATCCAGGCTATCTTCTACGGCAACTCGATCATCTCACTCGTGAACCCCGATGCGAGCACTGGGAGCCACGACATTGATTTCTGGTGTGGGATGTTGCTCATGCTGGGACTCGTCCTCCTGGTCTTGTACCTGGTCCAGGGCATGGCCTTTGCGTGGGCGTCGTCTCGGCTGATCCGGCGTACCAGGGACCTGACCTTCCGTGCCATTCTGCGCCAGGATATGGCCTTCTTTGACATCAAGGAGAACGCTTCCGGAGCACTGGCGTCCATGCTTTCCACCGAGGCCGCCATGATAGCCGGCATGAGCGGAGCCACGCTGGCCGCCCTGATGAACTTTGTGGTTTCCATCATCGGAGCGATCGGCGTTTCCTGTTCTTTTGGCTGGAAGCTCGCCCTCGTTTGCGCCTCGACAATGCCGCTGCTGCTCGCGTGTGGCTTTCTCCGGACGTGGGTTATGACCGACCTGGAGAAACGGACTCGCCGCCAAACCGAAGCGGCGGGGTACGCCTGCGAGGTTGCGTCTGCCATTCGTACTGTGGCTTCGCTGAGGATGGAAGGAAATATCTGCTCCCGGTACAGCGCAATGCTGAGGCAGCAGACGAAGCAGGACTTTCGATCTTTGATCCTGTCCTCCATGCTCTACGCGACTTCGCAATCCCTCATGTCCTTTGCGAACGGCCTGGCTTTTTGGTATGGAGGCACCCTGATTATGAAGGGCGAGTACACAGTGAAACAGTTCTTCGTGTGTTTTGTGGCCGTCATCTGGGGCTCCCAGGCGGCTGGCGCCATCTTTTCATACGCCGGCGATATGAGCAACGCCAGGGCGGCTGCCGCTCGGGTGAAGACTCTCCTCAGTCGCACACCGATCATCGATTCGTGGTCAACCACAGGCAAGGTCATCCCGCACCATGGGCTCGAAGGCCGTATTGAATTCCGTGATGTGTCCTTCTTCTACCCCACGCGGCCCAGTCGGCTGGTCCTCAAGAACATCAGCATCACGGCCGAGCCAGGACAATTCATTGCGCTGGTGGGCGGAAGTGGCAGCGGCAAGAGCACCGTCATCTCGCTGCTCGAGAGATTCTACGATGCCGTGTCCGGGGGCGTCTACGTGGACGACAACGAGATTTCGACCTACCAGGTCCAGGCGTACCGGAGCCAGCTGTCGCTCGTGAGCCAGGAGACGACCCTGCACATGGGCACTATCCGGGACAATATCCTCGCTGACAAGGAGGACGCGTCGGAGGAGGACCTGATCCAGGCGTGCAAGGACGCCAACATCTACGACTACATTGTGAGTCAACCAACAGAGCCGATCTTGCTATGATGAGAAAATGGATTAACACGGCGAAATACAGCTCTCCCTCCCGGACGGGTTCAATACCTCGGTGGGCACAAAGGGCAGTCTACTGTCCGGCGGCCAAAAGCAACGCATCGCAATTGCAAAGGCGCTCCTGCGCAAGCCGAGAATCCTGTACGTCTGGGGTCCCCCCTCTCCCTCCTCTTCCACCTCCTTCTCCTTCCAAAGCCTTCGCATGAGATCCCAGAACCCAACTAACTCGTGACGACGGCCTCAAGACTCCTAGACGAAGCCACTTCGGCTCTCGACTCGTCCTCCGAAGCCGTCGTGCAAGCGGCCCTCGACCGAGCCGCAAAGGGGCGCACCACGATTGCCGTCGCCCACCGGCTCAGCACGATCCAGCATGCGGATATCATTTACGTCCTTGAGCAGGGGAGCGTGGTTGAGTGTGGCAGCCACGCACAATTGATGCGGCGCAAAGGCGGGAGGTATGCGGGATTGGTGCAGTTGCAGGAGATGGGTCTGGAGTCTGAATCATAGTCCATAACGGTGGTCCGTTGAGCAGGACGGGTGGCTCTTGCTACAAAAAGGGGAGAGATGGATTTCCTTCCTTAGTTTTTAAATAGGAGAAGGAAGAGGGAAAAGGACAGGAGACTTCTTTTGAAGCTGTGATATCGAGGGTTGGTTTCTCTCATAGTTAGGATAGTTAGGGAATGCTGTTACATGTTTGTGATTTGGTGGACAGACATGACCCTCGACTCGAGCAACTCACATGTAGCGATCCTTGGTCGGAGCTGTCCGCTACATCACAAATTTATATCCCAACGAATTGCAGAATGTCCAAGGACATTCCGTCTCCAACGGTGAACCCGCCATCGTGCATAGACGTGGTGTTGTAGGGAACTTGCTAGAAAAGGATACAAGAGCAGACCGGTCCACTGTTATATTGATCTGGTGAGCAAGCCTCCAGAGCCGGTGTAGCACTGCATACACATTATCACTCGTTCGTCGCACATATATTCATGGCCAACGACTCCACCACCCATCCCGTGGGCAACAACCGCTTTCTCCAGCGCGCGTATGCACTATCCAGCGCTGCCGAAGCCCGTGACCTCTACAACGAGTGGGCGTCGGAATACGACAAGGACCTCGCGGCCGAGGACTATGCCGCACCCAGACTCGCCGCACAGGCGCTGGTCGATGCGGTCGCCCACGATGGGGTCGCACAGCAGCAGCAGCAACAGCGGCTAGGGGGCCTCGAGATCTTAGACGCCGGCTGCGGCACGGGGCTGGTGGGCGTGGAGCTCGCGCGGCTCGAATCCAGGCAGCACGTCACAGGCCTGGACATCAGCTCGGGCATGCTGGCCGTCGCACGCCGCACGGGAGTCTATGCCGCGCTCGAGCAGGCCGACCTATCCCACCCGATCGCGAAGCCCGACGAGTCCTTCGACGCCGTCGTCTGCGTGGGCACCCTTACCCGCGGCCACGTCGGTCCGCAGGTCCTTGAGGAATTTGTGCGGGTGGTAAAGCATGGGGGATTTATCGTCGTGACCGTCCTCGACGATATCTGGGTCAGTGCCGGGTTCAGCGCCGAGGTCGAGCGCTTGCGGACGGCCAGTGCCAGTATGAATAAGATTGAGGTCCTGCGCTCAGAGGTGATGGGCTTCAGGTCGACGACGAATGTTGGTGGGAGGCTCTTGGTGCTGCGAAAGGTGTAATAGAATCAATGAGCAGATAAGAGGCGTGAGACCTAGGCACTGGGCTTCGTCGAGGCGCTGCTTTTCTTGAGAGACGAGAAGGGGTTTAAGAGCTCTCTCTCTCTCTCTGTGTGTGTGTGTGTGAGAGAGAGAGAGAGAGAGAGAGAGAGAGAGAGAGAGAGAGAGGTGCTTGACGGTTGACGACAACAGGTTGGTGTGGCTTGCTGTACTTGGTCCAGTACATGACTGAGGTTACCCCCTGAACGACTCTGTTAGGGGGCGCATGGACCCTGGTTATGGGCGGGGAATGGGCTTCTCCCGCCTATTGGGCCCTAGAACAAGAGCATCAACGGGTCAAAGATGACCAGTCTTTAGTGCCTTGTAGGCTACCTCGCCCCAAGCTGGCGCCCCGTGGCAAGTCCTAGGTATCCCAAGTTCCCCCTGGCAATGGGTTCTGGCTTCTACAGTACATATCATCCACTGTCTGCTGGCCTCAACCATCGTTTCCCCGACGTACGTACTGTACCTCAACAACTCAACACCTCACTCTTCATTCCATCCGTCCATCGAACTTGTTGCCCGCCCTGCTCGTGACTGCCGTGCCTGCACTATCCAATGACTTCAATATCCAGACATGACAGGCTTCGACACGACATCTTGAGAGCTTGAGGTCTGCCCATCCCCCGCCCGCGCCCTCCATCGGTGGCTTCAGAACTGCTGTGATCAATACCAGACAGATCCTTCTCGAGGTCGAAACACACACCCCCTTATCTAGAACCAGACTCTCCTCGCGCCTTGAGACCCTGGTCGTATCGCAGTACGGCATTCAACAACACCTGCGTGCCCAGTGCACTGTCAAATTCCAGTCGTCAGCATCAGGCATATGAGCCGCAGTAGGGGAGCTATCACTCACCAGTGTTCAGGCGTGGAATACTCGCTCGGGTGGTGCGATATCCCATTCTTGGACGGAATAAACACCATCGACGTCGGGCAGATGTACGACGTGTTGACGCTGTCGTGGCCCGCTCCGGCCGGGAGTTCTCGGTAGCCATGCTCACCCACGAGCTCGATGGCCGCCGACCGCACGGCGTCGATGCAGTCCTGGTGGAACTCCACGGCGGCACTCCTCCAGATCTGCTTGATGTTGACGGTGCAGCTGTTGCTTTCCGCAATGGATGCACACAAGTCTCGCACGGTCTGGGCCATCTGGTCCAGCGTGTTGTTGGAGAGGTGCTCGATGTCGACGCTGAACGTGACAGTCCCCGGGATCGTGCCGGGAGACTGCGGTTCCGAGTTGATGACCCCGACGGTGGTCAGGCCCTGGTTCTCCCACGCGACGGTGTTGATGCGTGAAATCATCTGTGCGGCCGCGAGCAGCGCGTCGGCGCGTCGATCGATCGGCGTGGTGCCGCAGTGCTGGCACCGCCCGTTCACCGTCACGATGAGCCACATCATTCCCTGGACCCCGGTCACAACGCCCACGGACTTGGAATCTTCTTCCAACACGGGTCCCTGTTCGATGTGGTATTCGAAATGGGCGGAGAGCGGGTTGGCCGTGTGAGTGGCCTTGACGGGGCCCAGATATCCGATTTTCGCGAGCTCGTCTTGGAAACGCAGGCCGTCGGCGTCGATATGGTTGTACGCGTCCTCTAACGAGGCATTGCCCGCCCATACGGCGCTGGATAACATGCCCGTATTGAACCGGGCACCCTCCTCGTTCGTCCAGTCAATCACGGCGATCGGGGCGTAGGTGGTGTAGTCGTTCTCATGCAACACCTTCAGGATCTCGACCCCGGCCTGGACACCCAGAATCCCATCATACCGGCCGCCCGCGGGCTGTGTGTCCAGATGGGATCCGATGCCGATGGGGGCGATGTCGTTGTTCTGGCCCGGTCGGATGGCGAAGAGATTCCCCATCTCGTCGATCTTGACCGTCGCCCCGTACTGCTGCACCGTGTCGACGAACCAGTCGCGCACGGCCTTGTCTTCGGGTGTGAGAGTCAGGCGCCGAACACCTCCTTCGGGCGTGGCACCCCATTGTGCGGTGTGATGAAGAGTGTCCCAAAGTCTCTGCTGGTTGACAGTCAGAGTCGAAGCAGAGTAGAGTCTGTTTCGAGAGGTGAATGCTCGGATTTGAAGGGTGCTTTGACGCCCCTGTCGTCTCATGTATCCTCTGCACGCATTTCTGGACGAGGCGAGGAATGTCCCGCATAAGGAGTGAAGGGCGGACCTTGTGGGATTCATCGTTCCAGGACCTATGCTGCGAACAATAAGTATCTACGTTCGAGATGAAGTAGGCGATTGGATCTCGCCCTCCCCTTTTATATCATTGGAAGCCCAACGCCGTATGATGTGGTGTTATGCTCTCTTCCAAACTGGCTCCAGATACTCCTCCTCGAGAGTGATTTGCAATGACTACGAGATATTCGTCACTCCATCTCTCCCAACAAAGCAGGCTTCTCACAGGATGCATCGCACATCTATGCAACTTCTTTCTTCCACATTCTGCATTGGCAGTGCGGACATGCAACGACGTTGGGGGCACCTCTCTGTACGTGTGCCATGGTTGGCTACAGATACAGTGCCGATGTCCACTTTGTTTAGTGTTGACACGTCGATACCCCTGCTTGCCGGAGTCATGTTGCCGGAATATCTCCGTCTATCTGTCCGACATCCTCTCTCTTTCCATCTGCAAGTCTTCGCATTCCTTGCTCCATCTCCACCGCATTCCTTTGCCATCATCAGGGACTCCACCCGAGCCCAGTTGCGTGTGGTGGCTGATACAGTGCCGAGATGGAAAAGGGGATCTGCATGCGTCGATCGCCTTGTGACCTGATAGAGGACGCAGACAGGGATACGACGGTGAGATGTGCTTCAGCATCATTCCAAGGTTCTTGATCTGCTTGGCCACATGGTACCTGTTCGCTATATAAAAGAGCAATGTGGTCCATGTACCGCCAGAAGGGCTTTTGATCGTCGCCGTGTCACCACCACGACAGTTGGAAACTACACGATCAAGAAAACGCTTTGATACCATCTGACAGACCACACCAAGTCTCACGATGCCGCTAAAGAGAGCAGACTTGCGCCTCAATCACCCTTTCATCCAGAATTTGATTGCTGGGTAAGGCTGGTTCCTCATGCCCGAGAATGGATCGAGTTTCTGACAGTTTATTCAGTTTGATGCTCCTCTGCTTGCCCGGCATCTACCTTGCTTTGACAGGTCTAGGGGCTGGTGGTGGAAAGCCCTCATCTCAGACCGTGGCTGCAAATGTCAATGCCATCCTATACGGCGTCTTCTTCATCACCGGGTGGTTTGCCGGCTCGGTGATGAATCTCATCGGCCCAAACTACACGGTGTTTCTTGGGTCGATCGGTTACAGTCTATACACAGGTGGGTTATCATGCCTCCAGCCACCACTATGGCGCCGTGTTCATATCCTCTAACCACCCATGCTGGCTGTAGGTGGTCTCTGGTACTTCGACCGAACTGGAAACTCATGGTTGGCATACATGGGTGGAGGCATCGAAGGAGTATCCGCTGCTCTTCTGTGGGCGTCCGCCGGTGCGATTGCGTACTCTTACGCCGAAGAGAAGGACAAGGCTCTGTTCATGACAATCCAATGGTGCATGTGTGAAGGTGAGCTACTACCTACCGCCGAATAGCAGAGATGCTTACGGGGAACAGGCGGTTCGACAATTGCAGCTCTCGTCGCCCTCGGCATCAACATGCACAGTGCGCGGCAAGATGCTGGCGCACCCACTCCCGTCTACATCGTCTTTGTGGTCATCCAGGTCTTCGCCATGGTGCTGGCCCTGACACTGCTGGTGCGGCCCGCAAAGGTAGTGCGCAGCGACGGCACCAAGATAGCCATCTTTAAGCAGCCGTCCTTGAAGGGCGAGCTACGGGGTATCCTCGAGATGATCAGGGATTTCCGGTTCATGATGTTGCTCCCCGCCATCTTCGTCGCCGAGATGGCCCTGGCCCTCCAGAGCTCCCTGAATGGCTACTACTTCAACTTGCGTACTCGCTCCCTCAACAACGTCATGTTCAACTTCATCCAGCTGCCGGCCAGCTTCGGCATGACTTACATCCTGGACAATCCTCGCTTCGGACGCAGGAGGACCAGGGCGCTGATTGGTATATCGGTGATGAGCGCCATCACGCTCGGCATCTGTGCGGCGGAGGCAGCGTGGCTCGCCCAGCATCATCTGAACCGGCACGAAGCAGGCCCGTCGACTGATTGGACTGATTCGGCCTTTGCCGGCGCTTTTGTGATCTATGTCATCTACGGGACCGTCTATAGGTAAGTTCAAACCCAGCAGACGACCAGCGATCCCAAGGGACTGACACGGGCTGATAACTGTGCAGCATCTACCAAATCGCAACCCAGTACGTGATCTGCGCGCTGACTAACGACCCGGAGCGGCTGGCGCGACGAGCATCGTGCTTCCGCGGCACCACCGCGCTGGGTATGATGTTCAGCTTCATCATTGATGGCAACGGCGGGACGTACATCACCCAGCTGTCGTTCCAGTTCGCGTGCTACTTCGTGGGCATCCTGTTCCTGTACATGGTCACTATCTTCTACGTCAGCGACACCAACTATTTCCACGAGGACACGGTCATCGTGCCCAAGCACATCGAAGACGACGCCCGGCTAGAGGGGAGGATTGGAGCTGCCGAGACCGGCAGCGTGGACGTGGATGGGGAAGAGACGGTAGTGCCCAACAAGGGCATGGCGTAGGACATCATCGAGTACTTCAACCGGTCAGGGTCCCAGCACCGCGGCACCTATTTGTATAGCCATGATTCAGCAGCATAAGGTACCCAGCGACCAGGTACTATACACTGCCATGCACCCTGACCATATAACCTGTCATGTCGTGCGTGTATGCTCCGACACCAAGAACGCCACCCAAAGCTAGTCCCTAGTATCCATGCGGTACGCAGCATGCCGCGGACATCGTATCACAGAGCGGAGATACGTGTGAGCTTGTAGCCGAAACGGCCCTTGGGATACCGAAAGCAGGTACATACCTGTATGTACGATGCGACCACCCCCCGACGCCAGCCATTCCCGTGGGCCGCGGTCGTTAGTTAGTTGGGTGGAAAGGGTGAAAGCGGACCTCACCGACCGACCCGGTTTGCGATAAGCATTTGAGATACTGTTATAAGAGAGGGGAGAAAACCTGTTCCCTGTTCTCCAACAATTGTCCGGTTCTCCATGAGTTGATAAAGAGTAACCTCGTACTTACTATCTTATGTACTGACTGCCCTTTGGTGGCACGGACGAACGAATAGAACACACGAGACGAAAAAAAAAACAACGACTAAATCATAGCTGAATCCCTCCGTCCCACTGGAGTCTCCCACCCCTCTCTCTGTCTCTCTTGTGAGAGCAAAGATGCCGCCGTACTCGCGCCCCCGCCAGCCGCCGGCGTCGCGGGGCTCCAAGCTGGGCTACTACCGGGCGTCGATCGCCTGTGTGGGCTGCCGCAAGAGCAAGACGCGGTGTCTGCTCACGCCGCAACGCGAGCAGGACAGCTGCGTCAACTGTCGGCGCAAGAACCAGCCCTGCGCCTTTCTGACCGTCGACAAGAAGCCGCCCGACTGGATCTGGTCCTCGAGGGACGGATCTAGCGCCAGAGCCAGGGCCGGGGCTGGGGCCAAGCGGAGAGGGCAGCAGCAGCAGATCACGACAGTGACAGAGTCCGAGTCTGAAGAGTTCAGCTCCTCTTCGTCTTCTTCTTCCTCCTCGTCGTCGTCGTCGTCAAAGCTCTCGGTCTCTGCGTCGCCCACGGGCTTGGACATGGCTACCCGGCACGGTGCGATGAACGATAACGGCGATATTCAATCAGCAACACAACAGCCGCTCCAGCAACACGACTTGTCCTGGGTCGCAGATGTGGATGAACAGCTGATCCCATTCGAGACGCTACCACCCTCCAACCTGGAGGGTGATCGCGACCCGGAAAGCTGCTGGTTCGATACGAGTCCGGCGGAATACTTTGTCTCTCCCGACTACATGGGCATTTCCGATGCCAACCTCATACTATCGCAGTATTCATATTGTGGCCCGAACCTGGGGCCCGCTGATTGGGTGTCGGACATCAACTTCAACAGCATGCCCCTGGAGTGTCCGAGCTGGTGTACCCACGACCCGCTCCCGCACGACCATCACCTCCAGTCGACACTTGACCCGGGTGTGATGACGCTGTCAAACTCGTACGGCGCTCATGGGGCACCCCTTTCGAGTATCTGATGAAGGCACATGAGGAATGACGACGCAGCGTGTGCATACGGGTTTTCGGTCCTTGGATCTAGAAAGGAGGCATGACGCGTATGCTGGAAAAGAACAGTGTTTGTTGAGTAAGTCTGGGTCCGTTTGCGCCTCTATTGGTCACCATTGCACACGGTTCACCTGCGTGTGTGCCGACAGATACATAGCACAACAGAACGCCGCCGTGCTAGTAGTCATGAGGTCCCCACAGTGGACGGGTCCGAGGCTGAACACGCAGGCTGGGGCGACAGCCGGAGGGGCAAGGGACCTCCGAACCGTTTTTATCTCAGAGGGAGAGAAAGCGCCTTTTCAAGCGAGGTGAGGCGTTCGAAAACGGTCGGCGATGACCAGCCAGATGGCCAAGAACGGCGACCCGATCCAAAAGGGCGCTGAGAGAGGAGTTTCTACACCTAAGATCATGGCTGTGCCAAATGCATGGTCAGGGAAGCAAGCCGTTCTGGAGAAGATCGTATGTACAGATATACGGTCGGTGCAGAATAGAAGATCGGGTGGACTGAGAGGACCAATTCCCCCGCTCAAGAGAACGTCTGATGACCTCTTTTTGGGTGAATACACCGCTCTCTTTACCGTCTTGTGTGCAGCACTGGAGCATGACTACCTTCGTATCCATGAGGTCTCACATGTAGGCGTTAATGTCCGCAAATATGCTCTCAAGATCCAACTCGTCCAGCTGCATGCCACCCTCGCACGTCTGCCATACGTCATCAAAGAAGGGCAGTTCGGGGTAGGACAGATCTGGGGCGGGGACACCGTTGCCTGTCTTTCCTGTGCTGAGCCCATCGGGCGTGGCGCCAGGAGGTGATATGATGGCCGCAGAATTGCCTTGAACGCCTTGGTCCACGGCGGGCAGCGAGACCTTGTACTTGGAAACCAATCTTTGCAGAGATTCGGAGAGCGTCGTGGCGAACTTGGTCTGGGATTTGGCGTCCTCGAGAATCTGAAAAGCCTGCGCCAGCTCTGCTCGGCGCCTATCCTCAGTACCACCACCAGCTGCTGCCTTGTTCAGGCAAACGTCGAGCAATAGCGCAATGGTGGCCAGGAAGAGGCAGTAGAGTGTGCCGCCAAATCTGAAGCGGCTCAGGGCGAAGGGCATCTCAGTTTCCTTCTCCAGCCGCCGTTCGGCCGCGATGATCTTTCGCGCGGCGTCGAGACAGATCTGTCGTGACCGCGCCCACCGCGACTCGTCGGAGCTTCGCCATAAACTTGGGAGGTGGAGCTTGCAGCGGCGCGCCTGCACCATGCCGACGAGAATATAAGTCTGTACGGTGATCGCCGGATCCTTAGGTCCTAAGTTTCCGTCGTCGTTGTCGTCATCCTCGAGGTTGAAGAAGGGGGGAAAGTCACCGAGGAACTTCTCAAATTGGGCGTCGACCTCCATGACATCTTCGTACGTTGTAATTTCCCAGTTCTCTGCCGTGGAGCGGCTGCTGGCCTCGTAACAGAGCTCTCCCAGTCGCATTCTCTGCAGAAAATACGACATCGACGTCGGTTGCGCTATGTCCAATCCGACAAGGGGAAGACCCTCCACCATGTCCTCATCGGGAATATTGCGTGGCTTGTTGACGGTCATCTGCTGCGGATGTATCGTGCAAATTCCTTCGTGGGGTCCGGGAAACCTGCTCAGGATCCTTTAAATAGGTCAGCAAGAGAATTGCGATACGTTATGTCTGAAAACGAACGACCCACCAGTCCAGTGCGGCCAGGTACCACCAGACCCTTCGTCCGACCTCGGCTCGCACCGAGTCACTTTGCGGACGACACGATAGGAGGTCAATCCGATGGAGAGAAAGTTGTCGTGCTATGGTTGTGGCCGTAGACACCAGGTCATAATATCGCAGGGACGTGCCTTCCATGTTGCAGACGAGGAATGATACAATCACCAGGGCCTGAACGTCTTCAATGGAGCCATTCATCGTCCGCCGTGAGTGATCCAGCACGTCGAGGACCGCAGTTACCCAGGAGGTGGCCTGCTGCCTGGTATCTTCCACAGAGCGATACAAATTCGGGTCGTCCTGGAGTGTCCATACGAATGTTGCACTAGCGACAACGCTCAATAGCAACGCCACGTGACTGTGCTTGGGGGATATATGCTGATCGAGGTCATGATAAATATCATCCACGAGTTTTCGTAATGAAGGAGAATGGATGACATGATGAATGTAGGTCAGGTCGCGAAGATACTTGTCTACAAACATCTTCGCTTCTTCTTGTCGCGGTAACCAGATACATTTGACAGGCTCGACGGGATAAGAAGGAGTAGGTGGATCCAGATAGATATACGACGTCGTCCTTGTGATCTGGCGAACGGGACATGTCCGGAACACCATCCTTCCCGAGCTGAAAAGGACCTGAAGTGAATAAGCACGTGGCATCTCAATATGGCAGTATTATTTCAAGATGTTACAAAGGGTGAAAAGCAGGGCCTAAAGTTAGAATCCAAAGCAGCAATATGATCGAATGATACTTACCACCGAACTTTGATCCATCATATCCGTCTCGAGCAGCTTAACATCGTAGGTAGCAGTCCGTGGTCCAACGGAAGTCTCTGGTCTTGTTTCCGGCATCAAGGTGGGTTTACCGGTGTTCCAAGTAGTTGATGAGCCATCGATGGCCGTGTCATTACCGAGTTTTTCCGTCCTCTGCGTTCGGGACGGGTCGCTCGAGCTCAACCAATTTGATGTATTGAGTGAGGTTACTCTCCGCAGCGCCGCTCTACTTCGAGCTGGCTCTATGGCTGGGCCGTAGAGCTGGCATGGTAGTCCCTTTGCCGCGCAGTTGTCGCAGGGGAACTGGCGACTGCATCTCAGTTTCTTGGAGCGGCAATAATGGCACGACACAGGACGGGGCGGGCGCGTCTTCCGTATCGCGTCTGGCCTTAATGACATGGCTGTCTGCTCGTAGGCAACAGCTTCTCTGTCCTCTATGCACAGGTGGAGAGACGATGTCACTTTCGTCCCTCAAGTCTGCAGGCAGCATTTTCTTGGGCCGGACTGTGGATCCGTGTGGTTGGGATAGAGCCAATCGGAGTGTCCAGATCTCGGAAACTCCGGCCACGGACATTCCGGCAAATGTGATTGGCTGCATCCATATCATCAGGAAAAGGGAACTGTATATAAACTATTCAAGGTCCCTGTCGAAGGAGGATTCTGCATTAATTCTACTCAGTACACCTCCTATTTGACGACAATGGAAGCCCTAGCCGACCAGATAAAGTCAATGGCGAAAGATGTTGGTGAGGCAGAGAAGTCTCACATCCTCGACACACTCGCGCGTCTCCAACGAGAACTTGACTCGCCAATGGATGTCCTGATGAAGATATTCAACGCAGTAAGTGCGAACTCGTGTTGGGACCTGCAAGGAGGCTTACTGACTTACAACTTAGCAAATTTCGCTCTCGATGATTTATGTTGCGGTAGACCTTGGTGTCTTCCGGGAGGTGGCCAATTATGCTTCGTCCTCTGTCAGTGGAGTTCAGTTGGCCACGAAGGTTAAAGCATCCCCAGATCTAGTTGGTGAGTCCTCTTCGATGCTTGTGGGCCTATCTCAACTGATTAACTCCATAAACACATAGAACGTCTACTTCGATACCTAGCATCCACAGGCTTCCTCGACAACCCGGGCTCAGGCCAGTATCAACCCAACAGAATCACCCATTTCCTTGCCAGCCCCCTTGCCGATGCCGGTGTAGTCCACGCGTAAGTTTCTTTTCCTCTCATAACACTATTAAACTCTTTTGAAAGACTCAATTTCCCATAGCCTCGACACATGTGGTCCAGCCATTCAAGCACTCCCATCATTCCTGGCCGAAACTCAGTACCAGGATATCAGCGAGAACCTGAACACGCCCTTCCAGAAAGGTCACAAGACCAGCCTTGGAGCGTTTGAATGGCTGTCTCAGAAGCCAAAGAACTTCCTTGCCCTCCAGGAGATCATGACCGCCATGCAATCCGCCGCCTGGCTCGACGGCCTCGACGTGCTTGGACAAGCTGCCTTGAACGTCGCTCCTGGGTCCGAGAGACCCTTCTTTGTCGATGTTGGGGGCGGCCATGGCCACCAGTGCAAGCAATTGCTCGACAAACATCCCAATCTCCACGGATCCCTTGTCTTGGAGGATCTGCCTCAGGTGGCTGATAAGTTGTCGCCAATCGATGGAGTCAAGATAATTGGACAAGATTTCTTCGAGACACAGGCTGTTCGAGGTTCGTACGCACTTACATCACGGTCCCAGCGTCTAACTCATCTCCCCTTATAGGTGCTGCCTTCTATTATCTTCGCCGGATCATGCACGACTGGCCTGATGCCGAGTGTCGTACAATCCTATCCCGGCTCTCTGAGGCGATGGCGAGCGATTCGCTCATTTTGATTGACGAGATTGTCCTTCCCGAAGCGAACGTCCCCTGGCAGGCTGCCATGCAGGATGTCTCCATGAATATTCTCTTCGCCGGCAAGGAGAGGACACGCGATCAATGGGAGCGGTTGATCGCCAGTTCCGGACTGACCCAGAAGGACATTCGAACATACAATATCTCTGCGTGCAGTTCCGTGATTGTCCTGGGAAAATGAATTGGATCTCATTAGATAAAGCTGGATCGACGTCTTCGAACCTTGTTAGTAAATGGTCAGAAAGAAATGGAATTAATCGGCATCATTATGATCGCAACTCAACAACAGAGGTGGAAGTGAGCTGCTTGATAGAGACAAATGCACTGGTAGGCGTGGCGGCAAGCATTTCGCTGTATCTACTAGCTCCTGTGTAACCAATTTTATTAGGTGCTGAATGCTGCACTTCCCGATCTGCAGGTAATTTTCTCTCACTACTTTCAGGGCAGAACTGTGAGGTGCAAGCTAGACATGTTCAGTAACCTATGTACCACCTTATCTTTTCGTCATTCTGCAACTGTGAGTCTGTATGTCAGCCCAACATCAAATCTTCATGTTTCGTGCAGGTTGGGCTTTTCATGTCAAACACGCCTCCGCCAGGAAAGACGAAGCCGGTCTTTTGACCATTGATGGCCTCCGGCAATCTTCGTCACCAGATCGAGGTGGGATATTTTCTCGACCAGCTGATTCTTTATGGTCTCTGCGAGCTTTTCATCGAGCTTGAAGTTGGGGTCGCAGAACATCCAAAAATCCGGCGCGGCTCTCCTGCTTGGACTCAACTGTGCGGGTAGGAGAGTCTTGATTCATCCTGCCCTGCAGGATACCTTTGTGGTAACAGCAGCCATCTCGAGATTCCTGGTCCAATCGATCTCGATCGTGGGCCTGTAGGTCGATTCACTGTGAAAGGAGGTCATATAGCCTGCTTTGTTCTCGACTGTCCGCTTATACACGATCTCTGATGAGACTTTGAGCTTGATGATTCTGCCCTTAGCTGACCAGACCACTGTATTGGGAGTCTTGGGCATTATGTCACATGTTGTAGTCTCCAGAACGATATTGACGTTGACATTTATACGCTGGTAGAAGATTTCATGATCCTGACTGGAGACCTGTGTGCCTGCAGTCCGGCTCCCAATCTAAATATTGTCGGAGCTACATGGATTATCAAGAATGCTGGTTTTATCATGAGGATTGCCCCCAAGACCAAGAGGACCGGATACCAGGCTGGCATGACTATTAAGCCATGAGAATTGATGACGGGTGTATCTCGTGTGAATGAGGCAAGATCGAACCATGTCTTCGGAATTCAATGGCTCGCGTCGCCCATTACACAAGAACCACCGAGGGATAAATTTTCCATAGTCTCAATTCTTTATTTCGCTCGGCGTTTGACGGCATGTAGTATTCTGATGACTTTGGGACTTTGATTTCATCGTTGGCCCACGGCCAGCAGAAGTATTCTGCTCACAGCATTATCCATGACGGCCATTCTGCTAAGTATGCTCTACGATGACCAGCAGGATCATAGCTCACTCCGAGACAGACCCCGACTTTTGGTCGACCTCGCTATCTCAGTTTGAAGTTGTTCTTTTCCTTACCTCAGGATGAGTGGTTAAAAGCGGCGCGGCGGGTGTGAGTCGCACGTGAGGCCAAGACAAGGCTGGATCCCTGGCCAACTCCGTTTTCGCGCCATTCCTTGAAGAATCTCAGCTATCAATCCGACGACACAGCTTAACGGCCCTCCGACCTCCCGGCTCAACACCCTATCTTCTACACACAACATTACAGAACGGTCTCCACTACGCGTGCAACTCTTTGCGCAACCCTGCAGCCTCCGAACCTCCGCTCCGCGAGAACTACTTCCATCCACGATGTCCTACTTCCGCATCACCTTGATCAGATCTGCCATTGGTTTGCCAGCAAAATCAGGCAATGTCCTCAAAGCACTTGGCCTGCGCAAACGAATGGCAACCGTATTTCACCCTGTCACGCCTTCGGTCGCTGGCCAGATAATGAAAGTAAAAGAGCTGGTTGCGGTTTCGGAAGTCGATGAACCTCTCACAAAACAACAGATACACCAGGAACGCGTCCCGGATCCAGGCTTCTACGTTGAGTCAAGAGCGCGGGATCTTAGCAAATAAAGAGGCTCAGCGAATAAGCTAGAAACACCTATACAATGTTCGCCAAGAATTACTTCCACCTGTCACAGTCCGTGCGATAAAATGCTGTCGCGGTTTCCGGTGGAGGACAGATTGATGCCCTCATTAATCACGAAGAAATAAACTCGGCTGCTACTTCGCCATGTGCTGCTGCCACATATCCGCCAAATTCCAGACCTCCCCTGCAGATCCTTACTCCCCCTGTGTTCCGAAGCGTTCTGTGCCGAGCTATGAAGTCGCTGTCGAACAGAGCTACGGTTTAGTTGGAGCGCATGGAAGAGGTTGCAAACTATACAAGACGGAGACCGGAGCGGGGTGGGATTGGTATTCATGTCCTGAACGGCATGCTGACACTACTTCTGAGGGTCAACCTCAAACGTGGATGGGGAGGGTTGTGAAGATGTAGCTTGAGAGCTGGTTTATGGAAGCCTAGGGTAAAGGCGGGGGGGGGGGGGGGAAAGCAATCACTTATGGACTACAGAGTCTTGCCCAGAGGAAAGACTAGGGCCTTGTAACAAAAGAGAATCTATTAAAGGTGCATTATGGGTTTACATTGTTGCGAGTGTGGTGTTGTCGGTCTCAACATTGAACAGTTCGCACCCTGGAAATTTGAGGGAGCATGTCTAACTTGCTTTGTTCAGAATATTGACCAGATGATCCTCAAGCAAGTCTCTGATAGTTGTTCAGACATTCACATCAATATCCCGAAATCTTTCGAATGTTCGGGAGTAGACTTGCTGGACATGGGAATTTTCTGTCAAATGCCACACTGCGACGTTCCACCAATCATGAAGCTCCAAGCTGCAGTTTTGCCGAACCGATTGACCTTGTCGTCATTCGTCATTCGCTGCTGGTGAACCTTCACTTTCCAACTCAACTCAATGGCACATTCACCACATCCTTGCTAGGCACATTTCACCCAACTACAAGCTAGTCTCCTTCTCCTATCTCCAGGCACAGGCGTGCGGGAAACTGTTCTTGTCTACGTCTCCTCGCTCTCACCGACAACGTCCCTGACTTCTGGGACAGTTGCAACCATGAAAGCAAGCCGACACCTCCTCCGCTCCCCGCGACCGAGCGTCCTCTTTCGCCGACCATGTCCTTCACCGACGCAGCGTCTGACCGTTCCTGCTTCTTCTTCTCTCCTCTCCTTCTCCCGCCCACGTGCCCCTTTCTCCACCACCCTCACCACACCCAAGGGCCTGCAGCCAGACAGCAGCGACCCAAAATCTCCCAACACTGAACCCTCGCCTGGCACCCCATCTGGCGCGGCCCAGATCTCGGATTCCGAGTATCACGAGATCGCGGACCAATATCTGAACACCCTGGTGCTGGCTATGGAAGAGCTTGCGGAGAGCAGCTCAGAGGGCATAGAGGCGGAATTCTCGGTACGTCCATTACGCACCCACTGTGACTAGCCCGTGTCATTTTCACCGCTACCTACGCTCATCTTCACCTCACTTGTCTCTTACCAACTTTTTCCCACACCCGGTAAATGTCGCTAACAATTTCTTGTCCGTTTTCTCTACTGTCTAGGCCGGCGTACTCACAATCACCCACCCGAAGCACGGCACATACGTGATCAACAAACAGCCGCCGAACAAACAGATCTGGCTGTCCTCGCCGATATCCGGCCCCAAGCGCTACGACTGGGTCGTCCCCGGCGACTCGCAGCACGAAAAGGCCGACTCGACCGTGGACCTCGGTGACGACGGACAGAGCGGGGGCAAATGGATTTACCTGCGGGACGGGAGCAGCCTGAGTGATTTGATCAAGAAGGAGCTGGGCGTCGAACTTCGGCACGGAGGCGAAGGGGCGAGTGACGTGAACGAGGGCCGCGAGGGACCTGCAAAGAGTGGAGCCAACACTGCACCATAGGGTGGTAGCATGATGGGCTGGTGAGGGAATGCATGAGACGAAAGACAAGAAGATTCGAGGTTGAACTAGATTGGGTCGACTGGTTTGCCCAAGCTTGAAGCAAATGGAAATAAGTGCTTTAGCGCAGCTCCGATGAGAGAGCTCGTAGTGTATCGGATATTACGGAGGGCTATTCTACATCCAGCCTCAAGCGGGCTATCAAGATCTGCTGGAAGCAAGAAAGATGATGATGAGAACAACAACATGGACAATTAAATGGCACTTTTTTAGCTGGTGGTAGTAGTGGTGGTGGTGGTGGTGGTGGTGATATGATGTCGATGATGTCCCAACTCAAAACATAAGACGTCTTCCGCCGGATATCAATGTTTCCTTCTCATCCACGCAGAGATCCTCCCGCTGTGCCATTGAACACTGCACTTCCCTCCTTTTCCCTATCTTCTACTTCCTCTTACGCGCACTGCCCCCACTGCCAGACTTGGGCTGCGACGCAGGTGAAGCTGGTGCAACCCTCGGAGCGGCAGGCTGCTGGGCGTCGGGGGGAGCAGGGACACCTCTGCCGGCACCCATCCTCCGGCTCATGATCTGGCGGGAGATGAAACTGATGCCCAGCATCATCATCCACGAGGGCATGGCGCCTAGCGCCCACATGAAGTAGCCAAAGGGCTGGAGCACGCCCGCCTGGGCCAGGAGCCCGTCGATGGGGTGCAGCATGCCCGTGTACTCGGGATATTCGAGGTATCGCGACTTGGAGGCGCGCGGCAGGCTGGTGATGTCCGAGACGGTGGTGGTCGTGACGTTGAGCGGGATGATGTAGAGCGGTGCCTTGGCACCTTGGTCGCCCTCCTTGGGCAGCAGGAAGTGGTAGATGACAGGCACCCCCGACGCCCACGCCGTGCACACGACCTCCTCCTTTTCACAGTCTAGAAAACCGAGTTTCAGCGGCGGGGAGCCCGCGGGCCGGGGCAACGCGGACAGTAAGGGCACAGATTCCTGGACATAGAGGGTCAGGACTCACAAGTTGATGACGATCGCAAACAAAATCGCGAGAGATTTATGGTTTCGGGGGAGAGAACATACATTCCACATAGCATCCACATGGGCACACCGGCCAAAGCACGTCTTATTGCCGCCCGTCAAATAGATCATCCACTCCTCCTCGGTGTCGGGCTTCGGGGACAGTTTGCGCTGCCAGTTGCGGACATTGATCTTCTCGACCTTGTGCTCTGCGATCGTGGCCGCGCCCGCCTCGATCGGGTTCTCAGGCACCGGTACCTCGATTGAAGGTGCTGCGCCGCCATTGGGGATATATGACTTCGCCTTGTCGAGCCAGCCCGCGGCCTTTTCTTTCAGGGGCACTTGGTCTGCGGCGACCAGCAGGGGAAGAAGGAGAAGGGAGGCGAAATGCATGGTCGAGAAGAGGACGGGTTGATCGATTCGAAGTAGCGGGATCTAGGGGATGACAATGACAATGATGGGCAAACAAGAAACCCTCAAACGACGAGACAGCAAGGGCAACCAGGAAAGAAGAATATTGCGCAAGAAGGACACCCACAAAAGAATGGGAAAGGTACACCCCCCGACACGAGGAAGGAAAACGTAAGTCAAGTTCTGATGGCGAAAAGCTAGGGAGTCTGTGTGTGTGAGGGAGGGAGGGAGGCAGAGAGAGCAGAATCGGCAAGTGTCGAGTAGTTGTCCAGACTGCACTGTTGGCCTGGCAGTTGTTAGCTAGGCACAGCGGTTTTACCTACCACGCCCAACCTAGGTAGGTAGCGATAGGTACGAACGAGCTAGTTTACTCGTAGCCGATAGTTGCCCCTCAACAACGGCTGGGCCAGTGGCTGATAAGAAACTTCCTTGGCTCCTTTTTCTCCCAGCAAGCCTAGCAAGCAAGTGATTTAGCCGAAACGGAGCCCCGCGACCGAGGGCCACGAGGAGCGCCATTTCCCCACGTGCCGTCTAGTTCGGTAGGCCTGGGAAGCTCGGAAAAAGGGGGTGCACAGCACGTACGGGACAGGTGGGATCATGCATCATAAAAGCCAGAGATGTACATATACGCACTCAGATCTAGAGCTCGCCTCCTCCAAGTGTCTGCCTATCCACAGGTACACTCACAACCGGCGGGTCAAGAGTCGAGCACTCTGAAGAAGGCGCCCTTCGCACAGCCTTGACCTGATCTCCCTCACTTCTTTATGGAAGGTTCAGTTTACACCCCGCACATTTCTGCGTGTAGCAGCAGAAGTCATTCCAGAGGTATGGCGTGATTCGAGCCATTTGTGACTTATATGAAGGGATCCAGACCGTCGGGTGACTTGGTCATGCGAACACTCGTATCAAACTTTGGTGTCCAGAAGCTATCGTAATCACGGTAGGAACGACTCTCAACAGGACGGCTGGAGCATGAACCTGATGAAACAGGTCCATCTCGCCAGGTCAAACAGAGGTCACCGGCACCGGGACCGACAACCAGTTGGGAAACACAACGTATCAACACAAGATGATCGAAGTCGAAAACGGTCAAGATTAGAATGATTATTGAAGAACGAATCAAGACCGCCAAGCCAACGTGAACCACCGAGACCTAGACAGGTAGCCAGAAGTCCCAGAACGAAAGGCCAGTTGTAAGAATTCAATTATGCATTGGGAAGAAGTTCAGGGTATCCGGTTGACCAACATTGATGATGAAACCCGGGAATTGATGCAGCGTTCATAGTCTTCTGCGCGGACGTAATCAGGAAATTGAGCTCGCACTCAGAATTTCTGGTGCATCCTGGGGCGGAAATGTGTATCAGAAAGAGCCATCCTCCAGGGTGGCTGACGCACTATTGCCACTCCTTGCAGCTCTGCAGGATTTGCTTACCGTCACCAGGTGCTGAGAGCTGCAATGCCACCCTAATGACCCGAGATCACCATTCGGGGCCACGTATATATACGCGAAAGCATCCCTCGGAGAGCTTTGCCTTGCTTGAAAACCACTCACGCCACAGCGCAGCAGTATCCAGTATAGAATTGGTCTAATTAGGTGGTGAAAATATCCAGTGGAAAACAGTGTGTAGACTCAGTTGCCGCACTGTCATCCGCCACACCTTCCTAGAACAATTTAGCGCGAGCACTTCGTCCAACCTTCCTCTTGAAGTTAGGACACAGAGTGCCACGGCAGATATTCTAGGCAGTATAGAACGCTAGCCTATTAAACATGACTCGTGTTGGAATCTGAGATTACTACTAGTAATATTCCTCCTGTGGATCTGCCACAGAGATACTTCGCCACTTTAAAAGGCTGGGTACAATGAAGAGAACATTGTTGAGTGCACACACCACCGTGGAGCAGGCCACCCGCTGGTCCAATACGGACACAAAGCAGATGACGTCCTGATGTACACTTTTCTGCTACCCCATTCCCTTCTCATTGTCGCTTTTCGTTCATCTACGGTACTCTTGTCAGACTTTGTGGGCATAATCATGTGCGTAACGAATACAGATTACCGTGAGGCTACTTCCCGTGCCAGGTTGTTTGGGGTGTTTCGATCTCTTTCCTCCCCCAGTTCATCAATACTCATGATCGTGCTGATGAGAATGCCCGTGAGGGTACTCGTCGCCACTATGCCAACCCTCGTCACCATCATCCTGGCCGTCGTCATGGCCCTCGTAATGCCCCTCAGCCTCCTCATCACCTTCGTCTTCTTGAGGCATCTCAGCCTCGTGTTCTTCGTGTTCTTCATATCCATCACCTTCTTCATTCCAATCGCCGTCGTCTCCATTGTTTTCCTCCTCGCCGTCGTCTCCATGGTTTTCCTCCTCCTCGTGGCCATTGTGGTGATGATGCGGTTCGTTTGGCAAATTCGCGGCGTCAAGTAGTTCGCTGTGGTCCTCTTCCGGGAGATATTCTGACTTCCATGGGTGGTGATTCAGCGCTTGGTATTCTGAGTTTTCATCCTCGATTCCGAGATCGTGGTAGTGATGAGGCTGAAACTGTCCGTTGAGCGACAACGCAAACATTGCTAGAAGTTTGTGCACCTCAACATTGTCAGGCTCAATGGCAAGAATCTCCCGCGCCGTGTAGGCGATCGTCTTGCTGTGATGATGTAGGGCCGCGGTTCGTGTGGCCTCATCTTGATCTGGGACATGTTAGATACATCAGATCGAGCTAACTCGAGGGTTTCACCACTCCGACCGACCTGGGTCATCATGAACACGGACGTATTCATCTATACTATCATCAAGCTGCTCCTCCAATTCTTCAATGCCCTGATGAGGTTCTTCGTAGTCTGCCATTTTGCACTTGCGACGTATGCGGGAGAAGTACAAGGTTGGAACTATCGCGCTGGAGTATTAAAATAGTCGACTGATATTCTGATGGGAAACGTCGCTGTGAAAGCACTCCGATGTGCTCGACGTACGCTCTTTACATAAATGCTCATGGTCACTAGAATGGCTAAAAATATGGACATTGACCCACACGTGCCAATAAGCAATTCATGAAATCCGCTTCCCGTTTCGTCTGTACATATCCCAAAAAGGGATGTTGAATTGGGGGGCTGACTGTATTCAATCCATCCTCCGACACCACCGCCGCAACCAGAAGATCAGTATAGGAGGACTACCATCTGTTAGCGGGCCCGTTTTCAAGTGGCTAATTGAAGGTAGAACCCCGATTTTCAGCCCGTAAAAAGCGGGCAAGAACATCCTAGGTCGGTCCAACAACCAACCACTACACAAGTGTCGTTTACATGGGGTATATCTACCATGGGCAGAGTCTTGAAACAATGGCTCTACAGCCGAATGTAATCAAATAGGGTCTTACGTGCCCGTCAGCATTCCTGGCCTCCTGTGAAATACACCATGCATCCATGCATCCCCCACAAGCTATAAATGGGAATGGCGCCGCAAATAGCTGCGGAAACAGGCGCTGCAAAGATATAAAGATATCAGTATTGACCTTTGGCCGCATAGTAACATCTTCACTCGATACCATTCGGTACCCTCAGGCGTCAGTCTAAAACCTCGCACGTCATCTCCCACGCTTACAGCATGTCTAGTAAGGAATTGCCATGACACTATCCCTTCTCTTACTAACAGGACGATCAAGACCCACCAATGAGCAGGTATGTTCCGAACCTCTTATCTCTGAGAGCCTTGATGAGGCGCCTCCGACACCATTGTCCCTTGACGCAAGCACCACTGCCTCACAGGTGGCCAGTTCACACCGGCTTGCTCTGTCTGCTCAACAGTAGCCATTACAAACGCCTTGAACAGAGCAGTACAATTCCTTGAAAGGTGTTAACAGCTTTCGCGGAACAGTTACTCTTCGTTGGCAGGCTGGAATGTGTTACCCAGCAACACTGCTCAAGGGAATAATCCTCCAGCACCTCAGGCGCACGCTCCTCCAGCCCAAGCACCTCAGGCGCACGCTCCTCCAGCTCCAGCACCTCAGGCGCACGCTCCTGCAGCACCTCAAGTGAATGCCCCCGGTGCTCAACCAAGTTTTCCTCATGCAGGAGTAGTTGGCCAAGTCAATCAGCAGAGAAAAGCCAGAGGTAAGTCCCTACTGGCCTACTCTCGTCCATTCCTATAATACTCTTTACTGACGAAAGGCAATGGATAGCGCCGAGGGGGCGGTATGGGTATGCATGCGACCAATGTCGCCAGTTCAAAATCAAATGCGACCGGGGAAGGCCATCCTGCACTAGCTGCGTTTCTAGGCGTATATCATGCTCTTATACTTTGGCAGACAGAAACTTTACAAACCCTCCTCCTGGTGCTCCAAACACCCAAACTCCAGGGGCTTCAGGGAGTGGCTCACAGCCACATACAACTTATGCGCCGCCAAACTATCCGCCTCCTGGCTTTCCTTCGAATACCCAAACGCCAGGGGCTTCAGGGAGTGGCTCACAGCCACATGCAACTTATGCGCCGCCAAACTACCCGCCTCCTGGCTTTCCTTCGAACACCCAAACGCCAGGGGCTTCAGGGAGTGGCTCACAGCCCCATGCAACTTATGCGCCGCCAAACTATCCACCTCCTGGCTTTCCGGGAGCTCCAGCGGGTGGTCAGCAAAACCCCACGTGGGGTATCCAAGGTCAGCCACAAGCTTATGGCAACGTTCCGCAAAATCCAGTGGCTCCGCTGCCAAATAATCAAGGTGGAGGGTACCCGGCGGATGGAAGGTCGTCAATGTACAATCCCCTCGGCCTTTCCTGAAAACGGCCCAGGCAATGGTCATTTGGTCGATCGACGGGGCCGCTTGGGAATTGTTATTGCTCGCTACTGTGGCATGGACATTGGTTCGCGCGGATGTCCTGGCGAAGGGTTGCGGGCCGACGATCTTGGGGTGGGCGAGGTCGGAAGGAGGAAGGATTTTCTGTTCCCGGGTTGGGTGGTCTTCTGCATCAATCAACAGCTGCGACCTGGGACATGGCATAGATGTATGGTTCACCCACACATTTCCTCAGACGTTACTATTTCGGTGTCGATGATGAGATACAGCTCGCTTTCCCGTAGTTAATCATTGCAACAACAATACCAACCAGACATAAGCAAAGTTTGTGAAGCAGTGGTGTGGGCGGGAGTTCGAGGGGCCACGTGGGCTATGCTCAACATAAGCGAGGGCATGGAGTCATGATGTACGTAGTACTGAAACCTGTCTCTCTGTCTAAGTCACCATACACGACCAAAAAAATATTGAAAGGGAACGCGTTTTAGATTTAAGCATTCAAGGGTAGTATCCGGAGCTAAACCTGTTCCGGTTATATAAAGCCGGATCCGGATTATACACGCTTTGATAAGACCCGAGGACAGGTTGTCCCGGGTACATCAGCAAAGATTCTGCACAACGGTCATGCAGCCTCTTGAGCAGCCGCCATCTGCTTCAGGAACTCAGCCCAGTCGCCCACCTTGACTTCCCACTGCCAGTTGGGCCTGTCCTGCTGGGACATGTCGAACAGGGCTCGCGCGACGTTGTTTGCGTTGGTGACGGGATCTTCCTCCCGGACCAGCCCGCCGATGTTGACACCTCCGACGTGGACACCCTTGGCCTCCACCGTCTGCTTCAGGCTCAGCATGAGATTGTACTGTGCTGCCTTCTGCATCGAGAGCGAAGTGAAGTCTGCCAGCGGACGGTCCCACAGACCGCTGTTGGTGAACAGGAACGATGGGTGGGTGCCTGGTTGCTCGGCCGCGGCAGTCAGATGTGGCAACGCCCACGATGCTGCTACGAAAAGACCAAGGTTCATGCTCTGTGCGCCGGAAACAGTTAGCCAAGCCCCTGGAAAAGCTCCAGAAACCCTCGCTCAGGCCGACGCCCATCAACATCATGCATGAGTGTCATGTTTCTTACCTTGAAATCCTCCAACAAGAAATCCGGACTGGTGCCGCCGATCCTTGATGGCGCTACTCTTGCTGCGTTGAAATACACCACTTCCGGGAGCCCGAGATCCGTGACGACTTTCCCCAACGCCAATGCCAGTGCGTTGTGGTCCCCCACGTCGACGGGGTACGCCTGGACCTTGACACGAGGGTTTGCCGCTTGCACTCTAGCAACATCTTGATCCAGGCGCTCAACATTCCGCGAGAGTAGTGCGACGTTGAAACCTTTGGACGCGAAAAGTGCTCCTGTGGAAGATCCTATGCCGGGTCCGCTGCCCAGGACAACGATGAGTTTGTTGTTGTTCGACATGGCTTGCGATTGGTTGGCCTGTGGTCGACGACTGCAAAGCCTATTCAGCGAGGCTACAGAGGTGATCTATGGAAGCCGGAAGTCGAAGGCAAGGGTTCCTAAGAGTGGGTATATAGGCGAGGTTGAAAGTTTATCCTATACCCCTAGCCGGAGTGGTGTGATTTCAAGAGCGATCGAGGTGGGAAGTAAAAAGGTCACTCTCACCTCGAAGGAGTATGAAGGAAGTTCTTTTTATATCGCCTCAAACCTCCCATAGCTTCTTGGTCAGCTCGCTCCGTGCGGTCCTACATCGTAAATACTAAACGCCAACGGCGGAAAGTGAAACATTGCATGGAGAGGAAGGTAAAATGGTCGCCATTGTGCATTACACTCAAATCAAAAGCAGCGTGTGGCTGACAAGCTCCCGAATCATCCGATGGGACCTAAGGAAAGGGAAATTCCCGTCAGGTGCGCCGTTGCAAACCTTAGTCCAACGTTCTGATGGGGTTCTCTTCACTTCCTCTCGAATAGGCGACATCTAGAACGTCCAAGAGTGAGCGAGCGACTGTGTCTTGGTCTCGGTTCTGGTCGGCTGTAAGCGTGCTTGATCTGTAACAGATAGGAGCAAGTCACCAACAAGGCTGGAGAAACCTCAAGCGGTCAAACCCCCCAACGTTTCCATCAATAAGATTATGGCGGATGACAAGCAGCGCACAGCCTTCAACCCACTAATATTGGACAAGGACCCGCGGCTGACTAAGGAATGGTATATATATCAAATAAAAATGAGCTTGAACTTGATGCTCCCTTGGGTTCAAGCACCTCCGCGGGCAATGACATTTTGCAGACCAACAGATGCATCCTGGCGTCTTGCTGTCCTTCCTGGAACTTGATAAGTATACGACAACCAACTTCTAGCCATCTACTGCTCACGTAGTCGATGCCTGCTCGGTTGGACTTCCGCCCTGAGACCCCAGACAGGGGAAGCAGCCACCTCCGATTCTGACGGAGACCCTCAAGAACACTGCACGAGCTCGATTCATGTCCTGAAGATCGGTTCAGTATTTGGCCCCATAACCACGTGAAGAGGAGTGATGTACCTTATATGGACAATTGCCATTGTCAGCTGGGCGACAAACATGACCATCTGCTGGCCCCCAGATCTTCTCTCTCTGGCTTGACTGAGCTGATTTCTCTCAAGGGTACGAGGAGCTCCAGCCCGTCCGCACATTGCTCTAACTTTCGATGATGTTGCTCAAGCTGAATCTTGTCGAATGCCGCTGCCTTAGTTCTTCTCTTAGAGCTGACGCTTCCTTCCGTTGTTTCAACAGCTCCTTATTTGCTACCATGAGTTGAGCCCCATCGGCCTTCATAGTTGTATTCTGTCCCTCAAGCAAGCCGTTCTTTTCTGAACTTGGGCCATGTAAATTTCCACTGTTTTGTTCTTCCGCTTGAGCTTTTGGTTCTTCCCACTGAGTTGAGCCATGCGGAGGGCCATCGTCTTTATTTCTCACTGACCTTCCGTGTCCTCTGCTTGCAACTTTGCAGAATGTACCTTTTCTTGTTTCATTCCGTTTGGCAATGTCCTTTCCGGCTCCGTGGCGCCTCTCTGTGCTGAGAAACAAAACTCCAACACACGTCAAGTTTGTGATTCACATTGCAGGACTACCGGTATTTCAGTGTGCCTCAATATGCCTGTGCAGCAGATACCAAGCGAGTCGTATCACGCCTTTAAGCGCTGCTTTACACGCCCGTCTTTTTTTGTCTGGGAGACCCAAGCTATCCGTCGAAGATAATGTGTAGAGACTGGAGGCGTCAGGCGGTGGCGTCGTGGTGCCCACCAGCCCCTCCTTTAGTTCCTTCCCAATACCCCACGTTTTTTAGCCACTTACGCTCATGAATTTCGTGGGGTCTCCGCAGAAACGAACCATCGCGCCACCTGCTCCGGGAAGGCCACCTTGTCGAACCCTTTCGTCCTCCTTCGTTCGCCCTTCCCTCAATCAGTCACCGCAGTCCAGCCCAACATCACACACCATCCACCAAGACCCTTCAAAATTCTTCCGTCACTCAAACAAGCAATCCCTGCATAACACTCTCCATCTGTTCTAGGCACAGCTCTCTATTCTACTTGCTCTCCCACACACATACCCATTCACAGCCGGCAAGATGAGTGCGATTCAGGACACCGAGACCAACGAGCCCATCCAGGTCCTCATCACCATGCACGATGGAATGGACCTCCTTGACTTTGCCGGCCCGCTCGAAGTTCTCACCCACGCCCAATATAACCCCAATGACCCAGGTAAGAGACAGACTCACTTCCTTGACCCTCAGCCCGCCGTCACACGACCGCCTTTTCTCTACAAGATGAAGACCCCACTGACATGGCGAGCAACACCTCAGAAAGCAAAGCCTTCGATGTCACCTTCGCCGCCGCGCAGGAACACGTCCTGACCGCCCAAGGTGTCACCTTGACCGCACACGTCTCGTTCAAGGAAGCGCACAAACGCCTCAAGGAATTCGACGTGCTCGTCGTGCCTGGCGGCAAGGACAAATGCATGCAGGTGCTCAAGGACAAGGCTGAGCCCACCTCGATCATAAAGGCCTTCGCCGACGCCCAAACCTCCGATCCGGGGCGGGAGCGGACCGTGCTGGCCGTGGACACGGCGGCACTCTTCCTGGCGAGCCAGGGACTCCTGCAGGGCCTGGCCGCCACCACACACCCGGACTTCTACATCAAGCTGGAGAAAGAGTGCCAGGACGCCGCGGCGCGCGACATGGGCGAACGCACCGACGTCATGGAAGAGCGCTACGTGGTCAACAACGCCCGCTTCGACCTGGGCGAGAACCTGGACGAAAACCCCTACGTGTTCAAGAAGAACCGCAAGGGCAGCACCGCCCGCAAGGGCTCCCTGGCCCGCCGGGAGAGCAACCTGAAACACGAGAACCTGGTGCGCCGCCAGAGCATGAAGCTTGGTGGCATGCGCGTCATCACCAGCGGCGGCACTGTGAGCGGCATCGACGCGAGCTTGTATCTCGTGAGTGCCCTCGTGAGCCACGAGACGGCGCAAGAGGTCGCTCGGGTGATGGGATACGACTGGGTCAAGGGCGTCGTCGTGGACGCTATCGATGTCTAGTTTCCCTCTGGACGGCATAGACGGTTCCTATGTTCGAGGGAAAACCACACAAATCAAGTCAGTCCCCTTCATGGGTGGCATGATGATGATGCGTCATTAAATCGACGTACGGACAGGCGGAATCCGAGAGAGCCATAGCAGCCTATGGACCAAAGAAGTGTAAGGACAAGAATGTAACGACGGAAAGAAGTAAATGTAGTGATGCCAGAATGGGAATCAATCTTTTCGACAGAATGGAACTGGAATTGGAATTGGTGCATGGCACGAATTTCTTCTCGCAACGACTATAGGACCGTAAGAGAGTTCGCAACCATATAGACACTTCTTCTTGACCACCAGTCTCTCTATACTATCGAGGAAGACGAATGCTGTCTTATCAGCTCGAATCCGTGTAGTCTGATACCTGCTCAACGGCCCAAATATCCTGCGTGGCTAGATTCGAGACTGGTCGCTGCTATCTACAACCACACAGGATGCCTGGCACTCCCTTAGCACTCCCTTCTCTTCCGTTTCATTGGTTTCATGGACACATCTCGATTCTGAACACATGGAATGGTTTTATCTCAAATCCCAAGCTATTGCTAAGCGCCACGTCGATTACCCGTCGACATTAGCGTGATCTTCTTCTTCTTTCCTTTCTTCGCCGAAGGACCTCCACCACCGGAGCGTGAGCTTCCATTGGTCAAAGAAGCCTCGACCATGGCCACTGCATCTCCCTCGTCGAGTAAATCTTGCTCCCATCCCTGTAACCAGCCGTCGTCAACTTGTGCGCTGACAGGTTCAGGCGCAGCGAGCAACGCTGGGGAGGCTGGGGCGACTGCCGCCGTACCCCAAACTGTTCGAGGTGCGTCAGGGCTGGTGCCTGGCGTGGCCAATGTCGCAAACGCAGAGTGTGCCCGGGCGTTGCCCCATGGCGGTGTCGTGGCGAGACCAGATTCACCCGGCGAAGAACTCGTATGAGCCGGCTGGTCGCCCAGCGGTTGGAAATCTGATTCAGTAAAACTCTTGGGCACAGAGCTTGGCCTTCGCGGCCGTCGAGCCGCTGCCCACCTCTTGTCGTCCTCTTCCTTCTCGGCCCTGATTCTATCTCTTTCCTCTCTTGCTTCTTTTTCCAGGTTCCGCTTTCGTCGCCTGTTAATGTCATCCTGAAACTGCTCTAGAATGGCTGGGCTGATGACGTCTGTCCAGTCACATTCCAAGAATGTGACCTCGCAGCCATATGGTAAATGAGCCATGTACTTCGCCCGTTTGCGCAGGTCATCATCTATGATATGGCCTGTAGATATGTGCTCTACCCGTGGAAGGATGGTCGATGGAAATGCGGAAAAGTCGCCAAAAGCAGCCTTTAGAATCCGAATGTCTAAGGGAGAAAGAAAGAAGTTTGGTAATGCATGGTAGAAATAGAACGGGTGCGACGATGGTCGATGAGGTCCGTGAGCATGTCTCGAGGGAGCGGGTGCAGGTTTCGTCGTAGTGTTGCCTTGATCAAGGGTTATTGACTTGACAGCTGAAGTCAAATTAAAAGCCTCTGGTTCGGCCGAGTCCCAGGATTCCGGGATCTCTGGTGGGTTTGTAGAAGCGTTCGTCGCTAGCACAGGAGGATTGCCTAAGCCGGACAACTTCTGTTTCGCATCTTCAATAGCCAGGACGGCTTTCCGGGTCCACGTGTTATCATCACCAAACATCAGCTCGTCCTCTTTTTCTTGAGTCTCAAGATCCGCGATCTCCTGCTCATACTGGGCATTCATATACTGCTCACCACCTTTCATGAAGCGAGCGTACTCCATCATCCCAGCCACATGAAACCAGGGAATGTCATCGGAGCGGTTGTTGCTCTCAGCAGTATCTCGGGGCAGGGCTAGCGTTGTACCGGGCTCACGCTTTAGCAGCCTCAGCAGTATGTCACCACCTTCTCTGAGCATGCTGATGTCGTTGCCCTGAATCCATCTGACCGGTCTTGCATCAGATATGTAGATACTGTCCTCACAAATGGGGCATTTTTTCCACCTTGGCCGCCTTTCGGGAACAGGGTTCGATTCGTCGGTCGAATGCATGTAGCGGATCAGGCATGGGAGACAGAAGATGTGGCCGCACTTGGCCATGCGTGGAGCGACTGGAGTAGACAGGCAGATGGGACAGCTAGCATCCTGAGTTTCGGCTGAAGCCAGCACTTGCAAGACGGCGTCCCAGCTGACGTGGATATCTGCGTCAACGGTCTGAGCATGGTATTCTCGGTCAGGGCGGACGACGAAACGATAGTTCGCATGAACATAGCGGGCTTTGTCAATAGCATGATAGCCAGAGCCAAGCCCCCAGGTCGGATTGCGTCTTGGGTGTCGATGATTGAAATGATGCTGATAGTGGTGCTGAGGGCGGGGTGGCAGGGAAAAGTTCATCAGGTGGGTGATGGAGGTTTGACCCTTGCGCGAGTTGATGGACCTCATGGCGTGAGTCTCATGCAGGACATCCTCATCCACGAGGCGCGGCTTTCTCTGTTGCTTGTGCTGTTTCTTTAACGGCTGGTTCCCGCGCGCCTGCGGAGTCTGACGCGTTGCACCAGCTGCACCAGCACTCCCTGAGCTGTTCGAACGCTTGGAGAAGGAAGTATCGGGGGGAGCGAGTGAGAAGTTGGACGAATTTGACGACGGAGGAAGTTTGCTTGTGGGCTGAAGGGAGGTGGCGCTGGATGACATCGCTGCTGCTGAAGTACTGTCTCCTCAAGCCCGGCAGCGAAGCAGACAAGAGTCCTCGACAAGGAAAGAAGATGAACGATTGAGAGACAACAGAAGTCAGCAGATCCGACAAATGGATGTCTTTGGGATAGACTACAATCACCCCGGTGAAGGGGTGGAGGTAGTTGAATGAGGTTGGAACAACTCGACGATGGCGATGGTGATGGCAAGTCATAGCGGGGGACATCATCACGAGCATGACTGTAGCACCACTGGCACCACTGGCACCACTGGTGACTCCCGGCGACAATCTCGCCGGAAATGAGCCCACTAGCCGAGCAGGCTTACCTAATTGCCCAGTGGCCCATAGGTGCCAGTCGAGAGTTGGAGAAGGGGGCGATTAGCCGGCCTGGCAGTGGTTCGTGGTTAGCGCCCACCGCCAGACTGCGAAATCCGCCGAAGTTGGCTGCCAGTAACTGCGCATCACAGAAAGATTCCAACTTGGACCTCTTCTCCCATAATTTGCTTGATCATCTCAAGGGCAATCATCATCCTCTCCTCTCTGCTCGCGCTCCTTGTCTGCCGGTGAGCCCGCGCCAGACGTCTCAACTCGTGTGCCTGGGAGCAGCCGCCTTGGTCGACTTTGACCGAACCGTGCGTTCCCTCACCTTCCTTCGTCTTCCCCTGGGCGCAGAAGCCGTCGCGGCAGCAACATCGCATCACCGCCAACTCTAACTGCCTGTCCTCACCGCGCCCTCTCTGAATCATGGAGCAGCAGGGATCGTCGGTTTAGGAGACCACAGATCAGAGAGAAGAGAGACGCGCTTCGTCCCACTGTTTGACATCATGTCCTGGCGCAGAAGGTGCTGAACGCGACTTTATCGGCACGATGCAACAAAACCACCACCATTATGGGCAACATCCCATGCCCATGCAGCCTCCTCAGAGGCGCCATGATGTTCCGTACGCGAACATGCCGCCTCCCATGAGGCCTCATCCGCAATATCAGCCCTTTTACCAACAGCACATGGCCCCCATGATGCCACAATACCCCCAGCACTATCCACCGAACTGGTATGGATATCAACAACCCCACATGCATCCTATGCATGGGAGGCCGCCATATTATGCTCAGCTCCCTGTACCGCCGCCGCAGTATCCCCCTGCGGCCCCCCCTCCTCATCACGGGCCTCTGGTTGTCTCCTCCCAGCCGCACGTGCAGCCTACACCTCGACACCTTCCAGGCCCAGCGCCCGTACCGCCGCAACCAACGTCGACCGCCCCTTCTATTACCTCAAACCCGGTTCAAACGCCGCCTTCTCCTCCGCTGAGCACCTCGAGCACCGTGAATACAAGAAAGGATAACATTTCACCGGCGATATCTCCCGCCCCCCAGCGGGTTCAAAGCCCGTCCGCTGATACCCTCAGCGAACCCTTTTACCCTCCAGTCCCTTGGCTGTCTGTCGAAGGCGAGGCCTTCCCACCACGAGCTCCTCGGCAGAGACGGCGGATTCCTCGTTCCCTTGCCGCGGAACCGAAGGTCTATCCTTTGGTAGAACCTTCCCCCGAAGAGCCGACTGCTCCAGCGGCCACTACCAAAGAAGAACCAGGACAGGAGCAATTGGAGGTTGAGACACAAGCGGAGGATGAGACCGCAGATACATCTGCAGAACAACCTGTGACACAAGCATCGACGCCCTTGCCATCGGATGCTCCATCGGAAGTCGCTTCCACCCAACCAACAACCCCCTCTTCTGCCGTTCATGCGCCCTTGCCAAAATCCCAGCAAACCCCGACTCAACCAAAAGCCAGGCCCGTTAGTCCCGTCCTACCAGCCGTCCCAGTCCTGCCATCTAGCCCTTCCGCAGCGCGCGCAAGCCACCGTGATTCAATCGTCTCAACACAGTCAAAGTCATCCGAATCAGCACAACCCTCTGTAGAGACTAAGGAGCCCGAAATCACCTTATCAGAGGCTTCGGAGACGAAGTCCATTTCTGAAGCTGCCGCGCCTACCGTTTCGCCTCCAGCTGCGCCAAAATCATGGGCCAATCTTTTCAAGTCAAATGATGTGCACAGTGGCCTGTCCACGGCCTTACCTTCCAAGGCGGCCTCGACCATCTCGGGAACCGCAAAGAGTGAGACCCTGTCTGATGTGCTGAACGACATGAACTCGATCGCCGAGGCACCAACTAAGATTTCTTTCCTCAAGCCGCGTGGACTTGTTAATACAGGTAACATGTGCTACATGAACTCTGTGTTGCAAGTACTTGTTTTCTGCTTGCCGTTCTATGATTTTATAGCAAAGCTGGCTGACAGAGCCCCACACACATTCAAGAGCGACACCCCTCTCGTCGATGCAATTATCATGTTTGTACGAGAATACCCCATCATCTGCTCTGCGAGCTCCGTGGATCAGCTCCGCCTGCGCTTGAAGCCAGATGATTATGAGAACTATGGCGACTCTTTCATTCCAGAGTACGTTTATGCTGCAATTAAAGACCTGCCACGCTTTCGAGAAATGAGGAGGGGCCATCAACAGGATGCTCAAGAATTCCTTGGCTTCTTGCTGGAAGAGCTTCATGAAGAATGTGCTCGCGCCATGCGATCTACAACAGCTTCAAGTTCCGGCCGAACGACGCCTGTTGGCAGCGTTTCCAATGCTTCCGAGCACGCTGATGGTGAGAATGGCTGGATGGAGGTGGGCCACAAGCAGAAGCCTGCCGTCACCCGATCTTCAGGAATGATTGCGGCAGAGTCTCCTGTAACCAACATCTTTGGTGGGAAACTTCGATCCGAGTTGAAGGTCTCCGGGAACAAGTTGTCTGTCACCTTGGAACCGTACTCCCCGTTACAGCTTGATATCGGCTCTCCTCAAGTAAACAACATTATCGACGCTTTGAAAGGACTCACGAGACCGGAAAGCATGCAAGGTGATTTTTACACTCCGAGAGGAGTAAAAGCCACTGCGACAAAGCAAGTTTTCATTGAAACTCTACCACCGGTCCTGATCCTCCACCTCAAACGATTCCATTATGATAGCACCACGAAACGTGCGGAGAAGATTTGGAAACGAGTCGGCTACCCTCTGGAACTGGAAATCCCCAAGGAAGTATTCCCTCTGCAGGTGCGGAACAAGTACACGGCTCACGGCGGCCTCCCTAAATACCGTCTTACCGGTGTTATCTACCACCATGGCAAGAACGCTAACGGCGGCCACTACACGGTTGATATCCGCCGCCAAGATGGTCGTGAATGGATTCGTATGGACGACACAATACTTCGTCGCATCAGGGCTGAAGAAGTGGCGGAGGGCGGCAGCGAAGAAGATCCGAAGGTCCTTGCTGCGGCTCTGGAACGCCACACCGCCAGCGGCAACCGCTTCGAACAATTTGATCAAGGAGCTGATGAAGATGACGCCTCCGATAAAACATGGAACCAGGTCAACGGGCATTCGAGATCGAAATCAACGATGAGCGCCGTGGTCAATGGCATTTCCACACCGAAAGATTCATCCGGGAAACAGACGCCAAACCCCAAGTACGCCGTCAAAGACAACAAAGTTGCCTATCTCCTGTTTTACCAACGGATCTCCAATTAAATTTCGCAGTCACTTATGCATGAAGTGCATGATGTCCTGTTGGCCTTCTTCCTTTTGTCAACTGCACGGGCCACGGACCACAGACCACAATGTATCATGTCTTCTAGACGAAGACGAGAAGACTCGTCATATTTCGCGATCATTCTTGAAATCATTACAGCGCCTTGTTTTGTAGATAAAAGCGAGCATTCGTCGATAGGAGGAGGAAGACACAAAATTCAAAAGCGGGAAAAAGTTCGCAAGCCACTAATGTCGACAGCGATATTCCATGCATGGTGGTGGACAGAACCAACGAGAATAAAAGTGGCCCCTAGTTAATCGAATCGAGTGCAGACTGTCTTTCATATCACCTATTTACCCTTGTCTCTGTCGAGACCTCGAACCTTCTTCGGAGCAACTGATTGATCTGCAGATATTACGCAGATCCACATCGGTTATGATGCTCAGACGAAAGCCACGGTCGGAAATGCGCCTGTATCAGTCATGGTCATGCCATTGGGATGGACGAGGCGAGGGACTTTCTGGAGCGATTGGAAATCGACTGTTGGAGGCCCTGGGGACTGAGGGGGGCTTCGATTGCGCATTGCGCAGAGAAGGCAGCGCGGAAAAGCAGAGTCTGAAAGCGTTGACCGGGGAAACAGGCCTTGGATTTCGTTTATGATATCCATGTTGTTCTTCCCGGGTAGTTACACCCGTACACCTAATCGGGGGTGACGGGGTAGTGCTTGGATGTGTTTGACTGAGGGACGAGCCATTCATCGTGGCTAACTAGCATGATGTCGATCGATACTTCTCCAGCCTCGAAAGATGGTGTCAACCCAATACAGTTTATCTTTGTATCCTAGCTGCTTATCGTCTCTCCCATCGTCGGGTGAACATTCTGCGTGCAGCGTGCAGGCTCCCATGCCATCCGACAACGACTTAACCTCTACAAGGTAAACGAGAAGAACAGACCAGCGGCAACGTCCCAATTCACTAGAAGCACTGTACCTGCTGGTCCGTTACACCAGTCGTGGACAGAAGGCAAGTTAGTAGCATGGGCCTTCTTTCTTCTTTTCTTTTTCCCCTTTTCATTTCATCATTATTGTTATTATTCACCCGTTCATTCATTCGTTCGTTCATTCGTTCATTGATTCTCGTTTAAACTCTCACTCTCACGAAACATTTTTCCCCATGGCGTACCCGAAAAAATACACCAGATACACGGCCCAGGCCGAGGCCAGGAACATGCTCTCGGCCCGGTTCCCCGTCGACGAGAACCGCCACGCGTCCATCACCAACGCCTTGTAATACGCGGACAGGGGATCCATCTTCTTGCTGCTGCTGGCGCTGCTGGCGCTACTACTGGTTGTCGATACTGAATATGCTTCTGTCCGTTGGGATTCTGGGGCTTTCTCTTCTGTTTCTTCTTCATCTTCTTCGTCTTCTTCCTCTTCCTGTTCTTCCGCGCGAGGGGAGACGGGGACAGGGCCCTGTTCGTCCCGATGGTGGTGGTTATCGCTCGATTGAGAGGGATTTGATGTTTCGTTTTCGTTTTCGTTTTGGATTTTGGATATGGGTTCGTTATCTTCATTAGTGTCCTCGTCCTCGTCCTCGTCCTCATCACGGGCGGCGGCGGCGGCATCATCGTTTTGTGCTTCGATTCCCCCTTCATTCTCGGCTTGTGGCTCCGCTGCTCCCTGTCCGTCTCCTTCTTCTGTTCGTCCTCCTTCCTCCCCTTCCCCTCCAGGTTCCACGGGTCGTTTGTCCGGCGGGCTTGTTCGCGGCTCCGGTGGTCGAGGGAGTGGATTTGGCAATGGCCTTTGCGTGATTCTCGTGCTCAGCTTACGCTCTCTCTATTTCTTTCTCGTTTCAATTTTTTTTCTTTTTCAACTTTTTTCTTTTTTGCGGTTCTGTTTTCCGGTGTTCTCTCGCGACAAGGAGGGAGGACAGACAGGCATGGAGAAACTTCCCGCTAGCCAGATAAGCAGCAGCAGGAAACAGCCCCCATGTGCCGGACCCCCTCCCTCCTTTCTGCCCGGATGAATTGAACTATTATGTGGTACACGACGAACGGGCGCAACTTACTCTTCAGCGTCGCTCTTGACGTTCGGTGCATCACTCGGCCCGCTATTCAGACTCTCGACCCCCAGGTTCGTGCTGTCGTCGTTGGTGTGGTCGGTTTCGTGCGACTTGGCGGCGCGCTCAACCGCACTGAAGACGTTGCCGTTGAGCAGGCGGCCTCGGATCCGGCTCCCGTCGCGCACGTCGGGGATGCTGCGTTCTTCAATGTGCCACTGCTGGATGGCGCGGATGATGTCAACGGCCAGCTGGCCGTTACGCTTCAGCGCAGTCGCCCAGTGGGCGGGGATCTTGTCGCTGGTGGTCAGCTGGCGCGCGACCGACGAGACCATCATCTCGCGCATCTCGTTGTCCTCGTCCGTCTCGGCGTAGATGTACTGCACCCGCCGCAGGCCCGGGTAGGTGGAGGTGTTGTGGTAGAACTCCCGGACCGCCTCCACCACGTCAGTGCTGAGCTGCTTGATCTGCAGCTTCTCCGAGAGCAGGTACAGGTCCAGCAGCGGGCCGATGTCCTTCTCCGTCTTTGGGGTGTGCAGGTACTTGGCGTATAGCCAGCCGACGAGGAGCTCGAATGGGTAGTCATCCTCGTCCTCGAGGCTACAGGTTTTGTTGTCCTGCGATTTCGTCTCTTTCTTCTTGCCGTTGTCGCCACGGAAGACGGACGAGAAGAACGGGGAGTGGTAGCACAGGAGCTCCTCGTGCAAAGACCAGCGAGTCGAGTCCTGGCCGACGTAAATGTCGACCAACGGAGAGGTCAGAAGCCTGCAGGAGCGTGAGTGAGTGGTCGTCTTGTAAGCCTCCCGAGTCCAAGCGGCTGCGGTCCTACGGCTCCCCGCAGGGTACTCACTCGTGAAGAGGCTTCTCCCTCTGGTCATTGTGCTCGCCGTTTCCGTTCTCCATGAGTGCAGCCGGCATTCGCGAGGTCTCAATTAATCGAGAGAATGAGAGGAGAAGAGAGCGAGAGCGTGAGTGCAAAAAGCGCGGGAGGAGAAGACGATTGCCGGGATGGTTCAGCGTACTATGCGACGGCGGGACAAGCCAGGAAGAACAAGATGCGACACAAAGGAAGAGCCAGGGTACACCTTAACAGCTTGAAGGAGAAACCATGATGGACACCGCCCGAACCCTGGTGAGAAAGGAAAGATGGCTGGATGGGCTGGCTGGCTGGCTTGTTCAATCGTGAACCTTCCGCCCCCTCCCCATGTATGCGGTTTATGGTTGCAAGCTCGCCCAAAACGCAAGATGAACGACGTCAGAGGTTCAAGCCACAATTCCAAAGAATGGCCCGTGCGAGGCGGGTCGTGGTATTGAGATGCCGGCTCTGAGTGGACGGGTCGATGAGCAGCAGCCTCTGGTGGCACGGACTGGGGCTAGCGATGGACCCGACTCGCCGAACCATGGGAGGGAGGAGGGAGAGTGTGAGTGAGATGCGGAGTCTTTTACGTTTCGGCCCATGTTCATTGCGTGGATGAGGAGGAGGAGGAGGAGGAAAAGAAAAACCGGTTTGTGGCGGTGGAGATGGAGATGGAGAAATGCCATGCCGATCACGTGGCGGAGGAAGCCGCTAACCCCTTTGGGACTTACAGGCGATTGGGCAAATATGGACGTACGGGGGATATCAGGATGGGATAAAAGAGCTGGGATTTGCAAGAATCTCTGTGCGGCATAAATGGTGCCAGGCTTGGTGGAGAATGGGGGCAATTGCACGCCGGTTTTGTTTTTGGTAGCTTCTTTTTCTCTATCCTCAATATCAACGCTCCACACGAGTACTATCCTGTCGTGGGCTTATTCATAACTACAGGCTACATACAACGGCGAGCCAGTCCGTACTTTTCTCTTGTCGCCCGCAGATATTGACCCTTTGTCCTGATCTATCGCACTCCCTAACATTTCACTGTACATGATAGATACATGAGCGACTTTATCTTCTATTGAAATTCAGATACCTCGACCCCAAGAACAGCAGGATCAGGTTGCTCGCGATGAAAGCGGCAAAGATCCCCAGATCGCGCCAGCGGTCGTTGAAGTCCAGCTGTAACGGCCTGTAGAACTGGTCGCCAACCTTGTATGCGCAGTACTGGCATGCGTCAGTGACATTGTTGGTAAGGTAGCCTGACCCGCCACGCAGGAAGAAATTGCGCATGTACTCTCCGCAGTCTTGCCCCGGTGGGGAAGGGAACGGGTTGAGTTCCGATGAAGTACAGACCACGGGTAAGCCGTGCAGTTCCGTGGTGACCATCCCAGACACCAGGCGGGTGAAGGGGTCGAGTTGGTACAGCCAGGCGCGCCAGAATCCGGGAATCTGTGGCTTGGGAATGGTGACACCGCAGAACAAGGCGAACGTGATGACGATGAATGGGTTGATCAGACTGGATATGAAGCTCGACGGCGTGATTGCGGCAATCATCTGGCCCATGGTGACGGAGAACAGCTCGGTAATCAGCACCATGAAGAACTGATACCCCGCCCTCGAACTCTCGTTGCTGAATCCGGGCAAGTAGTATATCGGGAGGAAGAACCCGACTGTACACAAAAGGCTGTAGGGCATTTCGGCGCAGACCATGGCAAAAGCGAACGGGAATTGGCTATACGCTTTCGCTGCAGATTCTCGGTAGAAGATGAGTCGGGAAAGATCGTACATGGGTTCCACCTGGGCCAAGATCAGAGCTGGGATGATGGTGACCTGGAAGATGACGAAGACTCGGTACTGCAAGCTTGACCGACTGTCGTCAAGCTGCAAGAACGCCAACCCGGAGAGCAGCGCGATGGCCACATGATTGAACAGTCGAGTAAACCCATAGTTCGGTGAGCGCCAGAATGCCAGGTGTGTCCGCTTAGAAACGACTTTGATTTGATGCCACAGAGGAGAAGCGTATTCTCTCTCGTCCAACTTCGATTCGCCAGCAACTTCGCGTTGACGTCGTGCTTTCATGTCGATGATCTCGGCCTTTACGGTGGCGAGTTCGTCACTTTCCCGCCAAATATCACCCCAGTCCTTGTCACCAATGCGGGGTGCAATGCCCGCTCCGATGGCATCCAACATCCATTCTGCTGGATTGGCATCTGGAGGACAATCAGCACCGTATTTGTGGAAGTAACCCAGAAGCACGTGCGCGTCTTTGCCGATGTCTCCAAAGTAGACGGTCTCTCCACCCTTTTGGAGCAAGAGGAGCCGGTCGAAGTTCTCAAACAAGGCGCTGTTGGGTTGATGAATGGTGCACAGAATTGCTTGTCCAGCGGCAGAGAGCTTGCGGAGGAAGCGGACAATATTGAATGCAGATTGTGAATCGAGTCCTGAGGTGGGCTCGTCGAGGAAGAGCAACAACTGAGGCTTCGCAGCAAGTTCAACACCAATGGTCACTCTTTTGCGCTCTTCAACCGAAAGCCCACTTTCAGGGCTGCCGATGATAGCATCCGCGAGGTTTTCGAGTTCGAGCAGGCAAAGGACTTCTTCCACGTAGGCGTACTTTTGTTCTCTGGGCACTTCGTACGGTTGGCGGAGGTCGGCGCTGAATCGCAGAGCTTCTCGGACGGTCTGAGTAGATTCGTGAACGTCGAGTTGTTCTGCGTACGAGGTCCCTCTTTGAAATCCAATGCCGGGCTTTTGACCGTCAACCAAGATATCTCCACCAATCACACCAATATTCTTTCGAGAGGCCAGAACATCGAGTAGTGTGGTTTTTCCAGCTCCACTAGCGCCCATCAACGCAGTCAATTGCCCTGGACGTACATATCCGAAGACATCCTTCAGTAGCCGCAACTGCCCAGCAGGGGTAGGAACATCGTAGGTGAGATTCTCCCACGTCAACACTGCCTTGGAAGCGATATTGAGCTCTGAGCTGTCCTCGGCGTCTTGTTTCGTCTGTCGTCTTCGTTTTCGTTCCTGCAATTTCTCATTCAAGGCTTTCCTTTCTTTGTTTTCCTTTGTGAAGTAAGTGACCGTGCGACCACCCGCTCCGTACTTCATCGTTTCTCCGAGCACGACGTTGGTAAAAAGAAAGAGTGCAATCAACACTATAATGATGCCAAAGTTACGCCAGAGATCCACCGGGTCGTAGGAGAAGCCCTTCTTGACATATGCCGTGCCTGACACTTCGATTGATCCTGCTTGAGAACCTGGCAGGGTACAGACTTGGTGGTCAATGTTGGTGTACCCGGGGCCTGACGGTATGAGCGACTCATCGGTACAACGCATCGTCAGTCTCTTGAATTCATTCATCATCATCGCGGCGAATCCAAGACCAAGTGCATTGACGTAAAATATCCACCTTAACCACACTTGCTGGCTTTGATACTGGATGATATAGCCAGAGGTGATGACGAACAAGGTGATAATGACAGCAGCAAATTTGATAGCATAGTCGAAATCCGGACACAGACAACCAATTGTTCGGAAGAATAATGTCATCGAAAGATAGCCCGTGATAATAATGAGCACGAACGTAAAGAATGCTCCGGGAGTTCGGACAAGCCCGGTCATGAAATACACGATGACGCTGAAGACGAATATCTGGACGGACGCAAATGCCAGGTCGACGAGGATTTGTGCAAGCCACAAAGCGCCGGGTCGGTGGAAAGTGTACGCTCGATGCTTGTTCACGATAGGCCGCCCCAGCATAGTAGATGCAAGCTCTGAAAATGCCTGAAACGCGTTGAAGAGCAAAGCAATGAAGAGGACACCACCTCGAGTGAACGCTCCCGCAGACGTCTTAGGTTGGTTCAGCCAGACGGTACCGACGACGATCGCAATGGTGAGGGAGGTGATCCATGAAACCGCCAGTGAAAACTTATCTTGCCATTTGATCAGAAATTGGCGTTGCATTAAGGCCCAGATCTGCAAGTGGAATGGAACCGAGTATACCGAGTTTTTCGGTGTATGTTTCCGCTTAGCTTCGCGATGTGCCGCCACGAAATCGTCGTAGATCTGCTTTTCCTCCTTGATGGATTCTCGATAGTCTTCCATTTCTTTCTCGAGCTTTTCAGCAAAGGTGGATTTGTTGAACGCCTCCACAAAGGAGTCTGGTGTGGAAGGTGCATTTTCAGAAGACCTGCCTGGCTTATATTCTCGTTCGAACTCGTCGGTACATCCAGTCAGGTAGTCGGGAGTAGTTTGACGTGGCTTTTCCAGGAAACCCAAGCCTTCAAAATATGCCCTCGCCTCCCTCGCAGGGCCAAAAAAGACCTGTCTACCCTGATCGATCACCATGACCTTGTCGAACTGGCTGTATATATTCTCGGATGCTTGGTATAGCGACACAAAAGTGGTAGTCTTGTAGATGTTGGTCATGATTCGAAGTGATTTCGCATAATCGAGGGCAGTCGACGCATCAAGACCACGGGTGCTGTTATCCCAACAACAGACGGTGGCTCGAGTCACCATCATTTCAGCGATAGAGACTCTCTTTCTTTCTCCGCCAGAAACACCGCGCATGAAAGGGTTACCCACAATGGTATTGATGGTGTGCTCGATATTGAACATTTTGAGTAACAATCGGATAACCCTGTCCTTGAATTCGGCTTTGCTAAGGCCTTGCGGTCGTTTCCCTGGCGTTTTAGTGTCAAGTGCAAACCCGAGCGTCTGGCCAACAGTGAGGGTGGGATGATGCACATCATCCTCCTGGTTGTAGACAGCCTCACCGCGGTAAAGCTTGCCAAAGGTCGCAGCGTCAAAGGGGCCGTAGAGAACCTCTCCATCAATTCCTGTATAACCATATCGTTGGTTGGCAAGCACTTTGAGGAATGTCGTGCACCCGCTTCCAGGTCGACCCAGAACAAGTACCATTTCGCCCGGTTTTGCAACGCCACGGAAACCCTGCAGGATGTTGAACTCGCGACCCTTTTTGCCCATTCCGAGGATGCTCATAATCGTCCCCGGAACATTGAAGAAGTCGACGAAGGCATCGGGGAATACTTTGACAAAGTTTTTGACGCCGCCGATACCGCGGACGGTGAGATTGTCCCATATCACGCCTGTCGACACCGGTCAGGAGAAGATAAAAGCGTCTCTTCGTGCCAAACTCACCGATATACTTGGGTTTGATGCCTGCAGCATTATCCGCCTCCCTCGCGCCGCGTAGAGTGGATTCCAGGTCAAACGTATCTTCTGAATTCTCATCAGACGAGCTGATAGCCTTCTCCACATCCCTCGTCCTGGCGTTGGACGCCTTGGAGTGCGTGCGGGAGATTCGACGGCTGATTGCACTCAGCTCTCTGCTCAGCTCCGCGAAGTCCTTCTCTGCCTGCTCGACATTAACCCCAGAGACTGTCCGCTGCAGACCATAAGAGTCAGTCGATATCCGAGGCCTTTCAGGGTGCTTTTCACGCGAGAACGCCTCTCTATCGACTATCGGGCCATGTTCCTTTTCATCGTATAGATAAGCTTCTTCTTGAAGGTGCTGATTCGTGCTAGCACCATGTTGTTGTGCTGGGTGGTTCAGGCCCAATTCTTTGGACACGGCGTCGACCATGGTTTTCCGAGCTTGGGCCTTTCCCAATCCTCGGGTAAATCCCAGAGTCTCTTTTCTTCGGCTATATTCTCGCCCTTCCCCACATCAACCGGGGTTGTGGTGGCCAAAGCTTGCCAGGGCCAACTCTGTGCGATGTCAAAAAAAGGTCCTACAACGACCGAGAATACGACCGGTAAAGACAAGTCGCAAATATGATAGCCTGAAAAGAAGATCAACGAAAAAGGAAAATAAATTTGATCTCGAAGAAAAGGCGAACGTCTGGCCACCGACCGCTAGCCTCCACTTAGTCCTTGCGACGGTGTGCATAGTGCGGAAACCGGCAGAGCGGCATCCGGGTAATGTGCCAGTAACGGTTGGTACGGTGACTCCAGCCTCCGCTGTTTTGAGAACCCATGTCGGGTATCTCGCAGGGCCCAGAGAGGAGTGGGGTGTCGTGAATTGCCTGAAACATCTGATATCGTTCGAAAAGACCACACTGTCTCGGTCGACACAGACAATGAGGCCACCTCTGGTCGAAGTCCGTGAGCGTTTTCGTGGGGATGCTGGGCGGCCGGATTCCGGGTTCTAGCAAGCGAGTCTCTGCTGGGGTTGAGTCACTGAATGCCAGCTGCTGACTGTTTGATTGATCAAGAAACATCGCGAAAATCCGTTGCGGAGCCAAGATACGAAATATCTACTCGGGAGGAGTCGTTCCCGCTGCAGATATCATCGTTTGTTGGGCCGAAGTTTGGTGCGAAACCCCAGTCCCATCTGCCCCATCTGGCGAGCTCGATCCTTCTGACAACGACCTTTGAGTCAGGGAACCTATTACAAATCAAGGTATCTGACTTTCCCTCTCGAAGCGGAGTTCAGGAATTCCGGATGGTGCCCATGTTTAATACAAGGATGTGCGTGCGGCTTCCCCATATGATGCAAAGAGACGACATCTTAAAAAACACATATATACCATACAAGTCAGGTTGCTGAAGCCCAGAGTCATGTTTGTCTTGATCGGTCTAACGGCTTTGCCGTGCCCACTCAACCAAGATTCGTACCTTTCATTTGTGCACTAAGCGAGATCTAACTCGTGATAGCTCTTTGATGAAGCCAGTTTTTGGTATGGAAGGTGCTTCGCCGCCCTCCTCTTCAACGTTGTGTTTGCCCACGATACTGAGGAACACTTGGTCCAGAGTTGCACGGCTGACGCTGTAGTATTCAATCTGCAGCTCCGCCTTGTTCTTTTCGAGAGCCGCAAACAGAGACGCAATACCAGACTCCACGCTAATTTCACCGTCTTTGCTGGCGTACAACCCTTTCGTTGGCACCGAGAATCGGATCTGGCCTGCGTATACTTTGCTCTCAATATTTGCATCGGGAAAACTCCGCATGATCCAGTCTCGGATGCGCAGCATGTCTTCATCCGATGCATGTGGGGCTCCTTTGTGTACGAGGTGTACATAATACGCGTCCCCGTGCTTTCTGCGAAGGTAGTCAGTTGTCCCAAGCGCCAACATCTTGCCTGCCATGATACCAGCTCTCGTTGCGAGCGCATCTGCTTCCTCCATTGAGTGTGTTGTGAGCACCAGGGATCGACCAGGAACCACCGATTCCAACGTTCTCCACATGACGCGCTTGCTTGCGGCATCCATGCCCGATGAGGGTTCGTCCAGGAGTAGGACGCTTGGATTGCCCATGAGTGCAATACCGAGGGACAGCTTGCGCTTGTTGCCACCGGACAATTTGGCCGCCATCCTATCAGCATACTGCTCGAGGCCAACCGCGCGCATCACGGCTTCAACGTTATGGCGAGGATCACTGACACCACGAACTTTAGCGTAGAAGTGCAGATGCTCAGCCACGGTCATCGTATCCATTGCGTCAAACTGAGGACACACTCCAAGGCGAGAGCGAGCCTGGGCCCGATGTCGGATTACGGAGATATTGTCGACTAAGATGTCGCCTCCACGAAGACTCGGTTGGATATCACCTCGAATCAGAGATATCGTCGTCGACTTGCCAGCACCATTTGGTCCAAGGAGGGCAAAAACTTCACTTCGAGGCACGCCAAATGTGACATTGTTGACGGCTAGCGTTTTGCCGAATCGCTTGGTCAAATTCAGAACCCGAAGGCCGTCTTGGGATGAAGACACCCTCGTGAGTTCGTTGGAGACTTCTGCCTCCACGGTATCTCTCTCTTCCACCTCCTCTTCCTGTTGCTTTTTGCGAAGCCGTCGAAACAAAGGACCCGAATCCCACCACAAAAGTAGCCCAAAGAGTAGAAACGACTGCAAGATCAAATACAAGATGGGGCCGCCAAATGTGGTCATTGATCCAGCATAAGAAGCAAACTCGCGATTCCTGCAAGTGATCGAAAACACATTGAGAGTGAGAAACAGTGCTCGTGTCAGGTTTGCCACGGGAGAGATGGTCGCGATTGTGAAGTGACAGATATTGACGTTTCTGTCTATCTTGTCGATTGGTGAATAGGTGAGAACGGACATGTAAGCAATGAAGTAAAGCAGGAACATGACGGCCTGACCACCACTTGCAAACGCAAAGGCTGCGAGTTGTGACCGCGAGAAGAGGGATATGACATACGATAACAGTGTCGAGGCCAGCCCATACAAAAAGAAAACCACAAAGAGGTATTCGATATGATACCAGACATCGGTGACAGCCCGGAAGATGATAATGGTAATCGAGCTTGTGACGACGACAATGACGAAGTCGAAAGTGGTGTACGCAAGCCACAGAGGTGCCGACCGGACGCCGTTACTGTAATGGAGACCTCGAACGTTGCGCAGCCGCTCTATTGTTGGATACAAGGCGAAGAAAGACGGGTAGACTGCCATGGCGAGCCCAAAATACGTGATCAGCTGCAATGCTTTCCCTACATCAGCACCCCACGGCACGTCAAAGGCTTGGTACTGGTTCGAAATGGAAATGTTGGTCAACAAGGTGTCCATGGCATTTTGTATGATGACTGAAAACGCAATATTCCCGTCTCCCTGCCAGGCAAAGGTCGGTGGCGAGGTTTTGTCTCCTAGAAAGAAACCACCAGGGGTCACATTGTCAAATTTAGTGTCGATGTAGTCGTTGAATTCATCTAGGGTATCGACAAGATGGATTGAATCCAGCAACTTTGTGGCATTGGCCGCAATTCCTGCGAGACCCGTGCTGCCTGCTAGCGTGGAAGCAAAAAGCTGGATGGCATTCTGGCTGAGCAGATCGCGCGGTCCTGCCACAAGATCATAATTGACCTGTGAGGACAAGGACTCAATGTCGGACACCAAAGCTAACGATGCCGGGCTGCAGGTCGTCTTTTGAAAATTGTTGAGGAAGAGAGTGACAAGCCCAGCAGCAATGATTGGGATCAGGAGTGCCGCAAGATAGGGAAGAGTGTTGCGGCGAAGTACAACCCATCGCTTAGAGAAGAGCACCATGGCTTGTCGGGGCATACTGATGCGGCGTCCGTCTAGAAGTTGAGGAGGCTCCCCTGATGACTCATCTCTGATCATTGTTTTGACAACGTTGTCGGGGTCGATCTCAGTGCTACTGTGGCTGCCAATCTCCTGGAGGATGTGGTCGGTGCCCCTCTTTTCGGCTGAATGCGGTACCAATCTGACCTCTTCAGCAACCTTCAGAAATACGTCTTCGATTGTAGGACCGTTAACCTGATACTCCATGACACCCTCGCTTTCTATCCGGCGTAGAAAGTCTGCCGCCTGTGCCGAGTCTGTCAAGCCATATATGGTTTGATCATCTCGTCTAACATGGTTAACATCCTTGAAAGTCGGAAGCTGCTGAGACCCGTGGTTGTGGTAGACGTGGACTCGATATCCAGAGCCGAGTTTATGCTTGAGCTCCACCGAGGTCCCTGAAGCCTTCAGAACACCCTTCGACAGTATCGCAATGTGATCCGCAAGGAGCTCGGCCTCATCCAGGAAATGTGTCGTGAGAACAATGGACCTTGACCCGCGCTCAGCCAGGAGAATATCCCAGATCTTTCGCCGGGACAATGGATCGAGACCAGAGGACACTTCATCCACGCAACATACCCGTGAGCCGCCAGTGAACATCATTGCCAGCTGCAACTTGCGCTTCTGGCCTCCAGACAGTGTCTTTGAGCGAGCACCGGATTTCCGGTCGATATCGCATGAAACTAGGAGTTGTCGATTTTCTTCTTTCGAGGATGGCTTCTGGCTCTTGATCCTATTGAAGATGCGAACATGCTCTTCCACCGTGAGATCATCCCACAGCACGTTTTTCTGAGGACAGAATCCTAGCCCAGTGTTGGCCTCCGGAAAATTGATGGTGATCTCTCCAGAGGTGATAGAGTTGAGACCGGCAATTGCATCCAAGGTGGTGGATTTACCACTACCATTGGCACCAAGTAGCACTACGATTTGCCCTCTCGTCGCGTCCAAAGTTAGATTGTCGACGGCAAGTACGGTCGTGAGTCGTTTCCTCGAAAATATTGCGCGAAGTCGTGCAAGCCATGAAGGTGGGTATTCCTTGGTGAATCCAGATAACAAGATCGAGGTGGGATCGTCCGAATATGTGGTCTTTCGACTTTGTGACGCTGTCCCATATAGGATGCGTTCAACGTACGCACCAAGGATTGGAAAAACAAGAATCTGAACTATCGAAAATATCCAAAGAGCGATACCGGGTAACGCGGACGTGTTCTCGGGCGCTCGTTTCACCAGATTTGTACCAAGATCTTGCTTCTCCCAACGAGCCATAAAAATCGTAAAATATACATAGTTCATAGGTGGAAAAAGAAGGGAGAGGATGGCGACAGATGCTGTTCCGGCTTTGCTGGCGACTTGCGCGACGATGGCAAGTAAAAGACTGACGATGACAGAGGTGATTCCAGAAAGCTGGGCTTTTTTGAAGAATGCCCCTCCCAGGATTGAGAAGGATGACACCGATAGTCCAGCTAGGATATTGAAGATGATGACGATTGCTGGTGATGTTTTGCTGAAGACGCCAGCACAGAGAATAATGGCCATGATGATCCAGCCGGGTCCGTAGAGCATGTCGAAGGCCAGGTGGTTAGCGATAATTCGTGCCATTTGTGGCTGCCATCGCTTCAGATTCGGCATCATGCAGTCAAGTAGTTGAGCCATGCCATTTTCTCTCTCCGATGCGATGACTCCAGTAAGCTGGTACGTAACACCTACCACGCCAATGAAGAAAGCGACGGCCAGGATGTCGATGATACCTCCCATATATCGGGTTCGGATACGGTTTAAGCGCTGCTGTTTCGTCATAGAAGTATAAGGATATTCGTCTGCGATGTTGGGAAGGACTGTGGCTCCATTAGTGTGGGCTTCGACTTGAGAAATAGCACGGTCGATAGCATGTTGGAGGGGAAGCAGGTAGATCTCAACGTCGTTCTTGGAAGAGTCGGTTACGATCTTGGACTGAAGCCCACCGTCTGCCCGAATAGTATAATTCCAGCGAGCAGCCTGTCCCTCAGAGGGCGAGGAGAAAAAGACGGCACCTGCTATGCATGACGACGTTCCCCTGATTGAGTTTCGACACACGGTCAACAGCTCCTCCTCTTGGGACAATATCTCGACTCGACCGCCAAATGACCCGGTCTCATTCACCACCTTGTCAATGACCGATTGAATTGGGCCATCTGAGAATCCGCTGTTGACAAAGACAAGTTTATTCCTGCCACCAGAGACGAGATCAAGTGCTTCAGGCAGGCTTCGAATCGGCGTGGGGTCACCGATGCCATAGACACTGGGAGGAATGAACAGAAAGCGCGCGTAAGATCTAAAGACGTCAGAAGTTGTGGTCAGAGGATGGAGATGGTATTGACGCACAGAAAGCCGACGAAGATACAAGGCAAGATAAAGGCTCTGATCGTGGTCGAGAACGGGTGCCGGACAAAAGCAACGAGGAGATTCTTGAGAGTCAAGGTAATAACCTGGCGCACAAAGAGAGCCATGTTGTAGTCTGAATGACCCGGACAGAGGATATTTGGCCTATCTTGACGGCGTTCGCTTTCTCAATGCAGGCGGTATTCCGTGCCTGGCATTTCCATTGACAGACTCGGTCAGGTCCGGAGGGAATCGTGAGGATGGTGAAAGGTCGGTCAATATTCACACAAATAACAGCTGGTCGCTCAGGGCGATATGTACAGTGTCCAAGAGAGAGACATGTTGCAAGACCACATGCACACCCTCCTAGAGCTGTGGGTCGAGCAGCAGAAACAGTGCTGCCTGGAGTGAGCGTAGTTTGTCTGAGATGCGCAGTTTGGTCGCTGCCGCCGCCGGCGCAGTTGCCAATGACACCACGACTGGGGATAACCCCGGGAAAATCAACCACGACCTACCTATCCCAGCCTAGAGCTTGCTGAAGCCATGAGGTTCGCAACCTTAGCGAGACGCCACACGATGAAGATCCAATGGGCTCGGCCCTTCTGCCGGCCACACGCCTTGACGGATACAGTGCCGTGCAAAAGCCCATTTCCGGCTGTCGCAGAATCTCACTGGGAGATCCCCAGCCAATCTATTTTATTTTTCTACAAGGTGAAGTCTACAGGGCTTGTTGGGCCGACAGTCTTATCCAAGGATGCGTCGAAGGAGGGCCTTCGAAGCTAAGTAGGGGAGGCTGTGACTGGCAGGGATGCCAAGGCAGTGTAATGACTGTCACGCTAGTCCGAAGGCCTTCGTAGCGTCGGTAGGGCCCTGTAAATTACTTGAGTGTATATGGTCAGACGGTCCCCAGGACCTAGCAGAATTCACCATGTTCCCCCGTTGAGTCATAGATCGATCGTTCGCCATTCACTACAGTGCTGTTCTGGGCCAATGTCAGGGAAAACTGCAGGGACGACTGTACGTTTTCCTGCATCAGCAGAAGGTCCAGGAAAGGGCTCCCATAAGGTGCACAAAAAAGGTCTGCCAACGTTGCGGTCGTTGAGGAACCAGAAATGGGGCCCGTCATTGTCCATTTCCGTTCTTCTATGATTAGAAATGCGGCAGCGCAAAAATAGCACATGGGGCTTGGAGACAGCGGAAGCTTGGGAGTCCACCTATTGTCGATCTTGCGGTTATTATGCTGCACAGATTGAAGCCCACGGCGTTGAAAATTCACCGTTGTTTCTTTTGCTGCATCTCAACAAACGCGGTTAGCAGTGCGGTTAGGTGGTCCGCCGACCGCAGGCATGTACAGTACGAGTCAAACCCATACCTGCCAAGGATGGGCATGACTCCTGAGACAAGATCGTCCTTGTGCGTTCGCCTTGTTCGATGCTAGGCGTCGGTACCCCTCCAATATAAAATCGCGAATCCTGCAAGCCGAAGATTACTTTGCAAAGCCCTCCGAGCAGTGATCATGAGCATTCAAACCTCATACACATGCATAAACATGTCTTGTGCAGAGCAGGAGTTCGGGACTCTAGGCGAAATTATCGAGCATCTGCGGGGTATCCACAGATTGCAGTTCATCAGACGGCCTGGCCCTCTCGGTGTTCACGATAGCCTTGAACATCTTTGGCACTGTTTCGGCTGCAACACCAAATGGAACAAAGGCCACAGAAGTTTCGATTCCGACAAGGCCATGTGGAATCACCTGAATGATTGCCACGATTGCTGCCTCGATGACATCAGGCGTTACCATTGAAATCGAAGTGACAGCACTGCTTCGCACTCGTCACTTAGCTTTATCTACCGAGACGGCAACTACAGCCCTTACTCTAAATGCGACTTCAAATACGCCCAAGTCGAGCACGACGAGTGGCATGAAGACAGCATCATCTTCGAAGAGGCTGGATTCGGCAAGGCTACATTTCATTAACGCCTGTAACCACCTTGCCCATGACCAAGACAAGAACAGCTGTGAAGTCGAGGTGTCCGACTTCTATATTGCCATGGTACTGGCCACTCTTCAGGAGTACAATGGAGGATTCCTCATCCAGAGCTACCACGGCCTCGGCTTGTGGTGGGATAAGGTCATCGGTATCACGTTGTGGATATCAATTTCCTCCTCAATTCCAGATCCAAATTTAAGACGGATGATTTTCGCTTGTCATCCTAGATTGCATCTCTTCTGAGAACCGGTGCCATCGCAGAATGAGAGCCCTGAGCTGACGTTCCGCCGATTGTGTCCCAAAGTGTTCCGAGGCAAAACCATGTCTGAATCTCTCCAAAGCCCAACTATACCAAGTCAATGCCCGATAAAATTGGCCTTGGAATTGGAAGACTCCTGCCATACTCACAACGGTCTCCAAGGTTTGGGCGTTATGCTCACCATGTAGTCTCTTCCTACCAGACAATGCCTCTTCATACCATTCAAGTGATTTGGCGTAGCACCGCTTTTGGCAATAGTCCTCCCCTAGCCAACCGGCCTTGGTAAATACCTCAGGATGCTCCGGCCCATAGACCTTTTTATAGCCATGATACGTCTCCTTATGTAGCTTGATAGCCTCGTCGAGCCGACCGCTTCCGAGATACACGTTGGCGATATTGCCTTTCACTGCAAGGGTTTTGGGATCATCTTTTCCCAGTTGCTTCTCCTTTCCGCAGAGAGCGCGTTGCAGGAATTGAGGCGCCTCGTCGTATAGCTTCCAGTGCCAGTACAAGATGCCGATATTCATGACTGTTTCAAGCGTGGAGAGGTCTTCCTCCCCTAATGCTTCCTCCTTTTTCCTTAGTACATTCTGATATATTTTGAACGCCTCTCCATACTTTTTCTGTTCTTTGTAGATCACCGCGATGTTGTTCAAAGTGGCAAGTGCTCTGTGATCTTTTTCGCCGAATATCTCCGTTATTTGTGGGAGGGACGCCATGTACCACTCCAAAGCGTTTTCGAACGATCCGGTCTTCTTGTAAGTCATACCCAGACTATGGGCGATTTTGTTGGTTAATACATGTTGTACACCAAGTTGAGCAGTCGCTTCGGTATAGAGAGCATGAAGTTCGGCCAATGCCTCATTATACTGGCCTTTAAGGAGCTTGGCTGATGAAACGCCGTCACGGCATTCTAATGTTGATTGCGCGGATAGGTGTGGCACTGTGTTGAGTTCTCTCTGGAACCAGCTAATTGCCTGATCGTGTCGACCGAACTTATCGCAGAACTGTCCGAGCATGAAGAGCGCTCTTGTGGAGCCAAAAATTGGCTTGCGCGGCAAGGTGTCATCGATATGCTTCTCACAGCTTGTAATATGTGACAGCACTTGCCGACAAGAAAACCAATCTTGTTGGCGCTCCGATGTCAATTTCTGCACAGCACCGGCAACAACCAAGAGTGCAGTTTCCGTAAATTCTTGTCTTTGAAGGCCGGGTAATCTAGATAGTCTTTGGCGAATACATGCTTGAAGAACTGTATGGATTGAAAACCCGTCATCATCGCCCTCCCGTTTCGCGAGAGAGAAGGAGAACAAGTCTCCCATGCCGTCTTCCACGACCCGAGCTAGGGCGTCTGCATCACATTTAGTCCGTCTCGCCTTGGAAATAAAGAGCTACTTACCCTTTTGCGCAAATTTGAACCCAAACTTGAGCAAGTTTTCGCTAATGTACTCGCCAGCAAGAAACACACAAACCTGCAATATCTCAAGAACCTTAGGGCTCGAACTTTCAAGCTCTTGGAAAGTCAAGTCCCAAGCACTTAGTACACCCTTGCCATATGGCCACACGTTAATCGGCGGCGTCCAACTCAGCGTATCTGCGTTTTCCTTAAGGCGTGAGAGGTATTTTCTGGCCGGCGTCTTCAGATTATGGATATGTGCTCCTGCTTGATCAACGGCCAAAGGTAGATTCCCCAGTACTCTCACAATCTCTTTCGCAGCATCGAATTCTAATGTTTGGTCAGTCATAAAGCTCTCCTGTCTCTATGTACAGAATCTTACCTTCCGGGTTACCCTGCCCGTACTCCGTCAAAGAGCTTTTTGAAAGTAGTGCCAACGAAGCTGCCTCCTTCATAAACGGGAGATCGAGACCATCTCCATGTCGAGCCCAGTCTTCCCTTCGGCTTGTAATCAAGATCACACCAGAACCACCATGAGGGATCAAAGACCCCATCCTCTCGTCGTTTAAGTTATCCCAACCGTCCAATAACAGTAGCCAATTGCCATTTTCCGAGGCAGTGAGCCACTCTTGGACAGAGAAAACTGCTTCTCTACCGAGGTCTTTTCGATGCTCCAGGGGGAAGGCCTGTTACTCAGTCCAATCTTCTGTGCGATGGTACAATAGCTCTCCACAGCAGATTCAAAACTGTTGGCCCTTATCCAGAAAACAGACGAAAAGTATCCTCGATACCTATGAGCGTACTCGAGAATCACTTGGGTTTTCCCGATACCTCCCATTCCCTTGACGGTACATTTAACGCAGCCGGATCTTGGAAAATCGCGAGAAGTGACCATCCTGTGGATTTCTTGAAGGCTTTGATCCCTTCCGACAAAGTTTTTGTTCCTCGGCAACGGGAAACTGACGAAACCTCTGTCCGGATGTATGTTGCCACTCTCCAAGTTTGTGCCTAGATAGGTTAGGTATGCGGTCGCTTGTGTATAGAGTGGTGGACTTACTCGGCGGAGATCGACCGAGCTCTTTGTTCAGCCGGATGAAAGCGTGGTCTCCTTCGCCATAGATGAGAGGCATGAAGATACCAAAAATCCCGAGCAGACAGTATGCCTTGTCCTCCTTCTTCTTGGTATTCCGTTTCGCCGCCCACTGTATGCGATCGTCCACACTAAATTGAGATAAGGGCGTGCCGCGGAGCGCCGTAATTGGAATGCCCGTGATCTCGTGGATCTGCAGTTCAAGGGTGCTTCTGCTGCCTAGCCATTGCCCTTCGCGCGAAAAGAACTCCACCGATGCCGGCGCCAGTAGTTCTTGAAGCGTCCACCCCCGTGTAAATCACCTACTGTTGCGGAAGGCCCGCTCCCATATCCGTTCTGTGTGGTCTTCTCCGTTAGGGATTAGCACGTCGGCCAGGTAGACATAGCATTTGACGGCATCGTGGTACCAGCGAAACATTGAGTTAATGGCCTCCGAATATTCCGTATTGTTCGCTTTATTGATGCAGCAGGTGTCCACCCAGAAGTATTCGATGTTTACCTTCTTGGCTTGCTCGCCGCAGAATCGGATCTTCGCATAGCCGGCCTTGTTCTTGAACGATTTGTGTTTTAGATCGTCGAAATCGACCTCGTCCTTATCATCTCCCCATATATGCGAGAGGATCGCGTAGGTTGGATGCTGTCGGGAGGGTAGTCGGTTAGGCTGAGTTCGCCCTGTTCGTCGAATTTTAGAAGACGCATGGTGTTGGGTGCGCTCTGGCGGCACGTTGTGAGTACATGTGCGGCCTAATAAGCACGCCGTGCCTCTCATGGCTCGAAAAAGCTCGAGTGCTCGTCGCGACCAGCCGTGGGATGCTACTCTGGCAGCTGAGCCTGAGAAGAGAGGTAGTCGTCGTGATTATAATGAGGGCGAGGTAACGGCGAAGTTGGTTGGGAGGCACTGGACAGGGGGGGACTCGACTTTTACTTTGCACACCTTCCTCCAGATAGGTAATGCACCACTGCACCCACTAACAACTGGGTCAGTCCATTTCGGATTTTTGTAATGCGCGAGACAAGCGACCTGGAAGTATACGGCTGCTGTTTAGCATGCTGAGCAGAAGAGCATTGCTTCGGCCGAGGTTCTGGAAGGGAGGGTAAGCAAAATGGCATGGCCGATTTCCAAGCGTAATGGTCATGCTAGTGTAGTAATTTTATACATTATGTAGATATATGGGTAACTCAGCATCAATACTATCGACTCCTTTCATCCAATAAGCGATATTCGCGTTTATCTTAGATAAAGAGGTGTGCAAAGTAAAAGTGGGTCCATGCCTAGGGCATTTCATTGCATAGGGATGCACGTCATTTGAGACAAAACTGTTGTGGCACAGCCTTGAAAGAAACGCTCAGAGCTTGAGCTTCCACTATAATTACTCCAAAATTGTGACGGTTTCGGCCTGAGAGCTCGGCCGTTTCATAAGTCGAGGCGTACTAGCCGTGCGCCGGAGAACAGTATAAGCGGAGTCACCGATATCAACAATTGCTGCTGCAGTTACAATTCTTGGTGTTAATATTGGCTGTAGTATTGTAATGGGAAGAGTCAGTCAGGTCACGTGCCTGTACATTGTACAGGGAGGCAATGGTGGCTCCTGATTGGACGGGTGAAGTGGAGAGCTTTTTTGCTTTTGTTTCAATAGTATTTTTACATAGGCAGTGGTAGAGAGACAGACTGATAATTAAGCATTCCTATCCATCTTGTTTTGGTGGTGTTGTGGTGTGTTGTACGTGTCCCTACCGCCGCAGAGAGAGGCATCGCCTCTGGCCATGAAGCCTTAACGGCGGCGCTTTTGAGTGATGATGCACACCAGTAGCTCAGGCTCGAATTTCCAGATAGCTTCAAAATAGAGTATCTTCTTGGCTAACACCGTGCTTGCGCGGGTATGGAGTACTTATAGAAGAGCGATCCGTAGTGAGTGATGGATATTTACTCTGCTGGTAAGGTCCGTCCATGTCAAACCCTCCGCGGCACTGAAGGCACTTCATAGATTTGCCCGCAGAACTACGAGCCGGTCTCGTAATACAGACTTCAAACGAACAAACCATCGATGCTATATAGATCTACATCCACATATTAAGATGCGATAAATCGGATCCTGAATTAGTCGATTAAAGGTGGGCGCATATCTAATCGTCCCGCGAGCGGTAAGCCCTTAAGCGACTATACGGAAGGGCTTCCCTCGATTCCGCTTTTCGATAATTAGTCAGTATACCGGTCTTATCACTAGATATACTAGCGGGAAATATAGAAGGTCTGCTGGCTCTTATATGTGACAAGGAGATTATCCGATACTTAAACCATATTTATCAGTTCTGGACATCTCTTTTTGATCTGGACGGTGGCGCACTTCTAAAAACTAGCCATCGAGACGTCAAAATGCTTGAGGGTCGAAATCTAGGTGACTATCTATCGGATAACCAGTAATTGCTAGATATCTGGGGTACTAGCGCTATTTTGAGTGATTTGCCGCCTTCATAACGTGAGCGGGTTTGGACACGACTGCAAGGTTATCGCAGACGAATACCTTCGTTGTTCCTGTTTTTCCAGGGTTATAAGTATTTCGAAGCACTAGTTGAATCCGTGAAGAAGGTATGTCCGCCTATTAGAGGGAAGACCACGCAACAGTCATTACGGGATTCATTTCGGAAAGATGCCCACAAGAATGCTACGGAAGGAAAACAATTTGACCGTGCTTACAGAAGACTATATCTGTTCGCTATGCGTCACGCAAAAGTGCTGAATCAAAAGTCGGTGCGCTTGGAAATTAATGAGCAAAGAGGGACGACGGAGAGGCAAGGAGGGTCAGTTGATTCAGCGTCCACCCCTGAGGTAAGAAATGTGATGATCTGCTCTCTTCATCCAGGGAAATATACGACTCCCCGGATGCTAGAGGAGAACTGACCTACTCGCATCTCCACTTACGAGCAGCGCAGACGGCGCTGTCGTTGTCAGACGGCGTGTAGCCCCTTCGCGTCTTCCGCGCCTGAAGTACACTGGAATGTGGCTTAGTGCCTTCAAGTCATCACGCCATGATTGCACTGATAGGACAGTCACCTGAGCTTCTTCTGCGCATCTGAATCGTCACATTTACTGCACAGTCAAGCTAGATTGCGAAGAAATATGATATTCTGGACAGCCAAACTGGCAGTGGCGGAAGAGCAAAGCCCCGGAGAATCTATCGACTCACAGCACATGATGCGGACGACAGGCGAGGAGCAAATGCCACGAAGCCGTCAGGGTCCAGAAGCCGATGGAACAACAATTACGTTGCGGAAGTGTGAAATCACTAGGCAACCAGAGCATATACCAAGGCCAGGGACCTTGCTGTGCAGAGAACATGGCTCGACTTCTCTAGAATGCAGGAAGCGAGTTTCCTGTGCCGGACCACCATGCCGAGAGCTTTTTGCCTTTCAAATCGTAATTGATGGACCCGTACGTTTACGCGAATCCATCCATCTACACTTGCTCCAGCTTCTCGTTATACGTTATACCTGCTAGTGATCTGGCCTCATCCATCCATCCCAACACCCTCAAACTCTCCTGGGCCCCTATTACACCCGGCTGTTTGTTGAATACTGCCGCCGCAATGACATCCGCCTGATACCATATCCCCCAACCACTGATAGGTTTCTTAATGATCTCGTTCTTTTCCGTGCCATCCTCATTCAAGTGAGCATATCCGTACCATTGCACATACAGCTCCTCCGGCCGAATAGGCGGGAAAGGAATAGCCACCGATGCTTCTGTGGCTTCGATCCTAACAGAAGGAGCCGCTTTCTGAGCACCAAGGCGAACATAGAACGGAGGCTTGCTCGATCCAGGAATAGTCATACTGGTCGTGACGATAGCGGTGGCACCCTTGCTAGTAAGCACCACAGTATTGATGTCGTCAACCTCGCTAGGCCTTCCAGTAACGCTCCAAGAACTGGCGTGCGCCACGTTTGTTTCACCAACCTCGACTCCATTCAGTGCAAGATCCGCCCAAGTCAGTGCATAGACGCCCTGATCTAGGAGAGCACCCGCACCAGCTGCTTTGTCTAGAAATCGAGACGTATCTTGGAGGTCCGGTCCGACGATGGGGAAAGAGAAATCCGAGTAAACCCTCCTCACTTTGCCTATCTTCGGTAAGAGCTCTTCTTGGAGGTATCTTGTTGCAGGCAGATAACGTGTCCACATCGCTTCCATGAGCACGACACCCTGCTGACTCGCAAGTTCGATGCATTTTCGGTATTGCAGTGCATTCATGGTTGCCGGTTTCTCGACCAGGATGTTTCTGTTGCATTGAAGGGCTTTTAAAACCTGTTCATAATGCAATGGGTGCGGTGTTGAGATGTACACGATATCAAAGTCGCCTTGCTCCAACATGATCTGCCATGAGTTGTAGACGACTATGCCCTGGGGATCCGGGATCTTGTTGTCCTTGAACCATATCTGGGCGCGCTCATTTGAGCCCGTCGTACTGACGGCGACCAGCTTGTGTTCATATTGTGCGTCTTCACGCCCGAGTAGATCTGGAAGGAAGACTGAGGCGATGCTGGACAGCGACAGCGCCGCCCACCGGCATGTGGTTTTTGCCTCCATTGGAATGCAAAGCTTCGGTGACGTGAAAGTAGAAGTGATAGCTCGTGCGGACAGGAAAGAAAATTCATGTCATAGATTTTCTGATCTGACACCTGGCGACGAGATGGTTCTCGCCCCTTGGAAAAGTGTGATAAAATGCCGGTTGTTTTGCCCGAGACGATATCATCGGCGTTCCACTGAGAAAGGATACGGCTTCTTCGGCCGATGCCCCACGGATCGACAATTCCATAGTCGACTATCTCCACGGTTGGACAAGGGTTGATAGGGGAGCACAAAATGACACATACGGGCATCAGCCTTTTTCGTCGTGATGGTGGCTGCTGCCAGCCTCCAACTGTCGCTGAGTGGCTCGGTTAACGCGTGCAGTGGCCCCACTGCAGACTGCAGTAATTGAACTGTCTCAATTTTGCCTTTTAGCCGTTTAACATGAGCCTTGGCTGTTAACCTCGCTCCCAGCAATATGGATCATGTGGAAGACTCGTGGAGGGTTGGAAACCCTGGTCCGCCACGCGAAATCTGGGGATGAATCGCCGCGGCCAGAACTCGGGTGGGTAGCGTATCACGACCCGAGCCCCCATCCGGGGGAAGGCCTTGGATCGTGACTGCATTGAATATATATTTCGACACTACTCCGTGAGGAACCCCCGATCACCTCATATTCAAATCAGCCAGCTGCTCATCCCACCCAGTCTTTTCATTGAACTCAAACAAACGCGACATCGGCTACCATGGGTTTCCAACCATGGCGTGCCCTCCTGGCAAGGGAGTTTTGCTCTTGCTCAATGTCGTTAGCGCCGTCGCCCTGATCTACGAGGGATACAACCAAGGCGTCTACGGCAGTGTTTCTGGAACCCCGGGCTTCATCGCCATGTCCGGCATCGGTTTTGGCAGCACCGTTACCCAAACCACAAAGCAAGGCGGTCTTGCTGCAGCATACTACTTTGGAGCGATTTTCGGGGCCTTTATTGGTGGATGGCTTGGCGACAAGCTGGGAAGGAAGAAAGGTGCTTTCATTGGCGCTCTTCTCTCCCTTTTGGGATCCGCCCTGCAATGTGGCTCGATCAACTCCAATATGTTCATATGCGCTCGAGTCATCTCGGGGCTCGGCATCGGCTTCGTCAATAACATCATTCTCTCTTGGGTGTCGGAATTGACTCAGGCCCACGACCGAGGATCGACTTTCTCTCTGGTCTTTGTCTCAAACTTTCTCGGTATTTTCCTCGCCAACTGGATCAATTTCGGAATCCGCAACAGCAACAACGAGTTTAAATGGCGATTTCCTCTCGGCTTCATGTGCGTTCCCATGTTTATCGTCGCCGTGGCTATCCCCTTCGTCCCAGGTGAGTCACCGTCTTGAACGGTTCTGTTGTGGAGCGAATCTAATAAGACACCAGAATCTCCCAGATGGCTCATGGCACATCATCGCAAATCGGAGGCCATTGACATCCTGTGCAAGATCCGTGGTGACAAAGATGCCTCGGACCCAGAAATCGTCAGAGAGCTCGAATTGATCAACGCCGTCGTCGAGGCATCTTACCACAAACGAAACAACTACGTCAACATTGCTCTCGGAGGGCGTTACTCTGGCAAGCTCCACCTTGGCCGGCGCGCTGTCCTTGGGTTAGCTCTTCAGCAGATCCAGCAATGGACTGGTATTCTGGTTATGGTCTCCTGGGCCACCAAACTCTTTGAACTTGCCGGCTTCGACCCCCACAAGGCTTCTTGGATGTCCGGCCTGTTGAATACCTTCGGTGTCATCGGTACCGCAGCGGCATCCCTCGTCATTGATCGCATGGGCCGTAGGATGTGTCTCCAGGCTTCCTTCTTGATTCAGGGTGTATCGCTGTTCCTGGTAGCCGCCCTCATCAAAACCTCTCAGGACCGAGTCACATCCAACCCCTCAGAATCCCAGGCTCTCGGAACTGCGGCATCTTCCTTCACCTTCACCTTCGTCTTCTTCTTCACCATGTTCAACATCGTGCCGTGCTGGATTTACGGCACTGAGATCTGGCCTCAAGAAGTCCGCGCGAAAGGCTACTCTTTCACTATCCTGGGCTGGGCGATTGGCTGTGGAACGACAACCTTTGTCATCCCCATCATGCTTTCTCACATCGGATGGTGGTCCTTCATCTTCTTCGGCTGCATGAACTTTGTGGTCATGCCCATCATCCACCTCTTCTACCCGGAGACCGGAGGCCGCTCCCTCGAAGAAGTCGACCTCCTCTTCGCCAGCGACTCCCCACTGGTGGGCAAGAACATGGCCGAGTATAACCGCCGCGTTGCCGAGGCTGGTGGTAACATTGCGGTCGCTGCCAGGAAGCTCCTTGATGAAGTCGATGGCGAAGACCATTTGGATCCGAGACGGGTTTCACTTAGCGCCGTTGAAGACGGCAATGGTTATGTCAAGACTGACGCTGAGAATGGTCATATTGAGTCTTCGATTGAGAAGTCGTCGTTGTGAACTCGGGGGAGGATTTGAATGAAGGACGTATTTATATGTGCAGCAGACGGACTTGTACCGTTGGAGGAGAGTATAATTTGTTTCATCAGTTCGAAGGTGCACACTAAAAGTGCTTTTTCCTTAGCGCGTTACAAATGACAACGTTTCCTTACATGACAGAGGTTTTCCTGGGGCTCAGGCTGAGGCGCCGAAAGTATTTCGTCTTTTGAACCTCTGTCATTTGTCACGCCCTAATAGGAAGCACCTCCGCAGAGTACGGTGGGTGTACGACGCTGGACTTAGCACCTGATTGTAAAGCCTCGAGATATCCTGCGCGAGGCACAGGTGTGACTTCATGTTCCACAAGTCTATGAGTTCCAAGCTGTCGGTGATTACCACGCGATGCCTGTAGCAGCCCCAGTCCGTTCAGTCCAAGAGTAGACCTCTACACGCCCTCAGTTCCAAATTATTTTCTTGTACCTCAGCACGAAATCATACGCCATCCAAGATATAGCTTTTCTGGATGGCTATTTGCCAATTCAAAATCGAGATTTGCCTCCTATGACTCATTCCAAAACTGCAGGATGTTTCCAAGAAGTCGCCCCGCCATCGAGCAGCAAATCCTGACCCGTGTACCAACCGCTGGCTTTGGAGGAGCATAGCCACAACATCGCGCCTTTCATCTCTTCGGGCCACCCAATCCTCCCAAACATGGTCTCCTTTTCAAACTGCCTGACCAGAGTCGGTTGCGCGGACTGCAAGCCCCTCATCATGTCCGTCATCGTGTAGCCGGGGCTGAGACTGTTGACTCGGATTCCGTAACGGGACAGCTCCATTGCCACCGGTTTCACGAGTCCTTTGATGGCAGCTTTAGACGCTGTGTAGCATGAGATTTGCTGTGCGGTGGTGGCCATGTAGGTGGCGATACTGGCGGTGAAGACGATAGTTCCGGTCGTCGCGTCCTTTGCAGGCGCGTCGCCGTGCTGGAATTTGTACCGTTCGACCATGGCGTTTGCGCAGGCTTGCGCTACGAGGAAGGATCCATGGAAATTGACCGCGAAAGTCCGCTGGAGATTTTTGTCAGAGGTCGTCAGGAAGGGTTCGTCGGTCACAACGCCGGCGGCGTTGATGTTGATGTCAATGCTGCCGAAATCTTGGACGATCTGCGCGACTGTACCAACAACCTGGTCCCGGACCGTGATGTCAATGGTGTAGGACTTGACCTTGATATTGTGCTGTGACTGCAACTCGGATAACGTCGGTGACGTTTCGGGAAGGATGTCCAACACGGCGATATTGCACCCTGCTGATGCCAGGACTTCGGCGAACGCGAGACCAAGGCCGCGAGCTGCCCCTGATATCACCGCCGTCTGGCCTTTCAAGTTGAACTAGCATCTAATGAATACATGATTCCGGCGAACGCTGCCTTTACGTACCTTGTCCATTGTGTGAAGACTGTGTATCCGCTCAAAGGTCGTTCTCTTGATAGCACGACCTAGGGATTCCAGTGCTCAACAGACGATGAAGGTGACTACTTGATGGTTCTGAGCAGGCACCTTCAACCCCCCCAATCGCTTGCATTGACCACCTGCATCAACACTATTTTAGTCTTCATCCCATTGGAACGTCGTCTTCCGAGCTAATGATTGCGCTAGAAGCTCTTGTCACAGTAATGTGGGCGGAGTTGTGGCAATCAATTGATGTGCGCATGGCCGGACTCCCTAGGATCGGCCAAGTGATAAATCCTGGCGGCAAAACTAAACAGTTTAGCCTTTTAGCCGAATCTCGCTCAGGCGCACGAGGCCTCGCCACCCTGACCACCCGAATTTGTACGGAACTTCCATCCGGGTGTGGTCTCGGCCCACTATTTTCTCCGCTCGCAGTCTATTTCTCCGCTTGCAAGGGTACGGTCACGTCGTTTTCTGATCGGTTCTCGAGATGCTATTTATGTTTCTAACATATACATTGCTTTGAATTCTGGAGGTCGATGTCATTCACCAAAACAGAGCCGCCATGTCTCCCTCTCTAACAACCGGCCTCACAAACGGTCTCCATCAGGGCCTCAGCGATGGCCATCATGAAAAAGGATTGGATTTGACGGTGCTTGGGTTGAATTCTGGCACGTCGATGGATGGTGTTGATTGTGCATTGTGCCGGTTCAGACAAGAGTCGCCTGAATCGCCAATGCATTTCGAGCTTCTTGCATATGATGAAATCCCGCTGGAGCCCAAGATCAAAAAGCGCGTGATGGAAATGATCTTGCACAACAGAACCACTCCCGAAGAACTTTCGGAGGTCAATGTGCAGCTGGGTGAGACCTTCGCTGCGGCTGTGAAAGAGTTCTCTCAAAAGCAAGGCGTCCCTCTGGAGAGGATCGATGCTTTGGGATCGCACGGGCAGACAATCTGGTTGCTTAGCATGCCGGGGCCTGGTCACACAAAATCGGCTTTGACGATGGCCGAAGGGTCATTCCTCGCGTCGAGAACAGGAATCACATCTGTCACTGATTTCCGGATTTCGGACCAAGCAGCCGGTCGGCAGGGCGCTCCCTTGATCGCCTTCTTCGACGCACTGGTCCTTCACCACCCTACCAAACTCCGAGCATGTCAGAATATCGGCGGTATAGCGAACGTCTGCTTCATTCCTCCGGACAAGAACGGCAAATTAAATCCCGACTTTTTCGATTTTGACACCGGCCCGGGGAACGTCTTCATTGACGCGGCAGTGCGGTATTTTACCAACGGAGAGCGCGAGTATGACAAGAACGGCGAGATGGGTGCTGCAGGGACCGTAGATCAGGAGATGGTGGACGAGTTCCTGCAGACTTTCCCATACTTCAGCCTCGAACCACCAAAGACCACAGGACGTGAGGTGTTCAGGGACACCATTGCTCACGCACTTATCGAACAGGGCAAGGCCAAAGGATTGTCGACAAACGACATTGTTGCAACGATAACTCGTATCACCGCTCAAGCCATCGTCGACCATTACCATAGATATATGCCACAAGGGTACGGTCCTCTGGCGGAAATCTTCATGTCTGGCGGCGGAGCGAAAAACCCCAACATCACCCGTTATATGCAACAAGCTTTCCCCGACACCCGAATCGTGATGCTTGACGAGGCTGGCATCCCCGCGGACGCAAAGGAGGCCATCACCTTTGCATGGCAAGGGATGGAGGCAATCGTGGGACGGAGTATTCCGATACCGAGTAGAGTAGAGACGCAGAGGCTGTATGTGCTTGGAAAGGTCAGTCCAGGTGAGAATTATCGCAAGGTTATGAAGCATGGAATGGATTTTGGCGCAGGGAGCGATCATCTGGAACCGGTGACGGAGTTGGTGAATTACGTGAAGGGCAACGTCTTTGACAACAAATGGTGAATGGATACATTTGGGATGAGGGGATGGAGAAGAGGCGGCACGCCTTTGTCATGCGAAATGACCCTGAACGTGTAGACTGCAAAGTGTTCTGTTCTTGTAATTTTCCCGCAGGGAGTAAAAGAGGCCGAGAGCCAACGTGAAGAGGACAGAAACTGGAGTGGTCACGGGAGGATACTAAAGCTTCTGTCACGTGCTTTAGTTGCGGCGCGACAAACGGCAACTATACCGAGCCGCGGCAACTTGCCCAGCAATTGTCAAAGGGCGAACGAAGTTGACTTCTGTCCCCAGTGCTGCAGTCACACTTGTCTCTTATTCGCATAGCCTATTCCTCGTTTATCTTACAGTATGTAATGGTAAAGGAGAGACGCACAGATCTGCATCGAGGAGAATGTCATGCCGGCCTCCGAACGACGGACGATCAAGTCAAGACGCATCACGCGAGCGTGCGATTACTGCCATAAACGCAGCATCCGATGCATCAATGCTGGTGGTTCCCGGTGTCAAAAGTGCATCGAGTTTGACCAGCCATGTACTTACGATCGAGCAATGAAGAGACGGGGCGTGAAGCCTAGGTCAGGTTTCGAAGCAGGTTCGCCTGCCCCTGCCTCTCGAAAATCTGAGTCCGCGAAAGGTACGTTTCGACAGAAATTATAGACTTCACGATGTGCCGAAATCTCCCCACCGAGGCTGGTCTACTGCCTGTGTAATTGCAGTCAATTACTGACAGCTCCCAGCGCACCTCGAGTCATCATCTCAGTCATGGACGGCTCCCGCAATTGCCCGCCAAGCCGTGGTGATGAGTCTTGTCGAGGTATACTTTGAGATAGTGTATCCAATCTTCCCGCTCTTCCACCGGCCCACATGCCTTCGAAAAGTAAGTCTCGCTGGTTTGCGACGTTCTCCTTGCTAACGACAGTGGTACGTCCTGATGTTTCTGCACAGCGCTGACGAGCCTTCGCAGATATCGAGAGGCGATTACACTACGGACAAGGACTTATTCCCAGTGACTATGGCAGTCTGCGCTCTTGTGTCCGCTCGAGTCCGAGATGAGGCGGTTTTCAATCCTTCCTGGGACGTCCAAGAATTATCCGAAACGCCTTCGGAAACGTTCTATGACGCTGCGGTCCGTTACAGTGCCGGCTGCGAAGAATCCAAACAAGCTCATACTCTCAACACACTGCGAACCTGTGCTTTGCTTGCCCTCACAGCTATTCAGTATGGCAAATTTCGCGAAATGCAGCTATTTCTGGGGAAATACCACACTTTCGTGGCTATGGATGGTTTGCATGATGAATCGAACTGGCCCAACGCCATCGGCATCATTGAGACGGAAGAGAGGCGGCGGCTGGTGAGACAGATGATCCAACTCGAGTTTTCTGCTAACCAACCAGTAGATCTGGTCCATGTATACCTTGGAGGTCTATACATCCATCATTTGGAACGGCGTCACACGGTGTCGCGAACAACAGATCAATGTTCCATACACCACCGAGATAGATGATGAGTTCTTCAATGATATGGGCTACAATCAGTCAGCGTCGCCTCCAATTGACATCAGACCAAGTCCCCGTGGCAGTTGGGGCGATGTAAGAAGTAACAGTTGGCTCTGTGGCTGGAACTTCACGACCGATCTATATCGGGTCTTGGAACACGTCATCACCAACTTTCGTGACCGAACCCAGCACAAGAGGACGTCCCTCAGCGACATATTCGGCGACAAGACTCGCTTTTCCGCCACTTCGGCCCGGGACTCCATCATGGCTTGGTATGGCAATCTTCCGGGCTGCTTCAAAGAGTTTCCAGAGGTGACATGTAATCCTTCCAGGTAAGTCGTTTACCTGACGCACGTTGGGCCAGCCAATGACTTTACTAGTGATCGATACGGATTTCAGGCCGCCAATATCACTGCCACTGTCCAACTGCTTCGAATGATGTTATTTGCGTCGGGTGGCGGTACGATCGAAGAGCGTTGCAAAATAGCGAGCGAAGTCGTGGATGCCTTCATGCGCATTCCGGTCGCTTATCTCAGAGCCATCAGTTCACCACTCCTTCATCACCTGGCTGGTATCGGCGCCATCCTGGGAAGTGTTCTTGAGGAGCCTCTCAGCGACATTGCGTATCAGCAGGTGAGAGTGGTCTTGCTGTCACTCGCACAATTGTTGGAGAACCTCGATCATGGTATCCATTCGGCGATCAGCGCACAGCGACTGCGGGACTTGGTGGCGCAAATCGACTGCTACTGGAACCAGTTGCTCATTTTTTCTGAGGGTGAGCCGACTCCTCAGCTCAATTCAGCAAATCAAGAATACCATGGTCTGCGGCATCCCGACGCACTGAGAACCATACCTTCCCAGCTGACCACCAGTATTTTCGAAGACTGGCCGTGGAACCTCGACCTTATGCAAACTGCAGAGAGCTGGTCGTCCACAGATCAGGGTCTAGATGTCTGAAATTGAAGCGCCCGAATTGGCATTCAAAGTCCTGCCTCTGCCTCCAACAGATGCGCTTTTGGTGCAAGATGACCAGTTTAAATATCTGGCCGAGCATTCTACGGCTCAGTCTTGAAAGCCTGAAGTCCGAATCTGCACGTTTCACACCATCAAGTGTTCGCGGTGTTAGCAAATATCGAGGCACCGGATAGCCCTGGAGAGTTAGCGTAACTCTGAACGCCAGTCTACATCCGAGCAGGCTTGTCCGTGGTTGGAATCATGACCGCCCGGTGGATATGATTTTCTAGACTCTGACATACGTTCTCAAAGTACGAGAATGGCATAAAAGGCCACGGGCAGACCAAGACTCATCGTAATGTTCTGTGCTTGGCGGGATGGCTTCGCATTGGAAGGAAGTCGATCATTCTACACCTCCCGCATTACTACCCTTGCTCTTCTCGCGTTATCCTGTTCAGAGTATTTGGATTTCAACACCTTCTCCCAACGTCTATGTGTATCTGGCCGTGTTGTTGACGATTGATATAGCAAAGAATTCTGGCCAACTTACCGGCACGGCCCAGCATCGTTAGACCGGTCCGGGTGCGAGTAAGGGCGAGGACGCTGTCGATAGGCTGGAGGGTATCGAACGTACTGCATCAAGGGAGCTAATTGCGTTATAAGTTATAAGAATGATACCTGTAGCTCTATGACAAATAGACGCCCAGACGGCACTGTACTCCAGCGATATATGCCGATTTCCAACTCCGGACGCATATCGAGAAGTGGTCTTTTCAATAGCAGTGCGCAGGCACAACACTCCTCTGCGTCATTCATTGCAATTAGAATGGCCGCTACTGCCATTTAGTATTCTGGTGCGCTTTTATCTACGAAGCGCAGGCTGTTGCGTTCAGTGTCCAGTGGGTGAGACCCTGTCTTGCTCAAGTCATTCTTTGAACCCATTCCGGACCTTTCTCCTGGCGTCTCGTGGCCATGTCCGTCTTGGTGGCCTGGTGCGCCTGCGCCACTGGCCATGCGGCCGTTGACCTCGCTCAGGTCGGGCAGAGGGGCGGTCTTCTTTGCGTGCTCGACTTCTGCTTCATCCGTGGTCTGATCAACAACTTACCAATATACTTCTTACGAAGTAACAGATGCAACTCATTCGCCCTGTCTCTCTACCTTTCCTATGCCATGGGCTTTGTCTTCGCCAGCTTCAATGGCATTGTCGGAATGGGTCTGTCCATCGTCATAGTCTGCTCCCCGCGGCATCTTCGATAGTCGAGACAATGAGTCCAGCTAGAGAAACATTCGAATTTGATTGAAATACGGCTCTTGGGTATGCTTGTGTCTGATTCTGTGGTAGAAGGGAAAAGAGTTCACGGTCGTAGTCAACGTCATCCAACACGGTTATCTTGACGCTCAGTATCGGCCATCGAACACTTAGTCAAGATTCGATGGCGTTGTATTCTGTCGACGTGCATCCATCTTTTTGTCATGGCGGATGCTCCATGCGAAGATGGGCAAAGTTATGTCTGGCAGGGGGTTTCTCGAAATGGTTTACTCGCGCAAGTTGGGCCTCATCAAACTCCTTGCATAACCGTGGTGGTCATATGTAACAGAAAAGCTTACGAGAATAGTGTAGTGCACTCTTGTGCAGAATAACCAACAGCTGGACCTGGCACGTGGGGTGATGCCTTCATTATGACAATTCCTGCAGGACGCGATGTTCCTACGGGTGACATGGTGGCCACCAGATAAAAATGAGCCACAGCCAGATGTCGAGGCAATTATCAAGACCTTAAATATCCCTTTTTCGGCCCCGTTTGAACACACCGAGCCAATCCACTTACGCGCTGCGACTATTCGTTGACCCCATCATTAGATTCATCACCAACTTTTCGTACGTCGTATATGTCAGCAAGCAAGTCAAAACCTGACTTAGGGTGGCCGTATCTTGGCCAACTTGCACCTATACTACTAGAGTGACCAGAGGAGACTTTACGCGCTATTCTCAGAAATGCAGTCCCCACATTCCAGTTCTCGTGTCAGCATATGGGGACAACATACCCAGCCTTGACAGCCTAGTCGTCCAACGTTACGTTACTGATGGTGAAGACGGCATTCTGGTCTCGAAATATGAGACGCTGCCTACAAAGACCGGCACCTATCATCAGGCTACCTTTAGATGGGTTAGACGAAGCTGTCTCAATGGCTGCACAGAGGCAATGCCGGTGTCTCAAGCGACCTATGTGTGTACGGGGAAGAGCTTGGTTGTCAGCTGCGTCCACCGAAAGTGGTAAATGTAACTTCCCTCGGACATGTCGAGTAGGCGTTTTGTGGTACCGGCTGAGTGGGAGGGTTTCCACTGTGGAAGCCCCGAAGCCCGCAGGGTATATGAAGTACATAAAGTCAGTTCTTTCCTACTCGACCAGTGAGACAAAGCAGACCAGCACTTCCTTTCCTATCTCTTTCCTGCGAACCAGTTCTCAGACGTGCCAAAAACATTCCCTAACCATGACGGGACTATCAACTTCCCCCGTCATTGACACGAGACCGGCTACTGTCCCCTACTTTATATTTATTGTTGTTTGTGTCGTCTTCCTCTATGCTGGCTACCGCAGGCTCCTTCCTAAGCCCATACCAGGTATTCCATACAATGAGTCGGCCACCCGGTCTCTCTTTGGAGATATACCTGAGATGATGAGCTATATGGCCAAAACCGAAGAGGTCTGGCCGTGGGTGGCAGACCAAATCACGAAGCACCAGTCGCCTGTTGTCCAAGTCTTTGCAAGGCCCTTTGCCCGACCTTGGGTCATCGTATCCGACCACCGTGAGAGCTCTGACATCCTCCTCCGGCGGACAAAGGAATTCGACCGATCGAATTTCACGGCCGATGTCTTTACAGGGCTGGTGCCAGACATGCATATCAGTATGAAATCCACCGAGGAGCAATTCAAACTCCATCGGAATCTTCTGAAAGATCTCATGACTCCTGCGTTCCTCCATGGGGTCGGTGGCCCTCAGATATACGCCAATACCGAAACTTTTATCAAGCTCTGGGACTTCAAGGCGGAGCTGGCGCAGGGGCATGCCTTTGAAGCTGGCCAGGACATTTACAACGTGGCGCTCGATGTCATCTTCGCAACAACATTCGGCCTGCGAATCAAGGACAGCAACACGTTCGCGCAATTGCAGCAACTTCTGGCCACCCAAAAGCTGGATCTGCCACCGGCCCCCAGTGAACCAGTTTCATTTCCCCAATTTCATCGTCCGGCGACTTTCGAGGCCATTGCAACGCTCACAGAATCTCTAGAGGTATCCATCAAGGCTCCTTTCCCTCGCTTCGCCCACTGGGTCATACGCCAACTGCCTTACATGCGGAAAGCGAGAGCCTACAAGGAGAAGCTCTTCTCCGACATGGTGAACGAGTCACTCAGCAGGCTATCGTCCGGGAACCAAGTCAAGAGGTCGGCGCTGGATGACATCTTACAGCGAGAGACGGCTGCCGCAAAGAAAGAAGATCGACAACCAGAGTACCATTCCCGGGCAATCTATGATGAGGTGAATATCTCCTGGCAGAACTCCCCAGCCACGAAATACAGAAATGCTTGAATGTAATACACTAACACATTTGCTAGCTGTTTGGATTCATCATTGGCGGTCACGACACGACGAGTACGACGCTGACATGGACCGTCAAATACCTGGCCGCAGCTCAATCTGCCCAAACCACTCTCCGCACTCGCCTCCGAGCGGCCTACGCAGCAGCGACGGCCGAACAGCGTAACCCGACTATGGAAGAGATCATCAAAATTCCGATCCCATACTTGGACGCCACCATCGAGGAGATGTCTCGGACAGCACAACTTTTCAACGGTTCCATTCGTACAACCACCGTGGACACGACCTTGCTTGGCCACACCATTCCCAAGGGCACGGACGTATTCCTGATGCAGAATGGGCCCGGCTACCTATCACCTCCTCTGCCGGTCGACGACTCGAAGCGAAGCGCATCCAGCTTGGCCGCTAAGAATCGAGTCGGCCAGTGGACCCCAGACGAAGACGACATGAAGACCTTCCGCCCCGAGCGCTGGCTGGTTCAAGATCTGGAAACGGGCAAAGAAGTCTTCGACGCCCAGGCGGGACCACATCTCGCGTTCGGACTCGGTCCTCGGGCGTGTTTCGGTCGCAGACTGGCGTATCTCCAGATGCGGATCATCGTGGTCATGATGATCTGGAACTTCGAGCTGAGAGAGACTCCACCCACAGTCAGCAGCTGGGCGGCCACGAACAAATTGGCTCGTCATCCTCGGATGTGCTACGTGAGTCTGGGGAAGGCGAAATTCTAGGTGTGATTCAGATGGAAAGGGCAGTGGTCATCACACAACCTTCATACGAAATCTGTCATAGCTAAAGCATATTTCACACGCTACGCAAAGTTCATATAACGGTATCTAACGCATCCATTCCACCTCACCCATTAATCTGTGCACACATGGCGTTTCAATAACGCAGCCTGCTCCATACCTCCCATCGCAAATCTCACAACTGCCGCCTGCAGAACCGTAGCCTGAGCGGTCTGTAGAAGAAGAATAATTCATTCCAGCATTCAGATACAACAACTACCGTTCATCACCAGAGGTAGGTTGCTTACGCCTTCTCACGCAGAGTATCCACCTTGCTTGCGGACAGGGCGATGCACCGCGTCGGGAACCCACAAAGGATGACTCAGAAGCTGGCACAAAATACGAGCATACGAAACAGGATTCTGTCCGCCCTGTAAGGCGGGAAGTTACCCGCCATGTACGGTGTATAGAGGCCCACTGTATACATATATGTACACGACCCGCCCGAATAGTCAGACTGGCCGAAAATGGCAACAACAATACGTCATCAGATGTATATACCGTATATCCCTTTATCACTTCCGAGATGCTGTTATCCTGTTTGTCAGCAAGTACTTTGCCTCCTGCAGGATCCCCACGGGCTGATGACAAGACGGTGGAGGAGACTTGTCAGGCAGCGGTGGTACCGGTCTTCTGCAGGGTTGAAATTTACCAAATCGAACGGGACCTTAGCCCCCAAGCTTACCGATGTGTAGGGCCAGTATAGTGAAAGAGGCAACTATTGCCCCAAAGAGCTCCTCAAGGGGGCCCGTTCAGTGCGTATTGTCCGGAAGATGATGATGAGCATGTGAGACGCAGAGAACTCCACCACCCTTCTCGGTCGAATTTCGCAACAATTATTTTTTGTTCTCGTCCCTGAAAACCCGAGCTTGAGCTGCGTCTTATGGCCGAGCCGAATATCACCGCTACAATCATCACCATTGCTGTGACCGGGGGCTTGAATGCCATCTTTGAATGGAGAAGTTGACCTTTCTATCGAAGGATTGGAGTGTCGTGCTTCATCCACGAGAGATTGTAGTCACCTTCCTTTGGAGGGTAGATTACTGAGAGATCAAGACGGAAGCTGACACAGCGCTCCCATCTTCTTCTTTCTTTGAGCCTTGCCTAGAAAGGGGGAGTTGAGAAGAGGAATTGTTGTATAGTGTTCCTTATGTTTGCCATTTCACAGGCGACCAGAATCACGATCTCCCAGAGTCACACAGGAGTCGAGCAACTGCGGCGCGCAGCTCTATGCAAAATACGGCCATAGCCGCACGTAAAGCACTGTGCAACCGCACACGTTCCGCCTAAGGGGGAATTCAACCCCATGTCATCATGTGAAATATAGGAGGATACTTCTGCCCATAGCTAACTACATGCCTTTAAAGGACCAGTTATTTGAACTTGGGACTGGAAAGCTCTGCTGAGCGACTCCCAGGGGCTGCACGCCACTTGCTACTGGGAAGGATTTAGAATGAACAACAGGAAACCAAAGCACCTCTTGCACAGTGTGAGGCAGCTGTGGTGACAGAGGCACCGAGTTGTATATACAACGTGAGGCGTCGCTTTCAGGTGATCGATCTGCGAGAAATTAGGAGTCTACAGCATGATTGACGGTTTAGCTTCTGTGGGAGGGAGACGCTCGACACTCTTTGGCAAGCCTCTTTCCTTGTCATTACTTCGTACTCAGGCAGGGAGGGAAATAAAAGGGGGTTTGCAGTCCCGTCGATCTTGTGGGCGAATTGTAAACGAGCGCCAATGATTCGCAGGCGAGTCCAGACAGGGGGTTGGGCCGAAAACCCCTGCAATTCGAGATGCGTAACGCGACCGCGAGACACACAGCTGTGCAGCAGACGGCGAGGTGAAACCGCGGAATCCTTCCCAGACACTGTATGTATTTCAATGTGAATAAAATGCGTCATTAAAAGTCACAGCTCGAAACAGGGTGTTTTGCATCATGATGCAGCTCCAAAAATTTGCGCAATTCTATACAAATTTTCTCATACAAACCCACTTCCTTGGGTCCGAAACGCCGGCGCTGGGTGTTTGTTCTAATGATCGTCACGTTTTACGTGCATAGGTCATTTCGCTGCCGCACTACCAGGACCGATGTGATTCCCCTGTGGTTCCTCGTTCACAGGCAGCTCTGCAATGATCTGTGGCTTGGGCGACGTCTCTGACCGGGAGCTATCGTCCACTTCAAACATTGGTGTCGAGGCCGCCTCGAGAGGCGGCTTGGAGTCGGATTCGCTGTCGGTCACGGCAGCGAACTCGGCCCGGGCCTTCCGTTTTCGTCGGATTGCCACCCAGTACCACAGCCCCAGGATCACTGCGAGTAGTGCCACGCCTCCAATGACGCCGCCGGCTATTGCGCCGCCATGGCCTTTCCTCGCCCCTGATAATGATGAGGTGGCCGTGGGGGAGTCGCCGCCGCCGCTGCCGCTGCCGCCGCCGCCAGAAGAGTCTGAGGAGCTGCCGGAGCCGCTTGAGGAAGTAGAACTGTTGGTTGAGGAGTTTGCGGGCGGTGTGAATGCTAGAGAAATAGCGGTCAGAAAGACTCCAAAAGATTCAACAACAATACCCAAAGGGTAAACAAGACGTACCGAAGATCGTGGCTAATGTCGGATCGCTCCACGTTGGCTCTTCGTAGCTGTCGGAGTAATACTGCTTGACCACATCGGGGGACTCGTAGGCCGCTGCAGCTGCATCGTAATGATCTGCCCATTCAAAGTCCGTCATATCAAAAACCCCCAGCCCGCTTGTCCAGGGGTCCTGTTCGGCACCCAGTGCTTTCAAAGAACTAGGAAGCCTGCCGCCTATCGACACCATCTGTCTGTTGCCGATGACAGTGCAGGCATGGCAAGCTCGGCGGACGGGGGTCGTCGAGTTGGATTTGAACCACCGAAATGCGGGGAGAGAGAGTGCGTAGACGTTGAGATAGCCTTCGTCGGAAGCGTTATTCAGATCATATGTTGAGTTTGTTGAGCCACCGTAAACAAACCTAAGGGGATACTGTTAGTTAACCCAAACCCAAGTGCTGCATCTTGCCGGGGTGGTTCTTACACTTCGAACCTCTTCCCACCCCTGGATGGTGCCCCGACAGCGCAAAATTCAGATCTGGGAGGTGGAATGTCGCCGGTTGCTGTTTGTGTATACCAAATCCCCGTTTCAATGTCATAAAGAGTGATGGTTGACATATCAACCATACTTGCCCCGGCCTCGTAGACAGACGCTTCCGTCGGAGGGGCCTCCCCACCGACCATCACCAGAAATCCCTCTCCCCCGAAATTCGAAGTGTATATCATGCGAGCCTGCGTCCGATATTTGCTTTGATTGGGGAGAATGGCGGTGGAATTAGTCCACGATTGCGCCACGAAGTCTCGCGTGACGAGGCCGGACAGAACAGTCATGTGGGGGAGCGAGCTCACAACGTTCCCACCGAAGTTGTAATACGTGGTGTTGGTGAAGGCATTTGCCGACGCGAATGGGCCTGGCGACGTCGTGGCAAGGCCGTCGGTGGAAGGTGCCGTCTCATTCTTCCACGTAACGGCAGATGTTCCTGCGGTGAAAGACCACAGCAACGAGGGGAAGTCAGCTTCTTCATACGGCCATCCCCCATATCGGCTGATTTTGTTCCGCGTCTTGTCATAGAAGAGCATCGGTTGTCGGACGTAGATCATTCCATCCGGGTCAGTTGTCGAAGTAACCGCGCTGACTGTCTGGTTCGTCCAGGACTGTGAGAGGTCGACCACAAGTGTATCGGTCTCTGAACGGGTGTCAGAAGAAGACTCTCGATTATGCGGGGTCCTCTCCATCTCTTACGGTAGTACATCGTCACCACATTGTCGGCCGGCTCGTAAAATTCGCCTCCCGTGATATACAAGTAATTATCATCGGCCACCGCTAAACAGAACGATCAGCAACAAGCACGGTTGTCCGTTGCATAGAGACAGGGAGGGCCATACAAGCAAGCCAGAACCATTCTAGAATAGTGTCGCGGATGAGGAGCGCTTGCGCTGCATGAACGGCGGCGAGGCCGAGCGCAACCATTGCGCACAGCATGATGTCGACGCCGACCCTCAATATAGCAGCAGCGGTGACAACGACGACGACTGAACAATGATGCGGAGGACAACACCACAGAAAAGTTCAGGCGCAGGCGCCCGTTTTGATCTCTGAAACACGGAGTGCCCCATATTTGCATAGCCAGCCATGCCAGCCCAACCCATGCCTGGGGCCGCTGTGTGCCAACAGCGCTTAGTTTTTGGTATTGTTTTCAGTCCCCAGTCAGGGCGAAATTGGCCTTGGCCCGGCCCTGCTGCTGTTCGTTAATATGAATATCCATTCTAGCCCAAGAAACCCACTTGATATCATACCAACTGATGGCGGAGATGGTGAGGACGCTGATAATATTCTGTGCGAACGTAGGTAAGTCGAGCCGTTCAACAAGCTTCCTACCACCGTCCAGGACCATAGTCTACCAGGTCTAGACTGAGACTCGCATCATGCATCAATCAGTACCTGTACCATCAACAGTGGGATAGTTGGACGCCTAAAATCCGAGTCTTTCCAATGATACCGTGCATCTGCGACCCATACATGCTTGTTAGTGCGAAGCAGTGCCACAGTACAAGCTCAACAGCGCGTTGCGGGCGATCATTGGATGGCGACACGGCACATTCTGACGGGGGCGGAAACGGGTATTTCAAACGTCACCAAGAGATTTTCAGACTGCAAATCGCACAAATGTTATATCGGTTGACCTCTCCGACACCCGAAGCGGTGATCGATCGAATGCTTGTAATCGCCCACGCCATGTTGAGATCGTCAGGGAGCGACCCGCGTGGCTTTGGTGGCCTTACGGTAGTAGATGCGCAGTTAGAGTGAGCATACGAGTTCTCCAGAGCCGCCTCCGCTGCATTTTCTCGACGGACATATATATACTTTGGCGCCTATTCTGGCCAGTCTGTCCAATGTTTTTCATTACCAGAAGGCACTCACTGTATCCTCAGGCGGCGTTGATCAGGTCGCAAAACATTCTTCCTGTGCTGTGCAACCAGACAACTCGTTCCTGGCGGTCTCGATATGTACCGTTTCTCCGGTAGGCTCGCGGCTGCCGGAGCCTGGCGCCCTTTGTCCGCAGAATATGGAAGGACAATCCCCAGGATCTGTGAGGTTAATGTGAGAAGGCACGATCCGGGTGTCTGTGCAACAGCGATTGAGGGAGGAAAGCCCGCAATTCCTCCGGTTCGGTCGTGGTGGTATTGTTCATTCCGTGGGGAATTTTATGATCGTATGGACAGGAAAGTCAAGTGGTAAAGCGAAGAGCATGTCAAAAGATGAACTGCTTTTCCACCTGCAAGCGGCTCTCGCCTGTGGGCTAAATCTCGCTTTGCAGACGGTCCCAAAGGTGTCAGACCCTCTTGCTCTTGCCCGACTGTTTCAGTACTCCAAGGCTGGCAGGCTGCTGAAGCAAAGGATTGAGAATCCCGGGGGGCCGCCTCGGAGGATCTCATGAAGAGCGTTCTGATATTAATTGTCAATGCAGATGTTGAATCGTCGATGCCGGACTGTCACCCGCAATCGCCGTTGGCTACATCCCAATGTATGCATCTCTATGGAAGACTTACGCTAATGCCAAGTTATGCCACGGCCCTGGAGTAATTGGTCAAGGCTCGAGGAGGGATTTTCGCTTCTAAGCACTTCGCCCTACATTGGCTTCTTCTGTGAGCAGTCATACCTTTCAGAAAGAGAAGCTCCGCTCACCCTTGGCTCAGAGCCGACCTATCGCACGCATCGCGGACCGGCGATAGACTGCTTTATCCTCAGATTCGACCACACCACTCAATCGTGAGCAGCGGCAAATACGTTCTTGACGCCAAAGCAAAGTTCCTCTGCGAGAACCTCGGAAAGCGGGTTCCACGGCATTGATGATTCTCTGACCACTAGAGTTCGCAAAGCGGTAGAACAGGTTGTGGAAGTCACAGCAGCGCTGGACCACTATCATCGCCGGCAGAACAGCCAGCCACGTCTGGAAGACGTCGTGCTTTCTGCAGACGAGGCACAGGGCTTGTTCCTGAAACTCGAACCAAAGGATGGGTTCAATTTGGAGCAGAGAGTGCATAACTGCATTCGGTTGGGGTTATTAGTGAGTAGATGTTTCAGAACTTACCTTTCTCCGCCACTCCCTCATCACTGCGTTGAAAATTAGAGTCTCCCGAAGTTGTATCGTCCGACGCCCGGGTTATTACACGGAGGACTTCGATGTGGCAGTCGCTGACCTCGAATTACTAGATTTTCCGCAGTATGGTTCTATTTCCGATGCCGAGCTGCACTCAAAAAAAGCTACACAGAGCTCGAGAGTTGAGATAATTCTGTGAAGACTTTCAAGAGACAAAGACAGTAGTAGAAGAGTTCAAAGACCCTGTCTCGGACATCGTGCTGTGGGTGCTGGTCATGGGTGGAATTGCTGCCTCTTTCACGGAGCACCGGCCGTGGTTCCAAGACCGCTTAGAGACTCGAGTAAAGATAATGAGATCGGGCGCGAAGTTGAGCTCCGTAACTTGGGCGGAGTTCAAAAGGCACGTTTCCAAGTTTCTTTGGGGGGCTACTGTGGTCGACGAGCCTGCAATGAAGCTGTGGAATGAGATTACACATGAGCCATGCCTGGCAGATAATGAGACGAAGGGTCAGGAATTGCAAGCAGCTTAGAGGGAGATGTCAGAAACTGGCAACAAGATGAACAGAACTGCTGGCGGACCCAGGTTATGATCACAGACGAGGTAATAGTTTTATATGCTCGGCGAACTTAGCAAACTAAGCAAACTCAAAACACGGGCATGGAACAACCTTTCCGCCGAACGATCAGGCACGTCAAGCTGCGGAGACAAAATAGTGTGACTGAGTGAGGTCACTTACAATTTCTCCAGACTGCGCTGAAAAAGCACTGCGACGTGTCCCCAAGTAATGCATGAGCCTGAAGACTCTACTCCGTACTTATTTCATTATCATGGTGCTGATCTCTTCATGACCCTGGCCGGTGGACAAGTGTGCCTCCCTCCATTGACCTTGTCTATCACAAGCATGTCATCGCATCCTGTGCCCTAACTTCTTGAGCAGAGACACAGCATCTCGTTTGTTACACCGTCCTGCAAGTGATTCTCCATGCTGAAGACCGTCTCTCTCCTCAAGCGCTCTGCGTGCGCTGCACTGGGGCCGGGACCGCCGATTTTAATTGTCTCTAGAAGTTTCAACGCAGGCTGGCGGCATTCATCCACAGACCCCAGCCCAAAGAAAGACCAAGATGGCTCGTCTGCCTCGCAGGGAAATCCTCCACCCAAAAGCCCGTCGATGGAGGATCTCTTAGCGAACACCGACCCCGAAAACAATTCTCTCCTTGCCCCCGTTCACATAGCAGAAGATGCCAATGCTATCCTCAAGTCCGACCATCCCGCAGCCGACATCTTAACTCAGTCAGGCATAGTTGTTCAACGGCAACTGGAAATGATGAACGTTCTGATCGGCTTCGAGCAAGCTAATCGATATGTTATACTTGATCCACACGGGAATCACATCGGGTACATGGCCGAGCACGAGGGTGGTATAGGGTACACCATGAGGAGGCAATTCTTCAACACACATCGGGCGTTTACCACCCACGTCTTCAACCGTCAATCGAGGGAGGTGTTGAGGTTTCATCGCCCATTCTCGTGGATCAACACTCGCATCCGGGTCTATGACCCCTGGGATGCCCCTTCCGAGATTCAAAGATCTTCTTCCACGATGCTAACCCCACGAAGCAATGCCGATTCGATAGACCAGCCACAAATATCTCCTCTTCCACTGGAGTCAATGCGTATAATTGGTGAAACACATTCACAATGGGCACCACTACGCCGCAAATATGATCTTTTTCTTTCCCACGACCTCGCTTTGAATGAACCTGGTCCCGGTGAAATCTCAAAGAGGAGAGGCGAGGCCCTCTCGAATCTGCAGCAGAATCAGATCGCAGCGAATAATAGGTCTGGTTCGACCACAGACTTCACTCAATTCGCCGCTGTCAATGAGCCCTTCTTATCTTGGGATTTTTCGCTGCTGGATCAAAACAACCGGAAGATCGGATCGGTCAATCGCGAATTCCGCGGATTTGGGCGAGAGATCTTCACGGATACTGGAAGCTACGTTCTACGAATGGACGCAGCTGGAATGGAAGATCCAGCAGACAAGCAAGGCGATCGTGGCTACGCCGAAGCGTTGGGAGGAAGAGAAGGCAACTACGGGATGACGCTTGATCAAAGAGCCGTGATGCTCGCCACGGCCGTGACGATCGATTATGACTACTTCTCTCGTCATAGTGGTGGACATGGTTTCTTCCCAATCTGGCTTGGAGGCGGTGGTGGAGAGGCGGCCGGTGGCGCAGCTGGAGCTGGAGCAGCCGGGGCCGGTGAGGCAGGGGCCGTTGGAGCAGCTGGTGCCGCTGAGGCCGGTGGTGCTGTTGTCGGAGGAGCTGGCCGAGCAGTTGGATCGGCTGCAGGAGGAGCAGCAGGGATGGGTGAGGGCGCTATTGCGGGTGCCGGAACCATGGCAGGTTACGAAGCAATGCAAAGGGGAATGGGACGAAGGTCCGAGGCAGCAGGTGGTGATGAGGATTCTCCGCAGCGACCGCCTCCAGAACAACCTTTTAACCAACAGAACGATCCTCAGTCTCCACAAAGCGGTTTCGGCGAGTCACATCAAGGTGAAGATATCTGGGGTTCAGAAGACACAGATCCTTTCAAAGACGCAGCTCAAGGAGGAGGGTCTGGAGCAGGGGAAGGCGGAGGTGGCGGTTGGTTCGCGGACCTGTGGGATTCTTTCTGGGGCAATTGAAGATTTGAAATATGAGCCGGCAGGCAATCTATGTCTTGAGGGTGGACGGATACGGGAAAGAGAAAAGGCATTCAGGTACGTGTTGACGGATACAGATCACCTGTTTTATAAGACTGCAGGATGTGCTTGGGCTCGATTGTATATCGAGCAGCACCGGACGGCATACTCGGCTCATTCAATATACTGTTATCAACAAACCTTATACCCGGAGTGCTCAAACATGGGCAACGGGGCAGTATCACGTGCGACATGCCCCTGCGAAAAGCTCCAGGGCTTCCAAGGCCGACATGCTTTGTGGCACAAGTGGCACTATACAGCGATCTGCGCTTAGTTCGAGGTGGTGCTACAGTGACCAAGCGTGGGCGCGTTTTTTTCAGCCAGTACTGCCCCAACGTCGCTTTTTTCCATTGCTGTTACGCAACTTGGACCCATGTGCAGGGCAAAAACTCCGCCTTTCTTATCTTTTTCCAGGCTCCAAGAGTTCTTGGTATTTTCTTAGGTCTCATCACTGAGGATTCGACGAACGAACCAAGACACCAAATCCCCGCAGATCCTCTTGGTGTGGTCCAATCACATACGCAATTGAAGCGGAATTGCGCCCATGGAGCCGATATTCGACCAGCGAATATACTTGGCACAGCCTGATCCCTGGTCATCAAGATAATGTGACATTGTGCAAGCCTGCGTCTCGGCAACTTCTGATCGATCAGGGATCTGCTGTTCAGACGGCCAGGATCGCAACAGAGGCCAGGCGAGGTCGCGCGTCGAAATGATAAGTATCGAGTCTTCTTTCGTGATTCAATCACCACCTCTGGCTATTTGCTGCCTTCTGCGAAGCTGGAGAGCAGTTAGGTCAACTTAACCCGTCGTGTTTCTTGCCTTCATCCCATCTTCGTTTGATTGCTCCATACAATGGACCTCCACAACAGGTATTCTTCCTCATCCCCAGACGCGGATGTTGCAGAGAAACAGACGAGAGAGGAAACACTTTCTCCCATAGAGAGCCAACGAGGTATTGACGGCGTCGAGAATGAACGGAGTACTCGACTTCACCGGGGCCTGAAGGCTCGCCACATAACCATGATCGCCATAGGGGGTGCTATAGGTTGTTCACGCCGAGGCAACAGGCAAAACAAATTGATCTTCTGACCTTTTGACGATAGGTACCGGGCTGATCATTGGGACCGGCAAAGCCCTGGCCCAAGCAGGCCCCGGCTCTATATTCATCTCTTACACCATTGTCGGATTCCTCGTATACCTCGTCATGTGTGCGTTGGGAGAAATGGCAGCTTGGTTGCCGCTTTCGTCTGGATTCACCGGTTACGCCGCCCGATTCTGTGATCCTGCCCTAGGGTTTGCTCTCGGCTACACGTGGGTCTCGCCATCCCTGCGTCCGCTGTCGAAAGGCTGACATGTCCAGGTATTGGTTCAAATATATCATAGTCACGCCAAATCAGTTGACTGCTGCGGCCTTGATCATCCAATATTGGGTGGATCGAGACCGCGTCAATCCGGGGGTATTCATTGCCGTCTTCTGGGTTGCGATCGTCTGCATCAACTACTTCGGCATTCGGTTCTTCGGCGAGTTCGAATTCTGGCTCTCGACCATCAAGGTCGTCATCATCGTCGGCGTCATCATCTTATCCCTCGCCCTCGCCCTAGGCGGTGGCCCTGACCACGACCGCAAAGGGTTTCGGTACTGGAAGGACCCTGGCGCGTTTGCAGAGTACATTGACGACGGCGCCACGGGACGGTTCCTGGCCTTCTGGTCGACCATGGTGACGGCCACGTTCGCGTACTTGGGGACGGAACTGGTGGGCGTGACGGTCGGCGAGGCGCAGAATCCCCGTAAAACCATCCCCCGCGCCATCAAGCTGACTTTCTATCGCATCCTGTTCTTCTACTGCCTCAGCGTGCTGCTGCTGGGGATGCTCGTACCTTACGACAGCGAGGAGCTGGCGTTCGCCAATAAAGCGTCGTCCTCGGCGTCGGCGTCCCCCTTCGTCGTGGCCATCAAGCTTGCTGGCATCAACGCCCTCCCGGGCATCCTCAACGGGTGCATCCTGCTGTTCGTGTTCTCAGCGTCCAACTCAGACCTGTACATCGCGTCGCGCACGCTGTATGGGCTGGCCAGCGAGGGCCACGCGCCGCGCGTGTTCCGGCGCACCGACGGGCGCGGCGTACCAGTGTACGCGCTGGGCCTGTCGGCGGCGTTCGCGCTGCTGGCCTTCATGAACGTGGCCGACGATTCCAAGACCGTGTTCAGCTACTTCGTCAACCTGGTGACCATCTTCGGCCTGCTGACCTGGATCTCGATCTTGGTCGCGCACATCTGCTTCGTGCGCGCCCGCCGCGCCCAGGCCGTCCCGGACACCGCACTGGCCTACACCGCGCCGCTGGGCGTGGCGGGCTCCTACGGCGCCCTGGCCATGTGCATCCTCATCGCCCTGACCAAGAACTTCTCCGTCTTCGTCGGGCACTTCGACTACAAGAACTTCATCACCGGATACCTCGGCATCCCGCTCTACCTCGCCATGATCGCCGGCTATAAATGGTGGACGCGCCGCCCCCGCGTGCTGCCCGCTCACGCCGACCTGTGGACCGGCAAGGACGCCATCGACCGCGAGGAAGAGGAGTTCTTGGCAGAAAAGGCCAGGAAGGACGCCGTGAACAAGGGCCGTCGTGGCTGGTTCTATCGGACTTTCGTCTCGTGGTTGTTCTAAGGGGTCTGCTGTCGACATTTTGTCAATACAGACCTCTGCTCAAGTCCGTTTCGAGTCTTGACTTCATTCCTCCCGAGAAGGCTAAGGGGTCGATGCATTTATATCCGTCTATAGTTCCTCCCACGATTCCTTTCTATCGTCCATTCCCCATGCTCGCTGTATGGCTCGGGTGTAAATATACCATATCCAAAACTGAAATACCAAGATATACATTCCTCGTGACGCCCTTGTCCGATCACGACTGTAACTCATCCAAAAGCCGAACAGACTCGCGCCAATGCCAAGTAGCCCTGGAAACAACTTCGTCCCTGTCCTGATCAATAGTTATGAGCATGCCTCCCGCGAAATATTTCTTGACTTCCTGCTTTCGCAATAATTCGCCTGCCCCTTGGAGGAGATCAGAACCAGAGACTGAGAAACAGGACCGGATCTTTACATTATAGAAGAAGATGATTCTTCGCTGCTGCTGGGGTTGCGATTCAGGTTCTGGATCCTCGCCACAGCGTTGAATCCGCCATTGCTTTTCGGCATTGCGCTGTGTCCGGTACTCTTTTAGCACTGCATTGATGATCTCGTATATGGCATTGCGAACCACTCTCGAGTACGGCTTATCGACAAACTGAACGAGGACCATCGTCACCTTATTCACGGACTGGACATCCTGTAGCGAAAGCGTGGAAGCAGACATAATGGTCAGAATGATATCGTCCAAGCTGCGAGGTGGCTTGGCCAGGGATTGGTTGTCTGGATGAGTTGCGGAACCTCTTTTTCCCACGTGCTTTCGGACGGTTCTTCCATTTTCCACTTCATGGTGATCAACAAAATCAGCTAGAGTGGCACCGTGCTTCTCTAACTCACGAACTGCACGGACGTTCTTCAATTCACTAAGAGGTTGTCGTTCGGTAGAGTTGGAACAATTCTGGTCTGTCACTTCCATTGGCGATCGAAATACAGCTGGCGGCTCATAGGGATGAACAGAACCGGTCTCGCTTCGAAGGCAGTACCTCAAAGGAATAAGAAGTCTGTTTGTAGTATCCTTCCGCGGTCGCTTGGCGGTCGCTGTTGGCAGGTCGGAATCCTCATATTTACGCTTAGTACTCAATTGAAGACCAGAGGCATGGTGAATTGCCATTGACAGTGCTATGGATCGATTCGCCACCAATTGAAGAGGAGACGATTGAATGGTACTGGCAACCTTTGGATTCAGGTGCTCACCATACTTGCCAGTACCGCCTCGATTGCCTGGAGATGATTGAGCTGGGTATATGTTTTCAGGCTCGGTTCGGCTTGCTGCTAAAGGAGACGACATACGTAAGCTCATGCTGGGGGTCGGCTCGCGAGAGGGACTTGGTGTACCTCCGACATGGAGGTCAGTACACTGGTGGCGGTTTCCGTCGGCTTTGATCAAACGCTCGATCCAATCGACTTCTTCCTGCTCCTCAGGCACTGCAGGAGTGAGGCTCTCCTTTGCCATCTCCTGCAGCTCCTCAAAGCTATGAGTCTCGGTTAGAGGACGACCAAATTGAAGCCTGACATCGCGAGGAAACCGCAGAGTGTAATAAGCAACGTCCGAAGGCTTGGTAAAGGCTGCACCGGTGACTTCGACAACAAATGGCTTCGTAAATAGAACGGTGGGAGGCTGACGCCGAATAGCCGGCTGGTCGATTTTGACATTCATCTGCTCGGTCAACTCAGAAATGGGCAAGTAGAAGGCCAAGCCTCGTTGATTCAGTTCTCGGAATGTGTCTTCGGACATGGTCTGACGAGTCAGAATGTCCAGGATCAGAAATTGTGGCTCGGTTCCGAATGTTTGAACGGCTTCCTTATTCCTGAGACAGGCGACATGGAACGACGTCCAATTTGGAGACCCGCCGTACTTCTCTGCTTCCGCCGCGTCTCTGCGGCCGCCAACAATGCAAAGATCAGCCGCATCTCCTAGTCCCTTGATATAGTCCTTCTTAAGCTTTATCGCACTGGTGTGACAGCTGGTGGAGAAATAGGGATCGGTGCGGCCTTTCAACACGAATCCTTCCCATCTTTGTTCAATGGCATAGCCGAAGAATCTTTGGAGTTCCTCTTTAGCACTTGCCGTACCGAACCTGATCTCCTGGCGGTCACCAAGCTCAGCGACGCCTTCAGTGACGCTGACAATCCGTTCCAGTCGCTGTCTTCGTTTATGATGAGGCTCATCGACCAAGTTGTGATTGTCATGCCACAGGCAGTCATAGAATATGACCATCAATTGTTCGTCAGACGATCTTGGTGAATCGGCAGCTGCACCTATAGCTCTGCCATAATATGTGATATATTTTCGGATCTTCTCGAATGGTAAGATGGCTTTTCGCGAACGGCTCCAAACCAACATTTCGCCTTCAATTATGCAGTTCTGAGTGATAGCACAGTCTGGTTCACTCAGACGCAGACCAGCCTCGAGTGCTCCGTGAAGCCGGACCCATGGTTTGGTTGAGTCTTTACCACGTTTGGAGAAGAGCTGTATACAATCTCTGCCTTTTGACTTGTCGATATGGACCTGGCAGTACCAACCGTCATACTTTCGCTCGACGCTCATGGTTCTTGTATCCGCCATCTGACAGCAGTGCCTAATACTTCGTGCCTTGAAATACTCTTGCCGCTTGATCATTACACCAAGCTTGGGTGTCAAGTGCCGGGCACATTCTTGTCGATATCCTCGTTGCAGAGCAGCTGGTGGATGGTGAGGAATGGAGATCAACTCGGGTTTCTCTAGGACTTTGATCGCTTCTTCAAGAGAATTCTGAAAGGGGAGGACATCGGGCAGCAAGAAATGGAAACATCCCAGCACCAGGTGTTCTGGAATCTGGACGGGATCATAGGATTTCAGGATCATCCGCACAAGCCATTTGGCTTCCCCGCTGTGCAGCCGCGACAGAATGGGACGGAGTAGGGCCTCGGACCTAACTCCATTCCTATGCCTTTTCATCTCGCCGGAAGCGAACCTGGAATTTGCAGCAAGTTGCCACAAAACATCATGAATCTCTTCCAGTGTCACCTCTCGGTGGCTAGCTGGTGAATCATTCTCCGCCAGGGCCATGACATGTTTCTCAAGGCAGGTTGCAAGGTCGAGACCTGTCGCCTCCCACGCATGTAATTGGCGGCCACGGGTCGTGTTCTCAATGAACAGTGCCTTGCACAATACACCGGCCAACGATTTTTCCTGCAGACCATAAACCAGGTGTGGCACTCGATCCAGGAGCAAGCAGCACAGGAATGCCACAGCGGAGGGTCCATGTCGGAGAATTTCGGAGTCATAGCCCCTGAACCATTGGATGACGAGTTCGTGCACGCTCCTAGCGGGACATGTTGACGAAGACTGTGCTTGTTTGCGGGCTGTATCGAGTTCTTTGAGAAGTTGGACAAGATGCTTAAATTTGAATGGCATTGAGGCTGGTTCCCTCGCCACATATCGGACGGAGAAGAGCTGCGGGCGGTTGGTTGCGTGGTACGGAAGCAAGTGTGCAAGGAGGATGCTTGAGGACGCGACGACGCGACGACGCGACGACGCGACTTTGAAGAACATGCGCTAATGACGCGATTCCACGTGACCGGCTACTATTTTCTCCCAGACCGAGACACTTTCGGCTTCCTTCATTCTTTCTTCTCCACGCATAGGCCGGACATCAATTGTATATATATTGATATAATGGCTGACCATCGTGCTGGCTGTCGCATATCGTGGGCTGGAAGCATTATATTCATCTTGTCGTGCCCATGTCAGCCTCCTCAACTGTTCTCGTGTTTGCTTCACCTAGACGAGCAAGCCAGTGTTACAGGTAAGAAATCACGATTGCCGCTTGACAAAGAGCTAGCTTGAAAGGTAAAGCAAGCAGTGGATGCCCGCAGGAATATTTGCCCATTTTGCTCTTCGAAGGCTCGCACACCAGGAGCGTGATATTTTATCAAGTTCCCTTTCGTGGCCTAGAAGTGCCTCTTCAACAGCAGTCAATCACCTAAGAAGAAGGTGAGGAAAGCTAGCCGCATCCACAAGATGCCTTAAATGTGAACCAAGCGTCAGCATACTCTCTCGAAGTCAGGACAGGATTTTGGATCAGGTATACAACCCGCTTCTTGATCCTTTCGTTGTTCAACCCGGACGCTCTCTACACCTTCGCTGTCAGACGTTCCGAAAGCACAGCTTCATCTTTCAACAAGCTTTCAACGTCGCTGCAGACCCTGTAGGTGAGAACTTATTGTGTCCAATCAGCATGTTTAGCTCTCCACAGGGACTGTGCAGGCATTCGGAGCACAATGACCCGTGAAATGGCCGATCCACTAACTCTCATCCTTTACCGAGCGCGCTGATACGCACCCTCACAGGAATTGACACGTAGATTTAGAAGCCCTACGATGTATTTCCGAGAGAATGGTTGATCACCATATCGTGTTGGACCCCCGCACGCTGATGCAAGGACAACTCATGGAGAGCGGGGGTTTATCATCCATGTCACGATAAAGACAAAAGGCGAGGTAGGTCGGATGTGGGAAGTTTTGGTGCATTCTGTAGTATACCAGTCCTCTCCATAAGGCGCCTTACCCACCAGTTTTCAGCATATCAAATACCATTGACAGCAACATGTCGTCTTTCAACGCCCTACGCTTTCATGGCCGTTCAGATATTCGTCTCGAACAGATTCCCTCTCCCCCGTGTGGCCCAGACGAGATTCGTATCCGCCCCGGCTTCTGTGGAATATGTGGCACTGATCTGAAAGAATTCACCTCTGGCCCCATCATGTGTCCGCAACCTGGCTCATCACACCAACAGACTGGTGCTCAACTGCCCGTCATCCTCGGGCATGAATTCTCGGGCACAGTGGTGGAACTCGGCTCCAGCGTCTCCAACGTCAAGGTGGGCGATCGCGTTGCTGTGATGCCTAACCTGGGAGATGCACAGTTCGGGCTAGCCAAGTGTGCGATGTGCGAAATTGGCAAGATCAATCTGTGCACCAAGACTGCCTACTACGGCCTCGATGCTTTGAGTGGCGGTTTCTCCGAAGAAGCAGTCGTCAAGGCCGCCAATGTATTCACACTACCTGATTCAGTGCCTCTGGATGTCGGTGCACTGGTTGAGCCTTTATCCGTGGCATGGCACATGATCCGTGTCTCGGGATTCCAGGCAGGGCAAGACGCCTTGGTCCAAGGTGCCGGTCCCATCGGACTGGGTCTCCTGCTCGTCCTCAAGGTCGTCGGTGCCCGACACGTGGTGGTCAGCGAAGTGCTCGAGAAGCGCAGACTCCGCGCTCAAGAATTCGGCTCAGATGCCGTCGTCGATCCCACGTCTTCAGGTTCTGGCGACAAGAACCCCGTGGTTGCAGCCTGTCGTGAGCTGACACCGGGAAATCTGGGCGTGCACGTCGCGTTCGACGCCTCGGGCCTGCAATCGACCCTGGACACGGCCATCGCGGCGACCCGGCCCGGCGGGACGATGTTCAACGTGGCGATCCACAGCAAACCGCTCCAGATCAACCCGAACGACCTCGTGATCCTCGAGAAGAAATACATGGGCGGCATCGGCTACACGGGCGACGATTTCCGATCCGTGATCTCGGCGCTGGACAAGAACACGGACTTTGCGGGCAAGGCTGCGAAGATGATCTCGGGGATCGTGCCGCTGGAGGACGCGGTCGACAAGGCGTTCAAAGCGCTCTTGGAGAAGAAGGAGGACCATGTCAAGATTCTGGTCCGGGGAAGTCAGAGCGAGAGCTAAATGCCGAGCCAGCCTTTTGCTGCAACGGGGTTCCAAAAGAGAGTAAATCGTTGAGGAGGAGAGAGGAATTCACAGATTGGAAATGAGGGAAATAGAGGTAGAATGCGACTTGAGTGCAGAATCAACTCGGTCGACGGTCCCTAGGGCTGGAGAAACTCGTGGAGATCCCTACAACTCAATGCCATTAGGCCTTGCCTTTGAGGCTGAATTGTCATGGACCTGTGATACCAAAGACCTATATAGCCAGCCAGTCTTTACTGTACGTTGGTCGGTACCAAATCTAAATTCCTATCTACTTCCAAATCAACAATATCACCAACGAACAGAAAGGGAAACAACTAAGAGTATCATTAAGATTATGACTACAGCACCGTGTCTGAGCAGCTAGCTAGCTACATGGGATATAGCAGCACAACAGACTGGCTTTCCTCAAATCTCAAGGCCCGGCCCTCAATCAACGTTGAAGCCCCTCCAGCACAATTCAACCCCGTCCCCGTAGCCAAGTAACGTAGATGTAGCGGTCGAGGGGCCGACACCATCGAATGAATCGAAAGTAGAAGAAATCAATTGAAATAACAGTGCGCGCCAAAGGCTCTTCCCGTCCGTCATTCTGGGGTATCATCAAGAGGGAACAAGAATAATAAGGAGAGGAGGAGGAAAGAAAAGGTAAACGGGGGAACATCGCCCAGGTCCATAGCGTGAAGGGAAAAAGGGAAGAGAACCGTTCAATGGCATAAAGGAAAAGTGTTTGCGGAGAAGCATGTTTGCGGAGAAGCAAATAGTCCATGCCCGTCGTACCCAGGACCACAATCACAAGCATTTCAACACCCCTGGAACATTGCTCAGGCGAATAATCGGTCTCAGTCCTTCAAAAAAGCAGGGTAAGTCCCGTCCGCCACGTCCTGTGCGTTTATGGACTCCGTACCGTGGAGCTTCCGAGGCGCAGGCCCAGCCCGATTTCCTTCCTGGTGTGATACGGAAGTTGGAAGGTATCAATGTCTCGCCGCCCGCGTGCGTGGTACTGAGTTGGAGCCACATTATTCACGTACGGGTCGTCGTCGTCGCCTGGACCAACGCTGTCCTTGTAGTGGTTCCACCGTCCGCTGCTGACGGCGCGTTCCAGTTGCTGCACTAGATGCGAGTTTTCCGCGTCGGCCCCTATAAAAGGCGCGCCGTGCGGCGGGAAGAGGTACTGCCCATGCCCTACTCCGCCTCCTTGTCGTGTATCAAAGAAATCCTCGCCATCACCCCGGGCGGCTTGGAATGTCGAGGCTGAGGGGTACCGTTGCTGGTTGTGGTCTGTCCGTGACCGCAAAGCCAGTGGCGCCACGTGGACTTCAGGCTCCGGGCTGTCACCGCGCACACTGACATCTTCCCAGATCGAGCCGCCGCCGATAGACATCACGGACGGTGACACGCACATGACTGGTGGTGGCAGGTCGAGGTCGCTATGCAACGAGGTCCGTGCTGCCGCCCTGCTTTGGGGTGGCTTGTTCATATTCGAGCCCGACCGTGCCAACGGGCTCGAGCCGCGACTGGCCGGCTGCCTTTCCAATGACCCAGGCCGAGGCGCGCTCATGGACGATGGTGTACAGCTTGCGCTTCGGAGACCCATGACACGCTTATTCACTAGCGGAGACAGCCGTGTGACGATGTCAGGGCTGTCATTTCCCGCCGCGCCGTGGTTAGAGATCTTGGTGTTCCGCTGGTCAAGGAGGCACCCCTCTGAGTCCATGCTTCGCAGCATCATGACTGATTTACGAAGAGCGACCTCTCCCGGCGAGCTGGAGTCCCGAGCCTTCGTGACGCGGTAGCTTGGACCAGTTTTGTTTTGCAGTGGACTTACGGAAGCCGCGTGGCTGCCTTGACTCAGATTCCGCGGGCCGCGTGGGCCTTTCACGAGCGACTTGCGAGGAAACAGAGACGCTGAGTCCAGAGCAGGAGAAGGTAACGTGGGTGATTCGAAGGGAAACCGACCTGATGCCTGCGACGATGGTGGCGTATCCCCCAAAAGAACGTCGGCTCTTGAGCTTAGCGAGAGTGGCCACTGGCGCGGTGTTGTGTTGCAACGCTTCGACATTAGTATGGCCATGTCGCTGGGACTTAAAACCTCCGAATCTGGTCTGGGTGTGCCTGACGTTGCACTGTCGGGACGTTGTATGTACTGTTTCCGCGAGCGGCGAGGTGTGGGTGTCAGGATTGGTGCATTACGAAAAGGAGACGGTACTGGCGTCGTAGATGATTTGGTGGACAACTCTGATTGCACTGGTTTGAACGTTGGTTGCGGTTGCTTGATCTCAAGCGCCTGGAACGACTCATCCATGTCGAGCGTAGTGGCACAAGTTAATTGATTCTGCTCCTCTCTAAGATCTGGCAGCCGCATGGCGCCTTGTGGCCTCGGATCCGGACAAGCCAGATTGGTTATCCGGACGCAATTCTGCCGTTTGTGTCCTCGCTTCGGCCCATCCAAGGCAGATAGCGAATGTCGCTTTGTTGCAAAGCTACCTTGTCGGTCCCATTTCAAGGGATTGCCAGTGGCTACTGAATTGGGTCTCTTCGGAATCTCCGGTACAGTAAGGATGTCTTCGTCGGGAATAAGCAGGCTTGTCGCGGAGTCACTGGCGGCTCGGTAGCTAGCGCTTCTTGATTGTTCGATCATTGAATGTCGATTTTGTTGGTTCGGCGGATGCCTTGTTTTACCGATTCTGAGCGGTGGTAAATCCCAGTCACTCGCATCGATGACTTTGTACGACTCCTCTTGGACAATGATTGTTGGAAATGGTGGTGCAGTCGAGACTTTGATCGTACTCCCTGGGCTTAGATCGTCCGTGTCGACAGTTGGATGAAGAGATCGAATGCTCGGCTGGCCCGTACAAAGACCATGTATTGTTTGCTTGGCTGGAGGCGCTTGAAGCCTCGGAGTCAAGAACTCCTGGTCACGCCGTAGTCTGAGAGTAGTACATTGTCGGTTCAATTCGAGTTTGGAAGCGCCAAGGTCTGTGCCCAAGATCGAGCTGCCAACCGTGTCCAAACTGGTAGTCGAGGCTCTTGCCCTGAATTGCCTAGGAACCTGAATTGTCGGCAAAGGCGGTAATGGCTCGTCGGGGGCCAAAGAAGCCACGCTTGTCAAGCTGACTGAGCGAGGAACTGCTGCAGATTGTGGAGCTGCAGCTTGACTGTGTTTTGGACCCCCCTTCCTCATGAGGACGCTTTCTCGTACTGCTATTGACATGACTTCGGTGGGAATGATATCAGAGTTTCTCGTGCTTGCATCGCTCAAAGGCCATTGAGTGGTAGTATGGTTTCCTGGGTGGGAAACTGGCTTTTCATGTGTGGCGACCGTCACGGGCTCCGCTGGAAATTCGGGCGTGACCGGTGAGCCACCTGTCGAAGGATCACTGAACTCGGTGATCGCAGAGAGAGGGGATTTTTGCATCCGCTCCAAAGGCACAGCCTTCCTTAGCTTGCCATGGCGGCGCGTCTTTGGAATATAGAGTGGGTGGCCAGAAAAAGGCCGGCGTATGCCCCTTTTGCTCCTCGGTCGCAGCACGTCGATATAGTCGTCGGGCTGATAGACTGCGGTGTTTAACTGCTTCTCCTCGTCCTCCCCAACACTATCAGCCCCAATGGATATGACTCCGAAGGGAAGTTGCACACTTCGTCTTAAAGGGGTAGTTGGATGTGCAACGTGAGAGTAGTTTTGTTCGCAAGCACTGAGCTTTGGGCGGTGATATTTGCTGAGACCCCGTGTCAGACCATGGGCTCTCATGATATGGCGATGTCGGCGTCGCTCCAGGGTGATTGCAAGCAAGATCCCTGTACAGGTGAGTATTGCCGCGCCCACCACCGCAACCACAATGATTAGCCATACGGGCCACATCTTTCGCGTTTCGTCGTCGATTTCTCACCCACCTGACAGCAGTCCGAAACATGGTGGAGAAGTCGAGTTGCGCGGGTGCTGTTTGCTCAAGGGGCGTCGACACATTCGACTGGAATGTGGGAGATTGAAGAGCTTCCCGAAGGGATGAAATCCCAAGGACTGGAATGCGGAGGATTTACCATCCAAAGGCACGTGGCCATCAGCCCTTGATCAGGTTGCCGTCGTGTATATCATATAGCCAGAAAATGTAGACAGTCTCACTAAGGTATGGCATCCTGAAGTAGGTTGTGAAGTATACGAACAAGCCACAGAAAGAGGATGGTGTGAAGAGAGCCTGAGCAGAAACACAGGTAAGGAGAAGGTGGTGCATACCTCTGCTTTGCTGCTGCGATGTGCTTGTCCGTATACTTGTTGATAAAAACATTGAGAGAGAAGCTGACAACATATACGATGGTCAACACTTCCCACATCAGAGTTCATTTCCGTCTCCACAATGATGAGCTACTGTTCCACTTGAGATATAAGGAATTGCTCCAACGCAAAGGATTGACTGATCCTCAGCGAACGGTCAGTCCGTGGAGTGAGCATAGGATAGCGCTAATGAAGCCAGCGCACCAAAACACGGAAGTTGAAGGTTTTCCCAAGCAGAATAGAAGAAAAGCAGACGCTATAGGCCCTCACTCCCCGAAAGAGAAGCATTGTCGGGCCCTGCTCGAAGATAAGAGCCATCTTCATACGCCAGGATCGGGCTTCCACAGCCAGGGTGTCACGGTCGTGCTCGATTCAGGCTGGAAGCTTAGCTCGTTGGTGGCGTCGACAAGTCCACTGGTATCGCTTGATAGTTCTCGTCGGTGTCTACGGGGGAGCTCCAGATGCCTACCGCCCTCTTCCATGGTTTTGAAGCAAGTGAAGGCGGACTACGGCAGTGTCGCAGTGAGTGTCCTCGCGGATGATAAAGGAAAGGCAGGAAAGTTCAACCAGAGGAACGTGGATACGAAACCTACGGCGAAGCACCCAGTCACCATTTTCCGATACGGCGACGCAAAAAGACTATGTACGCCATCTTCCTTTCGTCCTCCGGAGCAGCTCTAAATGAACCACGGAATGGTCTTGCTTTTCTTCCTTTGGCACACTTGATCATACCGAAAGTCAAGATAAAGCTCCACATTTGGGGTTCAGCTTCAAGGTGCTGAATGTGTCTTTTTTCTCTTTTCCACCCAAGACATGGGAAATCTCCAGCGAAATCAGTGTGCTCAAGAAGAAGCGACAAGTATCGAGGACCATAGGCCCGGGGTCTTTGATAAGCAATACATATTTCCTATGAAGTGTCACAGACGGTAAAGGGTTGACAAGCTATCTCGATCCAAAGGATCTGTTGACGACACTCTTGGGAATTCTTCTTCCTGGAACATGTTTCGTTGCTACAGGAGCCCCCTTCAATCCGTGCTCCCTTTCTCTCACTATCTGCAGTTCCTTCTGCCGCTCACTAGATCACCACAGCCACATGGTCATCCATATACTTCTCAATATTGCCCAGGAGCGCCGAGCAGATGATGGCCACTCCTCCGAAGGCGATCGACACCAGGTACACCCAACGGTAGCTCTCGGAGTAGGCGATCTGCCCAGCAACCAGAACCATCTCGTACGCGGTCTCGTTCCCAGCGATTCCAGGAATCAGCTTGAGCTGGTCCACGAGGGAGAGTCCGGTAAGAGTGATGGCGTCCACGATGTACGTTTGATTGGTGATTCCCAGTTCCGCCACCATGACTCCTCCCACATACTTGACGATCTTGGTCTTGAATTTGTTGACGAAGACGTTGTAGTAGGTTGTGTAGCCGATGCAGCCGCCAATGACGCGGATCGACAGGGTGAGGGCCGTGACCGTGGCGATAATGTCGTCTGGGCAAATAATGGTCGTGATGATGGAGGCAGGGACAACAATTCCGCCGATTCCAAGGCCGGCAACGACGAGGATGCCATAAACTGCATGTATATTGTGGAGATTTGCCGTGGCGAGTGCGCCACAGCCGGCTGTCATCAAGATAGACGCACCCAGCAGCAGCTCACGGATATGTCCCCGGAATACGGACAGGAAAACCAAGACGATGACGCAACCACCGAGGATGGAGAAGCCGATGGGGAGAGTTCTGATTCCGACACCTGGAGGAAGAGTTAGCGGAGCGCCCTGAAAATGATTCAGGGGACTGCCTTACCGACGGGGTCGTGACCATACACGTTGAAAGCCTGTGTGGGCCAAAACATCAAGATGGAGAAGAAGTTTGCACCGGATATCGCGGTGATCACCAGCGTCAAAGAAAGTACCTTTGCATCTCTCTTCATCCGCGATGGGAACATCGGGTACCTGGCGAATTTGATCTCCCAGATAGGGAACGCCACGAAGAGCATGAGGAACCCTAGGATGAGGGGCGCCAGAACGTGCGCGGACCGCCACGTATACTGATAGCCGCCCCACTGGAGGCCGGCGAGGAAGATGATCATGCCCGTGATGCTGAGGAAGCCGCCGAAGAAGTCGATTTCGTTGATAATTTGGCGTCTGGTCAAGCCGCGAGAATTGGGCCGTGGGGGAGGGAAGTAGAATATCAGGACGCCCACGGCTCCAATCAATGCCCACACGCCCGCAATGAAAGCACACCACCGCCACGTCGAGTAGCCGGCAATGAGCCAGGCATAGAGAGCTGAGGGGCAGAACGGGATGATTGTGAAGACCAAAACCGCAACGTAGAGGCCACGCTTGCGAGTTGGTGCCAGCTCAGATGTCCCGGCCAGGCAAGTCAGTTCGCAAATACCGGCACCCACACCAGATATACCCATCCCAGCTAGCAAATGTCAGCGCTATAAAACTCCTGTGCAACGAAGAGGTAGTCTTACCGATAAATTGGTTCATGTTGTGTGCCGTGCCGGCCACAATCATTGCGACGATGAGAAGCCCCGAGCCCAAAAGCGCGACATATCTCCGCCCGATCAAGTCGGACAACGACCCCACAAACGGGCAGATAGACGCGGAGGAAAGGAGGTACGCCAACACGAACCAGACCCATCTATCATAGCCTCCGATCTCAGAGTAGATCAGAGGTGCAATGCCGCCCAGCAGATAGGCTGGGATCTGAGAGCCTGTCCAGAGGAACGCCATGGCGACCAGGCTCATGACTCTTCTCGTGGTCCACTGTCGCCGCCATCAGCACGTGTCACTCTTTGCCAGAAAGAAGCACAAAATGGCAAAACCTACTGGAGGCTCGTGATCGTGATCCTGATCGTCACCGTAGGTTCGCAGCCCATCTTTCTCATAGTAGCCAGGATGGCCGTCCACCCTTTCAAAAGTCCGGACTTGCTCGATGTGAGCACCGCCAGACTCTTCTTTCTCCGAGGGAGTAGAGGAACGCCTGTCTTCATTCTCGGTGGGAAGGGGGGCCTTGACGTCCGCCATGGTTGGATGTTGTGGGATGGAATGGCTTATTGCGACGGTCAAGGGAAAACAAAGCCTGGGAAACACGAAGAACTAAAGAGGGAGGGGTGGTCAGTTTGTTCGGGCTCCGGAGATCAACCCCTTATGTATGAGCAGAATCGTCCCACCCTCCTCGCGAGCTGGTGGCTCGAGTTAGAAAGGGTCGATTAGGGAAGGTCGTAATCTTGAGCGTTTCCAGGATAGTTGCATTCGCAGCGTCACAGCTTGCCACGTTCTAGGTTCTAGACCCGCCAGAGGGAAGAGAGGCATAGGAATTGACTGGGGTAAGATGTCTCTGATTGGTCGTGTGCCCCTCCTCCGCAACCTGGGGAAGCGAGCCAGTTCCCAAAACGGCAAAAGACCCCTTAGATTAACATAGCAAGCAATCATCTCGACGAGCTTACATCCACTTAGCTGCGGGGCTCGAGTGCAAGGGCTGCTCGTCTTGCTTGGCAACTTGCTGAATCACCTGTTGCCGTGCTGATGGATGGCAGAACCGTCGCAAAAATACAACAGCGCCCAGATTTAGATGCGCCGAGTCGAGCCCAAACTTCGAGGACACTGTGGGAGGATGAGACCGAGATCCTCGGTTTCATAGGAGATATCCGGACATTATCCTGCTTTGGTTGGGGTCTGTTCTCTCCGGAAGTTGACCTGGTGGCGACGAGTAGAGTTCACATACGTCTGCTCGTGATGTTGGATGAGCCCGTCACACCTCAGATGTCCTGGGCAAGGTGGATCAGTATCGTTGGAGCAATGACTCTTTCTTCTTCTCAAACCAGCTTTTATTAACCTAGGCATTTTGTTCCCCTAACTGTTCGCCAATATTTGTCCATTGCTTGATTTCCTGAAAATCCATAACCTTATTGGCGCCCTGCGGACCAAACCGACCCTGCAGATCTTTCCAATCCCTGGCCTGGGCCGTCTCTGGCCTCCATCGAAAGCTCTGTTTCAGCTTGTCGTCGAGCTTGTCCTCCATGGCATCGGCAATGAAGCCCCCAATGGCTGGGATATGGCAAAACCCATGTCCAGAACCACCCACACCCAGCACCAAGGAAGCGTAATCTGGGTGCTTGGAGATGAGGAACGCTCGGTTGGGAGTGTCTGCACACCAGCATATCCGTGCAAAAGAGAAAGGTCGGTCTGCAAGGTGAGGCATGGTCTCGCGCAAGAATGCCCGGCAGCGTTCTTCGCTTTCGAGCGGAATCTGGTGCCGGGAAAATGGAGAGCTGATCTGACGAGCATCCTGAGCAGAAGTGTCGGAGACCCAGTTGCAATAGCCCGGGTGCTCATCACACATCTTCAGCTCATGATTATCCTCGTCCGGCTCCATGAAGAATCCACGCTCGATGTTGAATAACACAGGCAGGTCTTTGTACAGCTTGGCTTCCTCTGGAGTCATCTTGATGTGCGCCAGTGTCCAGGCTGTGGGTCGAAGTTGATCCTTCATGTCGAACAGCGCCGCCGCGCTGGCACCGGCGCAGAGTATAGTCCGATCTGCGTAATGGCGAGTGCCATCAGCTGTGATGGCGCCCTTGACATCAGAGGACTCATAGATCAAACTCGATACCCGGCCTGCCTGCTCGCCAGTGATGAATTTGACTCCCAACCTGACGGCTTCCCTGGCGGCACTCTCCATGCTCTTGCGGGCGTGAACCCACCCTGCCCCTTTCTGCATCCACCATCCTTGCCAACCAGGGAACTCACCCGTCAAAACACCTTTGGGCATGGTTGCTTGAAAGTCTTCTTTGGTCCTCAGTGGAATCCACCCGCTTGCCTCGCTAGGCCCATCCCGCGTGTTCATGTGTTTCCGAGCTTCGTCCGACGTCGCCGCCAGGACACAGCCAGTCTCGTGGAAATGGGGTTTGAACACAGGGTCGTTGCGCCATCCTTCAGTGGCTGCTTCCAGCAACTTGTTGGATACATATCGCTCATCAGCGTCGTCTCCAGCGAAAGAGCCCAACTCCAGGATCTTGTTCAGATCGGTGCCAGCGGATATGGGTGAAGGAACAGGATAGGGATCGAGGACGGTCACATGTTTATAGCCTCGCCGAGCCAAATGGAGGGCGGTGCTGCAGCCCCAAGTCCCGGCTCCCACAATAAGGATTTTGGATGCAGTGCTGAGTGATGATGATGCCATGGCGCTGTGGACGTTCAGTCAAGTGGTGAACAGAGTCAGAATCTTCCATCGAGGCACCATCAACAACAGCCAAGGACACGAAAGGACTTAAATACCCATCACACACAACCATTGTGAGCCCTTCCCGAGGTGTGGGGACAATTCTGTTGCTCCATTTCGGGCTGGGATCATCTACGTCTTTCTAATGGTGGTCCTCGATCTGGCCGGTGACGGGCGTGGCGAGCGGAGATGCACTATCAAGCAGAAGGTCCAGGCGACAAAAGCTCCAACGCCGTAGCGGGTCGAAAAGACGCCGGCGACCAATCCATGTCTCCGTACAATTGCCCCGCCGCTGCATTTCCGCCCAATCGCCCTCCAACGTCCATTTCTCTCCAACACATTTCGTCTCTCGTGCTTCTTCCTAGTTCATGCTCGACCATTACTCCATCTCTTTATCTCGTAATTGCCAGCTCGTTGGGAGTCTCCCCCATCCCATTCTGACCCGACGCTCCGTGTCAACCACCCTGACCAGCACGAAGTCGGGGTTTCTGGCATGTGGCTGTCCCAATGCCCCGGCCGCGGAAGTCCACCGATGTGCTCATCAAGCGACGCACTCGGACGGGGTGCCGGACCTGTCGAGCAAGAAAACTCAAATGTGGAGAGGAAAGACCAATCTGTCACCAATGCTTACTGAAAGGATTGAATTGCGATACCACAACTGCCCTCAAGTGGGAAACAGACTACATCTCCAAAGGCCTCAAGTTTGGCAGAGCCGGTGTCTGGTCTAAGGACCCGTACAAGACAGCCTCGCTATCCCCGACGTCCGACTGGTCCACCCATGAGAATGCAACCCTGTGGTGGTGCCCTATCCCAGATATTTACCCCTACAGTTTTGTGAACAGTACGGTGGATACTCTGCATGAGTTGGACCGGTCTGAGCCTGGATCAGATGGCGGCACCCAACGTCGACTTACAATTCCGACATCATCGGACGCCGACGCCACTGCTGCATGCTCGCTCAGCCCCTGGCCAACAACTCAGAGCCTGGTACGGTCCGCAAAACCCCAACTGGCATCGCCCCTAAGTATCTTACCACCGTGGGAAACTCGCGAGCAGTCCACTCTACTTTCTTACTACGTCGAAAGAATATGCCCAATGACTGTTTCGAGCTTGACATCCGTCTCCCCCTTCGCAACGCTACTACTTCCTTTTGCCCTTAGTACTTCTTCTCTCACTATGGACTCGATGTTGGCATTGGCTGCCTGCCACCGATCTCGAACGGATCCGCACTACAAGACAATAGCATTAAACCTCAGCCACCGCGCTCTCCAAGCCCTCCGGGCCAAATTAAGAGATTGCGACTCAACGATGGTCGTGATGGTCCCCGAAACATTGGTCGTCATGCTTCTCCTTTGCATGTTTGAGATCGTGAACGAGTGTGACAGTCGATGGGTGGTGCATCTGAAAGGAGCACGCGACTTGATCCGTGTCCGCCGCTGGCACCAGCCAGCCTATGTGCAAAACACGGATGCTGGTATTTTGGCTCAATTCTGCGAACGTTTCTTTGCCTTCCAGGACATTATGGGTCGGACTGCCTGTGGCGAGGATCCTGTGTTTGAGAGCGACTTCTGGGGAAATGACCAGACCGACTGCGAACCCTGGCTTGGTTGCTCTCCCCAACTGGTCTCCATCTTGAACAGAATCACCGAGTTAGGGCGACAGGACCCAATGAGTCGTCAGACCATGGAGTTCCAGGCAGCGGCAGCTGCTCTAGAAACACAATTGGGTATGCTCAGCCAAACGGTCTATGATGAGGGCGATGACATACTGAGCCAGTCTGGTGAGCTCAAACGGCTCGCGGCCGAGGTCTATTTGCAGTGCGTGTTGAACGGAGCCAACCCTTCAACACCGTGGGTGTCGCAGCAGGTGTCCAGAATCCTGCATCTCATCAGTATTTCGCTGAAGGCTCGATTGGTCTCCGGCATCAGTTGGCCGCTTTTCATCGCAGCCGTCGAATTGCATCCTGATCAGGACCTTGAACTATCCTGGGATGCCGGCAACGCTCCGAGATATGCACGGCCTTTCGTTCTCTTCGCTCTGGAAAAGTTGACCGGATCAATGGTTAACACCGTCAGAATCCGCACCGTCATTGAAAAGGTCTGGCAAGCACGAGAATTGCAGGAAGGTCCAGCCAGCTCAAATGCTTCCCCGCAAAGTGACTGGGAGCAGTTTGTTGCGCCTTTCTGCGGCAACATGTCTCTGGTGTGAGCTAATTGATACTGTCTGGTGATCAAGAAGTTGGTCTTCAGATGATATCCCTGCAAGCATCCACCTGCATAGGCCGGCAATTCGGTCCGACCGCGCGATGGACTGGCTCCCCGAGAAGTGGCCGTATCGACATCGCTGTTCTCCGGATCGACTGGGTCATGCATGCAGGGTGCGAGTGCGGCCCACGCAATTGCTTGAAGGTACAGGCGCATCAAATGGAGTGGCAGGGAACCAACTCCACTGCAAGTCAAGCCCGAATCACCTCTTCTCATTCGTCCGCTTGGACCTTTCATTCGATAAAAGGCTCCTCACATCCAGGTATCAATGGCCGAGAGGGGCGATGGCAATCGCAATATCGCGGGGAATCAAAACGACGGCAAATGCTCCTACATTTGTATAAAGTGCCGTCTGGAATTGTTGCAACTTCATGAACCTCGTCTCTCACTCCTCGCCTACCCAGACTGCGCTCCAGATCTTTTTACGGCTCCCGTAAACATGGCGGACAATCTCTACGAACTTGACGTGCCTGGCACAGAACAACTTGTGGATGGTCAGTATACGACCTCCCAGAATCTGGCACTGGATTATCCAGGAGGCTGATGGCTGTGATTACCAGTGAATCATACACTGGATGCAGCACACGCAGGTGCAACCAGCGACATCGTCCTTATACCTCAACCAACTGGCGCCGGTGGCGATCCCTTGCGCTGGGGCCGCTGGAAGAAATATTACCAACTTTTCCTCCTCGCGTTGTATGCATGCGCTTTCTCTTTTGGCGAAAACACCCTCGGAGCTGCGTGGACAACAGTCTCTGAGGACACAGGGGTCAGTCTCACCAACATGAATGGTGGAAGTGCTCTCAACTACCTCCTGTTGGGATTTGTGAATATCTTCTGGATCCCTATGGCTATGAAAGTCGGTCGACGGCCGGTCTTCCTGGCTACCACCACCATCTGTATGGCTACTGGTGTCGGCCTCGGAAAAGTCAATGGAACCGCATCATGGATGGTGAACATGGCGGTCAACGGAATCGGCACCTCTGCCTACCAAGCCGTCATCCAGTTGAGTGTCTTTGACATGTTCTTTGTTCACCAGCGAGGGCGGATGTTGTCCGTGTACCTCTTCGGCCAGCAACTGGGCAGCATTCTCGGGCTCATCAGCGGTGGGAGCATCGCGGATGGTCCGGGTTGGCGATGGTCGCAATACATTGTTGCCATCATCGACGCCAGCGTGCTCGTCCTCCTCCTCCTGACTTTTGAGGAAACTATGTTCCCCCGCTTCTTGTTCGGGAAAACCGATGGCATCCCTCCCGTCTCCCAGTCCGTGGTTTTCCCTCAGGCTTCCGACAGCAAAGGTCTCGGAGACACCTTGACGCAGAGCCCAAGTCCGAGCGAGATCGAAGAGGATACCACATTGGAAACGCAGTTCCCCAAGCGGACCTACTTGGAGACGCTCAAGCTCTGGGTCTATTACCCGCAGGACCGGACCACGTACTGGCAATATTTCCGGAGACCTTTTATCCTGTTCACCTTCCCCAACGTGGTCATCGCAGGGGTTATTTTCGCCTTTGGATGTACCGCTGGCATCGTCAGTTTCAATACTATCTCTGAGATCCTTACCGATCCGCCTTATAACTGGTCTACAACCTCGACCGGCTTGGTCTTCTTTGCCGCCCTGGTGGGCAATTTTGTCGGCTGGGCCACTGGCGTTCTGGGCGACCATGTCGTGATCTTCTTGGCACGACGCAATTCGGGTGTGAAGGAGCCCGAAATGAGATTGTGGACTCTCTGTTTGTCCTTCATCTACGCTGCCGTTGGGTATCAACTATATGGGTGGGGTGCCGAGTTCGGACTGCACTGGATGACGATAGCCTTTGGAGTGGGCTGCATGATTGCTCATCAAGTCTCGGCCTGTTCCATTGCCACGGCGTACGCCATGGAATGTTTCCCAGGGGTGAGACTGCCATTTCTTCGCTTTTTCTTGTGAGGCTCGTACTAACTGGAACACAGATCGCCGGCGAACTTGTCGTGGTGTTGGCTATCTGTTCATCTTGCATCAACTTTGCCATCTCTTACTCAGTCCAGCCCTTCATTAATGCGGCAGGATATGGATATACGTTCCTTTTCTTCGGCTTGTGCGTTCTGGCCTCTATGGCTGCGGCTGTGCCAACCTATATTTACGGCAAGAGATGGCGACGCATGAGAGCACCGCGTTGGCGGCAGTGGTTGGCCCAGAGGGGGACTTGATTGAAGCCGAGACTATCATGTGCTTTGCCATGTCAGGAATAGCCTGTGGCCGATCTGCCGCCGCTGCCGGCTTAGGGATCTCTTTTGTTGCCAAGGTACGAGCTACAGTATCAGTACAGATTTCTTCCGGAAGAATATATCTCGTCATGCCTAGCTAGTTAGTTGTTATCCATGTGTATAGAAGTATATATTCTCTTCCACATATAGTTCACTAACAGCCTCCCGTCGACAATGCCAGCTGGCTCAAACATTAATTGCCCTTGCCTCCGAGGGCCTGAGAGACTCACTCAGGATTATCTTCACTCCGATTCACACCCCTCCTCCCACTTTCAAGCGGACTGACTCGTCGAATCCGTGAGTACGCACAGTTCGTGCACAACGTTATGTTACGGTATTTACTGGCGACCGGAGAGATCCCCAGGAGTGTGGGTGAGTGGGTGGGTATCTGATCATTACGTATAGTACAGTACTAGAGAGGAGGAAGAAGAAGAAGAAGAAGAAGAAGAAGGGGAAAGAGGTGGAGATACATACATATATACAGTACGATAGATGTACTGTAGCTTATTAGCTATATTATAAACTATACCTCGTATATAGCTAGTTAGACTTGGCGTTTCTGTGTTTCTGTCCCAATCATCCATCCCATAATTACATGTATGTGTGTATAGCACCACAGTCAGTCAGTCAGCCAGCCAGTGAAGAGCAGGTCAGTTGAAAAGGGGTTGTCTTGTCTGTGCTTAGCGCACCACCTTCATAGGGACATATGCATAACGTACATACATACCCAGCTATCTACCTACCTAGGGACCTATCTACATAGGTGTTATCTAATCGGTCATAAAAATACAACAGGGTGATCCAGAAGAGACGAGAGGGGTAGTCTACTGGGCTTCCTTCACTCACCACTAGCACCTCCTTCTGGTGTGTTCTACATAGATGAATGGATCCTCCTTCTCTCTCCCTCGCGTCCTTCGTTCCCTTCCATGCCAGTAGAGTGTTCGACCTGTCGTCCCCGCTCCAAACACACTCCCTAGCCAGGACCTTCTTTGTGTCTCTTCAAACTCGAGCCGGCCGCTCTGCTCTCCCCTCCTCGAAGAGTTGACCGGGTGCAGACAACTCAAAGTCCTTAAGCGTATGAAAACTCGGCTCCTCTTTTTCCGTTCCAGAGTTCGTGGTAGTATCGGCCGTAAAGTAGTAGAAACAGCAATCAATCGGGGCATCGTAACTTTTGTCTTCTCTTTCTGACCCTTTTGTGGGAGATGGTTTTGTCTTTCGGTGATGATGCCGTATCGTCGCGTCATCGTTGCCATCGAATGATATGCGAGAATAAACCAGAATGTCAGCACACCTGTTTAATGAAATCCAGACTCCGATCCCATGTCGCTATGCAAATTGGCAATCCTAAACCGTTCCGTCGTCGACTTTTCACATCCATCTCAATGGAAGAAACATTGAGGCCGATATATGAGGCGGATAGCCATGTGACCCCAGCATCTTCATCGGTGGTCAGGGCTGCACAAACATATGTTCGCCATTATGTTCCTTCTTATTAAACAGCTGGCCATCTGACCCTCAACCCTTCGCACCATCTCTCGAACAGTGCGTCCGCAAGTTGTCTTGTGTGTTCCAGTCCGCCGACTAGCCCGTTCATCATCTCCTTCTCCGTTTGATTGTCAGCCTCCAAGAGACTCGCTTTTCTCTTCTCTTCAACACTTGTGTTTCTTAGGGGGCTGGCGAAGACCTGACTCGTGTCACGAGATTTGACAATGGCTGCTTGTGCACTCTGCCTCCGTCGATGGCTCTTGAGATGCGGATTGTTTTGCGCTAGAACGAGTTTGGCACCCACAGCTCCCTTCCCGGTGGGTGTGCTGGGGGTAACTTGTCTGCTCTCGTTGGCACTAATAGGCTGTGGTGATGCCGTCGACATCTGTAGTGTCTGTGAGGGGTCACTGGACTTTTGAGGTGACTGCAGCATCTGCTTCGACGGTGACATGGCCAAAGGTTGTTGCGGCAACATACTCTTCAGAGTGTCGTCCTGTTTCATTTTCGAAATGATCGACTGCATAATGTGATACATGCCATCTGGATCCACGCTTTCGAGGTCAGAAAAGGCTTCCGCCAGGCGCGCCACAGCCTCACGTTTGACTTCGTCAGCGGTGTCATTGAGGACGTCTTGACACGAGATGCCGATTGCGTGTGAGTAGAGCTTGCGGCCCAGGTTCGCCTCCTTCGTCTCTATCGCAATGGTTGTGGCGGTCGAAGAGAACCTCGACGCTTTGTCAGGCTTTGACAGCAATGAAGCCTCAATATCCACGAGAGAGGCCAGGCCAGGTTTGGCTTTCGACGGAGTCCGAACAACGCTAGAATTCGGGTCCTCGTTCTCCGCGTCGGGGCTGATGTTCGCGTTGGGTGATACACGTCTGAATTGTCGCACTGTGCTCGGGCTGTTGCCAAATGACATGTTCACTCCCAGTGGTTGCCGTACTTGGGCATTTGATAGTCTTTTCCTGTTTGTTCTCCTTTCTGAAAAGGAATCAGTAGAGTCTCTGCGGTCCTTTTGGTACTGTTGCTGTGTCGATTCTGAAATCTTCCGCATCGTCAGCTTTGTCGGACTCTGTTCGGGCTCTGGTCGGCGGTCCAGGGTGAAATCTTCCATCATCTGTGTGGCGCTTTGCTCCAATCCGTCACCCAGGACATCAACTGCTGTTCTCTCAACCTTCCTCTTCCTCTGAGTGTGGAAGTCCTTGAAGTTCATGGTGGGCACAGCCTTGACAGTTTCAAACACCCAGTCATCGTCATTGCGGCCCTGCGACAGGTTTTTGAGGGTTTCAGCGTAGTATTTCAAGTTTCTATCTCCTCCTTTGCTGGCTTCCCAATCTTGCTTCCGCACGATCAGCTCCTGGAGACCTTCAATCTTCCCCGCCGACCGTATGAATCGATGGCTGAGCAATTCCTTTGCGCTTTTCCTCTTGTCCACGTCTTTGGTTAGACAGCAAGCAACAAAGTCTTTGAAATCTTTCGACCAATTGGATCCTTCCAGTCTCGGCGCAGGCTGTTTTGGTATCAGAAAGAGAACCTTCATGGGGTGAACATTGGCGTGCGGAGGTTCGCCGTTTGCCAGCTCCATGGCCGTGATGCCCAAACTCCAGACGTCAGCTTTGGCATCGTGACCCTCCTGCTGGATCACCTCGGGTGCCATCCAAAAGGGAGTTCCGACGAATGTATTCCTCATGCTCTTCAATCCGACCAGCTGCGCGGCGACACCGAAGTCTGCCAGCTTCACCCGACCGTCCATGCCAAGCAGGACGTTTGCGGCCTTGATATCTCGGTGTAATTTTCCCTCGCCGTGTAAGTATGCCAGGCCAAGGAGCAGCTCTCGACATATAATGGCGATGTGGCTCTCTGATAAACGATGGGGAGGTGGCTTGAGGAGATCCGCGCATGATCCGCCTCCAAGATATTCCATGACAATCCACAAGGTCTGTCGACGCAGAAATGCCAGGCGATATTTTGTGACGTGCGGGCTTGAGCATGATGACAGGACGGACAGTTCAGACAGGATATCGGAGAGGTCCTCTTCGGAAGATTCGAGGTCCACCTGTTGTTCGACGTTAGCTGAAGGATCTCCTGCGCCCGAAGAGGTTCTTCCCATACATGTTTGATGGCGACGATTTCACCCGTGCCTTTCTCTATAGCCTTGTAGACGACACCAAACGAACCACTGCCTAGTTCTTCCAGCATCTGGTATTTGTCCGCCAGGGTATCGCCGTGCGCCGAATCATCTTGGATTTCGAAGTAATTCTGCGGCGCTGCGCTCGCTTGGTGAGGTGCTTCCGAGAAGGGCGAAATCATAGCCATGGCCTCGTGCCGTCTTCGGTTCGGGCTGCCCTTTGCTCCTCCGTGTCGATGCTGTGGTGTAATCTACTCTTCTCTTCCAAGAACCACCGCGAATGGACTTCCAGTCACCAAGAGCTGTTCATTGGCTGCGCCAGAGAAGAATCATAGACCAGTTCGGATCTGCGCAAAACTCTGATGATGCTGTGCAGTCAAGAAATGCACAATGTAACAAGATTTGCGCCGGGTAAGAAGTGCAAGACAGAATGCGGTGAGCGTAGTGTTACAGAGAATGAATATTGCGAGGGTAATAGTAAAAGCGAGATAGGTAGGTAGGTGGTGGAGGGTTTTTGCAGGGGCCCAGTGTGCCAGGGATATATTTCTGTACAGCCGGGATCATGAAAAAAGGGGTATCGCGGGACGGGCGTTCTGGATCAAGCCTCATGACCAGGGATTCCCGAAAGGTCAGCAGCTTTGAAAGGATACAGGATACATGGTAGTGGTAGTGGTAGTGGTAGTGGTAGCAGTGGGTGCAGCAGAAGACCGTTTGGCCGCAGATTTGGAGGTGGGAGGGCTTGATGTTGACGTTGTGCTGCCATGGCAACGAGTCGCCGGATTGGGAAAGGTGCGACGACTCGAAAGGCACTAAGGTATCGAAGGTTCGACGCTAATGCAGGGGTCCCTTTTTACTGTTCCGATTCCCATAAATTCCTACCTTTCTGCTGGGTAGCATGCTGCTCGTATCCATGCTCGAGCTGGACCAGCCCGAGGCGGCCCCCAATTCCTCGTACTGTACAGGGTCGTCGTGCCCGAGCTGGTCCCGGAGCAATCACAAGCCTGGCTTGAAGGGACCGAAAATGGATCCGAGCTCTCGGGCACCAGCGGGCCGAACAAGACACAGACAGGGTCAAATGGGCTTCCAGAATTATTTGGGCCATTTTTGTGTTGCTAGGGCGATGTGTTACATATTGGCTCAGTCTCTTCTTGTGTAGAGGTGAGAATATTAATTTGCGCTGTGCCGCGGAATCATACAGAGTATACAGGTCGTTGCTATCGAGCGGAAAATTCAAAAACGATCGGGGTATTGTTCCGCATCATTCAGGCTGGGGAAGCTCGCAGATCTCATAAATAGTTGACACAGAAGATAGCGCTTTAGCCTCGTGCATTCAATAGTTGTGTCAATCACGTGGCATTGATAGCGTATGTACATAAACAATATACACGATCCCGTGATCGGGAATTAAATTCAACGCTGTGTTCCTCGTATGCCGATCTCGTATTCTCAATGTCACATATGGGGACTGTCAAGTATGTGCATCTGCCCATTTTCCAGCCCGTTTGTTTTGGCTGGAGCGTCCTGACTTTCTTGTGAATCCCACTCCTTCATTAAATCGCTCACCGTCCGGGTGAGCTTGCTTGGAGTAATCCTCTCCAGTTCTGGCCAAGCAAGGCCAGCCTCTCCGTCTTCTCTCTTTTGTCTAATGTCCTCCATCCCGGCAATCAGGGGTCCTCGGGTGCTGACAGGGGACTCCCAGGCATCCCAGGCGTCTTCGACGTCATCGTTGTCGTTCAGATCTGGTAACAGACTGGGGGTGTTGGAAGAGTCCGTACTACTCTTCTGCTGAACGTGTCCATTGGTCTTTTGCGTCTCATTTGGTCGAGGCGAGATTTTGTGTGGTGTATCCAGCCCGAACTCTTTCCAGAACGACGGTTCCATGGGCCGTGGACTGGGTGCTTCGGTGCTCTCTCTTGAGTTGATTTTGCTCTGTTTGTCGGAGGATTTCCTGGATGCCTTTTTCTGGATCGGCCTTACCGGTCGCTGCTGGGCTGCGGTCCCGTTAATGCCCTCCTCCCCAACAGTGGCTTGCCGAATATCCTCGAAGAATGTCCATAGTCCCTCCCTGACTCCGTCATAAACTTGTTTGCCCTGCTTCACCAGTAGATCTGCTGCGACCGGTGGTAGAGATCTCCGATGCGCGGCTAGATCTTTGTACGTCTTGCCAAACCCAAGGGGCAGTGCATCCCCAGATATCAGTCCATCGAGGGTCGGCATCCTCGAAAGCGAAGGTCTGCTGAATTCTTCGCCATCGACGTTCACTGTGTCTTCGCGCGTGTTTTGTGTCTCCTCTGCCCGTTTCGATGCACCTCTCGTAGTGGTCGGGCTGAGAAGACTCAGGGTTCTCGTATGGCGGCCACCCTCGAAAACCCTCTTTGATCCTTTTCTGACCAAACCGTTGGATACGGCATTACTCGCCGAGATCGGTTGAGTCGTCTGGCTTCTCTCCACCAGTGCTCGTTTCCGCCTGCGTTCTTCATCAAGGTCGTCCTCTGCGACAACACCTTCGCCACCAACGATATCACCCAAGGCCAAGGGCTGCAGCTTCTTCACTTGTCTCACCTCATCCCTCTTCTTGTTCGCTTCGTAGGCCGCCCATTGCTTCTTCAGCACTAACAAGTCCGCCTCTGCCCGCTGGAGTTCTTCCTTCAACTCGAGCACTTTTCTTTCCTGACCTGCCAGCAGTGTCAAGAACTCTGCGCTTCCTCTTGTCTTGGCTTTGTCCTGCGGTTCGGTGGCGGAGTCGGGGCCTCTGAAAGGGGCACCACGAAGACGGGGCGACGATTTGGCTGATTCGATCGGGCTCTGCACCCCAGAACCAAGCGTCGGAGACTGCGAGTTTGACACGTTGGTAGGCACCAGAATGGGGAAATTTAGTGATAGTCCCTTTGTGTGTCTTCTGGGAACGGTGGCACTCGTTGTGAGCGGAGGAGTCGGTTTCGGGGGCCCGCCTGAGTGATGGCCGGCCGGTTCTAATGAATCGCTCGGAGGTAAGGGTTGAGAGGACGCTGCACTGGACACGATCTCCATTACCGTTGGCCAGGTCAATCATGCAATGCAAGTCGTGCTTAGGGGTTCGATGAGTTCAGGATGTACAATCGACAATGTAGCGAAACCGGTGATAAATAGGGTCTATATCGTCGTCTCGTGAGCTGAAAGTGCAAGTGTCCAAAGCAGATCAGTCCCGGTCAAGATAGCCATTCCACGTCATCGTAGTCATTTCCTGTGCGCAGAAGCGAAGAGTGTTTAGGAGGAACGAAAGACGGAAGATTGTTGACTGGCCGAAAACGGTGAGTCGGTAATTAATTAACAGGCCTGGGGCGAGGTTTCCCCACACGTGCCTAACGGGATCCAACAGGGGGTGGGGGCCCTCAGCCTCATTCACCTCGCCAGCCATCCTTGAGAAGGTATATAGACCAGGGTGCGGTTAAGCAAAATAGCACCTCGTACTCTGTATGCTGTTCAAGTATGTCATCATCACTTGGGCACATGATCGAATTGAATATACAAAAGCCCAAGCCCTCTACTTGACACCTATGATATGCCACATGCTGAGATGCAGACTAAACAAAGAATTCCGAAGATGCTTTCCCAGTCATATACAGGCTCTACATAATGAGCCAAATGGTACCTCCAACAATGATCCCGACACATAATACTGTCAGGATACCAGCACCAACTTGATCCCCCACGGTAATAGGTTTGTGCTCAACCAGAGTGGGACCGGTATCGGTCCCAGCATCGGGGTCACTCTCCGACGTGCCGCCAGTATTGGCCGTCTTGGGCGCAATTTCTGGATGTATAGTTGATGCTCCGATGACCGCAAGAGCTTGCATCTGATTCCAAGTCAGCAAGTTGAGCCCAATCTCACGTCCGCTGTTATAAAGCACATACCTGTTGTCCCACTCCCGTTGAGCCGTCGAAGCTTGAATACCACCGTCGGCCACACATTCGTCCATTGTCCCCTCCAGTACATTGCTGTGCTGCGGCGGCCGCGCTGGCCTGGAGTTTCGGCATGATCATGTCATAAGTGCTGGGCACAAGCAAGGCTGTAACAGCCATCCATCGAGACAGGTAAGCTTTGAAACTGCTTTGGTCGTTGTTGCACAACATGTTCGGTTCGCACTGGAACTCGGTCATGATATTGCCGCCGTATTCCTCGGGGAAGAACAGATTGAACGCCCCCAGCAAAATCTGGTTGACTCGAGTTCCCCACGGCTCGGCACCGTTGGTGAAGCTGTACATGGCAGCAGCACCCATCAGCATCGTGCCGTAGTTGTAGGTCCAGGCATGGTGAGCCACGTCCGAGCAGTTGTTGGTCGCGTCCGTGTTATCCCAGATGTAGAGGATATCATCCTGATATTGAAACAGTGGGCTAGCTTCCATCCAATCCCACATCTGGATCGCCCAATCCGCATAGGTCTGGTTCCCAGTGTATCGAGCTAGTCGTGCTGCCAGTTGAAAGTTTCCACCGTTGGAGATCGTATTCTTGAGGTTGTAGCCCGCGTTGAAGGAATAGACTTGCCATCTCATTCCCCCATTGCATGTGGCAGCATCCCAAAGATTTGATTGAAAGTTGAACACAGCCTGAGCCAGAGCCAGCCACGAAGGAGCGTCACCGCCAACATCCGGCAAATTAGCTTCAGCAGCATCCATGGCCGTAAACGCCCAAAATGCTTGATCGTCCACGCCCATGTTCTTGCTCTGATTTGGAGGATTGAAGTTCTCTTCGGGTCCAATCTGAAACTGTAGAGCTTGCGTCACGACAGCGTTGTAGCTGTCGTCGCCAGTATACTGCCAGTAGTTGATGAGAGATCCAAACATCGCGCCTGCTTCCCACCAATAATAACAAGCCGTCGATTCACACGGGCCGGGTAGCAAACCTGGTACTTGCCCGGACTGATTACCCGAATAGTAGGTCATCATGTCGTATGCGAGAGTAGAGGCGACCGACTTGACCGAATCAAAGCTGTTCATATCGAGATCGAGTGCATTGTTCAACGAAATTAAGCCGGCCAGCGGCACCAGAAATGAACGTAATCGCGACTTCATGTTGTGTCGCGGGTCGAATTCTCTAACGGAAGATGGAACTGATCAATGAATGTTGAAGGAGGTCGCTGAAAGCATCCATCCGACCCTGAGAAGGACACCCTAGAAGCAAGTGCAAAGACGGGAAAGGAGTCTTGACTGAAGAGAGCGAACAAGGGGGGGTTTTGACGAAGGCAGCGCCCTACTCGGCGGGGACGAGGAGAAGCGGGAGATCTCAATTGCCACGTCGTATACCCAGGGCAAGATAGTGCGGTGGAAAATGGCAGTTTGCACCACGGCGGAATTGGAGTAAAAGAGAGAATAAAGAGTAGTTTTGAAGTCATGCAAGCGAAAGGAAAGAGGTCAGAGTGTACAAGAAGTTGGAACAAGCCAAGGTCTGTAGAAACAATAACGTGTCACACAGCCACCACGATGGGCGACCACAACTTCAACCCAAAGGAGAACAGAACAGCCCGCCCATCCGCTGTTGTTCCAGAGAGCAATGCCAACCTCAAAGGGGGTTGTCTGTGAGACGTCGTCTTCTTGGCAGGGGGCGGACAACCAATCGAGCTGGCGATTTCCAAAGCCAAGGTTCCTCCGCCCGGAAAATTGGCCTTGGAGCGGCGGGACAGTACACGTCCTTCGCCTTGGCCGGCCTTGGCACAATCTTGCTGGTGCTGACCCTGAAGATCTTTTTCCAGCAGTAGACGCTCCCACACTTCCAGATCTGAATGGGAGTTTGCCGGGAGAATCGAAGCTGGATGATCTTGCTTTGAGCCTAGCTAAACCATGTCCGTGTCCCGAGATCGGGGGTGACCTCACCCATTATTGTGGGGGATGAACAGGGCCCATAACAGTCTTTTCGCGCGCATATACACATTGATTGCATGTAGTACTTTTTGGAGTGACCACGCACGCTAAAATCTGCACCAGATGACACGTTGTTAGCATGCCGCTGTATGTCAATGCAAGATAGCCCCGCAATGGAAAAGGGGCCACATCAAATCAGTACTCCTCTCTTCGCCTTCGCTCAAAACGCATCGATGTTTTCGGAACCGTCGTGTCAATAAGAATACAATGTTTGTTATCAAGTTTTTTGGGTTAGATGGTCATGGTCATCTACTCCCGTGACTTCTCCTCCTTGATAGCCTCGACGCCAGTCGCAAGCTTGAACATTCCAATTCCGATACCACGCCGTGCACTGTGCGGTTCGCTGTGCCGGTCGCTGTGTAGTGCATGTTCAGTTGAGCTTCCCGTTCTGTGGTGTGATCGGTTCGTATTGGCGCGAGGACGGGGGAACGCTGAGTTCTCGTCGATATCTCGCAACCCCGAAGAAAGCCCTGTCTCCGGGCGGAACTGGCGTCCTTCTATATTCCCATCGACAGCAGACATCGTCGAATATGCTCCTATGGACGACCTCCGACGTTGTACCCGGGACATGACCCGTTCGGCCTCCTTGGCTTCCTTCGCTTGCAGGCTCTCGGAGGGTAAAAGGATTGCGCGGTCAAGTTCGTACGGGAGTCCACGATGTCTTCCACGGATCTGCATGGCGATTATCACCAGCTTTGAAAGTACGTGGAACTCGGCTGAAAAGGAAGCGTTGATGGTCGGATAGCCCAAGGAAAGACCGACGGTGCCGTATGCAGAGACAATCTCGAAGAGCACAGAGAAGAGGGTGAAGGCGGTGTCGCTGGGATTCTGCAATCGACCGCCCTCGACAATGGCGATGATGAACATGCCAAGGAAGATGTACCACAAGTCAAAGGAAAGCTGTCTTCGCAAATGTGCGCCGACATAGCTTGGCTCGCCCTCGTCTTCCTCCTCCTCGGACGGAGACCCGTAGATTCCCAAACTCTTCTCCTCGTACACGTTCGTTCTTCGCATAGAAATGGCGATGGGAAAGACGGATATGTACATCATGATCAGATAACTGACCTGAATGGCAGGGTGGAGTTCAGCAAGGTTGACCACGGAAAATCCCGCGGTTCGAGTCGATGCGGCTTGAAACAGACCGTCAAGAAACCGGATCCCCTTTGGTAAGGAAGTGACGACGGGATCGTTCAGATCGAGGATGATGAAAAAGATCAGATCCAGTCCGTTTAGAATAACGAGGATGGCAAACAGCCACCAAGTCGCTTCTCGAGGGAACAGGAGGGTGAAGCAACGGCGGGGATGGTCCAGAAGAAACTGGAGCTCCTCCCACAGAGGACTGCCTTCTCGGACACACTTGGATGTTGCCCAGATAACGAGCCTCAACATGCATGGAAATCCAGTGTTGCCGATAATTATCAGAAAGGTCATTAGCAGCAGGGGGAAAACGGCCTGCTGGAAGTAGATCATAGAGTTGTTGGTAAGAGTGAAGCCGAGGTCGTTAAAGGCAGAAGCACTTGTAAAGATACCCCACCAGACTCTTCCCTGCGATTGTCCTGTCACATATTTTCCGTAACTTGTGCGTAGGATCCATGGGATTAAACAAATAATACCGAGAATGTGGAAGCAGAAGAAGTACAGGACAAGTATCAAGGCCAAGGCCTTGAGTGCCCGATATTCTATCCCGCCCAGCTCTTCTCGCTGTTCCTCTGTCAGGCCAAGGAAAAAGGAGTTCCTTCCGATTGTCGGCTGCCAGCTCAGATACGGGGCGAGATCCTGTGCACGCGGCGTGTTGACGCGATGCAGCGATCGAAACGTATTCGAACCCCTCCTGCGAAGGTAAGAGCTAGGGTCAGGGGCATCATAAGTGTGCGACGGTTGTGTAGATTGTCTCGTGTTGAGCCGGGGAAAGGTGGCGCTTCGGTCCTGACGGTCTCGCGTGACCTGTGGTTCGTCGATGGTGATGTGCGCGGGAGGAGCAGGGTCATCCGCAGCTGCCACGTCGGCTGCTCCCTTACCAGTGCTGGAGAAGTCGGCGTGGCTCGTGACTGTGTGCAATACATTGTCGTCAAAACTGGCACTAACATTTTGAGGTCGGTCACCCAATTCGAATTCGCGAGGACTGGGGATTCGCAGAGCAGTCGTGTCACTGGGATTTCGCTGGTTCTCGAAAAAGCGGATGTTTTGTTCTGGACTCATTTGTGGGGGCACACGCACATCATCGGCGGACCTAACTGTCAGGAACTGTGGGCGATTATCAGCAATGGCCCGCTTTGATTCCTCTTGCTCCTCTTGAGATGTGTCAGACGAATCGACTGCCTTTCCATTGCCGTTGTCGAGCTTCTCAGCATCTGGATGACCTTGGCTGCGCCCGGTGTTTCGCAATATCCGAATCGCCCTGCCTGCGACGCCCGGCAGACCTGGTTCAGGGTCATCCTTTCCGAAGGTGGTGGTCCGCTGCCTCGACTTTGTTCGTCGCAGAGCATTTGTGTTCTTGACGACGGCCTCGAACCGTTTTTCGAACCAATACAGTCGGGCGAAGACGACTGCCGAGTTGACGACGATGGGGTTGCACATCATGGCGAGGAAAAAGAGCATAAACTGTTGACCAGTCTTCATGTTGTCCACGTCGACGGTGTTGAGACCGCTCTGGGTGCAGCTTCCGGATGCGAAGAACAGGGCGTCGATGTATGCGATATCACCGATCCCATACATAATGACCGAGCCCAGAATGGTCATCCCAATCATGTACAGATAGTGTATGGTGATAAAGTTCAACCTCCTCTTGACGAAGAGATCGGGGATGATGTTCCTCTTGCAGAACTCCCATAGATTTCTCGCCCATTCTGATGTCAGGCCCATGGTTCGGGCTGGTAGCGGATGGAGACTGAGTCGAGACTATGTTTGTGAGGACTCTGTTCTGGCGGGTACTCAGGGTTGCACGTCAGGGTAGGTCGTTCCCTGTAGCATTAGGGCAGGAGCAGAGGAGTGGGAGTGAGAGTGAGGAGCGACATGACAGCGGGAGCGGTGGGAGGAGATGTTGACTGTTGGTCAAGCAACGAAAACCACATCGTGCAGAAGAGGAGGAAGGATGAGACCCAGGGACATCAGGTTGGGGATCTGCATGGTGAGTAGGGCAGGGAGCACAAGGGGAATGATAATAATATGATGAGGAGGCATGACGCCAAGTTGAACAGCAGGGAAAAGAATCTTTCGGGCAGTCGAAGTGGAGGGCGTCGAAGGCGCCATCCACAGCGCCGGGACCCCGCAAGCCCAAGGCTAACTGGGAGCAGTTGGTCAACGGTATTTCGTGCCTTGCTTAACATTGCTTGTTTTTCCTTTGGGCTCTCGCCTAAGCTGACACACCTTTCTCACTTTTCGGTGAAGGGCCATGTCTAACGCCACGTTGGCCTAGAAGGGCCTTCCTCGAACGTCAAAAGGCCAGCAGCATCATCTTGTTCCACATCGAGGCAGTCCTGAACATCATTTATTCACACCGCCACTTTGTCCAAACGCTCTTGAATAAATCCCCTGTTCCAGCACATGCAGATGCCTTCTGCCTTCCCCTACTACTGCGCTTCCTGTCATCCCAAACCCTCCCTCCTCCTGCGCTCCGATTGGCACGGTCAGTCTCTCCAAAAGCTACTGCTCGCTCACCCTTACTCATCCTACTGCATATTTTTCTTCCTTCGTCGATCCTTTTGCAAACGATATATACCCCAGAAACGAACCGGTTGGAACCGTCCCGCGGCCGGATACAGCCTGTCGAACGCGCCTACAGCGAATCCGGTGGCTGAGTGATCTTTGGAAGATGATCACCATTCAGATTCTTGATCAGCTTGCCGATGCCCGAGTGACTGTAGTCCTTGGAGTTCCACATATCCTTGTGATACCGCACCTTCCCGGCGTCGTCGAGGGACAACGAGACTAAAGAGTCGACTTCCTTTGGGATGTTGACCACCTTGGGAGTGTACTCCTGTCTTAGCTTGAAGACGATGTCCGTTGGCGTGTCCTGGACCACTTCGACCTTCTTCGTTTCTAGTTTACTGAAAATCTTGGGGAGCCCGTACCACTGGCCGGCAATTTTGTATCGGGTGTCGCAATATGACAGCGGGTCGTCGTATATCGCCTTCTCTGCATACACCGACATGTCTTTCTCGCTGCAACTGCCAGAATAGAGGTTTGTGATCGACGTGACAATGGCCTTGTGCTCGGGAGATATTTTCAACGAGCGTTCAGGGTGAGGTTCGTAATCAATATTGCCGTCATGACCCGTCAGTTGCTGGGGATCTGGATGAGGTTCATACTTGGTATGAAGCTCCTGTGTCTTTTCTGCCATGATGACTCTCCTAGGTCCGAAGCCGAATTGATTGGGTGTGTTACTTACATTGACTGTGAGAATGTCTTCGCACAAGATGGTCAGTCTGGAGGCCTCCTGACCGGGAAGAAAAACACGGATCATGACGACATGACTCTTGGAAAACCTTGCACGGTGGCAGCATCAAGATACAGTCATCACCAATTTCATTGCGAAGTATTGCATGGCCTCGCAGCGTGTGTAGTTGTTCTACACTCAGCTCCATTGAAAAATCAGGTTGAATCATTTAACCCACACTTCACGGAGTTAGACGAGTAGAAGACAAAAGAAACTCGGTCTCCGTTGTTCTGTCTTCCATCACAGAATCTAATCTTTGTCATTCCTTGCCGTGTGTGCTGGTCTAAATTAAGCATCTCGACGTACAAACTCCTGCCCGGTCAGACGGACATGTGAATCAGTCTGTTTTCATTTTTTTGTTGATACCTTGTACATTTGCATACTGTGCAAAGAGCCCTGAACCCGGGAACTACGGCATCGTGGGGAGGTGTCGGGGTCGGAAGTTCCACCATTGATTATATAAACAATGACTGCGCGTCGGCGTCCGGGGGAGACACAGCTGCACTCCGCCGCCCCTCCTTTGGGAATGGAATTCTGCATGTGCGTCTGGATCTGGGCCTGAGTCTGGGCCTGAATCCCCTGTACGGAGCACACGAGATGGCAATTATGTTTTCTAAGAAAATCACGAGGACCAGCAACGGAAGAGGTAGAGCTGGGTATTAAGAGCGAGCTTAAGGCCGTGTTGGGGTAAGGTATACGAGGAATTATGACAGCATACTTGTAGGTATGCAGCAAAGAACAAAAAAGCATGCCATGAATGCGGCGATTGGGCGGGGTTTAGATAATCTACGCGTGTCAGTCTCAGCCGGGGAACTGTTCAGTCAACACACCACAAAAGGACGATAACCCCGTCATGGAAAGGATCAGAGCTTATGCCTCGAGCACAAGACCTCTATGCCTCTTTTATGCATAGTAAATGATGCAAGAGCTGTTGACCGGGTGGTCTTCTAGCGACGCCGGCGCAAGGCTAACGCCCCCTTGGGCCAATTGTATGGGCATTCAGCCTGCTGCGCCCTGCTTGGTGCGGTTATCACGGCAGTCTCCTTCCCAACACAGATTCTTCGTGACGAGATGTCGAGACGATCCCGAGCTTCTTTTCTATGTGGCACCATAGCCAAATGTCCTCTTGTCTGACGAGTGCAAGACCGAAATCCCTTCAAACCTTCGAGGAGGGGGCTCGCCCTCCGAGCGCCGAGGGGATCTTAACGTGATGCCAGGTGGTGATGGTCCCTGGCAACCCACGATCTGCCGCCATGGGCGGAAATATGGAGATATGGATGTCTCGGCATAGCGCTGTGCTGCTTGGGTGCATATCGTAATGAAGATGTGACTCTGCTTTAATACCAGCCCACTCGCCCGTGCCTGTCTCGTGAAGTGTGCTGTCTCCAGGGTCACACACGCACGTCTCTTTCTCCCGGAAGGCTGAAGCACCTGAGCAACACTCACCATGTCGAACTCACCGGCCAACTCGTCCACCTCAACCCTCACAAACGAAGACGTCGAGAGCCAGAAAAATGAGCCTTCGAGCAGAAAAGTGCCCCACTGGCGCCTCGTGGCCAGCCAGTCACTCATCACGGACGAAGTCTTGAACCATCGATACAAGGGCTCGGGCACAGAGGAAGACCCCTATATCGTCGAATTCATCCCCTCCGACCCTCGCAATCCGATGGAATTTCCAGACTGGAAGAAATGGGCTCTCACCGTGACGGTGGCCCTTGCGACTCTGGCCGTTGCGTTCGTCTCCACGGCCTACACTGCCAGCACAGAACAGATCATCGAAGCCTTTGGCTGCAGTCTGGAGGTCGCCACGCTCGGTGTGTCTCTTTTCGTCCTGGGATTCGCTATCGGGCCACTTCTGTGGGCACCGTTGTCGGAGCTGTATGGCCGTCAAGTCCTCTTCTTCGGCACATATGCCGTTCTTACCGCATTCAATGCTGGCGCAGCTGGTGCGAATTCGATCGCCGGTCTGATCGTGATGCGATTCCTCGCTGGCACCTTTGGCGCATCGCCGCTCACCAACGCCGGTGGCGTCATTGCGGACATGTTTCCCGCCAATCAACGAGGCCTCGGCATGAGTATCTTCGCCGCTGCCCCCTTCCTAGGTCCTACCATCGGGCCAGTTGTTGGAGGCTTTATCGCTGAGACCGTGGGATGGCGTTGGGTCGAGGGTGTGATGGCCATCTTCACAGGCTTGCTGTGGATCTTCGGCGCCTTGGTCATCCCGGAAACCTATGCCCCTGTCATCCTTTCTCGCAGGGCCAAGGCACTGACCAAGAGAACGGGAAAGCTCTACATCTCTGCCATCGAGAGACGGCAAGGCAAAGTCACGCCCCAGGCTGCCTTCTCCAAGGCCCTCTCCAGACCTTGGGTGCTGCTGTTCCTCGAGCCGATCGTCCTCCTCATCTCCATATACATGGCCATTCTGTACGGCACGCTGTACATGCTCTTTGGTGCCTTCCCGATCGTCTTCGAAGAAGAGCGAGGTTGGTCTCAGGGCATCGGCGGGCTCGCTTTCTCCGGCGTCGCGGTGGGCATGATCTCGGGCGTCCTCTACGCCATCTATGACAACAAGCGATACGCGCGCGTCGAAGCCGAGCAGGGTGGCGAGGCGCCCGCCGAAGCACGTCTTCCTCCCGCCGCTGTGGGAGCAATCGCGATCCCAATCGGCATGTTCTGGTTCGCATGGACCAACTATCCATCCATCCACTGGATCGTGTGCATCATGGCCTCGGCGCCCTTCGGATTCGGTATGGTCAACGTCTTCCTCGCGTGCATGAACTACCTCATCGACGCGTACACCATCTACGCGGCGTCGGTGCTTGCCGCCAACTCGGTTTTGCGTTCCTTGTTCGGCGCCGTTTTCCCACTCTTCACCGTGCAGATGTTCCACAACCTGGGCATCCACTGGGCCAGTTCGATCCCCGCGTTCCTGGCGCTCGCCTGTGCGCCCTTTCCATTCGTGTTCTACAAGTACGGCGAGAGCATCAGGATGAAGTGCAAGTATGCCGCCCAGGCACACGAAGTGATGCAGCAGATCAGGTCGCAGAACAGGGAGGTCGAGGTGGAAGACGACGGCGAACAGGAGGTCGAGGCAGAAGCCGAGGTCGAGAAGATGGAGGAGAAGAAGGCTGAAAGCCAGACCTAGTTTCGGACACCTGATGTTTTTCTTCTTCTTTCAGATGGACGAGGAGCATGCAGCTCTTTTGGTCCCATCGAGGGGCCCTTCTTACTCGTTAGTTGATTGATGTTGTGTTCCGGATCTGGATGTCGTTTCGTGACCTTTTTCTCAGCGACGGCGCTGGGGGGAAGCTTGTTCAGGGATGCATTGCTGAATATCTAGAAACTTGGCACGGTCTGCTTCTTTCGTGCATCAAGCAGCCGTTGGTGTGGGTGTTTTATGGCAAGCGGTGGGAAGGGAAATCCGATGGACCTCGAGGGTTCATATAGACTAGACTCTAGAGGTTTTGGGCGGGAGACAGGGCATGATGGGAAATGAACACGAAAAAAAAAACATCCAAAATGAAGATAAGAATCATTCGATCTCTCTGTTGGTTCAAATATATATGTATTTATTTAAGGCATCCCATGCGTGAGCCAAGCCGGTCCTTTCATTCCTGACAACATCAAAGGACCCCACGAGGCTTTCAGGCTTAGGCCATACACATTCATTTATTCATGTCCCCAGGTGTGTCACTGTGATCCTGGTCCTTGTTGTACCTGGGGCAGCGATCGATCGCCTAATTATGGGTGCATTATGGTCTATTTATTGTCAATCCCTAGATCATAATTTAGAAGTCTCCGTGCTCTTGAGCTTCTCATCTCTTGCCTCATCACCGCCTTCAACGTCCTTGAGATCTCTCTCCAGGATCGCCCATGGGCTCTTCCCGTTGCTGTTGTCGGTCCCGGAGGGCAGATCGACGCCACCAACCACGTCGTGAAGATATTTCAACACCGCGCTGCGCATGTCCACCAGACGTGCTCTGCGGGTTTCTTTCGACTCGCCTGAAATGTCGTGCTGTGCATGGGGGATGATGAGGGAATGGGGGGACAGCGTTGCCTCCGCAGTGGATTCAAGCGCCGACTTCCAGCGCGAGAGCAGCAGGGCTTTATCCACTGTCGGCGGGATACTCTGGTCGTCGGCGCCCTGCAAGACCAACACGCTTTTCTTCGCCCCCTGGCTTGACGGCTGGAGATGCGGAACGGCGCCAATCTGACCAAACGTCTCTCGGAGCCTCTGATCAGACAGGTCACTGGAGTAGTAGTCGTCCATGGCTGGACGCCCTGGCGAATCCGGTGACGCCAAGCTGAGGAAGCGGGTAATGGAGATTGGAGAAGGGCCGAAGAGCGGCGTTGTGAGGTCCATGGGCAGAATTGTTGTCTTGTGTTTCTCTCCGGGCGTTGAAGAGGCGATTTGCAAGGCTGCTTCATAGCCTAATTTTGCGGCGGGGGATTCGAAGACGGCATGTAAAATGGCTTCGCGGTCGGATACTGGAGCCTGTAGGATGGCGCCTGAGACGCTTGGGCGCGGAGAGGACGTTGACACCGGAGAGACGAGATAGTGCATGAGGTCTTGACAGCCCGTAGAATGACCCATCAGGACCACTGGCGTTGAGGGAGACTGCGTTATGGTTTCTCTGATATATGTGATTGCGGCGGCGATTTCTCCGACCTACATTCGTGTCAATGCGACCCGGTTGTGAGAGAAAGAGGGACCCGAGTTTCCTTTCCCATTGCCAAACAGACGGATTCATCGAGTCATGGAATGCCTTGTTCCCTGTCGCAGAGATCGTTGCGCCAAAAGGAAAGGCTTTAGCTCGGCACCACTCACATCTCGATCCAGATCAAACAACCCCCAGCTCCTCCCATTGCTCGAGAGCTGGACGTGCATCACCCGCCATGTCTGGTCCGCAACATCGCGCGGGAAGAGCGCCGCCAAGTCGTCGACGTAGGCTGGGCTCCGAAAGTTGTCATAGAGTCCGCCCACGAAGAGAAGGACATTTGGAGGGGAGGACAGGGGCTGGGGAGAGGTCTTGTTGGTGGTGTTTCTATACTCGAGGAGGAGAAGGGTTCGCTTCGGGTAGTAGGTGTGAATGATGGCTTCCATAGCTCGTGGAGAGGATGGTCAGGGTTTTGGTGGCTGCCTGAAGCCCAAATGAAGGCGTCACCAGCGTGGTGAGAGATACCACATGGTCAAAGTTGTCCGTCGGTTACATAATTAACACATAACTGCCGGTATCGGATGGATGCCTCGCCAGCCCAAAGCCAACAAACAACCCCCGTTGCCCCTCTTCCAGGAGCTTCTTGTCCTCCAGAAGTTCATTTTTCATCTCTGTTCTCTGTTACGAAAGAAAACCATAAGCAGACATGCTCTATTTCTTCTTATCCCCTTCCTCAGGATATTTTCTGTTAGCCCCGTTGTCGGTGAGATTTCATGGACACGATTGGTGGGCGCCAGCGGGATCGCCAACATGACTGCCAACCTGCAAAGAACCTACCATGAACAGCAGCGGTACCGCAGAGAAGCAGAAAGGAGAACGATGCAGAAGACCAGGGCTTGCAAACCCATGCTGCCGTGAATATTAGCGTCGACGCAAGTCTTGCATGGTGCCCCCTTGCAGACAAGTATCTAGCTGGATGCACATTGACCACTCTGGATGCACCAAGGATCAGGTCTCAACAGAGGTCACACGTCGTCCTGGTGGCAGTCTTAACGTGTGCACCAAACCGACGCAATCCGTTGTTAGCGAGACCAATTGAGGGCAACTTACCTCCTCAAAGTGCTCGGTCAGGGGTCGAGTGTTCTAGCCCTCATGACAAGCGAATTTTGCCCCAGTCGACTTGTTCAACCGTCCTCCGCCTCCCCCGGTGCCTAAGACGCAGGAAGCTTAGGGTTTCTTCCGACTTCCGGAGTGTCTGGATCCCAGGGCAGTCCTTGACAGACGGAGAGGGGAGGGCTCAACTGCTAGGTACTTGCACCAGTACAGGGCCGCAGGGCAAAATCCAGCTGATCTATCTACCTACCTACCTACCTACCTATATGAAAAACGGCCATGTACAATATTTCCAATACTCGACTGTGTTGTTTGGGGAAATGACTGGGGTATACATATCCTCGGCAATACCCAGCCGAAAAGCAAGCCAGTCTACGAACCTAATCCCCACCAACCCTTGAGATGGCAAGAGAAGTATCCATGCTACACGTGGAAAGAGGCTGCCCTGACACATTTGACTAAAATACCCAGTCGCTTCAAATTGTGTCTGGCGACAGTTCGTCAAACAACCCTATCCACGGCTTCGTGGTACTAATCGCTCCTTAAATTCAGCCACTTGGATTAGCACAAAGTTTGTCTCATTGTGCCTCCAATTGTTCGACTGCACCGAGTTGCGACGAGTACCGGGACGCTCGCCCCGACACTAGACACCGTTCTATTGCTAGGAGCCTCGTATTCACAAAATTCGCGTGAGATTATTCACCTTTCGTCGAAACCACCCGCCATCAGTCGGCATACACCCACTCAGCGGGAAAAGGCCATGCCCTTCCATCCCTTGCTGCCAGATCCCGAAGCTGGTGGCAGGCCTGGGGGCCGTAACAGCTGCCAGTTCAAGCGGCAGATTGCTCATTTCCTGCGCATGACGATTCAGCAAAGCTCCTTCTACGCTGCGCTCCATATGTTTCCAAACGATCAGGCTGTGCACCCTTACTTGTACAGTGGCGACCGACCTCGCTGCGGCTCATTTATGTAAATAAGCGAGCATATCCCCACCATGGTCAACGGCTGTCCCACTACTCAAGTCTAGTCGTCTCCATGAGCTTCGAGAAGCTAGTGTTCATGCAGGAGAGCGAGACAACCTCGAGTCGGAGGAGACTCGACATCCCTTGAGAGAAGAAGCATTCGGCAGCCTACATCGTCACTCGGAAATGACGGGTGTAAAGCAATGCTCGCTGCGCCACGGCCTCTTCATGATCGCCTCTTCATACAGCATCATGGGTTTGCCGTTTCTCTTTGCCGAAAGCGGGCAATGTCAAGGAAGCTAAGGGAAGATCGTTCCTGCAGCCACGCAGTCCTAGTCATTTAGTTACAGGTCTGGTTCTCCCCTTGCAGCTGTTCAACTTCGACCAACAAAGCCCAGCCAACGGCAACCTTGTCCAAAATCCAAAGCTCAAATCACCGTGCACATTTGGCAGAGTGCCTGGCGGAGGTTCTGGAAAAATGCTAGGGATAGGACTAAAACACGCTCACGGCCATACCCCAGCCTCACCTCAGTGCCTCGAGTCAGTCCACTGCTGACCGTTCGAGTATGCTCTCGTCCGCGTTATTGGGACGGGCTCTTAGTGGCAACCGACCAGGGGTCTGTGAAAGGCGCCGGGGTTTTGCTATTTGTCTTGGTCTGCCCAGGACACGGCACCTGAAAGCGAGGCTTGGAAACCTGGCCACGGCCTTCCCAGAGAGCTCGTATTTGAGCATCATATATGGCGGTAGCCGATGCCTCCCCTCTACGACTTTGAATCCGTCCCTCCCACGAGCACTTTCCAGGTTACAGGCCTCTCGAGTTCCCAGTACTCGAAAGATTGTCGATGGCAACAATGCTGCTCAAACGAGACGCTGTTGACGACCACGTCCCTAATCCCCGAGGTGACACTGTGGTGACGGTCAATATCGCTCTGGTGGTCGTGGCCGGAGTCCTAGTCATCGCACGATTTTGGACGCGCATTGCGATCAACCACATGCTTGGTGTGGACGACTGGTGTGTCCTCATGGCCCTGGTAAGTAGTTTGACGTCTCCTGGCTCACCTGGTTATTCTTGCTCTCTAACCGGCCGTCAACAGCTGATCGCAATTACTATGACCGGTCTATTTCACGGAGGTACGTTCGGCACTGTCGTCCGTCACCCACTTGAAATGTGGAAGCTGACAGAACAATCTTGACAGAAACAAAGAATGGCTTCGGTCTTCACCAAGCCACAGTTAGCGAGGAACATATTCTGCAAGCTTGGAAAGTGAGTTGTAGCCAATCGTTACTCTGGAAGAACGATCCGAGAACAGATTGAGCATATCCTAACTGCTCCAAAAGTACTTCCTGGCCTGCCAAGTCCTATACAAGGCTGCCGCTCTTTTTGCGAAACTGTCGATGCTCTTCCTCTATCTACGCATCTTCTCTTCTCGCGGCTTCCGAATCGCCGCTTACATTGTCATGTTCATATGCGTCGGCACTGCCATTGGGACGATTTTTCCAACAATTTTCGCGTGTCACCCTATCCAGAAGGCATGGACCCCCACGTTGCCCGGAAAGTGTATCTGGACTCCCGGCATATGGTACTCTAGCTCGTCGATCAACATCGCCACGGACGTCATGATCATATTGCTACCTGTTGCTCAAATTCAATCTCTCAAACTGCCCAAGGCCCAGAAGTTTGGACTGGCTCTGCTATTCAGTCTGGGGTTCTTGTAAGGCATATTTGCCTTGGATTCCATCTTCCGCGACCGCGACTGACACATCTTTAGTATTATTGCAACTTGCGCGGTTCGTATTGGCACACTTGGCCCAGCAGCAACAGCAAAGGACAGCACATGTAAGCAACCTCCTCTACCCTGAATACATGCATTGATCCGATACGCCCTCGCCTGCAATAACGATAAGAACAAGTTGAACCCCAGAGTTGACCCTATCTTGCAGACTACCAGGCTCAGAATAACCTTTGGCTCGGCGTCGAAGTGAACACGTCCATCATTTGCACCTGCATTCCACCACTGAAGGCAACGATTACTAGATTCTTCCCACGAATATTCCGCGGCTCGTCCTATAATCACCCATCGACCAATTACCGTTCGAGGTCTGGAACATACCCGCTTTCCGACACCTATCATGGATCATCATCTGTCAAAGGGAGAGTCTCGTCGTTTCCTAATCCTGCCTCTCCCACCAAGGGGTTTTCCACGACCATCATTAGCAGTGGTGAGTCCAAGGCATATCCCATCAGCGAGTCAAACAGCGACGAGGTTGTCATGCTGCAAGATATGGCAAAAACTGGAGCAGATACATACAGACCCAAGCGCCGAGATGAAATTAGGAAACAGACTGAGGTCGAGGTCTCATATTTGCAGCCCGTTTAGACGGCGCGTAGACGGTGGGCTCTTTGGTCACGTATGAGACTTTCAGCTTGTCTGCCGCTACATACAAACCCGGGCAAGTGCTCGATATTGGATTTGAGCGTTGGTGCTTATAATAGGGGCGGCCGTTGTCTTTTGATTAGTTGTCTTGTTTCAGGCGGGAGAGATACCAGATATCAAGAGCTCAGAGGCCATGATGATGAAGACATGTATGGTAGGGAGGAGAGAGAAGCAATAGCGACAGAGCTGACTGTTTGACTGCTCGGTGATCATCTGTATTGTTATCTAGAGCTGCTGCGTGGGCGCAATGGGGCTCTCAAGTGGCCACTACTACTTGAGGTGAAGTGTCGGTGGACCGAGAATCCATAGTTGCTGCTTTAATGCTTCCGCTCCGTGATTTAAAGCGGCACGACATGCTTTCTGTTTCCCACTGAGCTATTGCTCAACAACTCTGGGCTTCGCTTCTGTTGTGTTCGCTTCACTCTTGTCGTTTTGACAGCCGCTTAGCCCTGTTACCAAATTGAAGAAATAACTGCCACAATGTTGTCATTACTCGCTCTCTACTGCTTTCTTGGCCCTGTGCTGGCTGCCTCGCTCCGCGTCTCGGTCATGCCCTCGAATATCCTTCCCAATCCTAATGTCCTGCCCGCTTCGACGCATGCCGTCCTAACTTCAGGCTCTGGAGAACCCATCAGGGCTGTCCTGCGGAAGGGCAATTACTTTGAGTTCCCAGAGATCTCCACCACCGGAGCACATCTACTCGACATCTACAGCCACGACTATGTCTTCGCACCCTACAGGATCGATATCTCCCCCTCCTCCGACTCGGCCGGCACTGTCATTGCAGGAGCCTGGGAAACATACCGCGGGACACGATGGGACGATCGAGGAGTCGCTCTGGTGGCCGCCCCGACCGAGCAATTGGACATGTCGGCCAAGATCCTGACGAGGAAGAACTTTTATGAACAGCGCCAGGGCTTCAACCCTTTGAGCCTGCTGAAGAACCCTATGATCCTCATGGCGGTCGTGGCCCTCGCTTTCACATTTGGAATGCCGAAGCTGTTGGAGAACATGGACCCCGAAATGCGCGCTGAATACGAAGAAATGCAGAAAAAGGGCCCTATGGGCGGTCTCACCCGTGCCATGCAAGGCGGAGGCTCTGGGTCTGCTGCAGAGAACTTTGATCTCGCAGGCTACCTGGCGGGGACTGGCAAAAGTACGGGCACGGACCGAAGCCCGGAGAGCATCCGCGAAAGGAAGCGATAGACAATGCCCTCTTAGCCGTCCTGGTGTCTGAACTCCTGTCGCACTGGCACTGTGGAATATTTTGTACGCGATAAATGGATATGGCTCTCAAACAACCTAGGACTTCTGCTGCCCCTCAAAGTTTTGCGCCTTATCCAATTGTGCAGTCAGCCACCCATCGAGATTAGCCCCAGACATCTGAGGACCAGAAACCAGCCCTTCAGCATCGAATGTGCAGTGTGTACTTCTCATTCTTCTCGAACAGTCAGCGGAGGAACACGAGGCTCCCGGAGCAGATATCCTATCATGAGGCCTCCCTTCGGCTCTCCACCGCCCCCGGCACGACCCCGCCAAATCGGACCTGATGTTGAACCCTGCTGCTACCAACCGCGTGAATTCCATAAGACGCAGAGCTGGCTTCATACAGTAATATCCCACTTGGGAGCAACCATTAAAACCGGTGTACGGCCGAAATGGCCCAGACTACGCGTGACCGAGCAACCCTGCTGATGACAGGGACCATGAATGCGAAAACTTGCGAAGGATTTGTGCGAACAGGCTGCGAGATATGATTGGGAACTACTAAACGACTAGCAAATCATAGGTCCGATCCAGCAAAGGGGACGAAATCCACTTTCGAGCCATACCGAGTATGTACATTTGGTTACGGTGACTTGTATCCTCAGTCTTCGACACGCATTTCCTGCCTGATGGACCACTACAGAAGCCTGCCTACTCGAGGTACTCAATCCTTCATGGCCCACAGCTGTGTTCTCAGATGATCTTGGCACCTCACGCAGGAGCTCGGCCAGGCCCTTGATCGGCCGCTCACGAGTCCTTCTACGTTGGGCCCCCCAGTGAATACGAGTTATCTGGCTCATAATGGCCTCGTTCCTTGTTGCGACCGTTACCGCCGCCAGATGTCAGATTCTGCTCGCTTGACTCGCTTGAGGATTCGGACAGACGGTGTGGTCAAGGACCGACGGCGCACGGCCTGAAAGATAAAGTATCAGGGCTTCCCGCCTCCGGTTGCCCCTGCAACTCTCGTCTCGTTCATCCATTACCCCTCGCTTCTCCTCATTCCAGAGGTTCTTCCCCGACTCCACCAGGCGCTCCTAATTCCGCATTGTGCGAAGCTTAGGTTCTTCTATATCTACAGTAGGTGGGCTGTGGAAGCCCTTCTGCTGGCTCGCTCTACACCTCGCCTGGTCATCGCCGCAGACCAAAAGAACTGTCAACAGCTGGATTCAAGCCATGGAGGCCCAAATCAGACCAATTCTGGAAGCTGCCGTCAAGGACAAGAAGGTCCCGGGTGTAGGGTGCTTCATCGTCGACTCCAAGGGCAACTTCCTGCTCAAAGAGACCGCCGGTACGACTCATCTCCAAGATCCCGATGCCGCCCCTTTCGACGCCGACACCACGATGGCAATGTTTTCATGCACCAAACTTCTGACCGTAATTGCTGCGCTGCAACTGGTCGAACAAGGCAAAATCTCCCTCTCAGATCTGGTAGAGAAATATGTCCCGCGGATTTCGAAGATTCCGGTGCTCGAGTCCGTCAAGACAGATGCAGATGGCAAACCCGAGCCCGTCTTGCGCTCGCCAGCGTCAAAACCTACCATTCTGCAGCTCTTGACCCACACGTCGGGCTTTTCGTACGATTTCTTTGACCACGGAACACTCGCATACCGCGTGGCCACGGGTCGCGCCCCCATGCAATATCACGGGATCAGTGACTGGGAGGACTATGAAACTCCGTTGGTCGCCGACCCGGGCACCAAATATGTCTATGGCGTCAGCATTGACTGGCTTGGCTTCGTTGTCCAGGAAGTCTCTGGCCAGTCCCTGCCCGACTATATCGCCGAACACATCTGCAAACCCTTGGGCATGAGTGAAACAGGTGGTAAACTTCCGCCGGGGAAAAAGGGCATCTCTATCGTCCACTTCGATATGCCCGATGGAGTGGGGCTCGTAGGAGTTCCAGACGCAAAGCATAACGAAAACCCTAGGGTCTGGGGCGGTGGAGGATTCATCTACTCGACAATGAATGACTACGCGAAATTACTGGCGGCGCTACTGAACCAAGGCACCTCACCTACCACGGGCAACTCGATTCTGAAACCTGAGACGGTCCAAACCATGCTTTTCAAAGACCTCATTGGTCCAGACGTCGACAAGTCTGGCATTGGGGAAGTTGGAGCTAGCATTCCGCAAGCCTCACTTGAGGGGTCCTTCTTGCCTTCCATCCCGCCCGAGAAACGGGGCTGGTCGGCGGGGTTGCTCATCAACACGGACGATTTGCCCCACGGTCGCAAAGCCGGGTCGGGCGCCTGGGCTGGCCTCGGGAATTTGTACTACTGGATCGATCCGACGACTGGCATCGCCGGGATGATTTGCACGAGCATCCTGCCCTTCTTAAACCCTACAGTTATGAGGTTATTTGATGAGCTGGAGAGGGTCGCCTACGGACACGGGGTCAGCAATGATGGAGTGGATCCCGAGAAGAGGAATTACAGACCCAAGTTGTGAGCAGCTTGGTGACTTCTGTTTTGGATTTCTCTGTTCGCTGAGGTCTATCAACTGGGAAGGCAGAGTTGTCTGTCTGTCTGTCTGTCTCAATCTATCCTTTTTCCTTCTCCTAAGTAGCAGAAATAGGTGCTGTGACTTGGGGGACTGGACCGACCTCGAGGATGGAACGAAGCTTACAAATGCGAGGATACGGTATGTCGGTCGTTCGGTCGACTGGATCGAATTACAGACTACTGGAAGGAAGTCAATCAACCGCTCTTAACGAATATCAATGAAGATTCCGCCCTGCCCCAACAATGCACACCTGCTACAGTACGTAGGTTCGTGCACCTGGAGGACCGGAACAATATCTCCTTCTAGTAGGCGCTCTAGGTGCTCTAGATCTTCTAGGCAGGCAAGGAATTATGTGTCCAGAAGGAAAGAAAAAAGAAGAGAACACCCCCCGCGTTCCCCTTCCGGCAATTACCCTATGCAGGCAGGCAGGTGAGCGCTTGTTATGATGGCCTCACTAGCCTAGTGTAGTGGTATCCCCAGCACCCCTGCCTGTCTGTACATACCCCGCCTTTGATACATATTATGTGGCGACGTAGGTACGGAGTAGGCAGTTTGGGAGGACCGAGTAATCTTATGTTGTCGGCAACCGAATGGTCGGAACTATGGAATTGAACGACTAATCAGCTCGTTTGGCCGCCCAATAATAATTATGTTATCCGACTCGCCGAGTCTCCAGCCGAGTACGAGGTCCGTATTAATATTAGCTCGTACCTGTTGTGTATAGCCTGAGGTATCCATGTATGTACCGTAATGACTGCTTGCTCAGTTTGCTTGCTTGCTTGCTTGCCTGCTTGCCTGCTTGCCTGCTTTACCTATGTACCAACCCCCTTCCTTGCCTTGATCTTCATCCCCTTCTCCCCTCCCGCATGCATCAGACGCGGCGCCATCCGATGTCTAAACCACACACACACACACACAGCGCCAGATCCTCGCTCCGGCATTGGGTACTGATAGTCAGTCGTACTCGTAACTCGATGTATAGTATCCAGGCAATCTCTTCTTTCATTCAAGGGTCCATCGGCTGGGTGGGTGCGTATATCCGTCTGTCTATTCTTGTGGCGCACCAGCGTCCACACGGGGCCGGGCTGGTTGAGGGGAGAAGAGAAGTAGAAAGGAAGGTGGTGGTGGCGGCGGCTGCTGCTGCTGCTGACTGACTTGACTAATTGAAAAGCGGACATTGACTGTGATTCTCTTATATGCCTCTTTCTCACTCTCTCTCTCACCCTGAATGCTTGGTGCTATAATACACTTATGCTATATAGCCTGCCTGTACCGTTGCCCCCCCAACCCAAACACCCCACCCCTTCAATGCTATCATACTCATATATGCTATGCTGCCATTCCATGCAATTCTAGCTCTGTCGTATCTTCCTTCTCCAGGCTGATTTAGCCAAGTCGAACGCCCCGTTCATTTGCAGGGAACCTCCTTGCCCAGAATGGTGCCTTTGCAAAACCGTGAAATGCCCTTGTGGCCCTCTGGATCGACAGCAGTATGTGCTGATGGAGATCCATGTCCTTCGGTATCCAGCCCTGCTGCCCGGCTAATGCTTTTGTCGTTGTCTCAGCTACACTGTCTTTGCCCTCAATGCGTGCGTGATGTATGAGGAGCCCGCGCGGTCATCACCTTGATAATCGCCAGTGAATCACCCCGCCCTGGTTGATGGAGCTCAGGACCGGTCCCTGGGTAGTTCATTCAAAGCCTGTAGGAATGTCTCCGGAGAAAGCTATTCCGTCCAGTTGCCGTCGCTTGTTGCTGGGGATGCTCTCGGTACGCTGAGTGACTGAAGGTGCTGCTGATCAGCAGTCGCTATCCGCTGGTTTCTTACGACACAACTGATTGAGCTAATCTCCGACATCTATGTGACTTATTGAGATTTGGACTGGAGTAAGCTAATGGAGTAAGTGTCGCAAATATGTCCCTCTCAATGTCGTGAGGCTGAGTGAAGAAAAGAGAGAGAGCCTTCTTGTGCGATCGTGACTTGTCCAGAAATTTTCTGCACATATCTCGACTGCACCAATTGATCAGTATCCAAGGTTGGCGTGCGTCAATCGGTGTATTCATTATGGATCGAGCTCGCGAACAAGGCAGTGTCTGTGAAATCCGAGAAGATCTCCGGGAACAACTCCTCGATCGAGCCTTGGCCTTGTTGCGTGATGAAGCCGTCATCCGGCAGCGGATCCCCGAGCATGTCCTCATCCGCATAGCCACGCCTGTCGCTTGGTTCGACTCGCATCGACACGGGGGGCAAATTAGGAGTCCCCACCATCGGCGCCTTCGGTAGCGAGTCCTCGATGCGCTTCAGCACCGTCTCACTCTGCGACAGGGCCGTCTCTGCCAGGTCCCATTGATGTTCTTCGTGGAATTTCCTCAGGCAGTCCACGAGGGTCCGGGCGCTTCCCATGCACTGTGTCCGGACATTCGAGTAGCTGGTCTGGAGCGCACAGCGGAGAAGTAGAGTCACCGCTGACGTGAAGTGATGAGCATTGTAGGGTAGCCAGAAGCCTATCAAGTCCTGCTTGTGCAACGAAGTGACAAAGCGAACGATATCCTCTGCCGCAGCCTGACAGCCAAGCAGCCACGATGAGGCAGGATCGCTCTCTCGTTGGCTGATCTCGTGCCAGGCTATGCGTCGCAGAAGCATGCGGACCGAGAGATACGAAAGCTGCAGGTTGACCAGACCCGGCACGGGCGGCCGATTGTTGAAGTCGCTCAGATTCAGCCAACTCGGACGGCTTTCCATCCAGCGGTTGAGTTCGATTTCTGATCTCGAAGTTTGCTCAGCGGCAATGCTGTCGTTTCCCGACCGGATGTGGTAGATGAGTGGGAGGACATCCCCAACGATTTCCGTCAGCCGACACAGGTGAATGTAAACTTCGGCGGCACGAACGTGTTTGACAGATCCGCCCCTGCCCTGAGTGAGCAGCTCCACCGTTGGAAGGGGGACGTCATAATGGCCCTTCGAGATATAGGGAGGCGTCCCTTGGGCGAAATTGAACCATCGGTCCTGGATCACCACTCCCCACCAGGCTTTCCATCGGAGTTTCTTTTCCATGTCACCGATCTTCCACTCACTACAATCGTGATTCAGACCGATCGCGTGCGACAGGGCGACCGCCCGCGCGACCTCCGCCACGTTTTTCACCAAGCACCGAGAGGGCCGTCCAGAGATGTCGATGCACGTGGAGATGATGGTCGCCAAATCGCCTTTCTGTATGTCGGCGGTGTTAGCCGCCACTGCCGTCTGCCAGGCGAAATCCTGGTCGGGTCGGGCATATCCCGCCAATGCCGGCGAAGTATCCCAATAGAACAGGGCATAGGCTATTGTGTTGACGAAGAACGTCTGAGGCAATTGACTTCGGTCCTTCAGCCGCGACATGACACATTCTTCGTCGGTGACCGGATAGCAGGGATGGAAGTGTTCGTAATAGTTAGCCAAGAGTTTATCGAGGAACGGGTCGACTTGTTCCAACAATTCGCCCGGCATGTTCCTGGCGCAATTGCAGTCCGTCGGGCTGGGTCTCCGGGGCGGGATCGGCACATGGTAGATGGCCTTTTGCGACTCTCGTCTCCCGAGACTCGGCTGGATAGGAACATGACCCGGAGCACCGTTGGTCTGGGGTAGATACTGGTCGAGAACTTGAGTGTCACGTGCGACCACCGGGCCGACGATGTGAGAAAAGCCTTCCATAGACTTATCGTCGGCGATCAACGAGCGATGGACGAAGCCGACCTTGGGAGTCACACGGTCGTCTTTCTTGGCCGTGGCGGAAGAGCAGGGCACGCCATGCATCCGACATAGTAAGCATGCCTGGCCGGGGATTTCGATGGTACATCGAGACCGTCGTTTGTGGCAGCGAGCACAGGCGGGATATTTGTGGGAACGATAGGGACGGGCGGTCTTCATGGCGGCGGAGGTGACGGACGGATGGCCGGTGGTGGTGGTGGTGTTGTTGTAGTCCTGGAGAAGAGCCTCAGCCAGTACCGGGATTGATGTGAACGACGACAACGTGCCAGGGGACACAGGGCTCGTTGCGGGCGATGATGGGGAGGTGGACTCGGACGGTGTCAGCGTTGGAGGTTGAGGCGAAGCAGAAGCAGTAAGGGACGAAGCGGGCCGGTCACGTGCACCGGCGGTGTCTGCTGCAACGTCGCCACGTGACTCTGCTTTGCGCTTGTTGTTTCCTCCTCCGCCGCAGCTGCTTGAGCTGCCACTACTAGACTCCATCTGGGCCATGGTGCTGACTGCAGACCTGACGCGAACCCACGCCCCGAACTAATATTCTCTTGGGCTGTCTTTCATTGTTCTCGGGGCCAGAGATAAAAAACAGTGTGTGTGTCCGCAACCACCAGTGGCCGTGGTAGTGGCACGCCGTCATATATCAATGGGTGGTTAGTGGTGGCGGTGGTGGTGGTGGTAGTGGTGGTGCTGCTCTCGTCCTTCTCCCTAAGGATTGTACCACCACATCTTCCGGCGCCTCAACAAGACCCTGTCTTGGCTAATGGTTTGGTCCTTGTGATTGCAGATCGCCACCCCGAATGTGATCCTTGCGATTCTGCCACTGTGAAATCGTCCGCAAATCCTCGTTCCCGGGCGACCTGTTACCGACCAGAAAACACTTATCAGGGGGGGCACGTTCACGCCGTCTACACCAGGCTCCGCCATGCCTATACGTTTGCTCAAATGAGAGGCAGAGTTTCACGATGGAGACGAGGGCTGTGTCCAGTCACCGTTCGCATTTCCCGTCCTGCCCTCCCCCTCCGGGCAAAGTCGACCCCAACAATGCACCACAAACCACGCGAGTTTCCCGACGGAAGACCCACCGTCACTCGTGTATATCAGTTCCCTTGTTACCTGATGGAAATTGCCCAGTTGAGCAGAGGCGTCTGTGACTACCAGTTCCGTAATTTCCAAAGGAGAACTTGGCCCAGCCCCATTTCCTGCAGTCTTTGTCAGTGCTTTCGGCCGTTGCGGGATCGGGTGCACCAGCGGGAACGAACCCTATTCTATACGGAACCATGGCTCCCATGATCGAGGACGGTGTCCAGCCACCCTCCAGCAGCCAGGTGCATGCCAAATCTGAGGACCGACCCAACATCTACACCGATGTCAAGGAGAGTGAACTCCAGGAGACGGCAAACGCCTGCTTGGCCAACTATGGCACCAAATTCGAGAAGGACATCATCACCGGCAGCAAAGGACTATACGTCTACACGGCCAGCGGCCACCAGGTCATGGACTGGACGTCTGGCCAAATGTCCTGTCTCGTAGGGCACGGCCACCCAGAGATTGTCTCCACGATCCACAACCACGCCGCGAATTTGGACCATTTATTCTCTGGCATGCTGTCGCCCCCAGTCATCAACCTGGCCCGGCGGCTCACGTCGGTTCTACCAAACGGGTTAGATAAGGCTTTCTTCCTCTCCACCGGGGGTGAATCCAATGAGGCCGCCATCAAGATGGCCAAGGTCTACACGGGGAAGTTCGAAATTGTCGGCCTGGGAGCCAGCTGGCATGGCGTCACTGCACAGGCGTTGGGAACTCAATATCACTTCGGTCGCAAGGGCCAGGGACCCTTGATGCCAGGCATGCACATGCTTCCGCCACCCAATTCCTACCGCTCCATTTTCCGCAACCCGGACGGATCCTACGACTGGGAAACCGAACTCAACTACGGCTGGGAGCTGATCGACCGGGCCTCTTGTGGATCCCTGGCCGCCTGTATCGTTGAATGCATCCAGTCGTCGGCAGGCATGCACGTGCTGCCGCCGGGATACTTGAAGGCGCTCAAGAAGCACTGCGAAAAGCGGGGCATGCTGCTCATCGTAGACGAAGCTCAGACGGGCGTCGGTCGGTGCGGCGACCTGTTCGCCATCGAACACGAAGACGTCGTCCCGGACATCCTGACCCTCAGCAAGACGCTGGGCAACGGGCTGCCACTGAGCGCCGTGGTCATGAGCGCCGAGATCGAGCGCGTGTGCACTGAGCGCGACTTCTGCTTTTACACCACGCACGTGAACGACCCGCTGCCCGCGGCTGTGGGTGACAAGGTTCTCGAGATCGTGCTGCGCGACAACCTTGTCGCCAACTCACGTGCCATGGGCCTCCACCTCCAGGCGGGCCTACGGCGCCTCCAGTCCCGCTACGGCTGCATCGGCGACGTGCGCGGCCGCGGGCTCATGGCGGGCGTCGAGATCGTGGGCGACCGCGAGAAGAAGTCGCCCTCGATCGAGCTGGCCCGCAGCATCTCGCACAAGATGTACGAGCTGGGCCTTTGGGCCAACCTGAGCAGCCACTCGAGCTTTGGCGGCGTGTTCAGGATCGCGCCGCCCATCGTCATCACGAAGGAACAGCTCGACCAGGGCCTTGAGATTATGGAGAAGGCTCTGCAGACCACTGAGGGCACTATGCCCCTGTCCTCCTGATGGTGGGAAGAGAAATGATGTGTGACGGTGACTCGAGTTTGAGAGCACCAGCACCATATTCCCTGTCCTCCTTGACTTTTCTTTTCCTTTTCGCGTCTCTCCTCTTTTGGTGCTTAGGGAACCAGCAAGCATATCCACCGATCTGCGCTCGCGTAGACATACAGGGGTTGGGTGGCCTGGCAGCCTTGCCGAAGCGGGACAGGGAATGGCAGGTGGTTCGGTAACAGTTGGTCACCGGCTGCATGAACGTTCGATGATTGAACCCACCAGGGCACACCGGATAAAAACCCTCCCGGCAGAAACAACCGAGAGAGAAAAGCCCAGTTCCCATGTCTTGATGGGAAACGAAAAATACAAATGAACGGGTATACAGGGACCAAAGGACACGACACAGCCATGAGAGGAGACTACAAGGTGACACAGTACCTGCTTACCTATTTACGAGCACACTCTGTTTCCTGCCGCTGATGAAAAAGCCGGGAAACTCATGGACCAATGCAGAACCAATAATAATCATCTAACCCCCTTTTCCGTATTTGGATATCTTGTTTACAAGCACACCGCGCATCAAAGATGTACAGTGGTGCATTTTTGGTGGCATGCGTCGTGTCTGCTGTGCGTGCTTTCTCGCCAGGTTGCTTGCCCAGGGAAGCGGGAAGAGGGAAGACCAGGGCAGGACAGACCAGACCAGGGGGGATACTTCGATGGACAAATCTCCTGGGACATCCCAATTTCCTCTTTCGGGCCGCTAAAGGGAGCGTTGATCCCAGTGAAATATGACGGGTCCTCGGATCCGGACTTCCAATGATACTGACGAGGCTGACGCAGGGCGTTCATCGTTCCCATCACGATAACCCTCCGTGTTGCTCGTGTGAGTATTGTGCCGCCACGCCCAGACAAGATCCCCTGGATATTAAGCAGCGGAAGAGAAAGGCGAAGGCCGATACGCTCATGACTAAGCCCGAATCCAAAAAGCGGTTCCCCAGGTTTCCTTCTCGTCAGGCTGAGTCAGTGGGGTTTCACCAAGGAGGGTTTGTGCAGAAAGTGCCCTTGAAGGACATCATCTCAGTTGTGATTTGCTCTTTTCGGAATGTCGGTATTCGTCTGTATCGTGCACAACGGTGCGAAAACTGATTTTAGTTGCGTGCTGCTCAGTCTGTCGTCTGATCCGACGCATCACACCGCCGTCTCCACAACACCACCATCCCCTCTCAGACGGCTATGATGTCCAATATTATCCGATCCAGAAAGCCTCGTTAGGCCAAGAAAATGAAGTTCAGTTGAGGAACGAAGCCAGAGCGGCCGTCCCAGCCGTCAGCTCCACAAGTTTCAGACAGTTGTCAAACTTCTGACTCAGCCTCATCAACGCTTCGCGTGCCAATAGCAGCCCGCGACCCCGAATCCCTCGTTCAAGGCATCGCGTACAGTTTCTTGGCCGGGGAAATGGTGGACTGACTTCGGGGATCAGAAGGATTTCTCGGGCTTCTAGAAAATCGAAAAGGGTTGTTCTTTTGCAAGGTGCCAGTTGAGGGTTTCCGTCGGTTGAGGTAGCTCGTTCCCGAGAGGGGAACATGGACCATTTTCCGCTCCAGGGAGTTCGCTGTGGGTTCCATTTTGCAACCCTGATGAGTATTCATAGTGTGCGCTTGTCTCTGAAGGGTTTCCGGAACGAAGGGTAGAACAGCTAATTCACGTGTAGAGTTCATCAGGCCAGCGACACGCAGTGACAAATGCTTTGCAATGTACTGCTCTTGGCATAGCTGATGTCTGGAAGAAATTCCATGCTGTGAATTTCGTCTCGCGTGGAGCTGGGTCGATCTTTCCTTCAGGAGCCCAACTTACGAGGCTCACAGTGCAGATCGACTAGACAACTGAGCTCCACCACCTAGGGGTTCTGGAATACCACAAGAAGCGCTGAAGCAAGTGTCTGACCCTGAGTGCTCATCCGTTGTCTCTGTGTTGGAGGATATGGCCTCGGAGAGGAGATTGTATCAGATGATTATCTGCCTTCGGCCGAAGCCAACCGCAGTCTGATGCAGATGCGCTATGCCCTGTAAACTGCGAGAAGGGTTTTGCTTCGGTTTATGCCTGGACACAGCTCCTAATTGGCACAGGTTTCGCGCGCCCAATTGGTGATTGGTATTCGTGGGAAGAAAGTTGCCTCCCGATACAGCAGAATTCGTCAACTCAAAACTTGTCCCTGGTGAAGAATAGTCGTCACTATTCGCAACCGAACGAGCCAAATCAACGTTGTCCCACAGGTCGGAAACTTCCACCATACGAGTGCCCACGAAAAGCTGCATGAGCTGCACTGGCACCAGCTGATGACATGGTTTTTGTTATCTTCAGTCGGCTCGCGATTTGCAGCACGAAAGGTATATCTCAACTTGTGCTGACCAGTTGAGCCAGGGTTGAATCCTCCTGGCGCACGACAACCGGCAAATCAACATGGGCATCGTAGAATTTGATCCCCGACAAACACTGTCCAGAGTCGCTGATTCGCACATCTTGCCGTTCGTCGTTTCAAGACTCGAGTAGCTGCGTCGACGTCGATGATGTGTGCTGGCAAGTCTAGCACCTATCTGCATTGACATGATCAGGCTTCGTGAAGCTCAGCAGCTCGTTGATCGATTCTGAGAAAGTGGCCAGGCTGTGTGAGTGTATATCCGTGAGAACCCCAATTGCTTCGCTCGTTAGCCTCGGCTTGGTTCGTCCGACGTTCATTGAAAACGAGCGACAACGACACGGGGAGGTTCCAGGCTGAAAGGCGCGGGACGCAGTTACGGCGACTTGGGTTGTCTCTGCCGCGCTTTCGTCAGGAAGGCACGCAGGAAGCCCATTTCATAAAGGCTGTCTGCTCAGTAATCGAGTTCCCAATGAACATACAACTCTTCCATCAGGTTACCACCCTGCATTCTTCACCGTGAGAGAGCTTTGCTGAGGATTCTTCATTTCCCATCCACTGATGTCTGTGGGCTGCGTACCAAGCGTGAGTGTGGCTTCCACGCCTTCGTCGGCCGTAGCGTCGGGTGGTCGAGGATCCGGAAGAACGATGGCGGTGTTTGTCCTTGGAACTCTCTATCTGTTGAGGAGGAGCAGAAGCGCTTTCTTAACGCTCGATGTCGCTGTCGCTGCTCGGATCTGGGTAGACGGAAGGGGCAATGAGTTGCTGAATGTCATTCAATCTTGGTTGCTTGGGTTGTTGAGGTGAAGAGCACTCGGAGTTTATTACACACGATATTATTAACATTTTCCCGGTGGTCTGGGCGGTTCGTACGCACTGACTCAATCTCAGACCCCGTGGGATAGATACACGGCTCGATCGTGTCCATTGTGGTCATATATCTAAGGAATCGACCTCTACCATGGCCCCAGCGCTTTTCTTGCTTGCTTGCTTCAGCCAGAATCGCTCTGGTAGTAAACAGTTTCGAAACGTATTTCTTTCTTCAAATCCGGGCTGTTGTTTTCCATGCGTTGTATGCCTCGATCGTAAATTCATTCTTGCGCCTATGGATTCCCCTCAAGTCTTGCCGTGTCCCTCGCGCCCTGAGGACAGGCTGGTCACTCATGGAAGTGTCACATACTCTGAATAACGTCTTTAAGCCAGCATTCATTCATCGCTAGTTTGTGCAACCACCGCAGCACACAGAGGAAGAGAGCGAGAGATCTTGTTTTAAAAGTCTCCACCGTCGCCGCCATCACCACCACCGTCACCCCCGTTGTCTGCGCCATCTTGATAACCTTCCTGATAGGCATCTTGCGACCCGTCGTTGAAAGCATCCGCGAGCAGCGCACCACCAAGCAGACCACCACCGAGACCTAGTGCTGCGGCCCCTCCTGCACCAAGGCCAGATCGTTTAGGCGGAGCTTGTTGATATCCTCCATAGCCACCGTACCCCGGACCAGGGCCGTAACCAGGGCCAGGAGGTCCGTATCCGCCGTAACCCTGCGGTGGTCCATAGCCATATCCAGGACCGGGAGGACCACCGTAGCCTGGACCTGGGGGCCCGGGCGAGTAGCCTGGGTTATAGCCCATCGGCGGGGGAGGGTACCCGGAGCCGGGACGTGCTTGTTGCGGAAGTGGCGAGCTGTTGCTGCTGCTTGACTTGCCCAGTAACTTCCCAAAGAGACCCCGGGATTTGCCAGCGCTGTCTGGTCGCGGAGGTAGCTGGTTCGACGGGGACGTGGGAGAGCCGGGGTAGCCGCCATGAATGCCCGGGGGATTGGGACTGACGCTGCTGCCGGAGTTGTAGTACGACTCGGCCGCGCCGCGGGACTGCTCTTCCCGTTGGAGGCGTCGCGCCATCTCTTCATCTGTTTCGTGGTGGGATCCGGCCGGACTGCTCGTGTTGTATGGATTGTTCGACTCAAATGGACGCTTTGCATCGGACACTTGAGGGGCATCCCGACCAGCGGAGTAGGATGGAGGAGCGCCTGCAGGCGGGGCATCATCATGGGGACCGACGGCGGGCGCTGTAGGCTTCTCCCATGTCGATTTTTTGGTGTGGAGGTTGACGTAGAACCTGAAAGAGACGGGACAATGTCAGTGAGTGTAAGTATGGGGAACCATTGATAAAGCGTTGAGACGAGCAGATGATCAGTCAAGATCGTCGCCGACCGTCGTACCATTCTTTGTGTTCATCATTCCAGATAGCCTTCCAGCCTTCTGGGACCCGCGGCGGAGGTGGCCCAGGAGGCGGTGCGAAATCCGCCAGTTCGAGGAGAGAAGGGACCGGGTCTGGGAAAAGAGACAGAGATGAAGAGCAGAAAATATGAGGTCGAAATATGAATGAGGTATTGTTGATATAGGCGGCAAATGAAAGACGCAGATGAGGAATCTCAACGAGGGGTGCAGTTTGGTTGGCGGGCAATGGCGGGGATAATTGCTTGGAACGAGGCGCAGTCAGTCAGTCACCCACGAACCGAGCAACATCCACCGAGCTCAATCTTATCGAGAGGCCATCTAGCCATGGCGTGGCTGGTGCCTGAGATGTCGAATTCGCCCAGTTCTAAATGTGTCGCGGCCCAATCCGGGCCCTCATCTCGCAGATACATGATGATGGCTTTTCCAATACGCCATATAGCTAGCGTTGGGCTTCTACTCCCTTTATACAAGGCTCACACATCGCAACCAACGGCCCTACTGTCGTGCGGAAAGTTAGGACAATGTGACACGAGCCCAGATGATCCTGTTCTTCTCCGACGCCACTGGGTGACGGGATTCCCTGTTGCCCCGTCACCCGTCCCTATACCCTTTGTCATGTCGAATACCAGCATCAATCATCACTTCATTTGGCTGTAATGAGCCGTCTAGCTTCCTGCTCGGCGGCACCCAATACTGTGACCAAATAGTCAACACTCGCCTTCTCCGCCATCCGTCTGCGGACCTCGGTGAATTTCTCAAAGCAATCTTCCTTGACTTTGGCCCGCCGTTGGGCGTCGATGGTCTTCACCGTGAGTCTGAATACCCCACTGACAGGCCGATGATCGCTCGTTCGCACTTCATGGCGGCGGTATTCCAGCTGCTCTATCCGTCCTGGACCACGGTAGAGGAGCCGGTCACACCATGCCGGGGCGCGCTTCTTTTCGGACGTGTCGTAATCATCCGTGCCCACGTCATATTTGTATGTGGGAGCGAAAGTGATGGGTAATTCGACGAACTGGGCGAGACGGAATCCTGATACACGGCGGCGCGAAAGCATAATTTGATCCTTCTTCAGAAGCGTGTCCAGTTCATTGCGCTTGATCATGTTGATGACCGCGTCTCGAGGGATGGCATCAATGCGGTAGTTCAAGTCACCGTTCAAGATGCAAATTTCGTGGTCGAGGATTTGAGTCCCGTCGCCGCCTCCAATATAAATCGAGCTGCGCACTTCCGGGTCGCGTTCCGAATCCAGAGCTTCGGCTTCGAGGATCGTCGCGACGTCGTTGTTTCGATGTGAGGTATGCGTCTGGCCGGCTGCCAAGTGGCAGTTGATGAAGCACACCGAGCTATCATCCAGTATGAAACGTGTGACGAGCGCTCCTTTGTTCCCATAGTGGCCTTTCAAGCCGAGTTTGACACTGGCCGCTTGCAAGTTTCGGATATTTTGCCGTTCCCTCTGTCGAACAAATACGCACTGGAATAGCCCGATCAAGCTGGAGAGATGAAGTTCTGAGTACTCATAGTGACTACTAGTGGACCGGCTGATGACCTTGCTGAGATAATCTCGCCACTCTCGATAGACGCGACTTTGGTGTTGTTCTGTCTTGACGGTGTCTTTCTTCTTGCCAAATCCAAAGATGCTCTTCGCCGTCACAGTACGATCCTCCAGATCAACGACTTCTTGAAATCCAAATACCAGAATCTCGGGTGGATCGTACGCGTGAATCGCCTCAATAATGAAGTCGTCCCGCAGATCGGCGGGCGTGGACGCGCCGACATTCCAGGTGATAACCGCAGCTCGAACGTCCCGAAACCTACAATACTCGGCACTGCGCCGCTGCATTTCCATTTCGATCCAATCATCTTCGAGGGCAGCATCCCAGAGCCTGACAAAGTTGTCATGTCCGATCGTGACGACTTGCAATTGTTGAAGGGTCCAGACACTGCTCGGGTCGAAGAGCAGTTGGGTGACGGGTCCTTCGTGTGCTTTCCAATCCTTCTGGGTCTTCCAAGGCGAACTGGAAGTGTCATAGACGTAGACCATTCCGGTTTTGAACGCGGCCCATAATTTGCCTCCAACAAAAGCCAGGCTATTAATCTTGTAGTCGCTGGCTTTGATGTTTGCAATCGTGGAATAGTCTTTGGTCGAGTAAATCGATACACGCCCGTCAATATGGCCGAAATATGCTCTCCCCTTGTCCTCGTGGGAATGAGTTCCGCAGGTAACGTCTCCATTTCCGTGTTGGGACAATGGTGGTGTCAAAGCAGTGAAAGAACTTTCATTCCCAGGTTTGTATATTCGCAATTCCTTGCCTGACGCATACCACAGTTTGCCGTCGATCGCCACTGAGCATGTATGCCCCCTTGGAAGTTTGTGAGAGATATGGCTGTATTTCAGGTTGGGGACACCTGTCTCGTCGGCCTTCCACACAAACAGTTTCCCTTCATCATCGATTGTCCACAGGTCCCTTTTATTCCGAAGTATTCGCACAATCTCTCGACGATTGTGTGACGAGTTGGTCGTTGTCACCGTGTGTGTGGCGACATCGACCTCCATTAACTCGCCAGTATTCAGGCCCAGCCAGAGTCTGGTACCCTCGCCGGCGAGATCGACTGCGGGTTTGAAAGCCACGGCTGTCACCTTGACGGTTTCACCATGGTTGATGCTCATGATTTGTTCTCCCGAGGACATGTCAAACACACGAGTCACGTAGCCAGCGGTACACAGATATTGCCCGCAGACTTCAGCAAGTCGAGAATCTGACTTTGTGCCGATCTCCCAGAGACTGCCTTTACTGAACGGAGGCCGCCGGTTTGTATGAGTAGCGTCCGGATACTCGGACCGAGAGGTAGTTGGCTCCTCAACTGGCTCTTCTGCATCATCAGAGTCTTCGGCATTCAGATTTGCCATAGGCCGCCTCGAGAAATCACCTGCAAATGTCTGAGCCCTGTGAGTGGGCATCGGCTGGTGAAGCACTCGCTCATCAACGCTTGCACGTTTCGGTGGCGGCGGGAAGTATTGCTCTACAGGTAAGGTGGGCGCTCGTATGGGTTGCTGTGTGGGCGGAGGCTTCTTCGAACGGTCCGGAGTCGCGACATGGCTTGGTGTTTGTACGGGCCGTGTTGGATTCTTGGATTCATTGGACGGTCGCGGAGGAGGTTCAGCGGTTCTTCGGGGGGGTAGACTAGGATGTGGCTCCTCTGCAATCTTTTCCACTGACGATGGCTGGGCACCAGAGAAGCCAAGCAGACGAGCATCACGTATGGTGTTCGCCCGGGGAGGCTGTGCGGGAGCCACCTGAGGCGGGGGTGGAGGGGTGTGGCGAAGGGTCTCTGAAACGTGGCGCTGTGTTGGTTTGCCATTTGATAAGCCTAGCTCACGAGGATCTCTAGTAGGCTTCTCAGAGACAGTATTTGCTCTTGATGGAAGGTTCGATCCGCGACTGGGCGGCCGTGGCTCAAGTGCCGTGAATCCCAAAGTCCTAGGGTCCTTTCTTTCGGGGCCCGACGGCGCGCTTGAGAATCCAAGCATTCGCGCATCCTTTGGTCGTGCGGAGATGGCCTCAGGTGCAGGGACTTGGGAGGGAATCGCTCTGGTCGGTGCTGTTGCAGGCGCCGAGGGCTTCGCAAAGGATGATGGGGGTAAAATGTCGGGACTTTGCGTTGGAGAGTTCTCATCACTGCTGGGCGGTGTACTGAATGGTGATATTCGTGCCTCAAAGGAAGGTCTTCGGGGCTCCGGATTCAACACATTGCCACCTGGCATCGATATCACGGATGGCTTGGCCGGGATCTTGGGCTTGTCCGCTCGATTGACCGGGGGAGGACCAGTTTTCGGCTTGTCTTCTTGTGATTCAGTACCAGAATGTGTGGTGTCCAAACTCTTCGCTATGTCAGAACGATCTACACTCGGCGCTCTAGGTGCCGGGGTCGAAGAGCGACTCGAGTGTTGGGAAATGAGTTCGCGCACCTTCCCGAACGGAGTATTGTCCACCCGCTCGGGAGATCTGGAAGCGCTCCGCTCAAAGAATGTGCGCGGCGGCGACCGCGGCGAGTCTATCTTGACCGAGGGAGTGAGCTGCGGGGAGGATTGTAGAAGCATGGACATGGGCCGCCGGTGGCCAGGTTTGGGGGGTGATTCGGTGCCCTTGACGGGGGTTTGTGGTCCTGCATAGTTGGTATGCCCGCCTCCAGCACCCGCCCATGGCGATGTCGGCCGCGATAGGTCAAAAGAGGCTCTTTGAGGCGGCAGCGGGCTGGGCCTGTCGATCGGCTTCAATGCCTGCGGAGATGCAGGTATATTCCCGCGAGTGTCAGGCTGCGGGTGGTTGATCTTGAGACCCTCGAAGTGAGATCTTAGAGACGAGACGGGTTTAATCGAAGCAGCATCTGTTCCTTGCTCCATATTCTCTGCTGCAATTATTGTTGATGGTACATTCTCCGAAGTTTGAATGCGCAGGTAGATGGGGTGGTGAGCACGGTTGGGAATAGGATTTCCGCCGTCACCCAGGCGGTGACATTCTGAGACTTCCACCAGCTGAGACTCAGACGGGCATCGCCTCTAGTGTCGGTGGAGGGGCCAGATTAATAGCGGGAGGAGTCTCGACTCGAGGAAACCGATATCCTGGATAGGCAGATGAAGGGTGAGACGGTAAGACGCTCGTAGGATGCGGTAGGAAGAGGGCTGTATTTGGTAGAAAGGAATTCTATTGAGATGCAATGAATGCGAAATAGACGATCAATAGCCGTCGAAAAGATGAATGGGAATGAGCGAGAGAATAGTTTCCCCACGATGAGGCGTGTTGTGTCGGAGTGAAAGTAACTAGATTGATGGGTAGTGGGCACTGGGTGTTTCGTCGCAGTTGTTGATTTCGGTGTTGATGTCTACGTATGCCTGCCACTCACCCGCATCAGCCCAAGCCACCGACAATCCGCCCCAGTTGCCCGCCGAGCTTTGTACCTGCACCATCTGCCCCTCAGACCCCTGCAAAGCTGCTCTGAGCAGTGGTCACGTGCAGTCCCGCAAACTACCCGCAGTCTTGGCCTGGTAAACAAACAGCACCATCACCACCACCACCACGTCTACCACGACCACCATGAGAAATCTTTGATTCAAGAGCGCGTCGTTGGTACTGCACCCAACGCTTCGAGCTCATGGGCGCCCCTTCTGCCCAGGCTGAAACTCACACATAATGGAATTTGTTGTGACAAGGCTCTTGGTGCGGGCAGCAAATCCCATGAGAACAATAATCCCCCGAGTGGCAAGCTGGACAAGGTAAAATATACAAAGGAGAGCTCTCGAACAAGCACCAACACGCATGGAAGGTTGCTTGCGGCGGAAACGTTGTCCGAGAAATGATTGCCTCATAGACATCTGTGGCGAGATGTGACGCCGTTGCGCATTCTGAGTACGAGTCCGTGATGTCATGATGAAAACATCGTTGTGGACAAACCCCAGTTTCGTATTGTGGTGAATGAACTGATATAACCAAGAAAACTGCGCTTTTCTAGTCCTTGTCCTGCCTCCTACCACAGTTGCAAACCAGAATACCCCTGACACAGAAGACCTTACTCCATCCTCATCATGGCGCTCTCCCAAGCAGCAGCCGTCGTCGAAAAGATCATCGGCCACACAGGCGACGCCGAAACTGAACAGAACCTCAGTAACCCATCGAAAGATGCCGAGAAGTATGCAGATCCTTCCGGTGAGAAGATGAAAGCGCTTGTGTGGAATGGAAAGAACAGCGTCAAGGTCGTCGAGACTTTCAAGCCTGCAAAGATCGAAGATACGGACGTCATCGTCAAAGTCACTGGATCAACGGTCTGCGGCTCAGATCTTCACCTCTATCACGGTGTGGTGGTTGAGCTTCAGAAGGGGGATATTCTCGGCCACGAGTTCTGTGGGGTCGTCGACAGTGTCGGGCCCAAAGTCAGCAAAGTCAAGCCTGGCGACCGCGTGGTCTGCAGCTTCCAAATCGCCTGTGGAAGCTGTATGTACTGCAAGCGCAAATTGAGCAGCCAGTGTGAGAAGACCAATGATAACACGATCGAGAATATCATGTACGGGGGTCGCACCGCGGGCATGCTGGGCTACTCGCACTTCACTGGTGGTTATGCCGGTGGCCAAGCCGAATATGTCCGTGTTGCGTATGGCGATACTAACCTCCTGAAACTCCCAGATGAGGTGCCTGATGAAAAAGGCCTCTACTTGTCGGATGTGTTGAGTACATCCTGGAATGCCGTTGTCGACACGGGGGTCAAAGAGGGCGACGTGGTGGCCATATGGGGCGCAGGTCCCATCGGCCAGATGTGCGCAGCCATGTCGTTCATGTGTGGTGCCAAGCGTGTCATCGTCATTGACGGCGGTGATGCCTCATGGCGCCTCGACTTCGTGAAGTCTAAACTCCCCAAGGTCGAGACCATCAACTTCACAGATCTGCCCAAGGGTGAAAACGTTGTGTCAACTCTGAAAAAGATGGAACACGGGGGCCCCGATGTCGCCATTGAATGTGTGGCGGGCGAGTATGCGAAGGGATGGGCTCATTACTTCGAGTTGCTCCTTGGTGCCGAGACAGACACTTCCGAAATTGTCAATGAAATGATCATGAGCGTCAAGAATTTTGGCCGCTGTGGAATCACGGGCGTCTATGTCGGCTACACGAACCACTTCAACATCGGATCTCTTATGGAACGCGGTATCCGGTTGATCGGTAACGGCCAAGCTCCCGTGCATTTGTACTGGGAGGATCTCCTGAAAAAGATACAGGATGGGAGCCTGGACGTCTTGCAAATGGTCAGCCACCGAGTGCTGCTGGAAGAATTGGAGGAAGTGTACAAGCGATACGATGCACGTGAAAAGGGCATCCAGAAAGTATATGTTCAGACAAAGTTCAGTGCTCCGCCATGCGAAGGATCTCCTCAGTTAACCAAGTTTGGCACCGCATGATGGGTGCGAGGCTTCTGAGATGGTCACCGCAACAAGGAGGCGCATGAGGTAGATCAAGGCTTCTAATGTGATATACTATTCACCCGCCACACGGAATTGCTGCGTTTCATTCCTTCTCGTTTCCTCGTGGCCGGACATCTGCTTTCGCAAGTCGAAGATCACTAGTGAACACCCTTGTCGCAACTATGGGCTCTACATGGACACCATTCTTGTGCAGACAGAAAGAAAAAAGACTCAAAGTCACATTAAGAAAAGTCATATTCAGCACATGCCAGCCTCAGCCAGTCATTGGCGAACGTGGCAGAGTTGGGGATTCCCCCTCTGCATCTTTGATACAATTTACACCACCGTCTGGATAGCGGCCGGTGTCACATGTGCCTCGGCCACCATCTTCTCATTCTTCTCAATATCTCGGCTTTCGGTATATTCAGTTGGTGTTCTGCTCCCGCTTGCCGGATCCAATCCGTCGACGAGATACAGCTTGCCATAGTCCTCTTCTCCGTCGGCAGGTGTGACTGGGACTGGGAAGAGGGCCGTGCAGGCGAAATAGATCAACCCGGAGAACACGACCACAAGGACATAGTTCCACGAGTACATGTTGAGGATACCGCGATTGTGGATCGGCACGCCCATCGAGTACAGCATCCCGGGGAAGAGTGGTGCGATGGCCACGAACCACGCGACGAATGCACGCCAATTGCAGCCATATGTATACCAATAGATGCCGCGTGGTTTGAATAGATGCGAAATATTGATGCCGTATCCACGGCGGACCCAGAAGTAATCCACCATGATCACGCCCGTCGTTGCTCCTAGGAACAGCGTATATGCACCCAAGAAGGCCAAAAAGGTGGTTGCCTTTGCTTGGATCTCCCATGGGCAGATGGCGAACGATATCACCGCACAGATGAATTGTCCGCGGCGAATGTTGATGTACTTGGGGAATAATCCAGTAAGGTCGTTGGCCAGAGGCACCGAGTTACCAGTGACGTTGGTCATAATATTGAAGAAGATAAAGCAGGCACCTGCAAAGAACTTTCCAGGCCGGTTTTCGAAGTTATTGATCACCGTCAAAGGATTCCATTGCACTTCGCCATAGACGACGGATGAGGCGACCGCCATGGTGCAACCAAGAAATTCGGTGAGGGTCACCAGCACAGGTAAAGCGAATAGCTGGGTAGCCCATGCCGCGGTGTCGTTCTTTGAGTGCCGTGAGATATCCATGATGTTGACTGCGAAGGTCGCGTTGCCGGAAATCGCTGCGTTGACGCATATGCCGAACAGATAACCCACACTCCATCCGTCAAGAGGCTTGCTCGGTGCTCGCCAAACTTCAGGCCAACCACCCGCTGCGGTAATTGACCATGTGAACATGGCAGTCCAGAACAGAGGTACCAGGATGCTCTTGACAACAAACAGGTAGCGCAGCGTCTTGATCGGGAGGTAGAGGAACGGCAGCGATATCAACCAGAAGATCGAGAAGCACAGAAGTTGTTGCGCCGTCACATTGGCCGAGGCTGGAAGCGCGTTGACTTGCCAGTGAGCGAAAGACGGCCAAATAGCAGTGGTGCAAGCCTGAACGGCTTGACCGGCGAGACTGACTTGGATACCGTAGTATATGATACACGGCACTCCTCGCACGATCATAGCCCATTTGGAACCAATCATACCGAATGACGCTCTGACTGTACCAGGAAAGTTCGTACCGAGCTTGCTACCTAGATATCCGGATGCAGCACATGGAATGGAGACGATGATATTTCCGACCAAGCAGGCCACCACACAGAGCCCTGGGTTCAGTCCGAGCGAGAAGGCTGAGCTTGATACTTCCAATTGTGCCGCGTTGAAGCCTTCGGCTATCCAAAACAATCCCATCTGGTACCAGGCATAGGTCCGGTCTTTCCGCTTGATTGGATCCATATCCTCGTTGGTGTATTTGATAGCATTGGGGTCATCCGCCCCGAAGGAGCCAGGGTGCGGTTTGAGCACCACATGCTCATCCCAAAAGTGTTTGAAGCCCATGGCTGGTAAGGTAAACAAGAAGCTTCTCGTGCAACTCTGCAGTGAACCAGTCTTTCCCACAAAAGCTGAGGTCAGATCACTGCCACATATCGGGTGCTGTCCCTTATATATAGCTCTGCACGAAGGAATCCTACGGAAATGGGCACGGGCAACTTATCTTCTTCGATCGGCAAAGACGAGGCCGAGGCAAGCGACCTGGTGGACCTTATCAAAGGAAGTTGATAAGAACCAACTCATGTTCGTCAAACTCGGCGGCGAGAATCTGGACTTTGGGCATTTCTAGAACTAATTTGTCACGCGTCCAGGCCTTGAACTTGGATACAGGGGCAACTCGGCACTTAGCAAGGCTGGTCAAGCGTGTCCCTTACCTTCCAGAACGGAGCACTATCCTGACAGGTTGGCATATGGAGTCCCACGTGTAGACCAAAGTTCCACCTTGGAGTCGGATGGTCATGTCCGCGATAGCTGTCACTACCCAATAGCAACCACAGTATCAGCGGAGAGCAAGCGTGAGGATGTCGATTCTTCTTTACAACACCGAAAAACGTTCCACGGAGGAACGCGCATCTCAAGGCGGAGTATGTCCGATCGAGGTCGACAGGGATCCACAGCATCAGATACGAACCTGATATGGGGCCAATTACCGTCTCCCGTTTGCCAGATGCCAACCATATAGTTCCGGAACTTGAATTGCTCGCTGATTTCAGAAAACACCTAACGGTTTTTATCGGGATTTCCGAAGCTGACGGCAAGGCCCCGATACGAAAATTGGCGGACAATGGGTCGGACGAGAACATTATGGACTTGTCGGTTTCTCAGCATCGCCGGCTTGGGCACTAATTTTGGTGCTTTACATTTCCAGAAGCCGTGGAATTTCAACTTATCATCTACTACAGCATTGTCAGGAGACAGATCAGTCAACATTCAGCCTTAACAACTCATCATACCATACCAATGGGTAGTTACGCGCCTACTGCCCTGGAGTGTGACCTCCTGGTCACGAACGGTGTCATTGTAGGTCGTGAAAACGTCTCTGGGAAGAATACGTTGCTCACAATGAAGTACAGGTCTCATCCAGTGACTTGATCTATCCGCCGGCATCTGATATTGCCGTGAAGAATGGAAAGATTGTCTGCATTGGCGCCCTTCAGGGCCTCTTTTCGGCCCAGCGAGTTATCGACGCCGATGGGGCGTACGTAACACCTGGGGGTGTTGATACTCATGTCCACTTAGACCAGCACATCAACGGCGCCCTGGGCGACAACTTTGAGAACGGCACGAGGAGTGCCATTGCTGGTGGTACCACCACTGTGGTGGCGTTCGCTTTCCAGAAGAAGACCGACGAAAGTGTCCTGCCTGTAGTGGAAGCATACCACAAGAAGGTGAGTCCCAAGTTTCCGCCTATCGTATTGCTTTCTGATCTGACCTCGAAAATAGGCTGCAGGTCTCTCTTACTGCGACTATAGTTTCCACATGATTCTGACAAACCCGACTAAAACCATCGTCGAGGAGGAACTTCCGACTCTTGTGGAACAGGGCATCACTTCTGTAAAGCTTTACATGACTTATGACCCGCTCAAACTGCGTGACCGTCAAATTTTAGACATCATGCTCGCCACACGAGCGCTGGGGATGACCACCATGATGCATGCGGAGAACGCGGACATGATTGAGATGATCATCGAGCAGCTCTACGAGCAGAAGAAAGGCGATCCGTACTACCACGCCATCTCGCGGCCCAAAGTCGCCGAAGACGAGGCGACCTACCGTGCCATTTCTCTCGCCCGGTTAATGGACACCCCGATCCTGCTGGTGCACATTTCTTCCGCGATGGCTGCGCGGCACATCCGTGAGGCACAGACCAAACTCCTGCCCATTCACGCCGAGACGTGTCCGCAGTATCTGTACCTGCTTAAGGACCGCCTACAGGCCGAGAACTTTGAGGGCGCAAAGTACGTGTGCAGCCCGCCCTTGCGGGACAGCGACGACGATCTCAACGCACTGTGGGAGGGGATTGCTAACGGGACTTTCACGACGGTCTCCTCGGACCACTGCCCGTTCTCTTTCCAGCACCCCCAGGGGAAGCAGCTCGGCCTCAAGGACGGAGTTTCTCGATTTACGGATATCCCCAACGGGCTTCCCGGCGTGGAGACGCGCTGCCCGCTGATCTTCAAGGGCGTACAAGACGGGCGGATCAGCATCCAAAAGTACGTCGAGGTCACGTCCACCAACCCGGCCCGGCTCTATGGCCTGAGCACCAAGGGAACCCTGGCCGCGGGGTACGACGCCGACATCACCATCTGGTACAATGACAGCAAGCCAGGCTCGTCGTTCGCGCCGTTCGACCTGACCAACGAGATGCTGCACCACACGTGTGACTACACGCCCTTCGAGGGCGTACGGTTCGGAAACTGGCCGCGGTACACCATCCTGCGCGGTGAGGTGGTCTGGGCCCGCGACGAGGGCGGCGTGCTCGGCGAAAAGACCCGGGGCACATTCGTCAAGCGTGTCGAGAACAGCCTCAGGCAGCCCCGGGGCAAATTCGAGAACGAGTGGATTCCGCAATACAAGGGCAGGATGCCAGGCGCCGGAGTCGGCGTCAAGAATGTACTGGCAGTGGAGAGTCGCTCCTGAACATAGGGAATAAAGTAAACCGCTCATCCTAAAGAAATAAACCATGACTATTCTCTGAGGGGCTAATCTTGTGAAGCGAGCTCTCTCCTGGACGTCTGAAGAAAGACAAGTCCAAATACGCTGCGGGTCGCTCCGAGCTTTCCACCACCGTCACTAACTACTATGCGAACAACCTCCAAGCGGACGAAACAGTGCCAGAATAACTGCTGTCCACGGTATTAGTTCTGACTCCGCAAACCAGATTTCTACTCCTCACGGTAGAAGCGAGCCAAGTATGTCTACTTCTCTCGCCTGGTAAGGACAAACTGAGATCCAGTCCGAATCTCCACGACAGCAACCTAACCCTGGTGAAGAGGTGCATGATAGGTATTTCACGGCGCTCTCGTCCGAGAGCCTCGTGATAGTCCATCAGCGATATGTCCCAGGGGCGTTTTGGAGGGTCCCAGAGTGACTCCGGTGGCATGTGGTAGTCATCAAAGCATCTTCCTTTGTTGCCAGAATCACTGTGCCTCGCGCAAGGCTGGAGGCAGAGGGGCTTTACTGTTCACAAAGGGCGCCTAAGGATTTGATTGGAGGCTTGCATAGTATAAGGATCCACCATGATCAAAGCTTGAGCTCTCGGGGGTATAGACACTATGCCATCCCGGGCTAGTAGATCCTAGCTTAATGAAACTAACGATCGCCTAACCTACTTTATCCGAAACTTGTGCGTGGGAATTTTTTTCCCATCTTCCCCCGGGCAGCTCAACTTCGAAATCGAGAATCTCAAAACGAAACAAAGAGAAAAAAAATAAAAATAAAAAAAAACCGAAAGATGACCGCCGAGGCAGTCCTAGAAGGAGATGTCCTCCTCGCGAGGCGCATCATCTCCGCCGCCGCGCGCCATGACGTGCCGGCACTGGAGATCCTGCTCAAAGACGGCTCGGCGAACGTGCAGGATGGCACGGCGCCGGTCGCCTCGTCCCCACTGCACGCTGCAATTGCGGCGTGTGGGGATGCCGCAGATGGAAAACAGGCGGGCGACGACGCGATCAGGACGGTGGAGTTGCTGCTCGAGAACGGGGCCATCTGGAATGACCTGAACGGTGAGGATGAGACGCCCGGGTGCATTGCGCTGCGGCTGGGCCAGAGGAAGATCTACGACATGATGGTTGACGCCGGTGTGCGGGCCGAGCTTCTCTTCTCCAAGATGGAGAGCTTGGGGCTGGACGAGGACGAGGACGAGAGGGTTGAAGGTGAAAACGACGGCGACGACAATGACGAAGTGGATGACGAGATACATGACCAACAGCCCGGGTCCAAGAGGCAGAAACTCTCGAACGGGGAAGGGCAAGCGGTGGAGCAGGGGGTCGAAGAGCAAGTCCTCGACGACGTCTCGCTCGATAATCGGGCGTACCTGAAGAGCCAGCTCCGGTACAAGCCGGGCATCTTGCTCGACGAAAGCGACAACGCGGTGATGATGGACTGGGAGACCCAGATTATGCAGCGGCACGCCGAGACGCTTATCCCCCGCGCCGGCCTCAAGGTGATGAACGTGGGCCACGGCATGGGCATCGTCGACACGGCCATCCAGACCCACCGCCCGGCCGAACACCACATCGTCGAGGCCCACCCGCAGGTTCTCCAGCGCCTGCGTGACCAGGGCTGGTACGACAAGCCCGGAGTCGTCATCCACGAAGGGCGGTGGCAGGACGTGCTGCCGACCCTGGTCGAGACGGGCACGGTGCAGCTCGACGCCATCTACTACGACACCTTCGCCGAAGACTACAAGGCCCTGCGGGAGTTCTTCTCCGAGTACGTTGTCCAGCTCCTCAGCCCCACGGGGCGATTCGGCTGGTACAACGGCCTGGGCGCGGATCGGCAGATTTGCTACGACGTGTACACCAAGGTATGTTTTCATCGAGATATGCCGAGAGCGAGTGAGAGAGAGTGTGTGTGGGGGGCGCGGGGGCCTCTACGATGGAGAAGAAGAAAAGAAAAGCTGACTCTGCCGCAGGTTGCAGAAATCGATCTTCAGCAGGCAGGTTTCGACACGGCGTGGGAAGATATCGCCGTCCCCGCCGGTCTCCACGGCAGTAAGCAGTGGGAGGGCACGCGGAGGCCCTACTGGACGATCGACGTTTATCGGTTGCCGGTGAACACCTTCACGAAGTGAGGGTCATGGGGCCAAGGGGAACGGACAGTCACGCGGGGACCAAAAAGCAAAGAGACACGAGCTTGTTATCGTCGTCACATCGGACCAAATAGGAGCCATGTTTAGATCCAGGTCATATCACCGTGACGACAACCACCCAACGAAGCTTCCCGTTACCGTCGAGAATACGCAACGAGTGTCGGAACCCAAACCTCTCTGTGTCCGTGGACATCCTTGCAGCTTCCCTAAATATCATTCGACGCCTTTGCCTCCTCCCCTGCCGATAAGAAAGTTTTCGTGCCCTGGACGTGCCCTGCCGAAGGAAGTCGACTTCCTAAGAACACCCCGTCCGGCCCCTCGACGGGTCGTCGGCCGGCAGAATCGATACGGCTGAGCGACGGGGAGAGGGGAGAGGAGCAGCCCAGTAGTGTAGCTTACATAGAAGAGAAAAGAAAAAGACACCATCGGCGCCTTCCTTCCTCCCTCCCTCCCTCCCTCCCTCCCTCGCGACCGAACTGGAAGCAGAACGACATTAATCTAAACGTATGTACATCATCCAAGTCCGGCTCCCATGTACGGGTGGTCTAAACTTCCCATCTCTCTCTCTCTCCTGTCTCTCTCTCTCTCTCTCTCTCTCTCTCTCTCTCTCTCTCTCTCTCACACACACACACACATACACACAAAATATCTTCTTCCCCCTTTGAGTCCAGGTCAGCTCAACAAGAGGCCTGGTCGGGGGGCCTCGGTGTGAACATCCATCCAGTAAATGCCATCTACGCAGTTCACCCCGGGGGAAAAGGGAGGGAGGGGAGGTGGGCGGTGTGCATTGGTTTGCCGCCATGATGACACTTGTGTTTCCCCATTCATTTTCTTTCTTGAACAGGTTCCAAAACCAAATAAACAAAATCAGAGGGAGAAATGGAGCTTCGACATGCTCGATTCTGGTACCGTGCAAAAACTCTAGTCTGTGAAGTTCTTAGGCATTCCTCGGGATAGCCATCCGCGGTATTGCCCGAACGACCTGATCCATGCTGTACTCGTACATGATAACCCTGGCATTCCAGAGTGTTGGTTCAGTTTGGCCCCTTTTGTGACTTTTGTTCATGATCTCCTAGTCTAGTGAATCAATATGCCACCATGCCATCGCCATACACAAGCTCTCGATCTCCGCAGCCGGCCTGTAAGCGTACCACCGCTCCATTCTTCAGATGTTTTCGACCCCGGCCCATTCCTCCTTGACGTGTTGCGCATCCTCTCCGACATCATCACCGACCTCCAAGTCGGATACAAAATCCTCCGAGAAGAATGCAGTGATCATCATAGGTTTCCAGGTCTTGGTAGCCCATCCATGGATTCCGCGAAGCCACATCTCGAAGGTCCCGCGGTTTGTGAAGACCGGACCATGAAAAAGGGTCGATATGAGATATCCGGCACTGGCACCATGCGTTAGCTCGGTCATGTAAACAGTGAAGTAACTCATGGAATTCAGAACAATGGTGTAATGGCGTAGATTGTGACACAGTTCGGCATCATAATCTGTCTTTTTGAGTTCTTGGCATTCTTGGAGTTCTTTGACTTGGGCAGATAGGATAGAAGAGGAGATCAGGGCAGCTATCGCTTCTACATCGTTCGGGTCCCAAGATTTGCCGGCCTTTAGGATGGTCAAGTAGGGAAATGCCGCCAACGATGCCCCAATGGACACACGGACACCTGGTATCGAGCTCGACCTCGGAAATGGAAGCCTAAGCCAGAATGTGTCATGTCCGAAGAGCATGCCCGTGAGGAGGTCGCCGATCGACAGGCCGAGTGGTAAGGGTTGGATCAATGCGTTTGGGGTAGGATGGGTCCGCTCCGTCTGCTGTGTCTGCATTGTCCGCAGAGAGGGTTGTCCGGTGTTGCCTGGTCGAGGGTTCTTGGGAACTTGAGTGGCGATGCGTAGTGCCGTTGCTGCGCGTGGAATAGCTGAGCCGCGGATTGATGGTTTTGTTACTATTGCGTTGGGCTGTGACACATTTTCTTTGAGTTGTTTGACTGGCAAGCGAGAGGTGTTCTCAGAGCGTAACGCGTCAAGGGAGAGAAGTGCATTGGGTACTTTGTAGACGGTTTTCGTTGTTGACATGATGGGATGGTAGACATCTTCAAGCACTTGATGGGCAAAGGCAGGACCAAAACACGAGGTAGCTCTTGCAATCAGCTCGTCCTTCATGGCAGATAGGTCGATGTTTTCAGTGAGAGAGGGAAGGATCAACTGTGTATCGAGCATACTGAAGTGCTTGGCTGGAGTTGTGTAGGGCATATTGTCGTTCTGTATCTTGATGTTGCTCGTAGCAAGAAATTCACGGAGTGAAGGTCGAGCCATTGGAAGGGGTTCCTCTTCTTCTTCCTCTTCTCCTTCTTCGTCGTCGTGGTCGATGTAGTCACAGAATTCGCGTACCTCTTGCCAGAGTTCCTGGGCTGCAAAATCGTCACACACGTGGTCTGATTCCTGTGGAAGGGGGGATGATGGAAGGGTTTGGTCAAATGAATCAGAATCAGATTGCAAGATGCACCGTTCAACGAAGTTGAGATGGACATTGTTTACATGGAAGTTTGTCAGTGGTCCACAGGGCAATTGTTCTTCATTGTTCATATCCAACAAGGGGGAGCGAGAGCGACTTTCCGCCCCGGCGGTGTGATGACGGACGCAGGACTTACGTTCCTCAGAATCCATAGCTGGGAATGAAGGCGCGTGGCTTGTGGCTCGCGGTGGCGACCAGCGAGTGAAAGAGTAGATTTGCACAAAGGGCTTTATCAAGCGGCTTGGTGAGTGAATATTTGGGTCAAGGTGAAGATGTTGTGGAGTGGTGGATGGAATGAGCATGAATTGAGGAGGATGTTTACATTTTTCTGTTTATCGATAACTGATGGACAATTCCGTCCTGACGTCATGGTCAGGATTTGTCTACGGTGGCGTGCACAGACCGCGTTCCTCCTCTCTTCTCCTACGGTGGCGTGCACAGACCTCGTTCCTCCTCTCCTCCGCTGCCCACAGACCAGCTCTTTATGTTTTATGGCTGTCACCTCTCTGGCCACGAAACCTGCGTGCCTGCTAAGTCTGCTCCAGAAAGGGAGATCACATCTACACGGCATCGGCTGTCGATTTGACACATCTCAGACATGACTAATCAACAAAGAGGACCCTGATGGGTGCCTGATAAGCACCCAATAAGCCTGGCAGATCCCAAGTGACTAAGCCTGTGCATGAACCAGAGCCCACCCAAGAGCGAGTTAGGGATATGACGTGCCCAATGGTTCGTCCAATGGCCGACATGGCTGAGCTGGGAATGGTAATAGTTTCGACCTTAGTGGTTCGTTGCGGCATGCTTGCTGACTGTTGCGCGCTGGGTAGTTCTCCCGACGGGAGGGGAAGGGGACGACAAGCACGCCAGGCTATGCTATCTATCTATCTATATAAGCCAGATGAAAACCGAAAGAGAAGTGAGGTTGTGTGGACCGGATCTCCTCCTCCTCCTCCTCCTCCTCCTCCTCCTGCTTCGTCAACATGCCTCTCTCGACCGACGACAAGACCAATGAGACCGCTGCCGCCTTGGTCAAGACATTACAAGGAGCGTTCCACACCCCACCAGGCTTCAGACCCGGTCAGTATTGCTTCCCACACATCAGAGGCATCTTAACCACGCTTCTGACCTGACTCCCATCAGCCCATGCTCGAGGAATTCTCCTCAATGGCACATTCACCCCCAGCTCGGAGGCAGGCTCTCTGAGCTCGGCGCATCACTTCACCGCCAGCTCGACACCCATCATCGTGCGATTCTCCAATTCCACGGGCATCCCACAGATCCCCGACAACGCCGGCGACGCGAATCCGCGAGGCATCGCCGTGCGTTTCGTCCTGCCCGACAAGAACGGGCGCCGCCAACACACCGACATCATCGCCCACTCGACGCCGTTCTTCCCCGTCCGCACCGGCGAAGACTTTCTCGAACTCCTGGGGGCCATCGGCGCGTCTTCCGCCCCGAACGCCCCCAAACCGTCGCCCATTGAAGTCTACCTCGGCAAGACGCCCTCGGCGGCGGCGTTTGTCAGCGCGCCAAAGCCCACGCCAGCGAGCTTCGCCACGGAGAAGTATTTCGGGCTCAACGCCTTCAAGCTCGTTGCGTCGGACGGTACCGGCACTTTTGTGCGGTACCGCATCACCCCAGACGCCGGCGAGTCGCATCTGACGGACGAGGAGGCCAAGGCCAAGGACCCGGCATTCCTGCACAACGAGATCCAAACCCGCATTATCGACGGCGGCGCATCCTTCACCCTGTGGGCCCAGGTCGCTGAGGAGGGCGACCCGACCAACGACGTGACCATCCACTGGCCCGAGTCGCGCAAGCTGGTCCCGCTGGGCACCATCAAGCTCGAGGCCGTGGCCGACGACAACGACGAGAAGCAGCGCACCATCATCTTCGACCCGGTGCCTCGCATCGACGGCGTGCAGGCCAGTGACGACCCCATCATCGACATGCGAGCCAGCGTCTATCTCATCTCCGGCCGCGAGAGGAGAGCCGCCGGTCCCCACCACTGATAATTGATAGAAGGGGGGTACCAAAACGAGGGCAGGGCATACGAAGGAGGTCTAGCAGCAGCAGCAGCAGCGGCGGCGGCAGGAGGAGGAGGAGGATCTGGCTGTCTGTTGTAAAGTGACGTGATGGGACGTGATGGGATGGGAGGGGGAAGATACGAGGTCCTCCCTCCCCGTCCGTTTCTGTGCTCCTGCTCACAATTGTCGCGTGACTTTTATCTTGTGTGCTCTGCCAACGAAATGTACCTACCTACCTACCTACCATTCTATATACCTATTCATCTATGCCGTGCCGTGCCGTGCCGTACCGTACCGTGCGTGCGTGTGCGTGTGAGTGAGAGTGATACACGGGAAGTTGAAGTAATCTAGAATCTGGTCCGCCTAACCTATCTATCTATCTATCTGTTATACATTATACACTGTACAGTATTAATCCAATCGTATCCTGAGAAGTGAGAAGTAAAAGCCTTTGATTTTTCCTTCCCCTGGTGCGATACACCTCATTCACAACAACACGGTTGGGTACTGGAGGTCGTGTACCACACATTGCACATTGCATCGCACACACAACGCAGCAGGGCTGGGGGACCTACCTATGAGCCGGACCAGACAAAGACAAGACAAAGACAAGGCAAGACAAAGGCACACTATAACTCTGTCTTTGACAATATTATTTTCCTGGTCCTGGTCCTGATCTCGGTCCTGGTTATATGCATATAATATCCCTTGTTTCATTTTCCCCCCTTTGTCCACTTTCACGTCACGTTACTTCACTTCACGGGCCTCCCTGAGATGATGATCGCACATGGAATGAATGAATTAATGGCGTGAGAATGTGACACCACCTACCCACCTATCTGTACAGTACATACCTCCTCATGTTCCTCATGTACCTATCTGTGTACCTATGTCCAGGACCTACGGACCTACCCGCTCAGTCCATCAATCTATACGTCGACCCGTCTATTTGTCAATGCATGTCTATCTATGTATCTATCTCCTCGTCATGCACGCTTCCGCCCAGACGATTTCTTTGTCTTTATATTCTTTTTTTAAAATAGAGGATGAAAAAAGTGAAGGTGAAGGAAGTGATATTCTACCTTCGTGCCCCTGCGCACGCGCGGACCATAAATTCACGGCAGCGACCACATAAAATGCATTGTAATTCATTCAGATTCCCACAAGGACACTACTCCCCCCTCCCTCCCCAAAAAAGATCACAACCAGTTCTGGCCCCGCGTCCTCCTGCCCTCCTTCTCCCCCTTGTACACGCCTTTCTTGGAGGTGGGGATGCCCATGCCAATCAGACTATTCATCATCATGATGCCGGCCTCGACGCTGTCAATGACATTGACAGTTCGGCGGCCGTCCTCGTCCCGGACGGCATCTTTCGCCGCCCGGACCATGTCCGTCATGCCCGCACAGCCCAGCAAGATGGTGTCGGCGCCCTTGATGACCAGTGCGCGTGCACAATGCGCCACGCGTTTCGCCACCTCCTCTCGGGGCCGGGAATCGAGCTCGAGGACGCCGAGATGGGTGGCCTCGCTCCCGACGTAGAAATGCGAGAGCCCGTAGGCGGCGATGTCGTCGTTCTGCTTGATCTTGGAGCGCTGGCCCGTGGCGACGATGCCAAAGCGCCCACCGAGCATGCGCGCCACGTAGACACTGGCCTCCATGATGCCAATGATGGGCACGTCGTAGGACTCTCGCAGCGCGTCGATGAGCGGGTGCTTGCTGAAGCAGGCGACAATCATGCCGTCGTAGTTTTGGACCGTTTCGCCGTTGGAGGCGGCGTGTTTGGCGAGGTCTCGGAGCACGGCTTCCGTGGACATGATGGCGTCGGTCGTGGACTCGATGGCCGTGGGCGCCGGGTACGGAGCTGTGTAGCCCGTCACCTCGACCGCCGGGGGGATGACGGGTCGCAAGGACTGGAGCATGGCATCGGTCATGGAGCGCGTCGAGTTGGGGTTGATCAGCAGGATCTGATGCGGGCGATTGCGTGGCGGGGAGGTGATGGGTGGTGAGAAGGGGGATTTGGCACTGGTGGGGCGGGTGCTGGGACCGCTCCCTCCGCTCCCACCGGGCATTGAGGGGATCGGTCCGCCCATGGAACCGGGGCCCCCGGACGCGGCGGAGCGGGAAACTGGACGGGACGAGGAGCCGGCATGGCCGCTGTGCTGGGCAAAGAGTGGCTGCACGGATTGCTGGGGAGGTGACGTTGGCATGGGCGGTGCGATGGCGATGGGGTAGTTCTGACCGATGGTGCTGCTTCGAGAGCGAGAGCCTCCCGGCCCATCAGCGAAAGGGTTGGCGGACGAGCTGGATTGCTCATTGGTGGGCGACTGAGGAGGAAAGTAGTGGCTGGGGAAACGGGCACTGGTGTAGCTGGTCATGTTGGCCGAGGACGACGAGGCTGCTGGCTGCGATTGTTGCGGCAGCGGCGGCGATTGAGGAGCAGGAGGACCAAAACTGGCAGATCCGGCTGATGAGACGCGTTGATAAGAGGACATGGCGGGATCGGTCTCGAGCTGCTCGTAGCTGGAGAGATGAGCCTGCTGCGGTTGAGGAGAACTGGACCTCGATCCGCCAGGCCGTAAGAGAAGGGGATGGCCGTCTTGCAGAGGTTGCTGAGGTTGACGGAGGGTGGGAGGTGATTGGGGTGGTTGTTGTTGTGCTTGTAAATCGGCCATTTTTCGACTGTCTGGAGCGAGATGCGACTCTGCGGAAGTGTTAAGCGAGTTCGATCTCTGCTGGCCCTCGCCTCGTGGGTTTGGGCTGGAGCTTTTTGGCTTTGGCTGTGGACTAGGAGCAAGCCTGTTTTATCCTCGGACACGCCAATGGGAGACCAGTGCGATGCCAATAATGACGTGCTCGACACGAAACGGACCGTGGTGCGGGCTCCAGGGGGCGTGTGTCTAGGATCTTGATGTCAATGTCAAACGTCAGAAATGAACTCGGAGGGGAGAGCAAAAGGAGGTGACGGATAACAACAGAAAAGCAGAAAAGGCGCCCAAGAAGAGGTTCAACTTGGGATTTGTTTTCTCGTTTAATTTCCTAGTTAGCAGCAAAGCAACAGCTGAAGGCGGGCGGGGGAGGGAGCTGAGCCTAGTGAGCCTAGTAGCCGTGTGCAGGTCGCGAGACTAGAGCCCGTTGGAGGCCGTCGGACATTTCAAGGGGCTATATTGGGCTATATTTGGGTGGCGCCACAACGAGCAAGATGTCGCCAAGTACTGTACTAGCACAAGCCATGGCTGTGGCATAGTAGCCCGTAGGTATGGGTTGATCAGGGGCTGCGAGGGGCTAGGTGAGGGGCAGGTATGTACACGTATTAATTAAGAGTGGTGGCAGAGTACCGAGTAATTCGTACGAGTGAGCCCAGGCGCCTAACTTACCTAGGCAGGTCCTTTTAGGCACCCCCATCACCCCTAACAGCAGGTAGGTAGTTCACCACCCACAGCGGTCGAGGGATAGTACTCCGTACGTAGTTTAGTGTAGCTACATACAGTACATACTCGGTGTCTGCCTCCTGTACGAGGTATACTCTCATACACTCCTCACAGCAGCTCCGGCTCAACCACCCCCGTCTGTTCCACAATCCGCCCGTAGTGCTCGATGCGGCGGTGTTTCTCAAACGCAAATACCTTCTCCTTGCCCCGACGGCACATGCCCAGGTCGATCTCGGCCACAATCAGCTCGTCGTCCTCGGTCTGCGCCTCCACCACCACCTCGCCGTCGCAGTCGACAATGCAACTGCCCCCGATCAACGGGTACTTGCCGTCCTCCAGCCCGCACTTGGCCACGTTGATGCTGAAGCACGCGTTGGCGTAGCTGTTGTACGTGAGGCACAGCTTGTTGTGGAACAGCGCCTCCGCCTTCGCCTTCTCCGGCGTCGAAATCTTCTCGTTGGTCCCCAGCAGCTCCGGCGCCCAGGCTGTCGTGTTGTAGCCGCACAACACGAGCTCGGCGCCCTGCAAGCCGTAGGGCCTCCACGCCTCGGGCCACCGGCGGTCGTTGCAGATGAGCATGCCGACGATCGGGTCGCCTCGACCCAGGGTGTCGGCTTCGTTGGCCTTTGCGCCCGACTTCTGGGTCAGCGCACCAGGAACCAGTCCAGGCGCCCGGAATGCCTCGAAGCCCAGATCTCCCGGGCGGAAGTATCTCTTCTCCAGCTGGTTCGTCGCGTCCTTCCGCTCGTAAGGCTCGAACGTGCCCGGGAGGTGGACTTTGCGGTACTTCGAGATGACCTTGCCTGCCGCCCCCGAGTAATAGACGGCCGTGTTGTAATGGACGTGTTCGTCTTCGGTCGACTCGGCGGCGTGTTCGGCATACCCCAGATACATGTCCATCTTGTACTCTCGAGCCCGGTCAAACAGAGGCTTCAGGGTCGGCACCTTGGTCGCGTCCCCATCCACCTCCTGCTCGAAGTATTGCTCCAGCTCATCTCCCTCCAGGATGTGGCGAGGGAAGAATGTCACGGGCGCGATCTCGGGATACACGATCAACTTGGCATGTTTCTGATGTGCTTCGTCCATCAGTTTGAGCATCCGGTCGATCCCCTCGGACCGGGGAGTGTCAACATTGATGGGTCCCAACTGGGCGCCGGCAACAATGACCTTGCGGTTTGACTCGGCAGTGTGTCCTGCACTGGGGGGACTGATAGAACCCATGACGACGGCCGTCTACACAACCACAAAGAGGATCTGATCACAAGGAGTTTGGCGTTCGAGTGAAACCTAAACGACGTCTGTTCGCACAAGCCACCGGGTCTGAAGTGAATAGGTGATAAGTCTATCATCATGGTCCATGCCTCTGACCCTTTTTTACCTTATACGTACCTTCTCATGGTAACCGGTGCCGTTATCAAAGCACCCCCATCGGTGGCCATGTACCGACATACGCTGTTGTCCGTCTCGCATCTGGGCCGATGAATAGGACATCCACGCTCTGCCAGGCAGTTACCCACCAGTAGCCACCCGGGCAATTGCGGCCATCAGCGTGGGCTCCAGAATAATGTCTTGTATAATTAAAAGGTTTGCAATGGGTGTGATATGACTCGAAAAAAACAACACATCTCCCACTGCTGATAATAATATATTAATATGATTTGTTTTTTTTTTCTCTCAATTCTCTGGTGCCCTTTGAATTGGTGTGTGGATTCCGTACTCGCCGTGTAGATCTAATAGATTCCATTTGTCTTATTTGATTGTTCCTTTATTCCTTTATTCCTTTATTGATAGAGGGCTGTTTGACGTCATTACATATGGCTTTGTTGGTGTCGGCGATTCTCCTGCATCATGCATTCTGGACCATCTTCCTCCTCCCGCTGACCGCGCTCGTCCTGCGCTGCCTCTACCGCATCTCTCCTCTCCATCCGCTCTCCCGCGTCCCCGGCCCTCTCCTTCCTCGCATCTCTTCGCTATGGCTGACCTACCACGCGTGGGTCGGCGACGAGGCCACGGTCGTTGAGGCCCTGCACCAGAAATACGGCCCCATTGTGCGCAACGGCCCCAACAGCGTCGACATTTCTGATGGGGCCGCGCTGGCCACCATCTACACCGAGCGCGGGGGCTTCGTAAAGCCGGCCTTCTACGAGAACTTTGCGCTGCCCGACGCGACGCAAGTCCACAACTCGATCTTCTCCGAGGTGGACCCCTCGATCCGTGCGCCGCGCGCGAAGGCCGTCGCCGTGCTGTTCTCGACCGCGAGCCTGAGGCAGAGCCAGGACGTCATATACAAATGCGTGGATCGGTTCGTGGAGCGCCTGGCCGAGGGGAAGAGACGGAGCGAGCAGGGCGGCGGGGGCCCGTTGAATGTCCTCAACTTGACGCGAGGACTGGCTGTCGACGCCGTCACGTCGTATCTCTTCGGCACCAGCTACGGCGGCCTCAACGAGAAGACGTCGCACCAGCATCGTGAGGAAAAGACCACCGTGCAGCGCGAGCTGGCCGAGCCCATGAGTGCCGCCGGCATGGTTGATTGCTTCGTCGCGGTCGGCCGGTTCTGGTACCTGCCGAACTGGGCGTTCAAGATGGTCGAGTCGCTGGACGCCTGGTGGAACGCGGACGAGGAAGTGTCGCAGAGTCTGGCGCGGGTGGACGACTTTGTCGCCCGTGTGGTCCGCGACGCGGAAACCGCCATCGAAGAGGCGTCGCGGTCTGCCGAGAAGAAGACGGCGCCCTCGAGCAGCGGCCATCCGTTGACGTCGTACCCGGCCCGTCTCCTGCAGGCCGGGTTCACGCCGTCCGAGACACGTGCGCAGTGCAAGGACCTGATCTTCGCGGGCACCGACAGTACGGGGATGAACCTGGCCACGATCCTGTTCATGCTGGCGCGCCACCCGGCGTGCTACGAGAAACTACGTGCCGAGGTGCGGGCGGCGCAACACCCGGGCTTTGACGACCTGCAGACGCTGCCCTACCTGCGCGGCGTGATCAAGGAGGGCCTGCGCCTCTCGATGGCCAACCCGTCACGCCTGCCCCGCGTCGTCCCGCCGGGCGGCTGGACGTTTAAGGACACGTACTTCCCCGCCGGTACCGAGGCCAGCTGCACGCCGTACTCGCTGCACCTGAACCCGCGCGTCTTCCCGGACCCGCACGCCTTCCGGCCTGAGCGCTGGCTCGACCCCTCGGACGAGATGCTCCGCGACGCCATCCCCTTCGGCCTAGGCAGTCGGCAGTGCATCGCCCGCAACCTGGCCACCGTGGAGCTGTACTGCGCCGTCGCCCGCGTTGTCGAGGCGGATATCCTGCGCGGTGCCCAGACCCTGACACCCAACATCAAGATCCTCGAGTGGTTCAACAGCAAGGTTGTCGGGGAGAGGATAGACTTGGTGTGGGCGTAGAGGTTCAATCGAAGGTATTGGGAGAGGCGCGGCTGAAAGCAACATAGATGAACACAAAATGGTGTTACCCAAGACGTTGCTTCTGGCGCCTTTAGTTCGACAAGGATTATACTCTAGGCAATGAAGCTAGATTGACTTTCAAGTGCCTAGACATAGCTTCTGCCAGTAACAAATGGGAAGAGTTTGCTGGTCGACAGATGGTTCAGGTCCGTGCTATCCACGAGCCCTTGTAAAGGATCCATACACAATTCGATTCAAGAAGGGGAGGTATATTCGCCATGGCTAGAGCTTGCCGTTGATGCTCTCTGATCCTACATTCTGGAGTCTATGACCTCCTTTTCGTCCTTTTGTGCATGCGAAACAGCCAAGGTACCCTTCAGTTAAACACATCCAACTTCCCAAGGCTAGCCTTAATCTGCTTCCGTGACCTGGCAAGCATGATATACTGGTATGCTGTCGGCTGCCCCCCCGTACTCTTCCGTCACCAGTAAGTGAGATCACGCTTTGATACATAGTCCGACGACGCTCAGGCTCCTGCTCATATGGTCATCGGATGGTTCGAATGCCGAATCTGAGATGTCGGTCCCTTTCGTTGTCACACCGGAGCCAGTCCACTCCTTGACATCGAGGCCAGATGCAGCGGCCAGAAGCAGCGGCCAGAATCCACCGAGACAGATGACTTGCTGTGGGAATCAAAGAGAATTGCACTCAAAGCATGATCTTGATCGTGCTATCGTCACGTCGGAAGGACTATGGATTCAAAGCCACAGGAACCCGTCCCAGATCATGCTATATGCTTCTCCCGTGTTAGATGGAAGGGTGACTCACCACCCTGATATTCTATTCCTTTCGCTTCAGGTATTGGGCAATTTGATGGGTGCCAGAAAGTCGAGATCGCTATCCGCTCCACTTTCAGCCCCAGGGTCTTCTACATCGTCGCTCTTTCCGGATAGAATGTTCGTGATGAATCCCCAAGCCCCGACTATTCGATCCCCTGGCCTGACAAGCTCATACATCCGCGTCACCCATTCATCTGAGTCAATGATGAAGTGTTCAAGCTCTGGTATGGCTGATATGGTATGATGGTGGATGAGAGGAAAAGGTGGCTGGAAAGGGGCGATGAGGTCGTCAAATGAGGTCCCTAAAGCACTACTCGGCAAAGACACTTGCGATTGAGAAGGGGGGGAGCCTTTTCGCCCGATCCTCTGCTGTATCGCTGCGCTCGAGACTCTGTCCACAAAAGTTCCAATCGCTTCGATCCGCTGATTTGACGAGCCCTTGAGCAGACTTAATCTACTTAGCTCCGGAATGCCGCCAAACACGACCAGTTGGACGAGGTCCGCTTCACTGGGTGGCTTGCGGGACCGGATTATCCCCGCCGAGGGCGCTCGACTCAAAGCCCGGAGGTGCTGTCGACACAGCTCAAAGAAATGATAGGCAGGGATGATTGCGGTCCCCGGGTACGTCCGCAGAAGATCTCGGACAGAGTGGACACAGGATGGGCAGGCTGCGTTGGAGCCGTCTTGTCCAGAAGGGATTGATCCGAGTGTTGAATGGGAAGGATGGTCGGTGACAAGCATTGTCCGATAGCTTTCAAGAAAGTGATATATGGTCCAGGCTGCCAGATGGAGCCGCCTCATGAGCCTGAATTTGTAAGGGTTGAAATTGTCACATCTTTTGAATTGCGGAATCACATATACTTTCATCTGGATCCAGTTGATCATGACATGCAGCATTCTTTGCACTTGGGCTTGTCTTTTCAGCATCTGGAGTAGATAATCAAACGAGTCGCAAGGCTGAGGCGGGGGGTATATTGTACAGAGGTAGTTGTAGAGGTATCTTGCCTTCTCCTCGTTCAGGTTACCCTCATAGTCTGTCGTCTGCTCGTAGGCATTTTGGAGAAGCAGAGACCGTGTCACTGGGCCAGCATGAGAGCGCAGATAGAGGTGGACAGAGCGCGACGCCGAACGGAGGCTGAGAAAGTCCGATACAGACAGATAGCAGAGGATTTGAGATGTGATTTCGTCCGGTAGGGATAGGACAGCATCCCACAATCTTTCTCTGTCAGAACACAGATAAGCTTCAGTCGTCTCGATCCGCAGTCCCCCTTGGTGAAAGTACTCACGCGGAGCCAGCGTCCGCCTCGCGTCCCTTTGCTAGATGCGACTTCTTCGACCACGAGGAGAGTCGTAGGGACAAGGCTGCAAGACTGGGCCGTCGAGGGCTATATATGTCTGCCGCAGAGGGTCTTCTTGAGGATTCGGCGCTTGAGCTCCCATTGTCGAGGAGGTTAACTGCGCTCGCTCGCCGAAGAACGCTTGTTACGGTGACCATGATGGATGAAGCCAGCTAGTGCGTGGAACAGGATTTGTGTTGCGGTTTCGTTGTCTGTTGGGAGAATGATTTGGCCGCATTCAAGACAGAGCGACGACAGTCATCGAGAACTGAAAAGAGAGGAGTTCATGCCGCGGGACATTCCGGATTGCGACTGCGATTGCGCTCAGGTGGGCCGATGTGCGAGCATAATTTTCTGAAGCTGGTGGGGAAGTGAGCTCCAATGTCTACTCAGCCCACTCTCCATAGACTGCACACGCAATCAGGTTGAAGGTGCCTGCAAGCTCGCGAAAACATAGGATATGTCGCGAAGTTATAGAAGAAGGGGAGGGGAAGGGAAAATATCGAAGAAGGAAAATACCAGGCTATTTTACTTGAGAATCAACAACTTGCGCGGACAAAAGCATGAAGGAAGAGACGGACGGTTCATTGGGGGTCGCGTGCACTGCCAGATAGGCTGTTCCGCCCGACGATCCCCGCCTATGCACGAGCCCACTAGCCCACTGATAGGCGCTGTCTGAGGCCACCAGTGCCCGTTAACTGGGTGCATAGATAGGCCACTAGGCACTCTCTAGGTGCTAGGCGTAGTGAGCCGGTCCTAATCGAGAGATCGAGCCGGACATGCTAACCCAGCCAGATAGTTCAGCCAACGGTTCTAGCTTAAGAGACGTAGCCGACCGCTGTCACGAATTCAAAGAGTACCCGATATTCTAGGATTCTACACACTGCTTTTCACTGTACTCCGCATCTCTGCTGTTCCATGCCTTCCTCGACACATCTAAACGCTGACATCATGAGCTGGCTGCATTACATTCTGCGCCAGAAGGTAAACACAAGAAGACAGAATGACCGCGCGATGATTCCCAGCCGTTTTCGCTAATACTTCGTGCGCGAGGGCAACAGTTTCATCTGGTCCATGATGTTACCTTGCAGACCGAGCAGTCCATATATCCATTTCAAGATGATGAAGAAGCTGTCCGGTTCCTATTTGCAAGCGTTAGCTTCCAGCAGTCAAAGCACTCCCCTTGGGAGGTTGCGACAGGGTTGTTGGACTCTTACTCCCATATGTTTTTTGCCCTTGACCATTCTGGCCAACTTTGGGTTGCCGTGTTCCAGTGCCACAAACAGGTCATCGATCGGAAAGATTTCATCATCGTTGCCGTTGACTAGTAATACCTTGGTGCAGGGTTTTTCTAGAGTGCCGTCATTCAACAGCGAGAATTTGCCAGCGTCTTGGATGAAAGATTCCAGGTCGGGATAGCCAAATTTGTACGTCAGGGTGCTGGAGAGATCGAAAGGATACTCGAGATTATGCACGTTCTCAAGCCACTCCCTATCAAACATCTGAGACCCAAGTTAACCTCGCGGAATTCTTGACTGCGGCTAGCACCATATCGACAGAAAATAAACTTACGTGATGGCATCCGCCACCTAAGCTGATGCTGGCGAAGATTCGGTCATGGTGGGTGTGGGCTACTCTAAGCGAGTAGTAGCCACCAGTCGAGAAGCCCCAGACAATGATCTTCTTGTTGTCGATTTCCTTTTGTGTGTCGATCCAGTCGAGGACGCTGGACCATTGACGGTCAGGGCTTGTGGGATCCTGACGAAGGGCCGGAGAATCGCCAGTCCCTGGGATCTCGGCGACGATCGTAGCCACTCCTTTTTGAAGGAAGCCCTCCTGCCACACTGCCAATTCGGTTCGGTAACCATCTAGTCCGGTGATAATGAGGACACATGGAGCAGGAGACTCCGCAGAGGCACCCGGAGGAACGAGAAGGTTGACGGGGACGACATCCCCCTCTCCTTGAACGGCATGCTTGTGAGGTATCCGAACCTCTTTGATAGGGTGCTCTAACATACTGTTTTCTTCCTCAGTCAGTTGTTGGGATCGAACCGCGCGTTTACAGACATTACTGACGCTGCGCCCTTGTAGAACATCTCTTTTCCAACCTTCCAGGCATATTTCTGTTTCTCTGACCGAGGTGTAGGGAAGCGCGAGATACGGTAGACGGCCGAGCTCCGCAGGTAATACTCTGAGGCCTTCTCAGTCTCGCCCGCCTTCTCCGCCTCTTCAGCGATCTTGCTGAGTTCTTCGGCCTTGGGGAAATATATCTGCGCATACTCGTCCCAGTCGAACGGCTCCTTCAAGCCTTTCTGCAGAAGGTCTCAGCGGAAGGGTTCGGTAGGGGGGAGGGAGTTGTAAAGGGGCACCTTGATGATCTCCTCCGCGATCGGCTCAAAGTCCTTGATGCTGCCGAACATGAATGGATAGACTCCCATTGCGCACTGTCGACAATGGGTCAGTGTTAAGGACAGGCTTTCTGAGAACTTCCACGTACAGGGCCCTTCCATTTCGTTTCCCACAGTTTCTGGAATGACTCGTGGTGGATGGCTGATTTCGTGATCGCATCTTTGATGTAGTATTTTTCGGCTGCGGACACCATGGCGGGCAGATTGGGTATGGAATCGATTAGAGAGTGGTTGAGAGCGTATCTTCTGTCACCAACGCAAGCTGCGCTTACAATAATATACCGTTCTTGCGTCTGTAAAGAAATCGCGGTGAGAGCGAAATTGTAGTCAATAAACAACACGGCGCACAAAAATCCGAAGCCGAGTGCCGGGTGGTGTCCTCGTCGTTGTACGATGATTAGGGTGGCTGAAGAGGGGCTTCAATGGTTCCTTAACTAGCGGGACACAACCTAAATGTGGAGGGGTGCCAACGGCCACGCAGGCCACACGGGACTCCGTCCTGGATATAAAACCTCCTGAAACGCGACTCCTCGCTCATCGTCTTTCGTCCGCGTTAGCTTTCTGTCACGATATGGAGGACTCGCAGGTGAAGGGAAATGACTCCGATGTGCACAATCGGACAAGACAGAGGCGGAAAGAGAAGGTCAGGATTGCTGTCCACCTAACTGCGGAATGAAAGACACTTGCTAGCCGCAGAAGGAATACGTATGCATTGGTGCTCCGGGCGCCAACTTGGGGGTTCAGGAGTCCACGGACAGGGGTGCAAACCCAGGCACGAGGCACAGACGCACTTGAGGCTGCCCCCGGAAGTTTCCCACGGCCACTAAATCCTTTTGAGATCCACGAGCGGCCAAGCTGCTGCACCTTGCTGCTAATTCCGGGTCGCCTAAAGTCCCGTGCGAGTCGTGCGACCACCTCCACAACGCACAATGCTGTAACCAGCCCCCAAAGTATCTCGCTTTAGGCCCGGGCTCGAAATATAGCCTTCGAGGACGGACCGTTCGCAATTCCCGCCACTGCAGTCCGATGTCTCACCAGACCGCCCATTCTGTTCTGTCTGATGGTGGTAGTGATGGTGGTGTCGACCAAGATAGGCGTCCCCCTTTTCCCATACGTCTGGTGGCTCTGCGCTTCACAACTCTGCAAGTAGCACTCGGTACGAGTAGCTCCGTACTCCAATGCTGATCTTTCCAAAGAATACTCCTCCTGGATGTCGTACGCAATCAACGCGAGATCGCATGTCCGGGCCCAAAGAACTCCGAAATGCACGCGTTGACCCATCGCACCCACCCAAGCATAACAAACTTTCAACGGCCGCGCATATGCACCATAAGCCACCCCACGAAGAAACATATAGCCGTGACACCGCCAAAGCATCCAAGCTAGGTAACAGGCCGAAGCAAATCTTTTCTTGTCGAAAACATGTACTCACTCGTGTGCTGCGAACACTCCAATGCCTCATGGGCCCCAACTGGGGACATCACTCTCTTCCCAAAAACCATCCAACGATACAAGGGTATGTAAAACCTGTGAAAAGGCGCGGGAAAAAAACTTTCCACCTCCAATCAAACCCGTCGTGAAACTTCGTAACAGTCGTGATCTTTTGTTTTGTTTTTGTTTTGGTTGTCTTTGGTCAGTCATGGTCGCTTTTAAGCCTGCAGTCGAGTAGGACTTGTCCGAGAAATCCAGATATATTTGGCGGCGCTTCCCCCTCGACCTAACCTGTACACCATCGGTGGGATTGCAGAATCGCTGGTTGCGTCGCCTTTTAAAATTGTTTTGAGATGCATCCTAGCACGATTCGTGAATGGATGCTCAGGTCCAAATGCATCCCGACAGATATCCACCACGTGTTGCATGGTTTCGTTAGCTTCCTCCTTCCGACCCAGCCGATTCGAGATCTCGGCCAACCCTCGCAAACATCGAACATAGATCTCACGTTCCTCAGGCCGTGGCAAAGTCTGTGACCGCTCCAGCGCCGCCTTGATGGCTTGGAGTGCCCGCGTGTATTCTTCCATGTGGAAAAAGGCCTCGGAAGTAGACCGCAGAGCATAGCAAGCCTCGTAGCAGCGTTTGTTCACGGTGGTTTCGAAAGCATCGACCAACTGCTGGAATCTCACGGCGGCTTCAGCGAAATGTTCTCGGTTCAGAAGACTACTTGCGAAGGTCTGTAGTAAGGCGATCGTTTCGGGGTGGAAGTAGCCTATGCTATCTTGGAAGAAATCGAGCAGTCGACGTAAGGTGGACTCGGCCAACCAAGCCCGTGACATCGTGGCGTCGTGCATGTGCGTGGCAATAATATAGATCGGATGTTCTTCAGATTCGAAAACGGTTTTGGCCATGTCGGCCAAGTGTCGCAAAAGCATGAGTAACGGTTCCTCATATCCAGTTCCATCATGTCGGATAATCAGGTCAAAGATGTAAATCATGAAGCCAACGTGATCGTCCTTCAGCAGGCCTTCAATGAGTGCAAACGCTTTGTAAAAATTGTCAAATGCCCGATCCCGCTGTCCGTTCCAGAGAAACGAATAGCCGTGGTACATGGAATAGTAGAACCTGTCGGCCAGGGCGTCGTCCGAGGTAGCAGTCCACGTACCGGTAGTGTTGCGGATGGACAAATTCCGCGTCGTAAACAAGTTCATGTAGTGGTTCTGCATATTTTGAAAGATGACATCTTGATATCGTTGGTCTTCAGCCGAAACCGTGACCTGCGCGACTGATGATTCGACAGAAAGCGTCCGGAATGGTGGCATTGGCGGGAGCTCGGGTATGTTCAAGGCTTCCTGTAGAATAGCAAGGCGATCGGCGGCAACGTCGGAAGTCCTTAGTCTCAAGGCTATGGCGGGCTTTTCTTGGTCGCCCATTTCCATGGGACTTCTTGTCATTTCGAAATCAGATGCATCTTGGGCCGTGTTGAGCATGTCATCGTTGGATGACAGAGGCGTTTTGACGTCAGCATCCTCGGGAGATGATAGGTCGCCGGATACTGATCTTTGAGGCTCCAAAAGGCTCGAGGGGTCTTTGATACCCTTGCGATTGAAGTAGTGCAAGGCGTCGGCTAGGGTAACTTGCCTTCCTCTTACCAAGAAGACCTTTTGCTTGTCGTCGCCCTTTTGTTGCAGGCCTTGGCGAACTAAGTCGAGCATCTCGTGCTCCTTCTTTTTCTTATCCAGACCCCATGTATGGAGTCGGCTTTTATACATGCGCTCACTTTGGAACAGGAAGGATCAGTAATGAATGGTAAGAAAACAGGACAAAGATAAAACAAGCAGAAATGATACGTACGTAGGTACAAAATCATATTCTCTTTTCAAGTATTCGGCCACATCCTTGAGAGTTCGGCCTTCCTCGAAGTATAACTGGGTTATTAAAGGTCGATGCATCCGCCACTCTTCCGAGGTATATGAGTTGGATGAACGCTTCGCGATCTTGCTTTTGCGATCTACAGGCGAGCCGTCGGCAGAAGCCATGGCGCAAAGTGGATTTTAACAGGCAAGGGAGGTGTGGTGGAATGGGTGATAATAACCAGTGCGTTATATCAAGTGATATGATGGACAAGGCATTGTGGGATGATAGGGATGTCTCCGGTTGACGGTGGTCGAAGGGGGGCGGTGCGGGCGGAAACGGTGGTTGGCCGAAATTTGCGACGCGTATGAAGGCTGATGGACAGAGGACCACCCAGCAGATATCTAGGAGTGCCAGATATACGTCGAGTCGTGAGACCGGAGAAATATATGGACTGAAGGTGAGGCTGGGATCCCGAATGAGGACCAGCAATGAAGTTGAGGCGCAAGAGTTGAGGTCGGCAGAGAGGCGAGGTTGAGTTCCAGCCAACAGCCCACAAGGACAGGAATTCGAAGCAAGCGAGTAGTTAAAAAAGTTTAAACGTGCCAGCTGCCTTGATGAATGCCTGAAAGTTCACAAGGGGTTGGCTATCCGCCCGAGGCTGTTTGTCCGTTCTTTGTCCTTTTTAAACTACTTGGCCGCCTGGAAATCGGGATTAGCTTAGTGATTCTGGTCGGCGGTAGCGGTGGGATGGTGGGTAGTGGAGGGTCTCTTGGCTTGCATGGATGTTCTCGAAGACTTCAGGATGAGGACATAGTGCCAGTGGGCGGTCGCGGCGAGTTGATGATGTGGTAGGCTTAAACGAAAGAGTCTGCTTTGACTGGATCAAGGGTCAGCGTCTAGCCCTTCTGGTTCTTCACTTGGAGGTCTGGGGTGGTGGGAGGCGTGCCTGAACGATCCCAGCAAGCCCAAAGATAGTGGGGGCCTCGTGGGCGTCGAGTCATGAACCTGACGAACGATCCCGACCTCCCAGTTTGTCCTTTTTCTTCCTGAGCAGGGTCGGGGTACCGAGTAGAGATCAGAAATCAGAGGTCGGAGGTCAGGAGGAGCAGGAGGAGTAGGGGCCGACAGAGGGTCGAGGGATCAGAGGACCAATGGGACCTGCGACGACAGCTTGGGTCAAGCACCACAGGTGGAACAAAGTAAGTCGAGGCAAGGTGGAGTTTTCCCGACTTCTCAAAACCGAACGCTCGATTCAATTTCGGGTTGCCTGGGAAGAGAAAGGGAAGTGGACGTGTTAGAATCCTTAAGATAGAGAGGGAGAGAAGGATAGAGAGACGCGGGGAAGAGTGAGGGAAAAAGTGTGCGTGTGCGTGAGAAGGTGAGGACCGACGAATTGAGAGGGTGGGTGGGAGTGAGTGGTAGAGGCGATCATCCAATCCGGAGCCGAAAGTACAGTTCCTTTGAAGTAAGTGGTTTGTGGCTATGGCAGTGACTTGGGAGGTAGAAGATTGTAAGCTTCATGCTCGCCACGGTTCAACCATCGCCAAGTCATCTATCTACTTGTGTAACCTTCACGGTAGTTTGCTCCGTGATGCTGGTGGTGGTGTTGGTGGTGGTAGTCGTGGTGGCGACAGACATCCGGTAGCACTACAAAAGTACCTTTTCCTTCAGCTTTCTTTAGCACTTCTTGCCCTCTAACCTTTGCGTCAGAGATCAACCCTCGGATTTGCCGCCATCGTGCATTTACGCGGGAGGCCAAAACATGGGCCCTGGTCGAAATAATGCAGGCCGCATCCCTCTCAGCCCCTGTTATGCATCAAGCATCCATATGTCCTCGTCGCCACCACCACCCTCTCCATGTACTCCCTACGTACCGAGGTACCTAAAGCACCCCCGAACTCATGTCATCATCTCCGTCATTCCAACCCTGGATACATTGCTCCTTCCCAAGCCGTCCATCTCCGGGCGTATTCTGATCCGTATCCAGACCGTCTGCTCCCTTGGACTTTGTCAGTGCTGCATCTCACCGGCCGGAGAATCTCCAGCTATATCCATCCAATTGTGCGTGCTGCTATTCTTGTGGCTGTGCACTGTACCCAAGTAGGTATGCGGCATTGCACTTTGTCAACAGCCACTGCCAACAAGAAAGGAGCAGGGCGTAGGGCATGAATATGGCCTCCGGTCAAATCACTTCTTCATATCCTATCTTGGTAGCTAGCTTGCCACCCGCTTCTTACTGCACGAGATACCTGGTAATCTTATCCTCCTTCATCTTGTCATCATTATCTTGTTTGACTAGGCTGCCCCTGCCCACCGATATCACGTCAACCATTTAGTCGGTATATTCCAACCACATGGAACTACATATATCCACCTACGAGGAATGGCAGTCGCCAAGGTTTGCTGGTTTATTCCTTCAGCATATTTTGGTCATACGTGTCGCTTTGGGGAGGACTGAAAGAGCGCTCAAATGCCTGGCGCGGAATAATGATTATGCGAGTTCCGGATGACAAAAGGAGGATTTGGTGCACAAGTGAAGGATTGATGGTACGGCTCGACTTTTCTCTCTCACCTATTTTTTTCCCTCAAATGGAACCAGGTGTGAAGGACTCCCCTTCTCATTTACCAACATCCAGCATGGAAAAAAAGCCCCCAGTGTGGTAATGGCGTCCACCAGAACCACCTAATCAGACAACGGTCGGAAGTGCTCCCCTGAAATAGGTAACCACCCCGGGATTTTTGAAGGGTTTTTCTTCTCCTACTTGTCATCCAGCTCCAATTTTCTCGGACGAAACAAGCGTGAAACTGCTTACATATTCGAGATGTCGGCCACGCTTCTCTCTACCGTGGACCGCGCCCAGGAACCGTGACTGCAAATCGGTACTCCACATGCCAAATTGGCACTCAGTCTCATTTCTCCTGCTTGCTACTCAATTGAGATTCTTCTTGGGCACCACCTGGGGGCGAAGGAGAGCACAGCCTCTTTCTGGGTCAACTGCCACCTTACAGATAGCCGAGAGGGAAAGGAGTTGTGCACGAAGAATCAGAATTTCCACACACTCTGAAACAATAATTTCCGTGCTGATGGATGATCGAAGCCTGAGCCATGTCGTTGATCACGGTGGAAGTGAAGAACAGATCATATCGACTTGGAAACCATGGGTGAGTCGGACACTGCTTGCTGGTGACGTACAAGTGTGCATCCGCAAGGTCTACTCCTATGTGCTCTGTCCGCCAATCCTACAATTTTCCGACCCTTCTGGTTTCGTAGGACAGCAATGCTTTTACCGAGCATGCAGCAACTCCTCAAGAGTAAACTTCTTCGGGGCAGCGAGCCAGCCTTTGTCCACGAATAACAACAGACGATGACGAGGTAATCCGCATACCCTTAGAACCGAGGTTTGGGACAAACATGAAATTATCTTGGGATATCAATCATCTGCTGACCTTCTTCCTTTAACCCTCTTTTTATTTCACTCCAGCAGCCTTGCTCACAAACCCAGCGCCACGCCTTCGACAGTCACAATGGCCTCTACTGAACCGCTTCCCTCTGCTCTCCCCAATCCTACCATCCACATAACAACCCACAACTCCTCTGGCAAAGCAACACTCCACTCTTCATCTCAGAACCAGTGGGATTGGTTCCCTGAAAGGGCTGTTGGTTTCAACGTGGTATATACCACTTCGTCGTTTCCAGCCTCGCTGAACGACGATGCCGACATCGAAGCACACAAGGCGACCATGTCCAGTCGTAAGCTCGGGCTCGTTAAGAAAGGCGGTACAGTCTGTCGGATTGTTGATTTTGGTCCGGGAGGCACTCCATTGATGCATCGCACACAAAGCCTAGACTATGGAGTGGTGTTGGAAGGCACTGTTGAGATGGAGTTAGACGATGGCAGCGTGACTGTTTTGAAGCGTGGAGACATTGCCGTGCAGCGGGGTACAAATCACGCGTGGAGAAATCCCAGCAAGACAGAGTGGACGAGGATGTTGTTTGTCTTGCAGGACTGCCAGCCAGTGCTTGCGGCCGGAGAACGACTTCACGAGGAACTGGGAGAAGGAGGCAAAGACATTCCAAGGAGCGGCAATGATGATTGAGATGCGTTGCCAGTCCTGGCGTGGGGCAATCTAAGGCATTTCACCGAGTCTCATGCTCGGTTTATGTAGAGCCACCTCGACACTTGTGACATGGATCGTTCCCTGTCCTAATGTTTTGTCCAAGCCAACCATTGTCTTTGCTCAATCGGACCGTGCTCTTCGTTGTGGCTGGAGACTAGATGATGCTCTTACACATCGAGCCGAGGAGGTGGCCAGCAGCAGCGGGCGCCCGAGACGTGAAGGCGCGGGCGTAGGCACAGGCACAGACACAGGGCAAGTGATTTCTCGAACACCCACTTCTCTGTGCTCTATTTTCTGATGACAGTGTTCTCCAGGATTCAAATGCTCACCGTCCAGCTCTTTCTGTGAAGGACACCACGGGTCCTTCGCAAGTCGATCTTTGTCAAAGACTCAACAGAAGAGAGCCATCTTCATACGACACAACTCATGCTGGCTGTAGCACGTCGTCCCAGGAAACCCTGCAGCCGATGCAAGAACCAAAGGTCAAAGAGATCAACACCATGCCGCAATCTCTTCTGAGCTGACCTTTTTTAATAGGTTCGCTGCTCGGGGGAAAAGCCGAGTCGTTGGAGATGCTCGAGGTCGAATAATCAATGTCTATACAAAGCGGCTGATGGTCGATGGGGCTCGAAAGGAACACAGCTTCCGTTGAGCACGGACAGCCTGCCCTCGTCGACGTCCTCATCCAACCCCAAAACGAGAAGAACCCTCGAGTCTAACACTCAGAATGGAGCAAAAGCACCGACACCACCATGGCATACGTCTGCCGCGAGACCAAGTCTTCCGGCCCAAAGTTTCTATGTCGGCATTCCTGTGACCCTGATCATGTACCTCGTCGACGTCTATTACGCCAATGTGTACGATGCCTCGCTTTTGCTGCATAGGGGGCTGTTCACTGAAGCAATAGCATCCCGTACAGCTCGTCATCATGTCGTCCTAAGTGTGTGCGCTTGGGATTTAAAGTGAGAAAAGCGTGTCTTTTTCGTCATTGCGCGGATACCTCTGATCTTTGATCTCCAGCTTCCACCGAAACTCTGGCGGTCAATCAGTGCTTTGCAACCACGATTTCAGTACAGAGTGGGCAGATCAGGCAGGCAAACTTGCGTTTCAGGAGGTAGAGCACCCTACCGACGAGCACGTCGTGACGTTTATGAACCTTTGCGCTTTTGTGGTACAGCCATGGCTCATGGCGGAGATCTGTCATCCACAAAGGTCCAGCAACACGCCCGCGTCGCGCCCTGGCTTATCTCGACTGACGAAATGGCAGGCAACGCCGCTCAGATCGCCCATCTCCTCGGCCTGGGAACGGATAGACCGGGCAGAGAAGACCTGTGGCAGTCAGAAATACGTCGCTGTTGGTTCTGGGCTTACTATCTCATGCATTGTCATGCTATCGAAACAGGTGCCGTGTGGGCATCTGCTGAGAATACCCTGAAACTCAAATTGCCGTGGACCGAGGAGGATTGAAATGCTGGCACTGCGACCAATCCCAGAGTCTGTTTGAAGTCTGGAGACAGCAATGGTGGCATATTCGGCGATCTAATCAAAGTGTTGACGTTTTGGTGAGATTATGCTCTCGATGACGGCCCTGAGACGCGAGATCCTACCCATGCTAATTGTGTACTCAAGGAGTGAGGTTATTGCTCTAGTCAAATCTCCTGAAGCCAGCATCAGCGAAAGGCTTGAGGCAATCTACACCCTCGATGACCAAATATCGAAATGGCGAACCAAGCTTCCGGACTCGCTTCGATGTGCAGTCGAGATAGTTCCAGAGATATCCGACGAAGCTCTTCCAAATATTCTTCTTCTCCGCCTTGTATATCATCAATGCCTTTATACTCTCCATACCTCAATAGTGCCTCTCTTTTACTAGAGTGCAGCAGTTGAGACGTGGTCTACGGCAAGACAGATGTCTACCCAGGTATCTTATAACAACGCCGACACCGCCTCAGAGCTTGTTGACGCAGTCCTGTCGAATTTTCCTCGACTCAGCGCAATTCCAAGTTTTATGGCGTATGCGGCACATTGCGACGCGGCCATACCGATTCCCTTCATGTGGACTACCGAGCGCGCTTTGAAGGAGAGATCGTACAAAAACGTCAAGGCTAACGTCAAGATCGTACGTACCTTTGGAAATTCGCGGCCTGGTAAAGTGATACAGTTGAGCGTGGCTAACAGGCATTGTTTGTCAAGAGAGCCATGTACGCTATATTTTATCATATTCACGCAAGGAACCCTATAATTCTCGAAAACGAGCCCAAATTCATTGATCCGAAGAAGCTTACGAGCTTCAGGACCGCTGCTGTCCATGCCAGGGAGTCCATCCTCGGGACCAACCGTATATTGTGAAGAGATGGCAATGCCCTGTCCTGGCAAGGCGGATAGCCCGCAGGTCTTGATTCTGAGGATGAGAGTGATGGTGAGTCAGTCCCGGGACGGTCAATCACTTAATTTTGTCGTGGTAGAGGCTACTGTGAAGCCCATCCCTCCATCAACATCGTGTTCATCTTTCCCTACGCAAGCAGCCGCACCACTCACTCGGCGGGATCATGATCGAGCGCCACAACAGATGCCTGAAGGGCTGCTGTGGATGCCCCCCAAGCCTCGACTTTTGGAGTTCTGGCCTTGCGGCCCGCCTGAGTGAAATTGATCGGCGCCAGCGCACGATATGCGAGGCGTTTGCATCACCCAGCTAACTGACTAGCTATCTAGTCATATTCTTCCTCTGGAGTGGGGCTTGTTTGGCCCGGAAGAGGCGACGACGACGACGACGACGACGACGACCGCTAGTCCGATACTTGGGCCGGAACTACAAGGGGGAAAGAAAGGGGCAAAGGGTGAAAACACACCCTGTTGTTGGGTTTGCTGAAGTTCATGGTAGGCCGGAAAGGGAAGAGGGAGGAAAAATTCCGACGGGATGTGTATCTACGAGTCCATATGCAGTTCTGCTTCCATGTGGATCTTACATTTGCGGATTTTGAGTGAATCACTGTTGATTGCAATCTGCCATCGCAGTCACTTTTCATGGCTCCGGGGCATGACACATCCATCGGTTTCACGTGGATTTCTAATCTCCACGAAAGAATGGGTAAGTGATGTCTTCAATAATGGCGTGGTCACATGGCTACCTCGTACAATGTGAGACAACGATCCGAGAGAACCCTCCAGACCCGCCGCGGCCTCAGTCATTGTCAGATTGTCCCGCAGCGTGGCAACGGAACATCTCCTTTGGCTCTTTTTAAGCACTGCCTTTTCTCAGTATCTGTCGAAACTGTTACTTATGAGTAGCCCGGCCCTCTGCAATCTGTCCATCGCCCCGCTCTTCCACGCAGAAGTCAGGCTTTTCATTGACTACACGAATACGCTTCATATCGAAGTATGATTCTGAACGGCCCTGTTCAAGCAGGATGGGAAGAGTGAGAAGAGATATCTTATTCAAGACTTTGAAACGAAGCAACGGAGCAGGTCAGCGATGGGTTGACGGCCGGCAAATTCTGGGAGGCCTTGCACCTGATTTCCCGACAACGGCGGCAACCTCGAAGGTCACGTCTGAGAGAGAGAGGTAGGTTCGTTCGCACCCGTCCGTCACGATGAGGTGTCTGTAGTAGGTGTCTTCTGTCTCTTGGTTGAGGGTTGCAAGATTACGCTTGGTTGGAGAAGCAACCGCAGGCAGCTGATGTGTGTAAATGGACAAAGAACTTGACGGCGCAGTTTGGCCGAGTCGTCACTTACTCTTCGCTTTTACCTTCATCAACCCATCAAACCATCACCCTTTCCATCCCGTCGTTCATTATAATTATACCTAGTACACTATTGCCATAAGTCAGACTTGTTTCTTGTGGACGGCTATGGTTCGCCGATCCACCTGATCTGCGCTCACAATGACGTTGCTCGGTGCTCCTTCGTCACCGTCGTTCTACTTCCCGCCTGTATCCTCCTTGTCTCTATGGACCAACAACGGAAAACTCTCAATCCCTCTCCACATTCTCGCTTAATGGCCAGTGACTTGATGATCGTTACTGCACGCACCCCTTTTGACCTTTTGACGGTCCATTGGACCTCGTAACCCCGTCGTCACTGGAAGGAAGGAGCTTCATTCTGAGCGTTCCTGACCAACTACTCCACGTGGTGCCTCGCTGCTGATCTCTGACCCGGGCCAGTGAGTTATTATTTCTTATTCGATCTCTCTTGGACTAATCTCCATCTTTTGTCTCTCTTAGCAGTCTATACTATGCTTTGGTGTTCGTGTTTCCTTTTTGGTCCCGGTATCATTCGACCTCATTGAACGCCATGTCGCGAGATCTCCCTTCACTCCGCACCAGTAATGCGAGAAGAATAAGAACTGTACCCACCCGCGAATCGGTTCCTTTTTCTCTCGCAGGTCCTAGAGTTAGCCGTCCTTCCCGAGAGCAGCGGAGCTTCGTCAGTCACGAATATCAAGAGTCCTGTCCCGAATATGGACAGCCACTCGACGAGCCGATCTGGGGGTTGGCGGCACCTTTGCCCCGGGTCAAGCGTCGAGGGATGCGGCCTCCAAACACGACGCCAGAGGGGGACTCTGCACATGGAACAACCCCGACCCGGCAGCATGCTCGCGAACCGGCGCAGCAACAATCATCAGCTGAACTACCATCAGCCTCGCATATGGAAGCCGACCCTATCAGACATAGAGAGCAGGAACATGACTATCTCTCCCGGGAAAGTGCTGATACTCGAACATCCACTCGGGGCGCAGACCTGATGCGCCGGGCAACCACGGCCAATGTCTCGTCATATCTTAGCGATCCAATCGTCCCGTATAACACGGTTCAAGAACCCGGAATTCTCAGCGCAGAAACACGGCGCAAAGAACGCGAGCTGCTTGCTGAGAATATCAGTGCACACGACAAGGCCCACTCATCATCTAGAGAGGGGCAGGGAAGGAGTAAGGACACTCAAAGGTCCGATACCCGCGCAAAGACGTCTTCGAGCGGCTCGACGGCCCGTGATTCCTCCATCGATCGGACGCAAGACTTGGTCGTTGGTCACGAACTGGAGCGGGCGGTGAGGAGTGAGTCCGCCATCGAATCGGCACGGCAACGGCTGCAAGAATTGGCAGATACAGCCGAGTTCGAAAGTGGCTTGCGACAGTGTCGGCCGAACATTGACTGGGAAGAATATCATCCCTCAGGCGACACCTTGGTAGAACGTCTCTCGCAAGTGGATTATCCTTATCGACCACGATTTTACAATGCCTGGGGGCCTATACGATACAGGTGTCGAAAGCCGTTCGCGGAATTTCTCGGCACCCTGGTCTTCATGACGCTCGGACTTTCAGGTTCCATCGTTCACATGACAGCGGGTAGCGACTATGGAAGTCTCCTTACAGCATACATGGCGTGGGGTTTTGGCGTGATGATGGGAATCTACATTGCAGGCGGTGTCTCCGGTGCGCATCTGAATCCCACCATTTCAGTCGTCCTTTGCATCTTTCGTGGCTTCCCATGGAGTCAATGCTGGAAATATGTTGCGGCCCAGTTTCTGGGCAGTATCGCCGCCTCGGCGCTCGTGTTTGGCCTCTACAGTGAAGCTATCAACGAATACGCGGCCTCAAACATTGCTCGCGTTGGCCCTGCATTCTACACACAACCCCGTGGGGGATTGAGTAATGCCGCTGCTTTTTTTAATGAGCTTGTTGCCACGGCCATCGCAACCGGGTCCGTCCTTGCATTAGGGGACGACGACAATGCACCGCCGGGAGCAGGCATGCATGCGTTCATCATCGCCCTCATGGTCATCGTTCTCTCGATGGCGTTCTCCTACAACACCGGCCCCGCTCTCAACCCTGCGCGGGACTTTGGGCCTCGTCTGGTGACTGCGATCGCGGGTTCTGGCGGCCATGTCTTCACCCGAGAGGACGCGTGGTGGATTTGGGGGCCTTGGATCGCTACGATGGTTGGTGGGCTTGTGGGCGCAAGCGTCTATGACATCTTCATCTTTAAAGGAGCAGAGTCTCCCATCAATTATCCCAGTGGCGCCATAAGAGCCGAGTTGAATAGCTCATGGAAGGAGGTTAGACGAAAGTCAAAGATGGGACGGGGAAAGGATAGCACTGGAGATGTCAATAAGGAGATTAATCTTGTTGCTTGATACGGAGTGAATGGCGGACATGGGTTTGGATTCTGCAGATCAGTTCTTTCAGGCCATTGATGACCTGGGTGATGACTGCACTGGCAAAATGCTTACGGCGGCTGGACGAGGCTGAATAAGGTCTGACCGGCTTCGATCCATGTCGGCGCCACCGTTTCTCCGATCCGCTTTATATTAAACACGGAGAGGCAACTTTCCCGAAATCGTTTCCCAATCTCCTCACTCAGTCACTGCTCGATTTTCTTGTCCCTTTCTTCCTCCAACTCATGCCTTCGGGAGATGGCAATCACACTGGCCATGGCATTGCGAGCACCAATGTCGCTCTTGCCGACGAGGTCGAAGCCTTGAACTCCATTTACGGCTCGGATACCATTGTCCTTCAATCACCTACCGGCCCTTCTGTCACCGGGGTCCTCCGCATCCCGGGCTCTGAGCTCTCCTTGCTCATCTCCTTCCCTGTGGAGTACCCTGATGTGCCTCCTGAGATCTTAAAAACACAGTCGACGGGCGACAGTGGGCGGAAAGGGGAAGGGGAGGTCGCCGTCCACATCCTCCGTGACGTGCTGGCACGGGTGTGGATCGAGGGCCAGGTGTGTCTGTTCGACTTGGCCGAGGAGGCTGGTCCTCTGCTCTCCCAAAGGCACCATGAGGGCGAACACGGTTCAGCTGCGCCGCCTCCGGCCGTCGTCGAGCAAAGCCCTCCGCACGCGCATAGGTCTGCTGCCTCCTCATCCTCGCACACGCACCACGATGGCTACGAGCCCTACTCCTCCTCCTCCTCCTCCGCCGCCGCCGCGATGGACGTACCCTCTAACGCCGCCACAGCTACCTCCTCCGCCGCAGATACCCCTCCACCGAACTGGACGCTGTCCGAGCCCCTGACGGTCAACCGCTCCACGTTCGTTGCGCGCGCCTGCCCCGTGCACTCCCTGCCCGAGGCGCAGGCGTCCCTGTCCCACCTGCTCGCCTCTAACAAGAAGGTCGCCAGTGCCACGCACAACATCAGCGCCTGGCGCATCCAGTCTCCGAACGGGCAGACTGGCGCCGTCATCACGGTCCAAGACTCGGACGACGACGGCGAGACCGCGGCCGGCGGCCGCCTCCTGCATCTGATGCAGCTCATGGATGTGTGGAACTGCATGGTCGTGGTCACCCGGTGGTACGGCGGGGTCAAACTCGGACCCGACCGGTTCCGGCTCATCAACCAGGTCGCGCGCGAGAGTCTGGTCAAGGGCGGGTTCGCGAAGGACCATGCCGATGACAAGGAGAAGCAGACGACGGGCAGGTCGAAAGGAGGGGTTAAAGGCAAGGGAAAGAAGTGAACCAAAAAGCCTCCACCCCCTTCTCCCCCTCAAAAACCATAGCGACTAGATGGGACACAACGGAGCGCTGGCCATGTTGGTCTTAAGGGATGAAACCATCATGATACCCGGGGAATCGATGTTTTTTCGGGTCATCAATGAGTTGGAACTGCATTGGAATGGAAATAAAACCATAGGTGGATGGCATGCATGCATAGATTAAAGAAGGAAGTTTCTTTTTCTTTCTCATATCCTAACTACTGCTGCTCCCCGCCTGTCATGCATCGGAACGCGGAAACTACGTACTTAAGTACACACACAGGCTGGAACCACTCCATGACAGCCGTAACAATTAGTAGCAATTAATACATACATACATAACTGTCTGCCATCTGTGCTATTTTTCCGCCGGTTGCTTTTCTTCTTCTCGCTCAGCTCCACAAGGCCGAGTCTTCTCCTATGTTCGTTCGCACGGTCGCACGCACGCACACAGGTGACTGACCACCTGGGCAACGCGAGCTCATCATCGTCATCGTCATCGTCATCATCATCATTACAAAGTATGTGATGTGACGTGATGTGATGTGATCAAGACATGGCATCCATGGCCTCGGCCACGGCCAGACGACGTCTCGCGCTCTCAGCGGCCCTCTTCATCCTGAGATTGCCCCGGAATTCCGCCTCATGCGCGCCGACGTCTCTCTTCTTCTTCTTGGTGATGAAGGCGCTGGGCTGGCCAAAGTCCGGGGTGCCGCCCAGGGTGGCGAAGATGTCGCCGACGTAGTTGGTGGGGGCGACGCCCTTGGCGAAGGTGCTGTTCCAGCCGTCCAGAATGCCCTCGACCACGCGCACGCCGGCCAGGTAGATGTTCTGGATGGCGGGCTCGAAGCCGCCCTGGTCGACGTACAGCAGGTTCTGGATCTGGCTGATGCTCGGGGGCGGGCGGTCGAAGTCGGAGGCGGTGCGCATGACGATGACGCGCGAGAAGTCAGTCAGGTTCGTGGCCGCCGCGCGCATGATGGCTTCCAGGCTGGCGTTATCCTCCTGCGCCGTCGTGCAGTACACGCCCGACCCGTTCGTCCAGATGGTCGTCGTGTTCTCGAACGCCTCCGACAGGTGCGTCCCCGAGTAGTACACGTCCGACGTCGCCACGTCGCAACCCACCACGCTCGGTCCCTTCGCGCCCGCCGCGTAGATGCTCTCGGCCGCGTACTTGGCCCGGTAGTCTTGGCTGGCCGTGCTGTCGTTGAGCTTGGCGCCCGAGGCCAGGCTGATGGCCACGTCGCGGAGGGCTTCGTTGACTTCGAACACCTCGGTGCCGTAGATCCTGTACCGAACCAAAAATTTATAGATTAGCCGTCTGTCTTTCTCTATTTTTCTCTCGTCCTCTTTCGAATCCTCATGGCGCTTCTCGGGGGGAGTTTGATTATTGTTCTTTCAAAACCAACTTACGTTGCAGGATAGTCATCCGGTGCATCGACGCCAAACGGAATGTAACCGGTCGTGAAGTTCGAGGGTATATCTCTGATGTCGAACTCGTATTGCAGCGCGACCTGGACCGCGTACTTGGCAAAAGTCACGGCCCCCAGTGTAGCCACCTTGGGGTTAACGCCCGCAATGCCCGCGACCATGAAGTATGACTTGGTGAGGTTGAACTTGGGACTGTGCACAAAGGCGCTGATGGTCGAGGCGGCGTTGATTTCCGACTCGCCCGTCACCACCTGGCAGACGTCGCCTTTGGCAGTGCAGTGGACTTCTGGGAACAGCGGCGAGAGTCCCGAGACGGTGATGTTCTGGGCGAGGAGGTCGAACTCCTTGATGCCGTACCAAACCTCAGCTTCGGGGGCAAACATGCTGATGATGACGACCTTGGGGGAGATCGGGGCAGCTCGTTTGACGAGGTCACTGCGCTGCTCGATGGGAGAAGCTGCCGACATGGGAGCCAAGGCTGCTGCCGCAGCAAGCAGCTTGAGGAAACCAACAGAACGCATGGTGGACAGATTCCGAGGAGGATTTGTCTGTCGAAACGTATGACAACGGTGCAGAAGAGCTTTCTCTGCTCGAGCACACGAGCAGGAAGAAAAAAAGTGCTGGCAGGAAAGTCAGCACCAGAGGAGGCGGACGGTACCTGCCTTTTGAGGCCACGCTCGCGGAGCTCCAAGCTCACTCCTCGCACCCACGTCGGTCCCATCATCGGGAGGAGCTGCTGCATTGGTGAGTTCCCAGCAAGATGAGCGAACGAGCGACGCATTCGAACGTATCGAATCCCACCGGAGGCGAGCGGGTTGGAGACCATGACGGCGAGATGGAGAGCTTCCAGCTCAAAAAGGTGGATAGCTCCATGCCCACGGTACCGTACCTTGCTTTGGACACTCCGGGGAGTGGCGACAAGCAAGCAAGCCAACCCACACAAGCAATAGGGCCGTGGTAGCTCGGTTCTTGTCTTCATTTCTGGGGGAAGAGATCGGGATGTGTTTTGTTATCTCTGTGCAAGAAGGTTGTGGGAAGAACGGATAAACTGGGCGAATGAAGCGTGGCCTCATGCAGATCGAACTTAGCTCGTAGGCACTGTGGTGTCCCGCCGACTCTCAATCCCACGCCGTTATCTCTGCAGTCGGCTAACCCTGGGGGCGGGCGAGCTAGAAGCCATTTTTGTTGTGTGGGAGGGGACCTTCTAAGCATCCCATCGATTCTTCCCACCCTGTGCGTGATAAGGAAATACTGAGGCTTGTAAACAGCAGTACACCGGGTACGACAGCTTGTTCTGGGGGAAGTCGTCGCTACATTTGCTGACCAACAAGGCTGAGGAAGCCCTCCTCGTGATTAGATGGGCAGCCAAGCCAATAGGTGGACGACGGGGAGGGCTGGAGAGGGCACAAACATCAATAGGCGAGGTGCGAAGCGCGAGATGTTGTTGGTGCCGTGTCTGGAGAAGCTGCGATAAGCTTTTCTATATTTGCGCCGATAAAGCACATTTCTCTTATCGCGGATGACGTCAGTTGCCCTCATGTTACACGAATCGATATCGATATATTCGCTATTCCTGCGACTTCGCTAGGGTTGATAGAAGGGTGACAATCCTTGTCTCTAGCCCAGATCCTCTATCCTCAACCCGGGTCATTCATTACTAGCACGACAGTCTATTCGTCTATTCGTCTAGGGTCTATTCCTACTCGGCCCACGAGTCTCGCACAGGCGAGAGATCCGTAATTCCACGAGGGTGCTGGCGAACTGCCACTCTGGGCAATAGGATTGTTGCCTCCCCATTGCAAGCAAGTGAGATGCCCCAAAGGGTCAAACGCGGTCATGCAGGCCCCGGGAAACTCATGCCTACAAGGACTGCCCGGGCCTCGACGTCTCGGTGAGCGTAACTCAACCCGCAGACGCCACCAGGTTCCAGCATCATTTCCATCTTTGTGGCCATGTCAAGCCCCAGCCACCTTTTTACAAAGGCTCGGAGGATGTGGCCATGCGCGACTACCACAGCGTCGCATTTCCGATCACCCGTCTGCAACCCTTGCCGGTGGATCGAGGTGATCTGCGCAATCAACTGGTCAAGTCGCTCTGTGACCTGGCCGGGCGTGTGGCCTCCTGGTCCCTCGCACCCGTCCCGCCAGATATTCCAGGGTCGATCCTGGTCCAAGCCCCGAGATTTGCGAAGTTCTTGGATCTGATGCAGGAAGAGGCCTTCGTAGTCGCCGTAACCCCATTCCGCGATGTCTTCGGTTGTGTTGACCTTGTCGGTAAGCGCCGTGCGTGTGCCGGGGTCTGTGATCTGGTCCAGGAGGAGCTGCAGGGTCCGTTGGGCACGTTGTCTCGGGCTGCAGATGATGTGAGAGACTTTGCTCGGGTCGATCAAGCGTCCAGGACCAAACACCACTGAGGCGGTTTGGCGGACCTTCTCCTCGCCTTCGGGGAGAAGGGGAATGTCGGAAATGCCCGTGAATCGCCCATTACGAGACCATTCCGTTTCACCTAGAGGGGCAGTAGGCGTAAGCTTGAAAGATGCGAGTGGTTGAGGAAGAGGAGAGGCAGTCTTACCGTGACGTATGAGAAATAGTCGTGGGGTGGCTGCGTCTTTGTCCGACATGTTGGGCTAGAGCCAGCAACGAGGAGGACAAGAGGGAACAAGAAGTAATCAACAGGCGGGGACCTTCAACGAGGGTAGAATTAAACAGTGATCGGGAGGGCCAGCTTGAGATAAACGTTGACACGGCCTCCGAAATGCACCACCTCTGCTTCCAGAGGTGACTCTCCTCTTTATTGGATGCAGGACAAGTGAAAAGCCTATTGAACGTGTCGTATTCTAGTCAAGATGAAACTCTCCGTAGAAAAGTTCTATCGGTTTAGACGATCGGACAAACCACCCGAAGAACAGAAAAACGGGGGGTGGGTTGTTGGAAAAGGAATGGGCAAGAGGGCATGGAATGGAGCCTCAACGGAAAATTAATGAATAGTGGATGATGGATGGATTCAACCGATTTGGGGAGAAATGATGAACAGAGAGAGAGAGACTCAGTCAGTCAGTGCCTTAGTCAGCCTGCCTGGGGTGCCTCTTGCTATATACACTCCCTTCGTCTATCTTCTCTAATCCTTACTTGCTCTTGTTCGATTGCTGAGGGACCTTTTGCTTGCTGGCTTACTGACTGGCTGGCTGGGGTGCCTGTGGCACATGCCGGTGCTTGGTGGCGGTCCCTTGCAGAAAAGAAGTAAGTAAGTAATAAGTTAGACCTCCCCACCGCCGGATGTAATCTGTCCTATGTAGTTGGTTCCCTTGGCCAGTCCTTGCTTTTGACCACGTGGGAACGAACCCCAGGAATCCACAGCAGCCCGTCCGTGGGGGAGGGAGGCGGACAGAGAGCATCAATAAAGCCCATCTGAGAGCTCTTTTGTGGAAACATACATACATACGAGGGGCATAGAACAGCAATCCTCCCCCCTCCCCCATGATATCAGCTTACCCCTGGGCATAGTGACCCCTTGGCACACGTTGCTCTCGTTGCTGCTGTTGTTCCATCCCGGGCCTCGACCGTAATCGGCGTCGAGCGCATGCAGAAAAAGGAACCAGGTAGGGCAGCCCTGACACACACATGGACGAATACAGTAATGATGGCCCGGAGCTCTCCTGAATAGGAACGGGGAGAACAATGGGTAAGAGTCACAGTTTGATTTGCAAATACAACTTTTCGTTTTGGTTGTTGGGAGGGCGGATCTATTTCTCAGCCCATGCTCAACTGTGCTGGGAGGAAGACGGAAGAAGAACAGGGATTCGATCTTGAAAAATTGGTACTTTTATGTCTTTGACACGCGCCTCGTATTTCTGCTCCCATCTGAGTCTGCCGGTGGAATATCATCATAATGAGCCGACACAAATGCTTGAGATCTATCAAGATGATCTGATCCCCCTCCGATCTTCTCCCGTTTAACCCTCGAATGCAACACTGTCATGGACTGTATCACCCCCATAGACCCGAAACTAATGCATCCCATGCTATGCTTGTTCTCCCAACCACAAACCATAAATTACCACAGGGTCGTCAAGGTCATAAGAATCGTTTGAGAAATGAGCGAGAGAGCCCGGTGTCTCAGGTGCTCACGCTTTTATCAATCATCCACGTTTTCCCATTTGCCTCTTCCTCAATCACAAATGCCTCTTTTGCATACTCGTAGATGGATCTATAAGGCGGCCAAAGGGCTCGAGCTTCATCCGTCAGTTTGCCCGGTTTGGTTTTGCGAGACGCCTCGGTGCTGCTTCTGCCGGTAATCGTGTCATTACTGCCTTTGCGCCTTGTATCGTACTCGAAATCGGGACCGGGAAAATACGGCGCGTTGTATTCTCCAAAGAGAATTTCAATACCCGCAAGTTGCTCTCTGTATCCGTCAGGGATGGGCACCTTCACCTCGATGCGTTTGTTGAAAACATATTTGCACCGTCGTTCTAGCGCCTTCTCAAACGCCTGACAGACTTGTATTGGTGTGAGCATCTCGAATGCCAGAGCAATCCTAGGGAAAAAATCAAATTGTTAGGCCCAGACTGTTTCCCCATGTTGCTCACACCACCTGGGTTTTGCCAAAAATGGTGACGATCGGCGAAACCGTGGGACGTCGGATATGTTCTCCGGGAAAATTCGTCTACAAGGTCTTGACTATTCGGGGCGGCGCGAAAAGGCCATGCGACCCGAGATCGAGGACATGCTGCCAAACAAAAAGAGAGTCGCGGGTACGTACCGGTGTCCGTTCCATTTACCAGGTCCATCCTTGAAAATCTGCAAAACCGCCGGCCCAACATCGTGCTCGGCGTCTAGCCACGGAAGTTTGGTGTCGGGGTGAAAAGGTGCACGCCATTCAAGAGTTCCATCGTCCTTAAAGTCCATGCAGAACAAAGGGTACGGGAGGCTGGTGAAATTGTTGTTGTAGATTCCGGCATAGACAAAAGTCGCGGGGAGGCCAAGCTGCCGAATGTAGTTTTCCACCGTGAATTTGCACGCCCACAGGGGAAGTGCTGGCCAACGTGGATTGTGAATGGAATGATCGGGCATGCTGCTGTAGATGAAATGCTGAATGTTGCGCTTCTTCGCCGCATTCGCGAGTGCCTTGCCGATTTTGATCTCATCTCCGCCCAGAGGATTGGTGTTGATAAAGGCAATCTGAGCCCCGTTGAATATGGTGTCTATGAGGACTGGGTTGTTTAACAAGGGTCCCTCGAACAAGGTGACATTGGGTAAATCAGCCAGTTCTTCAGCCACCAGGCCTTCTATCGAATGCACCTGGGCCCGGACAGCATAGCCGACAGCTGCGACTGCCCGTATGACCGACGCAGCCTGACGACCAGTCCCGTTGACGATGGCTATGGTTTTGTTTCTATTGGGCATGTGGCGAATATATGCCTCCGGAGGTCAAATGGTCGAAGCTGGGGACTGGAATCTGTGCGGGACGATAGACTGGTCGAGGCCCGTGTAAGAAGGAAAAAAGGATGATAACCGTGCAAGGGATCAAGCGTGCAGCAAAAGAAATCTGCGTTACCAACAGCGTTTTTTCGACAGGGTCAAGATAGAATAGAAAAGGTAAAATGAATTGCCCCGTACTTTTCAGAATGGTTTTCGGTATCATGCGATTAGAGGACAACCAGGAAAACCCATTCCACCACAAGGGGCAGGAGAGTCACAGGGAACTTCGTGCGTCAGTTCGGTCCCGTTATTCGAGGACCTTCTCGGGTGCGCAAATTCTGCGACCTGTGTGAAAAGGTCTATCACCGCCAAACCTGATGCAGCTTATCCTTTACGTAACCGGAGTGAAATGCAGCAGCGGGGTGCTGGGTCCATGCTGAGCACGACATTAGGACGGACCTGAATGCCCGCCCGTAAGGAATAACGACCCGAATTCCATCATTTCCCTTTGAAATAGATTCAATTTGTTGGGGGGGTCGCACAACAATGCCGCATGAGGTGACGAAGGAGTTGAGAGCCGACTTCCGCCATACGGTCAGATACAGCTGGCAAATAAAATGCGGGGGGCGCTGCCAGCTTTTGGCAAAAAGGCGGGGAGAGAGTGGCAACCAGCATAGTTGAGGGTCGTCCGGTGCGCGACTTTCCCATCGTGGCTCTCCGGGTTCGGCTGGGGTCGTTCGAGAGTGGTCGAAGTCCTCGTCAGTGGCGCCTTGACCCGATGACCTAGGACCCCCTTGGTGACCATGTCATTTAGATGAAGCAGGTAGTCGGTGGGTGTCGTAGGCGTGGCTGTTTGGTTCCAAGTGTTCCAATCCTCCAGTTTCAAGGACAACATAAGCCGCCGTTGGCGGGTACCAAGGTTAAGACGTGTCAATCTCGACCCCGGGCACCTCCGCGGCCCCATCACGTTGGACATTCGCAAGCCCATCAAGCAATGTCGTGAGCCTGGGAAATCGCACAATTGGGTTACTGGGTGTGCTCATGCTTGGCCATGTCGTGTTTAGCGAATGCAAGCAGCAGCCTCCCGCGTTGCCACGAGGCAAAACTGCCAGCAGTATATTCCAGCTGATCTGGCGTATTGCTACCCAGAGGGGACTCCGGGCTTGAGGTTCGTAGCACCCGGTAGCTTCCAATAGGCGACCATGTGCCAGAACGGCTGGAGGCTGGGAAAGGCGCACTAGTGCCTGAGGATGAAGCCCGCCATCTCCAGGTCCTTTAGGGCACTTCGAGACCAGCCTGTTTCCACACCTCTGGTCGTTGGCTCGCGTGGAGTCTGGCCGTCTCCAATTCTTCGGCATGGAGATGTCCGCCCGCCTGTCTTAAAAGCATTACGTGCGGCAACAAACCAGCATTGGCTGCCAGAAACAGAGGTGTCCTGCCTGATCCGGTGTGGTTGCGGATGTGAACTCTGTGAAAGGTTTGTTATTAGCTTCTCTCGACATGACTTGTTTCAAAACTTACGAAGCACCAAGCGACAGAAGATGCCGGAGAATCGCAATATTTGGCCCAGTTGCCGCAAGATGAACGGGTGTGTTTCCGGAATAGTCGGCCCGGTTGATCAGTTGGTTGTCGTTTCGAAGGAGGTCCTTCACCTTCTCATTATCTCCACTGGCGATCGCGTATGCAATGGCCGTCAGTTGGGTGACGGGGGATGATAACTCGCCAGTCGGATGTTTGAAAATTGTCCCTGCTTGCTCTGAAAGCTCACCACGAATCGATGTTGCCATGTCTTTGGCCACCGATTCTGGCGATGCTCCAGGAAGGGCTAAGAGGTAAGACAGTTTGGTCAACGCTGCTTCACTTGTCATGTCTCCGCCTGCAACAACGCCAGCTCGGCCAAGGACCATTCCAGGCGCATAAAGCGGGTTGACGCTGCCAGTTAGACACTGAGTGACGTTCACAATCACGATGCCACGTTGAACAGCGTCAGATATGACCTGGGTCAACTTATTGTCGTGGCCACTGGGTGCATTACCCGCACCAAAGGTCTCAAGGACGAGACCGCGAAGTCCCTCGGTCCGTAGAACTGCTTCAACCATTTTCGGTTTGATGCCTGGGAAAATGCGCAGACAGGCCACATGGTGAATCTCAAGGTCTGATTGAATGCTGAAGGCTTCCAGGGAGGTTGACCTTTTGACCGAGTTCCATTCGACGTGGGTACCGACTGCAGTGATTTTGGCCAATGGAGGAAAGTTTGGAGATGCGAATGCATCAAATGCGCTTGCTGATACCTTTGTGGTTCGGTTGCCCCGAAACAGGGTCGAGTTGAAGCAGAGACAAACCTCGGGAATCATGAAGTGCCCAGCAATGTCCAGGGAGTCGAGGAGGTTCTCGAGAGCATCATTTTTGCGCTCGGAGAAAGGCACCTGGGATCCTTCATGGGAGAGAAAAGTCAACTTTGTTTGCACACGTTTTTGTCTCAAGCTACGTGCTGGAAGCGGTCATCTATGCCAGTGCTGACAACCGTCGCCGCCAACACCTCAAGAGCGCTGTGTTCGACTGTGGTTCCGGAGCAGAACTTCTGTCTCACAGCAAGGCCGCTTTGTAACTCGACTTACCCGTGAGTATGACAGGCTTGCCCAAGTTCTGCAACATGAAACTGAGAGCTGAACAGGTGTATGCAAGACTGTCTGTGCCGTGAAGAACGACAAAGCCGTCGAACAATTTGTAGTTACGAAATATCGCTTGCGCAATTTCCGCCCATCCCTTACTGTCTATGGATGATGAGTCGAGAAGTGGTTCGAACTCCAGTACGGCATACCTGCGAGAGTATTAGCGCTACCGTTGTCTTCTCGAACATCTATGGGTTATCCAACGAGGCTCTGGGATTTTGAAGATGGCTAACTTTCCTGACACGTTTCCCGTACACGCTTGTTGGCGTCCGCAAGCTCTGCAATTCGCCCAGCCCTTCGGGCCCATCGTGAAACCTCACGGACATTGGATCGTGGGTCTCTCCATCGTTGAATTCCGGTCGCGGTGCCATGCATCTTTCCAGAAAGTTTCGGGCAGGAATAAGACCGTTGGGAGATCGTTGCATGGAGATGGTGCCTCCAGTCATGATAATCAGTACCCGAGCTTCGGGAACATGACACGAAGACATATTGCTCATCACTAGAGACAAATCAGCCTTGGAGGAAGGATTGAAATCGGTGTTACATACTTCGCGTTAGAGCCATTTCACCATCCCTTTCTATTTGACGGTCAGACAAACCCGCAAATCTGATAGCCACGAGACTTACCGGCTGTGGTCATGGCCGTCACGTCCATTTTTGTTTGTGGGCTTTCGTCTCTTTAACTATCACTTCTTACAAATTTTGCCGCATCCCAGGTTTTCGGTGCCTAAGAAAATTTCTTTTGGTTGTCCAGCGCCCATGTAGCAGGCGCTAAGGACTCCAAACCCCTGGTTGACCTCACAAGGGAAAGCTTTAGGCAGCTCGCCTACCAGCGGTTATCAGCGAGGATCTTCGGTACGCTAAGTGCAGGCTTTCCAAGTGCCCTTCGATTGGATCATGCCGGAGATCCATCGACGCTTTAGTGCCTGCTGTGTGCTGCGGTCCCGATCCTGATTTTGCTTATTCTGTCCATTCAATGTTTGTAGGACACAGATTTCTCAACGAGAACAACCATGGCAGAAATCAGCAGCTCCAGCGTACGGGCTCCCGCTGAGAACCCCTATCTCGGTCTTGACTTCACAGCGTAAGGATGCCCGCCAAACATAAACGTTGTCGTCTGTCTCCAGGAGTCCTTTATCGTTGGAAGGATGGAAGGTCCGGTCGCGATCGATGGCGCTGCCGACTGGGGGCAATCAATCTTTGAGCCTGGATAGTGGCCGATAGCAAGAACTCACACCTGAATGTCCCTGAGCGGTGACGCAAGGGATGGTCACATTTTTGTTTACACGCGTACATTCCGGCTAGCCGTGCATGTCAAGCGAGCCCTCTTGATTGACGTTGCAGGCGGTTTGACCCTGCTCCTTCCAATCGAAGCTGCATTTCCTATCTCCAACTAGGGTACGGTACCTCGGCGGAGATTAGCAGACGGCAGCATGCAGCAACGATGACAAAGAAATGCCATGCCACACGTGCAACAACAAAGAGATGAACAGTAGATGAAGCACGATCGGCTGGACCTTCTCTTGCATTACCTTTGCATTGCCGCCCATGCAGGAAGATGGAAGGCAGCCAGCAGGAATTGGGATTTCAGCCAGGCACTCAACCATGGTTCTGTCCCAGCTGCAGTCCTTCAGGTTGGGCCTTCTAAGCGAACTGGGACGGACCGAATGGAGACAGGTGCAAACGAATGACCACATCTGTAAGATGAGCAGAGGAGATTGGTGAAGCGCTCTTTGTTCGCCATGGTCTTATTGTGTTCATTGCAGCTTTCTCGTCTTTGTGGATTTATTGCACTTTGCATCCTGTTGTGTGTGTGTGCATATCTTGCACATTCACGTCCTCTCCTTGCCATACTGGCGACTTGTGCTTTCAGAGAGATATCCAAAGACGTACTTTGAACAAGGCATCGCAGCTGACTGATTGAAGCAGCCTCTCTCCCCTTCAAGCTCCAACATAGCTGATTGCCATTCACAGCGTTTCCCGGCTCTTTACAACCTCGTCTATCGTCCGTGATGATGGTCTGTTTGTAGAAACGGAAAGGGGCCGGTCAAGTCGACGACGATTGGGAGATTGCGTGCCATTGGCAACGGATTGGCCAGCTGACCTAGACAGCCAGGAAGCAGGGTGCGGTCAGAAACGTCGACGTTTACACTGAAGGTCGGTTTAGTAGCGGTCGCCGAAGAGTGACAGAGCGGTCCGGCAGAACGTGCAGTTCGGTCAACTAGGGGGCGATCAAGAGTCAGGTGAGGTGAAAGGAAGGCCAGCAGTGAAGGATAAAGAAGCAAAGTGTATGCCTCACCCAGCAATTCACAGTGGTAAGTGGGAGACTGCGCCTTCCTCTCCATAGCACGAGTGTACTAACTTGGACTCTCGATTCTCTCTCATCCGCCTCAGTCTCGCCTTTTGCGTCCATTCATTCATCTCGACACTCTCACTTTGCCCTTTGTCTGCCGGCATCTCACGCTCCTTATTATCCATCAGTCCATCATTATTTTTCCCTCCTTACTCGACTCGTTCGTTACTCCTCCAGTCACCATCCTTCCAGCCGATCTCTCATTCTTCACCTAAATCAATCAAGAAACTTAACGCGCCTCTCCCACCGACAATAAGAGTCAACATGATGGCCCACGTCAAATTCAAGCCTAAAGCCCGTGCTGTCGGCATCGCGCCACGCATGGTCCTCCTCGCGCTCTGCTTCCTTTGGTTCACCCCGACCCATGCCTTCTTCCGTCATCTCTGTCACGGTGAACTGGGAAATGGTCGCGTCGACCCCATCATGGCCCCTGGTAGTCCTGCCCAACATCTTCACGTCATGTTTGGTGCCTCTAGTGAGTCAAAAGTGTCGCGAACTGCCAAACCAAGCTGCTGACGCGTTTCCTCTAGATATGGGACTTGATCCTACTCTCGACGAGCTTCTTGCTTCCAACTGTACCAGCTGCTCCATCCTCCAAGATCATTCCGTCTACTGGAGTCCACGCATGTATTTCCAACATGCCAACGGCACGTTCGAGATGGTTCCCACTGACGGCGGTTTGACTGCGTAAGAACCGATTCTTCCAAAAGCCTGTGAGACGCGCTAACACCCCGTAGGTATTATTTCACCGAGCCATCTTTGGACGAACCAACCCCTGTGGTTGCCTTCCCTCAGAACTTCCGCATGATCGCAGGAAACTCTTTGAAGCGCGCCTTTTATGGCCCGGTCCCAGATCCTCAAATGTCTTTCTGGACGGACAGCGACAAAACTCAACAAGCCCTGATGGAAAAGGCCCTTGGCTTTAATTGTCTCAATTATCAACTTCCACCAGAAGGTGCGCGAGAATACCACTATCTCCGTAACAAGACTTTCCTCGACGCCACGTGTGCGGACGGAGTGCGTGCCGAAATCATGTTTCCGTCTTGTTGGAATGGAAAGGATTTGGATAGTGCAAATCACACAACTCATGTCGCGTACCCAGACGCAATCCAAAATGGAAGATGTCCAGAGGGATACCCCGTGCACATCCCGGCCTTGTTCTACGAGACAATCTATCAAACCAATCTTTTCAACGGCACTGAAGGCGAGTTCACATTTGCCAACGGTGACCCAACTGGATATGGGTATCATGGAGATTTTATGTGCGCTTGGGACGATGGGGTATTGCAAAATGCAATCGACGATCCAGCCTGCAATCTTCCGTTGGGTGCTGCAGGCAACCAGGACGACTGTCCAATCTTCAAACTCCAGAATGTTGACGATGGTACACAATGCCAAATGGAGGTGCCTGAGGTTCTTCAAACCGAGAAAATCAACTTCGTCCAACAACTGCCTGGTAACGTGCAAGTTCAGGCCGGGCCTGCGCCTGCGACGATTGGACCGATACCTGGGGCTCCATCAAATGCCAACGCCACCATGTCAGCTGCAGTCATGTCCACGTTTTCTTCGCCCGCTGTCACCTCGATGACAACGCCGTGCACATCCAACAATCGGTTCACAACCACGACCAGCTACATGAGCAACGGCGTTATGGTGGATCTGATCCTGGTTGAAGAAGTCGTGACTGTGACTTTGACTGCCAGTGTCAGTCCGGCTACCGACAATCACAAACGTCACGCGCACAAGCATGGCCACCGTCATGGAAGAGATCGGCTCTAATGGGTGGTTATATGTGATTATAACCCTTCTGCCCAGGCGGCTCTTATTTGGGTATCCAGACAACCCCTGCAACCATGTCTTGGAAATTATCCTTCACAGAACGATGACGAACATTTCCATCATGCTGCCCGGCGCAGCTACGAGATGCATGACGATGACATGAAGGTGAAAGCGATGTACCAGTGACGAACTGGGTACTTCTACATAGGACAAATCCGAAAGAGAGGAGCGATTTGCGAGCTGTTTCTCTAGTAGCTGAAAATGGATCAAACATGAAATGCCATGATGTGACGAAGCTTGTGTCAGCGATGTGAAAGCGAGGGTTGTTCAAGGGACAAATGCGGATAGGCATCTTCCTGTACTTTGTGTACTCTACTGCCGGCTTTGGCTGGATCCCGTAACATCACATCCTGTACTTTAGCTGCACAATCAGAGCCAAACTGATAGCTGCGAGAAAATGTTTATCGTCGAGAACTGAGTGTTTCATTATTTGCCAGACTTCATCCAGCCGGTAAACGTCCCGTAAACGTCACAGGTGTATTGTAGCAGTATCTATCGCATGCGGCATATCGGAAAAATAGCGCAGATTTACCCGGGCCTGCCGACCCTCACACATGGTCAGCTTTTATATCACTTTCACTATTTCTTACGAGTCTGGTCAGGTTCTTCAATCTACGAAACGTTACCTGTACGCGAACTAATCGACGACAAGCCGGTCCAGGTCCTGTCCTCTCGAGACGCTCCTCGAATTCCACCCGGAATCACAGCACGAGACCTGCCTGATCCCGAGTCTCGCTCGAGGACCAAGACCAACCAACCATGTCATTGTCCACCACGAGAACCACCACCACCATGCCGAACAGGAAGAGCGCAGGGGACATCATCGCGTCCGCGTCGCGGCCCAGCCGAGCGGGACATGACCAGGAGGAACAGAACCGCCACGACTACCGCAAGAAGCTGTGGTGCGAGACCCAGTGGACGAACCTCAGCCTGCAGGCCAAGAAGACACACAACCTGCCCACCCTGCCGTACTTTGACCCGGAGACCATGCTCTTGAGCAAGGAGGTCAACGCACGCCTCTGGGGCCAGTTGGTACGTTATTACTGTTACTATTACTATTACTGCCGGTCGTTGCGGCCTGTCCTTTGTCTCCCTGTCTGTCTTCTGACCTACCTCTCTTTTGCCCTTTTCGATCTTGTCCAAGTCTTCTTCTTTCACCGAGTGCGCTTGCTTGGCCTGCCTGAATGCTAACTTGCCAACCAGAGCCGGTTATGGGACTCCCTGGGCCCCGAGCGGGCGCCGTACGCCACGCCCCTGATGGTCGAGGGCGGCGAGGTCAAGTGGCACTCGTTCATGAACGGCAGCCAGGGCGACGAGGCCGAGATCTACGAGAAGGACCTCGACGCCTTTATGAGTCGCAACCGACGACCGGGGCAGTATGAGGGATGAATAAATGATTCATGGCCCCCCTGGGATGGGCAGGGTTGAAATCGGCGTAGTAGTGCCTCCCTGCCAGGCAGGGGATTCTGGAAGGGAGGCTACACTACTGCTAAGCCCACGGGAAGTGTTTTGATTTCCCCAACTAGGGGGAGATGGGGAGGGAGATTCTGAAAATTTACGCGCAGCATAGTCTTGGGGACAATTCCCCCCAAAAAATCGGCGTTATCAAACTGGTGATCTTTCACCATGTGTTTGTTCTTCTCTCGCCGTTGACGGTCAACAATAAGATGATGACGATGGATATATAATATGTATTGATTGATCGATCAATCATCCAGACAGGCAGCAGCGCACCAGCGCCACGCATGCATCAATCATAAAAGGACGTTTGAAACTCCCCACGCAAAATGGCATGAACAAGCCCTTATATACTCTTCCTATACCAGGAAGAATATCAAGAAGAAGAAGAAGAAGAAGAAGAGCTGACCTATTTCCAAGATGTATACAAAGCCTCTATATCACGAAAGGGTGGCAAACAAGAGGTTGATTTGCCGCGACATGCTCGTAATTACAGCAAAGCCTGCATGTGTGGCAGTGGCTTCAAGCATCGCTGTAGGACTCAGGCCCTGGAAACTTGTCCCGGAAAGCCTTGTGGTCCGTCAGTAAATCAATTTCATAATCCACTGTTGGAGATTACTGTATCTTGCGCTCGCATAAACGTACATGACCTACGACCATCCATCTCCTTTCCCTTCCACAGTAGATCCATCACCCTTTTCCTTGCCTTTCCTATCACTGCTGACGGCCAAAGAACCACATCGGTGGCGCAGGACGCTCCGGCCCCTCGATGTGCCACGAATCATCGCTCCCCAGTATTATTTCGACCCTGCAATGGCGTGGACCAGGAATAGTGACCTTATTCCCCGCGACCGTCGCAGAAGGCCAGTACGTGTCGACATCTTGCAGAAATATCTTGGGGCTGCAGAAGGGGAACTCGCCGCGGTGACAGACGTATTCGTTGAGGTCGTGCAGGATACTGCCCTTCCCCTTAGGACAGCAGGTCAGCGTGTCCCCATCCGGACCCAAAAAGGTGCCGATTAGGGCAAAATGATCCAGCCGAGTTTCTCTGTTGAGGAACGAGATCAGCTTCATCATTGAAGACAAGATTCCTCCACTGATTCTGTCAGTTTCGCGCAGGTGGATGTTGATGATGGTGAGTGACCTAAGTAGCTCCGAGTGTCGTGCAATGAAATTGCTTAAGTCTTTCACCTCGACTGCAATGTTTTCCAGAGTGAGGCTGTTCAACCTGGACCAAGCATTCTCGGGAGCTGGAGGACGGAGCAGCAAGCTGGTCATCTTGGTCAATGCATAGCTGCGCACAGATTGCCTTCTCTGCTGCCCTACGACCAATTCATCGAAACCAAGCCACACATGTTCGGCTGCTGGCAGATATTCTGCGAGCTGCCCCAGGTATTTGGTCAATCCTTTCCTCCAATGAGCATTGGTCGGCTTGAGAGGGCATGATCCTCGATCGAAACTCTTGACTTCGAACGTCAGCTTGAAATGGATGACTCTCTCGAAAAGCGCCTTTGCGTGAGGGATTTCCATGCAGTTATAGAACTCCCACCAGTAGAAGGATGACAGGTCAATGGATACAGGTTTAAGACCCCGACACTTCTGCAAGGTTGAGTGCATCATCAGATAGTGTGTTCTGCCCTCCAGCGTCCTTATACCCGTCCTTCTCAACAAGTCTGAGTCTTCGTCGAGGAGATAATCTCCGTTCTCGGTTGGATTGGTCATGCCGCAGTGGACAAAGCACTGGAGGTGCGGGAACTTCTTCAGCGAGTCTGAGAGCAGAGGAGGGCCTTGAACCGCGAAATGCAGCTGGGCCTCTACTTCGCCTTTGTATGCCTCCAAGAGTTCGAGAGCATGCGAAGCTGCGTCAAGAGGATGTAACCGCCGTAGGTGTTCTGCCAAATGGCCGGTTCTGATGCATTCATCGAAGGACACGAGCTTGAGATAGTGCCGGTAGATGTGCAGTGTATGCACTTGACTGGCGAGGTTGGGTCGTGCTGCGACTTTGGACAGCCGTTTGACGCTGTTCAGACTGGGTGACAGACAGAGTGTTCGAAAGAGCGCACGTGTGGCCGCCAAATTCGTACACTTATCAAGTAGACGGCAGGACTTCAGATCCATCCGTGCAAGACGTCCCATGATGTTTGCTTTGATCTCAGGAGGCAATCGGGCCCAAGGCGCTGCTAGTCTTGAGGGTTCGTCCATTTTGGCGAGAAAAGGCCGATGAATTCCGCGTCCTTCTGGACGTCGTCGGAGCGGACACAGATAAGTAGAGGCTGAGAGAACGTCGCAGTGAAACTGTGCACAGCATAGTCTCGATTCAAGAAATAGAGGTGAGGCAGGTGCCAGGTGCAAACGCAGAGCATATGACACTGTGCACATGTCGGCAGCCGTCTTCATCCCCTACAAACGTCATTAGTATGCACAAAGAGGCCGCCGTCCAAGACCAGTGTCTGTTTACACGACTGAAGGGCAAGCGCCTACCGTTGGTAACACTCCATCAGAATGCCCTTTGGTGCCAGTGTCCAAAATCTCTCCGTTGGTATTCAGGAAGATTCCCCCCATCTCAAAATCGATCCCTATGGTAGCTCTATGTACAAGTCAAACCAGCTTCCTCCAGGACTGACCTGACCCTGCGGTCACTCCCTCCTCCTGCTCCCCCTTCGCCGCCGCACCGTCCGTGGTGCCCATGGCATACCACGTCTCCTCCCAGCTCTCCAAACTGTCTCTAGGCCCTCTGCCCGAGTTGCCTGCGACCTTGGTTGGCGTGTATTTCCAAGGGCTTCCCAACTGGAGATTCCGTGGTGTGCCGCCACTCTTAGCACTCCTCTTTCCTGTCGAGAAGGGAGAACCAGGAGATTGCGCGTTTGTGTCGTAGCTGCATTTCCCTTTGGCGCGCACAGCATCCTCCTCAAACTTCCTCAGATGTCGAGCGTATGTATCCCCTGCAACTAGACCTGTTCCACCCATGCGATGACCATCTCCAGTCAAGATGCCCAAACGGTGCAGGGCGAGAGTCTCTCGATTCTTTTCTCTAGTCTTACGCCATCGTGCAAAACAGCCGCATCCTGGGATTGAATCGAGGATTTTGTGGAATGAAGAAGGGCGGTAGCGTCGCCAAAGGAGGATTGCTGTTAGAAGGAAGATGATGATGCCGACAGTGAGAGGTACCGCGATCACGGCGTGTGGGTGCGCGTGGCCTCCTTCGTGAGGATGACCGACCAACGGCCCGGCTGTGGTGAGGTTTGCCACTGAGGACGATGCTGTGGCCGGACCTGAACTTAGGCTCAGCGAGGCAGTAGTCCATGAAGCTGACAGTGTTGTGCCTATTGTGCTTGTGCTTGAGGTGGACAAAGAAGATGAAGTCGACGTCAGCTGTGAAGTGGCAGGTCCAGGCGGATCGTCGGTACTCGTAGTTATTGATATAGAGGAAGGAGGTGTATTGCTTGAAACTCCGCCGCTTTCAGAAGGGTCCAGCGCGCCGCCCGGACATGCGACAGGATCAGGGACTCCAAAAGCAACACATGCGGTCGATGTCCAAGAAACACTATTGCTGCTGCTCGTGGTTGTGGTTGATGTGTAGGAGACTGGAGAGACAGACGCAGGAGACAAGCTTGTCATTGTCTCTGGTAAGACGGAGGATGAGACCGTGGATGGTTCAAGCAGGCTAGTGGACAGGGTCGACAGGAAGCTTGCACTCTAAAATGAACCGGTTAGCGATGAAAATTTTCAAGGTCTTTTTTATCAACTGTGGCAGAACCAGATCATCACCTCCATGAATATTGGGCAGCCTGCGCAAGAAGGGCTCACTTGACAGCTTGGTGTCGCAGGTGGTTCTGTTCAAGAGTCTCTGTGCCTTGAGTATGTCCGACCTCCTGTTCTCTTGGAAATTGTCTCGAAGGATGCTTTATGGGTATAGATGATTTGTCCTCAACGGAGTCTTGTAGCAGGCACTCAAAGGGCAATGTTGATGGGGGAAGAAAAGAAAAGAGAGAAGAAACTTACAGCAGTAATAGGGTCGTCTGGGACAGAAGGCGGAAAAGCATCTGCGGTTGACGAAGGTGATAGATATATAGTCAATCCTGGTTCGATCGACACGAGACACAAGACATCAGGGGAACCTGATAAAGGTGTCGTCTGTATCGGAGTGCAGCTGACACCCGGTGCAAGAGTGACGGAGGTCGAACTTGAGGTGACTGAGAAAGAGTCAGAAAGTTGCCGCGGAAGACTGACCTGACCAGGAAGAGGTCCACGCGTCCATCTCGTACCGTTTGCCTGAGGTGATGAAAACCGACTTGCTGTGGTTCTTGACGCGATTGTACCAGTGGCTGTCGCGGTATCGACACACTCGGCCGGTTTGGTGTTGATGATCAGCGTGCATTCTGTTGTACCGGCTAAGAAATCAGTGTCTCCTTGACTGGGGCAGATGTAACTCATGCACGGTGGCCCTCCAGCGGTCACGACCGTGGTCGCCATGGTGACAAGCCGATTGATGGTGTATGCCATCGCGGCTGTGATAGTTGAGCTTGCTTTCATGTTGTCGGGATCAAAGACGACTGCTGTCGCGTTGGTGTCGGTGAGTGTTGGGTGGATGGAGAGGTTCGTCGGTGGTCGGGAAACACGACGCTTTTAAATCTTCACGGAAGCCATCAAGGCCAGCGAGCACAAAACATGCTGAGACTGTTCTGAAGGCTGAGAGCAAATGTTTTCGCCTGTGCCGCCCGCAAAAATTTCTGGAAGATGGCCTCACATATCCATCCAGGTATTCACTTCACTTGCCCAGCCCCCCTTTGTGGCCTGGGCCATAGCCTTCTGCAATTCTGCCACACCCCGGATATTGGAAACCTGATACTATTCGGGTGAGAAGCTCGGAACAGCACAAAAACCCCATGAATCCTCGGCTTTGGAGGAGTTGTAGAAATCCATGGTATGGCGGTTCGGCTCCCTTACCAGTGTTTCTCCGACCTCAGTGAATATGACGTGGAGCCCTTTTCATCGGTTAATATATGCACTGTGAAAGATGTCAGCAGTCAAGCATGCAAGTGCAAATTCGAACGCGCGCGGTGCAAACACCGGAGAATCTATAGGCTAGTCATCAAGCAGGGTGGGCTGTCAGTCAATCCATGTGTAACATTGAAGCAAACAGAAAACATGGGAAATCCGAGAATTCAACACCGTGCTTTCGATGGAGCCCTGACTAGATCAGGAAGAGGGCATACTTGTCAACAACAAAGGCCGTTTTTCCTTCTCCGAGCAAGTCCCATCGAAGTCAACATCCAGCTTTGCTCACAAACATCCCATCATTAGCCTGCCGAAGCCGGAGACAGGTCTCCCCAAAAGACCCTTCCAACAACAAAAAAGAGGATCCTCGCCCGTGTGTAAAACGTGGATGGCTGTCTGAAGCAGAAGGTCTAGGACATTGGATTGAATCTTTCGCCGATCTTGCGCCCCAACGCCTTCCCAAAATCCAAATTTGTATGTTGCGAGACAGGAATACTTTGCGTTTGCTCTTTGATTGTCTCTTGCTCAAGCGCGGGCCAATGCATTTCCTGCCTCAACGACCGACGCTCTCTCTGTTGCCCGTTTCCCTCGTTTCGAATGTTGTTGACGTGGCGGTTGGGGCGGATTTAGCAGCAACCACCAGCAGCACCCGACTGCACACCTTGGCCCTGTCCGACTTGAACCGTAGGCTTGTTGTTGACCGTGGTGGTTCCCATGCGTTCCTTGATTTGCCGGGCCATGGTCAAAAAGGCTTGTTCAACGTTGGATGCATTCTTTGCGGAGGTCTCGAGGAATGGGATTCCCAAGCTGTCGGCAAACTCCTATTGCACAATGAGTATTGCTGCGTCCCTGCTTGCTCATCTGGGTATGCGACACTGTACCTTTGCCATGGTGTACTCGACCACCTTCTTGTCCGACATATCACTCTTGTTGCCCACAAGTAGCTTGTTGACTCCCTCAGTCGCATATCGGTCAATTTCTTGCAGCCATTGCTTGACGTTGTTGAACGAGTCCATGTCCGTCACATCGTAGACCACACAGATGCCATGAGCGCCTCGGTAATAAGAGGAGGTGATAGTTCGGAATCGTTCTTGACCGGCAGTATCCCACTGTATTCACATGTTAGATAAACGTAGAGAGGCATCGAGTGAAGTTCTGCCCTACAATCTGTAGCTTGACAGTCTTTCCATCAAGTTCGATGGTTCGGATTTTCTAGATTTGTGTCAGCCTCCCATTTCTCCCGACCCGGAATACCAGGATGACAGCTCGGGATTGCGATAACGTACGAAATCGACGCCGATGGTAGAGATGTAAGACTCGGTGTACGTGTCATCAGCGAATCGCAACAACAGGCATGACTTTCCAACACCGGAGTCGCCAATAAGCAAGAGCTTGAAGAGGTAATCGTATCTGTTGGACAAGATTAATATCCACGACATAGGAGGACGATGGCTTTGGAGGACGGGTTTCTGAAGGCAGGACTCTGCACACTATTAGCGAATGCCTATGCTCCGTTGCAGTGCAGTCGAAAGGACGATCGACTGCTGGCCAGCTGGATGGCTTACCACTCTGGATTCATGACGGTCGATGTAACAGGGGCTTCTCGAGAGATTGAGTAAGAGTGAAACAATTGGACCTGATTCGAACGGGTAAATTGAAGACAGCCTGTGTCGGTGAAGCCAAGGAGGGAGTTGAGTTCAAGATAAAGGGTGAATTGATGAGAGAACGAATCTGGTGTCTGGCGTTTGCGGCCAACCTGGACTTTGAGATCCGCTATTACTTGGAGACGAAAGAGTGGCAACTTAACGGATAGGCAGTTAGGCGCAGGCTCAGGCTCCTGTGTCAACTTTCCAGATCCTTGCAATTGGGCGGCTGAAGCCTCTAGGAGAGAACCTTCCGGAGCGGCTGATGATGACAAGGTCGGGCAGATCACGTGCTAAGCCACAAACAAGGAAGCCTGCTGGATGACCGCGTGTCCCGTGTCCGCGTGGCTGTCTTGTCCCTTCACATCGGCCGCCGCTCCGAATAGCAACACGTCCCATTCACAAGACTTGGTCTTGTGGATAACTGACTCGTACGTCACTGGAAACAAGCCGTTTGCCCAGCTTACCGAAGAGCATCTACCACTGCAAGGGAAAGGGTAAACAGGGTTAGCTCTGTACGACAGAGACCAAGTCGACAGCGGACGGAGGCATGGTGGACAGCCTCGAGCCTTTCCTTGTCTGTTGGTCCTGCACCTACAGAGACGAACACTCGCCTGACATGCAACCTGATCAAGGCAGAAATCTACTCCAATGTGCTCTTCCTTTGCGTTCATCTATGGAACACACCTTGGCGCTACGAGGCATACCCGTGTACCTTCAACCACTCCAACAACCCTGCCTCATCACGATCTTTGTATCCTGCATTACCTGTAATCGTGTCATGCACGATGACCAGACTCCTGCTGAACTGCCCAGTCTCCTTGTCTTTGAAGAATTGTTCGATATCATCCCTCACCTTGAGATCCGAGTACTTGGGGAGACCTGACTTGATCCATCTGTCAATGATCACAGAGGTCACTCCCAATCGCTTGAAGACTCGTGACCAGTTCTTCTTCGTATACTCCCAAGCCACATGCCGGGTTTCGTTATTATTGGACACGGCGATAATGCCCCCGTGCGCGTCCTGTGGAGGGACTTCTTCCGAGGTGACAAAGTCGAGCAAATCCCATGCATGGTCCGAGTTCTTTGAGCGGCCAAGAGCCTGAATGCAGATTTCTTTTCCATCAACACTGGTGGTCTTGATGAACTCCTCTTTAATGGCGTCATACTCTGCCTGTCCGCCATTTGCGACTGCCAAGTTGAAAACTACGCCGCGAAGATTTTGGTGAATGGCTTTCCCATCCCCGGATTTCCAGGCTGCGAATTTCTTTTGCCCTTCAGAGATGATTCCTTGATGGCCGGCTCCTGCAGCGGAGCCGAGCAGGAGTTTTCTGGATTGACCAGTCAGGTAATCTTCACCTTTAGGGTAGTCCCAGCCTATTGCCTCCGCAGCCGGAGAAACCAATTTGAGGGTGAATTTCTTAAGTCCCGCCGAAATCTCCTTGTTAGAGGCAAAGACCTGCCGCACTTTTGATAAGGAGCTGGCGATCTGTTGCCACACCAAGAAGCTCTTCTCCTCCTTGAAGCCTTCGAGGAGAGACAAGAGGGCAGCCGTTGTACCATTCCCTGCAATTGCCAAAGCAGTTGCATCGCCCATCAGACCAATCTTGTCTTCAATTGAGAGATGCTCATGAGCTGCGCCGAGCTTCATTAGCCGTTGAGGTGGGTAGTTCGTGCGATAAAAACCGCTCTGATCAGCATTGATTTTGTAAAAGGCATCGTCCACATCTCGAACAGTGTCCTGCTTCTGGGTCAGAGCGCTGTGGACAATCTTGACGGGGGTACCGGTCTTAAGGCCAACAGGAATCCACCACATAGTTTCGTCTTCCTCGGCCTTGACATCTCCGGTGGTCAGGAATCTTGATTGGCGTATCGATATTTGACCCGGTTCTTCTGCTACTGTGACCACGGGGAAACCAATTTTACGAATCCAAGGATCCATAAATGCCTGAACATCTTGCCCCGAGGCTGCACTAAGGGCTGCCCAGAGGTCGTTGGTTTTGGCGTTTCCGTAAGCATGGATCTTGAGATAATCGCCCACTCCTTTCAAGAAAATCTCTTGGCCGAGATGGTTGCTTAACATTCTGATAACAGAGCTGCCCTTGAGGTACGAAATATGGTCAAAGATCTGATCGACCTCGAGAGCATTGCGGACCGGGACTTCGATAGGATGAGACGCACGTAGCGAGTCGAGTTCGAGAGCTGTTTGGACAGCTTCAGCCTGGAGACACAGTCAACAAGGGCAACACTGGTACAATACCTCTAGACATCTTACGCACCACAAACTGACTCCAGACTTTCCACTCCGGATGGAGATGGTCGACAGCAAGCCAGCCGACCCAGGTAGCGAAACCTTCATTCAGCCACAACTCATTCCACCAGTCCATGGTAACAAGGTTGCCGAACCACTGATGTGCTAGCTCGTGAGCAACAACGTAGGCAACTCTATTCTTGAAACGGGCATCCGACTTCTCTTCATCATACAGCACAGCCGTGGTTCGATACGTGACCAAACCCCAATTCTCCATGGCGCCCATTGCGAATTCATGAACCGCCAGCAGATCAGACTTTGGAAGGGGATACTCGATGCCGAAAACGTCGGAGAAATAGTCAAGGGTCTTGTGAGCATGTTCCATGGCAAATCGACCTTGCTCCTTCAGCCCGCGGGTAGTATAGACTCTGACGGGCAAGGGCTTGCCGTTGTACTTGCGTTCTGTAAAACCTTCGACGTATTCGAAATCACCAATAGCCCATGCCGCTAGGTACGTACTCATTGCCGGCGTCTTCTCGAATAATACCTTTTTCAGACCGTGCTTGCTCCCCTTGCTTGTCGCTTTCTCGGGCATATTACTGAGGGCGACGAGATCCTCTGGGATTTCAACCTCAAACTCGAAAGATGCCTTGAGATTTGGTTCATCGAAGCAGGGGAATGCCCTTCTAGCAGCACAAGCTTCAAACTGGGTGCTGAACATGTAGTGATACTCGCCGTCCGTTGGAGTGCCCGAGGCTGGGGTGACGGCGGGCTTGTATTTAGATCGGTAGAAGCCTTCCATCGCACTGTTCATTATTCCCTTGAAATTGATGGCAAAGATAGCTTCACCAGATGGTATTTTCCCTGAGAACTTGATTGTTGCTCGCTCACTCTTCTTGTCGTACGATACGTCGGCCATTGATGCGATTGTAGACCCGCCATCCTTGCTCAAGACCTCTGCGTTTTTGATCTCCAACTCTTTGACATTGATGACCAACTCTTGTGTTTCTTGTTTGACCTTTGAGTCGACCTTGACGGTTCCATCGTAGCCCCAGTTCCCACCAAATTCGAGGTTGTAGAGGGACAAGTCATAATTGAGCGGTTTGATCGTATCCGGCAGGATATCTCGGTCGGTAGGGGGCGCCATGGCTCTTCTTGCTTCTGCGGAGCAAAAGCGAACCTGGAAGAATTTGTGATCGAGGGGTCTAGCGAAAGAAGATTGTCCGAAGCGAGTACGACACGAGAACGTGCAGATGGTTCGTTTCGTAGCCGCGATAACAGGTCCAGCCTTGAGTGTCGAAGTGGCACAAGAATAGAATTTGAACTCGAGCATCAAAACCCTCCTTTACTAAGACGCAAATAGATCTGCAGTCACAGCACCCAACGACTACCAGTGACTAGCCAGCACAAGCACGACAAACGTGGGATTCTACCAATCGAGGCGACGTATTGACAGTTGCGTTGGCGGGGACTGATGCCATCTCCAACTGCAGCTCCAAAAGATTTTCAGCCTTACCACATCAAGCCTCGTCCTGCACGCGACACCGTGTATCCAAACTAGCCGTTTGCTCTCTCTCTTTCTTTTCCCCCTGCGTGTCTTCCTCGTCCATGTGATGCCGGCATCAGGGGACGAATATGTCGCCGATGGATCAGATGACGACCTGCCCAGAGCCTCCACCCGCGGCCGTGCAGCGGCCCGAAGAGCAAATGCTCGTGAATCTGCCCAGAGCTTTGAGGTAACCCGAACTTGGGACCTGCTCATTGAAGGCGCCGATGGAACTATTACAGGTGCTGTTGAGGGTCTCCTGGAGGCGGGCAAGAGGAAGAGGTAGGTCCATCGATCCGGTGACGCGAGCTACCACAGAGGGACGAGAGAACAGTCTCGGAAGAACACCAAATGCACCTTGTTTGACTTATCTCACCATGGCTTTCCCACAGACTCCTTAAAGACACTACACCTCTCCAGCGCGGTATCATCCGCCACCTGATCCTCATCCTTGACATGTCTCTCTCTATGAATGAGAAGGATCTCCGCCCGACCCGCTACCTGCTCACCCTTTCCTACACCGAATCCTTCATCCGCGAATTCTTCGAGCAGAACCCGATTTCCCAGCTTGGGATAATAGGCATGCGCGATGGTGTTGCCCTCAGGATTAGTGATATGTCTGGAAACCCAAACTCTCACTTGTCTGCAATACAGAAATATCGTAAGGAAGAGCCTAAAGGCAGTCCTTCTCTGGAAAATGCGCTAGAGATGGCAAGAGCAGGATTGTTCCACTCACCCAGCCACGGGACCCGTGAGATCTTATTGGTGTTTGGTGCCTTGCACACTTCGGATCCGGGAGACATTCACAACACGATCAATAGTCTCGTTCACGATAAGATCCGTGCAACGGTCATTGGTCTTGCAGCGCAAGTTGCCATCTGTGCTGAACTTGTCTCCAGGACGAATGACGGCGATTTATCGCCCTACGGAGTTGTATTGCATGAACAACACTTTCGAGAGTTATATATGGCTGTGACGACCCCACCGATTACCCATGACAGTGCCAACAAAACGGCCCCATCGCTTTTGATGATGGGTTTCCCTTCGCGAACTGTGGAGGATCATCCCTCATTCTGTGCTTGCCACACGACGCCCAGAAGAGATGGATATCTGTGCTCACGATGCAGTGCCAAAGTCTGCAGTCTGCCGAGCGAATGCCCCGTGTGTGGGCTGACGCTAATTCTAAGTACCCATTTGGCCAGGAGCTATCACCATCTATTCCCCCTAGTGAATTGGCTTGAGGTCCCCTGGTCGAAGGCGTACCGAAGTACTGCCTGCTTTGCGTGTTTGAAGCCTTTCCCTCCAGTTCCGAAGCTAAGCCAGCCATCGACATCAACCACAAGGGAGCATCAACAGGGACAATCAAATACCCAGGGCGCTGTCCTATCGACTACCAGTAGACCTCCCCAGCCCCCGGCCCCTCCTTCGACGGGCAGCACGAGCAGATACGAGTGCCCCGTGTGCCGGAGGCATTTCTGTATCGACTGTGATTTATTTGCGCATGAGGTTGTGCATAACTGTCCTGGATGCCAGAGTGCAAAGATACAGACGAGCTTGATGGGGGAGACAGAAATATTGGCTCCAGATGACCGTGAAGGACAGGGCGAGAGGAACGGGACACAACCAACCGGGACGGAGACTCAGAACGGAGACAGGATGCAGGTCGATTGACTTTTGGGAACATAGTCAAGTTGAACGAGCCTTCCGACCGTTGACGCGAAACCCTTTGATATTCTTGTCTTCTTCAGTCCGTATTCAAAACCACATGATACCCCGGCTTCGTGGACAAGGATGCCCACACTGCCCTCCTTCTCGCTCTGTCTTCTTCACTTCCGCAACTATCCTCCTGATCCATCACGTTGCATTCTCATGACAATTTCACCCGACAGAGAGGGGGCCGCAATACTGGAGTATATTTCCTGGCCGTCTGGCCCACAACATCTCTCCTGTACATAGAATTTATGTACCTAGCATAGGTCGAAACCCGATGTTCTGCCTCAATAGTCTCCCTTTTGCATCTCTGCTTCCACCCGTGGGCAACCCCAGCGCTGCGAGAAGAGCAATAAGCCTCTCGCTTGTGAACCAGGAATGTCGCTGGATGTTCGATATTGTTCAATTGAGTGACGGGGTTGTCGACGGAACGTTGAAGTGCACCGGCTCCAGCCAACGTAGTTATATTTGGAAAGTCCGCATATCACCGCAGACACTTAGAGTCTGTCACAACGGAACCCTACGCTCTACGAACACGCCTAGAGTAAATATGTGTTGCACGTACATAGATACTGGGACCTGGTTACTTAGACTCACTTTTGTTTTTGCGGTCTCTCAACTGGTTGCCTTAGGGAAACTATCATCATCCTACTATAATGTTTCTTTGCCTGAAATGAGCCTATCCAATATTCCAAAAGCATCGCTGCTTGTTGTGCAGGTTCCCAGTTATACGATGATAATAGCCTAGCGCTGAGCAGTTGGCCCTCGCTCTCTGACATCGATCTATCTTTTGTTTCAAGTATGAAGCACCCTTCATCAGTGATGTTGTCTGGTGATCTACTGTATGGCGTGGATTGAAGGTTACAGCCAACTGTGGCTAGAGTTGCAGGTGGAGAAGCATGAAACGCATAGCGTCTACGAGTGGAGTCTGGACAAGCACGTCAGACGAGTGGAAATCCTGCTGTCAGACCTGCCCATTAAGCATGGCAATAACGGCAACCGAGGGAATACGTGGCTGGCCCGGGTCAAATGACCAGTGCCATAGCTTTCCATGTGACGACCTCACTTTCCAACCCCAATGAGGATTAGCGACTTGCCATGGTCCTCTCTACCGCGACCCGCCGCCAGCCTCAACCTCCATGTTTGGGCCTCTCTTCAGCAAGCTGTGGGCACGGGACATTGCTTCATTATCCTCCCCGTAGCTCTCCGGCTCGTGACATCTACAGCTGCGCTTCAGAGATATACGTCCAGAGCTGAATGGCGTCGAACGCATGCACTCCGCCGCATTGAGACACGCACACGATCAACCCGGCTCCTAGCCCAGATCTTATTTGCTGTCCAAATTGTTTTGTGAGGCCAAAATCTGCCAGCTTCATATCTGCTCGCTGTGTTGCTACTCTCTACTTGGTCTTTGGTCCGTTTGGCTTCAGTGTTCTGCGACGGCGGTGGTGCTTGTGCGAGAGAATGCACACCGAACACTATATGAAGTAGCGCACCAGATTCAGCTGACCAACATGAGAGAGAAAAATCCTCCCTCTCTCTTCCGCCATTTGGACTCAGCAGCACAGTCTTCAGAGGAAATGATCGGGGATTCTAGCTCTGAGCCCTTCCGGCAAAAGGCGCATCAAAAATCTTTCTTACGAAGGAATATCGTGCATGCGTTGGAGCCGCACCGCGAGGGGGGCGAGGAGGATGCCTCGACTGTGGATTCAAGCTCCGTCATGTCCGAACATACGCAACACATCGATAAGACCACTGAAGGCGAGATCTCCGCTGCGACTGAGCTCGGCGGGGTGGTCCAAGATGCTGTATCCAATGACGCAGAAATGACGGGAAATCCCTCAACGGCCTCGAGTTGGTCCGAATTAATCACGTTCAATATGTGGTCCAGACCTTACCGCTCTGAAAACCCCACCAGAGAGAGCGAGCGCACTACGCGGCAAAGCATCAGAGACGTCCTAGGCAAACCCCCTGACAGCCCTGGTCCCTGGCTGACGCTTGATGTCAGCAGCATCAGAAGGAGACTCAATATGAAGACAAATGCTGCCATCAACGGCAAACTGCTTGCTAAAAGCCGAAAACATGAACCCTTCGACTGCCTATGTCGTCTGACAATATGGGACAGTCGCGATGGCTGCGCGACACTACCGCTTGTCGCCAGATCATCACCCTGTCGTGTAAGCGTTGTGGAAGATGGCGCGCATGGGGAATATGTCTCTCTGGAGCTAAAGGACCCTTTCGTTGTCACGAACAACGAGCTCCTAGTTCCCATCCTTTCGGAGGAGGGAAAATCGGTTCTAGGAGTGAGCCATGAAAATTTTGTTGAAATCAGGATTATACCCTGTGTCGCTGACTGTCCATGGCCTCCATTCCCCATCTTGCCTAAGACCGTCGTGGACCGCTTCACTCCGAACATGAGGAAGATGGGCCTGGAAGAAGAGCGAGGCGCCATTGTGGCCAGTTACGCCGACACCACACGTGCCCCTGAGCCGAATGTCCCGCTCAGTGTGTTTTTCGTGCTTGAGGGTCACACCTACAGAACGCAATACGGTCTCCAGGTGGAATCAACCTGGACTTTTGATCCCAAATTCGCCATCAAGCAGGGTAAAGGCTTAGACATGGAGACATTCTACATGTCAAAAACCAGAGAGACCCGGTTGCTCCATCTCCCGGAGCAAGCACCACACGGACTGGAAGTGCACTATATCTTCCCTGCGAAGAGCTCGGGACACGCAGGTGCTGTTCAAGCCATCCGAAATCCCGTCGTTCGAGGTTATGGCTGTCCGATATGTGCGGCGTGGAGCACGCGCAGATTGCAGGAACTGGTATCCCATTTCAAGTCCTTACATCCGAAGTGCGTTCTCTCGACATCAAAACTGCAATATGACAAGGAAACAAAGCGGTTGACCCTCGTCGAAATCAAAGTCGACATTTCCGCGGCCACCAGAAAGGACCAGTACGATGAGGCCTCTAACAAGTCACCTCTACAACCTCTTTTTCAATGTAACAAGCCTTTCAAGCTTTTTGAACCAAGTAAAACGACACTTCGATATCCATTGGCATCGCAGGTTCCTGCCTTTCGAAAAGCTGTGCGCAAAAAGACCAAACCTGTGCGCCTTCAGTCAGTGGGTGATGAACCCGAAGAGATCTGGGGGTCTAGTACAGATCGACCGGTCTCTCCCGACGAAGACCCAAAGAGTGAATCAGACGATGAAGTCGATCATAGCTGGCTAATTGCTACACACATGCAAAGGCTTGACATGGCGGCCGACAAACTGGGGTGGAGTGAGACCAAGTGCGAACTCATCAAACGCTGGGACCGACACCGCATGGAAGAACGATTCGAGCACTCTCGATATATCTCTAACTCTCTGATCAGGTTTGCTAGGAAGCAAAGAAGATGGTTGCGTGAAGGGGACGATGAGCTGAAGCGAACGTTCTTTGATTTCTTGGGCAGGTTGAAAGAACACCATGTCATTGACGATAACGTTATTGCCGATGTTAATGAACTAGTTTTCTACAATCCTGCTTACCAGCATCCTCTTCCCAGCACAGAGGTAGAAAAGGTGAAGATACGCGAAATGGCAATTGATCGTACGCTGAACGGAACACCCGCATCTCAGCAGCATACGTCGCTCGAGGTGAACACTCCACTCTACGATATGTTAAACACAGGAAGAGTCGAAGGCGCAGAGCCATTCCCTCAGAGCTCTGATGCTGGGCATCCACCATCAAACCCTCCGGTGAACGCGGACAAACGACGCCTTGCCCGGGCAAAGACAAAGCAGAAAAGTAAGGAATCCGGATCCCAGGGTCTCGGGAAATCTGATTGCGGTACTTGTCTACAGCCGATTGAGCATGTGCATAGTGAATCGGCTTATTGCACGCTTAGAGACTGCCTGTCGCCGGCAACTAGATACCACAAGAAATGTGCCGTTGGCGAGTATTTGGCTGGGCGAAAACGCCAAATACCTGTTTGTAGAAATTCTTACGGTCCCATTCCCGTCGAAGACTCAGTCGCGCAATGGATTGTCGACCGCTATCAATGTCGGACGTGCCGTTTTCGGCGTTGGTTGAAGCGGAGCGTTGGCCTTGCTTCGAAACAACTGCGAAAACAGTTGAAAGAGGAGGGGGAGGAAGAGCTGGAAGAGGAGCTTGGTGAGGGGCTGGAGAAGGAGCTTGATGAGGAGCTGGAGAAGGAGCTGGAAGAGGAGTTGAAAGAAGGACTGGAAGAAATACCGGAAGAGGGAGTAGAGGAAGAGGCGGACAGAGGGCAGGTGAATGAACTGATACGGGGATTCCTGCAGGACCTGGAGTCCAGAACTAAAAGGGGAGAAGAGGTGCCGCTAGTGAGAGAGGCATCCTTAAGATCCTGGGGATTGAAGCTCTTGAAAGCAAGGAAAGCCGAGGCAAAGTGGAAAGGCAAGGAGGCGGCAAGCAATCCCGTGCCTCCAAGTGGAAAGGGGAAGGAGGTAGTGAGAGACTCCGATGACCCGAGTACAAGCGGAACGAGGAATCGAATCGAGAGTACGCCCGGCGCTCCAGTTGGCAACGGACCAGGTATGCCTCCAGGAGACGGACCTCACACGCGGTCTAGGGACAGGGCCAGTACGCCGTCCGGAGACAAGGACGAATCCCGGACTTCGAGCAAGCAGACGGCCAGTGTGCCTTCTAGGGATCGACCGAGGACTCGGTCCAGGGGCAGGGTCAGCACGCCGTCTGAGAACAGGGCGGGCACACCAAGTCCGAGCGAAGAGAGAGCTGGCACTCCCACTGGAGACAGACCTCGCACAAGGTCTATGGATAAGGCCGTCACACCGTCTGAGGATGAGGCTGGCCCACCAGCACCAGGTCCGAGCCGCGGGAGAGCAGGCACACCGATGCCGGTCGGGCAACGAGCGGGCACTCCTTTTGCCGACGGGAAGGGTCCCCCTGGGGCAACTAGTCGGAGGATATCCAGCCTGGCGATGGGGGGGCTTTCCGCAAGGTCGCGGAGCGCGAAGCCCAAAGACGTGGGTCCAGTGAGGAGCAGTAGGCTCGATACGCTGAGAGGCAAGGACAGTCTGGAGCGCAGGGCCAAAGAGACGGCCAAAACCCAGACGATCCGGGGAGAGAATCGACCGGCTGCTCATGTTGCTCTGTCGGCGGGGGATGCTCGAACGGACTCCCGCAGAGGATCGTCGAGAGCGCGTGATACATGAGAAATAAGAAGAGCCAAGAACAAGCGAAGCATTCATCGATCAGGACGAGAAGCCGTGCGGTATTAACGGACGATTGGGTCGAGCTAGTGCGTGGTCGAAAAACATGGCTGTGGTCGCAAAGGTGGATACATACGCTGGCGTCGATAAAGGCACTTGGACGAGGCTGGCATAATCGGTACAGCGGACTAATAGGAGACACAGAGGCACTTGCCACAGGGTCCGGAATAGGCGAGGGACACTGCGCGAGAGACAATGCGGGAAAAGGATCGATCCTGGTCTGGAGGGAAACAACTCTCCTTTGGGCTTTGAACGTTTTTTGGCTCTTCTGTACAAGGAATTCTGGGAAGCAGATGCTGCGGAGCTGTATGCCTGATGGCAAATCAACCACCGCGTAACAGTCTATCTCCTGCTGCACGGGCAAGATCCCATTCTGATTGCTTTTTTCCAAGCCCCGCCCTGAGGCAGATTTATTCTTGACCTGACCTCCTTGCGCGCCTGTACCTCTTTCGCCTCCTGAAGAAATGCTTTCAGTTGCCAGGTCAAATTGACCGACGGATGATGGAACGAGGTAAACATGAATTTGGTCGAGGACCTGGGGTCGATTGTGGTCATGCGCCCAACGAACCCTTTAGCATCGCAATTCGGATCACATCTTAGGTCGATTCGTTTCCTGCAGAGCGGAAGTAAGACCCTCGCTATCGGCGGCCAACGCAGCCATGAACTGTACATATTGCAATGCTCTTCTCGGAAGATGCGCGCAGAACGCAAGCGACCTCAACCTTTCATGTCCTCGTCCTCGTCTTCGGGGGCCTCGAAGTCTTCGTCGTCGTCGTCATCGTCATCGTCCAAATCGTCACCGGCGTCCTTGGATTTCTGCTCGGCTTCGGCCCAGTTGATCTGCTTGCGACGGGTCCGGGTTTCGACAATGTTCTCCAGCTCGATTGCTTCCATCTCATCGTCTGAGTACCCCAAGTCAGTGTGAACCGCCTTTCTTTTGGGAAAAACTGCGAAAAAGGGTTGGAGGGAGAGAAAAGTGATAGGAAATCGATGTGCGAGTGACCAGAATAAGCGCGGTGGTGTGAGAGTTTGTTTTCAAAGGGGGGAGATTGTACCTTCTTCCTCGGCTTCAGCTTCGAGTTGCTAGAGCGAACAATCACGTCAGAATGGTCCTTAGAGTGAAAATTGGGTGTCGTGGACGTACCTCTGTCTCTTCCTCTTCTTCCTCTTCCTCGTCGTCAAGGTCGTCCTCTTCCATCATTGCAGGTTGTTCCACCGCTTTCCCCTTGCCTTTGCCGGTGTCGGTAACTTCACTTACGTCCTTGGGGACGGTTTCGCCGTTTGCCGACATTTTGTGGCGCGGAGGGTATGGGTGAATGAGATACAAAGAGGTCAAAGTGGTAAGGAACCGAGTCTAAGCCGTGGGGTTTATGGGTGTTGAGTGCGCGAAACGCAGTAATTGTTTGGTGGACAGACTTTCAAGTTTGGAGCGACTCTTGCGCGCTCCGCGACAGACGCCAAGCGACAGAACCCGGCTAACCCATTTTAGATTGCAGGCGCTCACGTGAACTTCGGCCACGCATTATCTTTTGTCCACCTCACAATGTGTCGCTATGGGTTTCCAGTTGGTTGATTTCGCTTTCGACATGCATTCGGGAGCGCAATCGGGAGTGCAATAGTCGATGAACCAGAACTGTATGGCTGTCGGAGCTTATACTCAAGGCCACGCAGATTAATCCTACTCGTGAGGTGAAAGAGCTACCAAGCTACAGCGAAGGCGCCTAATAGGGCTTAGAGAACATGATGAAAATCTCAACATTGCACCGGTTTGTGGACTCAATCAAATGTTTTCAACCCTGAAGCATTTCTCTTGAGACCATCCTAATTGTTACGCGACATGGATAGCCAGGGTGGAAGCTATAGTGATTGTACGATGATAGGGAGATGTTATTCTCCTTTTTGGAGGAAGCAAATCAACGCTTTGAGCAACCGGCTTCCTTGCTGCAGGATTGGGGAACTTCTGCTTTGATCAGGCAGGATTCACCTTGTGGTGAGAGTAGTTACCTGTGTGATGTATTGACTTCCAAATTTGTCGCGTGATATGATATCGTGAGAAAATATCGCTGATCTTTTAACCATACCCTTGAGTTCGATCCATGGTCATGACCAAAAAGAGTAGTGAGGGAGAGCCGCGGAAGTGGAAGAACGAATAGGAAGACCAAGGCTATGGCGGGATGGGAGAACAGGTTAGGCGAGCATCTCTCCGCACAATCCTGAGCTTCTAGCACAGTCTTTTGGATGCTGTGTACGATTTTTCAGTGGGGAGGGACTTCTCATGCATTGGTGGAGATGTTGCTGGTGAATGACCAGTAACCTGCACTGTGGCAAGGATGCACGTCAGAAGAAGGAGAAAGAACTGGATGATGTTGGTGAATGCAGCCATTTCATCATGTCGAAGCATCTTGAAAGATGTCTGACAGGTATCGAAGATGTAAGGATCAGGCGACTTTTTTTCCGTTGATTTCGCTCGGTTGCCCCAGAATTTCAGCCTTGTCCCATGGAATCCGACCGAAAAAGGCCGTGGTTGGTTGCGGCGGCTATGACGTAACCAGCCATTCTCTGCGGGACAGCTTCCATCCCTCACCCAAAACACCAAGTGCCCAGGCTAACAGCTATGGTCCAGGTAAAGAAAGCAAGACCCTTAGGGGGAATTGCATCGATGCTTCAGGCTCTTTCACAGCCCACTTCTAGGCACCAGATGCAGCAGCTGGAATAGGCCGGCAGCTTCCAGTGGGAACCAGTCCTGCAGCTAGAACTGTCACCGTAGTTCCACGCAGTTCTGCATGCTTCTACCAACTGCGTCCCGCCCTCGCCTTGGCGAAATTTTGACAACAACCAAATTCCATAAATCTCTGTGATCAGGCTCTGCCATTCCTCTTTCCCACCATCAGATCAAACAATCAGAAACAAATCCCCTATTAGAACCGAATAGTCTTCTCCAAAAGACTCTTCATCATACACCTTTTTCCTTTCACACACCCATCTCATTTTCCTCTCATCCTCCAGACAACATGGCTCCAGCCATTGGTATCGATCTAGGTACTACCTACTCATGTGTAGGCGTCTTCCGGGACGACCGCATCGAGATTATCGCCAACGACCAGGGCAACCGAACCACTCCCTCGTTCGTTGCTTTCACCGACACAGAGCGTCTGATTGGCGATGCCGCAAAGAATCAAGTCGCCATGAACCCCCACAACACCGTCTTTGACGCGAAACGACTGATTGGCCGGAAATTCAGCGACCCTGAAGTCCAAGCCGATATGAAACATTTCCCCTTTAAGGTCATCGACAAGGGTGGCAAGCCGGTCATCCAGGTGGAGTTCAAAGGTGAAGAGAAGCAGTTCACACCCGAAGAGATCTCGTCCATGGTCTTGACCAAGATGAGGGAGACTGCGGAGTCATACCTCGGTGGCACAGTCAACAACGCTGTCATTACCGTCCCTGCATACTTCAACGACTCTCAGCGTCAAGCCACCAAGGACGCTGGTCTGATCGCAGGCCTCAATGTGCTCCGTATCATCAACGAACCCACCGCTGCTGCCATTGCCTACGGTCTTGACAAGAAGGCCGAGGGCGAGCGCAATGTCCTCATCTTCGACCTGGGTGGTGGTACTTTCGATGTGTCTCTCCTGACCATTGAAGAGGGTATCTTCGAAGTCAAGTCCACTGCCGGCGACACTCACCTGGGTGGTGAAGATTTTGACAATCGTCTTGTCAACCACTTCGTTAACGAATTCAAACGGAAGCATAAGAAAGTAAGCAGATCCCCCATTTCCCCTTCCCAAATGGCCTCAACATTTACTAACATTTTACAAACAGGATCTGAGCTCTAACGCTCGAGCTCTGCGTCGGCTCCGAACTGCCTGCGAACGCGCCAAGCGCACCCTATCCTCGTCAGCTCAAACCTCTATCGAGATCGACTCCCTCTATGAAGGTATCGACTTCTACACCTCGATCACACGGGCCCGATTTGAGGAGCTCTGCCAAGACCTCTTCCGATCTACCATGGAGCCTGTGGAGCGTGTCCTGCGTGACGCCAAGATCGACAAGTCCTCCGTCCACGAGATCGTCTTGGTTGGTGGCTCCACCCGCATTCCCAGAATCCAGAAGCTTGTTTCCGACTTCTTCAACGGCAAGGAGCCCAACAAGTCCATCAACCCTGACGAGGCTGTCGCCTACGGTGCCGCCGTCCAAGCCGCCATCTTGTCCGGTGATACCTCGTCCAAATCGACCAACGAGATCTTGCTCTTGGATGTTGCGCCGCTGTCTCTCGGTATCGAGACCGCTGGTGGTGTCATGACTCCACTCATCAAGCGCAACACCACCATCCCCACTAAGAAATCGGAAACCTTCTCCACATTCTCCGACAACCAGCCCGGTGTGCTGATTCAGGTCTACGAGGGTGAGCGTGCCCGCACCAAGGACAACAACCTGCTCGGCAAATTCGAACTTTCCGGCATTCCTCCTGCCCCCCGCGGTGTTCCCCAGATCGAGGTCACCTTTGATCTGGATGCCAACGGAATCATGAACGTGTCTGCTGTCGAGAAGGGCACTGGCAAGTCGAACAAGATCGTCATCACCAACGACAAGGGCCGTCTGTCCAAGGAAGAGATTGAGCGTATGCTTGCCGAGGCCGAGAAGTACAAGGCTGAAGACGAGGCCGAGGCTTCGCGTATCAGCGCCAAGAACGGCTTGGAATCGTATGCTTACTCTCTCAAGAACACCTTGGCCGACTCCAAGGTTGACGAGAAACTGGACGCTTCCGACAAGGAGAAACTCAAGTCAGAGATCGACAAGGTTATCTCTTGGCTCGACGAGAACCAGACTGCCACCAAGGAAGAGTACGAGTCTCAGCAGAAGGAACTTGAAGGCGTTGCCAATCCTATCATGATGAAGTTCTATGGTTCCGGCGGTGAAGGTGGTATGCCCGGCGGAATGCCCGGCGGTGGTATGCCTGGCGGCCCTGGCGGATTCCCCGGTGCTGGCGGTGCTAGCCACGGCGATGACGGCCCAACTGTCGAGGAGGTTGACTAAATGGCTTCTTGATGACCAAAAGCACGTGATCATGAGCGGCTTCAATTCTTGTGTCAATCATACCGGCGTTGGCGTTGTTTTGAATGGGACATGGAAATGATACCTCGTGCATGGCATAGAGTTTATTTTCTTCGGCAGTAGCCAAGATGGATTCGATCAGTGAGGTTTATGAGATCATCGCAACAAGTGATGGTCATGTTCACAGGGGAAGAGTAAGAGAAGACATGATAGCTTAGAAATAGCTTTCAATGCGAAAATTCCATTTCATAATCTTATACTTCTGAAGTCTTTCGTGAAGTGCGCTACTGCCATATGTTGTAAAGTAGTCGCATCCAAATTATTATCGCTGGCTCGTGTTTTCGCTGTCGTCTGGGTAAGACGTGGGTGGAAATAATGTACCACAATTATGATAATGTTGGTTCGTGTCCTCTTCTTGGTCGATGCCAACAATGGTGTTGACTTCACCACTTAAAACTCCCAGCGTGCTGCTACCTCGCCGCCGACCCGTCTCGACCAGAAAGTCATTGGCAGGTACAGGGTGTCTTTTGGATCCATGAATTAGCCCTTTCATCCCCAGTTGAATCTGTGCGATCATGTGTTTTTTGTGTTGACAGGCCCTCGCTCGGGGAGTATGGGTGTCCCGGAAGTCTCCCGTCATGCCACCGACCGACCCACTTGCTGTCATCCGTCGTGTCTTACAAACCGCAACACCGCGTCCTCCGTTCACAACGGAGGAGGAAGTTCTCCGAACACTGTTTGACAACTCGGCATGTTTGCCCCTACCCTCGCAGCATCTGAAAGGAGAGATGCAGGCACGAACACTCACTCACCTGGTTCGTCTCGGGGATCAGGAGACTGACCGACTGACTGCTTAAGCTTCGAGTGGGAAGTTTTAGCGTTTGTTGCTGCATCTCTTGATTACTAAAAGTGACTGGTGCAGACGAAGTTGTAGACATGTGTCCTCCTCGCACTGCTTACCACAAGGGGTAAGTAAGGAAATATATTGATGTCCATACAGAGGAGAAGTTGAGAGATGTGTCCTTTTCTCGCTGCGTAGCACAAGGGGTAAAGAATTGACTTGAATTGTCCGCTGCGGAGTCGGTGAAAGAGAGAGATATACTCCCTTCCAGAGGTACATATATTACTGACAAGCCCGCGAGGAGCTTCCGGGTCTGAGTCCCCGGCCTCAAATATTGCACCGCGGCTCTGGCCCCAAGATACTTGAGGTAATATAGTTCTCTCCAGACACGTTATCACCCGGCAAATTCCATCAGCACGAAGAACATCAGAAGACATCATCACAATGCATACAACCTTCGCGTTCCTGACCAAACTTCCCCACCTCTCCACAAAGGAGTTCATCACGTACTATGAGACGAAGCACATCCCCATGATCAACCGTCTCGCCGGCCCGGACAACCAACCCTTGGTGTATAAGAGACGGTACACCCACCGCGACGACCCCGCGTTTGTGTTCGTGCGGGCCAGCGTCGACGCAAAGGGGACACCGGTCCCCGCCGTGCCGTCCGACTCTCCGGGTGATAGCACGGAGGGATCGGCGGATCCGGGCAGCATTGACTTCGACGTGATGACCGAGATCGGATTCGCCGACGAACCCGCCAAGATGAGGTGGCTGACCGCCCTCAGACAGGGCGAGAACGGCAAGATGGTTGTCGAGGACGAACAGAGGTTTCTTTGGAGGGAACGCACCCGGGCCGTGGTGGTGGAGGAGTTTGTGAGCTTTGGCTGAGGGCAAGGTCTGCGCGAGTTTCAGCATTGGAGGGTTTCTTGGTCATGATGTGATTTATCTAGATGAGATGTCAGTGGTGATCGAGAGTTGTGCAGAGAGAGCCGGACGGTTGGCCTTGAAAGATGTATTTCAGGACGACATTCATGCCGTTGTTACAAACCAAGAGAAGTTCACTGTCCAAATCTCGTGAGAGCATTAAGCGCGCAGACTGAACCAGTCTCGTACCCGTATGTGGCAAGGTAGAACCGCAGGTGGTGAATTAGAAAGGTGCGGCATGGTGCTCATGATACCCCGAAGGCGAATGGAGTGGAAACTTGCGCTCTTAATAGGTGCCGGTCTTACTAGCTCAAGTTTGGGGTACGTGACACTCCAAAGAAAGGCCACTTTATACGAGATGGACTTCACCTGCAGCCGCTGACGACCTTGAATCTTTCGGTGCATAGTTTGAAAGTACGTGATTCGCAGGAGAGTTACATGCGTCAGTCGCATACTTCGGTGCCACTCATTGTGAAGGCGATACGAAGACAACCATTTTGAACCTGGTTATGGCTTGGACCTCCTGGAACTACCCTATAGGATCTCTAGACTTGTATCCGCGTGGAGAAATAGCGGCTAGCAAAGATCTGTTTTGTGCGTGTGTGTGTTTCTTCGCGTATCGTTAGATGTCCCTGTTCTTTAACCACTAGACTTCAAAGGAGGGATGAGTGCTAGCTCTAGAATTCTTCACAAGATTTACCAATACCTGAACATATTACAGATTGGGTCCTCGACAATTTTCAAAAGCCCCTTCTGCTCTCCTGTTGCCAGGAATTAGTATCGAATGTTTCGTTGGAAAAGCTTACGAACAGTCCGTCTTGTTCCCTTGACGCTTACTTCTAGGCTTTGAGGGATGTAGATATAGCCATTAAATACAAATCAGACAGAATGGCAAAGTTTTCACCACGATATATGATCGAGGGCGTTAAAGCCCTTTGTAGACGTTGAATACTCCTTCCACCCCATCTAAGTGCTGAATTGTCCGGATATGGCTCTTTTTTCATGGACTTACGATAGTGTCAATCTAGCAAGGAGGCTTTAATTGGGCAAGTCCGTAAGCGTGCCTCCAAATCTCCTGCCAATATACTGTAGCTCTTTGCTGCCCAGACTCAATATACAACCAAGTGCTGAAAGCAGGCAGCAAGCAACCAGTCCAAGAACAGAAGGACAAGTTCAGATAGTGAACTGGGGCGAGGCTTCATGGCCAGAGGCGATGCCTCTCTGCGGCGGTAGGGACACGCACGACGCACCACAACACCACCAAAACAGGATGGATAGGAATGCTTGATTGTCAGTCTGTCTCCCTACCACTGTCTATGTAAAAATACTATTGAAAGAAAAGAAAAAGCTCTCCACTTCATCTGTCCAATCAGGAGCCACCATTGCCTCCCTGTACAATGTACAGGCACGTGACCTGACTGACTTCTCCCATTACAATATGACAGCCTCTGGGAGCACAGGCTCTTAGGATAATGGACGAAAATATATGTTCCTCGCTTTTAAGCCTCATTGCTTTTGAACAGGCAAGGTGTATCTATGATGTGTCGGTGAATGAACCCTGGCAAGATTTCGCGAGCTGTGTTCCAAAATGCTAGTATAGGAATGAGAATACGGTTCGTCACTTCGTCTTCTGGAAAGGAACACATTAGATCTACCATCTTGGAATACACGTAGATCTCTATTGTCGAGCAATAAAAGTGAGGTTTCTCGATTGCCCTCCCTTACCTGTTAACGCGACAGGGGGCAGGCCTTATCAGCCTGTCTGCCTCGGTAGAATGACATCACCATAGAGGCGCGACCTCCTTCGCTGAAAGAAAGAGTCTTATTTTATTACAATGACCGACTAAAGAGTGTTGCTTTTGCAAGTTGCACGCTTTCAGCAGGCCGCGAGTGGTCCTTGAGATCGGGCTGGCGGGATGTGGCCAATCAGAAGAAAAAGAAGTTATTCCATAAACGGTTTAAGGATGATTCAAACACTCTTTTATTGGCGGAGTTGGCCGTGCCAATGATGCTGTTCTGTTTGATCTTGTCGGCGGAAAATGAATTTAAATGCACATATTGTGTGATTAGCTACCAGTGGCCTCAAATGCCCGAACGACTCAATCTGTGTAATATTATAACTCAGTCTGGTCCCGGGTCGGCGATGCCGGAGGGAGAATCTTTGAGAATGGCAGCCCCGTGCAGAGCTCGATGCTAGCACAAAGTCAGAAACGTGCAACATGCTGACCAAAAGACGACCCCACAGAAAACACCTCAAAAACCGTCAACGACACCTAGTGACCCGTGAGAACTACAGCGAGCAAGGAACCCAGGGGGACGACTTGACCTCGATCTCGTCTCTTTCACGGCCACAGCACGAAGTTGCCGGGACAAGCCTCGTGCCAACCATTTTCTTCCGCTGGAATACGCCAAGCGAATGGTTCGAGGTCTAAGATCGGTTGTTTTTCAGCCGGGTTATCCAGTAGTCGACATTCGCGATTTCTGAGTTAATGAGCCATCTGCAGTGCTGGTACTGCCCCCACAATGTCGTGCATGGCATGAGTAAAGATTATAAGGCAAGGGTCGCCTGAGAGTCGTAAAGCAGCGGGCGTCCGGGTGGATGAAGCGGCTCGAAACCGAGACCTTAAATTTTGAATACTCGAATTTACAAATCACGGACTACAACCTTCCTTACTACGAAGCTCTCAAACACACCTGCAGACACACGACTGGATAGAATGGCTGCGACAACCACATCTCACTCGTGGATACACCACCACAACAACAACGAAATAGATGGCAAAAAACTATCGTCACAAAAAAGCCAGGTGTTTCGGCATGTGGCTGCCCACCGAAAAATGAAACGACTTCAGCGGACGCGGAAACTGCGAGCCGCGGCTCTCAGTTTGTACCATACATTTCAAGACCAGGGGCAGCAGACTTCCCAGATCGAAACACATTTCGCTGGCTCCTACGATCCGTTTGACACTCTTGCCATCCCCCGCACCTCTCAGATCGACGAGCTGCTCCAATTTGACCGCACATATCTCTCCCCGGCTTTTGGAACTTCGAAGATTCTTCTCCATCCATCAGCCGCGTATCTGCAAGACGAACTGGCCGCATACGGGTTCTTGGCTCGCATTGCAGCGGTCAAGGCACGTTGCGACCCTCATCCAGAGGCTTTACACGTTGTTCTCAAATTGAAAGCAAAGGCGATGCAGAAACTCCGGTTAAACCTTTCTCAAGCTGCCTTTGCTTGTCTTCCACGAGCAGTCATGTCTCTTCTGTACGCGGAGACGTGGTGCCACAATCTTGAAGCTGTGGCTGTTCACCTCCGGCTGCTAGAGGTTATCAACAACCATTATGGATTGAAGATCCAAGATCTCATCTGCATTCTCCACTCGGATATCCAACGCGCTACCTTGACGCTAGAAAGCCCGCTCTTTAAGATGGACAGCAGCACTTGGCATATCCTTGAGGCAGACTATTTACCGTTTCTACGGCATCGGGCTGGCACCTCTGATGGCGTTCAATGGCCTCCACGCCAGCCTCTTCTGGAGATGAAGAAAGCTCTTGCAGCCTTGGACGTACTGAGAACATCCGAGACATCCGAGACGGCCCGACAGGCGGCCACCATTAAATTCCTTCACCTCATGAGAACCCTTCTGGTACAGTACAACACGAGCTCTGATAATGTCGATCAATACGTGGCTTTGGCAGCTCTTTACCGGCTTCGTTTAGAGGCCAATATGGAACGGATACCCCTTTTTCAGATCACCGTTTTCGATGCAGGAAAAGTTATCCTTTCGAGACTTAAAGAGCTACTGACCGTGGTATCGAAGGACCCACCCGATGTACGGCTGTGGGTTTTATTTGTGGGAACGATGTCAGGAGACAGTTGGTTCGAGAAGGAGTTCACGATACAAGCAGAAGCCCTAGGACTCGTGAGCTCAGCCGATGTCAAAGCGGTTTTGAATGTCTTCGAGCACCAGGATTTGCTAGATTTACCGCTCTCTGCGTGCTCGATACTTCAGGGTGCAGGATAATGAAATCGAGAAGATTTCCCCGACCGAATGCAGTCTTGGAAAATCTGCCACAAAGACCTTTGTGCATTCATGCCAACTCTCTCACTAAGGTGCAATATGTCGTGTGGTGTCTTCGGGTGACTCAGGTTTGCCCTGGTCTGGCCTCCAGGAGCTCGAAGTAAACCTTCTCGGGCCTTGAGCCCACAAGGCTGCGAGCTCCACATATGCAGGAGACTTTTGTATTACCGAACTAGGACTAGCCAGAGCCTAAAGCGGCGCCGAGTGACCCGCTAGCTGTATTAACGTCCCTGCTTGCTTACGACTTCGCTTCCTGCCTTTCGCACCATAGTCAAGGATTGTCGCAAAAGGCCCTCGCTGTTCACTATTGAGGCCCGGGCAGGTGGGCTCACGGCTGAAGAGATGTATCACTTGGACATGCCTCCTAGTGCAATCTGCAACAAAAGCCCTTCAGATGACAGACGACGAGCCAGCCGGAGTGACGGTGGTGGAAGGTCTTTCCCAGGACAGATAGACTTCTATCAAAGGGATATTCATTGAGCTGTATGTGCATCTGGGCAAGAAATTGTCGGAGATCCGGCAGACGCTGGCGGACCAATGTAATTTCCACGTAACGTGGGTGACTTCTTCTGTGGTCTATGTGTATGTCTTTGGCTTTTCCGCTGACCTGGTTGGTTCATCGAACGCAGCGAAAAGGCCTTCAAGAGACGGATCGCCGTGTGGGGGATTTCAAAAACTACAATTCCACCTAGAAGAAGGCGCTACTGAACTCGATGACGACACGCTCTGCTTCCACGGAAGAAGCCACACCTCTGGTCCAGCTGCATGGGAAACCCGTCAAATGGGACCGCATCAGACGGTTCAGTAGACCACCGCCTCAGGCGCAAAAACGAACACGGCGCACCGCCGCCGGAGTGTCTCCGATAGGCGAGAGGATTCACCTGGACCTCCATCCAAACGCCTTCCGGTCGACTGTAGACATCGACGAACGCATTCTGTTCTTGACCAAGTCGTATCTAGACTGGAACTTTTCGTTCTGGACTTCCCTCGGCTTTGCGCAGAGGCAACAACAGCGACGCGACCTCTCAAATCTCAAATGCCAAAGTGGTAACGACGTCTCCAGAGTGTTCAACAAATGCTTCTACAACGCCATTCCTCTGTTGTTTACGAATAACACCGTCGAGGCATTCAAGGAGATCAACCTGGCCTGCAGTCTCGCGTCCCATTGTATCCAGAAATCCCCGTACTGGATATTCCTGCGTCTTCTTCATCTGTACTCGTAACCCCTTCGGGACCGGTTTCCGGACGTCCGCGGCCAGATCGTGCATTTCCTCAAGGCCCTCGCGTGTCGCACCCTGGCCGAGGGACACGTCCTGAGGCCGCTGCTCCAGCTGTGGACGCAGGGGGAGATGGACACCAGCGGCGAGCAGATCGCTTCGATCCTCCGGTTGTATGCCGACAAGTTCGGCCCGGCTAGCGGCCTGGACGTGCATGAATGGGCGTGAATCCAAGACGAGATCTGCTCGCTGAACCACCAACGACGCGAGTTCGACGACGCGCTCCGCATCGCCCTCTGGCTCACCCACGACCCAGGCGTGCCCAGCGGCGTACACATCACCGCCCTACAGATGATCGCCCGGCAGCAGCTCAAGGCCGGCGACGTCGAGGCTGCCGAGCCCATCCTGCGCGAGACGCTGCGCCTATGCGACGGTAAAAGCATTGACGACGACGACGACCGGGCTCGCTTCCTGCAGCAGACCCTTTCCGACATGGGCTACATGTACGGTGCCCGCCGCGACCGCGCTCAAAGCGCCCACTATTATGGCCAGGCCCTCGACAAGGCCATCCAAGTGCAAAACACGGCCAACGTCGCGTCGATTCGTTGTCGCATCCAGGCCATGGCCGATATCCCGGAGAACCCGACGCTGGCGCTGGCGCAGGCGCAGGCGCAACCGGGCAATACGACGAGCTCGGCGCTCTGGGCGTTTTGTCGGCCGTACTCTTGAACAACATTGCTGACAGGAAGAGGTGGGAAAAGGCTCCTTCATCTCTCTCTCTCTCTCTCTCTCTCTCTCTCTCTCTCTCTCTCTCTCTCTCTCTCTGCTCAATGTAAGTATACTCTTCTTCTCCTCTCTTCTCTCTCTCTCTCTCTCTCTCTCTCTCTCTCTCTCTCTCTCTCTGGTCAATGTAAGTATAGAACAGAGACTGAGCTGAATCGTCCAGTGCGAGCCACCACTGGACTTGATGGTTGCGGAGAGTTCGAGAGCAATGGGAAACCGACGAGGATGGAGAGACTTTTGCACGTATTCAGAAATCAAAGGGTGTCTGATTTCTTTCCTCAAATACTACCTAGCCCACTGGAGTTTACAATGAATTTCACTCCATTGCTGGTAGTCGGCCGCTCCGCAATATGAGCATCTCCCCCATTGAAGACCACGTCGACGTCTTCGATCCCATGGCCCGCATAGAGATGATCGTCTGTCTGACTTCCGAGAAAGTTCAAAATCCGACAAGCACCGAGACCATTCCACCCAAAAGCCCCTGTAGACCAACATGATACCCTGGCCCGGAGCCCGCCTGCTGGTAGATTAGGCGTCCATGAACAGTGGCATCTGAGATCCTGTTTTGATGTCGACTTGCCCACCGTGCCTTGCCCAAACATGTTCAATACCAATTGTTCTGATAAGGGATAAATCGCCGTAGTCTACGAGTCGCTGTGCAGAGGTCGACGCGCCCACCTTTTCTCCCAGCATCCAAAACATATCCCAGGCCAGCCACAATCACTCGTCCGATGCGCTTTCGGGCTCATCTGCATCAGCAAACAAGGGACGCCGGCAGGATTCACCGCCCACATTCCTAGACCAACAGGACAAGGGGCTGGCCTGCATTCCAAGCTGGAACTGTTGTGCTTCTCTATTTCTCTCTCTTTCACGCCCAGTCTTCCTTGGTCTTTTCTTGCCCCTTTCCTTCCCTTGAGATCGATTCTGTTCTTTGACCATAATTTTCTCCCGCTTTCGGTAGCTGTCTAGAAGCACAGCCTTTGAACTTGAAGTTGTCCCAACACCACCACAGACAGCATGACCGGAAAGCGGCGCCTGTGGTCAGAAGAAGAGACAAAAGGGCTATACCATGTGCTCGACAAGAATTCCAACGAAGGCTCCATCTCGTTTGCTCAATCGGTGACAAAGATCCAACAGCACCTCCTGAAGAGTAGAGAGAAGGGAAACTCGCAGTTGAGCGAGACCCAGGTGAAGGCCAAGCTACGGGGGCTGGGACAGAAGGTCGGCGTCAGTGCCGAGAAGCTCGTCAGCGGATGGCGTCGACATCGGCAACAGTTGGTTCCCAAACGCTACCACCAGCAAAGCACCTCCCCGTCCTCAAGGTCTCCAAGCCTGCGTGGCAGAAATTCAGATCCGCCACAGGATCCAGAGCAACCGTCGAACGACTCCCCAATCCCAGCGCCACCTGATGACAATCGCAGCTCACCATCGGGAGAAAATCCCTTGGGCTCTCCTTCCAGAGTCGCCAACGAATCCAACAAGAGTCCTCCAGTGCCTTATGACCTTGTCACAAGAATCCTGTACCGCGCCCAAATTCCAGGCTATGACTCTATAGATGACGCACTCAATTCAGCCTGGCGAGGATCCTTTGAGAGCAGGAAATACACCTCTGGACTCTCCACGCCAGACGCCTTTCACGCTCTCGCCGGGGCTGTACTTGACATCGAACGTGGCGTTTCAGCCTTTGTGACAGGTTTCCCTGTTGCCCACTTGACACCGTCCAATCTCACCCGCGCTTCACTCAATCTAGGCGAGACACTGTGCGGCATACCAGACCGAAGTTATGTGGAGAACACCTTGAAAGTTCTCCTTGCAAATCCATTCATGAACACGGAGATTATTCTTCGCGCATTTGCTGGAGTGGCCATGTTTGTAAGTCCTTTGTTGTTGTTGTTGTTTCTGCATCACTGCATAGCTCTGTCTGAGAGGCTTGTCCAATGGCGCTAATATGAGATACCACAGGCCTGGGCGTTCGGGGATGCAAGCTGCCCATTGCATGTGGATCGTCCGAATCCGCTTCCAAAGCCGATAAATGGGAATCTCCTGAAGTTTTGCGAAGAATGTAAGTCTATTAACGGTGGAGAGGTGATATCGTGAGCTGACTGGGTTCCAGACTTGCCACTATTTGCTGCGTCAATGAAACAGGAGGAGAATTTGAGCTATCTGGACCTCGTTATCAAACCCATGATTCCGGAACTTGCACGTCGGTTCGCAAGGGACCTCTCCGACGTTTTCCAGAGTCTTTGCGTTTCTCCGGCACCGCCTATCGCGTTGATACAATGGCAGCGCGACACCGCGGAAGCTCAGGGAGCAGATGAAGAAGGAGTGTTCGACTACCGGCTGGGCTTTCAGATGAAATCCATGCGCTATTTCGAAGAAGCTTTCCTGCAGGCATTGAAGTTCGACATGAGAATGCGAACGGCTGACCCTGAATACAAATTCGAAACAAAGTGGCCCCGAATCGGGGTCGAGTTTAAGCACGAATCGATGACTCCCGCACACAAAAATTCCGATGGCCGGAAGCTGACCGAGGAGAACACGGTGACCCTTGCTCTGTGTCCGGCGTTGTGGAGAACCTATGGAACTCCCGAGAACAGGAAGCGACACTGCCTTCACAAGGCCTTGGTCATAGTCGAGGGTTTTGGTATGGACGAGTTTGCTCTGGGTTATCCCCCGGTCGTTGATCTCCCCTGACAGAGGAAGGAAACCGATAGTGAACGGCAAGCAGGAGATAGGCAATACGATAGTGGCGTCTGACGCTATATTCCCGGTGGCTCATTTATAGGAAACGAAACAAAATGAAACTGAAATGAGGAGGAGGAAGAGGCCCTGGCACGACTGCTTCGAGATGATAGTTGTACCCGACAGCTCACCCAAGACGCCGAGCTGATGAGAGAGAATCGTGGACCAGACCGGATTCATGAGTAGAGATATGTCACCCGCTGGAGGCCACCGGTGAGGCTAGATGTCACCTCCGCGACTGTCGAGATCAAGATCGGCTGGAAAGAGGACAAAATTAGCAACAGTTGGATATCACTAGATCAATCTCCTCCCGCATTGACTATCCCTCGCCAACCTACCCTGAATATCCCGTCATCTCTCATCCCAAGGCCAGAGTTTCCGACCTCTGTCTTCATTCATTTCGGGATCTTCCGACTCCCTAACCGTCTCCATCCATTGCTCGAAGAAAGCTTTGTGTGCCACTTTCGCAGCTTCCCAACACTCTGTCGGGATCTATCCGTCCGAGCTCGAGTCTAGCATCCGAATCAAAAAGAGTTTGAACTTCTGGGTGGTCTCGAAATCATCCCATTGCTTTGCGTGCTCTGCGAGCTCCCCCGGGGAAGGCTGGTAAGAACACGAGCCCGGAAGTCCCAGCTGAGACCAATGCTGGGAGAGTTCAATCAGCTCCTGCCGCAACGCTACGGCACCAACCTGCCAGGACGAGTGGCAGTAAAGAAAATGCCTCAGCAACGCTTCATCCAGTGCTCTGGCAGCCGCAAGCTTCGGCGAAAACCCGCGGATCGCCACTTCAAAAGTCTGTCGACAGATCCAGATATCTCTTTCAAGCCTCTCCCTGTCACCCGAAGTGTCTGCCATTGCCAGCAACTCGTCATCCATTTCAGTAATCCAGGAAAGCGCTGGTGGAGTCGCTATCAGATCAGGCGTCTCATTCGCATACACAAAGGTCGGCTCAATACAGGTAGATTGCCAATCGATAAAAGCGGTTATCTTTGTTGGGTCGTCTAGAGAAACAAATATATTTCTCTTATTGAGATCAGGATGCAGCAGCATGGGTCTTGATGATTCCTGAATCAAGGGACTCTTGATCAGTTCTTTGATCGCGCTTTTGCTGATTTGTAACAGTCGAACATGTTCTCCCACGGAACCACGATATGGTAGTTCAACGTCGCTTTCTGTTGAACGATTGGGCAGCCGTGCATAACCTGCGTCCAGGAGCCCATCTGTGTACTCCCTAAGAGTGGTCCCTTCCCTTTCTATTAGCGATATTTTCAACGACTTGGAGAGTATGTGGAAACGGTACTGACATGGGCCTCGATTTATTGGACGCTCGTTCTCACCATGCGAACCCTCATCGATAGGGTCCCAGTAATCTCTACCACAATTAGGCCCAACCACAAAGCCGTCAGGGATACTAATCGCCTTTGCCTGTGTATTCGGAGTGGTGTCGAAATATAAGCTGCCGTAGGCTGGAAATGTGAGATTTGCCATTTCTGTCACAGCATATGCCAAGTTCTTGGTAACTAGCATATGTTGATGAGACTTCATAGTTGGCCAGACATCATGCAACTGGACTCCTGGAACATGCTCCATGATTATGTATTCCGCACCTATTGGGTTGTGTTCGTCTGCGTTCCAATCAAGGACTTTGGGCACTGGAATGGTCGTATAGGACCTCACTGTATCGCATTAGTCGAATGTAAAATGAAAACGAAAGTCATACCATATGCCATTGTTGCGACTTCTGAATGCGTGGTCAAGCTTTTGGGGCCAGCTACGCGGAAAGGCACCCTTGCCACAACACGTGTTCCGTTCTCCATGTCGAAGATGAACACTCGGTTGAAACCTCCCTCCTTTTTTGTGCATCGCAGGATGCTCCTGGCACCAGGACATACATCCACAGCTCTCTGGCATAGAAGAGGGAAGTCAAACTTCAAATATCGAGCCTGACGTTGTGCCTTGTCTCGATGAAGCCAATGGCCACTGGTGTAGGTAAAGGGATCGCATGATGCTGCGGCAAGAAGATTGGGTGGCTTTGACAATTGTTCTCGACCAGGAAGTATTGCGCCAGCATTTGCAGTCGATTTATGGCGAATCCGATGTGGGCGAAACTGAGACACACGTCGAAACATAACAATAGAAGCCACTCAGTTTTCTTGCGTTTGTCGAGAGAACGAGTTGGATGAAGTCTCCCTACCCTTATGAAGGGTTTACCACGCGTTGTGAGACCACTCTCGAAAGCGTACTAGGCCGAAATAGGCACCAAATAAAGGCTGCCACTACTATGCTGGCCATCACTCCCTACTCCTGGCGCCCGCAGACTCGAGTTACACAGATGCGCTGTCAATGAAGCAGGGAGGTCTTGACATAAATTCTCCCTGTCCCACTGGGCGGAGTCGTATGGTTTCATTGCATTACATCTCATCCGGACAAGCCACGGAGACATATCTTCTACTTGAAGCGGCACTGTATGAGTTCACATCGCATTCAATGTCGTAGCTGACTAAACATTAGGTCGCATCACCTATTATGTCTAAAGATATTAATGGTTTCTTTGGGAAAATCAGAACAAAATTTCGACATGCCCACAAAGCTCGCTGCCAGTCACCAGGCTGGGAGCAGAATCGTCCCATCAAGAGTGGCGAAGAATGACGCTAACTATAAGCTGCGAATTGATGCTGGGGAACCAGTGGGGGGAAAACGCAATGTGGTCTTGTAAGTCAATAGTGAAGCCAAGAGCACTCCGTTGAGAGATTGGCTGACGAAGAACGGTGGTCATGCGAAGCTTGCACAAGCCGCTTTCGATTCAACGGCTAGCGATCCAAAACAGGAGGCAGAGAGAGTTATGGCTGAATTAGACTCGCTCCTATCCGCAGATCTACCACATCCTCCCCGGCCCACGTGACTAGGGTGAGTCGGGGTTGAGCATCAGCCTAGGCCGTCACCTCCCCTAATTAGTTGTGCCCCCAAGGTGGCCATTGGACGCCGAAGCGATGTTCCGCGGGTGATCTACGCGTCTTTCCCCGCCAGTCCAGCTTTCTACCACCGCTGTCAGGGCCTCTAGCGCGCTGGCACTTCTGCCACTGATACATGGGCTCACTACTAGACACTCATTCGTAGTTACACAATACCATGCCCGCACGTAACCATCAGGTACACATCCTTCATCAAGGCCATTCACCGCAGTGCACCTCTTTTCTTGGACAACCTACTCATTGCTGCCGCGCTAGACAACAATGACTACAAGCACGAGCCGAACGGCAGCCTTGCAGCTCTTCCCAAGCAGCCGCATGAAGAGCTTCAAGCGTTGCACAATAGCATCTGCCTTAAGCCGACGAGCTTAGACCCGCTGGAAGCCCCTTATTATCTGACACCAACAGTGATGTCAAATGGCCACTAGGCGTAAGGGAGGGGGCCACCCAGGGGCTTGGGTTGGCATTTGGGGACGTCGTATCTTGCTCGGCTATCCCAGTTTTTCCATCACTTGGCGGGGAAAATCTCTCCATTTCTTATGGGTTTTCATATTCTCTTTGCAACAGCTTTGTACCAAAGCTGAAAAGACGTGTTGGGACGGAGCTGTCCGACCAACTTGAATAATGAATGAATGGGCTTTGCGACTTCCTTCAAGCCCAAAGAGAACCATGTACGGAAACCTTTCCTCCCCCGGTTCCCTGTAAATGGTGGCTTCCTGCCGTTTGCACTCATTCCTCCTCCCTTCTCATCATTGACATCCGCATCCACGGTCCATAATCCTTGCATGACCCATATGCCCTTTCACTTGTGTCCCTCCAAAACTCCGGCCGGCAGGAGATACCCTCGACGTCTTCTCAACATTCATGGCTGTGCCTTTCCGTCTCTCACAGCATCAATGCTTTCTCTTTCAGACAGCTCTAGATTGTCGTAGTACCTTTCCGCTAAGCCCCCTTCCCAACTGTCCAGCCCGACCTTGTCCTTGACCGCAATGAACGGACTCCTATAAACACTGGCCATCCCATTGTGCTTTTGGATATAGTACCCCGCAACCCTCGCCCAAAATCCACCCCTTCCGAACCAATCACTTAGCTGCTTTGGGATGGGACGATCGTTGAGCAGCAAGCCGGTTGGCCCGAGTGGACGTTTTTCAAGAGACTGGACGAGGACAGCGGACGGATCGGCCATAGGGGGTAGAGGAGCAATTTGGATTGCCGAGGCATGCGGGAGTATCGGTTTTGGAAGCAGTTGAGGCTTTTGTTGCCTTATGCCGCCATGGACAGTCGCGTTCAGTGGATCGTAAATCGATCGCTTGGGGATGTAATTGCTGATTTGTAGTGGATTAATACTCGCAGCAGGAAAGGGCGCCATGTCGTGAATCATATCGAGATCCATCATGTCCATTGAAGAAGTCCTTTTCAAACCCATGTGAGTTAAAGGCAGAGGGACGGTTGAATCCAAGCCCAATCCAGAGAAACTTCCCCTCGCAGAGCGATGTCCAGCACTGGACCCGGTTGGACTGATCTGCGTTGCGTTTGGGTTGATAAACTGAGGCGGATTCTGCGGGTCAAGTGGTTGCATTGAGGGACTTGCAGCGGATGACCCTGCATGCTGCATAAAAGAGGGCGATGCTTCATGCTGCTGCAGACCGGGACTGGGAATCATGTAGGAGCTGCTCGGTCTGCTGCCCGGTGGAGAATGCTTCTCTGCTTCCTTTTGAGCCTTGATTTGATCTGGGCTTTTGAAAGGGTAAGCCGGGTTGGAAATCCGCCGTTGGCGTTCGACTTCGGCAGAGGGTGGAGGGGGAGGTGGCTGGCTTGCGGCTGCGCGGATCGTGTCGATGCGGGACTGTTGATAAGGAGTGCCTGAAGCGGAAGATCCTGGGGGGCTGTGATGATTCGAACTGCCATGATACGAGTACTGAAGGTGGGACTGTTGGACATATGAAGGGAAGGGAGAGGTGACTGGAGACTGGGGTCGACCATATGGGGACGAAAGCATGGAGTTGAGACCCGAATTTTGAGCGTGTCCGAAAGCTGGGCTCCGACTTGTGGAGCTTGGACTCATCCAGTCGCTGCTGTATTCGTATTGTTGCGACCTGAGGTTTGAACTCATCATCGTAGGACCGTAACGACCAGTACTGTCGATGTTAGTGAAGCTTTGAAAAGGCACGTACGGCTCGAGAGGCGGCAGTGACGGATCATTTGACCACTCCTTCATGTGCTTCGCATGCTGTGATGCCTGCTGTTGGAAGTGTCTCTGGCGTTGGACAGCATCATGGTCAATCCCTATGCTAGGGCGACGGACGGAACTGGTGGAGCTCTCTGCAGCGTCCAATTGCCGAGCCTTGACTTGCTGACGCTGGAAAATCCGCGCCTGCTCGTTCAGCCGAGCTTCTTGGCCAGTCACAATGTCTTTATACTGCGACGGTTTAATCTGACTGGCCTTGATTGCCCTGGCTTTCGAGCTTCCCAGCGTGAGATCTTGTGTTGTGCCGCTGAATGTTCCCGGGAGAACTGAACGCTGCAGAGGCTGCTTATCCACAGTCTGCCTGATGCTGGCCATTGCAGCATTTTTGGCGGCAAAGTTGGCCAGTGGGTGTGAAGCAGAGAGTCCTTGACGCTTAGGTTGAGGTGGTGGCGCCATTGTTCTTTTGGGAGGCATTACAAGGTCGAGGAAGTTCGATGCAGGATCGTGTACCGGGTTTTCAGGATCAGCCGTATAGAATGCTTTTGCTTCTGAGGACTTCTCTCCAAGGTACAACCACAAATGTTTTTCCTTGCCCAGGTCAACAGGCTTCTGTGCTTTGTTAACAGGAGGGAGAGAACAGACAAACTCCGCCCATTCGGTCCTGGGCTCTTCAGTAAACAGGTAGCCAGGACTTGGCTTCTTCTCTGTGGATTCGGGGAGAGAAGCAGTCTTGCCTTGGAGCTCTTCCGGGAGGTCGAGCGCACCTGCACTTGGCTTTTGTAAATATGAGGCCGCAGAGTCGACAAATAGTATCGAGGTGGGATCTACTTCCTTCACCTGTTTTAGATCTGGTAGGATCTTGACAAGAACTGAGTCTTGACCTTCATCGTAGCCAGAAATGACCAGGCCAGCCTCAATGTCGTCGAGATTCGTAGCTTGGAACTGAATGAGCTCTCCTTCCTTAAGCCCGGAAAGAAAGCGTCGAAACTCAGCGTTCTGCCAGCAGCTGTTTGCGTGGTTGCAAACGGAAAGTTCACTCGTAAGTCTGGTGCGTTTGACGGTACGATGCAGACGACATCTCCAATCGAAACCGATGTCGCGATACTCCACTCCTTCGTGCCAAACAGCGATTTCGCCCTTGTCAACTTGAACACCAGCTTGCATGGCACAAGTTGCGTGGTACGACTTAGTGCATTTCGCCGACGAGCACTGGAAGCACGAGCCTTTCCGCTGCCGACACTCGTGGCATTTGAGTTCCAGACGGTCTTTGCTAATGTTTTCGACATTGTACACCATTTCCTTGCCGTCTGTGCTGGCGATGTAGGTTTCCGGCGTGTACATAGCGCAAGTTCGATGAGCACGCTGACCTTGCGTCGTCGGCAGAAGCTCCTCCCAGGAGAAATCATTCGGACACAAACAACAAGGCTGGGTCTTGCTGACTTTCCTTATTTTGATGATCTTCTTGGCTTTTTTGTTTGGTCCGAGCTCCTTCATGGCACGTTTCCTCTTCTGTGGGATCTTGATTCTACCTCTGTCGCTGCTAGGAGGTGTCGGTAGGTCTGCTGGTTCATCCTCATCTTCATCGTCAGTGACCTCAACTTCTTCGAACTCGGGTGTAGGCTCGCCATTCATCCTTCGGATAAACCAGTCCACATCAATGAAGACGCTGTCGGCTTCGCACTGGCACTTTCGTGCCGTCTTTCCATACTGCAACCAGTTTTCAATGGCGAAGTTAACAGACTCTGCGCAGTTGTAACCCAGATTGTAACCGGAATGATACCCGATGGGGAAGGTGATTACAAATTGGCCTTCTCGATGGACGACTTTGTTGACATTGACCCCAAACTTGGATTTGAGGATTGCAGGCGAGACGAGGTAAGTTTTGTGACGCAAGAACTGATCGCAGTCCTTGGCGTCTGACGACCAGATAGACTTCATAGCCGCTTCAAATTTGGGAGCATCTTTTTGAGATATGCTGTACCATTGCTTCGGGGCGCCGAAATGGATGTAGTTTATGCTGTAAAGATCCACATCTTCCAGATGCCAGGCAAAAGTCGCCCGCCACATGCCCAGGTACAGGTATGCGGTATTGACACCAGGGATAGGTTGACCAAGAAGATCCAGTAAGTTTGGTAGTTTTGCGACATTCCATTCCTTAGTATCGTCGTCAAACAGAGAGCCCGGCATGTCAGCGGCATACATTGGGTTGCTGAAGTTGAGGCTTTTCCAGTATTTCTCTTCGAGTTCATCGCAGCGCTCAGGTGTCCACTGCTCGTTATCATATACCCGATAATCGAAATTTTGGAAGGCCTCTTCGTCGATTTCATCAATGGCCTCGCGGGCATTTCGCAGTCGACGAGCGGCAACGGTGGTCTCTGCCCCTTTGCCGACGCTTGAAGTTTCCTTCTTGCTGGCATCTTTAGGCGGCCGTCCTCGTGGCCTGCCCGTGCCTACTGGTCTGCCTCTCCCTCTCTTGGCTTTGGTCGGCGTCGGGTCCGCAGTTGAGGAAGCGGCCTCATCATCTGCCTCATTGTCCAGGGCAGCTGGTTTCACCTCAGGACTGGTCGGAGTGGGAGGGGCAAGAAGGGTGGAATCGTGATCAGATGGCTCTTCTTTGATAGGAATGGATTTGGCACGACTGGAGGCTCTTTTGGCCGCCTCGGGCGTCGCCGATGCTTCAGTTTTTCTGCTACGAGCAGTGCCACGTCCCAATAATTTATCGGCGTTGAGGCGCTTCTCACCACGCTTGGCGGGTGGCTGGTTCTCGGTTTGCTCGCAGACAGATTTCCATTGTGGGAGATTGTAAGACCTCATCTTCTCCATATTCCTCTGTGTGTAGATCCCTTGGGCACCATGGAACTCCTGGGTAATGGGATTTTTAATCCTGATGGTCTTGACCATTTCGTCCAGAGGCTTCCGCGCGCGCTTCCTGTAACATAATTAGCCTTGTGATCCTTAATGGTAGTCGGGTCTGCCACGTGACAGCATGCCTTGGAAGAGGGAAGACACACCATTCTTCAGGAGGATCGATGAGGACGATACCGGACTGCATGCCGTAAGGGTCCACACCCTTGACGTATCTTTGGAAGTCCTTGAACTGGGCCATTGTCTGGTGTTCATATCTGTCAGCCTAGCTCTCTCTACGCTTCTCCCTCGCATGAGCCTATGTTATCGGTCGTATGGCACATACTGGAGTGAAGATGGGCACCCCATTCTCATATCTGTCCGGTTTGACCTCCGAAAACTGTTCGGCTTCCGCGCCCGCGCGGGCGGCCTCCTCAAATCTCATTCTGTTTTCCTCATCTTCAATGTCGTCATCCAATTCGGACAGGGAGGAACTCGAGGCTGCGTCATCATCCTTATGACTCCCCTCGTCCGTCGTGGGAGGGGTATGGACTTGAGGCGGCAGGGGAAGTGACTGGGACATGGATTCTTGATTGTCCAAGGCAGCGGCACCAAGCCCATTGGAAACAGGGAGGGTGGCGGTCGTGGGCATGGTGACTGCTGCCATGGTCGGAAGGAGGAAGGGCGGCAAAGGCTGAGGCCGGGTATATTGGGGGTGGCGAGAGGACGGGAGTGCGGTCAGGGCGTGTCCAAGCACATGAAGAGAGTTGCAACGAGACCCGTCGCGGACTCTAACCAGGAGCTTCGACCGGTATACAAGGCAAGGTCTATCGTGAAGGAGGGCACTGTTGATTATTCTGGCGCAGGACTGGGCTGCGATGGGAGTCGGGACGTTGAATCGAGCAGTCAGGGTTCGTGCCCAATCGGGTTTAGCGTGGTGAAGGAACTATCTTCTTGGCATGCGAAGTGCCGTTCGTGCATCGGCGCTATCAGGCCACTGGAGTGACCAGCCTGAATACTACATCGTAGGAAGCAGTACTGCGCAGGTGGATACTTGATACATTGGTGCTCGAAACAACCCAATTTTGCTGAACTGGTGACAACAGATACGGAATATCCTTCGTTGGTATCTCAAAGGTCCTCAACCCCCCATTACGTGCCCTCGATCTTTGGGCGTGGCTGGTGTCATCATCCTGCACCACACATGCGCATCTTCTCAAGCCTCCTGCAACTCATTGGTTCGCTTGGTCGATCCAGGCACAACACCCCGGCCCGGCCTGGACCTGCGAATGCGAACCCTTCCCCCGCAAACGCACACAAAAAAACTTCGGTCGTGCCAGTCGTCCGTCTGGTTAATCATCTTCCCGGCCACAAATTCCCACTTGTCCAATTTGCCCATCCAACCAGCACAATGCCATGCTCCAATTCCGGCTTGGACTCGTACTAATACTCGCTCAAAGCAAGCTTCTTGCCCACCGTCCTCCTCCTTTGTGCGATTTGCTCTGAAGGCTTGGGTTGGTCCTTTTTGAGCGCTTGTAATAACATGCCGGCGTCGAAGAAGCCATCTAGATGGAACGACAAAAAAAAACAGGTCAGTAACAAGTCTGCAATCAATCGCCTGTCATGGGTAACTTACATCCACCCAACCCATCATCCTCCACCTCTGCCGTGTCTAAGCTCGTAGGGGTCTGGAAGCCATCGACCTTCGAAGCTTCAGTTTTGATAATCCGGCCGCGAGACTTGAGGCGGCCATCCTTGCCCGCCTTTTCTTCTGCCTCTCTGGCTCGGGTAATCTTAGGCTGCGGGGTCTTTCGTTTTGGTGGCCCTCAAAAGTCGGCGAATTTCGTTCAAGTATGATTCTAAACTGTCTACAAAACGTTGGGTCTGCCGGTGCTTGCTGCTGGCACAAACTGAAATAGAATCGTCCTTGATGATGTATCCGATCCCGAATCCATCTCCGGAGGTGGGCCCGAAGCCGAAATGGCGCAGTGATGGATTGCCACAGTTGGATGTACTGATGATGGTGTTGTTGATCTTGTCCCAGCCGGGGTCACTGAACAGAGCTGGCATCTGCTGTAGAGCTGGCGCTGGTGAGCGGCTGGACTCGGTCCCGGTGCGAGAACGGCCGACGGGGGACGACGACTCCTCAAGTCGTTTGGGGCTGCCCACGTCGCTCATATCGGTAGGGCTAGAATAACCGTTCGAGCTGAACCCGGCAGTACTGCCAACTTCCGCCGACTCGTCGTTCACCTTACGCTGCCAAACACAGTAAAGAGCATACAGATGGCGATCTGGCCCCTGTGCTTTGCTCGATTCCTTGGTGATAGCGGTATGTTTCTGGGTCGCCGTTCGAAGAGCATCAACCTTTTTCTGGGCGGCGTTATCTGCCCAAAAGGTCTTGACAAAATCGACGCATTCGGGCGTCACCGTCCGAATGGCCTCGGTCCGACCATGGAAGAACATCTTGGTCATGGCGGGTTCGTACGTGTTCTCAACACGACCATACAAACCATAATATGCTGCCTGGAAAGCCATTTGAACAAATGCGTCAGGCGAAAAGCCCATGGAGGTGATGAAGTTCTTGCCGTAACCAGTAAAATCTAGCGTCTGAAATTCATTCTGGTTGATCAAATCTGCCAGCCGTGTCTCCGCGAACCGCAGGGCGATCTGCAGTTCGGGGAGCATGTCCCATTCGAGCTTGTGGGGAGTGGTGCTCACATCACCAAAGCTGTCAGGGTCTCGTTTCGAGGGATCCGGACTCTGACTTGTCCACAGCGTGGGCGCTTGACCATTAATCGACTTTGCAAATCTCAAGATGGTGTCGGTATAGACGTCGCTAGCGAAGCGGAGGACGGTATGGCCGTCCACGCCTGTGTGCTCAAAGTTGATGCCGGCACTGCCGTTCTTGCAGACAATTATCTGGAGTTTGTCATACCATCTGTTGGTGCAGGTCCCAACTTGGACACCGCGATCCACCTCACTTGTGCCACAGAGCATGTTGCCGCAAAGCTGAGAGACGTCGGCAGGTTCGGTATAGTCCAGACAGATCACGAACAGCGCCGAATCGACAATACTTAGACATTCCGCGTTGTTGGAACCTTCCTCTCTTGTTAAAAGATCTCGCAGGTGTGACCAGATCTTTCGATTCTCGGTGCTGAGCACTCCAATGGCACCTTTGGCGGCTTCCTGGATTGGTATCTGCTCGGCATCGTCCACAATCACCTGCAGGTTGATGGCAAGATCCTTTTCAGTCATGATCAGGTCGTTGTTGTCGTCAAGAACATCAAACCAATAGAACTGACCACGGCACACAACGACGACATGCTTGGAGTCGGAATCCTGGCCGATGATACATCCGTTTTCTGTGGGCACCCGTGCAGTTCCAAAGAGTCGCGAGTATTGATACATGCACAACGGCGTTCCTCTCAGGGTGTCGGGCGGCAGTTCTTCCTTTCGGACTGCCCGGACAAAGCAGAGAGCAGAAATCACCAGAGAGGCAGCCCTGGTGACCTGGTTATTCCGCGCGGGTGTGGGGTCGTCCTCCAGGAGAAAGAACGGATTGAGATTTAAAACGACGGGATTATCATAGTTCAAGTACGAGTCATACCAGAATTGCTCGATGTAACTCGTCCGGCCCGTGGCGTACTTCTTCAATCGCTCCTGCAGATCCTTACCTTCATTCTCAAGGAAGTCTCGAACGGCTGCCTTTGTATCGTTGTGCTCCTGCGGGGACTGCAGCGGAGCCAAGGCATCGAGGTATCTCTTCATTGTCAAATCCAACTCAGGGATGGGTAGCTTCGGTAGCTTGTCCTGAGCCGCGAAAGTGATTCCCTGTTTGGCAGATTCCTTTTTCGCAGACACAGGCTCCTTCTCGGCCTTGGTATAGGAGGCCGTGGTCTCCTTGGCCGCCTCGAGCGACCGCTCCACTTGATTGCTCGACATATTGGCGTGGGCGCCGTCCTCGTGAGAAGAATTGTTCAAGGTCTCGTCAAGAGATTTAGGGCGGGCAAAGTATCTCGTTCCTGTCCCTGTGGAAGACATGGTCAATATCTGAATCATGCGTATAGCGCAGCCAACACAGTGGCAATGCTCAGAAGGCGAAGTGCGGTGCGGTAGAAGTAGTGGCAGTCATGCAAATAGTAAGAGGGCATGAGGAATATTATTTCCGCGAAGGGGGGAAAGGGAGGCAAGCCCGACGGTCTGATGAGGAGCGCGCAGGGTCCGGGAAGAGGAAGAAGAGAGAAAGAGAACGCCGGCTTGGGAAGAGGTTGCGGCGATATGCATAAATTGTCACCTGGCACAGGGTCAGACTCGTCAAGAGGGGTTTTCACGCCCTTTGAAGCTGGCCCGAGGACACCTCTCTCAAAACAACCTCTTACAGAGCCGAGCTGTGCATGTGAAGGGGTGCAGCAGGGATGGAAGTCGTATGACGATAGAGTCCCGACGATCCATTCGCAACACGGAAACGCATGGCAAGGCGGGTGATCCTGAGCATGGACAGGGAACAGGTGCGGGCTCTTGAGACTGTCGCTGTGTCTCGCAGTGGGTGCGCTCGGAGGAAAGGAAAGGGACGGTGGACGTACAGAGGTGTAGAAATCGCAGAGCGCGGTCTGACTCGTCGAGGGGCTAAAATCCGCCCGCGTTTTGGGGGGCGCGGAGTGGTCTGAGAGCGTGGCCCTCCCAGGTGTGGGAATTTGTTGCGCCGTGACACTTTGAGTCAACCGAGGTGGGCGACGAGGCCAACAAGAGTCAAAGAAATCTGAATCAGACCTAAGGACTCTATGTCGGTGTGCAATAAATGTTTAGTGGAATAATATGTACAGAAGAGTTGTCTTCTTGGAGCCGGTTTGGTGGTCGATGGATACCAGCACCACTTGACCACAGGGCTTGTGACGTATTTTGGACTTCGAACCATCTCAAGCCGGCCCCCGCTGAACTCGACTGGGCTTCGAATCTCTTTAAAGGCTTTTGGTTCCGGAGCTTCTAGAACACGTAGAAAAGAAACGGTGTTCTCGTTCCACTGTTGCGACGCTTCGCCCTTCTCGCCAGCGTGAAGGAATGGCTGACGGATGATCGGAGGAGCATGGAAAACGATAAAACCGGATCATGAGAACTCACGGCGGGCTTTCCTCTGGTGGGTTGTCTGACGAAGAGGGCTGACCTGCAACTTCCGTTTCTCCGCAAGCCAAACCTGGGGAACGGAGCCACCCAAGAGCCATGGGTGAACGGGATGATGCCAACGGTGGTCCAGATCACGACGGAAGACGAAGCCGGGATAAATCCGAGACGAGCTCGCCACCCACAGTGCCACACCACACCACTCAAGATTTTGCAAACACTGTTGGTACACACTTTTTTGCTCGGGTCTCTATTCTACAGACTCGAGCTTTCTCCTCCCTCAGGACCTCCTCGTCTTCTCAGGTACTGTCATCCTCAAAATGTCCTCCAAACCCCACACCCGGTGGTCAAGAATCAAGAACCAGAAAGACCATGATGTTTCGACTCATCCAATAGAACTCCAATCTGGGCACCTTCAGATGGCGAAGCAACAGGCTCGTAGAAAGAAAGAAAAGAGAAAAAGAAAAAGAAAACAATCCCATACTGCTCGCAAATCCCCACTCCGTGCTGTGCACATGCATTGCCCCTTGGCCCTGAGCACAACATGTCATTGTCATCGGTGTGATTTCTTAGACTCGAGGGTTATCCAATGAATCGTGATATCATGCAGAAGCAAGTCGCCACTTATAACGTGACAGTGGGCATGTTGCCGGGTTGCAAGACGTTCGCAGCATACTCGCCACCAAAATTGCCTGTTCAGAATCAGTCAGCAAAGCTCCTGCAATCTAGGCAAGAGAAAACGGTAAGAAAAAAAAGCACATACCTGGCGGGCTATAGTTGCAGACGGTGAAATAAGGGCTGACATCGCCACCGGTGTTAGCCAAGCCATTGGGACAGTACTGAGTTGCGCAGCCAACGGAGGTGGTGGACTTCCAGACAATCTGTGAGTAGTGACCCCATTTTTCGAAGTTGGTCATGTCCGGCTCCACGCCATATGCCGGGTAGAAGTTGATCTCCCCATTATACATCTCATCGGTGATCATGGCAGGGATATCTGATGGGGGAGCTCCCGCACCAATGTTCTGGCCATAGCCACCGCCACCCGTCGAGGTGTCGTGAGCATATACGCAGCTGGCGGCGATCTGGGCGGCGATCGAGGCCATGTCATCACTCCAGGTCAGATGCGGTACAGACGCGTTGTCCCGATGCATGTTGTGCGAATCAAGGATTCCTTGCTGATAGTCCGAAGAGACACTGGTGGAGGCGGGCGATGGTGCTGCTTGGGCAGGAGTCGGCGAGGTTTCTGGCGTCGAGGCTGACCAGGAATCGGAGGTCGATGGAGGTGGGGTTTCTGGAGAAGGCGCGGGTGTATCAGCAGGAGCCGCAGAGGTAGGAGACGGCGACGCGCTACTCCAGTCCCCGCTACTTCCGCCGTGCCATGCGCCCCAACTGCTCCAACTATTCCAGTCGCTGCCAGAGGGTGCAGGTGTATCGGTGGGTGGGTATCCAGTTACCGTGACGGTCACAGTGTACAAGTCGATTTCGGTCACATAGTCGCGCTTGTCGAGAGGAGTGGCAACGACCATTCCGGCGCACAAGGCAGCGATGGCAAAGGGTGCAACAGTCTTCATCTTGAACAATCGACAAAGAATGATTGATTGAGAGTTGGTGAGTTTGTGGTATAGTTGAACTCGAGGTGTCTCAATGGTCAGAAGCAGGAGTCGTTGTGGTGTGAGGTCTGCTGCTGGCTGGGTGAGCAATGTTCTTCTGTTGATGCAAGTTCTTCACACCAGGTGAGGCAGGGTGTCTGGAAATGGACTCTGGTCAAAGAGATGGATTGACAGGGCACGGACAATCTAGTCCAAACGGCACGGTCACTGACGGTGCTGCTGCTTGTGCTGCTTGAGCGACAATCGAGGGAAATATGGCTTAATTGTGGTCGAAAAAAAGAGTGACTGTCCAATTGAAGACGCCTCGAGTGAGTGAAGAGGGCTCCAAGGGACTGGTGACGAAGGTAAGATGGCAGATGGCCTAAAGAAGGACTGGAGGTGAGGTGAAGAGTCGAGGTTGTCGAGGTGGAAAAGAGCGGTATAAAGGACGGGGTCCTAAGGGGTGTATATTTAGTGAGGGACGTGATGGAGGCGGGCTTTGTCCCAGTACTGCTCGTAGCTTGTATTCCGTACTGGGAATACGCTCGGTCCTCTTTCTGACAGCCGCCAGTCGGAGAAAGAAGAGCACAAAGAGAGGTGACTCCACGATGGTCCTGCTCCAATTGCAAGCCCGCAGCGACTAGGCCTCGTGGACAAGGATCACTTTAGCCTCGATGAGCCTCTGATGGCCAGGAACGTTAGCTCCACCGCGGCACCTGGAGCTTTGCCAAACAGGGCCTAATCGTTCCTGATCGCAGCTAAAGCTATGCCTGACAGAGTTGGGGTATTGGCGAGTGCGGGGAGCTAGAAAGCCTTGGGAGTTGCGTGGGAGATTTGTCGCAGTGACGATCTGAAGGGTAATCTGGACTGAAACGCCCAAGTCGACCAGGGTGGCAGATGATATTCCAGTCCTCGACCACTGCGCAGCGCCGAAGCTTACGAAGATGCCCTTGGCCCCAAGAGTCACAAAGAGCAAGAAAGAAAGAGCGTGGTGCAAAAAGAGATGAGAGTGAACACGACTTTGCCTGAAGGAAAGGACAGAAGGAAGACCAACGGCCAGAAAAGACGAGGATGGGCTTTTTGAAGAAACGGGAAGACACAGAAGAGGACGGTTACAAACTGAGTCCCTGTTTGGAATTTCATCTGGGCCTCGTCCCTCCCACTCCTGAGCAGGGAATGATGTTGCTCGACGATAGACGAGGGGGTGGTGTTTACATGTCGACTACCGAGTCCTGGTCGGCGAGGACGCGGCGAGTTGGAATTTCAGCCAGGGACCTCTGGATGGTGTCTGTTGTGCTCCCATCTGCGACTACGAGTATCTAGGGTGTATGATCCAGGCCCCGTCTGTTCGCCATTCCTGCCACCACGCGGCTGCAAATGAGATACCACTACTACTCGGGAAATCGGTCCCTCGCCGAATTGGAACGACGAGGGTTGAAACAAAGCCCACCAAACAAGATTCAGGCCCTTGCGCTGACATGCTAGTATGGTTCTGTCGGAGAATAAAGTGGCTTGCAGCTTCTCGTGGGGGTCTCGGGCACCACTGGGCACAACTGGGCACCCAAGGGGCGCGTGGGAGTGTAGCCGCTTATCAAATTGCGCCCCGGAGATCGGGCAGCTGGGCGACTAGCGATTGGCTTGGGCTGCTGAAATACACGGTCCTAGGCCGACAGGGCTGCCCTGCCACCGGGCGACCTCGCTACCTGTTCGTATGAGCACAACTGGTCGTGCGCCCCATTCTCACATTTCTTTTTGCGGCTCTCTGGTTTGTTTCATCCCCTTGCCAAAATCGTAGACCACACCATGCAAGGTGAAGTCGGGTTCACAATATAGACATGTTCGAACTTTCCCGCCATCGATTCTGTTCACCACAAGGCCAGCTCATCGCACTCCTCCAGCTTGAATAGATGGAGGAAGAGGACCATTCCGTTCCTTCATCCTCTCCGTGATCGCCACCATCCTTGCGCACCAATTGAGCCTCCTGATCACACTGATAGAAAGACGGAGCTGACGCGTCCCGTCCAGGTTCACTTGCTTTCCCCACCCTATCCATCGGCATACGAGGACGCCGCCATGCTTCTCTCTTGGCGAGTTCTTACAGTATTTCACAGCAAACGGGCGCACACCGGAAGCGATGGAGTAATAATAGTCCACATCGAAGCAGCAGAATCGCAGCCCTCAGTTGAGAATTGTGAACTTTGAACTGCTATTTTACCTATATTCTGCCCTCGCAACAGCGGAAATTCGTTTGATTTAGGGCGTTGAAGCAAATAGCTGCTTGGAAAGGGAACGTAATGCGCGCCGAAGTGTACACCACTGGACCAGGCTGTCGACGTGAATTTGCAACTTGACCTCCAGATGCGACAACTCTATGCTGTCCTACCTCTCCCCTGCGTTACGCCTGCACATTTCACAGTTTCCAGCGACCCTCGGTCTCGATGTGTGGGCTGAGTCGATTTTATGGTATTAGCTTGCCTCCCTACATAAACTCCCAGGAAGTGGTGTCTTGGTTGTGGATGATGGAGCATAGATGCCGGTGTGGTCACAAATTCCAACGCCCGACGCCCCATGCCATCATGATGTCTCAATCTTACCCAGCCTAAAAGCTTTCGTGGCATTGCATTCTTTTCGCAGTCTCAAAGCGTGAATCAAGAGAAGGCATGGGCTCACTTCAAAACGCATCGAAGATGTGGATTCCTGGCAAGCTCGGCTGAAGATCTCGGTCGGAGTCAGCTGGTGAACACCAGCCGCCCTTCTACGCTCTGCTAGGGCAGAATACAGCCAGTACAATCGTGGCTCAAATAAACACTCGATCTATTGGGGCCACTTCAGAATATAACGTCTCGCAAAGGTGTGCTGTTGAAGGCGGGAATGCAGGTGCTGACCACAACATACGCAGATTGTCACACTGCATGCCTATATGGCCAGCTTTGCATTCATGGGCCTTCTCATCTACTCCTGTGCTCGCTGTCCGCATACTTGCAGATGCACAGGTACGCTTGGGACTCGGAACCAATCCACACATAATATCAATTGCACAGGCAGTTGACAGCCGTCGACCACGATAAACGGGGGTGTCGCTCCCCTCAGCATCTGTGACATCGTCCGGATCTGGGAAAACAGCTTCTACTATTCTGCAAGCTGCTACCGGTGTGTCTTCTGGGTGGCACTTCCTGGGCCCCAGATTCGGCAAGTCAACGTGTCAGTCAAAAGGTGTCAACGTGAGCCTTATTTCGATTCTGACCACGTGGACTCAATTTGATACATCCCCTGCATGAACGCAAGCACCTGAACATGCAAGTGCACGTGCGACAAGGCCAGCGAGCAGCAATTTCGGTTCTACGAGTGTAACTCCCCGCCTGAGTACGAGTTTTCTGCTCGGTTTTCCCTGTCAGCCTTGAGTAAGAGGTCCAACTATTTCTCGCAAGGTCTAGATTACGACTCGCCGTGCGTCCTGCAAATCGATGTATCCTACATCACAGTGCAATGTGCCCATAGATGTAGATCGAGAACGGCCCCGGGACATGGATACGCGATAAGTGCCTACTCTACAGCTCGCTCTTGTCAACATCTCCTCCACGACAGTCACTCTGACATGAGAATATGTTATGATCTGAAGGACGGCTGAGACGTGTCGCAATATGTCCCTATTTAGACACGGAGATGGCATTTGGCCTTAGTCAAGAGTCTATGTCGAGTTCTGCGTGTCGAGTGACATTCTCACTGTATTTTTAAAGCCTTGCTCTGCAGAGGCTCAGCTGATTGCGAGCGAAGACAGGTCTTCTGGCCTCTTTCGCGCCGCCCCGAGACTGCCACCTTTTCATGATACAAACTCCCATCCAACAATCTCCTCACATCTTCCTTTCTCAGGATCCCGTCCTCGGGCCAGATTAATACCCAGGCGAATCCCCATTCGAACATGGCAGAAACTTGACCAAAGAAGTCAAATGCCAGTCTCGATCTCCTCAGTCCGTGCCACAGTTCCCCCTTGGTCAGACCGCCCTTTCCGTCGCTGTCGAATTTTGTAAAGAAATCTTCCAGTGGCTGCGGCCTATAACGGCCCTCGGTATCAAAAGTTCCTGTCCCACTGCCGTGTTTGTTCATGTATGCATTTTTCACCCAAAGTCTGAAGAACGGGTCGGGCAGCCAACCGGGAACTGTGTTGTAGGACTGCACGACGTGGAGGAAGCCGGTGAAAAACAGAGAGGTGGGGATCGACCATTCGAATGAACGGCAGGTGCGGTAAGTATCAGTGGGCCATATGATTCCGTCGCCGTCAGGATCAAAGAAAGAGCAGTGTTGTTCTAGGACCTATTGGAGCCGAGATGTGAGCAAGTCATCTGAGTTGCCCGACACGTAGGCGACTTACAGTCTGATGCTGGTGTTTCTCCGCCCAGCTATCCTTGACCGTCCCGTTCGGTGCATCAGACGTGGGAGCGTACGTAGCCCGAACGACGCCCGAGTTCTCCAGCAGGCAGCCATCTGGGGGAATATGTGCCTTGTACCTTTCTGTGATGGGAGCCTCTGGTATGGAAATTTGATGCATGGTGGCTGACTGTATGGCGGTGTTCTTTCCCCATCAACCTATATCGTTGAACAGCGTTTCATAGGAGAAACTGGACAACTGGGCGTGTCATCCGACGTGCAGCATATCACCGAAGACTGGCCAAAGTGTTGACATCATGACTCTGTGTGTGGCGGTTCAAGCCACTGGAGGACCAAGCTCTTGCCCTTGAAGCCGTGCTGTACATCTATCGTACCGCTGCCCAGCCAGATCAGATATCCGTCACGGCTTGAAGAGGAGAAGCACGGGTTCACGACGGGAGACAGACGTTTAGCATCTGAAAGTTACTGGCATTCCTCGTGCTTCTTGTCTTTCCGCCAATCCAGAGCGAATCCTGAACGTTATGCCGATTGGCCAAAATGGGGAAACGGAAACAAATATTAAAAGACGCCCGTCTGACCGCGACAATACTGTTGTAATACCAAGGACAAGCAGAGCCTTCCCGCGCCCAAACTACAGGACGGCACGGGAAAGACGGCCTGTCAGACTGCCACTCTGTCGTTACCACCCTGGTTCTGGTATTTTCTTCTCACCAGAGCAGATCCTCGTTGATAGCTCTTGCACGGCCAAGACTGACACCACTCTAACGGGGGACATCGGTTGAGAGCACGCTGGGCTTTCCCGATAGACCTGGTGAGATCGAAAAGCCAAGTACTGGAGGTGAGGGGGAAGAAAAGAACAAGTTCGCCATTGTTCTCTCAGCAATCTGCTTCATCTCTTTGACCTTGCCGTCAATTCCTTCACGGCTGTAAAGTGTCGTGCTGTGAGCCTAGTTCGCGAGTTCGAGGAGTTTGGCTGTTTCGCTTCCTGCAACGGACACATTCGCCAAGAAACAACTTTTCACACCGCGTCGTCGACCCAAAACAAGACATCCTTTGCTTTTAAGGCCGTAAGGCACAAAGAACTACCAACATGTCACGCCGACCGGTGATACGGGTCATCGGCTCCCTGAACATCGACTTCGTCACACGGACTCCCCGCGTTCCGGGCCCTGGGGAGACCCTGTCCGCGACGTCTCTGACAGTCCATCCCGGCGGCAAAGGGTCAAACCAAGCCGTCGCCTGTGGGAAAGCAGCATTTACTTCACCATCCTCTCAGGATGTCGTGGTCGAGATGATTGGTGCCGTGGGTGCGAACGACCCCTACTACGCCTCGCTCCTGAAACCTACACTAGAAAAGAGTGGAGTGAGCACGAACGGCGTCGAGGAGATGGAAGGCCTCCAGACGGGCACGGCTACGATCATCGTCGACGAGGGCTCCGATGGCGAAAACAGGATCCTCGTGGTCCCCGGAGCCAATGCACGGGTCGATGACCTGGGTAAAGTCTTGGGGATAGCGATGCGGGACGGCGCACCGGACGTGGTGGTTATGCAGGGGGAGATACCGCGATCCACAGTGCTCGGATTGCTGAAGGCGTTCAACTCGACCGAGCACAGGACATGCGTCATTTTCAACCCAGCGCCCATGTTCCCTGACGGGGTCCCGATTGAGGCTCTCCAGGGCCTCGCCGTCCTGGTGGTCAACGAGACCGAGTGCCGGCAGCTCTTTGCGTCGGTGGACGAGCTGAAGACGGTCCCGGTGTCCCATGCCGATGAGCCCATGCGAGAGTCCGAGCTCGACCGCCTAACGACCTACCTCCACGCCAGGGCAGGAATCCTCATCGTGGTGGTGACGCTGGGCTCCCAGGGGGTGTACTATTCTTTCGAGACACCCGACTTCCTGGACCGGTCGCTGATCCCGGCCGTCAAGGTGCAGCGGGTCGTTGACACGACCGGCGCAGGCGACACGTTTGTCGGATACTTTGCGACCGCGGTCGCGCGGCATCTGGCGCAAGTGAAGGACCTGGACAACCTCAACATCCGGGAGGCCGTCGTTCGAGCCAACGAGGCAGCCGCCAAGTGTGTGCAGAGAAGTGGCGCGATGGAGAGCATTCCCTTTGGATACGAATAGCGGCACGGTTCGCAGTAATAATGGACGGTGCTCTCTCTCTCTCCTCTTTTGGGGCCCGAGTAGTGTTGGGATGAAGGCGACCTACAGAGATACGAATAGCCAGGGGTATATATGTACTGTATTATCCCCACAACCAATAATCCTGGACGTTCTGGCACCTGGGGGATTTCGCAAGAATGAAGGCCCGACACCGGCATCTGCTCCCATAACCCAGCTATTTATTATCTGCACTTGTGATTGGCGGAGAGTTACGAGTCGAGATGCCTCGGAAAGGCTGTCAGCAAGCTGTCCAAGCTCTCACGCAACAAGCCTTGTGCGTGTGGGGAAAACCGAGGTTCCTGGCAATCACCGACGGTATTAGTTTGCTTGCTCAAGAGGAGGCGGCCTTTCTCCAGTATCAATTCTTTCTGGATTGACCCCGTGTGTTCAACGACCCAGTCTAGTATATCGTTGACCGACCGACCTACTTGATTCAGTGCAGAAGCTTGGGGTTGCGTGTTCGTAATCATACCGCTCTATCTGTTGCTATTCAATCAATCAATCCACCCCGACGAGGAACGAAGTATTACTACCTCGTACTACTCCGCCGGCCAGAATCCAGCGTCCACCAGGAAAGGACACGAGGGAACAAAATCCAGATATATACTTTTTCTTCAGAACAAATTCAGTCAAGTATATCAATCAAACCAAGTCCCGACCAAAGAAAAGAACAGAAAGAAAACCATGTATCCCACAACAGCCCAGACCGAGATCCCCCCTCCGCCGCCCAACGAGTCGGTGCTCCTGGCCTACCCGACGCCCAACATCCTGCTGGTGACCATCAACCGCGCGCGGCAGATGAACTCGATCCCCTTCCCCGTGCACTGGCACCTGCACCGCGTGTTCGAGTGGTTTGACCGCGAGCCGACGCTGCGTGTGGCCGTCATCACGGGCGCGGGGCCGAAGGCCTTTTGCGCGGGCCAGGACCTGATCGAGCTCGGCAAGCGCGATCCCAAGGAGCTCGAGGAGAAGCCCTACCTCGCCATGCACCCGACCACGGGCTTCGCGGGCATCAGTCGCCGCCTGGGCAAGAAGCCCATCGTCGCCGCCGTCAACGGCTTCGCCTTGGGCGGTGGGTTTGAGATTGTCTTGAACTGGTGAGTCTTGACTTTTTGTTTTGATCTGGATCTGGATCTGGATAGGGAGGTTCATTCAAGATGCCACAGCTGCAGGCTCAGAAGAAGAACCGTGGCCCTTGACCCTTGACCCATGCTCTATCTCTGCATCTACGTACCCCTCCACCCCAACATCAAGTAATGAACGAGCAACACTAACCACTCCATTTCCTCTCCGGGGCAAAAGCGACATGGTCGTGGCCTCTCCAACAGCGACGTTCGGACTCCCCGAGTCGCTGCGCGGCATCTACGCCGGCGCCGGGGGCCTGCCTCGGCTGGTGCGCAACGCGGGCCTCCCGATCGCGTCGGAGGTGTCGATGACGGGCCGCACGCTGACGGCGGCCGAGGCGCTCAAGTACAACGTGATCAATAAGGTGTCGGCGACGCGCGAGTCGTGCGTGGCCGAGGCCGTGCAGCTGGCCCAGAAGGTCGCCGACATCTCGCCCGACGCCATCATCGTCACCCGCGCCGCCCTGCGCGAGACCTGGGAGAACGGCTCCGTCGAGCGCGGGTACCAGCTCATCGACGAGCGCATGAAGCGCGGCCTCATGGGGGGCGAGAACGCCAAGGAAGGGCTCGCGGCTTTCCGGGAGAAGAGGAAGCCCGTCTGGAAGGCGTCGAAGTTGTGAAAATATGAGATGAGATGAGACGAGAAGAGGCAAGGGGAGACGGACAGAAGGGATCGGTCTTCGGGGAAGAATAGATTCGAGAGGGGAGGAGAAATGGTTGATGTTCAGTGTGTATCAGAATGGGGACGTGCCGTACAGCTCCGCCTCATCTATCTGTCTCGCTCTATATCTCTCCTCCCGATCCAATGCTATGATGCGATATGGGAGAGAGGCACACGAGTTGGTGGAAGTGGTGATGACGACCATAGGAAAAAGTGTATTGGGAAACATCATGGGGCAGGCTGTTATGAATGCGCCCCCCAGCGACCCAACAGCTGTTGTCTGGGCCTTTGCTATATGTGACCGTCATCTCAGTCGTCCTAGTATATGTTGCGGCCGTACTCGATGCTCGTTAAAAGTCATAAGCTCGTCTAGGATCGTGCTGGGTGATAACACATGTGGGCCCAGGTTCGTCCCTCTCGGTGCACGTCAGAAGTTCATGAGACTAACATAAACACCCCACGCCAGACCTGCCAACCCTCCCACAAACATCCTGTGTTCTACGGGCACGACGACGAGATTGAGGAGGGTGACGATGGGCCAGAACTTGTAGCCTGCGATGAGCATGGGGAAAAAGTCCTGGAGCAACAAGAGTTAGCTCCATGCAATGCTCTCTGCGGGAGCATCCCGGCACCCACCTTTTGAATGGTGGTCAGTATGTGGCTCGCACTCTCGCCCCGCAAGAGGTTGATCATGATGATGAACCAGATGGTGTTCAACGACGCCCCGATGGTTTGGTCCAGCACGAACTTGGCGACCGTATTGGTGACGGAGAGTGTCTCCTTTTTGCTCGCCACTGGCGCGTCATCGTCCTTCTTCTTCCTGGCGTCCACGCCCTTGTCGTCGCTACTGGTGGTGCTGGTCGGAAAATTCCTCTCGAGCGCCAGCTGCCATTTGTAATTCGGCGGCGTCGTGACGACCGCGATGATGATAAAATGGACGAGGGCGACCGGGTCGATGAACGGCCCGCCGCCGCGGTAGGCCCTCAGGACTTGGGCGAGGGTGTTGGAGACGGCGCTCATGACGGCGCCCTCGAGCGTGACGCGCAGCAGACGCGAGGAGGACTCGACGGAGGAGGAAGGGGCTTCGGACATGATGACCTCTGGAAGAAGAGGGACGTACGGGAAGTCTGTCGATAAGGAGGATACGGGAGGTAGGTATGCGCTGTTCTGCAGAGGAGGAGGTATGTAGGATCCGATTGGGATTATGTATCAGCAAGGGAATAAATGCGATTTTCGCCTTCCTTGTCTCCTTCTTCGGTGGTCGATTTCTTGGTTGCTTTTGTGTTCTCACTGTGTCACGTCGAGGAAACTGCGAAGTGCGTCAAACCACGAAACCTCGAGGGCAAGAAGATGATGGTGCAACAGCGGGCTGAGGACCTGATCATTATGTGGTCTCATCAACAATAGTAACAACAAGAACAGCATGATCACGAGAGCCACGTGTCAGGTTGCGCAGGTTTTGAGGCTCCTGTGTCCATACATGGTTCCAAACAAAATCCTTGTGTGTGCAAGGATAAGGACAAGAGCAAGAGAAAGGGGAGGGGAGAGGAAGCAATGTCACCTTGCTCGGAATTGGGGCTAAATTCTGGCGGAAAACCCGATACATAAACAAGACACGGACAAGACGAAGAGCAATCAATGCGTTTCAAACCCGCCAGTGTGTGTGTACAGTAAGTGTGTGTGGGTGTATCCCTCTCTCTCTGTGTCTTTGTGCTTCCGGGAAAATAAAGACATAATAATCAGTTTCCCGCCGGTTTTCCGCTGAGGGGCAGCAATGGTTTTATCCGGAATTCCCCGGTCGACTTTTGGCTGTGATTCTCTTCCTCCTCATCAAGAACGACAAGAACAACAACAACGCACTATAGGAGGGAGAGGGGTGAGATGCAAGGCACGAATCTAGGAGCTTCCAGATCCTCCCTCCCACCTCTGGTGGCGTGGTTGTGGTTGAAGCGAATCTTCACACATCCTTTCTCCAAACTGACCGACTGATCCACCATTCTGTGTCGTGTGCCTTGCAGGATGTGACTTCACAGTGACGTCGAAGGCTCCCGGCTGAACTCTCCGTCCCCAGTGCTGAGGTTGAAGGGAAATATAGACCCGTCAAGGGTACGAGCAGAGCTTTTGTCTGCATACTCTGTCTGGCATCGAACTGACGACATACATACACACCAAGATCGACCCTGAAGACAGTACCCTACCACTCACATATTGTTCAGATTGTAACACTCGCTCCCTCTCAAGATGCCTCGAGGCGCCGAATTCGACGACGGAAAACCACAGTCCGACAACCCCGTCGAGGCCGGCCACGACATCATCCATGGCGGCTCAAAGGTAAGAGACGCAGAGCCAGCCAGTACGATGCTTTACTTATCACTGACCTCCCACGTTTGATTGCTTCCAGTCCACAACCGACGCCGAAGTCTCCGGGCCGAAGAAAACCGCACCGCTCCCGGAAGGCATGGACGAGATGAACGACCGCACCCTCAGCGGCGGCGCGGCCCCGGGCCATCAGAGTGGAAAAGGAGGACACGGGCCCCGGACCACAGGCGAGCACAAGGGACTGGGTGCCCACCAGGACCTGGGGGGCACCGCCAACCCGCATCCCAAGGATCTGAAGGATGACCAGCAGCCTGGAGGAAGTTGAAAAGATGGGGAAGACGGGTACATGGACATGGATTGGATCACATGAAATAGGTAATATCCAGTACAATAGGAGTTACCAATAAAAAAAAGGAAAAGAAATAAAAATAGAAAGGACGGCTTTCTTTGTCCTCCTTCTTCAGGTCAAATCAAGCCGAATCGATGACAAAAGACAGGAAAAGTGCCTCACAGTCAATGCCTGCTCTCATATGTATATGTTTGCCCAAGTGGTTTGTTGGTTTACAAGTCTCTATGTGTGACGATGATGATAGTAATCGAACGACCAGACCAAACGTTGTATGTGTGTGTGTGTGTGTGTGTGTGTGTGTGTGTATACAACATGCTTGCTTGCCTGCTTGCTTTCCCTGCTGAAGACCTTCTCTCTCCCTTCCTTCCATGCGTGCTCTCTATCTAACTCGCCACCGGTTCCCTGGACACGACCGGGGACAGACGGTCGTGCCGCCGCCCCTCGTCACCGCCCGCACCCTCTTCGTCCTTGACGGCCTCGGGCGCCGTCCACCCGGTGCCCGCCTGCACGAGTAACATGCACAGCGCCCAGGCCCCGCCGGCCATGTAGATGGTGCGGAGGGCGTGCTCGTAGCCGAGGAGGGCGACCTCGCGGTCGACGCCGGTCAGGCGCTGGACCAGGATGGGCGTGCCGACCAGCTGGCGGATCAGCGCGGCCTTGCGGTCCGTGAGCATGCCGCGCTCGGCGAAGCCGCGCGTCAGCGCCTGCTGCAGGGCGCGCAGGAACAGGCCGCCCGTCACGGACGAGCCGAACGAGCCCGACAGGCTGCGGAACATGGCGTTGAGCGGGATCACGATGATGTGCGTCGCCGGCAGCGTCAGGTGCAGCACGTGCGCCAGCGAGTAGTTCAGCAGCGCGCCCACGAGGAAGCCGTTCAGGAACAGCACCCCCAGGTACAGGTGGATGTTGGACGTCGGGGTCGAGATCCACGACACGGCGAACATGGACAGCGCGAACAGCACGAACGTCACCAGGCACGCCGCGTAGAACGACCCCGTGCGCCGGATGTGCAGCCCTCCGGCCAGCAGCCCGCCCAGCCCGAAGCCCAGGTTCGTCGGGATGAGCGTCAGCCCGGCCTGGGTCTGCGGCCAGCCGCGCAGCGTGAGCACGTAGGTCGGCGTATAGAACAGCACGCCCCAGCGCGCCGACATGATCCCGACCGTGGCCACGCCCGTGAGGATGTTGCCGCGCGATCGCAGCACCGAGACCGGCACGATCGGCTGACTCGCCCAGGTCGCTTCGACGAGGAGGAAGAGAATGAACGACGCGAGCGAGAGCACGATCGGCGTGATTTTGATCCGAGGCGACGAGAGGCTGTAGAGGAGCAGCACGACGGCGGCGATGATGGACAGCACGCCCAGGTAGTCGATCTGCGAGAGTTTCTTAGCTAGCGACTCCTCCACCTCCTCCTCCGACGTAGTCTTCTTCGGTTTGGGGATAGCGAAAAAGGCCACCGTCACCGCGCATAGGGCGAAGGGGATCTGGAGCCAGAAGACGGCGCGCCAGCCGACCAGCGGCTCCAGGGCGCCGGCGATGATGGCGCCACAGGCCACACCCGTGGTGTACCCGGTGTTGATGCAGCCAAAGAACAGGCCACGGCGGCGCGGGCTCGTCAGCTCCGTGACCAGGATGAAGGCGACGGGCGTGACCGAGGCGCTCCCCACGCCCGTCACGGCGCGGCCGACGAGGAACACGGCCAGCGACCGGGCCCGCGACGTGATGAACAGCCCGGCCGCCTCCACGACCACCGAGGCGAGGAGGTACACCCGCGGGCTGAAGATGGTGCACAGACGGCCGGCCACCGGGGTGATGCTGGTGATGGCGATGAGGTAGGCCGACGTGAACCAGCTGACTTCGCTGGACACGCCGAGATCCGTGGCGATGGGCGATTGGATGGTGGTGATGAGCGAGACGTTGTTGGTCAGGATGAAGATCAGCACCCAGACGGAGAGGCAGATGAGGAAGCCACGGAGAACAGAGAGGTCCCCCTGGTTGTCTAGCTTGGGCGAAATGGACAGAGAACTTCCTGGATGCTGCTGCTGCTCTTCTTCTAAAGAAGTGGTGGCAGTGGTGTTATGATGGGGGGACGAGGACAAGAGAGGCGTCCTCTCCGAGCCGACATTGTCGCCCGACATTTCTTTCCTCGAGCTCAAGGAGACGTCAATTCCCCAGCATGGCCATCAATGTGAGAAGAAGAGAGAGAGATAAAAGGGGTTTATTGATTTATTTTGGAACGAAAAGTGTGAAGTGTGGTTGGTGTATTGAACAATCTCCCTATCGAGCCATATGTAATGTACAGCCTACGTGGGTATGTACAAGCCAATGGTACAATATCTTATGATACGATCGTCGCACCGCTGACAAAAGGGCGTCGCTCCACGAGGCCCGACGAGCCACTGGCTATTATCGGGCGGGTCGTCGACGAGGGCAACTCGAGCGAAGGAAGAATAATATTGTGTCCAGCCGTCAGCGGGATGGTGTCGTTCCGGGGATTGTCCTCCAATGATATCTAAACAGCAAGTGAAGCAAGTGTACGAGGTATGTACTAATAGTAATAGTGAATTCACACTGAACACTGACTTGGACTTGGGCAGCTTGTCACATAATTATTGTTCCGATAAATTGTTTGGAGTGAATGATTGCCCCGTTTCATTTCATGATTTCTGGTTTACAAACATCCAACAAATGAGTGACTGACGGGGAGAGGAGGAGGAGGATGAGGAGGGAGGCTCCTATTGCTTTGCGATGCCTTTTTCTCTCTCTCCCCCCTGTCATTGTTACTTCTCCGATATATATGGTAGTTGTGCTGCTCCAAAGAGCTTGTTACTCGAGACACTCGGCCTTTCTGGCCTCAAAAACCTTCAGGGCTTCCTCTGCCGCCTTGACGCCGCTCAACACCATGGCCCCAAAGGTAGGTCCCATGCGATTGGCCCCATCCAGTTCGCTCAACTCCATGCCGCCCATGATCAGGCCCGGCGACACCTCGCGGGTGCCCTTGACAATGGCATCCTCGGCACGGTTCATGTCGAGGGCACGCATGCCACCCAGCTTCTCAATGGCGTTCATGCTCACCAGGCGTTTGGCACAGAAGGCGCCAAAGGGTCCGTCGTGGCCGGTGGTGCTGATGACCAGTGGTGCGTTGATGGTGCTGGATTCAGGATCAGCGCCGCTGCTCATAACACGATTACTGGAGAGAGAAAGTCATGTGAAAACTCACTTGGGATCCATGCAGCTGTGGTTGTCATGGTGCAGGGTGACCAAAGTCCAGTTGGTGACCACGCCCACCACTCTGACACCCCCATCGGCCGACGGGCGGGTGACCAAGTCTTCCACACAAGTCGCGTTGAACAGCTTGACGTTGGGCATGGCCAAGACCTTGCTCATCAGCGTGGACATGAAGAGTGCGGCGTGCTTGACCACCACATAGTTGCCTTCGTCGTCGTACGGCACCCCGATGTCGTTCAAGAACGCCTCGGCGGGCTTGCGCAGGACCATGGCCGAAAAGAGCTGACCACCCAGCCAGCACCCACCGCCCGGGCTGACCGAGGCTTCAATGATGGCGATCTTGAGGTCGGGCCGCGCCTTGGCGAGGGTGTAAGCGGTGGAGAGCCCACAGGAACCCGCGCCGACAATGACCACGTCCGACTCGGCATAGCGGTCCAGGTCGGCGAAGTAGCGCCTGGTCATGGCCCGGGAGACCTGGGACTCGCGGATGGGGGCAAACTTGAACCCATCCCACTTGTCGCCGAACTGTTCCAGCAATTTGTTCTGTTCGCTAGGCGCCGTCAAGGACACCTTTCCCACGGGACCCTGCTTCAGCTCTTTGGTGGCAGTGTAGCCATCAAACTCGTTGAAGGTGGCAATTGGCGGAGACATCGTGCAATAGGGCTTCCTGCATCGTGTTAGGCGAAAAGGCTCTGGACACCCGTCAAGGGGGGGAAAAAGAGGGAGAGATCGCATAATCCTTTCGCTGGTATTATCCAGATCAAGTTAAAACCGTATGATCTCAGAACGTGAACATTTTCCAAGATCCAGCAAAAGTTGGAAGAGAAGTATCAAAAAAAAACTGCCATCTCCAAGGAGAAATAGGTATTCCATTCAAATCTGAGGGACCCTTTTTTTTTTGGTTGGATGGCAGTTTCATTTCACACACACTCTCTCCCAAAACTTGCTGGCTCAAGGAAAAAAGTTCGCGAACACCGGTTCATGCGCAGACATCCTCATGTCTGTCTGTGATTTTAATTGTACCTTGACCATGATAGCTCTTGACCGAGCAGCGAGACGATAGCATGCCAATCTCCATCTTTCTCCCTCAAGTGAGATTTACTTGGAGAAGCGTTGATGGTTTGGATATTTGACCTGGGAGTGTCAGCATGAGTCCAGAGGGTCCACAAAAGGGGAGTAGGGTCCGGAGGGGGGAAGGGGGGCGAAATACTTGGAAGGTGGTGATAGATCGATCTATCCGTTGCCAAGTAAGCAGACGGCAGGAGAGCAACAGGTGGAAGCACCAGTGTAGAGAGAGAAAGATAATAATGGAAAGATGCTGGAAAAGAATGGCCATCAACTCCATGGATGTGGTTTGTTATATATGCCATCAGCAGAGCAGAGAGGGGCAGCCGAGGGGCAAGTGGACCTTGAGCTCTGCTTGACCCGTTATCGGAACAAGGAGCCATGACAATTGGCTGTCTGAGGACTCCAAGCACTCACCAAGGGGGCCCATCGACCTGGTTCATTTTCGTCCTCCAATGCCTGGCTCACTAAGGGCAGGATGGGCAGGAGATCCTCCCAGGGAGGGTGGGACACTCGGATACCCAGGCTGGGAAAGAGGTGGGATTGACGGGATCGCGTAATGACAACAAACGGGGATGATTCGCTGGGGCGTTCAGGAATACTCAGGAATACTTCGAGCATGTGTAGCTGTTGAGGTTGATTCAGTCTAGACTCGATCCATAAATTAGGTTCCCATCCCGCGGCTCGCTGAGCCAGCGAGAGAGGTTCCTTGTGCCCCAATCATATATCTCCGGACAGCATCAACCACCGGATCCCATTCCATGATGCTTGTCATACAGTGTCGTATCACTCCCTGGCTGGCCCATACTTCCTCTTCGCAGCGGGCAGCCGCTCCACAACCCGGGGGACCATGTACTCCTTGTCCCACGTCTCGGTGACGCTCGGATGCTGCATGCACAGCTTCGCCCATTTTGCGAAGCGCGGCATCTTGCCCGTGGTGGGGTCGGTGTTCAGAATTTCCTCGGCGAGACGCGCGGGAAATATAACGTCGTTGGAGAAGTCGATCAGGCGGAGGACAAAAGGGATGCTCATGGCCTAGAGGGTCAGTGTTAGGCCCATGATACCTACCGTCCTGCGAATGCGAGATTGAGACTTGAGATAGAATGGCACACGCACCTCGACGACCGTCAGCTTTTCGCTTCCGCCAAAATAGGGACCCTTCCCGTTTCCATTGACCTCGAAAAGCAATGGCTCGATCTCTTTCTCCAGAAGGCGCCAGATCTCGGACACGATCCGATCCTGAGGCTCTCCGTTATCCGCGCCCACTAACTTGAACATGAGAGGGTTGATCTTGGTGAAGTAGGTGTCAACGAAGAAGGACATTCTGTAGCGGAGGTATGCTGCATCGACTCTGCCGGGGGAGGCAAATTGGGTTGAAGAGCCTGAAGGCAAAGCGGGAAGCGTGGGCAGAAGATGGGAAGGGTAGATGTCCGTGAAGAAGGCGACGATTTGGGCGGATTCGGTGAGTGTGAGTGTATGGGCCGAGGGGTAAGGTGTATACTGGAGAACGGGGACAAGGCCACGCTAGCGAACAGTCTGTTAGCATCCTTCACAGGCACTCGAATGCGATGCTGATGGCCAGTCTCCAAACATAGACAGCTGGAGTAAAGCATGCCGCGTATGGCATCACGCACAGTAAGGGGACAACACTGCAGAACTAAGACAGGGCAAAAGTCCTCGAGACACTTCTCGATCAAGGGTAGAGACCTCAGCAACAAAGGACTGTGGCATGCTGGGCAATGGAAGGAGTGGTACGAACACCACTGGTACCAGGGACAATAGCATAGACGCGGAGGAACAAGTATTGACATGCAGCAGAAGTTCTTCCGACAGGAGCAGAAGGCACAGGCCACATATAACAAGTATCAGGCCTCTTCATTTGAGGGCTTGATCCACTGAACGCAAGGAATAGATGCCAACGACTCACCGGGTTGAGCTTCAGGAACCATTCTGGCCGCGGTTCATCCATGTTGATAAGCACCTCCTCATATTGCAGTCCAAGTTCTTTGAGGACAATGTGGACACGGTGGGACCAGCCGCATCCATGGTTCGTGAAGAACTTGATCCTAGCTTGACCATGACCAGCACCTGTGTCGGTGGCGGCGGCGGTAGAGGGCGCTGGAGAGGTAGATGTAGACGCCATCCTTGATGTTGGATGGGAGAAGTCACAGAGCAATAAACACCTTTGAAGTAGCTGGACGAGGGGCCAGTGACGGATGGATGGATAGATGGATGGATGGACGAGCACTCCAAGGCCAACGAGTCGTGTAGTGCAAGCATACAAAAACAAACGAAAGAACGAGAGTAAGATTGGGGGGAGAGGGCCAGTACTTGTACCTACTCTAGGCTGCAATAACGGACGAACTTCGACCGAATGCTGCATATGCCGCCGTCGACATTGAAAGATATATCATGTCGAATTCTGGCAATTTTGGTGTTCGACGCCGCAATAACGGGGCTGTTCGACGAGCTCGCGTGTGATGGAAGCATTGTCTTTGGCGAGGCTGTGAGTTCCCCTGGAAGTTGTCAGTCTGGTGGCCGAATATCTCAGCACGGCTTCTTCGTGCGCCTCAATTGGCAATTCGGAGCTCTGGTCCGGTATCGGAGAAATGTTATCCCGGTCCCAGCGCGACGAGGACTCGTCTTGGGATCACTATTAATATGTGGATAGACAATCAATTTTTTGTACATCCTCACTCACTCAAAGCAGAGCGGTCTCACACAAATGAGTACATGCCCCATGAGGACATGAGTTTACTTGAGAATCGCTCTGCCACAGGGGGAATTTCCCCAATCCGCAACTGGAGCCATACGCATATTCCATACATCAATTTGATAATCCAGCCGGCCACCAGCTGAGTCTTGTCTTGTAACTTCATACCATGGACACCTGTAGAACCTTTCAGCATCGCTAGATCAACATCCCATCCAAGGAATGGACAAAGAAAGCAGCACGACAGCTCAGTACAGTCGGCCAGTCAATCCTAGGGCATCACTTCCATCTCCAGACTGCAAAGGGCGGTAGCTTCATGGTCGTCGAGGTCGACACTCCAAGAAGGGTGAATCGAGGGGTCAGGCACGCCAGAAGACATGCGTTTGTGATGCATCCATACGTGAGCATCCGAGCCGTCGTGTTGGGAAAGAACGAGGCCAGAAAATGGCCTGACAGGACGATAGCGGCGCATTTCCACACCGATGAACTTTCCCCAGACAGACCCACGATCGACGGCGAAGGCTTCTGAGGTGCAAAGGTGAGAGAGGGACTCTGCACTTTGGGAGTGGCTGCCGACTCGAGGTTGTTGTGCTCGCTCGGATCTTGTTCTTCGGCCAATGAGCCTGACTGGTGTCCTCGTGACGGCCGCTTGCATTCCTCCAGCTCACTCCGGAACGCCTGTACCTGGGTCTGTAGTTGCCTCATCTCCTCCATTGCATAGTTGAATCGTTTCTGCCATACCATGTCTTGATTCTGCAGATATGCGGGCGGTGGCGTGACGGGGGTCCGTGAGAAATCAAGTCCACTAAGGCGCTTGCGAGCGACGATGGAAGAGTTCTGGGCGCTCACGTTGCTTCTGGCCGAGGGCACCGTCGGGTAATTCACCTTGGAAAAGGTATAGTCGGACACCATTGGCGAGCCCCAGGACGCTGTGGACGACGAGACGCCCGAGAAGCCCTCGTCTTCGAAGCGCCAGGGGATGTTTTCGAATGTGGTCTTCAGGGACGAGATGAGTAGCTCGTCTTTCATGATGGCAGGGCCGGTGTCTAGGCGCAGTCTCGTCGCTCCGGTGCTGTACTGCGGCTGGCAAAGAGCGGTCGGGGTTCCGTTTGAGGCATGCTGCAGTTGCCCGAGCGCCTCCTTGATCGCTGGTAGGACGTGAGACAGACCCCAGTCGCTAATGGCCTGCATCCAGATCAGGAACTTGTTGAAATGTACGTCCTTGCTGAGGTCGAACTGGCAGAGCGGCGCCATGCAGTAAGCCTGCCCCTGTTCCAGATCAATCCAATGCAAATTCAGCAAGGCAAAGCTGTTGTCGATGGTGCATGAGAAAGAGACCGGTAGTTCGGTAGTGTCCGGCGGGGTCGACCTGTCGGTCAGATCTTTGCGTGCCCGTGTGTATAGCATCTGTAGCGCCCGCGTGTTGTAGGCGCCGGCAATTGCGCACTGATTGTTTGCCGCCTCCACGCGCTGCTGCTTGTTCCCATACGCCCGCTCAAAGGTCAGAAAGGGACAGTACAGTGACGCCCCAGGGGCAATATACCCCGTCTCAAAATGTACGATTGTCCCCGTGGCTTGAAGCCACTGCGGCATGACGGCCAACTCTTTGTCTGTGAAGGCTGCGGCGGAAAACCCGCATCCCAGACCGGGACGAGGAACGGACAGCTCGTAGAAAGGCGCCGCGTGATTCATGGTTCGCTCCGGCAGGGCTTCGCGACTGCCAAAGAATGGCACCATGCACCGTGAGTGAAATTCATTCGCCAACGGCGGAAGGAGGTTTGGTGGGAATATCGGCGAAGGACCGAATCCGCGACCCGCTGTCACCTGCTCCCAAAAGCAGGCCTTTTGATTGTCAAAGCGGGACGAATCTTGGCTCGCAGCTTCCACGATCTTCAAGAAAGCGGCCGGTATGCGGTCTTTCGGCGGGCTGTCGAGGACGAGGATCTGGTGTGGCGCCAGGACTTCTTGTCGGAAAGTCCGCCACGGCAGATGGCTACCGTCATAGGACGCTGGTGGCAGGCCACCCGAGGAGGGCGACGAATTTGACGAGCCACTTGTCGAAGACATATTTTTCCTTTCAGAAAGGGTCACTGTCTCAGTCGAGGCTTCTGAGATGCAGAGAGGCTTTCATGAAGTCCAACAGCTCCCGATTCCTCTAATTCGAAAGAGGCGTGGCCCAACGCTATTGACCTTGATGCATGGAGGTAGGGTAGCAACGACAATTGTATTAATTGTACATGGATTAATGCGGGATGAACAACGGATGGCAAGTGTGAGAGAGGAAACAGTCCTAACGAAAAAAATCAAGAAGGCCGGCGACCTGAAGCCTGACCTTGTAGCCAGGTGGGAGGCAAAGGTTATAACAAGAACAGAACGAGAAGTACTGCGTTACACGAGGCGAAGACCTTACCTATCTCCCTCTCTCCCTGCCATCGACGTGACTCCGCCATTGGCCGGGAAAGGCGGGTAGAAAGCAGGCCACGGACTCCCATTCGCTTCATATCCTGCCCGTGCTCGATGCAGTTTAGCAGACAGAAATGCAGGTCCGCGCCACAGCTCAAGGGCGGCTCGGACAGACACGACACACGACCATTTAATCTTCGGCGGAAGGTTATCACAGTGTGCCCTGCAAGCTGCAGCCAGTGTCGAGCCTGGGGAAGGGGTGCGGTGTTTCAGGTACCCAAAAGAGGAATGGACCCGGGGAGAGAGATCTGGTCTTCCCTCTGCCCTCTGGGAGTTGGAACAAGGTCTGGAGTATGGTCACACGTAAAGTCCGTTTACTAATGGAGGGTCGAGCGCTTCGAGGCAGGAGACGAAGATATCGCGGGAAAAGGTGGGGCCAGAGGAGAAATACTCATTGGTCAGCACAAGACACGCCTTCCCCTATTCTCGCTAGCCCATCGTCCACAGCGGTAAGGAAGCCAATAACCAACGGCGAAACGACCCACTCCTATGCATATTACCCCGTGGCCAGCTATCTTGAGATCTCTCCTCTCTTGGTCTTCACACCACGTTCTCGACTAGAAAAGAATTCCCCTGGCCTCTTACTGTCTCGGATGATGTGACACAATACTATGTGATAATTGTAAGTGGACAATCTGCTTGTAGGGCTAGCGAGGTGTTTCGGAATACGTCTATCACATGTCTTACTCAAGGAAAGACAAGACAAGAACCCGAATCCTTTTCGAATGTTTATCATTAGGGGGTCGTTCCTCATTATATAGTAACATGTTGATGCGCTTCGCTTTTTTCTTGTGCATGCCAAATTAGATCCCCAGCCGGTTCCGAAACCTATGCCTGCGCGCGTAACCACTTCGGACTGATATCTGCAAGGACGCTCTTGATCACCCCCAGCTTACTCCTCGCAGGGCTCACATTGCCTGAAGGATTCGTAAATGTGTCCATTGTATCGTGTGGGAAGCTGTCCGACACATACTCTCTGCCAGAGTCCAGAAGGACCAGGGCATCGAGGGTCTGTAGAAGCGTGAGAATCTGCGGCAGGTGACAATTCTCCGCCCACACAAAGATGCTGCCTAGCCGCGACAGCAGGTATTCCACATCTCGCTCGTTACAAAGATCGTAAGTTCGAATCGCGGCCGCCGTGTGGGACAGTCCGCCTTCGGAGCTGTGGAGGTTCAGCGTCGCCAGCTTGCCGCCTTCACCCGAGTTGTTGTGGATCGAGAGGGAAAACGAGCAGACTGCTCTTCTTGATTGCCAAAACAAGTTCCTTCCCCGGCTTTGGATGAGGGGCTCGTCTGCGGCTTCCGCAAGCAGTGCGAGCCCGTTGTTACAGGTTGACCCTGAACCTGCAGCGGCGTTCTGCGCGGCATCTAATGAGTCGTGTTGTATCTCAACGTTGAAAAATGGCCAGCACAGTACGTTGCTCCCGCGGACGGGCTGAGAGATGTTGGCCAGATTGCACGGTTCACCTTGGGCGTCCGAGATGATACCGTCCTGCAACTCGAGTTCATGTGAGGTGAAGTTCTTGGAGCTGAAACCAACAGTGATGTTTGGCTTGGGGATGGGCAGCGGCATGCTCCATGGAGCTGTTTGACTGTTCGAGATGCGCCCGACTGGGCTTCCTTTGGGCACGGCGTCAGGGTGGAAAGTGGCGTCCGTCTCGAGGTGTAACTTCTTCGACGATTTCATGGCGGTTTGGATGAGAGGGAGCAATGAGTCTGCCAAATGTTTATTGCTCATCCGCGGCTTCTTTTGCATCTTCTGGACGAACTTCCGGGCTTCTGGATGGGGTCGGTAAATGTCGCTGAAGGGCATGCCCATGCTGAATGCATGTCTGCTCCAACGTTCATCGCAAAGTTGGCCCTCCTCCACCGTAATGCGGTTAGGGACCAATGTGTGTTGTCGATAGTACAGGGAGGCAAAAGGGTGGACATGCTCAGGACTTGTGATGTCTTTGATCGGCAAGTACGGAGTACTGATGGAGGATGGAGTGCTCGCTTGACTGGCCATTGTGGTCGCTTCGGTAGACGTGGAAGTAGAATCCGTTGTGCAATTTCGAATGCAGATGATTGTTTCGTGTTGATTCTGATGGACCACAAATTCTGGAGGCTGAGAACCACTCTTTATATCTTGACCTTCGACTCTTGTTTTGAATGCTGTCGTACCGCGTGCAGGCATTGGACCATGGACTATTGACTTCTCCTCCCATAAACAAGGCGCATCTAGTGATGCTATTCATGGCCTCCTCAATATCTGGGTTGATTGCAATGATTGGCTCACTGTGGAGTCTACGGCTGCAAGGAGGCAGATCCGCATCTCTTGGAAACGCCTCAAGCTCGCTATTCTCATAACAGTCCGCGGCCCATCTGGGCGCTTAAGACACGATGCGCTTGAACGTGGAAATATTGTCCAAGATGGACCAATCATATGTGCGGATTTGGCCGGTATTTATGGAGCAGCTTGAGCTTGGTAGCGCCCCCAGCTCAAGAATAGCACACGCTACTGCGTGCGGTCGAGGGCAGCTGGATGGACCTAGTATTATGTTGCCCGAGTGTTCTAGGATTAGACGGTCCCTGAAGTCGCTGGTATGCCAAACCCGACATGCTCAGCGCCTGCCGGACGTGAACAGTCGGATGGCGAGACAAGACAGGCCACCAGAGCTGAGGCTCCGCTCAGGATCACACAACAGAACGTTGTACATGAGCGCTTGCAATACGCAGAGTAGAGATTTGGGAGCGAAGGCAACTCGACGCATTGTCTGACCATTCTGTCCCCGTGTATAAGACATGACATGATTTCTACCGTCCTCACTCTTAAGGCTGCTCAACTTCTCATCAGTCAACTAGCGCACTGACTTGAGCAAGAAATCCGTGACGCGTGCGTTTTCGGCATGGGAAGTGCTCTCTGCCACAGTCTTCCAGGCTTCATGCTCCTTCATGATACTTTCCAATTCATGTTTGACAATGGCCCACGAATCGGCGCCCAGGGCGAGTCTCAGAGGCGGAGTGGTCTTATTTCTGTTGGATGCAAGCTCGTGCAAGACTTGAGCACAGACTGATGCATCACACCACTGCACAGCGTTTTCTGGGCTGGTGAGGTAGGCTCTGAGCGCATTATATCCGCAAGCTGGGTCTTCATAAGCCGGATGTCGTGGAGGCAGAACCATATTTTGCGGGAACTTGGTTTCGACAGCTCCTAGTTCGATGATAGTGAACTTGATGTTCCAGTCCGGGTGCATCTCCTTCGCCACGGAATCTGTGAATCCCTCCAGGGCGAACTTGCTGGCATGGTAATAAGCCGAACCGGCAAGGCAAATTCTGCCACCCACAGACGAGATCTGCATGAACAGGCCACCCTTTCCGGGAGGGTTGACTTCTCGTAGGATGGGGAGAGCGGCTTTGGTGACATTGACGGCACCCCAGAAGTTGGTCTCGAGCTGGGCGCGCGCATCGGCGTCGGGGAGAACTTCAGTGTCGCCAATCACGCCGTAGCCTGCATTATTGACTACCACATCCAGGTGGCCGAACTTGTCAACCGTCGCCTGAATCACCTCTGCGACTTCATCTTTCGAAGTAACATCCAGACGAAGCTTGAGGACGTTCGGACTGTCAGGAAGGTATGAGAGTGTGTCGGGCTTCCGAGCCGTAGCCACAACGGCAGACCCTGCTTTGTAGGCGTACTCCGCAAGAGCTTTGCCCAGTCCAGAAGAGCAACCGGTAACTGGAACTTTTTAGTTTCTTCACACGGAGAGAATGACATGCCTACTCAACCAGACATCATGCTCTGCCATGGCGGCTGCTTCTCACGGTGTTAAAGAACAGGAAGACCTGAAAGCACAGCAGGATCTGCCGCTCATTTCTCGCGCCATAGGCCTTTTGTCCCTCCTTCCCAGTTCAGCGCGAACATGTTCTCGAACGGCTCCACCATTTAGGGTGGCACAGGATTGGGGTCATGGCCAATAACAAATGCAGATCGATGAGGCTAAGCTGTAGCGAGGGCAGACAGACCAGTCATTGTCGAGAGGCGGGCAATGTGACGTGGCAGGTGCAAGAGAAGATGTTGCAACTGGAGCTCGATGGGGCTGCATAATTCCCCAAAGGACATCCCGTCATTTGCGTATGGATAACGGCGACGTGGAAGATCGAGTTACAAGCACTGCAGGAGGCGTGGTCTGGCCCATCTCAGTCCTCGTCAGAGTCGTAGTCGCCTAAACCGAGAGTGGGCGGCTTTGCAGGAACCGGTGCGGGCGATGGCTTCGAGGTTGTTGTAGACTCGACCTTGCGCACCAATCCAGGCACTAGAGGTTTCTTTATCTTTTTAACCCTCTCGAACGACGGCGGGGGCTGCGGAAGCCGATCTGGTTCCTCCGGCTCGCCGTGCGCAACATGACTACTTTTCCCGGTTGCATGTCCTTGTTGCTCGAGTGTCGCCCTTTCGACGTTAGCAGCTTCAAACGCCTTGCGGGCAGCCTCGGCGTCCTCCCGTTCTTGTCGTTCTCTCTCTTCTCTTTGTAGATCTCTGACTTGACTGAGAGCTTCGTCCTCCTTGCCACCCTTCTCCCCGCGCTCTATTCGTGCATTCCGCTGCATAATCTCGTCGAGGGCGTCTGCGACTTGTATCTCTCGTTTGCTCTCCTCCATCTTCTGTTCCAGCTCCTCCATTGCATTGCGTTCTGCATTTTCTTCCTCCTCGGCTTCCTCTCTCTCCAGCCTATCCAAGCGCTCCTCGTCGGTCTCTTTCAGCTCTGGATTTTCGGGGTTTCGCCATGATTCAAAGTTTCGTTTGGCGCCACGTTCGCAGGTGTAGTCCATGTTCTTCGGGTCGGTCTTGAAAGTGATCTCGGAAGAACATCGCGTGCAGCGGATGTAAAAGCGGTAGATAGAGATGGTCAAATATTTCTCGTCTGTGGTCTCTTTCCTGGCGTTGAATTTGCGCCCCTTGTAGATGTATTCACCGCAGGATGTGCATTTCATGCTGAACGGAGCCATGAGGCGAACGGGGATGGTCTTGGGCCCTGTCGGTCGCAAGTGTTTGGGAGTCCGGGCGATTTTGGAGGGATCAAACTCCGGTGGGTAGTATTTGGTAAGAACCTTTCGTTCAGACATGTTGGCAGCTTGCTGGACACGACGTAGGGTATCTGGACGGTGAACGTAGGTAGAAGGATGGATTAATCAGATACCGCAGGCAAAAATCCCCGCTGAGGCGGCGCACCACGAAACTGTCCCATCAGCCAATCGGAGTTCGAGTTGTCCAGCGCGTCTCCCTATCCCCACGATCTTGCAACTCGCCCTTGAATGCATGCAATTGTTTTGTGCTGCAGTTACGCCTGCGGAGATGCAATGAGGCGAAGCTGAAGGGCGAAATGGGTTTCTGGAAAGAACAGCCTCTGGAAACTGCCCTTGCTGCATGAATCTTCTTGCGTTCTTACCTCCTCACATCTCCAGTCCTTTGCCGGCATTGCTACTGATGCATTTCCACACATCCTTCACGACGACTTATTCACCACAACAATGGAGAAATACCTCCGAACGTGGCGGCAGGACGCTCTCAACAAGGGTCAGCACGATGCAGCCATCTATATTGGGGACAAGGTTCTAGCCCTGACCAGTATGTGACAATCGTCTACTCCGTCGAGGAACAGGGCTAATCAATCCAGACAATGACGCCGACGCCTTCTGGCTTGCTCAAGTCCATTTTGGCCACAACAACTTTACCCGTGCTTTGGCTCTGCTGCTTCGAAAAGACCTGATCAATCGAAGCCTCTCCTGTCGTTATCTGGCTGCCCACTGCTACGTCAAACAAGGCAGATACGACCAAGCCCTCGCCATCCTCGGCGAAGAAAACCCCACGCACTTGATCACCACTTCCCACAATGCCAGAAGGAAGTTGGCACACATCAATGGTCAGTCCCAGAGGAATGTCACACAAAGAGGAGCCAAAGCCCAGCGAGACAGGATCGAGTTCAGCGAAGAAAGAGAGCGGGACAGAGAATCAGAAAAAGAACTGAAATTCCAGGCCGGTATGTGCTATCTACGCGGCTTGTGCTTCGCAAAACGCAACGCCTTTGACCGGGCACGAGACTGCTACAAGGATGCTGTTCGAATCGACGTACAGTGCTTCGAAGCCTTTGACCAACTGATGAAGCATTCCCTCATGACACCCGCCGAGGAATTGGCCTTTCTCGAAGAATTGGATTTCGACTCAATACGCATCGAAGACCAGTCCCTGGCACAGGAAGCTGCTCACTTCACGAAGCTCTTGTATACAACTCGCCTGTCCAAATATTCGGCTCCCGAAACCCTCGCAAATGCCACTGAAACCCTTTCCACCCACTACAACCTGGCCTCCAATCCAGACTTGCTTCTGACTCGAGCAGAGACGCTCTATACCCAATGTCGTTTCCACGACGCCCTTGCCATCACTACGAGCATACTCAACTCGCAAAATAGCCCTGATGACTCGATTGATGCCTCGTCAAGCAACAGCAATGCTTCGCTTGGCCATAGCCCGCGCCTGTATCCCTTACATCTCGCTGTCCTATACGAGACGGGATCTCACAACACCCTCTTCCATCTTTCCCACACCCTGGCGGCCCATGCTCCGCACGAAGCATACACCTACCTCGCCATCGGCACCTACTATCTATCGACATACCGTATTCCGGAAGCCCGTCGATTCTTTTCGAAGGCCTCGTTGATGGATCCACATTCTGCCGCAGCGTGGATTGGATTTGCCCATACCTTTGCCGCGGAGGGGGAGCACGATCAAGCCATTGCTGCATATTCGACGGCAGCAAGATTGTTTCAGGGGAGTCACTTGCCCCAGCTATTCCTCGGCATGCAGCACCTAGCTCTAAACAATATGCAGCTTGCTTGGGAATACTGCCTGGCGGCATTCCAAATGAGCAGTGGCACCCCAAACTCAGGCTCGGAGGAGGATTTGGCCAACCGGATATTCAATAATACCGCTGACCTGGGTGGCGATCCGCTGGTGCTCAACGAGATTGGCGTCATATTGTACCATCAGTCAAATCTGCCAGCCGCTGCAAAGCTCTTTCACAAATCCCTCCAACTGGCCTCAGGTTTGGGATGCAACATGACCGCATGGGTGGCTACAAGGGCCAATCTAGCACATTCCTTGAGACGAATGGGGAGGTTTGAGGAGGCACTCGACGAATTTGATGAATGCTTACGAACAGCCACTGGGGGAGCAGCTCCCGCTTCAGCCTACGAGCCAGGACGTGGAATGACAGCCTTTGCCCATCTCAGCCTCGCCGGCACCACTACAGGCCTCAGTCCGAGCGGTGCTGCCAGTGGCTACGACGAGCGTAACCTCATTGGAAGTATCCACACCAGTCGCGGCTTGGTTCTTCTCAGCATGGTTGGGCGCACAAAAGAAGCGGTAATGGCTCTCCATGAGGCTGTACGAGTCCTAGGCGGCGATGCTGGCGGCGGTGGTGTCGCTGGAACGTTGCTGAGTCGAGCATTGGAGTTCTGGGCCCTCGAAGAGGACCAAGCTCTCGACGACCTCGAAACCAGAACACAGCAAGAAGCGTCAGCTCCTGCATCCAAAATCGGCACGAGGTCAAAGCGGAGACTTAAGGAGGCTCCGACTTCAGCTACCTCAACAGAGCAGATGAGTAACGAACAGAAAATTGAGCAACAGATGGACGGGCATGCAAATGAGATACTGAATGCTGCACTGGGAATAGTACGATGACATGGCTTCAGTTGGCAAGGTGACGAACGGTGGTCTTTGGATTTGTTGGATGTGGCCTGGTGGAAGAACGGCAAGTGGAGTTTCTGCCTCGTCAACAACAGTCCTGTCTACGGTGTGTACTCGAATCCCGGCTGGAATTTTCCAATCGGCGGCAGCGAGCCTATGATCTTTATTGGCAGTCAATCCTTTTTCATTCTCTGTACAGAATTGAGCGCTTTTTGGACGAAGGCTATGGTTGCCTGCAATTGCATTGATATCTACTGGGCCAGGCATATGAACTTTACGAATGGGCACCATGGATTGGCCAACTTCACGCTTGCTGTGAGACCTGTATCATTCGGAGGAATTGTTGGCGTGGAACAAGCTGGCCGTCAGCCCCAGCACATGATCATTTAAGACGTTGTGATTACGAGAAGTGATCAGTCTGCATTCGCTTCTTTCAAGCATAGCAAACAGTGATGAACAAAATTTGCTGTCAAGTTTGAAGAACGAACTCTCTGAATTTGTTTTGCTACAAGTAAGAAAAATATACACAGGCTCGAAGACTTGCTAATCAAAGAAACACATGAAACCACCCAGTGACCAATATTGAACTCTCAGACTCCCTTTGCCTTTTCCCGCCATGACTTCGCCAGCGAGGCTCGTTGATACATGCATCAAGCCGTATCAGAAGAAGAGTTGCATATGACGAGAGAGAAATAAAACAACACGCCCCGGCCGACAACGCCCGCTGGGTGAATGGACTGACGCCGCCCCGATCATATATCGCTTGGATTCGGTTCCTGTGTGCCCTCAAGCTGTTTGTCGTGCTGTGAAGCGCCATACCTTAACGAATCAACTGATTCAGAAGAAGGATCGACAACCGCCGCCCTCCTTGCCAAACCCCTCAATACATTCGAAAACTTCCCTGCGCCCGCGCTGACAAAAACCATGCCCAATTCCTTTTTTGATGTCACATTCCCTTTCTCGATCACTGTTCTTGTCTCGCATTTAGAGCCAAGGCATCCACAGCCCATCCATCCCACTGAGTCTCGTGGGATCGGTCGCCTTGCTAACCAGGTCCACCACATTCTGGCACGCAGGGAGTACGCCGGTGACGCCCGTGGGAATGGCGTTCGCCGCTGCCGCGGCGGCAGCGGCACTGCCTGCACTTCCCTCTCCTCCAGAACCGGTGCCATTGACATTGGAACCTTGTGCTCCCGAAGAAGAGGCCGAAGGTACACCGACGCTACCCTGCGTCTTGGCTAACGTAAGAGCGCGACGGGTGATGAATTCGACGTTCATTGCCACCAGCTCCCTCAGGTGTGATCCTTCCATTTTTTGATCCCCTCCTGGACCACCACTTCCGCTAGATTGAGGCCGTCCAGCAGCCCAATTATACATCTCATCCCTGACGAAGATAGCAAGCTGCTGCTCCATTTGGTATCCATTGTCGGCCTCAGCAAGGCACCGTGCGATCGCCATTAAGCTTGCTGTAAAGATGCCTTCGACACCCAGAGGTCCCATGAGCGTCTGTAAGTTGGGAGTCAACCGGAAGGGCACCTGTTCGGGATTATAGAACAGTGCTCGACTTGAGTTGAGGTTGGGTAAGAGTTCAGTTGCCCAGATATCCCCAGTTGCCCGAGCAATCGAGAATTTCATGGGATACCGTGCAGACATGTGCATTATGTATGTCATGAACGTGGTGGCCGCAAACTGATAACTGAACTGCCGCCGGAAGAGCCAGAAGTCTTCGAAGGAGGGATAGGTCGCTTGGAAATACCTCAATGCGATGGTGTTTGGAACCCACCTTTCCTGAATAGTGGTGAAGATCTCGGTCTTCATGATGGCAACCTGTTCAGGTGTTCTGGGATTCGTCTTCTGCTGCTCGGCAATGGTGCGTGATTTCTCAAGGACGAAAAGGATTGGCTCATCTCGAGACATGGTGTTGGGAGGAAGTTTCCGAACATGGTCTTCATACACGGATTGAAGTGTTACATACGTGGCATCATCTTGTACCAGTCGAATGTGTGGTGCTATCGGCACGAAGATAGGTAAGTGGAAATATAGATTTCGGCGACGAGACTCCTTGCGCTTGGCCAATGTCTGATTAAAGATCCGGAACAGTTGTACAATTCGTTCCTCGCGACGGACTCTGCCACCTGTGGGATGCTGAACGGCAAAGGGATGTAAAGAACCGTCGTGGCCACGAATCGTTAGGCGGCGGTGGCAGATGCTGTTTCCTCTCACGAGCTCGACCGTTGGCATAAAGCGCTCAATGCGGACAAAGTCGGTGTTCGTGTCTATGTGTTGTTGATATTGTCCCGGGATTTCCACTGAGTCATCGAACTTGAGGAATTTGAACTCGCTTAGGTGATGACTGTAGGACTCTAACGGAGCCCACTGCTGCCTATGATCGAGCTTTTGTTCGAACTTGTCCCGCCACCTCCTTAGCTTGTGGATATACTCATACATCGTGGGTTTGGTTTGGACGAAGTCCGCCTCGAACGACTTGCGGATGTGGGCTGGAAGAACAGCCTGCACGAATCGGGCAACGTTGGCTTCCGTCTGAGGAGGTAATTTGGCGCCTTCGGCATAGGTCATAGGCGCCCGGCTGATGTAGTGTAACCCATCATTCAACAGTGCAACAATCAGTCGATGTGCATCCTCGTCAGGCGGACATTTGAAGTGCTTCGACAATTGATCTGTCATCGTTTCCATTGAAAGCGCCAGCAGAGGGAAAGCAGTCTTTAGGCCAGCCATGATCTCATCGGTATAGTCCCACGGCCGTTTGGGCTCCTCGGGTTTCTTGCCAGCTTCAGTGCCGCTCGGCTCGGCGCTGTCTGTATCAGGCTCTTGTTTAGGTTTGGGAGACGAGGACCCATTTGTCTGAGCTTCGCCGTTGGCTGTGCCCGGTCGCGAGCCAGGTTCCTTCTTCTCCTCCTGACTCTTTTGCAGCTTGGCTTTCTGGGACTCGTACTGTTTTTTCTTGCTCAAGAAATCTTCTCTGGTTGCACGTAGGTGATAGAACAACGCTTGTGGGAACGCTTTGGCGATCTTCACCAATACAGATTTGGTAAGCCGCGCCTCTTTGTGCTCAAGGCTGCTGAGTAGTTGAGGTACAAACGTAGTCCAGTACCATACTGGCGTCTCGCCTTTGAAGTCTTCAAAAGCCTTTGCGATGTGACCTTCTTCGTCGTCAAGACTAAGCAACCACAATACTCGACTGAGCATCTTCCTTGACTTGGCACTCTTGTACAGACCTGCTGCTTCGAGATAGCAGCTGACGGCATTACTGGCGGCCTCGATATTCGATGGGTTCTCCTTAAACTTACGATCGGAATACTGGCCCCATTCTGCCCAAGCTTTTGGAAGTCGAAGATCGTAGTAGAGAGCTACACCGAATGCTTCGTTCGCTTCTTCCGCATGCTGAAGCTTGGCCAGGAACATGCCTTTGAGCGTATAGAACTCGGCCTTCTGGTGTGCACCGAAATAGTTAAGATTGGTGTTGTTGATTACGTCGAGACCGTTATTGAGCTCTGCCTTGTTCTGGTAATGGCATTTGGCTTGCTCTCTCAGTTTAAGGAAGGCTTCCTGTATCTCAATGTTGGGCAACGTGTAGATTTTGCCAAGTTGGTTGATGCAGACTTCAGGCATCTGGTGTTTTCTTGCGACGTGAGCAAATTTGTTTATAATCCAAGCTGTTTCGTGATAGCCTCTAAAGGCATATGAATTGTTGCCACCACTGTTACCACCTTGAGGGAGAAGGGGCAAGTAAGTCGAATTCACAAGTTGGAAGACATGTTGACGCCAGGTGACCAGGTCTTGCCACGCGTTGATGTCGTCCCAGATATTTGGTAACCGGTCTCGCCAAGCCTGTAGGAGGCATTTGACTTCTTGTGATTTGGTATCAAGATTCCGCTCGTTGGTGCCCATGAGACTGTCGCAGATAACGCTGGCATCATGGAGCTCGACCAACTGCTGAAAGTTTTGCAGGATTGGGACATGGGCATTTGTTAGACGCTTGGGAAGTTGATGCCATTTGCGCATGGAGAGCTGAATGGCTTCGTCACAGGCATGTTGGAATTCCGCCCGCGACATCTGTTTAGAGCTGTATCGTAGTAGCGCCATGAATGCCTGGAAAAAGGTTCGTCTAGGTGTTGGAGCGTCGGAGACGGACTTGATCATCGCATCCAGCTGATTTCGGTTTTCTTCGCCAGACCAAGCTTCATAGTTCCTCCAGGCTGATTCGAGAAGTAGATCGTTGAAATTCTCGTGCTTTGCAAATTCGCCTAAGATATCCCACTGCTGGAGTTTCTGAGCGCAGATCATCCAGTGATCTTCCCATAAGTAATATTCTCCTTGAGAGAACGGCACAACGCCAGTTCGCGCTTTGACTTGTGCCGACTCCCAAAGCTGTTGTGCTTTATCCCAGATCCCATGCTGCTCGTAAGAGAGAGCAGCGTTCGTTTCCATAAACTTGCACCGTCTTCTCCACGCTCCATAGAACAGATCATCCTCTTGCAGCCCGGCGTAAACTTCCACCAGGGCATCAAGGTTGCTTTCGCGAACCGCAGGAGTGTCAATCAGTGGGTCAATGGTAGATTCTTCGAGCGAGAAAAGAGCAGTGTACCAAGCATCATAAGTTTTGCTCAGAAACTTCATGACGTGTGGAGGCACCTTGAACCGTGGTTTAGCTCGAACCGCTCCCTCAAGTAATGCTTGAACAACATTAGGACGGAGGTTCAGCTGCCTCTGGTGATATTCTCGGGTAAGTAGGGTCACCATCCCTTTCTCGAGGTCAAGGCGCTCATCCCTGTTAAGAGCAGACCAACAGAGAGGGAACAATTTGACCCAGACATTGAATGCAACGTCGTCATCGATATGCTGTAATTGAGTGAGCGGTTCAAGTAGGTCACGAACTTTGACTTCATGGATTTCTTGGTTGAAGCGACGTTGTGCAACAACCAGGGCGTCAAGGCTATCCTCGATAATTATATCGTCTTTTCGTTGTTCGGGATTGACAAGATTGGCATTGAACAACTGGGACATCGGACAAACGCGAACATCTTCTGGATGTAGGCGAGCAGGCATTGACATTTCGACGGAGCCCATGATGAGATGTGAGGCTTGCTTCAACCAGAATGAGTCGGCCAATGTATCCCAATTCTGCAGGGTCAACACGTAGTTGAGTCGATAGCTGGCAGTCTTGGACAGAGCACGGTTGAATATGTTCATGAAGCGGTTTCGCATCTCGACGTCTTTGGCACGAGTTCCAATCAAGAAAGCGTGCTCCAGTCTCACTGTCAGCTCCGTTCGCGTTACCGTCGGGTCTTCGTAGATCTTAATCACGAGCTCAAGGAAGCGTTCGAGGAGATTTTGATTGGGCCACTTTTCGAATATGAGCATCTTGTGCAGTACGGCTGTCTTCTCCTTGAGAGTCGGATATGGTTCGGTCGAATTGAACACCCACTTCTCCACCATGTCCAACACTTTGCTGCACATTTCGACGTTGAAAGATTTCTCGACAAGTGACGCCAAAACACTGAGGAAGGGTCGCCGCTGCTCGTTGAGTTCACCCATGCGCGATGATAGGATATCAATAGATTTCTTGATCAGATCAACGCCTAGCGCAAACTCGTAAGGATCCATCAATGGTTCACCAAGACGCCAACCTGGGGGAGGTGGCCCGGGCGGGTTCACATATGCGTTAATGTGTTCTTTGGCCAGTTTCTGCTGAAACGCTTTCATCGCCCCGTTGATGTGGTCGTCAACGTCGGCCGGTCGTACCAATGAAAGGGTCCATAGGTTATTGATACCAGAGATGTAATTGCCACTGGACAAGGCCTCACCAACCATGATTTTGGAATACCGAGTTGGGAAATCCGAAGGTGGGGTGTCCAAGTCCATTGCGTCTGCATCATCCGTCTTTTGAGTTGGAATGGCCTCGAGCACTCGCCGGACTAACGGAGGAGACTTATCGTGGTCAGTCACTAGGTGCAGACAGTCTTGGATCTCAGGCTCTTCCATTTTGAGGGGCTTCTCTAGCAGCTTCTGGATCTTCTCCATGTGGTCAATAATCCATTCGTTCGGCTTCGTGCTCAACAAGATCCGCATGACTTGCAAGGCGTTAACCATGTTCGTCAGCTGTTTCTCGTCGAGCTTCGAGTCTGGAGTCTTTTCTAGACACAGTATTGGTTCGAGCTGCTTATCATAGAGGCCAACATCAACGTCTGTCCACATATTCGGAGCCAGCAGCTCCCGGAGTAGCTCAACGCCCTTTTTGCACATTTCGTTCGAAAGAATTTGCTGCTGAGCCTTCTGACTAGTCTTGGCCTTGACCTCTGCAGCCGGCACAGGGAAGCGTTCCAACAAAGAGGTGATGAAGTTGATCATGTACTTGACAACAACCGTGCGAAGCTCAAGCGGAATCACGTATTCTCCTTTCTCCTTGGCTGGTGGTGGAGGTAGCTTCTGTTCCCCAGCCGCATCTCTCTTGCGTGAAGGCGTCAAATCAGTCCCAGACTGAGGAGGAGATACCGCAGAGACACGCCGACTTTCCCATTGCTGAATCAGAGCAATCAGGTTCAAAGCAAGCTTCTTGTTCTCGTTGGAAGGGTTTATCGGAGGAGCAAGTTTGTGGAGCATTTGGATCATCGTTGGGATGAAGAGCTCCCTCGACTCGTAGAAGAGGTCAGGCTGGCGCACAATGAAGTTGAAGATGCTCTGAACCTGCTGCAGATTTCCTGTCTCTTCGTTTAAGATTTTGCGCGGTAATCGAGCCCAGGAAGGAGTTCTCTTGTCTCCTGGCGTATTGGCACTGGCGCCTATTCTCGCGGGCAGCACCGGTGCCAGCACTTCCAGAGCTTGGGTGACAAGAGCCTTGCCTTCATTCTGGTGAGCTTTCAACAGCTGATTGTATATCTGCACGGCGATCTTTGGAGGTGTGTCATAAGACCGTATGAAGTAACAGATCAGGACATAGGCTGCATATTTGTTGATGACGTCTTCTAGCTTGATATAGGTCCAGGAGTATTTGATTATGTCTTTCCGATCTTCTGAAACAGCATCCTTGTGGTATTTCAAAATAAACGCAGAAAGCTGCAAGGCTTCCATGCGAGTATGGTCGATACCGGGCTGAGATGAGTCGTCGGAGCCATCGGTAGTGGCAGGTTTCCACAGACGCTCTAAAAACATGTTGAATAGCTTGCTGTCTGCCAGAGGAGCGGCCTTGCTATCCTTTTTCCGGCTGTTTTGAACATCTCTTGCCATGATGGGGTTGACCACATTGTGCAACAAAAATGTCTTCAACTTGTGAGATTCGCCCTTTTGCGAATAAACCTCGAGACATCTCTCGACGATATTGAACCGACGGCTTGCGGATTCATGAGCTATGACAGAATGAAAGATATATTTCATCAGCTGCAAAGGTGTCTTTATTGTTCCCCGTGCGGCCGAAGAAAAGAGCTCAATCATGAAGTCGAGATCATCCGGAGATGATGTCAGGTATTGTGTTAGGACATCCATCACTTGATCTCCAGTTTGCTCAGCACGCAGGCGCTGTGTGGGCGGCAGATGATCTTGGCGGAGTTCGCCCTCGATTTCAAGGGCAGCACTCAGGACCTTGTTTCTTAGCTGCTCCTGATCGCGCAGCCAGTCTCTGGCATGTTCAAAGCTGCAGATTGAGTGTACTACGTAGATGCCATTGATTGCCGCGGTGCGGCGCTCTTGTGCAGCCTCGATCTCGAACGCAGCTTTAATAAAGTTTTCTGTGTCGTTCATGACAGCATCGCGAATAGCAGGGCTAGACTCCGAGCGTAGGATTTGCGCAAAAAAGCGCCCGTACTTCTCCTCTTGTAGGCGCGGTTGAAAGAATGACCACGTCTCCTTGGGATATTTGTCGAGATAAAGTATGAGCGGTTGACGGAAGGGGCTAGCCACTGTGCGGCGAAGTTTTGACTCCAGATCCAAGACGCCGTTCACCAAGTCTCCCATAAAGCTGGTAGCTGCAGGGGGAAGGAGGTGAAAAACATTGAGAATCGCCGTGACGATCTTCATCTGTGGATTTTGTTCAATCATCCCGAAGGAGACTTTTTGCAGCAACTGCTCATCAGCAATGACTCTCATATGCTCAAGCAACCGAGAGCCTATTTCAACTTTGAAATAATTGGTCAACAGTGTCAGTAATCTCGCAAGGCCTTCCAGTCCAGCGACAGTGAGTCGTTTCGAGTCTTGCAAATTCATCAAAATAGGCCTGAGCCCATTCTGGAGAAGATCTTTTGGGAGTTTCGAGGTCTGGGCCAGTACTTCCTTCAGACCAGCATTGGCAGCCTCAATGATCTCGGGTGATTTCGAGTAGAGCAGTTTGAAAAAGACAGTAATAATCCTGGCTCGGCTGGAATTCTGTGGCCCGGTCGCAAAATCCGGCAAGCTCATGGCCAGGGAGAGAAGTCTAAGACATGAGACACGTAGGTTGACAATTAACTGCGCGTTGTTGTATTCATCCGGTTTTGGGTGCAGGATCTCAGAATCTGCATCTGCAAGCGCCAGTGATTCCATCATAAGTCGGTTGAGCTGATCGTTCAACGGGACGAGATCGTGGCCCAGACCCAAACAGTAGGTGATTGCGTCGATGAAGCCGGTTTGCGAAAGGAAGGGGAGGGCCCGAAGTGGCTTGTTGAAGATTGGGGGGAGAAATCTTTCCTTGACTGGGGCTATCAGTTCATACACCTCAACACCCACAACCTCTGCCATGACCGAGAAGGCGTGTTGCGCTGTCTCACGCGCGTGTGTATTCATATGGGACAGCTCGAGACTAAAGGTCACAGACAGGGCATGAATGGTGCTCCTCTCGTTTGTGAGCATCTCCCGGGTTTGGCCAGCGCAGCATTTCCGTAGAAGAAATTCCAGTGTCTCTTGGGCAGTATTGCGAGTGGTCGCTGGAACTTCTTGAGGTGTGTCCTTGATCACGAAGAGCAAAGCTTTGATTATCTCAAGTTGCTTGCTGTTGAGGAAGGCATTTCCCAGATTGAGTTTCTTGACCAAGATTTGGATTCCCAAAGTAGCGCCAGCCTTGGTGAACCACTCTACCTCACGGCATCTGTGGCAGAATGTCTGAGTGATATGGCTGAAGAAAGGAAGTTTGGCGGCCTTTTCCTCACTACCAAAAATCGTGCGGGCTGTATCCACAACGGTCAGCATTGATGCTTCGGCAGCCTCGCGGATAACGATGTTGTCTGAGGCCAGACAGTCGCAAATAACGTCGGCTAGGATGCGAGTGCTGAGATGCACTGCACCTTCACCAAGGTTGACGTTGAATTCCTTGGTTCTCCGGCCGGCATCACATAGAGCCTGCCCAAGTTCCACGATAGTAAAGTGGCGAGAGACGCTCTGAATGAAAGCTTCAGCTTGGGATTTTAGATCCGAAACAGTCGTTGCAATAAAGCAGGCCTTGAGGAGCTTCTTCAGGTTCTCTTCCTCTTCTCGACGCTTTTGCACCGATTTACCAAATTCGTTCTCGGTCAGCATGTCAGCATATGTGGAGAAGCGCCGAGCAAGGAGGTCATTCGCCTGCAGACGGAGGAGAGTTGCGAGATCATCGGGAAGATGGTCTTGGCCGATGAACAACTTCACTTGGTTGCTGATATAGTTGAACGACTGCTGCTTGTAATATAGGTCCAAAGCCTTTGAATTCGTGTTCTTGGTCGTCTCAGAGAGTTTTCTGATGGCTTGATCAACACCAACATCCAACGGGAATGCTCGATCTCGGCTGGTCTCAATAAGTCGAATGTCGAAGCTAGGTTCGTCGTCGGTGTAGCGCCGAAAGGCCAGGCGATGTGGACTGGTCAGATATTTCCTGCTGCGTCCACCAAGTTTACCGAGAATGCGCATTGTCGTATGAGAGTGAAAATGATGGTACGGCTGAGGCCTCACATGCTGAAACAAGGCCATCATCAGATCATCCATAATTGGTGCCATTATCGGGTCTAGATAATCCGCTGTGAGATTGTCAACGCAAAGTTCGAGTGTCCTAAGCCCCTGACCAACAAGATCGGGGCCGGCGTGAAGAGCCACAACCAAGGGTCTCATCAAATGGCTGAGATGCGGTAACAAATGACTGAGTCTAGCCGGTACGGTTAGCGTCAACTCAACGAACAAATCGCGGTTGTGAGGATCTCGAGCTCCTTGGAGAAGGTGATTAAAAGTTTCCAGGAGCATTTCGAGTAGCGGAAGGACATCCTTGTAAAGGAGTTCGAAGCGCCCTCCACCAATACTTCGGAACAGGGACCGAAGAAGAATGAAGTAATGCATAGGCTTCTCTGCCGTTACCGACATCTGCACACATTGTGTGATGATCTTCGTAACATGCGGAAGCAGAACCGACTCGTTGTTTGCGGAGAAAAGCGTCACGGCCATGAATGACAGCTTGAACATCCTCAACAGTATCGACGATCGGACAATGTCTGACGATCCAACCACGGGCAACTTGGTCACGAGGTATTGTAAGACTATTCCTGCAAAAATTGGTGATGTAACCTCGCTGGCAAGGAAGAATTGAGGGAGATGTAGCAAGGCCGGGTGTTCAGCCATCAACTCGTGAAGGTAAGAAATCTCAGCTTGGAAGACTTCATGAAAGGTGGCTGGATCGATGCAATGGAAGACGGTCCCAAAGGCCTCCAACAAATCCTTCTCTTCTGTGCCCATTTGCCCCATTGTGTGGCTTGCTATAAGGTCCACGGGAGGGATATTATGCGCATTTGGTGCTGGCGCTCCTGCACTGTAGTATCGGAAAACCCGTGCGCCTTCGTGGAAGAGCTTAGTGATCACACGTGTCTCTTCAGCGTTGTACCCAAAAGACACTTCGGACCAGTTGGAGGGCACGTGGGCTGGGTCTATGTTCAGTCCCGGAGGGTTGCATGTTTTCAGCTGCCAGAACATATTCTTCAGGCCGTTGACAAGGTTTTTGAGGAGGAATTTGTTATCGTTCACTGGGTCAGCGCCTCGCTCTCGTGGATTTGACGTCTTTATTGGAGTGGCGTTGAAAATGTCCACTTCATCCCAGTCCGGAACCTCGTCTTTGTCATCCATGTATGTCTCTGGTTGATTCTCTTTTAATTTGTCTCCGTATTGGCGGCTCAGCTTCACAGCGTTCTCGTACTGATAATTCATCGCAGCAAATTTGTCGCCGATTGCGTCGAGAATCATGATCAAGAAATACCTCGCCTCTTCCTTGTTCTCTAGCTTGGTGATGCTTTCGGCCATATTGAGCAGCAATTTCGCACTCATGGTCTGGAAGCTTGTACCGGGATAGTTGTCGTGAAGATTCTTCGTGTACACTTCGATTGTGCGCCGTATCTGATTGCGATCTAACGAGTCCCGCACATGATGAATGAGATCTGCGAGCATACTATATGCCAACGGACGCATACTCTCATACACGGTCAAGCCTTCACCAATGAGGATCCGTTCGTCCAGCAGCTCGTCAATTTTATTCAAGAAGATTTTGCGATAGTTGAAATTGATAATGTGCCGTATCGCAACCAGTAGTTCTTTGCGCGCACCAGACTTTTCCTTTGGACAGTCTTTCAATAACCTCACAACCACGCCAGGAAGGGTTGGTAAGAAGTCTGTCAGCTGATTTGCGTATACCCGGAGAAGATACGCCAGGAAACTCATGGTCTTGACTTGAGCCGTGATGAAGTCACCGAAAGCGGCACGGTTTCTAATCTCTTTGCTGACACCAGTAAATATGGTCTTGTTTGCCGCCGCATCCGCGTGTGCTTTTTCTTGCGCTTTGGCCTGTAGCAATAGAATGCCCTTAATGGAAGGCACGAATTTCTTGACGTTGGCAGAGACCGAGGTCCGATGCGCTTGGAATATGGAAACGACAATGATGGGACATTCTGAAAGAACCTTAAAGGATTGCATACCCTTCGCTAGCGGCGCGTGCTCCTTCTTTTCCACCCCTGGATCCGACACCGTTGTCGCAGGCGAGCCAGGGCGTGGGGACTGGAAGGTCTGGCTCTGGGGCATAGACGTCGAGGATGAAGCTTGGTGATGGGGCACGGGTGAGTCGAAGGTGTCACGGACCACCTGTTCCATTAACTCGAACATCTCTTGAATGAGGTCAAGGAACGGTTGGACCTTCGAAGCGGTGGCATTTGGTTGGTGTCGCTCAAGATCCATTATCGTCTTCAGACACAGGACGGCATTGTCTTCATTTTCCACCCTCACCAGCTCCATCAGGGTTTCTACCATGTCCAGCGCAAAGGGTTCAACCTCCCGCAGCTGATGTTGTAGTCTGTGAAGGATCTCGAGAATCTGGTTCCGGAGGATGTGTTCGAAGGAGGTCGGGTTGTGGTCTGGTTTCCCCTCCAGAATCTTCTTGAAGACAGGCCATAACCTGGTCAAGAACTTTGTATAGACGCTGGAGGGCGTACATAGAGATTCGATAGAGTCGCGGAGTTCCGTGGCCACGTTCGATTTTGTCCGTGTATCTACCAAAAATGCCACAGTCAGTTCGGATATCAAGAAATCTGCCTGCGCGACTTGCCAATCTTTGGATCACTGAGCCTCGCGGCGTAGACATCGATCTTCTGAGAGTTATCCATGGTGCCGTCGCTACTGATCTACCTCCAACCACACCAGGAAAGCAGAGAGATCTGCCAGGCGTAAAGAGAACGGGGTATCGCAATGCTTAAGCGCCCTCATTAGGATTCAGTTCTGCGAATGCCCATGCCAGGAATTTGACTCGAATCGCAGGAGTGGAAGAGTCACAACGGCAGCTTTGCAACGAAATTAACCGGTCGCTAGATGAAGAGGTGAAGATAGAACCAAGTTCGCTCCCTGCAACGACACCAAACAAGAATGTAAAGAGAAGAACTGGATGTAGGTAAGTTGCCCTGTTGACCGTGGAGTGCCTCCTCCGGCCAAATTTGTATGGAGACTCTGCGGAGAATAGAGGCGCGAGGTAGAAAAGTGAAAGCGAGGGGGGACCGCTGCTCGCCTCGAACGTGCAGCTCACGTGATTGCACCAGTCCTGAAAAGGATAGTCGAAATAGGTAGAAGCCAATCATTCTCGGTATGCACCGGAGCCTCCTAATGTGGAGTTTGGCGTGGCCTCGTCGGCAGCCTTTGAAGAGCGACGCAAAAATCCTGACGGGGCCAGTTAAAGGGCTAACAGGTGGGAAGTAAAGGGAAGACATTTCTTTACGATTCCAAAATCGTCTTTCTCTCACTCCATCTTTCCACCATAGGCGCATTTACTGCCGCGTGCCTCGTGTCTTCATTTCAGAGGCTGAACATGTCGATTTGGCCTCCGATTACTCTATCATCTCCAGGACTTCGGCAAACCCAACGCAAAATTCACGGTATTGACCGGGTATCAGAATCCTTCTCAAGCTGTACCTCAGCTCGAAGTAAACCAAAACTTCAATCAAAGCCGGCCGCTTGCTGACGATTCACAATGAACCTTGGCTCACTCAGACCCAGCTCGCTGCCACCACGAGCAGCCCCATGTTCGCTCGTGTCAATGCTGCGACACACCGCTCCCGTGGCGTTGAATGTGAGGCATTTGTACTGTCCGGTGAAATTCGATGGACCCTCCAGAATGGGTGCGATGCCTTCTCGACTTGCCATCCAAGCTATTGTTGGACCGGCGAGATCTTGTCTGACCATGTGAGTCTGCGCGTCGCCTCTGGAGAGTCCAAAGCCATGTCAGAAATAGCCATCAACGTCACTATAATGATAGAAGAATGTCTTAGCCAAGATGGAGATGACAGGGGGGAGGGTGACAAGGGCGTTGCTGAGTCGCGTAGCGCAGAACAGATACGACTTACCGATGACGGTTTGCTTGACGATGACTCGTCATGCAACTTGAGAGCATCAAGTCTCTCTTGGTTATCCTGCGCAGCATCTGTCTCTGGCACTTCTTGGATACTTGGGGTTGTCGGTGGCTTTGCCGCTCCAGCGGCCTTCATGCGGTTGGCCTGCTCGGTGAGCTTCGCCCATTTCGCTTCGCGTGCCTTTTCCCGTTGGGCGGCAGTGCTCTGCATTTCGTTGTAATCGTGAGAACACTCGTCAAAAAGCTGAGGGTTGATCTCCATGAAAAGTTTCATTGCGTTGTACACCATCCCATGTATTGTGCTGACCGCGTGTTAGCAGTGGTTGAAGTTGAAAGGGAGAAGACATACCGATTCCAGTGACCTTTTGAATTCTCATACAATGGGGCAAACATGATCGGGAGGATGGTTTCGACGTTGTCGCTGACAAGATTGCAGAAGTATTCGTTGTTCCAGAAATACAATGCTCGCTCGGCCACTTGGAAATGAGGACTTGCAACAGATTTGGCCAATTGGTTGAAGAGAGGCTCTTGGACTTTGGCAAACTCTTGTGGATCCATAACCTCAAAAATATCCTCGACTTCGTTCAAGAACATGACTTCTTTGGTGCTGTTGACCTTGGGCCAATAGCGTAAAAGACCAAGCACCACCTGGAATGCCGTCAGCATACTAAGCGCCAAACATGGGGGACGACCTACTTCTTCTGTCAACGCCGCGTCCTTTTCCAGGAATTGCACAATACAATATGCCAATTGGGGATGGTACATGCTCAAACTCTTAACTTTGTGCAGGGGAATAAGAACTCTGGTCAAAAAGAGTTTGTGCTCTTCTTTCAGCGGAAGAGCAAAGCCGTTGATAATGGAACCAAGAATCTCGAGCAGTTCAGCTATGCCATTGAACCTCTCCGTCTCGTACGTAAACTGGAAAAAGACGTTGTTGATCGATCTTCGAATGTAAGATCGAAGATTCAGGAATTTGCCGTAGATGCGGTGAAGTGTGGTCTTGAGAAAATCTCTTTCCCTGGGGTCTTCTGAGTCAAACAGCTCGAGTAGCTGAAGGACGAAATGATGATCGATGTAGGCTTTGGCAATGTTTGTGTTGAAGTCTTGGCTTTCGATAAACCGCAAGAAGAACTCGTAGACAACTTGGATATGAGGCCAAGCCACTTCCAAGACTGGTTCGTCTTCTTCGGGATCGAATGCTTCACCCTGCGGATTGACGGGGGGAGGAACAGGACGGAAAAGGTTCTTGCTGAACATCTCGACAACTTTCGGATACATCGGCTCGGTTATCACCGATCTGTTGTTGGCAACATAATCCAGGAGTTCGTGGAGCGCAAGTCTCTTGATTTCTTTTGATTTCATGTCCGCGGTCTGGTCATTGAAATCGAAGATGATATTGCACTGATCGATCTTCTGCATGAACAACTCTTGTCTTCGATTGGGAGGAACCTCGTGGAAGCCGGGCAGTTTCTCCAGATCACGAGCTCTTTGATCTGATACATCAAATCTCGACGAATGTTGTCTCTTGGGTGTCCGGACACCCTCAGGCACATCCTTCGGGGTTGACTGCAACCGGTCGAAGAGGAGGGATTTCTGGCCGGCCTTGGGAGGGGCAAGGTCACCAGGCATCGTTTCAGTAGCGCCAGGTCCAGGAATATGAGGAGCACTTGGGCTTATGATAACGCTTGGAGCAATGTGATGACGTCCCGTTGGTGCTCCAGGCCCGCCTTGTCCATGACTGGAGCCCTGCGACATGTAATGTGAAGACAATGAGCCTGAGCCTGCGGCTGCGGCAGTATGATGTTGAGCGGATCCATGGTTGGTGTTGGCGCCCTCATGATTTCCGCTCTTGTTTCGTTGATCATTCAGATTCGTTGAAGAGGAGGTCGGAGTTGCGGTGTTGGAGCTATTGGGAGATCTCGAATCACTGCCCGGGAGCGTAGTGGATGAGGAGAGAGGAGATGCGGTGCCTGAATTATTCGCATCTTTCTTCTTGGAAGACTTGTTACCGTCCTTGGCCCTCGACAACTGCTCATGCTAGAATATCAGTGAGTGGGAGGGTTTGAATGGAAGGGCACAAGACGCAGGTTGGAAACTTACTACTCTCTGTCTGAAGCCTTTCATTATGCCTGACTCTCTTCAATATTCCACGCACCAGTGACGGTGAGAACGTTTGTCGTAGTTGATGCGACGGCTTGTCGATTCCAGGAAGCCACGAGGCTGTTATGTGCGTTGCATCCGAGTCACGACCACGGGAGCGGCTCCGCTAGGAGGCCACGGGTTTGGGTCTCGGGGAAGACCAGATCAATTCGACAGGATGCAGTGATACTGGTAGGTTCCTTCTCTTCTATCAACTGCTCATTCTTAGGAGCAGTCCTGGCACGGAGGAAGAACGGCAGCACGTTGAGCCGGTGGTGGGAGCGGTAGAGGGTAGCTGGGGTTCGGTCGAAGGACTACAGGGAGGCTGCGAAGAGCGCGGCGGAGGACAGAAAGAATCGGTCTTTGATCAAAGGTGTCGAGTTTGAAGGTGGCTTAATGATTTGAGAGCATTGAGAAGGACATCCATTGAAGAGCAGTCGAGTTGACGAATAGTCGAGTAGTTGTGCGCAGCTCAAGGCCAAATGCAAGTCAAGTGTAGATGCAGTCGCAGGTTGGCGGGGACGGTGCAGTTGTTTCGGTGTCAGTACGCGGCCGGCTTGAGGTGCAATTTAGCAAGTTAGGTAAGGCCAACTCAACCCAGTGATGGCAGTGGGCGTCAAAGGGGCCTATGAGGCACTTGTTTGGAAGTTCGGAAGAGTTGCCTGGAGTGAGTTGCTAGCTTACCTGGTGGGTGCAATAGTTCGCATCGTTAATACCTTGGCTGAAGAATCAAGATTCTGTTTCATCACCTCTGTCATGGGGTCCAAAAGATAACCACTTTTCAAATCACAGAGATATACCACCCGGAACTCAGAATTCCCCGAGCTCCAGGACGAAAGACGCTCCCTTGCAACCAATTTGATCCTGTCGTTCCCCGCGTCAAACAAAGTGAGACGCTTCTCCGCTTGTCCCCAACTGCTATTGGACGTGTAGGTACATGCCGCGGTTATGACCATCGGGGCTGGACCTAACTAAAGTACACGGCATAGATTGTCCATGCATAACCTCAGCCATCTAACTGCTCATCCCAGCATCCAAAATGTCAAGTTCTCCAAGAGGCAGACAGGTTGCGCCATCGTTCCAGGTCCCAACTACACCTGTCCTATCTATTGAGCATCCGTGCGTCGTTCAGAATGTGGAGAAGGCCATTGATATGCTGGGGGGACCTACAGAGATTTTGCAGACCCTCGAGCCTGGATGGGATAAACCACTGGGGCTCAAATTTCATCTCGACGACCCGGGCACCCATGCCGTGCTGTCTCACAACAAGCCAACCTACAACCTACTGCTTAAAGTGACAGTGCCCAAACGAACAGGCAGGAAAAGGAAGCGAGGCTCTGAGGAGCCGTACCTCGAAAGGCATACAAACTCACCACCCCGGCGAGATGTCAAATATCTTCTTCGTTCACTGATGGACAATCGCGAACGCTACCAGACTGAAGTTGTGGGTCCGATTGGCTCTACACATATATGGCGTACCATGCCAGATTTCAATTTCTCGTCTCAAGGATCTTCCTTTCTGAATGAGATACATTCCAAAATTCTCCCTCAGCGGTACCCACTGCTCAAGCAATGGTCTTTCCCTCGATCCTCGGTCAATGCAGATGCAGAGGCGGTCCCTCCTCCCGTTCTGTCCGTGCAAAACCTGCCGGCCAACTTTACATACCGTCAGGGCCCTGGCGCGACAACCATAGCCGAACCAACAACCGCAAACACGGCCATGAATGATACAGAGCCGTCTGCGCAACCGTCCACAAATCAAAACCAACAACCCGATCCGGAGATGTCGAATAAGCAAACCATCTGAGTGTTTCAACGGTCTACAAATCCGGCGAACACTAGCATCGATTCGCACGGATTCGAACCTGAGAACATTGACAGAATAAATCAATCTATTGGGGGAGCTTGATTCAGTAACTTCACCGGTCACCGATATGGCTAACTTCGGAGCTTACTGTGCTGCACAGTGGCCATCTGCCGCTTTGCTCGGCCGACATGCTCCGCCGTCTTTGGCTCCCGCCACCATTGTCTACCTACTGCTCTGCCGATGATAACGGTTCTGGGCCGAATGCACTGCCTCGAATCCCGCAGCCCATGGTGTCAAATTGCGGCGAAAGCTTCACGTTCTGTAAGCTGGTTGCGGTTGCTGTGGGATTGCTACATTCCCTTCCCTTGTATCGATCCACATGCAACCTCGGAGACCGGAAGAGCCTTTCCTGCTGTCGAAAAGTGGTGCACAGAGGTAAGGACTGGCTCTTCCTTCGAAGACTCCTTTCTTTCTATCCATCCTCCTCTCGTCCATGCTTTCAAGCAGCCAATGCCTGGCTTGATAGTATACGTTCCGCCAGGATTCTGCTCTTCTTGGCGATAGTCGACGGCCGAGCCAGTTGAAGGAGTGATGCAGAGGCACGAACGTGATCGGCCAATCCCTGTGAGACAAACTTTCGGAACCAGTGTGTTGAGAGGCGGCCTTCTGAATGCCTTGGGTTGCCCACCAGCACTTTCGTCCCGGAGAAGGGTCTAGAAGCATGAGACGTATGTAGAAGAGAATAGTGGGATCAATTTCCGCTTTCACTAAATTGGTAATCTTTCAACTCGAGGTAGAGAATGCTCAACTTTGATCTCGAGCCTTTCACTACAGGTTACTTCTAGAATCCCCAGTTATCCTTTACAACTCATCACAGAGGAGTAACATGTTAGTAAGCAAGGGGCGGCCTGTCCGCCGAGTCTGATATGTCTTGGCAATCTTGGCATGATCTGACCAATAGTAGAAGTCCCCTGGTGGTCGCCGAGCCGTTCCAATTCCCTGCTCCGATGACTCGCGCTCCAAAGCCCCGCTTATCCGCCCTTTTTCTCGCTATCGCTTGATCCTCCACCAGCATTGCCAATATAACAGAAGTCTACCGTCTATCATTGCCACAAGCTCCATACTTGAAAGCGATGGCTACAGACAGTCGACCACCGTTTCAGACCATCTTCTCCTCTGCGACGAATAAATCTCGGATTTCAAGCGGCCGGAATCATGGCTACAGAAAGATTCGATGGAAGAAGTACGATCCCAGCAAGAAGTCTCCGAACTCGGCCTCAGACCAGTTTGTACAGTGGCAACCTCCGGACATAGCGCGGGATGAGGATCAGGAGGACAATATCCAGCGCAAATCGAAGCCTAGCGACACAAGGCAAAATCCACAGGCGAAGGCTCTCGCCTATATCTCTCCACTTGAGCCTCTTCCGCTGAACGGAACTCGCGAGGATCCATTCCTCGTTTTGCCCATCAAGTCCACTGATACTGTTAAAGACACCTTGGACTACTTTATCACCATCTGCAAAGGCTTCAACAATGCGAAATCTGTGGTCCCTGGCCCGGTCAATCCTCATCTGTCGCTCCTACTGCCGTACGCACTCAAGCATACCTTTCTTTTTGAGTCCATCATATCAGTCTGTCGCGCTTCTATTCTCATTTCACTTGGGAAACCCATGTGGGAAGACTACGCCTTTGTCCATTACCGTGGCAACGCCATAGCTGGTCTCAATGAAAGGCTCAAGTCCACCGAGGCCACAGACGATGCGGCCTTGTTGACCGTCACGATGCTCATGACACTCGAGTATCTTTCTGGCAACCAGCGCGGTGTGGTCATGCATTGCAATGGCCTGGAGAAAATGCTTGAGCTCCGCGGGCCGCTGTCTGATGACAAATCGGATTCCAACTGGTTGAAATTCATAAAACATGGTCTTATAGCATACAAGGCTCTGGGCTCCTTCGTGACAGGCCAGCCACCAGAACTGCCACGCGACTCGGTTGGTTACCTTAGGGAGACGTTCCAAGAACTACATCTGGATCAGCCACTCTCCTATCCTGAGCCTCCGTTTCCACCGGACCTGTGCATCATTCTCTCTCGCCTTCCCACGGGACTCTCAGAACTTTGTGTTGCGTCCAGAATATCAGTTCAGATGATCAAGCTACTCGCCTCCATCTCGGCAGCGACCACCCTCTTAGCGACTGAGACTGTCAGCTACGAAAATCTCCTCGACCGGACCTGGACCCCGCCTTCAGAATTACCACTCCCTGATTCGTCACAGTACGACGAAGAATGGAAACAAACAATGATCCAAACCATACTCTTCTCTCTTCAACGAATGTCGTTGACTTCCACCTGCCCAGTCGAACACAACCTCACGATGGGATTGCTAGCCTATATTTTCCAGCTTCGAGGTCTAACGGCGGTAAACCTCTTCTACGATCCCATCCTCCGCCGCTTCATCAATGCCTTACCCACTCACGCGAGGCCTGCCTCGCTCCAGGAACAAAACTCTCTAGTTTGGTGCAGTATAGCCGTTGCTGGAGCTCTTGCGCTTCGGGTTGTTCCCATGCCAAACTCCCACTTGGTTATGGAACATGTCCTAGATCTTTACCCACAGGCGCGCCAATGGCCCCGCCTCGAAAGGCTCCTCCGCACTTTCTTCTACACCAAAGAAATTGGCGCCCACTGGAAGCGCGTTTGGCAATCCGCCATGAAAAGATGGGAGCAACAGAAGAAACGCTACATTTATGCCAATACTGAAAATAGTGCAAACACGGAGGCCGAACCAAACGAGGAGCACATTCAGTGGTTTCAAAATCCGCTGGACTTTGAAGATTTTGATATGAATTCTGAAGCGATAAGAGCTCATGTCCGCCAGCACATGGCCGGCGCGCCGAAGACGGTGCTTGACATGTCCCAAGCTATGGGTCTCTGCCCGTTTCGACCCCAGGCATCATCGCCCTCCACAGTCAGCACCGCATCGAGCGCGACTACATCGTCAAGTCCGAACACTGTGCTGAGTTTCTCACCAAAAGCCTGATGAAGGGACAGTCTGACGCGTCATAAGTCGAAGATTGCATCGGTTCCGGTCTTTCCAGTCCGATCCCCATACAGTCTACTTGCCAGAGGTCTCGAAAGTAGTGCTTCTGCTCCTTCACTGCCGCGAAATATGCCTGAAGTCGTTGCACAGGCTGAGGTATTTTCGCCAACAAACCTCAGCTCCTCTTCCTATTGAGTGGATGGCCTGTGCCCAAATAACGTCCCTTCTCGACAGGCTGAGAAACCGGAGTCTTGAAGCGACAAGTGAATCAGCAACCCTTCTGATGCAGACAGTGTCCGGGCATACACCCGTACAGTCTTCGCCGTCTTACACTTCCCGGCCTTACCGCATCTCTTCTCCCCCAGGGTGGTCTAAGTGCTAAACAGTTCGTGCAGGACTGAATATGCTCTCGTGGCGTCAAAGCCAGAACAATATCTCGGATCAGTGTCGGAGACAGAGCTCTGGATGATGTGCGACACTTACGGCACACCGGTTTCGTTGCGGCGCAATACAAACTGCCTGACAGCTTCGGAGACTGCACCCAATCTACTTCTGAGCCCGGGCGACACGGAGGCGCACCGACTACCCGGAGTGTATTATTGAGCCAACCAAGGATGGGATTTTTCGAACGGGTAACTCAGTGTCCTCGCACTAAAATCGAGACGTTGTTTTGGATCACCTTGGCTCTTGGCGACGACATTGTTATGTGCAGAGTATTTGTGGAGGGAAAGGGGGGTTGATGGCGGCCAATTCATACCGGATCTTGTAAGAAAAAAAAAAGGACCCACGAAACGATGGTGGTGGATGGTGCATCCTATCGTGTACGGGCTACACTCTGCAACAGCGGGGCTGGGGCGGTTGATAACCCAGATATCGGTGGAGGTTCTTTGCGTTTTTGTCTCCTGCTGTTTCAGGGCCATACATAATGGCAACGGCGTCACGACTGAGTTCAGTTTGGTCTGGGTGGTTCCCTCTGATTTGTCTGCTCATCCTTCGCTATATGACTTTGGGATCCGAGTGTCGACAAGTCGTCCCTTCGGAGGCATGATCTCTGCTAGCTACAGCACATATATGTATCTCGGAAGGTGAACTGATGGAGTCTGGAGTTGAGTTATACATGTGTATGTGGGGTTCAATAGGTAAATGATGCCTCAATTGTACTCACTTCTCCGTCTATACAATACAAAAGATATGTCTCAGCTTCGGCTATCCACGTCGGTATGTCTTTCTCCTTACCAGAACTCTGCTTGTCAGGTCAAGTCCGTCGATTTTACGCCGGAAGGGTTTACTTCAGAAAATCTATAATAGGGTGATAAGTGCTAACCAACGACCTAACATGTGCTCCAGTGCGTGTTACCGGAGCTGGTTGGCTGCCAGACGTGTCCGAGTTACAAAATCATTCCAATAAATCGAAGACTCGAGGTAGATGGAGCCTACTGCGAGGACCGTATGTGCGGCCACTAGGCTCAGTACGGCGGGCAGAAGTGAATCTGCCCCCGGTAAGCAAAAAACTCCCAGCGATCGAGTCTTACACGCTGGCGTGTCCTGGATGGAATAGTCATTTCATCGTAACAGGCAAATGAAAATAGCGGAATGTGACATGACATTTTCTGATGGCTGTGGTGATATCATGTCATTCGGTGCTCAAGCTCTTGAGAGTCTCCTGGATGCCCTGCTTCAAGGCACGGTACTGAATGCGTTGCAGGACGAGGGGTGGATTCCGCAAGAGTTGCGCCGCTCGGGAAAACACTCTGTGGCCGTAGAGCAGGAGCACAATGGCCGTCATCATCCAAATGAGATAGACGATGATTGCTGCCATGTATAGGCGTACTCTGACCACGACAGGGACGACGACACCGTCTCGAAATTCGTGGTACCTGGCAACAATGAAGTTCCTGATCGGTCTTCTGTGTTTTCGCCGAAGGTGCTGTTGTAAACCATCGGTCATGTGCCAGGCGACCCGCCTATTAATCTTCTCCCAGGTGACATCGCAAGTATATCTTCGTGCTGCAACTGCCATATTCGTACGAAGATTCTTATCCGCAGAGAGACGCTTGACGAGAGAAATATATTGCTCCAGGTCATGGGGAGGAACGAGATAACCGGTTCCCTGGTCTTGGACGATGTCTGAAGGTCCTCCTTCATCACGAGCGATTACCGGGAGACCACTTGCCATTGCTTCCAGAACAACCAGTCCGAATGTCTCCGTGATCGAGCAGTGTAAGAAGATATCTCCTGTGGCATATGCACGAGCGAGGTCGACACCGGTGCGAAAGCCAGTGAACATAACGTGCTCTGCCACGGAGTCGAAGAGATGATGTATCTGATCCTCAACTTCAGCGCTCATGTTGCCACCAACAATGAGTAACTTGAACGGGAAGCCTTCCTGGGCGAGGCGCATGGCGATCTGGGCCAGGAATTCGAAGCCCTTTTCGGGAGCCAACCGACAGACACAGACCAGAATAACTTCTCCATTAGGTGCTAGTTCCTTACGGTAAGCTTCGTCACGCCGAGAAGGATTGAATAAAGTGGTGTCGACGCCTCGGCCCAGTCGTACCATCTTGTTGCTCGGCGCGCCTGCTTTCTCAAGGTAACGGCGTACTCCCGAGGAAGGGTAGAAGATGGTATGAACAGTACGGTGATTGAACAGAAACCCTTGGACCACGCCTAGCAGCCACACTGAAAAACGGGCAACCGGGCCAGGGAAAAGGATTTCGCTATAGGCGGACAAATCGGTCTGGAAGTTGAGCAGGACGACCGGTGGGTCTTGTAATTGGCGGATTTGGAAGAGCATTTGAAAGCCGGTAGAGGCAGGACTGGCCAGATATACAATGTCCGGCTTGAAGGTGTGGCTGTAGACATCGTCGAGTTGGAAGGGGTATACAACGGTCAAGTCAGGATTATAGGGCAACTCATAGCCCGGCAGTCGAAACTCCGTCAGGTTTGCACCCGCGGTCAGTTTGAGCCGCGACTGTCTCGAGTGAGGAGCAACAATGGCTAGCTGCACACCGTTCTTGCGTAGGTACTCGATCAACATGAGGGTAGTTCGACTGACGCCATTGACGGGGCCCAGGGATTCGGTTGCGAGGAGGACTCGCTTGCCCTTGAGGTAGGAGGGAAAGACATCTCGATTGTCGCTGGCCGCGGTCCCTGCACCTCCTTGAGGCCGCTGTGTCTCGGATGAGGTAGTAGATGCTGAGACTACTCCTGCTGCTGCTGTTGTCGTCGTTGTCGTTGCCAATTCATGACTGCTGGCAGTGGTGGAAGCAGCCAGCACCACGTTCCCTTCCCCCATCGCGCCAGAAAATTCAGGGATCAAAGATGTTCCGTTTCCTCGCGGCGCAGTTGCCCCTCTCCTTATCGCTATCCGCTTATCGGGCACCACACAACCCTTAAATCCTGGACTTCACGTAGCTGGGATGGAAATTTGCTTGAGCTTCTTCTGTTGGGGAGAATGAAGAGGGAAACAATGAGTGACAGCCAGACGCAGAATTAGTCACTTTGCATTTGCATTTTGCACTTGCATTTTCAACTTCTGGCTTTGCACGTGTCTCTCTTTCTCTCCGTCTGTCCTTTTCTCACTTCCACATTTCTCCTCCTTTCTCTGGCATTTCCGATGACCTTCTTATGATTTCATGCTGTGATATGTCATGCGTCCGAGATGATCTCTTCCCGGCCTTGATCCCCGGATCCTCGTGCACCTCTCGGGTCATGAGCTGTGCACCAGACAAGATTTAGCCCGATGGTGGCGACTTGACCCAAGTCGATTCGGACGCGTAGAAGAAGCTGACGGCTCCCACGTGGGTGCAAGCGCTGAACAGCAGGCTTCCCGACCATGTTGACAGTCTCAAGGCCATCATTTACAGCACTCCCCAGCACTGCCTGTTGCCAGCCAGTCAGATGCGTCAATTGACTGCGCGTGCTCGGGTGCGTTTGATACAGTCGCCCTTTTTGTTGATTCCCTCGAGCACCACACACCCGCTCATGGCCATGTGAGTCCTCGTTCAAGCTTCACACAATCGCCCCGTTTTTCCGTCTCCCACCCTGGTGAAAAGTTGGACGTGGTAATTGCTTGGAGCGGCGCGTTTGCCTTCACAAGAAGCCAGGCTTCTCTTATCTGTGGGCGTGTTAAATTCGTCGATGCTGGTCACCGCCGTGCCCATGCAAACCGTGCTCGGTCTTAGATTAATGTGGCCTAATTCCCTCCAATCTCACTTTTCGTGGTTGTTGTTTCCTTCAGTCTCCTCGACAGAGCCTGTATAGACGCTTGAATCACGTCTTTGCTGTCGTCATGGACTTCGCTGTCCCGTCGCTCGTTGGTACTTCCGACGACAGCTCATGTAACGACTCCACGGGTCTATTGACGCCGGACAGCAGTCCTCTGATCCGCCCCTCGCACCCCAAGGACTCGTTTGAGACGCGTCTCGCTCATGCTTTGGAAGAGCCCAAGAGACGCAGAATAGATCCGCCCTCATTTCGCGCCGAGAGCCCTTTCGTCCCCTCGTTTGCGGATCTATTCGCGCCGGTTCCCAGTGATGTGAGGAAGGTCTGCGTGATTGGCGCAGGTTATGTTGGTATGCACACCACCTCCACTCCTACAGCAGATACGTAACCTATAGAGGTGAACTAATCGACATACGCATCTTTCAGGTGGTCCTACAGCGGCAGTCATAGCCCTGCACAACCCGAAGGTTGGGGTCGAGGTTTTGGACAGGGACCAGCGGCGCATTGAACGCTGGAACTCCGCCCACCTACCCATCCATGAGCCGGGGTTGAACAAGATTGTGCGGTTGACAAGAGATGGTGCAATCATAAAGCAACCGGGCGAACGCAGTTCTACCCCCCAAGGACACAATGGCGAGTCTGACCACGTCTCCAGACGCGGGCCGAACCTCTTCTTCACGTGCGATACTCAAGTCAGCATTTCAACCGCGGACATGGTTTTCCTCGCAGTCAACACACCGACAAAGACCACGGGGGTCGGTGCAGGGAGAGCCACCAATATGGCTGCTCTTGATGGCGCCGTCAAGGATGTGGCAATGTATGCGAAGCCTGGGACTATTATTGTCGAGAAGAGCACGGTGCCCTGTGGGACCGCTCAACGCATCAGGAACACGGTGAGTGAAGAATTTCACGCGAGGCGCAAAGTGGGTTTCTGACGGAAATCTATCAGCTCAACGCATTGCGACCAGGTGAACCATTTGAGGTTCTCTCAAATCCGGAGTTTTTGTCTGAAGGAACGGCAGTGAAGAATCTCATGAAGCCGGATCGGGTTATTATCGGCTCTTCGGGCACTCCTTCTGGTAAACTTGCAGCGGATGCTCTCGCCAGTCTATATGCCGCATGGATCCCTCCGACCCAGATTCTGCAGATAAACGCGTGGTCATCAGAGCTTTCGAAGCTGGTGGCCAATGCGATGCTGGCACAACGAATCAGCAGCATCAACTCGATCAGCGCCATTTGTGAGGCCACGGGCGCAAACGTCGAGGAAGTGGCCCGATCAATCGGCCTGGATACTCGGATAGGGCCACAATTCTTGAAGGCTGGTCTTGGATTTGGAGGCTCCTGCTTCAGGAAAGACATTGCGAGTCTCACGTACCTCGCAGAATCCTTGGGATTGGAAGAGGTGGCTCATTACTGGCAACTGGTCAATTCCATCAACGTCATGCAACGCAATCGCTTCGCGAGAAAAGTACTCAGGAGATTCAACGAAAATTTGTGCGGCAAGAAAATCACTCTTATGGGCTTTGCATTCAAGAAGAACACCAGCGATGCACGCGAGTCTCCCGCTGTGGACGTGATCAGAACTCTGTTGGACGAACAACCTGCCGAAATCGCGATTTTTGACCCCTACTGTGACGAAGACGACATGCTCCGGGAGATCACTGCAGCCGTCAGCAATCCACTCGGGTTTGAAATCGAAGTCTCGCTCGTGAAGATCTACACCGATCCATATGAGGCTTGTATGGAATCGAACGCCATACTGATCATCACAGACTGCGACCAATTCAAAACTTCTCCTCAGAGGACTCGCGGCAGCAATGCGTCGGAAACGAGTTCACCCGCTAATACAGCTACCACTGTATCGAACTCACCGAAACAAGAAGAGAACGACTACCTGGGCGCCAATTTCGCAAACTACAGGCTCGCTCCTCAGCCAGACTGTGTCGACAACTGTCCCGACTGCAGGTCGAAAGCCAGAGGACCTATTTCAACCGACCCAGTCGAATGGGCTCGCATAGTGTACAGCATGAGAGAGCCTAAATGGGTCTTTGACGGCAGAGGAATTGTCGATGCAGATGAAATCGAGAAGCTCGGAGGTGTCCGCGTGGATGGCATTGGGAAGTGGCGCCCCGAGGACGGACAGAAGCGCTGCTGGTGAAAGCCCAGAACGCTTTTAGGGTCTGTCGAGCCTCGATTGATGCATGTTCGATTGTTTTCTAAAGGCATTCTTGAGACACCGGATACCTGTCTGAGGACTCGAGAGCCCATGCATTGAATTCCTCATGCAGTCGTGTTTCTCGCACCTTCTTTTTGCCGCCCAAATCGAGTTTTGGCAACAGGGAGCCACATCGGGGAAGGGTGCATATGGATCTGGCGTTATAGCGCAGTTCTAGAGCCGGGGCACGTTATTTTCACCATACCTTGTGCAGTTTCAACCACAGCACCGCATCTCCAGGTCCGTCGTCTTTCACGTTTCACATAACCTAGAAACATATATAGAGCGTCTAAATCTACAAAGATTCTCGCCAGAAATCCTCGGTCAGACAGAGGATATCATTCGCTCGGTAGGTGAGATATATATCATTCTCCATCACGGAACAGCCAACCTCTGCATGGGAAATAGTACAGGATCTATCCCTGGCAGCAGAGTAACAATCAACGAGAAGTTTGGCACTGAAGAATTAATTAGGTGCTCGCCCGTCTAGGTACACAAGGCTGGACCTTTTTAGGGGCCATCCAGCCCGCCAGCCAACTCTCTCGCCATCATTCCTTGCTCTGAGAGATACCGAGGCTTCTTTTCTTGCTCCTCCACTTCTCTACTTCCGCCGCCTCTCTGACTGGTAGTTTCTGCTGACGGCTCGCCTGACCGAAAGTTTACAAAGATGCGGGGAACGGTCTAGAAAGTGTAAAGCAATATTAACAAGGTTACTTCAAGCATTTGAAGGGCCGTAAGACATAATAAAAGCGTGGGTATACGTCTTTCCCTGAAGCATTCTTCTGGGATTTCAAAAGAGGGGATTGACTTTTCTGTCTTTTCGCGACTGACATTGTTTCTGCGTGACCGCCGGCTGTCTCAAACAGTTGTCGCGCCCGGTTCTGTTCGTAGCTCGGTATCGCTTATTACCTGCTTACCTGCTTGCCTCCTGCCCTTCCCCCACGGTCCCAAGCCCGTCATGGCACAACCAACACCAGCACTGACACCAACTGTACCCGACGAGAGCGCCTCCTTCAACGTCTACTCACAAGCGCTCGCCCGCCGCCCTCTCCCCTCCGACCCGGCCGTGCGCGCCGACGTCGAGCACGTCCTCGAGCACGGCTACGTGATCATCCCGAACTGCTTCAGCGCGGACGAGGCGCGCGAGGCGCGCGACGAGATCAAGCGCCTGCTCGCCAAGGACTCGTCGCCGGACCGGCCGCCGCTGGCCGGGCGCAACAGCTTCGAGGGCCTCAGCACGAACCGCATCTACTCGCTGCTCAACAAGTCGAGGGTGTTTGACAAGTTTGTCATCCTGCCGCGCGTCCTGGCACTGAATGACTTTTTCCTCGATCAGGGGTATGTATATGTTCCGCGGTTTCGATCCAATTGTGCATATATATAGAGAGAGACACATGAGGACGACGACGGTTGACTATGCGCGCTTTGTACTTGCTGTGTTTATCCTGGGGCATCCGTGTGCCCTTGTCCAGCGTAATGGATGGTTTAGTCATCGAGGTGTCCCTCTCATTGGTCCTTGAGGGCGAAAGGTCTGGCATCGTCTCGATAAATTTGACATGATCTGACTGAGGGCGGCAAACGGCAAAACAGATACCTGCTGTCGGCATTCCACACAATCTCGATCAACCCTGGCGAGAAGGCACAGGCGCTGCATCACGATGACGGGTATATCCAGTTTCCTCGGCCACGGTTGCCGTTTGGAGCAGCGATAATGATAGCATTTGACGAGTACACAGCCCAGAATGGTGAGTGATGAACCCGTCTTTATGTCGCACGTGCGCAATGGTCCTTTGATGGCACGGCAATATGAGGTAGCACGAACTGTTAACCAACCACTTGGCGTCTGTTATGTGATTAGGTGCCACACGAATCATCCCCGGGTCGCACAAATGGGACAGTTCTCGACGAGGCACGCCCGAAGAAACCATCCCGGCGCTCTGTCCCGAAGGCGGGGTCGTCTACTTCATCAGCACCCTGTGGCACGGTGGTGGAGCCAACGTGTCGGACAAGCCTCGACAGAGTGCCACAGTGCAGTACTGCCAGCCTTACATCCGGCCCATCGAGAATCAGATCCTGGCGGTGGATCCAAGAAAGCTGGACGAGATCCCGCCACGCATCGTGGAGATGATGGGATATAAACATATGCAGCCCTTCATGGGTTATGCGGACGGGCTGGGCCCTCGAAGGGCAGCGAGGCGCATGGTCAAGTGGCTGCGGGAGGAGGTGGACCAAGATCCTCCGACTTTTGCGCACGGGTTCAGAGAAGACTCCAAGCTGTAGTCATGAAGACAAAAGGGACCAAGTGCCAGATATCGGTCTGCACTTGGGAGAGTATTTGGTCAAGCACTGAGAGGCCAGCAACGTAATCTGGACACTGCCCCCGCGAGGCTGTACTTACACCGAGCGAGCACTGGTGCGTCTCTAATATTCCCACGAGGGATCGAATTGAGTAATCCTTGGTTCTTGTTCCTCCCAGTCACGCCTCATACTCGTGGACCAATAGCCATGGCCTTATTTTTGATCGACCGTGCAGGAAGAAATGTGTAATGGATTAGAAATGGACAAATCCACAAGAGCCTGTGGAAAATTTGGAAACAACAACCTGATAACTGCTCCGCAGGAGATGGACGGAGCTACGAGTGCGTGACTGACTGACTAGCTGGTTGGCAGACAGCAGCGAACAACAGCCCGGATGTCCGGAAGAAGAGGCAGCCTGGCATGGAACGGCCGGAAAGGGACAACGTTGAGTTTCATTTGAGGACGGGGGCCTCGCAGATGATTTGATCTGGGCAAGCTGGCAGCTTGATCAGATTGCCGGACGGTTGTTGGTTTCGCGTTTCTGCTGTCTTGGTGTTTGTCATGGTGATTAGCCTGACTCAGCGTGCAGAACGACGTCAATGCCCGGTCATTGTGCATAGGGGCTAGCGCTACTAGAGCTCACTAAGTCCGTCTTAGCCCGCCACTCTATTGGGTAACTCCCGCCTTAATTCCTTTAGGCCACCGGACTTCTCGAGCTAGTGCCTCCTTCGGTTAATTGCGCAACTTTAGTTGAATGCCCATTTCGTTAGAGGTCACCCAAGGGAGATTGTGCCCATAGGCCCTGAGCACTCACAGGGACCACCTGGGATCATAGGGGGTCCCCCCAAAACGATCCTCCGAGGCGGCCGGCCAACGCCAGGCTGCCCAGAAAGAGGAAAAATCCCAAGACTCTCTAGCACGCTGTTCGGACTCGGTCTTTGGTTGCGGCTTTCCTCTCCAGCAACTTCATCTGCGTCCTGTGGTATCCGCTTCTTCGATTGAGCTTTATGAGGGTGTCCTAACTGTACTCTGTACTCGGTACCTCGTATGCTATCACCATCAAATTCTGAGAGGGTGTCGACAGTGGCGGCCTGACTGTGCATCGCCATCTCACGGAGGGATCGCAGGTCTGCAGCCTCATACCTCAATTCGGCTCACTCTGGGCGCTCAGCCCCAAACTGCACCCTCCCGGCTCCCTACATCTGGGCCTGTCCCTCCGTCCCTCGTCGCCAATTCACACTTTTCCCGGTGCCGTTGATGCAACGTCCCTGAGAGCATCACGACTTCCTGGCAAGTCATCGCACAATGTCTTCCTCACAGCCGGGTTCGCGCCGCATCAGCTCGGTCAGCAATTCCAATACAGAACCTTTCCCTTCGATCCCCGAATCGCCGGCAGGCCCAAGTTCTACCGACAACAACAACAACACCACCACGACCAGTACCACGACCACGACTACAACCGTACACATCCCTTCTCGTGGGAGACCCTACACGATAACCTCCACCCAGCCGCCGAACCAACATCCCACTATTGTTACGTCCGCGCCGGACAATACCGTCATAACCAACGCGACTGCGACGAACCCGGCCGTCACGAGAACCACCTATACCGCCCCTCAGATCAACCAGATCAATCAGATCAACCGATTTCGGCCAGTCGGAATCAGGAGACTGCCCTCGTCAAACCTGCGAGCGGCTGCACAAGATGGAGAGTCCTCATCAAGTCAACCTCCCAGTCGGGCTGGGTCTGGTAGGGGACGCAGCAACTCTGCACCACAACGTCCCAACCTGGGTATTCCAGGCTCAAATACACTTACCAGGCAAAGTACGCGACAGTCACTGCTGCCGACCCTTGCCGAAACCCCATCGGCACCCGGAGCAGTACCGGCAGATGGCACCGTGGATCGGGACACCATGAACGAGAACGTAACAGGCGGCGTGAGCCGGAGACGGAGTATCAGCAATGCTGCCCGTTCCATTATGAGCAGGATGAGCGACACGTCGAGGGAACGACAAGAACCTGAGTATGAATCAGAAGTTGTCGACTTGCTCGATGTGCTTGGTATGTCATCCGGATATAGTGGATAAGGCTGAGCGATGCTGACCGATTCTTAGATCCCGAAGTCTCGACACTGACGACGCTCAACAACGTCCAGAACTCGCTGTTCGTGCCAGACTTGGGTAGATGGCTAAATCGAAGACCGACCTACACGCTGAGTCGTCGGCCAACGCAGACCCGGAGACCTGAGACCATTGACGAAAAGCCCACGGGCGTGACCCCAGATACTACCGAGGCGACGCCGCCCCCAGAAGAGCCACCGGTGGCAGCCCCGGAAGAGGAGGAGGAAGTGGATGCTCCTGCCACCATGCAAAGAACCTGGTCATGGCAGCGCAAACCTCAGATCGAGCGTACCCACAGCATTACATCGGTTGTCTCGGACTCCCATTTTGCCGTGTTGCCGCACGGGGTTTCGCTCGAAGGGTGGAGTGACGAGGATAAAGAGGCGCTGGACGACCATGTCCGGCACATGCTGCACTCGAAGCGGTCGAAATTTAAGCAGAGAATGATTGCATTTGGGAAGTATATCCGGAAACGTGAGTTGCGAAGTCTCCCACGTTTCTCATCCATTCGCTAACCATGACAACAGCACTTGGGTTTTGCGTGTTTTTGTATGCTACTCTAATTACTTTGTTTGGTTTGGCTTGGGTTCTTTTCTTGATTGGTAGGTTTGAATGCGCTTCTGAAGAGGATATTGGTCGCTGACGGTGTTCCTGTAGGTTGGATTTACGTTGGAGACCGACAGGAATACGACGTCAATGTAATCGACAACGTGCTTGTCGCCCTTTTTGCGGTTGTCGGTGACGGACTCGCACCATTCCGAGCGGTAGACACGTACCACATGTGTTTTATTGCTCACTATCATCACTTGACTTGGCGGTTACGACGAGAAAAGGGCATGCCGAAACTGCGCGACCGCAATGACCTCCCTGCTCAATCGGAAAAGGAAGCTGACCCCGAGTCTGGAACTCCAGAGGACTCTGAATTCTCGGTCTTGACGCCCAAGCAGCAGCAAAAGCTCATGCACCACCAAGCAAAGTTCTCCAAGTCCCATTCTTTCTACAAGCCCCACGAGACAACCACCCATTATGCTTTTCCGTTGCGCTTGCTGGTGGCCATCGTGGTGTTACTCGACTGTCATTCACTGTTCCAGATCGCGCTCGGCACATGTACTTGGTCGATCAGTTACCACCACCGCCCGCAAGCACTGACTGCGACGATTCTCTCATGTTCCATCACGTGCAACATCACGGCAGGGATTTTAATCGCCATCGGAGACCGGAGGACTCGCAAGAAGGATGTGGCTCTGAGGATGCAGAGACAGGCCTTGACCCAGACCGCCATCAAGAAGGTAGAGAAACACAAGCGGGAGAGGATGGAACACGATCGGGATGCTCACATCCGAGACGCCAATTTTGAAGTTATCGATGAAGAGACTGCCGACCAGGTCCATCCGAGGAGCCATTAGGCATGGCTCTCGAATCTGCCAGTCCAACTGCAGCAGAAGCATGGCGTTGGAGGAGGAAGGCCTCTCAAATTGGTATTAACCGACATGACCCCAAAATGACAAGCAATTGTGCAGAATGGAAGAGGTGTGCTGTATCTATCTCCTGGTGACTACGTGATGATATCCGGACTATTCTACGGCAAGCTGGGTCACATTAATACCAACCTCGCCTCACGAAACCCACAAACCCTCAGCATCTCTAAGCGCCAAATGCGACCGTCAGGCCGATTTTTGTTCACACCGTAGAACAATTGCAGGCTCAGCTTCGCCAACCGCATATAGCTGCACGAAACTGCCTCGACGACCAACAACAACTCGAACGCACTCTTTTCCCTTCATGGTCATGCATTTACCCACATTGTCTTCACTTGTGTTCTGTCCGAATTGCGTGCCGATTACTTTCTCTCCATTCCAAACTGGCCGAAAAACGGGAGTATCGATCATGCCTCGCCTGCTTTTCGATGCCTGTTCAACAATTTTCCTCCTCGGCCTTCTGGCCCGCACATGTCAAGCATTGATGATTTTCAATCACACTGTTGTGGATTCAAAGGACAAATGAGGGAATTGGGAAAGCTGCATGGAGTGGCGCGTTACTAGACAGATTCTCAATCCCTTCCACATGGCATCTCGGGACGGTGGACTGTTTGTTCAGCAATGGACACAACAAGGGCCGAACCCTTCTCTCCGTCAGTGGGTGCCTTTTGGATAATTCATCTACAGGATCAACGAACAATCAGGCCTCTGGCTTTGGAAATGCTTTGGCGAAATGGGTCTCAAGACGCTATGCAATGGTTGTGAGCATGGGAGATGGCGAGACGTATCGTATAAATACTTCGAGGCGCCCCGTGTAGCATATCAAGTGGTCGATTAAGCTAGCAAAGCTCTATTCTCAATCTTCTTACCGTGACGAACTCAGTTAAGGACAGCATCAAGAATCAAAACATTCACTGCCTTGCTAGTCACGATCAGACCTTGACAACGCCAGCCTGTCGGACCTCATCCGCGAAGCTGCCTTTGGACAACTCATCAGGTGGCTCTCTGGTCATCCCCTGTTCCAATACCCCGAAGACCAAGCGGACTTTCAACTTCCTCCACAATACCAATTTCTCCTCAACAAAGGAGAGGGTGAAAGCGCAGATGACCCCAACATCGAGGAGATTACTCTCTCGCCTACTCCAAGCAGGACGGAGAGTCTCCCTTACAGCCATGAACGCTTCGAGATCGAAGGACAGCTTGAGATTGAGAGGAAAAGGTCCCTATCCATTGTGCCTAAGCAGACCAAGGACGACATAATCCTGGTGGATTGGTACACGACCGACGATCAAGACAACCCGTGGAACTGGAGCAGCAGGGAAAGGGCCTTTGTCATCTTTCACCTTTGTTTTTACACTTGGGTTGTCTATATTGGTTCGGCCATCTACGCAGCCAGCGAAGGGGGCGTCATGAAACAATTTGGAGTCAGACACACCGCTGCCAGCCTCCCGCTGTCGTTGTATGTGCTGGCTTCCGGCGTTGGACCGTTGCTTTTCGCCCTCTGACCGAAATTCCCACCATCGAACGAAACTTTGATCTACACCGCTACGCTTATTCTCTTCCTCATCATTTCCGTCCAAACGACATCCGCGAACAGTTTCGCGGCCTTGTTGATCTTGCGGCTCTTGCAAGGCTTCTTTGGGAGGCCCGCTGTCGCAAATCCCGGCGCCTCTTTTGGGGATGTTTACTCCGTCATGTATTTCCCCTATCCTTTTAGATGGTGGGTGTGGGCTGCGTGGAGAGGGTCTGCACTGTTCTACGCCACGTACTTTACCTTCTTCGAGGTCTTCCCTTTGGTCTTCCCCAAGATGTACGGGTTCAACATGGGAGACACGGGGCTGGCGTTTGTGCCCTATCAGATTGGCGCGACTTTGGTTTACTCGTCTACTTTACCTATCTGCGGTGATACAGGATTCCCAACAATGAGAAACACGGCCTCGCAGAACAAGAACACCGACTTGGCCTTGGTATCTTCTGGTTATTCTTTTCCCCGATCGGCCTTTTCATCTTCGCCTGGACCGCCCGGAAACGGACATCCACTGGAGGATGCCGATCCTGGGAGTCGTCCTGTTCGTCTTCGGCACGTTTTTCATCTCGCAGAGCATCTTCGTCTACGTGCCAGTCTCGTCCCCGCGCTACGCGGCGTCCCTGTTCATGGCTAACGACCTGTCCCAGTCCTCCTTTGCTGCCGGCAGCATCCTCTTTGCACGTCCGTTGTTTGTCAACCTCGGCGTGGACAGGGGGCGTTACCATCCTGGCCTCCATCAGCGTCCTGGGCGGATTCGGCATGTTTGCCCTGCACTACTACGGCGCGAAGCTGCGTGCTCGGTCGAGCTTTGCGCAAGCCTAAGGCACACAGAGTTAACCTAGCATATCAGTCACTACGGAATACGTTTTGGGAGAAGGCGCGAGGGAGAAAGGCCGGAAATGGTTGAGCAATAGATATAGATAATTAGATCCTATTGTAGTGCTGTAATCGATCTGCACTTTCTCACCGCCTTGGAGGGGTTGGAAGTAACACGGGAAAGACTACCGCTGCATTCTGGCTCCGGTGTAGGTAATAGATCAATCAAATCAGAAATCTGCTCAAGAACTGTCGTTGTACACACATAACACACATACGCCCGCGTACACATGAATGCTTCTCGCCAGCGTCTCTCCATTGAAAACCCCGATTTGTGATAAGCTGGATAGAAGCTCCATATCAGACTCCAGGCAAGTTTGTTAATAAGCCGACAAGCGACCTAGCAGGACAGGTGACTAACGTACCCAGCCCAAGGCGTGACAAGTAAGAATCTGGAAGAGAAAAAAATGTAATAACTACCAACTACTACGCCCTGACCATTGACATGCGACGTGCGCGATGCGAGCTAAACTGAAATATTTGAAGTGGATTCCTTCGTCTAACGCTGGCTGGTGCAAGCCGCGTCCGTAGGAACCCAGTCACCGTACGTGTCTGTCTATTCCTTGCTAATCTGGGAAGCTAGTATTATATCTGGTGCTTGTGTGAAAGGGATGGCTCACGTCGGGAAAGATAGAGGCTGGTTGACTAACAACCAACATGAGGTACTGTGGGTACTGACATACTGTATGTAGAACATCGTAGTGGATCCGCGCGAGTAGGTAAGAGATCCTTCCAAATGCGGAAACCAGATTTGTGTGAAACAGGAATAGCGCCTCTGGCCAGGTTAACAACACCTCCACGTCACCCCAGGGCCTCAATTACTATACCAAACACTGACTGCTTTCAAAGACATGTCGTCCTGGCCGTGCGCTGGGCTTTCAGGGTGCTGGCAAGAGCCAATCTGTGCTGAGAAACACACACACCCCAATGGAACCAAGTGGTTCAGGACCAAGTGACACGCCAATAGCCTTCCCCCCTCCCATTTTCCTCCCTGATACAGTGTTGCACACCCCAGCTCAATTCGATCCTTTCAATCCGTGACCATCCGAGAATCAGAAGGACGCAAGGACCGCGAATTGCGGAGGTCCATCCGGCCTCACGCTGTTAGACAAGCACTCCAGAGCAAACGAAGGAACGAAGAATCCCGCAGCCAGCATTTCGTCTCGCTCCCGCAAATATAGAGCCCTCACGTACTAGAGAGAAAGCGGCCCAGACGAGAGCGCCAGTTCCATCACCACTTCCGACTCTTAGGGTCTTTCACAGCCCCTCAGAGGCTGGCGAAGCAGGTCTTTCGAGGTTAAAATCACTGCTGAGATCCAGTATTTGCTTTCATCTACACAATCAATGGGCTTTGCAGACCTCATATGAGAGTGCAACACAGACGAGACAATGCAAGCCCTAGAGCCTGTTTTCAGCATCGGGGACCATGTCGCTCTCCAAAATTTCCGCTAGGTGTTCCGGACAAGGGTGAACAATCAGACCCTCTTGGACGCGGTCCTCCTCACAGCAACGTTCGCTGTGATGAAAAACGTCCTCAATCGCGAATACCTCCATCAACAAACAGAAAAGACGAAGGTCATCCGCGAAAGGATCAGCGCTTCTGACCCTGCTACCACCGTCTCAACTATGGGTGCCATTCTTCTCGTGGCCGATATTGAGGTGGGTGAAATCAATCACCAGCTGCATTGCCTTGCCTGTGTGCGCACACTGATCTCTCGCGTGAACAGACGCTCCTGGGAATGCGGTCGCAAGTGGAGATTCATCTGAGGGCCATCCGCCATCTGCTTAAATCATCTAGGATCGGCCAAGTATACCTGACCGACGGCATCAAGCGCGATATTTTGGTGAGACTGGATTTAGTTCCACTTCCTGATACGTCTTCATGCTTAGAAGAGTAAATATGCAAGACTTGTACGCACACATCTTGACGGCGTCAGAGCATATAGTGACGCACGATTCGTTCAATGAGTTGGGGTGAGAGCGAGACGTCTTTCCTCCCGACGTCTTCATCCTGTCTTTCGGCTGCCAGTGGAAGGCACATCTGCTCCCTTAACAGTTCCTGGAAGTCCTCGTTGGCATCCACGCGATGCAGAGCTGTCGGGACTCGGCCTTCTTTGCGTATGAAGACACGATATCCATGATGTATGTGGAAAATCAACAGGCGTGGGTCCAGTCGAAGCTGGTCGACCTCCCGACAAGTCCATTCGTTCAGGAATGTTGTCGGTGGGCTGCATATCTGGCAGCTTCGATACCGTGCTGCAAGGTTTGGCGGATGTCCGTGATGCCAGTAAGTAGATATCATCGTCTCTGTCGGAATTGTTTTCAGCATGAACTGACCTGCGGGTGCAGTTCTTAGCCATGGATCTCCTTGCAGCTCTGCAGAGGCTTTAGCAGCGTCATGACAAGTCACTCTGGGACGTTCATAGCGACCTACTGGCCTGGATCCAATACAGTGGAGGCGCGCTCGCTCCTGCGGGGCCCATCTGGTCTGGCTACGCCGGGCTCCTGCAAGACGAATACTCTTCAGAGTGTGGCGAACTGACTTCTCCTTGGCCTGATTTGGTCGGCGTACTTAGTCTGTTCATCTGGTCGTTAAATGCTTTTTACAGCCAGGTGAACTCGTACTAGGAGGAGGTCATCAACTATAGGAAGTGTGGTCTTATCACAGAAAATATAATTCTTAAAGGGATTTTTTCTTTCGTTGAAACCTGCGACTTACGACCATCATCCCCTCTCAAGTCTCTTTTCTGAGCAACGACGAAAAAAGTGAGTCAGGCCTGGTCCCGGACGCTGTATTACCGGGGCTTGATTTTGTGTCCGAGGTCGATGGTGGAGTAGTCGGTGTGGCCTGACTCTCTACATAGGCATATCCTAACGCAAGTAACGCAAGAGACCTTACACAAGAAATCAAGAAAGAACCAGACCCAAGCTGGAGTTGAATTACTCACTACATTACACCTTGAGGGAGGCCGTTCAACCACCTGCGGCGCCGTCCGACCTGAGGAAAAGTCGACGGTGAGTATAACTGAGCGTCTAGAGCACTCACTCCTGAACACCTCTCTAAGGTGAGCATCCAAGACTCCACATTTAGTTCCTCTCCGCTGCTGCTGAACGTATCCCAGAATATATATCTACGAAGCCAACAGGCACAGTACTCACTGACTCAACTCAGCCCCCATATTCAATCTTATAGCTCGACCGCCTCTCCCGCACTGACGCCTTGGGCAGCGCTATCCGCAGCACCCCGTCTTTGAGCCGCGCCTTCATGCGGTCCAGGTCCACGGTATGTGGGAAGGTGAAGGACCGCAGGAACCGGCCGGCGTGCCGTTCCGAGAGCAACGTCGTGGTCGAGGGCTCGTCCTCCTCGGCGCGCGAGGAGGATTCCCTGCGATGCAATCTATTCGGTCTGATGTCGCCGTGTGGCTTGTCGCCTTCGGCAGCTTTGGCATGGTCGTGATCATGGTCGTGGTCGTGGTCGTGGTCGAGAGAACCCTCCGAGGCCGCGGGGCCGGGGCCCCTTTCCACCCGCACGTCCCTCCCTGGCCGGATGCCCAAGACTTCACCCCATTCGCGGTATAGGTCGATCTCCGGCGCCTGAGCCTCGACCACTAGGCCCTGGGAACCCAGCCTCTCGATCCTGATGTCGTTGGGGTTGTGGATACCCGGGAAGTCGCCTTCCAGGAAGTACGCCTCAGCTGTCTCTCTGACGCTGAAGTTCGGGAAGACGACGTCCTCCTGGTACACCGAGCGGCCCTGGCTGTGGCGGCGGTGGTGTTTCTGGTCTAGGACGGAGTCAAGCTCGCCCGCGCCGAGGTAGTCGAGCACGGAGCGCACAGACGAGCGGTGGTACGGCCCATGCGAGTCGAATGTAACGTGTGGTGGTTTCAGGACTGCGTTGAGGTTCAACGGAGGCATTTTGTGCGTCTGTGCTTGTATACAGTGGTTTGGCGGTAAGTAGAGACGTCTGTCTTCTTCCTTCGTGTCTCTCTGCGGTGTTCTTACGTATTTCTTATGTATGATCTTCGACGGTTTCGAGTGACCGATTCGTCACATGAGTTCGAGATAGCGAGGCGAACGAGCGGCAGAGTGGTGTATTGTCCTCACAGGTCACGTGGCATGTTGGACTTTTTTGATCACTCCACCTTGTATGAGCCAACAATTTCTTGCCCAGTGTCTTGGTAAGGCGATTTGGAATGATCGCTGACCCAGACTCTTCGTGATTGGGTCTTGTGAGAATGGTGTGATTGGAAAAGAGCCTCAAAGACGTTCATCCAACTGATGATCGCGTGAGCTAGTTGACTCTGGGGATCTGCCTACCTACATACATACTTACATACCTGTGCTGTGAAAGTCTGGAGATGTCGTCCTAGCTCGTTAGTGAGGTACAAAAAGAGAGCACGGCGTCGATTAAGGAAACCATCATCAGAATGGCTATGTCCCTGACGGCCAGCTCTCTTGGCAAACGAGCCACAGTTAGTGGTCAAAGTCCTGCTCTTAGCTATAGTCGGAATAGATCCACGTGACACTGTTTTGTATGCCTGGCTGCGCTGTGTTGATGCAACAATGGAACGATTGCCAAACCGGTGTGATTTTTGGCCAATGAGCCTGATTATAATTTCCTTCCGAGGGCGTTAACAACAATGTCTTGCATTATAGACACCGGTCTGTTTGACATCCGCTTGCATTTAGAGTGCTAAAGATGGAATCATTTGTCAATATCGGGCTGCCTGTATTCGTAGCCTGGCTTCATACTCTTGCTTGGTATAGACATCCCCGAAAAGCCCAGCAACATGATTGATGGCCCAAGTACCAGGATCGCGATTGTCTGTTTGCCAAGGAGTCGGGGTACGAGGAAACAACCTGATAGTCGTAAAGACCAAGACCAACCTTTCCCCGTGGGATGGCGCGACCCAGAAGGCTGATCCCAGAGCACCTGATGGTCGACGGACCGGAAGTTTCTACACCTCGGACCCCACAGGTATAAGTGCTTGCGGGTCGTCTTCTTTGTAGTCGTGTCTGAAACCATTCCGCCAAAACAAACAGATCCATATTCGCAACCAAGCAAAGAAAAACAACATCAGCAATGCCGGAATCAAACAACAAGGGACTACACTCCTTCAAGACAAATGTCGAGGTCGCCGCGATGGCGGGCAGTGGTGTATATGCTGCCAACGAACTCGGTAAAGCAGTCGCAGAAGACTATAAGGACGCCAGTGACCACTATGTGAAGGCAGCAGTGGGGGCCGCTGTCGCGGTTGGAGCCTTCCAGCTTCTCAAGAAGCAGAAACGTGAACGCGAGGAAGACGACTACGCCAGCAGCGACGATGAAGAACATCACCACCGCCACGAACCTCGGCCCCGTCGGCACTCACACCATGAACATCACCATGAGCACTCGGAGTCCCCAGGTCACACCAGGCGGCTCTTGGAGGAGGCCGTGGGGGCGTACAGTTTGGGCAAGGAGCTCTTGGGCGACAGACGCCACCATGTGATCCACTTAGTCACGGAGGCTCTAGGAGCAGTTGCCGCTGTGAAGGAGGTCAACGACAGGAGCAAAGAAGCTCGAGAAGTTTGATAAAGTCGGAGACGACGATGTTTGAATGCTGAAGGAAGAGTCAAGGATGGAACAAAGTTGGGTAGGAAACCATTATTTGGGAAGAATGACTCGCATGATGGCAAAGTGATGGCGTCATTTTAGCGATCTCCTTCAGCTTGTGAGCGAGAAACAGCGGGTAGGAATTTGTAATGACAGATAAGCTATGCATTGTCAGCTGTACTGGTCTTGGCACCGCCCGCATCAACCGAGGAGCCTTGGAACAACTCCTGATTCTCCAGTATCTCTGGACATTGGCTGCTGGCTTGTTTAGACAGTATGATCCTCCCAAGCGGCCTCCGGGACACGCTTCTGCTGCTTCTAAGCGCCACAGCCATGTTTTAGCAGCGAGCACCCCCAAGGAATTGTGGCGTGAGTGGAAAATCGAAGTATTATCACAGCCTCGTGTTTGTCTTGTCGAAAGTCCCCGACTGCAACCGAAAGTCTCGTTATTGAGCTAAGATCTTTGCCCCGTGTCTCGTCCTGGCCCTGGGCCTCTTGAGATTCCCTGTCTCGTCGAACCACTTCTCCTGTACGAAAATGCTGTATGCAGGTAGTCCCATAACCGCAGATTCGGTGCAGACAACCTCCCTAGTCTCATGCGATCATCACACATGCTAGTCTGTGCCCCGGGTTTTCTCAAACCCCTCAGTGCCACAGCCAATCCCGGACTAGACGCCAACATCCTGGACGTGCTCAGAATAGCCCTTGTTCCGATCCAATCCTTTGGGACTGCCACCCAACTCCACAACTTGGACATCGTCTTCATTCGCCATGATCTTCTTGTTGTCCAGGACATGCTCTCCAAAGACTTCTGGCATAGTCTCGAGCGTGTGGCCCTTCGTCTCAGGGAAGAAGAGGAACATGATCAGAACTTCGATAGCCACCCATCCCACATAGACGAAGTAGTACTTCCAGCCGATCGCGTTCAGCCCGATCGGGTTGACGAACTGGTTGAAGAAAAGGGAGGCCTTCGTGGTGAAGACTGAGATACTGAGACCCATTGCGCGTAAACGGTAGGGCAGAATCTCAGTCGAGTACAGGTACAGGGTCGGGATGAGACAGAAGTTGTACCCCGTGTTGAAGATGAAGATGAAACCCAGGGACGAGCGGCCCGCACTTGGCGACTTGTGCTGGTTGTAGACGGCCACCGAGGTCGCAAAGCCAACGAGCGACAGCCACATGAAGGTACCTCCGCCGACGAACAAGACCCGACGGCCGACCTTGGTGGCAAAAATGACGGCGCAGAAGCTGGTGACATAGTTGACGGTGGTAACGATGCCGTTGAGCCGCGTCTGCTCCTGCTGTCCGGTGATGCCAATACTTTCCAGGATCTTCGGAAGGTAGTAGGAAATCAGCCCAGTGCCGCTCCACTGACCGAAGACGGCGAGGCAGATCAGGATCATGAGCCGCTTGCGGTTCTCCCGTGTCTGCAGGAACAGGCGAAGCCCCTTGTGCTTCATCTGCTTCTCCTGCTGCAGGGCTTCCCACATCTCGTGGTACTCGGCGATTGGCAGAGGATGATTTGGGTCGCCGCCCCCGTGGTGCTTGACCAGGATGGCAAAGGCCTCATCGCCGCGGTCTTTATAGCACAGCCAACGAGGCGACTCGTCGAGGAACCAGATCGCGCTCGTCTGAATGAGCGCTGGACATGCCTGGAAGAGCGTGGGAAGCCGCCAGGCCCAGGAACTTGGAATGTGGACGCTGCCGTAGGCCACCCATGCTGCGAGCACGGAGCCTAGGGCGAAGCTGCAGTTGTACATGGCAGAGAAGAAAACCCGGTGTCGCGGGTGGGCCAACTCTGCGAGCAGAATCGGCGCCGCAGCCAAAGCAAGAGAGATACCGAAACCGACGACGACACGTCCGCCGATGAAAAGCCCAATGCTCTTGCTGACACATTGCAAGACGACGCCGAGCATCATGATGATGCTGCCGATGAAGATGGACCATCGTCGGCCAAAGCGGTCAGAAACAATGGCAGAGAATGGGGTCGATCCTATGGCGCCGAGGGCGTATGCTGAGCTCGTGATCCCGAGCAAGGCTCCGTTCGGATTCCCGAACTGGTCCTTCCACCTGTCGATTCCTTGGAGAGCGTTGAGGACGGAGCCATCAAAGCCGTTGGTGGCGCAGACCACCAGAGTGGCGGGGGCCAGCACAAGGTAGAGCCTGATCAGCGCCGGTGTCAAGCCGAGGCCTTTCTTGTCTTCCAGTGCGAGCACCTCCGACACCGTGAGAGTGGTGTGTACCGCTGAGTCCATTATGACTCGGGGTAGATGATCCGGGAGGACAGAGAGAAAGAGGGAGACTCAAAGGGCTGGAGATGGGGGGGTGGAAGCAGGGACAGGCTGAGGCGGGTCAGGTTGTGAGAAGCGGACAAGAAGCCAGCTTATGTAGGAAGCATAATCCATAACCAACGCTATAGATGTCTCCAACAGCCTCTCGCGGGAAATGGACTGAGTCAAGACCCAGGGCATGCGGTCGCAGTTGGTTTAGCTAGTTCAATATCGAAATACAGCCATGCAAGCCAGGAATACCGTGCCCGAAATCCCCTACTTCGTGCATACCTACGTGCTAGCTCATCCTCCACCTCCTGCGCAGAGCGTTCCCGGTCTCTCCCCTGTCGTCTATCATTTCCCCGTGGGGGAGAGAGGGTTCGAAACGGCGAGGAACGGGGTAGGGCCGAGTGTCGATCGCCCAGGCTCGATAGATAGAACGCCAGTCTATTCGCGTCAACGACGACGGAGAGAATCCCTCGGCAGAGAACCCCTTACTTTCTCTAGGCAGGGACGATCTCGTGGTATATCCGGTCCATGGTTGGTGGTCGTTGCATAAATGACATCCTAGCTAGGTATCGCATCGCCGGGGGAAAAGCGTCGCGAACGTGCTGGACGAGTCATGCGAAACAGCTTTTTGAACCCAGAAGGAGTAGATCAGCTAGTGGGCGGCTAGCCACCTCACAGTTAGTTTCTCCTGGACAGGATGCAGGGTTGATAGACAGGTAGTCACATGTCGACAGTACTCTACTCCGGTGCTGGTTCTCCGCGACTATTCCCCCTCCCCGCATTTGCTGGGGGCCCTTCGTCTCCGCAGCCTCGTGCCGAGTAGCCGGGGCATTTGTCGATATTGGCCCAGAAACTGGATACTAATGCTAGAATACCCAAACAACCGATGGGGCCCTATGAGGAAGGGGACCAACAAGTTGGAAATTTGCCTATAGGCCGGCTGGGGTATTGTAAAAAGGTTTGCTTCAGCCTTTGCAGATCTCTTTAGCCGAACAATTCCCTCTCTCGTCGGTGTTGGGCTGCGTTTAGTGGGTGACAGACTAGGTAGTTTATCGCAGAGTCCGTCGCGACGGCAAGCCGTTGATGCCTACAAAGAGAAGGGCGGGAAGGTAAAACGTATTGGTAGGAACAAAAATTGATGCACCCTTTCATCTCTGTCAAGAGGGCTTGTTGGAAACAAGGAAAATGTCAAATGGCATTCTTGGAAAAGAGTTCTACTTAGGTTTGTAACGAGGCTCCGAGTGTGCAACATACCCCATCTCAGGCTAAATACTATAAATCTGGTCAGAAGGGCAAGACTTGTGGGAACCAAATCCCTCGGGTCAGTGCCTCGTCTTCAGCAACCACCTGTCTAACCCTTCCGTCGTAGGCTATCGAGTCATGACACGGATTTCACTCTCCAGCTTGTACGCTTCGCTGCCTTTTGGAGAGGATTCAAAATTCTCATGGCCTTCTGTCTCTACCTGGTGTGAACCCGTCTTCGAGTAGTCGGATGCGGGCGTATCTTCCTGGAAAATGGGTATTTGGATACCGAACCCATAAGCTTCCTTGGTTTGTCACAAATCCAAAGTGGTGCAAGACCGGCCATTGACAGGTAGCAATTCCTTCGCCTCCTCGAGAGAGATGTACCGGAGCTGATCACTTCTGATTCCTTCAAATACCTTGTAACTCAGACCCAACTATTCAGATAGCCGGGTTGACTTCGACGTGCTAGCCGGAAGCATAGGAGTGGATTTGCTGGATACAATCGAACACAAACGACAACGAACGATACCATAGTCTCTGACATGGTGTGACTGACATGCGACTTGGGACTGTGACCAGATGCAAATCTGTATCAAGAACTCGAGTCGATACATTGTATTGTTATTGTGACGGAGAAGCAAATGTTCGACAAACCCGCTGATCGGTCATTTGAGCCAGCATCGGTGTTGAATAGAAATGCAAGAGGATCACTCAAAGCATCCTCCAATATGGGAGTAGCTTTCCACCACTAAGTCTCGCACGTTATTCCGCTTTTTTGGACCTGGGAGGAAAATAGGAGCGGAAGGCATCGAAATTGAACACCTTCTGTAATCTGACATCGACCTCGAAAGCCCGAAGAGGAGGCGACAAACACAACCACGAGGACTACAAAGGCCCGCTCAAAATTGTTTAGTTAGTATCTCAGGCTAAATCAGCAAGACTCTCCCGGAGGGGGAAAGAGAAATTTGGCCTGCGGAGAGATCAAGGTTCGCACGTACAAAGTATCGTAATGAGTCTGTTGTTCGGAGAATCGCCGACGGTGTCCACCGCCGTTGCTGCGACGTGTGATCCCATCATTGCCAGCGCCCGCGTGTACGTAGGGCGGACACGTCAAGCCGAGTAACGAGTCAAGCGGGGGATTCGGAGACAAGCACGGTTGGAGTTGTAACCGTACGAGCCTGGATCGTAGATCGTGGGAGGAATTGGGGGTTGGCTTCTCTTCTTGTATACGGGAGTCCGGCATGGGGGGGATGCGGGATGGGGAGAGGACAAAAATATATGAGCCATCATGTCATATATGCACTTACCGACCACAAACCACAGCTTCAGTGTTCGATACATCCTATTCCGTACCATTACCACCGTCCACCAACCCAAACCAACCCCGTCCTTTCTAACACCCAAGAATAGTGAACCCAGCCCACAGCAATGGTCCTGAAAACATCGCACGACCAGTACCCCCCCTTCGCCGAGGGTCTACGGACAGCTCCCCTCGTGTCCATCTCGCTCCCCAAACTTGAGGCCTACGATGAGGCCGAGTCACGCAGCTTCTTCCAGGCGTCCAAGGATCTGGGCTTCTTCTACCTGAGCATGGAAGGGTCGGCGCTGGGCGAGAAGATCGTGACGCAGGCCGAAGAGCTCCACGCCGTGCAGAAGCAGTTCCACGCCCTGCCCAACGAGGAGAAGGACGCATTTGCTCGGGAAAAGCTCGATCCCTTCTTCGGGTACCGGCTCCTGGGCACGCGCGAGGCGGAGGACGGTACGATCCTGCGGAATGAGAATTATAATGTCAATCACCGCCTACCTATCCACCTCTTATATATATATATATATATATGCCGTGGAAAATTGCGGAGGATTTGAATTGCTGACTTTCTGCCTCGTTCTTTCTAGATGCGCAAAGACGACCTCATCGGTAACTGCAAACCGCTGCCCTGTCCAGACCTGATCAAGCAGCACTGGACCCTGTTGGGCGACTACGCCCGCAACTGCCGCGCCGCCATCGACCTCATGTTCACCCACCTGGAGAAGAACCTGGAGCTGCCCATCGGCACCCTGGCCAACCTGCACCGCATCGAGGAGCGGTCGGGCGACCACGTGCGATTCAACAAGTCGGCCCCCGGCAAGTTCGACGAGCAAAAGGCCCGGCTGGGCGAGCACACCGACTTCGGCTCCCTGACCATCCTGTTCAACTGGATGGGCGGCCTGCAGATCCGCCTGCCGGACACCAACGACTGGGTGTATGTGCGTCCCGTGCCCGGCTCGGCCGTGGTCAACCTGGGTGACGCTCTGGTGAAGTTCACGGCGGGCCTGCTGCGGTCCAACGTGCACCGCGTCGTGCCCGCGCCGCCGCCGCAGAACAAGATCGACCGTCACAGCCTGGTGTTTTTCTCCCGGCCTGAAGACGCCGTCGTCCTGCGCCGGCTCAAGGGCGGGCTCATCGACAAGCAGCCCCAGACGCAGAAGGAGGAGATGGAGTTGACCAGTGAAGAGTGGATCCTGAGACGGAGCGTCGGGGATCTGAAGGGCGTCTATACACACCAAGGAGGCCTCGAGCTGCGTGCCCTGGTGGAAGGGAAAGCCTGAGCTGACAAGATCAAGATGACGATGTAGTAGTAGCAGTAGCCAAGATATAGTTCCAGGTATATTGGGTAAAAAAGAACACGGGTTGACAATTGGCTTGGAAGAACTGGTCCCTTATTGTCCCTTCTCGCGCCTTGAAGCCAGAACGGGACTTGATCGCGAGGGTTTCGGCCGTGAACATCGACAACCACCCTTTCACTCACCGGATATTCTCGCCGTCCAATGTGCATTCCTCCATCCCGAGAACATATTTCTCCCCCCACAAGAGGATCTGCAGCAGGCAGCAATATAATGACCCTTGGCGTGGTAAAACGTCTTACACGGAACCAGCTGCCAAGCTGCGTTGCTCCTGAGGTCATTGGCCCAGTCATGCTTCGGTTTCGGCCGTAATGTGCACTAATTTACACTGCCATGGGCGGGCTGGTTCTCCGAAGAGGCCAAACCCAGTCTCGTAGGTTGGAGAATACGTCGGCGTCGAGTCCCTCCGTCCCTCAATACGTCGTTGAGGAAGTTGGAATAGTAGTTGGTAGAGGAGTCGAGATGGGATTATGTATATATATTTCTTGAAGCTCATGGGAGTGAGTAGATCACTCCTCAACAAGATCAAAAGGTAGTAAACCCGAGAACCCAATTGTTTGTCAATAACAGACACAGACAAAGTAGCCAACTCACCCATGGACGCGTTCATTGAGAAGGACCAAGCCCCGGCCACGAACCATAGCTGCTTCCAGGCGGAGGTACAATGCCACCACCAGCAGACCAACCGACAGGCGTACCATCCCCGCTGCCACCACCGTCCAAGTAACGACAACAACATCAACAACCATCACAAACCTGCTCGCTCATGCCATTGCTACCGGTGCCAGAAGAGCCGGGGGGAGCCCGCACTGCATCCCGCAATCAGCATTCCCCTGGCCATCGCGACTGGCGGGCTCTCCTGCGCCGCAATGGGCATTTATCGAGGCTATGCGGGCCACCGTACGCTCAAGAGGTCGAGAAATGTGAGCCTGGAAGAGGCACCCCGACACAACATCGACATCACCCACGAGCAAGAGGTTGGATTTCACTCGGTTTCTTCCAGGGCAGGATCCTCTGAGATGGAGAGTCCTTCCAGCACAGGCGGCATGGGTGGTCACGACGCTGGCTTGGGCGCTGATGTGCCTGATGCGGCGCCGCCCAAATACTCGGAAGTCGAGGAGGATAACGTGGTCAGAGATGTGGCGGAGAAAATGTGAAGAGCAAGACCGGTGCCAGTCGTGAGTGATGAGATGTGAATAGGAAACTGCAACACCTGCAAAACACAAATAATGACATTCATATAGGGCAGAATAGTTCTTTCCATTGATCTTTTAGTGTAGAGCCGCTAGAACACGCTCACGTCCCATTCGCCCTCCTTTCTGGGTCCCGGGAGCGTGCTCTTCCCTCTCGGGACGAACTTACCGTACCCTTTCTTGCCCAGCAGCCCACCGCCATCTCTATCCCACACCACCTCGCCCCGGAGAATTGTGTATCTCGGCCACTGGTTGAGTTCCATCCCCTCGAAAGGAGTGTAGTCCACGTTGTGGTGGAGCATGGAATTCGTCAATTTGAACGTCCCCAACTTGCCCGGCGGGTACCAGATGGTGAGATCGGCGTCGCTGACGCCAGGCAAAATCGTGCCTTTCTGTGGATACAGGCCGTACAGCCGAGCCGCGTTGGTGCTGGTCACCTCCACGAACTTCTGGAGCGGGAGTCTATTCGCGCTCAGCGTCAGTGCCAGACGGGTCTCTATCCCGGGGCACCCGTTCGGAATGCCACTGAATCGGCCCTCTGGGTATTCCTCGCTGATGATGGATTTCTTGCCCTTCTCGTAGTCTTCGTACATGAAGGGGCAGTGGTCCGAGGAGAGCACCGTGAAGGTACCGTTGGCGAGACCGATCCAGATGGCGTCGTGGTCGTGGGCAGACTCGCGAGGCGGAGGCGAACAGACACATTTTGCGCCTTCGAAATCGGGCTTATCCAGATCTGCACGGGTCAGGAAGAGATACTGTGGACACGTCTCGGCGTACACGGGAAGTCCACGTGTCTGCGCGTTGCGAAGGTGGGCGGCGGCGCTAGGGGATGAGACGTGGACGACGAGGCTGGATAGGCATGCTGGTGAGCTCAGAACCTCACGATGGACGGCGAAACCAACAAGGTTGACTTACATAGGCGCGTCCATCAATTCGGCCAGCGCAATCGCACGATTCGTCGCCTCCGTCTCCACGATCTGCGGTCTGGAGGTGGCATGGTACTTCGGAGCGTACAGCTTCCGCTCCTCCAACTTCTTGGTCATCCAGGTCAACACATCTCCATTCTCGGCGTGAATCATGGTCGTGATCCCCTCTTTTCTCGATGCCAACAACACATCCAGGATCTGGTCGTCCCGCAGTTGCAGAGCCGCGTAGGTCATGTATATTTTGAGTGAGGAGATGCCGAGCTCGCGTAGGCGCGGGAATTCCGCTAGGGCTTGTTCCCCCGGGTGGCCGACGAGCATGTGAAACGAGTAATCGGTGTAGCAGTTGTCTCTTGCCCGGGCCTGCGTATCTTCGAGGACTTGGAGGAGGGAGGGCATGGTCTTGGCTTGAGGTGCAAAGGCCCTGCAAAAGGCGGTGGTCAGTATTCGACCGCCAGCCAGTCGGGGTGCGACATACACTATCGTCGTGGTCCCTCCGCAGATACTGCTCCTGGTGCCCGTCTCAAAGTTGTCCGAGCTTCTTCCCTTGCCGCCAAACAGGGCGGGCTCTTCGAGGTGGACATGGCAATCAATGCCGCCGGGCTAAAACCCAGAGGTGGTCAGTATTCAATCATCCTCTGCACAACAGACCAAAGGATCAGGTGCATACCATAACATAGCCACCTTCGGCATCAATCACCCTCTTCGCACTGCTGGGCCCCAGCACTCCTGGCGGGGCCAACAGCGCGATCTTGCCATCCTTGATGGCGATGTCGTAGTTCGCGGTGTCAGAGGCGGTCACCACAAGCCCATTGATGACAAGAAGGTCGAAACCGTCCATGATGGGCCTGTCAGAACGTGGCAGCAGGGCCGGCGAGTCTGGAGATACGGATGCATGGTGACACTTCAACTCCCTGCTTGGTCGATCAAGTCCAGTCGTCTCACGGTCTCTTCGGTGCTGTTGCCGAGGAATGGACCTCGCCCATGGAACTGGCCGTCTTGGGAAGAGGAAGCTGCGCTGCTTCAACCCACGAGTCTGATAAGCAACTCCGGGGATCTCCGTGCGGCGCTGAAAGAGGACTAGTGCCAATGAATGACTTGCTCCAGCTTCTCCGCAGCGGGCAACACCGAGGCAACATGCTCCCCCGTAATCTACGTCTGTTATGATTTACTCCTCCGTACCAGGACTTCATGTCAACCACAAGATGGAGTCCATCTATTCATTTCTTCCAGATGTCTCTTTCTATGTAGGTATCTATCGGTAAAGCAGTCCAACCAGGTACGTATCAATGCTATCGACAACGCTTTCGGGCCCGAGTCCGAATCTGGCTCCAATCCAGCCATCAGGCCTCACCACGAAGACAGCCCCTGCGTCAACCTCCACACCATATCTCTTGTATGCCTTGCCGCCATCGCCGTCATAGTAAACCCTGCCCAATGGATCTGTCCCCAACTCAAACCAGGCATTGCCGACCTTCTCAGGTAAGATGGTCAGGAAGTCCACGGGCCATCTTCGAGGCTGGGATGTTGAGGATCCGTTGAGGTGAACTCCATTGGTAGCTGTTGTCGCTGTTCCTGGGACCCTATCCAGCCTCAGGTGTTGGTTCTGCTGCACGTCTTCTTTCATCTTGACAAACGAACTCTTAGCTTCAGCCGACCTGCCCATGAAGACGACGACATAAAACTTCGCCAGGTTCGCCATCAGAGTGTGCAGCCAGACTTGTTCCCACAGTGCGGGCGTTAATACTTGAACATCTGGCGCGCGATAGCCTGCTATGGCCGGTGCCGGGATTATTGTTCGCTTCCCCACCAGCTCAGCGTCTTCCCCACTGTCGTCCCTGGATATGGCGATGTTCGGTTCAAAGCCAATAGTCAAGCCAGTGTTGAATCCTTTGGCTTCCTGCAATATCCTACCCAAAACCACATTGGGGTCCTCGGTTTTATCCCCTGGCCAGTCCTTCGGCAGCCTTCCAGAGACGAGAACACTGATATCCTCATCGTACTTGATGAGTTTTTGTGCATTCGGCCTCCTCTCCAGCTCATAAGTCTCAAGGACCTCCCTCTTCAGCACGCCCGTCAACACCAGCGCCAGCTTCCAACCTAAGTTGACTGCATCGTGCATGCCAGCATTCATCCCCTGGCCCGCTCCCGAGCTATGGCTGTGGGCCGCGTCACCAGCAAGAAAAACCGACTTCTTGGCCCAGAAATTTCTCGCGACACGCTGACCCACGCTGTACACGCTCGCCCAGTCAATCCTGTCGTATTCAATGTCGAAGGGCTTGACGGACAACTTCGCCTCTTGCACAAACACCTCCTGGTTGAGCTCCTTGTACAGTTTCCTCCGCTCGTCGTTCAGTGCGAATCCGATCCTCGTCGCGCCATGATCGAGCGGAATCCAGAGAACATTGCCGTACAGCGGACTCTCGATCGCGCCGTAGGACCTGGGTTTCGGCATCGTCGTACTCTTGAGAACGCCGTCAATTCTGACCCACTTGTCTTCCGTGCGATCTCCGTCAGATTCGATCCCTGCGGCCCCGCGCACCAGTGTCCTCGACCCGTCACAGCCGATCAGATACCGACACTTGACAGTATATTCCCTCTCATGTCCCTCGCCCGCTCTGCGATCCAAGATCTTGGCTTTCACCCTGCCCTTCCCGCCAACCTCGACCGCCTCGTCCACGCTCAGATCCACAAACTTGCAGTTTTCGGCGACGTTGGCGCCCAAACTGTGCAGCTCCGCACGGAAAATGTCTTCGACAAACTTCTGCCGCAGGACGCTCGCGAACGTGAACCGCGTGTCCTCGAGGCCCTCGACGAAACTCCACCCGCGGCCAAACACCTCGGTTCCCGTCGTGTCGTACGCGGCGCTCGACCGCACGGCCACGCACTGCTGCGTGATCTGGTCAGCGAGACCCATCTGCGCGAGTATCTCCATCGAGCGCGGCCAGAAGGTCACGGCGCGCCCGAAATTCTCTTGCACGGGTTTGGGATGCATCTCGACGACGTGCACCGAGATCGGCTCTGCGGAAGCGTCGGGGTTGATTGGCGCAGACGAGAACCGCCGTAGCTGGTACGCCAGGTTCAGACCGACGGGGCCACCGCCAACGATGAGCACGTCCACGTCCACGTCCGCCACTTCGGGGGTAGTTGTTGAGGACGCCATTGTGATCTTTATAAGATCCGATCCAGCCTCGTGGTGAGACTTCTTTTTTTTTCCTTCTCCTCCTTTCCCCGTGTCCTCTGTCTCGCGAGATCGAGAGCCTGCCTACCCTGGTAGACTGTGCAAGTCGTGAAGGCAGGGCAAGATGGGCCAAAGACACTCGCAGAGGCTCTGATGTTGTTGGAATTCTTCACGTGTGCGTGCCGAACTCCCTCAAACACTGAGCGCACCTATACACCTGTACACGGACACTGTGCTCTGGGCTGCCGTCTTCTCTGAATGGAAACACCCCCTCTTATCTCCCGAGGAAGTGGTACAGGCCAGGCAGCAAGTGCACAAAAAGATTGCTCTTATTCCTCCTCCTGCCAGACCACGTGTTGTGTGAATATCATCTATCTTGTACCGGAGCCCAGCCTCTCAGCCTGCGGGTCTAGGGTCGATCTCTTCTGCCCTTGCCCAAGAATAGAAGCTGGTCTAAAAAGTCTAAGGCTCAGGGGAAAAAGAAAGATCAATAGGGAACCTCCGAAAACAAAACATTCATCAACTTTTGTCTTATGCTATGCATCTGGTCTCGACTTAGTAACTAATATTCGTGTGAACTCGACAATCTCCTTTCCGTCGTGGAGTCTTATGGCGACTAGGCCAACCACAAGGCTGAAGTGAAATGATAAGCGACGTTGTTCTCCGCAGGAGAGAACTCATGGGTTGATGGAGCACCACGCAGATATCCGGAGCCGTGAGACGAGATCAGGCACATGTCCGTCCGCCGGTCGATATTAAAACATGGCGCGACAAACAAGTATGTATATGCGAAGACCCCGCAAGATAGTTCTCTTGGATCTTATGGTCACCAAAGACATAGACCCAACCGACGCGTGGATGTTACGGAAATTAAACCTTCCTTCATCTCTCGAGCCATCCAATTCACCCTATTATCTTGAGACTTCTCGTTCTCTCCTTCGGGTCTTCGTGGTTCCCGTGGCACAGAAGGAGTAACAACACAGTTGTAGTTCCTCTGCTCAACAAGCTGCCCATTGTGGAAGTCGAAAAATACAGCGATCATGGTTGTCATCTGCACGCCCTCTCTTAACTGCCCACCACAGTCCTTTGCCACAGTGGCCGTCCAGATCAGTTCCACTGCAACATTCGCCGTGACAGTCTTCCCGATCGCTCCATAGCTCTGTGAACTTGCTCGGCTGGAATTCGTAGTTGGACGAGGTCGTGGAGAGACGATAACAACCATCTCCCCCATCACTTCATATTTTGCGTCTTTGAAGAACTCGTTGAGGGGCTCGGTACTGGCACGATAGGCGGTGAGGTAGTCTTTTCTGCCTTCTGGCGTGAGCATATGGGGGAACTCATAGAACTTGGCGTCCGGGTGGATGAGAGGGGCCAAGTCCCCGGGTGCTTCGCCCGGCATCGACTGAGTGGGAGAGAAGAGGGTTGGGAGGATCATTGTGACTGCGGTAATGTAGTACTGCTTGTCGAACACCGAGCAGGAAGACGTTGACCCCGTCGAAGTCGCCATTTTTACACTCCTGAATCTCTGCGATGGAGAATGAGCGATACTGCAACTGAACAGATTGCGATCCAGCAAAACGCCAATGAGATAGATTGTTAAGATACGGACATATAGCAAGACTCTATCGTGAGCTCGGCTGATATTGTGTGATAATGCAGAACCCAGGCGTTTCTCAAATGCCCACAGCCTGAGATGAAGTTGCCGGGAGCCTGCCCTGTTCATCATGTAGGAAGTCGGAAGGCGCGTTCGGAGCGATCAACTGACAGACGAGAGGCGGGAAGACGTCTTGCACCACGTATTCGCACCTTCGAGTAAGCTTGTTAGGACATCTTAGGCAGGCGCGAGTGGGCAAAGGCTACGATGAGAGAAGCCAGAAGCAAGGTGTGGGATATATTTAAAAGTTCGCTTTAGGGGACTGAATAAGTCATATATTCTTATGCTTTGTATATACTCGGTTCAGTCCAGCATGCTGCTGAGCGGTGCAACATCAACAAGATGTCAAACGGTGCTTGACAACACCGCTGCAAAGGCTCAATGTTGAGATGCAGTTTCCACTAGTATGCTGGCTGGCTTTGGTTTTCGATGATAGGAAGCAGTCCGCCCATTTGATCAAACTGGGGTTTCCATTCGTCAGAACCTGTAAAATCATATCATCATGCTGCTGTTTTGCAAAAGACCTCAAATGATGTTGCACAGTCATTCGCGTGCTCCCGGGATAGGATAGAGATAAAGGTGGATGACTTGTTCAGTGTATTTCAGCTTTCCTCGCTGTAGTAATCCTTTGTTCGCTCGGCCGCTGCAGCCATCACCTCTTGAATCACGCTCTCGTCGTATCTGGGCACGAGCTTGACCTTGAAGTCTCTGGGGATCGCCACCAGCGCCGACTTGAACTGGTTATAGTCGATATAATCGGTGTTGGGAGGCTCTGTCTCACTGGCCACGATCTTGTAGCACACCAGCAGCCTGATCAAGGCCGTGTACAAGAGTCGGCTGGCGATGAATTGACCGGAGCAGGCGCGGGACCCTGCGCCAAACGAGAAGTGCTGGATGCCGTGGCTGGGCTTTTCTTCAGGCACTGTTGTCGACGGTCGTGTCACATACTCGTCGTTCAGCCATCTCTCTGGGTTAAATACCGCAGCGTCCGGACCAAAGTGGTCCACATCATGGTTTGCCGCTTGGGCATTGATGAGAATCATGGTCTTGGCTGGGATCTTCGCCCCGTTCCAGTCAACCTCGGTCACCGTCTTGCGGGGCAAGGACATGGCGCTGACAGTGTAGTACCTGGCAGCTTCCTTGATAATAGCATTGACATACGGGACCCTCTCGTCCTGGAAGCTGTTCGACCAAACAGCTGCAGGGTCTGGATAATATCGCATGATATCCTCATAAGCGCGGTCCTGAAAGATCTGACCCTCCTTTGTGGAGAGAGAGCCAATACATGAAGTCAAGGTGCCCGGGATGGTCTCGAAACCTCCCGACACCAGAGAGAGGCAAATTGACGAGACTTCGACTCCAGTCAGCTTGGTCTCCTCGTCCTTCAGAATGGCAGCGCTGATACAAGGCTTGTCGGTGCCGTTTTTGATCATGTCTCGGACTTTGTTGAGGAGAAAGTTCAGGTAGCGATCACGTCGATCACGAAGCTCCTTTGACCGACGGATCTTTTCGTTGTTGGGGAAGTAACGCATGATGGGAACATAGTCTTGATAGTTCTCCGAGGCCGAACGGAGGAGTGATATAGCTGACCCGACGTGCAAGATTTCTCTCAGCATGTCATCATAGACGCTGTCCATCCGGATACCATAACAAAGCGTCAGGGTGGTGTTCAGAGCATATCGTTGTATGTATGGTCGCACGCCAATCTCGACTTCGCCGTTCTTGCTGTCGCGGAAGAGGTCACGGACAATGCAATAGGACTCCAAGTCAAACATGTCGAAGTACCCCCTCATCGCTGGCCGGCCAAGGGCCTGGCCCGCAGCCTTTCGCTTGTTCTTGCAAGATGCGTCCCAAGGGCTGGAACCAATTGTGAATCCCTGAGTGGTGGAAATCACGCCATGAAACGTGTATAATGTTGGTCTATCAATAACAGCAGTTTGATGGCCCACAAGCATCTGCCGAGCATCTTCGAAGGAATTCACCACAACGGCTCTAGTGTTGCCCAGACGGATCTGGAAAACAGATTGTTGATATTTTCGCCACCATCCTTCGCAAACCGTGGCATGGTCGGGCCCCAGCTGCTGGAGATGTCCCAGTATGGGCAGAGCACCGGGAATCTCTGGAATACCTTTGATTTTGGGGATATCGGTGGCAGTGGACCACTACCAACGTTAGGCTAGGGAAGACGACATCAATCGTGACACTGACCTTATAGAACCCAAGCAAGATCAAAATGCCTGCGATGATCCAGATAGCGTAGTCGTGATTGATGGCTCGAAGGAGCCCAGCCACTGAAGGTGCCATTGCAGTCGTGATCCCTTGAATCGATTTCGAAGACTTGATCTTCCAGTGCTCGACGTTATGCTTCGGGAAGTAAAGGGATAGGACTCGAAGAATTGACAGCAAATTTTATATCCGCTGAGAACTCTCCACGCAGAAAGAAAGAGTCGATCAAGAATGGAGAAGCGAGCTCGCGGACTTGTGCGAGTACATGGACGAAGGGGCGGAGAACAACGGGAGGCGGTTTCTGGCGGCAAGAGCCGCAGTGGAGGCTTGTTGTCATGCTTTTAGAACCATCAACAGGCCTTTCGAAAACTCGTGCGGTCACCAGTCGAGAATGTCCTCTCTTTCTGTGGCTGATCTGTTTGGCGTCAAAGGCCGAGTAGCCCTGGTGTCCGGGGGATGCTCGGGTCTTGGGTTGATGATCGCAAAGGTGAGCGGGAACCGTCCCGCAGTCGCGGTTACAGTCGATTTGATGAAAGTGCAATAGGGTCTGGTATCGAACGGTGCAAGGGTATATGTCACTGCATTACCGACGGACGACATTGAAGCAGTCGTGGCCGAGCTCAATGAAATGGGAAAATCATCGGGGGGCAAGGCTGTGGGGTAACCGTCTCACCACGCCTTCTGGCATTGCAGTCGAATGACTGACTGAGGAGTCGCCAGGTTTGCAAGTGATTTGGCTTCAAAAGACGGAATTGCTGCTGTTGCCAGAGAACTTGAAAAACATGAGACTCACCTGGACATTCTCTGTTCAAACGCTGGGATCAGGAGAGATCCACCAAAGATGTGCAACGTCAAAACCGCGTCCTTGGATGAGTTACAGGAGTCTCTCTGGTCTTCACGACATTCGGACTGGGATGATACCTTCCGGGTTAATGTCACGGCCCACTACTTCTTGTCCGTTGCATTGCTGAAATTGTTGGTGGCGGCGAGCAATCTGGACATTGGGAATGGCCGAAAGGGTCGAGATGAGGGTCGCGGGGTGATTATCATCACTAGCAGCTGTGCCAGCATGCATAACTGCACAAATGTCGATTTGACCAGCTATGCGGCCAGCAAAGCGGCGATTGATCATTTGGTTGCCCTGCTGGCGAGTAAGTTCGCCAGATGTGAGTATTCCCCACCATCAACTTCGCTGGTCCAGAACTGGGAACAGTGCTCATTACACCGAGGTCTAGGGTACGTCAGAGTCAATGCCATCAACCCAGGCTGTAAGTGAACCTGATACGCGGATGTGGTCACGATTAAGCTGAACCAGGTCACAGTTGTCCCCAGTAGAATGAACCCGGTTGAAGAAGGCGATAATCAATTTGCAGAGCTGTTCAAGGCAATGCCAGCAGCAAGGATAGGCAAAATGGAGGATATTGCAGGGGCCGTGCTATATTTGAGCAGCCAAGCAGGGGTAAGTTCATCCGTGGTTGCAACCAAGAGCGGGAGATTTGCTAAAATGTCGCATTTCAGGCTTATGTGGACGGAAGATGCCTCTGTGTCGATGGCGGACGAGTTCTTCTGGCAAATGGGCAATAAGAACGTGAAGTTCTGGAATCCTTAGAGATCAAGAACAAGGGAATCTGGGGGAAAGGGGGGGGGGTCGGTGAAAGTCATGGGCTTTTTGATAGAAGGCCGCTTCCAAAATCGGAATAGCGTAGAAGGTCTTGGCTGAGGAAGTCCCGAATAGGAAGGAGAGATTCTTACCGCTCTTGGCGGTCGACGTCATCGAAGTCACGGGAACACGACCTTGTTCTAACCCCAGAAAAGCTTAGCAAACAGTTTCTCCGGCTTGTGCTCAAGCAGCACGAAATATGCTCAAACAAATGATTACTCGTGCTAGCGAAGGGATCAGCTTGCTCCATCCCGCCTGCTACACGGCTCGTCCGCCCCCCTCGCCTCTTCGCCCCCTTAGTGCTCCATTGCTAATAAATTGTAAACTACCTGTGCCTATTGCGGCCAAAGCACCTGCGTGAAAGCTTCAAGGCCTCTCTCCGTCTCTAAACGTCATCCATCCCCGCCTTTCACAATCACGTTCTCCTTTACACCGTTCACTGTGTGACTCGTTGTCTACCTACCGTTCTCGATTCACGTATTCATCGGAGCTCAGCCTCGATCGTATTCGTCTGCTGCAGCCTCGACAGTGTTTGGCTGCGTAGAACGGACATTGGCTCGGGATCCCGGAGCTGATGCGGGACATGTGCGCGGGCAGCCGGGAGATCTGACATGCTTATAGCACTGCCGAAGTGCTTGTTACCCTTATCTCCAATCACCTCATCACTTTCAGCCCGAGGACCGTTCTCCAACTCGCGCTGGCTTCCGTGTGGTGGCCATATATCTGCGATTTGCATCCTTCTATCGTTCCACCTGCATGTGCGTCGGCATTGGCTCTTCCATGGACATTCTATGATGATCACTTGTACACCTTCCCCATGAGTAATAGGCTGCTGCCTTACTCCCCCGTCAACGTTGCATCGCTATATATCATGGCCAACAAGCTTCTGGAGCTTCCCGATAACGACTTCCAGGCGTCGCCGTTAGGTGTCATGACTTCGACATGCGGAGTCAAATGAGCTTCCAGATGCTGCGACCTTGCGTTCAGCAGCAAAAAACAGGTTGGTCGCACGACAAGAACCGTGCGCGGGAAAAAGAACACCCTGCCTGGTTTTCTTGTTTTCTGTTTTCTGTTTCTCTCTCTTTTGTTTCTTCGTCACGGTCTTTATTCTTGCGAAATGAGAAACTTGTATACTTTCCTGGCAGCCGCCCTCTCTGGGCTGGTACAAGCAACGTACGTTGGCTGGCTTGTATCGAAGTATTGACTGACATCACACAGGAATCTGGCTCCAGCCCCTCACAGGTTGGTCGTACGACAGGATGTTGACCCTGTGGAGCTTTACCCTGCACATTACATTTCTATGCCGGTGGATCACTTCCACAACGAGTCCCGATATGAGCCACATTCAAATAAGACGTTCAAGCTCCGTTACTATTTTGACGCAACATACTACAAGCCCGGCGGCCCTGTGATCGTCTTGCAGAGCGGAGAGGCAGATGCCAGCACGCGCCTGCCTTACCTCCAGAAAGGAATTCTTTACCAGCTTGCGTCCGCTCTGAACGGCATTGGAGTGGTGTTGGAGCATAGATACTATGGAGAGAGCATCCCCACACCCGATCTATCGACCAAGAACCTTCGGTTTTTATCCACCGACCAAGCCGTAGCTGATCAAGCATATTTTGCCTCACATGTCGTCTTTCCGGGGCTAGAACATCTCAACTTGACGGCTCCTGGCACGGCCTATCTAGCCTACGGCGGTTCGTACTCCGGAGGCATCGTCGCATTCCTGCGCAAGTTGTATCCCGAAATCTACTGGGGCGCAATTTCATCATCGGGGGTTACCGAAGCCATTTATGATTACTGGCAGTACTACGAACCTGTTCGCGAATACGGTCCACCTGCATGTATCGCAGCACAAACAAAGCTGATCAACATCATGGACAATATTCTCGAGAAGAATGACGCAGAGACCGTCTTCGAACTCAAGAAGGCGTTCGGTTTGCAGAATCTCACGCACAATGACGATCTGGCAAATATTGTATCAAGCGGAATTGGCTGGTGGCAGTCGAGAAATTGGGACCCGGCCGTCAACAGTCCCGAATTCAGCTACTATTGCGGAAACATCAGCTCCAACACACTTCTTTGGCCCAGCTATGCCAGCATGAAGTCCAACGCTACCGCGCTTATCAAGGCAGGCGGATGGGGAAATGAAAGCGCACAGCTGTTGAATCCCATGCTCAATTGGTTGGCATGGACTAGCGACAGTTATGTTGGCTCGTGCGATGGCACGCTCGACGAATGCTATGGCACTCACAACGAATCAGCGCCCATGTATGCCGACAAGAACATTACTAACTATAATGCACTGTCATGGCCATATCAGTACTGTATGGAATGGGGCTATATTCAGGACGGAGCCAGTGTTCCGGACGACCGACTTCCTCTCATATCTCGCCTGCTGACCGTCAAATATCTGACGCAAGTTTGCCGCTATGCCTTTAACATTACCACGCCTCCGAATGTCAATGCCGTCAATAAATACGGCGGCTTCAACATCTCGTACCCGAGACTTGCGACCATAGGAGGTCAAGCCGACCCCTGGCGGCCCGCGACCGCGTTAGCGACATTGGCTAAGCCTGATGTTCTCAATCACACAAGTACGCCAAGTGAGCCGGTCATTTTGATTCAAGGTGCCGTGCATCACTGGGATGAAAACGGTTTGGTGAGTTTACCACAAATTATAGGGTTACTCGTAGTGCTCTTCCCATCGTAGACATACCGCTGACTTTCTGCATCCTGCAGTTTCCAAATGAGACAACAGCAAGCCTGCCTCCGGCTCCAGTCGCCAATGCGCAAAAGCAAATCGTCCAGGCGGCCCAAGGATGGATGGCAGAGTGGAACGCAACCCGTCTCTAGGGACTCTGTACTCCGCAGGATCTGCATACCTGTCACCAAAAGGCATCGGTGAGCGATATGCTGTGGGCAGTGAAGATTGCCGGAGACTCAAAGCCTGCTCAGTTCACGGGGTTACTCTCCCCTCAGCGAGCAGCAAGGAAAGTGTACGAGGTATGCAAAGGTTAGTTGGAAGAAGTTGGGGCTCTCATAGATACCTGGATAGGGCATAGGCATCTTATGCAGCTTTGTACAGGAGGCTTCGAAAAGTTCCAAACGACTCCTTTCAAACGACTCTCTTCCTCCATGTTCCCGCCTAAGTGATCGACGGCTATATGGCGCCGGGGACTTCAAGGTAAGACAGGGCATTGATCTGGAGTAGTGGAAACCTCAGTGTGTGCAAGCGAGACGGAAAAAGCAAGATCAGCGCGGTAGTGATCTCCCACCCCGAACTTGTAGTCCGTGCAAGCACCACATCTAATTTAATGCTGGAAGTTCTTGTCGAAGCGGAAATAGTTTTCGACTTTTGCGGTACTCCCCGGGTGGAAAGCAGGTTCAATATCACTCAGGCTTGAAAAGGGGTAACAGGCGAGCAGGGTACGACAGTTCAAATGACAACGCATCCACTGATTCCCAAAACGTCAGGCTCACACGCTTGATCTTTCAAATGACAGCCCCGACTTTTAGAGAGCACAACATCCCCTTCTCTTTGCATCCGGCGACACCATTTGTATAGGCACATATCTTTCATTGGTAAGACATTGTGCATACTGTCGGCGACCTGTTCAACCATGACCCCAAAACAGACAAGTTAAGATTTGTTAACATCCCAAAGCCCGAGCACCGGCAACGTGGCCTGGCAAGATATACGAAAGGGGCTGTCCTCTAGCAGAGTGGCGTTTGAGACTGCAGCCAACCACAACAACAAGCTCCGTCATTGTCAGACGTGGTCGAGACACAGGCGAGAGGGCACGTGTTTGAGGATGGATCCTCCAGTTTTCCTCCTCCGTCCGTTTTCTGCACGAAACCCGTTCCACCGCCTTTGGAGTTCCTCGTCTGCGTGGGAGTGGACCAAACCGGCCGTTGGTGGACAGTCCTTTGGCGCCCATACCCCGTCGTTGGTTGGGTACTGCTCAAGCCTCGTCACATTCACCATCACTTTTACGGATCAGTTCACCACTCTAAATTAGCTTTGAGGTCACTTCGACCTATTCGGCCGTCGCTCCAGTGCAACCGAGGTCAGGCGTGGTGTTTTGTACCTGGCGCTTTCCCCGGAATGGCACGGGCGGTGTACGTACATGGACTAAGTCCATCTCGATTACCTGTTGACGTTTTCCCTCCTCGCTAGCCGAAGGGGCCGATCACTGGTCAGATGCCACCATCCACTCTCCACATTCTCAATTGGACGGTCAGTATCAATACGCCAGAACAACCAATATATCTTGTGTCTAGAGGACCCCAAGGGGAAATAAAAGAAAACAACAAAGATGCCAGCCAAAACGCTCTTGACTTTTGCCAATTCGGCAGCTTTCCGAGCGTTGCTGACGCTAGGCCAGCCCACGAGTCCCCATATTTGTTGCAGTGTATGCCGCCGATGAAACGTTGGTCCTCCACCAAACTTCCCGTCGACTCCACTTCCCCCTCGAGCCTGCAGCAACCTCTGACACTCTTCATCAAAAGCTCCAAGGGCAAAGTCCCTTCCTCAGCTTGGCTCGCGCTGGTCTGCGGGCTTAGGTCCAGGCTTCCTGCAATTTCACTCTCGCTTGGAGAACCTGATCGTCACTGTTCCTTTTTCTCCGGCTCTCTCCTCTGCGAGATAGAGTTGTCTCTACGCTCAATCAGGTAGCCTGCTACTCTCTTTATTGGGTCGGACATTTTGGTTTTCTCGTCAACATCCTGTTCGTCTACTCTCATTTTTCGCCCGAGTGGTCCTTCGTGGCGTGCACTTGTCTTTTTTGTTCGCTTGAGCCAACAAAACCGGGCAAGGCTTGAATGTCTGGCGGTGTCTGTATGATGGCCAGATCTGTGTGTCCGGGTTGACCCTGTTCCACTTGAAAACCCTGTAGCAACCTCAATGCCGTCAAACAGATCCTGCTACTTTTAGAGTTCCAGGTGACAGCTGCCTCCAGCAGCCAGGCCTCCTCTAGGAACCTCGTTAAACTTCTCCAGATTTCGCTGCCCGTTGTGCCACGTATGACTCCGCGAAACATCTCAAGACCGCCATCCTCCGACCTCTACACACCGTCTACCGGTCTCAACCCCTCCACCGAGATGGACCAGGTCCTCAAAGCCCGAAAGATGAGCTCTGCATCTGCTCGGAGGAAGAAGTTCCAAGAACGACAGCAGCAACAGGCCCTAGACCGAGAGAAGCTCGCAGAACATAAGAGGAGGATTTTGATCTATGATCATATGGCGGAGCATGTATCGGACTCCACGGATGAGGCTGACGGGCAGAACTCTGCGGATGAAGTCGACATGGACGCTGAGCGCTCTGATCGGGAGTCGTCAGTGGAGACGTCTTCGGAGAGGAGCATTCTGACGCCGGACGAACTGGCGCAGAACAGAGCTGCCTTTGGCAAACAAACTTCGTCTGGGTCGGATCAGGTGGCGGGCCTCAAGATTCAGATACCCGATGATGAAGAGATGCTTCAGCAGTTGGAGGTGGACGACGTCCATGTCGTCGTGCCGCCTTCTCCGAAGCCTCTACTCCAAGCTTCTCTGGCTTCTTGGTCCGACTTCAGATACGATCGCTACTCCGTGGTTCTCGACTCTCCGCTGTCCGAAGCTCTCAGTCCCGAGCTCGACAATGAGGAGACGTTCTCACCCATTGAAACTGCGACACCGATATCCTACCAGCAACCGAAATCTCGTCCCTCACTAATATCTATCGTCAGCCTCACCCACCGAGGCAAACGACGGACGGCCTCCATGCAGAGTCCTTTGTCGCAAACAATGCCGCAAACTACAGAACGGCCTCTGAAGCGCCAGTCCATGAGTAGTGTGCATTCTGGATTCCCCGCTGCGGAAGCTACGCTGTTCCAGGTCCCAAGCTTACCCGAGAATGCTTTCGAGCTCATCGCCAATGCGAGTCAAGAATCACTCCCTTTATCTACGAAGGAGTCAACCAGGTCCAAAGCCGACAGGAAATCCAGCATGCCACGGTTATCGACTGCACTAAACCACGCACGAATGAGCAGTATCAAGAGTTTCATCAAGACGCCTACGACTGCGACCACCCCTTTGCCACACACACGATCCTCGTCTCGGCCTTCAAGCCATATGAGCAGACCTTCCACTGCAAGTACATCGGCGGCGGACGCTTATTCTGTGATGAAAAATTCGATCGCGTCGACGAGTTCAAGCAATCTTTCCTCGATCACGCGCCCGGCCACATCCCGCAACGCTTCAGCTTCGATGGTGGGATCTGTCGGCTCCAACATGACGGCGTTGCCATCCTTCCCGACTCTCCCAGCAGATGAAGAAGCTTCAGATCCCTTGGCCACTAGACCCGCCATGCAGAGAAAGAAATCCTTCTCCGCGCTCCGGAGACGAAGTGAGAGTATTGGACAAGCCATCAAAGGACTGGGCAAGATTACGACCAAACATGACCCTCCGGTACCGACGAACCCCGGCTTGGTGACTTCAAAGAAACCGCAACCATTCGATTTATCCCAATTCCCCACTCCACCGTTGCCATCTCCTCGCCTTGGGAAAAGTAGTGCGGGCTCATTCACTTCGACCAGGGCGACGAGTAGTGGAGGTCAGATAGGACTGGGCCTGCGGAGTATGGAGGGTTTTAGGCAAAGGTGACTGGGTTGATCCGGATTGGAAAAGAAATATGGTGTTCAGCATTTCCAGGAACGAGAGCGACTGTACTCTTTGATGATGTTATGAACTGGATTTTATTAGCGATATTGTATAAAAGTATAGTACTATAAAGATATTTGGGCCTCGGATAACATGTTCTGTGCCACAGCGACGAAAATACTTTGTTGTCTTTCGAACTGTTCGATCAGGTTGCCGTTTTTAATTGATTTCCAGGTTACGGGTTGATATCTGCTGAGTCAGCCCTGTCCAGATTTCTCACGTGACTAGGGGCCTCATTGACGTAGTGCCACTTTCTTCGTTGGTGCGGTAGTTAGGAACGCGTCAAACGTTAGCAACAGACTCTTGACACTCGGCTTCTTGAGACTCCAGATATGCCACCTCAGAGCAGAGGAAGCTCCCCTGCTCTAGGGCCACGACCCTACGCGAAATCGGACTCACTACCGCCCACCCTGCGACCCTTCCTGGAAAACCTGCCCTCCCCAACCGCATTAATCCCCAATGATCAACGCACGCCGACAGGTCCTCGCATGATCGGCCCAGACCGCGACATCCCTACGCCGACACCAAGCCCTCAACGGTCTCGAGCTGCAACCGCCTTCGAACTGGGTGCTCAGGTTAAAGAAGTCAGCGAAGATGGGTATAGTGATGTCCTTGGGTCAGAGGGGAGAACTTCACCATTGGAAAAGATTGGACTAGAACAGGACGGTGTCGATCTCGATGTGGCAGGCGTGACCTTAGACGACGACGATTTTGAGTCGCACTACTCTCGTCAGGAGTCTTCGGCATCAGAAGAGGAAGGAGACGAAGTTGAGGTTGAAGGAGAATTTATTTCTAACGAAGACTACGACGAAGAACGACAAGATCAAAATGGTGGTGCAGATGCTGGAGAGCCTTTACCGTCGGCTTCAGAAAGGATGGAGTCGTTGTCCCGTGTGCGTTCGTTGCCTGCTCGGCCAACGCTCTCCCAGACATCGGGGCATTCTACAGCGCAGCATCAGAGAGACGGGCTACACACCTCACAGTCAACAACAGCACTCCCGCCTCCACCCCCTCCTCCGCTCTATCCTCCCTTCTACAATCGACCACCAACTCCCCTGCCACCTTCTCCCAGCCTTACTTCTCTGCTCCGGCCTCCGTCCTTACTGAACCGCTCAACGGCTTCAACTCGGCCAACTACACCTGACAGCTCCGACGTGGAAACCCCTAACGATACTGAAGCAGCTGTGGCACATTCAGCTCGACGCGCAAACCCGGTCCCGCCAACATCACCCAAAGTCCCTACGTACGAATACTACGGATTTGTCTTGTACTTGGCTTCAACACTCGCCTTTCTGATCTACCTTCTATGGTCGTATCTTCCATCTCCTTTCCTTCACGCGCTCGGGATTACCTATTATCCGAACAGGTGGTGGTCTCTCGCCATCCCTGCCTGGATTGTCATGCTTCTTATCTTCATATATGTTGCCCTTTTGAGCTATAACGTCGAATACCTTACTCTTCCATTGACAAGTCTGGAATGCATGGTCGATGCTGCTGCAAACGTGGCTGTACTCGATGCGTCAGGACGAATTAGGAAGGGAGGGAGTAAGAGGCTGGTAAAGGAGCTTGAAGAGCGAGCCAGGCATGAGCGGGACATGGAGAGTGTGGGAACCAAAAGTGGGAAAGGCAGGAAGTCCTCCAAAGCTGGAGCCGAAGCATCCCATCGATCAAAGGAAAAAGGCAAGCGAAAGTCTTCTCGAGCAAATATCGAGCATCCATCGCCATCAGACATTCGGGCCTGGGACTACCAATCTCAACCGACTACTGGTTCCGCGAATGTTTCTCTTTCCAGCAACCGGACCACGGCTAATTCATCCCATTATCCTTCATGTTATCCTTTCATCCCAACGACTACGCATCTAGCCCGAACGCAGCACGATTATCATATGCAAGAAGCCTACCCCACGCACCCAAACTGGAAGCTCGTTTGGAATGAGGGCACGGATGCCGTCATGGATGTGCCCATCGGTGGCGTCTGTGAGGTTCTCTATGGCTAAATGAGCTTCCACGCAGCTTCGAAGGTTCCATCGATATTCTCACCTCGAATTTTAGACTAAAGGGCCCACAGGGGGTCCGAGGATTATTATGTCATTTCTCATGATGCTCTTCACAGATCAATCATCAACGCGTTTGCTTGCGTCATGGGCCATCAATCATCTTCACAGGGTAAACTAAAGAGGTACTGGCTACCAGCTTATAAAGCATAACCGAAGTGAAGGAGACCATCCTCGCAACTGTTGGCAACGAACGTTGGAAGACTTGACCTTTGCGAATCCGTATCCCCTTTCTGGAGAACGGCGCACCCACAATCAAAAATACGGACCAGGTGCTCGTTCTCTAACAATCTTCGAGCCCCGGAGCTCCACACATCCAACAGTGCCGTCCGCCCCTGGGCATGTTGTCTCGTGCTAAAGGTGACTATGCGGCCGGGCTATCAGGCGATTCGCCAACGATTTCATCACAACCACACTTCCTCTACAGTTCTCGTTATGTAAGGAGAGTATGCGTGTTTCGTAATACAGCGTTTGCATCGAAGACGTTAGCTGCATACATCTCAGCGCATGGACGAGCTCAAGCCGTTTTATGTCAGTGTCGCAGTACTCATATGCTGGGTCGGGCAGTCATCGAGGAACTCTCGGCACAACAGGTACAGAGCGTCAACCCACGGGAGCCACTCCGTGCCTGTCTCACGTGTATCCAAAGCTTCCAAGGTGGATGTGTCGTGATTGGTATCGTACGAGGCGTTGGCCAAGGACATCCTGTTGACCAGGAGACCCGTTGAGGTGGACGGAAACTATTTCACAAGGGTAAACAGAGCGGTCAAGAACCAACCTCAACGTTTTCCATGGAACATTTGAGTCCACTAGGCTTCCGTGGCGCAAATGGATGTCAACCAGAAGGACACATGCGACTCCTTCAGCTCGCTAGGGTGGGCTTGTAGGAACCCTCCCGCGACTGCAGCTTCTTGCGCCTCGTTTGTCCCTACCCGTCTGGACGTGATGCTGGCGCAGGTTACTCTTGATGACCTGTCCAAAGATCGGAGTGTCACCAGGTTTCTACAAAGTGCGCGCATAGGGAAGATCTTTTGCCTAATTGGGTTCGATACAGTTGCACGTCCGTGCGATCCAGGTTTCATTTCCGGTAGCGACTAGGTGGGATTGTGTTCGGGAGGATCAATAATGGCATCCTGAAGACTGGTGCAACCTTTACACAAGGACATAGCTGTGAATGCTACGGTTGCAGAGTCTGGCTTCCGATTGTTGTATCCGAGACATATCCACGGTTCCCACCTGTGCACTTTGATTTACCTGTTGGGTGCATTCCTCGAGTTGTTGATTTGCCATCTTGCCCAATGTCACAATCATTCTGTTGCGCAATGGACTGATTGGAGCGACACCTAGCTACCACCAAATCCGGTGGCTTTGGCCCGAAGCCACTGCCTCCCAGAGAAGGCAGCGTCCTCCAGGTCGCAAGAAGGACATATATCATTGTATTGAAGGGCTAGTGACCGCAAAATTCCAGAATAATCCGATTGCACGTGGAGTTTGCCCCAGCTCCGCTCTGTGCTTCCTCCGTCCTATTTGGGAGCTTTTCTGGGTCCGGATGGTACCACCACCTGCCGAAATTGTTGCGAACTGGAGCACCGGAAATCCCAAGCCGCGAGCCAAGAAAGGATGGGAATCTTATGACAAGCGATTGGTCAAATGTGTTGATGAAAAGCCGTTGCTGCTCACGACTGGCCACTGGACGAACTTCCTAATTGTCTTCCCTCCTTGCCAGCCTTGCCAATTCTGCTTACATTGCCACTGCAGTCGATTGACTAAGCGGAGGAGGAACCTCGCTTCGATGTCGCTTTCGGGGGCCTTTGAGGTCTGCCACAGCTTCCAACTTCTTGGACCAGCAGATTCCAGCGCCGTTGGGCAGAGCTCGCCAGTCTGACTCGCACGAAGCTGCGCCGTTTGTCGTGGTGGCATGACAGTCAACCTCACACGATGTTGACCCTGGCATTGGGCATGTCTGGCCTTCGAAACTAACGGACAGACTTTCGGTTAGGCACTGCACAAGAGAGAAGTCTTGCGATAACTGTACTGCCAAGGCTCGAAAACAATGAGCGTGAACGTCCAGGGAAATTTGTGGCTGTAGAGCACCGGGGGTTTCATGATATCCGCTTCTCAAGCGTGCACCAGTTTTACCAACACAACTTCTTGGGGCTGATTATCCCACGAAAATGATTATTTTGCAAAAGCCATTCTTGGCTTAGGCTAGGTCTGATCGAGGTGGATCTGGACGAGGCAGCAACTGTGCCGATGCTAGACTCGTTCAAGACCGTTGCTGGCGTTCAGATCTCAAATCCTTAGTGGGGATTCACCACGTGAAATAAGATACACTTCTGGAAGGCTGCGGGAATTGACCACAGCCTCCAGATCATGTGGATATATTGTGACCTCCGTGCTTGGTAAGGTTCGGCAAAGCCTATGCAGGGGAGGTACCAGTGAAAAAGCTTATAAGTGCCTTAAAATCGTGGTACAGGATGTACAGGGCAGCCGATTTACCTGAATGGGGAATGTTGCATCTCCCATAAACGAGTGGCGCTGTGTTGGCCAAGCAGCATACTTGGGCATTGTCACTCCCAGTTGTTCTGGGCCCCAGTTGGGACGTGCATATGGCTAACTGACGAAATTTCATCAGCCGCTTCAAGGCCGTTCTTGTCGATGGTGGCCACCATGATCTGTACGAATCAGGTGCTGAATCCGTAACATATGGTGATCCTCCGCGGTGCACTACTGACTGTGTATAAGATTTTTTCCCGCGCCCTGACGGTCTCCCGTGGCTGGAGAATGCCTGAACTTGGCGACCTAGTGGCCTGATCTACATGAGTCCGTCTATCTACTCGCTTGATGCTTCCCACCTGACAAGCACTACTCGTCGCCTTTATGTTGGGGCCCTAGCAGCACATGGAAATAACATGAGAAGGCATTGCCGTCGGAAACTGTTCTGCTCCTCCGCTGCTCGCAAGATGTAATCCATTTTATCCTTGAGGCTCCTTCCTGCCCAGACAGCTCGGTCGACTGCCCAAACACATATTTGTTGATCTCACTTGCCGATTATTCTCCCAAACCGTTTGTTCGACAAAGGTCTTCCAGTAGCCCCTACAGTGCTCCCTGTGCTGCTCCGACTGTCGACCCGAACGCTGGACGGAAACGAAACCGGAGACCAAAGTTAATCTGCCTTGCTGAAAAGCCGACTGCTGTGGGAGTCGACCCTGTACCACGAGCAGACTGTCCTCAGGCATACGAGTCGCTCGCTCTGACCGGCCAGTGGCATCGTTCATGTGCGTGGCCGCTCAAATGGCCTGCGTCGGCGGCTGCCCTTCCCAGCAAACACAGACAACATCCTTACCACAGCACCCAAACCCACCTCTACTGCTGTCAGAAGGGAGCCTCTCCCCCTGTCAGTGTGGCACTTGTTCTGAGTTCTACGGCCTCCCTGCTACGAGCCCTGCAGTGTCTGCTTGCTCCTCATTCCAGAGCGGAATGTCGCCCAGCACCAGGATAACGAGTATCAATAGCCCAACCATGGAAATCTTTCAGTGTCCTCATGGCACCACCTTATGTCTGGGAGAACCTCCAAACCTGGACATGACTGGCTATGCAACTGGTCTACCTTGCTTGGATCAAGCCGATCTCAATCACGGCACCTTTTCAATGGCACCGAGTATCGCCGATCATCAAAATGGCACACCGAATAGCCCAGAGTATATAACTGCGTCCTTCGAGCCCATCGGCACAATTGCTTCCAGAAATGAGGTGAGTGAAGGCATTGACGACAAGGTTGACAACGAAATCCACTAATATTTCATCTCGCAGAGACGGAAGGCGCAAAATCGAGCGGCTCAAAGGGCTTTCCGGGTTCGCCAACAGCAAGCTTTAGAAGAAGCGCAAGCCAGGTTGCGCTCTTTGGAGGAGGAACTGGAAGGAGTGACCGGAAAGAAAGACCACTTTGAACGACTTTACAAAAGTCTCCGTCATGAGCATGAGCACCTTCTCAGAACATTCCAGCAGTTACTGGCCAGGGTCCAGTCGAGGTCCCTGGAGACTGGAGTGCCGCTGCTCCCTTAATTCTTTGGGTTTTTCTGCTTGAGATGGTAGATTAAACCTATATGTATACATACATGCCGCTAATTGTGTCAAGAACTTACTTCAAGGCTCTGCTACATGCATCGTTCATCCTTTATCATCCAGGAAGCTGCACTTGGAATATGACACCGTTTTCGGCATGGCTTTCTGGGACAGAGCCTGTGGATTGAGTGCTCCCGATGCGGTAAAAGGTGGTCGCTGGAGCTTTCATCGAAGTAGGGGCTCTCTACCGTGGCTGGCACGCATCCATTGGCTACATTTCTCACCAACGGATAACGTGTTGGGCTTCGAGTGTTAGTCATCAGCTGAAGGAACTGGCACCGCATTGGGTTGTGACTTGGGTTTTGAACACCCCGCTGGCATCCCGAGGCTTCTTCTGGGCGCGGAGAGCGATTCCGCAACTCTCTCTGTTTCGCGAATGGCTTGGTTGCCTGGCTTCCTTTCCCAGTGTCATGATCACTTGTCACGGACATATTCCTGGGCACATCTCGCCTTGATCCCAACAGGTTGTGTCGCCAGCAAGGCCCCTTGAAGTTGCGAGGAAGAATAGCCGGGCATCCAGAATATTATTGCCATTCGAGCATGGAGCGGGACTTACATCCCACCTTATCCGCATCTGGTGTTTGCAAAAGCATGGCGAGCGATCATCCTCGACAAGCCAGCAAATGGGATGCCGCAAAGAAGAAGCCAGTAGTCGATTCTGGGTTCGAGTTCGTGTTGATGGGAGCAGACGGTGCTCTCAACAAGGCCGGCATCAGCCAAATAAGAGCACATACTACACGAGAACTGCATAGGACGAGACGGCAAACTGGCCAGGTATGTCTACGCTCTCGTGCAGGAGACCTAGGACGCTCCAGTGGGTGGTGACTACTGCTTTCTGGCTGTTGACAGCAAATCGCAAGGAATGACGCTTATCTAATCCTGAAGTCCCAGGTCCTACCACGACGTCGCCGCAATCGTGTTGGTAACATATATTTTGGTTCTCATTTCGATCCTTTTCACTCCCTTCCACAGCTTTCCATAGAAACACACATACCGGGTATTCTGGACGAGGTTAAACACAATGGTGAATTCTTTGCCCTCCCCGGTTTTGGCTCTGCGATTCCGGCCTTACGATCCATTCCCCTACTAACATCATGTCTAGTCTTCGCAGTGTATAATCAGAGGGGGATGCAACAGAACGTATGGCCTGAGGGCACCAAGAACAGCACTTTCTTCACATCAATGCTGCTCATGTGTTCGGTTCACCTCGATGGCCTGAGCTCCAGGTCAATGTCATCCACGACGACTGCCTTGAAGTTGGAAGCCATGCAGCGTGTGCGCACCCTTATCCAGCAGTCCTCTCCAGTTGCCATCATGAGCTGCATCTCTGCCATTGCTGCTCTTGCCACGTGTGCTTTAGTAAGTGAGCTTTCAACTTCTCTGTCGCTGTAGCCAAGGTCAGCTGCACAGGTGAAGGGGCAGCTGAGAACGGCAACGGCTTAGATTATCGCTGACCTTATAGGTACGTGGAGAACCTGCAGGGGCGGAGGAGTATGTCATCCATCGAAATGCGTATGCAGTTCTCATCAGAGAGGCAGAAAGATTGCATATGTTTGAGGATTCCAGGTTCTGCAAGGACGTGTTGAGAATCATCATGATGATCGCGTGAGCATCTGAGAGACTCTTTGGGCTGATTTACCAAGGCTTACGGTCAGCGCAGAATCTCGAGAAGGTGCAACATCCCGGTGCCCGGTCTCGCCCCTCCACTGAACCCCAGCACAGCATTTCAGGAATACGAGCACATTTTTGAAGACAGATGGCATACAAGACTTCATGCTGACCCAGAGCTATATTCACCCTTTTACGATGGGCGGATAGACCTTAGCGAAGATCCATTTCCGTTAACGAGAAGGGGGCATCTACGACTCCTCCTCCAGATGATGCAATCAATGGTCAAAATCTGGCTTCGGCGAAACACTCGCTCATCACAACAACAACTTACCGCCGATGCAATGATCTCGATGTCTCTGGGCCAGCGTATATTGGCCATGCCGTCCTCTAAAATACCTGACTTACCTTCCACCGCCGATAACGTCTACGAGGCATGCAGGTTGGCCTCGGTCCTGTTGATTCGATCGGTTGAGAGCAACAGACACTGGCGTTTCGTCGTCAGAGGCACATCCATACTTCAAGACATCCGAGATGCACTACAGAAGACCGACTTGGACAACCTCTGGGACAAGGAGATTGGTCTTCTTTACTATGTTGTCTTAATCTTCCACACCGCCGCCTTCGACACGCCGTACTATCTGCTGAGCCATGGTCTGCAGGCGAGGGTACATTTTGCGGCGACGTACTCATACGCCGATTGGATTGGGGCGTTGCAACCAATGTTGACGCTCTTCGAGCTGATGCCGATGAAGGAACATATCTTGCCAGAACGACCTGCAGCATCGGCGTCTACGGCCATTTACATGGAGACATTAGCCGATCTGCAATTGACTGCAGAGCCCGACAGCGTGGTACTTTCCCCATGACGCTTATAAAATTCTTGACGGAATATATCTAAAAACCTCATTCAAGCTCTGGGGCTGTTTGGGAGTTAGTGATACGACTGAGCTGGTATCAAGCGCATCTATTTTGCGAATGGATGCCGGCTGTTGAGGACAATCTACCCACAGCATTGTTAGCCTTTTCAGGCATCTTTGTCGGGAATTTGCCTATGGCCATTGTGTTAAGACCTGGGACAACCATATACATGATACAAACGGCGAATCATATACAATCAAGGTGCGAGAACGGAATTAAGCCTCGCAATTCCCCCCACAGACATAGAGATGATGAAGACTTCTCCAGCCTCCCAGCTACCGTCGAAGTCACGACACTGATAGGATCTGTGGGCCATCACGGAAATCCTTCTAGACCGGGCCACAAGCAAGAGCTTGCGAGCAGAACGTCAATCAGTGGCCGCTCCGTGCTTATGCCACACTCATGGCCTCTTACCAATCTGTGCTCGACGATGCAGACGTGACGGTGGGCGGCGAACTCCACGCACTCCACGTTTCGCGCCTTTGAGCGGCGGGACTATGGACTCCGCTTTGTGCGTGTCCTGTCCCGTCACGAATGGATGACATGGATTCCATGGGCTGCTCGCAGAATGGGGACGTTTTGGGAATATTGCCAAGCAGCATGCATCTAACGACAAGTTTGTCAGAGCCTATGTGATGGGGGACTTCTGTCCGCGTCTAGAGATGACCCAGGGCAAGACGCGAGAGTTGGATGTCATTTCCAATCGGGATAAGAGGGACCCTATGTTCAAGGGCTAATGGTTTGTTCTGTGTGTATGCCAATACTTTACGCGACATCTGATGCCCGGTTCACAATCGTTACCGCCAAGCGTTGAAAGATCTCGATTCTCGAAGGCCTAGGACGGGACATATCCCCGTTGTCCAATTCCGACGGCCTTTCGCAACTAGACGTGATCGACAATGGTCACACCACCCTGCCCTTACTTCTCCAGGGCGCTCCCCAGGGCCCTAACTGCAGCAAGGGCCCTACACAACGGCGAGAGAACGGACTCGAAACAAGTATATTAACTTTGGAGTGCTTAGTCTGCACACGGTTTCCGTTTCTCGTGGAAATTGTCATCAGAAGATCACCATATCATTTTCTGCTCTGGGTTGTCCTCATTACATCTAGCGCGTCTCTGCTGGGGAATTGCGCCGCTGCTGTGTAGGTTCATGGAAGACGTCTATCCTACACATACCTTCGTCTGTCCGACACGTGAAGCCGGAGCGTGCCGCAGAAGCCTGGAAGTCTTTGCGGAGTAAACGGCCAATAACATGGTACGGCCTCTCGCTTCGCAGGACGACCCTATCTCGGAGAGACGGGCACTTTTCAACCCCGGGCTCCAGTTCAGTCTGCACGCTGGAACAACAGTTCTTCCGCTGAATCGTTGTACCTGCGGTTCCACAGTCGTCCTCCGTATTCGTATATCCCCATGCCGAACACCCTTGCGCGCCAATCACAGGATGCCGCCAGAGAGAAGAGCGTCGTGGCATACTTACAAGGCACACTTCGCCCATGGCACGGTGTCGACCATGGATACCCAGAATTCTCTTGCTAGACCTGCAAGAGATGCGCGATTCCTTCTATTGGACATGTGGAAGCAAGTCTTTGACGATAGGCGAGTCAGCCTTGTGATGGTAGAGGCAAGGCCGACTTCATGCCGAATACGAATGATGGCAGAGCGCGACTGCTTCACAAGAGTATGTTGATGAAGATGGGTTTATAACAGCCGTCCTGTGCCCATCCGGCAATGATTGCTGTTTGTATTGTCGCTACTATTGTTCTCGTCTCTTCTTCTACGACTCCAATTGATGTCCTCGGCGGGCAACGTCTACCTTGATCATGAAAAGTGAGCTCTCCTAGCACATTCACTTAGATAGCCGCACTGCTAAATCGGAGCGCAGCCGACGTCAACAAATTCCTTGATAACATTGCACCAGGACCATCAGCTGTGTTTGCAGTCTTCTTCGCAGCTTCTGGTGTGTTGCACATATGGCAAAGCAAGTGGGTGTCTCTCCATTTCAACACATTACATGGTACATTGAGCGACTACGGCTGCTGATTCGGTTCTGTGACTCCGGCCAGGGCACATAAGTGCTGGAACTACACATGGCCGCTCCCTTGTGCATGCGCTGTGATGACGGCTGGCTTCATCTGTCGCGAGGTCGCCGCACACTACCAAGCTGCAGACGGCCAGGGTAGGCCGGTTCAAGGGCTTTTCTACAGCGCCGTGTAAGTTCAACAGTGCCCAGCATCGGTAAACAGTCAGGTAGGGATCGAGTGCTGATAATTCCGAACAGACCCGTTTTTACCCTCCCGCTATTCAAATTTCTGCTCTGCTCTTCAATCATCGCGGACTTGTTGCCGCGGCTGAACCCGACTATCTCCTACATCATCATTTGGACCTTCTTCAGCGCCGTCATCTCCTGCACCGCCCAGGGCGCATCGACGTACTTCAACCCGGATGCCACACAAGGCACTGTGAGGTCGGCTCTCGCACTGCTTAAGGCGAGCCTCTTCCTGCAGCTGGTGCCAAACGGGGCGTCTGTCTGTGTCCTTCTCCACCTGCTCTTCCGACAGGACTCGAATGCCGTTCGGTGCCGAACCCTTCTGCTGTCATTGTTCGTTCTCATGGCGCTAGTCTTCCTGCGCAATGCCTTTCGGACCATCCAGCTTTTCGTGTCAGCACGCTCGCCATTGTGGACCGATGAGGTGTATTTCTGGGTCTTTGAGGGCTGTGTGATGCTGTGCTATACTGTTCTATTCCATGCCCTCCACCCTGGAAAATTCGCTCACATGGGGGTTGGTGACTGTTACCGAGGAAGACGATGTAGCTGAGAGCACCAAAGGCATTTGTGCCTGGCTTGACCCCACGATCCTCCTCAACAAGCCAACTTGATATGGCTGTGATAGGAGTAGACGCCCTCTGATTGGTTAGTCCTGCCACTCCCCATCCATCACAGCCTTGTCTCTCCTCAACCAATGGGAGGCCTGATGACGTTGAACTATCGAAGGAGCCTCGGTGGATCCCCCGGCAGTTGCAGAAAATGCCATTTTTTCACGTCGGGCCATAAGACGGTTATTACGGTACATAGGTACTAAAATTGCACCATGTTTTGTAGTCTCTTGCTCTATTTGTACCACTCGAGCCAGATACACGAAGACCCTCCATAAAAAAAGGACACCAGACTCGCCATGCCACTTCCAACCGGTGTTTATCGCGCCGACCAGGTCGGATCCCTCCTTCGGCCGAAGGAAATCCTCGAGGCACGTGAGAAAGTCGCGGCGGGAGCACTGACAAAGACAGACTTGCGGCAGCTCGAGGACAAGTACATCGCCGACGTAGTGCGCAAACAGCTCAATGCCGGCCTCCGCGCCATCACCGACGGCGAGTTCCGTCGTGCCTTCTTCCACCTGGACTTCCTCCAGCATCTGGACGGCATCGAGGTACGTGGGAACATGATGTCGACCAACACTTCTAAGGGTGGGTTTGCACCGCCGAAGCTGGTCGTGACGGGCAAGCTCGGCCACAGCAAGCCCATCCAGGTGGACGACTTCAAGTTCCTGGAGCGCCAGATCGCCGAGGCCGGCGGCGAGAGCGCCTTTGGCAAGGTCTCGTCGAAAGTTGCCATTCCCAGTCCGACCATGGTGCACTTCCGCGGCGGACGCGAGACGATTGACCTCGACGCGTACCCGTCCATGGACAGTTTCTTCGACGACCTGGCGCGGGTGTACCAGGAGGAACTGCAGGATCTGTACGACGCGGGGTGCCGCTTCGTGCAGCTGGACGACACAAATCTCGCCTACCTGTGCGACCCCAAGATGCGGTCCGAGGCCGAGACGCGGCACGGCGCCGACGCCAAGCAGCTCGCCAGCCAGTACGCCACGCTGATCAATCGGGCGATCGAGAAGCGGCCGCGCGACATGACCATCGGCATCCACCTGTGCCGGGGCAACCACCGCAGCCAGTGGTTCGCGCAGGGTGGCTACGAGCCCGTAGCGAGGTGCTCTTCAAGGACCTGAACGTCGACGTCTACTTCCTGGAGTACGACGACGCCCGCTCCGGCGACTTCAGCCCCTTGCGCCACCTGCCGCCCCACAAAGTCGTCGTGCTCGGGGTGATGACCAGCAAGAAGGGTGCCCTCGACGACAAGGACGCCATGGTCCAGCGCCTTCGCGAGGCCGCCAAGTACTGCCCGAAAGGTCTCGACCAGCTCTGCCTCAGCCACCAGTGCGGCTTCAGCAGCACCATGGAGGGCAACGAGTTGAGCGAGGACCAGCAGTGGGCCAAGATCCGCCTCGAGGTCGACATTGCCAAGACCGTCTGGGGACCCAATACCGCTGAGTGAAGGGCACTTTCCAGCCTTTCGTGGTGTAAACGGAGCGGGAATGCGTGAGAAGGATATTTTTTGGGGGGGTTGCACGATGGTCTTCTCTGATCTGGGCTCTCTTGATCTGCTGGGGACAATTGATCCGCGTTCAAAAAGGGGGGGTGGGGGGTGAAGATGGAAAGCATTGGGAGGTTTTGCGTTTGATCCGTTTTCAACAACGGTTGCACGATCAAAAGACGAGAAAGACGACGCGATGAAAGCATACTCGATGTACTTGGTGGGGTCTGGGGGAGAGAGGGGGGAGTCTCATTATGAAAAGGAAATCAAAAGGTGAAGATCTATTAACTAGCGCTGTTCAACAATTGATACCCAAACCCGCTACCGTGAGAGGGACCCAAAGAAGACGGATGCATGGATGTCTGCTTCACCAGTGACACCAAACATAAAATTCAGCCATACACAGACACTCACATATATATACGTATATCACACCTCTAGGTCAAAATGGGTGGAAAGTGTTTTCTTTCGGACAATACTCTCACACTAAAAAAGAAAATCCAGGTTCCCGCTCCAGCCAATGTCATAATCGCTGTAAAAGGCACTGACTACCATTTCTCAAACGTCCGCGCCTCGACCCACCGCCCGAACCGCACCACTGTCTTGTCGGCGCGGGTGAAGTAGTCAGCGGCCCAGAGCACGGCGGCGGTTGCGAAGGCCTCGCTGACGAAGCACGCGGCGGCCGATTCGCCCAGGTACGCCTGGCGCCAGGGCTCGAGGACGGGCTTGTGCAGGCTCTCGACAACCAAAATGTGCATGGCGTAGATACCGAACGACAGCTCGCCCATGTACTGCGAGAACGACCACGTCAGCGGCACCTGCAGCAGCGTCGGCGAGTGGTCCAGCCCCAGCACCAGCAAGCCCGCCCCGACGCTCACCCAGAACGTGTACATTGCCTCGCCATACCACCACGGTACCAGGCGCAGGAGGTACGGCCACGGGTACGGGATCACCGGGTTACGGTCGGGGTCGTCCGGTTGGCCGAGGAGGAAGAAGCCCGTCGTGAAAACGAAGATCCAGAAAATCTTGGAGAAGGCGGCGCGGCGCCACCAGGCTGGGGAGGGATTCGGTTTCTCGATGCAGTTGTTGTCCTGAGCGGGAGGAGGAGGAGGAGGAGGAGCACACGGCAAAAGAGGTCGTCCGAGCCGCTCGGGGTGCCGCATCAGCGACAGGTCTGCGATGAACATGCCCACCAAGAACTCGGCGATGTAGACCGCCCGCCAGTAGTAGGACAGAACCACCACCAGCCATAAGAAAACGTGTCGGGACCGGCTCGAGAGCTTACAGGACGCGGCGCAGAACATGAAGAGTGCAATGCTACCCCGGTACTCGACGGGGATGGTCCACATCTGGTACAGGTAGCGCGAGCGGAATACCCCAGCGTGGACCCAGCCCTCGATGTTGACGAACGGGCTGCTCGACTCGAGCCAGTCCTGGAACCAGTCCCAGATTTGTTCGAGCAGCGTGTCTTTCCGGTCAGACGCGTGCGGCCAGAACCAGCCTAGCCGCGTCAGCACCATGGCGATGAACGTCGCCACGCCCGTCGACCCGTACAGCCGCAGCCACCGGCGGAAGGTCGATGACGCGAGACTATCGAGCAGTTTGGCCGCGTCTTTGTTGTGGATCGTCTTCAGCATGCGGTAGCTGAGCACGTAGCCCGAGATAACGAAGAACACGGCCACCATACCCGGTCCACCGCGGAAAAGGACGCGGAAGAACGGCTGTTGGAACAGCCACATGCTAGGGAGCGGGAAGGCGTGGTAGAAGAAGACGATCAGGGCCGCGTAGCCGCGCAGCGCGTCGAGGTACGCGGTGGGATGGAGTTCCTCTCTCTTACAGCGGCCACCGGGCTGGATGTATGTCGGCAGGAGGCTAATGAGGACGCGTGACGAGAAGGCTTTGAACTGGATCCATCGTTGAGATTTCCGGCGCTCGGGAACGCCGAGTCCATGGTGCGGAGGAGGCCTGCCTTCACACGGGCTGTCGAGGTCGTCGAGGAGTGGAATTGCCTGCTCCATGCTGGAGAGCTTGACGGGGCTTGAATAAGGGGATTGCGGTGCTTCTTTGGATTCCTCGTATGTGACTTGTCGAAATGGCGCAGAAGTACGTACTGTACTGCGTTCGGGAAGGAGTGGATTCGTGATTAGCGAAGAAGAAGAAGGGCGGGAGAATCGCCGAGCTTGAGAAATGGCAATTCCATTGAACTGTGCAAGTCTTTCAAGCACATGGACAGGATTTCTGTCTTATGAGATCGCCTTACTGAACGACTTCCAGCCCCTTGAGCTGGTTATTCCACCTCGACGCAAGGGGGAGAAGCAAGGGGAGAGAGCACGGGTGAAGTGCCACATTCTTTGCGCGGCCCAGGCCAGTCGCCCATGATTATCCCTTCACAGTCTTGTATAGAGGTGCTTGCTCCTGTGTTAGTTGTTCATGTTCTCGGCCTTACCTCAAACACAGACCTTTGTCTTCCCAAGGCGAGACCTGGCCTTGCCAGCAATGTTGTTTGTGGTTAAGCTGACGAATTGCGAGATCTGCAAAACCCTTTGGACCAGCCACCGGTGACACGATCTGGAGAGGGTTGAAGCTGGCTCCTAGGGATCACTGAGCTTAGCTTGAGTCATTCAACTGAAAGCCTTCATGGTTTGGGATGTTGTAGATACGGGTCGGTGACAGAAGTTTCGCTGTCGCGTCGCTTAGCCAAGGCGGCTAATTTCCACCTTCGACCCTCAACTCTCCCACCTTTCTGTTCCTTCCTTCATTCGAGATTGTCATCACGACGATCTGTTCCACATCTTGGAGACAATGATAGCTGTTGCTTCCGTCCTGCAAGTCCTAAGTCGAGGCTCCACTCCATGGATGCAGATGGCATCCTACACGGAACTGCACAATTTCGATCCGTGTCCCAGATGATACCGCGGGTCATGTGTCCGGACCCCAATTCCCGGAAATGTGACACTGTATGTCAGTCAGAGAAGTCTTGCTATGGTCGATGAGCAAATTGTTGCCTTCTAATGCTTGGCTGAGCAAGGAAGAAGGCTGAGTGGTGAAGTTATATCAATATCATCAAGACCACTTCCGAGGAACCTGTGTTCCTGGCATCTAATAGAACGGGCCTAACAGAGAATTGTACAAGAAACTACCTTTGTGTCGATACGATGTCGCCCAACGGAACCATCAATGGGACGACTGAGCCCAAGCACGGCAAGATGGCCTCGCAGAACGAGTATATGCCAGCCTTGCCCGCCAAGCATCTCAATACTCCTGTCGAGGTCACTCCGTCGCCCGAGGAAAAGGCCGCTGGCCAATTCAATGACGCCAACATCAAATTGTTTCTCTCTGGGATGCACCGAGACGGCGTGGTAATTCTCAAAGACATCATCAACCCAGATCACCTCGATGTCATCAACGAATTCATGGTCGATGACACCAAGAAAGAACTTAGCAAAGAGAACCTCTACAAGAACTTTGGCGCCGAGAACATTCAACAAGGCCCTCCATTGACGCCATCAAAATACTTTTTCGACGACGTCTACCTCAACAAGCTTCTCTTCCATGCCGTGAACCTTTACCTTGGACCGAACGCTACGTGGAACATGGTCAGCGGCAACAATGCCTTACCTAACGGCGTCAAGAGGCAGCCTGTACACTCTGATGCCATGTGCAATCACCCACCGGCACCTTTCTATGTGGTTGCCAATGTCTATACCTGTGATGCCAGCGCGGCCAATGGCTCCACGGAGATTTGGCTCGGAACGCATCACTTTAACACTGAGGCCCAGACACCACCGGGTCCCAAAGGGGAAACCCACATCACAGACGAGTACATCGCCGAGAGACAAAAGACGTTGCCGGGCATTCAGCCTACGGTGAAAAAAGGTTCTATCTTGTTCCGAGACATGAGACTCTGGCATGCCGGAGTGTGCAATAAGTCTGACGACATGCGCTTCATGATCGCTTTGGGCTTCTCTGCCAGCTGGTGGCACGGTACAGCAAAGTTCCGGGTTCCCGCAGGGACAGGCGTGTTTGAGCGCATTATCCACGGCACCAAGGGCCAGGGCATCACACCTTTGATGGTTGAGCTGCCTCCGGAAGAGTACGAGAAACTGAGAGATGCGCATGATTTCAGCGATGTCGAGAAGATGACGTACGAAGGTGAAATATTCTAGCTGTGCGGTAAAAGAGATGCTGTTTGTTACAAGGGCTTCGGCTTCCTGAGCAATAAGGGACTCTCCGTTGACACGTCTGTGTACAGAGTCGTCTCTCGAAATTCGCTGTCTCCAATACACATTCTATAGTAGAATATATAGTGGGCTGCACGTCTCACCTGTATTGACCTTCTCTTCATCCCTTCGCCAGGTAATGGTCCCAAATGTCAATACAAGGCAAACAGAAAGCCTTGTGGATGTGGCCAATCGGAATCACTAATTCATTCCGTATCACGTGCACGGAACCTCAACGCCATCTCCCGGACGCTAAATGACCATTTTCCTTCTTCGTCTCCATCACTATCTCCTCCGTCCTTTACTGGAAACGCCGATCCTGGTAAACCATGCCGTCCACCCGTTATACCCAGAACCGCAATGATCGTCCGGATCCTGCGCAATTGCTGGCAGTTACACTGGAATGTCTTCCGGTATCGAGCTCAAACAGAACAAGAGGGGCCTGTTTAACTGCAGGCGAGATCCTCACGGGCGTCCGTGGACAATATGACTATCCATCACGAAGTACAGGCTCCAAGATGTAGCAGCCAGCCAGTACAAAAGATTCATATCCGCCCATTGCTAGCCCAAAAGAACGCCGCCAAGTAAGTCTATCAAAACAACAAAATGCGTGCGGCCGTGATATACGTTATTGCTTTCCTTACCAGTGGCGCCTGGGGCCTTCCCGCTGCGTCGCCAGTTCGAGGTCAGAATGCGAACTGTTTTCCCTTTGGAAGTGCCTCTTTCAACGGCTCGCTCCAAGCACCTAACGTGACGAGGAAGGAATGGTGGTGCCCTCAATCTATGACCTATGGCTTCCTTGGCTTCTCCTATCCTATGGAAGGAGAATGCTACGATGATAGCTTCGAACGCATCAACGCAGACTTGCAACGCCAGAAACGTGACTTTGGTGCAAGCTTGGTCAGAGTCTACTTGCCATATTGCTACACCACTTACATTTGGGAGAACCTTATCAAGGCAGCTGTTGCCAACGACATGGGAGTTGTTGCCCAAGTCGCCTGGCCTCTGAACGGGGATCCCGTAGGTTTAAAGCTCTCACAAGTGTCGAGCTGTCCGCTAAGCATTGTCCACAGCTTGAATACTGGCAGAAGATCGCCGCCTCCATCATTGAGATCCTCTCAAACAGCACTTACAAGGATATTGCACCCTACGTCTTTCACAGTATTGAGTTCGGAACGGAGCCAATTGGCGACCAAGACGATGGCGACAACTTCATCAACGACCTGACCAACTTCAAGACGGCTGTAAAGCCTTACGGCATTCCAGTCGGCATCAGCGAAGACTGGGACCGTCCTGGGATCATGTGCAGTAACTACACAGCTGGTCAAGCCCCGGGTCTCGGCCCTACCGGGAAGCAAATCCTTCCGCAAAGCGACTTTGTCCATGCACACATTATGCCGTACTATCACGGATATAACATATCTGGATCATGGGAGTATATCAGTGACCAAGTGCACTGGTACAAGAACTACACGCCTGTTCCCCTTGTGATCTCTGAGGTGAGATGCTATTTGTTCATCGTTCAGCGTCGTTACAAGGCTGACATGTAGTTTGCACTCAGACACAATGGGCTTGGGAGCTCAACGTTCTGCACCAGGGAAGCAAAGATATCGGTACGCCGCAGTACACGACGTTCTGGAAAACATACGATGCGAACTGCCAGTTCTTTAAGAAGAACAATGTAGGCTGGTTCTTGCACGCGTGGAAATGGGAGGGAACCTTCAACATGGTCACCCCGAATAACTCGTACGCGATACCAAATTGGAAACCGCAGAAGTGCTAGGAGTGATCCTGGTATCTCACTCCCACACTTCGATAGAGCAGAAGGATGGTAGACGGGTGGAGGAGGTATCACGCAGTAAGATGTAGTTAGTCATTCCATCAAATCCCCATGGAACCCGCATCTAGACCAGATATAGGATTAATCCACATATGATCATTCGCATATCATGTCGAAGTAGTTACGTCTAGGGTCTTGGACTAGATAATCAACAGCGCAGTATCCACTCTTCAAGTAGCCCAAGCGAATACTACCCTGACTTGCCGTCGTTCTCCCATATGCAACGGTAAACCATCCAGTCCCGTTCCGTGCGCCCTACCTTCGCCGGGATCGACCACGGAGCCACGGAGAACGACGCACTTTTGCCCGCACCACGTCGCGAAAACGAGGCAAGGTTCACCTTCTGGATTCGAGAGGCAAGTTAATGACCTGAGCAGTCCAATTGATTCGACTGTTGGCGTGATTCGTCTGAGCTGCATGCAAGGCTCCATTCGTCGCCCACCGGTAGCCAGAGTGAGGACCCTCCTGTGTACGTACGGGGCTGTGTTGCAGGTACGTCCACTACACAACCATACATGCATGTAGGGATTTTCTTCTTGTACAGGAATGCAGTCTCTTCAGAGGTACAGCAAGTCATACATAGATACTATCTGTGTCCTCACAGGGGCAATCAGTTCCTGTCATCCGAGCTCAATAAATTAGTCCATGGGTCGCAGTTCTTAACGCCTGGCCTCTTTACTAAATGATCCATAACCATCTGTAACGACCTTTACCACCCGTTAACCTCGACAGCAACGGCGACAAGAAGGACGAGGACAACGAAAACCCAGCAAAGATATGGGCTCCATCACACCCGAGCCTCCCATCACCGACACAGACACCAGCATTGACACCAACAATCCTCAATCAATATTCCACGTCGTCCACTTCCGCTTCTACGCCCACATCCCCGCGTCAACGCGCGCCGACATCTCGCACCAGTTCCTGGCGCTGCAGACGCGGTGCCTGTCCCCGCGCACACGCAAGCCCTACATCCGCTCCTTCACGGGCGGCCGCGACGTCAGCGTCGAGGACCTGCACAAGGGCTTCCACGCCGTCTTCGTGCTCGAGTTCGCCTCCCAGCACGATCGCGACTGGTATGTCCGCGAGGACCCCGTGCATCACAGCTTCGGGGTCGACGCGTTGACGGGCGTCGTGGAGGAGGTCATGGTGGTGGATTTTCGGAGAGGCGAGTTTTGATGGCTTTCCCAGCCCGCCGCTGCAGGAGTCGATGGAGGTGGGAAGCTGGGCGGGCGGATGCTTGCTGGGTGTCTTTTGGATTGTAGGTGTTTACTTCTCTCATTGGGCTGGCCACTCAGACGGAAGACGCGTTACAGGGCTTATGGTATGGAGAAATACAAAGTGGCTGGAGGAGAAAACGGGAGAGCCAGGTAGAAAGACAGGAGATGTGGTCAATTAGGTAGAGAAGTGCACGTAAAATTGGTGTGAACCTTTATACATTCGCTCGTATTGTCTAGACTATAGAGCGAGCCCTTGCCCACACTACGGTCTTGAGTACATTACATGTAGACACTCCTTCTCAACATAAACTGACACCCAGCTCTGAGTATCAACATATATCCTCATGGTACCGGGATCACCTGCAAATGCCCCTGGACAAGCCCTCAAACATCCCCCTCTCGCGCCTCCGAGATCTGGAAATCCTTGAACTTCCTTGCCGGGATGCCCGCCTCAAACATAATGTCCAATTCCTCGTACGTGCGTCCCTTTGTCTCGGGCAGGCGGAAGAAACACCAGATGGTGGCAATGGTACTGAGCCCGCCGAAGAAGAATCCCGTCTTGCCTCTCCAGTTGCCCGAGGACGCATTGAGCATGTACGGGACCACCACGGTCATGATGATCTGGGCAATGGAGCCACTGCTCGTGGCCAGAGCGACGGTCTGCGATCGAAGACGCGTGGCGCCGATTTCGGCGAAGATGACAAAGTTGATGGGACCAACTGTGCCCTGGAACAGGAAGGTCAGGATGTCGAGCAGGGCAGCTTGGGCCCAAGCTAGACCCTTGTGTGAGGTGTAATTCGGGACACAGTCCAGGATGCCGATGACGAAGAGAGACGCCGCCATAAACCCCACGCCGTACATGTAGATCGTCCGTCGGCCGAAGTACGACATGAAGACCCACGAACAGCAAGTGGCGACGAAGCCGATGGCAGTGTTGCCGACGCCCATGTCGAAAGAAGCGCTGACAGGTAGGCCGGCCAGCGTGAAGAAGTAAACCGCATATCCGATCAGGGAAATGCCGGTAATGACTTGGAAGATTTGGACCATGATAGCGACCTCGGTGCGAGCGCGACTCGACGCCCGGAAGCATTCGAGGAAGGTTGTGTCCTTTTCCACCTCGATTTCGTGCATGGTAGTCGCCTCGATGTTTGCAAGTGTAGCTCTGATGTCAACTTTGGGCGATTCTCGAGCAAGTCTTCGCAAAGCATTTTCAGCTTCGTCGACCCGACCCTTGCGCACCAGCCACCAAGGGCTTTCCGGCGCGAAGAAGAGACCGAGAGCAATCACTGGAATCCAGATCCATTGGATGGCGAATGGGATTCGGTACGCCCACTGGTCAGTCCTCTCCGAGAAACCTTTGCCGACTCCAGAAGCAACAAATTGTCCGATAACATAAGCGAGGTTCATGCCGGCATTCAAGATACCGCGAAGCGCCAGGGGACACACCTCGGACGCATACGTCGGTGCCAAAACAACGTAGGTGCCATAGAGAATACCCGCGAGGAATTCCCCTGCCGCCAAGGTGTGGATGTCGTTGGCGAACATCTGGAGAAAGATGAAGGCGGTGCTGAAAAAGAGGGATCCCCAGAAGACTTTCTTTCGGCCCCATCTCTCCATCGGCCACGAAGCAGTGAATGCCCCAAGGAACTGGCCCACAGGCGTTCCCATACCGAGGACATTCTGCCATTTTGCGGAAACTTCGTAGCCAATGTCGCCCCCATAGTTTGTGCCGTATTTCTTGACAAATGCCGGTAAGGCGTAGAAACTGTAAATCAACCCTGAATCATAACCGACCATGACCTATTGCTCTTTGTTAGAATGGTGCCCTTTGTGTTCTGTCTGCACTGTCCAAACAGGTAGACGGGTATTGGAGGTTTGTAGTTCTTACCAAGGAAGAAGCAAAGATCGATGCCCAGATGACCGCCATCGGGTAAAGTTTGACAGCCTCGATCACTCCCAATGAGTGCTCATTGTGAGTAGCGATCTTCGACTTCTCCAGTAGTTCGGCATGGTGTTCCTCTTTGACGTTGGTGATTTCACCCTTGGAGTCAACTTTGCTTGAAGACATCGTGGCACTTGATGTCAGACACGCTGCTGGAAGAAGTGCGCCCTACAAGTCTGTCTTCGCTCAAACAAATAGCTGAGCCGGTATCAAACCTCAGTTAAATGTGGGAATGGCAATGGTCTTGTCTTCGGGAAATGGGACATCAACCCGTCTATCTCTTGACCTTAGTTCGCAACATCAAGATAACAGCTCGCCACCGGGGTAACGGTAGCAGTCCACTTATCCGATACTGGTCGATAGTATAGGAGTGGGAAGGGGCACCACGGCATGTTGGAGACAAATGTCCTTGCTATGCCTGCGACCCGCCTGATAAGGACACGGATCCACGGCATGTCACCGGAATGCGACCTCCGTGTCATCAGCGGAAGCTATCTTTTGACCCTTTCCCCAGATTTTGCGGCTCGTGACCGCGCGGAGACTCTGCAAGAAGTAGTTATAGTAATCGGGGTCATTGGATAGGTTGATTGAAAGTGGACCATATGTGAGGGGTCGTGTGCCGTCCTAGAGAAGCTCAAGACGCGCCCTTTTGGTTTGGAAAACCCATGGGAGTATTTGTTGGGTAATTTCCCATGTGCGACGGTGAGTGAGCGGACATCACTAGTACATTTTGCCATTTGATTAGCGGTAGGAACAACGACCCAGTTACGAGTTACTGCCGAGGACGAAGTTCCCAGTGCGGGGATTTCCTTATTGATAAGCCGGATGTGGATAAGTGGGAGACGCTTTGCTGTTCTGGTTGGCCGCTCAATCACATGATAACACTAGTCCTAATTAGTCCCTCTATCAGCCGGTTGCCAGAAACATCCACTCTTTTTCCACTTCCACCTCTCGCGGTGTTGATAAAATATCTACTTATTTCCAGAATAAGGCGCCTCACCAGATACTACGCCTGGCCAGAGCAAGCTTCGCATCCGACACAGCAATCCAGATGTAGCAAAATTCCCGAAGGAGAGCGAGTTTGCGTGTGCAAGCCCAGTCATGTTCCCACGGGATGCTGCCGTTGGGGCCTATCTACGTTGTCAATCCAGATTCTTATGAGTCGAGCTGCCATGTCGCCAGCGAATCATTCTCCTGCGCAGCACGAGTTTGCGCTCATAGAGACGCGTACAGCCCCCAGGACGCTTACGCATCAGTCTGGAGCTAGAGATGCTCGAATCAAAACCGCCTGTGCGGAATGCAAGCGGAGGAAAACCAAGTGCGATGGCACACATCCATGCTACTCTTGTCGGTGGTATAAACAGCCGGAGAGGTGTGTTTATACCTTCTCGCGACCTGCGCTTGTTCTCAGTCGAAAGTAAGTTTCCACTGATGCACTTGTTATGCGTACCCTGCACCATGAATAACCTAGACAAGGAATTTCGAGTCCGTTCGCCAACGCTTGGAGGCCACAACCGATATTCTGGGAAAGCTCTTCCCGTCTCCATCCATTGAAGCTCTCAGTGGTCTTTCACGCGAGGAATTACTCCACCGGATTGCAGTTTCACTCGAGGCGACAACATCCCAGCCGGTACTCAATCGAGGTAGTCTTGCCACCAATAGCCTGCTACCTGTCGAGACCAGGGCCCAGGGCGACCACTCCGAGCTGATAGACCAAGATGATACTATCACCAGATCTGTCTTAGAACCACAGCAACAGGACGATACTTGCTCTGAAGCCGGTGACGATGTGAATGCCCTCTCGGCATCAACCATTCAGCCATCGTCATACGTTGGCCCGTCCTCGACAATGCAAATGTTTCGCACGATACTCAGAATCGCTCCCGAATCTGTAGGTCAGCAACAGCCCACCCAAAGCCCTGCAACGAGTCAACGAAGTGCGTCTCATCGCTCTCCGGAGATCAGCCATAAGACACCGCCATCCCTGCAAATGACTGAGAGAATTGGAGTCTTGATCGATGCCTACTTCTACTGGATCGACCCCGCCACTCCTATTCTTGACCAGGCTGAGTTCAGAAAGGTCGCCTCTGCTGGAATTCGGAATGACTCTCCATGGCTTTGTCTTTTCAACATGGTGTTGGCATTGGGTTCGATTGGTAGCACCAGAACTGACTCGAGAGAACACCTCAGCTACTACCATGCTGCGAAATCACATTTGGACATAGAAGGCCTTGGGAACAAAAGCCTCGAAACACTGCAGGCTTTGATTCTCATGGCTGGCTGGTATAATCATTACCGCAACCGACCGAACCTTGCGTCTGCACTTCTCGGAGCCGCATTTCGGATGGCGTATGCATTGGGGCTTCATAAAGAGCAGCCCAATAGCAACCAATCCACAGAGCATCAGGAATTGAGGCGCAAGATCTGGTGGAACCTCGTCGTCTTGGATGCGGCTGAGGCTGTAACATTGGGTCGCACACTGGATACCAAAATATTCGAGAGCGAAGTCAAATATCCCCAAGAGATCGGGCTAGATGTAAGTACTTGGCTCTTATGGGAAGATTCCCTCCCAGAAGGGAGATATCAATTATTCGTCTTGCTGATCCATATAATGTCCATTAGATGAATGATGGTGTGGAAGGCCCATCTCCTTCCTCTACACTAGTCATTACCATCGGATTCTCGCGTATCATGACGGAGATCCAAAGCCGGTTGATGACATCAAACACGGTGCCTTTTGCCGAACTACTCAGCCTCGACGCACACCTTGTCGATTGGTACGAAACTTTACCTTCGTATTTTCACAAGCTGGTGTCGATGGGCAACTCTGCTGCACCAGATTCGACCAATTCGAAACGTTTCTTGCAGCCATTTCTGACCATCAGATGGCGGTATCTGAATCTCAGAATGTTGTTATATCGACCAAGTCTGATGGAGGCCGTCCTCCACAGAATTCCATTTGGCGCGCTTACATCTGATCAGCGATTGTGCGTACGAAAATGTCTGACTTTGTCCGGAGAAACCATTGATTCGGTGAAAATAAGATCGTCGGAAATGCCGAACCAATACATTGCGTGGCCCTCGACTTGGTACTTGTTGCAAATCTGTATGGTTCCACTTCTCAGCTTGTATGTGTTTCGCGAGGATGTCAACGACCAAGGTTCACAGGCCGACCTTGGTCACCATTTCGGGTTCAGACATTCAGGCAGCGTCAAAGACCAAGTCCGCCAAGTTCGAGATGAATGCCACAGGCAAGTCCAAACTACGCTGCGTCTGGTCAAAGAAATGGAGCCGTGGGCCGTAGCATCAGGTAAAATGCACGAGTTGATCACGCATCTGTACGAAGCAAGAGATCAACACCTGCGCGTCTGGAACAACCACGACGAGAGTCCTATGATCGTACTGGGATCCCCAGCAAACTCATCCATGCAATCGTCGGACGCGATGAATGCGAGAGCGCTACAAGCTGACCGTGCAAACATGGACACCAGTGCAAATCCCAGAACCATCAATCCTTTGCAGGCCGAAAATGTGGTTATTCAGTCAAACGGTCTACATCCAGCTGTCAGCATGGCCCAGTATAGCATTGGGATACATAATAACAATGGTACCCTCAACCCGTCTGAGCAGTTTCCCAGAGACTTTTCGATATACAACAGCTTCGCATGGCCGAATGCGACACTGGAAAGCCTTTTCGACTTGCCGGATGACTTTCAGTACATGAACCAAGGAATGTTCGGCTTGGGATGAGATACTCCATATCTTCTGCACGGACTCGACGAGCAAGACAACAATCTGAAAACATCGCTTGTTCAGACAGTGATCTGTCGTGTGTCCCTAGGCACCTTCGCGTTGGAGGTTGCTTGTGAGAGTGTTCGGTGAGCGTCCATCTTCCATTCCACGACAGAAGCCATCTTCTGAGGAGAAGCCTCAAACTCCTCAAGTTATACATGTCTTCTAAGACTGGGCTCTGCTCCTTCTCAAGATAGCAGAGATTCGAATGGGCTCGGCACCAGGTCGAGGCCCGCCAGCGTTCTCACCACTTTCCTTGGCTTGAGGAAGCCTCGCTGAAGATGATAACTTGGTAAGTCGATCTCTAATTCTAGGGTGATACCTCCTAATCTCCCAGCACTCAGGGTTTCCCAAAGACTACACTTTCCCGTAGTGCCTCGAGTAGCAGCAACGTTCGATCTTGATCAGGGAAAACGCCTGTTCTTCCATCGCAGGCGGCAATGATATTGTCCCTGGTCTAGGATCATGGGTCAACCATGTCAAGCAAGTGCTGATTCGGTCCTGTCTTGCCATCAAGCTCTATCGAGCCGATAAAATTTGAGGCTCGTGATACATCTGCGTGTCGCTCCAGATCTTGCGTTATTCTACGGTAGATATGCGTGAGATTGTTATGCCTTTACACACTGAGAGTTGTGGACGGCATGCAAAATGCAGCGCGTACCCGTTGACTTGGAGAGATATTGCTATTAAACCCCGAGCTGTCTAGACATATTCCCACAATGATATCTCGAATTCGAGGGAGATACTATGTGTACTGAAGGTTGATAGTCATCGCACCGACTGGCCGGGGCTCCACAAACACAGAAAATCCCATCGTCGGATCATTTGCCGACATACCCGGGCTATCCCCAGAACTGCCTTTACAAAATCACGTCCAAGCCATGAGGTGGCAGAACATCTATCGTCGATTTGGAGCGAATAATACATGGCCAGAATATCTTACCTTCCCAACACAGGCACCTCTGAACAAGACTCCCAAGTTAAGGTACGAACTAGCATACCTGTTTACTCTTACACCACCCAAGTGCCCGGCGTCCATTGGCACTGGGATAGCAGTAAAGTTTAGAGAGAGAAGCCATCACTCATCAAGCACAATGGGAGATGTGACAAGTGTCTCCAGCGGGAACACTCTGCTCCTGGAAGGACGACCTGAGTCCGAGTTCACACCCCTTCTCCAGACACGTAAACAGGCCCGCCTGATATGTCTGGAAGAGCACGCCGTGTCCCCCTACCCAACGCCCGCAATCTCCTCCACCTTCGGCACATTCAAGCCCTCATATGTGGCCGCGCTCAAAGACCGACTGGGCGACATCGCACTGCGGGTCAAAATCATGGACGCCAACAACATCGGCGCGCAGATCATCTCCATGAACCAGCCCACGGCCCAGGCATTCGTGAACCTGGACGAGCAGCTCGAATGGTGCCACAAGTCGAACCAGTTCGTCTACGAGAACTATTGCCAGAAATACCCTAGTCGATTCTTCGCCTTTGCGACTCTACCGACACAGAGCGGCGAGGCGGCCGCCACGGAACTGGAGCGCTGTGTCAAGGAGTACGGCTTTGTCGGCGCCATGATTAACGGCTTCACAAACACCTCAGATCCCACCGTGGGACTGTACCTCGATCATCCGCAGTACGAGAAGCTCTGGGAAGTCTCTGAGCGGTTACAGAAGCCGATCTTTATCCACCCCCGCGTGCCGCTGGCCAGTAATATCAAGGTGCTGGAAGATATGCCGGTCTTCCACGGTGCCCCTTACGGCTTTGGACGGGAGACGGTTGAGCACGTCCTCAGACTGATGTATAGTGGCGTATTTGATCGCTATCCTAAGTTAAAGATCTGTCTGGGTCATATGGGCGAGGGGTTATCTTGGATCTTACCCAGGACGGATACCACGTTCCGTCTTTATACCGCTGGTGAGTGCCGTGGAGTGAGAAGTGCTTTTCGATCTATCCATCTCTTTAGCTTTCTTTCGTACACTCGAATACAACTGACTCGTCCGCACAGAGGCACAAGGTCCCAAGAAGAAGCGCTTCCAAGATTACTTCCAGCAGAACATCCTGCCCAACACGAGTGGGATGCCTCGAACAGCAGCCCTGATAAACCTAATGGCCGAGTCGAGAGTCGAGAATATCATGTTCGCCGTGGACTACCCCTATGAGTCGATCGCTGAGATGAGAGCCTGGTTCGAGACGGTGCCTATATCGGACGAGAACTGGAGGGATATTGGGTATCGGAATGCGATCAGATTGTTTGGGCTGCCACTTGATTATGATTAGTGGTGGATTGAGGATAGACAAAGGCTGTCTTTATCCGCTGCCAATTCTGCTCGATATCGTAAGCATAATGCGACGGCCTTTAGGACTCCCAATGGCTAATAGATTATCAGACCGACAGGAGCACGAGTAGCGCTTCATGCAAAACGGCAACTCTGAGTGTGGTAGACTTTGGACAATCTAAACAGGTTTCAATGACACTGGCACTCGTTCCTCTAAATAATAAACATCTTTTCAGCATCGCGTCGTCTATGCTCTTTGGCATACGACCCCGGGTCGCTGTGCCTCGTGCTGACATTGGTCTGTGAGTACTGGCGCATACACCGAGAGAATCACCGCCTCAACGTAAGACATCCCATGAAGAAGAAGAGATCGGTCAAATGGATTGTTCGCCGAACAATTGTCCAGAGAGAGGTATAGCCTCGCAAAGACCACCGCCAGCTGACCTATCTTCCTTCTGGCGAGATAGACCAGCCTGTGGAAGCAGAAATGTCGGAACCATGCACTCTCTCCACCCCGGCAGGCGAGTGTTGGAAAGCATTGAGGAGGAGAGAACGCGAATCCCAACATGTTTGCGTGTGACTCACAGCGGACAAGACGCATGAAGTGGCTTGGGCATAAACACAGCTTGAAAACTGTGCATCCAATCTTGGTGTCCTCTGTGGATATGGAAGATGTTGATTTGTTCTGTGTCTGAAGTCGAGTGAAGCATTGGCCGACTCAACGTACCGGCACATGATGAGAGCCTGAATAAGAACAGTAGCAACGCCGAGCCGAGAGAGATGAGGTATGACAGCTTGCGTTGTCAAGAAGATGCCTGGGCTGACTCCGTTATTTCAGTCTGGTCCTGGTGGCTACCGCGGCCAAGGTGGACGGCACGGGACTTAATCCCCCCTGGAAGAGCATCGCTAGCTGCTAAACTTTAACTGAAGTTCACGCAGCATCAGGCACCGGCCCGCGCCTAAGTAGTCTTCAAGCCTAGCCTAAGCCACACCATCAGCCATAAACATCCTCCGCACCCCTAAGGACCTCCACCACTACGGCAGCTACCGCCTAGCTAAGCGTTCTGGACCCTTGGCCCCCTGGAAATCGACCTTGCCGGGACTCTTCTGTGTAGATCGCCAGGTACCATTACATCCCGTCTTCACCAATGATCCAGGTCTCGACCTCACATCTCTGACCGTGGGCACCATGGTGAGCATCCAGAACTGCTGCGGTATTTCCCATCCTTTCCCTCTTGCGAATCAGCTCGTCTTCATCAATTTAGCCACCCAACAGCCCAGCTGTCTCATCACATGTGCAAACATAGCCAAACATTTGCTGGTCCAACAAGAATTCTGCGATAGCCCACTGCCCTCTAGCAATGCACCCTATCAGCAACGCAGGGTCATAAGCGAGCCGTTAATCCTCCGCGACGTGTCCTAGCCTCATTCTACCGCTTCTTCGTTTGTACCTGTGGCTGCCCGATGAACCCGCAATGGCCGACTCAATGCCAATTGCTACAGACGAGAAGACTGTCACGCTACCTAATCACAGGTTTGCCAAAATGGGGACTCTACAGTCTTGTTCAAGTATCTCTCCGTCTCTCTGCTTTAGAAAGTTCTCTCATCTCCATGTTCGCTTAAAAGGTTCCTGCACATGCAGACCCAGACGTTGATGCAGACGTGAAACACTCCCGGCGTCACCGCTTCTTTGTCGAAAACCTTCACTACCGCACAGTACTTAGTTACACTGCAGCACCACCCCTTCTACAACTCTCAACACAATGGCATCTGAGAAACGACTACGACGAATCTCCCAGACACGAATGCGGCCTCCTCCAACAGGCACCAAACGGTCCACGAGCTTGCGAAGGGTATACAACCGCTTCTTTCACCCAGATTCACCTTTCTCAGAGTCCGAGCGGGGATCTCCAGTTGTTCCTGACTCAAGTGAACCTCCCTTGTCAGAGATTGAAGTCCTCCAGGGTGAACTGCAACAATGTCGCCAGAATCTCGAGGAAGCCAGGGAGATGGTCATGTCCCAGGACCACGAGCTGTCGACGTTGGAGAAAAATACACAGAAGATGGAGAGACGCTACAAGGAAAAGGAGGCTGCCCTACGGCGGCTGAAGACTTCATTGGAGGAGACCATGGTGGCTGTAGTTGTACAGCAGATCAGAGATGCTCAGAAAGCCGAACGAGATCTCGTCAAGGAAGAGTGCAACCGTGAGCACCAGGCCGCTTTGGAGAACCTACACCACAAATACCGGTCAAGGGTCGCCATTCTGTCACAAGAGCTTTTGGACTCCCGCACAGCAAACGAACGGATGAAGGCAACCTACCAAAACGAGGTCACCGCACTCCGCGCTGAACTTGCCTCTCAGGCCTCCGACCTCGAAACCGCAAAGACTGCCATTATTGAGACAACCGAGTCGCTCAAAAGCGTCCAGATAGCTTCAACGACGGCTCTCGAAGAGACGGAGAAAGCAAATGCAACTTTGAGAGCCGAGCTTGAATCACAGATTGCGGCTCTCACAGAGGAATTGAATACTGCCAATTCCGGGTTGCACAATGCTGAACTGAGCATTGAAGATCACACGAAACGATATGAAGATCTTCAAGACACCTCCTCACGAGCAATAGAAGATGCAAATGCATCTCTCGCTTCCGTCCGTGCCTCGTTGGAGGCTCAACTTGAAGCACACGCCGCCGAGCTCTCGACTACCAAAGATGCCCTCGAAACCTCGTCCCGGGACAGGGAGGCGGACCAGTCGGCACATCAGATAGTCTTAGAAGAGCTCAATGGGGCCCGCAACCAGATTGCTGACCTCACGAACGACCTGGAAGAGCATTCGACATCAAAAGCTGCTCTTGAAGAAAAGGTCGCCCAGCTCCTGGTCGACCTTGAAGCGTTTGAGGCTTGCAGAAAAGACCTCGAAGGGTCTCAGGCCCGGGTTGCGGATCTGACAACAGAGCTCGCGACGCTGCAGGTCGCACGAGAGAGTGCAGATGCACAAGCAGCTCAACTTTCCGCCGAGCTCGAAGAATACGCTCAACTGAAAGCGGAGCATGAAGCTCAGACACAAGAACTCGAAAGCGCCAACGCCAAGGTTACAAATCTGACGACCGAGCTTGAGGCATTCGCCGCCTGCAAAACAGACTTAGAAGAAGCTCAATCCAAGATTGGCCAGCTTTCCACCGAGCTTGAGTCTTTCGCCGCCTGCAAAACTTCCCTAGAGGAAGCCGAATCAAAGATTGGTGAGCTTTCCGCGGAGCTTGAACTTTTCGCCACGTGCAAGAGAGATCTAGAAGAAGCTGAAGGAAAGATTGTTCATCTTTCTGCCGAGCTTGAAGATCATGAGCAGCTAAAAGCGGATCATGAATTAAGCAAACAAGAACTTGAGGACATTCAAGCCAAAGTTGGAGAGCTCTCAACAGAGCTTGAAGTCCTCCAGAGTTGCAAGAAAGACCTCGAAGAAGCCGAGTTGAAGATCGAAGATTTGACCGCTGGACTTGAGAGCCATGAACAGCTGAAAGCGGACCACGAGTCTTCCAAGCAAGAGTTGGAGAGCACGCAAGCTAAACTCGCCGAGCTGCAAAGTGAGATTGAAGGAACCAAAGACAGCTTGACTGCGGCCGAGTCACAGATTGCTCAACTCACGTCAGAGCTCGAGGGCTACAATCAACTCAAAGAGGACCATGAGAATGAGAAAGAACGTTCTGCCGGCCTTCTCGCGGACGTCGACCGCCACGTTGCCGCTGTGGCGGAAGCGGAAGGAAAACACCAACAAGCAGAGGCTCGTGCCATTGCGGCTGAAGAGAAACACACCTCGACACTAAGCGACCTGGAACAGCGTACAGCCGCCGTCGCTGAATTAGAAGAAAAATACAAAGAAGCTGAGGCGCGAGCCACGGAGCTTGAGGGAAAACACGCAGCCACACTCGAAGAGCTCGAACAGCATAAAACTGCCGCGACCGAGGCAGATGCACGCGCTGCCGAAGCAGAAGGAAAGCACACCTCCGCACTTGAGGAGCTTGAGCAACACAAGACAGCCGCAGCTGAGGCTCAGACTCGTGCTAACGACGCAGAAGAAAAACATACCTCTGCACTCCAGGAGCTGGAAGGACTCAAGGCGGCGGCAGCTGCGGCGGAAGAAAAGCTGAAAGAAGCCGAGAGTCGCGCCGTTGAAGCGGAAGAGAAGCACGCCGGCGCGCTACAAGACTTGGAACACCATAAGAATGCTGCGACAGAAGCCGAAGAGAAGCACAAGGAAGCAGAGGCTCGAGCTGTTGGGGCGGAAGATATGCATAAATCTGCCCTTGCCGAGGTTGAGACGTTGAAAGAAAACCTTGCATCAGAGACTTCGAGCCATGCAGCAACGAAAGAACAGCACGAGCAACTCACCAAAGATCTCGAAGAAGCTTCGAATTCTCATCGAACCACGCAAACTCTGCTGGACGAGGCCTTGGAGAACATAAACGCCTCGAAGGAGCAGATACAATCCCTGGAGTCCGAAGTCGCCTCCATCACAGCGTCAAAGCAGGCCGATGCAGAGCAATTCGAGGCACAACAAGCCAAGCATGCCGAAGAGCTCGCAGCCGCCAAGGATGAGGTTTCGAATCTCGAGGCAGAGAAAGCAAAACTGGCCGAAGACATCGAGGCCGCTGATTCAGCTAAGAAAGCGCTTGAGGAGAAACTCGAAGGACTCGAAGCGGACAAGTCGAGCCTTTCCACTGAGCTCGAAGAGGCACGAGCTAGCCAACAATCGGCCGAAGAGAAGTGTACCGCAATTGAAAGCGAACTAAAGTCGCTCCAAGAGTCCAACGAAGGTCTGTCAAGCAAGTGCGAAGAAGTTGAGGCCAACCGGCAAGCTGCAGAAGACAAAGCAACGGCTTTGGAAGAGCAGCTCAAGACACTTCAGGGGTCCCACGATGAGTTAACCACGAAATGTCAGAAGCTTGAGGAAGTGGAGGCTGCGCTACACGCCGCAGAAGAGAAAGTGGCTACTTTGGAAGAGCAACTGAAATCACTTCAGGACAACAACGAGCAGCTGACGGAGAAAGCCAAAAAGCTTGACGAACTAGAGGTCGAACACGCCGCTATCCAAGAGAAATCCGCTGCTCTCGAAGCGCAGGTGCAATCAACCAACGAGGCCAACGATGAGTTGACGAAGAAGCTCGAGGACACTGAAACTGCCAAAGCGGCTGCGGAGAGTGAGGTGGAAAAACTACAAGGAGAACATGCGTCAACGGTAGAGGGACTTCAACAGGAACTTGCCTCCAGCAAGGAAGCCTCTGAAAAGGCGAAGGAGGATGCCGCAGCGACTTTGGCGGAGCTCGAAGCAAAATTGGCAGCGTCCGAGGCTTCCCACAAGGAAGCTCAGGAAACGCTAGAAAAGGTTCGTGCAGATGCAGACCAATCCAAGATCGAAATGGATGAGAAGCTCGCCGAGGCAGAGAATGCCCATCAAGCTACTCAAGAGGCGCTGTCAAAAGCCCAAGCTGACGCTGAAACCTTAACCAGTGATTTTGAGCAGAAAATGGCCGATGCGCAGGCGAAACAGAGCGCCACGGAAGAGGAGGCGGCTAGAGCAAGAGAAGAGCTTCAAGCTAAGCTTGACGCTGCTTTGGAAGAACATCAATCGGCCAAAGAGGCGCTGGAAGAAATCAAGAAGGAAATCGAGACCATTGAAGAAGCTAAAGCATCTCTCCAGTCGAAGCTAGCAGATGCAGAAAGCGCCACAGCTGCAGCAGAGAATCGCCTTACCGAAACCGAAGCAGCCAAACTTGAGTTAGAGGGCAAATTGAAGCAGGCAGATGATGACAAGGCCAGTACCGAGCAGGAGCTTCAGACAGTGAAAGACAAATTGGCGGAAATCCAGGCAGAGCTTGAATCGACCCAGCAGGAGAAGCTTAACATCTCTGAGCAGTCATCGAAAGATCTCGAAGCCAAAGAGGCCGAATTGGCCGCTTCTCTGGCCTCCAAGTCGGAACTCGAGGCCCGGCTCCAGGAGACCGAGGCGAACCTGGAAGCTGCCAAGAAGGCTCAGGATGAATCGAATGCTCACTTGAAAGAACTCGAAGCCGAGGTCGAATCCCTTAAAGCTCAAGCAACCGAAGTCAGCAAGCTGTCGGACGATTTGGCCGGCAAAGAACAGGCTCTACAAGCGTTGGCCACCAGCAAGGACGAAGTAGAGGAGCGACTCAAAGACACTGAGGCCAAACTTACCTCTTTCCAAGAAGAGATCGACGCACTGAAAGCATCATTGGAGACAACGAAGGAAGAGGCAGCGAAGCACCTCGAGGCAAGAGAGCAAGAATTCAAGCAACAGTCAGAACAAGCTGCTCAGGAGCTCGAAACACTCCAAGCTGAGTTGAAGACCAAGGAAGAAGCGATTGCAAATCTTCGGGCTTTGAAGGAGAAAATGGAGGAAGAAATGGGAATGTTCTCGTCACCTCCGACATCGCCTGACCCCGAAGCCATTGAGGACAAGACGTCAACGGTCGCCACCGTCAATGGTGGACGTGGGAGGAAGAGTAGAAGGAGAAAGTCCAAAGCTAGGGCTGATGATGAAAGCGATGCTGCGAAGGGAGATGCGGATGATGAGTGACGATGAAATGATTCTGTTTTGGGCAACGGACGACGACGAACAATGGATCAGGTTGGGCATGTGGATGAACTAACGGACTTGGAGAGCGGTCCTGGATGGGAAGTTCAAGGCGTAAAGGTGCATTGGTCTATGGGAATCTGGACGATAACATGATAAAATAGTGCGACGGCGCAGGCGGCCACCTTCTTGACCTCGAATTACGGCGTATATACGGGCGACATGGAGGAAGGACACAGATGGCGTAGCTTTTTCGACTCGGCGAGTCGGTTGGAATGAGAACCAATGATCCGCCGGACTACGTTTGGCAACCGAATGCTCCGCCGACATCCGCTTCTCCAAGCATGACATCAGAAAATCTCCCTCCGCATTATTTGTCAATGGCTCAATTTGCCGTCAAGATGACGATGCCAGAAGCGATCAATATTTCAAATTATCAGTCGCCCCAGGTTCTCATCAATATATTTGTCCTCACCATCTCCCTCGTCGCCTTCTGCATGCTTTTCCGACGCATTTCTCGTCTGTCTCCTCCAAAAGCGCCACGAACATATCAAACCCCCGCTCCAGTTCCGCGGATGAGACTCGCACAGATGTCTTCCCACATTTCGAATGGCCATAACAACGGCTCACAGTCCAACGGCCATTCCGATGCCACGGCGACACTAGCAGATATACCCAAGTCGAACAACTTCACGTCGAAACTCCCTCCAGACCCGCAATTTCCCACTCCGATCGATTCCCATAAGGCCCCTCGACAGAAGTTGGGCCCCCGCATGGTTCGAGGGGCACTATACACCTTCGTCAGACCCGAACCTACCGAAGAGCCTGAATTGCTCGCAGTCAGCAAAGCCGCACTACGTGATATTGGTCTTGCCGAAAGTGAGGCATCCTCTGAAGAATTCAAACAGGTGGTCGCTGGCAATAAATTTTACTGGGATGAAGAGAAGGGCGGGGTATATCCCTGGGCGCAGTGCTACGGTGGCTTTCAGTTTGGCTCGTGGGCTGGTCAACTGGGCGATGGTCGGGCAATCTCACTTTTCGAGACGACCAACCCAAAGACCCAGATCCGTTACGAGCTGCAATTGAAGGGCGCAGGCAAGACGCCCTACTCTCGCTTTGCGGACGGCAAGGCAGTCTTAAGATCGAGTATCAGAGAGTTCATCGTGTCCGAATATCTCAACGCAATTGGAATACCCACCACCAGGGCTCTGTCGCTGACTCTATGTCCCAAGTCCGAGGTCATCAGAGAACGCCTGGAACCTGGCGCGATTGTCTGCCGATTTGCTCAAACATGGCTGAGACTGGGTACATTTGACCTCCTACGATCAAGAGGCGACCGGGACTTGATCCGGAAGGTTGCGACTTACATCGCTGAGGATGTCTTTGGCGGGTGGGACAAACTTCCTGCAGCCTTGCCCGCCGAGACTACAGACGCCCATCTCGACCCGGCGAGAGGCGTGCCCAAGGACGAAATACAGGGCAAGGAAGGCGCGGAGGAGAATCGCTTCACCAGAGTCTATCGAGAAATTGTTCGAAGAAATGCCAAGCTTGTGGGTATGATGCAGGCGTACGGATTCATGAATGGAGTGCTCAACACCGACAACACGTCCATCTATGGTCTATCGCTCGACTATGGGCCATTTGCGTTTATGGACAACTTCGATCCTGCCTACACGCCCAACCACGACGATCATATGCTGAGATACAGCTACCGCGCACAGCCGAGCATTTTCTGGTGGAATCTCGTTCGTCTGGGCGAAGCTCTCGGTGAATTGATTGGTGCTGGAGATAAAGTTGACGACGAAGAATTTGTTGAAAAGGGGGTGCACGAAGACTTTGCACCTGTCCTGATTAAGCGTGCCGAGACTATTATCGAACAGATCTCCGACGAATACAAGGCTGTCTTCCTGAGCGAATATCGCCGTCTGATGACGTTGCGACTGGGCTTGAAGACTCAAAAGGAGAGTGATTTTGAGAAGCTGTTCTCGGAACTGCTCGATACGATGGAAGCGCTGGAGCTTGACTTCAACCACTTCTTCCGCCGACTGTCGTCGGTGAAAGTGGATGATGTCAGCACAAAAGAAAAGCGCGAAAGCACCGCCGAGAGATTCTTCCACCGAGAAGGTGTCACTGGCCTCAACGAATCGAACGATTCTGGCCGGGAAAAAGTGGGCAAGTGGCTTGAATCGTGGCGTGAGCGGGTAGTTGAGGATTGGGACATCTCCGACGAGACCACAGCTTCCGCGGCTGACGAGCAGCGAGAGAAGCTTATGAAGAGTGTCAACCCCAACTTTGTGCCGAGAGGCTGGTTGCTGGATGACATTATCGACCGCGTGCAAAACAAGAAAGAAAGAGATATCCTGAAGGGAGTTATGGAGATGACGCTTGCTCCGTTCGAGGATGAATGGAGCTGGAACGAGGAAATTGAAAAGAAGTACTGTGGTGATGTGCCTAGATTTCAGAGGGCGATTCAGTGCAGCTGCTCGTCATAAACGTACATGCAGTTTAGCTATATACTTGGCGCCTTATACTCGCCTGGGAAGGATGCTTTAACAACACACTATCGTGCAAGTCCACTCTATGTCTATTTGTATAGTATCAGCTGGCCGTGATATGGAGAACTAGCCAATCAACTGCGGCGCTAGTTACAAACTAACCATATTGGTTTAGTTTCTATTGAATATATCGTGAATACTCCGGCCTAAGGAATGAATCAATAGTGCACCCAATGATGGCATCAGGATTCTCTGACAATTTCGATACGAATGGTCCAAGAGATCGAGTATCTACTACCATGTATTGCCTTCAATCAGCAGTCCCAACAGCTTGGCATCTTCGACGGCCTGGCTGCCTTTACAAGGTTCCCCTTCGCTGGGGATCGGCCGGCAAGGGTGCCATATGCCCATACTCAATGCCCTCGCCGACGTTGAGTGCCCACAGAAATCTCGTGGTACAGTTATACGCGGAGCTACACAGCGTGATCTCCACAATCTCCCTATCGCTGAAGCCTTGGTTGCGAAGTCTCTCAAACACGGCGTCGGGTACCATGAGATCCTTCGTCATATAGTCCACATAGGCGATCACCGCCATGTGTTTCTCGGTGAAGCCGCTGCCACTGGGCGGGGTGGTGTGCGCGGACTTGGGCTCGGCCGACAGGAGGTAGTCGATGGCCGGCGTCGAGATCTTGGTGTCGGTCGAACCGAGGAGAAGGTCGTGGTGCGCGGTCCACGCGAACCACGCGCGGTTCAGGGCCACCGTGCGTGCGATGGCGACTTGGCGAATGCTGGTTGGGAGAGAGTTCTTCGTGTCGCTGCGAACGACGCCGAGGAAAGAGTTCCTAGGAGGCGAACGAGTGTTAGACAGGAGGGATTTTGATCTGTTGTGTGATATTGTAGCTTATAAGAAGACGCTAGCCCAGAAAGAGAACTGCCTCAACAGCATGCTTCTCCTATTATTATTTGACCATGGCAGACAGAATCCAAAACTGACCATCCGTCCGCCATGTGCGGCGCAATCAGCAACGCCCGATCCAGATCCAGCAGCCGGTTCCCGGGCCGCCGGGCCTTAATCCGCTCCGCGATCTCCTTCTCCTCGGGATCCGCTAGGGACGAAGGATCGCTGACGTAGTTGAGACGCATGCTGTCGGCTTCTCTATTTCAGCTAGGTCCTGGCCGGGTCGCTGATGGTGCAATAGTTGGAAAAGAAACGGCTCGCTGGTGAGGGGGAATCGGCGACATATTTGTATATAAACTGCAAGGCTGTGCGGGGAATCCTCTTCTTCTGGGGACCGGTAGAACGTCTGCCTTGTGGAGTATCGGCTGTTCATCGCCCCGATGAACGTGTCCAACATACGCTTCGGTTTTGATACACTCGCTTTGACTGAGATCTTCGAAATCCCAACGTCGACAATGGGCCTGGTTCGCAGTAAATCCCTTGACATTGATCGGTCTTGGGAATGAGCAGGTAGTCGAGACTCTGCTGTCCGATGGTGCGGAGAATGTGCCCCGACCTTGTTGTGTATTCTTAACTTCGACGAGGAGAATCCATCTTGTGCTCTCGTAACCGCTCACTCATGACTTCCTGCTCAGACGCCTGAGGGTAAAGTCCATTGTGGCTACAGTGATGGTGATGGGGAAACCACAATCAAATCTGTTTGCTGGATCGTTCGTTAGTTCGTTGTCTCGCCGGCGCCGTGCATTCAATCAACTTGTAGCCACCAATACACTCATTACGGCAGAGATTTCAAGGATTCTGCTTGTCGAAGCCGAGGAGCCGAGCATACGTCACGACGGAGTCATCGTTAGAGAGCTGTGAGACATGTCCAGCATCATTTATGACCATCACAGACACACGCTCCAGCGAAGTCTCACCATTTAGATGTCTGCACGGGTTCAATTCTCTGCGGCCAGCTTCTGTGGCTTTCAAGAAACACCAATTCCGTCTGACACATGCGCTTGCCCCCAACCGATTCTCTTACGCCCATACGATTTTGCGGTCCAACAACGTGCTTATGGAATGAGCCGAAGCTCGAGCCGACGACTTTCATATACATTCCGCGAGAGGACAATGGCTACATATGCCGTCCTCCAGAATATTTGAAGACTGTGCTTTGAATCTGAGACTCTCGTACTTGAGATTCTAATCCCTGCTGGAACACCGGTAGCATCTGCTAAAACCGCACACGGTTAATCAGACGTTCTAGTCAGTAACTAGGAAAATCCAGTAAAAGAAAAGAACGAAGCTCACAGCTCTGAGATGGTGGAACCCGCATCGGCGCCCGGGACAGTATTGGTATGTGAAATAAAGGGGTCTACATGACATTGTCGAGAGCGTCTCAGGACATCTTGTTGGCGGCCTTTTCTGTTCGACACTGCTCAGGTCTCCCCTTTCCAGTGTTCAAAATATATCTGGAGGTCATTCAGGGACAAAGGTTAACTTTCTAGACCTGCTAGCGGGTTAACTACGTGTGTATTTCCCGACGTAGATTAAGGCCCTCAGTGGCATGAGCTCCACAACTATAGGTCATTTGGTTGATACGATTATAAATGGGACTGTCCTTCAATAGAGAACAAGGGCCAAATTCCTCTGCTCCAGCAAATGGGGGCTTCGAAAGGGCGCCAGTCACCGTCAAGGATGTCGAGAGTGGCGGCGAACCAATAGCACGCCACTTTGATACCCCCATGGTAATCATAGGGCGGACGAGCAAATTATTGGGGATTGAGCCACGAGAAGACAGCAAAATTTTAATGCTCTGATATATATAAGTGGACGACGGTCTGAAGAGGCTAGGTTGAAATATTCCGCCAGTGTTTTGTATTGAGAACTTACATATCCTTGTGAAAAGCGGTTCTTCTCCCCCTCCGCATTCTCGCTACAGATCCAGGCTATTCTTGAAAGCTCCCACCATGCCTCCCCAAAGCCGAGATGACAGGATCCACCTAGTCAACGTCTTCACGTCGGATAGTGGAGGCGGGAACCTCGCGCCCATTGTTCTCCGTGCAGAAGGTCTGACGGACGAGGAGATGCGCGGAGTGGCGCACAAGCACGAGCGGGAAAGCGCGTTCGTGCTGCCGCCTCCACCATCACTGGAAGATGGTTCGAACGTGGATTTCCAGCTGCGGTTCTTTGTACCAGAGCACGAGATGGAGATGTGCGGCCACGCCACCGTGGGCACAGCTTGGGCCATGCACGAGCTGGGCATTTCGCAGAAGCCGGAGCTCAGGTTCTCAACCAAGTCTGGTCTCGTGCGCACCATCCGTCGCATGGAGCAAGGAGACGGGCACGACGCGCAGAAGGTGAAAGTTTTTGTGTCTCAGCCGAAGGGGACGGTCCAGGACGTCGTGGACGAGGCATTGCTCGCGGAGATCCTCTCCGTGCTGGGTATCTCTGACGAGCAGCTTGATCAGACGACGCGGCAGGCCGTCCAGAACGCATGCACGAGCCGAGTTAAGACAGCGATCGCGTTGAAAAATGCAGACGTGTTGAATAATCTACGGCCTGATTTCTCGCGTGTCAAGGATCTCTGTGAGCGGTTGGGGTCGACAGGCCTGTACCCCTATGCAATCGTACAGCGAGGGAATACCAGCGGAGCCAGCGGCAGCCAAGCGGTCCAGATCGAAGCACGGCAATTCCCGAAGGCCTCGGGGTACCCTGAAGATGCCGCCACGGGGATCGCGGCAGCGGCTTTGTCTTATGCTCTCCTAGAAAATGGCGTGCTGGGTGTCGGACAGGAGGCCGTTGTCTATCAGGGACGAGCAATGGGCTATCCGTCGCAAATCAATGTGCTGCTGGAGGAGAACGGATGCTGGGTAGGCGGCACCTGTGCATGGGAGCAGCTGTCGAGCTGATGCGTGCAAAGCCAAAGAGGGGGCTCACGGCTTGAGACAAGGAGCCATATGCGGGCTATTTATGTGAAGTGCCCCTGTTATAGCGAAACCTTTCCATCTGCCAATCGATGCCCGCTTCGGTCTCGTTCTCAGCCAGAGGCGTGATGGCCCGCAAAATATCAACCTCGAGCGTATTCCATTGATCATCGAGGACCTTGTACTGGCCGGAAAAGTGGTGGATGTTGGTACTCAGAGTGCCGTAGAGATTCGTGCCCACGTTCTCGATCTGCTTCAATTTGGGGTACTTTTTGAGGACGGGACACAGTGGGTGGCCCATCTCGCCTCTGCCAAGCTGCACCTGAGCCTCTTTCAACGCGTTCGAGAAGAAAGCATTCCACGCCGCCGTTGCACTCGTGCCAGGCTTCGCATCACGAGGGGGCAGCATCTCCAGGAGATGGCGAAAGGCGAGGTTTGTGATGATTCGCTGCTGTGAGCGGTTCGCGTTCCGGAGCTCCTCGATCTCCTTGCGCAACTCGGCTTCTCGCGCTGCGGAGTCGCTGGAAAACAAATGGTTTCTGAGTGAGTATATGTCTTCGGGAGGGCTGCGCGTCACGGCAGGACATCCAGCTTCGAGGCAAAACTCTGCGACCTTTGTGGAGAATATCTGGTAGATCGAGGATTTGCGGAATTCAGAATAGCTCTGGAGTACCTGCCACCATAGAGTGCCGAGTGAGGAGTCATGAAGGGGAATATCATCCAACATATCCAGGACTGCATCTTTCGAAGTACTGGTGGTAACAGTCGGGATTTTTACCCCCCTCCACTTGAGGCACCTCTTGAAGGTGGACGTGATCAAGAAATTTGCCAGGGTCACGTCCAGCCGAAGGAGGAACCGAGTGCACAAGTTTGGTGAAAGGGCCAGAGCGTGGCCAGCTGGTGCAAGATTTCCCGTCGCCAATGTGAAGTGGGCTAGCCAGGGAGCTGATTTGAACAGGTCTTCGTAGCAATCCCGCTCCCAGCAATCCCGCAGCGTGGCCGCCATTTCACTTATGGACGATTGGGGGTTCGATTGCACGGCTAAGTCACGGTGTGTGTCGAGGTACTTTCGCAGATCAAGGGGCGTTGTATCGAGGCGTAGCTGTGTCCATTCTTTCGATCGTGCGGTTGATGAGGCACTCTCACCCATAGTGGCGCCTGAATTAGATGCGTTGGATTATTATCTGAGTTGTGCTCTGAGGTTGAGAGAGGAGGCAGGCTTTATATCAGGTACGAGTACGACGGCCAGCTGAACCGAGTCAGCTATAGGTGGGGGAATATGTACTAGGGGCGGGCCAGGCCTGCGAAGGTGCGGAGACTATGCTCGTCAGCTGAAGCCGGGCCGGTTCTCCCCGCCGATTTCGCCGGTTGCGCCGGTTGCTGGCTCATCCACTTCCACTCCCGCGTAGACCATCCATATGCTTGCTACAGCACGGATTATTACAACTCGAAGTGCAAAGCCAAGGTCTCCCGCAGGCACAACACGCCTATTGGAATACTCAAGACCTCTTGTCGGATCAATACCTAATTGTCTTCACGGATCAGACCCCGGTGCCTTGACCCCCAGAGCCTCAATGCGCCCACTGACCCCCACTCCAACCCATTTTCCTGCCTCGCCCTGACGCTTCATCTCCTCTCCCACCCATCGATCCCTCTTTCCCGCCACCTGGCCATCAATCCACCCGTTCAAGGAGTCGCTGCGAAGTTGGTTGACGCTCGCCCAGCCGCCGCCTATCACACCTTCCCCTTGGCTTGCGAAGAGGATGGTCACAGTGTTGACCAGGGCAAGATGAACCATCAGCAAGATCAGTATACTGGCGAACGCTGTCCACGTCATCGGTCTCAGTGCCAGCACGAAACTACTTGACTGGACCTCTTCCCGCTCGTCAAATTTCAGCGCCAGATCCTGGTACGCCATCGAGAACAAATTGGTGAACGCGCTCTGCAACGCAAAGGCAGGGTGTCTCGTGGCTTTGAGTGTCGTGCTCATTAGGCTCAGATGGTGTGGATGCAGTGAAGAAGGCTCTTTTGAAGTGTCACTCCCTGCATTGGCAATCGATGAAGAGTTGCCGAACGAGGGCTGACAGTCCAGGCAGAACCTGAGCGCGGCATTCTTCCATCCAAGGTTTGCGTTCAGTAGGATTGCCTGCCCGGTCCGCGATTGGAGTCTCATGTCAGTGCTCGAGACCCAACCATCGGCCCCTACATGCGAGGCTGAAGAATTTGACGCTGGCGGCGCGAGAGTGAGGATCCCACGTTCTGTGAGTGTATCGTTGATCGTGAGCGAAGGATTGGTCTTGTTGATTCTGACCGTCCCCATCTGGCGACGAATCCCCTCCGTGCTGAACGTGCGATTGTCGTAGTCCCATTCAATGCTCGGCTCGGTACGATTCCGCCAGCTCGTGATGCTGACAGTGCGATCTGCCACATTGAAGGCGCTGTAGCAGAGAGAGAACGAGAAGGTGATCTGTGGGTCGTTCGTGGGGATGTCGAGCCATTCACCTCTACCAACGAAGTCTTGTTCAGATACCAAACTGAGATTCGACACAATGGGCCCGCCGCCGTCGTCATCGAAGATCTTCCGTCGCTTGCAGTAATTGAGCCAGCGGCCCCAAGTGCCAGTGGCGTTGACAAGGAGATAGGCCTGGCCTACGCCATACAGCATATATGTGTTCATCCCGTACCGAGTGCCACTATTTGGGTCGAGCACCTCCTCAATACTGTCCATGGCTGAAATAATACCGGCTGTTTGAGTTACGGGGCAGCTCATTAACGACCACTCCGAGGGCTGCCGTGCGTTGGGCACTGCTGTACTGCAGCTGAAGCTCTCCGTGACACTGACGTTTTCATGATAGCGGAATCGCGGAACTGAGGCTAGGTCGATCGAGATGTCCCCGCTGACTCTTGGGCCAGCACATTCGTCGATATTCCCGAGATCAATGGAGGGGTGCCTGACGATCGGCCGTGCACAGACCACCCGAGAGTCCAAAACGGTGGCTTTTCCTTCGTAACTACGGAGCATCTCCCGCGGACTCTTCTGCGTTACCGGCATGAACGCTCGCATCACAATCCCTGTGTCGTGCACACCGTCGACCGTTTCATGAATAGCCTTGTTTTCCGAGTATTCGGCGAAGGCGGGATACTGGGCGGGTGCTAGGAGCATGTACCCTTCGCCTGACCAGGTTGCTTGGGAAGAGATACCAGCATCCCAATTCAGAGTGGATGGGATTAACGAGGTCCGCACCAAGTCTGCTATGGGGCTGATCTGCAAGTCAGACAGGAGGATCGTCGAGGTGAACTGCACAGCCGTTGTCGTCAACACGAGGGATACTGCCAACAGACCCACGATCCCGGCCTTTCCTTTCTTCCAGGACTCAAAAAGATTGACGACAAGCTGATGTGGCCCGTTATTCTGTTGCTGCAAGAGAGTCACCGGCACAGAGTGAGGAAGTGTGATATGAAACTTGTGCAGTGCCAGATTTGCGAGCATCGAGGTACACAGCGCCGCCTGCGCGAAGACAGCAAAACGGATGACAAGAGCTGTCAACGCTATGGCCTGAGCGATGTGCCCTTCGGCAACTATCCACCGCCAAAATCGGTTGTGGTCGTCGGCCTTCCATAGAAACCACAAGAGGGCAATTGCACCACCGATGAGGAGGGTGCCGAGTGAAAGCACGCCGAAGCCATAGCGACCAATATCGAGGGGTTTCCCTGGTTCCCGGCGACGCGCAACAACTGTGTCCGGTCGGTCCAGCGAGGTTCCGGCCCACAACGGGTCTCTCGAAGAGTGTAATGACGGAGTTGTCAGCTCAAAAGTTTCAGACGAGTCGTGCTTGGTGGCCATGGACGCCGTCGTTGCGATGACGGGAGGGGCCGGAGGAACACAAGGCTCCGATTGTGGAAGTTCTACTTTGACGATGAAGTCTTCGTTGTTCTCGGAGAGCACTGGCAAAGATGAGACTGAGACAGCGGCCTAGGTCCCCATGACCATTCTCTATTGTGCTGGCAGGTACAGTTGAAGATCGAATACGAGGTAAGTCACCTGTGAATGGAAGTTTCTTGCTTCTACCACAAGCTCGAAGCTCTAACCATCTGCCACATATATCCCTGCACTTGGGCTGGTTTTCCGCCACGCTTGCCAAGTAGACCAGCCCCTGCATAGGAGAAGGGGACAAGGCCATTTCACTGAAGGCCAAGAAGAGTTTCGTTTAAATTGTCTTGGACTCCCAATGGGATTCCCTCGGCCCTCTGCGGACGTTCAGCTGCCCAGCCTTGTCCAGCTTACGACCAATCAATATCTGCTATATTGATGTCGCGACTAGACACCCCTGATCCGGGGCTGCTTGGCCCGGAGACATATTGGAACAATGCCGTTCGAATGATACCTCTTTCTCATCTTAGCCTTTGGGGTGAAGACGCGTTTATTCTGCTCCTTGTTCGACATAAATCTTTGGGATCACTACTGTCGTTCGAATACTCTATCTCACCCCAGTGAAGTGATGAGACACAACAATAGTTTTCAATCTCAGACGTGGATGTTACCTCTCCATGCACTTATCCTTGTGTCACTACTACATCTCGTCTACGCTGGTGTAGGTCTTCCTCCATATGATGGAGACCAATTCGGTCAGACAGCTCTGCAACGTCGAGCAACGACAACATTTCCACCGGCACCCAAGGATACATGTGGTTTTCTGTCAGGAGATTTCGGTATGTTCAAGACGGGCCCCCCTTGAACGAACAAACATAGCATTCCCCGAGAATATTTTGTCGATTTCTGGTGCTGTCCTGACACGAGGGACGGGTAGAAATCCCCCTTACATGCCGGAGCTCACGCACGTGTGCCCAATACTCTTCCTTCATCGGATGTTGCCTGCCGTACAACTGCACCAACATCGCGACAACGTGCCGTGACTACACCAGCTCTCAGAGTTGCAACCCCGAGTCATCATCCTGCGCGACCACCGACGAACCACCCAACACCTTGTACTGGTGAGAAAAGGCTCCCTCCGCACCCTCCCTCTTGCGGCACGACGTGCACCTGCACCTATGTACACTAGACTGACTCCAGATCCAAATCTACAGCCCGAGCAACTCGCCGTACTGCGGACAACTGCTGCTCGAAGGGGGCTCCACGGCATGGATATGCACCACGACGGAGAGCTACATCATGACGGTGCTCCGGGCGAGCATTCTGATCACCGTCGTCGCAAGCGGGCCGACGCTCTCTGTTTCAGCTTCGGGCCCGCCGGCAACAAGGACATCCACCGCCGCCACCACCGCCACCACCACCGCGCACTTTACGCCCAGTCTGCCTGCAGTACCCCCGCTGCCGGCGTCGACGAGCATGGGTCCGACCCTGTTTGGCGGCCTGGCCATCGGCAGCATTGCGACTATGGCTGGTGTCACTATTGCCAGCATCCTCTTCATCCGCCACAAGCGGACACGCCGCACGCAGTATCAGTGGGTGTCTCAAGCGGACCCGGCTCGTTTGAGGGTGGGGAATTAGGGGAAGTGATAATGATATCAGAGAAATAATGTGCTCGTCCACGACGACGACGACGACGACAGCGGCCGGCAGTCGGCACAAGGCTGAGGAGACAGAGCAGAATCCTAAATATAGAGCAACCAACCCAAGCATGGTTGATCAAAGAGTCTTCTCTTCGTCAATGTCTTATTGAAACTAGAAAGGCCTCCAGCATTGCTTTCGAGGCTCTCAGTGACTACTTCTTAAGGTAGTTAAACCCTGTTGTTACAAGACATTCCCCTGAGTTACGGGTTTCTTGTCCAAACCCTGTCTTGAATAGGGGGACTATGATTCCCTGCAAAACAATTATCAATCATCCATAGGACTCAAACCATACGCATCGATCGGCAGCTTGACCGAAAATCCGAGTGCGGGCGTAGTTGGTTATGTGAAGGAAGGTGATTAACCAAGTTTTGTGCCAATGGAAGGGGGTTTTGGGTATTCAAGATCCTTCATTGCCCCGAGTATCATGCCGTTGTTTTCTTCCTAGTCCTTCGTCGCGGCCCCGAGTCTCATTTCTTCGTCCTCTTCCTTTTCCCTCTGACTCGCTCAGCCTCACCACCCTCTTCTTCGCTCCCGGCATCGTCATCAGCCTCCTCCTCCTCCTCCTCCTTACCATTCGTTGCAGTCTCTGAACCGACCCATACCCCGTCAAGGACTCTCCCCGTCTCCCCGTCCCAGCGCAGCGTCATCTCTCGCTTCTCCGGATCCTTCCTCTCGCGCAACCACGCGGCCGCCACGCGACCGCACTCCTTGCCCAGCCGTTCCGTGCCGTCCTTGAGCTTCCTTCCCCCGCGGATGTTCAGCCCGTGATCCGCGCCCTGGACAACCACGCGCCACGTCCTGGCCTTCATCTTCGCACGGACGTCCTGGAGCCGCTCGAGTGGACACATGCTATCCTTGTCCCCGGCGATGAAGAGCACGTCCACGTCTTCGGCGATATCCAGCAGGATCTTGTCCCGGACGTCCCCGCCCGGTCCCACGAGGGGATATGACGCGAGCACCAGGGTTTTGACCTGGTTGTCGTTGTGCGATGCGATCGTGGCCGCGCGTGCGCCCATGCTCCGTCCACCGAACGCCACCGAGGTACTACTCTGCGCCTCGATCTTTCTCTTCTTTCCTGCCGCGGTGCTCTCGTCGTGGGCGCTGGCGAGCGATCCGTGCTCCATTTCGTACTCTTTGACCAGCCCAAACAGTCCTGCCCGGCCCGTGAGATTCATGCTGCCCTGGAACATGACGACCGCCGAGCCCGTCGACGCGAACCCCTGCGCGAAATTCACCACGGCCGCGGCCGAGAGGTCGCCCCCCGCGCCATGGGTGAAGATGAGCGACGTGGGATGCGGGGCCTGGTGGCTCCGGAGACATGGGGTTTCCTTGTTGCTCGACTTTTTTCCTGACTTGGCATGGCCGGTGCTGCTGGAGACGGTGAAGGCGGTGAATTTGATGGTCGTGGAGCCCAGATTGAGGCTTGGAGGGAGGAGAGTGGTGCTGGGTTTCTTTTTGGTCTCTATGGTCGCCGGTTTTGCAGTCCCCTTGGAAACTCCATCGCCGTCGCTGTCTTCCTGACGCTCAGATTGTGGGTTGAATTCTTGTGCCTGGGACTTGTGCTTCGCGGTGTTATCTCGAGCGGCGGCTGCTGTGGCACTTCGCGTGGCTCGAGGGGCCATTTGGGGTTGTGAAGGTCGGATGACGCGCCTTGTTGTTGTTGTTGTTGTTGTTGTTGTTCTAGTAGGAAACTGACCAACTCGAGGATCTGGTCGGTCTTGCACTGATCTCTCACTCTGGAGGATATTGTCGCAATGACTGCCCTTTTATTTTACCCGTTTACGACGTCGGTTGGGAATAGATTCAGGAGGAGAGTCGTGAAAACAAGCTTGTGTTTCGTATTCGGATTCTGTGGTCCGCCTCCCTCCCTCCCTCCCTCCTCCTTCCTTCCTTCCACCCCTTCCATGCTTCGCACCACTTTCGTGGTTTCAGTATGTATTTGGGGAGCCTTGTAGACGACGTATATACACGGTCGTCGCGGCTGAGTCGGTGGAGAAGTCCGATTCTCGTTCACCCGCACACCCCAATAACTCGTCTGTCGACCGTCTGAGATGTGCGAGGTAGCCAGTCACCTGTAATCGCCCAAAAATGCTTGTCGATGGCGTGAGATAGTTTACGTCGTAGCTAGATTACGGCGGAGATAGACCGGCCCGTGCAGACCCGATCGATAGTACTTATTATTTTGGCGAGGGGAAGATTGTCTTCTGTTTGATTTTATCTATTGTCAGCAAATACAAGCCTTGCTTCACACCATGGGCGATGCTGGACCAGTGAGGCCTGTGTCACGCATCGCCGTCATAGGGGCAGGTCCGGTGGGAGTCTCGTGTGCAAAGTATCTACTTGCCGAACAGGCATTTGCGACCGTCGACGTCTACGAACAGCGGGGTCGAGTGGGCGGCATCTGGAATCTCTCTTTGCCAGACCGGTCCAAGCGCATTCCAATCCCGCAGACTGATCCGCGATATGGCCAGCAGGATGACAATGGCCACAGCGTCACAGGCGACTCCCTGGAATTTGAGTCGCCGCTCTACGACTATCTGGAAACGAACATCCCAAAACAACTCATGGCATTCTCCGATCAGCCGTTTCCGGAGGAGGAACCCTTGTTTCCCAGTCACGAGGCCGTGTTGAGGTATTTGGAGAACTATGCGGATGACATTCGAGGGTTGATTCAATTTAATACAGCCGTGAAAGATGTGCGACTTGTGCATGATCAGGACAGTGGACGTGAAGAATGGGATCTGACGGCGCAGAACCTTGTCTCGAAAGAGGTGGTGAGAAGGATGTACGACGCCGTGGTGGTGGCGAATGGACACTACACCGTCCCATACGTCCCAGCGATCAAAGGCGTTGGGGATTGGAATAAAGCATACCCTGGTGCCATCATCCACTCCAAAGTGTATCGAAGACCAGAAGATTTCAAGGGCAAAAAGGTCCTGGTGATTGGGAACTCGGCGTCAGGCTTGGACATTGCTGCGCAAATCGGCAAGTTTTGTCGGAAGCCTGTCTTGCTTTCGTCGAGATCGGTATCGGCGTTCGGGGTCCTGCCAGGAGGAGGATACCGGGAAGACGTCGATGAAGTCGTCGAGTTCCTGTCACCCGAGGACGAGCTGTCTAGAGCCGTCAGATTCAAAGGGGGCCGGATTGAGGAGGACATCGATGCGGTCGTGTTTGCAACCGGGTACTTTTATTCGTACCCGTTCCTCTCCAGTGTATTGCCGCCGCTGATCACAGACGGCTTCCGCGCACGAGGCACCTACCAGCACTTGTTCAGCATCGACCACCCCACGCTGGCTTTTCCGGTGATCAACCTCAAGGTTATTCCTTTCCCCCTGTCCCAGAACCAGGCGGCCGTGGTGGCGCGGGTGTGGAGTGGACGGCTGGCCTTGCCTTCAACCGCACAGATGCGAGACTGGGAGCAAGAGACGGTCGACCGCAAGGGAGACGGCAAACACTTCCACGTCAAGAGATTCCCAGAAGATGCGGCACAGATCAACGAGCTCTATGCGTGGGCCCTGCAGGCGACAAGGAAGGACGGGCTGCAGAATGGGGGCGTCGGGAGGCTGGGAACGAGATGGGACCAGAGACAAGTGTGGATGAGATCGCGGTTCCCTGACATCAAGGCAGCATATGTCGACAGGGGGGAGAGTCGAGTGCAAGTGAGGACCATGGAGGAACTGGGATTTGATTTTGCCAAATGGCAAGCCGGACAAGCGCAGGCGGCGGAGGGTCAAGACTTGGCGATGTTCCAGGCGGCTGGTTGTTGGCCTTGAGGAGTGGCGCCCCCCGGCCAGGCACCCACAGGCACACAACGCGGTCGTGCTTCCATCACGGTTGAGGGACTTCACCCTCAATCATATCTCCTTCAAGCCCAAACCACCGCCCTCTCCATCCCTCTGCCATCCCCATCAATCATATTTCATCAAGCCCAGACCACCGCCCTCTTTATCTCTCTACCATCCGCATCAATCATATCTCTTCAAGCACAAACCACCGCCCTTTTCATCACTCTGCCCTCCCCAATAGCACCGGGATACACGTCGAGACATTCTTTGCAGGGGCTCGGCTAAGTTTCCTACAGCTGGGCCACGCTCGTTTGCGGCCTGCCTGCACGACTTTCGTTCCCAGATCCCGGACATCCCTAAACAACCCTTGGCACTAAAGTCCTGTACGCAATCCATCCCTTCCCTCCCTTCCCCCCTCCCTCGCATGCCGCATGCAGCTCGCTATGGTTGTCCAGCTGACCATGAATTCCATCAAAATCAGCTCCTGTGCCCACAGAGTATAATGAAGAAGCGTCCCCGCAGCAAGTCTAGCACACACGGTTCTACCCCCCGCAAGCGCCCCAAGCGCCGCTCAGAGAACCACGGCTCGCCAGAAGAGCCGGAAAGCCTCACGCCCACACCCGACGAGCCGACCAAGGCAGACGACTTCTGGCCGGTCGAGAAAATCTGCCGTCACCGTCTCATAGAGGACGAGGTTCAGTATCTGGTCCAGTGGGCCCCGCATCCCGTCACCGGGGAGACCTATAGACGGAACTGGGTAGGTGATATGCAACACTTTCTACAATTGTCTATTAACCGGGGTATAGAGGGACCCAGACGACGTTACAGACGACTTGATCCAGTCCTACTGGGCGGAAAAGAAGGCAGAGGATCGGGAAAAGAAAGCGAAGAGAAAGAGCACACAGAGTCAAAAGAAAGCAGAGAGGAAGAGCACACAGAGTCAAAAGAAAGCAGAGAGGAAGAGGAAATCGGATAGCAACACGCCCTCCAGACGTTCGGAGCAAGAAAAAGATCGTCAAGCCAGTGAACAGCCCAAGAATCCGCCACCAGGACAGGCAGGAACCGACCCGCGGGACTATAGCCAAGCCGACGTCGATCTCACCTTATTCACGGAGTCTGGGTTTTGTGACGAGCCTGATAACTGCTCAGAGCACTCGACTCCGCCGGCACCACCCCGGAAAGAAGAGTCCACGTCCCAGCCAACGTCCAATTCAGAGCCCGAGTCTGCACTAAAGCCTGAGGCAGAGTCAAAGCCCGATTCAAAGTCGGTGTCGGAGTTCAACCCCGACTCTACTCCAGAGTCAGTGGTAGACTTGTGGTCTGGAATTGAGCCAGGTCCTGCTCGAGAATCAGAGCCGGAAGGTGAACGAGGGAGAAGATCAAGGTCAGGTTCCGAGTCAGGAGCTGAGGCAGAACAAGAATCAGCCAGAAGCCCCAGCAGACTAGACGGCGCCGAACCAAGCGAGGCTAACGCACCCATATCGCAAGAGCCCTCTGGCAGTGCTGCAGCCTCAACACCGAGCTCGATTCCGCCCATATTACCTGGTTCAGCACAAGAACGTGGGGGAGAACCTGATCCGGAGCAGGATCGAGGACTTGCTGTTGGGCAGACGGAGGCGGCTCACACACTAGGCAGTGCTCCAACCTCACCGCGCAGGACTCCCCGTCCGGGGGCTGCGGATCTAGCTGCCGCCGCCAGACCTGCAGAGCCATCGTCGGTCCCACGTCCGGTCCCTTCGGAAGTTGAGCCGCACGACCGACTGTCGGAACAAGCCACTCGACCAGTAAAGGGATTGCAGAAAATTCTCAACCTGACGAGCCGTCCAGCCTGGTTGACCACAACATATCTTGCTAAAATTTCCCCATCGGCCTTGAGCCCCAAATCCGACGCGATGGATCCCCCCACTCACCCGACCTTGAACTCATCAGGAATTGTTCCTCGCGGAGCTCACGGCGACTCGTTGGTGGACGATGGTGCTCTAGGAGGAAGTGCGCTCCCAATTCAAGACTCCATCGAGAGCGAAGAACCCACACTCCATGGGGAGCAGTTCTCGTCGGACTCCAAAGCAAGCTCGAGTCAGCAATCTGTCCAAAACGAACGGGACGTACCTCGAATGGCTGAACTGGTCCCACAAAGCCTTCCGATTCTTGGGCCTGCAGAATACGCGGTCGCCCTCCCCTGCGACGGCAAGATCCAGTCAATTTACTCAGATATCATCACGTCCAAGGAAAAGGCCATCAAGAAGTTTCTCAGCAGGCACGAGCCCGTCAGTTCTGCCACCGAGTCTCCTGCTCGAACGCAAGAGAGCATCGAAATGAACGAACTGATCCAGCGTCTGCACGACACGGTTACGCACATGGATCTGGGGCTGCCTGGAATCGCCACTCCATCTCCGCACGAATCGCAGGAAGACGCCACTTATGCAAACTATGCCAGCATGAAATTCTCTTTTCTAGGGCACCTCGTGGATGTGTTTAAAAGCCTTGGCTGCTCCATTGTCATCATGGCTCGAGAAGGACCAATCCAGGATTTGCTGGAGAATTACTTAAAGATGAAGCAAATCACGGTGAAGCGACAGGACCGTATGGTCCGTGCGAAGCCAGATCGGATCAGTACAGATTTCCAGGTTGACCTGGTGAGCACCTGGTCGACGCATCAAGTTGCCATGCACCCCCGGCCTATCATGATGATCGCATTTGATTCTTCTTTCGACTCGCAAGATCCTCAGGCTGCACGAATCCGCGCGCACTTTTCTTACAAATACCCCGCGCTTATGCCAGTCGTCCACCTGGTGGTTGCAAACTCATCCGAACACGTCGACCGCTGTCTGCCAAAGAGCATGCCGGCCCCCATGAGGCTCAAAGCGCTGGTCCGGGCGACCTATCAAGCTTGGCCGAATCTGGGGCGGCAGGTGACCTTCATACAACGTCCGTCAGATGAACCCGAGGGAGGCCGGGCCATGGATTTCGCCGACACGCAGATGGGTACCAAAAAGACCCAGGAACGGTTGCTTGATCACTTTGCCAGCACCGTCATGCAGGCCGCCATATCGCCCGACTTTGAAGCATTTTGGGAGCAGGAGAGCCTGTTTCTCATGCCCCATTTGCAATTGACAGAGTTGACAGAGACGCCCGCGAAACCTAGTGGCGTGAACACCAGGGCTGAGACACCACGGGAGCCTGTGACTCGATCTCGGACCCCCTTATCACGCTCCGACACTCCGTCGGGCAGAAAGCGCTTGCTGGAAGCGGATAGTTTCCTCCCCGCACTGCAAAAGCGACAACGTCTTACGCCCCTTCGAGATCGAGATGCGACCGAAGCGAGCAGCAGCAGCCGAAGCGAGACGGCCAACCAGGTTGCGCAAATCCAGGACCGCGTCAAGAAGCTGGAGGCGGAGCTCGAGAAGGAAAGGCTGGCGCGACAACAGGCGGAACGAGCTCGGGACGAGGCATATGAACAGGTAGCGGTGTGGAAACAAGCTCATGCCGAAGTGCAACGCCGGTACGAGAAACGAATGGTGAAGGGCCACAAGCTGGAACGTGACTACTCGAAAGTCCTCAAAACCCGTGAAAGGGACAAGGCGAGAAACGAAAGAATCGTCGAGGACGATCTCGCCTTGAAGCAGAAGAACGCAGAGCTGCAGAAAGAACTTGCTGCGGTCCGCGCGGAGATCAAGGCCGGGGGTGGCGATGCGGCGGCGCTGGAGACGGCGAGGGAAGAAGCTCGCACGCTGTATGCGAAGAGTACCGCCTTGGAAAAAAACCTCGAGAACACGCGCAAAGATTTTGATTTCACCCGCACCCAGTATCAGGAGGCATCGAACAAGGCCGCAGAGTTTGCCACCCAGATCAAGGACTTGGAAGAACAGGTCGCAAGCCTGAGCCAGCAAGCCGGCACCGAGAAGCTACGCTTGAAGGAGACCAGCTACGAGGACAGCATCACACACCATCTCGCCAAGATCGCCGAATTGGAACAGGAGTGCAAGACTCGGGACATGCTTGTTCGGAAATTGGAAGAGGAGAACCGCAACCTGAAGCGAAACCGTGGCATTCAGACTCGCGGGTCTAGTGTGCAACCCCCCGGCAGCCCAGGACTGGACGGACACAGCGGCCGCGGCACACGAAGTCGCCAGGGAAGTCCGGCGCAGGGTATGTTTGCGAATTCGTACCATACCGGTGCCACGAGCAGAGGCAGCTTATTGAGACACGAACGGTAGAGTCGCCACAGAGGTGGTAGAAGCCAGGTCGAGGAAGCGGTGCTGAAAGGTGTCACGACGTGTGGGTGGGAGAGAGAGAGGGAGAGAGGGAAGAGATGGGTGCTGACCAACGGAGGAGGTCTGTTAGACGGTGAGAGAGAAGCTGGCAGGGTTGACGTGTCTCAGACAACAATGGGCAGGCGAACCGCTGTATCTTTGAGTGTGTTACGTTGACATGACTTGTGATCTTTATCTGTTGGGATTTCGGGTCGGAATACAGCACTGTTTTTGTGTCGGTTCAAGTGTCGGTTGAAGGTTCTGACTGTCATTCCGGGACTCTGTAGAGAGACTCTGACGGTAGGAGGAGGTACTGTACTTGCGTGTACAGCAGCAGGGTTGTTACTGAAAGTTTCAACGTCTTTTCCACTAATATTTCGATTCTTTCAAAAGGCGCTAAAAGATAAGCTTAGTAGCGCTTCTATATGAAGCTAGCTGTCTACTATATCTTTATATCACTGTGCGTCGGAACGAGCTGACTGAACAACTGTTAATCTTAAGACGTCCAGGTCTAAGATCCTGGGCGCGCTCCTATTTAACGAATAAACAAACATCATGCCTGCGGCGGCACGACTAATGGAAGCGGCGTGGTACAATCACGTGACTGCGCGACGCTGTTGTCAGGTGCCGAACTGTGACACATCACTTGACGCTAGCACTTTAGCGTGCTTTATTAGGGTGTTAGGGCCACGAACGTTCGTCACATAATAATGAGACAGACTGGATGCTGGCGGGTGGCAGCTCCGATTGGGAAGGAATCCCGAACGCCTTGTCCACTTCCAACTTCAATTGCCTTCGACAGTGACCTCCCTCAGTGCTCGGTCCATACTGTCCTTTGGGTTTCTCGCAGCAGGCCATCTCCTGGATCTTGCTCAAAGCCTACACCGTAGAACCTCTCTCCTTGGTCACTTCGAGGACCAGCTGGGCGTCCACTCTCCCGTATATTTGACAAGTATCTGCTTCGACAGCCCGCCCGACTATGAGGCTGGCCGACTTCGACTGGCCGGCGGCCTCACTCAAGTACCTGGAGAGGGGACGCCGAAGCATAGCAACGAATGGAAGGGGGGCGATGCCGCCAGAGCGCCTCTTTCGGGGCTTTCAAGGTAGCAGGCTGGTTATGTATTCCTGTAAGTGTTACTGCCTTGTACCACCCCTCTCTGCTCTAGGGGGTGGGATTCAGTTTTTCTATTTGTTGTAACTCGGTCCTTACTTTTTCTTTCTCTCTCTCAAAGGTGTCGCAACCTGCCTCGGCATCTGGACGTCGTGGCAGTGGAGCATGGGGACCCTGCCGTTTCTGAGCCACGAAGCAGCCAGAAAGCAGCAGCAGCAACAGCCATCGAGCCCGACGCAGCGGAGAATGTTCGACGTCCTCTCCAAACACTTCACACTCAAACTCGAGGACGTGCCGCGGCACCGGTGGTGGACGCTGCTCACCCCGGCCTTCAGCCACATCCAGCCCTACCACCTCGCGGCCAACCTGGTCGCCTTCGGGACGTTCTCCACCATGCTGCTCAGGTACGGCATCGCGCCCGCACGCTACGCCGCCCTGGTCCTGGGCGCCGCCGTCACGGGCAACCTGGCGTTCCTGTTCCAGGCGGCCCGGAGTCAGCGGCGCCAGAGATTCCCCAACAGTCTCGCAACACAGCTGCGGGCGCTCGGTCTGTCCGGCGTCGTCATGGGCCTGGGCGCCGCCGTGTCCCTCGCCACCCCCAAGGCCAAGGTCCTGCTCTTCGGCGCCATCCCCACCCCCATCTGGCTCCTGATGGGCGTGTACACGCTCTACGACTCGGCGAGACTCGACGACCAGGCGTCCACGGTCGGGCACGCGGCGCATCTCGGCGGCGCAGCCTTTGGCGCGGCGTATTATCTCCTCGCGCTGCGGGGCCCGGCCGCGCTCCCGTTCGCTTGGCTTGCCAGGCTCTGAATGGATGAAGCGTGCGTGGGATTTGTGGTCACGTCAGTCGAAAAGGTTCAGGGCCCAGTGGAAAGGTTCCCTAAGGGGGACGAAAAGAAATCGCATCAGGCAACCAGGCGAATAGGTAGGCAGTCAGGCAAGCGAGTCATGATGTTCCATCCATCTATCTATCTACTATCTGTCTCTCTGTCTGTCTGTCTCTCTATGCCAGATCTGATTCTCGGGGGAAAGGGGGGAGATCTCTCTGTTTCATTTTCCATTCCCGACCTGTCCCTTTCTCTTGGACGGACGGACAGGGGGCGGGAGAACAACGGCAGGTGGTAAAGGGAAACGCCCAGAGCAGAGCAGGGGTAGCACCGAGCAGGGGCAGGGAGCAGGTCCAAAAAAAGACGAGGTCAGGATTTGGAGCTTCGGCAATACCCAAAAATACAAAGTAATTAATTCATGGCGTCGAAGAGAGGAAGATCTAAATCTGACCAACTAAACTAACTAAACTAAACTAATTGACTGACTGATCGACTCATCGACTGACTGACTGACTGACTGCCTTGGACTCAATTCTTTTTTTGGTCGCCAGTTCCCCCATGTGAGTGAGAGTGAGCAATGAACCGACCGATCAAGGACGCCGTGCGATGCAGGAATGAATCATCTAAGCCACCGTGCCATGTCGTGCGATGCGATGCCATGCCAAATATGTCTTCGGACCCCTGACCACCTACTCATCTACCTACCTGCACCAGCATACTACGCAGCAGCAGCGGCGGCAGCAGCACTCCATTCACCACCCCAGGCGCCTCGTTTTCTTGCTTTACTTTTGCCATGTTTCGTTTTGTCCATGCATGCACTCCAGCACCATATCCCCGGCCGGCCGGCCGCTGCGCCAAGTGTCTTGCTCTTAGCTTGCCTTGCTTGTCCTTTCCTGAGTAATGCCGTGTGTGCCAGACTAGAGCCTCCAATGTTGCCAAATCCGCAGGGTCTCGCTTGTCTCGCCGGTCTCGCCCTTCCATGGGATTTTTCTTATAGCCCATTATTCTCAAATTTTTCTGTTACTCGTCACAAAAGGGTCTATATCAATGTTGCACTCGATGTGCCTCTCTTCCTTGTCTCTCCAGGTTGGTCATACATATTTGCCACCGTTTGCGCTTGAGTATGCGTTGCAGCCAGAGAGTGGGTGATCGCGGAGATCACATCGTCGCACGCGTTCATCATTCACCTCGCCCGCGCGCGCGTCATTTGGCCTGTTCAGGCAGGTAAGCACCCCCCGCGAGGACGAGGTTCATGTTGGTGAACTTGACTTTGTACACGGGGCTGTGTTTGGTGAGGAACGCGCTGATCTGGTCGCTGGTAACAACCGCGTCCTTACCGCGTCTCTTGCCACCCTGGTGACCGGCCACGCCCACACCACTGACACCCGTGCCGCTGACGCTCGCGCCCACACCGGCCGCGCCGGTCGATGTGCCCGACGTGAGGTTGAGATTCGATGTGGGAGCACTGGTGCCACCAGCGGATTTGGGAGCTCCGTCCTGCATCGCACCTCCGCCCTGCGCATTTCCCGTGGCATCACCCGCTTTATTGGTGGTCGCTCCGCCCACAGTGCCGGTGGTGGCTGCAGCTTCCTTTGCCGGACCGGTCACATCCCATGCTCGCACCGTGCAGTCGGCGCCACCGCTCACCAGCACCGTTGATTCAGCAGACCAACTGAGACTCCAGATACCACCTTTGCCATGGCCGCGCATTTTCTTGAGCAGTCTTCCAGGCCCGAGGTCCCAGAGAAGGATGACTCCGGTGTCGTCGGCCGAGGCGAGGATCTTGCCGTTTCGAGAACATGCCAGTGCCGTGATAGACGACGTGTGGCCGGTGAACATTCTCACAGCATTTCCGTTATTCAACCCCCACATTCTGACCGTCTTATCCGAGCTCGCCGTAAACACATAGCTGGAATTGGGATGCCAGGCGACCACGTCGACGTCGTCGTCGTGGCCCGCCAAAATACGCACCTGGCGAATTTTGTCACTCGTCCAAATTCGTGCCGTCTTGTCGTGGCCGCAGGTTGCAAAATAATGTCCGAATGGTCCCCAGACAGCTGACCAGACAGGCCCAACATGTCCTTTGTAGACGACCATGCACTGAAAGACGTCGAGGTTCCACAGGCGGATCGTGCTGTCGGCAGAACACGAGAGGAGCCATTTTGTATCGGTGTCCGGGGAATCTGGTGTCGGCTTGTTAGTCGAGGGAGCGAAGCTGACGTTGTACACGGGCCCAGCGTGGCCGATGAGGCGCTGGGAGTTTTGTTGTTGACCATTCGGTGCGACAGGACCGAGCGCGGACCCATCCATCGTCCACACGCGTATGTACGATTCTGAGTAGCCCGCAGCAACCAGTTTCTGATCACCACTAAAGTCCAGGCAACAGATCGAGTCGTGAGTGTTGTGGAATGTGTACATGACCACGCTCAGTCCTGGCCCAATCCCACCAGTTCGAGTCTCGATCTTGAGCCGATCGCGGTGGTCGCGAATCTTTTGGACCTCCATGGCCACGTCTCTCGCGGTGGATGCGGGAAAAGGAATCTCGGTTCTGGTGGGCCCCTCGTCCTCGTCTTCCTGCTTGATATTGACCATTTCATGAGTTTGAACGAGTGTAGGCTGGCCTGGAAGAGGCGGCATCTTCTGATCCAGTTCCTCGAGTTCGGCTCGAACGTCTCCTTCGGCGTCTTTTTCCATGGGCAATTTACCTAGTTTGAGATTCGCTAGATTGTTTCCCACATTGGGATCCGTGGAAGAGATGGCATTTCCCGGTCTGTGGCCTGGAATACCTTCATCCTCGGCGGGCATATCTTGGCCTTCGATCCCTCGTTGGATCACAGACGCGAAACTGAAGCGATCGTCGGCTGCGCGCTCGACTTGCCTGATGTCCAGATTATGTTCCACAATGTTCATGAACAGCTTGTAGCCCGACTGGGGGAGACTCTCGAGGAACTGCATGAAGTAGACGTATGCAGGGTTGCTGAGGGACAAACGGTATTTGTTGTCGCGGTAAAGCTTTGCAATCTTGTCTTCACCGTGTTCGGGCAAAGTGATGTGCTCGAGTCCGCGAAGATCGTATTCATGCTCCTTCCTGAAATCCTCGGAGAACTTCTGAAACAGGCGAGTGGCTTCCTTCGGGTAGAATTGTTTGACCAGGTCAAGGTACGAGTAAACAAAGATGGGCCAGAGCAGGCGCATGACTTCTGGCTTGTAGATATCGAGAGCGTCATCAGTCCATGCTTGCAACCGCACAAACATCTCATAATAGCGAGGGGGCCCGGAAGGTGTTGGCTTCAGCTCTGCGTCTTTGGGAATCTCTTGATTTGACGACTCTGCTCGCAGAGTGGCTTCTGTTCTGTGGTAGCCTTTCTTAGCAAGGTAATCGATGACCTGTAAAATGCTGTTAGTACTTGTAACTTGAGTTGTTTACGAACGCGGTGACATGCATAAGGGATATCAACAAAATAATAACCCAGGACCTCGAGACGCTTTTGTTGCTGTTCTCTCGCCACATCTTCGAGGCGCTTTTCTTGCTTTTCTTGCTCTTCTCTCGCAACATCCTCGAGATAAGCATAGGGGTAATCGGGGCTGTCAGCTACCGGTTTAGGCGCTGCAGGTTCAACATCATCCCCAGCTATCTTCCATTTCTTGCGTGGGGGCCCACATCGTGGAGGACTCGGATACATGCTAGGAGCAGAAGATCAAGCATTGAGAACAAATTCAAGTGTCAATGAAACTGCTGGCACAGACTGTAGGGTTTTCTTCGATAGGTTCTTTGGTGCACAAAGTGGAAATCCCGCTAGAGCAGCACAACATGGAGGGTAGAACCACACTACCCTTTTACGTCGTCCATATGACGGTAATTCTGCTTCACCCTTTCGTTGTTGCGCTTTACCATGACGGCCAAGAGACTGTACTGACCAGACAGGTCGACTGCAAATCGTGATCGCTCTCACCCCCTTCAAAACAAGGACAAGGAAAAAGCTAATGGACAGACCAAAGGGAAAGGGGCTCGCTCACAATTTGGTTGAGATTCTGCTGTGACAGGCCTCCACCAGAGCCGCCTGCTGCACCGCTGGCAGGCGCAGGGGGCGCAGGACCGGACGCACTGGCAACGCCATTAACAAGAGGAGCGGCGGTAGGAGTGGCGAGAGGGCCATTTGGTCCTGTGCTTGCGCTCCGTGGCGCTGGGCTCGGCGCCGACATTGTTATTTCGCACGCATGCACAGGTGAAATTTGTCACCACGACCAAATGTCAGCCGAGGTGTTTATGGATGAGAGCAACTGGTATGCGGAATGGCGAGTTGATAGCAACGATGCAAGAGATGATACAAGAGTCCAGACAGACAACGATGTCGAGTCGGTGCTGGTGAACTTGGTGATTCTGATATTGACGCTTAACTGGATACAGACGTCTCGGTTAACCTTCCATGACAGGAACCTCTCAACGACTTCCCTGTCACGTGCCTGTGTTGACTGAGAGTCTGGAGTTCTTTGGACATCCGACCTCACAGTCACCAAGCAGATCAACTAACTGTTCACACTTGTGAGGGCCTGGACGATGCACAGACTTCCGACACGACCTCCAAATGACCAGTCTCTCGATCGCAGAAATGGAGGTTGACCAACCGGACGAGGGCAACGCCACCGTCTTCACGCCCGCAACCCGAATTGCAGAGTTGAACGAGATCGACCGATCTATTGCTACCCTCCTCTCTGCGGCCTCTGATGCTGTTGGAATTCTATCGAACTTGCCCACTACCGAAAAGCAAGAGGCGGCTCTACGTTCATCGTCCAGCGCACGGGCGGCCTTTTCAGCGGCCGCCGAGTGCTACTTTTCTACCCTCTCTTTGATCGAAGTCCGACTCCGACGACAAGTTTACGCGCTAGAAGAGGCGGATCTTATACCGCCTGGAGATGATAGGGATGCCAGAAGAGGCCGCACCATGGGTGGAGACGCCAACTTGACGAGAGTGGGCGGCGGTCCTCTTGACCCCAGCTGGCTCAATGCCCGGGCGAGCGACGCAGTTGAGGTGGGAATGAAGCAAGAGCTTCTCGCTCAGGCGAAGGCATTTGTGGAACAGGCAGAAAAAGAAGCGCAAAATGTTGGTCAAGATACACTTGTCAAAGAGGAGCCAGCAGCTGAAGAGCTGGAAAGCTAGAACATGCTTACGACGACGCGAGAGAACCACCTCCGGCTGGCTTGGACTCTATCGATCGGTAGATGCCATGCTGAACCCAGAGCTATCAGTTCAACAAGGACCGGGTTTCTGGACTGGATTTACAAGATTTTTCTTCGTGTTGTTTCGGTCAAGATACGAAATCACTGCTCCCGAGCACAGCTAGAGGAACCCACGCTTTGCAGCGTGTCTGCGAACTGCTGATGGTGGCGATGGATCGATGTCCTGCTTATAAGCGGCGAAAACAACGACAACCCAAAACGCGTCCTTGCTATCACCGCTTATCTCATCCTTCTCTTCCCTCACCTCTCCACATCTTCCACCCGCCTTGCACGCATCTCGGCAAAACCCAGTCCTTTGCGGATGTGGCCTTACGCCCTTTGTTCAACCAGGATCCAGACTTACCGTTTGACTCTACACTTGAAGTCTTCGGCCGAGAGATCATTTGGCTCGCACTCCTTCCCCTCGCATCGTCGTTGTCCCAATCCGAGACCTTTGTACGCTCCGCCGGGGGGTGATGTCTTCTAGTTCGATATGGACGCGTGTTTGCGGACAGAAGAACTTGGCCATGATGGGAGTATGTAGCAATGAGACCGAAATTAGAGCTCGGTAGGCTTCTCAGGGAAAACATCAACAGTATGTTAGGAACTTCTTCCCTTGACAGGATTATCTTAATCTCCTATCGTGCCTAATGTTCCACTATGGTTGGAGTGACATTCCGTCTCTGTGCTGCAAGGGCAGGGAAGAAGGCTGGTGGCCCACCCGCCACAGATCGTTCTGTCATTTCCCTATCACAACTTACTCTGTTTTCCCACTGACAGTAGCTGAGACCTCTTCAGTGTCTGCTGGGACTTCCAGTGCCTCAATCGCGACATGTTTCTCTTGCTGGATATGGAGCGGCACCACCACGCTCTCTTCGAGGAAATAGTTGGTGTCTTTGAGGTAGAAGACGACAACGTAAATGAGCGTGAGAGAGCCGACTCCGTAGAGGACAAGCTGGACAATGGCCTGCGTCATGTATGTGACGGACTGCGAATCCATGACGAAACAGACACACAAGCCCAGCGACCCCATGCCCTTGGTGAAGCCACTGTACATGGCGATGACGACGGGATCATTCGACAACGACCCCACAACCCAGCCGGCACTGCACAGGTATGTGGAATAGACAATCCCCCAGAGGAGGTACAGAATGACACCTCCGGCGAACCTCCCATTCGTCCAGTCCACTGCTGGGGGCGTCTCGAGTCGGCCGTCGAGCCCGTACTTTTTCATCCATCCGATCAAGCCGGCCGCGGCGCCCATCGTGATGACACCGACCGTGACGCACGCGATGAGGCCGCGGCGACGGCGAGACAAATGTTGCGCGTCGAGGAGAAAGCTCATGCCGACAGATCCAGCGATCATGATGGCTTGGAAGAGGACGTTGTTCAGGGACCGCGTCCGGAGGTCGAAGTAGTAGCTGTTCAGGCTGCTCGTGGTGGAAAGGCACATCTCGGACGCAAAGAAGGCCGGTGTCAGTGCCAGGAGCTTCCAGTCGGTGAAGGTCTTCTTCAAGTTTCGCAGCTCCGCCCGCGTGTTGGTGGGCTTAAACTCAGCCAGGTGTGTGCCGTCGTCGCGGACAATGCTGGCAGGGTGCTTGATGCAAAGTGCAGCAGCAACGATCGCACAGCACATGATAACCACAAAGACAATGTATACGGGGTCCGACACACCCGTTGCGTCAGTCTTGTCCGCGCTGATTCCAAAGGCGACGCTGGCGCCGACCGTGCCGCCGAGCGACGTGAGACCCCATTGGATGGCGATGTACTGATCCGAGGTCAGCATTTGTCGAGAGTTGTGCTGGTACATGGATCTTCTTACCTTTCCCTTGTCTTTCTCTTCCGGGTACGTCCAGGCGATGAAGCTCGCAGCAGTCCAAAGGCAGCCGGCCGTGACGCCCAGAAGGGCTCCGGACAGGTAAGGAAACCAATCATGACCACGTCGGTCGAAGTACCACAGGCTCCCGACGTAGAGAGGATAGCCAAAGCCGCCGAAGATACTAGGTCCGGCATCAGATGAGTATACACAAGACTGATCGTGCTTCTCTCGATGGGAATGGTGACACTCACACCGTCGCCTTGGGCTTCATGAGGTTGAGGATGGTGCCTCCTATCCAGCCGAAGACGGTGAACAACCCGTACAGAATGCTGCGGGGCTTGTCAGAATTTGGAAGCTTGCTGGTACATGTGGGGATATTGTGTTCTTACGCATTGGTATTGATGGCCACATGAAGCGCTCCGGGCCCTCCACCTCCGGCACCAAGTCCCGTGAGAGCGAGATAGATCCCTGGTAGGCAGAACAGGATGCTGCAGGTTGGGGCTGTCAGAAACATTGTAAGAGCATCGAGAGAATCAGATTGGTTGGAGTACGTACACGCCCATAATGACATTTTGTACGGCGGGCCTGTTGATGCGCCATTTTGAGAGTGTTTCCACGGTTCCTGCTTCCATTTTCCACGTTCGAGGATCTGGAGACCCTTAATGCCTTGCGTGCTTCGCGACCAAGACTGCCCTGAGAATGCAGGAGGCCACAGACCCTTTTTATAAAGTCGAATGATCCATTCTGGGAGTAGTCTCTGGATGACAGCGGCAAAAGCCAACAGGCATAAGTTCCAGGATAGTGATAAACCAGCCCGTGAACCTGATAAGAGATAGACACTCGATCAGCTATGAGCGTACTAGTATGCCGAATTGATATGCGACCTTGCAAGCCAAATCTGGACTCGGGCTGGGGATGGCTTTTAAGCGCGACCACCGCGATAACGAGGATATTTGTGCAACTCAGCCTGCCTCGAGTTGATATCCGGGCCCAGACCGACTAAGAAGCCGGTTAGGGAAATCGTTGCTGTAAAACAACATTCGAGGATCAGATTATGGTTGGTCTCGGAAAGATCCCTCTTCGCCACTCATGATTTCTGCCAGGATGAGGCGTTGTCTACACTTTGAGACTACGGTATCAGGTTGAGGGTTGGCAAGTTAGGATCACACAATATCCTTGACGAGTAAGATCCGAATAGTAAGCGTCTCTAGGTCTTGCCTCGAATTATCTGCGTCGAAGCGCGCTTATCAGAAGTCGGCTTAAAGGGAGACTGATCGAGGAAGTACCGGATGCTCAAAAGCCGTCGTCCTTCGATAGGAACCGCGCTTAGAAAGTTTGCTCGAGTCGATGTGGCTCTAACCCTAATGCACAGGTCGTCCCTCGGTATTAGGAATCCATTTGCCGAGTCAGGCTCTCTTTACCTTTCGACCTGGTGCGGTGACTGTTGTTGGCTGTCTTCCAATAGAACAGGAAGTTTGCACAACCATACATAAGGGACTGGGGGCAGATATACTTAGATCTCCGGTTTGTTCCATTGAGAAAATGAGAGCAACATAAGACACGCAACAACAAGCAGAAGGTACCATCACGCGAATTTGTGCTGTTCCATTTTCTCTCTATCTTCTTCGCAACCACTGCCCGAACAAACCGTGCGTTTCAATATTGATTTCTCAGTTGCCCCAGCTTCAACATGGCGACAGACTGGCAGGAGCGCTGTGCACAAGCGCGAGCAGCCAGAGATGCGACAATACCGAAAGCATGGCTGCTGAAAAATCCCCCATCAGACGACGTGACCAACGTTATGTCTGTCCCCTACACGTCGGGGCTGATGACGGACGAGGAGCTCGCACTTACTGAGCTGGATGCCACGGAATTGCTGCAGCGACTGCGCAAAGGCGAAATCAAGAGTTACAATATAACTCTGGCGTTCTGCAAGCGAGCAGCTATCGCACAACAAGTGGTATGTGGTCTAAATCTCATGCTTCTGCAAAAGTCGATTCTCTGCACCTCTAACACAGATCTCACATAAGATCAACTGCCTCACATACATGTTCGTGGATGAGGCACTCCAACGAGCCCGTGAGCTGGACGAGTACTTCGAGAAGACTGGGAAGCCTATTGGGGCTTATCATGGTCTGCCGTTCTCCATCAAGGACCATTTGTCAATCAAAGGCAAGGAGTCTTCAACCGCCCTGGTGGGATGGCTGGACTTCAAGCCTGAGTCAGATGCCCACGTGGTAGGCATTCTCCGTGAGGCGGGCGCAGGTGAGTCGGCCGCTGCCTTTGAGTCCATTGGCACTTAGGTTGTTCTTGAGAAGGATACCTCTGCTAATATCGATTGATGTTTTCGCATAGTCTTCTACTGCAAGACCACCATGCCTCAGTGTAAGCAACCTTTCAAAAGAAGCGGCCGGCGAAAGTCTAACGCAACAGATTTATAGCCGGGATGCACTTGGAGACCTCTTCGAACAGTAAGAGCAAACCCTTGTCAACTGAACTAACGGGGCCTCACCCCATATATTGGATAGGAACTGACTGCTGAGAACGAAAACAGTCTATGGAAGGACTTTGAACCCTTTCAACCGCAAGCTAAGCTGCGGCGGCTCTAGCGGAGGCGAAGGAGCCCTCGTGGCGTTTCGAGGCTCCCCAATTGGTTTGGCTGCTGACATTGGAGGCAGTATCCGTGTCCCAGCGGGCAACAACGGCCTCTTCGGGGCCAAGATCACCTCAGGGCGCGTCCCTCTCACGGGCTTGGTCCACGCAGTCATGGGCAACGATGCGATCCCCACGGTGCTCGGTCCGGTCTGTCGTTCCGCCAGGGACAATGAGTACTTCTTCAAGGTGATCCTCGCGGCCGAACCCTGGAAAAAGTCCCATATGGTCATCCCTTTACCGTGGCGGACTTCGATCAGTCTTCCAGAAAAGCTGACCATTGGCTTCCTGTGGGACGATGGCGTGGTGCGCCCGCACCCGCCGGTGACTGCAGCTATGCAGAGCCTCAGGGCCAAACTCAAAGCTTTGTCTCAATTTGAAGTCGTGGACTGGGAACCCCTGGATCACGCGCGAGGCTATGACCTGATCCGGAAACTATACTATCCAGATGGCGCGAAGACCATCCTCAAGGCTATAACAGACTCTGGGGAGCCCGTACTCCCGTTGACACAGTGGGTGACTAAGGAGAGTCATGTCAGTGAGCGCACAGTTCCGGAGCTGTGGAAACTCAATGTGGAAAGAGAGGTCTACCGCCGTAAGTCGCACAGTGTAACTTGGGATCATCTACGAGAAGTCAACCTTTAACAAGTCCAAGTCGGCATGCTGACATGCGTAAAACAAGGACAATACCTCGCCTACTTCAACTCCAGACCAGAGGTAGATTTCTTGATCTCCCCCGTGGGACCTGGAGTCGCCGCTCGGCACGAGACCGCTCGGTACTGGGGATACACTGCCATCTGGAATCTGCTTGACTGGCCTGCCTGTACCTTTCCGACGGGAGAAACAGTATCAGCTCAGGCCCATCCCAAGGACGAGTCCTACCGGCCTCGACAGAACGAATTTGATTCGTACAATTGGTCAAATTATGAACCAAGCGAATACGAAGGCGCTCCGATATCTCTTCAGCTCATCGGCCGCAAATGGGACGACGAGAAGGTGCTCAAGGTGGTTGAAAGACTGTCTGTTGTGCTGGGTCTGCAGGATGCCGGCACGAGAAAATCAGAATCAATAGGCCAGACAGTGGAGTCGAAACTTTAGAAGCCGTTCAACCCAATATGGGTGAGGTCTCCGTCGTGATATACCTAGAATTCTCAAGTGGCATACACACACATCATCCAGTGTCATTGTTTTCTTTTCGCAAAATCTTGTCAGGCAGTTATATATCAACAGCAGCGCATCGCTAGCGGACTTTATGAACTGCCAGGCTATATTGATGACAGTGTGAGATCCGCGACAACCAGGTTCGTTCGATACTGACTCTGTAACAAATACAATCAGCTCCAGGCGTATCCTGTTGATGACAATGGCCAAGGCAAGTCGCAGATGTACGTTTGGGGCGGCGAGTAATGAGCCTGCTCCACATAGTCGATAGGATTCCTCCAACCGCGGTCTATTCACTCCGCAGCGCGCTTGTATGCAGGGCACGACCCACATTTTGGGTGTACCAAATTGTTCTGATGGCGTCGCGGGCGTCCTTATCAAGAAGTGATGTTAGTTACCTTGGTATGTCGACCCACCAATGAACGACAAGAAGCTGTGGTTTAGGTGTTGAATGTGGAGGCCGGGAGAATGAGGACGGGGTTGATGCTCGTTTGTATCGCTTTTTGATTACCCAGCTCTTGGAGCGAGATCGAGCGGCCCTGTAGCATGAAGCAAGACGTGCTTAGGGCGGTAGCGGATCCTGGTATGGACGACGGATAATTTTGCTACACCGGCAGTAGGCGAGATGTAAGTCTCGATTTCTTTTCTTTCTCGTCATTAAAGCCCAACGAGTTCCCAACGCATTTAACTCGGCTCTGAAGCTCCAAATACCACTCACCACCGGCCCCACAACAAACGAAATCTTGCGGTCTTTGTCGAGAAAGAAAAGGATGGGCGAGTACAGCGAAAGCAGAGGCGGAGATGCGGTAGCGACCTCAACAGAGCGGCAGCCATTGGAGCTTTCTCCCAAGACGTTGGCATTATTGCAGCAGGAGCGTCAATATGTAGCCGGGGGTTTCGAACCTGTACCAGTTTTCTTCTCACGGGCGCAGGGGTCGAAGCTATGGGTATGCTCGCGACTATTGAAATGCCCTTGGGTCGCTTTCATTTAACTGACCGACCGCTTGGATAGGATGTTGACGGCAAAGAGTACATCGATTTCATTGCCATGTTCAGCGCAGTGAACCAAGGACATGGCCACCCCTATATTGCCGAGAAGGTCCGAAAGCAAATGGAAGAGAGTGTGTTGATCAACATCGCCGGACACAATGCCCTGTATCCCCCCTTCGCCGAGATGATGTGCAAGAGATTTGGATACGACAAGATTCTGTGCGCGACCTCGGGAACTGAAGCAGCAGACACGGCTTGCAAGATTGCTCGTAAATGGGGAATCCAGCGCAAGGGTATCCAGCCAGAGCAGTGCAAGATATTGGGAGTTGGTTCTTCATATCATGGGCTCGGGTCAGGAGTATGGGGGTTGATGGATCCCTCGCAAAAGCGAACCGAGTATGGCTTAGACAGCCAACTGGTTCTCAATATCAACCCGTCGACGGGTGCACCGTTGAAGTACCTCGATCTCGAAGCCATGCGCACTTGCTTGCAGGAACACCACGAGACAGTGGCAGCAGTCATCATGGAATGTCTGCACGGGACTGCGAGGACTCCAGAGGAGGAATTTGCCTATGCGAGGGGCGTCTATGATCTCTGCCGTCAGTACAACGTCCTCTTCATCGCTGACGAGGTCCGGCAAGGTGCTGGAAAGACCGGAAAGTTTCTATCCTTCTACCATCTCGGCGAGGACATGAAACCGGATATAATCACTATGGGCAAATCCATTACCGGAGGATTTTATCCACAGTCTTTCGTCCTAGGAAACGCGAAAGTGATGTCACTGGTCGGGACGTTCGAGATTGCGTCAACTTATGGTTTCACGCCATTGGCTATTGCTGCAACCAGGGCCGCTATCGAGGTCATCGACAATGAGAATCTGATGTCTAAGGCGGTAGAGTTGGGCAGGAAATGGAAGGCAATTGTTGATGGCTGGAAACATCCCAAGATTGACTATGTCTTCAGTCTGGGGGCTGACTCGAACTTGTTTCTGAACAATCTTTCGGGTCTCCGTGTGGCTGCTCTGTGCATGCACAAAGGTCTTTTCGTTCATCCACGTCCAAATGGATTAAGGATTAGTTTTGCAATGACCATGACAGATGCAGAGTTGGAGAAGGGTGCAGAGATTCTCAAAGCCGCTCTCGACGAGATTGATCATGTTGCAGATATCCCGGGAGAAAGGTTTAATTTCCTGGGGATCCAAACCTGAGAGAGCAGAAGATAGGACCCGTGCACATGTAGTTCATGTATATAGGCCTTCCTCACCACCATATATGAATTTACATTTGGCTAAGCCAGGCAAAAATTGACTCCTCGTTGTTGCATGACAAAATGCAAGCCAAATGGCCCATAGGCACGTTTGTCAGGGTCTGTCCACAACCAGTCGAGCAGCTCTTGTGCGTGTTTGACATGAGCCATTCCAGAGCTGGAGAACGCAAAAAGTGATCGCAGATAATCCTGCTGGTCGTCCCTCAGGATGCACGATCCAGCAATGACACTGGGCCAGATTACGATTGCTTTGTAGGGAGAATGCCATATCGAGTCCAGTAGCGGCAGAATAATATCGACATGTACCTGAAGCTCCCCAATGATCTTAGGATTGTCGATGGAAGAGCCGCACATAGCTGCCTTGAGGTAGATGAGAAGAGCATGGCGATAGAGTTCGCCTGCTCGGGAGTGCTCAGCTGCCCAGGCGGACATTTCAGGGTCTGGAGGAGGTGATTCCCACTTCTGAATGTCGGCGAGTAACTTCCTGTAGATCGAAATACTTTCTTCTGAGCAGTCCCTATGTTCTTGTTCATCGCATAGACGTCTCGTAAAAAGGAGTGAAATGGCTGGAATTTTCTCGAAGAGCTCGTATCCGCAACTGAAGAAAGTGCCGAAGGTGTCATACTGTTGGAGATGTGACAAAGATGTGAGGAATGAGTCAAATGGGACTTTGAGGCTTTCTGACTGGTTAGCTATCAACGATAAGTATGCGTATATTTCGAACGCGAAGCCTCGCAAGTCTTTCTCGTCTTTGCATTCCTTTTCAATGCTGGAATCGGTGATACGGAGAACAAGATGACGACTTGCACGTAGATGATAGATCATCGACCCCTCACGGTTTCCGGAGATGGCCTGAACGGGATTTGTTTGTCAGACGTCGTTTTACCCGGAGGGGGGAGTCGGAAAAGGTTTCTCACCTCAAAATGACAGAGAATCATCAAGACTAACAGCAGGCGTAGGCTCCGTGAAGCTGATATTGCGGTCGGACACTGCAGTTCTGATCGTAGACCCGTTATTGCCATGTCATAATGTTGCCAAGTTGTTCGTTGTATTTCGATTAGGGACGGTTGTTTGCCGCAAAGATGACTCCCGCTTAGGGCGAGAACAGAGTGCATAAGGAGCTCATCGCAGTATGCCAGCGGTAGAATGAGTGTCACAAAAGGATTATCTCGCAATTGCTTGACGGCTAAAAAGTCTGCAGTCCTCTCAATGTAGTGGCGGAGAAGCTGAGGAGAAGTCACCTTCAGATATGGTGCTGAAGTGACAATCGGCAAGCTTTCTTCGACAGGCGCCGAAATGTCTCGCCGGCCGACAGCACGTGGGATCATACTGTCTTTGCTGTCCTGGAACAGTTCGGACCCCGTTGCGTCTGATATGGATGCTGCAGGCAGAGTTCGCGAATCTGAATCAGAGGCATCCACACCGTCTGACGCCAACAACAACATGCCCTTGTAAGGAACCTGAGTGCTATTCCAGGTTTCTGTGACAAGACCCCCATCAATTTCCACGTCCGGAGCATCTGGCGATGTTTCATCTGGCGATGTTTCATCTGGCCAGAGGCATGCCAGGAAGTTTCTACTACAGCCGATGCAGAGAGGCTTCTCTTCGTTGCACTTCTTCCGGCGCCGACGGCATGTGAGACATCCTGTTCTGGTGCGGGTATAGCGCAGCTTTCTTTTGCGTGAGGGAAGAAGTTGTTCTGCCAAGTGAAGCATGGTCGAGATCGAAGAGGTGAGAGAGAGATGGTGGAATCGCAGAGGGCGCTTGTCTGGCTCAATGCTGGGGAGATTTAAGTGGAGATTCGGCTGGGGAGAGATAGCGGCTACCACGTGATTCGATTCGATAGATAGCCACATGATAGCCCCCATCGTAGCTGCCGCTTTAATGCTAGAGCTCTGGTTTCGGCTAGAAAGCACGATTCAGGGGTCGGACCACAGGGCGGCAGCACCCTCTCTCCCATTGAGGGTGAGCCTCAAACCAAGACGAAGCTTGGCAAATCGTTGGATCGAGACCTTCGACGAACTGTCTATCTCCCCGACAACACTCCATCTTGCCGTTGCAGATCTCTATTGTATAGCTTCTCATCTGCCTATTAATGTGTACCCCCGGCTGCGCCGGCTATCATGGATAACATCAGTGTTGATGAGGTGGACGCGAAGCCCAAACGCCCGGTTCTACGACGCGAGGGTTCGACGGCCGCTCCTCCGCCTCCATTGCAGCCACCACCAGCCCCTCCGGCACAACCAGATCCCACAGACTCTCTGAGTCTCCCACAGTTAAGGCAATTGGTGGGACAATTTCCTAAAGTCGAGCAGACCCCCTACGCGTTTCATTACCAGGATGCCGAGGACTTTGAGCGCGAGATTGACCAATGGTTTCATTACACTGAACTTGAACGTGATCGACACTATCTGCGACAGTCTCTTGACGCGTACGAACAGAGGTGGAAATACTTCCGTGAGTCGGAATCTATCTCCAACGACTTGGAATGGACCGATGTTAGCCAGGATCAACAACGGAAGTTCATCTCTGGTCTGGTCAATGACCTCGACGACGAAGATTACAGCTCACGCGTTGAGGCCCTGTGCTGTATCTACTATATCCTGATGGGGGCATGGAGCACCACATCCGGACTGGAAATGAAGGAGCCTGCCACCGACGAAGAGTCCCTCTCACCTTCTGACGATGATCGGTGCAATGTCGTTCAGGTTCGGTGGATGCATAACGGAGCGGACCTCATGCAGCAATGCTCTCTTATTCCCATTCTTTATCGTTGCTTGATTCATGCATCGAAAGTTCCCGACCTGACCCATTCGCCACAAGCCGCTGATGGTGAAGAGGCCACCGAGGGAGCCTTTGGCGAAAACGAATACCGAGAGCTCAGTTTATGCCTTTCTTGCTTCTATATTTTGATCGAGTCCTCCCGAGTTCGACTTGAGACCGCCGCTGGCCAGGCCCTCCGACAGTCGGTCTCGGCCTTACAACCAAGCTTGCTAGTCTTTCTTGCCGGCATGATTTCACGTTTACGATGGGATGAACTTTACAATATACCCCTTATGAATGCATTGCAATTGTTCTGGAAATCGATCCTACTATTGTTTGGAGACGTCTCGAATCATCTGGAAAAGGTCAAGAGCATATTGCAGCCACGCGTGGATCCGTTCTCTGCAGAAGCCGCTCACCCCGTTCTTACCGCGTCTCCCTTGGATTATCACCTTTTTCGGCAGGAAATCACCTCGAAATACCCGGCATACAACCCCCCGCCACCCATGATACCCTTGGAGATTGAACAGAAGACCATGCTGCCTCCACTGTCAAACCAGATTCGGGGCAACATTCCTGGGTCTGTAGGGGGTAGCATGGGTGGCGCTGCAACCCGGGGATCCATTCTACATCAACCTGTACACATCGCTACTCCGGCTCCTTCCCCGCCCCCATCACCCATTGGTCCTGGTGGAAAGGCTGGTAAGAAACAGAACTATCAGACCAACCAGAACTTCCCGTTCCTCTATCCACCACTGGATAGCACCAGCGATAATATTGGTGGAAAAGGCTCTACGAGGGTTCAGGATATGATGGTGGGAAAGAAGTGGGAAGGCAGTGATGTTCCTCTTTCTATCATCGAAGCAGGAGAATTGTTCGCCAGTCGTATGAGGATGACACGAGCAATGCGCCAGCTCTGGAGAGAGCGAGATATGTTCATGAGATATGAAAGAGGGTGGAATGGAGAGATAAAGGACGAAGCGAAAGAAGAACAAGAGGAAAGAAGCGAGGAGGAGAAGGAAATCGAGAGCCTCGAGGACCCTGACTTGCGATCACGTATGTTGGCAGTGGACGATTTCTTCCACCATGCTCTGCCGGATCTGCAATCTTTGGTCATTGTGATGATGAAGGTGATGCTTACCAACGTACAAGACATTGCGGTTCGCAATGGTGGTGCCCAAGAACCAACGCAAACCGGAGGCCTGAATCGCACCAAGTCGAATTCTAACATGGTTCAAAACCAAACGCTGCCTATGCCACCACCACCGCCTCGTCCAAGCGAAATGACCATAGAAGACCTGGATCATGTCCGCACCCGTGAGATCACTCAACAGGCAGTGTCTGGCGCGTTGTTTCTCTTGTTGAAGTGGTTCAAGGTGTCTCACATCCTGAAGTTCGAATACATGACCCAACTCCTCCTGGACTCTAACTACGTGCAGCTCACTCTCAAATACTTTGCGCATCAGAATCTGGAAGACCTCGTGGCTTTCAGCTACGACCAACATGAACTGAGCGTCTGGCACTATTGCTATCTTCACTCAGACCATCCGCCCTTGTCCCCCACGAGCGCCGACGAAAGATCAGAAGCCTCGGATGGGGACGAGGCCATTCCACCGCCTATTTCGCGGCACAGGAGGTCACCGACAACGCGATCCGAAGGCCAGCCCACTAACGACCAAAACAATACCAAACAATCGCCGCAGCAAAATCTCGATCTCAGCGCCCGTCCCTCGGTCGATGAGCTCGGGAATCCGCTTGGGCCCCTCCCCACTAGCCCGATCACGACCTACTCATTCCGGCAATTTCAAACCTCGATCCACCTCCTTCGCGTCCTGCAAAAGCTGACACGCGGAAAAGCCCACCGCATCCTGTTCCTTGTCCAATTCAAGTCTTCACAAATTTTGCGTCGGGTTCTTCGCGTCCCGGACCCAACCCTGCGCCTATATGTCCTCAAGCTGTTCAAATCACAAGTCCCCTATTGTGGTCGAAAATGGCGACAAAGCAACATGCGGGTCATCACAGCAATCTACTTGCACTGCAGACCGGAACTCAGGGATGATTGGTTGGCAGGGATGCATGATGCAAATGTGGAAGGGGAAGTCGACGAGGCCGTCCCTCTCGAGTGGGCACTTCGAGGGCTGACCTTTTGGTGGCAGAAAAGGAGGTATCCGGACGTCACAAGAAAGGGGAAGAAAGGCTCAGTGCCAAAAGCGGAGGGTGATCTTGACGAGAATGAAGTTCGACTCGACGATATTGACGACGATGAACGCGACTTCTTTCAGCGGGAGTTGGACGCAATTGGATGGGGCCTAGAAGCATTGCGTATGGCTGATGGGTCAGAAGATGGTGCTATGGACGAAGAGGCCGCATCCGTGCTCAGTGAAGCCTATCCCATGTCTAACGGCGACTTCAATAACATCAACGCTGGCATGACAGCCTCAGGCAGCGCAGGAGCAGCCTCAGGTGTGGGCACAGGCACACCCCAGACTCCAATACCCCAGCCGCAATGGGTCGTTGCAGACGCAGCCGCACTGGATAATTGGCAAAACAGTTAGGGACTTGCTGGGAGACCTGGCACCAAATTTGGCGACTGCAATTTGCACGAAGGGGGGAACAGCAGTCTTCCGGCAGACTCGGACGACTCTCTGAGATGGCGGGGTCTGAATGAGGAGTTGCGAGGCGTGTTGCGGTGTGTGAGCCTAGACCGTTGGGAACCGGGGAAGTGAGATCCGGACCGCGAGAGCGGGAATCCAGATGCCTCGGTGAACATGCGTCTCAATGGAGCATGGATCCTTGAGATGGATGGACCACATCAACTGTCTGGCCACGAAGCTGTAGCCCATGGCTCACTTAGCATATCAATGGCAGTCTAGTACGTGTCGTTGGTGTCGTTGATACGTTAGTTAGTAATCCCAGACTCAGCCTTTCCAGCCTCGGTAATATTCACATGCTCCCCGCGCGGAGCCTCGTCGGTTCCGCTCTTAGCTGACTCGCCACAGCTAGTTAATACAGAGGCGCGACTCGAGGTCCGTTTACGGCCGTTGTTCTTCCAATCATCGACATATTTCGGCCGTTGCAAGCGCAGGGTTGTACTCGGTATATAGAAGACAAAAAGCACGTCCTCCCATATATACACACACATTCTCGTCCTCGTTTTCGTTCCTGATCTCTCATTGTCAGATTAAGTGTCACCCCACTCAGGTCTCCCCAAAACCGCCTGCGGTCTTCCCCCACGTGTCTTTCCTGAACACCTCAGCACCCAACCACCTGAAAGAAAATTCCCTTCTCCCCTTGGTGCCCGTTGCACACCCAGACAAGATGCCGCTCCCCAAGCACGAATACCTCTCCTCCGTCTGGCAACCCGAGCTGTTCCGTGACAAGGTCGTCTTCTGCACCGGCGGGAACGGATCGATTTGTTCCGCGCAGGTGCGTGCCCTCGTGCATCTGGGTGCCAATGCCTGCATCGTCGGGCGCAATGTCGAGAAGACGATCTCCGTGGCCAAGGATCTGGAGACGGCGCGTGCGGGAAGCAAGGTCTTGGGCATCGGCGGGGTGGACGTAAGAGATGTGCAGAGCTTAAGCAAGGCAGTGGAGGAGTGCGTCAAGGTACTTGGGGGCATTGATTTCCTGATGTAAGGCTTGTATACACTCCACACGCTATCTCGATGGACTGGTATGCTGACAATGGTTTCAACAGTGCTGGCGCGGCGGGCAACTTCCTGGCCCCCCTCGCCCAACTCTCCACCAACGCTTTCAAGACCGTCATGGACATTGACATCCTGGGCTCCTATAACATCACGAAGCTCTGCCTACCCCACCTCGTCGCGTCTGCTAAAAAGCACAACTCGTCGTCCTCTCTCCCGAAGTCAGAATCTTCAGGCCCGGGCGGGCGAATTATCTACGTGTCGGCCACAATCCACTACACCGGTCTGCCCATGCAGACCCACGTCTCAGTTGCAAAAGCCGGTGTTGACGCTCTCTCTGCCAACGTGGCGATAGAATACGGCCCTCTCGGCATTACCAGCAACATTATTGCCCCGGGTCCGATTGCAGGCACGGAGGGAATGGACCGGCTCTCCCAAGAACACAAGAGAGGAAATGATCCTACAGGACAACAGGTGGGACGCAGAATCCCACTGGGGCGATGGGGGAAAATCAAGGAAATCGCAGATGCAACGGTATATCTGTTCAGTGACGCCGCAAATTATGTCACAGGAGACAGATTGGTTGTTGACGGCGGCGCGTGGCACACCGGCGCCGGATCGCCTGGAGGAGACTTTCAGTATCCAGACTTCATTCTGAGTGGAGCAGAGGTCACAGGTGTTGGCGGATCGAAGAAAAAGGCGGGAGCGAAGCTGTAAATGAGGGTTCAAGACGGGGAAAACGTGGTGTGGTGGTGTATAATACAGGGCTCCGGTGTGCACGATGCCGGCACTTCAAGAGGTGGTCAGATTCATTCATAGGGGCAACAAATTGGACCGGTACATTGTATTGCTGTTTCCCGAAGTTCTCCTCATGAGAAGGCTCATGATTGCGTTTTGCATGGATAGACTGAGATAATGTCTCATGTTGGCTCACTGCTTCATATCCAGGCTCAGCGTCAAGTCCGACGTCAAATGTTCTGGATCGCAGGACAGGCCACCCTTTCCCGGATGATCATAGTATAGGCGTGGCCGCGATGTAACTGCAACGTGAACCAAAGCTTGCGGGCTGATTACACACGAATTGACCCACAAGCCGCATGTCCCCTTGCAGGAGTATAACCTTGTCTCTTTCACAGCAACCGTCTCTTTCGATAATGCCACAGTGCGTTCAGAATGTCGTTGCCGTTGCCGTGTTCCTGCGCGAATGGGGTGGAGGGCGGGAGAGGAGTCGCTCGATCGAGTTATTGTGCAATAATGGCCGTCAGCAGAAGCAGCCTCGTTCATTGACCTACTCTTAGTATGTCATTCTTCTTTGCCGTTCAATTGCATGGCCGTGCTTGTGCTCGTCAAGGACGTTCTAGGTCCGAGGGTTTTTCGGTGGTCAAGGTAAGTTGACCGTGGGATCTTGGTCGGGCTTGCTCTGGTGGTGGCTGGAGCAAGCTGCGTCGAGAAGTGACATACTTGCTGCCGCTGTGGAAGAAACACCCCGTCCGAAAAATCAGTGGCGTCGAGAACCTCACCGATATCATGTCTCAGAAGCTCGACCGCAGCAGACAAAAATCCCCTCCGCGACCCAGCTGGGCTGTGCGGGAGCAGGATATCCCAGGGGCTCTGTGGCTTGCTCACGTGGGCTTCCACCTCGTCACATCGTGTCGCGTGTCGGCGCTACAGGGGGTCGACCACCTGCCACCCCAGGCAACCGGGCACAAGACGCAAGGCAAAGAACGATGAATCTAACACAACGAGGAACGAGTCATCAGTCTAACGCCCGGGGCTTTCGATAGCCTGGCCTCCCCAACAAATTATGTGGGCTTCTTCTCACCATCGCAGATCTTGTCTCTTCGACAAGCCAGCCTGATTGCTCACCGTTTAAAACCCAGTATCTGCCGTCATTGAGGCCCGGAGGGGGCGTAGCCTCATGAATCATGCCGCATCTACACGAATCTGCGCTCTTATGGGCAGCCCTGGTGGACAGGAAAGACCATGTGTATCTTGTTCGAGAGACCCTTGGTCGGCTGTGGTCAAGGAGTATTCACGGCCCACAAGCCATCGACGACACTTACGTCAAAGACATGATCCTTCTCAGGACGATTTTTGACATCCAACGCACCCGCATCCGCTTCAATCCTCCTAGTCGATTCGCACTCTCAGTCGAAGACTTTCTCGATTGTCTCGATTGTCTTTCTCAAGCCACAGTCGCCCTCTGTCAGAGCCGACGGGTCGACCAAAGACTCCGTCAAATTCTGGACATTTCTCACCAGGTCTTCTTTTCGGGTTTTCGGGCAGCCGCTCTTGCTATTGAGCAGCAGGGCAACCGAAGTCCAGTGAGACGAGGGTCGATTTCGCGACTTGAATCGTGTGTCAGTAAATGGCCACTGAAAGATCGGCTTGACCCGGGAAGAGATTGGAGTTTGGCCATCTTTGACGGTCTTGTTGACGACCTCCTGGAGATCAAGAATTCCGACAGCTCTTGCGAGGAACATATTGCGCTTGATGTCCCTGATCGCGAAAACGTAAGCTGAGACTCACGTTATCTGTCCAGTACCTGCTGACATCACAGGTAGTTCGCTCTCACATTCAATCTGTCGAAGTGTGTACCTCAGGCAATCACATGTGCTACTCGGAGATGCAGATATGCATACCGAAGTGCGCTGGTTTTGCTAGACCTAAGATTGATGTTGGTAGCCGCCTGCTTCCAGTATATGAACGTGGGCTCGGACTCCGGACTTTCCACCAGCTCTTCAGAGACTACCTTCAGGCATATGGGTTCAACCTTCGTAACAGACGAGGTCACTGGGCTGCTTGAGAAGTGCAGAGCTCTTGGTATCTACTTTGATGCCTTGCAGAATACAGATGGAGGACGATCTCTCTCTGCCTTCCTGAATTATATCTCACCCGGGCCATCCTTTGGAGAAGACGACGAAATTACCAGTTGGATGGTGGCAGCTATTGGCGTGGCGGCCCCGTCGGCGCATAGGATTACGCAGCCAGCTCCCTACCAAACGATCGTCGAAGATCTCGAACGTCGCAACCTAAAAGTATTTGACCCGGATGGGCCTTTGATGCGTATTTACAATCAGTTGTCCGAGCAGATCCGAACGTGGACACCGCCACGGGCTGATATACCCCAATCACACAGACTTGAAAGTCCAGATATAGCGTTCGAACAAGCGATATATGTGCTAGGCTGTAGCGATCTGCATCCGATCGACTTCGCAATGCTTGCAGATTGTATTGTGTCCAGCGGTCGAGAAGTATGCAAAGTGATCATTGCTGAGTGAACTTATGCTAAGGCTTAGTAGGTGCCCGAACCCGACCAAGACATCATCGACGTATATTTTGATTGTCCCTTTCCCCATCCGGAGAACACAACTGTCCGCAGGGCCCGAAGAGTCACTCCACTGTGTGAAATCTATGGGAGCCTGCACAAACTGGTCAGCCTCAACATCGGTTCAGAGGACCCTACGCAAGAAAGGGAAGATATCCATCTTACAACCGAACAGCTATCAGACGGTTCAATCGAGAGCAGGGAAGTTCTTTCGAGCGATCAAGGAAGCACGAATTCATATCCGCAACCTACTGCGCCACAAAGTCCATCGATGCCTTCACCTAGTCGGTCTTCGAAAAACCCAGGGTTCTTTGCACGGATGGCTTCATCTATGGGGTCCTCAACCAAGGTCAAAACCCCTATTCATAGGCGAAGCAAATCGGACTTGCTTCAACATAGCCCTCACTTACAGTCCGCACTGAGCCCAGATGCTTCATACTTGATCGTCTGGTCTCAAAACAGAATTGGGCGCTGGGAATTGAATAGTGGTAATCCGCAATGGCAGGGGGAAAACTTCTTGCACGACATCATCCTAGCAGCCGCTGGTGCATCCCACTTCGCCACTGTCACCCAGGATGAGGATAACAAGCATTTCCAATTGTCTCTCTTCAATGCTGCCGGCAAGGTAGTGGGGACAATGCAATTCGAAAAAGTCCCACAAACTCTGGTATTTTCGCATGTCGGAACCAAGCTAGCTATCGCCACAATCGACAAACTGTACGTTATCTCAACAGAAAGAGAGGACTGGGCGACTTCATATTGCAGTCACTCACTGATACCAGGAGTGAAGTCACATCCTCAAGGCACCCAAAGGGCAGATGCGGCATTCTGGACTCGCAAAGTTCGTCGACAGATGGTGTCACTTTCTCCAGACCAGCGCCAGGTCTTCGTTGGAACGCAGTATCATGATGATGACGGGAGTACTCTATTTTGGCTCTTTGACATTCCCGAACGCCTAGACGAAAAACTCTCATATCGAGTGCGATTTGCCAGGAAGATTAAAGTGGTAAGCAACAGACCACTCCTCACCAGATCAACTGTGCATTGCACCGTTTTAGACATGGCTGACCTCCTTCCAGGAATCGTCCGAACCAGGATTGACTGCACTGCCATGTTTCCATAGTTCTGGGCAGACAACATTCATTATCGGCGCTACTTCTGCTCACAGTCACCAACCGACAGTCGAGAGAATTGGACGTCCTCCTCGAGAAGGAGGTCAACAGCCTAGAGAGGCTGCTCAACAGATTATTGGGCGGAATTTATCCCTCGACCGTATGCACCGTGCCATTGCGGTACCTGGGAAAAGTTTATGCTTCGTCATTGTCAATGAGGAAGCCAACCTCTATCTGGTCCGCAGATCTAGCAGTCGGAACGAATGGGAAGCAGAGCACGTCTCCACGAGCATCTCAGACGGCCTCAGTCCTTCCGAGAGAAACAGCAACCGCCTGGGAGTCCAGATTGCTGCGTCCAGCGAAAATGAAATAATCATCTTTTATATGAGGAACAAAAAGGGCCATCTCACCCGATACAACGCCTCGGATCCTTCGCAGAAACACCAGCAGTCCGTCCCTCTCGAAGACTTCTACCCAGTAGCAACGGATCCTATACACCGTTCTTCGTTGCCAGACAGATAGCAGAGGCAAGGGATCACGGGCTCTTCATTTGAGCCAGACCCATATCCATTGTCCAGTCTTGATAGTTCTTGTCCTCAAGCTATCCTCATTCTCAAATCGGAGCTTATCCCGACCAGCTTTGGGGTCACTGATATCCATTTCAACAGGGTATCGAAGGTTCATGGTAGGACGCAGTCGAGGTAGAACTTGACGGTGCAGGTGCCAACGGTAGAACATGCAAAGAACAATGAATATGACAATCTATACAACATCAGCGTTTGGACTTTCATCGCCCGTTCGTTGCTTCTGGTCATGGCAGACTTACACTGATGTAAGACGCCACAAAATCTGGCGCACTAAAGGGACTGATCGACCGCCAACCGTTGAGGACGATCATTATGGTGCTTCCGAAGAGGGCGTAGCATGTCCGCAGAGGTTGCCAGTTTGACCGATATGGATAGGTCTGTGAATCTTTCTTTCGGGAGTACGCCTTCAGATCCTGCTGAGGCTCAACAAAGTCTGTACCTCTGAATCGGCCCGTGGATGCTTGTCTCAGGCTGGAAAATGTCAATGGAGTCCAAGACCGGAATGCATCGGCACCTACATTGTTTTGTACCTCAGGAAGGTCACACAAATTACTGCGTACACGATGAGCATCGAAACAGTCGAGTTGATGGCGAGTCGACCCAATTGCTTTTCATGTCAGTCTTGCAAAAATCTGGAGCATCTTGTACTCACATGTGATGGGGTGCCACCCGCAGCCAAATATGCTAGAAAACCAAAAAGCCAACTTATCAACACCGCATTGCGTGGGACGCCCTTGGACCCTGTCTCCCTTAGACGGTCCCGCAGTGTTCTCAAACACCTCGGCCATGCACCCTGGGAGAGAGCAAGGGCATGCAAAATGCGGGACGACAAGTACAATGAATTGATACCAGAAGACGTGGCCGATATGATGAAGAAGCCATTGAAGAAACTGGGCCAGAATTTCTTTCCCGCCCGAATTGCAGCAAGGACGAACGCTGAATGAGTTCCATTATCCAGGACAGAAATGTCTTGGTTCGCCAGCAGCGGCTCATCGTATGGCACGTTCAGACCGACCGTGAAGGTAGTGAGGCTGTAGAGCAAGATGATCCGAATTGCGATTTTCCTGCTGGAGATCTTGACGCCTTCATATGTACGGAGCTCTCGGTTCTCGGCAGCCGTGATTGTGACAGCCTCAAACCCGATCATAGAGAATATGGTCAATGTCATTGCCGTCCATACGCTGGCGAGGTGTGCCCAGCCGCCGGTCTGGACAGTACCGCTGGGCGTCGTCCATCCATGGGAGAGGAATCCCCACGGTTTGTTGTAAAAGCGAAAATGGTTTCCAGTCTCGATATTGATACCGATGTTAAAGAATATCAACCCGACGATAAACAAGATTTTCGAAACACCAATCCAATACTCGATCTCGCCGAACCACCGCACACGGAGGAGGTTGACAAGCAGTACCAGGATGAGGAATATTGATATCCAGACGGCAGGGTTGACGCCGCTTGTCCCCCATTCTAGCTTGGATTCTGGATAATGCAGCCGTTCGAGGTCTGACGATTTGAATCCGAATTGGAAGAGTCCCGCGACTCCTTGTAATTCCGCGGCAATGATCACAACCCAGGCGAACCTATTGCTGTCAGCGTCAGAGCGTAGGAGATCAGAGGCACCGACTCACCAGGCCATCCACCCTACGGCATATCCAATCGATTGGTCCAAAAACCTACTAGGCATCTCGAACAATGCCCCCGGCACTGGGAAAAGGGCTGACATTTCCCCCAGAGCTGCTTGGACGGACCAAACGATGGTACCCATCAACGGGTAAGCCAACCATGCCATTCCTGGTCCCGCAATGTTGATGATCCTGCCATTCTGCAGGAAGAGACCTATGCCAATGACACAAGAAAAAGTAACCATGTTGACATGGCGCTCTCCTAGGGCTCGTCTGGCCTCTGGTCAGTCGACAGCCTCGTAGGAGTATTTCTTTGACACACCTAAGAGACGTCGTATCCCTTTGTCCGGTAGGAGCATCAAATACGATCTCCTCATCACTTCTATCGGATGGCTCTGAGTTTTCAGAGTGTCTTCGGGCTTCGGCAGCATCGACATCAGGTTGCAGAACTCCATTTGCTGGCCCACGTCGCAGCGATGACACCTGTGAATCTGGAATCTTCCCAATGTTCCCCCGCATGACACCCAACCTGTATGCCTCACCCGGTGTTGTCATTGTTGCGTTGAAGTCAAGAAGGGGGAGCGCACTGGGTTCTCGTGGCTGGCTGGCCGAGCAGCCTGTTTTATCCCCATCACCGCACCTGGACGAGGCGTTGAGGCTCAGAAGTCGAAATTGTTGTCCAGAATGGCCGCATTCGAAGAGGGCTTAGATCCCACCCGGGGACGAAATGGTCCGGGGTCCCTGGTCTCAAGGCATTCTTGCGCATCACACGCTAAAATATAGGGGTTGCCTTCTTTCGACGACATTGTGCCCTGGAACTCGTATTCCTAGCGTCCATGTCTGACCCTGATGTGATGTAGACAGTCTCATCACACCTACGTCTGCCCCTGATTGGTGGATATGGAACGCCACGTTCTCAGCCTGGCCGGAGTCTGCGCCTTGTCGAGTACTATCGCTTAACCCGTGGTCTGTTGAGCGTGTTGGAAACAATTGGGGAAACGAAAGTGCCAGGGACTTTTGGTTCTGGCTGGATTCCGACCCGGGCGCACTTCTGCACACCGACATTCACAGTGTTGGTCCCAGCCAGGCAAGGCCATCTGGGGAAGTGGCCATCTCGATCAGGCTGAGAACACTCTTTTCAAATCCATCCGACGCCGCACTTGATGATTGATGTCCATCATCTTAGCAAGGGTTGTGTCTCCTAGAGCTTTCACATACCTGAGGGACGATGGCAGCAACCTTTGGAGAGTCTAGCACAAGCTCTAGACAACACCCAATCTCCATTTTCCCCAATGAGCAAGCCTTTCTATGTGGTCTCAGTTGTTCCCAATGCGGAGAACAAAGGAACATCAAAGAGTTGACGCTCTGCTCAAACTGTAATCCTCCATCCAAGGCCTCTCGGTGGTATTTCTGTATCAACCATTGCCACCGGGTCGAATGCGGACATGCAACGGGCTGCGAGATCGAGGGCCATTCTTCTTGCTGGTATACACACTTCGCCACCCAATCCAAATTGATGCAAGAGGCCCACCAAAAATACAGTGCCTTAGCCGATGGATGCATTCAAGTTATCGTCCCTCCTAAAATTGACGACAGCGCTCAAACATATCATCATCGACTCGATCAACAAGCAGAGTGGTTTCGCGTGACGATGGCTAGTCAGACAGCGCAAGGTGAAGAACCAATTCTGCAGGTCTCTGACCGCTTCAAAAAGCTTTGCAATCCAAGCGCCCACTACAGCCTTGGACAATACCCAAGCCTGGTGTCTTTCATCGGGGACACCGGAGTCGGAAAGTCGACTCTTGTGCGTGCAATGAGAACAGTAGGTATTGTCGACCAGATGCAGACGTCAGGCGTCATGGACTGGAGCCGAATATTTGGCTGCCAACTCCGTGGTCCTGTCACTCGGTCGACCTCCGACAAGAAATCAATGCGTCCGACATCGGTTGGCGTCCACCTCTATCGGGATCAGGTGCTAGCACACGCCAAAGACGACCATGGCAATCAAGATGACGTGCCCATTCTCTATGCAGACTGTGAAGGGTTCGCTGCCGGCAGTATGAAGACGGACGCCGAGAGAAGCACCACCGCCAGCACTACGGTCCCCTCCAGGCCGCGCGGTGGGTCCATCAGCTCACAAATCGCACAGTCCAGATCGAATTCTGATCTAATTGCACCTCCTGAAGCTCAACCCATGGTTGGAATGGAGGGCCCTTTGTTGATGGATCTTGTCATCAAGACCCCTGGGTTTAAGGAATTGGGAAAAACCAGCGCGGATGTGTTCTATGCGCGGTTTCTCTATGCCTTTAGTGATGTCGTTGTGTTTGTGGTAAACGAGCAACAGAAGATGAAACGCGAGATGCAGCGGCTGCTCGAGTGGGCTGTGTCTGCGGTCAGAACCTCAGTCCGCAGAAGCTCACCCCGGACCTTGCTCGTTGTTCTGAATGGACCGAAGGAGCATTCCGACGCTTTGTACGAGGATGCCGACCTCAACCACGAGAGGTTCCAAGACTTTGGCGAGATCTGGGACGACTCCCGGTTGCTGTCGGAATACAAGGTCGACCACGACATGAATTGCAGCCGCAAGGAGGATAAAATACACGACAACGACCAGTACTTCGGGCTCTTCTTCCGCGAAACGAAGGTATGCTACATCCCAAGCATAAGCTTGCAGGAGAGACATGCGCCTGATCGCGTCTATCAGCAGTACTCACACCTTCGCAAATTGATCGTCGACAGCGTCGCGTCGGCTCAAAAGGCCAGATCCAAATCCTACTTCCGGCACGACGTGGCATCAGCAATCAACTTGACGAACCGAGCATTCAGACATTTTGCCGAGTATGATGATCCATTCGATTTCCATATCGCTGCAAGAAAAGATAACCCTACCCCCATCTCTATTCCCGGCCACATAGCGAATCTACTGCGCCACTTGGGAACCACCGTTGAGAAGTTTGGCCGCTTTGAGATCATTGTGGCTATATGCTTGGTTGCCTATAACTACAGATTTTCGACGCTCGGTAAGTTGGTGCATACATGGTGGCCGGAGGACGCTGACTGACTGGGGAAGGTCGCGAACCTGATGAGATCTTTGACGACGGACTTGGGGAACTGTGTCTCAAGGGACTGCAGATCTATCAGAAGCAGTTTCTACGATGCTCGCTCTGGATGGACGACGGTACCAGATGCGTCAACTATACTTACAACCATGATCGTCACCAAAGCGAGAAATGCCTCATCTGGAATGGCTCGATCGATCGCTCAGGCTTTGAGAAGGAGACCTCTGATGTCGTTGCTGGCATCAAGAAAGCTTTCAACTGCTTTTACTCGGAGCTTTGGAAATCCAGTTCTCCAACGCTGGAAAGAACCTCATCACTCCGACGTCGAATCCTCGGAAATGATCGTGAGCCGACAAATCCTCCTCTCACACGCGTTGGTACTTTCAGTTCGGAGGATTTCAGGCAGCCAACTGCACTGTGGTCGACTGTGAGAAGCAATATGACCTGCTTCGCTTGTCTGCAATATGCGCCTGACCATGTTCTGCCGTGCGGACACGGGTTTTGTGAAGATTGCGTCAAAGACTTCGGCACGGTTCTACCTCAAAGAAGCTATCATTATGCCTTGGACGAATGTGTCTTGTGTGGCACAACAGCAGCCCAGTGGCACGAACAACGCAATAAGCGTGCAGCAGCCCTCGGTAGATTACCAGAGCCGCCTCTTCCGCAATCGCAAGTCGCCAGACTCAGCCCTCGATGCGGAGGCATTAGGGTCATCACGCTTGATGGCGGCGGTATTAGGGGTATTGTCGAGCTAGCTCTGATCCAGAAGATCGAGCAGAGAACAGGATTGGGTCTCCCGATTGCCGAATTCTTTGATCTCGTCGTCGGTACCAGCACAGGTGTGTACCTCCAGAATTCCCGCAAATAGTCGGGGAGCTGACAACGCTATCAGGTGGTATCATATCGCTGGCTATCACCAGTTCCCCCAATGACAATAGTACGAAGGAACTTTCCTTCAAGTTCCTCAGCCTGGCCGAGAAGGTGTTCAAGAAAGATCGCTTTGGCGAACTATGGAAAGTAGGAATTGACAGGTCCAGGATAGCAAACATCATGATGGCTCTCCGGCTGATCAAGAGTCGTTACAAAAGCGGGAATCTCAGGTCTAGCCTGCTCACCTTCTTCGACCAGGACCAACCCATATTCGGTGGAGCTGTGACAACATTCAAACAGAGAACGACACGGGTCGCAGTGACGAGCACGAGTGATGGCGAACCTTGCCTCTTCACGAATTACAGTCGCGCCTCTTACGATCGTGGAGACCTGTCCGAACGTGACCATTTGGTAGACAACAAGGGATTCGAGCGGCAGGATAACCCTGACAGTGAAGCTCGAGTTTGGGAAGCGTATGTATACCTCGTTCTATGTGTGGGTCGAGAATCTCAACTGACGTGACATTACCAGGGCGATGGCCACGTCCGCTGCACCAGGATTCTTTCGTGAATGGCGGATCGATGATCCGGAGAACAGGAGACAAGGCCAGGTCCCTTTCAGAGACGGCGCCTTGCATTCCAACCTCCCAGTTCAATGTGCCCTCGAAGAGCGCGACAGGATCTGGCCGGCGCATAAAGGCTACAAGAAGCCACTGGACATCCTGGTGTCTTTGGGCACGGGCAAACAGCTGAAAGATGTAAAAGTTCCCGGCTGGATGGAATTCGCTGGCGTCGCGGACATCGCGGCAGCATACTACAAGAACGTCGTCAATACGGACACCGTCTGGGAGGCATTTGCCAAGAGCCAGAGCAAGAACTTTTCGCCTCATCACCACTTCCGGCTTACGGTCAATCTGGAGGAACCCGTGGGGCTCGACGATTGGGACAAGATGCAGGACCTCGTCGAGAAAGTCGACAAGGTGTACGCGGCTTCGGAGAAATCCAAAGACCCGGCGGGCCTGTGGAACCAGGTTGAGACGGTGGCATACAAGCTCACGGCCTCGCTTTTGTTCTTCGAACCAGAGCGATGCGAATCTCTCCACGTGCGCGGCAGAGGGAGAGAGGAAATCAGTGGCCACATTCTCTGCCGGCTCCAGACACCCAGCGCGGCGATCCGCAACCTCATCTATCGCATCGAGGGATTCTACCACCAGACCGCCCAGCGACACGAGACGGCCATTCCCTTGCGCCGGGACTGGAGGGATGCTCTCCTGCTGGCCGAGAGGACAAACCAGCCGTTCTCAATCCCCTGCCGGCTGGACGATACCGAGGGCGACACCGTTCCACAGAGCTTGCTCGTGAAGCTGAAGCCGCCGTCAGAGGCAGGACAGGCGGTGTCGTGGCCCATCAGCGGGTTTCCGGTAACCCATAAGGAGTTGAAGGCGGGGATGCTGCAGAGGGGGATCCAGTAAACTGAACAGGCAGGACGAGACTGTATCGAGAGAGTTTTTCCATCGAATAGGAAAAGATCACACATAGTCTGAATGATAATCAATGGTCATTGCCACAGAAGAGGTCGACGCCAGAGAGTGCGTAGTAGAGTAGAGCGGGAGAGACGTCGATATTGAGGGGCGGAATTACGTAAGGCACCTTGATAGGTTGGCCACCGAAACCAACCGGCGGCTGTAGACGCAGGCACCGCAGCTTGCAGCAGCTTCCCATCATTTCAGATTGTTCCTTTCTTCCATCCGCTGTGAACTAATCTCTACATCTTCTCCCTCCGCCTGTACCCAGTTGTTGAGAACCCCGAGAACCCAACTTGCTCAGCTCGGAAGATAGATTACGAGAGTGGTCTGACCCCGCCATTGACGCGCCGCCGGTCGGAGATCCTAGCTGCGACTTCTCGACTCACCCAGTCGTCCTGAAGACAACCATCTTCCAGCAACAGAACTGCAGCGATGCCCTGCCCGATAAGCATCACTAAATTCGTGGGGACCATCTCCCTCGGCCTCCTGACGGTGCGTCAAGTCCCCTGCCCATGCTTAGGCAATAATGACTGACTGACAGCTTCGGTGAACAGGGGACGTCCTACACTCTGCAATCCATAACTCTCCCTTCCCTTGCGCTTCTCCCCTCCGCCTCTCTGGCGGCGCGGACCCTCGCCACCATCCAGACCCAGTCGACACGGCAGATCCTGACTCTCGCGTCGATCTCCTCCCTGTCTCTGATCACCGCATACACCCTCGCCAGCCCGCGCGGCCGCCACCCGTATCTCCTCTGGACCGCGCTGGTGAGCTTCATCGGGGGACAAGGTGTCGAGTACTGGTTCAATGGCTTCTCGCGGTTCCCGTCATGGGGTATCAGTAGGCGATCGAACGGACAAAGTGGACATCTGAAGGCCTCGAGGGTCGCCACAAGTCCCTCGGCGGCGGGTGATGAGAGCGGATACATCGAAGTCGAGTCGGACAGCAGTGACGAACAGCAGGTCAACGGCGAAAAGGTCGAGATGGAGATGGTCCGGGAGCGCAAAGTCCAGAAGGTCCGGAGTTGGATCGCCGGAGTTGGATTTGCGATGGGCGTCGTCGGGATCTGGGGTGATGGTGCTTGAATTCGTGCTTAACAAGGCGTGGGGAGGTACGCGTGGATTCTCTGACGATTTGAATATGGGACGGGGTCTGGATGAACGAGAGCTGTACGATGAGAAGCAGATGCCGGCTTTGACACGCCTTATCAAGCCAATATGCGATCGGGAAGGAGAGGAGGACAAAGACTATGGACAGCACTGAGCTGCATTGACTATCAACGACAAGGTTTGGCGATGCGTGCACCACTGATGGGAAGCATTGACGCCTCTTGATTCATCCACCAAACGCAAAAATCCAACCATACACGAAAACAAGTCTCCTGGTCTCCCTGGGCCTCTGACCACACACACACACACACACACACACACACACACACAACTGACATATGTACCCAACTCCATTCGATCAGCAGAAAAAACACCTCCTCTTTCCAATTATCCGAATGCTTGCTGAGAAGGATAATACCATTCCACTCAATATCTACCTTCGTGGCTTTCCCTGGGGAGAGGATCATCTGCGTGCGGAACTCACCACTCGATAGCTTGCTATGTAGCTTGCTTGCCTGCTCGCATTCATTCTCTCGCAAGCGGTGTCGATATTATCAAAGGCTACTAGATCAATCAACCAAAATGTTCTTGGTACTCATTGCAACACAACTACCTTGGTTGCTCTTGTGATCCCGACTCGAGGAAAATCGATTGATCCCAAAGACCGGAGCTCAATTCCTACCCAGTTCAGTAGTAGGCAATAGCTTGCTTGCTTGCATAGTCCTACTTTTTTTTTATCGCGAGCAAGTAAGTACTCAACCCCGTCACGCCTCGTGGCCGAAGCGGCTATCGATCCATAACAGTGGTGCACCGCGTTATATGTACATATATATCCATTAGCCCCTTTTTCTCCACCCTGTAATCCTACAGGAGTTTCCTTCCTGACTGAAAGCTCTCCAATATCCTGGTAAGATCCTTGCCCCGCTTGCAGATAATCGCTTGCTCGGAATGATGATCAAAGTCGTCGTCGTCGTCGTCGTCGTCGTCGTAACGTTCGCGATGAGCGCTTGTCCCACACCGTGATGCCCGTAAACCATTGACAATACCCGAGTCGATCTTCAAATTCCATCAGACAGAAAAAGGGGAAACAACAACGCCAACAAGTCCTACTCCCGCACGAACACAAAACTCCGGTTATAACTTATTCACCTTGCAGCTTGACATCTTGGAAAGCAGTGGCCAGCTCGCGAATCCTCTTGCTCAACCGGGCGTCGAAGATGGCGTGAAAGTGTACTTGAGGTTCGTCCCTGGGCAGATAGAACTTGGACAGGATACCCTTGCACGTCTCCCACGTGTGGACGCCCATGAGCACTGTCTGTTCGTCGAACCTGCGGGTGAACCATTCGTCTCCGCTCAAGGCGCCGACGTACAAGATCCACAGCCTCAGGCGCGGGTGCAGGATCTCCACATCGAGACATGACCGGACGCGACCCAGCATCCTGTGCCCGGCGTTGTAGATCGCCGTCGCCCCGACCGGGATGTTCTCCAGCGCACTGACGAGTTTGAGAACGTAGGCGAGTGCCAGACTCGCGGAGACATCGCGCCCGTCGATGGCGTGGTTAATAGCCCGACCGATCAGCACCAGCGTCCGCATCCGCATGAAGTTCCAGGCGGTCGGGTACGGCGTGGGATCACCGATGAAGAAATCGTACAGGGCGTCCAGTTGCTGCAGTTCGATAAACAGGGCACGAAGCGCTCCCTTCAAACACGGGTCCACGTAGACATCCAAGATGGGCATCGTCACTTCGAAGGGGATCGTGCCCCATCCATCCATAGGCAGCAGGGTTCGCGACAGCGACAACGCGGCGCGGTGAATGTCCATTTGGAACACGCTGATCCACTTGTACGGGACGATGCCACCGATGTTCTCCCGCATCTGGGACTCCATGATGACTTTGGCCATGCGGAGGTGGGCCAGTGCGTCGTCGCAGTTATCCGCCCAGATCTCGGCGACGAGGAAGTGCATCAGGACATGCAAGGGCGGCTGGCCGTGCTCGCGGACGTAGATCTGCAGCGCATTCAGGCCCTTGTATCGATGCACCAGCGAGAGTTTGAGGAAGGAAGAGTCTGGAGAAGATTGGGCCATCAGGGTCAAGGGCGTCGACAGGAAGGCGAGGGCGGTCATGTTATCGCAAAGCGAGTCAGATGCGAACGACGACCACGACGGGAGGATGTTGCCCTTGCTCTGTGCCTGGAGACGCAGGCCGGGGCCTTGGATGACGGGGAAGACACATCGCCGCTCAAAGTTCATGATCTCGTTGATGCGCGACGTGACCGGGACCGGCGTGGAGTCGAAGGGGTCAGAATTGCCCCGGAATGCGACGATGCTCTGGACGGGCCGTTGGTGCGCTGCCTCGGGCTTGACGAGCGTCTGCTGACTATGGTAGCCATCGACCTCCTTGTCTTCGTCTTCGTCTTCGTCTTCGTCTTGGTCGTCCTCGACGTTATCCTCCTCTTCCTTCGTTGGGACGCCCTTGGCATCTCGCCTTCTCTGGCTCGCTGCGCTTTGTAATCGTGGGATCACCACAGACTTCCTCATCGACCGTGCAGCCTCGACTCGCCGCCACTTGTGGTAACCCGATTGGATGTGCGAGAAAACCTTATGGCGATGGGGTCCCGCCTTGCGGTTTTGGGCGTCGTGGTGGACCCAGAGCAGATCGCCCGAATATGCCATGGAATAGACCAACGAACGAGGATCAGTCAGTATGAGAGAGCAGCCACGGGGAAGCTGAGTGAGCCATCGAGGGCGAGCCTGTGCATGGGCAGCCCAGGCTGGGGACGTGCGTAGACAAAAGGTGAGTTGTTCGGTACAGAGCAATGGTGCACATGGTGTCAGAGGAGAGGAGCATAAATGAGAGCATAAAGGGGGGGAACCTGGGGGCCTCTAGGCGTTGATCCGCAAGCTCGACTAATCATTTTGGGCAGTTGGGTGGCAGTGGTTTAGCTATTAATCTCTCAACTAATCCGGGCCTCCTTTAGTTAAAGCTTTGCCTATAGCAGCAGACCGGCGGGGTTCGTAGAGCCCAAAAGCGGCATGCTCTAATAGGCTGCAGAGAAGACACAGGAAGATCGGGCTGTAAAAGCGGCATTATAGCAAGATGGATCTGGCTAGCGCCCACAGGTACCCTTCTCGCCTTCTCGTGTCGCCTTCAACAAACTCTCTTGTCAGTTCCTCGCATGTGCCCAATGCCCTGCCACAAGGTTTGCGGGGTTGCTTTTACAGCCACCATGCGGTGAGCTCGACCTCGCCTCCAGATGCCCAGCCCCTTGAGAGAAATCCCCATGTCACGCCAAAACAACAAGCACGACATGAAAGATTCTTGACCTGACGTCCCTAGCATGCGCCTCGCGCAACAGCCGAACAACGGACACATGCAGGACCCCGACCCCTCCGATTCGGCGAGCATATGATCCTGAGCAACATGTCGACCCCTCCCATCAAGAAAGCGTGTGATGCTTGTCATCGACGGAAAGTACGATGTTCTGGAGGCCAGCCTTGTCGCACCTGTGGCCAGACCAATCTTGAATGCACCTATCTCGCGGTGCCTCAGAAGAAAGGTCCGAAGGGGAATCGGTCCAAAGTCCTCTCACAGCTCCGCAATGCGCAGAGGAAGAAGCAGCCGCCTCTTTCGCAAACTTCTCTTTCTGATGCCACTCCCCAGCAGTCGCCGAGTCTGGAGGCCAGGCCTTCTCTCGGCTTCAGCAGACCAACACCACCAACTCCGTCCCGGTCGCTCAATGCCGCGCTTCTCAGCAGGCAGACGATCGAGAACTGTGTTGACTTTTACTTCTCTAACATGTCTACAACGACGTCAATCCTCAACCGGCATCAATTGTTGGACGCAATCAGCTCCCGGATAGCCACTGACGCTGAAGTGTACTGTCTCGCGGGATCCCTGTGTGCCTTTGTCATGGTCCAACCGGGCATGAGCTTCGCCGTTGCTCCAGGGAGCCATTACGAAGGTGAGCCTCCCGAAAACCGCTATGGCTATGCCCATATGCTTCTGGATGACGTCCTCCGAGTGCGAAAGTCCATCGACTACGTCGAGTTTCCTACTTTGAGCATCGTCCAGACCTCATTTTTCTTGTTTAGCTGCTATTTCACCCTGGAAAAACAGAACACGTGCTGGTTTCATTTGCGTGAAGCCGCCACTTTGGCCCAGCTTATGGGTATGCACGACGAGTCATCGTATCTCGTCGGTGACCCTGCTGAAAGCACGTATAAGCGATGCACGTATTGGTTACTTCTCGTCACCGAAAGAGCATATGCGATGGAACGACACCGTCCTCTTAGTCTGCATCCGACCATTGAATTGCCATTGGCGAACGACGCGCACGAGGAAGCATCGATGTCTGGCTTTCTCTGCTTGATCAACCTGTTCCGCTGCATAGATGACGAGTTCATGGTTCTCTGGAACAAGGTGAAGAGCAAATGCTCCGACACCTGGCTTTCACAGCTCCAGCGACAGGTCACAGACGCGATACCACCGGGATTGAAGACCGCAGAAAGCCAATTGGCCGATGTGCGAGTCACCTTACATTGGATACGCATCATGATCTGGCAGCTTTCCATCACCAATGGCTGTCTCTCGTCGTCGTCCGAGGATCCCGCCTTGACATTCAAATACCCCATAAAAGTCGCCAGGGACTTGATCCAGGACATCTCGACCATCTCCTTGGATGCGATGGAGGTCCATGGCGTTGGATTGATTGAAAAGCTGTTCGACATAGCCTGTACGCTCACGGACGTAGTCTCGTATGTGCCGCTCATGCCTTCAGAGTTATCGAACTCAAGCAACGAGACGCCCTTCGAGGATCTGAACAAGCTTCTTGCACTCATTTCCCAACTCCGGGGCGGTGCCTCGAGGTACTACCCGTTGCTTCTCGTAAAGGTCTCGGAGACGTTACCAAATCTTTCTTCTGTCGCACCAATGGACCTCGATCCGAGGCAGCTGAGCATCAAACAAGGCTATGCTGGCGCGAGCGACCACATTCCTACGCCGGAACCAACGCAACTGCGAGGGATCAAATTTCCACGCTCGAATGAGCACCAGGCTCCCCCATAGGACGTTCCGGACCAAAGTGCTTCAAGTTCTGTAGGTTGTGATCAACTCTGCAAGAAGGGTGTGGATCACTCAACAGGACCGTAGGACACACAATGTCCTCCGCATCCAGCCACTGCCCAGCAACCAGTGAGCGCCTACAATCGAGTGTCTGTGCGTGCTGCCCGCAAAGAAATTCGCGGCAGGAATGCGGCCACACTCTATACAGTCTCTCACCTCCTTACAGAAGCCCGCATGTGGGAGCGGATGGCGGGCTGCAGTCGACTTTCATCCCAGATGATGCGAACACTCAGCCTATCCGCTTCCCAGCCAGAGCAAAACAGGGTATTCTTCCTGTAAGAGATAGACTTGCTGACATGTCTCTTGGGGCACCTCGAATACTGATGATTCTAGACAAAAGTGGGAAATGAAAGCCTTCCTGTTACAATCTGCCTACGCCTGTGGCATCACTAGCTTAGGGTGTTCTTGGGATTGGGGACGTGGCTGGCAGGGCTAATGGGAACGAGCTCTCCTCGCTCAGAAGGTGTTCAGAACCATGTCGTCTTCGCTTCTCTGGGGATCTGGAAGTTCAACTCATGTGGTCTTTGTGGATGAAACAATCCAACGTGCAAAGACAAGGCAGATGTCAGGTCTGCGCCATTGCTTCTTGAACTTCTTGCTTTTTTCTGTCACACAACGTAACTCTAGTCATGTCGCAAAACGATTTTCTCTCACCAACTCCGCTGCCCAGCTTGATTTCACTTGCCTCCCATACTGGAGATCACGTCCCTCTGCGCCTGTCGTTCCCGGTTGACGCCCGTCAACGGAGCCACGCTTCTCAGGTCGCCCACCACGTCCTTTGCCTTGCCGAAATAGACTTCTTGAAGCATGTTCCTCATCTTGCCCTCCATGTCCTCGATCAGTCTCCCGGCATTGCATACGTGACCTCCGTCCTTGCCCTGGCCACCAACGTTCTCCACCACCAGGTCGGCCTCGACTTGTCTCGTCATGCTCCCGGACAGATTCAGCGACCCGAGTCCCTCACTGTCCCGCCCGAGGTGCAAGATCACCGTGCTGGTCAGCTTGTAGTGACACGTCCGCCCACTGCCCCGTCTCTCGTCGACCTCGAACACGTGGATACTATCCCACCCAGCCTCCTTGCCCACGGCCTTTTTCAGGAGCACGACGCCGGCGAACCCGTCGTCCAGGTCCCACAGGTACACCGACCCGGTGCCCCCCTCGTAGTACATCTGGCGGTACACATCGAAGGCCGTGTTCGCCTCGACCTCCATCTTGCGCACCCGGTCGCTCGGGTACGTGGCGTCGTCTAGCGGCGGTTCGAACTCGTTGCTCCACGGACTCCGGTACGAGTCGCCATCCCGGTTGTAGTCGCACAGCAGGTAGTCCCGGCCGGTCTTTTTGCAGCGTGCCGACGTCAGCGGCTGGTCCACGGAGGAGAGGAGGTCTTCGGTCAGGTCGGGCACGAGCGCGGTGATGGACGTCAAGTTGTCCGACACTTTGAGCGGGGAGAGGCGGCGGAGGAGGTCTCTGGAGGAAATAGACAGGATTGAGTCAGCAAGGGAACACTCCCATATTATCCCGACATGCCCGTTTCATCGTTGGGGAAATTGAGAGGGTTCTCAGAACTTACAGGGCGGCATCGAATTGGGCTTCGCTCGCCATCGGGCAAGCAGTTGATTTGGTTTTGTTCTGCTAGAAACAGGGGAAAGAGAACGCAGGGAGATAAAATCTGGGTGCAACTGGAGGGGGTGCAGGACAGCTAGGGGCTTTGTTCCTATGAGGTGCGGATGGTTCGAGTCAACGTAGAAAGGTGATGGCGTGGAGTGTCGAGGTGTGTCGTTGTTCTTGCTGGTTGCCAACCACAACGATCGACCGCGGGGTGAATCTCACTGCGGACAAAATGAAAAGTCGGGGTGTCAGACGAAAAGATTTTCTTCAGTTTCTATGGTGGTCCGAGACGGGCTTCTTTACATTGCCTATCAACTACTGCTGCCAAATTTGGTCCCATGTCATTGTTCTCTGTCGTCTGTTTGCTCATCTGTATTCTTGATCCTTCAGCAGACAATCCCGCTTGCACACAGCCGGGCGGGCCAGACAGGTGAGGTTGCAAGCCCGTCTAGACACATGCTCATTCCTGTAGAGGGACAGTGTCTGCGTACAGATGCCTCGTCATGGCTGCAGGATACCGGTCACCCGTGATCTCCGCCGCCTCGACCTTCTGTCTGATCTCTTTTTCTTCTTCCGGCGTCAGCTTGATCTGCAAACTGGCCATATTCTCGTCAAAGTTCTTCGCTTTAGTCGTGCCGGGGATAGGGATAATGTCGTCCCCCTGAGCCATCAACCATGCCAGCGTCAGTTGACCTGGTGTGACTTTCTTCTTCTCCGCGATGCTGGAAATCGCGTGCACTAATTCCATGTTCTTGTGGAAGTTCTCCTGCGAGTACCGGGGCATCATGCGGCGTCGGTCCTCCGGGTCGAAATCGTCGTGCGACTTGATCGTGCCGGTCAGAAACCCACGACTGAAGGGCGAATAGGCGACCACGGCGACTCCCAGTTCTCTACACGTTTTCAGGAGGTCGTTGTGCTCAATATCCATGGAAAATGGCGAATACTCGACTTGGACGGCAGCAATGTGGTGCACCTTGCACGCTCGTCGAAGCGTTTCAGCAGAGCACTCGCTCAATCCGAGATAGCGGATCTTGCCTTCCTTCTTCAACTCGGCCATTGTCCGCACTGTGATCTCGATCGGCTGGTTCCGGTCGACACGATGGCAATAATACAGATCGATGGCGTCGCCCGGCTCTAGTCCAAGTCGCCTGTGAGATTTGGCACATGCCTCTCGAATATATGCCGGATCGTTGATGACCTTTGATGTGCCATCAGGTTGCCGGACGTTGGCAAACTTGGTGCACAAGAAGATCTTGCTTCTGTTGCCTGTCTTCTTGAACCACCTGCAGAACGATAAAGACACCAATCAGGATTTGTCATATCCATCATCTTCAAAAAAGGAAACTTACTGGCCAAGCAAGTCCTCGCTATCTCCATACACATCAGAAGAATCCCAAAAGGCCTCTCCTGACTCGAAGACGTGGTCCAAAAACTTCAGCCTCTGGTCATCCGGCAGCTTTTTCCCATAGAAGATCGACAAACCCATCAGACCAAATCCCAGAGCAGTCACTTGAGGTCCATCTTTGCCCAATTGGCGAGTTGGGAGAGTCGGTGGCATCTTGCTTGTGGACTACTGGTTACAGACTTGGGTCTTGATGAGTCTCTCGCTGGAGGATTGAGTTGTCTCTCGAGTCTCAGCAGAGGGAAAATCTGCCGATAACGAAGCAAGAGAGGGGTTTTATACCTGCCACCATGAAGTCAGAGCATCCATCCAGTGCCACTTCTGCCCCTCCTTCGCGGAGTTAAGCCGTCAGTCGCCGTGCTCGATCTCCTATATGCCATCCATTTTCAAACATTCACCATAATCCTCAGGGTCAGGTTCTAGCTTATCTCCAGCGCAGCCCCGCACAGTCTCCGACTTGGGCGATTCGGCAGGTTCAAGTCCCAGCAACAGAGTTTGGTAGTCGATGAAGACGGGCCTCGCTAGAAGGCTTAGTTGTACTTCCTGGGTTGAGCTGAAAGCCCTACAAGTGGTCCTCGGTGTCGTCGGCAAGCTTGTAACCTCATGGAAATCCACTACGAAATGGTACTCTTGTGGTGGCGGTGCTGCCGCTATTGTCACCACTACCACCACCAGCAGCATTCCCTTTGGTGAAGCTGAAAAAAAGGCTTGCTAAGTGGCACAGTGCAACTTAGCTCGCAGACCATTCAAGCGAAATCTGCATCGGAAAGCCTGCAGCAGCGTCAACTGGTGCAACATCGCATAAGAAAACCTTAAACGATCGAGACACAAATATCAGCTTTTGGCACAGTATAACATATCATGGCTCGTGCTAACCGAACGCTCATCATTTCATCGCCTTGAATCATCACTATCAACCAAACTGGGCCTCAACATTGTTGAAGCAAGCCATGGCCCATTTGCTGTGCTCTTGCTGCGAACTCTACGCGAGTTCAGCTCGCAAAATTCCCCGACACGAACACCTGAATATGGAAACTCTAACCTTTGTTACAGTTGGCGACCAACTGGACCTTCCCGGCGAGAGAAAAGTTAAATGATGAACACCTTGCGCTTCTTCTTACGACCTCGCTCAATCCTCGCATCCGTGATTCCGACCTTGACGTCTCATCTGTGGCACCATCCCAAGCCTTGGTGCGTCAACCAGAGAGAAGCCCGTTGGAGGGAAACGACAAGGCTGCATAAATACCGTTGGGCCCAAAAACATATCTGACCAGCGATAATCCGGACTCTGCCGGCAGGAATGGCAGTTACTAACATCTCGTTTGATCAGCCTCTCATTGCGCAACAGGTTACTTGTTATTACCCCATCAGCGACATATACTCACCCACTCCGCGGTATCTGTACTATGTCCTCCTCGCCTTGAGCTTTATCACGGCCAGCCACGGTTGGGTTGCCCACATCATCTTCGGCGCGGCGGTCTCATATGCCGCCACCGCATCGATTCAAGCCTTTATCTTGCTATCCGCCCGGCATGGTCTACCTCCGGCGCAGAATGTCACGGTAGCCCACCTGATTCCAACGGGCGCATCAAATAGCTTGCAGGCTCTGGCACCAAACTCTACCTCAATTCCTGTACAGCCGGACTACCTAGAGCTCGATATTGACGCGGTTACTTGCATCGTGATCACTGCATATCTTGTGGGCTTACCACTGCAATGCTGGTCAAGCACTGCGAGAACAAGTCGAATCCTCCATCTGCTGATCTTCCTCTGGAACATGATGATGCTGGCAGGCTCAATATCAGTACTTGTCCTTTGGCCCTCCCTGAATGTTGCACCTCCACAATATCGATTCTGCTATGCAGGCATTGATGACGGCGATACCATGCAAAGCCCTGGGTGGGACGATCAATACTGGGCCGGGTCTTGGAATTCAACCATCTATGGCCTGTTTGGCCCATCACTCATTGACAACGAACGATGGTTAAACCTTTCGACAAATTGTTTCTACCCATGCTTCAACACCTCACAAATTCTGCGTGAGTCGAACCGGCTAAGGGCGACAGTGGTCGGCACGGAGAGGCCGGGCGATAGTCTACACACTTGGAACGCCTGGGAAGGCGATGAGTTCCAGCCCCTCGTTTATACGGCTATTGCGCTGTTTACGGCTGCGCAGCTATTTCTTCTGGTTGTGGGGCGATTGAATCTGTGCACTTCGAGAGTGCCCATACATCGCCCATTTCAGCTCTGGTTTCGCCGGAAGGAGATCTTGCATGGCTTCATGGCTGACATCAAGGCGGGTTATTCGCAAACGAGAGATTTTCTACGACACCCAATGTCCTACTTCGCGTTGATGCGGAACATCAGATTCCACCACGCAGCGAAAGTCACGAGAGTCCACAAGCACCCCGTCTCTCGCTTCGTGATCGACATCATAACACTGTGTTTTCTTATCGGGGTCATGATTTTTGGGCCGCTGATCATCATCGCTTTCATCATATGGATCGAAGGCTATATCCACTCCGACGGCGAACCGAACGAGCAAATTCAAGCCGTGGGCCAGTGGCAATTCATTGTCCAGATCGGCATCGTGCTTCTCGCCGCGGTGATCCTGCGGCTGCGGTATAGAGTGGCTTCAGAGGAAGAAATTCAGAGAAATCTGACACACGCCAAGCATCACGTCGCGAAGCTGGAGAAGATCGCGGAGCAGAAGCGAAGCGAAAGAGAAGCTGTGGCAACGAGGAGGGAGCAGCAAGGAAGTCGCAAAACTTTGCTCTGGCGTAGGAAGAAGAGAGTAGTGAGCGAGGAGGAGGGAAATAAAAACGAGCCATGTTCGACATGCTCAACAGAAGAAGGCTCCGGGGAGCCTGGGGGAGTCAGAGAGGGCGGGACGGTGGGAGAAGAGAAAACACAGCTCCATTCAATACCAGGAGGACCAGAGCCATAAATTATGTTTTCTGTGAGGCTGGAAATTGGCCTATAGAACAAATATACTCATCAGCCAACAAACCTATGTAGACATCTTCGCGACCTCTGTTTACATTGATGTACAACAAATCCAAGCGCTGGGAGCGACGTGCTGTGTCAACTATCTGGCCCGACTCTCCCCCATGATGTGGTTAGGCTTCTGGGGATGTGAAGGTGTGTGTAACAGTGTATATGACTGTAACTGGTATCGTGTATCATGCTGTATAGGCGGCTGTGTGGTAGGTAAACACACTCATATCTGTATGAGTGGGCTCCGTCGGTGGGTCGCGCGGGCCGTGGCCTAGCCGCCTTTGTGCATGTTTACTAGCGCCTTGGCTGTCATTTCTGCATGCTGTACCAAAGCATGAGACACGTCAAACCTCGAGTACTGGCCACGGTTCACAGATGTTGCACAGTGATGAATTCACCTGGTCTGCCACGACGGCCCAATGCCGTTTTCAAAGAAAACCCTTGCGTCTGTGTTGCGGATGAAAGATATCTTTTGCAAGTGGCATTGGACTTGGTTCAACTCTTCCCTTTCCTCTGGTCTGTTGGTCCCAACTACAGGTCGCTGGCTGTGGGATGAACGTCGGCGGCGAGAAGAACACACCCTCAAAATTGACCTCGGGGCTCTCGAACATGTCGTAAGACAAGCTACGGGGTCAACAGCTGGGGTTGCGGTCCGATTTGAGAAACTTACGGAAGGGGGTTCCAGTAAAGTGCTCCTCGCTGTGGTTGGGAAGCAGAGGGTCATAGTCAAAATTCCTGACCCGGTGGTCTCGCCACGGCTGGCCACAGCGAGCGAGGTTGCTACACTTGAGTTCTTACGGTCGGAACTGGAGGTGCCGGTGCCGAAAGTGTTCTCATGGAAAGACAACAGTGACAATCCAGTCGGATGCGAATACATCGTCATGGAAGAGGCTCAGGGGAAAGCCTTGAACACCACCTGGTCTCGCCTGAACATGGACGCGAAATTCACTGTCGTGGACGAAGTCCTATCTATTCACAAGCGGTTCATCACCACCAAGCATATGTTCTCTGGGTATGGGAGTTTGTACTTATCTTGATGATGCACCCAAGCTTGGGTTTTCTCAGCATTTCCCAGTCACATCGACCCGTACCCCGACTTATTGTATTGGTCCAATGGCACACAAACACTTCATGGAACCGGCGCTTAGAGCATCCGGGGTGAACTGCGGCCCTTGTAAGTCATACCACGATGGCGGATTCACGATTTCCTAGCTGCTAACCAAGAAGCCAGGGCGTACTCCACAAGATTATCTCGTCTCCATTGCACACTCCTCAATAGCACAAATTGAGATGAACCAAAGCAAGGATACGATCACTGAGGATCCATTCTCTATCCCGGGAAGCACAGTTAGCAACACATCGGCCGAGGCTGTGTCTGATATGCTGCGAACATTGTGCATGGCGAGACCACATATCCTTCCACATGCCACAGATCAACATCAGCCGCTACTTTGGCATCAGGATCCTCACTTTGGCAATTTATTTGTATCACCCGAAGGAAAGATTACCTCCATTGTCGATTGGCAGGACACCAACATTTTGCCGTTGTTCCTGGCAGTCCGAGTGCCTCAGTTCGTCAATGTGGAACGCGACGCACGCCTTCTGGATCTCCCAGGGAATTTCTCAAAGCTGCCAAAAAGGAAAGGCGGGAGGTCTGGGAGAGGTTTTGCCAGTCGGGGTTTCGGCAGTACTACGTAGCCAGCGTTAGGAAGACAGATCCTGATCTCGCTGCTATATTGGATGACGAACAGTTGGGCCCCATTCAAAAGCAGGTTCAAACATTCTCCCGGATACCGTTCAGACAAGATGTTGACGCCCTTCTCCTGAGACAGACGCTGCTTCGAATCCAGCGCAATTGGGCTGCCTTCCTTTCTGGGGGAGATGACGCTATTCCATGCCCGATCAAGATCGAGGCCGACGAGTTGGCGTGCCACCAGAAGGATGGACGGCTTCACGGCGAGTTTCAAGACCTTCTCGAGGCTAGGAACATACCCGTCGCTTATGAGGGTTGGGTGCCACTCGACGAATTTCGACAGCGAAAAAGAGAGCTGAAAGCTGTTATAAATGAGGTCATCGAGTCTTTGGAGAGCGAGCAGCTACGTCAAGAGTTTAACGACAAGCTCCGTCATTGGAATCTGACAGACTGGGAAACGAAATAGCCATTGCACTACATGCACAGCGACCCCTCAGATAATCCCCTTATCTTGAGCGGCATTCCTCATCCTGGCCCTGAAATCCTCGTTGGTGGCGCTTGGAGCCACTTGGACGGTGAAGAGTTTTTTATGACTGGCCGGCCCTTGGTTGTTGGCTTGAATGTTGACATTGTAGGTGTCATGTGGCTCATCTTCATCCTTTTTCTCGTTCTTCGGAAGCTTTTCTCCCTGGTGGGCCCGGCCCTTGGTCTTCTCATCCTTTTTGGGTGTCTGTGATGGAGAGAGTCGACCTCCAGCATTCTGCTTACTCAACTTGTTGCGGATGGATCCCCAGTTGTCAGCTATCTGATCAATGAGCCTGATCAAGTCTTTCTTCAGCAGAGACATGGTGCCAAAAATAAGTAGGCAAATCTCTACTCTATAGTCAAATCCCTACTCTATATTCAAAAACGGAAATACCGGCGGATGAGAGGGTTACTTACGTTTTTTGGTGTGTATTGAGCAGAACGGAAGATCTTTGACGTGGCTGTACGCCATGATTGTAGGTTGCTGAGAGCGCAGAGTGCTTTTATGGGGGATGCCTTTGGGGCTCTTATTTCCGGAAATCCATTGCACATGCGCTGGGGCGGCTTATCGTTACACATTGTGAAACCACATACGTCTTCAGCATGTGATAGAACCTGGATCTCGCTTCACGCCAGGTATATAACTGGTTGTTTCTGGTCGCGAGGAGCCGGTGGCTGCCGACCCAAAGCGTGACGGTGCCGTGCGTATGTAGACCAACACGACGAGATTTGCGATCCAGCCGAATGGATTTCTTCCAGGGTGAGGCCCTACCTCTGAAAGGATCAGCTTGCAAGGTTTTTAGAACCTGTCTGAACCTGGCGATGTTGTGCCCACCGTTCCTGCGGAAAAGGCGGTGTTCTTGGTTCATAGCGTGCAACCCCCCAAACTCTCGGATCCTCGAACGGAACACATTGTCAGGCTGAAAAAGCCATGGCAGCGAGATACTCGGTTTAAACAAGTCCCGGAGGTGCTTGTTTATTTTGCGAAACCTGGTCATCCGCTTCACGGACGAAGCTCACGTAAGTAGCAAGCTCAGGGCGCAAAACCGTGGAATGGCTCATTCACCAGGTTTCCTTTTCCATTATGCTCGAAAATGAGCCTGTAATTTTCCTGCCGACCGCGAGCCTGCAGCTGTCACCATGGCAGGGGCTTGCCAAGAGAGCACAAGCCCACATATCACACCGACTTGCGGCTGTGACACCATGACGGAGCTACCTGGGGGGGAGGAGTTTGGCTCGTCGAATCAACGACGGAATAGAGACATTGAAACAGCCCGGGGATGTTAGTACGCATGTCACTCTCAACTGGGTCGTGTCGATTGGTCACAGGTCCATAGCTGGTCATGTAGACAGTATTGCCCTGCTTACCAGTGTTCAGCAGGAAGGTCTCAGGGTTGGTATCTCGATGAGAATGATGTAACACACAGCGGTTCTCGTGTTAACTGACAGTCACGTCTCCCAAAGGAATATTGTACCCTGAGTGAGTACCTCGTACTGCAGTCATAAACCGTCTTTCACTGTGTCTTTGACGACCAAGCTAACCACCAAGGCACAGGTCAACCTGATCTATGCGTTGACAGATATGGTAACGCTCGACCAGGCCGCGATGGGGCGCTGTCCCAATTCGGCAACCTATCACGCCAATCACAGAGCGCTCAAATGTGGGTCAGGACCGCCGTTGAACTATGCTGGAAGCAGCCTGAGTCAAGATGCCCTCATTGCCTCTTGCAGGTGTGAAAGGAAAGGTAAAGTCGGAGGGATAACGCTGAGTGCCTGTGGTATAGTAAGTCCTTGGGAGTGACACACTGTATAATTGTCAGCTGTCCGCTCCAGGGGGAATTGACGCAGAAACATCAGCATCCTGCAGCATTCAATCTTCAGGTCCAATTGAGAACTGAGCAATTGAACATCTACCAGTGAAATCGCTGGCATATCAAGCATTAGCAAATTTGACCCAGTGTCCACCATGCTATTATCCCAAATGCAGTAGTGAAGGCGAGCCTGGCCTACGGCCAAAACACCTTATAAGAAGGTAGTCAATAGCTAGTTAGCGTTAGGCGGAATAAGTGAGACAAAAAGCATCCCACCAAATCAATTTGGATTCAGGCTGCAGAAAAACCGTGGTCCAAGGGTTTTGGTTGGCATTGTGTATATAAACCGCGAGGCAAATTGTGGCCAACCTACACCACCAAGTCACATACCAGGACCATGAAATCTTTGATAGGCTATTGGGACCAGGCATTTCTCAGAGTGTCACTCCTTTACGTAGATCGCTGATGGCAGAAATAACGGACATTTGCTGACTCTGATACCTCGAAGGCGCGTGGCCAACTGCTCTTGGACCCGTTTCCCAGCAGCCATGGCTGGGATAGCAACGACAAGAGCATCAAATTGGCTATTTGCACAAAGATCTTGTACGACTTCGAAGCTTGATACAGTACATTGATCACATCCAATAATGAGCAGTCCTTGTAGTTGACGTGGTGACTCAGCAGATTTCCTCATTGTGCTGATGGTTCGCCGTAGTACAAAACAGGGTTAGCGTCGTGATTTCTCCGGCCCGCCAATGGAGGGACCGGCACCTGGAGGGCTGCGGTTGCGGTCAGCTCCAATGCCTCCCAAAGTGCTTCAGATCTGTTCCAGCCTGGCAAATCTGAGAGCACAACCCAGACTACAGGCTCGGTCTCTTCAAATCCTCTCCAGTATTATTCTCAAGCACCTTCTCAGTCAGAAATATGGCCGGTCGTTTCGTACGCTCCTCCAAATATCGGCACGTGTTCGGCCGTCCGACTCGCAAGGTGCGGCTTCACTCACTCTCAACTGGCGGATTGAAGGCTAAGAGCTGCAAAGGAACAATGCTATGACAACGTGAGGGTATCGAAGAATGCTTGGGACACGAACTTGATCAAGGTATACACCACCTGCAACCTGCAGTCGAGCACAAACTCACAATCCCAGGCAAACCCAGAGTACCTCGCACTCAATTGGGACAGCAGCGGTGGCGGTGCGTTTGCCGTCATCCCTACGAAAGAGAGAGGCCGTCTGCCCGAACGCATACCGCTCTTCAGAGGACATACTGCCGTGGTTTTGGACACAGATTGGTGGGTGCTTTCTTAAAGAGAAACGGAACACGGGCGCGGGACTGACGGGTGAAGGAACCCTTTCAATGACTCGTTGATCGCTTCGGGATCGGATGACGGCAAGGTAGCGATACACACATATTTTGGACATTAGGATGTGCTGATCGATTCAGGTGTTCCTGTGGAGAGTCCCGGACGACTTCACGCTGCACCTCGACATTCCTGCAGATGAGGTCCAGGATATCGCTCCTGTTGGCAAACTAAGCGGTCACCCAAAGTACGCCCTTGGTGCATGACCATTGAAGCCATAACTGATTCCATACAGGAAAGTGGGACACGTGCTCTTCAACCCTGCCGCCGAGAATATCCTAGCATCCGCAGCCGGTGATTTTACGGTCAAGATATGGGATATAGAGTCCGGCTCCTCCAAGTTGTCGCTCAAAGTCGGCGAGGTGATCCAGTCTCTTTCATGGAGTGCGAACGGTTCGCTTCTGGTGACGACGTCCCGAGACAAGAAATTGAGAATATGGGACACAAGACAAGAAAAGCCCGTTCATGAAGGGCCAGGCCATGCAGGTGCAAAAAACAGTCGCGCCGTGTGGATGGGAGAACACGACCGTATCGCTACAACCGGCTTTTCCAGAATGAGCGACCGTCAGCTTGCGCTTTGGGACGTCCGCAACGCGCAAGAACCCATCGACGGGTTCCAAATGCTTGACTCGATATCAGGCGTCTGCATGCCCTTCTGGGACGAAGGTACCCAGTGTCTATTCCTCGCAGGCAGAGGTGACGGCAACATCCGGTATTACGAATATGAGCACGACAAGTTCGAATACCTGTCCGAGTACAAGTCGTCCGATCCTCAGCGCGGCGTGGCTTTCATCCCCAAAAGGGGAGTTAACCTACATGAAAACGAGGTTGCTCGTGCATACAAGACGGTGAATGACAATTACATTGAGCCCATTTCTTTCATTGTGCCTCGGAGAGCAGAGACGTTTCAAGAAGATATCTATCCCCCGACCGTTGGTCTGAAGCCAGCCATGAGCAGCAAAGAATGGCTCGATGGATCCGAGGGACTGCCGCCAAAAATTTCCATGGAAAGTCTTTATGAGGGTACCGGTGTGAAGGAGGTCGCCACGGATGAGGTCAAGCCGGTCAAAAAGGCACCCGCACCCGTCAAGGCCGCCGAACCAAAGAAAGAAGTTCCTGAGCCAGTACCAGAACCGACCCCGGTGGCAATTCGATCTCCTCCTCCGTCCATGAAGGAACAAGGTGCCACAATGATGGGTGCTGCCGACAAATTCAAGGATTCCGAACCTACGGAAGGAGGAGACGACGAGTCAGATTTCGAGGAGGTCCAGAAGCCTGTGGAACGGACAACCGCAACCAAACCTGCCGCCGTCTCTGAAGAGAAGAAGGAGCCTTCTCCCGCGCCTGTCGCGAGCAAAGTATGGGAAGATGCCGAGGAGCTTGAGCCTGCTCCCAAACACAAGGTCAGACAGATTTGGAGGGATCCCACATGCGTATTCTAGGCTAATATTGTGAGAACAGATGACCGAAACGGAAATGCCCGACGAACAGACCGTCGAAGAGGGTGAAGCATCCAACATCGCCGAGCCGACCCTGTCGTCAGACTCCATGGAGCGCGAGATGAAGAACGTGAAGGCCCTGATCGCCCAGCAGTCGCGGCAGCTGAGCAGCCTGACCAAGACGGTCACGGAACTGGTGGCGGAAGTGAAAGCTTTGAAAAGATCATAGATGATTGGGGTTGGATACGTCGTTCATTCTCTTTGAAATTTAGCGAGCTGAGTTCAAAAATGCCAAAACTCCCCCAGATTATTCTTCGCCTTTTCCAGTGCTAGTCCAGTGTCCGTCCTGCGACACAGTCAAGAACGACAGTATACTGCGAGAGAGCCGATCGCTGATCAAGTCCTTCATCCGGCCAAGCTCTCCTATTAAGTCATGAAGTAATCCTTGAAATCGTCTTGAGAAAACGATGCTAATCTATTTCTTTCACCGATAGTAAGTTTTCGGCTAAATAATGGGCGAGCCTCGAGGCAGAAAGGGAATGCGCGGTGAAATGAGGGCATGAAAACGCGTGGAAAGACAGATGGGCATACAGCCACTTTTTTTTCACGGCCTTGGTTTCACACGTGCGGCATGAAGTTTGGCCAGTTCACGTCTTGGTAGACGGACGCAGGGAGTGCTCGGAGACTGGCGAGCGACTCGGCCAGCACGATGGCCCGCGCAGCCATGTACACGACAACGAAGGGGGCGTGCAATAGGATTTTAAGCCAGGGCGGCAACATATTCGCGAGCTCGGGGATGCTGGTGGCCTCGTGCTTGAAAAAGTACCGGCCCAGCTCGCGCGTGTTGTACGCGCCAAGCGGGGCGACGAGGCAGTAGAGCAGGATCAGGACGAAGTCGGTGCCGCTGGACACGAGCCAGAGGTAGAACTCGGTGCGCGAGGGGAACGCGGCCAGCCACGCGAAGCCGAGGTGGAGCCCGTGGTACATGAGCTGGAACAGCATCGTGTAGATAGTCACGCCCATGGTGAGGCCGCCGGGCGGGAGGGTGACGCTGTTCGCCATGGTCTGTGCGGGCTTCTGTTGGGCCTTCTGTTCATGGAAGAACACGGCTGAAAAGCCGTACCAGAACGGCACCGTCAGACTCTTCGGGTCAGGGGGCGGCTTGACGAAGTCGAGTGGAGTCCGTGAGTAAGTCTCGATGCACAAGGAGGAGGTTGCTGGAGCCGCAGGTGCGCTGGCGATGACGGGGGGACTGGTGGTGGTGGTGGTGGTGACAGTGACTTCAGGAGTTGTCTTCGAGCTCGTTGTGTCAGGACCTGGTCGCTGGCAAAGTTGATCAATGCTGGCGTCGATAGGCACGACGCGCTGCGACTGTGGATCTAAAGGCTTATAGTACCAGAAGGAGAATGTATGTAGCGTGCAAATTATGAATGCGAGCGTTGTCACTTCAAGTGTCGAGTATCCCAGCCCAGTTGCACCCCGAGCAATGAAAGAGATGCAAAACCAGGTCATCTGGATGAGGGTCACCAAGCGTGCCAGGCCGTCTGCTTTGTTCAGAGCTTGAATATCCAGCGAAGGGATCTCTGGCATGACCAACCCCTTATGTTCGATGAGGTAGGCGAGTTGTTGGCTGTCAACAGGAAAGGCAGGATAGTCTCGCGGAGCGACCAGAATCCCACCCATATCTGCATAGAATCCATGACGAGTGGTCCATTCGGGATGCCCCAGTCTGTGGAATACCTTTACTGACTGGTGTGCGGATAACCACTGTTCCATGGCGGAAGCCACCAGGACCTCGGGAAAGAATATGGTGAAGAGCTGCCACCAGAATTTGTAGAGAAGAGAACGCCATCCTCGGCGACTCTCGAGAGTGGGTATGTTCAGGCAGAGGCATGTCCAGGTGCACAGCCATGTTGTAGCAAGGCTACCGTACAGTATATCACTTGTGCCTCGCACATTGGGCAGCGATACCCAGCCTCGAACGAGATCTTTGGCCGGAGGAGGGAGCATTCAGTATCCTTGTTCCGAAGAAAACGCTCAATTTGCGTATTGTCGGCCTCGATATGACATTGGATAACGGCACTCTCAGGAGCAGTATAGCCTAGGAGTTCGGTCTCGACGAGGAGCTTCCAGGGACAAGGCCGCAGTTGGGTGAATTTCTTCCGTGCCCGGCGAGGTGTCTTGCCGTGCTCATACGGATATTTGAAGCACTGAATACCACAGCCAAATGTAACCACCCGTCCTGAGGGCGGCCTGGAACTGCGTGCACTAGAAAGGGGACAACGGCGAACATTCTTGTATGAAGTTATGGAGTCTGCTGACTGTCCCGCGAGAGTGCTCGCAGCTCTGTAGCCCCCAGCGACGGCCCCGAGACATGGAGTACAACACACCGTAACCAAACACTGAACGGTGTGAATGACCTGAAAGTGGGAGAGTGGTGTATCATAATTGGCTGTCCACACTCCTGGCCCCCTTCTTCTATGCTGAAAGGAGGAGGTAGTGCCTGGGTCGGGCCACGGTGGTCCGGCGGATGGACGCAGCCATGCCCAACGCAGATTGGAATGCACTGGACTGTGACATTACTCTTGGTCTCAGGCCTCGCGTAGCACGTAGTGAGCCTTCAAGCCGCCCAAGTGGGCTTGAGCCAAGCCAAGACAGGAAGCTCCGGTGTAGAATGGGGGACATCAATATACTCACCCGGGGTCATGTCGTGCACGGGGCGAATGACTAAGAATGCATGTAAGCTACTGCGTCAGCTAGGCCTCCAGGATCGAGTGCTGGGCCTTTGAGAGCTGCGGTTATAAAGGTGGACAGACGATATTTATGAGTCAGACACAGAGAAGTGGAAAGGTCATTGGGTTTAGACGTTGATGCTCAACGGCGAGTTCCCGCAAGACTAGTACAAGAAAATATGGTAGATCGATATGAATGTACATGGACAGGTAGCTCTACTAGTCGACATACTTAAACACTCGAGGTCTTCATAACTCTAATAATCTCCAAGCGGGCCTATATAGATTCTTCGCGTCTATTACTTACTAGCTTCTTCATCTGCATTACGATATACAGTATACTCGATCCGTCAAGGCCTAGGGCCACGATGCGAGACCAGACAAGACGAGAGAGTCTTTTTCAGACGCTCGGGGTATGGGTCGTTCAAGGAGGAAGGGCAAGGCCAAGGCCAAAGGGGAGAACACATGTCAGGCGTCCGGGGCAAGTAGTATCGTATTCGGTGTAACGAGTCAGTCGCTGATATTCCATTTTCTCGTGCATTAAAGTCTTAAAAAAAAACCGAGGCTCGCTGCTCAGATATACATATATATCCATCCCATCGCATCGCACCACAGATTTGCCTTGGACGACCTCCCTTTTCTCCACACTTCGCTCTTCCACTTGTCGAGTAATTAGCCCCCCCGGGCAAACGTCTCATTTGTCGCATCAGAATGTCTCTGGAATTCGTTTCATCCCGAGTGCGTGCGTGGAAGAGAAGTTGGCGGCGGGGGGAAAAGAACGACAAAGATGATAAGCGAACGTATGGTTCTCAACCTCTACGAAGGAGGCACCACGGGGAAGCTGGCGTCGGCGGTCTGAGGAAGCCACGAAGCCCGATCCTTGTCGTAGATCTCGGCGGCGGGCTTACCCCATTTCTCGCTTCCCTTCAACAGGCCCGTTCGGATGACAATGGTCTCCTCACCTGTTTGCGGGTGTTAGAAAGGAGGCGAAGCAAAGATGGGTAGGAGGAGGAGGATGGGCGGAAGGGGAGTCCCATGTAGCAAATAGTTGCCAGCATCGGACAGACAAGGCGACGGGGTGCGTGAATGACTTGGACTTACCCATGACATGCTGGTGGTGATAGGGCGAGGCCGCGCAGGTGGGGCACATGAAACAGTCGACCGAGTTGCCTATCCATGCGCACGAACATCGGTTAGTGAATGGTCCAAAGGGAGGAGGTATTTCTTCAATATTATGCTTCTTCCACAACTCACGCGCAAACGCGCCCTTGGCTCCGGAAGAAATCACCTGTGGGGAAGGAAAAAAAGACGTACCCGAATCGCCTTTGTAGGAATAGACTTTCAGATCTCCCTTGGTCAGGTGGAAGTTGGACTTGGGAATGATTTGGTTTAAGGTGAATTCACCGCCGCCCATCAATTTGCAGGCGCCGCAGTGGCAGAGAATGTGCTTCTCCTCGGGAATTTCGACGGTCCACTCGGTGGCACCGCAGTGGCAGACTCCCTTGTATTCAGGCATGGTAGGCGATGGGGTTGGTGGAAGATTGAAGTTTGCGAGATTTGAGCTTGGAGGCAGGTGGTTGTTATTGTTGTTGTTGGATGATGAGGAGGAAGGGGAATATTGAGTTGCCAATGTCGAGAGACCCCTTATATATATCTTGAAAGCTCCGATAGCTAGAGATGAGGTCAAGATAGGCTGCTTTTGCGATACTGCAGGTATTTGGAATGCTCCAGGCGAGGGCGGCAGAACATTGCCCTCCGAGGGATCCACCTCATGGGTTCCTCACGCTGCTGCATTTGGTTATCATACTTGACCCGCTGCCTAATGATCCTTCCCCGACAATGCCGTTTCGTCATAGCCATCCCGGTAAGAAATAGATGGGGCTTCGGGAGACAGTGACCTATACGGGCCTGCAGACGAGTGAGATGCTGATCTTCTTCTTTGCTGCATGTCGACTGTGGTACCAGCACCCTCCCATCAAGCATCGATAAACACACAAGAGACTGTCGACGACCTTGGCGGACTCTTTGCAGCAACATTCAACTTCCTCTTGCAGATGGAGTAAATCGTCAGTCCGGGCTACTAAGCAAGCCCAGCCCAGCCCAACATCATCGCTATGGTTCAGCTGTTCCCAAGCTTTCCGCACTCTTGCTTACCATGCTTACTGTACACTGTAGGTTTCCTGTTGCGCTGTTCTTCTCCAGCCAATGCACCGAGGCGTTCCAGCTTCCTTCCGAGCGAGCATTTCAACCGTACCATCGGCGGACCTGGGTAGCTTCAGTAAGGGAGTGGGGATCACCTCGTATAGGCCAGCCACCAGCTGTGGCAGCTGTAGGTAGACGTCATGCGTGACAGATTCTGTTTGCCGCAATCGAGTCTAGGCCTTCTAGAAGGGGCCACCAAGGCTCCTAGTGCACTAGGCTTGGGGGGTGAGCGCAGGAACTTCGGGGTTTTTCTGGCAGACGAAGTGATTTGGAATGTCGGATGAGAACTCGGTACCTCGTTCCTCGTCGCGGATTCGCCTGGGGGGAAGCAACAAAAGGCGCATCAAGCCTATTAGCTTTGGTGATCTCGTAGTTTCCCCATCCCCCACGCAGCTGGTAATAGTGGTGAGATGCAACACTGGTCGTGTCTGTCGGCTCAGCCAGAGGATTCCCACAATTTCTCTTATCCTACCGTTTCAGTTCCAAAGAACCTACTGTATCCCACTGACGCTGCTGGCGCGACATTCCTATTATTTCAAATATCGGCCGGTGTCTGGTTGTCCCGGCATCCAGGCACTCGCCGAGCGCTGGGCTTCATTGAACATCCGATCTTCGTACCCGATCTGCTCGGGCTTCTTGGGAGGGGGAGAAATTGTCATTATGTAGGTAGAACTAAAAAAAAACCAGCGTGGGTGCATATATGGTGTGGGTGTAGGGGCGAAGTTTGGGACAACGTCTCAGTCTTATACATGTTGCAAGAAACCACCCTCGGGTCTCAACCTCCTTGTTGCCCGTCTGATTAGTATATCTTTGTGAGGGAAAGTTATTGACTTGCCCGATTCTGGGAGTAGTTTGTAACCATTCACAGGTAGCTATGGGAGGCCTTGGTCGAATCATAAATGCAACGCCTGTAAATTGGTGGGTAGGTCTGTGCTCTGAACGTCTATGTGCTCAAATGATGCTACAGCTAGATCTCGCGCTCAGAACCCTGAGCCATTGAGTCACCATTTCCCACCACAATCGCGACATCGAGAGAAAATGGGACGATCTACAATCCAGGGATAGTCGTCGAACACTCGCAGGGAGTAAATGCTAACCCCTTACAGCAGATCAGTGCCCGCCAGGCTTTCGACCCACAAAGACTGCCATCAGATAGATAAAGCATTTCCCGCTGGCCGCTTCGCTCGACATCATCGCTTGAGCTTCTTCCAGCTTCCGCATCACTTCTGGTGAATGATCCATACGCCGTCGCAAAGTCCCCATGACTTCCTGCATTGACATCAAGACCAGATCTGTCTCATACTTGAGCAGATGAGGGATGACCCTCGAGACTGTCTTCTCCACGTCCATCAGACCCTTGCTCTGAAACACCTGCTCCAGGTCGTCGAATTGGCGAGCGCAGCTGAGTCCACCGGTATGTTTGTCGATCACCTCGAAATAGTCCGTCAGGCCTGGCGAGTGGTTGAGAGACGAGTGTTCGTCCAGAACCCCAATCAGGTTCGAATAGCATTCGTGCCACTGGAGGTATCCTCCAGGCTCTGGACCATGAAACGGGCGCTCATCGTTAGTTCCACGCCCAGGACGACGGACACAGGTGGATCAGGAGGTATCAATGAAATCCGCAGCTTACTCAACATCTTGATCAACTTGTCAAGAATCTCAGCCTTGCTTGTGCCGTACAACGTGGAGCAAACTGCCCGGATGTGAACGACGTCGAACCTCTCATAGAATTGTTCGGGCACCGGGTCGAAGAAATTCCACAGGCCAAACTCAATGTTTGCTGGGCAAGTCCAGGCGGGAGGATACTGCTGGTCCGAGATATCGAGGGCGACGACCTTGCTGCGAGGGGGGTCGCGAGCGATAGTGAGTGCCACAATCCTGGTTTTATGTTCTCGTTAATGATCATGTCTGAGAGCCTATTCTGTTGCGGCGTCGACGACATACGCATTTCCCGTTGCAACATCCACCACTTCTGGCGTGTCTACTTGAGAGAGTCGCTGCTCCACTGCCTGGTGGAGCAAGAACCCGTTCTTGAGAACCCAGAGAAAGTGCTGCGCCGTAAGTCTTCATGCTTGTTAGAGGACCTTGTCTCCAGGCGCTTGTACATTCTCAACGTACCGCACGGAAGACAGAAAGGTCCGAGAGAAAAAGTACCTGTCATTCTGCTCGGTCTCGGTGCTGTCCATCTCAACTGAACGAATGGTGGAAGGGATGATAATCGACTCCTCCTCAATGCCGGCCAATGTCTTTTATACCACGGCCATTGAAGTGGCCAGTAACTTGTGTATCCACTCATTGTAAGCCATTCTTCATGTGTTGGTCTGACTGTATAGTCAATCCGTTACGCGCTGGAAACCCGTGTGGTGGTGACGACGACTTCGATTGTTGATACCTCAAAGACCCGTATGACTGAACAGGTGTGAAGTGAAGGGTCTCATGCTTCGGCCCCGGGCGCGGGCAATAGGTCACCCCGGAGCCAGACAGACACCTGGGGTGACCCCAGCCAGTGAGTCGGAGGGAAGGGGAAGGGGGATGGACTCTGGGGATGATGGACGCTTCTAACGGCCGTCGTCCTCGGAGTTCACCCGCCAGGCCCTGATGGGACGCCCTCGGTCTTGATATGGAAAAAGGCGTGGTCTTTGTAAACGTCTTCAAGCACGCGTGCCTGATGTGGAGATAGGGCCAATGTTCTTGACGAACGACGGAGCGTGGACTCGCGCACTCTGAAAGGTAGTATAAGATGCGCTTCCAATCGACCCTGTTGACCTGGGACGCAACCAAGCCCACCGTAGGACAGACCGGCCGAAGCGGTACATATATGGAGTGTTATTGTTCGATAGACCTGTTGTTTCTTTCTTGCTCTTTCCTTCTTGATGTGCGAAAGCTGCATGGACGCCCCAGGCCCCTGAGATAATTCCCACTATGCAAGGGACGGCGAGATGCTCGACCTCAACAGTTGAGGCATATCTAATTGAATTTGGGGACGAGGTGTTTCAGACCCGTGGAGGCGTCGATACATGCTTTACTCCCGGTAGTTGTTTCCCCCCCCCAAAAGTCCATGTACATATTGTGGTAACTAGATTCTTTGCCGCCATGTCATGAATGGCACAGCCGCTCAGGGCCAAAGCCATATGCGAGATGTTCAACCAAGGTATCCTAATAAAATCCTTGGGCGAATCGCTCCAATGTCCGAGTTTGTTTTGTCATGAACGTCGTGATGCATTATCCTCGAATCAACATCAACTCAACAACTCCATGCCTTAGCGACACCATGTCGGAAGAGGAGTGATTGTGCTCACAAATGAAATGAGGCATGAGTAGTGTTTTGTGTCGACATCTACTCCCGCCTCTTTGTGCCCAGGGTATGGACAGTTCTGGCATCGACATGACATAACCAGTCTGTGTATTCGTGCTCCATGCTCTTGCCCTGTGAGTCTGAACGCGAGGCCAAGCCCACGTCGACGGTCGAATCATCTGGCCGTGGGTTCGCAATAGAAGGAGGAAGTCCCACCCTCGAGCTTGTCATAATGAGGAGCGACAAAAAGGAGGTGAGATGAAGGAAGTGTCAAGGTTTTCGTCCGATAACGATGATGCTGTAAGTAGTTGTAAGCAGGAAGCCATATCGATGGAAGCGTGGAAGGGAAGGCCTTACAGTGTGAAATACATGTGTTGTTGGCGGGAATTGATCTCCTTGAACGCCTTGATGCATGCGTCGTTGACCTCATCCAGCGTCCACTGCACCCCGATCATGTTAGCCACTAGAGTCAGGTATCAAAGACAGAGCTGTTGTCCTCACCCCAAAGAATTGGATGCATATTTGGAGGAGCCAACCTTGGAGGCCCGTCTTGTAGAATCGTTCAAAAAACCTCCCGATGTCTTTGAATTTCGGATCGGATGCCCAAGGGCCCAAGGGAAGCTTGACCCTTTGCTCCTGTACGTCGACGAAACCAGCTGCCTCTATTGCAGCCTTCATCTTGGAGGAGACGCGGAAATCCCTTCCAGTAGCAGCAGTCATGTCATCGACAAATCTGCAGAGCTTCATAACCTGGCTGTCTGGGAGTTCAGATTGGTCGTCGGTATGCGCGTCAATTTCCAATTCGAGTTGTTCGATCCATCCGCCAGAGTTCATTTTCCTATCCTTAGTCAGAAGAGGGGTTCATGACGAGTTCCCGTAAGAGAGAAGAGGGTCTGATGAAAATGTGGGAGGCGGGAACGTACTCAAAACACTGAGCGTATAACGCATCCCAATCTCTTATTCCCACAAACAAGTTTCTGATATGGACCAAGTCGAACTTCATCGTAGGATCATCTAGGACCCATTCGTCGGTTGCATTCTGGACGATGAAGGAAAGGTTCGGCTGGACCGAGCGTTCGGGCTGAATGGTATCGATGCCCACGACCCGGGCATCCGGATACCTCTCAGCGACTCCTTCGGCCCACAGAGCTTTTCCAGTGCCCACGTCCACGATACAGTGTAAGGCGGACTCGTCGATGGGAGACATAAAGTATTTGTTATCGAAGAGAAGAAGACACATTGCATGCAAAACCTGTTCATTCTCTTCCGAGACTAGGTCGTAGGGAAAGGGATGTCCGTCTTTGTAGTCGTGATATCGACGTCCATTCTCGACCCGAAAATTGTAGACTGACGAGGCGACTGAGTATGCAGAACTGGCTGCCTCCTCTTCCAGAGTCTCGAACCCTCCATAATCCTCATCAACGGGGATGTTGCTCGAAAGATTTAGGTCCTCCATTGTTGTTCAAAAGCCCCAAGTCGTCCTCAATGCATAGTCCTCCGGGAATCGGCCGTAACGAAAGTCAAGCCTTCAAGCTCACCGAAAATAATTTCAGCAGGAAGAGAGCGCAGAAGACAATGCTTGGCTTTGATCTCCTTCGACTCCAAAGAGATGGAAAGTGTATTAGGCAGATTCCGAAGAGGGGGCACAAGAGATAGATGAGCATCTTGGGCAATACGCTTCGAAAGCGGCTACTAGGTTAGCCCAACAGAACTCTCGTAAAAGTAATCGCAGAGGGAGACATTTCGGTTGCACGGGGTGGGGACGAAATGGATCACTAAGTGATGTAGAAGACATTGACGCATGGGTTAGGGTCATAACGTTCGAGTAGGTCGAGGGTTTAGCGGTTGGGTTATCATACGAGAGAGGGAGGTGGGAGTGTGAATGGATCTGTTTAAATTTCCAACTGTCCACTTGGCTGTTACCGGAATTGGGGAACCGGGAACCGAGAATAAAATCTTGATGACGGCCGGTTGAGGTGGAGACTGTATGAAAGCAAGAAACACCCTGGTTAATGCATGCGAGTACATAGTTTGTCGGACAAGAGAAGGGGATCCAGCCGGGCGGTACTCGGACCCAGGAATTGGGGGAAGAAGATGGGCAGACCCAAGGAAACGAGTGAGCGGCGCAGCGGCCAAGAAGTTGAATGGATTGGCTCTAGCACAAAGAGGCAGATAGTGTGCAGTTAAGCGAACAGATGAATGGACGATTCGAGGCGGGTCAACAGACAGAATTAGCAGGTGACGGTGGTGGTTGAGTTGCGATGAGCATAAAAGATTGCGGGCACTAACTAGGTATGTAGGCGGAGGGGAAGATCAGGACGACTAAGAGGGAGTTAGGTTTGTGAGCTGGTCAGTGGATGCATTGGTGAGTTCGAGTTGGTTTAACTGGGGTGAAGAGCTGCGCGATTGAATAGTACACCGTCATGAGCAGCAATATCAAGCACGTAAAGAAAGGGCAAGAAGAGACGGAACAAAGACACATCAACCAGTCACGAACTCATCGACTCGTATCGGGGGGCCATCGGGCAAATCCTCCACCACGTCACCCGTCGAATCACATCCCTGAGCCGCACTGCCGGTGCTGGAGGGGAATGGAGTCACCTAGGCAGCCACCTCACTCGCTAGTGAGGCTGTGGAATCTGCAAGCGGTGGGAGAACGCCTTGCTCGCCATTACTGACCTAAAACATCACCGGCTATCTGGCTGCTTTATGGGCTCGATCAGTGTGCAGTGCCACGGGCGAGGGGGCTGCTTCTGTATCTCAGGTCTACAGTATACACGGAGTTATGGGACATAGGTACAGGGTGACTTCATAATGGGGTTCCACATGGCCCGGAGACCGCTACATGGTATATCATTTCGTTGAGTTCAAGGGGTGTCGAAGACCAAATAGTTGAGGACTGCTCAAAGTGGCGGGATGCTTCTGTCTGGAAACGTAAACAGGTGGCCAAAGTGTGTTACGCCAGTTCTGTGCGGCGACCCTAGTGGCTTAGTTTGTTAGAGAATGTTTCCTTTGACAACATCCAACGGGGCCGTGCAGGACAGGGGCTTGACAGGTCTGCGTGACTGGGTTCCCAGCAGCTTGGATCCAGGCATCTCCGGGTGGTTAGCTGGGTACGCCCTGAGGGGGGCCCAGCTGCGAGCACACCTAATCGGCCAACCCCGGGAACTATGAGCTAGGCCCGACTCGTTGGTTGTTCCCGTGTAGTGTGAACTTCAGGAACCGACCGTGTCCCTGCGTGCAGGTTGATCCCCAGCTGCCTCCATTGATTGAATCTGCATATCGTAAGCGTGCAGTCCTGGGTGCTTTCGGTGCTCTCGGTCTTAGTTCTTACCCTTTCCCAGCGTCTCCCTGACCGACATATGCACATGATACCTTCTCGCTAACCAGAGTCGTGTTGCACACGCACCCCCCCATCACCAGCGCCGGCTGCCTCGTCTACCACTCTCGCCTGTACCGAGAAATGTCGCAACCCATGTGATTCGCTTTGCAGAGGTCACAGCCCGACCCAGCAATCTGGTCGCAGTCTAACCGGGATGACGGACGGCCTACGCACCCGTCCACCCGACACAACTGTCTTCTCACTTCGCTTGTCACCCTCCCTCGCTCCTGATTGCTGCTGCTTCTCCTTTGGGGCGCCGCCGCCGCCATCAATCCCTAGTCCCTACTCCATAGGTGCTATGCACCTTCATGCTTTTAGATCAAGCCCTTACTTCTCTTTCAAAGATCCCTGGACCCGTTCTCGGTTCAACAGGAGCCCGCCTCTCATCTCACCCATGAACCCTTGTCACTCTGCGCCATCCTCCCCCCAAAGTTAAGTGACAAGCGAGAGTTGAGGGAGACGGGGAGAGAGAGCAAAAGATCAATCAACACTATGCAGATTGTCAAGTGACAAGTTTTGACTCGGAATTCTGCCGTGTGTGTGACGGCCTACACGGCCGCCATTGAACCTCCTCATCGAGCGAACCAAGTCTGGGTTCACGTCCTCGCAGCAGCAGCGGAGTCTGCAACAAAAGACAACGCATTCACACATGCACCACGCACCTTTGTCAAAAACGGGCTTCGTGCAGAAGGGGTTGAATTTGGAATCTTCTATCGGCAGATTGATCCGAGTTGAAAGATCATCAGGCCAATCTTCAACAACTGATTTTTATCAGTCCTTTCTCTTCGACTTAGGCATCACCTGGACAAGAGCGCATTCCAGCACGGAAGGTAACTGTGCACAGCTCCCAAAACGACCGTCATCTTCAGACTCCATTGCGTCTCCCTTTAGTCACCGCTACGATGTATCGTTACCCATAAATTTCAATCCCGACTGGCCCAGTCTCCTGTTTGTGTCCGCTACTCTCCAGCTGTCCCTATGCTTAGCCTGCCTCTGGTGCATCGACCATGCAGAGCCCACCAAAACATGGTCGCGCTGATCCTTTAGGACTGTGCAAACACTGAAACCTTAGCACTAGCTTCTTGATCCATGGCCTATCACTATCTGACACATATTAGCTTACTGGGAATGACAAAAGTATCCACCCGCTCTGAGATGTCAATTATTTCCTATCCGCTCAGCGGGACGAGTCACCCTCGTAACAAGAAACCCCAGAGATTTGATTCGAATTTTGTGAGCAATTTGTGCAAACCAGGCCAAGTATAATGCCGAGATAGCCCGGGTGAAACTCCCACAGAGAGCCAAATCACCTGCCAGGCGTTCTGGTTTTTCTAGGAGAAATGTCCTGCACCTCACTTCCCGTCCTGGCAAGGGGTATCAATGCCGAATTGGATATGCTGAGACTAGCTGCCCCGACCTCAAGCCGCGCTCTTGTCTGCACCAGGGTTCTTTGTTTTCTTCCAGAGACAGATGGTGCTCACCGCCGAGAAAGTGAATAGAACACTGCAGTCAAAATGGTCAGTTCTGGAGCGACTTTCTGGGGACTTTGAGCCGAACCCACCAAAGTGCAATACTCAAGCCCCAAATGGACTTCATTTCCAAGCACGTCGCCTTGGAAGTATTAATCCACTGGGAGTAATTGACTTTACCACTCTTGTTGAGACTGTTGCCGAGAGCCGAAGCAAAGTCGAAAGCGCTCGAAGTAGCGTTGGATGTTTCGTCCAGATTCTGACAGTTCAGATATGAAAGTGGCTTGCCAACGACAACTGAAACGACGATCAGGGCAATCAGGAAAAGAGCGTCGATGCCAGTGCTGATCAGGAACGGAAGAATGTTGTCGAAGTAAAGAATGAGGGTAATGGCACAGTACAGCACAGCAATGCAGACCTGGAGCGCATGATTAGCACAATTGGCTTGACTCTACACAGACACGGTACATACAATGCTCAGAATGGCGACGAGGACCGATGGTGGATTTGCACCAGCATTGACCATCTCAGAAATGAAATTGGCCGTGATTCCAATGACGGCGATCATCGAGGCCATCTGAAGGGCCCGAGTGGCTTTGAATGTCGCACCAAGGACGCCATGATCGGGACCCATGTTGATATATGATGAAGGGAGAGTTGGAATATGGTTCAAGGAAGGAATCTCGCAGCAAAGATATGCAGCCAAAGAATGGGATGGATGGCGTCGAGCCGAGGGGTTTGCAGACTGACAAAAAGGAGAGTGTGGGAGTTCAAACTCTGGAAGGAAAGTCTAATGAATGCTTCTCGGATGGAAACAGATGCTTTGGTTTAGAGGAAAGGTGTTGCACCTGGATAAGAGAATGAAGACCTGGACCTGGACTCAGGAGGGCGGCCATGGCTTAAGTATTTGGATTGTTGCCCAGCTGACTGTGGTTGAGCGGTATCGAGAGACTCTAAAACATCGTGGGCGTGGTGTTTCTCCAGGACATGAAGCTCATGGATGTCTCTGGCCAGTCTCAAACCATGTAAATGGAGCCCGCAACCGATGGTGGTTGTTGGCTCTGAACACAGACGAGGCTGTTTCGGCCAGGGCGCCAAGAGCTATTTCTGGCCAGCTTCCTACCCGCCCGTCGGCGGCTATTCCCCTCTTCAAGCTGCTTTGCCGCCAACCTCAGGGCCAGTGAGTCTCAACGGTGCGATTTGTTGAGAACGCGTCTGATCGAACGAGGCAGTGCAACACGTGCTTCCACTGATGTTTCAGCACCACAGAACATCTTGATTGGTGTCGAGCTGGAGAGAATCAGGGTGAGGGAGTTGGGGAAGGGCGTAAGCAGTGGCAAGCTGGTTGTGTCTCTGTCTCGGGTTTTTCTCAAGAGAGCAGGTACTCCCGTACTATGAGGTACTGTGAACCATGTCGCTTTGTCTAGGGAGGTAATGTACGTACTTTGGGCCAGACAAGCGTGTTGCAAGCGAAGAATCTGCTCCGTAGTCATTCCGTGGTCGTAGGCAATCGGAGGCTGCCATCCGGATTAATCGCAATCGGCGTCCTCCAGGCGCCGGCCAGTGGCGCCCCAAAGCCGCGAATTGATGGCCCTCGCCTCTTGGCCAATGGATGAGCTGCCCGCCAACTTTTGGTGCTTGGAGCTTGAAGCTTGACCTAGGTAGTCACCCTCCAGCCCCATTGGTGCCCCACCGAATCGCCATCCATCACTGCAAAAATTTCGTCCTTATCGTTATCAGCACAGGTAGCACCGTCTGGGAAGCCCGCAAGCTGGCTGGGGTGTGGCCCTGGGTGAGTGGCTTGTAGAGCGCACAATTTTCTATCTTATCACAGCAACCAAAAAGCTCTGGATGTGTCAATGTAGCTACCAAGCTTCTGTTCTGTCAGCTCCCATACCACTTATAATCCATGTACGCCCACGTCGCACCCTGATCTCATCTTGACTTTCGGACACTTGCTCCTCACGTCACCTCGTCATCGGATCTTGTCCTCCCTGCGACCTCCGCATTTTGCTGCACGACATTCCCCCATCCCCACCCCAAAGCCGGCCACAATTCACTTTTCGCGGCTCCGGCTAAGCACATCGTCATGTCGCTCACACGAGTGGCGTCCGTCGATGGCTTCGAGCGTGAGAGAAGAGGCTCCAATGTCTCTTCGCACCGAAGGATGAGTTTCAACCCTGTCAGTGATTGGATGCCGCCCAAAGACAGGAAACCCAGCGTGGTTACGATTGCTTTGCAGTTCGAAGAAGTCTCGAAACGAAAACGTATAGGTATGTGATGGAATTATGACAAAGTCACACAAGATCTCGGCTGACAGATCTGTACTCCCACAGTCCAGGTTGTTGTTGCTATAATATACTGTCTCTTCGCCGCCGGAATAGTCTTTGGCTACGCAGCCATCAAGCCAGTCTTGATCGACGAAGGCGTCTTCAAGGACTTGTGCACTCCAGAAGAGGTGGAGAACCACGTTTCGCCATGTTACAAGCAGGAGATTCGGTTGAACTTGATGTTCACCGTGGCAGCGGTCTCGACCAACGTCGCAGCCCTCCCCATCGGCACCATCCTTGACAAGTACGGTCCCAAAGCCTGCGGCCTCATAGGCAGCGTGTTTCTCACCACCGGTGCACTGCTTTTTTCCTTCGCCTCCGAAGTGCAGGGCGACCTCTTTACACCGGGCTACTTCTTTCTCGCCCTGGGCGGCCCTTTCGTCTTCATCTCTTCCTTTCAACTCTCAAACACCTTCCCCCAAAACTCGGGTCTCATCCTGGCACTCCTGACGGGTGCGTTCGACTCCTCTTCGGCTCTCTTCCTCATCTTCCGCCTCATCTACGAAGCGACTGGGGGCAAATTGAACACACATCGTCTCTTCCTCCTCTACCTCGTCGTTCCAATCTTCATCTTTATCGTGCAGATCTTCATCATGCCAAAGGAGTCTTACAAGACTGTGAGTGAAGTGGTCAAGGACGCCGAAGAGGAAATCAACGCCCCGACACCGCCTGAAGCGTCTGAAGAAGAACGCCGCACTCTTCAAGAGCGAAGAGAAAGTACCATCCAGGAGATATCCTTGCTCTTGGACAAGTCGACCAACACAAAGCGCCAGAAGCGAGAAGAGAACAAGAATGCGAAATCCGGCGTATGGGGTGCCATGCATGGCTATTCGGCACTTCAACAGATCAAATCACCCTGGTTCTGGCTCATTACGGCTTTTACCGTCGTGCAAATGACCCGCATCAATTACTTTGTGGCCACGATCCGGCCGCAAGAACGCTATCTTCTAGGTTCTCCCGAGAGAGCGAAAATGGTGAACGACTTTTTCGACGTGGCACTTCCCCTGGGAGGTGTGTTGAGTATCCCTTTTATTGGCATATTGTTGGACAACACCTCGACGCCCTTCGCCTTGGGCTTCCTTGTGGTTGTGGCCACCATCATTGGCATATTGGGTTGTCTTCCTTACATGTGGGCCGCCATCGCCAACGTCTGCCTCTTTGTGGTATATCGGCCCTTTTACTATACCACCGTCTCGGACTATGCCGCGAAAGTCTTCGGGTTTCAGACGTTTGGCAAAGTCTACGGCCTCATCATTTGCCTTGCGGGACTTTTCAACTTCTTGCAGAGTCCTCTGGACGCAGTCACACACATGGTATTCAACAATAACCCCATCCCTGTGAATGTGATCCTCATGAGCGTGGCGGTTATTGTGGGTGGTGCGCTGGTGACGTTCACGGCGATCAGAGCGAGGACAATGAAGAGAGAATTCTTGGAGGATGAGGCGGAAGAGGCAACAGAATCGCTGATACCCAATGCCGTGGCTAACGGGAACGGCTACGGGACATAAGGGAAGGAAATTGTGGTCACCTCGAATACCGAAAAGTGGTGTCCCTCTCAGGAGCTTTAAATGATGAAGCACGACGAAGGAGATCTGACCGACCTCAATATGTTGAAATTTGACCCCAGCACAACACGAAAAGCTGCCACGCCAGAATCAGTTGAGAGGCAAATTGTTCAGTTTTTAGGACGAAGTTGACAGAATATGTCTTGGTGTACAGGCGTCCTTGAGTTCAAAAGAAGTAAAAAAGAAAAGATCTGGGTCTAATGGATTATGCACCAATTAATTTCAGAGATGTCTGTGGAAGAAATTGGTTATGGTTGTCTGTTGATATTATCTGTGCTGGGCCAGTTCGATCCAGCACAGTCCGATCTGGCGGCGCAGATCTTGCAGAATTGTTCCATTCTGGGCTGCTTCACTTGTGTGAGAAACTGTGGGCGAAGGTGTTTGTTCTACGACATTTGTTGCGTTCCTACGATGTATAGGCAGGCGCACAGTCCATATGAGAGGAGAGGAGACCTGAGGTGTCTAGGGAGAATATTCCTTCCCAAACGGTGTGTATATACCAAGAATAGCACCAGACGCTCGTATATACATGTACATTCATCGTTGACACGCCTGCACTCTTGCTGTCCTCTTGCGAACGAGTGACTCACTCAACTTGGAGGTTACATACTAAGGGAGGCTGATTGGAGTGCTCACAGGTTTCACCTGACGAAAAGAGATAGAGAAAAGGGACATAGTAGGATAGAAGGGGCGAGGGCAAACTAGAATCGGGGACTTGCATAGTGATCGTATACTCAAGATTCGAATGCTTGGAAGGCGAGGCTTTCCTGCTATACTGGAACAGGTCCGGTCTTCACGATTGAATAATTGGAGGGAGGTGTTATGTCAAAAAGGCCTATCAGACACTCCGCCTGCCGGTCCTACATGACCATGCATGCATCAGCGTTGTTTTTGTCGATAAAGGTCTGCTGGATTTCCCCCTAGTGTCAACGCCACGGAACCTCGCCTCGCAGTCTTTTGAGCAGTTTATGGTTCGACTTGATGGTGAGGAGTCCCGTGAAATGAAAACATCGTTGCGGTGCCGTCTTCCCCGACCTCTGCGCAGGACCGTGCAGGTCGAGTCGCCAAGGGCTCAATTTGCATCATGAGAGGGGAGGCGGAATCATCCAGGGCAACTCGTCCAGCACACCAAGCCCCCGGTGCCCATCACAGATCCCACCACGCGCCGCTCATCCCCAAGACCGTGGTTTTGTACATAATTTTTTCTATTATACATTGCGATATCGTCAAACAGCGCGAGGCCTCGCCAAGAGGTGGAGGAAGAGGGGGCATTCGTTGTTGGCGGTTTGTAGCGGAGCAGCGAGGTGCGTGTGTTGGGCAAGATGGAGAGTGTGTCGCTTAGAATCCCGGCAGGAGCATCTCGCTCCACTCCGAGTTGAAGAAGGCAACGGCAGCCTGTGCAGAGGACAGGTTAGTGGGTGTTGTCAGGGTAGATGACTCGAAAAAGGAATTCCTGGAGTGAGCCTCAAACGCCCCATGAGTATGCCTGCCATTGCTGTGTGCCGCAACTGGCTTCCTTGAACTTTTTTGCACAGCGTGCGCGATCAACCAAGCTGGTGTGTCGCAGTATTTGGCCCAGTTTCATGTGCAGGTATCATCGCAAAGGATAGCTGATAGAGGCTTCCTCCCTTCTCCTGAGGAGTGTGTTTTGCTCAAGTCCGAGCTGCTGGATGGATTCATTCGCCCAGGGAGACAACTTACTCCAAACATGGCAATGCTGATGGCGACGCTGGCATTCTCCTCAGACGTCAATGTATGATACATCTGACCGAACCAACCCTTGGGTTGAGACCGCCGGGCGGGCTGGACTGTGATGCGCTTGGGAGGCATTCTGGAGAAGGCGACGGGTCAAAAGTCGGCTGGTACGTTTTTGGTTGTGGGCGCAGGTTTCTTTCACACTTGGAGGGATTGGAAGGAGTAGGAGGTGCAGTTGCTGAATTGCTTCTTGACAAAGTAGATAGGATAGCCCTGCACGCAATCGCAGCTTGGAAATTTCGGAACGGACCTGGATACAGCGGACCACAAAGCAAATAAAGCAAGCTACCTAGTGCGGAGCATAAAGCACCTTTTACTTCGCTTGCTCTCTTACTGACGACCGACTCAAGCTGTCTTGGCTGTTACGGGCAGCACTTCCACTCCAATCCTTTCTTGCTTCTCCTGCCTCTCCTGCCTCTCCTGCTCCTTCGCTGACATCAACAACTTCATTCTTGCTTCTCGGCCAAGTTTAGCAACGTGCCACTCGGGGGTGTGACCCTGCATTTTGTCGTCGATTCCAAGCCGAGCAGCATCCTCATTCACCCACTGGACAAGATCGTCCACGTAGGCTTCCTCAGCCCCAAGCGCCTTCAGACTGTGGAAGTCTCTCCCCAACCCCCTGGTCCGTACCCGTTCATTATACTCCTCGCGCATCTGTTGCTTGGATGGCAGCTCGGCTTTGCCACTCAACACCCGTGCGACTGCCTGGGCCTGGAATTCGAACAGCGAGAATGTCGCAATGTGATATGGCGCTCCAACAAACACGAGGGAGGGGTCCTCAATGTAAAACATGTCCTTGTGCAGGTTGTGCACCATGTCCCCTTCCGCGGTGACGAGCACAGTGCTATCTGCTTGGCTTGCCGGAACGTCATCCCGGTGCAGATGGGGGAGGAAGGGATATGAGGTTATGTATCCCGTGCAGAGGATGACCGAGTGTATGTTCGTCAACTCCTCTCCACTTTCGAGAATCACCTTTCCGGGAATTGGTCCTGAATTTACGGTGCTGACATTGTGATCCTCATTCAACTGGAACGCTTTGACGGCTCCTATCCTCGTGGCGCCATGTGGTAAGAAGCTGGCAGGAAGATCGAAGGCTCCGCCCCGAGAACTCTGGTAAATGTGATTGGCGTAGGCCGCCGATTCTTTGGCGATGTCGTTCGACGATACCCCGGCCCCGATCAGAAGGATATTCTGATCTTGAAAGATTCGGGGGCTGCGATATCTTTTCGAGTGCCAGACCCGATCGGGCCACCCATGCTTCCACTCCTTGAGACCAGGAAAGTCTGGTATTCGCGGCATATTGTAATGTCCCGACGCCACAACTACGGCATCGAAAGTCCACCGCCGCTCCAGGAACCGCAACCCAGTGCGCCCTTTCTGGAGTGTTGTTGTCCGCACGAGCCATTCTCCAGACTGCTTTCGTACATCCTCGACGCGAGTGTGGTATTGTGTAATCGCGGAGACGCCATGCTCAATTGCAATGTTCTGGATGTATTCCTCCAACACGTTTTGGTTGACGAAATCCTCTGTTCCCGCGGGCCACGAGTGCAGAGTTGTCCTCATCTCTCTTGTTGAGACGTTGTTCTTCAGTCCAGCGTAGCAAGGTCCAGGGGGTGCATGAGCAATCTCCTGTTTGTCTTTGTCTACATCCTCTGGTGGAGGAGTACTGAATGCAAGCTCTGGTCTTGTCTCATAGTCACCTCTTGATGGGAGCTCATTCGGATACAAAGGGTCCTCAGCTGAGCGCTCGTCAAAGTGCCATACTCCACCAGCAATTCCTGATCTCTCGAACACAACTACTTCGAGGCCATGTCTCAACAGGTGTGCAGCTGAACAGACTCCGCTGATGCCGGCACCTATTACGGCAACCTTTTTCGTCTTATTTTGTGCCATGGCCTACGAAGAGGACGTCCACTCGAAATCCTTCGATGTCGACACTTACTAGAGACGGGTCTTCGCGTCTCCATCCATCTATCTTTAAGGAACTACGAGGACCGCGGTTGTGGTGTCTGGGTTCTAGAACTACCAATCAGGGGTGGCCTGATATGAACTTTTTTTGTGAGAGGGCCCATATCAGCAAATACCTTCTTCTAAGCACGCCATACTGGCTGGAACATGTCGTGATTTGCGCAAACTGGACCTGGACCGAGCAGCTCGCTTTATGATATCTTATGCCCGATAAATATGAGCATGGGATGACAAATGCACACAAGCAAGTTGATGCTGTCGGTAACTGAATCGGTTCATGTGAGATTCATTGATGTCGGAGATGCTTGGTCGGCTCGGACTATTATCCACGGCTAGGTATTCTTCCCCTGCAAGAGATGTCCTCTGAGACTTCTAGCTTCCACACATCCAGTTTTGACCTACAGGTTTTACATTTCCTCACACGACGGGGCCGAGCTTCCTCTTTGTCGCCAGCTCCCACTTCCACACCACCCTGATCACCAACGCCGTCACAATCATTGCTGCGGCCAGACACGCTGACGTGACGAAACCTTTATGATACTTCGGGGCATCAACTTGCTGCCATACTACCAATGGCAGCCAGGCTTGGAACACATATGCCAACTCATTCATGGTGCCCACCACAAGTGCTCTTTCTTCATTGTCGTCCGTGCAAATCTCGTGCGCCCATGCCATGCAAAGTCCACTTAGACCGCCACCGCACCCAGCAAGGATGTAAGAAGCCCAGTGCCAGCCGACCGGGATATCCCACACTGCAAGACTTGCGTAGCACACTATTGAAACCACGCCTCCAAAGACGATCGGTGGCCAGCGGGCGCCACGGAAGACACTGTCCGACGTCCAGGCATAGATGAGCGTGCTGACGACCTGTACCGCATACGTCGTGGTCGGGTATGTATTGATCTGTGAGATCGTGTACTTGGGATGCGTCGAGTCCTTGAGGTACTGTGCGAAGGTAGGCTGACCGACTCCTGATCCCGCGTTATTGAAGGTCATGTACAAGGTCGCCAGCAGGTATATTTTCCAAGAAGAAAAGATCTTCTTGAATTTAGCCTTGGTGTAGGGAGCCCGTGGGGCACGTCCTTCCAACTGCATCCGCTTTTTCGCATACTCGCGCTCGGCCGGGGTGAAATACCATGCTGTGGTGATCTCTGGAACGTCAGGAAGCAGGAAGAACCCGGAAATGGCGATCGGGAGGGAAATTATTCCATCGACCACGAATAGCCATTGCCAGCCTTTCAGCCCTCCTTTGCCCCCGAGATGATAGACAGCAGCCATGAGGTATCCTGAAAACATGCTCCCAATGGCGGACGACGTGTGAAAAATGCACGAACGCTTCGCTAACTCGTCTCTCCGATACCACGATCCGATCACGTATTGCATGCCTGGGTAGAAGGTGGATTCTGCCAGGCCGATGAGAAATCGGAGGGCATATATCGAGCTTGCAGAGTTGCATTTTGCGAGGCAGAAGGTCAAGACCGCCCACACAACTTCCATTGCCGGGATCCAGATCCGAGGACGGACACGGGTGAGGATCATGTTGGCTGAAACAAGCTGTCAGTCACGTCCACGAGAGCCGCTGATGAAAGGAAGAGGAACGCTGCTTACACGGCACTTCGCCAATAACGTATCCCACAGTCCAGCATGTCTGCATATAGTTCAACTGGTTCTTATACAAGCCCAGGTCCTCCTTCATGCCAGACACAAATGCGTTGTTGATGTTGATTTGGTCGAGATACTTGATGAAATACCCCAGGGTGGCAAAGGTGAGCACCGCAGCGTCGAGCTTGAACAGAAACCGTCGTTCCTCGGGTGACTTGTCCAGAGTGTCCCAGACATAGGATTGCCATGTCCGTTTTGGCTTGGCATGGATCGTGTCAGAGAGCTCGCCGTCTGAGCTGAGTGTCTCTTCCACCACCGGCGTCGTGGAGAGATCGGTTTCGACCCCCTTGACGGTGATCTCTTTGCTGTGCTCGTAGAACGACATCTTGGTATTCTCTGGGCACAAAGGCTATTCCTGCCGGCCGTGCTATACGGTGCGAGGATGGTCTGTGAAGCGCCCTTTAAATTCCGGGCTTCTTCTTGTCTGGGTCCCATGGGGGATCGCCACCAGGGTCGTCTTATTGCCTGGTTTCTCCCTAGACCATCGCACCTTTCAATCGGGTATTGCGTGCTCCTTATTGCCGGCGCTCTGGCCGCTCATCGGTGCACATGCTTGCGTGCGATGTGCGCAAGGCAAGCCGTCGAGCGAAGGAAGAGTGGTCCCTGCCCGTGCCATGGGGGGTATCTGGCCGACGATCCAATGCGACGATATCATCTTTTGAGAAGTGTGCATGATGGTCTCCAGGTGCTACCACGTCGCCCACATCGCAACGCAAGGGTCTCTGTCGACGGATGAGCAGCAAATAAGGACGTTGAAGCACGCCATTTCATCACGTGACACATGTGCGTCCATCTGGTACCACATGTCCCTTGTCCTCTAGAAGAGGTCAGCTGAGACTTCATCCATTGTGAGCGTACTGATTGGGTCGATAAGAGACCTTCGGAAGCGGGGTTAACGTGTGTATATCAACAAAAGTGCATGCCTCGGTGCGTCTCCCTGCAAGGTGATTGTAGCCATGCAGCTAGTTTGATGCTCACACCCAACTCGAAGAAGCGTTCAATAGCCGGCAGCAACACGCAATAGAGGATAGCAATATCGCCATCTTCACAATTCCTGACGAAGGCGCCGAAGCTGAATCTGGTTCCGTAAGCAACTCGACCTGTGGAGTAATCTTCGAAACCCTGTGTTGTGTTCCGATGCTGATTGAAAAAGAGATCGGTTGATTCATCGTAGGCCTAGCTCTGTCATTGTCACCCTCAAAGTATTCCTTCCCCGGTGGCAGAAAAGTTATCGTTCACCATGGCGCCAGCTCCCATCGATTCCACCATCACGGACTTCGTCGTCCCGAAAAAGGACACCCTGGGACTGCCAGAGGCGGCGTACAAACGGCTTGTGAGGGCGGGCGTCAACCTTTCAGACGGATACCCGTACCGCCCCAACCGGCCATTGTACCTCCAGGATGTGTACAACATCCGAAACAAAGAGCGCAAGCATGACGATGCAGGTGCTCGAGCCGACAAGTCGAAGAGCGCCCTGCTTTCCGCCGCGACGAAAGTCACCGACCTCACGACTTACATTGGGACAGAGATAGAGGGGCTTCAGCTCAAAGACCTCACCGACCAGCAAAAGGATGAGTTGGCACTATTGATTGCCGAGCGCAGCGTCGTGTTCTTCCGAAATCAAGACATCTCGCCCCAGCAGCAGAAGTCGCTTGGAGAATATTATGGCGAGGTTGAGATCCATGTAAATCAGACCCTTCTTGACATAGTTGAAAGTGGTTCCCTGTGCTAAGATTCGAATTCTACTCCAAAATACAGCCTCAAGTCCCTCAAGTCCCTGGCGTGCCCGGTGTTACGGTGATCTGGCCAGCTCTGCAAGCTCAAGAGCATCCGGCCAGCTTCCGCAAGCCTGGCGGTGCTTCACGATGGCATACCGACTTGGTCCATGAACGACAGCCCGCGGGTATCACCCACCTCCACAACGACACGGTGCCTCCCGTTGGAGGAGATACATTGTGGGCCAGCGGCTATGCAGCGTACGAGAAGCTGTCGCCAGATTTCCGAAAATTGATCGATGGCAAGTATGCTGTGTACCGGTCTGCGCATCCATATCTGGATCGTGAGAACCCAACAGCTGGGCCCAAATACATCGAACGAACCCACCCGCTAGTCCGCGTTCACCCGGCGACCGGCTGGAAGGCGCTTTGGGTCAACAGAGCAATGACTGACCGAATTGTCGGGCTCGATAAAGCGGAGAGCGACCTCATCCTTGGGTATCTGTATGACGTGTATGAGAAGAACGTCGATATCCAGGTCCGATTCAAGTGGACTCCAGGTACAAGTGGTAGGTCCCCAACACAGAGCTCGATCTCACAACAAGAATCGTGGTGCTGACTGAATCTCTCCTCAATTCGAACAGCTCTTTGGGATAACAGAATCACGGTAAGCGTACCCTATCACCAGCCATAACTGACCTGCTCTCGGCGGCTAATTAATCTGGTATTTCTTCTAAGATCCACAACGCTTCCTGGGACTACGCGGGCAATTACCCACGACATGGGACACGTGTCACCTCCCTGGCGGAGAAGCCCTTCTTTGACCCCAGTGCTCCCACAAGACGAGAGGCTTTGGGACTGTTAGGACCGGACGAGAAGCAAGTGGATGGTGTTCTGGTCGAGGCATAGAGGCAAGTGTGTTTTGCATCGATGTTTTCAGAACGACAGCAGAAAGCAACGAACTTGACCCGGCCATTTCCCGGAGGCTTCTTGGCATGTCCTTCGTTACCCCTTTTTGAGTCCAGATCAGTACAGCCTCGTAGCTTTGACATAGACGCGTATTAAATGCGAGGAATGACGCTCTCAGCCAGTCCTGAAAATATTTTGGGAGGTGAGAGGATTGATTTCGTCCTTGCCCAGGCAGACAGAAGGGGCCCACCACATCACGTGCTCGCAAGGCTGTTGTCTCCTTTGAGTGGAGCTATTTATAGACCTCTATTTCTTGGCACCATGCTTGGCTCAAGCAGCAACTTCAGACAAGAGAGCAAGTGCAACAACTCACACACCGTCTGTGTCGGGCTGAAGGTAGACACTGGTCGGCAACTACCCTCATCATCACGATGGACAACTAGCCTGGCCTAGGCTCTCCTCATTTTGGCAGCTAACCATACGCCCTGTGTCCACTGAGTTCAGGGCGAGGACCTGCGTATCCACTAGAACGAGATCGCCGTGACCCTCGTCTACCGGTTCAGGGATCTAAGGCCTGCTAACCGATGGAAGGGCTAGGTCCCCCGTGCCTTGTCCGTGTATGGTCTGCCATAAACGGCGGAGTGGCGATGCACCCTAGGTCTGATCAGCAGAAAATCTGCACCAAGCTCATGTGTTCCACCTGTGACTGTTGTGGTTCACCACTCCTAAACGCAGGACCCAGACAGTAGGCCGGCTTAGAATCCTACTAGCCGATCCAAATGGCTCAGCCTCGTCGGGCCCGTCTCTCACCCATGGATCTCATATTCTATTCTCGCAGATAGACCAATAACACGCTGGTGAACGACTTGTGCTCTAAAGCAATGATGGACAGTGCTGCGGAGGACCTATAACCTAAAAGTCTTAGCAGTACGCAACTTGCTGAAACTGCCAGATGGATGTCTTTTCCGTTCGCAAATAAAGTCAAATTCAGATTCTTCTGCCACAGACCCGATGTGCATATATTTGGGGTCTGCACAAGGGCTCCCCCGCCTGCGTCCTCAGTCCTCGAGCAGCCCCCAGGCACGCATTCACCATGGACTCCCGTCCCTCGAGGAGTTCGTCAACAGCATCTTCGCCTCGGCATCGTCGTCCTTCAGCTCAGACTTCCGTTGAAGCAGACAACAGAGACATGTCCGTTGTTGAACGGCCCTCAGATGGGTCGCATGATGTTGCAACTCGCGACAATGCAGAGGTATGCTGCTGTAGCTGTTCATCTGGAAGGTGCCGTTCTGACATGAGCAGACTTCGAACACTTCGGAACACCTGAAATGGACTCTTCCATTTAAGCGACATCCTTCCAACGCATCTAGCACGCACACTCATGCCACGGGATATACATCTTCGCAGCCGAACGAGATGCGCAGGCGGATGTCCCACGTCGCGAGACGAGCTTCTGTTGCCATAGCCGATGTTGCGCATAAGGTTGACCCCCTTACAGTAACGCAAGGCAACCCCTTGGGTCTTGCAATCAATGAAATTCGAGGTGTGTCCTCGGCCGGTTACTCCGCGCCAGGCCAGTTCGATGCCCGTCGGTATTCTTGCGAAGCACCCGTGCTTCCAACTATATCGTTACCTGAGCCTGCGCGAACCTCCGAAGCATTCTCGGACGATTCTACTGTTCGCCCAGGAATGAGTGAGAAGGAAGATGACTACTTGATTCAGAGACTTGCGACGCACGACGACATCGAGCGGCTCTCAACCCTCAAACGCATCCTTTACAGACTGTGCCCAGTATTGGTAGTCATTACCGTTGGAGCTAACTGGATGTACTTCGTTCTTCGCGTCAAGTTTACTGTAGATGCGGAACGTGCTGCGCACGAGGTGTTCTGGATGGCATGGGCTTTCATTATCGTCGAACTCTTTGTTTCCCTTCCGGTATTGTTGCAGAGTCTCTGGGGCTGGCATATTATTGGGTTGAGGAAGAGACCAAAACTTCGGCTGGTCGGAGAAAACGTCCCTTCGGTCGACGTGGTCATCACTTGCTGTCGTGAGGAAGATGACCTGATTCTTGACACCGCCAAGGCCGCCTGTAACATCGACTATCCCCACGAACGGTTTCGAGTCCTTGTCTGCGACGATGGAAAATCAGAATCATTGAGGAACTCGGTGGAGAAGCTCGCCTTGACCCAGTTCCCAAACCTCTATTATCGCTCAAGACCGAAATACCCTGGCGTTCCACACCACTTCAAGGCCGGTAATTTGAATGATGCTCTTGAAGAAACCAAAAAGCTACCAGGAGGTGCAGCCAATTTTCTTGCCGCACTTGATGCTGACATGATTCCCATGAGAGACTGGCTTCGGGCACTCCTACCTCACATGCTTCAGGATCCAAAATGTTCGATGGCTTGCCCGCCACAAGTATGTTCTCTCCCACGATACTTTGTAGTAGGTGGAGTCTGCTGACGACTGCGCAGTTGTTCTATAATGTGCCTAAAGACGATCCTCTCTGCCAGAGCTTGGACACGTTTGTCCATATTGCTGAGCCGATTAAGGACTCTCTCGGAGTAGCCTGGTGTACTGGATCCGGTTACGTGCTGAGACGCTCTGCCCTCGCCTCGATTGGAGGCTTTCCTACCGGATCTCTGGCTGAAGATGTCTGCTGTTCAAGCATGCTTCTTGGCTCAGGCTGGAATACCGCCTTCGTCCACGAGCCACTGCAATTTGGAACAGTCCCCGATTCTTTGGTAAGCCACTTGAAACAGCGTACAAGATGGGTAAGTTCTTCATAGACCGTGTCGTTGTCATATCCTAAATTGTCACAGACCATCGGCACCGTGCAGACTGCCATGAAACTGAGATTCAGCATCGGTGGTCCGCTGGTGAAGCACATGACGCTCCCACAGCGACTGTGCGGTTTTGTTTACACAATATCTTCGCTGTTCACGGTGTTCTTGGTGTTGTCGATGTTCACCGCACCTGCTGTGCTCGTTTCAGGCGGCAAGCTTGTTCCCTACGCAAACATGGCGCAACTCCGATGGCTCATCCGCTCTGCATTCCTCAGCATGCTTCTGAATCGCGTCAATGAGATGGTCTCATTCTTGCCTTCTGGCTACCGTACCGGCCAGAGAGATACAAGAGCTCTGTTGTGGATGTCACCCTGTGAGTACTCTCAATCCTATTGACGGGTGTGGGTTCGCTGACGACGTTCGTTAGTCCATGCCATCTCAGTCATTCGGACCTTCGTCCTTCCCAAATGGCTGGGAGGCAAAGTCGCTGTCTTCACATCGTCCGGGTCACAAAAGGACCAACTCAACGAACGGGACCCCCGGCTGCGAGCGCCATTGTGGCGTCGTCTCAAAGTCACTATCTGGGACTGTCAATGCTACCTTCATGTCATCTACATTATGTTCATCTTTGCGGCAGTTGGCGTCAGTCTCCACTCGAACATCACTAAACCGGAAAACGACACCACAAAGAAGCTTCTCATCGACGTGTTGACACATGCGGGCTGGCCTCCGATCATCTGGATGACCTGTGGTCTGGCATGCTGGGCGCCGCTCAACTATGCGATCTTCCCGCCATCCGTACCAGACAGAGAGGATCTGTTGGACAGAGATCCCGTCACCGGAGTCGCTTACCCCAAAGAGAGGTCGAAGAAGACTCAGACTTCATGGGTTGCGTGGCTCTTCGAGGCTCAGTACACCTTCCTCAGTGTCTATATGACCGCCGTGTGCGTCCTCTCCTTCTGGTTCTGATTGGTATCTGGTCCAATCCGGAGAACCATGTGTCTCGCTGCCAGCTGGTGGTGGGGATTGTAGAAATGGATTTGCAAAGATCTAGGCAACGCGGGATGAAATTGGGAGATCAAAGACCCCTCAATGGCCATAATCAGGGTGGTATAAAGAATCAACTCGGGTAGTGGTAGCCAGATCCCATCGTCTATATACTTAGACTAGATAATAATAATAGTAATCGTAAAAATAGTAGTTTGCTTTACTGAACTAACGAGAAATACCTCTTACTAGTTTCGATCGTCGCAAATCCCCGCCTCGACTCTGCCAGCTCGAGATTGCAAGCCAACAGCCTAGGACGAACTTGTGAGTTGAGTAGCAGAGCCGTTGATTCATTCAAGCTGGGGTCACCCCCGTCCTAGGCATTGATTTGATCCGCTGAGGCGAGCGCAGCGTCACCGTCACGAAACTCGGAGCGCGGTACTTGCTCCTCGCACGCAGCCGCGCACCGAACTTGAAGACGACAACATTGATGGGGTACAGCGCCGCGGAGATAACCCCGAACGTGGCGTACGCCCAGTTGCCGCCCAAAGCCGTGATCATCTGGATGATGGCGAGGGGAATCGCCGCGGCCACGAGCAGGCGCGTGCTCGCGGCGAGGGTGAGCGCTGAGAGCGTGCCGGCCGGCGGGTACGCGTCGAAGAGGTACGAGATGTAGGATATCTGCAAGTGGAACTTAGCAAACGGATCGCTCTGGCATGGGATATTCCAGTTTTTCCGAGGAAGTAAATGCGTACCAGAACCATCATGCTGCCCCAAACATAGACGCCCGTGCCGATGATGGGGAAGGGGTAACTGATCGTGGGGACAGTAGTGTATCCGACCCAGAAGAACGCCCCAGTCATCAAAATTCCACCGACAATCGCGGGCACAAGCCTGTATTCGATCTCCAACTGCTGCACCGTCTCCTGGTCCTTGCACTGCCGCGTCTTCGACAGGATCATGAACTGCTCTATCAATGTAGCCGACCCGGCTGCAAACAGGGCGCCGACCACCGCGGAGATGAACGCCAGTCCGGAAGGGCGGATGCCGAATCCATACGTCAGATTCAGAGCCGCAGGCACGGCGATGAACCATTGGAACGTTGTCCCGAAGACGATTGACACGTACAGTGTCGTGAAGATGACGATGGGTTCAGTGAATGCCATGATGAGGGGGTCAACGATGGTCAGCCTCGCCATGCGGCAGAGAGTGGTGCCCGACTCGGCTGAGGGGACATTATGAGGCCGGCCAGCACGCTTGGCTCGGGCGCGGATGATCTCTCGAGGGTACGTCTCTGGGACCCCGACACCGATCAAACACGCCGTGAGGCAGACCACCAGGGAGACATAGGACGTCCATCGCCAGGGGGTGCTAGGGATGACATTTCCAAGGATAATGGCGCCTAGATGAAAAGCATAAGTTTTTGTCCAGGGAAAGCAAGGCGGAGACGGAGATCTCATTACCGAACGCGGCCCCGAGATACGAGGCGAGAGTCAATCCCGAGTAGTACGTTACAGTCATCTTCGCAGGCCATACATCCGCGAATGTACCCTCGATGAGCACAAGACACGGGCCTCCTCCCAGACCGGCAAAGAATCGCAAGATTGCTAATGCGCCGGTGCTCTGAGCTCGCCCGGCACCGAGAACAAACAAGGCGCAAATGGGCAGGCTGACAAAGTACACCGGTCTCCGGCCAAATCTTTCTGTGGCATGTGGGGTGTAAATCGGTGCGAAGGCAATGCCGACAAGATAAAGTGAGAACGGGGCGATGGCGAGAGTCATGGAGATGTTGAACTCCGTCACCACACCGCCGATGCCGGTGGTGTACGAAGTGAGTCCAAATGCGCTGTCAAAATATCAGCTGAGGGAAAGCTAGAGGAGGAGTTTTCACACATACACTGCAAAGGCAAATAAGAATGCCACAACACTCGCGTAGACTTTTCGGTGCAGCGGCCAGTTCTGCGGGTTATCAGGATCCGAGTCCGGCATAGCATCGGAGACTCCTCTCACCACCTCATCCATCTGCTCGGTGTGGTCTATTTATGTCAGGTCAGACGACTCATCTGTCTCGATTCCCACATACCCCCTTGTCTGCCGATTGGGTGGTGTTTGATGCTCCATTGGAGGAATGATTGTCTGGTATTGTTGAGGCTCTCGGTCAAGATAGATATGGCAGACTGCAGACCTAAAGATGTGTTTCTGAATGGGTAGACAAGCATTTTCCTCAAAAAGAGCACGTCGTTGAACTTATACCTGCTTGAAGAAACGTGAATGGATCCTCCCCGAAATACCAAGAGCAGACCGGACCGTAGCCGGAGGCATGATGTCAAAACAAATCCATTTCCTTGCAACAACGCCTTGGAGTTGAGGCGGATTGTCGAGTCGCAGGTGGCGAGTTTCCTATCAGCTTCTGCTAAAGTCATGCCCTCATTAAATCCAACGAGCTGATCAACACGTAGCGGACTACTTGCGCCTCCCCACACTGGGAATTTTCACGTGCAACAGGCAGCGGCATCGCTGCGGATGGAGACCACATATAGATAGCATACACTGCCCAGGCATCCTGAAGCAAGAAATCATCGAGTTGTCTGTCCACAATGAGACCGACTGGCCGACAAGTGTCCCATTTTAGAGTTTTGAAGGGCCCATCGGTGACAAATCTGTCGCAGCAACGGATTCATCCATGGCTATGCTTGCAGAGGCGCAATCAAGGTCAGGGAGCGTATGTACCCTGTATCCAAGTGTGAGCCAGTGAACGAGGTATTGACCCGGAGACACTCTGCTGAAACATCGAAGGGGCCAAGGAGGATGATAGAGACAGCGGCTGAACATAGAATCTGAGCCCAGCAGATCAGTCAGCACTTATGTAATTAGGATTCGGCTAGTCTATTACTAGTAAGGTTTCCGTCCTTGGCACGACCTTATCTTCAGGCCTATGAAGGACGCAATGTTTTCCGCCCGATTGATTCCATCATCAGAAGAGACAGCCACGGTGACCGTGCTCAGCCTTGCTGTCCGCCATGCTTTTATTTGCGTAAAGAAACACGTCAGCCTATTCGAACTCAAGCTGCTGCAGAATCCTACATGCAAGCGTTGGAGCCTCTTGGGTTCGCACACTTTTCGCGCACGTCTGGGCAGAGAACAAGTGTCTCGAAAGTAAGATAGGTCGGAATGGAAGGGCCCCTGGCCTTATCCCGTCGGCTATAAACAAACCCCAGGCGGGCTCAGATTTCCAGAAGTGTTCATCTTCCACAGCCATCGCATCTACCCGTCTATGAAAGTTTGATTGCTGTAGGTGAACATCCTGCTTTTCACGAGCTTGTCATATCGAGGCAGCAAATGGAGAGCGTTCCACCTGAACCCAACTTGTACAGCAGTAACCATCCCAAACACGAGGTTCGCATTCTGACGCATGATTACAAAAGCCCAACTCTGGCTGGTGTCTCCCAATCAGCCAATCAAGCCAAGTTCAACACTGCCCGAGGAAGGTATTGACCTTCGTCGAGGGATCTTAGGCGGCAGAGACGTGAGCAGGCATACTTTCGCAAACTACAAACTGAAGTGAACGAATCTTGAAAGCAAACTAGTAAAACACAACGAGAGAAAACTACAAACCCCCGACTTATATTTGTAGGGACAAGGAGTGGCTAAGGGTGAGCTCCCCTGATCTTGTGTCTCTCCTATCCTGCATATGCGATTTTGGTTGGCGTCTTTGCCGTCAATTATATCTTGTTGCCTGCCAGTCTCCCAACTTTGCAAACATTTGCCGTGATAATACTACTTCACAGGGACAGCGCCCAACCTGAATGGTATGTGAAAGCAGGAATCACGGGCCACCTCCTTGCAGAATCGGAATGTGAACAACGGTAAGGAATCCATATGTCTCAAGGCTTGACTATGGCCCAGTCCATTTGTGCCGAAGCCAGCGCTCGATGTGCCTTGATGGCCTCGAACGTGGGAAGAAGAAAATAATAGTAAGAGACAACCGCCTTGTGGGGCGTCGCCGACCGAGACCACCGAAAAGAACCCCCCGAGTCGCTTTTCGGGTATAATCAACCTGTCGATCCTTCAAAAGATATGGCTTCCCATCCCTAGTGAGTCTAGATTTTCAAGCAGCAGTGGTATCCTCATAGGACCCGAGCATATTGCCTGTCCGCTGATATCTCCTCGGGGACTGAGCAGTGGGCCAGGGGCGACCGAAGCCGTTGCAGTCTCGATTATCATCAACGGGGACTACTCAAGTTGCACACGCGGCCTCCATGTGGAAAGTACTGAAACTGTCCCGCAGGTTGGCCACATCCACCGATGCGAAGGGAAATGTCCACGGATTGCCCATAATTGGCAACCAGCCAGCAGTCCAGGTCTAACTTTGCCGCATGCTGTTGGGCATTACCCCAGTTACCTTCTGAAGTGGCCAGAAGGACACAGAGAGGAGATCGGGGAGTCCAACCACGACCCCAGAACAATCTCTTGTCTAGACACGCAACGTCAACGGATAAGGTAATGTGCAAGATTATGGAACTGTGTGTGTGTGGACACTGCAATAACGGTACTCTGCCACCGCAGGGCTTTGTACCTGCCATGGTCCAACACTCACCGGCCCGAATCAGGGTGGGAGCCCCAGCTTTGCCCAATTGGGATTATGAGTATCTCTACAACAGCCGGCCAGGTGTCTGCTATGATCGAAGTGTCGCATTCGGTCGATGCGGAGAACTTCGCAGGTTGTGCTCTCCCGAACGTCGAGTATTAAGATTCCTGGAAACGAGTCGTTGGAATTCCAACCCTTAATCACCTTCTGAAATTGTTAGTCCTGCGAAGACCGAGGTGCGTGCTTGGTGACGCAAAATCAAGCTGCACCTGCACCCGTATATACCGGAGCTGTTCGCTAACACGACTTCATTCTCGAAGCGAACACGAGTTCTTAGCTAGATACATGTTTCTACGATCTAAGACCGGCATATACGACTCATCCTGGGGTATCCACACTTATGGGTGTCTGTCATGTCTTGTGCCTTGCTAGTATTCCATGCGGGAGCATAAAGCCTGGAGCGTGGAAAAGGCGGTATCTGGGGTTGCCGTTTTCGGCAAATGAATTGCGCACCGGTCCAATTCAAGCCAACGGCATTGGTGGCCTCCACCACATCCAGGTGACTGGTTTAAACGGGACACACGTCTTGATATAATTCGGTTAGAGGCCCAAGCTGCTTCATCCACCAAAAGTACTGATCCCCGCACGTCGGCTTCAAACAAATGGCCGAATACCCAGCCATCTGGGGTTCCTCTACTTTTGCGGAGACTCGATCATGCCGATAATTACGCTCAAAAGAGACGGGTCTCTCGATCTTTGCAGATCAGAGGTGAAACGTGGAGATCCTCGAGATAGTTGAGATGTTGGTAGTGTACTGAGAGCTCCGCCGCAGACTGCATTTTCCCATGCGAGGGCTTCGGAAGTGCGATCCTAGCCGCACCCCGACCCTGGCGTTTTGGATGCGAGCTGCGATGGACCTCTTGTTTATCACGAGCGATCTACGGTGAACTCGTACCACGTTGGCCACAGTTATCTGCGGGTCCCCCATTCACCAGAATTGAACATCCCAATCGACTCAACTTCCAACAACTCTTTCTCGAAGCACAAATTTTGACACACGAACAGTGCCGATGACAAAACGTCTGGGATGAGCAAATGGATTGGCATTGGCTCGAGAGTCGGCCACTGATTGACTGAACGAGGCTGGGCTCTTGGAGCTTTCACCGAACTGGTTTCCTCCTGGAGCCAGGGTGCATCTAGGAAGCGTCGCCCGCATATGTTCAGTGTGTCAGTGGGTCATTGCCGGCTTTTGGCTTAGTCTGCTCCAGCATTTTCCCCAGACATCCCCCATGACGCCCAGGAAATGGTAAAGCTAGGCACACTTCCCACCTATCACAATCTGGCAGTGGAATATCATTCGCCCCTGCGTGGGGCTCAGTGTGCTCCTCCTCGACGACGGCGAGCCCATGCCAGAATCGTCAAGGTGCTCCGGACTATTCATCTCCAACTGCCTTAAAAGGGTTTTGGCCTTTTGATGGGGTTCCTCAGATATATCAACTGCCTCTCCGAGGGAGTTTCGAGGCTCTATCAACCTCACCTGATCGTTGCCTTTGGACATTTGCTGGCAGTCAGAAGCTCACCACCACAATGGCGACCGCAAGGCCTGATAACATTAGGGCCCACTGGAAATGCATTACCGCATGCACCTTGATTAGCATGTGTCCATTTCAATATGGAGTTGATTTTGGTATCATCGGGGGTCTGCAGGCTATGCCTGGGTTCTTGGACGTATGCTTGTCCAGGATGATATGCTTCCAGGAACATGAATCTAACGATGAATAGGTGTTTGGAGAGAAAGATCCGACCTCGCCTATCGGACTGAACATTTCTCACACACGCCAGCAGCTGATCTCATCTCTCATGATCCTTGGCGCCTTTATCAGCTCTTCCTTTGCTGGTCCCGTTGCGAAGTTCATCGGCCGAAAGATGTCCATCTGGATTGCGGCCCTTCTTTGTGTGGTGGCAAATATTATCATGATGACCACTACGAGCATTGGAGCTCTTTATTTTGCTCGTTTCTTGATCGGCATTGCCAACGGCATGCTCATGACATTCTCGCAGCTCTATCTCCAAGAGTGTGCCCCTGCGAAATATCGAGGTCTTGTCATCGGCCTTTTCCAGTCTTGGACGTCGATTGGTACTCTGGTCGGCACCGTCATTGATAACTTCACTGTCAAGCTTTCCGGCAAACAGCAATACATCGTCCCCCTGGGCATCATCTACATTGTACCAGGCTTTTTGTCGATTGGAATGCTCTTTATCCCCGAAAGCCCTCGGTGGTTCCTACTCCACGACAAAACCGAGCAAGCCCGCAAGGCCCTCAATTGGCTCCGCCCTTATCCCGAGACAGTTGAGAACGAGATCAAGGAGATCCAAGATGCCATCTCGGCCGAGCGGGCCTTGGCCACGAGCGCTGACGTCCTGGATATGTTCCGCAACCCCGTCGATCGAAGACGCACTCTTCTCGCCGTCGGAGCTGTTTCCCTCCAGGCGGCCTCTGGTGCCATGTATATGATCTGTATGTTTCCCTGCCTAGGAGTAGTCTGAGAACTGCAGTGCTAACAGGACAATCTACAGCGTACGGCACTTATTTCTTCGAGATGGCTCAAGTCGGTTCAGCTTTCGAAAACTCGTGCATTTTGGTTGCAGTTGGTGTGGCTGCCATCTTGATCAACAGCGCCGTCATCACCAAATGGGGCCGGAGGCGAGTGTTCCTGACCATCGGCATGATCCTCTGTGGTATCACGCAACTCATCATCGCCATTGTGTACGACAAAGAAGGCCCCGGCACTTCAACCGGACGGGTGAGTTTACTCGGGCAGATGCCGACGAGTTTGTTTTGATCCAATATGCTGATGCAATCCGTGCAGGTTATCGTCGGCCTCTCGGTTGTCTACATCGTCGGGTACAATGGCATGGTGGCCACCTACGCGTGGCTTTGTGGAGGCGAGTTCCCGTCGCAGCGTCTCCGAAGCTACACCTTTGGCCTGGCGGCGTCGATTGGCTTTTTAGGAGCGTGGCTCGCCACCTTCACGGCTCCCTACTTCATCAACCCCGATTCTCTGAACTGGGGCCCGAAGTACGGATACATCTGGACGCCATCTTGCCTGCTCGGTGCACTGTGGACGTGGTTCTACCTCCCTGAGGTGAAGAACAGGACCTTTGAGGAAATCGACGAAATGGTGAGTTCGAGCAAGGATGCAACACCCGAAGAGATTCACATTACTGACACGGTACTGTTGTGTAGTTCGAGGCACGCCTTCCCGCCCGACAATTCCGCAAATACAAGTGTGTGGGATCGGTTGCCGCCGTGGCCATGGCTGCGAAGGAGGATGGAAGCAGTGCCAGCGAGAAGGACCATGGTGAAGTCAGCCACCGGGAGGTCATTTTCAGCAACGAGAAAGTTGCCACAGAGTCTGCCGTTGCCATCGGTTGAGCGTGTGCGTCTGGATACACCGACTGCGAAGCATCAGGCGTCTCGAAAGCTTCTTCCGGATTCGACAGCCGCACGAGTTGCTGGGAGTCGGTGTGCGGGTCATAGTCCTGTAACCAGCACCGCGAATAATGTATGCCGTGAGAACAAAGCGTGCAAAGTCAATGAGAAAAGCGATCCAATTACCACGTTCTGGCCCCCATGCAAGCGTCTTCGCTTCACTCGTGGTTGATCTGAAGCCTCGTGTCAGAAGGAGTCGGCGGAAGAGCCTAACAGCCTTCCCGTAGGAGTCTATTCCTCAATGGTCGCGAGACACTGCTGGAAGCGGCCATTTCTGTCATCATTTGTCCTTCTTGTCAATATATCTCGGCCAGTCCTGTATGCTCCTAGTGTGACTCGGGTGATTGGACTCCAGACATGTGTTCCATCTCCATAATCTTTCGCGCCAGGATCTTTTCACTTCTGGAGTAAGCCGTGCTCTGACAGGTTCAACATGCAAGGGGCCAAGCGGTGTGAGGTGTGAGTGGTGGTGGTGGTGGTGGTGGTCGTCGTCGTCGTCAGATTCTTGTTTGCAGGGTGGGAGGTGCCGTGCGGCTGAGGATTCCAAGTTACCTGCGCCATGGGAACATCAAAAGGACAAGAGAAATCCCCCCACCTAATTAGTACCAGAGCAGTGCTTACCACCGATAAGAAAGTCAAAGAGACGTCAACCCGACAATCTCCCAACCACATGGCTGGATAAGCGAGAGGAGCGCAGTTGGGCTGCCATCGACACCACCATCATCAGCTTACGGATCGGGGGCTGACTCAGGGCAATCCCAAGCGCGTCTAGGCTCTCCTGGGCTCTCTTTGGGCTCTCTCTCAGGGCGTCACGGCCAAAAAGTGAAGTGATAAGTTGAGCTGATTGGGAAGCCAAAAGTGTCACCATCCTTTCACCTTAAAACCCCCAGTTTGACTTAGATCTAGAAAAATGGCTCCCACGCCCTCTGTTTGTGATCCTGCCTCTGCTCACGCGGCTGAGGTCTGTCACACGCCACCCTGGAGCCAGACATGTCAGTAGATCCCATGTACGAATATCTCATTATTGGAGCTGGCAAGTCGAACGAACCTTCCAATCATGCCCTGCCGATCGCTAACAGTTGGGATCAGGCCCCTCGGGTCTATGCGCCGCAAAGACGATCCGCGAATGCGAGCCTGAGGCTAGGGTGAAGATTCTGGACTCTGTAGGTGGATGTCGCTACGGCTGGGTTTCAACGAATGACTGATTCAGTCTCTGTCAGAACAAAACGGTCGGCGGTGTCTGGTCCAAAGAGAATATCTATCCTGGCCTCAAGACGAACAATATCCGTGGCGGCATTGACTTCTCCGACTTTCCTATGCATGACGGTTTTGGCGTCCCCCAGGGTCAACATGTCTCCGGCGAGGCGATGCACGAGTACATCAAGGCCTATGCCGAACACTTCGGCCTGTTGCAGTTGATCGATTTCGAATCGACCGTCGCCGAAATCCGGAAGCTCGAAGGTGCCCAAGGCTGGAACGTCAAACTTGGCTCAGGTGCCGACTTGCAGGCGCACAAGTTAATCGTCGCGACGGGTGTCACCAATGTGCCACACAGACCAGACTTGAGTGGCGCCGAAGATTTTGGTGGTCCAATCATGCACTCGGCGGAATTGGGAATGAAAGGCGGTGCTCTTACTGACAACCCCAATGTCGAAACGATAGCAGTGCTCGGTGGAGGCAAGTCTGCCTACGATGCCGTCCATCTCGCGGGCAAGGCCGGCAAGAGAGTGGAATGGATCATCAGGAAATCGGGCAAGGGGCCTGAATGGATCTTCCCTGCCCATACCATGGGGCCTCTCCAAGCAGTGCGAGAAAAGCTCCCAGCCAGGAGATTCGTCTCCTTCTTCAGCCCTTGTCTGTGGAATGACGGATTTGGCTGGATCAGAAACTTCCTCCACTTCACCAAGCTCGGCAAGGCTATGGCACAAGGCTTCTGGGCTAATCTTCACAAGGCGACACTGGACGACTGCGGCATGCTGAAGGATGAGAGAACCAAGGTCTTGGAGCCGGAGCAGAGGTAGGTCTCTTTTGTTCAATCTGGAATTTACACCGCTTCTGACATCCCCCGTATAGCCCGTTCTGGTACGGCACCGCATCCGGAATCTACAGCTACGAGAAGGACATCTACGAGATGCTCAAGACCGGCCAAGTACGTGTCCACCGCGAAGATATCCTCCGCCTCTCCAGAGGCACCATCAACTTTGCCAGCGGCATTTCAGTCCAGGCCGATGCTCTGGTCACCGCGACAGGCTTCTCGGCAAAGCCCACGCTCAAATTCATCCCGGAAACCATCCACGCCGACCTCGGTATCCCGTCGAGCAGTTACAGCCAGGCGCAGTATAACTTCTGGCAGGACCTGAACGACAAAGCTGACTTGACTATCGCCTCCAAATTCCCTCGATTAGTTGCCGGACCGTTCAAATCACCCACCTCGACCGTGCTCCAACCGTTCAACCCCGGCATGGATCGCGAGGCCAACTACACGCCCTTCCGGCTCTACCGCGCAATCGCACCACCCGGCCCGACTCGCGACGGGGACAACTCGCTCGTCTTCATCAGCATGTTTTCGAACCTGGCGAACACACCGCGATGCGAACTACAATGCCTGTGGGCGTACGCGTACCTCAACCACAAACTCGAAATCGACCCGGCCACCGTGTTCGACGAGACGGCTCTGATGGCACGATACGCTAAACACCGCGCCCCGTACGGCCACGGCCGATTCTTCCCCGACCTGGTCTTCGACCAGGTGCCGTACATGGACCTGCTCCTCCAAGACCTCAAGCTGAAGTACTGGCGGAAGGGAAATTTCTTCGCCGAACTGTTCAGCCCCTACATGGCTAAGGACTATAGGGGGGTCGTACAGGAGTGGATGCAAATGAATTTGAAGTCGAAGCAGGAAGAACCATCAGACAAATCGAGGTCGTCAAAGATCAAACAGGTCAGAGATTTAGAGCGGGAGCCGCTTCTGACGGCCAAGGTGGCATGAACAATTCTCGCTTCGCACCGCGGTGCTTCCGCTTTCAAAACTCGATCGTCACCGAGTCGGATCATTGATAGACGGGTTGGCTCGACTACTTTGTCCTTTTTCACCGAAATTCTGCGCCATTGGGGTTCCTATAGAGCATCCCGACTTTGTACGTCCCTTTCTCGTGACACCGGAATGAATGGATAGATGGATCGGCATGAATGCAAGGGCGTATGGCGTTGGGTTCAGGTGGCTGTTTGCTTCATTTATTCCTGCCCGTCCTGCATCTTCCCACTGTCCCAAGATGACCTCCGCGCATCCACCAAGGCCAGGCAGGATCTGCTATCTGCGGCGCACGAGAAGGGCTGTTTGTTGCCCTGGATCGAAATGGTCTACGTGGCTGCAGAGTTTCTCGCCACATTCACCCCTTCAGGCTAGACTTTTCTAGCATTGCATTGCGTTGTGCGGCGTGTCGTGTCCGCGCCAGTGGAGGAGACAAGAGACGATATTATGCAGATGGAGGATGGGGGACATGACAGTGAAACAAAAGACTAGACGAGCTGGCGATCCTACTTCGCCCCCACGGCCACAATGTTCGCAAATGATGCCAATGATGACAATGAACAATCAACTACCTACCCACAATCAACGATGTTGAAATGAACCATGATCGAATCGATCGAGAGGATTTCCGCCTCTCTTTCTCTTCTTCTTCTTCTTCTTCTTCTTCTTCTTCTTCTTCTTCTTCTTCTTCTTCTTCTTCAGCAGCAGCAGCAACTAAGCGGAATCTCCAAGAGATAGATAAGACACGTTCCCCAATCAAAGAAAGGACGATAATTGGGGGGGGGGGGGGGGGGGGGGAGAAATTTTTTTTCGGTGTTTTTCCCCTGAAACGGGCGCCTCCAGTTTCCATAACAATCAATTTTTCCCCCTTCAGAGTTGATATCCCCCGCCATCTGAACCTGAAGAGACAGAGAGAGTTGGTCCAACCGTTGGATTGATTGACTCATTTCCATGCCACAGTTCCTCCTGTACGGGTAGAGTAGAGTCGGTAGAGGACAGGCAAATAGGCACCCAGATAGAGGGACACAAAAGAGCGAATCTTTGGAGTGGAATTGAACAGTACGTCAGTAAAACAGTCAGCATTCTTATTCTGTACATAAGCAGCAAGCAAGCAAGCAAGGAACGCTCGTTCGTTCGTTCGTTCATGGTCAAAAACGCCTGATCCCAGGAAACCTCCCAAAGAGGATCCATCCCAATACCCGATATAGTAGAGGAAGAAAAGAACAGACAGATGTCAATATGAACAACAAACCATAACAACCATGACAGGCCGCCACGACAAAGAGAAATTCATGCAAAACTCCTTGGTCACCGTAGTAAAACAAGGCCCCGTGCTAGGACAAGTCTGTAACAAACCGGGAAAGACCCTCAGCAACTAATAAAACTCCCTTTCATCTTCGTCTCGTTTGTATCATACACTGCCGGCAATGAGAGCGTGATCTGACGTTCACGTTTTCTCTGCATATCTCGGCTCAAGACCCCTGTCGGCCTTGGTGCCAAGCATATCGCATGTTCTTGTTGTGATCGCTGTACCGATCGGCGTGCACGGCATCCGAGTCGACCAGGGTAGTAGAGGAGGCGGTTGGCGGCGAGTACGCGTACGAGGACGCAAAGTCGTGTCCCTTGCTGTCCTTGGCGTAACGGAGCGTCAAGCTGCGGCTGCTCTCGACAGCGACGTCGGACTCGGACGTCGAGTGCGTCGACGACGACGACGACGACGAAGAGCGGGAGGCACTCGTGCCGTACGGGTACGTCGAGTGGAAGTCGTAGCCCTTGCCGTCCTTCGCGTACCGGGCGCAGACGGTGGTGTCATGGAAGCCTTTGAAGAGAGAGGGCTGTGTCGAGGATGAGGATCTGATGGAGGCACCGCTCGAGGACAGTCGAGAGAAGACAGATGGGCGCTTGGATGTCGACATATTAGATTTGATATGATAAAACAGGGAGAAAAACTAATGGTATGCTTCGATTAATATGGACTTCGCAATTGAGTGTTGGTCTTTGTTTCTGCTGCTTGATCTGTAGAATCATCGTCCTCGACGGGAGAATCCAGGGTTATACTTATACCTTGAAACCCAGAGGCCTCATCTGGTATGCACAGTCAGCCATCCCCCAGACTCTGTCGGTCTCACCGTCTTGGGCACAACAGCAATTTCCAATGATCTCCCACCACACCGTCCACGCAATGTCATAGTGTCTGTGACATTCGGTGAGCTATACGAAGTTACAGGTGGCTGTGACTGCCACAGGTGTCAGGGCTGAGTCGGGACTGGAAAAACATCCAATCCGAACAACCATCAGCAGGAAGTCATCGCAAGGTGCCAGCAACCATGACCGAAGGAGCAACCGTCTCGGGCTAGGAAGGCAGGGGAAGGTGTCGACTGATTAATGGCAGGCTGTGTCGAAAGAGCACAGCGCCAGCCAGCCCTCAGCCAGCCCTAGGTAAGATTTGCTGCACCCAGCCCTCTGGCACGAAACCGGGCAGCCGGGGTCTGACTCAAAAGGAGACATTGGACGCGACGGCGTCGCAGCTGGCTTCCGTGGACGAATCGAGGCGGCAGGAACTTTTCGCTTCTTTGGCACTCAGGATGGTTGTGGTAACCGTTCACGGTTGGTTGCAGAAGGTTGGAGGGGCTGAGCGCGGCTGGGGTCTCCGAAAAACACGAAGGGTCTGTGCACACGGGGAATGTGACTAGTGGCATGGAATTGCGAACGACTTCCCTAAGATACCACTAGATGAGACGTCGAGCCTTTCCCTTTTCGACGGGCTCTCTCATCGGGTGGACGTGACCCTACAATTTGGGCTCCTAGCTATTGGCAGCACCTGGCACAATTTGGCCTTAACAATGACAGTAGGCCGCCGCCATCTCAGCTCTGGACTTCGTGTAGCATCATTCCTGGAACCTGTGCTGGCGGTGTGTCAGGCAGCCACTGGGAGGACCGAATGTTCCTGGACCCCGAGCAGACAAATGCATTTCCACATCATGCTATTTGACGTCTACCTCTGCATTAGGTAGGCCTTGGCCAACAGCTTTCGGAAAGATGGAGTGGTGGGCCTGAAAGGTTCGACCCTTCCCTTGACCGCATCTCGAGTACTGGAATCAGTATCGCGTGGCCTGCTTGAAAATTGGCACTGTCGTGAAATCATCGTGGTTCCATATGATCTCATTCGAAGAGCCAAGCTCAGCACCTTCATCGGTACTAGGCAGTCCTGCCTTTTCGTTCTCATCAACCTCGCGTTTCGACAGCCCCTTCCTATCTCTGGGGATCCAAACTTTGGGAGTTTTCGAGGTCATCGCCGGCAGGAGATATGCATTTTTGAGCTGTTCATCGCTGTAGGAATTCTGCTCTTCCGATTCACCCTCGGGATCCTGCAGCCACGGTCGCAGCGCCTCCTGTGAGGCGAAGAAGCGAGGCTCGAGTAGAGTGGCTAGTGGGTCGAGTAAGACCGCAGGGACTTTTCCTGAGCCAAGCTTGTAGACCAATGATCGATCGGTCTGGATGTCTCGTAAGAGCGGCCTCTCTTCGTCCTCGTCCGACAACACATCGACTGGCATGTACTTTTCCAGAGGGGAAAGGTATTTGTTGACAGTCAGATGATAGAGAGCGGTGACGACCAACAATACTGTAACAAGAGTGGATGGGCCAGCCGCCTTCTTGATCCCAAACAAACCAATCAAGCATAGTTCTGCCAGGTAGACCCCTGTCATCAAGTGCTGCAAGCTCCTCGTGTAGCTTTCCCCTCGTGTCTCAGTCTTGACTTGAACCACGTAAAGGAGATTGTAGCGGTAGCTCAAGTAGAACAGGAACAAGCCGACCGCTGCGAACCCCAAGACAAGAGGCGCAATACACGAATAAGCGATGGCAATGACCGCCAAGTTTGTGAATTTGGGATAGACGTTGAACCAGCTGATTCCTTTCATTTGCGCGTAAGTGTTGAATTTCTGTCTCGGAGTCTTGCTCATGACGTAGTAGAAGAACAAGAATGAGAAAAGATCACTATAGTTCAAAACATTCTTTGATGCAGTGCCGAGACCCTGAATGATGAAGTAGGTCAAATAGAAGTTCGATGCCTTCGGTAGGTTCTTTGCGAGCAAAGTTGGAATGGTCGTCGGTTGGTTTGCGACCTTGGTAGCTAGAGCGGCAGCCCCCGAAGAAAAAGTTGTAATGAGGAAGACTTGAACCACTTGGAATGCAAAGTACCACGTTTGAGCCCACTCGACAGCTGATTTGCTTGTTGGTTGGCCAGACAGCGTCGCCACATATTGGAAGAGATACGGTACGTAAGACACCACGGAGCTGAGTAGCAGTGGTGGCACCAGACCTGTGAGCAGTCCGAGGATAGGGTCCGGGAGATTATTGATGAATCGTAGAAAGTGAAATTTGTCCGTGAGGTAGTTGATGTTGGAGATTGTACCAATTATACCGACTGGTATGGACCAGAAGATTATCGTTGCAACAGCGAGCGCTGTCGCGATATAGGAGTATGTGATTCGGAGTGATGGGTCGAGATTGAGGTTTTTCCAGATGATCTCTTTTGGCTGGACGCCAATGTACTTTGGTTGCAATGTTAGGGGTGATGGATGTCGAACTTGCTGAAACGCCTGATGCGCACTAAGTTGGTCTTTGAATTCGACAAATATTGCTCCGGTTCTTTTGCCAGGTGTGCTGGATTCGGCCTGTCGAACTTTGTCCACTTCAGAAATCAAAGAGGTGATGTCTTCTCTCAGCCGCGAGATGCTGTCAATCTCTTCTCCGAGAAGGTATTTTGACTTATGCTTAGGTCGATGCGTTCCGTTAACCGGCTTCGGTTGCTGGCTAGAGCTTGCATCAACGTCGCCGCGGACATCATCATTGCTGCGGTTGACATTCTTCAAGAGCTTCAGTTCCGAGCCCTCCAGGCCATCAATCTTCTTGTCCCTCTTCTGAACCAACTTTTCCAGCTTGCTCATGTTTGAGACAACCCAAGACCTCACAGCATCCTCACCAAAGTATCGACGAAGATTTTCATCCCGAAGCCCCTCAGGAGGCACGCTTAAGTACAGGACCACCCGAGAAGAGAGTCGACTCGCATTTACAGGAATTGTCTGGTAAGCTTGACGAAGGCCTATAACGAAGAGCCTTTCTCTGGTGATAACAAGTAAAATAAATCCTGAGGTCAAGTATTAGGGTGGTCAGGTGAGTAGAACAGAGGTACCTTACCAAAGAAGACCCAGGCAACGGCGGCATGCGCATACAGTCGCTTCCCATCGGCGACGTTGCTGAACGAGATTCTGTCCAGCTGCGTCGCGCCACCTCCTCCCGTGGCGTTGACCGCAAAGAGAATGGGCCAGGTCAAACAGCAGCCCACCACGCAGATGAGGACAGTCAGTCGGAGAAACCGCAGGAAGAGATACGCCTCCAGGGAAGAATGGCGTAGAACGAATTTGTCGTCGAGCGCGCGGAAGTCATGCCACCAGGAAACGGACGTGTGGCTCGATGATGGAGTGCGATCCCTAGAGCCTGTTGGTATCTACCACTCGGCGGTCTTCCAAGGGCTTACTTGTGGTTGATGGTCCGGAAATACGTCCTTGGTGCGTAGATGTTTCGATACCTCGAGCGCAGAGACGCAAATGCTAATAAGAAAATGGCTGCTGTTATGGCCGTGGGAATAAGTGCAGCTCCAATGGCAGCAAACGAGGAGGAGTGTTGGCTGCGATGTCCGCCAGAATCTGGCGCCTTGAGAGTGTGTCAGCTGCGTGGTTTTCACAGAGCATGAATGCTTTCGCAAGCAAGAATAGTAGGAAACTTCCCAGGAGCCGAATAATAGCTCGAGCAGAGACTTCGTCTTACTCCAACTCTCAAGTCAACCCCCAGAAATAGGACGCCAGATAGGTATAACACCGGTTGACGCGGCAATGGTAAAGGGGGCATTTCAATATGATGATATAGTTGGGCTTCGATGGGCGCCACTTACATTCTCCTTGAAGGCGTCCATGATGAGTTCGAAGTGCGCCCTCCAGGTGGAACAAAAGAGTCCTATTGAACACCACACATTTGTAGTGCACGCCTATCCAAGCAGAAGGTAGTAATCTGCAAAGGGAGATGGTGAAACTGGCAGTTGGTCTTGAGTCTGGCGAAGAGGACGGAGAAGGCGATTCCCACAATGAGCAGGCTGAAATTTCGCGTTCCGATCTGACGTCATGGCATCCTCCTCACCACCACACACCACCATATGTTGCAGCCACCGTGCATCTATACCGTCTGAACACGGCACATACGAACCTTTAGATACTGCTATAGGTCTCCAGTGCTAATTACGTGACTCGCTATATTGGTCACAAAAGGAAAAACGAAACTGCAATGAATGTCACAAAGAGTGGTTGTATTAGGTATGATAATGTCCATTTTCCGCCGCCCATCTGGTGTTGCTGGTGTCCTACTCCACGCTCTTCATAATGGTGTACCAACGTCAATGTTATAAAAATGCCCGAAGTTGCTTTTTATTCCTTCCGACCACTGAAACTCCTCTTCCAGTTAGACATCCGGCTTGAACTTCCTCCGGACGGTGAGCTTGGGGACCCGGGATCTTCGTCCTCAACCATCGCCAGGCCTTGCGGTGCACTTGCCATAGAAGTTGTCCTCGTAGGGCTGACTGGTTCGCCTCCGGAAAATAGTCGCTCACTGACCCGTCGGGCAAGCCCGGTACCTTTTGCGTCGGGGTTGAAGGCTGGCCGCTGAGCTTCGGGTTCCGGTGGCACGTGGTACTCCCGTCGAGGGCCATCGACGGGGGCAATATCCTCGGCCATAGCGTCTTCATAGCTGGGTGGGGCGTCGTCAGGGATATCTGATTGCTCATGCGGGTGGTAGGAGCCCACTGGAGCAGGGTACGAGTTGATCTCAGACAAAGGGGTTGTCGGCGTCTCTAATGGAGTGACCGGTTGTGAAGACATGCCGTTCAGCTCGGGCGGCCTCGGTGGAGCCAGATGTGAAAGGGCAGGTTGAGGACGAGGATTGTTGGCCATGGCCTTCAACAGCGCCGGAGGAGGAGGGATGCCAGAGTAGACCAAAACCGGTAGACGCAATGGAAAGATCATCAGTTCGGGTCGTACGCCACTAGCCACAGCATGTGCTAAACCAACCGTGACCTCTAGTTCATACCGCCGAGAGATGTTGCAGGTATCAAATGTAGGGCACACAGTATTGGGGAGTGGGAAATCCTCCCACAGCCGAGAAGGGAGTTTCCACTCTTTCTGGCCTTTATCAGAAGGGTTTCCAAGAGGCATGTTCATGTTCGCCTGTGATATCAGTGGCCACTTGGTGGTTTCAGTTCTCTCCAGGTCAAGAGCCCTGACCTGCGTGTAGCCTATCAGTTCAATCTGCAACATCTTGAGGTAGGCGGTGGCTGAGCTGTCATTAAGCTTCTCAACCAATATACGGAGCGGTAGGGCTTCATTGCAGGTGATGATGGCAGGACTGGGAAGACGGGCATCGACCTGAAAGGCGGGAGGCTCCTCCTCAGCGGATGTGGCGGGCGAAGATTTTCTACCGAACAGGCCAGAAATCCTTTTCTGCGACTCGGCCGGGTATCTCTGGAATTGTCTCTTTCGCCTTGCAAACGTCTCCTCATGACGATTGGCAGGCCGAGGCGGCTCGATCGGTAGAAAATAGAAATCGGCAATCTTTGTCACAGATTAGATGTCAAATCGGCGAAGTCATGCTTGGAGGGGCAGCATACCGCTCTGATATTCTCCTGGAAAAATTTAGGGCGGACGACAGTCGCCTTCACATAGTACTTGATTTCCGCTTCACCAGGAAAGAACCCACCCAGTGAGGGCGGCAGTGTCTTCTTCACATGTCTTGTGGTGTCGGGTGCGAACTGAACATTCACATGACCAAGTTTAATGTCTTTCAGGGGACTAGGATTCTTTTGGCAGTCGTTATTGATAGGGATCTGTCCAGCACTGGTCAGCCGCAGTCACCGTGGGGACCCAAGGGCAGTTTCTTCAGGGGTCGGACCTTGAACTCGAACGGATAGATGTACTGCCCGGCGAGGAGGGTGTACGCAGCACCGCTACTTCTTTCTTGAAGCTCGGGTGTCGGGAAGAGGGTGATGACTTTATACAAAAGCTGGAGCCTGATGTGTGAGCCGAAGCTGCGGTGGACGGGAGCGATTCCTCTCACCAACCTTGTGCAGTTCTAGCTCTGTCCTCTTCTTGTCCGAGCGCTCATTGTTGGGGAACTTGGGCACAGCAAGCCGAGTCCGACTTTCACCCTCGAGCTTGACCGTAACTGCGGAGATGGTGGCATCGTTGGGGAGGATGAGGATGACGGTGCCGGAGAGGAAGTCGAGATTTGTGTAGCACCTCTGTACGGGCTCGTCAAATTGAATGCGGACCGACATCGATCCCACGTAGATCAGGCATCAGGGCGTTGAGGTTATCAATGGAGGAACCAGAAGCTGTGCGGGGGGTGGTAAGATGTGATATGACCATGTGGTGTGGTGGGAGGGTGGTGTTGGGTGAGGAGCGGAGCGGAGATGCGAAACGCGGAGAGAAGCACCAGAAACCAGAACCAGGCACCGGCACCAGAGAAGCACCTGAAGAAAGAGGCACACGAGGCACCACCAGAGCCACCAGAGCCACCAAGAGGTTTGGGTTGACTTCGGTCATTAATTATAGGCAGCTATTACGAGCGGGCGTCGGGCGTCGTCCAACCGCAGCAGGTTGGCCGGGCTTGAGGCGGGGCACCGGAGTAACAGGATTTTCCCGGCCTGGACGTCAGTTTATGCAACCGGCATGTGCATTCATCATATTTCGCTGAGAAACACCCATAGCAGGCTTCGAAAACCCAGGTCAATGCTTCGAAGAAGCCGTTCAATGTAGACTAAAGCCCCCCGTGTCCACATCCCGGTCTTCGGTTGCCATGCGCCGAGACCACGACATGTACCATCTCGGATGAAACCAGCTCACCCAACGGCGCGCAAAGCAACCAAGGCTCGCGAAGCCGTCAAGCACACCAAGACATTCTCCGGCTGCTGGACCTGCCGTGATCGACATGTGAAGTGTGACGAGGCGAGGCCCCATTGTGCACGATGTCTCAAAGGCGGATTCCAATGCCAGGGGTACGGCATCAAGCTCGTCTGGGTCGACCCGGACAGTCAAGAACGCGAGCAGAACATCAGACGGGTCATCGGCGCACCCGCCATCTACGACGACGGATCGAATTTTGTGAATGTCGACGTCCACGAGGCGTTGGAGGAAATAGAGAGTATCTCGCCAGGAGCAGCATGTCTGTCATCGGGTCCATTCTCGGTCTTTCCGGTGCAAAGACCCGGAACGAATTATGTTGAGCCATCTCAGGGACCAAAACTGCTGGCACTTCCAAACCGCGAAAGAAGATGTTCGGCTTCGCCAACAGATTGGTCAGAGGGGATCTCGCACGGCAATGGAGATGACCTGATCGAAGTCGTCATCTCCCCATCCACCATCCATCCCCGAACTCCATCCTATGCCCCAGACACGCCCACACAGTGGCCATCAAGTCCAGCTACCCCGCTAACAATACGCCATCTCGACCTTCTCCCCCGGCCTGCTGAACAACGAGACCTTATCCACCACTGGACAAACTTCGTCTGCTGGCACCTAGTTCCCGTGGACCGGCCGGACAACCCTTTCCGCAGCGTCTTCACGCCTATGGCTCTGGCGGGCCTCGCGTCGCCATCAAACCAATCCAACGGACAGATTGCCCTGTTCCACGCGCTGTGCGCCACCTCGGCATTCAGCCGCGGGCAACTCCTCAATGGGGACAGCAAGAACTTCACGCTGGCGATGAAGCACTACAACCTCGCAATCATGCACTTGCGCCACAGCCTAGTGAATTTCAAGGACGGAGATAATGAGCTCGGTCAAGCTCAGCTCCAACGGGGCTCCATCCTCGCCACCATAACTATGTTCTCGGCAATGGACATGATCACCGGTCGTTCGAGCGAATGGCGTACGCATCTGCAGGGCGGAGCCTCCTGGCTGTCCACGATAGAAAAGAGCGAGTGGGATCGCGACAAGTCCTCCTCGATGGTCTACCAAGGTTATCTCGCTATTGCAGCTCTGTGTAACATCAATCTCCCCTCAAGCATCGATGTCGAATCCGAAAGTTTCCTAGGGGACGAGAGAAACTACGTGCTCGATCGATTCTTCGGCCTCACCCGTCCGATACTGAGACACATCGTAGTTATGAATAGCCTGATTAAGCGCATTTCTACCACAGCCTCGGAGCCGCCAACCGCCGAAATGTTGGACGATCTGGAAACCCAACTATACGCCCAAACACCGTCGAATCTTGACCTCTCAGGCCTTCCACCCCTTGCGCAATCCCTAACCCTTCACCACGCCTACGTCTTCTACTATGCCTCGATAGTATATTTCCTTCGTACAGTTCGACGACTCCCTCCGCAAGCGCTGTGCATCCAGAATACGGTTTCGAAAGCTGTTACGCACCTGGAAGACATCGAAAGTTTGGGGGGTGATAGTATAGGCTGTACATTAGTTTGGCCGCCGTTCATAGTGGCGTGCGAGTGCCTAACCGAGGAAATGCAATCCCGGATGCTTAACTGGTATAGAGTGAAGAGAAGGCATGGATTCATGAACCTGGAGATTTCGAAAGATATTGCGAGAGAGTTATGGCGGAGGCGGCAGCTGGCGGGCGACGGAGCTGAGGCGGATGCTGATATACAGTGGCAGGATGTTTTAACGGAGATGAAGATGGATATCGTCCTTGCCTGATTGAGTACATCGAGCAACCCGGCTGAGAAAGACGGGCTTGATGTCGTGAGGATCCAGAGTTCAGCTCAGCCAGCAAATGGGTTGTTGGGATTGATGCTAATGTTCGAATTTGCTGGGAATGAGGAATCGAATGACGAGGGTTGTCTGAATCGTGAATCAAGCCGCTGGAGCAGCACATTTATCGACTCCGTGAGGATCCTCTCAACGGACTCCTGCGCCATAGATGTGGTGGGTACCCGCCCGAACATCCTTTGGTCGATCTCTGAGGCTAGCACCTGTCGCCCTTCGCGCTCAAAAAAGGCAATGAAGTCTTGCACTGTATCCGTATGTGTGCTGTCAACATACGGATCCAAGGGCAATACCGAGTTTGAGAACAGAATTTTGTAGATGTCAAACCATGCATCTGAGCGAGTTCGACCCATTCCACGCCTCTTGATCGCCGTCAACTGATCTTGGGTCATCTTCTCCCGGAAGGGAGAGCTCCGTGGTTGACAAGATCTCCATACAATGTGGGCATCCAAGAACTCTTTCGAGTCAAAGTTCGAGAAGCAGTCGGGCCGACGATGGACGCGATACAAATGCTGTTTCAGGCGAGCAATGTCCCTCAAAAAACAGCTTGAACATCCTCGATAGTTCTGTTCGAGCTCATTGCGTTCAGGGTACCGAGAAGGATCAAATTTCGAGTATGGGCAAGCCAGAAGTTTCGAGGCTGTAATAGTCGGCGATACATCGGGCATCGTGGGGATTTTGCTGCGTCTGGACTCTTGTCCTTCGTCGTCCGGGCGCAGTCTCTTCCGCTGAGAGGTCTGACACAACGGAGGCGTTGTGATAGAGGTTGAAATTCAGACCCCGCTCGTTTGACTAGACGTGCTCCGAGTAGAGCTTGTCTGCGACGAGCTTTTGGCGCCATCTCTGGGCGCGTCTGTCCGCTCCAGGTAAAGTGCAACGAGCATTGTGACGAGCGCAACTAGTGGCGTCGCTGATTTTGGTGAATCGCTGAAAGTCGCCCACACAACAGAATCGTCCCCCCCTCCCAAAAAAAGATGCTTCTCCATCAGATTCGATCCAAGATGAACACGATGAGTTCGAAGGGGACAGGGACAATGACGAAGACTGTAGGGTTGGGAAGACAATGACATTCTCTTGTGAATCGGCTGTTGCCCACTGTTCTTGAAATCGAGGTCCCGCATCTTCATCAGCGTTCTGGACCCTTTCAAGCCACTTGTCGACGCTTTCAGGCAGATGTCTTGTTAAATGATCTCCAGTCAAAACACCGAGCTTTATTTCCGGTGCCTCCGGAATAAACTCTTCAACAAACGATATTTCTTTGCTCAAAACGAGTCCGGCCAACGACTCCTGTCTGAGCTCGGCACTGAGAGGTTGTGTTTTGGGTTAAGGAGGCGCTGGAAAAGCCCAAGGGAGATCCCAAAGCACTGGGCACAAAGGTGATTGAGCGGGAAAAGGTTCGGGATGGGGCCGTGACATACTGTCAAAGGAAGAAGAGCGAGCATCGCTTTGACGGCAAAGGAAATTCTAACATGGGTAAAATTCAGACATATGACTTAGTTGAAAGGAACGAGACAGTGCCATGAAAGACATACCTCTCAAAAGTCACCAAAGTATTTTTGACGGATTCGCTCCATCGAAAGCTCTTGCGGCTGCGGATCCAAAAATCGATCAATCTCATGACCCCAGAAAGAGCTCTGAGGGTTGACCTGATAAGCAGTAGTGTATTTCCAGTAAGCTAGATACCATCCAGAGCTTTTCCAGTCAATGATCCCAGCAACCTGGCCTCCTCTCACTAGCAAATTAAGGCTGCTTAGATTACCGTGCGTAAAGACCAAGGGCCATTGTCCACTGTGAAGTTTAATGAGCTCATTAATCTCTAGCTTATTTCCCGGATCGAAGGAAATAACATTCCCTAGATAGCTGTGAAAATCGGCGATATAGCTAAACGGCCCGAATCGGGACGAAGAACCTGGTAGGCGACAATCGAATAGTTACCCGCCTTCAACATTTGCAGTACCCTGGCCTTGTGATGATGAAATACTTCGCATTTCTCGTATCATCTCTTTCAGCTGCGAAAGAACTGTTGTCTGTGACTTAGGGCTTCGATCTAATCATCTGTTGCCGAGCATGTCACCTTCAATTCTTTCCATCACGATATACGTTTAGCCATGGTGAGTGAATGCGCAAAGGATCTTGGGTACCAGGATCAACGTGTGTTCGGAAATGAAGTGTATGGCGGATGCCTCAGACAGGTTGACAAGCTGATCGTATTTGATGCAGATTCATTTCGAAAGGAGGACGCGGCCACCTGTGCAGTCGCCAGCGTTTGAAAAGTCTGACAGTGATAATCACAAGCAGGCAATAGAGTACTCAGTTATTGACTGGTGGTGACTGTGCCACGCAAGTAACGGCCGAACTGCTCTGAGCTCTCGGCACGCTCACGCAGACGGTGCCGCTTTTAAGACGACCTGTCCGCGACTCACCCTTTTCTCACTTTCTTCTCAATATCCTCAAGCAAAGCGTACTGGGTCAAGGCCTTTTCCATACCTTTGATACTGAGCTTTGATGAGGAAACATTTTTTTCCATAGCACTTGTAGATAGTCATGTCCAGTCAATTTGAGTAGATGCTATCAATGCGGATGAGAAATCCCAAGATTGTCTGGCCTCAAGCCTAAGTTTCATTGCTCGATTGATCATTGATTCGTCAAATCTCAAGAACTTGAGAAGGACTGTTTCTTCATGATTTTGCAATATCACATCACCGGCTCAAAAATGGCGTACATATGTGCTAGCACGATATGTAGCTTTGTATTCCATCCCAAAACTCACGAAATTCCCAGAACATGAAGAAAAAGAAAAGGGAGAAAAGAAAAAGAGGAGTGGAGAAATATGTATTAACGGCGATCTTTTTGAAAAAAATGATTAAGCCTGGGGTAAACTTTAGGCGTCGTCGATCTGCCTGTCCAGTGGAGCGGGGCCTATGGTAGTCAAGCGTGTCTAGATGACTCTCGTGAATCAGACGATGCATGTGTAATTGGACACATCGGAGAACTGCATTCAAGAGAAACGCGTGAGGAAACTAGTAGTGAGCAAATCTTGTTGCAACTCATGATGCAAGGACCGGCAATGCGTCCATTCTCTCATTCCTCCAATCCGTATAATAAAAAAGGCATGACTCTCGAGGCCTGCTGACGGGCAGTGTTCTCGCCTAGGAGATCGCTGAGGTCCGATCAACAAAGGCAGGGCCAGTTGGAGTGAATCGGGTGACCAGGCGAGCCGGGGGTGCGTATAGGGCGGCATCACCCTCGTCCCAAGGGAGGGTGAGCCGCGAGCAGATTTACACGCCTTGGCGTTTCATTATTATTGCCAATCGCCGTGCAGCTTGATACTGTACAAGTTGCAAGAGCTGAGCAAAGCGAAAGCCCCAAGCTCACTCTCCAAGTGTCAATATCTCCTTCTGTCGAGAAGCCATTGGCTTCCCTGTCGTCGCACTGGAGAAGGTGCACGTTGGAGAGCACGAAAACATTGCGACAATGATACACGTGGCAGAATTGCCGTCGGCCCATAGATTCCATTCTCTTGTTCTTCGATTACGCACTCAATAGACCAATTCCTTTGCCTTTCTTTCGTGTTTGTGCAACATGTATCACCTTGTCCGCTCCCTGTATCTCTACGCAACTAGCAAGCCAGGTAAGCTCCGCCCGACCGCAACTGTACCTTGCGAACGAGGCTGATCTGACCCGCTGGTAATCAGAGTACTCCATCATCCTCTTAGGCCTCGACAACGCAGGCAAAACCACCCTTCTCTCACAGATAAAAGCCCTTTTCAACACCACCGCTGACCCGGTCGCTGGCCAGACAGGCGATGCTCCCGCCTCAGACACCGCAGGTAACACTGTGCCCACTGTGGGCCAAAATGTCGCGACCATCGATCTGCCCGAGATGTACTTGAAGATCTGGGATGTGGGTGGACAAATGAGTCTGAGGAAGCTATGGACGAGCTACTACAAAAGCGCGCATGCGGTGGTATTCGTGGTGGATAGTACCGACCTTGGGAGTGGAGAGATCGACGAGTCGCCCAAGACGCCCGGGTGGCATGGGCGTAAGAAGAGTTATGTCGGGAAGAGCGGCGATGAGGACGAGCCACAGACACCGTGGACTCCGATGACGCCTATGACACCAGGGTATTTCTCGTCTGGACCGCCCCAGGGTCGATTAGACGAATGTCGAGCGGTTCTAGAAAGCGTGCTCGAAAACGACGACACGGCTGGAATTCCGATCCTGATCCTCGCCAACAAACAAGACAGGGAAGATTGTCTCGAGGTTGTTAGGATCAAGGAAGGCTTCGTGAAGAAAGTGTTCGAAGGGGAGAAAGGAGGAATGGTTCGAGATAGCCGTGTCCTACCAGTGAGCGCTCTGAAAGGAACGGGAGTCAAAGAGGCCGTCGAATGGGTCAAAAGCCGTGTTGTGTGGAACAAAGAAAGTCGTCCACCGATAATGAGGTGAACGTTGCCTATTTGATGATCCATGACCAATGCCATGTGTCGAGAGACCCTCTCAACTACCTTCTCGGGAGAAGTGAAAGAAACGATTATCCACAGCCATTGCAGAGATGCATCAAGCCGTCCAGGTCTCAAGCGCCTCGATCTTCAGCAAAGCAGCCGCAGTGTCCCTCGCAGTTACTTCCAAAGCTGTCCACTCGAACTGGAACACTTCATCGGCATCCTTCGTATCGAGCCTTGGGAGGGCCAAATTCGAAGCCTCGTCATTGTCCTCGCCAATCCGATCTGAAATATCCAACATAGACTGCTTTCGCAGCGTATCGGCGATTTGATTGAAGATCATAGGGCGTCCGACTACGAACCGCCTGTTAGCTGCCCCGGGATTTCTGAGTGCGAGTATTTGGACTTTCGCGAGATCGCGGACATCAATCTAATTACAGTCCATAGGTCAGCGTTCTCATTCCAAAAGGGGCCAATCCACTGGCTGTTGCGGGAACGGAGAGTTGTACTCACACATCCTGGAAACGCCGTCGCCGGCACCTTGCCGCTCTCGCTCTTCTTGCTGTTCATGATGGCATAAATCAAGCCATTGCTGAAATTGATCTTCTCTACTCCAGCCACCCGCTGCAACATTGGACCGAAAATCAAGGGCGGCATAAAGTTGGACACCGTGAAGGATGGTTTCTCTTCTTCCATGAACTTCCACAACGCTTGCTCGGCGAGCTTTTTGCCAACACAGTACGAGATCTGGAGTAAAGCGAGCGGTAGTTTTAGCAAATGTACTGGAGACTGAGGCCACCCTCGACTCCGAAGATCCCCTGTTTACACTGGCAAACCTTTTTTACTGTGTGACGACGGAAAGGAAACACGGGATACACTCACATAATTATTCTCCGCCTTCACCGCGTCTTCTCTGCCCAAGGGAAGCCACTCCCCATTCCCGAATACTCTGCTCTTGATATCTTCCTGGCTGCCGAGCGTGATTGCATTGAGACTACCCGTCACACTCACGGCCTTCACATTCTTTCCGTACGTCTTGGCACTCTGCAGTAAGCCCAGGTTGCCCAAGACGTTGGGTTTTTCGAAGGACTCTTCAAAGCTGGTGCCGTCGGGGATATCGACCATGGGCGCTGCGACGTGGACAACGAACTCTATGTCCGGGTGTGTCTGGAAGACAGAGTCGAAGGCACCGCGGACGGTGAAGTCGGGGACTGGGTGGACGGTAATCCTCGAGACCGGCCAGGAAGGGTTGTTGGCGAGCAGTAACTCGGCGGAGGAGGGTGAGCGGACTGCCAGAACAACGTTGTGGTTCTGGGCGAGAAGCTCATCGAGGACTGTAGCCCCCACGAAGCCTGAGCCCCCAGTTAACAGCGTGGTACTGGTGTGCATGCTGATGATGATTGGGAATTTTGGGGGGACTTAGGCGGAACTGGAAACTTCGCACTTCAGGCAAGGATAGTCATGAAATATGGAGGAAAGGCAGGAAGGAAAGGCTGTTGAAGTAGATTCTGTCCGAATTGAACTTGTGACACGTACTTATACTGCTGATTTGCTTCAGCCACTTGGGCATGCATTGCCATTGTCACCCTCCCTGCCATGACCCGCCCTAGCATTTCTCAGCACGGAATATACAACAGTGAGGCGGGGCCAATATTAGGTCAAAGCATAGCACTATAAGATTGCTGGCCTCAAAGGGTCGTACAGGCGGGCTTTTCGAGAACCCATTTCAAGAGGCAGTTCAAGCCAATGCCATGGCGGAGGTGCTTTGTCAGCCTTTCGGGTGGCCCTCATTGGACCATTTCTCAAATAGGCAGCACGAGATTGCCGCATAAGGACAGGAATGTTGAAGGAGTGCATTGTCCTTCAGATCATCTTTGTCCTGGAGTCGCAGAACTATCTTAAATGAGTTGTATTTCTTCATGATCGAATTTCCTGCGGAGGTTGCAGTCATATCCAGCATTCCTGGTGCTTATCAAAGCCGATGCATTGCAAATCGATGTTCATTTGCTTGAGCATCATGTCCATGGTGAAGCACTGGCAACACAAAATGCAAAATTAGTGCGCACAAGGGAAGGATCCCGACCTTTGGACTCACGTTCTCTTCAGGCTCGGTATCGCCCTCTCCATCCACACGTTCTGGTTGGTCAATTTCCTCCACCTCCTCAACGTCGTCCGCCCGTCTGCCAGTGGGCGCCTTCGTGTTATCGTCCTTCCACGGACGTGAGTCCTCTTGGAGCTGTCGTCGCCATTGGGTAACACCTCCCATACGGTCAATTCTCTCTTTAGCATCAGCAAAGAGCTCTTCTGCTGCCTCTTGAGCGATAGTCCGCCATCGGGATATCAGAGTCTGCAGTTCCACATCCTGCTTTGACCCTTCAACCTGAAGAGCTTCCTCTGCCGTCTGAAGAGACTGGCGCAGTTGAGTCAGCTGGATGGACAGTGCAGTATGCTGCTTCTGGAGATCCCTCAATCCTAATTCGGCAGGTGTCAGTCGAAAAGAAGATCGCGGCATCGAGACGCTCCGAAGAGATGATTGGATGTCTGGTTTTATGTCTAGTGATGACGGTTGAAGGTTGGAGGAAAGCCCTGCAGCCGGAACCTGGGTATGAGCTTGTTCAGCAGATGGCTGAGGCTGAGGGTTAGTTGAGCGAAGCGGTGAACGAAAAGGTTTGTTTAGGAACCCGCCAGGTTGGTGCAGCTTTCTTCTCTTCGCAGGATGCATTCCGATTCCTAGCCAGAGCGAATATCAAATAGCCCTTGCCGTTATTATCTCTGGATTACCACCACCATGGCCCTGACCATGGCCCAGCTTCTGTGGACGGGAAGACGTGGAAATAGGCAGAGGAGGCGTGGCTGTTGGATGACCCAACAGGCGAATTGCTCGGCGATGATGTGGGAAATATTAGTCGATGACAGGCGTATCGGCGGTGGCCAGCTTCAGTAGATACGGCGACCAAGATTTTCGGTGGATTGCTTCTTCCGGGCAGTTGACCAAGGTTGACCCAGAAAGTGACTGGCGAAGGAGAGAGCATCACGAGAGGGAGGCAAAAGCTAAAGTGGCCGCAGGACGCGGGAGTGGATTGACCGCGCAAGTGATAGAAGCCGCGCTGCCGCATGCGGCTAGCGCATCCACGCATTTTGCTCCTGACTAGAAATGCAGGCGGCCGGGCGGGGCCCTGCACGGACGGTGCATCATTGTTGTGTCTGACAGCCGTTCGCGCCGAGTCCAGGGCCTAATTGGCGGTAACTGGCACCATGGCCGTGCCCAGACTTCAAATGACCCCCCTGATTTCGCCCGATGCGGGTTCTCGCAACACCCAAACCGAAAAACCCTGGTCGCTTCATCCTTCTCTCTTCTGAGAGAGCAGCAAACCGCGCTGTGCCCTCTCACTGCTCGCCGCCTCCCGTTCTGCCGTCACACGCGCCTCTCAAACCCTCAGCCCTCTCACTTTTCTCTTGCGCTCCCCAGATCTGATCTGAGCCAACCCAAACCCAAACCCATACCCATAACCACGCAAAAATCCCAAGCCATGCCATCCAGAATGATCCGGCCACTTACACACAAAATCACACGCCAGGTCCAGCTCCAGCACCGTCTTTGTCTCATCCCCTTCAACTCTCATGCCCACCTCATCATCACTTTTTCTACTACTCATCATCACCCTTTCTACCCATCAACCTGCACTCACCCACCATGACCACTCGTCACCCGCCTATTCCACCCTTACCGACAACACACTACTAAGTTGACCACAATAATAATACCCTCGCACCTCAGCTTCACGCACGGGCAAATAAACTCAGCCACTTGCCAACTGCCGCCAGAACAGGCCTTACCAAAGCTGAACCGCTGACTGCACACACACCAACAATTCTGCCTCCCTACCGAAAACCTCGCTGCCGTTTTTCACCTCAACGCCTTTGAACATACCACCGTTCATGGCTATGTCCTCCTCAAGTACGACGGGTCGGTCACCCTCGGCCTCGGCCAAAGTCGACAAGAACAAAAAGCAAAGCAAGATAGTAACACTCAAGGTATCTCCGAAAATCCTGCGTGGCTTCGAGGAGCCTTCAGCCAAATCAGAAGAGCAGTCTACAGCCTCAGCAGCGTCGTCTCCTCCCGCTGCAGCCGAGGAAACATCGACTCTGAAAGTCCCTGAAGTCAATGACAATGCATCCGAGGCCGCCTCAACCCCGGCCCCGACGCCCGCCGATGCTGCCGATGCGTCCAATGGCGATGGCTCGAAGAAGCGCAAAGGAGGCTCACTCGCAGGCACCAAGCGAAATCTTGGACAAATGTCCGAAGTGAACGGACTACCAAAACCTCGAGGCAAACCTGGTCCGAAAAAGAAACCCAGACTGTAAGTACACACGAGCTCCGTGGCGGCACTGTTTCTGACGCCTGCACGCGCACATTACTGACTCTACGCCTGTAGTGATGACGGTACCATCGATCATGGCGGCCTCAAGGGTTCGACCCCCGCCGGACTTAATATTGGACACAAATTAGGCCCCAAGGCCAATCAAGGTGCCATCAATGCGGGCCTTCGTGCTCTCGATCGTTCTGGGAAACCCTGCCGCAAATGGAGCAAAAAGCCTTTCACTCTTAAGAGTTTCACCGGCGTGGTCTGGGAACTCGCTTCATGGCGAGGTACAGAGAGACCGCAGACGCTCAACGGCGAAGAGTCCAGCGAGAACAACCAAATCTCACAACAAAGTTCCAGCGACATCAAACCTAACGAAAGTGATGTCGCCATGGATAGCAATGCTGGCGATCAAGCAGATACCATGCTCATGTCGACGCCCGCCGCCAGTTCTCCGGCGCCAATGCCACCTCCATCGGCAGCCATTGCTGCTCAAGGTTGATTGATTGATCGTATCAGAAACGGCCACTTGTTGTCAGTGGTCCAGTCTTACCGCCTGGCGACGTCTGACGCCCCCAAAATTGTCGGCGAAATGGAATACATCTTGTCGCATTCCAAAAAGTTGGGAGCATTTTTCGATCCCTGCATTGTCATAATGCTAGAGCCGGGAGAGCCCAGAATGGCACCGGTCACAATGTGCTTCACCATACAGCATGGCGTTTTCGGGATCATGATTGTATTTTGGTTCTTGTCATCTGCATGCAAACCGGAGGATTATGTTTTGCAAGGGACTTGTACTACAATACGCAGGGGATCAACTCTTAGCAACGGTTCTTTGGTGGCATGCACCGGGGAAGGGGAAGGGTTTTCAGGTTGATCCATTCGGGCGTTTCTCTTGCTACGGGCTGTATGAATAGACGAGAATGAAGAAACATACATTGATCCAATCCCAGACATTCACGACCTGGCTCTCTCAGATGGTGTCATAGCGGCGTGGTGTCAGGTGTAATCATGCTGGCGTGTGCTTGGTCTGGTGCTCGTGCTGTTTCGGTCGAGGCGGCCCCCGCAACTGCTTAACTAGCAGTAACCACTTGCCACCCAACGACCGCCCCATAGGGACCTCTATTATTGCATCAATGATCTCCCTGGAACCCGTATCAGCACGATAACGGCATCTGCGATGCTCTTTCGTCCCTTCTCACAGGGTACCAGTTGATTCAGTCCTTGAAAACACCGTTGCTCGGGGTGTGAACGAAAGAGACGAGCATGCCTTGAGCCGAATTGTCTGCGCACTTTCCCACGTCTGACTTCCAGGCCAAACGACCTCCAGCAAACCCACCGACTGCACCACTCACCGCGTGACCCTTTCACCGATTCCCTCCTCTCGGTCTCTACGGAGGCGGCGATTTACCATCCCCGTCCATTACGCCCTCCGTTCTGGACCGCGATGACTGACGGCAGTGCGTCGGGCAGTAACAGCCGATCGAGTCAATTCGGTGGTAATGTGCCTCGACGTTTGTCATATGCTTCTGTAGCCTCAGGCGCAACTGCTCAAGCCCACCCAGCTCGATCCGGTGCGTTTTCCCATCTCGTGTCAACGATTCCTAGCGACCTGAGCCCTCCTATGTACCAACGAGAGCAACAATACCAAAGACGACATTCGGAGCAAGACCAGGACAGCCTCGGAGTCCACCACTGGCGAAAACCAACACCTCTACCTTCATACTCACGAAAGTTTGCCAACAACCCGAATCTCGGGATGAACGCAATGTCTCCCAATCCTTTCTTCATCCCTTCATATCTGCGACATTCTCGATACATGGCAAAGTTGGAAGCTGCCCACAAGGCCAGGGTGAAGAAAGAGCGTGAACAACCGGCTGGGGGTCCTTCCGCACTCAACTCATTCTCTACGAGTGCTGGAAGTACAAGGTTAGCGCCATCGCATCGTGGCATGACCTACGATATTATCGAAAGCAACCCCCCCAAAGAAGAAGACGTTTTACCTTCGTTACCCTCCAGGTGGAGCGAGCAAGACAAATATCCGGGTTTGGATGTGATCGATGGTCAAGACCTGAAATACAGCGGGGCACCAAGCAAGGCCGACATTGAAGCAGCGTCTGTCAGAACCGACCATCCAATGCCACCCGCATGTGGGATATACTATTTCGAGGTGGAGATCAAACAGAAGACCAAGGACACGCCCATCTCCATTGGGTTTTCCACAAGTGAAGCGTCACTCGAGCGTTTACCAGGCTGGGAGACGAACTCCTGGGGATATCATGGGGACGATGGAAAATTGTTCTTTGGAGACCACGCAGGCCGTAGCTATGGCCCAATCTTTGGCGCAGGCGATGTCATTGGGTGCGGAATCAACTTCAACACCTGCCAGGCCTTCTTCACCAAGAATGGACAGGACCTTGGTATATGTTTCCCCGAACTCAAGAAGGATGTGAAATTGTATCCCTCGATTGGCGTGAAAAAGCAACCCGGCGCGTTATTGGCAGCCAATTTCGGCCAGCGACCTTTTGTCTTTGACATCGAGGACAGGGTGCTATCTGAGCAGGTGAAAGTGTCAAGAGAGATTGCAAAGGCCAAAGTTACATCATTACGACCGCAACGGGACGAAAACACCCTCATCCAGGAGTTGGTGGCGCAGTTCCTCGCGCACGACGGCTATGTTGAGACAGCAAAGGCGTTTGCAGAGGAAATGAGAAGAGAAAAACAATCATTGAATAATGCTCTGCCTCCAACCACATCGACGGCTCGCGAACGGGACGACACTGACGCGGTACACCGACAACGTGAGTTAAGTCGGATCCTTTTACTGACCCTAGTGCTGACATATTTAGGGATACGGCGTGCAATTTTCTCCGGAGACATCGACCAAGCTCTCGAAATCACTCACGCACAGTTTCCTGTTGTTCTAGCGGACAACCCGGACATTGAGTTCCGACTGAAATGCCGAAAATGGATCGAGCTCATTGGCAAGTCGACGGAGCTCGATACACCGACACACCCAAGCGGGCATGAACGGAAGGCCAGTAACAGACTAGAAACAAATTCTGGAGTGGATGATGATTTCGCTCAAGATATGGAACTCGATGAGCAGCCGAACGGGGACAGTCGTGCTAATGGCGAGGGCAAGTCGCGGGCTGATGACGGTGCCTTGCAACACGTTCAGCGCCTCAATGAGGCGATGTTGTACGGCCAAGAACTGCATCGAGAATTCCGGGACGAGGACGGGGACTGGGCGAAGGCATTGCGGGATATTTCCAGCCTGGTGGCATACAACGATCCCAGAGGCAGCGTGAATGGACATCTGTTGGACCCTGCCGGCAGAGTTACTGTCGCAGAGGAGCTGAATTCTGCCATTCTAGGTGTGTGCTCTTCCGAATCTTTCCTTTTGACTCACTAACACATTGCAGTCTCCCTTGGACGTTCCCCTTCCGCTGCTTTGGAGACAGCGTGGAAGCAGACAGAAGCCCTGATTGATGTTCTCAGCGAAGAAGGGGGACCCGCTGCTTTTGTCAATCTCCAAGCAACGTTCTCGTCTTGACCGCCGATGACCTTGAGGATGGCTCGCTACCGCTGTACCAGCTGATAAGTGGCTCATCTGATCGTGCTGCTTCCTTGGATAGTCTTGCCAGCGGCAGGAGAGGCCTGGGTGAGATATTGCCATGCTCTACAATGGGTTGTTTACCGAGAATATGTTGGTGAGGAAGATTCATCTCATGCAAAAGGCGTTAGCGGCTTGGGGATACTGGAATAGGTTCAACTGCTTCACAATGGAACAACGAATCCCACGGCGGTTAACAGGGAATATACTCTCCCCGTGTATGCGATGTGTACCTAGAGAGGAGGGGATTATTGCAAGCCCTGATCCATCATCGATCTGAGCGAACTTCGAAGTTGTGGCTCTGCTCCTACTTATTGGCTGAAAGTGGCTTTCCATCGAGTCTTCCTGGTATTTGTCTCGGGTGACAACCCCAATTGATACGTTGTATAGCAGCATTGTCCTGCTCCAAGTACGATGCTGTTGATTCTGCTATGCATGGATGGAGGACTGCTCTTGGATCCTCCTGATGCCCACGACCATCATTCAAATCTCAGACTGACATTGAATCCCGTTGTCAAATGGGTAGAGGATGAAGCTATCGTCAAGCCGATGCAGGTAGGCATTTATCGAGCGCAGGATGGGCAGTTCTAGGTCTATCCAACCCGTAAGTCCTCTCACTTCAATTACTATCAATGGACTTTTCGGGTAGAGTCTCGTTTTCAGTTAAGACGGATCTAGCAACTTTCTGTCTTCATCGCGTATCCCAAACAACAGCGACATGGCCAGCCTTTGATCGCACGAGAGGTCGTATCGAGCACCAAACGCCTATCGCACCCAGATGCCCCACCTTTACGCCTCCGCAGCGGCGGCTTTGAGTTGTAAGACTCTGCCCTCGAGCACGCAGCCCAAAGCCCTCTCCAATGCAACCACAAAGGCTACTTGGACCTGTGCCTCGCCATGCTCCGTGACGAGCTGTGCCCCGGTGGGTTTGCTTTCCTGCAGCCCCATGTTTCCGATCTTATCCCAATTCACCTGGTTGACAAGAGTAGTCCGCAAGGCCTCTGCATCGTCCACAGAGACTCCAATCTGTCGCATCGCATCAATGGCCTTGGAGTCCGCAAACGGCCACAAGGCGTCGCCCCAGCCGTCCACACATTGGATCCTCCGACAGAAGATTTCCCCGCCTGTCACGGCGAGGCCGGGGACGGTCGACTTGATGTGCTCGATCACGCCGGTGGGCCCGTCGTCGTTCGCCTCCTGAGCCAGCTCGAACATGGACTCGGAGTCGCGATACAGCTCGGCGGTGCGGAAGATGTACGACGCGGTCTTCTGCCGATGCTGTGTCCGCGCGGCTTCGAGGGCTTCCCACACCCCCTTCTCGCCCGCAGAGACGATCGCCTCGGGCGTGTTCAGCCGGAAGGGCTCGTTCAGCAGCGTGCGAATGCTCCTCATCCCCAGCTTGTGCGAGAGAGGCTTTGAAAGCATGTGTGCGCAGAGCAAGTGCTCAAAGGCCGTGAAACTCGACGGCGAAGTCAGCGCATAGGACTTGTACTCCTCGGACGACACCTTGGCGTGTTCGAGTTCGTCCGCGGGGAAGCAATAGGCCATCGCCGAAGGCGAGAGCAGGAAATTGAGGAGCTGTTTTGACGAGGGCCCAGAGTCGTTCGTGTCACGAGGTGAATTGCTCGAGTCCTGTCGTGGCGCCTTGATGGCTGCTTCGGACACGGAGGAATGGGTCGGCGGCTCTTTACGCTTCTGGCCGGCATGTGCAGATTCTTCTTCATCTTCTTCTTCTGGCTGTTCTGTTTCCGTCTCCGTCTCCGTCTCCTCCTCTCCTTGGGGTTCGGAATTGGCATCAGAATATGGCTCTGGTTCTTCAAGCGCCGTCTTATTCTCCTGTTCGGCCTCTTTCTCGGCCTGCTGTTCCTTGCGTGCCATTTTCGGTGAAGTCGATGAAGTCTATAAACGTCCAGTCAAGAGTCTGGGTCAGCGGATTGGGACAACGAGGGCCATTTCCTCTACTAGAGAGATCTATTCGCTGCTGAAAAGCCAACATCTCGTATCTCAATCTCGGAGTCATGTCGTTAGTAGCCAGGAGACTGCTCGAAGAAGTCATGACGTATAGGAAGGGACCTGGGGAAAGTTCCCTGTACATATAGTTCGGAAAGGGGCTGAGCGGAGAGCCAATGTAATTGTCGGGTTCGAAACGCCTGAGAGAGCCTTTTGAGACGTTTGTGCAGGATGGTTATGCATCATTGCATCCGGTATGCATCCTCTGCGCATGAGCTTGTGCAGGGCACACTGAGACCACCGAAGGAACATTCGGCATCAGTCCTTCCCTTTGGTTACTGCGAGAAGCTGGGGCGGCCGACGGGTGCGCTCGTCATCCACCCACTCGCTAATAGTAGTTGCTCGGTTCATGGGTTAGCTGGCTAGGTCGAGTATCGACACGAGCAGCGGGTACCGGTGGATTACTCTCCCCTGCTCTTGGCCTATCGTGTCTGGAGAGGGGAGGTGAGAAGCGAATATCAATCGGGAGCTATGTGATCATGTCGATCCCTGAGGTAAAGAAGCCTACATGAATAAATATCTTCCTTGCGTAATGGAGGCCAAACAACGATAAGCAAACAGCATCGTTAGCCAGACAGATTGGCAGTCTTTGTAGCGTTTGGTGCTTGGTGGCGACCCTTCCAAGAGCAAGTCCTGGGGAATGATCCCACACAGCACAATCTGACTCGTGGGTGACGAAGGAGAGGCAGCCCCGGTGACCCCTGCTAGGCGCCTCTAGTTCGCTCAATTGGGGGTGGTCTTAACTAGTGCTCCAGCCTGGTGAGTCTCTTCAGCCCCCTAGTAGAAAACCCCCAGCAAGCCCCGTTACCTAGTTGGGAGGTCTGTAACGTCAATTCCCCGGACATTCTTAGTCCCGAGGTATTCATGAAATTCTGGGGGACGCCGAGGGTTGTGCCTGCCTAAGAGGACCCCCAGTGTCAACCCAGGACGTGCGTCTAATGGTCTTAAGGAGTTACTTAGCCGCTCGCCCTCCAGGTCCTCTCCAGGTGCTCTCCCCCGTGTCCCCCACGAACAAGCCTCCCCGCCTGCCAAGCTCGGGGCAAGATCCCAGGAAATTCTCAAGTTCACAACTTGTCGCCCTGTATCCCAGACCCTTCATTTCCCATTGCTCCTCCACAGCCCTCTTGTCTCCCTGCTCGTCTTTATCCCTTGTTTTTGTCCTAGGGAACGACTGCCATCAATCACATTCCACAGCATGGAGTCACAAGGAGGCGACATGTCACCCCCGGCCCAAGCGAGTACTGGCACCTCCAGGGCCAGTAGGATGTCGCCTGCACGACTGGCAAGGAAAAGAAAGGCGGACAGAGAGTCGCAAAAGGCCTCGCGCTTGAAGCAGAAGAACTACATCGCCCATCTGGAGGCCTTGGTCAAGTCCCTGGATGCGACAGCGGGCTCCGACCCGGTCGAGTTGCTGAAACAACAAGGCGCAGAGAACGTGGAGATCAAAAAGGCCCTCACAACCATCTGCAAGATCGCCCAGACAGCCCTAGGTGCGAGTGCGGGCGAAGGTCGATATCTCGGGACCTCGTCTTCCCCCGACCCGATGACCGACCAAGCAGACGTCAAAGACATGAAGCCTGATCTCCCAAAATTCAGGAAAATTCAGCCTTCCCAAACGGCCAAGTTGGATTACACCACCGATACTGTCAGATGCACAGGTGATTCAGACTCGACGATTCCATCCATCGCCGAAACCCATCCGCATGGTGCCGGTTTCCCCTCTCTGTTCACAGAAGATGACGCAGATTTGGGAGAGTTCATTCATCATGATCTCCTGGACTTTCCGGTCCGAGATCACGGCGTCCAACAGACTTTCGAGACTTCAGAACTTCTCTCTACCAGAGACGCCATGGCCATGACCCAACCGGGCCCTGTTTCCTGGGCATTTCCACCGCAATCGGAATCTCTGCCTTTACGCATACACCACCCAGGTGCCGGAGGCCGGGACTGGGTATCTACGGTAAACCTGCTAACTACACCTGTTGTATTTCCACTTGAATCTCCTGACGACGCGCTTGATGGAGACATACCAATATCAGCTGTGTTGCGTGGCTGGGATGCAGTCGAGGCCCGCCGGCCGCTAGATCCGGGGTGGAAAGTTCTTCGAGAATTTGACCAAAATCTTTTTACCGGATGCGGCATTGCTGAGAGATTGGCTGTCTTGCGGATTATGAGGTTGATGTGCCATGTACGTTTTTGCCATCAACACACTGTGAAACCTAATCCATGCAGGGCTCGCTGACGGATTTATGACAGTATATGACGACTTCAGAACGACGCCCAGAATTACCTCCTTTTATGCTGAAACGGTTCGTCCCAGGTTATATGTTTTCACGGTCACCGTACGGTTGCTAACCTTTGCTATTATATAGGCCGTGTCAAGAGCACATCAAACATCATCCGATGATTGATTATCTCGTATGGTAAGGATACCTGACATCCCATGCAGAAACATCCGCTCAGCGTTTCCCGGGCTGAAGCCAATAACTGTTCGCAGCTGACATATACAATAGGCCCGGATTGCGTGAAAGACTGATTTTCTCGCAGCAAAAGTTCGCTGCCGACGCAGATCGATACAATGAGCTTTTCCGTGCCAACTTCCGCTTCCTGTGGCCGTTTGAGCCCGAGGACATCTACTATCGGGATCCACAAACGGGCCGATATGCATTTTCCGAGCAGTTCATCGGACGAACGGAGGATTTGTCCTGCTGGACGATGCACAACGACTATTTTGTTGCCCTGCCAGAGCTTCGTGGGGATATCCCTGGATTCCCTCAGACTTCTATCTACAATTTGAGTCAACAACTTCCGGCGTCACAGCAGGCTGTCCAGCGAAAGCCCCCTGGCAGGCCAGACGAGAGCCAAGAGTCCTCACAGAACGAGAAGGGTTCCGTCGACATAGATTTTCCTCAAACCATGTGGGCGAGGATGTCACAAATGTCTTGAAATCCTCCCGATGTCCGATATGAGAAACAGAATACATGATACCCTTGATGACTTTCGGAAATCCTTACGCTGCAGTAACATCGTTTTTTATCAGTGGCCAATGACCTGGTCTTATCAAGCTCTAGTGCTTTCTAAATCACGCCTATTTCACACTGCAGCCACCGCCGTTCGGTCAATGATTCAACGGCGATTCTCAACCAACCACCAGGTCGTCCGTGGACCTTGCCATCCTCCATCTTCCAGCTAAGCTTCCTCGACGAGACTGAGCAGAGTATGGCCTCTGTCCGTGTCCTCTGTCGTCTTTCCACCAGCCCACCAGCCTTCATTTGAGGCTTCCATCTTGGTCTCCCGTGTTCTGGGAATGCCACCAGGCGAACCTAACTGTATTTTGCCTCCAGTGGACCTCAGGTCGCCACCCCCAGCAGCTCCTCGCTGACATCCGTTGCAACGCCGTTCTAGTTAAATTTGAAAGGACAGCCAATTATCGTGGCACCTCCCTCCGCTGCATATTCCCTCAGGGCCTCTGCTTCTTTCAGAACCGCATCGCGCGAGACCTTCTCAAACTTGGCAGGGCCGAGCTCCTCAGGCAGGTAGCCTTCGCTCTTGAACTCTGGACCAGGAACGTATTGAGCGCCCGACAACAAGGCCGAGAGTTTGTTCCACACCGTATCCTTGACATACCAAGGCTCGATACTTTGTTGTTTCGCCGGATGCAGGCGGCCAGATTTCTTGTCCGCTTTGGCGAGAGGATCAAGAGCTCGCATACGCGGAAGGAAGAAGTTGCGGACCACAAAGGCACGGAGCCGGAAGAACCGATACACCAAAACTTGCATGGTGCGTGAAGCTGCCGGATATCCCAACGCATTCCTCGTTCTGTCTTCGAGCAAAGCCATCATGACCTTACGGAAGAAGCCGCGCATGCCGGGAGAGACATGTTTGAGGAAGAAGTCGACGGCGGTATCAGCGCACTTGCGGTTATTGTCGGAATAGACCATGGCCGTCTGCTCATATTCCTCGCTCCACTCAGCCATCTTTTCGATGGTGGGCGGGATATCCTTGATGCCCATGCGGTTGCCGACTTCCTTCCAGTAGACGAACATGGCCACTTGTTCCAACTCCGTCAGCTGACGCCACTCATAGGTGTTGACCCAGCGGATTGCTTCCAGGGTATTGACGCCCAATGTGTGGAGCATCTCTGGCTGGGTGATCTTGTCTCCATACTGCCGGTGCATCCAGTTCATCTTGGCCAATGCTCGCGATCCGCGCTCGCTGTCCATGGAGCCCACGACAAACTCGGTCGTGATGAGGGCGGTATCATTGATGCGGCGACCAACGTTGGGGCAAGTACTAAGTTGACGTGTCTTTGCGAGCAGTTCGGTACCTGAGGCGATGGCGAACGTCTTGAGGAGAGAGAATTGGCCACTGAAGGCGAAGATGAAGGGCATGTCATAGAGCATGGATAGGTGCATGATCTTGTGTGCCTCACTGTAGTGCATGGAGTACGGGTCTTTGAGGAGGTGGGCATATTGGCGTTCCAAATTGCGTACGGCACGGAAACGCAAGGCTCGAACCAGGGCGAGATATGCGAGAAGACCAATGGCTATTGCCCATGCGTAGGGGAAGTCATGCAGGGCCAACTTGGGCAGTCGCACGGGCAGGAAATCCAGGGCGTCTGGTTGGATTCCCATCGTGACAAGGGGGAAACTTGTTCTAGTGATGTTCCAAGGAGGGGTGTGTGTGTGATCAATTACAACAGATATGTTCTTTTTGAGAGCATGTACATATGTACTTGAAGATAACCTTTTGTCGAAGGCGTCTTGGTCGCTGAAGCCTTAGCCACCCTTGTATACATAGTCGGGTCATCTCTCGCGGACAGAGTCTCGTTGACACGCGGGTCCTTGGCAGTTCCGTAGCCGAGGGTCGTATTCTGTCAGTACAAATCATTCGGCACGGATCGGTACATGTCGAGCGTGTCGACCAGGGGGGGACCGCGAAGCCCAGACTGCTGAGGTCCGAGTCAAGCAGTCGACGTCAAGGCTGTTTAGCGTCAAGCATAGACCATGTCAGAGAGACGGAGTCAAATCATACCCCACGCGGGACCCACCGAGTGGATCACAGACCGGTGTATATGATTGGCTTCTCCACTATGCGTTCCGGAGCTTATGTGAACCCCTGGAAGACACTCGGTATTGGGTACTTGTACTGCTGTCGTGTCTCACCCCGGGTGCACATCTCTGTGTGGCACATCTAGAAGTTGGAGCTTGGAGCGGAACTACAGCCGGTTAACTGGCACGGCTCAAGCCCTGCTCCAAGTGCCTTCCAGGCAAAGGCACAATTATGAAGATGGGCAACACTCACCCTCAGGCAAGGAAGTGTAACATCACGCATTGAGTTTCCTCTGCTCCTATGTGTATTTTACCAAGAGATGTGTGGATATTTGAAGGACGTACAATGTGCCAGCATCCCAGTGACCACCGCAAACTGCTTTTATCAACATTCTTTTCGAGCTGACCCGACTGTCGCCGCGCCGAATACACAATGCCTTATGACACTAAGGAAGAGATTCTGGCCCTTGGGACCATGGATCCTGAGCTGAAAGCTGTCCGTTGCCCAATACTGGATATCTCTTCCTTGCCTCTGGGTTTGAGAGATCATTGCTGACTGGAAGTGGATTCAGCTGCTCGAAACCAATCCTCCTCCTCCCATGACATTCACAACGATGCAGGCTCTAAGAGAAGACGTCAAAACCCGCACATTACAAGCCGTTGCTGCACTTGGTCCTCCACCTCCTTCCGTCAAGCAGACTGATATCAGCTATAAAACCACAGATGGCACAGAGCTGCGCGCCCGGCTCTACCAACCCACATCACCGGCAGACGATGGCAGCCCATTGATTGTGATGTTCTATGGGGGTGGCTTCTGCTTGGGGATCCCCGAGTCTGAAGAAAAGGCATGTCGAGAGTTTGTACAAGCATATAACGCTGTGTGCGTTGCGCCTGCGTACCGACTGGCACCCGAGTTCCCTTTTCCCCAAGGTCCCAAGGACGCGTGGGACGCTCTCAAATGGGCCGCGGAAAGCGCACCCTCATGGGGCGCTGATCCCTCCAAGGGTTTCATCGTCGGAGGGACATCGGCGGGCGGCAACCTCGCCTGTGTCGTAACGCATCTCGCGCGCGATGAAGGCCTGACGCCGCCTCTAACAGGGCACTACCTCTGCATTGCTGGGCTGGTGCCTCCATCCCGAATGCCCGAGAAGTACAAGAAGTGGGCGTACAGCTACGAGCAGAACAAGGCGGACTCGATCAACGGACAGGCCGTGATCGACATCTTCACAGCTGCGTATCAGCCCGATCTTGACGACGGCGTCTACAACGGTCCTCTGATCCACCCCAAGGGCCACGCGGGCTTGCCACCGGTGTTCTTACAAGTGAACGGGGCGGATACCTTGCGTGACGACTCCCTGATATATGAAAGGATATTGCGTGAAGAGCACGGGATCAAGACGAAACTGGTCGTCTATCCCGGTCTGCCACACGCACATTGGGCTTTCTTCCCTTCGCTAAAAGCCAGTGCCCAGTTCTGGCAGGACCAGCTCGAGGGGATGGGATGGCTGTTGGGGAGGACGCCTGCCACGGCCAAAATCTAGATAGATCCCCAGCCAGTCCGGAGAAGTGGGAATAAACATTCTGTATGCCGTGAACCTTTAGCTCATGGGCTGAGCCTAGGTTTTCGCGGATCTGGATCCAGGCCTCTAGACTGCCTGCCAAGATGAAACCCTTATTTTATTCTTTTACTTTCTAAGCGTGGCCTGTGGCACGGAAGAAGCGACAAAAGGAGACGCGGAACTTCACAGCCAGCCAATCCGGGGTATTCTACATGTCTTGTCGGAGCGGGATAACGCGGGGTATATATTGCGGGATATATGTATTCACGAGAGGCGCTCTCCGCTCCGCTCCCCCCACATTGACCGGTAATAGCGGGTCAGAAAGTCCAGCCTCTCGAAAGCTCCCCATTTTTTTGCCCCCTACCCTACCCTACGCTACCCTAATCTTTCTCTGTCCAGCTGGCTATTGACTCGCCTGTATGACTCGCCCCGGAGAGTCGCCTGAGGCGAGTCAAGCTCGCACGCGGCCGCCAGGGAGGCGGCTATCTATCCGTCTAGTCTAGGGCGACATGCACCCCATGCATGGCCCTTTTGAGTTTTTTTTGCTTGTGTCCTATCGAGCTAAACCCCAGATAATTGCCCCAGGCCTGTCCCAGACATACGGTGGCTTTTCTTCGAATTGGTTAAAACCCGCATTTATCACCCTCCCCATACATCCCCCTTCTTTTCCTGCAAGTCCATAAAAAGAGAAGGATTTTGGAACGTCTTATCTCTCAAACAGCTCTGTTCTGTTTTGGTTCTGTTTCCAAGAAGACACGATTTGAGATTTCAGAAAGAAGCTGTGTCAGATTGAGAGACGTGTGTTCAAAGATATGGACTCCAAATCGGGATCTCTCGTCAATGAGTCACCGCCCAGCTCGGACGCTGTGCATCTTGAGCGTCTCGCCGTCGACGACGAGGAGAAGCACGTTGGCCACGTTGGGAGTCTGCAGATCGAGGACGGCGACTCCCTCGAAAAGAGCCAGAGCGTGGAGGTGGACGTAGACGTGACGAATCGAGGTGCCGTCAAGGGCGACGAGTCGGACGGCAAGGTCGACTGGACGTGGATCCAAATCATCGCCACTGCCTGCCTCTCGGGATTATACGTCGGTACGTTCTGGTTTCCTTGCCATCACCTGGAACTTGTTTGTCTTTGGCCGCATGCATACTGACCCAAGTCCCCAACCACATCCAGGCTCTCAAATCCCTCTCTACTTCCTGGGAGGTACCCTGACCTATATCTCCGCCGACCTCGGAGGAACTAAAGCGTCCGCCTGGCTCCCCGTGGCCTATTCTCTTGCCCTGGGTGCTGTGACACCCTTTTGCGGCTATCTGCAAGACTTGCTCGGTAGACGCTATGTGACGCTCACGGGAGGCTTGATCCTCCTGATTGGGTGCATCGTCATGGCGACAGCCCAGACCTTCCGAGCGGGCGTTGTTGCCATGTGCTTTGCCGGAGCTGGTGCATCGATTGGCGAGTTGACTGCCGTGGCCGGGTATGTGGTTTTGACTCTATTTCTGTGACGCTTGTCCCTGATATACTGGGACAATGCGAACACATTTCTAGGTGTTCTTGCGCTGACTTTGCTACCTGCAGAACCGCCGAACTGGTCCCTATCAAGAAGCGAGGCATTTACCTATCTATCGTGACTGCGTCCATCCTGCCCTTCGCTCCTTATCTACTCTATGCTCAACTCCTGGCCAAACACTCCACGTGGAGATGGGGCATGTGGCTCTGTGTGTACGTACTACGGATCTTGTTCCCCCTTCTCGGCCATTCCAGACCACCATGGGACTGACCTTAGCATCAGGATCTGGAACGCTGTTTGGTTCACTGGCATCGCCATCACATATTTCCCCAAGTCGCAGACTCGAGCACGAGGTGTCTCTCGAAGAGTACTCCTCAAGAGAATCGACTTTATTGGAGGCCTGCTGTCCATCATCGGCCTGGTTCTATTGTATGTCTCGACATTGTCCTTGTTCTTGTCTACCCGCTCTCCGCCCCAGCACGATATACCGCACTCGACAACCAATACTGACTTCTGGGCTTCAGCCTCATTGCCCTGCAGGCGGGCGGATCCTCGCACCCGTGGAAAAGCGCTTACGTACTGGTCAATCTATTCATTGGCTTCTCACTGATTGTCGCTTTCTTCCTGTGGGAATGGAAGTTCGCCAAATATCCCATGATACCCAAGGAGTTGTTCCATGGTCAGAATATCGTGGCCAGTTGCTTCGTCGTGTCGTTTGTGTCAGGTGAGTTTGGCCGTTGTCTTGCACCACTACGCAGAAGAGGGAAATGCAGACTCTCTGACACTGACTATTTCGCATGGATATACAGGAATGAACTTCTCTGCTCTACTCAACTTCTTCCCCTTGGAGTTTACGACCGTCTTCGTCCCTGACCCCATCCAAATCGGCTTGAAGGATATCCCGCCTGCGCTTCTGCTGATCGGTGGCTCCATCGCGACGAACGCCCTGCTGTCATACCTGAGAGGACACGGCCGCGAGCTGATGCTTGTTGGATGTCTCATCATGAGTAAGTGGGGCCTGCCGCTCTGGCTATCCAATTTCATTACCACGGAACCCTCTCGCTCGCATAGATTACTGACTCCCGTCTCCTTTCTGCAGCTGCATTCTCCGGTGCTCTCGCATCCATCAACCCGGACAAGACTGCCGCCGTGATCGGAATCGGCTCCATGGCGGCGCTAGGCGTTGGGATGGTAACGTCCCCCGCGTCGACCATCGCGATCACAGTGGCGCCCGACTCCACCATCGCGACGTGCGTGGCGCTGATCCTGTGCATCCGGGCCACGGGCGGCTCAATCGGCTATGCCATCTATTACAATGTCTTCATCGAGAAGCTGACGCCGGCGCTGCCCAAGTACGTGGCCGAGTACGCCGTCGCGGCGGGGCTGCCGGTGGGCGAGGCTGAGCCCTTCACCGCGCTGTTCCTCACCGCGCCGCAGAACGTCACCGAGGTGCCCGGCGTCAACGCTGCCATCCTTGAGGCCGCCACCATCGGCAGCCGCTGGGCCTACGCCCACGCCCTCAAGTACGTCTGGTACATCAGCCTGGTATTCGGCATCTGCTCCATCGTCGCTTGTTGCTTCGTCAACAACATGCAGAAGTACATGACCAACCGGATTGCTGCGAAGGTCGGCAACTAATAGTCATTGCCCTGGGGTTTTTGGTTATGGATCGATACAGTCTCGATGGCACGTAAAGAATTGAGGGAAAGATGTGCAATAGGGGGCCCAGAAGAAACGGCCTGTGACAGGTAAAAGGGACGCAAAGGGAAAAGCAGACCCGCCGACATTTACATCCACCAGTGCAATCAATCCGTCGCCCGTCGAATATACATTCTATATAAGCCTGTCCTGGCAGCTTCAGGCCACTGACCACGATGTCATGACGCCAAGAGAGAGATTAATATATTCGGAGATTGTGGGCATCGTGGGCAGAAGTAGTCAGGCCAACCTGCCATAGGACCTACATTCCTTTAATGAATATGCCGACTCTCCTGGAGACTCGTCCCTACTCTCTCTTTCTCTCCGTCATTGACTTCAGCTTTAGTTGCTTTCTATGAGGCTTCCACGGGGATCTGTGGTCGATACTGTCCGGGATTCTATCCGTGAGTGAAGCTTCGAGAGTCTTTCCTCGCCCCTGCATCATAGATATAAACGACTTCTTCTCCACCCTCGGCGTGTTGATCACTCCATTCGCTCTGCCTGACAGTGGGGACACCTGGCAATGCGAGACTCTTTTCCCGTTGCTTTGTCCTTCAGTCTACATAACTTCGACATGAGCAAACACTCCCCTTAGAGCATAGGAAAGTCGAATATGGATGTTCATCCCGAGCCGTTGAGGGATAAACCTGGGAAACCCTGAGAGGATCGTTTGGAAGACTCCCTTTCTCGCCCACATTGTAGGAAAGGTCGTTCTGCCAGGTGAAAGTCAAATCTGAGGATGCATTCTTGATACATTGAACAATGGTGTCGTACCCGTTCTCAAGGTAGCTGTAAGAAGGTGTATCCTGAACGGTGGTGCCTTTGATTTCGATTCTGGCCAAGTTGGGCGAGGACCCGAGTCCATAGGATCGACCAAGGAAGCCCCAATCTGTATCGTCCAACCCGCTCGCCGGACGAGTTGATAAGGAAGGGCGGCGGGGGGCAGACCGAGATTTAGTATTGATCCGGCGGTGCTATTGACTGGAAACTGAGAAATCTACACCGCTGACGAGGCACCTGTAAATGCAGGAATTTCAATACCGCCTCCGAACGGCTTCAAATAGTCAGCCATCTCTGGGACTGAGTGCTCCGGCCCACAATGTACCTGGCTCGGCGGAAAGAACCAGGAGAAGCACAAGAGACGTGACACGTATTGGCGGTAGCGTATTGCTCACGTACCAACGCACTATAGCTACGTAGAAAGCGAGTTCACTCGGTGGGAAGATATTGTTTGATCAGCAGGAGCTGAGTCCTGAAAGTTTCCTAACGTCTCAAGGGCGTTTAGATAGAGCACGCCTAGGATCTAAGGCAGATTCTGGACGAGAATTCACAAACATACTCGGTTCGTTTGCGCGAAGGTGACCGCGGAGCCGCTGTGGTGTCCCGACCCGGTCGCCAGGAGGAAGGCTGAGATGCTGGTGGGCAGTAGCAATATGCAAATTACAGTATAGATATCTGGGCCCGGAACTAAGTGCGGCGTAGTATCCATTCATAGTTGTAAATTAGGCGCTGCGAGTCTTCTTGCGTCGAATAATGGCTCTTCAAGGATTTCATGCCGACAGCAGGGGGAGTTAGAAGCCTCATAAATAGTTTGCCTTGGAACAAGGTTGTGAACATCGTATCATGGGCCCACGCAAATAGTAAAGCCTGGCGGCTGTCATTTAGTCTCACGCCTAAATGCCGAGCTCTGAGTACCTGAATACCATACCCCTACTGCCCACAACATGAGGCTGCGCTTCCTGTAGCTCGCCCGTGCTCCAGCTGGCTGTCTGCTGGTTTTCTCGTTACCCCAGACATTGTCTCCTTGTGCCTATTTCTTCCACATGTCAGCAATGGATATGGGTTCAATACTTGGAGGCAGGCCTTGGTGTATTGGAGGATACAACAAAACAGAAAGCTTGAAGTGTCTTGCGTGCACTTGGTTGTCTCGTATGTACTAAACTGAATAAAAACAAGGCCTTCCATGAAAAATGCACTATTTACAGGATGATAAGAATAATAGGACCAAAAGCGGTTCAGAAATAGAAGTATGTGAAAACAAGAAGCCAGAAAAGGGGGTAAAAATATACGCAGAAGTGGGTTCCCCAGGCATTCCAAAAGCAGACTTGCTCCCCTAGCTTTTGGAGGGACAAAGACACTTATAGAACGAGTTTGAACTGCTCCCACAAGGCCGACCCAGAGGATTGGACACCGTTAATGTTTGCTGAAATCTCGCCAAACCAGCGCGAGTAAGATGGGGAGTCGACTTGCTTCTGGTTGCCGGTAACGGTGGCGGTGAGGGTCTCACCATTATGGAGTTTCATGACGATAGTGAACTGGTTCGGATCGGGCGAGAGAATCGTTGGCGGATACGGGGTCCCCACTGGTCGAACCTGGAGGCCAGCCGTACCGAGCGCGCAGGTTGAGCCAACGACCTGGCCGTTTTTTAGGACGTACCCACTGACAGTTTCGGAGTTGGAAGTATCGAGCGCGTCGTACCAGACCATGTGATAGTCTCCGAAGGTGCCGTGGCCCCAGTACCAGCTATTGACGGCACTCGTGAAGGGGATGGCGCCCCAGTTCTAACCGGAGAATATTAGTATGTGCCAGGAGGAAAGAAATATCAGGGATGGTAGGCAAACATACCTTGTCGTGATATCCGTTGCCGTTGAAGATCATTGGTGTACCTCCAAAATTCATATGAACGCTAGCATCCGCCGCAGGGAGGACATTGACCCAGCCAACGTTAGGCATGATCAGCTCGTTCGCACCCTCAACGAGAGGGCTGCATGGATAGTGTCCAGGACCGCGCTTTGTGATCTTGATCAGCACCTCCGCATTGTAGAGGGAAGGCCATGGAAACCACAACTTACAGAGATAAAATCAACCGTTCCGGAAATGCCCAGAGAAGGATTATCAATCGTGATCGCGTACTGGCTCAGGTCTGGTGTGCCTGTGAAGCTGCATCCACTGCCAGACCAGTTGCCCACTGCTCCATTCCCGATGGTTTCAACCGTCACTGAAGTTGCGAAGGCCGTTGAGCCCACTTGTGTGCCATTTGGAAACGTTGCCTGAATTGCAACATTGAGTATGTCTTCGATAGCCTCTGTGTTGGGGAAGCCGAGGACCGAAGCCGTAAAGAATATGATCGTGAGGGCTTGAGTTCCATCATCAGACACAGTATCAAAGTACCACCAATCATAAGAGGTAAGGTCAATTGGGAAGACCTTGGGCCCATCAGCCGCTCCACAAGAAGTGAATTGGACAGTACTCGTGAGTGTTTGGGTGGAGGAATAGGTCAAGGGATTGGGAAAGCATTGAGACAGGGCACCAGGCGCTAGGGCCAATAAGGCTGGGAGAAGCACGGAGGGTTTGAGGCTCTTCATTTTGCGGCTGATTCAAGACGTGATCTCTTAAGACGAACAATTTCTGAAAGGCAACCTCGATTTGGACTGCTGTGGTCTGGGGAGTTCATCTCCAGGCGGGGGAAGAGGAGGCCTTTGTACTTTTCCACCACCCACAACCTAGGGAAATCCTCGACGACAGTTCGTGCTGTTGACTCGTCTGCTCAATAATACCACACCGTGAATACTGTCACCACCGTGACGGACCGAGGCGGACCGCTTCCCACCTACCTTGGCGTCATCGAATCTTTGATGCAGGAACGCCAGGCGTACTAACCTTTGTTTCATAGAAGGAGCATGGGAAATTAGCAATTTCTCGAGAGAAGGAAAGAATGTACCGTGTACAGGAAAGATCGCACACAGTTGACCTGTGTAATGGTGCTAAATTATGTTCGGATATATGTAATATCGTGTGGCCTGGGAAACAGGGGGTAACCCGGCGTTCCCACCTGGAGCAGATTGACGACTCAATGACGAGCCATTTGGACCGGCCCGCCGTGGTGGCATCATTGTGGGGAGAAGGTATGGCCTGTGCCCTGTGCCCCGTACTAACCCACACCCCATATTCGGAGGAATATATTGCCGATGGTGGCGCCAGGGGTTGGGGGCGAGTCAAGCAGGTTGACACGACCATATGTATTGACAGCTCCGGATGCGGATATTGTGCACGCTATGCACAACCGCGAGGCAATGAACGTACAGTACCGAGAAGATATATTCGCCAAGGAACAATGAGTATTGTGCTGAATGAGCATGTTCTCAGTTAGCCTTAGAAGAGATTGACCGACCACCGGTCTGTCTCAAAGCCAGACATCTGTTGAATAGTCTCAGGCGGGGAGATCGCTCACAGACTCCAGCCTCTCAACTCCTTCGGCCGCTTTTCAGGTAGACAGCCAAACCAGTGGTAGACAAGTCAACAGAGGAGCACCCTTCTTTGGGCGCTTCCAACACCTAGGAGCATCGGTAGTTTCATGAGAGGTGCCCCGGTTCTGGACTGCGAGCTCAGAGACGGCCACCTTAAAGTTGTTTGTGAGCGAGTGGTCAGCACATTAGAAATCCCCGATGATGAGGATGCGAGTTTGCGGGCGGACTTTCTCCTGACTCTTTCAATTGGCAAGGCCATTTCTCACTCATGCTTCTTTGGGAAAAGAGCATGCAGAAGCAAGACGCGCAAAAAACCCTCAATTAGGTATGAGGGCCCCCATATGAGTTTCTGCCCCCAAAAAGAGGCCTCTTTCCCCCAAGAGAAGTGGATTGATCTTGTTCGAAGAGGTAGATTGCCGAACTTGATCCCTGGCCTCTTGCCAACCAGATGAGTCGTCTCCGCAAGTACACTGAAAGCGTGACCATTACCTGTCCAAGACTCCGTGAGATGTTTTGCATCATCGTCAAGAGGTTGTCGATCGACTACCACCCACTACTGAACACTCCTTCCCCTCAATGTCTGAGAACCCTGGTAAACCGTAAGATTAGAAACGCGCTCCGGTAGTCGGAACTGTAGGAGCTTGAATCAGGCATCTGACTCTGTCAACGTGAGAGCGATTTGCATGACGGCAATGAACCGAGCCGCTGAACCCTCGTACTCCATGTCAGTCTCCTCTGAAAGGGTTTCGTGATGAATGGGTTCGTCAGAGTGGCCCAAGTAATGACCAATACAACCCGAGGCACCGGCATTGCAGCTCAAGGCATTCAACTCCTCGGTTCATCAGGTTGCCATTGGCCGTGGCACAAGTGAGGCACGATATCGCACCGCCGCATCCTCGGGGTAGCTGATATCACATGACGATCGGATTTCAATTCCTTCTGCAAGAGAACACAGCCGAGTTGTGATGACACAGTTCAAAGCAAAGGCAGCGTGATTGGGACTGACACGCTTTACGAGAACTCCCTTGTCAACCACCACAGCGAGAACACGAACCTTTTCCCCGTCTTTCAGACCAGAGTCCTTTACATTGCACCACCTGTCTTAGTCCATTGAAGTTCAGTTTCGACTGCCATCATGGGATCTGCAGCATCGAATTCGACACGAATGTTTCCACGGGATCTTGTTTGACGAGCACAGATGTGGGCCAAACACAGCCCATGGAGGTGAAACAACTGCCTGGGCTAACCTGGGTTCATTTCAGGGAGGGTCGAGCGAAGGAGAGATGCGTCTCCGGCCAGTATCACAGAGGAGAGGATATCTCAACAAGCGATCAATAATATTGGGCAATTCCATGCAGCTTTCGAGGTTGCTGTCAGTCATGCCAGGAAGAAGTTGTGGAGGAGTCGCAGCGCCTCCCTTCAAAATTGACGCGAGGTCACGTGGGCCTTGGCACGGGAATTGCTGACCTTTGCGGTGCCGGTCGCTTCAGATTTTCTTTCTCTATGTACCACACAGCAGCAACCTGGCACCCGTCAATGATTTCCACACAATGCATGTCGAGGACAATCCAATCCTCCCATTTCTCTGACCCAGAGGCCCGAAATCAATGACATTCAGCCTAATGGTCAGCTTCTTCGCACGGCAGACACACCCGGCAAGCTCCAAAAGCTCTAAGCTCAAGGTAGCTGTCCACCACTCGCAGGGCACCCTTTCTCGTATCAATGACGATCGGCATGCATGGCATTTGTGAAGAAGGAATCGTGCACAGCAAACCAGATGGCTGGAATCGTCAAGGAGGGCCTCTTCGCGCATTTGAAGCGCATCCCGCTCTCCAATCTTTAGTCCAATCGCCCACGATCCATCCCGCTGCGGAGAAGAGCTACCGGCATGGAGTGGATTGCCCGTCCGAGTAACTGGTCGTTGGCTTGCAGCGCTCATTTCTTAATCGGTCGCAAAATGTCCTGCACTGTGTTGCTGCAGATCTGCCAGCTGCGCCCAGCAGGCGAAACGGACAGACAACCTTGTTGCGTCTTCCCTCCTCCCGTCTCTGTGTCATCACTTTCTTTCTCTTCTACAGTCTTCTTTACTGTTGCAGCGAGAGATTTGTGACTCTGGTGGTACGCGGTGAAGTACTTATACGGCCTTGTTGCGATAACGTGGATCCTGTTATCGTGGTTATCGCCCATTGTCAGACATGCCTGCCACAATGTCGGCGTTCGTCCAGTGGCTCAACCGCGAGACGGGCCTCCAATCCATCTGCACCTACGGCAACACTGACATATACCTGATCCTGCTAACTCGATTTCTCCGCATGTTTGCCTATGGAGGCGCCGCCCTCGTTCTAGCAATCTTCTTGTACACCCAAGCGGGGGTCGATTGGAAAAAGACCGGAACCTTCATGACCTTGACGTTGTTGGGAGATGCTGCGATCAGTTACGGGCTGACGATCGTGGCTGACAAGATTGGTAGAAGACGTGTGTTGCTGATAGGCTCGTTGCTCATGAGCTTCGCCGGGACGGTGTTTGCCTTGAGCAAGAATTATTATGTGCTTCTGTTCGCTGCCATTGTGGGTGTGATATCCCCTGGGGCACACGAAGTCGGCCCGTTTCGTGCTGTTGAAGTACGTATGAGATCCACCAGCGCCCTGGCTTGATTCCATACATAGCGCGTGCACACGGAGCTCCATTCACTTCTCTAACCTTTTTATCACTCACAGGAAGCAATCCTTGCTCAGCTTTCCCCAATGGAGGCTCGTACCGACATCTATGCCTGGTTTGCCGTGTCATCCACCCTTGCCATGGCATGCGGCCTGTTCGTCACCGGGTGGCTAACCTATGCTCAACGGACATACATGGAGCGTGACTGGAAGGAGACGTACCCTCCTGTGTTTGGCCTTTATGCGATGATCGGGCTGGTCAAGTTCTCCATCACGTTCCTTCTCAGCAAGAACTGCGAAGCTAGTGCAGCGGCACAGTATTCTTGGGCTCCGACCACCACAGGCAGTGTGATGGATGAAGGGGGGAGTCCCTCATCAGAGCAGACGAGGCCTCTCCTGGATGGCCTGCCTCGTCGGTCGTCGATCCCGAAGCAAGCTAACGTGCGAACGACGGGCCGCACAGCTCAACTTTCTCAGCCCGACTCGTTCTTCCAGCGCCTTCGCAAGTCACTCAGCTCGCCCTGGAAGGTGTCTCGCTCCTCTCTGCCTATCCTCATACGCCTCTGCTTCCTGTTCGGTCTGAACGCTTTCGCATCAGGCATGCTCCCTGTGACCGTCATGAGCTGGTATATGTCCTGGCGTAGCCGATGGTTCTTGACTCATCGGATTGGTTATGCCCTGAGCGTCGTCTGGCTCGCAGCGAGTCTCTCGAATTTGTTCAGCGCCGCCGTCGCCCGACGATTGGGACTGGTCAAAGCTATGGTCTGCACTCACCTGCCCAGCGCAGTGTTCTTGGCGCTTGTTCCGCTCGGGCTGGTGGTTTCGGGTTGGCCACTTTTGCTGTTCCTCTTGCTTGCCGACGCGGCCCTGGGCTCCATGGATCAGGCCCCTCGCGAAGCATTCGTTGCGGCGGCATTTCTGCCTCGGGAAAGGGTTCAGGTCATGGGTACGCTCAACTTTGTGAGGACCTTGGCTGCGAGCTTGGGCCCGGTGGTTACAGGGCTCGTGTGGACGAAGCAGACGTGGTGGGTACCCTTTGAGATTGCAGCGGTTTTGAAGATCTGCTATGATGTGGGTCTATTGATTATGATGTTGAAGACACCTCTGCCGGAGGAACATCGGAGGGTGATAGGTGTCTTGGGTGATGGCGAGGGTCAGCAGATGCGAATGACTGCTGCTGACATGGACGTCAACGTTCTGTTGGATGAGCTGGCAACCAACAGCGGTGGACTGGTACCGCCGAGCGAGTTTGAAGTGAGTGACGACGAAGAGGAGGACGTCGAAAGGGGGTTGGTTACAGAGGTGCATGAGGATACTTCTGGGCTACCAAAGTACGGTGAGTAGGAGCAAACTTGTGTGTTGGGTGAGAGAGGGTGCCATTTCCAAAAAGGTTCAGGGAAGGATGGATTACAAGTTTTGCATGCATCGCAGGCAGCATGTTGATGGCCCTATTCCGTTCGGCGTTCAGAGTTCGGCGTTCAGAGCTAAGAATTGCGGACGCCGGGCCCATGTTACCGGTGTCTGTGTAAGCTCGTTCAAGGAGTTACACCAAACGACTGTCTCGTCCCCCATGCTCGTCAGCACAGGCCGGCCAGACGAAGAATAGACGGGCCTGATGATCGGCATAGGACTGGACGAGACTAATAATGACGGATCACAGGTGGTTGAGTCGGCGAAATCCAACGCCTTGTGAGGGAAGGGGGAAATAACTCAGAGCCTTAGATTACGAAGCCGTTGACGACCTGAGCTATCGCCAGGAAGCCTACATATGGACCGGGAGGGAGGGCTCGAGAGAGGCAACAGCCACCGCTGTCCTCGCTTAGCACATACATACCTTCCAAACAAACATAGGTGCTTGTACTTGTACTCTCTATAGGTACATATGTAGGCTACTGATACTGCCACTGCCACTGCCACTGCCACTGCCACTGCAGCTGCAGCAGAAATCTCCGAGTGTCACAATCTCTTTTCATTATTTGCTGGAGCTTGCCCGGATAGATTCGGGGCGAAACGAGAGACCAAGCCGCCAGCGCCGGCGCCCCAGCCCGAGCCCGAAACCCAATGTTTTATTACGCGAGTAGATCAGTTTGTCAGGAGGTCTCCAGGCGCGAACCAATCAGTGACTGGACATTCAACATCCTAGATCTGCTTATCGGGACCGTTTCTCAAGACTTTGTGTTAGATGTGACGACCGGTCTTGGAGGCCAGCGGCCTCACGTTGTAGCGTCTCAGTTTTGGGCGATCGACGGAGACATCAATCTGTTGTATGAGATCTTTGACCTGGTGGTAACAGGGAGGGATACGACAGCCGGGTTGGAGACCGCAAGCTCGTTCCTGAGGACACTTGCCGATGCGCTGACCTACAACAACTTGTACGTCGATGATGTCGTAGCTACTATCGGCAGGCCGGATTATCACTGGGACTCACCTAACACCACGAGGCTTCTTTCAGGCACAGTCTGGGTTGAAAAGGACTCGGTTCATGTCCGCTGGACGTGGTTGACCCTCCCCATCGCATTGAACGTCGCAGGCATCCTCTACCTCGCCTTGTCGGTGTTCTACACGCGCAGACATCATCTCACGCTGTGGAAGTCCTCGATATTAGCCACACTCTATCACGGTCTGCACCAGAATCTCCTCCAACCAGACCAGGCTTACAAAAGGGCAAGCGACATGGTGGAGGCTGCCTCCGCTCTCTCCGTGAGGCTCGGTAGGACGGCGGATGAGGCTGGTGGCAGAACACAGTTGCAGGCATATGTAGTCCCATAGTTAGCACGATGTCGAGAGCGAGGCATCAAAGTGAGCAAACTGAATCTGGTAAAGGTGTGAGAGTGCCAGAGTGGCACGTGAGCTGTTCCTCAGATGCCAAGACCAATGTCGGCGAAACGAAAAGTCCGTGCTCCGCTCATACCAAATAAATTTTTGTAACTGCGCAAACGCATCCGCCGGCGGGCTAGATACTCAGTTGAGAGCTTTGACTCGGGAAAAAGGCCAGCCATGTCGGTGCCGACAAAGAACAAACATGCCACAAGCTCCAACATCGTCGCGGACGTCCCATTATCGAGTCCTCCCAAAAAGCGAAAACGCGACACCGAAGGCATCGAGTCCTCCAAAAAGAAGAAAAAGCCGCGGACAGGAGAAGTCGCCGAACCTCCAGCTGCCGTAGCGGAACCCCCCGTGGAGAACAAGGAGAAGAAAAAGAAGAAGAAGAAGCAGAAACAGAAATCCGAAGACAAGAACGATGCCGCTGCACGAAGGGTGGAAGAGGAGGAAGAGGTGCCAGTGTCGCCGGACATGGAACCGAGAGACGAAGACGCCGCCGAGGGCGACATGGAGTCGATTATGGAGACAGACACAGCTGGCCTGAATGGCTCAGAAGAAGTCGACGAAGCAGAATTGATGTTGCTGGAATCCGAAGACCCTAGCTCCTTCTACTCAACCCGCCTTTCACTCTACCTCTCGATACCTGCGGTCTCACTGGAAGCTGCCAAGTCGTCCATACTTGCAGCGCACCTCGCGCCGTTACTTCTGACATACTTTCCTCCTGCACGAGGCATTGTTCTGGGGTTCTCCGACCCGGTCTTGTCGGCCCAACCGAACTCCGGCATCAATCTTCCGCTCCTCCCTCCCCAAACCGGTGACATCGAGGCACAAGCAGAAGTACTGGCGGACACAGCTGACGAGTTTGGGGTATGTTGGGTCTGGCTCACCGCCACCTTTCTCGTGTTTCGACCTGAAAGAGGTGACGAACTGTACGGATGGACGAATGTGTCATCAGAGGGCTTCGTGGGCCTGGTGAGCTACAATTATTTCCAGACGGCCATCGGCAAGACTCGAATTCCTGCAGAGTGGACATGGAACGGGCCGAGCAGGGAACAGCTGCAGAAAAACAAGAAGGGCAGAAAGGGTCGACTACGAGACGAGAACAGTTTGGACGATGGGGAGGAGCACGGCACACAGGAGACTTCAATCACAGCAGTGGAGGCACCTTCCTCACAACCCCTATTGGTCGATGACGGGGGGTATTTTACCGACGCGAGCGGGACGAGGATTAAATCGACGCTGAAATTCCGCGTGGCCGATACAGAAATAGTTCCGGCTCATGACAGGCACAAATGGTCCTTGCAGATTGACGGCACTCTCCTGGACGACGAGGCTGAACGGAACGTGCTGGAGGAAGAACGCGGGAAGTTTGAGCGCGCACAGGAGACCAGTCGATCCCGGTCACTGGGAGGAGAGGATGCACCGGTGATGAGTGGAGCGTTGAGCAGATCGCTGAGCCGGGAAGGAAGCGTTGGGTCGAGGATATCCGGACACACGCCGGCCCGGCATCGAGTGACTTATTAGGAGGGCTCAGTGTATGGAGCAAGAAGAGGTTACGAGGACGTGGGGGGGAAGGGGGCGACCCATGCTCATGCTCATGCTCATGATCTGACGACTGGATCCCGTTTGATATCTATATTTGTGTTCACAGTGGGAGCGGGAGTGAGGGTGGGCTTTAAAAATCGCCTCATTATGATTGGCTGAGGATGCCATATACGGAGCCAATGGTGGAGCACAATCAGTGACGCAATGAGCAAACAGCCAAACGGGGCGGCGCTTTTGCACAAGTCAATGGAATGTCCCCGCAGAGCAGCACCACGCAAAAGAAGACGCTTCGCAGTAACTGCGCTCGAAACATCATCATTATCGTCATCCACGTGTCCCTCGTAGAGTCTCATCAGTCTTCGAGCCTTTGTCCTCCGTCTTCCTTCCGTCCATCCTTCTTGCTAGCCATTGTTGACATCTGACAAACCGACGACCCAGTTGATGTTTGGCCGATCCACTGCCCGCTGCCTCGCCGTCTCGTCTCCTTCGTGCAGACCTCGTTTATTAGCCGCCGTTTTCTCTTGTTCTCCTTCTTCTCCTGCTGGGTTTCGTCCAGGCATTGCCGTCTCTCCCACCCGGCCATCATCGTTCTCAGAAGCCTTCTCCACCACTTCCTTCAGCATGACGCAGGAGTTCAAACTCAAGGGCCTCGATAAGCTTGACCTGAAAGACCTCGAGAAGAAAGAGGTGGAAGTCGAAGGCATCGACGGCGGAAAAGTCCTCCTGTGCAAAGTGGGTGGCCAAGTGCACGCACTGAACGCCAACTGTACACATTATGGGGCGCCGTTGAAGTTGGGTGTCTTGACGCCCGAGGGCCGATTGACGTGTCCCTGGCATGGAGGTACGCAATATCACTCTCCACCTCTGGCACGGTTGGAGTATGAATAGTAATCTAATCTGGTCTGATCGATAGCCTGCTTCAACGCCCGCACCGGAGACGTCGAAGACTCGCCTGCGCCGCTGTCGCTGAACGCATTCGACGTCATCGAGAAAGACGGCGGAGTGTACGTCAAGGGCAAAGAGGCAGACATCAAAGGCGGAAAGAGGACCGTCAATATCAAGACCACTCCGTCTTCCCAGGAGAAACTTATCATTGTCGGAGGGTATGTTCCGTGTCCACACTCGCAACGGCGCAAGTCACTGACTGCTGGGACAGCGGATCAGGCACATTCGGCGCCCTCCTCAAACTGCGTGAACTCGGCTACAAGGGCCACATCACGGTCATTACGCACGAAGGCTACCCGATCGACCGCACCAAACTCTCCAAAGCCCTAATTACTGACGCCTCGAAGCTCTACCTGCAACCTGAACAGTGGTACTCGGAAGGCTCGATAGAGTTCTTCCCCGACACCGTCACTGCAGTCGACTTCGACGGCAAAACCGTGCAGACCAAGACCGGCAAGTCATTTCCCTACTCGAAACTCATCCTCGCCACCGGTGGCACGCCGCGTCAACTGCCCCTGCCGGGCTTCAAGGACAACCAGCTGAGTAACATCTTCCCCCTCCGAAAGGTCAGCGATGTGCAGGCCATCATGAACGCCGTTGGCGACAAGGGCAAGAAGATTGTCATCATTGGCTCCAGCTTCATCGGTATGGAAGTCGCCAACGCTCTGGCCAAAGAAAACTCGGTCAGTATTGTGGGCATGGAATCCGCGCCGCTCGAGCGCGTCATGGGCACCGAGGTGGGAAAGATCTTCCAGCGCTCCCTCGAAAAGAACGGCGCGAAGTTCTACCTGAACGCCGGGGTTGATTCCGCTGTACCGGCGTCGAAGCTCGCCAACGCGGTCGGTTTGAGCTCTGTGGGCGCCGTGAAACTGAAAGATGGCACCGAACTAGAAGCCGATCTCGTAATCCTGGGGATCGGTGTGTTCCCCGAAACGACATACCTCCGCGACAATCCTAAAATAAAACTCGAAAAAGACGGCAGCATTGCTGTCGACGAAAACTTTGCGGTCAAGGGCCTGCAAGACGTCTGGGCCCTGGGCGACATCGCCACATACCCGTACCACGGCCCAGGTGGGAATGGCACGCCCGTGCGCATTGAACACTGGAACGTTGCACAGAACATGGGTCGCACCGTGGGGCAACTGATCGCGCAGCCAGGCAGCAAGCCAAAACCGTTCATTCCCATCTTCTGGTCCGCCCTCGGGAGCCAGCTGAGATACTGTGGTGCCACGCCGAACGGATGGGATGAGTTGGTGTTGAAGGGTGAGCCTGAGAACGGCAAGTTCGCAGCATTCTACTGCAAAGGCGACACGGTGGTGGCCATGGCGAGCATGATGATGGACCCGATCATGGTCAAGTCCGCCGAGATGATGCGGCATGGCAAGATGCTAAGTAAGAGCGACATTCAAGGAGGCAAGGATGTCTTAGAGGCGGCTTTGTGATGATACGACCTGGCATGGATGTTGGGCATGGTACACTAGGACGACACGTCTCGCGGGTATGGGGTGGTGACCTTAGACAGAGCAGTCTCCTTCTCACAGCTTGCCTCAACCCGCATATTAACGCTGACATGCTGCATATTCCCACGCGAGAGAGAGAGAGAGAAGAAGAAGAAAGAAATAAACAGACAAACAAACAAACCTGGCACAAGACCCGTCCGTGTAAGAGCTGTATGGTATGATTCATTCCACCATCTCTGGACCCAAGTATCCCAATTCTCAACCCCTCAGTCTTTCGACGGTCGTTTTATTTTTATCTTCGGGCCTTCTTTCTTTCCCGCCCGACTCGGTCTAGACTGTCTTGATCTCGACGGGCTCCGTATGTGTGAGTGAGTGTGTGAGTAAGTGTGAGTGTGAGTGTATATGTGCAAATGCATTTGCATGCATTTGTGTTTGTGTTTGTGCGTCTCTCTCTCTCTCTCTCTCTCTCTCTCTCTCTCTCTCTCTCTCTCTCTCTACACCTACCTCCATGCTGAGGAAACGAGATGAAAAAGGCCACACACACACACAGAGAGACAGAGAGAGAGGAGAGAGAGGGGGAGAGAGAGAGAGAGAGAGAGAGAGAGAGAGAGAGAGAGAGAGAGGGAGGGAGGGAGGAGATGCATGGAACGAAAGAAGGAAGGACGTCGGCGTGGACTCGGACTGGGCAAAAGAAGCGAACGCTTCGGTCATATATGTAAAATATAGTAATATACTCGCGTCGCCTGGAGTCGCATCACATCACACGTAGGCAGTAAGTAATTCAGTGGTGTGCACCGCTCGTAGTGGTCATGGTCATCGTGGACGTGGATCTACATATCCCTATGTATAAGAGCGGGATGGTGGTGGTGGTGGTGGTGGTGGTGGTTCAGTCGCGGTAATATATTCCATTTGCCTTTTCTGCGAAACAATTTTTCTCTTTTTCCTCCTAACGTTCTCCCTCGCCCACCCCCACCCCGCCGGCGGGGGAAGTGTCGCACAGGCAATGAACGGTGTGGAACAATAGAAGAGGACATACTCAGTTACCTACCTACTTACTCACTGGACCTCCCACCCTTGATTGAGATACATGTACGAGGTAGATAAGACATCTCTGGAAGGAAACCCCGTAGGCGCAGGGGGAAGTAGTAAATGGACGGCGCTATAGTCCATGATCTCGCTTTCGGAGCCTCAGGGGACTTCTGATTGTGCGGTCGTCGGTCCTTTGTCTCAGTTCTGAGGACGTGGCCAACTCACCGGAGATATCGATGCAGTGGATAGGGTATCACTTCCTAACTCGGGAATTGTATTCTCCGCTGCGTCCCTTTAAGTGCACCGACGGCGGCGTGGCGTCCTTTAGGCGGGTGTAAGTAGCCAAAAGCGATGCTGGTGTGACTGGGCTCGTTCAAAAGCGTGAAGACGCTGGTCCTCACCCGGACAAATGCTGACGGGGGTTTATCGGCCTGCCGGCCTGCCTGCGTATGGCTTCGGGGGTTTGAATCGTTCAGTAAACATTGACCATCAAAACAGGGTCGTGAGGTGGTTTCGACATGAGTTCCTCGTCTCATCCCAGGAGAAAAGGACCTCCCAGTGTGGTATGGGGTACCATCGCAGAAGTTCGTACCAGAATAGTGTGGACTTCATGCGCTCGCCCTTCCCACGAGTATTGCAAAGAGGCAAAAGACGTGGACGTCAGAGCTTCTAGGTCAGCAGAGTCAGTCCCGGTTTGCGTAGCGTGGTTCCGGAACGGTGAAAGCACGGAGAATTTCAGGTGTCTGCATGTGACTTGACAGAGTCCTGAGGAAAGGAAAGTTGCTGGCTCGGTGACATCCCTGTGCTGTGTCCTCGGTACCTGAGGCAGCGGTGGAAGAAACCGCGGAGATCAAAATGTGCTGGAGACCCACTTCAATAGGTGGGTGGATGATCGAGACAATCGAAATATGTCTCAAAGCGTGGGCAATTGTCGCAAAATCGCAGTCCTGAAATGGCGATCTGAACCCCCCATTCCCCCTCGTACTCTAGTGTTTAAGCGAAATTTGGCTGTGACCTGGTTTCTCTTGATATCTGCCAGCATTCCTCGAGGACCCCCGACCCCTTAGATGGGTGGAGATCTGGACAGTGTCTCCAGTGGACAGTCTTTAGGCGGTTTGCACCTTCTAAGAGCCGATGTGGTATTCGAGAAGCCCTAGCAGTATGGGCCACTCCGAAGAGCAAAGGGTAAACCCTGTGTTGGGGGAGTTGATGGAAAGAGCCCATGGTCCAGATGGCGAAATCCGAGACTTTGGCGAGGATGACCATCTGGGCCTTCGCTCGCGTGGCAGCAGCATGTGGGCAACCCTCAAAGAAATGAAGGGTCCCTCTGATGCGCTCCATCTTCTGCTCAAATGATGCCGTTGACTCGTTAAACGCACATGGCACTCGGTACACTCGTGGAAGTGGTACCTAATAGCAATCTACAATGATCGTCCAAGCCAGAAGGGCCGAGCCAGAAGCTGTAATTCGCGCCAAAGATCCACGCCCCGGTTTTGATCTTTGACGGTGGGTAAAATCCGAACCGGGTCTCAATGTGCGTCAAAAGAGACCCGCATTGACTCGTTCAACTGACATGATGTCCAACTTTGTACATAGTACTATTCGAATGGTATCCACTTGCCGGCTTCCCGATGCTTTACCTCGAAAGACGACCGTGGCTTTGCATTTCACCAGGATTAGGGCTTGAGGCGTAATGCAGAAGGAGCCCCTGTACGAGGTACACGAGGTTGGCAGGTGTCATGCGGCGTTCGGTAGTCGGGACCTTCCCACTGGAGACACCATCTACAATGAAAAACAAAAGAATAAGGGAGATCATTGGCTGGGCAGAGCGTTCGGGCGTGACCAAGATACATTACTCCTTGGTAAAACGGCGAATGCCAAACTCAATGCTGCGCCGGGGTACTTGAGTGGAGGATCATCCGCCCATCAGAGGGGCTTCCGGAAGTTGTGGGTTTGCTCGCTGTAATGTATCTGGTATTGTAGTATCATGTTGTATACCTAGTGTCCGAGAGTGTTAGATATGGCTGCATAGTAGGTGGGTAGTAAACGCCATGGCCTAGCATCGCGTCAAGGCTGCTTGAGTCTAAAGTGACTATTTCGCAGGGAGAATTTCTTCCTCGGTGCCTCAATGGTCCTTTGCCGCAATGAGTTGGGGCTTCTGGAATGGTGCCTACACTGCGCAGTTAATGAGAGAGGTCTTGTCTCTGTCTGATATCGCTTCTTGGACTTGCGTGGAAACCGGGATGACCCTTGAAAAGAATGGCAAAAGGAGTTCAATTTCCTGATTTTGCCCAGTTTCTCAAACCCAGGAAGCCTCCGAGTACCATTTCAGGCCCCATAAGCCCCCAGTGAAAATGAGGGGCGTGCCGAGGAAGCCCCCTAAGTAGATACTGGCTGGCATGTCAAGCTTTTGCTCCCAGCCACCAAAGCTTGACAGGCGAGGATTGACTCCGTGCATACCACCACATGCTTCTTGCAAATCAGCAGTTGAGGGCATTGGGAAGAGATGGACAGTAGCTCAGGTGACCCGAAAGAGAGAAACAAGGTCAACATATGATATATACAGATATTGATACGGATGAGATATTGTACAATATATACAAGCGGAGGCAGTAGTGCTGCTGCCACCTCGTCACCAAGACCTGTGGGCGTGTGATGAAGTCGGTTGCCCCGAAGAGCCTCCAGATGTAATCATGGCCGTTCAACTCATTTTCGCGTTCCCCTAGTGTAAATCTGTTGTCAGGCAGACAATCTTTCTTGAACCTCTTACAGCTCGTCTGACAGATGCAATGCTCTTCTAGGTTGTAACGTCGCTCGTACTGTAACCAGTTTCTCCAGCTAGAATCTCGAGATCTGGACAGTTGTAGTTTTTGTGATTGCCCCAGGAACTGGTTTCGGCCATTGGTTGTCGGTGCTGACAGCATGAAAATCTTGGTCCAACATGATCTTGTCGCTGTCATCATCACCTGCGGTCACCGTGCTGGTGACTACTGGCCCTTTTTGGCCGGCACCTCTGCGTAATTCTCCCAATTCTGTCGATTGGCGCGAATCAAATTGATAGTATTGGCTCCCGGGCTTGTGGGAAGAGCGCTTGTCGGTCTTGCTTTTGCCGTAGGCAAGCCCATCGGCATCGTATCCGTAATTGGCCCGATTTCGGCCGCTACTCGTTGTAAACTTTTGAGTGACACCGAGAACCTTGGCAAATAGCGGACGCAGCGAAGGTAGAGAAGCAGCCAAGATACCGATGTTGAACTCGATGTTGTTCCACATGAAGAAGGCATCGTGATACGTCCAGTCAGGGTCTGCGAGAGCATGAGCCTGCTTGACTGTTTTGATGATACTCGAGACGCAAGCGAAAAGACCCAAACTCAGGACGAAGCACAAAGTCAGCTTCGTCCGCAGATTTGCTTGCAGTGTCCACACCACAGGGATTGGAAGCAGCGCAAACAGCACATCCGTTGCGATGTTGATGCTGCTGTTGAAGATACCAATGTTTGTGAAAGTGTTATTGCTGAAACATTTGGCTTGACCGGTTGTCCGGAGAGCGAAATTCCAATTCGCATCGACCCGCGTGCCGCAGTTGAAGATGAGGGTACCAGCGCAAGAAATCGTAAAGGCAACGAGAAAGACAATGCATCCCATCAGGAAACGCTGGTAGGACTTGCTTGGCACGAATCTGCGCAGGAAGAATGCAATGGAGATTTTGACAAGACTAATGCCGACCATGATGATGATGGAATGGAAGAATCGCCAATGCGAAAAGAGTGTTGCATCAGGCAGGCTGACAAGTGCTGGGTGTCTCCCTAATTCTCCGGCATTGCTCTCTCCCACAAAACAGATAATGACGCCAATTTCGCAAATCTGGTGAGCAAGCAGGTGTCAGGTAAGATGATCAGTATGAAGGGAATGCCGCTTGGGTCACTCACCGCAGCAGCAGCCATAATATAATCGTCAACCCCGAGGCTTTTGAGCATGAATATTCTCACATAGAGTCGAAGGAGAACCGTAAGGATGGCAACGCCTCCAAAGGTGCCGTGTATTGCGAGGAGGGCACCTGCGTTGGATTCATCCTTGTACTGAGGGGAAGGAGCAGGAGACTGCCGCTCCAAAAGCTGAAAAAGGTGCGGTGTGACCATGGCGCCGACGAGAGTGTGTCAACTATCAAACGATCAGGCGAGGCAGTAGCAGGTGAGCTGTGACATTTGGGCAATGCGAGATTGACGAACCCAAGACCTCGGGTCAAGTAGGATTTAAAGAACTTTGCAGTTTCAAGTTGGAGATGGTACCTACACTGAATTCGCTTGTCTCTAGGTGAAAAACTGGGAGCTTCGCCTCTCAACCTCCTTCCTTTCCTGCATTTCAACACACGGAGAAGTCTTGGGCGGCGGGCCGACATTTGATGCCTTAGCGTTGAGCAGTTCTTCAGCTATACCACTTCAAACATTTGGCTTAGTGGTTCGTCGAGATTTGGTACTCGTGGTATGGTTATTGTGCCTTGTCTGGAATCTTAGTTGAACACCAACATGAAACTACTTACCGAGAACGTGGATTTTGAACACTGGTGCGTTATTCGCGTTGGACAGATACCTCTAGCGTTCCGTTCTGTATTCGGCCAAAGGATGTGTCGTGGACCCGAAAACTCCTCCCACTACTGTACACACTGTCGTCGATTCGGGACTTCAGCAGAGTGCAACTGGACCAAAGCCTCATCCAGGAAAGATCGCCGTGTGGCTGCAGGGGTTCTTTCCTGCTGTGGCATAATGGCGGCGCCGGGGAGGGCGGAGACATTTGGCTGAGGCGCTGGTCTTTGCATTGACACTGTGTAATACTGCAGCCCCAATGTACTATGTGGCATGAAGGATTGGTGGCTGGCTGTTTTTGCATGGGTTATCCTTCCAGTGTCTTTTCTAATGCTCAGATACAGGGTTGCACTGTATCACGATAGACCCTAGACCAGGGGAGACAAAATGTAACCGAGCTAAGGAGTTTCCGGCCTGTCGGGGCACGAAAGAAGGGAGTAGTACGTTTCCCAGACCACCGTTGGCCGGAGGCTCCCTCTTGTATGAGTAGTAGTTAGCAGACTCAACCTGAAGCATCAGACGAATGAGACACCAGTAGAGGAAGCATGCAGCACATTGGTCTTGGAAAGAGAAAGCTTTTCCCACATCAGAGCAAACAACAAGTAGCAGAAGAAGGGGTGCTCAACGAGGGTGGAGAGAAAAATTCGGCGAGAATGGAGCTTGGCAGGGGTTGGAATTAGCCTTTTGCGCCAATGCACGCTATTCCTTTACTAGTATAGTTGCCGCAATCTTACCCCAGGACGGACTCTCTAGCGTCAGTCCACCTGGCATATTCCCACTGACCAACCTGGCCATTCTGCCCTCCACCCGATATTTCCCTCCGGCGGACAGTCAACCTCTTCATGTTGACTTCAGGGTATGGCGCAGTCAGCATTGCACTCCAGACACATATTGCCACATAGGCACGTACAGTGTACCAGCTGCTTTACATCTAGAAATCTGACAGAAGACCCAAATTCCTCACCCTCAGCCGGAGGCCCTCTGAATTGTACCGACGTTGAAGCTTTCCTCAGACGCCCGGTGTGGCGAGTGATGGCCCCATCCTGAGGCTTTTACACCTGCAATCTTCCAGACCCTCGCCAATGCATTGCAGTGCATTGTGGTACAATTGCCGAAATCAATTCACTGCAACCAGGTTCCATAACAGACAGTGATCGGCACAAAGCTCCATCAAGCTACTGGGGTGCCATTCTCACACGCTACTCAGACGACATATCCACTCGACTTGTGAGATCTAGACCTTGTCCTCTCTTGTACTCGTGCGCCCTGATTCGGTCGTTATCTAACTGGAACGCTCGAGAGCAATTCGCTAGAGCTTCGCTCCGGCTTCTGACGAGCATTCGATAGTTCTTAAATACCCGAGATGTGTTACGCGCGGCCTCAGAACAAGACTATCGATTGAAGAGCTTCACTGTCCTCCGTCTCATTTCCCTTGTCTGATATCTCGCGTGGCGGACTAACAACCTCGTGGCAGACATAGGGGGCCCTACAGGGACGTGTTTATAAACAGAGCGGAGCTGCCAGGATCCAGGATTTTCTCTTCTCCAGGGATTTCTGCCTCCGCGACGAGCGTATTACTTTGGTTTGATTCCTGATTTCAGGTATTGGCCGTCCATTCCCTTAACTTTCTTACTCTCTTTGCACCAATTTTGTTTGTCTTTGCTTCGTCCGCGACACCTTTTACACCATGCATCTTCAATATCTTCTCCCGGCTTTGTTAGCTGTAGGAGGCGCGCGCGCAGCACCGGCGACGGTCGAAAACATCTCTGCAAAGCGCGATACCAGTCTGTCCGCCGCTTCGATCTTCATCCCGGCCTCAACCCTCGAGACAGATATTCTGGCGGCCAAGGGTCTTGTCAATCTGGCATTCTATGAGCTGACGAGTGGCTCTGGTGGAAGTTGCAATTTGCTCAATGCGGCCGTGCGAAGGGAATGGTCGACGCTCTCCAAGGAAGAGAGGCTGGCTTACATCAATGCTGAGTTGTGCCTTATGTCAAAGCCGTCTCAGGATCCCAGTTTCGCGGCAGGCGCACGATCTCGATACGACGACTTTGTCGCCGTACACATCAACCAAACCCTTTCCATCCATGGGACGGCCAACTTCCTAGCTTGGCATCGGACCTTCACCTGGAATTTCGAGCAGGCACTACGGAATGAGTGCGGCTATACCGGGTATCAACCGTACTGGAACTGGGGAAAGTATGCCTTTGACCCTCTCAACTCTCCCCTCTTCGACGGCAGCGCCTACAGCATGTCGGGCAACGGTGCGTACGCGCCACACGGCTGCACGGAAGCCCTGCCCACGGATATCAACTGCATCCCTCCTGGCTCTGGAGGTGGCTGCGTGACCACGGGCCCGTTCAAGGATTACGTCGTCAACTTAGGTCCTGTTGCTCCGACCCTGGATGTCCCAGGGATCATCAACTACTCCAACCCCAACCCTCTTGCCTACAATCCTCGCTGTCTCCGTCGCGACATCTCCTCATGGGTATCGTCCAACTGGACCAAAGACTCGGACTCGTACGACCTGATCTCCAACTACAACGACATCCTGTCATTCCAGAACCGCATGCAGGGCGACTTCAGCGTCGGGTTCTACGGCGTCCACACTGCCGGCCACTTCACGACCGGTGGCGACCCGGGTGGTGATCTCTTCTCCTCGCCCGCCGAGCCGACGTTCTTCCTGCACCACGCGCAGATAGACCGGACGTGGTGGATCTGGCAGAACCAGGACCCGAAGAACAGGAGGACCGCCTTTGGCGGTGGCACGTCGACTCTGGACCCCGTCAACAGCCCGCCCGGAAAGCTCACCGACCCGATCAACATGGGCAGCTTGGGACAGACGATCGAGAACCAGGATGCGCTATGGACGACTGCCGGTCCTTTCTGCTACATCTACGTCTGACGGAAGAAGAGAGGAAGAAGAGCAGGAGGATGGAAGGAGGGAGGGGGGATGTTGACGGCGTTTGATTTGTACGTCACGACCATTGTCAAAACCTACCTGGGTACGCAATAGATGTCACAGGAGCTCACAGCGAGCAAGCAAGCAGCATTACACGGTGAATTTATCTTTGAGCAAAATACATAATGTTTATTCTTTGAGCACGGTCTCCCAGTCCCGACAACGGCATTCTCGGACGCATTCTGCCCTCTCCCTGTTTATTTATTCTCCGAACGGTGTGCGTGTGCCTGGCTTACGAGGTGATGACCCACAGTCCCGCGGCTTATTCCCATCGCATCGAGACGAGGCTGATTGTCCGGGGTATGTTCGACAATTCGAGCCCACGGGAAGAGCTTACTACACTCCGCTGGCTTCCTTGTTGAGGGGTGACTGTCTGACGCTGGCAACGGAGAAAAAGGAACATGAAAAGATGGGGTAAGAGAGATCTCTGAAGATGGGCCAAGCTTGCCACAAGGGGGTAGAGGGTCTTTCGGAACAGCTGAAACGGCAAGGCTGACATGCGAAATAATAGGATGGAGCCCACCCTTTCTATCATACCCACACCCACAAGGCACAACGAGGCAGTGCACCTCTTCACTTGATTTCTTTCCACCCCGCAGACACAGGCTGAGACGCGTCAAACAACAACAACAGCAATAATAATTCGAACCACACAAGCTGTGAAACTCACAAATCCGGGAGAATTTCGATCTCGGATTTACCAACACAGCCACCCCCTGCCCCCGATCAGCAAGGACATAACATCACCTCTCTAATTATTCTGCATTTCGATTTCATCAGTCCCTGAACGGTATCCTTCCCATCATCATCATCATCATCATCATCACCACCACCACCTCCATCCGGACCCTTTTATTCTCTCCAAAGAACAAACAAACAAACCCCAGGATTCTTACAGCTCCCCAGAAATAGCAAAGATCCTCACTGGTATCGAGGGGTATGTAATACATATATATCCCAGCGACCCTTCCAGTCCCCTCTCCGTCAGAGCAAGCGGCGTGTGATTAACTGGCCAAACCGGGTAGCTTTTCACACCTAGTTTGTGACGGACCAAAATACGTACAGACATTCAGAGATCCAGTCCGGCTGAAGCGGGGTGTGGATGCGAGGCGGTAACACAACAGGAACACGAATTAATCAGTCTCTCCCCAGAGATAATACGCAGAGTTCGCCAAGGGATGTTCGACCTCGTGGATTTCTTGCTGCTCATGTGCTGCTGGTGCTGCGACCGCAAGGATAAGGACGAGGAGGAATATGATCTGTCGGAGCGGAAACGTCAGCATGAGCGGGAGAGTCGAGGCGGCGGGTCTAGAGAGCAGGACGGCGACGGCGGCGACGGGGGTGCCGGTCGGCAGGAACAGGGACAGGGACAGGGACAGAGACAAGGGCAGCCGCAACTGAAGAAGAAGACGCCGCCGCCGCCTCCGCAACTAGCCCATGCGCCGCGGCTGGAGACCGAGGCATGATCGATTGAAAGGAGGAACTAAACGATGTTCGACATGTTGAATCATTGAAAGCACAACCCACGGTGGCGATGCAGCGCCATTTGCCGCCTCCTCATGTAATGATACCACCGGTGCCACTTCATTATTTCCCACTCGCAACGCCGCAAGAATCAGACTCATATCCAATCGTTCACGCCATTCCCTCAGCACACCCGTACTCAAAATCACTCACTCACTCACTCATTCATCCATCCATTCAGGCGGCCAAGAAAGGTCCTCGGGCGGTTCCTCCTCATACTGCACGGCGCCCTCGGGGATATCGACGATGGCGGACCTGGTCCAGATGTGCACGGCGAACCTCATCATCTCCTTGGACAGGCCCTCCAGACAGCCGCCCTTGATACTCACGTGGTGGCGGACCTTGCCCTCGGGCGAAACGGAGACGTGGGCCAGGCGGCTCCCGCACGCGGTGCAGAAGTAGCCCTCGGTGAAGCCGTCCGAGTTGGGCCGCGCGTACATGGCGATGGCGCCGCGCTCTGTCGTCGACTGCTTGAAGTCGAAGTATCGGAAGATAGCCGTCACGCCGTACGCCGACGACGACTGGTGCCGGCACTCGGTGCAGTGGCAGATGTAGAGCTCCAGTGGCCGCGGCGAGGGCGTTGTGAAGCGGCACTGGCCACATTGGCAGCGTCCTTCCATTATTTATTATTGTGATTTCGCGCTGCGGTCAGAAAATTGATTTCGATGAAGGCTTGGTGAAACTTGTTGCTGTCCTGGCTGGCTGGCAGCGTGTTTGTGGGCGTGAATTAAACGGAAGACGGAAGACGAAAAGTCGCGTTCTATCGAGCGGCGCCGGCCGCCAGAAAGTTGTCTCCGTTCGTTTGTTTCGCGGGGTTTGTGTTTTATACGCCCTTCCGTTACCAGCCTATTGAGGGGCAAGCGAGGCATTCATTGGGTGTCGCGTATCCCATCGTCACCTGAGCTGAAAGTTTAGGTACGAATATGAGTTGCTCCACCTCTCTCCCCAGTCTGGGGATCCAACATCGGACCATTCTTCCCGCCGACGACGATGAAGAGCTTGAGTCTCTGTTAGAGCAAATTGGATAGAATTATCCCAACAAGTTTGATTCAAAGTAGGCCATGTGCAATACAGCCGCCCCCGTTGTCCAGTGGTGAAAGTAAGCACTTTGCTTCTTGGATTCCACTGGCGGAGGGTTGTCGATTGAGCAGCCTGAGAGCTCGACGAACCGTTGCCACTCTCTATGCGCATCGGCGCAGACGCATGTCGCCATGGCTTTTGCTTCTGTGGCCCGATGCTCCATTGCTGGGTTGCGCACCGAACAGCACCCACAACACGCTCGTTGGGAGGAGTGTCACTCTTGATCACGCCCGTAAACTTGTTCCAGTCCAACCTGACTGATACTCTCTATCTGGGAGATGAGCAGGTCCAAGAATCATGTGGTTTCTAGAACTTGTGACCCTTCAGTTTGTTGTCGGCGGCTTGCTTTCTGATTTCCCTGCCATCAATAATGAAGACACGCAGTGGATGCACCTTGTCGAGTCCCAAAACAAACTGATAGAATGAAGTGATTGAGGACAGAAAACCCATGTCCGCGTAACGCTCTGAGATCGGCGCTGCAACGAGGTAGATGCCCGCGAGTTAGACAGTCAAGTAGCACGGGCGCACATGTTGTCGCCGACGATCGAAACCATGACATAGGCGTTCCTGTCCATTGGTCCTTGCATACTATCAGCCTTTTGGATCAATGTTTCCATGAAGGCATCGCGAGCCCCATCTGCCTTCTGCCACTCCAGATATTGCCTTCGAGGTGAATCGATCTTTGCTGGGTGGATAGTGATGTCTGTTTCTACATTCATGTGTGTAGAGACTGGCTTGAACAAAAGGACAAGAAAGAGCACAAAAACAACGCCCTAATTCTGTATCAGGAAAAAGTCTTTGTCGAAACGACTTGGGTTGGGAACTGCGGTTGAGATGCGAGCTCAGGCGCCTGGCTTCAGAACAGGGGGTTAAACGCCGTTACGGCGCCTACGCATATGCGTACGTGGCTTAGCTGTCAAGTCAAGAATACCATACTCAGTGCTGCTGCTGAGGTTAGATCTCGACTTTGCTTGGTAGAAAGACGCTTGTCGCCCAACCTCTGGCCTATAAGGCGGTAAAGAGGGCGGCTGGAAGGGTGTCGAGTAAGCACGAGGGAAGGGGCCGTTTCTTTAGGCGAGGCCCAAAGTCTTAGTTTGGCGATCGTCATGCCTCAATCTCTAGATTGGGGTGACTTCGGGATTCACAAAACTCGGGATCCTCTCAGTCCGGCTTAGCAACCTGTTCGCATTTGGCCAAGTCCAAGACACGAAACGTTTGGCAAGTCAAATGAGTGGCTGGCGTCGCTCGTCGAAATCGTCTCGAAGCGACAACTAATCTAAGCGGGGCAGTCTCGGCTGTGGCCTGACGAGGTCAACGGTTTCGTTGGGCATTTCGGACGGCAAGCGAGCGCCCACCCTGCTGATTGGGCTCATATGAAGACGTGCGTGCACGCACCGGCCGTCCCGCCCACCCTGAGACATTCTTCAATTCCTGCTTCCTTCGTTGTCGCTGTGGCTGTCAACTCTGAGTGGGACGCGTACGAAGTGAACAAAGGCTATGTGAGAACTCTGCATTGATTCGGGTTGGTGTGCCGTGATGTCTGAATCGAGCTTGGTTGGTACGGACACCCCGCAAACGAATTCGGAAACCGATGACTTCGATACCTCTGAAGATGAGCTGGCGTATGCTGCCGTCGGTGACAAAGCGCAAAAGACTCGAAGCTACACTTCGTGCAGCAAGAAGAGTACCAGATCTCTGCAGCTCATCAATAGCCCGAAGCCACCCTTACCCAAGGCGATCTCGGCGTGCCTCGTCGACCCTTTTGAAACACTGCCCATTGAGGTCGATGGGGTCACGAATCAGCTCCTCCACTTCTACGGCCAGGACAGCTACTGGCAAACTGCGTATGCCTTGGCTCCGAAGATAAAACCCTCGATCAAGGGGTCCTGGGAGTATCAGGCAGGCGCATGCCTGACTCATTTCCACATATTGATGGCTCGTTCAGCACTGCATCAACTGCGTATGAATGCCAAATACGCCGCGCCGACTTCGAGAAAGGCCTTGGAATATGCGGCCTTAAAGCATCAGACCAAAGCGATTACTCTTCTTCGAGAGAATGTTGAACGTGGCTCCAACGCCAACCTCAAACTGATCTTGACTTCTATCATCAGCCTCGCGACGTTCGAACAGCGGTACGGGGAGCGGGAAACAGCCGTGCTGCATTTTCGAACCGGCAGGGACATCATCCGCCAGATTGGCCTGCAGGACGGCCTTCATGATCGACTGAGAGAGGAACAAGCGCTATGGTTCGAGGGAATCTATCGAGACGCCGAAGCGAGTTGGATGTGGGGGCAGGAGGACGCAAATATGCGACTCGGATGGCTGAAATCTCTCCTGAAAGACGTCGATCGTATGTGGAGAGATGGGCAGTTATTGCCCTTGAAGGACAAGGGCCCATATGTTCTCGAGGATTTGAGACTACACGAGTTCCTATCCCGCGAGACGACAGGCAGGAATGTGAGCGTGTACGGCGACATTGATGAGTTTATCGCGCAGCAGCGTTGTGTCTTGCTTCTCGTGTCGATCATGTGCGGAGTGCATCGAGTCTTGGAAGCGGTGGATCACATGAAGGTGGTGCCCAAAATGATGGCCCTGAAAGTCGCCATACAAGCATATGTCGCTTTGATCGAAGGCTTGCTAATTGAGCATGATCTGGGCGAAGAACAAGCAGAAGCCGACTTGCTTTGGATGATGTGCCAGAATTATCGCGATGCAAAGCCGCACCTGGTGGACGCCGGAACGATGATGGCCCGGGATGCCCTGCAGAGACTGGACCTGCGCGACTGCCACTGGCGTGCCAGCGGAATTGCCAATGTGGTCAAATATCTTCCTCAGAACCGGCAGCTGAGTTTGAGGAATATTCTTCTTGACTTCATCGACGGCAAGCCTTATTCGGGCAAGATCAGATTCAATGAGTTCGAGTTCAGTTATGCTGGCATGTGACTGTTGATGATTTCAGATAGCTGCTGCGGTTTCGGAGAACAAGCCAGCAGCGGAGAGTGAGGAGAATTGCGGGCAGCAGCGCCAGAACGGCTTGAGTGTCACAAGAAATGGGTCGGGCCAAAAGCTCGAGGGTTGCGTTCTAGCGGTCAGGCTCCAATGGGAATATGACATCCCAGCTTACCCTATCGTCAACCTGGTGGTCAGGCTGAAAAGCCGTGCACGGAATCTCTTAGCGCATATCGCAGATTTTAATCGTCAGCAGGAGTCTCGACATGAGCGGCTGGAATTCATGGTAAGCGTGGGGAGGCGAAATTGTTGCTCGAGTCCTCCCGGATTTTCCAGATGACTTTCCCGGCACGCTTCCGTAGAGCTAGGGACGGGGCGACGTCGTTAAGCGTTCGATACGAACCCCAGAAGCTGAGGAAATAGCGATTCCATCGAGCAAGGTTCCGGGGAATTGTCCTTAGGTAAACTGAGCTGCAGTGGCCAACCGCGGATGCCGAGTCAACGTTCCGGAATGCCCACCCCCACGACCTAATAGGCCTCGCTTATGCATCGGACGCAATGCATGGAGAAGCGGATTCCCTAAAGCGTCCTTCTGGTACCGTGAAGTTTCTCCTTTTGGCGAGGGCATCCAAGTGACGCTGTCGTACGCCGAGTGTGACAACGCCTCAGAGGGCGGCACCCCAACTATCATAGTCCTGAGTACTGGTCTGGATGGAGTACTTAAAGGCCCGCAGTCCTGGCTGTATCGGTGGATGGAGAACAAGTCAGTTGGTATTTCGTTGAGACGGAAGAGCAGAGAGAACTGTGCCTCGGCCTCAATTTGACATGCTGCACAGCCGTCTTCTGTGCCTTTTCTAACCGTTCGACAATGGATCGACAGCTTGATTGGATAATTTCTCCGCCCAATGATCCTGCTCTCCCGGAGCACCCTCCTTGTGCCACTCGACTTCCGCAGTTCAGCTCACAATTCCACAACGATGTCGTGCATACTACTGATGGCTCCTCCCGCCTTGACACAGCTTTGGCTCAAAGCCTCGAATGCACCAACCAGGCCACAGATGAAAAGGAAACAAAATTTCCTTCCGCCGTTTGGTCAGACGGTTCCGAGCTGGCTGGTCTGACGACACCGGAAAGCATGTGGCTGAGCCTGTCGGAGGGCCAAAATGACCATGAAAACTTACCGTCGGACGATATTCTTGGACAGCTGACGGATCTTCAAGCGAGGCCGTCCTCCGTCCAAAATTTCGCGCGCGTGCTGGGAAGCTATATCGGCTCGATGTCATCGTCACACCCACGTTTTGACCTTTCCGGAGACGACGTGCATGAGCAGACAGCTGAGCCACAGCCATGGCATAATGGCGGTCCATTGGCGTCGTTCTTCCCTTCAGGAATTCCGTCGAATACAGGTCAGGATCCTCTACAACAGTGGCTTGACGAATCCAACTCGGCAGATCTTTTCACACTCAATGACGATGGTGCCCTATGGATATGGGGAGAGAAGCAGGAGGTACAGTTGCCATTGAACGATATGGAGGATACAGGCTCGTCGGAGACGTCGGCGATGAAGAATGAGGTTTCGAGCGATGGCCATAGGTCGCAACGGACAGGCATCACTTCCGTCATATGAATGTGAGTCAAGCTGTGAGGTAGCTCTGGGAGACGGTTGTTCAAGCTGGCATAGGACGGGTAACATAGTGTGAGTCGTGGTTGACTGGGGTTGGTGTGGAAGTGAATCTTTTTTCAAAACGTCTCACTTAATAATGGATCATGACTTCGCCGTTGTTGTTGTTGTTGTTGTTGCGGTTGCGCTCTTTGAAATGTGCAGCAGCAGCCGAGCACTCTGAATCCACTGGTTATTGAGAGATAGTGTGCTCTGGGTCTGTGTAGGTAGGGAACGGTATCACTGTCAAAGAAGATAATGACTGGAGAGCAAGGCTTGAGCAAGGCTTGAACATGGATGTGCACTACGGGCTCCGGATTAACCTTTCTCCGGGTCCCCGGCGCGAGGGATATAACACGAGGTACCGAGTACCTCGTACTGGGGTCAGGGCATGGAGCCCACATTGCATACTGGTTCTTGCTTATTGAGGAATTCTGTTTCTATGCCTACTCGTACATGCATCTCTGCGTCGGGCCGACTCTTCTTCAATGGTGGGTGCCACCTCGCTGGAGTTTATGCGATACCCAACGGTCCACGGTCTACCTTCGAGTTTTGAACGTGGGATGACAGTCTTCAGGGCGCTTGATACCCCCAAACTTTGTATGCTGGAGTCAGGAAGGCTCGGAGAACCCCTGAAGCGGAAGACCTATGTCATCGTTTCCGCACCCGAAATGGCGGTGACCGGGGATGTCAATCCTTTCGCGCGAACCATGCGAACCAAGGCCCCGTCAACGGCCAGGCGGCCAAATGGCCTCCTTCCACGACCTACGAGGACCTAGGCATGAACCGAGTACTCTGGGATTATCTCGGGCGGCTCTAGCATTCGTGCGGCTTGATTGGAGCAGACGACGGCATTACGGTAAAGACAACCCCGGCAAGGCATGAACACGCCGATGCGAAAGGCAACCAGCGATTCTTCATGCAAGGCCTTTTGGTCCACCCCCTTCCACATTTTCCATGAGCAAACCATTGCGGACCGGACCAATCAAGACGCGTCATTTCTCACTTTGTTTATTACTTTTATTAGATCAAGGAAGGTTCGCCATTTGATGCCGGTATGAGGATTGGCTTGTTCTTATTGGTGCCGGGGTGGCTTCATGGGTCAAAGCATGAATCAATGCGAGGATCCCCCGAGTTTGTCCATATGCACACTCAGCCAGGGATCAAAATTGATGGGTCGAGACTGAGACTTGGCCAAGTTCCTAGTGCCCTCAGACATACCCACGAGTGATGCATGCTTGTACCGAGTAGAATGCCCTATATCACATCATTGGATGCACCGATCCCTCATAACAACGAACTGATGCTGCCTGTAGCACTACCCTACGATCCTTTTCAAGCATTGAAGTTCGCCTTCAAGTCTCCCTACCGCTCCGTCGCACCACTCCCTAGCGGCTCATCTTTGATGCCCGCTGTAAAGCATAACCATATAGCCCTGGTACGTTAATATCTGCTCTTCGGTCGAGAACCATCTACGCTGACTTTTCATGACCAAACTGACTGGCGCATGCCAATGCTATGAAACCGAACTCATCAGCTTCGTTGATACTAGGCCTTCTGCTCGCCCCAACATCAACTCCAATTTGTTTTCTTGGCCCAGCCGCACCCCCAGTAGTATGATACTCACCTTAGGAGCCGCTTCCATCTCGTCATCCTCCAATGTCAGTGAGGATATTGGAAACCAAGTGCTGTACAGACTGCTGTTGACCTGGTGAAGCCCAAGGATCCGAGTTACCAAAGGGTCATCGTCAGGAGTTTGTGCTTCCCGTATTTGAACGGGCTATTATTCTGCTGAATAGAGCAAAGAGCTCTGAACAGGGTTGTTCTCTTCCAAACAGTCCTCGTTGAACCTCCTTCTTCTAAGATGTGGGCAACGATGAGCTTCGCTGTTACTTTAGCATCGTCAAAGTGCAGAAATTCAACGCATATTCGAGTCATCTCTCTCGCAACCGCCCTTGAATTTCGGCAATTCTTCCATCCAGGTGGAATGGAAGTGCCCGCCACCTTTCACAGACCAAAAACTCGTTAGCCGTCTGGTGGGTAGGGTATATTCGATCGTGATTGATGAAGACGAAAAGACCGCACCGTCCACGGATACGATCTCTGAGCCTGACCGAGTCGAGCGTGACCATGTGTCGGGACTCGCGGTTTGTTGACTGTGCCCAGAGGTCTGAGAGAGCTTTCGACGTGGCTGCATGAGGCTTGTAAAAACAAGAAGGCCGCCTTTCACATTGGCTTTCCGATTTAACGAGGCTGAGAAGTAATTCGATTATGAAAGACTTCGAAAGCAGTGATCTGGGGTCTTTACGACGAATCCGAGCAGGAAACTCGAATGACCTCAAAAATGGCGGGGTGAAGATCTTGATATAGGATCAGTCAGCGGCTCAAAACCTCATGTGTCATACTGCCCAAAGCAACACGACAATTGTCAATATCTGGACTAGAAACCTATGAGCGCATATTCCGACTCGTCGTCCTGCGGGCATAAACCGGCGGGGAGATTGTTCTTCTGCAGCGTTTCCAAGACTTACAAACGACGGACCGCCGCCTTTCGTCTAATAATCAGAAGCGTACGTGCCGTGTGGAAATTAAGCATTCGAACCCTGTCGCAGTCGAGTTGTGGCTCTGGATGCGAATCAGGAGTTGACCCGTCGTCGTGCAGCGTGATATTGGGGGCCGTTTGTCTCAATCCCGGCATACATCGTTGTCAGTGGTTCAATACTGTCCCCACTGAATCGACAAAAGCTGGGATCCTCCTGCGAAGTCCAACTGGACTACTCGTATACTCGGGTCATGGCCGATGTGGCATAGGGCTGAACGGCGCTTCGCCGCTACAAATTTAGCCGGTACAAAGGGTGTGACCCTGCGAAACGCGACCTTACCTACTGCCGCCGAATTTGTTTGATCCCAAGGCAATCTACGCCTCCCTGTTCGAGCTGTGGCCGTTTTCACGGTCCTTTGGAAAGGGAAGTGAACAATGAATCCTGCTTGGAAGAGTCCTGGCCAGCGCTCGAAGACAAGATTCCAGTTTCTCGTAGCCGCAGAGGTCGACCCGAAGCCTTTACCAACATGGCGGCGTCGATGGCGGCGGCCTTGGCGGCGGCCTTGTCCGAGGATCTCCTCGGGATGTACTCCGTATTAGGTACGCAAATATGGGGAAGCAAAAGGAAAATACAAAGTATAGCATGCTTAGTTCGATCGTCTAACCTTGTGCAAGGGCTCCAGTTGCCAATCAGCACCCCATTAGCGCACGATTGAACACGAAATACGAACCTCGAGTCAATGTCAGCTTACATAGCGGCTCCGAGAGTCCCAGCTTAAGGCTGTAAGTTTTGTCGTCACATTGTGGTCCACCGATATAATTGGCCCCGGCATCCCAATTTAAAACAGGAGCACTCGTCTATAGAGATCTGCAGCAGTCGTCTTTGGGGCCGGGAAACAGATAATCCAAGCCTTCGGAGCCACCCCTGACAGCCGGTCTCGCCATTGGCAGATCAGCCCAACCGCACTCGAATCCAACCGCTTCGCCTGAAACTAAACATGGGCCATAATCGTGAAATACAGGATCCTCCCCTGATCGGTTTGTCACACTGGCTGGCCTGGCTCAATAGATCGTCCTCAGTCAGCACAGATCCTTGCTCCTCCTCCTCCTCCGCCCACTACCCAGTATCCATGCTGATAAAGCATGGCTCTCAAATGGGACACGTCTTTCACAGGTAGGGATCGGGACAGTACACGACCGATTGCTCCAAGTTTGGATAGAGATCAACCGCAGAACACGCCAATGAGACGCGAAATATCTGTGGAGGGCAAAGTTGCAACAGTGTTACACGGCATGAGATTCTTCCTTCCGCAATTCCTTCCGTCAGCCATTCGCTGGCTAATTAAACCCGCGAGTGATACCAGTTCCACTACGGACCATATACGCAGGAGCCATCTGCGGCTCTCTCAGGTCGGGCGGCAAAAGTCCAGATCTGCCAAGGATACTCTGCTGATCGTCCGACAAAAAGGGGGTTTTCCACCCGGCTGCTAAAGGATGACGGTGCCAAATTCGCGACTGCAGTGCTCAGCCGACCCTAGCTAATGAGGATTTTCGGAAGGTAAAGAAGGTGTCACAGGTAATCTTCCTCGTGAATGCACTGCTTACTTATTCATCAATCCTTCCATGTTCAATATCTCCTAAACGGAGCATCCTCACTCTTCATCCTTTCCGTTGCACAGCTTTGTACAGCTGGTTTGACATTTGGTGATCAACACGATGCATGCCAGCACAACTTGTGCAGGGCTGGACAGAGTCCCGTCTAGAACGAGAGACAATGGCCCCGGGGAGCGACGAAAGCAGCAGAACAGGATAGCCCAACGAAGGTATCGTGAGTCCAACTATGTCGACTCTCGGTTGCCATACAGAATGACTGACCAGGTTGAACCAGGAGACAAGATCGCCAACAGAACAAGAATGCTGGAAGCTTTTGCACAACAAGCTCGTCAACTGCTCAGTGATGCGGTCGATCTGGAGGTGGGGGAGCCACGATGCCCAGAGTGCAGCCACTGCCGGGGTCTTGAGATCAATCAGGAAGCCAATGCACTGCAGGCCACAGATGCACCGACTCCATCATCTCAAGATTGTCACCGGAACGCTGAGATGGACCCATTCAACTTTTCTGACGGCACTTTGGAAAATTCAACGACAGTCCCAACTTCCGTCCCCAAGGAAGATACTCATCAACCTCGCCCTTGTGAATCCCGGAGCCTTACATGCAGCAGCCTTGCTTCCCTACGCGATGATCCGGGTAATGGGCGTGCAGTGAAAACAGGGGCACCCATAACACCGAACCACAGCCTCCCCCTCAAATTCAAAGAAGACCCTCGTCCTTTTGGCGCTCTACATACCCCGTTGTCGGACCAGACCTTTGTGGATTACATTGACCTTTCCAACTTCGAATTTCTTAACACTCACGGCGGCGTAGCCACATTAACCCCCTCAGAAGAGTCTGCACCGCTAGCGGTAGCAAGCCAGGAGAGTGTACAGGGGGTGGCGGCATTGCATCTGGCGGCAAGAGAAGGTCGAACGCGAATTCTCTCCATTCTTCTACGGACTGGACTATCTGTCGACTCGCGAGATGAACGAGGGCGGACGCCGCTGCATCATTGCGCATCACACGGTCACACCGAGGCGGCAGAGGTTCTTCTGGCGGCGGGAGCCAACATCAACGCAGTAGATCTGAACGGCACCAGTGTCATTATAGCTGCCGTCAAAGCGGGAAGCGAGAAAATGGTGGAACTACTGCTAAACTCCAATAGATAGCATTGATAGGTATGAAGACATGCAAGGATGCTCGCGAGTCTTGTTTCAAAACACGCAAAGCACCCACACCATCCCCTGATCGTGAAGACTATGGACAATACTGGTCGAATGAGACCGTCCCTGCCAGCGTGTCCAACTCGTGCCACTCCGGCAGCTTCTTCAGCAAACCCAAGAGCTTGTTGGCACAATGTTCGTGGTGCTCGTAGTCAACCATCTTGTCGTAGTACGGCGTGCCGTCACGGACCACCTGAGACAGCTGGAGGAGGAAGTAGACGCAGTGTGTCGCATGTTCTCTCATCTCGGCGAAGATTTTTCGATCGCCGTCGAGCACCTCCGCCCACACGTCGTCCCCGACCGGCTTCGTCTGGTCGAGATCTTCCCAATAGACCCATTCTTCCTCCTCCACGAACTGGTCGTTGGCGTACATCGGGCAGTTTGGAGGGAGCCACGCCCACGTCAGTTGGTTGAATCTGCAGCCCAGCGCCCGAGCTTCGGCGGATGAGTTTCCGCACGGGTGTGGGCGTTCATTGGATTTCGATACGCCGACGACGTGTACTTCCGGAGGAGGCAGAGCCCATTTCTTTTTGCCGATGATGCCGTTAAAGGGCACGATGGAGGCGAAGACGATGGCTGTGCAGGCTATCACGGCGAGGATGCCGGTGTATAACGCCAGCCTTCGAACAAGTGCCCGGCGCGGGTTGGGCGTCGCGTGCTCGCCATCCTCTATAGAGTCTGGTTCGACAAGAGATGTCTGCTCGAAATCGCGTGTCGTGTCCTTGTCATCTTCCGGCGGATGCTCTTGCAGGGTGTGATACCTATGGGACGGCATGAAGGATCCCTGCATTCTGATTCAGTAGAGCCGTTGAATTTCTTCTAACGAGGAACTCTGAAATTCTCGCACGCATGGCTTAACTGCTAGTTCTGCAACCTGGTTGATGGTGGCAGAGGGCATTACTCCCTAATGCTCTGGACAACGAGGCTGAATATGCAATATCAGGCCCCCCAGTGGAGCCCATGCTCTTATCTCTGCATGTACATAGTATGCTGACAATATCAACCCCCTGATCTCAGCTGCTCCACTCAGCCTTATACAGATGGAAAGAGACTGCTCACATCATCCATACCAACACGATATCCTTGCGAGGAGCCACATAGGGCATAGTCTCCCTCAGCACGTCGATGTCCCAGCACGCACGCCTGCCACTGCTACAAGGCTCAGACTAAGGCTGATCGATGGACCTCAATCACTGGAGGGAGTCAATCGTGCACCGTTCACCACAGAACCAGTTTTCCACTGAAAAGCCTATACCACAAGAACACGACGATAATGGAGGATGTGCCTGAATCGACAGCGTCGAGAGCCAGCTCCGACACCGTCCGCGACCTCTCAGACGTCAAGCAGCCACTCCAATACACCTTTCCAAAACGACGAAGATGTGCGCACCTGCCGCAAGCATTTCCCTGGCTACTGTCCGGATTCATGTTGTTCATGTTGATTCTGCAGCACTGGCGCTATGAGGCCAGACGATGCGTCCCAGTCGGGTATTGGGGTCCGTCGGATCTTGGTCAGTGAATGTGTCCCCCAGGAGATTCTCATATTTTAGTGGGTTTGATCGGGTCACCAACAAAAGAATGCTAGAGATTGCACAGCGAGAAGTTCCTGCACGGACGATACAGTTCAAATTCTCTGGGGGACTGAAGTGGGATGAGACGAACCACCTTGTCCGCCAGATCGACCCGACCATCCCAGACTACGGCGGCATCCCCACGCCCGAAATCGACGCCGCCTGGCAAGAACTGATCTCGAGTGAGTTGTCGGAGGCCCACCTGGCTCTGGTGGTCCCAAGGGACTAATTGACATTGTTCAGCGACGGATATCTTCTTGACAAAGGAGGAGATTGATGAGATTATCGGTAATGGCGGTGCCTTTGCAGAGGTGCCGCCGGATGCTCAGCTGTACACTGACCCGTACACGGGGCTTTATCAGGCTGTGTAAGATATGTCCCATGGCTGAATCAGAAGCTATAGTGCCGATAGCTGACTGGTAACTCTCAGCCCGGCCGTTTTTCACAACTTGCACTGCCTGGTACGTCCCTGTTCACGTGCATGGTCTTTTTGTTTCTAACTGACTTACCATCCAGGACATTATCCGTCGCGGGCTATACATCCAATACTACCCGGAAGAGCTGACACCCAGCTTCAAGCCCCATATCCGTACGGACACCCCCCCTCCTCCGATCTTCTAAAGCCTGAAAAGCCCAGACACGCTGACTATGTGTGTGTGTGTGTGTGTGCATGTGACAGAACACTGCATCGACTCGATCCGCCAGAGTCTGATGTGCGAGGCCGACATGACGCCCATCCCCGAGATCCACACCTCGTTCCGGCCGAATGGAGAGCTCGAGCCGGTCTTCCAGGTCGAGCACACGTGTCGGGACTTCAGGGCCATGCAGAAATGGGCTAAGCAGCGCGACGCCCTGGACGAAGCGCTGTGGAGGGACAATGCCGAGAGGCTGAAGCCGGGCGTGTTTGCGAACCCGTAGTGTGTCTACTAGAGCGGTCTGTGGGTGGTGATCCGGCACAACAGATAATGCCATTCTTGTAGTAATTTGAGACTGTTGGCTTCGGTACCGATCCATTGTGGCTTTCCTGATCCAGTAGTCTCTTGCCTTGTGGGCAGATGGGTATCTGTGGTTGCCCTGCTGTAGTCGATAGATCATAGCAAGCTGCCATGCCCGAAGTCGTACCAGCCACGACCTAGTGTCATCCTATACTCCATGTCTATATGGATAAGCTGTGGGTTCTTTAGGAAAAGCAGGCCTGAGTCTTGACCGATCAAATACAGGCGAAATACCGCGAACATCGAGGGAATGATAAAAGCCTGCTGGTACGCCCCTGTGGCTTTGCTTCAAATCGAGTACAGAACGTATGTCTCGAATTCTCATGGTGACTACTTTGTAAGTATGGGAACCAGCTAGAAACAAAGGCTGTAGTAAACCCCCAAGCACGCCGAAGATGCATTTACACAGCTAACTCCGACAGTATAAATCTAATCAAGACCAATCCCATTCTCCACGCTATTCCTCCAACGTATTGAGCGCGTCCTGATTCTGCTTCATGGCCCATCGATGTATCGTGTCGAAACTGCGACAGGTGTGCAGCTGCTCGAAGTCGGGCACCTCCATGCCAGCGCCAACCGAGTAGACGAGCGGGATCGGGGTTAGGTCCGAGGTGCACTGGACCAGCTGGCGGAGGAAGTCGAGGCAGTGCTCGATGTGCAGCACGTTGTTGCGGCGCTCGTCGACCTTCTCGGGCATGTCGTACAGGTACCCGTCGATGGTCTGGCGCAGCTTGTCGACACAGTGCAGCGAGTGGAACACGTCCGGTCCTGCGCGGTACAGCCCGTCGGCGCTGCCCTTGTCGATCCGCACCGAGAACGACGCCTTCTGCTCTTCCGTGAACGCCAAGTACCGCGTGCCGATCAGCTGCTCCCAGGCCTCATCCATCTCGGGCGTCGGCCGCCCCACGTACGCCGGACCCGGCCCGTTGTCGCGGTACATGGTCCCGTTGTCGTGGAATTTGATCCCGCCTGTGAATTTCACTTGGGATACTTCGATCGCGGGTCTGGCTAGGACTATAGGCCGGAGTAGTCAGTACAGCATCTCCAGAGCAGATGGGAAGACACTGAGGGTCTCTCACTCATATCATTATGGTACCCCGTGTCAAAACTTCCCCGTCCGCCACGCCGCAGATCGTGGAAAAGAAGGAGACCCGACAAGCCCGCGAAAATGAAGGTGAGCACAATCCACGGAATCGGTGCGCTGCCCCTCCGGGGCTCGTGTCGGCGTGGACTTTCAAAGCTCTCGGTCTTGTCTAGTAGCTTTTCATCGGCTGGCGAGTGGTCATCCTGGACATCGACGGGGGAGTACTCCCTCTTGTTCGGCCAGAAGAATTTAAAATCAACCATCATTTCGTCCAAGTCCAAAAAGCTTGATGGGAAGTCGGGCCCCCGAGGCGGCATGTAGAAGTTCAGGTTCGTAGAGATGGAGGATAGTGTGTGTCCAAGACGACCGGAACAAAAAGGCGTCTATCTGGAAGGTATCGGCCATGCTCCGTCGAGCTGTCGATGTGGTATTCCACATAAGGCATGTCTCTCACACGTCTGTGAGGATGAGTGACGCGAACCACGAGAGCGCCACGGTTTGCCTGCTTATGTGAAAATAATTATGTGGTGATCTGATACTTCGCGGTGTTGTAAGCTGCATGGGAAAGAAGATCCACATCTCAGCAAAGTGGGTTGGATCACATCCTTGTCAGGGGCTGAATACTGACTACTGTACAGTAGTGCGCAGCTGAGATCACCAGTCAGTCAGGGACGACTCTCTGCTAATCCTTCGTGTTTTCAAGCATCACTAGTCCTTCATTACAGGGACCTGTCCATGCCTCTGTGAATTGAGGGGCAAGAACATGAGACTTGATCGTTTGTAGGGCTGAAAGCCTTTGCTATGGACAGGGGTTACGAGAGTGCGAAGAGTCTCGGTATGCATAATCTAGAGATACTGCTCGCTAGCAGGGGCTTTTCATCATAGATATTCTAGTCCCGAGCCATGGGATTGATCAGAACTTGAAATGATTCCAGCCAAAAAAAGAGGATACCTTCAAGCTCTGAATAAAATACTTGCTAAGATGCTAGATTCGGGACAAGGCTAAGCCACAAGAGTCGTCACGAACCCTCTGTAGGAGTTAAAATCGCCCCAAATTCCAAATCATCATCGTTCCAGACTTCATACTTCAAGCACTGTACCCGCCTCCGTCTCATTTCTCGGGGTGTTGAACACCATCATACAATGGTAGATATGGCCGTCGGAGTCGGAGCGCGGATCAAACACCTTGTCGGGCCGCGTCTTGAAGCGATGCTCCTTGAGCCAGGAGTACAGGCAGTGTTGGCGATGCCACTCGATGCTCATGTGGAACAAGTGGCTGGTGCCGAGGTCGGCGTACATGGCAATGTCGTGCACGGTCAGCGGCTGCGTATGCTCCTTGTCCGCCCAGTAAAGCCACGTCCCGTTCGGCCCGTCGCCCTTGGTCGAGAATTCCGCCGCCAGTTCCTCGTCCCGGCACCGTTCGGGGAGCCAGGCCGTCGACAGCTCGTCAAACACGCATCCCTTGGAGAGGGCCTCGGCCACGCTCTCACCGCAGTAGCACGGGTGGTTGGTGTATTCGGCCGCGTGCTTGGGGTTGTCGTAGGACGGCACGAATCGTTCGACGCGCATGTTCACCAGAGCGTTGACCAAATTCATGATCCCGATGAATGCCATGAGACCGATGAGGAAGCGGAGTGTGTAGATGGTGAGCCTAACCCGCAATGATCTTTTCTTCTTGACAGACAGGGCTGGTCGCATGAATTCCTCGAGCTCCTTGGATGTGCTTTCATCTGACCCCTGTGCGTCGAGTAACCCAACAGACGACTCTATGTCCAGAGAACTGTGTCGACCCTGTTAGTATTATCCTTCTGATATGATGGGAACTTTGGTCAGACCTTGTAGGACGTTCTCTTTCCATAATAGCTGGGTAGGAATGCCAGATACGAGCCCAGGCGGTTGGAATTGAGAATACTCGACTTTTGGGATGATGGACGAGTTTAACGACGCCACGAAAGATTGGAGTCGTTCACTAGTGATGTTTGTCTTCTCCCTATCATAGGCTAGAGTCTCTCGACATGTATACTGGCGTGAGAAAAGTAGGGGACTTCATCGCTGATGTGAGCAAGGCCAGCCAATCAAATATACGCCTTTTAGTTCACCAGGGCCACGTCTCCATCCAAGCTCTGCGGTGCTGTGGCTGCATTTTGAGCACAGGTTCGAGTCTGTTCTGAGCCCTTGGACATGTTGTCTCGACATGTGAGCCTTTGAAGCTTCTCAACCATGATTATGCCCGATTTCTTTGCAACAGACCCCGACTGGGCTGCATACGCAACCAAGCACGGGCTCCCACTCCCTCCAGACAAAGCCGTTGACAAGCCCTCTCTGCCGCGACTCGACGCAGGATCCTGGGACTTCCAGGCCATCAGACAGGCAAATGCCGAGACAGAAGCAGCCTGGACCTGTGACCATCCACTCTCCAGCGTCGGGTATGAGACATTCCTGACCAACGTCCGAGTCCGTGACGGCAGCGTATGCAGCGTGAAGGTTTCCTGGCCCGCAAATCCACGATTTCACAAGCAGTGTGGCAGCCTCACTGCAGCGGACTCATCACCACTACCAGTCTTATTCGTGACGCACGGCGGAGGCTGGATCCAGGGCACGCACACAACTGAGGAGGCATGGCTGCTGTGGCCAATCTACCAAAGATTTGATCTCGTCATCGTCAGTGTCGAGTATCGCCTGGCACCCGAGCACCGGTTCCCAACATGGATTGAAGACTGCTGGGACGTGCTGCAGCGGCTCTTGCAGGATACAAGACAGTTTTTACCGGCAGAATGCCCTGCTCAGGTCGACCCAAAGACTCTGTACCTGGCGGGCTCGTCTTCTGGTGGGGGGATCGCCGCCGTCTTGTCACATCTCTGCCGCGACCACAGCATTCTCGTCTCCGGGGTGATCCTGAATGTCCCTGTCCTCTGTGACTACCGCGAGATACCGCCTACCACACCGCACACGAAGAAGGGCGAGACATCGTACGAGCAATGTCTTGGTACCTTCTCGGACTCTCGTGGCTTGATGGCAGTGTGGGACATGATCCGGCCGTCACTGGACCCTCAGCCTAAAGACCGCCAGCTGGCGTCGCCACTCCTGGGCGACCTCTCCAAGCTGCCTCCACACATCATCTGTGTAGCCGGTCAGGATCCGCTCCGAGACGAAGGCCTACTGTACGCACACAAGCTGCAGCAACAAGGGACACCGGTGAGGTTGCAGATGTACGCCGGTGTGCCGCACAATTTTGCTCAGTTGTGGGAACTCAAAGCTTGTCGACGGTTCTGGGACGACTTACGGAGAGAGATGGAGTGGTTATTGACTCTTCAGTAGGAGATAACAAAGAATCCAGATGTTAAGGAATAGGATATCCCAAAGCCCTCTTTCTCCAAGATTTGACCTCGTGACATCGCCTTATCACCATAACAATCGGGAACATAGAGAGCCAGAGAGAATCAGTAAACTAACGACAAACTACTCGTATCAAGCCAATACATGACATCCCACGTGGCCGACCTGCACCTTGATGGCCGTGGTACGATATTCGTTCTCAAACTTGTCCGTCCAGTCGACCAGGTACTTGGAGCAGTGCATGGTGTGGACGGGGTCGACGAGGACGTCGTCGAGGTAACGCCAGCCCTCGGACCAGGCACGGAACTGGCGCCGCCACAGCGCGGCGCAGTGCACGATGTGGTCGCGCAGCGACGTGTAGTAGAAGTCCAGGTCGCCTAGCTCGTCCTTGCGCAGCGGCTGCGTCCGGTTCACGTCCGCGAACGGGTACCACGACCCATCCAGCTCGTACTCTATGATTGAGAAGTCGTCGCGGCATTCGCCGGGGATCCACGCGTTGCTGAGTGTGTCGTAGATGCAGCCGCGCGTGCGGGCCTCGTCCCGCGTGACGCCGCATGTCAGGTAATCGATCTCGTTGGACAGCAGCTTCCCGACGTGGTTGGTGTGTGGTGCGGTGGCGGCGGCTGGGGAGGTTTCCAACACGACGTTGTTCGAGGAAGATGGCTCGCCGTTGGGGTGCAACGCCGCGGGGGAGAAGTGTGCAGTGAGAAGGAAGATGCCTCCCCAGAGAAGCGTGGTGGCTATGAAAACTGCCAGGTGAGATACGATTGACGACTTGAGAATTCGATCAGTTGCGCGGCGTCGAGGGAGAAGCCAGGTAAGAGAACGGTAGCGGTCGTCGTCTGCTGACGATTCGATCTTCGCCGGCAAGAAGGGCTCACAGTCGTCCATAGTGTCGACGTGGTATAGCAATGTTGGTGTGTGCAAAGAGGGTCAATTTCTACAATATTAGGCTGATCAGAGAGATATTGTCGACCTGTTTGCTGTTTGTTGTGCTTGACGGTGTTTGCTTCAGCCTCCGACGAGGAGTAGACACGCCATGCTACATTTCGCCGTCCATGCTTGGTACTGAGTCTCTGTAGAGAGTGGCAGCTCACATGAGCAAGTGGATCGCTGATGCCATCATTGCTTATGGCGATTTCGACTATAGGAGCGGGGCGTTGTGGGTAGAGAATGATCATATAAGCAATGAGGCTGAAGCCCCTTTTCTCGTGGTGGCTGCTTATACAGGCCAATGCGTTACAACACGAACACTATTATCAGCATTCCACGTCATTTAGATCTCTAACAATGCAGCTTAGGATGAAGAGAGAGATGCTCTGGTAAATTTCCCCTCGGTCAATGCGACAAATCAGCATGTATTCGAAGATGTTAGCTCTGGCGATAATGATGCGAAGATCCTGTGATCATCGAAGCTCACACCACCAGCTTAGTCAACCTTATGGTGCAGCTGTCGACACCACCAGGAGAGCAACCTGCCCATGCTCTGCGAAGAGGTAGGAGATCTAGCTTAAAGCTAAGTCCCTGGCCGAGCTTTGGATCTCCCTGTCCGTTTCATTCCGCACGAGTCGAAACCATACCAGCATTCTCAAACGTCGTCTTCACAACCAATTAGTTTATTTCAACACACGCTTCAATTCAACATGAAGTTCTCGCTCATTCTCATCGCCGCAATCGCCGGCTTGACAGCAGCCACCCCTGTCGCCAAGGGTGCCGAGCCCCCCAGCATCTACCGACGTGAGGAAGACACTCAACGAGGCGGCATCCCATGGAAACGCGAGGAAGAAACCCAACGTGGAGGCATTCCCTGGAAGCGTGAGGAGGAAACCCAACGGGGTGGTATTCCCTGGAAACGCGAGGAGGAGACCCAACGTGGCGGCATTCCCTGGAAGCGGGAGGACGAAACCCAACGGGGTGGTATTCCCTGGAAGCGGGAGGAAGAAACTCAACGTGGCGGCATTCCCTGGAAGCGGGAGGAAGAAACTCAACGTGGCGGCATTCCCTGGAAGCGCGAGGAGGAGACTCAACGTGGTGGCATTCCATGGAAGCGCGAGGAGGAAACCCAACGGGGTGGTATTCCCTGGAAGCGTTCTCGAGGAGCTTATTAGAATGTCTCTCAGAGAGACGGTCGCAAACAAGCTCGGACAAGCATGAGACCAGGGATGAGTTAGATGTGCTGTGAGGCTGGAAATATTGTAAATACAGTCTCGACAGTCACACGTTGGATGTGTCGGGAAGAAGAGTTTTTGTGAGGCACGGGTGGATAGCAAGGTTGCTTTTGAGGTGGAAATTGAGATTGCCGTTTTTCCTAGTAATAGTGTTTCCATCGAGAAAGTTTTGGATCCCGCATGTTCCCGAAAGACTCTGCATTGGTAAGTTCTGCTTCCTTCGTTTATTTGTTGACACAGCCAGAGAGATTTGACCCAGCGAAGAGACGAGGAGGTGGTCAGTGGAAAAGTAGGATAAGGTACTCTGAGCGCTACGGGGGAGCGAATCTGTACAAGCGCAGAGTTCTAGGGCGCATCACAAGCCAGGTGCGCGAAGCTCTGCTCACTGTGCGACTGTGCACCGTCACCTTTGCTACATTCCTCTCCTTCTCTCGTGGCCGCCCATATTCGGTGGCATTCAGGCCAGAAACCACTGGAAGTGAGATGGACTGTCGCCCCTTCGTACAGGTGTAGACCACCTAGACACCTTCTTTCCGCCCCGGACATGTCGTGACGTTCGAGGGATTACTCTGCTTGACTCCTTCAATCGCTCGAATGGCTGACGGCGTGATATCACAAGCCTTCTCCCTCGTGGGATGGGCATTCCTCCCTGCCGTATGTTGCCCAAAATCCAGGGTGACGTCTGACTGATTCGAGCCCAGTACGCTACCTCCTTTCTACAGGCACTATACTACCGCCTCACCATCCCTGCTGGCCAGTCCCATCCTCAGTTTGGTGATCCTCTCTTCGTCCGCCACAACCGTCGCATCCGCGTCTTGGTCCTGTCGCTCTACCTCTTATACACCCTCGCTCAAGCCCTCTACGACATTAGACTTGCTGGGGATTTCTATACCCTGCTGGGAGTTACGCCGTGGTCTACAGAGCGGGAAGTGAAGAGCCGCTTCAGGAAGCTGGCCGCAAAATATCACCCGGACAAATTGCATGAGAATGGTCAGTCGTTTCCAGGTGCCGATGGAGTATTTGTCCAGTTCAAACTGGCATACGACACTATTTTGGATCCGGCGAAGCGATTCGCATACGATCGGTTCGGACCTGTCATTGTCCAGGTTCAGCACCCAGGGCTCAAAACCATTCGAGACTATGTCTATGCCGGCCTGCGCACAAAGGCTCCTGAATATTTGTCCAATGCGGGACTGCTCGTTCTGCTGAACTACGTTTGGCTGCCGCAATGGGGACAGTTCTGGCGCTATTTGGCTGTGGCCTGTATGGCATTTCTCGAACTGTACTTCCTGACTCACATCTGGCAGCCTCCAAAACTCGTGGCATTGTGGGTGTCGACGACTCAGAGGCTCTTACCAGATCTGCTGCCACCCCATCTTCTCCCTTTTCAGATTCTAGCCCTGGCAAGACGGATGTCCATGTCTGTGAACATCTTCATCTCTCAGCTTGCTCCCCGTACGGTGAAGGACACGGCCATGCGAGACCTGCAAACTCAGCAGCAGATGGCGAACTTGGCTCAAGTGGCGAGCAGGTTAGATGCCGAGTCCGAAATGTTGCTCCATTTGGGACTGAGCCCCTTCAAAGGAGATGCCGAGAAGACAGAGCGTCTGCGGTCGGGCATGAAGGAGTTGTTGGTCACGGGTGTGGTGCGAAGGAGCCCGGAAGTGATGGCAGCAGTACAGAGGGCTCTTGACAGGAGGAGACGAGGGCCGATCATGCAGGAACCTACCTGAGGGCCGTCCTTGCAAGTGAGTTCACGACATGTGAGATAGACTTTAGAGTACCGAGTACCGAGTACACAATGTGGAGTGCCATCTCATGCTCGTCTCCTATAGATAGCACTAGTTCCATGGTTTCAACCTCTTTGGGGTGGTTTATCACTCTGGTACTATTAACCCGTACCGTCGCTGGGTGATTGGGGTGTCAGTGACCGTCTTGGAGACCTTTTTGGAGACACCACCTGAAGAACGAGGTTGGACCAATCGAGCCGACCGAGTGCCACCTGGGAAAACGAAGCCATTCTCCACCATCCCAACGCGACTTGGTGCCAGGATTCCCGCTCGCCGGGTTATCGCGAGGACCTTGACCACTGTCAACTACTCCTCCCTGCAATCCTGCCTCTTCGATTCCACGGCCCTCTCTAACATCGTGCACCATGCTGACCACACGATGCCGTCGTCCTTCAATAACACCTCGCTCCGCTTCCGATCCTTCTGCGCCACAAACGATGATCTCCTCCCCCGACCGAGCATGGATGCGCGCCCAGACCGCATTCCGGACAACGTTGACACTACCGTTATGAACCCGTCCAATGACTTCCGACCCGCCAGTAGCGATGGGAAATTGCAGTGTTGTTGTGGGAGGCCAGAATGTGTCTATCTGGAGAACAACAACACTATCTTGGGCGGCATCGAAAGAGACCTCGAGACCGCCGCAAGATTGGGTCAGGTACGTGCACCACTACCTGTCGGTACTTCGGGTGATGCTCTTGTTGTGACCTTGTTGTGACCCACCCGCTGTCGGTTGCGCCTGGATATGTACTGAGTACATCACACTGGATATGTGGGCAGTGAATCTGGGGAAGTCGCACTGCGAGGGACGGAATGTAGCCTTCACTTCAACATTGCTCCCCGTTTGTCTCCTGCTCAGCGCCCCTCATGGCTCTGCTCGCTGGAATTGATTTCTTCCTCCCCACAGCAGTTGACTGCAACGCCCTGGTCGAGAAAATGCAGGCGAGCAACGGACTAACATTTGCTCTTCAGGCTCTTCTCAGCCGGCATGAATCCTACGTTTCCGAGTCGCAGCACGAACATCAGCGCCTAACGGCTTACATCAACGAACTGGAAGACGAACGGACTGCTTTGCAGACCACAAACGACAAGATTGTGGAGGAAAATCGCCAGCTCTTGACGCAACTCGAAACGGCCAACACATCCCTCAAGGAGAGCGATAACCATGTCAAGAATCTGGAAGCGCTGCTTCGTGACTGCGAAGTCGAGGTGCGCAGGTTGAATGGCCTCAGCCGGCGCACGGAAGAATTGGAGCTCAAAATACTCGAGATGGAGAAGGAACGCATGGCCATGACCCAACAGGCAGATGATGCGCGAGGCGAGTTCCGGAGCACGGTCAAGCGGTGGAGAGAGAGCGAGATCAAAGTCCGCCAGCTGGAGCGTGACGTGCAAAGAATCGAATGGGATGCGAAGGAGGACCGGGAACGCTACGAAGAGATCATTGCCAGGCTGGAACGTGAACGCACCTTGGAGAGAGAATTAGGTGGCGCCGAGGGTCGACTGAAATCCGCTGCTGCCTTCAGAGGTCTCAACGCAAATGAAAAGAACACCAATGTGGTCGGCCATTTTGTGAGGGACATCCTACAAGACAATGCAAATTTACAGGCTGGGATTGTCGAGCTCAAGGAACTACTTCAAGCGTCGAACGAAGAAGTACAGAACCTGAGAGAGCAGATCCTGGAGCATCAGCCTGTAGACGACGGCACATCCGACCCCATCTCTGGGTCAGTCCCATTGAGCGATCAGCCTGGCTGGCCACAGCCTTCTCCGAACGTGCAACAATCAGTCCATGTCCACCACCATTACCACGCCAAACTTGCGAAACGAGACAGGGCTCCCACCATCCGAAAGGCATCTCGCAAGCGGACCGTCGTGGGCCTCGGGTTTCTTCCGTCGACGCCAGAGTCTTCAGCACCTACGACGCCGATTGCCGGTCCTCATCGGGTTGTGTCCAGCCCGGTGTTGCCCATTGCCCTCCACCAGCCACAAGCAAAGAGGAAACGCTGGTCTGTGCAATCCGCCGCAACAGGCTCGTCTGTGGTCTCCAGCTTCCCCAGCTCTCCCCGCTCATATTTGGAGCACTCCAGCTCCATCTTCGACCGGCTGGAGGCTGGTGAAGAATCGTCCAGGCCCACAAGTCCCGAGTCCAGTGGCGGTTTCGCATCTCCTCCGTTGAAACTGAGGCCCGAATACGATGATAGAACAAAAGACCTGCTCACCGAGGAGGAACTCGAAGATGGTGCTATAGAAGCGTTTGCGGAAGATGAGCACGCAGACTTGAAAGATGATGTGAACCACCGTGACGGAGAAGAGGTCGACGAACCAGCCTCGCCTGACCTGACGCCCAAGCCTTCCCAAATTCTTGTTGCTGGTGAAGGGGTGAATGACACAAGCCAACCAGACCGACTCGAACCTGACCCAACCGAGCAGCGACATGGAGGGGCGGAACCAGAGCCACCTGATATAGTCATTGACGAGGAGGTGGCGTCGAATATACCAGATAAGTCACCAGAAGAGGCACAGAACGACGGTATGTGTCCCCCGACAATTTCCTATGGTCTGGAGGTTACCTCCGATGTTGCGAACCCAACCAGTTTCCGACGGACGTCCTCGAACGATTCTCTTGTGTCAATCTCTGGCATGGATATACACATCGCGAAGAGACCTTCTTCGTCGTCAGCTCAGCCATCGAGCGTGTTGAGGGGTAATAAGGCATATTTCGCCCTTTCGCCATCTGCAGCACGAAGGATCACTTCTGCACAACCATTGGCCACGGTGACAGAGTATACGGCACTGAGCTCGATGGCATCGTTGAGCTCAGTCTCGGCGAGCGGTGTGTCAGTCGGACAACAGCTGCCGCGAAGAAGTGCCAGCTCGAGTGTGGCAGCATTGAATGGTCTGGCGGATCATCCATCCTCCCGCCTTGAGGACCAGGTACCTACCTCGTCCGGCTTGGGTCGTCTTCTTGGTGGTTGGGTAAAAGGGAGATGGGGCATTGCACCAATCAAGTCAAATGCCGACTTGACATCCTCAGCTGCTTCGATTGAGACGTCATCTTCGAGCGAAACACAGGCACAAGCCTCGTCTCCTTTGTCGTACATGGGTGGCAGACCGCCTGGAATCAATCAGAAGGGACCTATTCCCGGGTTCAAACCGACGCCAAAAATCACCGGTGTACAAGTTACGATAGTTGATGAGCAGGGGCTGAAGGAGAGCTTGGCAGAGAGTTGATCAACTCGAAACAGTTTCGACCACGAACATAATGATATGCTTGGGCAATGGCAATGGTGTACATATTGCCCTGGGTTAGTGAGCATGTTGCAAGCATTGTCTGGATGGCACGATGATACCCCTGAATTGCGAGCCTGGCCGTTCCTTAGAGGACGAGTTGGATGGACGTATAGTGAAACGAAGTTATATTGTGATATAGATGAGTTCTGCGCCGGAAATGATTGATCATCATCGTCAACCTCGTGATTAGCATAGATGGTGACCGTCCATATGTGGCAGTTGTGCTGAGACAAACGATCTCAAGGTCTGACAACTTCAATCTTCAGCCCTATACAACGTATCCAGGTGCCATTTCTTCAAGTGTCCTGTCCGTTTGTCCCATATCCCTCACCACCGACCGGCTGACACTCCCGCTCATCACTCAGTCCTCATTCCAGGGGGGGTTCTGCACCCACTCCTTCTTTCCATCCTTCATGACGCGGGCCTTGATGTCGCGCAGCTTGCGGTAGTCGTCCTCGTGGTGGAAGTAGTCGCGGCCGTCCATGGAGGCGACGGTGGCGCGGATGCAGGCCAGCAAGGCGTCGGCGCGGCGCATCTTGTCCTCGACGATGGGTTTGTTGTAGTTGCCCACTTTGCGCAGACTCCAGATCTCCAGGTCCAGCGCGTACCGCTGCCGCATCAGCTCGCGCAGCCGCCGCAGCTCCTCGGGCGTAACCTTTTGACCACGCGGACGTGGCGGGGGCCGGTCCGCCCTGGGGAGGATGACGAGGTTTCTGCTACAGGGGAGGAAAAGAAGAAGGAAGAGAAGGTCAGTATTTTCTGCAAGCTCTGGGACTGAGTCGGTCAGGGAATGGAAGGAAACAAACGTACTCTCGGAAGAACCGTGTGATTGCCGGCATGAGGGCTACGAAGGAAGGTGGGAAATACGTATACCAAGTAGTGGCAGTGAGAAAGAAGTGCGGTCTGTGGTCTATGGTCGTTGCTCGGTTCAAAAAGAACTATGAGATGCACGTCAATCAATCACTCATTCACTTACTCACTCAACCACGCACCCGCGCAGCCTCTTCGAACTGGATCAAACGTACCAGAGAATCTCACCCACTGCAGTTAGGACTTCCTCCTTGATTATCTTTTGGTTGAACGGCCTTCAAGCGTCCAGCTTCGGCATGGAACACCACCGATGACCAGGATCAGATCAGATCGGATCTTCTCGGATCGATTCAGCGTCTTCACCTGGCAGACTGAGCCAGTCAAATGCTGCACGATCGGACGAACGCAGGTCGAGTCACATTTAAGAGATGGAATACGAAGACAGGATGAAAGCCTCTGCCCACCATTTCAACAGGACTGAGTCCGAAATCCGACCGATGAAAGGGGAGAGAGACCAGGCTGACAACCTGGTGGCCGAGCACATTGCAGTACTCTGGACGAGGCACTGCAATACCTCGCCGAGGAAAGGCAGAAAAAGGCGCCCAATTCGAACACGATGAGGCTCAACTCGGCCAATGACGAGCTCAGCGACCCAAGCAACCCTGTTCGGTTTCTGCACGGTGCCGGGCTAGGACTCACAGTAGCTTGCAGGAGCTGAAAATTAGTCCACGATCTAGGCTAGTTGCATGGCACGACATCAATAGTATACCCGACTACGGCAAGCCTCTATCACACTCAGTTTTCCTGGGGCCCCTACGAGGACTGAGTATTAACGTGTCTCAGCCTGACGGTGATGCGGTGGACGGCGTTCTAGACTAGCCTAGAACCGGGTCTTTTCGCCCTCACAGCCCGTGATGACCTGCTCCTTGACGAACCGCTGGCCCTGGGCGTTTCCTCGCCGGCGTACCTCGGGCTGAATCACCAGATCAACCGTGGCGGTGGTCGGCTTACGCTGCACGAGTGCGCTGGAACCCTCAGCTGGGAAAATCAGGTACACGCGACACTTCTGGGCCGTGACGTCTAGCCAGAAGGTGGCGGCGAGCTCGACGAATTCACGGATCAACTGCAGATCGTGCGACGACAGCGTCGAGATGGTGTCGACCGCTTTGCCGATGTCGTCCACGGCGGCTGCCACACTTTGGTCGTATGTGGGCTTCAGCCGCCGCGACGCTTCCGAGTCGGAGGTGATCTTCTTCGACGGGTCCCAGTACTCTTTGATGCGTTCGAACCGCCACGCCTCGGATTCCTCCGTGGCTTCGGGCCAGCGAGGCAGTTCGGAGCTTGAGTCTAGGAGGGATTCGTTAGAGAGAGAGACAGAGAGAGAGAGAGACCGAGAAGAGTGGTCGATCAGCGACATCAATGCAGGGGGCTAGCTCACCTTCACCAAACTCGCTCGTCCATTCGCGGTGGATGCGTTGGCCTTCGTCACCGAGAACACCAAAGGGTGAGTGGAAGAGCCTCTCCTTCAGGATCATCCAGATAGTGCTTTGGACGATCTGCTGCTTCAGCTTCCGAGGATTCTCAGACCGCCGCAGTGCATTCTCCTGCACAGGCCAGCGGGGTTCCTTCTTCTTTTCCCACTGGATGCGCGAGAAGCTGTTCACCTCCTGGGCCAGCTTCTTGAACCGGTTGCATATCTCCGGGTCGGAGAGTCCCTTGAAGTGCTCTCTCCTGACCAGCTCGCCCTTCAGCTCCTCGGCCTCGAGGCGGATTTCCTCGATCCTCTCCAGCTCGCGCTTGCGTGCCTCCTTTTCGCGCGCTTCAAACTCTTCCCGCATGCGATCCAGCTTGGTATTGTACTCTTGCTCCTTGTTGGCCAGAGCGGCCTTCAATTCTTTCTGTTCGATCTCGTGCTTTTCCTTGACCGACTGCATGGCGGCCCGCCATGATGCAATCTCATTTCGGTGGCTATTGTCTCGGCTTTCCAGCTCACTACGGTGGCGCTGCTCTACCACCTGTGCTCGACCGGCGGAGTCTTTCTGCTGCTTTTCCAGCGTGTCTTTCCAGTTCTTGTCTTGATCGGCGATTCTGCGTTGATAACTGGCATTCAAGCCATCGATATTCGCCCGATGGCGCGCTTGATCCTGTCTCAGCTCGTGGTTGTCAGCCGTCAGCTTCTTCCAACTCTGCTGCAGACCAAGGTGCTGTGCTTCCAATGTTCGCAGGGTCTGTGTCTTTGCCTGAAGATGTTCGGTCAGGACCCTCAAAGCGCCCTCGGGGCCTGATTTCGTCAAGATCAGGTCCACATCCTGGGTCCACGCCAGTTCGCGGGCAGTGCGTTTGAGTTCGCCTTCGATGGCAGTCAATTCTTTGTACGCGTCGGCAAAAGGCTGGTAGGCCCCCACGAGGATACTGAACGCACTCTCCACGCCCGCCTCCCTCGACTTTAAGGCCGTGTCGACGTCCTTGCGAGCAGCCTGGGGCGTCGCTCGTTTGATCTGCCCGGCGACACGCTCCAGCACGAGGGACGCGGACTTTTTGGCTTGGTAGTCTTGCACCAGCAGTGCCAGCATGGCCTCGGCACCACCGGTCTTCTGAGCATGGGCGAGATCGGCTGACCCAATGTCGTGGTTCGTAGATCGCATTTTCTCCTCGACGCGGCGCAAGGCCTGCTCGGATTTGAGGGCCAACTGCCAATGGTCCAGCAGAAGTTGCAGGCCGCCCGCAGGACCACGCTTTCTGATCTCGGCATTGACGTCCATGGTCCGTACATGTCCCTTCATGGCCGCGCGGATCTTGTCTTCGACGCGATCGAGATGCTCCTCTGCGTCCCGTGCGGGCTCAATCATTTCGAGGAGAAGCTTGAAGGCACCGCTGGTACCTCGCTTTTTGAACATGGCCTCTAGCTCAGCCTCATCCACCACGCCGTGTGCGGCCTTTCGGATTTCTTTATCGACCCGGTAGAGCTCATCGTCGGCAGCCTTATTCGGGCGGGGGTTCACCATGCCAGCCTGGCCGTCTCCTTGACTCTGTATCCTATCGCCGGTAGCGTCCATCTCTGCCACGCTCGTCTGCTTATGAGTCGCCTTCGGTTGGCTGCCGTCCAGTTCTGCAGGAGCAGGCGCGGCAGACCTTGAATGTCTGGTGGAGAACGACCTCAACAGACCACCAATGCCTTCGGAAATCTTTGTGCTGGAGGCTTTGTCCTCGAGTTCATGTATGTCCACACCACTCTGTGCGGCCGAATTCCCGGCTTTGGTCGAGTTACTGTCTGCAAAGGGATCCGGTTCCGCTGGGCCAGGGGCCACAGACCTTTTAGATTCCGAGACTCGACTTGCAGAGGGATCATGGTCGGGCACTACAAGTGGTGCTGCTGAGAAGCGGGCGTTGTCCTTCTCCCAACCATTGCCGGTCACAGAGGTGATCCTAGGGAGCGGAGAGAAAGCAACATTCGCCGCAATGGCAGACGGGGTGGCCATCGTTCCCGCTTTCCCGTTATTGCTTTCCGTCCGGGATGTTGACCTTGAAGCTGCTGAAGTGCTGATGGGGCTGGAAAGCTCCCGGAGGATGCCCTTGGCCTTCTTCAACCCGACCATACTGCTGGAGGCACGCAATGCAAGCGAGAATGTGATGATATTACTAATGTGGAATCGGGACGACAGTGTAGGAGGTTTGGACAGAGAGCCCGGTCAGTCCCATGGATGATCTTCAGTGTTAGATTATGTTCTCGAGCCGTGCACAGGCTGATTTCTTCAGTCATACGAATGCTCAGATTACTACAAAAAGCAGTACGCATTTATGAGGCTGAGTGAAAACAACCCCCTCCAAAACAGGACCAGGGGGGTCGGGCTGAGTTGAACCTTCGACTATTCAAGTATCCACACCAGGACATGTGTTTGCCTTTGGTAAGTTCGCCTCAGATTTGCCTGCCAACAACACCTCGTGCAGTAGGAGAAACTCTAGTCTCAGGCTAACCGCCCGAATAGAAACAGACGGCGGCACTCTAGCCAGGTTCGGATGCATGCACTTGACGCCTCGCTCGAAGTGATGCACACCCTGGCAGCCGAACAGGGTGTGTCGGCACAGGATCACAATCGTGAGGTGCCACCAACACACCATCTAGACCAAAGCCGCCGCCGGTCTCAGCCTGACCATGACCAGGATTGGCACGTTGCCTTACCAAGGCTGCTATTGCTCATGCAGCTCAGCCTTAGCACAGTCCCACCCTCCTCTTTCTTCTCCAGACCTGCGGTTTCTTTTCTTTCTCAGCCCAGCCCCAATGGTTTCTATATCCTCCTCTCGTCCACTCTTAGTCTGAGGCCAGCCAACTTCCCTTTGTTACCCTCTGTGCTGGTGTTTGTTTTACAGGTAGAGCTACAGCGTATCCTCACACAATGGCAGAAAACGGACTTCAACCGTCGAGACAACAGCGATTCGTGATAGGGGTGGACTATGGCACGACTTACACTGGTCAGTCCTTCCTATATCGATGAGATACTTTGGTAGGGCGTTATTTTGCTGACTATGAATGCAAGGGGTTGCTTATGCGACTCCGAACTCCAATCACCTTCCGCTTGACGAGATTGACCTCATCGAGGACTGGGGGTCGAACATGGGCAACCACAAGAAGATCCCCAGCGTCATCTCCTTCTCCCCGTCGACTGAGGCCATGGAGCAGCAGTGGGGATACGACCTCAGCGAACACGCCATTTCGATCGTCCACACCAAATTGGAACTAGACCTTCAGGACGTCTCCAGTGAGCTCGACCTCATGATCCAGGCCCTCGATGGCATGTGTGACTTCGGCTTCGACCACATCCGAGGCGCCGGGTCGGCGCACGCCTTCAGCGACAAATCCGCCGAGCAGATCGTGACCGAGTATCTGTCGAGGGTCTTCGAGCACCTGTCGGCCGCCATCGTCAAATTCTCTGCGTCGTTCAGAGTACATGTTCCAGTCGATATTGTGGTCACTGTGCCGACGGTACCAAGAGCTTTCCCGTATGATTAATTACTAACGAATCTCACTGATACCTGGGGCAGGAATGGTCTTACCGAGCGAAAAACTCGACTTTCCGCGCCCTCACCAATGCCGGCCTCAACCAGAGCTATTTCCCCAGGCTGTCCACTATTATGTTTATCACTGAGCCCGAAGCCGCGGCGATATACACAGCGAGGTACTTGAAGGATGAGATCAATGAAATATTCCTCAAGGTAATCAATCCATCTATCGGCGTGGCGAGATGTCTCGCTCATCTCGTGCATGTGCTGACGATCTGCGGCACAGCCAAATTCTTGCTTCATTCTTTGCGACGCAGGTGGCGGTACAGTCGTAAGTCTCTCACATCAAATGTTCATTTCTTCCTGTTCGCGTGTTTCTTACATTTTCCCGCTCGTGGCAGGATGTCGTGTCGTACAAAGTCAAACAAGTGGAGCCGTCACTGGTTCTGGAGAGGATCGGAGTTCCTACTGGTATGTGTGTTTAGACTGTTCATTTCTCTCGGCAAAGACTGGACGACAACGGTGTGCTGAAGTGGAACAAAACAGGAGACAAGTGCGGAGCCATCTACATCGACATTGCATTCAAAGAATGGCTGCGTGAACTACTGGGTAACAAATACTACGAGAGGCTCGACCGGAACCAGGACCTCCAGAGAATCACCTCGCACACCTGCGAGAGTAAGGCCATGCGCCAGCTGATGAAGTCGTTTGACGTGCTGAAGAAGCAGTTCCACAAGAATCACCGAGACATGGCGTTGGATTTGCCCGAGCCGCTCCACAACTTGACATTGGACAACCGGGTTGATGGGGGCGAGATCAAGATCACCAAGTGAGCCACCATCTGTGCCGAAGTTGTCAGGTTCCCTTTACTGACGGCCACGCTTCTTTTCTCCTCTAGCGCCACGATGATGAGGTTTTTCAATATCTGTATCGGGAAGATCATGGACTTGATCACAGGACATCTTCGCCAGATCGATAACCTCAATAAGCAGTGCAAGGTGAGTTATCCGCAGCCACACGCTGACACCGGCTCAACTATGTATCTCCTGGGGATCGATCCCCAGGCTCGCTCGCACATCTGAAACGAGAAAAGGAACAAATAGCCGACACTAACATCGTTACTTTCTTCCCCACAGAACATCTTCTTAGTCGGGGGCTTCGGCGAATCCCCCTACCTGCAGGAGGAAATTGAATTCTCGCTGCGGCTGCGGCGGATCAAGCTGCGGCGGCCGGACACGTCGTGGACGGCGGTGGTGCGTGGGGCGGTGCTGCACGGGATCGAGAAGGACACGACGGGTTCGAACCTGGTGCTGGCGACGGCGTGCCCGCGCCACTTCGGCATCAGCCTCAACGAGCAGTTCTCGCGCATCCATCACGAGGAGCGCGACGTCACCATCAATCCCATCACCAATAGCCAGATCGTCGAGGGCCAGCTGCTGTGGATGCTGAACAAGGGCGACCTGGTGCTGTCCGACAACCCCACCATCGTCTCCCAGCTCATCAGCCTGTCGTTCCGCGAGAATGACAAATCCAAGCGTCGCCTGACCGTCTACTCGTACGCCGAGGACGACGACCGGCCCACCCGGATCAAGAACTCGCTCGACGGTAAGTCCAGCAACCCTCCCCTTCCCTTTTGTGGCCCCATACACGAAAGTTCCACCACCATACTGAACACGTTTTCGTCAGACCTCGAAGTCGTGCACGTCCTCGAATATGACCTGGCCCAGATCGACCGGAAGAAGCTGGAAGTTTGCAAGGGCCGGAACGGCAAGTTCTTCATCGCGCGGCTGAAGCTGACCATGTCCTTGTCAGCGGACCGCCTGGAGTCGGTCCTCTCGTGGGAGCAGGGTCAGCTGGAGCTGGCCACGGAGGAGTCGACGTGGCGGTGAGTGAGTGAGTGAGAGGGGAGAACGGGTTTTGAAACAGTGTGAGAGGGAGTGTGACGGCTATTCTCAACCACCTTACCCAACCCATCAGGAGCTACAACGGAGTATATACAGTTTTATTTCATATAATGCTTGCCTTGAGGAGAAGACGAGGCGGAACGAAACGAAACAAGATGAAACGAGACGAGACGAGACGACTCAGGACAAGACAAAACGGATCTACATTACCATTTTTCCTGTTGCGTAAGAGCGAGAGAGTGCTCTGGGAGCGGTCCATGAATATGTATGTGGCTGGCTCTTAGGTACGCAACTGTACTCTAATGGCATTTACTAGTTAGACTACAATTGCTCGCTCGATACATGTACATGGCCTGGGCTATGATTATTACTTAACTGAGATGAAGACGAGAAAACGAGGAATTATTGACCAGAGAGAGAGAGACTGAGTGACCCGGCTCAGGTTTATCAATCCCAAAGAAGGAGGAGGGGATGTCTACTGATTAGAGAAGAAGAACCCTCTCAAGGTCCCTTTTTTTTCCTTTTGCCATTTCATTTTATTCAGTGCAGGATTAAGATGGACGATACATTCATATTGGGGGGCGGGGGGTCACGGGTCATGGTGGCTGAAATCATCTACAGTGCTTTCTTTGTCGATCGACCGCCCCCGTCCGTGTATGTATGTATGCCTGCGTTCAATAATTGAGAGAAGACAGGATAGTGTAGGTCTTCGGGCTTGCGGTTGATGTGGGAGGGAGATGGACGAGTCCAACCACCCGGAGGTTCCTGGCGGTACACGTCCACAAGTCACCTTCATTGGTGGAAATGACTGCCTTCTTGTCAGATGCCCTCGCTCTGGCAGCTGAAATCTCGAGGGATTCCTCTTTCCCAAGACAGGAGCAGTAAGCAGACCGCAGACAGCTTTCCAGCCTGGCACTGCAATTTAAGTAGCCCCGAGATCCCCTCGGGTACGGCCTCGTAGACAAAGAGACTGGGGCCTAGCAGGATACGCCCTATTCAGGTCGACGTCGCCTATGACCCACCATCCAAACACATCACCCCAGACTTTCATGAAAACCCACACTCTAGGGCGCCTTGGTCCCTTTGAGGTCGCCAAGGTGCAGGGCCATCATTCGACGCCCGGGTAGCCTGTCCTCGCTCATACCTGGCTTGGGTGCAGCACGGTCTTCCGCCTTTATCCTTGGTTTGCTGAACCACACCAGAATATCACTCAAGTCGGTCTCGCGAGCGGGTCTTGGGCAGCTAACTCACGCCACTGTTTGTCCTGGCGCCTCAACCACCTTTCTAGAAGGTCGAAAACTCCCTTCGTTTGCTAGAACGTATATCGCTTGACGACCGAAGTGCCCACATCGTACCTTACCACCCTGTGCGTCAACAAGATTATCGTTCAAGAGAGACGATTTTGATTTCCGTGGCGACCGAATGGAAAAATCCGCAGTAACGCATTCCGTCGGGAATCTTGCATGATACTTCGCGAACTGTAAAGTTAAGCTCATCCCGACATATAGCAGTGAACTGCGAAAATGTGTCGCTTCGGATAGCAGCAGAAATGAGGATGACAACGTCCGGGAAGGAATCCTTGAGGATGCCGAGTAGTTCGGCCAGTGGCCGCAAGATGTCGGGATGGTAAGTAATGTCAGCACCAATGACAAGGTCGTAGCGCATGCCTGACTTCTTTGCTTCACTCAAAAGTTCATCGATTGCTGGGCGGTTCGTCCAGTCTAGTAGGCGAACTTCCGGTGATTTACACCCGTCAAGAATACCGTTCTCCTGATTCAAGCGGATATTGTTATCTAAACCTTCACAGACGTGTCCCAGTCCATCGGTTGCCAGTACAGATGAGGCCTTGAGGTGAGCTGCGCACAACAAGGAAAGAAGTCCAGTCCCAGCACCCAATTCGAGGACGTGCTTGTGATTGACAAGGCCTGGCTGCTGGGTAAAGAGATACCACGCAAGATGCAATGCGGCCTCCCACGTACGTAGACCAACGTTGTTGCCTCTCGAGAGGAGATTTCTCGCTTCGTTGATGAGGACAGGTCGTACTCCAGGCTCATCAAGGGGAAGTGGAGGATAGTACGAGTGGACACGTAATTGCTGTGCTTCTTCCGTCTGGTCTTGTTGAGGGAGGCTAGAGAGGTAGCCCATATGCTCCATTAGATGATCGGAGACTTGCTGCGGCGGAATTTGACGTTAGTGGTTCAACACTGGGAAGAAGTATGGTGAGAAGGACATGACAGGGAGACGGCAATTATCAGTGGCTTCAACTTTGTCGGATTCAGCCTACATCTTCTTCCGGGTCCTTGCAAGAGTTTTCAATTTCTTCAATGAGACGTCGCAGTATCCTGCTCTGATATCGCGGAGGAGGCAAGTATTTATTCTGGCTTGAGTCGAAGAAATACCGATATAAGCAGTCTTGCACATCCGGGTTCACCAGCAGCGCGCCTGGAGGGTAAGTCACATCATTGATCTGCTGCATGTACTGTCGGTAGAACTTGGTCACAATCGGCTCTACTCCAGCTCGAGCAATATCCATCCTGACTGGAAGTCGGGGGGGCACCAGGTGTATACAGACTCAACAATGGAGGAGCTAAGGCATTGAACCGATGTGTGATTTCTCTTGTACTAAAGAAGGATTCACAGCATCACTTTGGACAGTAGAAGATATTGTAAAGGTTTGCGTGGTGTAATGTGGTGGGGGAGCCACTAACCAGAAACGGAGTAGCGCAGTATCTGCCAAGATTTCGAAATGCCAAGCCCACAATTTTCGGGAAGGAGCGAATCTTTGCTCTCAGCCATTCCTCAACTGCAGTTCAATTTGAGCGTCGAACAAATTCATCTCGACCAGCTCGACAGTTCCATCCCTACTGTCCTGATTGCGATCCCATCGACAGACAAACCCGCAAACACATCGCAATCATGGCCGATTCTCCGGTCACCATCCGAACTCGCAAGTTCATCACTAACCGACTTCTGTCGCGCAAGCAGATGGTCCTGTAAGGGCGCACACAGTCCCTAGATCCATTTCGCAATGGCATCAAAATTTCCAGAAGGCCGAAAACTGACTCTTGTACTGCAGTGACGTCCTCCATCCCAACCGCCCCAATGTCTCCAAGGACGATCTCCGCGCCAAACTCGCCGAAGTCTACAAATCCAACAAGGACCAGATCAACGTGTTCGGCATGCGGACGCAATACGGTGGCGGCAAGTCCACTGGCTTTGCTCTCATTTACGATTCCGTCGAGGCCATGAAGAAATTCGAACCGCACTACAGACTCGTCCGAGTGGGACACGCTACCAAGATTGAGAAGGCCAGCAGACAGCAGCGCAAGCAACGTAAGAACCGGTCGAAGGAGTTCCGAGGCACGGCCAAGACCAAGGGTGCGAAGAAGGATAAGAGCAAATAAATATGAGGCTACTTCAAGGGGTGTGATGGTTCTGTTGGGTGGTGGTGGTCGGGGGGCTGTTGACCCGGATCGAGGGAGGCCATGGTTGCTTGTGCTTGGTTATGTACTAGAAAGAGATGAAGAGAAGCCGGGCATACCACTTGGCCTCCAAAAGGAGATTTGTGGTGGTGTTGAAGCAACCAATGGTCAAGTACGCCTTTTTTTCCAAATGAAGAGAGAAAGAGCCGCCCACCGAGTGCGAGCAGTCTTGAAAGGGGGAAAACCATTTTCTGCATTGAAAGTTTGCCGGATGTAGGCAAATGGCGCAACGAGATCAACACTGCATTGAAATGATATCAAAAATTGTGAAATGCAAAAGAAATGAAGTTACCCCTCGCCATGTCATGTTTCCTTGAACTCTGCGTGATTTCTGCTCTCGCACGTTGTACTTGTTTGATACAACAACGCACACACACGCGCCAGGGGTGGTTCGACCCGGTAGAAAATTGAAATGTCTGTTCTGTACACACCAGCTAGCGATGGCGAGGAGGGGAATAGGGCGACAACGTGAGCCTTTTTGCTTTCAGCCAATGCTTCAGAGGCTTCGACGGCCCCGGCGAAGGCGGAAGGTGATCGAGCGGCAGGTAAGCTCTTCATCTACCACGGCATGGCCGTCTGGCTTTCGTGAAGTCAAGGAAAGGGTGAGCAGGTATACGGATACGGTACACAGCTAAGTGGGAACAGCAGGAGGTATGTGGTAATGATACATGGCTCGTCCGTCCTCCTTTCGTCGTTCCGGTCTGTCTTATGTCGCCCGAACTTGAGACGTACAGTTACTCTGTTCTCTGCGCACAGCAGAACAAACAATAAGAAACCCCCTGCCCATGGCATAACGTACACATCATCTGGAGAGCATTCGTGCGTGCTGCTTCCGAGAAAACCCCTTTTTCGTGAGACGCATACTTTTCCTTCCTTCGACCATAACCTCCCTTCACTGCACGGGGCGAGGGCCACCAGCTTGAATCTTGTAAGAGCAGACTGAATTGTCGACTTTGACCTCCTTTCCGCACAGTTTTCCTCCCCCTTTTCTCTCAGGCATTCTTTTCATGATCATACTGTTAAACTGAAAAAGTAAAACAAACCAAAGAAAAACACCAATATTAATTCCCGCCGTCATGATAGCCCGAAAAGTGATGCCAAATCTCCTTGCCGTGGCGCAGTTCTGTGCTCCTCCAGTGACATGAGAAAAGCGTCCTGTCTCTTATTAGATTTATGTGGTTCGTACAACCTCGGAGTATACAAAAGATAAAATTGAACGCAGACAGGTCGGCCGAGCAACAAAGTTTTTGAGGTAGTACAGAGAGATCAGACGAGATGCTGACGCTTGTCAGGAAAATCAAAATATTGTATCACACCATCCAGGTGCTCTCAGTATGTCGACGAGGTGTTGCTGATCGAGGTGACGGAAGTGCGAGTCGACTCATTTGTCTGGCAGCCGGAACAGTCTGGGCTGCAGCCATCTGAGCCAGGCTCTTGCTGCGGAACCATGGCTCGCCCGTAGAATGCCCCGGTAAAGGATTGACTGGAAGCTCTTGTCGGCTGCGAGCTGTGCCCATTCACAGAGCCTTTGTACCCGTATGTTGCAGCATGGTCTTCAACGATGGACTTCAGGCTTTGGTGGGAGACCGCACCCAACGTTGAGTGCTGTGAGAGACCATCTTCTGTTGTTGCAGTTGTTGCTGCGGTAGATGGGGCTTCGTTGACGACAAGCTGCTCGCCAGATGCCACGGACGACGCCGACAGTACTTCACCTAAGCTCATTTGACCGTATGTCATGTCCTGAACTCTGTAGGAGATGTTCTCCCTGGCATTGTGTTGCTCTTGAACACCGGTTGATTCTGCCTGGGCCGAAATCTGCTGAACAGAGGTGGCACCACCACCGTTCCAATAGCCTTGGTTGCGTTGGCTTACAGCAGAAATCGGGAGATCCACTGAGCTGGCTGGTGTTGGGATGTAGCTACGTGCATTGATTGGCTGTGGCAAGATACGGTCTGATGGGGGGTTTCCTCCGGCTCCGATTGTTTGGAATGAATGAGGAGCTTCATTGGACATCGTATAAACGGTGTTATTTACTTGAGGGTTTGGTTGGGGTATATATTGCTGGTTGTCGGGCCAAAGTGAACCAGGATGAGGCCGGACTCCCTGACCATGGACATAGTAGGCGTTGTTGGTAGACATTGGATCCGTATTCGGGAGAATGTAGGGAGGCGGTTGTGCGTTGTATGGACTCGATTCTTCCTCGTCTGGGTACGGCGAGTACGGTCCAACATATTGTGCTCTGCCCCAATCAACACTTGTGCTCTGATTAGTGTATCCGCTGTAGTCTATGGCGTTGGAGACGGGATGATATTGTAGATTGCTTGGTGGACTGCATCTCGACGGCACTGACACATAGTTCAGACGGTGGTGCGTAGGAAGGGAGTATGGTGAGTATCGTGCAGGTCCATGCCACCCTCGAAAACTATAATCTCTAGGATCTACCGAGGAAACCTGGATCTAGTTAGATGGGCGTGCATGTCTGAATTGAAGAAGCGATGACTCACTCGAAGAAAGTGACACTCGTCCTCCAGACCCGAGTTTTTACAGTTTGCACACGCTTGACTGTCGCCTTCGTTGCCACTGCATTTGATCTTGCGTTTCCGGCATCTTGAACACTGCAGGATGTGAGCAGATAGTTCCCACGAACATGTCAAAACATACAGCCACTGGTACACGCTTCCTTGAGCCGCTGGTTGCCCTGCTATCTGGCTCAGATGTAGGTGTTGTGCGGCTGCTGAGGTGGCCTCCCGTCTCATATTGGTCGTGAATGTGAGAACTCTGGCTCAAGGCCATATGGGGACCTCTCTCATTGCGTCTGAAGAACTCGAAGTCCGGGTATAGTGATCGTGTTGAGATCTAGGGCTTCTGTCAACAGGACGAAATACAACAACCCATGGGGGGCTTTTTCACCATGATGCGCATCTGAGACAAAGGCGGGCAGAAGAAATCAAAGTCTCTCGAACATCAAATTCTGCGTCGTCGAAACCGGAGACTTCGACCACGACCAGTCTTGAAGCAAGCTCTCTAACGAGGGTCCCAGACCTTCGAATAGCCTGGAGCTGGTTCTGAGCAATGAGATCTTGCGGGAGAACAGAAAGAGAGCCAGGATCAGGTTGATAGTGACATTTTCAAGGGCACACGCCAATAGGAAAAAAGATGGGTAAGCTTCAACAGTTGTGGGAACTAGATCGAAGAGGTATGTCATATCATGATCGACGTCGAGCTGAAAATCTTTGCGATTCCCTCAATTTGCGCCTGGATCAAGTCGCGCTTTTTTGAACTTGGCCTTTGAAACCTGATCTAAGATTCCCTTGTAACGGCCACGCTGCAGGCATCCGGCCGTGTGACCATGATGCTTGGTCCACTGCGACAACCTGATTCAACGGGCATAGGATGGTCTGACCAGTCATCGACCAACTGATGGAGCGCCTGCCATATCAGCTGTGAAACAAATCGGACGCACAAGACCAATCAAAAGACGACTATGCTTAAGAGACCAACCTGCACACTGTGCTTGCGCAATGAGTGTATGTAGCATTGGTTCTGGATCTAGCGTCGACAGGTTCCATGTGGGGAAACAAGACAAGCCTGCAGCATCTTTGAGCCACACCTGGAGGGATCTGGGTTACGCACCTTCCAACGGACATGCTCTGCAAAGGGTGGGATGTAATGGCCCATGGCTGTTGGTACTAGCCTCAACAAGACGCAAAGAGTGGATGGGTTCTGTTTGCTTCCAAAATGTCTCTGCCATGATTGGCCGCAAGCCCCTGCAGAGAACGTGGCATATCCATCATCCACACTGGAGCAAACTCGCAGCTGATGGCATCGTTTGAGAATTGGGCTATAGTCAGAGGGAGCGGGCCAAGCCTCTGCGCGATCTTTCCAAATTCTGATGTCAAAGAAGATTGGCTTCGACTGGACAGCCTTGCCACGCGATCCCCGGTTATGCCTTTTGCTGTAGACGACGCCATGTAGAACAAACCAGCTCCGACCATGTAGCCACCGGAGTCAGCGAAGATTCCCCTGACTTGGAAGAAGTCCGGGATCTACGGGATTTTCTCATGCGCGAAGCTTGCAATGAGGTCGATGCACATGACAGAAGGTTGCAGTGGTGCATGTCACTGGGGGAGGTCTCCTGAGTCGGATTGACCTTGTATCCAATGTCAGCCCCTGGATAAGAGCTGCAAAAAGCCTGCGGAACATCACAGGATATTTTGGGTGCACAAGATGTCGAAAGGTTGACCTCATTCCTCGCAAGCCCAACGTGCAGAGCGATTTGACAAATCAGAGACTGAGTTTCAGGTGCGGCTTGGTGACACAAAGGCGCATCATTACCAGGATAGAGCCCCGTCAAGGCCAGAACTGCCACCACACTTCTATAAGAGGCTACCAGGAAGATCCCTCCACAGGGTGTGCGCACGACAGGAAGCGGTGCTGAAGGCAACCCCCGAATGCTACCATCCTCAATGGGGCCAACAGGGAGGCGGCGAACCACCAACTTCCACAGTTAGAGGATATCATCAGGGAGGCTTTGCAGGGAGCATCGCCGACTCGGTCACGAAAGCCGTGGAAGAGCACCGTCATTTGAGTCACGTCGGGTTGCTGGTAGATGCGGAAAAAGAATCTCCGTCAGCTGATATTGCAAAAACTAGGTGGGGGTCGCTGCCCTCATCTGTGCAAGCTCATGTGGTGCAGAGCAATGTTGCTTGCAGGAGAGGGGAGGGCTGAGAGCCTGCCCAGGGCACGCCGGCTGGACCTGTCATCGAAGCGGGTGGAAGCCGAGAAGGAAGACGGTTCGTGACAGAATCGGGGGATTTCTGTATGACTGTGCAGAGTAGAGTAGAAGGACAGGGTAGTTGCATAATCAGATGTCGTGTACAGAGTACCTGCTCGTCGATAAAAGTCTTGCCCTGAGTTGCGATGAGCAAAAAATAGTGGTCGAACAAGCTTAAACTCCGCAGTCATATCGGCGAATTAGAAAACTTGGTCGGACAGGTGTCCTGCTGGGTCCTCAAAGAGGACAACGTACACCAGGATTGAAGGTCTAGCAGGCTACCTAGGATCAATAGGATCAAGGTGGGAGCAGTTGCGCAAGAGAGCGGAAGCGTAGGTACTGATAGCCTCAGTTCGACCCATCTAAGGCGAATGATTCCCTCAGCAATCGGCAATACATGTGTAATGAGCAATACATTCAGCAGGATGAACAGGCCGCCAGCTGGACAAGATGCAGATGGAGCAGGAGGTGGGCGAGGATGGTTGCAAAGGTTGGAAAAGTCCCAATTGGGCTGGAGGTGCAGCACGTGCAGGAAGCCGTCTTGGCAGCAGTTTGAAATGACGGCATCGCGGTCATTTCAAGTTTTCTCGGGCATGTTCGATACAGCAGCAACTCATCGCTTGATTCCCATTCTCTGAGCATCTTCCACCCTCGCCAACCAGTCCACAGCTACATGGCGTGTGCGCATCAAATTATCACATCTCTCACTTCGTGGCACTCCTCGCTGCCCCTCCAGTGATCGCACGCACGCCCCACTGGAGTGAGATTCTTCACTTGCGCCCCAGAAATATCATCATCTCCGGAGCCTTTGCCATGAGTGTGATACTAGAGACGTCTCTGGGCGAGATTGTCATCGACCTCTTGGTTGACAACGCACCCAAATGCTGCGAGAAGTACTACCTCTAGTATGCCATGTCAATCCGGTCAATGCGCTAACCGGTGGTCAGCTTTTTGAAACTCTGCAAAATCAAGTATTACAACTTCTCCCCGTTTCACAGTGTCCAGAAAGGCTTTAGCTGTCAGACTGGAGACCCACTCGGCCCAGACTCACCCGAGAGCGATGGCGGAAGTTCTATCTGGGGCTTGCTATCAGGCCCCGCGAAGAAGAGCTTCATAGCCAAGATCGACCCGAAGCTGAAACATTCCCAGCGTGGGACAGTCAGTATGGCGACGGTGCCCTCGCCCAATGATCCTGATGAGCGACTCGCTGCCAGCCAATTCATTATCACTCTCGGAGACAACATTGACTACTTGGATGGAAAAGCCGCCCCTTTTGGCATAGTCGTCGAAGGCTTCGACACCCTAGACAAGATCAACAATGCCTTCACTAATGCCAACGGTAGACCCCTCAAGGACATCCGGATTCGACACACCATCATACTGGAGGATCCCTACGATGACCCACCAGGGCTGGTTGCTCCTGACTCAAGTCCTGCACCGACCAAGGCACAGCTGGCCACTGTTATGATCGCGGATGATGAAGAACTGGACGAGGAAGTCGACGAGGTGGCGATGGAGAAGCTGCGAAGAGAACGAGAGGCGAGAGCCCAAGCCCTGACTCTCGAAATGGTTGGTGACCTCCCTTTTGCCGAGGTGAAGCCTCCCGAAAATGTTCTTTTTGTTTGCAAACTGAACCCTGTGACGAATGATGAAGACCTCGAGTTGATTTTCAGCCGCTTCGGCAAAATCCTTTCCTGCGAGGTCATCAGAGATAAACGCACTGGTGACAGCCTGCAGTATGCCTTCATTGAGTTCGAGAATCAAAAGGACTGTGAGCAGGCCTACTTTAAGATGCAAGGCGTGCTCATTGACGACCACCGTATCCACGTGGACTTCTCACAGAGCGTCTCTAAGTTGTCCGATACCTGGAGAGATGCAACAAATTCGAAGAGGGCCGGGCGATCCGGAGGCTTCGGTGGGATTGCCAGCCTCGAGAAGAGACGGCATTATCGGGGGGATGACGGCCGTGGACAGAACGGCGGTAACTACAGAATGGTGTTTGATAAAGATGACATCCGCCGAAACAAAGAGTCTCGGCCAGAGGAGGGATCCCGACGATCTCGAAGCAGAAGCCCACGTTATGAAAGCAAGGAATCCAGACGGGGTGGATACCGACCTAGAGATCAGGACAAACACGACCACAGGGATCGTCGGGAACGAGATCGGTATCGTGACAGAGATCGAGACAGGGACAGAGACAGCGGAGGGCGAGGGCACTCGCACCGCTCAGATTCCTGGAGGGACAGAGACCGCTAACCTCTGAGGTAGAAGAGCTCATTTACGCTGTACAACAATTACTGGCTGGTCCCTTTGAGATTGCAAACCCCTCCCACATGTAGAAAGTGTATCAAGTCGCTATACGTGGGTGATGATTGGGCTATATTGCGGCCATGCATAGTATATCTCGTCGATTGAAACCTTGTCATACGTCACTGCGAGGCTGAGAGGATTTGGAGAGGGCGAAGGATGCGGAGATGTTTTGGAAACTGTGTCAGTCTGTCCAACGTTGTTGTCTCACCGCGCTAAACATCCCTGCAACCATTGCCTCCCTTCTCAGACTCCGCCAGCTGAGCCAGCTGAACCGGCTGTACCAAAAGCTGATCTTGTAGGCCCCATTCTGGGAAGCTGCCTCCTTTGACAGGGTGAGCAAAAGTCTTTGTCCGCCACAGGTGACACCTTTCTTCTCTCCCACGTCACCCCCCTCCTCCCACTTCCTCAACACCACCAATTTCATTTCGATCGCCGACGACCGCTCACAATGGCTGCAAACATGGTGAACACGCTCCTCGAGAAGCTGCACTTGACGTCCAAGGATCAGGGTGCTCCTGCCCAAGAGCCTGACGAAGAAGAGTTGAAGACGTTGCGTCAGAAATATGAGAAAGCGAATCAAGAACATGTCTTTGCTTTCTACGAGGAGCTTGATACGGAAGGGAAGGCTGCCCTGTTCGAGCAGCTGTCCAAATTCGACCCCGACCGCATCAACGTCCTCGCAGACAAGGCCCTGCACCCACCAAAAGACGCAGACCAGCAGCAGACGTCCATCAACCCCCTACCCGAGTCAGCCACTGCCTCCCTCCTCGATGCCTCAGATGAACAGAAAGAAGAGTGGTACAAGGCTGGGCTTTCCCTGATTGCACAGAACAAGGTCGCTGTGGTGTTGATGGCGGGTGGGCAGGGAACCAGACTGGGCAGCTCAGATCCCAAAGGATGCTTTGACATAGGTCTGCCTAGCAAAAAGTCATTGTTCCAGATGCAGGCTGAGCGAATCTGGAAGGTGCAACAACTGGCTAAGCAGCATGCTGGCTCCTCGTCTGACCCAGTTGTGCCCTGGTATGTCATGACCAGCGGTCCTACTCGAGCACCTACGGAGAAGTTCTTTGAGAAGCACAACTATTTTGGTCTGTCCAAGGAAAACGTCATCATCTTCGAACAGGGGGTTCTTCCATGTATTTCCAACGAGGGAAAGATTCTCATGGAGAGCAAATCCAAGGTCGCAGTCGCCCCGGACGGTAATGGTGGCATTTACCAGGCCCTGGTTTTGTCTGGCGCTCGGGCAGACCAGCGAAAACGTGGCATTGAGCACGTCCATGCGTACTGCGTTGATAACTGTCTGGTCAAAGTTGCTGATCCGGTCTTCGTTGGCTTCTCAGCGTCCAGGAACGTTGACATTGCCACCAAAGTGGTGCGAAAGCGAGCTGCCAACGAGCCCGTCGGTCTGATCGTCGAGAAGAACGGCAAGCCTGACGTGGTCGAGTACTCGGAGATTGACCAAGAGATGGCCGAAGCCACAGACAGTTCCGACCGCCTCAAGTTCCGAGCTGCCAATATTGTCAACCACTACTACTCATTCAGATTTTTCGAAGCCATCGAGGAATGGGGCCACAAATTACCCCATCACGTTGCCAAGAAGAAGATTCCCTACATGGACACTGAGACTGGTGAGACTATAAAGCCTGAGAAACCCAACGGCATCAAGTTGGAGCAGTTTGTGTTTGATGTCTTTCCCTTTGTCCCCATGGACAAGTTCGCGTGCTTGGAAGTTGACCGAAAAGAGGAGTTCTCGCCATTGAAGAATGCACGTGGCTCAGCAGAGGACAATCCAGACACCAGCAAAGCAGACATCATGGAACAAGGGACCAGATGGTTAGAGGCTGCGGGAGCTATCGTCGTGTCCGAGGGCACCGACAAAGGCGTCGAAGTGTCTCCGCTCATCAGCTATGTATGTTGCCATCCATTTTCTACGTGCTTACGTTATCGCTAACATTTGTGTCAGGGCGGTGAGGGTCTCGGCTACCTGAAGGGAAGAGAGATTAAGGCTCCGGCTGTGATCGAGAGAAGCCCGTCGGAGTAAACCAGTACAGCGTCGACGCTGCTGCATGATGACGACTTTGATGGGATAGAATGGCAGTAGGTTTCGCATCCGGGTACTGTGGAGGGAGTTATTAAGCAGGCAGGGATGCTAAAAGAGATACGATATACGTAGAGGCTGTCTTGGAGAGCATATGCTCAGGAAGAGTTAACAGTTATCTTTCCACCCTGCGTAGTTCCATCTTACCCAGCCATCTACAGTGTCAGTCCCTAGGGGCATGTGGAAGCCCAGTATCATCAGCGTCCAGCCTTGTCACGCTCCACAGAGAATCGGTCTCCACAGACCTAAAACGGCGCTAATCCTCATGGGGGACAAGCGGCCTTGGCACAGGTGGATGCTGGGATTTGCGACTCTGGACAGTTTCCTCGTCGCCTTCAGTTTTTTCTCTTCCACCAGTTGGTTGTCGATCGGTCGTCGTACGGTTCACCGGAGGCTGGAAGTCGTTGGAAAGGTCGTGTGGGAAGTTGCGCCACCTGTAAGTGACTGTCCCTTCAGATGATCTCTCCTTCCAAGCTGGCTTTGTTCACCTTGTGCCCCTCTTCGAACCCAATTCCCAAGTTCGAGAAGGTCCCCCCTTCTGCACCTATCCGCGTCCTTGTATCTTCCTGCGGCTAACGTCAGATTCCAGGTTGCGGGACTTGGGATACTCGAACGCGGTTTCAATTGAGCAGGTATGCTCTCCTCCCCCAATTTTTATGATGCGCCACGTCCTGTTCCTTATCGGTGGTCGAAACCGCCACCCCTTCCATCGACATCTGATGCATGCGCTGGGGGGAATCTGTGTCGCGCGTGCCACAATCACAAGAGATGGAATCTAACGCTGTCGTCCTAGGGCTTGAGGAAAATTATCAGCAGAAGTAGTCAAGATGTCGTCTCTTTCCCGACGCGCCTGCTACAAGTGCGGCAATGTTGGCCACTATGCGGAAGTCTGCACTTCCTCCGAGAGGTTGTGCTACAACTGCAAGCAACCAGGCCACGAATCTAACCAGTGCCCTATGCCACGTACAACGGAGAGTGAGTGCCGGTCTTTGTCTCTCATAACAGGTTCCGTGCGCTGACGGAGTGATTTCTCGCAGCTAAACAATGCTACCATTGCCAAGGGCTAGGACATGTGCAAGCGGATTGCCCGACCCTCCGCATCAACGGCGGCCCTGCCAGCGGTCGCTGCTACTCATGTGGCCAGATTGGTCACTTGGCTCGAAACTGCCCGACCCCAAACATGGCACCACCACCGACTCGTGGTGGTCGTGGGGGTTATGGTGGCTTCCGCCCGGGTTACGGTGTCACCAACAACCGGGCTGCTATGTGCTACAAGTGTGGTGGACCCAACCACTACGCTCGAGACTGTCAGGCCCAAGCTATGAAATGCTATGCCTGTGGCAAACTCGTAAGTCATGAAGCTCATTCTGTCCCTCCTTTCCAGATATGCCATTGACAATATACTCTCAGGGCCACATCTCTCGCGACTGTACTGCTCCGAACGGCGGGCCGTTGAACGCTGCAGGCAAAACCTGCTACAAGTGCGGACAGCCAGGTCACATCAGCAAAGACTGCACTTCCACCACTGAAACCAATGGTACAGCGGTCCCCGTGACGAACGGAACTCCTGCCGATGCTCCTGCGGCTGCTCCTGCGCCGGAAGCCACCGAGGTCGCTACCGCTGCCGCCCCTGCCGCTGCAGTTGCGTAGAGCACCCAACATCATTCCATCCTGCATAGCAGCTCAAATTTCTTTGTTTTGTTTCTCGCCCCTTCCCCAGCATGTTTCTCGTTGGAGCAACATCGACACACAGACAGTCCTTTCCGACTCCCACATCCCCTCAGCACCGTGTTGTTCTTTATTTTTCTTCCCCTTTCGCAGCAAATCAACATTTCCCGTCACGTTTTACGATACCACCGGAGGCTGCTATGCCTTTGATTCCTTTTTCTTTTGGCAACATGCATCGAAGCACTGACGCCCTTTTTCGGCGTTCACGACCCTTCACACGACGAACAACCACTGCAAGACATTTCACGATTAAAGACTGGCAAGGCAGGAGAATGGGATCATCGACCACGAGAGAGTACATCGGAACATGGACCAGTCTGAAACTTGCGGCAAAATTGAACGAACATGACTCCAGGATTCACACGGATCAATCACCCCCCATTTGACGGTTTCAGCTCCGGCGTTTTTTCTGACGAAGATCATCGGATCTTGCTTTCCAATGCGCTACACAACGAAACGACTTTCCTTGGCTTTTCTCTTCAATCGGAAGACGCGACCATTTGCAAAAAGGATCTGATTGAGAGGAAGTTAGACCATGCTTTCTCACGTAACCCCCAACCGACTAGCTGGACGGATAAGATAGCATATGGAGCGAAGCGGGCAGCGGACGACAACGGAAGAAGTGAAAGCGACGCAGAATGAGCGAGAGACACAGAGTTGAGTTGTGAGAGTGGAGAAGAATGGGAGCCTGAGCGAGTTGAAGCGATAGACCGGGTTGGGAGGCAACGAGTGACCCGTCGATGAGATCGACGGTTGCTTGGAGCACACTGAAAGAAGAAGCACTGACCAAAAAAAGGAGAATCAAGGTTGGCATCTGCAGATTGTGGGCCATCTTCCTCAGCATCATCATCATCACCATCACCATCATATCCCCTTTATGAGATTTTTGCAACATAATGAGAGAGCATCATATCCAAGCTGTCACTGATATTTACTGGACCTTGTCAGGCTTTCTCTCTGCCTGTCGAGATGTGTAGGAGTGACAGGATCTGGCAGGTAACTTACCTGGACCAGTCGTTTGGAAAAGAGTAAGTTTGTAGAGTCTCGACACGAATGGCTCAAACGGTTCTTGACGACTGTCATGTACATCGTGCAGTGTCCCGCCGAGTGCTGCAGCTGAAAGCCGACGCCAGCATCCTAACAGCATCCATTGTGCCTCTGAGCCGGAGACAACATACTTACGCTGAGAAGAACACTTCAAGAGGCTCTGGGACAGCTGGGGTCTACAAAGATACACGAAGGGGGACGGCTGCAGTCCACCCCGGACCATTCATCGCTCCACCTCAGCTCGAACTTATCTTTCCGGGGAGGCTTCTCAGTGCCAACGTTCTACCAGCAGATTAATTGACGTTGCAGCTCGCTTTGGCAGCTCGAACATTTTAGGCACAGAGCATACATGCAGGCATGGATATCTGAAGTAGTAGTTCCTGCTGACCAAACTCCTTCAGTCCATCAACTAGCAAGTCCACAAGAAGTCGGGAGGACAAGAAACATCAGTCCCAGCTCATTGGTTGACTGTGTCTCCTTGATGATGCCTCTATGGGGGTACAGTACAATTTCACAGGCACAAAGCTAACTGGGGAACAAAAGAAGAAGGGCTTAAGAAACAAAAAAAAGGTGTGTGTGTGTGCTTGTGTGTGTATAAGTAGGTAGGACTCGCAACTTGACCCTCTCGTGCTGCTGTCCCTTCCACGTCTTTTCCGCCGAGCATCCCGGGTATATATCACGACGACTCCCAGAACCGCTTCATCTCCACGTTCAAACCGTTCGTCCAGAAGAACTGCCTCAAAACACAATCCAGACACTCCCAGTCACCACCGTGCTCCGGAAATCGGGCTCTGAACGCTCTCTGCAAGGATGCTGCGTGGTCCGAGTCGGCACCGTCCGTGGCTGTCCAGCTGCTGATCACGACAAGCCACATCCAGATTAGACAGTCTCTTTCGGTGGCAATGACAGCATCGTCGGCGTCGTCGTCCGCCTCTACGATATCGCCCGTGAGGTCCATCAAAGCAGTGTCGTGTCTCAATAATGCTACATGTTTGTCATCCTCCACTCGAAAGGTCGGCAGATCTTGAGTGAGCCGCAACCGCGGCGTTCGGAACGCAGTGTGGCTCGCGGACAGGTAATGGCGGTCCGGGGCGAAGGCGACGCTGGCGTAGCAGATCAGCACAAAGACGAGATACTTCTCGAAGCTGGGCGCCGGGTCGAGCAGGCAGGCGCAGGCGTCGCTGAAGTCGGCGTGCCGTTTGCGCGCGGGCAGCGCGGCCACCGCCTCCATCTGCCGCGCGACTGCCTCGTCCCCGGCCTGGATGGCGTCTTGGTAGGCAGCGATGTTGGACAGCACCGTCACGATGTCCACGGCGAGCCTGCCCCGGGTCGCGAGACGACGGAATCCCGGTGGCAGGCGGGCCAGGAGGGATGATGTTTCGGCCGAGTACGGCGGCGGCGAGAGGTAGATCGGGTGGTAGGGTGGTTTGGAAGATGCAAACACCGACGTGTCGCGGTATATATGGGTCCACCACGACTCGAACCTGAACAGTTCGCCGTCGAGAAGACTGTAGTCAGCGTGGTATCGAGGAACCTGGAAGCATAATTTGGACGGTTTTTTGTGGGAAGGAAAAAATACGTCCAGGAGAGTGAGCGAGCGAACGAACGAACGCACGAACGCACGAACGAAACGTACTGCAGGACCGAGCATTTCAACATCCCGTCCAGACCCAGCACGTCCAGTCCGCCTCGGGACTCGATCATGGCCTTGATGCCGTGCCGGTGCATTTGGAAGGCCTCGTGGTCGCCGAAACCGCTCTGATTACGTATGTATATTATTGTTTGGACTTGGTTAATTCTCCACAATCAAGATTGCGAGATGAGATGTAAGTGGAATTCGCAACGGGTTGCCACACCAGGTTGCACGTGAAGGGGGAAAAAACGGGGGAAACTTGACTTTGAAGGGGGAAAGGAAACGCTTTATCTCACAGCAATATGGCCCAGGAACAATGCTGCTATGATCGCCCCGTCGTCGTTGACGGCATGATGTTGTTGTTTGTGCTGACGACGAGCACCACCACCACCACCACCACCACCACCACCACCACGACGCCCTCCCCCATGTCCTCCTCCAGGATCCTCATCCTGAGCGGCAATGTGCTGGCGCAGCTTAGAGATCGCGGCCTGAACCAGGCTGAGGACCTGCGGCGAGGGGCCAGTGGTGGTGTTGTTTGTGCGGTTGTCGCTGTTGCGCGAATGCGATCGCCGGAACACGTCGCGCACCATGTTGACCACGGCCACGCCGGCGTGCAGAGCCACCTCGTGGGTCATGAGGTCGTAGTAGCTCTGTGCGTCGAGGATCTGGTGGTCAGCATTGGCTGCAAAAGCTCGATAGGGTAGGATAGGGTAGGATAGTATGGGACGCAGCAGACTATCTATGTATGTGTATGTGTATGTATGAGGATGTTCGTGGTTGAATACTATGCATAACACACTCCACGCACTGCACTGCTCGAGTTACATGTTTCCCCCTATCTTCCTTCACCAGCTGCTCTCCTCATCCTTCTTCATTCTACAACAAAGATCTGTGTCCCTCCCCTCCCCGATCTTTTGCAACCACGAGGCACGAGATAGCCCAAACAAGAAAAACTGAGAGATATATGTGATTTCAACTGGACTGAACCAGAGGGAACTAACTGACCTTGGCAAATGTATTGCTCACATCAAAGACGTGAAACACGGGCGCGTGGACCAGATCTGGCCGGACGGTGCTATCTAAAGCCCACGAACACGGCCGCGAGAAGCCAGGTCGTCAGCAAGGGAGGAGCAAGAGACGGGGAGGGAAGGAAGCGAAGGACAACGGGGGCAATTGATTCATTTTCAATACATCCAAAACCAATCAAGTGACAGAGTTTGAAAGAGGAACAAAGGGAAGGGGGTTGTTGTTCTCTTAAAGAAGGGCAATCAGCAGGCAAGCAAACAAACAAGCAAGTGAATCTTCCACGCATTCTCTCACTCACAGAATTCAGCTGCGGCGCCAAAGCCAGCAGAGTCGCGGTGCGGGACGCCAGGGAGGACGTCGACCGGGCGGCTCAAGGGTGGTGGCGACCATTGTGTCTCGAAGAAGGGATGAGTCTCGAAATCCCGAACGAAGAACGCTCCTTTGTTGCTCGTGGTGGGAGACGTCGGCGTAATGATGATGGCACTCGTACGAGGACTAGCATCTTCCTCCCCCCCGTCCTCTTTCTCTTGCGTTCCTCTGCCTCTGGAGGTCGTCTTGGGCTTCGGCATCAACGCACGCCCCTCCAGCCCCGCAGCGGTCGACACTTGCTGAAGCGCCTTCGCGTTCGCCTGCATCGCGCCGTGTCTCTTGCGGTGAAAGGCCATGGCGGCGTGCGACCGCGCCTGCGACGTGATGCGCGGCGGCGACGGGGAAGGGTTGCCGGGTGATGACCCCTCGGGGGATGAGTACATGGCCGGCGTGTTGACCAGGAAGAGGAAGTCGACGCCTGTCGCCATTGTTGGCTTTGACATACAAAAATATATGAATATACGGTCTATCAGTTGGTCGGTCGGTCGGTCGGTCGGTCGGTTGGCGCCCTTCTTTTGCTTGTTGGAGGTAGATTCGGGTCCTTGGTATTATTAGAGCATGCCTGTTTCATCCACGTTGGCAAGATTTAGATCATTCTTGGAGATACTGCAACGGCGTCAGTGTCGTTTGGTGGACTGTTGGTGTTAAGAGTCGTCAGAGGAGGTGACAGTAGATAGCGGACATCAAATGCTCAATGGCTGTGCAATGTCCGAATCCTCACATCGTCCCCCATTCAGCCCACCTTTTTGATCACTCAAGGTGGAGTTCACTGAGATCAAGATCTGTCTCCTCAGGCCGAAGGGGAGCGTCTCTGTCCTCGTTGACATCTTTGGAGGGTCCTGGGTTTCTCCAGCTGAAGGAACCAGGTTCTAGATTGTCCGGTTAGTCGATTAGCCCTCTGGACGCTATTGGGCTCTCGCGCCCGAAGAGGCTGCCGTTAGTCAGCTGGCGAAGCACCGTTCCAATGTCTAGAGCGAACTGGAACAAGTTGGCCAGAGTAGCCAGCTTCATTCCCTCGAATTAACAGTTCATACCGTGGTACACTCGAGCGTCAAGAAACAACCGGGAAGAAGAAGAGCGGGACGGACGATGGACGTCAGGCAAGCCACGCGGTCCGGATGTGATATTCAGTTAGCATTAGATTTTTTCTTTTAAGACATCCGCCTGCCTATTTTGGGTCCCAGGCAACATGACACAGATGTCCCGCAGTACACGGCGTGATATTGGAGAAATAGTAAAGTAGACCCCCCGAACGCCGATGCTCGTCATAAAAGCACAAAGGAAGTCGATAGTTCGCAACCATATATCCCTGCGTAAGTGCAAGGGTAGCCAGTCAATCGCTGGAGTGGATGGTCTCACATAGCCAAACATGCCAGTGCTTTGGGATGGCCGGTTTCGTCTCGTTCACGAACTCACTGGCCTCCGCCCGTGAATGAGTCCATTGCCGTTCCCATTGCCGCCACCCTTCGATGCACCGGTGTTTCCTCCCGCAGACGTTGCTCCAGTGCCAACGCCGGACGTTGAGGGGTTATTGTTGTTGCTGTTGTTGCCGTTGTTCATGACAGCAGCAACAAGGCTCGCGGCAGGACCGCTTTGTCGGCCCGACCTGCGAGCTGCGCCAGCGTGGGAGTTGCTTCCCTTGAGCGCCTCCTCGACATAGTATCCGAACACAAAACGGTACAAATCTCGAAGCCAGTTAAATCCATACACGCAGTCTGTCATCCCGCGGACGGCTCGCGCTAGTTCAACGGCATTGATGCGTCCCTGCTCGGCAATGGTCCCGGCGACGCCCAGGTTGCGAAATGTACTGTCATTAGCGATGGTCTTCCGATAATTATCCAACAGCGTTACTTGCCACGTTAGGGTACCGAACGCGGTGTCAGGCAAGTTCCTGGCGAAGTCTGGCAGAGAGTTCAGATTAGGATCTGCCGACGCTCGGGTGTATCCTCGGCCGGTGGCCTGGGCGGCCTTCACGAACAACGTCTTGAGAAGGATGAGAGTCGGATCCTCGGCTGGCGTCCGTACAGTTGACACTGTGGTGGCCGACATGGGATTTGGGCCCCCTTCTGAAGCGGCCGATGCTGGGAGAGACAGGACGGATGAGGTCGTTGACCATCGGTGATTGGCGGCGGACGGGGCTCCGACATTTGCAGGATGCGTGTTACGCGGCTGAGGTGGATTAGGTGACAGTTGTCTGCTTTGATTCGGCGCAGGGGCGGAGGAGGTGGAAGAGGCAGATGACATCCTGGATGCTTCTTCAGCTCCAAGGACGAGAATGTTCGGAACAGGTGCTTCATCTGGTGAGATGGTGGTAACTGTGTCCTCGAAAATCGTCGTCGGTGTTTCGGGGAGTACTCTGGGGTTGCCGTTTTCGTCCAACGGAGCGAACCCAGACCGTTTGGCTTGATTGAACGCTTGGGTGAAGGTTGTTTGGCTGGGTCGCGGGGTTCCTCGTTCAGGGCGGATTTGCGTCCAGCCCTCCCGGAACAGGTCACACAGTTCCCAGCATGCTTGGACAGCGGAGCCGAGAAGCTCTTCGTCAGGTCTCTTCCCTTCCCGTCGGTTTTGTCTCAGGCTAAACAACATCTCCGCCAAAGACCAACACGCACGAAGGAGGGAATCCGTCTCATCAGCCATCTTGGACTTCTGCTTCATTAGTCGATGGCACAGAGTGATGTAGAAATCCAACGTCCTTTCCCGGAAAGCCTCAGGGAGACTGCGATCATGGGTGTTGAACAAATGGTTGTTCAACTCAAAGCTGACCCGGAGGACAGAGTCAGCCGTCTCATTGTCACGCACGCGGACCTCAAACAGCGCCTGGCAAAAGTCGCGACAGAGGTCGAGGGTCGGTCGCGACGAGTTGTGAGAAAAGATTTGGGACAGATGGTTGTCTCTGGTGTCGTACAGGTTCTGGCACAGCTTCCAGCAGGATTTCCACGCTTGTTCCTGCATATCACCACGGCCAGAAAAGTTGAAGATTCTCTCGCGGTGAATGTGGCTCAAGCTGGCCAATGTGTTGCACAACGTCCAGCACTCGGACAAGGCATTGCGGAGGGCGTTGATTTCAGCTTCGGCGTCACGTAAAAACCGCTGGCCGAGCTGACTTTCATCCCCGGTCTCATCGGTGCTGGGGTGGTCAGTGTCATCGCCCTCGAGAATGCCTGTAAAGCGTCAGTTTGACCTGGTGCGTGCAAGGAACGGCTGGCCTCACTGGCAAGACTAGAGCCAGGACGGCTGAGGGAGCTGAGGTCCTGTCTTGTCTGTGCTCTCGGAGTGCGCGACCAGTCGTGTAGAGGCAGCGAAGGAAGAGAGGTTTGTAGCGGCGTGGGAGGCATCGGACCCTCATGGGACTGAAGGAATCGGGTCAGCACTCGAGACACCGCAGACCGCGCGCTTGCTACTCACCTTGACACCTGATTTAGGGGCCGGCGGTTTGGTGATGGTAGCTTCTGAAGCTTTAGAAGTAGTCGAATCCGCCCTTGATCTCTCAATGTCTCCGGTCTCTTGCGTTTGAGACTGTCCTGCAATGGCTTCTTGGGACCCAACCTGCTCCTTCTCAGGATACGACCGAGAGACCTCCTGGTTCGGCTGGAACAGATGTCAGTGAACGCCGGCAGCATCTACGCGCACTTCCCCGCGGTATTGGACATACAAACTTGCCAAAGCCTGTTGGTATATGGATGACAGACTGAGGCTCCTTCTCCTCTTCTAGTCTTGCACGGAACTGTTCGTCCAGAGTAGGACCTGTGTCGACCTAGATCTATCGTCAACCCACAGCTATATCCGATGGATGATTCATCAAGCATACCCGCAGTGGAGTTGCAATGTGTTGCAGACCCTCCCGGAGAGGAGACGTGACCGGTGGTCTCTGTGCCTCATTGAATGCCGCGGGACCTGCGATTACCGAGCCTCGTTCTGTACCCTCCTCTTCCACTTCTTCATCCACGTCCTCAAAGTTGGTCACGTCCGAGGCGACCGGCGAAGGCGCCACCGGATCTTGGGGCGAAGTAATATAGTTCGCGGGCGGAGGTTTGAGCTGATTATCAGTTGTCGAACTGCTCTTGTCGGCAGTAGAAGACCTGTCCGAAGTCAGACACATTTCATCCACACTTGGAAATTGGACAGTCCTACATGGGAAGACCAGAGTTCGCAGCTGCCCGAGGTCGAGGCGAATCCGGATGCTCTGGAAAGGGCGAAAATGGGGAGAACAACGGATTTGTCGAAGGACTAAACCCCAGAGGAGCTCTCACAGCCATCATCTTTTTCTGCTAACCCCAACGACCTGCAGCACAGTCGGCCACAATTGGGAGGTCGATCTGCACCAGCAGGACGAGAGGGAAGGTGTGTAGTGGCGGAGGATGATGCGGAATTTGGAGGGCAAAGAAGACGGACAAGGCAGACTACCATCAAGCGCTGCTAGAGTCGCCTGGTGTTTGGTAGATGCCGCAAAGCGTCGCACGGCTACCGTTGCGGCCGCCTAAACGGTCGCGTGTGCGGCACAGCAGGTTGGCACAGGGATTTTCAGAATCGAGGGAGATGGTTGTATAGAGACGTGTGGTAGGAGGAGACACAATGCGCCCGACCATGGATAAGCAAACACGGCACACAGCACAGGGTCAGAATCAATGAGCTATGATACCACTTTGCAACGGGACGTGTTGGACAGTAATTGGAAGAAATCCAAGAGTCCAAACTATGTCGATGTAGAAAGAGGGTCCCAAGCAATGGAGGGGGACAAAAAGTTGAGAGGGCGGAAAAGGTACCTGGTCTCTTGGTGGAGGCCTGATGTTAAGTGTTGGCGTATGGCATATCAGAATATCGAGGTGGTAGCATCTGATTCGATCAATCATGCATTATTAGGCCCACGATGCGGGCTATGCCTCTGTTGGATTAGAAGATGCCACAAATGTGGGAAGCAGAGACAACACGGACAAGGAAACCAGGTGTGTGTGTGCGTGTCGGGAACAGAGAGCGATGTTGGAGTTCAAGACTCGCGCCGCGCCTAGCTTGTGAGCTGGGCCAGGGGTACAAAGAGTGTGATGCTAGAGTCAACGACAGAGAGGCCGGCGGTTTCAGAAGGAGCAGCGCGTCGAGGGCGAGCTGTGAGTGGTAGGAGGAACTGAAGATGGGCGATGTTGAACCGGGGTCGTAGTCAACGCGAGATTCTGCAACAAAGCCAGACGGTCCACTTCGACAGCCTTTGTCCATCCATCCACCTTGCTCGGACGGCATATCCAGAGTGCCGGAGAATTTGTGAACCAGCAGGTTGGAGCGCAGGAGAGCAGCTAGAGGGGGCCGGGAGGGCCAGTTGGAGGAAAGGCGAGAACTGTGGACAGCCAGTGATAGTCCAATAGCCCCGCCGTCTGCCACGCGACAGCACCAGCAGGGCCGATGCAGAGGCAGAAGCCTTTTGGAGTGTGATGAGAATGTAACTGAGGTGCATGGCACACGCAGAAGCGTAGAAAATGATCACCGGTGGAGGCTGGCAGCGCAGTCGATGATTCGATCGAGAGGGGTCGCAGAGGTCAAGGTTCACAGCCAAGTGGATCGCAGGGAGAGGGTTAAGCGCCGACACAAGGGAAAGGAGGGTGCGGGAGGCAGGGAGGCACAGGCACCCGGCGAAATCGGGGATGAAGTGAGAAGAAGTGGAAAAGAGAAGAGACGAGAGTGGAAAAGGCAGAGCCAAAGATGGAGGAGCGGGGCAGATGGAGGAGAAAGTGAGAGAGCGACTGCCACAGATACCAATCACATGTCACACGCAGCACTTGTCCAGCTGCAAGTAAGCGCCCGGGCTCCAGGAACCGGGGCTTTGACTGGTTGAAGCTGGGGAAGTGCATGAGCGAGTGGAAGATGGAGGCACCACAGAGGCACCAGAGGCAACGAGAGGGGTTGGATGGGGGCCCAGAGATACGAGTTTGAGCTGTCAGTTAAAGAGCACGCCAACGAGAAGGTAGCTACCCAGGCAGGCATGGTCCACTGGACGGGGAGCCCAGTGGCCCTTCGGCCTAAGGATCTAGGCTCACTAGCCTACATAAGCTTGCTGGCTAGGTACAGGGTAGTCACCGTGCGGAGTAATATCTCTGAGCTAGAGGCTAGCCAACTGTAGGGACGGGAAGCCCATGTTTGATGACTCTAAGCTAACGAGAATCATTCATACATACACACGAGGTTACTGGTACACACCCTCGCCAAAAAGGAAGAGCCGCATCATGTCTCTCCTGATGCCATCCTTCCATAGCCCCCAAACAACACCATGCAAAAGGAAGAAGTTGAACATCCCGGTCGTCAGTCATTGTCCAGTATTGCCGCGCACTTTTCTCAGGCATTATCGAATGGTCATCTGCTTGGCCATCGCGCCGCCTTTGCCGACGCCGCCCTCCCTGGACGCTGACGCACTGACGCCCGCTTTCCGCTCAAAGATCTTCCAAAATTTCAAACTTTCATCAGCCGCTGTGTGATCGTTAGCCTATGTCGCTTCCGTGCCAGTCCCAACATTGGAAAAAACTTACCTGCCGTTGCCAGCATCTGTCCATCGGGACTGAGGCAGCTGTGAAGCACTCGAGTCTCGTGAGCGGGAATCTCCACATTTCGCACCAAAGTCGGATAGCTCCAGATGCTCAGAGAGTTGTCTGGGAAGCCGCCGGAGCTCACCAGTTCACGGTAGTGATTGCTCCACTTGAGGCTTGTCACTTGTGATCCGGTGTCGATGCTGTTGACTCGGGCCCCCGTGGTCGTGTTCCAGAAGTGAATGTGTCGGTCGTGCGACCCGCCACCAGTTGCCAGGAGGTTCAATTGCCAAGGGCACCAGCTCAGGGCTTTGACTGCAGCGCGGTGATTCTTCTTTGCAAACTTGGGAGCGGCCAATGAGCGGGCGTCCCAAATGGACACCAAGTTGTCGTTCCCGCCCGTGGCCAGCTGCGCGCCATCACTGCGCCATTCCAGGCCACACACTTCCGAGGTGTGGGACACCAGCTCGGCAACCTTATGTTGAGCGACCCGGACGTCATGGTTGAAGACGAGCCCACTTCGTGCGCCTGTTGATAAGGTGTGCTTGTTCCATCCCATCACACCGACCCGAGTTTCATGTCCGAACATGCTCCGGAGCTTAGTACCTTCTTCGACATCCCAGATCTGGACTTCCCCGGAACCGAGACCCACGCCGACATAGGCGCCATCGCCTGACCATTTGACACTGCTGACATAGGTGTCGGGGGAAGTTTCCAATAGGCAGCTGACGGTGCCGCTGTCGGCGGACCAGACGTAGACGTTGCGCTCCAAGCCAATGGCCACCTGGTTGCCGGAACTCCAATCCAGCAGGTTCAGATAGTAGTCGTCGACCAAACCCGGGGCATCCAATACACGCTCAGGCGCGGATTGAATACGGCGACGGAACTGGGCTGACTGGGCATTGGCGGGCTTCAGTGGGCGGTTGTATTGTGACCGGAGGTCAATTGGCTTAGATGATTCCGGGGGGGCGGGCTTGAATTCAAGGATTCGTTGGCTTGTTGAGATGCCACATGCAGAAGCAAGTGATGATTCATAAGCACTGGAGTCGAGATTGGCCCGAGTGTAAGATGAGGTGGTGTTGTCGTCCTCGAGTCCAAGACCCTCTAGGGCGGTCGTGATGTCTGCATCCGCACCTCGGGCAGAGATCTCAAAGGCACTGGCACTGGCAGCGTTGGCGAGGACGATGGATCCATCCATGCCAGCAGTCCGTGGACGAGTGTTCTCATCTGGCTTGCCAGACCCGGCAGTTACCAGGCCCGCACTTGCAGCTCTATTAGGAATGAATCTGTCCGCGGTGTTGTTAGGGAGTCTGATCGTGGTCTTGCCCGCTCTCGACCTCAGGACCGTCTCTTTCCTTGACTTTTCTCTTGACGGTGTGGCAGTTGTGTTTGGCCCGGTGCCTGTTAAAGTCCAGTCTGAGACACCCAGCTCGAGTTGCTTGGGTGACTGCCGTCCCCTGGCGATGTTGGACTTGGGGGAACTGGCATAGGCAAACTTGGACACAGATCTCGAGATGGAGCGAGAGAAGAAAGTTGGATCTGACTTGTGGATGGACTGTTCTTTTCGCAGAGGAGTAGAGGGAGAGGAGGCGGTCGACATGTTTGTGACAACGCTTGCCGTTCTCTGTCTGGGGGATGGGGTAAGTGGCATTCTGCCACCTGCGGTCTTGGTAGAGAAGAGGCCATGATGGCTTTTGAGAGGTGTTGACACTGAGGCTGTTGCCATTATGTCTAGATGTGTATGTTGTTGATCGAACGGACAATCAAATGTTTCGATCAGGGTCTGCTATTGAACCGAGAATCAATCAAGACCTCGGGGGTTAGTAGTGGTTGTCGATTAAGCAATCAGATCTTGTCGAGAAAGTATCTGTGCCTGGGTCCAGCAATTCAGTGATTATCTCAAGATGCTCAACTGAATGGATCCTGAGAAAGGCTGTCGGTAGTTGTTAAGTTAGTAAGTCTCTCAGTGTCTCGCTGATATTGTTGGATGATTGGGTAACCGAACGGTGTTTGGCACGGCGAGGCGATGCAGTCGGGGGGGCGACCAAATCTAGCAGATGCAAGTGTGATCTAATGGACTGTATGCTATGCACGCGCAACGATGTATGCGTAGAGGAGGAGGAAGTGGATGGAGGAGTGGGAGTGTGGTATAGGAGAGAGAAAGAAGAGGTCTTGAAACTGTGAGCAGTTCGCAGTTGAAGTACTTTCCAATGTTGGTGGGGATGTCTGCCACGGCAACGGCGACCCACTGTCCACTATGCCCTTTGTAGCACTAGTGGTACCGGGGCCCATCCTGGCGTCACCTTACGTCAGCGCCAAGAGCTACTTCTCCGGAAGAATATTAATCCTAGCCGCTTCCGCCGTTCGCCAAACTTCCTGCAACCTGAAACTTTCGCCGATCATTTTTCATCTTCACTCCCTTTTCTGCAGCCCCCTTTGGCATGTCTAGGCCGTGCCACTCAGCTCGACAATTTGCAAGGTCTTGACATTCAAGTCTGGCTTCATCCACTTGGATGAGCCTGCGGGCTTCTTCAGGCCCCATCTTTTGCTCCATAACGTTGGCCAAAGCGTTCTGACCAAAACCTCTGGTTTAAGCCAACGCCTTTCCCCGTAAACGCCGAAGTTTCAGACAATCTTATGATGGCCCAACCTTCGACACCACAACCATTTCTTCCTCAGACTTCTCCCGCTGCTGAAGACACCCAATTGTGGACTGTTAGCCTCTCTCGACAATTGGGTTCTGGTGCTAATACTCCCACGGCCAACACCTACCTGATGCCTACTAGCCCGGCCAAGAACACCGCCAGCATGAACAACGGGCTGAAGCCAAAGATCACCAAGACTACCGGGCAGAAGCCGGCTTGCCTGGTCAATGCATCAGTCACCTATTGCGGGAACGATCAGATCTACGCTTTCGGCGGCTTCGACCAGTTCACAGATGAAGTCTACAATCACGTGCTTCGGCTGAATCTGAAAACGCTAGACTGGGCGCTAGTGGATAATTATGGAGACATTCCTGGGGTGCGGATGGGGCATTCAGCATCCCTTTACCAAGGCGACAAATTACTGGTCTATGGTGGAGAAAATGAACACCGAGAATATTTGTCGGACGTGGTCATTCTTAACCTGAAAGACCATTACTGGACCCAACCCGATGTCCAGGGTCCCGTCCCGAAAGGCAGAGCCAGACACGCCGCCGTTGTGTACGAGGACAAACTCTTCGTCATTGGGGGGCTGACCGGAGAAGCCAATTACATCCTCGACGACATCTGCTACCTGGATTTGAAGACGTGGACGTGGTCGAAAACATGGAGCTTCGTGCAAAGATTCGATCACTCCGCCTGGATATGGGGAGGTCGATTATGGGTGCTCGGAGGCATGGGAGCTGATATGGAACGCCCATCAGAGATTTGGTGGCTGGATCTCAAAGGAAGTCCGGCTTTGAGTGGCTCAGGCAGGCAGTACTCTAATATGGGTCGCATCTCCTCTGCCAGACATGATCCCTGGCTGCATCCCAGCCGCGCTGACCGCGTCGATACATATACCGCGAACTCGGGCAGCGTCCACATTCGATCTACCAGGCGGGAGAAGCCCGTCGCCCCCGGGGCCATATCGTCGCTGAAATTCGTTTCGGGCCCGCATGTCCCCCTCCAATCGTCCGGGACACATTTCCACGTCTGCTCTTCTGGCGCCTTGCTAGACTTTGTCACGCCGTCGTCGACTATTCGTCACAGTGAATGCAACCTGTCATCTCTCGAGCTGGACTCGATGAGGTGGCAAAGATTGGTTGAAGGTCCTGAGCTCTTCCAGCCTGGCTATAAATGGCATTACTGTACAATCAACGAGGATGGAACCAAGGTCTGGCTGCTTGGCTCCCCTGGGGACGACTCAACCGGGACCAATCAAGAGCTCCAATTGAGCGAGGTTTTGGCTGTCGACCTCAAACGCTATGGCTTGCTTGGCAACCTTGACTCTCCCTTCGCGTCTGAGCAAAACCGCATCCTGGCCTCCGAACGGCAGACAATATATACAACTCCCTCTGGCAGTTTAGGGTCTGGCCTCGGCTCAGATCTCGCCATGATATTTGATCAACCCCCAGAATCTGGCAGTATGAGCGACTTCATCATTACGGCGAACAACATTCCCGCCGAGGATGACGACAATATTTCGGAAGCCGATTCTCAACTGCGGTTCTCCACGAACACGACTAGCAGTCAGGCATTCGTCTCTGAGAACTCCGTTGTGTCCTCCCCAATCCACGTTCACAAAGTGATCCTCCATGCCCGTTGGCCACACTTTAAACGTCTCTACGCTTCAAAAATGATTGAATACCAAACTTCCCGCTTACACATCCCTGAGCCTTACTCAGTTGTACGCGCGTTTCTGTATTACCTATACACGGACAGCATTGCCCCTCATCCCGAATACTGCCGGGACCTCACAGACGTCGCGGGCATGCTCGTGATGGCAAACCTCTATGACATGCCCAAGCTCCGCCTTCTGTGCGTGAACCGCCTTTCGCGCGAGATCGACATCGCGCACGCCGCCGTGATTTGGGAGCGGGCGGGACGGACCGACGAAGAATGGCTGAAACAGCGTGCTGCCCGCTTCTGCATGACGAATTTTGGACGGATTGTCCGTACCGAGGGGTTTAGGAGCCTGAGCCGACAGTCTCTCATGGAGCTTTGTGAGGTTGTTGGGATGGAGGGGAGAGTGGTTGATGGTGATGAGATGGACGACGCCGATGTCGGGTTCATGCCAGGTGGGAGTATCAGTGGGCGATATCGACGTAGGAGTCATCGACCCAGTGGCGAGGCAGACGAGACAGAGGGAGACGAGGATGACGGAATGGACATGAACTGAGTTCTCATCGTCTAGCAAGCCCTCCCGCCAGAGGGGTCTAGTGTGTTCCATGACAACCAAAGAGGTGGGGGAATAACGGAGTTTTCCTTCACTCGCGAAGGGACATCAAGATGACTCAACTGAGCAAATGAAAACTGGTGGGGAACCAAAACTCCCGCGTCCGACCTCGGTAGGACGCCGACTACTTCATTTTCAGGACGGGACTTGAAGCAAGGTGTACGTATGGGACAGACTCAATATGGGGTGGGATTTACAGGGAAAGAAAGGCACGCATGTATGGGTCGGAAAAGAGGAAAAAATTGTTGAACATGGAAAGGGGGAATTCAGAGAAACAAAGGAATGCATGAACCACCAAAAAAACACATGAGCATAGCGAGGATGGAATTTATCGGGACTCTGTTAAGGGAAGGCCGCGAACAACGGGACGACTGTTTGATTGATTACACTGACGGACTGACTGAGTGACTGAACTACATTGAGATTCGTTTCGGGAGCTGGTCTTATTATCGTGATTGGGATTGGATGGCATCTGGAATTGGGGGGATTCTCAGGCTGGCCAGTAAGTGTGAGTGAAAGCGAAGCAAAGCAAAGCTAGCTACATAGACTAACTAGCTGCATTGGTGCTGTATATGGTACCTAGGCACAGACGGACAGCCATGTGTGTATATATGTATGTAAGTATTATACTGTACTGCATGTCCTTGAAAATACTTCTTTTTCTGGCTTGCCTGCTCTTATTATGGGAGCTTCAGTGAGATAACGGAACGGGCATGAGTTGCTTGTTTGGAAAGAGATCGACACATGTCACTGAGCAAGCAAGTAAGCAAGCAATGTGGGCAGGCGGGCTCTGAAGGTCATTCGTTGTTGATTGGTGTAGGGTATCTTCACGCTGCCCATTTTGACCGTTCTGATTCCGGGTCGTGGTGCTACCTAGGTATCTAGGACATCTAGTACATCTACAAATACAGCCTCGAAAAGCCTGCGTTGATTGATCATCCGTGTTCAAGGACGAGCATGCGTCCGAGGAGGGGTGAGGTTCCATGTAGACTGGGGGCTGTGGAGGTATGTTTTCACAGTGCTCGAAATTTCTCCTCGCCTTTTCCTGGCGCAGAAACCATCCCGCTGATCGTATGGCTGTTCCCCTCGCACGCCGCGTAATGGATGAAGTTTGCTGAATTAGACGAGTCTGAGCCGGCGCCTCAATGCACTTGAATCCATCCTTCCAAACTTGCGAGAGGGTCATGCTACCTGATTTGTGATTGCACGAGCCTGTTGTCCAACTGCTCTGCACCATCAGATCTGGTGTTCGCGAAGCTCTCCAGGCTTCGATATCGTGCTTGCTAAATCCCCGTACCGATTTATCCATCTCATCTCTTCTTGCCTCCGGGTCTCGGTTTAACCTCTTCCGGCTGCACGCCATGCAACATAATCTTATTTGGTGTCTGAGGCGTGTTCTTTTGATAACCCTGACTCCAGTCGTAGCACACTGCATATGCAAACACGGTTCCCTGCCTATTGAACGCGGTTGCCGTAATCGGCGCGCCCACAGCTGGATATCCCTTGAGTCGATGTTTCGCATTTCCGTCCCAGAAGTGGAAAGTTCCGTCGCTGCCTGCCGTGGAGAATGTGCCATGTACCGGGTGAAACGAGATGGCATTGACAGCGTAGACATTGGCGACATCACGATTGGGGCCTGTGGTGGCGGGTGTGTCGCGGTGGCATTTGAAGCTGAAGTTGTTATCGGCGGCTTTTTCTTCCACATATTGGATTGCACATCTTCCCTCGATGCTGCCCACAGCGAAACCCGTGGCATCTGTGAAGCAACTGACCACCCTTGTCTGAAACTTCAGCGGAGACTGTACTGACTTGTAGAATTTCTCGGGGGAGTTCAGGTCGACGATGTTGATGTATCTGTCTGCAGTACCAATAACCAAGAGTTTGTTCTTGACATCCATCGTGTAGACTCGCTCCTGACATTGTAATGTTGCGACGGGGTTTGGACTCCGCAGATCCCAGTATTTGACGGTTTTATCCCACGAGCCGGTGATGAGAATGGATGAGCCATTGATAGTCGCGAAGCGACACGCTCGAACGGGCTGCTCGTGGGCGACGAGAGTTTGCGGAGTCATATTGCCTGATGCCAGGTCAAGGAGTCGGATTGTCTTGTCGGCGCCGCAGCCTGCAACTTTTTGGCCATCCTAATCAATGGTCAGGATATCTTCCCAAATATATGTTCACGTCGGCACTACTCGCCTCTGACCATGCGCAGCCCAGCACCGGGGCGTCAAAATCCATAGCAGCCTTCCCTTCGCTCTGCCCCTGCTCGTTCACTTGGTATATCCGGACTTTTTTGTCCCATGACGAGACCGCGAGAAAGTCGGCCTGCGGGGAGAATGCGAGATGCGACGTGCTGTCTTCTGGCGGTTGCACCAAGGCGACATCTTTGGAAAGGTCTCCGGTTGTACTGGTGGTGGCAGACGCTGCGGGTGATGATCCAAAGAGTGTAGACATGTTACCAGGCTATCGCGCTGGAGCTTCTGAGGAATTTTGGTAGCGGCGTACAAGAGACAGAGGACGGTGAAAAGGGATTAGCGATTAAGCGAGAGTCGACGAGGTTGTGGCGGGCATGCGAAGGCAGGAATTCGATGTGGTGGCCCACGCGTGGTCGGTCTGAAGATTCCAGACAGCGTGACTGCCATTTGTGGACCACCGTACTGCGTGCCAAGAAGAGGCACACCCTATTTTGGGCGCGAGGGTGATGCCGCCCTATGCTTCACCCGTGAATCACCAAAGCGGCCTAGCGCCGGCGCAGAGGTGTTCCACACAAACTCGCAGATATTCTTGTCACCGAAGACGTTCGTGATGGCTCTGTCGAGCAAGTCGGAGAGACGAAAGATCACGAAAGAGCTTCGACATCTGCGCACTCATTTGATGATCCACAATTGAAATTAGAAGAGTTTCGACAAAGAGTAACCTAAGTGCGACGTAGGAATCGCTTCAGCTCCATCCTCTCGTAACTTGAGGGAGGCTATATCCTTGAGTGCTGGGAGACAAAGGAGAAGATGGAGTGGTGTATGATCCCTGCCATGAGCAGCCTTATCGTAAACTCCTACACTACAACTGCACTGAGCTTTACCACTAGTTCGGTGAAGGGTGTACAGTTTAGGTTTACCAACATTGCCTCGAGTTGAGATTCTGTGAGAGGCGTGCTATGCTTGCCATTATACAGTCAGACCAAAAGTCAACAGTCGTAGCGAGCTTTTCGTTGTAGAGTTGATGTAACAAGGACATCTCGCCCGGCATTAGCATTCCAGATAAAGCTTCGATATATCTCGAGAAGCATCTGGAGACCCAAAACTAAGCTGAGGTCGGGATACTCGGTTGGACTCTATAGAAAAGCCAGAGATCAGAAGGTAACGGATTCATACTCATACTTCCATCAAAGTTTGAATGATGTTGCAAGCTTCAAATAGATTACGAAGCACTAGTGCCAAATGTGGTAACAGAAAATAAAGCTCAAATGTCCACGTTCCGGGCCGCGCCGATGCCCGGAAGAGTCGCCGCCCTCCAATCAACCTTATGGTGCCACCGTCCCTTCTTTGTAGCAGCCCAAAACCCAGACAACACGTGAAAGTCCACGTTCATCGACGCGCAAACGATCAAACCAAGTGCACCGGTGCGGTGCATCTAGGAATCAAATCACTTCTACCATGAAGGCTTGATAGCATTTTGCTGAGACGATGCTGGCAGTCGCCATTGCCCCGCACCCTTAGATAGTGAGATCGATTTCAAAATTTCATTTCCCTCTAATGTTATGCTCATCGAGAACCGTCAACGTTCAATCTTCCACAGTAATTCTGTCATGCCCGCTTGTGCGCGCAGCTAGAAGTCCAGAGCTCAAGAGCCAACGACGAATGAAACGATATCAAGTGGATGTTCATAACCTCCCGAACAGTCCGCAATTCATACAAGTACCAGGTCGCTTAAACGGTCCTTCTGCTAGCTTCTGTGACTGAAGACAACTAGGAGGAAGTGAGACATGTCGATCACTCTGCGTCTGAAGTGCTGCTTGTCAAAATCGAGTCCAGCCTGTGGCAGTCTGACGAATAAGGGGGTTTGCTTACAACCCGTGTCCATGAAGCTAAGAGTCGTTCTTGTACATTATTGGAACTCGCAGCAGGAGTTCTTGAGCGTTGCCAGGCTCACCGCCAACGGAGGGAAAGATCGTCGGCAGCCACTCACCTAATACGCGAGAATTTGAGGGGGTGGGGAAGGCTCGAAGCGAATGGCGAGCGCGCTTATCGAATCACGGACTGCAATTTTTTAGGCTCGATGTGAACCGGTATATTGGCTGCTTGAGGGAGTGTTGTACTGGTTGATTAAATCTTCCCCCTATTGAGTCCTACGACCTAGCTCTTCGGGATTGCGTCGTTAGTCGTGTCGGCAGTTGTTTTGTACAAGGTCGCGGGAAAATGTGGTGCCTAGCGACGATACAGCGGTAGAATCTAATCACTATGAAGCTAGAGCAGAGAGCTCGCCGCCATCAATGACATTCCCTTGGTCCTTCGGCCATGATATCCCCCTTATATTCTGGAGACACTGCTTTATCCGGCGTCGAAGGCCTCCTGGCGTGTCGGGTGGCATGCCGACGTATTGCTCCGTGCAGTGAAGCGAGATGTGGGTCGTGCGGCAACAGGAGATTGGAACCAGGACCCCCCTGTGGTCATCATAAGTTCGGGCAAGATGCTCAGAACTATCGGCGAAACCGGGGGGAGGAATTGCATTTTGGAGCAGCTCGGCTTCCTCGGCCGGCACAGAGACTCCTCCCCGGCTCTGCGAACGAATCCGCACACGACGCTATTCGTGTCCACCAGCACTTCGCGTCTGGGAAGCGGTTGGAGAATCGAGTCAAGGAGAATTCCAACCATGCTCTCTGCGGGAGGGTAATCGCCTATGCATCACTGGCTCCACAAAACCAGTTTCATGGACTTCTCTGTCAACCTAACTCGTCGCACATCTCGTGTGCTGCAGCAGAGGTGAAGTTGATACTTTGGCCTACTGATGAGAGACTCGCTCGCTTGGAGGTGCGTTCGAATGAAGAGGGGTACAAGCAACATCATATACCTGGATCATCTGCAGGCGAGGGCCGTAGCAGCGTTGCATTTTGTGACAAAACCTTGCTAACATTGGCTGGAATAGCACGAGAGGTTACACTGGAGTGCATTCTACACCGTTTGAATATCAAGGCATGAAGAGAGAATGGGGCCACAAGGATGTGTCCACGAAAGGAGTTGTCTATTTAAACCCCTGTTCGGTGTCAATAATACTCTCTGGCCTGGAAATGCTCAACTCCATCCTCTGAAGCCCCAGAAGACACCACAGCATACAACGCTTCAATGAAGTTACAAGACCTCCTCTGGCTGGGGATTGTGCTGTTCCCTGCACCTCTCGCTGCGGCCGTATGTTCCTCATCGCGTTTCCTAAAATTGGGTTACATTTACCTCACATCCACTAACGTCGCTGCCCAGGAAACTTCGGAAATACTTGCCATAATGCGCGGTCTTCCCAGAGATGAATCTGGCAAGGGGTTTATTCATCTGGGCGATGACGGCGTCCTGAGATCCTTTGATGGAGACCTGAAAGTCGTGGCTTATCAACCACTGACCCCCGACCAGATCACGGCGTACATTGATCGTACCAACGAAGAAAGACGCCCACATCTCCGTGAAGTTTTCGAAGGGGTTGACGGTCGCGACGTCGTTGATGAAGAGCAGCTTACAAACCCTGCGCCGGGACTGCTACCAGCGTTCAAGCCTGGGTCACTGCCAGAAGTCGAGAAGCCGACGAGGCGGAATGAGCGCAGGCATTCTGCATCGGGCGGCGATCTTGGGAAGCGTGTTCCATGCAATCAAATTCTATGTACCAATGACATTCAATGTCAGGATTCATTCTGCTTCGGGTGTGAGGTAGCCGACTTTGCATGGCTTGGTGCATGTTTTTGAGATATCGTTGTTGTGCCAGAGGGAAATATGGAAGTACAACAACGACGGCCGAGATACAGTGACCGGCACATTGAAAGAGCTATGAGATTTAAAGTATGCGACGGAAGACAGAAAGTGTGTCCGTCTCTCGTTATGCGAGCGCTGCAAAGACAGCTGCCTCATAGTAGGTAGATCACCACAGGATGTACAAGACCAAAAGAAGTCTCTGTCGTGTTCCGTAACTCCGGTTTGTCAAAGCGGACAACGTAAAACTGATCCATCAACCGGGAAAAGCCTAACAGCTCTGCTTCTTGCCGGCTATGCCGCCCCCAGAGTCCTGTTGACACAGGAAACTAGCATAAGGGTCGACATTGCGTCGCAACGGTCACTGATAGGTTGCGGGCACCCTTTTCGAACATATTGAATATTGACTTCCAAGGAACTCATGTGATCCTACCATGACTGCATCAAGTTTTTCATACCCAAACACTTTCAACCGGAAATGCTTCTCAGCTCAGGGCCAAAGACTTCCCCATCTTTCTCTAGCTTCTCTCGTTCAAGCTTACGCTTCTTGAGCGCCTTCTCTGCGTCACTTCCGTGCCCATCCCTCTTTTCTGACAATTTCGCCCTTCCCCTACTGACGGCATCAATATCCACCTTCTCTGGATCTTGACACACGGTTAGTTTCTTGCGGATTCGTGTCAGCTCTTTCCGTCGCGTTGAGTCTTCTGGCGAGCGATAGGAACTAAGCAGTTTCGCGCATGCCACAATCGTGGTCAAAACTCTTTGTTTGAACGTCGCGGTCGCTTCGTCAAAAGGTAGGTTGCCGAGTTTATGTTCCAGATACACTTCCGTCAGCTCACTATCAGCCACCATCATAGCACCCAGCCAGATTTGGCTGGGCGTATAGAGGAAATATGCGTCTGTCATCTGAGCGGCTCTGGTCAGGATCCCCTTTGCTTGATCGGCTGCGGAATCTACTCTTCTTGCGAAACTCGTCGCTTTCGGACTGTTGCTGCCGAGCTGACCTTCCTGTACCATAGCTAGCATCTCAGCATGGCCACCTGCAAGGCCTTTCATAGGATGGCGCACATCGAGTGTAAATTTCAGACCCTGCAGAAGAAGGAATTCAGGTGCCTTCACATCTTGTTCAGTGACCTTCTCAAGTTCCGAAACGAACTTGGAAAGCGAGATGTAAAAGTGATCAGCTTTTGTAGCTAGATATAAAGCACAAACCATGATCGGTTTGGGATGATATATCATGGGTGAATGTGTGAGATAAAAGCGGCGGAGGTATTGAATTGCGGTAGCCTATGGTGGTGCAACGTAAGTATATCGTAACAAGAATATGCCCCAAGGGGGAAGAGAAGCACCAAACGCGGAGCCATAACTAAATACATACCACAATACTGGAAGGAATTCTCGGGTTCATGGCCTCACCCATATCGACGATCTTGGTACAACCCCATTCGACAATCTTTAACTCCTCCTCGGCGGTAAGCGTCGGGACATCAGGAGGGGTATCAGCTGTATTTCCGCTGTTTTCGCTTGAGCCTGATATTGTAATCTGGGTCTTTCGAATTGCGGCCTTGACACGCTCAGATGCAAGCCGATTAGTCTTCTGGCGGATTTGTGCAAGCCTTTCCTCTGTGTATGACCAATATCGATACTGGGAAGAAGCTCTGTACTCGTCGTCTTCGATCATGTTCAAGTGGTCTAAGTCCAGCCACCAGTATGGGAGAACGACGTTGTGAAGGCTCCTTAGGGGCCGCCGTTAAATATCGCGGGACAGGCAACGGTTCAGCTGCTGGACGGTAGCTATAGGAGGTATCTCACAGTAAGGATGATCAATAGCGTTAGAAGAGACGTCTCGGTCAGTTCGCTTTGAGGGCTCGGCGCCAAGCCAAACCCTCGTGATTTTATTGGTCAGATCATTCACCCCGTTGAACTTCGGGGAATGCCTCCGGATTCGCAAGTTCGACCGCAAGTTCGAACGACCACAAGGTCGCTTAATGATGCTTAGCAGGATCTACTCGGTAGTTGGCTAGCATTCGCCTCTTAAGAACGCTCTAATAGGCTATCCAATGGTCGCAATCAAGAGCAGAATCAAGAGCGATTACAGTTATAATATATAACAGAGACCCTACAAGAGCATGAGTAACTTCTAATGGCCATAGAAAATACTACAAAGAGCCCTCCGTCATCGATGGCGCCTCCCACTATTGGCAGTGGCAGTGACAGCGGCAGAGGCAAGCGAGTCCGTAGACAGACTGCCAGGCTAGTGGAATCGAGGTAACAAGACTTCCTAGCTAAGCCAAAATAAACAATACAGGGTTGGCTATACAAAACAAGCTGCAGGAGGTCGAGGATGACGCGAGGAGATAGATCGATGCTACATATGAAGAATTGATTCCCATACAAATTTGGTGTGGTTGATTTCTATGTACTTTCTACCGAGCATTAAGCGAATTTGCGGTCCGGAGGCATTTCTTAAACTTCTTAGATCCCACACAACCAATTATGATGTCGTGATGTGATCTGATTTCCCCAAGGACCCGGGGAAGAAGAGCATCGTCAACGCCCGTGTCAAGGGTAGTACGCATGACAGGATAAGGTAAGGCCCTACATTGCCTTACTGGCAATTATGCCAAAGTCAATTATGCACGACTGCTCGCCAGCAATTGAATCTTGACATGGTATCTGCGATAAATTGACCTTCTCAGTTGTCTCCTCATCGGAAGCCCATGCGTTGTTTCAGGTACACAATTACCACCCCTAATTAGCTTGGAGAAATCCTTTTCCCAAAGGGTACAAATCGCAATCCTGTCTGTCCCACAACGGCTGGCCAAGGGAGAATGATGACAGAAAGATTAAGTGAGATGCAGACTGCACTTGTCATTCATTCCCTCTTCATTGGCGGGGTTTGAATGGCGAAGGCTTTTAGCAGGGTGCTTAGCAGAAAAGGCAAGTGTGCTTGTTTGACCCTCTCGAGGCCCAAGCGAAGAAGAATGCTTAGTCTGTTCTGCTGCTCAGTCTGTTCCTTCAAACCATCTTCTCCAGAAGAAGATCGGGGGAGAGGACCAAGTCTTTCAGCAGGCGCGGACTCGAAGTGTCCGAAACCTGTGGCAGTGGACCTTCCCTCAGCATTCGTCGAATCTCAGTCGACGAGGTGCCTGGGCGAATCTGTCCTTCCATGGCGATGAAACGGGCTTGACAAGTTGGCCTTGCCATCAACTGACATTGCCACACTGTAGCTATGGGTGTCGTTTGACCGTCCTGTAGAGCCGGCCCTTCCAGTGTTTGGGAGTCTTCCCTGCCAATTTTCCCCTCCGAAGAAGGAAGCTGGATTTGCTGCCATGGTGTACATCCTACGGCTGGCTGTAGTGTCCGTGCCTGGGCGAAATCCCGGTGCTTCGTCCCTCGAGTATCACTGACGATGAAACTCCTCCCCGTACTCTTGAATACGTCTTTCCCCGAGCCTCGATCGTCGTACCGATCCACCCCCATCACATCCACCCACTGAACCGCGTACCCATCGTAGCCCGCGGCCTCGACGATCCAGTCGAATACCACGCCCGGATCCGACCGGGCGCAATCGTCGAGCATGTCCGATTCGACCACGTAGACCCCCGGAGGCAGACGCGGATCGCCCCGCCAGAGTTGAGCGCGCTGGGATTGCGAAAACCATGGCCCGTCCTGGCTGCTTCCTCGCTCCTCGGGATGCTTGTTGCGCAAACGATGGTCTGGGACGGGCCACACGATCGTTCCCACCACGTGTAAGTCCGTCGTGTACGCGAGCACCGTCTCGAGGAGATGCAGGTGGCCGATGTGAGGGGGGTTAAAGCTTCCGTAGTACATCAATATGGTGTTGGGGGAGTCTGTGCGGAGAGGCTTGAGAGAGGACAGTCCGCCGGAGGGCTGAAAGCGTGCTGAGCAGGCTGGATCATCCGCATGCCCCGGTTGAGAAAATATGGGTGACAGGTACGGGTGGATAGTAGCCATCATCGGAGTGGGAGCATACGCTCAAGAACTGCGTGATGTGGTTCGTAGCATATCGATACAGCACGTAAACTATGGCCACGAGGTTTCGGGTTCGGGGTGTGGAGGGGGTGGTTGTCGTCAAATTCAATTATCTGCGACTTCGGACGAAGCTGGATTAAGGCTGACTGACCTACATGTATCGTTTCGGGACGGGACGCGGGAAAGAGGAGCGGCTCGTCATACGCTGTAGTCACATCTAAACAATGATCTGCCGAGGTATATTTACAAAGATAGGGAGATTGATAATAAGGCCCGGAGGAGAGAAAGACCATAAATACATTCATTCGTGTTATTGATCATCATGTCGTAAAAAGTACGAAAGCATGGACATCGTTTCAATGAGACGCCTCCCAGCTGAATAGCGATTTCGTCATCTGAAATTCCTCATCCTCTGGCTCGTGGTCATAGATAGCACTCATTTCCGCCCTCAAGCCCTCAGGCACATACCATGGCCTCGTTTCGTCGCGAAGAATCAGGCGTGTCAAGTGGCGTTGCTTGTCTCGTCGTCCACCCGCCCACTTGGTCATGAATATCTTGTCCCGCGCATGCATGGTGCGCATGTTGTTGAAAAACAACATGTGCCCTGTTTCAAGGTCAAAAGGAGTGGCCACGGCCTGGCCGAAATAATGGAGTGCATCGAGGGCAAGCATCTGTTCTTCACTAAGCGGCGGCAGCGATCGGGGCCGAGGCTGCGACGGGGTTCCCGTGATGCGTGCTCGAGAGCATGAAATGATCGGCTTTCCCTTTGGATCGTAGAACAGGAGTGGGCGTTCACTCCCACATTCAGCACCAGGAATGGTTGGTATGATGCTCCATGGTCTGACGAGTACAGGGATGAGGTCAGGACAGTGTTTGGCCATCTCCTCCACGATGCGGGAAGTGCTGGCCAAGTAAGTCCTTCCCCCTGATTTGCTGCCAACGATAGTGTAGAGCGAGACAATCTGGCCAGCGTCGGTGTGGAACGGCATTGCCATGGTCGTGTTCGGGGGCCCATGGTATTTGTTAGTGACGGTGGAGGCAAAAGACGCCGGCAAAGGAGTGATATGATGCACGACATTCTTATCGCCGCCCTCGCCTCCTGCCATTCCACGCTTGTTGCCCACATAGGAGCAAACACCAGCTTGTATCATGATATTGTCAGCCGTGCTGTATTCATCGGCCTTGAAGCCCAACAACAAGCAGTAGTCTTGCTCGTCCTCCAAGCGACGTGACAATTCGCGTAGTTTCGGACCAAGGGTAGGCAGAGGAAAAGAGCTGGCATCGATACAGTCCGCGGAACGGCGCAAGGCTGGAAAATGTCAATTCGCGGCACACAATATCAGATGAGACACAAGCCTTTGAAGTGCTGAATTGCTCTGTCGATTTCTTCTCGATCTTCATTAGTTAGAACCCAGCGCAAGACCTCGCTGCCATGGCCGGTAATGCCGACTTTGCCATTGTTGCTAAGCACATTAGGCTGAAGGTAAGGACGCAACTTCTCGTAGGAGACAACTGAAGGGACATATCCTGGTTCAACCACATTGCTGATGGCGGCGGGCGCCATCGTGCGAATCTGTTTTTCGGACCTTGATGAAAGATGAAAGGTTCTAATCAGCTGGGAAGTAGGCGCCAGAGAAGATGCAGTCGACGCCCAGTGCGAGTGGGATGCGGCTTAAATGCCAGCCCCGCACCTCCCGTGTTGCCATTGTGATACCCTGGGTTGAACAAATTGAATCAAAGCATACTGTGATTCTCCGACGAAGTTTGGAGAGACGCTAGGCGATTTTGGAAACAGGGGAGCGAGGGTAATTAACTCTGGAGCTCATTTGTCGGACTCTGGTGAGCAGCAACCCTTTTGGTTCTGTCGAGGTGCGGGTCGAAGTCAGCAATTTTGTGATGGCGGTAAAGCTTTAGAGATAATAGGGTTGTTATCATTGTCATCGACCGAGATGTAGGATCATCTTCGAGTTGCTGTTGTCGATGAAAGGAATCATGCTATTCATCGCAACGATCCGCCTACCGTCCACAGGACCTAGAGGTCGTCATCAGCGATAGGCAGGAAAAGGCCAGAAACCCAAACCAGCGCCTCGCCTGGATCGCGTTTTCGCATGGCACTCAGTTCATCCGCTCGTTTGGCGACGACGCCTTGCATATGCTGTAGGTACGCAAGAGCTGAAGCATCCAGCTTCATGGCCTTCCATGTTTCCTGCTCTTCTGGGTCAATAGTGAATGGGGCAGTGCCATTAAAGATCACACGAAAATGAGTCAGCAAGTTCTTCGCTCCGTGCTCCCAGGCCTCCATCAAGGAAATGGATCCAAAGGGGAACGAAGACCGCGGCATCTTCAGGCAATACCGTCGCAGCTGATCGTTTTGAACAGAGTACACGAACTCCAGGTTGGCGATTAAGATGATCAGTGACAAGAAGATCTGGTACCAATCTTCCTTCTTCCTGCCCATGATTTTGCGCTTCAGCTCTGACAGAAGTCTCTTCTTGACTTTCGACAAGAGCTGCATCCACATCTGATCGATCTGCGCGTCGAGGAAGGGTGGTATGGGCTTTCTGCCAAAGTATGGAGACATAGGATCATCGACCGTGGCGATCCCAAGACTCTCTTTGCCATGTAAATTGAAACTCTTGGAGAGTAGACGGGTCATGATGCAGAGCGTAATGGCATCATGGACGCACGGGGATTGGTCGTGGATTCGGAGAGCCTCCTTCATCGAAGCAGCTATAAGCTCATCTTGGCCCAATTCCAATTCGTTGGCGAGCATGCTCCAGTTTCTCTCAACTGTCGCCAGCAGCTGTGTCATGGTCCGTTTTAAGTATCGTCCCGGAATGGCATACGCAGGCAGCAGAATTGTAACGGTCTCGTCTCCCCTGACATATTTTTTGCCAAGAGTGTCCGTGGGCAAAGGCGTGAATGCTTGACAGATCACACTGATTGTTGGTCTCCGTGACGGCTCCATCTCTTGACCTCGGCCGTAGCCAACATTATAGAGACTAATTTTGACCTTGGGGGTGGCCTTCCATGAATCCACCCGGCGCACGCCGTCCGGAAAGGACAGGGCCATGTCTCTGAACAATTTGACGTCAGTGATTCTGCCCTTGAAGCATGGTGTCCTCCATATTGTGGCAGTAGCGCCGACCTCTTGACAGCGCAGACAGGGCAGGCCAGGGCCGCAGGACTCTTTCAAAACCTGGCATCTGATGCAGGCGGACTCCTTGCGCACTTGGAGAACTTTGGCCAGTTCGCTCAAGGTCTTATCTCGCCGAGCACGTTTCGATTGCTGTTGATCCACAACGCCTCCACCTGTCATCAAGTCTTCTCGGCTGTCCCAAGCATCGGCGGATTCGGTATCGGACGGCCGCTTGAGACTTCGTAGTGGAGAACTGTTTGTGCCTATGTCCACCAGAAGTGTTTGTGAATCGTCGGAATGCGTTGCAAGGTCAAACTCTGGGAGTGAGTCCCATCCCGAACTGCTGGTCTCACTGTTTTCGTGACGAAGTTTCGGAATGGTTTGGGCCGCATAAGGTTGCTTTGTGGCATCTGCAGAGAGAAATTCCCGTTCAAGGACATTTGATTGTTGATGGCGTCTCAAAGCTAGGTTACTCGGCCTCTGCTCTGATGCGTCATTGGATGTCTCGTTGGCCCACGTTGAAATGTCATGGGAAGCTGACGACGAAATGGGGAGAACCGAGGTGCTAGTCTCAAGACTTCGGTCTTGGTAAGTGTCATCGGATGCTAGGAGTTGCTGCTCCGTCTCATCAAGCAAAGCATCCCAAATGTTGGGCATCCCATTGTGATATTGTGGGGTTTCGAGGCTCCGATTCGAGGGAGATATTTCAGGCTGTTTACAAGTCGAACCCGGCGTCTGAGAGGATGCGATTTGGCGGGGAATGGCAAGATACCAAGGATCTATGAACTCTGTGAAAGAATGCTCCACCGCCGAGTCGGCCTCATCAGGGTGCTTGCCGTTCGTGTCTGGATGGGCAGTCATATTGCTTCTGTTTCATCAAGAGCGGATGGATACCGTGGGGGAATAAGAAACGTCGTGTCTGAACCGGTGAGCAAACAATATGACAACCGGCAGGGAGAAGATATATCAACCGGGAGGCAAACATTACATCGACCGGCTGGCGGAGAACAGATCGACCGGCGAATACACGAGGTTTGGCAAGGTGCCAAGACTTTGTAAAGACCCCCGCGACACTGCCATGTGGTGTAAAGTGACCGTGAGTGACCTCGCCATTGGGAGACATTTGGGTTCTCAGTGATGTAATGACAATACGACCCCGTTCGACACCCTCCGCAAGGGCGCTACCGACAAGTCGTCATGGGACTATCACGGGCTTTGGCCTGTGACCAATCCCTCCGGCCCCCACAACACAGCCCGCTGAGACCAAGTGTTAGCGCAGCCTCATTTCCTCTTCCCTTGCCCGTATTTGGATTTGAATGGACCATGACAGGTCTTCACAATGAGCTACCTAGGTTCGGGCCTCAATAACAATAGTATTATACATGCCAAAATCTTGAAACTCCGCCTTACCCGTCCAAACCCTGCCTATGGATCCGAACCAGAGTTCGTCTCACATTTCCTCAGTTTACGCCGTCCACTCCATCCGACCTCATACGTACATTCGATGATACATTATACCATGCTTGCTCAGCTGCTTGAGCCAGTGGCTGTCCATGCTCCTAAATACATAAGGTCAGACTCCAGCTGTTCCTGGTTGCCGCCTTCGTGTTGTGGAGCTTGGGGGCCGATATTTTGCACGACCGACACCTTTTTGGCCAGTGCGTGGACCACTTCCTCGAGATGCTTGTCCACGGGCCTATCGGCGTGCCACAGACCATTGTCCCAACAAGTAATGCTGAAATCCCGGTGGGGGTCATGTCTGGCTGCATCTCGAAAGTCTGCGTCGTTTGCAGTAAGTGAAAATGCCTCGTCCGATGCCCAAGTGACAGCTCCGCTGGTGGAAGCGCTGAAAGTGGTCGTATCGCTACCAAAGTCGGGGATATATGAAATGGTGAGCAGTTGTACGTTTTGCAGGTCAGTAGAGCTGGCAGCTGAGTAGGCCATATCGTTTGACTGATAGCACCGAGCTGGGTTGGCTTTTTCGATCGGTAAGAGTAGAGGCTGCTGTTTTGTCTGTACACCGTGAACCTGGCTTTGGACAGAGAATTTTAATTACGAGTGGGCATAGAAATTGACAAGAATGGTTTGGAAGCGTAAGCTTGAATCCAAACCGTTCGGTCACCTTAAATGCCTGTCTCACATTGATTGTTCCTCCCGGTAGAAGTGACAATTCTCGCCGGTCCAGCGCCCGGTGATAAAGAACCATGGCAGGGGAAGCGAGGTGTCATCCACGAACTTAGCTCGGATTCCGCCCACCCCATCACTTTCATGGCCAAGGCAGAATCAGTCATCTCATTTCCTGCGTAGAATGAGATATGGCACTTCAGCCCTCTTGTGGCGACACGACACTCATGGACCAGAGCCATGCAAGTTTATCCTCTGAAGAAGTCATAGGAAATCTTCAGTTGGCTGACTTTGGTATTCAACCGACAAAGCGGTGTCCACTCTGTCAGGGAACCCAAGGCTCAAAGACTGACCAGTCCGAAGCCGAGGACCTGCTTAGACAAGCCGCCATTGGGGACCATGTTTCCCTTCGCCAGATAGGCAGCCAAGGCTCCGGGTTGGTTGCCTCCATAGATTCGGGTGTTGTTACTATTTCCCGTGCTTGGCCATACTTGGTCAGTAGACGTCCAAAAACATCATTTTGTCATTTTCTCGGCATAGAGATCAGCTTACCTAGATGTCTATTGGTTTGAAAATATCGATGACGATCGGGGTCCATGGGTTGAACGAGCTCTGTAAAGCCGGAATTCCCTAAGCCTTCGAACAGCCTTTGGCTCCATTGATGTTCTGCGACTTTCACTGTACCATGGGTGCGATCGCACATTTGTTGATGTCGTAGAAATTTCCTGCCCCGTAGCTGTCCTCATATCTATATGCTTTGTGACCATTCCGCTGCACAGTTCACCACATTTCGCCAACTGCATCGGCTGGCACGCCAGGAGAGAGCGACGACTCACGCGCTCTGTCCGCTCCCGATTGAGTACAGCGTTTTCGTGGCGCTTGCTTTTGAAACCCGGATGTTCACTATCATGTTAGTAAGACAGAATTCGAGCTCAGCAAGTGGTCCGCAGCTCATCAGACGTGACTGAGTTGATTGGCCCCCCGGCCTTCAGCGAGGCTAGCATGTCGCGGTGAGTCTGATGACGTCTTTCGCTGCCACTACACCTGGTGACACTGTTTCATTTGCCTGTAAGTGATGCAGTGAGCCATTTCTGCGACTGGTTGAGGAAAGCATGGAAGACGAGCGGCGGGCGCGTAAGGTTGTCTAACGGCACGGCGGGGAAGGGACACCAGAGGCGAAACTGTCTCCATTGACCAGGACATATCAATTCTCGCCTCGGAGGGCCAAGTGACAGACGCACCCATCCATCATATGGTTCTCTTCAAGCACAGGTCACGAAGCCTGACAGTGTGGACGGTTCCGCCTGGCGGAGGATGAAGGGCTGACTCTTCAATTAGAGAGATGTCTGGTGTGCGTCGGGCAGGGAAATTCATAGAGCCAATCGGGCCTAGCCCATTCGTGTGTTCTCAAAAACGGATTGGTGTACAATGGACATCATCCCTTCATGACTACTATGTACCGGCCTTCAGGAAAACTATACACCCAAGCCTGTAATGTCAGCGGGATTGGTAGAAGAGAAGTAATACCATCGAGCTGATGGTTTCCTGGAGCTAGTGTAATCATCTCACAACATTCCCTCATTTCTACCGGAGGACGTCATCATATCTTCCGCACTAATTGACATAATACTCTGAAATCGTGACATCTTGCCGATTTCCAACACTTGCTGTTGAAGCTCGCTTTCTTTCGGGGGACCCGCGTCAAACCATGGTGCGTGTACCTTCTTTCTCACCACGGTGTCCGTGTTCTTCTCTATTGTAAGAAGTAGCAACTCCGCTCCCCCCCCATTCAGGACGTCGGTATTGTTACTTGAGCAACGCCATCGACGACCTTCGCAACTGCCGCGTCCTCTCCGACGTCAGCAACTCCATTGGCCAGTTCTTTTCCTTCCTCGCCTCCTTTCGCGCTCTTCTCAACGCCTCCAGCTCCCGCCGCAGCCGCAGCTTTTTGGGCCGCTTTCTTCGCCTTTGTCTTTTCTTTCTGGGCCGCTTTCTTCGCAGCTGCCTCCGCTTCTTCTTTCTTTTTCTTCTCCCTTTCCGCTTGATTGCCGCCAAAGTACTCACGCCACTCATCCGCCTTCTTCTCGTCGATTTTGCTGAAGAGGTACTCCGCCTTGCCGATCTTGTGGCCTGGTCTGATATAGGTGGGGAGCCAACCATTGGCAATGTCTTCTTCGGAAGGGATCTGCAAGAATGGGCGGTCAAGCTGTTTCCGTATCGACGCGCAAGTTGCTGGGAGATAAGGCTCGAAGATGGCGGAGCAGAGGTAGATCAGATTGATCACAGTTCCGACGACTGCAGCAGCAAGACTGGGGTCGCTCGCAATGAGTGAATTGTCCAGACGGTGGGCCTGGATCAAGCCATTCCCAGCTTCTGCAATCTTCATGGCCACGATAAGTCCGTTACGTAGGTGCACCGCCTCCATTTCGGCAAGATATTGCTGGAGAAGCTCAGTGACCTCATCCAGGTGTACCTTGAATGACGAAGGAAGATTGTTGGGATCGAATTCTGGTATGATGCCAGAATAGGCTTTAGGGGAATTGACCAGCTTGATGACTCTGTTGACAAAATTCCCAAGTTTAGCAAGCAGTTCCGAGTTGTTGCCGTCGATGAATGACCGCCATTCAAACTGCGTGTCGCCGGATTCTGGCCGGTTCTTAAGGAGATAATATCGCCAGACATCGGCAGGTACGCCGGTCTCCTTTGCGTTGTTCCCAAAAACACCGATGCCACGGCTCTTACTGAATTTTCCGTTCTCGTAATTGAGGTATTCTGTGGATGAAAGGTGGTGCAGCATGGTCCAGGCCTCCCCAGTCCCCATCTGACATCCAGGGAACACAACAGAATGGAAGGGTACGTTGTCTTTGCCCATAAACTGGTATAGTTGGACTTGTTCCGGATTCTTCCACCACTTTTCCCACTCCTCCGTGTAGTTGGCGGTGATGGATGGATACCCAATACAGGCCTCGAACCAGACATAGAACACCTTGTGCTCGTAGCCGGGCAGAGGCACAGGCACACCCCAAGCTAGATCTCGAGTGATGCCTCGCTCTTTCAGACCTTGTTTCAGCCATGACTCGGTGATGACTTTCGCACTGCGCGACCACCGACCCTTCTCAATTGATCCTTTGGAAAACTCTTCAATCCGGGGTTGCAGCTCGTCGAGCCGCAGGTAGGTATGTTTGGTCTCCCTCGTCACCGGAGTTGCCCCATCCACTTTGCAGCGAGGATTGATCAAGTCCAATGGATCTAAGAGGCTCCCACATTTGTCGCACTGATCGCCGCGAGCATCGTCGTAACCGCACTTGGGGCACGTGCCTTCGACAAATCGATCAGCCAAGAATTTTCCATGCTTTTCGCAGAACGGTTGTCTGTTGATGTGTTCGGTCAGATGTCCATTTGCGTGGAGTTTCAAGAATATATCTTGGGAGATCTCGGTGTGTTGTCTGGTGGGGGTGCGGCCAAAGATGTCGAAACCCAACTCGAACCATTCGTAGATTTCTGTATGGATTTTGTTGTATTTTGCGCAAAGCTCTTCTGGAGTGACTCCCTCCTCAAGCGCCTTGGTCTCTGTGGCGGTGCCGTACTCGTCCGTGCCGCAGACGAAGAGAGTTGGTCGTCCACGGGCTTTATTGTACCTGGAAAAGACATCGGCACTGAGAACGCTCCCGACAATGTTGCCCAGATGAGGCACCTAGCAAAGGAAGTTAGTTTGTGTTCTCGGATGCCGCACGATTGGACTCACATTGTTGACATAGGGCAGTGCAGACGTTACGAGGATGTTTCGCTTGCCCTCTTGAGGGAGGATCTTTTCGGAGCCCATGATGGGCGAAGCAGAGTTTGGTTGCGGGGGACAGGAGTGGCGTAGCGACTGTTGTGAGACCTCGACAAGACAAGACCCAATGTCGACTTATAGACAGCTGTTAGTCAGGTTGAGTGAAGCCCCAAAAAGGTCGAGGGCGGTGGTGACTGAAGTACTCTGTATAGAGGGAGGAGAAAGGAGTCACCAAATTCCCCGCCGCCGCAATAGCAGCAGCAACAGTCAGCGCAGGGGGATGCCGAGGCGCTAAAACTGATGCTTATTTTTAAGCCTCATGGCGTGCCCTTCAATTTTCCCCTCGTCCCTCTTCTGCTTGCTTCCACTTACTGTTGCAGTTATCGCTGTCTCGTCTTACTCTGGCTTGTCTCATTCTAGAGTCCTCTCGAAGTTCGAGGAGATCAAAAGCTCCCTAGGTGGTTTTCCCCCTGACTGTTTGCGGTGTCCCATATGGCCACCGATCCATTTGATGACCTCCTCGAGCTCGAGAACGACTACTACAAAGAAGGGTTTGATGCCGGTGTGGCTGACAGCACCTACGCTGGTATGATCGAAGGCAAGGTATTTGGTATCGAGAAAGGCTATGAGAAGGCCCTGGAGCTGGGCAAACTACACGGGCGTGCTCTAGTGTGGCGAGAACGATCGTCTCCTCCCGAGAAGGATGCTTCCACCAAATCGGAGGATTTTGATTCTTCAAGGCTGGCAGACATCATCACAAGCCTCTCTCACCTCTCAGACAATACTCGCTTTCGAAGGCACGTGGAGGGTCTGTACACTGCTTCCGACGGTGCTACCGTTGCCAAGGACAACTCGGACGAGGCCGTGACCGAGTTTGACGATCGAGTGACGAAGGCAAAAGCAAAGGCCAAGGTCATTGCAAATATCGTTGGAGAATCGCTCACTTCAGCGCCTGCCCCAAATGTGGGCATTGAAGATGCCACTGGTTTACAGGCCCGACATTGAACGACGATCTGCTTGGCTCACCGTGGCCTCTAGACCTGATTATGGACGGAGGCTGCCAATCTTCCAAACCTGGTCCGAATGCGACGTTGATCCAGGGCCCTGTGTGCTCCGGCGGCAGTTGTGTCCCTGGGGATCATTTCTGTCAGGTTTCCCCGCAAAGTGTCACGAATTCCATGGTCCAGCTAAACCAGTTGCCGTTTAGGCACTCGTTAGTGGATATGCAGCGCTGATCCTCCAACTCTTCCTCGCAGCTTTCTTCCTCAAACCCAGGAACGGACTTGCGGGGTCATCTAAGTTTCTTCACACCATTTTCCTGGGCATTGCTACCATGAGGAAGCTCTACCAGAAGTGAACTATGACGCCCTCGGCGGCGACTCGTTCTCCGCAAGAGTTGGACTTGGCTGACGATGGAAAGCTGGAGTTCCCCGCAGGTTATACGATGGATACAAAATTTGTGCCCATTGCCTCCTTGCCGCGACTCTTCTCAAGTCCTTAGAATACAGATTGCACAATGAATGCGATAACAAGCGTACTGGCTCTGTTTCTGGCCGCCGTGGCCGTGGGCCAAGTTCAACCCTCAGGTGTGACAAGACCAATCGTCCAGGATTGTGGCTTTAACGGAACCGTCGTCTGTGTGAATCAATATGTCAGCCTCCCCAATTCTGCTCATGGTGCTGTGGCTCATTGAAATTAGGCTGCGGTGTTGCCTTACCACTTTAATCGGTCGATTTCCAACAACAACGCCGATTATGACTTCAGAAACACAAGCGTGGGCAATGCCTCGACGTTTGACCTCCTGGGCGGCGCAGATTTCGTTGTCTTTGACCAACAGCGCGGCATGGAATACCTGGGATCCAATCCGAGCTACGAGTTCATGTTCGCCGTCTCCAAAGCCGTGCACGAAGCCCCGGTCTACGCCCCCGAGCAGAATCTGTTGTTCATCTCCCAGCTGGCGCCTCCGCCCGGCTTTCTGCCTCAACTCGTGGTCAACTTGAACGATGATCCTCCGACGTTGAGCGAGTACCTACCCACTCCACCGGTCTATGCTCCCAATGGTGGCACCTTCCGCGATGGCCTCGTTGTTTTCGCTGCGAGCGGAGGCAATGATAGCATTGGGGGAGGAGAGCAGAGAGCTTCACTTCGAACCGTGGATCCCGCCACCAATGTTTCAACGGTGCTCCTGAACAACTATTTCGGGTTCTACTTCAACACCATCGACGATGTGACCGTTCACCCAGTCACGAAGGATCTCTTCTTCACCGACCCCCAATACAGTTGGTTCAACGCCCTGACGGACACCGCCCCACAGCTGCCATGCGCCAGTTATCGGTTCGATCCTAGCACCGGTGCCACCTTCGTCGTCGACGACACTCTGGAGCAGCCCAACGGCATCGCGTTCTCTCCAGACGGCACAACCTTGTACATTTCCGACACCGGCGCCGTGACGGGAACGATCGACCCTCGCCTCGGCAGCCAGGGTACGACCTTCAACACCACCGGGAAACGGACAATCTACGCTTACGACGTGTCGAACAACGGCACCAGAATCGCCAACAAGCGCGCCTTCTACCTGGCACAGGATTGGGTGCCGGATGGACTGAAGGTGTCTCAAGAAGGCCTGGTGCTCACGGGATCGGGTCACGGTGTCGATGTCCTGGACGACGCCGGCCAGCTCCTCATCCGGATCCAGACGAACTACACGGTCCAGAATTTTGCGTGGACGGGCGAGAACCTCACCACGTTGTGGCTCATGGGAAACAGTGGCATCAGCAAGGTCGAGTGGAACATCACTGGCCAGAGACTGACCTAGCCGGAAAAAAAAAAACAAGCTAGATGAATCGGAGGAAGAAAGATTGCATCCTGTTTGCCACGTCAAACCAGTGAATGAGGAACTTGGAAAGCTTCACATAGTTCTCAAGGATGTAGGCGCATTTAGGACAGTGGGATATGAAATCTTCTGTCACGTAATGTCATGTCGATTCCGAATGTTTTCTATAATGGTAAAAAAGTAAAGAGAGGCAACCTGTTTGTACTTAGCTCTCGTGTCCGATCCATCCCTCGGTGGTAGGGGGGTTGGGGGTTCTTCCCGGGGTCGAATAGCGATGTAGTTTCATCCTAATCACAGCCGCAATCTGGTCTTTGCCCATTTCCATGTGAACTGTTTGTTATGCTCGAGGAAGGGAGGCAGGGAGGAGAGAGAGAAACGGAAAAGAAAAAGGGCTTTTGATACAGCAGTTTTTCCCCCGCCTTCAGCTTGTCAAACAAATCCGCTAACTAATCAATTTACTTAATTGATTGAATGATTTTACTTGGGTCCCTCGATGAGCACCTTGATTGCCTTCCCGGCCTTGACGTCCTCAAAGGCCTGTTCGGCATCGTCGAAGTTGACTTTCCTGCTGATCAGCCTCTTTACGTCGATCTTGCCACTGCTCGCCAGGTCCACGGCCATGGCGTAGTCGCCTGAACCGTACCGGAAGCTGCCCTTGACGGTGAGTTCCTTGGTGCACGCCGCCATGATCGGGAAGGTCATCTCGTCGCGGCCCATGCCGCCCTGCACGTAGCTGCCGCCCATGCGGAGGACGTGGATGGCTGTTTGCACGCTGGGTTCGGCGCCGCTGGCGTCGATCGCCACGTCTGCGCCGGCCGGGAGGTCGTTTTCGTCCTTCAGTCTCTGCGCGTTCTCCGCCGCCGAGACCTTGGAGGGCACAAAAGTCGACGTGGCGGCGAATGATTTGGCGAACTCGAGCCGCTCGGTGTTGATGTCGACCGCCACAACTTTGCTGGCACCCAGAGCCTTTGCGACAGCACAGCAGAGCAGCCCGACCGGGCCGGCGCCAAAGACGACTACCGTGTCACCGTGCTTGACTCCGGACTGTTTGGTGATATGTACTCCCACAGCCAGGGGTTCCATTAAAGCCCCCTCTTCCAATGTCATGTTGTCGGGCAGCTTGTAGCAGAAGTCCTCTGGCAAGATATAGTATTTGGCCAACGTGCCGTCGTAGGGGGGCGTCGCTGCGAATGCCATGTCGGGGCATAGATTGTATTTCCCCTCCTTACATCGCACACAGTGTCGGCAGGGAATCCCTGGCTCCATTGCGACACGATCCCCCTTTTTCAATGTTTTGACTCCAGACCCGACTTCTAGCACGGTCCCTGCGGATTCATGGCCAAGAACCATAGGCTCGTTGACCACAAAGTGTCCTATTCTGCCATGCTGCCAATAGTGAACGTCGGAGCCGCAGATGCCGGTATAATTGACCTGAAGGAGCACGTCTCGAGGGCCTGTAAGTTTGGGGACGGGTCGATCTTCAAAGCACACATCTTTGATCCCGCGGAGGACGAAGGAGTTGTTTTCCTGCACGTTGTCAATACTCCGGTTACAGACGTCCAACCACAAGCACCTACCTTTGTTTGCGTTTCTGTGGCCATGGTCTAAGAGGAGGTCAGATGTGAACGAAAGGCACGGACAACGTGAAGCAAGTGCGGGGTGTGCAAATATATATAGAGAAAGGTTTGTGACTGTTGGAAGGTGTGAAATTGTTGCTGTGGGAAATCAGCTATAAAGGTGGCGGTTGTTTAACCTGCGGACCGCCTTCCACAGTAAGTAAGAAGAGCCCATTATATCACGATGGCCCGTCCAAAGGGCACCTAAAGGGCATGTACATAGATAGATACATACGTAGGCCAGAACCGTTGAGACATTTAGCCTAAAGGCGGCGAACTCAACAGCACGAGACGGTGCGGGGCATTGGATCTTGGGAGAGTCTGGTGGTGGAACAATGCACACCGAAGGTCGGAGAAGTTCGATGGTCGTTCGGTGTAAGAATGTGCCGGCCCACCGACTCAATGGCCAGCCTCGATCTGGACAATCTTGTCGCAGTTGAGAAGTCCCAGAGGGTCAAATGCTTGCTTGAGCTGCATCCAGAGATTAGTTTTGACCAGTGTGATGGGATTAGATGGCGGGAGACTGACCTTGCGCATTGCATCGACAGTTTCCTCCCCGAGCTCTTCGCGTAGGTACTCGCGCTTCTTGAGCCCAACACCATGCTCGCCCGTGACGGTGCCCTCCATAGCGATGGCACGTCGGATCATGCGATGGACCAACTCTTCGGCGATCTGCTTCTCGGTGTCGTTGTAGAGGAGAATGGCTAGAGAAAAGTCAGCTCTTGAGGGCGAACGGCACAGAGCAGTTTTCCTTACTGTGGAAGTTTCCATCTCCCACATGTCCACAGATACCACCGATTAAGCCACTGCTGGCCACATCGTCATGAGTTTCTTGGATGATATCCGCCAGTCTGCTGATAGGGACAGCCTATTTTACGTCAGTCTTGGTCCCGAAGCGTGGATATGGTAGTACCACTTACCACATCCGTAGTCCAAACGTGGTCCGAGTTATTTTCCCGCATTGCCATGACACTCCACAGAGCCTCTTTTCTCGCGCTCCAGAGTTCCGCAGCCTCGTCGTCGTTCTTCGCGAATTCGAAGCTCTGGTTGTGAGTTCCCTTGGCGATCTTTTGAATGATCTTGATCTGTTCTTTGACGCCTTCCGTGGTCCCCGCAAACTTGAAGAAGAGGGTGGGAGCTTCCTGCCACGGCCTGCTGGTCATTCCACTTTTGTTGATGCAGCGCATTTGTACATCGTCCAAGATCTCCATTCCGGCAAGCTGGATACCTTCCCCGACAACTCTCGCAACACATTCGGCGGCTGCGTGGATGGTGGGAAACGTGGCAACGGCAACGGACTGGCTTTTCGGGAGGACCGTGATCTTCAACGTGGCTTCGGTGACAATACCCAGGGTGCCTTCGCTGCCGATGAACATCTGCGTCAAATTATAGCCAGCACTGGATTTGCGGGGCCTCCTTCTTGTCTTGATGATGGTGCCATCGGCGAGAACGACCGTGAGAGAGACGACCCAGTCGCGCATAGTACCATATCGGTAAGCATTTGTCCCCGAGCAGCCTGTGCCAACCATGCCTCCAATTTTCGCTCCCGGGCCTGGATCTGGTGGGAAAAACATGCCATGTCCTTTGAGTTCTTCATTCAGGTCTTCCCAGCCCAGAGCAGGTTGTACGACGATATCCAAGTCTTGTGGTCGGAATTCCAAGATCTTATCCATTCGTGCCATGTCGATACATATTCCTCCTCGTGTGGGTGCAAAGTGGCCTTCGAGACTGGTACCGCCGGAGAGCGCTGTCACGGGGATCTTTCGTTCGTGGCACACCTTCATGATCTTCGAGACTTCTTCGGTGGTGGCAGGATATACAATGGCAAAAGGTCTTTCATTAGGCTTCGTCGTGTAGGAGGAAAATTCGGAACCAGAGTGCGCTTCGAGGTCGTCGGGCACGGTCGACACGTTATCCTTGCCCACGATTTGGGCAAAGTCGACCCAGGCGGCCTGCAAGTTAGAAATTCTCGTATCATGTTGAGGCGGCTGTGCTCGAGCCAGAGGAGTGGTGGAAGAGGCATCCAAAGGTCGTTCTCCCCTCTTCCCTAAGTAGTAGGCTCCAGCTGCGACGGACAGGATCACTTGTATTGTTAGCCAGGAAAGGATGCGCGAAGGGCGAGGAACGTACCAAAACTGAGACTGAGTGTTTTGCCCCCTGCACCACCTCCTCGAGCGCTCGCGGCTCTTATGTATTGTGCCTCCGAGGCTCTTTCCCGCTTCAGTCTGTCTGCAGTGCTTTGGTATAGCTGTCCTCGAAAAGAGAGGTTTTCTTTCGCATCGCCTTTATCTTCGAGCCTTGCAGGAGAGCTGTGGAAGGACCTTGTGGCCCAAGGAGCCAAGCAGGAGGGCCGTCCGCGCTCGGCACATCGCAGGAGGGAGCCAACAGGGCGACTGAGCCGGACGATGGACTTCATCGTGGATGGCGGGCGAATTGATCAAGGGGAAGCCTGGGTTGCCTGGGTGCAGGTGTTCAACACATTTTTGAAGGTTTCTCAACAGTTATAAAGACACAGCGCCAGGTTCACTGTCAAGGAGAAAGTAACGACGCGACGGTCAACCGGCGGCACGAATTGCGGAGAAGTGGTGAGAGGAGTAACACTGCAATTGATTAGATGAGGTGCGAGTCAATGGCGCAACCTGGAAACGACGATGTTTCCCCGAGGCGGCACAACCCCAGGATTTGAGAAGTCCGATCACTGCTTTTGGCCAGCATCGATCGTCTATGGCGTACGAGGTATAGTACACACAGGCCATTCATGACCTTTTACTGCTTCAGAGTTGGCTAATGTTCGGTAGTGTTGTCGCACACCAGTCCGCTGCAATGCTTACGAGCATCTTGACTGCGACCTCGATAAACACCTTGCAAGTTACATCTTCGGAGCCTTCACATCCTCCCCGGGCAACCATCAATGGTATTATCTCGACGATGTTCATCCATTCCACCGACCGAAGATTCCGACATGACCTTGTTACTCTCTCATGCCACGATACGAGAATGCTTACAGCCTTCACGCCGCAGGTTGAACGTTGCGCTTCCCGATGAGCAGACTTTGCTTGAAAAGGCAATGGCCCAGCAGCCATCCCTCAAGGCTATCTGACATCAGCTACATCCGGCTGCACCATGGAAAGACTCTTTAACAAGAGCTCACGCCATTTTCTACAACGAGCATTCAATGCAGGGTGGCAGTTCTTAGCGGCGGCCCGCCCAACCGCCCCGACGGCGCAGTTTCGCACAGTAGTACAGTAGGTGGGTGTTAGGGGGTTTCGGCTATGAGTATCGGTGGATGCACCAAAACCTTCCAGATGACTTCCATTGGTACTGTATGATGGTGGGAAGAATGCTCCTGCTCTCTCGTCTACTGGAACACAAATTACTCTCCCACGGGTTGTCTGACCATGGAGTTGCACTCTGAAAATGCTCCTCAGCTGAGATATTTCAACCCAAGCACGATCATGTCGATCGACGCCTGGACCTCTGGGCTGTGGCGATACGAAGCCCAGCGCCAGTCTTTACTAATACGCATCGATGGACTAGGAGCTCCCCGCAATTGGGGGATGCACCTTATGGCGTGATCCGATGCGCCGATACGCGCCCAGTATACATAATAATATTCCTTTCCCGAGGCACAGCGTCTTTTTCGTCATTTATCTGATGCGAGAAATTTGAACAATCAACGGGCTCGTTAATTGTCGACCTATCCCTGTAGGTCTTACGGCGATCTCGCACCCACATCATGTCGTTCTCCAGCATCCCGATCCTGGATCTCTCGCTGGCGCGAGACCCGGCAACAAAGCCCCAGTTTCTCGTGGATCTTCGCCATGCGCTGCTCGAAGTGGGCTTTTTGTACATCAAGAACACCGGGGTCCCGTCCACCCTGATTGACGAGGTCATCACGCTGGGCAAATCCTTCTTCGACCTTCCCGAGGAGAAGAAGCTGGAGATCGAAATGAAGAATGCGCCTTCATTTCTCGGCTACAACAAGCTCGGCATGGAGATCACGCGGTTCAAGACCGACTGGCGCGAGCAGATTGACTTGTCAACGCCGCACCCGACCCCTAGCCCCAGTGACCCCTTGTACAGGAACCTGCTGGCGCCAAACCAGTGGCCCGATCCCAGCGCCCTGCCGCGGTTCCGAGAGGTGTACGAGGATTATATGGCCCGCATGGGCGATATGAGCATGGAGTTCACCAGTCTGATCGCCGAAGCCATCGGTTTGCCGTCAAATGCCTTTGCGCAGTTCTTCGACGAAGCACAACAGCATAAATTGAAGATCGTCAAGTATCCGGACCTGGAGGAGTTAGGTGTGGAAGGGGAAGCGCAGGGCGTGGGGCCTCACAAGGACAGCATGCTCACGAGTTACCTCCTGCAGGCGAGTCATCACCGTGGACTGCAAGTGCAGAATGCCGAAGGCAAATGGGTCGACTGTCCGCCGATCGACGGGACCTTCGTGGTTGCCATCGGACAGGGGATGGAGGCGCTGACCCAGGGCGTGTGCCAGTCGACGACGCACAGAGTGCAGAGCCCGGCTCGAGGCTCCGGGGCGCGGTACAGCATCCCCTTCTTCCAGGGCGTCAGTTACGACGCGACGTTCGAGAGCATGGACGTGCCGGACTCGGTGAAGCAATTGCGAGCGGACATCCTGGCGAAGAGGGGCGGCCAGAGACTGGACGACATCGAGTTCACGTTCATCAAGGGCATGTGGAGCCGCCTCGGCGAAGCGACGCTGATGAACAGGATCAAGAGCCACCCGGACGTGGGCGAGAGATGGGTAAGTTCACAAATGATTACCACATCACATCAAGGTGTACCCAAACATCTTGTGCGCTGACCTGGGTTGTGAACAGTATCCCGAACTGCTGAAGAAGATCCGCGCCGACCAGGCGGAAGAGGCAGCCAAGTTTGCCGCCGCCGAGGCAGCCGCGAGCAAGACGACGTCGATCCCCGCGCAGCCGCAGTCTATACAAGCGCATTAGGGGGGATGTTTGAAAAATGTAGAACAAGAACAAAACCAATGCTTCAAGATCGAGCTACATTCTCTGTCTGCCTGTCCCAACTAGATAGTCCTTGGCCTAGATGTTCGTGATACATGAACTCTAGACTCCGAGTTGGATTGCGTCGTCATTAAATTCCCTACCTACCTATATCGACCACAAACGATATAGTGAGGCTGTTGTGACGAAGCCACAGCCTGGCCGTACGTGGAAGGGATGCGACCTGCATGCATATGCTGTTACCAGCCAATCGCATTCAAGTAATATTGATATACCGGCTTCGTGCCCTGGTGTGTGTGTGTGTGCGTGCGTTTCCCTAGAATTCTTGCAAGAAAGTCATTTTCCCGAAGCCGCCACATATACCTGTGCAAACATACATACGCAGTACATCCATACAAACACACATACACTCTCTCTCTTTCTCGCTCGCTCGCTCTCGCACCGAAAAATGCCCCTTAGACCTAAAACAGAAACCGCTTATTTGCTTATTGTGCTTTTTCAATGGAACTCGACCCGGAGACGCCACTAAGAATTGGAATGAAAATGGAGATTCACGAGGAAAAAAAAAATTCAAAAGCGACCGTGGAAGGATTCGAACCCTCGATCTTTGGTGGGAATGGTGGACGAAACACAAGAACCGAAAACCAACGCCTTAACCATTAGGCCACACGGCCGGGGATTTCTGACAGAGTTTGTAGCCAATTTTTGGTGGGAGAAATATATAACACAATCATGTTGGGGTTCCTAGCGTACCGAGCTAATGGGGCGCCCCCGTCTCTGCGCATGCCTAGGGCCTGTCGGTTAGTGGTGGTGGTGGGTTATGTCTGTATTATTACCACCCCCCAAACTAAAGTCCATTCCAGGCGTGGAAATGAGACGCAGGGGTGGTTTTGCTTCTCAGTGGAAAGTGTACAGTATGTCTCGATCATAGATTCATATCCCCCCTAAAAAGTACTTTGGCCCTCGCCATATGTGTGTATATGTATATATCCATATATACACGATCGGACCCCCTATGAAACCCCCCGAGACCCTGCTCGAGGACTAAGCACATCGCGACGCCTGGGGATGCATATCCCGAACATCCTTCCCTTCAAGCCAGACTGTGTGTTGGTGCTTACCAGTTGAGCCAGTCAGACATGAAATCGGTCCAAAAGCCCTCCTCGTCATGCAGCCGCCCAGGGTTCGAACCCTTTGGGTTGTGAGAATCTCGTACGCGGCCCTTCTCGTCGATGAAGGAATTGACGAGCTCATAGGCCGATTCCTCGTCATGGCGACCCACATCCTCGTCTTTATCGGCATCTTGAGATACCTCCCATGAGCCGACCTGCTGAGCAGCGACTGCGGTCAATATCTTGTCGAGCCAGCCCATGAGATGCGGAGACTTCAGAGCCGTGTCGGTCTCGGCCTCCGCCAGGAGGTCTGCCATGAGAGTCCGAAAGCGCCCGACATATTGATTTGTGAGTGATGGATGGCTGTTCAGGGAAGAAGCATCCGCGGTATCTGATTCGAGCACTCGCGACCTCTCCAGACGAGCGAGGCGGAAGAGGGTGGTGATCAGATGCGACCACTCCATGGTGCCTAGTCGAACGAGGTAGCAGAGTTCCTGGCTCAGGATATGCGACAGGAGTGTCTCGAAGTGCTCCACACACAGTAGGGCATCTTCGACGGACAGGGGCATTGAGCTCGACGATTTCAGGACAGTGTAACCCGCGACGAAATAATAAGTCGACCTCAAGCTCATCGACGTCTCTGCCCGGAGGTATGCTGTTTTCCACTCGGTAAGGCTCTGCGTTGGCAAGACGCGACATTCAGTCTGGTTGAAATCGACTCGATGGAGGCTTATAAAGTGCATCAGCTCGACCAGTGCCGGCGCTTCCTTGTCTTGAGGTCTTGAGGAAACTTCAGCAAGCACCTTGGCCGCGTTCCTCAAGCTCTCGGTACAGCGCATGTTCTCGGGCCGGTCGTAGCCGAGCACGCCGCCGCTGCAGTTGATGTAGTAGCATAGCAAGAATGCGCGCATGGCATTCAGGTCTTCATCCTCTCGGGGCGGTGAGTTGCCGCCAGTGGCGAATCTCCTAGGAAGCCCAAGGTCGGCGACCATACCGTTGGCAAGTTGAAGGAGCTGGTAGTACTGGAGGGTCTCGGGGTCGAACCGGTGGTGATACCACATCATGTAGGTCAGCAGGCTCTGCAGGAGCTCCATGCTCTTCTGGCCGCGGACGATGACTCGGTCGGCGAGCACGTGGCGAAACACCTCGCCGGCTTGCTTTTCGAAATCGGAGTCGGCACTGCTCCCAGTGAGGATGGCTGCAAGGAGGAGAGTTGGGGAGGACGATAGGAGGTCGTCCAGGTTCGACGGAGGTACATGGATGGCCAGTGGCACTGCTTCAATCATGTCCTTGTAGCGGTCCAGAAACGTGGAGCATTGGTGACCATGCACATCTTGAACAGCAGCCCAACGCCCTGGTGATGGCTCTCTGACCTCCAAGAATCTGAGAAGAGCACGGCCGAAAGTACCTGGAGTATCTGCACCAACAATTGACGCTGATGCCTTTGAAACACGGGATGTTGGTGGACTGTCAACATAGTGGCTTTCCTCGCCATTGTTCGGCAAACACTCCGCCCTCCCATTTGTGGCCGGTAAGGGAGCATTGGCATTTGTCCTAGCAAAACGCCCTCTCACTCTGGGCAAATGATCAGCTCTACTCTTTTCCCCCAACTATGCGCAATCTTCTCACCTTTTCTGCAGAACCGTGCGTTTGATCGCCTCATGAGGCACACAAGCAAGTCCGCCATCCTCGCACCTGAGACATCGTCAATGCTGAGCAGGCCGCCTGAGCAGGACTAAAGAAAAAAAAAATAGGATTGAACGGCATTGGTGTCTACCAACCTCTTGCAGATCTCCTCGCGTGAGCCAGGTAAACAGCGCGACTTGCGCACCCGGCACGCCTCACACGCTTGCCTGCATCGGACTCTCATCCCCCAGCCTCAGCTCTGGCGGAGTGGATTGCCCGCAGTGTACTCGGTACGAGGTAGATATTAGACTTCAACCCAGGTGGCAGGGAATTGTCCAGCCAAATTTGGCGGTCAGTGCCGCCGCTTTTGGAGGGGTTCTTTCCTCGATGCCAATAACGGGGGTTCCTTTCAGTTCGGCTGTTCTGAGTGACTTGCCTTCAGGCACCACGCAACCACGGGACTATCACTAGGGACCAGAAACAGTCCCCCTTCGGAAGCAGGAAGGGATCCGTCCAACTTCCGAAAACGATGGGTGCTTTTGACGACAAGGGTCTTCCAGGCTTGGATTGGATCGAAGGGCTTAGACTCCATTCTGCCAACTACTAGATCGGAAATCAGAGAGATGAGGGGTAGCAATTTGCAGGTCTATTATTGAAAACTTCCCATAGGCTCTTATCGTAGGCGATTCTGTCTTGGACCTTCCTTTTGATAAAAGCGTTCGCGTTTTCCGTCCAGTGCGGGTATACCGACATATAAAACTCGGTGCTATTTTCATCTATCTTATGAAAACGCGGCTGGATTCGGTGGTACAGGAGTGGGTGAAGACCAGTCGGGCTTTGCAAAGCCAGCACGTACCAGAAGGTGCCCAGTTTCCAGGTCGTGTTCATAATAGACGAGCATCGGAAGCTATCGCTATAGCGACCAAGGCGTCTTTCTTCTTTTTCAAAGACTTCCATGAACTCCTCCCGGAGCTTGTTGTAGTGATCAACGTCAATCTCGTCCACGGCCTGACTTGTCAACCAACAGGGAGTCCGTATGAATTCGAGTGGAAGAACTGCAGTCCATTCCAGGTCAATGATACAAGTGATATTCCAATCATCGTCCACTATAATGTTGTTGAAGTTTAGATCAGTAAGACCAGGAGCAAAGGGACCATGGTTAAGCTTAGGGTCAAAGAATCGAGGACGCAAAGCGCACAAGAGGACCAAGGCGCACATCTGACTGACACAGTCTCCCGCGTCGTTGACGGCGTTGGGCTGGTGTTGTAGACGACTGTCATGACAAGACAGTAAAGCATCGACATAAGCGTCGACGGTGCAGTATGTACGGGCTCTTGGGATATCAAGAGGAATCCCGTCGTTCTCCAAATCTTGTATCTCGAGAGTAAGAGGTCGGTTCTCTAAGCGTATAAGACCACGGTCATCGATAACAAATGATCCAATCCGAGGGAAACGAACTCGGGTCATGGCAAGTATAATTTGTGAGAGGTTGCGAAATAAGTTGTTTCTGAGTTCTTGGTTCATCCGGCCCGTCTCCCAGGTATTTGACAGTATCTTTCCTCTTGTTTCATCAATATATTCTATGAGTAGATATCCTCCCAATTCATTCGACAGACTAGTTTGATGCGAGATTAGGTCGGAGGGAACAGGACGACCGAGCCAGGACAGGAACCGACGGCGAAGGGAATGTATCAACCGAATAAAAAGAGGGCGATGTGTAATTGCAGTAAACTGCATAAATTCAGCAGGAACCTACTCTCGTTTCCTTCATTTACCCTAAGATAGAAGAGGACATACACATTGGCCGGTTGAGAGTGCAAATCCATAGATGTGAGGAATTGGTATACTCGGACACTCTTTCTGCATCCATGCGTAGGTAGCAGCCTCACACCGAAGCTTTTCGTCACCATTTCCAGGACACACTTTGTCACCAACGCGATAAGGTAGTGGAAATCGAATGAGAACACGTTTCGAGTTGGCGAGGGTCACTGGAATGCATAAATTAAAGCTCCCCTGCATCCAATCTTTAGGGGCCGCGACATGGCATGCGGAAGAAGAAGGTAAGTTCAGATGATGAGCGACTCGCTTCTTGATTAGGGTCTGGCGTCTGTATATGAAGTTGTAGAACTCGAGCTGCGCCCTAGGATATGTGAGGTGGTGAAGAGTATTTGTTTCTCTTTGTCTGGCCTCCTCGTATGTAATCTCCTCTCGTAGAAGGGGAAGTGTCGTGGGCATTACAAACGCGTGACCAAAGTGAAAGGAGAAGGTCTCCCCAGTCAGAAGAATTGTTTGCTGAGAAGCCAGAAGTCCTGTCCAAGTTGTCGAAGAGTAAATAGTTGTACTCAAAGGGGTCGAGGGATGGATCACTGTGAGGAAAGTATGCCGAAGTCGCTAGCCCAGTTTGAACCCGACCAAATCGGCAAACCGTCCTGCCGCTTGATCACGACTCACAACGGCCCCTCTCGCTCGCCAGCACTCCAGTATTGCTATATCAGGAGAGTGAGCTCATACAGGGCAGGAGGAGCAGGCGGATCTTGCCAATCAGCTATAAGAACACTTTGAGCAACAATGAAATATTGGATTAGATCAGCAGAGGGTCGAGAGAACAGACGTCTGACTCGAGTCTTTGTTCAGCCTGAAAATCGCCATCGAAGCGAGTGAAGCGTTTGGGGGAGATCTCAATCTTGTTCTGATGGCCAAGGGACAACTACAGTGTCCTCTGTCCGCCCTGATATCAATCACTCTAGAGAGCGAGGAGAAGGACAATGTTAAGGTGGAGAGTCGGAATCACGGTCGGAAGATCAAGGATTGGTCGAGCTGCCATTAGAGTGTGGCACTAGTATCAATTCGGCAATCGTGGCGACGCTGGCGGAGGAAAATTATATTGCATTCGATGGAACCATGCTGAGTGGAGGGGAAGGGGAAGGGGAACCGGTGATATATTCTTTCGACTACCTCGTTGTTGGACTTGTTTCACTCCATCGGCTGAGATATATAACGAACCCTAGCAGAAAACCACAATGCTCTGTCCAAGGTCCCTACAGGCCCCGATTCCCAGGGGTGGATGCATATCCAGTAAGTATCGAGCAACCTCCTCAATCCGAGTCATGCATTACCTTCGTAATTTCCTTGGTCAATGTCTGACAGAACCAGCAGTACAAGGTTTTTCGAGTCTGAGGAGTCCACATGCTACCTTTTCGCGCCATTCCATGCTTGCATTGGGCCTGCCCAGGTCTCTACGACTGATCAGGTATACCATCCGACCCGTTCCAGAAACGACGACAGGAACCAAAAAATACTAAACATTCCATCTCCCACGCAGACAAGAAAGCACTACGGCGGCCACCAAGCCCACGTCTCAACTCAAACCTCTCACGGCATCCCAACACGCCGACTACCTCGCCTCCCAGCGACGGTCCCGCCCCGTCAGTCCGCACTTGGCGATCTACCAGCCCCAGATAACATGGTACTCCGGGGCGCTGATGCGGAACTGCGCCATGCTCCTGACGGCGCCGATCTACATCTTCGGGGCGGCGTATGTGCTCTCGCCCGTGGTGGGCTGGCATCTGGACACTGACGCCGTGGTGGCGTGGTTCGGCGCACTGCCCCTGGGCGCGAGGCTGGCCGTCAAGGGCTTGTGGGGCTTTGCGTTTTGCTTCCATCTCGTGCACGGGACGAGGCACTTGATCTGGGACACGGGCATGATGTTGTCGAATAGGCAGGTGCAGATTAGTGGGTGGTTAGGTCTGGGGATCAGTGTATTGGGGACGGTGGGGTTGCTGGCATTTTGGTAGGAGTAGGGCCTTGTAGACGGTAAGAGAAAGCGAAAGACACGAGAAGAGAAGAGAGAGGGGGCAGAACCAAGGCATCTTCCAACAAACCAAGCCCGCCTCTGGAAGGCAATGACACCAAGACACGTTCAATACTGGCTCACTATTTCATTTCTTCCCCCACCACCTTCTCCTCCGCGCCTGGCCGAGGAGTGTCGACCTTGTGCTTCCTCTCCCGCGTGTCGCACCCCAGCCACAGCAGATCCGGCCGGCTGTAGTGGCCACAGATGTCCAGGAAGCTGCGCGCCATAATCGCCATGCTGGGGTCGATGTCCGCAATCACCAAGCCTTCCGACTTGGGATCCAGTGGCTCCGACAAGATCCGCCCGTCAGGTCCCACGACGCACGAGTAGCCTCCCCCGGGGCTATTCATGAGCATAGCCTGGCTAGTCCCCATGACTTCGATGCCCTTGGTTCCAATCACGGTGGTTGCGTGGAGAACAAACGTCTGAGTCTCGATGGCGTATGTCTGGGAGAGATTCTGGCAGCCTGTGCGCGTGTGTGTACGAGATGGATCAGCTACTCAACTCTGCAACCTGGAGACGTCAGACGCTGACTTACCTTCCGTCGACATGGACCACAGCTCGGGCCCTGCGTGCGGACTCAAAGGTGGCCACCCCGCGACGTGGATGTCCTCCCGCTGCGTCGCGGTGTGGTACTTCAACAACGGCTGACAGTGCTCCCAGCAGTTCAAACTGCCCACGCGCTTACCCGCCTTGGTGGCCACCACGTTCATCAAGCTATTTCCGGAGGCGTCGCCGAAGATGGTGCGCTCCATGTGTGTCGGCTTCAACTTGCGTCGGTGCATCAGCATCTTGCCGTCAGAGTCGATGATGGCCTGGGCGATGTAGACCGAGTTGTTGTCGTTCTCGGAGAATCCCAGCGCCACGACGATGCCGTTCTTCGCGGCACAGTTCTGGATCGTGCGCATCTCGTCAGAGTCCACCGCCAGGGAGTTTTGAATGTACCTCGTCGCCAGGACGGGATCCACCGGTCGATGCCTAACGTGGACGACGTGTTATGAATATGCACATACTGTGGTAATGAAATGCGGCTGAGTCCTGGTGGGAGGAAAGAGAGAGGGAAATCTTACCATATCCATGCTGGATAGCCCGGGATGAATGCCTCTGAGAAACCCACGATCTTTGCGCCTTTCTTTGCTGCCTCGGTGATGATGGAACACGTTTTGGCGACTGAGGCTGGCAAATCGAGCCATTCGGGTTCGTATTGGGCCACTGCCACTCGCAGCGTCGGAGGAGCCGCACTTCCCATGTCTGCTGTTCGAAGGGGTCGGCAGTCCTAACTTCGTTCTTTAGAAGATGGAATGTTCCTCAGCCGAGTCGGTCGTTGACAACTATGGAGAAAGGCAGAGAGACTCTGAACTCCGTTTCTTGTGGGCGGAATATTCCGCGTTGAGAAGGTATACCAAGTCGGTTTGAGGACAGTGCTGATAGCGGAAGCCTGACAGATGCCCGCTAGAGTTTGATGCTAAGGCCTGCCTTTATCTTTGCGGAGTCTTCCTGGAGGGGGCCAGTCGAGACTGCGCCTCTGGGACGGGAGGGGTAGCTCGTGTTCGCCGCGCGGTGCTTACAGTGCTGGTTCCATTCACCAGCGGGTTTATCTATAGGGAATATACTATTGGCGGCCTCGCTTCTGCGGGATCGTGATCCAGACAGCTCTATTTCCGAGGCAAGAGAGGAAATCGGTGTCAAGTGGCGGAGCAGTCAGTACCGACAGTGTGGAAGCGATTGTAGATTTGATAGTTGCGGATAATTACCGACCAGTAGTCGATATGGCATACTTGGCTTGCAATACCCTTGACAAACGAAAACATCGGTGCAATGAGTGGCTTTACACACCCTCCAAGATCATCAGACCGGTCCCTTCTCTGCAGCCTATGTACTCGGCGTCCATGTCGCCCGATTTCAGAATGCAAAGCTCAACCCAGATCGAGAGTTTGCCGTTTTGGCCGTGCGGACCTCCTGGGCCGTACATTTCAAACGTCGTCTGTCGCAGCTTGACATGATCTTTGAAAGAGCGGCCGGCCAACTCGAAATGAGCGAGGTCAAGCAGGTACATCAACTGGTTCGTCTCGGCAATAGCATCGGTATCCACTTCCAGATCTGTCCCTGGGTCCAAGGTAGGCTTGGGGTTCAGATGTGCGATATTGAAGGTGAAGGAGACCACGCCGTTCTTGTTGCGCTCCGTGTCCAGGTGCTTCATCCACGCCAGAGCGTGCGGCGCCAGCTTCTCCTTCCACATTTCAAGCTCCTCTGGCGGCAGATTCGGCTGTCGCTGGCCTTCTCGACAGTAGCACAGATTATCGGGGATCTTGTCGATCTTGACCCTTCCGTATCGAACCTTGTCGGACAGCGACGATCTCGACAGGTCCACGACTTTCTTGCTCGAGTCAGGCTTCGCCTTCGTCGTGGTGACGAGGGGCGACGTAAAGGTATCGCTCGGGTCTGTGTACTCGTCAGGATTGGCGCTGAGCCGATGGCGGTAGACCCCCCAATACGCCTCATCTGTACTCTCTTTGAGACCCAACATGGTGGCCAGGCCGGATGTTTCGGGTTGGTTTGCTGCAAACATGTAACGAGACTTAGGGACTGTCATCACCTCCCGCCAAACACCGGCATCATCAGGCAGATTGTCCCAGAATTGTTTCACCTCGTCTGTTGCCATCCACTGCTTGTAGTCGCCAGATTTCAGCCAGTATGCAACGAAAGTGGTGCACCTTGGGCCTTCGCGGGGAACGCCGTGGCTCTCATCCTGTAAGTGATCAACTCGGTTGGCAGACTGACTCAATAGGGAGTAGAGAGTTGAAATGGTTTTCTTCTTCTCAGCCGTGATCTCGTCATGCTGCACGCCAAAGAGACCGTAGGTGAAAACGAGGCCGTGGCCCTCCAAGTTTGCTAGAAATACCATCCTCGTAGAGTGAAAAGACGGAGCTGTCTGTATGTTAGTTGGGATGTTGTGAACTGGCAAGAGACGAGAAAGAAGGTAGAAATCGCGGGGAATAAATTCAGCCCACGGAAAGTTACATGCCTCGTGTCAATCTGGGCGCCAATTCACATCCTTCGGACCAGCTGCAACGTGGAAGCGAGGACTGGGCCCAAACGCTGCATTGCTTTCACAGGTGGAGCATCTGCAGGACGAGCTGGCGAGCATCGGATTCGTAGCTTGATCGCCCGGTGTCTGCAACTGATTCGTAGTGGTAATCTGCGCTATGGGTCGCAACAAGTTGAGGCTGAAAGGGACGATTTTGGGCCAATCAATCTTCTACAACAACCTTGCCCATGTTGGAGCGAAGGACTCCGGTAGATGCCGTGGCAGGCCGTTGGGCATGATAGGTCTGATATGGGTCGAATCATTGCCACCCGTGTCTGGCATTAGAGATCAGGCTGCTGGTGACGGTACTTGTGATGAGGACACTATTCGAAAAGTATTTCCAGAGCAGGGGACGGGAAACTGGCTGAGGATCATTCCTTGTCACTAATATTAGGCGGAAGATGAATTACTTCATCCCTCGCAAATATATCGTAGATATCGTTGACTCCCGGACGCAGCAGGACGTGAGATCTGGTGGCTCATTTGGAAACGAGAATTCCAGATTGAAATGTTTTAGGTTAACGCATCCTCAAGAGGGGTAGGTATCCTTCAGCCTCTCTAGTAGACCAATTTGTCAGTCTTGTTAGGAGAGGCTCTTTGCTTCCGGCGATTGTGCTCACCCCCTTGCGAATCTGAGGTCACAGGTGGTCAATGGTGTGGATGTGAGCCTTGACATCTCGGTCACACCTCTGGGAACAGCATCGTGGCAATCCAACAGCCAATAGTGCATACACGTTCACCGGTCGCAGGAAGTTGGAGGCTCTTCCCCGTCGTAGAACTCACCAACCACTTTACAGCACACAACTCTGGAGATCACGATCATTGTGATCCGAGCAACTTTTGCGGGGAGCGGACGACCACCGACGATTTTCTGAAAGACATGAGACTGATGAATAAAGGAGAAGTAGATGCCAATCGACTGGGAGGATGAAACAATGCAGCCAAGCATCAAGGTGAATAAGAACAGATTGTTCCTCGCTCCAAATCGGGACTGGGGCAATGTCGCCCTGTGCTCACGCCTTAACCCGCGTCAGCTGGAGGGATAACTTGTGGCATTCAAAGCTCTGTTGGAGGCTCAATCGTAAAGATTACGCTGTGGAGGCATCCACTCGTGAAAAGCCAAGGAAGCTGTCCACCATAACATGTTAATAGAGCCGCATAGAGGCCAATGAGACATGCGTATGTGCCCAACAGAGACACGGGGAGGACCCGAAAGAGTAGGCAACAGCTGCAAATAACGAGTCCGAGGTGAGTTAAATACCGTTATACGCCCGCCGGGACGGTATCCTCGGCTGATTCATGTGTAGCTCGCAAATTCGATGAAGGATAATGACAAAGTCAAGTATGTACAGTCGAATGGGTGTGAGGTGAGAGGGAGTATGAAAGTTGGAACGCGTCGATGATCCTCCCATTCTGTACCGAGTACTTACGCATACGCATCCGCGAGAGCACCACCATCTACCCGCCGCATATTCAGCTTCAATCTTTCTGATGGCCCTCATGCCGGACATGGCAGATTGTCCGAGAAGGAAAGCAGCTAACAAGAACTGTGACAAGCGAGGCCGGAAAAACTCAAAGCACCAGCCTCGCTCCGACCGTCCAGTCGGATCGGTCGTCTTGAGGTCATCGAGGAGATGGAAGACGTCAGGACAAACCAGCTGTGTTCGGTGGTGACATGTAAGTCAGTAAAACTTCGCTTCAGGAATGCCACTCTCCTTCTTCTATACACATCATATCTGCGGTTTCTCTCTCAAACGGGTAATTGACATAATCGGAAACTTGGTCTTTATATAATACAGTCTCATCACACACATCAACTGTCCTTTACTGCCCTCCTCTGTCTGATCTGAGGGAATCTCAACCCATATCTACATCGTCACCAACAAAAACAATGGCTGGCAAAAAGGCCCTCAAAGACGCCGCAAAGTCCAACCCCACGGCCCTGGGCGACCCGATCTCTCTGAAAGCCGAGCAATCAGACACGTCGCCCATACCCACGGAGGAGGAGAAGCGAGATGCCCAGAACCCGGCACCCCAGCAGCAGCAGCAGCAGCAGCAGCATCAACAGAGGGGCGAGAAGAGGAGCCTCAAGCAGCGCGCGGAGCAGGACCTGGACGAGGCCCGCAAAGGGAACCGTTCGATGCTGGGCGATCCCGTGAGTCTCAAGGCCGAGACGTCGGCAGGGGATCCGGTTCCGGATGCGGACGAGAACGAGAAGGGGAAAGGAAAAGGGAGGGATTCGAAGTTGTGAGGGTGGCCTGGGTGCCACTACTACTGCACGAAATGAACCAGCCGTCTAGAGGTTTCAGGACGTAAGTACAAAAGGGGAATGAAATGGTCTCTGAATCTTCCAATTCTCGTGTGAGCTCGTTGAAGGTAATAATATCTGCCCATCTCATACATCAAGGCCCCTCTTCTCATCAAATCCTTCGTCCTTCGAGCTTCTCATGAGTTGTTCTTGAATGTCGTGATGGCCTTGACGTTGGCATAGGCCAACACGCCCAGGGTGCCAAACTCGGTGCCGATGCCGCTCTCCTTGACGCCGCCGAACTGGGCCTGGGGACCCGCGGCCGGGAAGCTATTGATCCAGACGGAGCCGGCCTCCAACTTGTCGGCCACCTCCTGCAGCTTCTGGGGGTCCTTGCCGAAGACGGTGGCGCCCAGGCCGGCCTTGGAGTTGTTGGCGCGCCGGATCACGTCCTCGATGTCGTCGTACTTCTGCACGGGCACGATGGGGCCGAACGGCTCCTCCTGCACGATCATGCTGTCCTCGGGCGGGTTGTCGATGATGGTGGGCTCGATGAAGAAGCCCTTGGTCTCGGGCACGTCGCCGGAGCCCAGCGCGAACTTGTAGCCGTGGTCCTTGGTGTCCTTAAAGAAGGTCTTGACCCTTTCGTACTGCATGCTGTTCTGGATCGGGCCGAGCATCACGCCCTCTTCGTTGGACGCGCCCACCTTCAGGGACTTGGCCACGTTGACCAGCGCCGCCAGGAACTCGTCGTACATGGACGAGTGCACGTAGATGCGCTTCGAGGCGATGCAGACTTGGGAAGTGTTGAAAAAGGCGCCCTACACGACGACAAAGTCAGTCTTTCACCAAGTCAGTCTAAGACGGGTCTGTCTCCTTACCATGGCAACCATAGGAGCCACTTTGGCGATGTCGGCGTCAGGGAGCACGATTGCAGGGTCGTTACCACCCATCTCCAGGGTCACGCGCTTGACCGTCTTCGCGGCAGCAGCCATGACTTTCTTGCCCGTGGCGATTGAGCCAGTGAAGCTGATCTTGTGGATGTCAGGGTGGTCGACGAGAGCCGGGCCGAGTTTGTCGTCACCACCCAGGGCCTGAACAAGACCAGGAGGGAAGACCTGGTTGGCGATCTCGACCATCTTCAGTGCGGTGTATCTGTGTACCTATCCGTCAGCTCGCCGTGCTAGAGATGCCGTGGGGGGTTGGGTCGACGTACGGTGTGAATGGACTCGGCTTCACGATGATGGCATTGCCCATCTGCACGGCTGGCAACACCTTGCCCAAACTCAACAACAGTGGGAAGTTCCAGGGGCAAATGGCCGCCGCGACACCCAGGGGGACAAACTTGTTGACGATGGTCCGGTCGTCCAGATCGTACGATTCCCCCTTGGGCTCCTTCAACTGCATGTGCCACTCCATAAACTTGGAGCAGGACTGCACCTCGGTGGCTCCAAAGTTGCGAGGCTTTCCGGTCTCCTTGAGCAGCAGGTCGGTCATCTCCTCCTGGTAAGCCTCGAGGGCCTCCTTGAAGCGGGCAATGCGCTCGGTGCGGTATTCCCAGGTCGTGGTCTTCCACTCGGCAAAGGCCTTGTTGGCGGCGGCGACAGCATCTTCGACGTCGTCGCTGGTCGCCACGGGGACATCCCAGTTGGGTTGTTTGGTGGTGGGGTCGATTCCGTGGTATTTGGTTTTGGAGCTGCGGGATTCGCCGTTGACGATGTTGGAGAAGGAGGTGAAGGAGATGGTTTCCAGTCTCGAGGGAGCCATGGCTGAATTAGTGTCTTTCTTCGGGGTGGTGATGGGGGGCGGAAGTAGAGCAACAGAGAAACAAGGTGAAGTCGTAGGTTCTATTAATCCTCCCCTCCACAAGTCCTACCCACCCACCTTAATATACTGTACCTGCCATCACCTAATTGTCTCAACTTCCTTATCTGTGTTGACTTATCATCATTGCCGAAATGGCTGCCCCGCACTTGGTGCCCGAATCATTGGGTACATCCCTCATCGGGCTTGCCGAGCGAGAGTCTTGTCTGAAGCGGCAGGGTTATGCGCGGGAACGAGAATCTGGCCGGCTCCGGGATCGTGTTGATGGGCGAACTGCCGATGCAGGGTGTAAGCATGAGGCCCGCCTGAAGACAAAGGAGGTCAAGTCCATATTCCGAGTCCCTAGCTAGCAGGTTTGAAACCAGAGGAATGATCCGAAAAACCTGGCTGGCTTCGACATAGCCTTGCACACGGGACACCAGGCTGACGAGGAAGCACGTCGCTTGCTTGCCCCCCTAGCTCGATGAGATTTTCTGATGCTGAATTGCTTACCAGACGCCAGGGAGAGTGGATGGATGATGACTGCTCGACCTTCTCTTTCTCTCCCTCGCCAACCCCAGAAAAGTATGTCGTACGAGGTAGAGCGTTACTCGCCCCTGTCGAGGAGTAAGACACCGCTCCCACCCATTACCCACGGGGGAGCCATGGCATGGAGGTGGCTAACTGGAGACACTGCGCGTCAAGGATTCGAGGTTCAGCCCGCACTAAGATCTTACACATTGCGATAAAACACGCCAGGCTGAATCCGGGATGAGGACAATCCTTCGGGGAGCCCTGGACGGCCGTGTTGGAACCAATTTGATACCTTGCTAAACCGTCCACGTGGGTACTACTCTTCGGTCCTCGGGTTCTATCACGACCTGATATTATAAATCTTCGCCTCACAGGAATCACAGGCACAGTTTTCACGGTCGGAAGGGAACGTGGGTCAAGTCCATTAATCATCTCGTGCTCTCATATGTACACATTATTCAGTGCCCGCGAAGTACCATTGGCCCGATGCATACCATGCTAACACTCCATAGCTCAAATGCTCGTCCCTTGCTTCCCGTGCACAGGCCTGCTCTCTCGAACAAGCGTTCCGCCGCAGGCTGCCTCCAATTCTGATGTTGTAGACAACGAGACACGTAGGCTATCCCCCGGCCGAGAGCTCCAAAACTCGAAAAGACTGTGCCTTCCCTGACTCCACGAGAGAATGAATGGCTGTTGTTAAGACAAGGTTGAAATTGACAATGCGCAGAATACACCGATCGATCTCGGGACCAATCTCTCCGCTTAGAATCGCATCTGGACTGCATTAAGCCCTTCCAAGCAGCACGGAAAACGTAGCCTTGCGTGAGTTGACGTGGTCGAGGTACGCCTCCAATTCGTCGTCTTCCTCGATGAGGTAGGGAAGCTCGTTGCCCAAGGCATCTTTCTCAATACCATTGATCTGTTCCACCTTTGCAAGGGGATACTTGGCTGCAATCATGGCATGGAGCTCCTGAACAGTGCGGCCGCTCAAAGACCCAAGCCAGAGTTTCTTGTTCGTGTACACGGTCGACTCGGGGTGAGGACGGACATAAACGGGCGTCACGCTCGAGACTTGAGGAGCGCCTAGATCGTCTGCCACCTGCAACAAATTGGGGTCGATTTGAAGGTCTGACAAATCATTTTGCGGTGCCGCCGTCGGCACACCACCAAATGGATTCGCAGGTAGGGCGGCGCGATAGGCATTGCGGGAAGGGCTTGGTGCGGGAGCCACTGCTGGCGCAGGCAATGGAAGTGCATTGGCCGGCGCATAGGGAGCAGGCGGTGGAGCGGACTTTTGCCTAAAAGTACCCTTCTTCTTCGCCCGGTCGTCTCGCACGCGCTTCATCACGTCTCGACACAAGAGCTCCATGGCAGCCACCTTCTTGTTGTACTCGGGGTCGGCCTCGCCCGCGGCGAGGATGCTCTGCAGATATGAGTTGTTGGCAACCCAGCGATCTTTGAGTTCCTTCCACTTTTCTGGCCCCATCTCGAGTTTGCTGGTGTAATACTCCGATTCGAGGATCTCGTAGAACTCGCCACGAACCTGTCGACTTTGATCCGGGTTCAAGCCCAGCACTTTCTTGGACTCCATGATGGTCAATCTGCGACCCATGGTCCGGATGCGCTTCGTAACATCGGTGCAGATGACGTCGAGAGCGAGCTCCTTGGATCGAATATCGTCGGCGTCCTGCCACAGCGCAGTCTGTAACAAGGTACTTTCGCGCACCAGACGATCCTTGACAGCTTGCCATTTCTCGATTCCAGCGACGGTCTTTTGCATGATTTGCTCCTCCTCACAAATCGCCTGAAACTGATCACGAAGGGCCCGATATCCCTGAAGATCAAGACCCAATATCTCCTTGCTTTCCTCCAGTGTGGTCTCGGAAGGGAAGCGCGGTGGCATGCCCGCGGGATCGGGTGGAAGGCCTGCGTACCCCTTGGTTCGACGACGGCGTTTCTTTTCTCTCCAGCGCTCGTCACTGATGGCCTGAAGTTCCTGAAGTCTTCTGTTTTGGCGCTCCACGAAGTCCGGGGGCGGATCGTCGAGGGCTGGACTCTGGCTCGGTTGATCGATACCTTCGGCTTTTGTCTCTTCTCCGACCAACTGCCCCTCGACACGAGCTTCTGCGTCGTCGGTGGGTGTTTGCTTGGCACCATTAGGAATGCGCATGAGCCAGCGGTGCTTTGCACGCAGACGCATCAACTCCCGTTCTTTGATATCGTGGCCCTCGGCTTGAAGAGTTTGAAGCATATTGCGTTGACTGTAGTTTGCCTCCCATAGCTGTCTCACGCGATCAACCAAGTTTTCGTCGCGAAAGGATGGCTTGCGTTTCGACGGAAAACCCCATCTCTTGAACTGTGTCTGGAAGGCGCGTTTGGAAGGAGCGAAGTTGGCGACGTCTCGCATGTACTGCATGATCTCCTCGAGGGACTGCATCCGGTTAGCCCAACACGGTCTGGTAACGAACCAGAACAGTGAATGTGAAAAAACAGTAAATGTGAAAATACCTTTCTGTCCTCGATGTAGAGTTTGTAGAGCACATCTCGGTGAGGATCCCAGCTGTAAACCTGTCCTGAGAGTCAAAATCGGACACTGATAGTGAGACGGTGGTGAAAGGGAAGAATACCATGATGGCTTACGCGATTTCGAAAAGCGCGGTTGATGCTGTTATGCGGTCGTGTACTGGGGAACTATGGTGAGGCGGGACATCTCGAAGGTGCAAAACTCGAAAGGAAAGGGTGGCGGCAAGCAGCAAGGCGAATGGCAGCGACGGAGAGGGAACAATGTTATTCCGGAACCGCCTTAGTCCTTTTCCGGAGCGCAGGCGCGAGGCTGAATGATGCTGCCTTCCCTTGCCACAAGGCTGCCTCACCTGCCGACAGCTCAACTCCATGTTACTTGCTTTGTTTTGTTTTTATCGAAGGTTGTCTATCCGACGGTCGTGCTTCCCTCGGACCAATCATCTTTTTCCATTCGTCGTCGATACCGATCCTCTCGCTCCGAGGCTTCTGGAGCCAACGCCGTTGCCATTCCTTCGTCGTCTGCTCCCAACGACTTGCTTCGGCAGTTGCAAAAGAAGCTGCAGCATCAGCGCACTCCTCAACCTTTAGCATAGGGACTAGGTGGCCGCAGTTTGGCAAAACCACCTCTTTTACTCGACCTTCAGCTTGCCCTCCGCTCCCACCCACCCCAACACCAGTACTCGCCATCTTCTTCCTTCTTAGCTCGGGTGTTGCGAGCTCAGACTGTTCTCCGAATATATACAAAACAGGTGGCTTCAACTCGGGAAGCCGCCGGAATAGTTCTGCCGGCTCAGGGCGATAGAAAGGATACCCCTCCTCCACATCTTCTGGATACATATCCCCATACACGGCCCGATCCCTCTCTGGTGCGATACCCGGGGTACCGTTGTATTTCGGTCTCAGATAAGAAAAGACCTCTTGAGACTTGGGGGTGGTCAGGGTCACACGCGGTTCTCTGTTCTCGTTCCTTTCTGGGTAGAGCTCCGTGGGGAGATCCCGGAGACCATATTGCACCCACTTCTCAAAGACCCTCGGGTCCCAGGCTTTGTAAAACTCACTGCTTGCAAACTTTGCCCGAGCTTCTTGACGGGATGGCCACACATCCCGACGATAGGTGGAGGGCTTAGCAAATGTTTTGCTGGGATTTTCGGTCTGGATAACCGGATCGATGAGGATCAGAGCTTGCAGTAGCCTTGGATGGAGAAGTGAAAGCTGCGCCCTGAGAAACAATCAATGCTGTGCCTTTTCCAATGGGGAGCCGGGAAGTACAATTGCGATGCCCCCATGCTATGCCCAATCCCTATTAGTGGCTGAGGTAACTCATCTTGCTTCTGGTTGATGAGAAAAAGAAGATCCCTCGCACCATCCCACCAGTTTGCTGTCACCGTCAGCAAAATTCGGAATGTTCCGCACGAGATAGACGTACGATCATTGCCCAAAGCTCTTTCATTGAGAACATAGCTCTTTCCCTGGTGGGCAAGGTCGGCAATCCATATTGCCCGGATGTGTCTCCCCAAAGATCTTAATTTGGTATGGAGGTCATCGAACAGAGGCTCATATAGTTCCTAAAGATGATCTTAGGCACAGGAAAATGTTTGGAACGAAGCGCTGACCTTAGGAAATCCGTTGGCGTGTGCTGCAATGAAGTTGATATCGCCGGGTGCCGGATTCTTGCGCTCATGGGGAATATATTGCTTCACAGAGAGTCTCAAAGCATTTTCGTGCCCAACCTCTGTGCCCCCGGGCCAGTGGCGCGTGTGTTGGGCGCGTATTTCGTGTTCAATCACACGAAATTGGCTCAAGCTCCGTCGAGAGCTGTAGACTTTGACTTTCAAGCCACATCCTATCGTGGAGGAGCAACTGCTGCCTCGACCCAGAGGCATAGTCTCAAGCCTCTCCTGTTCTCGGGTTCCTCAGCATCGTGGCAGGACGCTCGCGAGATCTATCATGGACGAGTGGTTTTTGGGATGATGCACAATGTTGACTTCTGGATAATTAGTCCGTAGCCGAGCCATCGGCAAACTCTCGGAACCGACAGCGTCTCTATATAGCACCGTGCCATCTCCAGTTCTCTCAGTCTGTCCAGAGATTCCCACGTTTCATAGAGCGTGTGCTGCTGTTGAGCACAGTGGGAGTCTGCCTCACGATCTAATGGAACTTACACATCTAATTCGTTGAAAATGATGCTCATTTCCTAGTCGGAACGCCTTGCAACTGCAATGACTAAGACTTTGCCTGAGAGCTTCGCGCTACAATGCAGAACAATTCCAGGTGCCCTGAGTCTACACCTCGTTCAGGCCGGAACTGAGAACATCAACATGTCGCCATAAGCCCCCATTCATAGGAGAGTCCCGATGTCGTAGGTGAGTCATTGGCCGGGAGTCGGTGCTGCGCCACAGCAAGGCCGGCTTGACATAATCAAAAAGGAATCAAATAAAAGAGGACTGCGTTGCAGGGTTCTTCTTTCCTTCTGCCAGCCATTTACTCGATTGAAATCGACGCATGAAAGTGGATGGCGGGAGACGGCCTGCCGAGGGACGCAGAATCGGGCTGGCCTGTAGACTTAATCGGACGATTGAGAGCCATTGCGGAAAAGCATGTCCAAGAGATCGATGAAGACAAGCTGCAGGAAGAAAAGGACGAATTGAAGAGAAAACAAGACATAGAGCACTATGCGAAACGCAAGAAGCAGGAGAAGCACGAGAGCTCTATCATCTCCATCGACGTGCCCATCCCCAAGATGAGATCAGCTCAAGGTATGATACATGAGCTCCCTGCAAGACTGGCCTGTTAACAAATGTTGTGTAGACGTCCTAAAGCGACTCCAATGGGATACTGATCTCGACATGTCAAAATATGTCATTGGGTATCTTGAACGATTCGCTGGCATCAAAGAAATACCCGCAAGAAAATGGCTCTCTGAGGTAACCGAGGAGGAATGGATCCCCCAACATCGCATTAAATACTTCAAACGACTCTCTGAGAACGGAGAGGACGAGATCGTCTGGGACCGCGAGAAACGGATTGACAAGATCTTCGGTACTGGCTGGAAAGTGAGCAGTTCGGAGGACGACGAGAAGGCGGATATTCGTTCCACAGATGGCGGTGTCAGTCTCTTACCACGATAGCTGGAGCGGCAGACTCTGGGAATTGGGTTTTAGAGCGGAAGGGCGTGCTGCCTTGCAAACACACAGCATGCGAATGTGACCATGATGCTGCACCAGGGAAGAGTGCACCATGGAGAGAGCAGCAGTTGCGCAGTTGCGCATTGCGTGAGCGGTCCTACAGCACGCCGTATAAGGAAACTCCCTCGGAGTATTCCGTGCTGAAGCGCCATTAGCGTTTTTTTGTTTGCTTGCTCTATTGCACTCCCTCTCACCTCGATGGCTTCCTGACATCTTTCTAACATCTAAACGATGTAATCTGAGCATACTCCCTCTACTTTAAGGTTGCTTCATGTCTAGGCCAGTTCTGCAGTGGGCAGTGGACCTATACCGCCAGTTTCAGAGATATATTCCTCCTTCCCAAGTCATGGCACAGACAACATCTGTTGGCGCCAGCCACATGCAGTCCCCGTCAAAGCTGACAGGCAGGGCCTTCTACGAAAGTATCGGCAGTCCTAAATACATCTTGGCTCCCATGGTCGATCGATCAGAATTCGTCCGTTCTCCCTCCACCCTCGACGGCTTCACCAGATTTGTTGACTTGTTCTCCAGGCTTGGAGACTCCTCACTCGATCCTACCTCGATGAAGAGAGATCAAAATCCTTCCTAGCATACTCACCTATGCTACATGCGAGATTATTTCGGGAAACTGCCAAATTCCGCGACGAACACTTTAAGCCCACCAGAAATAGTTTGGTCTCGAAAGAAAGATCCTCGTCCTCGCCATGGCTGGACGGCAACCCTAGATTGGATCGACCATTGTTCGTGCAGTTTTGCGCAAACAAGCCCGAGGATCTCCTAGATGCAGCACAATATGTGGCCCCTTATTGTGATGCGGTCGATTTGAATCTGGGATGTCCTCAGGGCATCGCTAGAAATGGTCACTACGGGGCGTTCCTGCAAGAAGATTGGGACACCATTTACAACATGATAAACAGGTTACATAACGAATTGGCAGTCCCCGTGACGGCCAAAATGAGAATACTGGACACCAAAGAGAAGACGCTGGAATACGCCAAGATGATCCTCTCCGCAGGCGCCAGCATCTTGACAGTGCACGGGAGACGGAGAGAACAAAAGGGGCACAATACCGGCATTGCGGACTGGCAAATGATTCGATACCTTCGGGAACAGCTACCACCCGAAACGGTGATTTTTGCGAACGGGAACATCCTGAATTCCAGCGACCTAGAATCATGTTTAGCTGCAACCGGGGCCGATGGGGTCATGAGTGCAGAGGGTAACATGTGCGATCCAACAATCTTTGCCAACTTGCCAAAAGAGCACAACCCCCGAGAGTACTGGTACGGACCAGATGGGAAAGGAGGATATCGCATGGATGCCGTCGTCCGAAGATACCTCGACATCATACACCGATATGTTCTTGACACAGAACCGCCCATGCGCAAGCCTCTTTATGTCCCAGGTGACCCTGAAGACACGCCTCAAACAGAAGAAATCTCCAATGATGACGTTCGGCCGACGAAAAGGCTAAAACGCCCTCCCAAGCAAAAGTACGATCCGAATATCAGGCCAATCCAAGGGCATCTTTTCCAGCTCCTCCGGCCTCTGGTATCCAGACACACTAACATTCGAGACGTGTTGGCAACCACGCCTTGTGGGGACATTGAGGGCTTCGAAAGAGTTCTTGCCATGGTAGAAGCGGCCGTCAAGAAAGGTCTCGATGAGCACGCCGCCTTGTCAGAGGTGGACTCCGAGCTTACGAATGAAGCTGGCACAGAGGAGATTGGTGAACACGACTTGACGCCTAAGCAAAAAACTACAATGAAATACCAAAGGCCTTGGTGGGTGTGTCAGCCCTATATTCGACCGTTGCCCGACGAGGCTGTGAAAGTTGGTGCGATGCAACCGAGCAAGAAGGGTTCTTCCGAGATGGGCCTCAAGGAGGCAGCTCGTAACCAAGACGATACGACCAGGAAGACAGATGTCTTTGGGGTGCAAGATCAATCCTTGCATCACCACGCTTCAAAAGAAGGGCTCCCAAAGCCTACTCTAGTATTCGGCTGAGATTGGTCATTGTGAAAAGCGACACATTAGCTCGCTGCAGCAACCATCATGTACACCATGTGAATTGTTCAATTACGAACCGCTTCAATCTAGTCTCGGTATCTGCAGTGAAACCTTGTGCGTGCACGAGCAGTTCAGCATCCGAACGTAACCCCATCGAAACCCGACCCAAAGCTTTGATACAGAAAGAAAATATAGAAAGAGGAAACAGCTGTGACTTCAACAAATGACTTGTTTTTGTCACCCATTCAACTCCCACGGTCAGTGTCGTCGCCAATATTCAAGCGAAAGGCATCGGCTCCAACTGACCACGTCGGCGTTCTCACCGCCTGGCCTGCGCTCAGTCTGAAAGATCCATAGGAGCGGACCCCTCGTCATCGTCCGAGGATATATCCATGGGAACCTCCTCATCATCGCCGGAGGCTCCATTGTCCTCAGGACCTTCCTCACCCTTAATGATTTCACCGCTTGTGGCCATGTTCGACTGGTCTACATGTGCATCTGCATCTCCAGTTGAGTCCGCGCGCTTGCGCCTCTTGCCAGCTTGGCGCTTGGTATTCAAAAAGTATCTGGCATCTGGTTTCACATGAAACCGGTCGACAATCTCCTGGATGCGGCTTCTGCGTTGCATCAACGCCGCTAGTGTCCGGTCAGTGCGCGGCTCTGTCGAGCCTTGCGGGATCGTGCCAGTGAATTTCTTGTTAAAACTCTCTCGCCATTCTTCCTTCTTCTTGTTGCTGACCACCACTGTCTTTCTCTTGGAATGTGTTGAAGATTGACTCTTTTCTTCGAAAAGTTCCTCGCTCAGCTTGATCAAATACTCGTCCTCTTCCTGGGACCATGCTTGACCCGGATTGTGTCTGGAGCCTTTGATTGTTCGGTCAACCGCTTGTCGACGCCAATTGTTCAACAACTGGATGTGGGAAGGGTCGTTCCAGTCGAACTCTACCCGCGCCGACGGAGACATGGGTGACTTTTCCTTCTTAAGGTCCGGCCATATAAACCTTTTCTCTTGTCTGAAGCGCTTGAATGTATACCTGCCCTTGGAGATGTGCTCGACGAGGAATTTGGCTGGATTCGGACATCCTTTATACACTCTTTCGTAAGGATCACCATTGACGCCGAGTAGGAAACCCTCAATACCGCGCACGCCGGCCTTTTTGATCACCTTGCTTTTACCTTTCCTCGTCTTCTCGTCGTTCTCCTCCGTCTCGGAGGCATCAGTCGGGGTGTATTGGTCTGGTTCTACTCCCCAACCTTCGTCCATGAAAATCGCGGCAGGTACGTCACATTGTTTAGCCGATGGCCATTTCAATGACCTCTCGTCTACACCGACGCGGATACCAAATTCGATTATATTCCCATCAGGATCCTCCTTGGTAGTTCTGTGGACCTCTTTCTTGGACGGTCGAACGGGAGAAACCCCGCGCAAGAACCAGAATGAGACAGCCTCAATCAAATTCCAATTGTGGTCCTGTAATACCACGCGCAAAGACCACCAGTCAGGCCTTCCAGTGATGTTTATGAACTCGGCGAGCCGTTCATCTTGTTCTCTCATGGTGTCGACCTCGTCGGGATCGATCGCCGTTGGCAGACGCGTACGCATCCGGTCATAATCACGAAGTTGCAGGCGGACGTCCTCTAATGATGTGAAGCTGTCGGCCGCCTCGCCAAGATCCCATGAGTTTACATGGAGAAGAAGTATCGCTTCTGAAGGACTCAAGGTTGTCGTCCCGAGTGTCTCTTCCATCTCAGATTCGTAATGCAAACGAAGTGCCACGGCGGCATCTCGACGCTCTTGTTCCACGTTGTGATTGAGACGGGCACCAAGGAGGTGTCTGCGCATGACATTCAATGTTCGAGTTTCTTCTTCCTCTTCCTCTTCATTCTTTCCATCCTTTTCGTCCTCGTCGTCTTCTGCGGTGATGACAGTAACATTAGCAGCAGTTCTGGGCGGGTTGCTCAAGGAACTTGAAGAGCTTGAGGAGCTTGACTCGTCTCCCTTTTCATCTTCCGAGCTTGCTTCGGCACTGGAGACAGAGTCTTCTGTGGCACCACGTTCAGAAAGGATCTTGGCCCTGTCTGCCTGCCAAAGATTATAGGCGGCCTCGGCATCCCAGTCTGTGGAAGTGAGATACGTCTCCAACAAGGTGCGGTCGGTAACGTTAGGCCGGAGCCGGTCTCGCAGGGCGATGATTACTCTCCTCCGTTCCAAGGCTGTTAATGGACGTGGCGCGCCGGGCGCACGGCGAGCAGACATTCTTCGAATATTCTATGTATATGCTGGTATATGGGTTGGGTGGAGTGATCGACAAAGTCGGCAGACTAGGGCTTGGGAGAAGAGCCTATTGATGGATTTAAGCACCCTTTCGAAGCCATCTTGCGGTCTTTATGCGGCTGGTATTTTGGCAACCACCTTTGTGCCCAATGCCTTTATGCGAACGGCCACGTCGAGTGCACAGAGTCCGTGGAACGTAGAAGTGCACAGTGCGGCTGCAATATCCAGAACCTTACAATGTGGCATTGCATGGCGAGGATTAGCAATGTCAACCGAACGCTGAGCAAACATCAGCAGAGCACAAGTCAAGCATATTCTGGAAATGTTTGAGACGGATTTCATGCAATCCTGGAGGGAAGACGTTCCGTCGCTGGATCGGGCGAGCAAAGGTTGTCCTCCAATCCGGTTCTCTTTCTTTTGCGCGGCATTGTTGATCGAGTTTGCAGTTGGTTGTCTTGGATTCGACGAACCTTTTTGTGTTCTATTGCCGAACGCGGCGTCTTGGTCTTCGGCCGCGCGAGCTCTTTGTTCTTCCTCTGATCGGAACATCTTTTGGGTCACCTGAGGGGTTTGACATTCGTTTCCTCCGTCGTGCATAATGCAGCATCATAGTCTGTCGACACACGTTCTCTCATGAGCTCCAGCCAATGGGCGATTCTTGGGTGTCGATTGCGAAAATATGCTGAGGGAGATTCAGAAGATTCGGGCCACACTTCTCTCTCAAGTGCCCATGGCGGTCTGCGGAGAGCAATCGCGAGGCAAGGGCTTGACCTCGGGCAGGATCATACCCCAATTCCAGGTTGTTTTGACTACCCCTACAGAATGACTGTGCTCACAGTGATCCTGATCGACAAGGCTGAGAAGCCCCTTTTATGGATAGTGCCAAGAAAGGGCTCCCATCCTACATAAGTTCGAAGGCTTGCCGCGTCTTGTGGCGTACCCCGTATCTTACTTATTCTGACATATACATATAATATACTAGCGTGTGACTAGTCACAGTTGAGCAACCCGCCCTCCCAATTTCCGCTCCCTCGATCAGGCGTTACGCTGAAATGATCGTGACCAACACGATCGCTGCCGACAAGTCCCTCACGCGGCGGAATAAAAGAATTGCACGAACAAAGGGGATCGGTCGGTGGAAAACGTAAACTTCAGGCCCCTCCTATCGGTCATGGGGACAGGTAGGCTCCGAGCAGCACAGCACACAGAAACTCTTTTTACAATCCTGCGTCGCCGGCGGGCGCAGCCAGGAGCGGTTCGTCCGTCCTCCACCCCTGCTAGTGGCGGAAGACTCGTCCCGTCGGTTGAACATGGATGGGGCGCTGGTCATATTCACTTGACTTGACCTATGTAGTGGGCGTCGCAGCTCACCCGTGCATTCTGCTGTCAGTCGCTGAAAACGGCTGAACCGGACCCGGGTTGGGAGTGATCTTGGTCTTTGTCCTTTTGTCTTCATTTCCGCGAGCGGCCACGGAGGAGCCGCTTCGGCACCGACTCCTATCTCAGGATCTAATATCTACTGGAGGAAAACATCCGAATCAAGATCAAGGGAACGGGAACGAATCGAGGGCATGTACGTCCGTCCGTCCTTTGTTCCATCCCTCTTGTCGAGCAAGGCGCCATTTTCTCACCCTTGCGTCCTTTGGGGCGGGCCTGCGCGCTGTCAGGAGGGAAGGGGAGATCCGGAGCAGATCGGCGCACCGAGAGATGCAGGAAATAAATAGATGGTGGTTGTATTGAGGTTAATCCGAAAAAAACAGAAAACACTAGCAACAACAGCAGTAGTCTATTTGTTCTAATCAGGAAAAAGCCCAATCCGAGTGAGGATCCCTTTCTCTTCTCTTCTCTTCCTTCCTTCCTTTGTTTATTTCTTCCTTTCCTCGGTCTCTTTTTCGTGGAAATGCAGACAGATAGATGCAAAAACAGGACATGGAAAGCCAAGCCAAACATGCGAAACATGAGGAAGAACAACGCGTGGAAGGAGTACGTATGGCAACTGCTAAACCCTTCACCTCGTGGAACACGCCCTTTTCATCCCACAATCCCCCACCCCGACCGACGCTCTCTTAGCTTCCCTCCGGCGTTTTTCTGCATACTCAGTAGTTCCTGTTCAGCTATCCGGGTCCGTACATATCCTCGTCCTCTACCACGTCATCATCGTCGTCAAGGAGGTCCATGTTGTCGTCGCTGATTAGAAGAGAGTCGTTGGCGTTCTGGCCGGCGCCGCTGCTGGCAGTTGAGGGTCCGGCGTTGGCATTCTGAGCTGCCTCGGTGCCAGTCTGGGCCTGGGTGCCACTGCCGCCACCGGCATTGGTCGCCGCCGCGGGAAGAACTGGAAGGGGAGCGCGGCGGCCGCTCACGTCCTCAAAGTCCGAGTCGATGTCGCTGACCAACTCACTCTCGTCCTGGACGTTCTTCCATTTGGCCTTGTCGTGCCGGAGCATGTAGTGCTTGGAGTAAGCAGCGATGCGGCACCGGTGCTGTTTGATCTCGTTGATACTCCGCTGTGGGCGGGGCACCGGGCCCACCAGGGCCATGTCTTTCAGGACGGCAGTGGGTATGAACTTGAACTGGTTGTTGGGATCCGGCATCCAGTTGACCTTGTTGTAATACCGCCTGTTCATAAACGTGGCGTTGAACCGATTCGTGAGGTCTTGAAGCTCTGCCGCACTCAATGGAACCGGGAAATTGGTGCCCCGGTCGTATTCCGCCTCGGCTACTTGGTATTGCGCGGGATCAGATCGACCAACATTCTGGCCCGGAGCCTGACCGGCCCTGGCGCAAAACTTCTCCTCGATCCGCATGGCTTCCTGTTCCACCAGCCATTGCTCCTCGTACTTGTTGAATGGCCCGCCGTTGAGATCCCCTTTGGTGACACCCGTGATCTGGACATGGCGATCGTTCCTCCAACGATTTAATAGCACAATGTGTGCTTTGTTGTGCCAGTCAAACTCTACCTCTTCAAGTGTATCATCGTCGTCGGGCTTGTCGTCTTCCCACCGGAAGCGCATATCCCTCCTGCCTTTCGCTTGTCCTTTGAACCGCATGCACTTGTACTTACCTTCTTTGATGTATTCGATATACAATTTGGTCGGATCCGGACAGTGGACGACGGCGGGATCCCGGCTGGGATTAACTAGAGCACCGCGAGGATTGCCTGTACCACCACGGTTGCCGCGGATATAGTCGCGACCGGCGACGAATCCCCTATATCGCTGACCATCGTCGTCGCTTTCCTCGCTTTCGTCGAGCTCAGGACCAGGAGCTGATCCGGACGCTACGTCAGACTCCATTTCACTGGCGGCGGTCTTCCGACGTTTTCTTGCTATAGAGGAAGGAGCCCCGAGCTCTGGGTCAGGCTCGCCTGAATGACCTCCCGAGATGACAGACTTCAGGTCACTGCTGCTCGGGTCACTGCTGCTCGGGTCGCTGGGGTCGCCGTCTGCTCCGTTCTCAGGCGCCTTGCGCTTCTTAGAAACGAAACTCAGCAACTTTATGTAGTCGTCGTCAAAGAACTGGAACTGACCGTCTCGAATTCGAGGGGGACGGTTCACATTGACATCCCGCAGCCCATAATTTCCACCTTGATCCGCGGGATTGTCAGGTGGGAACGTCACGCGAACCCCTCCGGCCTCCATCCAGGCTTCGATGGCGGCCCCGACATCCCAGTGGTGTTTTTGAAGCAGTTGTCGCGCAGAGTACACGCTGTTTGTGGCCGAGATGTTCAAGAACAGTGCGAGTCTCTGATCCATATCTAACTGGCCGTCCGGAGGGCCACTTAACCTAGCAGCCTCCTCTTCATAGTCGTCATAGTCCCCCGCGCGCGATGTAATTGCCTCTTGAGCACGGTCCTGGACAAAATTGTTGTCACGATATAAGAGCATCATTGGGACGTTCTCTACTCTCCAGTTGGGAAAGTTCCTCCGAAGGGCAGTTTGCATGTCGTGAACTTGTTTAAGTCGCTCCCGTTCGACCGTTGCCTCAGTACGAAGCCCTTGCGGACGTGGTCTGCCGGCTGGCGCTTCTGTTGGTCTGTCTTCGCACCACCAGAATTCCGATGCGGAGCGGTTGACATTCCAATCATTGCGTTCAAGATGCCAGCGCATCATCTCTGTCGCCAACATGTGAGGGTAAGCAAGCTGATGTCTGAGCGCTGTCATACGGTCTTCTTGCTCCTCTGAGGTCTCCGCCGGAGGAGGAACGGGAGGGTTCTCCTGGTAAGCAAGACGGCGATTTACAGGCAGCGGCCCTGCATTGGGGCCAGCTTGACTTGGACCGGCTTGACTTGGGCCAGCTTGACTTGGACCGGCTTGACTTGGGCCAGCTTGACTTGGAGCGCCTCGACCGCGGCCACCTGGTGCAAGGCCAGTTTGGCTTGGACCGGCCTGACCTGGAGTACCTCGACCGCGGCCGCCTTGAGCAGGGCTAGTGTGGCTTGGACCGGCTTGACTTGGAGCACCACGACCGCGGCCACCTCGACCGGGGGAGCCTCGGTTGGAACCAGCTCCGCTGGGGTTCATCGTTTCAATGGCAGGTTATAGATTGGAGTAAAGGTTAATATACAGAAGGGCAGACGAAATGTCCTTTCGGACACCTGAGGAGGGCTCGCTATTTAGCATTTCCATCATAGCAAGCCCTGGGCCGCGTAACAATCCGCAAGCGGACATTTACGCAGATGGGTCTTATAGGAGGATCCTTTGTGTAAGCCAAAAGCGGAGGCTGGCCGCGTGGGAAGAGGTCTGTGTGAGCCAAAGGCTTTGACGATGGATGTTCGGATCAAGGAGATGTCTGTGTCCAGCGACAACCGTGCCTCCAATCCGGTCACCGTCGTTGACGAAGCCGAGGGTGAACATGCCACCATCGTATGAGGTACAGATAGAAGCTCTGGAAGCGCCGTTAGCGGCTTTCTCTTGATACCACCGCCTCCGGCATTGCGCTTGTCAAGGTCCATCGAGAAAAAATAGCTGGTTCAGGATCAAAGGGCTAACTGAATTTCGTAGAATGCAGAGCGAGACATACCAGTCGTCTGCGCTTCGACCAGACGGACGGTATGTCGGACTCGTCACCAGCACATACTCACGGCTGAGCATCATACACGCTGTTGATGAGTCTGAAGATATGCCGACCTCGCTGGGTAATGCATCGCCCAAATGACCAGGTGGACTCTTTCCTGATGCGTACCTCTTTCTTCAATCTCCCACAGGCGGTGCATCACGGGCTCGAGTGTAGGATTCTGTGTTGTTTACTCCACCAGAGCCTGAAATCATCCATGCAAGGCCGCGGGTGCCATCAGGGGGACCGTGCACAAATGGCTGTTTGCGTCCCAACAAGGAGTTCCATGTCTGCAAGCATTGACATCGTCTCGGCCAGCAGCGACTGACACCAGCCTGCACGGGAAATCTATGCCTGATACGGTCCGGAATAGGTCTAGTGATCATGGGTTGTGCCAGGTAGAGTTGATGATGTGTGTTGATGATTGGAATGTATCTAGCCAGCCACCAGCAAATTCTCGGCCATAATTTCGGACCACGGGGGCGATCCCGTGCACAGCCTCGCGTCTAGTTTACCCAGTAGTGCGATGTGACGATGCGAATAATATGATTGATATTCTTGTTGACCTCTATGGGTAGCCGAGGAATAGATGATCTTCGATGGAGCAGATATTGCAAAGGCATGCACGTTGCTCACCACCAGGGAAGCGGCCTTATACACAACACTCTCTGGCGCTTTCCAAGGACAATGTCTCTCTCTGGGCTGCCTTACATTCGAGGAGGCGTGCGGTCTGCGGACTTGAGGATGGTGCGCCTAGTGGCATCATACCCGACTTTCTTCATCCACTCTTCAGCACTTCTGACCCTGCCGGGCAGAATACGATCCAGCAAAGCATAGTCACGCTGAATCACCCCTTTGTTGCCTGCACTATGCCGGTATAGGTTCCACCAGTTGGTGAAGTTCTCGCCAAACGTCATCAGGAGGGCGTTCTCGTCTTTGACAGAAGTAATTCCGACCTTGGTGTTTGCACCTTTTGGCAGGTGCTTCCAGCGATTCGCAACGTACTCCGCAACAGGCGCGTCGACATATTCAGCCCTGTTGCCAGTTGCAGCAGTAAAGGCTCGGGCGAGGTCTGCGCCTGACACATGGGCAATCGAAATGCCCAGGACCATTCCGTTCGCCTCGGCTCGGTTGGAGTAAACCCATGCCACATAGCGTCCAAAGTCCTCGAGGTGGACAAATGGAATAGCCCCTTGCGCCAAAGGTAGCGTGAACCTGTACACGTCGTCATTGCTCCTTTCTGGGATAAGGAGCTCCCAAAGCATTTCAATGTAGGGTCCAGAGTTCTACACGTGGTTATGGGTCATTTGCCATAACATTAGCCTTTCCCGAGGCAAAGTATATTCTGAAGGAGAAGGGAGAGGCGTACGATGACGGTCCAACCCATCGGATTGGTCGGCTGAGAGCGCATCCATTCTGGCGTAGGCTGTCAGTAAAAGTGCGTGCTTGAGCTTGAATGGAAGTGGCTTCATACCTGTGACTCTTGCTTTCCCTTCGTAATGTCCGACGTAGAACTTTGGATCGTATCCAGTCTTTTTTCCGTTGTAATCGAGGCCACTCCAAATCAGATGTTTAACGCCGGCCCTGACAGACAACTCAAAAAGTCGAATTCCCCAGTATGTCTCAGCTTGCTCCCCAAGAGCAAAACCATCGGTGTTGATGTATGCATAGTCAGATCGTTGAGCTGCCTTGTAGTATTGGTCAACGTCATAACCGAACGTTGCCTTGGATTCCACAAGCTCGACGTTCGGAAGGTGGCCAATCTCCTTGGCGGCTGATGAAGTCGTGCTACGTGTCAAGGCGAGGATTTTGTATTCATTTGTAGCAGAGAGAACCTTGATGACGGCACTCCCTTGGGCGCCGGTGCCGCCGACAAACACGATGGTCTTCATTTTCAGAGCAAGGTCAAAAAGACGTAAATCAGGGAGCCTGCAGATGGTTTCCGGAGAATAGCCTGAGATGCAGGGGATTCCTAGGATTTAAATACATGAGCAGTCTGGTGGCTGGCGGCATTATTGCCCCGAAGCCCGCGTCTGCACTCTGGCTATCGTTGATCATTAATTGTTCTCGTACAGAAGATGCGCCGCGTTGGGAGTAAGTAGACGCGAGCGCAGGCTGTAAACAAAAATGTCGGGGATTGGCATCATATAAGCAAAAATATCGTGGTAGTCGTACCGCGGAGGTCGTTGTAGAGCAGCAGGAGCCAGGGCATCGTTTGGCCACACAGGGACTCGGCTGATCAATGATAGCATCATCTCATGATTCCACAGCAACTGATCTCGATTCACTTGGAAATTTATGTGACAAGCGCCAAAGTTGAGCTCACAAATAGAAGTTGCTGCTGCAGCCGGAGCAGTTAAGTAATCAGGACATATTCTCATCATCGTACTCTCGTACTCGACGCACGCTTGACCAATACAGGGCCGGTGTGGCCTTCGAAACAGTTCTTTCATTGGATAAGCTCCGAAGGCTTGGGGTGTCACCCAGGTGTGAGCAGGCTCCCGTGGTTCACGTACGAGGGTGGACGTCCACTCTGCTGCTCTTAGAGGGATCGGGGAGTGCGACGGAAGTTGTCAAGCGGTAAGCTGGGCATATAGTCGGCTTCACTACACCCTAAACGCATGAGAGTGCTGTAGAAAATGTCAACCACGTAGTGGTATCAACACCACCCGGAGAACTTGTGGAAGAGAGAAAGATGGATACACGCGCTTACTCATCTACATCAGGTGACTTCGCGTTCTGCCTTGACGCGTCTCCTGCGCACATCGTGTTGCGGGGCAAAGCAGATGCAATTTTGTTGTCTCTGCGGTGCACGAACCATCCACCATCTCATTTCGTAACCCACTATTTTCGTGTATCTCGGTTCCTGCCCCGCTGAAACGATGGCTTCGCGATAGCTTGAATGCACGAAAAGACGTCCACCTTGCTCAAACAAGCGGCCGCTGTGCTGAACACAAAGCCTCCGCCCTGGGAGCGCGGGATGGGTGCGTTGGATGGAAACAGTGAGATCCCCAATCGCATCACGACGAACAGCCCTCGAAATCTCACTCTGTACTCCCAGTCAACGGTGTTCCTGCATACCCGTTGACTCAACATTCTCTCCGTGATTGATTCTACCATTGACGAACGCCATGCTGATCCAGAGTGATGGAAAAGCCCTACAGCGTCCGGTCCTATCTCCCGACGGCAAATCGTTAGCGATGATAGCACCGGACGAACGAATACACCTTATCGACTTGTGCGAAGCCGCCAAAGGACGGAGATCCATCAATGGGCTGAGGCTTCCTAAAGCAGCGCAGAGCTTCCTGCGATCCTGCAACATCCTCCGTTGGTCACCAGAAACCATAATTAGCCCTGAATGCGAGGCTGCCGCCGACGTCTTGTCTGTCACGTCGTCGGAGTGTGATCTTGGGCGGTCCTGGCTGCTCCTGTCAGACAATAAACGCCTGATTGCGCTGAGCACAGACATTAGAACGGCAGGGATGATGGCGAAGGTGGACAGCGAAACCGGTCTGAAGTCCAACATCCTCGCTGACTACGACCTCGGAGGCCAACTGGGGAAACTCAGCCTTGTAGAGTTTGTCTTTAACCACAAACACGCGCTGGTCATGTTTGAGTTCGGCTCGGTCGCCTCCATACTCTCTCTGACCGGACCTCAACGGAATGAAATTCCTCATATCAAATTCTCCGATGCCAGGAGTCTCGCGACATCGCCAGATTCCAAGTATTTTGCCTTGCTCCGCCGCGACAAAGGACAAGATCGAGTGACGGTATTTGAACTGGGGGACAACAACCAGGTGATATACAAGTCTTTTGATTGTAACACCTCAGACGCCCAGGATGTGACGTGGTGCCCGACTGGCCAGCCTCTTCTGGCGGTGCGGGACACGCCCACGTATGGTGTCAAAGTCTCGTTTATGACGGCACAAGGTCATACACTCAAACAGTGGGAAATCAAGTCTTCTACATTCCAATGGGATCTCAACCTTGCACTCACCGATCCAGCGGAAGGCGTCGGGCTTACCTACTGGGGTTGGACCCGGACAAACCGCAACAATGACACTCTGACCCTTCAAAAATTGGCCAACGGACAGAAGCAGGTGCTTGTGAGGTACCAGCCCACCAACAGCATGGGTACGAGCACTGTGGCTAAACTCATGCACCCAGACGTGATTGATGGCTCCAAAACGGCTGTATGGCTGGAGGCCGGCAAGTCTCCAGAGTTCGCTCGACAGTCCGGTATGTTCGAGGTGACGAGCTCATCGCCGAGCGCAGACCCTGGTTCACAACTGCGTTCTGCGTCACATCATTTTCAGTCCTCGCCACAAGAACTCGACCAAGTTGACCTGATCGAATTGAACTCAACCCATACACTGCTCGCCACGCGGCTGCGGTCGTCGCCTCGAGCATTGTTCCTCTGGAACGCGCACAAGACAACGAATCCACTGACCGTTCTGATTTTCACGCATTCCATCCGCCAGATTCATTTCCATCCCCACCTACCACACGTCCTCATCGTCCTGACAGCTTCAAAGCTGCCAAGGTTATATGCTTGGTATCACCACAGTCTTCCTCCTACGGCAGCACTGATTCCCATTGACACAAACGGGTCGACAGACTTTTGGGGGAGCTGGTTGCCAGATTGCGTGACGCATGATCGCTGTCCTTTTCTCCTTACCTCGAAAACTGCCTTTGAAGCTGGCTATCTGTCCAGCCACCAAGGAAAAATCATTTTCGAAAGCATTTTGCAATGTCCACCCGACCTATCTGGAGATGTCTCAATGGATTTGGACGGTGACGACGAATCCACGACGGAGATGATGGAGACGCCGAGCCGACCTAGCAAGCATCCCGAAAGCGCGAAAGAGACCATGAAGAAAAAGAAAGCCCGGTTCGACATCCCGCCAGATCAAAGGACGGACTGGGCAGATGATCCGATTCATGCAGAGGCTGGGTATGCTTATGCTTGGTGAAAGCTCACTTTGCAGTTCTTGGAGAAGACAACCATTGTTTTCACCATAGTGCCGCTCGAGTCACGGGGTTGCGGGCACGGTACGGTGCATGTCGATATATAAAAGCCAAGCCCGAAGGCTGAAAATTCCACCCTGTACCCTAGTCACCCGAGTGAGTTGGGACTCGGTATGTTACACACAGGTGTACAGACGCAATGTGAAAAGACGTTCCCAAGGAGCCTGTGAGGAGGAGCAGGCTATCTAATCCCAGAGAAAAGATGAGACGAGGTCCAAATGTATCTTGCCATTCACGACAAATGGAAATTCACGGATGGGCTCGAAACAGAAACGGAAATAGACTCAACTGGAGACGAAGTCACCTCACACTCTGAAAGAAGGAGGGAGAAGGGTTGGGTGGGGAGAAAGTATGAGTAATACTCACACCTCTCTCTCTCTCTCTCTCTCTCTTCTCTCTCTCTCTCTCTCTCTCTCTCTCTCTCTCTCTCTCTCTCTCTCTCCATTTTCCATATCGGATGTGCAGGTCAGGGATCTCGGTCCGTCACCAACCTCAATAGTCTCCTCAACATATGTCCCTAGTTGTGTAGGAGTAGGAGCAGGAGAAGAGAAGAGATAGATATGCTGGCCGGTCGGCCGGCTAGCTGATCGATACACTGATAAGCAAATGACTTCTACTGAGTGTTGGTATGGAGTGTATGTAAGTATGTAAGTAAGTAAATAAGTAAACAAGTACTCACTCGCTCAGTTACTCATTCATTCACTACCCCGGCTTCCCTCCTTCTCTGCCTCCCGCTTTCCCATGCGAGTGAGTAGTCTGTGTGGTGTATGCCGTAGTAGGGACCTTGTCTGTCTGTCTGGATAGATAGATAGATAGATAAATAGATAGATAGCTACCAACCCATCCACCCACCGGGATGGAAAGAGGGAAGTAAGTACATAATTAGCTGGGATCCTATCCTATCCTGTCCTGTGCGGTCCTAATCCTCGTCCACGGTGGCCATTATTGTTTATTATTTATTTACGTCTTTTTGTGCCTACTACTTCCTGCCAATCCCCCTCCCTCTCTCCAACCACGCGCCCGTCGAGAGACCAACCCATCCACCAACCAGAGAGAAGAGAGTGGAGGTTCACGGGGTAGGTAGGTAGATAGTTAGGTAGGCACCGCAGCAGGACAAGGAAAGATAACATAATCAACGCAGAGAGGCGCGCGCGCAGATGGACGCCAAAGGTAGGTATCCAACCGTTTCTTTCATTTCCACCCCTTAAACGGTTGTTTCTTTTCCTTCCGCCATCCAGGATGATCTCAACCCACCCACCCTCCTTCCCTTTCTTATGGCGTTGCGTTGCGTGCGTTTCTGATACCCATCCATCCATCCGACCTCACGATATCAGGAGCCTTCCTCAATGCGGCCCGCCCACTCGGCCGGCTGATCCAGCCCCGGTCCACTGACCAGACTGCCCTTCCCGCTACCGCCGGGCTCGATGTTCTGACCACACTGGACCTTCCAGTTCTTGGGCACGTAGCCGTCGGCGACGCGCTTGAAGGCCTCGAAGGTGCACAGCGACGCGTCGCCGCGGTAGTTGTTCCCGGGCTGGGCGCAGGCCGGGACCGTCATCACGCGGTCGTTGTAGCGGATCCGCACGTAGTAGCCGTCCAGGCGGCGGCGCTGGGGCTCGGAGAGTTCCGCGTGGGGTTTCCGCGCGATCAGGTCCTTGGGCGGCACGGATGGGGAGATGGTCGAGGAGCGCGACGCGGACGGGGTGGAGAGCGGGCTCGACGACGAACTGGCTAACGAGGTCGATGATGGGGATGAAGTCGGGGATCGCAGGCCCAGGAAAGAGGCGAAGAAGCCCGGTTTCACGGCCTGCTGCTCGCCGCCTCGCGGGGTCTGGTTCTTAGGCTCTGTACTTGCCGGCGTCGTGGGCGTCAGGAAGTCTGCATCAGGCGCGTGATTCTTGGCTGCATCTCCGTGGTCTTTCTCCCGGAACAGCTCGAACGCGATGTGACTCGTGTAAGGCGGCCACTTCTCTCCCCCAAACGCGCCCAAGCTCGTCAGGACGCCCGCCAGCGTCGTGTCGTGGCAGCCACTCAGTGCGAACCGGATGCCCGTCTCGCCGCCGCGACCCATGCCCAACTGTCCGTTCTCCCCGCCGATCTCGTTGATGGAGAGCCCGGCGCCCTCGATCTTGGAGGTCATCCGCTCGACGACGTCGCCGATCAGGCTCCCTATGCCCAACATGCGATACTCGCGGTTCTCGTTGTAGCCCGAGAACCACTCCTCGACGCCGATGCGGTCGATGATCTCGCGGGCGCGGGGGTCGTAGAACTCCTTGGGCAGCCGGGTCTCGGGTCCGTGCGCGAGGGTCGAGTTGATGGTGTCCATGATGCCCGAGAGCCGGGGATGCGAGTCGACCGCGATCTTCTTGTCGCTGCTCTCGGGCATCCACTTCCCGATCAGCTTGGTCAGGTACTTCATGTCGTCCGAGTCGTTCCACCGGTCGGCCGTGCGCTGGGCGAAGGCGCGGCTCAGCTGGGCGAACCGGCGACAGTTGCCGTCGTTGGGGAAGAGGGTCTCGTCAGCCGGCGTGCGCGTCACGATGGTCGGCGCGGGAAAGGCGGCCGTGCGCGCCGTTAGGGGGTACATGCCCCAGAAGGTCTGCTGCACCGACTCCAAGGCGCGGGGCAGCGGGGTGGCGCGCAGGTAGATCAGGTCGGCGTTGGCGATGAGGGAGGGCATGAAGCGCAGCTGGTCGACGTATAGGGTGCGCAGGCGTGTCCCGAGGGTGTAGGTGGTCTGGCGGCCTTCGTCGGTGAGTTCGCCCAGTTGACTGCATCACGACAGTGAGAATGTGAGGTCGCCGTTCTCAACACGGGTGGGATCATACCAGACACCATCGACCTGTCCCTTGGGCCCGGCCGCAATGACCGGCCCGTCGTCCTCGCCAAAGCGCTCGAGTCGTCTGCGCCACTGCAGGGAGTTCCAGTGTGACACGTCTTGCGGGGTCATGGCGACGGAGCGCAGCCGCTGCGCCGCATTACAGTAGGGCCAGTATGCTGGCAAGCCTGCCTTTTCTCCGGCGGTCAGCACAGCTCGAGCACCCAGTGTGGATTGGTTCTTGTTTCTTCCCCCTCTGTCTGTGTAGTGAAGGAACAAGAACTCACGTTTCCAAATCTGGCTGACACGGGAGCACGTTCGCCATGACGGAGAAGGACCTGGACAAGTCGCAGTTCGAGGTCTTGGGGGTAGAGCTGGTCGAGCTCGTCCTGGGTGTAGGGCGGACGGAACTGAATCGAGGTCATGTTGCAGGAGGGGGAGGGGAGGAAGCTACACGGTGTGCAGAGAGAGCTTGAGCCTGAGGAGTATCATAGGAACGAGAGGAAAGAGGAGTGTTGTTATAACAATAACATTATCTTAGGTGGAGGAGTCAGTTACCGACCAAGTTCCGTCGGTGTATCAAGGTGCGGGTCATGCAGCTTTCGGCTGCGGTGCCAGATTCCGATACGCAGGCGAAGCGACCAACCGACTCGCCGAGCACGAGGGCATTAGTTCGTCAACAATGAAACAACGTGCATTCGGGCGTCCGTTAATTATTCTGAGTCATTCTACATCGTCAAACAGATACTGGAGATGCTGAAGATTTGGAAGTAGCAGCACCAGCACCCGCCGCACCAGCCAAGGGTATATCTGTATCCTGAATTCTCTCACCCCAACAGCCATCAATGCCGTCAATCTAGCACAGCTTCGCCCCATTAAATGTGTAGATCATGCATCTGCCGGCCCACGCCCTGCGTCTCATCAATCGGGCTCACAGGGTTACTTGTATAGCCACTGCTCGGCGGATAAGATGTCCTCCCATTCGGCGCTGCTGTCGTAGAAGGTGCTGGAGGACCCCCTCCATGCATCGTGAGATGATCTGCCGATGATTCTTGTCGGTGTATATAGCTTGGTGTGGGTTGGTACCCTGCATTGTACGGCCCAGGCCGCGCCTGGTCGCTCGGCAATTCCTGAGGATACGGATTCGTGGCATATTGCTGCGGAGGACGAGGGGAGGGCGTGTTTTGCTGTCGGTCAAACAGCGCATTCGATCTTGGTTGTTGCTGAGGCGCTCCGTACGCGTCGTCGGCAAACGGATTTTCGGCCACCCCGTAGTCGGCACTGGACGAATAGACGTGGGATTGTGGACGAACCCGAGTCGGGACGGGAGGAGGCTGTTCGGGAGCGGCGTAGGCAGAGGAGAAGGCGGCGGCATTGGAGAAATCATAGGGATTCTGGGCGGTTGACGGTGGTGGATGTGGCGGTGCGCCCATTTTGCTGGGAGGAGGCCCTGGCGGCGGCGCATAGAGCTCGTCGGCCTCGTCCCTCCGCAGCGGACTCACGGGCGTGGGGACGGTGTTCTGCCGACGAGGAGGGGAGGACGAGAACGGTCCATGGTCCGGGGGCACGGAGGGAGGCTGGGACGTCTGAGCATAGACGTTCTGGCCCGGGACGTGCTGTTGGGGCGTGAACAGGGGATTCTGCTGAGGCTCCGGTTGCGGCTGGGGGCTGGGTGTGGCCATGCCACTCGCTTTCCGCGCCTGCAGGACCGCTCTGTGATGTTTCGACATGGCGATGTTGAGTTGATCGTTTGTTTCAATCAACGTCAACGTCGTGTCAGGGTCTGGCGCGGGATTCTGCGCATTCAAGTACGACTGAATGCTCCTCTGCATAGTTTTGGCCCGCTCGGCAAACTCTTTGACCAGGTCGTTCGCGAGAAGCTCCGCCTGAGGCGTCGACTGGACGGTCTGCACCAGCAGTCGCGCTGTCGTCTTTGCTTCTTCGATGCGTCCGACCAACTCTTCGGGCGGTGGCAGCGTGTCGCGGCGTCTCGACTGTTGCTGTGGATAATGGCCCGAGTAGGCACCACCAGGTATTTGAGCCGCCTGCTGTGTTGCGACCATGATCAGCTTTCCTTCCATGTCCTCCTCGACTGAGAGGCTTACCGGAGGGCGAAGAGCATTTCGCTTTCCCTTCTCCTTCTTCCACATCTCCATCAGCGGTCCCAGGGTATCATTCCCCGGTGCTTTGTCGAACTCGAAGTAGTCCAGGGTTTCCCGGAGGATCTGCTGAACGCTGGTGTCCTTCCCTTCCCGCAGGAGCTCTTTCACGGTCGCGACAAACTTGTGATCGAAGTTCTGGGTAAAGGCCTGGGCGGGGTTGTCGGTCAGGATGCGGGTGAGCATGACGGCGTTGTACTGCGCAAATCCTCGCTGGTAGTGGTCTTTGCCCAGGTAGCGCCGAATGGTCGCGGCCGCCTCTTTGGCTGCGGTGGGACTGGATTCCGCGGCATCGACGATAGCTGGGAGGTGGAGGTATTCTTCGCCCGCGGTGTCAGAGTTGGGCGCGCCCGACTCGCAGAATGCGGTCTGGACAGACAGAGAGAGAGCTTTAGCTGATGATCCGGGAACCAGAAGGGACGCTGCAAGATGGACTCACGACTTCGCGCACCACGACGGCCTCGGGTGCGTCGCCTTGTGGCAGGACGAAGGTGCTGCCACTCCCATTTCGATCAGGACCTGGCGCAACAGCAACATTCTCGTCAGCCTCAATCACGATGGGTTGGGTTATGTTTCAATGTGTTGGCGCATACTCGAGCTCTTCTTCTTGATGTTTCCCAGGAACTTCTTCATCGTGAGGGCGATCGTTGAGCTCTAGCTGCTCTTCCCACCACTGTGATCCTCGACGCTCGTTGGGTGTCTCGACTGCGGTGTGTCCGGGTGTAGGTGGGTTGCGACAAGATGGGAGAGAACGGACTCGTAGGTCTCGCCTAGTAGTGGCAGTAGTGTTAGTAGTGAGCGGGCAGCAAACAGGCGGCGTGAAAGTCACTAAGTACCTCGTACAGTATGACTATGCTTTCGTGGGCCAATACCCTCCCTGTGCAAGCTGGCAATGAATGGATGGATGGGCATGCGGGTGTTGAGTGGTTGGACAAATGGCAGATCTCCCGCAGGAAGCAACTAACAATTTGTTAGTCTTCCGCAGGCCGGGAAGTGAATCTCGAACGAAAGTCTGGGGGTAAAAGAGGAGATGTGAGATCTCGACGGATTATGTATTGTATCTAGTTGGTATTATTATTGTTATTATTATTACCTTGAGGATGGCATGGCATCTGGTATCTGGCATCTGGCATGTCTTCTACAAGACTCACTCAGCCCTCGAGCACAAGAAAAATGAACAAGAGCATCATTATCCAGTCATCAGCCGCGAGTCTGGGGGGCTTTGCACAACCCTCATCCCCGTCAGCAACCTTCTTATCCATCCATTAATTACCCGCCCACCCACCTGGAGACTCTATCCGGCGTTCCTCCTCCTCTACATACGTAAACCATGCATTGCATCGTCGTTCTCGCCACCGGTTGGCCACTCGCATTGACCCACTGACAGAATACATCCACGTAATACAACTCGTAGGTTGATGGAATACCAAGAAAGAAACGTGTTGACAAGAGAAAGCATTGTACTCGTAATGGTCATCTATGTTTGCCACCATTCTCCCCACCACCAGCGCCAGGCTGAAGCATTTGATACGAAACCATGGAACACGAGGCGAAACTTGCAACATTTCACGTCTTCTCCTTTGCTCATCCTCATAGCTAGCTACCACGTAAAGCTTTCCTCATTCAACTCCAAATTGCCCTGATGTATCCTGCCCCTCACCGCCGCTCGCACCTCGTCTGCCAATGCACCCGGCCCACAGACACTAACCATGACAGCACCGACTCGCACCGGAATCACCTCGTCTAATACTGCGCCGGGATCAACGCGGCCTTGGACAATCTGCATCGTGGGTTTGCTCTTGCTGTGATTGATGGCCCTCGTCGGCTTGCTCACATGCACTCGGATCATGAGAACTTCTCGCCGGCCCTCCATGTGCAAAATCTCGTTCATCCACGGCTTTACCCACTCCATGCACTCCGTGTCGCGGATGGACCAGACGAGCACAATCTTGCGGGTGGCCACCGTCTGCGACCGGGCGCCTGCAAGGAGGTGTCGGATTTGGATGAGATGGTGGGTGATGCCAGCGCCCCCGGCAAACATGACAACCGTCCCGTAACTGACAAGAGAGTCGTGCCCGGCATAAGGGCCTTCGAGAAACCCTCGGAGTTCAAGCTTGCAGCCAGGAGCAGAGCGCGCCTTCTCATAGAGTTGTCTCGTCATGCCCGTGCGTTGCGCCATGACCAGCGAGACGGTCGTGGGTGCTTTAGACAGTGAGTGGAAGACTGATTGTCTTTCCAGAGAATTGGGGGACGAGGGTCTCTGCAGTTCAATATTGTGGCCACAGACGGGAGGTTCCGACTCCACATTCGTCCACGCCACCGAGAAGGGATGCGACATCCACAACGAGATCGAGGGGAGATATGCATACATGTGACTGCCGGGTCGGATGGTGATGCGCCGCGGCAATTGGAAGGTGACACGGCAAGCGCCGCCCGGCAGTGCTTCAATATGCGCCGTTGTAGCGCCGCCTGACCGAGAGTAGTTGAGGTATGCGATGCTGCACAGCCGCCAGAGTCTCTCGGCCGACCAAAGCAAGACCGCCGTCAAGATCGAAGGGTAGGCCGGTAGGTGCATAATGTCCAGATGGACGTAGATACCGAGTAGGGCCAAAAATGCCAGGCTTTGATGAAGGTGGAGGAATGTTTCGTAAAAGGCATGTCGAATGGGCGACAACGAATGTAACGGCAACAAGACGATCGCAATCAATCCGAGAAGGCCGTAGTCGAGGAAAGGAGCATCATGGAAGATTCTGATCGTTGCTTGATCTCCCTTGGCCAACTTATACGCAGCAAGCCACGCGAAGAAATGGATGGCCGACAAGGCAGCCACCAGCCTGCCGATCCAGCGATGGAAGAGATTGAATGTGTCGAAGCTGACCCTCAGGAGCGGGATGGCGATGTTGTTCCTGCCGGCGAGCACAACCAGAGGGATCAGGTTGACCGTGGCCAAGATGCCGCTCCGTCCACGCAGCTCGGCGTACAGCGCCCCCTTCTGTGGATTGCTCCAGTCGAGGAGCAAGCAGTAAATCACATTGGTGATGGCATAAACGATGAGGAGCAGTGAGTGAATGCGGCTGGGCAGGGTGCCATAGTTAACCGCACCGGAGAGCTGGAACTCGCGATTGTGTCTTTTCTTCCAGAGGGGAGCATAGATGATATGCTTCTTCAGCCAACTCCAGATGCGGAAGTGATCCACGCCGTAATAGTTTTGTTGAGAGGGCTTCTCGGTCGTCATGCAGTAGATGGTCCGGATGTAAGACACAAACAACTGTGACAGTCGCAACGCAAACACAAGTGTGAGTGCCACGATGATTGAAAGCCAGAGCATCTTGACCAATTGAGCATCCATCTCCAGATTGACTCCGTTTAAGCCGGTGTAGAATGGGGCGGCGGCGGGCGGATTACCACCGGCCACCACCAGGTTGGACATCGTGACAGCGGGTTTGGTGCTGTTGAAGAGGCCTCGGGCAGCTTGGAGACTCATATTGCCATCGGCTAGATCTCGTTTGGAGGGATGGTCCCGATGCAGGTGTATATGGTCATTTGCGTGGCCCCGCAGTAGCTGCGAGGCAGTGTTGAGCACATTGGAAAGTAGACGGCCGATTTTGTCCATTTTGTTTCAGTCTGATCTGTTGCAGAGATGTGAGTCCAGGTTTCGAGATGGGTGTTTGTGTCGTGTCTGAAATTGAGGAGACGATATTGGCTTTTTGTCTCGAATCAATGAACTGCGTGAAAGAGAATCTCTCGACGACTGCCAAAAGGGTGGAACAAAGTAGTTCTTTGAAGTTCGATAATCACCTTGTCTCGAAGAATGAAACCGAGGCAGCGAGGCACAAAGGGCAGATAAAACGGAGTTAGCTGCTTTTGTACACTCGTTGCCATGGTGTGTCTCAATCACTGCCATTGACGTTTGAATAACTGCCTCAATAACACGGTCCGTCACATGACTTTCTGCAGATGGCTGATTGAGAGCAGCATGGAAGTCCTTGAATAAGGCAGCGCCGATTGAGCGTTATTGAGCAGTCTCCGGCAGGTCACCCGAGATATGCCAGTTCCCCCGTTTGTCCTACTTCGCGCCGTGGAAACAGGTGATGAAAAGTCATGATTTCTGGGAGCATGATGCAAAGACACCAGCGGCTAATCGCGATGAACGCATAGTCTCGAACTCATCCCATAGTATTTTCATCTCCTTGCTGACAGATACAACAGTTTTGACAGCTCATGAGGTGACCGCTGGAGCATGTCAGAGTCCCTCATAGTGACGCAGGTACCGGTAGAATCCTGTCTGGTAGTGGGAAAGCCATGATAGGCGGTCGTGTCGGGCTTCTGCCGCGCGACAACCCATTTTGTAGAGCTGTGTCCTCAGCTTCAGCGATCTTCAGAGAGTGCGAATGCGCCAAAGAGAAACCGAATGAGCTCATTACCCTTTTCCGTTTGTAGAGATGAGGTGAAGTCGGAAAACACTTGCGGCATACCTGCCCCGTTCTTTTCAAATGACGGGAAAGCTTGTGTCACCAAAGTGTCATTTTCACATACTCTCTCCCGTCCATTTTGCTCTCTCATCCTTTTGCTATCTCATCCTTTTGCTATCTCATTGCGCCAGTGCCGTGGATTGCATGCAGCCAGTCTTCTAACCCCCGTCGGACGGTCTAGACAAAGAAAGAAAGAAAGGAAAAAGAAGAAGAGAGAGAGCGAAAACAACTAATCACCGTCCCATCCACCCCCCGTCAATCGTCAAGATTTCACCGCTCACATACCGACTCGCGTCGCTGGCCAAAAACACCACAGCGCCCTTGAAATCCTCCGGGGTCCCCCACCGTCCCGCGGGAATTCTCTCGAGGATTTGCCTGGCCCGAGTCTCGTTCGCGATCAAGGCCTCGTTCATGTCCGTATCGATGTATCCCGGCGCGATGGCGTTGACGTTGATCCCCTCCTTGGCCCACTCGTTACTGAGCGCCTTCGTGAGCTGAGCCACGCCGCCCTTGGACGCTGCATAGGCGGGCACGGTGATGCCGCCCTGGAAGGTCAAGAGAGAGGCGACGTTGATGATGGCTCCCCGCGACTGGGACGGCGAGGCAGGGGCCGGTTTGGACAAGAGATAGGCGCCGAAGTCGCGGCATAACGTGAATACCGTGGTCAGGTTGACTTGTAGCACCGCGTTCCAGTCGTCCAGGGGGAATTGGTGCGCGGGATGTCGTTTCTGGATCCCGGCGCAAGTGATGAGGATGTGCATATCATGGCCCGCCTTCACCAGGTCCGGGATGGTCTTGGAAACGGATCCCTGGTCGGACAGGTCCGCCGTGACTATCGTGGCCTTGCGCCCTAGCTGCTGGACCTTGTTGTATGTATCCTTGTTGCTTTCGTCGCGCTAGTCGAGTATCTCGTAGTCAGCACATTGTCATAAATGAGGCAGGATAACCTGAAACGAATCGAGGTTGTCATTCGTGACCACTGGCAGGTCCTCCCTCACCTGGATGAGAATGATATCTGCACCAGCTTCAGCCAGAGCGATAGCCATAGCTGCCCCAATACCTCGACTCCCGCCCGTCACCACGGCCGTTTTGCCGGCGAGCGAGAACATCTTCGTCAACGCCTCCATTGTTGTGGGCTTTTTTAAACGGGACAGGAAGAAGATCCGTGGTTTCTGCTTCTTTCCTCAGGATATCTTCCCACGTCTGTCTGAGCAACAACAGAAACCGGGTCTCCGGGGAGGGCTGCCGAATCCTTTTTGAACACCACTTTCCCCTCCCAACGTTCGGGCATTCATGAGACAAAACTGGTAATTCACGGCGATGCGACCGGATGCTCACCATCGTGGTCGGTCGGCAAATGAAGCGTGCGGTGAATCAATTGCCGACATGAGGGGCAGATTTGATTTTCCCCTGACGCTCCTCCAGCCTTGTCCGGCATCGGCGAGAATGACGGGATGGGGGGCGACATATCGAAAGATTAATTTTCATATTGGTCCCTATTGAATACATCTATGCTCATGACTATTACGCATTCTTCATAATCATTATAGCCCGCCTCCGCATGTCATTCTGTTCAACATTCCCTGAGACATGTCCGATTACAACAGAATCGAGACGGCCGTGGACTTGGGGTCCATCACACGGTACGGCTTCGTCTGGTCATCCATGTCTTTGCTATTCTTGTCAAAGACGGCCGCCAAATCCATCAAATCCGCATAAAGCTGTGCACCTGCGGCGGCAAGCGCCGTCTGCCCGTTCAGTGAAGCAAGCTTGGCCGTGGAGAGGGCAAAATTAAGCATATTTTGTTCCTCGGCCACCCGGTAACTGAGGAGATAGGGGACATGGGATGCTAGAAGCCATTCGCGTGCGTGGTTGACCGGATATGCCGCAACCAAGTCTTTCTCCTGGTATGTCTTGAGGTCGCTGAGACTCTTCGGCAACGGGGAGAACAGAGCCGAGGGCTTACTGATAACGAATGTCTGATAATATGCTTGGAGATAATTGATGGCAGTGTGTTGTGGTGAGGCAATGTGGATGCACATCGTGACAGCATCGACCAGCTCGTCCAAAGTCTTGATCACGGGAAAGGACTTCAACTGTCCTCCAACGTCGCTTTGCATCTCCTTGGTCCAGTTCTCAATCTGCTCATCCTTCGCCACCTGCTCATCGGAGTGAATGTCGATGGCAAGAACCGCCGACACGAACTTGCGGAGGATCTGCCACATGAGTATCATATTGCGAGCATAAGCATAGTTGTGGAACTTCGGGTTGTTGGCCAGTTCACTCGGAGGGAAGCCTCTCGTCGTCAGATCGTTCGGCACGTAATGGCCTGTCCAGTCGAACCGCTTGTACGCGTCTTTGACGAAAGAATAAAGTTGGGGATCCGTGACACCCACTATCTTAGTGATGATGTTTGGGACGAGGGTAGCCCGAGCTGCCGCGTTGACAGACAAGGTCTTGAGCCAATGAGGCTGGAGAAGGCGATACACCGCATGATCTGGCGCAAAGGCACGATGTGCTGCCACAATGGTGACTTCCTCCACTAGGTGGGTATTTACCAAATGAACTGTGACTTCGTGTCTCAACCAGTCAGAGACCTGCGCGCATGTCTTTGCATACCGCCACGGCCAGTCTTCCTTGAATTCTGTGCCCGATGGGGTGGACCTCTTATTGAATATGACCACAGAGTTGGCGAGGCTACCTTTGTAGTCAACTGCTATTGCAAGTGGGTGAAGGACACCCGCATCCGTGAGTTGAAACAGCGTCACAGAGGCACACAGACGTCTCATTCCGTCATTCGAAATCATGTCTGCTTGCTGATCTGCCCCAACAGCCGTTCGGAAGTAGCTGCAATCTTGCACATAGAAGGACTCGGGGCTTCCACTCGACAGGAGGCTGTGCATTTCGCTATTTGACTGGGCGGCATCGGTAAAGGCCTTGACCCATTCTGCCGATGCCTGTTGGATGGTGGTTGGGTTTGTGCCGACAAATTGCTGTTCAGCAAATACGGCATCCGTCCACCAGTCAGAACGATTCCCAATATTCTCCTCGTCAAAGATGTCTTCCTTGTCCTGGTGGAGTTTGTTGTTGCGTGCCTCGATTGCGTCCACCGTGGGCCCCTCCGGATGATCGTGAATGAAGTCAAGGATCTTGTCTGGAATGAGCGTCCCCACCAGGGTGCCGGTATCAAGAAGCCTCATGAAGTCGAAAATCTTGAGCAAGTCGACCTGGTCCACCTTAGGAATGACATCCAGATGCGGTGGGTAATTGTCACTCCCGGACTTCTGAAAGGTGTATAGGTCTTTGGGATTGACAGCGAGGCCCAATGGAACGCTGGTCTCAAATCCGGCTACGTCGAAAAAGGATTCAAATCTGTGTCCGTTCAGCATTTTCGCCCCTTGAGCAGGAATAGAATCTATGCAACATACCTTGTTTCGATGCGCTTCATCATTTGAGTCAGGGCCAACTTGGTTCCTCGATAGGTGCCTTCCTGGAGAGGAGGAGGCTTCCCGACTGCTGTTGGAGGAGTGATCTTTCTGTCTGTGTCGGCAGCAGAAATATCTCGTGGTACAATGGATTGCTTCAACAGCTCGGAAGTGAATGCTCCCTCGTCCCAGCCATGCTTCAAAGGAATATTGGTGATTGATTCCACTGGTGGGGTCTGTGTAATCGCCATAGTGGGCGGTGCTGGATCTGACGACATGTTGGTCTTCTTCTTCTTCTTCTTCTTAGAGACGCAGGATAGAGACTGAAAGATATGCTTGATGCCCTGGATGCCTCTGCGGACGAGGTCTTTAAATGCTTCTGGCGTGCAGGTGAACGGAGGTCGGTACCGTTGGTGGGGCTCTGTTCTAGCCCGTGACAGGGACAGACAGGACCGAGAGGGTCGAGGAGGCAGAGCAGAGGTACTGAGGCCAACCCGAGAGTTGAGTGAGGTGAGTGAGGCCACAGATTCTGGGGGTGAGGCATTCGTGTTGGAAGAGTCCAGCCGCAGCTGAGGCTGCACCAGCGATTGGTCCATTTGGCTGCAGCGATGTGCAAGCGACTTCAGCCCAGGCCTGGCCACGAACTCTACACGAACATCCCGCCCTGTTTCAGCTCCACAAAATGGTGTTGCCTTACCGCTATCGCGAAATCAGTAGGCATTGCAAGGTTGAGGGTGACACCGCTTGTGCCATCTCCCTGAGATTTTGCTCGTGTGTGCTTTCCACATGTCAATAGTCAACTGATTTGCTCCTTCGGTAGGCTCTGGACTACGAACGACCTATCGACCTCAGAATAGCTCTTGCTGCCTCCAAGATCTCCTCTCTTTCTCTGTTCTCCAACATCCTGCGGCTGAGGCGACAGGGAATGGTGCTTAGAAGTCTCGGTGTAACAATCGCATCTTGGCTTCCTCCACCGGTCACGAACAGTCACGCATGACGAGCCGACCCCTTCGTTGAGATGAGGCGCAAGCCAATCTCAATTGGTTGATACTTGCCTGCTTGATGCCACTGCTTCGTTGCAATGTCGCGGAATTGGCACAGAATGCAGGCGCCAGTCGTATCCCGGAACGCCAGGACTTGGAAAATACGAAGAGATTACAACAGCTTCATTTCATTTCAGTTGCAGCCGTTACCTTGGCCAATATGTCTTTTCGCACCAACCATAAGAATAGACAGGCTGCATCAGACCTCTTCCAAGCCGGCAGGCGTGGTGCATGATTGTTCCCGTGGCACAGAATGCCTTGAGCCGACGTTGTCACCCGCATTTTCACCAACACAACCACGACTCTGTCGGCAGTCAAAATGCGATGCTTATATGTGGCAACTTGAACAAAAAAACCACGTTTTCTATGAAATTAACAACTGGCTCTACCAGTTGGTGGCTCAGGAGGATGTCACCCACTTTTCTCCTGTCTCGATCCGAGCCACAGTCCTGATACAACTTGGTTCAACCCAACGCTAGGCATCCAAGATTTGGCTTTTCGTGTCCGAATCGGCCTTCCGTGGACTTGAGGCAGCAATAGCCCTCGATGTTCCTCAAATACGACGGTGTGAGTGGCACCCGCTGCTGGGCTACTCGCAACCTGACAACCTGTGAATTCGAGTTTGATCACAGTCCCGCGTTTGAGATCGTATAAAAGCTGTTCGTTATGGCCTTCTCCTTCTCAAAGCAACATGTCCTCTGTGCTTATCTTCAGACTCATTCTGATCCCTACCACACCTCTCACTACGTCCCAAACGATACGCCATGCCGATCTCACACTACGGCGTCTGGAAAGGTTTCCCCCTCTCCTACGAAGTTGACGGGCCAAACGACCGTACTCCTCATATCAACCTTTCCTTCAAAGATGACGAGGATGGAACCATCGAGAGGAAGGCAGCAATAAATGTCAAATCCCAGGGCCAACCCAACGAACTCGTCTACTGGTTCGACCGTAATTTCTCGCACCCCCTCACGCAGGACCTCGAACGCTTAGACTACGGCTTCCACCCCATTGAGCCCCAGAATGACGACACACAAGATCTTCCTCTCGACTATATCCGGAGTCGCAACCTGCTCCGGATCAGTAATGGCAGGATCTTGCCCTATCTCGAAAGCGGACCAGACAATGACATCCTCGATCAACTCCGACCAATTCTGGACGACGCCATCAGCCAGCGAGCAGATATCTACCTATACGGGTCGTCTTTCGGCTCTGGCATTCATGACGTCCATATGAACCAGGGTAGTGTTGGGTTCTCCAACGGCGTAGGGCAAGATGGTGCCTTCTTCCTTCGGTTCTCGGACGGCCACTGGGAAGCGGTATTTCTGGCCTTTGCTTCGCAGCAGATCCCAACCGACGACAGCAATGGGCAGCCGTTGCCTGACAGCACTTCTCTGAAGAATATCATCGGGCGGCAGGGACGCGCTCGTCTCTGAAGAGGGATTACAGCGACCTTGCGCTTTGTTGGCAGGACAGGTGGACCTCTAGTGAATGAAGTCTAGAAGTAGCCGATGGGATATCTTCGAACCAACCATTGACGTGAGGTTGCGACGACATTCTAGTAGAAGATATCAAATCCTGCGTGTTTATCGAAACTATATTGATCAAGGTTCCATGGCCTCTAGTTCCATTAACGTAGTGTAGTTTGCTTGTACAATGATCTTTCTCCAATGGAGTGAAGTAAATTAAGTGAAGTGGTGATAGGAAGAGAGCGACAGCAGCGGCAAAGTAGTTGTTCCTGGCCGAAGAAAGCCCCAATTCCCAATCCCAGGAGTCTCATCGAACAACTTTTTTGAGGACCAAGATCCTTCCCATTATGTCTCTCATTGTTTGAGCAAGCATAAGTTTTCTATTCCCTCGCCTTTGGTGGTCATCTGGCGATTGTACTTCAAGGTGGATCATGGCGGTTGCGAGACAAAGAAAAGGGAGTGAGGCAAGTCTCAGCAAATCTAGCTCTTCTTTACCTGCGCATTTAAATACCGACCCAGAACCTTTGCTGACACTTCTGCCTTCTCAAATACAGCAGTTCCATGGAGATCATCCTTCTTCCAATACTGCCAGAATGTTCGAATTCTGCAGGGAGACCGGGCGTAACCTGTCCGCCAACCATGAGCTTCCCCTCGTCATTCAGCAGAGCACCTGCGTGACCAGACCTCCTCGTACAAGACGTCAAAATCATCAACACGCTATGATCAGCTCCTTCAAGCCCGGAAGTCTTCAACGCTCCAACCGTGCAGTATCTGGATGGTCAGGACTTGGAACAACAGCCCTGTCGGCTCGCATAGAGGAGACGTTCAAGCGGCTTTCTAGTGTTCCGGCTCCCAGTGCTGCAAGCTCAGCAGTGCCAAATGCCATTGATCAAGATAGCCCTGCGACGCTCTCATCTGCTCCAATCCCACAGCCACGGAAAATTCTCACGCCAAAAGGCTCTGCCCGGGGGTCATCCACATTTGTGATTCCCTTCCTACAGTTCCCCGCCGAAATTCGGCTTGAAATCTACAGCTATTTCCTCTGGGTCCCTCCCGAGAAATTGGCGCAGCGGTGTGACAGGAAAAGACAAGACAACAGATCGGTCCTCAGACTAGCGAGAAAGAATCTCAGACGCCTGTGCCACCAGATCAGTGAAGAATGGGATCCGCTGTTTTTCTCGACCACCACTATTACCGTGCGAAATCTGCTTCCCGACTGGGACTCACTCTTGATATCCAGCACTCGACCGAACAGTCCCTTGATGAATTTCGGGGAATTGTGGCACAAAGGCCTGGAAACGATCTCCACTCCTCCCCAGACACGCCCCTTGGGATCTGGGTTGTTCCGAACAGACTTCCTCGAGAGACAGCCTCCTTACAAACTAAATAGGATTCGAAAACTACAGTATCTTATCACGGGTTCCTCTTTGGAGAGGATGGATTTGACCGACTTGGCACTTCTTGCAGCAATGATCCATGGCACCAAAGAAGACTTGTTGAAGTCGCTGGAAGAAGTTTCTATCTGCTGGAGACCCTTACGCGTCGTAAGAGGCTTCTTTAAGGGCTCTGAAATATGGGCGGAATGCAGTGGAACGACTGACACGTGGGACAAAGTCAAGGCTCTTTTTCAGCCAGAAGACGGCTTTGGATGCTTCCAAAATTGGAAGATGATACGACGCATGTGCATCTACAAGGCATTCGACGTCTACCCATGGTTCATGTTTGTGCATGGCTCCAAAGTCCACGAACTCCAATTAGTCTTTCGAAAGTCGCAACCACCTTCAGCAGCAAGGCATACTGAATGGGTCGAGTTGCCTGGGATTTGAATGTTGGGCTGGATCGGTTCTGGGAAGCAACAATGGAATTCGGCGTGGGGCGTTAACCAGCGGCGGGGGAACTTTGCAGTCTGAAGCAAGGATCCTGCAAGGAAGAAAATCAGGAGCACGGAATGATGTAGTCATCATTATCAGTTCTAGAGACAGGGAGGTGGAATTCCTGGTCAGGCTGTATTCGCCTGGCTGGAAACCATCCACAATAAATATCAGCCTCTCTTTATTCTGCTGAAACCCTTCACTCATCATACTTGAATAACGAGAAGTGACACGCAGATGAATTACAAATGGTGAAGAGTACTCCGTATATTCGGTGGTGCACGAGCCTCATTCGACAACCATTCAACCACTTCCTCCCTTCCGTCTTTTGATCAACATTTCTCTCTCATTCCACTTTGTCTCCCAGCCTGCGTATTCTATTCTACCTCTGCAGCGCTGAAAACACCACCGAACACCCTTTCGAACCCCCCTACATCATATCGATCGAACGTCGCTTCTGCAACGATGGCCAAAGTCAAGACTTCCAACGGCCTCCAAGCGGGGGGCCAGGTGTCGCTACGGGGGGAAGAAGAGAAAGGCCACCAAAATACACCTCGCCAAGGACAGAAAGACTGGAGAAGTTGCGAGAAAGCCACTGTTCCTCGAACTGCCAACCGAGATCCGCCTCCAGATCTTTGAGCAGTTTCTCCCCGTCCCGCTGCCAGCAGCCAAGGGAGCCGGCAAGCGGGAGAGGGACCGTGTCATCGGCGCGGTTTTCACTCCAGATGATATGCCGCAACATCAGCCGGGGATGGTCACCTCTCTTTTGGTCCTCTTCGTCGTCGAGGGTCTCTCGAAGTACCGGGCCATCAGTGCTCCGGGGGTCTGGAAGCAGTTCCGCTGCAATCTGGAGGGGTTTAAGCGGACGTTTTGCCTGGGTTCTTCATGCGACAGACTGGCACATGTTCGTGGGCTTGTCTGCGACTTGCCGGCGTGCCTGACGTCTTTGCGCGACTGTTCTCCGCTTCCGTGTCTCCTCGCCGTGCTCCGCGCATATGCAGGCGACCCGCAGAGTCTGGCTGGAAGAAGCGATCTTCGCCTAGTCAGGTCTCCATACGGTCAATGCCAGATACCCTGATGACAGAGTATACTGGGAAAATATCTGGTCAGAAGCAAACGAGCCAGGGCTATACGGTATGTGGGCGGCAGTGCAACTACTCGGCGTCACCAATCCTCGTTTGCAGCTTCACCGGGCATGGACAGCGGTTCGGCGGATGCACCTCACTCGTATTTTCACGGATACGTCAGGGCGCCAGATCAGCGAGGTTGATGAGCTCCAATTCGTCACCCACAAGAAGGATTTGGGCGAAACCGCTGAACCGGTCACACACGAGAGGATCCAGCTGCCGTGCTGGCCCTACATCCCGGGAGATGTGCTGCAAGGTTAAGTCAGACCAAACAGGCACAGATACTCGGCGCGGTCTCAGATCAACGGGCCTCCTCGGGAAGCAGAGAAACAGAAGCAGTCAGCAGTCAGCGCGCACGGCCGGCTGAGAATATGATAGTTGAAACAGGGAATAGAAGCCTCTCGGAGCCATGGGACGGGTAATGGAATGGAAAGTGCTGGAGAACGGGTCAATTCCTTGGCCAGACAGCACGAAGCACGGAACGGCATGCACCATTGGGGAGCAGAGATGGATTTCTTCCGACTACCCTTGGAAGTGGTTATGGACATGGAGTGTGTATATTCGAGTGCTACGCAGGGAATCAACATAGGGGCTCTAGCGCATGGAGAACTGCTGAATGTGCTCGGTCAGGACGAAAATTGAGACTGGAGATTTGTTCATACAACGGTAGCTTCAGAGGCAACCCAAATAATTGAGACGCTCGACATCTTCACAGATAACCAAATCATTTCCCTTGATGTATACATCTTTTCAGTTCTTCACTGTGTCGTTCTTGTTGTTGTTGTGGATCTGAACACACGTCCTCATCCAACAGATCTGCTTTGCGCATAGAGCCACACCCTCGCTCTGGCCGCAACGTCACGCTCAGCCGATGAGTAGTATCCCATCCATCTCCCCTATCGCGTTACCACTAACAAGAAAGTCAAAAGCTCTCCCAGCCAGGCTGTCCTCCCAACCCAGTCCAGTCCCACTGATATATGTTGCTACCCATCGCCTCTTGGGCTGGCATGCTGAAATATCCCTGCGGGCCCGGCATTGCGAAATCGTCCTGCATCCCGCGACCATGCTGCTGCAGCAGCAGGTTCTGGTTCGAAATGCCCATCAGGGTGGGCGGCATAGGTGTGGAGGAGGTTGGTGGCGTGGGGAGGTCCAGCCAGTCCATTTCGTGGGGGCCGGTAGCATTGCTCTTCGGCGGGTCATCATCAGTGGGTGCCGCATCCTGTTCAGGCTGAGCGATTTGCGACAGCGTGTGTCTGATAGATGACACGATCTTGGGTAGTGTGAACATATTCTCAAATTGCTTGGGGCCTGTTTCATACGCCTTCCACGCCTGAAGGATCAAATTCGTGAACAGTCGGAAAAAGGGACCGTCTTGTAGGAAGTCGGAGCTGAACCACACCTCGTAGTTCTCGCTCATGACGTCCCAGGCGCGCCGAGCTTGCGGGTTCACCGGTCGGCTTCGCAGGTCCTGGGCAATCTGGATGTAGGCGGGGAACGGGAAGTGGCAGGAGCTCAGCCAGCGGAAGCCCTTGGTGAGCGGTGAGCTCATGACCTTGGTGTCGCATTCGAGCATCCGAAGCGCATGCATAGTAGCGGCGTCACGCTGCGCATCCGTCTGCCGCGCAGGCGAGCCGGAACAGCGTGAGTGGTGTTCCAGGAGGCGATATTTGGCAAGTTGGGCCCGTGTCGTCCACATGGTCATGAGGTGCAGCGGGTGCTCCGGGTCGCAGTACTTGAGGTAACGGTCCTCAATCGCCCCCTCCAGCTTGGCCAGCTCACTCCCTTCTCCTTCCGGTCCGCTCTGGAGAGTATTGGCGTTGGTCTTCAACGCCGGAGCGATGAAATCGAGATGAAAAGAAGAATGGCGAATCACTTCACCAAGCTCACCGCGCACGACGGCGAAAAGTGCCTCGGTCGTATTTCCTTGCATCGCGGGCAATTTCGTCATCTCCGGCCGCAGGTCAGAATCATTCACATTGAGGGGAATCTTACAGTCCCAAGTAGGATCGAGCGTGACAGTCTTGGAGTTGGCGATCTCACTTATGCGGGTATCGAAAAGAACCAGCGACCACCACAGTCTTCGGCGCATTTCCGCCTCAAGCATCGTGTACCTCGCCAGTGCCGACTCGTTGTGAATGCCCATGCGTTGTGCAATGCGAATGGCCACGGCCAGCATGGATGATAGGGATTGAGGAAGTGTATTTGGCTTGAGAGAGATCTGACAGCGTCAAAAACGAGGAAAGAGCTTAGCTACTCGCCAAACCTACTAGGTAGAGAAACCATGCGGTCAAGCATTCACGGTCGTTCGTCCGTAAGAAGGAGCAATTCAACAGCGCTTGCTGGCAGCCATGTTGATATCTCATCAACAGGTCTTCTTTCGGGCAATTGAACAGACTCTGGCACTCTTCGACCGCAAGGCTCGAGACTGAAGTGCAGTAGATACTGAACATGAGTGCCTCCAAAATTGGACTTATCTTGGAGATGTTGCTGGCGGCCTCAATGATGCGTCCCTGCAGGCTGGGCGTGTGTGTAACCTTGAGCAGCGGGTTTACGTTGTCCAGGTATATCTGCCAAAGCCTGAAGATCTGAACAGGGTCGGGATGTAACTTCGAAAGGTCGACTGCCGGATCGCGGGTGCCGAATACAAGATTATCATTATTTGTAAATGACTCATCCCACGCTTTGTTCACAGCGCTTTCAAGCTCATCTTCATGAGAGGAAGTGCTGTCAATATCTGGGTCCCGATACTGTTGCAGCAGTCAGTAGAAGTCAAAAGTAACACAGTGTGATTTTACCCCGTGGCTCATGACATGCCATACGTTTCTGGGAAAGTTAGTCGTCTTGAATCAACTCGGTGAGCAATGCATACTTTGCGCCATAACTTCTTCCTGACGACAGAGCGGTTGATGGAGATGGCATTTCTGAGTGTACAGGTTCCGGCTTCTCGTCGTCTGACCCGAAAGTGCTCTCGACATTGGAAGGTCCTCTCTCCCTAGCCAAACCCTTACGAAGCGGTTCGAATGTGACATTGTTCTGACGGAGCAGATCTTCGTACGTGCGCAGACGTTCCAGGAGGTCTCTCTGGGGAATCCTACGTGTCCGTGGGCGCGGAGCTGCAGAACCAGGGACACACTGCACCCGGGACCTGACGCAATTCGCGCAAGGTGAAATACGGTCACATTTTACCTTGCGCTGCTGACAAAGTACACATGCGAATACCCGCGCAGGTTTCCCAGCCTGGTTGAAGGATGAAGCCGTGGATGGCGATATTCCTGAGAGGGGGCCATTAAGTGACTGCAGCGTGGTCGACATGCTCGATGCTGGATGATGGAATGTCAAGAGAGAATTCAAAGACCAGCATCGCAGAGACTTTGATGGTTCATGATGGTGCCTGCGACATCAACCATCCAATCGGAGAGAGACCCACCTCGGACTTTCTATTTATCCGAAACAAAATATCAATCCTTATTTCTTCAGCCTTGTACAGCATCACAGCAGACAGTTTGCCTTCCCGCTGTCCTGACATCTCTTCAAAGGACAGGCTCGACCTTCTAAGAGAGGGGCGATGAGCCTGTGGGAGGCGTGGAGCGGGAAGGAGTCTAACGTGGGTGTTGGTTTGGCAGGATTGAGATAACCGCAGCACAGCTCCAGCCGGAGGAAGAATCAACGTCATTTCTGCCATACATATTACATGCATGCCGTTGAAGTTTTCCTCTGTGCTCTACAGAACCGACAGTCACCATAGATGGCGTAACTCCATGTTCCCTTGCCTGACAAAGCACGCCACAGCCGCCCTCCTTCTTCCCATCAACGTTTCTGGTTCCCCCACAAAGCCGCCATTTTTTGTCTTCTCTCATACATGGCGAGACAAAGGCTCTCCTCAATGTTTGCCTTTGTCCCGTCTGTAGACTGCTTCTTTGTCGCAGATGCAAGGCCTCCTCAAAGCCTCCAAGGAAGTGGCAGTAGTAGTATGGCTAGTCGTTCGAATCTCAATAGGCAGCGGGGCATCCTTGTTCCAATCTCGAAGAAACATAGAACATGAGACACTGAGGCAGATGTCTCAAGAGTCTGCAATGCAACTGCCTTCGCCCAAGATGGCTTGAGGCATCGACCGCATTGAATACCTCCACAGCTGCCAGTGCTTCATGATGCATAAATATTGCTCGATCCTTACACCCTCGCCTTCTGAGCCCAGCACAAAACACTCTCACCACCACGATTTCGACGGAGCAAAGCAGCCCACGCAACAGGAAACCAACCAATCCCTGTGCAGGTAAAGCATCCCCGATTGATCTTACTGGCCCTGATAATACCCCCACAATCGCCGCAGCCCAAGATGTCTCGTTCCTTGTTGCGTCCCTCCAAAGCGAGGCGCAAGCTTGTGAAGCGCAAGTATTCCAAGATCAGCCATGCTGAGGTTGAGCCTGCTTGTCCTGCCCACGACACCCATCAAACAGCCAGACCTGATGGCCATGTGCAGGAGTGGTCCCGCCCTGGTTCCCCTTCGCTCTCCAGTGCTCCTGACGCAAAGCTGCTCCCTAAAGTAGAGATAGACTCGCTCCAGACAAGGTTGAAGGAGTCGGTCAAGGACTGGATCGTGGAGGTCAAATCGAGAGTGAGGTACGAGATCGCGATGTATAGGTTAAACAAGGTATTGGGTCCCGAGTTCGACTATTAGACTGGGTAGTCAGTCAGGCGAACAAGCAGGTAGGTGAGTAGGTGAAGTGCTAGACAAGTAGGTCTGGTACAAAGAGAATCCACATCACATTCACATCCAGATCAAATCCACTGAAAGCATATATTTTTATCTGTTCGAATTTCTCCCACACCAAGACCCCCTCAATACGACGAGGGCGAATCCAAGACCGAGTGCGACCCGAGCAACATACCTCAATCGACTCCCGGTCCTGTCAGGTCAAGACTACCACCGGGGCTAGTTAGCAGCAGGACCTGGGGTTCGAATCCCACACATCAACCCTTATAAAGTAGCGAATTCGTAGTATAACCGGCCGGCCGAGAAAAACCAACCCGCAAGGGCAGAGTTTCGCTTATCACAAACCAGCTTATGGGTTGAGCTGCTTTCTGATAAGTTTTTGCCATTTTGGCCGACGTGCGATATCTATACAGGTATGTGTGTTTTATACAGACAGCCAAGGACAGATGTGACAAGTTGTCCGAGATGTGAATGGCAGTACTTCACAATTCGAAGGCAAAGTCGTGAATCATAAAGTGGGAGGTTTGACTGGGTATGGTAGGATACCTTGATTGCTAGGATTCCGCTCGAGTTGCCACACCACAAAACATGTTCATTAATGCTTAACTACCAGTATGGAGAACTTGAAATACATATAGTAAAATACAGACCCTATAACGCTTTTATCATCGTCTTCTGTTGGGGGCTTCTGAGCATGTTCTCTCCGGCGGTTTCCACCACCGGTTACATAGCTGAGCCGACAAGGCTGCGGCCTCCCTGTTTGGGCCCCCCTCCCACTAAAAACCACCAAATGAAAAGCTAAGGACCTGTGACTAGCTTCTTGCGGAAGAATAATAACACATCAGAACATATAATCAAATGAGTCGTACTACATGTGGGATCCTCTTTCGTGTGTAAGATATCTCGGTGGAACCGCATGGGTAGGAAAACCCTACATCGTCATGAAGTTACGCACCCATGCCGCCATTAACTTCTGGTGTCTTTAAGACCTTCAAGAGAAGGAAATGAGAGGAATGCGAGCATCCAATAATCAACGAGACCAAAATCCTCAGAATATCACTTCCTTTTCTATTCCAGAAACTCCGTGCTATCTATATGTATGTCCCATCTCTTCCATATGCAATGTCTATTTTTCCAAGGTCCTACATACAGTTCATCCATTCATCATACCTGTTCAAGCATCTTTTCGTCGTTCGTGGCCCTGTTCACTTCTCTTGTCATATCTCCGTTCTCAACCCTCAGCCTTTCCTCCCTCTCTTGTTCTTCATTCTCCGCAGCTTCCCGAGCCTTGATCTCCTTCAATTGCTTGCAGAACTTACTGTTGTCACGGATCCGGTCACCATATTTGATAAATGCAAAGGGGATCAGACACATCCCCATGCTCAGAAATGCAAGTAAACTGCACGCCCAGGCGATGCCCAGGTGGGAGAACATGCTGTGCGCAGCTAGTGGCAAAAGGGCACCAAACACGCTTCGACTGGTACTGGTGATGCCCTGCGCGCTGGCGGCAAATGTTTCGTAAGCGTCGGTCAGGTAGTTGAGAAGGGCCATGAAGATGAGGAGGAATGCTGCTCCAAAGATGATTCCTGAGGAGACCGGCGCGAGCCAATAGGTGCCCGGTTTGGCACTCCACCCAATCCAGAACAGAGAGACCACGTAGAGTGGCCCTCCGATGCAAGCCAGCGGTAGTCGCCGGTACTCTTCCTGTTGTGCCCACTTCGCATGCCTTTTCTGCGCCTTTGCCAGATACGAGTCCCACCAAAGATATATCGGTGCCGCGAGGATTGATCCAAATCCAATGGGAATGAATGCGAGGCCGGCAAGCCCGTATGACCATTTATATACCGAGTCCGGGCCTTGGAAAATGATCGGGTATGCTTCGAAATACAGGTAAAAGATTGCGTACGCTAGAGAGCAATATGCTGCCACGCACATGACAATGACTTCCTGGAACAGCATGCGGTAGGGCCGGGTCATGACAACGGTGATGACGTGACGCAGCGTTTTCTTTTGAAGGTCGGTCTTGGCAACGATGTCGGGGTCTCCTGTTTCTTTGCGAAGTCGTGCTGCCTTGCGGCTCAGGAGGACGGGGGTGTAGGTTTCTGGCATGAAAATGATGAACGGGATTGTCCCGACCGCGAGCAGTGTGCCCACGGCAAATACCCATCGCCACGAGGTATTCTCTGCGATGAACCCTGAAATTGCGGGTGCTATGATGGGACCGAACGTCGTTGCAACCATGAACCAAGCCATCGCCAACCCACGCTGCCTTGGATCATTATATACGTCGGCATATAATCCTCCCGTGATCGCGACCGGCCCCGAGAATCCAACGCCACACATGAAGCGGAAAAAGAGCAGACAAGGCCAGTTAGGGGCCACCGCACAGGCCATGCTGAATAGGGTAGACATGACGAAGAATGATAAGATGACTCGTTGTCGCCCGTTGTTTTCAGACAGTGGGCCACAGAGCGTGGGCCCTACCACATAACCCGCCAGGAAACATGTTATTGGCAATGGAAGTTGAAGTTCTTGTGTGATGCCAAAATGTTCTGCAATGAAATCGATTGCTCCGCTCGGTAAAGACGAGGAAATGGTGCTGTTCATGACGGTTATCATGCCGGTGAAGAAAATGTATAGTTTCTTTCTGCGCGGCCAGTTGTAGGGATTCTCTGGGTCGCTCGAGCTGAACGATACGATCTTTCTCGAGTCTTTTCTCTCCTTTGGCTCATCGTCCGGCGCCACGCTAGGCGCTCGCCCGTTCGTGACAGTGTCTGGAGAGGCATCGCGTCGCTCGAGATCGGGGTAGCTGGCTTGGGTGTCTGGTGAAAACGTCAGAGGGGAACCTTCGTGGAAATATGCAAAAGGGGAAAGTACTTAGTAGTACGGGCTGTGGCTCGACGGTGGTATTGACCGACTTCAGGAGTCCATTTTCAGCACCAAGACTCATGGTCGGGTTCTGTCTAACAGAGCCAGTCAAGGAGACCTGTGAAAGAAGGGTATAACCAGCACTCAACAGGGGAAAAGGAGACGGGGAGAGGAACAATCATGACAACAAGAGTATGAAAGACACCAGCCTTTCCGGAAAACGGAGAACGGGCGACATTGCAGCGAGCCCATACGCTAGGTGAGGGGAGTCGATTATAAAAAGTATTCCACTATGCATGACGGGGGGAGGACCGGATCCAAGCTAGAGGCGCGGCCAATCGGCGCTGGCCAAGGAGTGAGAGAGCACATATTGTAAGTCTTTGATCATGAGAAATGAAGTTCGCGACAATGAGGACTGCGAGATCGGTTATGACGGCAGAAGAGTGGACGCAGGCGGCGCAGGGGGATGATCGAGGTGTCGTGTGTGTGCGCGATGGAATAATGGTAGCCGAGAGATGCGGGGACGTCGTTAGCAGCATCACGTGACGGCTAAGCTATTTACGGCAAGGCGGATACCTAATCCAACGCTAGTGTTCATTCACACGCCCTTTGACCTTTGATAGGGGGAATGTACAATGCGATCTCGCAATCTCACCAACCTGTCGAGTGTATACTGCTTGCCATAGCTATAGCCGCTGGGAAAACTAATCCGAAAAGCCCCAGCTGCTCCTGTGTGGAGTTCCAGCAATCAATCTCAATGGGTGCTTCTTGACTGACAGAAAGGTCCTCAACGGCGGACACAAGGCTATGCCACCTTCGTTTGCGTTCTCTCCTCTGCATAGCATCTGGCGGGATGTTCGTCGCTTCGCCGTCCCTCACCGTCTTCCATACTACTTCTTCTCTGCCCGTCTTGACTCACGACGGCAGACTCCACATGTTGCGTATCCATACGCCCACTCGCTGGCTCGGCCCGGCCAATCCCAGTGGTATGTTCCTGCTCCAAGTCGCGATACCGCGCTTCATACGCTTGCCGCTTCTTCTCGCGCTGAAATTCTTTTCGTTCCTGGAGCTTTTGTCGGAGATGGACACCGGCGGCGATGAGGAGATATGCCATTGTTCCTCTTTCTGTCAAGCTATCGCTATTTGCTGGCAGAAGAGTGTCGGTGGAGGCACGTCGAAGATGAGTGATGGAGATATTTGTGTAGCCCGGAAAATGTGGAGTGGCATTTAGACCTGTCTCCCGAATTCGATCGGGGATCTTGGGAGCATTTAGATAAGGATAAATTGATGCACCTTACCTTTCAATGTTTGGATTCGTATTCATGGTGAGCGTTTGAAAGACCAAGCCTTGACATATCAAATGCGTATTCGCGTATACGAAATTGCCAGCTTACGGATTAGGCTGCGTAAACCGATACGCGCCGCTCCATTTGAGGAATGTCTGGTACATTTGAAATGCCACTGGTTCTGACTAGAAGCATCAAGTGCGCGCCGCCGAACGCCTCTGCTCTGTTTTGAAATAATTGTACAATGCCACATAGTCGTACAGATTCGTTAAATCCTGTTTTTGTTTCATACATTGTCCGCCTCATGCCTACGGTTTGCTGTCCATTCGATGCCTGACTCCAACAAGAGAAAAGGCCACCAGGGGCCCAGGTAAAACCTGTGTCTGCTGGGGTGGAAGACCCCGCTTGTCAATCTTTGGTCGGTCGGACGGATTTGCAAGCCACGCCTGCGCTGTTGCCCAGAGCATGCACGGCTGCATGGCGCCGATGCGTACTGGAAGTAGTCCACGTATGTCTCCGAAGGGGCGTCACATTTCCCGTCAACTGACTCGATGTTAGAAAGAAACGAGAGAAAGAAATGTGACCTGAAAGAGCAGGGCACCAGAACCAGTATGGCAACCGACGGGACTTACCCGAAGCACACGAATCTCTTCCAGCCTTTGGCCCCCTCCATTTTTCGATTCATTCGTAGATCGGCAAACCTCTCACCACGAGGTCCCATCACACGTTCGAATTCGTCCGCTGGTGGACGTGACATGGCTGCGAGAGTTGGCTTTTGTTTGGGATTGACCACGGCAGCGTAGACATGAAGTTTGGAAACAGGGTGCTTCTCGCTGTCACACGATAAAGGCAGGTCAGGCTGTATGGTCGAGCTGTCTTCATCGATGGCCCCAAGAAGTCGTGATGGCGGCGTTAACCGGCGGGGGCGAGTGCCCAAGCCGCTGTACATGGATGACGAAGTTGGGGCTGTTGAAGAGGAGAGCGAAGGCAGTGATGTTGAGGAATCTGGACCTGATGAGAGGAGAGTGCTTGAAGATGACAGAGTGCTCTCAGTCGAGTCTGTTGGTGAGGGAGACCGAGAGGCCGACCGACTGTCGGTCTGACGGTTGCGGGGAGCCATTTTGGTTCTGTGCTGCAGAGATGTGGTGTCCAGGTATGGCGACGATCCGAGGCTGGGAAATTTGATGGAAACCTCGCTTGATGGTGATTGCCAAAGAAGCGATGGGTACTATACGGGGAGAGGAGCAGCGGGAGGCGGGAAAGCGCACCACACCGTCTTACCGACAGTTGATTCAGGTGCCAGTGATCTTCACATGTGCGAAGGATAGCCAGTAACCGCCTCTCAAGCACAGTGGAATCTCTAATCACTCCTCCGTCGGAGAAATATACAAGTATACAAGTTAGTAACAGGAGGAGACAGAAAGAGGCTCTAGAAGGCGACACGGGACGCAGGCTGGTTCAAAAAGCCACCGAGCTCATCGGACGGGGCTCATCGAATGGAGCATGTCATCCTTCGATGATGATTTACCCGTGGCGCCCTCCATTGATGGCGGGATGGTCGATCAGTTGCTCGAGGAAGCTGCTGGTGCTGGCACATTTCGGCTCTCGACTGCGCCTAAAAGCGCCATCTCGGCGTTCCAGGGGCAGTGATTGGGCCCTGCGTTTCTCGCTAAGCCCCCAAATCTAGGGGTGACAGGAGCCATGGGTCCCCAGACCTGCGGTTCCCGTGGGCCCTTGCACCCCAACAAGACCCCAACAGGCCCCTCCCAAGCCCCCGAAGTCCCCGAGGTGACCGTTGCCCGTGCGCTAGGCCCGCTAAATAATAGCCACCAAACCCTTAATCGGGGAAACAATAGGCGCATCTAAACTCTTTCCGTCCCTGCAGCTGCCTGAAAGGATCTGACTTTCGACAGTGGCTGGCGGTAATGACGCCGATGGCTTGATAGGCAGGGTCACACCTGAAAATCGATGTTCAAGCAAGTCCGTCCACACAAGCAGCTTCTGACCCTCCATAGGAAGCATGTGAAGAATGATATCCCCTTCCCTAAATGGTGTTATAGCATCAGGTTGCTTGTCTGGACCCGGGGCAATGGAGAGCATGGGGCAACTGGTCCCTTGGTGTCGGTGGTCCCATCTCATGGTTACGGGTGATTTATCGGCTGAAAGTAAATCCGTTGAGCACTGCCGGAATGCCCATTTCGGTACAATCTGTGCCGGGGCATCTGCACAAAAGTCGTTATCGCAAATGCTCACTGCAGTCTACGCTACTGTCATGGTATTAGCATTCTTACCCATATGGAACCGCAAGAACCCAACACAATAGCACACCTGCCTAGACGGCTCTTTATACAGTCACTGCCTCAAAGATGGCGCGCCCACGGCGAGCATCTGCCGCGTCAGATCTCAGTTCTGTACCGGACCAGCACCAGGTACCTGCACACTCTTATGAACACTGCCAGATGACTTTCATGGCTGGGCGGCTTGTAGTAACGAGCTACTCGTAGGAGTTAGGAAGCATGTACGATTATCTGGCCAAGATTGTCCTCCTTGGACCCAGCGGCACCGGCAAGTCCTGCCTCCTGCACCGATTCGTGAAGAATGAATGGCGCGTCCTTTCTTCTCAGACTATCGGCGTCGAGTTCTCCTCGAAGATAATAAAGATTGGCACAACCCCTAATAGCTCGAAACGCATCAAATTCCAACTATGGGACACGGCGGGCACAGAGCGATTTCGAAGCGTGAGCCGAAGTTACTACCGGGGTGCAGCTGGCGCAGTCCTGGTGTACGACGTTGCGAGTATGGCCAGCTTTCAGGCGCTGCCAACCTTCCTGAGTGACGCACGAGCGCTGGCAAGTCCGCAGTTGACGGTGATATTGGCGGGGAACAAGGCGGATCTGGCAGACGAGTTGGTACAAACACAAGGACATACCGGACAAGCTCATACGAGAACGCAAGCAGTACATATGAATGGAAGCGCCCATCATCACCGTATCCAGAAGGAGGATGAATTCAGCAGTACTCCAACCGCATCGAGCGCGTCAAGTCGACAGTCATATTTCCCCTATGATTCTGGAGGTGCAAGCGCCACCGACTCTGTGAAAACAACGTCCACCCGCTCTCGTGGGAACAGCATGAACCTTTCAAAATGGACAGCGACCCTGTCCAGTGAAGGTCGCGAAGTCAGCTCCGAGGCCGCCTCACGATGGGCTTCGAAAGTCCACATTCCGGTCACGATGGAAGTCTCGGCCCTCACGGGTGAAAATGTTGACGCATTATTTTACCGCCTGGCGGCCATGATTCTAACCAAGATCGAGCTCGGGGAGATTGATCCGGATGACCCGGCAAGTGGTATCCAGTACGGCGACGGTGCTGTGGGCGCCGACGGAGACAGCATAACGACAGACGGCGGCACCGTGAGGAGGAGGAAGGGCGGAAGGGGTGGCACGGTAAGAAACGGAGTGCTCACCAGTCTCGGGGAGTGGGAAGACGTATTCCGCAGACCTGCTTCCAGAGCAGGAGGCGGGCGGTGTTGTTGATGAAAGAAGGTCGGAGGACACACGATGTCTTTTCGCCATGGGCCCACGATTGCACGAGATGTTCCTCTCCCGCATTCTTTTTCTCTTTCTCTGTCTCTCTTCTTCTTGTCCTTCTGCCGAGCGAATGACGCCAACTGCGTTATGGAAAGAACGGAAAAAGCAAGCAGCAAGCGAGCGAGCAAGAAAACGTTGTACACAGCCTTGTTGGATTGACTTCGGCTGAGTCTATTATTGTATGTACAGATTATACAGTTTTTATTTCTGTCGGTGTCGCCGCTTTTGCTTATTACACGACGAGGAGGCACCGGCACAGGCACAGGCATATATGCTTGCGCATGCACTGGGTGGGACATTCGTTCTTCCTGCCGCAGTGCAGCCAGCTGTGCCGAGTAATGTCTAATACGTTCTACTTCTTGTTGCCGTCGTGCGAGCCCTTCTGGTCTGCACGCCTGGTATGTACTTCCTTACCTGCCTTGCAATGCTTGCCTCTGTGGGAGCGTTCGTCATCGAAGATATCCCATCCCCCATGCACATACTAGGCACTCTGGATGCTGTGCTGCTGCGCCCTACAGGGTCCAGTCTGTGAAGTTGTGCTCGCGATATATTCCGTGCGGAAAAGACATTGTGCCTAAGGGATACGCTCGACGGGAGTTTGACTGTGGCACTCGTCGAAAACCGCCATTTCTACAACATGAATGGTGGGCAAGGCACTCAACCGCAGGAAGACAGGATCAGTGTGGTGCCTCTCATATGATATTATGTATTCCAGGGTCGAGCTCTCGCGCTATATCGACCAAGGGACTCTGAGAAGTTCATATCTGACACCAGCATCAACCTTCCCTGACGTCTACCTCTCGTGGCTCGGCAAACCCTTCGTGAGGCTGTCCACCTCCCTCGTCTCCAGTCTCGATCTTTGGTCCAATCTTCTCACAGAGCTCGACAAGCTCGAGTTGCCCTATGAGATTCTGCGCCGCACTCAGTGCCTTCATGATCACGAGCTGGTTCCTCTCGGTCGTGGCGGAACGGAAGCTCCTCACCAAGAACTCACTCAACATCTCCACAGTCCAATCATCCGGGATGTCTCTGAGAATCTGTAGAGGGTCGAAAAAGGTGGCGAATTTACCGAGAAGGTGAGATGTTTGTTCGAGGCGGTCGTCAACATCGGCGATGGAGAGGAATTCATGAAAGAGGAAAGTGAAGAGTTCAATCTGGCTCGTTCGGGAGGGCAAGGCAGATGGATCAATTGGATATGATGACGGAGGCGAGGGACGGCCGAAGTAGCAATATCGTGTGGCTGTATCGTAATCGCCCAGTCCATGAGTGAGAAGGCGCAGGGCTTCCTTGTGGCGGCCTTGACGGGCATCGAGGATGATGGATTCTGAAACAAGGTAGGAGGAGAAGGGTGCCAGGCGCTCGAGGACCATGGAGACCGAATAAGTCAAATCCTTCCCAGCAGCGTTGCTGCCCGAGGCTGCGTAGGCACCACTCCCTAGGAGCTGGAGGAGACGGAGGCGCGATTGCCACCATGGCTCCGGCGGGGCATTTTGGTGGATGAAGTCGAGGTAGGTCGGCTTGGGCGACTCAAGAGCTCGGTATGTCGAATAGCTTTCTGCGAGCGACGCACGAGCAGCGTCGGACTTTTCAAGGACAGTAAGGACTGAGTCGAGGTAATAGCCTATCAGGTCGTCGGCGTACTGCCCGAGATGTTTGCCAAAAACGAGATATTCCAGATACTGCTGGACGGCTCCTGGCGCTTGTTCTTTTAGAAGTGGCACTACTTCTTGAGGACTGAACTTTACTCGTGCGGCGTCGTCCGTGAAGACTTGGACGGCGAGGTCTGGATTCCGCTGGGCGAGCCACAGAGCGTAACCTTGCACGAGGTCGACATCGCGAATGACTGTCAAATAGCGGCGCAGTTGACCTTCGACATAGCCAATATTTGAACTGTAATCCACATCCTTCTCTCCATCGATAATCCGTTTCCACGTCGCAAGGACATCATGGGCTTGCTTCTTACTCTGGTAGAGCCGGCTCAGGACATAGAGCCGATTGTACCGTTCCAAGAGCAACGTCGCACGCTCAAAATCGCCCTTCCACTGGTCGACGACGTTATTCAATTTGGCCCGCACTGATTTCTGGGCAGGGCTGTCTGTCGGCAATGCTTGGTCTAAGTAGAGCAACAGATGAAGAATGGCCGCATCGACGGAATCAAAAACGTGTTTGTCATCTGCAATGCTCCCGTATCCGCGCTTCTCTTGCCACAGCATCAGGAAATGTCTCATCATCATCCAGAATTCAGGAGGAGCATCCTCGAAACTGGCGACCGGAGATTGATGGCCCTGCAGAAGATCCACCATACCTTGATGAAGCCAGATTCCCTCCGGCCCGTACAAGACCTCCGACGAGAGCGGGGGCAGAAGGAGGAGCACGATCCGCGGATCTAACCCTCCGTCATGGAGCGTGTTTTCGACAGCTCGGAACATGTCTTGAAGAGCTGAGGCACTCGAAAATTGTGTCTCCAGATGCAAAAATAATATCAGACTGGCTTTCTGCTTGATATAGTTCAGCGTGAGGAACTCTGTCTCGTCCTTTGGTTCGCGACCGTGAATACTCGCCAGGAACCCGAAGATTTGACCAGGGACTACATTGGCGGGCTGACTGTCGACCATATACTGCATCAGGCGGTACTCGAGCTGCGAAATCAAGGGATTCTGTAAGATCATAAGGAGATCTTTCCCGTGCCACAACAAGTTTCTCGTGAAAGCGCGTCCAAGGCGACGGGCGAGCTTTTCTTCTTCCACAGCGCGCTTCTTCACCAGCTCATTTGATGGCTCTATAGGCGTGCTTAAAGACTGACTCTCGAACAAAGCGCGCTCTTGCTCCACTTGCTCCATGGCGGACTGTGTCCTCGGATCACTCTCGCTTTGAGCGTTTTCTCGGTGACGCAGTGATTTGATTGAAAGCGGCACTAGTTGCAGGAGTTCTCCGGGGGCTTTGAAGAAGTGGCTATGCGTGCTTAACGTGTGGTGCAAGCCAGCCGGCGCATTCTCGAATTCGCTCAATGGCAACGCAACACACACGCGAGGGTGAGCCAGCTCAGATGCATTCTCGACAAGCTGTATTTCCAATTTTCTCTCCGTGATGCCTTCCCGAACCTGCCGCAAAAGAGCAAAGATGATTTTGCCTTCATCTTCCGAGCGTGGGGCACCTTCATTTTCTGGCACAGCGAAGTTGTCCACAAGCAGATCCTCAGGATAACTTTCAAAGTCAATGGTTCCTCGAACAACATCACCATCCAAATTGACAAACATACCAACACCAGGCTCAGACTCTGTTGTGCCAGTCGTTAGCATGAATTCTGTCGGAAAAGGCGAGAGGATGTGTGGCTTGAGACGCTTGTGCGAATGCTTGCTGTTCGTTCCAGCTGGTGATCTGGAGGGGAGGGCCTCGGTCGACGCACGAGGACGTGCTCTTGGACGTCCGTTCGCCTCACTATTTCCGTCCGGCACTGGGACGTTGGTAGATGGCGATGTGGGTCGTCCTGAACCAGCCGATGTCGCGTCGTTGGGCGGCATTAGATAGGGAGACTCCTGACGGCCCTGAGGGCTATCCTTCCTGTCCTCCGTAGAGCCGATCAGATTCCCCAGACTTGTACTTCGACCATGACCAGCTGCTTCTGCAGGGGGAGGGGACCGTGCTGGAGATCTCCCCCCGTCCTCGACCGGAACATCATCATCCATGGGCTGCGACGAGATGGGAAACAGCGGAATCTTCTGCTGGTGTTCCACCTCGAGGAGCGCATAACTCGTGTCGTCGGCAACGCACGCGATAGTCTCTCTTCGACTGGATCTCAAACAGCCAGGGTATTCAATATTATTTCTAATCGACCGCAGCCTGTCTCCCACACGGACCAAAATGATTCTGCGGGAGTTTGCGATCATCACCACAGGGCCCTCCGCGTTTTCTTTGTCTTCATTTTCGTCGATGCCACCAATCCACTGGACCCCCGTAGGTTCCCTGTTAGGAAATGCCGGACTGAACTCGGGAAGGGAGTAAAACGACACGACGCCGTTACATAACACGCAGGCTTTCAGAGGACCGGGCAGGACAAGGATCTGCTGAATGCCAGGTGCATTCGGAGAGTCGGCTGATACAGCATGGCCACTGGGCTGCAACCGGGAGGCTAAAATAAAGGTTGAAGGCGCGTTGTCGTCGTCCTGATCAGAAGGGATCGAGACTAGGTGCAGGATTTCGGCCGCAGAGGTACCGATATATAAATTGTTGTCTGAAGGACCGTGAGAGGAATGCGAGAGATCCAGGTACACAGCCTCACCTACTCCAATACTCTACACAGGTAATCGATATTTCTGCATCACCCTCATCTGCCGCCAGCGGGATATCCTCCAGAATAGCACGAAGAACATACGGGCCTGGTTCTGGCGCGGCCAGCTTTTGGCGCTTTGCAGGTCGCTGGTCATCCAGCCCGGCTTCGTCCATTGCTTGCATCAAGCTTCAGGGACATCGGAAAAGAACAGCCATAGCTGCGAGCAGTCTGGCAAGCTTGTCCTAAAGAAATAATTGGTGTAGAGCGACTGAGGAATCGTGGTCGTTGGTGGGAAGCGGAGCGATGTGGTGACCTCCGTAAACGAAACTAATTACTGCAGGTTAGTCGATTCAGAGGCGCAGTCCCGGGATCATCTCCAAGGCCACATCTCCGTCTCGTTGCCCGCTACTGTTGACGCGTTCGACGTTGATTCGAAGGCTTCTATAGGCTCATTTCACTGTTTGCTCCAGAAACAAAAGTCCGCAGATGCTCTACTGCTGATGGAGCCTCCAAGACTACCGCATTCCAACCGGGGGGACCAGTGAATTACCTCTCCTATTGACGATATGGACGCAATGGTGGTATCAGAAATCAATACCCCTCAGGGGGAGGACGATACAAACCGTCCCGAAGACATTCTGGAGCACCCTGCCGGCGAAGCAGAAAACAAGTTCCAAAAGGCAATCGCAGCATGGCGGAGTAAGTAAACGTCCTTTGCTTCGAGCTCGTGCTGCTGGCTAACTCATCAGACATTGATCTTTCCTCGTTGATGCCCCAACTGGATTCCACAGCCTCTGAAATTGTCGCCCAGCAGAGGGACGCCTTGCTCGAGCGGAAGGAACTCGCGCAGAAGACGAAAGACTTTCGAAAATTGGAGGATGCAGCAAAGTTAACTGAATATAAGACACTCTTAAAATGTTCGTTCACGCCCTCGGACAGGACAGGGTCGAAGTTAACTGCGTGCAGCGTATCAAACCTTCATTGACCTGATCACTGGCCATGGCAAGACTTCCTCGTCCGCGTTCCTCCAACTATACCAGTCATTGTCAGAGGCCCCGGACCCCTTTCCTCTCCTCGAAGCCTCGGTCGACTCGCTAGTTGCCTCCGAAGACACCGTTCCTAAACTCACTGCTGAGAACCAGCAACTACTCGCGCGGGTCAGTAAATTGACTGCCCAGCTCGAAGAAACGGAAAGAAAGCTGCAAGACGAAAGCAAAGCCCGGAAGGACGCCGAGGCCGGAACAAGTACTCTAGTGCAAGAAGTCGAAGCGAAATGGGAAAATGTCCTGGAGGAAAAACAGAACAACTGGACGGCAAAAGAGCGCTTCCTGGAAGACAAGGTCGAAAACCAAGACAGGCTACTGAAAGAGTTGAAAGCAAGCTACGAAGTATCTCAGAGGCTTCAAGATGGGTCGGCTGAGGCTGCATCGTCCAAAGCTGCGGCTGCGGAGCTGGAGATGATGACCTACGAACTTGAAAAGACAACCGCCCGTCTCGCCGAAATCGAAGCCAGGAACGAACAGCTTCGAGTCGACCTTGCTCGAGCTACTTCCCAGAGCTTCGAAAATCACAGTGTCGAAGATGACCCCTCCTTTTTACGCCTGCAGTCCGAAAACTCATCCCTTCTTCGAAAGATTGAGTCCGCAAGGTTCGAGAGAGAAACGGAAAAGAGAGATTGGGACAATAAGCTGCGCCAAGTCGACAGGCAACGGTCTCAACTTGCCAACGAGAATGAGGAGCTGCGCACAAAGGTCAATAAATGGTCTGATTATGAAGATCTGAAACGGGAGCTGGACACTCTTCGGTCAATTGAACTATCAATTGGCGACGATGAAGATGGAGACGAGGCCGTCGTGGACGGGCCGGTCGAGAACGGCACGAAGCAATCTCTGGAGCAGCTGCTACTCACTCGGAACAAAAAGCTTACCAACGAGCTGACGTTGCTGCGAGTATCGCACCAAGATCTTCAACGCCAGCTTGAAGATCTTCAGGAAGAGCACTCCCGGACGAATGCTGAGCTAGAGAAGTCTCAGAAACTTTCCTCGACCTTGGAGAACGATCTCATCCGCGTACAGGAGGAGGCCGCAAACGCCCTTCCCTCCTCGGGAATGTCTGTCGCCGGCACTTATGTATCTCGGCATCCAATGGGCTCTCTGCGGAGAGGAAGAGCGTCACCTACCTCGTCAATCATCTCAGGTTATGAGATGCAGCCGAGAACCAACACATTGGAGTCCCTGCGAGCGGGAGAACCAGCTGGTGGAGGATCTGGCATTCTCCCGATGATCCAGGCTCAGAGAGACCGGTTCAAACAGAAGAACCAACAACTTGAGGAAGAGCTATCCAAAACGTATGCCACGGTCACGTCCCTGCGCCAAGAGGTTGCCTCGCTTCAAAAGGACAATTTGAGCCTGTACGAGAAGACGCGATATATCTCTGCATACAATCGGGGCCCAGCTACGTCTTCAGCCTTCCATGGCGCACCAGGACAAAGCTCGATCCATGTGGATGACACAACGACCAGCCGCTGGAAATCGCAATATGAGGCCAATATTTCTCCTTTTGCCGCATTTCGTGGCCGTGAAGCGACACGTGCCTACAAACGAATGAGCTTCCCGGAAAGAATAATATTTTCCCTAACGCGGGTAGTTCTCGCCACCAGGACTTCGCGCAACCTCTTTGCTGGTTATTGTCTCGCACTTCATATGCTGGTGTTTGTGATGCTCTACTGGATGGGTACTGCGGACGTTGATCGCAAGGTTGTCCATTTGGGCGAAGCAGCAGCGGCGGCGGCGGCGGGCGGCGCAGGCCTTCGATCACCGGAGTCCTACGACCGTGACTGGCATCAGCAGGAATTTGGATAACTTCTGGCAAGCGAAGCCGCTTTGCCAAGGGTATTTCTTATCGCCGCGGCGGATCCGACATTGTCCGCAGCTCCTTTTTTCGTCATTCAGAATACCCTGTCACTTCTCACATGTCCGTACAGTTCTATCATCTCACTGTCTTTCGCCAGAGATGAGGATTTGGTACGCTGCACCCGACTTGATCACGCGTGCGCCTTTGACGAGGCAATAGACTTGGTCTTTACACCGAATACAACATCATTTACCACTTAAAAGCCACAACAAATTTGAACCCTCCAAATTCAAATCCGTGGATTGTGGTCGGTGAGGCAAACGACGCTCCTGGGGGCGGTAAGCACATGATATTTCTGGAAGATCCGTCGGAGTGAGCACTAGATCACGGGGAACATGGTATTCCATCGGATGTTAGATGGACTCCATGCGGTTTTCTACTCCGCACAAGTAGTACTGATACGATCAAGACTCCAGCGTCGTATACGTTGCCTGAAACAACTCCGAGGGGTAACTTGGGGGCTTACGTGAACGGTTGTTGTGCATTACCGAGCAAGCGAAACGGCGGGCGACGTTGCCTCCACACGAACCTCTCTATGCGAGCCACGAGACTGCCCTGTCGCCGTCTGTGCAGACCCCAGAGACGACGCTGGCTCCCAAGGTCAGCTTGATAATAGCTCTTGAGGATCTAGAAGACCTGTCTCGCACGCGGTGTTTATTCCTTCCGGGTACAACTAGGATCCGACTTTGCAAGGTACCGCCTGTCTTGGTAGTTACGCGTGTTCATGTCAGATTGCATGGTTTCTGTACTTAGCACCGAAGAACATCACCCGATCGAGCTGAGAAATTTGTCTGCGCGTCGCCACTACCCAGGAGTGGTACAATCTGCGAGGCAGCTTGACAGATGACAATGGCCGGGCCGTGGAGAAGGAAGCGCCTCAAAGAAATGCTTCTCCTCGCCCAAGCTGCCTACCGATGTTTATAAGTCCCCAGGCAAGCGCCAACAGCAATTCGATTGGATGCCCGAGTCCAAAAACCTGAAACAAGGGGCCAGACGGAGGAAAGGAATGTCTGGGCACGGTCGGGGCAGAGGTCGACTCGGAGTGCGATTTCGACGCCTCCCTCGCCAAGGTGTCTCCGCTTTAGGACTGTATATGCACGTCATACAGATCCAAGTGGACCAACCACTCTGGGATTGGTTCTGTGAGGTGGTGGCTGGCGGCTGGCCGGCGGCAAGGAAATGACCAGAGAACATCCGAGGACGCCTGAAGAAAGCCGATAGGAAGACAGGATTTGGGCGTCGGCGGCCAACACGCGGCCAGGCGACCAGCAAACCGAATACTTGCTGGCCAGGACCCGTGCGTACCAGCCTAACCAAGAGGGCACAAGAGGCTCCAAATTACCAGGTTCGTGCGCCAATTGTCCATCTATTATTACACCGGACCCTCGTCGATCAGACACACAACCGACAAATCTCCCTTGCCGCCTCTTGCAGCACTCATGCTGCCGAGAAGCCTCCACCATGGTAGGCGAACCAATTGCAAATGCAAGGACCTCAAGATAGAAACACTGCCTGCTCGAGCAAGATCCACAGCCAGAATAGCAACCATCCTATCCCTGGTCGATATACCAGTCCACTTTACAAGTTGATATAATGCGGCGGCTGGTCTCGACCGTGGCCTCTGATTTCGTGTGTTCCTCATATACAGTGTGTCCTCTCATTCTCCCACAGCTCACTCCAGCAACTCATTAATCAGTGTGAATCTTTTCCTTGCAGTCTCACAAGCATCTGCGGGCCAGACAATTCCCTTCATTAATACTATTTACGGCTTTCCTTTTCACTTACAACATGAAGTACTCAATGCTTCTCGTCTCGCTGGCACCGACACTGATGGCCGCACCACTCACTCGCGATACCTTCGAGTGGACACCGACGTTAGCTGGCTACTTCGACGTTGTCTTCCAATACATGCAGCAGGCTAAGTCGCCTGGTCAACCATCGCCAACTTGTGATCTGTCAAACGCTGCCATGCCGATCGCACCCACGCCGCTGCCCAGTCCCGCTGGACTGGTCCTTGAGCATGTTGCTGTAGGCAGAGGTGTTCAGGTATGAGTTTTTCCTTCACTTTTCGACGCCAACGATATACTGACCTTGAACAGAATTATACATGCGCCAATGCCACAGCCACTCCTGCAGCAGTCGGGGCAGTCGCGAGATTCTACAATGCCTCGTGTGTAGCGGCGAACTACCCAGATCTCCTTCCCCTCATCCCTAACTTGGCGTTACAATATCCTCTGCCCGCTGATCCCTCAGCTCCTCTTGCGCCCTCGGAACTTCAACTTTCATCCCACCACTTCTTTTCCAACGCTACGACGCCAGTCTTTGCTTTTGACACACCCGAGTCCCCCGACTTTGGCACCATCTTTGCACAGAAGGTGCACTCTTCCGACGCACCGGCCAATGCAGTCCCGGGCGTCAGCGGTACTGGTAACGGTGCGGTCCCTTGGTTGTACCTGACAGCCCGATCCGACACCGAAAGTGAAATCCAGGCTGTCTACCGTTTGAGCACTGCTGGTGGGCAACCACCGGCAACATGTGCAGACATGCCTGCAGCTTTCAGTGTGGACTACTCGGCGATCTACTGGTTCTACAAATAATCAAGTAATATGCTGTCAAGAATGATTGTATTTTCACTTCGCACGGCGTTGGGGTTTCATGGGATTTCTCAGGGCAACTTGACGCCCACATAGTGCGGAGGGGACTTTTCATGGATATTTATATTTGCGAAGCTGCTGGGGACTTCATATGGCAGCAATATACACTCCCAAATGCATACGGCATTGCTCACACTCTGAATGCTAGTTTACCTCCCTCGCAGTTTTGCTCTTCCACTGCTCACGAAGTATAGCGGAATGGAGTAAAGTTTCCCCGTAATGGATCCGGATCCCCTAGCCCCCCAGAACAACAGCTCCCAATCGTGTCTTACAGTATTACTTCCTCGCTTCTCTCCATGCTATTATCCGACATTTCCAGCCTATCTCATCGAGATCGAAGAGATCACTCCTCGTGGCGAGGAGCTGGCCGTCCTTGCGAAATGTCTTCCCTTCTCGATTGAATTCCCTCCCCGACCATAAGTTCTCGCTTCATCGCTTGTGCAGTTAGACACGCACAACAGAAATGCTCCTTGGTTCGCCCCAAGCAGACACATTTGAGGCCCACAGGATTTTAGCTTCGCGTATCCTTCCAGCAGTTCAACGCTGGTCCTGCCTCCGTTCTGTTGCCTGATCTTCTCGACGGGTCTCCCTTTTCGCGGCCCTCACCGTGTTGACTTAGACTTTGTTTCGAGTCTGGTCGAAAGTCTAAGGATGTGATCTGAATCCACTCACAAGATGTCGATTGGTGTTTTTTCGTGGTACAACATGGCTCGGACCACTTCTCCATGGAAACTATATCACGACCAAACGTTGGCTCAGGTAGCTCAGAGACCACCCTGTCCTGCACTAGAGACGAAATCATTACACAGCGTACGGTCTGTATTTCCAGCCACCGTAAGTCAGCAGACCTTGATTGGAGGGTCCGGCATGCATTGAGGTTCAGTATGCTTTGGGCCAACTGGAGGGCTGTCCTCATGGTAGCTCACTGGAGGAATAGCTTCCTGTCTCATGGAAAGCTCTGACCTGCACTTGCAAGTGCAGACGGCCCTTCAGCTACTTTGCCACGGCCCCTGTGTCAAGGTTAGCAGATACTTCTTCGCGGATCTCCACAGGAAACCTATACTCACAACAAGTCTATCCTTATGAGAGTTTCTTCATCGGATTTGATTGGAGAGCCGTTGTTCACGCACAAGTCTTTATCCCGCTTTCCCAGATCAGTCTTCACGACCTCTCCACCTCTCATCGCGATGGGGCTGATCCATGACTGTACACTCGAGGCGCTTCTTCGGCCGAAAGCCTCGTTCAGATTACCCAACCAATCATCGAGCTGGATGAGGCAACTGTGATGGTACTCCCTTGCTCTATCAAGGCATTGACCAAAGCTGGTGAGTTATCGTGGGCATGGTATGTCTTAGAAGAAAGTTTCTCATCATTTTCCCTTGCCCAACAATACTGTCTTGATACAGAGATGTTCGAAATATTTCCTGAGTCTTCTGCCTATCTGTATAAATGCCTCAATACTCTCCTTTTCCTGTGGCTACCTCCCAGACTCGAAATACAAACACATACACAGCACGCTCAGCGACAAGCAACATACTGCACCGCACATCAACTTCAGCAACACGCTCATTCTCTACACACCCGGATGCACCAAAGGACGCAAATTGCTAGACATACCACTCATTTCGGACAAATCTTTCGAATTCATCTTCAATCTTGCCGACGTTCACAGTTATCTACACATATTTGGCACGTTTATACAACATGGCTATCCTCAATCCGGAATATGGAAAGACTTATGGCCAATACAAACAAGCAACAGACAATGTTCTGTCCTGGATCAGAGCTCTCTACAACCGTCCGAGCACAACTCCCCTGAACAATCATCTCCAATTGGCCGTTTCAGCCGTTCGAGACGGCATCCAAATGCCCGAGAACGTAGTCGAGAACCTGGAGACAGCCATCAACCTACGAAGGAAGACGGCCGAGTTTCACAGACAAAATGGAACATCGGATCACGGACACGAGTACATGATCACAGTTCTTCAAACGATCTCAACCATCTTCTCCCCTTCGAGACCGACGACACCAGAACCGATTTCGGCATGTGCTACGCTTCCGGCACCATCTCCTTTCTGGCAGGAGCCCTTGACGCCACGAATCCTTACTCCTCCTCCTCAGGAGTATTTACCACCATTTCCTTTTCAGCAAGAATGGTGCCCACCTCCGTCCTGTGCATATGATCACCTCTATCAATGTCAACTACTGCCTAACGGGGCCCTTCATTCACCACCACCTTCTCCTCCACGACCATCACTACCGCCACCTGGCCTGTATCCACCATGGACATTGCCTCAGCCTCCATATTTACATTTCAACCCAGCTCTCACCATGAGCAGCCACAGTATTAATATACCGGATTCTATGTTTGAGCGTGCACCAGGCTATTGATTCAAATATTTCCCTCAAATCAAATAATCGCCAACCCAAATCAGACAGCGACAACGGCCATCTTAAATGCCACATCTTTCGGATGTACAACTTATCTGTCAGCAACATATTTCAGCTGCGACAATATCGAAGTGGCAACATTTGCAACGAGAATTATTGCCATATCTAGGCTGGCTACATCAACACCGAGTGCATTTATCACAACAAAACAGCACAACAACTGCCGCAGCAATATCATCGACAGTGCCTATTCACAGAACGCAAATACTGAGCTGGTACCGTTTTGCAGCAACTTTGGAAGGATTAAATTATGTACGAGCTAGTGGTAGGCTCACTAATATTTACTGACGTCCTCTAGTCTACACGGAACAAGCCCAATACGCGTCGTACATGGCGATACGACTGGTCGGAGAGAAGAAGGAGTTCACTTTCAAAAAGAAACGACAAGAATAGAATAGAAAATACATAAGAAGCAGAAGAAGCATAAGGGTAAAGCCTAGGGGCTTTGACCGTGGGGCCGACATCATCCCCGAAAGTGTATAGAAAATCGGTCTCGCGAGACTTTGGAAAGAGGAGGATGCCCTGCGATTGAGAGGCACCTTCTCGCGGTGCAGGGTGTGAGTAACAGTTTCCTGCGTCTTTTGGGGCTGTGAAACCAAGACCTCTCATTTTTCCCCCTCTCGCCTCTCCCTCTAGGATATGTACTCGGTATCTTGATGTTATCTTGACGTCCAGACCGTGGCACCGCCAGTGATTCGCAGGTCCAACTCATAAGCCACATCAGGACTGGACAGGGATGCTGCACCGCCACCACACCTTCGTCCATCCACAATCCATTCTCGAGATACTGAATGCCAAGATGACATCATACGGCATATGCCCCACGCATCACCCTGCAGGCGAAGAACAAGGTACCTCGTCCAGAATGTAGTCCCTGGGCAATCTTCCATGGCCAACGATGATCTTTGGCAGCAATGAGGTGTTGTGGTGAGGCTTTGCTTTGTCTTGACTTGCCTTGCAGACCCAGTTCCAATGCCGCTCCAATGATCTGAGTAGACTATATCGACAATACTGACCAGCAATGGCTTCCTTCTTACCTACTTGTCTTGAATGATTGAGTGAATGATCTGCTTTCGTCGACGCGTGGACAACCAGATTGCCCGCGTGGGGATCGACACAGCTTGGGTAATAGTCGATCCAAGCAAGCAAAGAAGCCGGGAAAAACCTGGTTAGCCTGCAAGAGCTCGACCCTTTCATTCTGATATAACCCAAGCAACCCAGACACAGGCGGCTATGAGGTTCACGGTGCTGGATCGTAACTTCCTTCGTACCTTTCAAACGGCCAGAAACCGCACAAACTTGTACCGACTTTTTCTTCTCGCCTCCGAGGCCTGGACAAGGCAGCAAACACAGCATTGTTAAGACTCGTCCGCCCTTTCAGCTGCCAACAACCTATACTTTACACGTCTACAATCATCTTTTCTGGGAGGGGAGACTTCAGTTATTGCTAAGCCAACCTGTTCACCTACCCGTCTCCACGCATCGAACCTAGAGCAGCGGCCGCTACGCCCACTCTGATACCGGAGCAGATAGATATACAGAGCCGTATCTATCCAAGCACGAATTTATTTAGGCACTACCTACAGTTCAGTTCAGTGGAGACGTCACGGTAGCCCTTGTCCAGAGCAGGCCAAACGTCGGAGGGGGGAAACAAGAACGTGACGACCGCCATTTTCCCTTGCGCCGGCCAGCAAGCCATGGCCAGCGACCGGTCGGCAAACGGGCGTCGAGAATGTGAGCAGCCCCATCGTCCCCGGCGCAGACCAAGACGATATTATCATGCCCAATCTCACAACAACAACAACAACACCTCATCCTCCTGCTTGCCACATATATCACCTCTATCAGCTCTCATCCTCCTCTCCACCATCCACGCCGCGACCGCCGTCACAATGCTCCCCCTACGCGTGACCAACAACTGCAAAGAGGCCATCTGGCCGGCGATCCTCACGCAGTCGGGGACGGGTCCGGCGAGCTCGGGCTTCCTGCTCAACCCCGGCGCCACCATGCCCCAGACGGTCGGGCTCGACTGGAAGGGCCGCGTGTGGGCGCGCACGAATTGCACGTTTCCCACAAGCGGTGGGTCGTCAGCGCCGCCGCCCGCGAGCGGCCAGGGCGGCAGTCCGTGCCAGACCGGCGACTGTGGCAATTTCCTGCAGTGTCAGGGTGCGGTGAGTGTTGCGGTCTCTTTGGGTTATCTGCACTTGCGATGTATGTGTGCATGTATATGTATATCTTTGGTGAGAGCGTGAGTAGAGCATTGGACGAGGAGAACATGATTCGAGACGAGCAGAGCATTCAGTCACTTGAACTTGGAATGAAAAGACACTTTGCTGATTTGAGGTCCGTTGGGTTTTTCCAGGGACAAGCGCCAGCGACGCTGGCCGAGTTCACCATGTCGTCAGACACTAATCAATGCTTCTACGATATCTCCCTGGTTGACGGCTACAACATCCCCGTGGGCATCATCTCCTTGCTCGCGCAGACCAACAACCCAAATCTGACCGATGTGCCTCCCAACCTGACAAACCCGGTCTGTATCGGCACCTCGTCCCTTCTGTCTCCCGTAGGCAATGCCCCGGACACGAATTTCGGCAGCAACTCCACCTATCCCCTTCCTCTCGATCAATCCGTGACCGCTTCTTTCGTGCAAGACTGGTGTCCCTGGCCGCTGCAGCTCACGCCACCCACCAAACCGGGCGACGGCGTCTATCCCTACCCCGACGACAACATCCAACGGCCCATCTTCAACCCGTGCCTCAGCGCCTGTGCAAAGTGGAACAAAGCTAAGTACTGTTGTACCGGTAACCACGGTACGCCCGCCACTTGTTCTCCGAGCCTCTACTCGCAACAGGCGAAGAAGCTGTGTCCCGACGCATACAGCTATGCCTATGACGATCAAACCTCCACTTTCATCATTCCCCAGGGCGGAGGATTTGAAGTAGTATTTTGTCCGGCAGGCAGGAGCACAAACATTCTGGCCACATTCGGGGATCAGTTGAGGCAGCTGGCACAGACGGGGCATGCGACGAGGGATATCATCGCATTGGCGCAGAATGTCACCTTCATCAGGGAGAAGAGTGCTGCCAGACGGGTTAGCGTTCCGGACACTTTCCTGGCTGTCTTGGTGGGGTTGTTGCTTGCCTGGATTGGGGGATTTGAAGTTTGGCTGTAAGAGATGAACAGAATCTGTCTGCGCAGGAGTTGGGTCTGAATCTGTGACACGAGCTGAGTGATCCTGTCGCGTTGCTGATGATACCCTTTGAACGATGCAGTCGACATTATCAATATCAATTATCGCCGTGGCAAAGCCCTTTTTTACCCCTTCTCATTATCCCCTTTGCTGTTCCACGTCCATCCGAGCGTGTTGAGGTCCAGCTCGTAGCTCTTGTTCTGCCACTGCATGGTCGTCACGCCGGGGATAATGGCCGAACACGATCCGGGCCACGGGGCATCCTCTCCTCCATACAGCACAGCCCACAAGAGCCGCATGTCCCGTGTGGGCAGTTTCTGCATGAGCACCTTGGTGGCGGCGGCTTGGATCTGCTTTTTCCGGTCCTGGAACCCCTGTGCAAAAGCCAGCGCATTTTCTTCGCTGAGGTAGCTGTCGTGCTTGACTGGGTGCGCTTTCCAGCGGCCCGAGGGCGTTAGAGTCGAGAGTCGCGGGACAGCTGGTGTGGAAGGTTGGGAGATCGCAGGTTGCGCCGGGACTTGAGCTTCAGCTGGAGCCTCAGCCTTTCTCTGTGGCTGATCCTCGACCGGCGACCGAGCTTCCACAGGAGCTTGAGCGCCAGCCTCCGCTTTGGCCTGACTCTGCCCCAAATTGGGAGGCGCACCTTGGCCTTGAGCTTTAGCCTTAGCTTGAGCTAGTTCCGGCCGGGATTTATAGAGCTGAAGTTGCATATCAAGTTGGACCAGAGCCTCGTTCGAAGCCGCCAGTGTGGAATCGATCCCGGACCCTGGCGGATTTCCCCCGTCGATCGCCACCTTCAGGTGAGCCCTCAGTTGATCCACAAACATCTGCTGCTGTTGGATCGACCTTACGACATCGTCCGGCACGTCGTCGGGCCCCTGCGATATGGATCTCGTGTGGTTATCCTCCGCCTTCAAAGGAACCCTATCCGAAGGTCCAGATGATGTGGCCTCGGTCCGTGGCGGTGTTGGAGGTCTGTCCTTGGGCGTGTCCATTTTTTTGTCCGCCTTTTCCACAGATTTCCCCGCAACGGAGCCGGAGCTCGAGTTATTAAATGATGAGGGTTTGCCGTTGGCAGTCTTCGCTTCACTCTTGCTTATAGTGGTGTCGCTGGCAGCGCGTGGAACATGGCCTGTAGCAGAAACCGTAGCAGCAGTAAGAGCTGCACCTGCACCAAAGGCCGTAGCCACTTCACTACCAGCAGGACCACCACCAGCGCTGCCTGCGTCCGCAGAATTTGCTTGTTTTGCTTGCTTTGGCTGTTTTGCTCTGGCCTTCAGACGCATCGGGGTGAAGTAGTCTTCCAGTGCCCTCCAAATATCTGAGGCGATCTCGATTGGTTCAGCAATTTTCCATGCTTCGCTCCCTGGCACCAGGGTTGACAAGATGAGGGCTTTCGCGCGTGCATTCTTGGTCCAAAAGTCGTCTGTGATGCTCGGCCTCGGAAGGGTCAGAGGAACATAGGGAGTTGTTTCTTCGACAGCTGGAGCGGGCGCGGAGGCCGCCGCCTTCGCCGCTGCAGACGGATGGGCAGGACTCTTGCCCTTGGAGGCATTAGGCTTGGATTTCTTGTTCGGCATGATGTCTGCGTGTGTGTGCGACAGTTAGTTTTTTGCGGTTCTGCAAGGCAACGAGGCGGCCTTTGCTTGAATCACCCCAGTGTCCTGGCATAGTTGATGTCACAGCGACTGACAGGGACGATTAAAAGAAGCGCCGAACAAGTAGAATGGTCCATTCAACGCAGCACAAGCTGAAGATTGGGAAATCGTGAATATACGATTGATTATACAATTCCGGGGTGGAATGCTCGGACGGAGTTGCGCTGTAGCGGATCATAGAAGCCAAAAGCGCCTTTCATTTCTCTACCGCGACTTCTTCTCTCTACCTGCCTCTGGTCCTGGAGCTCATCAACCTCATAAACCCATGTCAAACATATGTTGTGGTGAAGCCCTTGACGGGGCCTCACTGTCCAAGCTTCCACTACAAATTCAGCCGTCCGTTGCTTACCGATCTAGAGCGTGTACTTGAACCCCTCCTGTCCCTCGATTGGCTTCTCCAAAGAGCCAGCATCGACCTGGCCATTCTTTTTCCAGAAATAAAATGTGGTGCAGCAGACCGAGCCTAGGATCCAGAGCTGCAATGCGGCAGTAGTCCACAGCCCACTTCTGTACGTGGGAGCTTCCTTTTGGGCGAAGGCCGTCGAAGCGATGATGCCGCCAATCGCTCCGAATCCAATCTGAAGAGCGCTGCCCACACTCCGCTTGGACTGCATCCGAATGTTGTTGGATTGATATGCAAGAATAGCTGGGATATTCCCTTGGCATCCCGCAACCCCCAAGAAGATGCCGAAATATCTGACTCCATTCGAACTGTGATAGGCGGTGATCATGAGCCCCGTAATGACGATGATTGCTTGGGTCACAATCACAGGGGCTCGCATGTGGTATTTGTCGCCAACCCATGCGAATGCCAGAGCACTGATCACTGCAGCGCCGACTGGAGGTGCTGATAGCAAATTGGCAACGCCTGCACTGTATCCCATTCCCTGCCACAGATTAGCTCCGGCTTCCCTTCAGAGTTGACAGCACAAGACTTCTTACCTGAACGATGACTGGTGTGAAATACGCAAATGCATAGGCTGGCATCGTCGTGGACATGAACATTGTCGCACTGGGAGATGTCAGCGGGGGAGAAAGCACCGTGAAGTCGTTGGCATACAAGACCCAGAGCTTCCAGTCTTTGAGATGATGGCAGAACTTGGACCATGTGAGAGGATCGGGGACAGCGTCTTTCCGGTCATTCTCGATCCGTTGGACAATGAATGAGGCTTGCTCATGTGTTAACAGGCCCTTTTTCTCAGCCTTGTCCGGAAAATCAATGATAATGAACCATGCGATGACGGCAATGACCGCGGTCATCAGGCCTTCGATGATCTGTGCACCATTAGCTATGGTCTTGTTCAAGGGCCATGCCGTCTGACAAAGATCCATTGCCATCCTCTGAGGCCGCCTACGCCTTCCATCTGCATCAGACCATACGCAAGGATATTCGAGAAGCCGCCGACGAGAACTGACAGAATATAGAAGAAAGCAAGCCTGGAACATTAGAGCTCTGCTTGCGATACCGCTCCTTTTAACGTACCGCTTCTGGACCTCATACCGCACATACCAACAACTGATCAAGTACACACATCCGGGGAAGAAGCCTTTCAATCATTCCGTTAGTCGGCTTTAGACATTTGTGAAAGCTTTCCTTACCTGCCTCGAAGAGACCGAGCATGGTACGGCAGACGGCGAGTGCCTCATATGACTTGACGAATCCCTATGCTTGCGTCAGTCACGAAAGGCGCAGAGAGGGATCAAGGATGCCTCCTAACTTGACCTATCATGACACATCCCCAAGAAAACGCAATGAATGAGAGCCAGTTGGCGCTTCCCACTCGGCGAAGGACAATGTTCGACGGTAGCTGGAAGATGTTCAGTCTGGAATTCTTGAGAAGTAAATGCATGGTCCTTACCTCGAAGAGGAAGTACGGAGGAAAGAACACCACTAAAACGACTGTATACCGATTTTCAATCTCCAAGTTAAGATCCTCTCCCATGCCCGCAACTCGGGCGTTGGAGACCTGATCAAGTCAGCGCTGACGGAGTGTCCGAGTGGAGGGTGGTGTTCCAACATTGACACGATCAATGAGCGCGATTGAGTACAGCGCTCCCAGAATTGGAAGGAGTCGCCAGTCAATTCTCCGAATCAGCTTTTTCTCAGCGTGTTTGTCATATTCCAGGTGACCTTCATTCAGACTCAGTGACTGCTCATGGGCACTTAGATCCGAAAAGTTGCCGATTGATTCTCTATACTTCTGGTCTGTGGACGACATGGTGTCTCGACTTCGATATTGTCTTTGTTGGAAATATGCTAGTCCTCAATCTTTTGCTCCCAGATTCAACTGAGCGAAGCACCTTGCAGGAGTTGAAAGCTAGTAGGTCGGGGTCTTTATGGTTCTGGCTTCATCAGTTCTCCCCAGGCATGGCAGGCTGGGATGATGAATAAGTCGCTCCGTCCAAGAGCCTTGGCCATTCGTGTCTCGCGGTCTAATGTTCTTGCCAACCCTGTTGTACGGTTTGCCCCTCTTCCTGGCACCTTGGCCTTCATCATTCAGATGACCTGCTGCGTCGGTGCCAAGTGGGACGGTAGGACTTGCTGATGTCCTCAAGCACATGGCGAAGTTGGCATATTACAACAATGGCTGGGCCTACGCATTGCCAGGCAGGCCAAATAGCTTCTTGGTATGTCCCCATACACGGTATCCGTTTCCAGGCAGCAAAAAGAACCGAACCTTGCAGAATCCGGGGATAGCGCCCTGCAGCTTATGTACGAGCTCAACCAAACTCTAAGCCTGAGCCAATAGCTACGAAGCCGTCCTTGTTGGTGGTCCAACGAATGGTACACCGCAGTGCTAGTACTATTCAGCCGGATTTTGAGGTACCCGAGATCCCCATGATACTATCTACGACCATGCGATGAGGGCCAAGAACTCCAGATGGGACAAGAAGTACAGCATTTCTTCAGCAAGGAGGAGGAGTGTTTTTTTGGAATCTCGACAACGACCTTGCATTATACTACTCTAAACTCGTCGCCAACCAATCTTCCCTACTCATCACTTTCTGCGTGATCAGATCCGCGGCTTGAGCAGCAATGGCATAGGTCGCGGCCTGGAGGTGCCCGCCAATCGGTAGTGGCATTACGCTTGCATCCACAACTCGCAACCTAGCGATGCCTTTGACTCGCAGCTCAGTATCCACGACAGAACCCATACTGGCTGTTCCCGCTGCGTGGAAGAAAGTCCGAGCTTCGGATCGTACCCGATCGTCAATTGCTGAATCGGAAGACTCGACTGTCAAAGGTTCGAAGTCAGGCGGAGGATTGTCGGACTCGATCACGTCTGACAGGGAGTTGTGCACGGCTTTGAGTAGGCGACGAATCCCATAACGCCAAAGAGTGCGATCGACATTTGTTGCATTATAGTTGGGATCAATGACCGGCGAGTCCAATGCTGAGGTGGAAGATATGCTGATTCTGCCACGAGAAGTCGGAGACATGACTCCAACCACGGCGCCAATGTGTGTTCCGTCGAACGGAACATGCATGTTGGTGATCGGTGGCCCACCCGGGACATATATCATGATTGATTCAAGGTGCGCTGCCCGAGAATCGAGAAGGGATGCGGCATATCCGTTTTCACCTTGAGATGGACCGCTGGCCAAATCTTTCTTCAATGCCTCCTCTAAGAAAGACCTTGGAACGTTGTCAGTTACAACCCAGTCCGCAGCAAGACCTAATTGGTACGCTGGGTCAGCCCAAGGTCCGGCTGCCCCTCCCATGGCAAGTCCCAACGAAGGGTCTTTGAGTCGAAAAGCAAAGCCGATAAGGAGGTGATCGTGGAAGTTCTGGCCAACCCCAGGCAAGTCGAGTTGTATCGGGACGTTCGCTTTCCTCAACTCTGCAGCTGGACCGATCCCACTAAGCATGAGGAGCTGTGGCGTGCGGAATGCCCCTGCCGAGATAATGACCTCTTTTGATGCCAGAAACTTCCTCCCGTCGTGAAGTTGTACACCCGTGGCGGTAAGCTTTCCGTGTCGCTCTTCGAGAAGTACCTTTTGCGCCACGGCTTCAGTCAAGACTTTGACATCCCTCAAGTCAAACACTTCACTCGTAAGTTGCCTTTTTCCATCCTTCCAGCTCTCGACCAATTCGCCGACACCCAGAGGGTCACCGCTGTTGGCATTCTCGATTTTGTGCAGACCGAGGTCAAGCCATGCCTTCAAGACTCGGTCCCTCAGGGGATACTTGCGGTTAGGGCTGCTCTTCGACACCGCCACAGTTGAAATATAGTCCTTTTCAGTCCTCTCGAAATATGGCAAGAGACCATCATAACTCCATCTTGCGTCTCCCACAAGCTTACCCCAGCGGTCGAAATCAAACTTCGGCCCACGAGTCCAAGTTGCATAGTTGGTTGCGCTGCCGCCACCCAGAGCTTTCCCACCTGCTTCGTATAGGGACCGGCCGTTGAGGTGAGGTTGAGACACGGTCTTGTAATTCCAGTCAATGTCCGATCCGTGTGCTGCGAAGCAAGCCAAGGGAGCCTGGGTTAGGGGGTGACTCGATACGTCAGAGCCAGCTTCAATCAACAACACAGAAGGTGATGATTTCGATTTCGACAGAAGTGAGGCTAGCGTGCCGCCGGCAATGCCGCCGCCGACTATTATGTAGTCGAAGGTGTTCTCAGTGGCAGCCATTCGAGGACGATTGAGGAGTTGCTCAACAACGATAAAGTAGGCTTTCGAAGCTTTCGGTCTTTGGCGTGACTTGTCAAGACTTCAGACAGCGCGAGTGATGACAGTGAGGTTTGTGGGATGGCTGCTGATGTCGAGAGTGCGTTCTTATGTGAATGGCGTACCCCTCTCACGGTCAACGGAGTCAACAACGTTGCATTGGAAACGACATATCTTGGGGCAACCCATGAGCGGAATTGATAATATTATGATTCCCCAGTTCCGCTTCGTCAGCATTACAACCTTTGGGGATGAATGGCTTGGTGGCCCGAGCCTTGTTCGAAACAAGCAAACATGAATTGCTGACTTGATCAGCACACTGCGACTCAAAAGGACAGCTGAGGCGAGAGGTTCCGAACTCAGTAGGTCTCCTCTTTCCCGTCCGGACTGATTGTGCTATATCCACACGATCCGGGTTTCCGCCCCTGCAACGGTAAGTTTTGGGCCTGATTAAAAGCCAGGAAGTTCAAGCGACATGTTCTTTTGTGGCGTTTCATCAATTAAGTGCAGGTTCTAATTCACGACGAAATCAGAACATATCCGGAACGGCTCGCGCACCCTGCAAGTATTTCGCCGTGTCGACAAGTCGGTGCCGGGCCAGGACATCGTACATAAGGCTGTGACTAAGCATACATGTGGCTCTGGGCTGGTGAGGTACCGTTCGGGCATTCTCGATATCTGGACTATGGCAAAATGTCGGACGCCTGCAAGTTCCAATGCATGTGAGCAGGGCGCGGCAAACAGAACCCGGAACCGGGGACTTCCGCACCATTGTCACAGTGCTCAGGAAGAGAGACAAGAATCTTATCTTGGCCTTCAAAAAAGTGCTGATCTGACCGCCATCAATCTTTTAGTTGCCACACCCTCTACGGCCCAGATGGTGCCAGATTTTGATGAACCCTCACTCGGATCAACTAGCATTCCAAGACTATATGGTGTGGCTCCCTTTCTGCATGGCTTGGAAGTTCTCGATGTTGGGTGAGGCAGCTTGCCACCGTGCCACCATGGGTTCGAGAATAGGGGTGTCTTATTAATCAGAAATGGCGAAATTCTGTCCCCACGCCCGGTCACCCAGACGCCGGATCTCACTAGGACACTCCGCTGGGGTGTTCGAACTTCTGCAGGTACCGGAAGATTAGCGAATAGGGCTCAAATCTCTCGGAGAAGCCAAGCCCTTTGGCTCTACGATGGGCTCGGGTTGACAAAATTGTCCCTCTGGCCCGACCGAAGCCGAAATACTACTGTACTTGGAATTTCAGCCTTGCTATCGGCGGATTCATCCACCTCCGAGTATTGGATTGGTACGTCGAGCGAGACCGACGGAATCGCACACAATCTCGGGGCCAGGAGGCAGCAGCACTAAGCTTGCTTAACAATGCTTGTTAGCTGAACGCTGATTATCATGTAACAGTGTGATCTCAGGCAGGCGGCTATTGGCCTTCCTTTAGTGAGGAAAGAAATGCACTATCGAGGATTGCACCAGAGACGCCGGCTTCGACATGTTGCTATCTGTTTCGGGCATCTCGACTATATTCACTCTAACCTTTACTGCATCGCAAAAACTTCATGTAGGGAGTCACCATGGCACCTCACCAGCAATATCTTTGGGTCAGTGTGGACTCAAAGGGAAGAGTGGGACGCTCCGATGGACAAAGTAGCAACATCAAATCGCACTGCGCACAGTACTATCACCAAGTCAATCGGCATAAGGTACAACATGTGATGGTCGACTTGGCAGTCCCCGAGGCCACTCCATCAGAATCGCCCAGACAATCGCCAGTCCCATCTATATCCTCTGGAGAAGAGCCAGAAGTGGGCGACGCCCCAAATAGACAAACGCTCATCAGCCGGTCCGCTGGGAAGTTAAGCCAACAAAGCAGAGGACAGATCGAGCAAAGAGTCAGAAGGAGGAAGCCACAAGAATGGCGAAGAGTCCGATGCCACAGGTTTCGAAAGGTATCGAGATCCCCCGTTCACACACTGGGGCTTGGGGCCTGACACAATGGAAGCTGACACGCGTTAGCAATCTGGCGAGCGACCGCCCAAACCTCACCCTTTTGACATTCGACAGGAGGATTTGCCTTACTTGGCAATGGAATCGGATTTCGATGCAGATGTCGGAGACCCGTTGACACGTTGTGTCAAGCTGACGGTCTTTTATTCCCGAGCTGCTTTTATGTCGACTTCCTCATGTCAAAGCATGTCTGTAAGCCACGAGGCGTCTCCAGTCCAACACGCACTGTACTTCTACAAGCTCTCTGCAATCCAAATGATCCGCATCCGACTGAGCGAGAATCCGCAGAGCCCAGACCAGACCATCTTCTTGGGCATTGTTAGTCTCGCTGGCTGTGAGTTCATGGCCAACAACCCAGAAGAAGGTAGACTACATCTCGAAGCTTGTTTGGAGATCGCACATGCTCGTGGGGGTCTTTGCACGCTGTCCAATCCTGAGTTGGAGCTCATGTGCCTCGCGGAATTCGAGATGGCCGCACTTTCAGGAAATATACCGTGTGCGCCTCTCCGGGACATGGAAGCGGCCGTGTATTCGAAAATCTCCAAAGACCCAACCGGTCGTTGGGCGACGTCTGACCTTGCGAGATTAGCCTTTTTGTGCACCGAAGAAGCTTCGCAGACCTGCAAGGGTCTTGCATGCTTGCTCCAGGCGACGGACGGTCTCAACAGTTCAATGGCTTCGAAAACCCAAGCACAGATTCAAGATAATCTTGTCCTGCGTCGTCTTTTCGCCGGCTTCTTGCTATGCTCCGTCCAGCCTCTTACGACTCAGTTGCCAGTCACAGTTGAGATGAGCCTACACGAATCGTTGCGAATAGCTGGCCTACTCGTTGTTGCGGCCACATCCTTGAAGAACATGCCAAAAGGCCACCTACTGGAACGCCTCACTGCAGATCTAGCACTACACCTACAGCTGATACCTTTGCCCTTGTACCGCTCGCCCGCCGTGGCCTCGACCATGCTGTGGATCTACTTCGTGGGTGCCGACGGATCGCTCTTCTTCCTGCGAGGCATCGCACAGCTGGCTCGCATGCTAGGTTTCGAGAACTGGAAGGAAGTTCGAGAACAGTTGAAGCGGTTCCCCTACGTTGGCGATGAGTTTGACAGCCCATTCGAGGAGATTTGGAACTCGGCAATATTATGGTCGAACTTGCCGACGTAGCAATGCGATGACCGACGTATCAGGCTGGTCCTGATCACATATTCTTTCTTGAGCATCGCTGAAAATGTTCTACCTAGACTTCCAGTCCCCTCGTTCCAATGTCTCTATTCCTGTTCAACATGGTACGGTTTGTTCCCTAGGAACGATTTGTACAATATCTGCGACATTCCTCCAGGCCGACATAGCCCTGTCTTCCACAGCCCGCCGAGAAGCTTTCAGCGGAAGGTTGGAACAGGGGGACGTTGGGATAGGGGACGGCCCCTCCACTAGGAGAAGACCTACCCCTAACGAGCACACGGGCCAGTTGAGCTGCTCGAACTCGTCTGTATCTAGAGGATCTCTCTCCTCTTGACCCACCGGCGACCGATGGGATAACCGGCCACCGGTGAGCGCCACTTGAGAACGCCTCGTGTCAGCAGCGCCACAACGTACAATACCCTGTATTCGTACTCAAGATTTGCCTGAGCTTTTCCTAGGACCTACTTCTCCTCATGCACAATATCAACGTTGCTTACTGTGAGATGATAGGAGCCCGTCTCGGGCGATACAGGATCTCAGTTCTGGCCTCCAAATCTCAAATGCCGCTTGAGACACACTGAAAGCCCACGCGAGCGGCTGAACCAAATCTTCACGACCAGGTCCATTTCCTGGTCCCAGTGGAGAACATGGGGCTCGTTGGACTGGAGAAGTATAACTTACATCCTTGTGCCTGCTGGCACCATCTCTCAGCCTGTCTCCTGCCCGTTCCTTACACAGATTCGGCGTAAGAGAGACATACTCAGCAGGAGTTGATGGACCCAGTGAATTGTGACCCAAACTCTGATGGCTACACTATATGATGGCATCCACGCAAAGAATGACAGCTGGGATCAACGGTAGGAATTGGGTCGCATGTAGGCCAGCCAGCGGCCAGGCTGTGCGAGGCTGAGCATTGGCCCGATCTTGAAGGTGTCAAGTCCAAACGACCTAGTAACCGCCGACCTTGGGCCTCACTCAACTAATGGTGAAGTACTTCAGTACTTCAGTACTTCCGTCTGTCCTGCTCTTACCTCGCTGAATCACCTACTCTCGCATGCTGTTTGTCTTGCAATCTTTCATTTCCGCAGGCTATTAGCTGCAACATATCCACCAATACAGACTCGGGTCGATAACATTCATCACTCATCCTTTCACACCCCTTGCAGAACCGACGCCCCCCCATACGCGACGAGGCACTTACTTACATCGGCATTGGAACGGTGGCGCCATGCCACGGGAGATGACATTCCGTGGATACCCCGGCAGCAGGACAATCATGCACCTGTGTAAGTCCTCTCCTCCGCTTCCCAACGCACCTGCCGGGGCTCATAACAACACCTTGTCCGCGGGAGGAAGGAAGACATCGCAACTCCGTTCAACAACCATGGGCTGATCCTTATTGTCGTACTCATAAAAGGCGTCACGATCTGCATCTGCATTTGCATCGCGTGGCAGTGGAGTATGGGAGCAATGCAGAACGAGTATCTTCCCTGGCGGAGGGTAGTTCGCAGCCTCGAGCAGCGTCAGACGCTGCAGAGCCTGCACACGCACTTCACACTCAAGCTGACCGACATCCAGTGGTACGGACGTTGGTGGACGCTAATCACGCCGGCGTTCAGCCACATGCAGGTTGGCCACGCCGTCGGGAACCTGGTGGCCTTCATGGAGTTTTCACAGATGCTGCTGGCCGCCGGCATCCACCCGGCACACTATGGCGCGCTGATCCTGGGCTCCGCAGTGTCGGGCCACCTGGCGTTCCTGACCCACGTGTCCTGGCGCCGCGCAACCCCCTGGTGGTGGACCCTGCTGCCGCTGGCGCCCCGCGTCGAGCCGTGCGCGCTCGGCCTGTCCGGCGTGGTCACGGGCCTGGGCGTCGCGCTCGCCCTGGCGGCGCCCAATGCCACGGCCACCACCACGGTGGTGGTGCTTTCGAATGGCAGGACGTCGCTACCCGCTTGGGGGCTCATAGTCTTGTACCTGATATACGACACCGCCCGCCTGGATGACCTGTCCTCGGAGTTCGGATACGTGGCATGTCTGGGCGGCGCGGCTTTCGGGGCCGTCTTCTATTTCTTCGAGCTAAGGGGCAGGAACGCACTGCCATTCGTGTGGCGGCTGTAGGAGGAGGAGTCAAAAAGAATCAATAACTTTATAAAACGTGGATGCTCAGAATTTAGGCCTAGCCAATTGTCATTCATTTCATGGCCAGCGGCACGGCTTGAGCTACAGGGAACCACAGCCCGACGAGCAACTTGGAGGTCAGAGCGCAGATTGGGAACAAAAGAGGTTGGGGAGTTAGGACTACACAGAGTCTGGGGGATATACATGATCAGAACTACTCTGTGCCTTGTACAGGTAAAGTATTTTGGTTTGGGGGGGTGCCTATCAAGCCATCACTCTTCGGGGCGGAAAACACCTAGAAGCCGCTCCAGGAAGAGGCGACAGGGCGAGAAACTGGGGCACGTTGGATCGTTCGCTAGGAGGAGGATTCCATTTTCAGCCTTGTTGTCAGATTGATGGAGAGATTGTCAATTGCACCAGTGAGTGAAGCGAATAGATGAACCACCCATCGAGGGTCAGTCAAACCAATGCATACGAATCTAGTAAACATGTAGAACGTGACTTGCACATTCTGACTCTACAGTGCATGGCCATGAAGGAAGGAAGCGACAAGAACACACATAGCCTCCACACGGAAGAACTGGCAGATTTATGGATCAAACACACAAAGACACCAATGGCCTCATCCGACTGTAACCCATTCTCCTGCCCAACGCTCACCGAAGCTTCGCCATGACTCGCTGGATGCAAACCTCCTTGGCCTCCTTTCTGATCTCCTCGCTCGCGTCGGCCTTGAGTTTGATACCCCTGGCGTCGGTGCCGGTGTCCACGGGGACTTCCGCTAGCAGCTTGAAGCCCAGGCGCTCGTAGGCGCGGATGGCCTGGTGCGTGGTGGTGTCGAGGAGGACCGGGGTGTTGGGGAACGCGGCGAAGTGCTGCTCGATCTGGTAGGCCATCAGCGCCGAGGCGTAGCCCTTGCCCGCGTACTGGGGGTTGCTGGCGATCATCTGAACGAAGGCGCAGTCGCCCTCCTGGAACCCGCGCGGGGGGAGGTCCGGGAGCGTGCGTGCCCACATCTTGCGGATGTTCTCCTCGAAGACGAACTCGATGCGGTAGAAGCCCGTCACGCCGTAGTGCCAGGGCAGCATCATGCCCAGAAGCCCCGACTGCCACAGGCCGAGGAGGTCGAAAGTCCCCATCCGCTTCTTGGGGGCCAGCCAGAGCAGGATGGCGCCTATATCGGACTTGCCGTCATCCGATGTGTTGGTTTCGGCCACGAGAACCAGCCCACCGATCCGTCTCGTCATCTTGACCAGGCTGCGATAGAACCGGACGCGAGTCTTCTGCTGGCTGTTCATATGTGGTTTGCTGGTGGGTGTGCCGATCATGACGGGCTCCAGCGATTGCGATACGCCATGGAACCAATTGTGGTTCCTGCGAGGTGTCAACCGGCTCCGTCCCATCACGCATGGTTTCAGGATATCAGTGACGACTCACCAAACCGGGAGAAATGAATTGCAGAGTATCCTCGAGAGCATGTCGTCCTCCTCTGGCTTTGCCGCTCGGAAAATAGGGGTCGACGCTCTCTCAGATGCCACCGGCGTTCTTTCGGCCTGGTTCGCCGCCATTTCTTGAGTGTTTGCTGCAAGCGATGACGGAGCAGCGGGATTCTTGAAGTGATTTGAAGGTGGAACAAGAGGCGGACGTCCTCTTTTTGAGGGCTCAGAAGATGGTGCATTGTGTCGAGCTAACAATGCCACCAGCGACCAAGTCCGTCACGGACATTGCGCGGAAGCGATAATCTCATTGGCTGAAGCAGCTGAACGAGGGGAAATACGATATACGACAAACAACTGCAAAGCCCATGTCGCCTGACAATGTAGTGCCCATCTGCACGAACAGGCTGCATAGCACTTACAGGTACTGCAGTTACGAGGTATACGAAATACCGCGGGTGCCAACCAACGTAGCTGTTAAAGGGCACAAGAGGAGACGATTGTTAGAGCTCCATGCAGCGAAGAGGGTCTTGTTGCTCTGTCCCAGATCGTCAACCTTCCAGAGAGCTTCGTTCAACAGCAATAAGGCGGCCACGCCGGATCCCTTTGCTCTCTCACCGTATTGAGAGCTATGTGCTGAGTTTGTCGTGGATTTGGCTCTTATCCAAATCGAGTACGGACCCAACCTGCAGAATACCGTCTGCTCAGACGCCATCCGCGTGCGCAATACTGAGAGTGAGGTCTTAGCTTTTGGGGGATGTATTTTGACAGGCTCGAATGACCATGTCTCTGGTAATTCAACGATCGAGTCTGCAAGGAAGATATATAGAGGGCTAAGAGAGGGAAAAGCAGTCAACTAGAATACATGGTTGTTGTGCCAAACTGCCTCCATAAAGCACCGCTTCTGGTCTTGTGCCTCAAATAGGGCGGCATCATCCTGTTACTAGATATAGATGAGAGACCGTGCCGCTTTTATATTTGCTCGACCTCAGCACTCACCCTCTGTCCTGAACTTTCCCATCAGTTCACCCATTCCTCCCTTGGCCATCACATCCAACAAGAATGACTGTGCTACCCCCAACTTTCGCTGACAACTGTCGGCAGCGACATCCAAGCGGCATCTTGATAATCCACAACAGGCAAAGATGGAGTGTGTTGAGCCTGCGCACGAAACTGACCCTCCCCGGCTTGACAGCATTGGAAACTGGAGGGCCACAAGAGCTCATCTGGTTTATGCCTTCACCGGATCCTGTCCCAGGATGGTAGAACAGCCGGCTCTGCAGAGGAAAAGGGACACATAACTTTCTCCGTGCATTTCTCCGAGCGATGTATTGTCGCTTCGGGGACAACACCAAGATGGACTATCTCGATCTGAGCCAGTTTGGAAATGCTGCGGCTTGAGTCACACGTGTTGGAGGAAGAACATGGAGAATCCGAAGAGACGAGACGCATATATGGCCGCTACTCCCCAGCGCCGTCTACCACTCTGCTAGTGAGCCCTCCATCGCGGCCGTGACAAACATGTCCTCCTTTACTTCTGGAACACACCTCAATTCCCTTGTGGAGGAGGAGAAGAAGTGGTGGAAAGAAACCATCATCTCTACCAAGTGTACCCGCGCAGTTTCCAGGACTCGAACGGAGATGGAATAGGAGACCTGAATGGAATCATCAGTCGTCTGGATCATATCAAAGAACTAGGAGCGAACATGATCTGGATCTGTCCAATATACAAGTCTCCATGGTCGGATTATGGCTATGACATTGCAGATTACTACACCGTGTCTGAGGACTTTGGCACCAACAAAGATTTAGACAACCTGATCGCCAAGTCGAGGGCCAAGGGCCTTGGGATCCAAGAGGCACTGAAGGATCCCAACAGCAAGTACAGAGAATACTACTACTTCAAAGAAGGGATCGGTGGACAGCCACCAAACAATTGGCGCTTCTATTTTGGAGGGTCTGCGTGGGAACCTGTTCCGAATGAAGACAACATGTTCTACCTTCATGCCTACACCACGAAAATGGCCGATCTAAACTGGGAAAACACAGAGCTGAAGCAAGAGCTTTACACCATGATCAACTGGTGGATTGGAAAAGGCATTGCTGGCTTCCGGATCGACGCCATCATGAACATCAAGAAGACCATGGTCGAAGGCCATCTCGAGCCCGATGGTGACGATGGGCTCGTAGCGATTGTCAAGTACATCCTCAATCAACCCGGTCTCAAGGACCTGATACGAGACTTGAAGGATAACGCGTTCGCGAAGCACGACATCATGACGCTCGCTGAGGCTGCGGTGCCAGATGATGAGCTGGAAGACTTTGTCGGGCGCCACGGGTTTTTCAATATGTCTTTCGACTTTCGGGCCGCGGATATCGACGTGCCTGGGTCGGCGGAGTGGTACTACCCGACGGACTGGACGGTCAACCAGTTGCGAGATATCCTCCTCAATGTGCAGACATCCGTGCAGAAAATGGGATGGGGCGCTATATATTTCGAGAACCACGATCAAAACCGCTCCATCAACAAGTACTTCGACCGGCACAGACTTGACATCTCAGATGTAACGAAGAAGCTTCTGGGCACCATTCTCCTCGGCTTCCGGGGGCCGCCGGTCATCTATGAGGGTGAAGAAATCGGGATGGAAAACATCCAGCTCGACTCCATCAATCAGTACGAAGATGCAGAGACCCATCACCAATACAACTCTGGCGTCGCAGCAGGACTTGCTCCCGACAAAGTCTTCGACATGGTCTCTTACCGGAGCAGAGACAACGCGCGCACCCCGATGCAGTGGGACGTCTCGGAGAGGGCAGATTCAGCACGGGCAATCCGTGGTTTCCTGTGAACCCAAATTATACGACCATCAACGTCGCCGAAGCGCTCAAGAACAAGAAGTCGGTCTACTACCACTACCGGACCCTTCTCCAAATGAGAAACAGCGCAAAATACAAGGTCATACTAGTCTACGGCAAGACGGTCCCGAAGTATAGCAACGTTGACAACATCATTGCCTACGAGCGCGTGCTCGGAATTCAGAGCGTTCTGTTCTTTGCCAACTTCCAGAATGACACCATCGAGCTCGACCACTCTGAATTCCGAGGCGAAATCCTGAGCAACAACTACGATGAAGCTCCAGGCGTGACGAACGGCACTATAACCATCTCGCCCTACCAGGCACTCGTTATCGACATCTCTCAACTCTCCTGAACCAATGGAGCCAAGGATACGGCCTTGCATGGGTTCTTGACATATCGAGTCTGACGAGGAAATCAATACCTACATCCGTCAAGTGTTTGAGACCTCAACTTCTATGTTGACGCGGGAAGACCCTTCGATAGTCTATATGTGTAAAATACTAGGAATCAGAGAGAAGGAGGATGATATATTCAGGTGGTACCCTCGAAGGCCTTCGGATTAGCCTGACTGTCATTACATCTCCTTAGATAGCCACGCCAATCACGGCGTCGTCACTCGCAACTTTGGCTAAACTTCATCGATCACTCAACTCAATCACATTCGTCAACACTACAGAGATAGTGGCACTCCGTCAAATCCGAAATTTTTTATTAGCTGACCCTTCAGCCCATGATATGAGAAGCCGCTTCTCTAAGCACTCATATGTGGAAAAGTCACTGGAAGGTAATAGGCGTAGACGGATATGGCAGCCTTGTCGACTATCGATCTTAACACATTGAGCTATGATGCTCTCGGAGACCTCAACGAACGCTTCTACTATCTTTTTGAAGACCACGGTAATATTGATGACCTCAGAGCAGCCCTGTCATTGGCGCCAGCGATAATAGAACGAAGCGAAGATGGGTTACAGAAGGCCCAATGGATGAATGTTTTGAGCCAACAATATGATGCGTTGTATATCGCGGCTGGGTCTTTGGCAAGCCTTGAAGCCGCCATCAGGTATGCTCGCGGTGCCATCGAAGAGTTTTCAGAAGGCAGCGACGGAGACCTCCTGGAGCTCAAGCTCAATCTCGAGAGGCTGCTGTGGAAGCAGTTCTCCACGCAACAGACCATACAGAACCTGGAAGAAGTTATCTCTGTATCCCGAGAAGTTGTCGAGCTCCGTTCGCGTGAGGACTCTGGCGTTGACCTCGCCATCGACCTTCACAACCTTGGACTGAGGCTTCACACTCTATACCTAGATCGCGGTAAGACAGAAGACCTTCAGAATGCAGTCGCAGCACAGAGGCGTGCACTGTCTTGTTCGGATTTGGACCCGGAGCTGGTAGTTGTGTTTAAGGTCGAGCTTGGCAAGAAACTGAGCGCCTTATATGGATTCACTGAATCTCTGGAGCTGATCGTGGAGACGGTTGAATTGGCTGAGCATCTCGTCAAAACCGCGGACAGACTCAGTGAAAACCATGCCGACCATTTAGAGACTCTCAGCGTACGTCTTCGGACCTGTGCTTCACATACTGGTTGTCTGCTGGACTATCACGATGCGATTCTGGCCGCACAAAGGTCGATCATCGGAACTGCTGTCGGTCACCCTCGGCTGCCAATGAGACTCAGCAATCTATCAAGCGCCCTAATTGCACGTTATGAGAAGCTTGGGTCCTCCGTGGATCTGAGCGCCGGGCTCGAAGCGATCGAAGGGGCCGTACAGATGCTTGAAGAAGCCTCTCCCGATGCAGCAGTAGTCAATTCTACTGCAGCTGATGTTTTCTCATACACATTCACACAGACTGGCAACATTGTCCATATCGAGAAAGCCGTGGCCTACCGGGAAAAGAGTATAGCCCAAACACCGCCACGTAGACCAGCCTTGGCCGGCCGCCTGTCGAACCTGAGCAACGACCTGCTGCTGCTGTATACTAGACGTGGCCTGGTCTCAGACATCAACCGTGCCACCGAAGCCGGCTTCAGAGGTCTCAGCCTCGCATCTGCTCAGGACTCAGCCCAACGATTTAAAATCCGGTCTGTGCTCAGTAATGCGCTGATCACAAGATTCCAAAGAACGGGGTCGTTGTGGGACCTTCAGAATGGACTGAACATTGCGAAAACGGCGTTCGAGCAACCTCCCTTGAAATATCTGCAGCCACGGCTTGTCAACAATCTGGCAAACATCCTCCACTTGCGATACAAGCGGCTGGGCCAACTGGACGATTTGACGACTGCCATTGATAGTATGGGCATGAGTCTGGAAAGTAAGGCAGGCAGCCTTGAAGACCAACTGACTATCATGGCCAATTTGGCATCCATGTTGCGAATAAGAGCGTTAGCCACCATAGGGTCTGCTTCAAACCACGATCTTCTCCGCGCAAAACTGCTGGGCTACTTTGTCGCAGACCATACATCCAAAAATCACCGTGACTACCCTACAAGGCTGAACACACTTATCAATGTCCTTCATCTTTTGTCTCAGAAATCGGACAATTCGAGGTCCATAAAGTATTTGCAAGATGCCATAAGGTACGCAGAGCGTGCGGCGTCTTGTTCGCCCAATGATAACCCTGAGAGAGCCACCCTCCTGATCGGCCTTGCAAACTTGTACGGAACACAGAGTCAAAAGTCAGCAGATGTTGCTGGCTCGAATAAAAGCCTCAACTGTTATTTGGATGCCTGGAAGTCACTGGCGGCTCCGCCTTTGAAGCGTATCAATGCGGCAACATTCGCGGCAGAAATCTTGTGTCAACAAAAAGACTATGGGAGAGCAAGCAGGCTTGTCCAGGATGCTCTCAGCTTGGTTCCTCTCGCCAGTGCGCGCTCTCTCGCCATCGGCGACCAGCAGCATGTGCTGTCACAGTTGTCCGGACTAGGCTCCTTGGGCTGCTCCATGGCATTGCAAGCAGGGCAAAAACCAGAAGAGGCGTTACAGATCCTAGAAATGGGGCGTGGGACGATTCTTGGGAACATCATTGCAGCCTCCGCCCCTGAGCTTGGAAACAATCCTGACACGGCGGCGCTGTACGAAAGATATTTCTCACTTCTAAACAGCCTCGATCGTCAGGCGGTCGAGAACGAGCACATATCCCGGACGTCGTCCCAGTTCAATATCACTGCCACAGTCGATGAGCAATACGCCGTGTTGCAGGCTATCAGGGGCAGACCGGGCCATGAGCGTTTTCAAATGCCCCCAAATCCTCTGGAAATGCAAGCGGCGGCCGCGGAGGGAATGATTGTCGTGATTTGCAGTACAGAGCTCCGTGCCGATGCAATCGTTGTCCGGGAAGGTGGCTTCTTGGTTGTGCCCTTACCGGAAGTCAATTTTCAAGACGTCGTCACCCGCGCAAAGCTCATAGCGGAAGACCTGACCTCGTACACCCTCCGCACGCTGGCGGCAAAAAGCAAGCAATTCGCAGAGCAGATGCACTGGCTCTGGTGTAAGTTTGTAGCACCGACTTTCAGAGCTTTGGGCTTGGAAACGAAGACTTCTGTTCAGGAGCTGGCGCGCATCAGGTGGGTTGCCGTGGGTGCCTTGGGGGTATTTCCTTTCCACGCCGCCGGAATACACAACCCTGGCTCGACCGACAATACGTTCGCGTATGCTATATCATCATATGTCCCTACGATCAGATCCTTGGTGCACGCTTCCAAGAAAGTATCTCCTATCATCAAGTCTGCCGGGAATCGCATGCTTTTCGTGGGCATGCCGGAAACTGCTCAGCATCGGGAGCTGATAGAAGTCAGAACATTGCAACAACAACTTGGGCAACTCAATTACGACGTCCAATTCCTCAAACAGAATATCCCCAGCAAAGTACTTGCTTGCCTGTCCCAGTGCGACATGTTGTTGTGTGCCTGCCATGGTATCGCTGACCGATCTAATCCATCTGAGAGCTACCTCGCGTTACAAGCCCTTGCAACCCAGCCAGACTCACCCGACCAAGAGGCCTCTGACCCGGCGGATGCGATTCTGGACGGCATAAATCGAGATGGCAGGCTTACGGTCCGTGCGATATCGTACCAGAATCGCGGACAGAGGAGCAACAAGAGCATGCCGCGCCTTGCGTTCCTGATGGCATGCAGCACAGCGACGATCAAAAGTCTTGAGCTCAGCGATGAGACCTTGCATCTCGCATCCGCCTTCCACCTGGCTGGTTGTCAACACGTTGTTGGCACGATGTGGAAGGCGATCCAGAGGGCTTCGATCGATGTTGCCCTGCATTTTTACGCTAGCATAGGGAGGCCGGTGGAAGTTCCACGCAGGGAAGTCTCGGACGCCTGGCACATAGCGGCTGCCCTGCACGAAGCTACGCTATCGGTGAGAGAGGAAAACCCTGCTTTGATACTCAAATGGGCCCCATTCATACACATCGGACCGTAAGATGCTCGACCAAGTCGACCGAAAGTTTGCGCTGGTGCCCGTGAAGGAATACTTTGAGTTGGAACGATCGTGCCGAATGGTTGATTACACATTTCATCAACTGTGGACTGATGGAAGACCTCATTACTACTGATTGCCTGACACTGTCCCAAATCCCAGCTTAGTTCCCACGAACGAAATATGAAACACCGTCCGCTTGATCCTGCCAACCCTCGAAACCTTCCACCGCATGCCCAAAGTCACCATCCAGCGTCGCCTCCACAACATCATCATCCTCTTCCTCCTCCCCACCCATCAGTGCCCAGTATAGCTTCCACCGCGATTCTTCTTCAAGGAACCCTTTGTCCAGATTCTTGCTGCTGAAGAAGCGGAACATCAACTTCCTGTACTGAATCGCGAACACCTGCTCTCCATCTGCCTTGAAGGCTCTCTTATGCTCCATATTGTCGCGCGTCTCCCCCCCGACGACAGGATTCTTGACCATGACTGTCGGGGCAGGGTTGCCTGTCATTGCTGTCATCATCTCCTTCACGGGCGCCTGGCTGACAATCTCCGTCTTCTTCTTCGCCGTGACCTGATCTGAGACCGTGGCATTGAACGCGGTTGCGTACCCTACCATCATGTACACGTCTCTGCCATTCTCGAGCGCTTTCTCCAGCCACTTCCGAGTTTCTGGTTCTGCACACGCCTTGGCAAAGTAGCCGTCCGAATCTAGCTGCTGAACCGTCTTGGTGTGGCGTGTTGACCAGAAGACGTCGCTCGCGGCCTCCTGGTCGGTCTTTGCCTCAAAGAGACCGCTGAGTTTGGCGTAGAGGGAGGTGCCTTTAGATCTCCGGAGGATGTCACGGACGTTTGACTGTGGTTTTTCTGCCTCCTGGGCCTTTTCTGCTGGGTCTCGGTAACTGTGGTTGGGCTCTTGGGTGTTAAGCACGAAGCGGCCGAGAGAGACGAACTCCAGAGGAAGCAGATTGTCTTGAACGAAGACGGCTGAGGCAGGAGGCATGGCACCCTCGTTGATAGTCTACTGGTCCCGGAAGGGAGGAAGGATGCCTTCTATCTAAGTATCAAGCTGGAACTCCAGAGATTGATCTTGCCACCTATTTGATGACACATCGATGGAAATATTGCGAAAACAACTTGCAGTCAGGCTGTCCTCCGGTTTCCTTCTGTATCCTGGATAGATGCCTGGCGTTAAGGCTGAAGTGGAGTACCTCGTACTGGGTATAGGGCGGCATGGCCCTTTTCCCTATTCGGGGAGGATGTGGAGCTCGGGCCCGGGTTTTACTCAGCTTGGCATCCCGCGAGTCAAACTGTCGTCAGGGTTCGATGGTTCGAGCAGCAGTCGACAAACGCAGGCACCGAAGAAGCATCGTCTTCAATCATCAATCCTTCAACTTTCCCCCGGACTCACGCCTGCCTCCCTGTTCGTTTCTCCACTGTCGTTCAGATTAGCCTTTGATGTTCTGGATGCGGTCCTGCTCCTGTTCCTCCTAGACGCAACACCCACGCGATCTCGTTCCCACCCAATCCAATACCACCCTTTCTCACTCACCTTCGTCATCCCTCCAACACACCCCTCATCCGTAACCATGAGGACGGCCGGGTACACCCTCCTGACCCTTCTCCTGTCGCTATCACATCTCACCGCCGCCGTATCAATAGACTGCCAACACATCCGGGTTGACGGCAAGAAGTTTGACCTGTCGAAGCTCGCGGGGCGGCATTCCGTCAGTGTCCACGACACCTCGAGACCGCCGGCCGAATACAACACCACATGGACGATCGACCTGTGTGCGCCGTTGAAGAAGCTGGAGGGCATAAGAGACCAGGATCAGTGTCCACACGGAACTCGAGGTAAGCCTGCAGCGATCGACTTGAGACGAAGAAGTTCGCTCCCAGTTGCGTATACGAGCTTGTTGGTTTAACGTTGGGGAACACACAGTATGCGGCGTTGTCCGATCGTGGAACCCGGCCGACGACCCGGAGAAGAAGCACGTCGAAGTTGAGAACGTGATTCCGGTCGCAGGGAACTTCGAGTCCAGCACCGGCGCCAGTCTCGATCCCAAGGTGTCGCGGTTGAAGGCACAGGACTCGAACTCGGACGGTCTGCAGATCGAACTAAACGGCGGCAACTACAACAAGATGAAGCAAAAGGCCGTGATCCAGTTGACGTGCGACAAGGACCGAACCGGTATCGAGAAGAGGAAGCAGAAAAAGCGCGATGGCGAGGATGATGCCGACAAGGACAAGAACAAAGACACGGACAAGGACGGGGAAGACCAACCAAACTCGTCCAGCCTGAGTTTCGTGAGCTATGGCCCGGTCGAAGGGAAGGACAAGATCGAGGTCCTGCGGCTCAATTGGCGGACCAAGTACGCGTGCGAAGACTACGCCGACAGCGACGAGGCGAGGAAGAGCGGCTGGGGTTTCTTCACGTGGTTTATCCTGATGTACGTGTGCTCTGCGCTGTCCTGCACTCGAGTAACTTTTCCCCGTCATCGTTTCTCCCAGCAGTACCTATACTGACCTAAATGTTCCAACATACAGCGCCTTTCTGGGCATCGCCGCCTACCTCATCTTTGGCTCCTGGCTGAACTACAACCGCTACGGAGCTCGGGGCTGGGACCTGCTGCCGCACGGAGACACGATCCGCGACATCCCCTACCTCTTCAAAGACTGGTCGCGGAAGGTGATCGACACCGTGTCCGGCGGGGGTTCGAGGGGCGGGTATAGCGCTGTATAAAATCAAGATAGGATCTCTTTTATCCCCCCCTTTTTGGGGTATTTCTAAACCTCGGTCGGGTTTGGTTTGAGGGACATACAATGCCAGTTGGACCAGGTTGTTACGGTGTATGCCTGTCTGCGTTTCGAAGGCAACCTTCCTCCTTCCCTCTCTCCCTCAAAATGGAGAAAGGGGGTAGTGAGTGACCTTGACCAAGCAAACAAACAAACTAAAAGACCCAGGAAGTGGGAAAAAACATGCCCTTTGTAGAATAAATAAACGAGAGGCGGCGGAGGAAGGCGAACCGGCCCGGGACTATTATATTGCTACTTGGAACTTTTGACGGACAAAGGACAAAGCAAGGAAGGGGAAGGGGCCTTTGCCTGTCTCTCGCATGGCATAGCGCGGCGCATGGACTTTGGCAAGAGAAATTCCTTCTTTTTTTTTGGATTATTTTCGTGATTCTCCTGGAATCCAATCCAGACACTTAACTACTGTACTCTCTCCGCGAGGTCATGCTCATGTACCATTAGACACCTACCATGCCGACCTATTACTATGTATGGTCTTTGGCACACTGCGAGGCAGCCGGCTACATAACAATGTCCTGACCACTTTCTATCTCGAAGCCTGCCGCGCCCGGAAGGCTTAGCGGAGGGCTTCATTCACAACAGCTGGTCTTCGCCCGGGACGATGTCCCCGAATTTCTTGGCGGAGCCGTGGCTCCTGGCGACGATGCCGTAGGCCGGGAAGTACTGTTTTGCGGAAAGGAGGAGGACGATGCAGTCAGCGTTTGTTGTTCTTTTTATCGGAGAAAAGTAAAGGTAATGTCTGTTCTACATGTAGACACAGACAGACAGACGGGCACAGACAGGGAGGGTACTGTCGAACGTTGAAATGCCTACCTTGTCCAAGAACGGAAGCACCTCGGCCGTGCCAGGAGTGTTTCGCCAGTCTTTCATCAGGAACATGGCGATGCCGAACATGCCAGTCTGGGGGTGGGGGACACCAGAAAATGTCAGCCTCGGAGCGCGAAGTGGGAGGGGGGTTGGTTCAAGATGATGGAGCCATCTTCATGCAGACAGACACCAAAGATGGGGCAGGAGATCGCGCGCGGTGCCTACCAAGTGTACTCCCGCATTCTCCATCCTCCGGTTCGCGACCTCGGCCAGCTTGGGCGTGGCCGTGCCGCTGGCCTCCGTGTTCGCCCACACCGAGTACCCGGCCTCGCGCAGACTCAGGGCCAGAAACATGGTGCACACCTCGGTGACGATGCCGCCCAGGATGACCTGCTTGCGGCCGGTGGCCTCGACGGCCTGGCGGAAGTCCGGGTTGTCCCAGGCGTTGACCTCGCCGTTGCGCCGGATGAACGGCGCGTCCGGATACATGTCGGTGATTTCCTTGGGGAGTGGTCCGTTGGGCCCGGTCTCGGCGGAGGTGGTCAGGATTGTCGGCAGGTCGAAGAGCTTGCCCAGCTCGGCGTGGGCGAGCACGTTGTTGCGGAACTCGGCCGTGGTGTAGTCCTTGACGAGCTGCAGGAGACCTAGTTGGTGGTCGACGATGAGGAGGATGGCTTTGTCTTTGTCGAGGCGTTCGAACTTGTACGGGGGTTGTTGGAAGGCCATGATTGCCGTGCCTATCTAGTTCTGGTGTGGTGTGCTAGGACGAGTGAGTCTTGATTGTACGGTTGGGATGTTAGCGATGGTAGACAATTGGAGCTGAAGAGAGTGAGTATCGACCTGGTGACGACAAGCATACGGGAGGCAAAAATGTAGAAGAATATATACGATATTCTCCATTTGCTTCTTCTTGCTTAACGCGATACACAGTAATCACACTGCTTGGTGTTGGATAGACGTTGGGCAGTTCAGTGGCTGGCATATCGACGAGGCTCGACGAAAAGGGCGAAGGACTTCCCGCTTCCGGCTAGATTCGCCGCTTCAATGACTAAGGTTCTGCCGTCCTCGAGGTACACGATACATAGCGGAGCTCTGACGTGGTAAGCTAAGCTTGGAGTAATTAATGGGTGGATGCTGTCCAAGCAAATGAAGCCTCAAGCAGCGCTTGACTGATGGAGACTTGTGCCCGTTGCACAGTCTGTGCTTGTCGTGGTTGCATACGTAAGGATCAGGTGCTGAGTAACCAGAGGGGCTGAAGGGGATAACGACGACATTTTCGCGATCAGTGAGTATGGAACTCAGTCTACATAGTATGCTGCAGGCCAGATATGCCTCATTAGTGAATGGCCGAGGCCGATGCTGTAGTGGGACATCGAATGATAGAGTCATAGAATCGTGAGAAGAGAGCGTGACAAGGTTCCAACTCTTTTCAATGGCAAAGACAATAAGTGCGGCCAAGACATCCATGCATTGCCGTAGACATGGCTTCTGCGGATCACAGTGCCACAGGCCGCTTTAGACGTCGAAATCGGTTGCGGACCTCAGCGAAGACACATGGGATATGGATCAACCCTCAGGACTACAAAGAAGACAGAACTCGCCTTTTCGACTCGTTTCCTAAGTGTACCGCCAGCAGGCTAACTCTAAGCCGTCACTTCACCTTCATCATGCTGTCTAGGAGAGTCGTAAGTCTCGAGATCTCACGTTCTCACCCCCACCACGTCAAGATTTATCCCCGACGAGCCTCCACCACCTACTCTCCACCCCTGGTTCATTGTCCAGATTTCGGGTAGGTTTTCTGAATTGACGATGAAATCAAAAAAAGCTCTCGAAAGAGGAAGAATCAGAGTCGACAGACGCCGAAGTCACCAAGGAAGACCAGGAAAAGATCAACACTTTTTCCAGACTGCATAATCGGAGTAAAGCTCTGGAGGAGGAGTTGGGCTCAAAACAAGTAAGTTGGGAAGTGATGCTTGTTTGTTCCTTGCACAGCTTTTGTGGATGGATGTCGTTGGATGGCATCAGACGGCTATTGTTCAAGGCTGGTCAAGAGCCCGCTTCAAGAGAAATCCCAAGATCTTCTAGCCACCATTGCCTCCCACAGCTGTTTTATTCAAGGAGCCTGTCACTAGATCGCAAGACTTCCAATCTACTCAACTCACCCACATCATCCTCGCAGAAAGACAAGGAAGACCTCGAAGAACTGTCCACCGAACTGGAGCTCGCCGATGAAGACTCATTAATTCCGTGAGTCGCACCTCACCTCCCGCCCCCCCTTCTTTTCCCCCGACACGCACACTGACTGACACACGAACTCCAGGTACAAGATCGGCGACTCGTTCATGCACGTCCCGCTCGCCGAGGCGCAGGAACTGCTGGCCACGCAGACGGCCGAGATCGACGGCGAGGTGGCGACGCTCGAGGAGGAGCTGGAGACCATCCGGGAGCAGATTCGCGGCTTGAAGGCCCATCTCTACGCGCGGTTCGGCAAGGGGATCAACCTCGAAGCCTAAGTACGGGGGATCGATTTGATTGATGTTGGGAAACTGGGAAATGGGCTCGCGTGCGTGCGTTGTGAGAGGCTCGGGGATGAAAGGATCCCAAGATGTGAACTAATCAATGCACCACCGAGCAACCACGTCGTGAGAGGGAGAATCTGGGATAAACGTGTGTTCTTGTTGGATTCGGATGCGCGAATGCCCCCTGCCCATGATCGCATTGGGTTCCCCTCAAAGACGAGGCGATGTTTTTTCATCGAAAAGTGTGACGGCGACGATTTGGAGCCCGATGGCGTGAAAGGAACGGACCAACCCATGCTTGGGTTGAGGGCTGTCTTCAGGACGGAAGCGACTGGCTTTGCTCTCTCTGTCTCTCTTACACACACATCCTGTCTCGCTCTCTCCAAAATCCAAAAAGTCTATCTATACCCCTATACAACCCCAATACCGTCGTGCTTAGGGGGAAAATGGTACAGAAAACCAATCAAAGGAGAGAAAGGGAATTGTACTGTCCACTGCTCCGCCCCAGAAATCGTACCTCAAAACTCATCCCGTCCAAAAAAACAAGGCCAGGGGGCGACACTCCGAAACAACAACAGCAATATCTATCCTACAACTTACTGTCCGTGGGATTCTGATTCAGCCTGACAACACCCTCCTGCGTACAACTGGCGATCAGCACCCCGTCCTTGCTCCAGATCCTCTGCATGACCAATCCCCTCCCATCGCCGGCCCATGGGCTGTCCATCTCCGTCAACATCCACTCGTCCGCCCGGAACGCCCTCGGGTTGTGGAAAAATATCGTGTGGTCCAGGCTGACCATCATGCCGATGCGGCGTTCGTCCCGTTTGACGAGGGCCATCTCGGCGTGTTCCTCCTCTTCCTCCTTGGCGATGATTTCGAGGTACTTCCGCATTTCCTTCTTCTCTTCCTCCGAGCCCCGGAAGTTTTTCAGCGTGCGCTCGATGTTGTGGCGGTTGGCGAAGCGTTGGAGGCTGTGGACCCGTGCGACCGTGCCGATAAAGTACGAATCGCTCATGTACGCCAGCGCGCTCAGGTGGGCCTGGTGGTTGTCGCCCGGCTGGTTGGCCCTCTGGCCCGACTGCAGTTCCTCTTCGCGCACGTTGGGCGGGCAGTCCGAGATGCGCCCGCGCGCGCGGATCCATTGTCGCAATTTGCGCTCCGATGGCGGCCCACTGCGGTTGGTGATGGGGACGCGCACCGACTCGAATGGCCGGTCGTCCGAGCCCACGTGCTGGCGGTCCGAGTCAACGTCGGGCGGTATGATGACGTCCGGGGGCATTCGGACCGCATGTTGAACCGTCTCTTTCCCGCCGGAGCCCTCCTTCATAAAACTCAGTGTTGTCGTGAAAATGCACTTGCCTCTCTGTCGCGCTTGCACGGTCCGTGTGATGAAGCTCTTCCCGTCCCGGACTCTCTCCACGTGGTATAAAATAGGGATCTCGCTGTTGCCGGCCAGCACGAAGTAACAGTGCATGCTGTGGACTGTGAAATCGGGTGGGATCGTGGCCTGTGCGGCCGAGAGACATTGAGCGATGGCGGCGCCGCCATAGATGCCTCGTGCGCCAGGAGGATGCCACAGAGGGCGGGCGTTGGTGTAGATGTCGGGACCTATGTCAATGAGCGGGAGGAGGGAGAGGACGTTCTCGATGGGAGAGTGATGCGGGAGTGACTTTGGAGGTTTGATGAGTGTTGCATGCTTGGACATGGTTGCAGAATGACGTGAGAGGTGTCCTGGCAAGAAAGATTGGTGGATGGGTGGGTGTGTGTGTGTGTGTCTGTCTGTCTGTCTACACCTCAACTCAACGCCGGTATGACGGAAGAAGATGGGGTACCTGGCGGTGGAGGAGGGCTGCTGTTAATAATGACCTTCGGAGCTTGCGCTTATCATCGACCAATCGTTCATTCTCGGGTCATTTGCAACATCTCGGAGTGAACATGAAGAGGGCGTTTCGGTGAATTCACATATGTATGATGGCAACTGGAATAAGTTCAACAAGTCGAGGGCGTTGTTTCGGCCGGAGAAACTATTGGTCGACGCAGCCAAAATGCCGAGGCTCATCGCTAGGAAATTCCGATTCCGCACCAGACACTCAACTCGGCACGGTAAGAAATCGCAAGCCTAAGATTTTAAACCGCGCATGTGGCATTGAAACACAAGAAACAAGATAGACGACCTACGCCAGTTACCTAGTTCGGGTGACCATGTAGAGATCCGCCGGGTTGATCACCAGAGCCCCCAATATGTCCCTGGGTGCCGGCCGATAGCCCTCCAAGTTTACGTACATTTACATATTTCCGTATAGTATGCCAAAAGATTCAATACATCAGACCGAGACGCCACGCTAAAAGTCCACACTCTTTTTTGACACGCTGGAATTATAACCTATGCATACCTCGTCGACCCTTTCAAGACCGAGTTCGGGGAATGAGAGAACGTCTGGGACTGCGATGATCCTGGGGTGTGTGGCCATGTCCCATTTTCGGTTCCTGGAGTCAGCAGGATGGACGATCTCTCGATCTCCTCCCGACGCCGCTCTCGAACTTCTTTAGAGGCCCCGCTCTCGACAGTCGGGCTTCGATCTCTTGATAGCTTGTTCGACGCCTGCCATTTGCTGGTGGCAGTAGGAAGGCTGTCGCTACGGGGTCGCATGTCCGGCTGGACCACTTCCAACCCGTCAGATCCCACGTCGTCGGTCGGTAGGGTGATGTGGTAGGTGCTCTGAGAGTTTCGGTGATTGGGGGACTCTGCCGAGTCTCGGGTGAGTAACAGTCGGAGAAGTTGTCGACGCTGTGCCTCATCTTCCGGGATGTTGTTCACCGTCCAGGGTGTCATTGGTATTAACTCCGTCGTGGAGGCAGCATCGCCGTAGCTGACATAGGAGCTTCTATCCCACCTCTGAACATGTTGTCTTCGTTGCCTGTCCAACTCTTTAATTTTGTTTATCTTTCTGTAGGTGAGAAAACTGAGGACGCCGGACCCAACAGTGGTGGTGCTTGCGAGCACCAACGGGACGTAGATGTATACCTGGGTCGGAATAGGGAACTTTTTGTGAAGAGCATGGTTCATGACGGTTACGAAGACGCCCATAAAAGAAGAGGTCAAAATCGGGAGCAAAACGGCATCGAAGAGAAAGAGCAGGCTGCGACTGAAATATGCGACAGCCGTGATGGCGCCGTAGCCGACAACGAGGAGCACTGCGGCGAGAACGGTCAGGAAAGTGCGGGACACTTTGATGTTGTCTTCGGCAGAGGTGAAGACGAGTGAGAATACAATGTATCCGCCCAGAGCGAGCCATGAGGCAGTGATGGCAATGGTCCTGAAGTACCACGGCAGCGCATCGCGTTCCGTGTACAGATCGAAAGGCGTCTCTCGCACTCGCTGGTAGTTGCGCTGCATCCTCCTTATGAGAACCGGTAGATCAAGTCTCGAGACATCCAGAGAAGGACAGTGGGATCGAAGCGGCTGGTGGGCATGCAAATGTGGTTCAGGACGGACGCTCAGCTAATCGATTGTGTGTCGCTGCTCAGATGGAGGTCTGGACTGCTGAGGCTTGAAGGCCTGAAAGGGCAAGGTGGAGGAGTTGGACTGGTCAATCAGCTACATAAGCAAACGAAGGAGTGGCAGTAGGAAGAAGAGACTGGGCTGACGCCGAGAGCGCGGTGAGCAAGAGAGGGAATCGAGACATGATGATTGTGGCCTGCGCTCGAAAGCAACGCCATCCAGGTCGTATCGCATGGAGGCGTCAGGGCGCAGAAGTCAATTATTGCCCATCAGAGCAGCCCGGAACATGCGGTAAGGCTAGTGCTGGGGAAAGGACAGAGGGTGGGTCGGGGGGGAGCAGCTGAAATGGGGGACTCCTGGCAGGCCTGTGATAGGCGGGAAAAGTGCCTCACCAGGCTAGTAAGCCTCTAATGGGCCCTAAAATATATTCTGGCAGGGCTGCAAGGTACCCAGCTCGCCAGCTCGTCGGCTACGTAACCATTGATTATTATTCCTATTGTTTACGAGGGCAACCTCGCCCATACTCGGTATTTCTGCTGACACCTGCCCTCAGTCGTGGTGACTGCGGTCACCAGCCACCAGCCACCAGCCATGGTTTGATCATCTCGTCATCTTATCTTCCGCATGTCCTTTTCTCGAGTGGCCCTCCTCAGCAGCTTGTCATCGACATATGCACTGTATGTCCCTCGCAACCCAAACAGCGATCCGACCGCCGACGAAACTCTCAACGTCAAGTGTGTTACCGCCCAGCTGATCCATCCACCATCCTCTCCGACCAACACCGGCCAGTTGTCCCAGGAGCTGAAGATGCAAAACAACTGCAATGCCACAACCCAGGGCTCAATTCGGCTCGCCACCCATCTGGGCGTCATGGCGGGCGGTGTGTATAGAGAACTGGGATGAGTTTCCGTCAGGAACGAGTTGAGCATCCGGAAAAAAATTTCCTTTTGACCATCTTCAGGTATCGTCCATTCTCGGACCACCAGGTCTTCCTGGTCCTCTTCTCCTGCGACCCGGTGCCAGTCGTGGACTGTATATCTCGATACTTCGATCGCACCATCCTCTGCCGTATAGACCCCGGATCGATCCCCGAGTTTGACGAATGCGCGTCCTTGCAAGATCTGAAGAAATTCTGTGTGAGTCTCGTGCCAATGTGCACCAGAAGTCCAAGTAGAAGCGACAGGCACGGTGATGGTCACACTATCAGCCTTCGAAAGGTCGTAGGTGACGGCTGCAGGTGTGGTCCGTCTGAACACCGTAATGTTGGAGGTCTGATTTCGTCTGATTGCCATTTGTTCTGCGGTCTAACTCTACCCAGACCTCAAGTTGTCACAGCCGCAAACGACCTCTTACCGTTCCTTTAAGGCTGTGTAGAGGCTGACAAAAGCAAATACGGGCACAATTCCGCCACGCAACCTACCGAGGTCACCTACGACCGAGTTAACACAACATGTTACCTGACGCAACTCGACGGACAGCGGTCTGGACAGATTCTGGCATGATATAACTCCCTTCAAGAAATGAACGCTGAGGAAATAGGTCAAGGTCGTCTATGAGTCTCGCACCTTTCTTCAAGAACACAGAATCTGCCGGCGTCTTGATTTCCAAGGCGCTTCTAACCCCCTAGCGCATGGGGGCCAGCCACGTGAAGGATTCCGATTCACGAACGACCTTGGCAGGGCGAACCCAGGACTAAAGCAGTTGGTTATGCCTAGTGGGTCCGGCGAACCAGCACAAGGCAATGCCCCCCATTGCAGAAACGAACTCAGAGTCCTGGTGTCTACGCCTCGCTTCGTGCGCCCGAACTGTACACAAGAAAGATTTAATTGGGCTTCTAAAGCCACTGTCTCAATAGACCTGCCTTCTCGACCGTCTGTGGGCTTGCCTAAAGACGCCTCAAGGCAAAATGGCCATGTATACAGTACCTACCTTTTCCCCGAACCCCCTCTGGCGGCTGTCACGTCAAAATGTCTATTACTCCAGCCTGATGTTCGACCTTTTACCTACCTTTGCTTCTCTGCGTCTAGAATTTGTGTTACTGCGTTTATCTTGATGACTTTGTTTCAGTCGCCCAATGCCGGCACACAAGTCTGCAAGAATCCGCCAGCTGTCAGGTGGTCTTTACGTAGAAGAACCACCTCCTCAACGGATTGGCCTTCAGCCTCGTTTCCGAGTCGAAACCATCAGCCAAGATGATAAAACCTTTGCCGAATCCGTTTTGAGAAGGGAGGCCTCCGCTGCCAGGGGGTCTCAGCCGCTGCTTCGAAGAGTAAAATCAAAGTTGAGCCGGCCTGACAAGGCTGTGACTTTGACCGCGCTATATAATCATGTCCAGGCCAACGGCTCCGCTGAAGTTGCTCAGATATACGTTGACAGACTGCTCTTGGATGCTGCACAGGCAAATATACAGCTACAATTGCCAGATGTCCTTCTTCGCACTGCTGTGAAGAATGCAAACACCAACCTGATCCGACTCCTCGCTCCTTTCGCCACAATTGAGACAGTCAGTGCTGTGTTGGAATCTGCAGTCCTCGGTCAAACTCTGCAGATCGTCACGGCCCTGCTGGAGTACGGCGCGGATCCAAACTGCTTGGACCGTGACTGTATACTTCGACTGGCTGAAACAGACTGTCAACTCCTTCAACTCATTCTTCGCGCTCCCAGACAGCTACGGCATGAAGCATTCGGGGATTTGTGCGACCTTGCTATCCGGGATGGACTGTCAAACGCGTTCGACGTCGTTCTTCGCAGTCTTCCCAACTATCCAATACTCCGCGATTCAGACCCTCCCTGGAACCGAGACTGTCTACTCGAAGCGGCGATCGACGGCCCTGATAAGAGTATGTTTTTCTGTATCGCCGCGTCTACGTCCACGTGGCCCTTGAGGGATAACCGTCTGTTTCTACATGTGCTGGACTCGACGGCGATAGATCGCTTACAGGCTAAAGACATGGTGGAGGTCTTGCTTTGTCTGAGTGTCTTGTCGCCAGCCTTTCACTCCAGTCCGGAGATTGAATCATTTTACTGCCGTTGTGTACAAGAACAACATGAAGATATACTGCGTCTGATGGCGTCTTACGGTGTTCCTATCTCGGCGGGGCCTCTTCTGATCGCATGCCAAAATAATGACGAAAAGATCCTGGACGTCCTCCTGGTCGGTACTATTCAAGGAGAAGAGCAGGTGGTTGCTCGTACCTCGCACCTACAGAGCGCAATACAAAGGAAGATGTGTCGGAAGATCCTCAGGCGTCTTCTTGCTGGAGGAGCTAAAGGAGTGTGGAAACACAAAGAACTTGTCACCGCGGTCTCGCTTGGGCAAGTAGAATGGGTTGAAACACTGATCGACGCAAATGCTTCAGTGGACTATCATAACGGCAAGGCTCTTCTCGAAGCCGTTGCGTCAGGGCATGTTCGAATTGTTCAAAAGCTCCTGTCTCGTCCTGTTTCTCTCGAGAGCTTGCAAGCGGCATTTCCGAGCATCAGTCAACTCGAACCTTTGCCGCGACGACTGCTTACGAAGCTGTTCATCAATCAGGGACTCTCTGGTCAATGTCTCGACGATGCTCTCAACAGGGAACTCTGCAACTATTCATACCACAGAGATCCTGAGTTAGTCGACATGTTGATCACATCGGGCGCTTGTTGCAATGATGTTTCGCTTACTGTCGTCTTTGAACACAAAGGTGCGGTGATCTTCAACAAACTAGGCCTTTCCAAAACAACACTCCATGGCTCGGTTGTGGAATGGTTCAAAAGTTGGCACCGTATGCTTCTCCTTCACGCTCAGCAGGAAGACGAGCACTCGCTTACGGCCACTGCATGCCTCAAGATGCTGTTTCGCAAATTAAAAGTCATCAAAACGCTTTGTGATGCTCATGAAGGTGACCGACGGCTCGAATGCCTCCACCAGTTCCTGGAAAATGGTGCAGCAGACCTAGATCTACTCTCAGCATGGCTGAAGTGGGCACAGCAAATGGACGGCGACACCTTGACCGAGCTTGTACTGACAGCAGCTTGTTTCTGCGATCTCAGCAGACTTCATTTGGTTATCAGCTCCAAACCAGTGATCAATCCGTCCCCAGCCGATGTTGAAAGTCCTAAGGTGGATTCTCGGTCGAAGGCAGCAAATTTGTTCTCGTTTGTCCTAGTCCCTCCAATTCGGCAAGATACACACCCATTCTCAGACACAAGGGGCGTCGAAAACCTGAGAGTCTTATTTCGCCAATATTTACGAGGCGGCTTTGAGAGTCACCTTGCGACGAGGCTCCTCCAGAGACACCTGGAGCATTGTTCCCAAGCCATCCCCGAAAGTGAAGCTTGGCCACTCCTTACACTACAATTTTTACTATCCCAGCCCATTGAAACCACACTACCAGAATTCAGTTCCTGTTTATACATGGCGATCGCTTCCCAGCAGTGGTTCGTTCTAGGGCGGCTCCTCGATCGGCCACTACCGCAGGAAATGGTTGCCCGCTTCTTCCTCGTCGACACGTCTCTGCTTGCGCCTCGTGCGATCGAAGTCCTTCTTGGATCCCAAGCAATGGCATTGATGAACGATGAGTTCTTCTTTGGGCCTGTACAGCGGACTTTCAATCATGCATGCCTGGCGCAGGACCAAGAAATGGCCATGCTCCTGTGCTCTAAATCTCGCTGCAAACTACGCCTCAGAGATGTTTTACTGTCCTTACAACAAGCAATTGATGCCTCGGACCTCAATTATATCTCAGTTTTGCTTAGTGCGACCACCTTTTCCCAAGAAGATCTGGAGATACTTTGGAAGCACAGTGCTCAACAACACCAAAGCATCGAATTTCTTGCTCTTGCGGTGATACTGCTCAAAGCAGGTGCTGACGGCTCATCAATCGGTGCCACTTTAATCGAAGCGGTGGAAAGAGACAATGAAGCTCTCGTCAACCTCATTCTAGCCCAATGGCAAGCCACAGGGTCCTCGCAGTGTCGAGAAGAGTTTGACTATGGAAGACGCCGGCCAATATCCCGAACCTCAGGCCTTGGCCCTGGTGCCAACTATTTTTCGGCACTCGCTCGCGCCCTGACGGTTGCTGTTCGTCTCGACCGGGCACCCCTTTGTCGGCACCTTTGTGCAGCAGGAGCTCCACTTGTATGTCAAGGACACTCACTCATTGAGCTTGCTGTAGCCCTGGGAAGCCACGGCGCTCTCATGGAGATGATCATGTACACGAAAACACGTCCTGACCTGGATGGGGCTGTCAGCTTCGCTCTCCTTCAAGTGGTGGTGCACAACCGCGAAACCTGGGTACAAGAACTAGCACGCCTTGGCGGATCAGTTGAAGCTTACGACTTTGAGTCCCTGAAAATCGCGGCGGGATGTGATCATCCTGGTATCTTGGGTGTGCTTCTGCCGTATATTGAGACGCCGCATGGATTTTCCGCCATTTGCCAAACACTTCAAAGGCGCCTTACCACATACGAGGGCGATCTGGACATTATTTGCGTCATGTTCGAGCAAATCCACAAAGCAGGCTTCCAGGAGAAGGAGCCGTACAATGAGGCTCTTTTCGCACTGTTGGCAGTCCGATCTGCTCAATCTAATCATGCAGAAATCTTGCTCGGTTGTGGAGCGTCTCTCGAGTACAGAGATGGCGAAGGTATGGTACAACTTTGGAGACGAGGTAGTGTGCGACTCTTCGCGGAACTTGTTGGGTACTGCAATCGCATCAGAACACGACTGTTCACTGAGGCATTTCGCGATTACATACGACAAGAACAGGGTCGTATCAGCCTCTCAGTCGCCGATACGCTGTCTGTTCTCGGTGCTCTCCTCGAAACAGATATACCTCAGGACGCGCGTGATGTCGCGCTCGACGTTACGGCCAGAGTTTGCCATCAGAAGCTTGACTCTGGTCCGATCATCCGACTGTTATTGGAAAAGGGGGCTCGTTTCCGTAAAGGAGCTGGGGTTTCACTCTATCAGGTCTGCCGCCTCGATGACGCCCAGATCAGAGCCCTGATTATCCAGAGCCCTCCACGTATCCACACTCGTCTACTGGCTCTTCGTCGCCTCTTCCGACATCAAGGAACAAGTGCCGGAGGCAGAGACACCGGCCAAGAGCCCAATCCTTCAGACCAGGCCTGTCTATACAACATCAACTTCCCGGGATCACCGGCGCAAAATCTCAACCTAAAAGCGTCAGATATTGTTCTCTTGATAGATTCAATGCTGAATCCCAAGATTCGGACTGTAGGGACTAGCTTGTTGTTCACCTTTTTCTTCATGCTAGGAGGTCTTCACGTGCTGTCCTCCCTATCCTGTTCAAATGCCGACCGCAATGACGTGGAACAAATGTTTGCTACTGCCATAACAAACTCGGAAGTCAAAGAATTGGATGATCGAACCGAGTTCCTGCTCAGGGTCATGCAGATTGACGTCCCTGCTCTAGTGAGCCTAACTGGAGATGGCTCTGGCCTCGCTTTGGAAGACAGTTCACTGAACAGACTACTATTATTGTCTCTGCAGTACAAAAAGTTCGGTTTGGCCAGTACACTCTTGGAGGCTGGTGCCAACCCGAACACGAGAGACGAGGATGGACGCTCTGCACTATACCTGGCCACAGTGGAAAAATCTCTCGACATTATGAGAACTTTGATCGAGAATGGCGCCAAAGAGGACGATGGAAGTCTGCACATCGCGACTTGCTGGCAGCACCATGAGGCAATGCAGCTGCTTCTCGGGGCAGGGCACGAACCAGGATATTGCTCCGAACTCTTCTTTCGAGCTACGCCACTCGAAGCTCTCTTGCGATTCAGCCACTCCGGAACAGGGTATGAACTTTTCGAAATGACGCTCGCCGTGCTGTTGTGCGATGTCGAGGTCCCCGAAGCCTTCTGGACGAGTGAGCCCAATCTTCTGTCTCTCGCTCTGATGGGTACATGGCCGTATCAAATGTTCAGTGCGCTACTGTGTTGGTTCCCTCCAGATGTGGTTGAATTGCCTCTCATTCGTCGCGACCGCTTCATGTTCTCTACCCTCAGCCTTGTCGAAAGAGGAGAAGATATCGAGCTCTCTGACGTCGAGCGGGTGGAGTTATCGACGCTCCTCGAAACACTAGGGTTCGAGCGATGTTTTTACGCCGTGGAGGGAGATCAACCCGAAGACGCCGTCAACGTGCCTGAACACCTAGAGGCTCCCGAATTGAGGGCACGGCGTCGTGCTTGGAAGGAAAAAGACTGTGCCGTTTGTGGCGATAAGCCCTCCGATCGCGACGCGATTCACGCGGCATTGTCCCCATCATGCGAAAAGAACCATGGGTGGGAGGCCGACATCATCTGCACCGACTGCCTGCAAGGACACCTCGAATCGCAGATGTTCCCTCAGGGTGGCGATAAATTTCCCTCGCCGAAGGTCAAATGCTGGGCTCCCAACTGCTCTGAAATCCTCAGCCACTCGATCGTCCAAGCCTTGGCCAAGACCGAGAGGTTCACCATCTACGACGCTGCTTTGGTTCAAATGTTCCTCAGCGCTGGGGAAAACATGGCCAAATGTGCTCAACCGATGTGCACTGGCGCGACATGGCTCGGCGACGACGACAAGAACACGACCATCTTCGCATGTGACGTGTGCGGTGAGTATACCTGTATCCAGTGCAATCAGCTGTACGACAAGCACCGAGACGAACCATGTCCTCAGGGCGAAGAGGCCAAAGGCGCCGAACGACGGAAGGAAGAGGAGGCTGCTACAGCAGCCCTCCTGGCCAAAGGAAAGAAGTGTCCCAAATGCAAGCTGCCGTTCGAGAGGATCGAAGGCTGTGACCACATCGTCTGTGGCAAAGACGCGCACTCGAGTGCGAGAGGACGTAAGTTTCATCTATCCACCCCTACTACGATTCGGTCCCTATCCCCGTTTGTCCGTGAGATCTGCTAGCTAACTTCCTCGGGCTTTCTGACAAATTAGTTGGCTGTGGATTCGAATTCTGCTACATCTGTGGCGCCGACTATAATGCCATTCGCCGGAAAGGAAACACGGCGCACGCGAGGAGTTGTGATCACTACGCATGATCAATACGATGAGATGTGGCAGCAACAACGAAGACGACGACGACGACGACGAAGGGGGAGGAGGAGAAGAGATGGTTCTTGCCTTTTTTCCCTTTTTTTTCCTTCTCCCCCGTTGTCTCTGTTTCTAATTCTATGGTCATGTCGAAGAATGAAAGCAGCAAGCAAGGAAGGAAGCGAGTGTAGAACTGGAGTTTATGTCCCTGGACCTGTAACACCATATGTAAAGATGATAGAAGATACACGAATAAACGAAACGGATGTGCTTTTGAGTTTGTATGTAAAATACAAACCATCCTAACCCCACCTGGTAACTTCGCCTTCTACGACTTGATTCGTTTCATTTAATTCGCTTCTAGCTCTGTCTGGCCCTTTTCTTTCTTTCATTCCTTCTATCATGATTTTGGCTTTTGCCTCTGATATCAATCAATCAATCAATCAATCAATCAATTCCATGTGTGGCAAATCGACCAGCAAGGAAGACGAGTAGAGTAGTAAGTCTGCGTACTCAGTATCGTGAGCTCCCGTACCCACCGCCGTACCCGCCGCCGTAGTCTTCGTTCTCGCCTCCGTCGCCATACCGACGCCGGCCCTCACCGTCGCCGTCGCCGTAACCTTCACTCTCGCCATAGTCTTCTCGTCTCCCGAAGCCTCCACCACCTCCTCCATATCCGCCTTCGTCACGGCCACCGTACTCGTCGCCACGCCCGCCGCCGAAGGAAGAGTCCTCGTCTTGTCGGGCACCGCCGAAACCGCCGGGCATGTCGTCGTAAGAGGGCTCTTCTTGTTCCGGGTGACGACGGCTGTATCCGCCACCTTCGTAGCTGGACTCCTCTTCCTGACGACGCCCGCCTCCGAAGCCACCGGACTCGTACCGTGGTTCTTCCCCCCCTCGGCCGTATCCGCTGGAGCCACTGTACGGCGCCGATTCTTCTTCCCGCCGGCCGCCGCCGTACCCGGCCCCACTGGAGGAGTAGTCGTCGCGGCGATGCTGCTGCTGCTGCTCGTGACGGCCGTAGCCAGAGCCATACTCGTTGTCGTCGTCATTTCGTCGACCGTATTCATGCTCCTGGCGCCGCCCATAGCCCTCGGAGCTTTCGGTCTCGTACTGCTGGCGTCGGCCGCCGCTGCTGCCGTAGCTGTTCGCGGAATACGGTTCCTCCTCGCGGTCACGGCGCTGTTCGTAACGACTGTGCTCGCCTTCTTCCTCATGATGTCCGTGTCCCCGTCCGTGGTGTTGTCGACCATGATGCTCTTCACGACGTTCACCATAGGGACTGTCGTTGTCATTGTCGCCGTAGCGTCTAAGATAACATGTTAGCCTCGTTCCCCGTGCTATGTTTGCATCTGCCTTTGCGAAAGCTGTGCGTTTTGACATACCTCGTCTCCTCTTGATATCCCCCCTCGGAAGTTCGCTCTTGATGATGCACCTCGCTCTGCCACCCTCCACCGATGGTCTCGCGCTGCTCAAAACGGTTGTATTCTTCATACCGCCTCTCGCCGCTTGGCTCGGTGGTCCTCGAGTACTGCGCTTGGCCGTATCTATCTCCCGAAGACGACTGACCGAATTGCGTCACCGTCTCGGTACGAGAGCCGTCTTGGCGGTTGTAGGAGTCGCGTTTGTACGTCTCTTGACCCTGGTTGAATCCGCCACCGAGAATATCGCCGCCGACCTGCCCACCGATCTGGCTCGTGATGCCACCGACCAGAGAGCCCAGGATGCCGCCGCCGACTGCTGCGCCGGCCATTTGGCCGAGCTGGTCACTAGGCCGAGAGACGTTCGGTGGTCTCCCACCACCCTGATCTCCACCCAAGACAGAGCCGATGGCCCCAAGAGCACCGCCTGCGATACCGGACGACTGGTTGGTGTTGAAGTTGAGATTCGCCATGCCGAGAGGCCGATTGTTTCCATGTCCGTGGTCCTGGACGCCAGGCTTGTGGTTTCTGCCCGTCTCGACGCCACGACGGCTGAGCTGTTCGCGTAGACCGTCCTTTTCAGAGGCAGATTTCCCGCGCCACCATTCCTCCACGACACCAAACATGAGACGACGCCCGTCGCTGGCACCATCTTGTCCGTAGTCACGCAATGCAGGGTGGTGAAGAACACCGTGGATGATGCGATTCAGGGTCCGCTCGACGTCGATGCGCTCGTCGTCCCAGCACGCCACGATCTGCGGAACCACCCATTTCACTGTTTGGTGGGCCACTTTGCCGGCGGGTTCGTTGAGGATGTTGGAGAAGTGGTCTTTGGACAGCATCGAGTGCGTGGGGTCTGAGGAATGGTCGTCGTTGAAGACAATGTGCTGCTGAGCAAGGCTGGATTGGATGATCTCATTGGAGCCCGTGTTGAGTTCATTCTTGACTTGGTTGATGACGGGCACCACAAAGGGGGCCAGCAAACTGAAGACGAACTTGTTGATCTGCTCCTGAATCTGGTCAATCAGATCAGGCAGGATCGGGATCTTTTCAATGGTTTCGGTGATGGACTGCATGATTTCGTCGTGCCATTGGATGATGGGTAAGATTTGCTTCTGCACGTCGTCAAGGTAACGCGCCCATTGCTCTGGCTGACGAGGGGAAATGTTGGCGTTTTGCATTTGGTGGCTCAGGGCATTTTGTTGCAACTCATTGGCCTTCCCGACTTGATCCTTTCCGCCGAACACGCCGGAGGGCAGTTTATTGAGGAGATCTTGCAGGAAGCTATTGTCCTGACTGCCATTCTGGTACTGTTGCAAGGTGTCGTCAAGTTCTTGGATCTCAGACTGCGTGGTCTTGTCGTCAAATTCACCGCAGACAGAATGGAGGAAGTCGACGCCGCCGAATGTGCCCGTGACAATGGGGTAGACGGGGTGACGTGCCTCGCGGAGTTGGATAGCAGTGCGGCGGCCGACATGAGGGAAGACGTCGCGTTCACCCATCTCGATGAGAGCAAGTTCAACGTAGTTGGAGTGCGCCGCATAATCTTCCAGGCAGTGGGATCCGGTACCAAGGAGTCGGAGTGCTTCGTACAGGTCTTTCTTGTTCTTACTCCGTGCATATTGTCGACCGAGCTCGATGCTCTTACCAAAGAGTTTTCTTACCAGACCAGCAGAAGTGTCGATTCCCATGCCTTCGGTAGCAATATAGTTCTTCAACCCGGTCTGCGGATTGATCGAGAGCTCTCGACGTTCATCGACAGGGCCGCGAAGGCGACGGTCATACTGCCTGGCGTCTTGGTTGTCTGCATAGTCCTTCGGGTTGCTGAGACAGATTAGTTATTGCCTTGGGAGGAGGCTCGTTCAGCTTACTCGATATGTTCCTCGGGTCGGTAGCACCCAAGTCTCTGACTGGTGACTTCGAACTCTCCCGAGCCATATCCGAAAGACATGAACCCAAGCACCCAAAGCAGGATGCGGATGGCCTCTGCGCTGACATATTTGACCGTGCCGACATCGACCGCCTGACTGTAGTCACGCAGCCAATTACCGAAATAAACCTGTCGGCGATTAGAATACGCCTACTGCTGTGAAGAGCCACTCACTCTCTTGACGTCAAGCTTGCTGAACTTCTTGCCGCCCATGGCGCGGGAGGCCACGATAGTCAACAAGGTGTCTTCGAGATCACCATGACGCCAGTTCTGCCCCTCGATTTTCGAAGTGGATCCAATGTTGCCCGCACCAAAAGCATGAGCAGGTCTTGCCAGCAAAAGGATGCCAACCGCACAGAGAAGGAAGAGCTGCGACGAAGATGGCGCCATGCTGGGCTGCAGCTATGGGATTGAGGATGTTGTTTCTGTTTCTGATCCTGCAACACTCGGGTCTAAGCCTCACGTCTCGCCCGTTGTTAGTTCGAGAGACAGCTGGAAAAGGGCGGTAGTTCTAGTAGGTTAGAAGTCTTTGAGAAGCACCTTGCAGTAGCAGACAGGATTTGATGCACAGCATGCGAAGGTGAATTTGATGTCACCGAGCACGAGTCAATGGCAATGGAGATGACGGGAAAGTGAGAGTTTGCAGTCAGTCAGATGAGGTTGATTCTGCCAGGTTTCACCACCCACCGAAGAACCAATCACAGGAGCAATCTCACCACCGACGCGGCTTGGCGATGCTTGTTCCTGGGGCGGTGAGCATTCGGTATGGCATCCCTGAATAGGGTGATGGAAATCTGGTAGCTGTTATGGTGTGATGTCGTGGCGGAGGAGATGCAAAGCAATTCACATGGAGCACTGGAATGAAGCTCGTGTCTGGCGGTAAAGGGGATTTTTATACCTCCCGGTCTTGGCATTGGTGCGAGGCTGAGCTATTCTTCATCCTTCGTTCTTCAATGATTCCTTTCGCTTAGCCGTCATCCAGTCGCCTAACGGCTTCCAGATGGCCAGTTTCTCTGCTGGGGTCAGTGTAGCCGCTAGCCCACTGGTAGAGGTGGCCACGAATGTCCTTGCCCCAGGCCACGCCAGGTGTCCATCTTCCCAGATCCTCCCCAATTGCAACTCCTCGTCTTGCCATCCCCAGTGGAAACTTGGATCATTGAACTTCTTCTGCCCTTTCTTAGCCATCCAGATGGCTTCCCAAATGCCTTTTCCGACTATGACCACGGCCTCGGGTTTGTAGAATGCAATCTTTTTATCGAGGGTGACAGCACCCTCCTCCATCTCTTGTTTACTCAAACCATCCCCACTCCTGGTAGGCCGAACGCATATATTCGTATTGCCAATCTGGTAAAGGTCCATCAAATCCCTCGTCTCGGATGGGAGGTGCTTCTTGGGGGTAATGCCAGACGTATGAAGGAGGTGCCAGAACCGATTGGAGGGATGGGCGTATGCATGGCCGGTTGCGGCTGTCATGAGCCCCGGGTTGAGGCCGATGCATACCAGAGTCAGGCCAGGCCGTAGACTGTCCACCAGGTTGTTGATGGGATTGTATGGATCGTTGGATGCTCGCTCTTTGGTCGTGCTCCTTCGCTTTTTCAGCCTGGGTGCTGTGGATAGTGCATCAGGCGTCGAGGGGTCGGATCTCCGACCATCTTCCTCCTCTTCCACGGTACTCTTGTCGTCTGCCTCAGTCTGGTCATGTCGCAGCGTCCGAGACCGTTTTCTCGGCGACGGAGAAGCACTCTGCGCCTTGGAGAGAACAAGTGCACGTGGACTCGCAAGTCTTGGGGAGCGTCGTGTTGCATCTGCTTTTTTCAGCGGGGAATATTTGAACTGCTCCATCCGAGCCTTGAAAGTGCTGTCTGCAAACTTAGCATTTGAAGGTTCCAGTGACAGTGGCTCTCATACTCTGCTCCACGCCAGCAGCATCCAACCCAGTCTCGTCTGGTTGAGGTGCCATGTTCATGGTGCCTTGCAGTTCCCCTGCAATACGCAGATTTGGTGCAGCATATTGGACTTTTGCTCCCCGACAAGTCTGGGCCCCGGTGGGAATTGGAGCCTAGTCTGCTTCTTGAGGTGGCAATGGCTTGGTTTGTGATACCACGATGCCAGCTTGTTGTGTGACAGCCACAACACCTCAGGAGCCCAAGGGGACATCTCGCCAGAATAACCTTCTCATACCACGCTTACTGATTTGGGGCCGATAATCTCGCTGCTCGAAGATACACCACAGCTATCTGCACGATCTGATGTATCGCATCCCTCAGTCATGTCACGTCGAACAGGATCGAATTTCGATCGATCTTTGATATAAAACCCTAAAACTGCTGCTTGGTAGGGCACCCATTGTGTGGATAGGCTCTCTACAGCCCTAGAAGCTCTACGACGATCCTGAGGTGACTCTTCAGGGTGGCCTCGAACAAAGCTTCCAAATTCATGACCTTGTCGCTGTCGCCAAACACATACATCTCCGTGGCACTTATCAGTCTTGCCCGAATCCTTTCGACCAACAGCTGTCGGTCTATAATTTGACGTGGACAGCCTTGCACTGTGTCATGTCACGCAACTCCTCAAAGCAATCGTCCCGTCCAATTCCAGATTGCTTGTATCCACCGAATGGCATGCTGAAAAAATGTGTCCCGACTGTGTTTACCCAGACAGTTCCGGCCTCGATACGACGTACCGCGGTCTGCATAGTCTTGATATCAGACGTGAACACCGCACCTGTCAGACCATAGTCGACAGCATTGACGTCTTTGAACAGCTGCTCCTCGTCGGTCCACTTCAGAATCGATACGATAGGCCCGAACACCTCTTCGTTGGCGATGCGCATGCTCTGAGTGACTTCTGCAAATATGGTGGGTTCGACAAAGTAGCCGCCTTGCGTGTCGGTGCTGTCAGGGACTTTACCACCAAGTACAAGACGGGCACCATCCTTCTTGCCGATATCGACGTATCTTAACACACGATCCTGTGCGGCCTGGCTCACTAGTGCCCCCATTGTTGTCTTTGGGTCGATAGGGTTTCCCGGGCGGAACTTGGTGGCAATTTTGTCACGGACTTGGTCCAGAATCTTGTCATGGAGTGATTCGTGCAGGAAAACCCTTGAGGTCGAGCCACAAGATTGGCCGCACCAGCCGAAATTCATTCCTGCGATGATAGCGTCTACTAAGCGGTCATGATCTGCGTCGGGATATGCGATCAGGGCATTCTTCCCGCCGAGTTCAAACGACGTTAGTTTCAACGTGTCTGCTGCTGCTTTCTGGATCGCTTTACCCGTAGGGACACTACCGATAAGCGTGACCTTACTGACAAGCCGGTGTGTTGAGAGAGTCTTTCCGCAGTCGAGGCCGCCAGCTAAGATATTCAGGACGCCGGGGGGGAAGACACCCTCCAGGAGTTCAGCCAGACGGAGCGCCGAGAGAGGTGCTTGCTCTGGGGCCTTAATCACCACTGTATTTCCCATGGCAAGAGGCGCCGCGAGGCGATTGGCAGCAAACATCAGTGGATGGTTGGAAGCCACAATGCGTGTGACCACCCCCAATGGCTCACGGATGGTGTAGTTGAAGGTTGAATCGTCGAGATGAGTGGTCTCGCCTTGGACGGCTGGGATGAGACCTGCGAACATATCCACCGTGTCGGCTGCTGAAAGTGCGTCACCTCGCATCATCACCACTGGATTGCCAGTGTTGAAAGCATCGAGGAGGGCCAGCTCATCTGCGTGTGCACGCAGGATGTCGGCCACCTTCCTGAGCTTCTTGCCTCGTTCCAACGACGGCACTGCTCTCCAGGCGGGAAATGCTGCGTGTGCCGCCTCTATGGCCGCAGTGGTGTCTTTCTCACCAGCGAAGGCGACTTTCCTGATGACTTTCCCGTCACCGGGACTGAATATCTCCCGGTGATCGCCATCCTGCGGCTCGTGCCATGAGCCGCCATAGAACAAGCCCCAGTGCTTGGGGAGAGATGCTTCGACGTTGGGAAGTGACATAGTGAGGAGGAGAGCACTGTGCTGGTGTCGTAAGTTGACTTGGACAGTTGATACTTGCTCCCTTTTTTCGAGTCTCAAGCCGTCTTCGTGCAGGCCTTTATCGTCAGACTCTCATATGGCCGATCTAATGCTGTGTTGTCAGCAAGCCAGAAATCTGACTACAGTTTCTCACACGTCTGCCCCGTTTTCTCAGTTGTCGTACAGGCAGCCTTATCCGAGTCCGGCTCAAATCAGTAGGGCGTCCATCATGTTTCGTCAGATAGGGTCCACGTACGGCAGAGGCTGTTGTCGAGACCGAATCTGCTCAGGCAGTCCTTTGGATCTCACCAGTGAGCCTTTCCATTTTATATTCAGAGCCGGAAGAGGGGTAGGGAAGCTGGCGACCGATGTGCCCCCGGATCGACGAGGGGGAAGGCGACGCGGGGATGCGGAGACGGAGACGGAGACGCGGCCGCCCATAATAGCGTCTTGAACGACGCTTCCATGTGAGAATGAAGCAATAAACCCCCTTTTCCAGTGCCGTCCTCAGAGATATTGTCCTCTCTACAAGCAGATCGTTGTGCTGTCAGCCCCTTTGGCGCTCTCAAAAATCAAGTTTCGGATGGAGTCTGAGCGGTTCTCCATCGACACATCGATGTGTCAGGCTTAGAGCCACTCACAACCACCAGCAGTCACGAAGAGGACCAGGATATCCCATGCCACCGGCAAGGTTCGATGTATCTGCAGACGAGAACACCCAACCCGATAAAATCGCCCCATGGACTCCAGAATCGTGTTCGACTCAGGAGGAGGCAGTGAGCGCGCCACATCAACCACCAGCCCCCAGCCCTGTCTCGGGCGTTTTCTATCATCAATGGACATAGCGTGAGTGACTGACAAGAAGCTAGAGGCGGGAAGGTTTCACCATCATATTGCCCCTAAAGAGCCAAAAAGTTCCTGTCAGTTGCTCTCCCTCAACCAGCGAGGCTGAAGTTAAACTGTGTGGTTGCCTTGTGCCGATTACAGCTTCTCGCCTGGCCCCTATCCAATCAATAGGCCAGAACGCCATGGCCAAGGCTATCCATCTCGTGTTGAGCTGTCCGCTCTCCTGAAGCATACGGGACAAGCGGGAGACCTTCAGAGGACTTTTTTTCTTTCGTCGAAGGTAGGTTCTTTCTCCTGACGACGCCGATGACGGGCTCTGCACCGTTGAGTTTCAGCCTCTGCCGTCTCGAAGTTGGCGTGCCACGAAGCTGTTGCTGTTGTATGGCTGGATTTCTTGAACTGCCTCCCCCTTCTGAAGAGAAGAGTCAGGCGGTCCTGCGACTTCCATCACCGGCGTGGGCTGCCGGCTGGAGATCAAACCCGTGAGGTTGATAGTGCGACGTTTCCCACCCCAGAGAGATACATCTACTATTGCCCATTGTCAGTTTACTGGTTGGCAGAGACCACAGTCAGTCACCCTTCACGCACATTTAATTTATGACAAGGCAGACTCAGACAGAGAGATGGAGGTTGAGGTTTTAGTCAGGAAGAAAAAGGAGGAGAGGGATGTTGCTGCTACTGGCTATGAGGACATCTGCTTCGAGGTATAAATACCCACGAAGACGCCGTCGAGGAAAGAGGACCATACGCAACGAACGAAAAGGTAAACAGAATCAGGAATTCACAAGAAACACCAAAGACTCACTCGACTCCCGATCCATCACTTCATTCATTCATTCTTCCCGCACATACATATACCTTTCGCGCCTCCTCTTGACCTCAACGACATGCCTGCGATCAAGTCCACCTTCCTCGCCATGCTGGCAGTCTCGGCCGCGGTGGCTGTGGCCCTCCCCTCGCCGCAGACAGCGACAGACGACGCTCCCGACGCTGTGTCATTGCACTTGGAAGTCCAGTGCGGGTGCTGGAACCTGTGCACGCTGGAAGCCCTGGGGGATGCTTCGATTACAGGCTGTGACTCTACTTGTGGTAAGTCATGCACCACCCATCTTTAGGAGAAACACCCCGTTCCTCTTTCTTCAGAGGCACGGTCGCCTCTATGGGGAATATCAGGATGGTGCAACATGCCGCCTGAGTGTCTCTCTGATCTTCCTGCGCAACAACGACAGGGCTAACATAGGGCTTTCCTTCTCATTAGATCCGCAGTTCCTTTGCGAGACTATTGATGCGCAGACCGGGGGCCCGACCACCATCGTTGCCGCCACCGCTACGCCTGCGGCTTCGGCTTCGGCTTCGGACAATTCCAAGCGGGACGGTTCTCACGGCGGCATGTTACCACCGCCATTCAACCCGTTCGGGCCGGGCGGCGAGTTCGAGACGATGGGAGAGGACTCCCAACCGACCAAGGTCAAAGGCAAGGCCAAACGTGCCCTCAACCTTCGTCCGCCCCCTGTGCCCACGATCCCCAGCGACCCTCCGTTTCCAGGGTATCTGGTTAAGGTCAAACGCACCCCCGAGCGGCCCATCAAGCCCTGGCCGGCGTGCGAGCCCGGCGAGGCAAACTGCCCTCCGGTATTCGAGCTGGGGACCCGCGAAGCCCCATCCACGGGGGAACGGCCTGTCGACGCTTCCATCATCAACCCCTGCCCACAAGGCGTCGTCTGTGAGGCGGCCGTGGTGGGCAAACGCGACCCAGAGCCCCTTCCGCCCATCAATCCCTTCCCCTGCCCTCACGGACCTGACTGCCCTCCACCTCCGATCGGCGACGCATGGAAGCGCAGCGCTGCAGAGCCCAGCATTCCCGTTCGCACGCCTACCGGCAGCAATCCATGCCCGCCGGATTCTTCTTTGTCCTGCGACCCCCCCATCCTCACTGGGGGGTTGTTGCCCTCCTCGGCGACGACGAAGGAGGAGAAACGCGACCCCAAGCCGCAGACGCCTGAGTTTCCGGACCTGGACGACACGGGACGGTATCCGAAGCACAAGATCCCGCGGGGGCCGCTGGCTGGTGACGGCGCGGGCGGCTTCGAGAAGCGCAGGATCAATTGGGACTTGACCATCAAGGGCACGTGTAATGGGGGTGGCTGTGGTGGGGAGGTGAGCGTGACCATTCACTTCTGATGGCGGAGATGGGAGAGGATAGGACGCCGCGAGGACAGAATTTGTCACTCTCGTGGGCAATGTTGGTGAGAGGCGTTTGTATTTGTCTCCCAGTGTCAGGGACCCTCGTGTCAGGAAGTGCGTGAAACGGATATAGCAAGGAAGCACAGTGTGAGAATGTTGATGCTAGGAGATGATAGATTGGAAGAGAGACGAGGCTGGGGGCCATGAGTTGACGTGGTAGCTGGTCTATCGCATCAGATTAAGCAAGACACAACATCCTTTAGACAACCCTCTCGAATACCGAGCACAGCTTCACACAATGGACAGACAGGTTTGATTGAACCGTGTCAAATGTATTCGTCTCTTCGGCCCTTGGGCTCTTCGTCGCTAACCAGGCCACATACATATTTTGAACGATACGTACCAACGCCGCACCTCTACCTATCTGTCGATATTTCCGGCCTACCCGAACTCTCTTTACCTCTTACAAACAGCTGTTCACACCAGACGCCTGTGTATGAGAGACCTCTCCTCCCTTCCCTCTATGCCCTTGCACCCCGAGGCCTCAGAACCGAGGCAGGGCCTTTCCACACTCCACATTCGTAGCCGTCAAGACTCGAGTTCGCAGCTGCGGTACCGCGAGCCTGGAGATCGGGTCAGTGGACAAGAGGAGAAGACACCTCCCACCGCTGCCTCCATCAAGCACTTTCCCCACAAAGGCCGAGAAGCCAATCAATCTCCGAGGTGTGTAATCAAACGAACAACGTGGTCCGGGAAAGTTCGAAAATGAACGTGGTCGTCGCGGACAACAGCTGTGTTGTTGTTGTTGATTGTTTATGTTCCTGTCATGGTTCGGAAATTTTGACGCGGAACCGTTGTATACCACGTAAAACCTACCTCCTCGTGCGTGCGTGCGGGTGTTTCGAGGGGACTTGAGTTTCTTTTCTTTTTCCAGTTTTCCTCGTGCTCCATCCACGCTCTTTTTTTAATATATCTCGGCTATCAATAGCCTATGGCACAACAATGTCATCAATTCAGGTACCCTCGTACGTACAGTACGTACAGTACGCAGAGTTTCTCTGTATGTACGTAAACACACAAGAGGTCCACATACTCGAACGAGAAGGAGGCGGATAACTACTCCGAGAACCATCACAATAATGATGTGGAGAGTCAACAGCAAGGAAATGCAAATATGCACAGACATACCCTAGTAGTGCCTGATGGCACTTTGCTCACTACTGAGTTTCGGACTCGGGACTCGGGATACAGCGTCGAGAGTATATGGAGAGTAGCAGTAATTAGTAGCAGTAGCAGCAGTAGTTAATCTCCAGGCGAACAATCCTTCCTTGGCTTCCCATTTCTTTCTTCCAAGGAAATGCAGCATGCAATCTTCACGCCACACAATCCGGTTCGATCCGTCGTTGAGATAGATGCTCCACGTTCCGCGCTCCAGCACCTCACCAGATCAGAGCCATGGTGTATTTGCCGAGAGCACCGTTCTCGTACTCGGCAGATTGCGTGCGAACACGAGTGAGTGGGCAGGGAGTGGACCAGGCGAGGTAGGGATGTATGTGCAATGTATTGTAGGTATTCCGGAGGCAGGATAGCGAGAAACCCGGGTGTTTGGTGTTTTGGACGAACTGCTTGGCCGTGCCCTTTTTCTTCCCCAGCTTTCGTGCCGCAGAAGCCGAGTACGAGAGGCCCATGTAGGTAATCTGCGGACGTCCTGCAATCTTGCCCAGGGCGGGACGGGGGGGAGGGGGGAAGGGCGCTTAACTCTCGTAACGACGACGAGCCTCAGATGGTTCGCGTCCACTTGACTCACTCGTTATCATTATTATTATTACCTCGTACTCACTCCTCCTCCTTCTGGTGGTTCTCACAAGGTTCTCGGTATGGGTCCTGGAGCAAGGGTTGGTACTGTACGGTAGCTTCAAGTGCCAGGTACGGGTACCAGCTAGAGAATGCTCGGTCGCAATGCCGTTCATGATTGACTCCCAGACGGTGCGACGAGAGAAGAATATGGAAGATTGATCGACTCGGGTGGTATCCGCAGTGAGCTTGTTCTCCCACCCCCCCCCCCCCCAATGTATCCAATCCTCATGAGACATGGTGAGAGACTGACTGGGCCAGCAGGGCTCCCGATTGGCACGGGAGAGGAAGACGCAATCATCATATATTTGGTGATTACTCGGCTGACGACGAACGTGACGCACATCCTCGCGTCTAATTCAAGGGCGTGAGCCGGACTCCTTCGCTCCCTCGCTCGCTCGTTCGTCAGCGGAGCGGACAAACAAACTAATTAAGTAACGCGAGACTACGCAGCACAAGGGAGATGAGGGAGAGAGAAGCGAAGAGATCCTACTGATCCGAGTATAGTGCAGGCCGCACTGGGTCCCGTCTCCGCCCAGGTCCTCTTCATCTCAGGGGCTCATGTAGGCAGTACCCAGTACGTGCTTACCCCTGGCACTAAATCTCCCAGAAACCGTTGGCGCACCCGTTGGTCGTTGAGCTAGCGAGGCAAGCAACTGGTGCGAAAAAAAAGCTTTGGAACGGTGACGATCACTTTCGTAGCCGAAACGAGGCACACGAGCAAACAAAAGGTACCAAAAGCAAAAAAAGAGGCGGATGGATCGAACGATGGATGTATTGTATTAGACTGTAAGGCCACAGGTTCGGGGGGTATATTTGTCCAATCTACTAAGCGATCAGAAAATGATGCGTACACACATGATGATTGGATGCAATGGGCATCTCTTTCACGCCATTCCATATGCTGTCAACAAGGCCGGCTTTCCCAGGACCACTGATTCTCTCTCTCGCGTTATGTGCTGCGGACTCTGCTTTTCCAAATGACATTTTGTATTGCGCACTATATTCCCCATGAAACAGATGCTAGAACTCAAGGAAAAAAAGGAAACTCATTACAAGAATATTTGCTTCAAAAACATATCACAGAGCAAAAGCGACCGCGAGAAGACCAAGTGCGAAGGTGCCTGACGACACCATCACCGACGATGCCGCACCGGTAAAGGATGATGTAGACACATTGCTGGTGGTGCTGGCACCCTCGTTCTGCACCTGGGTGCCCGAGGTGCTGTTGCCAGGGTAGGTGCTGGTGCCTGAGCCAGGGCAGACCTTACCAACGTCCGATGGGACGGTGGGGAATGCATCAATGGCATCGAGAATGGCGACGGCCATACCACCCGAGAAGTGAGACTGGACGTGGCAGTGGAGAAGCCAAGCACCGGGAGTGTTGACCTGGTAGCGGAAGACCATCCAGGTGTTGTTGCCCTCAGCGGGAATGCTGGTGAAGCCGTCAACGTAAGGAGGGTTGACCAAGTTGAAGGGGTAGCCGGCAGTGATGGCATCAGCCACGTTGGTGAAGTTGAAGTCGCCCACACCGGCGCCAATCATGTAGAACTTGTTGGCGTGCTTGTGGATAGGATGCGGCTCAGCCACGGGGCCTTGCACCTTGATGATCAAGTCAACCCATTGGTTGTCCTTGGTTTCCAAGATCAGGTCGCTGGTGGGAATGCTGGAGGGGCTCTGGAACAGAAGAGGCGGGGTGTCATCATCGCTGGTCATGTTGTAGGAGTCGGTGCCAGAGAGAGTCCAGGCCCAGGCCTCGGTCGGCTGAACAGGAGACTTCTGGATGTCCAGGATGAAACTGACATCAGCGCTGGGAGCCGGGGTGTTGGCGGGGAAAGGTGCGGCAAGAGCGTTGTTCAGGGGCACGATGGCAGTGGTATTCTGACCGCCATAGTTCATGACGGACACTCCCGAGGGGGTGTTGCCACCACCCTGGTACGACAAAACACCGAAGCCGGAGATGACCTGGTTAATACCCTCGTTGGCAACGCGGATGGTGTAGTCACCCGGGGTCTGGTCCAGCTTGACGAAGAACGAGACGCGGTCACCGTTGCTGAGACCGAATTGGTCGACGACCTGAGGAACAATGTAGTTACCGTTGATCTCATACACGTACAGCTTGTGGCTGTCAATGGTGATTTTGACCAAAGCCACACCAGCAGGGCTGATGAAGGTCATGGCAGCCCAGCCGTTGGAGGGGTTGACCGAGTAGGTGAAGTTCGAGCCACCGTATCCAATGCAGGTGTCGTAGGCATCAGCGGGCAGGGCGGCAAGGTTCTGGAGAGCCAAGTACTGGCCACCTTGGATCGCAGCATTGTTGGGAGGAACGCAGCCCTTGGCAGTCAGAGAGGTGCCGTTGAGAACCAGGGGTTCCTGAGGGGCAGCATCAGCAGTGAGGTCGGCAATGGACGGGCAGTACTGCGAGCCGAAACCGTTCAACGTGATGGAGTCACTGCAGGCCCAGTCGACGTTGGCGGTCTGTTCGACCTCGAAGAACTCGTTGAAGGTGTATCGGTTCCAGTCGGTAACAAAGACAGGCTCGACAGCCAGCGCAGCTGCGGTCATGGCATCCACATCGGACTGCGTGCTGCTGATTTGGCTGAAGGGCGTCTCGGCATCATCCGCGGGAGCAATGATGATGGCCCCGTAGAGACCGTCCATCATCTGTCCCTTGTAATGGGCATGGTAGAAGTAGTTGCCAGACTCGACTGCAGTCCATTGGTACATGTAGCTTGTTCCGGGCTGGATGGAGTATTGGCTGACACCGGGCACACCGTCTGCCCAGGGGGTACCGTTTTGGCGAATACCATGGAAATGGATGCCCGTAGCATTGGGCATGTTGTTGTGGACGACAAAGTCGACGCAGTCCCCGACCTTCATCTTCAATGGAGGACCGGGGAGAGAGCCGTTGGTGAGGATGGCATTGCGGGAGATGCCTTTGCTGGGGTCGGTCGGAGCCCAAGTCAGGTCAATAGTGAATGGAATGCATTTGGACGAGGATGCGCAGATGGAGCTGCTGGAACCGCCGTCGGCGGCGACTGTTTGGATCGAAGAAACGAGTGTGAGGGCGGCGACAGCCTTGAGGAGGCGTGCGAACGCCATTATTACGTATAGACAAGAGAGCAAACGAAAGACGGACTGAGGCTGGACAACTGTGTAGGACGAGGGGGTTAGTAGAGACAAAGAGGACAAGCGAAGCCCAAGGGAAAAAGATCAAGTCTTATGAATGAACAAGCCATCGCAAGCACCACCAAGCAAAAAAATCCACCACCATGGCTGATTTCCCCGAGGTGGATGCAGATTGGAAGGACCAGCCTGCCAGCCATCCTGGAACAAATACGGCCTCGCCAAAGTTTGGGTGTTTTGGGGGGCGCAAGAGCCTCCTGGTGCCTCTTCAGCCATGGACGCTTACCGGATTGACGATAGCTGGATCCTCCCTATCCACTCGGATGGATTCTGATCAGCCTCTCCCCAATTATCAACAAACTTCCTCCAGCCTCAGGCGCTATTGGGCGTTGACAGCATCAGTGCTAGAGTAAGATGTCAGCTTCGGCGACTGCCTCTCGGAGAATCAATGTGCATCATGCATTGCATACACGAGCGGACATTGCAGTAGCTGTCACCGTGTCGGTCGTCCAGAGGTCTGGCACCCGTCAACGACGCCATCAGGCGAGCTCATTTGGCTGAGATTGCGGACAGGGAGCACCCAACCCGGCCGTGGCCTGTCAGTTGGCGGCGGCAGGGATCCAGCCAGGCTTATGCACGAAAGAGGAGATCGTTTGGGAGGGCCACATCAATCAGATGCGACCGTGTGATCCATGCGCGGTGGCTGAACCCCAGCTGCCACACGGCCGCAGGGTCCCCACAACCCCCAGATGCCAGTGGCCCTGCGATTTGGTTTGTGCCCTGTTACGTGACGGAGGCCGTATTCAGAAGCAGCGGCTCCACCCTCCACTCGGGCTAGAGGGGGACCATGTTCTCTTAGCGCCGTTAAGCATCGGGGGCTAGAAGCTGGGTTATCTTCAGCTTGCTGCTGCGCCCGCCCCTCCCAACTTGGGACGGTTTGTGGGTTTTCTCTTTTTTTGTGTTGGTCTTGGGCCCGTGCTAGCCGAGTCCAACTGTTCTGGAGGTCCGTCCGGCTGAGGTGACAGACAGGCCACTTGCCAGGAACTCTAGGAATACAACTCGTGAGCCGTGGACTGACGAACCTGTCCGAAGATGTCCCGATTCAGGAATGCCTAACGCTCGAAGGAAGAACGCACGGATTTGATTGGGCCCCATCCCTGGAATCCCTCAGGAGTCTGTTGACTTAATCCCTTAAAACAGGTGGCCAGGGAGGGACAACCTGTTCTTGGAACTGGAACTGGAACTGGAACTGTTCCAAAAGAACTTGCATGCAGCAGGGCATTGGGCCAAGTCAGGTACAGCCGTGCCCGGACCGCTCTAGGTTGGGTGTGGGTGGATTGGCATCGCAGCGCTGGGCCACTAGACACCCAGCGAGCATGTGAGAAGACAAGACCTAAAAATAATCCCATCCGGTTAGTGTAGGTATTGGCTTCATGCGTGAGAAAATATGGATTCTTCGTACCTATGGTAGGAACAAAAACAAGGCAGCCCGGAGTCGCGGGAAGTACCTACCCATGAGGCAAAAGAACAGCCGAGAAGCAGGAAAAGAAGGTTTTGAAAAACCTTTTTGGCCTTGTCGGTTCAGTGGCCCAGGGACCACTGACTCACTGGGCCAACCATTCCACTTTGAACTCTAGATTGAGACAAACAGACGAACAGACCCTCTCGGTCGCGTTGTTGGTGTTGTGGCCATGACTCTTTCTAGCTTGCAGCGTGTGATCATCGTGATGCAGAGATACGAGTTCACGTTCGGACGTTATGAGTGCGTCGACGATGCAAGAACGGTGAGGGAGGCTGGGATGCAGGGAGGAGGAGGAGGTCGGGGGGCGATTATTGGAAGGAGGCTGGGGGATCGAAGGGACGAAATGACTGTGATGACAGCCGTGGCTTGATGATAGGCGGTGCGATAGACGGCGATGGCTTGCGGAAAATCGTTGGTTTCTCACACGTGGATGCAGTGGATGAGGAGGTTGAGGAGGTTGAGGAGGAGGAGGTTCTGGAGCTTCTGGTGGTTTCAGAACGAGCCACCAATGCTTGTGGGTTGCTTGGTGCCTGCCGCCAATAATGCCACCCATGGCGCCTGTGCAGTTACGTCAGTCTTCCTCGTTTGGGGCTCTGGGTACCCGTAAGGAACTCTACGGAGGTCATACTCTTAAGGACCCCCTCTTAGGGACTCCGCACTCCGAGCCCAGCCCAAACATTCACTCGTGACTGCGTACCGAGTACCTAGTGGTAGTAGGTGTCTAGGTAAGGGACATACGTATGATACTCGTAGGGCCTAGCGGGTGAGCCGGAGAGGGGATGAGATATTCGTCTGCATGCTGCGGTCACTGGCACGCCTACCAACGAGTACTTGCTACTCGCTACACAAGAGACTGCCTGCCTGCCCACGCTGTGTACCACCATATGAGAGAATTCTTTTCATGTTCCCTTCCATACTTCCGCACTTCCATTGTCATTCACACATTCATTCATTCACTCCATTCATCGGTATAATACGACGTACACATACTCACATCCTTCCCTTGGCTTCTTCTCCCGTACTTCCTATAATTAGGCCACTTACGTACTGCGTCCTTCGATACCTTCCCTTATGGTCATGTTGAGACCCGTCAACTAAGACCACTCCTTTTGCCTTCCTTTCACCTATCCACTCGCCCTCGTATCTGCCCCTCGAACTATGTTTGCATACCCTTTCTGCAAGGTTATCGTAAAAGGCCAACCATCTTGGGCGGTTTGACTCTTGCGTGATCGACACCTCTTTCGCGCCTCGTTGCGCCCCCTTCGCACCCCGGACCCAATCATCGTTGTCGGCCTTCAACAATCCCCCGTCGGCCATGCCCCCTCGAATCCAGAATCCCATCAGCAGCTTTGCGGTGTGCCTGACCCTCCTAGCCTCGCTCCAATCGCACTCGTCGTCACAATCCTTCCGCGCCTCGGTGTCCGCTGCGGCGGTTGGCCCAGCGGTATCTTCCAATTTTCCTGACCCGGGCCTCGCGTTGGATATCAGCAATGGCTCCGAGACTTGGTACGCCTTCAGTACCCAGACCGGAAAGATCAACATACAGCTTGCCTCTTCACCGGACTTTTCGACCTGGACGCTGCATGAAGGCTACGATGCTCTGCCCACGACGCCAGGTTGGGCCCGTCGGTCTCCTCATGCTGGTGTCTGGGCACCGGACGTGAATCAACGGCCTGATGGATCGTGGGTCATGTACTTTGCGGCCGTAGGGCAAACACATCCAGACAAGCACTGCATTGGTGCTGCAACCTCCCCGAACGTCACCGGGCCTTACACTCCTCTCGACGATCCCATTGTGTGCGATTTGCCTCGAGGCGGCAACATCGATCCAAATCTCTTCATCGATCCCATCAACAACCAGAGTTACTTGGTGTACAAAACAGACGGCAACGCGATTGGACATGGCGGTGCCTGTGGCAATACTGAGGCCCCTGTGGTGCCTACCCCGCTATATCTTCAACTGATGGATCCCCAAGACCTCATCACACCAATCGGCAAGCCTGTCTACTTGTTCTCAAACGCCCACAGTTTCAAAGAAGACGGGCCCAACGTCGAACGGCCATGCATGGTCTACCGTAACTCGACATACTTTCTTTTGTATAACGCCAAGTGTTTCACCAGTCTGCAATATCGTATCGATTATGTCGCCTGCAGGGTTGGCGTCGACACCCATACGGGGGTTTTGGGATGTGACTGGCATGCCCTCAAGACGCAGCAGCAGACGTCCAAGGACCACACGCTGCTCCAAACGGGCGACGTGGTGTCTGGCACGAAACTCTACGCCCCAGGCAGTATGGACGTGAGTCCCGACCAGCGCAGAGTGGTCTTTCACGGTGATGTCAATTTGGACTGGTTCGCGCGTGACCATCCTCGCACCGTCCGCCGGGACCGTGCCATGTTTGCCGGTGAGATCGACTTCTTGCAATCAGATCTTCGTGTCACTCAACTTTTTTGACGGGAGGCCCTAATGGAACCATCAAACGAGAACGTGGACCACGTGAGATGACACGAGATGACTCGAGACAACCTGTAGGATCGATAAGCTTTCAAAGGCCTCCCCAAGGCACGCACTATCATCCCTTGACCGCTTGAGGGAAGCGACCAGTCCTTCCTTTTTCCAATGGATCGGGCTTCCAATCTTCGTTCATCCTTCGCGAGTCGGTTTCATGATTAGAAGATCCAAGAAATCATCCAGGATTGCATTTCCCTTACTACATTCGGTTTCGACACATCTCAACAACCTGCATTTGGATTTTTGGGTCGCAAGGCTCTGAGGCTTCCGAGATCACTCAACTTTGACGATCCTTCCAGACGGTGCCTGAGAGATTCGCTTCCTTTCGCCTCTCTCTCGCTTGGCATCAGCACTTCATGTTTTACACTTTCTCGATCCTCGTTCTTACATAGACCTATGAATGCATCTATCGATCCATAGCGCCAGGAGTCTCGGGTTTTGGAATTCCACATTTGCAAATTGCGAAGCCTATGGGATGTCAGATGTCAGCGCTCCCTCGCTTTCGACCTTGTCCTACATTGTTTGCGAGGTGCGGGACATGACTTATCTGATTCCATTACGTTTGTTAAAAAAAATTTGCAACCGGCAATTGCTTAAGCAGAGCACCGGCAAGGTGCAAGAGTGAGTTGATGAATTTGTACATACAATAGAAAGACTACTGCGTATCAACGGCGTAAGCGCTACAGGTCAGGGATATTCCAGACTTAGAGGAGGACTCAAATAGACACATAGAGTAGACAAAGAATGGAAAGACATAGATTTTTCTAAAGTGGTATATCGGAGCAGTCCGTCAGGGGAATGCCATTATACCTTGTGCATACACGCAATTGGAAGCTGCAGTACTGATAGTATCTGTGGACGCAAAAGGGGGGAAAGGGGAGGGAGGGAGTGAGAGTATGCATGTGTATGTAATGGCCAAAGGAAAAGGGGTCACTTCTGATATATACTGTCTGTAGAGTATGTCCCTCGTACTCGGCCCGGCAGGGGAGGATCCCCTTGATATATGTACAACTAACTACACCTCCAACTGTCATGTGTGGCATGTGGCATGTTGTCATCCCATCATCCTGTACGTCTGTCTGTGGTGGTCGACCTATCATCTATTTTGTGTATGTATGTGTAAGAGTCGTCGTCTAACTAACCTTCAGAGTCTAGCCTTGCTGCTGTGTTCCCTCTGGCCCCCTATCTCTCCTTCTCTCCCAGGACCGAGGGTAGGACAGAGCAGCAGCAGGCGAGATCGAAATTCCCCCCTTTTTTTCACCCTTGACCCTTGGTGACCCTGGTGGCCTGGCCCTGGTGTGGGATGGATCGTGAACCGTTACACGACATCTCGCCGCTGTCCACGACAGAGCGACACCAAGATCTCTCCACTCGCGCAAAGGGGGCCGAGCGAGCGATGGCGCGACCGTTGTGCTCCCAAGTCTTCCCCCTCCTCCTCCATCATCCATGCTTGTGCGACATACTCGTGTGCTTGGTACCGAACTGCCAGTACAATGTCACTGCCGCGCGATGTATCTCGTGCACCACGTTGCCCCTGGTTTTGTGCAACCCCGCGAGATTGGGTCTATGCGGCTTGAGGTCGTTTGTGCGAGGCGGCGGCAGGCAAGACAAGGCAGGGGAGCGAAGAGCACGCCGGGTAAACAGTCCGTCCTTAGTAGTTGGCATGATGACTTGATGTCACCTACCTGTGTGCACGTCAGTCCGAATTAGTTAAGTCAGTTGGATAGGTCAAGTCAATCAATCACTCACTCGTCGGAACAGCCAGGACAGTCCCTGACAGACATCGCGAGTCTGTCCGACACGAGGGCTTCGCTTCCGGGAGAGAGATGTTTCACGTGCAGCCTCGTTCGTTCAGCCTTTCCCGACCTCTTCCTTCGAGGAAACTTCGCACTGCTGCGCTCTGTATACTCTGTATGTGTCGATGTCGCTCGGTAGGTGGAAGGTCCTCCTTTCCAGGGCCTATGAATCACTTGCCAGGGTGCTAGTCTGCCACCCTTTCCGTGTGCTTGTCCAATGGTACGTAGCAGTACCTACCTAGGCGACAAACAGAGCGATATACACGGCCGAAGAGGGGAGTTTGTATTAGGGGTGAACAGACCGAACTGCTGGAAGCAGAGGCTGCCCTTTCTCCCTTCCCCCTCGAATTCTCACGCTTGATGAGCGGAGGAAGAAAGTGGCTCGCTAGATCTGTGGCCCGTTACTGTGTCGATGGCATGATTTCTTGAACCCCTGCTCCTTGCAATTCGTGTGTATCTGGGAATGGACGACACTAGCGCCTCAGGACTTACGCAGACAAAAGAAGACAAACCGACTCGTCGTCTTCCACCGAGTGAATTCATGTCACATGTCGAGGTTGATGGGTTCATGAGACCGCTGATTGGCGGTACGAACGAATAGATTGATCGTCCCAGCGATTACGCATGTTTCGGATGACGCTGCTGTGGCGGGCGTGCCTGAGTCACTTCGGCCTCTGTGGAATCACTGTGGCGCCCGTGATGACGCCTCATTCGGAAAGAGCCAGTTCTCGGTCCGCGAACTCGCTAAACGAGCTTCAGAAGTTCATACATCCTCCTGGTCAGCTCGGATCGTCTTCGATGGTCCGTCGAGGAAGCAGGCAAGGAGGAGGTACGTTGAGTTGGAGGCTGAGCCGGGATTCACTGAGACAGGGAGCGTAAAATGTCAAACAGCGATGGGCGCACATGATATATTTGGTTGGGTGGAAAGGAGGGGAATTCGTGGGTGTTTCCGGGATCACAAATCTATATCGCCCTGTTTGCAATCATGTCGTCCAGCTGTGTTGTCGGTTCGCACGGACAATCCCACACGTGAACAGCCGATCTTGAGAGGGCCCAACCCTGCGAGGGCTGGGCCGCACAGAAGGAAATCGGTGTGGATCGAGAACTGCTTCCACATCATATCAAGAGCAGGAGGAGGCTCCAGGGCGACGCAATTCCCGTATAAGAGTTCCAGGTGGACAACGAGTTGCTTTTGGAGCGGATTTGGTGGCATCGGAGACTTGTTCCAGACAGAGAGTCATGAACAGGGGGATTTTGCAAATAGTCCAAGGTGTTTCCCGTCGAAATGTGGGATGACAGTTCTATCCCGGGCAAATGTGTGAGTGTGTTGCTGAGAGTCCAACGTGTTGGCGCAAGAGATATCTCGAGATATCCTTGATCTCGACGTATTTTGCTGGACCTTCACCTTCAATCTCATCGTGGACCGGCCTGATAGTCGTCTTCTTCCTTCTTGTCGTCGAACTGCTCAACAAAAAAACGGAGTGGGTTACTCCTGCGTTGTTGATAGAGGATTGCAAGTTCAAGCGAAGAGAGCACCACGCTAAGCACGCCCTCTGTCATCGTCATGGTATAGGGACTCCACACATACCAAGTTTCTCAGCATATGCTCTGAACTCCAAGCGTGCGTCATCACGAAGGACTGGCCATGATATGGTCACATTATTGAGTAGTGACTGACGATATATGCGCAATTCCTGCCAGGAAAGCTTCGCGTTGTCGAGCGCGCTTTTCGTTGACGCTTTTCGCCGTTTCACGCGGCTGATATCAGTGTCAACTCTTGAGGGGTGCGCTCTCAAGAAGATGTGTGGAGTAGTCTGGTGGTCATAGCATAGAGTATTCTGCATTCTGACTGGCGTAGCCGTAAGTGTCGACATCAGCACGTTCGGAAGGTCGTCATGGATGCCCTTCAAGCTGGTCTCCGTTCTGGAAATCAGCCTCCCCCTTAGGCAACGTAGCTCGGGAGGGCTTTGAGACTTCAAAGGAGAAGGCATCTCTTTCGGACAATGAAGTCCGAAAAACTGGTCGCGAGTCTTATGGCAGACTCATGAGTCGAATTGGGAACTTCGGGTAAGACTTCACGCCACTGCCAGGACATGGCTGTCCCAGCCCCCTCCCTCTTCTTTTCGCCAGTCATTTGCTGCTTCGTCTATGTTCGAGTGATCCCTCGTTAAGCGTGTGTCGACAGTGTGTGAGGGTCGGCCGTCGCTGAAATCTCATCTGCCACAAGACCCAGGACACCAATCGAGTAAGCTGAAACTGCCAAAGATATATCTCCCCTTGGGCCAGTGGCCCGTGGGTTATTCTCTTGCCTCCGTCACGGTGTCTGATTTCCTAGAGTGCTATCCGTTCCAGCATATTCGGAAGAATATCCTTTCACTCACAGAGCAAGCAATTCTCCGGCCTCAGGCACGTTCTTTTGAGAGGTCAGAGTGTCCCTTTATTCATTCGAGAATATCAGCTTAAGTAGGATGTCTTTTGAATGACTTCTATTCGGCATTGAGCCGGTTCAACCACAGCAGTCATGGTCTGGCTCGGTGCATATATCACATACTGGAAGTCGTTGTTGCATCCACAACCAGGTCCAACCTTGCGTAAGGTGACCGAGGATTGTCATGGGTTGCGGATTGTGATTCAACCAGAAGTCTCTGAGAAAGGGCGAGCACTGCGATCTATCCGTGCGGTGAGCCAACTGAATTTAGTACAGGCCATACTCACTGCTGCTGAATGGATGGTTTGATCGAAGCGATTTTCCTAAAAGAAAGCCCACTGGAATATACCGCCCCTGCGCCAGTAGACTGGCCAGACAGGCGAAGGCAGTGGCATCTCGGTTGGCAAAGTTGCTGCCGGCAACAAAAAGTCTCCTCGGCCCAGAGTGGCAGAGGAAACATGTCTTCTTATCGCAGATATTCAGTCTGGAGCTGTGGCGTGGCCAAGATCTGATTCCGCGGGCCTGAGGTTCCTTCTCAAAGAATCCGACTTGGATTCTGGATTTCCATAGGTGAATCAAGGCAACTCACTGATTGGGGAGAGTTCGGACATGTGAGGGGACGAACTCGGAAGAAGCCTCACCTTTGCCCTAATCGAGGCGGGCCGCTCGGAGAATGTAGAGATGATCACCGGATGAAGAAGCAAGGGTAAGCCTGGCTCCATGAACATGAGCCAGCCGAGAGAGGGAAGTAGTGTTGGTGCCAGCCAGCACATCAAAGGCTATCATGCCAGCGGGTGCCAGCCCACATGCATGCCTGTTTGTCGTGGTGTCTAGGAGGGAGGCCGACCCGCTGGAATCGCAATAGGACATCAACTTGTCAATTAGCACTAGATAGGTGTAGCAGCGTGCAGGGATCTAGAGAAGAACGCACGTCTGAACACTGCCGCCCAGGAGGGAAGGACATTATTTCGGCCGGAGCTCGCAGGAAGAGAGAGTGGAAGTTCGACTCCAAAAAAGAGGCCGAGAGAGATATCGGCTAATAAACTAAATTAACAGGTGACACAGACAAACTACCAATCATTACACGGATATAGATACACATGCAAACATCAACCTGTATTCATACCTAATGTCCAGATGTCCATATAGCACGTGGTACAAGACGCCCAGCATGACTGATAGAGCTGACCATTGCTGTCTTAATTATGTGCCTGGAACCTTTGACGGAAGAAACCTCTCTGTCAGGAAGAAAATACATGATACCACCCGCCCAGAGTATTCCCGAAGAAAAAGAATAGTGGCCACACCGAAGCATATCTTCAACCTACCACCCAAGCCAGCACGTTCTGTTCAACAGACGTCGCTTTCTCGAACCCCATATTGCGGTGGGCCTAGACATTGCCGTGTGGGATCTTGGCCAGTGAGCTCGGTTGTATACCTCAGAGATTCCCTATCGCTTCTCTGAATATACCGTTTGCCTCTCGTTCTTCTCAGCATACCTCTGCGTCCTTCTGTTCGTCATGCTCCTCTCCAATAATACGCCCACAACGGCGACGCCCACATTCAACACCTCAAGAGCCAGCAGTAATGCCATCAACCCCTGACTCACCTCACTCTCCATGCACAATCTCTTGAAGCCCGCAGGGATCGGCATGCCGTGGGTCACGTATACTGGAATCTGCAGGGAGTGGGCATCGGCCATGAATTGCGAGGCGCCGTGCGAGAATTTGCATGTCCACGACTGGATCGAATCCCGGTGATGGTGAGATGTGGGGTTGGTGAGGAGGCTGTTGAAAGGGATGGCGAATACAGATAAGATGACACCTGCCAGCGAAGACGCAAAAAAGAGGAGGTTGTACAATAGTGTGCGGGAGTAAGGCTGTCCTTCTGTTAGATGAAGGCGTCTAGAAGTGCCTCGGGGAGAATGCTTACCGTTGGAATAAGTGACACGATCAAATAGCTCAGACTGAGGACAAGGATGAGGGTGGACGAGATCAAAATGGCCAAAGTCGGTCTCACATCCACATCCGTTGGCCACAGCGGAGGTAGATGCCACTTCGAGCCCATGTGCGTGTTGTTATAGCTGTGCAAAACATGTCCCTCACAGCCCATGGCAGCGGTGGCGGTGGCAGTGGTCAGGATGGCCAGCCCAGTTCGGGTCCAGCGAAGCCATTTCGCCTGTCGCAGATATGCAGATTCCTGAGCTGAGCTTGCTGAATTCCGAGAATGTAAGGACGAGGTAAGGAGGGGCGATGGCTGGATCAAGAGAGCGGACGCATCGTAGGCTGGCGTAGGAGGTGGTGGTTCCAGTTTGTTCATGCTGGAACGGGACCTTGTTGGGCTGTGGGAACGAGTCTCGGTCTCTGAAGACGACTCAGGCCGTGAAGTAGCTGGACGGTCCTCCATGATTATAGAGGGGTCGCCCGGCGAGACAGGCAAGAAAGGGCAGAACACAAAAAACCTTTGGAAGATGATAAAATGCGAAACCAGCGCCAAACAGATCAGAAGCCGAACCAAGTGCAATACAGGAGGGCATGCAGAAACAGACGAGGCTCTGTCCTATTATATCCCAATCATAAGTTTTGTTTGTCTAGACTCACCAGGACGACCACGTCTTCGGCGTAGTCGTTCATGATCTATTCAAAGATCGGGCTTGTCTCTGATCTGCCTCCACGGCCCGACATGGGCGAATCATCATTGAAGCACCACCACCAGTAATACAATATTCGGCGGTTAGAAGGCTTGACTGATGAATGAAACAAACAGCGGGGAGAGATGGGGATTGGGAAAGATGACGGCCAGCGCTGTCCAAGCAAAGATGCAGGGGGGGGGAGTCTCTGGGAGAGAGAGATGCAGAGGAGAGATTGAGAAGTCAGTACTCAGTGAAGTCTTCAGCGCTTAACTGATGGCTTGGCGCTTTAGAGGCCGGCGATTGGCCCGACTCCAGGCGCATGCAGGGCGCTAAGCATATTTATAGTAAGGTCCGCAATAGTGGGTCCCTCTTCAGTCAGTTCGGCGGCCTGTGACTGGCCAATTAGACCTCATCTGCCGATCGGGATTGGATCGAACTCGCCAGCACAGCCAGCACACTACCTCGTACTCCGTACTCACCGACCTGAATAATAATCCTTCAAGTGTGCACCGGGAACCAACTCTGGTATAGTCCGCAGCTTCACCGACCCGGCCCCATCATTTGCTGCCAGCTCTTCTGGTTCAGCTGCTGGCACCCACTGGTGCTTGCCAAAGCAGAGAGTGGCCTCCACGGCCATTGGGCCCCCGGAAGGAGATGGCGTTGCACTGTAAAGCCGATTCGGCCATTGGCCTGTTTTCCTTCCACCATCATCCCAGACGCAGGCAATTCTAGCCTGCATTCCACGAACCTCATGGCACGCTGGAGGGAGATAGATGAGGAAACTAATTCCTCCATCTTCTGCTCGCTTCTGCGTCAATGCCACTTTGCCCTTGACCCAGACCCTTCCCTTTCATCAGGCAAAACTCTCGACTTCTGCAACTCTCTCCACCAGCCATGCTCGAAGCGGTTACACCACGGGCCGCCAAATGGGTCTTGGTGACTCCTGGCCCGCCAAAATCTCAAAACTCATTGCCATGTTTCAAACCACTTTGGGCGTTGCCCCGTGCCATGACAAGTCCAGTGCCGACACAACACTCCCCACATGACTTCCACTTCATGCATAACATACTGAGATGCTGGTGAATGAACTTCTGCCTTCCTTCCCAAACCAGTATCTCCCTCACCGGTTCGGGATGTCGGAGAATTTGTCGACCTGGTCCAGCGCAACCTTATGCACGCTTGGACCTTTCGATCCCTTAGGTCGATATGACCTGTCACATTCTGGCTTCCATTGAAGCTGGTCGTATCGAACACCTTTGTGTCCACGCCGTCTGTCATGGAGGGGTAGGCTCATCTGTTTGGGAACTCAATAATGGGCTGCCCATCACACCGAGTCGAATATGGAAGCAACCTTTTCCAGGGCTTGCACCTCATCCGGATCCACCCGTTTGCCAGACAATGCTGTAGAGTCTTCACCCGAAGCTTCCCCATTGCGCTCCAGATGTGATCGTGTCCGCTGCTCGATATAGCCTCTGCGCTCTTCCTTGAGTTCATCCTTGGCACTCGAGACGTTCATATCAGTATCTTTTAGCGACGCCAGCTTTGGTCTCAACTCGGCGAGCAAGGACTTGAGCGCGGGGAGTTGTGAAACAGCAAAGTGTGTGTTGGCGGTTAGAGGTCGACTCTCGGTGTGCTGAGATACATTGAAGGTCTGAGCAGATGCGCCGTTCATGAGGAATGAAAGGTTTGTTGGGGTGGTCTGTGTATTGCCAATCAGAGTTCTCAGTTGTCGTAGAATCGCCTCATTCCGCTTATACTCTTCCGCGAGGGCGTTCGATACAGTCCGCGAGGCGGCCAGCTTACGCCGCAGGAGTTGCACACTCTCAACGGTGGGTGCATTCTCTGTGGGTGGGAATGATATGTTCTGCGCACAGTTAATTGAATCCCTGACGCCACGTCTGCGCAGTCTCCCACCTCGTAATGGCTCAGTTGGACCCAGTTGACCAATTCCGCAGGGACGGAGAGGATGTTCCTGAGCACGTATATCTCAAATTTGTCAAAGTTCTTGTCAACCGTCGAGTTGAGCAATGTCTCCAGTTTGTGAAGGCCCTCTTCAATCTCTTTCTTTGCCTCGGGGAACTCCAGTTCCTCCACACCATCGTCGCCGATAGCCTTGACGGCCTTGAAGCCTAACTTCTCCGGAGGTGTCGTCAGCAGTCCAGTTTCCAGGCTGCCGACTCCTTGGTAAACGAAGTTGTTGACCGAGTTGATGATGTCGTCAATCAGTGACTATGGCTGGTCAGCCACCTAGATCTTGTTCCGGTGTCAATGTCTTACCAAAGGCGTATACTGCAGATGCTCGGTCAAGAGCGACGTCGCTCCTTGCGACGAGTCAGCCATGACGGTGCCTTCGAAGAAGCCGCGGGGGAAGAGTCACTATGCTGCGGGTGATGATGTCGTGTTTATGGTGTGACGCGCCTGGCCAAATGTTTTGGGGTCTTGGGGCGGCTCACTAGGCTGAGCGGCGCGCCCGGAGTGGTTGGGCTAGCCGGGAAACGACGGGCCTCAAATGACACTGAAATGACATTTCTCTTCGCTCTCACTTGACAACCACTTTCCCCTCTACCCACATCATCTCCCGCACATCAGCCCCGTTCATCTCTTTATCACCAGTCAGACCTCCAAAATTACGCAGCTGAGACGATCACCACCGTTGTCATTCTTGAATCTGAGCCTTTGTCCAGTTCACCATGGGTGGTCCAGGCGTAAGTTCCTATTCGACTCATGGCATCATCAACGCAAGCTAATCAGCTTCCTGCAGTCAGGAGGGTACAAAAACAAACCAGGTGATACCGAAACTCACTCAGCATGGGACATTATTCCTCAAGATCCCGAGGGCACTCAGGTACGGCCGTCGCGACCTGTTCGGCCCCAAGTTGCTGTCACTAATGTCACACCCAGAAGCTCGCGCAGGTACGATGCAAGTACTGTAGCAGAGAAATGGCCCAGCATACCTCCCGGCAGCGTGTCCACCTGCTCGGCTGCAAAAACTACCTGGAAGCGATGAAGGAACAAGGCATCGAGAACAGCATTACCCGTCAAGCCGCCGATCCTCAGGCATTCTTTCGCAGCTCGGACTGGGCGCAAAAGACCACCGAGGCAAAGGCTCCCAAGGTTTTCAAGATGGGGGATCACACTACCGCTGTGCGCATACAGGCACTGGCGCTGGCAGAGGCAACCATTTCATACGACCGTATCCAGGAAATCACCGGCATGGACCCCAAAGTGATAGCTGGCCTGCGGCGACTTGCGCGCGAACGCGGCTACGATCCCAGTGTCTCGATGCAACTCAAAGAAGAATATGTCGTCGATCCCCCCAACGCGCCGCGCCCTCGAGGCCGACCCCCTAAGAAGAGAAAGCAAGAGGACGACGTCGATCCTGCCTTGACCAACAACATCCAGGAGGGCTCTCGGCCTCAGAGTCCAAGCTATAGTGGCACACCTACCAACCGTAGCAATCTGCCCCCGGGACAGTGGGATTTCATCGCTCCGACACCACCACCTAGCGGGTACACGATGACCTAATTGCACATCGGGAGGTCTTTTGCTCTTGTGGTGACTATCCTTTGATGGTTACCTGACTCATGACATCCTGCCATAATTCTGGTTGAAGGAGGCCACTTACGTCCAAGGTGCAAGGGCGTTGCGGTGGGTATTCGAGCTCAGGTTCCCGGTCCAGGCTCAACATCAACGCCCTTGAGGTATGGAAATACTGTAGGAGTACCGAGTACGTCTACGGATAATGTGGGAGGAATAATGTATGATTACGAAGGAAAAAGGTGTGCTCAGGGAAAATCTGCGGGTTGAGCCATGGACGGACAGGCGTCATTGTCATCGTACACTTCAACAAGGGATGTAATTCAGGAAGGGCCTTGAGAAAGCGTACAGTAGCAGAGTGTAACGGGCTAGCAAATAGCAAATCAAACAGAAGTTGAAAACTGCTTGGTACATGCCGGTGAAAACAGCTGGTCTGCCCGCATTGAGACAAAAAGGCCCACGCCGTCTGGAGCCGGGCCTCTTGTTTGCAACCACGGCACCCAACGGTCAAGTGCACTTTCGGTAAGGGACATTCCGATAGCAGCCTTCATCCACGCAGTGACTATGAGAGTGGCTGAGCAGTGGCACCAGTGCTGTGTCTGTGATTATTTGTCTGTTTGAAACTCGGAAGGCTGTCCGCCGAGCTGCAATCCCCGGAGAAAAAACAAGGGTAGAGCCGCAGACAAGCTTTCCCAGAAGGATCGAGGCCCAGATCGAGGTCTCGAGGGACCAAGATCCGCGTGAAGCGAGTGGTATGGGGAAGGGACATGGCTGGTAAACGAGATAGAAGGGGAGCGACAAGGAGGAAGACAGGAAGCCCGGGGCCCGCCAAGTGCCAAGAACAGATATAGCGCTATCCCCGACAAGGAAAGGCGCACTCCGCCCTTTGGAAACGTCTTGTGCTTCAGAGTCGCGCTCCTTCTCCTGCCTCAAACACCATTCAAAACCCCCCAGCGCTTCGGATGCTCGTCGTGCCTCTCACTCTGCGACACTCGACTCCTCCTCCGTTGTGACTCTATTCCTAGCTATCGACATTTTGACGCCGGCCTCCTTGCTTCTTTGCCCTCGCCTGTCGTGTCTCAGGTTTCCCCTTCCCTCTGAGACGAATATGGGACGACTCGTCCACAGTGTGTCCAACCTCCTCCAGGGGCAATCATGACAAGGTGACGAGACTCTACGAGTGCCATGTCCCTGGCCTATCCAGATCCATAATCTCAGTTCCTAGATCCGGAGTCTCTCCTGTTCCGTCCTTTGCACCGCCTCCCGCTTTGTCGCTGGGCCTACATATGTCTCGTGTGTTGCCGTTTCGAAACTCGATTCTTTCTTTTCTCTCTTCATTCCATCATTATATCAAACAAAAGTGGTTTTTGTGTACTCCCAGTACCGGCCCTGTTCATTCCTTTTCTGCTGCTTGACGCACTGCAGTTTTCTGTTCTTGCGCCGGTCGCTCGTTGTCTCGCACCATCTCAGCTGTCCTATCTCCAATATCAAATATTAAACTAGCATATCTCTCTTTCCCTCACACCATCTCGGCAAACATGTCTCTCAAGACTCTTCTCACCTCGACCCTTTTCGCGGCGTCTGCCTTCGCACAGTATGGCAGCGGTGGTTACGGTGGCGGCAGCTATGGAGGTAGCTCCGACAGCGGTAGCGGTGGTTGGAGCAGCTGGGGCGGAGGCAGCAGTCAAGGACCTCCTGCATTGGCCGCAGCGTCTTGCCCAGCTGGTTGCCAACCCATGCCGACCGGCGGCGCACCACCAATGGCGACTCAACCAGGTCAATTGATTGTCCAGGTCGTCTCTGTCTCAGACGCCAACGGCTCTCTGAAGTACTTTCCCGACAAGGTCACCGCGCCAATTGGTTCTATTGTCCAGTTCCAATTCCACCCAAAGGTATGTCTTGTGCATCTGGTTTGCGGCTATCCGGTCTGACATTTGCACAGAACCACACAGTCACAGAGTCGTCGTTTGCTGAGCCTTGCAAACCTATTGCCGCCAATCTCACCTCGGCCACCCGCCCTGGCTTGAAGTCTGGTTTCGTTCCGCTCACCGGAACAGAGCCATTCACCCCGGTCTACAACGTTCTGGTCAACGACACAAAGCCCATCTGGATTTACTGCGGCCAAACCAACCATTGCGAAAAGGGTATGGCTATGGTCATCAACCAGAACGACTCCTCGCCCAATACTATTGATGCCTACATTGCCAACGCGGCTAAGATCCCGCTCGTTAATGTCACCACACCTCCCCCCTCCGGCAGCTCTCCACCTCCGGCCTATGGCGGTCCGCCACCGTCGGAGTCATCTGCACCTCCTGCTGCTCCCCCAGCTGCACCTCCGGCTGGATCCTCGACTTTCGCCTTTGGTGGTCCTCCTCCGGCAAGCTCCACGCCCGTTGCGCCAGAACAGACTGTGGCTCCGCCTTCGAGCTCAGCAGTTGTGGCCCCTGCCACATTTACTGGTGCCGCTGTTCCAGGCTTCGTGCCTCAATCATCAACCGGTGTGGTCGGTCTTGCTCTCGGTGCGCTGTTGGCTTTGTGGTAATACCTTTCTTGACAAATTGAGTCGATATATACACCCAATGGAGAAAACCCAAAATCCGGCGCAAATGGAGATAAAAGGAGAAACCTCACGCCGCCGCTTCCGGTGTTGCTTGTGAGGAAACGGGTCATGTCTCTGAACTCCTTCGGCAAGGTCCGAGGTTGAGTCGAGTCATTACAGGCCGCGATATGGAATGGGAGGGAGGTTATTGAATTGGAGTCCCCAGAGGACAAATCGGACAGTGCTCCAGTGGACGACTTTTTTGCACAAACATATTTTTTTTCTTTACCCAAATACCACCTTTTGATACCAAGCTAGCTGCATATATAGACATTATGAAGCTACATGCCACGTGTGTATAAAATATATATGTCCAAGTATAAAGATTCAGTCTTCGACAATAAGAGGCGGAGAACAATCGCTGCACCCAGGACTGAAGCTCGAATTTCTGGTGCCCTCCCCCTTCTCGGTGCGCTTCCTTTTGGCTTGTGTCTTGGTCAACTTCATGCAGCTCTTCTTGTTTGCGTCAGAACCCTCGCTTAGTATCTCTCTCTCTCTCTCTGTGTGTGTCTCTCTCTCTCTGTCTCTCTGTCTCTCTCTCTCTCTCTCTCTCTCTCTCTCTCGCGCGGTTCCTCACCTTTACCCCTGGCCTCCCTCTACTTCTCGTGTGAAATCAATCCTTCTTCTATCTGGTCTTCTGGAGGTTGTGCAAGCATGAACATTGACGATAGCCTTCCGAGATATACTGTAACACTGAAGGTCGGGTGAGGAAATTGGGAACAGTTCGCCCGTGTCAACCTCCGGATGACGCAATTCTCCAAACTCACCACACGCAACTTGGTAATGACAGTTATACACCTTTCACGAGACCTCAGTATGTAAAGATAAAAATCTCAGGACAGATCTGGTCTGTTCGTATCGACGAGCTCACGTCTTGTGCCCTGAATTTGTTCATGTGCGTGGCTGGATGAGCGCCTGTCCTTCTCGGCCAGTTGGCCAACCCTCTACCTTCACGTGGCGCGCCGAGAGCAAAGCACCCAGTGGGGGGGGGGGGAGGAGGAAGGGGGGGAACCAAGAATCGAATGTAATAGGCATTATTACGTAGGATATAATTCTCAAAACGGGTGCCCAACGCTGGTCAATTCGGTAAGATAGAATCCCACTGTCCACAGTAAGCATTTCCGACAGCCCAGGTGGGTGAATCTGCCGTGTCGCTGTCCACGTCAATTGTGTTGCCAACGCCGTTGGACAATTGGCCCGCAGCACACACGCCGTCTGCCGAGAGTGCTATATCGCACCCTGTAACAGGGCTGTGGACATTAAATGCCCACAGTGCACCTAGGGGATTCAGGAGCGCTGAGACGCAGCAGTCGTACACGGTCGTCGCATCTGCGTGTAGAGGAGATCCATTCCCGGAGAAGCCATCGACTGGAAGTGTATTGACATACAGGGCCACATTGTTGGTTGCCTGTACCAGATTGTTAGTGGCAATTCGCCTGTACAATCTTAGGGGGTTGACATACGCAAGCAGCATAGACGGTTGTGGTCGAGGTGTACAACGAGGCAACAGTTGTGGCGGTGTCTGTCTCTGTATTGGTCACGGTCGAGGTGGTGGTGTCCGTGACCGTGGTGGTTGTACTCGCTCCTAGAAATGATAAGTTTCCCCAACAGCATAGGACCTTAAGGATCAATAGAACCCACCTGGGGTTGTAGTGATTGTTGATACGATAGTAGTTGTTGCAGTAATTGTCGATGTCGGTGCTGACGTTGTTATAGTTGTCGTAGTGGTGGAGCACTTGCTGTGATATTCGTAGCACCACACATTTCCACGCCCTCCTGGTCGGACGAAGCCGGGGCTATAACCACGTTGAATTGGGGACACGTCCACGCTGGCATCAACATTGGCACCAGCGCTGAGCCCGCGGTTCTTCAACAGATTTTGGCTGTCGGAGGCGCCTGGCACCGTTGATCCGACGGGCAAGAAACCAGTCGACGCTGGTACAAGCGATGTGCTCTCGGTCGTGGTGGTGGTGGTTGTGGTGGTGGTTGTCGTTGTCGTTGTTGTCGTTAGGTCTGTCTCGGTCGTGGTCTCAGTCGCGGTCAAGGTAGTAGCAGGTGCCGTCGAGGTTGTCGAAGTAGTCACAGTGACGGTCGAGGTCGTGGTTGGTGTAGCGGTGCTAGTAATCGTAATTGTCGATGTGCAAGAAGTCGTCAACGTCGACCAGCTTGTATGAGGAGCCCGTGGCGGGTTTGTGACAACCGAGGTGTAGCATTTCGTAGGGTACCTAGGAGGGAAGCCTGGACCAGGAGCTGCAATGGCCGCAATAACGAAAACGAGCAGAATGGCAAAGCAGTTTGCGAGCGAGCGTGAGTGCATGTTTGCAACTCTTTGAAAGAATGGACAGGGGAGATATCCCCCTTGGAAAGAATGTGATGACCAAAGAACACCGTCGAGGGCATGACGAGAGCGCTGGCCATAGTCGTCCACTTATACTTTGTACCAGTCGTCACAATCGAGTGCAGAGACGCCGGAGAGGGTATGCAGATCCTTAATGGCTTGCTATATTCGACCAAAGGCCTGCCCGTTTCCGGAAAAATAGTCTCCGCCCTTTGTTTGCGTCGTCGCATGGCTAGCCAGACTGAGGAGAACACCTCTCGGTCGAGGCTGACTACTGCCTGGGGAAATTGGATGGGGCGGCTAAGATGTAGAGTGAGACTTAGTGTAGGCATTGGAAGTCTGAGTGCAGGTGGAGCAGTGAACTTCGATTAAAATCTGCCTACGAGTCTCTCTGCGATGTGGAGCTGTTCCCCCGAGCCAGGTCTCACCCCTTTTGCTGCAAAGCGGGAGTTCACCTGCACCTTGCTCGCTAGGGGTGACGTCTGTTGCGAGATTGTTGTGACCGACCACGCCTTCTGTTCGGTCTTCAGGAGAAGGCACATCGAGGTCAGCCTTCACTGCTGCACTGCATATTGAGGTCTCCTTGACGGCTGTTTTCACGAGCACTGGCTCCTTGGGGGTTCAAGTTCGCGAGATAACAAGGCAAGTACTTGAACATGGTAGAAGGTGAAAAAGGAACTAGCTAGCTATGGAACGAGAGAGAATCTACAGTACATGTACATGAAAGTGGGTATACCTCGACCCCTTGGCGCATGGTCACGTGCTCAAGTGCTTAGAGACCGTTGGCCCCATCAACCGTCTCACGTCGTGATCCTCGCCATGATGCAAAGGTTCCAATGCCACCAGGGCCTCCGAGGTTTACGAATATGTACTTAACAAGCATTTGAGCAGCCGAAGCACGCTCCTGTGGGTTGGCGATCCCCATTTCCTGAGTCTTGGAAACTGCGTCATCGTTCAAGACACGGATGATATTCTTCTGATACTCGGCCGGGCGCTCCTCATGCTCCGTCACGTCCCTGATTAAAGCGGCCTGGCTCCCTTTCCTGAACGGAGATGGCAAGGGACGAAACTGAATATCTTCATCTACATCGATTGCACCCCCATGGCCATCGGCACCGGCTTACATTCGACTATTCACCCGTCAGCCAGTCACGCAAGCTGGAAATCGTATCAGGGTTTGCAAGGGCTCAGCTTTGGTTTGATGGGCCAGATGCCTATCTTTGCCACTGTCCTTCTGCGTTCGCTAAAGGTGGACACACCAGATGTTGACGCCCAGGCTCTGCTTTTCGCTCGGTCAGGAGAAGTCAGAAAGTTTGTGGCATCTGAGCAACTACCTCAGGCCCTGCACGCTTTTAACAACGCAATCGATTCAACCCTTATTTTTTTTTTCTACTAGTACGTCCGTTGCCGGCACTCCTCATAAGCCTAGAGATAGAGTGGATAGATGTGAAAGGAAAAACACGATGGTTGCTTCCAGCGAAGAAGAGACGTAACTGATCGTTGGATAACGCAAGCTTTGCTATTTGCCCAGCAATGAGCTACTCCTGGTGTTGCCCCTAGAGAGATATATCTCTATAAGTCTGTTGCAATAATTCTCTGCCCACGTCGCTTCGGTACCAAATTCGCTCAGCTTCCCATCCAAAATCTTTCACGACGTACTATATGACATTGAGAACGTCGAATCACTTGACGTAGGTCCTGACTTTATCACAGGGAGTTCTCATTTGACATCGAGTCCACCTGTTTTGTGGATGCTCATTCTCTGGAGACAAAACTTTTCTCTCTTCCTCTCCCTTTTATCACCCTATCAGGCTAAACAGAAGCCTCAACCATGGTACCATCAAAGTAAAAAAGGTGAAGACAACGAATAGAGTCCAAGGGTCTGATAGACTTGTGAGCGGTTCGTATCTTCCTCGTGTGCGATACCTCCGGAGTGTCACTGATCTGGACGTTTCCAGATGTCCAAGAGATGTCAGGACCAACAAAGTAACGACAGACATTGCCAGCAACCCTAGGAATTTGTCTGCAATGTTATGGGTCTCCTGCATCTGCAAGTGGCAGAAAAAAGCAAGAAGGAATATTAGGAGAGGATAGATGGCGACAATGCACACAGGGGGATTCCGAGAGTCATCAAGCCAGCCAGGCACGCCCATTGCTTGCGGTATGCGTTCTTAGCTAGATGTATTCAACTGCCGTGATTGATGGGTCTGAGGAAATTCAGGGTTTCAAAGTAATCATGAAAGTAGCAATTATTATTATTAAACCTCGATGATTTATGTCCCAAATGATGGATGGTTAGGACAAGGCGGCGAACTGTTACTGTAGCCTGTCAGCCTTATCAACCTCTTGAGAGGGAACCGTAAGCGCCCAGGAGCCGTATTTCCCTGGTTACTTCCACCACCGTCCGTCTCGATTGAGCTACCTTATGTAGACAGAGACAAGGCACGACGAGGCGAGGGCGAGACAAAGGAGAACAAGGTAGGATAAGAAAAGGAGGTGGACAGATATACCTGGTAAATGGACTAGTTTAATAGTATAGACATAGATATAGATATCGGATTATTCTCTCTCCTGGCACGTCAACGGTACATGGCTGGTCATGCTCTCTACTCGTAGGCGGTGGTGGGATTATGAGGTACCAAAATCCGGATAAATCTACTACGTAAGAGGGTGGTAGGACAGTTAGTTGTGCAAGGACATTCAGAGTATATCGGACGGATACATGTTCTGCGTTTTTCCCTTTCTGCTTGATGAGCACCCGGCGCTCGAAGAGGCGCTCGTTCTAAGTTTAGGTAGGAAGGTAAGGACTCTTTCTTTCTTTCTTTTTTTGGGTTGGTTGGCGTGCTCTATTCATCTTCTGCAACTGCTAAATAAACTAGGGGAACGACACCGATACCGCTGCTCTACTCCATTTCATCCAAGCGTATGCGCAGCAGCACCCTCCCGCAAAAACAGCTCAGAAATCCAAACACAGCTGCACGCCGACCCTCTCGAGGTCCTCGACTTCCAACCACCCCGTGTCCCCCACGACGGCGTCATCGCCGGTGCCGTGTGCGGCGCGCTCTCGCTTGTCGTCCACGCACCGCCGGATGGCTTCCTTGACGAAGATCTCGACGTATTTGCCCACCAGCTGTCGCGCGTCTGAGGAGATGGAGGTCTGCTCCGGGCGGGAGAAGTGGGCGTGCATGATCCGGTGGACGAGGGGCAGGGGGATAGGTGGGTCTGTGGAGGAGAATGGGGAGGAGGTCGTGTTCGTTCTTCTTCCTCCTGTCGTGGTGGTGCTGACTTCGGCGAGGATGAAGTCGGGTTCTGGGGAGGAGAGATTGAGATCGTGGTCATGAGCGAGGGAGGCTTCTTCTTCCTCCGACTCGTTTTCGTCTTCTTGTGCCTCATCGTCATTGCCATCTTCGTCGTCGTCCTCATCCTCCTCATCGTCAAGGTTCTCGTCCTCGGCACCACCACCATGATCATCGTCGTCGTCTTCCTCTTCCTCTTCCGAGTCTGAGTCCCCCCCTGCCCGCAGTATGGCTCTCATAGTGCCCGCGTCCCCTCTCCGCGCTGGCTTTCGCGGTTTCGGCCTCTGTCCTGCCTTGGGTTTTCGCTGCTGCTGTTGTTTGTGCACCTTCGAGTTCCCCATCGCACCTAAACTGTGTCGGGCGGCCGCGCCCTTCTCTTTCGTCGATTTGGTGGTCACCTTCGACTTGCCGCCTGGCCGAGGTGGGGAGAATGTTCTACCACCACTCTTCGTTTTCTGGAATGCGGTGGACGGCGCCATGTTCCTGGACTTAAAGGGCCTGCGTTGTGAGAGCGCAGTAGACGACTGGGCTGCGAGGTACTCGTGTTGTGATTGTTTACCGTGGGGCCTGGTGGGCCCTGTTCTGTCGATGCAAGAGTCGGCGTTGCAAGGGTTGATTCTGGGTATCTGGTGAGCGTCACTATCAGTGTTTGTGTATTATCGTAATAGCGGTTGGGAGGCACGCAGACAAGGCAAAGCGACGCGCTCTGAGATGACGTCATAACACAGCGCGTCTCATACGCGTTGAAGCACTATCAATGTTAACAATGCTCACTAGACGATGGAAAATGGAACAAGAGGCACACGCGAGTCTATAAATTGGAGGCATGATATTTTTCATTAGGACCATGTATATCTACTACAGGTCTAAGAGCATCATCACTCATGTTTCATGGGGGTAAGCCCCTCAATGCAAATTCCCCGGAACGCCAACCGCTTTGAGGTTATATCATAAACTCCATCCCCTTTTCAACGCCTAGCCTTGCTGTGGGCGAGCTTTGGGCTTTTTACTCGTAAAGGTCCATGTTACCGTTCGTGCCATCTTCCAATTCCAACATGGCATCGTCATCGTCAAACATGTCTTCGTCCTCTTCCATCTCGCTGTCGGTGTGGTTGGGCAGTACCACAACCCGTCCGTCCTCCAGGACGACATTGGCTGTCTCCCCATCCTTGATGGCACCTCTCAAGATCAATACAGCCAGGCGATTCAAGATCTCTTTCTCTATCAATCTCTGCAGAGGACGAGCACCATAAGCGGGTGAGTATCCAGCAGCACCCAGGTAGTCTTTGACCTCGTCGCTTGCGTTGATGGTGATCTTCTTGTCGTTGCTCTCGAGTCTCTTTTGGATCTCGCTCAATCTCAGGTCGACGATCTTGCGGATTTCCCTTCTCGTGAGACGGTTGAAGATGACGATTGAGCTGATTCTGTTCAAGAACTCCGGCAGGAAGTAGTTCCGCAAGGCGTTCATCACCAATTCCTTGGTGGTTGGGTCAATCTTTCCGTCAGGTGCAGTGTTGCGAGACAGATACTCTGCACCAAGATTGCTTGTCATGACCACAATGCAGTTCTTGGCGTCAATGATCCGTCCCTGGCCGTCGGTAATTCTACCGTCGTCCATGAGTTGGAGCAACACGGTGAGCACTTCCTTGGCCGCCTTCTCAACCTCATCGAACAGCAAGATCGAGAATGGCCGACGCCGTAATGCTTCGGTGAGTTGCCCACCGGCGTCGTGTCCAACATATCCTGGGGGCGCACCAATCATTCTTGACAATGAGTGTCGTTCCTGATATTCTGACATGTCGAATCTGATCATGGCTTTGGGGTCGTCGAACAGGAATTCGGCAAGCGCCTTGGTCAACAGTGTCTTACCAGTACCAGAAGGACCGCAGAATAAGAAGCTCGGTGGTTGATTGGGGTTGCCCAGGCCGGACCGTTGGAGTCTGATGGCATTCGAGACGGACTGGACAGCCTCCCTCTGGCCAACGACAACGCGCTGGAGATGCTGTTCCATGTGGAGAATCTTCTCCTTCTCGGAAGCACGCAGCCTCGTGATGGGAATACCGGTCATCTTGGCGACAATGGCATTGATTTGTTCCGGGCCGACAGCATCCGTCGGTGAAACCTCGCCCATGGCACCGAGTCTGGCGTGCTGTTCAGCATCCGCTTGAGCTCTGGCGTTCTCGAGGTTCTTGATCTTGGCCGCCACATCGGGAATAGCGTAGTACGTCAAGTCAGAGGCTGTCTGGAGGTCGTTGGAACGCTCTGCTTCATCTCTCTTGTTCTTGAGTTGTTCCAACTTCATCTTGAACTCTTGAATTTCTCGGGAGCGCGCTTTCTCGCGTTCGTAATGCTCCTTCAAGGGCTCCAACTCTTCCTTGACGTTGGCGGCTTCACGCTTGGCCTCTTCCAAGCGCTGAACCGATGATGGGTCTGTTTCCCGTTGCAGGGCATGAATCTCGATCTCGAGTTGTCGGAGTCGACGTTCAAGATTGTCGAGAACTTCAGGTTGCGATTCTCTGAGGACGCGAACGTCTGCTGCGGCTTCGTCGATGAGGTCGACGGCGGAGTCGGGCAGACGCCGAGATGTGATGTACCGAGCGGCAAGAGAGGCGGCCGCAACAATGGCGCCATCGAGAATGGTCACACCGTGGTGGACTTCGTAACGCTCTTTCAAGCCACGCAGAATGGAGATCGTCTCCGCCACGGTAGGTTCCTTGACAAGCACCTGTTGGAATCTTCGTTCGAAGGCAGCATCTTTTTCAATGTACTTCCGATACTCGGCAAGAGTGGTGGCACCAATACAGTGAAGCTGTCCACGGGCCAGCATGGGTTTGAGCAGATTTGCTGCGTCCATTCCACCTTCACCACTGGCACCAGCGCCCATGAGGAGATGGATCTCATCCACAAAGAGAACGATCATCTCATTTGAGGCCTCGATCTCTTTGAGGACACCCTTCATTCTCTCCTCGAATTCTCCACGGTACTTGCTGCCAGCAACAAGAGATCCGACATCAAGCGAGAGAAGCTTGCACGCGGCAAGATTGGCGGGGACGTCGGCGTTGATGATTCGTTGCGCTAGACCTTCAATGACTGTGGTCTTGCCAACACCGGGCTCACCAATGAGGACAGGGTTGTTCTTTGTTCTCCTTGACAGAATCCGAATCACCCGCCGAATCTCTTCTTCTCGTCCAATCACGGGATCGAGTTTGCCTTCTCTTGCCAGTTGTGTCATATCGATTGTGAATTTCTTGAGGTTCTCATTTTCCTCCTCCGAGTCGGCCTGTTTCGAGTCGACCCGCTTTGTGCCACGTATTTGCTGGATGGCTGCGTCGATGAGTTTGGTGTTGGGGACGTTTGCCTCCTTCAGTGCTTCTTGGATCTTGGGATCTTGCGCCAGGGCTGTGATCAAGTGATCGATAGCCACATAGGTATCTTTTTGCGTCTTTTGCAGCTCCTGGGCGGATCTGATCACTTTTGAGAGGGATGGCGACATGGTGACATGTTCGGGCGGCGGATCTTGACTCGGAAGCCGCACGAGGGCTTTCTTGAGGGCTCTGTCAAGCAGTTGAATGTCGCCATGGGCTCGTTCGATCACTTGTCTGAACAGCGGCGCCGACGCATGGGATTGTGAGGCATTGACTGTCGTCTGTTGGTCTTTTGACTCGTCCGGGGGAGGGTCAAACAGGGCAACTGCCAGGTGGACTGGCAGAATCTGTGAGTGTGCATATTGTTCAGCGAGGTTTGCAGCATCGCCGAGTGCCTTTGCGGCACGATCAGTGAACTGAGGCACGTTCGCCATCGTTCAGTGATGTTGTGAGAGTCTAGGAGTCTATGTTGTTTCGTGTAGGAAAGTTTGGGAGAAGTTCAAACAGAGACAGGAAGAGTGAGAGGCATGGTAATAAAGTACTTGAGACAGGGCCCGAAGGGAAGCGAGCCCAACCTGGTGGTGTTGGTGCTATGACATAGGCTGGCACCTTCCAGAATACCCTAGTATCGCTTGGCGCCTGCGGGGAGGCCACTGGAGGCTTCTCGTTCCTACTGGTCCAGTCACCCACCGAAAAAGGTACCTCCCGGAGTCTTCCAGCAGTCTCTCGCCATTGTCACCTCATAGTCCCTCCCATCCCTCCCTCATCAGACCACCGGATTGACTTTGGAGTTTTCTCATCTAAGCGACTCGGGAAAAGCTATACGGCGGTCGATGATAGAACAACAGCACGGAGGCACCAAGAGCTGCTCAATGACGAGGAAAAGGGTATTGCCTAATGCGTGAGATAGAGCCAACTAATAAATGAAACAGAATCATGGAGAGTGAAGGGCAGATGGGATATCCCTTGCACAGTATGGCCCTCCATCCTGCTGTATTTGGGTGTTGGTTCTTGTCCTTGTATACCTACCTACCCACTTTACTCGAACCCGCTAGCTGCCTATTATTGACTGACCACTTCCTCTTTCATTAACCCCCATCACGATTGACTTCCTCACTACGTTCCAATCGGTAAATGTTGAGCCGATAAATGGTATGATCAGTTGCTAGTGCTTCCGGGACAACACTGACGTCGTGTGTGCAGCCCGACGAAGATTTTACTCTCTAGAGCTAACAGTCTCAAAGTCACAAGACATTGAGCGAGTCTAGTTCAGTGATAAAATGCATTGAATTTTCAGTCTGTCGATTTGCTAATCATTAACATAAGGAAAGAATAGTTCATTCTGAGGTCATCAAAAAGGAGCAGGAACGGCGCCGGCCCGATATCCAACTGCGTCTCCTGCATCATGGCTTCAAGGCAAATTGCTTCAGGTGAAGGTAGTGGGCCATATTGTCGTCGACGGTCTTCCGGATCACTTTGGCCGCTTCTTCCCCGTATTTCTCCTTCCATTCAGCATCCCATTGTTCTTCGGTCTTTGGTGCTTTCTTCTGCCCACAATTAGTTCTGCCACATGTCAAAGGGGGAGCGTCGTCACCCACGTGAGTTCTCGGCTTGAGGTCTGTTGAGTCGATGGCGTCCTCATGGAAGCCCTTCCATTTCTCGAACGCAGTCTTCGCACGCTGCTGATCCTCCTCGTTATCCCAGTTCAGCATGTCAGGATGAAAGTCAAGCCCCACGCTCTGACAGTAAGCCCGGAGAACACCCTCGGGATCGTCCAACAGATCGTCGGCATCGACGACACACACTTCAGGCACATCGGCGGCACCATTCATGACATTACCACTCTGTATTCCATTCTTCAGCCCGTCTTTCCTGTCTCGCACCAACCCAACCTCCCGGGCATAGTCAAAAAAGCGTCGAAGCTCGTCATATCCGGCCTCGTTCGGGTAAAACTCGTGGAATCCCGTCAGGTCCTCCAGTGGTGGAATGGTGCAGCGATAGTAGGAAGGGATGCTGGAGTGGGGATCTCGGATGAGGAACGTAAAATGGAATTTGTCGAGCAAGGCTTTGGGGACGATTGTAGGATTTCCCGGTTCGCCTTCCGTCGGAAATGGAAACGGTGCTTTCTTGCTAACGCCGTTGGTTCCATTTACACCATTCACATGATGAGCACCATTCACGCCGTTGATCCCGTTGACGTGGTGAGTTCCGTTCACACCGTTGACACCGTTGACACCATTGGTGCCATGAGTATCATTCACATGATGGGTTCCGTTCACGCCGTTGGCACCGTTGACCCCATTGATGTTGTTGGTCATCTTCTGAGTTCCGATGCCTCGCTTCACTGACTGTAACGATGGAGCCAATTTCGGAGGCTGCTGGTCGGGAGGAACCAGATAATGGAGGATGTCCTTGATAAAGACGCGTTTCCCCTGTCATAATGATAAGCATGAAATGTCGTATGGGGAGTGAAGGCTATGATGAAAGGGAAATTCGTTGGGGGAACATCACACCTCGGTTCCCACGCGTTCCAGGTGATCAAAGATTGTTTTGTAAGTCGAGTCGCTGTATCCCGATGCTTTCCTTGTATCTTCGTCATCTTCATAGCGAACGCTCATCCTCTCCGGACTGAAGAGGGAGTTAGATTTTAACTTCTCCTTCGTCCTGCCCGTGCGAACTCACCCATAGTAGAATGCGTCGCCAAAAGGTTCATGGACACAGGTCAAATCTTTCCTGGTCATGAACACCTTTTCACATAGTCAGCATTCTCATCAAATACCCGAGGCAGGCAGTCTGGAGCGAACACGTTCAAAAGCTGTACTACAGGCACGTGGGTGCGTGGCACAGAATATAGGTTTCGCCATGGTGGCAATGCCTTCTCGATGACAATGCTACAAGTCTATCGAGAGGCTCAAGTCGACAAAGTCGGCCGATTTGAAGTAAAGAGAATGTCAAGGTTCAGTGAACCCAGGAAATATAGCCCCTTTCGGTCAGCTAGTATAAGATTTCAGCCAGACGAGGCAGCCAGGAAATCGAGAAAGAAGAATTCTCTGATCGCCTCCACGGAGTAATGGATATCGTCAAGTAGGTACTTATAGCAGAACCAGATAACGGGACTCGGTCGCGGGACTCGGGGGCATACGGGCAAAAGTCACTCGAGAGAAGAACTCTTCAGTCCCTGTATTCAACTGGGATCCTTCTCCGGGGCGAATCAATGGGCCTTACAGGGAGGTGAAAAATTCGTCATTACTCCATGTGCCAGTGATGTTGAGGATGAGGAATGACGCCAAGGGGAATGCGATTCGCCTGCCGTCGTCGGAAGGCCCCGCAGACGAGAAAAATCCCCAAGTAGCAATCCACTTTTCCAGGAACATGTGGGAGATGGAGATCGTGATTGGCATCTCCGTGGCCCAGGCGGCAACCCGTGAGAGCGAGGAGGCGAGCGCCACGCATGGGGACTCACGGCTGAGTGACGGCTGAGTTTGCGGGAAACGTTGAGGAAAAAAGCCCATGGCAGTCGGGATGGCGAATTGAGGGAAGATGGATCTTGCGAGACCCGACCTTGGAAGAAAGAGATAGACTAATAGAGAGGGACCACAACGGGCGATCTCGAGCCACCTATGTCAGGGCTTCATCTTAACATGAATAATGTGGTCCGCCGAGCATTTCAAAAGTGGTAGAAAGGACTGATGATCACAGAGTTTCTGGGCTTTGGCGGACAGGCAACGAACTGCGATTTGCGAACTGTGTGACGTCGGGAATCGGTAGGAAGGGAGGAGGAAGTTGGAAGACGAAGTTCGAGAGACTTCTAATTTGAGTTGAAAAAGGTGTGGAGAGCTAGCGGCACCTAAGGGGGCACTTGAACTTAGCTCACGCGCAACAGGTACCTGGCGAGCTGGCTATGGGGAGGCACAATGGGGTAGGCACAAGCTGTTTAGGCACTGGGTAGGCATCTCCTTGACAGCGGAATAGTCCGCAGCAGCCCTGAAGCCGCCTAACTTGTGCTTCTCTACCGAGTGCCTACCTAATGGAGCAAGTTGCGCAGTAGGGCCCGGTCAGGCGAAGATCCCAGTGCCATCGCGACCGAAATATTCCACAGACGCTGTCAACACCATTGCTCTCAGTTCTCACGTCCAAACCTGCATCACCCATACGTTGTCCGCTCTTTGTTGTGGTCTGGGAGTCTGGCGCCTGGGTGTTGTCGAGTCTATTTGATCTCGGTCGCACTTCCTGGTTTTTTTTTTCTCTGGAGAGCTTCTCGTCTCAACCTTCTCTTGCACCTGGAACATTTTGTCTTTCCTCGCAATCGTCACCCTCCGGAATGGATTTCTTCAAGAATCTGATAGCCTCTCCTTCTGCACCTCCTCCAGAGCCAGTGACCGTCATGGCCAAAACGATCCATCCCTATTATCCCACAGAGATTGACATCGCCAACTTCGCTGCCAACGAAATGAGCGTTCCGCAGTTATTAGCAACATTTGCCGCTGGTTGTACAATCATCCTCTCACTCACATGGTTCCTTACGTCGAGTCTTGCACCACGCCTCAGAGTCGGGGAAAAGGCCACTGTGCTGTGGTTTTGCTTGTGTACGAGAAGAGCTAGGTGACTGAGCGAGGTGTACACTGACATTGAAAAGGCGGCTTCATTCACTTATTTTTCGAAGGCTACTTTGCCTACAACCACACTCGCATGGGCGGTCTCCAAGATATTTTTGGTCAACTGTGGAAGGAGTACTCTCTGTCAGATTCGCGATATCTGACATCGGATCCCTTTGTCTTGTGCATGGAGACCATCACGGCGGTATGGACCTCTATCATCCAGAAAGAGCGAGCGAGAGGACAGCGTTGACATAACCTAGGTCTTCTGGGGTCCTCTTTCCTTCTTGATGGTGTATTTCATCATTGTCTCACACCCTCTGCGTTATCCCCTCCAGGCTATCGTTTCACTCGGACAGATCTATGGCGACATCCTCTACTTTGCGACCTCGATGTTCGACCACTACCACAAAAAATTGACCTATTGCCGACCTGAGCCTTACTATTTCTGGTTCTATTACTTCCTCATGAATATCTTCTGGATTGTCATTCCAGCAAGTACGTCCTCCCTCGCCCCGACTCAGGAATTCATGGCTTACTCGTATGTCCGCAGTTCTGCTCGCTAGCAGTCTGAAAGTCACAGCCAGAGCCTTCAAGGCGCTTGACCGGATGTCGCACTCACTGCAAGCAAATGGCGCTTTGACCAGACCAAAAGCCAACGGCCACATCAAACATGCATGATGGGCACGAACAAAAAGGAAGGTGGCGTCCAATGAAAGTTGGCTGGGCAGCAGTAAGGGTTCATTGGTGTTTCCCAGAACTACATCGTGCTTCAAGAGCTGGCTGAAATCCCAAGTGCTGGTCTGGACTGCGTGGCCTTCATCGTAAGCGAGGTATAGCTCGAGAGTAGCTGCATGGTGGCTTACATGACCGGCGATCTGCACACTAGATTAATGATTATTCCTTCTTCGAGTATACGATCGACTTATTGCTTTTGTTTTGTATATTCGGGTCGTGTTCGGCTATCGATCTGGGTCGTTACCCTGGAAACCGTCGCGACTTTTCCGGCCCGGCAAACTGGCGCCTTTGACGCAACCTGCATATTGACCTGCGCTACCGCCGTTTGGTTGTACTGCGCACAACACCTTGCATGAAACCCAGATGACAGTTCGGATCTCCTTACCACTGGCAGCTGGAGTTATTTTTGTCCAAGAGAGGGCACCCGTGCCACAGGTACCTTGAATATACACCACACGGTCCAAGAGCTTCCTTGTGTGCCACAATCTTCATCAACATGCCCACAGAATGTCCTTTACAGCCAACGACAACAACTCTGATGGATTCAACGAGAGCTAGGCATTGATGATAAAGACCGCGACCACAACATAGCTCCAGCACGCATATTCGTCAATGCGAGCAGACTCGACTCCAACCTCCACCTGCCGAACGTCCAAGAACCATCACTCTAACACACGTTCTTCCACCAAACCGCAAAATGTAGACTCACCCCATCCCTCTGGGCTCTACGAATCGCCATCTGTTCAGGATCGCATCCGACAATGGCAAGCGCAAGGTGCAGCAAACGCCTTGGCTCCGGATGCGGTAAGCGTCCGTTCGATTCCCATTTCCGAATGCCCCTCCACTATATCGAAACCCGAGTCAGAACACGGAAACGAGTCCAAAGTTCGTGTTGGTGGAAGAAGCGGAGCAAAGAATGAGGAGGATCAGGACAGGGGCCGGAGCTCCAGCGCTCCGCGAAGGCGCATCATTAGCGATGGCCACTGGAAGACACAGAAGCAGACGAAACAGGACAAGGACGCAAAGGTTGCAGCAGACCGACGAGCGGAATCACGCGCGTATGACCTCTCCTACACGTCAAACCAAGAAAAGAGCAAAGTGAAACGACAGTCCAGAATGCAGCAACGTCCGAGGGTCGGTCAGAGCGCGGAACAAACATCGCCATATGATGACGGCATCAGAGTGGCACCAATTCCGGACGATGGCCAAGTACGAGAGGAGGGCTTGCAGCCAGCTTACGACCTGGAGAGCCGAGCGGATGAAGAGCTTGCTCGACACTTGACTACGGATTCTGTTTTCTCTGGAGATTTTGGGGGAGACTCACACGAACCAACAGGGCGGGAGGATGATGTACCTGGCGACTGGAGACCCAGCAAATACGCAGAGTTGCTCGGAAGGACCGGGGATGATTCTTTGGACGGAGAAGTGCCAAAATCCAGGAAAGGTGGACTATTGGGCAAGACCAGAGGCATGTTCATTAAGTCAGAGACTATGTCTCCTGCCAGCAACAGACTGCCCAGTATTGAAGCATGGCTTGATGAGCAACCCGATCCGTTCACCGACAAGGACGGCGTGGACGATCTGCCACCGGTCGAAATGCCACAACCCTTGAGGAAACGTGCGCACCGGAAGCGACCCTCCACAGAGAAGTCTATCGCGCCCGATCCCAATCAGATATGGGATTCCATTTCACCAGAACAGAACGAGCCTAGCCCCCTCGATACACCAAGGCGCGATGGCTCGGTACCTTCGTCAAATGCTAACCCACACTCCTCTTCAAGACTTAGCGATGCTGTGAATGAGGCACAGGATGCAAATGATGGCTCGCCGTCCAACCTGCGAAGGAGAGGTGCAAGAGTTCGCCGCCAGCGAGGCGCGGTGAGGAAGGACATCATACCAGGGGAAGGCCGCCCAGAGCCTGCCGCCTCGCTGGCAGAAGGTCCCCCAGCTGAGAATACGACCAATAGAGCCCCCGGCCTCCCGCAACGACCGTGTCCCCCTACAGGTGGGCATCAACTTTCAACGATCCAGTCTGTGGAGACTCTCAAAGAAATTAATCAACAGCTGCAGGCAGAGGAAAATTTTCCCGGAGAGGTCTGTGGCCTCAAACGCAAGCTAACCACTCACGAAGATTTAATGTCAGTTTTGTCGTTGCCGAGAGGTAGCCGCGCCCGTCGATCGAGACGTAATGCGAGGACTGCTCAAACAAAACCACCGTCGAGTTCGGCACAAGAGATACTCGCCACCGTGGTGGCTGACGAAGAAAAGTATGGACGGGAATTGCGGACCTTGGTCGACGGTGTCATACCGGTCCTGCTCCAATGCCTCCTATCTAAAACGGATGCGGCGGCGGCGGCAGGCTTGTTCACATCGGCTTCACAAGATGGTGCGAGTATCACCAGGCCCATTATCGACATGGGGATTGCCCTGGAAAGACTGAAGGCGCTACATAATCGAATACCCTCCCAGAACCTGGACAGTCTTCTCAGCTGGGCCCAGACTTCGGAGAAGGCATATCGGGATTATCTACAAGCCTGGAGATTGGGCTTTCAGGACGTGGTCGTGAACCTCGCCCCCCTAGAAACATCATCAGCCCAAGAGCAAGGGATGGCCAGGGACGAGGCTGGTGACCTAGTTGACGATGCAGGCAAGAAAGTTGACGTCGCATATCTCCTTAAAAGACCGCTTGTCAGAGTCAAGGGCCTGAGCAAGACATTCAATCGGATCAAGGATGAATACGACGTGCCTCTTGCAGTACAGATGGCCAATACTTTCGCTGATCTGACAGCACTTGCTAAGAGACGGAACCAAGAGGAACAAGCCAGGTTGGAAGATGAGGCTGCTGCCAACATTGACGCAACAAGAGCTCGTGATATCAGGTCAATGGCAGCATCAACCCACATCACTATCAACAAGACGCGCCGTGTCAGGGCGAGGGACGTCTTCAACCTTACAATCTATCATTCTAGTGGACAAAGAATGGATTGCAGCATTGAATTGATCTTCCGAGACAACGCCCGTGGCGAGCCAACTGGTGGAGATGTCCTGGTCTGTGAAATTGATGATACAGGGAAGTGGCTGCTCTTTGCTCCCATTGAGCTGAACTCGATATCTGCCAGACGTGGCGAGGATGGCTTCGATCTTGTCCTCATGATTCGAGGTCGGGCAGGCATAGGACAGGAATGGCACGAATTACTAGCCTTGAAGACGGACGATAAAGAAGCTGTGGCAGAATGGATGGATATGCTTGGTTCGAACCCGCTGCCCCCAAGGCTGAACCGTACACCAAGTTTTGTGAGACGACCTTTACCTTTGGTTGTTGGACAAGCGGCTGCAGCTGAGTCTTCAGCGTCGAAACCCATCACTCAGCAAGTCGACAAAAGCTCTGCTACTGCAACAGAGTATCTGGATGTTCCCATTGGCGAGCCCTCTGTGCTAGGGACGCGGAGAGAGGATTCCAGACCTTTGGTTGACAGATCGTCACAGCGGCTAAATCTAGGGGGTGGTCTTGCGTCAAAGCCGCTTCCACCATACCCGCCTTCCTCGTCGATTCCAAAAAGGCGTCCAGTTTCGGTCCCATCAGTCTTGTCTTCCGATCGATCCACCATTTCAGATCGTTCCATACGGGATTCTGCTACCATATTCACCTCGTCATCGTCCAAGACTGCGTCGACTAACCCTAGCTACCTGTCGAGTCAGTCCAAAAGCCCTGAGGCATGGCGACCTCCTCAGCCTCCATCTCACAAGCCCCTCGTTGAAGCAAGAGATCATGTCGAGAGCAGCAAAAATGCTGGCTTGCAAAAGCTGAGTGCACCAGTCACTGCCAGCAGTGGTTACAACAGCCCTTCAACATCACACGAGGCATGGAAATCGAGAGCCAGTGCGACGGAGCCCGCCTCAGGAGACTCACAACATTCGCTGCCAGCGGCCAACAGTGACTCAAGCTCGTCCAAGCCTTCCGTAAAACCATCACCCCAAAGACCAGAGTACCATCGGGCAGTGTCCTCTACCCCGTCAAAAGATCTGCCGACCGTCAACAAGCTTCGGACTCAGCAAGGTCCGGCAAGTCCTTTACCGTCCCTACCAGTGAGACAACCTCCAGAGACGCAATCATCAGCAGTTGCCTCTGAACAGCCACAGCAACGGTCGAAGCGGGAACACAAGGGTTCGCCCAGAAGCCGGTTGTATACTGAAGATATTCCTGTCCCGCCAGTACTCAAAACACGTCAAGATCGCCCTTCTCTACCCAGTTTTGGAACTTCGTCCCCGCCGACCTCGCCGCCTCATAGTTCCAACGTCCTGCAGCCGATATCAAGCAACAGGCCCAGTCCTATACTGAGACCTACTCCAAGTCCAGCAGATAAGGCGGCAAGGAGGCGGACCTCCTCGCCCTTGAAGCACGAATACGAACCATCCACGAGCTCCGATACTAGCGGATATGATTCAGACAGTGACAGCAGTTCATCTTCAGACACTTCCGAAGATCCCTTGTCTGAGCATGGGGACATACCAACACCACTTGTGGCAATCAGAGCGGGTGAAGGTCGAACTGCAAAACAGTCTGCACCTCCGCCGTCAATGAAATCCACTGGAACACGAACACTGGCTCCGTCGGACTCTGCTTCCCAGGGACCTTACCGGAAGGTTCCATCATCGACCACAATCCCATCAGATAAGAAGGCGAAGACAATAGCGTTGATATGCTCGTGGTCGGACAAGGGCATGTGGGAGCAGATTTATCCTGATGAGTGCTCCATTGTCGTCTCGCCCGGTTTGATCGAAGCTTTTGAGATGTCGGCGGCTCATTCTGACCCTCAAAAAGCTTCGGTCGGTCCCTCATTTGATAGTCACGGGCCAGGAAAGCATTCAGTGTCCCCACAGCCCCTGGTCGCTTTCGAGCTAACGCCGATTGTTCCACTACGCAGGGGAACTGCACTGGACATTTCCATACGGTCTCCTCCCACAGCGAACTCCAAGATTCGAACCACTAATAATGTTATGTTCCGATCGCGAAATCCTGAAGAATGTGAGGCGCTGTATGGAATGATCAACTGGGCTCGATGCAACAATCCTACATATCTCCAACTGCAAAATGCACGCCCTCGACGCCAACCTTCAGTGACTTTCAATGTTGGGGAAGCTCAACACAGTCGCTCGAGGTCAACTTCATGGTTCAGCTTCGGGAGTCAGAAGAAATCGAGTTATCGGGCTTCATCTGCTCCGACGCCCGCCTCAATCGACATGTCTGTGGAGAGCTCGGGAACTGTGACAAGCGCCTTCTCAGCCCTAAAGAGACTGGGCGTTAGTACCGCCTTCAATCTCAATCGATCCTCGGTACTTCGCAGGAACGGTGGTCGCGGCACGGGAGAGTCCCTTTATTCTTCTAGCAGTGGGACTGGAACAGGTTCGGGCTCAGGCACACCTCCCCCCAGTCAGCTTGGCTTCATACCAGGAAAAGATGGACCAAATGTGCCGTCAACCAGTGCTGCTGCAGCAGAAGGAGGAGGAATGGTCAACAATATGAAAATTCGACTGTACGTCAGGAAGGGGCAGCACTGGGAGAACTTGGGAGCTGCGCGTCTTACAGTCCTTCCAGTACCGTCAGCAGCAGCAGCAGCAGCAGAAAGTAGCAAATCAACGCCAAATCGACCGGTGGTGACTCCAGGAGCATCTCCACCACCGCCGACTGGCCCTCTCCGATCTCCGTCAAATGTTGCAGTCGGAGGTCAACTAGGGCAAACCCGTGGACCTCGCCTTCCAAGCTCAAGCCACACTCCACATCGCGTGCATGGCAACGGCCGCGAGAAGCGCATTCTTATTACTCAGAACAAGAACCGTGACGTTGTGCTTTTGGATAGTGTGCTGGGCGAAAGCTGTTTCGAACGCGTTATGCAGACAGGCATTGCGGTGAAAACCTGGAGCGAAGACGAGGTCATCGCCCACACAGGCGGCGTGACACTGGGCAAGGAACGGGTGTACATGATGCAATTTCCGGGTACGAGGGAGGCAGGCTGGGTCTTCGGTCTGTGTGGCACGTATCGATATGGCGTTGGTGCCAACGAATAAAGAGGCCCCGGACGCGAGGCGAAGACTTCAGTGAAGAAGAACGAGTTAGATCTTACGAGCAATTGTATGGATTTGCGATGTTGATTTCAGCGTGGAGTTCCAGGGGATGACATTTCTTTTTGTGAGGATTCATGATGCTTTTAATGTTGATCAGGTTTCTTCTACGCAAAGGGGCTTCTCTTTTTGAGGTGAGGCGAAGATAGAAGGACCATTCATGTGGCGAAGACTAAGCATTTCTTTGGGAACGGGGAAGAGGAAGGAAGGATACTTATGTACTTATGTACTTACTTACTTATTGATCCGCGCGAGTGGCTGGGATGGTCAGTCACCCTTGTAGAGGCAGCGGCAACGACAAAACATAGAGTCGGGACGTCCCGTCTTATTACGAGCATGGGATGGAGGATGGAGGGATGTGTTCTGTTTGTTTCGGCAGTACATACCTCGTGTGTACAAATCAATCACAGTCTGCCTCTTAGGCAGGCAGGCAGGAAGGTCGTTCGTTCGTTCGTTCGTTTAAACATACATGACTACACAACTCCTCAAACCGTGGCCATCAGAGAAAATGGGCTCGTTCCTTGCGGCGGTGGTGTACAATACCTCATACAAACCCAATCAGTTAGTATATATGAAGTATGAAATATGAAGAAGTATCGTAGATATGTTTTTACAGTGTGTCTTGAGATCCCTCCCACCTCCTCTTTCTCTCTCGCCACAGCCTCGCGGGACAAACGGCGTCAACCTCCCGGCGACCGGAGGACCCAGACAGCAGAGGGAATTTGAGCATCCTGCAGCGATGAGAAAACTTAGGTCTGGATGGTTGGATGGATGTTCATTGATTCCTTGACTCATTCACTCATTATCCTTCCCCCATGACAGCTTTCTGGGCCGGCCATTGACACTGCGCGCAAGGTGGTTCGGTAGAGTGTCATGACGCGGCGTGGGATCGGATGGATAAATGGGTTGATAGGTATGTATATGGATGAAGGAGACGGATCAGACGGAGTGCTTAGGAAGCGGCAGCGAAGGCGACGTGAAGCGGCATCTCGCAGGTGGAAATTGAGCGTCTCGGCTTGAAGGCTGCGCTATTGGTGTGTTGAACAGCGGCATGTGAGTCGAGCCTTCGCCGTCGACAGGAACGGGAAGGTTGTAGGTACATTTGCTGTGTCTGGGCACGTATGTTTTTGGACAGAAGGCTTGCTATCCATACCATGAGCGTTCATACCGGACGGCCATTTCTGACAGAAACACTCCGCAAGGCCTTCTCCTGGCCTACAGATGCCGAGAATGCACCCCGGGCGTCTTCGGCCTCCATCCAGAAAGCCGTGACCACTGACATGAACACGATGAATGGGAAAGAAACACCGTAAGCTGAAGGGAGATATTCAATTAGCATTTCATCCGATCACACAAGTCTCTGCGCAGGGAGGGAGAAGGGAGAGAGAGAGGGAGAGGAGGAAAGGGGGACGTCCCAGACCAAACTTACCAATACCGAAGCCGGTTGTTCCTTCTGTAAGTCCTACTACGATAGACAAGCCAGCTGCAACAGTCAGACAGGCAACACACCAACCCCACGACCACCACATCAGAGTGCTGCGGAATCTCGCACTGGCATTGTACGTGGCGAGCATCGCGTGTCGGGCAGGTAAGCCCGAGTGACAGCCGTCCACGGCGAAGACGTCCTCCATCACAGTGAACAAGGGGGGAGGTGTGAGAGAGCCTCGCTTGAATGATGAAAGAGTGATAGGCGTGCGGACGCCCAGGCAGTGAACCGTGTTCTGCAGCAGCATGTAGCCTCCGATGGTGTACAGGACTGAGGGCGGTGCCATCGAGATGACTTTGACCTTGACGTTTCTGGTCGCAGTCGCAGCGACAAGTTCGACGATGACGATTAAAAGCGCCACCGACAAGACATAGTATGAGCAGTCAAACCACCAGCGGCCGCCATTGATCGGTCTACATTTGGGATCGCGCTTGATCAACAGTCGATATCCCCGGGAGAACCTTTCTCAAGATCAATAAATTTAATGACATCCGCCGCTCTCCTTCGTCGAACGTACCATTTGTGGTATGAGGTCCAGAAGGACAAAGAGGTAATAAGCGTAAAGACTGGCAGAGTGAGTCAGCTCAATAAGCCATTCTGTTGCCATGATTCGATCTCTATGCATCGAAGTACGGGTGCCACATACTTCCCCAATGGGTCAAGGTAGATCTATACCAAAGCGCATAGAACAAGATAATGGGGAGCACACAGCCGTCGAAGCAGTAGCAGCTGAACCAAATGGCCCAGTTCTTGCGATGATCGGCCAGTCTGTATGGGAGGCCAATGTTTGGAATGAACGCGACATCGTCGTTAGTGGCGAGTTCGACTCCGCCTTCTCCGAGACGAGCGCCGTTGACCCACGAGGGCATGTCTGCAATGGTTTAGCAGCTGAAGCGCCCCAGGCAACGCAGAAACACGAAGTCAGAAAACAATAATGATCTTATTATCGAGCGTGGGTTGATTGAAGCATCAACAACACCAACTTTCAGTGACGATGACGACGACAATTGCCCTGCATGGCCGGAAATTGGCCTTCGTAGGCTTCCATGACAAAGGGGAACGTTTTGGTCCCTTTACCGCCCACGTTGCGACCTGGCCGTGAATGAGTGGACAGCCTTACGCCTGACATAAGCACCAAACAGTGTGATATGTACCCCGTACTGGCAGGATGGTGCTCGGACCACCAATCGTTGATGTCCAAATTTATCGAAGGCTCCTTATCTAGAAGGATTCAGACATGTTTATCAGTCGTCTGGTGAAATAGCCTGTGCACTGACACCATAGGACGCATAATGCGCCACCCGTACTCCAGAATAAAACCCTTCAGCGTAGGTTATAGACGAGTACTCCGTAGTCGGTACGTCGTTGAGGTCAGAGAGGTTCTGATGAAAGGCGCCGTCTTTGGAAAGATGCCCAATAAATCCCACTCCTACAGGAACAGCAAGGGGTTTTCCAGGGAGGGAAATTTCGTTATCTCCTCGACTGATCCTTATCACAAGGGTCTGGGAGTTATCTGAATCGTCCTTTTCCTTTGCACTCGTCCAGCGTGTCTCCCCCGGGACGCTGTGTTTGAGACTTCACAGCCGAGGGTGCAATCCATCCAGGAAATGTTTTGTGACGAAGGCCTCGATCGCCTCTGTCTTTCTCGATTGCCCCATGTCATATGCTCTTTGACATACGTGATTATGCGCCATCACGGACGTTGGTGAACGGGTGAAGGTGCATGGAAACGTCGGTATCCTTCGAAGCAGTCGTTGCTTCTAAATCAACGACGCTTCTTCATGTCTCCGCCGTCATGTAACGTCATCTGCCATGAGAGTCATAGTAAGAAGAACCGACACGCTCTCCCCGAACTACTAATACCATATCTGGAGTGGCAGAAGGGATGGGGTCGCTTGGCGAGAGAATGTCCAACCAGGGGAACCGAGCAGGCAATCCACCAAGGATGTCTTTGATGAGTAATCGCCTTTTTCCAGCCGCTGGTAGAAGCTTTGCATAAGCAGAATCGCCTGTTTTCCAGCGACAATGATGCAACAAGCATCGTTGCTGTGTCTCCTTTGCTAACTCAGGAACCTGGGCTCCAGTTAAAGGTGTGAGGGATGGCCACCGCTAACAGAGCAGTTCTTGAATGCAAGGTCCAACTCAAGGCTGGACATCGTGATATCAGCCCAACATACTGTCCAAAGGAGACCAAAAGTATATTTACATCTGCTGCAGTACGAAGAAGTGATCCGCCCTGAGCTCCAAGGGTGATTAGTTCAACACCGTCGAGGCGATAAGTGACACTGTAATCGATCAAATTTGCGACGCTACGCGGCATGGCACTCGCACTCAGCTCGAGGTCCAGTCCCGGGGCGATCAGTCCTCCAGCCAGCGAACCGGCAAGTGCACATCAACAAGTGAGCGAGGATGCTCCTCCACAAGGCGGATTTTTGTTCATCGCATCAACTGGCCAGAGGACGCAGAAGGATCCCAAGCAGCTCAAAACACTGCGCGCACATGTTATGCGCAATTATCTGGAACGAAGCCATGCAGAGCAACAAGAGACAGAACCGAAGGAATTCTCTGTCATGTCTTTTGCGAGTACCAGAGTACGGACGCAGAGACAGAAGACTGCTGTAACTGGCGGGCAGAAGATGAGATTTAGAATGCGATCCGGTGAATTGGAGCAGAGATACCCCCATCGAGATCCGAAAGGTAAGAAGAAGGCCAAGCCTGCGCGAGATGGGACAGAAAACGAAGCCGAATCCAACGTCAATGTGCAGCAGACGGGAGCCGCTGAGTCGGGATTTGTACCTGGCATACCTGTTACATGGCTTGAAGCACGAAAGATCGATGTTTTCGGCGTGTTACCAGTCCGCTTGGACGAAGGGGATGAAGCAAGCCTGTACCTGTTTCGCAACTATGACAGGTACCCGTGGTGTCCAATCAACGGACAGAGCAGCTGGTCCCAATTCGCCATTAGCGACCAGCTGGTCTTTCACGCGACCATGTATAGCTGGGGAGTACACTTCCGTCATCGCCGAGCTGTTCCGGATTCGCAGGAAGAAATGAAAACGCTGCAGCATAAATTGGCCGCCATCTCACTGATCAACGACCGTCTATCAGATTCGCGACAGGCAGCGAGTGATGAAACGATCGCGGCGGTGGCCGCTCTGACGAACATTGCCCTCGTAATGGATTCATACCCGGAGGCGAGCAAACACATGGCGGGCATGCATGCCATTGTCGAATTGCGGGGCGGCATGTCGTCCCTTCGTTCGAGCATTCAGCAACATCTTCAACGCTTGATTAGTTGGAACGATCTGATATACTCGGAGGTCTTTGACGAAAAATTGCGCTTCCCACCGATTGAGGTGTGGGATGAATCCTGGGCAGGCTTTCAACAGCGCACCTTTTCTGGGCCCTTGCCTGGCTTGAGCCGAGCCGAGCTGAGGGCGGCTGGCGTTCCTCACCACAAGGTCCTAGATTTGCTGAATGACATTCGCGACCTGTGTGAGGCCGAGCAACTCAACCCTCTAAGCACTCTCGTCGAGGATGGGAGGATGCGCCGTGGTGACATGTTTCATCGGGTGGAAAGGAAATTGAGACTTATTGTACAAGGAGACACGGGTCCAGGGAACAACCGTTGGGCTGCAACCGTCTGGCGCTCAGTGTCTCTGGCAGCGTTGCTCTTCACTCATCACCACTTGCGAGGGAACCCCCTTAAATACCGCCATTTCAACGTTTTGGCAACGCAACTCTACGACACACTGTTGACCATGGACGAGGACCTCAGAGAGCTGGACTTTGCCCCGGCAATGTTGGTATGGATTCTATCGACGGGAGCCGTGACCAGTACGCTGGCAGCAGTTCATGCCTCGTTTGTGTTTATGTTGGGAAAGGCATGCCGCAGACATGGATTGCTGGACTATGATCGATACCGATGGACGTTGGGCCAGTTTCTGTGGACTGGGCAGGCTGACCAATTGAGATACCATTCACTGTGGCTGGAACTGGAGCATGGTATGAGGGCGAGGGAGGGTCCAGTCGTACCAGCAGTCTGTACTTGAGATATAGGTCGATGTCCGGAATGGTAGAGTGAGAGAGGCAGTGAGAAGGTCCTCGCAGAGAGATATGCGAATATGTTATGTAATCCGGAACATATTAATTCCTTTGTCTCCGAGGCGCTCGGGCAAGAGCTCGGGCCTACTAGTGAGCCACCAGGTTCATTCCTCCCACTTGCCCCCCTCCCACCCACCATCATTATCAACTCACCTTCACCTCAAAGAGCTTCACTGTTGGAGTCATTCCATCTCGCCCCATCTGAAATATGACCAAAGCCTGACTCCTTCATCAGTGCTCTCGCAAAATTAAGTACACAGATTTAGCACCACATCATCCCCAGCTGAACTCCGACGTTGGCATCTCCCCGCAAGCCTATCCCCATCTCACGTGCACTGCTGCTTCTCTGACCATGGCACCCTGCCAGCTCCTTGACTTGGCTCCTGAAGTCCTACACAACATCTTCGAGAGAGTGGAACCAACGGACCTCGCATCTTTGGCCAGGACATGTCACCAGCTGAACAGCTCCATCAGAAGCGATGATTTCCTCTGGAGAGTCCACTATCTGTCCCGCTTTGTAAGAGTCAAGGCCAACTCCCACCATGGTTTAATGTCAAGGGGGCTGCCTGCTGATTAGGACTTACACCCAGGATCCTCCTCTAGACCACGAAAACAAGTCCTGGCGAGAAAGACTGACCCGTTTAGTGAACCTCCAGAAGATCCTAGAATCAGACAATCCCGAGATCAAGGCATGGACTACACCCTGAGTGCTTCAAGCCTTATTATCCCACTAACGATGTACTTCAGACCCAGTCGTTGGAAGAAGTGCTTACACAAACATTGAAACTGACCCAACAAGCCACTGCCTCATCCAGCAAAATCACTGACTTCCTGTCAAATCTCTACGGTCAGGCGCTAAACATCAACACTGTACTCTGCAGATCTAGCCTCTTCGCCCGCGCCCGTCCCAAACAGTGGCCCGCTGCGTCTACCGAGGAGATGCGTCAACTCTCTGCGCAACTCCACGTTTTGGCAGGCATGAACCTGGACTCCTTCTGGCCTGTCGCACGTCCTGCAGAACCGATGAGCAATGCTCCACACAGAACTCACCCAGGTAGCGGCTATATTAGTTGGCAGGATGCCGACGTCCTCTGGGAGGACGTAGGTTCTGACGAGGATGAAGACGACCAGAGTGAAGAAGAACTCGTCCGAAATAGTCCGCGGCCCATCCGACATCTGCACCCCTGGGCACGATCCCGAGTCTACGACTTGCGCCGATATAACGACGAAAATATGTGGGGCCCTTTCACCGACGACGGCACTGAACGCATCGATTGGGAAAAGGTGCAGGCTATCATGATTGTCATTAGCTACAACCACAGAATGTACAATGAACGACGTGGGTGGGGCGGCACGGACTTCCTGGGCCTCCCTAGTTCTCCTCCGGACTCTAAAGAGGAGGGAGGCAGGTCAGTCTCATCGACCAGAACCGACCTCCTCAGACCGTGGGAATACCTCTTCTCCGGCATCGCGCCCAACAGTTATGTATCGTCCCCCCTCACTGGAAAGATCAAGCCCACTCCCAATCCCGAGCTTGATGCCCTAGACCCCTATGGGGTCACCGGGACTTGGGTGCGCATCGTCTGTTTCCTAGACTACAATGACCTCTATCGCTTCAATTTCGAAGGAAGCGCAGATATTCCTGACGACCAGGAGCGGGAGCCCATCCGCACGAGAGAGGCATTTCGATTGATTAGACTGCAACTGCACGTCACGAAGATAGAAGAGCAAGAGGAAAAGGGGAAAGATGGGAAGGATTTGTTGCCGGTGGTTCACTTCGAGGGCACCAGCCGGAGTACCTTCATGGCCTGGGATCCTAACGCGAACTCTTGGATCAGAGGTGAGCTACCAGTCCCCATTTCGTCTAACTCAGCGCACCCTTCCTTCCCAGCCACGCCTTCTAACAGGCGTTGCTGAATCGAACTCACCTGACAACGCGCAGGAACCGTCCGCGAAACCCCGTCTGGGGCGATCCGCTGGACCTCGTTCTCTATCATCCACGACGAAGAACGCTGGCGCTCCGAGGGCGTACAGGTCGGTGGCCTCCGCAGTGCCCGTGGCATCCTGGGCAATTGGTTTGACAAGGACTACGACGTGCACGGCCCCGCCGGCCCAACGGCGTTTTGGAAGGTGTCTGACGACATAGTCGAGGAGAAGAGGCATAATCTTCCCCAGATGATGCAGATTTTTATGGCCGAGTAGGAGGGATGGATGCATTCTGTGAGAAGGGCACTACTCTTCGCCTATCTTCTTCCTTCTCTTTGCCTTGCAGGGTCTCCTTCACTCCCTCTGTCTATCTGCCTCATGGATGTTATTTCCGCAAATGGAATGCACTCCGAAGAGAGACAAGAACGGGAACCGACAAGGACGAGGTTGTGCGGTGGTGTGACGCTGAGGAAAGATCCTCGGCCGACCACACGGCACGAGTGCGAGCGTCGGGTTGACGAGACTAAGGAGAATCGGTTCAGGATGCGGGTTAATAGCTGGACGAACGTTTCTATTCTCAAGGTTGATGGTCGGTTTGGCATATTTCAGTTAGCAGCGTTGGATTCCTTTCCCACTCTTCCAGTCGAGTCGAGATATCCGAGGACATCGCCGACAGTCTGCGTTGTAAACCCGTTGCTGGCCTTTAGTCCCATCGTTGTATTCGCTGTTTATAAATAGAGGTCCTCCAGTTCCAGTCCCAGTACGCTCGCCCTCCCCCCTTACTCTCTACCTCTCTACCTCTCTACCTCTCTCTGTGTGTGTACTCTGTATACCGATAGTAGACTGCAAGCCTACCCGCCCGCATCAGGGGGGCTAAGTGGGCAAATCGTGAAGACCATGAGATACAAAGAAGGGGACTAGATACTGGATATGTGTGTAGCCTCAAGAGGCCAGTGATATTGATAGTGGGCAATAAGTGATATCGTCGTTGTCGCCGTCTATTATATGTATGTATATACAGTACAGTGTCTAATGTACCGACGTATATGTCCTCTAGAAGTGAAGAGATGGAGAAAAGGAAGGGGGGAGGGGGGGAACCAAGCGATGTATCAGAACAACTCATCTGTCAACAGAAAATGGAGGACGATGTTTCAGAGACATGGAGAGGTGGGTTAGAGAAGGGCACACTGAGTCCTTGTTCCACTGACATACGTGTTCCACGGTATTACAGTACTCCATATATACGGCCTAACAAGGGTGGATGGGTACATGGATTCATTTGTAGAGACCCTACATACCTACAGTAGGTAGATAGCCTCGATAGGTACTGTGGGTAGATCGCCTCCCAACCACCCCTTTTCGCCTGCCATTTCGCTGGGTGTTCACACCACCCCTTTCCCCCAAAGTGAAATATTCACATAATACCCCATAACCCGATTTCGTGCCTGGTTTCCAAGGTTATATACCCTTTCCTTCCTTCATTCAGCCGATTGTTAGGCTGCGACTCCCTCGTGAGATAAAGAGAAAGAAAAAGGGGAGAATATGAAATCCCAGCACACATGGCTGCAAGATAGGAACGAGTCATCCACTTGGAAAGAGAAAAAAAACGCCCGCTACATGATACCCAGATACACACACAAGAAAAGAAACCGACGCTGCTTTTTCTAGGGCACCTCGTTCAATCAATTTCCATCCGATTGGCAACAGGCCTGGGTGCGGGAAGTTTTCCACTCCCCGATGGTTCCATCTCGGTCGCAAAGGGAGCATAAGCGCTTCCGCTCATGGGCTTCTCGTCGTCCTCAATGTTCTGCGGTTTGTTGACGTAGGGCTTCAGGCCCTTGTTGTAGTTGTGTGCGCAAATGCAGGCGTACACAATGGTAACCAGGATCAGAATGATGGTCAAGACCGCGAACGTGGTAAGTTCCTTTCGAGCGGGAAGATAGGGAATCTCCCAGCCAGGGGAATACATGCGGACCATCTTGAAAATAAAGTAGGCCAGACCGCCAAAGTAGAGGATCTGTGAGGTAGAAGGTCAGCGAGGCACTCAAGACCGGGAAAGGAGATGTAGGCACTTACAATAACAACAATCGTGCCGAACAGCGACTCTTTCCGGACGAACCACGCAGCTGCTAGAAGAATGAAAATGGTGACAGGCATGGCGGCAATCGTGAGGGCGAATTCGACTTGTCGCTGGGTGACAATGACCACGAACTGGACGGTAAATCCGAGGAAGAAGAAGAAATCAAACTTCAATAGGGCGATGTAGACCTGGTACTGGAGATAGCGTCGTTTCATCCTCAAGTCGGCCGAGATACGTTTGTAGATGGTCCAGGCGAATTCGTCGTACAGTTTCCAGGCGCAGCCGGCCATGAGAACTGTCCCGACCGCCAAAATACAGGGGATGGCGATCAAAAATGGTTCGGTATCGGACCAAATATTCTTGCGGATATAGTCATCTTCGGCCAGTTGCAAAATCGCATCCCTGATCTGATCCATCTGAACGGCGCCGTAGATCAGCAGGCCAACATTGTACATGACCAGCCCAATGACCTGAATGGTATTTTTCATTCGCAGAGCGTCCCACACGAGGACCAGTTGGTATAGAAAGCCGAAAATATACAAGGTCAAGAAAGTTGGAATGGTGCGAGACGAGGTCTGGTTGCCGGGAATGCTCTCGAGGTGAATCTGGAAATGCGCAAAGACGTAACTGAATGCATACCGTTAGCACTGATCCAATCCAACAGCAGAGACAATCATCGCCGTACCTTTCAAATGCGAGAATAATCATGGCCTGGACCAAGGCGATGACAGAAAAGGCCCATGTCCACTTTGAATTTGGTCGATACATGATGGATGATCTTGATCTTCTCTTATCAAAGTCGTTCATCGCAAAACCCTCGCGCTGGTGATAGCCTCCCGGCAAAGGGTGGTAGTTGTCAGCCTGACCTCCGAGGAGGGAAGCGCGAGACTCGTGAGCACGAATTTTGGCGACTGGGAGCGCAGTTGGTGTGAGATCCTTTTTGATTGACCTGGGCTACCACAACTGTTCAGTTGCGGTCCGGCTCAGCGACGTTTCACCGTCGACCGAAGAAGGCGAGCAGTGACTCAGGTATATGGGACTGCGATAGACTCGAAGACAGCAGGGAGGGTCAAGAGATGGGCCTCGTTCGGCTTGGATTAAAGAACTCAAGAGTTCTGTCAGTTGGGGTGAACGGTTGCGGCTGAAACTCAGGAGGGGGGGAGGTGGCCGATGAGGATTGGTCCAAGGCGCGTCTGGAGCGGGCGAAGCTGGCGAGCCAAGGCAGTTAGCAGCAGGTGATATAGACTCGCGTGGCGGATGCGAACTCAACTTGGCGACTAGAGGTGACCGTGGGCGATGAAGATTCAATCGAGCGAGAGATGGAAAAAGCGAATGTATACAACGATGGAATGAATTACGGAGATGAGTTGGGATGATCAGGAGTTTGATCATTGAGACAGCTGGTTACAGCACTCGCTAGATCTCGTCAGCTCTAACTCCTACCCAGGCACGCCGGGCACGTTGAGGGTTTTGGGGGGAGGGCCCCCAAGGGGACCGAGACCACAGGGCGTAGGGCGCTGGGGAGGATTGCCCATGGTGGGCTGAGGGAATAATCCCAGCAAAAAAGAAACAGAAAGGGCGGCCTTCAGGGAGTGGGGGCCACAGTCTGCCTTGCCTTGAGCCCCTCGCCGCCCAAAAAGAATCCTTGAGTCTTCCATTTCTATAATATCTGTTTGGGGGACTCTGTGGCAAACATCGCAGGATTGGAACATGAATTTTCCTCTCCTTGGTAGACTTCTACAATAGTACATAGGTCACTCAATTCATGCTAGCACTAACGAAGAGGAGTCGGGCCTTTGGGAGGCTCTCACTCATCTGAGGGTGTGCCTCTATTTTGGGGGCCAGGACTTTGGTGGACGCTTTTTTGCTCAGCCGACCAGTCACTTGAGGGTCAGCCCAGCGGGATCAATTCTCTAGGATTCCATAGAAGGCCGCGTTGTGAAAGAAATGGTGCGGTCTGACCCAGAATATACGGTTTTTGACAATGTTGCCGCCGCAGCCAAGAGCAGGTGAAAGTCTGGGAAAGGAGGATGACAGCACCGTTTTCCGTCAGACAGTGCACTTATGATGGTGTCTCGCGTCCCGTACCATGCCGAATTCGTCAATGCGTGCAACGTCGAGACTACAGCTCCCCCCCTTTGTTGTGCTTCGAATCTGCCTACCCCGCCTACAGACGTCCGCACCCTTTCCCTCGACTCTTTCTCTTCTCTCTCGCGTCTGGGATTGCTGAACCACGGACTCATGTCCATCACAAAGCTTCCGCTTCGCCACCTTACCGCACGGCTCGTCATCTCTCCGGCACCAGCAACTCTGGGTGAATCAACTGCTATTCTGAAGAAGCTCCAATCCCTTGGCCCAGTCCTCTCCTTCAAGACGTGTCGCCCCTCTATTGCTAGCAGTGCTGAGCGGCTCGACGTGGAGATTGTTTTCTCGTCCCGTGCCACACTTGAGAAAGCTCAACACGCAAGTCCCTTCACCGTCAAAGTGAACTACCAGCTTCCCGACGCGAGGCTCCAAGATCCCTACAATGTCCGCAATCTCCAGTCGAGACGACAGCCTCAGCCCAAGAGTATGACCTGTCTTGTCCACTTGAACGACGGGTGTGAGCTTCCTGGTCAGAATATTCTTTCTGACGGCTTCTCGCCGAGTCTCGATACCAGGTTATATCAGAGTCTAGCCGACTTGAATCCACCGCCTAGTATTGCAGCTGGGCTGGGCGTCTTTGACGTTGACAGCATGCACCTTCGCTCAACCGCTCAGCTTGTGGACAAGCCTCCAGAACTGATGCAAATGTATCGGTCTCAAACCTCGGACAAGCCCAAAAATCATCCGGCTCAGTCTGCAAGCTCTGGCGTGCGTGGCGACATACCAGTAAATCAACAGTAACCAAACTTCCTCCGAATCGGAGACAGCAACCCCCAGCTTCCTGGAAAGCTCTGTCTTTGAAACTCAGCCAGCATATCATATTTGCCACAACATTTTGACTGAATTTCGACTCAGTCCACCTCAGCAGGCTTGGCACAAAACACCCTCAAAGCTCCAACAAGCAACTAAGAGAGATTACATTGTCCCGCATCCCATCAACAGGACTCCTTTGTATGGGAAATGCATTTCTTAATGCACAGAATATAACGTTTGGCTATAATGTGGAAGACACGCGTCTAAGCTGACATCTTTTACTGCCTGACAATAGACATGGCGTTGCAGTTTCCGTTGACAGAGAACCAACGATGACTCGCTTTACAAGAAAAGTGTGACACTCAACTGTTCATTTCGTACAAGATGGAGTGGAACAAGCAGATCTTGCTTATCTGAAACAAGGTCGAGCTGCACGTTGGTTCTAATTGCTTGGAGTACGACTCGTGTTTTCTGCCCTGCGTTGACGGGTACCTTCTCGTGGTGCAGGGTGTGAGTAACCTGATTCTATATCAGGTGAAACCGAATTCCGTCCACAAGTCCATTTACACGACACATACACTGCTCAGTCCTAAGGACCGAGAGCTAGTGTTGCCTCTGTCGAGTTTTACAAAATTTTTGACTTCCCACATTTCCCACTGAATCTCGGCCCACTTCCGGTCTCCAACGACCATCGGCAGTGGCAGGCCTTTCGGCTGACTCGAAGGCCAGTAATCTCAATGTGTTCGTTTCCTTACACCATCGGTCGTGGCTCCGTGCATGCCACCACTTCGACATCATGGACATTGCATCGCTGTCGTGGGACCACGCTGGATGGCCGGTATTTTGGACGTCTCTTTCCCTCTAGCGATTATCGACCTGAAGCCAAGGGGGTCCCAAAATCGAAGGCACTGAACAATTTTGTGCCAACTACGACATGACACAAGATCCGCCAGTATCGAAGCATTATCAAAGATATGTCTTACCAGGGACTCCCCCTCGGATATCGATCCAATCCCAAACCCGATCGTTTCTTGGCATATTGCAGCTATTGTTTGAGACAAGGACGCCCCAACCGAAAGAAGAATTACGATGGAACATTTATCTACTGTCATCGGCAACAACTCTCCGATGCAGAAGGCTCAGAAGTTTACTTGAAAGAAAAAGAGTAAAAAGAAAATTCGAATGGATGGGACACAAGCGTCCTTCACATGTGGCTGGGAATACTTGATGTTGTCGCCTGATCGTGATGGAGATCTTCGCCTGGCGTAACGAGTTGCCCTTCGAGATCCCACTCCATCATGATCTCAATGTGTTATTGCACAATTTTTTCAGCACGGTCAATCAGTCGACTTCTGTAAGTCCCCTCATGGTAGACAACCTGCTGGACCGAGCGCTAACAGGGAATCGCAGGTCCAGGACGAATAAAAGGTCCGGACAGGGTCGAATTCTGCCCTCACCTGTGACTCTATCGACGTTGCCCGACCGTAATTTTGTTTTCTTGATGACCTACGTCTGGGCTCTCGGGGCAGATTCATCCTGCACCATGCCTATCAGCGTCGATCTGCGTACGCAGATGATTGATATGGTCAATGCCTCCTTGCCGGAAATAGCGGAACATACGTTCTTGAAGACAATTCAGATCTCCATCTTGTTGTCGAATCATAATATGGCTAATGGCTTGGCTGATCGTGGTCCAGACGAGAAGATCGAGACTAGAGGGGCCCGTCTACTTTCTGGTCCACAGGTCGTATTTGTCCATGGAGCGCATTGAGGCTCCTCCTTTGATTTCGATTCGATGCTCGCTTTGAACAAGCAGGAGACTGTTGAAGAATGGAGTTCCGGTATGGTTTGTGCTTTTTCTAGGGACAACAGGGTAAACTCTTCGTTCCATATGCAGAGTACATTTGAAGCTTTGGGAGGTTACTTATCCTTCGCTTATGGAGAAAGAGAAAAACAACGAAAATACAAGGAAAAAAGAAGTGAGAAAGGGAGGAAGAAATACAAGTAAAGAGGAGAAAGGAAAAGGGAAGAGACATATATCTCCTGAACAGACTGCGAAGGGTCCTTTGGGAGCGGAATCGACGACCTACTCGACTTCGAGTCCTGTGTCTCCGCTAAAACCGCTCCTGGGCTGGCGCTTGTGTTGGGAACGACGCTTAAGAGCGAAAATGCAAAGGAGAGATTGGGTAAGTCGATGCCGGCTCTCACTAATGGAAGGCAATTTGGAATCTGGGGGCTGCCTGGCCGGTGCTCGAACCATGTCTCGGTGCGTTTTGGAAATGGTTAAGGAAATGGGCTTTGTTTGCGCCCTTTGTATCGGGAAAGACTCGACCGTGGAAGGTGGCCAAGACAAGGAAAGGAAAGGAAGAAGAAAAGAAGAAAAGGATTAACGTCAATCCGGTGCCTACTTTACGGTCAAACGACGAACAACATAATTCAACCGATTACGAACTTGCAAAGAATCAGTAAGCGATAATACGGCAAATAGGCTTACAAACATAAAGCTTATCGAATCGAACGGATTTCCGGTTACTAGGTTATCGTCACAAACCTAGATATATCGAAGGCTAACAATGTGAATGGGATCAACCCAAGCGCATCCTTCCTGCCCATCCAATGATTCAAAGACCCTCCGAAGTACAAAGGATAACGCAAGGCAGACGCAGTAAGGTATGGATCCTGTTCATGGAAGAGTGGCTTCGAAACGATTGTGGACGTTGGTCCACTGCCCTCACCAAGATCTTCGCCGACGTTCGAACTCAGGAACCAAGAGAAGCCGGGTTCGATGCTCTCAAGCAGAAGGACACCGTGATAAACTTGCCCACGCTTTCGAGAACGCTCGTCTCTATCTCGACCCTGCACCTCCCGATCGAGACATGCTCAAGCAATTCAAGAGAGGCCTGAAGCGCAAGATTCACGACCGCATTGCCTACCTGCCTAACCGAGTCATCCCTTCCGAATATAAGGAATACTAGACTAGGGCTCCCGTCCACTCCTTGTAAATGACAGTCTCTTTGCGAATCAGAAAATGGGCGGCGCTAGCCACATGCGCAGAGGAGCCGAACGACGAGATGACCTGCCGGTTGCATCCAGATTCCAGAGAGTGGTAGGTAGCCATATGCGTGGAGGGACGCGATGGACCACTTATTGAAGTCAAGGGAATTGCAGTTCGAATAAGTCAATGTCAATGCCTATATGTCCTGTACGATCCTCCGCTCCTCCGAACAGGTTATGAGCGCGGAAAAATCAGAAGCAGAGAAGTAAAGAAGAAAAAGAGGAAAAAGAAAACGGTTGAGAAGCATCGAGGATATGCGATTGTTAGTCCTAGAACAAGAGCTGTTTCCCCGCCAGCTAGATCTGCTGCAAGAGACGCGTGAGGAAACGATGGGGAGGGTTGACCTGGAGTCGTGCATGCCTGATCTCCAATATGTCTCACCAAGGCCAACTCATTTGGCTTGGAGGGAGGGAGGCGGCCACTGCGGCAATCTGTTGGAGTCCGCCAGCTGGATCAGGGAGGCCGTGGTGGGGAAACACAGATGTGTGGAAAGCGTCTCTTGTGCACGAGGTACGTACGACATATAGGCCACGGAATCACCGCCGCCGACTAACTTCTCTTTGCAGTTCGTGTTTGGCAAGTTTCCGTCTGTACCTTTGGTTCTCATTACCCGCGTACGAGGAAAGGTAGACCGGCTGCCCACGAAGGACAAGGTGGGTAAAAGAAAAGAGGATTGACGATGACACAAATAACAAAAACCATCCAATCAAGGAAGTGCTTGTATGTGCCAGGGTTATGTTAGCTTAGTGACAAAGCTGAAAAGGGAAAGCGAGAGGGAGAAAAAAAAGATCGAGAATTGGAAAAGCAAAAAGGTAAAAGAATGCGGATCGAACGAAAGAAGGAAAACCCGGAATGGAAGGACTTCTTAACACGAGAGCAGCGCCAGGCTAGGACCGATTCCGAGCAGTTACCATCGAAGCCTCACACGGAGGGAAGACAGATAAACAAGTGAATGGAGAGCGAAAGGCCTCCAGAAACAAGAGGGAGAGGCCGACCTCCCCCCTGCCTAACCGCACGCGATTCCCAAAGATTACGGAAACAATCGAGAGGCTGCGAAAACTAACGGACATCTCAGAAACTATAGAAAGAGACGGCAAAAGATATGTGGTAGTGGGAAACTATACGCACTCCAGAGAATTATCAACGCGCTTACAGAACCCGGAATGAAAAGATATCAAAAGGAGTCTCAACACGAGCGCTGCGCCAGGATACGAACAATTCCGAACGACCACTATTGAATCCTCACAAGGAGGAAAGACCGAGAGACACTGAATGGAGAGCGAGAGCCCTCCAGGAACGGGGGGGGAAAGAGGAAAACCTCGACCCCCTTATCGCGCGCACCCCCACAAGAACGCGGGCATTATCGAATGGTTACGAAAGATTACGGAAGCTTCAGACACCCTCATAAGAGAAGGAAAGATATTCGCAGTGGTAGACCTGCAGACGAAACCGCACCAACTAGAGAGGAAATGCAAATGGAAACGGAGGCCCTCACAAAAACAACGAGAGAAGGGGCCCCGAGAGAGTGCCTAAAGGCCCGTAACGGCACGTAACGACCCAGTACGAAGCAAAACCTAGGAGGAGAGCGAAAAGTTAATAGGTTTTCTATCCCGGAGGGTATTCCCTATTTGCTTAAGGTGATAGAATCCCGATATAAGCTAGTAAATAGCTTCTAGGAGTAGGATAAAAAAAAAAAAAAAAAAAGTGAAAGTGAAGTACCCATTCGAGGCCGTATGGGTTGTTGATTCTTCGGCGTCCTTGTGTCTCAGGGATGGATTAGCTTCATTATAAAGATGACCAGGAAACTCCGAGGGAAGGAATTGGGAAAGTGAAAAGGTAAAAGAATGTGGATTGAACGAAAGGAGAAAAGAAGAAAAGGAACAAAAAGGAACACAGAAAGAAAAGGTGAATGTGAAGGACCCATTCGAGACCGTGCGGATTGTCGATTCTTCGGCACTCCTTGTGTCTCAGGGATGGATTACCTTTATTGCAAAGATGATCCAGGAACTCCGAGAGGAAGGAAGAAAGAAAGGGAAGAGAACAGAAAAGAGAGAAACGAAAAAAGGGAGTGAAACGATCAGCATAGAAACACAACCGTACAGAGTGGCATCTATCTATCTATCTACACGGACACATATACATATACCAAAACCTGAGGGACATGTTTCTTGACAGGCCTCAAAGCCTCTTGATCTTTTGGTCTAATGCTGTTGATCGCTCGTCGTTGTGTCTGGTCTGGCTGGTCTGGCTAGTTGGCTGTGTATCCCCCTCTTGACAACGAGGCAGATCACACAGTACAAACATAGATAGAACGGAGGCATGTATGTATGTATGGATGGCTGGATGTATGGGATGGACAGACAGACAGACAAACGGACGGACGGACCGAGGCGGCCAGTTTTGTTGTCGTTGGAGATATTATTCCATGATGATGACTATTCCAGAAAAGATAGATAGAAAGACTGTATACAACAAAAACATCAAAGGGTATCTTTGGCGCAAATTAGGTATCGTTAAAAGATCGCGTGGCCGACGGTCGTCCTCTGTCTCCTTCTCTTTCTCCTTTCCCATCGTTTCAAAAATCTGGGTCGATATCACCCTTTCTCTTTTTCTTCGAGTTCGTAAATAACCACTGGTTTTACGCTGTTTCGTCCACATGACCACCATGTTTCATCATCCATCCATCCATCCAACTTTCCCATCATCAGATTCCCAGAAGAAAGAAAGAAACCACCAAAACGCCAATGCCATGCCTATATAAGTCGGTCCAGCGGAGAGCTCGTGTTACTCCAACCCGGGGCTCCAAACAGCGTAAACATACGGTAGCCGTACTTTTTGCGTTTCGAGGGCAGACAGGCGGGGCCGTCGTCTCCGTAGCTCAGTTGTTGTTGCTCTCATCAAAGGGCAAGAACAAACAGCCCCGCCATGGGGAAGGGAGGTCTTGAATATCTCGAGCCGGGCCGTCTTTGCCAGACCCAGGCATATTCCTGCAGCGACTTGCAAAGTAAGTCATCTGGGCAAAGCAGCGAGTAAAAAGCGGGAAGCTTCATTGCTTCTCTTAAAAATAGAGCGCTCTCAACAAGAGTTTTTCAAGCGCAAACTCCCACGCTAGCTCTCATGAGCCAGCAAATGATCATCAGTCCATGCATGGCTCTCGTGTCCGATGTTGAACTCGACTCGCCGTCGGCTTCTCATCTTCTCGTTCGGTCTCTTCCCCATCTTCTTCTTCTTCGTCTGACTGCAGCTCCACGGATCTCTCAGCGTCTGGTCACACACTCTCTCCATCTTCTACCCCTCTTCGTCACACAAAGAAGGGCAAAATAGGGGCGATCTTCGGCAGAAGAAATAGTGAGACTTGGGAAAGGCAACACATGACAGGATCTATGCTTTGGAAGCAGTGAGACTCACAGCTTGGGTTCTCGGTCCTCCCGGCCTGTCCCTGGCGCTGTACGTGTGGAAGCCAGACCCGGCCCGGTATTCGGGTGGTGCGCCGGTGTCTACGCCCGAGTGGAGTACTGGTGTTGTAAACGACGATGACGGCACCACCCCGACATGGTCCGCAAGACTTAAATGTCTGGTGCCCGGGACAAGAGTCGCCGGGGAAGGCTCCTCGTACCTCGGACTCTCGAGACCTAATCCGGCTTCTTCTAGCTGGCGAGCTTCGTATAGGCCAAACTGCTGTTCGATCTCTGCGGCGATCGCTGCTTCAGTTTCATGGACCTGAGCCGGCGGAGTGCCCCCTTCGGCGGAGACCTGGATGGGCGTCTTGAGGGTAATGTGGCTGCTTGAGACATTGGAACCTGGGGAACGGAATGAGATATTCAGTTCAACAGAATAAGTTCTTGAGACGATACAAGAATGGAATGTCGGCACAAACACTCTCGGTCGGCCGCTGCTGGATGGACTCGGAAGGGCAATCGGCACCGGGAGACTGGCGGTGTAAAAAGGGGAGCCCACTTCATAGGTGCACGACGGTTCAGGTATCGATGTCGTCGATGTCGTCGAATACCCCGACGGTCGTCTGGAGAGATCCGAAGAGAAGCTTCCACGCTCTGTCGGATCGTGGCGAACCCAGGAGACAGTCGACAGAATTCGCGATGATAAGGAGACGCTTTCTGGGTAGATACCGTGCAGGACAGACCAGTTGTCATGCTTACGAACATCTGGGATGAGTTTATACGGGGCGGCGCCAAAAAACGTGTAGACCTTCAGTTTGCTAGCGATGGAGTCCAGCTGCGGAGGGAGGTCGTCAGGGGAGGCAGGATCGAAGCGCAAGTTGATGGTCGCCATGGACGAGATAGGCTCTGTCAGCCGCTTCTGCGGATGGGGAAGACGGAGGCTTCTGGGCTGAGTGGTCTCAGCCGTCAGACGGCCCACCTTGCCCATCTTGAAGAGACCTTTTCTGACACTCTTCTCCTTGCGCATGACATGGTCTGATTCGGCCTCGTCAATATTCAACGGTGGAGCCTCTTCCTTCGCGGGGACCAGCCTGACGCGCTCGGCCTTGTCGGCCAATTCCAGCAGTTTGCCAACGGCATTCCACTTTGTGATTCTAGCTCGAATCCTGTAGGTGATCTTGGACATATCCGGTGCAAGGTCATCCATGAGTGTACGGCCGTCTCCCGAGACGCTGGGATCGCCCAGGCTTGGAGGCAGCTGGATATGTTGTTTCCGGATCTCTTCATTGTCGGCCTTATGCGAGCAGATGAACGGGAGCAATCTGTCGGGGACAACAAAGGTGAAGGGGATGGAATAGGTGACGCCAGCCTCGAAGGTGCCATTTTCAGGCAAGAGGTGATCGGGGATTGGCTGCTGCACTTTCAAGAATGTGTGCCTCCCTGTCGTGCGACCCGTTGTGGGGGCAGTGGTTGCGATCTTCTCGACGTATGTGCAACTTCGGCCCTCGAACGTGATATTGAGGTCGTCGAAGGACGTGTCCTTCTCGAACCTGACATCCACGCGACCCTTGATCTCGTCGTATGTGGAGTAGGAGTGGACAAAGTCGGCCTCGCCATCGAGGACGATATCAATTTCGCTCTTCTTGCGCAGGCCGATGGCCGTCGCAATCGCCGAACCTCGTCTCGACGGGGATGGCAGGGCCAACGATCGTGACCGAGCCGAGTAGGACGGCACTGCGGAGGAGAGGAACGAAGGCATCTCGCCGGAGACAATTTGGCGGGGCGTGCTCATGGCGAAGAAAAGAAAAGAAGAGAGGAATCAGCGAACCGGGGTTGTAAAAATGAGCTGGGCGGTGATAACAACCGGGTGACTGCTGGTGACGGGCACTTTGGCCCAGGACAAGCCGTCGATCCGTTTGAAACGAGGGGTCGTCGTTCACGCGATTACCAGATTCGTGCTTCCAAGACACTTGGACGAGCCCTCCAGAATGCGGGGGGGATCACCTGAAGAGCTGCAGGAGTTGGGGTGATTGGAGAGATAAGGATAGAGCGGAAGAAGAAAGGGTTTTCAGTTCAGGTACAGACAAAGAACACATGCCAAAGCAGGGCCGACTTCGGGAGGGGGGTTGTTATATGTGGCCAAGTTTGCTTGCTTTCGTGTATATCCATCGTACGGGTCAGTCTCAGCTGACACAGGAGGACAGTCGTGTTGGCTGATTCGTAAGCTTCTCACCGACATTGTGGGCATGGGACATCGAAAGGCGTATAGGATTGTGGAAAATCGGATATTCCCAAGCCGTAAAGTGAGTCATGGAACGACCATTTGACATGGTCAAAACTTATTGTTTTGTATATTACCTTCGATGCAAAGGATGATGTGATGCGAAGGGCGGACGGACCACAGAGCCACAAGAACCAATGGAGCTCCACCCCGCGTACCCTAGTGCCCTCACCACCAATTGCAGGGGCGTTGCCCGCCCATCGACCCGCGCCCTGGGGACACTTCCATGTGGATTGTGGGTGGCCCCTTCATGCCCCCCCTAGAGGCATGTATTAGGCGTGGCTAGCCCTGCCGCGACTGTCATCCAGGTGGGTGCCTAGCCCCTTTGCTGCTTTGTTCCATGCGTACTCGGCACAAGCGCGACATGGTCCTCAACTCCACCTTGTACGCCCTGCGACTAATTTTTTTTTTGCTCGACATCATGCTCTGGTCTCAGTTTCTGTTTGTCAGTGAAATCCACCTTTCTGGCCGTCTGCTCAAGTCAAAATGAACGACATCTTGGCCAAGTCGGCTAGAAGTGCTAGTCATATACCTCTATTGAGCCCAGCTTCAAGTTGATATCCACCCACGTGCTCATTCCGGCTCGATTCGTGCTCGCCTGAGCGTGGCCTTGCATGGAGCAGTAGATTTTTGCATGACACATGCACCGAAGAAGTCATAGAGGGGGGTATTCCCGTCGTCCTTGCCAATGCCTGGAGCACGCCCTCGCACGCCCTACTCCGATGGTGTGGTCGAATGGAAGAAAAGAAGGTCTCAACTCATGGTCTCGTATTGGTTTTGAATATGGTCGGGATAATTGCTATACAATCTAGACCTTCCCTATTGCCGTCTATCGTAAGTTTCCTCCTCGTGGGAATAGAGAAAATGGCAAAGAATCGAGCTGGATGGACGTCTTCAGTCCACCTTGACGCCCCCGTATATCCGTCGGACAAACATGTACGCCGTCAGGAAGCCAATGGTCCCCGTCGCCAATGAATATACAGCACAAGCAAGGCCGCTGTAGCTGAAAAACAACAGGCTGCTCACAAATCCGTCAATGTGTAATCGAGTGGCGTAGTACCACACCGAGTATACAAAGATCCAAAAGCCTGAAGCTCCACCCACGAAAAATGACTGCCACCACCAATGGTAATTCTCGGCACACAGTTGGAGGTAAGTAGCGATGATGACGGTCTCGGCGATCGTGATCGACAGCAGAGCGGAGATGATGCTCAAAAACCCGAACACGTAGTAATAGGATGACTTGTCCAGATACAGTGATTTGAAGACAAATATCAGTTCGATGAAAAGCACAGCAAAAGCCACCAGCCCGGCACCGAGGGCCAGGGTGACTTGCTGTTTCATATACCACGCCTGGGGTGGGATCTGACGAGGAATCGCATTGGTCTTGGTCGGGTGTTCCCAGCCAGATGATCGGTAGAAGCCCCAATATGACCCTAGGTGGACGAGAGGGAGTTGAATGAGCAGCCACAAGCACGCCAACCCCAAGAGAGTCGAGAAAGGTAGTGCGGTCGAGGATGCTTGAGCCCAGCAGAAGAGGTTGAGGACGAAGACGAGGGTGAACAGGAGCCCAGGGAAGAGCAGTGCGGTCTGTTCCGTTCAGTCAGCACGGGAGTACCTCGTGTCTTACGCAGACGACAACTCACCATCATCGTGTTCTTGCGCCAGTTCTGGCCACCGAATGTCTTGTAGACTCGCGCAGAGAAATATCCTGAAAACCCGCCTGCGAACACGAAGAGACCGGCGCCGACGCTCCAGAACCCTCCGCGCCAGCTTGGATTCAGGATACCCGCGCAGCTGAGACCCAGCAGCCCTACGATCACAAAGACGAGCTGGATTCCAGATCCGATCAAGGGGGCAAGGAGCCCACCATATGGCGGGGGCCTGAAGACGTCGCCGTGGAGGAGTTTCCAGCCCGTGATTTCTTCCAGTGGTTCCTCGTCCGAGGATAGATCATCATCGGGACCGCCGTCCGAGATCTTCTCCAGCAGCCCGCTGCTTGACTTCTTTCTCTCACGCTTGCCGATCTTCAACCGCGCTTCTTCTAGTATTCCGTCTCCCCGGCCTTTGACGTCCCCCTGCATGGTCCGTCCCCAGATCACTATGCAGATTGCGCCGAGAATGCCTGAGATGATTAGGGAGTTGACAATGGCCAACCAATGGGTGAAGGAACTCTCCGCCTGATCATTGAAATACAGATCCCAACGATTCGACCACTCGACTCCGCTTTCCTCGAAAAAGTAGACCGAATAAGTGTATGGGATTGTCATGGTGGCGCCGTCCTCCATGTCAATCGGAATTTCTGGGATGTAGGATGAATCCACATACTGTTCCATCAAGTTGGTGTTGTTGCCAGGAATGTAGAGGGCCAACGGCTCCTGTTCCCCCGACACGTCGAGCGGACAGCCTGTTTCATTGCGATGTCCCGCATGAATGCTCTTGGGATACACTTCAAATCCAACAATAACTTTGCCGCCATGATCCCCGGCCTTTCCAGGCGCCGGACGCCATCGAACCACGATGGTATGGTGGTTATAGACGTAGTACATCTCTTTACCGGTGCCCATATCGAAGTCCTTGTATCCCATTTTGAACCCTGATGCGTAGTACTTCCGGCTCCGATCAACGGTGACAAAGGAGGTGGCTCCAGGGAGATTGTCGAGAATCCATTCGGTGACATATTCGTCCTCAATCAGCTGTTGAGCCCACTCCAGCTCTTTCCGGCCCACCACCCGATCGCACAGGTACTGACAATCTATGTCCTGGCCCATGTTGATCTCCAGATCAGAAGTCTTGATCCTGTCACCTCGAAGGACCTCGCCCAGGTTGAGAGGAACGCTATGGCCGCTGGCGAAGGAGGAGCCATGATGTTTGTTGCCGGTGGGAGGGCAGACGAACGGCAAGTCGAAATATGCGAACTGCAGCTGACTCTTGTCCGAGTAGACCTTGTTCACAAGCAGCGGTATGTTCTCCTCGTCCCGGTAGCTCCGTATTGACACGCCTGTGGACTGTCAGTATTGCTCGACTCATGGACAAGGCCGAGATGCGGGTGGATCGGTACCTGGGATATAGAAGGCGTGTGAGAGGCAGGAGAACAGAAGAACCACGCGGCTCAGCCAGGACACGTGGAGCCGAACGTCTGGGGACATTGTGATGATCGCAGGACAAAAAATTTAGCGAGTGTAATCGGCACAAATGGCCGTCTGGTGGGAAGGAAGAGGAAGCAAAAGAAGAGAATGACCAGGACGAGATAAGGTGATGGTGGTGATGGTGGTCTGAGGGAATAACTACGTGCAACCCATTTACCACCTGCAGCTCCGTCGAAGCTCCGGGGAGAAGAGGAGATGGGGATTCGCAAAGCGCAGTCGAAGAGAAACAGCACAATGTCCAATGCAATGCAGGATGCGGGAGGGTAGGGAAAAAGCAGGAGTGTCTATCATGTACTCCGTACCGAGTACTGCTCCTTCGATCGCCTGTGCTCTCTGTCTTTCTCTCTCCCTCTCAGGGCAGGAGAATCGTTGGGTCCGGGCCACCACGGCCCTTGACAAAATGGTGGTTAGTGGATTATCACGTCAACGCGTGTCCGGATGGGGATCGCCAGGGTGGGATTGGCGGGTGGGTGGGCCCAGGCGCCTCAATCACTTTGTGCAGGCACTCAGGAATGGGCGGGCACTGCACTGGCGGACATCAGGCAAGCGTCCGGGGGCCACACAGGCTGGTGAGGCTAGGCTCTAGGGGGCAAATGTGCCAGCGGCGCCCTACGAGCAGCCCGCAATGGAAGCATCGAAGATCCTCCGGGCATATTCCCAATCATGGAGGCCATGGACAACTGCGTTTTGTTGTTTGTTGTGTCCACCACTTCAGCCGCCCTCTCCCCTCTCTGACTCAGCCAGGCACCTCTGTGATTCTATTCTTTGCATCTCGTTTAGTGAGGGTTATTACCTACTGCAACGAGGCGTGGAGCATAAACACCCTGTCAGAAACGATGCGAGATTCACCACTTTCGCCATGAGCGCAGGCCAAGACTCGCCTCTCAATCTGGTCTGAAACATGCCTGCAAGCGCAGTTGGACCAGTCGCACACTGACCGACGCCTCGATCAAGGATGTCTGGTCTTCACCCGTGTGGGAGCAGGGAGACGTACGAGGTACACTCTATAACTTCCAGTCTTCAGGGGAGCGGTCCGCAAAGTACATGTGACACACTGCCCAGTACAGCCAGATCTCAGAGGGCTTGTATCTATGGACGGAGCAATTTACCTCCGCAGTATTATCTCAGGTACAGTACAATACTCCGTGGAACGTGTTCGGGCCGATCCCTGAATGCTCGAAATATCCGGCATTGCTTCCGAACTTGACGACATCAATCACAACGTCCGCCTCACTGTGGTTGAAGGTGAGAACAATTCCTCTCCATCAAATGTTGTAAGTCATCCTCCAGACCATCAACGTGGGCAGAAGTTGTCGTGATCCTTCATTACAGACAGAGAGACCGATTTCAATCGCAAGACGTTCCTACAATCAGAGTTAATATCCCAGAAGTGATATTTGCTAGAAACACTTACTAGAAGCACCCCAGCATGCCGTTCGCAACCATCAACGGGCACTCGCTCCACTACACAGATATAGCTCCAGCATCGTCGTCATCCCAGTCCCCGTCAACACACACTCTCATCTTTGTGCACGGACTGGGCTCAACCCAGAACTACTATTTCCCCGTCTTCCCCTTCCTTACGTCCTACCGATGCATCATCTTCGATAACTATGGCGCCGGACGCTCGGATTTCCAGGCAGGCACAGAGACCTCGATCCCGTCCATGGCAAGTGACGTCCTAGGTCTGCTCAGTCATCTGGGTGTCGAGAAGGCTGTCGTGCTGGGCTACTCCATGGGCGGCATGGTGCCGACGTACCTGGCATCCACGTCGCCCGACCGCGTCGTGGCAGGGATATGTATCGGGCCTGTCCACCCCAGCGAAGCCGTGGCGAACGTCTTCAAACAGCGGATCCCCACAGTGCAGTCCCAAGGGATGGAATCCATGGCCAACACCATCCCCAATGGCGCCACGGGGCCCGGAACCACCGCCTTACAGAAGGCTCTCATCCGGGAAATGCTTCTCTCGCAATCTCCCGAGGGTTACTGCGCAAATTGTCGCGCCATTGAACTCGCCACTCCGCCCGAGTATGCCAAAGTCAAATGTCCAATGTTGATCATCGCGGGGGATCAGGATAAGTCCGCCCCGTTGGCTGGCTGTGAGATGATTTTCAATGAACTGGGCACGGCTCCGGAAAAGAAGAGGCTGCAGGTGTTGAAGGGAATTGGGCATTGGCACTGCGTTGAGGCACCAGATGAGGTGGGCCGGTTGGTGAGACAGTTCGTCGAGCGATTGTAGAATAACGTTGTAAATGTCGTATGAGGGATGAGATGAGTACCGATCAAGTCCGGAAGAAAAGCTATGTAACACAATGCAATTGGAAGCTGGTCTTGTACTGCAGCATCTGACCAGCGGACAACCGGGTGAAAATATTCGATTCTCAATATAAGTAATATGTTTTGAATGGAGGATTCGGTCAACTGTTGTACTTATATTGTCCCACGACTCCTGTGCGTTCCGCTCCTGCTGATAGAGCATTTTTTAGACATGAACATCAAACACTCCAGGTTCTGCAACGACTTTCTCCTCGAAACAGGAGTGACTGCCCCCCTTTACCGACGTCTTCACGAAATCTCTTCAGGTACAAGCCGTCTTTGACTGTACACAACCAAAATATCCCCAGAGAACACCACAAAGCGTCTACCACGCCGGGACGCTCCCTCTCCACAATCCACACACAATCGACACATCTCCATCTGACCAGAAGCACATGTCTTGCCTGCCGATATGCAATTCAATCTCAAAGACACAACAAAGGAAAAAAATGTGCCCTGCCAAACTGGTATCTCGGTGTCTTGTCCCCCTGGCTCTCACAAAAAACCTCAGAATTGCGGGCTGCTGAAGACGCAAAGACCTTCCCAAAGCGATTAAGACTTGATATTTTTTGACGGGTTATATTTTTGGAACCCTGTTTTCCCCAGGCCTGGCTCCCATATCCACAAGATGTCCATCCGTACTCGGGTGATTTCTACCCAGCATCAAGAGCATTAAGTCAATGGACGCCACGCTAGAAATGCCAAACAGACTTTTGTCAATCATATACCGTTCTAATACGAACAAACGAAGCGAAGACCGCCGTACTGAACGCTTGATAACAGACTTTTGGAGCTCACAGAGCCACGTCCAGGACCAAGCTTACGTCCTGTACTTGCGGGCCAGCCAGGTCTTCGAGGACTGGTATCAGATCCAATAGCTCGTTGTCGTGCGCGTCCGAGAACCAAGAGCTTATTGGCACAGCGTGTTGGGGATGGAAGATGTAAGAGGTGGGAGAGTTGTCGATGATGATGGTTTCCTTTAAATCTCTGCCGACTTGTGACAGGTCCTTGGAGTGGTGTTAGCGCTGAAGGGTTTGCGAGGAGTCTTGTGAGCTAACGTACCTTGACATAGTTTCCTTGGTGGTTGTAACAACTCTCCCGGAAGAGCCTGTGATGAACAACGTGGTGAATATCCAATTGATCCAGTAGTGGGTCGCCATATTTCGACACAGACGCAGTGAAGACAACCACTTCATACAGTTCACCAACCCTCTTCATAAATGTATCCACGCCTGGTCGTTTGATCACGTAGACATTGTGATACTGGCCCTCGATCTCCACAGGAATGGTGAAGTCGGCCTGGTTTAGGATCTTGAAGCTGCTGTGCACTAAGGTCTCATCTAAGTCGAGAATCAAACATTTTCGTCCTTTCAGATGGGGCTGCACAGGAGGCAGAAGCCATGATTGCTTCTCTAGCGAGGCTTCCGGAATTGGGGGTGCTTCTTTGGGAGCAAACTGTTCCTGTCGCTTGGACAATGGCGGCGGCGGAGGTAAAGGTACTTGTGGTTGCAATTCGTGGGGCTGGTTCGGCTCATCCAAGGGTTCTTCATCAACGACTGGAACAGCCGGGGGAGCGTCGGCCATCTCCACGTCAGGAGCTGTCTTATCGTCGCCTTCAAATCGCTGAGGCTCCGAGGGATGCTCCGCCTCTGTTGGTGTGGCCGCTATCACATTGACATCTGGTTTCGTTGAAGGTTCCGGCATTGTGACAGTTGTTGATTTGATCTGGTCTTCATCACCATGAGATACCGTGTTTTGGTTCGGGAGGTTTGTGGATGGCACTGTCCCGCTCGTGCCAGGAACCGTCACTTTTTCATGATATATTTCCTCGCGCGACATCCTCGGTCGAGACTCGTCAGGTTCTTTCTTCTCCGCTACTTCTACATTCCCTTCCTCTCCCTGTGCAGTGGCATCGTCGACCGGCGTTGTGCCTTCCAAATTCTTCTCTTTCTCCACCACCTCGTTTTGTTCTTGCGGTCTAGCTGTTTTTTGATGCTGGGGTTGGATCTTGATCTTCTTCGCTGCAACATCCGGATCGTCTGATTTGGTGTCATCAGCATATTCGGTTGGGCTGCAACAATTCAAAAAGGCGAGCAATCCGCTGCGAGCTTTCTTCTCAGTTTTAGGGGGTGTACTTTGAGGTAGGGGCGGCACGGGCTCTTTGGTGCTTTCCGCGGCCCGAGCTGCTCTCAGTGACCTTCGACTACCTCTGCTATTGTTCCGACTTCTGCTGAGGAGACTTCGTTTCGAGCCTCGCCTGGGCGAAGGAGGCGGCTCATCAGGTGCGGCGGGTGCAGGGGTGGTGGTAGGTTCAGGAGGTCGCGTGTTGGAAGAGGTACGAGAAGGGATTTTGACAAGCGACGGCTGCTGTTTTGGCTTTTCTGTCATTGCCTCGTTGGGTTGAGGAGCTTCAGAAGCAGCTTGAGGGGGGAGGAGGGCATCAGACGTGGCAATGAAACTGGTGTCATTGAGAGTGACTTCCTGTCCTTGCAAGGCGGCGCCTAGATGTAAGAGGTAGACATGTTAGAAACAAGAGTGCGCCATCGCAGCCAACAGGTCGCAGGACCAGCGACCCGATTGAGATTTGGATGGTGAAAGGTCGGACCATACCTGACGAGGGCCGAGTGGCAGCGCTGCCACTCATGTGGGGCGACGGACTGGCCTGCAGAGGCCTGGTCTTCGGTGTGTGCGCAGCTGGGGGAAGCCGATAAGATCAAAATCATGCGAAAGGGTCGTGAGCAGTGCTCCAGATGATTTCTCGAGATAGAATGGAGAAGCAGTCGCGCGCAAAGGAGCGGCGGGTGAACAGGCGTGCGAGCGACAAGACTTGAGGCGGCTGAACGGGGGCAAATGATGACGGGGTCGAGGTAGATACGGAGAGTTGAAAGCCGGGTGGCTGGTTCAAACGATGGATAGCAGGTTGCAGAGAACTGGAGTTCATCTAACGATGGAGATAGGGAGAGGCGCGTCGATGTCGCAAGATACACCACATGCGATACAGAGCTGGTATGTTTGGAAGAGGTCGCAGGTTTTGGGATGGGAAAGTTAGTAGATTGAAGATCGAAAGGAAGTTCGAGTAATGGGTAGTGGTACGGTACGTACAGGCAGGCGCAGGGAAGTTGGTCGTGCTTGGGAAGGTGAAAGGCCTAGTGAGGCCGGGATTCAAGCAACTGCCAACTTACTGTACTGGGCCGCTGGGCGACTGGGCCATTGGGCCACGGGGACTGGCTGGACGGACCATCACTCCAAGCACCCACAGGCACCCCCGAAGGGCAGGCAGGCGAGGACCTGCTCTCTCTGGTGTCCACCCCGTCCATCCCTCCCCTCCTCCAATTCCATCCATCCTCTGAAGAAGCTCCGGCGGCTTTGCGCTTGCTGCTCCTTGCAAAGCTGTGCATGCTGGTGCCATTTTTATTTGCGAGTTCCGTTCCCAGACCTGAGCAAGTGATTCATTTCGATCTTTGAGGGTGTCTACGACTCTGAGGCTAGGTAGGGGTCTGGCTCCCTGCCTCTTTCGGGCTCGACTTGTGCGCCTCCTTTGCCTCCTTTGCCTCCTTTGCCTCTTCGGTCCTCAATTTGCCCTGCTACAAGCATCATCGTCTTTACGCCCAGCTGTCACCTCCCTGTTTGTCCTGACCACCTTGTTTTGCCGCCTCAGAATCCCCATGGCGATCGTGGCTGAACTGGAAGTACCTCCATCACATTCCCTTCCCCCATCATTGCCATTCCCCACGGTCTTTGGATTTGCTACAATGGGTGCTCGTATCTCAGTCTACTCCACGATACAGCCGAAAACTAGTGCTGGGCATCAATCGCCATGGCCGGGGGCTACTGCTCACTACCCACAGCTCTGTGCTGGGGCGGAAATTGGGCAACAGCAGGGGATTGTCCGCCTCGGTAACCCCACGAATCGCAGCCGCTGGATCATGCGGACGGCTCGGACTCGCTAGCACTGTCTGAGCTTGAAGAGGGTGGGTTGCCAACCGCTAGCCTCACCAGCCTCCCGCTCCTAGACATTTCTTCGGCGGTTGGCCAGCTGTCGAGAGACCTTCGAGCCATTCCCCACGCTATCCGACCATGCTAGTTTGTGATGGACGAGATCTCCTGTGATGTTTACTTTTTGTAACCGCCAGTCCCGTTTCTACGGTGCTCCCTTTCTCATTATGAGGAGTTTCACAATAGTTTTCTCGAGAAACCTGACTGCCAATGAGAAACGAAGAGGAGGTTGAAATTACCACATTGGGCCGTCGCTTTGGGCCTTTTAAAGGGCACAAGCGAACTCGCCCTACGCTCACTTGGCCGTACGACGGGATCACTTCCGATAGGCACCTGACAAGAGCTCAATGCTGTTCTTTCTCCTGTCAACCACATAGGCGCCGGAAGATTCTGCATGGAAGCTCAGGGGGCTTCCATGTTTCTTTCTGTCAAAATCTATCATCTGAGGCTCGCCCACGAGCGTGGCAGGTACGTACCCAAGGTGTCGAAGACATCAGCGGCGTTTAATGTGGCTTGACTGTGCCATTGTACTATGGCATAGGGAGGGATAAAGATCCTTGAATATACCAGCACGATCACACGCCATTTTTCACCCATCTCCTCCCCTACTCTTTTCGAAGCATGACCTTGACCCGGAAATCTACTGGCTTCACAAACCAATAGTTTACCGTGTCCCATTCCCGCTCAGGATGCTCCAGCTGGAAGTCGAACCTCCTGACAAGTTGAGGGATCAACTTGGACATCTCCAAGAATGAAATGTGTCGGCCTATGCACGTTCTCGACCCGAGACCAAACTAACACGCTCTTAGCAGAAGAATACGCTTGGTCGAGGGATAACACTCACCGGCAGGTAGTAAGCATCCATCGTCCTCAGCCTATCCCCACCTTCTTTTTCGGCTTCAATCCATCTCTCTGGTCGGAATTGTTTTGCATCTGGGCCCCAAATGTCCTCGTTATAGTGAGCGCACCAGCTGTTCAGCCCAACAGTGGTGCCTTCCGGAAAGAAATGACCACAGATCTCTACGCCCCCTTCAGGTACCACTCTCCAGAGTGGCAAACCGGTGGCTGCGTGCATTCTCAGTGCTTCCTTCATCACCGCTTGCAGGTAGGGCATCTCCTGGCTTTCCTTGAACGAGACAGCCGGATTACCGCACCTGCCTTGCTCCTCGAACTCTTGAATCTCCTCTTGGAGCTTTCGCATCGTGTCGGGATACCTGAGCAGGTTATATAGGATCGTTGACAAGCTCACCGCGGTCTAGCGTCCTCGACAATATCATGTTAGCACCTCAATCTCCAATGGTGTCAGAAGGGGGCTGATCGCCTCGAGTGTATTCGTGCGATCGTTGGGCAATCTCACCGTGTCGGAGCCCGCTATGATGTTTGACAAGCCCATCATGAATACATGATACGGGGTCACCTTGTCCGGGTCATGCTGATTTGCCACTAGTAATTTCTCCAAAAAGTCCATCGGTGCATTCTCATCCCCAATCTTTTCGACGTCGATTCCGGCTTTCTTGGCCTCCTCGCGCTGTTTGATCCTCTCGGTGACATATTTCATCAGCCACACTCGACCCTCTCCACCACCGATTCCAAGACGACTCGAAATGTTGAAAAGAATGGGATGCCACTTGGCGTACACGCCGACGAGGGCACCGTATTGCAGAACACTGTGCAGAGCTTTCAACAAACCAGAAACATCCTCTCCTTTATCCAAAAAGCCGAATCTTTGAGAGTAGGTGATGTCGCCAATCACGTCAAAGGCATAGCACTGGAACCAGTGTGCCATATCGATAGTCTCCCTTTTGGCGGCGAACTCAGACAACCTTTGCCCGAAAATCTCGGCACACGAGTCCACATACGACTCGTAGTTGACCAGACTCGACATTGAGTACATTGCCTGAAACCTTTTACGCGTTTCTGCATGCCTCTTCATATCCCTGTCCGGGAACAAGGTCCAGCGATTTGGATCGGGATGCTGCCACGCATAATACCAGTCACTTTTGGGGAACTTAGAGTTGATGCTGTATACCTTTTTGACCACTTCCGGATGGTCAATGCTGTACATGTCCTGGGCGACGCGGACAACGGGGCCGTACTTCTTGTGGAGGGCAATATCATGGCGTTCCCAGTGTCCTTGGGAAACTCGCCACAAGTAATAGAAGCGGCCGAAGCGGGCGGCGAAGGGACCAGGGACGTTGCGAAGTGGAGACGTCAAGGTCTTGTAGAGAAAAATGGCGATCTGGGTCGTCAGAAGGATGGGGATGGCCCAAAAGGCATAGCGGAGGAGGATGCTGGTGGTGCCAGCGTTGTCATTCGCCTCCACGATGGACATGATGCCGCCGCCGGTGGTGGTGGTAGTGGTGTTACTAATGGAGGAATTCGTCGGTCTCGAGCGGTACGTCGTCGTTTCGGCGTGGTTTGCCGCCTCTTGTATCTGTTCGTGATATAGGATGAATCGACAATTATCCACGTGCCAACTGTGACGTTTGTCACCCAGTCAGTTTCAGGCCGTCCACCGTATGCAAGTTCGACTGCTTTCAAGCGGAATACTCCGCTGTGTGAGTCGTTGGCGACGCAATGCTGCGGAGCTGAGCTATACAAAATCAATAGACATGAGTCTTTTGAGGAAGCTGACTAGCAGAGTGTATTTGAGTGAAAGAGAGTGTGTCTGTACACCCGTATTATACTCGTCAGTCTTTGGAGGGATGGGATAGGGATGGAGGGGAGGTCTTATAAGTCGACGAGGAGTGAGGGAGAGTGTGTGTGTGTGCGTGTGTGTGTGTGTGTGTGTGTGGCAGATCGGCTTGTGATAAAAGTACGAGTTACAGTAGCAGGGAAGAGGCAGCCCCGTTGTTTAGTTCTGTTCGATCAAATGCCGATGCTCAGGGTATTACACTGGGTAGGTAAGTGAGTTTTTAACTCGGGTTAAATCATTACCTGTTCCCGTTAATTCCCCCTCCCCCCCAAATAATCACGTCCCGCGAGCGGCGGGCGGGGGATGAAGGAGGGACGGAGGGTGGGAGGCGAGGGGACGGGGATAATAGTCATTGAGGGATGCCGGGAACCGAAAGTCTCGTCTAGCAGTACCTCGTAGTGAGCGAGTGGTGTTTACTTCTTACGGTGATGCATACACGCGAGCCCGAGTTCAGTTCCATACAGCAGGTACCAACCTTGAACTATGTGCTGTAGTACTATATCTCGTATGTCTCTCGTGCTACGGGTAGATACTACTTTCAACTACTAGTCCTGGCTTAAGAGGAAATCCTTCGACCACGATGGATCGCGGAGGAGGAGGAGGCTTTTAGTTCTATCGATGGCAAGGCACTGGATGAAAAGTGTAGACCATATATATAATATATATAAATATACTTAGTTATGCCATATCGGTACCGTGAATATATGTGCGATGGTACTATGGGCATGTTACACGTTCTGTGTATTCAGGGTAAAAAAAAATCGATGTGATGAGGTCTAGACAGACACGGAACGGATAACCCATGACTGCAAAGACGCATCATTGTCATCAACAATGCAGCTCCAAAGCTGAGTTGTTGTACCGAAAAGTGAAATCAACCATCTGCCGTGCGTGCGTGAGCCGCGGGACTCGAGTTAGTCTACATTGGTGGTAATAGTATCTCGGAATGACAGGGTACGAGATTCCGAGGGCAAGAGCACATGAGCACCGAGCGGCCCATCCAGGGGCGGAATCTGCTGCAGTCTCTGTGCACGTGTGTTGTGCTTTCGGGAGTTGCTGTTGTGTGAAAAGAAGGGATCATCCAGCCAGCCAGCCCACCAACCAGCCAGACAGCCCAGCTTGAGAAGAAGAACAAGTCAGACAGAGTCACAGCACAGACTAACCGAGCAACCAACCAATGGGTAGGTGGACAATTGAGTAGTATTATTAGTGGGTGGGTTAGCTGGTACATACTGCACCGGCAATCTCATCTCACACAGCCTTGCTCGCCTCCCGCCCGGCCTCGGGCCTGGTCGAAGATCGGTCGGATGTGAGCTGAGCTGAGCTTTTCGGCAGATGCAAAAAAGAAAGTTATGATGAGATCCAACACGAAGAAAAAATAATTACCGACCTGGGTACACACCCTCTGACACTCGCTGCCTGGAGCTGGAGGCCCATTATTATCATCATCATTGTCATTGTTATTGTTGTTATAGCCAGCGGTATTACTCATTCGCACTCGCTCGTACTGGATCTGCCACCCATCACGAGCATTCGGTCCTGTGAGGAGGAGATTATTGGTTTGGGACTTGATGATTCGGCTGAGTCGAGTTGCTGGTGGAGGTGCTGGTGCTGAGCTCAGAGCTGCGCCGTGAGCGTGGACTGAGCGAGCGAGAAGGACAGAGTGTTCCATACTGAATGTTGGGTGCAGTTCTGAAAGACAAGGGACCTTCAAAATCCCCTTGAAAGGTTCCACGGCTAGGCTAATCGAGCAATTGGGCCAAAAGCCAAGTTCAGGGTGTGAACGATTTCCGCTTTTGGTTTTGCCCCTGTTTGGCCTGGCCTATATCACGTGCCGTTCTCCCCGGCTAATCGTTGGGCGTCCTGGTTCCGACGTGCTCGGGTTTGCGAGGTACCCATCGAAGCATACTGGACATTAACTCATACATAGGAAAGGAGAAAATGGGGAACAGCCGTCATTCATGAAGTGAAATCCAGGGTCGGAGGTTGACATCTGAATAGATGGCAGTTTCTGCTCAGTCGCGTGAAGAGATAAGTAGTCAGATATAACGCCATTTGCACGTCTTCAAGGAGAAAAAAAAGAAAGGAAAGAAAGAGAAAGTGGACATTTACCCTTTTCTACAGTCCTGTTTTCTCAATGATATATACAAGGGCTTGACAAAAAAAAAAGAAATTCACATATTTCCGCCCGCCTGGGGACCCCTTGTCCAAGCCTGAAACTCCCTCGAGAAGTGATGGTACAAAAAGAATATCACTCATAACCAATTGTGAGCTCAATCGTCCCCTCGCAGCTCAATCTCGTACTCGACCTCCACCCGCCTCACCTCGCCCAGCATCCGCTCCAGCCTATCTCGAAAATCATCCGACAGCTGCCTCCACCGGGGCTGGTCCCGCTTGAAGCACGTCTCGTAGTCGCGCGGCCAGTCCATGAACAGCCACTCAGGCTGCGTGGCCAGGATCTGTTGTTCCACTTCCTCTTGTCGTTTCTTGGCTGCGTCGTCATCCTCGTCGTCGTCTCCCGCCGCCCCGCCAGAGAGGAATGCTTTGAGCACGTCGTGCACGCGTTCACCCAGGTACCAGTGCGTCCAGTTGCTGAGACCGTGGTCCTTGTTTCCCTTGTCGTACCAGAGTGCCCCGTTAGCCCACAGCGGCTCAATGCCCCAGGCGTCGGAGTGAGCCATGTGTAGTGTGCAAGAGCTGTGCTCTGGCGGAGGGGTTTCGGTGTGGTTGGACACATCGGCGATGTCCTGCGCTGCTTCGGAGAGTCGGGGGTGCTGCTTCTCCCACTCCTCGTCATCGTCGAGTAGTAATGGGATCCCCGTCTCCTGCGACTGAGACATTCGGGCCGCGTACCACGGTTCGAACGAGTAGGGCACACCCATCAGTTCGGTGGCCACCCAGTATGACTCTTTATCACCGTGCCAGACCCTGAACGTCGACGAGTCCCGGACTTCCTTCGTGTTCATCCAGCACGTAAACAGCACCGCCATGTACAGTCCAACTCGTGACTTGTCGACACAGACGACGGCGGCGTCGGCCTCTTCGCTGGAATACCCGCGATAGAAGAGGGAGCTCTCATTCATGTAAGTCGAAGTGGGCCGAGCGGCCGCTTCCAGCTGGTGCCCGAGCCACTCCTGTCTCGAGGTTCCTGACATGATGTTCCGATCGTGGAAGAACAGAGCCCCGGTATCCCGCAAGCCCGGGTACTCGTCGAACAACTTGTCCGGGTTGGAGAAGAAGATGGCATCGGCATCCATCAAAATCGTTCGCGGAAAGGGACTGGCGAGGAGCGCGAACGGCTTGATGGCGTATCCTTGCAGATGGACGAGCTCCTGGTCAAAGACCGTGGTGAGGTCGATGAAAGTGATGTCCTTGCCCCGTCTCCTCAAGAACTCTCGCGTCTGGGGCTGCAGGTCGTCATCTCCTACGTAGGCAATGGCGATCGGGATCTGGCAGCCATGGACGTTCCGAAGAGATCCAATCAAGTGTGCGGCCTCCTTCGCAAATGAATCCATCACACTCATGACGATGCCCGTGCTTGGTCCCGTCGACTCCATGCTGGAAATGATCCTCGACTTCCATGATTGTAGCTTCTTCCACGGGTAGTATTTCAATGTTGACGGGTTCCACCAAGGGAACAGCTGCGACACAACGGCGTTGACTTCGTGGGTATCGAGCGACGGATTCTCGAGGTAGTGTTCCGCGAGGTCAGACAAGGCCGCGACTTTGATGCTCATCAGTCCATGGTCCTCGGAGCTCGAGGTTTGGGCGAAAGTTTCTCCCAGAGAGTAATGTTTCGTCAGCGTCGTGCGCTGTATCTCAGCCTGCTCCCTTGCATTATGATGAAAGAATAGGATGTAAAAAGTCTCAAGGATGAAAGCGACAAGGAGGAACTTTGCCGGGTTTCGCGGTAACAGGGCTCCCAGGAATGCCATATCATTAGAGAGATGAAGGTCTGCAAAGGTGAAAGAGCGACGATGGAGGCACTGATATCAGTTAACCATACGGCGATATGCAGTGAGGAGGCAGGGGAGGAAAATGGCGAGCCAGTCTGGGCATCCTGCTTCCTATTCACATGGTAATGGCACGAACACCACGGGTTCAGTTTCAAGTGTCCCTATCTGCACTCTAATGGAAGCCACCCGACCTCCCCAGCTTTCCGCCCACTCATTCTCGCTCTGTTCAATGGACCGAGTGAGCTGGATGGGGGACTCCTTTTTCGTCGCGCACCCATCAGCTCGCTTGTTGCCTCCACACGTTATCGTGTAAATGAGAAGGGGCGCGTGATGGCGCAACTAGACATTCACCAAAAGTCAAAGCATTGGTGAGCATGCCTCGATTGGGAGAGATCTTCGAACCTTCATCCTGAGAGGAAAGACCGACCCACCTCGTCCCTCGTATATAGATGGGGAACATTAGGAAGGCTGAGAAAGCGGGTGAAAGGGAGTTCAGATTTGTGTCTTCATTAGCCTCCCATGGACTGGAGGTAATTGCCAACCAGGAAGAGAAGGGTGTGGGAAAGTTCAGACTGAGTGGTGACTTATGCTTGTCTCAGCCAATACAATGCAAGCTGGCTTATCTTCCCATTGCAAGGCGCCTAGGGTCTGATCGCGATGGACGTTCGGGAGGCTGACCGTTGAAATGGGCCAAATTCCCACATTGCTACCGTGTGCCCCTATCCGCAGGACCGCTTGCGAATTCTTTGATGATCAGCCTGTCCAGGTGTTTAGCAACAGCAATGGGTCATCGTCATTGTCGTTGGTCTTTGATGGATGCAATCCAAGGAGGGCTGCATGGGTGTTCTTGCTAAAAGACCGGATAGGATCGTGCCATTGATCTTGTTTGAGGTTGTGAGTTCCCCCTCCCAGCAGCCCTTCACGCATCCGAAGACTTGTGCACTGAGACTCTCAAAGTTTATTGAGAAGAAGCCCCTTCGTCTGCTATTGCCACGTCGGATGCCACGTAGTGCCTAAGCTTGGCTCCGCCCAGGGGAATGGAGATCCCTTGGTAAGTGCGAGCATATCTCTTGGCCGGGAAAGTTGGTCGGCCGAAAGTAATGGAATGGCCGCGTGCACGACGGCTTTAAAGGCTGCTCTGCAGAGAGGCTCGTTGGATGTGGACAAATCGGGATCAAGAATGCGATATCCAACCATTAAGGGCGCGTCTGCAACTGCCATTCGCACCGTGCAGTCGATGAATGGTAGTTAGTTGCCCGTGCCTGACGTGCTGCTCGCGGATTTTGCGGGGCGACGCCGTTAGGTAAACGTCGACAACCGCACTCCCCTGGTTTCCCATCTCCCCCTTCCCCCTCTTTCCACCTGTTTGGGACCAAGCCACAAAGCCTGTGCTGCGAACGGAATATTCTGCTCTTCTGCTTCCCTGCTCAACTCCTCTGCTCCAGAGCCGAATCAGTTCGAGTTTGTACTTGCACTGCGAAAGGTCTGCGTGTAGAGGTGTCGCCGCTTCGTCAGGGATCTTCGGTAGCCGTGTGGATACGTATTGCTGGACCTATTAGTTCTTTTCCATACTAATAAGTAACGACCTCGTCGGCTGAGAGAGCGCCCAGCGATTCATCCGAGTTCTCCTGCTCCCTGCACCAAGCCTAAACCCTAGGCTGCTGGTTGTGCCGGTAAAGAGCTGGTCGAGAGCTTGTTGAGAGCTTGTCGGTACCGCCATACCGCATCGGGACAGTTTTATTCGAAGCTGGATGAGACGCCCATTTCTGAGATGGGATGTGCTTGTCTACCAAGCACCACCCAGAAAGCTTGACTCGTCTGTCGCCGGATATTCTGTCTTTGACCAAAGGAGTCCTCCGGTGGAGGAATTTGTAGCGTGGTCAGTGTAAAACGTTCAGACACCTAATAGGACGCATATATCTTCGTTATCTCAGTCAACCTGGCAGCGTCAGCTCCTAGCCCAAGGTTGCCACGGCTGGATGGACTATGAGGGAGGTGAAGAGATGGCATTGCTTTGATCGCGAACAATTATCAACTGGAATGTGTGTGCTTTACTGTTGGGCCGTTCGCTACAGCAGGCTCACGGGCCAGTCGCTCGAACCTGATCACACGGTATCTATTGGTTTCTTCTCTGTCAGTCATAATTTAAGATGAGCGTGGGCTCCCTCATGCCCCGACCCAGCTATTGCAACACGAACTAGGCGTTGTGCGCTTACTCGATCCGAAATGTGAGGTCATTCAATTCGAGTTGTGGGACATACAAACAATGTCTCGCCCAGGACAGTATGAAGTATATGATAGACTGACAGAAAAGGAAGAAGTGCCTGCTCAGCTCCATGACCACGGAAGAGACCCAGTAAGCTACCCTGTGGTCTCAATTGGGCGGAGGTTCAGAAGAAAATACAAACACATACTCTATCTTCCTAGTAAGGACAAAAATCGATGCTATGCACCAGCCCAAACAGGCACAGGAGTGCATGACCATGGTGCACACACTCCGTGATCACAAGTTGGATGGTGCGAAGACCCGGCAAGTTGGATGGATTGTGAATCTTCTATCCCATTGATCGCCCAGGCTGGCGCTCACTAAGGAGCTCGTAAAGGGCATTCCGGTATCATGGTTGTTACATAAGTTGTCTCTTTCTCTTGAGGAGCTGTCCTACTTCGGTGGCATCTCTTTGTTTCTGCGCCACAGTGTCCCTCAGAAAGCGTTGTCGGGCGCTCTCGACGTCATTGGGCCAACTGCAGGTATTGGCAGGTGTGACAGGTGTGGAGGCTCTGCGGTAGGGTCCGCTACAGGATCTGATCTGATAGCTTGGATTGTCGGTCAAGTTACGTAGGTGATGGAAGGTTCTGTGGGAACAAGTCGCAGGTCACGCTACCTCAGGTGAATTAGTGCCCCTGACGATTGCCCATTGTGCGGCCCAAGCACGTTGACGTCATCGTCATGAATTGACTCCAGCGGCCATCTGGTGCCTCTTTCTCTTATTTCACTCGCAGCCTCACACGATCCCTCCATCGCAGTCATATTGTACTCTGTTCCAAGGACGAATCTCACTCTTGCAATCTTCTCAATCAGAGCCAAAACTTCCTATCATCTTCAAGGTCGGTCCCCCCAGACACAGCTTCTTACATCTAACACATCTGTCTGACTGTCAACAGCCAACAATCTACCCCACCAGCCAACAAGCAAAGACGAAAGTCGTGTGATCACGCAATCCCTATCTAAACAATAACCCTCAGTGTAGAGCACCTGCAGCTACCGACACCCGACAGCCATCATGCCTCGCGGAGCCACCGAAGTCACCAAAGTCTTTTACAAGGGCAGCACCGATGACTTCATCGTCTTCATCGAATCTCCCCAAGACCTCAAAGCGTGGAAAGCCGACCAGTCAATCCCCTTGGCCCAGGTGGTGAACAGCTTCAAGATCATGGTCACCCACAAGCACGGTGCGCAGGGTCAGCTGGACGGTGCGAGCAAGGCCAGTCTGGAGAATGAGTTTGGCACCAGCAACGAAGACGAAGTCATCAAGAAGATCCTCATGGAAGGCCAGGTACAAACTGTGGCGGTACGTCCATGTTCCCCCTTGCTTTGCTAACGCGTAGAGAATGAATGTTGCTGACTATGTGTCCTCTTCCAGAATCCGGAACGAGGAGGTGACCGCAACGAAACCATGGGTCCTAGACAAGGACATCCCACCGCATAGACCAACTCCAGCACCGGTTCAGCCATGAAGGTGTTATGCTTGGTTTCACTTTGTGTCTCGACATGACAGAGCCGAAGAAGCTGTGAAGGTTGTGATGAAGGGAGCATGTTGTACCCCAGGCTCATGGCGAGACCGACGGGGAGGATATGATGAGACATGATGGAGTTGAGATCATGAAACCGCAAAGTCTGCGGCCAAAAAGCAGCTCCAACATCCAAGACCGGCAAACCCTGGACCGGTATATGTGATAGCTGCTCAAAAACATCAAATTGAACCAAAGTTGCGAGGCGTTGGGGAGAAATCCTTCTAAGCCGCTTCAACGACCACCTTATGCTATGCTCTTCATGCTCTTAAACAGTATCATAATTCACGCCGAGCTAGCATCTAGCACGTGAACAACCTTTTCCATGCTGCCACATCATGCATAGGCGCCGGACCCAGTTCGAGCGGGTCAACTCGTAGACCGTATCATGTAAACAAAAGCTTTCATGGATCCCGTTCAGTTAGGCTAGCTGTGCAGCTATATATCTCTCTCTTCAGGCTGGCATATACGGAATATATATGTATATCCGTTACCCTGCTCGAGGATCCTCTTTGATCGACTCATCTCGCTCGCTCTCTGTGTCACTCCCTCTTGTGTGAGGGAAGGACGAACGGCTGTAGACCTGATAGTATACATAACATACAGACACACACACGGACGGACCGACGGGCATGAGACCCTCTCCCCGGCCTCAGTCTTGCAGTCAGTCGGGACAATCGGTCTGGCCTGATGCTTTCTTCGTGCTCTTGCAAACCACCCCATATGCATGCTTGCTTTGGTATCGCTGGCGTATCTTTGATCGCTCCCAAAAAAAGTTAAAAAACTTTCTCAAATAAAAACGAATCTGTACATGACAATTCTTCCCGCGGATCCCAACACCGAAGGATGGAGGAAAGAAAGTGAGAGAGGGACTGAGCGTGTCCCTCTTGATGTCGTCTTCTCGTGACGACGAGAGCTCCAGGTGGAAACAGGGCTACTCGTCCAGGCTTTTGAGCTTTCCTCTTCTCTAAATACAAGTTGCACATCTGAAGATCTTGCGCTTCGGACAGTTCTGAAAGACCAGAGCCAGTCTGACTCTTCCAGATCCTTGTTGGCAATGCTTTAGAAGTGTTCCTTCCAAAACCTGAATTTAACGAGATCGTTACTCGTCGCTTTGCAGGCGGTTTTGATCTCTCTCGCGGCAGCACTGGGCCCACAGAAGTACACACCGACTGTGGCCTTCATTTGCGCCGTGAGGGATGATTCCTTGCCTACGTCCAGGTATGTCTGGTCCATGAGACCGTCCCTCATCGCGCCGAACAGACGCTTGAAGTCAGGGCGGCCAAATTGTGTCTTCGTGCGTAGCGCGGTCAAGGGGTCGACTGCGTTGCCCACAGTATTGAGGTAGATATTTGCCGCCGTATTGGCATCGACGCGTTGCGTAAGGTATGTGTGGATGCGAAGGAACTCGGGGCCGCCAACACTTTCTGCCGCATCGGCGGATTGTCGCTCGAGAGAGGTCAGCAGCGTCTGGAACCATTCGAACGACTCGACAGAGCGAGTGACCCAGAGGAATTCCACACGTTTGAGACGTCTAGGTGGGTTGGGTCCCGCGCGGATATTGTAGATGTGCTTGAGCACCGATGCCCATGGTGTCACACCAATACCTGTGCCGATGAGCACGGCAATTTCGTTGTCGAAGACGTCTTCGGCGGGTGCACCATAAGGTCCGTCGATACGGATAGCAGGCATCTCTTGATCCTGTCGCAAGGCAATTTCGTAGATGCCCTCCTTGTCTAGATCGTCGAATTCCTTGGCCTGTGCGGGACCGCAACCCAATGCATCACCCACAGCTTTGGTCCAGTCTCCCACCTGGCGGACGTGCACCGAGATGTAGGGGTCAAACGGGCACGAGGTGATTGTGAAAGGGTGCCATTGTTGGCTCGAGACAGCCGGGATATTGATGAACAGCCATTGGCCTGCCTTGTATTTCATGCTGGGTTTTTGGAATTGGATTTCCATGGCATCGTAAGGGTGGCGGACGACCTTTGTGATTCTGGTCTCCCTTCTCGCGCGGACCTCACGCCAGAGTCGCTCGAAAAGGTAGAGGCCACCTGACCAAAGCTCCCACCGCCAGCCTTCGTAGCCAAGGCAGTGAGCCCAGAATATCTTGCCAGCAAATGGGGAGAAGGGCTGGGCGGTATCTCGCACGAAACAGCCCACGGCGTGTGTATACAAGGCCAGGAGGAAGGGAATGAAGAGGTGGTGAGTGTACCAGAAAGTCTCGAAAGACTGTTGTCGAATCTTCTGGTGGGCGGTAGTGTACATAAGCAACATACACAGCAGCATAATGTGACCGGTGATGCCACCAGCCTGGGTGTAATGAATCTGAATTGCCGTCTCAGGTCGGATCTGGTTCTTTTCGACATTGAAGAAGTTGACATAATGAGCAGTCACATGCACGGTGGTAAACAGGAGCAGAGCATAGGCACACTGTCGGTGGAACCAGTGTGTTTCGTCAAGAGGTAGCCACCTGAATTTTGGTCTCAGGAAACGCATGAGATTCCGACACATGGGCAGCAGGATGAGCATGACGTCCACCGAGAGGACAAGACCAGCTCCTCGCGACATCCATACCGAAAAGGTCAGAGTGTTGAGGCCAGCTAAACGGGGATCTGCTGCTTGCTTCCACCTGGAAATGGTGTTAGTCGTCGACGAATTCCTCGGGCTGTTGGGACACCTACCATCCAATGGCAAAAATACCCCAGTGAAATCCCCACCACAGAATATAGAAAAGAATCTTGCTGGGAGCGAAATGGGACTTGAGGGTCGCCATGACTTGGGGACTCTCAAGTGGATGATCTTTGAACGGAATGTATATGAGGTATCGATGGAACCGTGGCCGAATGTTCCTGTCTTCGTCGAGGGCTATCTCGTCTGCATGTCTGGGGAGAGCCAAGAAAGGTATGTCGTGGCAATACGAGCGATGTGCTGAGGAGTAAAAGAGCGTCGAATGAAGATTGCGAGTGATGGAAGGTTAAGCTCACACTGGAGCCGCAAGTTGAGGCTTATGAGAAGACCGATCAGGTAGGAACCATAGGGTAAAGTTGCTGTCCGGAGACTGGCAATCCGAGATATTGTGTCTTGACCAGACGATCACACAGTAGATCATACGAGGAGTACGGTACTGATGGCAAATTGGTCGATTAGATTCGATGTGGCCAAGGGTCCGCAGTGTCGCAGTGAGCAACAATGGTGAAGCAGGAGTTCAAACAAGACAGTCTGGAGCAGTGGTGAGGATGAGAGAGGGGGAATACGACTGAATTAGTATAGCAGACGGGTGAGGGTTGAGGTCGAAACAGGCTGGGAGTGGAACCCGGGAGATCTGGGACAGGAGCTGTAACAGGAGTGGAAGGAGGTTTAGGAGGTGAGATATTTCCGACCTGTGCTGAATGTATAGAAGATTCTTTTCGGGGGAACGTTGCAGTTGAGTATGACGAGATAAAAGAATGTAAACGATGTGATAATGCCAAAAAACGGGAATATTGAACAGGACTAACGAAGCAGTTTACCGTCCTCGTGGGATAGCTACACGCCATACAAGATTGACTTGATACGAGCCAAAGGTGACTTGGGGTCGGGTCGGTGAATTTGTGGATCTCCAGGGCACACCCACCTGCATGAAACCCTGGTCCCCTAGTCTCAAAGCGAGAGGCTGTCTGAATGGCACAGAATGGACCCCGGGGTCAGGCACCGAGCAACGGCGTCTTACCTGATCGAGGGGGCTGGGCGGTTATTGGGTGGTGAGGAAGAAAGGGTCAGGGAAACGGCCGCAGGAAACAAGATGAAGCTCGAGAGCCACTTGGTGGTCGATGAATAACAAGATGATCTGACAGGTGGGAGGACGAGGTTGGAAACAAGAACGTGGGCAAACATGGCAGCTCCGGAAGGCGTGGCATGATCAACTATCGAACGGAAGACGTGATAACGGTATATCGTCACGCATATAGCTTCATATAAAGAGCGAGAAGCTGTAGAACCGAATATGGGAAAAAGCAAGAGGCGAGAGGATCCATGGGCAGGAATTTGGACCCGATAGAGAAAGGCGAGTGAGAGGTGCAAGTCAAGTGTAAGAAAAAGGTGAAGCCCACCAGCGTATCAGGAAACGTTTCGAAGCGCCCTGGAATGTGTTCGGAATGGTTAGTGTCCGGGACTTGCCCCGCTGGCAACCCGTGGACCTGCCTGGGCGTGCCTGGACGTGGGATCAGCCACCCCGGGCGCCCATCTCACTGGCTCCCACTGGCTGCCACGCCCTCGAATCACACTCGCTTGGCCTAGTGAGCCTGATCAACCCTGCCTTTTAGGCTCCTTAGCGCCCGCCGCAGCTCCCGCATCACATCCATGTCGGTGCTTAATTCTGCTCCTCGATTCGCTACTTGGCTCACCACCTCACACCCACGACTCGTTCCTTTGGCTGCAGCAATGGGTTGAATGGCTTCCAGATCTCGACAGCAGCTTGCAGCTTGCAGATGACCTGCTGCTGTGACTTCTATTTTCAGGCGCTTAAACCCACCCGCCGTCACCGAGTCACTTCCCTCCCCTCCGCACTCAGCACCCACTCGGCGAATCATACAACCTCATGGCAAGGAATATCACCAGATCTGGCGGGTGCAGGCCAGCACTATTGATTGATTTTGTTTCCCATTGCTGCACTGCATCTTGGGGCTAACGCAATAGCTCCATTGACAGCCAACGGCCCAGGTAGGATGGTCTTTGTCGGGTGCTCGGTAGAGCGCGGTGAGAGGACCCAGAAGACGAGCTCATCTTCCCACGAGCAACTACATCTCTTGAATGTTTTCATTGATTCTTCGTCTCCAAACTTCTTGTAAAGTGAATTAACCTTGAGGACCGCGAGAGATCGCTCTGAATCCTCCAATACTGTCCCTTCTGGTGGTTTGTGGCCCGGGTTGTCGCAAACTCCACACCTGTAACACTTTCTGTCTCCGAACCGCCTCAACCACTCTGTGGGCGAGACGACACCTGCGACCAATCTCTTACGCGCCAACCCACCGACTTCAAGTACTCGAGCTTTCAGACACTGCCGGACCACTTCTTCTGGCTCCTGATACTTCCCCCTCTGACGGCTGATCCCTCACTGTCGACAGCCTGGTCAGACACTGCCAAACACACTCTGATACCGGCTTAACCCTCACCGAAATCACCTATTCCTCCCTGTCAAGGGGAGGAAAGCATTGACCAAGCTTTGCTTGACCAAGTCTCCTCATATACCTCGCCAACCCTGATGCTTCTGCGGTAATCCCCAGGCGCAGGTCGTCCTTTTCTGCGTGCTCGTTCTTTCGATCCTTTGCTTGGGGCGACGACTTTCATTCTTTACCCTTTTGATCTTTTCCACCATACAACACACGATCATCTCTTGAAATTGAAATTAAAAAAAGAGAAAACCTTTCTTCCTCGACATCATGGGCAAACTCATCAAAAACCACTGGGCCCGTCTCATCGTCCTCACAGCCGCCACATATCAAGTCCTCGCCAGCCTGGAAGGCTTCTTCTGGCCCAAGATCTTTTGGGACTTCCTCACCAAGAACCTCGACGGAGCCGTGAAACCTTTTCCGATTTTACAAATCATCAACTTGATCCTGGCATTCATAAGCCTCGCTTGGGAATGGCCACTTGCTCCGGTGGTCAAGCTGTTGCCGGGACTTCATCGGAGTATGGAGGCAAGACTGGTGGTGTACCCGCTGTCCGCTCTGGCTGCGGTCATCATGTATCAATCAACCAATGCGGCATTATACTACATCATTGGGGTGATTGTATACTTTTGGGCTTACTCAGAAGGCGAGGTAAGCTATTTGACTCGAATCATACTCTCACAAAAAGAAAGCATCTTGCTGACGTAATACCCACCAGACTGTGTGTCCAGAGCCTTGGACTGTTCCCAAGAGAGGCGGTGCCAGGCCCGGCAAAGTATGAGGATTATCAGAACAGCTGTGCTGCAATTTTAAATTTAAGAGTTGCTCCGATGTACTGGAACAACGGCGTTGGTTATGATCGCAGATCCCCTCTGGATATTGAAGTCGACGGGACTCGGGCACACAAAGATTGGGTGTGGCATGTGTACGCCAGCAACTGTAGATATTATGCCCGACATGGGAAATGAGACTATCATGTTATACAAGTATGGCATCTAGATTCGGAGGGTTGCTTGCTCTGTACAATAGAAAAGGATGTTGTCGTTATCACTTGAAAAAAAGGAAAAGGGGGGATGAGGCTAGCTGCCTATGATATACGAGGTAGTCGTCCCACCTCATTTCAGGCCCCCCAACTTCAAGCGTCTTCCAGCTCATTTCACATTCAGATAGGCAATCTATGCACCGAGATGTCGTGCATTAACAATGTGACTAGCATGTGTTCCGGAGTGGATGGAAGTCAATCGATTCTTTCTTGCTTGTATGGGGTTAGAGGAGGGAAGGTTCTGCTGAGCCATCTACGATACGCAGTACGTGGTGGTCTCTTCACACTTTTTGTCGACGCTCGACCACTCCTCGAAAACATCAGGGTCTCAGTAGAGGTGTCTAGACACTGTTGTCTTCATAACGGCGCCATCACTGCCTGAACCTCAAACACACAGCTATACCAGTCGTATTGATTTTCTTCTCTCTTCCTCATCCCTACGCCATTCAACATGCATCAGATATGTCCTGCAATCTTTTCTTTCCTTCGTTACGGCAGACATGGTGCACAAGGAGGATTTGACGGGATGGAAGAAACAAAGGTCGCTTCGAAAGCACGAGTCGAGGGTGCCGGCGGGTTATCGTTCGCGTAGCTCATAAGAGGCTCGAGGCTTTAAGACAGGGGAAGAGGGATAGGCTATAGGGGTAAGGATGTTGAAGGGGCATTCAGTTCAGGCGTGGTTGGCACTGGAGTGCGCCATTAGACATTGTCGATGCTTGGTGTGGATGTACATAACTGCGCTCACGTGCCAGACGAGGATGTTTGTCAGCCGCCAGTCATTTCTTTCTGCACGTCATTGTCAGACATCAACCGGCTGTTTACAAGGATTCCTCGTATTGTGTCGAAGCCACATGAATACTAGGTACACGATTCAAGAAGCGGTCTCAGAGCACAGAAGATCTTCAATCCACCCGATCCCAGAGAAGCCTATCGTCGGTGGCTTTTTCGTTCGTGGCTGAAACAACTTGGCGACGTTTGAAATCCGACACCGATCACCAAGACGCCACACCAGGCATTCATCAGCCAGAGAAAGGGGACGACCTTCCTTTTCCTACATTATTATTCACGCAACTGATGACCCTCTCGATGGCTCATTGTTACTACAGACGCTGTGCCTGGATAGCGGCCAACTCCAAAACTTGGACAGCCCGTCGATTTTGAAATTGCGTGCTCTCGACGGTTCGTTGAGTTTGCAACACCAATTTCCTGAGACCCCTGTCGAGGGCCACTTTGGGGTGGAACAGACGACACACACACCACACACCACAACGACGAGCAATCGCGAGATGGGAGGGGTGGTGCCCGCTGTGCGAGGCTCTGTTCCTAGCTCGAACTCACTACACCAAGGTTTGTGGCTCCCCTTTATATCAGGCTTTTGGTCGCCCGGTTATAGTTTCACTGCTCTTTTCTGTCTGTTGTTTGTTTGCTACCATCCCTCTACGGTACACAGTCGCTCGTTTTTGTTTAAAGCCCACGTTCTTTCGTTGCAACTCGCCTGCCTAACCTCCCTCACTGCCTGTCTTGCCACCGAATCGAATCGAAAACAGTCTGCTCTGAACCTCGACAGATCCGCACCATGAAGTCCTTCCTCGCCATTCCTGCGCTGTTTGCCCTCGGCGCCGTCGCCGACTCCTGGGGCTTCACCTGGACGTTCTCCAACGAGCACAGCACCTGGACCTCCTGCACCTATGCCACTGAGAACGCTACCGCGACCCCCGTCGAAGTCTCGACGTCCACCGCGTCCTGGTCCGAGTGGACCTCCACCACCTCGTACACGGCGACCTACAGCTCAGGCGCCTCGACATGGGGCATTCCGACGGCCGTGAGCTACAGTGTGGCCTCCAACTGGACGAGCATGATCCCTGCACCAACCTCGGCCACCAGCACCGTCCCGCTCAGCACGACTGCGGCGCCCGTTACCAGCTCCGTGGAAGCCACGAAGACCACCGCTGTCCCGTCCGCGTTTACTGGTGCCGCTGCCCCCAATGTCAACGGAAAGATTGCCGGCATGGGTGCTGTCGCTCTGGCTGGGTTGGCATTGGTTCTGTAAGTCGAACCACCAGGGAGAGGGACAATGTGGACGGCAAAATATACGAAGGCAAACAAAGATACCCCGTGAGATGTGAGCTGGAGGGTGTTTGCTCATGTGCGCCTTTTGGTCACCGACAGGGAAATTGGTACATCATTACGGGTTAAGGAAGGAAGCTATCATCAGCAACGAGGCTTTGTTTCCTCACCCGACCCGGGAAAACCCTACGAAATGAACTTGTCCATGTCTTTCCCATCACATGGGTTGCAGCAAAAACAGGCAGATATGTTATTACGTATTTTGGTGCGGAGCTTGTGTAATTCATTATTTCAGAACTTGGATTTTGCAATTACCCACGAGTATCCCATCGGCGTTCGATTTCCCGTCGTGAAGTATTTAATGGCTCGCGACCCGCCTTCCGTCAACTACTGTAAGCGAAGTTGAGATCACAGATGCCACTACTGCTCGGTGCTCGTACTATGTATATCCATGGAATCCATTGTTTTTGGGGACTTATAGTGAGACATTGAGAACGGGAACTCGGCATAACGACGAGCAACTGGAAACGATCTCCATTGGTGTGTCCCTTTGTATCCATCCTTTTCTCGAAGCGTTGCGTGGGGCGAGCAAATTAATAACAAACAAGCGAGGCTAACGAGGCCTTGAAATAGATGCGATCGTCGCGTCTGTTCCGAAGACCCTACTAACTAGTCTAGTCCAGTCCAGTCCAGCCTCAGCCCGAAACTTTGCTTGCAGTGAAGTGAGTACGAGGTACCACGACAACAAGCATGTTGAGATCCGCTTCCGTCCATTCCTAGGTACAGCACGTACGAGGTACTCTGCTCGGTGTGAGCCAGTGACAGCTACAGCAGCAGCAACGGATCAAATGGAAAAGCTTTGCGTGAGCTGGAATAATACGAATTACCACTACTGCGTCAGGTATCTATCTATCTAATCTATCTAGTCAGTCTGTCAGGCCTGCAGCAGCCCTTGAGTCATCTCACACAACATTTGTTTACGCAGTAGCCTTTTGTGCATGGCACACCTACATATATATCTATACCGAACGGAGTATCGACTTGCTCAGACAGGTACAGTACCTGGCTTCTCCGTGCGGACCCAGGGATAACAAACAACTCTACTACTGCTGGTGCTGGTGCTGTTGCTGCTGCTGGGAGAGTTCCAAAACGTTTTTGGTCTTTCCAGCCCAGCTCAACCCCCTTATCGCCGTTCTACAAACAAAAAGGGTATGTACGTTACGTTAAAAAAGAAAGAAGGAGAGGCGTGTGGCGGACGACCTACGGCCATGACCAAGGAAGGAGGATTCTTCTTCTTTTTCTTCTTGTCCTAGCTCGTCTGGGTCCTATCTCTGTCCTATCTGTACTTGCTGCTGCGTCTGTGCGACATGAACGCCGGCGGCGGCATCATTGCGACCACCGACGTCACGATCATGCCACGGCCACGGCCACGAGGCACCAGTCGGCGGACCAGAACTCGAGCAAGTCGGTCTCCAGATCCGAGTCCGCCCTGCTCCAAACGTTCCAGCAAGTCCGTCTGCCCTGCACGTCGATCGCCCAGCTCTATTCGCAGGTCGAGACGAACAAGGATCCCACGGTCGAAAGACGGGAAGAGGCGCTCAAGCTGCTACCGGAGAATGAGTTGCCTAGTGAGCATACCCGTATGCATATATATACACACACCACATCTCCGCTTTCTCCCTGCTTGTATCTCCCTGGCTCCGGGTTCTATGACATCTTCTTTACGGACATTTAATCAAACTATACACAGAGAAGGCAGACGAGTCGTCCCGTGGGTTTCAGCTATGATGTTGTTGAGGCAACTCGTCTAGCCAAGGAGCTTTTGCTCGAGACCAATCGTCTCTCTGCCGCAATGACTTCACGCTAGAACTCAACAAGTCTCTGGCATGGCACGGTTAGTGTCGAAGCAATAGAATCCAGGAGTAAAATTCATATAGTGCTATGACTGAATGCACGGTGCTGGTTCTATATGCATGCCATCGATGGTTGACCTTGTGTGCCCTACTTACTTGAATACAACATGTGGCGAAGTCCATCCGCCGAGAGAACCTTCAATATCCCAAGCGGATTGCTCCATCGTTTCTTCCGGCCAGCCAACCCGTCCTCCACAATCTCCGGCTTTTCGGGCGTCTCTTTCGCTTCAGCATAATATATCTCCGCTGGATCCTCGGGCCCAACCTCGGGTCCAGCCGCATCATGACTGACCCTGTGACTCCTCGTTCCTCTCCGTGTCAGAGCATGGTGTCCTTGCGAGACGGCCAGCTTCCTCGTGACACTGCCCCCGATCATCCGACTGACCACATTATCCATGGTGTCCACCTCGGGTACCTCACGCGACTTCGTTCTCGAGGGTGTCATCTCGTCCAAGCTTTCTTTGCGAACTTCGAAGACAGGTGTCGAATGTTTCGTTCTGTTATATCGGCTCTCGTTCGACAGGTCGAATGACTTGCGGCTGGTAAGCGATAAGCTACCAGACCGCCTTGAGAACGGAGCATGGATGGAGGCCAGACTCAGTTTTCGGACCAGCGAACCTGCTGATGCTCGGATGATTTGGCCGCCGCGAGAGCCAATCATGCCTGGGTACGGCAGCTTCTCCTTTGTCCATACATCACTCAAGGTTGACTCAAGCCTCGCTCGCTCCGACCGTTTTGGTGCGAGGACGACGACCCTGTTGGACGTCATATGTGACTGAGATCTGTTGATGGCCAAAGAAGACGGCTGGCGAAACTCGTGCAAGTCTTGCGGATTGTTGGTGTTTCGGATGATGACTTGGCAAACGGTGGCTCGATTTCCCACTGTGGCCGCTCTTTGCACGGAAGGATTTCTCGATAAGGTCGAGCTTTGTTGACTGTACACCTGCCCGATCGATCGGAGGTTGAGGCTGATGCTCGAGGGAATCTGGTGCAACAGCTCGTCCATTCTTCCTCCCGAAGCATCATTGCGTTGTAAACCCCGTCTCCAAGCATTTTCTTCGATGGCAGAGCAGGCACTCAGGATGAATTCGTGCAAGTGGCCACTCATCTCGAAACATATTTTCCATGTGTAGACGGTCGAGTGACATTGAAGCCCCCGGCCATCGCTGGCCGATTCAATCCTGGTGTCCTGTAAATGTAAGAAAGCGATCACCTCAAATTTCGCGGTGGCTCCTGCGGGCAACGCAATGATGAGACTGGTGTCAAACAATATGCATAGGGCGTAGCGACCGTCGACTTTGGTATTCCGGGTTTGCCAAGTCACATGCAGAACACCAATCAATTGAATGTTCCCAAGCATTCGAAATTGCTCGGCCCGTAAAGATACTTTGTCGCAAATCAGCCGTGTCTGAAGCGACCATCGACGTTGAATCTGAGTTCGAGTTTCATGGTTATCTGTGGCTTTGTTGACTGTTTGAACAACCTCTCTCAAACACGTCAAGATTGCTTCCAGATCGGAGTGTGTATTGGGGCAATCCGTCACTGGTGTTTGCCTCAAAAGATCGTCAAAGAGGAGAGGGTACTTTGTCATGCGCTGTATCGGTTTAATAAGGAGATCCCCGACCGTCAAACCTTTTCTTTCACTTTGCCGTTTGTGGTCGAGAGCAACAAGGGACCGTGCCAGGGATTCGATTCCCGACTCGTAGGTTGACCAGAGTGTAGGAGAATGTCGCTGCAGCTCTTGGGCGACGAGGCTGTGATTGGCACAATATTCCTCGTAGACCATCAAGTCACTCAAGAAATCCCTGAAAACGCTCGCCACGTCCGCAACATCAGACGGTTCTGCTCCCCCCAAATATGTCCGACCGCGTGAAGCTTCGGATGACTCCATCGAACTGCGTGTTCGACGATTGCCGCGTCCGAGCTTGACTGCGACGCTGGACTCGAGGCTTCTCCACCGCTTGTGATAGGTGGGCGAGCCGAGACGCCGGGGAGAGGTCGTGTCTGCCCACTTTCGTGCTGCAGCTTCATACGCAGCCTGGTGCAACCGCTCCAGCAGTCTCTCATGCACAGAAAGAAGATCGTGGACGTTCCTCAGCAGAGAGGATCTGAGCCGATCGGTAACTGTCATCGTAGTCGCCAGGAGAGTCGAATACAGGTATATCAGAGCCTTCAGATCACCAATATAGCTCTCTTCAGTGGTGACTAACTCGACGAGAATTTGTCTCCTTTTGATGGCTCTGCGAAAAGCGGCTTCGTCCACGGATGCCGCTGTCAGTGGTCGATCGCTCTCCACTGAAGGTCTTGCGCTGGGGGTGCAGATGTAAGAACTGTCTCTTGAACGGCCGATACGGAGCGACCGAGGGGCCAGGCTAAAGCTTGTGTTACTGAGACTTGCTGTTTTCATGGTGTGCACGAAGCCTGAGGAAGCATTAGAGTGTCGCTTCCGGTGCCAACCCGAGTGCGGCTCTGCCCTTGATGTGTCTTCTGAAGCGTTTGGGACCAACGATGTCTCGAGAAGAGACTGCGAAGACTCGTCCACGGCGTTAAACCAGTTGCGAATATGCTCTCTTGAATACGGGCTCAGATCTTGACAATTTTCCAATTCGGCGCAGGATATTTCCGCGGACAGCGACTTGCGAAGCCTGTAGTGTTCTCGATTTCCTGAGCCGCCGTGCGTGCGCTTCTGCTCATTACGCAGTTCTGCCAGTGGTGTGCGAGCCTGATTTGGACCGTCATAATACCTCTGGGTAGGTCCGGTTCCGATCCGTCTATTTGAATGAATGGGATGGGAGAAGTGCGGTCTTGAACTTTCGGTGATTGGCAGGAATTCATCATGGTTTGCTCGTTCTTTGAGGCCGTTGGTCGATGAAAGCGCCGGAGTCTGATAAGATGAATTTGGAAGGATGTTCTCACGGCAGGGTAGATCACGCTCGGGTTTTGTTACCTGCGCAGGAGCAGACGATACCGAGAGCGTTGAAGCGGAAGAGATGTGCGGGTCTTGATGAATGCAGAACGTTTTCAACGAAGATGTAGAGATCGTTGGACGAGAAGAACAAGCTGACCATGAGCCACAATATATGTTCGTTCTACTCTCGAAATGTCGGCTGAATGGAGTTGTTACCACGGAGGGCAAAAGCTGAGCCGTCATGATTTATCAATAGAACATAAATTAAGCTCGGAAAAGATAGAATCTCAACGATGGAAGACAAAATGAGAGCCAACGGTCAAAATTCCCATTAGAGGGACCAAACGACCAACGCTGAACTGGTGCCCAAAAGCTGAGTGATACGACATGGCAACAGTGACAGCTCGAAGACGGCTGAAGGTAGAGAGGCCTTGAGTCGACCAGTTTGCAATCTGCCGGGGCAAGGAAGGTGGTGTCCAGCAACCCACAGGAAGAGAAGGAGCAAGACTCTGGTGATAGAACGAGTCTGACACATTTCGTCCGGGTCACTTCTGAGATAATGAGATAATAAACCCCATCCCCTACCTGGATACTTTTTTCCAAAACTTGACGAGCGGAAACAACATCAAAATGAGATTGTCTGTGGAACATGGAGCTGGAGCCACCAAATGTTTGACAGGTCGACCCAAAACATGCTGCCGTTTGCGGCATCAGAAGCGAAATGTCATCGGCAAATAGGCCAGGAGCTGTGGAAGAGCAGGTGATAAAATCATGTCAGCCCTCTCAATCGAAGGAAAGGACCACGACAAGAAATAGTCAAAGACATAAGTCCAACATCAACGCAAGGAGGCGGCGGCGGCGACGTTTGTCCGGATAATTATCGGAGAAACTTTGGGCGTCCTTGAGTTCCCCGCTTACATTTGTTGGTTCTCCGCCATGTTAACTGCACCTACGCGTTCCAGGAGCTGCCTGCGTTCGCCATGTTCGTGGCCCGAATCTTTGTACCTTCCTTGCTTCCCTCGAACTCCCTGCATGCTTGATGAATGACCATGGGACTTCCGATGGATCCTAACCTCGCCGATATCCATGTCCCCAGCGGACCTACCTCGATCCACCAGGCCGAGTCGTTTGAAGGTCTCACTTTACAGCAACTCATTGCACGCAAGGACAATCTCGAGGCAGAATTGAAGGCTTTGGGGGCAGTCCTAGATAGTCATGGAGTCACCATGCAGACCAGTCTTACCACATTTGATGGGTACCCAAGATCAGACATTGATGTGGCGCAAGTCCGAGTTACACGAGCGCGCATTGTTGTTCTCCGCAACGACTGGAAAGCTCTGATGGACAAGATCGAGAAGGGTCTACATGAACACCATGCCAAGTACCAGGCCTCGGACGAATACAAGAACTCCCTGAATCAGTCTCAACCACACCCAGCAGCTGCTTCTGCATCCGATCAGGCACCCTCTGTTCCCGAAACCCCATTCGCAAAAGTGAACAGCGTGGAGCCGGGAAGTCCTGCACATGAGGCTGGCCTGAAGGCTGGCGACCTGGTCAGGAGGTTCGGTGCCGCAATTTGGTCAAACCACGAGAGGTTACGCAAAGTTGGGGAAGTTGTGAGCCAGAATTTGGGTCGGCCGATCTTGGTGAAGGTCTCTCGTGGCGCAGGGCCGCAGGCACAAGAGCTGGATTTGAGGTTGACTCCAAGACAAAACTGGGGTGGAAGAGGCACACTAGGATGTCACATTGTTCCCATATGAAATCTCAAGCTGGTGCCACTGGTGGAAGATGCATACACTCTCGGGGAATCAAATGAGCTGAGCAGCCCCGGCTTGGGCACAACTTGTGGTATACCAGCGTGAGGATGGGTTCCAGACACCTGGGCTTCGTTACGGCCATGTCCAACACCTTTAGGGATCCTAGTCGATGCGATCCCACTCATTTTTGTAACAATAGTTCTACTGGCTTCGATCAATAGACCGACTCGGACTGGATTTCCCCCTCCATCTCATTATGTAAGCAGTTCTGTTGCGGTCACGTGCTGGGCAGTGATGCAAAAATCGCCAGTGACGCCGCTGGGATATGCCAAGCGCTAGCCGTGAAAACAAACCGACACCCTCAACTTGCGCCTGCTTTCACTTTCCCAAAGATACCATCAAACCACCTTCTCTCCATCCTTTCCACTCCCTGTCTTTGACACCCCGCGGTTTTCTTAAGACTGCGGTCCTGCCATACTCACAATATCTCCATCGACCTTCCGTCTTCTGACTTGATATCAGAGATCCCCAACAAGACCACAATCATAATGGCGGAAGCTGCTTCGAACATCCCAACCTTCAAGCTCGTCTTGGTCGGCGATGGTGGTACTGGAAAAGTGAGTCCCGTCGCAAACAGATCCTGCTGTTGCTCGTTTGGACAGCCAGAATCGACGGCGATTGAAAGCAACAATACTAACGGTTTTCACAGACCACGTTCGTCAAGCGCCACCTGACGGGAGAGTTCGAAAAGAAATATATTGCCACCCTTGGTGTCGAAGTCCACCCTCTAGGATTCTCAACCGTACGTCAGCTAGTCGTTGGGAAATACACATAAATCTAACCGCAATCCAGAACCTAGGGCCAATCCAGTTCGATGTGTGGGACACCGCAGGTCAAGAGAAGTTTGGCGGTCTTCGGGACGGCTACTACATCAACGGACAATGCGGCATCATCATGTTCGATGTCACCTCCAGGATCACATACAAAAATGTCCCCAACTGGCACCGTACGTCAAAAGACACCTTGGACACATGATTTTAGAAGAGTATTAGATCTGACCAAAACTGCAGGTGATCTCGTGCGCGTCTGCGAAAACATCCCCATCGTTCTTTGCGGAAACAAAGTCGATGTGAAGGAACGCAAAGTCAAGGCCAAGACCATCACGTTCCACCGCAAGAAGAACCTCCAATATTACGATATTTCGGCCAAATCCAACTACAACTTCGAGAAACCCTTCCTTTGGCTGGCGCGGAAATTGGTCGGTAACCCTCAGCTCGAGTTCGTGGCTGCTCCAGCTCTTGCTCCTCCCGAGGTCCAGATCGATCAGGCACAACTCGACCAATACCACAAGGAGATGACTGAGGCTGCGGCAATGCCTCTGCCAGATGAGGAAGACCCTGATTTGTAGACGATGACACCCAATGCCCTGCGCTTGGGCCGTGTGGTGTTGCGAATCAGGTATCAATGGTCAAGGAATTGGTCTAGCGAGACGACAGAAAGAAGGTCGTGCTGTTGCCATCATATGATTAGATCGACAGGGGACGGCTGGTGTTGATGTGTCAAGCTTCCCTGGCGGAGGGACCCGCCATTACGGAAGTGACGCCAGGTGAGAATGGTGTAGAAGTCTCGGGGGAAGGGTTTCAACACGCTGGGCAAGTGGTCAAAAACGTCCAAAGTGAAGAACAGCTCGACCTTGGTCTGCACCCATGCGTAACGAATCGCCCTTGCAATAAATCATCTTGGGATGTGACTGCTCTTAGCTTTTTTAGACTAGCTTTAGCATAGCGAGATGAGAAAGATCATTGCTTCAACCAAAAACTAAAGGTTCCCGAAACTACCCATTAAAACCCGAACTTTACTTGAACACCCTTTGGAGACGGGCCTGAACACGTTGTGAATTGTATCTAAGACACGATTGAATACACAAAACACGTACTTAATGCTTTTGAAGAAGACGGTATAATAATGAATGCCCCTCGTGGACGCTGAACGCTGAATGCTAGCCTCGCTCGCCGCCTCCCAAGGACCCGCGTCCCTGCTGAAGAGCTTTTTTCCCCTCTCCTGTAGAAGACAAGGTCAAGAATAGAATAGAAGGTGTCGCCAAAAGGCCGGTTGATTGTATACAAGAATCGAAAAGCCCATCAATCGCAGGATCGTAATGCATAGTCACCATCCAGCATTCGGTGTCCATGTCCCATGTCCCATGTCCCATGTCCTGTATTCCGTATACCCCATCAAGCAGGCAAGCAGAGCCAGTCAATTCAAGTAGAGTCAGACATCAACACGGAAAGAATCCAAGTTGCAAGTCAAAGCTGAAGTCATGCAGGGTCCCTGTGGTCAGTCTTTGGTCCTTGTTCCCGTAATCCCAAATCCAGCGCCGTCAAGCATGTGACTTGGCTCCGTCAAAAAGCAGAATGTGAACAGTAGGCCTTCGAAAATATCTCGCAGACAAGAAAATGAGATCAATCGATGTCGAGAGTATCGATCAGTAAATATCGACCCTTAGAAAGCGCTCCTCCTTGCACCGTTCCGTGAGAATTGGGTCAACTCCTTTGTCGCCGTCGTCGTCATCATCATTATCATCTTCGTCTCGCTGAGGAGGCATCTGAGTCTTTTTCTTCTCGCGGACACAATCAGCGCGGTAGCTCTCGACGTCTAGCCCAGCGTTCCTCATAACGGCCAACATCGCTCGGACGTTCAGTCTGATGGTCTCCACCGGGGACTCGGCGTTCATGAGATACCTCGTGACATTTGGGAAGAGCACGCCGAAATCGGACTGTGACAGGTGGGCGCTGTTAGGGATCAGGTAGAGGTGCGGGTCTGAGGGAGATGGCGTGTTGGCGTTTGGAGCGACGGAAAGTTTGGGGAGATCCAGCGGGAGCAAAGAGAAGGGCGAGAAGGAGAGGTCGAAATTACCGGAGTCGGGTTCATTTACGCAAGGAGTCGTGGTGGTAGCCTTGACGTCAGCGTCAGAGGTCGAGCTTGCGTTGGAAACGCTGTCGCAGATAGGTGACGGGGAGGAAGTGCGGCTGAGTTGGATAGATGAGGCGGGTGTTGACAGTGAGGATGTGGAATCTGATGGCGAAGCCGAGGAAGAAGTAACGTTGCTGGAGGTAGATGATCTAGACGTGGGGGGGATTTCTGAGAGCCTCTCTTCGTCTGATTGGGGATCCAGCTCGATGCTTCCCAGTTCGTCTTCGTCTTCGTCTCCATCTTCCGGTTCTGAATCTGGCAGTGGCTGCCTGATCGCGCCTCTCATTAATTGCTCGTCGGTTTCTCTCTCCGCCTCAGTGTCCATGTCTCGCACTTTTCTCCATGCTTCAAACCCGCTACGCCTGTCTTTCATGATCTTGTCGAGCGGAAACTCTTCTCCCGGCGTCGCAAAAGGCGTTACGAAGAGCTCGTCCCCATCATCCGATTCTAGATCTTCAGCCCGATTGGCCTCGAACCCTCGGCGTGACGTTACCTCCGGCTCTTGTACACCAGGAGGGAGCTTGTCACCAGGCGTCGCCACCAGCTGCGGTTCCGACTTCTGCTGGGGCTTGACAGACCGAGCAGCTTCGCGCTTCTCCAGCGTGTACATGGCCTCGGCGGGTCTGGCGGACAGTGCGGCCTTCATCCGATTCAGCAACTCGGGCCATTTGTAGAATTCGGAAGAGATGATCGCAACGACGTTCGTGGGAGGGTGATTCTGGCCATCGGTCGATCTGCGATGGTAACAGGGCAGAGGCTTCTCCCAGAGCCATTTCGTCAGGCCGGCACGTAATGGCATAGCCCATAAGTCGAGCAAAATTATGGGGGAGTCTGGTGTGATTTGCTTGACCAGATCACTATTGTCGGCGGGCTTATAGAGAGGACGCCAGTCCAGATCATTCTCAAACTCGGTACCTTTGAGTGAGGGTAGGAATTCGTGATAATAGACTGATTTAACAAACTGGACAATAGTACAAGCACCGAAGGAATGACCTGCCCACGTTACGTGGCCCGGCCGCAGATCGAGTGCGTCCTTCAACGACGGGCCTGGCTTCGACTTGCTCTGCACCGCTGCATAGTTGGAGAAGGTCTTGCCATGATTGAAACTTGTCAAAACGGTGAATAGCTGTTCCAGCTCCCACAGTCGTATCCTCAACTGAGCGTTGCGAGCATTGAGGACCTTGGTGGTCGGAGCGTGAGGGTGCTTTTGATAGGGGACTGTGGTGGCTCTACGGCCATCGGCTGAGCGGATTAGAGAAATAGGAGCACTGCCGTCACGATGCTCAGGGGCTGCGCAGACGATCCCAAAACTGGCCAGGGCTGCGCACACGGCGCTGTAGGCGTTGAAATTCCCTCCCAACCCATGCGAGAAGACCACCACCGGGTACTTTGAGGGTGCGTTCTTCGACAATAGCGGCGCGTCTGCCACAGCCGGTATGTTGGTCATGTTGATCAGGAATGGGATGAGTGAAATCAGCGAGGAGACGCGAGGACTCGCCCCCAGGAAAGAGGCATATGCCTGGTTCCATTCTCGCTGCGGTGTTGGAAGCCAGGGCACCGAGACCTTCGACTTTGCCTTTGGCGTCGTAGGGTAAAACAGGCGAAACTTGACGGTGGTGATTCGAGGCTCCGGTGTTGGCGACGGCGAGGGGATCTCAGACACAGGAATCTCCCATTCCGTGGTGCCGACTTTGTGTGGCCCAAACGGTTTGGGAAGAGTTGGAATTGGGCTCAGCTGTGGAAGCATCATGTGATGACCTTTTCCTGTGTTTTATTCTTCCCCTATTCCTCGTCCCCTGAGATCTCGGAGGAAGGAGAAAGTGGTCTCGTGCCTAGGTCTATAGACAGTGACTCTGTATGTAAACGGCCGGGCATATAGGCCAAAGTAAGAGGACTAGTATTCAGGTACAGAGATCTATCGATAGCTAGTAGTAGGAAGCAGTGGATTCCCTCGTGTTCTTGTAAGGTTTAGAGGTACTTGTAGCCGACGAGGTGGAACTTGGAAGAACAGGAGAAAAAAGCCTGGAGCTAGTCAGACGCCTCATGATGATGGAACATGGGGGTTGAAATTGTGATTTTATATCACAATGGCTGTGTGGCTACCACTCGCGTGCTCACCTGCTTTGTTCTGCGAAAGATTTTCACCTTTGCACGGTGCTGATAGGCAGGCACAATTCACGACGAATGGTATTGCTGTACCTCGTAAACCTAGGTATACTTGGAGGCTGCAAGTCGGTTTGGTTTTTGCATGACTTGATGTCATTGGGAAGACGATTGGCTGCACGGGCCAAAAAAATGGTCGTGTCATTGGGACGTGGCACCCTTGTGGCATCCAGTCACAAAGAGCCGAGCAGTTCGGGGAATTGGATGGAATGGGCAAAGGTCAGCGTGGCGACTCTGCGAGAACCAAGGAAAGGGAAGGAATTGGAACAAGTCAGCCACACAAACGCCAAAGATTTGGGGCGCCCGAGTCCAAAACGATCCCACAGGAAGATGTCCCGAGACAAAATATCACCAGGTTGGTACTGTTGGTACCTGTTTGGTGATGTGATCCTCGGAGTTCTCGGGCACGATGGTAATGACGGCTCCGTTCGTCTCGGCAGGCCCGTGCTCACCTCCTTCTGCACCAATGCTGTCAACCATGACGATGGCTGCTTGTCGCATATCCTATGTACCTATTCCTGCTATTCCCGCAAGAGATCCATCACTACCTGCTGTGATCAACCGCCCAGTCACCCCTCGAGTCCTCCCCAGCACAACCGGACACACCTCCTAATCGAGACTCGAGCAAGGCCTTTACACGAAATGACGCAGTCTGGTCCACAAGCCAAGAGGTGGGACTTCTTGTCGTACGAGGTACCGTATGGATGTCAAACTAGATGGCTTGCAGGCCAGACCATACGCCACGGTGCGGACCGACCGACATAAACAATCAAATCAGTCATTAGGGGCTGGAAGATAATCAACCCGTGGTGCCGACGCGCCGGGATCTCGACATGCCTCACTCGTCAAACAACCCAGCTTCCGTGTGGCATGGTCCAAGCACAAATAGCCCTGCATGAACCATGGACCCCGTCCCTTATCAACAATAAGATTGCCGACGGCTCCATGAGACAAGATTGCAAGTCCTTCAGCTTCAGCTTGTTGTATACTGACTGTATGAGAATCCTTCGCGTCAAGATTCCGGGCACCTGTGATCACATCGCGTCTCTCCAACGGATTTGGAGGTGAATTGCGAAAAAGACACCAACACGGGGGCGTTTGGCGCGTATCTGGCACGAGATGCAGCTATTTATGCATGAAATATGCACCTCAGGTCCAGCCTCCTACTACACCGTCTCTTGCGACCTATGATCACGTTGCTGTCGTGCTTCGCGCTTCCACGACCGTGCCATAATCGCGATATAGCTCCTACAAACCATCTGCACGCTGCGATTTTCTGTCCTCCCATGTCCTCCAAAGGATTGGTATGGCTGTCCTCTGGCGAATTTTCCGAACTATATCTCTTTCCATCCCTCCACCGTTTCAATTCCTGAAGGTAAGTTCTTAACGGGTTTTACAACCTTCTCTGCCTGGGCTGGTTTGTGATCGAGATCTTACAATTCCCATTCTGCTCTTTGTTAATTGATCTTGATACATTCTTCCCATCACTGGCGATGAAGTAGTAGTTGTGCTCACTCTATTTGTCCTTGTTGGTTTCATATTCTCCACTCTTGTCGTTTCAATCGCTGGGGTTTGAAGGTCATCCACGTTGCTGGCTTGATCGGGCACTATCGAAGAACGCTGCCTAGATATGTTCCACATCAAGAATGGCTCCAACCGCATTCGCCACGTTCTGGCGGACCGACCTCGTTCGCGAATGCTTCCTATCTCATGTCCAGAAGGATGATTTGCAATCCCTACGACTCGTGAGCAAGGCCTTCGCCGGCGACGTCGCTCCGACCCTTTTCAAGAATCTCGAAATCCATTTCAGTACGAACACATTATCGCGCCGGTCGCGTATGTCTGCATTGAATAGGATTGGCTACCATGTGCGACGCCTGTCCTTCATCATGCCACACCACTCCGACACCTTCCTTCCTCCGTTGCTCATTCCAGGCACACTGGACGAAGTCACCTTCATATACGAACCCCGGGTCAACAACTCAAGACCGCATTCCTCTTCCAGTTCTTCCTCCTCATCCTCATCGGTTTCCAAATTCGGCTCCTGGGAGATGAACGACCTACTGGTCAAGCAATATCCCCCTTTATTTCACGCCGCCACCAACGTGGACTCATTCTTCCAGGCAGTTAGTTCAATGCCAAGGTTACAGCACCTCCATGTCTCTTGCCCTGGTCAACCCGCAGGTCAAAGATACCGAAAGGATATTGTTGACTATGCTTTGATATCGCTAAGGTTGGCGGTGGAAGCTGCCAAACCAAGTCAGCTAGAATCATTGACGTTGGCGCCGATACATCCTGCAGCTGTGTTTTACCTTCGTCCTCACCTGAGCATCGGGACATCTCCAGCATCCTCCCGAGTTTGGAAAGGCATCAAATCTCTGGGTATTGAAATGGATGCTTTCGAATATGGCCGCAATCAGCCGTCGGACCACCTGAAGATTCTGCATAGCTACCTGCAGACGTTCCAGGCTCTGGAACATTTCAAGTTCGAATGGCTCGGCAACAAAGGGCCCTGTCCCTTGGCTCTTCACATTGAGCCTTGCACGTCGCGCCCGACGTCTTTAGACTGTTCAAAGGCGTGCCCAGACGCCAGTACGAGATCGCCGTGCAGACCTCTCAGGTTCCGGCATCTGAAATCGATGCGCCTCAGCAACGCAAGCTTGGACGCTATTCAAGCCTCTGGCTTTATCATGAGCCATCGAAAAGTACTGCACGAATTTCAATTCGACCATTGCCATTTGAGATCTGGGACTTGGGACGATGCCCTGGCTCCATTGACTCGCATTGTCGGAAACGACAGCTGGAAGCAGAAGCAAGAAGAGGTCATGGAAGTGCCAATCATGCTGAGCCCAGTCAATGAGAAGACCGAGATGGAATGCGTCCAAGACCACTTATGGGACGACGTGTTGCGCAAGAGCAAAGGGCTTCAGACTCTCCGAAAAGTTAGCCTGAAGACCAAAGAGCTCCTTCCAGAACAAGTGAGACGGCTGTTGAGGAATGCCAGGATCGCATGGCATTAGAAGTGCAAGAGACATTCCTCTGCCGATGCGTTGGTAGACCACTGGCACTGGCTACTGCTCCCAGAGTGTGTATATGGAGTATTCTACTAAGACAGGAGAATTCATATACCGTTCCTCCCAAGCAAGACATCGAGCAATAGGTAATACAAAGGTTTAATTATTGTTGTGACTCGTGACGAATGAGGTGCCCTGGAAGTCTTAAGTGTCGGGTGTCGAGCTGAAAGACGGTGCTCAGGATTCTGGGTTTGAAGGATTAATTACTCCTAATCACAAGTAGTAGTTCGGTCGCCCGTGGCTGACGTGTTTCTTCCTGACGTGGGGCATTGACGGATGAGTGGGAGCCTGGCATGCCCGCTCGGGGGTTGTTATGGAACCCCTGAAAATAGGTACCGGCTCGTCGGCGGCTCAGGAGCTGGACGAAGTCTGCCTTGGGGGCTGAAGCAAGAGTTCGCTGCCACGACGTAAGCGCAGTTTAGGTGGCTCATGTTTCAAAATTTAGAGGCTCTTTTCAGGCTAGTTAAAAGGTAAGGGCACATCAAGGGACCGCGCGTCCAGCCTTAGGCCGTTAACCTTTGTGCTACATCAGCGCCCGGGGTTCAACACCAGAAAAGTTGCACATGCGGTTGGCCTTTTTGCTGTCCGCAAAGAATGAACGATCACAATCCTCATCTACCTCGTTCTCAACCTGCGATTTTCATTCCTGCCCTTTACGCAACATAGATCGTATTATCCGCTCGTTTAATTCTTGACCACTGCTTGCGTGCTGCAGCGTCCGTTAACGCCCCAAAGCATCGTTTCATCACAATTGCGCCCGCGCCCGTTCGTTTCTTTGTGTCAGACGCAAGCTAGGGGGATTATTCTTCGCAGAAGAGCGAGCACAACTCGGGCCTCGAGTACCATCGAAATGTCGCGCTTCGTCCGGAGATAGGATGTACTGTCAGCAACCTGCTCTTTCTAGGGTCACGATACCACCATGTCCTCTCGCGACAGGACCCCCCCGAAGACGACCGGCCCACAGTCGATACCTCTCCGAGATCTCTCAAGACCACCCGACAGCGGATCAGATGAAAATGATCTTTCGATCAGTGGAGGTTCAGGCCACAAGCCACGACATAGTCGCACTAGGTCTTTGCTGATGGGACGACGGACTCCCAATTACGCGCGACTGAATGACGAAGAGTCACCCGCAAGAGGAGGGCCCTCTTCACAGACTGTTGGAATTTCCATACGAGGAGGAAGCGGAGGGGAATCCCCGATTGAGGATGTAGAGGGATTTGCAGCGGCGACGGTGGGATTGGACCTTCAGCTGCCTTCAACACCACCCAGTGTCGGACTACGACGACCGAGCATCATCACTACGCCTGCTGATGGGGACCTTCAAGATGTGGAAAGTCCCTTCTCACCTCCAGACACCGACACGACTCCTTTGACTTCCTCACGCCGCATGCCGTCTTCTCTCAAGACATCTAGTTCCGTATCCAGAGGTCAGAGGCATGACAGACAAGGAAAGAGGTCCAGTGTTCACTGGACGGATGGCGAGTCTCCCGCCGCTGTGCGTGGGCGGAATTCTCGCCTCGGAGATGATCTGCCAACACTCGATACAAACGCTGGAATGCATCGCAAATTGAGCTCTGCCAGTGGGATCAGCCGTCTGACTGCCGGGCAAGGCGAAGCTGGCGAAAGATCAAGGTCTCTATCACCATCTCCTTCCCCAATGGCGAGGGCGAACTCCATGCTGCGAGAGATTTCACAGCGTGTGGTCAACCTGAGTAACGATTCGGACATGGTCGAGCAGAGTATCCGGCGCAAGTCTTCTGTACGACAATACCGGCGCCCGAGTGCTTCTACTCATTCAATACATGATGTTGGAGACGAAGAAGGGGCGGAACCGCAGCAAACTCCGCTCGAGAAGGTTGCGTCAACTGAAGTTGTTTCTGAACCTTTTACTCCGATACTCCCTGTTCATCACCAAAATCCGCTTGTGGGCAAAACCTGGGGTATTTTTGGACCAGAGAACCCTCTCCGAAAGTGGCTCTGTGAAGTCCTCGTCCATCCGCTGACGGAACCCACAATCTTGGCTCTGATCATCGCCCAGACAGTGTTACTGGCTGTCAATGCGGCGTCCGATGCTGTTTACCTGCAGACTCGGACGAAGAGGTGGGGAAGCACAGGCTTTGATTATGCCATCTTCGCGCTATTTGTGGTGTATACAATGGAACTTCTTGCCCGTACTATTGTGTCTGGGTTTGTCTCGAACCCGCTGGAGTTTAGCACGATAAATCGGTCTGTTGGCTTCAAAAAGGCTGTTCTTCAAAAGGCTCATACTCTGTTCGCACCACAGGAAGCCCGAGAGACGCCAATGGCGGTCAACGACGCACCAACGCAACCTTCGATTGTTCGTACCTTTACTGGTGTCCCTCATCCTGGGGAGGCGGGAGGTCCAGGCCATACGAAACAACAGCAAAGAATACGTTTGGCCCGCCGTGCCTTTCTGCGACATTCCTTCAACCGGCTCGACTTCGTTGCTGTTGTTTCCTATTGGATCTCTTTTGTAATGCAGCTCAGCGGTGTCGAGAACTCTAGTCACGTTTATGTCTTCAACATGCTCAGCTGCCTCCGAATCCTACGTCTCTTGGGTCTCACCGCTGGGACGTCAATCATCCTGCGGAGTTTGAAGAAAGCAGCCCCCCTTCTAGTTCATGTCTCCTTTCTTATAGGCTTCTTTTGGTTGATCTTTGGCATCGTTGGTGTACAAAGCTTCAAATCGAGCCTGCGACGTACGTGTGTCTGGGTAGGGAATGATGGCTCCGGTCAAAACTACAGTCTCAATATCGCGCCAGACAACATTCAATTTTGCGGAGGCTACCTAGATGCTGTAACGGGGAAAGCGATGCCGTGGCTCAAAGCTGACGGTTCAAATGGAACAGACAGCTCCAAAGGATACATCTGCCCTCAAAACTCTTTGTGCGTCGAGGGGTTCAGTGGCCCTTACAACGGTACAGTCAGTTTTGACAATATTGGCCAGTCACTGGAGCTCGTCTTCGTCATAATCAGTTCCAACACGTTTTCCGATCTCCTTTACTACCTGACGGACTCCGACTATCTTGCTGCAGCCCTTTTCTTCGCAGCCGGCATTGTCGTTCTGAGCTTATGGCTCGTTAACTTGTTGGTTGCGGTCATCACCTCTTCATTCCAGATCATCCGCGAAGAGAGCAAGCAAAGCGCCTTTACGGCTGACAAAATCGACGGGCCACTTTTCGACGAGGACCAGATGGAGAAAAGGAGCCAATTGAAGAGAATCTACGACAAAACCCATCTCTTTTGGGTCTCGATCATCGTATTTGACCTGGTTGTCCAGAGCCTGCGAAGTGCAAGCATGAGCGATAGCCGCGAGACTTTTATCATGGATACCGAAACGGTCGTCACATTTCTCCTGCTTCTGGAGATTATTTTGCGCTTCTTGTGCGACTGGAGGCATTTCTTCCACGGGAAGAGGAACTATGTTGATCTTTTACTTGCCATTATCACTACAGTTACGCAAATTCCCGTCATTCGCAATTCGGGTCAGCCGTACGCATGGCTTTCAACATTCCAAATAGCGCGTATCTATCGAGTCGTCCTCGCGGTCAGGGTCACCAGAGAACTGGTCATGGTTGTGTTTAGCAACATCATCGGTCTTTTGAACCTGATCCTGTTTGTATTCCTGTTCACTTTCCTGGCCGCCATTCTTGCGTCGCAACTATTCAGGGGGGATATTCCAGCAGCCGATGCCGGGGGTGAGGTGATCGCTGTAACATTCTTCGACATCTGGAACTCCTTCCTGGGAATGTACCAAGTGTTTTCGAGTGAGAATTGGACAACTCTGATGTACAATGCTACCCAATTCAACGACATCTGGGATACAGCGTGGCTGAGTGCGATATTTTTCATCCTCTGGTTCGTCGTCTCAAACTTGATTGTTTTGAATATGTTTATTGCTGTCATCCAAGAAAGTTTCGACGTGTCTGAGGATGAGAAACGTCTGCAGCAGGTGAAGTCGTTCTTGAAGCAGAAGGAAATGACTGGCGCAGCTTCTGGGAACCTCTCACTCGCCGCAGTCTTCAAAATGGGACGTGAATCAATCAGACACCGTGATGCACTCGAATATGGCTCGGCAACAGTTGAACAGCTCCTCAAGGAGGCTGTCGTGAAGGACTTCCTGGACGAACAAGACGACGGCCTTGAGCGGAGGACGACCTCCATGCACCTCGATGAACTGCCAACTGTCAAACCTGGCATCCTGTCCCGATGCTGGGGCAAAGTAACTGGGTTCTATGCATCAGCAGAACCCAACCCGTTCTATTCGAGTGCGAAAATTACCAGGGCAAACGAGGAGTTTGATCCTCGAGCTGTGGCAAAAAGAGTGGTCACGACAACTGAGAACCGTCGCCGTGCTCAGCGCCAATATTTGCAAAAGCACCCGAACTATAACGTGTCCTTGTACATCTTCAAACCAGATAACCCGGTGAGAAAGCTGTGCCAATATATCGTCGGTCCTGGCCGAGGATCTGAGCGTGTGGAGGGCGTCTCGCCGTACAGGCCTGCCTGGTATGCCTTCTCTGCCTTCACATACGCAGCTATCGTCGCGATGGTCATCTTAGCTTGCATCACCACCCCCCTGTATCAACGCGATTATTACTTGAATAATACGCTCAGCATCACCAATTGGTTTGTTTGGACCGACTTGGGTTTCGCGATACTCTTCACAGTCGAGGCGATCATCAAAATTATTGCGGATGGACTTTTCTTCACGCCACATGCCTACTTTCGGAGCATATGGGGTTTCATTGACGGTGTGGTCCTCATCACGCTTTGGATCAATGTTGTTACTGCTATGTTCCGCGACGATGGCGTTTCCCGAGCTGTCGGCGCCTTCAAAGCGCTGAGAGCGCTGCGCTTGCTCAATATTAGCGACACTGCACGAGAGACATTTTACTCGGTCATTATTGTGGGCGGATACAAAGTCCTTGCTGCCGCGTTTGTTTCCATGAGCCTGCTCATTCCGTTCGCAATTCTTGGAGTCAACCTGTTTAACGGCAAAATGCTAGCTTGCAATGACGGAGATTTCGGCTACAGTACCTTGAGCAATTGTGTGGGAGAGTACAACTCTACTCCTTTCAACTGGCCTGTACTGGCTCCTAGGCAGGTTGCAAACTCGTGGTTCGACTTCGATGACTTTGGCAGCGCTTTGTTCATTCTTTTCCAGATCGTCTCTCAAGAAGGATGGGTCAATGTGATGTGGTCCGGCACGAGTATCACTGGCACGGGATTACAGCCAGAACCATTTGCCGCACAGGGAAATGCGGTCTATTTCATCGTCTTCAATTTGTTGGGAGCTGTCTTTGTCCTGACCCTGTTCATCTCTGTGTTTATGCGAAATTACACAGAGCAGACAGGCGTCGCTTTTTTGACGGCCGAACAACGGTCGTGGCTCGAACTGCGCAAGCTTCTGAAGCAGATATCTCCATCCAAGAGATCTCTCGGTGAGCAGACCAGTAAATGGAAGAAATGGTGCTATGACCTGTCGATACAGAAACGGGGCAAGTGGCAAAGGTTCATTACCACGATATTGGTCCTTCACCTGATTCTCCTCACCATCGACTTTTATCCAGAGCCAGCGTGGTGGGAAACGGTGCGGGAATACATTTTTCTAGGCTTCACGGTTGTGTTGATCGCCAATATCATCATCAGGATCATTGGGCTTTCATGGAAACGGTTTCGCCGGAGCTCCTGGGACATCTATTCGATCATTGCGGTGTCAGGGATCTTCGTGACGTTGCTGATCTCACTGTCCAAGGTCAACAGCGGAGGTTTCCAGCAGCTGACCAAGCTGTTCCTTGTCTCAGCCGCCTTTCTCCTGATCCCGCGAAACAACCAGCTTGACCAACTGTTCAAAACTGCCGCCGCCTCGCTCCCGCTGATTGCCAATCTGCTGGCGACGTGGTTTGTTCTGTTTCTTGTCTACGCGATTGCCTTGACCCAAGCTTTTGGACTCACGCGTTTTGGAGAAAACGAGAGCAACAATGTCAACTTCCGCACCGTTCCGAAGGCCCTCATCCTCCTGTTCCGGACCAGTATCGGAGAAGGCTGGAATCAAATCATGGAGGATTATGCCGGACTTGAACCGCCTTACTGCGTGAGGGAAGATAGTTTCTTCGCGAGCGACTGCGGCAGCTCCGGCTGGGCCCGGGCACTGTTCATCTCCTGGAATATTATCAGCATGTACATCTTCGTGTCTCTGTTTGTCTCGATGATCTTCGAGAGTTTTTCGTATGTGTACCAGCAGAGCAGTGGCATGTCTATTGTGAGCCGAGATGAGATTCGCCGCTTCAAACAAGCATGGGCAGAATTTGACCCGAACGGAACCGGTTTCATCACGAAGGAGCAGTTCCCTCGACTCCTAGGGGTAAGTCTGACTTGGACGGGTCTCTATATGCGAGCCTACTGACAATCGAGCAGGAACTATCCGGGATCTGGCAGATGCGAATATACGACGGTGACTTCACTGTGGGCGCCATCAAAGAGGACTGCTCAGTGCAGCCGGGTGACCCTCTCAAACCAACGAGAAGAATTGTGGATGGCCTGGATCTCGACAAATTGGCGGACCGCATCAATCAAATCCCCGTGGCAGAAATTCGGCAGCGACGTGCACGGATTAACGTCTTCTATCAAGAGGTCATGTTGACGGCGGATGCAGACCGCGGCATTCCTTTCACGGCGGTGTTGTTCCTCTTGACGCACTACAACGTAATTACGGATTCTCGAAGTCTTCGATTAGAAGAGTTCCTTCGGCGACGAGCGCGACTTCAGAGAGTTCAAGAAAGCATCCGCAGAAATACTGTGGTCGGCTTCTTCGACACATTACATTGGTCTCGAAAGTTTCGGAAAGCCGTCGAACGGCGCAAGAGCGCACGCCTGGCCGCGCCACCTTCTATTCCTGTTCCCGAAATCTTTATTGAGGATCCAGATGACAATATTGAGGTGGCAGGCAGCAGCAGCACGGAGCCACGCGATTTCACTTCATCCACGCCCTCGTATACCCGGAAGAGACCGTCAGTCAGCCTACCACCCATTGACACATCCATGCCTCCTCCTTCCGGAGCTCTAAGGACGGCGTCGCCGGTGGAATTCGAGGGCTCACCTCACAGCAGCCCGGTTCGGTCGAGGTTAGGATCCGTGGATACTGCCTACCACGGAGCAACGAGATCGTCTCCAACGACGCCCACGCTAGGTCACAGTCGACACAACAGCACCGCCGACGGGCTAGACGGGCAGGACATGCTGGAAAGCTTTGGCAACTCTGCATGGGGTGAGAGTCTACGCAGGAGCTTTACCAGCAGGCGAACGCGGAGCAACAGCACACGCGGATGATTGTGTGCTGGTAATGGATTACGACGGTTCATGACCCAAGTGTTTTGATTTCATTTCTTCATTTGTGAATATTAAGGCGACGAGGTGGAATAATGTTGGGAGGTATCCGAAATGAAAATAGATGAGCATAGCGAGGGCGTTTTTCCCCCCCCTTTGATGTGAGGGTACGAGATCGGATGCATGACTGAAAAGAAGATGCGAATATGCACTGGCACCCAGCCATCATGTACATCATGCACACTACATGGATTACGGAAGTCTAGCGAAGCGAAGTTGACGAGAGCTGTGTGCTTTGCCCAGCCACGATATTGCAATGATATGCCTGGAATGGCTTTTGTCCGATATATTTATTCTACTAGGAGATCCAGAAGAAGCTTGTGGCTCTGTCGATCGCCATGGGATTCCACTGATCGTCCTTTCCCGGAAGTCCCTGGAATTGAGGTTGATTTCACACATCCTGTCGATCACAATCATGTGACGGATAGCAAATGTTGCACTCCCCTCCTTGGGTAGGATATCAGGATATGTACCTCGTACATACATGCTCGTAGCTTCCCGCTGCCGGCCTCGTGCTGCCCGGGGATCGAGTGACAGGAGGACTGTCTGAGGTTATTTGTGAATCAGAAGATTCTGTCATGGTGACACACAGAGCCAGGTACCTTGAAGTACAATTCCCAGACGAGAGCAGTCCAATAAACCGAGCCTATTTTTCTTGCCCCATCGACGCCCCTCCGTCGCTTGTATCAATCTATGTTCTCCGTCCAAGGACCCCATACCGACGAGGACGAAGACGAAACAAATATTAACCCCCTCTGACCTGACACCAATTACACAATAATACTGGGGCTGCAGGATCTGGGCTCGCTTGCGTGTAGTGTGGCCCCTGAAAACGCAGCCATCGCGCCTTTGGAGATGAAATGAGCCAAGCGGATCAAACCTTGGCTCGGTCTCGAAATCCTTCTGTGCGTGTTTGGCGTGAGTCTCAGCCGCGTCAAGGGAAAGGTCAAAACGCGCCACCACCACGTCGAGCCTAGCTCAGGGTCAAGATGGACCGCGTATTAGGGAAATCCGGGAAGGGGAGGGTTTTGATGATCAACCTTGCCGAAGCTTCCTCAGCAACGGTGCAACCAAGATGGATCTCTGCTGCACACCATCCGTCTCTGTTGGTGTGTCAGGGACTGAAGTGGTCCCGGATATCAAAGGGGGAGCAGGATCGTCAGACGAGAGGGAGACAGACCAGGAATCCTCGACGTGCGGTTTTTCAGATGCTTTCTGTAACAAAACATCCTGATCTCCACGACACTCGCTCGTGTTTGACAATGACCTGACGGAGCTGATTTTTCTTCTTTCCCCTCCCTTTCACTCCTGTGGCATCATGCATCACGACGGAAGTCTCCATTTGATCACCCCCCATGCAAGGAGGCGCGACACTTTCTGCTCCTCCTCCCCTGCCATCCATGAGTGTATCTGCGCGGCCCCCGGTTCGTGCAATCGTTTCTGGGCGAAACTATTGCCTGCTTGTCTGCAGGTAAGTTCGCATATGGGGCCATCCACTAACTAGTCCTGCTGCTGTTTGCCGCAGGGCAGCAGTTGGCCCTTGCTCGCGGGAGGGGTTTGTTACTATGTACGCCGTACCACTACTATTATAATAACATGCCTGCGTTGTTCCGAACGGCTCGACGCATATCTTTTTTGACCTTTAACAATTCCACCCCCCCTCTCCCCAGGAATTAATGTCTCACTGATTCTCCGAACTGCTTCTTTTCTCCTTTCCAGCTGCTTCCCTTCCTTCCTTCCTGTACATCATTTCTGTTCTCAGCGTCTGCTTCCGCTTCCGATACCTTTCGTTGATATTGCCCGTAGTTCCCCAGGGCCACAACTACTACCACACCTTGAACACATTCATTCCTCCCGCTCAAAAAGAGTTCGACCTGCTGGCCAAGGTCGCCCGAAACTGCTTGCAAAAGAGCTTCCTGTGTACACGGGGGGACGTGGGAAAGAAAAGTCAGACATCCACCGTCGACTACTACTACTTATCTATTCAATACCATCTCACACAAAGATGGCGGTTGCACAGTTAGTCTCTCTCTTCGAGACTCTCCACGAAGAAGCATCCATTAAACCAATGCCCAGGAGCTTTCGCAGCCACACCTCGTCCTCGAAAGTCCGCCTCCATCTCCAGACCATCTTCAGTCACAACCCTCTGCACCGATCGTCGGCAAAGAGCCCCTCCGGCAACATGACCTCGACCTCGTCCTCGTCCACGTCATCATCCATCCATTCCTCGCCCAGTTCCTCCTACAGCAGCTTTGGCCGCCGACAACTAGTACCTACCCACGACCTCGACTCGGCCGTCCTCTCCCCCATGTCAGCACTGTCGAGCCACCATATCCGGCGCCAACCCTCTGCCATCGACCTCGTCCTCGAGGCGGAACGGTACGCCGATGAAGCTGAGATGATCGGGCTAGGACTGCTGGAACCCAGACCCAGAGCCAACACGACTGCTTCGACAACAACATCCTCTACACAGTGCTCCATGATGGAGTTCATGAATGAGACCATGCAAACGCCGGTGGTGTTGGATGGGATCTTTGAGGTCATGGAACGTGCATAAGCATGACCCGTGACCGCTTTGAGGACTCGGGCAGACACAGACGAAGCCAGACGATGCAGTCAAGCTTCCTCGCATGGATCTCTACTTTTTTTTTTCTTTTCGGTAGACCATGGTCAACCGAGCGCATCTTTTTCTTTCCACAATTCTTTAGGGGGAAGGGGGGGATATGTGGGAGGCAACACGAAATTTATGATGTATGCAAAACGCGCAGTGAAATGCCTCCTTCTTTGGGCTCGATTTCTGGGAAACATCTTCGGGGAATTGGTAACTGGGGAACAGGAGGTCATGTATTTTATGATACCACTTATAGCAGGCTAATACAGAGGCACGCAGAGAGCGATCTCTTGGAAAAGCGTTCTGTTTCTCTCTTTTCCTTTTGTGTTTTGTGATATTACATCAAATGTACTGTAGATTGCCAATGTCTCAGCCGCCTGTTGCTATGCAAGGTCGTAGTCAGCAGCCGCAGCAAGGGTGCGTTGCAATTGGTACATTTGTATGCATGTACTGGTTGGGGGGCTCCAGCATTGGGGTCTCGAAGAGGTAGTGTCGGTCGGTCTCTAAGTAACAAGAGTGAGTCTCGGTCTAGGTACTGCGTATACCATAGGCTGTCAGTCCGCAGTTGGTGGTTGTAACGGTTCGGGTAAGATGTATTACCTCGTAGGGTGGTTTTGCCACTGCTCCTCCAGGATCAGCAGAGTTTCAACGCTGAGTCAAAGCCCCCAGGCCCCAGCTTACCTAAAGGCAGTAAAACCAGCAAGTTTGTGAGATGGGCGCCTCTAGGAATCTGGCCGGAGCGGGGAGTTGTGTCATCACAGGCCTAGTGACCCCCGTTACGGACGTACCTTGTTCGCTTAAGCTGCCTCGGTGAAGAGGACGCAATTATCTGATTACTATTCACTATTCACCCTCAAGACCCGTCCTGCCCTTTTCCGGTCTGGCATCACTTTCTGCCAGCTGCACATGGATGACACCAACTGCCTCTTCGAGCCCCGAGTCCATCTGAAGTGCCCTTTCGTGATGCTCTAGCCAGCCCTTCCAGGATCTTCCGGCGCTCGCTCGGGGTTCAAGACCTGCCATGCCATCATCAATCGGCCTTTCTCTCTCTTGGACGAACGACACGGGCCATTTGGGTTTGGACAAGGTGATGAGCCACCCTCGTCGCTTTATAGGGGAAACATCGTCTGACTTCCAACTCCTTCCCTCCTCGATTCCCGCCCCGTCGTTCTCGACCCTCTCCGTGGGGCTCTGACTAATTTCGTGGGCCCCTGTGGTCAGGCAGGTTAAAGCAGCGATCCATCAGACGGGCAGTTTAGTATTACAAGCTGCCTCTCGCTGTTTGGGGGAGACGGGGACTTGTCTCTCGAGACAGACAGAGACGGACTCCACGCCTTCCCATTACTGTTGACCAAACTGCCCACCTGACTGTGGTGTTGTGGACACAACACAGACAATTGATTTGTGTAGCGCGGGAAAGAGAGCAAGAAAGAGAATAAACAAATCCTCCATCACCGCTCAAGAGGGCAAGACTCCTGGATCGATAGCCATTGCTGAGCAACCCAGACCAACGGAATAGCCAGCCAGTCCTAGGCACGTCTGCCCTGTTGCTCCATTGGGGAATTTCGAACTTGGGCCAGACAACAAAACCAACCCCGAGAACAAACGAGCCCCGTGCTTGGACCCCCGGAAGTTTCTGTTCACGGGTTGTTGGTCATTATTATTCCCAGACGGCTTCTCCGACTTCAGGCAGTCCACGCAACCTTTCTCTCTGTAAGGTTCAGTAATCACCTCCGGCCGGGCCCATCTGGACTCGAGGCCATGTCCGTCGCTATGCAGACATACAGGCCAACACAGGTTGGCGAGCGCACATATTCATCGCTTCAGTCACTGCTCGACGACCCCGCCCAGCTCTTCATGTCGTCCAACTCGATCCAGCGTCCTATGGGTGGGGATCTGGATATCTTGTCGGCTTCTCGCTACCCCCAGGGACTGATGCAGCCTTACGAAGAGATGGCTGAGAATCCTCGCAAGCGCAAGGCCGCAACCGCGTCCAACCACTTGTACGGAGGCATTGTCTTGGCCACTGCTGCTCCCAGTGACGGGGATCATTCATCCTCTGGAGAACAGGACCAAGCGTCCACCCAAAAGAAGTCCCGGTCGACCAAGCGTGCGTCGGTGGCCGCCAACGATGGGGACGACCAAGCCACTGAAAAGAAGCAACGGGGTCGACCGAGACTCGACACCCACGACGAAACGGCGGCCGATCGTCGGCGCACGCAGATCCGGCTGGCGCAGAGAGCTTCCGGCACCGCAAGGAAACCACCATCTCGGCGCTGAAGCAAAAGGTCACCGACCTCCAGACCACCATCGAGCACATGAACAAGACCTTTCTGACCCTCCATGACAACATGGTCGACGCCGGCATCTTGACCTCGCACTATTCCCTGGGCCGCCAGCTCCAGGCCGCCACCGAGGAATTCGTCGCTTTGTCCAAGATCGCCACACCCGAGTCCGACGAGGAAGAAGAGGCGGCCATTGCCAAAATCACCAAGGGCGGCGATGGCGGAAAGCCCTCGTCCGAAGCAGGTGAGAGCAGCAACAGGAGATCTAGTGCCCCGCTGGGCGGCTCCAAGACCTCGTCACGAGGCGCAGCGACAAAGACTAATAATGTACGTCGGGCGGTTAGTTTCGATCAGAGCTCTACCGACGCGGATGCCGATGTGGAAGAGCTTCCTCTGATCGCCAACAACAAAGAGGACCACCCGTTGGTCGCGCTTTCGGAGACGGCCTGGTCGACGGACAACTCTAACCTCCACGGCCTGAATGACCTGATGTCCTTCAATGCTATCGTTCCCGACGTCGTCCTGTTCGACGACCCCCACGAGAAAGTCGTCATCGAACGCCCGCTCAAGCCCTCCTACCAGGCCGAGGGTTCCTACACGTACAGCTTCCAGGAGACGACCTTCGCCCGCCGCCTCCACCGCATGTGTCTCGAGCGAGCATTCCGCAACTTGACCAATCCGGACGTCGACCCGGAGTACATCAAGCGGGCGTTCCGCTTCACCTTCTGCTTCTCCAACCGCAAGCGGATGCTGCAGCGGTTTCAGGAGATGCTTAAGCGCAAGGCCGGCGAGTCACTCGAGAACTGGAACGTGCCCTTCTTCCACATCGGCGGTGCGGGTACGCACTCCCCCCGCCGCGACGAGGGCGGCAACCCCATCTACCCACCGAACATGATCAGTCCTGCCAAGGCGTTCGGCCCACAGCCCTACGTGCAGGCCGAAACGCCGCGGATGGAGACGTCGGTGCAGGAGATGCTTGAGAACATCGGCTTTGGGGGCGTGTGGTTCGATAGCCACGACGTGGAGGAGTATCTCAAAAGCAATGGCATCTACCTCGACGGCCAGAGCAGCTTCATCGAAGTCGACCCCAGCGTCCTGCCACGAGTCAAGGCCTCCCTGCTGTCCTCCAGCGACGGAACGTCGAGCTCAGACCGCAGCCCCCTCGACGCGGGTCTGCGCACTCCCAGTCCCATCCTCATTGCCGAAGGTCTCGCCGATCCCATCACCGACCCGTTCATCGCCCGTGAGCTGGGCGAGATGTTTGCCCGGCCGAGCACGTTATTCCCACCCTCTTCCTCCTCTTCCTCCTCCGCCTCGTCCGCCGCCGCCCCCGCCGCCACCACCACCTCCGCGTCACAGAGCAATGCAAAACCCGCCGACGATCCGTGGGCCGACTTCACTGGGCTCACCGCCGCATCTTCGCCACCGACCTTCTCGGACCTGCTGAGCCGACGACCGAATCTGCTCACCTTTGACGTGGAGATGTTCCTGGAGCGCATGATTCTTGGGAGCGCGTGCCTGGGCCGGGCTCCCGGCTTCCGCAAGGAGACGATCGACGAGGCGCTGATGATGAGTCTGCAGGAGAGCTTTTGAGGGATCTTTAATTGGGGAATTTGTGTGAGGGAAAGGGGGAGCGCAAGGAAAACAAAGACAGAAGGCACACGGAACACGTCTCAATGTTTGGAGGCCAAGGAAAACACATATACCGCCGGGGTGGATAGGATAAGGTTGATCCAAAAATGGATCTTGGGCAACAATCAGCCTATTCTTAGTTAATTATAAGAAATATTTCTCTATTTCTGTATTTATTCATCGGTCATAGCTCAACGGGTCTACATTAGCACTCCTCCTCCCCCACTCGTCCTTAGTACTTCATACTCCATACATCATACTTTACAGCTATCCATTCGTTATTTAACGGTGTGGATATCATCACCTTCGCACAGTGACGGGAACGCGGACCTACCGTCATACCTGGACCATCAATCCATTGTAACTGGTAATCAAGAGAGCTATGTAATTTAATTACTTAGGAGGAGCCGGATGTGGTGGAACCATGCGAACTTGAGTCAGGTCACGTGTTCCTGCCTCACAGTCATTGTACCGTACCACGCGCACCTACAGGGGGGCAACAACTTGTGCTGACGGCTTCTGATCAGCTGCTGTCTATGTAACAGGGGGAGATGGAATGGAGCAGCAGAGGGCAGAGAGCGGAGAGCGGAGAGAGGCGAGTCTTTCTGTCTTTTCCTTCTTTTCTTCTTTCTTTTGTGTGACATATTACCGACCTACTGTAGACAGCTCTCGAGAGACGGACAACATGACTAGACAGGCAAGCAAAGCAAAGCAAAGCAATTCAGCCATTCATGCAACCAAGTATCTAAACTTAACCTTTTGAGTGTGGGTGTGGGTTGTGGTTGTGGTGTGCTTGAAGTTGCCTACCGCCGCAGACTCGAGAGAGATGTCGCCGTTGGGGCCATTGGACGGAAGAAGCCTCGGACCGGCCCCAGCAGCGCACTATTTAGTATCTACAGTGTTATAGTACGAAATACCGATAACTACATAATTAATACCTTCCCTTCCCCCGGTACTGTAGAACGTAATAAGTTAGAGACAGTACGTGCTGCTTGCTGCGTATTATATATTAACTACCCCCACGGCGTGTGCTCCATTTCGATTGTGATGTGCAGCTTGGTTTTTCCCCTTGCAAATTTCCCCACCACCACCACCTGCTCCTCCTTCTCTTGCGCCCCCCACCTTTTTGTTCATAGTTCCTTTTTCCCCCTCCGCTTTTTGATCAAGTTTTTCTTCGCATCGCCAGTGGCGACCCTGCAGATGTGCATCCGATATACCATGGTAGTTTTAATCCAGGCAGCATGCTGTTGTGGTTGTGGTTGTTGTCGTTGATGTTATCTCGGCCTATGTCGTGTTTATGCCTGCCTGCCTTACCTATCTATCTTCCGCCCAACAAAAGCGCGAGGTCTGACCGCCTGAACAACTGGCCGGCTGAGGACCGTCGGGATGATCATATCGTTGGCACCCAAACCCCGCGATATGTACTGTGTACATTGTCTGTACATTGTATGTGTGTATGTATATATATGGTCGGCACTTTAGGAGGTTCTTGCCAAGGTTGCTCAGCAGGGTGGGTATGATGCCAAGCACGTAGATCGTAGGAGACGCTATGAGTTCCTGCTTCCAATTCTGCGTGTACATCGGTGTCGGTGTCAGTGTCGTCGTCGTTTATATTCCTGTGGGTAAATATCACTGAATCTGTGGCGTCACATGATAAAGATGAAGATATATATATATATATATATATATGTGTGTGTGTGTGTGTGTGTGTGTAGGTGCAAAGCAAACCCGGAAAGAAACTCGTGTGTGTGTGTGTGTGTGTGTGTGTATGTGTGTGTGTGCGAGTATGGACTGTACTCGGTATCTAGAAGAGAGGAAACGATGGATGCGCTCTCGGGGAGGTATAGTGGTGGGCCAGACAGCCAGAGTCAAGAAGGGAAAAAAAGAAGAGGCGGGGAAACGGAGAAAAGGAAACACACAACGGGAATAGGAAACTGTGAGGTTTTAATATTGGTACAATGCATCCGTCCTCATGTAGCTCGTTCGTTCATTCATTCATTCATGTCTTTTATGCAACTGATCGGTCGATCGCTCGCTCATTTCCTCCAAAGATAGTTCGTCAGTCCGCTGAAATGCAATTGCTCGAAGTAATGCTAGTGGGACATCTCTCGCTTGGCGTAGCGTTGTCAGATGTCCACCCAAACCCTCAAAACACCGTGAACCCCCGTTCCCTCGCCCTCTTCCATCAATTCTGTCGCACCCGGGGTATCATCTTATGCAAAATGGCCGGAAAACCAAAGTAACAAGCACGGCCCCATCCATTCTCCGTGACAACGAGAGAGACTCCAATCCAGGACCCATCCAAAATGTATACTCTGCGTTAAAGCTGGTGACGTTGTAACAGCAACTCTTCGTAACTGCCCGGGCTGATTTCAGTGTAATTGGATGACACGGCCACCGAACCCACCGACACCTTGTACTGTATGTAGTAGACTCTGCCTCGACCAGCTTCAGCTTTATTCTTGGCGTCGCTTCCTTCGTCTGGTCGTAACTCCTGGTCTCCACAGGTATCCGCGGCAGTTGTACTCCCCACAGTGGCACTTCACCAAATCCTCCGAGGGCTGCCCTTCGTCGTATGCACCCTTACTTTCATAAGAGATGCAGATCTCCCGGCCAGCTTTGATGTCTTTGATAGCGAAAAAGGCGAGGTCATAGACCCTCCTGTCCCCTCTGTTGGTCTGCACAGGTACACATATCGTATTCGGATTGCAGCTGTGATTGACAAATCGCATGGCAGACCCAAAGTACTCCCCATCAACGTGATAGGGCTCTTTGTTATCTAATCTGCTGAACCAGTCCAGTGAAAAGACATAGCTAGCCTGGTGCTCTTCTGCCGGGTCTTCTCGGATCACCAGTTCGTGCTCGGTCATGACCTCGCCGAGGTATCGTTCGATGAATTGACCCTTGACAATATCTTTCGACGAGCGGACGCCAAACCCGCACTTCTCGGTCTGGAAGATTTCTAGAGGAACCGTGCGTCCCTTGCACACAACCCGATTCCAGCAGTCACCGCCACATCCGCAATGCTCGTTACATTCCGTTATTTCCTGGCGGTTTTCTTGTTCTTCCTGGTGACAAATAATGAAGTCGTCCGAGAGAACGATGATGCCGTCGGGTCGACGGACATAGATTTCGACCTGGGTCTCACGGCCTTCGACTTCCTTCGTCAAGCACTTACAGGCGGATAGTGTGCAATCTGTGCAGTCGCAGCCCGAGTTCGTCGAAGGTGGCGCCATCTTGACTTTAGGACTGATGATGTAATGGTCGATAAACTGGAATTTGCCAGGCAGTCGTCGATCGTTGATTTCGTTGGAGAAAGTCAAAGGAGGGTATACCTCTTCTTGAAAGCGGCTGATGAGGATATCCCGTGCTGCTCGAGCGGGATGGATAGGGGTTTTACCGAGACTGAGTTGGTTCAACGGCCCGGAGTGAGATCCAATCTCTAGTTTGATTCTGCTTCGGTCAGTCTTCTTCTTCTTCTTCGAGGCCGCACTGCGCATGAGCTCGAGGTCTTCATCCTCAGCGCCGAACACCGTGGAGAATCCTGTTGTTCCGAAATGCTGCTCTACCAGGTCCGGCTTTTCGTAGGCGATCTTCGAAGACTGCTTGAGCTGTGCCAAAAGTGCATTCTTTTCGGTGTCAAGCTGAGTCTTAGACTGTGGTAAAGGGCCCTGAAACTTTTTGAGAAGGTCCTTGGGTTGAGGGTCAATCACCACCTCAATGTTGGGTCGGTGTTTCACCTCTTTAGAATCCCATTTTGGTCGTGGAATATCGATCGAGAACTTGTTCGAGGGGGAGGTCGTGTCATGTCCGTTGGTGCTCATCGAGCTCTTCTTTGTTTCCGACTTGATAAGTGGCCCGGGAGCAAGACACATTGCACGATCGAAATCGGTTTTTAGTGTCGATTGTGGGCGGCATTGGCTCTCGGACGACGATATAGCCGCGAGTATTTGATCAAAGGCACAAGTATGACGGGCCTCTGACTTTGTACCAGTCCTTGTCGGCAGGGAATTCGTTACCGACTGCCATTCCGGGTCGTCAGGGGGAATAGTAGGTGAATCCTGGCTCAGATCTATGATTATCGTCGGACTCGTTGCTCCATTTCGTGTTGGGCCACGTGACGAAGTGGATGCTGGACGCGGGTGGGTCTTGGCGGACTGTGGAAGGACAGGATGAGATTGTAAGCCATGTGTTGTCGGAGTATGAGATTTCTGGCGCTTAGAGAGGGGTGATGGAGGTGTCTGGAGTAAGTTAGGATCCAAACTGGGAAAGCCACATCGACGCAAGTGCTTATGTACACGATTTGGGGATCCACGCGCGAGGGTAACTCACATCTTCGTCAGAATCCAACCAGATCACCGGCACCCCTGATCGCCTCTGCAGGTGCGTTAATGTGGTTAGTTTTTCCATTCTCAAAGGCCAAATGACAGTCCAGACATGGGGGTTACACAGATGAGGGTGTCATCCCCTCCCTAGGGTTAAAAAGAGTTACGCGACTCAGGAACGCGTATGGGACAGCCGTGAATAGGGCTGACCAGTAAGCTGGAAGTAAAGACACAAACCGGGTGACGTGAAACATAAATGAGGCCGCCAAAAAGAGCCTTACATACCTCATGTTCTCTGGTCTGATCAAAATTGCGTTTAACAGCAGCAGATCCGTGTAGTCTCACCGCCATAGCAATCCCTATACCCCCTGCCCCGGCGTCAGGACTCGGCATTATCCAAGTTTCGACGGTCATTCGTGGAAGGGATTTAATATCAAGCTTAAAATCGGTGGTACAAGGTGTAGTCAGGATGGTGGTGGAAAGTTAGTGGTTTTGGTAGAAGAATAGAAGTTGAATTAAGTCGTACACCTGCCTCGAGACTGAGAGGGAGTGGCAGCCGTGCCAAGACGAACAACAACGCTAATCCTGATATGACCCACTTCTATCTCCATAACATAACTTCATGGCCATCTCACTTTCAAGTCTAAGTTTGCATTCAGATATTATGATAATTATCTTTAGCGATTCAAGATATTATGGGAATAACAGCGAGCTCCGAGGGGTCAAATTGTGAAAAAGAAAGGACCCCGCCAGATCGCTTAAGCGAAGCACGTAGGCAACCCGGAAAGCCTGGCGTTCCTGCACAAGGGGAGACCGGGGGGTTAACTAGCATGCTCTATGAAATAATCCAAACATCTCACAGACAAGAGGCTTTTCTAGAAAATATGAGGTTTGTGTAGCGGCTTCTGGCTGGCGGATGTCTCACTCCAATGACATAAAATCCCGAGTTTTTGCCGAGAACCATGGGATCGACGCCGTACCAAGTACTCGGTACCTCGTATATTGTGCTTCTTGTAAGTTTAATATGGGGAAAAGAAGCTTATCCTAAAAATTAACAATGTCCTGAGAACACCTACTCGTCTGAGTCTACATTCCTGTTTAACCTCATCCCACTGTCTGATGCCTAGCTGGATATCTCCGCAGGTTCCCCAACCTTGGAGCATCATAAAAGCCATGTCTATCGCACGTGGAATTCGCGTCAGCAAAGCTGTCGGCTACACTTACACTCTTCTGCAGGTTTAATTTCAGACCTAACTGACCTTTTCACCGGCCATTTATCGAAACTTGAGCATCAGCTCCAGGGTATGTGCGTCACATCGTCTGCGTCGGATTTGCATCCCCGGTTAAGAGGCTAGTAACCCGTCGACCGTGCTCCCCGTCTCCTGCTCTGCAGGTGCCGAAGCACATGTTGTTTCCGCCACGAATTGTGCCAGGCGTCGATTCACACGTAGTTCTGAAATGTATCCCTTCCGAACTGCATGCATATCATGGCTCTCCCAGGCTCAGACCTTCTCCTTCATCCTCCGCATCATCCATATCATCGTCAAATCCCATCCCCTCTTCGCCCTCCATCTCATCCTCCAAGCCGCCGACAAGGTATTTCTCGCCTTTTCCTTCCGTAGCATCACTAACGACATTCCCGTCCTGCACCTCGCAGTTTGTCAACGAGCACTTATTGCCAATCTTGGCCTTCTTGCCAACAACCGTGCCTGTCAAGACACATTTATCCCCGATCGTGGCGCCATCCATGATAACACAGCCCGTGATTCGGCTGCCGGTGCCGATGGCGACGGAGGCGCCGATAACGCTGTTCTTGATGACGCACTGCGTCGCGATGGTGCTGTTGCTATCAATGAGAGTGTCTGAGCGAGAAATCGTCACTCGCGGCGCGATGGTGGCGGTGGGATGGATTTTGGCTGGATGAGAGAACGGTGGAACCGCGGATTTGGTGCTGAGGCACTCTTCGATCGATGGCTGTTTTGCAAGGGAGAGTGAAACCGAGAGTAGGAGTGGCGTCGTGTCCACCCGGCGCACCAAGGGTGCATCTGGGGTTGAAGGAAGGATGTATGAGAGCATGGGAGGAACGAGCGGGACCGGTCCTGATTCCTCGGAAGTTTGCGATTCGCTGTCTGCCGAGAGGATTCTGTCTTCGGAGCCTCTCTGCACTCTCGATGCGAGTCGGGCTGTACGTGGTGCCTCGGTCGGTTGGGGTAGACGATGGTTTGTGACATGAGTACTGCTCAATGATAACAGGTCCACTTCCTCCTCAATCGGCCGTTCATGTGAAGGGACTTCATTCTCCGCTGAGCTGAGACGGTGTGAGAATATCTTCCGTGCACCGAATCGGGCGCGATAGCTGGGTTTGCGCCATTCAGCTTTGGCCCACGTCCCCACGAGATCTTCACTGACGGACTCAAAGTCTTCGTTCAACTTGGCGAAATCCTTCACCCAGAAGGGAAAGAAGTAGATGTGCGAGTCGCGGTATTTGGTCATGCACTTGATCGCCCCGTACTTGCGGAGGAGTGACTGTCGAATCTTCCACGACTTGTCCTCCTCGCACTGGTCCCACAGCTCGGACATGGGCATCGTCCAGACCAGTTTGCGAAGGACGCCCTGGGCTTGTAGAGTGGCAGTCTTGGAGAGAGGTAGATTGTGTTCTGGGTCGAGTTTCGAGGTACACATGAAGTCGCATTCTTCGCCTTTTACGCTTTCCTCCCGATCCACTGTGTTGTACCATATCGAAAGACCACCGCGCCGACCACGTCGTTCACCTCCCAGTGACGAGAGCTCGTTTCGTGACATGTCAAAGTCGAGGCCGGAACTGGCGCCGATCCCACCAGGGCCACCCAGCCGGGTAAAGTACGTCTCCAAGAAATGGTCTCCTGAAATATCGCAAATTAGGTCGCAGGGGAGCACCAAGAAATCTGATTTGATCACCTGCTGCACCTCTGGCAGTCTGAGCAATTCTGCGGTTGGCGTTGTGTACTCGAGGGATTCGGGGGCCAGGAGATCGGCAGAGGGAGAGGGAAGAGATGTGAGGTAAGGGTTTTGCGCCAGAGCGGCAGCAATTGTGTCCTTCGAGGTTGGTGGAGTAATAAGGGTGATGTCTGTCACGCCCATTCGATAACACCAATCCAAGACATACCAGACCATGGGCCGGTTTGCGACTTCAACCAGGGCCTTCGGATACTCTGCGGGGACACTGGTGAAGGTGCTGAGGCCGATGCCCGGACCACACAGGATCAGAGCCTGGAACCCCGTCTGAGGCATTTTGGTGGTCCTGGAGAAAAGATGCCTGGAAAATCCTTCAAATGCCGTCTGCGTCGTTATATGCGCGGCTCGCTGTGACTCATACCGAACAGGGTAATTCGACAGGGCGAAATTGCGCAGGGGGGATGGACTGGTCACTTCACCTTGACCCACGCCTTCGTCCTGATCGAGACTCAGCGCACGATACAGAGACGGTGGAACCGGTTGATATGGCGGAGTTGCTCCAGGCACACCCACGCGTCCTCGGACGATGGCTGAGAGGCGTAAAAATTGAATGCGCGGATTCAACGACTGTCGGGTCGGACTTTCGGTCGCGTTATCCGTCTCCTGGGTCTGGCGAAGCTCGTTGGCGAGAGAATCGATGCCGTCAACGTCACGCAGGAGACTGATATGATCTACTGCCTCAGAGGTCAAGCGAGTCTGCATGTAGGTGAGAGACTGTGTCATTCTGTCTGCGAAAATGGCGAGTCTGACGAAAGGGTCATTCAAGCTGGACTTGGCAAAGATCCACCACGTCAAGCCACGCAAAAAACGTCACATTTCTACAATCACGATGGACAGACGGGGGATTCGTGGGTTACACAGTCCAGTAGCTCATATTCATATTGTGCATACAGACGGTTTCTGTTCGATTCATCTTTACGCTGCCCCGGCACGGCATGAGCCAGCGCCTCTCTCCGTAGTCTCTCTTCGCTGGCGTGCTCGCCCTCATCAGTGCTCTGGCTGCGCTGCCTCCTGGGCTGCGCCCTCGCCATTCTGCTCTGCACCCTCCCCGGTGCCTGTGGCCTTTTCTGCATTCCAACCCTGTGCCAGGACTTGGTTGAGGGCGTCTTGGAAAATGTGGCAGTTGTAGTCGATCAACCCCTTCTTGTTCTTGGCGTCGTCGTTTTTGATGACGGTGACGAGGCAGAGGTACCTGAGTGGTGTGAGAATGATGTTGGGTCCTGCCGGGGGCCTCTCCTTACCGATTCATTTCCTTGAGATAGATCATGGTACCGTCATGGATTGTCATGGAAGACTCTGTCTCCTGCATCTGCTCGCCAAGAACCAAGCCGTGCTTGCGTTCGTGTCCGTAGAGGTCGGTGATGTCGACAATGACGTCGATGTAATCGGAACACATCTCATACACCTCCATGTCAATGGGTCTTGTGTCACTGGCGACGTAGATCTTGCTGAGGATGTCGAAAAGGTAGGCTTTGGCCATACCGCTGTTGTTGACAAGTGTGTTCATGAGGTTCTCCAAAGTGCCAAGGTGAGGAATCAGCTTTTGGACGACCTTACTGAATGCCTCGAAGATGGAGTAGTCGTAGATGGAGGTCATGTGGTAGCTGACGTTGGGGTTGATGTAGCCTGCGTCATTCAAGTCGTCACCGACACGCTGGGCGATGTCCTGGAAGATTTCAGCTCGGAATTCATCGTTCAAGCTGTCGATTTTGTGAATGAAGACCTCGACGTTGACGTGAGGAAAGGTTGTTTGCAGGTTGAGAATGGTGGTGGTCAACCGGTTCAAGGACTCGCTGTAGTCGTCTTGCGCGTCGATGACCCAGACGAGCGCTCCGATCTCAGAAAAGATTTCGTTGGTGTCAAACGTGGGATCGAAGTAGTCGATCTGTCCAGGAAAGTCCCAGACTTGGAAGTCCATGAAGGAGTGCATTGTGTCTTTCTGGATACGGGTGGTTGATTCGAGGAAAAGGGTCTCTTGGGGAGGCATCTTGTGGAAAACCACACTGGTGATGGATGACTTGCCGCTTCTACAACCTGGTCAGCGACTAGATACAGAAGGAACGGAAGCCGCCGTACCGGCGCTGGCCCATCAGCAACAGGCGTGGCTTGTTCTGGCGAAGTCGGCGATCCATGTCTTCTGATGTGATGGAAGAATGAGTTTGAGAGGTGGAAGGTGTCGGTTGTTGTTGCGACGAGGAGGAGGAAGAGGGAGACTCGACTGGGCGAGGGAAGGGTGGCTTGTCCGTGTTATGCGCACTCAGAGCCTGCTCTTCATCGCTTGGAGTTTTGAGAAACGGCCTGATGTCAATCGCGTCAGTCTTGGGAGGCTCAACGTAGGTGTAGGCGGCAGGAAAGTCAGAGATGCGATTGTGCCAAGCGTTGAGGGAGGCCATCCTCAGACGTTCTTCAAGAGACGCGCCACTAGTCGTGCTAGTCCCTTTGTCGTCGTCTCGGCGCTCCATCTTCATCGGGGGTTTGTGGGATAGAAAAAGCAGAGAGGGCGGAGTCGCCACGGCGACGGAAGGAACGACAAAAGATATACCCCATGTTTGTTTCTCAATCTTCACGGGTCTGGTACAATCCTCTGAATAGTTGCAATCAAGTTCATTGTGCTGCCTTCCTGCGTGTCTAGGCGAAACAGCCAGAGAAAGAGTGACTTACCACCCAATGTCGCCGGATTGTTCACTTTTGTATACCTTGCTGTTTATTCGGACGTTCCGACCCGACCGTATAGTTTCCGCATATACGGTCTGCTCAATCCAAATATGTCCCTTTTCTGGAGTCCTATATCAGCCACCCCAGTTCTGAAGGCCTAGGGATGGATGGTCACGATCCCGGTCCGGTCATCAGGGGATAGGAATTCACGACTGTACAAAAAAGCGAAAGAATCAACAAGGGTTGAGTGCTTGGGAGAATTGTCCAAAAGCGGCTGCGAAGACAACCAAGCCACTACACTGCTGCTCCCTTCACCTGTCTGGTGAGCCAAAAGCGATGCATTTGATCAACGCTGCAGCGTCAAAAGCTTTGCCGGACGTTGAGCTGAAGGCTCGGCATGGAAGTACATTTCTCCGCACAGGGATCAGTACGGCGGAGTTCAAGATACGGCTACGAAGGAATTACATATACGGTCGAGTGTGCAACTCTCCAGCACCGCTCTTCTTGGCGATCATAACGGCCATAACACCTCCGTGACGTCAGTATGAGCTTACAAACACAGCGTTGTGACCAGCGGGTTGGCTAATGCATGTCCTCTGAATGTGGTAAACAGAAATATCCCTTTTCGGATCACATTCAGCCGTGGTGGTCGCTTAGCAGGCGTGTTCTCGCTCCCTTCATCACCACCCAGAGATGGATTATATACTCCGTACACTACTGTGTACGGTGTACGGAGGTACCCGTCGTTACGCCCGAATCGCCAAGGAGAGAATCTGATTCTCATCCCTTGCCCCACCACGCAAACACGGCCAACAAGGCTCGAAAACTAATACGGGGAGTATCACGCCCGTTTGAAATCCACACAAGGGAATCCAGAGTGTCAGCAGGACGTTGTTAAGGATATTTCTCGGCCGCCTCAGCCGCAAGGTCCAGTATGAGACGGAAAGTGAGGAAGTTAGGGGTGTGAGCAAACCTACCGATAACAGGTTTCCCAAACACAATAGCGTTTGAGTACCTTGAGCATTAAGTAATAAAAGGCGAACAATGACGGAAATCATTTGCCGCCAGACGGTAATGTGGCGCCAGGGCCGTCGTTCCGTCAGATCCGTATTCCAGAGACTCCAACAGTACGCAATGTGGATATTGGGCCCGGGAATTCCACTGGGTGGATGATCGTCATTACATGAAGAACGTGCTTTTTTTGTTCCGGCATGTCCCTGCATTCACCGATTGGGATACGGACCTCAACACTCTTCCTCCTCCTTTGTTCTCATACTCATCATTGGTATCACACTCAATGGCCGCTGTTTTCAGCTCTTCGTATCAACATGGATTAATAAATCCACCCCACATGCCTTAGAAATGCATCTTCCGTCTGCGAACCCTGGCTGCCTCGAAATCAGCCGACAGGCTTATCGTCCTTCTCACCCTTCGGATGGAATATTCTTCGCATCAGCCTCCCACACCAAGTGTAATACGCTATGATTCACGATTAGCAGTCTGACATAATGCTACGCTGCTTGCCAGCCTAACGCACGCTGACCATCTTGGCATCGATTCCGCCCACCGCCTTCCCTAGTCGTTATTTTGCTCTCCCCTGGCGTCAAGGCTGCGTGCCGTTTCCGTATCCACCCTTTTTTGGTCACCATTTAATATCTTAATCCCAAATCCTGCCGGTCCCTGGGGGGATCGCCCTGCTGGCAGCAGAGGAAGGAGCATGAGCATGTGAAACCTGTCATATTATATCTGTAACTATTAACCTTGAAAGTTTTTGCGCGTCTCTCAGCGGCTGTTGCTTGTCAACAATGGACTCATCCCCGTTTCCGGAGCCTTGTCGGCTTCTGACTCTTCCCAACGAGGTCAAACTCCATGTGGTCAATTATGTACGTCCTTGAGAATTCCGGGCAAACGAAAGTTTGAAAGAGAAATCGCGTCACTGACTGGATCGCAGCTCGATAATCGCAGAGACCTCTTCAATTTGTCTCTAACATGCCGTGTCTTCGAGGACATGGTCATGACCCGGCTCTACCACAACGTCGACTTCCATCTCCCTCAAACCCCATTGCCTGGAACAGCACTGTTCCGAGAGCCAGTTGTGCAATCTGTCCGAGAGCTCACAATCCGAAATGGCAGGAAGGAGAGAAGGAACTCGGTCAACAAGCGCAGGAGAATATCCGATGTGGCTTCTGTGGAGGGCTATGTGAACAGGCTACTTGAGAAAATCCCCCCTAGTCGAGTGAAGAGCTTCGCGTGAGTCAAGTGCCCACAACCCGACCTTGCTCATGCTTACCGTCCCAGATTCTTCCACCAGACACCCCTCGATCGGCAAATGCTGACCTTTCTCGCCCGACGACACGAGAACACCCTGAGGCGCCTCCACTTCTATGATATCTCTTCCTGGAAAGAGGGCGGACTCCTTCCTAGGAACCTGACGACTCTCGAAGCTCGTACGGTCAATGACGGAGATGTTGTTGAAAAGATCATATCGGCCAACAGAAAGTCAATCACGAGATTGTCATTGGGACAGGAGAAACAGTTGCTCGATTGCTACCATAAGAGTAGGCTGAGTTTCCTCCCACAAATACCGCAACCGATGGAGACCTTTTTCACCTCTGCATATGCGCTGGACACGTTCCCTCAACTGCGCGAGCTGTCTCTACAGGGTCTGAACGTGACTCCGCTACGCCCAGCTTCTATCCCGCAAGCCTTGTTCTTCTGCCAGTTGGAACGCCTCACCCTGGAATCCTGCCCGGGCAGCCACGATCTGTTTGAATCGATCGCGGCTACGTTCCACTGGGCGGCGACGTCCCCGGAGGCGCCTCAAAACCCACGCGTCACGCCGTCGCTGAAGCACTTCCTCTTCCGTCACGAGAATCCCACCGCTCCTCTCAAGGAAGCCCTCGTCCGCTTCCTCAGCTCATTTACCGGTCTCCGGACCTTGTCCCTTTTATTTGAAAACGGCGCCATACTGGAAAGGCCGAGCACATTCATCGCCGAACATGGGCCCTCCCTCGAAACCCTTGTGTTTGAGTCCCGCATTCAGCCCCGCGAACATCTCTCGATGGACACTTCCCGCCCTTTTGGCGTCGGCGGATACAGTCACGATCTGTGGGAGGAGTCGATCAACGACATCGCCCGCCTCTGTCCTAACCTCGTCGAACTGGGCATGGGCTTTCCGTGGAACGATGAGATGATCCGAGTGCGGAAGACCGCTCTCCCAACTCTCCAGTACCTGCGGACCATCCACATCCGCAATTTCCCCGAGAATCAAGTGTATAGCCAAATGGGGGACTACAGCATCAAAGAATACGCCACCAAGTTCGTTGACTGGGTCTTTCCCTCGTCGGCGGCAGAAGCAAACCCGTCCCTAACTCACCTAGCCATTGGGCCGACCTTGTACGAGTCTCGTTGGAAGATCACACCTCCCCCCACCTCCGTCGCCGCGGGCGCAAACGCTTCCACCGTCCGGCGCAACCAACAAGCGACGTCGCGCACCCAGCCGCCCGAGTTTCTACGCACGCACCATTTCTGCCTCGACTGGGCCAAGACGCGCTTCAACCGCTGGAGTTGTCTGATCACGCCCGTCTCGGAGAAATACATGGAAGAAATCACCGGCCAGAAACCCCTAGGCGGAGTCTTCGAACAAGTCTGGTTGAAGTGAACCAGCTAGCCCCGGCCCTCCCCCCAAAGAGCCAGATTAGCTTTGTTGGGGGCGCACGGGAAAGGCAGTTCTGGCGGGCTTACTCTCTGATATCTTTTTCCGACCCTTCACGTTCTTCGTGACTGACACTTTTTCCCGGACATCGAACCGTATTTGGGATTAGGATGGTTATGTTTGGGCCATCGATTGAGGATACTCTGTCTCTTTTGGTCAGCAGCAGCCCTCGGTTTGCGTCGCAGTTGCCATTCTTCGTTGTCATTTGTCATTGCCGTCTTATTTTGTTTGTTGCCAGCGAAACGATACCCCATATAGACCGACCGATCGAACTATTCCCTTCTTCTTCTATTTCTGGATCCATTTTGGGTTGGGAAATTTTATGTGAAAATATATGTGATCATTCAATAGAGAGCTCATTGGGGGAACCAAGATATATATAGAAAAGGCATAGATGGCGCACAGTTTGGGGAAGGAAAAGGGCCGTCTTCTTCTTCTTCTTCTTCTTCTTCTTCTTCTTCTTCTTCTTCTTCTTCTTCTTCTTCTTCTTCTTCTTCCTCTTCCTCCTCCTCCTCTGCGGTAAATGTACAGGGCAGGACTTGTGCTCCATCTAGTCCCGGTGGCAGACTCATTCTGCGAGTTCTCCCAGACATGGTAATTATGTATAAACGGCGATATTATTGATGATCAGTTATCCCGAACTCGGCTCAATTGTTGTCGTCCTTGGGTATTTTCACCTGTTCAGGGGGCACCTTTCTCTCCTCCTGTCTCTCAGCATCTGTCCATCTATCTACTTGTCCGGAGAATGCTCAGCACCGATCGAGCCCATGGCCGTGTTGACGCTTCTGGTAGCGTGTAGTTGCCTTCTCAGCCTCCTCGTTCTCAAATCTGCTAGGTCATCGGCGGAAATCTGGCCCCGGGTGGAGCTCTCATCCCGTCGCTGGTGGATAGCCTGTTGGATCCTCTGCTGCTTGAGGAGGCGGTCCTGCTCCTCCACGCCTCGTTGAACCTCTTGTTGCTCTGCGGTGGCGATGACCGTGTTGTCTGCGCCGTTGCTGCTGCTGCTGCGGTCGCTGCTCCCTTCTCGGGAGAAGTTATTGGGGAACACGCGCTGGCCGAGTTTATAGTCCCATTCCCAGTCGCCGGATTTGCCGCCGCTTTTCGCCGTGACCCGTGTCGCCGTCAAGACCATCTCCTTGTCCACGCCTTTGAGCATGTCGTACATGGTCAGTCCGGCCACGGAGGCCGCGGTGATGGCTTCCATCTCCACCCCAGTCTTGCCTTCGCATGTCACCGTGGCTGTGACAAACACGCCACCGTAGAGTCTCTCCATGTCGTGGGGGATACCTATGTCTCCCTTACCCTCGGACAACGGGTAGGGCAGCTTGTCTGCCATGAATGGCTCCAAACGGACTGTGGCGCCTGTGATGTTGAGGCCGGGATGAGCAAGAGGGATGAGGTCAGACGTCTTCTTCGCGGCCTGGATGCCCGCGATGCGCGCCACAGCCAGTGCGTCCCCTTTTCGAAGCCGCGACGCGAATAGCACTCCATATGTCCCATAATGGGAGAAAAGCAGCAAAGTCGTGGCAGTCGCGGAGCGAGAAGTCGGCTTCTTGTTGGCGATAGAAACCATATGCGCTTCGCCATCGGCAGTAAGGTGAGCGAGACTCGTGTCCGTACTGGTTGTTGTTTGTGACTCCCCTCGTTCGGTCTCAGAGGACTGCTTCGATGGCGCGTTTTCTCTCCACCAACCTGGTGACCCACTCTTACTACGTTCACTGCGAGGACTCTGGTGGTGGTACACGCGCTTCATGATATCTCGAATCAGGTATTGACCGTACGACTGCGTTTTAGACCTTGCTCTAGAGGTCTTGCTCCGTAGGGATCGTTGTCTGCTTTCATCCCAGCAGCGAAAGGAATGTGCTGGAATATTCTCCGGCTCCTTGGTTGGTACTCGTCGGTACGCAGACTGGCCATGAACATAGCGAAAGGGCTTATGCCTCAATCTGGCCAGCGAGGTTGTGTTACTGAACTCCCTGAAACCAGCGGGTTTTGTCGCAAGGAGCGAGGAAAAGTAGCGGATTTGGGACCATGATGGCGAAAGTGTAGGTTGTTGCAGCAGATGCATTGGTATTGAAGACCGATGCAAGGCAGTCATGGAGTCAGCATACCTGGAGAGGAATGCAGGGGACGACGAGGCTGGTAAAGATTGTTTGAGAACAGCATCATCTACAGAAGCACAACAGTCAGCGACATCACTGGCTGAAGAAATGGGCCGAAGATGAGCAATGCAGACACGAAATAGGTCTATATTCGTCGTATCCAAACTTTGATATTGTGTACTGTTATTCCACAGGATCCAATCATGGCAGTGTGAAGATCTGGATCTGGGACAATGATGAGAATGTCAAGGCTTACCCACCGATGAGGATCATTGGTCTGTTCTTCATGTTCTCCAGCTCGCCGATACCAGCATGTTTTTCTTTCTTGCGTTTCACCGCCATGCCGATGACATCGAGCAACCTGGCTTCCTTTTCAGACATCACCACCGCCTCAGCCCCGGATAGTCGCTCGCGGCGATCCATCTCGACCTCTCGAATAGCTTCCATGGCCTCGGCGTCGATGGGATTGCCATCATTGGACTCACGTAGAATGTCACGGAGGGAGACTTCGGTATTTCCGAAGAGACAAACCTTGAGATTGCCATCGGAGGTGATTCGAAGTCGATTGCAGGTACCACAGAAGTTGTGTGTCATGGACGTGATGAACCCGATTCGACCAGCGAAACCTGGGACTTTGTATGTCTTGCTCGTGTCGTTTTTGTGGTCGCGGACCTTTTGAACATCAGGATACTTCTGGCGGATGAGAGCCAGCATCTCCCGAAAGCCTAACATCTTCTTCTCGGACCATTTGTTCCCGTCAAACGGCATGTATTCGATAAATCGCACCTCCAGATCTTGGTTCCTGCCCAGCTCCACAAATGGGAGTATCTCCCGTTCATTCAAGCCTCGCATCACTACGCAATTGATCTTGAGTTTGATGGCTGCTCCCAGCTTGTTCATCTCAAGTATCCGATTGATAGATTTCATCACTGCGTCGTGTCCATTCCTCCGCGTCATAATGGTAAACTGGTAAGGATCAAGAGTATCCAGGCTCAAATTGACCCCAGTCAGCCCTGACTCAACCATGGAGTCGAGTTTTCGATGCAAGGATATACCATTTGTCGTTATGCACAATTCTTTCAGACCATTGCTCCTGAGTTTTCCAATCTGATGCATAAGATCCACAATATCTTTCCGCACCGTCGGTTCACCCCCTGTCAACCGTATCTTGTCAACGCCCTGGTTGACGAACAACTCTGAGAGATATACAATTTCGGGTGTTGTGAGTAAGCGTGCCGAAGGAGATAGCTGAATCCCTTCCTCGGGCATGCAGTAAAGGCATCGTAAATTGCATCGTTCAGTGACTGAAATACGCAGATAGTTATGCTGTCGCGAATAGTTGTCGGTCAGAAAAGAAGAGAAAGTTCGCGGTTCGGACTCGTTTCGGAGGCTTTCGAGTCGAGGCCTCTCAGTCTGAGCCGTGCCTAGACTTGGGGTCTGAATGGTATGTGCCTGCCAGCGCGAGCCCTCTGCTGCCGGCCGCGGGGGTTGGGGGTTTGCAGCGGTGGATAACGAGCGCTGAGGATATCGAGGAGGTTTTGAGTGGCGAAAAGATTGCGGTCTCGTCTGGCGCAAGAGGGTGGTAATCATCTGTTTGAAGCTCGCCTCTGCCATGGTTAGAAAGAGTCGAATGCTGGAAAGAGTTCCAGCATTGAGTGCAGCGGGGCGAGCGAAGGCTTTATCGTTAGCAAAAACGGACTATTTGGGATAAATAATAAGACCTCGAAGAAGCAATCTTATACGCGGATGACATGCCGGTTATAAGCAAAAGCATCTCGCTCGGTGACTGGTCGAGTGCTGAGTGAGTGGTAGGCTCAGATTGATATTAGTCACAGTGCAGGAATTTGATGCCAATGTCAAGGCGGAGATGTGAGGAGAAGCACAACCTGTTGCCTCTCAGCCAAACCTGGGAAACTCGCGCGAGATCCGTGCGAGCCGGGAGATGCAGGGGAGCTGTCGTGTCACATGACGTTTCCATCAGCCACATCGTCAGCCACACCTGCCACACTCGCCACAATCGCCATAGTTCGGGGTTAAAGTTTCGTTTTACAAGCGAGTTGATCTTTTTGCTCGGCCGATATTCTTGGAATGCTTTGCACAATTCCGCGTGAATTTCTGCCGGTCTGCGGGTGATGGATGAAGCTGTCAGATTGCTCACGTGGGAGATCGGCGCATTGATGGATTCAGAGAGTGACAGCAAACCCAAGGCCTATATGGTCAAGCACGACGTTTCCCAGATGTCCATGGTCACACCAGATAAAGAGTCCACTTTGCCAGTAGCTTGCAAGGGGCAGAAAGATAGGAGGAAATACCGTTACTGAGACTTATCCACATAGGCGGATCAATGTTTCGATGATTTGGAGCGTGTTTGTAAAGTTTCATATAGTTCCTGCCAGTGTTTCGGAAGCACGGTGGATGTTCGCGCCTGAAAATTGAAGCGTCACCACAGACTCGAGGCTGATCGCCCAGTCACCGGAATAATCACGTGGGAATATGTGCCAGCAAGCTGCATAACTCCCCAATGAAGTGACGATACGCCTTTTTGCGCTTCATCCGGTGCTGCCAGGGGATTTCAATGTTCCATCAACCACAGCGGACCTCGTATTCGGTACCCAGGCACTGCCAAATGCTTTGCCGGTTCTTGGCCGCCCCTGTGAAGATTCATGGCAGCCTGAAGACGGAGGCCAGCGGCCATATAACTGGTGGAAATTACATACCAGATGCGCTGATCACGGGGAGACACAGCTGCCGATGTCCCGGCACCTCGCAAGACAACTCCCAAAACGCGGGCCCTAGCAGCCACACGAGCCAGTCACAGGCGCTCTAGGGGGGAGACACTCCGACACAGCCTCAGCACTTGCCCCCAAGTGTTGTGGCTCTTGGGCCCTCGCGTCCGGATGAGCCCTGCGCAACTCTGACCTGTCCTGCCTGTCTGCCAACTTTCCACTCCCCTTGCTGCTTTCCCTCTTCATCCTCCCTTGTTCCTGTCCTCCCTGCTATTCTCAACTTGACTCTTCAATCATTCCCTCGTTCCATCACCAACACGCTCTCGCTGACTCCACGAACGATATACAAACACCCTCGCATCGACTCTGGACGAGAAAACTTGCATGAAACCCGAGTGACGACCTGGTGAAGCGTCTGTGCCTATTTTTAGGCTGCCTTTAAACCCGCGCAGGCTTCCAGGCCACGCACCCATCAAGTAAACCACCCTCATCTTTGCAATGAGTTATCCTACTGCACATTCGAGCATGTCTCAGCTCAACACCACGTTTGATCCTGACTACGATTCCTTCCTCAACATCGAGAATGATTTCACACCGGCAACGACCACTCCAGACATCAAGTCAGTCCCCATGCTGACCCCTCAATCATCCATCCCAGGCTCTGCAACCTTTGCCACGAGCTCGACTCCTACGACATTCCCAGGACCCAGCTTTCAGTACGATCGGTACCATCAACAGACTGGCATCCCCATCGGCGCCCTTGCAAGCACCTTCAACATCAATAAAGCCACTGGTTTACAGTACCATGAGGGAAATGGAGGCTTCATTATGCCCACTGAGACATTGAACATGCCTTTGAGCGACTTGGACGAGTTCGACTTCTCCCGCAACTCTGCTGACATGGACTTTGAGACGGAGTCACCCAATGGTCTTCCGGCCATCTTCTACCCTGACGCAGCATCTCGTCCGGCTCAATTCATCAGCCCAACCACGTTGGTGGCCCAAAACAACACCGCCTCTACCCCCGTGAAACGAATCTATCCCGGGATGCACAGCCAGCAGGCTGCTCAGGCCAAGGCCCAGCAAGCTCAAAAGCAGGAACAGATGGCACGACAACAGCAAAACCCCCCTCAGAGTCAGAAACCACTTCCGGGATCAGCACCGGCCAAAAGTCAACCGGCGAAGGACCCCCTCGTCGAAGAAAGCATCTCCAAGGTCTTGAATCGGATGAGGCAAGCCAGCGCTGTCTCCATGTCCGACGATGACAACTCCCCCGTGACTGGAATGTCCAGTATGCCTCGCATTAAGAAGGACGAAGATGACATGGACGAGGACGAACGCCTCCTGGCGAGCGAGGAAGGGAAGAAGTTGTCGAGCAAGGAACGCCGCCAACTTAGGAACAAAGTGTCTGCCCGTGCTTTCCGTTCCAGAAGAAAAGGTACGACCTACTGTTTGAATTCTTATCTCGATGTCCACTAACTCTGTTCCTAGAATACATTTCTCAACTGGAAGGAGAAGTTGCCGCCAAAGCCCAAGAGGCCAACGACTTGCGTGCTCAGAATCAGCAATTGCGGGAGGAGAACAACCGGCTCACCGACCTTACTCGGATGCTGCTCTCGTCACAGGCTTTTTCAGGCTTCTTACAGGAGCTCAGCCAGTCCGGGCTGCCACCGCCAAACGTCCAGAGCAACCCTCAGCAGCCCAAAGCTGTTCAAAACAAGCCTCAGCCCCAATCTCAGCCTATCAAGAAAGATGTCAGCTCAGACGAGGCTGCTCATGGCATGCATCTCCGGCAGCCTCAAGTTGGGATGGCGCTAATTCCAGACACTCCTGTTGATTTCTCTGCTCTTCAACCGTCAAATGGCTGGGTCAACGCTCTTCCCACTAACGACTTTCGAGTCTATGCTGTCACCAACTTGCCAGAATTCCCCGTTCTGGATCTTGAGTCTCTTTCAGGAAAGCCCAAATCAAGCCACGGCTCAGGTAAAGGCCTAAAGGACACACCTCGCATTCTCGGCCTCCCGGTCGAACTGGCAAGCTCCACAACAACGGAACCGTCTGAAGTTGATGAGTCTGTCACTCTCGATAGAGAGGCCTTTGCATTATACTTCAATTCCTCTCTCTCCCCCGATGAATTCTCTGCATCAGACCACTCGGATCAGGATATGGAACTCTCTGATGAGGAAAAGGCGGCCAATTTGAAATCACTGTGCCACGACCTTGACGAGACTTGTGACAAGCTCGCACAATACACATCGCATATGAGATGAAAGTCTGTTTTATCAAGTAATGAAGGGAATTTAGCTGGGTGATCACCAGGTTGATTGCGTAGCACAGAATTTTTGATGGCATTTCGGCTTCGCCTGATGATGCCAATGCACAGAGTTCGAAATCATATCAATTTTCACCATGTTCCAAACTCCGAACTCCTCACAGTTTTCCTACAACTCTGTAATTGGCGCCATTTGGACAGTTTGTAGCTAAGATTATCTGCATATGCCGTCTTATAGAAGGAATATTTACATCATTGGCCATTATTGGCTCGCAGTCAGTGTGGGTCACACAAGGCGGCCTCGCAGCCTTGTCAACGTGTAGTAACTGACAACCTTTTTTCCAATCTACATTCCAACGCCATTCTCGCTTTGGACACTCATTTGTCGTGGTTTGTTCTTCTACCGGTTCTCATGGCTGTCGCGTAGATACACCCACGGTTTTTAGGGCTTTACACTTCCAACTATACCATGCACTGAGACACATTTCTTCCCCCACCTGTTCGCCGTGGCTCTCTCGAAGCCGATCTCTGTTTCCCTGCGGGCATATTCTACGTCCCAGCTCTTCACGAAAGGCCCGAACCCCTCGGCTCGTTCTTTCTCTCCCTTTGCTGCGAAACCGTACCGCTCGACTCGGCTGGCCGATCCGACCCTGAAATCTCATCCAGGCAAACGACAACGAATTCACCCAGGTGGAAAACATTCTTCCTCGAAAAGAAAAAAATTGGTCTGGGATGAAGCAAAGGCTGGAGTACAGGAGAGAAATCTTAATCCCGCTCGAACCCGCCTGAGCATTTCTCGCTTGTCTGCGCACAGAAGAAGCATCGTACATAACCAAGTCGGAATCAAGACATCCTTGCTCACGAGGTCGAAAAGATCCCAAACAATGCATTCGGAGAAGGGGGGCGCCAAATCGGTCGGGGTGCGCACAAATTTCCACTTCCAATTCATTACAACTCCTACCTCCGATACTCCTGGGACGTCGCTGGTCCTACACTTCGACTCCAAGAGGTACATATTTGGGGAGATTACTGAAGGGACCCAACGAGCATGTGTGCAACGTGGAATTGGACTCCGGAAAGTTCGCGGCCTGTTCCTCTCAGGAAAGACACTGTGGAACAATGGAGGGCTCATAGGCCTCATCCTCACAATGGCAGATGTACAGCAGTCAGAAATTGATGAAGACACCAAGAGGCGCCCCAGACTGCACATTCATGCAGGTCCGAAGCAGCTTCACTCATTGGCATGTGCGCGCAGGTTTGTCTTTCGAACGGGAATGCCGTTGTCAGTCCATGAGGTAGACGTCCGCAAGAACAAGACTGATCCAAAGCCGATTCATGTGGATGAGCACATACGGGTGTGGGCACTGCCAATCGAGGACCGCTCTACCACCTCCTCGCTACACGGGAAGCCGGATGAATCTACCGTTGACGAATTCCAGTTGGAAAAAGAGCAAACTCTGCGACAAGAAGTTGTCAACAACATGTTCGACTCGGACTGGAGGCGTGATCAACTGTTGCAGGCCAAGCTCGAGGACATCAAACTACCGGCAGTAGTGTGGGTGAGAGATCCCGAGACGAAGACACTGATAAGTTATCCCGTTTTCGACATCAGTAAAACCACCCTTGCGCCCGACACAGAAGTGCTGGTTCGCAGTCCCTGGCCTGCCTCAACTGTACAAGAGCTGCCACCAGCAAGAGGCTTGCCAGAAACTGTAGCAATGTCCTACATTGTCAAGGGTCACCCCCAGCGTGGAATTTTTGACGCTGCAAAAGCGAAAGCCTTGGGCCTGCGGCCCGGGCCAAAATATGCGAAGCTGGTAGCAGGAGAATCCGTGGAGAGCGACGATGGTACACGAGTCACAATCACCCCAGAAATGGTGTTGAGCCCCACCCGGCCAGGCAGAGGGTTTGCCTTGTTCGATATACCTTCAGTCGGCTATCTTGAAGAGCTCGAGCGACAATTGGATAGTCAGGCTGACTGGCTGTTGGAAGGAGTCGAATCCGCAGTCTGGATGACCAAAGGCAAAGTGTTACAAGCAGAGAAATTTCACCAACTGCTTCATAAGCTCAAAGACCTGAAGCATGTGATTTCGGATCCCCATCTGTCCAACGATTACATTGCCCATGATTCATCTGCCGTATCTTCTGCCAGACTGTCCCAGATCGCGCCTGACCTTTTCTCCATCCCTCGATTTGATAATTCGAGTGCATATCGGGCAGTGATCGATAAATCGGTCGTTGAGCCGGGCAGTGTGCTCGACAAACTCCAAATCATACCGGCGAGAAGAGGTCTGAAGGTGCATGTCGAGCCCCATCCCAGCATTGATGAAAGTGAGATCACGCCAGGCCTTGACCTGGACTCACTTACAACACCCATAGAATCAGCAGTACGGGAAGTGTTACCAAATAATGTGTCAATGTACAAAGCTCCAATCTCCGACCTCAAAACAGGTACGGATTTGGACGAGCCGGAAATTGTAACACTTGGAACTGGTTCGGCGGCGCCGTCAAAGTACCGCAATGTCTCGGCCATCCTACTTCGCATGCCGGATGGGATGGGGAACTACCTATTTGATTGTGGTGAAGGCACCCTTGGTCAATTGAAAAGGCTTTACAATGCTGAACAACTGGACGACATTTTGTTCAATCTCCGGGGGCTCTGGATATCGCACCTCCACGCAGACCATCACCTGGGCACAGTGTCTGTATTGAAAGCTATATTCCAGACTGCTCAAAGACTTTCAGATTCTGAGCAACGTGGTCGCCCTCCGCCTCCATATCTGTTCTCGGAAATCAACATGATTGACTATTTGGATGACTACGAATCTGTCATGGGCATACCCACCGATATGCTCTGCACCCCGATCGCCTGCGACCCTCACGGAGGTCTGTTCCATCGAAGCAGGCACTTCGAGATACAGAACGACCTTCACATCAATGAACTGCGTACCGTGAAGGTCAGTCATTGTCATGGCGCGCAAGCCGTCTCGGTCACCTTCAAAAACGGGTTCAAGTTCTCGTACAGTGGCGATTGCCGGCCCAACGAGGCATTCTGCGAAATTGGGGCCGGCTCGGACGTTCTAGTACATGAAGCCACCTTTGACGATGGCATGGAAGGCGATGCTATGGCTAAAAAGCACAGCACGACAGGCGAAGCTGTCGGCGTTGCTCTGGGTATGCGAGCCAAGAACCTCATCCTTACCCACTTCAGTCAGCGTTATCAGAAGATACCAGTCTTCAGCAGCGTTCGAATGCCGGAGCGTGTCTCTGAAGAGGATCTGCTTGACGACGTTGATGCCGAGTTGATCAACACAAGCGCAAATGGCAACGAAGACGGCTCAGAATCGGAGCATCTCTCTGCACCAAAACCGGACTCCTCCGCATGGATTCAGCCCGACTCAGCCGTGCGTGACCTCAACATCGCCGTAGCTTTCGACCTAATGCACATGCGTGTCTCGCAAATTCAACACATGAAAACTCTGTTCCCCGCAATCTCCAAGATGTTTGAGATAGAGGAGGAAAAGAGGGATCGAACGCGCATGGAAGCAGCGGCCCAACAGAAAGCGGACATAGAAGGCAGGAGACAAAAGAGGCTGCAAGCCATGGAAATGAACAAGAAGAAGATGGATAAGAACCAGGGGAAGAGCAACAAGAACAACCAGAAAAAGGGGGAAGAAGTAGGAATCACTGCAGGAGCACGGAGTCAGCCAGTGCCTGGGGCCCTGCAGTCGAGAGATAGTCGTGGCACAGCAGCCAGTCATTCCGCCGTCTCCTCAATACTCGATGCACGCAAGACGGAGCCCGCCACGAGCAACGGCGTTGAAACCGGTAAGACACGCAACACAGGTACCGGTGAGGGTGTGAATGCTAAGCGTGCTCAGACCGGTGACGGCGGCGAGGTGCCAACGTTGGACGTGGCAGCACGAGACGGCGGCGACTTCTCAGCAGATCTGCCACAGGAACGGAAGCCCAGCAACGGCGAAGCCTCGTTTGGCACTGAGAACCAAACTCCGGTGAAGAGACGCAGAATTGAATAGGCTCTGAGTCGAGGGGCCCCGACAGCGTGACGGCTGGCAGTGCTGCAAGCTGCATCTAGAGCCTTGAGGTTGACCTCAGCGTCTCAGAGAACGACAAGCCACGGCCCCAAGCCGGGCGGCGGATGCTCCTATGTACTGTAGTTCTGCATTGGCTCTCTTGTTCCCTCCCGTCAGTACTATCATCTAGATAGATAGTTTGTTCAATAACTTTACTGACCCCGATCTCCCCTAGTCTTTCTTCTTTTCAAAGCATTCATTCATTCATGCTGCGCCCGTGAGATAGACAGCTAGATAGCCAGATAACCAGATAGCCAGCTAGATCCCTTGCCCCAGAAGGACTGACTCTATGGTTCCGAACGGTGGTGAATGAAACGTGGATCCAGCTGCGCGACTTTCTGCTCGTGTCCCCCTCGTATTGTATGGGCATAACGCACCTAACAAGCGTGTGTGATACGGTATACATACATACACATCTTTTCCCAAAAAAAAAAAATTGATCAGTGTAAGTCATGTTATTAGTAGCACATAGTTAGTACTATGTATGGCCTTCTTAAGAGCCACAGAAAGAAACACACAACGTTCCATCTTCTTCCCCCCCCCTCTGTCAAAACCCGCCAATTAATTTGACTACTATTATTTACCTGCCACGATAGAACCAGCCAAGGTCGTCCCTCGATGAAATTTCTGATTCATACGCTGCGCTCCACGTCGATTGCACATCATCCCTGCTATTATCCTGGCGCCTGGTCTGGCTGTAGCCTTGGGCGGGGGTGTGGGCGTGGCTCTGGCTGAGGTCTCTGTTTCCGCTTCTGCTCCTGTCGTCATGACTGCTCCGGGCCCTTCCCGATCCTGCCCTCTGGCGCACATGCAGCACGTCGCGGTGAATGGCGTGGGCGTCGGGCCTTCTTTGGCTGCTGCTGCCTTCGTCGTGGCATTGACTGGTGCTCGCCCGGACGGACAGCCGTTCAGGAGTTAGCCTCTGCCTCGTGGTGGCCGAGACCAGCGTCGACGCCGAAGCCGAAGCCGTCCGCAGGGTCTCGGAGGACGATGAGCCAGAGCTTCTGCTCCGTGAGTAGGCGCTGATCACCTGGTCGTACAGGTGGAGGAAGTCTTCAGTGGAGGACGGCGGGCGTCTCCTGGCGGGAGGCGTCGATGGTACCTGTCGTCGTTGCGGCGCACGCCCACAGGTCGATTCCGGTGACGGTGTTGTCGCGCCCGGCCCTGCTGCAGGGTAGCGGACTTCATCGTGCAGGTGGAGGGACAGTTCTGAGGCAGACGACGGAGGAGGCGTGCATGCGCCTGGCCCCAGTCTCGATAGTGTTTCAGATGTGTTCGTCCTCGTCGTCGTCATGAAAGAAGACGGGCCGAGGAGGTCGGTGTACGTCTCTGCCGCATCGCGTCTGGGAGCTGCAGCCGGTAGCCCCTGTCCTGTCAATGGCGGCGCACGGGCTCGAGACTGAGAGTAGTCGATATGACTGCCACGGTGCTCATCCTCATCCTCGTCCAATCTGGACAGTCGATGTCTGCTTCGCGAGGTATGGCGCGGCTGTGTATTTGACCCCGTCGTGGTAGTGACAGAGTAGATACTCGAACTCGACACCAAGGCCGGCTCTGTTTCCCAAGAATATCTCGACAAGACGGATGGACATTGGAACCTGTCTTCCGTGGATGTGGCAGAGAAGGGTTCATGCCGTTGCTCATGGCCCCGGTCATCCGTTGGACGAGAGTGGAAGGTAGATGGTCGTGTTTGTTGTCGTGGTGGTGCTGTCTTCCACTGTGATCTTGGAGAGACGTAGTCAAACTCTTCGTCCTGGTCAGTAGGGTCACTCAACACCTGGGAAGCACCAGTTGGTGTACCTTCAACGCTATAGATTGATGCTCGTTCAGTCAGGCTGGAATGATGTCCGTAAGGGCTTTGGCCTTTCAAGGATGGGTCACCCGAGACCGTGCCGATATCTGATTCGAATGAATATTTCACATTTGAATGGACCTTATCTGGAAGATATGTCGTGCTTGTCAATGCCTCATAGGCATCCATGTCTTCAAGATCGGCTCCGTCCAGGTGATCCAGCAGATCCCCTCCGGGGTAGTCGTCGTAGATGGCTTCCACGTTGGTTGTTTGCGCAGCATCGCGCCCTGGAGGAGCCGGGGGGTTGGGCACGAGACGACAACTATCGGCACGCTTGGCTTTTGTCCTCCCACTGTTCGTTCTGCCTGGCTTCATGAACTTATATTTCTCCTTCATCACCGCTTCAATGTTAGCCCTTGTCTTCTTCAATTCCACCGCTTCATGCTCATTTTGCAATAAGACAGTGTCAAGGTCAATCTCTAGGCCAGTAGCTCTTTTAACGCACCGCGACAGTGCGGCAATCCAAACCTGCACCCATGACTGGAGTCTGGGGTTTCCATGGGTCATGATGAAATTATGGGTTGCCCTTGACCGGACGGCCCATCTCAGGTCCAGGAGAATCTCCAGATCACATGTGATACGAGACAGGATGCATGCGCGGCAGCGGTCACTTTGGTAATGCCACTTCAACTCGCTGCTTGAAGTCATGAAAGTCTTTTCGTAATCTTCTGGCGTGAGCCACAAGGCGTGTAGGGACCGAAGTCTCATCACACGAACGAACTGTTCCGGGGATAGCATATCGCACTGCGAAATGAGATTGTTGAGACGAATTCCCACTTCCAGTTGGACATGGTGCAGCACGATGTCCACGACGTCGTAGTGGAGGGCTTTGTGGACCTGGCAGAGATGACCGCGAGGCGGCAGGAGGATCTTCTCCAATCGACTCGGTCTGAGAAAGGAAGGCAGCGATTTCACCTCCTGGACGATTCGTCGTGAGAGTGTTTCCGGTTCTTCATTGGGTCGAAACTGCAGCAATTTGGCCAGTGTCGGCACGGATCCATGTGGGATTTCTTCAATATGCATCTTGTCAGTTCTTTTGTTTTTCTGACTGAGTGGTCGAGGAATCTCTTACCTTTGAGTTGTGCCAGGACCTTGAGCTTGTTGTTGCCAAACTTAGCTCCTTGCGTAGAGACAGAGCGTGTGATGAGGAAATTTGAGAGAAAATGGATCTCGTGGGAAGTGCATTTTTATACGCCTTCCCACAGACAATGGATCAAAGAAAATGTCTTGGACAAAGGAGGGCTGCGGTCATGGTCTTTGATTGAAGAATTTCAATGTTGACCAGCCGTGGAAAAAGAGTATTGCTTTGTCCCAACAGAAAGCTGACCATTCGAAGGCAGTGGGCGATGTCTGCCTACCTGCCCGGAATTGCCAACACTGAGTTTCGGGAAATCAGGATTACTCAGAGCATTGAAATGAAGCGCAGAGAGAGAGAGAGTCCTTGTTGTTTGTTCGATTATGCAAACTGAGTATCACCATGACCCTCAGGCATACCCAGCCCATCTTTTTGTACACATTACCGTAGTTTGCAAGAACATCGTGAGGGCACATAGGCCCTACCCCCCCCAAACCCCAACATCTTTGAGTACCATCCTGGCCCTTCCCGTATACTCAGTAAAAACAGTTGTTGAAGAGGTACCATGAAAGACCTGGATCGTAACAATAAATATTTTATACAAAAGCTTTTCAATGCATCCCGTCTGCATGGAGGATTGCAGGGCTCCTGCTGTGGATGCCTGCAACACGGTCCGATATTGACTTAGCATCGAAGCCACTCTTGCGTCTGTTGCTTCGCCGCAAAGCTTGTTTGACCTCTTGCTCTTCCCTTGCTTCTTCCTCGGGCACTCGAGGTCCACCATTCGCCTTGTCGTCAAGGACCTGCCTCTGACTCGAGCGGGCTTGTTGCTCTGCATTATCCATATCAATCTTCGGCGAGTTGACAACTGAAGCGGAGGCGGCAACAGCATCTGCGTCCACTTTCTTTTGGGCTGCAATCCTGTCGCGTTCGTAGCGGGCTGACACATCCCCACCAGTCCATGCAGTGTTAAGAAAGCGGTCCCAGAATGTGAAGAACGGTTGCGAGAAATTGGTCTTGATGCCCCAACTCTGATGGTGCACGTCGTGATAAGCCGCATTGTTGGAGGTGACATGTTGCAGAGGATCCCATGGAAAGGCATATCCGCAATGGTCATCAACCGTCTTGATTGAAGAGAAAGTAAAGAACCACATGCCTTGTCGGATGGTCATTCCAGTTGTCAAATAGGCTACGCCCGTTCCAAGTGTGTCGAGCATGAAGCCTTCCAAGGGGTGGTTGTACAGTGCTCCGTATGCATAGGGAACATACAATCGATGGTGCCGAGAATGGAAGGTGGTGTAAAGAAATTTGTTCATGTGCATGGCCCGATGGAGGAAGTATTGCCATGTGTCTACAATGAGGGTGGCGACAGTAAATTGAATCAAGGGAATGCCAATCCAATAAATCGACTTCGCGACTCTCATTTCCCACTCTGCAAAGGACGGGGTCGAATAAATGCCTCCGGTTAAAGCACCCGCGAGCTGAGGATAGTTGTGCTGTAGTTTTCGGCCGAGAGACATGGCATCCAAGCCGATGAAACCAAGCAAGGTTGGAATATATCTTTCGGAGATGCGCAGACGCTGGGCCCAGACGGCAATATCGTACTCCTCTTTACCAATGGTTTCAACAGGGTCGAAGGAAGCGATAATCAATCCAAACACCGTCTGGACTATTTGTTGTATAATAACATCCCTGAAGACTTCGAACCTAGTGACGTGATTGCGTTTGAGCACTTCGGCTGGAGTGTGCATTCGATACTGTGAACACAGATCATAGGTATCCAAGATATGGAAGAAGGCTGAGACGACCCAATAGGCAATGACAGGAGCGAGCAGTTGAAGGAGGGGATCTGACACTCCTGGGATCATAGAGGGCCGGGGGCTCAGGGTATAGGAAGGGAGAGCAGGTAGGTCTGAAAAGGTTGCGTTCGCCATGTTGTCGGACATGGGATGGGAATAGAAACAAGGACAAGATTCGACGTAGAGGTTCAAGGCAGATATATTACAGGCGGGCGCGGGAGGCTCGGATGAATGTGCAAGGGTTGGTCCGTGGTGGAAGGAAGGGTCCGTTCTGGGGAGAATCTCTCGGCCCAGTCAAGGGGCCGACAAAAGCAGGGGAGAGAACCAGTAGAAATTGAAGCAAGAGAAGAGCACCGGAAGTGAAGGAAGGAGTGAATTAAAAGAACAAGATGATAATGTCAGAAGAGAGGTGGAGAGACCGACAGGGACAAACTGCGAAGGTGATGAGGATCAGGAGTTTCCGGAGAATTATTGTGATTTGATGATGAGCGAAATTTGCCTCCCCTTCGCGTGGTAGTCACGTGACTCATCGACGCTCGTCACGTGTGCCAAGGGGTGCGATTTGCAGCAAAATTTTTGGTGGCAGCGGGACCCCACACCGCAGTTTATTAGGTGGATAGGCATTCACAGATGCCCTGCGATCTCGAACCCCTCATCAACCCAACCAGGCTTGCGCTCATTCTTTTTTTTCTTTCGCCTGGCCATTTCCACCTTCCAGCAGAACCTCTGTCCATTGTCTGCCTTTTCCTCTGTGTTTGCTGTAGCACCCGATTCAAGATGATCATCTACAGGGTACAACCCCTTGCATCCGCACCCCTCAGGTGCCTGTCAAACCCCCCCGCCTGAATTAACTAATAAATTTTGTATCAGGACATCATCAGCGGCGATGAGCTCGCGTCTGACACCTCCAAAATCATCGATGTCGGCAATGGTCTGTGGGAGATTGACGGCAAGATGGTGACAAAAGGCTCCGAGAACTTCGGTTAGTTATGTCCTCTTGACTCGCCTCTTCTGCAAACTTAGACTAAACTCCTGAAATTCAGTTCTTGAGGGCGCCAACCCGTCTGCCGAGGGTGAAGACGCCGACGAAGGTGCGGACGACACCAAGGTCACGGTCCTTGATCTTGCAGACCAGTTTCGTCTGCAGAAAATGGAAGGTGGAATGACCAAGAAGTCGTATCAGTCCGAACTCAAGAGTACGTCACAAGTCGTGGGCCGGAAATTGTCACGGCTACAATGTTGACCTTGGCACAGAATACATGAAAGCCCTTACGGAGAAACTGAAGGAGAAGGGTAAGAGCGAGGAAGAAATCAAGAAATTCCAGTCCGAAGCACCTGCTGCCGCCAAAAAGATTCTGGCAAACTGGGACAACTACGACATCTATCAGGGCGAATCCATGACCGAGAACGGCATGTACGTCCTCGTCGACTTCCGCGAGGACGGTATGACGCCATATGCGACCGTCTGGAAATGGGGTTTGGAAGAATACAAGGTGTAAGCGAGACAGTCATGAGGAAGGGTTCATTGGAGGATGCATACGAGACAAAATGATGATGGCCTGAAATGTTGAACGCGGTAGAGGGCCTGCGATAGCTCATTATCGTCAAGCATGTCACGAAGAATAGATTCGGCAACTTGCTCCCCCGCCTCAGTTCTTGTTTGTCCCAGCCGGCCAGAGACACCGGGCCGTAAAAAATGTTGGCAAATGGACGAGGCGAGACAGTGCCTCGAGGTCTTTCCAAGAAAAGAACAGCCAGACTCAATGCAAGTGCCTCGTGTAAACTGTCAAGACATGTGGTCTCCTCTCGACGACTAGCAAGAACGCTAGAAAGCGGCCAGACTGTCAAGAACACCATACATCTATCTCCCAAGCGGCTATTGGTGGTGGCATTCTAGAGGAGAAACTCTCCGCAGCCAAATGTTGGAGTCGACCGATGTTCCAGAGGGCTGGAGACCCTAATGGCCACTGTCGGGCACATATTGGATCTTTTTGGTGCCAAGGGGAGGGGCGGAGCTTGCAGGCAGCGCCTTTCCACTAACACTTACCTTCGAACCCCATCCAAAACTTGTTGTCCTACCTACGAGTATGCCATCCAGACATCGTATGACTGTTTATCCTTCTTCTGCCATCTAGTGTTCTTCTTACCCTTTTACTCAAGGGAAGCATTCCTATCTGATCAGCACCTAGGAGCCTCTAGACCTTCTTCCCTTCCGACGCACCGGGCTACCTGCTGACATTACTCTTTCAAACTGCGCTCGTGCTCAGTTTCCGCATCAGAAGGTCTACCCTTGGGGCCACCGTTAATCACTTAGGTCGCAGTATTCGGCTCACATGTCACGATAACAGCATTGTCTCTAGCCCAGCATGGCTCCTTTTCTCCACTGCGTATTGGTCTTGTCTGCTCTTATCACTGCCACCATCTCCGTCCCGACAAGCGAGTTCTACTCTCATACCTCCCCCCAGAACACAGTTGGCTTTGTCCCCCGAGAGAGGTCGAGAGGGTCATTTCGCAGGCTTCGAGATGCCATCATCGAACGAATATGGTCTATTCCGAGCAGATATTCCCTCAAATCCTCGTCTATATCCGGCGCTCCCAGGGCGCCAGAAAACTTCCGCGCTCGCTACGGCGGCGATGTCGTCCTCCGGTTCCAAGTCAAGAGCGACGATGAGGCGAAGGCGATTTCCGAGGCGGCAGATATCTTATACTTGGACATTTGGGAGGCAACCAATGAATGGATCGATATACGTGTAGCGAAAGAGGTGGTACCCTCCTTCGTTGGTCTTCTGCCAACATCCCTACACAATTCTTACATTCCCTTGATGCACGATCTGGCCCGCGCTGTCTACGATACATATCCCGAATCAACTCTCGCCAACGAGAAGATCTCGAGCCTCACGACCCTACATGACTGGAGAGTGAAGGGCAACACACCGCATGATCTATTCTTTCAGGACTATCAGCCGCTGTCGGTTCTATATCCCTGGCTACGGCTGCTTGCCTCGCTCTTCCCAACGCACGCGTCACTGATGAGTATCGGCAAATCGGCCGAGGGTCGCGACATCCCTGCGTTGCGCATTGGAGCGCAAGTGGACGGAAGCACGACAGACCCGCATGACTCCAGACACACACTGCTGATAGTGGGCGGGAGCCATGCTCGCGAATGGATCTCGGTCTCAACAGTGGCATATATCGCGTACAGCCTCGTCACACGATATGGCCATATCCAGTTTCCCGAGGTCACAAAGATTCTCGATCGTTTTGACTTGGTTTTCGTGCCCGTCCTGAACCCCGATGGGTACGAGTATACCTGGACGTCTGACAGATTGTGGCGCAAAAACCGGCAAGCCACGTCTATTCCGTTCTGCCCTGGTATCGACCTCGACCGTGCCTTTCGATACGAATGGGACGGTTACGGGAACACAGACAACGCTTGTAGCGACGATTATGCGGGCCCCGGACCATTGGCTGCTGTGGAAGCACAAATGTTGACCAGCTGGGCTCGAAACTTGACAACAAATGAGAATGTCACGTTTGTGTCATATCTAGACTTCCACGCATACTCTCAGCAAGTACTCTACCCGTACAGCTATACTTGCGACGTAGCACCACCAAATCTTGAAGATCTAGAAGAGGTTGCTCTTGGAATAGCGAAGTCTTTCCGGTTGACCAACGGACACCATTACGGAGTCGAAAGCGCCTGTCAAGGTAGCATGGTTTTCCAGGATCGAGAAAGAAAACCGCGGGTTCAGCTGGAGCCACAAGGGGGCTCAGCCCTAGACTTCTTCTACCATGACCTGGATGTGAAGCTTTCTTTCCAAATCAAACTCAGAGACACTGGAACATACGGGTTTTTGCTGCCGAGGTCACACATTCTTCCCACGGGCCAAGAAGCTTATGAGGGTGTGGTTGGCCTAGGACGATGGATGTTGGGCAATCACGGCATTGAGCGAATCGAGGATTTGCACTCGGTATGGGGGAGTGAAGATTTGACCGGTCAGAGGGCTGGAACCTTTCAAGACTCTCAGATGCCAGTCGCACATGAGGAAGAGGATGACGACCTTGACGAGAATGATTTTGAACTCAGGCGGCGGCGTCGATAATCTTGCTCTTACAAGCGTGGGCGGTGAAATTGAGGGGCGTTTTGGAGGCACCGGGAGGATGGGTCCATGCCGACTGATGTTTTTCATGACCTGGCATGACGCCTTGGATGTACAAATACGGGTCACTTCGAGGGACTTGCTACTGGGGTATTATATACGAGTAAAGTGTAAACCCTGGATGCGTCGAGGTCGACACCATATAAGAATCATAAAAGAATTTGAGGAGTGCTTTCTGCTGAATTGGAATACGGCGACGGGTACGAAGCACTCTGTCAGTTAGCGGGAAGCCGTAGATACGTTGTTCCCCTGCCGGCTGGAGTAATATGAAATGACGAATGGTGATGACCAGGAACAGCCACCACGAGGCCAACCAGGCCAACTGCCAGGGGCTAAAAGGACGCCCCTCGGCAAGCACGAGGAAGGTCAAATTGAGGTCCCTTTTCTCTCTCAGTGGCTGGCTCTCTGGTAAATTGACACGTCGCAAGGAGGGCCGGCGGTTACCAATGGCTGCTGTCGATTTGACAAATGAAGAATAGGGGGGACAGCAGGAAGCAAGGGGCTCGTTCTCGCTCGTTGCCCTGGGTTTGCGTCACTTTGTTATTGTTGTTTTGAACTTGTCAATTCACTGTGCCCGGTATATCTCTGATCAACTGCGTATGCTCAGGATCCACTAGTTGGAGGGGGAGAGACGGCAGAGAGTGTGTGCGTTGCGAGCTGAAAAGTGAAAGTCAATCAAGTTGGCTGGGGCAGTTTTAGCGGCTTCCCCGAGTCTTGCAGGGATCCGAGACTCCAGGAGTCCAGGGCGCTGGGTGCCCACTAGGCCGGTGCCTGGTCCGTGATCCGGGGCTAGGCCGCCCAAGGCATGAGCTGAAGAGCAACGGCCAATCGCCACGCTGCGGGCGCGGACTCGCCATGCGGTGTCTCTTTTCTTTTAACTTTCCTCCCAATTTGACTTGTGCCGGGCAACTCGATTCGCTACTGCAAGGTCTTTGCCTTGTTTTGATCTATCAACATGCGTCTCAAGCCTTTTCTGGCCAATCCCTCATGCAGTCCTCCCGCTTCCAGAAATACCCAGGCAACCCCATCGAATGTCCGTTCCGTTGTTTTCGCACCCCAGCCTCTTCGCTTGACCCAAATTGACACCTCCGATCAACACTGGCTCTCGATTCGATTCGAGCGGGCCCTTGCTCTCTCGCTTGCTGTGCTGGCCCCCGGCAGGGGACTCGGAAATAATAGAGACATGGCTCTGATTGAGAGGTGACACAATCGAAGCTGCCGGCAGTGGTGGCACTCTTTTTTATCTGTTCAGTGTCCAGGGCTGCATGACGGCTACATCTCCCTCAGACATGTCCTGTTGTTGCTCGGAACCTCATATAATCTACCTCGTTCCACCTCTTGTCATTATCCTCTGACTGCAATCTTCTCTGCTGCTGACCCTGTCACACACCCGACCACTCATTTGCTCCTATCCTCTTGCCAGTCGTTGCTGGACGAAACATCACTCACTTCCACCTCAGTAGCCGCCGGACCCCGAACTGCTCCTGCTCTCCTGCAATCACCATCACCAAGCGCCTGACAAGACTCGACTGGCACCTTCTTCATCTCTTCTAATTGGATCCAATTCCAGGTCAACGTTGTTGGCCTTCGCTCATCCAATCCTCAAACACGCGCGGTCCCTGCTCGTCACTTGGTTTCAGCTCTCTCAAACGAGGATTCCCCATCCTGGCCCCCATCATGCTGCCCTCACAGACAACACTGCAGATGCTGTACAAGCTGATTTGAGGCCAACCTCAGTTTCACCCTCTGCGCCGAAATAGAGTCCAATCTGGTACTCGCGCATCTCCACATCCCGTGGCGGCACCTCTCAGCCCTTGGCTCGACTATATTTTGTACCGCAAGGCACGTCTAAAAGAACTCTACCAGGAGACGTCGTGTTGTTCTCCTGGTGGCCTGTGGCCTCTACATATCAGGCTTTTCAACCATTGTGCTCGTGTTTGTCGACTGCGTTATTTGAACGTTTTTGACTTTTCTTTTGTTGTTGCCTCTGACTTTTGTGATACCCTGGACTCTCCTGCTGGACAGAGAGCCTTGCTCAAGTACTTTGGGATTTGTCTTCTTTCTGGCTTTTGCCTCGGAATAAAAGCAAACTATTGTTCTAATATTCGAATTTCTTCCAATACCTCCAAAAATGGCACCGACTACGCTCGTGACTTTTCTGGTGTTTGTATTCCTACTCTGTCACCACCGAAATGGAGCTGACCGTTGTTGCAGTCGCAGCCCACCTTCGACCCGATCCGTCTACCTCTACGGCTCGTGGGATAACTTCAAGACCGCTTATCCCATGCAAAGAGACACTCGCACGGGCCCTGAGCACTGGTCAGGTTGCCATAGCTTCTCTGACATCATCTGTGATGGCGACGTAACGATCAATGGTATTCCCAGGCAAGGAGGACTCAAGATGGGCGGAACGTACTGGTACTACGTGTGTTTGATCTTTGCTGGCTGTTCTCGATTCTTTACTTACCAAGCCCTAACAGTACAAACTGGACGACGAAATCGAGTTTCACAACTCAGCAGAATCGTCGACCACTTCCTGTCCCATGCTTCCTGGCCAGCTTGTCAACGTCTTGAATGTCCCCTTTGCACTCACCAACAGCAGTCGCTCCCGCAATGATAGTGTGAGCTCAACAAGCTCCGACTACCGAACCATGAATCCTACAGACAAGTTTCTAAACCCTCGGCCCGTGCCAGCTAAACCATCGCTACCGCGCCTGAAGACTTCTCCGACTTTGCTTCAACAATCCTGGTCTTCCTCCAGCTCCCCGGCGAGTGCGTCGTCCCTGCCTAGCCGACGGGGAAGGTCGACATCCACCACCACAACTTCTCAACCGAGCAGTGCCAATGCTTACAGAGTAGTCCGAATGAAGCCATCCATTGAGCCACCTTCGAGGTCGGCCTCACGCGGAAGTAACCGCTCTGTGGGCATCATTGGTGCTTTTCGAGCTCTGACGTCTCCACGACTGGCAAGCCCCGATACCCCAATTGACCGAGGCCGGGTTCTTCCAGACGATTCGGCAGCGAGGAGCCGTTCAAAAGGCGTGTCAGAGCGTAGCATCACGCCCAAGAGGACTATACCCGGGACGTCTGCTTTGATTCCAGAGGTAGACGCCACCACCATATCTGAAGATCCAGGAGAGCTTCTGCTACGTCGGCCAATCAACGGGTCTGAATCTTTTGGACATGTCCCGATATCGTCCTTTGCATATCATCGACGCCAGAGATCCGTATCGCGGGAGCCTTCGTCTCTGCGCAGTTCGCTTCAACCAGACACGACCAACATAGGGATGTTTGATGAGACCGCTGTACAGTATCAGCCACTGGCGACCCTCAAGGAGGTTGCTTCAGCAACTAATACCCCTGTTTGGCCTCTAACTGCGGTGAAAGTTGAAGGCGAAAAGGAGGCGGGTGACATACGTGTGCCCCTGGATCTGGAGAAACGTCTACCGACTTTACCCAATACGCCATCTTCTGCATATCCACCCAGCGTTATGGATGAGCCCTCCACCAATGATGAGTTAGATGACATTGCCAACCTTCGCAGTCATTTCTCCTGCACCACCATCCAAACAGAATCGCCTACGGATAGTTTCCTTCCTCACGACCGGAGCCGTTTCTCGGATTGGACAGACGGGACCGACAAATTTTCACCACAGTCGGAGCTTGGCTCAAGCATGCTTGATTTTGAGCCAATCAGTCCACTACCAGAAGCGGCCTTGGACTTCCCTAGTGATACGCCGATTACCGTTGAAGTCCAAAGTCCTCCACAGGATTTCACAGTTGGCAACACCTCTGCTGGCCCCAAGCAAGGCGGACTACCTTCGGCATTCAGTTTTTCAACGGTCAACACGGTCGCTTCTTCTACCGCGCCAAGCTCTCACGTAGACCTTGACAGTACCAAAGATGCCCACTTCTCCTGGACCAGCTTTCAGCACTATAGCCTACCCTCAGAGGACCCCGGATTCGGGGCCGTTCAGAAACCTGCAACGGTTGCCAATCATGTGGCACCTGTGGTTGTAGACGAAAACCATCGTGCAGGCGTGTATCAACCTCAGATGTCAAGCTATGATGAGTCAACGATTCCCCATTCCACCAGTATGCAACAACTCCTCGCTGAATTGAGCTATTTGGGCGGAATGATCCAACAGCATTAACATGTGGAATATATGTTTCTACGTCACCACTTCGCAAGTTTGACCGATATACTTGTCGGCGTTCTCTCTTTTTCTACATGTTGAGATGAGAGCAAACTCGGCCGACAGATCCACAGGGATCTAATTTGATTTGCAAATAATCGATGTCACAACATCAACAGCATATCCCTTGACTGGGAGGGAGTTCCGGGGCTCTAGCAAGGACGGAGCGGGACTATAGTGGCTTGGAAGTGGCATATTTATCGAGGACGTCTCACATGGATGGAAGTGACAACCTCTTTAAGGACAGATTGTTGATGACCCCCAAAATTGAAAAACGACGAAGATCTGGCAGAGCCTCCTTCAGCCTTGCCCCCAATTGACGAGGCTGCATATGAGGCTTGGCAGAATTTCTTAACGACAACATAGACATAGAACAGCCATAACCACCAGTAATTGCCGATATCTGTGCGGACACAGACTTATGAATGATGATGATCTTGACCTAATGACTCAATGATTGTATACTTGGCACGGCCTTCGAATTTGATTTCTAGTTTTTGCACTTCGCTCCTTCCGACGCGTTCATCAATCGAATGGGCTGTGGGCACGCGTCGTCCAGCACAAGAATTCGCACTCTCAACACAGTGTCCCCTCAAGCCATTTGTCTACGCTCTGGATTGTAGCTACTACTCGGACGAATTATCGATCTCCCGACCTGCTGATTGACCAGATATCTGTTGATCTCCAGGTTTGCTTTCCCGCCAAGCGACGACACACTATCACCACTGACATTTGCTCGTATCCAACGCACCAACCGTACCACCCCGTATCATTACTCATCGGTCTCAACAATGCATCAAATATCGAACCGCACTTTTACAGACCCTTTCGTCCCATCTCTCTTTGCCTACTGTCCGACAATGGATCTTGTCGTGACGGTCACAAGTAAGGGGGTCATGGATGTTTGGAGATTAAACGGTCAGAGAGTCTTTGGTTCAAACTTCTGCAAAGATGAGGATGAAGGTGACGACGAGGAAGGGCATTCGGCCCCCGAGAAAGGCGATGGAGGAAATGTGAGGGCCGTTGCATGGAGGAGGGACGGTGAGCAGCTTCCACACTGCATTTTCCTCTTCCCTCACGCCACAGGCCCCATCAGAGACCATGTTGGGATCGATCACTCCCCATGGGATCAGAAAGAAACTATATGCTGACTATTACGTCCCAACTGCGGGCCCGGAGGTACAGGCCAAATACTTGCGATTGCCTGCGCGGATGGCAGCCTATCCCTCATAAATTCCTTCACGGGCAAAATTTCTCATCGAATATTCAGTCAGAATCAGAAACCCGCAACTTCACCTTCACTACAGCCGTCGGTACAGACGCAGACTCGACGGCAGAGTTCTAGAATCTCCCCTCTCCCGACTGCTCAGGCCACCTCCGGCCGACCAACCGTCACAGCCCTCTGCTGGACTACGCACTTGGTCGATCCCTCCCCCACCACCATCCGCTCTCACCTCAATGCGCCGAATTCCACACTCTCACTCGATCAAATTCTAAACCTCCGCGCTGACGTAGATAGACTTCTCCCATTGAAAGCCGATCTGCCCCGCGAACTGAGCGCCATCGACGTGGAAGTATCCCTGCCCAGGCTCGCGACGCTACCCCCCACGGGTCTGACTGCGGATGACGATGTGTTCAGTACGCGGAGCAGTGTGGACGTTGTATTTCATGGAGGCGGCAGTAACGGCTCTGCCGGGTCTGGAGGTGTCGACGCCCTGCTCGTCGGACTAAGTGATGAATCTGGCGGATGTATGGTTCAGCTGAGGATTTTTGATTCCTTCGATGTAGGAACTGTCGACTTGAAGGGTATCCTCCCTCCAGGACCTGCTGCGGGAAGAGCATCAAGGGTGCTGAGGATCGAAAGTCATCCATTCTTGTCAACGGTTTTCGCAGTTATCGAGGAGTCGCCAAAGGATGAAGCTGCTTCGTCGTTACACCTCATCAGCCTTGATTTGAGCTTCATTCCGCAGTCCGGACGGACCTTGCCGCTTGTAGCGAAGAAGGTCTCTCAGCTAGGCTATTTGCTCAGATACATCTCGCAGGTGCGGACGCAATTGGTCGCCGAGGTCAAATCCGCATTCGACCTCCCCGGCAGGTTCCTACGCAACATCAACGAGTCGCTGGCGGAAGGAGATGAGAATGCGGACTTCGTCTTCGCAGCTCATCATCTTGCCGTTACCGGGGTTTGCAGTCCGAAATTGAAGGAGTGGCTGGTTGACGAGCTTCAAGATAGGGGCATCAAGCGGTGGGAGAACGCCGTCGCGGACTGTCTGGAGGTAGCTAGGAGGATGACAAGCGAGTGTCTTCTTCCTGCCGTGGAGAGGAGTTTGGCATTGTTATCAAGACTGGATGGCCTTGCCCGGTTTGGGCCCACGAGTTCGAAGCTTGGACTGGACGAGAAGAACGTGAAGAGGGTGACAGAGACCATCGATGCCCTGGGCATCCTTAGTGAGGATCTCTTGCTCGATGTCGTGGCCGAAACAAGAGAATTCGCGGCGTTCATCAAATGGCTGAAATGGGAGTGCGAAGTTGAGGCGCTGGAGCAAACCAGTGCGAGGGCGGAAGATATGAGGGAAACATGGACGGGAGAGGGTGAGCTGGAGCTGGTATTAGATTACGTGGGAGGTGCTATGAAGGAAAGTCGATTGAAGAAATATCTTGTGGAGGAAGCCAAGGAGCAAGAAGGTGGATTGGCCGCATCTTTTGATGACGATTCGGATCTAGGGTCCTACGATGAGTTCATCAGATGCAGAACCAGTTGCAACAAGGACAAGAGCATGCCTACACTGGGCGAGCTGGTCGACAGATTACAGAGGCAATGTGAGGCGGTCTTTGCGAAGATTGCAGAAACATTCAGGAAGAGTATTCTTACGAGCTATCTGCAGGAGCTCCCTCATGGGTGTGTTGGTGAGAGCTTGGATGTCAGGGTCATCCCCGACGACGCCGATTCAAGTCTGTACAGGCTCTTTCTGATATCCAAGGACCGCCAAGAGAAAGCCCGTCTCCGGCATGTCGTGGTCGAGCTGCAACAAGGAGCTGGAAAAGGTGTCAAGCACACGATGCGGTCAAGCTCGCTCGCAATACCTGAGATGCAGGAAGTCCTGGATGCGAAATTTGTCGACGACGAAGCGCTTCTGGTCCTTGCCGAGACCGCCTCTGGTGCCAAAATCTACGGAAAAGAGATTACTATCGACGGCGAAGGACCTTGGGAGGTCCGGCATGCTTTCCAAGGGGAGGAGATAGATGGTGATGTGAAACCCGTCAGGCTGGATGTGAACGGACGGGTTGGGAGAAGAGTGGTCACTGTCCTTGACGAAGGTGGGCTGGGACTTGTAGTCTTGGACTTGGACGCCGAAGACAATGCTCGCGACGCCACTGACGGAGAAGACGAGGTCATGACGGGGTGATCAAACGACGACCTCCAGGAAGCGTTGGGCATAAGGCTGAGGCCAGGCCAGGCCAAGACTGGCTCAGCTTGACCGAGAGACTTGGAGGCGGTCGTTCTGAGACGGAAATGTGTTATATTAGCAGTAGCACTGTACGAGGTGGCTTGCCGTGAACCTGTGCCACCATGCCTGAACATTCCACAACTTAGAGAGGGAGGACATGGATGGGACAGCACCAGAGGCAGGACGAGGCTGATCTCAAATGCTGGCAGATTGGCAGTGTTGGGGTTCTCAAGGCCCCCTGAGTGGCGCCGACTGAACTTGGCGTTAATAGGGTAGCGAGCAACGGGCAACGGGCAACGGGCAATGGCAGCCACACTGAGGAGCCCTAGCGCTCCAAGACCTTCCGGGGAGGCGACATTCCCAACGCAGGTGCAAAGGCAGGCGTCAGTCAAGGCAGTGGAGAGTCCAGAGCGATAGGGTAGGTACTGTTACTGTACCTAGCATGTACGTAGCGAGCCAGCTGTCTGCTTTTTAGCTGCAGCTTGGGTGCAGCCTCTGACCCGGGCTACGTAAACGATCAGGTTAAGCCGCCCAGTTAGCGCGAGCCTGACTGCAGTCTATCAACAAATCCATCCCACTTGCAGTTGCCCTCAAGCAAAACACACACACTCAAACCACCGTCTCCTTCACTTTCTTCTTGACCGCATTCTCTCGAATCGTTCAACTCGCCAATATCCTTGTCTGCCGTCTTTACAGGTCGTTCTCTCCTTGAATTCCCGGCCTGTGTCATTCCTCATTTTGACATCATCTTCACCTGCGGTTCCCAATTAGAGCCTGCAGTCCTCATTTTGTCCGCCTTTCTTCCCTACTCAGACCGCTGCTCGGTCCAGCCATCATGGACGTCAGAGCGGTCTTAGAGAACACCTTCTCTCCCGGTAAGATTATCTCCTATATTCCACGCTTCCGGCGCTGTACTAATTCCTCCCAGATGCCACGATCCGTGGTGGTGCGGAAGAACAACTCAGACAAGCCCGCGAGGGAAATTTTGTACGTCCACCCTCTCCCGCCCGCAGCGATGTGAAAACCTCAACTGACGAACAAATGCAAATATAGTCCGAATATCTTTCGATCCTCTCAAGAGAACTTGCCAATGATCAAGCCAGCCCTGCCGTCCGACAAGCCGCCGGCCTCGCCCTGAAGAACGCCTTCACCTATCGTGACGTGACCAGATTAAGAGAGGTACAGGCAAGATGGTTGCAAGGGGTCGACCCTCAAATCAAGGCTCAGGTCAAGGAGCTGGCCGTCAAAACCCTCACTTCGACACCTCAAGCCGCCAATTCGGCTGCCCAGCTGATTGCGACCATTGCCGCAATTGAACTCCCACGCAACGAGTGGCCTGACTTGTTGCCTGCGCTCGTCCACAATGTCGGCGCCGGTGATGACAAACTCAAGCAATCCAGTCTCACCACCATTGGTTTCATCTGTGAATCGGACGATGTCGAGCTTAGAGAGTCTCTGGTTGGATATTCCAACGCGATATTGACCGCTGTTGTGCAAGGTGCGCGGAAAGAAGAGGAGAACCAGGATGTCCGACTCTCGGCCCTGTCGGCACTCAGTGATGCTACCGAGTTCATTCGCAGCAATTTCGAGAACGAAGGCGAGAGGAACTACATCATGCAAGTCGTGTGCGAGGCCACACAATGCCCCGACACTCGGGTGCAAGCCGCTGCCTTTGGTTGCCTGAACCGCATTATGGGTATCTACTATGATAAGATGAGATTTTATATGGAAAAGGCCCTATTCGGTCTGACCATTGGTGGTATGAAGAACGACGAGGAGGACGTGGCCAAATTGGCCATCGAATTCTGGTGCACTGTGTGTGAAGAGGAAATCAGCATCGAAGATGATAATCAACAAGCGCAACAAGAAGGGTCAACCGAGCTGCGACCCTACTTCAACTTTGCCAGAGTTGCGGCACGTGAGGTGGTCCCAGTCCTGCTTCAGTTGATGACCAAGGTCTCCGAGGATGATGCCGACGATGAATACAACGTCGCTCGCGCCGCATATCAATGTCTCCAGCTCTACGCACAGACAATAGGTGGCGACCTGGTGCCCGTGGTTCTTCAGTTTGTCGAGGCGAATCTACGCAGCGAGGACTGGACCAAGAGAGATGCCGCAGTTTCGTCGTTTGGCGCCATCATGGACGGTCCTGACATCAAGACCCTCGATCCTCTTGTCAAACAAGCCCTTCCGGTTTTGATCGGAATGATGCAGGATCCGGTCGTCCAAGTGCAAGACTCTGCGGCCTTTGCTCTGAGCAGGATCTGCGACTATTGCTCCGACTGTATCGATCCGTCTACACATTTGCAACCGCTGATGTCCGCCCTTTTTGCTGGCCTCATGAGCAATCCCAAAATTGCCGCGTCCTGCTGCTTGGCTCTCCTCAATCTGACGGAGCGATTTGTCGGCGAGGACGGCGCATCGACAAACCCGCTGACGCCGCACTTCCAAGATAGTGTGACTTCCCTGCTTGCGGTCACCGAGAAAGAAGGAGGCAACAATCAACTTCGCACGGCGGCATACGAAGTGCTTGGTGGCTTCGTCACCAACGCCGCCCACGACAGCTTGCAGATCGTTGCAGAACTGTCCAACGTCATTATCCAGCGTCTACAGAGTACCATTCCCATGCAGAAGCAGATTGTCAGTATTGACGACAAGATCACGCTAGAGGAACTGCAAGTCAGCCTGAGCAGCGTTCTGCTTGCCATTGTCCAGAGACTCGAACAGAACATCGGACCCCAGGCTGATCGGATCATGCAAATTAGTCTGGAGCTCCTCAACGCCACTGGCAACACGAGCGTCCCCGAGGTCATTTTCCAGATTGTCAGTGGGTTGGCGAATGCATTGGCAGGCGACTTTCTCAAGTATATGGACTCGTTCGTTCCATATCTCTACAACGCTCTGGGCAATCAGGATGCTCCGGACATGTGCTCCTTGGCTATTGGGCTCGTCAGCGACGTTGTCCGTGCTTTGGAGGACAAGGCACGGCCGTACTGCGATACGTTTATGAACTATCTGCTCAATGATCTTCGGGTTCGTCTTTTCCCCCTCATTCCTCCCTCAATTTTTCACAGACTAATGACTATCTACAGTCCGACAAACTTTCCAACGCGCTGAAACCTCCAATCTTGGAGACCTTTGGCGATATCGCCACTAGCATCGGGGTCCATTTCGAAACCTATGTCACTGTGGTCGCCGGCGTCCTCCAGCAAGCAAACAATGTGTCCGTTGCGAACGATGTCTCATTCGATATGCTGGACTACATCGTGTCTCTTCGATCCGGTATTGCAGATGCATGGTCTGGCCTGATTCTGGCCTTCAAGGGTACTGAGAAAGGTACGATGCCTTCCTAATGTGCAGGTTTCGACGCTAACGAAGCGGCAGCGCCTCTCCTCCAAAACTATGTGCAACCTATCTTCGAATTTCTGCAGACGGTTTCCCAGGATATGAATCATAACGAAGGTCTACTCAGAGCTTGCATGGGTATTATCGCGTGAGTGTGCCCCCAGTGCTCCTGCTAGCTTTTTCTAACAGCTTCCCAGTGATCTCAGTGAGACCTTCCCAGACGGATCACTTTCAGATTATTATCGACAAGAATGGATTACCAAGATCATTAAAGAAACTCGAACGGCGCGCGACTTCTCGCCGCGGACAATCAACGCAGCACGTTGGGCAAGAGAACAAGTCAAACGACAGACTCAACATCAAGGTACCATCATGAATGCCTCATGAACTTGATGTCGAGAGTATTACTTATCCCCAGCATCATCACCCACCTCCCCGGCACCGCCACCGCCGCCCCGAATTACCCTTGCCCGTTCGCACCCCAGCACCAGCCCCAGCACAGCACATTGAAATCCCCCTGTCAGAGCGCTGATCACCGTTATGTGAAGGTCGTTTCTCATCGCAAGCCGGTCCCATAGCGGGACGACTGGAAAACGATGGCGAACACGACCCATCGCAAAACGGAGAGAATGGCCGCGTGGACAAGCGACAACAAGCTGAAGACTCCCGAACTCGTTCTCGCCCCCTGCCGCCGATGCCCGACCCTTCAGCCTTTTTGTGGCCTGGGCTCGATTTGAACGCCCTGGACGCTCTCTATGTACCACTTGAAACTGGTGCGTTAGGCCCACGCTCGTCACAGGTCGCCCCTCTCGGTCTGCAGTCACGTCTACGGTGCTTGGACCCTTTTCGCGTCGGAACATCGTCTATTGAGGGCTTCCCCAACCACGACTGCACCGAAGCCCGAAATGGAAATGGCAGCGGACATCTGGTTCCGTTTGATCACAATTGCCATGGAGATGTCGATTCACCTTAGCACCAAGCCTTCTGCGGCCGAAGGTCGACCGAAAGGAAATGGCTGGTATGGCACAGGCACCTGCACACGATAGAATTTCTGCGGTCTGGGTTCACGTATGGAAAGACGGCGAAGAGTTCAGACGCAGGACAGGATGGTTAGATCTGGCGATCATTCGGAACAGATAAACAAAGACAGCCCCATGATACCCCCTTTGAGCCCCCATTTTCCCTTCCTGCATCTTCCCTCCTTCCCCTTCCTCCCCTTCTTCGCACCGCTTCCCTTTACGTGTCGGCGTCGGTTTTCTACTGGACTGTGGTCAGAGTATTAGGGCTCTGTGCTGCCAGAACTTACGAAGAGTACAAACTTGAGCTTTTGTTTACTCGGCTTGTATTATCGTCGATTCGAATGAAGGCCCAACATTCTCCTGAGACATACGCTCTCCTTCTGATTTGATCACTTTTCAGGTTCGGGTTGGTGGTCAGGTTTGATGTCGAAGTAAAGGTTCCTCAAGCATAGAGCCAGGGAGCAAACCAGTCAATCAGATAGCATGAATCTGGTCTGTCTTGGGTTCTATCTGGAGATCAGTCCAGCAAACGTGATAGGTATCATTGAGTCGAAATACTTTCTACGGCTTGCTAAAGCCTTTTACGACATGAGGATTGAACTTTCTCCGACCATTCGTCCGGCCATGTCAGCCTCATAGGGTAACGTAGTATTGGTCCTGAATAGAACAGGAGCATCATGCCCCATTCCAATCTCAATTCCTCGGCGCCCACCTCAAAACATGACTGGTGCTTCACGATCGATCGACCGTCTGTCTATCTGGATATGGCACCCCAACTCATGCTTCTTCTATCTCCACATGTTTGTCTGTCTGTCTGTTAACTATGCCTCACGTCGCCCCAACCTGATCTGCGGCGGCCTGCCTGTTCGCGAACCTCTCCCTCGCGCCCTTCCACCAGAGGCCGTGCTGCAGGTCGAGGCTCTGCTCGATGAGGAAGCGTTGGCTCTCGTCGGCGTAGTCGACGGGTCTGCGGTAGAACAGGCGGTCAACGACGCACTCGACGCTCTGGCCCGTCTTGACCACGCCGTCGACGCCATCAGACCGGCCGTCCTGCGCCACCCGCCCCGTCTCGGAGATCAGCTCGGCGTACGCGCGCACCATCGTGCTCACGGGCGTGATCCATTCCGGTGGCCACTGCGCCGTCACCGCCGAGGGCGTCATCCCCGTGTCCACGTACGCCGGGTTGATGCAGTTTACCGCCAGGTTGTCCGTCGCGAGCAGCATCGCGCCCACCGACCGCGTCAGCGCCAGCACCGCGTGCTTCGTCGCGCAGTACTCCGGCGCCACGGGGAACGGGTACAGCCCTGCGCACGACGACGTGATCACCACCTTCGGGTTGTATCCTGCTGCTGCTGCGGCCGCCGCCGCTGGAGATAATAACGACGAGGACGACGACGTTGGGTTGAGGGTGGTGGCAGAGGCCTCGGCGCCGTTCGTTGATTGTGCGGCGGCGGCGAGCATGGCCTTGGCGGTGCGGCGGCTGTAGTGGATGAAGAGCTTGAGCCCGTAGAAGACGCCGATCTGGTTGACCTGAGTGCAGTGCATGGGCGGGGGCAGGGGCTCGCTGTCCGGGTCGGCGTCCGGCGCCATCGGGTTCGCCAGCGCGATGTGCTCCTTCTCGGCCGTGCCGGCGTTGGCGGCGAGGAAGTCGATGCGCCCGCCCGACCACGCGAACGCCTGCCGGAACAGCGCCGCCTGCGAGTCCCACGACCCGACGTCCGTCGCCACGAACAGGTGCCGGTCCCGGTCGAGCTTTGCGGCGATGGGGGTGTAGGCGTCCGCGCGGATGTCGGCGATCACGACGCGCCAATCGGGCTGTGAGAGCAGGTACGATACCAGCCCGAAGCCGATCCCGCCGCAGCCACCTAGAGAGGGGGAAAGAAAGGATTTCTCGCGTTAGGAACAGGTTGTGTCTTTCCTTTTCGGAGGGGAGGGAAGGGATCTTCCCCCCTTTCCCTTATTTCCCTCTCTATTCTTCTTCTGTTCGCCTGGGGGGACTACCCACGGAGGGGAACAGAAAGGGAAGAAGGAGTGTGTGATTGAGACGCAGCGACGAGAGGAGAGGAGAGGATAGGGTAGGAAAGAGGTACGTACCTGTGACTATCGCCGTCTTCATAGCATTCGGCGTCGTCATTGCTGAATATCCAGGATCCCTTCCGTCTCTTCTGCGAGGCAGGCTGGTGGCTGAGATCACTCAAGGGGTAGGTAGGGGGACGTCGAAGCTCGAAGTATTCCCGAATGTATTACTTAGAAGGTAATAAATATCACGCAGGAGACAGGGAAGTGCTTTCTGGGGGCAGGGGGGGCAAACAAGGAGAGAGATATGTAGATGGAACTATTTCGCTTTCATGGTGTAGTGCATAATTCAATTGGCGCCGTGGTTGTGGTTGTGGTTATGATATTATATATCCCCATTCGACGGCTCACTCACTCACGCACCCATGACTGACGGGCTGGGCTGGCTCGACCAAACAAATGAATAGCACGAGGTACATAACACACAGTACCGAGGTGTCCAGACTCCACGAAGTATTCGCCGTACTCCATGTTTTCGGCTTGTTGAGTTCCTGACACAGAATTGTCGAGTCGTAACCCCCGAGAAGGATTCCGTCCGTTGTTCCCCATCGGCAGACTCATCGTCTTTTGTTTGGTTGGATATTGGTCGCTCCTGTTTTCCCCCGCAGAAATCTGTTCTTGGCCTCATCATCTGGGGTCCAATTGGCCAATGTGGGAAGGATGTTGAGCTCCCTGCTGACAAAGGGTCTCTGTGTTTGAACCAACCTTGTGCCTGCTGAATTGGGCATATTGCAGATGTCACGGAACGACGTCGCTTGTTCGGGATAGAGTGTGTATGTATCTATGCCTCCCCAAGGAGGGGTCTTGTCTTGTGTGGTCGACTTCAGCGAGAGGAGAGCAAAGCAAGCCCCTGGTGTGTTGTCTTTTGCTTTGTGCTTCGTCCTGAACATCAGAGTGGAACTGTCCTTCCCTCATATCCCCTCGTTGCTGAGCACATGGAGAACGGTACATCAGGCTGTGGATCGCTGGTCATGCACCGCCCAAAGAGGCGCAATGGTTTCCACCGCCCTCTCCACGATGGCGTTGATGCGATCTCGTAGGACGGTATTAGCGCATTCCACGTCTAGATTCTCCAGCCATAGCCTTGCCACATGTTTGTCGAACCGAATTTCCAGCCCTGGGACGGGGATCCCGACAGCCGCCAGCCTGGCGCGCTCGGCCGCCTCAGCACGTTCCAGGTCCGCTTCCTCGTCGGATTCATCCGGCTCTTCGTCGTTGTTCTCCTCCTTCTTCACGCCTTCAGCCCCAGAGACCAGGGCTTTGCGGTCTGCAGGGGCGACGGTGCGCGGTTTGTCTATGGGCGTGATGTTATCACCGAATTGTTCTTCGAGAAACATGCACAATCTCGAGAACCGGTCTTGTGGAGAGACCTTGGTCAGCTCGTTGGTCAGCCTCTGGACTCCCTGGTTGTGCCCGTGGCTGTGGTGTGAGTGAGCTGCCTTGCTCGACGAGTATTTGACGGCTGCCGGACTGCTCTCCACCGTCATCAGCACGGCCATGACTGCGTCGGCGATGCCGTCGTTCATGGTGTTACCCTCCCATTCGAGTTCGATCTGCTTCTCTCGTCCCGACCACTTGAGAGTGATGCATCCCATGATGAGGAACGTCCGCGGTGGCTCCGTGACAATTTCCTCGTCAGCTTCTTCTTCGGCCTTGATTCCGTTTTCCCCATTCCTCGAGTCGATCTCGACCTTGACCAAATGCCCATGTCCGTTAGGTTCGGATTTGACGTGACCGACCTCTTCAATGCTACCAAAAGTGCCTTCGAGGGCCCATTTAATAAGCTCGATGCCGGCTGCGGCAAGGGTGATATGTTGTCGGCACAAAATGGTCGTTGTCGTGAGGCCAGCGTATTCACGGAGATCCTCGGGCGCCATCAAGCTGAGCTTGAATCCATTCTGTACTAGTACGCCACTGATCACTCTCGTCTCATCAGCTTCGGCGGATGAAGGAGGGGGTATCTGAGCCAGCTTCCCTACAACCTTAGCAACCTTGTCCTTCCTGAAGGGGATCTTGATTTCCGCGCCGTTTTCCGGGCTGTACACCTTGGTCTGATGGGCGTTTGGATTGCTCGTCAACCGGCGGGAATTCAGATCCAGCAGTCTTGATCTCAGTCGTGCGGCCTGAGAACGTTCTCCGTGGACGAGAATAACGTGGGGTGCAGCGACTTGCTCAATGAAATCTACGTTCTCAACCCCTGTAACGTGAGCTGCGAACTGGTATTCCTCAACCGAACACCGTCGAGGGATCATCACCGCGGCATCATCGTCTTTGTTTCTGCGACCCAGACCGTGTCCGAGACCGGTGTTTCCACCGCTCATGATGGCCGGGATCATATCTGGCTCCGACAGGATGGTCCGACCCATGGTTCCTTCGATGTTATAACCAGTCATTATGACTCCGTTGCGTTGATCCGGAGCCCATCTCTCGAGTAAGATGCGGGACATGCCTGACTGCATCATGCCAGGCGAAGCCAGCATGACACATCCTCCCACGTCGTCAAATCGGTCAAGATTTCGCAGGCTTCGCACAAAGCGAAAGTCCCAGGGGCCTGCACTGACACCTTTGGCGTTGCCGGCGGCTTCGGCCTCGGCCATTCTCTCTCGAAAGATTCGTTTGATGTTGTCGTTCATCGCATTAATATATGTCTGGTATACAACCATGCATTTCCGTGCCGTATTGCCAGTATAATAAATAGGGAACTTCTGGAGCTCCGGGTGCCGTTGCCAGTAGTCCTCGAGAATGAGCAATAGCTCTTGTGCTCGACCGAGAGCAAACACGGGCATCAAAACTTTGCCACCACGGCCCAAGATATTGGAAACCGCCTTGAGCAGAGCAGTTTCTCGTTCTGCGCGAGGAGGTGCGTTTGAGATGCCAAATGTGGATTCGGTGATGAGGACATCGATCTTGCCCACGCTCGCAGCATTCGGGACCTCGGCGGCCACGAGATGTCGATCCTGCTCTCGAGAGTAGTCCCCGGTGAAGAAAATGTTGAGCCCAGCGATGTTGATCAAAAACATGGCAGCTCCAAGGACGTGGCCGGCAGGATAAGGTGTTATGCGGACACCCGAAACCGTATGCGTTGTGTAGAAGTCAATCGTCTCGATTTGAGGCAGAGTGGAAATGTGATCAGCCTCGGTGTAGAGCGAGGTTCTCTGGTCGGAAGTGGACGTGGTGTTGCTCACTCGAACAGAGTCCTGGATGAGCCATTTGTAGATGGCCTTGGTGGGATGTGTCATGAAGACTCGCCCTTTGAAGTCAGTTTTGGCCAGCACGTAAGGCAGTGCGGCGGCATGGTCCAGATGGAAACTGCACAACGGTTATAGTTAGCATCAATTCCAAGCAGTTTGGATAAGTTCCCCTCTGAGAACTGAGCAATCGAGGGCAGAAACGACGGGATCGAGGCTGAAAGGGGGAGGAAGAAGAAGAGGCAGGAACAAGGATCTTAGGTGAAAAGCATTGTATTGGTGTTTGCCTATAGGTACAAGATCTCATCGAGCATGACCGTCGAATCCAGCCGCTTCCAAGCATGCGGCGGCATATGAATGTAGAACACCAAGATCCCTTTTGTTTCTCTGCTCAACTTGCTCAAACTACCTCGCCCAAAGCAACACGATCGGAAAAGGAGAGGGTTCACCTACTGGCTAATCAATAGGATGTCCACGGTGCTCAGGTCAAAATCGTCAAAATAGGGCATAGCTGACATCCCTTCTCTGCCTGTATGCATGCCAGCGTCGAGCTACACGATTGTCAGAGTCTCCTTGATCCAGTGATGTCTTGGGTCTCCTCACCATGACAGTCTTGCCCTTGTATTGTAGGATATGGCACGATCGGCCAACTTCTTGACATCCACCCAACCCAATAAACACAAGTTCGTCTGAAGGGTCGACGGGTTCATCATCTTCCACAGCCGTCATGGCTGCTGCCTTTCTTTTTGTAGCCATGGTATTCACGAGCAGCGTCGGAGACGGGGTCGGGAACGTGAAAGATTGGGCAAAGGGTGGGATCTCCTTTCGGCTTTGAAGCCCTTAAATCAGGGCATGCGGTGCGTTGTGTCACTACACTGACGTCTGAGGATTCATTGTTGAAGACGTGAGACTGAGGAGACAACCACGGTTCAGACAAAATAGTGACAGAAGTGAAGTGAATTAATATGTATGTACCTTTCTGAAGCGTGAAGTGCCAGTTCGGGGGTGGAAGAAACGAGACGCGGCACGTGACTGACTGCGGCCTTGGGTCGCTTGTAGGCAGCCCTTACCCGCAGGTTTACACTTTGACCATCATCGCATCACTCAAACCGTACCATTTAATCCCACGATTCGAATCCCGACACGTCCCTCTTGCGTATCAGCAAACCCTTGGATGTCGGCAAATTGGAATCAGGCATGCTTGGCACAAGAAGGAAGCCGAGCGTGAGTCGACGCTCACTCGGAATCCAGGGCCAGGTTCAGAGAGACAGAAATATAGACGGACAGCCGTTGAGGTGGAACTGAAAGCAGACCCTCCATCACCATGGCTCACTCGCCGCCCGCGCCATCGCGACCTCCGCTGCCTCAGACACAGACATCCTTTCCGCGCAACTTCAGTTCTGCAAATGGCCGACCCAGCCCGCTGGGCCCTCAATCTCCTCCATTAGCGATGAACTTCTCCTCGCCTCCACCTCAAGCGTTCTCGCCTCAGCAATATTTTCAACCGCCAGCTGCTAAGAGACCCAGACTATCTCCCGATGTCCAGTCCCCTTCTACCGCTCCAAGCTATCCTCCCACTCCGACGGCTCAGGCCACGACTCCCAGCGGAAATACTCCCATGAACGGTTCAGCTGTGTCTTCCACGAGACAAGGGTTGATGCCTCCTCCTCAACGCCCACCTGACAAAGCAGAAGATCGGAACTATGAGGATATTCTGGTTGGAACCGGAATAAACATTGAGGAGGAGGCTAGAATGCTTGTTCAGAATGACTACTTTGGCGGGTCAACTCCCCGGACGGCCACTTCTGGCAGCTTCGAATATCAAAACAATTCCTTTCCGCGGCCCGGCTCCAGTGGAGGCGCAACAGCGTCGCAAGAGGAACCGGGCGAAGGCCTTACCCAGGAACACCAGCCGTCAGAGGAGGAGATGAAAGAGAGAATCGAAGCACGCGCCGACTGGGAAGCGTCTAGGTACAGCCAGTATCCGCTGTGGGACATGTTTTTGCTGGGCGGAGCGCTCAACGAAAAGATTCGAAATATCAGCATCACCGAACATTTGGTCGATCCACAGTCCGGAGTACTAGTTAATACTCAAAAACATATGCCTCCGCCCATGGTGCGAGTCAACGGACTGGAAGGCGCCTCGCGTGTCATCGATAAAGGGCAAGCTATTCTCGATACGGGGCAGAAGGGCGAGCGACTTTCGGATATCATGAAGGTCATTAGTCTGGCAACACGAGCTCGGATGACTGGTTTACTGAGCGCCTCTTCGAGACTGGCAAAGGAACGCCGGCAGCATTCCGCAGGAAAGGTACCGGAGGAATGGCAAGATATAGCAGTTCAGGCCAAGCCAGCCACTGATGTCCCTGACGGAGCAGCCAGCCCAGCAGCCAGCTCTAGCTTAAAGCGTGAGATCTCTCAATTTCCTACCCCTCTTCTCTGACGCTGACACTTGACCAGGCACACATTCCCAAGCAGAAAGCGAGTCTTCATTTCGCCATGACCAGATTCCAGGTCCTATCCGTCTAATATCTACATTCGAACGGGTTTCACAGGCTGAAAGAGCCGCCGAGGAAGCCCGCCGGCAGAAGAGAGCCAAACGACGGGCTGCCAAAAAGGACGAAGCAGGCGCCACAGCCACCGAGACGACCATAACGCCCGAGGCTGCCCCTGTTGCCAATTTGGACGCAGACAAGAGGACGACGAAGAAAGAGAAGAAATTGGCAGAGAGCAGATTCTCCGAACAACAACAACACAGGTCAGCCAACGAAGCAGCACGGATGGCCGTGGCAGGTTTATTTGGCAGTCGCTTGGGCGGTAAGAAGTCAAGAACTTACGACTGGATGAATGCTGGCAAAGGCGGAGCAAGTCCTGCAGCAATTCCAGGCAGACCGCCACCGTCAAGCGCACCGTCGACAGCAGGGACACCAGCCCCCGATCGAGCTCGAACAACTCCCAAAGAAAAGCAGCTTGGTCAGTGGGATGAGGACAAGGACGCTCAGATCCAAGCCCGAGATGTGCTACTCGTGCTGGAGAGTGACGGGCGCGCATCACGTTCATATGTGAGAGGACTTAGCCTTCCGGAAAACTGATTCTTGATATGTGCATTTCTAGATTTTGCAAGCACTGCTGCAGGGGGGAGATTTTGGCGCGCCTTTCATTGGGTGGAGCGACATGGCAAGCCTACTGTAAGATAAGGAGACTATCATTTAAAAAAAAAAACAACGAAAAACGAAGCCAACTTATTGAAGTATCGAGCAGAACCGAGCAGTACACGCAGGGTGGCCACATTGGCATGATATTTGGCTGCTAATATTAAATCATCTTCAGCGATGTTGCCTAGGGTTCATGTCAGGCTGGAGCTGAGTTTTAAATCGTCCAATCTAGACTAGCGCAGTCCGGACTATCGTATCACGGGGGGCAAATACGTCCATTGGCTTTGTTCGGCGAAAAAGAGGTTCCTGTCTCAACTGCGCAGCACGAGCCCATGCGGGTCTTGTCGCATGTCGTGATCGCCGTGGCACGGCAATTTGAGGTGGCGGAAACTTGTCATCCCCTCCTACTTTTTCCCGACACCGGATATGAGGAGGGAGTGTGCTGGGCCCGACGGCGACGGGGCCATCCGCTCACTTTGCCCAGATCGCTGTGAGACAGTATATAGTAGAATCTCAGAAATTGTCACGGTGCACCAGAGACGATTTGCCGTGGTGTGATGAGGAGGCGTTATTGGAGAGCCTCCGGATGGCTCAGGGTTGCCCACCCATTTGTCGCACGAGTTTGGGAGGCCAACGGAGGGCCTGATAAGCGACAATGGACTAGCAAGGCAAAGGCGCGTGGGTGCAAGACTTGGGCCCATCGCTCACCAATCCTGGGGCCCGGGGTGAAGAATAGACGCCAGTGACAAGAGCCGTGGCTTGAACCCGTGTCGAACGAGTGCTGGTGCTCGTCTTCGGCCCAAAGTGCTCGATAGTACCTACCTACACATGGTGGTGCAGCGAATGCTTGGATGATTCTAGAGACTTGCACGTAGCAGGAAAATCACCCACGTAAGGGTCTCGTTGGTGCATCCTGTGGAGGAGGACGGCCGTGGGCGGTGTTCCGGTTAAGGATCACAGCCCTGGGCCTGGTGTTGGGGCATGCGAATGGTGGTGTCATTCGCCCGTGGGCCGCCTATGATTCGGCCGGTTAACTAGTACGCAGTTCTCCATGGCGGGCGATGCCCAGAAACAGAATTGAACCCTTTCCTGCTTGCCCTGCAAACCTGAAGAAACGCTATGACTGGTGTGGCTAAGGGCACACTGGATCGCTGGGCACCCGTCAAAGTGCAAACCTCACTTCACACCTCAGTCTACATCATCGTCGTCCTCCACCCTCTGGCTCTTTCTCAACCTGACTGACACCCATTTTATTCTTCGTCATTTCTTCGAGTCCTTTTTTCCTCGTACCTCCCTATCGTCTCCGTTGAATTCAGCGAACATGAGCGTGGACCTACGACAATAGGCGTTTCCCGCCTGAAGTTGTGCATCTCCACGTTTTCACCCGATCCTCGAACACCGCCTCGACAACGACCTTCAGACGTTCGCCATCCCTTCTGTGATTCTCTCTCATCAACGACCATCGATCTTTCCCCCCTTTATACCGCCGCAGCCGCGTTTTCGAGACCAAAGACACGACCATTGACCCCTCCCGACCCTCGCATGTTGCTCGTTGCAGCCGGCAACATCTGGGTTGTCCAGCCACTCCCACGGAGAACAGGCCTGAAACATCATGTCTACACCCTCGATAGCAACCACCTTCTTGTCTGCTCAACATAGCCAGTATGGTTATGCTCATCAAAGCCTGTATTCGCCGAGCACCCACCCGTACCCCACTACCAACACACTACCTGCACCACAGCGGGTGAACACCTCGTTTCATTCGTATCCCGGCAGCCTCCAGTACCAGCGACCTCAGCCATCCCCAGGAACCCCCTACGGAGTACCGTCACACGGTTCTACTATGCCTCCGTCCCACTCGACCTCCACCGTTTCCGATGCTCATCACAAAAAACAGCCGGACTGGAATGAATTCTACAAGAACGGAGTCCCGAAAGAAATCATTGTCATCGATGACGACAGTCCTGGCCCTCACGCCCCGGGACACCCTCCGAATCGGCAGCAAATGGAGGATGCCGAGGGTTACATTTTGACTGCAGGTCGAAAAAGAAAAGTTGATAATGGAGGCTACGAGGTCGAATATGCAGACAGCCCGACATATTCGACGCACCCAGCCAAGTTTGATGCGACGTCGTCGTCCGCCTCTTATCATTCTGGTAACCGAACCACTTCTCTCCAGACCGTGACTGCGCCGACTTCACTCGAATCGTATGGCAGTAACACTGCCAGCAATAGCTATGAAGACGTCAGAACAGGAACGAAACGGAAACGTCAAGAGTCATATCAAAAAGAGACTCGGGCACAGGCAGCAAAGAGAAAACAACTAGAAGCTGTGCCAGACGCGTTTGCAGATTATGTTCCTCCTTCAAAACCTATACAAAAAGCCCCGGATGTTCACGTCACAATAATACGTGACACAGAAAGACATAAACATTTGAAAGTGGACGACGAAGATGGACATTACATCGTGACGCCTGGGACGAAACTTGCTGGCAGATGTGAGTATCAACCTTTTCCTATGACGTTTACCCTTTCTGACAATTTGCGATAGATGAGATTATCAAGATGCTTGGGCAAGGCACTTTTGGCAAAGTGGTCGAGGCTTTCGACTCGCGAAAGAAGACAAGATGCGCAGTCAAAATCATTCGATCTGTGCAGAAGTACCGCGACGCGTCTCGGATCGAGTTGCGTGTTCTCAAAACGCTCGCTTTGAACGACGCAGCCAACCGCAACAAGTGCATTCATTTACGAGATACGTTCGACTTTCGGAACCATATCTGTATAGTGACGGACCTCTTGGGACAGAGTGTGTTCGATTTTCTCAAAGGAAACGGCTTTGTACCATTCCCTAGTTCGCAGATTCAGAGCTTCGCCCGTCAATTATTTCACAGCGTCGCATGTGAGTCGCACACCCCTTCCTCATGAGAAGTCAATGCTGACCTAGCACAGTCCTACACGATCTGAACCTCGTCCACACAGATCTCAAACCAGAAAACATCTTGCTTGTTAACAATGCCTACCAAACTTTTACCTACAACCGCTCGATACCTTCATCGTCTCACACGACGTCAAGAACCGCTAAACAGCGCAGAGTCCTTTTGGACAGTGACATACGGCTAATAGACTTTGGCTCAGCCACCTTTGACGACGAATATCATTCCTCCGTGGTGTCGACCAGGCATTACAGAGCACCTGAGATTATTCTACAACTAGGATGGAGTTTCCCATGCGACATTTGGAGCATAGGGTGTATCATTGTCGAATTCTTCACGGGTGACGCATTATTCCAAACGCACGATAATCTCGAGCATTTGGCCATGATGGAAGCCGTGTGCAATGGCAAGATCGACCCCAAACTGGTCAAGCAAGTATGCTCGGGAGGTCGTGGAGCCAACGCAAACTCCGCCGCCAAGTTTTTCAACAGAGGGAGATTGGAATACCCGAACAACGAAACGTCAAAAGCATCGAGGAAATATGTCAAGGGAATGAAGCACCTTCCTGTACGTTTTGGGCTTCTTCCTACTGCCTTACCCTGGAGAGTATGCTGACTATTGTTCCCGCACAGGAATTCATACCGGCCACCAACTCTTTTAACCGACAGCTTCTTGATCTGTTACGAAGGATTTTCGTGTACGACCCGAAAGTTCGGATCACGGCCAAAGAAGCTCTCAAACATCCTTGGTTTAAAGAAGTCCTCGTTGATGACGGCACCGAAGCCGTTCGAATACGCGAGGAACGTGCTCAGGACAGCGCCGCTCAGCCTGGGGCTGGCCCAGATGCGAAACGGCCGCGAATGGATCAATAACAGGCGCGGACGTGTGTGCCACACTTGCACCTTCAGAGATGATTGTGTTAATGACGACGCTGCGGAGAAGCTGTAACTTCCACTCATGTAATCGCCTACCGCCCTGGTTTGATGCCACACATGTCGATTTGAGAGTGCGGACGATGCTAATGATTGACTGATCGGATTTGGAAACTGAACAACGAAAGTACATACTTGGGATACTGCTGCGGCGGCGGCGATTTAACTGGGGGGCGATTGAACTCGCTGCCGCACATCCTGCGCCCTCTGGGGTGGGAAAACTCGCTCAACCCGTTCTCGAAAAGTGTTTCACGGTCGAGTCACCCTTGTAGGAGAACTGTGGCCGAAAGATACGTTTGTTTGAAGGGTAGAAAATGGGGGTCAGAGTGGCGTTGAGCAGTCACTCGGCAGCACTGGGTGGCCTGCATGCATGTCTTTTCCCGGCCTGAAACGGAGTGAGAGGAAGGAGGAACGCCGTGTGCAAAGCACAGCTATTTGAACGGGAAATAAGATACGTGGAGGAGGTGCTAGACATGGGCATGATTCTGAGCCTGGCTTACATAGCGGCTTTACATAGCGATAGTGGCGGTGGCGGTTGTAGTGGTAGTGGTAGTGGTGGTGACAGCTCATCCCTACTGATAGTACACTATCTTTCCCGCTCCCTGGCAAGCAGAGTCAAGGAAACATTATATGGACCGAGCGGTAGACGAGAAGGGAGATGACAATTTACGGTCACAGAAAGCATCATGCCTCTCTCTCTCACACACACACACACACACAAGATTTTTTGCAGTTCTTGCTACCTGATGGTGATGGATGATTCTTCGCTTTTCTAAATACAGAGAAAGGTATGGCGCAAGCAACCCCAGCTTCGTCAGCTTTGAGAAAATCTAGTTACGTATGTGTGAGAGCACGCACAGCTGCGGTGTGTGTCCGTTCGCAAAAAAGCTCGAGGCGCACATGGCCAGGGAACACCCCGAAAGTCTTGCCCCATACAGAAAATCCCTCTCCCGACGCATGCCGTTGAACTGGCTGTTGTTTGTTTGTCGATCTTCTCCAGTTCGACTCCACCCTGGTTTGCAGCCTAGTTATGAGCAGGTGTTTTCAAGTGAAGGCTATTCCTCAAACCACCCTGCCGTGCGTGCCTGCCATGGCTTCATGGGACCAGAGACAAGGCAAGCTCCTGATCTCAGTACCAATATCGGTATGCACTCGATGACTCCCAATAAGTTGAGCAGCATGCGTGTGAGTGTGGTGGTTGGGGATACGAATAGGACGCCACCGCAGGAGAATGCTGGCGGTTGTTGCTGTAAAGAACAAGAGGCTCGTATCCTCTGGGATGCCTGGGAACGGAGTACTGTGAATATGCATGTTGATATGGGCAGGGATATTGAAGAGATGGCGGGGATTGGAGTACATAATATCTCTGCGTGTACGTATTCCAGGCACCGGCATCTGACTGCGGTCTTGGTGGATATTCAAACTGGGTAATAGGATAGAAGTTGGCAGCAGGCGAAGATGTCTCGTGCTGTCCTTGCACATTGGATTTCGCAACCGCTTGCTGAGTAGACTGCTCGTACATGTGGTCGGGTTGATTGTCCGGAACAGTAGTCTGCGGCCCAGGCCGGTGCCCTACCTGGAATTCCAATGGACCGGAGGAATCAAGCGGTGTTGGTGCTTGCTCGGCTCGTTGAAAGGATGACAAGCCTTGACGCTTGCATGATGGTACGGGGGAGGGTGGATTGTTCGGCGCCCTTCGCGAGATAGATGTCATAGCAGTCGTTTGACTAAGTCTGCTGGAGGCTGGGGGTGAGCTGATCGTCTTGATGGTTGGGAAATCTGACTGCAAAGTCCGGGGGGATGATGTCTCGGCTCGTTGGTTGGGACTGCACACTCTTTCGCACCATTCTGCGATTGCGGATTTGTAGTAAGAAGGAACTCCCGACGCACGCGAAGAGGAACGCTGCCCACTCTCTTGCTGAACGGCTTCAGTATCGTGATTCCCAACGATATTTGTGTGGCCCACTGTTCTGTTCGACGGCATGATGGATCGAGGCGGAGACGGGAAGTGGCGGGAACCTTGACGATTACTTTGGATACTGTACTGAGTAGCGATGGTTCTCGCACCCTTGGGCCGTATTGAAGAGACTGCTGGCATACGGAAGGCCCGCTGTGATGATTGGTCGCCTCCGTCAAAGGCCTTGGCGGCAACAGGTTTCGTGCTACTTCTCGTCCTCACTGACGGTGCCTGAGACGAAGGAACATCTCGTTGAGGCTTGCAGCCATCATTAGATTGGCCAGACCCGGCATGGGACCTTACGTTGCTTGCCCTGCCGACATCTGCAAAGTCATCCTCCGCATCTCGGGCTGCCTCTTCAGTCTCCTCTGCATGTGGTTCTTCTTCTTCATCTGTGCCAGTCGGGTTTGCTGTCCTGGTCCCTGCTATGCTGGAAGCATCATCTTCGATGGCTTTTTCATTCAGTGCTGCGGCTCGTACCCGATCTCGTCTATTCTTCCGAATGGCGTCGATCCGCCGGTACTCATCGGGCATGAGCATTTTGGCTAGACCAAACCAACCGCTTGAACGACTGTCGCCACCAGTCCAGCGAGGCCGCAGCCCTGGCTTCGCCATCTTCATGCAGATTGGTCAAGGGCCTAAAATCCGGTGGCTGGTCGGTAGAACAGCGAACTTAGGAAGGCGTTATAAAGCATGGCTGCTGCCAAATCTTCCACCGACCTAGTGATCTATTGAGTCAGTTGGATCTCAATGGCATGACTGAATGGCACTCGGACATGACTACAGCCCAGTAGATTCCTATTGTAGTCAGGGCTTGCGTCGTTGGGGTTGAGTGACTGCAGCACGAGAGAGTCAATGATAGCTATGTTTTCACTTGCCGTGTGAAGCCTGTTCTTTCGACTGAAAACCACAAGCACGTGTCACTGTGAAGCTTTGATTATCAATCTACTGCATGACAAAAAGAGGAGTCAGTCATTGTTTCGACAAGTGAATTGTCTCCGCGGGTGTCGGTGACGGAGGCAACATGAGAAGAACCCAAAGGAGAGCAAGATACTGTAAGTACTTCTCACATGGCGTTCTGGCAGTGCAGGAAACAAGCTTTTGATTAGAATTTAGAACCCGCAGACACAATCGGTCACTAAACTGATAGGCGGCTTGGCATCTGACGTGGGCAGGAGCACTTCCACAACCAGTACTCCGTACTCAGGTACTTTATGTACATTAAATGCCTACTACTTAGGCACTTAGGGTACCTATCTAGGTACGGGTATTATGAAATCTCTGGATAAGCCCCCCTAGAGCCCCCCTAGAGCCCCCAAGGTGCCCCCACGTGGTGGCGGATGTCTGTCCCCTTCTTCCTTGATTCCAACCGTTAACATGGCATTGATCCGCTCTTTCCCGGTGAGGCATCAATTTCAATTCGCCTCTCGCTCTCTCCGCAGCCAAAAATCCCTCTGCGCAGTTCGAATTCTCCCTTCAAAAGTCCATCATCCTCATCTCTAGTGTGCAAAGTCCATCCTTAACCCCCTGAAACTCTCCGTATCAAGGTTGCTGCCCGCTTATCAAACGTCCATGTCCTGAATCCTCGGCACCAATACCTGGTTCTCGACCCTCGCTAGACTTCAGCAGCGTCGTCCTGCAACCCAAGCCTTTTAGCCAGACTCCATATATCCATTATTGGAGCAAACCTTACTGGCTTCTATCATCATACCTAGCTCAGCAAACCAGCCTCACCTTGATCCCAATTCTTCCTCAGACGGTTCCTGACAGTAATAAGCACTGTATCTCAGCTCAGCACTGGCCGCCATCCTATATTATTACCCGAGCTCCCCTCCCCCGTACTCTAGCGAACAACCCACTTTCAGCTTACATGCCTTCATGAATCCGCCATCCAACGATGGAATCAGCCCATGCTCCTGGGACCGCCGACCTCACTTCCGCTCACGGCCCAGACGAAGGATGGTCTCCTTTAACAGATGGCTTCGGGGGGTTTGTTGACATTGGAACCCTCTCTGGCGACCGCGGCCAAACACCTCGACTCGAAACTGAACATCTGTACGGCGATGATCTGATCGGTGTCAGTATGAGTCGAGTGCAGACACACATGAGATCTCCGGAAACTCCTGTGGCCGAAAAAGCCAAAGCACTGAATCTCCCCGTTGAGTACTTTCGCCGAATCCTGGAACTGGCCGAAGAATCTGAGAACGCCAATGGAAGCGACGAAGCAAGCGACAGCCAGTCCAGCACGCCGCACGCCAGTCCGAGGCCACCCGCGCTCGACCAGGATGATGCCGAACGGTCTGCCTCTCCCGCGAGAAGTTTCTCACTCGATTCACCTTCGAAACACCACAGGAATTCCGTCGGTGCACCAGATCGTCCGTGTAATAGGACGGACCCATCCCAGACTTCAATGCCGGAAGATGCAGATCACCCTGCAAGGACAAACTGGGGGTACCAATTCCCACCGCACCCAGCCCGGGAACCACCTCCGCCGCCTCAAAACGATCAAAGCCCCCAACAGACTCGACAAGTTGAGAACGACGTCGCACACATTGACAGCCTCGAAGAAGAGCCCCAATCGCCGCAACCTCACCGATTGTCCGTCAGCAGGAACCTTCTCAGTGGGGTTGGAAGGGAGCGAAGGCGCAGTTTTTCGTCGGCTCCAACGGCGTTACTTTCCAATTTACGAAAGCTGTTACCGGACCTTCCATCTGGACACTTCAACAGGAGTTCCATTTCCCTCTCCTTTTTGCCATCGAGCAACGGAAATTCGGGGTCGCAGAGTCCTTCTGGCGGCCAGATGACACCAACTAACCGCACATTTCGATGGTCCCTTCGCGAACCGCCCCAAAGACGTAACACTGACGACACATCCGGCGTGCTGCAGCAACACCTTGTGCCTGCTCATGACCTCGCCACGGTTTCGCGGAGTCAGCTGGATGGCAATGTGGAATCATTGCTCTCACCCACCAGTCCGGCGTCCAACGTTAGCCGGGCACGTTCCAACTCCGAGGGATCTTTGTATATAAGAAGAAGGGTCTCGGGCGTATCGGCGTACGATGACATCAGCGCATTTGCCCACGTTACTGATATGGCCAATTCTCGATTCAAAGCCATCACCGACAGTTTCCAGAATTCAAGCCTGAAATTGCCCCGGCTACCGGCACTCCGACAAGTAGCGAAGCGACGGACGTCGCCCGACCGAGTGAACGGAGGAATTTCTCGCGAAATCGACGACACGAGCGGCGATGGACGAGAACAGGCCTCTCCGCACGCTTCGGTCAGGAAAATACGGAATGCCGCCAAAGGGGTCGAGGTGGAAACTCCGCAGCAGCGAGCCCATCCGATACTGTCACGCGCTCTTTCCAAGACCACCGGTGATCTCGTTATTTTGGGCGGTTACAGAGGATCAATTTTGAGATCAGCGCAACCTCCTCATCGACAACTCTGGGTCCCCATCAAAGTTGGACTGAACATGCGCAAGGTAGATCTGGAAGTGGGTTTGACGCGGGAGGATGAAGAACGCATGGAACAGACCATCATCCCATCGGGTATTCTTTCGCATATCGGTCCGATCGATATCTGTCGAAGACTGCTCAAACATATGAAAAAATGCCCCAACACACGTGAGAATAAACTCCGAGTGCACGACTGGGGCTATGATTGGCGACTGTCCCCGGATCTTCTCAGTGGAAAATTGATCAAGTTTTTGGAGTCACTGGAGTGCAATCGCCCGGAGACACCTCCCGAGAAACGAGGTGCCACCGTTGTCGCACACAGTCTGGGGGGTTTGATCACACGACACGCTGTCAACCAACGGCCCGAGCTTTTTGCGGGTGTGGTCTACGCCGGCGTTCCGCAGCACTGTGTCAATATTTTGGGCCCGTTGCGGAATGGGGACGATGTGCTTCTCAGTTCTCGCGTCCTCACGGCGCAGGTCAATTTCACCCTTCGAACGAGCTACGCGCTTCTTCCGGAGGACGGTCGCTGCTTCATCCAGAAACACACGAACAAGAGGTACGATCTGGACTTCTTCGATCCGCATGTCTGGGACGAGTACCACCTGTCTCCCTGCATCAACCCGCCGTTACCCCGCAGCCTCCGCGAGAAAGAAGATCGTAGGAAGAGTATTATTGGAGCTCTTTCCGAAAGCATTTCGGGGTCCAACAAGCGTTCATCCTGGTTCGGGGGCCAAGATCCCCCGGGCCAGCCCTCCCAGCAAACAGATCCTCGAGAAGCTCTTGAAGAAGCACACCAGCATGCCGTCGACAAGGTCCTCGAGGCGGGTCAGGACGTGGAAGGTAATGCAGAAGGGATGGTTGGACCATCAATGAAACAATCTCATCACCGAACCTCCATTGCCACTGCTGTGACGATTCCGAAAGACCTCGCAGAAGACTACCTGGATCGCACGCTCGCGGAGGTGTCGGTCTTTAAACAGCAGTTGAAGTTCAATCCCAGCCACCAGGAGAACAATGTTTACCCACCGCACGCGTTTATCTTTGGCAAGACGGTGCCTACGGTGTACGGGGCCCGAGTCGCCAATAGGGAGGCGATCAAGTACACTGATGCATTCGATGACCTGGCGTTTGCTGCTGGAGACGGAGTGGTGCTTGCGAGTGCGGCACAGCTCCCAGAAGGTTACCGATGTGTCAAAGGGGGGCGAGTGGAGAGTGACCGGGGTCATGTGGGCATCATGGGCGACCTCGAAGGGATGGGGCGGTGTCTGGAGGCAGTGGTCGATGCCAGGGCTAAGGGCGTTGGGCTGGGAGAGTCATATGCTCGTCACGCCAGAGACTCGAGTGACTCATGAGGGGATGACAACGATGGCGGATGGGTGTGCATTTTGGATACTTCGATACCTAGCGTTTCTGCTTACTTGTACGGATTCACAGGTCCACATGGCTGCTGATTTGAGGGATGTTGAATAAGATATGGCTTGACATGGTCCCCTGCCATTTCCGGGCGAGGCTGTAGAGATCAGGGGCATCGATACAAGTGTGTGCATCTCAGGACGAAGTCACAAGGCCGAAAGAATGCTCCAATGCATCCACACTGAGTGGGCATAGTCCCATCTCACTCAACTTCCAGTTCTGCAGTCCAAGGGAAGAAGAGAGCTATTTTTTAAGCTATCGGTGAGAACGAATGTGTAGGCCAAACCGGGATATTGTAGGCGACAAGGCACTTTATCTGTGACTAGCTAACGACGGTATTATGGATTATGTATGATATTCGGTCTCGATAAGCATTCTCCAGTGTCCTTCCCCTACGTCATTTTTCTCTAAGCACAGCTAAGCACTGCCGATCCAGTCGGGTGCTTAGGGACCAGGATGCCCCTAATACTACGTATGTAGTTCCCAGCTCGTCACCCCGCAATCACGACGGTGGGAGGCGCAAGAGGAAGAAAAAATAAATAAAAATTGATCTCAATAAGCTACGCTAAGGAGTGTAAACCGTTGTACACCTATTATTGTGGCCCGGAGCTCACCGATCGATGAGAAGATAAGTAGGTACAGCAGGTAATACTCCGTCATCATATTAATACTTATCAGTACATAATATAATACCTAGTAGGTACCTACCCAAGACCAGGCTCGCTCTCTCTTTTTTTTCCGCCTTCTCTGCGATACATTAATTTTGCCTTTGTACTTGGACGGGCATACGGGCTGAGGACGGACGGTGATTGAGGCAATACCACTACCACTAACACTACCACTATCCACACCAGGAGATCTTCCCAGGCTCAAAAACAAAAAGGGGGATTGGAAAATAGGTGACTGACTGATCCCATCAATACACACAAGAGGAACAAGAGGAGGAATTCCCGAAAAGAAAGGCATCGATCTCTCTCCCTGTCCAACTCACGACAAAATGTGTCAAGGACCTATGCACGAGTTCCTCCAGGCGCTGCCCAAGTGCGAGCACCACATGCATCTCGAAGGTGAGCGGATGGATGGATGGATGGATGGATGGGTGGATGGCCTCATTTTTCTTTCCTCTTCGCTCTCTCCATAAGCCTTGGGATCATCCGCATATACTAACATGGTATGGCATGGCACAGGCTCCCTCGAGCCCTCCCTCCTGTTCGACCTGGCCTCACGAAACAAGATCGCGCTGCCCTCGCCCGCCGAGGACCCGGCGTTCGCTTCCGTCGACACCCTGCTGGCCCGCTACCGGCGCTTCACGTCGCTCGACGACTTCCTGCACTACTACTTCATCGGCATGTCGGTGCTGGTGACGCGGGCCGACTTCGAGGCCCTGGCCTACGAGTACTTCCGGCGCGCCCACCGCGACGGCGTCGTGCACGCTGAGGTCTTCTTCGACCCGCAGGCCCACACGTCGCGCGGCGTTGCGTACGGCGACGTCGTCGACGGCTTCACGGCCGCGCGGTCCCGCGCGGCCGCGACTTCGCCATCTCTTCCGAGCTCATCGTCTGCGTGCTGCGCCACCTGCCCGTCGACGACGGCGCCCGCATGTACCGCGAGGCGCTGCCGCACCTGGAGGCCGGCGTCATAAAGGGCCTGGGCCTGTCGTCCACCGAGAAGGGCAACCCGCCGCACCTGTATCGGGACATCTACGCGGACGCGCAGCGCCGGGGGTTCAACCGCACGGCCCACGCCGGCGAGGAGGCCGGCGTCGACTACATGGCGTCGGCGCTGCACGACCTGGCCGTGACGCGGGTCGACCACGGCATCAAGCTGCCCGAGGACGCGGCGGTCATGGCGCTGTTCGCCCAGCGCCGCGTCATGGTGACCATGTGCCCGCTGTCCAACGTCGAGCTGCGCTGCGTGCGCCGAGTCGCCGACCTGCCCGTGCGCACCTACCTGGACCACGGCGTGCCCTTTAGCATCAACAGCGACGACCCGGCCTACTTTGGTGGCTACGTGCTCGACAACCACTGCGCCGTGCAGGACGCCTTTGCGCTGGACAAGGCCGACTGGGCGACCATCGTGGGCCACGCCATCGACGGCAGCTGGTGCGACGACGAGAGGAAGGCCGAGTTGCGGAAACACCTCGCCGACGTCATGGTGAAGTTTCAAGACTAGAAGAGAGCCGTCCCCTCCTTCCTTCCCCCTCCCGAGACGTGACGAAGTGAATACTCAAAAAAGGGGAGAATGAATGCGGGGAGAATGAATGGCTCGGAAACCAGGGAACCAACCCAACCACCCTCCACCCCCCGGAAAGGACAAAACCAAAAAACACACTTCGTTTCCGGTGTTCATGATGCATGTAGTATGTACTGTATGTACTAACTAATTAACCCAGGAGGTAGGGTCCTTCCTGTCTCTCTCTCTCACAGTCTCGATCTAGAGGGCGGGAACACGGAGGAGGGTGTCAGCCGAGATGCATCATCATCCATACTAGAAACAGCGACAATAGGGGAGGGGGAACATGTGGACACAGAGAAGATGGATTCGAGGTCGAAAGCAGAGCCGGGGGCCGGGGCCCGTGGACATCACTGTGTGTGCACAACAATAGAGAGAGAAAGAGAGAAAGAAAGACAGAAAAAAAGGTGGTGGGTGGCCTGCGTCCATGTATGCATGTATGTATGCATGTTGTCTGGCGGATGGCGAGCAAACTGCTGAGAGCTTTGAGATATTCATTATCTGCGCAAGCTCGCTGGAAGGGAAGGGAGGAATCTGATGAATCTTTGGGCCATTTCCTTTTCTTCTGTCTTCTTTTCGAAGTTCTCTCTCTCTCTATATCTTGGGGCATTGCCCTTCCTTTGGCATCATGCCGAGACGGCAGTCCTCATCTCTCTCTCTTTTTGTCCCCTGTTTTCTCTCTCTGGCAACCTCTTTCTGAATTTTGAAAGAACATGGCTCACTTCTGTATGGTTTTTTTTTGCATGTACTTACTTCTGCACGTACTTGTCGCCGATGCCCCTCTGGACCGCCGGTCGCGCGGCAATCCGGTCAACCCACTTGAGCAGGTGCGGGAAGGGCTTCATTTCCTCCGCGCTGAAACCGCTCCGCTCCCAGCCCTTCACCCACGGCCATGTCTTAATGTCCGCCACCGTGTACTTGCCCTTGCCCGGGCCGGCAAGGTAGTCGCGCGGTTCGCCCGTGAACTGGCCCGACAGGCGGATTTCCAGCACGCCGTACACGCGGAGGGTCTCGTTCTTGTAGCGGTTGATGGCGTCTTTGAAACGTTCAGGGTCCGCGTCAGCAAGGCCGAGACGAAAGGGCAGGCACAGGTGAGTGTCATCACTTACAGGGAATCTTCTCGGGCGCCGCCCGCGAAAAGTGGTTCACTTGTCCCTGATACGGGGCACCTCCACCGTGCCAGAAGAACATCCACTGCAGCACCACGTTTCGTTCCAACTCGTCTTTGAAGCCGAACTTGTCCTCTTTGTCCGCAAACTTCAACAAATACAACAGCTGGGCACTCGTCTCGATGACGGGGAAGGGAGGGGATTGCCCGTTGTCGATGAGCACGGGGATACGGCCGTTGGGGTTCAGCCGGAGGAACCACTCCTTCTTCTGCTCATTGGTCATGATGTTGATCAGGGTCGTGGTCCACGTGGTGCCGTAGGCGTCGGCGAGTTCTTCGAGCATGATCTGCGTGGCCTGGCCGTTGGGGGTGTTTTGGGTGATGAGGTGCAGACCCTTGGCCTGGGACACCTCGGCGGGCGTATCCGCGATGTAGAGGTTGTTGGACATTTTCGGGAAGTCAGGATCCGCAGGGATCTGGCCGGGAGGAGCGAGGTAGGGGGAGGAGGGATTTGTTGATATACGAACGAAGACGGTTAGGAGGGGAGCAGGAGCTGGTGGTTCTTGAATAGAAAACGACAGGATCCGAAGGAGGTCCTCAGCATAGGAAGAAAGGAGAGAGGGAAAAAGTAATCACAAAGGAGCGACTCCCAATTATATCTAATGAGCGGATGGCGCAATGCAGGCCCGTGTCAATCCATCAATGTACTGATGCTGTCTCGCGGTTTTCAATTAGTAATGTGTCGCGGGCTGGAGAGGGGCAGTACCTCGTATACCGCACTCATTCAATGACGACATTACGTTTCACGTGACTCCCCTCCTGGTGCTCCTAGTGGTATTACTGCAGTGGTCCTAGTGGCTGTTAGGTGACCAATTAGCAACTTCTCGTTATCCACTAAACTGTCTCGCTGTATCTCTCGAGCGAGTTAATGGGGAAGTTCAGGCTTTCCAGACGCAGGCCTTAGACATTTCTAGTACCGTACCGGCACCTGGCCACGCACTAACAGATAGATTATCGAGTCATCGCATTACCATAACACGGCTTTCAGAGCCTCGGAGGAACATGTCGACGTCCATGCGCGTGGAATACCATTGTTCCATTCCACCGCTTCCTCCCACATAGTCCTTGCCCCTCCCAAAAAGCGAGTTCCCCTCGACAAAAGTGTTCGCGGGTGGTTCAAGAAAGAAACACCCAAAGAAAACCCCTGGGCACTAAAGTCATCAGGCCCATCCCCATTCTCTTTTGAATCGCATAGCAGTTTTTCCTGTGGGCCAACCATGTTTGTCCTTCAACCGGTCCAATATACCCATCAGAGCACGTTGTTCGAGAGGATCCGAAAAGTACTCGCCGCAGATAACAATCGCCATGTAGGCCTGAACCATCGCTGGCTGGGAGCAAGGGTTGGATGCTGCGGCCCCATCTAGAGACATCGCAGTCCCACAGACTTGAATCACGATGTCGTGCACTTCTTCCGCCACCTTCTTCTGAGCTGCCATGACCCCGGGGCCGATCCGCGGAAGGTGTGGGTTGTAGACCACCAGCAAAATCCGGGCCAGGCCCAGAGCCAATAATCCCGTGGCGTGGACCTCGGCGATGTACCAGATGTGAGGGAGGCATTCCCCCTTGGAGCGATCCGGCTCGCGATGAAGGATAGGCGCAAACGATGACGGCTTGTTGAGTTCCCATTGAGTCTCGAACTCGCGAAGCTCAGTCCATCGTTCAATCTGGGTCTGAGCCGTACCACCGTCACCCCCAAAACAGAATTGGAGAACTTTGGCGCAGTGATAAAGGTGTCGATCAGACCAGACAAAGTCCTCCGCTTGATTGAAATCGTTCAGTCGGCTCCATGTGTACAGAGGTAGCTGGACAGGTCGTTGTCTCAGAAAGGAGGTCGTCAGCTCTAGACGTAGAGCAGCGCGAAACGAGGCATGGACAAAGCTCGTCAGGTAAGCGCCGGCATCTTCAAACAGCCCGATCGCAGCTCCTGGTCGGAGGAACTGGGGATGCCTGTCATCGTCCGTCATAAAGGCGTAGAGACTCGCTTGAGCATTGACATAGAGGTGGAATGTCGGGATGAGAGTCTCGCTATCTGCGTCGGTCAGCGATGAATCAATCTCTTCATAATAGCGCAGAATGACCGCGGCGGCAAGCAGATCCTCGTCTCGAACATACTCGGGGTCTTTGGCCAGTTTAATGAGGTACGCAATGCATGCGTTGTGATACTTGATCGCCGTGTTCTCGGTCAACGTCGGAAGGAGAATGTTCTGGTATTGGACGACGCCGTCTGTCGTCCTGAACCTTGGGAGCGAAGCAAGGTGTCTCGCTGCCAGTGTGAAAATGGCGTTCAGTAACGGAGGGCAATACCTGGCCCGCTGGGGAACGGCCAATGTGAAATATTTGGCGGGGTCTCCCACATCGAACTCCTCTGGTCAGCTCTGCGACGGACATTCAGGCCAGAGCGCATCACCTACCCACGGCGCGAGATTTTCAATATAGTACCGCATCAGACACGCACACTGTGTGGTGGTGAACTGATTTGGCCAGAAGAAGTTTTGTTTCCAGCTCTTGGGCGAGAGCTGCGGATCTTCTGGAATGGCGGCCGCCGCCGAATCTTCCAGGCGACGCACCTCCGAGTCCACCGTCTTGGCGACCTGACGTTGGTCGGGCATATACCTAAAGCCGTCCGGGCTGGTCGAGCTAGAGACTTTTGGATAGTCGTAGACACGATATCGAGACCGGATGGGGTCGTAGGCGCTCTTAGCCGACCGGATGGGGTGGGTGTGATGTTCGGGCGATATCGTCCCCGAGGTTCGTCTCCGTTTTGCGGGAGCATGAATCAAGCCTGGCTCGCGGTTTGTGGTGAAAGGCGAGGAGAAAGGAGGCAGATCGGTCGAGGGAGCGTTGAGAACTGTTGGGGACAGCTCGCCCTTGACCGAGGGCTCGAGACGCTTGAGCGGCCCAGAGGCATTCTCCCGTTTCTCATCTTGAGCATTTGCCTTGGGAAGAGCCACCACGAGGTCGTCCTGGGCGTAGTAGTTTTCCAATTCCGGGCCTTGGTCGACGAATTGGAACTTGGCTGTTAAAAGGGCATCGTCAGCACATGAGTTGGGGGACCAACCATTGAGAGGTGTCCGGCCCCTGAGCGGCATGAATGGGGACACAGCGTCAGTAGCTGCTTTCAACGTGGCCCTGAGCAGTGCGACACGAACGGGTGGGCGGCGGGGGTGTCGTGGCAGTGACAGCAGCATAAAAGGCGGTCATCAAGGTTGCCGTTGAGCAGGACAGGACCCCTCTTCTCCAGGCGAAAAACTTGCCGGTACAGGTTGCACGGACTTACCATTCTTGGTCTGCTCGAGCCATGTTTGATCTTTGGAAAAGGAGGCATCGTATCTTGCGCTGGAGCCGACCCGGAACTTGAGCTTGCCCTTCCCGCGCAGACACCTTTCCCCGAGACGTTCACATTGTTTGCATTTCGGATAACTGTCGTCGCCTGGGCCACGTCAGCTTGGCTCAATGCACAGTGATCGTGTCCAACAGAGGAGGGGCATGGTCGTAGCGGTGAGAAAAGGTGGTCCTTGTGGCACGTCGGAGAGCCTTCGTGCAGAAGAGACCATGTGCAGGATGGCAGAAGAAGGAGCAGGACAAGAAGAAGACGCTTCGAGATGCAAAGACATGGGCTAGCTGTCAGTAGCGGAACTTACATTTGAGATGGCGGTCTTGGGACGGCCATCAGTCAACAAGCCATTCGGAAGGAGAATGGGGACATACCACGACATTCCTGACATGGATCTTCGATCTTATTCGTTAACGCTGGCATAGAGACCCGGCGCATTTCACCCTCGTAGGACAGAAGGGAAGTGGACGAGGACTATTAGGAAGCCATATGGGAAAACGAAAGCTGAGGAAAAGCGAGAAGCACGACGGGGAAGGTTGCCCCTAGATGGCGGTCAAGGCAACTGAAGGGTCGGGACAATGCGATGGTGGCGAGGGAGAGAACAACGGACATGCATGCCATTAACTAGTTTGAACAAAAAGGTGAGAATAGAGTCTGGAACCCAGTCGGAGTAATAGATGAAAAAATCTGTCTCAATCACACAAGGGATTTACCACTTGACCCCGCCATGCCATCTGTCAGGGCGTAGGCGAAAGGGGGGGGGGAAGTAATATGGTAAATGGGTTGGAAAAGGGTCGACATGCTGCCCAAAGCCAACAACTGCGACAGCTTCAGCTTCAGCTCCAGCTCCAGCTCCAGCTCCTGAGATCGAATCCCGGACAGCCACTGAAATAAATGCCTGTGCCGCTCTACTCGGTACTGTTTGTTCGCTTGGCTCTGCTGCTGCCCAAGCGAGTGAATCAAGTTGCTGCGGAGTTCCAAATCCTGTGCCAACAGGGCCATAGCTATATTTTTGGTGCCCAACATGTAATCCCACACATCGTCTTCTTCTTTATCTTGTTCGCTCAACAACTGTCCACAAAAATTGTATACGAGAATGGTGACGCTGCATAGTCCAAAAACGGAAAAGATTGCAAGGACAACCAACCAAAAGGAAAAAAAAGAACATAAAAGGGAAATAGGCTGTCTCTCCTCGCTGCTCCATGGGAAAGCCCTAGAATTCATAGACTGGTGCCTTGAACAGCACGTTGACGGCAGACTGTGAGGTTGCCCCCGCAGCAGCAGATCCAGGCTCTTTCCCACCGTTCGCACCACCTCCCAACGCATTCGATGTTGGCCCCTTTCCTCGGACCTCGACCGCCACAAACGCTGCAAATCTGATCCGTCCCTCGTTCGCGCCAGGTTGCGCAGCCAGTTGTGCCGGATCGACTGCCATACTGTGCCTGACCTGTCCACGTTGGTCCTCGCCGTCGTTTCCAGTAGAAGGCGCTCCTTCGGAACGGCTCTCACCACGCGCCGAGATGGAGGGCTTTTTGTTGACGAACCCACCCAGGAAGCTGGACTTCTTGGAGTGCTTCTCGCTGGGACCCTTGACGGTCGCCTGGCTGCTGGTGCTTGTCCCGCTTTCGTTGCGTCCCTGTTGGCCTCCAGTGCCGGGGCCGCCGGGTGGCTGGGCTGCCTGCGACGCAGCTTTGCCGGCAGCTTCACGAATTTCGGCTTCGACATCACGGTCTCGCGGTCCGTCATCTGTGCTGGCTGTGCTCATTTGATCGCCTTCGTCCTGTGCTCGTGCCTGTTCTTGCGCCTTGGCTTGAGCGGCCTGTTGTTGGAGGACGCGTTCGTCTGGGCCAGGGTTGGTCAAGGCGACAATTTGTGGTTCGATCTTCATGTATGTTTCATTCACAGGAGTGCCCGGCATGAAGTATTCAATACAGATCTCTCGCGATTCCAGCGGGATATTGGACGCGATGCCGATCGCTTGCCCAACAATCATGCCCACTCCCTCCACAAGCCCGGGTGGCGGAGGATCCGTCAGGTTCGCTTTCAGCGATTCCGTGAGCTGGTGAGTGTAATGTTTGTTCATGGTCTCGGCGTAATGTTCCGCTTGTGGCGAGTTGAGCACATCCTGCAGACCTTCAATGGTGGTCAGTCGCCAGGTGGTGATTTTGGTTGTCAGATCGTCCCGCTGTTCATCGGTCAAGAGAGTGCCCGCGTGCCCTCCACGACGCAAGGTATGTTCGATGTGTTTCAATTGCGCGGACAACGATGGCTCAATGCCCGGGTGAAACGTGTGCTGGAAGATACTTTCGTAGAGCCATCGAGTGATGCACGCTCGTCCGATCGCCGTCATTTCTTTCGTGCCGACGGTATGAGCGTCCTGATTGCATACATGTCGCAGCCAGGGTGGAATCGCCCGCCAATTTTTACGGATGTTGAAGGAAAGATTGTTGATCGCCTGGCTTAGACGTTCAAATCTCGCTGTATATTGGGCGTCATCGAGCGATGTTTTGGACATGGAGAGACGCTGGTTGGCCACGGTATTCTGTAACTGCGTGACCTGAGCCTCCCGCTCAAAGTAGTATCGCTTGACCTTGGAATACTTGGCCTGTAGCTCCTCATGACGTTGCAGAAGTTGGTTATAGTCTAGTTGGCTAATGTCCTCCCGGCTTCGTGGAGGAGGTGTGCTTCGGCCTTGCTCAGAAGCCGCTTGTTGAGACATTCTCACTCGTGGGTCGGCCTGGCTTTGGCTTTGATACTGATTCTGATCTTCAGTCCGAGCTTCCCGCTGCGACAACTGCTGACGAATACTGCCGTTGGGTGGATCTCCTCGTGCCATGGCAGTCTGGACCGGTTGTTGGCCTTGAGTGGCCGACTGTGAAGAATAACGATTGGTTGCCGCTGTCGAGGGACGAGAGTCTTGAGCAATTTGGGGATGGGCTGGGGGGTTGATCGGAGAAGGAGGACCAAGGGATGCTTGCGATGGCGGTCTAAGGTGTTGATATGGGTCAGACTCTGCGTTGGTAGATCGAGGTTGCTGGGGCTGGTAGGGTAGGTAGTGTTCCGAGGTATTGGCAGACTCGCCTTGGTGATATGCGTGGTACTGGTCGTGCTGGGGACTGAAGTGCGGAGCGTCTTCGGTGTAGTCGACGGAATGATGGGTTAATTGGCTTTGTGGAGAGTCGAATTGGCCTGGAGCTCTCTGGTATTGCTCGTATTGGGCTTGGTCCGCGGCCTGATCTGTGGGTGCGGTGGTAGTGTCGGTCGGCGGTGGAGAGGAATAATACGTCGAATGTCTGGCCGGATGTTGAGACTGTGGCGAGGTCTGGGTTGAATATGAATCGCGAGATGATTGCTCAGGAGGATGCGACTTCCTCAAAAGATGTACAGAGCTCGATCGTCCAAGAGGTTTGCGCTCAGGTGGGCCGTTTTCTTTTTCCCTGTCCCTCTGTTTGTCTTCGTCCTTGCTCTTGTCTTTGATCAGGCTGGTGATGAAACTGCGCTTGGATCGTTTGTGCTCTTTATCCTCAAGAGTCCGAACCTGCCTCGATTGACCAAATGTCGTCTGTCCCGGAACGGGAGCAGGGCCTTCGGGAATGAATGCGTGCTGCTGGGACACAGGAGGCACAATGTTCACTTGCGGCCTTTGTCCATACACGTCCGGGATGGATGGACTGCGACCACTTTGGGTGCGTCCCAGGTGGGGAGGGGCAACCGGCGGCTGAGCTTGTGACAGAGAATCCGAGGCTTGTCCCTGATAATGATGATCTATCGACGTCTGCTGTGGTGGAGGAGGCTGTTGAGGATAAAGTTGGTGCTGCTGCTTGGAGTCGAAGTAAGGTTGTGAACGTCCCAGATGCTGAGACTGGGGCGGTTGCTGCTGCTGCTGTTGCTGCTGCTGATGGGGATGTGGATCAGGGTGTGTCTGAGGGTCTTCTATGGAGGCCTGCGACTTGTTGGTCTTGAAAAGCCGCTGCATTGAAACCGCATCCGCCGCAAGGGGATTGAACGATGCTACAGCGTGTTCTCAGACTGCGTGATATGGACACAATTCAACGGGCAAACAAGGTGTCAGCTGGCAATGCTTGACGCAAAATAATGGAAGCGGGCTGACCCTTGGGATTATGGGAGGGATGGAGAACAAGACGCCTACCAAGCCCGAGGGGCCCTGCGCCGCACCCAATAGTCAAGACATGCAGCTGTTCAGCCTCCTGCGTCTCGCATTGGAATCTGCTTAATGACATCCCTCGCCCAATTGATGGTCGACGTCCTGGTTTTAGCTGCTCAACTAGTTATGGCTGCCCTTGAAGCTGTGCATCTCCCACTGGTATTTGTCTCATGACCAATCCAGGCCAACCCAAGCTTCTACTCTGTACTCCAGAGTCCCTGGAATTGTGTGTCAAAGTGCCACCCGTCTGTCAGCCCCTTCAGCCCTATCCCAGAACCCGTTGTGGGGGAACCACTTTCAAAGTTTCCAGATATAGCACCACACCTTGCAACGGCTGCCGCATCCATTCGCGACCGTCAAGTGACTTCAGATAATCTACCCTCAAATTGCGCTTCCTGGTGTTTGGCTCGGCCAGCTTTCGCAAGACTAAGTCTGGGCTATCACTTCCTCGACTTTGCTAGATGCATAAGCTCGATGGGGGCTGAAATCCCTCTTCCTGAGGATGTTACCATGCAGACAGTGGCGGCAAAGGCGGCATCTGTCTGACTCTGATCTGGGCTTGCTCGTCCATTCCCTCATCGAACAAGTTTTCTTCAGCCCTCCGTTTCTGTTTCCATTCGTTGTGCAGAGGACGGCACTGCAAAAGTGCATTACATAGCGTTGCCTCGTATCATTCACGGCTGCAGCAGGCGATTACTTGGTGGCGACAGTTCCCGGGGGTCGAAAATCACTCAGCCTCGTCTTCAAAACTTGGAAGTATCACATCGAATCCAGGGTCCTCGTCGATCTCGACGTCTGGAGTGCCACTCTCGTGATCTTCGTCTTCCACTTGTGGTTCTTTCTGCTTCACTTTCAGTCGATATGCGATCCAGGCCCCATCGCTCAGACCAGCCCCAAGCGGGCTCTGGTTGAGAACGGTTTGCTTTCCGCCCACTTTCTTTTTGGTGGGCTTAGGACCGGTGATGTCTTGCTCCTTGATGTCCAGAGGAATCCAACCTTTACTCGGGTCCTTCTTGTCTGCTAGCACACCGAATTCCAACTCTTCTGGGTCTTCTGGGAGAGGCGCGCTAGCGTTGGGCAGTGTTTTAAGATTCCGTGACTCAAGGGCTGCAAGCAAGAGGGCTTTGATCTCCGTGAACGGTCTGGTCGGTAAAACAGATAGTGCGGTCGTGGACTTGTGGCACTTGAAGAGGAGGGTGATCATGTCTGGTGTAGGCAACTCTGCCAGTTCATCCTGGGAAACGACTGTCATCTCGGTTTCGATGCTGAGTGTAAACAGCAGCGAGGGAATAGCTCAAGACTTTGATCAAGCTGTCAGCGTGTGGACAGAAGAATTAGCGAGACTTATTGGGATTGACGGATTTCGAGCACAAAAATTTCGGGAATTGAAGCGCGACTGACGCGCCGCAGGATGAGGACATCGGAGGAGACTGTGGGGTAGGCTTTCCACCGACGAACTTGTGCATCTACAGTATTACAACTGACAACAAAAACTACTGTACCTCCATGGAACCGTCCCTGATCTATCTTTCTAGATGTGTGAAAGCACCTGACCAGCGCCCTAATAGCGTGAAGACGGATAAGTGACCCTAAAGCTGCGCTCGTGAAATAGCTGGCATTGCGTGCATGTATCGAATTAGGCCTAAGGTATTTTGTGTTGAATAAAGGACTTGATTCTCATCTTGCACGTGCAAGTATGGTGTACCCGGTCGATACACCTCGACTGCTTTATAGAAGCCTCATTGATAACACGCCTCTACTCACCGGCTGGTTTTGGTGGCAACGTTGAGGGCTTGAATTGCCTTAAGGCTGGCAGTATGGACAGCCATCCCATCATTGAAAGAAGAGGCTGAATTGAGGATCTCAGTTGCAGAGATTCCGTCTGCTTGCCTGGATTGTGATTTCCCAAGAAACTCGATTGCACTGATGATATGGAGATGAACTGCTGGGGGACGCTCGCTCAAGACTCCATTTCGATAGCAGAAAGCAGAATAGCGTCTGACAACGTAATTCTTCTATTTTACAGTTCGGGGTCGTGCTAGTCCCACACGCCGCGAAGCTGCGCTACCCACCCGGCGCTTGGTCACAGCTTTGTTTGTGAGGTGCAAACCTAGTCTGCTCCATCATTTTCAGTGTGCCGCACCCTGATCGTAAAGCGTACGGCAAACATGCTCAAGACATTGAGATTGAAGTTGAGAGCGGATTGGGATTGACGTCTATTATATCCAAGCCTCAAGGCGGAAATTCGAAGTTGCAGCCGTCCGCAGTCCAACGGGCTGAGTACAGCATGTGGCCTTTCAAACCCTCTCGAAACGAAGACGAAGACGATCTCCAAGTACTCTCTCAGGAAGAGCCTGCACGGCCCCATGTGCCACTGCCATCACAGCCCATGGCGGAAACAAAGGAGGACGCATTGGTTAGATTTACAGGATGGCCCAACGAACGACTGTCAATCCCACTGATTCTACGCGCTCCTACCTTGATGTTGGCGTCTTTTGCTTGCGGCTTTAGTCTTGGAGCTTCTCAAGGGGCCACCAAAGGCGCATATCGATATAGAGCTGAGAACGCACACCGGCTGCCTACCACCCAAACCGGATGGTTTCTCTACCAGAAGTCCAAAAACTACCATGCGATGCTGGGCGGAATCAAGGAGGGTGCTCGGTTCGGGTCTGTATGTACGGGCTGGGCAACGTTGTTTATGGTCACAGAAGAGATGGTTGATCTGTCGAGAGCTCGCCTCTTTGCAAGAGGAGATGACGATGTTGCGACCGGGCAACGGGACTTTGGAAGTACAGTGATTGCTGGGATGACTCTGGCCGGCATCTACAGCTGGAAGCGAGGGCTCGATCATTTCGCTGCTGCTCGCACTGCAAGGAGTGCTTTGAGACTGTCCCTGGCATACGGTCTGGTGCAAGATCTCGCAGCATCAATTAGAGGAAACCCGCCAGCATATATCTCGTGGTTGAGGAGAAAGCTTTCGGGATGAAGACCACTGGCGAGATGGAAGTGCGACAGAACGACAATAACAGAGGTTCAATGTACCTCTCTCCACAAGACGGGCTACATCCCTGAAGACACTGTTTTCGATCACGACGTCGCAATCGAGCAGTCCAGGTGAAAATCCTCAGCACCTCACAAGCGCAGCCGAGAAGGAACGGCTCGATTGTCGAGTGACATTCACCGCTTCTCAGGCCTGAATCTTACCGTAGAGGATGTTCCCCGCTAGCTTATGACGAGGGAACTACCGGTATCACTTCCGGCGCGCACCTGGAAGTGAGTGCGATTTCGTGGCTTGGTCGGAAGAAAGAATCACGTCAATCAACAGCTGGGGCTATCTATGCACCCCTGAGGTAGTCAATTTGAACCAGAACTCCGGCGATACATCCACCTCGCCGGTTGGGGAGTCACGAGGGCAAACCTTGAGCAGCCCTTCCAATCGAAAGCAGGCAGTGACGGTGGATGCAGGGCTGAAAGATTCCTTTTTGGCGCCCGTATGTTTTGGTGCGTGTTCTAGGGCACGGTGAGGCAGTTCCCGCGGGTAAACCCTGAAGACGCACGCGGAGACGAGATGGAGACGGAGTTCCCTGTTTCGGGCAGCGTCCGAGGGCTTCGCAGGGCTGTCTGGGCACGATCAGTCCCTGAGATTATGGCCAGGGACCTGGTGCCGGCATGCCCTAGTTATGGTTGGGTCGCTTAGAGGGATCTCAGCCCTGGATTCATTAAGCGGTCGCAGCTGTCGTTTCCCAGGCTATTGACAGCAATTGCGCCATAGATTTCCGACCTTTTGCTGACGCATCCCGTTGTCTCCCATCTGGCACCCATCTGGTGCCGTCACTGTCTGACTATTCTACCTAATTACCATGTTCCCTGTTTTCCGATGTGGGATGTGGAGGAGCACTGATACGAAGCAGCAATTTACGAGGAGTATTTTAGCTCGCAATTGGTTTCAGGCCTAGAGCAAAGACTTTGGGCCATCTCGTGCTCACTTCTTTTACCCTAAGCAGTCCCTAGAAGGCGGCGTCCAATCCTTCCATCTCTTTTCTCGAAACGTCGTCTAGTGGGCTTCTCCAAAATGGATATGCGGTTCCCCGCCACGGCAGCCATCCACAGCCCACCACCTTCATGGATAGACGCGCCCCTGGCTTGAAACTTGCGGGCTGAAGCTGCACGTCTCTGGATCGTTGCTTTGCTGTGTTTCTAACGGCTTGTTGCCCTTGAGACCCTCTGTTTTCGGATGCGGATATTCCAAAGCATCCATAGCATCTCTCACACCTGCATGCCCCAAGGTCATCAACGACATCGAGACTTCACGATCCTCTCCTCTACCTTTGCCGACCCACCGCATTCCCCAAGATTTGACAACCCAACGTCGTCACCGGACCACTGCGAAAACCCTCACTGTGTCCTCCCTCCCACCTACCCGCACCGAACATCTTGTGCCATTCTAGACCCAGGCGTTACTAAGCCAGCGAGAGGGAACTCACGAGCGTTCCTAGTGGAGCCCAACAAGAGTCCTATCTGGTAGACCGACACTTTATCTAAGAGCTTTGACCTGGTCTCTACTTTTCTGAAGGTGCAGTCGCAGTTAAGAGGAGGAGTCGCACGGTATACGTGAAAAACATGGGATGAGGGGCAGTCCACCAAGAGCAGCAGTTCATTTCGAGTGAACACGCGCTCAGACTCTACAACCCCTCCTGCAAACATGCGACGACATCATGGACGAGCGCTCTCACCGTACCATGGACGCACGGCCGCTCCTCCTTCTGCTGAAGTCTCCTTGGTCCGCAGTTTTGACTCCAAGATCAATCCGTCAAGACCCGCCAGACAATCCCCCTTGGCCACCTCTCAGATCCAGGGCATGCCATTGGACTTGATCGAACGCATTCGTTCCTTCCCTCTATTCCAATCCACCTCGGACGACTTCCTCGCCGACATCGGTCTCCTCCTCAAACCCCAGCTGCACAACACCAATGACTATATCATCACCGAAGGGGAAGATGCGAAGGCGATGTATTGGCTTGTCCGAGGCGCCGTCGCTGTGACGTCTCGGGACGGGGAGAGTATCTTTGCTGAACTAAAACCCGGTGCCTTCTTTGGAGAAATTGGGATCCTCATGGAACGTCCTCGCACCGCAACAGTAGTTGCTCGGACAAGGTGTATGGTGCTGGTGCTGAAGAAGGAGGATTTGAAAAAGATATTACCCAAGTATCCCGACGTGGAACAGGCCATTCGAGACGAGGCATTGGAACGGCTGACGCAATTGGAGAAGAAAAAGAGGCAGGTGCTACTCGGCACGGAAGATGTCCCAAACCACGAAAGAAGAGGCTCCAAGAGAGCAAGAGTGACGGTTGGAGAAGACGTATATATGAGAGACGGTGACGGTAGCGTTACTAGCTCGAGCAAGCGGCGGAAGTCTCCCAGCCCCGGGACGAACGAAGTCTCAACAGCAAGCGCATTGGGACATGGCCTCGTTAATATCCGCGCCACTTTGAAGGAGTTGCCACTGTTTGCGTCTCTGCCTTCCGATATTCTCCATTTCCTCGGTCTCAGTGCCCAGCCAAGAAGCTTTGCACCATTCACAGACATTATCAAACAAGACACCAGAGGCAGGGAGGTCTATTTCATTGTCCGTGGCGAGGTTGAAGTTCTGGATGAGAGGAATGTTTCAGCTCCCAAGCGGCACAAGGTCGGAGAGCCTAATGGCGTGCCGGGAACGCCACGAGTGATAGCTCGCCTCAAGCCAGGACAGTACTTTGGCGAGGTTGTGAGTCTATCGCTAGCAGATCGACGGACGGCTACTGTGCGGTCAGTAACCCAAGTTGAATGCTTGATGATCTCCGAAAATGTGCTGGCGGATTTTTGGAATCGGTGTCCGCCGAATGTCCTGCGGCAGATCGAGGACACTGCGAAGCGCCGATTACAGCTGGCGTCGGACAATGACGTTGTCATGAATGATGCAGACGCAACACCTGACATTCATGATCTTGAAATCCGAGACTCGAAAGAGAGGAGGCAAAAGAAAGTCGTCAGTGGACCCCGAGTGACGTTTACAGACACAGAAATCAGCAGTTCCACACAGGCCGCTCAAACAGAGGAACCGAACAATACGCTTGAACCTTCAGACCCCGACCCTTTCCTGAGTGAAGGCCTAGAAAAGGTCAGGTCGAGATCAAGGAGAGGTTCTCTTGCTCCGCCGCCTCCAGATGAGCTGTCCAAAGATCAGAGGCGCCGGTCTCCGCGATCATCACCTACCACCACAACCAACCCCTCCCCCAAGGGTTCAGCATCTGGGACACCATCGCCCACGTCCGAGTATAAAGGCAGCAGTGGCTTTCCATTTTCTGATCCCTTCTCTCCAGGGGGCCGGCCCAAACCCCGACCACGGTCCAGTCGCGGCCAAAATCGAGGCAGTATCCCTGATACAATGCTGCCGTTGATCCTCGAATATCTCGATTTGCATGAGTTACTGCGTTTGCAAGGCGTATCCCTCCATTGGCAGAATGTTCTCAACACTGCACCTAATCTACTACACCATCTTGACTTGTCACGTTACAACCGGACAATCACGGACGACATTCTAATCAGCCGCATCTGCCCGTTTGTTGCAGACAGGCCCAGATTCATCGACATCAGTAACTGCTTTCACATCACTGACGAAGGCTTCACCGCTCTGGTTAACACATGCGGGGTCAATGTTCAGGGGTGGCGCATGAAGAGCGTCTGGGACGTCACCGCTCCGGCGATCCTGGAGATGGCGAATAAGGCTCGTGGACTCAGAGAGGTTGACCTGAGTAATTGCCGCAAAGTCAGCGACACATTGCTGGCGAGAATAGTTGGCTGGGTCGTCACGGCACAGCCTCCAGCGCCCACTAACCGCACGAAAGTCAACTCACACCGCCCCGTTCTCAACACCAAGGTGAATAACAACACTCCTCCGCAGCAACCTCCCCCAGGGACCGTCATTGGATGTCCAGAGCTGAGCTCCATCACGCTCAGCTACTGCAAACACATCACTGACCGGACCATGGCCCATATCGCTACACATGCTCACAATCGGATTGTCTCGATGGATTTGACTCGCTGTACGACGATAACGGATGCCGGTTTTCAGTTCTGGGGCAATGTCAAGTTTGAACGGCTGAGGAAACTGTGTTTGGCCGACTGCACGTATCTCAGCGATCAGAGCATTGTGTGGCTTGTCAATGGGGCAGGTAGTGGCCTGAGACAGCTTGATCTGGTAAGTGATGGCGTTTCCACCGGATGCCGTGATGTGTTTTGCCGACTGATGTCTTCTAGTCCTTCTGCTGCGCCCTCTCTGACACAGCCACCGAGGTCATTGCCTTGGGCTGCCCGAATCTAACCCACCTGAATCTCTCCTTCTGCGGCAGTGCGGTCTCGGACCCGAGCTTACGGTCGATCGGCCTTCACTTGACTTCCCTTCGCGAACTCGCTGTTCGGGGATGCGTTCGTGTCACGGGCCTTGGCGTCCAGAGTGTGGTCGAGGGCTGTCAAAAGCTGAAACTATTTGACGTGAGTCAGTGTAAGAATCTGCAACCCTGGCTGGTCAGTGGCGGGATCGAGCGGTGGCGGTCCATGGGCCGGGATGTTGAGTTTGTGGTGGTCAGTTCAGGGACGAAGCTGGTTCGATGAGGAGATTTTATGATGTTCTACGCCATGTTTGGTCCGCTATTTTCAGCGCGTGACGAGTCCATTCTACGCAAGCGATTATATCCTACATATGCGTGCTGCATGAAGGGTCTTTTGGGGGGCAAAAGCGAATAGTATCCTCGAGGAAACGCCAGTGAGGAACGACATGTCGCGACACATGAGCGACAAACTCGATGCCCCCTCCCGGACTTCTGGAAGAGAGTCGAAAGATATTATGATAAGCCACGACGACAATGAGGAGAGGGGTCCCAGCCTGAACACCGGAAACGGCGGGCAGCGCAGCTCCAGGGCAACCTGGATCTGTCTATCTGTCTATCTATCTATCGGCTTAGTGATGGAAAGAGCCGGAGAGAGGAGAAGAGTGGGAATGAGAGGAAGAGAAGGCGGATTGGATGATTGGGGATGCCATGTTGGATTGTTTTGGTGTTGTGAATTAAGCATTTGACGGACAGATACCCCTTTATTATTTTCGAAAGACGATTCTTGGGAGACTTTTTTCCTTTTCAAGATATTGAAGAGGGAGAAGAGAAGCGGAGAGAGGGGAGAAAGCAGAAGAGAGAGATAGTCCCCAGTTGTGAGGGTGATGAAATCTCCCCTGAACAGGGAAATATTCGTGCAGGTGGTTCTGATCGTTCAGGTTCGTCCTGTTCCATTTCTTGTCCCGTGTTTCACTTCTCCAGCAATATCCTCTTTTCCCAGCTGCTATATCACATCCGCACCCACCTGCAGCAATAATTCCCGGAAAAGAGCAATCACGACTTCGTAAGAGACGATTCGAAAGTGCAGCCTCGAAGGGATGCAGCCACCACCATGGTCAAGAAGAGCAGACGGTTCTTGTCATTAAGCGGTCGAGAGTGAGTGATGGCAGCTGCATGGGATCATATTCTCCTTACGTAGGAGGTACTCACAGGCTGTGTGGTCAACCCCCAAAGTTGCATGCCTCTTTCGCCCTGCTTCTCATCTGACTGGCCAGCGACAAAAGTACGCAAGCGGCATCATTAGATTGTCAAAGCACTCCTGAAAAAAAAAAACATGGGGCATGCCTACCTTGGACTTTTGGATTTGCCCAATCACCGCATCTTGCGGATACATTCTGTACCGAAGCAGTCTGCAAAGTGCTGGTCTCCATCCTTCCTGTCAAGGGTGCTCAGAGGCCTCACGGCGAGGTTTGTGTCTAGCACCAATCGCTAGCATGTCGTCGACTGTTGCTGCGCAGGCACAGCTTTGCCATCATCAGAACCTGTTCGATCTTTGTGCTAAAGGTGGCGCTGGAGAAGGACCAACTTCTGGCCACAGCCAGTATAAGTCTGTGTCTCAACATGGGCTTAGCAGGCTGAAGCTGCAGATATAGATCTCGTTGGCAAGGCTCGCGTGGGCGAGGGCAAGAATAAAAACAGCGAAACAGCTATAAACAAGAAATCCCTCGAGACGTCCAGATCCATCACCAGCTTCTGGGAGCCTCAGCTCGCACAGGACTCCCTCTTGCTGCTTCATCTGCAATGCATCTTTCGGCTGATGCCGTGGTTGGCATCGTGGGGGTCATCGTCGCCCTTCTGCCACTGGTGATCATGGTTTCACAATCTTCCCGACACCGAAGAGTGTACGATCAGCTGCCAACATGTGAATACCCAAGGTCTGCTACAGTCCACTCCGATAGAGGTAAGGACAGACAGACAGACAGTTCCTCAGAATGAATGAAAGGGAGGTTTTGCTAAGGGGCTCCCGGCCAGCAGCAGCTCCATGGAAAGGACACGTCCCGTCCATTGCTCGACCAGCCGCAGCAGTCCTCCGTCACCCAAGATCACTTCCGTTACCTACCGCCACCTCGACACCGACGACACGCCATCCGACGTGGTGAATGCGAGAGACAACATTCTGATATCTCGGAGACTGTGACTTCAGAAGTCAAACTTCTGCAACCGTGGGATTGTGCTAGTTGCTACTATTATACTGTACCTCGAACTATAATATTAACACTGGGCGGAGGCTCCAAACTGTGGGGAAACCTTCGAACTTTCTAATTAATTAATTGCCATAAACTCTGCACTGTCATAACCTGTGCCTCATATCATCTGCCCCCTTCCATCATTGCCTGAGACCAGTGCCACGACTCCCCTTCGCTTATACGCCCGCCTGAAGACGCTAGAGATGGACTTCAAGTCGCTGATGTCGGCTCAGATCGCCAAAGCCAAACCGCCGCTGTCCAAGTCTCCTGCGTCCCCATCCCCCTCCCCCACGCCCGACTCTGCGCCGCCGGCCTCGACCACGGCAAACAAATACGTCCGGCGCGCGGAGCTCGAAGCCTCCCGGCAAGCCGAGTACCTCGCGGAACAGGCCCGACTCGCCGCCGAGCGGGAACAACGGCTCGCGAAGAAGCGGAAGCTCGAGGAAGAGGAAGCCGAGCGGGAGGCGCGGCGCGAGGAGAAGCTGCGCAGACTGGCCGAGGAGTCACGCAGGAGGCGGGAGGAGGAAGAGAAGGAAGAAGAGAGGAGACGCAGAAAACGCCTCGGGCTGCCCGACGCACCGGAACACCTGGCCCTCGAGGACGGCAAGACGGACACTGGTGAAGCCGGCACAGGAGAAGCTGGAGGAGAGGACATCGTCGATGACGAATTGCGACGCAAGCTCCGCGAGATCGGTGAACCGGCAGCTCTCTTCGACGAAGACCACTCTGCCCGACTGAAACGCTACCGCTCCCTCACCCGGACGGCGCTGACGACCGCGTCGTCACAGAAGCTGAGCAATGGACCGATCCCGACAACACTGGAGCCCGTCGAGGAACAGGACATGCTCCTCCCCTCGGCCCTCCCGCTTCAGCCGGGGACCGAGGAGTACACATTCCTCCACCGGCAGCTGGCGTCCTACTTCACCCTCCTGCTCACCGAGTGGGCCCACGCGCTGGCCGAACGCGACGAAGCGGTCAAGCAGTCCGCGAGCGGGAAGGCGGCGTACAACAACTACGTGGTGGTGTTGAAGGACCTGACGCCGCTGTTCCGACACTTTGAGAAACAGTCGCTGGACGCGGGCCTGCTCGAGCCGATCTGCAAGATCGTGCGGTCCGCCCAGCAGCGGCGCTACGTCGAGGCCAACGACGAGTACCTCACCTTGTCCATCGGCAAGGCCGCCTGGCCCATCGGCGTGACCATGGTCGGCATCCACGAACGGTCCGCGCGCGAGAAACTGCACGAGAGCTCCAGCGGGAAGCAGGCCCACATCCTGAGCGACGAGGTCACGCGCAAGTTCCTGCAGAGCATCAAGCGGTGCATCAGCTTCGCCCAGACGAGGTGGCCGCCGGAAGATCTGGGCCAGTTGATGGGATGAGCGAGGATGGTGATGATGATCCTCCCTGCTGGAACGGGCTTACACGGGCCCTCTTCCGGTGAGCCACACGAGATAAGAAGCTACGAGAACCCAGATGCGTGGAAGTTCTAATATATGTCCTCTCACAATGCAGGGGCGTGTCAAAATGTCGTCACAACCAGGGCATCTATCGATCTCTATCAACAACGCCCGAGCTGCCTGCGACACCAATATCCCGCACTGGACAACGGAGCCTCCTAAGCGAGGGCAATGCCATGACCGCAGCCAGGATGACAGCGGAGCATTCAACAAACGATTCATATATATAGACCCGCCGAGATAACAGTCACGTCCAGGCGGATGGATATTGCACGACCGAAAACGACATGGGGCAGAAGATTTCAGGAGCATCACCAACCTGCGTGATGACTCTATGATGGGGCCAACCAAACTACGATCCTCAAGATATTGGGAATGAGAGAACAGAAAAGTCGTCACAAGGGGATAGAAAGAGACGGAGAGAGAGAGAGCTGGAAAGATTACAAGCTCGTTATCACCTGTGTCTTGGACCACTCAACGCCGAATAGGTACCTAATAGAGTCCCTCTCTCTCTATACACCTAAGATCTGCAAAAGGGACATTAACAACAACAATACCCTATCGCGTCTACTGGAAGACGAATAATCCTCCAATAACCACACCCCAACTGACAATACAGCCAACCAAAATCCCTCCCGGTATCCAAAAAACCCCTCCCCAAATATACTGTATGTAGGTCTAGAAACAATCGAGACATGTCTAGATCGAGGAAAGCATGCAGTGCCGCCAGTGGCCATCATTGGGTATCGTTGTAATCGTTCAACAAACTGGGCTCGCTAAAAAGAATCTCGACCCGCCAGAGTAATAACAGTGGGTGGAATTTCCCCAAATGGAAACCGGGGAATCAGAGATCTCCCCTCCTCCTCCTCCTCCTCCTCCTCCTCCTCCTCCTTGCGTACAAGTACGGTAACATCTGGCAGCTTGCAGTCTGGGTGCAGTCCATACTTGTCACACATGACTAATATTCACGAACAAACCACATGTCAGACGTGTCTCCGTCTGCTCCCAGGGTGCTTCTCCGTCTTCTTGTGCCGAGCCATCTTGGTTCTAGCGTCGTGTATCCACACCGCTTCGCCGTACATAGGCATAAGGTGCATCGCCGGGTCAGGTCGTGTTGGCATGCCCTGGTGTTGCCAAACTGGATCTCTGTGACTTCGCCTGGTAGTGGATGTTTACAAAGACGTTTTTCCCATCAGATGATGGCCGCCTCAAGGCTGACATTCACACAGACTCATACTCGTGACCGTGAAGCCCCTTGGAGGGAGAGCGACAACCTTCAGCCTGACAGGCAACGGAAGAACCAAGGACGGTCTAGTTACGCCCGTAGATAACCGACGCCACGAATAGTTCTGACTCTCGGAGCTGAGTCAAAAGGGCGACGGCGCCCCCGTAAGGATGTCACCAAGGTTCGGGGGGTTCCAGCATCGCGGGTTGTGTTCCCTGCAAAGGTAACGCTTCCGAGAGGAGTGCGGTGGACCCCGACTCACGTGCCTGAGATCGGTGGAGTACTCCGCCGCAGTACCGAGCGAGGCGAGTAGGGGAAATTCGCTCAGAAAGTGCTCCACGCCCAATCTTTGGGCACGCTGTTAGCGACATCCTCGACCGGTTTGCCCGTACGAAGGCCGTTGGAAATCATCCTTCGGTGGCCCGTCGGTCCCGCGAGAGGCGTTGGAGGGCCGCTGCCGTTGCTGCCATCATCCTTGCTGTTCTGGCTGTTTTTGCGGCGGATGGACCTGGCCGTGTCCCAGCGTTGATACTGCCGATGGCATACTTCGCATGCTCTCGAGGGGATGCCGTCAGGGTGGAACTGGGCAGACTGGTCGAGAGGAATCGTAAAGGGCGTGTGAGAGGAGCAGAAGATATGACCACAGTGGCGACAGTGGTGTTTCCGAAGAAACAGACTGAACGAGGATCGACATTGTGGCGAGTCACAAGTTGGTGAAGCTTCGTCGGGCTGGAGTAGAATATACATGTTAGCATTCCATCTGGGTATGTCTCAATGCATGCCGTATGCTGGTGCAGTTGTGCCGAGAATCGAGGTTGGCCATCGCCAACTGGACTGAATGACATACCTTCCAGTGTTCTCGGGTTGGCGGGCCCGTCACTTCACCCAAAGCCTCCTCCTGAACCCAATCAGGGTCGAAGGCTTCCAGACCCAGCTCGTCTTGATGGTCCGGACTCACGGTCTGACCTTCGTCTTCTTGCAGACTGTCCAACGAGCCATGCAGACTCTTCGGTGGGGTCATAGGAGAAGGGTTTCCGAAGTGCTCGGTTGGCCGCAGGGCCGCAGGAACGTAGAGGGGAGACTTGAGCGGCCGGAGCTGCTTGTAGGGGTTGGGCGCATGCTGTTGAATGTAATCGTGCATGCGAGGGGATGTGGGCGAGCCCGAACTAGCTGGAGACGGTTGTTGGCTCATGTAGTCGGGGATTGCGAATGGCTGCGTCGTGGAGCTGGTGGTCATTGGGGGTGTTGAGCTCAGACCGAAATCTGAGAATATCTCTTCAGCGAGGAGCGTTGGGGGACTGGTTCTTCAGCAGCAGAGTAGAGGAGAAACGCGTTTAGCCACGGTCAATTAAGTATTTCAGGCGGGTGGGACAGTCGTCCTCTCTGCGCCACAGACTGGGGACAGAGGATTCGTGAAGGGCGCTTAATGTCGGTATCGACAACAGAACTGGAATGCGGCTGATGGCAGGCCCGTAGTGGCTCGCGGAACCGTGCTCCCACGATTTCGGTACCGAGGGGTGATCTCAGAGGCGCAGACAGAGGCCTGTGATAGGTAATACGTGATCTGAAAGATCGCAAGGCAACCAGATGGGCCTTTCGCAATTGAGGCTGTCGAAAACGTGGGAGGTGGGGTGGGAGGTGAGTGGTGGTCGACAAAGAGAGAGCAGATAGTTTCTTAAAGGGTGGGATGGTCGCGGGAAGACGATAACAGATACTGTGTAAAATGATGAGGCGCCGGCGTGGGACCTAGCTGAGAGGAGATGCGCCAGACCGTTCTTTGTCTAGAAACCACGACGTATGATCAAGTGACAAGTATGTAGTAGCACGGTGAGGGAATATCTGGGGGGGGAAACACATCAAAGAAGTATCTCAGTTAGTATGTGAGCTGAGGGCAAGGAAGCATTTTGCCCGCGGAAGGCTACGAGAAGAAAGTCTGGTCGCAAGACCAGAAACCCTGATGGTATGGAGTGTATGGGTACCCATGTCATGTTGCAGTGATAGGCATTGGCTGGGCGAGAGGCTCGGGGCACTAAGGGCTCTCCTACTGATAAGGACGCCCGATAACCCAATCACAGGTGCAGCATTTTAAACAAAGGATAGCCACTTGGGAATGCACTGTTGTCTGACAGCGCCTGCCCCTCCACCCGCCCGCTGCAAGTAGTAAACCGCGGCATGGCCACAGGCACGCCTGCCTGGTTGCCTACATAGGCTGCTGAGGCCTGGATAGCCCCCTCCCTATTAGATGGCACAGTTTGTACAGAGCAGCCTCCCGTCCATAACTCTTGCATCGGAACGTACCGCACTCCAGCATTTTCATTTGGGGTGCGACAGACTTTATCAACTCTACATATGGTCTCCGGCAAGCAGCGGCCTCCACGTCAGACCAAGACAACTTGTTTGGGGACCGTGCTCCATTGAACGTCCTAACCAACCCTGGGGCGCCTAGATTAACTTTGATGTCTCCTTGCCACCGAGGCCCCTTCGTGTGTGTCAAGTCGTTGTGTCGCGGCCTTGAGCGGCGACAAGCGCCGTACTGGGTTGGTTGAGAAGGACTCCCAACTGGGTAAGCCCAAGAGACACCGAACACTGCGCCGATGCTCCAAGCAGGTAAAAGGGTTTGGCGGACAACATCAATTGGTCCCAAGATGTCGGTATAAGTCGAGGATACCTGGTTGCCTTCCCGACTTCCTGCAGCGCCTAAGTGGCTGGGTTAGACACGGCAGTTCGGGTCGAGTAATAATAATGTGTTACGGCCAGATACGAGATTCTGGCATGTGCGTTGCAAAGCCGCCTTACCCCCCCCGTTCCTAGGTAGGTAAAAGAGTCTTGTCCACAAACTCGACGATCATCCTTGATGATGTCGGGCACCCCTCGGCTTGAAGGGAAAGTTGATCCGAGCCAATATGTTTTGGTGAATAATAGCAACGTTGATGCACGCCTGCAAGGGGATGTTAGGGGACCTTGGGTGGGCATTTTGGTGGAGCGTAGGTATGTATGATGAAATTGCAACTCCATTCCTGAGAGAACCTAAGTGGGGAGCCACAAGGACGAATGCACGACACCAGAACAAATATGTACTCTGGAATGTGTCACCAGAGGATGATGTGCATTTTATTAGGGCATCATGCAGCGATCCCGAGTAGAACACTACTGGCAAGGCAAGTGCCAGATACGAGTAATATGTCAGAGTGGGGAGAGGAGGGGAGCCACCGAAGGAAGGGGGGAAGTAACAGAGAAGACAAGGAGCGAAAAGATCCGTGAGCCGTGGATCTGTGTGGTGGTGGTGGTGGTGGTTATTTTTTGCTTGGGCTTTACAGTTGGTGGGCGGCTGTACGGCCGGGCTCCGCGCTGGCTTGTCAATGGTCTCGCCAGGCCCATCAGTTGCTTGTTGATGGCCGCTGGGGTTTTCCGGCGGGCGTTCGGTGCTCGCTGGCTTTCCCTGGAGGACGGGCTGCCGGTGCTGCTAGGCTGGATATTCTCCATGGTTGCAGCCCATGGCCGACCTGTTGTCCACACTGGTCCACCTGCAGTGCCTACCCGGCTAGCGCACCTCGCAGGTAGGCATCCTCCCTGTACCACCTGGAACAGACCAGCACCCACCCCTGCAATCCACCTGCACCCGCCTGCAGCAGCCTCGCCTAGACGGTAGCTTGGTAGCCAATTGGGCGGTGCTCCTTCCCCCGGATCCCCCCATGTTCCAGTTAAGGTTTTACCCAACTTCAAACTCGGTGAAAGACCTTTTGTTCCCACGGGATCGTCCACGTTTCCAACCCTCAGCTTCCCCTCCCCTTCAAATCAGGGACAGCAGAAAATTCCCTTCTTAGATGCTTCGTCTGTGCATCATCGTTCATCCTTTCTAACGGCCGTCTTCCCCCTCCCAGCCCTCTCTTGACCCATCTCACCCAAGCTTCATCCAAGCTTCATCCACCTTCACCCACCTTCGCCCGATCTCCCGGTTACCTCATTCCCGTGTGATCGTCAGCAGCATCGTCATCATTATCGTCATCTCCCTTGTCGAGGAGACGGGGGAAAAGGAAACCCACGTCAAGCGATGACAAAAAGGCGCGCCGACCACCTGCGTGATATTTCACCGAGAGACCCCAATCACCCATGGGTTGCACGAGGCTACCGACCAGATGTGGCTTATGCCAACAGGTCCGCCCCCATAGAAGATCCCTACGGTGAGATCGCATATCAACGCGCCTTCGTCGAGGCGGCCGAGTCCAATTCGTCTCGAGTACCCGAGCCGATCCTGTATCACAATTCCCCTTCGGCGCGGGAGTATATAAGAAAGAGAGACGAACTCTTCTACTCGGTCAAATCGACAAAACCCACCCACAAATCTGGAAGCCAGCCTGCCACACCCACGTCCGTCAATACATCGGCTTCGTCGCCAGGAAAGCTTCCTTCACCCAAGTATGGTTCAGATGCTGGACATCCTCAGGTCAGAGACGCAAATTCGAGGCTCGAGCCTGGCGCTTCGAGACCGAATGCATCCCCCAGCAGCATGAATGTCCAGCAGTCATCACCACGTACAGTAAGACCTGTCGCCGAACAAAGTCCATCTCACCTTGGCACAGGCCTCCCTTGGACCTTGGAGCCAAAAATTCCAGCTCCGACAGGTCCTTCTAGAATGTTGCGATAACCCAAGGACACATCAAGGAACCATCTTACCAGTCCCTCGGTCGGCGAATTCGCAGGCGGCCAGCACAGTGGAGCAGCACGCATCGCAAGGCTTGAATACCTGGGCGACCGAGGCGGCCATCTGACACATTCTAGGAGATCACTGGATCTACTGATCACGGATTACTACGTTCGCGATACGATAACAGCAATTTTGCTCAGTATTTTTTTTTCCCTTCGGTAAGACCTTGGTATGCATCTAGCGATCAATTTGAGGGATCAACGCACGCATAATGAAATTGTACAATGAATTGAGAAGGAGATTGCATGCCACAGGAGGTCTCCGGACTTGAAAGCCCATATGTCAACCATGACTTAATTGACGAAGTGACGGCCTGCTCAGGGGAAGACAAAAAGGCGCGACGAGGAAATGAATCAGTGAACGGGAATTGGTCGAGGCAATCAGACTACAGACCCTTATTATTGTTATTGTTTATTTTGGCATCAGATCATCGCACCAGTTTTTACATTGAGATATCCAGCATGGTTGAAGCCCTCTCACGGGGCAGGGAGTTGGCGCAGCTGATTGAGTTGGAAGTGCCGTACCTTGGACGGTAAATGGAAGCATTGACTAGAAGAAGCACATCTCGGAGTTGGTCAATCGACGGAAATGAAACTTTTATGCGCTGATATTGCAACTATTATTAGTTGGGAAGATCATGTCTTTTTCCATTTACACATACACACACTCTCTCTTTCTTTCTCTCTCTCTCTGTCCCACTCCACGTCCAGCCAAGATCGTGCTTCTGAGAGCTCTCACCTCTGACTGACCTGGCCGGGAATCACTCCAGGCCGCTGGACCAGGAGCGAGATCATGGGAAGGAACAGTGTGCGGGCTGCCACCTTTGTATCGTGTGCAGAACCCGCTCCGTTGCCACTTTCCTGCTCCGCCGAACCGCCGGTCACTTGTCCATGTCGTGCTGCTGCTGCTGCTGCTGTTGTATCCTCTTCCTGTGCTGAAAGCGGCCGCTGTGCTTCGCCGTCGCCGGTCTCCTCGCGCTCGAGGCGCGCGAGTTGTGGTCTCGCCCACCGCGTCAAGTCGTCCCAGGACACCCACTCCCACCCGGCGCATTTGTCCGGCTCGAGCAATTTCGCCTCCGGCATCCCCGTGGCTCGTGATTGATTGGCGGCGGCGGCGGCGGCCTGCTTGACCCGCGCTGTCATGAAGATGGTCACGTAGTGCTTCCCCCTGACGCTCCCTTGCGTCGCCGCTCCTGTCGTCGTCGTTGTGGTTGTGGCGGGCGATGCCTCGAACGGCATGACATCGTTCGTCGCCGTGAGGAATTCGATCTCGTCCACCTCGAGCCCCGTCTCTTCCCGCACTTCGCGGGCCGCGCACTCCTCCAACGACTCGCCGAATTCCAGATGGCCGCCGGGTAAGGCCCAGGTGCCGGCGCCGTGCGAGCCTAGGCGTTGGCCGAGCAGGAATTTGGGCAGCAGGCTCGCGGATTTCGGATTGGTTGGGGCGTTGGCGGCGTTGGAGTTGGGGTCGGGGTCGACATGGAGGATGAACACGGCGACGCCGACCCGGGGGACGGAAGAGGCGAGGAGGTCGGGCGGAGAGGGCATGGTTATGGTACTGTGCTGTTGTGGTATGCCTTCAGTGGTCCAAGGTATTATTACGCCCGTTGCTGAGACAGGTAGGAACAAACACACACACACACACCCCGTCGTGATCGCCTCGCAGGGGTGTTGAGAATATGTAGTATATGGATGTTTGATCTCGACACAAATCCTGATTTTCTTATTCTGGCTTTTTGCTTTTTCCCACGTTTCTTTCTTATTCTTTATTCTTAATTCTTCCCTGAGATGAGAAGTACCCCCAGAGTTGCAAAACGAGACCAGAGAAAAGGGTCGAATCTTAGAAAAGGAAAGAAGGGGGCAGCAAGAGAGAGAAATATCGCCTCTCTAAAATGGTTGTTCAAACGGGAATCTTTGGCACCGGTGATACTTGGTCTGAGCCTTCACCTGATCTAGGCAGCGAGAGAGGTAAAGCAATGCAATGAATAGGCGGGCGGGATCAACGAAAAGTGACAGAATCCCTCTCCCCTCCTTCTCCGCCCGAGTCTGTGTGTTTGGCCGTGTGTGCTCGTTCGAGATCTCTCGTTCGCGGATCTGAGCAGTGATATTCAGTCGCTGGACTTGGAACGCTCTGGGTGGTGCCCCTTGCGTCTCCCTAGATGACTGGTTCTGCAAGATCTGCCTTCTCAAACCCAACCGGGTCTAGCTGCGCAAACCACGGCACAGGCAAGGCCAGAATCCCTCTGTCGCAGAGCCCCGAACTCAGAAAAAGACAGTGTTTCCCTTGGCGGTAGTAGTTGGGCAGATATTATGTGTAATCTGTGGCGGTGCTCGCTCTCCATATCTACCGATACAGCCCAGAACAAGGATATTCTGATTGGACGAGACATGGAGAAATGTGACATGGGTCAGCCACACTGGCAGGCGGATCGATCAACCTTGTGAGGCTGTTTCGAGCTTTTGTCTTTTCAACCCTCTCACCACCGTCCAAGGTTGGTGGCAGTAGGCAGTAATAGTAGGCACGGAGGACGAGCCCACTCGTAAGAGTTACATCCACACCAGACTTCAGATTCAGCCTCGTGGTCTGTGTGACTTTGGGGACGTTTACCTTCGCGAGTACGAGTGGCCGAGTTCGCCTGTGGTGAGGACGGAAGTTGGAAAAGACGGTCACTTGTGTACGTAACTCGATTTATACATAACGAAGTATACTGGTAGCCCCATGACCATGTGGTTACGGGTGTTCGAGCTTTTTTCCTGTATCTTTGTGAGAGCACACCTCTCACAAAACCCCTCACCACTGGACGTGTCATCGTCGCTCAAAGCACTTCAAGTCCAGCATGACTGATGAAGTACAACCCTGTGTCCGTTGCATTCGTGATGTTGGTCTGCTTGGTGTGCCCGAACTTGACGAAGCCGTTCTCGACAGGACTGGGCACCACTGTCCCGTTAAACCGATGGAGCTTGTTCTCACCGTTGATGACAGTGAAGTTGGCCAGCGAGATTTCATTCGGATTGCGACTGACCACCGTCGGCATTCCGAAGTAGTACGCGTTGACTTGCTCTTGAGTGATGTGCAGTTCGTAATACCCTCGGTAATAAATTTCTTGCCATTGCAATTCGCGGTTGGCCCCTACCAGCCATTCGCTGGCTTGAACGCTACGCGCGATCGAGATGTTGGCGCCGTATGGCGACGGGGACGTAACGGCTGTGCCGCCGAACTCAACTCCGATCGCTCCTTCTCCAGTCGTGGGGTCATATGGGTGATTGTCCAGCCATACAAGGTCAGACACCCAATTTGCATGGCTGTCTCCCGAGAGCATGATGTTGTTGGTGATGTTATTGTTGTACAGCGCTTGAAAGGTGCGGTTCCGGTTGGCTTGGTATCCATCCCATGCGTCGTAGTCGAGGGGGTCGACATTTCCATAGGCAACGGATTCGTTGATGCGGCTAAAGACTGTTTGGGACCCAATGACACGCCATGTTGCGCCACGATTCTTGGAGTCGAGGAGGGATTGATAAAACCAGTTTTCTTGGCGAGAGCCCATCATTGACCGACCAGCATCATTCGATATTTCGTGGACGTAGTGTGTGTTCCAGTACAGGTCGGTTATGGAGCGGTCATACTGGCGCGTATCGAGCATAATGAGGTCGAAGAGGTTGCCAATCGAGAACGATCGCCAGATTCGAAGCTAAAGTGAGTGTCAGAACGAGCTTCTCGTCGACCAAGTTGTCTTACATCATCACCCATCTCGACTTGTCTGATGGGCATCCATTCAAAGTATGCACGGACCGCATTCATCTTTCTCTGATCCACAGACACGCCACCATCTTGTATGAAAGACGCCTCGGTGTTGTTGAGCTCCGAAGATCCATCACGGTAGGTGTTATCAGCAACCTCATGATCATCCCAGACGGCAATCCAAGGAAAGTTCGCATGACTCGCGATCAGATCCAGATCGGTCTTGTAGGTGGCATGACTGCAGCGCGAGCCAGGTCAGTACAGAACTCGTTTGAGCACCAAGGGACCAGGAACCACTCACCGCTTGCGGTAGTCGTAGAGAGTATAGATCTCTCTATCTGGCAAGGGGACACGACCAATAGTCTGACCCCATCCATATTCGCCGTTGGCATATTCATAGATATAGTCGCCGAGGTGGATAACATAGTCGACGGAGTCTTTGCGGACCGGGTTACCAAACGCATTGAAGAAACCGAACGGGAAATTGCTGCAAGAGTACACCGCCACGTTGACCCCAGTGACATTATCAGTGGCCATGGGGGTAGTCTTGGTTCTGCCGACCATGCTAGAAACACTGCTGTTACAGACAGTGAACTGGTAGTAGTATTGTGTGAAAGGCTGCAGCTTCGAGGCCTCGACTTTGACTGTGTAGTCCACATCCGAGCTCGTGTATACAGTTCCTTGGTCGACCACAGACGACAACGCCTTGTCGTTAGCGATCCTCCAGGTCAGGCAAACAGGAGAAGTAGAGGGTGGCTTCCCCTCGTCGGTGTCATTGTAGATCGGCACAGGGTTGTAGAGAGGCACGAAACCACCGGTGGAGCTATTGCTCTGGACATCGTCTGAGGTGGGAGCACATCGTGTCCACAAAATCACGCTGTTCGGGAACGGGTCACCGGACGCAACTCCGTGAGTGAAGTTCAGCTGCGAGGCCGGCGTTGACTGTCTCTCAACATGCCGCTTGACGACTTTGCGAACCGAGATACCCAGCGCAGGATGGTGAAGGGAAGGAGAGCGGTAGTTCAAATTGGCACCATAGCTCGCGAATGTAGCACCAACCAATGTGGCAAACACAATAAGCTGCAACATTTTGTGGAGGAGCTTCAGGAAGAGAAAGAGAGAGAGAGAGAGAAGATGGCTGCTCACCTTTTTTCCCACCTTATCAACTGAGGGGATTGCAAGCTCTTTTGAAGGAGGTTAGAGCTTGGGAGCTCTCTCATCTCCAATGCCAACTGACGCAAGGTGTCTATCTACCCAGGCATCATCCCACGTTTTCTCCATCGCGTCAACCTTGGCAGATGCTATTTGTCAAACATAAATAGCAAGCTAAGCCTCAGGGACAAGCTTCCTGGTGCAGATTGGGAGGAGAAATCAGCCAATTGATGACGAGGCTGCAGACATCCTCGAGGCAGAGTTCGAGTCGGCTTCGCCCGGGTTTGCTCTGGGCCGATGTTGTAGCTGCCTATCTGATCGTAGTTCGGTCGAACAAAAGCACGTTTGGCCGATGACAGCTTTGATGGACACATGGGGACCTGGTGTTGCGTTAAACAATGGATGCAAGTGGTAAGTCGCGGATCGAAGGAAGCGTGCAGTAGTGGAAGAAGGCGGAGGTTAAGGTGCAGCCACACCTTGACGAGCATAGAAGCACGTGCACCACGTCCCCCGTCAAATCAACACCAAGCCATTGCAAACCTGCCAGTCTCGCCGTCATGGCATTCATCTACCGGCATGATGTCCACCCGCTATTCCTGTCATGCTACGCCTGTCGGCCCTGCAGATCAGTAACACGATTACTGACCGGCATGGCCATCGGCCGGGGCATGTAGGACGCTGAGCAGAAAGGGCGCACAGGCAAGCATAAGTTGAAGCCTGCCTGAATGCTTCTCTTTACTTTGCGCGACAGTATGTACTACCCTTGCCCTCCTCTGGCTAGATGTTTCATAACAATCAGCTTCTCACTCGGGCACGATCGGGCCTAAGCTCCTCCACATGTCACAGCGATACCCTCTCCCGGCTTCCCACGTATATGCATCGACCAGCGTGAAATTGTTGACCAGCCCCGGTTCCCCGTATTCTGTCAAGTTGGCTTTGATGTAGGACAGATTGAATGCGAACGGCGTGCCCCCCGTAACGTTGAGGTTGATCTGGTAAGGTGAGTACATCTTGAAAGGAGGCCAATCAGATGCTGGATTGTTTTGGGTACTGTTGGACGAAAGTCCATTGGCAACAGCATTGGAAATAGATGGGCTGTCCGATGTGATGAAGCTGCCCCAAATCTTCATGGCTGCGTTGACAAAGTCCGGGCTTTGATTCGGTGTGGGCGGTCCAAAGTATGCCGTTAAGTCGGTACCGTGGACAGCAATGGGCACAGAGTATTGATACTTGAACGAGGTGCGTCCGTGGTCACTGTAAGCCTCTGCCATCCAGTACGAGGGGCAAACAAACGTCGTCTCCGAATAGATAGCCTGTTTCAAGTCAGCAGCCGCCAGAATTCTCAACCTTCCGATTTCGCGCTCACAAAGGCTCTCTGCTGCTGTCCTGTAGCGACGCTGCTCTGGTTGATGAAACTCGGTAGCCCGGTCCCGGAAGAAGCATACAATGGGGCATCGGGATCAGTCGAGTCATTCGAACTTGGATAATACAGAAGAACTTTGGCAATGTCATCATTTGTGAACAGCGGAAACGTCAGCTGTAACCACGCCACCAGGTCGTCTTCTGTCGTGATGTTGGGTTGCGTATATGCCGGTCCTTCAAGAGCATTATTGCTCACCAACAAGTTTAGTCCATTGAGCTCTTTCCGCAAGAGCTGGCGGCTGGGGAGATCTTGTACAAAGATGCCGTCCGTCACCGGCAAGAAAGACCAAGTTCCATATTTGCCAACCTCGGACAAGGTGGCACTCGCGTTTTGTAGAGTTGCCGAATCTTGAGCAACAAGACAGTCAAATATTGTGTTAGGATGAGCACCATAGGGCAAGGTCGGTGCGCAGCCAACCATTGAGGCAAAGGCGTAATATGCCTGCGAAGGTTGCCAATCCTTATATCCGTACTGCATCGGTAGGTATGGCGATGAGGCGATCGTCTGGCCACGTCAGACCCTGTACAGTCCAGGTGGGACTTATTCTCTTACATTTCTGAAAAGTGACTGGCCAAGCGAGCCACCGTATGCCATGTCATGCAGCTAGAGATCCGGTGTTAGCACGGATTGATCTCCCCAGAAACGATATGTGGCTCATCAGGGGAAACACAGCCGGCATCTTCTTCGCTTGAACGAATAACTTACCATGACGGATCCGGCGCCTGCGATAAACCATTAGTATGCAGCATCGTTACGATAATCTGGCCATGTCCTCCTCTTGATGCAAGAAATTATTCATCCAGAAGATACGAGAACTTACCTGCCGATTGCCCAGCTATCGTCACGTGGTTGGGATCCCCTCCGAACAGCGAGATGTACCTCTGGGTCCACTGCAGCGCGAGATGTTGGTCTAGCAAGCCAGCATTGACCACTCCATTTCGGAAGACTTCATCTCCAGCAAGAAATCCAAAGGCACCCAGCTGAGATAGATAGGTCAGTCTTGACTCGTAAGGGAATGGCTTGAGAGAGCTACCCTGTACTGGATTGTCACACCGACAAAGGAGTTATTGTTAGCATTGATGATAGCTGACAGATCCTGCTGGCCGTTCCCTCTTCCATAGCCTCCGCCGTGAATGTAGAAAAGCACGGGGAGCGGACCCGAACGATTTGACGGCGCGTAGACGTTGAGAAACAGACAGTCCTCGCTCGACCCTGTACTGTTAAGAGGCACCAGGGTATTTGTTGTATCCTGATTTTGTGGACATATGGGACCAAATTGGGTCGCTTGAATCACAGAATCACGGTTTGATTGAGGAGCTTGAGGCGCTTGCCATCTGTTCGAGCCAGTTGGGGGAGCTGCAAACCGAATTCTAATTCAGTGTCAGCTATGGAGTCCTTGAAAAAGGGGGGTGGACCAGGTGCACCCTTTCCACAGGTTCAATCCCGTAGTCGAGTTGGTATAGCCTTGGTAGACTTCGTAGCCAAGGTCAACCTGCAGCAAAGTATTGTTTCCACTTGAAGCTTGACGGACATGGAGGGCCGGTGGATACGGTTGCGGGTTGTACTGAGGACGGGCGGAGCAGTTGGCCAACAGGGAGGCGGCAATGAGCAATAGCAGATGCATTTTACCTGAAGAGTTCCTCACAGAGCATACGCATGGACTTCCGGAAGATTAAGAAATCAACAGTACCCTTTCGAGGACACCTACTTGCTTTTATTCTCAGGATAGAATCGGTCTCGTCTGGTGGCACGAGGTACCGGCAATGCCGTGGCCGTCGGACAGTGACCGGCATTGAGTTGGAAATGGCATTGTGGGTTTTGACCCCGAGTCACCAGAGCTGCAGTTGATATTAGCCGTATATCAAAACAAAAGGCGACATAAATGGAGAAAGGGAGGTCAATGGATAGACGTCATTGGCTTCCCCACATTCTTGGGCTCTGATCTCCTCATTCTCGGATCAGCCACCCCGTCATTCAGGATGCAAAACGAGCAGGTCGAGTTCGGTATGAAGCTGGGCCACTCCGCACGGCAGATGATCATCATCCGCATGCTCCAATCCTCGCTCTTATTGACAGCTGGAAAATCGAAGCGACAAGCAGCCTGCTTGAGCCAATAGAATCCAAAGGACCAATGTTGTTTGCTAGCGGTGTAGACACCAGACAACCGAGCTAAATCTATTTTCCATGACCGCCTTTAGCAGATAATCATCAAACAAAGTCATCTCACCTGTCAGGTTCAGGGAGATGCCGCATCCACAGTTCGTTCCCCATTGCCGCCTTTCACCAGTTTGTACTTCGCTTCCGACCACCATTTGAGTTGACATCTGCATCCGCAAGCAAATCCTTAAGCCTCCAAAATCCAGCATTGGATTCTTTTCGGCCTGAGGCAGATCTTGACCGCTCAGTTGCTCTTCTTGTCGCCGCTGCTGGGGTTCAACTGGTTGTATTTGACGCTCAGTTCGTCGTATTCCTTCTGCAGACCCTGCGCTTGACTTTTCATTGCCTCTAGTTCTTTGTCCTTCTTCTGAAGCTGTTTCTTGAGTTCGCCGATCTGGTCGGCCCGGTATTCGTGGCTGAGTTTCTCTCCCTCTTTGCCGCCGGCCCGCTTATCTCCTTCGTACATCTTGACCTTCTCTTCGAGGCGAAGAACATCGAGGATCATGCCGTAGGTGCGATTGAGGATGAGGGAGAGGAAAAGAGTGAACCCGGTGAGATACATGTTGCGTTGAGAATAGAATTTACGAGCTTGAACCTCCATGCGTTCGGAACCGATTGCTGCTGCGCGTCTAGTTTCGTCAGCCCGTGGCCATCGGGAGAGCCAAATACAATCCGGTGTCATACCCTACGCCAGAAGTATCCTTTGATAGAGCTGCCATCTCAACCTGGACTCGGTAGACTCTGTTGACGCTGTCGAGGAATAGGATGAGAATGAAGATGAAGGTGATCTTGCGGGATGTCAGTGAGATTCAGGTCGTCTCCGCCGAGTATGTGGCATACCTTCATTCCATATTGTACCTTGGCTACCAGTGGACTTTCAGAGATGAAGTTGAACATTTTTCGCTTGAATGTGAATGGCATCGGGATGATGAGGGCTAGGAACAGGACCATCTCCGCCACCAGAAGCATGAAGACCTGGAAAGCTGGTCAGCATCGGTGGCAGCACCACTGGGAGACTTCACAGACCAGGCTGTAGTAAAGCGTCATGTTGGCGATGTAAATCTGATGGGATTTCTGCCTTCAATGGTTATGAAACTCAGGGGCGATTGGTGCCAAAGTGCAGAGGTTGCGATGACAGAGATTTGGAGGGCACGAGCGATTGGGATGTACGAGGCAGTACTTGTAGAGCAGAGAGAACACGAATTCAGGATGAAACCAGACGAGAAATAAAGGCCAGAGTCTGCAGGCGACACGGTGGTGGAGTTGTGTGGGCCAATCTGTTGCGTCACTTGTCACCTTTGTTGACCCAGTGGAGGACAGTGACCGAAAAGTGGCTGAATGGTCGTCAGCTGCAGGCTGCAATAATGGCTGCCCAAAGGTACTGCCCACCAGCTGCAACTTCAGGCACGCGTCATAATTGCACACCCTGGTCTTATGTTTTGCCATAGGCAATGCTACGGCGGGCCCGTTGGTCGTTCTAGCGCAGTGATCCCCGAGCGAGTTAGAGCTTGTAAAGCACATACATACTATCCTGCAATACATACTCTCAACAGCGCCTCATCTCGAGCTATACCTGCCTCTGATCACCATATTTTGCCTTTCAATGAAGAAACTTGATCAGTTAATGGGTGCCGGCCCTGCAGAATACTAGTTGTTTCAAGCAGAAGCGAGTTCAACCCAGGAGACCGACTTCAGAGCCTCCGCCACACCAACCAATTATCGACGGCTTCCACCAAATGAGTACGATGGACATCCGGAAAGCGAGCCGTCTACGGAGGATGCATGGAACACGCACCTTTCTGATAGTGAACCTTTTCGCTGGGGTACCGTGTCATCTACGCCTGTGACTGTGCTTTGGCTGATCTAAAGCAGGAATCCTGACGAAACCGCTTCCCCTCGAAATCTTCACCGATACTCTCTGGATTCTAGAACCCACCGCTTCATACCCTCTTCGGTGTGAAGGCACTTGTTGTTCTCGTCAAATCACGGCCAAACTCGATAGATACAGAGTTGTTCGCATGATTCCCAATTCGCCTGCCCGTACGCATTTTCCAGTCAAATATACGGGGGGTTCATTGTCTTCCAAGAATAGAATCGGAGCTGATATCAGATTTGTTGCAGGGTTCTATCATCTCCAATGTCTCGAACGAGAAGTCGACTTGTTTCAGATCTGCAATGTGAAGCCATTCTTCGCCCTCACAAGGCACACTTTCAACGTCCGCCAACAATGTAACTGGTACCCTAGATATAACTTGGCCGTTTGTGATGGAGGAACCGAAAGACTTCTCAACGAGTGGAAGTGCAGGCGGTTGAGCTTACTCTACCGTCGCAATGGAAAGTGGCAATTGTCCCCTTCTCCAGCCGATTACCAACTGCTCTATCATGCCGGATCAGCAGTTTTCACAGACTGTGCATCGTCCTCCAACATCCCCTTTGATGAGACGCAGCTGCTACTTGGGCCTCTCGCGACGGTTCAACGCAAGAATTCCAAAAGTGACCGCGAGTGGAACCTCTTTCTTGAATATCTCCCAATCCAGGAAAGTGATGACGCCGCCATGAATAACATCCATGAGTTGAGCAGAAGCCTGCAAGCGTGGAACCGAGACCGAGTGAGGACCACGCCCCCAATCAAACATGCTTTCTGCGTCTAGAATGCTTACACGAGAGTTCCAGCGTGCCGTCACCATCACTACCAGTGGGCGCAGTCGCGATGAGTCTGCCTTTTTGAGGACTATCGACGCCACCACCCGCACAGCGATCCAACGATTGGGTAATGTTCCAACATTGATATGAGAGCCAGAGGACAGTATTCAAGTTCGCCCGGAGATCCTAAAGAACTGTCCATGAGGAGGACTGGTTGGGCAGCCGCGCTATTAAGGGTCACATTCCCGGTGGCTTTGAGTCGTTTCTCTCTCGTTAAATACAAAGACGCCACTGTGATGATCAGTTGACCTTCTGAAAACCATATCAGCGCGCCTGAAGCTTTCAGTCTCAACAGCAAATTGATTAGACCTGGGTGGGCGTAGCATCATCACCTGTTAGAATTGCAAGGACTTAATAATAGAACAGAATAGACCCTCTCTGCTTGGTAGAAACTAATTCTGCAGCTCTATCTCGAAGGTCATCACGTCGGCTGCCTCTGCTAGAGGGAGGCATTTGGCGGTTGCTTCCTATCTCTCGTACTATGTGCGGATAAGTTCGGTCGTCCCCATCCTCCTCAGCCAAGTTTCCTTGCGTTAAAAAGCATTGACCCAGACCTAGCAGTCACAGCGCAGGAAGCAGCAAAAAGGTCTTTTTGTAGTAATATGTGAGAGCATAGCATAAGAAATCCTCCGAGGGGCAGCCGTGACAAGAAAGGGTGACGATGTCAATCAGCCCACGTGCCTCTCTCGCGCGAGCTCGAGCCAGTTTTCTCCTGCACTCCAGCAACGTCGATTCCCAGAGAAGCCTGCAAAAGCCCGCGGAGCGCCGTGTGCCGTCAGGAAAATAACAAATTTGGACGACATAAACGCAGCCGGGATGTAGTGGTGTTCTGTGGTCTGAGTTGAATTATGCAGCCATATCATCATATTCACGTTTCCACCGCAGCAGGCATAGAGGACCGTGTGCGCTTTGGAGACTTTTGGAAGTAGCAAGATGTCTTATGCCAGATTCCGCTCCACTCGATGGTACGATGACCAAGTTCAAGCGCGTCCGTACTTTCCTTACCATTCGAACTCGCCTTGGCCCTTGTGGAAAACGTACCTTTTTGTGAAAACGGGTCAGTATGGTACTACCTTCTCACGCCTCTCAAGTTCAAGGGGTAACTAGAACAAAAAGAAATAGGAGGGCTTACTCATTTCCCTCAACCCTCAAGATACCGTCCTTCAGAGTGCACTTCCACTTATTCTTTACTCGCTGAACCTTATCGTAGGTACAGAGCATGACTTGATCTGTATTTTCGCCATTCTCCTCGTTTGCGGCTACATCGTCAGGATCGTCCAGATCGGAGTTGATGGCATCCTCATCGTCATCCGCGTCATCATCGCCGGTTGCATCGCCTTGTGCGCGGCTGATGCTGTTGACATGGGTGGCAGCCTCCGACGGGACCAACGCATCGAGATTTCGAGCAATAGCTCTGCCTGGGATTACGCGTTCATCGAGGGTTGTGAGAAGACCGCCACCTTCAAGTTGTTGTTGCGTTGCCTGGAAGTGAGCACGCATCAGACGGTCACCTTCAGCACCATAAGCAGCGGCGAATGCTTTCCGCTGAGTGTACTCAGCGTCCCAGTCATCACGAGCATCGCATGATCCATCCGTCTGGCTCGCATTGATGGCTTGGGGCGGAGGTTTGAGGTCAGCATTGTAGTCCTGAACATTCGCGAAGGCAGCATTAGTGTCCTCCTGCTTGACATAATTGCTTGAAGGTGTCGCGGATGGTTGCATGGGAACACGAGGTGCATTGCCGGATTGAAGTTGTGCGATTTGAGGGCCTGCACGTTGGCCAAAACTCTGGTGGAGATTCATTGCCGCCCGATCGCGAGCTGTCAAAGGTTGACCTTGCTGGAAGGAAGGTGCCTGGTAAGGTTGAGGGGGAAGAGAAGCTTGCTGAGCGGGATACGAGGGAGCACTGGGTTCAGTCTTGACGATGGGCGTTGACGGGGCGGCCTGTTGAGATGGAGGAGTGCTAACAGCGTTTCCATTGCTGGGGAGCGTTTGAGGCGCGGGTTTGACGTTACTGGGGACCGTGCTTTGTTCTTTGACAAGAGGAGCTGGAGGCGGATCCCATGGAAGGTGCGCAACCTTGAGACCAGAAAGCTTCTTCTGCCATTCCTGTAGCAAGACCTGTCAGTATACCCAACAAAGCGCCATGCTAAATCAGAAACGGGAGGAAATGGTTGCAGAAGCCAAAAGGGGATTAGTGCAGGACACGTGGGTGGGCTGATGTGGTGCGCAGTGGTGGCGTCCAAGGCGTATAAAAACAGGCTATGAGTCAAGAAGGGGGCGCCTTCAAGAACCTTCCGATCCCCGCCTCGCCTCACCCGCTGCCCTCGCTCGCTCGCCCTCCCACCAGCGCGCTGCCGCCTGCCTGCGACAATCCCACGGTCCCATGTTCATGCAATGGAATTCCTCATCTTCGTCTCTTCCCGCGTATCTCTCTCTGGCACGATGCCCAGGTGATGATGGAGAATCATTCTGACGATGGATGGGAATACAATTGCGTGTGCGTTTGATGGCTGAAAATGGGCTTACCGATCTCAGTAATTCAAGAGTCGCCAGCTCAACACCGCCCTCCTCAAAGTCTTGTCGTGACGCCTCGCAGACATCACTTATGACTTTTTCATAGACGTCGCCCTGTTGCGATGAAATGGTCAGCCTTGAGATGGGAGACAAGCAGACGGCGCTCAACAGATTTGAGTCGCCACTGGCAAGACAACAGGAGGAGAGTGAAGCCAGGAAGCAAAGATGCGAGATACTCACCACCGAAACTTTGGACATGTTGCGGCGGTGATCAGTCTGATGTTGTTCAAGCTCTCTCTAGTTCTCAGATCTACTTATGTGGGTGTTCGTAAGACTCGAAGATGGTGTTGGGTGTAGGTAGGCGTCGTGGGTGTGAGGTGGAAGTGTCGACAGACTCAGAGCCCCAAGGCCGTGACAGGTCGGAGTGTCGGTAGGAATTCACCTCTCACTAGACATTCATAATACATGCAATGAGTCGCCGAATCGTATGCACGTAGATTCCAAGAGCTGCAAACGAAAGTGAAGTCGATCTAACAGGGTGGAATGTGAGGTGGTGATGGCAAGTTCGCAAGAGCAAGAGAAGAGATGACCCCGACGCCCGCAAACGAAGGCTTGGCCTGGCCACTGGGCGGCGGTGGACCCCCTACCAGACTGGAACTTGGGGGGCCTCTGGCTAACCCAGCTGGTTAAGCGGCTCTGCCAGATCACCTTCTCTAGTGCATTAGCCCTCATGTATTCGGTCGTGTTATATACTTACCTACCGAGCCACCTCGAGGTACGTTTCTTTTCTTGAGAGAGTTGAGATTGCTCGATAGGCAATCAAACTTCCACTGCCGATCTGTCTGTGCTCGCCAGCGACCATGGCTTTTAGACCTGCGCTTATCGTGGTTGACATGCAAATGGATTTCTGTCCTCCCGTACGAGAAGCCTGCACGAATGTCTCCATGCTCGTCGTTGATACTAATAAGTATAGGATGGCTCACTCGCAGTCTCAGAAGGCCGAGAAATTGTGCCTCTGATTAACGGGCTCCTGAATTCACCACATTTTGTCTTGAAAGTGGCTACCCAAGACTGGCATCCAACTAACCATGTTTCGTTTGCGGCAAACCATCCTGCTCCAGACAACAAACCGTTCGAGTCTTTCGTCACTGTGCGCAATCTGGTTGGCAACAAACCAGATGAGACCATGCAGCAAAGATTATGGCCGGTTCATTGTGTTCAGGGCTCAACAGGCGCTGAGATTATTCCAGAACTTGACCTCTCCAACGTGCGTTTCACCGTCCAAAAGGGCCAGGATTCCCGCGTGGAAATGTACTCTGCCTTCTCCGACTCCTTTGGCAACCTGACGTTTGGTGCTGGAGGTGTGAGTCACGACCTTGCCAAAGAACTCGCCGCTGAGCATATATCCCATGTCTATGTTGTTGGGCTGGCTGGTGACTATTGCGTCAAAGACACAGCTCTCGGATCAGCAAAGGCTGGCTTCACCACATACGTTATAGAGGAAGCTCAACGATGTGTGGATCCCAACGCATGGCTCGATGTCAAGGGTGCTCTGGCACAAGGCTCTGTGACTGTGGTCAGTGTTGACAGTGAAGAAGTCAGACGGGTACTCGATTCCTGAGGTCAATCTTGTGGTGTCTATTCGGGACGACAGATGGTGAAGCAATATGTTTCGACACCTCTCATGCCTTCACGCGTTGAGCCTCTCAGACCGCAAGTTTGCACCGAAGAAGTCGATTTGTTCAACATATACTGGCATCTGCTTATCCCGCGGATATCAAGCTAATGTTTTCACGATATTTTCAAGCACTCAGCTGATATGTCATATTCAAATGAATAATGCTATGACCAACGCTATGTCATCATATCTACCAATGCCGGCTGTCACTGTTTTGGGCAAAGTCGCCTTTATCCTGTCCTTCGTTCGTTTGCCCCAGACTCTCCAACCTGCAAAATTGGAAGATATGGGTCACTTTGTGTGTTTCACGGCCAAATTGGGATGTACCTTTTGGGGATTTTGACTCCCGAAAATACCTTACAAGCCGGCAATATTGATGATGCGAAGAGCATTAGCATCCCGTTTCCCGCAAACACAAATAGACAATGGTTTACTGCTTGGTCATCGCAATCTACAACCTCTTCACCAACCTCGCCAAGCCCTTAACGGTACATGAGCCAAAGACGAGAACGATTCTGCAAAGAACCATCAGAAGCGTTTGGACAATAGGTCTTTGCTATCAAATCAGCTGCAACACTAACATGACCCTTTTTTTCCCAGTTGTCCTTTTGCCTTTGGCTACTAACAGATGATACCCCTAACGAGCTGTTTTCGGGTAAATGGGCTCCTCTCATTGACTAAATGTCTGTTCTGCAGCTATGAATACTCGTATCCGTGATGCGGTGAGGGTCTATATCCATGACCAAGGAGACTCACAGCAACTCGGAACGAAGCGATATGTAACGGTGGAAAGATCTCCGGCGGGAGAATGCAGCCAATCACGCAAAGGTATGGGTCCTGTGGTCGATGTTACGCCCTTCCGTAGCAGTCTCGTTGTGACCTCAACGCTGAGTCCAAGCTCCTCCAATTTACATTATTGATAACCAAAATGGTACTTGAGAAATTTCCTTGAGAAGACAGGTGGTGGAGGACGAAATTCAGCCTGTGGTAGGAAATGCCACACTCGGTCCATCCCACGCCACGGGAAAATACGCCTGACGCACGCGAAGAGCAAGACCTTTCAAGGTTCTGGTGGAACCTCAGCATCCCGCAGGAGCAATGGACAGAAGAGTGTCCGCCATATTTGCTTGGGCAGAGCGAGAAGGACATTGGGATCTTGAGCCGCAAGGATGAGGAATTTGCACGAATTACTTGGCAACAAGTCGAGGAACTAGTTCGTAAGTCTACCTGTTCGTGAGGGTGGAAAAGTATGTTGGGGAAGAAACATCGCGAATGTCCAAGGTCAGCAGACGACGACTCGTGAATCTGGAAAGAAGGCAAAGTCCAAATTACGACAATGATACCTGACACTTCTTCTCGCCCAAGGGACAAACAACATTCACCATTTCCATCGGTGCTCAAGCCAGCTCCGGGCCTACCTTGGCTATGTCTACCATCTCAAGAAAACCTACGGCTCTGTTCTCTCATATATCCAACAACACCGACTCCATTGGCCCACCATCACTCCCAGCGGAGATCCGCCATTCTATAACCCTTCAGACTACAAGATTCTATGTAACGACTGGCCGTACTTTGTCGAGAAGGGGATAGAGCATCTCGTCGTATGGACGAAATTTCAGATCGACGAAGTTGAAGAGACGGGGGAGGTGACCCCGGAGGCGATGAGGCAGGTCGACGAGTTGATTAGGATGACGTTCTGCGAGGGAGAAACTGGAAAGAGGATGGAGAGAGAGAAGATTGTATGGTTCAAGAACTGGAAGATTTTAAAAAGTGTGCATGCGTTAGGTAAGTGGGACGTACCCAAGGGCGAAGGAAGATGCGGCCAGGGATGAGGTGATGATAATAAGTGCTTGGTCCTGATGTGTGACTTTCCAGAACATTTCCATATTATGCTTTATCAACCCCCAGACGGACTCATCGAAGCCGTTACAGAGGGTGATCGGCCCACATGCGAAAGCTGGACGGGGGCGATGAGTTGAGTTAGCGGAGAAAGGTTGTTAGATCCAGGGCATTCAGCACACTGCACGCAGCGGCGGGAGTGGTCAAGAACGCATTCTGGGCGCACAACATATATTTGGAAAGAAGGAATAGATTGCATTATTACTTAGACAAATGCCAATTCAAGGATTTTATGAGCACCCAAGGGACTCGGAAACAATTATGGCCGGCTTCCTTCTCCTTTGGATTTGATGACGCAGCAATTTTGCTCTGTTCAAGCTTCTCCACTTGTGCTCAGAAACCCGCAGCGCCAGGCCAGTGAAGCATGGTTCGCATGCAGGTTATTAGGTAGAAACTGCAAATTCCCCCTCGAAGCGGGAATAGGCGTCTTTTTTAGATTCTTTACTCATCTGCCAGCTGTGTCACCAAAATCCTGCCCGGTCGTCGCTGAGCTCCTCACCCTGTCTCTCCTACTCCTCCTATTGATCACGACGTTGCGACTGCGAGGTTCGTTCATATCTGTCAAGTAGGAGACCTAATTCTACCCCCCGCCATATCCGACCCTCGACGACGTCATATCACAACCGCCAATTCCTATTCTCCCCAATCGCCCCTCCCCTTTCCACAGAACAGAATCCTCGCTGGTGCATAAGGACGGACAATGACAATGGACAAGATGAAGCACTCGATAGGCGGAGCGCTGCGAAACCGCAGTGAGTCCAAGAGTATGGTCGAGCCCCTCAATGCGCGGTCTCGGAATTAGGCTGACCTGAGAATTCAGGCAATCGCTCTTCCTCAGAGGACCAACGAGAAGCGAACGATGAGGACACTATGGTCATCGAACCCGAGCAGGGAAACAGTAGGATCGACCCTACGATGGCTGAAGAGAAGGTGGTGCTGACCACAAACCTATGATAGTCCTGTTACACATCATCTCGCAATTGCGCCCTGGCGCCGACCTGTCTAGGATCACCCTCCCAACCTTCATCCTCGAGGAAAGATCGATGCTGGAAAGAATAACGAAGTAAGGTTCTCTTGAAAGAGATCAATATGGTTTGAGGCTCATGGGTACTTATAGTTTTATGGCACATCCTGATACACTCCTCCCGATGCCCTCCATTGACGACCCGATCGAACGATTTGTCTCGGTCGTCAAGTTCTACCTCAGTGGCTGGCACATTAGACCTGCGTACGACATCCCTCCAATCTCGGATCAAGTGAGGAACGCTGATAATCTTTTAGTGGTGTCAAGAAGCCCTTGAACCCCATCCTTGGGGAAACATTTACTTGCTGGTGGGAATATCCGGACAAGACGCGAGGCTACTATATCGCGGAGCAGACCTCGCACCACCCGCCAAAGTCTTCGTATTTCTTCATGGCGCCACACCACCATATTCGGGTTGATGGTACTTTGAAACCCCGCAGTAAGTTTCTGGGGAATTCGGCCGCCAGCATGATGGAAGGCATATCGTACTTGAGATTCACCAACAGAGGAAAGTCCAAGGGCGGCGAAAAATAGTAAGTTTGGATTCCCGAACTTTCACCAGAGGTATTTCTAACTGTAGCAGCATCCTAACGCAACCCAACATGTACGCTCGAGGGATTCTTTTCGGCAAGATGAAGTACGAATTGGGCGACCATTCCTACGTGCGGTGTCCCGAAAACGGTCTGGCGGCAGACATTGAATTCAAGACCAAGGGCTGGGTTGGAGGCACCTACAATGCCATTGGGGGTTCTATCAGAAATGAGCGGACGGGTGAAGTCCTCTACGAACTGTCCGGATACTGGTCCGGCGAGATGACCATCAAGGACACCAAGACTGGCCAAAAAAAGATCCTCTTCGACGCCACGCATGCCAAACACGCCCCGCCTTTGACTCGACCGATCGAGGAACAGGGAGAACGAGAATCTCAAAAACTTTGGAAGTCGACGATACAGGCGGTGCTCGCGAGGGATCACGAAGTCGCTACGGCCGAGAAAGCAAAGATCGAAGACCGGCAGAGAGAAGAGGCTAAACGGAGAGAAGAATTGGGTGTTGAGTGGAAGCCCAAGCTGTTTCGAAGAGTGGATGCACGACCTGGATCCCCTGAAGAAGGCGAGGAGGATTTGGAGTGGATCATCAACGCCCATTTGTGAGGTTCTGTGCTGCTCTATCTCTGTCCTTGACTAATGATTTCTGTTAGGGATCCTAAAGCCAGCCCGGATGAGTTGATTGAAAAGATCCTTTCAATAGCTCCGATACTTCCGGGTCAAGTTGTGGAAGACTCTGAACAAGACACAAGGCGCCACTCGCTCCAGCACCGCGAAAATACGACTCAACAAGCCACCGGCCATCCTGATCAGAGCCATCTACACGCCTCGGACAATCTGATTGATTTCGATTCTCGGCCACCAAGCACAGCGCCGCCGGAGGATCACCCCAAGCAGCCACATTCACAACCACAACAGACCGCACAGCAGAAGACAGCGAATTTGATGGACGATGACAGCGAAATGTCACACATGAACAACCAAATGTCGAAGATGAACATGCATGAAGTCATGGTACCGGAGGGCCAAAAGCCACTGAGGAGGGCAGACACAGACACTAGCGAAGTCGATGTGTTTGTTGATGCAGAGGGCTGAGGGGCCCTAGTGAAAGCCGTTGGGCAGTGATGTGCCTTGACATGTCCGCGCGTTTGACGAAGTCGGAGGAACGAGAGGAGGGAGTCATCTTCGCCCATTCGCATCGACAAACGATCTCCACGATAACGAGGATATAGAGAGACAGTGGTCAGAACTGTGCAAGGCTGGCAGGCGTTGAGAGCATGTTCTAGAGCAGAGCGTACTTACCGCACAAGCACAAGCCCCCTAATGCATTTTTATGAAGGCTGTTTTGGTGTACCAGTGCGGCATAGCTCTATGAGCTCTTGCCTTCCAACCTGGAGCTTGCCACGTACCTGCGTCCAGATGCCCGAGTATTGCCGAAGCCCGAACGTCCGCTCGCAAATCAAACAAGGGGAATTGGCTCGTGCCAGCGCTAGTTGAGAGCCCTTAAACCCTTCTGAGACAAGCGACTTGTGGAGGATAAAGACACACCTTGGGGACAATCTGCAGGTGCGGGGAAGCCCTTGACCACCCACCTGACGCCTAAACTACCCTGGACCACGGTGCCAGTGCCAGTACCAGCCTTCGGTGCTCGGTAACTGCAACACACCCTTGGAACGTTTCATGTGATGGCGTGGCCCGGCGAGTGGGAAGGTGAGGTCGGTTGCAACTTGCAAGGGGGAGACAAGTCACCTGCATATAATAAATAACCGGCGCACCAAACTTCGCTCTCTTCTAGTCCATCCTCAACCCTCCTCCTTTCTCATACACTGCGAGACTCTTGTTTGCCCGTGCGCCTTATCAGAGGTCGACACCTGTAGTCACTCAACTCTCCACTCTGCATAGCTCTCTAAGCCCGTTCAGCGATTGACACATTACCTCACTGGCAACTCGCATCCTGCTCCTTCTGCCCCGGAGTTTGAGCGACACACTCCCGAGAATATCTATCTCACTTTTAACTCGGTTCAACCGTGCACCCACGACGATACTCGTGCAGCAGATCAACGCTTGACTCCTACGCCAGACACGTACGTTGCCAACAGGACACAAGTCAAACAAACATCCAGCCTCCCTGGTCTGCAACCCGACCATCAAGTCCAACCGCACAACGCGTCCGCCTCAATTACCGAACAACCAACATCCTTAAAATCCTAGCCACACCAACAACGTCACCCTCGATTATAAAACGAGAAAAAACAAAACAAGTCGCAACAATGCAGACCCGCACGATCCTCGGCGTCGGCGCACTCCTCGGTGTCGGGGCGCTCGCCGTGACCCAGCTGTCCATCCAGTCCCAGGAACGCCAGTACAAGAAGACCCTGCAGTACATGCACGACGGGCGGGAGAAGATCCAGGAGCGCATGAACCAGATGGCCAACAGCGTGGCGGGGAAGAAGTAAAATCGACTGGCTTTACTTCCTGAAACAGAAGAACAGACAGATATCCGGGGAGAGAGTTGGGTTGGTGTGGGGAGAGGGGGGTGGAGAAATATTATTAGCATGTTCCAGGAGGGCTGGGCAGTATCCAGCAAAGCGATAGTATGGAGGTTGAGGGTGGTCGGGTGGACGGAAATGGTCCCATAGACATCAGTGAGCTACATGGCATATTTCTTCCTACACAATCAGAGTCAAACTCATGTCAAAAAATGCATCGATGAAGGGGAGACACCCATATTGCAGCAGATTGCGCACGAGGACGACATGCACTGTTTCCTTCTAGGTAGAAGCCCAAAGGAACCAACAATTATTGAAATATACTACAAAAACACATAGATTTTCCCCAAGTTTCATATCTCTCGGGAGGCATTTTCGAGAGAAACTGGGTTCGTTATTTGCTTGCTTGCTTGCTTCGTAGCAGGCTAGCTAGCAAGCAAGCAAGCTACACAGGGAGCCCACCCTGCCTGCTCCATACTGAAGACTGCACGCACACACCCAACAGATACGGACACAGACACGGACACGGAATCTCCCGATCGTAGTTCATGTGCGCCTCTCTCTGGTCATATCCATGGAATTTTCCATTCGTATCAACCCTGGCCAGCCGGAGACACCAAAGCGCCATACGCCCTCCCAATTCCCAGTACCCTCCCATTTTTTTTATAAAAAAAAAGAGGTAGAGGGCCGAAAGGACAGTTGAAGCGAAGAACTCAGGCAACCAAGTAAGTCGGTCACTCCGGGGAGTCGGACACGTTCAAAAAGTCCGAGGAAACGGCATAACAAGGGTGATCGATACAATGGCAATACAACGTAATTCAACACAGATGCTTTGCGCCTCCCGTTGTACGTCCTTTTACGAATCCTCGTCCTCGGTCTCTGTATCAGTCTCGGATGTGTCGCTCTCTCCATCACCGTCGGTGTCGCTGTCGTCGTCCTCGTCGCTTGCTTCTGCAACCGGAGCGGCTTGGGTCTCGGCCACAGGGACCACTTTCGAGTCGGCGGGCAAGGCCTTCTTCTTTTTCTCTTTCGATATCACCGGAGAGCCGGTCATACCGCCCGATTTCATGGCCTGGATGTGACTGACCAGGGAATCTGTCGCGGAAAGATCGTTAGCATGGCCCGTTCTTGTTTTGTCATGTTGATGTTTGCAGCCTCTTTTGCGATGGGAATTCAACGGAATGATACATACCTTCCTCAGGTTCGCTAATGTCGTCGTCGCTCTCCACCACCTCGGCCTCTTTGGGATCTCTCACGTCCAAAACGACCTCGACCTTCTCGTCCAAACCGATGTAACTATCACACACCAAGTGCATGATAAACGGGAAGGCGTGCACCTGCGGTGGCGCTTGGAAGGGGCATTTCAGAGTAACAACATTAAAAGTTGGTTTCCCAGTGTCGGGGTGGAAAATCGGTCGATCGAAACTGGTAAATGTAAAGGGTGGTACCGAAATGCGGCCAGTACGTGCTTCTGCGAGGAAGACATGCCATCTAGGTGCATGATCCGCAGCAAAGTAGGGTGCGTGTGCCAATGGTGGTTGCACGCTTCCTTCTTTAGCATCGTCTTCCACGTAAGAGCCATCTGGAAGTTTCCTTCTCCTCGATTTCGCTGGTTTTCGGCCGTGCAGAGCATCCAAATCTCCCTCATCCGGGTCGATGTCTTCGAGATCCAGTGGGTTGACCGGTGGGATATCCTTTTCGGGTGTACCCGGAGGAATGACACGGGCTTTGATCACGAGTTGTACCAAGGAGCCAGGTGTGACCACCCGTTCGCCGACGACTTTGAAGAATGCCTTGGCGATGACAAGATGGGGGATCTGAGCTGCGACGGACATGGCTTGGTTGTATTGTTGATCTGAGAGATCAGAGCACAATTGCCGTCGTGTAGTAGGTGGGAGTGACATGAACTTTTGGAACGTCATCGGCGACTGCGAGGACTTGGTAATCTTTTCGGCAATGGCGGGCGTGAAGTTGGGGAGTTGGAGGAGTGCTGATGCAGATGGTGGAACAGCCTGGATGATATTTTGAGAAGCGTGGTAGGAGGCAAGGAGGGGCTTCACCATGCCAAATGGAAGGGTTATCGAAGCGAAGGAATTGTTCAACAAGAGAGCAGTTGGTGCGACGTCGAATTTCTCTTTCTCGAGTTCTTGGTCCTCCAGGTCGATCCGAGCCAGGTATGCCCACAGCAGGGCCAGTGTTTTCCGTCGCACCGGGTCGTCGATGGACTTCAACCGCGCCTTGTCTGCTTCATTCAGAGCATAGCTGTTGAGGACTTTGCTTTCCACCTTTGCAGCTCCCGTATCACTTCTGGCGCCTTTTAGGGTCTCCTTGAATTCTTCGCCCACACTGGTGATTGCCACCACGTCGCCTTCTGAGATGTCTTCTTTCCACTCTCGGAATAAATTTCCAGCGCTGGCATGCAGGACTTTGTCTTTTGTGAGGGCTTGTGTTCCGTACCACCACTTCCCCAAGGTGTAAGGGAGGATGATTCCAAGAAGGATGCCGTAGAAGGCGACCACAAACCAGCGGTTGCCCTCTTCGACCATCCATTTCGGCAATGCAATACCTATACTCGTCGACTGCTTCCCATCGGGGTTGCCGTACTGGAGGTAGTTGTTTCTGATCTCTTCGTCTGTCAATGCCTTGTAGGCCTTTGTCATTTCCACCCAGCGATTGTTCACATCGTCCATGGTCTCATTCTTGGAAGAATCGGGTTTGGCCTTGTCAGGGTGGAATTTCAGCGACAGTCGCTTGTAAAATTTGTCAATTTCGCGCTCCGACGCGCTCTGTTTGATTGTCAGCGTCTATTGTAGCACCTGCGTCAAGCGACATACCCTTGACACGCCCAAGATATCGTAGGGATCCCACATCTTTGGTACGGTTCTCTGGGTGACAATGATCAAGTATATCATGTAAGCCATGAAGGTATATCCCACCACCACCGCTATGATTCTTTTTGTCTTGCGATTCTGCCTCTTTCGTCGTCTTCGCTGCGCCTCGATCAGGTCAACATTGTGGGGTTTGAAATCTGATTTGACTCGGGCTGCGGTTTGCTCGAGATCTGTGGATGGTTTGAGGACATTATACGTGAGAGGTACCGTGATCAAGCCGGCCATGGTCAGCATAAAGAATGGGAAAAATTGACCCTGGTCATCGTAATTGTATTCGGAGGACATGGCGACTTATGTGGATGCGCAAGCCGCTTCGGGCTGCGCTGCTCGATTATATTAGATGATCAATGATCTTCGGGGAGCAGAAACGATTCTGATCAGACACAGACCTCGAACTGAGAAGAAGACACTCAAGGGCAGCGAGCGACGAGTGAATAAGGAAAGAAAAAGAAAAAGGATGTCGTAGAGTGGGAGCGGCTCGTGTGTCTCTCACTCCGCACACAAGTCGAGGCGAGAGGTGGCTTCAACTTTCTCCAAATCGGCGCTAAGGAAAATCGCCTCAGCCTCGTCAGGGGGAGGAAAAGGGGCCATGTGGTTTGTGACCTGGACACATATATCCTCTTAAGACATTGTATACATAATATCCTACTTCCTGTGCGAAGAAGCGACCCTTTGGAACAGTGCTCGGACGCAACGTGTTGTTCTTCGTGACTTCACAAAGTAGCAGGCACATATGCTCTGAGAACACGATATTTCCTTGCACGAACAGATGGCACGTGAGTCTCCCATTTTCAGTACAGACTACGTGGGCAGAAAAGCTGGCAAGAAGGCAAGAGTCTGGTGGAAATGTCACGGGTGAGGACATATGATACCACGGGTACGCAGTACGAGTCATCGAGGGCGAAGGGGCTCAGCGGCGATTTAGGTAATACGATGTAATTATGGAGTATTACCGCCTTTAGCCCACCGCCCCAGACACTAACTAGATTGGCGCGATAGTGTTGTTCCTCAGCTTCTGAGACTTCATTCCAGGCAACCCTCTTCATGATTATCGACAGGACACGACTATCCGCCGTTTCGATTGTCCTTGCTATTCTGAGTGCAAGAAACAATGGTCAACGATGCTCGCACTGTCGCCATCCAAACGCTGTGCGACATTCACCTCCACAAATCCTTTATTCTGCCTGCCTCCGCTGTTCCCAATGCCAGGGAGGATCTACGGATTACCTACTCAGACCTTGGCTATCATCCAGATAGCACCAAAAAGTTGGCTGACGGCGGCGACGGAGATGCTGGCTCGGATCCATGCGTCGTCTTTTTCATCGGTGGCCTCCTAGGTGGGCGCTATATACTCTGTCGCTCAGCCAGCGTTGCCCGGCGTCTCAAGATCCGCATCATCTCCATGGATAGGCCGGGGCTCGGTGGATCAACCCGGGTTCCTCTCGACCAGCGTGTGGCAACACAGGTTGCCGCTGTTCCTGCTCTGCTGAGTCACTTGGGCATCAGACACGTCACTCTAGCATCCCATTCTGGAGGAGCGCCGTACTTGTTCGCAACTCTTCTGGCACACCGTGGGTTGCTGCATCCAAAGCGGCCTCATATCGTCATGCTCTCTCCATGGGTGCACCCAGAAGAAGGAGGCGCGCTTTTGATGCAGATCACGGCAATGCTGCCGCTGCAGGTGGTTGCCAAGTTCTCTTCGTGCGCCAGAGCTGTCAATCGCACCTTTGCATTCAGCTCGGGCTTACGTGGGAGATCTCCCAGCAAATTAGCCCCTGTTGTCGCACCCAAGTCTGGAGAGATCAATGACCAGAAGCTCAACGAGGGTTCTTCTGAAAGAGCGGTTCTGACTGAAATGGAGGCCTTGATCCCTAAGTACATGTTCGCCGAAGATATTGAAGGCTCTTCAGACGATGTCATTTTATTTTTACGGAAGCATGTGCACCCCGTAATCGCCACAGGAGACACCGGCGCTGTACAGGGCAAGGACTGGCTGCATTGCCGGACTATTGCTGATGCCGTCGTCGAGCAAGAAAAGCGCCTGAACCAGAGCACCGTCGACTCGGAGAACCTCCACGTAGATGTGCTACATTCCGAAAAGGACATCCTGATTCGGCCCAGCGGATCAAGACACTTTGATGACTGCTGGACAAACGCTGTATCATCATCGAAAATCACTTTCAACCCAAAGATTATCAAGGGTACCAGTCACGATTCCATCCTAGATCCTATCCACGGTGCCGACGAGACTTGGCTCCAATATGTGGCTCAGCGATGGTACGGTTGATCGAACGTCTCGATACTTTGTCCTTTTGTCCTGTGGGCGGAATTTAAGTCACAGCTTTCCGGCGAAAGATAGCACCACGACCCTTGTCTTTATACGAGAATACCCACATCGCCTACCCATAGATCCTTGATATGCGAAAGATAACAGTCCAGGTGATATGAGCTAGGCTGCCTGCTACATTTTTCCTCTTGCGCTCTGGTGAGGAACCGCCCACTTAAGATAGCGAGGCTTGAGATTGGGAACAAGAGTGCAGCAAGCGCCTCCTGATCCTGGGATGGTCGAAGTGTGGCAACACCAGACTGCTTTCCGAGCGCCGCAAGGGGGATGGCGGCATAGAATGCCAGAACAGTCACGACAGTCTTATTAGCAGCAAATTCTCCAGAGCCCGTGCCTACGACTGTCCGTGATTCGAGATGTCTTACAGTTTCGTTTCGATGCACCTCCATGATCTTCCTTGTTCGCTTTCAGATTCACGCAACTAGAGTCGGACCCATTCGCCCAATGGTTATGGCCGGGGACACAGTAGTCAGTGTGCCCATCACCAATAGGATACCACCGAGGATGCGGGTGAATCCTTTCAGACACACCGGTTAAGACGATGACCCTCGTCTTTTGGATTGGTGGATATAACCAACACAACTGCCTTCGCAAAGAAAATTTAGTCTCGCAGGGGAAGGTCAACTTCCAAATGTTACTTCCTGAGGTTCACCCCCTCTCCCTCTCTCTTCCTTCTCCTCGGTCGCCTGTCAACATCTCGGAATACATTCGTGACAGGGCTCGATCCATCTATGGATATTGTTGGTTCAATCTCTGCCATTCTTGCCGTGGCAGAGGCCTTCGATCACCTTTTCAGAAGGCTTCGCCGATGCTATCGCTGTCTCAAGTATGCGAGGGACGACGTCAAGATTATCAAGGACGAAATTGAACCATTCGGCACTCTTCTCTGCCTATTCCACAGCGCCGTCACGGACGAGCGCTTGGCCGACGAAGGTCTAACCAGGAAAATCAAAGCGTCCAACTTGGCGCAACGTATCGTTAACTCAGGGACAGAAGCCTTGAATCGGATGGATCGTATTTTGAAAGGACTCGATCCCCTGAGAACCGACAAGGCCTACCCAACATACCAGAAATGGTATACTCGCTGGAAGTGGACCACGCGCAAGGAGGAATGGGCCGTTGTCAACATTATGCTCAATTCTATCAAGGGAAGCGCCATTCTGCTCCTGTTGATTGTAGATTTCAACCACCATCTTCAGGAGCTCGACCAGCTACGTGCTGAGAGGAAAATAATCCCGGATGACCTGCATCAACAACTGTAAGCTTGCTGATTTCATCGACTTCCGAATCAATGCTGGGTGCTGATTACCATTAACAGCTCTTTGTATGCGCGTCAGACCAAAGCCATGATGTCGAGGTTTAGAAAGACCGAAAAAGAGTGCAGACGAATGCAAGCCCAGCAGGCAGACGTGCTGCAGACTGCTCGAGAGATGGTTGCGGCGGTGTCTAGGCTGGCTCGATTTCAGCTTGTGTCGCACCCGGAGCTCGAAGCCGTCCTACGCCGCAACGGTGATGCCCCTTTTGTCACCAGTAACTCGACGATGCCGATGGATTCTGGTCCATCGGACAGATCCGCCACCCGACGTCCTCATCCTCGCACCACCAGGAATCCTCGATCGAGACCTTCTTCACGCCATGTACTGGTTCATGAGGCGTCTCCGGGTGCCACAGATCAAACACCTGTGGTTATGATTCCACCACCTCTTTCAGTTCGTCCACGAGTGCCGGAAGACCCAACGACTGCACGGCATATACCTAGACCTGATATGCCGCCCAACCAAGCACCCTCATCGAGAACGGCTAGCCCAGACTCTGAGTCTAGCACCTCTGAAAAAGCATCATCGCATTCGGCTCCAGCCGAGTATCCCCGAGGCCGAATCCCGACGGCGCTATGGGGGCACCCAGACCCAAGTATACGTCCATCAGATCCTCTACGGTCCAATGCAAATCTGTCGGAGCAGCCGGTCATCGTAGATGACGAGCATGGCCTTCGTGAAGAGTTCCGTCTTCCAAGGAGGGCACGAAGATTGCCCCGCGGTGACTGAGCTTCTATGTTCATGGTCCTGTATCAGAGAGAGTGCGGTCAGTTGTAAAATACAGGCATTTGTTCATTTGGGAAGCGCCTCATTTTCTAGGTATATAATGTGTTACCAAGTTTAAACGACATCTTGACAGGTACAGAACTGTGATCTCAGTCGAAGTATTTAATGCAGCTACTCCTTTCCCGGAAACCTTCCTCTGCGATCCCGCCCAAAGATGACCTACCTTTGGGCTGCGCGTAACACGACACCTCGTCAACTTGTGACTCAATGGAGGAACAGGATGGATTCTACAGGGTCCTGAGACGTGTCTGACTATACACCATCGAGTAATATACGAAGGGGTAATTCGCGGACAGTCATTACATACACTGGGCAACCCTGTCAGTCACGAGACTTCGCCTGTCGCTCGCAGATATCCAGGCTCGAACCTGGGAACATCTCCTCAATCATCAACATAGCAGCCACAGTAGGTCGCACACAGGCCCGCGGGACAGCTTGCATATCCCGAAGGATAGAGACAAGTGCACCGCTGCCAGCACATGCTGTAGATGTAGCTCCCGCTGTATCCATTGCCATTGTCGCATTCAAGCTCAAAGCGCTATCAAAGCATGAACATGGTCAGCTTATGCGGATACGAGACGGAAGATGGCACGGAAAAGGCCAAGGTGCCGGAAAATAAAGATAAGAGAATGCAATGCGCGTAAAGTAAAAGAAGAACTCACGTAGGGCGAGATGAGACTCGTTTCGTTTGTAGCGGCAACATCAGTGGTTGGCAAAGCAGTGACCAACGACGCAAAGATGGCCAATGGCAATGTATAGACCTGGAAACCCTATCAGTATCGTCCTTTTGGTGGTTTGTGATATGGTGCTTGACGTACCAGTTTCAATTTCATGGTGAGATCGGGCGACAAGATGCGACAGAGTTTTGGGACTGGAGGTGGTCAAGTAGGAGGAGCGAGGAAGAAAAGCCCCGTTGATGATTGTCGATGATTCCAATTCCACTCTCAAGCAGGTGGTAGGATGTACGGCTTCTTATAGTTGTTGATTCCTTGTGAGCCCGCTTCGATCTTAGAACCCTGTAGCAACACCGGGACTCGTTGGCTGTCCAGGATTTTGAGAGGTCTCAGAGGATTCTGACAGCGCGAGACTAGGACACGACTTGATCATCTGTGGCTGTATGTACCAGCGCTCTACAGGAAATTATATGGGTTGACGTCTGCGCTATAGGTCCGTAATACTTCCCAACTTGTCTATCGTCTCTGGGATTACTCCTGGTCTGAAGGCGTACAGACCAGTGCACCTGGCGGAGGCTACCGTGAGTGTTTACCTGTGTAGGTACGCAGATGTGATAGGTTGCTATCTTTTCGTTTTTGGGATTAGATGTTTCATAGACCGAAGGATCGGAGTGAGGATCGTAGTGGTCTGCTCGTGGGCCACAACGGGCCAGTCCAGTGGTGCGATGCTTGTCGTGAACAAGGCACCGACAGCTACTACATATACCAGGTCTGGAGAGTGCACTGTGATTGGAGCAGAATCTATGATCGTCCCACGAGGCTTGAAAGTAGGTTCGAAGACCGTCGTATAGTCTCGTTTTTTCACCCCCTGCGCTAGGGTATATACAGTACTAGCACTAGGTCCTAGGGTAAGAACTAGGCCAGGAGGGCCAATCTCATGTTTTACCTCGCGAACGATGAGGGATTACACAACAGTACAGAGTAGCTCTCCGGGCGGACCCGTGCGCTAAGGGGGTGTAGACATTATCCAAGAACGTCGTAGCGCTTATGGTTTGGCACTCGGACGGACTATATCGTTGTGTTAGGACCTGTACTACTCTGGATGTAGTATTGGGTCGACGAGCAAGTTACCCTCATTGGGTGACCACCCACCAGACGTCCTTTTGTGCAATGGAGGCCTCTCCGTGTCTGCTGGCTGCTGTGGCCGTCGTCGGGGCACCTGCTTCGCCAAAGAAGAGTGATCGAGAAGATTACACCCGAGACCATCCGCTGGCATCTGTTTATCCTGACCGAAGATATCATCTCGAACTATTCTAGCTGTACGGCTTTCGTTGAACAGCAGACAGAAACTGCATTAGATAATGCTATCCCGAAAGGAGGGGTAGGACTGATAACGAAGTTGACTACGGACGGTTCCTGGTGGCGAGGGCGGGCCCTAGCTAAATACTTTATCTGAACCTTCGTCACTTAAGTCTGTTTATGTAGTCCTTTTTAGTGGTTATGAGGTGGAGAGACTCATAGTCCGGTGCCTTTGCCGGAAATTCTGATGGTGGAGCACGTCCTCCCAGATGATCCAGATATGACTACACCACATTTCGAAGCGTACGAGACCGAAAGCTTAGTTTATCAAATCCTTTGGAGAGCACCCTTGAGTTGCTCCGTGTCTGTCATGGCGTCGGTCGCGGTGGTTGCTCGAACTCAAGTTCTATCCTAATGGCAACGTCAAAGAACTACCTCCGTAGAGGTCACCTAAGTACGGCCGTGACCGACCAAAGAACGGTAGGTCATGTGAATAATCGAGAGTGTCTACTACCTTCCTTCTCAAGGCGTGAGACACGGTGATCTTCTGGACAATACAGTCGAAACAATTCAGACCCATCACCGAACACGGCATCACAACTTTGCCAAGCGCAAGCACTGATTGGCAACGCCAGCGAACCAATCAAATGCCCCGGAGGGTCGCTTTGTCAAACCGAATTCCTCGCCGCTCTAGGTAACTGACGCGAAGGGGGTGATGGAGACAAACCATCCCTTAAAAGAAAGCTTTCACAAGATCGTGTCCATCTACATTTACTATTGTCCTCCTGAAACTCTGTGAATGCGGGCGTTTGAGATTGCCGTATCATGCAAGACGACCCGTCCTTGCCAGTTCTCTCCACCTCCGGACTCAAGTGGCTTGGAGTCGGAATCTCGGGCATGGTATATCCTCTTGATGAGCAAACTGTCGTAAAGATCGCTCCCAAGTGCGACAATGACTACGCCTCCAACGAAAGCCTTCAGGACCTCCAGATCGAGAGATCCGTGTATCGACACCTGGGATCCCATCCCCGAATATGCCGCTTCATCTCCTCGGTCCAACGAGGAATTGTTTTGGAGAGGTTCGGTGAGCCGCTCCGAAAACATCTACTAGAGCTTCACAAGCAGAGGAAGACTCCGTCGCGCAATCAAGCTCTCAAGTGGTCTATTCAAGTCGCAGAGGGTGTGGCATATCTCCACCAGAAGAACATCATGCAAGGAGACATCGGCTGTCACAACATCCTTCTCAAAGACGACGAGATCAAGTTGTGCGACTTTGGGGGCTCCTCAATTGACGGAAAGCCAGCTGAAGTTGGGTACGAATGTCGATCTCAACGTTGGGACGACACTCATGAGAACCCATCCATTCAAAACGAACTGTTCGCCCTTGGTTCAACCATCTATGAAATCTGGACGACAACGCGGCCTTACCAAGACGAACCCGACGAGAAGGTCGAGCAGAATTACAAATGCCAATGCTTTCCAGACGTCCAAACCCTTCCGGTTGCCAAAGTCATCCAAAATTGCTGGCATGGCACTTATCATTCTGCGAACGAGGTCGTTGCAGCCCTGGAATCCCTTCAGCCCGAACGAATGAGGCCATACGAATCCACCGATGCTAACAATCGAACCATGCTGGCCACTTTCGCCAGCATCATCACTGTCTTCATTCTAGCAGCATGGTTCGAGCCAGGTGAAGTTGTAGCCACCATGCGAAACAGTTGGTTTTAGTTGTACTTCTGTGGGACATTAGGCTCATGTTCCTTGTTGGACGACGCATTGAGACAAGCTTACCGAAACCATTTCTGGTCGTTCGCCGTTGCACACCGGGCATTCCTTGTTCCGTTTTGTGGAAGCCAGGATCACACATGGATCGGGAGTCGCATCTTGGCATTGACGTTCCAGTCCTTTAGGATTTGGATTGGTACAGATGGAATAGTTTCGGTCAGTCACTCTGTGGTGCGCGGTACAACGAGAAAAGACAATAACCGTGTCGATGTACTTGCACATTTTTTCGTTCTGGAACGACTCTGGGGGCTTGTATTGCTGGCTAGATCAAGACTTGGTGTGTTTAAAGGAGAGCCGTAGCGGTAGTCACCTACGGCTTCAATGGATCAGTAGCATGATTCGGATATCAACGGTTGCATGCAGCATGGCTCGAATACTGGGCGTAAATCTCTGGTCCACTCATAGACGGCCAACTGTCAATCATGGTTTCACTACATGATGCAAGCTCGAACGAACTGGCATGATGTTGAAGGCTAGGCGAGCCGACGGGTCCCAAGCAAGTAGCCCGAAGCCAAGAATGGCTGGGAGATCATTCTGCATCGACGCGGGCGTCGTCACCTTGACCATCTTCATTGCATAACGCCTGGAGCGGGCGCAGGTGTACGGCGCTCTACATGTTCTCGATGGCGTGGGGCTTGTCTGCCAAAGCACAGCATGACATACTGTAAGATTTCCCAGCTGGTCGAAGAACGAACGCTTGCACTCTTTGGTCGGAAGCGCTAATACCCAGTCAATATTGGCGACGTGTTCAAACAGCAATACCGAATCATCACAAAGCTAGCCTATGGAGCATACTCCACCGTTTGGCTTGCTCGAGATGCACAGTCCACCGCCCTGGCATCTTTGCCAATACGAACTGACTCTCATTTAGATCAAAGAAGTATGTCTCGCCGAAGGTCTGTGTCAGAGACGAATCAAAATGGTCGCACGTCGTCAGCGAAGTCAACATGCTGCGGTGTTCAAGGGTGTGTCCTGAGGAAGCTGATCATCCAGGCTCGAACTTCACGTGTCTTGCTCGGGACGTCAACGCCGCTTGAGGGCGACTGATACAAGCTAAATGTCCACGTATCTGCCGAGAGCAATGCGTATTACCTGCTGCTTGGTGAACAGGTTTATCGGTCTAAAGAGTGGGGGATGTCTCAGGACGGCGATTTCCAACGGCGGATTGGCTAACAGATCTAGTTGGCTGACGTCCGTGATCGTTGTCCAATAGCCGCCCGGCTTCACCGTCAAGCTCTCCACTAGGAGGACGAACAGCGATATTAGTTGATGCTGAAATCATAATAGAAACATAAAAAATTACATTAACACTGGCACTGGACAATGGGCACTGGGCACGGGCACTGGACACTGGAGCTTGCAACGTCAGGAAATAGATCCATTGAGATAGTCTGTGGCTTGTCTCCGTAACTGTTGAGCAACTACAAGTATTGATAGTCTTTGTCATGAGCAGCAACCCCTTCGAACCCCAATGCCGGAATGGGACAAAGCTTTTCGAAGCCCAAATCCACCCATTCCTCGAAATCATGTTGAAGTCGTGCAGAGAGTGCCCAGAACGACCTGACTTCAGTCGGTGCCAGCCGCGCGTAATGAAGCCAATTGCGCTGCCAGCTGTCCCGCCACCCCAAGCTGTGGCCTCGCCGACGATGTTGATCCCCACAACAAGCGCTATACCTGAGCTTCCGGAGAGTTCAACCCCAAAACGAGGCTGGTGATGTCGTCTGAGGAAATATCTGGGGAAGGTGATGCGAAAGCTTCGAGCAATGTCTTTCTGATCTCATCCTGTGACCTAGCAGTTATCAACCGTATGGCCTCCGCAATTTCTCGATCAGCCATTTTTTACTTGAAGTGTGCATGGCTGGGCTCGGCCAGAAGGTGGTCCGGGGGGATAGCCTCGTTAGCGAGCGAGACTGTGGTAACATGACAAGAGAATAGCTGAGTATCAACAGCCTCAACCGAACACCAACGACGAACCAGGTTTGCTGTAGGAGCGGCCTGGCGCACGATAAGGAAATTCCACCGAGCGTCCCTCCCTGCCTCACTCAATAGCAATGTCGCACGAAATTCCAAAACGACTCGTTCTCCGTTTTAACGTGGATTACGAGCTTGAAGAAGCAGCCATCATCGAGACCTTCTTCACAGAGTTCGGGCCCAAACCTACTAATGATTTTTATTCCCATCTGATGGCTCCAAACGAATCCTCCAGAATGTACATCATCCTAGATGTGCATTGCAACACAGACCCGACAGTCGAACTTAGTGAGATGAGCTATGAAGCTTTCAAGGTTAAAAAGAATAACATGTTGTATGTTGGCTTATTCTGCAAGAAAACGTCTCTAATCGATACCAGTCATTTTAGCCAACTCAGTAAGAATGCATGCGAATATGCTCGCTCTCGATGCCGGGACCTTCCATGAGGCACTAACTGACGTCAATCCGGGGAATTGGCCGGGTATCTCCGGTAGATAGGGCAGTCTCACGGTAGATTGGTGTCTTGAACATCAAGGGACAATGGCAAGTCTCTGAGCTTCCCGGTTGGACGCACGTATAACTTGCGGTTTGAACGTGCTTCGACATCAGCGCAGCGGAGATGCTGGCCGCGTTCCCGATGTTGAGGAGTGGCTCTGCAATTGCGATACGTCTTGGTCTCAATTGCGCACATCTTGTTGCGTCTTGCGTGCGGTAACAGATATTGTATCTGTTGAAACGATCGAGCGACGTACAGTACATTAAGCTGTGACTGAAGCTGCGCCTTTATGGCACTGCGGGGTGGTGTTTGGTGAGTTGAGGGGCGAGGGGGGCACCTCCTGGGCACCTCGACTAGAGTTAAGATACCCTAGTCTGTCAAGACGAATTACGGTAATTTACGGAGTATAACAAGAAAAAAGCCTCTTTATTAGTTCCTATACTTCTTAATGGCTTCCGCTGTCAGCACGCTTAACTATTTATGGAAAAACAAGCCCCATTAGTTATCTCCACTTCCACCGAAGAGAATATACTGTAAAAGCGAGTTTCTAGAGGAAGCCGGTTTTGCAATTCACTGTACTCCGTACAATTTTGGTGGTGTTAGATTCTGCCGAAGATTAAGCGAAGTCGCGAAGTCGCCGTGGTACGAAGCCGCCTTCGAAATCGCCGCTCTGATCCATTTCCCAAAGTGATGACTTAATACTGTCATCATGACTTTCCCACCCAACCAAGCCTTCGACGAGGTATATGTAATGGCGAACGATCGAACATCACGGCGTGTCGACGGGTGTCGTTCCAGTTTCCGCTACAGCCACAGTCTTGGATGAGGGTATCTTGGAGACTTGCTCGGAAATCGAGGTTCGACATTTTATTTCTTGCCAGCAAACCCCAAAGCCGCACAATGTCGTCTCTCCTGGGCACCAACACGTTCAACCCGGACACGGATGTCCCTGATTTGTCTGGCAAGGTATATGGCCCATCACACGCTGCATAGTACCACCCTCTCTTTTTAACACCTTTGGTCAGAATTACATCGTCACCGGGGGCAGCGCTGGCATTGGATTTGGCATTGTTGCCCACCTGCTCCAGCACCATGCCGGAAGCATCACCATCCTGTCCAACAAGGAAGAGCATGCTCACTCCGCGCTCGAAGAGCTCAAAGAGTATGGAGATGCGAGCAAGGCTCATTGGGTGAAGTGCGATCTCGAGGATCTCAAGTTTACAGAGAAGGTCGCCAATGAGTTGGCAAGTTCCCAGGAACAGCTCCATGGTGTACGTCGCCGGACATTAAACCAAAACATTCGAAGCCGTAGCCGCTAACTCGGCGTCTGACAGCTCATCCTCAACGCCGGTCTAGGTGTGGGAGTATACAACGAGACCAAAGACAAGCTCGATTCACATTTTCAGGTCAACCACCTTTCGCAATTCCTCCTGCTGCTGAAGCTTCTTCCTCGGCTTCAAAACACTCCCGGATCTCGTGTAGTTTTTCAATCGTCAGAGTTGCATCGTGGCGCGGAAAACAATGTGCAGTTCGAAAACGAAGCCGAGATCAATCAGGATATTGGGCCGACCAAGCTCTACAACCGGACCAAGCTTGCTCAGATTTTGACTGCACGAGCGCTCCAGCGCCGGATCGACAGCGGACAGTTGGGCTTCGAACCGGGTCACAAAATTTATGTCAACGCAGTGCACCCAGGAGCTATTGCGACCGATCAGCCGCTTCAAGCTGAAGAGGCTTATGGGAAGCTCGGTGTTATTGGCCACAAACTCGTCAGGCCGTTTATGAGCGACCCAGTCGCCCAAGGCTGTCGGTCGGCGCTGTACGCAGCGACAAGTCAGGACATTGAGGAAAAAGGCATCAGTGGACAATATATCGTGCCGGATAAGAAAGTGACTGATCCAAGTAGTAAGGCTACAGACGAGGAGCTTGGTGAACGCTTGTGGAAATTGAGTGAGAAGTTACTCAAAGAGAAACTAGAGTGAAGTTTTCGATCTGTGTGTGTGTGTGTGTGTGTGTGTGTGTGGCCTTGTTCATTACCTACAAAGTTCAAAAAGAAAATACATGTAGCGGGATTCGAACACTGTGCAGATGTCCCAAATGGCAAAAAGTTCAATCCCAGGTTTGGCGTCTATCTTACCTTCCCCCCCGTTTCTAGTATTCTACTAGAATCGCGTTACTGTTTGGTACCTACACCGTGAGACCTAGAGTTGACGGCCCAACTGCAGCAGGAAATGTTGAAGAATGATATGTGCTGAGACCTCGTGCTACCCTTAGGCAACAGCGGGCACATATTCATTCTTCAACTAGGGGGGAAGGCCCCTCCCGCCAAACCCGATAGAACATTGTGAGGTTCCATATCCCGAACTTGAAGTGGTAGCATTCTTGTGAGGTCTCAGATTATACTCCCGCTGTTGCACTTCTTTCGAATTGGGCTATGTTGACAACATTTCCGGCTTTCCAAAATATATAGAAATGATTGTGTGGGAGTGGGTCTACCTGTTTTTTCTGCCTCCCCCGTGTGTGGGCTCGTCACTGGGCGGGTGTGGCAGATTGAATTTCCCTATATCGATCGTACGTGTTGGGGGTGACCAAGAGTCCAGCCGTAGGCCTTGGCGGGAACATCGAAGTGATTCATCACTGCTTGCCAACTCTCCATCTTCTCTGCAAGGCATCAGTCCTGTATCACAGGCAATTCTCGTGGTCGCTGATGATGGTTGCCGGCAACAGCTTGTGCATTACTGGCACTGATGTGATGTCCATCCAGACCATCGCGAAGTAATGAGTTGTATCAATGACCGGGTCGCTGAGACGCTGGAGTATCAAGCATATCGAAGAAGACCTCACCGTGAAAGAGTATGTTGAATCAGCACCTTGCTGACAGTCTGTGTTCAGTTCCCTCTCGTTTCTCGTATCGCCTACGACGCTGGTGGTTGAGTTGCAGCCAATCAAAGCCCTTCGCTCACTTGACGACCACAGCACGCCCAATACATGTTTCCGAATTTGACTCTATTTCGCGAGAGAGGTACTAGCGATGTTTTCCTCCTTCATTCTGCCATCTTCTCCCTTCGTAATCCTGCTGCGAGTCGACCTCTACGCTTCTGCAAGTTCGTGAACATTGAAATCCGGGGACTTTGCTCGAGATGCCAGATCAGGCAGTTTACGCGAACGCATTCGTCCATCGTCCACAAGTTCGTCAAGGGCCCGACATCCCCTACAAGAACGAGGCAGGCTCGAATCCCGTGCTTCGAGGGTTCCCCTTAGCTGCTGTATCCAAAATGTACGGATGAAACTTTTGTCTCTTATGCGCCATGTGGCTAAGACGTTTGAAGCATTTCGTCGTCCGACTGGCTGCAAAGCCTCCTCTGGAAACTAAATGGCTTCGACAAGATCAAGGACACTAAGTATCTCGATGAATATGAGATTCGACTCGACCCAACGGTCGTGCCTCGATCCGCTACCTCTGAAGATTTCGTTTCCAGCCTGACAGAACTACCGCTGCCCCGGCCTCGAGCTTCGAACACAAACTACTACACTTGCGCCGACTACCATGAGTTATACAAGTCTGGCAAAGTCACCCCCTCCGACGTGATTGAATCCCTACTGCCCCTGATCCGACGAGATACCCAGCCCGCTGGTCAATACTCTGTTGCCTTCATCGACTCCAAGGTCGACTTGGTGCGAGCTGCTGCGAAGGCGTCAACCGACAGATATCGAGCTGGCAATCCGCTGAGTGCCCTGGATGGCGTGCCGCTGGCGGTGAAAGACGAGGTGGATCTCAAGGGATACAAAAAGACCCTGGGCAGCAAGCTTGATTTCACCGACAAAGAAGACCGTACATCATGGTGTGTGCAGAAATGGCAGGACGCAGGCGCTGTGATCATCGGAAAGACCAACATGCATGAGGTCGGCTTGGACACCACCAACAACAATCAGACTTGGGGGACTCCGTTGAATCCACACAATAATGGCTATTATACTGGCGGCAGCTCTGGTGGCTCTGGTTTCGTCGTTGCCGCTGGTATCTGCCCGATCGCACTCGGGGTTGATGGCGGCGGTTCGATTCGATTACCTTCGGCGTTCTGCGGTATCTACGGGTTGAAAACCACCCATGGCCGCGTATCAGCCAGAGTTGGTAAGGACTGGGTGGACAGCGTCGTGGTTCACGGTCCCATGGCTTGCAGCATCGATGACCTCGCCCTGGGCTATCGTGTAATGGCTCAACCTGATCCCGGCGCAATGAGAAGCTCTGGTTTTCCCAACAGTTTGATCAAGAAACTACCCAGTCCAACAAATGGAAAGAAGTATATAGGGATTGATCGAAGCTGGGTCAATCGTTCGGACAAAGTGGTTCTGGACATGTTCAACGCCGCCGTCGATGGATATGTCAAGTCTCACGGTTACGAAGTGGTCGATATCAAGATCCCCTATCTTCCGGAAGGACAGAAAGCGCATGCCTTGACCATTTTGTCCGAGAGCCGCAGCCAACTTAGCCGGCAGAAGGTCTCCAAACTGTCGTGGCACAACCAATTGCTCCTCAATGTGGCAGGATCCCACGCGACCGCCCAAGACATGATATTCTCCCAAAAACTGCGCAATCTTCTGATGTGTCATCTGGCCTGGCTGTGGAATGAGTATCCGGGGATGGTGATCCTGACGCCGACGACGCCCTGCGCGGGATGGAAAATCGGCAAACCGAGCGACATCACCAGTGGCTACGGCGTGAGCGACGGCGACATGAGCTTGAGGACCATGGAATACGTCTACCTGGCGAACTTTACGGGGAACCCGGCCATCACCTGTCCAATGGGATATACGGATGAGAATGTCCCTGTTGGTCTTATGGTAATTGATCCCCCCGCTCCCCCCCGTTTCCCTCCCTCCTTTTTTTTAATTTTATTTTTAAACCTTGCTGTTCGTCTACGAATCAATGATCCGCTAACTACTGACGCACAGGCCATGGGCGACTGGGGCAGCGAGGAGCATCTGATCGCCTTTGGAAAAGAAGGCGAATCCTTCCTTGCCGGCGGGAACGGGATTCGGCGCCCGAAAGATGAGGAGATGTGGATCGACGTCCTGGCCGGGAAGAACTCTGAGGAGTAATAGTCACTCACTCACTCACTCACGCACACCTCCAGTCTCGTCGTCATCAGAGCCATATTATGCCCAACTATCCATCCTCTTTGTCGAATTAAGGGCGCAAAACCCTGTATGTTGCCCTGGAACACCCCAATCCAGCGGTGATCACCCGAGTTCGTTCTCCAGATTCTTCGGCCCCAAGCCGTCGTGCCCTCCTGTCTCTCTCTCTCTCTCTCTCTCTCTCTCTCTCTCTCTCTCTCTCTCTCTCTGTGTGTGTGTCTCTCTCTCTCTGTGTGTGTGTGTGTGTGAGAGTGAGAGAGAGAGAGAGAGAGAGAGAGAGAGAGAGAGAGAGAGCTGTGAAAACACAAGACATTGGGGCGATCCATTCCAAGAGCAGGCGACGGAGTTTTCCTCTTCTACGCAGGAAGGATAAATATAATATAACATAAGAATAGGTCCGAGACGTCGCCGACATTGCGTCGCGTTCCAGGATCTTCAATCGCTTTCATTTTTTATCCCATTTTCCCCCTTTCCATCTTCATCATCCTCGTTTCGATTTCGTTTCCTACGGATTCAAGCATTAGGGTTATATATACAAAGGAGCCGAAATCCAATGATTTTGCAAGGTGCTGCACCCAACTCGCTGCCGACAAGATGGCTGCTTATCCTTCCAAGTCATCCTCCTCGCCGTCACCTTCCCCTCCAGCCTTCCCAGTTTCCTTGATCCGCGCCTCCTGCTTCCTATACAGGCCGGCCAGGAACTCGCTCGTACTGGCCTCGTCAATGCTCTTGTCTTCTCTCACTTTCAAAAACCTGGGGAACCGCATACTCAACCCCCTCTCCTCACTGACCAGGCCGATCGCGGCCGTGTACGTCGGGGACAAGGTGATGTCTGCAAAGGCCATCTCCCACACTTCCTGCGGTTCGAACCACACGTCAGGCTCATACGCACTGTACTCGATGTAGCTCGGTTTTGTCCGCATCGTGTTGTCGCCGTCCTCGGCGTACTTTTCCTTGTTCGCTTGATAGAACTTGTCCGTGAATCCCGAGATACACTTGGTGACTACCTCCAAGCTTCCAGTCTCGGGATTGCGGCACGCGAGGAGGATGGGAGACCACCACTTGGCTTTCCGACCTTGTCCGTGCCACCCAGCCACGGGGATGAGGTCGATCGTGTCGGCAGATTGCGCGTAGTCTTTTTTCACTTTGAGCCAGGAATCGAGCCGTTTATCCGGCTCGTACGTCGCGAGGAGGGCTTTGCGACGGGTACCCTTTTCTTTCTCCTCTTGCCTTTCAGCTTGGCCTTTCTTGCCAGCTTTCTTCTTGCTTGGGGTCACCGGTGCCGACGCGGGCATTTCTTCGTCGTCTTCTGGGCCTACAAGGTCAGGATTCGGCAAGTTGTCTAGCACTTTAACCATGATACCCTCGCACTTCATGTCGGTGGCGGACTTGAAGAACTCCAACACAGTCTCCGAATCGGCAGACGTGGCGTCGATGCTGTTCACCCATGTGAAATGGTGTTCTTTCTCGACGAACATGCTGCGGAGCAGGCCGCGTCGCTCGCGAAAGGGGCGATCAAGCAACGGTTCGCCATTGAGGTACATGAGATCAAACGCAAACAAGCAAACATCGATTTGAATGGAACCAATATCGACGTCCTTCTTGGCTCGGTTTGTGAGGGTCTGGAAGGTCTTGAGTTCACCTGTACTCCGATCGACAGCAACCACTTCTCCTTCTAAGATGAAGCTGGACACCCCGTCGCCGCGGATCTCAGGTACCAGCGCCACTAGATCGGGGTATTTGTCGGTCATCACCTCAAGGTGGCGAGAGAAGATGGAAACTTTGCCGCGTTCGTCGCAGTGAACCTGCGCTCGCTGGCCGTCGTATTTGAACTCACAACTGAAATCTCGGCCTTGTAACTTTGTGAGCATCTCGCTCAAGTCCCGGGTGATGCTACCAAGCATCGGGCGGAGAGGGATGTGCAATGCCAGGCCACAACGCAGCAGCAGTTCTTCCGACACTCCGACCTCCAGGAGGCCAGGCACAAGATCATTGTAATTTGGCCGCCGTGCAAAGCATGTCTTCACGATCTCTTCTGCTCTGGACCATAACACGGCCAATTCCTCTTTCTTGAGCTTTGTTAGCTCGGCGGGGTTTCGGATGGGGAAGTCTGCGCCTGCTGGACGCGAGAGCTGGAAAGCCCGTGCCAGAGCAATCAGCATGGTCGTCTTCACGGCTCCGATACGCAGATGCTGGACCAGAGTCCTCACGATGTATCGAGATTCTTCTGGTCCTCGCGCATCTTGCAGTAGGCGCTCCACAAGTCGCTGCTTCTGTTCGACACTGCCATGGCCCTTACTGTTAGCAATCTTGACGAGTGTTTGATATGCGCTTTTGATAGTAAGCGGCTTTGGTTTCCTCAGTGTGAAGCTCTGTCGCTTCTTTGCTTCGAATGCAACATCTCCTGCGTCTCCATGCTTGTCATAAAGTGTTTTCAACCCAGCACCATCGAGCCCGCACACCTTTTTTAAAGCCTTGGAAATAGCAGAGCCGCCCAGCCCTAGTTCCAGAGAGATGTAAGGTGGCGAAATGGAGTTGGTAGCTAGCCAGACAGCAGGCAAAAGACTCTCCGGGTCGGCCTCGATGATGACCCTGAGGCAATTGACCAATGTGTCCACGATTTTGATTCGACTTTGAGTTGAATTGACCAGCACAAAGCACCGAGTTAGAAGCGCGTATGAAGCGTTCCCTCCGTCCGCCGCCCAGTGCCTCTTCAAATCAGGGACATATTGTGAAGGATCGAACAGCAAAGGACTCTGGTCAAAGGGGATCGTTAATGTGATGGTATCTTCTTCTGAAGCTGTAGACTGCAATCCAAGTACACCTTTCTTGTGCGTGTTCGACGGCGGCATTGGTTCGGGTGGAGGAGTCTTTTCAAGAGCAGCGGATACAAAATCTTTAACATCTTCTTGGGCTTTGTGCTCGTGGTCTTCTGCGTGGTTTGGCAACGCTTTGCCACTGGCGCCCTTGAAATTGCTCTCGTGCTGTCCATCTTCTCTTGCCCATTCTTCTTGGAGCCTTCTGGCCAGCTCCTCATCGGTTCGCTCCCTCTCGGAAGGTATCGATTCCTGTACCTCCACGTCGTCGCGCTGTACGGTACCATTTCTTTCTTCCTTCTTTGGTTCGTTTTGCTTGCGAAAGAAGAAGTCGAGGCTGCGGTGCGGCACTGTGGCAGGTTTGGAATCGTTCTTCTTTCTTCTCTTGGCCGGGCTCTCCATGGCTGTTGAATGTGACGGGCACCGGCACCGCCGCCAGTGCCATCCAAAGCAATTATTTAGCAATCATTTTGCACCTGCATTCAAGAGTCGAGGACGCTGGATTGGTGGTGACTTCATGACCAAAAGTTCCGGGATGGTGGCGGCGCGTCCCCAAAACCCATGACGCGCTGGTCGCAGTCGGGGAAAGACGCACCGAACACATATCCCACTTTCTCACCGGAACAGCGTTGTCAATTTCGCCCATACTGAAATTCAGCTACTACATTGCAGGCAACAAGTATGGTTGAGCTCCACATGGCCAACAATGTGGACGTACAGACGCGGGTGGAAGACTACCTGAATGACAAGATACAAACAGCTGCGGACTTGGAACAGGTGGACAGCCTCTTGCAGCGAGTGCAGGAACAGCAAAATATATTGCGGAAGCAGGTGAGGATTCATATCTCGACTCTGGGCTGCTTTTAACTGTGTCTCAGCTCGAAGACGCCCGGAAAGACCACACAGAGGCTGTGAACAGAGTCAACCAACGTTCCAACGAATTAAGAGCGAAGGCCGAAGAATGTCAGAGGGAACACGCCGAGATAGACCTGCGGCTCAGAACCCTTGCACAATCCAACGTGAGCGATGATGCGGCGCAAAAAGTTGAAGCTCGGATGAGCAAGGTGCGCAGTCTCGAGGTTGCTCAAGGCTATCTGGAATTGGTCCAGCAATTGAACACTCTGAGCGATCAAGCGAAAGAGAACTTAGTCGCCCATCCGGAAATATCGGTCCAAGCATATGTTCAGCTAAGAGGCATTTGGAAGCACATTCAAGATGCGCAGTCGGCTGCGGAAGGGGCAGCGCCTCAGCTTGCCTATGCCTTCGAGCAACGATCGCAGCAGCTTTATACCAGCATCAAGGAAGCTTTGGAAGGGAGTCTGCGGGAAACCCTTGCACAAATGAAATGGCCGGGAAAAGAGTTGAGCATGCTGGGCGACATACGGGAGAAGTGGGAGAAGGAAGTCAGATTACTTCTCCAGCTCCAAGATCCAGACCTGATCGGAGCATTCGCAGGCGTCGACACTCGAAGTCGGTCTTCGACTCCTGATCCTGTCGTGCTCCTCCCGCTTGAAGTCATGGTTCATCCGTTGTCAGTGAGATTCCGCTACCACTTTTACGGGGACAAACCCACGAACCGACTGGACAAGCCCGAATATTTTCTCACCCACGTCCTAGATCTAATAGAGACGCATAGCGGTTTCATGACCGATATGCTGGGCCCTATATTGGACGACAGAGTGATTCAGTCTGAGGCTCTGGAATCTATCTATACAGATGCAGTCTCCGCATTCATTACGGCACTGCTGCCCATGGTTGAAGCAAAGTGTCTGTCTTTTCTCCCCCAGATTTCGCAGCAGCCACAGTTGATGTCTCATTTCATGCACGAGTTGATGGTATTTGATACTGCCATTCGTGACTCGTGGGGGTACATCCCGATTCCCAGGATGTTGGCAGAGTGGAAGGGGATTACTTGGAGAGTGCTGACCACACACGGCTACTTTGCTCTGTGGCTCAAGGTCGAGAAGGATTTTGCTCTTGCTCGATACAAGAGCATCAGGGATGCTTCGGACAGCAACGAAATTGACTTTGACGCAGACGCCACCCAGACGAAGCCGACAAAGGGAGCAATTCGTGTCAACGACCTTTTAGAGACAATCACAGATCGTTACCGAGGCCTTTCATCTTTCAGTCAGAAGATGAAGTTTCTCTTGGAGATCCAGCTATCTATATTCGATGATTATCACAACCATCTCCACGGCGGTTTGCAGGCATATCTTGTGTCGTCCCATACCGCCGGCCGGCTACTGCAGGGACAGTCTGAAGCCGAAGCCTTCGGTTTAAAAGGGTTGGAATCGCTAGCCAAGATATTTGGTAGCGCGGAATTCCTCGAACGGAAAATGTCGGACTGGAACGATGAGGTCTTCTTTCTAGAGCTATGGGATGAACTTCAATATCGTGCCAAAGCCAACAGCAGCACAGGTGCATCCATTGGCACCGATTTGAAGGTGGACGATGTCGCGGACAAGACCTCGGCAACCATCAAGTCAAACGGAGCCGACCTGGATGGAGATACAGACGGAAGTGGCCTGTTTGACCAGACTGCTTCAGCATATCGACGTTTGCGCGAACGCAGCGAGGAGGAAATGCTCCGTTTCTTCGACGTCAACATAAGAGGCGCACTCCGGCCATATGTGAAGCTTGCCCAGTGGTCGTCTCTTGGTGAGACTATATCCGACCCAGCTGCCATGGCACCTTCCCCCAGCCTCGATGGCTTTTTCCAAACAACGGCCACCCTGCTCGAGTACCTTTCTCGCGTACTAGCTCCGGGGTCCATGCGACGGATATGTAAGCATTACTGCTCCTCGCTGCAGAGAGAGATCTACGACAACGTGATAATGCACCACACATTCTCCGCTACTGGCGCAGCGCAACTGGCAAGGGATCTGTCTGAGATCAAGACAACCATCGAAAAACACAGCAGAATGCGAGGAGTGACGGGGGCGGGTCTCAAACGGCTCGAAGAGGCAGTCTATCTACTCTCCCTGGAGGCGTCGCAAAACAAACAGAACGGCGAAGACGATGATTGGGGTTTCGATGATGACGATGACGACGGGAAGCCGAAGGGCCAAGGTACTGCAGATGAAGCTATCACTGATGATGATGGAGGTGTTGAGAGGCTGGGACTTTGGGATGTCGAGAAGCTGATTTTCGAGAGCAACGAAGCAGCACGAAAGGCTCTTGGGGATATGGGCGTATATCATCTCAGTGAAGGGGACGCCAGGAACATTTTGAAGCGGAGAGTTGAGCTAAATGGCTGATGGGCAGGTGCTGCCGAGAAGGTACGTAGCCAGTGTGATGGTTCAGTGAGTGCTCCTGCGTATATCCCTGGTATGTTGATGCTACGTCTCCATGGTAGTGCTTGCGTGCTCCGCATTGGCACCATTTCTCTAGTTGATAAGCCCACGCTCTCTTTGTGACTCACAACATCTCCCTCGCATCAATGACCGAGCGGATTTTATTTGAGTGCATTGACAGATCCTACATCTTCTGCCTTGACCACTCTCAGTCTCTCAGCACCGTGAGAAAAGCTCTGTGTGGTCCCAACTGAATCCTTGACCCTCCACAAGGTAGCCTTGACTTCACCAAACATGTCTGCTCAGGACACCAGACCATTGACCTCACTCCCAAGCCTCATCATGACCACGATACCATTTGTCTTTCTCTGGAGCACATTGAAAGCCTATGTCGCGAACAACGGGCCCTTCACTTTCGCCCGACCGGTGACCCGTCTCAACAACCAGGTCTACGCTTTGTTCTCGCTGGCACTCGCCTTATTGATCCTCAACGACGTCGTCCAATTCCAAAACCTCCAGCAGGTCAGGACCGCAGACCTCGCGTACACTTATCACCTATCCAAGTTCTACGAGTACATTGACGTCTTCAACCTGTCCGCGGCGGGCAGTCCGATCAACCACCACATGGCGTTTCACCACATCACGACACCCCTTCTGACTCACTTCCGCGTCTTGAATGCCTCAGACTGGCAACCTTTCGCCTTTCTCAACTGCTTCCACCACTTCTGGATGTACGGCTACTTTGGCGGCGTGTCTTCGTTCCGGCCCGTCATGCGCGTCACCGGTTGGGTGCAGCTGGCCGTGGGCATTGGACTCGACCTTCACTACTTTGTTACTCAAGGCGCAGATGCTCCCGAGGCTAAGAGCCGCGCGATCAGCTTTGTGCTCATGAGCCGGTACGCGATGCTACACTATGCAGAAATAAAGGAGAGAAATGCGCAAAAGGCGGACAGTGCAGAAAAGAAAGGCGAGAAACCAGATTAGCCCATTTCGGTGGATTCTGAGTCACTGTCCATCACAATGTAATGAGCCATGGGCCCAAGCCTCAATTGGCGACGTTGATCAACATGGACTTGACGCTCAGGTATTCCTCGATGCCCTGTCGTCCACCTTCTCGACCATACCCACTTTCCTTGACACCACCGAAGGGACTCTCGCAGGCGCTGAGCATCCCGAGGTTGACGCCAACCATGCCGACTTCCAATGCTTCTGTGACCCGGAATGCTCGTGGGATATTTTCCGTGCAAATGAAGGATCCCAGACCGACGTTGCAGTCATTTGCCATTTTGATGACATCTTCCTCGGTGTCGAATTCGTACAGCCCGACCACGGGAGCGAAGGTCTCTTCCCGCGTGGTGATCATCTCCCTGTTCATCCCTTTGATGACTGTTGGCTGGAGGAAGTAACCTTTCAAGTCCTTCAACGGCTCTCCTCCAAGGACGACCTGACCGCCGTGTTTCTTAGCATCTGTTATGAGTTAGCCGCCGTTTGGTGAAGAGCTACCAGGTCTTGCGCTTACCATTGATGTGATTCATCGCCTTTTCGACGGCTCGCTCGTGCGTCAACGGGCCCACAAAGACTCCTTCCTCAGTTCCTGGTCCGACTTTAAGCGATTTGATTTTGACCGTCAGAGCTTCGGCGAACTTGTCATAGATGCCCTTCTGTACAAAAATCCGGTTGGCAGTCACACAGGTCTGGCCAGAGTTTCGGAATTTGGCCAAGATGCAAGCTTCGACCGCCGTGTCGAGTTTGGCGTCGTCAAAGACGATGAACGGGCTGTTTCCACCTAGTTCGAGTGATAGTTTCTTGAGGCTATCACTGCATTGTCTTGCCAGGAGTTTACCGACGCGAGTACTGCCTGTGAAGCTCAATTTCCGGACCAGACTGCTCTTACACAGTGCGTCGCCGACTTCACTGACCAGATTGAGGGTAGTGATCACGTTGATCGAGCCTTTGGGAAATCCAGCTTCATGCGCAAGGACAGCTTGTGCAAGAGAACTCAACGGAGTTTCCCCAGCCGGTTTCCACACCGTGGTGCATCCTGCTGCCAACGCTGCGCCCACTTTCCTTGTGATCATGGCAATTGGGAAGTTCCAAGGGGCGAGACATGCTGCGACCCCGATTGGTTGCTTGAATGTCAAGATGCGTTGATTCAAATTGGCCGTGGGAACCACTTCACCATGCACTCTTTCCGCTTCACCAGCAAACCATTCGAGGAAAGAAGCCGCATAAGTGACTTCACCTTTGGCCTCGACCAGGGTCTTGCCATTTTCCAGAGTCAGAATCAATGCAAGATCGTCAATATTCTCCAGGCAGAGGTCGCTCCACTTCCGCAGCCACCTTGCACGCTGACGGGCGGTCGTCTTTTTGAAGCTCTGAAAAGCTTCGTGTGCAGCTGCGATAGCTTTGTCGGTGTCCTCGGCGCCCATTTCGGGGATAGTCGCGATTTTGTCCAGCGTCGCTGGGTCGTAGACATCGAATGTCTTCCCCGAGGCTGCATCGACCCAGCTGTCATTGATGTACCCTTTTGTCTGGAACAGGTCTTTGCGCTTCAAATCGTTCAAAGTCTTGGGCGCCATGTTTGCTTGCGGGAGTCGTGGTCGTCTCCTGTCGTTCTCTTTCTGAGTGTACTGGATACGCAGTGGAATTAAACAAGTTGCTGGTCGTCGAAGTCGTAAGTATAGATTGAAGTAGGACCTTGGTTTGAGTAATCCCAATAGGATGGCAAAAAAGCTAGGTCGCTTGGGATCGGCACTTCAGCTTTTATATATCACTCGAAGACCGTCTTCACACTGACTCTGCCATCCAGAATGCAGACACCTCATAGGCTCAATCCCCACATGATGGCGTTGGAGAGAAACCGCCGCAGAGAAACCCAAATGAACCACTTGTGCGGGGGTTTGTTGGAGGAGTTTTGTGAGATGTTTCCTGATCGCCGAGGATGTGGCCGCCATGGGCCAAGCTCGGCTTCAATTCTTGTTGGAGAAAGGCCTTATGGTGCGGGTGATGAGATTTAGACTGGAGGGGTTGGGTGAGACTCTTGTTCCAGACTTCCCTCCGCCTCTGTATGTTCCGTCAGGGGAAGTGTCACGCGAGGCTTTAGAAGGCTAGGAGAAAAGAGAGATCTGACGAGGCTGCCAGCAAATCTACACAATAGTTCGTGGTCTCACTGGCGCCTTGGACTCCAATTCTTAGCTCTCCATCTTCTCTTGCTGCCGTCTCGCAGATCACCCGTCGTGAAAGAAGTGTCGCACCGATTTTGGTTCTGGAAACCCAAGAAGCTCTTGGCGGGATGTCTTGGTATGTAGCACGACATTCTGAGCAGGATAGTAGGTTTTGTCGACTCTTGTTTCAGGCATATCACGTTCCTCACTTTCGTCACATTGGCGAGGACGGCCAGTATGGAAGCCCAGAGGGTGGACACTACCTTGTGATCTTCCATAAGACGTCTCAGGCTGGGCTGCAGCCAATAAAGCTATGTGATTTGCACAAATATCCCGCAAAACAAAAAGTGTAGCAAGAAGATATCTCAAGGATCCTCTAAGTCGAAGTTCGGGAGCACCGCAGATGAGGTGAAAAGAAAGCCCAATCCAGAAATGCTCAAGGTCATACATGATACTTGTTAATGCATACTAGGGCTGGCACCAAAGAGAGCAGCAAGAAAACTGGCGTGCCAGCCCGGGCCACCGGGATACATGAGAAACAAGCAACCAAAGCAATTCGGAGGAGCTTTCGGATGGATGCCGTACAATCGCACGCCTTAACAAACTGAAACCAGGACAAATCCTCAATCCCATGGTGATGCGATCTTTTCCTGCGATAGACTAGGGACAAAAGAACATTGTCAGAAAGTGGATGCCGAAGGAAGATGATTATGGGGACCAGATTTACTAGCCGGCGGTTCTTTCGACCACAGAGGGAGCTTTTTAGGCCAGATACAATTCGCTCGTTCAGGGAGTGCATACGAGTAACGAGTACCGCGTACAAGATACGAGGAGGGTTTGTCCCCCCGAGCAAGCACGCTGAGGCTGGCTGGCATCAGGCCCAGGCTAGGGAGTCTGGCAGGTACAGGGCCTGAAATTGAGTATTCAGGCTCACGACTGTTTAGCATCTCCCTGGCTCACCCGGTGTCTGATGGATCACGAGATATTGTTGCTACATGTTCACAGGATGGAAGACAGACATGCCGGAACTCTTGACCCCCTTGAACCTTCCCACCAAAAAAAAACCAACAGCAGCAGACCATGCGAGACATTATTTGACCTCTCGACCACTCAAATTGGCTGAGATCTTCTTTCGAGCATGGTCTGGACTATCCCCTGGGCCTCGAGCTGGCGTGGCTAGTAGGTGCTAGGGGAGCCTCCTCGCCTCCTGGCCTCCTGGGGAGCCCTAAGTGCTCGGCTGGCGCCCGTTAAATTAGCTTTGGTTCCAGATGCAGCTGACGCGCCATGGTGAAGGCCGGGAACGCCTCTTTTGCTGCCCGAAACGGCGAATTAAGCACCACGTGGAGATTGGAGATTGTGTCTTATCCGCAAGCTAACCCGACTTTCCCAAGCCTAGTGAGCCCTATCGAAGGCTCTGGACCACCCTGGGTGACCCCCTGGCATTTCCCTAGCTGACTTATCGACCTGTATGGACATGGCCACCCAAGTGATTAGCACTGACTGACTCCCTGGGGACTTTTCGCCAGCATATCTGCGGTCAGCATGCCGAAGTAGCAGACCAGACGAAGAATCCTGAATATACCCAGCCCAACATGTGTCTCCCGAGTACCGAGTACCGAGTACACAGGCATTAGGTGAGCATCAATTCACCATTACCAAGGCACCTACCAGGCTTCCCACCATCCCGGACGTGCGGTCTCGGTTCTGCAAAGCATGGGGTGTATTAACGACCTGGGCGCCCCGAGCGCTAAACAGAGGGGTGGCACCCGGTGGCTATGCTGGCCAACCGTTTTTGGCCATTCCCTGTTTCCACATGTTGACTTCGTGCGTGTTCCTTTGTTGCGCCTCTGGACACTTTTCACCACATCCGACACACGACACACAACTCTACGAACCGATGGCCCGAAAGTCTCACGCTGACGGCTGTTAATCCAACTCCTCATTCCTCCCTGCGACGGTTTGGGCTAGCACAATATGGCTGACTGCAGGTGTCAGGGGTCCGTGCGCCTCTGGACGCCCAGTGTCGAAGCCACTAGCAGGAGAACGCACTTCCCTTGGCCTCCTTAACCCTGTACCTACTACACCTACTGTACGGGGTACAGGAGCACAAGGTGGGTAGTCTACACGAGATAGCATGTATATTAAGTAACTTTCACGTCCGCATGGCAGTGGTTTTGTTCTTTTAGCTTCCCACCTTCGCTGAGCCGCTGCATTCAAATTCTCTGGTTGTCCCAGCCTGACGGTGTCATTTTGTTCTCACACTCGTTTCTAGCTTGTGCTTCTTTCCAGAACGAACGTCGAAGCGATCACCACCACACTCTCTTCTTATTGCCTTCTCAAAATGGGCGCTCCAGGTGCTTTACAAGTGGGGATTTGCGGCGCTGGTGTTGCTGGACTGAGTGCCGCCATCGCTCTGAGAAAGATCGGTCACGACGTCGAGGTCAGTTCAAGAACGTGTCTCTCTATACTCTGGTTCAGATTCTATGATCGGGGAAAGCAACTGACACCTCGGGCGACTAGATCTTCGAACGCTCTCAATTCAAGAACGAAAATGGCGCCGCCGTATCTATCCCGCCCAACGGTACCCGGGTTCTGGAGCATTGGGGATTTGACCCCGTCAAAGCCGGCGGGATAGAGAATATTCAGGTACGTCCGATTATTCGAGGATTCGCATTCCAGGAACCAACCATGGCTACCATACCTCCGCGACGGCGATCCTCGTCTGCCACCAGTAGAGGGATCTCCGGGCGGCTGACAGACGCGCATCTAGGTCCGTCGGCCTAAGGGTGACACACTGGAACCCATGGCCCCAACATTGAACTTCTCCAATGTGGAACAACTCTACGGCAACAAGTGGTACTTCTATCACCGGGTCGACATGCATCGCCGCCTGAAGGAACAAGCCGAGGAAGCGGGTGCGATCATCAGGCTGGGGAACCAAGTGATGGACGTGGACCCGGAGACTGGGATCATCTCTCTGAAGGGTGGAATCAAAGTGCAAAAGGATCTTGTCATCATCGCTGATGGCCAACATGTGAGAGCATTGTTCCCCCCCCGTCGTGACCGACTTTCCTACGACGTATCCCGCTGACTCGGGTTACTTCTAGGATCGCCTCAACGCGAAGATTACCGGCAAGGAAGTTCCCATGAAGAGGAGCGGCCAGACCGCATATCGGTGCCTCATCCCCATGAAGGACATCCTGGCGGACGAGGAGACCAAATTCCTGTTCGAGAACCAACCGCCCGGGTTCTGGGCCCCGGCCCTGCCAGCCAAGGGCGTCATGGCCGTCACTTATCCTTGCCGAGACAACGAAATCCTCAATGTCCTGGCCGTGCACCGGAGACTCGGCCAGCATGCCACGAGTGAGGACGACGTGGTGATCGAAGACTGGAACTTCCCCGCGACCCACGACGACCTGGAGAAAGTTCTCGACGGGTTCCATCCGGCGGTCAAGAAGGTGTTTTTGAAGTCCCCCGAGGTGAAAGTCTACACCCAGATGAAACGGGATCCCCTGAGCAAGATGACCAAGGGCAAGGCCGTCTTGATTGGCGATGCCTGCCACCCCATGCTCTTGACCCACGCTCAGGGCGTCTCATCCTCCATCGAAGACGCTGCAGCCCTGGAGCTCTTCCTCGCCGACGTCCCTGCCTCCGGAGATGTGACTGCCGCGCCGTCAGAGAAGCTGCTGCAGCGCCTGTCGCAGTTCGAAGCCTTCCGTCTGCCCCGAGTTTCCGCGACCCAGATCCTGACGGACCCCGTTGTTCCGGGTCCTCAGGCCGCGGCCAACTATGCGAAGCAAGAAGCCGAGATCCGCAAATACTATTCCGGCCCTCTGCCACCCACGGGCGCAATGCCGCACAGTCCACCGATCTGCCAGTTCTTCTTCGGGTATGATGTCCGGAAAGAAGCCATGAAGTTCCTCGCAGAGCTCAACGGCGAGAAACAGACGAACGGCGAGACCCCGGCATCGGTGACTGCTGCTGCTGCTGCTGCTGCTGCTGCTGCTGCTCCAGCTCCGGCCCCAGCTCAACCGCTTGTCGAGGCGAGATCCGTCACACCCCCCGTTGCTGCCCAAGAGACAACAACCACCGACCCCACCGCGATGGAACTCAAGATTAAGGACCTCGAGCGCCGACTGGCCGAGATGGAGAGCAAACTGGCCGGCATGAGTGTCCAAATATCGTTCCGGGAGGTCCAGCCCACGCCGCCCGAGTCGCCGCCGACCACGTTCGGGAGATCGCCGTTCATCGTGACCGCTCCTTGAGAGGGGAAGAGAGTCGTCGCCGAAGAGAGGCCTCTTGGTCCAGAGCGGTATTTATATATATATAAATTTATATGGTCCTGGATTGGAGGGAAGAAAACACAAATGTTAGTGTATAACATTGGTTGGATGTGGGAGTTAAACGGGAAGAAGAGATCCAGGGTATGGGATAATGTGAGCGTATTGAAATTAGCGCCATTTAATGAAAGATATTTTCTGGTTCATTAAACTAGTTTGGTTGTCCCAAGTATGGAGTCGATCACATGCTAATTACTCGGTGCTGTATTCAACGTTACTTGCATATACCGAGTACCTCGTACAGCTCGACAGGATACTGTATATGCTGGACGCGCTAATGTGCTGTAAGTCGCGGGCGCGGCTTGGCAGAACAGATCCGATCGAAACTCCAACCCGAATCTTTGCTTCCCCATATTAGAGCACAAGCACGAGCACGAAACTTACAAGACCTCAACTCGCTCGAGGCCTTTTATTGCGGGGGTTTCCCTGCCTTTCCTTTGCTTGTGTTCTTCCTGTTCAATCCGGTCGTCGGCGCTGGGTGCATGGGACAGGTCTGCACCTGGCGACGCACAAACATGCGGCTCCAACTCCTCATCCAGCGCAACTCGCTCCCACCAGTCACCATCATTCACACCACAGGCACCGGCCCCTCCTCACATACGAAGTCCCGCACCGCTACAATCGCCGACCTCCTCGCTGACGTTAATGATATCGTTCCCCTAGAGTCTGCGGACGGCGAATGGGGTCTGGAGGACTATGTCGTCGAAGTTGCGGCCACTGCGGACCAACACTTGACATACGAGTGCTTGCATTATCAACCCTTGCACAGTGTGTTGAGAGAAGATGATGAGGTGGTGATCAGGGCGCTGAGCAGTGAAGATCTGAGGGTCAGGAGGCTAGGTGGGCGCCATCAGATTACGGGTGATGGCAGACATCTGATTGATGGTGTCGCATTCGGCAGACAGTGGCTGAGGAAGGCCGATAGACCGGGTATTGTCATTCCACCCAGGAAGAGAAGGAGAATTCTACTCGACGAGCATACCGATGCCGCGAACGAAGAAGACCCTAAGCGCATTCTCTCTGCCGCTGATGAGGAGGAGGACAATCCCATGCATGCTTTGGTGCTATTTGCGAACCAAGAAGAAGAGGACGATGACGATGACGACGACGACTATGTGGATGAAGGCGATGCTGATATCGACGAGCCACAATCGCAAGTCACCATCAGAGAAGATTTTGACGACGCAGATGCCGACTCAGAAGACGAGGACGAGCCAGATGGGGATGATGCAGACGAGCCTCTCTCCTCAGAGCTGAAGCACCTGCTCGAAGATGCTGCCGAGATTGAGCAAGCTGCCAACATGGCCATCGCATTGCAAGTCATTGACAAAAAGCTAAAGAGAAAACGAGACATCAGAGACGATGGTGAAGAGCACGAACATGAGACATTTGAAGGGTTCTCCAGTCCCATACACCGTTCACCTGCTACGGGTAGTGGCGCTGAGCTGGAGGACGGCGCAGACGAAAGTTCGGACAGCATGATGAAAGAGATCGCAGATCGACAGGCCGAAAGACGTGCCAGGAACGTTGTTGAAGATGACTCTGACGACTCTGATGATTCCGATGTAACTTCAAGCTCGGATGTCACATCTTCTGACTCTGATGCTGATACCACGATTGAAGCGATTGCCATAAAGCAAGCCAAACAGCGAGCTTTGAACCTCATCAGAGATGAGGATGATGACGATGAAGACGACACGTCGTCAAGCTCTGCTCCAGAGAAAGATGAGAGCGATGATGATATCTCCTCGACCTCGGAATCCGAGTCTACATCTGGGGAAGACAGCTCGTCAGAATCTGAAATCACGTCTGACTCCGAGTCAGATATTGAAGAGACGAAGTCAGAGAAGGCCTCCGTATCCAAGGCAGCTCGACCCATAGGGGCTCTCCCAACAAGCACGGCTCCAGGACAGCGGGCAGTGTCATCGGTCGGGGTTCCTTTTCAGGGAACAAATAAGACGCACTATAACAACAAGAGGGTGAAAAGAAGGAAGCGCCTAACCGAGCTTAAGAAGCAGGGGTTGCTACCTGAAAATGCAGGCTTTGAGGAGCTAGCGAAGTACGAGATTGCGCAACAACAGGCGACGGCGGCAGAACAGTCAATGGTCGTCGAGGAACAAGTTGAGGGCCCAGCACAAGATGACATGCAAAACGTGGAAAACGGCGAAGAAGCAATTGCCCCTCCGGCCGTGAAGGAGATCAAGAAGGACCATATGAAGCCTTCAAATGACGCCGAGTCTACCACAACCAGCGCTGCTCCTGTCGATCCTAGACCTACCGAGCTCAAACCACTCGGGACCTCCGAGATTGAACCCACAGTGGCTGTGGGATTGGCAGCTCCAAAGAGAGCCAGACTCGATGTGGCCAGTACCCGTCGCCTGGTTTTTGGATCTCTTGGTTTGAGAGCACCGAAGAACGCCGAAGAGGTGCGTGCACTGAGGGAGAAGCTGTCACAAAACCGTCGACAGCCAATACTGTACAAGGCCCCTGGTGACAGCAGTGCTCTGGAGTCTCCCAAGGTCCCGCCCGCGGTCAAAAACGATGACGATCTCTGGAAGAACAAGCTGATTGTGGCTGCGGTTGAATGTGAAGAGCCCGGAGTTTCCTTGCCGCCGCCACCATTTCCCTTTGAACAGGGCTGGGCACGGCCGGGAAAGAACAAGCGGAAACTACGCGATCAAAGCCAGTATTATCAGAGCGGAAGTAAGCGGTCATGCGAGAGAGCCTCTGCGCCTGATGTTTCAACCCTGAGCTACGACGAGGTCTCGGATCACGTTTCCGCTAACCATGCCGTCCCGACTGTCGATGGAAGTTCCGGTACCGTGCCAGCTCAGGAGGATCTGGACGAGCTCCCAGAGCTTCAGCAGGCCATGGTCCTTCCCGGAGCCACTATCGCTTATAAAGAATTGCACGTCGATGCATCGACCAACTATCAACCAGAAGTGTCTCAATACAGGGTTGGCCAAGTGTCGCAAGTGGATGAAGACGGCACTGTGCACCTTCAGCTGGAGAAGAGCTCACTGGCCACAAATGTGAAAGGCAAAATCGATCCACAGACAGGTCAAAGAGTCTACGGCAAGTTCGAGCTGGTGGGTGAAGATCCAGATGAAGGGGCAGACGATGGTGTTCGCGAGATTTCGATCTCGGACATGATTTCTGCGAAACTGGTCAAACCCTCTGTGATACAAGTTCCCGACAGCAACCATGTTAGTGACACAAAGAGTGGCGAAGTACCCGGACTGTCAAGCAACGACGAATTTGCTGCCATCCCGGAATCAGCGGAACAAGATATCCAGGGAAATGATGCAGCAGGCAAGCCCAGTGCAGCCGCACCGATGGTCGAGACCCCTCGCAAACAAGAGATCAACGGGATAATCAAAGCTGCCGGGTTCAACTCAGCTCTAGATGCGGAATTAATGCAGCCCATTCGCGACCCTACTACCGGGGATGCCGATGAAGCAATGGCAATGACTCAGACGCAACAACAATATCCTCACAGATTTCGTCCCGGATCACCTGGTGCCGATTTGTCTTTGCCGGGTATGAAGACTTCGTCAGACGCAGACACCAGAGCAGATCACGCTGACGGCCCTGGTGATGGTGACACCACAGGGAGTTTCCAGTTTCCTTTACCGTCGTCACCATACATGCCGACCCAGGAAACTGTTGAATATCCCCATTTATCTCAAATGCAAATTGATTCGTCGGATCCTACGAACACCACCAATAGCACCGCACATCAGGATGCACAAAAGTACTCACCAGCTCCGGCTCTTGACCTATCCTCGACTGCGTCTGACTCGCAGAAAGCTGGGAAGAAAAGTGAACTAGACGCCGAGCACTTCGAAGATGAAAACCCGCGCCTTTCAGAGGACGTGCCTAACTCGCTCAGGTCCGAGGTACCGGAGTCTCAATCCCCCAAGACCTCGATGATTTCTCAAAACACTGAGGCAGACGACGAAGAGAATGCAGACAGAAGTTCTTTTTTAGGAGGACCTGGGTACGATGGTCAAGACTCATCGTACCATGATGACAGTGAACTACCTTCTTTCAATGAGCTTCCTCCACCGGGCCAGAGAAGACGCAGGCGGACCCGAAAAATGCATCCTCCGCCATCCAGGAGGTCTCCTCGACATGCCGTGAAAAAGACACGAACGAGCCTGGCCCCGTCAAGCAGCCCTGAAATCTCGGCTTCAAGTCAGCTTGACATCAAGCAGTCGCAAAGCCAGAGAAAGCCAAGACTGTCTGAGATTCCTTCCCAATCATCCGTGGTGGACCTGACTCTCTCGGACGATGGTGATAGTGATTCAACGTACGGCCAGAAGCAAATCGAAGTCGAGGTCAAAAGTCAGGATCGGAGCACCAGTGCGAGAGGTGACAAGAAGGATAAGGGGATCGGGAAACGAAGATTGCTCACAACGAAGAAGGCCAGTGAATATTACTGAAGACAGGAGCTGCATACGCTGCAAGAACCACGGACAATCATAGGCCGTAGAAACTCATGAAAAATATGATAGAAAGCCGAACACTGGCACCGTTTGTGCGACAATGGTGATTAATGATAAATTCTGCTGGGGTGTACAAGTAATAATAGACAAAGTGAGGCTCAAGGCTAAGATTGGCGTCATCCGCTTCCGAATGCTTCGCGACAGTCTGGCTTCTTCACACGTTCACTTTTTGGCCTTATATTCGACTCGGCTGCTGTCTTCCGTCGAGGCTGTCGCTCGTAGACGCTCTGCCGTTTTCATAATGTATCATCGGTAACGCTCGCATGCAACCTGCCGTGATGGCTCGGAGATTCGATGGGGTCTTCACGATCCTCCTCTGTAAGTCATGCGCATGCTGGAGTCTGAACCTGGGCTAAATCAACATCGCCTCCAGATTTGTCCATCGCCATCACTATCCTCGTCCCTGCCTCCCGGACCTCGACGACGGTCGGCGCCGAACTCGTGGACGCGGAGCTCGATTCCCCACGAAGCGAGCAGGAGAAACAGAACTACTGGGCGCAGGGTGGAAATGACATCGTTCATGAGATATGGTCGGTGCTACGGGACTTCGAACCAACGTGGAAGGACAGTGTGACTCCGGCACAACCTTCTGGCCTCCTGGGCACCGTCTGGCACTACACGAGAATCATCTTCCGCGCCCTGTTCATGAATACGCCCACGCGAAACGACAATAATGCCCCCCGGGTCAAGGGAGACTTGAAAAAGGGCGTCGATTCCCTCCACGCGGCGGCCTCTTTCGATGACCCTGATGCCATCTTTCTGCTGGCAGAGATGAATTTCTATGGCAACTTCTCCTACCCCCGCGACCTCGAGCGAGCCAAATACTGGTACCACCGGTTGGCCGACTTGGACGGCAATTCGACGGCACAGTACATGCTGGGCTTGATGTACGGCACGGGCATTGGCGGTTTGGAAAGAGACCAGGCAAAAGCTCTGCTATATCACACGTTTGCCGCAGAACAAGGGAACATCAAGTCGGAAATGACGCTGGCGTACAGATATCATGCCGGCGTGGGGTGTTCCCGCAGCTGTGAAAAGGCTGTTTCTTACTACAAGAGGGTCGCCGACAAGGCCATGTCGTATTGGCAATCAGGACCTCCGGGAGGCCAGTCGTTTGTGCGAAACTCGTACCGCTGGGTGGAAGTTGACGGAGGCATCTACGGCGAAGGCGCGAGTGTCAGCTCCTCCGGCCCCAATGCTCCCCGAGATGGTCTCACCGCGGCACACATCGACTATGTCCTCGACTATCTCGACACGAAAGAACGACAAGGAGATTTCAACGCCATCATCACGCTGGGCAAACACTACTACGAAGCTCCTCGCGGATACAAGCGCAACTTTCGCAAAGCACAGCGTCAATTCATGAAAGTTGCGCGGGTCTATTGGACCAAGGACGGCAAAGTATCCCCCAAAGCACCAAAGGGGATTGAACGGGTGGCAGGAAAAGCGGCAGCCTATATTGGACGCATGCTCCTCCGTGGCGAGGGCATGGAACAAAACTTTGAAAAGGCTCAAGTGTGGTTCAAGCGAGGCATTGCCCTGGGTGACTCCTTCGCGCAATACCACATGGGCCTGATGTATCGCGACGGCCTGGGCGTGCCGCAGGACGGGACCCGTGCGGGCTCGTACCTTAAGGCTGCAGCGGAACAGTCGCTCCCCTTGGCACAGTCGGCGCTGGGAGTGCTTTTCTTGGATCAAGGGGACATTGAGACCGCGGGACGATACTTTGAACTCGCCGCGGGAGCGGGCGTGATGGAATCATTCTACTATCTTGCTGAGCTCACCAACCAGGGGGTCGGTCGCGAGCGTAACTGTGGCCTGGCAGCTGCCTATTACAAGGTGGTCGCTGAGAGGGCCGAGATCTTGCATTCGTCTTTTTTGGAAGCAAACTCGGCCTACGAAAGAGGAGACTTTGAAAGAGCGTATATCCCTACGATCATGGCCGCGGAGCAAGGGTATGAGAATGCCCAAGCCAACGTGGCATACTTGCTCGACCACAAGACGTCGGTGATTGCGCTGCCCAACGTTGGTATTCCTCTGCTCTCGACCACCAAACCGAGTTCGAAGAAGAGCCCACTGCTCGACGACCCCTACCTCGCGCTGGCATACTTCACCCGCTCCGCCAAACAAGCCAACGTCGACTCCTTGATCAAGATGGGCGACTATTATCTCTCCCTGTCCTCCCCCACCAACGCTGCTCTCACGCGTTTCCCGAATGGAGACCATGCTGACGCGAAGACCAACCTGGAGAAAGCCACGACGTGCTACACCACGGCTGCCGAGACGCACCATTCGGCCCAAGCCTCTGGAACCTAGGTGGATGCACGAGAACGGCGTCGGCAGCGTCACGCAAGATTTCCACATGGCTAAACGCTACTACGACCTTGCGCTGGAGATGAACAAGGAGGCCTATCTGCCGGTGACGCTGGCGCTGGCGAAACTCCGGCTGCGCAGCTGGTGGAACGGCGTGAGTGGCGGCAAGATCAACGGCATCAAGGACGAAGAAGGGGACGAGGAACAGAGGAGACCCAAGACGTGGATCGAGTGGGTGAACCGGTTCCTGGACGCCGCCGAGGAGATGGACGCGCGCGAGGCCGAGGCTTTCGCGCGAGAGCAGAACGCAGACGACGAGCTGTTGGCATACGCCGACCCGGGAATGGCTGCTGGCGGCGGCGAAGCCGAGTACACCGACCGCCACCCGCACGCACACCACGGGCAGCCGGGCGGAGGAGGCGACGTCTACGGCGCGGACGAGTGGGACGAAATCGACGACGGCCTGGTCGAGAGCCTCATCATCATCGCCCTCGCGGGCGCTTTGGCCCTGCTGGTCTACGCCCGCCAGGCCCGGCAGCGGGTGTTGGAGGAGGAGCGGCGTCAGGCTCAGAATCAGAATCAGAATCAGCATCAAGCGCCCGCGCCTCAACAGCCACAGCCACAGCCACAGCCTGGACGAGGCGATGGAGATGGCCAGCAGGACAGAGGCATGTTCCCGCCCCCCGGGGATCTGGATTGGAATAACTGGGTTGCGGGCGGGATCGGGCATTGAGAGCGACAGAAAACGGTGAATTATCATGTTTATTATTATTGTTATCACGACCGACGGACGGGGGAATAAGATGATGATGATGATGGTGATGGGGGTTGTCTCTTCTTCTAGGGCTCGCGTCCAGAGCCGAGTCAGTAACATAAGATTTCTTCAACGCTATCTATCTTTGTACATCCGAGACGTCCAACCGTGTCCGGCGTACATGTGGGCTTGTTCTTTTGGTTGAGCTTGAGTTGAGTTGAGTTGAGTTGAATTGAGTTGGGATAGATACATCCATCCACTTTACACAGACAGCTTCAATAAATAAACTGGCTCCGGATGCCGCTTCATCGCCGACTCTGAGACACGATATCCGCGCTTTTTCTGCTCTGCTCTGCAGTGCCGGGTGTCTCTCGACCAGCATGTACAACGGTGTAACGAACGGTATGAGAGGACGAAATCGAGACATCTCGTACTCGAGCAAGGTCTAAGTCCCCCAACCGAGATATATGAGGTTTCATCAAATGCATTCACACATTGCTCTGGGCGTCGCCAGGGAAAGCTCTCAAGCCGTGTGATTGTCTTTTCCGTATGAGAGAAGCGAGATGCTTTGCTCTGCCTCGTTCCCCGCGCTGGAGCAAAGTATTGCAGTGTGCCAGACCCCCTTCCACGTCTCAATGGTCCCCAGGGTGGTGGACCCTGGTTGCAAGCAATCAAGTTTGTGATTGCAGACACAAACGCGGGTGTCTGTACCGTGTACCGTTGTTGCCCTTGGGCGTCGAGCTTGTCCTTGTTGTCCTTGTTGTCCTGGCCAGGACACTCTCGGGCTGTCGTTCATTTCGATTGCATTCGAGAGTCTTGGTCCTCGGGGGGGTTGGCGGTGTTCAGGAGCTTCCGTCAACCGGTCCTTTGCACGAAACCCAGTTGGGCACCACGTTGCTGCTGCTGTCAAGCACCACTGGTGCTGTCATGCACGGTCTGCACCTTCTTATATTCCTCCTCCAGCTGTCTCTGCAAGTCAAAGTCGGCCTGGCGTTCTCGCTTGATGCGTTGTTGCTCCATGTCTCTGACGACACCGGCGTGCATGGCCTGCCCCACACAAGAATGAAAGAAGTCAGTCTCGAAGTTCACACGTTTCATTGAACCATGTCCATCACAGACGATGGGTCGAGGTCCGGAGGAGGGAGAAACGTACAGCTTGTTCGGCAGTCTGGGCCCAGTGCACAAAAGCGACGATGCCGGCGGTGCCCAGAATAGTGCTGAGGAGGGTGACTTTAGAGGCTGTAGACATTGTCTTTTGAGTCGTTGAGTGCGTCCAGGGGAGTAGTGGTCTGTGGTCTGTGGTCTCTTGGTGTTTGGTGTGAGTGAGAAAATAAAATGTTTAAGCGGATTGGAGTTGGAGCTGAGTTGAGCTCCGCAGCCTTTCTGAGGGAGAGCTCCGCCGGGCAGGTGAAGGCGCAGCGCAGGCGTCATCGCAGCACAGGAAGATAGCATTCTTTTCTTCTGCGCAACTCACTCTGTGACTTCTCGCGAGTCCATCCCCTCCTGCTTTGCTCCTCGTCGGCCTCTTTCTCTTCCCCTCCTCAAGCCTTTACCATACCAACATTCACAACTCCTCAATAGCAAAATGGTACGCACAGCTCTGTCCCCTCCCTCTCTCCCTCCGCGGCCTTACGTTTATGCTAATATCCGTGCAGTCTGCCCAAAACTCAGCGGGCATTCAGACCCTGCTGGACGTAAGTCGACGATGAGATTGAGCAGGCTGTAGAGGTTCTGAAGGTGTTGGACAGGCAGAAAAGGAGGCCCAGAAGATTGTCCAGAAAGGTACACCCCCATATCCCAGCATGTCCACGTTTCCATGCTAACAGATCCCCGAAGCCAGAGAATGTAAGCTTGCGACATCACGTCTCTCTCCCTTCCCTCGATCCCCTGTTCCCGGATGCAGGTCTAACACGTCCGTCCGCTCGCCCGGTGACCAGATCGAACAAAGCGGGTAAAGGACGCCAAAGCAGAAGCTCAGAAGGAGATCGAGGAGTACCGGAAAAAGAAAGAGGAGGAGTTCAAGAAGTTCGAGGCCGAGGTGCGTATTCTACGGTAGCCCGCGCGAGTTCGAGAGAGAGTTTACCAATGTTGTGTCTGTGTGTAGCAATCGAGCGGGAACAAAAAGGCCGAAGACGATGCCAACAAGGACGCCGACGCCAAAGTCAAGGAGATCGACCAGGCAGGCAAGAAGGCCGGAGCGAAAGTCGTCGAGGACTTGATTAAGACGGTCCTGACCCCTCATCCCGAAGTGCCGGATAAGATCTCGAGGGAGGACTGAGGCAAACGGGGAGGTGTTTGTTTGATGTTTCCGATATGAGAGAAGGGGGGAGAGGGAGCCCGGGTGTTCTTGAGGGAGGGTGGGTGACTACCACTATTACAGAACGGCTGGCGCAACGGGAGTCGAATCGTCCACGAGAACATACTTAGACAGTGCCCATGGCCAGAGGGGGGAGGAGGGCATGCTATACAAGCATATTGACTCAATGTCATCCAAAGGGGCCAGAAGGACATATACAGTATGAACCCAGACTTTCTGGTAGTCTTGTGTGTATCCGGCCAGGCTCGACGCCTTGGGAGAGGGAGGCATTGTCATGTTGCCTTCCTTTCCCGCTCTCTGATCCATGTTGAAATGTACGCGGTTGAAAGACAATGTCTGTCTCTGTCCGCCTTCTCAACCGAGTCATGTCTAGAAATACAGGTTTACAAGCATTGCCCGCTCTCTCTCTTCCCTCCTCCCTCTCCATCTCTCTCAACGGTCAACGGGGGGGTCGTCGCTTAGAATCCCTCCTTCGCCAACTCCTCGGCCACGGCCAAGTAAAAAGCCACGGCGTTGAAGCGCTCCTGCACCAACCCGACCCGGCTGGCCATCTTCTTGAGCCGGTTCGTCCAGTTGATCAGGTCGAGGTGGGTGACGCCGGCCAGCGTGCCCTTGTACTCGCCCCACTTGGCCGAGCGCACGCTGACCAGCCCGTCGTTGGCGCCCTCCAGCACCGCCACCAGGTCGTGCGACAGTCGGAACACCGACAGCAGGTGCGGCGTCGCGCTGGCCCCGTACGAGAAGTACTTGACCGCCGGGTCGTTGGGCGTGCGCGGGTTGAATTCCTGCGTCACGTACTGCGTCGTCAGCTCCGCAAACGCCCCCGACGCGACGCCCATGCGTCCCAACAGCCTGTAGATCCGCGGCACCAGCTCCGGCCCGATGTCGCGCATCAGCATGTCCGCCGCCGAGCTGCCCCGGTGCGGCGTGGCCACTGTCGTGAGCGAGCGGACGCGGAAGAGGGACGGGGCCGGGCACAGTCGCGAGATCATGTACCGCGCGTCCAGCCCGCCCATGCTGTGCGCCACGATGTTGACTTGCCTTCCTCCTTGCCCCCCGCCCTCCTCGCGGGCCGTGGCGGCAGACAGTCTCTCTGCGATCTGGTCCATGAGCACCTGGGCGCGCTCGGCGATCGACGCCGTCCGGGGCACCTCCGTGGTGATGCAGGTGATGCCTCGCGCCTGGAACGCCTCCTTGATGCCGCGCCAGTAGCTGATGCCCGGCAGCAGGTCGCCCGCGAGCCGCAGCTCGTCGAACCCCATCAGCCCGTGCGCCAGCACGATCGGGTACCGGGGCGTCAGGTAGTGGGCGCGGAGCTGTGCGTAGTCGTTGACGATGAGGCGGCCCACGTCGGCGAGCGAGCCCGAATTGTCCGGGTCGTAGGACGGGACATTTCTACTCTGTTGGTCGCGGTCCAGATCGCCCAACGATGGTTGTTGTTGGGAGGATGTTGATTCATGTCGCTGTTTGTTGACACGCAGGCGAGTGTTTAAAGATGAACCGAAGGTGACTCGTCGTCTCCATCTCAATGGGTTTCCAGCATGAATATGGCGCAGGGCCCTCCATGGCATGCTACCGTCTCCTCGAAGAATCCACACTGTGTTGATCCCTTAGTATGCCGGATGGTTCAGAGTGTCCCATTTGCTGTACGAGGTAGTGTTTGTTATATTAATGGTTGATCAAAACCCGGAATAATAGATATCGGCTGGTACGTAGTGTGCGCCATTGGCTTCGGAGCTGGTTTCCGAAGTCTTTGCCGAGTATCAACCTCATGTATATCACACGCATCCACGAGCAGAGAAAGCAGAGCAGAATACAAGTCGATATATTCTCGCCGTCTATATTCTATGTACGATGGAAGCGAAATATACCAGGACTAGCACATCTGTTCTTGGCCGAGGCGTCTTCATTCTGTGCGTCGGTCCAACGACGTCGTAGTCCTTTCCGCTAAGCTCACAGGACTCGACTCATGCCCATCCAGACCGTTCATGGCGGGAATCCTGGGCGACGAGGTCGGCGTCTGGTACTGACTGAAACAAACCTTGACCGCCCCGTTGCTCCTCAGCTTGGTCAACTCATCCCTGACCTTGCCTCTGTTGGATTCGTCCCGCATTATCTTCCCTGCAGCGTAGGCACATCCCCCGTACGCAAAGCGAATCAACGAGTCCCCAGTCAGACTGCCGGTGATGAAAACACGCGGCGCAACTTCGAGGTCTTCATTCGCTTTCTCCCGCAGTGTCTGAGCTGATATGAGACCAGCACTTGCATTGCGTATCCCGTCCCCTTCCTTGGGCATTACTTCCCGAAGAAGGGTTGGTGAGAGATAACCGAGCGAGCCTCGTCTTCCGACCACGTATTCCAGACCACTCACGAGGCGCTGAAAGGGCGGTTCGCTCTTGCTGGCGTTTTGAAAGGTGACAGTCGCGGCGAGTCCGTCACCAGTGACTTGAACACCGACAACTTCAGTATTCGGCAATCCCTCGTATGTCGCGTTCCAGTCGCGAATCGAATCGAATTCAGACATGACGCGACGATATCTCGGGCGTCTGTCCTTGGGCTTGGAGGAAGTATTGGCGGCAAGTTTCATCCGCCGGTACACACCTGCATATTCCGGATAAGCTTGCTGGTGGCACGCACGCAAGGGAGAGGGTGAGGTCGACGGTGCCCACTTGTATATGTGAATGATCTTTTGGTCTGGCGGGCTCGAAATAATCACATCAGCAGCGCTGAAGCCGGAGCCAATGACAAGAAGGGGGTGCGGAGACGGTCCCGGCTGTTTGGCAAGAATTTCGATGAGTGGACGGAGGAGAGGGCGTGGTTGGATGAGCTCGCTGAAAATGCCAGACGCCAGGACGAGATGGCTGCACCGGAGATTATGCGACGCGATATAGAACCCATCTCCTCGACGAGAAACGCCCCCGACATGCTCCCCGTTATGGATCGAGTCGGCGATACCCACCTGGTAAGGATATTCGGCGAGATAGTCGGCCACAGCGTGTCGGGATGGCCTGAGATAGACGGGCATGGGACAGCCATTTCGTCTTTGGTAGTGTTTATCAAACCCGTAGCCTGGAAGGGAGATCATTCCGGCATAACTGAGGGTTCCAATGTCCCAACTGGCACGGACAGGGTTATCTACCCACTGGCCACCCGTACTGTGAGTCTGTCCAATGACCATATGAGAGACTGCGCGCGAAGGCTCGTATGCCCACCTGACACATGTCTTTTTCTCCGCGTCGTCCGTTTCCCCCAAGGGCCTCACTAATGTGTCGAGCAAGACGTTGATGGGCAAGGCTTGTGTTGAGTAGGAAAACCGCGAACCCGCAAAATGGTCCGTCAAGTAGTCGACATCGACATCAAGGAGATCGTGTTCCAACCCGAGCAGCTTCCCATGGAGGATGGCATCAGGATGTGGACTGGATGTATCATAGTAGGGAATGTGTCCATGGAGCATGTAGGAGAGAATCAAGGCGGAAGGGCCGTTTCCTGCCGGAGAGTCCGTGGTCAGTCTTGTTGCCCCTCTTATCTGTGTGGGAGAATTGAAGACTCGTGCAAGCCAGCACGCACTTACCGACGATGACAGTGTCAACCTGGTGAGGCTCGCCATGAGCCATTGAAAATCTCGTCCCCTTGAGGATTCTGGCATTGTCCTGGGGGTGATAGGAAATGTGGATGAATTACACTTCTGTCTTTTTCCCTCTTCTTTGGTGATGATGGTGGTGGAGGAGGAGGGGCGCTATCGGTTCATTCCAACGGGAGAAACGGGGAGGAGTTCTGACCCGCGGTAGGTTGGCCTGGTGAGCCAAGAGCCTGGAGCCTGGAGAGGCTGTCACGCCGCCTGTGGGTGAGGGGGTCACGGGGGCTTGCCGCCCCAATGGGATGTCATCATCGCGCCTGGAACCCCTAAAGCGCGGCAGGTTTCGCTAGGTTCGCAGCAACCCGTGGGGGCTCACTAGACATGAGGCCTAGCTATACACACTATTTAAGGATGCAGCTTTTACGCGAGGTCTCGAACCTCGTGCTGTCACCACTGTTGAAGATTCCGCCGTTCGTAATCACTTCAAATCGATCTTGAGAGAATACGCCAACCCGTCACCGCTGTCGGGGGGACTGTGGTAGCAATGAACCCTCCTCTGCAGCTAGCAAACTTGGCTGGTGACACTTCCCCAGAAGCATCGCAGACGATGCTGCTGCAGACGACCACCGGGTCACCCAGGGGTCGTCGAGACTTATTTAAAGCTTCCACACGGGCGGCCTCTTCTCAAAAAAGGCATTGACACCTTCCCTGGCATCGGCGGATCTCGCATGGAGAGCCATGAGCCTGCCTGTCCATGCCACAGCATCTTCATAACCATCACCTCCAGAGGCAGAGTTAGTCCCGTACAGTCCCAGTTGTGTCCAATATCCCCATTTGCCCAACGCCTGTGGCTGGGCAGCAGTTTTCTCGGATAACTGGCTGACTATTTGGGCAACCCGCATTTCCAGAGCTGCCCCATCTGGAAGCACCTCAACTGCCCTTCCTGGGAGCTGATCGGCCCGAACTGGCTCGGCTAAAGCTAGCATCCGGTATGTGAGGGCATGCCCCAGTCTGCGTGCAACGGCAGTGGACGGAGAAGTGCAAGGCAGCCCCAACGATGCTCCGGGCAGGCGGAATTGAGTGGAAGCACACGCCAGCGGGAGATCCGTCGTCAGAGCAAGCTGGGCCCCAGCGGCAGTCGCCAGGCCCTGGATGACCCCAATCACGGGGGCGGGAGACCGCCTGATCAAGGACATGACTTCGGCGCAGAGGGCGAATGTCTCCTTTACTTCCTCGTGGCTCAATCTTCGTAGTTCGCCCAAGTCGTGGCCCGATGAAAACACAGGTCCCTCAGTGCGTAATACGATGACATTGGGTAGTCCTTGTCGATGCTCTTGCCACTTTTCGATGTCGAGAAGCCATCCGTGTTCTTTTGCTGCCTCGGAATTCCCGTCCTTTGCGGCCACTTCTAATTCCTCGAGGATCTCCGGTTTGAAGGGGGGAAGTATCCTTATGCGGCCATCAATTGGTGACTTATTGTACGAGTGCAGCTGGTCGCGCAAATCTCGCAAGACGGCAAGCGACAGAGCATTTCGACGTTTCCCATTCTTGATGGCCAAATAAGCGGCGCGATTTGGCAAGGCTGGCCAAGTCATGTTGAAGGGCAGTCCTTATTGGTGGGCAGCCTTCTTTCTGAACAAGTCTGCCCATCTGCTCCGGACAGTGGACTTCAGAGAAAATTCATTACTCGGCGGAGACGCACTGTTGCGAAGCTCCCAAATATCGCCATTGCTAGTGGGGTACAGCAGCACGGGGCAATTCCCGACCCGAGGTTGAGGGCCGTCTTTGCTCGTCATTTCATCGCATGACAAGACTTCCATTCCGTTGATCCATAACATCTGTGCCTCGTCGACGATATGTGCCGTTCTCCACCGGCTTGTTCTTATCGTTGATGAATGGCTTTCGTGGCCAAGATCGTGCAATGTCGATACGCGATCGAGGGGCCCAGATCTCCAAGAACAGGAATATGAGATAGTCGATGATGACGCAGAGACAGAATAGCTTCCCAGCCCATATGCCGCATCCGTAATATCGTTTCAACCGGTCAATCAGTGCATATCCTCGGACACGGGAGGCGCTCCAGGGGCCATTTGCATGTTGGCCGTAAAACTCTTGTTCAGTAATTGCACCGGTGATCCCGTCATACACCCGTTCCGTCCTTTGCGCGACGTCGGTCCAAGAATACATCATCTTGACCTGATCGTGGAATCGTTCCGTTTTCACCTTGCCCGATCGCAAAGCAGCAATAGCTTTACCAGTCGCCAGGACCAAGTCGTCCTCTTCAGGTTTGGCAAAGGTTGTCATGTGCGCGGGAAGCACCTCAGGGATACCTCCAACTCTAGTGCAGACCACGTACAATCCACAACTCGCGGCTTCGACGATGACAGTCCCAAAAGCTTCGGTCAAGCTCGGATGTAAGTAGATATGCCCCTTGACCATGACGTCGCGGACTTCCTCATGGCGGACGGGTCCAAGCAGCTCGACTTTATCCTGAAGCATGCGCCGTTCGAGCATCTGCTCCAGATCGATGGCTTTCGGCCCTGAGCCGGCGATAATGAAGCGGACATTGGGATGTGCTGCGAGGATTCGTGGGATGGCTGCAATCAGAAGGTCAGTTCCCTTGTTGTAGAAGAGTCGGGAAATGACCACGATCACAATTGTGTCTCCAGGACCAAGGCGCTGCGGAAGCGGCTTGGGCCTCATATACCCGGTGTCGGTGTTGGACTTGGGGACGTATGACTTCGGTTGAAAGTTCTCAGCGACCACAGCATTCGGTATCACCGAAACCATCAACGGGTCAAGAGACGCTCGAAGAACAGTATTTTCTTTGCATGTATGGCTCACACAGATCACGTGGTCGACATCACTCAGAGCGAACTTGAGTAGCTTGTTCGTCAATATGGACGCAGCGTCTGCAAACCCGAACAGTGAGTGATCAGTAAAGACGGTGCGTAGACCCATTGTTCGAGCATGCAGAATAGCCTCGTGGCAAAAGCTGCTCAAGCTTCCATGACCGTGGACAATCTGGATCTCCTCCCTGATAATGATATTGCGGAAGATGGGAAAGAACGAAAAGACCGTAGGCATGGTGGTCTCCCGGTAAATGATCAGAAACGGAACGTGGTAGACTTTCAATCCATTTGTCAGGTAGTGGATACCTGTGCGTCCCTCGTACGCATGTGTGATGACCACCACCTTGTGTCCACGATCGATCAACTTGGTAGACAGCTGATATATATGGCTTTCCACTCCACCTGGCTGGGGGAAGAAGAAGTCGCTGACCATTGCAATGTTGTAAGGCATAGTGGGCTGGCACTGTTTGTCTGATGTCGTTGGAGCATCGAGAAGGATATACCACACTCAACTATCGGGGCCATCAATGACAACGATGGCGTGCCTGGTATGAATCTGTCGTATCAGTTGCTGTGAGCAGGTTGTCAGCAATGAAGGGGAAAAAAGGGGGAATCGGGCATTAACGAGTCCGAAGGCGGTGAGGAAATTCTGCCGGCAAATCGCGAGACTTTTTTCAACGACCTCCAAGTTGACTGTAAAGGCTCGAGTCCACACCACGGGGAATAGATCCTCTTATTGTCCTTAGGTCACATCCTTTCTATTCTCAATCGCCGTATCACATGTCTGGCTTCTACGCACGCTACGTGCCCTCAACGACAAGAACTGACGGCACCGCAAACACCGCCGAGGAACCTGTGGTCCATGGGGACAAACGCAAGAGAGAACAAGATGCAGCGATCCACGAGAAGAGAGGCAAGAAGCCCAAAACTTCAAGGACCCCAGATGATCCTGTTGAAACCCCTCATCTATCAGCCCCAAAGAAAGCCGCTGTAGCCGTCAAAAGCCCTCCGACTGTGACAGGGAGGGCAGTTTTGGACAAATATCGCGTGATAGAGGCTGTAGGATCAGAGACCACCTCAACTACGGTTAGACCCAAGGCCTCGGATGACCTGCAACATGACAGTCCTGAACTGGAAGATGGAAACCAACAAGCCCAAGACAGCTTGAGAAAGAGAAAGAAAGAGAAGCGAAAGAAAACAAGGGAAGAAAAAGAAGAGAATGCAGATGCCGCAGCACATGCACAGAAGCACACTGCATTGCTCACGAAATATGAAAAGTCAAGACAGCAAGACCAGATAGAAACCAAGGCCAGTACAACATCAGACGAATCGCCCGCAGAGCTCCACGGTCTTGAACCCTTACCTCAACCAAAGCAGGTAGAGGTAGTATCAGAGAAACCAAGCTATTCTATCCTTCCACGCTGGCAAGAGGATCCTTTGATCGTTTCTTTGAATTCGACCTCATCTTTCGAGTCACTCGGACTTCAGGAGCTCTTGTTAGACAATTTGAAAAGACAAGGACTGCGACATGCTCTGCCGATACAAGGATCAGTACTGCCTTTGTTGCTCAATGGACCTAATCATCATCCGGGTGACCTTTGCGTATCAGCTGCGACTGGCTCCGGTAAAACTCTCTCATATGTTCTACCCATTGTGGCCGATTTGAAGGACATCCCAGGTACAAAGCTCCGAGCTGTTATCGTTGTCCCAACACGAGAGCTTGTAAAGCAGGTGCGTGATCTGTGCGACACTTGTGCAGCAGGGACGTCTCTCAAGTTTGCAACCGCTGTGGGAAGCAAATCTCTCGCCGAAGAGCAAGATCTGCTTGTGAAGGAAGAAAAGATCTACGATCCAGAGGAATACGAACAATGGCAACAGAGTCCCATCGACTGGACCAATTTTTCGCTATTAAGGCTGGCTCACAGTGTGAAAGATACGGATCCGATGGAGTCGGTGGGCTATGTCACACGGTATAAATCCAAGGTGGACGTACTCATTACGACACCCGGTCGATTAGTCGACCACCTCAAGTCTACTTTGGGTTTCACTTTCGACGACGTGAAGTGGCTCGTGGTCGACGAAGCAGACAGGTTGCTCAATGAAAGCTATCAGGAATGGATTGCCGTGGTCAAGCCAGCCCTGCAGTCACGGGCTGCAACCTCAAGAAGGGATCAGATTCTCCGCCACATGAGGATGACAATCCCGAGACGAAATGTCACCAAGGTCTTGCTTTCTGCGACCATGACCCGTGACTTATCTAAGCTCAATGCTCTGGGGTTGTGGAATCCACGGCTGGTCGTGCTGGGTGACAACCAAGAAAGGACCGGGACAATCAGAGAGGGCACTGCGCCTGAACGGCTTGAAAAGCTCGCGGAAAAAGACAGTGAACCTGTCTATCTACCTGAGACCCTCAACGAAGCCGTTATTCCTGTCACCAATGGCGCTGAAAAGCCATTATATCTCCTGCAGCTTCTTTACAATCATATCGGACTGTCTCAAAAGCTGTTAAACATGGACGATAGTGCTGGGCGTTCTTCACCACAAGCAAGCGTGGAATCAAACCCCACTTCGTCATCAGAATCCAGCTCAGAAGCTCCGACGTCTTCAGAAGATGAGCGGGACGCGGATATGGACCCTGAATCAGACACGCGTGGAGGTTTGACGGCTTCCAGTCTTGACGTGAAGAATGCCTCAGAGAGTCAAAGCATGACAAAGGTACCGCGAGCTTTGATTTTTACTCGCTCGACCGCTTCAGCAACCAGACTCTCTCGATTGTTATGTATCATCGAACCTCTTTTAGCTCCTCGAATCTCGACCCTGACGCGCAGCACTGCCTCGTCTGCCTCGTCACGCCGGGCCTTGGCTTCTTTCCGCAAGTCAAAGATATCAGTCTTGATCGCCACAGACCGCGCCTCTCGTGGCCTGGATGTACCTGGTCTTGAGCATGTCATCTCCTACGATGTCCCAAACAGCCCTTTGACATACGTGCATCGTGTCGGCCGAACTGCTCGGGCTGGCAGAGTTGGCCATGCATGGACGTTCGTGGAACACAGGGAAGCAGCTTGGTTTTGGCGTGAGATCGGAGGCAAAGTCAAGCACGCAGTGTCGGGAACGGGCATTGGCGCAGTTTCGATTCATAGGAAGACCAAGATTTCCAAGCTCAATCTGAGCGTGGAGGGAATAGACCTCAGAAAGAAATACGAGGCGGCTCTGCAGCAACTAGAGAAAGAAGTGCTGGGCAAGTAACCATGGATGAATTGGTCGACCTGTGGCAACATCCGTGAGCACAAGTCTCTTTCCTATACATACTTCTGGTTAACTCCTCTGGCCGACAAATGGGAACCTGGACCAGATCTGCCGATAAACATGAGAATTGGCCCAACGATTGCACGAAATTAACGTCCTCCAGCGCAAGGCCGTAGTCACCCGCAGGCTCACTTTCTTTTATTGATGGCCTTTGCCAAGTCCAACAGGGTCTGTTCTCTGTCCACAACGTCGTATGATTGTGGGGAGTCAGACCGACTTAGCTTCGCCCAACAGAAACAAAATCAACGAGACCTTGGCTGGCATTGCTGTTGGCATGGAGCCTTCTCAAGTTGGGACGATGCAGCAGGGCACCCATGGTGTATACCGACGTTTGGCTTCTTCACCTCCGACGTCAGTTGCTATGGTCGAGATAAGTTTTGAAAGGCAAGCAGTGCTCGTGGCTGATCTCTCCACCTGACATTTTCGCCCTGACCTGATACTGAAGCCGTTGGTCAAAGCGGATACAACGCCTGGAACCTGACACCAGACATCTGCACAAGTTGCTGCAGCTGTTCCTCAACAAATATGTATCAACCGCCAAGAATGTCTTCTCAAATCTTTAAACCACCTCCTTCGAGCCTCGAGAATAGTGTATCTTGCATTCCAAACGCGGATTTCTCTCGTGTGCGGCAGGCGAGGATCAGTAAGGCATGGCTCGAGGTTTGCTCCAGTCAGCATGACTACAAATCTGTTAGCATTGTGCCCGTACAAGATCAGTCTGTGTGTGTGTGCGCCATGTCTCGAAACGAAAAGAACGGCTTCCAGGAACACGACATCTCTGTAGAGAGATCAGCTTCGATCTGTGCGACAAGCGACGAAGCATGCAACTGAATCTCCTAGACTGGAACATGATGCTGTAGGCAACGAGTGTCCCCATGGCGACTTGGTTTCGTCTCTGCATCTGATGTCAAGCTGGAACCTTTTACTTTGTCTTCGTTTAATCCTGGCTGAGTCACGTCGCAGGTGGCTGCTCGCCCAAGTTCGGGATGCGGGCCGTATGAGTGTCGAGCTTTTATCCACAACGGGCAACCATCAACGAGGCTTTCAGACACTTTGAAAGCTGGATGAAGCTCCATGCCGCGAACGGTAGGCCTGCCACGTTGGTATCAGTCACGCGGAAGCCGTCATGTACGATGTTGTAGTTGAACTGCAACCCTCTGGCCAGCAACTGTTGGCGGCCTCCAGACCTTGAGCTTGACTGCGTTTGCAAACTAGGTAGCAGGACGCGAGGCCATTCGAAGCCACCAGTGACCGCCACGACGGTCACTTTCAGGCGGTGGCCAGATGGTTCAGTGTCTCTCCGCAAATGGTATCCTCAGTCAGCCTGCTCGTGGTTGCCTGTGCCCCGAGGCGCCTCTGGTGGGCTGCCAGGCCTGCGGAGCCCCTGAGCGAGGGCTATTACAATTGCCGATAATCTCGATCGTCATCGACGACATGCTGGGCTGATTAGCAAGATATTGGTCACCTTTTATCCAAACCAGATCTGGTAATCGACTTAACGTAAAACCAACGATCGTCGGGGAAGACCTAACTATAACGACACCAAAGAAAAACGGCCCTCGGAAAGCAGGCATGACTTCTCCGAAGGCCCGTAGGCCTTGACTACCTCAGCAGCCTGTGCTCGCTGTTCTGTTTCCGATATCCACACAGTGACACCGATCCGGCTGAGTTGAGCTTGCATCAGAGCAGGCCCTGGGCAGCCCCATGAGCCAATTTCTCTCTCGACTTCGGACTTTCCACCTCCAAGTTATTTCAAGAGGCAAGCATGAATCTGACTGGCCCGTATACGACTCGTGCGTCCCATCGGTCCCTTGAAGCTATGTCTGCAACCTGGCTGAGGAGAAGCTTCAACTGGAGGCCCAGCTCTTCCGTTCGGGGGCTGCAGATTATCCCGCGAGAATGTCCTGAGTGGCAGCAGGAGATGTTTCCTGACCCTGGCTTTTACGGGTCACTGTGCCGAGTGGCTGCCACAAGACGTCCTCATTTGTGCAACCACACGACTTCGACTTTGGACGACTTTCGACCCAACAATGATAGCCCTGACAAAGGACCAGCTGTTGTGAGACCGGCCTCACGAGATATGGAGCACAATCTCCTGAGCCCTGGCAACTCCCGGACAGATTGTACGGATAGTCATAAGCTACGTGAAGGTCCAAAGCCCGCAGAACTACGATTACCATCGTCCCCAGACGCTAAGTCTAATGGCGATATCACAGAAAGACAGCCATGAATTGAAAACGCGAAACCTAACGAGCTCTCAACGAGGATACTTCCCAGCTTTCTGAATCACAAATCTCGGGCAGGAAGCTTTGCGCCAGAGCGCCCATTGGATTGACCTGTACCGGTCTCAGAAATCGTGGTCTTCCCAGCCTTCGGTCTTACATAGTACCGTTCTGCCTCCTTTTCATTTCGCGGATTTTTAATCAACAACAGAATTACTCGGAGAAGTCAGCGAAGCCGACTTCCTTTTTTTCCTTTTTGCCTTCTGTTCATGAGGCTTTTTTTTCGTTTTGTTTTTGTTTTTGTTTTTTGGAATTTGCTGGCCCTCGTTGAGCTTGTTGCCAGCGACATTCTCTTGTCACCTTCCATGTCTGGCAACGGATACTTTCTTATTTCCTCGTACCCCGGGGCGCGGACCCTGAGCCCGAGCGTCCTCATTTCTGGCATGGGGATATGCAGATCAATTCGAAGCGAAGGCGTTGAATTTAGTGCAATTGGTGTCTACAACCTGGTTGTCCTTGAGAAGCCATTCTCACTGTCTCAGACATCGTCCTCATCGTCGCAGCCGAGTTTCGTCCTGTTTGGTAGTTATTGGGGACTAGGAGGTCCCCCAGCTTAGCATGAAATAAGGGGCACAATGTCCTCAAATGACCTGTGTAACAGATATTGCACTCTTGTATGACTTTTTATATCGTGGCAGGTCATTGTTTACCGCTCACCTGTTGTGCAGAGAAGCGATGGTCTCCGTCTATTAGAGATTGGAACATCTGGCGACAGTCGTATTATCCTATTGCCAAGCAGCACTTTCTCCCTCACCAGTAGAGTTCTTAATCACTGCATCTTCAGTGGGGAAGGTGCATTCGGCATGATGCTTGCAGAAGTGCCAACTGATGTATTTAGTCCAGGGATGCAGGTGCATGCGATCCAGAAGCAGTGGTCTGTCTAGGCTCTTCAAGATCAATTGCTGAGTTTCAAGGTAATTAGGCACACATCTTGCCAAATGGATAGGGAAGAACGATCTCGAGTTGAAGTCCGCTGTCGTCGCCTCCTGGAGAGACAGGAGAAAAGAGCCTGGGTGGCATGTCAAACTAAAACACCCCGGATGTTTCTGGAGTGTTAACTACCTGCGACGTGGCTTGGTACCCATGTATTGACATTATCCAGCTCAATGTTCTTCGTCGAGCAGCTATGTCTGCCACCATCCTACCCCTCTCTCCACTCAATTCACCCTGATCCAGGTCGTGGATCCCTATCGCAAGCAACAAAAACCCGCTCTAGATGAAGGTTAAGCGTCCACTGAAACCGGCCGTCGTTGGTTCAGCCAAAGCCAATTCCTGCGTCTTTCCCTGCGTTTTCCTCCTGCTCCACCCGTGGCCGGCGCTCGTACTTCCTGCTAGGGCATCAGTATTGCCTGAACAGACAATACGCCCAGAAAGAGGAGATCAACGCACACAGGAGGTGGGCAAGAATCGTGAGACATCTTGGACGGGTCAAAGATCATGAATCATCTCACCTCAACCGTTCTTGACACCACACCTACGCTTCTCACCTTCATCCAGGCCGAAACAAACAAAGTCAGATTAAGGCTTTCGTGCGTCAGCAGGCCCCGAATCCTCCCTGCCACCACCCTCCGACTCTCATCTCGTATCATCCGCAGCTCCCACAATCCTCCACCATGTGGTCCCCTCCACAGCTAGGTCTTCGTGGGCCGTTGACGCGGGCGTCCCGCATCACTGTGACCAGGTCTTGACATGCCCAGACACAAATTACCTCCCGTCGGATTCAGAGACCATCCTGATGCTATGAGATGCCGTGATCGCAGGCTCGAAACATTGTTGGACGCCATCCGCAAGCAAGAATTCCACCACCAAGGTCCCTTCACTGAGGAAGGCTGAATTCTGAGGGGTTACGCATTTCCTGAAGAGGAAGCGAAGATGCCGATTCCCATTGGAGCCCACAACCCGACCAAAAGAGACCCGAACGATCTTTCACGATTGGAGACTATAGAGCTGCAACCTCTGCAACCTCCCTCCACAGCCCTTCAGGTGATTGCTGGGACAGCCAGCCGTCGCCCTGCAGCCCGAAGAGTGCGAGGTGTGAATAAAAGGAGTTGGAAGCAAAGGAGGGCCCGAACCACTTGCCGGGTGTACTCCACTAATAATCATGGAATTATTATTATGGGGCTGGCAATATTCATCTGAGAAAAAAGCGTCCAGGCGAGAGTCGCACGACGCTAGAAGACATAGTCCGAGTCATGTCAACTCTCTCGGGCGAGGGAGTTGAGAGCTTTGGGCAATTGTCCCACGAAATGTCGTCCCGTGGTCCATTACCTCATCTGCTGCACAAGCACGGCTGACTATCCAGCCTTTTAGAGCTCTAAAGCTTCTTGCGGTATCCCCCGATTATGCTGGAGCCGGTCTACTCGCTATGCCGTGGCTATCAGCGACACGAGCAGCTCCGCACTGATATCACCCAGTCCAGTATGGTTCATCGACAAGGAGAAGGCTGAGTTGATTACAGCATGATTAGTTGCTTCAATCATCCCTCCCACGACCGATTCGGTCGGGCACACACGGCCCTTTTGCTGTCCAATTCCGATCTGTGTCTACACCGAGCCACCCAAGTTGGCGAAGGTGACTTGCAGTGGAACACGGGCCCGAGGACCTGCTTCTTCGTCAAGCTCTTCTGCGTCTTCTCTTAGCGGATCTTGCGTAATCACCACTCCGCATGTCACCCCCCAAGTCGCGACTAAAGCAACCAAAACTAAAGCCTATCGGGCGACGCCTGATGAATAATACCAGAGTTACGGAGGCCGTTGGAGCCACTCACCTCGATTATCACTTGACCATCCAAGCTCGGCTACCACATGAAAAGCAGCCTCCGGCGGTCCAACGAGAACATCACGCCACGAGGACAAGCACTTGTCTATATTCGCTGCAAGCCGGAATGTGGTTTCCAGAATGGGAGGCTGTCTTCGTTTACACTAAATGATCGACAGGCGGGTACCGCGCGACACCATTCCCGACAACGACCCTTGCATATCCGCTCAATTAAGCGAGGGGCAGAAGAATGCTGTTACGAAATAGCCATGTGTCACTCTTCCACCAAACTTCTATGTACAGCCTCATCGCAAACCACCTCAACATGACCTCAGCTTGCTTGGGTTCCCACTCAGCCTGGAGCTGGGCTCCACCCATCCACTTACAGCTCTGGGAAGCAATCCTTCCTTTGTCAGCGTTTCCCTCTTCTTCCGCCCTTCAAGACATGATTGAGCGGGCTCCGGAGGCAGTATTGTACCGCGCGGTCCTCTCGAAGACGCTGGGGTTAACTTCTCTCAGGTCGACCGGCGATGCCGTCTGAGCCTCTCTCACAAGACCACGGCAATTTGAAGGATCTAGCGTGCAATGAGTGATAATGCGAGGAAGGGAGAAAAGCTCCCGTCCAACTGCTCGAAGCGGTAATATTCTGTCCGCGCCAGGCAAACCTCGACTTCCTTCACAAAAGGCCCGGGCCTCAAGTGTTAGTCACTGCAATGTAACTGTCGCGACGCAGTAGGTCTGTGTCGGCATCCCCAGTCCCCGACGCCGTGAGAGAGTTCTTACCCCTCCGACAAGTCAGGGGGGACGTTCAGGCCCAAACCCCCAGAAATGGGATAGTCTGGCGATCGGCCGTGTCTTTTAGTTCGTATCTACGAGTAGCACATTACTAGCTGTCGCTCTCAGGAGGGCAAAAAGGAGAAGACGGCCAAGACCCGACCGACAACGAAGGAGGTGGCGAGTTTAACGAAGTTTTTTGCCGTGCCCGATGACTTCGTGAGGGATTCGTCTACAATCACTCAGGAAGAATATGCAGAGAATGTCATTTGCTCGGCAGATCTAGAATAGAACACTTTAAAGCCCCAATGCTTTCCTCCTTTTGGGAATTATCGTCGTGTATATTAATAAGATGTAGGGGAGGTTAAACCTAGGTGGGTTGCGACGCGAATGCGATGCTATGCTAATGCTAAGGCCATGCTGTGCTGTGCTATGCGATGCGATGCGGTGCTATGCAGTAGTCAAAAACACGGGGCGGCTCGTTTAACGTACGTAGCCAGCAGGGCCTGGCGGTGAGGATTCCATAAACAGAAAATGCTGTCCTGCCTTGTAGAGGTCAGGTCCGACGAGGAAGCCGCGCCCAGAGCGGGCGTGAATCCTCCTCAAAAGTCCACTCCTCTGGCACGTTTCTGATCGGTGGCGTCTCGCTTCGAGCGCTGGCTGCATCGGAAGACAACGTGTCCACGGGAATCATGGATGGCGCGAGGGACTGAGAACATGCCTGCCGCCGTTGTCACTCTGCCTTGCTGACGAATCCAACTCTCTTCGGTAGTTCGCAGAGAGCCTCCTTTCTGCTTTCAAGGCCGGTGTGCTTGGATGCCGGACCTTAAGGTAGCATTGTTCGGGTGTCGGCTCCACGGTTCATGATGTTCTTCAAGGCATTTGCTCGTCCGAATGCTTGGTATTGGTCCAGGGCATGGGGCGCTTTGAAGGTAGGATTGGAGTGAGAATTCATGTCTCTGTTAGTCCGTCCGCTTGACTCGCAGGCGATAGGGAAGAATACAACAAGAATTGGCGTCATCCACGTGGTTTCCTCAAGAGCCCGAGTCGACTTCGGTCGCCCTTTACCGAGCCTGGTTAATGGTGCTATATCGAAGCGTGACAGGAGACGTAAGCGTTCGTGTGGGATGGCGATTCCCCATGTCTCGAGCACTTGGTCGAGACTTGGTTCCAATCACTCACAGGCAAGTCGTGCCATCACCACTGGAGACTTGCGACAAGTCAAAAGTTGTCCCCAGTGTGACAGCAGGACTGTTGGAACAAGGTACCAAATAGGAATGTAGGCAAGTCCGCTGGCGCAAGCGAGCAGTGCCGGGTTTCGACAGAGCCCAACGGTGGGAGAGGTTCTCGCATAAGCAAGATTCTCACCAACGAGGTCAATATTGCCACTGTGAACGCCACCTTCGTGCCAATTCTGTTTGGCACACCCACACCCGACCCCTATTTTGGTGACCCTGAATTTCATGCCAGTGGCTAAACGCTTCGACATTCTGCATCTGCTCCGAAATTCCGCAGCCCGCAATTACCCCGTGGGTGCTCAGTGCCTCAAGTTTATCAGGGCTTCCCTTCCTATTGGTGGTCCAAATTGGATCAACGTCCGTTCGGTATATTTGCCCCCGTAATGGGAAGCTCACCCTTTCTTCTTCAGCCTTTTGTGGGGATTTGTGGTGTATACAATGGACGCATGGTCTCTGTCCTGATATGTTTCGCGTGACGCAATCTCCGTGACCTGTCGAACCCCGATCCAGCATGTCACTTCACTCGGACGGTTTTATGTGCCAGCATCCAAATATGAGGTATGGGTCCAGTGGAGCACACGTCGACCACAGCCAAGAGGGAAGTGGAACGCATATATGAACGACCAAGGTAGGTCGAGGCTTCATCGCATTAGTAGCCTTTCGGTTCCCGACGTATCGCTTTCGTGTTTCATCGATTGAATCGCCCCCGATAGAATGTGACAACAAATAGACTACCGTGTTTGAAGATAACCCATCCAATCCAAGAACAAGGTATATGGCAGAAGATCGGTCAAGCACGACCCGCAATGTTACGTAAGGCCATGTCATGTCATGCAGTTGTAACGTCAGATGAGGTGAGGTGAGGTGAGGCAAAGACGAATGAGGCTGCTGGGCTTGTAGGCAGGTCCGCTCAGTCATGCCCTGCCTGCCGTATGCTCTGATCCCCGGACAGCAAGTTTACGAATTCGTCTCGCATAGGACAAAGAACATCCGGAGGTAGCTGATGCGGCAGAAGTTAATCAATGTGATATTGTTCCAGTCCATCGACAAGCGGCAATTGCCGAAACGGGTAAGATCCAACGAAGGAAGGCATTTGCCAAGGTCGGTGTGGCGGAAAATACCATCCAGCTCAAGAGTCGCGGAAGGCGGTGAGATCCGGGATAACATCCAGCGCGGGAGGAAGACAGAGCAATAGTGCCGATGCTGGAGTGCCGATGGCATCAGTTAAGGAATGCCCGTCTGGCGTTCCGTGCTCGCTCGCTCGAGAAAGCGTCGATTTTGACCCCAACGAACACTATTTCGAATCCTCCTCGTATCGAGTCTTGGGAGTTGGGTTGCACTCGGAGTCGCCACTGTCCGGTGCGGATGGTCCACTCCCCAAGATCTCCTTGACTGCTTTGCCTCTTCCTCTTTTTCGCCGAAGGCGCCTTGAGTCTGCTCGTCTGGATTGGGGGAACGGGTAGGGATCCGCGGCCTGCAGCTGTCTGCGAGGGCGCCGCTGCCGGTGTCTGTCGCGTTTGAGGGCGACGTTGTTGACCCCCAGCCGTGGAAGGACCAGGGTTGACTGTTGTTCCCTCACTCATGACATCTGATTCGGACTCCGATTCGCTGGGCGCAGTTGAGGGCCCGTGGAGCATGACCTGGCCCATGGAGCTTTCGAAGTCGATCTCAAAGTTTTCTCCGTCCAGTATGATGTCCGTTGCGGGCTCAAACCGGACTTTCACGCGGTCTTCGCTCAGAGGTGTGTGTCCAGGGCTGGCCGATTGTGACGTCCTCCCTCCCGATAACATCATCAGTCCCAGAGGCGCGTTCGTCGGCAGATTCATCTTGTTGGCCACAACCTGGAACAGAGACGACACGCGGGCCTTGGCCAATCCGTGGAAATCTGCCCTCATGTCTGTCAAGTCCAGTAAGGTGCTTTCACCCCCGATTTCCACGACCATTTCGTAGGAAGTGTCGTCTACAAAGGGCCTGGCGTAGTAAACCCATCCTCCAGTTGAAGACTTCTCGCCGAGAAAGTCGTCGCTGGTGTAGGACACCCCCGAAGGCTTGACGTCCTCCAGCCGCAGACAAATCTCCTGTTTTTGTCTCTCTGAATTGTAGCTGATCTCGTGGGCAATAATCTTTTGCTCCAGCCCCCTCAGATGGAAGTAGCGGCAATCTCGTAGTAATTCGGCCCGATGTGATTCGTTCCTAATATGGAGAGGATAACCTCGTAAAAGATGCAACAGCTCTGCAAAAATCTCAGCCGATCGACCTGGGACGTACGGTGGAGTTATCGAAGGTGGACGAAGAAGTCCTCGACGGTCCAAGCCAGGAAAGACCTCTCCGGGCGTCGAGAAGAAAACGGCAAATCCGAGAGAGAAGAAGTTCGGAGAATTTCCAGGTTCTGAAAAGATGTCTTTGGGGATTTGGAAATGTCGTTCTCCGATCTGGATGAAGATTTCCGACTCGAACAGCTGATCTATTAGACGAGGTACTAGGGGGAAAATCAGCATCAACCCTAGGGAATCTGCACCGACCTACAGCTGTAGAACTGAGCATCCGCAAACAGCTTCACAAAGTGGCTCCCATCCACCGGTTTGACGTAGTAGCCTTGATCAACCGTCAGCGCCAGAGTCCCTGCTCAAGCAGGAAGGGACCGAACCTTGTAAATGTCTAGCCACGTCCCGGAAAGTTGCAGGATCTCGATCGATATAGAGCGTCCTGACTCCGCCGGATTCCTCATTCTGTCGGATTTGTTCCTCGAAAAACTGGGTAAAGTAGGACGGAGCTATTTAAACCGTCAGTCTTCGCTTCGCAACCGCCCCGTTCGCTGCCTGCCCCAATTCGTACCGTCGGAAGATATAGAAGCTCCAGATAGCCTGAACAGATCTGATCCAATCTGAATGGGGAAGACCTTCTCAGGAGGGAGGATTGATGGGGGATGTCCTGAGGAAGTGCGCGTCCCTCTCTGCCGGGTCGAGGATTGGGACGAAGTCGTAGGCAGCACTGGAGGTCTCGGGGTCGAGCCGGTGGACTGGCGGGTTCTGCGGTTGCCAGCAGGTAAACCTGGGAAGGCCCTGGAGCCAGCTGGGAGGTCTGAAGAGGTAGATCCTTCATCAGGGGACGTTGGACCGACGCCTGACATCCGCTCAAAGGTGACAAAGCGATTATTTGCGACGGCAGATTCGGGTCCGGGTCCAGGTCCAGGTAACACCCTGACTTTCTTGTCGCCGGAAGATTCGGTCGGGGTCGTTGCAACAGAGCTAGACTTGCGTTTCAGAGCAGATCGAGGAAGCAAAGGCGGGATGAAAGCCGTCACCGAACCATTACCATTGGTAGTGGTGGCCACGTCGGCCGAGTTGCTCGTTGGTGGTGGCGGATTCTTCGGAGTAGTGGAAGGGGGAATTAGAAACCTCGAAAAGGAAGGGGCGTCGAACTCGTCAAAGGTGTGAATGTTTTCGTGGATCAACTCTCCAGTAGGCTCATATATTGGTTGAGGCGCGAAATCGAGAAAAGGTCCAGAAGGAGCAGCCCAGGGCTGTGAGCCAAAGCTTGGGACGCCTAGGGTATAGCTAGCGGCAGGAGGTGCATGAGTAGAGGCAGCCGCTAGGTGGTGCTGAGGGTCTGTATCATGTACAGTGACGGTAGGGTATTCTAAATCCTCTGAGAGGAAGACAGGTCGCGTGTCTGGGGAAGGATTAGCGGCGTCAGCAGGCTCGGCATCAGGGTCAGAGATAGTTGTGTAGGCACGGACACTGGGTGTGGTACGGGGGTGATTAGTAGCTTTGGGGCCTGGACCATGCCCTGAAACTGGACCGGGACCGTTGGCAATACCGGTGACGGTGGCAGCGGTGGTACTGGGAGCACCCGTACGACGACCATTGGACATGGGCGAAATCGAGATGGCTGGGGAGATCAGATTGGTGTCAGTCGTCGTCGTATCCGAGTGAGTGACATGATTGTGATCAAAGGCAAAGGTCGGATGTGGGTCCGTCATCACTCAGATTGAAATGAGCGCCTTTTCGAGTAGGCCGAACTGGAGGCTCGGGGGACGCTCAGGGAAAAAAATCAGCCCACAACTCCTACCTCTGCCGCTTGGGACCAACGCCCACTGCATGGGCTTTGGGCACCAGCAAGCCAACGACCCGGGCGTGAGGGCAGTGGCAGTGGCAGCAGTCCCTTTGAGCAACCCGACGGTCTTACCCCCGAACGTCGCCTGCACGGGGCCTTCCGGCTAAACAGAACAAGGCCTTGGTCTTGGTTGGAGGGGGTGTCCACAGCTCTAGGAGCGCCCACGAGGGGGACCATCGGCTAAGGGAGGGGGGGTGGGCGTTTGCCTCTATGTCGGGGCGGGCAGTGGGTCGGAAGGCTTTTTGTGTTTTTGGCTTTTTTCTTGCTCTGGCCTGTCCTCGTCGACTGAGCGTCGTGTGGCGGTCTCCGCAATAGGGAAGCAGGGCTCGGGGAATGACGAGATGGTCTGCAGGTTCTGGGGACCACTGGAAACCACTGGAGAAGGGCTGGCGGCAGCGATCAGGAGGCTTTGGCGGGCGTTGGTTTGTCTCTGGTGTGTGCCTGGTGTGATTCTGGCGGACTCTTTGCGGTGCTTGAAATTCGAGGAGCGCGAGATCTTGGCTGAACTGTACGATGAGTAAGCCCTGAGTCATAGGCATGATGGCAGCACTATTGGCCACGGCGGTCTGACAAGTCCCATGAGACGAGTCTTGTGACGCATGCCGATTACCAAGAGCCGGCGCCATCGAAAGTCAGTGTCGGAGATGTGAGATGTGGACGGGGGAAACAGGAAAATGGGTGATGAACAATGATGCTTATGGTGATGAGGGAGGAGCACAGACGGAGCTGAGTACGTACTAGAAATAGGGGTGGGTAGACGACACTCCGGCCTTTCCACCTAGCCGCGGCCGGGCGGGCGCTTAAGCTGCCTCCGGGGAGGGGAGTGGCTCTCTTGGACAGCTTGGGTAGCTACTCGTAGGAACGACCTGGGCAGCCCGAAGGGGGCCTGGAGCTGAGCCAGAAGCCACCAGATGCCAGCCTTAGGCTTCCTGCTACCCGTCGATGACGATTTCCGAGATTTGCTTTCCCAAGCAGCGAGCCCTGGGAAAGGCGGAGGGCGACGGATAGTCGGGACAAATGCCTACTGCCCTGCACGACGGGACACGGCAGATCTCACACTTGCGACAAAGCGAGCAAGTCAACGGCCGTCTGTCCCTTGATCTTCAGCTCCCGTCCCGCCAGGTCAATAGGCAACAGACACGGCACCCCTGGAAACCACGGGAAGGGAGCAGCAGCGTGAATCTGATGAGTCCGGTGTTGTTAGCTTGGGACCGTGGGACAAGCGAGGTAGGGCTCGCGACGGTATGGAACGCGGAGGCCCGTCTTCACTCACTTAACCGAGGGTCGGTACAGATGAATGACGTGCGTGGTGCGTGTTTGTGGGAGATCGTATGTCCAGGAGAAACATCCAAAGAAGAGCTCCCAGGTGAACGAAGTCGCTAGTCCCACAATGGCGTTTCGCGCAACAAGCTCCGGATTGGGTTGGCCAAATGAGAAACTCAGCAGTCGGAAGGAGAAGGTGGTGCCCGAACTTGACGGTCCAGAACTTTGGGGTAATTTGAAGACGAAGTATGCTTTCCGACCAAGACGAGGCTGGATGGTTCGAGGAGGAATGAATGGTGCAGGAGGCGCCCAATTAATATCACTGCCCCGAGCCAACCTCGTGCCAGCACGGGGATGGGCGTGTTGGTATATGCAGCTCTCCTTCTATTCGGCGATATAAGTAGATGGACGGAGACACACCGCGGCACTTGGATCGTAATACTCGATTGTCATGCGGGTCGGCGTGCAGACTGGCCCTGTATCTGTCCTCTTATATCTGCAGGAGATTGCACCAACATCGTATTGCCTGTCGTGTCGCAAGACCAAGGTATTTATTTGCATCACGGAAACCCAACCTCATGTCATGATCGTCAGCATCATCGGGGGCAATATCGAAGGTGGCGGCATCAGGCCCAATCCCGTCTGGCTCACGCTCGCCCTGGCAAAGAAATTCTGCCCCCAAGGATCTGAAGCGAAGGCGCTTCACCATTTTGTTGAGGACTGGTCGATCTACACCTAGAGCGCCATTGCGGCTGAGGTCAACCACCAGCCACTAATACCTCATTTGCCTATGTCACCAGGTCTAGAAATGACCGTAGAACGAGGGAGGTGAGATACTAGCACTAAGCGGGTTGAGCTGAATGAATTCATCGTTGAGGAATGGATGAGGAACACCTGCTGCTGGGGGCCAATTCGGTCCAGACTGAGCCAGCACTAGTCCTACTACTGATTTCACCCCCAAGAATTCATCACGGCTCCCCTGAGGAAAGGGGCGAGAACACGACGGGTGGTAATTCAACGATCCGCTGAGACCAGGTCGACCGAGTAGGTGAAGGGAGCCTGCTTCACGGAGGATAGCAGCTCGACACACTCTCCATGCTGCCCACACATTTGGACCCTCACAAGGTGGTCTTGAACTCGCCCTCAATTTCCACAACCTTTGCAACTGCACGTTTGTACGCATCTCTTTCATGGAGCCGCTCGACGTAGGCCCAGATCTTGGGATATTGACTCTGCGTGAATCCCGACCGGGTCTGACCAGCTTCCAGGGGGAACAAAAGCATAATGTCTGCTGCTGTGATGTCTTTCCCGCAGAGGTAGTCTCCCCCATCCGGGGATGTTGCGAGTTGTGCTTCAAGAAAGTCGTAATGGCTCTTCATATTTCGTTGGAGATATGACGATTCGATCTTGCCAGCAACACTATTTGTGATCGGCTTGATGAAGAAAGGAACCGGAGCATTCCTGATGGCTGATTTCGTGAGCGCCTGGTGCCTTCTGCGAGAGACCTGAAAATACTCACTTCCAACTATGAGCGATAGAACCATAAACGGCATGAGGCTGCCCTCAGCATAGTGCATGAACATCCTGTAGCGCAGCCAGGACTCCGTTTCCGCTCCAATTTGTCCATCTTTGCCTTCTTGGTACCTGCTGGGAACTAAAGAGGTCCCTTTGCCATAATAGTCGCAAAAGTACTCCGCAATCGCAGCGGACTCCGCCAGCACAATCGGTGTGGTCGAGCCTGGGGTTTCAATGGTGACAACAGGGGATTTACCTAGGGGGTGAACGTCCTTCAACTCGGGCGGTGCGAGTCGTTCTTTGGTCCGTTTGTAGGTTTTGAGTTCATAGGGAACTCCGAGTTCCTCGAAGAGAAACAGGATCCTATGAGCCCGGGAAACCTCAAGCCTAGCTTATGTCAGGACGGGCATTTGCACAAGCAAAGTCATCTCCGGAGAAACATCTCTCTGCTCACCAGTGAAGAATGATTTTTGGTTGTCCGGGCCCCGTAGTTTCGCCGTGCGCAGGGGAAGCCATTTCACAGCAAGGTACGATGCAGCCAGATCGCTGCCGTTCCAGCGACTGCCACGCCGAACGGGTTGCGCCAGAGTAAGCGAGGGCTCTGTCCTTGTTGGCTCGTGCCCCTGGCTAGCTACGCCAGGATGGGGCGAGGATCGCTTGGTGTCAGCAAGTGCTTATCACTTCGTCAAAGTGTGCGATGGATGGTCGTCAGAAGATATCGCCCCAGGAGGGTTGCAAGTCAAGTACCAGTTGGGTTGACGGCCGCTGAAGGATGTAGAGATATCCGATTCCTGATGTAAAAACGTGGTTGGGAATACGTATCATTACTCGGCGAGTCGGATATGCAAGTCGAATAATCGAGGTAGAGAGGCTTGACGTCAATCAGATATTCATTCCACATGCCGCTCGATCTCGATTGCTTGGCTACGGAATTCCCCCAGCGCTTCGCTGAGGGTATGTTCTCCCGTACATGGTAGATGCTCCGGAGAACCGTATGTAGCTCTATAGCAGATTGTGCATCGCCACTGCTCATGCACCAGCCACAGCTAGCCATGCCAAGAGACCAAAGCCACTTCTAGCTGACCTCAATCCATCCTCCTTGGTAACCTCTGACACCGCAAGCACCTCAACTTGACCCGCCAAAACACCATCTTACGCTCAAGCGGTGGTCAATCATGGCTGGACCAACACGTATGTACATATCTCGAGCTTACACCGAGATCGAATTGTGAATAGGAAGCTGACGTCGTTGTTCAAACAGCTCTCCGCCATGATCCCGCTCTCGAGAAATATAATCGTACGTCTCCCACCCTCGCAGTCGAGGCCAACATGCCCGCGATGGAACCTTATGATGCGACTATGGCCCTTTCAGAATGAGATGAGCTAGCCAAGGGACAAGGAGCTGATTGCAAGCTGCAGAACTGAACAAAGAGCGATGGAGATACTTCCGCTGGACGCCGCGGACGGCTTTCATTTCCTTCATGTACGCCATATTCGTACCATCGGTGGTCGGATATGCGTTTGCAAAAACAGATGTGAGTCTATCAGCATCATATCCTCGGGTTCTAGGATAACACCAAGATGACTGACTGAATCCCGGGAACGGATAGGGCAAATGGGATCTGCGCGGGAAGCTCAGAGGTGATACGATCAGCGAGTTTTAAATCTTGGAAGGAAGAGCTTGATGGCAGCCAAAGGCAAATCCACAGAAACAAGAAAAATTTGTACATATGCATCTCTGTGGCAAGAGATACGGTTCGATCAGTAGCAGCATGGATGGTCTATAAAAGCAAGAACCTGGCTCCCACGGCTAGACGCTCGGCCATTTGGGCAATGATACAAGTCTACGACATGTTCTGGACGGTTCTGTGATTCTTCTGGTTTCGAAATCGATTCTCTCCAGGTTTCCACCAGTCTTGGAAGCAGTTCAGTGCTTTACGCAGTGGTTAGCTGTCCATGACCATCCGCAACAAGGGTTTGTTCACCGACATAGCATGGCCAACCACAGATACCATCCTTTGACCTAGGCCTGATGATCTCTGAACTATCGAGGCAACTTGCCGGTACAACGGGTTCCAATTTCCGGCCCCCTGCGACATGGGAAGAACGCGTGAAGCCCTATGGCGTGGATTTCCGATTGGCACTGTGGCAACAAAGCGTACAGGCCTCGACTTTAAGGTATCCGCAGGGGTGCCTAATGGAAGTCCGAGCTTCTTCGCCGAGAGGTTATGTTTGGTAATCAATTCGAGCTAGCCATCGACTTACACCTGGGTCCTCATGAAACCGAGGTATGAGGTCTTTTGATTTGTGTCTGATGCAAAGGCGAAGGGGGAAGGTGGGCTGATTCCTACCGCCGTGCATCCACTGTGGGATCAAAGGACAGGTTAAGTAATCTCTGACTAACATTCGGATTTGGCAACGAAACTACTTTATGTGCTCGCTCGGAGCACACATCTTGTATGTCTTGACAAACAAGATATCCATTCTCCACGCTAATCGACTAGCCTGCGTGGAAGAGCAGAGGATTTCTAGCGAGATGCCGCAGAAGTGTCGAACGAGGCGTTCTTTGGTACAAGTTTTACGATGACAAATTGCCCTTCACTGGGCAGATATGTCGTCTATCTTCCAGTCTGTGGAGCCTCCATTTCCTCGGCTGTATGAACGGTCAAAGCCGGCCGAGCATGATTCGCCGTTTCGTGTGGTCGACGCAACGCGCACGCCAGAAAACGAATATGACCCCGGAATCTCAGTGTTCAGCGACGAGATACCGAAGGCTGAGACCAGGAAGAACATGCTCACCCATGCCACGTCCACGATCTAACCTGGTTCAGGGTACCTCAAACCAAGCTCTTCAAGGGGCAATGCCGTTCGCCGATCTTCTGATGAAGTTGGAGAGTGAAGGCAGTCTAATCCATATTCGCTATGGGGTGAAGGTATCTCAAGGGTGCGTAAAATCGCTCACCAGGAGAAACAGCAGGCTCACACCGTGGCTGGGCACTCGGAATGCATAAGGTTGATGAGTAGCTGCTGCATTACTGGGTGTCCTGTGACGGGAGTGGAAAACATTACTGCTAGCTTCAACGCCGCTGGTTCTTGTGCAGACTCGCATGGATGATGCAAATGAGCAGACGAAAGTGGAGTAAAGCTACGGAATGTCATTGCTGAATACGCAACTGCTGCATTGGGGCGCCACTGGGTCGAAGAAGAGAGTCCTCACTCCCGTGCACCCAGTTTTTCGAGCCGTGGCAGCTGAGATTGACTTCCTCGATACACATTACTTTGACCATGCAGTGTCCGGGTCGAAGTACTGAAAGGCGCGTGATGTCAGGGTTCGCTGATGCCCATGCAAGCGAAATCTTTGACGGATGCCACCTCGATATTATGCCGAAAAGCTTTAGTCCAGGCATGGTTACACAGTAAATCTGCTAGTGGCCAGCTTTGTGCAACCACCAGGACGATCCTGTCGCTGGACCAACAAGGGCAAGGACTCCAACGACCGGTAGATAGCTCGAGGAACGCTTCTCAATTCTCAGACTCAGACACAGGCTGATCGCCTCAGTTACGTTGAAAGGGTCTTCGAAACAGGTTGCGTGGGAACTGTTGGGACTTCCATGGAATACTTGGTTGTTAGGGTACCCGGTGGGAAAGCGTATGCGTCCTCATTTCTCTCTCTCTCCGGATTCTAAATTCAATTTCATATCTATCAGCTCTTTTAGATTTTTAACACCGCGTGCGTATAACTATTTACTTACCAAGCTGTGCAGAGAGAAAAAGCCATTGCTTGCTTGTATCTCTGAAGGTAAGACGAGGGAGTGTTCAAAAGAGGGCACAGTGATTTGATGGCCATTTAACCGGTTGCGATTCACGTCATTCAAGCGTGGTCAATGTGATGAACTTTTGAGGCTGCTTTCCAGGCTTTTAGGGCTCAGGCCCCGTTTGTTGTTTGGCCTTGCGACGTGGTCGAGGGCTCATACAGCTTCTGGTCCCTCCACATTCCAACATGCTCGATCCCTTCCTCCATCCAGCGACCCAGTCTTTCGTCAGTCACAAATCCCATCTTCTTATACATGCCCTCCACGGAGACTTGTGCATGGCACAGCACAAGACCGTCCCACTCAGGAGCTATCTCACTCCGACGCTTCCAGGCGAGATGAAGCGCGCTCTCGGCCAGCCAACGGCCTAGGCCTATCCCCCGCAGTTCGGGGTCTGTTGCGAAGCGCCCTAGCTTGAGGTATGGTTTTTCATTCGGGTCACTGAAGCCATTTGGATGGGGATCATGGGGAGGAGGGACCAGCCGTACGACCGCCGCTGCCACCCTGTTATTTAGCCTCGACGAGTCATAGACGACACAATGCCAGGACCTGAGGTCATCCTCATCTAGCTCTGACTCCAAGGAACAGTTTTGCTCCTCACAGAAGACTTTGACGCGAAGGGCCATGGCATCACGAAAAACTAACGACCCTGCAGTCGGTCGAGGATCTGCAGGGAAGCCGTCGGGCGCTACCTCTGCGCCTGGAGGAGCGGTCACCGAGATGCTGTATTTTCCGTGCAACATCGGAGAAGCTGCAGAATCAGATCTCTGCTCCATGTATATCCCCAATCTGAATGTAGGAAGCCGAATGTTGGAGGGCGTCAAACCGTCGTGTCGCCGTCCTATCGTTTGCTTGGGGCCGTCGCCAAAGCTGTTACATGCAGGAGCTGTGAGTCAAGTGATGTCGGATTGTATGATCGAGTCCCTAGATCTCTTTGTTCGTGGTCGGGTCAGATATAAGAAGGGAGAGGAGTTTGTGTGGGCATTGGAAAATGGAGCATCGTGATTGGCTTGTTGTCAGGGGCAAAATAACCTCGTGGAAACCGACTCTTCATCGACGCCCACACGCCCTAAGACTGCCTCAAAAGGCGCACAATCTATTGAACAGATCGCCCTGCGGTCACTCCTGTAATGTCTCTGTACTATGATGCAGTGACTGTCCTCACCGCTAGCTCCCATGAGGGCTCGTTGAAATCTCGAATCTACGGGAATACGCTGGCGTTGAAATCCAAGCCAGCACACATCTATGCGCTCATTTCGGAAACGGCAAAATACGACCGGTTCATCAAAGAAGTCGTCGACAATGCGGGCCTCCTGGCTCAGGAACCAAAGGTTCGACACCATCTCCCCGAATTTGTCGTGTCTTTACTGACTGACTCAGCCTTTTGGCTTCTCCTGATAGTTGACACCGCTCCTTTCCCTGCTTCTTGTCCACGACCATCTCTTCTCGAAAAATGGTCTTGCCGCGCCCTCTGCACATCCCCTGCGACAAACGATCGAAAGGAATAAAGCTAGGCTGCAAGCGGAATTTACGAAGGCCAGGCTGCGGAGAAGATGTGTTACGGTAGACGAGTTGCGAAGAAGTCTTTTGGCAGAAAGTCCGCGAGCATGCCGCTCTCAACCAAGATGGATTCGCATCAACACCTTGAAGACTAGCCTCGCGCAAGAGTTTACTACGACCTTCGAAGGCTACCGGTGTGTTGCCACTATCATGGAAGTGACGAATGCTTCTGCTACGGAAAAGGTCCTGGCCATTGATCGGCATGTTCCACATCTAATCGCTCTACCTCCCGAGGCAGACGTGACGAAAACACAAGCTTACAAGGCTGGAAAACTCATTCTGCAGGACAAGGCCTCCTGCTTCCCTGCATACATGCTCGTCGGAGAAAGGGACGATAGTTCTGATATTGGTGACTGCATCGATGCCTGTGCTGCACCCGGAAACAAGACTTCTCATCTTGCCGCGCTACTTGCTGAAAATGGGAGGTTGGGAAGCAAGGTGTTTGCTTGTGAGCGGGATTCGCATCGGTCGAAGATTTTACTATCCATGATGCAGAAGAGCGGGTCAGAGGCTGTGATTGTTCAGCCAAGTTGTGACTTTTTGACCCTCAGCCCACGAGATGCTAAGTACAAGAAAGTCACACATCTTCTGCTGGACCCGAGCTGTTCCGGCAGCGGAATCATTGGCCGCGAAGACATCCCTGCCTTAGCACTACCTGTTGATCGAAGATCTGAAAAGACATCTGCCACAACGTCTCAAAAGGCCTCAAGGAAAAGGAAAAGAGATCATGATCACAATGGGGCTATGACCAATACAAGTGATGCCGAAGAAACGAGAGAGGCGGTGCTGGACGGCACAAGATTGCTGAAATTGTCCAATTTGCAGGCCAGGATTGTTGAGCACGCTCTTTCTTTCCCTGCCGCAATCCGCGTTACTTATTCGACCTGTTCAACCCACGTGGAGGAAAACGAAGCTGTCGTGTCTCGAGTGTTACAGTCTGGGGTTGCGAAGGAAGGAAATTGGCGGCTGTTACGAAGGGAAGAACAAGCTTGTGGGATGCGTGGATGGGTGTCTCGCGGTACGGCTGTGGCACGGAACGGAGCGAGTCGTCTTTCATCCTTGAACGAAGAGGATCGTGAGGCATGCATTCGGTGCCATCCAGGAGATGACGAAGGGACGATGGGATTTTTCGTATGCTGCTTTGTCCGTTCGCCCGCGGGGACGACACAGAGTACCTCTGAGGTTATTGGTGCACAGGAAGGAGAGGATAGTTGGGAGGGGTTTGGCGACTAGGAGACTAAATCCCCCTCCACTCAGACTGCTATATGAGTTGGACAAGAAATCAAGATATCCGCAAATGCCCCAGAGCATGACTTCGGCGCCGAGACTGAGAGTATACAGTAATCTATACTTTTCCAGGGGGACAAGACCCTAATGGCACCAGCCAATCATATCTGACGCCAAGCCCGCTCTTAACCTAAACAAGCACTGAGCTGATCGACATCGCGATGCCAGGTACGCAACAACGAAGCCTCCTTCCAATCTCACATCATCCTTTTTGAATTGTACATCTTCATAACATCAAATCCACGAATACGTATGGGGCTTACAGCAATAACAGAAATGGTCCTCACACTGACGCAGTTGCGATGATGAGAGGATAGAGCTACCGACGGCCACAACCTCGTCCCAACTGTATTTGTCAGCCTGCCCGCTCGCTAAAACGCACCGTTAAGGCACCCCATAAAACGGTCGCAACGAGGGTCATCGAGCAGAACATACCTCCAGTGTTTGGCCCAGACTCGTCTACGATGTTTCATTTCAGCGCTGGCCAAACAGCCGACGAGCCTTCCGTCTTGAATGGTACTAGGCCTAGCTCAAGCCAGGTCAGGCCTGAAAAACGTCAAATCACAAGAAACCGAGCCAGCTACAGCTGCCTTACTTGTCGAAGGAGAAAAGTCAAGTGTGACAAGGTCCATCCAATATGCGGAGGCTGTCAAAAGGCCAATGTGGAGTGTTTCTATAGCCAAGATGATACGACGGCCACTTCGGCACAACCTGATCTGCCAAACGAAGCCGCCGGCCCGGTTTGGAAGAAGCGAAGGTCGAGTCCCGTGAGACAAGGCTCTTTTGGAACAACTACGGCGCCAGACGACTTCAGATCGCCTGCTGACCTCAAGGCGATAGAAGAGCAGCTGCACCGCTTGACCAAAATGTTCGATGCGCTTCGCCAGGGGACCGGAAGTGATCTGCGACTGAAAGAGCTGCTGACACCTGAGACATCAACCACAGACTCAGGATCTGATGGAAATCCACCAAGAACAAGCCTGAGTCTGGATATGTTTCAATCCACGTACCACGGACTAGCGAGGGAACCTTCTGACCTCAGCATGCCTCTCTCGGGTTTGAGATTGAGTAATGGCGAATCAAAGCCAGAAGACCCATTTTGGACCCATATCTCTGATGAGATTGATCAACTCAATCACCTGATGCGACGTCGGGATAATACCTACGCAAGCTCGATCAGCCCAGAGAACAAGCAGTGTGACCGGCCTCGAGAGTGGGTTCCTCCCGCCGATCCAGAACGTGAGCAAGAAGAAGACACCGTCGGTACAACCGATTTTCACAAAGAAGCTGGAGACAAGATCCTGGAAGCCCTCGATCCGGACAGCCATTGCCCAATATGTCAACTAATGCCATTTACAAAATCCAGTCTATTACAAGATATCCCAATCAAATGTACGCCAGCGACCGCTGTGCGGCATCTGGCGCAGAGCTTTCCTACCAGAGCACAGAGCAATGTCCTTTTCAGATGTTGGCTATCAGGAGTGTATCCAATTCTAGGCCTTCTGCTTCCCTCCGAGGTGAGCAAGAAACACGAAGAATTCTGGGACCAGGTCGAGTCGAATGGATTCTCAGAGGCAACTCTCAGAGACTTGGACTTTTTGGCCGTGCTGCATGCGATATGGTATGCAGGGTCGTTGAGCATTTCCACAAAGGGCCTTCGGCAATGGTTTCCTCACAACTCGAGAGCCAGGCTTAGCACCCGTTTCCACGATCAGGTGGTGTTTTGCCTTCTGATCAGTTGCTTCGCCCAGAATATCAGCCTGTACAAACTTGCGGCCTTGGTCCTCCTGCAAAGTATGCCAATTGCTGAAGAAGATCCGTTACAAAGCAGCCTGTACCTGTCGCTGGTGGTAAGGTTGGCATTGACCATGGGCTTACACAGAGAGCCCACTCTGTTTGGGCTATCTGTAACCGAGGAAGCCATGCGACGACGGCTCTGGTGGCAGATCATCCAGCTGGATATCTCTCATGTTGTCGCGAGCGGCTACCCTTCTCAGATCTCTGAGAAATTTTGCGACACAAGAATCAACTGCGAGGACAGGGATGCTCGAGTGTCCGAGGATGGATCCACAGGCGCTGATTCGGACAAGTCCTCGAAGAATTCGTCGCCCTACAGTGCAACGTCGAACGGAGAGAGCAACCCAAGAGCCTTTGGTACAGGCTCACTTCTGGCAAGAGGGAAGTCGATAATGGCGTGTGCAATGCGAAGCGTTGTGTCCCTTCATCTAGAAACGAAAAGACTCACGAATGGAGACATGCAAGAAATGAAAAGCATCATGACTGAAGCAGCAGTCCAAGTCAACGCGATTTTAAGGTCGATTCCCAGCAAAGGATTGCCGGAAATGGGATTCATCCCAGATATGACCAGAGAAATACAACAACGTGTGGCAGATACCGATGTGCTGATGAGCAGCCCCATCACTTCGAATGATGTTGCGTTTTACAAGACCCCTGCCAACAAGAATGATAGCTCGTGGCCATTGGCGGCCTACTATCGTCAGAAGCAAACTGCCTACAACAAATGGGCCCGAATTCATCTATCTATGCTGATCGATAAACTCCATTGTGTTTCGTATGCGCCATTCCTGAAGAATACAAAGAGTAAGCTGTGGGATATGGGCAGACAATGTGCCCTGCATAATTGCCACAGCTTCCTAAGAAAATTCATATCACTTGCAAGTGATCCGGACTTGGAACCTTTCCGTTGGGGTTGGCCCACGGCGTATGGGCCCCTCCATGCGGCTTTGATAGTTCTTGTTGATCTTTACGAAAGGCCCACTAGCGTTGAGGCACCTAGGTCGAGAGAATTAGTTGATAAGATGTTTGAGCTGGCAGCTCCCGGGGCTGGCATCGTCGGCGGTCCCGATGGTGTCACTGTTCAACGACCGCTACGGGAGGGTGGTGTTGAAGCGTGGGACATGCTGCGAGGCCTTCGATCAGCTGCCTGGCAAAGAGCAGGGCTCGATCCCACAGTGCTTTGGACAGTGGCCGATCAAGTCGAGCTTGGCATCGCGATCCCATTGACGGATGCCCAAAAGATTGCTCAAAGTCTCCGGGAAGATTCGATTTATGACACCAAACCCCTGGCTTCTGAACATCCCGTTTTATATACGGAAGATTCACAAACAGAACAACAGATCACGGAACAAGGCGTCAAATATCTCGAGCAATTGGCCCACAAAGAACTCGGTAGTGAAGGCAGTGGAACGGAAGGGCTCCTTTGCTCTCAAGCTTTGCGGAACAATTTTCCACAAACTCTTGTCAACGACTCTGGATCAAATGGCGGCCGAGTACTGGCACGGCGTGACGGTCAGCCGAAAATGCCATTCCCCCTCAGCAAACGCATGGAGAAATGCTCTGGTCACGCAGCGGCCGCCGACTCTGCGCCGGTCCACACCTTGCATCTCCATTCACATGTGCCCAGAGCGGAGGGGGAGCCTCGTGCATGTCCTACACAGACCACGCCGCCCTTGGGCGGACTTGAAGCGACGAATGGCACACAGACCGTGCCGCCAAATTCGTATGCATCGGGTCAACATAGCTGGGGGCAAATGTCCGCCAATGCTGTAACTGGCACGCAGCAGGATTTATTTAACAATCAGTCACCGAAGCAGCAAACCGTTGAGGCATCTTACGGAAACGGCTATGTGAATGGTTACAGCGGCGGACTGCCCGAGCACCATGAAGAGTCACACAAGGATCAGAGCTTCGTCTATACCGAGTTACACCGGGGTGACACGGATATGAACATGGGCTTCGACTGGGAGCGTTGGGATTCTGTGTTTGGGCAATACTCTGGATTCACGGATTTGATGGAGGATGTAACTGCATGGAGTGAGTACGTCGACGCGTGAAACCACCAGAGAGCGAAGATAAATTTTGACTTCCCGACAACGGATCTGAATTTGTATGCGACTGCCCCATCCCAGCATTCTGATATGCCAGATGGAGTCCACCGACGATCAGACTATTTACACACCTGGGGATGATTTATTCGACTATTCCAATGTGGTAACATTCGCAGCCGGCTCTGGCAACAACCGCCAATACTTTACATTTGACGGACCACGACTCTGCCGTGAGTCTACGTACTTCGAGGGCCGGCTGCATGGAGATTCGCCCGAGGCAACGACTCGACATTTTGACTTCGCAGACGTCGATCCTGCCGCCCTCGCCTGTATGCTGTACTGGTACCGTGGCTGGAGTTGTGGCTCCTGCGAGGAGGACGTCACTCATATCAATACAACATTGTCACTGGCCGAGAAGTGTCGCATTCCCCGGTTCAAAGAACACCTGGTCAAGAAGATGGAGGCACGAACAAACACTACGGACGTGGACAGGGCACAACGTGATCTTTCATCGTGGCTCTGTGGGGATGACGAAGCGAATGTTTCTGCCACCGACCTGGCCAAAGGTCAGGAAAGCCTGCCCTGATTCTCGATCTGTGCATGAGAAGAGAGCTGTTTGATATCAGTCTTCTATGCCAGCTCACAAGTTCGCCCGGCTCCTGTAGTCAACCCGGAACCCTGCCTAGCAATCGAGCATCTATGGGCGACTTCTTTGTACGGTTGGGGGCAGGGTGGGTAGAATTGACCTGTTCCCGTCGTGGGAAGTGCTGACCATGGCGGTTGTATCCCTCGGAAATCAGCTGCATACAGTCGTTTGATAGAGGCATGTTGGAATCCATGAGATCAGCCGTTGAACAGTGAATAGGGGATCAAAGCGATCCGTCCAGCAAGGACACTGATTCTGCAAAGTCCATGGAACTCGTCATCCTTGATTCACTTGCGCCAGTCTGGAAACATTCACTGTCATTGATTCATTCTTGGGACTATTGCACTCTTCTTTCAAACACACCTTCTGCTCCTCCAACCACTTTTCCCCTCGACAGTTGAATCGTCACGAAATAGCCTCGTCCTTTCTTTATGTTGTCACAGTTCCTCGTATGTTCTTGACTCTTCAGCCCGCCCTGTCCAGCGTCGCTACCGACCTACTGTCCCTCAACCGTCAAATTCTCACGATAAGGTCAACCCATGTCCACCCACAAACCCAATCCCATGGAGTAAGTCCATCCTGGACCCAAGTTTGGAATGATCCACACCTAATTCGTGTTATAGGTTCACCATGGAACCCACAGTTGCTGTGACGCCGATGGGAATGTGGTGTGACCCAAGTAAATACCATATCCACAAAATACTCATTCATCGCCACTTTGAGATTTTTGAGATCGGGCTGTGAGATCGAGACGGCGAGAGCATCTGCGTCTATGTCGGAGACCATGTCAGGAATGCAGATTTTGCATTCTTTGTGACATGGCTTTACAACAATGATATACCTGAGCAGGACATTCGGACCCATTTCGTTGGCCTTTGGCATCTAGCTTCTCAGCTAAAGTCCGAAAGCTTCGAGGGGTACATCAAAAGGAAGGGCAAAGAATGCTTGGGGGAATCTGATTACCTATTCCTCGCTCGGGATGTCAACAGGCAGCCCGATGACCTCTTCGACCCATTCGAGCCACTGCACCGATACATCTTCCAAGGCCTAGTCGACAAGATTAATACCAATGGGTGGGTGGGCTTCATTGAAAGGTCGATGGGAAAATGGGAAGAATTCATGAACCACAAGGACGACGCGATCGGAACCAAGGGAGAGTTCATTTCCACCCTCATGTCATGGCTGGACAAGGATCACGATTGAAGAGACATGCGAGCTCAGACGACTCAAAGGATTGCTGTCGATTTTGTGAAATGCGGGATACTTGTGTGCTCTTGGACTGGCAGCGCTTGACACACCAAAGATGCAAAGGGATGCGGGGCAAGAAAACACGAGCGGCAGAGCTGCAGAGCTGGCAGTTGAGAATGACGAAGAGAACACGATGAGGGCCACGACAGAGACAGCAGGGCACTGTGTATGCTGGATGGGGGTTGATCCCAACAACATAGCAGAGAGGCACATCTCAGCGAAGTCCAGAATATTGGTAGATACAATACGAAAATGCTGCTTGATTCGAGGCGAAACAGCACTTTATGGGAACCATAGACGTTGAACCCGAGCGAGACAGACGGGCATCGTCTCCCTTCTTCATAGAAAACATCTGAGGGTAGACTGAGAGGATTGTCATTGTTGCAATCGACACCCTGACACCCTGACTTCACCGTGAGATGAGCCAGTTGTCGTTGCTTCACTATCTTCCTTTTTCTCCCACATCATCCTCCGTAGGGAATCCGCCTTTCAATCTTCCTCTTAAACTTCTTTCACAATTCACCCTCTGCTGCCAGACATTAGCGCCAAGCAAGCAAGCAAGCAAGCAGCAAGCAGGTTCCTTGCAGTGCCGTCTGTTCAATCTCAATCTCAACCTGAACCTGAACCTTTGATCACCTCCATCGCGAACTCGTTCGACCACGCCCTCGCCCTCTCTTCCCTCGCGCTGCCTTTCCAGATTCATCTCAGAAGCGCCTTCAGCTCATCCAAATATCAACGCTAGAATCCATGGCGGTGTCACCGGCAATGACCTCCAGGTGAGTACGCGACAATTCCAAACCAACGAGCCAGAGCTGACTCTCACAAGCCACGCTCGATCCCCCGTCATCAAGGTGATTGCAGGCGAAGACGAGATCTTTGGCGAAGAAAGCCCGGATCTCCCTATCAATGTCTTCCACGTCAGCAAATCACTCCTGCTGGAGAACTCAAAGTACTTCGCCATCATCCTCGATTCCTCCCCCGATCGCACCACCGTCCGTCTTCCCACCAACGACTACGACGTCCTCGCCGACTGGCTTGACCTGATCTACCAAGGTGCCCTCACCAAGTCCGGCAGCAGCGAGCCCCTGACGTTTGACGACGTGCAGCGTTACTTCAAGTTTGCCGACCTCGTGGGTTCAGAAAAGCTCCGCAACACCATCATGGACTCGATGCAGGATGTTCCTATGCATCACTGGGACCTGAATTCCTTCTGGCTTCTGAACGCCAAGTATTCCTCTTCCCTCGGCGGCTTGTGCGACTATGTCTTGGAATGTCTGGCATACAAGGTCGTCGTCGGCGGCTGGGCGGAATTCACTGGGAGAGACCGGGACGACGAGGAGAGCACCTGGGCCACCTTCGTCAGCGAAGCGACCAACCTCGAGCTGTTGAACAGGTTGCTCCTGAAAGTGGATCAGCTCAATCAGGAGAAGGATCACAACCGACTTGTGGCCCCAGCGACGCGCAAGGATTGCAAGTGGCACGAGCACGCAGGTGACGACACCAAGGCGAAATGCCCGAGAAACGCTTTGCCCTCGTGGCAAGCCATGGTCACATACAAGGACGTCGTGAATGGACATGCCACCGCTTTGGGTGTGAACGGTCATGGGCAGGAGCAAGGAGGCCTATTTGCCTAGCTGTGCAGGTCGAGCCCTGGAGAAGAGGACATGGTTCGGTGCCTTCTCGAGGACACGGTAAGCAATGTGGCAGCTTCATACTGCACGGACATGATTTTGCTAGGTGTTGCGTCCCAGGGGCTTGGTCAGAGAGGGGACAATATGTAGCTGCTGGTCCTTTTCCTCCATGCAGCTGCCTGCCTGCGCTGGGAGCTACAGAGATAAAGTGGTTTTGCCTCAACATCGTCTGCTCTGGCTACGTGCGAGACACACACATTCAGAGTAAAGTTCCCAGCCTGAGACCGAGAATTTCAGTCTTATTTGCAGGGAGACCGACCGATTTGGTTGAATGACAGTGCTTTGAGCTTCCAGCTATAGTATCAATATTCGGATGGTCAACATCGTGTCTTTGTGTAGCCGAGATTTACCCGTAAATTGACCACACCGAAACTTCTCGCCTGTAAATAGTTACAGAGTCATCAAGTCCACAAAGCACACGCACAAGAGGTGACGAATGACTGCTTGATCCCGTCCATCAGTTGAAACTGCCGCTTTTGCACGTCAAGGGTCCCGGAGCAAGAGCACTGGGCGACTAGGATGATAGCTCACACTCTCCGTGTCAAACACCCGCCTGTGTGCAGGGTCGACACTGCTCATCCCACCATTACCCACCCAAAATGTGCGGTAAGCCATTCAAGGCCATTCAAAACTGGCCACCAACCAAGATGAAGGTCATGCGAGAGAAGAGAGACAAACGCCCGAGGCGCAAACAGAGGTACAGGACCCGTCCAGTTTGACGGACCAGCCCTCACAAGGCGAGAAGACGACAAAGGGAGTTGTGGACATAGACCCCTTTAGGAACCGTCCTGCCTCCGTTCAGTGCATATGCCGCTGATTCTACAGGCAAAGGTCGTCTTCTTGGTCGCCATTTGAAGCAACAAACACTTGAACTGGCGGAGATGGATGAACGTTAAGAGAGTTGGGCTGTGACAGACCAGCGACCCCTCGTCGTCACTCTCTTTCTCCATTAATACCCGCACGATGACATCGTCGTCGCCGAGCATGCAGCCAAGGCTGCAGCACACGCGACTCTAAGAGATCTGGAGCAAATTTTCTGGTATAAAACCCGGCCCTGGTCCGGTCCACGCTCTTTGTCTCCTTGACAACTCTCCATCTTCTCTCTTGGTTCTTCTCCGACCGCGCAGCCTCTTGTTCAGGTCCCAACTATCACAATATCAACCATGTCCGCCCCTGATTCTTCCGCCCGCTTGCTCCTGGCGTCTCTCAACCACGTTCCGCGGGCTGAAGTCGCGGCGTACGTCGCAGATATGTATATCGAGAGGTCAGTTGATTGCCACAGCGCGCATCCTCTGTATATCCATCCTGTCTGACGTGAGTGACGAGGCAGTGCCGACAAGGTCAGGTTCCTGGTGGGTTGGTACGGAGGGCACGCGCCCTTTCAAATATACGTTTCATCAGCGGCGCTCCGGGCGTCTTCAAACCTCTTTGCAACAGACGGAGCTCGCAGCACCAACGGGCCCGCGACTGTCTCGCCCTACAGCTTCCACTTTCACGAGGTGGATGGCCAGGCGGCCGTGGTGTTCGGGTTGTGGCTGGGCTTACACACCGCCAACTACAACGAGAGCGTCTACGACTCCTTCGACGGCGTGATCCGCTTCAAGTTCGAGCGTTCCCCGGGCCTGCTCGCCGACTGCTGGAAAATAGCGGAAGACTTCGAGTCTCAGCCGTTCAAAAACTACCTCATCACCACCATCATCGACATGGCCGATGACGACTTTGAGGTGCTCATTGGAGAAGCGGAGCGTTTCGCGCGGCGCGGCTACGACGGCACCGGCATTGTCGGCGCCTTGATCGAGAACATGGCCTTCGTGTACGTCGAACACGACCTGAACTTCACCGACATGCTCCGAGACTGGATGCGTCGCCACGACCTCATGAGTTGTGGGCCTATTCTCCTCAACGACTTTCTTTATGCGGTCGAAGAACTGGCGGGCCTCGAGTCCCGAGGCTTGCCGTACCATCCGCTCCAGCGCATCTGCGTGAAGTGGCACAAGCACCGAAACATGGAGGAGCGAATGGGGTGTCACGACTTTGACGCATACAATGACATCATCCTTGACCAGAGTGACCATGGGGATAACGGTGATGACCATCACGATGGCCATGACGAGAATGGTGATGACGATAGTGAATCTGGTGGGAGTGAGAGTGGCCCTAACGAGGAGAGAGGCGACGACGACAACGATGACACCGATGACAATGACGACGGTGGCGACAATGGTGACGGTCAAGATCAAGATCAAGAGGAGGAGGCAGGTAACGACGAACCCAACTCCGGTCCCAGCGGTGGCCACCAGAGCAAGAAAGCTCTGAAGAAGCCGAGATACTACGAAGCATGGGAGCTGGACGCACAGAAGCTACATGAAGCTCGTCGTCGCGTTCGAGAAGCCGCTGAAAAAGAGAAGAAACGAAATGCCGAGGCGGCGGGGCTTGATGATGATAATGACGGCAAGGGCAAGGGCAAGAAGAAGGAGAAGTAGAAGGAGAAGAAAGAGGAGAAAAAAGGATCGATCGACGCACGACCGCAGAAGAAGATCAATTCATGGTGATGGTGATTACAGAACGAGCCATGGAGCACTTGACATGGACATGGAACACATGATGAGAAAGAAGACAACAAGACGAAAAGAAAAGAAAAACAACATCAACATCAACTGAATTCCAACCGAATGAGACAAGAAGGATCGATGAGATGGGATAGGATGAGACGGATGGAACGGTTTGAGAATTCGGGATGGGATGGAGAATGCCACGCCATGCCATGCCATGCCATTGATTTTGTTTTGGGCTGTTCAGCCTATGTATGTAGGTTTTGCTGGACTCTTGAGAGCACAAGCCCCAGCACCCGCCTGGGAGGACACGACAGGACTCTCTCTCTCTCCCCCCCTGTCTCTTCTTTCTCTCTCCCTCTGTCTATCTGTCTGTCTGTCTAGTCCTCCTCTCCTCTCCCCAAGGAAGAGCTGGGCTGGGCTGGGCCAGACCAAGTTGCTTACATACATACAGGAGGTACGTATGTGGCTGTGGTGAGTGAGGGTGAGGGTTTATTTTCGAGCCTTGTTAGGGGCGGCGGGGGTTTGGGGGGTTCATATACATAGAATTGCTCGTGTCGTGTCGTGTCGTGCCGTGTCGTGCTCTGCTCATTGTGGATGGGTGGATGGGTGGCTGGATGGATGGATGGCGGCGAGCCTCTACTACCTCTACCACCACTACCAGTACTTACCACTTACGACGACGACGACGACAACAGACACACACATACACACACACACATAGCGTTCTTTTTCGCAGGAGAAATTCAGTTCTTTTTCTTATCTTTCTTTCTCTTGCCGCTCGGTTCCCCTCCTCCTCCACCGCCCATCATACCACCCAGACCGCCCATCCCCGCCCATCCCGTTCATCATGCTCTGCAGCGCACTCATATCGGGCATCCCACCACCGCCGCCGCCGCCGCCCGGGGGCAGCTGACCCTGGCTCTGGGCCTGGCGGAGCTCCTCCATGGCCTCCTTGAAGAAATCGTCCTTGACCCCGCCGCCGCTCACGGCCGCCGAGTGCACGGGCAGGATGGTGCCCATCTTCCAGCCGCGGGGCACCGCGATCTCGGCCTCGCGGAAGTTCTCCGGCACCGGCAGGCCCGGCAGTCGCAGCTCGAGCGGCGAGTCCTTGGTGGTCGGGTGGTCCTTGAGCCAGCGCCCGATCACGGTGTACAGGTGCGCCTTGCTCCGGATGTGGCTGCTCAGCGGCGCGTGCGACTCCGGGTCCTTGAGCAGCAGCCGCACCCGGCCCGGGTTCGCCCAGTCCTTGGGGTGCGTCTTTTCTGGCTCGAACGCCATCTGGAACACGTTCTCCCCGACCGCGAACCGCACCGCGCACAGCACCTGCCACGCCAGCGGGTTGGGGATCGCCAGCTGCGACGACACCCGTCGGCCTTGCTTCTTCGTCCGCGTGCTGTCAAAGTACACCGGGTACAGTGTCTGGAACCGCTTGATCTCGTCCCGCGATTGTTGTCTAATTTGCGGCATGGATCCCGGCCCTGATGATCCGCCGGGCGGCGGTCGGAAGAGTGTTGGGTTCGTGCCTGATGTGGATGAGGGAGGGGTCGATACAGACGCGAGGGGTGAGGACCCCGTCTGGCTCGTCGGTCGGATGATGTGGTCGTCGGAGTGAGGCAGGAAGTCAGAGGGGTCGTCGATGTCAGGGTCCGAGTCGGACAGTTCTTCCACCCGTGCGTGCGACATTGTGCGGCGAAGGAGGAGGGAAAGGTGGGATGAGGTTCTCGGTGTAGATGTTTTGTGTTTGCCTTTGCCTTTTCTCAAATCCTGCCTAACCTCCGGTGTGTAGGTCGGTATGTAGATTTATTCGTTCAGTGAGGATATGCTCAGTCCCAGGCACGAGGCAGTGGGTGTTCAGGTTCGGTCTCGGGGTGTATGTAGTTCAGGAATCGCTCTCGTCTGTGATTGCAGATGCCCAGGTGCCCTGCCCAGCTGTCCAGCAGCCTTCCGGAGAAGATATGTTTTCTGATCGTGGCGGCGTAGAATCGAAAGTGAAAGCGTCCCCCCGATTTTCTAGCAGTTTGCATCAACTTCTTTCCATCAATCAATCAATGGCTGGTCCAGATCCCAAGATCCAAGTGTTTGTTGCATGTGGGGAAATTTCCCTCCCAGAATGCGGGCTTGGCATGGTATTACATAATAAGTCACTCCACAGCCTTGCGCAAACGGATGCTCAGCCTTGTTCGGGAAGAAGACATCACGGTTGCTCCCAAGCAGGTGTATATTTATATATATATATATATACATTATACCACCCCCGAACTATGCTTTATCCCTTACCATTTACGTTCGGGAAAGGGAGCGCGGCCGCTTTACTCGGGCGCGTGACGGAGCATTGCAGGTGCTCAGCCGAGCATGGAAGAGCGTTGAGGGAGCCACGGCAGCTTACTGGGAGCGCCACCCTGATGCCGGTCCGTAGGAGCTAGTTCGGGCTCGCATCGGGTAAACGGGCCGCCATCTAATTGGCTCCTGAGTATTGTAATGAGGCTAGAGTATGTGCGACTAACAAGCGAATACATGCGAGGGATTGCGGTTCACGTGCAGAGCTGAACGCCACGAGCGCCGCGATGAAGCTGAAAGCGGAGAAATGCGGTTGGCAGCATTGTTGCTGAACCCATAAAGACAGCCTACTTAGATCTCAGGATGCAGCCCTCCCAGGGCTCCAAGAAGTGCCAAGTCGAGAACTGCGGCTGCTCTTGGCTCCAAGAATGTCGTCGACGACAAAGCTGGGGAGACTCTGGGCCAAGAACCCTCCCCCTGATAACGCTGATGCTTGCCTACCTTCAAAGAGCTCGCGGTGGGACTCGTCGCGGTTTCGGAAGTTCCTGAGCGGGCATGACAAACCCCCAGAAGACGACTCCCTACAGACCCCCCCAGTGAACCCGGATGCTTCTCCCAAGGCCGAACACGACCCAATTGGTCTTGTGGCCGAACATGATGCCACTGCTCCTGGCGAGCCTCACAATATATGGGTTCGAGCAGAAAAGAAATTAACTAAGAATGACAAAACAAACAAAGTATGGCAACAATACCTTGAGATCCTGGAATCGGAGCTCGGAGCAAAACTCGAACCCAGCGGGACTGTCGAGCGTCAGCAACAGCTATACAAACTTCTCGAGATCAAAGCCAAAGAGCTGGTTGACAAAAGGTGGAAAGTCCAATTGGGTGGTCATGAAATACAAGTCAGGACTATAATAACTCAAGCTTGCAAAAACCTTTTACATGCAAAGGATCAAATTCAAGGGGTAGCCAAGCATATCGCTCCTCAAGCAGTGCACGCTTGTACCGGAATGGCCATGGTTCTCACCGTAAGTTAGATCCCTGCCAGACTGGTGTTATGTATTTCGATCCGGGCGAATCAACCCCTCAAAGATGGAATTTGCTGCGGGAGTCCTTACTTACGCACCCACAGCTTATCATCCAGGCCGCAGAGCACAACGCCGCCCTTCTTAAGGGCTTGAAATGTACTTCTGCGTTAATCTGCCGCCTCCCCATTATGGAAGATCTCTATCTACCGACGCAGCCTTGGTCTGCCAGGCCAGCACATTTCGACGCATTTCAGCAGAAATTTGAAGAAGGTCTAACGACATTATATTCTCTGGTTCTCGAATATCAGGCACGGGCTCTTCGCTACCTAAAGCGTGTTTGGGCCGCCCAGGTCCTGAGAGACATGGCGAAGCTAGATACGTGGGAAGGGCTTCTAATGAGCATCGAAAAGTCCGAGGACGCTCTGCGAAGCTACACCCAACTCCTTGACGCCGAGGAGATGAAGAGGCGGTTTGACGAAATTCGTGAAACGCAAGAGAATGACGTTAGGTTTCGTATAACATCGACTCTAGATCAGAAAGTGAACAAGTGTCTTCAAATCCTCGACACCTGCCCCTATCGAGAGCGGAAAAACAGAAATACCAAGCGCGTGTTAGGAACGTGCGAATGGTTCACTTCTCATCCTCGCTTCCATGAATGGCAGAACAAAGGCTCCGGCCTACTCTGGGTGTCTGCCGATCCAGGATGCGGGAAGTCTGTCCTGGCCAGGTACCTGATTGATGAGGTCGTTCTCAGCACTAGTCAAAGAACTACGTGTTACTTCTTCTTCAAGGATGATTCTGAAGACCAAAAGACCGCCGCGAATGCGATCTGTGCGATCCTGCGCCAGCTTTTCTTGGAGAAACCCGATCTTTTACAGGAATCAATTCTTAGCGAGTTTCAAACAAAGAAGGACACGCACGTCTCGTCGTTTTCCGATCTGTGGAATACTCTTCTGAGTGTCGCCGCAGATCCCAATGCTGGAGAGATTGTGTGCATTCTGGATGCATTGGACGAGTGTCAGGACCGCGACCGATCCCGGCTCATTCAGGCTTTAACAGAACTTTACTCTACCAACTACCTGTCCAACTTGAAGTTTCTCTTGACCAGTAGACCATACGGTCACATAGGACGCGAATTCCGGGAGCTGGAGAAACTGCTACCGTCCATTCATCTCAGAGGCGAGAACGATGACGAAATTAAGAAGATTTCTTTGGAGATAGACCTCGTCATCAGAAGCAGAGTCGAAGATATCGGCAATAAGTGGTCTCTCAAGCAATACGAGCGCGTCTTTCTCCACGAGCAGCTCACGGCCGTCCCCTTTCGCCAGCGTAGCTATCTCTGGGTCCATCTAACCCTAGATGCCATCGAAAATATGGAAGGCTTCACGAAAGGCGGCGTCAGGAGAGCAGTACAACAATTGCCACAGAGCGTCGACGGCGCCTACACCAAGATCCTAGAAGGGAGTCGGAACCCCGAAAAGGCCAGAAAACTCCTCCATATAATCATTGGAGCAACGAGACCGCTCACGGTGGGAGAAATGGCGATGATGATGGCCCTCGACGGAAGTCATAAATCATATGACGATATTGAACAGGAACTGGAGCCGGACGAGCGATTTGAAACCACTCTCCGAGACATCTGTGGCCTTTTTGTCGTCATCATAGACAAGAAGGTCTATCTACTCCATCAAACGGCGAAAGAGTTTCTAGTGCGGGACAATGCCTCGCCACTAACAGACTCCCACCCCTGGAAGCATTCGATACAACTTGAGGAGTCACATAGGCTGCTCGCCGAGAGATGCATTTGGTATCTGTGTTCAAACTTCATTGAGGCTAGTGGAGGAGTCTTGCTTGACTATGCCTGCTATAACTGGCCCAGTCACTTTCGCGAGGCTGGTATAAGTAGCAACGAGAAAATAACCGTGTTGGCACGGAAGCTGTGCAAGGAAGGTTCGAAGGAATATACCGTATGGTTTGGTAAGTACGGATCAAGATACTGGTTTCCGAAGTCCAGCAGTTCCCTTCCCATGGCGTCGTATTTCGGACTTGCCGGGTTGGTGGAGCTGCTCCTCGAGAAGGGCGCGGCGCTGGAATCGAGGGATTCAAGATTCGATCGGACGCCGCTGTTTTGGGCTGTGCGGAATCGGCACGAGGCCGTGGTGAAGCTCCTCCTCGACAGAGGCGCCGAGGTAGATACTAAGGACAAGACTGGACAGACGCCGCTGGTGTGGGCAAGACACCGCGGGCGTACGTCGTTGGTAAAGCTGCTGCTCGAGCATGGCGCCACCAATCCGGCGTGATAGGCAAAATTGGGCCATTGGAATAATTACATTAGGTAGCTAATAGCAAACTGGGTAGTCTTAAAGAAATCAACTCCGAGCACTGGAAGAAACGCTTCTTTATCCCGGATTGCGAGAACCGACGGGGGTGGGTTAACTGTTCGCTTCTCTTTTAATGTGAAACTGTGAAGGTCCTATTACTAGTCTTGGAGCGTCAAAGTTGGAAAAGATTCATCTGAGCACCTAACAATTGATAGCGCACGGATAGAATATTTGAACAGGACCTTCAGTCTAGTGCCGAGTCCGCTGACTATATAGATATATATTAGATATATATGTATGGAATCAACCTCCATCAAGGGCCCTCTGCAATACTCTCAGGCCCGGTCCCCATCTTGGCAACCTGCGTGTTCGTCCGTCCGTCCGTCCTCCGGTTTAACGAGTCCACCCCTTCAACGATAGGAGTACGAGGGCCAACTATACCGGGATTAACATCCTACGTCCGGGGCAACTCGCATAATCCCCAGACTTCGACAACTACTCGATATCCCACTCCTCGTCCTCGCTGTTCCTGATGTACGGCACGGGCAAGTCCGTCGGCCCGTACTTGGTCTCGGTGATGGTCAGGCCGTTGCCCAGGAAGGCAAACACGTTGCTGGGGTCCTTGTACTGCAGCTCGTAGTGCTCGAACCGTGGCCGTTTCATGAACTTGAGGTGGTGGAACAGGCTGCCCGGCCAGATGTACACGCGGCCGTCGGGTTTGTTGTCCTGGGGGGATGGTTAGTAAATCACCGTCAGCAACACACACAAAAGTGGAGGATCTGGTTCAGTTCTTCACGTCCCTTGATGACCAGGGTGGAAAGGAAGAGAAGGTGAACTCACTTTGTACCAGCTCTTGCAGTCCTCGGCCCACACGCTGTGCTTCCGGTGCCAGGCATCCATGTACAGGTTCAACTGCGTCGTGAGGTCCTGCTTGGGCACCATCCAGCGGATGCCGTCCTCCTGCATCTTCCGACAGCACTGGAGAATGTACTCGCTGTGCACCTCGTGGCTGGGGAGCACGCAGCCCTGGCCCCAGTTGCCCCGGGGCCCATTGACCACGAAGTAGTTGGGAAACCCTGGGGCCGCGATCGACGCGTACACGTTCGGCTCCTTCTGGTCCTGCATGACTTGGCCTTGGAGACCGGTGATCCGGAAGTGCGGGAGATACGCCACGTAGAAGCCCGTGGCGCAGGCCAGGATGTCCACCTTGTGTTCGGTCCCGTCGCTGGTGACGACGCCCTCCGGGGTGACTTTGACAATGTCCTCGAACACGCACGTCACGTTGTCGCGGATCAGGGATTCGAGGTAGCCTTCGCCGGGGGTCAGTCGACGGCAGCCGGGACTCCACGCGGGGATGAATCTCTGCTTCAGGTCCTCCCGGTCCCCGAGTTTCCGGGCCATGTCGTCCTGCAAATACTTCTTCGCCGCCAGGTTCATCTCGCTCCCGCGCAGGAACATGCGGAAGATGCTGGCCACCGAGCGCTCGACCTCCTGGCGGTATTTGAGGTGGTACTCCGGGTCGTCGCGAAACTTCTGCTTCTCCTTTTCCGTGTACGAGTGCTTACCCGCGGCACCCGGGTCTTGGGCCTCCGGGTCCGCCTCCTTGTTGGAGACGGACCCAAACGGCGTGGCGATATAGGTCTGGTTGCGGATGAAGACGGTGACGTGTTTCGCCGTCTCGGCCAGCTTGGGCAGCATCTGGATGGAGCTGGAGCCCGTGCCGATGACGGCGATGGTCTTGCCGGCCCAGTCGATGCTGTTGTCCCAGGCGGCCGAGTGCACGAGCGTGCCCTTGAAGTCGTGCAGCCCGTCGATACTGGGCCACTTCCACTTGTTGATCACGCCAGCGCCGTTGACGAGCACGTCGCACGTGTCGCTGAAGGTGCTGCCGTCCTTGCGCTTCAGGTCGACGGTCCACTTCGAGTTCGTCTCGTCCCACGTGGCGGCCACGACCTCGGTGTTGAGCTGCACGTACTTCTCGACGCCGTACTTCTTGGCGAACCGGACCATGTAGTCCTGGATCTCATCGCTGTAGCTGTAGTAGCCGCTCCACTCGGCGTTGGGCTCAAAGGGGAACGTGTACGTGTGGGCGGGGATGTCACAGGCACAGCCAGGGTATCTGTGGGTCGGGAGTCAGCAGAGAACCCGGAGAGCTGTGGACAGACCAGACGATCGCACCTGTTCTCGTACCAAGTGCCGCCAATGGCGTCGTTCTTCTCGTAGCAGATGAGTTCGTAGTTCTTAAGCATTCTCTCCGCCTTGTGCGCGAACAGGAGACCCGAGGCACCTGCGCCGACGTGGATCACCTTCAACGGCTGCGGCGTGCATTGAGGGTAGTCGGGCACATCGTCCGCCGTGTAAGGTGCTTCGTTGATAAGAGGCATGTCGTCTTGCTTTGCTTCGCTTGGTGCGGTGAGTATAGAAGAAAGAGTAGAAGAAGGACACCCAGAATATACCCTCGTTTCCTCCTATATATATATATATACGCTCTATCCCACTTACTGCTCGTTCAAATCTTGCCTCAGGAAACTCTTGTCTGTGCTGTAAGACTGAGTCAGTCGGTTCTGTTAGAAAGAGAATGCAAACCCGTCCGCCGTCTCGGCTTCCATCCACACTGGGTCGCCTATCAGGCCACCACCGCACATCAAGTCAAGCAGGGACGAGCAATGTTTCTGATACGCCAATCCGACTCTTTCGATGGGGGGAGTGGGAGGCCGCATTGTCCCTCGGTTCATTTCCTCCTCAGGACATAGGGTATCTCACTCCCTCTCTCCCAGTCTCTCTCTCTCTCTCGCTTTCCCCCCCTAACACTTCCAAAGCCACATTCTCCAAACTTCCCACCACAAGGGGACGTCGTGACTTTGCTGGAGAGAAAAAGGCGGGGTTTGTTTTACCGAGGTCATCAGACAATGGGAATTGCTTGAATGGCATTGGCGGCGGGGCGCAAGGCTGAAGGACCGCAACAACAATACATAACCATTCCTCCGGCTGGCTCAGGATTTTAAATCCGGGTCTTGCTGGGCTCGCCGTGACAGTGGTGGTTTTTACATGGTTCGTATTGGTTATCTCCGGCAGCAAGACCAGGGCCACGACGGCTGAATTGGGTTATCTCGATTCGCTATTACTGCATGTTTCTGAAGGTAGGGCGCCGGCGAGTGCATAACCTTCCCTCCCGACATAGTCCTTGAAACGAGACCGTGAGAGTTTCTCGCCAGGAGGATTCAAAGAAGTCTGAGAACCCAAAGTTAAGTGAAGACTAAAGCAATTGCTCGCAATGATAATTCGGCATGTCTTTTGATCGTTCTAAAAGGTGTACTTGAGAGAGAAATCAACGGAGATAATGCTGCGTGCCCCTGGCCCCATTCCCAGATTCTCCACTTCAATGCATGCATGAATGAAATCTATCTACAAGACGGCAGCAACACCGGCCGCGACCGCACCGAGGACCATCAGTCCGTTCGACACCATGTTGGCGCCAGCAGCGTTGCCAGAAGGCGAAGCACTGGATCCGGTTGAGCTGCCCGTGGGCGAGGGGGAGGCGCTGCTGCTGCTGGAACCCGAACTGCTGGCAACCGCCGCACCGAAGATGCCACCTTGGACGGTCTCAGGGGAAGATCCCGTGGCGCTTTGGGCGGCAGACTTGTAGGCGGAGAGGGTGTTGCCGCTTGACCTGCACAATGGGGATTAGTATATCGGTTTGTGGCAGAGAGGAGCCAAGAGAAACTTACGGAGGGTTGACCACCATGGCCATGCCACCCTCGCAGTGACCAGTGGCCGAGCAGTACAGCCACAGAGGATCGGTGCTGTTGACCTGGATCCGCCACACATCCCCGTCGTTGGGGAATCCCGAGTACACACCGGCACCACCACTGATCGGTACGCAAGGAGCCGCGAACGAGCTCTGTGCGACACTGTGACCTTCACCGAAGGTGAACTCCACCCAGTCACCCTGTGCGGCGGTGACGGTGTCTGGTGTGAATGTGAGGCCCGGCCCGACCTTGACCGCGTGAATGTTGGAGGCCGAGGAGGCGGCGGCAGCAGCGGTTGCACTGCTCGACATCGACGAACCCGACGACGAAGACGAAGAGCCAGAGCCGTAGTCGTACTGAGGGTTGGCGAGAACGGATGTGGCCAGCACACCGAAGAGGAGGGTGGTCGATGAAAGTGGAGAGTGCATTGTGTGTGTGTGTTGTGAGGAGTGTATAATGTTCTCGACGAGGTCCGATGCTAGATCAGTGTAGCTCTGCTGGAGAGAAGGGTATCAAAAAGGGCAAAGCAAGTGTAACTTTTGGTGGACTGTGTACTCGGGAGTTGAAGATGGAGGCTCTCCCTCTGACCACAACCCGGAAGTCTCCCAGCTCTTTATATCCCTCATGATCTGTGACCCAGGGGAGTGCCGGCACAGGGAACAGCCATGGATTGGTCAGGGTTAGCCAAACAGGGACTGTTTGACCAGCCTGACTCGGGTTCCTGTACGACGAATGGGCAGATTTGGGACATAGCAGGGAGTGGAGAGCACCGACGGGAGTCTGGCCGACGCGCAACCTCCTCCTCGTGGCCCTGGGGGCGACTCAAGACTCTTCACGTCTGAAGTTTCCCGTGTGGGAGAAAAAGGAGGACGGAGTATGAGAGGCAAAGGCAAGTCGAAGGATCCATGAGCCAGCTAGCCCGCGTCGACTCTCCGAAGTTGAGGCCCAAGACGGTTTAGTGGTAGATACCAAGATCCAGGGGGGAGAGATTGGACCAGAGCAAGCGCCTGTTTAGCCTGTTGCACAGAAGGGGCATCATGGGGGTGCTGTTGGATGATGGACGAAACGCATTGGAAACACGAACCGCATCTCCCGTATCAGAACGAGGCCATCACATCACCGCCAACAACAACAACATCATCATCACCACAACCACCACTCTCAACTCCTGGATCCTTCTGGCCCCCATCGCAGAATAGCCGGCTGAACAGGAAGAAAAAAGGAAAGAAAAGCCCTTCAACGCCGTGCGATCCACAGACTGATTGCGTACGACGTGCTGCGGTACCTGGGGCAATATCCCAACGAAGCCAGAGACGGGAAAGGCTCGAAGTCGAAAATAGATTTGTGGTGCCATTTGTTGATGGGCTACCACGCTCTGGAGCCGGTCTGAAAAGGAAAGAAGGGAGAGACGCGCTCTAGCTCGAATGATAGCACCAGTCGAGGGAACGGGGGGAGTGAGAGACCAGGAGCCACAAGCCCGGGGGTGGATGCTGGGAGGGGAGGATCCCAGTAGCGGGTAGTAGTTATTAGTGATGATGGATGAGTTATACGTATGCTGCCCACTAAGGGTTTTAGTGGGTGCTAATAGGAGGGAATGTCGTGGGCTGTTAGGTGACGTTAGGCACCTAGTGGCACCGGTGGGTGCCTAGGCACGAGGGACAATGGTACTGGATACTCCGTATTACACAGTTAGTTACCTACTGGACACAGTACCTCGTAGGCAACGCTCAGCCTTCCCCTAGTGACCAAAATAGGCGCAGGCAAAATGCGAGGCTGCCAGCCATTGACCTCCATCAACCAGCACTCCCTCCCGTACTTACCTCCAGACGCCTGTCATCAAGACAAACAACTTCTTTCCGGTCACTGTCACAAAGGGGGTCCCGCGCCACCCAGAGAAATCCCACAAAGTTCGGAAAGCGCCCAAGATTCCCGGCCATTTTTCTCCCATCTGGCCATCATCATCATCACCTTTTCTCACCCGGGAAACCGTCCACAGCGCGCGGCCTCTTTCCGGGGCAAAAATATATATTTAGCCCTCTGCTCTGCTGCTGGCTCGCGGGCCTGGCCAATCGGTAACGGTAACCCCCAACGCCATTTTTTTTTCCACTTCATCAACCTTTTCGAAAAGATAAAAAATCCAATCCTGCCGAAAAGACGAACGAACCACCAGCACCAGTACCAGCACCAGCACCACCCACTTACCACTGGGCTGGCTTCATTTGCTTCCGACGGATTTTGGAGATAGTTGAGGCGGAGATTTGCCTGGAGGTGGAAAGCGTGCGATCGACCGACCCATGGCATCCCAAGAAAACTAACTGGTCATGACATTTCTCCATTCTAAACGAAAAGCTACGCTGCCAAGGCCCGATGATGATGAGGATAGTAATGACTGAATAATGGATAAAATGAACCTGACCGAACAACCCTCATTTCCGCTATTCCGAATGTCAACAGTGTGTGTGCTAGGTCGGGGCAATACCAGGAAGGGCATCCACCTGCCCGAATCATACCCCTTCTCCGAAGAATTTCCCTTGCATGCTGCTGCTGCCGCCGCTGCTGCTGCCAACTGTGCCGCCAGTCAGTCTCCTGGTCAGATCTTGGTCCCAAAAATATCTCTGACTTGTTTGGAGAGTGACCTGTAAGCCAACAGCGTCCACACCACGGTTGCATGCGCTCTGGATCTGCCTGCCCAGTTGGCACGCTGGGGACCCATCTCCTCCCGTCGCCATCAAGATGGCCGAAACCCAGATCATGCCGGCACGACGCTCGTTCGTGATTGGGGCGATAGGCTTTCCCACAAGGCCCATGCAGTGCAGGCGTTGAGCCCATTCCATGACCGAGTAGATCGCCTCGCTGTTCATGAAGATGCAAAAGGAAAACAGGCCGAGGACCAGCAGCCGCTCCGTCTCGTCGAGCTGGTCTTGTCGTTGAAGCAGGTCAAACGCCCGAAACGCATCCAACGTCATGGCATGCACGATGGCGGCAGTCTGCTCGCCATCCGCCCCGGTCCCGGGAAGATCGGCAGCCTGCAGAATCCATTGAGCCATCCTTTCCACGAGATGCAGCACCTGGACCTTGACAGCAGTGCTGCGAAATAGCTCCGTGAATCCAGGAGGGAGCTTGGCCAGTCGCTCGCGGGATACCGGCGAAGGTTGACGGCGAGAGACTTCAGCCATCGGCGATGCACCCCCGAAGCTGGAACTCTTGACATGGTCAAAATGTCGGTAGTTCAAGAAATTTTCGAACCTGGGAGATTGATCAGCAGTGACACGGCGCAGTCTGGGGACGGCGCAACTCCTACTGCAGAAGCGGAATCTTCACCCATTTGCTTAAGGATGGGGATTCCATGCCACCCCGGAGTTGGATGATGTGCCGCAAGGCCCCGAGATGAGTTCCCATCGCATCGATATTGTCGTGAAGCAGCTGAATTCGTCATTAACAGGGCTTGCACCGAGACTGAGGAATATCTCACCTCAGTTCCAACCAGCAGAAGGATCGTCATCATAACAGCATCGGAGGCACATGACTCTGGGGAAGAGATCCTCTCGCGGAGCTCTCGGATGACATCGTTTCGCTGTGACAAAAGAACTTCCTTCGCACCCTGCCTTCCCGATTCGAATCGCTCTCGCATATCTGCCGCCCAAACCAGGACAGCCTTGGCGACCATGGTATCATGCAGCATGACCCCGTCGAGGAAGTCCCCAGGCTCAAAGAGGATGGTTTTATAGCGACGGTGTATGGCAAAAGGGGCATAACATTGAAACACTATCATGGCGAGAATTAGCTGGGACAGAAACGTGGAGAGGAAGAGAGTGAGGGGGCTCACAGAATTCAAACGTGGAATTGGGATCCAGCTCGTGGTCTCTCCTGAAGTTGTCACCAAGGTTCCAGTGCTCCAGGAGTTCGATGACGGTCTGAAAGGCAGCACTGCCTCCGTCTGCAAGCATCTCGTTGCCCGCAGACCTGACAGGGACAGGCTCCGTCGGAATTGAAGACTGAGCATTAACGGATGACGACGAGGTGGACGACGAGTGGCGACGGTGAGCAGGTTGGCTACTGCTACTGGCGTTGGGTGTCGGATTCCCCAACTTCATCCGGTACATGTAGCCATCCTGCGTCAATTTGGATCGGACAGATCCCCAGGATGGGTTTTTGTTGCTGTTGTTATTGCTGTTGTTGTTCTTCATCCCGTCCACGGATCGACAAGCTGAGCCTCAAAGAACTGGCAGCGTTTGAGGTTTCTGTGACCAAGGCAATGGCTCCTCCACGGTTTGATCGGATTCATCGACACGACTCTTCATTCATTCCCAGACGGCGTCTATATAGAAAGAGCGACCTGCTTGCCCCAGCTGGGATCCATGAGTTCATCATCTCTTTCCTGGCCGGAGCGTGGAGAGTCCCGCGTTTGATCATCGCGCAGCCTTGTCTTGCCCGAGCAAATTACCAGATCTGCCACAGACACGATAGTGCTGCTTCCCATTCTGATCGTAGGTGGGGAAACACGGCCTGTGATATGAGTTTCTTCTGGGCTGCTCGGGTCGAGTCTCGTGGTCCCCAAGGCTAAGAGGCCGCACCACGATCTAGCCATTGAGCAACAGAACTGCCTCACCAGGTATTTGTCTTTGATTCTCCGAACTTCACACTCGTGCAGCCGCATTCGCTTACCTAAATCGTGGCATTGCCAACAAGCCATACCCGATGCAGTGTTTGTCCAAGTCTCGACGGCATTGGCTGGGCGTTCCTGGTCCGTGCGCTGGCCACATCCCATAGGTTGGATTGGGTTGTTCCTGCTGAGCTCCTGCAGCATTAGGCTCACCGGCTATTCACATGGCCTATCATCGTCTGTCATGGCCGCCGACCAAGCCACTGTCGGCGATCCCGTCGCGCGGGTCCTGCAGGTGGTGGTCAATTGCAAATGGCATTTTCGGTAAGGCTGGTTTGTTGTTCCTCCATAATCCAAATCTAATCGGCGAATGTGTCAGCGTCAAAACCCCCTTCCAACGAGATATGCAAACCCTGATTTTGGAAATTTTAGGCTGGTGCCGTCTTCCGTGCAGGGGAAGAACAAAAGGAGGGTTTTGCGCATCGTCCATGTGAAAGAGCTTCACCTGATACCCTGATGTGATGGTGTGTACCGCACTTGGATCGATCGTCCACACACTCAAGGGTCCAATCCCTTCCAGCCAAGGCGCAAAACGCATTCCGGCTTCAGCTATGTTGTCATCTGGTGATGATGTCTTTTCGATATCGGGAAAGTCTTCAGATCTTTGGAGAGGAGGTCTTTCTTGCCGACGCTTCCAGACAACGAAACTTGGACCCCATGTTACTAACCTTGGTAGGAAATTTCACTTCCCTGTCCTCCAGCAACACTTGTCATCCTTGCGCGCGGCAGTGGTGTTAGGATTGATATTCTGCATCATCAGAGATATCCTGGCCGGGATCAAGCGGCTAAGAGTGTCTTGTACGTGAGTGGTTGTGAGGGTATTTTCCGTAGGACAAAGGAGGCAGTTGTGAAGACCTGATCTGCTGCAGAGCTTTTCATGTGCAATTTGCAAAAATCAGAACAAGCGTAGTTGTCTTGAGAGTGAAGGAACAAATATAATATCCGACTGGTTGAACGACGCGACACAAGCAACGAGATAGCTCTTCCAAGACCAAACCGAGTTGCATTATCTCTGGCCTCTGTCTGCTCAGATGCTTCTCATGTCACCGACCGACGCGAAACTCAGAGTCGAGGCCGACTCGAGAAGCTGGGCAAAGCAGAGGCCTCTGAATAGTCCCCAGCTCTGTCTGGCGTTGAAATGTGATGGTGGTGTCTGTCTGGATCAGACTGTAGGCCAAACCAAGCCAAGCTGTCCTGCGTCCACGGAATGCCCATGGCACAGGGAAGTGGGAGCTTCATATCCTTATAGGACTGACTTCATGAGCGTTGTGGCCTCGGCTTAACAAAATATTCTGAGCACCAAAAGAGTAAAAGGAAAACGGGATGGACGATGTCGGGCGGGCTAGTGATGCTGGATTGCACATGTGAGCACCAACCAGCCCAGAAACCGACCTCGGGAAATTCGAGGGCCAGGCCGGGCATCGAGACACACACACGATCAACAAAAAGTGGTGATATCATGCACCTCCGGCCTGGGGAATCGGGAATTTGTGGTTACAAGAACGTTCTGAAAAATCTAGACCGATGACGCTTGCATTTGCAAATATGACTGCTGCCGTGAACCCTCCCTGCTTCATAACAGAGTATCAGACGCTTGAAAATGTCCCCAAACCCCAGACGCTGATTGGATTTCTCAACCCATCAACTTCCCAAGACGCACGTCGACGAAGCTCTTCCTCAGAAAATGCCCTCCTCAAAGGATAAATACACCGACCCCGAGCTCCGAGATGAGGTTAAGGAAGACATCCAGCAATCGGACAAGGGTGGTGCGCCGGGGCAGTGGTCTGCTCGCAAAGTGCGTCCAAAGTCGCTTCTCGCTTTAGTGCTGCGGACTAATCCGTTTCCCTCAGGCTCAAATGATGGCCAAAGAGTACAAAAACCGGGGTGGTGGTTACAAGACAGACAAAAAAGACCAGGACGAGACCCAGAAGCATCTGAGTAAATGGACAGAGGAAGAATGGCAGACAAAAGAGGGCAGCGGGCAGGCGAAGCAGGACGACGGCACCAGGAAGCGCTACCTTCCAAAGAAAGCTTGGGAGGAGATGAGTGAGAAGGAGAAGGAAGAAACTGACCAGAAGAAGCAACAAGGAAGCAGGGAGGGCAAGCAGTTCGTGCAGAACACCCCACGTGCAAAATCTGCTAGGCAGAAAGCCACTGATGGGGAAGACGCCGCCCATGAGAAGAGGGAGAAAGAAAAAGCGACGCAAGGAGAAGGCGGGCAGGAAATGCAAAGTCGCTCGAAGCAGCAGTCCGACTCTGACTCTGAGAAGCCGGAGCACAGAAGCAAGCAAGGACGGACATCTCAAAAGGCGGGTCAGAAACGCGATCGGGGCCGAGACACGACCAACGAGGAAATGACCAAGTCCCCGATGAAGAAACTGAAGCATCAGACCGAAACGTCAAAATCCCAATCCAACGGCCCGTCGGCCTCCATGGAAGACAGGGCGAACGCGCCAGCTGAGCCCGCTTCGAAGTCGAGGCTGCCGGAAAAGGGGCAGACAGCCCATTGGAAGGGGACATCGGGCTGGACAAAAGGAAGCGTGGTGGAGGTGCTCAAGGCAAGCAAAAAGGTGCATGGCAAGCATGTCAACGCCACCGAAGCCGATCCACGCATCGTGCTGAAGAGCAACAGCAGCGGAAGGATATGTGTGCACAACCCAACCAATGTGTACTTCGACTGATGCACGCCCTCAAGTGGCATCCTCTTGGTTCAATATAGGGGCGCAACGGGAAACTTCGGCGTCCAAGGGTGTGCTTTTCGATAGTATTTTGGGGGACATGATTTTGAATATGGTCACATCTATAGTTTGGCTTTGGCAGCACCACCAGCTTTCGCGAGAATAGGCTCCATCTTCGTCGCTGCGTTGCTTGTCAGCTTCTCACCCTCACCGTCCAGGGTCGACTGATTTACCTTTCATGACATTTCCCCTGACCTTCAGCTTGCCGCTCATAAACAAAGTCTGAGCTTTCGACTTGCCGGTGAGCAACTTGGCAAAGTCCTCGTCGGAAAGAATGAGTGTCACTGTTGGCCGTTTAGTCCCTTCTGCATCCTCATGCAATGGCGACTGTGTATCCAACTAACCATCGGCCTTTTTGCCTGCGGGCGCCTCGCCTTTGCCAACCTTTCCAGTCTCCTTGAGATCAATGTACCACGTCTCTTGCTTCCCGCTGCTGTTTGTCAGCTTGAAGGTGAACACGGCGCCCCCTTGCTTGATGGCGGTTTTCCGTTCGGCGTCATTGGAGGCGAGGGACTCATTGATGGCATCGAAGGCCACGGAGGAAGGGAAGGCCTCTGAAATGATACGTCAGCAAGGTTGTGCCGTGATAACCTAAGACAGATTCTGAAAGCATACCGTCCTTGAGAGACATGGCGTGGCAGAACTCCGGAATCGAAAGGAAAGTACTAGGAGACGCGTAAAGCTGGAATAGCTCCGGTGACGAGAGAATGCAAGTTCAAATAGAAAGGATCTAAGCCTGTGTGAGTGACCAACTGGGTATTTGTAGGAGACCGGATGCAAGAGTCGCACTCGGAGGTGATCATGTGCGGCGCAGATGTAACGGCGAGGACGGAAACCGAAGATGAAGTCATCTCGCGCTGGGGAATCGACATGTGAAAGACTCCAAACGCCGAGGCTCAACAACTCACCATCCATGAATACAACAACATTCCCCTGCCGCTGTAATACCTCGTTGAGGCTACGGTACATCTATTTATAATCTCCTCCTTTCTTCGACAAGCATTTTGGAGGGAGCTCTGCAGGAAGTAAGACCGGGGATGGGAACGTGGCAGGGAATGTCAGAACAACAAAATGTCTATACAAAGGCATGGGTATCTCTTCGCTTTTAGGAGTCCACTTCACACTGAACCACATTCCACACCACAAGATCTCGTCAGAACTCTGGCCTAACCACAGCATCCTGACATAGCACCGCCATCCGCTTGAAGAACCTTCGCCACTCCAGCGGGTCGCCCGAAGCCTTGACGAAACACACCTCTATCAGTTCTTCACTGACCGCTTCCATGGCGATGTTGCCGCTCAGGGGACATCCACGACTATCTTGGGTTTTAACCTTGACTAGAAACTCGCAATCTTGAGCCGTAGGCCGAGGAATGTTTGGAGTTGGCACTCCTAATCGGCTCAAGGCCTCCAGGACATGGGGGACAAGGAGATTCAACGCCCAACCCGAGTAGAATTTTGTCAAGCCTGAAGAGGGCAATATGTCGTGAAACCGACGAGCCATCTGAGTCCGGCTAAGAGGGACGCTCGGGTTGGACTGGAACTGTGACATCGACGGCTCGTCTTCGAGATATTGCGCTGTTGACATTGACTGTGTCGCCGACGTGAAGCCTGATCCCACCTGCGTGCTTGACGTAGCAAGGTGTTTTGGTCGACCCCAATCAAATAACATATCCTCGCCGGGCGTCTCGGGTTGGGTTGAGGCGAACCTCGCCTGAAAGCCTCCATCAACCTCCATGGAGTCTAGGTTTTGACTTTTCTGCGTCCCTGCAAATGGATCCGCGTTGAAGCTGACCCGGAGGGATTCAAACATGTTTGTGGCCAGAGTGATCGGGTCTTTTAGTCGACCCATTTGGTCCATGAATCTGTTCGGCCGGGTAAACCAAGGATGCCGGCGTACATCCTCAAGGGAAAATCGCGTTTTGACATCGACCCTCATCATGCCGCGGAGGAGAGAAGGCACCTCTGGGGGAAGTGCGTCCCACAGCTCGTCAGATGGCTTCCCATTGCTCTGAACATACTCACTGAACTCATTTGGTCTCCCGTACTCATCTCGTCCCTCCACCGGTCTACTCCAGGGGGTGTTTCCTGCAAGCAAGACGAACAGGACGACTCCGCAAGACCAGACATCTGCCATGTTGGCTGCATAACCACTTCCTTTCGTGCCAGCCTGTGTGCTACACGACAGAACCTCTGGAGCAACGTAAGGCGGACTTCCACACAGCGTGGTGGCCAGCTTCGTCCGGCCGTGATACTCGAACAGGGTGGCCATCCCAAAATCTGCAATCTTGAGATCTCCATCGGCAGAGAGAAGAACGTTCTCCGGCTTTATGTCCCGATGGGCGACGCCCTTCGAATGCATGTAGCCAATTGCACTGATGAGTTGGGTAAAATAAACATGTGCAATGTCTTCCGCAACGCCAGCATCGGCTTCGATCTTGTCAAAAAGGTCACCTCCTTCGGCCAGTTCCATTGCAATCCAAACCCAAGCATGATCGTGACCATGGTCGTAAAACTCGATGATGTTCTTGTGGAGGCCAATGTGCTTGTGTAGGGATATCTCCATCTCGAGCTGCTTCTGCTTGATCCGGCCATACTTCTGGGCGAAGAGTTTATTGATAAACTTGACTGCAAAGACGGGATTGTCGGCGTGGAGAGGAGCGGCTTTTTTGATGCTTCGTGGAATCATTAGCAAATCTCTGTATGGCACTTGCAGCATGGAGGGGCAGGGGATCAAATACCATGCGTATGCACCGGAGCCGATGGTGGGAGAGACGATCCGGAATGGCACTTGGTCAGGCAAAGGAGCCAACTGAGAATGAGGGACCCCGTTCATGACAGAGACTGGCAAGAGAGGATGACCAGAGTTTTCGTAAGAACAAACGTCGAAGCCTATGCAGTGATCATCGTTGATCCCTTGGTACTGGCACTGGCACTGGAACGCACCCAACCGGTCCTACCAAGCCCAGGACGCGTCGTGTTACAGACTGAGGCGTGGGACTACCGGTGAATTGGTTGACTGAGACCCCCAAAATGCAGTCGACGTCATTTGGGGGGCGTGTTTAGTGGTGCTAGTGTGCTGTTACTGTTACTGCGGCGACCATAATCCCGTCCGCCACGACCGCGACGGGTAAACACTCTCTTCCTTCTCCGGGCGCAGTCGACCTTGCCAACAGAAGCACACCTCCAACCCTACACCTTCGACTTTCGCTTTCCCTGACTATTATTTGGACTCCTTCATCGTCTTTCCATCATCCTCAGTCTCATTCATTATTCTCCGCATTGTTGGTCTACAACTACTGCTGCCGTCAGAAACTGTAGTAGTCTGGACCATTCTTCCGTTTTCAGCATTCCTTTACTCGCATTCTCGCCGTTTGCAGCCCGCAGCTTAAATACAGCTCCAACATGGATTATCCATACGAGAACTCTCAGAACGCTGCTCCAGCCATCCCTACCATGGCCGAGCACCGGAAAGTCGGTGTCTCCTGCCAGAAAGGAGACATCCAAACTGTCACGAAACGGTGGGACCATCTTTTCCTTTGACGGGCAGATGGCACGGGGGCTTATCATGCACAGACTCCAATCCGAACTTATGAGCCTCATGATGTCTCCTACCCCGGGCATGTCTGCCTTCCCTGACTCCGACGGCAACATGCTGCACTGGACCGCCACCTTGGAGGGCCCTAGAGACACCGCCTACGAGAACCTCACGTTCAAGCTGCGCTTCGAATTCCCCACCAACTATCCCTACTCTGCCCCCGACGTCACATTCAAGACCCCGGTCTACCATCCGAACATCGACTTCAGTGGACGGATATGCCTCGATATTCTAAAGGAGAATTGGAGCGCTGTCTACAATGTCCAAACTGTGCTGCTGAGCTTGCAGGGTCTTCTGGAAGAGCCGAACAAGTAGGGAATCTGCCTGCATCCAGAAAAAAACAACCAAGCTGACATGTGCTCGTAGTAAAAGCCCGTTGAACAGCGAAGCGGCCACGCTTCACCAGACTGACCTCGAGGAATTCAAGCGAAAGGTGTTGGCTCGCCATCAGGATCTCAAGGACTAAATATCGGAGACTCAATGCGAATGGGGACGACCTGGGTCATTTGCTTCGGAGTTCGCCATGGCTAGAAATGATGGTTACGCGCATACCCTTGCATGGGTCCTTCAGCGTTGGGCGTTGGTGAGAAGTCGTCATTTTGACTTGAGAAGCGACGGAGCAGGATTGGGGTTGCATACATAGCAGGTGTCGACGGGGCAGGCTCGAGCAAGCGATGGACGTCCTGGTGTTGCTGGTCCAGAGCGTCATCCCTTTTGGAAGTTTTGCTTTCACACGTACCAAGCGCAAAATATACCGCATGGCTTCCTTCTATCGTTCCCTCACGATACCTAGACTTCCCAATACATCTAGAGTGTTTTTTGAATGCTCTTGCCAACTAATTTTCCCCGACACGCCCGCAGGCTTGCACTTCCTCGTTCGCCATGAAGCGACTACTACCATCATCCAAGCCCTCGAACAGCTCGACCCCCCAACTCTTACTGGGATTATTGAACCTCGACCTCTTATCCTGCTCGGCAATCTTGAGCATCTCCTTCTCGGTGAAACTCACCTTGAGCGACCCCAAGTTCTCCTCGATCCGATCTCGATGCACGCTCTTGGGGATCACAACGGTCCCGCGCTGCCTGCCCCAGGCGAGGATGGCCTGTGCCGGGGTGACGTTCTTCTCGGCGGCGAGATCGATCCAGAAGGGGTCGTCGAGGACGTGTGGCAGGTCCGGGTACTTGTCGCTATAGGTGGGATTCATATTGGCGAGCGGCGAGTAGGCGATGACGGTGATGTTGTTCTTGCGGTGCCAGTCGACGAACTCCTGCTGCTGCAGGTAGGGGTGTGTCTCAAATTCGTGGGCCCAGGGCCGGATGTCGCAGCGGGCCAGCAAGTCGTCTAGCTGGCGCGGCGAGAAGTTGCTCACCCCGATGTGCCGGGTCAGGTTGGCCCGCACCAGCTCTTCCATGGCCGCCCACGTGTCGTGCACGCTGGTGTCCTGGTCAACCACGGTGCGCCCGGGCTTCTGGCCCGGCAGGAATGCCACCGGCCAGTGCATCAGGTACAGGTCCAGGTAGGGCACCTGCAGGTCATGGAGTGTCTTCTCGAGCGCGGGTCGCACGTGCTTGGGCTGGTGCGCCGTGTTCCACAGCTTCGAGGTGATCCAGTACTTGTGGCGGTGAGGGGAGAGGGACGAGTTGCCCAGTGTGCGGCCGACGAAGTCTTCGTTGCCTGTTCAGCCGTCGCAGGAGGAAACCACATAGTTAGTCAGGTGGTTATGCCGACTTCGACGCCCGTTTCTCGCAGAGATGGGTGGCGTGGGTTTCAATCAATCAATCCCGTGGGGAGATGATGGATGCCTCATCCACTCGAATGATGATGGATCCGGGGGTGTCTATTCCGAAACAGACAGAAAGACAAACGTACCATAAGCAGCGGCCGAATCGAGGTGTCTGTACCCGGCCTCGAAAGCATACTCGACAGCATTGGAGGCCTAGAAAACATTGGCACAGGAGCAGCATTAGTTAGTGTACGAGGAGAGCCTTTCGAGTATCAAGAGGAGAAAAAGCAGAAAAAGGGTCGGCTGTTCCATTTGAGGAACAAAAGATGACACATGTGAAGGGGGGCGGCGAAGCAGACATCTTCATCCTTGGAATTCCAAAGCCCCAGACCGACTTGGGGGATCTCCTTGATCGGGCCTTTTGTTGACAGAGGCTGTTGGCGGTGGAAGGGGATTTGGTCTGCCAGGGACGCCGGCAGAAGAAGCGTTGTTGTCAGGAGGCACCAGGCCAGGAGGTGCGGGGATAATAGAGGCTGCATATCGAACACCCGTTGACAGTAATGGCAGTCAAACAAAACTCTATAATATAGTTGGGAATGGAGGTAATCTATATTCGTATGTTGTTCAGAGATGAAATAGACATGAATGTGATGAATGCGTGTATTCGCGTCGTCAGCCATCGTGATACTCGACGTCGATGTCGTCATGCGGAGTATTGATGGTACCCTGTTCCGGGGGCATCGGAGTGCATATCCATTATTACCAGGGACAGTGTTGTGCCGGATAACGCATCCGCGAATAGGTAGTACATTAATAGGGGGTGGTCGTAGCTATGGGTATTAGCTATCATCATCATTAGGTATTTGATTAAGCTATCAATCCCGCCTCTGACTCGCTATTGTGCGGAGATAGCGGCTTGGCAACTTTGTGCGCTTACTAGTACATAATTAGCTAGAAAGGGGGTCGAGGTACGAGGTACTGTCCTCCATAAGCTAGACGAAGACAAATACAACTAACAGAGTCTCTCAGATGAGGAATCATGAAAGGAAACGTTTCAGAACAGAACAACTCTGCATAAAATACCCCTCCTCCTCTACTGCTGCCACAATCTTCGGCTCAGGCATGACAGGTAGGATACTTGGATAAACCACTATGAGGTGGAGACGCGGCTCAGTAAGGTAAAGGCCTGGCAGCTTGTGTATGATCAGTATATCGGAATCGTCCTTTTTCTCCCCAGCCACCATTAGGAAGGAAGATCGTGAGTGCTGTGGCGGACCGTTTTCTACCACGCCTTCTATATTGATTTTCACACTGAATGACGGCAGTGAACTCTTCTATGCACACATCTTTGCAATCGACGGACAGATCGGGACCACACTCAATTCAACACATGCGCCGCCTTAACCATATCCGACGCCTTCTCCGCCACGGCGTATATGGTGGCCATGGGATTTCCCGAGAAGTTGACGGGCAGGACGCTTGCATCGACGACACGCAGGCGCTGGACGCCGAGGACCCGCAGCTGCGCGTCGACCACGTCGCCCATGGCCGCGGTGCCGATCGGGTGGTGCTCGGTGCCCACATTCCCGCGCAGCCAGGCCTCTTCGGCGTCCCTGTCTCCCAGCCCGACCTGGGCCGCGAACGAGTACCGCGGGTGCAGTTGCTCCTTGATCCGCGGGGCCAGGGAGACGGCGTTCAGGAATGGGAGCGCGGAGCGCAGCACGGCCATGTCGACCGGGTGGGCGAGGAACGCGTTGTCGATGGCCGGTTGGACTTGCGCATCGCGGCTCGTGATGTGCACGCTGCCCCGGCTGAGCGGGTACTGGAACGCCGCGACGATGCTGACGTGGTTGGTGTCGCTGTTGGCCGGCGGTGTGAGGAAATAGGACTGGTCTGCGAGGCCCTTTTCCGTGTTGATGTAGGCCGGGATAAAGAGGAATTGGATTGCGGCCGCCTTGGGGTCCTTCAGCTTTTGGAGTACCCGTCGCTGTTGCGCTTCGCTGAGGGGTGTTTCGATGCCCCGAGTCGATTCCACGGCGTCAAGCGTAGCTTGCAGTTCCTCGGGTGCCACCCTTGCCCCGTAGCTGATGTATCCCATACCCGAGGGAGGATTCGCCAGTGGTCCGGTCCCAGTCTTCTGGTATAGCTCCATGAAGGGCTTGACAACTTCTGGGTTGACGAAGGCATCGATGGAGAAGCCTCCGGGGGCCAGCTCGAATGAAACAGCAAAGGCATGATGGTCTTGCATGTTGGCACCGACAAGCTTGTTCGCGACAATACACTCGACCCCTGCCGCCTGCAGGACTTGTGGATCTCCAATCCCGGACAGCTCGAGAATCTGAGGCGTTTTATACGTCCCGGCGCAGATGATGACCTCCCTCGTCGCAGTCGCGGTGTACCGCTTCCCACCATGCCAGAAATGCACTCCATCCGCTGCAGGCTCCTGCGTGGAGCCGTCAAATCTGACGCTATCCACGGTGGCTCGGGTGAGAATCTTGAGATTGGCTCGTCCGAGGTTGGGGAGCAGGTACGCTGAGGCTGCATAGCTACGCGTGCCGGGACGTTCAGTTCGATCTACGGTCGACAGTGCGTTGAAAAAGTTGTCTCGATTTCCAGTCGTCGGATCCTCGGAGGTCGGATCGAAACCTGCAACCTCTCTGCAAGTATCGAGAAGGTCCTTCTCGATGGGTACTTGGGAGCGATTGGTGCTGGTATGGATCACACCGGTCGTTCCGTGGGTTTCAGAAGGATAGAGAGGAGCGTCTTGCGCGTCCAACCGCTCATGTTTCCGAAAATACGGTAGCAGACCGTCCCAAGACCACTCGCCTGAGCCGACAAAAGCCGCCAACTCATCGAAATCGGTGCGCGTTCCCCTCATCCAGAGGCTCTGGTTGAGACCACTGGTGCCGCCCAGCATTTTCCCTCGCGGTAAAGAATATTCGAGGTTGTTGGCGTGTTTCTGACCCAATTAGCAATCTCTTTTTTGTGACCTGTCTACATCCACGAGTACCTGAGGGACACTCTTCAAGGTCCAGTCATACTCCGGCTTGTTCGCCCCCTGCATGTAGAGAGTCGGGACATTGACCAGTGGATCATCCAGCTTGTTGGCGCCGGCTTCAAGGACCCCAACGCGAAACGCATCATTTTCAGAGAGACGGGCGGCCAGAACTAGTCCAGCAGTGCCTCCACCTGCAATGATGAAGTCAAAGGGGACGGAGACGAACTCGTCCACCGAGCACAATACCGACGTTTCTGAAGACATGTCGTGGCGCTTCGTATTTCACAGATGCAGAGATCACGGTGCTCTCTGGAGCATGAGAATATCTTTATAGTTAGTTCCTCTTGAGCACGCACAACTGTCATCAAGTATAATGACTGATGAGTAATTCCTTCGACGCATCTAGGCACCGTTGATTGTGCACGACCATGAAGATGTTTTTCAACCCCAGACCCCAAGCGGCCGCATGCGCGAAATCGATCACCAATGATTGCGAGAATGAAGGGCCTCCCGAATATTCCTTTGCTGACACCAGCTGCAAGCTGATCTGAACATTGCAGGGCGTCCTTCTGGCGAGGTGGCCATGAAGTCGGGGACGAACCAATCCAGATCAAGTCGACCTGTCATTCGCCCCCAGACTTCTCCGTATCCGGCCACCGGTCTTGACTAGGGCGTTGGAAGAGAGAGGTTAGTAGATGCTTCAGGTAATTGTCGCGTGCACTTGGGAGGCACGCCTGAGATCAGGGACATCGATGAGTAATACCTCTCATGGACTCGGCTAGCCACGTTTGGTAGCAGTCGCAAATACCGAGGCGAACTGGCGGGAGCGTTGGAACTGACTGCAGTCTATATTGCAGCTGTGTTCTTGCTTGTGTCCTTGACCACGGAGCAATCTCGTTAGATGTGGTGAGTTGTTTGAATGTAATAGGCAAAGTCACTCGGACTGACGTCGGATATATGTTCGACGTCAATTGGCGTCGATAAAGTTCTTTCCTATTCGGCCGACTGGGAGCAACTTGAGTTATATATCGAGACTCCGCAAGTCGGGGGGCAACCCAACCTGCTTGGCTTCATCCTATTGGCAGGACCGTGGACAGACTGCTCCATCAGACCTGTCTCGGGGTTCCACGGAGACGACTGAGTGCTGAGTGAATGATGCAAAGGTCGAAGATTGTGTCTCAAGTGCCGAGAAACGAAGCCCTTGATCCAGGAAGCTAGTATGGGTCATTGCTACTAAAAGGCAGCGGTGGTAATCGAGGAAAATCCGACAAAGATAGGAAGGCAACGTAATAACAGACTTCGTTCGGAAGACGCGCGCTCGCCATTGTGGAGCCGTGACGGATGACCCGTACCTGAAAGCATAAAGGGAGGCTGAAAAGACGGTTGAGAAGCCCTTGGATACCGGAAATGGCTCCCAGAAAGCTCGGCCAGCATTGGCAAGCGAACGAAGACACCGGATCGCTAATGACAGGGGAGAGGATCACCAAAATATCCATAAAACGACCCGCATGCCCTCCGTCCTTCTTCGGCTATGAGGTTAATTCATCAGTTAGATTCGAATCGACACAAACTACAAAGTTCGACGTGATTGTGGACCGGAACCGAAATGGTTTCTTAAGTTGTTGAGAATGCCTTAATGGTATGAACACTTCAGAAATCGACCATGATGATGCTTCCTCAGTGTTGTCTGCTGGACTCCGCCCTAATGCTCCAGACTGCCATAGGTATCTGCAGAAGCGGCCAGACAGGTCAGCAGCTGCGTTTCCTATTTCCAGGGTATTCCCATGCCTCCAAGCAGCCTCTTTCGACAGTCGCCAGCCAGTTTGGGACTACTCTTTGGTACGTTCCAAGGTCTCAGACAATCTTTATCGACGTGAAATCCAACCACGGATGAAGTTTTCGCGATTTGCGATCGACCAAGATGTGCAATGGATATCTCCACGGAGGCCAAGTCCTGCAAAAGCCGGATAGATATGTTCAAGTCGGGGCGTCATTTGGTGCTCCTACAGCCTCGGATCTAGTAAGTCGATCAGACCTAGCCTGGCGGTTATTTCCTCAACGGTTAGTAGTCGTAGATACGCAGCCATCCGGGTTTGCCTCCAAATGTTCTATGGCTGACCGCAACGTCTCCGGCTGAAATCAGACGACATGTATCCTAGCGCAGCAAATGGAGGTTCACCTACCGACATATGCAAACTGATAGAGGACATTTCATTGATACTCACCTGGCATGGTCAAGGCTTTCCGCTAAAAGATGGCCAAGATCAGGCTCCATATTTCACCTCAAAATGCCGCGCCTAGGCCTTCCTTTCACTGAAGCCAAGCCAGAGTGGGTGGGCATTACCATCATGGTCAGCTTACTCCCATCAGGCAAAGGCTTTCGTATGCACATGGTAATTCTCTCATCATGCAATCCGAGCGCTTTCGTGGGGTGTTCCCGTCCTGATTGTTGGGGGGCATTGCCAAAAACCTTGATGTCGGATATAATGGTTTCCCGATGGAGATCGAGAGCCCTCCTTGTTCGAGTTTCGTCAGGTACAGAGGGCAGGAAGATGCCCCCTCTCATCTGTATCTGTCCATTTATCGAAGCCTCTGGAGGCTTGAGGAATGACGGCGCGCCAAAGGGACCAAGTAGATGTCTTTCACCATGTATTCTGGACAGATCATGTGTATGGACAGGCTTGTCGCTCATGCTGTTGCTCGAGCCCACAAGAGTATCTGCATCGGCTCAACAGAACCAGTTTATAGCCGAGCAAAGTCGAGGGTAGACGGTGACAGGCGAGAACTCCATCATTCGGCACTGCGGTTCGCCTCAGCCTTGTACATTGTGGCCACGTGCTTCTTCTCTTGTCTAGAGTGGCAGTTGACGCAGCAAATGAACAGTAGTGGTGGTGTAGAAGACTCTGTGCTGCCTCGGGAGGTTTGGTGACGCGGCAAGAAAGGAGCTTGGACCATCTCACCACAATGTTGAAATCTGCGAGAAACGAATCATAGGAGGCCAGAATGATACCTCAGAGACAATATAGCCGAGGAGCAAATGAGTACGCGTCTTGACAGCCACTGACGTCTGATTGACGATGTCTCATTTATGTGAATTCTCTGTCACAACGTCAGCCTCATCCCGCTATGTGGATTTCCACGAATTGTGTTCAATCCACCCAATTCAACACCTACTACTATTGAGCAGACGACACTCTGAGATGCTGGAGGGTTTTCAACAGCGGCAGGGAAAGCGGTGACGGGAGACTTGACGGCCAAAGAAATTGAACCTTTGCTTTGTGATGATCGCCTATTCTCACTTGTCACCTTCTTCTGAGTTCCTCCCTGTTGGGAATAAGGTCACCGAGGTGTATGGTCCTCATTCGCAATGACAATGGAGCCTCGGATATGCTATCTCCATAATAGCCCTCGAGACTTACCTCATCAACGACCTGCCCGGGGCTGGGGGTGTTTTTCTCTGCTTTCTGCCTGACAGGAACCTTCCTATGCACTCTCCCGCTCTGCTGACATCCTAAACCGGTCAGTGCAAGGGGGACTCTCAAGTATTTCGAGAGATTCGAAATTAGGTTGATGATGTGCCTTCTACCGATCACGGTGGTCAGCTGTTCCTTGCCGAGCCATGTTCTGTTCCGATCGGGCCTCATGTGAGGGCCATGCTACCTGAAATGACTTGATCTATATCCAACAGGTGTCGAGAGATCTGGTCTGCTTACATGGACTGCGTACAAGAGATGTCCCTGTGGGATGGAACCTGCTGGTACGAGATCCGCCATGCTTCGGACGTTGTTGCTCTAGCGGTGCCTTTATAATAGGTGATGTTCTCAGTCGAGTCAGGTCAAAGCGTGAAGGGGAAATTCTTTGCAGTATCAGTTGCTCTGTTTTCCAGCTTTACGGCTTGGCTGCGCATGAAACATCATGCTTGATACAATCCGAGATGCGCCTGTGGGCCAATTTCTGCGATGGCTGACTCGCAACCGGATACTTCTTTATCCCGACGAGCAGCAGGGCTTCGTGCTCCCCAAGCTTGTGAGTCTACCATCAATCTCCCAGAAGGGACATCCATGAAATGACATACGTTATAGGCATCTGGTACTCCCCTCCAGAAGGAGGTCGCAGCTCCCGACGAGTCTGAGCATGAAACAGATGAACAGGAGAAGAAGACTTCCCAGGCACCTGAGGCCGAGAAAGCAGAGGAAGCAAAGTTCGTGCCTGGGCTGGCAGATTCCGAGAGTGCTGCACCCGCCGGCGAACCGTCAACGCGCCCAACGGAAAGAACAGAGAGAGAAAATGCTTTAGAACCAAGTCTCTCAAGACAACAGAGTCACCCCTTTACAGAAGAGCGTTTCTCACTGGATCAGCAGCTGGAGATTGAAAAGACCCGGAGCAAGCCTATATCATTGCACAAATCCGCCGACGGCACCATCCTCATCGACTGGTACACAACCGACGACCCTGAGAATCCCCAGAACTGGTCACAGTCGAAGAAGCTCTTTGTGTTGGGACAGATATGGTATCATTTCTTCCTCCCCCCCTGTCGATGGCGAAGAATAGCTAAGGTGAGACATCCAGCTTGTACACATTCGCCATGTACGGAGGCTCCAGTATCTACGTCGTGAGTGAAAGGTAAGTCCCCTCCACCTTGGCCTGAACTTGTACACTGACGGACTCCTAGAGGTGTCATGCAGAGATTCGGCGTGGGCGAGGCAGCTGCGGCAATGGGCCTTTCCATGTATGTTATCGGGTGTACGTTGGATCTCTCCCTCCATCTGCCAAAAGATAGCACTGATCACGTTGTTATACAGACGGGATTGGCCCCCTTCTATTTGCGCCCCTGTGTGAGATTCCCGCCATCGGCCGCAACGGAGTCTATACGCCTGCCTTTATCCTCTTCGTCATCATCTGTGTGCCAACGGCTGTGGTTGACAACTACGCCGGTCTGCTGGTACTTCGATTCATCCAAGGCTTTCTGTCCAGCCCTTGCCTTGCAAATGGAGCTGCCTCCGTTGGCGACATGGTAGGTTTCTCTCACTCTATGCATGAGGTGAATACGACAAGAAAACCTAACACCCATAGTTCTCCCTCTTGATGCTCCCCGTGTATCTCTCCTCTTGGACGGCCGCCTGCTTTTGGGGCCCTGCTCTTGGACCAGTCGTCGCGTCGTTCGCCGTCACCGCCGAAGGGTAATTAGTGGCCTTTCCCCCAACATGTGGTCCTCGTTCACCTAACAAAGAACAGATGGAGATGGTCGCTGTGGGAGCTGCTCTGGCTCAGCGCCCCTATCCTGGTCCTCTACCTGATTGCCTTTCCCGAGACCTCGAGCGCCACGATCCTTCAACGACGAGCCGCGCGACTGCGGAAACTCACGGGCAGGACCGACCTGCGGTCCTGGAGTGAGATCGAGCAGGACCACATGAAGTACTCTGAAGTCTTTTTCGATGCCATCATCAAGCCGCTCGAGATCATGATCAAGGACCCTGCCGTTGGGTTCACGAATATCTACGTGAGTGGCCCTTAAAACCACTATTACCAGCCATGTGAGGGCTTGCTTTTCTAACCTGTTCTTGTTGTCCTTCCCCCACAGAGCGCCCTACTCTACGGTGTCTACTATTCCTTCTTCGAGGCCTTCCAGCTGGTCTACATGGGCATCTACGGCTTCAACCTCGGCGAGCTGGGCTTGACCTTTATCAGTATCGGCGTGGCGACCATGGCCGCGGTCGTCGTCTATAATACGTATCTCCTCGTCTACCTTGTGCCTGACATCGTCAAGAACGGCCTGCGAGCACCGGAACATCGGTTGGTCCCTGCACTGTTCGGCGTCTGCACGTTACCTGCAGGACTGTTCCTGTTCGGTAAGCTCGGTCCCACCTCCTCTTTCTCTCTCTGTCTCTCCGCCCTGTCCCATATCAAGTCCCTTCACGATCGTCTGAAAAAGCGAAGAGACACAGACTAACCACATCGTGCCCCTCGCTCCGGCTCATACAGGCTGGACGTCCCGCCACGGCGTGCACTGGATGGTCAGCATGATGGGCGTGGTGATCGTGGTGAGCTCGAACTTCGTCATCTTCCAGTGCGTCTTCGTCTACCTCCCGCTGTCGTACCCGCGCTACACGGCCTCGCTGCTCGCCTCCAACGACCTCTTCCGCGCCCTCTTCGCCGCCGGCTGCGTTGTCTTCTCCCGCCCCATGTTCGCCAACCTGGGAATCGGCCCCGCCAGCAGTCTGCTCGCCGGTCTGTCCTGCGTCGGCCTCGTCGGCATGTTCCTCCTCTGGCACTGCGGGGCGAAGTTGAGGGCCCGGAGCAAGTTCGCGGCGAGTTAGGCTGCACGGACAGGAAGCAAGGGGCACAGACAGCGCCCCGAACGGCCGGAGAATCGAGACCCCAAGAGACCACAGTTACACACTCTCGAGAGAGGAAATGAGATATATGTATATAGATAGTGGAACTCAGCTACCAGAGAGAACCTGCCTAGAATAGCAACCAAAAAGGGTGGTATATACAAAGCTCTGAAGCTTGATTTATATGTGGGCCGTATCTAAAGGGCCCTGGAAGAACAAGAGACGGGAAACGAAGTCCTCCATTACTCCTTACACGGCATCTGCCTCGACAGTTTGTAACGGGACATAATTACCCCGTTCCCTCTCTTGCGCTCGTCTCCTTGTTGCCACGCCTTCAAGTCTGTCGAACATTGCCTCCGTAAACCCTTGGATCCTGCCCATCCAGCCGCCGTTGTTCATCAGTTTCTTTCTCCTCTTCCCTCCAATCATGGGTGCACTGTATCTGTTTCCTTCCATTTTCAGAGCTTCAACAGTCAACCACTTGGGTCTGCCAACCCACCTCAATGCCAACGAACTCAGTGTCACAGAGATGCTGCTGAACATCATGGCGGTGGCGCTCATCAAAGGGGGCATATGGTAGCCGAGCGGCAAGAAGATACCCATAGCAAACGGTAATCCGATAACGTTGTACGCACAGGCCCATATGAGATTGAGCTTGATGCGTCGGAATATGACACGACACAGATGAAGGGCCGTCGGGATATTGAGCAGGTCGTCGGAGCGCATGATCACTATATCTGCGGCTTCGACAGCGATATCGCTCCCAGAGACAAGACCAATGCCGACATTAGCGGTTGCAAGCGCCGGAGAGTCGTTGATCCCGTCTCCAACCATAGCGACGATTTCACCTTGAGACTGAAGGTCGGAGATGATAGATTGCTTTTCACCGGGAGAGACGGATGCACGAATGGATTCTCGGGGTATACCCACTAATTCGGCAATGGAGAGCGCCGTGTTATAGGTATCACCGGTGACAAGGCTGGTGGAAATACCCATTTTGTGCAAGGCAGTGATGGCGGCATGGGCAGTAGGCTTCAGCGTGTCAGAGAGGCCGATATGACCCGCATACTGCCCGTTGATCGCAACGTAAATGGTTGTGATTCCTGTCTTGGATTTACTTCGGCTTGTGGGAGACAGAGCCGCATTGACTGCGTTCTCAACGTCGGCCGGGATATCGATCTTTTTATTAGCCAAAAATGCAGAATTACCGACATAGACCTTGTACTTGGTTTCGTCACCTGGATTGTTGAGCTCAATGATGGCCGACACTCCTTGGCCGACAGTGACGCCGAAGGTGCCGACCTGGCCGGGAAGGCCTTCTTCGACTTCCAAACCAAGTCTCTCCCTGGCGGCAAGAACGATGGATTTCGCAATGGGATGTTCGGATCCAGTCTCAGCGAGCCCGACAAGCGTCCACCACAATTTCTGACGCCATTCATTGGAGCTCCAGAGAGCCGCATAGCTGGTGTCAGCGACGTTGAGTCTTCCAAAAGTCAGAGTACCCGTCTTATCCAAAACGACATGGGTGATACGTGTGGCTGTTTCAAGAGCAGCACCTCCCTTGACAAGAATGCCTTGTTGCGAAGCAGTCCCGGTTCCCACCATGACCGCTGTTGGAGTTGCCAATCCGAGAGCACAAGGACAAGCGAAAACAATGACCGAGATGCAGAGCTTGAGGCAGACCATGAATTTCCCGCCATTCTGTTTGTCCGTAAAGATTTTCGGAGGATTGGGCATGATATGGCTCAAAATCATCCACCCAATGAACGTGATCAGACCGAGAAGGATGATGATGGGGACAAAGTAGCCTGCGACAAGATCTGCCATTCGCTGAATGGGGGCTCTGCTGGTCTGGGCCTCCTGCACAAGATTGACAATCTGGCTCAGTTGCGTGTCCTTTCCCGCACGGGTAACCTTGAAGTCGATCTTGCCGGCACCATTGACGGTACCCGCAATGAGTGTACTACCCTTCTTCTTCTGAATAGGCATAGGCTCACCAGTGACCATGCTTTCATCCACGAAGCTCTCCCCGCGGGTCACGACTCCATCTGCGGGTATTTTGTCTCCAGGTCGAAGAATGACAACATCTCCGACTTCGATAAGCTCGGTAGGAATGGTCTTTTCAATCGCGGAAGGACCCGATGGGCCAGGGCCTGACGGCACTCTCCTCAAATCCGCAGTTGGCATCTTCTCGAGCACCGGAGACGAGGGAGCAGTCCAAGCATCGGCGAGCTTCTCCGCGTACAAGGGGTCCTCATATATGGTTGCCATGCTCGGAGCTAAAGACATCAACTGAGATAGAGCTCTGGATGTCTGGCCCTTTGCTCGATTTTCGAGCCATCTACCAAGGGTGATGAATGTGATAAGCATGGTGCTGGTGTCGAAGATGGTGCTGGGTTTGTTATGAGGAGGTATCAAGACCGCCACAATGACGGCAAAACAACTGAAGAAAAAAGCCGTCGAAGTACCCAAAACAACCAACACATCCATCGTCGGTGACTTGTGCTTCAGACTTTTGTATGCTGAAATGTAAAACCGCTTTCCAATGCCGAATTGTACAGGGACTGTCAGGGCGAAGCAGATAACGTCGCCCAAAAGAAGGCCGGAAATGATCTCAAAGCCTCCAAAATTTATAGACGGAAAGAACATGGGTATAATCATGCTGATCAGAAGCACGGGTATCGCAAAGCCCAATGAAGTAAGGAATGCTTTCTTCCACTCCTGGATTTCTTTTGTTTTGGCGAGGGACTCGAGCTGTGCGTTATTGTCTTCCGAGTCTGCAACCAAGGCGTTGAAGCCAGCGTCCTCGACGACCGCGACAATCATTCGGAGGCCGACGAGGGCAGGGTCGTAGGTAATGGTGGCTCGAGAAGTGGAAAGACTGATTACCGCACTCTTGACGCCAGATAATGCCCTGAGGTTGGTTTCCAGCTCAGTTGCAGTCTGTCCATCCGGAAGACCATAAATCTTGAGTTGCTGAGAAACATTGGTTGAGCTCTGTACATTGGTCTCGGCCTGAGAGGACACAATCTTGGCATCGAATCCGGCATCTTCAATGAGTTCAACGATCTTCTCGGAAGGAAGGGCGACGGGGTCATGGGAGATGACTGCTCGTTCGGCCAGGAGGCTGATGTTGAACTTGATGAGACCCGGAACGTTCTTGAAAGCGCCTTCAACAGAAGACGTGCAGGCTCCACAGGTCATGCCTTCAATGGCTACAGTGGTAGTCCATGTGTGGGATTGCTCATTGACTTCCGCATTCCCGGCTGCAGCCTTGATAGTGTCCTGACGTTTCGAATCGACAATGGTGGCGTCAAATCCTCGATCTTCGATGATTTCGGCCAGTGCATCGGCACTTATGATGCTTGGGTCGTGCTGAACGATTGCCCGCTCCGCCAGAAGAGAAACGCTCATACTCTTCACACCGGGAACATCTTTGAAGCCGGCCTCAACAGAAGAAGTACATGCCCCGCAAGTCATTCCTTGGATGGATATTGTTGTGGTCATGAGCTGGGGTTCTGAATTGGACACTGCGGTCGAAATGGATAGAGGGGGAGGTCTAGGCATGTCGGTGGAGATGACGGTGGCATCGAAGCCACGGTCCTCTATGATCTCTGCGACCTGCTCGGGAGACAACTTTGTCGGATCATGATGTATCACGGCTCTTCCCATCATCAGGCTGACTGATACAGCACCAGCACCCTCGACACCCTTGAACCCTGACTCGACCGAAGAGGTGCAGGCACCGCAGGTCATTCCATCGACTTTGAGGGTTGTGGTGGCCATGTGCGCCGGGCTGGCCGACACTTGCGGCGCCTCATGGCCCCTGTCACTGGCAAGACTCATCTTAACGAACGTTCAATCGGGAAAACCAGCGGCGCTGAAATAGAGGGGGCAGTTATAAACGCATGGTTCGGGGGCACGCGTTCTGGGACCGACTTCGGAGGAGAAAAGGGACTCGAGTATATCGGCGTGGAAGATCGTACGAGAAGCGAGACAGGACTTTAAAAGAGCGTATTGAGGAAACGGACAGCGAAGACAATCAGTAAGCGGCCTTGAAGATAGGCAAACGGACCGACGTGCGTAAAGTCAGGGTGAGACGGGGGGGGTTGAAGCTGAGAAATGCCTTGAGGCGTGCGGATCCAGCGCCTGAAACCGAACAGCGAAAAGCGAAAAGCGCAAAGCGCAAAGCGCCACTATTGACGGATTCGGCCCCAGAGGCTCCTTAATTAGTATCACGCCACCGCTAGCCACCATCGAGGCATCGCAGGGCTGGTGGGCAGCCTCGTCCTGGTCGAGGTCAAGAGAGACTAAACAATAGAGGCATATCTGACCGTAATGGCATTGAACAGCTGTTATGGTAGTTGTTTAGACCTACTGTAAAACAAGTTGCCTGACGGAAGAAGCCTGGCAGTCTTCTTGGCACCAAGACACGTGACAGACGCACCAGCCACATCAGCCACACTAGCCTCAGCCTCAGCCTCGTCAATGCCAAGCTCTAACATCTTCCGCCCGCAGTGACAGCCTCATCTTCGACTTTGAAGCCCGAGTATCAGTCCATCAATCCTCACGCTGTCTTCCACTCTCGTGCGCACTCCTTCTCCCCTCCGCTGCTCCAGATGGTCACCTAAAATGGATCAATCCCAGACAAAAGCCCTCGCTGTGATCCAACCTTTCATTCACCTCGCCACGACTACAAAGACTCCTTCCCCGCGTTTCATTGCTGAACTGATCAAGGGAGCAATCTCGGCTCCTGGGGCGTACATCTTCACCGAACTCCTTTCCGTGCCGGTGATCCAGAGTTTGAGAGGCACGGAAGCAGAACCATGGTTGAAGTTGTTGGAGATCTTCAGTTGGGGGACGTATGAGGAGTACAAAGGTATATACACCTTCAGGGCGATCCAGTGGTGGCAGATGTCGTCAATGTGACCTTATGTGCTGACCTTCATAGCCAATGCGTCTCTACCACCCCTCGACGAAGCTCAGACCTTCAAGTTACGCCAGCTCAGCCTCCTGACTCTGGCCTCGCCGTTCGCCCCGACCAGCAAGAACACAACAGCCGGTCCTTTGACATACCCTGGGCTCCTCGCCTCCCTCCTGCTTTCCACCCCGCAAGACCTAGAATCCTTGATCACACAATCAATCTACTCCGGCCTCCTGACTGCTCGTCTCAGTCCCACGTCATCCCCACCGACCGTACACATCATGTCCGTTGCGCCGCTTCGCGATCTGCGCCCGCATTCCCTTCCAATCCTCTTGCAGATCCTGCAGACGTGGGAATCGCGCTGTGCCTCCGTCGTCACCGACCTGGAAAACCAGATTGCCGCTGTTCGATCGACGGCGCAACAGAGAGCCATGCAAGAGAGGGCACGGCAGACTGAGGTGGACTCGCTTGTCCTCAGCAGTGACCGAGCGCAACAAGCAACAAGTGACAATGGCTTCGCGTCGGAGGCCAGAGGTGGAAATGGACGTGCCAGTCGCGGTCCTGGTCAACGCCCTCCTAGCAAGCGGGATCTTGACCAGCAGATGGAAGGCGAGGGTGACGACGCGGATGATGACTACGAGGAGGGCAAGATGGACTTGGACGAAGGCATCGGTGAGGGTCCCGGTGGATTCCCAGCGTCGGGAACGCGAGGCAAATATGGTTGGGCTTTACGAGGTGCAAAGCGAAACCGCGGACGAGGGTCAAAGTGACTTTGACTTGATCCCTTCGGATCTGTACATTACTCACAATTGACTGGATGATCGAATTGACGGCGTCACTAGGAAGTGGCACAACCCGAGTGACCCAAGAGATTCTGCCTGGGACAACATAGCTGGGCAGAGCCCGCAGAATCGAGAAAGATGCCAACACGAATCGAAGTCGAATTTCAGCAACTGAAGCACACCAATTGTACGGTTTGGCCTACTGTTGCTCTCGCTCAAGAGCGACGAGACCCAGTGGCCCTGCGCGATGTATTCTCACGACCATATATATGCCACGACGCGACCAGAGAGCGAGCGGCCCGATGGAATACCGACGTGAGGAGCTTGGGCGGATAGTCTTGAGAGGCTTTCATCAGGAGCTCGTCTTCTACGCACCCGAAGCCCCCCTAGAGCTGATCAACACGAGGGTGGAAGGGACAGACAATATGTCTCGCGAAACATTAGACGTGATAAATGACAGCGATTCAATACAAAGCATAACGAACTTCGCTCCAATCCATCTACTCTGCTCTAGGCTACTATACCCTAACCTACCCTGTCCAAATTCTTATCCTATTTTATCCTATCCTTTCCGGTCCAGGTCAGTCCCCGTCTGCCACATGCAGCCCCGGGACAAGGCGATCCGGCAATCCGGCGCGTAAAATCTCCAGTGTACTACGAACATAGATAGGTATCATATACAGAAGGGGCGGTCGAACCAAGTTGAATCAACTCTCAATGGATGAAATTCTCGCATATGAACGGGCCCATGTGTCCAGCCAGTCTCTGCATAACTAACAGAATACATTTCCAAGCTCCATGTGTCCTTTCCTGTGTTTGTTGATCCGCTTGCTCGCTGGCCCAGCCTGGGGCGTTGTTGTGTTGCGAGCTGTCGTCGTACCTGTAAAGAACGTTTCGCCGCGTCTGCAATCCACTGTTATCTTCCAGTGTTGGACCATGTTTCATCGTTTTTGTTGCAGTTAGATCGATGGCTGCATGTTGCCTGTTCACAATGGCAAAACTCTCCCCAACGCCATTTGTTCCCTTAGAAAACAGAGCCCGAATCTGCTTGCTCACTGCTTCGCTGGACATGGAGCATTGAACCACCCACTCCCCCACCGTTCTTCAAGAACACTGAACGCCGAAGCAACCATTGTCATTGTACATCACTGCTAACTCATCACAGTCCCACCAACCCCTAGAATCTTGTGCCCGGTACAAATATGAACAAGACACTCAACGCCACCGCCGCTGCCGTAAACATCAAGAATGCAATGGTCGCTCGCGTCAGAAGCAGTCGACGCACAAACGGCTCCCTGACGCGAGACCAGTTCATCCATGTGTATTCACTAAATCCCAGGTAAGCGGCGACGATGTCGAGCTTGTATTGATAGGAGACGAGGAAGTAGCAGCCGATGGTAAAGGGAAGGATAAGCTGAATACTTTGGTCAGTGGATTCAACGATGGTGAAGCTGAGAGAAAGCATGCTTACCCAGCAGCGAGTGGCCCTCGACCTGTCCCTCAGAATCATGTAATAGCCAGCCCAAAACCCGGCCATCAAGCTCGCCAGGCCAATAGCCAGCCTGATCAACACACTCAACGGGACCAAATTTCCCAGAGCCTTGGCCTGCAAAAACCCCGGGAACGCGTCCCTCTCCATTGCTTGGAAGACGTAGTCCTTAGCATCGTCAAACACCTCGGGATCGTCTCGTCCTTCCTCCTCAATTGCCCGAATAATCCTGTTCAGCATGGTGTCTGGCAGAACTATTTCTCGCTCCGATCCCGGCAGGACAAAGGTGTAGAGGATCTTCTCCGCACTGGCTTTAATGTCGGCCCTAGCGACACTATGCCCGGGAGAATTCGAGTCCGTCCGCACTTCAGGGGTGGAGTAGGTCGGTTGTGGCAGTTCTGAAGGCGAGGGCCGGTCACCGGAGGGGCGGCTGAGGTTTCTTGAATTTGCAGACCCCAAGCTGTGGGAAGGCGAGTGATCGGTAGCACCACCTTCTCCTCTGCTTCGGGGTGGCTTGACCCCTGCAGCGGCACCTCCGTTGTCTGATCTTAAGATGGCAGACACCCTTGACTCTTGGCCGCTCTTTCTCGGGTCGACTCCTTCCAACTCAAATTGTTCGAGCATCGCAGAAGATCTTTTGCTGGTAGTCTTTTCCATCTCGGGCGTGTCGACGAGCATCGAGCGGCGCAGTTCTCGGACATAGTGACGACACAAGGACATGTGTTGAGATACATCGAGCCTGTTGAATGGGTCAGTATTGACTGAAGCCTCGGGATCGGGCCGAAAACATACCAGAAGTCCAGGTAATCCACGGAGCGTTGCTGGTCGCGCATGTAAATGTAGAATGAAAACAAATCGACCGGTGCCAGTGTCCTTCTTCCCAAAACCTCCATCAACGTGGGTAGTCGGTTGCGGACCTCGACATCCTCACCCCGGCTCCCTGGATGTGCCATTGCGTTTATTGACAGCGCGAGGCGCGCAGAAAACTGATTCAATCGCGGTGTCGCCCAGAGGTGTCGGGAGCAACGAGTCGCGACGTCGTCCGAAGGGGAAGCGGTCAGTTGCAATCGCTGCACTCTGCTTTCAGCAAATGGACTTCGTCTCCGTATGTGACTTTGGTGTTTTTGAAATGGAGAAGAAGTGACGTGAGGACTAAGTTACGGGGTCGCGAGTGGGAGGCTGGTGGACCTTGGATTACATGGTGGACATGGTGGGCAAAGGGACGGTAGCGAGCGTGTCGAAGTGAAATCAGCGAGCGAAGAAGTGGTGTACAGGTTCAGCAAGACCTGGGCCGTTTGGTCGCGGGCTCGTCTCGTCTCGGTTGAGGTCGAGATGGTGGGTGCATCATGAGAAAAGCAGGGAAGGGAGCGAGCGACCTTTGACGACGGAACCTTGAATTGGCTGCGACCGGGGCAACCCCCTGCATCCCCCTGGGACACATCTGATTGGTTCCTCAACTGCTCCGAACAATCTGCAGGTTCCCGAAGTCAGTCTTTGCTGGCAGCCACTCGGCCACACAACTTGCACATGGCAGTTCATCGTCTAATCACGAATAAATTATCTGTGTCATGGAGTACCTATTGTTGCTGGTAACTCAGAGTTTGCAATTCCGCTCGTTGGAACCTGCAGACGTGTCTTTCATGGTGTCACTGGGGAGAAGAGTACTACTTATGTTCTGTCGTTTCCGTCCCCGTTGTCGTGTCTTCATGATCAGGATCATCCAATTGATAAAACGCCTGTGATGCAGCCTGGGTATCATCTAATATGCAAGCAGAAATCAAGCAAGACCATCATGCCAAGTCATCGTCCACCCCTCACCACCCAAATCCGCCCAAGTGAACGCCATCCCCAAGAGATAGTCGGTCGAAAATTAGGTGCTTATTCCGCCAGGTGCTATAGACGCCATGTCAGTGTTTCGGAACTCCGATCCATTGTCAGATTATAACCACTCACCGACCATTCCGGGATATTTTTGATCTGTTGCCACATGAACTTTTCCAGCTTGTTCGCACTCTTAGCGTATGGTGTCGTTTCGTTGTTATAGCGCCGGCAGTTGTCGAAAATGAGTTTGGCGTCCTTGATGAAATCTTCCGGCCTGGGGTACAGGTCATTCTGAAGCCGTTCCTCCATTGTCGACAGGTCCATCGGCTCCTTGATGACTTCATAGTAATCGGGGACCTCGTCCTTGTTGACCGGCTGGGCAAACGGCCAGGCCGCGGTGTGGTTCTGCATGTCATTGAGCAAGTGAAGAAGCTGGTTGTAGTTCGGACCATGTCGAGGTTGTCGGGAGAGTTCATCCATCGAAGGAGACCACCCAGACTCTTTGATTGCTGGAATCGACATGGGGTCTATCTCGACAATGCCATTCTTCCATTGTGCTGGTGGTGGATGAACGATGTGGGACTTGCTCACTGCTCGGATCTTGGCCATGACTGCCTCTTTCTGCTTCTGGAGCATTCGAGGAGCCTGGAGATAGCGAATTTTGGGCAACATGCTACATTGCATGATTGTGCCTCCTTCGTAGTCTTTGATATACCCCATCCAGATCGACTTCTCCAGGGTGATCTCTTTGGTAAAGCCCTGCTTCTTGAAGTACCCAATCGCATAGTTGTCGGCGTAAGTGAGAAAATACATGATCGGCGAAGTGGCTTTGACATAGTCTTTCAAGTGCGCCATCAGATGAGCCCCGTAGCCCTTGACTTGCTGATCCGATGAGATCGCGCAAAAGACGATTTCCGCAAACCTTCTTGAGTTAAACGGTCGGTAGGTGATGCCGCCAACGACCTCGAGAGGCTGCTTGACAATGGCGATTGATAAATGTGTTTTGTCGTATACAAGGCGAGCGATGTAGTCCTTGGGCATTTTCGGCAGTTGTTTCTGAAAGATGCATTTCAACCCCGTCAAAATAATGTTACTTTCCCTCGAGTTGTCATTGTTGACCACCCTGAACTCAATAAGTCCCTGTTTCTCTTCGACGACCGCCGGCTTCTCGGGAAAATCGACGGGGGTAGGGGTGATGGGAGGATCGTTGTCGGACTGCTCACAACAGAGATTAGTCTCGATTGTCTTCAATGCAGGACGCTCAGCCTGGAAGTTCCAATGATGAGGAATGCCGTAGTCCTCAAGATATGAGAGGGATATCGTTGACACCGAGTCTGTGGACGTGTTTGATACGAAGCGATACAAGTTATCGTCAGGCGGAAAGGTTCCTGCCCTGGGAGGGTTGAAAGGCATGATGACAGATGTCTGGGAAAAGAAATAAGTTTACCTCTTCATGCTTGATACCATCCTCCAGCACCGGCGATTCGGTTCTGGCCTTTTTGGAGCGTGAAGATGCCGCATCCTCGGAGGCCTTCCTCTTCGTATCTGCGTTGTGCAGGGTCAGTAATTTGTGAAGGCATCATTCTGCCGCACCCAGGGGGAGGGGCTAGGGGGGCGCTCACGTTCACCGTTTATAGGCGCCATCGAGGCAACTCCGATACCCTGAATATAGTGAAACAGTCCCTTATATGATACGTCTTGAGGTTGTAGAAGAGGGCGTTGCCGCAGTCCAGCTTCAGCACCGAGTTGTCATCAGCCATGAAGTCGTGAGGCGATTTCGGCCGCGGCTGAAGGACGCCGTGAGGATCATTTCCATATATAGCTTAGCGCATTTCCTCGGAAATCCTTCCTGAAATAGACTCATTGGTGTCGCGTCGTCTTTTCGGGGAGACCACCTTGCACCTGCGAACATTGTGATATACATCAGACCAAACCCCTAAAGCAGTGTCCGTTCGACCGCCTTGCTGCTCACCTCAATGTCGCTCTACGAAGTCTGGCAAGCAGCCGCAGGCAGCCCTTTCCAGCCTACGGTCGGCAAGGAAAGCCAGTTGACCGTTGGATTGTTTCTGTTGCTCATTGGTAAGACTGCTCTTGCGTGCACAAGGGACTTCTTCTGACTTGTGCAGGGGTGATACTTACTGGTCTCTTCGCGTTGAACAAATCTCCTCTTTCAATACCTATCTTCGGAATACCTGCCTCCCTGGCATTTGGGTGCGTGCAGGAGAAAGACGACCGCTTGACATGAATGTTAACACAACAATAGGTTCGGGGCAGTCTATGCAATCTGTGGATTTGGTGTTTATGTTTAAGACTCTGTCGACCATTCTCTGGCTTTACCTCTGCATACCTGGATCAACAACCGCGGAGATTTAGCTTGCCTGAAAGGATACAGTTGTTGAAATGTCCGGCCCTCCCATATTCACTGCAGTATCTACATCTGCTAGGCAGTTGTATCTGTTGCTTCGGTGCATTGCCTTCTCCCAGCGGGCGGAGGTCGAGATCACCCAACAAGGAATCAAATTCTCTGTCGAGGAAGCTCGAGTCGTCCAAGGCCTGACCTTTCTCGACAAAGCCCTGTTCTCGTCGTACAATCTGAGACTCACAGATGAAAATCATTCGCTGCCCACCTTTTCAGTCTCAATTGTTGCTCTTCTTGAAACACTCCAAATATTTGGCATCGCTGAAGCTTCCACCTCAGCTCGTAATCCCTACGGTGGATTTTCATCGTCGTACGGAAACGCCTTCAACACCCCGGCTCTGGCACTCGGAGGCACATGTCGAATTTCATACCAAGAGGCTGGCGCACCGCTCACTATCACCATTCAGGAGGGATCAGTCACCACAACATGTGAGATGAACACATACCAAGCTCATGATGAGTATGGTGACGATGGCGGAATCCCTTTGGACCGGAACGCGCTTTGTTTGAAAGCCATCATGCGGAGTACTTGGCTGAGTGATGCCATTGGAGAGCTCTCAGGTACCAACCCAACTGTTCTTGCGATCAACGCGTCAAGCCGCTCTGCTCCTTTCTTTTCATTAGAGGGTGAAGGGGGTCCATTTGGCGATAGTACTGTGGATTTTATGCCCGAGTCGAAGCACGAGCCTACTCCCAGCGGACCGAGAGCAAAGAAGCAGCCCTTGGTCACGGAAACATTTTCGGTGGTTGCACCATCTGGAAGCCACGGCAGGGTCTGCCAGAAATACAAGTTCGACATGATCAAGAGGGCGGGGAGGGCCATGGCCTTGGCCAGCAAAGTCAGCATTCGTCAAGATCAACAAGGAGTACTTAGCCTGCAGTTCATGATTGACTTGGGGGACGGTGCTAATGCCGGCCTACGACGAGATGACGGTACGGCCGTCAATGCACCACCTACACCTGGCAGTGTCGCGTTTGTTGATTTTAGATTTGTTCCACTCCTGGATGATGACGAGGAGGCCGGAAGCAGTGCCGAGCTTGAGGATGAAACGTCTGAAGACCTGGACCTGGAACCAGACAATGGAAGTCCTTGATCCAACCCATGACCAGGGCTTTCACATGCAACGTCTATAGTTGTCTGGATTGCCTCTCTGGTTTGTACCTTATCTCTTCGATTTACTTTTCAAATAACGTCTCTTTTCTTTCACTTTCAACAAGCTGTACCTTTACTTTACTTGCCAAAACACTTCACCATCCATTCAGCTTCCACCACAAATAGTAGGCCCGTGGACAGAGGAGTCTCATTTCTTTGGCCGCCCTACAGTCAAGGAACACCGTCACCGTAGACGCCGAGGATCAACAGCCAAGCGAGATGCCAAGTCGGTGGACGGACAAGCCCTACTATTTGGAGGTCAAGCCAGAAACGGCCTCGTGAAGACAGTTGGCCACATGGTTACGATCCAGGGCCATGTGTTTCTGGTTTACATGGATCAGGAGGACGAGGCTCAGTTGGTGAAGCTGGAAGACGCAGTCGAGCAGGCGTGTCAAGGCACTAGGCGAGTGGGTGAATGAAGGATCCAAGACACGATCTTGAGAAATCTGAAGTTGGGAAATAGATTGGTCGTGAGAGAGCTCTGCCTCAGATACAACACGTATTGGCCTCTGATCTGCTCACCGAAACCGACTAGTCAATTGCCTGCTCCGTGCCTCTGAGAATGCTTCTGACAAGGCTTGATCTCCTTGCCTCCAGCGGTTCCCATATGGTAGTTACCTTGTCGTAATTAACTACCTATTAATGGGGGTTCTTAGCCCACTAGCCAGGCTAGACCACTATTTGTCGGCTATCTAGGAAACCAGCAGGGGGTGAGTGGGCTAGTGTAGGGTAGGTACCCAGTATTCGTTGCTGGTGGTCCCTATTACGTAGTTCTTGACTAAGCGCCCCCAGATCGGAGTGGACAACGCCCGCCACTCGACCGGCCAGATGGCCGCGCCGGTGGCCCAACATCGCCGGGGGCAAAGAACCTTAACCAACGTCATCCATATACAACTTGCTGTACCTCCACATCAAATCTGCAGGGATGAAAATGTCCGATTTGATCTGCCCTTCTTCATCTCTCATCCTGTGCTGCCGCCAACGTCCTCTATCTTTACTACTATCATGGCTGCTGTCGACCCGGCCGACGACGACGACGACGCCCGTATGCAGCGCATGGCTTCCAACAACCCGGCCATGACGTTGCCGGCCAGCCAGAAGATCTCGCGACCAGACCTCAACCAGCTGCGTTCGCGAAGTAGCACGACACACACCCCGAAAAAACACAAGCACCGCTCCGACCCATCCGGAGATAGCGAGTCCATCACCAGCAGTATGTCGAACATGCCCACCTCATCAACGCCGCCCAACGACGATGCCCGACTCCCCTCCAAATACGACGTGGGCTGGCGGCGCGTGGTGCGCAACTTCTCGCCATCATGGTTCAGCGTGACGATGGGCACGGGCATCTGCTCGTTGCTGCTGATCGCGATCCCGTTCCAGGCGCGCTGGCTGTACTGGCTGTCGGTCTTCTTCTTCGCACTCAACGGCGTGCTGTTCAGTCTGGCCCTCGCTGCCTCCTTGCTCCGCTACACCCTGTACCCGGCCATCTGGTCCGTCATGATCGCCGACCCAAACAACTCCCTCTTCCTGGGCACCGTCCCCATGGGCTTCGCCACGCTGATCGAGAGCTGGATCTTCCTCTGCTGTCCCTATTGGGGATACTGGAGCGTCTGGGTCGCCTGGATTGCTTGGATGGTCGATTCTGTCGTGGCCGTGGCCGTGACCGTGTCTCTGCCCTTTTTGCTCATGAGCCAGCGCGACTCCCAGGGCCTGGACAGGATCACTGCCGCGCAGTTGTTACCCATCGCGAGCACCATTGTTGCTTCGGGCGCCGGTAGGTTATCAGATTCCTCCCTTCGGAAATCTTGAGACTTCGAAGCCGGTGCCTGTGCCGTTTGTCAACTCGAGGAGAACCCATGATGCTGACAACGTGCTTTCCAGGAAGTGAAATTGCCGAACTGCTCGATTCCCCGAACCACGCCCTGGGCACGCTGACCACCTCGTATGTGATGTGGGGTATGGGTAAGTGTACCTTTTCATGACTTCCATATCGATGGGGAGAAATTCTTCTACTCGACTCATCATTCGTATACTCTCTCCTTTTGCCTGTACTAACGATCCCAAACAGCAACCCCCCTCGCCATCACGGTGCTGGTCATGTACTACCAGCGTCTGGCACTACACAAACTGCCACCACGCGAAGTCGTGGTCTCGTCGTTCCTCCCACTCGGTCCCCTCGGCATGGGCGGCTACACGATCATGTACCTGGGCAAAGTGTCACGGGCGGTGTTTCCACGGGCGGGCATCTTCCACGCCGTCAACCTCTCCGTGGCCGCCGGCGACATTGTCTACGTGCTGGGCTTCTTCGTGGCGCTGATCATGTGGGGGTTTGGCTTGTGCTGGTTGGTGTTCGCACTGGCGACCATCTACGCCACGCGCCCGTTCCCCTTCAACATGGGCTGGTGGGGGTTTACGTTTCCCTTGGGCGTCTACGCCATCTCCACCATGACCTTTGGCGTCGAAATGCCCAGCCTGTTCTTCCGCGTCTTGGGCACGATCTTCGCCACCGCCGTGATTCTGCTGTGGTGCGTCGTCGCGGCGGGGACGGCCCGGGGAGCCTGGTCCGGCCAGCTCTTCTACGCCCCGTGCTTGCGGAATTTACCGGGCCAAAGCGACGACGAGAAGAAGGACGATGAGTCGATGATCGACAAGGAGAAAGCGCCGAGGAATTGATTCTGGAAACAAACGCCTATTTTCCATGTGTATATATGTGTGTTCATGTCTGTGCTTGTATCTTTGCATCTTCCCACTTGGGTGACGAGTCTAAGAAAACCCCAGTTTGGTTATGGAACAGGTGGGTGGGTGACTGGGCAGCGGGCGTAAAGTCATGGCTGGCCTTGGGATAATCAGAGCTCAGAGTCGCTGCTTCACGAGTTTCAGATGATAGCCCTTTGGAAATAGCATATAATGGACCCATCCCCTTGAGGAACCAAAACAAGACTATGTATGGGCACCGTGAAGTTCTGCCGGTAATTACCAAGGACCAAAAAGGACCAACAAGCTCGACTCCGACACGCTATGGGGTCGGGCTTCGTGTTGTTGACTTTTCTCTGGTCCCCTTGTCTGTATAGTAGATATACCCGACCTCGAATACGAGAGCATCCTTCTGTCTGTCGAGAGTCTACCTGCATGGAGACGTAGAAAATATATGTCCTCCTGGCGTGCCTAATAGTATAACGCGGTCTGCCACCAGGCGCAGCGGCGATTGGCGTCCGGGTCCGTCATGTGTGTGATGCCGGTAACATTGAGGACCGTCTCCACCGATTTGGGCCCGTAGAGCGGAAAGACTGGCACACCGGTCCCGTTGGCGCTGCCGGTCTGGACGAAGTCGATGATATACCGCTGCAACTCCTGGGCGACGGAGGCCACCACGCCCGTGCCGTTAACCACGCCGTTGAAGAACGTGTACGGCACGTCCTGGCCGTGTAGGGCCGGCGGCACCGCGAACTGGTACTCGGACACGTTGGCGCCGTAGGCCTTACCTAGGAAGTTGACGTTGCACGTGAAGAAGCCCTCTTGAACGATCAGCGTCGCGCGCTCCGTCGCCGTGCTGTACGGCATCGACCCGTCGTACGTGGCCGGGTACAGCGTATTCAGCAAATAATCCACCATCGAGTCGGAAATGTCCGGCAGCGAGAGCCGCAGCCAGGTGGCCTCGTCGGCGTTGGTGCGCAGCCGCGGGTCGCTGAACAGGGGGCCCTCGTTGGTGTTGTGGCCGGCCAGCACCTTGAGCGTGTTAGCGAACTGGCCCCGTGCCAGCAGCCGGCCGGGCTGGTCGGGCACGAAGTTGCCGTCGACCACGGGTCCGTAGGTGAACCCACCGTAATTGGACATGCCGATTTGTAGGGCGTTGGCCGCCATCACGGCCGCGGACGACAGGTTGCGCGCCGCCTCGATCGACGTCACGTTGCACAGGGCAAGGAACGCCTGCGTAACGTTTTCCTTCTGGAAGTTGCTCGAGACCGGGAGCCAGGCGCCCGACTGGGGGATTGCCTGCTGGAACGGCACCGGCTTCAATCCGCCATAGGCGGTCATCTGGTGAATGACTGATCCGCCGCCGGCAGACTCGCCCATGATGGTGACGCGGTTTGGGTCTCCTCCAAACAAATGGATGTTGGTCTGAATCCACTCGAGCGCGAGTCGTTGATCGTACAGACCAGCATTCGACACGCCGCCCTCGGCGGCTTCGAGCGTGGGTCCAGAGAGCCAGCCGAATGCTCCGAGTCTGTAGTTCAACTCGACGAACACAATTCCATCTGATCCGTTGGCCTGGCTGGTGTGAATGAGACCGGCCGGATTGCCGGATCCAGCCTTCTGGCCGGCCGTATACCCGCCTCCATATATCCTGCGAAGGTCAGGTTAGCCACATCGATCTGTGCACTATCATAAGAGGCATCCCCCAAAACATTTAGATCTCAACAGGGCAAACTCCAGAACTATGCACCAGAAGACAATAACAAAACTCACCAGACAAGCACGGGAACGCCGTTGAATCCATTCGTCTTATTTTGAGCCTTGTCAAACACAGACTTTGGAGTAAACACGTCGAGGAACAGGCAGTCCTCCTTCACCCTTGGGTCGGGCGGAGATGGCGCTGGCGGGTTGGCTTGGAGCTGGGCGACGACCGCGCTGTAGTTGAATGGCTTTCCTTCCGCGAAGGCGGTGGTAAATGCCTCCGCGATGGGGAGCCAGTCTGGATCGGCTTGAGGGCAGATGGCGCCGACACTGCCGTCTTGTACCGTCGTGTTGCGACCCGTCGGAGGAACAGGAGCGGCAAAACGAAGTTTACCCACCGGTGGCTGGGCGAAGCGGATGTTGCTGAAGTTGTAGACTTGACCTGTAGACTGTGATCAACGGAGCCAGCTCAGTCAACTTTGTTCTCGTGAGTTGGTGTAGATGGCATACGTTGAAAGAAGACGCTTGCTGGATTTGGTATCCCAAGTCGACCTGAGGCAGACCTTGCGCGCTGACCATCCCCCAGAGACCCCAGCAGCTGGACCACAGCCAGGCAAGTGTGAGAGTTGAAGGCATCATGGCTCTGAAGCTTTGACCGAGGTGCTAATACGTGAAGAGCCCTCCGAATCGTTCAGAGGAGCGGAGCAGAGGAGAGATACCCGCTCTGAAGGAAGCCCCTCCACGACGTTATTATAGCCAGGTTTCCCTGGGTCGACTAACCACGATAACATCCTTACACGCACGTCCACATCTGGTTACACCTCGGTGTAACTGATGTTGTCGGCGCGGGGTTCCCTTGCGAGCTTTGACGCTGGTTATTGAGTAAAACCTCCGAGTGACATGGTCCCGGCAGTTGAAGGACGCATCAATCGACACGCTACGATCGGTGTGGATCTAGGATCGGTTAACACGGCGTGCGCAGGTCTCTAGCGGAATGACTAGAATGGGATATTCGAGCAGGCAAGCGAAATATACCTACCCCGCGTTGACGGAGTTGGTTTCGAGATGCGCCTTCGGGACGGAATCTGGAATTCCCAGAGCCTTTGAGACGTGGACTGCATCGTACTAGAACGGAGGCGGTCAAGAGGACGTGCACCGTAAGAGCTTGATTGATGGATTTTGTCCGGAAGCTGGCACCGGTTTAGCCTGTGCACGGCTGGCACTAGGAAGTCAATGACGTTGACATGGGCACCAGGTCGAGGAGGAGGGGGGTGGCAAGAGCAGCGTTGGCTGTGGGCAACAGGAGTGAAAGAGAACCTCGGTTGGAATGCTTATGCACGTATATATCGGCAGGCCTACTCCCTGCATACAGTCAATGGACTGAATAGTGGTCGAGGACCTACCAATATGAATGGAAAGGTGGGACATATAGAAGCATGCCAGAACTCGACCCACAGCGGAGAGGCTCTGAAGCATGGCGAAAGCTTGGTCAGCCAGCCACGCCGAGATTCTGGGGTTATGCTTTAGATAGACCGCGATGCATGCGAGTGGCTGACGTTTTTCTGAAGTGGCGGTAGAACTATCCCTCTGAGTCGGCAATGCAGCACGAGACGCTAGGACTTTCGTGTTGTTTTCCGTCACGGGAGTCGGTAAGTTGCCGAGAGAAGCGGGTTTATGACATATCAAACCACCCCACGCCTGTACTCCCAGAAGCATCATCTCGTCAACTGCTGCTCGATGCCGAGGGAGTCCAGCTGCGGTAGTGGGTGGTCGTCAAAAGAGGCGACGGGCTGATTTTGTCGTTCTTCCTCTTCCGGATAAAGCCTCGTCGGATGCCGATATAATTAGGATCAGGCGGGGTGCAGAGATCACTGGTTGGTCTTCTCGGCTCCAGCAGACTTTCCTTGGTCGCAGTATAGAGCACAATGGAGCCAAGGTCAAATCAAAACTGTCCAAGTTCTGTGCGTAGCGTGTTAGAAGGAAGAACCTAGCTTGGTAGAAGAGCAGAAGCTTCTTATACAGCATTTCGGTGGACATGTAGGCCGATGGAGACGCCAACACCGCCGGTCAATCGCATACCATGACTTTTAACCGCTGTGTCGTCAGTGCTGGTTAGATTTTCGACCCTCTTCTTCCGCACTCAAGAGCAATTGAGAGGAGGCCACGGACATCCATTGCATCTCCAAGCCCAGTTGAAATCGGTGTTGTCATTTTGTATATATGATATAATTTGTCGGGATTCAATTCGATCAGTCAAGCCCGATCACACGCCTCCTGTCGGGTGCGTAGGGTCAATCCATTTCACTCCTTCTGGGTTCTCCACCGGCACGACATCAGGGAGGTTCACCGCAATGGCCTCGCCGTCGCTTCTCATCAGCACACACTCCAGCTCTTCGTCCTCCTTCGCGTTGATCTCTTGGTGCGGCACGTACGGGGGCACGTAGATGAAATCCCCTGGTCCAGCCTCGGCGGTAAATTCCAAGCTGTCTCCCCATCGCATGCGTGCCTTGCCCTTGACCACGTAGATGACGCTTTCCAGGTGGCCGTGGTGGTGGGCGCCGGTTTTGGCGTTCGGGTGGATCTTGACGGTCCCTGCCCACAGTTTCTGCGCCCCAACGCGTGCGGTGGTGATGGCGGCGGCGCGGTTCATCCCCGGTGTCTGCGCCGTGTTAGCGTCAAGGCTGTCGCCAGGAATGACCCGGACGCCGCTTTCTCTCCATCCGTCCGGCGGTTGGTCGCTGGAGGAGGTCGCCTGGAAAAGATGAGCTGGTACAGAGTGAGGGTGGGAATGGGAGTGGTCGTGAGCGTGTGAATGGTCGTGAGAATGAGAGTGGGAGTGCTGCTCGGACATGTCCACGGTGTTTGCTTTACTATTTCCTTGAGTCGATCCGAGGCGATTAGATTGTGAGAGGCTGAAGAGGCTGAAATGAAAAGTGTAGGGTCCTTTTACAACTTTTATCAGTTTTTGACAGATCAAAGAGAACTTGTTAGTCTTGGGAACAGTTACCAGCCTTTTTGCAATGGCGAAGGGCGTGTGATTTGATCGATCAACTGAGATTTTGGAGAAGAGACACGAGGGTGGTGTGGTGTTTCTTCCCGAAGCCCCGATGTCGCCATAATTTCGTCTCTTTGCCTGTATAGACCGCAGTAATCATATGAAAAATGTACGGTGGGTGGATGCTATTTTCACACGCGTTGTAGTTCAGACCTCTTTTCCCTCCACCAGGCAGACTTCTCTTCAGAGGCTGACCCAGATCGTGGGCAGGAATGTCCCTTCCTCGACTCTCCCACACAGTGCTCCCCGTTTTGACGACCCTGATAGGATTGGGGGCTTTAATTGTCGGCTTGTGGAGCTTCATATCCCCAGCTTCAGCTGCAGCAGCTTTCGGGGGGTACATGGTACGGGTATCGGAGGCATCATCGAGTGCATCAAGGGCCTATAGTCCAAGGCATACAGAGTACATCTACTCCCATGGCATTCGCAACCTTGCTCTAGGGCTATCAATCCTAGCTCTTACAACATATTGGCAATTTGGGCGACGGTGTCGGAGCTCGGCCGTCGCACGCTTGACGGCGCAGAGATGCTTGGGGATTGTCATCACCGCCAACGCGGTGACGCCGGTCGTGGATGCCGTGGTGAATCTGTGGGCTGCAGAGGAAGGCCATGAGGGAGACCTGGATAGGAATGCTGCACGGTTGCACGCAACGAGATCGGTTTTTTGGGTGGTCGGTGGTCTCTGGTGCCTGTTCGAGTGAGGGTGCGCGTTGAGCTGGTCTGCAATTCATTATTTTCTGTGTGTGAGAGGGGGTTCACCTTACCGCCATATCATGATGTCTGGTTGCTGATTGTGCTGGAGATCTGTGCTCGTAGGAGTTTCTCCTCAATCTCACAACTTTGTCGCTGTTGTCTGTGTAGCATCCTGTTCCTGTTGCAGCCGAGCTTTTGATCTTCCCCCAGCTGAGGCTGACGTTGTGACAAGGGGAGAAGAGGCTTCAGCGTTGCAGACTCTGCAGGAGGGAATAGGCATCTTAACCATCGATGAGAGACAGCGCTTTCTCTTCTCCTGAGCTTGAGAAAGGGCAATGGGAGAGGCTGTTCGCCGTGGCAGAGGCCAAGCGAACGAGTCACAACACCACATTACTGCCAGTTACTCACTACAAGAACAACACCAGCAATCATTTCACTGCCTCACACACACGGCCACCACTCTACAGTGCTGGACACATCTGCTCTTCTCCAAGGTTGAGCGTAAAGCTCAAGCGATGATGAAAAGTATTTGAAGAAAACAACCTAGAGACACACTTGTAGTAGTAAGTAGTATCAACAAAACACACAGAGAAAGGGAAAGGGATTGATTGCGTTGCTTTGGTGTCATCTGAGGAACCCGCCACCACCCACCTCCAGCCCAGGTTGCAAGCCAGGATCAGGTGAGACCAGAGCCCGAAACAAAAGAATAAGGTGAGAGTAAAACAAAAGAATAAGAGTGGGAAATAGCCACACACTCCCTGCTGGACTGAAGGCGACCTCAGTATTTGCCGGACTTACCTTAGCAACTTGAGGAAAAGAAAAAAGAAAAAAAGAACAAGTTTCAAAAAAGGGGAGAGAGGAGGAGGTATAAATAGTCGGCGAGGCAGGACTGCCCTTGGCGGAAGTTGATCTGGCACATTCCGCGGGTCTGGAGGTGAAGTCTGAAGCAGTGAAGATAGTGACAGTGAATCTTCAGGTGATACCTGATCGGATCAGGGTCTGGTACATGCCACATCTGGATCAGAGGTGAATTGGTTGATCCAAAAGGTTGGACCATGATCCCATCAACGGTAGAGCCTCGTCAGGAACATTCGCCTCTCGATCACTCTTCAGACTTGAGATAGAACCTGGACGAAGACCAAACACTAGAGTGAATTCGTACAGTCAGTGTAGAAATAGCCAGTACCATGAACTTGAACTCGAAGAAGGCCTCACAGCCTGATTTCCGCTTCAAAGCACAAGCGCCGTTGTCACTGCCGCCGCCGCATGCCCAAAGATTTGCTGACTCCCTTCCCAGTGTTACAATCTCATGAGAATTCTCATACAATTTCGTCCATCCTCGCTAGACCCAGATACTGTCGCCACAATTCGTCACATTAAAGTCGCACCCTAGTCCTGCTTCCTCACCCAAGGCCCGAAGCTGCCCAAGTATCACATCCCCTGGTGCGGGACCGTCTAGCAACGTGTCCTTCACATGAATAATATGTACCGTCACACCTTTGAGAGGTTCGGGCAGCCTTTCCCGCTGAGAGGTTGCCGAACCAGGGAGCAAAGATGAGTGTTGGTGATGCTGAGCAGGCGACTTTGATCCCGCTGCGAGGGCAAGATCGCCCGAAGATTGGGCATTTACAATGGTCGAGTCCGCTTGGAAAGTGACACTGCGACCGCGCCCAGGAGTGGGCGGAGCGTTTACGTGGTCGCTTTCACGCGGCTCGTGTGAACGCTTTCGGCGGGTCGACGAGACCGCTCGGTTCCCTACATAACCGCTGGATATAGCTTGAGGCGAAGGCAAGCCGCCAAAACCGGCGCGTGCGAGTTCCGGCGTGATGGCTAGATCGCCGTTCATTGCCCGTTTTCGTTTGCGTTTTAGCTCTGATGGGGTCGGTGGCTGCCGCATTAGCAAATCTGGTACCGACGAACCTGTAACGGGCCGACTGGGTGTTGGCCCGTCGAGGTTTGTTTCAATGAGGGCGCCGTCGCTAGAAGTCCTCGGTTTCCGCCGATTGATGACACAATTGGCCAGGAATGTGAGCTCGGCAACCAGATGTCTTGGGCACAGGTGCCCATAAAGATCCTCGTTGCGCACGCTGTCATCATATGAACACTCGATGAAGATGGCTTTGAGCATGCCACTGGCAACCTTGCCAGCCGCGTCATCCCAGACGATATGGTTGCGAGGCGACATACTGACCAAATCGGGTTCGACATCGCCAAAGATCAGCAGCTCGTTGCCCGTGGCATCGTTGCGAATGAAGAAGGCAGAGCTGGAGACTGGTTCAAAGAGATGGCTGTTGTCCAAGATGCTCGAGGCGAGAGGACCGCCAGGTGTCACTGGACCGGTAGACATCTGAACTGGACCTGGGGGATAGGCGCCAGCATTCTGCGATTGTTGCTGAGCCACCGCGGCAAAATAGCCGTGGTCATCTGATATCCTCGATAGTCTCCTAGATGGAAAATTATAGTCAGGGTATCCGAAAGAGTCGCCATGCTGAAAGGACGCGCTGTGTTGTCTTCGGTGGCATTTACCGTGGCTGATGCTCCAACACTTGGTGGCCAACCCGTCGCAGACATTGACATAACCTCGAGATTCACCCAATCCGAGACGAGGATTTCCACCCTCAATCAGCCGCCTGTAGGTCACAAAACCAACTCCGTTCCCTTCATCCGACAAGTTTGGCCACAGCCAGTCGTTGAAAATGTGATTCTTGATAGCTTCAATGGTGGACGGTAAAGCCACAATCGCTTTCGCCTCTCTGCCGTATTCAAGCGCTGGGGTATTGATCGCCATGCCCGAGAGATGGTCCAGGTGCGGATGCGTGATGAGGAAGCCATGGAGAATTTCGCGGAAGATGTATAGTGCATTGGCCTTTGCACTAATATTGGGAAAGCGAAGGCCAGCAAAAGGGCCCTTTTCCAACAGCTGCGAGTATCCCTTTGCCGGCACTTTCTCAGAATTCAAAGGCATTTCCCTCTGGAGGATGCGGATCATGCTGGACAAGTGGGCTCCAGCATCGACCGCGATCATGGAACTCTTGCGCCATTCCGACTGGGGTGCCCGCACCAACATCCCCGTGATATTGTCCTCACGAGGTCCACCGGTCGATCCCTAAGACGGGGGTCAGCCTCTGAGACATTTTTGTTGGTATATGCACCTGCGGAGAGGAGGAAACCGCGTGCCACAAGTGACAAGTATATGCGTGTACGGGCAAAACCTCAACTTACCAGCACGATCACCTGAAAAGATGCGTCATCCTTGTTGCCCAGTTCGCGAGGCTCTGGGCCTGCGTCGCGTGCGGCATGACTTCCTCGCATCGAGGACTTTTGGAATACCCTTGCCTGCACAAGTTCCTTGTTTGATTGTCTGCCGCGTCCCGCTCTTGGAGTGCCGTGGCGCACTCCACAATGCCTTTGTTCTCTTTCCGCAAATCCCCAAGATTTGGGTCCGGCCGGGGTCGCTCGATGTTTCGGGAGAGGTCTCGGGTAGCTGCTTCAAGAACTGGAGCCGAAACAGCGCAAGAACGAGCGGAGTGAGGACGAAGATCAACTAGAGCAGCCGAGGCGAGGGGGGCGAGGTCTTGGAGGGAAACAAACGAGTCCGGGTTCTTTGTGTACGTCGGCTTGTTAATTATTCGAGAGGGCTCTCATTGTATGCGGCGGGATCGACGAGGTTGCGAGCTTTGGAATGTAAAGCAACAACCTTCCACGCCCGCATTGTCCAAGGGGGTATGTTCCAGAGTCAGACAGACCCTCAGATCGCGGGATCAAGGTAATGATGATAAGGATAGATGAATGTCACGGTTCGGGCAACGAACGATATGCAAAAAGTCAAATCAGGGGCAAAAAGCATGTTCCTTGCAATAGTTCAGCTGTCCACGTCTTGCATCCCTCAGTTTGGGGGAGAGATAAACATTTGTGAGTGGCTGCCATGACGCAGTGTTTGGGGAAGGCAGAGGTTCTGCAAGTCCAGAGCTGGCCCCTGGAGCCCCCTTAAAGAAACCATGGCTCCGGTATGGGTTTTAGAACGAACTGAATACGAGGTGAATGTAAACCAAGCCAAACGCGCAGGCGGCCTCAACGGTCGGGGGATCCCTAAACAGAAGGCATATCCTAACGATTGGACGGTGGGCGGCCAGCATGGTCTCCCCAGGAGCTGTTGCATGACGAATTGCTTTGATAATGCTGCATGCTCACGTTCCCTGGGTATCCATCAGCTCAGGGAACCAATGTGTAACCCGCTTGGTGTGCCAGCTAGTCCCCAGAATAACTAGACAGATTATATCACGTGATAGACTATCTCCAGGCTGGCTTAGCGGCTTTGTCAGGTACCCGGCTAACCTTCCCATTCGGCAATGATCTCTAGCCCTATCACCTCAACTACTCTTACCGGGGTTGAACACCATGCCTAGGATGTGCAGTTTTTCCTCTTCGCCGTCAACCTGGACAACAGCTACCACAACCTCCCGGAAACCAAGGTGTCCATGCAGGACAGACCCCATCGGGCTTGCAATAAGGTGACAAACCAGTCATGTCTCGCGGCGTAATCCAAACCCCACCGACGGAGCTTTGAAGCAGCCCTTCGACCTTGGTAGTCGGGATCTGTGGCCAACAGCTGTAAGTGAAACTGTTTGTCGCCAAAGACTTCGTCTATGTAACAACGTTTCGCTTTCGTCATTGACAAAGCGTCTAACATTACCGTCTGAATCTTCGTTGCTGGGCATATCGATCAAATTGACTGTCCATTTGCCGTCGTTGTTGTCGAAGTACTTTTGCCACTTCCGCCTGATGTACTTCTCGTGGTCCTTGGGATACTCTTTGCGATGACGGTAGCGATAGTTCCATTGGGGATCTAAAGGCATGGCCTGCAAACCAATACGACCCATGTCATCGACATCGGCAGGTCCAGCTCGTCGTTGAGTCATGTTGTATATACGTTGGCGCGGCTGCGACTGTGATAGAAATCTCACAAATCCGATGTATAGGCGGAGGCGCCATAAAACGGTGGTAGATAACAGTCCGCCTAGAAGAGATGACCATAACAAGGCTCAATTCGATTGTCTGTGATCTCGGGACGCAGTGGTAGTCATGCAGGACGTGGGAAACACGGTGACCCGACATCGCATCGTTAGAATGATGGTCCACCTACTGAAGCGGGCGCTCTGATTTGCCTGACAGTCTACCCACCCTTGTTCTAAGCAAGTTGCAATGCGGGCAAGTGGGTTGGCACTCGATGTATATACTCCTCTAGAAGCAAACATGCATTGACAAAAGGTCAACTGGAGTAATAACGCTCTCTTTGGAATCGAGTCTAACCACAGAAAAAAAGTATTCAAGTCATATTTACAATCATACTCATAAGCGATATTTATTTCATGCTCGGGGGTATCTCGTCATGTATGGCTGGGCCCTGCCGCTTCGCCCACAGCAGCATCGTAGGTAGGAATGGGTGGTCCTCCTGTCCGATCACGCAACAACTCCTGCCTCTCATCCTCGTCGCCGTCACCACTCGACCTTCGACTCTCCGGGGGACTGCTATACTCGGGAGGGGGAATAATCTGCTGTCCGGCCGGCGTATTCTCCACGGGTTGATTCTGTATATCTCCCATATCCAGAAGCGCATTGCCTTGGCTGGGAAGATCTTGTGTCGATATATGCGCAAGTTGCGCCAACGATATATCCGTGGCTGACCGGACGGGCCCAGGATTGCCAGCTGGAAGACCGAGTCTTGCCAGACCACTGCGGGTTCGCGAGTGTCCAGGCTCATATGTCGACTGCCGCGTTCCTTCCCTACCAGTCTCGAGGAGAATGCTACCCTGCTCGCTTCCATAAGGTGGAGGTGGTGCAAGACTTCCTGTCATGGGTGCCAGCCCCCATTTCTTGACATTCGCCTCGATGAACACGAATCCCATCTGACCAAAATTCACATGTACGTGGCAGGGTCCATTGGCGCCCACAGTCGGGAAGAAGTTCTGGGTCTTCAAGTTGTGCGCAATCTCGTCTAACTTCTTCCCGTTGCGTGTGAAAAATATGCTCCCGGTTCGAGGTCGGTATCCTACCCCGATCACATCTCCTTGTACATAAGGCGGACCATATGTGCTTGCAGAAAACGGTTGGTTGTAGCGTCGATGTCCCGTGGAAAGATACGCCACCGATGTTTTATGGAACCCTGATCGGTCAGCACATGGAGTCCCAGCATCTCTTGGAAGAGGAGAAGGACTTACCCGGCAATCTGAACAGAGGGTATGGTTTCGTGGTCATACCAATACTGATTAGGCTGTTCTCCGGCTTGTCGTAGATCTTAGCCTCCCAATAATACACTTCATTCTGCTTGGGTACCGGCAGGTTGCTCTGTACACTGCACTCTGAATCGAAGAACTCGATTTCGGTTCTCGCTTCGACAAAGCAATTGGCTATTTCCAATTCTGGCTCGAATTCCCACGCAGAAACACCTTTTTCTTGGATCGCCAGGAACTGTGACAGCGATATATCAGTTTGTACGGATTCTGGAGGATTCGCTTGTATAAATGCTGTGTCGCCGTTAGAATTAGAGCGAGAGTGAGGAGTTTGTTGTGAGGGTAACCCATACCTTTTGCCCTCAAATACTCGGCTCGCTGCAACTCGTCCATCGTCTCCAAGGCCTCAGCCTCTTCCTGCGCAAAGGCTTGCTCATCGTCAAACTCGCCGGGCCGGCCTATCCGGTCTAACAGAATACGGCCACGAGAGGTATATCTGAAGAAAAAGAAAATCGCAAGAACAAGCACCGCAACACCGGCGGAACCAAACGCAGACAACAGCCCGATAAGGATGCCTCGACCAGTTGCGCCGCCATCGCTGATGTTTATGACAATCGAGGCAGGTGAGCCATCGGGGTGAGGTCTGAAAGGAAGTGGAGAACCGTCTCGCCAGCCATCGTGCTCGGCGAAGGAGGCTGATGTAGGAACGCGGGTCGGATCGGAGGATAAGGGCGTAGTAGACTGGTAAAGGGAGGTTTGAAAGGTCATCGTGAGTCTGTCATGTTGCAACGGTTGACCGCCAGGACGCATCGCTCAAATAATGAGCTCAACGATGGGAAAAAGAGAAGACAAAAGTGGAAGTAAGAAGACGTCAAGAGGTGGCGAGAGGGTGACGAGCGCAGCGGATGAGCGAAGCAACCAGGGCGAAATGGCGCAGGCGGGGATGCTGTTAGGCTAATCGATCGTAGAGAGCGCGGGCTGGTTGAGAGGGTGCGCCAGTGTTAAGTTTGGAGTTTGCCGTCCAACGAATAGGTGAAAATCAATGCTATCAAGTGCGATGCCTCCAAAAGGACGAGAGGCACAATACCACCATCTTGGGTTTCGAGGGAGTAAGGAGTCACTTAGGAGTTATTGATCCAAAATGGTTGAGATGACTTGGGGATGAAGGAGGCGCAAGGATGGAGAAGGAGGTGGAGGTGGAAGGGTCGAGACACAATGGGACTTTGCTTCTGGTGCTTCCCATGGCAGTGGATGAAACGCTGCCCGTGGCAGCACCAGAATATTAGGCTTCGTTGCTGCCGTCACTCTTGGGAGTCTTTGGGGGGGCAACCTGCGTCTAGAAGCCACCTACCCACCAACAATTGGTTGACGGGTCGGGGAGCCCAAGGGTCCAGGGAACGCCAAGGAGCATCGCTTCAGTTAAAGGGCCTCAGACGTCAGTCACCCGTAACTCAACTGGATTCGTGGCAACCACAGCAGACACCCGGTGCCACTCCGGACCTGATCATCATCGAGCTTAGTCTTGATGGCATCCGAATTGTTGTATATGAAACAAGTCAGGACTGATCCCCTATAGTAGATGTGGAATTGCTTTTCAGAGTTTTTCTCTTCAGGTTGGCTGGTAGGTAACATGTTGAATCAGCCTAGCACGGCACACACGGCAATCGTGACACGCGAACTGTGCCCATCCGACGAAGCTGACTAGCTACCACTCCACAGGCGTCCATTTTGATTCTATCCATCTAGATCTTGTTGTCCCTCTTCTTCGCTCTCCAGCCAGTGAGGGTGCTGCCGCCATCAATCTCAATCACATTACCCGTCATATGGGCTGATGCTTTGCTGCTGAGGAAGATGACCAGTCCTGCAAAGTCAGACGCCTTGCCCACTCGTCCGGTAGGCTGGCGTTCGAGCAATGTGTCCATGTACTTTTGAATGCCAAAGTTTGTCATTCGAGATGGGAAAACGCCACTGCACATAGCTTAGTTCGTGGGCCTTCTCCGTCTGTGGAAGCATGACAGTGCAAACTTACGGGCAGATGCAATTGACCATGATGTTCAATGGGGCCAATTTGGAAGCTTGTAACTTGCTGAGATGGATGCACGCAGCCTTTGATGGGCCGTCTGTATTGAGATTGTCAGCATGGCTCTTCCAATGTGCAGATGCAAAGAGCATGCATACAGCTGAAAGTGCCGTGACCCGGTGCGGAAAGTCCGCCTTCTCCCGTTGTGGTGACGTCGCTCGTCTGGATTCCGGCCATGGAAGCGATGTTGATAACTCGCGAGGGCGTGTCGGCGTTGGTCCCCTTGAGCAGCAGGTCATGCAATCCGACCGTCGTGTAGAAGATGGATTTGACATTCAGTGCCATCAACTTATCCCATCCGCTTTCTGGGAAGTCATCATAGGGAGCTCCCCATGTAGCACCCGTGTTGTTGACCAACACCGTCAGACGATCCGTTCGCTTCTTCACCTCCTTGACCAGCCCGTCACAGCCAGCCTTGTCCTTCAAGTCGGCGACGATGTACTCGCACTTGCCCGGTCCCAGGCCATTCAGTCGGTCTGATGTCTTTTTCAATTCGGACTCTTTGCGACTGGCAATGAAAACACGGGCGCCGTTCTGGACAAATCCTTGAGCTGCCATCTCACCCAGTCCGGTCGCTCCTCCAGTGACCAGCACAACATGGTTGCTGACATCGAAGAGTGAGGAGATGCGGAGATCTTCTGTCGAAGTCATGACTGCTCTCTTTTTCTTTGCGACGTTTCAGGCCTCTTCCTTGCCACAGGTCGAAGATGCTTTTGGTATTTTCGACTCTTTCAGAAATCAGATCCAAGAGCACTGAGAATGAGACGGGAGCTGGTGGTTTTGATCCGCGGCAAACGGCCACTTTTGGGGGTATCGATCGATCCCGCCTATTAATCGCCAACCAGAAGCCTCGGTAATTGCAATGCTTCCCCAGCTTCTTGGTATCCGCATTGCGCCTTTCGCGCCATGGTCCGCCGTAGCAGGCGCCAAGACCACCATTCCTTATTCCAGGCAAGTGGCAATATGAAAGACCTTTCCTCATTATTCGTCCTAGGTGCATCCCCGTCATGAATAGCCGGTGCCCAATCCACGTCTTGATTGACCCCAGATCCCCTCGATCCTTTGTGCTTGTGCTATCTTTCACGGTCTAGACCCTTAGCAAATCTTCTCCACCATTCAGCAGTCACCACGAGTCACGCGATGCAGGTTGTTGGGAACTCATGCTACTAGACCACTAGTGTCATGACTCATGGGCGCCTGGCCGGCTTTCTCAACGGTTGGTACACGCCACTCTGTTTATGACTCTCACACCACAGAAGCAGTTGTGCCTGTTTGGACAAGGTTCAGACGCAGGCATACCCAACAAGTCGTCATGCTACTCTCGCCCTGACTTCTTTTTCTCTTTTCGTTCAGATGGTAGGTATCTCTCATGTGACTCACGCTAACTATTTCGCCATCCACAAGACTCATGCATGAATTGGGCATATATACCTCGCTCTCGTGCTCGGTCACCACTTTCCCATGCTTTTATCGATTTCCCATTAAACCTGTCCAGCTGGCACTCACTTGATCTCGCGACAGCATTCCCTCGGTCCTCCAGTCGTCCTACCCAGGATACTTTACCATGGCACACAAACACAACCGCAGGCGGGTCCGTCCTCGCAATCGCAACCATACCTCTCTAAACCCCATCTTTGAGATGCCAGACGAGCTCTCAGTCCGGTCAGATTCTTCCGCTCTATTCCCACCCTCTCCAAGCACCGATCTCGAACAATCTCCCTTGCCCGGAATATTGCGCGTTGCCAACCCTACCGTTGCGTCGCGGCATTTGTACAATCGATATGTTGCCGGGCAAAACCGTGACAAAGCTCAAAGACGCGAAGCTGCCAAGATCGAGGCTGAACGGATCAAACTATTCGGAGGTTATCCGGGTGACGATGTCGGACTATGCTACAAGATGATGGAAGTGTTTGAAGGCATGAATTGGATCGACACGCTGGATTAGACGATAACCCAAAAAGGAAAAACATTGATGTCTCGCGGAACAGTGCATCGATTCTGTCCAGGAAACGGCATTGAAAATCAACTCACAGGAACGGACTCAGTTCAAGTTCGGCTTGTAGCAATGAAGGCCTTTTCCGGACACTGAAGCGGAATGGCTGGATTGGTCCATTTTACTTGAACCCGTCACTGCTGAGGAAGGTGTATCCGTGGGAAGTGGTGACTGGTGCTCGCGCATTTATGCAAAGGAGAGATATGCGTGTCTATACTATACACCGCGCTTGAGCTCGTTGCCGCAGGATCGGTGCGTTTGTCGACAAGAGACGGAGGAACTAGCTATCCACTCGTCCTACTCTTATGTACTCTATGATCTCTCGACTCATATCATCCCCGTTCGCTACTTTTAGCTTCTGGAATATGACCGTGTACCATTAGATTTGCCATCTCATCTCGATCTACAGAAGTGACAGCACCGACAGCAGCTGATCTCTTTGCCGTCATCGAGGCTTTCAAGCCACACCGAACGTCAGCCAAGTCTCTTGGCATCGATTAGCGTGACACAAGATTTCCCGGTTTGCACTTGTTCTTTTGTGATCTGCATGCTTGTCTCCAGTCCTGGTGCTCACCGTCGCCCTTTTTCGTGCAAGCGACGGCATCTAGCTGTCTGAAAACAAGGCAAGGGCGTCTCACTTAGGTACGGATATGACATCCCACCAACATGCTAACATTATTCCCACTGCGTCATTCACGGCCTCGTGGCACTATGACTGTGCGAGGGGGGAATGGGAAATACTTCATATTCACCTTCGCTGCTTCCCATCACTTCCGTTTCACTGAGATCGAGCCGGTACGGCAGTGAACGTCTGCGGTTGCCCGAGGTCAAGAAAAGTGCCCTCACCCTATTCTGACTTCTCTCTCAAGTCTCTATCTCTTCTTCAGCCTTCCCCCACTGCCTCCCTCTTCGTCTGTTAATTGATCATCACCCTTTCTTTTCGTACCTGTTATCGACCACCAACAGTCAATATGGGCCTCTTTTCGCGACGAACTCACAACACGGCGACAAATGGTCATTCGAGCAACGGCCACGCTCTTCGTCGTGAAAAACGAAATGGTCGAGCGCCTTTTGACGTTGACTCTGGCGACTTCAACCGCAGACCGAGCTTCGGGCAATGGTACGACCCAGTCTCGCTTCCCATGCACAGAGAAATATCTGACAGAGAGGCAGGCTCAAATTCACATGGGTGGATATTTTGACCATGGCTGCCATGGGCGCCATCGGCCTCGGAGTCTATGAAGCCAAACCTGCTCCTAGCCGCTCATTCCCAGTCACGTTCTCAGATGGAGAGATTGTCTACCCCGAGTTCGCCTATCCCTTGCGCCATGAAATCGTCCCGATTTGGCTCGCCGCCCTTCTTGCATCGTTGATCCCGATTTTCATCGTCTTGTGCATGCAGATTCGCATTCGCTCTTTTTGGGATGCCAACAATGCGATCATCGGTCTCCTGTACTCTCTCATTGGAGCCGCAGTATTTCAAGTGTTCATCAAATGGCTCATTGGTGGATTGCGACCCCATTTCTTGAGCGTCTGTGACCCAGACCCGGCATTGATGGCTGCTCACCCTGGCCGAGGGTTCCAAAATATCATGTTCCAGAGAAACATTTGCCGGGGAGATGTCGACCAGATCGACGACTCACTCGAGTCCATGCCTTCCGGTCACACCACCGCTGCATTTGGTGGCTTCCTCTACCTCTTCTTTTACCTCAACGCCAAACTCAAGGTCTTCAGCAACCACCACCCGGCATTTTGGAAACTCATTGTAACCTATGCTCCATTGCTCGGTGCTTGTCTGATTGGTGGCGCCCTTACCATCGACGAATTCCACAACTGGTACGATATCTTGGCCGGTGCCATTATTGGGTCTGTCTTCGCTATCTCAAGCTATCGCATGGTCTATGCCTCTGTCTGGGACTTCAGATTCAACCACATTCCCCTGACTCGCCACACTCCGTTCTCCTACGGTGCAGGCGCTGCCGGTGCCGGTGGCTTTGAAACTGCGGTCTTCACCCGACAGGCTGGGTGGGGATACGGGGAGCACTATGGCGGCGCGCCCTTTGATGCGGCGCATGGGCTTAGAGGGCAGGCAGCTGGGTTTAATACGGGTGCAGTGCATCATGATCGTTACCTTAACAAGGCCGAAGGAGATGTAGAGCGCGATGCTGGCTTGCATCCGACAACCGGTCTCCATTCGACAACGGGCACCACGAACGGCTATGGAAATGGAACCTCGTCCGTGAGAGATCCTCCCGCTGCCGTGACAAACGGCACAAATGGCTACGGCCGGACGAGCTTGGAGCGCAAACCTGTTCCCACTGCAGCATGATTTATGATTGGGTGGACGAATGATACACAACGGAAGCGAAGTTGGATGCATTGGAAGAGGTGCTTTGGAGTACGCTGAAGGCGCTGCTGGGATGAACACATTCAGGGCTACAACTGCAGCAAGCATGATGATCCTTCAGTACTACTCACAGATGTAATCATATGAGAAGTAATAACCCATGACAAGATGAGGATGCTGGCGTCGTCTTCTCGGGCTGACCAGCAATGTCATGTTACTATCTTCGTCGCATCCAATTCTTTTCTGATCTTGAACCCTTCAAGTAGGGTCTCCTTCTGCTGGCGCGTTGTAAACACCAATTCTATATTCTCTCTTTTTGCCCTACCCTCCCTACATTCCTCCTCCGTCGCCCATACATAGTTCGCATGCTCGTTTGGATCAAGCCTGACCTGCAATACACCAGCAGGGCTTCCGTCACCTCCCTCAACCTCCACGAGGAATTCGAACTTACATATGCTCTTTCCACTCCGCGAGAGGAAGAAGTGTCCCTGGCCAACGAGTGGGCCGATGCTTGTCGCGACCAGCCCGGCCTCTTCCCACAGCTCTCGGGCGACCGAGTGGAGGATGCTGGGATCTTCGAGGTCGCACGCACCGCCAGGGATCTCCCAGCGTAGAGGCGCCGAGTCATGCGCCGCTCGCTGGACAAGGAGCACCCGAAGATCGTCGCCTGCGGTGCGGTCGTCCCTGTCGTTGTCGGTGGTCTGGTTGGTGGCGGTCGGTCTGGGAGAGCGGGAGAAGACGTGAGCGCCCACGGCGACGTAATGGTAGTTCAGGCCCCCTGGAGGTGTTGGCTGGCCGGCGATATATGTCTGATACGGCACGGTGAATGGCGACACTGAAGGGTGAGACGTGAATGTAAAGTCCGGGCACGGTATGGCGGAGGGAGCCATGGTCTGCTTCTTCCCTTCGTGTCTGATACCTTGGTTAGTCTTATATCAATGAGGTTGATTGCAGTCCAAGGCCAACTCACCTTGAGCAGTTTAACAGTAAGTTAAGGTCTTTCAAAATCTGGGATGCTGTGGAGGTGCAGATAGCTCCTGTCTGCTTCTGGCCTCTATAATATCTGGGTATTTCTGAGCAACAGTTTCAGTTTCAGATCACAGGGTAGAAGGACTTGTGCTTTCTGCCTTCGAGTCATATTTGGTATGTATATTGATTGCTATTGGACAGAAGTGGTGCGAGGCAAGGTGAGGCCTCGCGTTGAGATGAGGTTGTGAGCGCTTGGCACTCTCAGCGTCAACACACACCCCCGAGTTATTCTTCGCTTTCATTCTGCCTCTCCTCTTCAATTCACCAGGGCTGCTCTGTGTAGTCAAAGGGACTCCTACCAAAAATGTAGTTGCTCATCCTTATGAGATGGCCCAAACCGGCACGACGAAAAAGGCCCCTGCTGTCGTCTTCCCAACACAAGGCACCGAAAAAAGTACAGAGCTAATCAAGCGGACACCGAATCCTAACAGGCTCTACCAATAGCCACTGTTTGGGAGATCAGTATCCCCTCGACACGAGAACACTCTCTTCGTCAATGCGGCTGTTGCAGACACTGATGGTTGTCTGACGCAGAAGGCATGGCTGGTTGAGATGGAGCTGCAAAAACCTCGCTAGGCATATTTCCGAAATATGGATACTATATGGCTGTCGCATCCGTCACTGACTGATGACGTGGCAGGCTTTTGGAATGCGATAGGGATAAGGGAAATCCCTCCACTCAGACTTTGACGGTTACTCTGAACCCAGCTTTCGACACCCTCGACAGCAATGTAAACACCGCTCCTCCCATGATCATAGTCCCCGCGTACACTTTGCCGGCATCATATGACCCGCCATGCATTTCGATGATAGCACCCATGACAGGTGGCCCCACAAGCGACGAGCAAGCCATGGTCAAAAACAAGACACCCATCCTCCCCCCAAAATGGCGCAGGTCTTCAGTCATGCTGGCCACGATCGCAGGAGGCGTGGCGATGACTGCGCCAGAGAAAAACCCGTACAGAACGGTGATGGTGAGCAGGCCCCCAATTGTCCGGCACGGGATCCAGACGAAGACGAGCAGGGCAGCAACCAAGAGCGAGGGGCCCTGTATGTTGACGGGACCGGTGTAATCCGCAAGGAAGCACGGGATCAGACGGCCCAGGATGCTCGCAGCATTCAGCACCGGCAGCAAGTACTCGAGCGGGAAACCTGACTGGTGGTCGAGGCCGATCGACTCGGCCCAGGCTTCGACATAATTGTAGTAGCCAAAGAACCCAAAGTACGTGATGAACTGGCCTGTGACCCAGAGAGCGAACTCTCTTTGTTCCCGCAGCGCCTGGTACTCGATGAACCGCGCCCCTTTCCTCGGTCGAGGTGGAAGCCGTTGGCGGATCAGCAGGTTGCTCACCAGCAGGGTGACCAGGAACATCAGGGCAAGGATGCGAACCGCCCAACCGAACCCCACGGCCGAAATGCTGTGCCTTAATCCGATGGGGATAACAATGCCGCCCAACGACGCCCCAGAGCTCACGATGCCCACGGCCAACCCTCTGCGTTTGTGGAACCAGGTACTTGGCAACGCCACGCTCGGGATCAACAGCATGCCCATGCCTAGGCCGATACAGACGCCCTGTGCCAGGACGGCTTGATAGTATTCCTTGACAAAACTCGTCATCAACGTCCCAAAGACGACGAGAAATGTGCCCAGGCCGAGCATTTGGCGAAAGTATCCGGCGTCAAAGTACTTGCCCCCCAGCGCTCCGCCGACCAGCAAGAGGGTGTTTTGGATGGATCCGATCCAGGAAATGGCCGAGGCGTTCTTGGATGCACTTTGCAGTGGATAGCTATTGCTGTGGGCTATCTGGGTGGTATAGTATGTCTGGAAGGAACCGTACGAGACCACTAGGCCCCAGCTGTTGAACATGAGGAAGTGTCCGGCAATGACTTGGAGCCACGGTTGAAGACCGACGTCAGGAGGTGGTATTGGCAGAGCACCAACATTGACGTTCTCCTGGCCTTGTTCTCCAGGAGGGTCATCTTGGATCTCCTTTGTTGCAGGGTTCACTCCAGCTCCTTCATCCATTGAGGAATGTTTTTCGTCATGTTGGCTGTTGCATGAGGTCTTGGGAGACGGGGAGCTCAGGGCACTGGTTTTGTTGTCACCTTTGATCTCGACGGGCACCGGTACTTCACGTCGGTAAGTCAGTGCATTCAACCAGCTGGGCAAGGAAGACAAATGTGTGCTGCATCGCGAGACGTACATTCGTGCTGACGAACGCTCTCGATTGAGAGAGCAGTTGTCATTGCCCTGGCCTGCCAGTCTCAGACCCGGCAGCAATGCTCTTTCCTCGGTATACCGGATCACAGGGAATGGGCCATGCGCGGATTGGACCAGTTGTGCAGCAACAACTTGGGCAAGAAGGTCTGAGCGGCTGGTGGTGCACCTAGTTTGGATCGTTCGTACTGGGCTTCTGGGCCTCGTCTGGGTATGTGTCTTGCTCTGATCTGATCTGTCCAAATCCCGGCTGTTATCCAAATTCCCAAAAAAATCCAGCTCGAGAGTCAATTAACGTTTTATATGCTGAAGAGAAGCTTCGACCACCAGCCTACTTCCCTGGATATATCCATATATATGTGTACACACTCCATGTTTGTGCATATATGAGATATGGGGTATGCTCTAATACCACCCATGGACACCGAAATCATGGTTATCCGGGTCAGGACCCCGACACCCGCGCCCATTTCCCTCTTACTCTCGGCATAATACCTCGAAGCATCATCGCCTTGGACTTCGACTCCAAGACCGACAGCCGTAGCGCCGTGAGCTAAAGCCCAAAGTTGAGATTCGGTGTCATCGCGAAGGGCGTTTTTTAGTCCCCCAACTTTCTCCATCTTTCGGCAATCCCGGCACTCGGGGCGCCGTCGATCGATCCCAGTTTAGACGGCCTGAGCTCGTATGCGGAGAAAACACGGCGGACAGGAAGTACCTTGAACTGGAGTCCACAAGACGACGTGATATGACATGACAGTCCCGGAGGATTTGCTTGGGTTGTTCATGGGAGAGATGCTTTGGTATCTTATTCCAGAGGCCACTACAGGGCTCATGGGACTGGCTGACTGGTAACGGAGCTCACCCACTGACTCACCGACGAGCCAGCCCGCCAGCCAGCCAGTCCGCCAAAGGAGGTTCTTTTATCTGCCTACTCACCTAACTTATCCCTCCTCCCTACTCTGTGTTTGTTCGTAGACAGTACTCCCGGTAAACCAACTCAACAGGCCAGACTATGTCAGTTCGCGAGCGAGACAGGAAACGCACAGAGCCTCACGAGAATCATCAAGATTCCTTAGAAACTGAAGATTTCCCCCTACCTTTCCTTCCTCAGATTCTCCACCACGAGTCAAGCGAGTGTTAGAACTTTCTATTTCCATATGCGCTGCTTGGATAGGACAGGACTTGCCATCCCATAGCCGGCGGCCCGGTGGAACTTGTGCTCGTTCGTTCCCGTCATTCCTCCCTCCACTCACTTGCTCCTCTTCCCCCTCCAACTACCCTCCCCTTCCCCATAGAACTGTACACCGTACACGTACATACGTCTTCGTGTATAGGCACCTACTACCTACAGTAGATACCTGAGCTACCGCCGACTGACTGACTGACTGACTGACTGACAGGGAGAATAGCGGATGGAGAACCCTCGGGCCCCGCGTGACCTGACTGACATCTACCCGTACGAGAGGAATTGCCCATCATGGATACGTAGGTACATAATAGAGTAAAAGTAGGTGGCCACAATCCCGAATTACGTCCGGTGTGAATTACCCTACTAAGATAATATACTAAGTAGGATCCCATTGGACGCATTACCCACCCACTCCATTACCTACCCGATCTGGTATTCGTTATTCTTGCTGTAATTATTCATGCACAACAGGGAGGGAGGGGGAAGGGAAGTGTCTTCCTACCTACTTACAAATACAATACGTACACGTCGTCATCATACGTGCGTCTACGTACTCCGGAATGAGACCTGGAGGGCGATCATCATATATCCGCCGGAACGGGTGAGAATGCAAGTAAAATGGCTTCGTGCCTGGTACAGGAACTCGGTATATGTGATGTGCAGAGTCACTCACAAGCCTCTTCATAAAAAAATTATATATATGTATATATATAGTGTGTGCAATCGGCAATTACAATGGATATTGTACTGTCTAGGTTAATTTCGTATCCGTTCGTGCTGCCATTCCTAAGCTCCCCAAGGATGAAGTCTTGGACCTTCCAGAGCCAGGGCCCGTAGGAGGATGTTAGAAGCCAGACTCAAAAGCATCAAGTATCCTGCCCCCTTCTTGTGCCCTCTGAAGCTAAACGGAAACCCCGTTCCCGCCCAGGTCATTATGCCTATGGCTGCCATCAAGCAGAGTCAAGGTTCAGATTCATTCCCTTCACTCTACTAGCATCCGTTTCAAGCCTCCAGTGTACTCGTTGTCTTTTGTTGAAAGCATTGGCGTGTGTGCTTCCAATATTCCGTCGCATTTGACCAAATATTGTTCACCGACGTTCCTTTCGGATTCGTCTTGTGCACCTGAACGCGGGAGATGTGGACTGCTGAAGACCAGATGTGATCTCCCCTCACTCCAACTCAAGCGCCTCTGACGCCAGATCGCTCATCCTGAATCATGTCTTCGCTGGGTCACTGAGAATTGTATCACGCTGTACAACATGTAGAATTCCGTGCTCCTTTTGATACATGATTGCTCAGACGACGTGCCCTTTTTCGCCGTCCCGCTTAAACTTTGTGAGAACATCTTTCATCTTGGGCACCAGCTCCGGTAGCCGGAATGGCTTGCTCACGACGTCGTCGATTCCGCTTTGCAATGTCATTTCGATCTGTTCAGCTCGTGCATTCGCTGTTACTGCTATGACAGGGATGTGCCCAACTAACTCGCCAGTATCTTGCATATCTCGGAGTTTTCGTGCGCAGGTCTGGCCATCCATGACGGGCATTTCCAGATCCATGAGTACCACATCAATCTTAACGCCATCAAGGACATGGTCACGATAGAATCTGGATCTTCGAATATGATCGATGGCTTCGCCTCCGTGGTTGGCCACATGGACGACACAGCCGATCTTGCGAAGCTGTGCCGCAAGTACCTTTTGATTGATCAAGTTGTCTTCAACGATGAGAACATTGACGGGGTCAGCCTGTACGGTCAGGCTGGTGGACGTTTTTGGGGAGGCAGACGAATTGGGAGAAGCAGGCGAGGTTGCGGACGGGGGTTGGAGCACTTGCATTGTCAAGCCCGTCAGCGGCGTTGTCTTGGAGCCTTTCCTACTGTGTGATCCTGAGAAGCTGGGGTTGTCATCCAGGTTGCTAACATCGCCCTCACTGCGGCGAGCTTTGATGTAGAATGCAAATATACTGCCTTTCCCACTCTCGGAGGCCACGCCGATTTCACCTCCCTGGAGTTCAACCAACTCTCTGGAAATGAAGAGACCCAGGCCGGAGCCGCCATAGGTGACATGCGTGCGGGGACTGGCTTGAGAGAATCGCTGAAAGAGCTGCTTTTTCTCAGGTTCGTCCAGACCACGTCCGGTATCTTGCACTGCAAAGTGCAGATACACCGTGTCGCCCAGCCCCCATTCTGCCGCCGCAGTGACATCTTTGTCCTTAGGAGCTCGAGAAGGGATATACGTGAGCCTCCATTTGTCCTCTTGAGACGGCTTCTCTTCTGAAGCGGCAATGTGCATTCGGATGACTCGATTTTCTTGGGTGGTCGTGAATTTGATCGCATTGGTCATTAAGTTAATCAGTACCTGTGATAGGCGATGCGGATCTATTCGGACCCAGTCGATGCGCCGGTTCGCGAAGGATGTGTCGATGATTAAGTCCAACCGAATGTCCGCCGTCTTCAACTCCGCTTCGAACATTTTTAGCACCTTATGCACAACGGCGATGGGTCGTGTATCCACCGGAGTGACTGCCATCATGGCTGAATCCAGCTTGGACAGAGTCAAGACATCGTCCACAATCCTCTTCTGATGCTGAGCACACAAAGTTATTGTTTGAGCAGAATCAATGGTCAGGTCGAGAATTTCTTGCTGAGGCTGCGTCAACACATTCGCATCCCGCAGCTCACTCAGAGAGCCGGTAATTGAATCGGCACATTGGAGGATGGCAGACAACGGATTGCGCATTTCATGCGAAGTCGTATCAATGTAGCGCTCTTGCTTTCGTTTGAGTTCGACCGCTTCCTCCATTCTGCGGGTTTGTAGACTTTCGGCGAACTTTTGTGCACTGATGTCAGTCATTGACCCAAAAATCTGCCGGATCCGCCCATCTTCATCTCGTTCAGGTGAAGCACTGGTAAGCACCCATGTTTGACCCATGTTTCCGAGTTTATCTCCCCACGGGACCTTGAAGCGAAATTCCAGGGAGATGGCACATCGCTTCTCCAACATCGTGTTCCACATTTCCCTGACTTTTGCTTGGTCTTCATCCAGAACATAGTTGATCCAATCGTTGTCAACCGGCACATCGCGAGGATACGAAGAAATATTATACCAGGCGTCGTTGGCGAAGTTGATCTTGCCATCGCGGTTGCCAATGAAGATCCCGACTGGGGCCAATTCCGCCATTCTCGTGAACTTGTTTTCGGCCTCGACAGCTTGTTGAGTCCTGGCCAAAAGTTGATTGCTCAGCTCGATGCGGTCTTGAGCGGCCAGCTGAGCCGCTCTCTCACCTTTCTTGATTTCCTCCTCAAACAGGACCACGGACGCAATCGACGTGGCAAGCTGACGACCTAGAAGCTGGACAAACAAATCGTAATCTTCATCGTACGGACGCCTTGGATTCGTGGCCATCACCAGAAATCCCAAAGTTGATTCCCCGGTAGTAGGATGGATCGGTGATATGACAACAACTCTCGATGGATCGCCAAATCCACGCCATTCAATATTTTCCAGCATGGTGGGATCAAGACTGCCATCGTCGACCCGTAGAACAATCGGTCTGTCGGTTGTCAGGGCTTGTCTGAACGAAGCGGCGAAACCCTTAGTGCCCGTCTTCATGTCGATAACAGGAGGCGCTGCTCTGTGGCCGGCAGGAATACCTAAGCTGCCTTCCAGATAGCATACTTTGTTAGAGGCCGCACCACTGGATCCCGAGGAAGCAACTTCGCTTTCCGCCAAATCCTCGCTGAGAGAGTAGACCAAAACCATGGGGGCATCGTATTCGTTGTACTCCATGCCTTGAAGCAGCAGACCCCAGAAATCAGAGACTTGTCTCGCTGCCGCCGTCCGCTCGCCGATCTCACGCAGCGTCAACATGCGCCTTTCGGCAATTTTGCGCCGCGTCTTCTCGAATGCCGGGTTATACAGCCCGATCACCCCTCCATCGGCGCCAATCAGCGGAATGATAGACCAGGAAAAATAGGTCTCTTCCAAAAAGCCATTGCGCATGATGAAAAGGCAGTCGTCATCTTTCATTGTCGCTTGAGCGTTTTTAAAAGCATTGTCGAAGACTTCCTTCAAGGCGTCCCAGATCTCAGGCCACGCATCGCGATAACGTGCTCCCATTAGGGTTGGGTGCTTTTGACCTGCGAGCAGAACATAAGCTTCGTTATATATAGCTACGTGATCCGGTCCCCAGTACATGGCTGAAGGGTGTGGGCTGGCCATTATCAAATTGCACATGCCTCGAAGTTCGACAGACCAGTCTTGAATGGGGCCCAAACTAGTGCCAGCCCAGTCAATGCCTCTCGCAAATTGTATGTGCATTGGAAGAGAGGGCGACACCGGTAACCGCGTCCAATCGAAATACCCTTTCTCGTCGACGGTAACCAAGTCGTTGTCCATGTCAACATGAGGGCTGGCGGGCATTGCCCCCGGCTCGGAGTTTAGCAGCGCAGATCCAGATGAAGGGTCTGAGGATGCCATATCTCCGCTCGGTACGGGCGATGTTGAAACGAAATTATATGGAGAGACGTCTGACACAGGCTCCGTCATCAAGCGGTTGAGTGTGCGTGGCACCTCGCCGCTGGTGCGCGGAGAAATATCGAAATAACCCTGTGTTGTCGTGTCCGCGCGGGCGCCTCCACTCGAGGATGTAGACACGGAGCCAAGGCCATGATACTGTTGCATAACAGGCCGAGCACCACCATCCGCCATTATAGGAGGTGAAAAAGGATGCTGGCGACCATGAATCACCTTCAGCTTCTTACGTATGAGGGCACCTTGCCACAACCATCCTGCGAAAGGAAACGTGGGGACGATGTCGGGTTCTGTCAAGGGGCTCAGAGCCCAGGCTTTGAAATCAGAGAACGGCGTTCCCACATCAAGCAATAGAGTAGGGTCCTCGGACCGGCCTTGTACATGTTCGAAAAGAGGCGTGCGATTCTTGAGCGCCGTGTTTGCAAAGATCACGTTGAGGCGAGAAGCGTTGGCATTGACAGCATCGGCAATGTCAACTACAAAGGTGGGCCGCTCGTCTAATTGCAGATATTCGATGAGGGGAATGGAATGTAGCAGTTGCGCCTCACTTGGTCTTCTGGGATCTGATGTTGCGCCGCGCCCATGTCGACTTCTGGCACGGCTGGCCTCGGCGGGCGTCCGGACGGGCATTGCAGTTGCAGCTGTCCCTATCGTCGACACTGGTGTTCTGGAAGACGGCAACTCTTCTCCTTGACTGAGCGCCGTCGCAGCGGCCTCCAAAAGGGATATATTTTGCGCCAAAGGGGGCTGCATGTCGGAACCGGTATAACTGATACCCTCGTCCTCCTCCTGCCCACGCCGCTCCTCTCTTAGGTGACCATGTCTCGCAGGCGGTGACCCATTCGAAGAAGATAGCTTCGCGTACTTTAATGATGGTTGATCAGAAGAAGCGGAACCGGTGGCGGAGTCATGAGGACGCTTTAGTGATTGAGGAGGGAGGTATTCGGCAGCGGTAACAGGGTGGCGGGGAGGAGGACATGTTGGGATGTCGTGGGTATCTGGTGGGAGGGTCATTCAGAACGCGCATTCTTGGACCAATCGTGGCTAAAATCAGATCCCCTAGGCAGAGGCTGAAATGGTATGGCCGAGTGGGGAGGAGGACGAGCGAGAGGTTGAGCCAAGGGAGGGTTGGCAGGTCGAGAAATGGGATTTAGGGTAGATACTGTAGGTAAATGACACAGGGGCCGTCGCCAGCCCACATGTATCGTGCCCGGGATCCAACGAACGTGAGGAGCTAGACGGAAAGTTTGAGCGACAACACTAGCAGCAGGGTTGGCGACATGGAATGATGATGAGGAGGTGGTGGTACAAGTGTCACTACTCGTAAGGACATCGATCGTTTGGTTGGAGTGGGAGGCTAGTTCAAGAGCGGGCTCCAAGCCATCCACAGTGGGAAGCTGGCGGTATTGGACGCGGGAAGATGGCCCGGGTGTAGCTTTTAAGGGATCGTGTTCATCGGTCAGGGAAATCTCGATACAAGATTCATCACAATGAAAATGATGGTGGAAGGAGAAGGCCAGAGGGGGTTTGAAAGACGGTGTGAACATGCGGGTGACCAGTGGCGGTCGTCAAAGGAGGGTTTGCCCAATTTAGATTGAGTCACGATGGAGACTCGACCGTTGCCAATGGCTTGATTTGGTGTGCATATGAGAAAAAGACCGTGGGATCCTTGTACAAATGTGAGTCTGTGTTTGTGGGTGATGATGGGTAACTGAGCTGGGTGCATGCAGTTTGCGAAGCAGCACATCTGATCTAGGCAGATCGTCGACTCCAGCAGGCACCAACGTCACCATTATTAGTCCACCATCCACCCTTTTCTTCCCATCTCTCACCACTTTCTGCTTCGACGAGCAATGGCATTCTTGCACTTTCCGATCATGCAGCCCTTCGTCTCAGGGGAGAACCTTATCCCTGCTTAACGCCTGCGCTTAAACCAAAAATGGACCTCCCAGAGGAGGCGTCCTCAATCGCCCTAATTTCGTGCGCGTAACCATCTTTCAGCCCAACTGGATCCAGCTTTCGGCTCGTCCTTTCCAGGGGTCACCACTTGTGTGGGAGGCTTCTTACAGTGCAAACCCTGCGTTGAACGCCAGCTGAAAGAAGACAAACGGCTGGTTAAACCATTCAGGAGCCTTTGGAGACTACTTTCTGGGAGAGAACTGCAAACTGAGTACTTCATTCCCACACTTCCGTACCATGCTTTCTCCTTGGGCTCCCCGTATGAAAGTATGGGGATAATTTCCAAAGCCTAGTGAAAGCCACCGGAAAGCAAAAATGACATATGTAGAGGACTGGTCAGAGCGCCTGCAAAGGGTAACAGTGGTATCCTATTTTTTTCTAGCAATATGTGATATAGCGGCCACCTCAACACTATGTGAGACTGTCATGCTGTACTCTTTTCTTCCCCATTAAGTAAGTACGAGAGATACGCTGACACCGGCCGCTTAGCCAAGCTTTTCGTTCGAATGATAAGCCTCCCGGAAAGGATTAGTGGGCCGCATGTTTAGATAATCCGATCCGAGTCCTTTTCCAGGCTGCGATCATTCGCAAACAATGATCTTAAACCGCATGAACCGTGAAGACACTTTGTTCTGGCAATCGAGCAAACAGGATACCACTCTCGAACACCTGATATAAAAGGCAGTGCCTACAAATCCCTGTTTGTACACGTACATCCTGCCCCTCTTATCATCGATTCAAGGTCCAAAGTCTCGGCATACCTCATCACGAGTTGCACATGCAGTGACACGACTCCATCTCCAAAACGCGGATCGTGAGCAGCCAACAGCAAACCAGGAAACGGGCGAGGTGCGGGCACCAGAGCCTTGAAGCCACCAACCGAAACAGCCAGGTCCAAGAACCAGCTCCACTGCCTTACACAGCCACTCCCCTCGCCGCGTCTTACTGGAGGATTCCTTGGATTCTGTCCCGGCACGCCTAGAATACCCAGCCCCAGCCCCGGTGTTGGCCACCGAACCACGACATACCTCTCATCTCCCACGCTTATCCCGCGACTGGCCACGCCTGCGTACTGCTGCCTTTTAGCTCAGGTCGTCCTCCCCGCCTCTTTGCGCCTTTCCCTCTCAAACCTTCCAATATCCATCCCCCTTTTGGTGATCCTGCTTTAACAGCAAGTCTGTTACACCTCGTTCATTATTTTCTTCCAACGCCCACTCATCCGCCGATGGTCGACTCCGCCGACGAGCCTCCGCTGTCAAGTCGTCTAATCTCATGGGCTAAGACCAAGACTCCCTCGGCGTCATCCTCTCCTACTCCTCATCAGAACCCCCCGGACCCTTCGGACCAATCTCCTCCCGGGCGACATCGTCCAGACACTCGCCGACAAGATGCTGGGAGTAGCGCCTCTGCAGCTGGTCCTGCAACAACCACAGAGCGTTCGACTGCTGGAAGATCGGATAAAGAGCAACAAAATCCATCAATTGTGGACGAGAAAGGAGATGGAACGCAATCTTCCTCCCTAGGAAATCCGGCTCCCAAGGACAAAGCGCCCTTGGTCAATCGTTTCTTCCGCGATGTCAAGCGCATCCTCTTCTCCAGCTGGGTCAATTGGCTGCTTGCCTTTGTCCCAGTTGGCATCATATTGGGGATTATCGTCGACTGGATGGACAGCCGGGTTGTCAGCCCAAGCGCTGTATTTGCCATCAACGCAGTCGCCATTATTCCCCTGGCCTCCCTTCTGTCGTATGCAACCGAGAGTGTCGCCATTAAACTAGGCGACACCATTGGTGCTCTTCTGAACGTTACCTTCGGAAATGCCGTTGAGTTGATCATCTTCATCATTGCTCTAGCAGCAAAAGAAGTGCGCGTGGTCCAGGCCGCCGCCCTAGGTTCGATCTTGTCCAATTTGCTGTTGATCTTGGGCATGTGCTTCGTTGCCGGTGGTCTTCGATTCCGGGAACAACTGTACAATTCAACCGTGTCTCAAATGAGCGCATGCCTGTTGTGTCTGAGCGTCATCAGTCTCCTCTTGCCGGTAAGTGTCGGAAAAGAAAACCACCGCATATCTCTAGTACACCCAACTAATCAGTGTGCAGACAGCGTTTCATGCTTCCTTTTCGAGCACTGTCACGGCGGACCACGTGGTGTTGAAGGTCTCAAGGGGCACCAGCGTGGTGCTCTTGTTGGTCTACCTCCTTTACCTCCTGTTCTCGCTTAAATCCCACTCCTTCATGTACCAGAGTACCCCTCAACATCTAATTGACGAGGAGTCGCATCCGGGAGTCCTCGCCGACATACTCAACTCCAGTTCCTCGAGTGACTCATCGAGCTCAAGCGACAGCGACACAGATTCCAGTTCTAACTCGAACACGACGACCAAACGCATCAAACGCGCACTCCGCCGCAAGCGGCGCAAGTCAACTTCAAGCACCAAGGACAACGCCTCTGTTGTGACATTCACCAGAAGTTCATCCATGCTCACTGGCCCCGGCGGCTCGATGATCCAGGCTACATCTCTCACTTCGGCGGAGCTGGAGCCCGTCTTTAGTGGCGACGAGGCTGACATCGACGGAGAAGGAAGGACAACTCGCCATCGCACTCGCACACACACTGTTCACTCACGCGACTTTGAAACCATTCAGACCGATCAAACCTCAGAGAAATCCAGGAGACGCCACCGAAAGTCCAAGAAGTCCAAACGCGCCAAGAAGGACAAAGACAAAGGGAAGAATAGGGAATCAGAAAAAGAAAAGGAGCCCATTGCTGAGACGGTGACTTATGAGAGCACCCTATCGACTGCGGACACGCTAAAACCACAAGTTGGATTTGCCTCGGACATCCAAGAGATCCCTAACGATGGCAATGTGAAGCGATCGTTCAATATTCGCAACATCTCCGAAGCTGTAAAGCCTGCATTCACCTCTGCCAATTTCCCTCACCACCAAGCCACCGGTAGGCCTCTCGCAATCCCTATTCGTCCCACTTCGCAGCCGCGAGCTGGCCCTCGGCCCGTGCGTCGAACTGCTTCAATGCCGGATATTCTTCGTCCTACGATTTCGAACAACCGCTTAGTGCCTACGATATCTGCACCGGCTCAGCATGATGCACCGTCATTAGACAGTACTGCTGAGGTTCAAGCGGATGATGTCGTGGAGCCTCAGACGCACTTATCCCGCACCTCTGCTATCGTCCTGCTTCTGGCGACCACAGGGCTTGTCGCTTTATGTGCCGAGTTCTTGGTAGGTAGCATTGATTATCTGATCGCCAACAGCGGTGTCAGCCAAGCCTTTATTGGTCTGATCATTCTTCCCATTGTCGGCAATGCTGCAGAGCACGTGACAGCTGTGACTGTTGCCGCCAAAAACAAGATGGACCTCGCGATCAATATTGCTTTGGGCAGCAGTATCCAGATTGCACTCTTTGTCACTCCTCTGATGGTCATTCTGGGGTGGATCATCAAGACAGATATGAGTCTGTATTTCAGCCTTTTCGAAACCGTCAGCTTGTTCGCCAGTGCCTTTATTGTCAGCTTCCTCATGATCGATGGCCGCAGCAATTACCTGGAGGGAGCGTTGCTCATTGCAGCATACGTTATCATTGCTGTTGCTGCCTTCTTCTATCCCACGTGTGATTTGAGCTCGGCGAGCGGTCCCCTCGACGGCACTAATCCTGTGTGCTAAGATTTCACACCAGGACGACTGGCCATCTTTTGAGTAGGACTGGGAGAAAGCAGGCAGAGTATGAGGCCCTTATTTCTCCAACTACATTCGTTTAGATTGGTTCTTGGGGAACGGAGGGACGGACAGGCTTGGAGTGACAGGTTGATTCACATTGAGGGAGATGTCGGGTTTTATTCAACACACATTCTTTGCTGGGGAGAACGAGTTCATGATCAGCTTGACGGTGTGCTTGCTGCCGCTCTTCTGCGGCCACTTGCAGCTGCTTGCAATTTATACGATGGATCACCACTACTTTGTGGTCATATTTGACTAACTCATACAGAATATGACTGGTATGGCTCAGGGCGCATGACCCGAACATACGTCTTCACAACGATCGTCAATCTGCTCCAATGTCTTTCTTAAGTGTAATCCTTATCTGCATGATCTTCAGTGCTGCCTTACACCTGTGAAATGACCTTGTGGAGTGACGAGGTGAGGCCTAAGGCCACCAATGGCCGTAAAGTAAGATCGATCGAGCTTCATTCCACTCACTTCGTCAAATCAGTCCAAGAATCTCTTTCACCATCTTTGTTTCATGCATTCCGCTCTCCAGCTACAACACACCAGAAAAGTCAACTGCTTCGGATAGGTTTACTGCTTTGGCCAGCGCTGGTGCAGGGACCAGGGCATGCAGTGTAGCCTGGGGAGCCACAACGTGGGATGAAGCTCCACAAGCCCGCAGCTATCGGCGCTTCAGGCATGGTTTGCCTCTCCCGTTAGCATCTGTGATCTTCGGCGTTGGGGAACCACGGAGCAGGTTGTGGAGGCCGAGAAATGCTTATCATGACATCGTCTTGGTTCTTATCTTCAGCGCCTTCTGTGAGTGGCAGCTACTGATCCCCTGTGATGCTTCGAACCACTTGGCTTTAAGGGCGATACGAACATCCTGCAGCTACCCTGGACTGGCATCCCGACAACGCTCTATTGACTCGTGTCACGCAGAACTCCGATGGTCTATCTCTCTCCTCGTTCGTGGACGATGGCACCATGCGGTTTCCAGGTTACTTCATCGCACGGCGTTGGTTTGGAGGCGAAAGAGCAGGTCTTTGAACCTGGTTGAGCACAAGTTTCCCCACCATGCGACAGATTGCACAAGGGGATTAAATACGTCCATATTCCCGAACTTGTGTCCCGGGTACTGCGAGACTTGTCTCGTTTTGCCGAAGAGGCGGATTTTCAAGCAGCAGAACGACTTCAGTTTTGGTCGCTGACCCTGTTACCATGGCTTCCATACCTTCGGACACCAAAGGCCGAAGCCTCAGTACGGCGGACGTCAACCCTCCGTCCGAGCGCCGTGGATCCCTTGTCGTCGATACCGCGCTGGCGAGCGAAGAAGATGCCGCGGTTCTCGCAAAGATGGGGTACGTCACATCTTCACGAATCACTTTGACTCCCACCGCATTCTATTAGGGCCGAAGAAGCCACACAGACTGATTGTTGAATTGATAGGTACAAACAAGAACTCCGCCGGAACTTCAGCATGCTTGAAGTCTTCGGGATTGCCTTCGCTATCATGGGATTGCTTCCGTCCATCGCCAGTACACTCTCCTATTCGATCCCCGCCGGACCTGTGGGCTTGGTTTGGGGCTGGTTCCTGGCTTCGGGCTGTATCTTCGTTGTCGGCCTCGCCATGAGCGATCTGGCAAGCTCAATGCCAACGAGTGGCGGGTATGTGGTTTCAGTCGGGCGTCCGTGCTCTTACAATTGACATATATCTAGGCTTTACTACTGGACTCATTATTATGCCTCACCGAAATGGAGAAACCCGTTGAGCTTTATTGTTGGATACAGCAATACTCTCGGCTTGGTGGGCGGTCTGTGCTCGATCGATTGTCAGCGTGCCCCAATATCTATTCCCCTCTAGCGACTAACTCGGTGACAGACGGGTTTTCCCTGATGTTTCTCTCCGTTATCGTGATAGCCCGCGATGGAAACTGGTCACCAAGTAACGGCACTGTCTACGGAGTCTTCATCGCCACCGTAGCCTGCCATGCCGCCATCGCTTCGACCATGGCGCGAGTCATGGGCAAAATGCAGACCGTGTTTGTCGCCATGAATTTCATCTTGATCTTTGCGACCATCATTGCCCTGCCAATTGGAGCGAACAAGCGCAACAGCGCCTCATACATCTTTACGCACGTCGAGAACTTGACTGAATGGCCTACGGGCTGGACCTTTATGCTCTCCTGGCTCAGTCCCATCTGGACCATCGGCGGGTTCGACTCGGCGGTCCACATCAGCGAAGAGGCCACGAATGCGACCAAGGCAGCACCACTGGGGATCCTGTTCTCGATCGGTTCGTGCTGGCTGTTCGGGTGGATCTGCTGCATTGTTATCGCCGCGTGCATGACGCAGGACCTGGACAGCATCCTGGGCTCGCCTTTTGGACAGCCGATGGCCCAGATCTACTATGATGCCCTTGGCAAAAATGGAGCTCTTGGGTTCATGGCCCTGTTGATGATTGTCCAGTTCTTGGTGAGAATTTGCAGTGTTTCCGCGCCGAGGAGGATTCTGTTTTACTGACGTACTCAGATGGGTGTTTCGATCCTGGTCGCCGCTTCTCGTCAAGCATGGGCCTTCTCTCGAGATGGAGCGTTGCCTTTCTCCAGATTCTTCCGTCACATTTCCAAGAAATTTGGCTACATCCCCGTCCGCACGACGCTTGGTTGCGCCACACTAGCAGCCGTTCTTGGTCTTCTCTGTTTGATCGCCCCGGCCGCGGCTGCGGCTCTATTCTCCCTCGCTGTTGCGGGCAACAATCTCGCATGGGGCACTCCAATCCTCTGCCGTATTATCTGGGGCCAAAAGAAGTTCAGCCCTGGGCCGATATATACTGGCAGAGCTTCGACCCCCCTGGCCTGGGCCGCCGTCACTTTCCTGGTGTTCGGCATTCTGCTGTGCATGTTCCCTGTGGGCGGGCCGAACCCGACTGCCGACAGCATGAACTATACGTGCGTGATTAACTCGGCAGTGTGGGGAGGCGCTTTGCTCTATTATTACATTGACGCTCGCAAATGGTTCCGCGGACCGCAGATCACTATCGATCTGGCCCAACTTACCGAGGAACAGGCGGCGGCGTTGAGAGAGGAAGGACTCAAGGAGGAAGGAGGGAGCGCTGTGCTCGGTGGTGGGAGCACCAGCGTCTCTGTCGACACGAAGCACAGCTGAGAAGGCACGTTGGGTTGCTGGCATTTTATCCTAGAGGACACAAATGTCATATCAGTAGCATAGTCAGCTATCTACAAAGACGACAGCTCGGGCATGCTATTGAGACTGCCTGATGTACGGAGCAGAACAGGTCATTACTGAAACTACTTATGGAGATTCAACACATATTCATGGTGGAGTCTCATCCAATCTTGATTGCCTCCGCCCTTCGTTCCATGGACGAGGCTTGGGAAGTCAATTGCGGTGTGGCCAGCTCTGTCCACCTTCAACATCAGACAACGGCACACTGACACCAACACTTGTCACGACTGCACTAACGGAGACATAATCTGCGTATACATGCATCGACAACGTATCCCAATCAGTGTTTGCCGTAGAGTGGGCAATATTCACCCAACCATGTTCAACTTTCCCAAACGGTCACGTGCATTTCCCTGGTATTCTGGCGCACCCCCTTTTCCACCGAGCCTCGCAGGTTTTATTGAGTGGACCAGCCACCGACACGACACATTCACACATTGTTCGTGGACCGTGAATACTTGACGAGCCTCAGTGGGACTGTGACAATGGCGAAAACCATTCACTTCATTTTGCAGAACAACGGATCCGCCTTTTGGGACGACATTAGGACGAAAGTTTCATTCATTGTTCCCAAACGACGAACTCTCCTCCTCCTGTGGGCTCGTTATTGACACATTAACGAGCCAGCTACCCTGGACCGTATTTAGAAGTTCAGGACAATAATATCTTGTTCTACTAGATTTATTCCCCCCCTCCCATTGAATTAGAAACAGAAAATTACTTCCATTGACTTGCATCATATATACAACATGTACAACTCGATTCCTTTTTCTGATACTCCTGCTTGCCTCGCAGTAACACACCTCCATTGAACTTGAACTTGAACGCTGCATGTTCTTTCTCCGTCTTCTTGCTCTCTCTGCTCTGTACAGAAAAGAATCTTTTCTTCCGCTCAAGCTCAAGTTCAAGCTCGATATCAATCCCAGGCACAGTCTCGGTCTCAGTCTCAAGTTTCAGCGACATCGATTCTTCTCTCTGCTCCACTCTTCGTCCTCGGGTAAATTCCGAGACCTGCCAGCTCTCTTGCACTCCGACATCCAGGGTCTCTCTTGCCAAGCCAGCCCTTGAAAGATTCAAGTTCCCAGTTCTCAGCCCTCTTGACCACATTCATACACATCACCTTCCCAGATATTCTCTCGTTAAGGTCATCAGACATCCGACACAATGGCCAATTCCGAGGCGTACGCAATCTTCTACCCCGAAGCAGATGGATATCTCTTCTGCAGTTCTCTATTTGCCGGTACTGAGAGAGCCACGTCGATCGTGCGCTCTGTTGTCGACAACCAACTATGTCCGCAAGAACATCAAGCCCACGGCGGCGTCGTCTCAACACAAGAGAGGCATCTGCTGTGCCGGAGTCAGTCTCTATCGCCCGCACGCGCGGATCGTCCACACAAAAAACTTCATCGTCCTTCCTGCCACCCATCCCCGCGTCAACGAGTTCAAGTCTCCGTCTGCTCTTCTCCTAATGCAATGGCGGCACTCTCGAGTGCTTTATCACCGTCCTCGAATGCGAACGTATCCTCTGCCCGGAAGTCCTGGTGTGGCACGTCCTAGACCAGCTCCTCGAGGGAATTGGGCACCTCCACCGCGGCAGCCCATCCGCTTCCCACAACGACTTGCACCCAGCCAACTTCTACCTCCACTTCCCGACTCCGGAGAGCAGGCTCCCGGAAGTCTTCATCGGAGACCTCGGCCTGTCGCGACCCGTCGATGAGAGCGTGCTGGAGGTGATCGGAAACCCTCCCAAGCGTCGATTGAGAAATCCCAACAGGGTTAGACAAGAGGAAGAACAGGCCCGGCGAGTGTAGCAGAGCTGAGGTACGCCGGCATCGCTCCTGAACGTCTCCCACCACCGCCCGCACCACGCACTATGTAGATTCAGTGTATGATCGAAGACCTTAAGAATATCCACTCCATGATGGTTGCACTGCGACTGAATCGCGATCAGCCTCCCACCACCGCGGCACGACGCTGCAGTATCTCTGTGCTCGGCACAGAAGTCCTGCCCTCCACTGTTGGCTGATCGAGCAATAGTTTAAGGGGCGAGAGACAAGGGGGTCAGGTACACCCTACTAGTACCTGCTCTACGAGGTAGTAAGTCAGTGAATGCACGGAGTACACGATTGGGTACAGTGACTGACCGCCTCTTTGATGCCCAACTCCCAGCAGCACCCTTTGCCATATGGCCTAACCGGTTCTTTCCCTCTACGGAATGATCAGGGAGATTGCCTTACGATAGGTTTGCAGCAGTCCGCTCTGCTGCTCGTAAGTGATCGGTGCTAACCAGCGTGGCTTGTTCTCTGTCAACACCAAACTCGCTAATCAAGACGAGGCGCCTTTAGTGTCCAGACTGATGCTGTTGCCAGGATTTCCCCGGGCCGCTCAAGCCGTCGGCTGTCGATCTTACCAGCGCGCTCCGCTGCTTCGCCGGCTTACTAAGTACACGAAGTCTGAGCTTCTCGAGCTAGTTAACCGACGAGTCGAGGCATGCGGGCTGTGGTTCAAGTTGACACGTTCTTCCCCCGGCTGGGCCTCAATGAGGCCACGAGGTCGAGGAACGACCTTGATATGTTGTTCCCAGCAGAAAGAGCTATCCAAGTAAGTGACCGGATAGTGGACACTCGCTGCCTCTTAGAGAGAAGCGCACTTCAATCACATAGGAGAACGTTGTACCGTCATTCTCAATCAAGTTTCGGCCCTAGATTGACACAAGTTTCGCAGAATAAGTGCATGCCACTAACCGGGGAATGTCCTAGAAAAGAAACGAGATTTTTATTCCAGGGCGACACATCCAAGAACTAATACCCTGGCGATCTAGGCCGCCGAACCAGACGATGCCAACTTCCTCATCTCTACAAGCCCCTCCCCAGCAATGGGATACGCCTCGAAAGTTACTTCCAATCCCGCTAAAGCCGCCATCTGCTTCCACTCTCGACTGCTCCTGATTCTGCCAGCGTACAACTGAATCATCGTGGCGTGCATCTTCCCATAGGTGGAATTTTTTGGGAACTCGTGGATCAGCATGCGGGAGTACGGCGCCATCGCATCTGACACCTTCTTCATCAGCCTCAAGGCTTCGAGGTCTGACAAATTATGGTAGATGTGTGTCAGGCTGTACACGAGAGCCCCGGTGACGGGCTCGGGAGACTCGTCCTTAAAGTCCCAATGCTGAATTGTCACTTCATCAGCGTTCGTTTGTTCGGGGTGGTATTCTTGCAAGATTAGATTCCCCTTCTTCAGATGCGGGTACGCTGCCTTTACTTCCAGAAGCATCTCTCCTCGTCCGCCCCCAATATCGACGATGGCGATTTTGTTGGCTTCGCTCTCCAAGACAGAGCCCAGATCATATCCAAAGGATTGCACCCGGTCCGGCATGGTGCCAAAGCGGCCAAATTTGCCTTCCATGAAGGATGAGAAGCTCGGCATACGTCCTTGCATGTGCATTATCGAGTAAGTGTGCTCATTGACAAATCTCTCCTCGCCAATCAATTTGTATCCATATTGCGTGGGTGTTTTGTTCTCCTGGAACGGGTATTCGAATCTGGTATCTCGAAGTTGTTTCATCAAGAAAGCTGCCGACCAGAGAGGCTCCGTCGTGCTTCTAAGATTAGTACTCGAGATGTTATCCGGGCTGTTTCACTTACAAATGCAGCATGCCATGCAGAGAGGATGGCACAGCCACCATGTGAGTCGTGATGGGGTTAACCTGGTATGTTGTATCATCAACCAGGTCAACGAGGCCCAGGCCAGCCATCGCGTACATGGTGTCCTCTACAGACGTCAGACGCGCTCTAGTCTTCGACAATGTGCAGACCTGTTAGCCGCAAACCTGGGTTCACGTCAGCAAGACCTCATCAGTGCAGCAAATTTCATACATAACGGTGAGAACAATTTGGCTTCATCGCTCCTCTCAGCATCGGATGCTTTGGTTAGCTCTTCGGCTGTGGCAATCGGTCCAATTCGATTGAGCAAGGGGAAGAAATTGAAATGAACAGCCACAGGTATGAACCCGAGGGCTGCAATCTGTGCACATAATTGTTACTCCTGGCCCATGTATCTATCCTAGGCCTAGGTGCTCTTACTGCGGTCACCGTAGACGCCAGGACTGCCCCTGGATCGCTCATCTTCGTTGGATTCGATGAGAGTGCCGAAGACTGTCAAACAGGAATTCAATAGACTGAATGCAGCAGAACGTCCTACTGAGATTGGGGAGTGGCAGCGGTTTCTTCCAAGGCTGGATGTACCACCCTCCAAAAGCGGACAATGCAATGTTTCCTTGCTAGGTGCCTGCGGTATGATGAAACTTCGTTTATGTTGATCATGGCGATGGGCCTGTCAACGCCTCGTCCTTTTGCTTGAACAGCAGCTGTTCGGTTAATTGGGTCTCTGAATCTTCCCCACCCGGGGAAGGATACCGCGTATTTCCGCACGCCACAGTCGGTAGCTTCCGGGTGATACACAGTACTATGGCGATAGTTGGCGGTACGAAGGAGAAGACTAGGGCGAGCGGGCGGGCCGTGGGCTGATCTTCCTCGCTTATCCCTCAGTCTCCGGAGCTTGCCCGACCTTAACTCTACCAGAGCACAAGAGTAAAGAACACGCTGTGTCAGTTGATTAAGGAACTATCATGGATCTTTTTCCGGCCACGAGTATCATCTATTCTCCTTGCCACCAAGTGGACGCCAATCTTCTGATACAGTCTGCATCCGGCCCTCCTAGGAGAGACTTCGTGTGCTCCAATGCCTGCTAGGTGGCACCCTCGCCGGATTTTACATATCCTTGCAAGACTCCTCGCCGAGAAGCAAACTATCGTCCAAGTTCCCAGCTAGCAGACTTGTCATTGGAAGCATCCATGCAACCTGAGGCCCACTATGCTTTGTCTCGCTTTGCAGACCCCGAACCTCTACGCCGGGCGTTCAGGTATTACCTTTGTCTTATCATCCTCCCTAAGCACTTTGGCGCGTTCCGTTTCCCCTGGCGCTGCATTCATATGCATGAGTTCAGGACTCTAGGGCGGGCCGGTGGCCGGATCTGCACCATGCTGCCTTGAAACGATTGTGTATCCAGGGTTGCTTCGAGACGGCTCACGCACCTACCGGTTCTTGGCTGCCAGCTGTTCAACTCCTGGTCAGGGGGGTCGAGCCTGTCTGCCCTGTTAACCCCCATGGCAAGCCAGGCATGTCTTTGGTCTACGCGAGGTGGTGGAGATGAGGCCCAATCTGGTGCCTCCGTGATGAGATCGAGCCCTTTTCAGGTCTCGACCTGCCCTCGTCTCCTGCTACACATGGAGCACTAGCTGACCACGTTGTAGACGAGCTTGTGGCTTCCTAGTTTCTGAGAGCGTCTGGAATTTTCGACTTCTGGAAATATCTTTTTCATTGTGTCGTCCTGCTTTCATTGACACTCAGCTGCTTACCGCAGTTTTATATTTCAGTCGGAACAGGTTGTATTCCCTTTCGCATTCTGTATTAACGATGAGTGCTCCTTCATCTTCGTCTGGCGTTGGTGAGAAGCCGCCTACATCCGAGAAGAACGTCAATACCGAGACCACAGTTGTCCCCCTTAACAATGAAAGCCATCAGCCTAGCGTCCTCGACGGGCTGGGTTCAGACGACAGTCAAAGTCCCCAGAATTGGAGTCCGTGGAAGAAGCGACTTGTGTTTCTCGCGTTGATGTCCAGCTCGATACTTGCTGACGGGTATGTCTCTGGTTCCTTGTCAATATTCTGACTGAAACTGACTCCTCTTGAAAGAGGCATGACCTGGGGTGCAACTCTCGTGGCTCCTCAGGCTATTGAATGGCACACCTCCATCACGCACTCCGCCACGTCTCTCAACTATGGTATCCTACTTCAAGGCTTTGGCGGCATATTTGCGGTGCCTTTTATCGACGCGTACGGCCGGTCAGTTATTTGAAGACAATTCCAGTTTCATGTTGCTAATTCTCCTTGCAGCCTTCCCGTCTGGCTCTATCCACAGGTTATCACTCTCTTTGTCGTCCTTGGCTGCGTTTATGCCCAATCATGGTCCGTTTTCACGGCGTTACGTGCCCTGCAGGGCCTCTTTGGGACAGTCCCCCAAGTGATTGGTCTGCCAATTATCCATGACATGTACGCTCCGCACGAATGGCCACGGTACATCAACATTTGGGGAACCACGTTCCTAGTTGGTCCTTTCCTCTTCCCTGCTATAGCGGGATACATTTTGGAGGGCACCGGTTCCTGGCGTGACTGCTTCAAAGTCCTCACGAGTTTCTACGGATTTTCCACACTGATGATCCTGGCATTCGGCTATGAGACATACTACAACCGGTCGGCAGGCGTCCAGCAAACCAACCGCATCAAGTCGTTCTTAGGCATTGGCAACACAAATCTGCCCAAGGCACGGACACTCTCGGAGTCGACCATCAATATCATCAAGCTCACCTTCACCTTCCCCCTCCTCCTTGTCGGTCTTTCCACCATGATCAATTTCACATGGCCTATCGGAATCACCACAACTGTTGACTCTTTTGTCCGAGCACCCCCTTATCTCTTCGGGAATGTCGCTGATGCTTCCATCCGCTTTGCCGGTGTCATCGGTGCTCTTTTGGGATTCTGCTTCGGATACTTTTTCAACGAATGGATCTACAATGGATCTGGTGGGAAACGCAAGTCGCACTGGCGAAGTGAATACCGACTACATGGCGTGTGGTTCCCTATCGGCAGCATGGTGTGCGGCTTGCTGACATATGGTCTCACACTCAATTACGGGAAGAGCTGGGTTGGACTGGCATTTGGGTGGGCTATGGTGAACATCGGGTTGGTGGGCACCATGGTTGCTATCACCGCTTTTGCTCTCGAGAAGTATCCCACGCACTCTGCAGTGGTGTCGGCCATTATCAACATGTGGCGCACTTGTGGCGGGTTCGCCGTCGGATATTTCCAGCCAAGCTGGATCGCGAAGGATGGCGTGGCTGCAGTCTTTGCCACCCAGGCCGCCGTTGTGGCTGTCTGCGCCGTCATTCTCATTGGAGCAACCATCTGGTTGGGAAGACGTGCTGCAAATCGCAAGACTGCGGCAGATGTCACTGGTGAAGCGTGAATGGTGTTTCTGTGATCGATTCAGAACAGCGAGAAAAGCAATATTCACGGGGATTTTGGTTTCGATTGTATCCGAATGGCGAAGTCTCCGGCGAGCGAGGATGTTCTAACCACGGGGGAGAAATATAGAGAAACATTCGATGGGCGGCGAAAGAGGATTGGAGGGTTTTTTTTTTCATTCCAATGCCAGTCTTCTGTCGTCAGTCGAGACATTTACTGGTTCTCTTTTGCCCATTTTAAACAATCTACATGTCCAAGGGCAACATCCACGAAACGGCCAAACGAGCCGTATCTCACAGTTGGTTTGTTGGACTGGTGTATTTCAGTAATTTGACCTTGATATCTACTGTACTCGCACGCTATGGCACAAAGACCAGGGGCGTATAGATGAGTCAAAATGCTCCATGTAGGGGAGAGGATGGATTATGCACTACTGAACGACGCATGCAGGCAGGCCGCTTTTGCAGCTGGGAAGTCCTCAATGCTAGACAGAGGTATTGAAATGACAGTGACACAAATGACACGGATATGAGAACGGCTTGGAAACAGCCGTACGCTGGGCTGACCACTCGGAATAGGTTCCGAATATGCTCCTTTTTTGGCTTGTCGGAACGACTCCCATTCGTTGCAGCTTCCACCACCGCACAGTCACACCGTCACTGTCGTTGAACATGAAAAGAATGCTTTGCGGGACAAAATATGGTTCTCTGCTGGTCGTGGTTGGGCATCGCTTCGCCCACAGATGCGTTTTCAGCCGCACTCGCTGCGGCACTGATCACTCCGATGGGCTCCTTGTGCGCCCTGTTTCTGTTGTCTGCTCCGCAAGCCCTGCTTCCCCAGATTTTTGTGATTGGGCCCGGCGGGGAACGTCGTCATAACCTCTCTGCAAGCCATGTACTTTGTGGCCTGGACAGGTCATCCATCCGAGCACTGGGGAGCAATGTCGGTCTCGAAAGCATCGACCGGGATAATGGAGATATATTGGCCCAAGTTGACCCAGGAAGAAATACTTGCACCTCAAGCCTTGCACTTACACACTTCACTTGATCCTAACTTGCTTCTACTAGTGCTATCTACGCGGCACCAAGCTCATGGCTCTGACCATCGCCATCCTTGGGGCAACAGGAAAGACAGGCCGTGAGGTGCTTGAACGACTCCTCCCACGGCCAGACGTGAACATTCGGGTCTACGTCCGGTCAGCCTCAAAGCTCATCGATCTATTTCCATTGCTGTCGTCCAATCCGCGCGTTTCCATCTTCCAAGGACCACTCGGAGATGTCGAAAATATGCGCAAATGCTTGTATGAGGCCGAACATATCATCTTCACGCTTGGCGAGAATGACAACCTCCCAGGCGTCAGCGTGGTCGAGGACGGAGCCAAGACAGTCGTCGCTGCTCTGTCGGCGTTGCGCAACGACCAGGATATAAAGCAAGAATGGCGTCCCCCGCGCGTGCTGGTGCTGTCGTCCGCGACATGGAATCCCACCCTGGCCGCCGTGCGCCCCGCCGTGATCCACTGGGCGATCAAGACTGCGTTTTGTCACCCGTATGCCGACCTCCAGCGTGGCCAGGCGATCCTCCTCGCCGCCGCACCATCGCTGCTCAGCGTTCTGCTCGTGCAGCCCAACGGGCTGATCGAGGACGAGCCCAGCGGGCACGAGATTAGCGTTGACCGCGCCACCTTGACTGTCACGTATGGCGACTTGGGCGCCGCCTTCGTCGATTTGGTGTGCATGAGGGAGTTCGACGACTTGCCGGCCGTCGGAGTCTCGAGCAGATGCGGCGACAACGCCCTGAAGTATGGCCCCATTCTGGGATACAGGATTGTGAGGGGCTTGTGTGCGACCTACATCCCAGGGTTTTGGCACGTACATAGACTTGTACTTTCGGTGGTCGCGACGTTGTCCTTCAAGAGGAAGTCGAGCTGACAGTACAAGTGGCGATAGCTCAGTGACTCAGACGGATCTGACAGGGAGATTCTTGACGTACACTCGGACTGGGATCGAACCGGCAATGTCACTACTATCATAAATCCGATCTCTCTATCAGTTTGCTCTTGGCGCCCACTGCGTACCATGCATTGTTTCCTCGAAGCTGTCTCGCATGGAAGTCGGAATCAACCCAATTTTTTCGTCTAAAAACCCTTCTTACACGCTTCGGGGAACAATGTGTAGCCAGCCCTGGAATAAAATTCCTTCGCACCATCGTGGAGAGGGAAGGGGGCCTGTGCTATCTTCTTGGGCTCGAGGGGATAACTCAACGGACTCTTCTCCGGCGCCAGATGCTTGTACTGTCCCTCAATCAAGTGCCTCGTCTCAACCAGGCACCACGCAAGAAGGTAAGCCACCTCTCTGGGCATGTCGTCTCTGGCCAATATTACGAAGTCTGAGAAGTCCAGCGCCGGCAGCTCCTGGGTAAGGTTCTTCCAGAACCCGGCTGGGAGGGAGTTCGTCCGCATGCCCAAAGTCCGGTATAGGGCCTCCAAGGCCTCGCGCTCGGCGGGGAGCGGGACAAGTTTGTCACTCTCGATCAGCCCGCTCCACCACGGCGTCATGATAGCTTCTTGGAGGAGAGCGTCTGCTTTACCCTCCTCGATCAGCGCCACGCATTGCTCGGGCCTCTGGGCGGTCAGGATGGTTCCTCCCCACTCGTTCACCAGGGTGGCCTTGGAGATGCCGTGAGCGTTCAGAAATTCCTCAGCCACGAAGCCGATGAAATTGGTCCCGTCGTTGACCGAGGTCGCCAGCCGCAGGGCGGGCTTTCGCTCTCGAAGCTCCGCGTACGTCCGGACGCCGTGCTTCGGGTCCAGGGCGAGGACCATGCGGTCGTTCTGGGGAAGTACGCCTAAGGCGCGCAAGTGTGGCATTGGCGTCGGAAAGGGACTTTCTCCCGTAAGAGCCCTCTTCAATAGCGCGGCGGGAGTAGCGATCGCCAAGTCGGCGGCCCCTTCGTGCAGCTGCTTCAGCGCATCGAGCCCTCCGTCGCGCAGACTCCAAATCAACGTCCGGCTCCCGGGCCCAGCGCGGTCGCAGAACTCCTGCGTCAACCACGAGCAGATCCGGTGGAAGTTGGCGCCGCCCCAGTCGCCGACAAAGCGGAGCGTGTAGGATCGGAGGAGTTTGGGTTCGTTCTTGTCATTGACCGTGAGGCCTTCCATTTCGGGGACCGAGGGCGTAGACATGGCTTTGTGTCTTTAGATCTATTGCTCATCCGGAGAGTAAGAAGGGCACCAAGGAGATGAAGCAGACTTTCTGACCGTGAAGGATCAAGATTTGAAGTAGCCAGTACATGGGAAAGCGACAAGGGGCTTACTTTGAAGTAAAATAATACGGGGTGTTCCGGTTCCGGGAGAGTGTGTCAAGTGACAGCCGATTCCTGGTGGGTATCCGGCTTGGTTGACAACCAGTGTTCGCCTATTGCGCCGATAGTTATGATCTGTCCACATTGAAGCGATGCTATATCATATAGTATGGTATATAGTATTTGGCCTGATCTACTTGAAGTTGTAATTGCTAATTCGCGGATATGAATATCCATATCGCACGTTCGCCGTTCTTTTCTCTCAGCAAGGCACACGAATTATATACCAGGAATCTTATGTATGTTACAGGAGAGGGAGCTTTCGGTTGTGCCAGCTTTGTGACCAACTACAGGCCCCACAACGTACTGAATTGCCTCAAATTGCGCTTCATAGGTGTTCCATCTCCTATCTATGATGTTGCGAAGCACTATTAACCAGGCAAGGCCAGCGACCTCTTGATTTGGAACGTGCATCCTGGACAGACTCCTGCATTCTCACGCAGCTGGACCATACTATGATGTGGTCTGAATGTGTGGTTAAGGTCGTCCCATGGTAGCATTCAGCTCGAAAATATCGCTTCCCGGGTAATTTCCACCAGGGAAACGCTGGAGAAGGCCCCACAGGTTGAATATGTGCACCAGAATGATGTTGAGTAGAATAGGGGGGTGGTTAAGCCTCACCTCGTCGTATATGGTTTATTGCATCCGAGAAGTGGAGGAAATGGCACTACGTGCCAAGGAAAAAGGCCATATGGGACAGAGTGCGTTCTTGCGTAGCATAATTCTTCCTAGGTCCCGCAACTCACCTTGGAACTGATAATGGTCGTATCTGTTGGACCCGGTCGGCGACGGATGCAGCTGGAGATCTGTGATTGTCCCATAGGGACTCTTGCGTGTCAGTCGGCTTCAGAGGTGCCGTTTCCGGGTCCGGTGGGGGTATACATTGTCCAGTCGGAGACACATCCTGCTGTCCCATCTGCAAAGGAGGATATGCCCCAGATCGTATACACCGGATCAGTGACAGACTAATGAATGGTCCCACAGAGTATTGTTTGAAAGCAAACAGTCAAGTCAACAGAGTCCCAATTCGCAGATCCAAGGGGTTCCGTAAGCCGTAGCGGATGGGTGGCAAGGAATTACCCTACAGTATGGTAGTCTGTGCCGCTTCTTCGAGAAAATGCTCGGTGGCTTCTTAGTTCCTTCTCACATCGGTATGTCTCGAGCTACTGCTATGCCTGAAGGAGTGTTCTTACCAGTCATGGTGTGACCATGGATCAAAGAACGAATGTTAGCGGATGAATGAGAGCTTCGGCGTCGGTCTTTGGCCGGGCGCGGAACACCAGGCCCTTTACCCTGCTGTGACAAGATAGCGACCAACCTGCCTTTTTTGGCCACAAGTCATCCCTATTCCGAACCTGTTGATGGTTTCAACAGCCGGTCTGAATGATACAGGAGGATGAGATGCTCCACGTGAGCTGAATTGCCGAACGAAATAGGAATAGCGTTGCCCTTCGGCAAAGCTGCCTTTGGTGGTTCCCCCTTGCAATGCGTCCACAGACGACGACATGCAACTGCAGCGGTGTCAGCGACAATATGTAGCTCAGTCGTTGGGGTTTTCGATCACACTTCACATCTGAACCTCCCAAAGAAGAGCCAACGCCCCAGTCAGAGCCACATATACAATGACATCGTTCACTCTAGGCGGGCCCAGCCTGGGCCGGATGCCGGGCATGACTCGGCGATCCGTGGCATGCAATCACTGCAGGGCCCGAAAGATCCGGTGTATGGCACAACGTCTAATGGCCGAAGAACCAGGTTGCTAAACATTCGATAGGCAATGGTGGCATTCCATGTGACAACTGCTTGGATAGAGTAGAAGAATGTGTCATTCCACGCAGGCGACGTCCGCGTATCCAAAGCATCCCCAGACCAGATGACTGTATCGCTGTGCAAGGAAACAGCAGTATGTCAGAATATTCTACCAATATTTGGCTATACCTTCAAGTGGCATAATACATTGACTAACAAAGCCATCCAGTCGGCTGCTCTGGAGTGGATGTAAGTATCGAGCCCATAAACGCAGTAGGCAGGATTCGACAAGCCTCTGTCCAACCGCAGCCATCGTAGCAAATTATGAAAACACATACCAAGGATCCAACTGATATTCCTCAGAATGATGTATTGGCACCTCCCCAAAGCCAGGATATCCTTATGGTTCCAGGATTGCAACAACTCATCTCAACGTCACAAGAACCCGAAGGCTCGAGAACAACAATGCAGTATGAGTATGAGCAAGCCATCGACGTGTTTAGCGATCAGAATCCTGGAGATAACAGTCTCTACGCTGCAGACACGGTAAGTCACTAACCAGTAGACTCTCTCCAATAGCACTGATTGTTCGCATAGATCAATTTTGAGTGTTATGGTCCGTCAATTTGTTTCGATCTAGAGCAAAATATTGATATATAATAGGCCCGCGCTGTATGATGTCTTTCTACACCCAGTCTGCAGTGGACTGGATGGATTCGAAAGTAAAGTCGCCAGAGTATTCCAGCACTGTGAAACGTCTCATGCTGGAATCGGCTCGAATGCTCAAAATGAGCCGCGGTGTGTTATCATCGCCCCGAGAGCCAGAGCCTGCTGCAGAAATTGCATGGCAATATACAAATGGCAAGTCTTGTTGAACTCTGTCTACGGCCACTTCATGCTGATACGTCGCCCAGCTTATTTTGAAGAGGGAATAGACCTCGCTTGGGGCTTGGTCGACCGCACGCTGTTCGAAACTCGACTCCATGCGCACTTTAGTGGCGTTAATATCCCGGTCGCAGACGACACAGGCTGGTACGCACTACGGAACATCATCTGGGCGCATGGGTGTCAGATTGTTCTTTCCAAAACTAGGACCTTCCATGAGACGTTAGAGACCTCATGGGCTCTTTTCCGAAATGCACTTTCTGTGCATACCGAAATCGTACTTCTACATCCTTCCTTGATCGGTGTGCAGGCTCTCATCTCAATGGTAATTGCCATATTTACTCAACCCTTCAACTATGAGTCTAACTAGCGTGAATAGGCGTACTTCAGTGAAGGCATAGGTGAATTAGCGTTGCAGTATACATTATGTACGGACGCTCTACGACTTGCGTGCTCGAAAGGCTTCCACAGACAGCCCTCTCCCTCTTGGAAGATTCCACCACACGAAGTCGAACATAGGAACTGGACATTCTGGTCCATTTATTGTCTGGAGAAACAGCTTTGCTCCCGATCGGGTCGCCCATCGGTACGTTTCTCATGGTTTTCGAACTACCTTACTGAATTCCTCTGACTGTGGTAGATGATGGACGATGATGAAATAGATTGCCATGTACCTCAAAATGCTCTTAGCGGACGACCAAACGATACTCTATATTGCAACACATTGGTCAAAATGATGCAATTGTCATCTACCGTCAGAAAGCAGCTTGCGAGTGCGCGCGCCCTCAAACAGTCGACCCAGCAGCTGGTTCAAGCCATTCGCGGTCTAAAGAACGATCTCAAAGAACTCAAGTCATCGGTCAAGCAGGATATTTGTCTTGACAGCGCAATTGACGTTGCTCGACTACCAGGTGGTCTGACTTTACGCCAGGCACAATCGCTTCAATCTCATTACTTCTGCCTGGTGCTTGATATTAACACCCCTTTGACCTATCCTTGGCTAGGGATCTACGCCTACCTAGCGGATACCGAGGAGGCCGCCTCTGAAATGGATGCTTCGCATGGCGAGGTGGCCCAGATTTCGCGTTCTGCTATCATGGCCACCAGACAGATCAACATCCACGGCAGTTGCTCAGCTCTGTAAGAGCCCTCTCCTATGCCTATCTGCTTTGCTTAGTCGGCAGGATTGTTGTCTGGTACATGCTAACCATCATTCAGAGTCACACGATATGCACCGATGTACAGTTTTGTCAATCTCTTCCTTCACATTTTACGGGATTCTACTTTGTCTGCCGCTCCATCAGATTTATTGCTCTTAGGTATGTGTTCGGACCAAGTTTGTTCTGGCTCGGCTCAGAATGATTGCATCTCTTTATCGACGACAGATAAAGGGAACTGACAAGCTTCTTGAATAGAGGTTGCACTAGGCTACTTCTCCAACCTCGAATATGTTACTAGTTTCCGGCTGCCACGTCTTTTTGTGAGAGAGATGTGCCATTATGCCCATCTTGCCATAGAGCATAAGGATGGCATCCAAGTGAATAGTCTCGAGCAAACACCCAACCGGGAAAGCGAGGCAAATGAAGCTCCTCAAGCTGCGGATCTAATCATCGCTCCAGAGGACCTAAACTACCCGAGTTCTCATCATGCATTCGTAAGTTTCCATAAGGAATGGCCTGCTCCTCTACTATCGCCCTTCCCAATCATGCATAATGCTGATATAACATCTGCAGGAGCATGATTTCTCTGGATTCCCTCTGGATGAAGACCTTGAGACGTGGAATACTCTTATTCCGTTCGAGGAAGCCCCGGGCTCGATTTTCTAAGCCTCGACCCAGGCATCAATCTCTATCTGTCGGAGCACCTTCCATGAGCACCAGTGTTCCCCGAGAGTGGTGGAAGACGGAGCTCAAAATGAAGGAGTTTCAATAGTTCCAACTCCTCATCTTCAGAGAAATGAGATGGGAGGGAGTAAGGTAAGGAGAATTTATAAGCCTGAAGCCTTAAGCGCAACGAGTTAGGATCGCGGACTTAGCAGGGTCGTGCCAGTTTCGATTACACTGTGTTATTTCATTCAGGCTGTTCTCGGCCTATTGACCTACTGATTCGCCCACTGCCTTCGTGGATACTACTCGAGATCTTCTTATACGGCGTTCCGAGTTCACAGCTGGGCTCGAGAGGCGGTATCTTGCAGAGAGGGAAAGAGACCCACACGCCCTGTCGGGATTTCCCCAAATGTTCGGCACAATACTGCCTTCGTCCTGGACAACAGCTAAAGGATTCTAACAGCAGACTGCATGTCCGGCCTCTGGGTGAGATGGTTACAAGCCGGACCTTCCATCTTTGACCTCAAACTATAAAGTCTTCTGTCAGGCCAACTTGCTGAGACTATCTTGATCTAAGAAGGACTTCTGCACAGTTAAATTTCTTGGTGAGAGAGACTTCTACCTCAAGATTCAGAAGGTCCCTCTTTACATGGCTCCGCCTACCGCCATAATCACCGGTGGCTCATCCGGTATAGGGGATGCCCTGGTACGGTACCTTTGCTCCTTGAAATGGAGGGTCGTCATCGCAGACATCAACCCTCCAAAAGAGTCTTTACTGGATACTCTATTCATTCGAACCGACATTGCCTCATGGGATGATCAAGCCGAAGCATTCCGGCAAGCGTACGCCTGGAGCGGACGTCTCGATTTCGTCGCATTGAATGCTGGAGTCGACGGTGGAGAGGAGATATTTAGTACGCTGTCCTACGAAGCGGACAAGCTTCCATCGCAGCCGAACGCTAGACCGTTTGATGTGAACATCACGGGAACGCAAGTTTCATGAATTATGCTGTCTTTGTGGTCGCGCTGACTCTTCATGCTTCAGATACTATGGCATCAAACTTGCGACTCATTACATGACCATCTCAAGCATAGGCGCCGGCAAGCCCAGCCCTGGTGGTAAGATAGTTATCACGGCATCTGGAGGGGGAATATTCCCCATACCCATCCTCCCCCAATACACGGCCAGCAAGCATGCCCTGGTCGGGATGGTCCGGGCTCTAGGAAGAAATGAGGCTTCGTCCAAGGTCAACGTACGCATCAACGCCGTCTGTCCTGCCATCGTTGATACCCCTGGCGTTCCACGGAGCCTGCTGAGCAAACTGCCATCCGATCAAATCACACCAATGAGCACCATAATCCGATGTTTCGATACCTTGGTGGATTTTGCACATGCTAGCGACGAGGACTGGGTCCAGCGAGGAAAGAATGGCGAAACTCTGGAAGGCAATGGGGAGGAATTGATCTGGCACCATCCACCAGAGCCGAAGGGTGGTAAATTTTCGCGGGAGACCGGCGTTCTAGCAGCCGCCCAGGCGTACAAGGAGAGAGCTGCAAAGGTCGAGATGTGAGCCCACGAGCACGTCCCTTGTCCAAAAGGGATACGACTATCTTGATAAGGCGAAGATCTCAATTACTATCGTCCTTTCGACTGGAATTGCACAAATGGGAATGCAATTTCGCATTATGATTGTGATTGCTTCCATGATACAGAAAGTGCATTTGTTGCCTCAACTTGTAAATACCTTGACCAAAGAAGGGAAAACGCCTACTTCGTCGCCACGGTGTGGGATACATAAGCCTTGACTCTTCGGAGTTGCCTTTCTGGGTCGGTATTTTTTGTGGCGCCCTCCCCGCTTCACAATATCGTGAGTCGAGCCAATGAGGGCACAGGAGAGTTCTCGATAGAAGTCGAACAGTCAGTCCCTCCGAACCAGTTGGGGCGAAGAAAATGGGGGTCCAGGGAGTGTTGGAGAGCAAAGGGACTTCATTATTAGCCAACCGCGACTTGATAAGTCGCGGGTTTACATCCATGTCCAACTCTCAGCATATCCAGTCCAAGTGACCAAGACTCAAGCCCTGACTTCTATATTCTTGCCAGAGGTAAGTATTCTCTAGCTTGAGCCCAAATGCTCGAAAGCCTCTGGTCATCCCACCCTTAATTGGCTCTTCTGCGGGAACATAGAGTCCTACAGGTCCCACATTGTGCGAATGCCTGTAAGCATATAGCCCATGTGTATCAGTCTTGCATGGTGCCCCCCAAGTTTTCTTCATAGATGCATCATACACAAAGCAAAGGACCAAGCTCAGGAATCTCTGCAAAATCTTGATATCTGGGGATTGCGAAAACTCCAACACAGATAGCACCCGTGCGACGTTGTAACCACCAAACGCGGTAGCCGTAGCACGTGCCTGGCCCGGCCTCCAACCAACTTCTTTCCGAAGTGCCAGCGGCGACATCTCAAGATCTCAACCAACTGAAGAGGCAATTCTGAACAGGCCATTGCTATTCGACAGTCTGTATGCATTGAGATGCAACCTTCGTGACAACTACATACTTCCCATTCGTGGAGCTATGCAAGCCGCAAGAATCAAGAGGCAGAAGGTGAGTGTGGCATGCCAACCGTGCCGTCTCCGGAAGACCAAGTGCGACGGCCGCGGACCCGTGTGTCAACCCTGCCAGAAAAAGGCCGGAATTGGCCTCATATGTACCTGGAACCTCAGTACGGCGGCTGCGCTTCCACCGCCATCTACAACTACAGGGCCTACCCAAAGAGCCGGAACACAGGCTCCGCTCCCAGCTCCGGCCACTTCCCTCGAGGGGTCTTGGCCACAGGGCGCACTTGCTCACGGAGAGCCACCTCCCGGTCGGACACAGCCCATTATCTATCAATCCACTCGTCACCCACCGCCTCATTCGCCGCCTGCGCCTGATTTCCAGCCACGCGATGCCGGTCAGCGTAGCTTTGCGAAGCTCCCTGGAGGTCAGGATGCCGCCCCGGGACCGCAACATGTATCTCCTTCCGAGCAGTCAGTCCATGCCATCATCGGCGCCGCTTTGGAAGAAGAGAGTGGGGCAGGCTTCTTTGGTAGCTCGAGCGCCGGAACTTTTATGCAAAGCGTGAAAAGAATGATCCAGCAGAAGGTCACTGGTGCCACGCAACCGGAACCCCAATCTCTGAACGAAAGCCCGCAACTTCGACACTTGCCAGCCTCAGGCAACCGGCAGATTATACAGAAACAGATTGACTACATCCTTCCATCTCGGCGTAGGGCAGACAATTTGATGTCTGTGTACTGGGAGTTCGTCCACGTTCTATACCCGTACTTGGACAAACTCCAAGTTCAAGAGGATTATGAGAAATTATGGAAAGGCGACACAGAACCTATTCATGATGAACGGTCTTTCCTCGGTCTCCTCAATGCTATGTTTGCACTGTCTAGCCAGCTGAATGAATCAACCCCGATCGAAGAACGAGAGCAGCTTGCTCAAACTTATTACCTAAGAGCGCGAGGCCTGCTGGATATTGTCGAGGGCGGATCAGTACGCTCTGTACAGTCATTCTTGATCCTTGCTCAATACTTTCAGAGCACTAATCAGCCGCATCCATGTTGGATGTTTGTTGGACTTGGTATACGCACTGCACAAAGCCTGGGGCTCCATCTACCAGAGACTAGTGGAGGTGCCACTGACATCCGAACACGAGAGCTCCTCCGCAGGCTTTGGCATGGATGTATCCTGATGGACAGGGTTATCTGCATGACGTACGGCCGCCCGTGCATGATCGGTCCGAAAGCAGCTGTCACAGTACCACTTCCCCTCGCGATCGAGGATGAGGATCTCATGCGCAGCCCTTCAAGAGGACAAATCGCCGACGTACAGCGATCATCAGAGGTCGAGGTCTACGTCTACTCACTTCAACTATACACAATTTTGCACGATGTGTTGTTCAATTTCTATTCTGTCAACTTCCAACAAATTCGTCCTCTGGATGCCGATAGATACTTCGGCTCTTTGAGCGAAGGGCAGTCCTCGGTATTTGAAATTGAACACCGACTGTTCAAGTGGGAGAACAGCATCCCCGACCACTTGAAGATGGCTTCGAGACCTCAGGGCGATAGCATACGATCTCAGCGATATCGACAGGCCGTTATCTTGCATCAAAGGTTCGCTCGCCACAAATAGTAAAGCTTGATTTGTGTGCCCGCTACTGACATTGTCATAGTCAACTGCATGTCCGCCTATTACTCTTAAGACCTGTTCTGTCCAGTTTTATCACCACCGAGTTCTACGACGGAGATCGCTCTGTTCCCTTAGCCAGCGCCTTGTCCCACAGAGCCTTCCTACAATGTGCAATTGTTTGTGTCCGCGTCGCGCTGGAAGTCATCCACATAATCTACCAAGAAAGGGGCCACAACGCTGGTGATGTTGGAAGTCTGGCAGCATGGTGGTATAACGTCCTTTATCTATACACGTCAGCAACGGTGCTTATTGCCGCTCGACTCAGCCCTGCCATCCTGGTTGATGTCTCTGAAGAATCGATCCTTGATGGCTGGCGCAAGGCCATGGAGATCCTCGATTGGTACAGCCCCTTCGGCACATCCATCCAGCGTCTCACGACGACTCTGCGTCTCCTTTCCGACGCCGTCCCGCAACAATACTCTCGATTCAGAGGAAGCTCCCAACAACTTCAACCGACAGTGCCGTCAGCAACTCAGAATCTCGGCCAGAGCTCGCCCTCCATGTACGCTTGGCGCCCGCCTGAGCCAGTAGACCACATGCCGGCGACCCTTGACGGTACAACAGGCGTCATTACTCAAGATGATATTTACCCCCTCATCAACGACTCTTTCCTTGATTTTGACTCGGTATTTGATCCCAACGATCTTTCTTGGCTTATGACGATTCCTCTGGATAGTTGACACCTACCGTCAGTGTAAGTGTGTGGTCAGAAATCCGGATGCGGCTCTGCGGATAATGCATCTACAAAACCTCAGCGGATCTCCGTGCTGTACACATCATATTCAATGCCAACCGCACTAATCAATCGGTGCAACCTTGTCAGACCATCGACGGAACTTTGAGGCCCTTGCTGAAATATTGGAACCGCCGAGACGATCAGGTGACCGGTGGAATGTGGTCCATGAGTCTGTAAGAGTAAAGGAGAAACCTGCAGGCATCTATTTTCATCACAGGGATTTGCAGAACGGCATGCTGGTGACGTTCTCCGCGATACCACACCGCCGGAACAGCCTTGTCTCTTCCGGAACCTGTTTTTATTGGAGGCGCCGGTCAAGCTCGGAGCCAATTCAGACCGAGTCCGGCCCTACCGGGAGGCCCCGGCGTCCTGCATATATAACATGTGGTAACTGTGGATTCGTCGTATAAGCAAATTTTCCGATTCTTGATCTTGAGGAGACAGTCACTGCATCCTGTTCTATCACCGGTCGTCGAGTCATGGAGCCTTCCAACTATATACGCGCAGCGAAAGTCATCGGTGTCACTGGAGCAGCATGGCTAGGTGGTGAGTACATACTCAATTGAGGAGTCCCAGCAATATATCAACACTCAAGTGCCTCACGAGTTCTTCGAGGTGTAACAGAGCATAAGTCTTACTAACTTCGAAACAAAGGCAACATTGCTGCTTTGTCTCTGATAGCTGTGCCAGCTCTGCGCCGCTCAGGCGTTGAGGCTGGTGTGCCATCAAGCATCCTCGCGAAACAGTGGCGGTTTCTCTACGACACCGGAAAAGCCCAGAACCCGCCCATCGCGACCGTCACCGCCGCAGCGTATCTCTATCTTGCGTGGTCCGCCCGTCGGATCGCGCCACTGGGTCAACTACCGCTTTACTACGGCTCGGCAGCGGTATTGACTCTGGGGATTGTGCCATTCACCCTCATCGCGATGCACTCGACGAACAACAGGTTAATGCAACATTCGGAACAAGCGGCGTCAAAAAGCGTCAGTACGCCGCTGCAACCGGCCAGTGACGACGAGGTAGACGGCCTCATTGCGAAGTGGATCATTCTGAACGGAGTAAGAAGTCTTTTTCCGTTGGCAGGAGGGATTCTGGGCATCATTGCCATACTGGGTTGATGGAAAGCAAGTTTTTTGCAGTAACCAAGGCAAAACTTCATGTGTTCCATAGATTTTAACTCTGCTCCGACTCCTTACGATTAATATGAGACGAAAATACAATGACACGATTCTGTTCCTGTTGGTCGTCCCTGTGTTGAATCGAACTTTGTTGCTCTATCGGACAAGGATGCAGGTCACAGACCAGGATACATTTGTCTGTCATGTTCAAGTAGTTGACCCGTTATAAAACTAATTGCTAGAATCCTGACCTTTTGTATTGGATACACAATGGTCCGGTGCTGATGTGGTACATATTATGGACCCAAACAAGAACTTGGTATTTACTCCCCTTAGTAAATCCGCAATATCCTGTTGAATTTGGCATGATATCTCACAGAAATCCTTCTTCCTCTTCTCCTTCTTCTGTTTCTCTGAAGTCCTCCTCGTCATCATCGTCGTGGTCGGCCATCTCGCACGCGTCCACCCAAAACTTCCGCCCAGGCTCGTCACAGTACGTCTCGAACCACAGGAACAACCTCATGGTCTCCTCGACGATGGGCCACGACTCGGGCGTGCGCTGGACCGCGGCAAACTCCAGCAGCGTGGCGAAGCTGCCCAACAGCTTGTCCCGCTTGCGGTACCCGTCCGCCTGCTCCGTGCACATCCAGCCCCACGCCACCGCGCACAGGAACAGGTCGGGCTGTTCTTTGGGAATGCCCGCCTTGACTGCCTTCACCAGGATGCGCCCCAGCCGCTCGGCGATCTTGGACTGCAGCTTCGTCCGTGGCGGCATGGGCACCACGACGAACACGGCGTACGCGAACAGGATGTGCCGACAGATCTCGTACACGATCCGCTCGGTCTGGGTTTCGTCACTGTCGCTGCTTCCATCCTCATCGTCGGTGCTGTTCTCGGGCAGTGTGAGCATGTCATGCAGCACGCACCAACGCATGTACCGGACCAGGGCCATGTTGGGGGTGTGCACCGGCTGTTGGTCTTCCGGGAGAAGGTACGTCCGCAGCAGTTGATCGAAGTCCGCCGAGAAGATGCTCACGCGGTCGGCGATCTCCACAAGCGGCTCGAGACTGGTGTAGCCGTCGCTGATCAATTTGTGGAAGCCGGTAGTCAGGGTTTCCAGCATGGCCTGTGCTATAGCGTCCGATTGATGGGTGCGGTTGCCGATGTGGAACGTTGTCGGAAACACGAGGTCGAAGTGGGGATGCTTCAAGTCCCTCCAGGAGGTGAGAATATCGCATCTTTTTTGGTAGCCATTATTAGTCGACGACTGAGAAAGGAGGGCTTAGAGTCACACTTACACTTGAATCACAATGGCCAGACTCCTCCGCTTCAACGTGCGAAGCCCGCCCCACCGGTCCACGATGGCATACACGGCGTTCAAATGTTCCATGCCCGTATCCATGTTCGCGTAGTAGTCGACGTCGTGGAGATGGGACAGAAAGGGCAGCTTCTGGCGCTTGTACGCATCGTGGCCCCTCAAGTTCTCACCGGTGCCGTGCGAGGCCAAAGTGGTGATGCCCAAGAGGGCCTCCTCGGAGACGTTGTCCCCGTTCTGCTGGATGTAATCGAGCAACGACCGGATGGCCTTGGTCTTGTACGCCAGCCGGAGCTGTTCGTTCTGCTTGGTCGTGCCGCGGCCACCGTACTGGTAGGCGTTGTGCGTCGCGCCGGCGAACACAATCGTGTACCAGGTGATGGGGCAGTGGATGACCGACTGCATGATCTCGGCCCTGGCGGCGTTCTGCCCGCCGCCACCGTCCGACAGGCACAGCTCGGTCCAGTGGCACGAGATGGCGTGGTCCAGCATCTCGTGCACGTACAGAGGCACCACCCCGCCATTCCCACCGCCCTCGCCGATCGTGTGGAAGGGGTCTGACCGACTGGCTCCCAGCAGGATCTTGACGGGCGACTCGCGTTTGGCTTTGGCTTTCAGCTCCTGGAGGGCTGACTCATCGGTCCATTCTGTTGTGGCATTGGACTTCCTGGGCGGCTTGCGACTGCGGTCATGCGCATCTGTGACTTGTCCCTTGGCTTTGGCGGCGGCCCTGCGCAGTTTGGCCTTCTTGTGGTATTCGCGAGCGGCGTGCTGCGTCCGGGTCACGCCTTCGTCAGAGACGGGCTTCCGGGGCCGGCCTTCACTATCGCATTCGATGAACAGCACTTTCATCGTGACGATGACGGACGCTCCGACGAGATGTGGCTTCGTTGCGTGCCATGCGCACAGGCAGTAGTCACAGACGCAGGTTTGTCGATGGTGGTGATGGTTTGAGTAGGCTAGTCTATCTTTACGACAAGACGCCCTGATAACCGCCCACGCTGGACGCACCACGTGTTCAGCTCACTAACCCCAAGACGTGCCGACCATCCGCCTGCATGAATCGAGAATGGGTGCTGGACAGTCATTGGCGAGCTCGTGTTCTACAGCGGTCTGGAGCTGAATACCCCTGTTTGTGACTGGTCTGTTCATAGGTCCGTGCTTCAATTGTGGGTTCTCGTTTTGTGCGCAGGAAAGGATGTTTCAGCCGGTAAATCTCAAGCCACATCGGTAAGTCGACGGGAAGAGCAACATTGCTCTTGAAATTTTCCACGGGGTCAAATGAATGAGTGCTGCGAAGATCAGAGCCCGGATACGAGATGAGCCACCAGCTGTCTCTGACCAGATATCTTCTAGTGACATGTCAAGCGAGGTCCAATAGTGCCTCTTCTCGCCCCAGAAGGATGGTACGTGAGGAGGAGAGGACGAAGAAAAGCCCTGTGCAGGTAAGCGATGCTGAAAGTTTCATGCTAAACCTCCTCACTAGCTGCTTCGAGCCCAGGGCCTCGTCGACGATTTTTACGAGGGCTGCAATTAGAGGCCCAGAACTCGCTTACAATATCTCCTTTCTCTCCAAGTAGGTGAACTCAAATTCTTCTTTGGTGAGTCTTTGTAGCGTTTTGATCAACGAGAACCACTTGAAACAACAAAACGTTCGCTTGCTACAGATCTAGCGAGAGAAACAGGGCTTAGTGTGCGCAGTCAAAGTAAGCATTAGCCTGTACCGAGTATCTTACGCATGATCTCCCTGAAACTGCATCGCCCAGATCATTGTCAATACTGGCGCGAATGCGTTTAGTGGGGACCCCCTCAACGGGATTGTCAACGTCGATTCCCAGTTTTCGAGTCTAATCGTCGTCTCGAAGATAATGGAAGGCCAAATGTCAAATTAGCCCACTTGATCTCGCAGCATTCGACCGGATGTTTCTGCAGGCACAATTGCTGCTTTCGCTCTGAAACCCTTCGGAGCCTATGAAGGCTACCAGGCTGTCACCATACCAAAGTTTCAGAAGCTTGCAGGTATGTACAAAGTGGACCGTTGACCGCAGACAGGCAGAAAGACCCCACTGGAGCCACCCTTACGGCAAGTCAGAACCAGGAGATTTCATTTCAAAGCGTTATTGCTATTCGCAGACGCTGCGACCAAGGCTTTGGATGATGATAAAGGCGGTGTCAGAGGTGAAACGAAGCACTTGAACCAAATACGGACGCAAGACAAGTGTCAAGGGAGTGTGCTTCTCATAGAGGCGCTCTGAGACACTCCGAGGACGAACAAAACACAATACTATCGCCAGATTATCGTTGCACCTAATACCTACGAAATGCCTGCCCACCCACTGGGCACAATATCTGTGTTGGCCAATTTACACCCGAGATAGACTCTTTCATGATAGCTAGTATCAAATGAACAAACAATGCTCGTGACAACTTAACCTCAAGCCAAGCTCAAGCCCACCCCAGCCAAGCATCGCTGCGGCTCTAACCTGATCATTAGTGTACCGTAGCACAGAGGCTTTCCACGTTTCACGCCCTACGCAGAGCACTCGGTCGCCCCATTGCGTCCTTACAACGCCGGCAGCATTAAAGTTGAGGAATTAGAGATGATGATATGTTTTCATAGCTTCACATTGGCCAAGGGCACCTCGAGTAGCCAGTCGAGTGCTTTCAGCCTCGGACGGCGCTTGGGAGACCAAGTCCAAAGCGTTGCTAAGTGGCGAGACAGGGATGATAGCCCTATGGCGCAACAATGCGTTTAGACAGAGAGGTCGAGGAACAGGGCAGGAGGTATGAAGCTGGATATCGGACCGCTGGACAAGTCACCTCGCTGGGCTTTATTGGGCGACTTTGGATGGACGAGAGTAAGCCATCTGATCAGCCACATTGCCCTCTATATTTTCCTTGGGATATCTTCGCGGTCCACAAGTAACATAATGGCACCAAAGCTTCTGATGTATTCTTCGTGTGTCCTCAACTGTCGGCCACGCAATGCATCGAAGTAGCTGGCTTGTGAAGTACATTTCTAACCACTGGGATTTGACAACATGGGGGAAATATAGAAGCTGGGAGAGATAAATACTGGTATGCTGTGTGGCGCGATCCAAGGCTCCCGCAATTCAGGGGTTAGAATATGTAAAGGGGAGAGACAGATGGACACTTGTCACCATGTATCCTCCACCGAGACCCGGTTCCAAAGTAACCCGATGCCCACGAATTGCCGCGGGGGCCCTCATCCTCCTCCTACCGCTAAGTTCTCTTCTATCTATTTCCCAATCACGCATGTTCTGACGCCGACCCCGAAATACTCCATACAGAGAGAGAAAGTGACCTGTTCCTCATATTAATGTGGTACCCTCGGTCATGCTTCCGATTGGACAAGACCCTGTTCCGGTCCCGATACATACGGTATTGTCACTGGCAGGTAAAATATCCCTCGACGAGAATCCCCACCCCCGCTTTTGGAACGAGGACAACGGTGCTAGTATGCGAAAGACGAAAGGACTGGACATCAGGCCGGCCTTCGGGAGGAAAGATGCTCGCTCCATGCTGCCGATCACAGGTTTGCTGCATATAAAGATCGCTATCTCATGGCCCCAGTCCACATTAGATATCCAGCCCAGATTACGAAGTAGGAGGGACAGCAAACCATGTCGAACACAATGACCAACACCGCCGCTACCGTCTCCGACAGTGAGGCTGTGCGCCTCCCACCGCCCACGAACAAGACCGAACTCGGACCAGCGCCCATCTATGATGTCTATCAACTGTCCGATGACCGCACGCAGACGCTCCGGAAATTGCTGGAGAAAGGCCACAAGACCGTGGCGCCGCTGCGCAATCCGCAACTCATCCTGCACAGCCATTTGCCACATGTACAAACTCCGCCCGAAAAGAGGAAATATAATAAGCTAAAAGACCATTGATCTATGTAGCTAACGCTGGGGTACAGCTTCTCGGCTCTGCCTACGCGCTGGGCGCAGACGGCGAGCAGTTGACCAAGACGTACGAGCACGATATCCAGTCCCTGGTCAGGATCGATGAGACTTTCGTCCGGGGCGACAAGATCACCAGGGACAACTGGAGGCAGTTCCTCGGGAACAAGGAGTCTGTGCATTTCCGTTGCGTTCGATGCTGGCGGCGGCATATTTTGTCGGTCACTAACTAACCAACCAAACCTCTGTTTGCTTGTAGGTATACCGTGGCTTACGTTGACTTTTTCGACGACGAGATCCGGAAGAACGGCGGCGACTGGGAGAAGGTCGTGCAGGAGTACCTCTACTCCGGGGACGAACCTCTCATCAATGGCTTTTGTGGCGGTCGTAAGTTCTCCTGTCCTGTTTGACTACTGGCCCACACAGTGACAAGAACAACAAAGTTGGACACCCCTTCATCCATCTTGCGTATGGCTACGAATTTCGGATCCCTGAGGTCGTTACGCAAGCCTTGAGTCTCGGATGCACCGAGTACGTGGTGTGCCACGGGCTGATCGACAATCCGCCGCCGATCCCGTCGCCGTACAAGACGCGCAGCCTCGCCGAGGTCATCCGGCGGGTGGAGGCGGACCCGCGCTTCGACGGCATCATCGAGTTCCCCGGGACCGTGAACTTCGGCATCGTGCTACAGCACCGCTTCGAGGCCTTCATGGAGCACTGGAATGCCTGGGAAGTGACCGACCCGGTGCAGCAATTTGAACAGTGCTGCGACCTGTCGGTGGTGTTGGCAATCAGTCCCACGGCGTACGGCGAGGGCAAGTACGACTTCTTCTACGCCCACATTATGACCGTGGCGCATGCGCTGCGAATTCTGTTCCAGTACATCCCCGCGGACAGGCAGGTCTCGATCTTGCGACAGTACGCCTTCTTCACCATCTTGATCTATATCCTGCAGAACAGGCTTTCGTTTGGCATCGAGCGCATCGAATCCGTCGACACGAGTCCTCACGAGAACTGGGACGCGCTCGCACAAGCCGCGCTCAAGCACCGCTGGGCCCTGGACGACCACTTCTTCAAGGTGGTGCGAGCCATCAAGGCATTTGCCGAGACGTACGGCGAGAAGGACGGCTTCTATCTCAAAGCGGCCACGAAATATGTGACGGACTTCAACGGCTGGGAAGGCTTTGGGGAGGGCATCATGGGCTTCCTTCCCAGTCGCGATGGGTATATTCCAGCTTGAGGTGTGGCCAGACTCATCCATGAACTCTTCCGTATGTAATGTCAAAATATAATATTCGACCATGTCTTGGGTACGTCTTCGTGCCAATCGATCATTCTGACAGCTTCACCAGCCTGTCCAATTGATGAGGAATGGGGTTTTGATTTGATCTGCCAGGCGCTAAGCATCTTAGGCTGTGTTTCATCCCCAGTTCTGCCATAGTGGCTCGTCGAGGAAGTCAAGAACGTTGAACGTATCTGGCATCACGCACTCGCTCGGCAGTCCAAGCATTTCGGTGTCAAGATCAGACATCGAATTATCCAGTTGAGCTCTTCTTGACTGTTCTGCTTTTCGCGCTTCGTGCACGGCCTTAATGTCTTGTATCTTCGCTGTCACCGTCAACCAGACTAGCGGCACACTGCGGGGCAGTGAATTCGAGAACGGTGTGGGGTCGGCCAATTGATTGGTTTGTAGGATAAGCTCCCTTGCTTCATCGGCCTTTTTCGCCAATTGCTCCAGCACCTCGCTGAAATTTAAGTATGTAGCGACATAGTTCTGGTCCCAGCCGTCGTGTTGACAAAGAGACAGCTTCGACAGGGTCACGTAGAGATGGCTGACGATCGTGAACGTCGAGTATGGGACGTCGAAATGGATTGAAGCTGGCAGTGAGTGGAATATCTCAAAAAAGTGCTTTGCGGAGGTGAGACACGCGAACAGCATGTCGAGGCGCGTGACGGAGAAAGACCCATATCTGGCGGCAGGGATATTGTCGTCCAAAGCGATCTCGCACAAGAATGTCTCGATGGCATAGTAGTGCATGAGGAGTTGTACTGCCTCTTGTCAGCATCCCATGCCGCTATCTATGGCAATGGGTAACTCACCACTTTGAGGAAGCTCAAAATTCATGGACCCTTTGCATTTGCGGAGCTCGACCTCGAGAGACTTCACATAGGCCCCTATCGGCGCCGATATGCTTGACGAGGAGTCCCACTCTCTTTGGATAATTGTGCGGCTGATCTTGTCGCAGAGGTGGCTCAGCTTGATCAGTTGGACAAGGTAGATGTCTGTCGGGTACTCAACTGCCTCGGAGATCATGGTAAGACACTCTTCACTGTACTTGGTATATCGGATGGCCTCGAAATCTCGAGCCGTCATGGATATCCTGGTGTTCGAGCATAGCATTAGCATTGGGGGTTCTTCCAAAGAATCTCTCAACGGAAACACATACACCGAAGTCAAGTAGAAGCAGCCCAGATGAGCTCTTCGGTCTTCGAGTGTTCGTGTTGCTGCCTCATGTCGATCCATGCGGAAATAATCCCTTTGAGGCTTCGCGTATTTTCGAGGAGTGTAGTGCTTGTTCAGACCAAGATCGATCATCACCGACATGACGAGGTGAACAATGACTGTCAATTGACCGCCGAGATGGATATTGATATGATACCTGTGGCGTTAGGTCAACCTCGTCTCCTCAATGGGAAAGCCGACCATACCACGCCAAGAAGACGAGAAGTCCTTGCAGCAAGTCCAAGCTCTGCTCACCGTGAGTCATCATCTTCTGGCCAATGATTTCTTTGACCGCCTTTCCGATCGCTGTCTGTCGTGGTATGTCGTGTCGACAGGCGACCATCATGACAACCAGCAGGAGAAAGGGCTTCTTTGCCCGGAGCTCCTCGACACTCATGTGCTGGGGAATAACCACGAAGGGGAAATGAAGCATGTATTCATTCCGAAACACATCGAGCATTAGCCGTGCCTCATCGGTGCTTTTGGTGAACTGATCGATATATGTGCTCAAGGAAAGCAAAGGTTGGCCGGGAAGTGGCAGCGAGGCGCAGGCGACCTTGGGGGCGCCAAGCTCGGAGGCAGTAAGGATTGCAGTCACACCGTCGAGCTTTTGTTCTAAGCGAACAACATCTCTGAAGGGGGTAAGTCTTTCAATAGAAAATCACACAACACCAGGTTAAGACTTTTCACCTACGGTTTCTGTCGGGGCTTGCGTCTCTGAGCGCCCGGTGGTTGGGCGCGACATGCCCTATTCAGCCTCAGACAGCTTCGCCAACGGATCGTCAACTAAGCAATTTTCACACAAGTGTACTTGTGGACATACCGCTTGCAGAAGGTCTCTCCCTGTTCGGTCTCACATCGTACCTTGGCAGCGGCACACGGGACACAGGCTCTCGGAGCACGGACGCCGCTGGTGTCGTCAAGCTGCGTGGGTGCCTCGGGCATGTCGTGGCACTCGTGTCCGGCTATCTGTTATCGCAGAGACGAGGAGCTCGGGAGGAAGATTCGAAGAGAAAGCCTTGCCCGACGCTACATTCTGAAAGGATCTAGGTAGGCACAGAGTAGAGGAAAAGGAGGAACGGGGAGGAACCAGAACGCAGAAGCGGAAATTCCGGTGCCGACGATCGCATCAGCTAGTCAAAAAAAATGCATCCGTCTGACAAGCCCAGCCAGCCATTGAATATGCAGAGACCAATCGTCAGACGAAAGAGTTTTCTAAACGTCGCGGGACTTTCAGCCAATCAACGTATTCTCCCCGTGGGGCAAGGCTATGGAATCCATCGGACACGGAGCACTGTCCCGATAGACACAGAATTGGTTTAAATGCAGAAGGAAGGTTTATGCTGGTCTTCCTAGGCTCATTGAGCAGTAGTACGACATCCCAGCATGGCGTCTCTAACCACTTCAGAGGTCTCAGTCAAGGACATGGAACTAAAGAGCTGCAATGCTGCCAGCTCCGAGGGAGACATCACCAATACTACCAACCAGCACACAGAGAAGATGGACGACACGAACACGAAAGATTCACCAATTGCAAATGGAGAGCAAGACAGTCAGTCCAACCGCAAGAAAGTTCTGGGAGGTCGAGTCTATATCCTCTTCGCCGCAGTCTTTCTGTCGACCTTTCTCATGGCCCTCAACGGCTCTATCATCGCAACAGTAAGCCTTAGACAAAGCCTTGGCTCAAACTGGCTGTATACTGAGTCTCTCAATGCAGGCCATTCCGAAGATCACAACGCATTTCAACTCTCTCAAGGACATTGGTTGGTACGGGAGTGCGTATCTCGTCGCAACGTGAGTCGTCCAGCCAGCTCTCAATAAGGACAAAGCATTGATTCCCGTTCCAGGTGCGCTATGCAGCCTCTTGTTGGCAGGATCTATACCCACTTGCCGACAAAAGTGAGAGAAAGAGAAATACGACTCTCTGCAACGGTACTCCTCGTTGCTGACCAGTTCTTCAGTATACATATCTCACATTCGCCTCCGTCTTCTCGATCGGGTCGCTTGTCTGTGCCACCGCTCCGTCATCGAAGGCTCTGATTGTAGGGCGAGCAGTGCAGGGCTGTGGCGGTGCCGGCGTCGTCAATGGGGCTTTTGCAGTCATCGCTGCTGTGGCCTCCAAGGACGATCGCCCATGTAAGGCCGCGGTCAATGATCTACCCCAAGCAAGATAACTGAAACTAACGACGGTCTCAGTGCTCATAGGTATTGCTGTCAGTCTTACCTCGTAAGTCTCCATTACCGTGATTATCCATGACGCACTCAAGAAGCTAAAGTGAGTGCAACCATTGCGTCAAACAATAATATTGACTGGAGCCTGTTTGTAGGATTGGGACTGTCATCGGGCCCCTCGTCGGTGGCGCTCTGACGCAAGACGTGTCCTGGAGATGGTGTTCGTGCTTCTCTGATACTAATTTACCCCAGATCTGCTGACACTCGTAGGCTTCTATATCAACCTGCCGCCCAGCGGCCTCGTGATATGTACGCTCCTGTCGCTGCCCATTCCAGAACAAGTCAAGAAGGAACCCGTACGCCCCAACCTCAAAGCCATCGTCACGAAGGAACTCGACCTTGTGGGCTTCGCCATCTTCGCCCCGGCCTGCATCATGTTCCTGCTCGCCCTGATCTGGGGAGGTAACCAGTATCGGTGGGACTCGTCCGTCATCATCGGCCTGTTCTGTGGTGCTTTCGGCACCTTCGCCACGTTCGCCGGCTGGGAGGTGTTCAAAGGTGAAAAGGCCATGATCCCGCCGGCCATTGCCAGAAACCGGCTTGTGATCTTCGGATGCGTCACGTCGTTCCTGCAGATCGGAGCGTTGTTGTCCCTCAGTTACTATCTTCCCGTGTGGTTCCAGGTTGTCAAGGACGAGAGTCCCGTCATGAGCGGAGTTATGGTGCTTCCGACAGCCATTGCGCAGGCTATTAGCGGTGTAACGGCCGGCAAATTAGGTGAGTTGTGGCATATCCCACGTCTGGAAGAAGCGTTGCTCAAGGCCACAAAGTCCAGATTGTTGGCTACTGCACGCCCTGGGCACTATTCGGCTGTGTCCTGACTTCCATCGGATCCGGGCTGATGACTACCTTCACCCCTTCTACCGGTGCGGGACCTTGGATCGGGTACCAGATACTCGCTGGCACGGGAAGGGGTTCCGTAGTGCAAATGGTGAGACGATCCAGCTCCGGGCAAAGTTCAGGGTGCATTGTTGGCTGACTGAACTGTTTGGTGCTTTAGCCAGTCACTGCGATTCAAAACCTCCTGCCACCAAAGCAAATCTCCATAGCCACCTCGCAGATATTCTTCTGGCAGTATCTGGGAGGAGCGATCTTCCTCGCTGTCGCCGAGACAATTTTCACCAACTCCCTGAGATCATCACTGAAGACTTACGCTCCAGGTGTGAATCCCGAGCTCGTCATTGACGTTGGGGCCGCTGCAGTCCGCTCAAGTATGTCCAGTGGCCAGCTTCCAGGTGTCCTTCGCGCCTATAACCACGCTATCGTATCGACCTTCGTAAGTTGGACACCTGGCCAATTTGGAAATGTGCTTTGAACTGACCCCTCGCCCAGTATCTTGCGGTGGGCGCCTCCTCAGCAGCATTTCTCACGAGCTTCGGCATGGGATTCCAGAAGCTGCCCAAGAAGGAGAGCAAAAAGAAGCCAAAAGGCAACGAAGCATAGTCTTCCCGGCGCTGCAGCTGGAGGCTTCTTCCCCACTAGAACTTTCTGGCTATCTTTTCAGTCATGCTATATCTGATCTCATCTGCTCCATGTACAATAGTTCAAGACCGCGGCTTGAGAAAACTGAATTCTGATTGTGGCTCTGGTCAAAGACTCGACTCCATAAGATTCACTTGGCAAGGCGACTCATTTGGGACTTGACAATTCGTGTAAGAATAGAAAATCATTCATATGTGTCAATCTCTCAGTTTCCCGCAATCCAAGACCTATAATGCGCCGAACAAAATATAGTACTGTGTTATGTCCACTCTAGAGCGAGACAGCACATATCGAAACCCCCTTGTTGCAGGCGAAGCACCATAGAAGTCTCATTCTCGGATCGTTGGAAGCTCACCTCCTCTCCCGGCTGAATGTCTTCAAGTTTGACGAGCCGACTTGACGTGCTCTTGCCAATCTCACTGCCTGTTATCAAGCTTATGTTGCCATAACGCGGTGGCTGGATCTCTACCACGATCGCAAGGTCCGCAGTGTTGATCAGCTGTGGTGTGTCTGGGCTGACGCGGACTGGCACACGGCTGTTTGATGTGAGAGTCGAGCTGGTAATTGTGCTTTCGGAGTTGACTTCGCTCAAGACTGCGTCATGAGACTCTGTTTTGCTTGGCGTGCTACTTCCGCTGTGGTGTCGTGTGTCTGTCTTCAAACTTGAGTTCCACCAGGAGTCAGTAGTCGTAGTTGTCTCCCCGTCGGTGTGCGGCGGGGAACCGTCATTGCTGAGGGGCATTCTAGATGCTGCCGAAGCTCTCGAACGTGGAGCGGGAGAGCCCAGGAGACCTTGCCCAGTCTCATCTGCAGCTGGCAGCAAACTTGACTGTGTGTCAAACCTTGCACTTAAGAGGGTAGAAAGCGGTGAAAAAGTCGGCATTTCGTATAAGTTTTGTCTGCTCGTGAGAGGGTGATAGCCACGCCGTGGGTGTTTCTTCCTTCCCAAGAGCGAACAGTCGCGATTCATTCGCCGTATAACAGTCCGAAGCGCTGTAACCTGTCCTGGAGTGTACTCTGCAAGGTCGGGAATAGTCCATTGGTCGTATAGTCGCCCGTGTGTAGCTGTGACCAAGAAAGTACCAATCCGTTTGATGAATAGGTGACACAGAAAACATGCTTCCTTGCTGGTACCAATCACTCGGGGCAATACCGGGGTCATTGAGAGTAGATAGTGAACAACCAACTGTATCTCTGCGTGGACATAACAAGGAGTTTTCTTTCCGTCAAGAGATATTGAGCTTATTCGAGCTTCAAAAGGGTCGATGTAATATGCTTTGACATTTGAGAACAAATGCCTGGATTTCCTCCGGCGAGCTTCTCTAGCCAACGTCTGTGGGATCCGGTGATACGCGCCAAGCTTGTCAATCTGCGTGATGTACTTGTTGTTGAACCATTGTTGAGCACTCAGACCAGCGTTCTCGAGATTGAGACGGAATGGCATTTGTCCCTCGGAAGTGGCAATGGCGTAACATTCCTTGACGACCTCCTGTAGGTCCCATTCCAGCTGTGGATTTTCTGGACGTAGGACATTTTCGAACATCATCCTCAGCTCGGATAATTTTCTGACGAGGTCGAGGGCAGCCGGTGTAGAAGCTGCAGCTTGCATTCGGCCCAGAGCCTGTTCAGGACCGGACGCTGATGAGCTTGATGAATCCCTCTTGTGTGGAACAGGTGCTAAAGGAAGCTCCCCAAGAAAGAACCGCATGCGAGACATAATACGTTCCTGCGAAAGGCTCAATATCAATCGCGATAGTGTCGCAGTGCACCCCTCAAGCTTCATACCTGCGAGGTGGTTAGAACGCACATATGGTGAGGAGGTCTATACTGACCGCCCCGTGCGCAAGACATTAGGCATCCACATATTTGTTCCAGCGTGCTCTTGACTTCCGCCTGGACTCCTTCATTTGCAGCAACACGTATGATAAGGCCCGGAGGTTCTGGAATTTCCTCAATACAAACTGCAGTGGTGCTCTCAACTTCTTCTTGAGCTCTCAAGATGAATGCGAAATCATCTGCAAGGCGCTGCTCAGTCTTGAAGGACAATACCCGAGCTCCAGTGGCAGGAGGCAGCTCTTGGGTACTAGCTGACCGTGACACCGAGTATTTCGAGTCACCGGGCACACCTTTAGTCGCAGCGGAGAGTGCAACGATTCTTCGACGGAAAGCATCTTCTGGTACATCCTGCCATATAGAGTTTCCCGCTTTAGCAGTCTGGACTGTTCGTGCAACAGACATCACGCAGCACGGTGATCGTGCCGATGAATTATCAGGTCGAAGAGGCCCTCACATGTTAGAGCTTTGGTACATGAGCGATCGGCTTGAAGTTCATGCGGCATTCAACCACCAGTAAGGACCCGCCAACTGGCATCGACAAATGTTGACGCTTCGGGTTGTGATTGGATCGCTTATGTGGGCGCATGCGTGTCGACCATCAACGGTGTAGGAGTGTGGCTCAGATTGGAGACGCTAAATGCCGAAGACCTGACCGTGGCACATTTTGGGGCCCAACAGCACATTCTGAGTAGTTATGTGCCATGTCTCAAAGAACGATTGGTAACGAGTAGCGAGTGTCAGGTCTGGGCGTGTCCATTGCGTGGAGTTGCTGAGCATAAGACTTCACCGTTTCAAATGTCGAGTGAGGCATCATTTCGTGGGTTGGTCTCAGCCCATATCCAGACCATCTTCGTTTCTTAGTCGCAGTGACAATTTATTTTCAGCGCATTAGAAGAAGTCTGTGCTCCGCTTTCGGTACAACACGAAGTTGCAAACAGAGCCCTGCCGCCTCAGACACAATACAAAGCTGAACTGTCTTTCCGTAATAATAATGACCTTTGCTTCTTTCGTTATAAGTTTGCGGCGTTAGGTTTTGGCACTATCTGTTGATATCCGGAGCTGCACAAATCGAGAGTTTCCGGTTTCCAGGACCAATCCGTGTTCTGCGATTCGTAGATTTGGCCCCGATATCAACCTAGTAACCTCACGGGTCTTTTAAACAAGCTGGGTGGTAGAGAATTTGACCGAGAATCATGGATCCGGGACCATCGATGTTGAAGATCCTGGCTGAAGATCCGAAAAACACCAAAGCACTGTGTCCTTTCAAGAATATTCAGTCTTTCGATGACAAACGTCTGATCTCGTTCAGAAGTAAGCTCGGGGGCGATGATCCCAAGAGGTAGCAGGATGGCCGTGTTGAATTGGGAGTCTTTAGACAGCGAGCGGAAAAGGTCGATGGCACGTTTTGAATACTTTTTGATCTGTTTGTGGGCTATGAATGGCGGATATGCGAGCGTCGTCGGCGTATCTATCAGCCCATCACGGTCTCTGAGCTGCTTGAAGAAGTGGATTCGGCTCGAGATACGGTAGATTTCGCCTATGATGATCTTTTCATCCCTCTTTGCATTGCTTCCGGCACCAGTTGTAACGGAAGAAGGCTTCTGCGTCAGAAAGACGTCGGCAGCTCCCGCATGCTCTGCGGCTTTCCTTCTCATGCTGCAACTTGGGAGGAAGTCCAGGCTAACATCCCAGCAGTCGATGTCAAATGATGAGACGTGTTGCACAATATTGCTAATGCGGCAGAGTAAAACCGCGAAGTTCGGTCTTTTCTGGTGAGATGAATTTCTGAGAATAAATTCCTCGTAACCACCACAGGATTTTGAGGTAACACTTGTGTCAGCCACCAGTGCCAGGAGTTGGTTGTAGGAAACCAGGTTGTAGAGGAACAGGTGTAGTGGTGTTTTAAAAAGTCCTCCATTATCCTGGCTAATCCCTTGACGGCGCAAATAGTCCTGCGCAAATTCCAGATAGGGTCGAATGTCCTCGTAGACTTCGCCGGACAGCTTTCCAAAGACTGCCATTAGGGCGGCCGTAGTAACCAGGCAAAGATCATCAGATTCGACGTTGGTAACCCGAAAATAAAATCCGGCATTCGTGATTTCGTCGCTCGCTGAATTTTGTTCCGGAACAGCTGGTCTCCAAGTCCTCCTAGAGATCTGATGGCTTTTCTTCAATGCGCGAAGTCGCAAGCGGGAGATCTCGCGGTCTAAAGAAGGCAGATTCCTCGACTTGGCGTGCAGCCCTGCAATAGCCATCAGAGTCCAACGGACGGGTTCGTATTGAATAGCAACAGGAGCGAGGCACGACAAAAACGGATTGTCTATATCTGAGTGCGTTGGATATGTTCTTGCAAAGCGATTGATGTAATGGTCCCAGAGAACACGCTCGACAAAGGAGTCTGTGATTGCAACACAAGGAAGATACGGTATTGTAGCAGGAACCTGCCAGTCGTGTTTGCCATGTGAGACCGACCCACCTACGTCTTGGCTATGTTCCTCGATATCCAGCTTTGGAACGGTTCTGCCGTATGCAAAGGCACTCTGGGATGGGTGCGCCCGGCGGGACGATGCGGGCCCTCTGCGCCGTATGCCATCTCGCGTTGGATCATCTTCCCATAGAAGTCGTGGCTTGTAGCCTCCGCACGCAATGTTCAAGCGCTTGCAATTGTCGCACGAAGGTCTTCCAAAATCGCATTTCTTTTTCCTGGGCGATTCGGAAGATATTCAGTTGTTGTACCTGAAAGGGCGCCAGATTCTTCGCGTGTCAGCGGACCTACCTCCGTTTGCACGTCAAGCACCCACCTCTTTCTCGTTTCGCTCGAGCCATCCTTGCAGGAATGGATTTCAGTGAACTTCTGGGGAATGTGGAATGGTATAATCGGGTCCCTGTTTCCAGATAGGTGATAGCAGTACTGTGCATTTTGTATGCGTTCTTATCGGTTGCCAACGTTTCTGCCCTCGGATAAAGCCGTCACTGACATGATGGAGATGACCGCGAGCACCTGTACGGAGCCGTTCAACATCTATCGACAAACAGTGTTTTGGTATAACTAATCACGGGGCTTTCATTCTTGAACAGAGAGTGTCGAGATAGTGTCGTAGGGCGCGATGTCTCACGCAGCACACGTCTCTAGAGGACAGTTGCACCCTTTGGGGTGTTGAATCAGGTTGACGGCGCATCAGCCCTGATCAATAACTGGACCATAGCACGGCCAACACTGATATCAAGACAGCTAGGTTAATCAGAAGTATTTCAGCCAAAAGCATGCCATACCACGGGAGGGATTCTAATACCTTTAGTGGCTCTCGGCGGCTCGTAAGACCCCAACATGGCATAGCTCCCTTTCCCGATGTGGTGCCGCTCTCCGACAGACGATCTGTTGATATGGTGTCCTGTTGTGGGTTTTATGATAATGTCTGAAGGTGTTGACGCTCCGGAAGGTACTTATATGAGGAAGCTGTTGGCTGCTGACCAGATGAATCTGTGCTTCCAGATATTTCTCTAGCATCTCTCCCATTAGGCCAAGTTATACAGACCTCGGAAAGGGCAGACACACCCCAGCAGACAACATGGCTCCAGGAATTCTTGAATACCCTCTCACTGATGCGGCAACACAACCTCTGAAGTCAATCACCACAAAGTCAACCTTTCAGAAGTTTGATCCTGTGAAACATCTTGCGTATGTGGCGCCAAAGAAGATTCATACTTTGGAAGACCTTTGCCTGCCCCCTTCGCCAATTTCGCAAGTTGCCTCCACCGATCCATTCCCCTTGCTGTCCGAGGAGGCACTTCTCGAGCATCGACGGGAGTTGCTATCCGATGAGGTTCTCAATAACTGCATGTACAGCACGAGAGAGCAATCAGTTCAACTCCGTGGGATGGCCCCCAGATACGCCCCGTTTATTCATCAGTTCTGGACTTCTGCAGAAGTTCTCAAGATAGTCAGTGGTCTGGCAGGAGTCGATTTAGTGCCTGTCATGGACTTTGAAATTTGCCACACCAACGTCCAATTGGGTCCAGATGGTCTACCAGGGGTCAGAAACATACCAATCGTCCCACCCGGAGCTCCCGAGGAAGACACAACCCCAGCAGTTCAGGCAGTGCCCGCAGAGCCCGCAGTGGCTTCCAAGAAATCGGTCGTCCCCTGGCATCGCGACTCATATCCATTTGTCTGTGTTGTTATGTTGTCGGACGCCAGGCACATGAAGGGCGGCGAGACCGAGATCCAAAGAGGTGATGGCAGAACAATCAAAGTCCGATCTCCACAGATGGTGAGTACCACGCCAAACCCTGCCAGTACTTGAGGTGTTGGGTCACTGACAAAATTCCGCAACCACATCAGGGTGGTGCGGTGGTTCTCCAAGGCAGGCACGTGTCTCACACGGCGCTTCCAGTCGACAATATGCCCGAGAGAATCACCATTGTGGCTTCTTTCAGGCCGCGGGATCCCGTGCTGCTAGATGACTCTTCTCTGATGAATGTTCGAAATAAGTCTCGACTGCCGGAGATGTATTACCAATGGACCAGCTATCGTCTGCATTTGCTCGCCGAAAGATTCCGACTCGAAGCTGAAAAACTTGATGCTGTCTATCGCAAAGCAATTGAGAATACCGACCAAGGCAAGGCAGGGGCTTGCAACATAGACGTGGTTGATGTGGAGAACCTTGAAAAATGGATGGAAAAGCAAATGAGATATATGAGACGAACCATGTCTGAGATGAGACCGGTCACGGAGGACGACAACATCACCAAGAATGAGATTGAGGAAGTTTAGATGTAGATAGGGAGGGTATACGGTACGACGACTTAAGAGTTCTCGTGCCGTGCAAGAGACCTCCCTCGAAATAAACCATTTTCCCATCCGCAGCCCAGTCCGGGCTACCCTGCGCTGTCTTGCCTGACTTTCTGAGCTTGGGTCCTCTGCTTTTTCGTGCTCCTCGTTATCTTCACGCCTCGGCATTTTGGTGGTCGCTGTCAAACGTTCCAATGCCTCTTGTTCTATCGGTGTCATCTCTTTCATGCAGTCTGTAGTGACGAGGGGTCCATCGGAATCGTAGCAGAGATCACGGAGGATCGCAACAGGCTTGGTAAGCTTGACAAGGCGATGATAGACAGCGACACTTTGTCTGGTTCGAATGCTGAGGATTTAGCTACCAGAACGACAGACATTCCGCACTGAGGGAATGTCGGGCGCAAGCTGGAAGCTAAGCTCGGAGGAGGGAGGCAAGAAAGAGTCCCATCGACCTGTCCATCATGTCAAGGCTTGATGTCAAGAAGCTGCCACTCCAGAGAGATCTGCTTGAGATGAAATCTATCTCCCACAAATATTTGCTGAAACTTGGAAAGTGAAGCTGTGATCGCAATCCTGTGTCGCGGAGAACACAAGAGAACTGTTCACGTGTTTCATCCAGGGACACGTGCGCGAAATCTGAGTGGTCAATCCCACGGCTCGACGCCATTTCGTCAGGACACCTCTGAGCAGAACAAGCTCTCAATTTCGCCTTCCTTTCCAAATTACACACTGAGCGTCCGCATCTCAGTCGAGGAATTTACTGGGGTGGCGCATGGAGAAGCCTCCTCCCATCATTTACGCTCACGGCATCCTAGCATGAACTTGGTGGCTGCTCACTCAACCGAGTGCCTCTTTCCAGCGGTCCGCAGAAACACGTATACGCAGAGCCAGACACTCACATACACACCAGTGATGACACAGTTGCTATGGAGCATTGGCCGGGCTAGCATACGCCACCGACAATCCACGGATTGTCGCAACTTATCTCGTTCAGTCAACTTGAGGATATGATTGTGGGCATCCTGGGAAGAGAGTGACTGCCTGCCAGGCAGTGCTTGTATATTCTAGGCTGGTTCGGCAGACTCACAACGGATGCCAGACCCATGCGAGCCTACCCAGCCCCGAGCCCTTCTTTTTGTGCGGCTGCCGCGATGGAAACTGGGAATACTGGACGCAGTCAAGGGCGAAGCGGCAACACTGCTCATCGTGTCTCCCTGTCCAAGCCGAATGAGCGAGAAAGAACCGCAAGAGTACAACGATTCAATTGTCTTTTCGCCACAACTGCTCTATGTAAGATCCAGCACGATCATACGTAGATGGATACATGAACGGAGTTCCGGAATGCTCTGGCCTCCCAGGATAGATAGTTGTTAGGCCTTTTTGGTCTTGTGCGGCCCGACTCATTGCGAAGGCGAACAGATCACAACGCCCTGCCTGGAAGCCGAAGTTTTCCTGACTTGCTAGCACTGTCGGTCGAGGTTGTTGATGCCTGCAGGCTCCGGTATCGTTGCTCGGCATGGTAAGAGAAATTCTTGTGGCAAACAGAATATACCTCCATTCCTGGAATGCGCGATGCTACTGCTAAAGTGGGGATCCATGAATATAGCAACAGTCAGGAGACAGAGTAAACATGGAACAGATGAATCTTGGTCCGACTTCGGTCTGTGGAAAGGAAGTCCTCACTGGATCGCTTTGCATAGCGTTGCAATTTCCGCCACCTGCCCGAGTGCCTGTCAAGGAAGTTGGTGTAGAAGGCGTCTCACATAGGGTCAAACTTAGGGACGGCATTTGACGACCAAAAAGGCCTAACAACTATCTATCCTGGGATGTCACGCCGAACTTCAGCAAACATGAGACAATTCGCGAAATCCCACCCCACTCTTCGCTGTCAAACTTTTTTGCCAGTGGACAGAGCGACTGTCAGAGGTTGATGCCGTTTACCGGAAGGCCAGAACTCTCTGATTGTAAGGAGACCCACGAACCTTTCAGAGAGGCTCTGGCTCTTGCTACTACGACGGCTAAGCCTCAAAGAAGCTCTCCATACGGCATACCACCTCCAGGAATGGCGAGAGTGTGTCGCTTCACGGCATAACAGCACTTTCAGTTTTCCAATCCAACCTGGCAGTCTTCAATACTCAATGCAATGGGCAGTCTGTGGGCTGTCGCTACGGGTGTCTTCGTTACAAACGGGCGAAAGGATGGCGGTGTCCAGCGTACACATCCCTCGAGCATCGACCGATCAATACAACACACTATCCATTGAGTGGTCCATGCGCCCTTTGCCACTGAGTTGGTCCCTGCAGGCTGAGCGGAAAAGGGGCGATGATCAGATAAGATAAAAATTTTCCAGGTCGTTCAGAAGAGCGTGATGGAGACGAGGGACGGGGCAACGAGGGTGGGCAGGTGAGATTTCCAAGACTCCAAGACTCCACTAGCTAGAGCATGTGGCCTGGAGAGGGGCCTAGAAGCGAGCAGGGTGGGAAGCAGGACATGGCACACCTGGCGAACTCCGCTCCTGTCCGTCGCATTACGGTGCCGGTTTCCTTCCCTGGCTTGTTGGCTTCTCGCTACTTAGCTTGTCCTGGACAGGTTCTGTGAGAAGCGAGGGGGTGGAAATCACGCGGCTTGGAGCACGAAGCTACCACTTGGGCCACATGGTGCACAGGTGCAGGAGTTCCTTCGGGCCGTTATTTTCATGAACGGGGATGGAAAAATTCCTGCGAAATCAAACACTGGGAAAGAGTACCTTTCCCGGTAATGTTCCTTTCGAACCCCAGTCGTGCCGACCTCAATGAACAGTCCTTACGCAACGATGTCGGACCGATTTCATGTGGTGATCCATCTCACAAATCTACGAACTCGGCGATTCCCTTCTCTTACGGATGTTTCTGTCTGTTCTTGTACGCACTGTCGATTTGGGAATTGACAAGATTTTCCATATTCATCTAGCAAGCCAAGGTAAAGGCTGTAACTCAGCTACAGACACCAAACCATCCAAGTTCGATACGAAGTCACTACACCATCGTCCACACCTTCTTTCCATTTCAGACACCTTTTCTGTTTTTCCGACAGTCGCATAGCTGCGGGAAGTCCTAATAAGTCGGCAATTGCCCTCTCCGCTTTACTTCGCGCTCAAAGGTCTCTGGAGGCCCTGCGTGAATGTGTGGCTCTGCACCTGAGCAATGACATGACTCGCATCACCTTTTGGTGCATTGAGTTTGCCGAGATGGCGTCTCGCAAGGCTTTTGAAACCGGGAATCTTGGAGAGGAACCGGAAGAAGGACTTTTCGAGGGGAAGAGCGCCCGTGCGTTCCTCGTACAGCATGAAGGAAATGGACACCATAATGAAGATCCAGTAGACATTGTAGGAGATGACGGAGCCATAGGTGGCCGTGTTTTGCCAGCCGAGGATGGCATTGAAGACATCCCAGCCGTTATCAATCTCCGGGTTGCAGCAGTTCACATGCCAGACGGTCTGGTCAATGTTGTATGATCCCGGGCCGTCTCCTGCTTCGGCAACATCACTACCAACTTGCTGCGCGAACTTGTGGAATTGCAGACTCCAGACGGACTTGGAGAACATGCCGGCGGCGATGAGGTAGAGCACGCAGGTCGAGGCGATCAGGAAGTACTGGATGGTCATGTAGTTGCCGCCGCGGTAGATGAGGTAGCCGACGAGAAGGCCCGCGAGGATGCCGGTAATGACTGGGATGGGGAAGGCAGTTGCTGGCAGTCCGAGGGAGACGCCGCCCACGAAGACGACCGCTTCGAGACCTTCACGGAGAGTAGTGATCAGAGGGAGAATGAACATGGCATATCGCCGACCCCATTCGCCCAGTCGGGAGGCCGCATCCTGGTGTTTGGTCTTTGCCACGAGGGCTTGTGCAATCTTGACCCTCCACTTCTCCTTTGTCTTGTTGATGCGCAGGATAGCCAGGCCCATGATGGTGATAATGATGCTGGCGATGAGGTAGAAGATGCCTTCCCACAGATCCTCGGACTCGGCCCAGATATCATGGCCCAAGCCGTAGAAGACGCCGATAAAGGCACCCCCAATGATCAATGCTATGAGGATGCCTAGTAAAGATCCCGCCCATACTTGTCGTTTGAGGCGTTTATAGATGGCCGGGTCCTGGGAGGGTTGACCCAAGCACTGCTTCAGGAAGGACAGCAGCACCGAGATGATAATTACCGCCTCGAGACATTCTCGAAACACGATGAAGAAGACTTGGACGCCGAAGACGTTGGTCATGGTGAAGGAGACAAGGGAAGGGACCGACGGTCAAGCTTTTGAGCGTAACAAGTAAAGAATAATGGGAGACCTCACAGGGTAATGAAGTACGTATGTATACCCTAGAGAGAAAAGCAAAAGCTTCGAGAGCTTGGAAGGTCACACCAAGAGGAGTTTGTGTGCTTGGAGCTCAGGAAGCAAGCGACTCGATCCCAATGGGAGGGCATTGGCACAGATATTTTACAGCAACAACAGCCGCAGAGGTGGCCGAAGTTCGGGAGGGGAGGAACTGCACGGGGCATGGGCACTGACTGAGCCTGCAGGAGAAAAGAGGATCCCGGGCGCCCGCAGCGTCGCAAATCCGGCCAGCACGGGGTGATTGAGGGTGATTGATCATCTGATAACGAAAAAAGATAAGATAATCAGCTGTCATGAGAACGGGCATCAGCGGAGCATGTGGAGGATGGTGGATGCTTCGGCAAGGTGGCGGTGGGAAGCATTGCGAAGCATTGGTGGGCAATCTCCTTGAACACTCCCTCGCGCCATCAGATAACTTTGATGCCACGTCTGGCCCGCTCGCTAATTGATCTAGTTGATCTAATTGATCTAATCAACTCCTCCCTATCTGATATGATTGGGTAAAGGAGCTCTCCTTCGGAAGCTGTGAGAAGAAAAAATCTTCTGTCCCACGCAGAATAGGCGAGGCCTCTCCCCAAACACACGCAACAAGCAGAGCCCAGGGAGGGTGGCTCACTGGCTCATCCCATCATGGAGGGGTCTCGCCGGCATCGGGCAGCCCAGAAAGGTTCATCAGCCTTTGAGCCCTAGGATCAACCCGGACTGGTATGTAGACTACCGGTCTCCCACCTTCAAAACCATCTGGCTCCCTGGTGGACGACGGGCAACGTACATCTCTTCAGGTCTCGTCGTCTGAACAAGCCCTTGGCAAGCTTCTGCCCAAGCTTCACAGCAAAGCAAGCCTTGTCACGATCAAGACTCTAGACATTCGAGTCTCGCGGCCATGGCGAAGCTTGTCCAGGCGTTGCTCTTTTCGCTGGCGGTCCTGCTGCTCACCGGCTGGACCACAGCCAAAACAGTCACGTACGACTTCAATGTCAGCTGGGTCACGGCCAATCCTGATGGCCTGGCCGAGAGAAAAGTTATTGGCATCAATGGACAATGGCCGCTGCCTGTCATCGAGGTCGACAAGGGCGACCGACTCGTGGTCAACATGTTCAATGGCCTGGGCGACAAAAACACCAGCATCCACTTCCACGGCATGTTCCAAACCAACACAAGCAACATGGATGGTCCGTCGATGGTGACCCAGTGTCCCATTCCTCCAGGGTACAGCTTCACGTACAACTTCACCGTGAACCAGAACGGCACCTACTGGTACCACTGCCATACCGACTTCTGCTATCCCGACGGCTACCGGCAGGCCTTGATCGTCCACGACAACGATGCGTTCTTCAATGAAGACTACGACGAGGAATTCACCATCACCATCAGCGACTGGTATCACGAATTTGTGGAGGACATCCGTTTTCTGTCGCTCTACAACCCCACCGGCGCCGAACCCGTGCCCAAATCGTTCCTGTTCAACGACACGCAAAACTCCAGCCTACCCGTCAAGCCCGACACGACGTATCTGATCCGGCTGATCAATATCGGGGCCTTTGTGGGACAGTTCTTCTACATTGAAGATCACAGCTTCAAGATTGTCGAGATAGACGGTGTATACACCGAGCCAACCGAAGCCGAGACCCTGTACATCGCTGTTGCCCAGCGGTACAGCATCCTTCTCACGACCAAAAACACCACAGACAAGAACTACCCGATCGTCACGGTGGCGGACTCGGACCTGCTCGATGTCATCTCGCCCGATCTCAAACTCAACAACACGAACTGGCTACAATACAATGCCGACGCCGCTCATCCAGAGGCTGTCATGAAGGTGGAGGCCTCGTCAGATCTCGTCCCCTTCGACGACATCACGCTCGTCCCGTACGATCACATGGAGCTGCTGCCAGAGCCAGACTTCGAGATCAACGTGACGGTCATTATGGACAATCTCCGCAACGGGTTCGGGTATGCCTTCCTGAACGACATTACCTTCACCGCGCCCAAGGTGCCCACGCTGTACACGGTGCTGTCGTCGGGCGGACTAGCCACCAACCAGGAGGTGTACGGCGAATACACGCACCCGATGGTGCTCAAGCACAACGACGTGGTGCAGCTGGTGCTCAACAACGCCGACAGCGGCTCGCACCCGTTCCACCTGCACGGGCACAACTTCCAGGTCATCGACCGGGCCCCCAGCTACGGCGAGCACTTCTACGACTACCTCGACGGCGACCCAGTGCCGTACGACCCGAACAACCACTCCGCCTTCCCAGCCTTCCCGGCACGCCGCGACACCTTCGTCCTCCCACCCCAAGGATACTACGTAATCCGCTTCGTGGCCGACAACCCGGGAGTGTGGATGTTCCACTGCCACATCGACTGGCATTTGTCGCAGGGCCTGGCCATGGTGCTGATCGAGGCGCCGTTGGAGATCCAGAAGACCCACCACGTCCCGCAGCAACATTACGACGTGTGCCGCGCCGCGGGTGTGCCGTTCGAGGGCAACGCCGCCGCCGACTCTCAGGACCTGCTCGACCTCGCCGGCCAGAACACCCAGGTGGGCCCCTTGCCCGCCGGCTTCACCGCGCGCGGCATCGTCGCGCTCGTGTTTTCGTGTATCAGCGCTTTCCTCGGCATGGCCTTTATTACCGTCTACGGTCTGTCCGAGCCGAAGGTTATTCAGAGGGATCTTGATCCGGTCGATGACGACGCGCTACATGAGGATGTGGCGGGCTCGAGCATCGAGCCAAAGGCGGCCTCGCCGGCGGCTCAAGGCTAGATAGGGTGTTTTGCATAGAAGGTGTCAGCGTACGTTAAGCAGTCGTTTGCAGCACTTTAGTTTCATATGATATCCCCGTTGAATTACTCTTGGTTCCCAGTATTGACCTTTTTTCGCCTTCCAACCTGTGTTCCTGCTCCAGGCCCGAAAACAACCTGACCGACCTATTGCTCAATGGGCCATGTTAATCGTCTCAGGGTCCGCGGAGGAGCGAATGCCCTGCGCTGCGATACTGAAGTCCAGAGAACGTCCAGACGTGATCATTAGCGCTAGGGCAGAGTAACATCCCCCTGCTTCACGAAGGAGATCTCTTGTATTCTGTTCTTCTGCTCTCTCAGGCACAGTATATCCCTCCAAGGACAAACCCGTCCTAGGCTATGTACTCATGTACACCCCGCCGATGAACACTCAGCTATCAATAGCTTGACGTCCACGCGCATGCCGTTTGACACACACAATATTCAGAAGAAAAGCCCTTGCCGATTAATCTCTGGTTCTGCTACTCGCCAGGACTGGCTCCGGGAACATGCATGGGTTCATCGGGCTCCGACATACGTAGATATCGACATCGCGACAACCAGTTACCGCCCATGTGTATGAACACACGACCCAGCTTGGCCTCACCCAGCGAGACCGTGAGATTCAATGGCTGCAAGAAAGGGCCAGACCGTGCTCCATGCCAACTTGTCTCCCCGCTGAACGATATGGACGAGATGAAAGCGCATCAATTCGGTCGGAGTTCCGTTGAGCACAACCACACACCGATCGAAAGATGGGGCAGTAACGATTCTCGAGACAAATAGTTACAGGGGCTGTATCACGCAACAGCGGCCTGACCAGACCAAGTGCATTGATACGCTGAACGAAGCACAGAAGGATGTGTTGAATTGTCTTCATTTGCTCGGAAGTGTCCGGGATCCGTGACTTCCTTGTTGCTCCTCTTCATCTCTATCCGCCTCAACAGCCTTCCCCATCAGCCGGGACATCGTCCTAGAACAGGAGAAGTTTCTTGACAAGTGCAAGCTGAGATAGGTCCTTTGATGGTGGCACTTTCCCGTCCAGGAAGGTCTGACATCTCGAGAAGGACAGGCTCAAGTCACCCACGAAGCCTGCCGATGCTGCTGTGCCGATGCTCCCTGTCCCTCATGCGTGCGTGCATGGTACTAGTGTACCAGAGCCTGGAAATTAGGCAGAAGGATTTCTGGGTCCGTGGTGGTAAATCCAACGCAGTCATCCGGTAGGAATGTGTAGACACCTCTTTGTCCTCTTGTCCAGTTGGCAGTGTTCATTTGTCGGGGACGAAGATAAGGCCTTTCGGCTGGAAGGTACCTGGGATGGACAGATGAGCACCCAAGAGAGTTGTGAAGCGCCAGTGTGGAAGGCATCCTCACATCAATAAACTCTCAGCTTGATATCCAACTGGACGTGTAAGCTCTTGTTTCCGGCATCTGATAGGACGATTTGATCGGCCGCATAGGAATAGGCACACTGATGTACCTATGGCAACTCCCATTGTGGTCTCTTTCGTTCAGCAAAGCTCGCCTTGATTGGAGGACCGAAGAAGACTTGATAAACGCACTCCTAACGCAAAGGCTGCACGGCAAATTCCTGGCCTGGCAGGAAGCTGGGGAGCCAAAAGACTGCTGCTGATATGGCAATGCTGGCGCAGCTGCATAACTTGGAGCTCAAACGTGGAGGAGAATGTGCTTCCCATAGCTCAAGCAGTACAGCAGCTGGACCACAGAACCACACACGCTGATCGGTGCGACCAATTCTCTAAGTAGAAGCAGCCAACCGCAACCGAGTCATCAGCTGGTGAAGCGTCCAGCCTCGGGTGAGCAATAGCTACAGCAGGTAGCTCGCAACAGCGACGTCCATTCAGCTTGCGAAGATTGGACGTCTGGCGCGTCCTCTTAGGTATGGAAGCCTCGCTCAAACGCTCGCAGCAGATCTTGAGATATTGAGCCGACGCGTGGTTAAATCAACTCTGCTCGCCTCGTCCGCGCGTCAGCAGAAGTGCATCCATTTGAGCATCGATGACGGGCTTGCGTTCATCAGGACTCTGTTATGCTACTCAAGGACATCTCTTTTGAGCGGAAGAAGAAAGCCACATGTCAGAGAAATTTTGTATGCGACCAGCAACCCACGCCGTCTCTTACCTACACACTCACAAACCTTCCCAATACTCCTGCCTTGTGGTCAACAAGAGTTTGGCAACTGGCCTGTCCAAACGGCCAGGACGTCGTCAGGGGGGTCAATTTCCAGAATAATAGTTACTATTAGTTAGACACTTACCCAAGGTCAAGTCATTATGTAGATCCCCGCGGACAAATAGTTTCGAAAGCCCGGGCCGGGTCTGCCACGACAAGCCGTCCCAATTTCCCCATCCATCACTCTGGTGTCTCGGGGATGGGCAATTGTCAATCCCTCATCCTCTGCACAGCCGTTGGTCGAGGCCTGAAAGGTGAAGCGAGTCGCCCTGGCACTCTCACTCCGCTCGCTCGCTTATCTATCCTAGGCAGCTACCCTCGGCAGTCAGTGCCAACAAGCAAATACGAGAACGCAAGTAGATAACCTCGAATTCCTCGTATTCTGCTGTGCTCGCTACGAGGTACAAACCAACTGGTATTAACCGGGCCTTTATCCTCTTTTGGATACCCGAGTAGTAAGGAAGTACGTACCCAGCTCCGCAGACTTTCCACGTGGATGCCAGGGGCGGCAGGCGGTGGGGGTTAGGGCAAGATGGTACCATGCATTCACATTCAGGAGTCGCATCTTGAATCTCGAAAACCTTGAGAGCATGTGGGACTGAATCTCGGTGTAAATCTATGCATGGGCTGAGGATTGGGGATTGGCGGCGTACGGCAGAGAGGTACAAAGGACGTGGTTTACGGCCAGAGCAACGTAGATATGAACATAGTTACTTTTGAGACCAAACTTTAGTTTCTGGATGAGAAAGATGGCTCTAAACATTCGGAGGTGGTGCATGAGGCGACTGTTACCACTTCCTTACCGAGCCTCACTTGCCTCCGTCGTGACTCTCCCCTGCATAGATTTACACCGAGATTCAGTCCCACGTGCCCTTAAGGTCCCAAGTCCCACTCAAATCTCCCAGACATCTCGGCCGAGTCGAGGTTCGAGGGTCGAGATTCAAAATGCGACTCCTGAATGCCGGAGGGCCAGTAGAAAGTGAATGGACGTTTCTGTGCCCTTGTTTATCAACGGCTGTAAAGACATGCGATACAGGAACCGGAATTTTTCGAGGCTTTTTTGGAACAACGTTTAGAAACTCCGAATTTCAACGCAGATAGAAAGTAGAAAGGGCCGCCGGTAATGGTGCCGCGAATCGTTTCGGAATTCGCTACATATATTAGAATTTGAAGCACTCTCAGGTCTCGCGCGACAAACACACCAGGGTGTGTGATATAGCGACGATCTTCCTTCATAAGCCGGAGAGGCCCGGCATACGCATATGCCGGGTCTACAAGGCGTGCCGGCCTTTCCCATCCACGTCCTCGACCCGCTCCGCCTCGGTGACCTCGGTGCCGACCTTCTCGTTCTTGACGCCGTCGTTCACGGTGTCCGGGTAATCGTGGGCCTCCTGAATATTGACGGCGACCTCGTCGCCGAACAAGGCGGCGATTTCCTCCAGTGTTTTGCCCACCGTCTCCGGATACACAAAGTACACGACGGTGATGAAGATGGCGTCGCAGATGATGAAGATCAGGAAGTACTTCCAGGCGATCTTCTCGACCGCGATCGGCGTCACCTGCACCAACATGATGGTGATGGCATTGAACGTGCAGAAGGCCACGGCGTTGCCAGCCGCGCGAATCGGCGTCGGCATGATTTCCGAGGGGTACGTATAGCCTGTTCTATGAATCAGTGGGACATATCACCAAAGCTGCAAAAGATGAGAACATACCGAATGAGTTCATGATAAATGCGTAGCCGACCAGGTAGACGAACATGAAGCCCACAGTAAACCGTCCCAGGAGCAGATTGGTATTGCCCGAATCTTGGAATTTTGCCCAGACTAGTGGTGACCAGCATTAGTTACGGCAGCTCTCGAGAACGCACCGGAAACAGAAACTTACAGATAACCATGGCAATAGAGGCCAGGAATTGCACCCAGAGAGAAATCAGTAGAGACTTCCTACGGCCCAACTTGTCGAAGAGCAAGGCACCGATGGTCGAGAAGATGACACCACACGTGCCCCAGACACCCACCATGACCAAAGCCATCTTGTTGGTGACGCCGAGGTAGGTGTACAGGATGAACTGGTAGTTCTGGAGCGGGATGATGCCGGTGAACATGGCGAAGGCGAACTGGAAGACGACGATGAACATGCGCTTGCGGTACGAAGGCCGGCGCAGAACCGCGGCGAGACTGACGCGCTCACGGACTTCGAGCTCGTGCTGGGCCTTGATCTGGTTGAATTCACGGATGTAGAAGTCGTCGTCCTGACCCGCGGCACCACCGTGCAGTCTCGTAATGACTTCCAGCGCCTCGTCGTAGCGGCCTCGCATAATCAGGTATCGGGGCGATTCTGGCAGCAGAGGAGTGCACACGGCCATCAGAACCGGGGGAACGTGCTGCAGACCCAAGAACAACCGCCAGGCAACGTTGGAGGTAATGTAGCTGAATCCGAGACCCATCCATTCGGTCACTGGCACGAATTTGTCAGTACACAGAGAATTAGAAGCCTTGGTCCAGACTGGTATAGTCCTAATACCGACTAGTCTGATCTCATGAGAGGGGAGAGAACTCACAGGTATAGCCCAAGTTGATATTAAGGTTGTAGAGACCTCCTACTCTCCCACGGAATTCTGGTGGGGAAATTTCGGACATGAACATCGGGCACACGCCAAAGATAATACCTGAGGCTATACCGCCGATGACACGGCCGACGAACAACATTTCGATGTTTTGGGCAGCAGTCTGCAGGACGGCACCGACGAGAGCGCTGGTTGGTGGCCCCGTGTCAGCGATATGCACTCCAAAGGGGAGATTTAAGGAGAGAGCACTAACACAATGCAAGCGATGTAGATGGTGGGCTTTCGGCCATATCGATCCGGGAGCCAGAAGTTCAGTGACGACCCGAAGAAGCTGCCGGCATAGTAGCACGATCCCAGGGCCCCAATGGTGTTGGAGTTGAAATTGAAATAGGAGATGAATTGGGGATATCCAATGATAGAGGTGGTGAGGCCGGAGTCATAGCCATAGAAGAAGGATCCAAACGACAGGATAAGGATCGAGTAGATGTTGTCTCTGCGGTACGGTTAGTGTTACTGCAAACGACAAGAACCAGTCGGCACAACTCACTTGCTGAAGTGTCTCATCTTGGACCACGTCGCCGCTGTCCTCCTGGGAGAACAGACTGGGGTTCAAGGGATAAGAGAGTAGCTTGAGAAAGGAAGAAAGTAGAGCACCTGCAAGGCTTCTCCAAAACGGTACGTATACTGGATAGATATACTCTCTACCTAATTGCCCCCGCGAGCCCGAGGTTATGGGACTCCCTCGGCTACGTATAAGGTTGATTGGACGCCACAGAGTTCGCGGGGTAGAAAAGCTGGAGAGAGACGGGATGAGTGTGGGGAGGATGGGCAGCCGTAAACGGCCGGGGTTATTATCTGGCACACCAAGCCCCGTCGGTGATGTTCGGTAGACCGCGTCTGGACACACATATCGTTTGACGGTTGAAGCGAGGTCTGAGCCTGGACCTTAATGGGCATCCACTGTAGTGCACATCCCTTTCCCTGGGTTGGTCGGGCGTCTCCAGGCACTACCTGCATGCTGGAGGATAGCCCTTGATAGCGAGTTGCCCAGTGGAGTCTCTGAGTGGGAAAAGGGTTGGCACGAGTATTGGGGAAGTTGGCGACGAATCCTCACTCCCAAAAAGGCAATTATCCTCGGTAACCTATAAAACTGGTTGATGCCCTGAGGCATGGCGACATGTTGGGCTCTTGGATGGTCTTTGTCTGTGGTGCCTGGGTCAACAACACCGTGAAGTCTTCTAGCATCCAAAATCCCCACCTCAGAGGTTCACAGAGACAGGTGCTCGATGCCTCCTTCTCAGGATTCTTCCCGCTCAGTCGTCAACTGAAAAAAAAAACCTCTCTTCTGCCGTGAAAGACAAACAACCCATATCAGTCCACCAAGACATCTTCTGCCTTACCGTGTAGACACCACCACCCGGACTCCGCGGATCTGCGAGGCCTGGACCTGTACCATACCGCTGCGCCGTCGAGCGGTGCACGAATGAATCAATCAATGATCCCCAACTTCGTGCTTTGTTCGTTGAACGCGTACCCACCTAGGGAGCAGGGCGCTCAAAACCTAGTGTCCAGACCATGATCTTCATGGTCTTTGCCGTGCTCGGTCATGGCTAGTCAGGCTGCACACCCTTGTCTGCAGGTCCACCCCAGGGCGCACGTTGGTCAAAATTCTCTTCGTGGGTTATCATCCGTGGGCTCTCTCGCCACCTCCGACGTGAACAAGCTGTATTCCGGCGTACTCTGGTCATTTTTGCCCCTTTCCTCAGGAAACATCCGAGCTGTTCCGGGCCAGTAGCGACACGTGGTGTTGAATTGACTGGGCACGCGTGTCGGTTCTTCGGCTGCAGATGGCTCAAACGCTCATCCCTTAGGACCATGCCCTGATCACCACTCTATCGAGGTTTAACACAGCGTATCCGCGGTAAACCGTCTTCAATTCTTGCTGGGCGATGGACTCCTGCCTTCCCTCCTTTGCCCGCGCTGATCGCGGCGGTCATCAGGGGCCAATCCCTCGGACCGCCCTCGATCACCCAATATCTCTAGGGTCCTTGCCACGTTTCTCCTAGCCAGGGTTCGGCTATAAGGTTTGGCCAGATCGCCTTCCACCGCTTGACCTTCTTGTCATACGCCTCTCTTTTGCCCAGAACCGGGTTAGGCCTTACCACCATGTTGAAAAAGTCAGACAACCCTCGAGGGGCATAGACGATCCATTCCCCCGTCTCATCTAGCCTGATCCCCAGCATGGCACTTGTGGAGATCCATGTGTCGATTCCAGCCTCGACGCTGGCATGTGGTCGACAGGGCACCCCATACTTCTTTTCGTACCACAAGTGGACCCGTGCCTGGTTGCGAATTTCCACCTCCACGGAGATATCGCCGAACTGACGCTGGCCGGCCTGAATGGCTCGGTCCTCCGCCTCGTACGACAGGTCGGAATCATCATAGTAGACGAGATCGTAGTCGCGGATCCCTGTCTCTAGTGGCAGCTGTGACACGCTGTTCCAAATTGTCTGCGACAATGCGCCACCGGCCAAGTACCAATTTGGCAAATTGAGAGCCGCAGCACGAGTGAGCACAGTCACGAGAGTGGGATTTGAAGAAAGGACTTCCCGCAGACGCTTGATTTGAAGATGTAGGGGAAGCTGTCCTGGGTCCATTTCGCCGAGGATGCCGCCGGGAGTGATGTGCTTCCCAGCGAGATTAAGTGATCAACGTCAATGCATAGATTGCATGATGAAACCCTCTAGTGGCTATATTTCACTGCGATCACATAATTGAATGGAATTCGCACGGTGGGCAGTGATGAGGTTGTCGTGGAAGTGGCGTCGATGAGATACGAGAAGGTGAAGTCCGAGCAGCTTCGCTCCCCTCCAGATGCCAAGACGAGTAAACTTACTGACCTTAGTGGAGATCGACGATGACGACGATAATTGGCCTGGTCAAGCTTTCACGCCCTCTATTAAGTCGACAGGTTGCTTGAAGGTATTCACCTCAGAGCAATCTATTCCAGTCCTGGCTCCTTCACCTCGTCGCCACCTGTTTGGTGTAGACACTTTTGGTGTTTGTGCTGGAGTAACGGACCTGAGCATTGCCGCAACGGAGGTGCCTGGAGCTTCGGAGTTGGCTTCTTCACATCGTTCAGCTAGCCACACAGAAACACCGTGGTCGTTTGGGCCAGCTGAGGAAACTGTTCGAGGGGTCACGCGGGGCACGCTGACTCCCCAGTCCATTGCACCTTCGAACAGATCTGCACATGTGCAAGGAACAAGCTGCTTTGTCCAAAAGCGGTCGACGTTTTGCGGACAATGATAGCGTGCAATGCGATGCAGCCTGGAATATTCGACAGTAAGTCGCCTAAACGGAGCTGTCAAGAGGATTGTCCGTTACCCATACAGCAATCGTGCAGAGGTCGGCCCTTTGATGTGGCGTGGCGTAGCTGAAAGCAAATCGAGAATTTAGCCAACTCAGGCTCTCTCATTCAGCATTGATATATTATATCCACAGAAGAATTGAACGAACCGGGAGCCCAGAAGTGGCGAAGCTGGAAGCCGTCAACCCTTGCTTGACTCGACACCTACCATATTTCAATTAGCCTGTCGGCTAGATATCCTCATCCTCACGCTCAACCCTTCCAGCCAGCCTTGTTCGACCTGGCTCAGCTGGCTTCAAAAAGGGTTGCTGTTTTCGCAAGCGAGCATCAAGACCAGGGTGACACCCATCAATAACAAATACGTCAAACGTGAGTCACGTCCGTCAGGGTTGCCTCGTGTTGGAGTTGAGCTGCAATATCAACTCGTATCACATTGATGTGACAGCTCTATCACGCTCTTCAGCCTGATACACCCCAACATCTGGGACGGCCACGCTTTCAGCCTCAGTGTTCAATGTCGTTGAATCCAGCCCTTGCTCCCTTGTCCCTTCCTCGTATGGCCTGACCATCAACGAGCTCTTGTCCACTCACTCAGGGATACCATACCGAGATCTTCTTTGCGATTGGTCTGTTCAAAAAAGCGGGATGGTACCCTGTGTCGACGCCCGGTGATTCCCATCACACCGCGAGACCATAGGCGGAGCGGCTTCAGCTTTGCTGCAACAGCCCTCTCTTCTCGCATGGCTAAAGGAGGGTTGCGCGTCGTTCAGCACAAGTAGATGACCCTGCGATATCCTATGGAAGATGCAGTTTCTGTGGGGTTTACCTCAGCTCGACAATGTGTGATCCTTGTGCGTGATGGTGTGTTCTGATATTCAGCTCAGGTCGTTGACGCCATCCATGATCATCCACATTTCCCGTGAGAAGGTCTAGTGCAGACAGCAGATCCGACGAGGTATAAATAATGCCTCCAATTCACTCGAAACGATGATTCCAGCCCACAACACACTTCATACATCATCTCGTCTCAAAGCAAACACTACTCAATCTTTCTGTCGCACGACATCCCTTTCCCGCCAGTCATGTCTACCACCACCACGGACGACAAGGCCTCGCCCAGACCACTACCCGCCGACTGCCTGGCCGCCATCTTTGATCGGGACACCAGCTATCTTTATCTTTACGCCCAGGGCAAGTATGAGACGCCCGCCTTGACTTCGTTTGTCGAACTACCATGGATCGGAGCCCGCAAATTTGAGTTCCAAGGCCTGTACCTGATCGGCTCGGAGGGTGGGACCCCGACAGAACATCAATATGCCCAGAAGTTCCCGGCAGGATCGACGCCACATTTCCCACTGAAGAGCGTTCTGATCGTCGTCGCTGATGGTGAGGGGGGGAAGACTAAGACCATCGTCGTCCCCGTGGAGACTGTTACGCTCTTCCAGGGTGAGGGACCAAGTGCGTAAGTCGCATCTGGCTTAGAGAAATCGATAGGGACGGCCGTTTGAGAACGGAGGTATTACGGACGAATGTGTTGGATATGGGATGTCGGAGACCAAGACAGCGTGACAATGGAGCAAAAAGAGATGGTGCAGCAAGAGCTGTTTTCTTCGACAGGTGGAACGATATTCAATTGTTCTCCGTGATTGGGACAAATTGCCATTGGTGACTATTGGGACTTCCTTTCCTTTCTTATGGCGACAACCTGGTCATGGTGACTGGGTGTTTGTATCTGTTGACTCGAACTTCTCCCATAGTCTCTCCCTCGCTCCTTTTGTTCGTCTCTGATTGAGTCTCGGTGCTCATAGGCAAATAATGCATAACTATTTTTTTTTTATACAGCTCAATGATTGAGCTGGCTGACCAGCAACCACTGAGGACTGAATTGATCACGAACCATCATATAAGCACAACTTCTGGACCTACCGAGTACTTGCTATAAACAGACTAACATGCACACAGAGCAATTCGCAAGATTTGATTCAGGAAGGGTATCCAGTACATAAACAAGCCCCTTAGCCTCACAAAAACATATTGCCACTTATTTAGAGCCCGGAGAAGACACCTCGACCACGATCTTCCCCTTCGCACGACCGGTCTTGAGCTTCTCAAACGCCTTGGGAGCCTGCTCAAAAGGGAACTTCTCATCAATCACGGGCCTCACCTTGCCCTCCTTCATCCAGTCTGCGATCCGTTCCAGATCTTCTGGCTTCACCTTGGGGAAAAAGCTGACTGCCTGTCGCTTCCCGCCACCTAGAAAAGCGGGCCACACTTTCCGCAGGATGGCGTCCACAACGAAAGCGCGTGTGAGCGGTGCGCCAACGATCATGAACAGAGCACCCGGTCGCGTATACTCATGGCATTTCCAGTACAGCTCGAAATTCGAGCCGACGTTGTCGACGACGTGGTCAAACTTGTGCCCGCTGGCTTTCAGGGCCTCGAGTACGTTCTGGCTCCGGTAGTCGATGACGGAGTCCGCACCCAGACCTTTGCAGAGGTCGATGTTGGCGCTCGAACACGTCGTCGTGACGTTGCACCCTGCGGCTTTGGCGATTTGGATGCCGAAGACACCCGTGCCCCCCGAGCCGCCGTTGATGAAGATCCTATCGCCGGCCTTGACGTAGGGGAGGATCGATTGGTGCGCGGTCAGCCCTGCCACGCAAATTGCAGCCGCTGATATGTGGTCCAATCCCTCTGGGATGCCCACGACTTGGTCCGCTTTCGCGACGGCGTATTCTGCCAGGCCCCCTCCAGCGAAGTGGGATGTGCCCGACGCGCCGAAGACAAGTTGGCCAGATTTCAGGGCTGACCCGGCTGCAGGGGTGACCATGTAGCCTGCGAACTGGAGGTATTTGTTAGCACGTCCAGCCTCCGTAGAGCAAACCGCCGCTGTATTTTAGTAATAAAACCCGCTGGAGGTGAACGTACATCAATGCCGGGCGTTGCTGGTTTTGAGATGACAAAGTGACTCAGAAGCCGGATCTCAGCAGGCTTGTAGTCAACTGGATTTAGTGCCGTAGCTAGAATCTGTACGAGATGCTGATTGGGGGAGGGACGGGGTACGGGAGCAGACGTATTTAGGTGGAGGCTCTTCTCGATGCCACCTTTGGCGCTGGAGTATTGCCATGCTCTCATCACAGTCGGTGGAGAAGACATCTTGCAGATGAGTCTCCTATCGGGAAATGTGTTCAAGCAAGCAGTTGCACGCAATGCTTATCCTCTGTCGCTATCTGTGATATATGGTTGATATATACCTCCTCCTCGTCCACCAACGCGAATACGTACGAGCTCGGACGGTCGGACGGTCGGCGTTTCGGGCCAATTCTCGATTCCGTCAGGGCGTCATCACTGCTGCATTTGCTGCCTTTGTCTTGATGTTCATTATCCCAGACGGGACCTTTCTGCCCATCCTTGCACATTTCCTTGTTGTTGACAGGCTGGTGTTCCAGCCTTCTTCTCTTCTTCACGAAAGTCACTATTGGCCCGTGCTCCCTCGCTCGTAGTTGGGTCTCGAGCTGTTTCGGCTGACCTCATGACTCTAGATTGTTCTTTTGAGCAACCAATGGTACACACCCTCTAGACTGGAGGAATGGTTGGCCGTCATCGGCTTGTCGTTCACTCTCATGACTGCAGCAAGAGACCAAAAGGGCCACAGGAGAAAAATAAATTCCTCCCCGAACCTTGAGAGTCGGTGGCCTGAAGCAGGAGAAGGAGGAGATGACATGCGAGCTGTAATATTATGTGCCATTAACTCCTAGTCTTATTGAGACAGGTTTACTCTAGGCTGCACACGCCCTCCTAGGGATATGGTTATTATGGACTTTCTTGTCGCCATTTCGAGCATTCATCATGCGAGATCTGACAACCAGGCTCCTCTATGTCCGGTCAGAGGCTCGCATGACGTGTTGATCTCGCTTAACAGGGCTAGGGGTTGGCGCTTTTCCGTTTTCAGGATTCATCCTGCGACGGGCGTTAGCTGAGCCCGGGTGATTAGCGGACGCGGAGCAGGCAAGCGGCCTTACGGACGTTTCAGTGGAGGCCGGGCATTCGATCAGTATGTGAGGCCCCCTTTCACATCCCCATACCGACCAGGTATGTCACTAGATCTTGGTCGTGATCCATACAATACGCACGTTGAAATCTGCAGAACGCTTGTTCCATGATTCGCCAGGGAACTCCTTACCGCTCTAGCTGCCACGTCTAGCTCGCATCTAGGCAACATTCAAAACAACCTGAACATGGTATGGAACACGAGTTCCTCCGCACACGGTACGGAGTATACTGTGCTGTGCTCCCGAGACTCTGGCGCAGGTCAGCCAGGCAGCGATGCTAAATCCATTCAGACAGCTCGATTGACGTATTCGGACAACCAGTGTTTGGCATGTCTCTCTCCGTTGTTCATTGGTGCACAGTCCAGGAGACAATCCAAGTCCTACGGCCTTATCGCAAGCAGGACAGACTTCAGGATGACCGCTATGGCTATGGCTATGGAGACACAGGGACTCTGTGCCATGCACCGCGACAAAGTATCTGACAGCTATCTTCACATTCCTGGTCAGCGACGGTGAAGGCACTGCCAGATCCAGGCATGTGTTCTGCTGGTCTATAAATTTGCCACGGGAACCTGTCGAGGAAGCATTCGCCAGTCATACCCACCATACCAACAGATCGTATACAGAGTATAGCATAACCATACCACTACTACGCTCAGTTCTTTAGCACAAGTTACCTCCTTGTTTTAGCAACCTTCAACACTACAAAAGAACCACCATATCTCCCAGTCTCTGTCCTCCTTCCTCTCCTCCACAGATACTCAGAGCCTTCAAGATGACGCACTCCAACATTCCCATCTTCGTCACCCCCAACGGCACCGTCTACATCGGCGGCGGCAGCGATGCCAACTGCACAGTCTCGGTTTGTCCGATCGAGATGAGCGTGTACGGCTACCGCCCCTCTCTGGGCGCGAGCGGCGCTCTGATTGCCCTGTACGGCGTGTGCATCGTGGCCCAGCTCGTCCTGGGCTTCCGCTACAAGACCTGGGGCTTCATGAGTCTCATGCTGCTGGGCTGCGTCGACGAGATCATCGGCTACGTGGGCCGTATTCTCTACTGGCAGAATCCCTGGGCGCAGGCCGGGTTCATCATGCAGATCGGTAAGAACATCCTAGATCTTGGTATAGAAGAAGGTGGTTGTCTAACGAGTGAACCAACTATTCAGTCCTGATCACCATCGGCCCCGTCTTCTTCTCCGCCGCCATCTACGTGCTGCTCGCGCAGATGTAAGTCTCAGTCATCCACATCTCATACCCATCTCATCTGGAACCTAACACGGCATCAGCGTCAAGTACATCTCCATCCCCTCCTCGCGCTTCGCACCCAAGTACTTCTATTGGATCTTCATCCCATGCGACATCGTCAGCCTGGTGCTGCAGGCCGCCGGCGGGGCCATGTCGTCGTCGTCGAACGGCTCGTCCACAGCGGGGGTGGACGTCGCCCTGGCCGGCCTGGCTTTCCAGGTCTTCACGCTGACGGCGTTTGTGGCCCTGGCGCTCGACTACGCCGTGCGCAGCCGCGGAGTGTGGATGTCTGTCCGACGGCTCCCCCAACGCTTCGTCGTCTTCGTCGCCTTCCTTTTCGCTGCGACCGTCCTTATTCTTGTTCGCTGCTGCTACCGCGTCTACGAGCTGAGCGGCGGCTACTCGCGCACCAGTGACGCGTTGAGGGATCAGACACTGTTCATTGTCTTTGAGTCTGTGTAAGTCCCGAGTATAGATCCTAATACCTGTCCCCATTTAATGAGCCACGCCCAGCCTCATGGTCTAGGCTGATTACTGACTCTCGCCTCTCCAGGATGGTCATCCTCGCCGCCTTCTGCTTGATCCCTGGCCACCCCGGCTTCGTCTTCAAGACCGGCAACGAGCAGCTGGTCTCGGAGGAGACCCTCGCCGAAAAAGACATCTCCTCCACCAGTATCGGATCTGCCAGTCCTCTCCAGGTCCAATGAGGAGGTATTGAATGGCATATGTCAGAGCGACTGCCAATGTTTGCCATAGTGTTCGAGGAATACCCGCATCGAGGATATATATGTGTGTGTAGATACGACAACGGACAGGCGTCAGAAAATGGTTGTTGCTTCTATTGCAAACGATGCTGAATAGACAAAAATCAAATGTATTCCTTTCTACAAGCCCTTTCGAAGTCGAAGTTATGAATACTCTTTTTGGTGTCCATATAATCTCCGCCCTACCTATGTAGTCGGGAAGAGACCATTAGAAAGAATCAAACAAATACTTCACCCAAAAGAAACCAGGCCTCAGCCTTTGTTGCTGGTCCATGCGACAACGCTCGGCAACATTGCACGACCCGCATTCTGCACGCTGCGAGCAATGCGGAACTGACCCGCAGAAGCAATGGTGTCGAACAGCGCCTGCACCTGGGCGTGGTCCTCGGGGATGGCTCTCAACTCCCACCGGACCACGCTCAGGGGGAAGATGGCTTTGGAGCGTGTATGCTCGACCCGGGTCTGCAAACAGTACTGCAGAAGGCGGAGGACCTGCTTCGATAAGGCCCGTCGGCGGGGTGGGTCTGTGTGCGAAGAAATCTCTCTGAGGAGGTCTTGGTGCTCGTTGAGAAAGTCACTCGAGCTCTTCTCGATCAGGGCCGCCGCGAATGTGGAGAAGGCCAGGTCGAGGGCGAGGAGGGTTGCGGAGGTAATGGCATAGGTCGTATCGCCAAAAGGAAGTTCGTGCAGAGCATCCACGTTCAAGGGATGGGGGTGCTCTGTCCGTACGGAGAGGAGCTCTTCGTGGAGCATTTCCATGCCGCGGTAGCTATCCCTGATCTGTTCCAGGATCCGAAGAAACTCTGCTCCACCCGAGTGCTGGTGAGCCGTCTCACCCATATGGAAGAGGTTCGACAGCGTAAAGCCGTAGTCGTAAAGCCTCTGATGGACATCCTTGGATGTATCTCTCCAAGGTTGCATTACCCAATCCGGGTTGCCGAAGAAAGACGACTCCCGCCGGGTGAGAGACACGATCATGGCGCTGTACCGCATGGATTCGAGGATGGAGTTGGACAGGGGCCCGCGGTGGCGGGTAGGGCCTCGCAGCTGGATGATCCGACCAATGCCCATGATGTGGTTCTGCCACGCAGCCATGTCCCCGGACGTCGACTCGAACGCCTCGTACAGCACCATGCACCGTGCCGCGGCGAGGATCTCGTCGTTGAGCATAAGCTCTGGGGAGTACAGAGCACTCTGCATCAACCGCAGAGCCTGGCCATAGATTTCTTGCCCCTTTAGAACGAGGTTTCGGCTGTGCTGCAGCCTGCCAGCGCGGACGTATGCGAGAGAAAGCAGGGCTTGTCTCAGCGGAGTGGTGGGGAATGGGATATTAATCGAATGGTACAGCCAGAGGTGTTCTCTGCGCCCCGAGTGCGGAGTGGAATCTCCTGAGTAGCTTTCCCAGAAGGAGGATATAAGTTGATCCTCGTTGAGTTGTGAAGAAGAGGGCATGGAGAAGACCATACTACTGTCTTGATTCTGCTCGGCAGGGTGAGGTGGCGTGGATCTGGCTTCTTCCAGGCGCTGTCTCCTCTGAAGACCAGCCTGGTCCCGGTTGATGAAGACCGGGTATCGTCCATATCCCTCACATACTCTGTGTGATGAGATGCATCTCTGACACTGTGGCTTCTGCAGGTCACACTGACGCAGTAATTAGAGGATGCGGACGGCCAGGCGAGTTCGTACTGACTCTGATCTTTCTTCTTCTGCAAGTGTTACAGCCTTGCGACTTGCCCGGGATGCCGACCATTACTTGTGCCAGCCACCTGTCGATTTGTCTTTGTCACGGACTGTTGGAGACGACGTCTTTTGGTGTTCATCCGGCATACGCGAAAGATGACCGGACTTGCTCCACTGTCTTCTCCAAATCTCATGGGATTCTGCTTGGCCCGAGGGAGTGGTGCCCCCATGATTGGTGTCGATCTCGTCCAACCGGCTCGCCTCTGCTTAGCCACGAGAGAGACGTCGGTCATGCATGGCGGGGTTCAAAGATCGTGCGGGCGCTTCTGGATCGCGTCTAGGCTCCCAGCTGTCCCTCCACCACCCCTGGTTCAGCATTGGATCGAAAAAGACTTCAGATATGCACCATTATGTCGCTTTCAAACGGCAACCTTGGGTCTTGCGATGAGCTATAGTGTAATTCTTCAGTCCACCGAAAGCTATCGTGTCCCCATCTCCAGTGAGAAGGCTCTGGGCTGTATGGTACTTGTATCCATTTTCTCAAGGCATTAATTCGGTGACATGGGGATTCTGCCTTTCTGGCGTCAAACTCAAAACACACTGAGATAATCGTATTTACGGCTCGCCCTTGGCTAGTCTACGGGGTTTATCTGCCTGCTGAAAAATCCGAACAAGCATGAGAATGATAAAGGCCGTGGCAGGGGCAAGTAACGTATCTTATTTGACCAATCTTCGACTCTTCCGGCTCCAACTTAACTTATTTCCTCGACTTGCGATATCATCTCTGGCGCCAACCCTGCGAGCTCTTTTGCTAACATGGCAGCGTACCCTCCTGTGGCACCTGCAAATGGTGGGCTGATCATGGCTTCTTGTCCAGAATGTAGTAGGCATGAAAAACTGACCTGTACGAATAGGAGCAAATTTCACTCAAGTAATCCGCAACGATACATACCCATTCATCGACTCAAGGACCAACCCAAATCATATCGGCAGGGCTGTTTTCGTGACCGGCGGCAATCGAGGCATCGGAAAGGCCATTGCCATATCATTTGCTCAAGCGGGTGCTTCATTCATTGGTCTCGGATGTCCTGACGGCTTCGGGGATCCTCCCGTCAGTATCGAGATCGAGAACGCAGCCAAGCAATGCGGCAGAACTCCTCCCACTGTTCTCCTCCTTCATTTAGACGTGACGGACAGTGCCTCTGTGGCGGCGGCAGCAGCCCAAGTCCAGAAGGCTTCGCCTCGGCTGGATGTCCTGGTGAACAATGCAGGGTTCATGACCCCGGCACTGCCGATAGTGGACGCCGAGACCGACTCGTGGTGGAAAACGCTGGAGGTCAACTTGCGAGGAACATTCCTGATGTGCAAGCACTTCACACCCCTCTTGAATAGCACACAAGCCGGCCTGCAGACAATCGTCAATATCAACTCGGTGGCGGCTCACAATCTCCGCCCTCAGGCGAGTGCATATGGCACGTCCAAGTTCGCCGTCCTCAAATTCACCGAGTTCCTGCTGGTCGAACAGAGAACGCAGGGGCTGCTCGCCTTCTCGGTGCACCCGGGGGGAGTGATGACCCAGCTCGCCGAAGCAATGCCCAGGGAAACTCATGCGGGTAAGTGACACAAATGGCAGGATGGCAGGCTCTGTGACTGATCTGAATGCGTTCCAGGCTTTACTGATAGTCCGTCGTTGGCTGGTGACACGATCGCGTTCCTCACGGGAGAACGACGAGAATGGCTTGCCGGGAGGTATCTTAGCTGTACTTGGGACATGGAGGAGCTGTTGGAAAGGCAAAAGGAGATAGAGGAGGGTGACAAGCTGAAAGTGCGGCTTGTCCTGTAGTACTATTCGTGGCAGTGGCTGAATGTAGAAGCTGCTGCTGTGCCGTAAGCATTACCATGTGAGAATCTGTCCCGTTCCCGCTTTTGTGAATACAATGTACTTCGTCACAAGACCCCCATCCCGGACCTCTCCAGGGTTAGGGCCTAAATGCACACCTCTCCTGCCATCGGGAGTTCGACTAGACCAGCCGATAGCGCGCAGTGCCCCGGCTTCCCGTCAACAGGTTCTCTGTGACTCCTCAAAGCAACGGCTTGACTCCCTAAGTACTTCTATCATGAGGATGGTGCCGCATGGCAGAGAGAGCAACACTTGTCGTGCCGACAACTAGGATTTGTGCGTTGAGCTCGCGAAATCCGCATGCGATGAAACACTAGCATGCAGATGAGGTTCCTGGAGCCGATCGCTGCAATGTCATGCTGCCAATTCCCGTCACGCCCGATAACATGGATGTTGACAGGGTATAGACTGCGCTCCACCAAGGATACTGGACAGGACGAGCAAGCGAATGATGTAAGACCACAGCAGATTGAGCCGGAGAATGTAGAACTAAGCCAAGCCGCATTAGATCGACCAACGAAAGCCCAGTCATCCCTAGTGGTAATTCATGTCTCCAAGCAGAGTCTTCGAGGTGTGCAAGGCCATCCGCAAGTGTCAATGCAGCAGCTGTAAGTATCAGGAGAGAGCGGCTCCTGCGTCAGTCACGATTAAGAAACCCCTTTGCAGAAGCCCACTCACGATAACAGAAAGGATAAACACCTCGATTTTGAGGCAACAATGCACAATCTATCAGAAGGCACAGGCCGATTGGGACACAGCTCAGTAAAGGCCCTGTAAGCGTTCGAGCTTCCGGAATTCCAGAGTATCGAAACCTTGCTGCGATTCATCTTTAAGTATCAGCCATCAACCATGAGGCCGTCGTTAGCAAAGAAGACTCGGCAGGATCTCTCGACAAGGGTTTGAGCTCGCTCAGATCACAACTGACGAAGGAGATTCAAGGTCATCTCAGATGCGCAAGCGCAACCCACCTCCCAGACCTCCCAATGGAATTCATGGGCGATTTGGACAGACCGAAGACGTGCTAACAAAGCTCCATCAGGATTAGTTCAGCCTCAGGAAATACTCGGATGGAGTGACCAAGTTGTAAGCAGAAGGCAGCGAAGATCAAGCTGAACCGTCATGGCCCATTCTTATAGAAATTATGATGATTGGTAGCGAATGGCCAATCAAGGGGGGTTTTCGGCTGTGGGATCAGGGCACAACCCAGACCGACTTTTGACACCACCATTCAGCCTTGAAATACTCAGCAGCAGTGTCAGCGGCAGTGCCAGCACTAGGGCCAGTACTATCCTATCGCGCCTCTATCATGAGATTTCACTATAATCGTCCTAAGGATCGCTATTTCTCCTTCTCTGCTCGTTATTACTGTAAGAAGTAGGAAGGAGAGGGCTGAGCGATGGAGCTGGGCGGCTATTGGACGACAACCACGGACGTTAGCCAATTAGATCCTTCAGCGAAATTCGTTATGTTTTGGCCCCATCATTCAGCCTTGAAATACCGAAAACGGGTTGGCTGAAGAACAGGACTGCATTAGTCTTGTATAAATACAAGGAGTCGGTTATGTCTGCGAGAAACCCACTGCCGGAACCGGAAAAGTTTGTGACACGCCCACGAACGCAGTACTTCGAATTCAAGATGCGCTGATCAAGACACCATCTGTATATATATGCCCATACCATCCGCTCTGCTCGAGTGAGAGAGAAGAAATCGACATTCGATATCTATTTCGCAAAGCAGCAGCATTTCCAATCCCTATCCCTTGGACCGTCCCATCCAACCATCCAAGCCTCGAAAGATGAATATTAAAAAGTTTCATCTCCTCAATATCTCGCTCTTGCTAATCAACGTCGCGTATTGCTTAACCGTTACATGTGACACGGGTGGCAACTTAGTCCTGACATCCGACTACGAAGAACTCTCCAACGACATCCTGAGCAACAACTTCAATCCTCCCCTTTCAGATCCCATCAAGCTCGGTCCTACCCAACAACAACCATTTCCGAGAATTGGAACCGCGGGAGCTTGCCTCCACAACGACTTCCTTTTCAGAAGCGCCAGCATCGCCCTGAGCGACGTGCAGGCCGCAGCAGCGGCTATCTTTTCACAGTGCTTCTTGGTTCCAGGGTTGACGGTAGCAACCGGAGGACAGGCGACCCTGACTTCGAACGATGGGAGTGGGATCACGGTCATTTTCGAGGTCGGACCGCCTGCTCTGTTATGTTAAGTGGCGCTAGACCTGAATGTGTCAAGGAGTGAAAGAGGAGGCGTAGGTGACGCTACAAGATCGGACAGTTTCCAAATCAGCTTTCCATTAGTTGGACACGAGCAAGGGACATGTACATAACTTGAGCAACATCGTAACTCTGCACACCTTTCTGCACGTTGTTTCCGTCTTTGCCGCACGTTTCTGCAACGAAGCTCACGTGTACTCGTCCGACCTTGCTGGCGTCGTAAGTTTAAGGGCCTCTGCCGGCCGCTTGTATCGCATACTCTCAGATACTGTAACGACGCAGTGACATCAAGACTCCAGCGATTGAGCTCCGCTCGTTTTGCCCTCCTCACTGTATCGCACCTCGCAAGGGCAGCGCCTGGTCTTGAATTCGAGCTGGCATCCTGTCATCATTGCAGGGGACACCGTATTTGTGCACTTGAGCCATGATTAGGTCATAGTGCCATTTCCACAACTGAATCCCTGAGTCGGGGACCACAAACCCACTCCTCCTTTGAAAACTTTCTCCTGATCGCGAACAGGGGGATGATTGATATCGGAGGGCTCATTTACCTTAGGTGCGTCAGAAAAATGTGTGTCTTCTGCCTCGTCCCTGTTGTCAGAATCTCAACCTCCAAAACGCTGCTATATCTCGACTTCAATTTAGACGCGCGTATTAGCGCAGTCCAGTTCCACCCGGACTCGCAGGTCGGTGGCCCAGCGGATGGAGGTGCGAAATTGTGGACATCGAAACACAAAAGGAGTACAGTCACTCAACAGACACCACTCTGGGTTGCACAATTCACAGCTGCGGTAAACAGGTTCAAGTAGCACGCTGGCTACCCGAGTGAGCCGCACACAACGCTCGCGATCCTACAGCTTCGGCCGGTTGGGTGTCGTTGGTGTCTTAGCCGGGGATCTGAGCTGTTTCGGCTATTGCTATCACTTGGTCTACGGCCGTTAACACTCACACTTCCTTGCAGCTTGGTTGTTCGCTGGTATTTGACGTGGTTGAAGTTCGTCGGTGGTGCCTGTGCCGTGGTGGTGGCAGCATTTGTGGTGGAAAGGCCAGTCATTCCCTCACTCGCTGGGATGAGAGCCTGGTGCGTCGGGAAGAGGGCCCTTGTTCTGCGGCGTCGAGCGGATCTGCTTAAACCATCTCGACAGAAGAGGAGATGGCCAGCATGGGTGCGTGATAGGGAATCGTTGCCTCTGGGCCTTACCAGTGTCCCTGTCCAGATCGTCGGTATCAAACTCAAAGTCGTAATCGGGGTTGCCTCTCCAGACCCTCGGTCTCTGAAATGACCGTGTCTGTTATCGGTCCCTTCGCCTGCTCCTCAGAGGCAGCGCAGCCACGGCAGAAGCCTCGAAGGAAGTAATATCATCAACACTATCAGAACAGCCTTTAATCTCATTCATTAGTTTTCAGTCGATTCAGTTGAGGTGGCTAGATCCCGCCTTTTCCCACTGAAATTCTACAGCAAAGAGGGGCGGAGACTATTACGCAAGAAGTACTTAATGTAAACCAATCAAAAAATGCCTAATTACTCGCTTCGCTGGTGCCTTGAGAAGTCCCTAAACCGGTTTACGCCTCACAGTCTATTTTATATATTCGTATACCCCCTCGTCCCGCTTCGTCGTATTATTTATGCTATAGGTAGGTATATATAACATCGGCCTCTTCGGATCTTGTCAGCTACGCTTTCAGATCCATTGGCCAGCATTCAATTAAATACGACCGCGAAAGAGCTGGAGGACCGTTCATCTTACCCTCTGCTAAACCCGAACCCTACGCCATGTCGACCGTCCGCTACTTTGACTCCGTCCCCCACATCGCGCGCTACGGCATGCATGATGACAAGAACGGGGGCAAGTCACGTACACTGTTCTACCGCAATGGTGTGTGTTTCAAGATCAATGTCGCGGGAGGAGACGTCTCTGGGACGGCATTTGCAGACACCTGGAGCAAATTGCTCGGAAGGCCCGACGTGTCCGATCAGAAACAGAGTTGGATTGCTCAGTGGGATGCGTTGTGCGACTGCGTCATCACGCCGTGTTTGCCCCTGCTTGAGACCTTGGCTCCCAGCTCGCATCAGTGGGTGACCTTGCACGACTACATCCACACACCGACGTATGACCTGAAGCTGGTCGCCGACGAGGCGAAGACGGGGGATGTTGTGCCAGAAATTACCGACGGGCCGACGGATCGCCCCTCCTACGAACACCATCTCATGCACTTTGCAGAAATCAGCTCACTCTCCGAGCATCATGTCACCCAATATCGAGCAGGAGATCTCGTTGTCCTGGGGCAAGACAAGAACTGGCGCCGTCCACCGCACAAAGTTCGCGCCCCCAGCGGTGATGTGTTTTTCTTCAGAGCCTGCAACAGACCCTCGAGGAACGTCAGTACCGGGCAGATCACCAACAGCTCCCTGGACGTTATCAATGCATTCCTGCGGCTATATCCGCAGTCGAGTGGGGCGTCTTCCTCAGGGGCGGCTGAAGGAGTCAATATTCCAAGACTGCAGGGAGTTGTTGTCAGCCATGCAAATGCCGGACTGGAGGAAAGCACTGCACCTTCAGCGGCAGACGAAGGACAAGCCAAGCAACAAGAGGAAGAGTCACTTTGTGCTGGGATACTCACGAACTTTGTGCCAGGGGCGAAGACTCTGGCAGAGTTGATAAAGCTCTCCAACAACCGGGACCAGACGATTGACCTCTCGAAATACAAAGAGAAGTGGAAAGATCAGATCGCTTTAGCGATAAAACATCTCCATGACCATCGCATCACGGTGGGAGGCCGCTCTGGTGCGAACGCATGGTATCTGATCAATCAACATACCATCCGCGTCGCGCCGAAGATCGACGGCGACGACAAGCCCGACAACGCACCCGGAGCAGACTTCCATGACGCAGACGCTTGGTTAACGCTATCAGGCGGCTGCACAGTGCACCCACTTGCGGAGGGGAACAAGGAAGAAGCAACTGACGGAGAGAAATTCAAGGAAGAGCAGGCCATGGACTGGGCGGCTCTCGAGAAAGTGTTTCAGTTCTGATCGGCACGAGCAAAGAGCCACGCCACAGGAAGGAGGAGGAAGTCCCAGCCCCCAAGTCCACGGTCTCGTGCTAGAGCGAGTGTGGCAATTCTTGGGTGTTGTAGGGAGGCTCTGACGATACTTCGTCAGCCACAAGAGGTACATCTTGCGTGGGAAGGGGGTAAGAAGGGGCACTGGCTGAGATGCCTTAAAGGCCTGTCTGGCATAGGTCAAAAGCACCAGCGACACCATGATGCTCAGCATATTCATTCATTCACTTGCACCTTCCTCTTCTGGTTGCTTGAGAGATATGATGGATGCGGTAGAAATAGCCTGACGTGGACGGTCTGTTGTCATGCTGATCCACGACCCATTTGTATGATGCCCCTGAGGCAGTCATGCATGGATTCAGTCAGTCAAGAAAGAAAGAAAGAAGAGGGGGGTTTCCAGACAGACAGAGAACCACACGTCCTTGTCGACAGAAAAAGATAACTGGGAAACATGCTGGCCCCCATGACGTGCGACATGCATTAAATCATCGGGCAATCTAGCTGATTCCGGGATGTGATATGTTTGCACCTCGTAGTGCGTACGCAGCAATAATTGCTCGATCTCGCTGACTGGCTGGCACAGGCTGGCACGCCTGACCGGCGCTAGTCGTTTGACGAATCCTACCGTATGGATACGAGCCAGATTATTACCCAAGCACAGGTAATCTAGCGAGACGAGCCCCTCCGGAGTCCAATCATGGGCGGCTGGCTTCCATAAAATGATTCTTACATAAACGATCTCGGAAAGGATTAGTCGCTGCTGACCTTGCTCTCCATCGGCCAGTTCCATTTGGAAAATAGTGGCCCCCATTCCATGGGGAGACCGAATGGGTGACTCTCTCTGGTTCAGTTTCAGGGGTATTGATAAATCAGCACGCGGTGAGGACTGGTAGCTGTCCGCCAAAGATCCAGGGGAAGCGTTTCACTCGGTTGAATGGAGTTTTCGGCCAGATATTGAGGAAGTGGTCATTCCCACTCCACCATTATCTCATGGGTGGTCCAATCGTTCCTGTCCCTGTCTTCACCATTCGTCGAGTGCGATTCCGCAGATCATCACCGCTCAGCCAAAGATGCTAACAGAGTCTGGAGTGATGGCCGCTCCAGTGGCTCAGGCACTAGCATCGAGGCAACCATATCCCTGGCCTGAGGAGGCAATTTCTGTAGCAAATGAAAAGCTCCAGTGGAACAGGCCTGGAGTTGCATCGTCGATTTTTCCCAGTTCGGACAATGGTCTGAGGAGGTGTAACCGATGTCGTCGACCGCGTTCTGTGTCACGTACGCCTGGTAGCGAGGGTCGTTGAGGGAGGCAGACGCCCATGGAATGGATCCCGTAATCATCACGTAGAACAACACCCCGAGGGCCCACACATCGGCTTTCGCCTTGTCGAACTCGAGCTGTGTGAAGACGTCTGGGGGCATGTAAGCTGTAGTGCCATAGTCTCCCGGGACGACGTTGACCGTATTTTCTGACCCGGGGGTTTCTGTCGGACATTCCGAGAAGGTGGCTGCTCCAAAGTCGATCAGCTTGGGTCTTCCGTCGGCCGTCAGAAGCACATTCTCGATCTTGAGGTCCCCGTGGGCTATACCCCTGTTGTGCATGTGCTCCACGGCCGCGAGAATCCCGCGGAATATCGCTGTGAGCGATTCCAGCCCGGTGGAGCGACGCTCCAGTGCCAGGCTCCGGGGACAGAACTCCGTCACCAAGAACCAGGTCGAGGATCGTTCTTCCAGGAGCAGCTCGTGAGTCTCTGCGATGCCGCCATGGCCGTTGATCAGCGTTCCCAGATGATACTCCAGTTTGACTCGCTGCATGAACAAGTCATGCCGATCGGCGACCGCGTCGGTGTTGTGGAACCGTTTGACCGCTACCGTAGCATTGTCGGCGCGCCGCAGAAGCAAGAATACAGAACCTGATGTGCCGGCACCAATTTCTTCCAGCGTGGGCCCATAGTCGGACTCCAGGTCCCGTGGGAGTGTAGTGTGACGGATCTGTGAGTAGTCCAGCCAGCATTCTGAGGAGGTGGTGGTGGGGCTCGCTGAACAACAGCCAATGAAGTCGACTAAGACCCGGAAGAGGAAAAGAGAAACAACGACCCAGGATGGTCTGTTCATGGTTTGTCAGCTGGTGACGAACATGTTTCTGGGGAGGAAGGGCGATAAGCTAGCCTTGGGCGAGGGCTTTCATATGTACCAGTCGACGTGCTGGACCCGGTTCCTTGCGTCGTTTGTTGCTACCGGCTAGCGTGGGACCCCACCATGGATATCGTTAGCATGCCGGCAAAAGGTCAGCTTTTCGCACATCCTGGCCCGTTCGGGATATTCAAGGGCTCTAAAGACTCCTCCTCCCTTCTGTGGGGGCATGGTCAGGCCTGCAAGGCGGATGCCCACATTCTCGCTGTAAACCCTAAAGCTGTGCATGAGAAATAGTGAGGTAGCACGAGATACCAGTGCATAATCTTTTCTCCCCCCGGAAAAGCTGTGAACGACAACAAACGAGAAAGCCGATCGTCCAAACAACGTTTCACGGACGACGCACTACGCCCCCGCTTGAGCAGCTATCGCGTGCTCATTTCCCCAATGCGGCGGTGAAGCCGGTGGTCGAAGCCTTCGGGAGTTGCCGGGTACCGTCGGCTCACCATACCTTCCTAATGCGGTCTAGTGTGGCAGGTAGAGGACTGTGGCCCTTTTCTCTATACGACAGCAATACGCATCTATACGGCTATGGATGCAGGAGTTCGCTCACAACGATTATTCCGTGGCATAATCGCGCTCGCCCAGTATACAAGGTCCCATATTGGACTTGAATCCGTCCTGTTTCTGTGGAGTTTTGTATGACCCAGAAGAGTTCCTGCAGATGCGGTACAGTGGAGCTCATCGGATCATCGTGAAAGGCGAGCCGAGCTTCATGGTAAATATAGAGGAGAGTGTCTCTATATGTCTATGTCGAGAGAAGTTTGATCTCACCGCCACCCCAGGCCCCCAGACCGTCGCTCCTGAGTCTCTACGCATTGGACTAGAAGCCTGATGCAGGTAACACTGCCTTGCCGATCCGGTGCTGGAAACGGGGTGTCGATGCGATAGGTCGTCGTTGCTCTGAGAACTGATGTAATGCATAGACCACCGTGCCAGGTTGCACCCTGCTCGGCTGTCAGAAGCAAAGAAATACCATGATCGACCCCGAGGCATTCTGGGTTTTTTTGTGCAATCCCTCCGCCTATTTGCTTACGGTTGGTGTGGAGCAGCCAGCCCCGGCTGAGGGCTTAACCTGTTCATTGCTGGCTGATCCTACCTGCTAGATTGCCGAGCTTACCCAATACGGTGTTATCTCTGAGTACCTGCTCGGCACCGCTGCCCCAGCAGGCTCCACTTTCTGGCTTAACATGATGAAACAGTTCGGCAAGATTGGGCTCTCATTGGCGCAAAAAGGGGAAATACCTCCAAGCTTGGCCGGACGTATTCAAGGCTCCTCAAGATAGCTCTGCGGGTTTAACACCATTGAATTCAGCAAGCTTACACCTACCCCCGGCCAGGCACGGACGCATGAATTTAGCCCTTGTCTCAGAATCTATTTCTGCTTTGCGATGGGCAAGTGAGCGTCACCATCAAGCCATTCCCTGCAAGCAGAATGCTCCGAGGCATATGCGGCGCCGTTCGAATGGGTGTCACGGTGTGACATGAAATTCAGCTCGAGCGGTCCATCAGGATCATCGGCGTCCGGCTAATGCTGTCGCCCGCTGTCAGAATGTAATGAGACTCTGCCTCAGTCTCGAAGCTTCGGAGGGATGGGAACCATCGTGGCCCACCAGGTCAGGCGCCCTCGAAGGTCCAGGGCCTCGATGTGACGGATCATCGTCGATGATGGCTTCGGGCGCTCCAAATGCCCTCGGTTCTTTCCGTCAGTATTGACAGTCATGGAGTCTATATATACCCAGGTTTTCTTTTGCTCTTCCCTGAGTTTTGGATTTTCTCTTCTCAGTATCCCCTCTCCTGTTTGGACGATATCAGCAAACATGAAATTCTTGCAAGTTACTTCTCTCCTCACGCTGCTTGCAGCATCGGCCTCAGCCTTGCCGACCTCTCCTGCCACGGATGCCTTGAGTGAGTGGTTTTGAAAACGGATGGGGAACAGGTGGCTAACAAAGGTCTCAGAGGCTCGCACTGCAGCGTTGATGGAAGCTGCTAAGCGTGAGACGGACATCTACCACGCGACAGCGAAGCGCTCTCCGGAGACGGATATCTATCATGCCACAGCCAAGCGGTCCCCAGAGACTGATATCTACCACGCTACCGCCAAACGTCGTTCCCCGGAGACAGACATCTACCACGCTACCGCCAAACGTCGTTCCCCAGAGACTGACATCTATCATGCGACCGCCAAGCGCCGTTCTCCAGAGACCGACATCTACCACGCAACAGCTAAGCGTCGTTCCCCGGAGACGGACATTTACCATGCAACCGCAAAGCGACGTTCCCCGGAGACGGATATCTACCACGCCACTGCTAAACGCCGTTCGCCAGAGACGGATATCTACCATGCTACTGCAAAGCGTCGGTCTCCAGAGACTGACATTTACCACGCCACGGCCAAACGGTCTCCTGAAACCGACATCTACCACGCCACAGCCAAGAGACGTTCTCCAGAGACTGATATCTACCATGCTACCGCCAAACGCTCCCCCGAGACTGATATCTACCACGCAACTGCCAAACGCCGCTCCCCCGAGACTGACATCTACCACGCCACCGCCAAACGCTAAATCAGTGGCTCAGATCCTACGACCTCGCGAGGGGAAGTGCTGAGTTGAGCATCGTGCCCCCTTGCACGTACGTATTTTCGAAATCTCACAGGGGCGACCAAAGAACAAGAAGATGGGAAAACAGCACTTTTCCACAACGAGGCGTGGAAAGAGGAGATGGGGGATTCCAATCAATCAGTCAGTCGCTCACTTACATCATAGGAAGAGAACGGATGGGAGGAGGCAAGGGGAAGGAAAAAGGGACAGGCAGGAGGGGAGCAACGAAGGAAAGGAGAGGAGAGGAGAGGAGTCTCACATCGCGAGGACAGGCAAATCTACTTCCAAGCGGTTTGTCTGCCCAACCCAATAGATTGCCAATTCAACCCTCTTGGTGGGAGGAGGAGCCCTCAAATCAAGACCATGAATGAATGAATCCTCGGCCGGGTGAAAAAGAAAAGGCCCAGGCTCGAGGCTGTAGAAGCGCCCCCCGTCTTCCTCTAACATGTGGAAGACGGTGTGCCATAATAAGGGGATCTGGCTCATAGATCGGCGTCCTCCTCGTAACATTCAGACATGACATACAGTAGTAGCCGGTGGTATTGATGGCCGGTCTAAGGAATGTAGCTCGTGACTCCAGGCAGGGAGGGATGGGATGGGATGTAGTTGTTGGGGCTGGCTACACAAGTCATTCCTTCCAGCCCACGGCTTCCATCCTTTCTATGCTCTTCGATCGTAGATGGCCTGAGCTGCTCCTGGGTGTCATTCCTCCTTCCAGGAATCCGTCACACCTAGATCCCAGCACTACAGCAAGCTAGCCTTCCCCGTCCACGTCAGAGATTGAGCCCGTTCGTAACACGGTAGAATCTAAGCCGAGTTGTTTTTCCTCCAGCTCTATACTGCGTAGCATGTTGATTCCCCACTGGTCCTGGTCCCTCCTCGCCCGCCCACGTTGTGTCAGCAGCACATATATCTCTCTCTCGCTGATCCGAGAATCGATCCTCCTCCTCTTCTTCCACTTCTCCCTCCTTCTCTCATCCCTCTATATACTTCCCCCCTTCGTAACCGAGAAATAACTCTCCCTCATTATTTCCCTTCGGATTGTTGCCAGTCCAAATGCCGTCTTCTTCGGAGAGTTCCTCCCGGTCTTCAGAGGACACTCTCGTCAAACATCACCCTCTATCTCCGTCGTCTATTGATGAGAAACCGCGCCACCACCGCCGCCACCACCGTCACCCTGCCTCGTCGATCCTCGCGAATGTGCTCCGACGCAAAGACCCCGACGAAGAAGAAGATGATGATGAAGACCCCAGCAGCGGCGGGGGCTATCTGATGCGCGACCCGCACGCCCACCGGATGCAGAAGCTGCTGCTGGGATGCATCGGTGTGCTGTCAATCCTGTGCGCGGGGCTCACCGGCGCCGTGATCAAACTCAGCGTCACGCCCAAGGACGTCTTTCGCCACGTCCCCGAGGCCAAGGCGGAAGTCATTCATACGCCGGGCGTGATGCCGCCGATCCTGGGACCTGAATGTATGTTGTCTGAGGAGTCCCTCTATCTTCCCTGTCTTGCCTTTTTTTACATATAAGCTTGTGGGTATATATGGTCTCGCTGACTTTTCCAAAACCCCCCGTCAGTCACCAAAAAGACAGTGCTCTTCCAACGAAACGAGTCGTTCATGGGTTCCAAGGAGAAGGCGTATCCGGCATGGCACGAGATACTGCATCGCGCGCGCCACGGCCGCGTGGCGTTTGACAGCATGCCCGGCGAATTCTACGGCGTCGCTGGGTACCATCAACTGCACTGTGTGGTATGTTTCTTTTTGCTTTTCCCCCCCTCCGGGCCTTGTGTTGATTGTCATCGGCTCGCTAACAATACTGTCATTCAATATATAGTGGCTTCTCCAGTGGGCCGTCGACTACTCGGTCCGCGGGATCGTGCCCGACGAGTTGACCGCCGATCACATGTTTCATTGCACCGAGTATCTGCGGCAGTCGGTCATGTGCTACGCGGATCCGACGCTGGAGCGGCGCTTTGCAGGCATCTTGGGACCCTTCAGCGCCAACAACACCCATGTCTGTGGCGATTGGGACAAGTTGATGGACTGGGCGGACGACCATATCTATCTCGGACCGTACCTCAATCCCACCACCAAGTTGCCGCCCTAGAAGGCGTGGAAAAGGTGGAGGGGGAAGATGTTCCATGTAGTCATAAAGGAGAATTGAATTGTCATTGGTAGTTCGTGTCGAGAATGGCGTACAACTTCAGTGTCTCTTCACCGAACTTGTATACGTCTGGCTTCATTCCCTCTTTCGCCGCGAGGCTTCTGGCAGCCGTGAGTCGTTCGTCTAGCGGGTAAGAAGCTCCGCTGCTGCACAGAGAAGCCCTTCAAAACAAGCCATGCCACTGTGTGACAAACGCTGCTTGCGATCGAGGTCAGCTGGGCAGCCACGGACGTTGCTCTTAGGGACAAGTGCTGGCGCTTCTCTTTCCTCCATCGAACCCTCTCTGAGGGGTCTCAGAGCTCGGAGCCTGTGGACAGAGACATTTGCCAGACAGTATGAGACAGCCTCAAAAGTGAATCCTGATAGCGAGGTTCTTCCCTTGCTTCGATTCTGACGTCCCACTTTCAACAAACATTCACACGCCTGGCCGTGTGCTCGAAGAGTGTGTTTTATCCCCGGTTCTCACCTACTTATCTACTATATTTTCTATTACAAGTTTGGGTAGGGTACGACACAGTCCGTCATTCCATGAAGCGGGCCTTGTTGGATGTCAGGCGCAAATGTGGAAGAGAAACAACAGTGAACGGAAGGAAGCAGGATTCCAGAACATTATGCATCATCCTTTCATGTCCCGTAACCGTGGTCACGGATTGACGCGGGGTAGATAGAGCATCCTGACATAGTCCTGGATCATGGTCAATTGCCCATATTCAGGGAACCAAGCGTGTAACAGAACGTCGTAATCTGCGGGACATCAAACTCGACTTGCGTAGGACAGTCATAGTGTGTCCTGCTTCCCTGAGATAGGCGTGCTGACCGTAATCGCAAGGGGGCCGAAAGTCACAGCCGCGGATTCAAGCGAGACAAGGTTGATGGAGTGTGTGAACAAAGGTTTGCAGCCATACAGGCGCCGGAGTGCAGGATGTCCGTTGAACTTGGTAAAAATCCGGCGGCATTGCATGCCCTTGGTACCGTCAACTCCCCTCCTGGACACTTTGCTCGACAGTGTGGCTTTGCTAAAGTACCTGAACAGTATTGTCGCAATCCTTTTGAATGCTAAGAGTTGTTGTTTGTCGAGACTCCTGTCCCAAGCTTGAGAGCGCTGCGCAATGACTGACAAGCAGATAGCTGACGTCCACCACACCACCCCGCTTATCAAGAAGAAGGTGGTGGCATGAAATGCGAATGATTCCTGATCGCGGCTTTATGTATTTGGGTTTGGGAAAGATATTCTGGGTCACCGAACCCGGAAATCCACCTACGACCAGCAGAACCAGTTGTGGAGGTACAGAGTTCGGACTTTTCAGCATAATGTTATTCGTCACGGCGTGTGGAATCGGCCATGGCGAGCCCGAGAGGATACCTCTTCTCGGGAGTCAGCAGCTCCGACGGCAGATATCTAGATCGGCTGATGTACAGCTCGCCAAAGGAGCTCGCGGGGCCCATTCGGTTTCCGAGGTCCGCATCTGACGCGGGGATTGTTGAAGCAGTCCGATCCATCGAGAGCGGGTTTGATCCGGCTGCATTTCGACGATCGCTCATATTAGCACCTCACCAAGTCAGCGGATATGGTATATCTCCCTTTAAGAACCCGGAAAATATTGTGGCGGCTGGCCCTGTTGTACGGGTCTGTTTGGGCTGATGGCTACTCCATTAGGACTAACATTAGGCACACTCCTGCTCCGACCATGAAACGCCATCATGATGTCGTCCGTGTCGGTCTCGACCGCCGGGTCTCGCTGGCTGGGTCTCTGTCTCCTCTTCATCCTGACCCGTTCCCGCGCGAACTTCAACTGATCCAGGGTTTCCTTGACGGCCTGCTGGCTCTCCTCTGCACCATCATCCTCGGCGACGGCAGCAGCAGCAGTCGTGGTAGTGGTGGTGAGCTGCTGTTTCACCTCCGACTCGGCAATCAATGCGTCGAGATCCCTCTCCTCGGCGTCCAACTTGCGCAGACGCTGGCACTCCTCCTCCCACCAAAACAGCATGCCGACGAGGTCCTTCTGCCGGTAGATGTTCAGCAGGGCCAGTTGGTGGGGGAACCGGGGCCCTATCTTGTGCGTATCCACCATACCGTCCTCTGCCCGTAGGATTTCGTTCTTCTTCAGCTTGGCGTACACCTTCCGACTCACGCTCTCCGAGTCGACGACGCCGGCCACGTAGAACGATCGTTCGTCCAGAGTATAGGGGTCAGCGGAGGCGATCTGGTGCATGTAGCACATGTCCCGCCGGTAGCCCGTCAGGTCAACCGTGCGAGAGGGCGTTTCATCGGCGAAGAAGTTGGGGACGGCGGCGTTGGCGAAACGGGTGAAGGAGAAGCCGAGAGACCCGTTGCGTTTGCGATACATGTTGCTCTGGAAGAGCTCTACGCCGCAGCCCGAAGCTTAGGTCGATGTAGCAGCGTATAGTGACCAGACGAGGAAGGTTCAGAGGACGAGAACTAACGAGACGCGGGGCAAGTAATAAACATCAGGCGAAGACGCGGCGCATTTGAGGCTCGGCAGCGTCGGAAAGGAAGAGACGATGTACTCGGTACAAGGGTATGTACTACATAAGAGACCGCACATTTGTTCTGTGGGCGATGACAATGGTATTGCACGTGGTTGTCCGTGGTTGTGTCATTGGTCATTATTATTGTTCGAGTTTGTCCAAGACAACGAAACCGCCGTGGCCCCATCGACCCCGACCGCCATCGCCATCGTCATCGCCATCGCCATCGCCGTTTGACTCGGATCTATATAGTATGAGACCGGCTCTTCTGCGTCGTATGTATCAGGAAGTCTACCGACGCTCTCAGGCTCTCATTCTCTCTAGCACTGTCTCTTCTTCTCTTGTTGTCTCTGTCGTCTTCCAGAGGGACTCGGGTTCTCGGAATCCCCAATCTAATTGTCTCCAGCCACCATCCGGTCGGTGGGTACCAGAAAATTGTTGACCCATGAGAGTTGGCATTCTGTTGTAGAACCTGAAGTTGATTGAATGAGTAGAGAGTAGAACGGAAACCCATCTCGCCTGAAACGCCAGCACACAGACCGACAACTCGTCCATCAAGTGGAGAGGTGGCGTGGCAACCGTGGTTCGCCATCTGTATATGGCTCCCCGGCAGCCTCGCGAGCCAGGTCGTTGATCCATCTCTCGTTCGGTTTGAGTAACTTTCCGCCCGTCACATTCGACGCAAGGTACATCCAGCTGAGGGCGTTCCCAACGGTGTGCACTTCATCACTGACATGCGTCCGCGCGTATTCGCTCATGCGGCCATACAGCTCCCTATCATTAACCAGGTCGTAAAGGTGCTTGGCAACAGCGTCGTGGTCACCGCGTTGGACAAGATAACCGCTCTTGCCGTCCTCGACCTGAAGTGGAATACCCCCAGCGAGGGTTGCAATGATTGGTTTTCCCTGTGTCATGTCAGCAACAGACGTCCACCTCGGCGTGAAACCCGAAATATAGTTACCTTGTGCAGGGCTTCCGAGACCTTGACCTCGAATCCTTCGCGTGTAGATAGCTGTAGTGCCACTGTGCAGAGCGACATGATGGCGTTCAGAATCTGGTCACTGGGGCCCAGCCGAACGACAATGATATCCTCGATCAAGTCGGGAAACTGCGTAACAATCAAGTCCATGGTCTGTTCATAGATCAGGGTCGCATCAGGATCATCCACCGAGCCGTGTCCACAGAGCACCAACTGGTGGATCTTCTCTTTGGGTTGGTCTTTCACCATATCGCGGAACTTGGCGTAGCTCTTGATGACGTCGGGAATTCCCTTGGACGGGTCAAACCGTGCAACTTGTGTGAAATACCCCCGTTCCGGATAGGCAAGCTGTGGTAGGTTTTGAGCCTGACAGACCTGCTTGAGGACATGGAGATAATATTGCAAATCCCAGTCATCCATCTGCTTGTTAAGACCGTCAAGCCTGGGAATTTCAGTCAGATACTTCACCAATGCTCAGTGCCCGTTCATATACTTACCAATCGGTGGTTGCTGGGAGCCAGCCCAATACCTCTTTGCGGACATCAGGTGGAACGAAGGTGCGTACAGGGTGGCTAAGGAAGACGTCGGCATGTTTGATGCTTGACCACATATTGCGCCAAACGTGCTGAGCGGCACTCCCATCTTCAAGTACTAGATCATCACGAACTTCGATGTGGCAGCGGAAAATGATCGGCCGGTCTGGTGCAATCTTCTTCGCAATGGGGATGAGCTCTGGCATTTGCGGGTCGTCGATGATGATGACATCTGCACCGCCGTCCTTGGGTGCAAGAAGTGGTCCACCTTCACCGAGCCAATACCGATCCGCATTGTCGACAATCCATTCTTTGATCTTCCCCAGCTGCTCGTCTGTTGCTCGGACATCCGGAGGCACGGCGCCCTGCAAGATGTTGTGATTTGTTTTGGTGATACGGAAAACGTCGGGCCGGGGTTTCGGGACAAACCTGGGAAACAAAAAAGGTAAGCTTCACACATATCGATTGCAGAGTGAAGCGGGACGTACCATTCGACGTTCACGTTGTAGAGTCTCAGGAATCGGAGCAAGGCGTGCCGCATCAGAGCCACTCCGCCTCCCTGAGGTGTCGCGCTGAAAAAGACGACTCTGAGCTTGCGGTCGACGACATCTTGAATATGTTTCTGCACGGCCCTCCAAGTCGGCTCTCGGACGGATGCCTTGTAGTCGTCGATGGTGGTGAGCTGGATCGTACCTCCCAGGTCGACCTCGACTTGGTTCACAAAGCTGATCGACAAACGCGGTTGTTTGGTGGGAGCATATAGCCTGACAAAATTAGGACCGGAGCAGCGGACAGTCCATAGGGTCGAAAACTTACGCGAGACATTTCCTGGCGGCCGAGTCGGCGATCTCGTCCACTCTCTGTGATCTTGCCCGAGCGTTGCCGGCTTGTAAAAGTGGATTCGACGTGACCAACATGGGGACAATGTCCAATTCGGACCAGAGCCTCGAGCACAAATGCGGGCTCTTCTCGTGAGCAGTCACAGTGACTCCGGCGCCGAGAATCTTGCATACGTGCTGCCTCCGGTAGTGGGATAGCTCCTCGATGATGTGGTCTGCAATCCAGTCGCCATCTCGGCCTCTCTCCTGCTCTTCCTCTTCGTCCAGGGAAATGCGGTGGACTGCGAAGTCAATGCCATACGTTCCATCATGGATCGCAATCCCGATCTTGAGTGCTCGGTCGCTTTCTTCTTCGATGGCAAGACCCGTCCAGTATTCCTGGTATAGAGAAGGCAAGGTCAACAGTGGCTTGGGGGTCATAGTCCAGTGAGTCGAGGTCCAGGCCAAATGGGACGTTGCGCATTTTCAGGGTAGCTTCATCGACGGAAGGAGTGTGGACTTACACTGAGAGTAGTTCCAATGTCGACACGATCGGGGAGTTTGATGCTCAATGATCGGGTCCGACGCCTCTTGAGGGCCCATTTGCCCTGGAAGTCATGGTGCACCTGGGTGCTGAAGCTCCTGCCTGGATCACCCATGGTACGGAAGTCTTGTTATTGGTCAAGGTGGAAAGGATGAGGATTTGTTTCAAAGATGTTTTGGCAGAGGTACATTCAGCAGCAGGAGGGTGTCTTGGTTTATATCCAGTTGGTGGCATACGGTGAACCACTGGAGTTTCTAGACAGTGAGCGAAAATCAGTAAAATGGGGGACAACGAAGCGTCGGTGCCAGGCAGTGACGTCGCATTACGGTCATGAGCCAGTCACCACCAAGTCTGAGCCACTTGCTTCACCTCGAGCTCCTACGGCGAAGATACTTGTACGAGTTACAAGACACGGATCCCTATGATCCCTGTCACCCTCCTTCGGCAATGCAGGATGAGACTTCCCATGTGCGCGAGCTTATGCGAGAAGATCACTGCGATCGGTAAACATCACCTGATGTTTCAAACAGCTCAGGCACAACTCATTTCCCCTTTGGTCGAAAGGAGGCGCGGCTGGGAGCTGCAGCTCTTCTCGGGAGCTCGTGTCGCCGACGTGGAGAGCTCGTGTTTGCTCAGATAATGCCGCTGCTGCCTCAGCTCCGTGCGCCTCGTCCAACGACAGGAGACAACCCGGGCGATGCAGTCGAGCTACGCGAGGCCACGAGGCGTGTTCTCGACGTTCCAAAAACGCTCGGGTGGCACTGTGCTCCGCTCAACTTCGTTGCCCCTCCGGATCTGTTAGCCTAGTGCCCAATCTTGTGCCTGTCGCTTTATGATCTCATCTAGATACAACTATGCAACCAATACTGGAGCCCGGAGAGCCTCTGAACTTCCAAGGGAGAATGACGAAAAGTGGCCATTGTCTTGGCTGAAGGAGGAAAGAATGGCTCCATAGTGCAATATTGCTTTATATACAAGGTCAAGTGGTGGCATTGCTAACATTCAATCTACGGCTATCAAGCAATCTCAATGTCACTGTCAGCATCTTCTTCCGCAGCCTTTCGTTGTTCTTGCTCCTTTCGCCCTTGCTCCAGCACCTTTCTCCTTTCTTCCCGTAACCTTCTTTGTGAAACAACAAACGCCCCGAGAGGAGTGTCCTGCCATTGCACGTCTTTCAGGAATGCTTCCACTTCCGCCCGGTCCTTGGGCGAAAAGTTGACGTTGATCCTCCTTTCTTCGATCCATTTGGCGTTGGCTTCCGACTTTTGTACCAGCACAAGAAGTGCTTGGTTGAGCTTGCCGTTTTTGTTTCCGCTCGGCTTGGAAGCCGTCTTGAGCCACCGCTTCAGCATGATGATGACCGGCAGTTGCAGCTCAGGATAGGCAATACTCTTCGTCCACAGCACAAAGAACTCGGAAAGCAGTTCGACTACCTGTTCGCCCACACCATCTTGGTACACTTTTGTTTTCAGGTACGACGTCGGGGCCCTTATGTTCGAGGCGAAATCCAAAGGACGCAGCGTTGCGGCTTTTGCAGGTTTCTTCATCTCTGCCGAGTTCAGCACCTCCAACAGAGCCGCCGACAGAGGAATATATGTTTCCGTGGCCTGCGAGATCCGTAGGAGTGCCCGCATCAGTTGAAATCGAAGAGGAAAATAGGTGGAAGTCGGGATCAACCTCAGTGCGCCAAGTGTGACCTGGACAACCGGGTAGATGAGTGGGCGTAGTTGCGAGGGCTTGCCATTCTGTGCTTCCAGAAGCGAGTTGCAGTGACTGGACAATACCCGAGACCAAAAGTCCAGAGAATGAACAAATTGCCAATTGTATATCGTCTTGTATGAATCCTTAGTCGGTTTGGTGATATTGGCACGGAGGTGGATGGCGAGCTGGCGGATGAACGTGAAGCCTGTCGTGTAGCTGACCTTTTGGTCAATGCCCCAGATCTCTGCCGCTGAGTTCTTCATCAAGTTGATTCCTGCAAGGGTATGGACTGTTGTGTGTCGGCTGCCCTTGACGACGCCCTCATACGTCGCTTTCAAGACGGCTTCACGGATCCCAGCGTCGCCAATAACCATTAGCCGGCGAATGACCAGGAAAGCGGTGATTCTAGTCGCCTCATCGGAAGAATTGTCTGACCAAATAGACGCCACGGCTTTCGTGATGACTTTCAGAAATTTGCGAAATTGAAGCAGATATGGGAGAAGCGGCTGGAAGGACTCGAGCGTCAGCCTGAGGGTCTTCGTATCTGACAAGTGCTTGAGCAAATAATGCAAAGAGGAGGCGTGTGATTTGATCAACGGTGCCAGAGTCTTGAACTTGGGTGAATCAGTCGGTATGCGTAGCTTGCCGCCGCTGGACTCCTTGACCGGGAGATGATGGGACAGCACCAGAGGAACGTGCTGGAGTGCCGTTATGAGAACCTCGTGATACACCTCTGGACTCGCAATGTTATACTTGAAGGCCTTATCCTCTTCATCGTCCGCGTGTGCCGCGGCGCGGAAAGCCAGCACCACCTGTCTGAGAGCCCTGATGGAGAATTGTTCGGCCAGGGAGGTCTTCCACTTCTTGACCATTGCCAGAGTAACATCATCCGATGCGTCAGGGTCCTCTTTATGCGCACCCTTCGTCTTCTGCTTCTTTGTAGGAGGCTCCTCTTCACTCAGATCGTCGACTGCTGCGAGATCGTCGTCTTCGTCGAATTCGAGTAGCTCTGCGTCGTTCTCTTGCAGGTATTTGAAGAATTCGGGGTCTTTCTCGGCCAACGCAGCCAGTTGGTTTTTATGGCCCTCGATTTCATCGTCTGAACCATCACTTTCGGCATCTTCAGATTTGTCACCAGCATTCTGTTCTCTTTTCCGCTTTCCGCTCTTGTTGTTCGTCTCATGCTCTGGTATATCCACAGCGTCCTGAAAGAACTCATCCTCGTTCATACCCTCAGCTCCATTGCCACCAGCCTCAACATCTGACCCCGAAACGTCATCCTCCTCTTTTGATCTCAACGCCGCTCTTTGTTTCTTTTTCTCCTTCTGCTGATGTCGCTGTTTGACTTTGGCAAACTCTTTGCGTCGTTCAATCGTGCCTTTGAGGCGGTTCTTCTCGAACTTCTTCGTGGCCTTGGTCTGTTTGCCCATCATGCAGTCTATGGGCGGAAATTTCCCCTGCAACACCAAGTTCTTCGGCGGTCTGGTGCAGGTGTCAATTTCACCAGGCTTTCGTGGCTTTCTGCAAGGTCCAGAAAAAAATATGCCAAGCCGAAGTTTTTCCGGAATTTCCCCGCACATGCCAATTTGTCCCCTCACCGTCTCTCTGATGTCGAGGCGCATCCTAAAGTCAGCTCTGTAGACTCCGTCCGTGTCTACATTAGCTGCTTCCTAGGCAATTCAATTGACTTTGCTGCTAGCCTGGCATCAAGAATGTACAGCAACCCTCCAAGCCGCACCCTCGCCTATGCTCCCACTCCCTATGCGCACCCAGCCACAAACACTCTCTCCGCCCGCATCAATCTCGACGAAGAAGTCAAACTCGCCGACTCGTCCGCCGAACGTGACCTGATTGACTCCCTCGCCGAGATCTACAGCATCATCCGTACCCTCGACGGGCTGGAAAAAGCATATATCAAAGATGCTCTACCGGAGACAGAGTACTCGGACATGTGTTCGAAACTGCTGAAGCAGTACCGATCGATATTGAATGATGAAAGTGTGGCTCGAGAGTTTGGAGACCTGGACACATTTACGCAGAAATGGGACATCGAGTGCCCCCGTGCCAAAGAACGTCTAAGAGTTGGACTATCCAGTGTGGAAACTATCACCGTCGCCAAAGCTACTCCTGGATCTACAGCACCACAAGGCAATCTTTCGGGCAGCTTGATCTTAGTCGCGACGGAGAATTTCATCACGTTCCTCGATGCGCTGAGGTTGAACATGGTCTCCAAGAGTGCATTGCATCCACTCCTGTCAGACGTGATCCAGTCGGTGAACAAGGTCACAGACCAGGACTTTGAGCACCGCGGCAAGATTATCCAGTGGCTGATCACGCTCAACCAGATGAAGACATCAGAGGAGTTGAGCGAGGAGCAGGCGAGAGATTTGTCATTCGACATGGAGCAAGCATATAACGGATTCAAGTCGATCATTCAATGATACCGTTGCATTTTGTCATCGGAGACAGGCCTCTCTTTGAGTGTCAGAGGAACCAAACGTGACGAGATCACAGTACGGTCTACCGGCCCGGAGATTGACGTTCTCAAAATCACAAGCTGGGTGACCAATCCCAACTCGCCTGGGCCTCCGCCGATCGCCTGCTTGCCGATGTTACAACCTTGATAGAAGTCCTTTGTACAGGAGGAGACCGGAGGAGTACTCCGACAACCGAAGACCATATTCGAAGATTTCGCTATATCTCACCACAGGCTGTGGCGCTTCATACTGTCCTGAGTTGCAGGAAATGTGACAAAGTCTTCCTTGGAAGAGATGTCTCGTTCCCCTTTCCCCCTTCTGACACGTCACGCCACTTTGAGACATTTTGTGTGAGGAACCGTGACACGTGCGAGAGGGCGCAAAACAAGAGGCCAGACAGGGAGGCGGAGGCTACCGATATCAATGAGCGACGAGGCGGCCAACATCAGACGGACAATCAGACAGACAGACGTGCCACGGGTTCAGGAGACATTGCCATCTCCTGGGTAAGGCGTACTTCCGCCTTGCGCTCTGTTCTCAACTGTGAATTACGACCGCCACGCCCTTTCGACGCCCCGTCGCAATCACGCACGGCGTACGGCGCTGTCCGCGACCAAAAAAAAAAAAAAGGCCGGCACTGATTCACGGCCGCAGCACGGTTTTCGCCCATCGTCCTCGTACCTGGGCTTTCCAATCGGACCTGTCTGAGGGGCACGTACTTTACGTGAGTTACATACAAGTACATTTGTTCGAAGTATCCACCAAGTGCTTGTACTTTGTGGGTACATACATATCTCTGACAGGGGGAGAAAATGAGGGGAGCAGCCAGGGGTGTTCAGAGAAACAGCTTTGGACCCTCCGATATCACGCGTTCCACCCCCGGCTCCGCGCCGGTCGACGAGGCTGAGCAGATGTGTACACGTACAAGTAGGCGAGGAGAACTTGCACAGCATATCCCAGCCCCTGATTGTCGAGGTCACCGTCACTGCCGGTGGGCTTTGCCTAGCTAGCTGCATTGTATGACACAGGTCCTCTGATGTTGGTTGCATGCACGGGTTATGGTCATGGGAATTCTAATTGCTTGTTGTTAAAAATGATCAATCCATCATTATTTCATCATGATAGTCTCGTTTACCCTCTATGTCTATGTCTCTATGTCGATGCCTGGTTGACTCAGTCCTGTATCGACCGAGTCATAACAGACCCCATAGTCTCGGACGCAGTCCACGACGAACCAGGCATTTGTGACCGACTGACTGGACGGGCCAAACCATCGGCCTGCAAACGTTACTACAACAAGAACCGGAAGCCCCTGGCGGCCGCCTCGGCAAGCACGGCCCCTTCCTGGACGATGATATGAGCGCCGCCCACGGGTTTCGCATCTCGTCGCGGAGAATTGATGGCGCCCTCGACCCACTCGCCGCGGTCCAGCTTGCGATTCAGCCGGGCGAGGATGAGCCGCAGCACGGTGGCAGCGCAGATGGCGATGAAGGCGGTGGCGGAGCAGACGCTCATGGCCAGGACGTAGCGCGGGCCGTCGCTCTTGGGGAACATGTAGCTGGCGTAGATGGACGAGGTGTTGCTGACGGCGTTGATGGCGGCGAGCGCCGCCGCGCGCTTGGCCGGCGGCCGCGGCATCGTGTTGCTGATCCAGCCCAGCGCCACCACGTAGCCCGTGTACACGCCGGGCACCATCAGCATCATGGCGACGTAGCGCGGGGCGGTCGCCGTGGTCGCGGCGGCCAGGATGAACGATCCCACCGCCACGTAGAGCGGGATCGTGACGTGGAAGAAGCGCTCGCCCGTGCGGTCGGCGTGCCAGGCGTTGAAGAAGGCCGTGATCACGCACAGGACGTACGGCGGGGCGGTGAGCAGCAGGGACGCAATGTCGCCATAGCCGAGCGTCTGGACGACAGTCGGGAAGAAGTTGGTCACCGAGCCGGACGCCACGATGCAGAAGAGCATGAGCATCTGGACAAATTGAGTTAGAAGAAGGGTCATCATCGGACACAAGGGAGAAAGTCAAGGGGGGGGACTCACCATGATCCACATCTTGATGTCCTTGACAGCGAGCTTGAACCCATGCCAGAAGGTCTGCTCTTCGACACCCACCCAGTCATCCTCCCCAATATCCTCCTCGAGACGCCACACGGCCAGCTCCTTTTCCTGTGCGCTCAGCCAGGGCGTGGTTCGAGGAAAGTTCGGCAGGATGAAGATTGCCACGAACGCCACGACAATGGTGACGCAACCTTCGATGATGAATAGCCATCTCCAGGCTCTTAAGCCCGCGGTGCCATCCATGTTCTTCGTAATCCCGGCGGCAATGAGGCCAGAGAAGGCGCCAGAGATGAGCGATCCCGAGTACAGCATCGCGGTCCGGAAACCGAGCTCCTTGCGCGTATACCACGCACTGAGGAAATAGAGACAACCAGGGAAGTAACACGCCTCGACAAAACCGAGGAAAAATCGAACAGCAATGAGACCTCCAAAGGACTGGGCAGCGGCGGTCGCGGCGGAAATAGTGCCCCAGATAATCATCGCTGTCGGCAGGTAAAGGCGTGGTTTGCCAATTTTGTTGAGGAACAAATTGGACGGAATTTGCATAAGCAGGTAACCGACGAAGAGGATACTGACTGGAAGAATAGGATTGTCAGTAAAGTGTGCATTTGTCTTGGTCATGCGTCGAAGACTAACCGGCCGTCTGGTATTGAGTGCCATGAAGCTTCAGTTCATCCTCGAGACCAGCCAGTCTAGCTGCTGCAATATTGTTGCGATCGAGGTAGTTAAGAATATACCTGATCATGTGTCAATATCAGGGTTACCCGTCGCGATGAAGGGGGTTGGTAGACGAACATGATAACGATCATAGGAATCAGTCGAAAGTCGATCTTTCGCACGAGGGCTCGCTCTGCGATCCGTCGCTCCTCCGGACTGAGTGACTTGACATAGGCAGGTGGCTCTCGTCTCAACGTGCTGGAATTTCCAATATCTTCTCGAAATTCTGTGGCGTCGACCTTGACACCGATCGAAGAACTCTGGTCAGAGTCATGGATGTAGTCCTGGGGGACCTCGTGAGAAGCCATCTTGCGAGGACACTTGTCAGTAAGGCAAGAATTCACAATGAGTCCAGTGTGTTCAATTCTTGTGCCTGGGAACAGCTTGACCTGGACGAGACGGCAAGACAAGGCAGCCATGTGAAGCGGGCGGGATAGCAGCACCCCTTATACATTTTCCTCGCCTTCTATGTGGGCGGACATCCACCTGGCCACCGCCTCGAGATCATGTTGAGCAACGACATCCCCATGTAACTCCAGAACTCCACTCGAAGGAGTTTTGGAAGGACACCAAAAGTCGCCATCCTCTCCATATTTCCCACAGAAGATGTGGATGAGGGTTGAATTTCTCGAGTCGTCGTCCCCGAGTGTCCACCGAAGATCCACGGTTCTTACCAATAAGGCCGTGACCGGCTAAATACGCGGCGAATCGACTTGCTGAAAACTGGCGTTGATCTGGGTGACTGTCTCCATCTCCGGATATGTACTTGGGGGGTTCACGGGCACCCCACGCCGGGGGGGATTGGCCACGATAACAGCTTGAGACAGACAGGGTGGCGGAAGTGGGAAGAGGGTGAAAGTCAACCTTGCAGCAGAAGGACAATCGTGGAAATGATGTGTACAGCAGTGCTCAACGTTGCATCTAACTTATCGAAAATTGTCTTCCCCTGCTTGGTCTTTTTTGTGGCGAGATGCATGAAGAGCCAAGGGAAGCTTCGACGCAGTGCAAAGATTCCGAGCCAACCTCCTCACTGGCTCATTTTCCCGCTCACTGGACGGGAGCATGATAGCCTCATCTGACACTCGTACAGTGGAAGAAGTAGTTGCCATTTTCTCGAATTTCGCCGCGGGCCTTGAAGCGCTGAGACGTGCCCTGGTCGTCTCATTTTATCTTCACCGAATTGACGCAGATGAGGCGACACACTCGGACGTTGGGCGGCCGGCAGAGTCCAGACGACAATGGGCCTACCGACTGCCATGTCGATTCCGAGCTTGATCTTCTCTGTCCTGTGGAGCCTCCATCAGCGGGCAGCAGCTCGTTACGAAGAATGGTTCATCGTCTTTTGTGAGAAAAGAAGGAATTAAGTCCGTCACACTGACCAGCAGAACATCATGACGACTGGACTCTCTGTATGGAGCTTGAGTTGCTGCCTTGCCGGCTGTGTCGTCGCACCTGTGCACCGGAGGGCCAGGCCAGTTTCCCTGCGACCGGGCCTTGGATAGCTCAGAATGTTTGGTAGCCAGGGAATACAACGGCGACCAAGTTCGGCAGATGGTCCGTTCCAGCTTTGTACGACCGTAGCATAGAGAAGTGAGAAAACAACAGGGCGGATATCTGGTGTGATAATAAAACCTCCAGATCTGTTCATAATCACACGAGTTCCCAGCAATAATGTTTGACATTTCGGATATTCCATCAATCTAAGTGAATTTTTGCTTCTTGGGCATTTTGCTTCGCTCATGTACAGTATATAATGTCGGACATCTCAAAACATTCTGCGTCAACATTCCACAAAAAAACAGAGGCTCTTATAGAATCTAGAGCCGTCCAGCAGTTTTCAGTCACCGGTTTCCAAACGCCACGCCATGAATTAAAGAACATATGAAACTCAACGCAATATTAGCTGCTGCTGCTGCTGCCGCCGCCACCGCTGCCTGTTTCGCTGTTCCTAACCGACACTCGTCTGCCCACCATTGCTTGCCGTATGCTCCCGGCTTCAGATGCAGTGGGCGTGGCGTCTTCGTCCGTCATCACGCTGCGATACATGGATGAACCACGACTCAAGGTAGGACGCAAAGCGCCAGACGCATCTTCGGGGGGATCGTTGAAAGGCGAGCCCTCGATAGGACTGACTGGAACCGAGTCTGCAAAGGGGTTTCGAACCGTGGAGCGAACCGTGGAGGGAGAGGGCGGTTCGCCGCCAACGATGGACCGGTACGGAGGTGGTGCGGTGGCTGTCGAGGAAGGTCGAGGAATGGGGTCAGCCGCATGTGTGGTGACATGAGGGATGGAGCGAGCTGGACTTGGGGGCGTCACATGGGTCACAGCATCTCGGTACGGAGGAGCCACTTCGTCGATGCTGTGCAAACTGGGTTCTCCGCTGTGAGCGCTTCCACGAGACACCGTGCCCGGCCCACTTCGAACGCTGGGGTCTCGACTGCGGATGCTGTTCGAACTCGAGAACCGACCGCCCATGAGCAGTTCAGCATCGAAAGAGAAGGCCCGTAGGTGTCGCGTCCACTTCTTGCCTGCCTTTTTAGGTGCCTTCTCTGACATAACCGCACCACCACGCCTCCTTCTCCTCCTCCTGGCACAAAAGAAAAACAAAAGTATGCCCGCAATCGCTGCAACGACAACCGGAACAGCAACGGCCGCTTTCAGAGCAGAGGAACACGAGATACTGTTACAGGAAGATTTTTCAGAGACGGTGACGGCGCCGCCTGTGGTGCTGCTTGCAGCGTTGGTTGCAGAGGTCCCGTAGCTGGAGCTGGAGTTCGGAGAGGGCGAGGACTCGCCGGAGGGAGCGACCGCTGTAGCGAATGTGGTAGGAGTTGTTTGTGTGCCGGTTGAGGGAGCAGAGCTGCCGGCGCTCGAGCTGTCTGAGCTGCTTGCCCCTGTCTGAGATGTACCACTGTTGGTACGTGTGAAGTGACTGCCTGTGGTCTGTGAGAACTCGCTGGCAAGGGACGAGGCCATGCTCGCCAGAGAGGAAGTGTTGATGTCCTGTCCGCCGACTCCTGTGAAGCCGGCGTTTTGAGCAGTTCCAGAGAAAGCCATACTGAACGATGGTGTATTGGTCGGATTGAACGATGGAGAGAGCGACGGAGGTAACGAAAGCGAGGGCGACGAGATAGATGGCAGGTCCCGACGGGCTACACGAGGCCCCGTGAGGAAGAGACTGAGGACGGTTGCGAGATCCAGAGTGATATCGACCCCGCGAGAGGGTACGAGTCCGACATGTAAAGGCAGAGGAGGATCGGAGGCAAAGGGGGCAGGACAGCGTCCAGGCTCGTCGCGGGTCAGCAGACGTTTCAGGCCCAATCTGCGGTCTGGAAGCTGGGTGGAGGAACCGAGCCAGGCAAGGGGAGTATTGGCGAAAAGTGTATTTTCAGGCTCGTCGCAGGCTCAGCGTCAGCACAGAAGGGGGAATAAGAGGAATACGTAGTTCGTCTGGGAGGATTATAATTGCAAGGAGTCTGTCGGAGACGAAGATGGGAATGATGAATACGAAAAGTCCGGGATCAGCGAGGCGCAGTGAAAGATGCCCGTGGCCGTCGCCAGCGAAGGATGGCCTAGGGTAGAGGATTTTAATGAGACCAAGGCAGGCAGGGAGTGGATGAAAAGGGCTCACTAGGCTCATGGGCGACCGCCCTCACGCAGGTACTAGGGCTAGTGGCACTCAGTAGGCTCTAGGCGCTGTCGGCCAAGCTGGGTGCTTAACCAGAACTGCCTCTGCCATGCCTGCCGAGCGGGATCCTCCCTGAGCCCTGAAAAGGAGCTCCCAAGGATAAACGCTCCGAAGCCTAACAGCCACCTATCCTTGGCGTGGATAGGGAGGAGATTGGGATTGGCCCTCCAGTGTTAAGACCACGTGCGCTAACCCCCTTTGTGAGGTTGAGGGGCTCTAACTGCATCACGTCAAGCACCCATTGGGACATGGCCTACAGATTAGCTCCCCAGCTGGCTTCTTCAACTTCCACGCTTCACTATGCCTTCTCAAGCCAGCGGACATCCGAACGCCATCTTATTTTTCATCCTTGACCTCATTCCTCCCCCCTTCCAAGCCTCCTACAGGTCTCGCCTATCGAATCATGGCCGGTTAGCCCCCAAGTTCCAAGCCCCGACTGCCGACCTGGGCTGGGTCTGCGTACGAGGGACTCGGTGTGTGTGCTTGACTCGTATTTTGTCTATGTACAGCCTTCCCCCATCCATTATTATAAACTATCCCTGGCCCCGACAGCCACCGAAGTCACTTTTTCTTGGAGGTCATTTCGGGTACGTCAATCTGTGTGATGCAGTGGCGTCGAAGGTTACTGAGTATCTCCTGGTCAGGGACTCCGTGCGCGCTTCCTCCGTTTACAAGGGCGCCATCCACCTTCCTCTTGGGCGTGATAAGTCGGACCAAAACCCTGCACCTAAATGGCCGTCCTCAAAAACCTGGAGCTGCACTGGCATCTGCACGCCGCCATGGCCAGCCTTCTGGCGAACCATTGCCGTGCCGGAATAAAAATGTCTATTAAAAGCTGCAGATGGTGTCAAATCCAGATGTCCGATGCCCCACACACCAGCACGTGTGGGCGCCATCATTGGCCACAGGTCACATGACACGGAGCTTGTAGATTGCGACTTGCCGACCTCCGACATGGTCAGTGAGTAATGGCCTGAGACAAGCTGCAACTACCACCAACACCTGTCTCCTCTTCATTGCCACGTTAACCCAATGGAGCCATCTTGACTCAGGAAGACAACTCATGTATCCCGTTCTGCTGTGCGGTTGGGTAAGACTTCTCAAGCCTTTTTTGCCTGATCGAAACCATGACGTCCTAGCGGGCTTCGTATCCTTGATTTTTGTAACAGCTAACCGGGACGAAACTTCTACGAGACGATCAGTACTCTTGGACAGCGACCCGTACTTGCTTTTGTCTTCTAGATGAACGGGCATTGATCCTTCAAATCACACCAACCTGGGTGAGGCAGCTTGAGGTCGAAAACAGCGGCAGGGCTGCATTTGATAAGAGGTGTGTCCGCAAGTAGGTAGAGCCCCCACCCCGACACTCACCGTTCCAGTGCAGCCGTTGAAAATATTGCGTGGCGGGAAACGGCTGCATGGAGCGGAGTTGCCTATCAGAGAACACGGCACCCGGGCCACGTTCAGCCTTGGATGCAGATGGCCCTCAAGAAATTCGTCCTGGGGTCTTGTGCGACCTAAATCTTCACCTTCAGAGTACTCGTATGGCCGCTGGCCCTGTGGCTTTTCTCGGCACATGTCGAAGGTCGCGTCGCACGGCATCAGCTTTCCATTTCTGTGCAAGTCGCGGCTCGAGACGCCTTGCATCTGCGCCTCCTCCTGTCCGAAAATGCCACCCCAGAAGCAGCCTCACATGCATGGTTTTAATTTGGATTTCTTGTCATCTTCTGACTCCCTGGCCACGACTATTTGGCAACGCAGGTCATTCAATTTGGGTTTCTTTCACGCCGTGGCTTGCTGAGGAGGCTTGGGCTAAGTGGCTGGCAACCCTCCTCCCCGCCACGAATTCGGACGTTGACCTCCGACGACCGTCATCAGGTTCGCCCACAAAATAATGTCTTCTCCCAAATTACACAACTTGATCTGGCCATGTGTGCGGATCTTGGTGGATGCGTTTTCAGAACGACATCAAACGGTGCAGTGTGCCAATTGCCGTTGCGGCATCGAAGAAATACTATTCTTGTGCTCCGCAATGGATAACAACTCTTGACCCGCTCCCAGCCCCCTTGACCAACCCTCAGCGCGCGCACGTCTGGGCCTTTCTTGTTGCCAGCGCCACTACAGATCCAGAACACTCTCACCCAGCATTATAGGTAACTATCATGTCACCGGGCAGGACGGGCTTGTAAGGCCGCCAACGAGGCAGAGATGCTCTGTAAAACCTGGGGCCAGTGGTATCGACAGGATAACCGATTAGATGATCCAAAATCCACCAACTTCACGTGCAGAGCCTCAATTGGATTTGTTCCGCGGGAGTTCACCGGCTGCTCCTGTCCCCTGTCCGGCACGGAATCCTTGGGCCAACGAGTTCGAGGTCATCTCACTGAGGGCTGACAATTGGCAGATAATGTCATTAGGCTGGGGTGGAGGAAATAGAACAGCAATCATTTGCGTCTCAGAAGCAGAACCATTCTTCAATTACTGACGATTACTCCTCGTCACGATACAGCTTCAATCAAGGACTTGCAGCTTCGAGGCCTTCGATTTGATCACCACATTCCGTTCAAGGTGCAGGTAGCGACTTCTACCTGAGTGCCATGAATCTGCTCGTCGATCCCGCAGCAGGGCTGTCGATCACCACGTCCGCAGCAACCCTGCATGCGCGGTGGAAGGACTCTGTGCATCTGCCACTAGCATCTGAATTCTACTTGATCCACTACAAGCGACAAGAACGAAAACATCACGCACACTCTCTTTGCTTCTCCCTTCTCCCTTCTATTATCGTGTTCCTCCCCGTTCCATGAAACTTATCAAAAAAGCCAAAAACACCCTCCAGTCCAGCAGTGAAGCCTAGAAGACCACCCCGCCTCTTCTAGAGCAGAGCAGAGGAGCACCGGCAAAAAATTCGAGCAAGCCACGCCGGACACTCCAATTCATGCTTTGCCGAGTTATTCACAGTGAGCACAAACTGTTTCCAAGCTTTCTTATGTTACCAGTGAACATGTGTTTGTCTAAGGGGTTTTCATAAGCCCCGTTTGTACTTGAGAGGAAGGGTGACAGATCGAACGGTGGGTTCAGCAGAAGGCACGGTCGTCGGTACTGGGGCGGGCATACCAAAATAGGTGGATTCGGAAATACAGTTGGGAAAAGGAGAAGGAAAGGACGGAGAGGAGTGGCCATGAGTAGGGACCCGTCCACCCTCTTAGAGTCCCACTTGGCCACGAGAATCGCCTGTCGATTTTCTTGTTTGCTCCCTCTTCGAAGAGACACCGTCACGGTCTGTCGAATATGATATATGATAGACGGTGCAGGGCATGACCACGTCGTCGACACTGACCGTTTTAAGATTCCTTTTCCTCATACTGGATCTCCTCTTCAAACCATCACTCCTACCCACCTCCCCGCCGCCCTCACTTGGCCTGTCCCGAGGAGTGCGGAGAGGGCACCTCGGAACAGAGGCAGGAGCAGCAGCGTGATCGTGACCGAGATCAAGACCGGAAATCCAAATCCAAATCCAAAATCAGAATCAGAATCAGGAGACAGATGAGGAGATCCATCCTTCGTGTTGAACGATTCGCGCACACACCCTCTGTACCTAGATTTTGCTCGCTCGCTGTGAAGCTAGATAGATCCCCTGGCTACAGCAGGCAGAACGGATAGATAACTTACTATTTGTCAAGATTAACTACCCACTGCCGTATAAGTTGTACTCCGCATAAATAGACCCAACAGTCACCAAAACCAGCAGCAGCAGCTACGAATTGGGTTGTGCACACATAGACCGTCTGATAGGTACGCTTAGTTTGTTCGGAAGATAGATGCATATTAACTCTGCTGCCGCATAAATATGTAATTGGCCATATCATCTCTGCCCACGAAATCTACAAACTCCAATCCACACAGCACAGGCTCCTCGCTTCTCCCCAGAATCATGAATAACTGGGCTTTGTCCCCAGCGGCACTGGCGGCGGCGCAACTCCCATCGAGCCAACGCTGCCATGCATATTTGCTGGTTTCTTCGGCGGTGGAGGTGGCGGCGGCTTGCGCGATATCGAGGCGGCCATCTCGGCGGTCTGGTTCTGCGGAGACACTTGCATGGGAGCGTTTCCGGGAGCGTTCATACTATTAGGCGATTGGGCATCCTCCGGGGTCGAAGACGAGTTATGCTTCTCGAGGAATGAGTTGAGGCGCCCTGTGACGTTATATTTCTTGTTCCACTGGTTAGCTTTAACGCCCGCTGCACTGATGCTCTCTTGGTGTCGTTCTCGAAAGGAGTTGGCGGTGCGGACAGCCGATCCGGCGTCTGCAGCAGAAACGGATGCAGGATCCTTGTAAGCGTTTTGGGCGGTGCGCATTGCGGCTTGCTTCTCGGCCCACGTCGTCCCTTGCGTCTGTCCCTGTGGTTGCGGCTGTCCCGTGTAGGGTTGTTGAGGGGGAGGTGCATTGGCGGCGGCCGGCGGAGGAGACTGGGCGGGCGTGACAAATGGAGGTGAGGTGTTTGAATTTTGTCCGGAGCTGGCATTGGAATTCATACGGGCGAAACGAGCTTGTAGTTCTGATAGCTGGTTTCCAGGCGGTTGGGAGGCGACTGGTGGACTCTTTGGCAGGCTTGTCTGGCTTTGCTCACTGCGCCAGGGATTCGAGTTTTGATCAGATCCGATACCCAGAGCAGGAACAGAGACACCGGCATTCCCTAACCTGTTGATGGCAGCTTGATTGACACCGTAATTCGTGCTCGGCTGTGAGCTGGGAGCAGCGGCAGGCATGGGATCGTACGCTGGCGGAGCGGTTGTTGGCAGAGAAGCACGTGCGACAGGTGGAGGTGTACCCCCTGTGTTCTGCCGAGAAGGCAGTCTCGGAGGCAAGCCTGGCTTGGGCTTGACTGGTGCGGTTTCCTCAGCTTCGGGTGTTCGATATAAATCACGATGAATGGGAGGAGGCGGTAGGTGGTCGGTCTTGAGCCCAGTTCTATCCGCACGATATGGCAAAGGCGGCCCTGCAGGCTTCCTCTCCTCCTCTTCCTCCTGGGGGTTCTCCACGGCTCGACTCGCGCTAGAAATTTGGTCTTGGGTCAAAGGGGCACCCCATCCCCCTCTCTGCGGCGTGATCTCGTTGGGCAAGGCAGCGCCACCGTGATAGTTGACGTTCTTAGGCGGCGGGCCAAACGAGGCCGGATCTTTGAGGGCGGAAAGAGGGCGTGACACATGCTCTTCGCCGTCTTTCTTGTTGGGATCTCTGTTTTTTCCCATCCATCCAGCCTGTTCCATTGTTCAGTACCTCTTCTCACACCAGGGAAGCCTCAGGATCTCATGACTGACCACTTGATTTATGCCTTTGAAATCGCCCCTCCAAGATTCTTTTCCCCCATCCCGACCTTTAGGATGCCATCCATCCTTCATCACGGACCTGAAGCCACTCATCTTGGGCAAGGGCTGGGGAGGAGATCGGGTGCTCTGCCAGCAGGACCAGAAGAGGAACGGTGCTGAAACTTGCTTTGCCCTGGGTGTTGTCTCGTTATCGGTCGAACAAATGGCGCGTAGGTCCTGTAGAGGAGGTGATGTCGGTCCTCGAATCCCTACACAATGGGTGACTGAGGCATCTGGCTGGGGGAGCAGGTGAACAGAGGGTACAATAAGTGGATTCGGGTCGCTGACGTCGCAGCCCACTTCTTCCCTCTCAATGCCAAGCCCGTCGGCCTATCCCGTTTGAGAAAGATGGTGACGCCGCCCTATTCCGCGACAGCCTTTGTGCCAGCACCAGTATGGTATTACCACATAACTTAGTATGTGTACTGACATTGAATAGCAGTCCAGACAGGTATCCAGAAGAAGTTTTCTCACAGAGGTAGTGCTCCGTCCGCCCCTGCACATTCACAACCCTTTAGCCCCCTCAGATTCCCGAGGATTGTATACGTTGCCGGTTAACTTGACCTCATGCTCAGCGTCCTTCCCCCTGCCTTCTGCCTCAGCTTCCGCACCAACGAAATGACCTCTTTTTAAAAGTTCTCAATCTCCTCGCCATAGTGGACAAATGCCGTCAGCAAGATACTAACACCGAGACTCTCGAGAAGCAGTATGCGATCGGCAATCTGCGTAAGTGTCCCGATGAGTTTTGCCTTGAATCCATCATTGTATTGCACCAGATCCTCCAACTTGCTGTTCGCCCACATGCTGGTCTTGTTGGCGGTCGATGCTCATGCGTTCCTGACTTGGACGCCAAATGCCTCGACTACCTCTTTATCCGCCTTACCTGAAATCTCTTGCAGGATACGGATTGTGCCTGCCCTCCCATTTCAACGGTTTGGGTTGAAGCGTGTAGTGATGGAAGGAGAGAGGTCGCTCGGAAAGTGAATTTTGTCTTCTGTCTAGAAGCCTTTGAGACAAGCGATAAACTCTCTCGATCGTCAATAGCGCTCAGCGTGGTCAAGCCACCATTGGTCAATGCTGGTAGACTCGGCTGTGAACCATCCCGAAACCACGTTGACTGCCACCCTGCCATTGGAATAGTTGTCAATGCTTGCGATCTACTTCGCTGCAACGGCGGGGCTCCAGGGGCAGGTAGGAGTGCAACAATGAGATTGAGCTTCTTGTCTTAGTGCAGCAGGGCTTGCGAGAAGGACACAGGCTCGTGCTGGAACTCGGCGTCGTACCCGGCAATGAACCGGATCTGTGAGAGAGCGTACTCAAAACCAACATTCTCGGCTGTTTGGGCGTATTTGACAATCGACTCGAGATCCCATTTGGTGTGCTGCGGGATCTTGGAGATGACAAGCCCGCCCGAGACACTTGGAACCCAGTAGCTATGAAGGCTTAGAGGTATGTCATTAGAAGGAGGATGTAGCCTTGCGCAAACTCGATGCAATCCGGGGCCGAGTTGGTGTCAGTCTGACCGGTAGAAACGACGATGTTAGAGCTCATTGTGCCAGCCTTATTCGATAGATCAAAGCCAAATAGTATCCAGTGAAATACCAGCACCTCTAGTCAGCCTTCACCCCTTTTTAATTGTGTCGTTAGAGGCACAAAGTCAAGCACGAGTTTCTTCTGCCGACTTCTCACAGTGAAGACAGTCAAGTTTCTCTACCCCTTTCCCCGTTAGTTTGTTTGACATCTTTCTTGAGCTGATAATGCCGGCCCATGACACGATGGTCCGACGGGAAGATGGGGCTTGGCCCTGAGATCTTCAAGTTCCCAGGCGGAATGGTACACTTTCCTTTATCAGTTGTGGACACTATGCCAATTTCAAGAGATGCCCACGAGAGTCAGATTCCTGCGCCGGAAAATCATGACAGCGTGTGTTTCAATGACCCCGCAGAGAAAGACGACAGACGGTGTTTGCTCGTGGATATGATGGCATATGTCTTCCAGATAGCGTCGTCAAAGTGACTTGCCATTGATGTTGAACTGAATCCGAGAATGGAACGAAATGCGCGAATCCGTCCGCGATGCTCCGACTCGAGACCGAATGCTCGCCATTGCGTTGCTACTTGCTGATTGGTCACAGATGAGCGTCAGCACAAGAGGAGAACCAACAGCCGAGTATCTTGGAAATGGTGGTCCTTCGAAACCGGCGCTCTAGATGTTTCTCTGGAAACCCGGATTGTCTTAGTGTTGTCGTCCTGCAAGGGAGCTTGATGAGGGCAGCCGGTGCATCTCTAGCTGTCCCAGCTCATTCTGGCAGAAAGGACTGGCGTTGAGACTCTCGAATTAGACAGAATGTCACTTATCGGGGCCAGCATGTGATACCCAGACGCTCCATTCATACATTTCCGGATCATGTGCGAATAGATGTGTAAAATTCGTGCTCGGGTCGATCGAACATGGCAGTTGAAGATACGAACAGAAAGAAAATCGGCCCTTGCACCAGGATCATTGTATTGGTTTGCCCTGGGTGGATATGGTTGTCTCAATTGATCGCGACACTCGACATGTGGTCCGATAACAATGCTACTTCCTGGCTAGTATAAAGGCCCGGCCTCAAAAGCGGCCAGCGAAGGTTCGTCCATTCTCTGCTTGTCAATATCTCGACGGTGATTGTTTATGACTCCTTCGAAAACGAGGTGTCGAACGGTCTCTGTCTTTAGAAATCTTTTCAAGCATCATGGGTTCAGCTGAAAATGCCACAACGCCCACCAGTGTCGACCAGCATATCAAGTTCTCCCAGGCAGGGCAACTCAGTACGCCCGAGGAGTGGGTTACACGCGCGAGGGACGTCGCTCAGAATCTTACCCTAGACGCCCCGCAGCGTGATATCCGGGACAAGTCGCCATCCAACGAGATACAGCTCCTAAAAGCTTCTGGGCTCACAAGCTCTTGGGACCCAGGAGTACGGCGGGGTTGCTCAGGACTGGACGGTCGCATATAAGGCCAGCCGTGAAGTTGCGAAGGGCGATGGCTCCATCGGCATGCTGCTTGGTTCTCATCTCCTATGGATGGACCACGGCCAACGTTGTTGGCACTGACGAGCAGAAACACCGCGTACAGAATTTGATCCTGGACAATAACTGGTTCATTGGTAGCGCGGTGAACTCGCGCCACGCCGACCTCAAGACCACCAGCGACGGTGATGAGATTGTGTTCAACGGCTAAGTTCTTCAATACTGGCGACGCCGTGTTGGACGCCACGATCCTCGAAGGCGTCTTGAAGGCACCGAGGACCATATTTTCACCACTGTACCTTAGGTACCCATCATCCAGGGATTCAGTTTGGCCATGACTGGGACAACATTGGCATGCGATTGCCCGAGTCCGGCAGCGTCAAGATCTAGAACATGTGTGTCCGGTGGGCGAATGCCTTTAGATGGGACAGCAAGATCAAGAGGCCCACCGCCGAGGTGCTGAAGGTCCCTTTCACGTCCCTGCTGTTGCCGACCACCCAGTTGGTCTTCTCAAATTTTTACGTGGACATCGTCCTGGGCGGCCTTGACGAGGCCAAGAAAATGGACCACGTCAAAAACCCGACCCTGGCCCTTCGGAGGAGAAAACAGGGAAAGGGCCACAAGAGGAGCACTACATTCTGGCGCGCTACGGCAATCCCCACTCCCACCTGAGGACGGCCGAAACGTTGGCGAATCGTGCTGGCGGGCAGATCCGTGATGTGCACACAGACCATGGCGAGAAGAGAGATGTGAACGGCCGACCGCGAGGGGAGGTGGCAGAATGGATGGCGAGCATCAAGGTCGTGGCCACCCATACCAGCCTACGAGTCACCAGTGACGTCTTTGAGGTCACTGGCGCGAGCTCCACGGCCAGAAAGGTGGGCCTGGATCGGGTTTGGAGAGACCTGAGGACACACACGTTGCACGACCCAGTGGCATACAAAGAGCGGGAGCTGGGGTCTTTCACCTGCTGGACGAGATGCCTGGGCCGACCTGGTACACTTGGAGAAAGCCCAAGCTTCAAGGCGTCAATCTGTTTATCCTGAAGTTAGAGAATATCGGGTTCAATAGCACATTAAAAAGTCACTCTTCCACGTGACGTGGTCAATTAGGTACAGCACTAGAAGGCAACTATTCTGAAAGTGGACTAAGGGACTCGGCTCTCCTTCCCTTCTCAAGGCTCCGTGCCTCCTGAAGTTTTGAGACAGTCACAGGTTGTACTTGGTATAGAACCGAGCGGCCACACTTCAAGACCACAAAACCAATTAGTTTCCCCCACGCAACAAGGAGGTGCATGATCTCTTCTCCTCCCTTTGACCTTACACCAAAGGGTTGTGAGAGACACCCAGTGACCTTCAGGTCTCCTACTTGTACTAGGCTAAATAACATCCAAGCTGGTTCAAATAGAAACCAATTTGTGATGTCCGTCACTCCAATGACAAAGTTCAGTCAGGTGCCCAAACCAAGTTGTCCTCGATTAGAAAAAGGGTGGGCTGAAAGGTCCAATGGTGAAATTTCCTCCTTCCTCCAGACTGAACTCCAAGATCAACATGTATTCTCTCTTGATGCCACCTTAATAACCATCCGTGGGTGATTGTTGCGTTGCGCCAGACACCTTACTTTGAACCTAATTTCATGATCGAGGTGAAATGCAACACGAATGAGCTTTTTTAAATGTACACAGGGCCCGTGGTGGAAAGAAGAGGCCCCAAGGAACGGATTCGCGCTGTCAACTAGCCACGAAAACAATGCTTTGCTGCAAATGTACTGCAAGGGTCGTAGAAATCGTGAGTGTTCTTGATGACTTGTATGCCAGTGATCACTTTTTGCTCAAGCGTCAACTCGGTGAACAGAGTGATATTTCTAAGATCGCCTGTTGTGCTGATCCGCATGCACTAGAAGAAATGCGTGTAGACTTTCGATGACTCATGAACCTCCATTTCCTGTAACTAGTTAGCATTTTCCCAGGCCGAACGAGCCATGCTGCGTACCATTTTGAAGGTGTTGAGCTCCTCTTTGATCTGCTGTGCCAGCATCGGAGTCAATCGATTGCAAGTTGCTATCTCACCCCGTCGATCGTACTCTCCACTGGGCCAAGTATCATAAAACTGAATTCGTGGGCTGAATGAAATGTTGCGAATTAGACCCTGAGGGGTCACCGGTGTATTCTTCGAGTCTAAACTGCCAAGTCTAGTCATGGAAGTAAAATAATCGTCATGATCGTTGCTTTCAATGGTGATCGAGTCAGTGCGGCGATGACCAGATCGCGGTGGTTCATCCGCAGGTGTACTGGGAGCACTTGATTTGGGCGAGTCGGTCATATGAGGTATTTGGGGCAGGTTGAAATCGGGAGCCTTGTAGTCGTATGGTTTGACCTTGGGCGACGGTTGGTTCGAATCGTTCCGCTTGAGGATGCCTTTCTTGACAGCAGCGAGGACCTCGGCACGCTCCTTCTCCCCGCCAACAATGCTTCGTCGTGATCGCGTGTCACTGGACACGGTACCACTTTCAAAGGAAAGTTTGGTGTCGATGGAGTTGCGCTCCAATTTGGGGAATCCAGTGCCGCCTCCCGCCTGCTCGTGGGGATTGATGTTGACGTTGACGTTCTCTCTTTCTGCCTCAACAGTGACCATTGACACTTCTGCTATAGTCGCTGAGGTCACGGGCGCATCGGCAGCAGGTACACCAACCACAGACTTCGGTCGAAACAAGCCGACCAGAGAGCGAGTGCCCTTCTTGACTCCTTTGCCCATTTTACGGAGCATAATCGAAGCCGAAGAAGCCGTCGAAGAAATGGATAAATTGTCAGTCGAGCCGGTAAAGAAGTTGCCCTGACCAGAATAAATGCTTTCGCCCAATCCTGCGGCCTCTTGCTTCTCTGCTATGCGTGCTTGCTCAGGCTCCAATTCATCCTCATATTTTGAGTTCCTCTTGGATGTCTGGTTGTTGGCCACACTCTTCTCCAGATTGTGTTGTGCAGTAGCCTTTCTAAGTTCCGCTGCGCTTCCGAAAGAGAACGCCCGCCGCAGTTTCGATTTAGGCTTCTTGAAGTCCTTCTTGCTCACCGCAGCGAGCTGTTCAGCAGCAGGGCTTGGTGGGACACCGATGTGAGGAGTCGTGGCCGATGCCGCTGGAAGCCCTTCGTCTAGACTTTCAGGGTGGATGTTGACGGGCCGCGATAAAGGAGACGGATGGCGAATGCTTGAGTCTCCGGGGCGAGATGGTGCAGCAAGTCTCGGCTCTTGCTTGGGGGAAGAGAGTGGGCTGGAAGCGGCGGCCATGGTCGGCTGTTCTGTTCGGGACTGTGGGAATGTAAGTAGGGCTTTCTCACGGTATGGGAAAAACGAAACTTACTGAGCCGGGTCGAGATGATCGAGCAGACTTCGAGGAAGCCACACTGTCAGAGCTAGAGTTGTGTCTGTGATGAATGGGTCGTTGCGGCGGGAGCAAAACACCTGCTTGACTCGACGAAGGATCGAGGAATGCCTTCGGATGAGGAGAGGCGGATTCTTGGGTATCAGAGGCATGGTTGAGACCGGCCGTCTCAATGCTGCCGAAACTGCGCCTCCGATATCTTGCAGCCAGCTCCGCGGGTTGGGGTCGAACCAATTGGAGATCATCAGCACTCGAGTTCTTGGGCTGAAAGTTGTTCCCTTGTGGTGAGTTTCTGTACGAGTGCTGAGAATGAAGGGATGGTGTGCTATTTGATTGAGCAGGGTGATTGTAAAGGGAGCCAACTGCTGCCATTCCAGAGCCCGAAGGCAGAGTGGAACCTGAAGGGGCACGATTGGAGCCGTTCTCTCCATCGCTTCGCCGCCCGTTTCTTCGATAACGATCTGGCGACGGCTTAGGAGCAGTAGTTGTCGACTGAGCAGTCATGAAAGAGCCGGAGGGTATAGGCGGAAGTCCCAACGACAGAGGACGATTTCCAGCATCGACATGTGAAAGGCTAATTGGAGAGGAGGGTTGCGAGGATGGAGACAGACTTGGTTGAGGGGCTTTTGGAGAAGAGATCGACCGCCCTGTGTTCAGAGCAAATGGGCGTGCATTGGTATTGGCATTGACATTGCTGGTGGCCAACTGTGGCGTGGATGTGAAGGCGTAAGGGGCGATGGGACCACTAGCTGGCATACCTCTGTACCCAGTGGCAGGCATGTTATATCGGCTGGGCTGGTGGCTTCTCATCTGGCCTTGAGAGCCCTGCGAAGGATAGCCCCCCGAGGACGAGGGGCGACCCAGCATTGTAACCGTCGTTGTTTGGGGGGGCAGTGTCTGGACCAAAGCAGCCATCTTCTCCTTTGACTATGTTTCAGCAAAAGATGCCTGGTACGGGCCAGGTCGTGTTTGGGTAATCTTGTTTCAATTTTGGGGGCCGGATAAAGGAGAGTCTTTCCTCGAGAAATTCGGCTGCGGGCACCCCAAGTCAGTGTCTTATTCAGTCAATTTTCAGTCCTGTGGACTCGACAAAGGGTCGAGCTTGAAAGGCTGTACACACATTGGAGTATGACTGTTCTTTTCTCTTTAAATTAAGGAACCAGGTTTCGACATGACAAGGCCAGGGCGGGAATGGGCCGAGACGAGATGGTGAAGCCCCGTTGACGAGTTGGGGGGGTCTGCTCTGGCCAAAAGTCGACCCAAGACCGAACTGGAACTGAACGAAGGTGGGATTATGTACGTGACGATAGCAGTCGAACGTCGAAGAAGAAGCGAAGGGCTGGAAGAAACTCGTCTTCACAGGGGACAGGAAGCCTCAGAGGCGAAACCCAACAGCTCAAGAAACGAAGGTTAACAGCGGCGGCGCGTTGAACATAAGTATTTGGGGAACGCGGCCGTGGACGGCAGGAAACGCAAAGGGAGGGAGAAGACGAAAGGGCAAGTGATAACGACGACGACAATAACGAAGAGATTGTGTCGATTGGATGGATATAGGAGAGGGGGGAAATGGATGGTGGTGTTCGTGGTGGTGAACTGAAAATGGGATGATAAAAGAGGGAAGGAGAGGTTCGAGCGCAGTTTGGCAGCCAGTGGTCGACAATTGACACGGGAATGGTCCAAGCACCATTCAGGAGAGAAGCCAGAGCCGGGAGTTTCTTTTGAGGTAGGCTAGTTTGCTCGCTAGTCCCCGATTGTGTCCAGGACCCTACCCAAGGGAGCACCAAGGGGAGCGGGATACGCGTTCCTGTGCTCGGTGCGTGCTGCGTGGTGGTGCGCGGTTCCCCCCAGGTGGTTGATGCCTGTGGTGCCTGATGCTTGAGGGCCTGTGGGTGCCCTGGTGCAGTTAAGGTTAGTGACATGCTAGGCAACTAGCTAGTAATGTGCAGGCCTCCAGGGCACCCATTGCGCATGGCGTCCGCCGCGGTCATGAATCTGGCCCGCCCATAGTCCGGCCGCTTCCCTGGAATGCACCCTTTACGCATCTTACACCTTACATGCTCGTATGCATAATAATAATACAGCAAAACTCCGACTCTCATCCATTGGCACACCATCACTACCCCTTTCATTCCGCCCTGCCTTTCTTTCATGGTGTTTCAGATTAGGGTTCGCTCCCTGGAGAAAAGGAAGAGCACGCGTTGAGCGTGCTCGTACGATACATAATGCTGACACCCATCACAGGACTCCCACCTCCGTGGATAGCTCTGACTGGCGGCCACGAACCGCGTCCAACAAAGCCACGGACTCCCATCGACTGACCACCCTGGCTGGTCGGAGCACTGGACTGTTATTAAATATATCGTCCTGCTTAGCTACTGCGCTGTCCTTTAGCGATCACGCGGAGATGCCTGGGCCCACGACCTCGTATCTCCTTATTAGCATGACGCAGACACACAGACCGCACAAATTCCAATCTCCCTCCCCACAAGGTCCGATATGGACAAACGCCGGGAGACGGAGAGTCAAAGTGGTAAGACTGACTCTCGAATCGATCCGACAATTCCAGAGAGAGCCTCCAATATCAATTTTCCCCAACCTCGCCCGCCAAAGTTCAATAAAAACGTTCAGGACGTTCCAAGCCATTTGCATTTGCATTTGTTTTTGTTTTTCTTCCAAATGTCGTTCTGAGGGTCTTTCGACCCCGGGACACCTCGATCAGTTGTTACCGTCGACGGAGTACTGACCTGTTTCTCCGTATTGCCTGCGTATGGGGAAGTTCCTGGGCGTTCAGCCATAGGCTGAGTAACCGAACAACCGAAACAAGTTCGATACTGATCACCTTTGGAGGCGCCCGCCAGGCTCCCTTGGGTTAAGCAAAGCCCCGCAGCTATCACGCCTACAGATCGCTCCCGCCCCTTCGCTGCCTCATCTTCCAGATTGCTCTTTTAAAAGAGATGGAATGGACACTCAGGATCACTAGGGCAATCAAGAAGAAATCACACTTGTGCTAAACAGGCATGCAGTTGCCACAATGTGCAGGGTCCCGTCGAACGCATTCCTGACAGCTCTGGGGTCATACGAGCCCAGATACGGATAAACTTGTGCGATGATGCCCGTCACTGCTCTCCCTTGGCTGCTTTGCGGGCCCCTGGACGGAGTATCGTCGCCTCACACGGCCCCAGAGAATGGATCCGAATGCACATGAAATCCAAGCTGCAACCTGGTCCCTCCCAAAACTAGATCCCTTTTGACGTTGCGTCACTTTGGCTAGCCGTGGGATTCCCGCTGGTTGGTTCTCTGGAAGCCTCTTTTTTTGTCCGAGGCACTAAAGTTACTGCTAAGGAGAAATTCGCTTCAGGTATGGATCTCAACACCAACGCAACCTTCGCAATCGTTTTACATACATACCACCAATATGCAGTACTCGTACACATGGGCAGTCGTCTCATAAAAATGAACGTAGCGGGTCCATTCTAAGCTGAGCAGCAAACACCAAAACTGAACCAGGCGGAGTAAATGCCTTGATAATGGACTTGGCCATTCGCGTCGCCTATTCTAGATCGGTTGCACAGGCCCATATGCACATGGAAGCGGACTACGTACGAGGTATTCTCCTCTCACATGCAACACATCGGCATCGAGCCACGATGCATGTATACTCCCACCCAAGAGGCATGCAGAACGCCTGTTTCAAGTCCACCGCACTAGCAAATCAGCTCGTCAGAGGAGCATCCAAAAGGACTCCTATGCCGTGCTCTGACATGCCAGGTCTCCGCATGACTCAAACTTTGATTCTTAACGGCTTGCTCTTCCACCATGTGTGTCCGCTTCGCCGACAGAGTGGCCCTCTCGGGTCATTTTCTTGCTCGTCCAACTTGAACGGATGACCTGCTTGCACTGAGCAATTTCCTTGAGAGTATCGCCTGAAGATCGTTGAAAAGGAGTGCCTACGACGATCCCACCGACCACGAGCCATTATGTTCCCGAAGGACCCTTGTGGGTTTCTTCATGCAACACTCAGGCACAGAGGGCTCCAGGCCAACCAATTTGTCCGAGCAAGTCATGTTCACCAATGGTCGCCTGGGAGCCAAGGGGATTTCTTGGAGCGAGGTCTATCATTCACTGCATCTGGATCCCCAACAATTTTCGCCGCGGTCATTGGCTCGAAATCTTTCCGCACTCCGTGAGGTGGGCTTCGTGGCTCCGGCTGGACCTTCGAAGAGAATTCCTTCATGATGCGGGGGAAACAGCGCTCTTAACATATGTACAGCCCAAGATGTACCGATGCTACGGCTGTTCTCATTTTGCAGTGTAAGTCACAACTGACGCTCGTGATAGACTTAATTCTCCAATCAATTGCAACAACAAGATCGTCACTCCCGTCCCATCTGCCAGGGAGACAGTTTCTTGCCGACTATATTGTACCCTGGGGGTGTCAATTGGTTCTTGGAAGCCGCCCTACTCAGTACAAAGTGCCCCTGCAACCCATTGCGGGGCACTGGCCGGGGTTCCCTGGAAGCTCTATGGCTGTATTGAGCGGTGTACGCCGGGAGCACATGCAATGTTAATGTTGATCGCCGCAGGAAGGACGTGATCAGCCAAATGTGCACCGGATGGCAGGCGCCATTTTTGTCCGGGTAATCCCAAAGACTGATTGTGTAATAATGCGGGAGGTTGGAACTCGGGTCTTCTGCATGTCACTGCTGCAGATAGCGACGACAACGATCAAGGATGACGCTGTGGTAGGGGTCTCAACCATCCGGGTCTAGCCAATATTGATTACTCCGATACGGCTCTAACAAAGTCGATGCTAGTGTGAGGACCCTGCGACTCCTAGCGACAACAGCAAGGTTTCCATCAAGGTACGTCTCTGCCAACGTTGTCTGCCTCTCATGTCATGTGACCCAAAGTTGAGCTCCGATGGACAAGTTTTGTTGGTGTAACGCTGTGTAAGGCCAGTGGTCTAGCGTCAATGTTTTGAAACAAACAAACACACACAAAAGTTTTCTGCTAAGCAATGTTCAGGGCAGATCTGATATGTTGGGTGGTAGGATTGCCCCGGGAATTCGATCGCCCCGACAACTACAGGGATCACGCAACTGAACTATCTGGGAGTCTTATAATCCTGTACTCTACAGTTTTCGAGATAATGATCAGCAAGTCTAGATCAAATCGGTACCGCAACACCTGACCCCATTCCTACGGGTTCTTGTCAACCTGTTGCTCCCGAATGCACCAGTTCCTCAGGCAACTCAGGATACCTGGTCGTGACCATCATTGGGCGTCCGGTCAACACTTCAAAAAGCTAGACTTGTTCTGCTGTGCGACTTGATAGTAGGCGGTCGTCTTCTTGCGGCAATGACTGCAACGTGTTCAGCCCGAGTGATTCGCGCCAGGCCACAAAGGCACTTCACAACATAACATGCCAAACACCGACGCACCTCGTGTGTCAAAATCGCCTGAGAACACATTGGAACTGCATTCCCAAAAACAGGTTCCTGGAGTCAACTGATGGGCTGCTTGGGGCATTCAGACTCGCTGCATGTGTTGTACAAACCTGGTTTGGAACCCGACTGAGCCGGCATATCCTACTGCTGTGCCGCTCTCAGGGCGTCACGGCAGCCTCACCATGAGACCGTCACACTGCGCAGCCGTTCCCGAGAGAAAGGCACCAAACGGATGGTTTGTGTAGCTTTTCACCTAAGGCACAACAACAAAACAGAGGGCGAACATGGACGAGATAAGTGGCATCTCAGCAGTGCTCGTACAAGGATCCATCAAATTCATATTGACGCTTCCGATATGGGTTAACATTGCGAGGTACGAGTTCTCACTGGCCAAGCTCGCGCTTTCGATTTCAAACGTCCGTTAGCTGGCGGGCGCAGCGGTTGACTTGGCCGCGTTGGCTGAAGCGTGGATCTAATTAGGCAATCCGCACGAAGGGCCGACAGGACTCGCCCAGATTCTTTGCCTGGAAGCCCCTATCGCCAACTCTCCCGCCCATTAGGGCTTATTCCGCCGTGACTAATTAGCCTCGAGGGCTAAGCTTTCGTTGCTCCGCTTCGCCAACTCCTCCAACGATTGGACTTTCCCCTCCAGGACCATGTCGCGATATCGTGGTTCTGGCGCGGGGCAGTGTTCAATGGCTGAATGCTCCCTGCTTGATCTTCGCGCTCCTAGCCTTGGACGGCGCGAGTGAAAGTGGCTGCCTGTGCGCTTCTTTCCAGCTGGATGTCCATCTTTGGACAGATATATACCTATATAATGTCAAAAGACCTCAACCCTAGGGAACACAGGCCTCGAAATACGACAAGGACAACATTCCAGGCCCTTTTCAAACTTTCTCCACTGTAAAGCAACGTTCTATATATCCCAATCCTCCACGTGAGCCCCGCTTGTGCTGCAATATCTCCCAATATCTCGCAGGCATGCCTATCATCAGCAAGCTGGTCAAAGGCATCGGGGCAGGCATTGGGGCAGCTTCGGAGGCCATCGCCGACCACAAAGAAAAGAAAGCTGCCAGAGAGCGTGGCGTTTCCCCTAATCCTCTAGGCGAAAATGAGACGGGTGAAAGCTCCAGGTCTACATTTGAGCCTGGAGCCCACGGCAGTCATTCAGAAGACAAAAAAACTCACGCACACGGAGACAAGGACGACGACTCCTCGAGCGTGGGCAGTTCAGACTTGGACAATGACGCGGCAGAATGGGCACTTGATGAGGCGGCGGAGGAACTTGACCAACCACCTCCAACTTATGAGCAAGCAGCAGCGACAAGCCCTGCGTCCGACGAAGAGGTCGCAAAGGCCTTTCTCAACGAGCACAAGATCGCTCCGACTCCGTCTCTGACATTGAAACCGCTCCCATCTCCAGTCATTCTCCCTCAACGCCGGCCTAAAGACAAAAGCCGGGGATTTGTTCGGGCATACGCTCCTCTCTTGGGTGAATGCGCCGGTATCGATCAGAAGACCTTCATCGATTTCGTCAACGACCTGGACACAGCTTCCAAGGCCAGCCCAGTCTTCGACGTGATCAACTTGGCGTGCTTTGCTGTGGGTCTGGTGCCCAACCCGATCACCATGGCCGTCAGCATTGCGGTACAGGTCGCCAGTGGCACTGGCAAAGAGCTCCAGTCCCGCTACCGCCGCAACACCTATCTCGACCAAATCAACGAATCACTCTTCAAACCGCGCGGGCTGTACTGCCTGATCATGACCTTCAAGCCGGACGACCCCCATCATCCGGTCCTCGGCATGGACCTGTCGAGCTCCCAGTCAACCGATCAGGCCCTCGTCAAGGCAACCTCAATCCCCGACTCGGAACTAAAGCAGAAGCTCGCCAAGATCCGTCTCACCTCCGGCGTCAGTAAAGGCGAGTTCTCCCTCCCCGAATCGGCGCCGCTCATCTACCCGGCCCTCGACGCCGCCGCCCAAGCGGCACTCGACAGTGCTGGAGGGACCTCGGGCGCCACACAAAAAGTCCTCCCTCAGAGCACCAAGGACAAGTTACATTCGTCCTCGGGCTTTCTCGCGAACTACCTCGATCGCCGGGCCCAGGCGTCGTACGCGGGCATGCACCCAGACAGCAAACTGGTGATGCCTCCGCCCGAGAAGAAGTTTGCGTCGCGGTTCTCCGACCCCAATCATCCCGCCAACTCGGGCACCATCCTCGGCCTGCTGACCGGCGGCCACTTCGACCCAAAGGCCAAGCGACGGGGCCGTCGAGCCCAGCGACATGCCCGGTGGCGAGGCTACGAGCTGAGCGAGACGGACGTGCGGAACGCCGAGATGGGCCGACTGCCCCGGCGGCACCAGGGGCTGATCCGCCGTGTCTTGCACAAGAACATTCTGTATTTGACCATCGTCAACTTGCCCAGCGAGAGCGAGATGCGGGAGAATATGCAGCAGCTCGAGAAGGCTGGCAGCAAGTGATGGATGCTGTGTATGTATGCTGATGGAGGGCGAGGCGGAGGCTTGGAAAAGAGAATCGAGCTTCACTGGGCCCTGAGGACAGGAAGAGGGGGAGGCCTGGATTTGGTCACTTCGAGCGAGGGTGTTCACACGCATACTGGCAGAGAGCCATGTGGTTGAAGTTTCACTATACGTACGCTACATGTAATAGGTACATGAATGAGATGATCATCACGACAAGACCCGACGACTCGATTCCCCCTGCCTGCTCAGTTTTAATTAATACATTCCACGAGTACATTAGAGCCATGTTTTTGATTCTCGACTACCTACCTGCCCGTTCTAGTCGGCTTTGTCTTTATGGCTCTCTCACATTCAAAAGCCTCGGGTTCGCATATCTTTCCTCCCCAAGGACTCTTTCATCCTTGCCATCAAAGGCGGAAGGCATTTGGCCCCGGCCCCTTTTGGGCTTGTCGGGGTTGACCGCGAGGTTCGATGGCGTTCGTCCGTGGGCCGGCTCGAGTGGTGCCTGGCTGGCTGACTTATATTTATCTCTCCCGCGCTCTACTACACGAGGTTGACCGTACCTTGTTTGGTTCAACTTTGGTGGGCTACCAAGAAACTAAGGATTGTGAGAAAATAGGATTGTTCATGTCTCTGGCTATGTACTTGCTTATCACTATCATGACTTTGGACCGAAGTGAATTTTGCTGCCGCGTCGAGTTCAAATTCGAAGCTCGTGCCTGTGGAAAGCCGTCCGTCCCGTCTCTCTACACATCCAGGATTGCATGGCAATCGTTGTTGCAACTGTTCCATCCCAAGAAACCGGAAGCACGGGCCCACTTTCTTACTTGATAGTGTTCCCAACCAGGCTGAGCACATCTTAACGTCATCATCTTCGAGCTTCGCGTCGTAAAATTGGCTAAGTTCGTTGCTTTGGGCTGTTGCCTCGCCACTTGAGAGGGCAGTCGATCATCTTCACGCTCCCTCGTCTTCCAGAGAGCATAGGGAATGAATCAGCGTCAGCGAGGTCGACTCCACATCAATTTTGGCCCTCCAAAGTCTCGCAAGGTGGCTAATCCTGAGATGCACCGAATAGCTGCGAGACTCCAGCTGTGTCGTACTGGCCAGTTTTCCACATGACATCTACATAACGGTCACCGTCCGTAGGCCACTTGCCGGTTCTGGGTATTATGAATTCGAACGTCATAATATGTCCATCCACGCTGAGAATCAGCTCATACTCAAGCTCCCACCACACTTGTCCCTGTTGGTTGACTCTGCGTGGAAATTGTTGGGCCTCCTCGAACGAGATGCGGAAGATGAGCGGGCTCGCCATAGGTTTTATTTCGTACCGGGGATCTTTTGTACATACCCCATCTTCAGAGGTCTTGTCTGAATAATACAACTGCTCCTTGACCCACCAGCCGCCCGCCGCTTTGTCTCTGAGCATGAGGCCTCGCCAACCGTTCAAGGGAGGACAGGAAAATTTCTGAGGATGGAGGCCCCGGCGGAGTAGGAATTTGGTGACACAGGCACGGAGCTGAAGGTCATGAGGGCTTTTGTACAGGCACGACCTCCGATAGTTTTTCTGTTCGTCCTGCGAGATTTCTATATGCCATTCAGCACAGAAACTTCGACGTACATATCTCTCCTTGATGAGTTTCTTTTCTGCCGACAATAACACGGCACCCCGCGCAACTGTGAGGGAACCTTGTGCCGCGTGCGGCGGAAGAGTGACTGGAATCACATAGGAAACGGGACTTTGCACGCCGCCAGAATACCGATCGCGGATCTGGTCGAGCAAGTATCGGTTCTGGCTACAGCCTCCGACCACGATAATCTCGTGGACTCGTTGCTCTACCGTCCTCCCACGTAAGCTGCGACCTTCGACGACACTTCTGATCGAAATATCGAGCATGTTGATGATTTGGTCCAGACATGGTGCGAAAGCCCTCCTGACATCCCCGGCTTCGAGGACCACTTTGCCACCTCCCTGGAGCCCGTATTCTGGGATGTCCGGAAGGCCCTGGATGCAGAGGCACAGTGCATCCCGTCCTTCGAATCGCTTCTTCTCCTTCTCGAATCTCTGATACAACTTTCGCTCAAGTTCGCGTTCGTCCGTAATTGAGCTGCGATTTCTTTGCAGGCCTTCGAAAACGCGGTCCTTGTTGCGAAAGCGATCCTTGATCAGCTTTACCGCCACCTCGTTGGTGTAAGCGCCCCCGCACCAGGCTATCTTGGACTCCTCTGGGATGATATGTTCTCGCAGTCGAAGGGGGTTTTCGTTCACCACTGTCCAAATCTGTTGGTCTGCCGAACCAGCTCCAATATCAAGAATGAGGAAAGTCTTTCCGACGAGTGATTGGCCGCGAGCTTTGTAGAGGTGGTAAATCATAGCCGCCGCCGGTTCCGCGACAGGGTAAGGATTGGGAATTCCCGCCGCTTTTGCCGCAGCCACCATCAGCTGTACCTGTGCTGGACTTGACCTAACAGGTACTGGTAGCGAAACGGTAATTCGCGGGTTTCCTGGAGGTGTCCAGCTCTTATAGTCCTCCAAATTGTCGAATACCGGCCAACCCAGACTACCATGCGACGTTGCAATAAACCGAAGGACGAAACGGTAAACGAATCCTAGGTAGTACGAAAACACCGATATGTTTTCCAGGTGATAGTCCCGGGGAACCTCTCCATAGAACTTCAAGCAGTCGCTGAGCTCGGTCTTCCGTTCTTTGGTGAGCTCGATACCTCCCTGGAAATGTTGCTGACTAGCGGTATGGGCGTGAAATAAAGAAGGTTTCAGGTGCCGAACAACCTGAGATTCGTTTATATCTCCCTTTTTCAGTGCTTGGTCCACTTCGTCTCCCCACAACATTCGGCCGTCTCTCGTAACTGCGATCTGGCTGAGGACAGAGCCGGCACAATTGGACCAGACCACCGTTGGTGGTGAGTCTAACGGCACTCCATCATCTTCCCCTTCACTGTATTCAAGAAGAAGGGAAGCCTTGGTGTGTTCCGTTCCCGTGTCCAGGGCAATATGAACTGCATGGAGCGATTGGAGGACGGCGGGACGACGTGTTTTGCTGGATGGGTTCTCGAACTCCGTCTTAGAGAGGCTGGTGAGAGTTGACTCATCTAGTGAGTCGGGGAGGGTGCGTCGCACGCCTCTCCAGGAAGACATCGTTGGACGGATCGGTTCACACGGACTGCCGATTTCCCTACACGACGAACAAGGGCCTGACCGAGTGGAGTTGGCCAGGGAGCAACGCTTCTGAAGCAAGTCAATAGACAAATTAAAGCGTAACTCTGGTTAAGACAGACTGACATGAGTAATGGAACAGTTGTGGCAACTAGGCATATTGGTAGTAAGTACTACCAGGAGGAAGAGAGAGAGAGAGGAGGCAAGGTGAAAGTGAGGTGAGGCAGAGACCAGGAGGAAAGAATGCCAGAAATACCTTCACTCTTGCCGCAGCCTCCGCAGCCTTCACACCACAGAGATTGATTGGCCTTTCCTGCTGGTCAATACTTGGCCAGGCTGCAACCACCAGAGGCAAGGGGTAGGCAGGGTTGGCTCAAGGCTGCGAATACTAGACGCAGTTCAGCCTCTTCGCCAAGGTTACACAACATCGCGACATAACTGTCACCTTCGTGTCACCCCCGCGATCGTGGCACCGCAAAGTAAATAAGCGTGTCAATACCGCCGATATCACAATACCTTCCTTCCACCTCAATTTTCCACAGCCCAGCCCTCTGAGACGACTCGAGACCACAAGCCTCTCCCACCATGGTTCGAAGCTGGACCGAAGAAGAGGAGAACATTCTCTACAACATTCTGGACCGCTGTACTCAGAACTCCGGCTCTAATGAGGGTACGGTCGTGCCAGAATTGTATTTCCACTTCGAAAACGAGAGTGGAGGAGGAGGATCCTCAAAGACCCAAGCACAAATTAAAAATAAGATCCGTACTATTTCTCGCCGCCTCGGTATCCGAAGTACTGAACTTGTCCCAAATTGGCGATTATATGCTGCAGACGCACGGAGGATGAGAGAGTCCATGAGACGAGACCCTCTACCACGAAAGAGGCTGAAGACAGGTTCAGACTGCGGTCTTGATAGGGACCCCGTACCAAGCAACGACGATAAGGAGGCTCCCGTTGCCAGTGAAAATGAAGGCAGTCGAGACTCTTCTCCAGAGCCACTTCAACCGCCGAAAATGAACGTCGGCAGCCTCCTTCCGTCCGCTCAACAAGGTGAAGGGGACGCATGTCTCCCCCCCCGCCGGTATTCCGCCGATCTTGACGAATGGGAGTATAAGTTTCTCACCGATCTTCGAAAACTCCGCGGCGACACGGGCTATATGGCTCCTCTTCCAGAGCAGGACATTCAGGACGTCCTGCGGAAAACCATGAAGCTCATTGACGAAGGTTTCGTTCAATGCCTGTTGGGTTCGAGAGTTGTCATGCCGATTTCGTCGAGACTGCCGCAAGAGTCGCTGGAGCTCGCTCGGTTATTGATTGAATCGAGAAAAGGCGATCCGACGGAGCGGCGTTTGAAGGCGCTAGTCAATGGACCTCGTGTGTCGGAGGAAATCCTGTTTCGTGCTTTTACAGCCGCGGCAATTTACCAATGGGCACTCAAACCATTCGACGAAGAGAATCTCCGACATGTCCCCTCATCCGATTGTGAGCAATGCAGGGTTTTCAATATCTGCGAAGAGTGTGCGTAGCCAGCGAGACACATTCTGTTCTGGAGTGACCGTAACTAACACATGTGACAGACAATCACCACATCGCTCGCAACCTGGGTGTCAGAAGAGCGAATGAGTATCTCGACAAGGTCATCAGGCCAAAGCTGCCAGCGCTTGCGTCGCAAATCCAAGAGAAGCTATACAACGTTTTCATCAGCATCTCCGTCCCTCTGGCAACGGTAGGCAGACCGGAGAACGAAGGTTTCCAGTCTCAAGAACGAAAGCTGCACCAGTGGCAAGAGGGCGTCGAAAATGCGCTTCTTCAGCTGCTGGATGTGAGGACCACCATGGCCAAGTGTTCGCTGCTGTACGGCTTCAGGCTCCCGGCACTCGGCAATCTCTTTGAGGCCGAGTGGATGAAGACGGTACACCCAGAGGACACGGAATTCACGTCAACAGACCGTGTTTACCTGTGTCTCCGTCCCGCTGTTTTTGCTCACAACCCTCGAGACAACGCACCAGAGGTGCTTATCTCTCCGGCTTTGGTTATGGTGGAAGGCTACGAGGTGGACTTGACGATGATTTGATCTCCTTTGTGCAATGACACGGCCGTGTTGGTAATTCCACAGGAAGCATATCCATGGTGCATGGGTCCTAGCTGAGAATCTCCACAAGCTATCGACGGACAGCCGTGAGGGAAGTGTCTAACTGACGGTCCGCGAGATGGGGATAGTTTGAGTTCCTAGGCGAAGAGAAAGGCATGGTAGTCGTGTTCGCCCAATGCAAGAACCCCCTGGGTTATTAGAAAATGTCTACTGTAAATTGGAAGCAAATGCTGAGCTGCCTAGGCAGAACCATCGGGCTTTGCCCAGCTTGCTCATCCATAAAGCCATGGCCCATGGTCATCTACTGTACATGTTCATCCTGGGACTCCAGCACCGTCGTCCCTCTTGAGCAACATTTCGCGCCGCGTCCGATGGCGATGTATGTCCTCCATCCAGTCAGTTTGTGGAAAATCAATCCTGCCTTCACCTTCCGCCCGTGAACTCGGCCTTGTGGGCTTGAATACCCCCCTTGGACAGCTCCCTCAAGGCCATGGTCGCGTATTGGCTCGAGCCCAGCTGGAACTTGAGCACCGCCGCGAACTTTGTGGCATGCTGCGGCGGCACGTGGGCTGTTTCGGCATCGTTTCCGCTCCCGCTCGCCTGTGCTGTTGTCGTGATCGCGCCCGCTCCATCTAGTAGCGATTGGGGCCGCTGCTGCTGCTGCTCTACACCGACAACGTCGGCCTTTTCCCGCAGGATCCGCTCCATGTCGGTCTCGACGAATTGCCTGTCCCCTTCCCCGTCACCGTACTCGTGGACGCTGACCTCAAATGTCTCGCCGATGCGCGCCACAACCTTGCGATAACCCCCGCTCAGACTGAAGTCCTTCTGCTTTCGGCGCATACGGTACGGGTCGAGTCCACCGCCAGCGTCACTGGCCATGAATGTTTTGTACCATTCCCCGCTGGCGTTGGCTGGGTAGACGACGTCGAAACCTGGGAGGGGGAGGACGATGTCGAAGATGGAGTATTGGCCGCTCTCGGCCTCGGCGGCGGTGAGGGCGCGGGCACGCTCGAACATGTCGTCCACGTCGTAGGCGCGGTCGTCGCCTGACGGCGCAATGACAGGCTCCCCATCTGCATCCACCGTCTGGTTCGATGGTTCGTTGTCGGTGTGCTTTTCCTTGTGCTCGTGGACCAGTACGAGATCACCTTCCACGACCTTGCCACCGAACAAGCGCCATCGCTCGCCGGCCGCAAGATTCCAGACGAAGGACTGATATGCATGGACATACAGGAGTCTCAGGTTGCGCTGAATTCCAAGAAGAGCCCCCAGATAGTCCTGCGGGTGCTTGCCCAGGTGTCGTATCAAGTTGGTCTCGGCCGAGAACTTGCGCGGGACCTTGTCGAGAGCATCGTTGATCCGGCCGGTTGTTCGCCAGATATTGATTCCTTCAGCACGAGAACGGTCGTCTTGGCCGACAAGGACACCCGAGTCTTGGGATTCTGAGCTGTTCAACGCGACGGGCGAAAATTCAAGGATAGCATCGCACGCACCCTTGAAGTCCTCCTTCAGGATCTTCAGGCCAACAACATCGGTGCGCGTGGCGAATGTCCCGAAGCGTTGCAGGCCGTAGTAATTCAAAAAGCCGTGCTCGTGAAGCTGACGGAGCGCTTGTGACAGGTACGACTGGATGGCGGCCTTCTCTTCGGTGGTGTTCAGGCCAGGGACCAACTCAACCAGGTGGCAGTCTCTCAACGTGACCACGAATTCGTTTCCGGTCAAATCACCAAGTTCTAATCCGTGTTTCTGGTACTCGAAATCTCCCACTGCTGCATATCGCAGAGAACGATTCAACGACGCCAAGCGCTCTGCTTCGACACGGTAAGCGCTGACTCTCTGCACGGTTACAGCACGCCGGTCCTTCGTCCCTGCAAACTGAAACGCCTTGTTGTTCGTTCTAAGTTGCTTTGTCAGATAAGAAATTACTTCAAGAGTATCCTTATTCTCCTTGTAAAGAGTAAAATGTACATATTCCCCGCCGCGGTCCAGCCAACCTAGCTTTCCTGGTCGCGAAGACTTTTCGTTAGGTTTTGCCCAGGCGCGGTTACGACCGTTGTTCGAGGATGGGGCCGTTGCGGTGAGGACCAGCACGCCCTCATTGTCCGTCTTGGAATCGATCTTACTGTGGAAGATACGGCGGATATCCTGATGGATCTGTGACCGAAGACTGCGGTCCGACGTGAATGGTGTCCGAACTGTTGAGAACTCTCGAGATTTCCTTCCAGGATTGCGTAGGATTGATTCATAGAGGGAGATTATCTGTGTCGCCGTCTCTTCGCTGAAATACTCTACGAGTTTGGCGCGGTCCTCGTCGGGAACCTGCATCGCGTCAGACTTGACCATTTCTCCAGACGATGGAACATTACCTCAGAATTCTGGAGGCCGGAGCTGTCCTCCCCAGTAGCATCCGAGGCTTTTGTATTTGCAGTTGTTTCTGCCTCTCGTGGAGTCTCATATTCCGCCGGAGATGGATCTGATGGCGCTGCCTCATGCCTTATATGTTCTGAAGTGCCTTGCGCCGTACGTTCTGAGCCATTATTATGCGGAGCGTGCGGCTGCAGACCCTTGGCATCCATTGATCGGAGGTGCAGGACGGTTCCGCCAGGGAGAATCTCGTTGACCAGGAAATCTGTATATCTCTTCTTGAGAATCCCTTGGAAGAGGCTTCTGGACCCGTCGACAAAAGCGGTGATACCTACCTCGCGTTCTTTTGCGCCGTCGTCAACTACGCCAACCGGACGAGGAGACAATGCCATTGGAACGTCATCGCCAGCGCCATCTGCCTGAGCTGTGTCGAGTTTGACTCTTTTCGGTGGATGAACGTCAGCAGCGTGGCCTTCCATTATTGCTCTAAGATGACTGCCAAAGGTCTCCCCAAGAACATTGAGAGAGTACCTCGTACAGTAACTTGTGAGCTGGATGTTGAGAATGAAATTTCATTAATGCCAAGAGAAAGATACAGCTAATCCGGTTACAGGATAGTGCTTCCCCTTTCTGTCGACGCCTTGCGATGCTGCCTCATGCGTGAAGTCGTCGCCATCATACCCATGGAAGATCAAGACAAAACCCTGTGCTCTCCATCATGACAATGCTATGGGACCCAGAGAGGCTTATGGCGGTCTCTCCCTGTTCAAAGATCAACATCACCCTTCCTGTCAGGCGTAGATCCCTTTTCCGTTCCGTTCGCCTTCTCAACCACAGTCCAAGGCCGCTCGAATCCTTTAAACTCTTCAGTGATCAGCATGCGCGTGTCCTCCCAATCCACTCCGAATGCGCCGCTGTTGAATTTCGGACTCCAGATTTCCCCTGGTTTGTTTCTGTCTGTGTGCCAAGCGGTTGTAGGGGAGAAATTCGAGGGACCAAAAGCCTCCAGTTGGACTCTGAGCTCTTCGAGCGCCATTCTTGTATGGGGAATAATCTTCGTCGTGGAGTCCTTGCCTGGGTTGTTGGTTTTCATATTTGGTTTTCCGTAGCCGATGCTTGTGAAGAGGCAAGCGATCCAACGCCGCGGCCTGCAAACTACGTCTCCTGTAGGGATGGTTTTGTTTGTACCCTTGAGCTTGATCATGATCTCTTGTTCGTAGTCCAAAGGCTGTGGAGGAATAAGCAAGCAAGTTCCAATGAGATCGTACGGTCGATCTGCTGTCTCGCAGTGCTCTTGGTAGATCCTGAAAGCTTGTGGGCACTTGACTGTGTCAGCGACAGCGAACAAACGGAACTCGTGTATCCATACCAGTCGTTTAAGATACAATGCGACTCCATAACCCCAAGCTCCTTGGCAATTGACGGCATCTGGGGTTAAATAGATTAGCACAAATTATCGAGCTCCTTGGGTCACATACGGACAATGACCGCTCTGTCCGGCGCATCGTCAAGGTCGCCTGCGAGGTCGCTGATCGAAAATCCTGGAGCACTTCCCGAGCAATTCTCATCTCTTTCAGCGGCTTCGGCCCTAAGTCGGTCGGCAATATCCTCAAACTCGAACGAGGGAGACCTCTTTTCCCGGAGTGGATTCCACATCTCACCGTTGTCGAGGCAAGATCTTGTAATTCGGTCTTGGCCTTGCACAACCTCCTTCATGGTGTATGGTCGCGTTGTCATGCGACGCGTCTCTTCTCCCTCCCCCAAGAATCTTGACAGCAGGGCCTTGTAAGCTTCGTCGATGAGATGTAATTCCAGCTTGGACTCGCTGTTTTCACTTCTCATGGTCCAGTATTCTGTAAGTTCAAAATATCTCTCGTCGAGCTCTTCTAATGATGCATCATCTCGCAGGCCGAGGAGCCTGTAGTGTTTAGCATGCTGGCTCAGATCCATATTTTTGAGCGATTGCGGTAAAGGAGGATATGGAAAGACGAAGAAGTACAAGTTCTGATGTACTGTGGCATTGGCGGTCAGCCACTATTGAGTATCTGCTACCAATTTGAATGGAGAGAGAGAGAGATCGATAAATTTGGCCCTTTGATTGACGGACGTACTGGAGAGGGAAGTGACAGTCATGAGACTGCCGGCGCAGGTGGAGTGAAGTGAGGAAGAAGAGAATGGTGACTGCCTCGATGAGAACTGAAACCAAGTGCTTGAATTTGATTTATGTACTATTGGATGCGCGGTAGCCAACAACTTGATCACTATTATACCAGGCACGCCACTGCGTTACTCATGAAATCTTCAGTGCTAAGAGTGAATGCAATCCAACCGGGTCCCGGTCATTTCCTGAAAAAGCCTAGAATACTTTGCCTCTTTTTGACGCGCTTTTTTTCAGGGCCACAGGTCGAAGTCGTTTTCAGCTCGGTGGTTTCCACTGTGTTGCAATACTGAGTTGATGGAGTCGTCGACCGGATCGATGGCAAACCAACGCGAAATCTCTCTGCGAAAGTTGGTGCCGTGGATCTCTTGCTCCGTCGACTCCTCTGTCGGCTGAGCGTCCTCATTGTACCATCTTCGTCGTTAGACCGTCTCTCCAGCTGCTCAATTTCTTGTAACGCAGTCATTCCATTGGTTGCCAGGTTCTCTTCCGTGACGGCGTCGAATCGGACAACTCCCCGCTTTGGCGGAATTTGAAGTGTATCATGAATAAAATCCTGAATCAAATGTGTACTTCTCTTGTTTTTGGTCGCTGCTATCTCTGACGCTAAAGCTGTAATGGTAAGATGGTATGCTGGTTCGGAATTACCCCCGAGAAGTATTGGAATGTCAGTCGTGACCATCACCATGATGCACGACGCAGGGCGTTGGTAAATCTCCGACAACCGGAAAGACAGGTCGATGAGAAATCCTTTCTCGGATTCGAGCTGCATTCACAGTCAGTCAAAGCTTAAGGTGCGGGTTTCCATTCCTACGCAGCAGTTGAGCTTGACTTCGGCCAGGATCACCCAGTCTTTCGCCACCCGTTCCTTTGCCGTATTGTTTGACTCTCGATAGGCGAAGGCATCATCGTAGTATTGGCTCCTCTTCTTGGACAACCGTAGCCTGCTCCATGACTGTTCTAAGCTGGCTAAATCCGATGGCTGCCCTTTTGAGTTCTTTGCGAGGAGAGTGAATTGGTTTGAGTGCGTAAGCTCAGGAGGAGTCGACTGGGCACGTTGCAACAAGGAAAATTTGTGCGGGGATGGAGACATGCGGCCTTTGAGGTCGAATGCACCCTCTTGCGCATTGTCGCCTGCCGGGGGAGTAGGAAATGCATTCTCAATAGCCGTCGCATGGATGCGGCTGGTAGTGGATGGTGTGGATGTCATGGGCACTTATTGTGAACGCGACGACAATGACTTCCGGGGCCGTTCTGATCTCAAATTGACGATATTATGGCGGGGGCGATCATTTGAGGATACTGATGAAAAAGGTGAATTCGCAGTCTCCATGCAACATGCCGCTGGGGCCCAATTCACTCTTGAGGGCAGAAAAAGATCATTAACAATGGGGCATTCCAATCGAGATCCAAAAAAGCTCAACAAAAGGCAGATCCTCGGGCTCTTGTCAAGCCAGACCTTTGTGAGTGTGCAATGCAGCAGACCAAAGACGGCACAGGGGGGTGAGAGATGAGATGAACAGGATGCAGGTCGCCATGCAGCTTCCTGCGTTGTCAACAAGACCAACATTTTGTGAGACGGGCAGCCGCCACCCTGGTCAGGAGATTAATACCATCACTTCTAGCGAGGGGTAGGCCTGTTCCAGGAGTCTTCCTCTGCAGGAACGCACCGCAACAGCTTCTGTTAAACAACATCGGCAATCTTTGATAGCCACATCGGAGAGTGGAAATGCTGCTGCGACGTGTTTGTCAGTTTTGTCATGTTTGCTAGATTTGCAGTCTTACAGCAGATCGACTCGTAGGAAGTCGAGTCCCCCGCACCCATCCTCGTATCTCAACTTGGGCATTCGTCGTCATAGATTGCTTCAATGGTATTGAGTTGCGTCTAGCTGCTGTCGTCCCCTGACGCGCTAGAGTGGAGAGTGTAGATCCAGTTGCCAGTGTCATGCATCTATTGGCTGGAAGACTCTTCGATGTTCTAAAGCGTTTAACCTGGAGAGAGGGGAATAGCATTGCCCGTCAGCACCCACGGGTCATGACGTCGTTGTCGCGATTGTGACACCAGTGAGGCACTGGAGGGGTGTTTGTGCAGATCGTGCCCATGAGAGTTGGTACAAAATACATTCAAGCACCCCATGTTTGTGCTTCTGTTCACGGGAACCTATACCCACTATATGATCAATCTGGAACTCAAGAAAGCCTGAGAAAAAGGTAAGGCTGCCTTGTTGACGTCAAGATGATGCGCAGAGCAACTCATACCATAGTCTTGTGGACTCTCAACTGACATTTCGACAGGTGCGTCAAATATAACCCTTCAACTCGACTTTGAAATCCCCTGTCTATAACTCTTGTTCACCCCATTGAGTCCAACTATGAACCGTCTTGCCAGCCAGACCAAACAAGCACACCGACTGATCTCCTTGCAGCAATCCAGACCGTTTGTGGTATATCGAGCCAGTGAGTTAAGGTTACCTCAAGACGCTGGCATTCATTCACAACAGTGCAGGAATGTCGGATCAAGATAAGTCTGCACTTGATGCCAACAAGGGTTCTATTGGCTCTCAGTTCAAGCCAGAGGGATGTAAGATTGACTTGTTCCTCGACGAGCCTCTGCCGTGAGGCTATGTGAGTTCCGGCGCAGGCTAACCGCGAGTGGCAGCCGTTGGACAAATGGGAGAAAAGGCTGGTGGTCCGCTCAGTAGTAGCGGTGCGGTGGGAAAGCACTTCACGCCTGAGGGTTCAGTGGGTGAGTGACTTCCATTGTCAAGTCTTAATGCACCACTTGAGACCGATCACTGACAATATATAAACTGCAGGCGGCACGGCACAATCGGGTATGTCGGGTTTGAGCGGGTTTGTCTGACCAATGTACTCACAATCGCAAGCCGCCGAACAAATGCAAGGAGACAAGAAGCCTATCTTTGACAAAGACGGCGCAGTAGGCAAGCAATTCACATGTGAGTCTGGAAAATCCAAGAGCGGAGAACACTCAAGATGACAGCATATTATAGCTGATGGGGCCATCGGCAGTGTCGGTGAGGTGAGTGCACCGGCCTGATCTGGAAGACCAGATGCGTCAATTCGCGTTCCAGGCACACGGCACATTCTGCAAAGTGTAGGGTGCAATATTGACTTTGTACTTCCAATAACAGGCCGTGGGCGGTCCCTTCTCGTCCAAGGGCGCCATCGGAAAGCAATTCACAGAACAAGGAGCAGTAGGAGGTCAGACACCTTCCCTATCACACCATCGTTGTTCCGCTGGGCTGATAAACATTTGCAGGAACAATCCAGGAGAATTTGGGAAGTGGCAAGGAGTAAAATCTGTCTAATATGCATACAGTCCATAAAGACTTGTAGAAAGATATCAACTGAGTCGACTATGGTCATATATTCACGACTACCGTAGTTGATATATCAAACGGAGGCATTGCCCCTATCTAGCTGGTGCATCAGTTTAATGGCATCTTCACAATGAGCTTCCATGTCTAAATTCCAAACCCAGTCCCACTGATGCCGCAAAACATGTCGGAATTGGTCAAGATCATCCCCAACCCCAGGTCTTTCAAACTCGTAGAGCATACCGGCCTTCCTGCTTTCGGCCACGAGCCGTTGATCACGCTCTCTCCTGGTTGCATCGTATGCCGCAAAAACCTTGACGAGTTGATATGCGTCGGGCGTTTTGATTGCTCCAAGAAGTCGACTGAGAACAGCAGCATCCTCGATAGCCATACCCGCCCCTGCGCCGAGATGCGGTGTAGAAGCATGGGCGGAATCACCCAAGAGACAAATTTTGCCGTCTTTGACAAAGGATTTTGCAGGGGGGAGATCAAAGAGCCCCCATTTATCTGGCTTTTTCAGCATAGACAGGAGCTTTTTCACCGGTTCGCTCCACTCCTTGAAGTCTTCGAGAGCGTCTTCAACGGTGGCGGGAACAACCCAGTTGCTGCCATACTTCCACTCCGAGGCACTTCGGAAGGCGACGACATTGAGCGTCTTGCCTTGCTCGATTGGAAACGTGACGAGATGGCCTCCATAGCCAAGGCTCATAGCCTGGGCCATTGCCATGTCCTCTCCTAGAGCATTGATGCCATCCTCGATTGGGAGGAGTCCTCGATAGGCATATTTGCCGGTAAATTGTGGTTCATACTTTTCCTGCTCCCCATGTAAAATGTTCCGCACTCGCGATTTGACGCCGTCGCAACCAATAACAGCATCGAAGGTTTGAGAGGTGCCGTCCGCGAAGTGAACCTTGACACGTTCTCCGTCTTCTTGCACATCAGTGCACCTTTTATTGAAGCTGACCAGACCTCCCTGGAAGCCACCAGGCAAGAGGTCCACCATCGCGTCCAAGAAAGCCGCTCGGTGGACATTGCGGAACTTGTTGTCATTGTGGACTGGACATATCTTTTCCAAAGCTCTTGCCGTGTTCGTCCCTCCTCTGCCGTCCATGCCCATGTAGAATTTAAGAAAGACTGACATCTCTCGGCCGTCGACTGTTACCGCTTCGGCTTCGTCTGCAATTCGGCTGTAGGATTCGTAGATTCTCGGGTCGATGGCACACATGGCTCGAACTGCATTGGGGAGAAATCCAACGCCGGCGCCGATTTCGGAAAATGCAGGAGCAGCTTCGTACAGGTGTGGTTTGATAACGCGTCGGTCGCAGTGTCTCAAGAGCCCTAGTAGAAAACTCAGTCCACCTATACCTCCTCCGATGATTGCGATCCGCAAAGGGCTTCTTGTCTCCCCTGCGTCTCCCATGATGTGTCAGTAGTAAAGACAAGCAAGAAACAGGGACTGGAAGAAGGTTGTGTCAAGAAGTGATGCGCCGTCCGCTGTACTGGCAGCCGGAGAGGTAAGGCTATTTGTAGCATGCCGGGCTGAGTCCTTGCACACTTCTCTTTTCCAATATTATGCAGCGAGGGGATTCAGGCCGTCGAATCCCAGTCAAGATACACCAATATCTCATGATACCGCCTCACATCAGTAAGCTCATGGTCAGAGGTGCAGCTGACACGAACGGCTTCGAGCATTTCAGTTGAGCGGGCTCACTCGGGTGAGTGCAAAGGTGGAGGCGTGGGCAACCAAAGCTGCCACCAAGACGATGGCATCGCGGACGCAGGCCATACATTCTAAACATTACCAACACGTTAGGATCTCACACGAAGACCAAGAAGGGAGCATGAAGTCATCTCTGGCTTAGGTAAAGCGATGAATGAATGCGGAGGCGCCACCAGCGCAGAGCGAGCATCATGTAAGATTGCGTGAAGCTATAACCTGTTCTGGTTTAGCGCATATCTCTCGGTTTACCTACTTTATTCGTGGGACGCGCTCTCGGCGGCCATTGTGCCTCCGTGTCACAACTTTCGTCCTTCATGTCGCATCATTGATCTGGGGAGTGAGCTGACAGTCTTGTCACTTCTTAGATCGTTTTTATGGACACGAGGAATAGTCCATCCTCCTTAGGGATGACAAATTATACCCTTGTGAATTTGATCCCTGAAAACTGTTGCCCCTTGAAGATGGTGAGGCATTGAAGAGCTTTGTAGCCGCCCACCCTTTTCTAGCCGCCCGCCACAGTATGCACGATTCATTACCACAAATGGGGTTCCAGCGTCAGGCGACCTTCTTCCGTTCCTGGCTTTCTAATAGCCCCTTAATTCCGACTGCTTGGAGAACATCCAACCCATGAGAGGCTGTCTACGCGCCCGAAGTTTTCGTGGCCATGGCCAAAGCTCTGAAGCTCCTGAGACTACGCCTTACTGTCCCGCCTCTCAATCGGGATTAGCAATGCGGGAAAGGTCTAGCATTCCTGGAGATATGCAGTTCGAGCAAGCGGTGAAGTGCCAGTGGCCTGGCTAACTATTAGCACTGTTTGAGACTTGATACGTTTCCTCGAGAGTTTGCTCCTGCATAGGCGCCCGCACGTTGTCACAAAGACAGGCGCCATACACGTGGTTTGACATATTACCAGGTAGGATCTCCCAAAAATCCTTTCATCCTCCTCCAGGTCGGCCGTGCACAGTACCTCCAGAACAGGCCAGCCAGCCAAGGACGGACTTTTGACCTTAACCTGGAGTGCATCATTTACACGCTTTGTCCGCAACCATGGAGACCTCGAGCCCGTTGCCAGACACGCAAGTGTCCTTGCTGAGAGCTATTGACGGTAGTCACCTTAGATGGTCCGACTTTCGAACGATTGTCCTCAGTGCGTTTCGGATCATCTTTACCGATAATCTCCAGCTGTCCGAATTGTCACGTCCTTTCTCTGACAGGTTGAAGCCATGCCTGCAGAAACTTGACCGATTCGACAACCAGGAGGCAGAATGGCGGAAACAGGTTGCGAGTAACAAGGGATTCGGATCGTCAATGGTGTTTCCTCCCAACATCCTCCCATCGACTGGTGTCAACCTCTCCCTCCATCGATCGCTTGCTCCCAAGCTCAACCGAGAGGCACTTCCCCCACGGGCCGTCAAGGCTCAGGAGAGTTTGTTCGAGTTGCCTGTCCCTCGACCGGGCCTTCTCACTGGCTTCACCACTCAAGCATTTAATGAGAAGGAATTGTCGGTTTTGCCCAACTGCGCATCTGCAACTGGGACAATCGTTGATTTCGAGTCGGGCACCGTGTCTCCTGGAACAACCACCTACTGTCCGTTCATGGTCTTTGAACGGGTGAATACCGCGTCGGAAGATGCGATACAGTCTGCCAGGAATCAGTGTGCAATTGCTGGCGCTCACTGCGTCCGGGCCTTCCAGCTTTTGTTCAGAAAATGCACCAGCCCTCGCCCGGTGTTTGAAAAGCCAATATCTTTCTCTTGCGCCATCAACAACTCCAACGCTCTTATCTACTATCACTACGTTGATGCTGACGGCCGCTATTGTATGTCAGAACTCTCCCGGTTCAATCTCGATGACACAATCGCTTTCAAAGAATTTCAGGGATGGATCGAAGCAATTGAGGACTGGGGATCGACATACCTACTGCCCGTCATTAAGATTGCTTTGAGACAACTCCTCAAGAGCCATGGGACGCCGCCAATATCACCCATGCCATCACTCACCTTATCAATCGACACTGCTGCAGGAAGCGAGGAGGTTCTGATGAAAGTCCTCCGCTCCACTTTTGGCGCCATCAAATGGAAATGTGAAGGGGAATGCGAAACCCCATTGAACAGCAGTATCGCTCATTGTGGCACGCCACTCGGCGCCCGGAAAATTAGGACCCTGGCTCTGTCGCCCACCTCACCGGCTGACATATTGGGTGCAGCGTCTGGACCCACCACGCCATTCTCCGTGTGGCGGATGAGGCCCGAATGGGCCAGCAGGTCTCCTACCGCTCGGCGACATCCACTTTCACCATTGAAACTCCGCTCTGATATTCCCGACTCTCCATGTCGACGGGCTACTCTTTCCCCATGCACCCCTCCGCCAGAAGCTCCCAACTCGGCGCAGTCCCCAATGCTCGTTCTACAGAAGAGAGTTGATCTGGCCATGGATGAAATCCAAGAACTGAGGGCGCTGGTACAAACATTGCAGGGCGAACTCGACACGAAGAATAATCAGCTTGAGCTGGGCAGAAAGCCTGCCGACATCGTCGTCAACGAGACATGCAAAGATATCTCAAGCGCTCCAATGGTCGGATTTTCCGCAGATTTGAGAGGTCGTCTTGAGCGGAGCAATTTCCCACCCACATGTCCACCATTGACCCATATGGCTGCGAGCCTCCTGACCTCCCGGCTGTCACTGCCATGGGCCCTGTTCTTGTTCTTGCTTGCCTCGGTCCTCCTATCCCATGACCTGTTCGAAGTGACTTTCTACTTGGCACAGACACCAGGAAGCGCGTTCGTCTGACAGCGCGATAGGCAAGGTGGAGAGGGCACAATTGCGGATGCAGGCTAGATTGGGCGATCTACAGTTCTATCGGTTTGCTGCGGCAGATCCTGTACTTGTACGTACTGTAGCTATTTGGTCGGAAATCCAGGGTCATTATGAAAGAAGTCGGCCTTTAAACACGCAGCTGCATCTGTAAGACGCGATCCATCCTCATTTCTCATGCGTGTCGCGTTGCGATAAACAGCGAGGATCGTGGACCCACAGGATGTGCCGATCATCACAGCGGTTTATTTGCTCCACCATGTTAGGGCTTCCTGGATAAGGCCGTGGACCAACCCGAGTTTTCAAGGTCTTTCTGTGCTATGCATGATCTCGTCTGTAGACTGCCCTACCAAACTGCTTTGTGCAGACAGGATCGCACGCGAATTTGGGATGGAGTGCCACTGCATAAAGATACCCGCGTCGTGGCTCTCTGGGCTGACGTGATAGAGAGACAAAGTTCACCACACAACGGATCTTAGCTCGGCTCCCCGCGCTGATATCGGCAAAAGATTTGACGCGGAGCTCGGATACAAGATCCAGGCGAAAGCCTGGCGAGCTTACTCTGGTGCCACGAAAGTGAGCAATCACCGGGCCTCGTCGATGGCATGTGAAAGTGGACAACTCTAATTTGGAAACTGCCTGCAGACAGTGGCGTCTCGGGATCTACCGGATAAGATGAAGGGCTGAGGCGCGCTGCAGTAAAGCGAACGCCACATTTATGCTCTATGGGACGAGGCTGAACGCCATCCTGCCGCCACTGTGTCACTGGACTAACCTGTTACGGTATTATACTGCTCTGCCATCCCCGCCCCCTGAATCACGCCTGGCGTCGCTCGTCGTCAAATTTCCCTTTGAAGACCTGTTCACTTCCACCAGGCCCGAAAAGGGTAGAAAACGTTCGAAGCATATAGGTATCGATACAGCCAGAAAGGAATTTTTACGTTAGCTACTATCCTGCTTTTAGGACTACGAAGCTGATATCGTCCATGAACTCTGCGCACAAGGTAAATGAGGCTATCTGCCAGAAATCCATCCTAATGCCCATCTCTGGCGAACGCGGAGAAAGCCTCCTTGACGCGATATGGATATGCCATCTTTGTGAGTCTTGCTCTTCTATATATCCTCGTCCACATGTCGCTTCAGGTTGCAGTTCAGTTCAGTCCAATCCATCATCTTCTCTTCTCTCCTTCTTTGCGTGCTGTCCCCGTTTGGCACCAAGTGCCGTCCACTCCTTTTTCATCCTTTTCAGTCACTCCTTCATGCTAATCATGCTGACTCCAACCCTTCTTCTCGCCTCTGTTGGCATCGCCACCGCTTGGACCAATGCTGAGGTGACGGTCCGAGTGAAGGAGACTCGGACAATCACTTTCTGTCCGCTTCCTACTGGACTGTCGGCCTGTGACGAGGCTGGTCAAGGTTGGGGGCGCGTCAATGATCCTAACTCACTACCTGGTCAGAGTTGGCCTGCGTGGAATGGAGGTGCAAACGGGCCAGGACAACATGGCGGCCTTCCGGGTGGAGCAGGATGGTTTCCACAAGACCCTTCTGGCAGCTGGGGAGAATGGGAAAGCACCGCTGTCACGGTCACGGCGTCGCCAACACCAGACCCCACTGCCCATTCAGCAACGCCGCTGATAAGGAGCTCTTCGACTCTGCTATCGGTGGCACCATTTGCAAATACCACTACCACTGCCCAGTCCACCTCTTCGTCGTCGGTCGTACTTTTCGAAAATACTTCGACAACAACGACATCGGGATCGTCAACGACTGTGTTGCTCGGTGATCCATTGTCTTTTACAACCACTAGGGCCTCAACTACATCAGCGACGTCAACATCTTCGACCACCGCATCGGCAGTCACGGCAGATGCTGCCCCAAGCCGAGTCCCCGGTGACGGCAGCTTCTTGGTTTCGCTGACATCGAGTGTGGGATCGAGGCTCAGACGCCAAACCACGGCGAGCTACCTGGGCTTCTCGGGAACTGTGGCCATTGCTGTTACTGATATCAAGGATGCCTGGGCCTTTGTTTTCAACGAGCAGACCCAAGTTCTTGGATTTAGCGGGAAATCTGGCCACGTGGGTTTTGATAGCGACAGGCTGACGGAACCCGTTCGGAAGACCAATGACGATGGCACATATGCTCCGGCTGCCTATGTTGGCTGGAATGTGGACATCACCAAAGGTACCATTGGCTTTGGCAGTGCCCAATTCTGCGTCTCCGCAAACGCAACGCTTTTTGCATATTGGGATCTCATCATTCCTGAAGGATGCACGCCCTTCACGTTGGCCACAGATATCAACGATGTCCAATCTTCGACCACCAGCACCGTGGCTGGCACCACGACCTCGAGCTCGGCTTTCTCGACTCTGACAACAACAGCCAGCTCAGCCTCGCATTTAGCTGATGACGCTTTTGCGTCAACCTCCAGCATTTCTTTGAGCGCTACTACATCGTCGACCACATCTGGCATCAGCTTGACCTCTTCTGTCGCTGGGTTGGAGCTTCTGATTGAGGATGCATCCTCAACCTTGACGCTCACGACCATTACTTCCGGCTCCTCGACCTCGGTGGACCCGACAACAACGTCCGTGCTCACGACCACCTCTGAGACCGCGGTTCTCTTTGCTGACGTTACAACTTCTTCGTTGTCGACAATGACTACCACTGGCTCGACAATGGAAACACTACTGGCGACATCAACTCTGACCACTACTTCGACCTCGTCGTCGAGCGGCACAAGCACTGTCTCGATCAGCCCTGTTGTGATAGCTGGGAATGCTGCAGTCACAACGACTACCACTTCGGCGGCAGCGGCTTCTACGAGTACTTCTTCGTCGACCTCCAGTGATTCTGACAGGTCTACTTCTTCATCAACCTCCGGTGACTCAGACAGTGATTCGGACAGGTCTACTTCTTCATCGACCTCCGGTGATTCGGACAGGTCGACAACCTCGTCGACCTCTGGTGATTCGGGGAGGACTACAACTTCGACCTCGAGTGATCCGGCGACCTCTTCCTCGGCGTCTTCGCGCTTTAGCACTTCCATGACCTCCTCGAGCCTGATGGCTCTCGAACAACTGGCTGCTCTGATTACCTCTTCCAGCACATTTTCGACTACTAAGCGATCGACAAGCTCGAGTGATACTACCACAACTTCGGGTGTGGCGCTCGGTGCCCCAGCTGTTGCCGCGAGCACAACTTCGAACACGGTTAGAAGCACATCGACTACGAGCGCGAGCAATGCATCCACCTCCTCGACCGATGCAACGACCGATTCAACGACCGATTCAACGGAGCTCTTGGATTCCATCGTGGACGAGGTGCTCGCTCTTAGACGGCGCCGATTCAGCGCGATGATGCCCTGAGCTTCAAGGATGAAAGACTAAACCCTTACTACGGCGTACACTTTTCTTTTTGTGTTTCAACAATGGCTTCTTTAAACAATGGGCGTCGAGACGGGAGTGAGGGAGGGATCGTCAAGGGAGAGACTGGATTTCAGGCTTATTGTTATACTTTGGTTCAGAATCCATATACGAATGCACTTGCGTGGCTAGGCTCAATGCCACCCTGAAATATGATCATCGTTTTCCTATGTTGACATATTTATTTCCGGGCTTTCTGTTCTCTATACCTAGATTGCCTTAGAGTGAGAAGCTTTTGACTCTATCCGGGTTGGTTTCAGAGGATGAGTGGCAGCTCGGGTGGGAGCTCCAAAACTGCCCTCCATGCCTAAACAGTATTAAGACCAAGCTGCCTCCAGTGGTCTGGACGAACGATGAGCAGCTGAGGCCATGATGGCGTCAAATGAGGCGGCTCGGAATATGACCAAGGCAAGACTGTCGACCGTTACAGCTACAGTAAAAGTTTCCTTCGTGTGAATTCGTGGTGTTTTGCTTGTGACCAAATTTCCGTCATTTGAACTAGGACCCCGCAGTGCCCGCCCACGTGGCTACGCGTTATCAGGGGACGCGCTGCGCGTTATTATTTCTCTTCTCCAGAGTCGCAGTCTAGCTGACACCACCTCTGCGAATACGACGACAGACGATGTTTTCCAAGCCTTTCAAGCCCTTGACTATTCATAAACCTGTTGCCGATGGCGAAATCCCTGATCAGAGGATACCTCCTGCCAAGCGGAGGAAGCTGAGTCCTCCTGATCATCAAGAAGCGACGACACTATCCAATCAGGGTGAAAGACAACCCCTCAGGTCCATCGCCAACCCTCCGAGTCCTGTTCTGATCCAGAGAGGGAATGGGTCGGACGGCATAGAAAGCTATTTCTCAATCCTCTGGTAAGCAGCTTATAGAGCCAGGAAATACCTGCCACTGATGGCCTCCGCAGGCGTGTTCCTACGAACAAGAAGAACAAGACTTGGACGGATGACGGTGTGCTCGCCGTTAGAGATGGATTTGCAACATTGTATACCAAGTCCGGAAAGAGCATCGGCCGCACTTCCTTCTCGGCTCCTTTGCTGCCCGAGTCAACCCTGACCATCAATGGAAAGGATGTCGAGGTCCAATCCCAAATCAGCAAGAATGCCTTCCTGGAGATCATTGGCTCCAAATCCAAGCCTGCGAACCTCGAACACAAAACCGCATCTAACCCTGTATCCGCGGAAATTTCCGAAACCCAACAAACAAAGCCAAGCATACAGAGTCAGATGAAAGCTCAAATGCAGAAAGAGAAGATGCAGGCCAAGAAGCGACATCCTTCATTGGTCAGCCGTGTCGGTGCATTTAAACAGCCGTTAAAGGAGCCAACTATCCTTCCGCAAGGCCTGGGTGAATCGCCGACCCCGCGGCATGACCCTCACGCAGACGGGGCACTGGTTTTCAAGAGACCCAGAAGCCCACCTGAAGGTCGACAAATCGTGGACGTGGTTTTAGACCCTTTTATTGGCAAAAAATTGCGGCCACACCAGCAAGAGGGGGTACAGTTTCTCTATGAGTGCGTAATGGGGCTGCGTGATTTCGACGGCCATGGATGCATCCTGGCAGACGACATGGGGCTTGGCAAGACGTTGACCACGATCGCTCTCCTATGGACTTTGTTGCGGCAAAATCCAGTCTTCAGGGAGCCACCTGTGATCAAGAAAGCTCTCATTGTCTGCCCTGTATCCCTCATCCGGAATTGGAAGCGAGAATTTAGGAAATGGCTCGGCTCCGACCGGTTGGGGGTACTCGAGTTCGAAGATCAACAGACTCGTCTTAGTAGTTTCGATGGGAAAGTCTTTCAGGTTATGATCATTGGCTATGAAAGATTGAGGACAGTCGCCGATGATCTGGCTAAGGGACAGCCGATCGATATTGTCATCTGTGATGAAGGCCATCGTCTTAAGACCATGAAGAACAAAGCCGCTCAAGCTATTGAGTCGCTAAACACGAGGCGGAGGATCATTCTGTCGGGTACTCCCATACAGAACGACCTGGGCGAGTTCTTTGCCATGGTCAATTTCGTGAACGATGGGTGTCTGGGATCTCAAAAAGGCTTTAGCAGAGACTTTGAGAAGCCTATTGTGAAAAGCCGTCAACCGGATGCTTTACCGGCGGAAGTTGAGCGCGGACAAGATGCCAGCGAGGAACTGAATCGCGCCACGTCGGCCTTCATCCTACGACGAACAGCGGACATTTTGGCAGACTTCTTACCCCCGAAAACGGAATATGTCCTCTTTTGCAAACCGACACCAGCCCAGGCCAAGATCTACCGGAATGTTGTTCGTTCACCCATGTTCCATAGTGCGTTGCGCAGCCAGGAAACGGCGTTTCAGCTGATCACCATTTTGAAGAAACTCTGCAACAGCCCAGCGTTGATGGACCCCAATCATGGCAACGATGAGTCGATCCCTTCGTCGTCACTTGTCACCCTAAACGAAATGCTTCCCGATGGATTGTCACGGCTGTATCAAAATTCCGTGTCTTGTAAGATCCGTCTTCTCGATCAACTCCTCCAACAAATTCGCACCACTACTGATGAAAAAGTCGTGGTCATTTCCAACTACACCTCTACGCTCAACCTCATCCAGCAACTGGCAGCAAACTCCAACTTGTCCTCTCTTCGGCTTGATGGCTCGGTCGCCGCGAAAAAGAGACAAGCCCTGGTGGACAAGTTTAACCGCTCAACGCCCGCCCAGTGCTTCCTGTTTCTTCTGAGTGCGAAGGCAGGGGGCGTCGGACTCAACTTGATTGGGGCAAGTCGCCTGGTCCTTTTCGATGTGGACTGGAATCCCGCGACGGATGATCAAGCAATCGCGCGCATCCATCGACAAGGCCAGAAGAGACACTGTAAGATCTACAGATTTCTCATCAAAGGTGGCTTGGAAGAGCGTATCTGGCAAAGGCAGCTCGTCAAGCGAGCGCTAGCGGACAGCATCATGCAAGGCGGATCGCACATGGTATCATCCGCTTCAAATGAGCCGACAAGAGCCCAAGGGGGCACTTCAAGTTTCAGTCAAGAAGAGTTGAAGGATCTGTTTCGCTTAGACGAGGGTGAGGGACTCCGAACCCATGACTTGATCGACTGTGGATGTGAAGGGGCGGGGCGGGAGGACAATTTCCAGGACGAAGGTGATGGCGCACAACAGACTCTTCGATCCGTTAGTGAGAATCACAAAGAAGGGTCTGACAACGAGGAGCTGGAAACCGTCACTCCAAAGACAAGCCTGACGTCGACAAAGTATTCAGCCAGCTCGTGGACTACAGCAAAGCACGCTTTGAGCAACGACACGCCACCACTCGCGACAGAACTCGAGGCAGAGAAGCACCAACTGATGCAATACAGGCACGTGGACACTTCGATGCTGAGCCAGAAACATGCAGATTCGGAGCTGAGGAGCCAGATCATGTCGGCTATTGATGATAGCTGTCTTGAGTATCTGGTCAACCTTGACCAGGAAATGATTGGAGGTGGTGGGATTTCGTACATATTCAAGAAGACCAAAGGCAGCCAGCGTCTCTAAAGCAAGGATTGCCCGCCGCACAGATGTCAATAACGAATATATGCTTCACACCAAGACTCGCAAAGTCTCATTACGGATCAGCTTGGATGAAATTGGCAAGAATAGCTCCCCTTTCGAAAGGAGCAAGATGGGTGTTTCTGAGAGTCGATACTCTGATGAGACTATCCCTGTGCTGAACAGGCCGTGGTATAGTGGCTAGCTTTATTCATCGTGGCTCCAGTTGTTAAGCTATGCGACCCAAAGGCTATATTTGATTGACGTCGCAGGAGGTACTTGAATCGAGGGAGAGCCCATTCAGCCTGCCTACGAATGGCAACAATAACGGTAAGATGTGAGCACCCTTCTCGAACAAGAACCTTTGACACTCGGTTTCAAAGTTGCGCTTATAACCAGACAATGTAACCCAACAGCCGATCTCTTTGCCAGAAAGGGGGCATTGTTGGCCCTCGTACGCAAAACCCTCGACTCGACAGTGAATATGGGAATCTTCCGATGCGAGATTAGAATTTGAATCCGGCGTCTTCGGCCCCTTCGCCAGCTTCAAAACGGTCTAGAGTCTATCCACAAGGTCAGCCTCGGTTTCCAAATCAGGCACTGGCGGAAACCACTTGCAGCCTTGCGGCTTCATGAGGTAAGTCACAACGGCAATCCAGGTCTGATTTCCCGGGGTTGGACGCTACGGGTTGCCCACCTGAATCATGCTCATATCACTGCAACTGTCTACCGTCTACGAGAACGATCTGTCGCGCAAATGCGGTCACCATAGCGGCTAGTCATACTCTAGTGTAAGGAGGACTCTGTGCTAGTGACCCCTGCGTGGCGTGTTGGCCTTCCCACAAGGTGCTGTGTTTGTATAATAGCTAAAGAGATACCCCCAAGGATACAGTGTTTTCCTTCCAGCATAGCTTTTTGGTCCTTGTTTCCAACCCTTCGAAATGCGGTGCCAACAGCTCTGTCTCGCCGTCCTTGGACTCTCAAGCCCAGCCTTTGCCGGTTGGTTTGGCTCGGACTGGGTTTGTGATGCCGGCATCTACGCTCAATACACTGCTCTGGCCAGTTATGCGCCGGCTTTGCAGTATTGTGCTGACCGTTTCCCTGAGCCGGCAGTGACTGTCACCGTCACGGTGTCTGGCCACTCTTCTCCCTGGTCGCACAAGCGTTCGCGAGGTCCCCCAAACGGTCCCCCAAACGGTCCCCCCAATCCGCTCAACTCGCTGCAGCAGCAGCTAGAGCATCTCCCCTCGGATCAGCAGAAGACGGCCTGCTCATGTATTGAGGTGCCCAAAACCATCACGGCAGGCATTATTGATCCCTACATATTCTGGACGATGCTAACCGTTTCTTCCAGGTTACAATTGAGCCCACATGGAAGACTTGGACCTTCCCAGTTGTTCCTACTACCTCTGCGACGCTCCCTTCTACAACAGCAACTTTCACCACCAGCACTATTCCAAGCACCACGACGACGACGACGACGACGACGACAACCACGACAACCACGACAACTTCTCCAACAACGACAACCACTACGACTACACCTACAACCACTACCTCTACCACTACGATAACAACTACAACCACTACCCCTACCACTAAGACAACAACTACAACTACCACCACACCACCACCACCACCACCACCACCACAACCACCTCTTCACTCTCCACGTGCCCGACCGGCGAATCGACCGTCTCAGGCGGAGGCTGCGGCGAATGTCAGTGGACCGTGTACTGCGGCCAGCAGCTGATCCCAGTGGCCGGCAATGACGGGAACCCGAACTGGGACATCCTCCCGCAACCGAACTTCGCGGCGTGCCTGCAGCAGTGCGACGACAACGGCTTCTGTGACGGCTTCAACTACAACGACGCGACCGGCGAGTGCCATCAGTTCCTCTACACGGGCTTCACGGTAGTCGCTGCCCCGGGCATCGACAGCGCCCAATTCATCGCCGGTACTTGCAGCGATACTGCCTGCAATGCCTACGAGTGCCCGAGTGCGAATCCAGAGTGTCCGTCATAGTCATAAATCAAGGTCAACAAACGGGCTCGGGGGAACCCTTTTGCGTTGTTGTTCGCCTCCTGCCGGAAGGCATGGTTGTTGTTAATATACATAATATTTTTCAATCACTGGGGGGTGGGGGGAGGAGATCATGTTTGCAAATAGGGAGGGCTTTCAAACCCTTTGGCGTTTTATATTTCATCCACTGTTCCCATGTCCCCTCCCTCTGTGGCGCCTGAGGCTCTTCTAGTACTATGAGGGTGGCGGCGGGATGGGGAAGGCTGCAAGCGAGAGGAGTGTGAGCTGTGATATGTTATTATCGGGCCAACTACCCTCTCTTCCATTCGTCTACCTCACAAGAACAAGAAGGGGCATTGGATCCTTGCGCAGGGCAAAGTCCTATGGTTGGACCTTGCGTGACATATCTGTCTTTGTTGGTGTTGAAGATGGCACGGCGTATTGAATATACGCGCGGAGATATATACGTATATGTATGCACGCAACATATAAGCTATACACAGCTCAACATTGTTGATACCTTGACGGCTATGGAGTGGAGGATCGTGGAAAGGGGGAGTTAATATGTGGATACACGAACAGGAGTTGAACTCGAGCGTGGATAATTCAGTCGTTTGGGGGCCCATAGCCTTATCCTGCCCTGTCTGTCTGTCTGTCTTGCCCAGCGTATGGACAAGACCAAGCGTCGGAACTAACTAACTCTTCTGCTCTGTTCCGTGCTTTCTCTCCGTTATCCCTGCCACAATCACCGCCGCCACCACTCCCCCTCTCCCACAACGAGTATCTTGTGTGTTATCGCCACGAAGATCACGCCTTCAAGACGGCCCGGTACCGGATCTTGCCCTGCTGCAGCTTGGTCACGGCCTCGGCCATGCCCGCCTCGTCCATCGCGAACTCCTCGACCAGCGGCTTGACGCCGTGCTGGGCCGCGAACGCGAGCATCTCGGCGTGCGTCGCCCGCGACGCCACCAGGTTTGTCACCAGGTTGTAGCAGTTGAAGAAGTATGGAAGGAATCTGGGAGGGCAGGCGGTGTAAGTGAGCATGGGTGCAAAGAAAATAGGTGAGAGGAGGAGGAGAGATGGAGGGAGGGAAGACGCAGGAGAGGAGGGGGAGGATATGAATATGAAAGGGAGAGGAGGGTAGAACAAAAAGGCTTACGGGAACTCGAGGCTCATGCCGATGGCGCCCAGGACCACGATCGAAGCTCCTCTAGCCACGACCTTTTCGCTCATGAACCTGTTGATGCTCCAAGTTAGCTCGCTGTCTCCCTTTTCGTGGAGCTATGCTTTTCCTCTTTGCTTGTGAAACATTGGAAGATGGGAGGGAACTCACGTCGACCAGTCCGGCGCCTTGTGGGAGGTGATCAGCAGCAAATCGACCGGCGCGTCCAACGTGTGCTCCTGGCCGAGCACGACGAAGCTCGACGCCCCGAAGTCGCGCGCCTCCTTCTCCTTGGACGGGCTGGTGCTGAAGACCGTGGTCGGGGCGCCCATCTTGGCCGCGAACTGGATCGCCAGGTGGCCGAGCCCGCCGATGCCCAGCACCCCGACGCGCATGCCCGGCTGGTAGTAGGTCTTCAGGGCCGAGTAGACGGTGGCCCCGGCGCACTGCAGCGGCGCGGCGATTTCCGAGGGCATCGATTCGGGAATCGCGTACACGTAGCCCTCGGTCGCGATGTAGTACGTCGCGAAGGTGCCGTTGCTGAAGCCCGCTGCCCCGTAGATGTCGCGCTGGTAGCACATGATGTCCTTGCCCGTGAGACAGTATTTGCATTGGCCACAGCTCTGGAAATTGACACGTCCGTTCGTTCGTTGGTTAGTGGATGTGATTCCACCGAGAGAAGGGATCGAGGTTGGTCGTGGGGATTTCAATACGTACGCTTCTCAGATATCCTCCTCCGACTCGGTCACCAATCTTGTGGGCGGTCACGGCACTGCCGACTTTCTCGACGGTCCCGACCCCTTCATGGCCCAGAGCACAGCCGGGTTCGATGTAGAACAAGTCGGTCCCACAGAGGCCGCTGTGGGAGATCTTGACGAGCACTTCGTTGGCCTTGAGCTCTGGGATCTCGGCCGGCGTCTTCTTCACCTTGCCTTCCACTCCTCGCATGACGAATGTTTGGGCCATGTTGACGGGTATAGCAAGCTGTAGGGCCTTGATGAGTGACTTGGTGTTGTTGGTGTTGTAGTTGTTGATGCTGATTCAAGAACTGTGCTAGGGCCTCAACCACCTAGCCAGACAGCCCTCCTTATATACATCTCCGTGGCCGTGTGCTCGTGCCGTCTATTGCGTTGCACGGATGTTAAAAGGCATTCCCATGTCGACGCAATGGTAAGACGCCTGCCGCAAAGGTACTATACGCCAGCAAGCTGACAAAGCGCATTGACGGCAGGCCACCGACAAGACAAAATCCTGGCGAAGCGACGATGTGGCCTACGAGGAGGGGACGTTGACTTTCAGATCCCCCAGCAAGGCCGAGAATGGACGCCGAGTCATGATAGTCCAGGCCAGATGCGGTAGTGCTCAAACAATGCTAGACCTGGTTTGTAAGACGAACCAAAAAGCGGCACCGGAACAGGCTGAATCATCTGTCGTTGTTGGCGATTGGCCGAATACACCATGACTGGTTGCTCCGGACTGGACAGATGAACCACTCGATAAAGGTTTGAGCGTAAGGGAAGAATCCGTCTGTATCGAGTATGTATATCTTACAAATTCACAGCTCTACATATGTTTCCCAGGCCAAATGCCGTTGTTTTAGGCAGGCATTGGCTTGTTGGGCGGAACGAGATATCGCCGAAACGAAGTTGAGCAACGTCCCAATCTGGGAAAAGTCAATTCCCTCTGGACGGATTAGCTAAAGGTCGAGAACAGATCAGTAAATGTCCCGAATGTGGACCGAGTCGACGATAACCGAGTGGCGGTTTAGGGATGGATCAGCTGCATTAGCTCGCAGGTTTACTGAACCAGCTCATAGAACATTCACTCCATTCGTTACCAGCCAAGACCGTAGAGATGCGAGATACCATGACAGCAGTCTCTGTAACACCTCTCCCTCCCTCTCTTTCCCACGGGGACATCGCGTGCGGGTCCTTCGGAACCGTGACGTGGAGAAAGAAGAAGACAGCCGACAAGCTTTGAAGGGTGAAGGGACTTGTCCATTTGGGCTCGTATATCAGACACCTATTCCGAATCCAGGCTGTGGAACGCGCGTGCAACGGCGAGGCTCACCACCGGATAGCTCATGATTCGATCATGGAGTCCATGCTTCACAATCTGTTCTCGCACCACTCCAGCATGGCCCCTCCACTCAACCTCCCAACCACCAGCTCCCAGCTCTGTTTTCCGCCGGGCCTTTTCAGCCTCGAGATCTTCAAAACTCAGGCTCGTTCCAGACTGTCCTGTTGCGTTGACGGCATTCCAAAACACCACGTCAGAGTGTGTCCACGGGATGTCGTAGTCGTCTTGTGCGTGGATGATGGTAATGTCGTATCTCGCCTTCCGCCCTGGAAGCTTCACAGAATCCAACCGGCGGATGAGTTCGGCCAATTTATCCTTTGATGGCCACTTGGTCGTGATAAAGCTATTGAGCCAGGCCAAAGCTTTAGGCCAGCGTGCCACAGGCGCAAGAAGCGGGATGGTTCCAGCAATGCTATAGGTTTGAGTCAAAAGTTCGACGTTCGCAAATGGCGCTACGAGCACGATTCCTGCAAAAACTGTGGGCGGCGATTGAAAGGCTAGATAGTGAGTAAGGGATATGCTGACTGCAGTGCCGAGTGACTGTCCAAAGACGACAATCCGCTCTGGTGGGATCCCTGCGGTTTTCAATGCAAAGTCTGCCAGAGTGAGAGCGTCTGTCAAGAGGCCAGCCTCTGACGGCCACCCCGTACTAGAGCCAAACCCTCGATAGTCAATGGCAAGGATATGGACGTTGGCTGCAGCAGCGGACAAAGCCCGATAGCTCTGCGGTCGCCAACCGGATCCCAGTGTTCCTGCTGCTCCATGTAGATATATTACCAGCCTGGCAGTCGGATCGTCTCTCAGTAGCTTGAAACCCAATCTCTCGGTGATATTGTGGCACAGCCCAGCAGTTTCTTCTCTCAGCGCCCTTTCATTTCTTCGATATGTCTCGAGGGGTAGGATGTGCCACGCATGGAGAGTCTCGCCATCCGGCGTGTGGAGGAGGAAGGGCGTCACCTGGTTCCGGAGAAAGCCCCAATGCTCAGGCTCATTGACATCTTGGAACCAGGTCAATGTCACGCGGTGTAGGTAGATCGCATGGTCTTGGAACGAAGGGATGGTGAGGAGGCTGAGAAAGGCAAAGTAGATGCCGACGCTGGCGGCAACACTGATGAGGAGAGGTCGAACGATCGCCGAGAAAAATGTCATCATCGCAACTTCTGGACAACACCACAGGAACGTCGGCAGGAAACTCTTCGGTGCTGAAGGGAGGCCGCCATCAGCAAAAAAAGGAGCAGAATAACAAGATATGGATTCAGTCTACCATATGCCCTGCACGAGAAATCTGTTTCGACACAAATAATGATAAGTACGCGCGGTGGGAATGGCGCGTTTCGATTCGCCCTCGACAACCACATGTCATGACCAACCAGTCAGTCCCCCGAAGCGCCTAGCAAAAAGCCCCCAACTCTTTCGCATTCTATCCTGTGCGCTGCACTGGTGAACAGGGTACAATTAATAGTATTCGGCTTTTGAAACCTCAATCTCCACCATAGACCTGGGAAGCGTCTCATGTCTAGCATTTCGCTGCAGGCCGCGGATTGGAACTTGAGTTCCGGGCAAGCGCTTCGCAGTCGATGATCAAGGTATGGACGAATGCCTGACTCGACCTCAGAGCTGCGGTGCAGAACCCATTGCCCAGGTTGAAGGAACGACTTTCTCGGATGCTGCCTGCGTTTACCTGGTGCAGATTGGTGCTTTGGGGGAACTGGCCATGATAGCTTACCATGGGCCACGGCAGAGATCCTGGTCGGCGTTGCAGCCATGTATGCCGCCAGAACCGACCCATCTACCCAGGGAAGAGACGGGATGGCTGTCTCAGCTCGAGGGCGAAGATAACAGCAGTGGTCGATGCTCGCCGCTTCTGCCGGTCTAACAGCCCTTAAATGCTCCTGGGATGCTCAGTTTCTCTTATCGTTACCCTCAATATCAGGACCAAGCAAATTCTAACCACCCTTCACAGCCATCCATGCACACCGTTGCTCTCGCCAACAGATACCACGGGAGGCAAGGGGTGGGGAAATGGCACGCTCAGGTCCTCTTGGGCTTATCACTATTTCCCATTATTTGCCAAGGTCACGAAAACAAGACGAGTACGACAGGTCCTGCTCCTTCTTCATGTCCTCAAGGCGCCAGTTTGCAAAGCACTTTCTCGTCCTCTACCAGAGTCAAACAGTGGGTAGACCAGCCCAACTATCGGGGGACGTTTGATATCCTGTGGACATCGATCGTCACGATTTTTATCAGCACGTATAGCATGTTGTGTCTCAATGTACCTGCTCCAAAGGACAGTTTTACAACTCGGTTTGGCCGCCGCCTCTTGTGGATGGCTCTGGGTATCTTGGGCCCAGAATTCCCTCTCACCTATGCTGCGGGTCAATGGAGTCGAGCGAAACAATCCGTTGTGTCGTTCAAGGCGTATAATCACAAGGACTGGCATATGCGGCAGGCATTCTTTGCCGACATGGGCGGTTTCATGTTTCACGCTCGCGACGGCGACCCTTTCCCTCTTAACGCAACTCAACTTCACTGGCTCGTCGTCAACAAATTTGTGGAATACCCCGCCATTACCAGCAGAGAAATCTGGGACAAGTCGAAGCAAGATACATTCACCAAAGTTGTCACTGCCTTTCAAATTGCATATCTGATCATACAGTGCGTTGCTCGCGCTATCCAAGGACTGGCGATCACCACTTTAGAGTTAAATGCACTTGCCATTGTCGTCTGCTCTCTCATGACATCTTGTTTCTGGCTTCATAAACCAGCAGATATCCAAACACCCATCCACATCCATTCCTCTTTCTCTCTTGCCGAGATCACGCTCCTTCGCGAATGGAGCCTGACGCCTCTAGACTTTATCGATGAGAATGGCCCTGGATATTCCGTCAATGTGCAACCTTTTATGAAGATGCCGGTCATTCCGGCACAGAGGCCCATTCAACGGATTCCCAATGACAGATTTCCAACGAATCCATATGGCATACAAGAATACTTTTTATGCTTTGCAACCTTGCTTTTTACAGCCATTCATGTCGCCGGCTGGAGTTTTCGTTTCCCTAGCCGGACCGAGCAGGTTCTCTGGCGTACTTGTTCGCTTCTGCTTTTCGGCATTACTGCTGCATTTTGGGTCTTTGAGACCGCGGCATCATGGGCTCGTTTGGGCCGGTGGAGAACCATATATCTATGCATCTTCAACCGAAAAGCCTTGGCAGAACACAAGATTCGCATGGCCAGAAGGTCTGCCACAATGAGGCGACGATCCAACCAATTACCAGTACCCTGGGAGTTTGCAACGATCACACCGTTGGCGATTATATACGGGGTGGCACGGTTCTACCTGATCGCAGAAGCGTTCGCAGAGTTGAGAGACGTGCCAGGGACAGCATATCTCAATATACAATGGACGAACTTCCTTCCACATGTATAACAAGGGGAAAATTCGAGGGGAGGATATTTGAGATTTAACTGATTAAAGTCTCCGTCTAGGCGATCGGAAATGTTGCGCTGGTGAGAGACAACTACCTGTTTTCGTGAATGCAGAGGTAGTTCGCGGTTGGGAAGGCAATATAGGGGGTTCTTTCCCACGGATCACACTATCATCCTGGCTGCGATACTGCTCTAACCATGAGAATACTTGGCTACTCGCCTTCTTCCTCCGTCGGCGTCAGGTCAGCACAAACTGCTGTCGCCATAGTGCTCGGTAGTATTTCGTCGAATGTAGTCGTCGTCACACCTGTCATTTGAATTGGTTGCCGGGACGTCATTTGACATTTGATTTCCTGAGCTGCACTACTTTGGCTTCGAGGGTCTGCGGCAATCGAACCTCCCCACACGACCTCATGTCCAGAAGCACGAGAGACTCTGTTGTCGTTATGCAAAAGCGTGCCCATGAATGGCGGGCCAGGCATCAAACTCCTTGAGAATTGACACGACGAATGAGCCTCCATTTCCGCCCATCCTTGCCCTCTTCTTGGTCCACTTCGACCATCGCAAAGGGTATGCCCATGCACCTCAGCGCACTGGCGCACGCTGACAACTCTACAGATACACCTTGGGATGGAATAGATCACTTGACGATGGTAAAATCGCAGCCCTCTTTGTATCTCACACCCATGTTGACTCGCATCTGCAGTCCCCGTCGAGGGTGTCGTCGAGTTCAAGTCCCTGCCGTCCGGATTGCACAACGTCGAGGAGGATTTGGTGTGAGTGATATATTCAAGAGCTGGTCAACATCGCTGAATTAAGGGGGAAGGTACTTTATCCACGATGACTATGCAGGACTCAGCGCTTTCGTCAACAAGGCAGACGAGCAGGCAGAGCGTGCTGCGCGAATGGTGGCTGTTGGCGCACTGGTTCCTTTGGAACACGGTCGTATGGGTCGCATCTGGCGCCATGCAGAATCTCTGATCGATCTCGCCAAGTAGGGTCTCGTGGTATCATGTTCCCGGTCCCAGTCATTGACATGAACAGGGCGCATATTGCCAACCCGGAAGACGTTACTGCCCTGGAAGAGTATTGGGAGAAGTACAAGTTACGACCTGAGGAGCCCACGGTGCAGACACCCCTGGACTCTACTGAAGAGGACCCGACCCAACGACCCAACGGCTATCTCAAGCTCAGGACAATGTCAACGGCGACAACCTTCATCTCTCCACATCATGCCTTAACACCTCACCATCCTGCGTTGACACTAATAGATTCGATCAAGCTATTTGGACCCCTGATATTTCCATTATATCGAGCAGCCTTGCTTCGCAAACGGATCTTGATCGTCACAGATGCACCTGTCGAATTCTGCTGTAATCTTGGTGAGGATGAACTTGCCCTACAAACCTGTCGGACGCTGACCACATGCGGTAGTATATAATTTGTCCATCCTTTCATCTGTCTCGAAGTCCCTCCTGCCACTCGCGCACGAGGTTGATGCTCCTAGTACACGCTTGCGCCCGCTGTTCACCGTTGGTGTTATGGACATCCCCCAGCTCGAGCAGGCTGGAGCTGCCGGATCCGGCCACGGTTTTATTGCTTGCACAACGGATGATGTGCTCACCTCAAAACCCAACCTCTATGATGTCCTTGTGCTCATGCCCAAGCCACACTCGCAAACTGCCGCGACGAAAGCGTTTCCTCGCATTATTGTTTCCAGCCCCGAATTGACCAAGGCTTTCCCCAAAGTCTCCATCAGAGCTACGCAACGGGACTTTCGTCGGTTTACGCACCTCATGCGTGGTCTTCGGAGGTTAGACCCCAGCGAAACGGCTGTCACTGACGATGGGACCTCGTCTGTTTCTTCACTTTCATCCTCGAACTCGACAAACAAGCTGGTCGTAGAGCCTCCATCCTGGTCTCGAATGGCATACACCTCTTTCGTCTGGTGGGCCTCCGCTGGAGATCGGCGCGAAGGGTTTGCCGAAGGAGAAGAACACGAAATGGAACGGGACTCGATACTACTATATGGGGAAGACGAGCAGGAGCAGAGTCGCGAAGTGGCCGTGGTAGCCTACTTCCACCGCCTGACCGCAACCATTTTTCAAACTGTCACAGCGTGTATTGAGCGGGAAGACAGCGATAACGAGGGCGAAGGGATCTATCACGACGACGACGACGACGACACAGGCCCCGGTGATCAAGTGGATCAGGAGGACGATCGGCCCTTGTTGGCGGAGCAGACCAAGGAGCCTGAGGTCGAGATCAGTCATGAGGACATGCTGGAGATGGGACTGGACAGCTGGAGCTCGTCGGACAAAAGATTTGTGGAAGATTTGACAAAGCTCTGGTGGAAAAGGCAAGCATCAGTGCGACCAGTCCCTATTGATTGCTGTGGACTTCGCATCCTCTGAACCCAGACACAGCAACGGAGCCCAGACATCGCTGCAAGGCAAATCACTCAGCCTCGTCGCGTTTGCCGAAAGTTTTAACCGTCACCATGACGCCCATGACTCGAATTGTCAGTCCATACAATGCGGCGTAAGTCGGCAGTTGGAATGCTGCAGCGATGAGACACAAGAATCACCAACTTGCTCTTTTTCATCCCGTATCTGCAATCTCACGTCGGCCAACTAAACCCTGTGGATTTGCGATGGTCATAAATACGGATGCATTCACGCTGGGATTCTGTCATGCAGGCACAATGGCCCTTCAGATGCCGAGCTTGCGCAGATCCAGAGGAAAGCTATGAGTTGCTGCAAGCGGCTTTGGCCGAGCTCATTCTTTCATGGGGCATGTGCTTTCGGAAATCAGATTTGCTATAGAGTCACTAGGGGATTCCAGTCAGATGAAGATGGACACCAGAGATCTCATATCCGTTGCGGCCTTGGCCTACCACAGCTCAGCAGCCTGCTAGTGACTCTGGGGAAATGAGACCGTCAGAACTTTGATGCATGCCAGTTTTGACAAATGCCCGCCAGATGGATCGGACACAGGTTTTCGTGTGGCATCCAATAAATTCAGAAATGCGTGCAGGGGTTGCTATCTTGGCCTCATGATCTGCTAACGCTTGGGGCTCGAACACACCGATACGAGATACCACATCGCTGAATCCTGTGCCAATGATTCCAACATTCCATCCCGGAAGGTACAAATCAGTATTCCGCCCGGAAGTCCGGTCAACTATTCAACAATTCCTTTCACCAAGAATGTTAGTCACGGAATGCCATTTTCGTTTTACCTTTAGTGTGGATGAAATTGCTCTTTCCAACGATGGGTCCAGACGAATGCGAGGGACCTTCAGCTTGACTGGACAGGCACCTTCACTGTGGCCGGGGAACTGTTCGTACGTCACGGAGAACCAGCTTTGGAGAGGTACCTCGCAATATGCGACGTCCATATGAAGGTCAAGCCTGACGCATTGCATCGACTATCATTCTTAGATAGCGCCGCCAATATATAACTTGTCACGTGCTTGTGGATCTGCCCTACGGAAATCAAATGACGAGATGTGACCGAACCGAGGCTCATACACCAAAACCACCCGTTCATCCGACTCCGACTCCTGCTCACCTCTCACCATTTGTGGACGCGTAAAGACAAAACGGTCATTTCTCATATTCAGGTACTGGTACGCCCTTCGTCAATTACAGAGGGGCCTATAATTCAGAAGTTGAAATCGCTTGTCCGTCCTTTACCTGCTCTCTAGCTACCAACACGAGATTTCCAGCTTATTAGCACACCTTGCATTGAAGCCTAAGTCTTTGGCACAAGTTTCTCAGCCATGGGAACCGGGGATGCCTCCTCGACAAAGCCTCCTGTGGTTCTTTTCGGCTATGACTGTGAGATACAGCCCTCTTACAGCCTTGGACTCCCGAGTATGCGGATGACAAGCTGACGTGGAGTCAACCCAGCGTCTCCATTCACCACCAAGGTCAAGTTGGCTCTCCGGTTGAAACAGATACCATACAGTACGTTTGCAAATACCATGCGCCAAAACGACCCCAGAAAACCGTCCTGTGGTCATTATCTTGGGCTGACGAGATGGTGTTGGCTTGGATAGCTCATATTGTTGTGCCTTCGATGATGCCACGCCCAATCCTGAAGGATAATTTCAATGTGACTTATAGAAAGATTCCAGTTCTGTGCATTGGACGAGAGGTAAGCATTCGTGTCGGCTCAATATCAGAATCAGGACCTGCCTCCTCGGCGGTGCCCTCCAAGACATATTCCATGCCCGAGCTGAGCACAAACATTACATCTGACAGATCTACATCGACACATCTCTCATTCTGGAAGTCCTCGAAAGTCGATTCCCTTCTACAGAGGGCTATGGAACACTGTACCCGTCCTCTTCGGCCTCCTTCCGACCGCTGGCACGCGGCTTTGCCTCATACTGGATCGACCGCCCCTTCTTCCGCGTGACCACGGGCCTTATACCCGCGAGTGTCTGGCGTACGCATTTCGGAGTCGACCGGGCAAACCTGATCGGGCACAAACTCGACGCGGCGAAATTGGAGAGGAAAGTCCCTCTGAATCTCAGCGGTATGGACCTGCACTTGAGTTTGTTGGAGCCGCTATTTTCTGGAGGACAGGCCCAACCATGGATCCTCGGAGCCGATGGGCCGAGCGTCGCGGACCTCGCGTTGTGGTATCAGCTCGATTGGGGGGAGAAGATCAGCCGCGGAGAAGGGATCGGCAATCTGACGGGTGGGGGCACGCAGGATGGCGACGGTGAGGGACTGGGCGCCGTGTTCAACAAAGACCGGTATCCTGGAGTCTTCACTTGGTTCGGGCGCTTCAAAGCATATGTTGATCGGCTGCCGATCGTGGAGACAAAGATCGAAAAGGACGAGCTTCAAAGAGTCGCAAGAGTGATGCAGCAATTGAAGCAGACGCCACTGTTGAGGGAGACCCCGCTGCTGCCAACCCCAGCTGGCCCACAATACGACCTCGATAGACGCAATGGTCTTGCTGCAGGAACGCAAGTGGCCATCGCTCCTGATGATACAGGTAGAGACAGTCCCACGGTAGGGACGCTGGTGGCTCTCACGCCGGAAGAGGTCGTCATCACACCTCTAAAGTCGAGTGACGGCACCGGTCCGGCTGTTGGAGATGTGAGGATTCACTTTCCCCGAATCGGGTTTGTGATACGGCCTGTCGTGCAGTCAAAGCTCTGAAGGATCATTTTGATAGAGCCTGATCAGGCATAGCGTGCCGAGCCCAATGGATTTTTGTCCATCTTGAGTGAGCAATGAGAAGAGTACACAGCGACTATCAAGGTGTTAGTGAAAGGGTAACTGAAGAAGGCTCGCCCACCACGTGGCTTATCCCTCAAATTGCACTTGGCGGCGGCACCTGGAACACCTATCACTCCGAAACGAAGATGGAATTTCCCCCGAATCCGTCAATGTCACGGAATGCTGACTAGGAGTCGGTATTCTTACAGCACATATACATTCAACAACCAATCATGTGGCTTTGTGAAATGCCGCCATAAGAGCTGTGCAAGCCCCAAGAGTGGTCGCATCGGAAATGCAGCCTCGGAAGACAGGTTGTGCTGGGCGTCTCGGATGTTGGCGAGCCTATCCCTTAGAGCACGATTTTTTAATGCTTCACGTGTTACACGCGATAGTCAGGAAGAAGCACGTTTCCATCGACCCTGGCACGCCTAGTCACTCTCTACCGCTAGGACCCGCTCTCTCCCCATGGGATCAAGTCAACAGTGTGCGGTAGCCAGACACCGCAGCTCCACGGGGCACGGCAGGGCTCGGACTTCGAACCCGCCTCACTTCGCTTGAGCTCCATCCAAGACCCAAACTGGCCAACCGAGTTACTTTCTGGTTCTCTGAAGCCCTTGTTGGTGACTCCCACTTCTCCACGCCTAGACCGAGGATGTCCTAATCGAGACAAGGCTGAGCTTGTCTGCGGGGACTCCACAATCTCTAGCATGGCGCCCACGAGCCCACGGTCTTCTTGGTGCCATTCAGACCCTTTCAGAGTCAGAAATATCCTACTCAGCATTGGCTGCTACGCAGCTTGTTGATCACTCGCCTCTGGACCCCTTGGAGTGGATACCGAGGATGCCCCGTTCGTATTTCCTATATGCATAACCCAGCCCACGTCTCGCATATTTAGAGAGCACCGCTCCAACATCCTCTCTTTCTTCTTTTCAGCTCTGATCGAGCAGACAACACACGACTGCTGTCAAAGATATTGCCAAGATGAATCGGTACAACTGGCTATGTGTGCTGTACGTCACCTTCGGGGCAGTCTTTTATGGCTATGACTCTGGTTAGGCTTTCATATCTCGTTGCTGCCGGCGAAACTGACATCTGTGAAAAGCCTGCACGACGTCGGTTCTCGGATACACATCCTTCCTCGAGTATTTCAGCTTGGACTCCACCACCATCGGTGCCATGGGATCGGCATACTATGCTGGTGCCGTTGTCGGCATGGCTTCGAACTGGTACCTGCCTAACAAATACGGACGTATTCGGACCATCCAGGTTGGCTGCCTGGCGTCTCTACTTGCTGCGTCAATGCAGACAGGAGCCCAAAGCTACGGCGTCTTCGTTGCCGGTCGAGTTATCGGTGGATTTGCCTCAGGCTTGATATTTGTCGTGTGTCCGGCCTATGCCTCCGAGATTTCTCCTCCCGCGATGCGAGGAAGAATAGGCGGGCTTTATTCGTAAGATTTATAGTGATCTGATCGGGCTATGAGCTGACAATTCCACAGAGTCAGCGTGAATGGGGCGTACTGTTTCACTGAATGGGTGTAAGTCGTGTTTAATTAATGCTTGCAGTGGACGAATGCTGAGTTATAATGCCCAGTGGCCTGGGGTTCTACTTTATCAAAGGCGATGTCTCCTGGCGCCTCCTGCTGGGCTGCCAGCTTATTCCCGGCGTCGCCATGTTCGCGTGCTCCTTCTTGATGCCGGAGTCACCCCGTTTTCTTGCATATGTCGGGCGCTACGACGAGGCTTTGGAGACTCTTAAGAAAATGCACGGCACGACACATGATGACACCTTTTATATCCGCGAGTTCCACCAGATCAAGGCCCAAATCGAGCTCGATCGGGAGGAGCGCCTGGGTCTCAAGGCAATCTGGCAAAAGCCGTCGTACCGCAAACGATTTTTGTTGGTCTTCTGGTACGCTATTGCATGCATGTAAGTACATTTCGCGGTTTCAGAGAGACTGGGAGCAGCTTCCGCTGACACATGATCGCAGGCTTTCTGGCGTCATCGTCATCCAGAACTACCAGGTCATTCTTTATACGAACGTCGGATTCAGCAACGTCATGTCCCTCATCCTGACCGGTGTCTGGGGTTGCGTCGGCACGCTGTCTGCAGTCTACGCCGCACTCTGCTTCGACCTGATGGGTCGGCGGCCCACCATGGTCAGTCTTTTGTCTTTTGTGTGAGGAATTCCAATGAGAACTTTTTCTGACCAAAAGACAGTTTATATCATACTTCCTCATCGTTGCAGGAACGCTCATCACCTGCATCACCTGGGCAGTCTACGAGAATGGCGGAAGCACCAACCGCTCGCTCGCAAAGGGCATCATCGCAGCCATGTTTTTCGTCGGTCTTGGGTATGGCGGGCCTGCCAACGCTTTCCTGGCAACGGTTCGTGTCCAATCCCCTGCCTTGCGTCAATCCGGAAGAAGCAGTTGAAGGCTGACTTGTTTGGACGAAATCTAGTACCCCGCCGAAATCATGCCTACCTCGGTCCGCCCCGTTGGTGTGGCCGTCAGCTACATGACCCAGCACATCCTGATTATCATCCTGGTGCAATTCACCCCGCAAGCCATCGAGACCATCTCGTGGAAGTTCTTCCTGATCTTCGTCTGCTCGAGTTTCGTTTTCGCCATCGTCTTCGTCCTCTTCTACCCTGAGACCCGGGGCAAGACACTGGAAGAAATCGAGGCGGTCTTCGGTGACAAGGTGAGCAAGATTCTGTCATAAACATCAAATTGCGCTCCGTCATTACTGTCCACTTTCATTTCCTCGTTGAGCTCAGATCTCGCTGACGAGTTGCGCTTACTAGGTCGCGGAGACGTTGGACGAGGCTGGAGAACATGTCAAGATCGAGCACGTGGACGAAAAAGCGCAGGCTCAAGGAAATGTCAGTACCGTCGCTGTCCATGAAGAGGGCGGCATTGAGAAAACAGCAACTGCCTAGCCTTGAGGAAGCTGGGACGTAGACCTGACTGGCGTGCAACACCAGATGGCACAGCTTCGCTGGGACTTCGACTGGAACAGGATTTATCATTGAGGTAGATTCCCCCTGCCGGCTATCCTTGATATGCTACATGTGTATGAGCCAGGCTGGCGCGAATAGCCGCAAAGTCTAATGCCGAACAATGTCAGCCGCCACAGTGCTCGAGCCTTGAAGGGAGCAAAGATATCCTTCTACCCCCACGATAAACCTGTTTGGACTCAAACGAAAGTCAAAGAAGCAGTTCAATCGAAGAGGGCTGGTTAGTTCAAGCCATTAGCTTCCGAGCTGGAAAACAGCCTGTCTATTCCCGTGTATAAAGACTGAGCACATATAGCATAAACGTGACAATGATGAGCGATGACACATATTTTTCTACCCGGAAGCGCAAGGGGCTTGGAGCCTTGTGAGGAGGAGCGGCATGAGTCAAGTATTCATGACTGGTCCGTGCCCTTGTCGTTTGGTGTTGATAGCAACTGTTAACTTACTTTATGTAGTAAGGTACGGAGACCCGTGTGGCGTCGTCTAACCCATTCGATGCGAGACACGTATTACGTCCTAGGTACGGGACGAAACGAAACGAAACAAACGGGCCAGGGAGGCGGAGAGAAATAGAATACGGTGTCCAGACAGAGAACGAGTTAGGGGATTTATTAATAGCGGATCAGAGAACACAAGAATCAATGAATCAATGAATCAATGGAGAAAAGACCAACTGAACTTGCTGGATTTGTCCTTTATTTACCCAACCAAATCATCAAGGAGTGGTGGATTGTTTCGGCAACCGCCCATTCCGACCGAGATGGCAAACATCGAATCCCATTCTCTCCACGACCATCTCCGTCGTCCTTCCCTGGAAGAGTCTGCGCCCTGAATTCTCCAGCCTCGACCTCACTACTCAAACTTCTTAGCTTCCCTTCTCCTTCTCCTTCTCCTTCTTCTTCTCCTTCTTCTTCTCCTTCTTCTTCTCCTTCTTCTTCTCCTTCTCCTCCTCCTTCTTCTCCTTCTTCTCCTTCTTCTCCTTCTTCTCCTCCTTCTTCGTCTCTCTCAGGAGAAAAAATCTACATCGCCTGTCTCCGCTATAGCCGGATTCTGCCTTAGGATGCGCTCCTTGCGGGCTCCGGCGGTGGCGAGCTTGGTGTAGTCAAAAGTGTCCCTTATGACGGCATCGCCGTGGGCGTCGACGAAGCTGTCCTTCTTCACCTTCTCCAGCCACAGGCCCGGCCACCGTGCCGCGCCTCCCAGTCCCAGGACGCGGTCCTTCATGCGGTCTTGCTTCTCGAACCACTCCGCTTCGGCTTTCGCCCACTCGGCGGCGCGCTGTTCGCCCCAGTTCTTTAGCGCGAAGCTCAGCATGGCTGGGCCGCCGTCGCCCGCGTACGCCGGGGCCGGCGGATGTCGACGGAGCCGGCGTTGCGGAGGAGGCAGACGTGGCGGCAGCGGCGTGACTTGCGGCGTCTCCTGGTCTTCTTCGTCACTGCTCCTGCTACGACGACGGAGGGGGATCCCGTTGAGCCACCAGTCATCACTGCTGGTGGTGGACACGCTATCACAATCATCGCCAATGTAGTCGTCAATGTCATCGTCAATGTCGTCGTAGTCCCCGCCAAAGTAAATAGGAGGAAGCAGGCTAGGACCGGCAGCGGCCACAGCGGTAGTAGCTGCGGTGTTCTGGCTAGTAGCGTTCTCGTTGGCAGCGAACGGCCGAGCCTGTTGGGAAGAGAAGAGCTGGGATCTGAACCATTCGTGATACCGAGTAAGGGCATCAGCCTCACCTTGAACATCTCTTTGACTTCTTCCGGGGGTGAAGGCGGAAGTCGGATGCCAATGAACCACCCCCGGAGTTGGAGAACGCGAAACGGAAGAAAGGTGCGCGAGGTCCTCTGCCAGTTCTTCATCGACGTAGTCATGCAGTGGATCCTCCTCTGAGGAGGTTCGGTTAGCCATTTTTAACAAGCAGAAGCAGAAGGGGAGAGGGGAAAGACTTCCTTTGGCTTCCACGGGAGGTCAGAAGCAACAGCAATGACTTGTGGAATTTTTGCCCTTTCGGTAACGTGAGCTTCTACTTTCTCTCTGAAAGTGGTGATGTCGAATGTCCTTGACTGAAAAACTCAAGGAGAGGTGTGTCCGCCTGTCCTTAGGTTATCAAGAACTCAGCTCTGTAAGACAATGCGACTGAACTGAGGCAGTAAAAAGGCCACTATAGCGTGGCACAATGACAACTGCCTTGCAGCAAAAATCTGAGCAGTGACAAAGAGCGTGCTTGGACCGAGTTGTGTGGAGCCAGACAGAGGAAATGGGCGGCGTTCCTTAGACAAATAAACAGCCGCATGAAAGGAATCGGTCGCTTTGAGGCTGTGAGGCTTTGAGCCCCCAGTGCCTTGTGCTTGCAGGGTTCCTTCTTCTCACATGAACCAAGAGGCCGATTCCACTTGTCGATGTCGGAAGGGAGAGGGCGGATCAACAACGGTGAATGATTTCGCTGCCTGCTTTGATTGGGATGGTGATACTGCGCGAGAACAAAGCCTGCCCTGCCCAGGAGTTCCTTCTCTCACCCTTCAACACGCCTCGGAACTGCCTTACAATGAAAGAGCACAAAGACGTGATGGCAGGACTCGTAGATGGCTGCATCGGCAGGGACCAAGATGTTAAAGAGGCTCAAATTTGATGTCGTTGAGAAATCCATTGGATTTAGAAAATACTTCATTAGTTACTCCAAAGGAGACGTTGCTACTATTTCAGCCAAGAGAAAGTAAGAAGCCGACACCGAGCTCATCCCCGAATGAGACGAGTGTGATGCCGCTCTGTGCTTACCCTGGAGGCGATTTTACTGCCTCCGAAGAATCATGCATGACTGACCAGACGAAAGATTTTGATCGACGAGGTTGTGTTATCGGACGAGAAAGCGGTATCCTCATGGGGATCTCTTTTCGTGGGAACGAGAGCACCGGAGGTTAGCAGTGACTTGTTCGAGTTGTTGGGGAGAGAAGTCTTGATGGAGGATTGTGGGGAACTAGGATGTACGAGGTAGTCGGTAGGGGACGTGTGCTTTCGTCGTTGTTGTAGCATAGGTGTACGATGTCCACAGCGACATATGAGCTGAGAGGCTTCAGGAGGAGGCAGGAAAGGGGATGAGGAAGTGTGCACTCAGTGTTTCACCCACCAGCTAAGTTAATCCTCACATTTGTACTCATGAATAATGAATATACTGTACCTGCTCAGACCGTTTCAGCCAGTCCTCCTCGGAAAACCTGGAGAGCCCCTAAATGTCTGTGCCTTGGCTGCTGAAATCCTTTCGCACGCGTATTCACATTTCCAGGTTGTACTTTGGCCTCATTGGATCTGGGAGATGTGGGTTGATGGTAATATTCCAGCCGGGAATGACTTGCTCGAAGATCTGACTGGCTGAAAAGGCCGTCGTCATTGGCCGTCGTCATGGCGGGAGCCCAGACCAGGCTAGCGCGGCAGTTGAAATGCTTAGCATCGAGCTTATTCAAAGGACTTGGGGATCTAATGGAGAGAGGGCCAGTTTCACACGCCTGTGTGGCCAGTAACCTCGATGGTCAACGGCAGCTCATTTCTGAGATCTGGCCTGCCGTAGCCGTTCTGCCACATCTCTAGTATTCAGACCGCGAGAAGGGATCCGGTAGCGCTGGTCTTCAAGCATCCCGGCTTACAGGACATATTCGTTCACCGGACACCTGAGAGGATTTGGCCAGTCTGAGGGACCGACTGTTCGATGGAGTGCGAGGAGAGGCCATGTTCTCAGAAGACGAAGACACCACCTCACAGTCACAGTCATTTAGGGCGGACCAATGCCCTGTTTCCCGCCGACGACATATCCTATGCAGTTTGGCCCAGGTGCCGGCCCAGATGCTTTTCCCTTCATCACAGCGCTGACTCTGGTCGGACCATATCTTATTTTCTATGCTTTGCTCCCGATAGGTGACATTGGTGCCGCGATTTTAGGCGCGTCTTTTTGGTTACCGTACCAGTTCTTCGGACTATCATCGCAGTCGTGGGTAAATTGGTGGTACTCGGAAAAGCGACGCCCGGTAACTATCCTCTGTACGGCGTCTATTACTGCCGATGGTGGCTCACCGACAAACTCGTCCAAACTCGTCAAGCTCATCGACACCGCCACCCATCGCCGAGACGCCCATGCTTCCAGCGATGATGAGATGCCTGGGTGCTCGGATCGGGAGAGGATGCTAACTACATGGGCATCCCAACGTATCGAGAATGCCCATTAGATACCTAGGAAATGGCTCGTATTCGTGTATGCGAGAGGACCATAGAAGATCAAAAACATTGTTCTGGAATTATTCCGATTGTGTTCGTATCGTCGGCGCTTGGTTGGCAGACTTGAGCCGCGCATTCCCCCTTTCGTCATGACTAACGACTCGCTGTGCCAGCCACGTTTTCGGAGTGTAACTTCAGAGAAATATTCACTCTCTGAGAAGGCTCAAAGACAATCCTCGCCCGGGGAGGGGACTAAGACGGAAACCAACACCATGCGCATAGACAGCACGGATAACGCCTCCCTTCCCATCCGTGTCCGTGCGTGCCATGGCTTCCTGATTCCACCCTGTCACGCGGGCAACCATCAAGAATGCTGTAAACCCCTTCTCTTCGCACGTTCTTACGACCTAATGAGTAAACAGATGCATGTTTGTGAAGATATTTGCGTTTAGACTACGATCAAAGTCAATGACAACTCGTAGAAACAATGTAACGAAATTCATCGTCTCGACAGCCATACATTATATCTACACCACATATTGAAAGGGTAACTGTTCCACAGAAACCCGGAGGACGGAGCTCCTGATCACCTTTCAGAAACAACAACGCAGCGATCAGACCGGATCACACGCAGTTCTCGAGAGCAGTATAAGGTGGACTCAGCAAGGAACGCAGCAATCTGAAACAGCATCCAGAGTCGCATACACGTCCAGAAAATTCAATAGGCTTCTCCTGCGATTCGAACGGTCTTGGCCTGGAAGATGTCTTCGACGCGCTCAACAAGGCCGCCGTGGAGATAGGCCAGTGGGAGAATGTGTCAAGTCTGCTTCTGCCTCATTTTAGAAACTTCTCAGTAACGCTGATCTCATCCTTGCACAAGAAAAGACGTCCATCCGGATGAGCAGCATGGTGTTCCCGGGTAAGACGCCGCTCGCCCAGACAATAGCCGCGTATGGCGACGGCGTCGTCCAGGCCGAGTATCAGATTTCCACCACCGTCGTCAAGTCGGAGAGGGCTATATGTGAGATACTTGACCATATTCATAAAGCCGACGACCAGCTAATGCCTATTTCGAGAGGTGTTGCACCTGAGAGGTTCTCACTTCGGTCGCCGCACACGTCGTATCGAGTCACGGGAATGGGCTCAACCAGCTGCTCGCAGACTTAGACGCTCAATTTGTGGATCTGACACAGCTGGTCAAACAGTGCAGGGGTGCAGTCGAGGGAGCGGAGCGGGTTAGGGCGATGGCTCACCTGCAAATAAGGAATGCTCTGCTCCACGTCCAGCCCGAGATTGATAAGAAAGGCATCCTGTTTAGCTTATTCTCCGCCAACAGTCCGCAGCACAGGATGAGAACGGCGCTGAGAGCACTTTTGCTTTCCCTTCCAGAAACCTTGGAGCATCTCGAAAGAGCAAAGGATATCCTCGGGGGACATCGACAGCACTTTCGAAGCACTCGGGTTGACTTTCTCAGCATGCATGAGTCTCTGACAGCCTTGGGGCTGATCAATACTCTACTGCAACTCCAAGGGATCATTAAACATCTGGCGCACACGAACGCCAGCATGCCGAGTGAGCGTGTGAAGGACGGAGAGCGGCAGGATGCGGAGAGAAATTCGGGCCAACATTCTCTGCCTCGAATATAGAACACTCTAGTAGAAGCTGTGGTTGGTACAGGGGGCATGAAGTCATGAGCCAGAGACCATCGCAGCCTCAGCAAGTCCAAGAACAGGTCGTTGCTTGTGGAACGACACCGACCTGTAAGTCGTCAGGCTCACTTTTTGGCGTATTCTGGATCAGTTTGAGAGCTTAATCCATGGATAGATTCAACCTGCGCATCCCCTGTATAACACGCCTCAGCCTCAAGGACTCGGCTTCGAGTTGGCAGAGCGAGTTTTGCGTCCGCTGACCATGCTTCATTAGGCGCCCCTGGGGAAAGTGGGCGTCCAAGACAACGTGGAAAAATCAAACGACTAATAGTCACCTCATTTATTGGATGTTACAGCCCAGTTGAGTCTTTCGAAAGCTCTATCGCTAGTAAGGACAGATTTGATGTATCGCCAAAGCCATGATGCAGGAGGTTGGTCAATATCAACCATGGAAACGCCGTCATATCATGAGCTGTAGAGGCTCATTTCCTCATATCTGTCTGAGCTACCTCAAAATGAAAGTAGAACGTCGAGAGATTTGAGTCTGTCTAGTAGTCGTTGTATCGGGCCTCATCGCGGCCTTGATCGTAGGCGTTGTCGATGTTGTCATCAAATCCTGGGTTGTCGTTAGCACCAAAAGAGCCCTGTCAAGGTTCAGCAACCTATCTTTGAGGGGTAACTTACGCTCAACGTCCCCAACCTTTCGACCAGCCCAGCCAGCAACGTCGTCGGGCACATCTTCGACGTCCTGCACGGCATTATCCCATTTGCGATCGATATCTTGTGGGATGTCCTCGACTTCTTGAACCTTGTCTCCAGTCCAGCGTGCTGCGTCCTCTGGAAAGTTCTCCACGTCTTGCACCCCGTCACGCACATCGTTCTCGACATCATACTTGGCGTCGTCCCATTTGTTCTCTGTGATGTGTCAGACAGGAATATCAGGGAGACAAGGGTTCCACCTCGATTACTCACCGACTTTCTCTCCTTCGTGCATCAAGAGCGCACCTCCAAGGAGACCTGCGGCTGCACCGAGAGCAACATTGCGGCCAGTGTGAGATTTCTTCTGAGGTTCTTGCTCGTCGTATCTTCTCTCCTCCTGACCTCCATAACCCCCTCCATAGCCACCTCCAAAGCCCCTCTCATCGTAACCGCCCCCGCCATAGGACTGCTGAGGGTGCTGGAAGGTACGGTCTCCGGTCTCACGGTTGACGAAGAACCAGCGGCGGTCACGCTCGTCCCACTCGGCGACCCATGGATGAGGCACTTGAGGAGGACCTCCGTATGATGGAGACTGGTTGTAGGGATCACGGCCGTAAGAACCCTCAGGTTGATCGTTGTAGTACGACATTGCGGGGTGAAGTGTGTTTGAAGTGGTAAAGAGGTCAGGTGGGCGTGGGAGTAGTCAGGTTCGAGTCAGGAAGCAGGCTAGGTAGAGAAAGACGAAACGAAGATGCTGAGGGCGATGAGGAAAGAAAAGCAGAAAGTCAAGGGTGAAAGACACACAAAAATGACAGGACGACGAGTGCGAAGGGCAGGAGCGTGACACGAGCGCGTGGCGTTGGCACGAAACGAGCGCTGACATGGCCATTGGAACTCCTGACACCAGGGGGGCCACTCCATGGAGGGGTAAAATGGCGAACCTCGCAAGAGCCACATAGCGCACGTCCATGAAATCTCTTTCTGCCTAACCCCCTTTAATCCTGCAGACCTAATACTACCCAGGTACAGCCGCCTAATGCGCTGATCATTCTTCACCTGCACAACCATGCCGGCAATGGTCCAGCTGGTAGCCATGCCGAGAGATCCCATCGATCGGCTCGCCCCGAAGCACAGCTTCTTGTTTCCCCTCTCCCCACTGCCAAGCTCAAGCATAAGCTTTGCCCAGTAAAAGCTTGGCACCAGGCTGGATGGGTGGGATGTACCCTCTCACCTTCGCCTGTGCCTACCATATGTGTTACCCGTGATCGACACTTCCATCTCAATGACGGGGCGAGGGGGATCGTGTTCAGGGAAGCTGCAACAATGCCTCGAGTGGACCTACGTCCCAGGTACTCAGCAGCTTCACAATGTTCCAGGTTTCACACTCCTCGATCAAGCTATGATATTATTATTCTTCGAATACCTGGCCTTCCTTGCTATCTTGTATCCTCCCTCTCGTTTGTCGGTGAATCTCAATTTGAGCCCTAGATTTACCTCGACGAATGGGAGCAAACAGAGACCAACCGACTGGGAAATCTGACGGGCACCCCCCACAAGGTGGCGGCTCTCCAAAAATATTACCTGAAGGTGGCACTGACGAATATGGGAGCGAAGATGATGATTATACAGGGAAAGCATTGTCAACGTCCATGGCCCAGACTATCCGAGAACTGGAACGATTGGTCGAAGAGGCTGTCAAGCTCGCTGAAAGCGCAGGATCTGTTCAAAATGACGACCATGTGCCGGCACAACGGGACGGAAATCTTCACGGCCCATCACGGCGGCAGTCGCTAGGTCTCGCAAAAAAGATCAGCACATACCTGGAAGAAGTCACTTTGAAGACGAGCGACGTTGCGGCCTCCCCCAAAGATGGCCAGTCCCCCAGGTCGCAAGCAACTGACAAAGAGACTGAAGACGCCATCATTCGCTGCCGAGGGGCATGCAGTACCGCTGACTTGAAAGTTATCCCTCCAGAGCCAGTCGCCGATTCTCTGGAGGAGAGGAAGAAAAAGTTGTCCAGGGATAGAGGATCAACAGCATTGCCTTCACACTCTAAAACCAAACCAGCTCATTTCCTAGCCCCTCCTCAAATTGGCCCTCGCATCGCATCTGCCAAAGGCTTCTCAGAAAGCAGATCTTCCGCTTCAAGAACAACGCCTACCATGACGCTGAATGGTGGGGACCAGGCGGTCCATTTTGACGAAGACAAGACACCGTTGTTGGGTAGCCCTCGGCCAGGCCACGAGAGGCATTTCAGCCAGGTGTTTGGAATCCCTTCCCGGCATGTGAGCATCAACCTAGCCCATCCGCCGCCCTGTCCCTTCTACACGGTCGACCTCAATGGCGTACAGCACATCGACCTCCCAGAGCGAGCTCAGGATTTGGACGTCCATGCCACTTGTCACCACGCACCCGTGGCACGCAACTGGCCAACATCTCGAAAGCGATTCGCTGCAACCGTGAGCTGCATCAACGTTGCCTGTCTTGGTTTACTTCTCGGCATATATGCAGGAGAAGTTCCAGCAATCCAGTACGTTATCGTCGACTTCGACCGTCAGATCATTCTGGGCAATCTTTTCCTCTATCTTGGACTTTCCATTCCGGCTTTGGTGTTGTGGCCTCTCCCCCTCTTGCACGGACGGAAACCCTACACCCTTGCATCACTCACATTGGCGTTATGTTTGCAAATCCCCCAGGGGCTGATGGTCACAACATTCAGATCGCCGGATCTCACGAGATACCGAATCATTCTGCTCCTGTCTCGTGGCTTGTCAGGCTTTGTTCTTGGGTTTGCTGACATCAATAACCTCGCCACACTATTGGATGTCTTCGGTGCATCGCTACAGAGTAACGAATCACATGAAATTCCTGATGCATACGATGTCCGCCGGCATGGAGGTGGAATGGGATTTTGGCTAGCAATCTGGTCATGGTGCTCTGTTGGCTCGATCAGCATTGGATTCCTAATTGGAACCCTTATCATAAGCAACACTTCAGTGGACTGGGGCTTTTGGATTTCGTTGCTTCTGCTGTTGGCCGTCATCCTACTCAACCTCATCGCGCCGGAAGTGCGTCGATCAGCGTTCCGGCGAACAATTGCAGAGATCATCGGCGAGGCTGGGAGCTTCAGCAGGGTTGCCCGTGGGGAAGTCAAGCTGCATCTCACTGGGAATGGGCCGTACTGGTGGGGTGAAGAAGTCATGGCAGCTCTCCGGCTGAGTTGGCGGATGGCCAAGCAACCAGGCTTGCTGGTCCTGTCCATCTATGCCGCCTGGGTGTATGCGCAATTTACCATGGTATTGATGGTGAGTCCCTGGCTGTGGGTAGCCGGGTTTGGCTAACATCAACAGTTGCTCGGAGCTTTGGCCTCCACTGATTATCTCTACCGGCCTGACGAGGTTGGACTATGCGTTCTTTCCCTGGCCTTCGGATCAGCTTTGGCAATACCTTTTCAGAAAGCATCTTGGCTGAGTCGTGCTCGGTATCATCCCCCTCGTACAGACAGCATGACCTTTCAGAAGGCGATGGTGTGGCGGTCACATACGGTTCGCCGGATATTCTTCACAGTCTTTCTCCCGCTGGTAGCTATCGGGTTCGCCTTATCATCAAGAAAGCCACCCTTCCCTATCGCCGTGCCGTGCGTGTTTGCCGCTTTTGTGGGGTTTGGCTCGAACTTGGCCATTGCAGAGTGTTATGCTCAAATGATGCTAGCCTTCGACACGTCGGACTTGCAACCTGGAATGACTGGACGCCCCGTGCGAAAACCAGTGGTCGGACGAACACGTCAACTGCGCACAAATTTCTCCTGTTATCCTCGAGTTAGTGCAGGTATGGCCGTAACTCAGTTTCTAAAGTTCATCTTCGGCGCCGTCGCCACTGGCATTGGGGGTCGAGTGGAGAGAAAGTATGGCGGTATGCAGGCAGCTGGCATCGTCGCCGGTGTCCTTATGGCACTAACTCTCCTTCTCACTGTGGTCCTCTTCAGACGGAAGAGTGTCCAGATGATCCCAGATCGACAGGATGGTGGAGAAGGAGAGGGGGAAGAATGGGAGCCTGTGATTTTGGGTGACCCAAGTGGGCGGACACGCAAGATCAATATCCTGGAGGCCGGCGAATACACTCGATGGTCAGTGATTCGACAGCGAAACCGGTTGACCAGTCGACGTGCCGGCGCGTGAGTTTTAGCCGTAGCCAATGTCTGAGATTTGTCCTCCAACCAAGGATTTGAACCGGCAACTGCCAACTCTTTAGGCACTCGGGAGGTAACACAAATAGAGTCCTGCAGCAACGGACACCGTTCGTCCCCATGCTGGTGGGTTAAGATACTTTCATTCTGGACGGAGAAAAACCATCACCGCGTAACTTCGGCGCGTTGTACAACGGCAAAGTAGGTAGCTGCGCGCTGAGTAATTTCGAAGTCGCAGATAGCGGCCGCGTCAGTCGTAGATTACATATTTATGCATTTTAAATTCCCAGGTAGTCTCTTTTCCGTAGTGCGATTTTTCAGAGGCCATTGGTCAGTGGTCTGGGAGGATTGGGCTCGATTGAGGCTTCGCGAGGAGGGAGAGAGGCAATCGGCGCCTGCGCCCAATCGAATGGGGACAAACGCCGCTTAATCAGCAGCCCGTGGCAAGTCGGAACACCAGTCGGCGAACGCGATGAGAAGCTTGCCCGAGAGCTTCGGGCGCCATCATTGGGCTTGGTTGCGGGCTCACTAGACTGTATGGGGCCCCCCATCGGCCGTTCGCTCCTCTGGCTGCAAATCATGGTCAATACTTGATGAGACTATTACTTGAAGAGGCATAGAGTCTTCTTACCTGATCCTCGAAGTTTTTGAAGGCCACTCAAAGGGTTGCAGGGGCTTGCAGCGCCCCTGGTTGTTGGCGACGAAACTCAAATCGATGAGAGGGAAAAAAGGGTTGCCGCGGGGGAGAAGAGAGCCTAGTGGCCCAGTGAGCCTAGGGAAAGCAGCTAAGATGCAAGCCCATGTCATTTTTGCGCAGGTGTCGCCCCAGCTGGTGCCATTCGCCTGCAGCTGCGTCATCATCACTCTCTCCACCGTTACCACCACCATCACCAACCATCATCCCGTCCCCCATCATCGCCGTTATTGTTGAATTGGATTTCGTCCCCAAGCTACTGCAACTCTCACTTAGCACACACACGGTCATTCTTTCTTGTATCCATCGGCGAATCGGTCGCATCGCCTGCATTGACTGACCATTGCATCCTTGATCGCCTTGAAGTTCAGATAAAATTATTGTATCCTCTCGTTCACGCTCCAGCGCCCTCTCTCTGAGCCTCAACCCTACCCTCGACTATATTTACCCGTCGCTCTGGGCTGTCATACCCTCGTTTCTCCCCTCCGTCGGATCTCTGCATCCCAGCCGAATACCGAACCCTGCATATCCCGTTCATAACCATTCATATCCGACTTATCGGTGCTTCCATTGTCGCGACCGGGCGCTGAGTTGACATGTCCGGCTGATTATTCCCCATAATTACATCGCCACCTCTGACCTCACACAACCGTACGAAAAAGTGGACGAAGTAATTCACTTTAAGACCGAGATATCCTTAGAGGCTCACCAGGGTTTGCCGTATAAGACAGACTTCGTCCTGCGCAAAGAGAGCACGAACACACCACACGAAACGAGCAGTTTCGCACATCTGCCAACATGGATGTTGTCGATCGGGATATGCAGCGGGCTGAGCTCCAGGCCACGCGCCAATGGTCTCATGAAAGTAAAGAGCGTCGGTCATTGCGCAGCCAAAGATCTCAGCAATCCGTCGCCTCCAGCTCTTCGGGTTCTAGCACATCTTCCGCTCCCGATATGGGTAGAATAGCCACTGCGGGAGCCTCAAGCGCGACAGTTCCTTCTGCAAGGGCTGTGAGAACAAGGACACATCCCATCGAAGACCTTAGGACGGAAACACATCGTTTGCAGCAGGTCCAGACTGTGGGAGCGAGCATAAAGTCAAAGGCAGACACCAGACCTCTCCCCGAATTTGGCGGTGGAAAACCATATCCTCCCGATCTGCCAGCGCAGGAGGAGTACGTGGTAGAGTTCGATGGCAAAGACGATCCTCTCCATCCTCAAAACTGGCCCTTCCGGAGAAAGTGAGTTTGAGATTGGTGCGATATGACAGGAAATGCCGATGCTGATGTGATTCGCAGACTCTACATGGGCGCAATTCTGGCTTACGTCTGCTTGTGCAGTACTTTTACGTCCTCGATATTCTCCGCGTCCACGTTCAGCGTGGCCGCTCATTTCGGAGTCAGTCCCGAAGTAGCCACTCTTAGCACGTCGTTATACGTCCTGGGATATGCGTTTGGCCCGCTGATATGGGGTCCTTTCTCAGAATTGCGAGGTAACCAGCGTTGAGAACGACAGGAAGTTGACATGCTAACAGAGTCGAAACAGGTCGAAAACTCCCCATCTTGATTGGAATGTTTGGCTTCTCGATCTTTTGCTTCGGTTGTGCCACCGCAAAGGATCTACAGACAGTTATGATAACCAGGTTCTTTACTGGGTTTTTCGGCTCATGTCCCCTGGCTGTCGTCGCCGCTGTCTTCGCCGACATGTTTGACAACACGCAAAGAGGCACGGCCATCGTCATCTTCTCCTCCATGGTTTTCATGGGCCCGATGCTGGGACCATTCATTGGAGGGTTTATCAACAAATCATACCTGGGATGGCGCTGGAACCTTTATATTCCAGGCATTATGGGCTCAGCGGCTGTGTGTCTGGTCTTTCTATTCATCCACGAATCGTACGCACCTGTCGTCCTGGTGGGCAAGGCCGCCGAACTACGCCGCCGAACTAAGAATTGGGGCATCCATGCGAAGCAAGAGGAAGTCGAGGTGGACTTCCGAGAACTCATCACTAAGAATTTTTCTCGTCCGATTCGACTCCTGATTTCCGAGCCGATCATTCTTGCCATCACCTGCTACATGTCTTTCATCTATGGCCTCTTGTATTGTTTCTTGACAGCCTATCCTCTGGTCTTCCAGGGCGTTCACCATATCACTCCTGGTGTGGCGGGCTTACCCTTTTTTGGAATGGTTTGTGGGATCTTCATTGTTGCAGGCTTTATCATATGGGATTCCAAAGCCTACAACAGGAAGCTTGCTGCCAATGGCGGGATTCCAGTCCCAGAGTGGCGTCTCCCGCCGGTCATGATCGGAGGAGTGCTGTTTGCCGCTGGTCTTTTCTGGTTCGGCTGGACGGGCTTCAAGGAATCAATCCATTGGATTGTTCCGACCCTGTCTGGTCTCTTCACCGGATTTGGTCTGCTGGCTATCTTCATCTGCTGTTTCAACTACATCATTGACTCATATCTTATGTTGTAAGTGGATCCTCCCTCATATGTCCTGTTTCTGGTGATGAATCACGCTGACCCTGTATAGTGCTGCTTCTGCCATTGCAGCAAACACCTTCCTGCGGTCATGTCTTGCCGCAGGGTTTCCCCTTTTCGCGCGCCAGATGTTTGACAACCTTGGTATTGAGTGGGCCGGCACGCTTCTGGGTTGCATTGCTGCCCTGTGCGTCCCGATTCCTGTGTGCTTCTACTTCTTTGGCAAGAAGCTCCGCCAAAGATCAAAATTTGCACCTACCATGGCGATTCGGAAACCCGTGGACGAAGAGAGTGGCAGTGAAGATGATGATGAACATGAAGCCAATATGGCCGCTTTGCATGCGACTCGGAGCCGTGCGCACCATGATCTGGAGGTGCGGTCGAGAAGAACTCGCACAAACGGAAGTCTGGCGACGACAAACACCAATGCCGGGGCCGACCCAGAGAAGAGCGCGTAGGCCGCTATTCCTTCAACAAGAATAAACCGGACTTATGGATGAAAAGGAGGCTTTGTCTTTGCGTGGAGTCTTGATAGCCGCCGAGGATGGACTCTTTTTCCCACTTATCTTAGAAATGGAGATTGCAGACTGCACTCTCTTGGTTCCTGAGAGGAATTGTCCACACGATATATGGTTCCAACATAGCAGATCGTTCTCTGACCTGTCGATTACTTTCTGCAGCATCGGAGTAGATCGTTGACATCGGCATGTTCAGGGGAAGTGTCGGACCATTTTCGCTCCAAAATCATGGTCCGAGGGCCCGAGTTGTGGCTGAGATGAAAGCTATATAGACTCCAACCTCGAATCGCATAATCAGTGGTCGCGCATCAATAAGGTGGTAGAGATGATACAAGGTATGGATCTGCCCAGACGTCGTGGGCGTGTTGCTCTCTCCGACTAGGGGAAGCCTTGGCTGTTGGACATCACCTATACCGACCACCTTCACGAGACGAACGAATACCACCGAGGTTTCTCAGTACTTTTTGAACGACAAGACAAGTTTCAGATCAGTGGTAAATCCAGCCACCCAGCAGCGGAAGCTGAACTGCCGAAACGCCATCTAGAAGGACGACGAACTGCTCCACATTGTGGCTCTGGACTCAATCAAAATTTCTCCCGTCTTGGGCCTCAGTCACGAATCATCGACGCTGCCTCGTCGCCGCATCTCCATTCTCGCCCAGAAGTGCCCAAATTCATCTTGACGCAATCCTCGCTGCTTACGACATCATTACCAGCCAGAACTGACAAAGCGCGGAATGTCTTCCAGCCTTGCAAAGCTACTCACACAGATTACCTACCGAGCCAACGGAGCCAGCGGAGCCACAAAGCCACCGAACCACCACCAGCAAGCTATCCACCAGTTAGCTATCTAAAGGGTGGCCATAGAACCTTCCATCATTCAATCACCAAGTTATATCCGACCCAATCTGTCCCTGCAAGCGAACACCCTCCACTTTTCAGCACCTGTTCTTCACCGTTGGCTCCATATCGTGGACCTCGATTTTGTGCCAGGATCGGTTCAATCTGTCAAGATCGGAATCAGAGAAGACCGCCAAAAGGAGCATGCGCCTGACAACGCCATCCCGGACTTACAGATATATAAGTATCAGCCCAACTCGCGCGGCATCCGTCCTTCTTCCATTTCACAGACACTCCCTCAACAACCCTCCTTCATTTACTACAAGTCTTCCAAAGTCAGCTTCGCAGGCTCGCCAATTCACGTCATCCACCAGCAAAATGTCGTCAGGGGCCTTTTTGGAAGCGGTCAAGTCCCGCCGCACCTACTATGCTCTGTCGAGTGAATCTCCAATTCCCGACTCCAAAATCCATGAAATCGTCAATGAAACTGTCACGCACGCGCCTAGCTCCTTTAACTCACAGTCAACCCGCGTGGTTGTCCTGCTGAACGAGGAGCACAAGAAACTGTGGGGCGACATTGTGATCCCCGTCGTCAAGTCGGTGGCGCCGGCCGAGGCGTGGCCTGCTTCGGAGAAGAAGCTCGAGGGATTCAAGGCGGCGTACGGCACCATCTTGTTCTACGAAGAGCCCAAGGACGTCGCCCAATTGCAGGAAAAATTCCCGCTCTATGCCGACAAGTTCCCTCAATGGAGTGAGCACACCAATGCCATACATCAATATATTTGTAAGTACTCCCCGTGTATACCCCTTTCCTCTGTGTAGTCTAGGGCTGACTCAGCTGCACAACAGTATGGACCGCGTTGGAAAAGGAAGGCTTTGGCGCGAACCTGCAGCACTACAACCCCTTGATCGACGAGAAGATCGCGGCGACCTGGAACGTCCCTAACAACTGGAGCTTGAAGGCCCAACTGGTCTTTGGCAAGCCCGCTGCCGACCCCTACCCGAAGACTTTCAAGCCGCTCGAAGAACGAGTGTTTGTCCACGGGGCTAAGGAATAAACGGTTGTAGTTTGGTATTGGTGTCTGGGAGTTGGTACAGAAGGAGCGCTATAAACCTAGAGAAGTGACTGTCAATGCATTCATTGTCTTTGCATTTTGCAGAGGTTTCAACTACGCTTGTTTCCCATGAGATGTGCTGTCTCCTGGTCATTTGCTTGATTGCTTGCTTACATTATGCTGGAAACACACAAGCAGGCATCACCAATCAGTTGATGGCATCGGTGTTCGTTCGAGCCCTGGAATTGTCATTCTAAACTCCGATGCCGTGTTGTTGGGCATGCTTCGTGGACATGTTGTGCCGCATCCTGCTGATTTGAGGCTACCTGACTGGATTTTGCAACACATTCAGTTTTGAGTGCTACGTCGTTCATCCTCATCCACGACCGCGTTCCAAAGAGCCACCTGTCCTATACTAATCAGCCCATTCAGTTCGCTTGGTTTGATATCATATAATATGTGCGGCTGACTGGCTTATTCTGCAGTAGGACGATCACCTCCCTTTCAACATGAACTTCCACCACTAGTAGCTTTACTATAACAGCTAGAGCATGAGAATGTGATGCTTTGACCAGTGGACATATGTCTATTCCTTGAGAGATGACACGTGTGCACAGATCGGCTTCATCCAGCACCTCCGTGGATCATGTACAGTCTCTGATACTTCGCCCTTGCCATGTTCACTACTTCTCTGATTCCCTGCCTTCCTTCACACTCTGCCCGGACCTACCTAGAGTGATCTGTTCACTATCTCTCACCAGTGCAATCTACTTACACATTCCGGTGTTGGATATTGGCTCCCTCCCAGGTGTTCTGCTTCTTCAGCACGATGAGCAGTCAACTAGTGTCAACACAGACACACCTCACCGTAAGTGTTCCGCAGTTTAGACGATTCCATCAATGGATATGTGAGATAAAAAGAAAACCAGTCTCAAAAGTAAAGAGACGAGTTTCGCTTGTTCACGCTGCACTGCGATGCTCACTGGGCGGTGTGATTGTTGGGGTTGGGTGGCCAAGTTTTTTTTTCGCTCTTTTCTTTTTTTCCCTCGTCCGGCGGTCTTCTTGACCTTTCCTTTTGGTCTTTTGGGGGGTTGCGACTGTGTGTTCCTCACCTTGGCGCAACTCCGGAGCGTTCGTCAATCCGTAAGGGAACCGTTTCCGGTAGAGACCCTGGGCGGCTCAACATAAAGCCAGCGTAGCCGTCATAGCAAACAAACCAAGCAAGAATCGCCCAGGCCTCTCTGTTCTCTTTCTTCTCACCCAAGCCACTGGACATAGAAGGGTAACCCGAGGCGTAATCAGTGGGCGTGATAATGCCTCGTCGAGCCGGACAAGGCTGAACAGCGAAATGCGGGGAAAGTATCGGATCGGTGTCCCGGAGAAATTAAGTTCCGAGACAGTCTCCCATCCGAAGGAGCAACCAAGAGAACAACATCAAGCCCATTGCTTTCTTGCCATGTCTTCGGTTTTCATATCGGTATTTTCTAATGAAAGAAGTTTAGCGACAGCCTCTGACATCTGCTTCTTTTAAAGGCGTTGGCCTGGGCAGCAGAGAGAAGCCCGACTCTGTCTCCGGCCAACCGAAACACTTACCGAAAGCCAGCCGAAATCTAGGGAGGCCCATCTCTCTCGGTTGCGGCTCCAGGGGGGCTTGATCCGATTGAGAGATGCGTATATACATAGGCTGATAATTTGAATCTAGCAGAGCGGACCGAGAGTAGTGGCGTGGAGGTGTCAGGCTGCCTATACCAAAAGCTGTGAATAGGGATAAGACGTTCCTCAGCCCAAGTCTATCCAAAACGATCCTTCGAGACTCATCTCACGGTGTGTCCAACAAAAGTCTGAATACGTCATGATGGCTCGAACTTACAACTTTCTCGTGGGCACGTTCGACACCCCTGAGCTCTACACGCTGAAATTCACACCTCCCTCGTCGACCTCGGAAGGCAAACTCCAGGTCGTTCACTGCACCTCTGCCATCGGGTCACACTCCTGGCTTCATCTGTCTCCCGTTAAGCAAGACGGAACCCGCAACCTCTACGCTACGGCATGGACAGAACCCCCCTCTGTGGTCGCTTATACCGTCAAGTCCCCAGCAGATATCCAGCTTCTCAACAGTGCCCCAACCCGATCCCGTAGTGGGTACGTCACAGCGAGTGATGTAGCCCTATATTCGGCCGGAGGAGCAACCGGAGAGGTCTTTCGCCTGGATCCCAAGAGCGGCAGTATCATCGCGCCGCTCGACTCTGGTGATGCTCAAACGAATGGGGTCGTCCAGGGCGAGAGATCCTCCGCAATCAAACCGCTGCAAGTCCTCTCTTTCGTGGGTCAAAGTGACGCGCAGCGTGATGATGGCAGTGTCATGGACTTTGGAGGACTTCGCCACGGAGCTCACTCTGCCGACCTCTCGCCGGATGGCCGAGCCCTCTACGTGGCTGACATCGGTCGAGAGTGTATCTGGACATACTCGGTCGATCCTGAGACGGGGAAACTCACGCTGGGAGAAAAGCACAACACGCCTCGATGTGGTGACGGACCGCGACACGTCTGGCCCCACCCGAGCGGGAAGTTCGTCTATTGCGTGCAAGAACACTCGAGCTTCGTGGACGTTTTCTCCACCTCCGACGACGGCGTGTATCTCAAGCATGAACAAGGCTTCCGAATCATTCCAGATGGACAAAACGCGCAGGAATACTGGGCTGACGAGGTCCGGACGAGTTTATCGTCGGGAGACAAACCTGAGTACTTGTACACCAGTGTACGGGGACTCGAAACCGGCGTGAAGGGATATGTCGCAGTGTACAAGTTGACCGGCGAAGGCAAGGTTGACGATTCAATCCCTCCTCATCACACCAGCAGATCGATAGGCAAGAAAGTCCAACTGGACGACAAAGATCAAGGCTGGAATGGCTTGCTCTATATGTGGGAGACACCCACAAGTGGCGGCTGGGCGAATGCCATCCAACCCGGACCAACCGTTGGTGGAGTGGAGTATCTGGCGATGACAGATAGTGAGGAAGGATTTGTGTTTGTTCTGAGCTGGAATGGCATCGAGATGAAAGAGGTTGCGAGAACGAAGCTGCATGCCGGAGCGGGAGCTGCGACCGCAGTGTGGCTGTGAACAGATGGAATACATGTGGGGATAACAAGGCAAAGACGGGAGACGAACGAGAGACAGACCCAGAAAATGAGCACGGCCTGTGACAAAAGGATACCTATGTATATGGACTGTTCTAGACAACAGGGGCTTTTCCTTCGACCCGAATCGAGACCCGAAGCGGCCGAGTGTTTAAGCGTTAGGCGACTGGGGCTTGATCGCTGACTCCGTACATTATGTGTGTATAGCCTATGAAGAAGTTCCGGAGGGGTAAGCCCATGCCCCGGCCGCATAGGTCGGGACATGCGAGGGCTCGTTAAATTAACGGAAACTCTCCCTTGTATGTACATAGTTAGTGAGCTGGCGGAGCATCGCCGGCCGCAAGCTGCCCATCTGACAGGAGAGGAGATGGGGGCCACTCCAGCCGGGATTGTCAACTTCTGCCCACTGGGACGAAATGAAGGGGCAAACGAAGGGACAGACACCTGTAGCAGTGAAGGATATCAATGTACGTACACTGCCTCTCAATAGTCCTGTCGAAATAATAGGGACAGGAGAAGAAGACCGAAGCGTCCCCAACGAGGCTGTGTGAATATCTGTCCTCGATACGTGGGGCAGTTCCGTATCTAACAGGGAGGGATATGAGATGCCTCCCATAGCCAGATAGCTAGATAGCTAGATCAATCGATCTTCCCTCGCAAGTCATTTCCGCAAGCTCCTCAGTTTAAACCATTTTGCAATGGTGGAGAAGAAATAGCTACGTACCTCCTACAAGTAATAGGATTTCCTTTCCTTCTCTCGCCCTCTCCGTCTCCACAAAACTCTCGAGATCTCGATATCCCGCGAGCGGAATCGGCGATGTTTGTCGTGGTTCTAGAAGAACTGCCACGCTTTTCTCTTTCTCTTTCTTTTTCTAGTTCTTGTTCTCGTTCTCGTTCTCGTTCTCCTTTTTCGGTTTCTCTCTCGTTCTCCGGCGAGTGCGCACCTTTGTGCCACCACATACCTGTCCACCTCACTTCCCATCTCAAATCTCCAGTTGTGCGAGGGAAGCACAAGCAGGTCCAGCTCGTTTCAACTCGACTCAGGCAGCGACGCGCACGGAGGGGGCGAGGCTTTCTTGCTTGCTTACCCGCCTCCCCAGCCGGCGGCGTATTCTTTCCAGTCTCCGGCTGGCGTGAAACTCCTCGCGGGCGAAAACAGGGAACTTCTGTGGGCGGCGGTGGCTGCAACAAACGAACCGCACGCTTCGGGGTTCACACAAAAAAGGGCAAAGTCGGCCAGTAGGCCAGCCCAGGCCAGGCCTCACCCAGGCCTCGTAGATATTGATTATCATCATTATCACTATCACCGGTAATACTAGGTAGGCATACCCATTCCCCCTTTTGGGTCAAGGACCCCGAACCCTGCCTCCCTTCTGACGTGGTCCCACGCCCAGAATGCTAGACTGGGAAAAAGACTTGCTGGTCTGCCATTGGGGGCATATTTCTAGGTATGTAACTTACCTTGTCAGCAGCAGCTCTCTAGACCTCCCTCGTTTACGGTTTTTTTGTGAGAAGCTTGAAAGAAACTCTTGCTTGACGTCGATCGATCAGCGGGCGGTCCTGGCGAACAACTTGCGGTATTGTACATACATCACTGACCCTACAGACCAATAGATTCCACAGTGTAAATAAGAGGCGTGTGTTTTGATTCTTGGCTACCAGTTGCTCTCTGAACACAAACAAGGAGATATATACATACATGCCTCTTGGTTGTCCGGAGGGGTCTGCACGCTTCGAAGAAGCAACGAGATGCCCGCCGAAAGACCCTTCGAGGGTGACTTCCTGTTTGTCAATCACGATGCAAATCAGATGAAAGCCCTGCCCAACAGACGGAGAGTCTTCTCTCATGTGCAGAAGCAGTATCGCAGCTGGAAGCGGCAGGAAGAGATTCGAGCTCTGCGGGCTTCTATAAAGGCTCCTTTTCCTGATGCCCAGTCAAAGGTGAACCCCCAGGGGTCCGCGTCGACACAAGCCCCAGCGCTCGATACACACCAATCACCAAACGTCAAGCATACCAGGCGTGTACAAGGCCCAGGAAGAACAGTCTCGGATGCCGAGAACCGTCCACGAGCGTCTGCAAAGATGGCGATTCGCTCGCTGATCAACCACGAAGTCCTCGACCAACCAGATCAGGCAGAGGGGATGCACCAGGCACATATAACGCCACTTCAACCACAATCTCTGATGACCATTGTAGGTAAAGGTAACTCGGACCCGTTTGCCGCCTACGCCGTTGAGATCACCCCGACCGCCAACGACATACTGAGTTTCCACCGCGACTTCGTTATCCCGGCCCTCTACCACACCACCAAGCGCAGATGGATGACGAGCGCCAGCGCGTGGCGGGATTGGCGAGACTGCGTCGACGGACTGGGAGACGGGGTCGATGGACTGGGGGACGAAGGTGCTGGGTCAGGATTCATCGCCAGCTGCGCGGCCGAGGCGGCGGTGATCTCTCTGAACCCGACCGTCCAGAAGCAAGCCGTCTACTACCGGGCCAAAAGCGTGGCCGCGCTGCAGAACCGCCTCGCCGCCGGCAAGGTCCATCGCGCCCAGCTCTACTGGCACATCCATCTCCTCGTGAGCGCTGACGCGCTGATGGGTGACTTCACCGGCACAGCCACACACCTCAATATGCTGCGGTGCTACTTCGAGCACGACGGGGACAAGCTGGACACCAACCTGCTGCTGTACGTCCTCTATAACGACATCCACCGCGCCTCCATGTTCCTCTGCAGACCCATTTTCGACATGGACGAGTGGCTCCCCAAACGGCTGCAGCCAGTGGTTGACGCGGCGAAACCTCACCTTCCAGACCTGACAGAGGTGAGGGCGCGATATCTCGACCCGGCGATCGATAACCCCAGATTACGAACGCTGTTCATCGAGCGACGAGAGAGCCTTGCAGTGTGGCTGTTCCAAAACTGCTCCGCCGCAGAGTCCGGACAGCACACCACGGCGCTGCTGCGCTGGTTACTCACCCGAGTGTACCTCCACCAGGGCCGGCTTGTGAATTTCTTCCTGCAAGCAAAGGCTCAGTATGAAGCCATCCCGCCGCCAGGCCTCGTAAACTCCGTTCTCTGTCAGGGCTACATCTCCCTCGCGACACTGCTCTACATTCGGGCCATCTCGTTCAACGCCGCCGTGTGCGGTGTGCGCCTCTTTGACGCCACGGCCATCATCCTCTCCAACATGCAGGAAATGCTCCAGCTCAGCGAAAGCTCCGGCTTTCCCCACTACGAGAGACACCAGCATGCCCGCCTCTGGGCACTGTACGTGGGCGCCTGTGCGGAAATGTTGATGGACCTGAAGCCTGAAGGGAGAGGCTGGTTCACTACGCACTTCGCGGCCAAAGCCATCCAGCTGGGTGTGGCCGGCTGGGATGAGGTGAGAAGCGTGCTGAAGGGTACCCTGTTCACGGATCTCATGCATCCGGACGGGGAGGAGTGGTTTGCAAGGGTGTTGAGCACGGCGCAGAAGAAAGACGAGCTGGGTGGACCTTGATGGCATGGAAAGATTGAGGGCCTGCTTGCTCTGTCGTCTGATGGATGAGTGAGTGTCCTTTCGAATGCTTTCGAGGCTGTTCAAAATTAGGTATGTCGAGCAGAAGTCAACTCGAGTGTTTATATCCACATATATATCTGTACATACATATATTTCCTGGCACGGATTTCACGAGTCATTACTCCCGAGGAGCCCTTGATCCGTCCATGCACTCAGGACAGCTGTGGTTAGATAATACTGTACATCGGAAGAGGAGTATTATGTACTCGGTAGTGTGAACTGGTAACAGGCGCCATATGCTCCCCAGCCAGAGCTCCTTGTAAGGAAGGTCAGCCGCGACGCGGTCTCTACCACACGATGCTCGTCCCGCAGTTGCGCCACCCGCATCGTTTGGCTGTTTGCTAATTCACCTCGTTCGTCGAGTTCTTCGGTCTCTTTTCTGTTCTGTGCCGGGCTTGGATACTCTGTGCAGAAGAGGAAAATCAAAAGGGAGAGAGGCATACTTGTTACTTCGCTGTTTTAGATGTCCCTGAGTCCCTGGAACCTCCCCCGTTGGCGACGCTTTCGAGACAAGATGACGTGAATGGGATCAGATAGCTACAGAGGCACATTCATCCCTGGCTTCACCGACGCATTGTACATCTCGCCTGCGTACACTACTCCTTTGCGCGATCTTCAAAGATTCTTCTCCCTTCTGAAAGGAGCAGAAACCCTCCGAGTCCCGATCTACCGCCTCCCCAAGAACATTCTCCCTCTCAAACGAACAAGTCTCCTCCTATTCTCGGCCTCCCTCTCAGAATGTCGCTCGCCGACCCCTCAACCGGCGAAAACCACCGTCGACCGTCAGTCCACCACGCCCTTCCTGTTGAACTTCTGCTACCGGTCCTCCGCCTTCCACAGCCTCACCGAATTCCCCGTACCGACCCCGTCAAACCCGCACCCGCACCTACCTGCCCACTTGCAGATCTACACGTGGATGAGCTGTACCTTGCGAGAACTCGCGCTGCTGTTGACGCAGGCCCTGCCGCAAATCTTACCTGATCCGGCCGTGGGCACGAGGTTGAGCTTCAGACTCGTCTACCCTGACGTTCACGCCAGCCGAGGCGGAGGGGGAAGGCTTGAAAGCGAAGGAAGAGGGAGATACCTGAGCAAAGAGATAGGTAGTGTCGTTGTCTCGGCGCCGGAATATTCCAATGGCGGTGGCGGCGGTGATGGTGTCCAACTCGAAGGAGACGACGCTGGCAAGACGCTGGAAGATGCACGGTTTGTTATAGGAGACTTTATCGACTGTGCCGTCTTCCCTCCCTTGAGCGACGGCACCGTGGTTTCTCGAGGAAGTGTCAGTGGCAGAGGAGGTTCCCGAGAAAATGGCTATGGGAGAGTGCGAGGAGGCGGGTACGGTCTGAGCAGTAGGGGCAGCTTCAATGGCTATGGGTCAAGAGGTGACTTTGGCGGCTGGGGCAATATTCCAAGCGGTGAATGGAGGCGAGGAGAAAGGCTTCCTGATTCTGGTGGTTACCGTGGGGGTGGAAGAGGTGCCAGGAGAGGGTATTGAGGCCGAATCGGGCTGGCGAAGACAAAGGTCGATGGAGCGTGCAGGGCGCACAACCTCCCGAGGTAACCTTCTTCGAGGATACACCTGAGCCCGAGTCCTAGTGGTGAGAACACGGCCTCCGCGACGGACACAAAAAGCATTCATGCTCCAACACAGCGGACCTTGGTGGCAGGATGGCGCATTTTCGAGTCATGTGAAGACACCAAATTTTATAAACGGCACGTTGCAGGCAAGGTACTTTTCTCAAGTTGCTCGGTATGTCTCACAGATAACTAGGGAATGTTTCCTTTTGGGGAGATACAGCCATGTCTACCTCGTACGCGCAGTCAAAAGCAAGCAAGTCAGGCACCGGATGCAGGTATCAGCCTTCCGAGACTGCGGTGAAAGACCTGGACTTGTCTGCGAGAAAGGTCTAGAACAGCAGAGGCTGGGAGACTCGGCACGCGGCAGGTGAGCGAGCAGATAAGCTACATGCAATAGCTCTCGTAGGAGCAGCGAAAATGGAGCTCTCACAATGTTCTGTATCTTTCACCGCCATGTTGGGCACCGGCCTCACGTGTCATGTTGATACGCTGTTGACGAGGAGGGAAAAAATTGGGATGGGCATGACGTAGCCACGCACCAATGGGCCAAGCGGTTGAACCAGCGGACATGGTGGCGCCCACACAGGCACCGCCAAAACCCTAACGCCTAAGGGCCCCGTCAGGCGCTCCCGAACCACCTGCCCGCCGCCTAGGTATACTGCCTCCCCCCCCTCCCCCCCCACCAACCAAGGGACCCCCCCAAATCTTCCAGAGGTCCTGACTGGACGTGCCGCCTTCCCCAGCTTCAAACAAACCCCCCACCAGTCGCCGTCCAGCGCCAATCGCTGCGCACCGCTGCCCGATCTGCATGGCTGTTCCTCCCATAAACAAAAACTTATCAGAGTGTCACATCCCACTCTGCACTCTGACGTTCCTCCCTAGAGTTTCCAACACATATCATCTCTTGTCCTGCAGATTTCTTCTTTTCGTCCTCCCTTTATAGACTTGCTCTTCATCTCTCTCTCTACTTTCGTTATTCTAGACTCAGAATTAGCTGATCATCACCGTCACGATGGGCAAGGTCGGTTCATTCTCAACAAATCCCCCCCCCTCCCCTCCAAACACATCACTGTTGACCGCTCATTCACCCCGCCGCTGTACCACCCCAACACAAAATCTGCAGTAAAAGAAAACTGACGAGATACCCCTTCCAGGTCAAATACATCCTCCTTGACTGCGACAACACCCTCTGCTTGTCGGAGCGTCTGGCCTTCGAGGCCTGCACGGATCTCACCAATGAACTCCTCGAAATGTACAACGTCAAGGAACGCTACACCGTCGATATGCTCCTCGAAACTTTTGTTGGGCAGAACTTCCGTGGCATGATGGTCGGCCTTCAGAAGAAGCATGGCTTTGAGATGCCCCCGGAGCAGCTCGAGGAGTACGTCAACAAGGAGCTCGGCGCCGTCACCGCCAAACTCTCGGCGAAGTGTCAGCCGTGCCCCGGCGCCCCTGAGGAGTTGGAACGCTTGCACAAGGCCGGATACCCCATGTCTGTGGTCAGCACCTCTGCCAAACCCCGTGTCGTCGCCTCCCTCGAGAAGGTCGGGATCGACCACTACTTCCCCAACGCCCACGTCTACAGCGCCGCCACCTCGCTCAACCCACCGTCCAGCAAGCCTGATCCCAAGATCTACCTCTACGCCTGCGAGCAGCTCGGTGTCAAGCCGGAGGAGTGTATCACCGTCGAAGACAGCAAGAGTGGTGCCACTGCCGCCATGCGCGCCGGTATTCCCTGCGTTGGCTACGTCGGTGTTTACAAGTTGGAGGATGGCGAGGAGAAGATGAAGCAGATGGCCCAGATTCTCAAGGAACAGTGCAACTGCGTCGAGATCATGTACGACTGGAAGGAATTCCCCAAGATCTTGGAGAAGATCGAGAGCGGGAACTAGGTTGGATAGAAGTTCTTTCTCGCCGATCATGACCGGGGTGATGGGATGACGAAAACGAGGCCTGCAACTCTGCACACGACTTGATAACAAAAAGAAGAATGAGACCAGTCAAGGAAGAAATAGGATAACCAGGGCAAAGCGTCTTTTGCGACAAGAACGATCTCTACCTATTCCTCTTGGCTGAGATCAGCTCCACGACTTTGGCCTAGACGGGCTCCGTTGGGCTTGGAATAGAAAATGAAACTTTTGGCACAAAAGATTCTCACGTCCCGGTCGGGTTCCTCAGTTTTCAGTCATTTGTTCGGGTTTTCTCAACTAATCGTCCCACCATCTCCCTCATGACATGCTTCTCTCCGGAGTAGTCCATGTCGAACCAGTAGTTGACTGCTATACAGGGCGCCACCACCGACTCGCCCCCATCGCCCTCGTCGCTCTCCCAGACGCCACATTCCTGGCTGACGTGGTGGAACCAGCCCGCTGGCAGGTAGAGGATTTCGCCTTCCGAGACGGTCACGGTGAGAGGTCGGGCGTGCTTGTAGTACGGGTATCTCGTCGATGGGGCTGGAGGCGGCGCGAGAGGGTCGATGGGGATCCAGGGGATGCAGTTCGTCGTGTCTTGGTCGTCGTCCAGGACCCAGTCCTTCTCGGCATCGTCGTCCATGACAATCCTAAACTGCCCCTTCTTCCTTCCCTGCTGCCCTTGTCCGTCTCCTCCATCTCCATTCCCATCCCTCATACCGCGATCTCTCTTTCTACACCGAGGAGGCTGATCATCATCATCATCACCCTCCGACACCACCTCCCACCGCCCCGTCCGCACCCTCTGCGCGTGCAAACACACCTCCTCGACGGGGCTGTACAGCACGAACCGCTTCCGGCCCTTGACCACCAGGTACAGGTTCTCATACGGGTCGCGGTGCGTACTAGTCACGGACCGCGCGTTGCCGATCCAGATGTTGACGGCTTCGGGGGCGCCGAGCACGTTGGCACTGAAGGGCGGAGGGCCGCGTGGGAGGGCGTGCAGTAGTGACGAGAGTGGGGGGGTGTGGAGGTTCGAGTTCTGGGATTGCAGGTAGTAGACGGGGTCGTTTGTGGTTGTGGGTAATATTGTTTGAGATGATGGCTGCGGAGGGCAGAGCTTGTCGATCAGAGACGCAAGAGTCATCTGTGTGGTGGCGGGTTGCAGGAACACTTGCTCTGTTTCTGTTTCTGTTTCCTCACCTTCTTCCTCGTGTCCGCTCATGCCCTTCTGCGCCAGGTCTCTCATTTCCCTCTCAACACCACGATCACCGACCTTGCCGTTTCCTTGATCCTCTCCACTGCCGCCCTCCACAGCATCTGGCCTCTTCCCCCTCCGTGGGAGGGAGTAAAGCGCGTCCGCCCTCCCGTCCGGGGTCACCGCGACCTCGACCTCGTCCGGGACCAGCTCGCATAGGCTCTTCTTCGTCCACCGAAAGCACGGCGCCGAGAGGACGGAGCGCTGCTCTTGCCGGAGGCGTCGACGTTTGACACTGTCCGACGCAGGAGGCTTCGGGTCTTCCTCGCTCCCGTTGCAGCTTTCACCCTTGGCCTCCACTTCGCCACTTCCATTGCGGACGTCGTCATCATCATCGAGGACGCTGCGGTCGAGACGGTACACGCACGGGCGTCCCCGGGCGATCTGTTGGCTGAATTCGAGGTATGTTGGGTATGCGTACGTCGGCACGGTCGTTTCTGGGTTGAACGAGTGATAGTCTTCGATGAGAGTGAGGAGGGTCGTGAGGGCGAAATCCTTCGCGGTGTTCTTGGTTTTTGCACCAGGCATATTTTCAAAATTCGATATGGACCCGACTTCTCAATAGGAGCACATCCATAGGCCTTTTCCTGGCGAGTTGCCCTCGTCTTCCCAAAGCTTATCCACCTCCTTCGGTGCTCACGGACAGCAGATAGAGAATGCCAGACCGTCGAGCGTCCGCCAACCCTCAACCTCTAGTATTATCTTCCAATTGCAACACCGATGTTGAAACCATGTCAAATAGAGGTTGAGGAAATTTGTTTCCTGCCGAAGTCTCCCCGAGGCAGGGCCTTTTCCTGTTCGAGGCGTCAAGTCTGCCCACTCGAAACAAAATCAGCTGAAGTGATGCTGAGCCGGCAGCTATCCGGTTATATTCTCGAGGTCGGGCCCCTCTGAGACTCTCGTGCCCCACGTCTTGCACGATGGACATATTATTTATATCCAGCTCGCGGGGCGATTGATCGACAATGTGGAGAAGCACCCATACTTGAGGCCATCAGAGAGAGCAGGCTGAGAACATACATCAGCGTCGAATTGGGTATACGCCTGATAACGAAGGCCTGAAATGTCATCTTTACGACCTTCGACCTCGACCAGCTCATAATGCCTGCCTGACTGATGACAACTAATCGCCCTTATTGCATCCGCAACACCCTCTCAACTCGAGACCTCCAACGGGCTGACGGACAAACAAGGGGATATACCGGAGAGAGTCGGTACAGGAAAACCTATAAATCCCTCCTACAACTCAACCAAGAACGCCTGGTAATGAAATGCACCCAGGCCAGTCATGGGCTCTCTACAAGTGGATTCTTCTTCCACCTATCCCGTTGCCATCATTGGAGGTGGCCCAACTGGTTTATCGGCCTCAATCCTGCTCTCGCTGAGCAACATCCCCCATGTCCTGTTTGAACGATATCCTTCGACATCTATCCACCCAAAAGCATGCGGTTACAATCACCGTACCGTGGAGATCTGGCGCCGCATGGGCATCGAAGAGGAGCTGATCAAGCAACGCGCGCCAGCGTTCAGTTACAGCAGGACGGCCTGGTATACCAGCTTTGGGCCTAATGGGAGAGAAATCGTCGGCCGTGACTCTTGGGGTGGAGGGGCGTATGAGGAAGAATATGCCTCCGTCTCGCCTTGCCAGTATTCCACGATGCCACAGATCAGACTGGAACCGATATTGCAGAAGCGGGCATTGGACCTGAATCCGAACGGGATATTTTATAGCACTGAGGCCACAAAAGTTGAAGAAGCCGATGGCCACGTCGTCGTCACTTATCTTCGGAAAGGCGAGCAGCCGGCGAGCGTCAAAGCACAATACTGCATTGGTGCCGACGGTGGTCGCAGGCTTACAGATGACTTGGGCATCGGCTGGGAAGGCGAACGAGACATCATCGATATGGTATCTGCTCACATCCGGGCTCCCATATCCCTTGTACACCCTGACATCCGCAACTTCCTGACCTGGTTCGTTAACCCGAAGCTCGGAGGCACAATTGGTTCTGGCTACCTCTACCACTTGGGTCCCTATCCCATGTCCCCTGACACAGAAGAATGGCTGTTTGCGTGTGGACTCAATCCGGCAGATCCAAAACGCTTCGATGAATCGGCGATGTTGAAGCGGATGCACGATACATTGCAAATTCCAGACCTGAAAGCCGAACTGTTGTCCATCAACCACTGGTATGTCAACGCCCTCTGTGCAACGCGATATCGCAGCAAGAAATCCACGGGCCGAATATTCCTGGTTGGGGATGCCGGGCACCGGATTCCCCCTTGGGGAGCTCTGGGCCTCAACACGGGCATTCAAGACGTGGATAATTTAATATGGAAATTGACTCTCGCTATCAATGGGATTCCGCCATGCCTCGGGAGCGAGAACGATTGCAATGCACTTCTCGACACATACGACACCGAGCGGCGTCCGATTGGTCAACGCGTGCGAGACTGCGCGTTGCATAACCTACGTGCTTTTGGACTGGTCATGGACAAAGCGATCGGCGTCTCTGCCGAGAGTAGCCCGGCCGAAAACGTGGCGAACATGGATTCATTCTTTGATATGTCACCCGCGAACACTGATGGTGCCGCACGCCGCGAGGCTGTCCAGCGTGCACAAAAGATCCTCGACAATGAGTTCCACGGCCTTGGGGCGGAGATTGGCTGGTTCTATCCCGACCTCGATGTCAACGGTGAAGGCAGGCTGACGAATCACGACGGACAACTCAAGGAGAACGGCGAGTTGGATTTGTTGTATTATCACCCATCCACGATTCCCGGCCATCATTTGCCCCACGCCTGGCTGGAGCAGGGAGACAAGAGATTGTCGACCAGAGATCTGGTCAGGTATGATGGATTTGTCCTAATCACCTCACGGCCGGAGTTATGGGAGAAGGCCGTGGCAGAGGACGGCAGCGGGGTCGTGACCCTGATCGGGATCTCAGATACACCTGACCAGGCGGTCAATGAATCTTCCTGGAAGGATGTAGATGGAAAGTGGGCTTCTCAGCGTGGGATCGGTGGCTCTGGTGCAGTTTTGGTTCGTCCTGATGGGATAGTTGTCTGGCGTGCGCAGGAATTCGATCAAGGCCGCCACAGTCAGATGGGATGGCTGAGAGATGTACTGCGGAAAGCTCTAGTGCTTGGTTAGGCAGTGGTATATGAAGGAGCCGGCTAGAGGTGGACACCAAGATATTTAGCGAGGACTTTAGAAAAGTGCTGAGGTTATGCGCTAGCGTGATCGAACCACCCAGCAGTAACTATAGTATGATAGCAAGTGAAGATACTAGAAAGGTTTCGTGGTGTCCGTCCGCGTAAGCATCTTCCAGGCCTTCAGCTACCCTACGCGCAGCGGCGGAAGAAGGGTGAAAATCTAACAACGACACCAGGACATTGTAAATCTATGAGGCTAACTCTCGGTTTAGCGATATAATAATGGCCCCAATATGATGTTTCCTAATCGGCTCCTCTAGCCTAAGTAGTCGTTCCATCACAGTTATGAGGAATGCTAACGTCTTTCCACTTCCTATAACTGCCTCTACCACGACATCCTTATGGCCCATGAAGAGAGCGAGTTGAGAATGCTCCTGATTGTTATTTCCAATTTCTCGCATATCTTCAATCAGGGACTCTGCCGCTTTCTGGACTTCCTTCGTCCCAGAGTATTTAGACAATTGCCTAGAAGCTTGGCCGCATCATTCATGTCTTCATCAATGGCACCACTGCCTCTTGTTCCAGGTCGCGGTCTTCGGCCGACAGTGCGGTCGACAGTGCGGTCGTGGATGACAATGTTTTTCTGTCAGATCCACAGGATCTCTGCAGGAAGCACCAGGCAGCAGCCAGTAGCAGCGCTAACGTGAAGCTCCTGACTCCAAGAACAATATTCAAAAGCGGTAAACTCGTCATCTCAACTCGGCTCAGCCCGGGAACGGTATATACGAGAATAATACCTATGACCGGCTCAAGGGAGCCATCCATCATCTCCATTGGCTCGTGTAAACGTATATCATAATACGTGATAACTAACTATTTATCCTGCGGGCCCGTCTCTTCAGACACCTTGCAAGATTCAATCCTGGAGACATGTTTCGTCGCCTTCGCCTTGTCGAGATACTGGTATTGATTCACCAACACCCATTGCTCCCTAGAACTTGCCGAGTGCGGATCTATTCTCCAGAATTCGGCAATACGGACCCGCGCCGTGGTATCTTTTTGGTTGTTTAATGTTCGGTCGTTCAGGAGTCGTTCCATCTGTCGGCTAGGCTGCGGTCCGCGGCGGAATACAGTCTTTGCTGCAACCGAGATCTACCAGATAACTAGTTCATGATTCGCCCTAGTAAACATGACAGATTCTCATTCAAATCTTCATTGCAGATATTGCGTTCGACTGTGACCGCCTTTAGGGTTCCCGGACTACCTGACAAACATGGCGATTCCTATGAGCGGTACTGCCTTAGTGACTGGTGCAGGTAACGTTCGGTCTCCCTCATTGCTTGACTGACGCTCATCGCGTCTGAATGGGACTATAGCTTCGGGTATCGGTCGTGAAGTGGTATTGACACTTGCAAGAGGTGGCATTGGTGCACTGGCCCTCGCAGATGTGAATGGATCTGGACTCTCTATCACGGAGCAATTAGCTCTGCAAATCGCACCGAAAGCTCAAGTGCGAAAGTTCATGGTCGACATTGGGAACAAAGAACAGGTAGACGATATGCTTACCTGGATTGTGAGTAATTTTGGGCGGCTGAACTATGGTATGTGAGAGTACTCTCGAGGCGTTGAAGCATTCCCGTGAACCACTACTTACTGCGGAAAAAGCCATCAATGCTGCTTCGGTATGTGTTTCACGCGGCGAAGCAATCGTTTTCTCTAAGTCGAGTCATCCTGCAGCTCCCTCCCCCTGTTCCTTACTCAATTGCAGACCTTCCGATTGAAGAGTATGATCGAATCTGCAATGTCAACGCCCGTGGCACGCTGCTGTGCATGCAGGCCGAGATAAAGGCAATGCTTCAGCAAGAACCAGTTCAAACCCTGCCATATAAGACTGCACACCCCCCCGAACGTGGAACTATAGTTAATTTGGCATCGCTCGCGGGCGTTGGCGGGATCAGCCAGATGGGTCCGTACGTCGCTTCAAAGCACGCCGTGGTTGGAATCACTCGAACTGCGGCCTTGGAATATGCGAGAAAGGGTATTCGAGTAAACGCCATATGTCCGGCTCAGATCTCGACGCCGATGATCACGGCAACGCTGCAGGGACGAGGCATTGATACGAACGAGAAAGAATCGGCCGCTTATCACGCAAATGTGGCAGCCAAGATTCCCGCCGGCCGATATGGATATGCAGAGGAGGTAGCGGATGTCTGTGTGTTTCTAGCTAGCGGTCATTCCACCTTCATCAACGGAGTCACACTGAACGTGGATGGAGGTGTAATGGCTGCGACAAGTTTCTATCAGCCAGTGGACGATAACTAAGGAGAGCTCGATATGGAGGACCCGGAGCATGTATTGTGTCTGGGTGAAAGTGCGTGCTTCTAAGCGCAGAGGACGACGATTGGGAAGGAATATTGATATAATACAGCTACATAGACTTTCCTCAAGAATCCTCAAGCGCTTTCAAATGTTACCAACCACCGTCGATGTTGAATATCTGATGGGCTTAACGTCAATAGGTGGGTTTTCTTGCACACTGCCACACAAAGGGAGGAGACATACGGCACCTGTGCAGTATGAACTGTCGTTGCTCAAGAGAAATGCTATCAACTTAGCCACTTCGGTGGGCTGGGCTGCTCGTCCGAGCGCGTTGGTATTGGCCATAAAGCCGGGCCGAGACGAATCATCTGTGAAGCTATCGAGAAGAGGCGTATCGACAACACCACTGCCTCCTGAGTGAGATGAAGAAGTGAAGCCCGCTGCCCGGACAGGACTCTGGTCATAATAGACTCACGGTGAAATGGCATTGATCCGCACATTATGCTTTCCTGTCTCTTTTGCCACGGACTTTGTGAGGGAGATGACTCCAGCTTTACTGACTGCATATGCAGAGTTGTAAGGCGTGCCCTGCTGGCCGGCGACACTGGCCGTGTTCACAATCGAGCCTCCTGCTGGAGAGAGACACTGCAGCTCAGCACGCATGCAGTTCTTTGTTCCTGTCAAATTAGTCGCTACCACCCTCTCCCACTCTTCATCTGCCAGGTCCTTGAGCCTTCCTTCTTCCGTGCCTAGTTTGCGCCCTTTGCCAACCACTCCCGCCAGATTGACGGCTCCTGTCGACTATTGGTCAGTCAAGGAGGACTCAAATTTTGAGCGAACAGTGAGACGTACCGTTGAGAGGACCAAGAGCATCGACGATGCTCTGAAAAGCCTTATCGACGTCGGCTGAAGATCGCACGTCGCAGGCGCAAGCGAATGCTCTGTTCTCGCCGTAATTCTGATTGATCGCCTCTGCAACAACCTGTGGCGATCGAATATCCAGCAAACCAACGCGAGCCCCAATGTCTGCCAAATACATTGCGGTTGCTCTTCCGATCCCGCTCCCAGCACCGGTGACGGCGATGACTTGATTCTCGAGACTCATCGCGGCCGGGAAATTTGTCTTGAGAAAGCTCCGTTGACGCAGAAACGGTTCGTCGTTATGTGAATGACGACCGGCACCTTTTTATCGCCTGTCCATGTTTGTTCAGCGTAGAAGATCTGCTTTTCATAGTGGACTTCTACACTGGAGTGGGGTGTAAACGGACCGCACGGCCCATCGGTCCGCGTTTGAACGAGATCGTTAAATCGAAATTCCCAGATTTCATCAGCCGGTGGAACAGAAAACACACACTGACACCGATTCCACAACCTTCATTCACATACTGGGATGACAGATCAACCAGCTCAATCTAGAGGGCCTGCACAGCCCACAAGAAGCAGACAAAAGCGACGCTCGCCATATGCTAGTCGAGCATGGTGAGTTCCGTCGAGGCCCGGAGGAGCGCCAGAATTCCGCTGATTGCTATCTTACAGCGACCAGTGCCGACGCCGAAAGGTCAAGGTATGCTAGCAAATACTGCATAGAGGAACAGCCTACTCATTATTCGGTGCATCTAGTGTTGTGGAAATTTTCCTTGCTGGCGATGTGCTGCCCAAAACGAAGAATGCAACTACAGCTCCGGCCACAGCAACGACTGGGAGGCGGCAAACAGCCCAGCAAAGGGCGGAGCAGGTCGTGAGCGAACAAGACAGCGAATCAAACACAATAAGGCAGATTCAACGGCGCTACAACAACTTCAGGCGCTGGAAACAGAGTATCTGCAGTTGAAAAACACGAGGCTCTCCTGCACGATCAGCAATGTGGACAGGATCGTTGCTCCAGAGGAAGATACGCAGAGCAAACCGGCACATCAATCAACCCCTGAGCATCATCAATACCAAGATGACAATCAACAACCCTTCCCCGAGGGTTCTGGAGGCGCTCATTCATGCAACGTCCCAGGACCCCCAGCGACAGGGCAAAGTTCTCAGTGGGATAAGCCAGATGTGGGGACAATGGACACGTTCACTTTGAACAGCAATGGGAAGAAGGATATGACAATGCCCTCCAAACTGACTGCTCTGCACGAGGACCTGGCGCTCCAATCCGTGATGTCGACTACACCCACCATGGAATCGAGTATTGGCGATGTCTCGAAGGGCGTCGGGTCGACTGACGCCACATTCGTACTGCTACTGCCGGCCCCACGGGAATTGCTCAGCCTCCTGCAAATATATTTCGTCGAACACAACCTTTTCTTTCCCTGTGTGGACCGGAAAAGCTTTGAAGCTAAGCTATTGAAAATGCTAATTGACAAGGGCTATGGGAGAGGCTCCCAAACCATCAGTCTTTCGGTCATGGAGGCGAGCTTTGGCGCTCTGCTCTGCGTGATCCTTGCCCTGGCCATATTCATAAATCCTCAAGAGCCTGTGTACAAAAGCAATATGCCCTTACCAGCTCACACCACGTGCTCCTCCTGGCACCATTTGGCGCTATCCCTGTCGGCACTTTCTCAAACGACCAAAATACAGGGACTTGACATCCTCCGTTTCCATCTATTGGAGGCGATGTACCTGGTCAACAGCGAGAGGTTAGCCGAATCGTCTAGAACACTTGTAACAGCGGTCGACATGGCTATTCGCATGGGTCTCAACAGGCAGAAGACTTGGGAGGCATCTAACAACCCAGACCACAACATGGAGCGAAAAACACTATGGTGGTCACTATACTACATGGACCGGAAAATAGCGGAGAAATGCAGCCGACCTTATTTCATCCGTGATGCGGAAGTCGATGTTCAAGAGTTTTCTTTCACTGAATCTTCAGATGACAAGCAGGGAGATCCAGCTATGAACTTGACGAACCGCTCGTGGGAACTCGCTTACCTCCAGACTCTCGTCGATTGGGCACGCCTTTGGGGAAAGATATGGGATACATTTTTCGCCGCTCGGGCGCAGAGTCTGGGCAACGTCGACGAGCTGGAAGCGATGGATGCTCGGGTTGAAGGCGTGCGTCGTCGATTGTCTCCAGAGGTCCGGTGGGATCCGTCGTTGCTAGAATGCGCGGACCAATCTGCCGAACATGAACTCCAAATTCGGGCCCGATTGCTCGTTCTGATTGTAAGATCCCCTCTTCCATACAGCTATCCTCTTGTCCTAACCTGAACAGCGATTTAATCTCTTACGGTTGAACTTGCGCCATAATCCTGTGACAAAGCCGTGGCACGACCAATACGCCCTCTCCTTCTGTGGCTCATTGGCCATCGAAACAGTCAATACACTTGTGTCGTACCTTGACAGGTTCCCTAACATCGGCCAACTGGGATTCTTCATCACCGTAGCCCTGGTGGAATGCATTTGTCAACTCATCCCCTCTATCATCATGGGTGTCTCTCAGCCCGACCGGGACGCTGCAATCGGTGCAGTAAAGGATGCTCAAAAGGTCATTCACCTTGTCTCGATCCGTCACGCTGCAGCCATGCGGGCGGAAATGGCCCTGAGTCAAGTTTTTTCCATGATCAACGTATGGCTGAAGAACGATGATGCCCTCGATGGCCAAGATTTCCAACTTGAGCCGGGGTCAGGGACGATAACCCCCAAGCTGTTCGATTTCCTTTGCGACGGAGATATTTGGAACTTTGAGCCCGAGCAGTTTGCTGGTATCGGAGTGGATTCGTCCACTGGAGACTTTTCGTCGACCTTGAAAACATTCCTACAGGACTCTTCTGCGGAGCAGCTTGATTCAAGGACAACTGTGGGGTCTTGATACGGTATATTTCCCTATAGCAGGTCGGAGCATGATGAAGAGTCTTGTGTGCGCTAGCTTCTATCCTATACTCTTACTCACATGTTGAAATAGTCGGCATTCTTCATATGCGTATCAGATAAACCTTCCGCCTGTGCATTCTATGCAAGTACCTGTAATATAAGAAGACAAAGGACTGACCAGAAAAAGCATAACGCAGGCCGCCTCGTCTGCAGTGCCGGGTCTCCCTAGAGGTATATCGGAAGTGTCGCGCCATTTTTTTGCGTTCAGAGGGATCCCAAGTCGAATCTTCTGTCCATCCACGACGAGACTACTCGACTCAGAAGGAGGTTGCGTGATCCGAGTGTCGACCCAGCCAAATGCAACTGCGTTACAACGAACGTTATACCTTTGGCAAAAAATCAGTTCAGAGCCTAACCTGGAGTCAGCAGCAGCGCTCCTTACCGTCCCCATTCCAATGCCACCGTTTTGGTCAATCCTACAATTCCTGCCTTGGCCGTGGCGTAGTTGATTTGCCCCATCGACCCATGAAGGCCCGATGTCGAAGAAACATTGACGATGGATTTGGCCATGTCGAGATTGGCGGGATCCATCCAATGCGTCGAAAGTGCTCGGATCATTCGGAATGGGGTGTAGTTGTGTACTTTCATGATGATGTCGAACTTGTCGTCTGTCATCTTGTGGATTGCACTGTCTTGACAGAAGCCTATTGCGGAACGCAGTGTAAGTTAGCCTGTATATCAGGTTTCACATCTATGTGACCAAAATTGGTGGAAGTACCCGCGTTGTTAATCAAACAATTGATTTTGCCCCATTTCTTCAGGATTGCCGCCACGAAGCTCCCTGGAAACAAAGCATCGAGGACATTGCCTGGATAGCACTCGGCTTGCCCACCCTTTGCTAGGATCTCGTCCACAACCGCTTGTGCTTTATCCTTGTCCAGATCGTTGACTCCGATTTTGGCACCCTTAGAGGCGAGGAGAAGGGCAGCGGACCGGCCGATACCTAGATTAATAGTCAACCGACGTCCATATCTGGACAGTCCCTAATTCCAGAGCCTCAAAATACTCAAGGTCAGAGCAAAGAGGGGCCTACCCTGTCCAGCGCCTGTGACGAGGACCACCTGGTCATCAATCCGACTGGGGTCCGCCAGATGACGCTCAATCTGGCTCAGCCGCTCGCTAGCCATGGGTACAAGAAGATCAAGTTGATTGCTATGTATTCAGCAATAGAAGAGAAAGAACACCTTCGAGCGTGGATGACTGACTCGCCGTGGCGAAGAAGAAGAATCTCAGACCTTGACACTGCAACTAGGCGATTAGTGCCATGGTGATTGAATGGGCCCTTCGGCTCTGACATCGGCGGCCCGTAGGAAGTCACCAAAGGTCCGGTTTCAGTGATCCCTCGCAACGGTCGATGCCGAAGCAATGGCCGCGGGCGTCGGAAACGGAATCCTTTTCTCAGTCGGGTTCCGGGACACAACCCAAAGAAGATGCCTATAGAAGTGTGTACTCCTTTTTTTTGGGGCAGCACATAACCACCTGCACACGTTCCCCTTGCTACACGCAGCTGGGAGACACTAAGGCGAAAAGATGGCGGTTTCATCCATTTCGAGATCCCCAATTCCCTTCGCTGATCCTTCATGGCACTCCCGGCCAGACCATCCATACTTTCGAGACAGTCATCGCCGACTGCAGCCGTTTATTCGTGAATATATTGACAGTGAAGTCGCACCGAACGTGGAAGAGTGGGAGAAACAAGGTTTTATTCCTGAAAAGGTTCGAGCATACCTTTCCAGAGTCGGCGAAGCAAGCCTGACATGACCCACGCAGGCATTCAAGCGGCACGCTTCTCTTGGTTTCCTGGCCGCGTCGGTGTTTCCCATTCCGAAGGAACTTGCTAGAGGCATAACATTGCCCGCCGGCATTGGACTAGATGAGTGGGATGAGTTCCACGATGCCATCGTGGGTTTATTTAATCCGCTTCTGAATTAGCTTGAGCTTACTGACTGGTGCTTAGCTCGTCGATGAAATGGCGAGGTGTGGCTGTCTCGGGACTGTCTGGGGCATCAACGGCGGCGCCACAGTAGGTGGTCCTCCTCTTGATCGCTACGGAACCGAAGAGCAGAAAGAAAGGTTCTTGGCTCCTCTACTGCGAGGACACCAGCGTCATGCACTTTGTGTGACAGAGCCCCAGGGTACGGCGGGTCAAATTTAACTGGACTTTCTCATGAGCTCAGAGGTAGCTGACTTCGTGCAGCTGGCTCCGATGTTGGTGGAATCACCACAACAGCGACCAAATCAAGAGACGGTAAATCCTGGGTGCTCAACGGAGAGAAGAAATGGGTCACGCAAGGCCTGTGGGCAACTCATGGTCTAGTAGCTGCGAGATCTGGATCTGCTGGCCCGAAGGGTCTATCGGTATTCATTGTTCCTTTGAGTCTCCCAGGTATCTCCCGGAGGAAGCTCTTGAATTCTGGTGTTGGTTCGAGCGGTAAGTGGATGAACACCCTTTAGCTAATGCATTCATCAACTGTGTGCTGAAAACTCTTCTCCATAGGCTCGGCATATGTCGAATTCGACGACGTTCTCGTACCCGCGGAGAGTTTGCTGGGCAAGGAAGGGCAAGGTTTTGAAATAATCATGTCAAGTGAGTATTCCCCGTGTACCAGTTCGCTCTGCTGCTGATATCTAACTAGCTTTCACCCACGAACGCTTATGGGTGGGAATAACGGCTATTCGACTGGGCCGTGTCGCCTACGAAGATGCCTACAGCCATGCACTTAGGCGCGAGACATTTGGCCGTCCCCTGTTTGAAAACCAGGTAATTCGCCAAAAACTTGCACGGATAGCAAATATGCTGGAATCAACGCAAGCATTTGCCGAGGAACTAGTTTTCCGATCAGCGCGCATGACTCCCCTCGATTTCAGCCCATTAGCAGCAATGCTCAAAGTGCAGGCGGCGCACAACCTGGAGAAGATCTCTAGAGAGTGCCAACAAATATTCGGGGGACTGGGGTATTCACGAGGAGGGCAAGGGGGACGGGGTAGAGCAAGTCAGCCGTGACGTGAGGGTTCTGGTTGTCAGTGGTGGCAGTGAAGAGATTCTGCTGGACATGATTGTCAAACAAAGCAGAAAACTCGCCAGGCTGTAGCGAAATAAGTGAACTGATCAGCACATTTTCCTGTATAATTCGAGTTCCAGTTCACGCATTCATGGGAACCCCTTCCGCACCTCGTCGACTGTACCCGGACCTGAAAATGACTTCTTCTCGTGCGACAGCCTGGTGCCCAGAGACCCGGCATCCGTACGACAAAACTCGCAGCCACCGGGAGTGACGCGGACCGTCCAACTACTTCGCATCCAGCCGATCCGCAGTCCGACATACTTGCCTATGGGACTTTGCCTGCTATGAGATGTACAAAAGCCTGGCACACCGAGACTCCTCACCTGTCCTGGCCCTAGAGTAAAGTAATCACAGAAAAAATGGCTCAAGACCCACTCTCTTTGCCTTGGAGTCCCGAAAGTACGACATTCCCTCTGCGGAAAGACCTGCCTAGCTATTCTGGCCACCCAGCCGAAGCTGCATGGGTATGGGGAAAGGATGACTTTGCTGGTCGCTTGAATCTTCTGACGCCAGCAAGGGTCAAGGCTGCAGCATCAGAGATCAAAACAGGAGAACTCGCACGCGTCGACTTGCCCCTGAATCTGCCTCGTGAGCCCGCATTCGCCCGAGCGAGCTTTGTCCACACCATCAAGCAATGGCAGCCAGGTGTCGCCTACGATGATGAAATAACATTCAACACTCAGTCGAGCACACAGTGGGATGGCTTCAGGCATTTTGCCCACAAAGCCTCTGGAACATTCTACAATAACACCAAGGACGAGGACATTATCCAGGGGCCGAACGCCACGGATCGATGCTCAATCCACTACTGGTCTGAGCATGGATTCAGCGGAAGAGGAGTTCTACTGGACTATCGTGCCTATACCGATGCTCAAGGGATGCCAAGGCACGATAATACCGCTGCCCATGCAATATCCTATGATGATTTAGTTGCATGTGGCAAGTACCAGGGCTTGGATATTCGGCCGGAGGCACAGGGAGGGGACATCAAGATTGGTGACATTCTCTTCATTCGCTTTGGCTGGACACAAGACTATCATGAGAGAAGTGCACCTGAAAACAAAGCTCTGAGCGCGAGGGCTCCGAGCCAAAGGGCTTCGGCTGGGGTCAAACAAGAGCCTGCGATTCTCGATTGGCTTCATGACTGTTATTTTGCGGCTGTTGCAGCAGACGCACCTGGCTTCGAGAGATGGCCGAGCCCAGAGAGATATTTGCTGCACGAGTATATCATCGCTCTTTGGGGAATGCCATTGGGGGAACTCTTGGACCTGGAAAAAGTGAGTCGGCTGGCACAGAAGCATCGGCGCTGGACGTTCTTCTTTTCCTGCTCGCCCCTGAATACACCTGGTGGGGTTGCCAGTCCGGTCAACGGAACTGCTATTTTTTGAGCTCGGCCAATACACACTTGCGGGTCGATGCAGAAGGTGGCCTCTCCAAGCAATAGCAGAGGTAGATGATCCTGTACGAGGCATACAGAATCGAGTTCCGATTGGAAATTATCGGTGGTGTCGGTTAATTAGTGAAAGGGGCCCGAGCCTTGTGAATAGTGGGTCTCGGCAACCCGAACGCGCCGAATGGCACCCGCTCTTGGGCGGAATGCCAGAGGTTCCGAGGTCACGGGCCGAAATCATCGATCATCCGTCATTTCCCAGTGGGACCCCTGCGCTCTGAGTTCCCGCATCAGTGTCCTAGAAAAGTATCAGGGGTGATCTATGCATTTCTGGAAGTAATCAGAACAATACGACTTCACTCCTTGGATACGGATAGAACAACATGTCAGACTTTGAAGATCGGCTTAGGTCTCTCTGTGAACCTGAATCGCCAGCTCGAGCATTCCCTGGGCTTGTCCTTCTCGCCAACGATAAGACCGGGAACAGAGTATATGAGCAGGCTGTTGGGAAAACATCGGTAGACGCATCCAAGGCCAGGCCCCTCACCCCGGATTCGGTCTATTGGGTCGCCAGCTGCACCAAACTGGTCGCTGCCATTTGCGCTCTCCAAGTTGTGGAGCAAGGGCTCATTTCACTGGACGATGATGTTGGTAAGGTGTGCCCTGAACTGGCACACCCTGATATCCTGCTCGGTTTCGGCGAGGATGATAAACCCATACTTCAAAAATCTACTCGGCCAATTCTTTTCAAGCAACTGTTAACTCACACATCTGGCTTGGCCAACCACTTCATCCACCCGGACATTGCGAAGTGGTGGGAGATCAGTGGGAAGAATGTGGAGGACTACCATGGAAATATTCTTGAGCTGTACAACACGCCTCTCGTCGCCGAGCCTGGCACTCAATGGAACTACTCTCCCGGGCTTGACTGGGCGGGTGTGGTTGTTGCGCGCTTAACAAAAGAGACAGGCCTTGGTGCATACGCAGAAAAGCATATCTGGAAGCCCCTGGGCATCAAAAACGCCGCTTTCCGCCAGCGGGATTTGCGCCTGAGTCCAAACGAACTAGAAGCGAGATGGGTGTGGATGACACGACGGGATCAGGGAAAACTCGTCCCTGGTGAGCCCTTATACCCGTTGAACCCTCAAGACGAGTGGGGGGGGGGAGCGTTGTATATTACTCCTGCGGAATACATGAAAGTCCTGACCTCTTTGCTGTGTAACGACGGAAGACTGCTTCGACCATCTACAGTCGACAAACATGTGTTCGAGCCAGAATTGGTCGAGAGAAAAGTTGGTACGGACGCCCACAAGAGCCTGCTGAAGGTGCTTGCGACGCATCGAGCGAGGCGAATGTTCTCAGGTGGCCTCCCAGCGCCTGATCCAGACCATCCTAACGGCAATGGTGGTACTATCGAGTATCAATATAGCCTCTTAGGCCTGCTCACCAGAAAGCAAGGGGAGAAGCAATGGACCTTGTCGTGGAGCGGCTTGCCGAACTTATTCTGGTGGGTGAACCCTGGTGAAGAGATATGTGGTATGTACGCAAGTCAACTACTTCCACCAGGCGACCCGCAAAGTCTCGACTTGGCGTCTTTGTGGAGAACAACGATGGAAGAGAGGTTTGGAAAAGTTTCTATTGCTAGAACTTGAGCAGCTTCATGAGAGCTCACCAACTATAGACATAGTTGGATCCACCATACGGTTGTAAGCAAGACTTCAGGAAAATAATATCTCATATCTATTGTCATCTAACCGCAAGAACATCGTAGCTGGGACATGACAGAGGAGCGCACGTAGGATTTCTCAGGCATCGCGATGCTCATTTTCAGTTTTCAATGGGCTTCCGAGACTTGGTGCCGTCCTCGATACCATGCACAAGACAAGAGCCACCCTCACGAGTCATGGGCGTTGTTGGGAGTTCGGAATCTACGCACCGACCGGGTCGGCCTGGTGCGTCGATTGCCTGTTCCGCAGGCCTGACAAGCCTAACCAGAGAAGAAGATCTGCCGAAGTCAACTACCTGCTGGGTAGCTCTACACGGGCATCGGATAAAGCACGTTCGTGATGCCTGCCTACCACATCTTCTCCCTGTCAAAAAGGTTGCAGGGAGGGTTGGTGCATAGCAACGACAGACACCACGAGACACCCGCTTTGACCCGCAAAATGTCAGTTTACCTTTCGCCGTGCTGGGTCGAGATCCCAAGAAAAATCACCATCTCACAGCTCATGCAACGAAACATCGAGAACACACCGCCTGAGAAGATCATCTTTGAGGAAGCTCTCTCCGGGAAAACGGTCACGTATGGATCTTTTCACAACCAGACACGCACAACCGCTCAACTGCTCCGCGATAAGGTCGGACTCCGACCAGGGCAGATCGTGTCCATTCTCTCGTCAAGCCGGATTGATTGCATTTTAACAGCTCATGCGGTCTGGTGGGCAGGAGGAATTGTCAGTCTGATCAACAACGCGTTGAGTGTCGACGAAATTCGCCACGCCGTCGATATGGTCGAGCCAACTTTCGTCGTCATCGATGAAACCCTCTTTCAAAAGTTACCAGAAGTTTTGAGAATTTCCACACAACACCAGAAACGGCCATTGCAAGTTTACACCATTGGACCAGGAAGCATGGAGTGGCCCGAGCTACCAATGGGTTCCAGATCCGTGAGCATCATTGGCGAGCCTTCCCATCAGGAGGGTCCTTGGAGCCTTGACGGAAAGAGAAGTGACGAAGTTTGTGCCGCAGTTCTCCTTTCAAGTGGCACCACGGGCTCTCCGAAGGCTGTAATGCTCTCTCATTACAATATTGTCGCCATTTGTAATCAACTACGCTCGGACAATCCAGACAACTGGAGAGGTGGTCAGAGGGAGATCTTTTTCCCTCCACTGTCCCATGTTTACGCACTGTACTCGGTATTTACGACGTGCGTCTGGGTTGGAGCCTTCGTCTGCCTCATGCCACGCTTCGACTTGCGCCGATACTGTCAGCTAATGCAAGACCGTAAGGCCACATTGGCAAGACTGGTTCCTCCTGTCGCAAAGATGTTGGCAGAGAACGCGGTAGTGAAGCAATACCAATACCCATTTTTGGAGTACTTCAGCTGCTCCGCCGCGCCATTGCATGTGAGTCGAATTCTTCAAGTTCGGCCAAGAAGAATGAGATTTCTGGTGGGCTGACTGTGCTTTCTTTGATCTCAGCCCGACCTCGCCACAAAGCTGAAGCAGGCGTTCCCGGGGGTGGCTCTGTGTCAAAGTATTTACCACTGATGGAGATGGCTTTGAGCAAATTCATACTAATCTAGCTGCAGCATACGGGTGTACAGAGCTATCTGGGCCCAACGTTCAGAGCGGCGTACGAGATGTAAAGCTCCCACCGACTGCTGCTGGAACACCGATCGCGAATACGGAGATACGATTTCTGGATGAGGATGGTAAGGACGTCGGCGCCAGAGGTCCAGGAGAGATTACATGTCGCGGGCCAAATGTCATGATGTAACCACAACCCCATTGCCGTCTGGAAGGACCCCAATCCTGCTAACCTGAGCGACTTAGGGGATACAAGCAGGCTGGAGGTCATATTGTGAAAGACTTTTTCGAAGACGGATGGTATAGGACCGGTGATCTGGGATACATCGACGATGATGGTTTCCTGTTTGTCTATGATCGAATCAAGGATGTTATTAAGTACAAAGGGTATGTTAGCTGCGACACTCCGAGTAATCTTTCAAAAAGCCTCTGACAATACTTCCAGGTTTCAAGTATCTCCCTCGGAGCTAGAGAGAATTCTCCTGCAGTACCCTCTTGTCGACGAGGCAGTGGTTATTGGTATCTGGCATGATGATGAGGCTACAGAAGTGCCTCGGGCTTTTGTCACATTGAAAAAGAAGCTTGACTCGGACCCCGGAGAAGAAGATAAGCTTACAAGGTCCGTCGCCGAATTCGTGGACTCTAAGGTGAGTTCATACAAGAGGTTACGTGGGGGCGTCGTCGTTCTTCACGAACTGCCAAAGAACACTACTGGCAAAGTGCTGAGACGAGAGCTCAAGGCACGGAGTAGGTCGGGCCTGAGGATTGGAACGCCGAGACTCTAGAGACAATACTTCATAGACAATGTTGCTGCATGAGCACAGCAACGAAAAAGAGATAGAGAGGAAACTGACCAAATCCTGAACCCTTATCAAATACGATACCATGTTCCCTGTTAAGGTTGCTAACGTCTATCAACAGACAATACGGAGCACTAACTAATCATCGCGATCTACAGTCTCAAAAAGTACTTAGATATGCTCCTCTTTTGTCAGCTCGGCTTCTGATTCCAACAGCGCAGTGAAACCGTCCACTCTACACGTGTCCATTGGCCCCGTTTGCGCCGTTCTCTCCACCCGTCGCCTTCGGTGGCTGCAATATAGCGTGGTTGCCCACCGGGTTAAGATACCATCTGTTATCAGATACTAGTCAGTCTCACAGGCTGGCAAAGGAAAGCAGCAAATACTCACGTCAGATCCGACTTCTCTCTATTGTCAGTCTCTTCCAGGGTGAAACCATTGTTAAGCCAAGCGAAAGGCAGGTCGGGGCACAGGCTGGTCCAGTCCATATCCTCGTACCGTTTTCTTCTCAACAAAGAGAAATAATGGAGCCGCGAACCACCATGCAAGGACACCAGGCTCCCGTCCTTCGTACCGTTTTTATAAGTGCTCACACAGGGAGAATTCCATGAGGTTTTCTCCAGCCAAGCCAAACAGTGGTTCTTCCAAGCCGTTGCGAGGCCAGGCTTGAGGCAGAAGGAACTATAGTTCTCTTCTTGGAGCTTCGTAATTAAATCCACCATGTAGCTGGTGATGATTTCCACCGACCCAACCAAGCTTCCGTGGCCAATCGGACTTGCGGGACCCAGGTACACGAAATAGTTGGGCATGTCCTCCGCAAGAACGGACAGGTAGCTTTCCGGAGTCTTATCCCATTTGTCCTGAAGATTCACACCGTTGCGGCCGATAATCGGGTATCGGGGAGAGAAGCTGATGTCAAAGCCCGTGGCGCAAATGATGGTGTCCACAGCGACCTCTTCACCGGAAGATGCAGAGCGGATGCCAGTGGGAGTGAAGCTGTCAATCTCGCCCCAGATCAGTTCGCATTTGTCAGAGCAAAGAGCTTCTAGATATCCATTTCCCGGAGTAGGACGACGGCATCTGTTGGAAAGCTAGGTCAGCATACCATTCTCCATAGGAACAAGCCAGCGTTGTTAAGACCCACCCTACAGCAAAGTCGGGCAAGAGAAGTTTTGCTAGCTCCGGCTTCTGCGACAGCTTGTCCATCATTGCCTTGATCGAAAAGGTTCGAGCATTCTTTTGGTCCTCTGTGTCCTTGATGTAGAGAGGGAAGCGGGCATTCAGCTCCATCTCAACCTCTTTCCGATATGCAAGGTACTCTTCAGGGTTGTTTGCCCAATGCTGCTTTTGGTCTTCGCTGAAAATCACATTGGATCCGCCAGGTCCAGCGAATTTGGAAGCAAAGCCAGCGGTGATCCAGGTTGGACTGCGAATGAAATGGTAAACCTTCTTGACCTTGTCGATGATGGCCGGTAGAATCTGGATGCCACTGCTGCCATTCCCGATCAACGCCACGGTTTGACCAGTCAGATCCGCCTGCGGGTCCCACGCCGCTGAATGGTACATTTGACCTTTGAAATCCAGTCTCCCAGGGATGGAGGGCCACCTCCAGTCATTGACATAACCACATGCATTTACAAAGACCTCGCATTCTTCGACAAACGTCTGCCCAGTCTCGATGTCAGCCTCCGTTCGGCTGGACACCACAAGATCTCTCCCGTCAGTACGGCGAACAGTAACTTCCCATCTTTGTCTATCCGGCTGCCACGTTGCTCCAACAATCTTATGCGAGGTCTTGATGTATTGCCGTAAGTCGAACTGGTCTGCAACTCTTTCCAGATAGTTACGAATCTCCGGAGAGCCGGCATAATATGAGCTGAAATAAGGATTGGGGCTCCATGGGAACTGATAGTTGTGAATGGGAATATCACAGGCGCATCTATTGGGGTATCATAACAGTTAATAGTAGCCTGCTCCGTGACCGGAACACTTTTCACGCACCCCGGATATCTGTTTTCAAACCAAGTGCCTCCGACAGATGAATTCTTTTCGTAGACCGTCAAGTCCACCGCTTGGATTGACCCAGACTGCACTGCGTGGGCGAAAGACAGGCCGCTGATGCCTGCTCCTGCGACGATCACTTTCAATTTGCGTGGCTTGCCCATAGGAACTTGCGACAAAGCATAAGCCAGATCATGGTAGTGGTAGGCTTTTGTTGGCCCTGTAGGATCTGCGCCTCTCTCCTTGACCACTTCTTGCCAGTGTTTCGTCGCCTCGGCTGCCATTGTACTGGTCGGCTTGTTCGCAGTGCTCAGGTGGTTCCAGACAGTATAAGAAAGGAAATGTCCCCAAAGAAGTTTTCTCGATTCTGTGCGGCTTCTGGTCAACGTAGAGATAAGCACTGTGTGCGCAACCGTTGCTCCGCTTTAATCAACTTGTACTCTCATATATTTATCTAGCAGGGCTGAAGCACAGCTTATGAAGCCCCGCCAGAATAGATGACTGCTCCACGTAAGTTCACCGATCCGAAGATCATGCTACCGTGGGTTCGAACGGGCAATGACAAAGGCAAAGGTCTGACCCTACGGCCCTCGAAATCATAGATTCAGACGGCCCGGTTAGACGATGATACGTCTAATTACTAGTGATTAAACACGCATCTCGGAAGCGGGCCGGACTTTCCGGGAATGGAATTTCTGAGGTGGGACCCTCATTGACAAGACACGGCCTGAGTTATCGCGGATGAACTGACCTTCAATTGTATGGGCCAGATCATCATGAGTTGATCGGGATCCGGATCTGCAATGGCATTTAAGAGCGGCATTCAAACGACAAGAAGCGTTTCGATGTTTCCCCCCAATCCACAAGGCACAGCTGTACACAGCGTTGTTAGTGCAAACTCGAGTTTCGATAGATGAACGATAGCCAGATATGGCTAAAAGTGTGTAGATTGTCCTGAACCTGGATTGCGTGTTAAATGCTGGCTAGCTAGACAAGGAGGGGAGTTCGCCATGGTCCCCAACGCTTTCCATACCCTGTGCCATCAAGAATGATGCCAGAGGTGAGGGGTCAAAACAAACCAATTCAGATCTATACTGTTCAGTCACCCCGCTGGTCGGCAAACCGTCCATATCTGAACCTAGCGCCGGGAGCGTAGCATTTTCGAGCGGCAACATAAATTCTGGAGAGTATTCATCCAAGCAGGCACTGTGGGCGTCTTCATATCTCTTAAGAATTGAGTGAGACGGAAGATCCTTGGCTGACGGCTCAACAACGAGTCCCTGGTCCATCAATCTCAAGTGGCCGTCGGCAAAGCGCTTGTCGAGGTCGCGAAAGTCGACTGAAGAGCTTGCAGTCTCATTGTGATGTAGACTATCATTGTGAAGAGCCCGGAGACGTTGAAGCTGGGACGATTGTCAGTTAACACTGTAAGGCCCAGTAAGGATTCGTGACAAACCATAGAGCCTGCTATAGGCCATTTGCTTGCAAGCTCATTTAGCGAAGTCATGCTGAACTCGGCAAGCTCTGAATAGTCGTCCACAACGTCCGACAGTCCACAAGCAAGATGCAGACAGTGTGTAACACCAGCCACAAAAGTACAATACGCTATCATCACATTCGATCCACGATATCCCGCATGAAAGGAATCCCGCAGGAAGACCGTCAGGGCGACCGCATGGTCGCGCGACGTTTGATTTGTTCGTCGCAGGAAGCTCTCCGGAACCCGTTCTTTCAGAGAATGAGCTCTGCGTAATAAGAGGAGCGGATGACAGAGAAGGATATTGCACAAGTGGAAGATGGCGCGTGACAAGATTAGCTGTCCTGCCATCCGCGGATCCACCATTCCGTCGACGTTTGAGTATCTCAAGGACATGGCCGCAAACGATTCGTCGAGACCAAAAACCGCCTCGAATACCATTAGGCTGGAGCTGATGGCAGAGAATGCAGAGGATGAATCCCAGGGTGGTAGATTCGAGCCGCAGCTATATTCGTGCAGGCTATATTTGGAACACTGACCCAGAGTCGATGCTATTAAGACCAAGACTGCAAAGGGGCTGAGATGAGACGCCTGGGGGGTTGAAATTAGTTTGAGTTGGTCTAAGGCATATTCCTTTTCCAGCAAATCCCCATGGAGAAGATCGTAGCCATCCATAGGGAGACGAACTTTACAATCGTCATCTAAGATGGCTGATGGCCGTGTTCGTTTGCAAGTAATGAACTTGTCCAAGACGTAGGCCGACCAAAATATGCGCCTTCGTTCCTCCTGCTCATCGAGGTCAAGTCGGGAATCTGGCTCAAGCATCAATCGGAGCTCTTGGCTAATTCGAACAGCAAGCGCAAGCTTGACGGATGCACGATAATTCTGGCCGTCTAGTCCCATCAGTTTCATATCAGCAAGGTACCCTTTGGACACGTCCAAAAGATGTGCGCTCTTACCGCCAATATCAATCAGACAATGAAGGAGCACGGCTTGTACCACATTGGGATTTTCTTCAACATCTTGGTTCGTCCAGCGATTCACCATCTGAGTCCAAGAATGTCGGCTGTAGCTGCGGATGAGTTCATGATGTTTGTCTTGGGGGAACGAATCGTCCGAAAATCTCAAGGCCGATGCTATGATGACCAAGAGCAGGTATTGCGGTATCAAACCATGTTCCCACCGTTGACGAAACCGTTGCTCATCGAACAATGACAGTGGCTGATTGTGGCAGTAAATGAAGTACTGGTTAATTGCTGTCTGTACAACAGGCATAGGTATACGAATCTCGGTTGAACTGTAGACACGTCAGGGAATCTCGGCACAGAAATTGCCAGCAAAGGCCAATTGGATGTACCTATCACCGCTCAGAGGGCTTATAACTTCCAGAGACGGAAGCAGAGGCCATGCATCCGAGCTTGATTGTAGCGAAGCAGGAGTGGTGACTTGATGCTGTCGCCCTCTATTCGACCTGTAGGTTAGGCGAGTGCGGCATTTCTAGTAGGAGCTTGCCACTCACGTCGTCTTTTGTTGGAGGCCCTGAGTGACTTGGGCCAGTTTGGCTTCGAGTGACAGAAGTCTTTTAGAAAGATGACTCTAACCAGGCGTGGATCAGGTCCGCTTCTTTTCCATGCCCTCATTCACCGGGTACTCACGCTCGATGTTTGGCCGGTAGGTTTGGTCAACTCGCTGGAATACGTGCATTCTTCTGAGAGCCGCAGGCAGAACGCACAGGTTGGGCGCTGACCCGAGCAGCGAACTTTGCGACGTCTGCACAGGAGTTGAGTTTGGGGCATTAGCAGCTTGAATACTATGGTCACGCACCGGCAGTTCAGACAAGCTTGTCTAACCCGCCTAATCGGACGGTAGTCGACAGCGTTAGAGGCAGGGCTGGTCATCATCCTGGATGACCGCGAGCCTCGGTAGGCCTTGAGCAGGGGACGTGTGTCAACGAGACAGATAGGACAGCTGTCTCGCTACACAGACAAGTATCAAGAATCAGACAACCAACGTTGCCAGGCAGAGAAGGATGTTGATATTTGGTTAGCGAAAATACCTTGGGGAGCATGGCGGTGATTACGCCCCACCCAGTTAAGTCTGCCGCCTATGTCAGGATTTCTGTCCGAGCTCCAGGCAAACATCTCGGGGCTTCGGGGGCCATATGTTGTCCTTTATCCGGGGCCGTCGATTCGCCAGTCTGGAGCCGAGGGCACTGGCTCTGAACCCCGCGAGCACTCGTTAGTTAGATGAGGGGAAAGGGGGTGTGGTGGTCGTCATGTGGAGGATTAGTGCTAATTCGCTTGCTGGCGACCCTCTGGCAGGTTGCTCTAAGAGGTGAGATACTTAGGCCCTTTCCAACATAAGCTGGCTGTTATCTCTTTGGGGGACAAATGTCTCGCGCTCTCCTTGGTAAATTCTCGTTTTATTGCTATCTATCGCAGTGGCGCCACGATTTCAAAAGCCTAAGCTACGTTAGAGCACTAAAGCATAAAGCAGTATCTTGGATTGGACTCATTTTCATCAAGTGCTCAGAGCCGCTGGATTGCTGGAGTACAAGTTCGGATAAGAGCAACAGAGATGGAAGCCGAGATGTCTACCGTGCGAGGCTAGTCGAATGCGAAGTAAATGCCGACCTCAGACATGAGCTAGCTACTATAGCCCAGGGTAGGGTTGTCACCATATGTACCCCGGAGCTGTCGTGGCCTCTGACCCCACGCTTCAGAAGCAGGAACAGCAGCAAACTAAGCTGCAGTGCTAACCGCATCTACATTGTGGTTCCGCAACGCATCGCGGTCCGCATTCCGAAGCCAACGTCTTATTGGTAGAGCAATGTGGTGTTAGAGCTGAAGTAATGATGAAGAGGTCGGGATGCATGGCATGGAGTCCACGGATGCTCTTCTCCATGCAAATCATTTACGGACGTTGCCGTGCACAGGTGCCTCTTTCCTCTTGAGTCTCATTTGGTCGTTTGTTATCCCCCTCGAGATGGCTGAGCTCAAGAGACACGCGGCTTGCTCGGAGTGTAGGGAGAGAAAGATGCGTTGCGTGCCAACCGGCGAGCAGAATGAAATCTGCGAAAGGTATCTCCTGCTGGAACACGGTCGTCATTGTCTCTGGTTGCCTCGCCGGCCACTAACAACGTTTATCGAAACAGGTGCGCAAGGATGGGAAAGCAATGTCGCATTCCAACACCTCGACCTAAGAAACGAAAGCTCCGGAGTATGGTACTGTGTCTGGATGACTCCAAATGGACATTGACCTAACCTTGACCTACATACAGTGCGAGGAAGAATTGATTTGTTGGAGAACAATTACGCCGAAATCATCTCGCTACTGAAGCAGTCGCGCAATGATCCCTCCGCATCACCAACCGTCCATGAAGCCCTTGTCGCGGTGCCGCCCGTGGAACAGGAGGCGCTCCTCCGTACCTACAGACGCATGTCGAAGAACAACTTCCCCTATGTTCTAATCCCAGAAACTTGGTCATCAACCTCATTGATCACGGAGCGCCCCATGCTAGCTCAGGCAATATTTATCGTGACCTCCTGGGCTTCTCCTGTGCGGCAAGCGTCATTGAAAAGACAGTTTGTGAAAGAGCTAAGCGATAGATATTTTTTGAAGTCAGAGAGATCATTGGATCTGTTTCAGGCGGCGATTGTTTATTTCGCTTGGTACGGTGCCCACGTGGAGAACGAGACTCGAACATCCTGCTTATACATCTGCTGCCAGGTGCCATTGGCATACTTGTCCAGTAGTATTTCAGTCTTACAGGCTCGGCGCGCTGGTTGTGTCGATGGCCGTCGAGCTTGGTGTTACTCAGGGACCTGCGAATATTACACAGCACGAAATGATTCTAGCTTCGCCTGGCGAGCCGGTCCCCGCAGAACCATCATCCGCAAGTCAGAATTGCCATACCAAATCCTGGAGCTTGGACTTAAAGAGAGCTTACATTGGAGCCTTTGTCATTTCAATCTTGTGAGCAAGAAATACATCGTCGTGAGGGAAACCAACGAGATCTTCTAACCCTGCAAAGCTGCCTATTATGGTATAGAAAGCCCTCAAAGTTGATAAACAAACAATACCTGAATGAATGTGCTGCGAGCTTGGTGGCAGACCCTCAGTATCCTTCGGACGAAACGCTCCTGCATGTGGTGCGTTCTCTTCAGATTTCAGAGCTGACAAGCGACCTTTTCGACCACGGCTCGAAGGAGAAGTTATGCGGTTTCAACGACGAACAAGTGCAAATCTTTGTTAATACACTATCTAGACAGCTGGAAGAGTCGAAAGCAGCGCTGCCTCCGAGCCTGCGGAGCCTTGGTCGGTGCCCTCTTCCTTTTACGGTCTTGAAGGAAAGAAACTGACTGCTAATCCCACGATAGGTTACATCGTTCGCCAGTTCTACATTGGCCGTGCTTATATTCACGAAGTCGGCCTCTACGGCAATATCCAGGGACAGCCTCTCTCACTCACCCGCATGTCCATTATCTGCGAATGCCTCTCTTCCGCTTCCAGATATCTTAGCCACGTGCTCGATTGCTCACTCGAGCATATGGCAGACTGGACATGTTCAGATTGGCGATCGATCAACTTCATTGTCATGCTCTCTACGAAGTGTTCCATCATTCTCAACTCTAATCCGAGCTGGGCCACGAGTGACACATCCCAGCGGGCTGCATGGTTAGACAAGTGTATCGATACGCTGTGTTCTCGTCTGAATGAATTCCAGAGCCTGGCGCCTGCAGGTCTCAATTACTACGAAGGGAATCACTTTGAAAAGCTTATATCAAACTGGAAGGACGTCAAGGCATACCACCAAAGGTGGATTCGGGGAATTTCGCTTTCAGAAGCGGCACCCACAGACTCAGAATACAGCGACATATTTAGCATCTCCAGCTTTTGGGGTTTCCAGGGGCAGGGTATTGACGTATAGCGGCGGGAGCAGCACGCACGATATTGTATAATCTAGGGATCTGTCATCTTCGTCGGTCACGGAGTCTTCGCGGTCTGTTGCGAGGTATGGTACGTAGGCAGGGCTTCCGAGATCACTTCCCTGTTCGTGCTCCGTGAATATAATGTCCAAAAGGCCACAGCCCTTCGCTCACAAGCGGAGGGGCGTGCATCTCGAGGGCCGACAGAATAGCACTGCTCCACTGCTACTCTCTCGCTTGTCATGAAGGGCGAAATCAACTACAAATTTTCGATTTTTGTTGCTTCTCATCCTCGATGCGTATGGTGAGTCTCATCAGAAGTGTCCGTGTTTCTTAGATTTCCAATCATGCCCTGGCCAGATCGGACCGACGGTCCGTGAATCTCTGGTTTTCCGAAAAAGCAAACCGGGCGATTCTGGAGTCGAAGGCCGCGTTCCTCCAGACCAAAGCAATGTCTGCTCCTTCAGTTATTCGGTTCTCACACACTCTTGTAGATGACCTGAGGATCTCGACCTATCTTGAACTCCTTCGGCTCCAGAATGGTGACCGGACGCCGAACCGCGTGTCTCCCACTTGTCGCGCAAACAAAGCATATATAAGTACATGAGCAAGAATCATTCCATTTCTCAAGACTGTTGTTAACTCGCACCACACTGATTATCATTCCACCCTCTACTGTCATTGCGATGGAAAGCTACGATGCGCTTATCGTTGGCGCAGGCTTTGGCGGAATTTATCAGCTTTATAGCCTACAGAAATTGGGCTTGAACGTGAGGTTGATCGATCGTTGCGTCGATGTCGGAGGTGTTTGGCAGTGGAATCGATATCCTGGTGCGATGAGCGACACGCACTCGACTGTATATCGTTATTCCTGGGACAAAGAGGATCTCATGACCTACCCGTTCACAGACAACTATCTGTACAGGGATGAGATTGTTGCGTATCTTTCACACATCGTGGAGCGCCACAATTTGAGAAAACACATGGAGTTCAACCTGGAAGTCACTTCCGCTGAGTTCCATGAAGACGACGGCACATGGACTGTTCATGCTGGTGACAAGTTCATCAAGGCGCGCTACCTCATCACTGCCCTCGGCCATTTCACTCAAGTCAATTGGCCAAGTATTCTCGGACAAGACGCCTATAAAGGGGAGCTCTATCATACCGCCAGATTTCCCGAGCACTACGACTTTAAGGGTAAACGCGTTGGAGTTATCGGCAATGGATCCACTGGTGTGCAGGTCATCGTCGATATCGCCAAAGACGTGGGTTCCTTGATCTCGTTCCAGAGGACCCCTCAGTACTCGGTCCCAGCAGGAAGACGACCTGTAACAGCCGAGGACCGGGCAAAGATTAATCGGGAATGGGATGAGATCTGGAAGCAAGTCCAGAATACCACGACTGCGTGCGAATTTGTCGAGCCGAAGATCTCTGCCATGGATGTTTCTGCAGAGGAACGGGACAGAATATATCAGGAAGCATGGGATTACGGTAACAATCTGCAATTTCTCCGTGGAACTTTCAATGACCTGGTTAGCAACAAAGCATCCAACATCACTGCGTGCGAGTTTATCAGGAAGAAGATTGCGGAGACTGTTAAAGATCCCGTCAAAAGGGAGAAATTGACTCCGACAGATATCTGGAATCGCAGGCCAATTTGTGATGCGGGCTATTTCGAACAGTTCAACCGTGACAATGTTGATGTTGTGATGGTCAAGGACAATCCGATTGTGAAGCTCACTCAGACTGGACTGGAGCTAGCAGATGGGACCCGATATGACCTAGATGTGATCATTTTTGCGACTGGGTTCGACGCCATCGACGGCAGTTACCGGCAAATCAAATTCATAGGACGAAATGGGATCACCCTGGACCAACACTGGAAGGATGGACCGACCAGTTACTTTGGAGTGGGGATATCTGAATTCCCTAACCTGTTCATGATAAGCGGCCCACAGTCAATCATTTCGAATTTACCGCCGGCTCTCGAATCTTACGTGGAGTTTATCACGGATCTTCTCGCTACCGCGGAGGAGCGCCGCAAGCAAGGCGGCAACCTCCAGAAGATCATAGTGGAGACAGAACCAGAAGCAGAGCGCGACTGGAACGAACTATGCATCAGATTGGGCAAGGGAAATCTTTATATGACCGCGAAATCGTCATTCATTTCGGGGACAAATGTCGAGGGTAAGAAAGGCTCTACCATTTTCTTCATGGGCGGGTACAAGTCCTTGAGGGAACGGCTTAACAATTGTATTAAAGAAGGCTACAAGGGCTTCCGCATAGCTGAATATTAGAGAAGCTTGAGGCATGACTCTTGATGCTGGCATCCCGTGCCCTTTCCCACCTCGTCAGGGGAGCGTTCTCTAAAGCGATTTGGCTACTTAGGGAAGCTGTGAAGCACAGGAGGAAGACGGAGAATGCCCCGTAAATTTCCGCCAGCCATTATAAGTTTCGAGGAGAGTACGCACGATTTAGAAGAAGCAGACCGGGGGAGATTGAGATTATTCCTCCTATATAAAGTGAGAAAGCGGTGATATTCTATGAGTAGACAGGCCTAACGGATCCTTGATTCTGGGCTTTCGGTTCTTTGTAGCAGTGATAGGGACATGGAGCAATAACCTTATGAGCGGCTTCGAGGTGCATGCTAGCATGTCTTGGCCACCTGATCCTGTTCCAAGACTTTTGGACTGACCTTCTCGACGTGAACACTTTCGGTGTCAACAACCTTGTTAGTCTCTAGCTGATCATCAAGAGTTCTGACGACAAGCTCATCCCCAAAAAGTGCGCCAATTTCCTCCAGTGTTTTCCCCTTTGTTTCCTTGCCTAGGACTGCCAGCGCCGCGACAACTACCAGGGGGACAAGAAGAAAGACCAAGTAGTACCTCCAGCCAACAGTCTCGAACGCATACAGCGCGCCACTGAGGACGTTAGTAGACTGACAATATCTGAATAAAGCTGCTTTTCAACTTACGTGGTGAATGGGATGGCAAACAGATACAACCAGGAAAGACCCCAAGAACACCCCTGGCTCGGATATGACTGGGGAACAGCTCGTTACAATATGTGTATATCTGCCCCTCAACAAAGGTGCCATAAGACAGAAAGTAGAGGAAAAAGAGTGCAATGGCCGCTGAGTTGGCGGCTTTGTTGGAGCTTCCGGCATATTTCGCAATGATACCTGTGAGGCAGGCAAGAACTGTGACCTGAAGCAAAGTGCCAATAATAATGGATTTCAGTCTTCCGAGACGATCGACAATGAGAGCGCCGATGCAGACGGCCACGAGGCCGGAGGAGAGATAGGCGGATGTGATAGACAGCTGCGCGGCTGGTCCAAATCCAAGGTTCTTGGTGATTGCGGTGCTGTAGTTAATGACCACGAGAATGCCGGCGGACTTGGAGTTGGTCAGTGGTCGCCACTTATGTACCGACTGGAGTGATGCTTCCATACCTGACTGGCCATAAATGTCAAAGCAGCTGTCCATACTCTGCTTCTATAGCGCTTGGAAGTCAAAAACTGAAGCCAAGTGACCTTATTCTGGCGTTCAAAAGCAATTTGAGTCTTCATCTGCTCGAATTCGGCATTGGCGAAAGAATCCAGCTGCGGGTCTCGGCCGCTTCCGTGGAGGCTGCGAATGATCCGTGACGCTTCATCAAGGCGATCAACCATAATAAGCCATCTTGGAGACTCCGGGATCCAAGGAAGAAGAGTAAGTGTCAGGATGGACGGGACGGTTGTCAAAGCGTAGGGAATTCGCCATTGGGCACCAGAGGCAGGGAGAAAGTAGAAAGCTACCCCGAACCACGAGGCAACAGAATAGCCAAATGACAATCCCACGCCAAACATACCGACCATTAGTCCTCGGTGACGAGGTGCTGACAGTTCCGACATGAGCAGAGGTGTTGTGGCAACAAACATCGAGGCTCCAAACCCTGCGAAGAACCTGTTCGGACGCCAGCTTAGCGAAGTAAAGAGCAAAGCAAGAATATCTCTCGTACCTGAAAACCAGAAACATTGCAATATGCACACTTCCCGCGATCAAGCCCCCAGACACAATTGACGTAGCTGACGCAACGACGAGCGACATCCGACGGCCATATTTGTACGACATGTAGTCCTGGCAGTGAAGACCAAATAGACAACCGGCATAAAAGACCCCGAGAGTGGCTCCAATGAGGCTAGTATCTGTCCCCGTGAGGTTGAGGAAGCCGAAGTATTCGAGAAAAGATGGCTGGCCCAGCGTCGTGCTGATAATACCATTGGACATCGCTCCCGCGATGGCACCGAAACAGAGTGTCGCAAAGATCAGCCAGTTTCTAGGGGAGATCTTCTCTCTGGGGGCCATGTTGTTGGCATCGTGGGAAAGCATTCTCCCGTCAAAGCAAGTAAACTGATGAGAAGATTGATACACAAACGTAACACCAGGCAGAAGTACAGCAAATATGATCTTTTCAAACCTGCCGTTTGTTGGCCTCTCTCCTGCCTCATGCTCAACGTGGAGATATGAGCCTTAAGATACCCCGTGGGGAGGCATGCAACCAGCTCCATCTCTGAGTCTGATGCACACTGTATACGCACGGACTTCATCCAGTGACTGTTCCGAGCATGCGGCGGCGAGTGGACGGTCCGCTCACTGCGGGCCCACGACAGGAACACTTCCGTTTCCGAAAGCATCAAGAGAGAGAGAGATCCGGGAGTGCGGCTGTGAAAGGGATGTTCTGCTCGCACCTGAGATAATTTTCTCTTTGAGGAGACGTTCTACACACCTGTCACCGTCCTAGACGTTTTCGAGACCCGAGTTGCCGACTTTCAACGACGGCACATTGCCAAACAGGTATAAAGTACAAAGCCAGTTTCGAGTGCATTGTTCACACACTATTCCACAAAAAAAGCCACTGAACCTTGTCACTGGATAGACAAGAATAGGCATCCAATCATGGTATTGGCACAAGAGCTTCTTCACTTCGCCTTCCCGTCGGATGTTTTAGCGTCTCAAGCCTTGCTGGTTCTCTTCGCAACGGGGTTTTGTCTGGTAGTCAGCTCCCCCCCTCATGCTTGACGTCTCATTAATTTCTTTTCCTGACCAGATTGTTGTGCCCTTTCTCGGTAAGGGTATTTACAACGTATACTTCCATCCACTACGACATATTCCAGGTCCAAAATGGACCGTCTTCAGCGAGATCCCTTACACCAAGACCATCTTGCAGGGCAACGCTGTGTGGGAGATCAACAGACTGCACAAGAAATATGGCCCAGTGGTAAGGGTAGCGCCGAACCAGGTTGCTTTCCTTACCACAGACAGCTGGAAAGCAATCTACGGGTTCAGGCAGGGACTTAAGGACGGATATGAGAAAGACATGCACTTTTTTCCCCCGCCCCTGAGTGGTGAAAGGGGGTTGGTGATGGCTTTGGCAAAGGACCATGGGCGCCAGCGGCGCGTGTTCTCTCACGCTTTTGCTGAAAATTCTCTCCGCCAGCAAGAGCCCATCCTCCGGAAATACTCAGATCTGCTGATGCAGCGACTTCATCAGCAGGTCGATTCCCCAACTAAAGGGGTAGTTGACATCGTCTCATGGTTCAATTTCGCCACGTTTGACGCTATCGCTGACCTGACGTATGGCGAGCCTTACGGCTGTTTGGAGAAGTCAACCTATGATCCGATCGTTGCTCTGACTTTTGCCGCCTTCTATGCCATGGCTTTTAACGATGCTCAGCTCCGCATCCCGTGGCTCAAGCATTTCATGGGTTACTTTGTGCCAAGGGAGGTGATCTCGCAAAGGGAAAGCTTGATGAACTTCAACATTCGAAAAGTGGAACGACGACTGGCCATGGAAACCCAAAGAGACGATTTTATGACTTCCGCGGCCGACGCACTGCAAAAAAATGTTCTGTCTCTAGCCGAGATTCAAAGCTGCGCACAGATATTTATCGTCGCAGGCAGCGAGACAACCGCGACCACGTTGTCTGCAACAGTTTACTTGACCTTGTCCCACCCCGAAGTTTACAAACGCGTGACGGAAGAAGTTCGATCTAGTTTCCCCCACGTCGAGGAGATCAATATCACCACAATAAATTCCCGGTTGCAGTATATGCTCGCCGTGTTGAATGAAACACTTCGCATCTACCCACCTGTGCCAACTGGGTAAGGGAGTCATAACATCCGCCCAACGAAGGAAGCTTGACTGATCCTGTCGTCCATGTCTCAGGTTCGGAAGAATCGTGCCAAAGGGTGGAGACGTCATCTCAGGGTTCTTCATCCCTGAAGGAGTGAGTTTTTCCGTCCTCGTTTCTTCCAGGTATTGCGCTATTGACTGGGCTTTCAGACTTCCGTGTACGTTTCTCAATACGCCTCGAACCATTGCCAAGAATACTTTTACAAGCCAGACGAATTTCTCCCCGAACGTTGGCTTGGAGGAGAACAATTTAAAAATGACAATCATAACGTCTTCCAACCCTTCTCAACCGGTCCACGAAACTGTATAGGGAAAAAGTAAGGGCTGTTGTATGTCGGTTAAGGACTTGTGCTGACAAATCGCTTCCAGCCTTGCGATTTTAGAGATGCGGATGATATTAGCAACGCTGCTCTGGAACTTCGACTTGGAGCTACTGAGAGACGACGGCGGCGCTTGGCTTTCTGAACAGAAGGTTTTCTCGCTGTGGAGCAAAGGCCCGCTTCAAATAAGACTGAAACCCGTGAAAAGAGACTAACGTGCCTTGAATAAGGCGAAGGACATGGACGCAGCGACTCGAGGCTGAATCTCATCAGGATGTCGTCGAGGGTGTAGCTCGGTGACAAAGAGATGGTGAGAATCCCACGGGACGGAGTACTTCGGTCACAGCCAGACTGGAGAGATTTCTGCATTATGATGCACAGCCGGAAAAAACCGAGCTCGAGCTCAGTATCATTGCCATTTGAGGATACCAACGAAACCATCAGGCATGGCCGAGTCACCTTGATAATGGAGATGGGGTCTTTCTAGTAATGGTAGACAGGTTGTGACCTTTTCTCAATCTGCAAAGTCGCACACTGCTCGGTGGAGTATTTTCCCCGTGTCCGGATCTTCGGTCTTTCAATCAAAAGGTCCATGGAAAGTTGGTCTCTTACGAAGTAGTGGAATGAAGGTGCATCCTCCTGGAGCCGATTCGGGAGAAATCCTGGAGGTGGGCAAGGATGTAAAGAACTACAAGCAGGGAGATAATGTCATGGCCCACACGCTGGGGCTCGCATATGGGTCTGCCTATGGCGTGTTCCAACTCTACGTCCGGGCCAAGACTGCCACGGTCCCAAAGATTCCTGATGACTTGGATTTCAGGGCAGCGGTGGTACTGCCGTTGAGCATCTCAACCGCAGCAGCCGGCTTGTATCTCAAGATGACGCTGGGACTGAAATATCCCGATGTCGTGAACAGACTCGCGGACCGAATGTTGTCGTTAGAGATGAGGGATGGATCTGAACATGTGGCTGAGACAACAACCAAGAAAATCGACGTGCTGCTCGTCTGGGGTGTGTCATCATCGGTCGGCTCAACGACCATCCAGCTGGCTGTGGCTTCGGGCTACGACGTGGTCACCACCGCCTCACCACGAAAATACTCCTACTGCAAGGACCTGGGAGCCTGCCTTGTGCTCGACTACCACGCGCCCAACATCGTGCCGAGATTTATCTCGCTGCTTCATGAGAACGGGACACCTGTGGCGGGCGCGTACGACGCTATCGGAACCGACGCAACCGTTCGGCAGTGCGCAGCAGTCCTGCACGCGGTGGGTGGTGGCACGGTCGCGAGCGTGGTTGCCACACCCGACGATCTTCCGGAAGGCGTCAAGGCGGCCAGGATCTCAAGCACCGACGTGGTGAGCCAGGACGACGGTGTGGTCGCGAGGAAAATATGGGGCGAATATGTGCCTGCGGCCTTACCGAACGAGGTGCTAAAAGCGACTCCAAGGGAGATGATCATAGGCCGAAGACTGCGTTCCATCCAAGCCGGCCTTGATAGGCAGAAAGAAGGGGTGAGTGCACGCAAGGTTGTTATACTTCAAAGGGGAAACTCGTGCACACGTGCCCCTCGGTTGCCCGTCCGGTGGACCCGCTAACAAGCACTAAGCTCGGCTGCTATTGGTGGAGATAGACGGGCGCAAAAGACCGAGAGCGGGGAAATGCGGGGCTACGCAGCCTGGACGCCGTCACTATTCGCCCAAAAGGAACTAGCTCGATGTGACACGATCCGGCAAGGCTCTGGTTTGAGGTTGCGCCAGACCAACTTTTCCACAGGATGAATGGTCCCTTCTTTCTGCCTTGTAACAATAGAGATCCGCATTCACAGAGTGTGCAGGCAGCAGAAGTGGGGTGAAATCTCTCAGCTCCACCAGCAGTGTGATCGATAATGCAGTCAGAGACACCGGTCCTTAGATTGCGAACGCAAGGGATGAGGCTGATCATTGATGGTGGACACTTTGACCACACGCCCATGCATGATTCACCTCACCAAACAGGGCTTTTTCTTTGTTTCACCACAGGGCGTGCCATAACTTCTAAGCTTCCCTCTTTTGCTCGGACGAGGACCCTGGAAACCACGCACCAATACGAACCGCCAAGGAACCCTAAAGCAGAAAGGAAGCCCTGTTGCGACTTGCCGCCTGACTGGAATAGGGCAGGCGCCCCTCGTGACTCGTGACGACCGGCCCAGCTCCTTCATGTCAAATGTGGACGTTCCGCCTGGGCTGTTCGCATTACCAGTGTCACAGAATGGAATGAATCTCCTGAGTTTGTTGCAAACTTCATCTCTTTATATCATCTGCGTCTGCAGGATATCTTTCCCCGAACATCATATATACCTTGGGATCCTTTCTTTCAGCTGGTGAGTCCAGCATTTTGCCTATGAGGCTGAACACTTGCCCACCCTGCCATGGTCCTTCCCCATCCTTAGACCATGATAGCCCGCATACTCACTGGCGCCGTACATCCTGACGTGAACCGTCCTCCGCCTGCCAATCTATGACCCAGTTGTGGTTTCCAGATCCGCCAGGGACTATCAACCCAGCGAGACTCTCCAAGCACAATGTAGGAGGAGAACCTGGGAAGGCCACCGACTTCTCGTACGTCCCCACCTTGTCCGATGCTCTGAAAGCCGCACAGTTGGCAAAACAGGATGTGACGGCCTCAGTGGCGCCACTGCCTCCGATACCTGCCCCGGTCTTTCCTCTTCCTCGAATATCCTCGGACCGGGAGAGCGACGATTTTCACGCGAGCGAGAAACAGAGGCACGAGGAGAACCGCCTCGAGTTCGAAGCCCTCTACAACAAACACAGAAGCCCATGTTCCTCCAGATCGAGGCGCACTTCCCATTATGGCTTTTCCCGGACTCAAATACAACAGAATGGGGCAAGCATCAATGTACCCCTAGACTTCAGGGCAGGCTTCGATGCCAAGGTCGTGATAGATCGCCTGAAAATGTCGATTTATGACGCTTACCTGGTCCGAGTCGACATCACGAAAAACGTAAATTACTTCCGAAGGCAACAGGTAGTATTCAACCCCGAAACTGGAACCTACGCCTTATACGTTCGCGAAGGTCGCGTCGGACTCGAGGGCTTCGCCAGAATCGTGATAGAGTCGCCCACCCTCAGCACGGTAACGGCCAGGTTCCGCAAGTTCTTCCAGGACAAGACTTTGAAGACGTGGAACAAACGATACGAATTCGTTCCACGGAGGCCAGGGAGGTTTGCGTTCGTGGAGCTGGACTACACGAAGACCACGGCAAGGCCGAAGGAGCTCCCAAAGTATACGGCGGTCGACGGCAACATCAACGCGGAGGTCAGAGGATTGATGGAGCACATTCTATTTGGTGGCCCGGTGAAGAATCACGTCGCTGGCAGCGAGGACCCAAGCACATCCGCGCCCTGGTTATCATTCACGGCGCCTTACGAGCAGCTCAGTTCGTGGACCGTCTTTTCGGCATTGAAGATTCTCCTTCGTATCCGCATACACATTGAGTCCGGCAACACGATCAACTGGATGACTATCCTCAGACTCTCGTCGCACTACCGCAGCCAGATTCCTTTCTACTCAGCGGACGACCGCCCGGCCGTAATATCGAGCTACCACGCCCTCTTTCTCGAGGCGAAGTTCCTGTATTGTCTCTGGCCTTTCCGGGAGATAGCCAAATTGGCGGAACAAATGCACTGCAAGGGATCACTGCAGCTCCACGCGCACAAGGTCCTGGCCCAGCCGCTGTACCAAGCATACAGCTCGCTGCGACACGGATTCCGGCGGCTGACAGACGCGTCGACGCCCGAGTTCCGGCAGCTCAAGGCCTATCTGGAGAACTCGTGCCACCGCATTCACTGCTTGAGCGTGGAGCTGGAGGAGATCTACCGGCTGTTTGTCAAAGCGCCGCTGCCGAATCCGTACCGTCACTGGATCGAGACCAAGAAGTACAACGACCCGAGTGGCGAGATGCGTCTGCTGCTATGGCATGGTACACCGGTAGACTCACTGCTGGGCATCTTGGATGTGGGCCTGCAGATCCGCCGCCAGGGCGCCAGCTGGACGGGGAGCATGTTTGGGAACGCCATTTACCTGGCCGACGCTTCCAGCAAATCCGCCGGCTTCTGTAGGTTCGAGGCTGGGGACGGTCATGGCATTTTGCTTCTATGCGAAGCCGACGTCGGCGTCCGCCGCATCCGCTCCCAGGCCAGCATCTACAACGGCCACGAGGTCATCCGGCAGTCTCGTGGCCGCCACCGCTGCATCGAGGGCCTCGGCCGTACCGGGCCGGCCAGGTGGAAGCCGATTGAGTGGCAGATGGAGCCTGGTGTGGGGGACGGGAGTCCTTTGATGGTATGTAGGCCTTCACTTTATTTCTTGGTCAGGGGAGGATACTTCGTTTCGCTGCCCGTTCTCTTGTTCCCCTCTTCTCTTCTTTTGTCTCTGTGCAGAAGTAATGTAGGCATGTGTACGGTGTGCTGACTGATTACTTGAACATTTCTTGCAGCCTGAAATCACAGCCCCCTACGGCGACACCCATTCCGGGGGCGCCCTCGGATTCAACGAGTATGCGATGTACGATCCGTCACATGTGATGCTGCGGTATCTACTCAGGGTTAAGATTAAGAGACGACTGTACTAGTAAGTCAGTGTTGCAACTTATACCGGCCTTGATGATCAAGGGGACTGCGGTGGCGGGTGAGGTTGCAATGCACACGGCTCTTGTCGTTCACGTTGGCTGATGTCGGACACTCAGCCATGGGGGAGTGAGTTCCTGTTTACAGCATGGAGTGCACCTGGAGCTTGGAGTTACAGTAGTGGCCCGGAATGTGTGTGAGACAGAAATCTATTGAATGTCGACTCACAGCTACAATGACGATGCTTCACAATCCTTGGGCTATGGCATGAAATATGCAGGACTGAGGACTGGCAGTGAGACGGCCCATCCAGGAGTCGGATTTTCCAGGACAGCGGAGAACAGGCGTACGACCTCTTTCAGGGAGGAGACTGACTTCAAGCATGGATTGGGCACGTGCCGGTTCAACTAGAAACCCTCAGCGCGGTCGGGGACCGTTTGATTGGAGTTGGATGTGCGAACATATTTGACGGCCCAACGGCTATGGCCAGAGGCATCGTGTCATGACTGGCATTGCACGTTGCTATGCTCGAGCGTCTCTTTTGAATAATAAGGCTGCCTACCATACTCCCTATATAGTGACATTTTAAAATTACATCATCAATCATCATCAAAGTGGCGCGGCGAACTCGTACCACATTCTCGAGAAGCTTCGTCGTCCAGATGCCCCTTATCCACCTCTGAGTTTCGGTGTACAACTGTGCGAGCTTTGACCTGTTCTGCCCTGCCCCAGCCCCCCATGCCCTGTTCCCAGCCTAGAGACAACATTGGCTTGGAGGGAGAGGTGGGCGGGACTGAGTAAGTGATGATCCACTGCCACACCATGTGCACATTCGTATTCCACAGTTCGATTTCGATATGGTGTTTACGTGGTCGCCCAAATTCAATGTTGACATGGCTTCTCTTTTCTGCGGGCCGGGTGGGGGCCGAGGGAGTTGACGACGAGGATAGGAAATAGGTCGAGGATGGATGGATGGATGGATGGATGGACGGGTCACTCAATTGCGTTGTGGGTCTGAGACGGACTCTGCTCACCCAGGATGGCCGTCCCGTCTCGTCTCGTCTCGGCCCAGGCAATGTCAGCCGCCGGTGGGGTCTCCCTTGACATCCAATACTTGTGCTGAGATGAGGTTCGAAGGCAGGCAGGCACGGACACGGGTATGCTTCATTCACTCTTCTCCCTTCTCCTTCTCTTTCGAAGAGCGTGTCTGGCCGGGTGGAATCATTGTCCCGGACGGACGAACCGAATATATGTATGGCATTCCGGTTGCGTCGAGCAGAAGTTCGTTTGTCTTGATCCATTTCGCGCTCCATTGCAGTCTGTCGCAATCCCGCCACGTCAATCCGCTACACATTCGCCCCCGGCGCAGGCTGATATCTGTGCTGCTGCTGCTGCTGCGACGAGCACCTCCTGAGACCCCCCAAGGCGTCCATGATATTCCGCTCGCGCACCTCGCGCATGTACTGGCGCTGCTCGTCGGACGGGGTGAAGCAGTCACTAGTGTGATTGGCTTTCGTCAGCAGCCGGTGCACCACGAAACCGACAGTGACCAGTGCTGCGGCGCCGAAGATACAGATGGCGATGATGCCTTGATAGGAGATCATACTTGATTCTTCGACCCGGGGGGCTGGAGATGGAGATGGATGGTGTATGTATACGTATTTTTATGGTTCTCGGTCTCTCTCTTGGGATGCGAGACTCGCGTTTCTTTTGGCGGGAACTTGTCAGATAGAGCTGTGAACAGGGTTGGATTTTGGATGGGCAGTCAGGTGAGATGTTGTACCACGACAGACAGGCAGATGGATGGATAGATTGATTGATTGATTGGTCGAGAGGTAGAGGTTTTAAGTTTCTCCTGTTCCTTCAATACTTCATATACCGTGATGCCGAGTACTCGGCGTGATATAGGACTCCTTCTTTGGTAATGTATTGCGTACCAAGCGACGAAACGCGGTCGCGAGCTGTGAATGGTCGGCTCGGGTTGTGGAGACTCAATGATGGAACGAATGCACGAAAAAAGAGGGGGAAGACGAAAAGGGCCCCATTATTCGAGACACAATCTTTTTTCTCTCTCCCTGGCCAAGGCCTAGGGATACTGGGCATGGGCACATAAGTTCATGAATCACTGAAGCAGCGACCATTTTCCCTCACCCACCCAGGACCATGATTGGTGAGTTCGGGTTGCGGGGAATTCGCAACCACGCCAGCGCGACCAGAGCTTCACAGATGGGTCAGTCAGCCAGTCAACCAACTGGCCACGCCATTTCGATAATGCTGTCTTGGTCCAAAAGGTGCGGACCAAGGAGACTGAATGCTGGTCCCTTGGTTCATGCAGGACACTGAAGTGGAATGTTTCCAATTTGGCACACGTGTTGCCACCCTATTTCAGCCTTGGCTCTCGTTGGAGAGGGTGGAACCAGCAGGAGGGATTCCGGTTGCAACGCAGTCTCCCCTATAATTATGATATGCGACGTCGTATGCCTGGCGGGAAACTCAAATACCGTCGATGGGGTTTCCACGATCCGCATGTCATTGTTAGTTTGAATGAACAATATAATGCGTGCGCCCACATCAAAGCCTCACCATGTGGTTGACGAGTGACCACACGTGACGGTCATCTTGTTCCCACTTCTGGACTTGATGAAACTTCGTGGCTCGTCCGGTTGAATCTGGAAGCTCGACAACCTGGCTCCAGTGCAGTCGATGGTGTTCGGGGGGCAGCTCGATCTGAGCAGGAGGCTCTGGACAGAAGGCCCCGTAAATACTGCCCGATTCCTCGATGCCGACAGACCACTCGGCGATATCGGCCATCGTGTCAGCTCTCCACGTGTTTTCTACCTGAGTTCCATGACGAAGCAGCGAGATCGCCTGTCGGCGGATGACCGGGTGCCGACACTTGACGGCAACGCCGAATAGGGACGGGATGACTCGCGTCTCAAACATGAAGACGGGCCGCTGCTCTTCACTCCTGGGAGTAATGATTCGGCTGGCGTGGTCGACCAGGTTCTGAAACACGGGCAAATAGTCGTCAAAATCCGTTTCGTACATACTCAAACACGTACACACCAAAGTGAAATAATAGGCGTATACCACATGGAGGAGAGAGCATTGCTCGGCTTCGTCCTGGATGGAAACACCATCGGGACAGCTTGTCATATCCTCGAAAGCTGAGCGCCATTTTAGAAAGTCTTTTCGAAGTTGCTGTTGTCTGTGAATCAGATCCGAGGAGGGTGTCCATTCTTTCGGCTTGTTGAACGTGATTGTCCTCGCATCCACAATGAAGTCGTGGGCGGCAAAGAGCAGGGCATAAAGACTATCTCGGGCTGCAGCCAGCGTCTCGAAGTTCGTATCTCCTAAAACCCTTGACCGGCCGAGAGGAAGTCGTTGCGATGCCGACATATTTTGTAATAAGGCCCGGACGGTGCTTTGGACAGAGCTCTCGGATTGTGTCGACCCCCAGGTCCGGTTCTCCGGGTCTGCCATCGTTTCTGTCATGGCGACTGCTCGTTGATAGAGCGCGATTGCCTCAGATGGGTGGTCTTGCAAGCACTCTATGCAAATGTATAGGATGCAAGAGATCACTGCAGTAATGGACCGAGTACCTGGTTGATTCAATTGTGCCCGTAGACGAGCGATCGATTTGCCGTACCACGCCAACGCCCGTCGATGTTCTCTCTTCACCACGGGGGCTGTGCTGATTTCCGCCACTGTAGATCTGCCGGAAGACTGAAAGTGCTGGATCAGAGATGAGAGAGCGATGACGGCATCCCAGATAACAGGGTCGGAATGACTGAGCTGGGGAAGAAGCAGACGCCAGAAGTGTTCATCCACGGTCCGTGAACAATACGGCACGACTCGCCGCACAAAGAACTCGAACGATTGGACCTCTACCTGTGTGAAGCTCGCATACGTTGAGGGAGTTTGAACTTGCACGATGGCGAGGTTCGTGCTTGGCGACCAAAATCCCTTGGCCCGAGGGTCAATATACCCATCGCATTTTCTCCCGGTCGTCTGACACCTTTTACACGCAGGACGCTGCTCGTCACACTTGAGTTTTCTGATCTTGCAGGTGATGCATCCGTCGTGGGATTTTCGGCTCCCTAACTGGCCTTGCCGTGTTCGTGATTTTAACAAAGCCATAGTCAGAATTTGACACGATGTTGACGACCGAGAAGAAGGAAACAGGCCCCATCAGGGCGCCAATATTCCGTTCCCAGAGCAAGGATGTCGACGCAAGTGTTAAGGTTTCTGTGATTGGAAAGCTGAACGACCTGTCAGTCTCGAGGGCGAGGTGGTGGTGGTGGTGGTGGTGGTGGTGGTGTCAAGAAAAGAAGAAGCTTGATTCGGCATAACCAGCAAGACCGGAAGTGGCGAAGAATGTCACGCTGCTTTTGGGGGCGGCACCCCATAATACTCCGTAGTACGCCGATATTAATAGCTAACCCTCTTCTACCCCTGGTGATAGAGCCCCTTTGGACTTGATACCACGTCGGAGACAGGTTACGACCAGTGATGACCCATCTTGATGCGAGATCAGTGCAGACTAATTGAACATTTCAGCACAATGGACCTCGACTGGACATCCCTGCAGCTTAGGCCTCAACCGGATAACCTACGGCCCGTGCGCTTTTAACGGTGGGTTATGGCGCTCCTTTTGCTCTGGTGACTCATACCGACTCATACCGAGAGCTCATATATTGCTTGGCCGATGGTTGGCCATGACCAATCATCCGCCATGTGTCGAACCACTCAAGCAAAGAAAATCATCACTTCGTTGAAAGCAATACCGCTGCGACCACAGTATCACATGGAGAACTCTCCCAAATTCGGCCTTCGACGCCCCTTGGACGGCTTAACATACAAATTCCACCTTGAGGGTGGGGATGCCAAAGAAAGCGTCTATGTGCGATCGGACTCGGCCGTGAAGATGATCTTCGACCGGGATTTTGGATGGTCGATTTGGGATGATCCGGACCTGAGTGCCTCACGGACGCTATTGGGGCGTGTGTGGGATGTCCCGGTTATAAACCAAGGCGACCGGCCGCCGGAGGGAGTCTGGGTCAGTCGCAAGGCCGACAAGTCATACGTCTATATCCTCGAGTACCTAGAATAAAGGACTGGTGACCCGGGAAAGCACTCGAGGTGAGATATAGATATTGAAGACTCCCGTGATATCACGACGATGCTGAAAACGTCCAGTCTTAGACTCATACTTGCGGAGGATCTCGCACCAAAGAGAATGGAAATCCTGGATTAACAGGAGTAGCTTGACCCAACCCAGCTGCTCTACCATCTGAGTTAGAAGCCACCGTGATCAGACTGGAAGTGGCCTGCTATAGAAAGTGTATTCTGGGGAACTACAAGGCTAACACCTTCAACCTTCTCCAACTCTACTCCCAGACTTCTTCTCTCCCCGACTTCCACAGTAGCTTTCAAGCTAACAAGATCTTCTTTGTTTGGTTAAGTCCTCCAGGGACACCGCTGCCCTCGAGGACGCTCACAGTATCCCCAACACCAGTGCCGTCATTGCCGTCATTAGCCGAATGCCGACGCTTTGGGATGAGGGAAACCGGACAAACTCCGCCCTGTTTCATCACTGGCGCCAGCCAGCAATAGATGATTCTGGTGCTCGAATGAAAGAGGCAGTGAGCCTCCTCAACTGACAGGTATCGTTGGACTAGCTGGACTGAACAAAGGGCGCCGCCACTGGTTCAGCCAAGATCAACTCCGATACTCGACTCACGTCTTCCGCGATGGACGACAATCTGGATCGCACGTTGCTCCTCCCACCGCACGTCGGTCCCAATGTCTTCCCCAACAGCCCGTTCTTCAGCAAGCTGCTGCGCCACGCACGGCGAGGTCGCCTCGCCATTCGGGATGTCGACCTCGGGCTCGAGAAGACGTATACCGAAATACTCTCCGACGCCCTTTCCTTCAGAGCAGTGATCGAGCGGGCGCTGAGCAGTGAGCGGCTCAGTGCCCTGCAACGGGGGGACGAGGTGTACATCGGAGTCCTGGCTGCTGGTGGGTATGAGTTCACCGTCGCCGTGCTGGCGGTGCTGGCCATTGGAGCTGCCGTGGTCCCCATCGGTGAGTGGCGCGACTTATGTGTTATTGCCCTTTACTCTGTTTGTCATAAACGGTAGTGGAGATGCTTCAAAACCTCTGTCTAACTGGTAGTCACAAGCTACTTCCGCCCCCACTGTTGAAGTCTCCTACTTCGTCACAAAGTCACGACAAGCACTGCTGCTCGTGAGCGAAGAGGTACTGGAGCACGGCCGAGATGTCCAGAAATACATTCGCGCCGATTCTGGCACTGACATCCAGCTACTCCCCATCCTGTCTAACCTGCCAAAATCTTCCGCCTTCTCTGCCTTTGACATGGTACTCTCCTCGAACCGCCACTTGGACGACAACGCTCCAGGAGTGGTCATCTTTACGTCCGGCACGACAGGCAGACCTAAGGGTGCCGTGATGCGGCGCTCGTATGCGCACGAGACCGCCCTGGCCATCGGGGAGGGGTACGACGTCTCACACACCGACGTGCTCCTGCACGTCCTGCCGGTCCACCACACCACAGGTCTGCAGACATCGTTCTTCGTCTTCCTCGTGGCGGGCGCCTGCATCGAATTCAAACGAGGCTCCTTCGATCCGGACTGGGTGTGGAAGCGCTGGCTGAGAGGCGGTCTGACCGTCTTTTCGGCCGTGCCGACCATCCTCTTGCGCCTGAAGTGGCACTATGAGAAGAACATCGCTGTACTCCCTCCCACAGAGCGACAGCGGTATGATGATGCGGCAAACAGCTTCCGAGACATCATGTGCGGCTCGAGCGCCCTGCAGGACCCAGTGCAGGAGTTCTGGACGACCCTGCGCGGCGGCCGGCCCATCCTTACCCGCTACGGCGCGACCGAGTTCCCCGGCTGCCTCAAAGTGCCGGCCAACGCCCCAGCAGACCTGCCTAAGGGGTGCGTCGGCCTCCCCGTCCCAGGAGTGGAGTTAAAATTGTCGGACGGCGACTCCTATGGGGAACTGCTCGTGCGCTCGCCATACATGTTCTCCAAGTACCTCTTCGACACGGAGGCAACACGGGACGCGCACGACGCCGATGGCTTCTTCAAGACGGGCGACATCCTCCGCCGCGAGGGGGCGTACTACTTCGTCGTGGGCCGCGCGTCCGTCGACATCGTCAAGTCCGGCGGCTACAAGATCTCGACCGTCGACGTCGAGCGCGCATGTCTGCAGCTGCCGTACGTCACCGAGGCGGCCGTGCTGGGCGTCGACGACGAGGAGTTCGGCCAGCGCGTCGCGGCCGTCGTGGCGGTCAAAGAGCCCTCCGACCTTAGGCCATTGACGATCGAGCGCCTTCGCGCCGACCTCCGCGCCGAACTGGCCCCGTACAAGCTACCTACGCTGCTGCGCGTCGTGCAGGGCGAGCTGCCCAAGGGCGGCACGGGGAAGGTGCAGAAGAAAATCCTCGGCCCGCGGATGTTCCCTCCAGACTGGAGGGAGCGGAGGGAGGAGGTGCAGTTCTGGGAGCCGAAGAACAGGAATCAAGGGGCGAAATTGTGAATGAATAGATAAAGATCTATTTAGATACGGGTTAGACACTCAAGACCAGAGAGATGATGGGCGTAAGGCTGCTGCTTGAGGATGAAGAGGAAGAAGGTAAAAGACACTATTCATAGAGGCATTGGTATACAACATCTCTGTCCTAATATAAAGTGCAGTCCAGTTGAGGTGGATTTATACAACTGTGGACCCCCCTGCGTCCCTCAACAGCATTGAACCCCACGCCGCGCAGATTCCATCTTCCCTCCGCCTGCTCCTCGTCGGCATGGTCTTCCCGCCTGGTTCTATCGCTCTACTCCAGATTACGATATCCTCGCCCGGTGCGCGGTAGCAGGGGACGTGCGCGTCCCGGAGGACCCAGGAGAAGTTGGGCTTCCTCTCAGTGCTGATTTCGGCGGCGGCCGCCCCCATGTTGCTACATGCTGAATGTGTCGCCGAAATGGTCCAGAATGCTCGCGTCGTACCATGTGTGGTCCTGGTCGAGACTGATTTCGACTTTGACCTCGGGCCCGTCTGTGCTTCGGGGGCTCGCGCAGCCCCTGACGTGCACGCGTCCGTGGGCCATCGAGGTGTTGTATGGGCCCGTGATTGCGGTCGTAGGTAACGAGTTGCGGTTGATCTGGCGGTTGAGACCGGGATGGAGTCAGGAAGCTGCTCAGGTAGTCAGTTGTCACCTAGATTGATCCCTGCTCATGCCAAAGAGGACAATCTGTTGACACATGGGCAACTCCTTCCTACCTCTGTACAAGTGTGCCACTATTTGGTTTTCTGTTGCTGTGCTTCTCGGCCGAGCCATCTTCGCCTGCGCTCAGAGTCTCCCTAAGACTGGAGATCGCGGTATGGATAAGTCTGTAATTGAACTAGAGGATGTGGCCCGTTGGCGGTTGCACCTAGTAGGAGTCTCAATACAACGACTGCACCGTGAGTTGGCTGGTCTTTTCATGTGGCTGGGATTGTTTAGGTGGTTCAGATGAACGACGTCGGACGCCAGCAGCCATGAAGCATTCACAGACGCACGCCTCTGCATTACACACTTGATTGACGTGGCAGGAATCATGGACTGCTCATGGATTTCGATTAGTCGTATGAAGTATTATATACTTCCTCCAGCACGAAGACACACAGGATTGCCCCCTAGATAATTAACCAAAACGGCTCGCAAGCCCCAAAATCATTGTTGGTCCCCCAGTGACGCCTTTCATAGCCAAGGCGGGTCATGAGCTCGTCCCAAATTAGATTTCGTTCCCTACCAAGTCCCGCATTGCAGATTCGTAATCATCGTTAGATATCTCATTTCTTTCCCTTCTTGCCTTTTCCCTTGGCCGGTTCCTCGGTAGTACCCAGAATTGCATCAAAGGTGATGTTTGGGTTAAATGTTGACTGGGGTCGAGAGTTGCCACGGTACGAAGGAGGCGCATCCATCGCTTCCAAGCCCAGATTGACCGAAATTCGATCTCGACTAACGTTGCGGAAGTCGCCCGAGCCAGAAGGAGATGTCGGCCGCAGGAGTGGTGAGTGTAAAGGACTGGCGTAGGGTGATTGAGCGGGACTCGCATACGGCGAATATGCACTGGTGGGCCGCGGTTGGAGTCCGTGGCCATCCGCGCGCTGAGGTACGTTGGTCATCTCCTCTGGAGGTGATTCTCCCAGCCATCTAGTAGCAGCCGTCCAGCAGTGACTTCGTCGGTAAATTCCTTCAACGCTGTGATCGATGAGGTCTGCTGGCAGACTCACATAGCCGCCGCCACTGGCCACGTTGTACCATGCTCGAGACGTGGACTGGTCTTCCTTCATCCAGGGTCGTCCTCCTCTCGGCGCGACGCACAGGAAATACTCGACACCTTCTGTGTGCTTGAGATCTCTGGCATCCACCACCGTCATTGGAAGAGCCTGCAGGACGGCGTACATGAAGAGCCATTGCCCACATCGTGCATCTACGACCTGATCAAGAGTTTTCCCTCGACCAAGTTGGCGTTCATAATTGAAAAAGTCTTGAATAAAGGTACTCGCGACGATCGATTCGCGGTTGTAGGCCCCAAGCAGTACTTCGTTGATCTCGGTCTCTTTGAGCTTTTTGCTCTGCGCGGCCGATTTGTCGGATATGACCACATGATGGCGGTTGAAACTGTTCGCGAATTGCGGAATCAACGGTGTATCGAATGGTATGGGGGGGATGACTGGTGGTGTTGCTCGGTCATATTCGCCCTCAACCCTTCGCAGCGCATGTTGGATTGTTTCGTTCTGGTCCTCGGTCTCAGCATCATCGGCCATGGGTGCCATGTCGACGGTCCGAGTCGTGATTGCTGAACGATCCACCAGGACATCGTACAAATCTGTAAAGTCTTTATAGAGTTCCTGCAGCAATATCCTGTTCAACCCACTTTCCTCGAAATTGTTCTTTTTGGAGGAAGCCTTGGGAGGCCAAGCTCCGTAACGCCGACGTAGGTAAGCCATGGTAAATCGTCTGAAGTCGAGAAAAGCGGCTTTCCATTCCTTGAACCGAATCAGCTTCGCCTCGATCGATGTCTGCGAATTGGCAACACCAGCAAACATGGAGGGGAAGTCGAAATCCTCGAGTTTGCTCTTGACCGTCAACAGCCTTTGCTCCATGTCAATCTGGGCTCGCTCTAGGCGGTTGATCGTAATTGGCGAGATCTTCTCGTATTTTGGACTTTTGATCGATTTGATATCGGCGAGACGCCCGACGGCGTGGCAAAAGCCTTCGTTGTACAGTGGCCATGATTTCAGATGTTCCCCCAGAACTATGGCCTCGATGGTCTTTTCACGGCTGGACCTCACATCAGCCAGTCGAAGTTCGTCGCAGTATCGTGAAAAGCTGTTGTAGGGCACATCGCCCCATGTGGACCCATCTGCATTGGTAAAAGAAAACCTCTTGAGTATGCTGCTAACTCCCATGAAGATCGAGAACAAAGTCACCTGTCTGGGCGTGGCGATCAGCGCCCCACCAGCAAGGAAGGCAAAGAAATTGCGGTACAGGACGAGAAGCTCCAGATCATCTCCGTGCAGCTCCGACCCGGGTTGAGATACGTCTGTCTCAAAACCGACCGGCAGATAGACGTGCCTCTCCTGGTTGATCGAGGTGACAGCATTGGGCACCGAGAAGTTTGTGGGACGGTACCCCGAGCTCTCCTGGAACGGGGGACGTGTTTGTCTCGGACTAACTGACATGTCTGAGAAGGCGGTCTGCATTTGAGGGACGTCGTTGTTCACATCAACGGGCGAGGGCGGAGACTGCATGCGAAGGTTGACGAGGGGTTTTGAGTCGACCAGGAGAGCGGACTCGATACGAAAACAAGGGCCTTTTCCGGAAGAAGGGGGATAAAGATATATGACTGTGTCGCCATAATCATTCCAGAGCTCGGGGACTCGCTCGCCCTTCAACAGCGGCGTCAAGTCGTATGCTACATGCTCCCGCAACCCGGCGATCCATGCCTTTGAGGCCCCTGGGCCGTCATCAAATCTGTGTTTATCTGATTTTCCATGGAGCCAACTCTTCTTCTTCGCTACCTTTGCCGACGGAGGCGTTGCAGGATGGCCCGGGGAGCCGGCCGTACCGGGAGGTATCAACAAATTCGGTGTCTGAGGCCGACTCCTGCTTGCTTCTCTGCTGCGTACCAGACTATGGGGACTGCTATTCCGGCTCGCGGATGTGCTGCCGGAGGCGCTCTGGTGACTGCTTGGAGGGCGGACTGCTCCAGAGGCGGAGAGTAGGGGAGGGGGAGTAAGCGGTGGCAGGCCGGCGTTGAGATCGATCTCAGAAGAGGAGGTTATGCGATGTTTGTGCAGTTTGTGGGATATGGCGTGGCCAGCAGACTGAGGTGGAATATGAGGAGCACTCGCTGCCACCGCTGTAGGTGGATCGGGGGTGATGCTGTCGGTGGGATCGCGCGCGTGAGAGAACAAGGACGATAGTCGCTTTGCCATAGTGAAGGTATGGCGCGAGTAAACACGCAGACAAACTTCCTCGAGAGAACCGGATGAGCCGTCTTTTTCTTCCCTCAGTGCAATGAACGGATGCGATTTTGTGCAGCTCCTTCAGCTCTTGGTGGTCATGGCCGCAATTCACTTGCGCCCGTGATGCATGGCTTAGCTCTTCGAGGATTCTAAATACAGTGCAGTGTGCTGGCGTGTCACCATATCCAAGGGGAGCGGTGGATGCCTGGAACGAGGACTCGAGAATCTAGGAGGGCCACAGAATCGAAGAGAGGGAATCAGATCCGGAAAAGCGATTTGCAGGGGGGCATGACATTTGACTGGGGTGAGCCGCGTGCGTGTGCCTATGGCTATGGTGGAGGGGCGGAGGATGGGTGAGGCAAAATAATAATCATATGTAACAAGGTGGGTGGTGGTGATGATGAGGTGATGGATCGAGAGCGAGTGTCAGGGGAGGACAAGGATGAGACCCACGGTTCTCTCTTCTTGAGACGCATGGATGTCGCACATCGTCCTCCCTCGAAATCTTGGAATTCAACGACAACCACATTCACTCCCACCTCCCTTCCGATCGACCACGACCGTTTCGTGCCTGCGTCACCCGCACTTTTCAGCCTCTGTCCGTTGACGTCGACGTCCCCAGTTTCCAGTGGCAGTCTTTGCCTGTTGTCGCCTAGATCAAGGGACCATCCTCTGCAGGCGATGCTTAACCTGCCGCTAACTCCCAACTCTAGCGAAGACACCAATGGGGGCAAAAAGAGCACGGGGATTACTGGCTCGCCAGCCTCAAGCAGCAAGGGAAAATTCTGATCCCTGCCCGCTGACCCAGTCCGAGGAACGATGCATAACTGTCTTGGTGCCTTGGACTGCGGATATAAACACACTCGAGTCAGAAACTCATGTGGAGGCATCGTCGACCGCTGCCGTCGTCGCCAACCTCCAAATTCCGGGCACATTCCGCGTCAATAGCGTCCAGGATGACACTTAGAGCAAGCTCCCGCCAGGATTCTCCAAAGGTACCCAAGAACCGGCACATTGACCTCCTCAAGGGCTGGCCACACACGAGTCTACTGCCACCCCATCAGCTGGACCAGGCCTCCGCAGAGATATTATCCAAACCCTCCAACTCGGACGTCTTGTTCTATGGTCCAGACGAAGGCTATGAGCCGCTGAGAGTGGAAATTGCCAAATGGCTCAATGATTTCTACCGACCAAGCGAGACGGTTACAAGCGACAGAATATGTATCAGTGGCGGTGCCAGTCAGAATCTAGCGTGTATTTTGCAGACTTTTACTGATCCGATCTATACTCGCAATGTCTGGATGGTGGCTCCGACATATTATTTGGCCTGCAGGATTTTTAACGACTCTGGTTTCGACAATAAGCTGAGAGCCGTGCCCGAGGATGCAGAAGGTATCGACCTGCACTACCTGGAGCGAAATCTTCAAGAGAGTGAGAAACGGGCAGTGGCGGAAAATAACACGTCGCCGCGCATCAAGTTACCTAAGCCATGGAGGAAGATATACAAACATATCATTTATGCAGTACCGACCTTTTCCAACCCTTCCGGTCGAATTATGAGTCTAGGTCATCGACAGGACCTGGTTCGGCTGGCTCGACAATATGACGCTCTTGTCGTTACTGATGATGTGTACGACATGCTCCAGTGGCCTTCGAATCCCAAGGCTGGCTCGCGCAAGATGGACATGGCTGTCCTGCCACGAATAGTCGACATTGATAGACAACTCGATGGCGGAGTAGTCGACGAATATGGGCATGCAGTGAGTAACGGCAGTTTTAGCAAGATTGTAGCGCCAGGCTGTCGAACAGGTTGGGCTGAAGGGACACCGGCACTAGTCTATGGATTGTCACAAACAGGCTCCAGTCGCTCTGGAGGCGCCCCTTCTCATCTGGTCGCTTCGTTCATTTACCAGATGCTGGCCACGGGGGTTTTGCAAAACCACATCTGGCAAGAACTGCAGCCAGCGTATGCGCAACGCTATCATTTGATGATGCGAGCGGTACAGCAGCATCTGTTGCCATTAGGACTGACCCTGCCCCAGGCAGACAAGGATGTTGCGGGAGGCTACTTCATCTGGTTGACATTGCCGAGCTCTTTGAACGCGACACGCATCTACAAACGGGCGTTAAACGAAGCCAATTTGACTGTCATTGCGGGACCTATGTTCAAGGTGGACGGAGACGAACAAAACAAGGAGGCACGTTTTGAACAGGATATCCGCCTGTGCTATGCCTGGGAAGACTTGGATGTACTCGAGGAAGGCGTCGTTCGATTGGCTCAGGTGATTGAGAACGAGCTGGAAACAAACAGGTCAGGTGGACGGTAAGCTGGGGTGACATTCGATGTGAATGTTGATGAGGGATATGACTTGTCACGGCCCTAATCCCTAGGTAGTTGAATATCCAATTTATTCTTGGGCCTGTTTTGTTGCTACCCGTACCCAGTACTTTTGGCCACGTATTTCTTCCTCTCTTGGGCAGGACTTCGGGATCTGCAGCATGATCGGAGATAATCCAGCCACAAGCTCAAGCCTCGACAGCGCCACTCCCGTCAGCCGAAGTCATCCTTTGTCAAACCTAGCATGTTTCGAGTGTTTCACACCCCTGGCGCCCGTTCCGCCAATCGGATGGAATGCACACTGCCAATTTGACGGCATTTCGAACAGCTCGCCTCGTGTCGTCTTCCTTCTTTCTCGACAGCTTTTCTGCCGCCTCGCCACCTTTCCGACTTCATAACCCGACGAGTGGAGAGGGAGCTGTGTGCGGATTAAGGAGCTTCCAGGGCTGGCACATCTAACGAATCAGAGGTTGGAGATGGCTGAATATTGCTTGTCTTTGACTCTCTCCCTGCCACGCGGTAGCTTCCCAGCGGAGCGGCGCGAAGGGCCCTAGCTTTCAGCGAAACAGCTGGTCCAGGAGGTAATAATGTCGGCAAGGCGAGATCAGAGACACTAGGTTCCTGCTTGACACTCCTTTATTCAGCATGCTGAAGGGAAATAAAAAGGACAGCAGGAGTCCACAGGGGGATGGGTCACGGACGGTGTGGTGCGAAATTGGGACAAAGCGCAGGCAACGCACCAAAAGCAGCTGGCTGGCTGACGCCGTGTAAAGAGTACGTACAACTGATCGGCACTCCTGGACCGACTGCAACGGTCGAACGAGATTCAAAAGAAAACTGGGATTCTCTGTGAGACTGCCATCTTCTCGTGCTCCTGCTGCGTTGTGTGGGTGAGTGTGCGAGTCGTGCGAACAAACGCCTGCCAGCGCATATCAACACCGCAGCTTCTCCTTCTCCTTCTATTCATCGCTCATTCAGCAGGTCGGCGGCTACACTCGTTATCTCTTACCTTTTCTTGGACCTTTGTTGACTCGATTCTCTTTGGGTTTCTTTATTCTTTTTGCCTGATTTCTTTGAGGGTCTGTTCTGGTGTGTCCGAAGACACCTTTGTCATTCATTTAAGGGGAGAAAGACTGAGAGAAAGAAGGAGTGAAGGGCTTCGGAACAATTGCCCTTTACTGACAGCCTCACTCGTTATCGCTACCGGACCCGTCCTCTTGACCACCAAACTGTCCCCTGTCTGTCTGAATGCAGCTGCGATTGTCAATCACTGACTGTCTTCTCACTTCCATTCATCACTGTTCGAGACCCTGTTGTCACTTGCACGACTGAACTCGTGCCTGCCTCTTCGTTCCGCCACCAGTTCTCCCGTGCACAGTTCACAAGACCACTTCCACAACTTCCTAGACGTTTGTCACTACCGACGAGACGCGTCTTGAAGGCACCTACACTGGTGATCGCTGCCTTTAACCACTGCCTCGATCTTGTTTGTCTGGTGCTGGTCACCTCAAGGACTATAAAGGATCACCTTCGGCTCCTCCGACTCCTTTTCGAAACCATCTTTCCTCAACACTCTCACAGCAAACGACCCGAATCAACTCGACGTCAAATATGTTGTTCGCCTTCCTACTTTTCCTCTTTGCCTGGCTCTCTAAAGCCGCACCGAGACCCGTCCCCGTCGAACCTCGACAGGCGGCGTCCTCGTATTGGCTCTCTCAAATCCAGCGGCAGGGCACTGTGGCTTACGGCTCGAACCCTGGCTACAAGATCTTCCGCAATGTCAAAGACTATGGAGCTGTTGGTGACGGTGTGACTGATGACACCACTGCCATCAACAACGCCATTACCGATGGGTCTCGCTGCGGACAAGGCTGCGACAGCTCTACCACCACCCCTGCGATCGTCTACTTTCCTCCTGGTACCTACGCTGTCTCATCTCCAGTTATCCAGCTCTACTACACGCAATTCATTGGTGATGCTATCAATATCCCCACTGTCCTTGCCCTGCCTAGCTTCCAAGGCTTGGCTGTACTCGACACTGACCCTTACATCCCCGGCGGCAACGGAGCTCAGTGGTATACAAATCAAAATAATTTTTACCGCCAAATACGCAACTTCGTCATTGACATCTCACAGATGCCAGAAGACCAAGGAGCGGGTATTCACTGGCAAGTTGCGCAAGCCACCAGTCTCCAAAACATTGTCTTCAACATGCGCCCCAAGAGTCCCACCAACAAGCAACAAGGGATTTTCATGGACAATGGCTCTGGAGGCTTTATGTCAGATCTTGTATTCAACGGTGGTAACTACGGTGCCTTCTTGGGTAACCAACAGTTCACTACGCGGAATATGACCTTCAACGGCTGCAACACTGCGATCTTCATGAATTGGAACTGGCTATGGACCCTAAAATCGGTGACAATCAACCAGTGTAACATCGGCATCGACATGTCAAACTTGGACAACGGAGTCAATCAAACGGTTGGCTCTGTGATTGTTCTTGACAGCGTCATGACGGGCACTCCGATCGGCATCAAGACTTCGTACAACAAGACCAGCTTGCCTCCGACTGGAGGTACTTTGGCCCTGCAAAACGTCGACTTCACAGGTGTTCAAACTGCTGTTGTTGGTGCAGACGGTGCTACTCCCATCCTGCCTGGTGGCATGGTCGTGGGCGCCTGGGGCCAAGGTGACATTTACACGCCTGCTGGAGGATCATCCGCAGAATCTCAGAACGTTAAGAGAGAGCCGCAAGGTGGACCCTTATCCCTGCAGCCTCCGTCGGTCTCATACTATTCGACGACCACAACTACGCTCACCATTTCGGAAATACCGCCTCCCAGTGGCATACTGCTCACAACCACAACAGTCTATGTCACCGCATCCCCAACACCCACCGGCAGTGCTCCGGTGACCTTGACAGTTTCACCACTTCCTCCATTCAATGCCAGTGCTTCCTCAACTGTTCCATCCAATGCTACAGCATCTGAGCCGACTCTGCCATCTGCCGCAACGCCTGGTGTGTGCTCTGCTACCCCGGTGTCACTGCAGTCAGCACGTGTTCAACAACCATTGACTGCTCCAAGTATGGCCGCGTCTCTGATGAGCGGCAACAAGGTTTTTGAACGCTCCAAACCGCAGTATCAAGACGTCCCAGTTTCGTCCTTCATCAGCGTCAAGTCAGCGGGCGCGAAAGGTGATGGCGTGACTGATGACACTATAGCAATTCAAAACATCATGAACAACGCCACCGCAGACCAAATCGTTTACTTCGACCACGGTGCCTATGTCATTAGCGATACCGTCAAGGTTCCTCGCAACATCCGAATCACTGGGGAGATCTGGCCTCTCATCATGGCTCAAGGCACGGCGTTCTCAGATGTCAATAACCCCAAGCCTGTCTTTCAAGTTGGTGCCCCGGGGGATGTTGGTTCAGTGGAGATGTCAGATCTTGTGTTCGAGACCCTCGGACCCGCGCCTGGTGCTATTATGCTGCAATGGAATGTTGCGGAGGCGTCCCAAGGCTCCTGTGGCATGTGGGACGTGCACTTCCGGATCGGAGGCACTGCAGGTACTCAGCTTCAGCAAGACACATGCCAGGCTAACGTCACTGGCTCCTTTGAGTTCAAGCCACAATGTGCAGGTTCTTTCTTGATGATGCACATCACTCAACAAGCATCTGCCTACTTGGAAAACTGCTGGTTCTGGGTAGCTGATCATGAGCTTGACATCACCACCCACAACCAGACCGACATTTACAACGGCCGTGGATTGCTCGTTGAGAGCCAGGGTCCTGTCTGGCTGTACGGCACGTCGTCAGAGCACAGTCAGCTCTACAACTATCAATTCTCCAATGCTCGGGATGTCTTCATGGGTGCAATCCAGACAGAAACCCCCTACATGCAGGCTACTCCGAACGCCTTGGAAGGGGGATTTCCACCTAACCCGGCATTCTCAGATCCAACCTTTGCAGACTGTACTACTGACTCTTGCAAGAAGTCTTGGGGCTTGCGGATTGTGGATTCAAGTGATATTCACATGTACGGCGCTGGTCTCTACAGCTTCTTTGACAATTACCTCCAAACTTGCTTAGACACAGAGTCGTGTCAAGAAAACATGGTCGACATCGAATGTTCTTCCAATCTCAGCTTATACGGCCTTACAACCAAAGCTTCGGTGAACATGGTCAACGTTGACGGCACCCCTGAGGCTATCGGACAAGATCATGAAAATGGGTTCGGCCAGACCTTGCTTCTGTTCGAGACTTGAACCATTGTCTCATCGGAACTGCAGGAACTCCGAAACCTTCAGGCGGAAAGCAAAAAAAGGAATGAATAATCGTTCGGAACCAACAATCGAAGGCACGGTTGATTTTTTTTTGTTTTTGTGCATCTATTGGACAATGGGAGATTGAACTTCAGCATGAGCGAACTAGCATGATAATGAGCATATGGGCTTTTACAAAGCATAAGTTACTGCGGTGGCTTGAACTTTATGACACAGGTGTTGGCTGGAAGTCTCGATGTGCATACAGATACCCCGTGGCTAAGAGTGTCACTTTGACTTGCTCTTGCTCTACCTTTAGCTTTGAAAGACAGCATACGAATGAATAAATGAAATGAGACAGTGCTTGCTCCCTTAACTCTTGAGATCTTTCCTCGCACCGAATTTATATGAACGTGCTGCTGAGACAGCCGTCTCCACACATAGACGGGCTGTAGTTTTCTTGCTCCGTCCTCTGACTTTCTCTGCTGCTCGTAGAAGACAGCGCCTCTTGTATTAACCTGTAGTAGATATCCCCTCCTCTGTCTTCTTGCTCTTTACAGCCTGTCGCTGTCCAGAGAAGAGAGAAATCATGCTCATAGAGTGACCACTAGTTTCCTCCCACTCACCGTTCCCCCAGCCAGTTTGTCCATCGCGGTTTGGACGCACTCGAGTCCACTCCCCATGAACTCAGGTGCAGGCATGTATTGTAACCGGTGGTCCTCCAAGGCGATCTCAAGCCAATCCCACACCCTGGGCGCGACGCCGGTGGAAAAGTCAGATACTGCTGACACGTTTGGCACGATCGACACGTCATTCTTGGCGTACTGTGCTGCGCCTGGGAATACGGAGGCGATGAACTTCCGACCACCACAGGCGTGAAGGATTTCACAGAGGGAGTGCAACGTGGGAGGTTTGGAGATGGCGTCGTACGCCCCGATCACTTCCTCGCCCGCCGCCCTGAGGTAGGAGATCGCGGATTCAACTATGTTTGGATCACTTTGGTCAAAGCATTTCTCCGCACCCAGTGATGTGACGAAGCCGTGGTTTCTCTGCGAACAAATGCCGACAACGGTGTAGCCGGCCAACACTGCGAGTTGGACGCCGCAGGATCCCACGCTCGACGAGGCACCCCACACAACGAGAGTTTTGCCCTTCTTCTCAGCTATGCCTTCGACAGGAGGCATATCCAATCCCAGCATCACTTCTGGAAACAGGCAACTGGAGGCGGTCCTCACAGCAAGCGGCAAGACAACCGCGTCCTCATAGGTCGTGGCCTCGGGGATCTTTGCCACGAACGGGGAAAGAAGAACCACGTATTGTTGGAAAGATGAGTATGCGTACACCTTCTTGCCACGCCATTGTTCGAGGCCGTCCCCAGTAAGGTCCAAGTCTTTGGATTCTTTGACCCTCAGCGGCGTTGTTTGACCGATTACACGATCACCGACCTTGAGGTGAGAGATCCGTTGATCTGTCTGCCCTTCACGAGGGAGCTCAACAACTTCCCCGGCAACATCACACCCGAGGATGCACGGGTAGCCGTCCTCTTCTGAGATGAGAATTCCGAGTCGTTGGATGATCCAGTCAGCAGGATTTATCGCCACGGCGTGAGCTCTGATCACCACTTCTCCAGAAGATGGAGGAGAGTAGGGAGCCGGGGAGATTGTGAGGTTTGGTGCTTTGGCAGACGGAAGGATTGCAGCAAGGTTCGATGGCGACATGGCGAGGTATTGGATGCTAACAAATGGCCTGCGTGAGGTTTTGAAGATTTTGGTCGCTAAGCAATTTATCAGACGGTTTGAGGGTTACCTTGAAGTTCGTCACGTCTATTGCTTCGGCAAGAACTTGGAAAGCGGTGGCATATTAACTTATAGGTACTTGTTGCGGGTGCTGAGGCGATCGTCTAGAGACAACCAAAGCCCGCTATCACCGAAACGTGCATGAACATTGTGCCGCTCCTAGCGCGTGGTGCTCGTCCGTCTACGACAAGTGGAGCAGAAGGAGCCTGTGCGCATAGAGGCCCCAGAGTGCCATCTCTGCTGGAAAGGGCAATAACATCTTGACATCCCGGTCAGAGACTGCATGATTGGTCAACCTAGCTTGATGGAGATGGTAAGAGAGGGTTGAATACGAGTGAGGGTTTAGCTCGAGATGAGCTGGGTACGAAGGCGGTGGAATGATCGACATCGTGCACTTCGTGTGGCTCATTGAGGGTTGGATTCATGACACACCTGGACCCAGGCTCCAAGCAAACTCATGCTCAGAGAGAGTCTTCTGTCAGGCATCGGAGTCGATAAAATCTTAGAAACTTGACGTTGAAAACTGCGGCCACGACGAGGCTGAGAAGCGCCAAGAGCCGCAATGGAAAATGATTGTTCCGGAACAATTACCGTCACCAACCGCGCCTTCGAGATACACCTGCGAAGTGACAAAGTCCCAGTCGAGGGATCACCTCACATTCCTTGTTTAATGACTCTGTGTTATTCTCCCTCAGGGACTTAACTCCCTATTCTACCTCGTCTCACCAATATATTCCCCCCAAAAGAACATGGATCTCTAAACATCAACGTGCCGGTGTTGGACTCCACCATCGACCATCGCAACAATGACCTTTCGGCATCCTCCGCGGCTGACAGAACTTGAAGACGAAGCCTTCAGCGACGACGACCCGCATGCTAATCGAGATGGTGTAACCGCATTGCTCAATCGGTCAATACGCCGGGCTGGTGCCTTGGCCGCCAAAGCTGCAAAACTGAACAAAGAGAGCGTGACAAGAACCAAAGCCAGCCCCATCCTCCCCCCGTTCGCTACCGACTTTGGTCCCCAGACTCTGACCGAGTATCTGCGAGCTGAGGTTGACAAATTGAAGCTTGAACGCAAATCTCTGTCGGGAAAGGGTAAAGGGAAAGAGAAGGACATCTTGGATCCGGCAATATCTGGCGTGCTCCATCAGAGCAACACTTCAACGTCATCTCATGGTCTCTTGTCACCATCTGCTACTCCAATCCTCGCAAATCGAGTCGATGACCGGCAGTCTACTCTGTGGTTAGCAGCTAGGCGATCGCAGCGCCTGGCACGCAGAAGCGTTCCCAACCGGGAGGTGAGTCAAGGTGCAGCTGACCACCAAAGGACACCGCAGTCTCGGCCAGCACCTCCGACGTCGTTTCTGCCAGATGTCTCTCAACAACCCTCCATCCATGGAGATGACGCCCTCACTACAATATTAAATGGTACCAGTCCCGTTAGAACAAGCACATTCGAAGAGCACACCAAGAACAAGAGAATGGCTGTTAGGCACACCGCCCAAGAGGATTTAAACAATCCGATGGGCGCCAGATCGCGACAGAGAAGACTTTCGAAGGGTTTGTTGCCCTCTGGCACGCCAACTGCTGTCATCACGAATTCGTCCGCCACGACATCAGGGGTGCCCCTTATGGGCACCCCGCAGTACGACACTCAAGCGTCTCCTCACATACCCTCGTCCAAAAATGAACTTAGGGACTCAGTGCACTGTCCCGGACAGGAGGCCAATGACAACAGAACTATTGAGACGCCGTCCGATAAGCCCTCCCATGCCTTCCCGAACAACCAGGGATCACCACAAAAATCTCCCTGCCGCAAGGAAGCTGCACAACCGCGGCCGAAGAGGCATACCCCAACAGTCGCTTCTTTCGACTACGCCAGCCTCATCCCCGAAGTCATATCTTACAGCGAAAAGGAGGACTTTATTAATCAGGAGACGCTGACGAGCACGACGGCACACCTTTCGACTAATTTGGAAAACCGAACCACAGAGCCAAGCTGGGTGTGTACGGCTCCTTTTTACATATCTTTGCCCGCCAGGAGCGGAGGACATCCTGGGGTGACCCGTACATATGCCACTCACGCTGTCGAGAACAGTGATCCGAGTGAGAAGAACGTTCCTACAGCGGCTCCTGAAAAGCACTATCCTCGCATCTGGAAGCCCTCGGTGGTTCCTGGCACGTCTCTGGAAAGCACGACCTCGACTAGGCCCTACGCGGGTCGAGCCATCAACGTTCTCGGCCACAAATCAAATTTTATACAAAAGTTTGATGTCGATATCTGGGCGGAAGTCTCAAGATTCCTTTCTACGCAAGATGTGAGAAACCTCCGTCTAGTCAACAAATGTTTCGCACGCATTATAGCTCCAATCCAATTCAGAAATGTCGTGGTAAACTTTGGCCAACACTTCTTCGACACGAACCCCGGCACTTTCGATATCAATTCCGAGCATCTCCCCGACGATTCGATGTTCAAGAATTACGGTGCCAATATCAACAAATTTGGCATATCCTTCGAGTACGATCTGCAAGGTTTGACCCGTGCTAAGAAGAAAATCACCTCGAAGGTGCAAGATGCATGGTTTGGAAAATTCAGGTGGCCCACAGAACAATACCCACGTTTTCCAGAACTGCAGGCAATCGAGGATCTTGTTGACCATAACCGCCCTTTCCTCAAAGAAGCACTAGAATGTCTGACCACGGTCTCGGAGCTTGGGTTGTGCATCGACAGCGGCCACGGCTGGCTAGAAGGCCCCGATATTTCTGATATGGCCCTCTTCAATCGACGAACTACGAACGGGAGCAGAGTCTTTGGGAAGACGTTCGAAACCGAGGATGTCTGGACTACTTTTGCCCGTAATGAATACTTTCGATGGGCCCAACAGAACACTATCAACGAAACCACCAAGGCACTTATGACAAAACTGCAAAACCAAGAGGAGTCCCCTGCAAGAGAGATTCGCTTTCTAGATGAGCTCAAAATTCGTGACATTGAGAGCTTTCGACGTCAGGACGAGCAACACGATTACGACCCAGAATGTCACGTGGGAGGTAGTTCAGTTCCAGGAGTAAACTCCTCCATGAATGCGACGGGCGTATTCCCTAATTTTGCGGCGACGCATGAGGCTGCGAGCCATCGTCGACTAGCCACCCATAACCTGAAAGGAGGAAAGAGATTACCCCAGTGGCCATTAATTTTCAATGGCCACAATCTTACCGCCGAGCATGGAGGTCACTGTACGTTCATCCAAAACCAAACGGCCAATCCTTGCACGTCTCCACTCCAACCCGGACTTCTCACAGAGCCGCAAGCTGAGTGGCTGATGGAGACTGTATGGGCACAGCGTGCTTTCCTGTCCTCTTATACGACCGCTATCGTTACCCACAAGGAGAACTTTACCTCAATTCATACTCTGCGCATCAGCAAATTGTCCTCTGGTCTCCTCCCATCAATAGAACAAGCCGAGTTCTGGAAAAGCTTGCCTGGACTGAAGACGTTGGAGATCCTCATCAGCCCGGACTGGCGGAAGGAGCACGTGGCAGGCTATCACCCACACGGTTGGCAAATGTTTCTTCATCCCCTGAACGCTGCCCAGAAGTTTACCAGTTTCTTGAGGAAGTATATCGTCCACATCGAGCATTTACACAGCCTGAGCATTGGCTATGTCGGGGGCGGAGAACATGCTGTAGGTCTGTTCGCACGCAACAAGCACGTCATGGCCGCACCCATCGTCGAATCGCCGAGACAGTGGCTGTTCTTCCAGGACGACTCCGACCAAGGGCAGAACCTACCTCTCGTCAAATTCGACCACATCCGAGAGCTCAAATTTCAGAACTGTTGGTTTACTCCGTGGATGCTGCAGGAGTTCATGCGGCGCAGCAGAGACACGAGCCTCCATTCCTTGACCCTCGACTCCGTCAGCATGAGCGTCTATCATAAAGCCAAACAGGTCGCACCGGCCTGGAATGTATTGGGCCATCTTCGCTGCCTTCATCCTCGAGAAGAGTGGACTCGGGAAATTTTGCCCCCCGGCGCTTCTTGGGCTCGAGTCCTTGATGCAATCACGCCCGGGAAAACACTACTGGCCCACAAATACGACGCGGGACTCATTGACCCAGGAATTCATCCGATGCCCCAACCAAAGTTCCGTGGGCATGTTCAAGAAATCATTCTCAACAGCTGTGGTTATGTCACGATCTCGGTACCCTACCTACGCCCCACGGCCTATAACCAGAATGCGGCGGTTGTGTGGGCGGACCCTACAATGGACGACGCCCTGCGCGTTCGCAAAGCACGATTTTCCAGCAGTCTAGGCTTTCCAGTTGTGTGGGATTCGTCTTCGGCCTTTGGAGTTCGGGGGCCCATGCCACTTCAGGAGACGACGGACATCCTGATCCCCGATCGAAGCGGATATGAACATTCATGGTTAGGCAACTTGACTCAATGCATCCATCCGATCGAAAAGCGCGTCCTCGAGGAGGCGTGGCAGATGACGTTTGGCTGGCCCAACAACCTGGAGCGATGGGCCGCGGTCGAAGATGGACAGTGCGAAGGTGGTACGGGACGTTTCAGTGGCATTATCCGGAAAAGCGACCAGCAGATGGAGTGTTGAATTCATTCTACGTTGTAGAGACTTTGCGCATGGCGAATGACCGCAGTTGTATCATAGGATGACTGCTGCTGTCTCCGGAGAGACCAGCACCAATCGGGTATAGATATCGTCATGATGGCACAAATAATATTAACTTGGGAAGCGTTTTGGGAACGCAACGATGCGGTCTCGCTGTTTCTAAAACTCAAAGGGTAGTAGACTGGCAAGAGAAAGAAAACTTGGAATGTATTAGTACTACTTAAGCAAATGTATCATCAGCATAGGCGGTTGACGCCTCTCTCGATGGACCTCACCGAGATGACATTACCAACGTTACGGCTGAGCGACGAGTGACGAATTCGATCAGTGGAAACGTGCTCAAAGGTTTTCACCGCCTTCCTTCTTCTCAGCTCGGAAGCATGTCACTGTATTATCTATGTATCTGATCCCGCTTCGGCCAAAGGCGATCACTCAGAGTCCCGCACTTGCTCCCCCTGGATCCTATTGCCACTATTACTACCCGAGCACAACTGGGATAATGATTGAGGACTCGATGGCGTAAATGTGCCCTGCATACGAATCAGACAGATTTATGGGCCGAAGGGACACTACAAAACAAAGTGATACTATATATAGTATATTGCTTCTTGGGAATGTATGGGACGTGAAGAAATTCCTATTTTGCAGAGTGAAAAAAGAGAGGGGGGTTATCCGGCTCAATACCCAAAAAGGGGTGGTTGAGAATAGGGGTGGACAGTGAACTTGCCTGTATGGTATATATATGCATGTATAGCATATATGGCATATACCGGAGCTCCGAGGAACACCACTGCTATATTTATTCAGCAGAGTGTGCATCCAATATTTGTCTCGATGTGCATTTATGTACTTGGTAACAGGTAAGAATGGACGCTCACCCACCGATTCACTCGGCTGGCCGGCCGACTGTCTGGAGCATTTCAACTTCTTATTACAGACTGAACCCACATTGGGGCAGAGAGACACGAAACCGCTGAAGGTGCAGCCTCGTTTCTTACCAGGCGGCCAGCACGGCACTATTAACCGAGCACTCGAATCCAAGTTGTCCCACGCGGCGTAGAATCTTTGTGCTCCTGCCCTTTCTGTTTTCCTTTCTTGCTTCCTTTCTTTCCCACGGCCTATTCTCTGATGAGAATTTTCTACGACGAACTAACGTGAATGGCGCCAGTATTGTGTATATGCATGCATGCTTGCTTGTTTCAAGTCGGCGGCGGCGGCAGGGGATTCGCACCGGCCGGGAGAGGCGGCACCACGAGCTCGAATGGCCGGATCTCGCGCCAGGTGTACATCTGGTTGTTCCCGCCGTAGGCCCAGCCATACACAATCAGCTGGAACTGCTGGGTGATGCCGGAGCCCGTGGCGCGGCTGCCCTTGAGGTCGTCGTCGACAAAAAATAGCTGCTCGGTCTGCAGGTCGATGGTGGTGGAGCCGACGGATGTGGTGTTGCTGAAGTCAAAACGGTACATGGCATCCTGCACGAAGCCGTACATAGAGCTCATGTCGGTGACCTTGACCGCGGGCACCTCGGTAGTCTTGCTGTTCGAAAAACTGGCGCTGCCGCTGATGCTGCCCGTGCCCGACGTCTCGAAGAACCCCCAGTTCCCCGTCACGCTATAGTCGACCCCCGTGGTGAGCTGCGTCGTCAACTGCGTCGTCTGCGGCGACGAGCTCTGCACTAGGAAGTTGCGCGGTCCCACGAACACGTTCCGCACCTGCAGCCCCGGGTAGCAGAAGAACCGCTCGTTGAGGTCCATCACGGCCAAAAAGTCCTGGTCCGTGCCCGTGAACCCGGTCTCCGACTCCACCGAGGCCGGGAAGACATCGTTGGCCGTGCAGATGTAGGGCGCCGGCGCGGCTGGGTCGATGATGGAGGTGCGCACGACATAGCCGCCCATGCTCAATTGTGGGTTCGGGGAAAGCTCGATGGCGTGGCTGACGTAGTAGATGTCCTTGACGTTCTTAGGATTGCTCGCCCCCGCCCACGTCACGCCGAAGCCAATGGTCGTGACGGCGATCTTGCCGAACCGGATGCCCTTCTGGTTGGAGAAGGGATTGGTGAGGTCGATAAGCTGGCCCAGGGGCGCGATGTCGGGCCACAGGTCGCTGAACTGCGAAACAACATTCATCAGATCCGTCGGCGTGTCGTCCATGGCTCGGGCGGTAGTCTTCACCTGAACTGGAGCTGTGGGCGCGTCTTTGAAGTACGTGGGAATATCCTCTGGCTTAGGGCTCGTGTCGAAGGCGCACTTGCTATGCTTGCTCAGGGGATGCCACCCGTAGTTGAAGTGCAGCAACCATCTGTGGAGACGATCTCTCTCTGCTCGTAACGCTGCTTCGTGGCTCTTCGGATCTGTGGCGTACGACCGATCAGTGTAGATCACCGTACCTTTATACGGTTTGACATCTCGCTCCTTGTAGAAGGGATTTTGGGGCTTCACGTAGTGGTAGTAAGATATGCGGCTGATTGTTTCTCCCGATACTGTGCTCAGACGACGAGTTCCGATAAGTCCCTCAACGTCGGAGATGGTTTTGGTATTGGTCGGGTTCAGAATGGAGACGGTGCAGGGTCCCGTGCGGAAATGATGGTTCAGCTCATCCTTCTGCTCCTGAGAGAGGCTGGCGATACCGCTCGACCCAAGGACATAGTGCTGGGCGGGTTGATAGTGAAGTCTCTGCCTCCTCCTTCTCACGGCAGGGCTCCGCTCCTGGAGAATCTTGGCCTGGGCTGGCTCCAGCCCATTCAGCTTGAGCGCAAGGTTCTGATCATTCAATTTGCTCTCTGGAGCCACGGGTTCATCGGGTGGCAGGCCATGGTCCGGATCGTCGGCCCATACGCCGTCCGCAAATCCTTCAGCATCGATGACCGACGACGTCCCGCCCATTAGATTGTTGAGGCTGGCAACGGTGGCAGGCAGCTCCGGTCTCGCGGGGATACTAGCTGTAGCGGTTTCAATCACTGTCGTTTTGGCGCCAGTTTCTTCGTCTTCCATGGTGATCACCTGGCTACCAGGAACACGGGTGAACGTCTCCGCCAGCAGAGCCCCTTGCGCGAACCCATGAATTTGCAACAAGTTCTCCCCCAGGATCTGTGACGCCTGACCTGCGGCCTGGGTGTCGATATAGCTGTAGTGGCTCAAGGCGTCGAATCCATCGACCTTTTGCCACGTGCCGGTCCCACCACTCATGACCCGGGTGACGTGTTGATCGGCTGTGTCGGACACCATGACGACGGAACTCAGTCCGTTGGACCAGCTTTCTCGGGCTGGAGCGCCCAGCGCCGGACAGAGAACGATATCTGGAGGGCGCAGCTCGGTTGCCTGGTCGAAGGGTGTGTCCTGTGTGGCGTCCAAGCAGATACGGATCGAGAGCATGACAGAATTGGCGTCGGTCGCGCCGCCACCGAGGATGTCACTGACCGAGAACACCTTGGTGGTCTGTGCTGAGCCGGTCGTATCCACCATCACCCAGTCACCGTACCCGTCAATCTGGCTCGGGATACCCTTGTCCACTGACCACGCCTCGTTGTTCTCGGAACACACCAGGATCGCCGTATTCGAGAGGGTTTTCTTTCCAGCCGCATTAGTGACGCCGAGATCGTATGTCGTCGTCATCGAGCAGCCGATGGTTTCTTTGGTGTACGAGGCGATGTACTGCGCACAGTCGAGGAGGACTTCGCGGATCGCCGGCTGCCAGCTGAGGGGGATGGTGTTCTTCCCTGGAAACTGCCACGTCTTGCCATCGGCCATAGTCTGGCCACAGAGGGCATTCTCTCCTGTCATGAAGATGGTTAGTCGCCCGCTGTCGGCGGTCTTAAACACGTTTTCGATCATGTCCGGGTTGGTAAAGGCTTCGATGATCTGCTGACGCGCAAACTGCAGTCGCTCCTCGTCGGTTTCCGTCTCGGGGGGATATATGAAGCCTGGGATGCCGATGACACGGACACGTTGCACCGAACCTGTCGTGTAGGTGTATGTGGGCGGTGTACCCTGGACAATATGGTTGAAGCGGGCAAGAAGCCCGGGCTCTTGGCTGGTCATATTGCTCCTGCTTTGGGGGATGAAGTGATACCAAGATGATATGAACTTATGAGGGTTTGAGTCCTCAAGGGAATTCCTGTTCGTCCCTCATAGACATATATGATGGAGCAATATCGTCGAGCACATGAATCTATCTGTATCATCTCGCCTTACCCAGACTTTATATACATGGCGAACCATATCAACCGAGCTGAGCGCTAACGAGGAAGACAGCTGAAGCGAGCTGAGGTGCATGCATGCTAGGTGCATACGGCTGAAGTTGGTAAGTTAGTTGTCGTATTTGGTGCCCTCTCTCACCTTTCCATACTGTTTTATGCATAGATTCTTCTCTTGTAGGAAGGAGGCGAAGACCAGAGCTGTACGATGCCCTTACCTTCACTTCCTACGAAGTGATGAAGGAGATCGCGGTCTGGCTTCGCACTATTGCAAACAAACTCCGCTAGGTAGGGTCTAGACCAAGAGTTTCTGCAGAACCCAATCTTGACTTGATCAAGATAAGAAGAAAAAACAAGCAACAGCTGATCGACGTGAGAGGAAAGAGATGGAGCGGGAGATCTTCGGTGCGGTCGAAAAAGGAAACCGTTGGAACTCGTTCGTTTACGCAGGACGCAAGCCACTGCCGAGCAGCGTCACCAGACCAAACAGCATTCCCCTCGTGCTCGATAAAATCTGTGAAAGGCAAATATATTATTGGTTTGTGAGCGAGAGATACATACTCGCACGTAGTCGATACGGGAAGGAAAGCTGAAACTCAGCCTTGCACCCTTGTCATGCTTCAATCTTAAGAAATAGCAAAGACAACACTCGCATTGAAAGACGGTTTCTTCGCTTCACCGCAATTTGTCCTAGCACTCAATTCTCTCGTTCTCTCTTAAGCCCATCCTCGTTGACATTGGTGCGACGTCAGAGCTGCTCAGCAGGGCTCGCACCATTAGGTCTCCCCGGCGTTGCTCTTTGACCCACGGGATCCCAGCCCGCATTCTCGCTGGCTCATCAGGCGTCCTGGATGTGCCAAGTGCCACACTGCACTATACAAGACCAACTCCGCGACGAAAAACCCGAAGAACCAGCCCTCGTTGGTCCACAGTCGCGAAGTGGGCTGAGCGTAGATTTGGATCGTGCGAAAGACGTTCGTCAGGATGATCATGCCGAGCCAGAAAACGAGCAGAGCCATCACTTTGATCACGTCGCGTGGCGGGCGGGGTATTTCCTGGGCCAGCCGACGGCGCCGGACGTAGAGCATTATGATCCAGACTTTGAGAATGATGAGGAGGAGCAGGTTGCAAAATAGTTGCAAGAATAGGGACGCCTTGACGAGGCGTATTCCTGACCTGATCTGCCCTGGTGGCTGGCCCTCAGGGGAAAAATATGTCGCGCAGCCCTGGGCAGTGCAAGCGATGACGGCCGAGGTGAACATGGAAATGAAGAAGAGGTACAGTGGTGGACGAATTCGGGGGATCGGAGATGGGAAACTGGTGAGGAGATGATAGTCTAAATGAAGGACGAGCTGGGTGGGTGTCAGAAAGAGATATTCAGTCAACTCGCGAACTTATGAGAGTGGAAAGGAGATCCCTTACGGCACAAAGCGGGAGGATCAAAATATATCTGGTCGAATCCCCGTCAGTCCAATACCGGCTGGCATAGAAGGAGGGAATCATGCTCACGTCGCAGTATAAAAGAGTCCCTGGACGGCGCTGACCTGATCAGAGCCATTGAATGCCGAAACCTCACGACAGATGAAGCCACCAACCACCAGGCCGGCCGCGATGGGAAGACACATGGTGTAATGCCATGATTGGTACTTTCTATACACACAACCCCATGGTGTCAGTTGCATAAGAAGTGGACAGACTCCGTTGAGCTGGTCGAGTGGCAGACTTGCCTGCTTTGGTAGACATGCAAGAGCAGTGACAAGAAGAAGAGGACGGCAAAGGCGGAAGAGGCGCCTTTGGCAACGGGATGGAGGTACGGGTTGATGCTGGCTGATGCGTTTCGAAAGAGGCAATGTCAGCATAGAGTACTGCGAGTGTACAAGGAAAGATCAAACAGGTACTTACTCTGTCCAGCCATTATGACTGTTGAGATAGCTTGATACTGGATGTGGAAAGCTGTTGCAGAAAGAGGGATGCAGAAGGAGCTGGTATAAGATGCTGGAAGAGCTCTTGAAGTCCTTGGGTTTTTTATATATGCTCTCCTAGCTATATAGAAGTAGGCGGCCATATTTTGCACATCCTTGTCCAGAAGAGCTCAGATGGTTCCCATGTGTATCGACGTAGCACAGGTCTGAGCGCCTGACTTTGGAGAGAGCCCAGGGCAGGCGCCTCGCTCTGCGTTTCCAACCAGTAGACGTCGTCCGGTGACAAAAGGTGATGGCAAATCCCACGTGTCAAATTACTCCAAGGAGCAAAGACAGGGCAGACAGTGTACATCATTCTGATAGCTGCTATGCCATAGGGGTCGCTCTGATTCGCGAGGTGAACGTGGCATGCGTAACACGAACCCGAATACGAGATACCCAATGCGCCTTAACCCGGTTGCCAAATTTTGCCTTGCTGGCACCATCTTGCATCCTGCAGCATGTTATTCGTTCTATCGGAGCATCGTTCGACCGACTCGACAGAAGCTTTTGGTAGCCCGCTGCCTCACAAAGTATAAGCTGGAAGTGGTCAAGCATTGAAGTCGAGGAGTCTACCGGGTTTGGCAAATGTTCATCACCTAAACTTCAACCCTGTCGTTCTCGACTCTCCTTTTCCACAGCCTCGTTCAGCCCCGACATGCATATTACCTCTTTACAACACCTGGAAAGCAAATAGTAACCCACGGAAAGCCTAGTTAATGTACTTACAATCTGAGGAATTCCCCCTTGCCTTCGCCCGCCCGTTACCACTGAAACCTTGCCATTGCACATGATCAAGCAGTTCAGTCACCTTGCGTCTTCAATCTTGAGCAGATTCAGGAGATCCTTCGGTTGAGCAGAATAGATCTTTCCTGTCCGGAGCCCGTCCATTAGTGGTAGAGCACAAACTGGTGCAGCTCCGCCAGGAGTATACCCAGCAGTCGTCCAACCATCACGCCGAGGATCATCCACACTGTACTTGGGATATTCCAGAACAATCTCTTGGATCTCGAAGCATGTGTCTTTGGGGCTCCCAGATCTATTGCCTCTCTCCCAAAATTGGCGTGTAGAGGAGAGATAATTACCAGTCCGACAATAGAGGGGAGATGGAGTTCTGGAATTGCCAGGTCCTTATAACTTGTGAGGCTGTCGCTGCCCGATGATGTCAATTTGGATTCTTGGCTCGTAATTTCATCTTGACTTTCTAGGGCATCGTAATACACGTCTTCGTTCTCGACATGGGTACCACTCACCAGTGTGACGACTGCTGAAGGATTGTCTCGAAAGACGTCACCTTGACCCTTAATCCACGATGGAACTCCTTGACAACCTATTCGACTGTGAGTGCTTTCTGACCCGTCATATGAGCTGGCTTCCCACTTCTTCGTGGTTCTACCCTTCAGGGCACGGGCTCCAGATGTCTCAGGATGACCTTCTCGGACATTGAAGTGGGTCTCTGGAGTGGATGAGTAGAACAACTGGATTTCTTGATCCAAGACACTGGGAATATCTCTGGCTGACACGCCGAAACTTGCCATGTATTGAGCCAACTCATTCCATTCCATATCCATGTCCTTTGCGACCTCGGACGCGTCCAGCCCGTCGGCGACTACCCTGGCAACGGCGTCGAGGATTGCGTGCTGGTGGGAACGAGGACGGTCGCGGAAGTGACAAGCGGGAGGTTGCTCTTCGCATTCCCACTCCTTACGACGCTCAGCTTGACGGGTCTCAACAGCGCCACTTTGAAGCACAGCAGGAGCTGTGACAATTCGAGTCTGTTTGCGGAAGGCGAGGGGTCTCGGCACAAGAGATGGGTCCGGTGCGAGAAAGTACACATCTTTTGCCGTCAGTGACTTGACAAACCGGCTCGGAGCGGTCTTCGCTTTCCCATCGACAACTGTGGGACGGCCATGCTGAGGGGGTGGTGTAAGAGGAGTGATAGTTGGAGGATCTGGATGGGTTGATTGCGTAGCCATTGCGCCGGTTGAAACAGGCTGTTGGCAGTAGTGTTCTGGTGGTGATACACGATTTTTTTCACCTGCCATGGATGCAACTGCGTGCCTTGTGCAGAGGACACAGTAGGAATCGATGTTGAACAGTAGCGTTGTAGCTGGTAGAGGTGGTTTTGAGCGGGATAAGAGTTGTCTTTTCGTGTGTGTTCAGGAACAGGCGCCTGATAAATTTATGAAGTGTGACAGGTAGAGATCCAGAAAGGCAGCAGGCGCGTACTGCCTTCGACCGAGTCAGGCCCTCGATCATTCACAGAGCTGAGGCAGTCAAGGCGCGTTCGAGAAATTATGACCCAGGATACGAATAGCACATCATCAGGGCAGTGAGGCCCAGATACATGAGGAGAATTGCCTATTGATGAGAAAGTTGTCGGAAAGCGACCTCGTGAGATCCAGTCCTCAGAGAGGCCAACACAAGGACGCAAACACTCAAAGAAGCCATAGTAGATGGAGAAGAGTTTCCGTTTTTCTCAGATATGAGAAATAGATACTTTCGGTGGGGATTCCCACCTCTTGTTCTGCATTTCCCCCTGGTTTTCACCCAGCAGTTCAAGATTCTCCTGTCTTCCGCAGAAGCCTGAAGAATTCCTTGATGAGCCGGTGACGGCATGAATAACATGCCTATGCACCGGGGACCAGAACATCTGCGCCCAAATCAGTCCTTGCCGCACCCCTTCTGGAGTTAGACCATGAGGAACCTCACCGATTCTCCCCAGCCCTTCGTTGAGGCCCTTGAGGCTCATTTGTGATACTCCGTCATACTCAAAAGCTGACGGTGATAGTTGTGATTTGTTGTTGGACATCAAGACTATCGGTATTTAGCTCGCTGCTCACTTGATCCAATCTGAACGTGCTTTAGAGGTCACAGAGCCCATTCTCTAGAGCATGGTTGGCCTGTTTGTTTGCAACGCAATGCCCCGTTGTCTCTGTCGGCTTCCTTCCCTGCTTAGGCGGCAAAGTACCACCGTGCTATCGCCTACCCACCATTCACGAGTGTAATGAGCAATCACAAAGGGTACAAAGAAGTATGGACGAAGAAAGCCAACTATCTGGCACCTTGGGAAAATCGATCACGCTCAAAGTCGAGAATATCACGCGGATGCACGGCGCGCTGTCCCAACTGCATGCAAAGCCCCTCGCGGCGCGAGGCTGTCTGGACGAACCGCATTGGAATGAAGTCAACATCGATGGCGCGGGAAGATTTTTCTCTGTAGTGACATTGTGAATAAGCCTTTCCCAGTGAAGTTTGTAAGTACGCGCCAAAATCACGATACGGTCCACTGCCTGTCTTATAAAAGGTGTACCTGAAGCTCTTGAGTTAGCTCGATCCACATCATATTCGCACGCAGATAGTTCTGTGAGTCCAAGTCACTCGATAACTTCTGTTTGTGAGAACAAGATGGATTCAAACAAAGCATCTTCCACCACTGAGAAGGTGAGTATCTCAAAAAATGATTGTTTTTGCCCTCGTGCACACAGGATGCTGATCCTTGCGCGTTCACAAAGAGTGCCAACAGAATGAATAATAGCAACAACGACGACAACAAAGCAGTCGACAAAAGCGGTGTACTCGGCAACAAAGAAGATTTTTCGGCTCGTACCAAGCTTGCTCAGTCGATGGCGGCGCGAGTGGCCAACGGGGCAAGCTTGAATCAGGTCGCTTTCCAGAACAATATGACCGCGGATCAGGCAGGACTGTTGCTATCTGAACTTGTGGTCCGACTATCCAACAACAGTATTCCACAGGGATGAAGGGTTTTGGTTAAATTGCAGTGCTTGCGGGTTGAATGTCAGCGTCTTCTCGAATGGCACCCATCGAAAAGATCGCTGTTGATCTTTGACTACAAGCAAACTTCAGCCACTGAAGTCACTCGTTTAAGCGACATCGGGGACGGTCATCAGCGATTAGAACCTCATTCCCATGAAGAAGACCACTGGCTTGCGAGTGAGGTTCTCCCCAGATATCAGACAGACGACACAAAATGGAGGTGCTGGTGGGTCAGGCAGAAGTGTATTGTTGCATGGTCGATGTGCTCCGACACATTTGTCCACGCCACCAGTGACTGGGAATGGCCTGGACCTGAATTGAGAAGGCTCCCAATATTCCTGGCTAGCAAAGGCAGTCAAGCACTTAGATAATGCCAGGGTTTGAGACACTCAGTTTCTATTTGTCAGGCTTCCAACATGCCCAGATCTTACATAAGAACCAGCACAGTCATGTACAGCTGGTCTCTATGGAGGAGGAGCCAGCCTCCGATCGGCCATGCTCATGCGCTTCGGACCTCATATAGAGGGAACCAAGCCCGAACTCGCAGGCATTGATCCGTATTCGCACCGCCCGATCGCTTCTCAAGAGAAAGGACGAGACCGGGCTTTCAAATCCCCCAAGACAACTTTGTGCAGGCTACAGGGGTCATCGCTGGCTAAGAGCCCTGTGAGTTTCTATTGGTTGATGTATGTTAATCCCCACTCGACTCCACAGTTTCCCACCCAGTGGGGAAATCAACTTGCCTCTTTGGTCGCCTGGAATTCGCGGAGTGAGAAGTGAGGCACGATGATATTGGGGTTGGGGTACTGTACCGAGTGGTTGCGTGAAACCAATCCCTCACAGTGATACTTTGTTGTACACCAGGTGACTGACATTCGGTACTCGTATGCATGTACCGTCTCGCGCGGCCCAGCCAAACGATCCATAACCTCCGCCAACAAAAGCATCTTTTTTTCCAGACCAGGATATAAATGTAAATAAGCATTCGTCAATTGTCTGGCGTAGTGGGATATCGTGACAGAACCTTTTCATTTCTAGATTCTTCCACACATTCTGATACCCACACACATACACCATGGCCACGAGAATGGACCCCCAAAACGGTGAGGGCAAGAAGCCGTGGCGACAAGCCGCCACCATTCTGCGGGAGATGATCAGCGACCCGGACAAAATCGTCGTGTGCCCGGGCGTGTATGACGGCTACACGGCGCGGATCGCGCTGGACATGGGCTTCGACGCGCTGTACATGACAGGGGCGGGGACAGCGGCGTGTCGCGTGGGCGCGCCGGACCTGGGCATCATCAACATGGTCGAGATGGCGGCTAACGCGAGCATGATCGCCGGGTTGGACTGGCGGGTGCCTGTGATCGCGGACGCTGACACTGGGTTTGGCTCGTCACTCTCCGCCGCCCGCACGGCCAAGACGTACATCGAGGGTAACGTCGCCGCGTTGCACATCGAGGACCAGGCGTTCGTCAAGCGCTGCGGCCATCTGCGTAATAAAGAACTCGTGTCACTGGAAACATACCTGACGCGAATCCGCGCCGCGAGCATGGCGCGTGAAGCCTCGGGCCGCGACCTCATCATTATCGCGCGCACCGACTCGCTGCAGTCGCTAGGATACGACGAGGCGATCCGGCGGCTGAAGGCGGCACACGAGGCCGGTGCAGATGTCGCGTTCTTCGAAGGGCTAGTGTCCAAAGAGCAAGCGCGCCAGGCCGTGAAAGACCTGCACCCGATCCCGTGCCTGCTGAACATCGTGCACGGTGGGGTCACGCCCGTGATCAGCGCGCAGGAGGCGAAAGACATGGGCTTCAAGATCGTCATCTGGTCCATCCTCTCCCTGTCCGAGGTCTACAACTCGACCCGCCGCGCGATGAAGGAGCTGCGCGACACGGGCATTGTGACTGAGCGCGAGGACAAGGCTGGAGGGATCTACGATATCTTTAGGGTCGTCGGCATCAATGAGGCCGCTGAATTTGATGCGAAAGCTGGAGGTGTCACTCTCAAAGGCGGGTTTTGAGCAGAGACGAGAAGGGGAAGGAGAAGGAGAATATATTCCAGCTCATGGATCGTGTGTTAGATAGAGCCGAAAGATTTAAACACCAGGATTATCATCGTTTCCGGTCGTGCACCGCTGTTTCCAGGAGTTAATACCTAGAAACGAAACGTAAACTTCTAGAGAATGGTTCTAAATCATTCATAGGAAAGCAGTATATATGTATATATATGCAATCCCGAACAACCATCGCCCACAACTTGTTAGCTAGCTCATCACCTGCCGCTTTACTCTTGCAACAAATGACTATTTAGTCGATCACCTCCCTCGTCCGCTCTCTTCGACCCCACTTCGGTTCTTTCGCCCTCTCCGGTCGACCAGCTGGAAAGGATCGTCGGCGAGACTGGCGTCTACGGCTTCAGCATCCCGTACGCGATATTACGGGGCAATTTCGAGGACATCATCAAGTACCTCTACCCCGAGCTGAGGGCGTCGTGGCCTGCTTTCGGACGGTTACGCTGCCCGCGGAGACACGCCGAAATAGAACTCCAGTGCGGATGGGATGATCCTAGAGTAAGAGATGATCATCCGCGTCTAACTATCGCTGGACAGCAGGAAAACAAATCCCCCAGAAGACGCCGGAGGAGAATTCAGTGCCAGTTCAAAATGGCAACAACTGATCCTAGCTTTGACCATTCTCCCCACCACTGAGTACTGAGAGATTTTGATCTCTGGGCCCGGATTATGGAATACAGTAGTAGAATTATCTTATCCACTTGGTTGAAATGGTCTGTTCATTGCTGGAAACCTAGAAATACTTCCACACGTCCTACATGAAGTATTCGTAAAGTAGGACATTAGTGCCTATATCTGTATCCACATAAAAGTCCTAGCGTCAGACAACCCATGTATCAGAAGCGTCCTGCATGACTTTGCATCCACATCCCATGTTCCGATGGTCGTGAAGAAGATAAATGCTTGTGCATAGGGCACCAACGATGGCCGTGTCAAGAATGGATTGGCCTACATTGTATCTTTCTGGGACATCTCAGGAGTCTCCTCAGCTTCGGCCCTCAGTTAATGCCATGTTGAACGACCCGTACATCCAAGTAGCGAATTGGCTGATCGGGAAACTCCAACTCGCCACATCTCCGTTGAAATGCCCGCTGGCCTCGGGTTTAGCGCTTCAGTTGCTTTCCGCTCGTCTTTGCTCTGACTTGCTTCAGCATCCCTCTCGGAGAAGGATGATGCAAACAAACACACCAGCAACAAAGGATCTGTGGCAGAAACGTCGACGAATAATTCAACAGCTTCGGAATTCATACTAGTCGAGGCTGTTTGTACCTCGGACGATCCACTTGAAGCATTTCCCCCCGCAAATCCGACACAGGGTCGAATTCCTGTCCGTGAAATGTGGGTCCGTATAACACCGAGGAACGGAGAATGTGAGGCTATGGATGGTTGAAGACATGCTTGTAGGAGCTGTAAATGTATTTTGATTGTCAAGTCCTGTTTGCGACCATACCTGAGTGACCAAGGATATTGCCAGACTCTACCAGTGCCATGATTGCCGCCAACGAAACGCAGACTGACTGGTCAGCACCCAGCCAAAAGCCTATCGACGATGATCGCCCGATCAAAGTGATTTGTATAGGAGCGGGCATCTCTGGCATGCTGACAGCCATTCGGTTCCCTCAGAAGATCAAGAATCTGGAGCTTGTGATTTACGACAAATCGGACGACATCGGTGGAACGTGGCATGAAAATCGGTATTTATCACACCAGCCATATTGCTTTATTCGTTTCCACGCCATGGGAGCTAATCTATGTCTTCCAGCTACCCTGGTGTGGCCTGCGACATTCCTGCTCACAGTTACCAATTCACATTTGCGAACAACCTCAACTGGAGTTCCTTCTATGCTGAAGGCCCAGAAATCCATCGCTACCTGAAGAATGTCGCTCGGCGATATGATGTTGAGCGCTACGTCAAGCTCCGGCATCTTTTCCTTGGAGCCCGGTGGCAGGCGTCGGACGGAAAATGGGAGGTTGAGATTGAGGATCTCGAGAACGGAAGAGTATGCAAACTATTTTACACATGGCTTCACACATGTGCTGACGGAAAACCCAGAAATTCACTGATCGAGCAGACATCTTGATCAAAGCTACCGGAATTCTAAATAGGTGGGAGTGGCCAGATATTCCAGGTCTTCGCAATTTCAAAGGAACTCTCCTACACTCGGCGGATCGAAAGAGCTGGGAGACTCCGCTGGATCCCAAAGGGAAAAGAATAGCTGTCATCGGAGGTGGCTCATCGGGCATTCAGATTGTGCCTCAGCTCCAGCCCACCGCGGCTCGAATTGACCATTACATGAAGGGCAAGACATGGGTATCACCAGTTGGCTACGGCGCCGACAAATCCAACCGAGGAGTGACGGATAATTGTAAGTTTTCCTCTCGGACCAGACCGATCTGGTAGCACAAGACTAGGGAATATTGACCTACCTTCACAGACAAATATTCGGCCGATGAGCTCAGGATGTACCGTGAGAAGCCCGAAGAGTATCTCAGATACCGCCGAGAAATTGAACGAATCATGAACGCCAAACCCGAAATCCTGTTCAAGGGCACGGAAGAGCAAAAAGCCTTCTTCGCGCTGAACGACGAGTCGATGAAGCAGAAACTCTCCAAGAAGCCACACATCTATGAGAGCTTACGGCCGGACTTTTCGCCATTCTGCCGCCGGCTCACGCCTGGTCCCGGCTTCTTGGAAGCGCTGGTCGAGGACAATGTGGACTTCATCGGCTGTGGAATCGACACGGTCGTAGAGAACGGTATCAAGGCGAATGATGGAAGGGTACGCGAAGTGGACGTGATCATCTGCGCTACAGGCTACGACACGTATGTTGTTCTTGCTCCCAGCTTCTATATGAGCTGACCCATTGACTGGTGTGCAGATCCATGGAAAACGAACCACCCATCGTGGGACTCAACGGGACGACTCTCGCTGATATGTGGAATCCCGACCCTCAAGCCTATCTTTCGATTTGCGTCCCGAAAATGCCAAACTTGTTCCTTTACTTTGGCCCCAATGGTGGCGCCGGATCCGGGTCGGCAATATTCTTCCTCGAGTCGGTGACGCTCTATCTCGTCAAGCTTGTACAGAAGATCCAGCGAGAATACATAAAGTCCATGGTCGTTACGTACGTGGGAAAGCCCCCCATGACCCCCTTTTTCTTGACACGTAACATGCGTTGGACCTCGAGCACGAATACATATGGCTGACCTTGTTGCCTGATCAGCGAGAAAGCCACCAGCGACTTCGTCAGACACGTCGACGAATACTTTTCCAAAACAGTTTTCACCGAAACCGTATGTTCAAAAGATTCTCTTTTGCCCCTTCCTTGTCGGTCTCATTGGTGCTGTTGCCGCTAGCTAACAGAAGCCAACAAAACAGTGCAAATCCTGGTTTAAACGAAACAAGCAGAACGGTCGTGTCACTGCGCTGTGGCCCGGCGCTTCGATTCATACTCAGAAGGCTCTGGAAAACCCCCGCTTCGAAGATTTTCAATATGAATACCTTGACGCCTTGGGCTCCAACACCATGGCGTGGCTGGGCAACGGAACAACCGTGGCCCAGATTAGTGGACAGGATACCACTGATTACCTCGTCGACAATGACATTCCCCCGCCTATCGTGGAGGGGGTCCATGAATGGGACAATTGATGACCAAGGAAGACCTACCGTGGTGGTGTTTGACCTCCCTGGTGATTGTTAACACTTCTGCAAGCTGTCGACATCAACTAAGCAAAACTGCTTATTACTCGACCAGACAGCCGACCTTTTTTGTTGGACCATAATACATGCGTCTTAGAATCCCATAGTTGAATAGATGAATCTGCAAATTATCACTGCTCGACTTAGAATGCCTGTCTCTCTGGGCTAATAATGGAGTTTGAACCTGAACTGGACCAGCAGCTAGCTACAGTACTGACCCAGAGCGTCCCAGCCGATAGTGCAATGGACCACCCGAAAGAAATATTGAGAAGCGAAGCAATAGCCAAGGTTCTACCTCGAACGGCTGCTGACATCGAGAAAAATAAGGAAAGGAAGCAGCTGACAGTTGCCTGTATATTGTATTTGTTCCTATTCTGATTTTTACATAGGGTCTGTACATTGTAGCCGATGTCAATTTTCATCTCGAAAAGTTGCTATGTTTGGCAAACCCAGCATCTCTAGGAAGATCGCTTAGGCGAATACTCATACTGTGTATGCGGGGGGTCTTTTTCATCTCCTTGATCTGTCAGGGCCGCTTCTCCATCCTCTTTGTCGAGCCTGGCGTGGTGCAACTTCGCCTCAAGCTCTGCGCGATGCTCTGGTTTGGCGTAGAGGTAGTCGATTTCTTCCAAAGTAAGACCCTTTGTCTCCTTGACAAACAAGTAAATGAACAAAACCTGTAAGACGTTGCCGATGCAGAAGAGCAGGTAGAATTTCCACCCAGCATGCGTGATGCCAATTGGGCCAACCTGTGTGAGAGAATGGTTAGACCGATCATATCCACGGACCAGCAAATTGTGGACGACTTACCTTGACCACCACAAAAGTCATGAGCCACTCCATACCAACGGACAGTGCTGAGCCTGCGTGACGCAGATGAAGCGGTGTCACTTCAGCCGCGTAGAGGAAAGGCAAACCGCACCACGAACAACCGTAGCAGAATTCGAATAGGAAAATAAAGACCACCGATGCTGTCAAGGACGAATCGTTGTACACTCCAAGCCCGATGGTGTAGCAGATCATGCAGATTGAGCAGCCCACGGCTCCCCAGAGCAAGACGGGCCGCCGGCCCAGAACTTCGACGGACCAGATAGCGGTCAGTGTGCCACCCCAGAAGACGAGGGACAGGCCTCCCGAGGTGATGCCTGCCTGATTCTGAGTCATGCCGAGATTGTTGATGAAGAGGTATGAGGCGTAGTATGCGATCAAGCAGATACCTCCAAGCTGTTGAAAGAACTGGATCAGGATGCAAATCCAGATTCGCCATGTTGCATTGACAGGGGACCGATCGAAGAAGATGTCTGATAACTTGAACTTGACTTCATGTTCAACCTCCAGAGCCTGTATGACCTCGCGATGATGCTGTAGAACAGTGGGGTGGTCGATCGCCACGTTGAAGATGCGAGCAATAACCGAGTCTGCTTCCTCGAGATGGCCCTTGCTGTAGAGATACCGTGGCGATTCGGGCAGCAGTGTAATAGTTCCAAGCGTGAGAACGCAGAAGACGATTTGAAAGTAGAGTGGAAGGCGCCAAACGATCCCCCCGGTCATGTTTTTGACCATCCCATAGTCGAACCAGTAGGCAATCACAAGCCCGAGAATAACGATCGAGATCTGTACCGAGACGAGGGCGCCGCGGCGGGAGGCGTGTGCACACTCTGATACCCACACGGGGATGATGGAGGAGTTGATGCCCGTTCCGAATCCGCCTACAACACGGCCAGCAATCATCATTGGGACCGATGTTGCTCCGCCTTGCAGTCCAGCACCGAGAATCAGAAGACAACATCCGATCATCACCAGGACGCGGCGGCCGACTTTCATGCCAAAGATCGCAGTCCCGATACAGCCGACCAGACAACCGATGTCGTAAATCGCCACCACAGTCCCTTGTAGGTTGGCATCAGAGGACGCGATCCCGAGCCCGTTCAGCAGCTGCGGAGTCGCGATCAGACCACCAAACACTCCCTGGTCGTAGCCAAACAGCAGAAAGGCCATGGCGGACGAGAGCATGATGCAGATCTGGAGCCACACTCCTTTGAGCGAGCTCCAATAGCCAACGTGAAAGTTCCCCATCCTTCACAACGGTATGGTGATGAAGCCAAATGCTTCGCAACTGTTGACAAGTAGGTGGACTTGGATCTTGTAATTATACTAGTAGCACCAACACCAAGGATGCGTCTGCCCCATCAAGGAGTTCACAATAGCCAATGGTTCCATGAGCGAGCTGGAGCACCCTTCAGGTATATACCCAACAGTCTGGGGTCACGGGGACCTGGTCGATGCCCTAGATGCCGAGGAGAATAGATCTCCGAGTTCACCAATCTCCGACCGAGGAATTCCGGTCGCCCCAGTTTTTCTGACCCGTCGATAGGGCAATCGATGACTAGTGCGTCTGGGGTAACCCCAGAGAAGACAGCTTCGTCTGGAGTAGATTGTGCTCTGGAAATGTCTGTGTGGTCAGAGACCGATGCTGCCTGGGGAAGCTTGTGCGCGGGTTACAATGCCGAGCACGAAAGCGAAATCAACTCGGAAAGCAGGGCGTTCAATAGTAGACACAACGTAGGCATTCTGAAAGACGTGATAGTTCCGTAGGCGTTTCCTTATTCGCTGTATAAAAGCATGCGACTGTAGGTTGTGGGAAGCGTCCGCTGGTCTGCAATAGAGTATCAATTCTAACTTTGGCCCTGCAAAATATCTTCCCATGCACCGAGCCAAGGTGATGTGATGTCGTCAGCTGCGGTAAATTCTTTAAGGGTCGGCTGGAGACACGGTTGAGTGTAAGGATCAAACGACGAATGGGACGACCAGCTTCCAAACACTGTGTTGCCAGCAGCGTTTAGTTGCTCCTCATCACAGCCCTCCTCGAGCTCGAAGAGATAACACGATGAGAGGCCGTCGATGTCCTGTCCTGCGGCCTTTCTTAATGGACTTTCCGCGAGGCTGGCTGCTCGAATCCATTCAAAATTGTCGGGGCTCACATGTTCCCCGGCGATCGCCCTGCCTTGTCCTGAATTCCTTCCGTCTTCCGTGACCGGCCCAGGAGGCCCTGGAGGTGTCGAGAAGACTGAAAACCAGTCAGCAAAAGAGTTGATGAGAATATGATGGCACATACTGTTTCGTGGAGGGATTCCAGGTGTTTGTAAGAGGCCGCCAGCACCCTTGCTCGCAGCCTCTAACAGTGCCACTGCCCGTTGCACAGCTGTAAATCTCTTTCCGAGCGTTTGCAGAAGCCCCGTCAACGATGTCAACCTTTGAACCGCGAGGCTGTGTGCCTCTCCATGGGATGATTTGGCCTCGAGGATCAAAATTGATACGGGAGGCAAGAGAAAATGGAGACTTCGTGCATTAGCGGGAGATAGCATTCAGCGCGATCACAAACTCACCTCCAAGCTGGCATGAAATAGGGAGATTGTGAACCCAATACATCTTGGGCTAGTTGAGAAGCTTGATGTGCAGCATCGCATGCCCTTTTTCTCAGCTTCCTGCAATTCACTCTGTCATTTGCTGTATGGCGGCACCGCAATGTACAACTTGAGTCAAAGTAAAACACGCATTCTGCAGCCGCCATAATCATCCGCAAGAAAATGCGCTCAGACGCCACACGGTGCCCAGCATTCGACGAGGGATGTTCATCTGGTGATTGTCTGAGCTTCTCAAACAGGTTCCCTGCGATCTTCTGCGACTGATTTCGAAAACGAGACAGTTCCGGACTCGTGAGAGCCATGGAAGGGCCCTCCTCACTCCCATATGCAATGGTATCATGGTGGCTTGACGGACAGGGAGCGGCGTGCTTTATCGAGAGCATATCATGGATATGAGACATTGAGCGCACGAGACTCCTAAAGGCTTCCTGGTCGTTGAACTCGTGTGATTGCAAAATATGCTCACTTTCGACAGCGATTCGCATTTTTGGCAACCGCCGCCGACTGAAGGCGAAAATCGTCTCACTGACGAAGCAGCAACACCATAATCGGTGCAAAAATGCCTTGTCTTCAGCATCCTTTGCAGCACGCACAATTTTCAAAAGGTCTAGGGACTCCGCATAAGCCAGTGCAGTCCCAGACCAGAAGCAGCAATCTCTTGCACCGTCTCTGACCTCAGTGCTTTGCGTCATAAGTAAGAGGGCCTGTAGACGGTTGATAGGATCAGATTCGACATCGCAATGTATGAGATGCCTGACGCGCCCATAGCAAAGCTGCTGAGCGTCTTGGGCGTTATTGTGTCCAAGCTTCTGTAGAAGTGGCGCTGGTGCAAACTAAGTCGATGTCAGCAGTTGAAGTCGTTTTCGATTTGGTAGCTTACGGGACAAACAGCCATGATGACTGCCCATACCTCCAGCAAGCTGGGACGGAGGTTTTCCCTATTATTCGGGACTGCACCAGGAGATGAAGCCAGTGCCACACGCCCTGGATGCAGGACAGGGAAAATGGGGTGGATGGTGTCCCAATATACCGAGTAAAACTGTCTCACAACTGTCCTCGATGGAACTTCAAACAAACCCTTGTTGGCAAGAAATTCAATGGTGGCTGGGTCAAGATGGGTGGGTAAGGCTGCAATGAACGATGGTAGGCCACCGGTCCGCCGTTTGTTGGATTCCTGTGTCTGTAGGATTGCGGAATCAAGCAAGGCTGGCTGTCTGGATAAAGACATGCTTCCGTCGTTACTGTCGACTTGTCTCGGAGATTCGTAGGAACAAGTTGGGCTACCTCTCGCTGCGGCGTTGTCTGGTTGTTAGTCCTCAGAAAAGAGAATCTCTTGACAATGAAGGATCAAAACATACAAAGCATCGGACGATCCACTTCGGGCTGCACTCCACACTGAGACGAGGCGACCTTGCGATGAAGCACAACGCACGGCTTCGAGTCGAGCTTGCAATTTGTGCATGGTATGCCTTGATGCTGCTGGTCACACCGGACTTTTCTTTCACGGCAAGATTTACATGCGCGGATCGCTCGGCGCTTTCGTTTCATCACGGTCGTTGTCGCTGCCGAAAAACAGCCTTCAGGGCTCTCTCGTATGCTCATCATGTTATGGCTTTGGTGCATGTTGCGTGCTGAAGACCCAACACCGAAGCTGTTTGGAGAAAGAAGAAGAGGCTACCAGGCTGGACCAAGTCAAAATATGGCCACGAGGGCCAGCGACAGAATAGGCCCAGTCAACCTGGAGTAGCTACTGGTGGTGTGGAGGCATCGTCGGCTAACAGTGTGGAAACCTGAGAGGGGCCGGCGACGACCATGGACTCGACTCGCCCAGTCCCTCCTTCCACCCCCTTGTTGACAGCGCTGTGGGGAAACGGAGAGCCAAAGAACCAAGTCCCCGGGCTCACCAGGTAGACGGCCACCTCATGACCCAGCCTAGTGAGCCCTTATTGCGGGGAGGCTCATTGGCGCTGCTGCCCCTTGCAGGTCGTTGCCCAGGCCGGATATCGGAAAAGACCACGGAATTCGCCATACTTACAGAAGGTTAGTCTTTGCCGAGGGACCCTTCAGTGGCGAACGGAGGGTTCTTCTGCTTGAACCCAGCAGAGAAGAGCTTCTCCTGCCTCATTCGAATTGCCTCAGTACTATAGACGAAGAAACCGAAACAGATTAGGGAACATGCCACCCGAAGGTGAAGGACAAGCGAAGCGGCGATACTCTTCCAACGCATGTATGACCTGCAGGAGAGCCAAAATCCGAGTCAGTCTTCTCCTACAAGTTGGACAGCATCGGGCATAAATGGGACTAGGGCTCTGACTGCCACAGTGCGACAACAAGAAACCCCGGTGTTCCAACTGCGTGTACCGTGATGTCGATTGTTTATTGGGCGAAGATCGTCGAAAGTGAGTCTGTCCATCACGGTCATGAAAGCAAAGAAAGAATAACATCGAGCGCAACTAGACCTTCTTCCGGCGTCAACAAGAATGTCAAGAACAACGGAGCCAATGCCGACGATATCCTCACGAGCAACTCTTCGATTAAGTGGCCGATGGCGAGTCCAGCTCCTTCAAAGTTGGGAAATGCTTCCTATTCGACGCCGTCGCCTATAGGAGAGCAAATATTCAATCCTTTCAACCCTCTCCCGCGCGACGAACCTCGGACGAGGTCGCAATTTGCAGACGCCGGAGTCGACTATTGGATCGAAATTGCTGGGCAGGAAGGCTTCGCTGAAGCGAGCGACGAGCTCGATCTGCTGGACCTTCATTCGATCGATACGGCCCATCTTTTACCACTTCCCGATGTTGACATGCCAAAGGACAGTACAGCACATGATATCGACCCAGTGTTCACCAACGAAACCGAGGCATTCTCCGTATCAAATGATTCCAACCGACTTAATGCTCGTAAACCGAGTGCCAGTGAAGCAGACAGCGGCCAAGTGCGGGTAGACGAGCCCACGGAGCAATTGGCCAGTCGGCTAGGTTGTCTTCGCATCGCTGAGGATGGCCATTTGAGATACTATGGTGCTACCAGCAATCTGCATCTGATCCGCAACGGCTTCCAGCATTGTTTCCAGCCCTCTATTCGCACAATTCGCACGCATGGTCAGGATGCCCTTGAACGTGCTGGTCTACACTGGCCTCCGGACACTCGATACGAAGACCATCTCACCACCTTGTTTTTCACCTGGCACAACACGTTCCTCTGTGTCGTGGATGAGGCTGCCTATTACCACCATCGACAATTATACCGCGCGGGTAACACCACCATCTACTTTTCTCCGACGCTGGAGAACGCAATGTAAGCCATCATTCTCAGACTAGTGTTCAGGCCACTGACCTGTGTGATCTAGACTTGGAATTGGTGCCGCCTATGCAACTCGTAAACACCCGGCAATCAAAGACGACCCAGCCGAATTCTTCGCCCACCGTGCAAAGGTGCTCCTGGACATCGAGATGGACAGCCCGAGCGTGGCCACCATCCAAGCACTAGTAACTTTGTCGGCCCACGAAGCGGCCTATGCAAGGGACTCCAGAGGTAAGAGTTGTTCCCTCGGTTATGCTGTTCGTTCACAGGCACTGACTCGATGTGCAGGATGGCTCTGTGCAGGTATATAAGTTGAATGTCTCTCGTGCGACACCAGCGTCTCATATGGAGATTTAGGAATGGCGGTGCAACTCCTTTCAGACTTGGGATTACATCTGGAGCTCGACCACGCGCGCGTCTCAGACGATGACACTCCAGACATCACAAATTTACGTCGAACAGTCTTCTGGGCTACGGAAGGATTGGAAATGTGAGTATTATGCTTCAAGTACTCCGTTCTACTCGTCTGAATGTGTAAAGTCGATAGTGTGAGTTAACTGGAACCATTTCTACAGCTTGTGGAGCGCCTACAGTGGCAGACCGTCGTCACTCCGACACGATGATCAGAGAATACCATTTCCTGCACCACTAAACTCAGAAACATGGCGACCGTATGTGGACGAGGGTGACTCGGCACAGATCCCAGCCGGCCTTGATGTGACCGTCATCGGCCAGACCCACGTTTACATGGCGCGGTTGGTAACCAAAATCCGGAAGATATCAAGGTTTCTGTTGGTAGACAATCTGCCTTTTTGCCAAAGTTGAGAGCGCGCTGATGGATCGTTGATTAGCTATACTGGGCCACAGGTGGCAATGACCGAGGCAAAGACGTTTGCCAGAAACATGATGCGAGAGTTGCAACACTGGCGGAATTCTCTGCCTGCCGCCATGCAGGTGCCTTTGGATTCCGATGACGATGCCGACACGCCCATCGCTCCAGCAGTGATCATGTTACAGTATGTTTGGAATATGCTCATTCGTCACCAACAGCTGCTGATTTCGGGACAGTCTGCAATTTCACGAAGCCGTCATTTTCCTGCAGAGGCCATTTATATCCGCGCCAGATGCGCTGGGAACGAACATGCTCGAAGCAGGCCCAGTCGACAACAGTCGAAGCATTTGCGATGCTTCCGCGAACGCCATCTGTCGCCTTGTCGTCATCTATCGGCAGCAATGGAACTTGCGACGCGTCCACGCACAGATTGTCGCCATCATCCTCACGGCGGCGCTCATTCATGTGCATAACTGCTGCGTCTTCTCCAGTTCGAAAGGAGTGCAGGCGCATAAACAACTGTCGATATGCTTCCAGGCTTTGGGCGAAATGTCGCACTTCAACATGAGCACTCGGGCTCTCGAAATCATCTTGTCACTGCGGCGAGATTGGCAAGATCAGATGTTTCGCGACCTGGGGAGAAAGCGCCTCGGTGGTGATCTTCAGCGGCTTCGTTAGAGGATATCAGAGCAACACCTACTGTGGCGTCTCTCATTCTTATTGTGCTACTTCAAATGTTCCACTGAAGGCCTCATCCCGGACAGTTTGAGGGTGTAAGTACGCTTTGAGCACGAAAACGTTGCCTCAAATGCCTGAACTTGGCTTTCTCCGGTCTGGAGTTTTGATCCACGCCATTGTAACGTCTGAACAAATGAGTTTCATAATGGGAAATTCACGTAATATTGCCTGTGCACGTCTGGAGAAGCTTCATGTTTTTCAAGCAATGTAAAACACGTGTAGTCACCCGTCGATCGAGTCGTCTAACGGACTACCCAACTTCTTTACAACCCACGGACTAACACATAAGTCAGGGGGGAGCACTCCGCTCTAACTTAGGTGGACTTAATGCCATCTCCGAGGGTCCACGGCTCAGGGTTTTCTGGCGTGTCCATCGATTCGGAAATCAGTGAGCGAGATCCGAGGGATCGTAGTCTGTATGATCTCCGAAGACAAAAATGCTGGTGCGAGCGACTTCCTCGCACTGAGCGCGAGAGGGGGTTGTTTGTTACCACGCCATAGGAGGAAGAAGAAAACAGCACTGCCTGGCCAAACATGTCGTACAGTGACTTGAAAGAGAAGACATTCATTGTCACCGGCGCCGCCTCGGGCATGGGCCGGAAGACGGCCCATCTGCTGGCCAAACAGGGCGCCAATCTCGCGTTGGTCGACTTGCGAAAACCAGACGAAACTCTCGCTGAGATTGAGGCCTTGGGCGTACGAGGACTTGCCTTGTCCTGCGACGTCCGGGATGCTGCGGCGGTGGCGAGTGTGATCACCCAGGCGCGAGAGCATTTTGGGGCCCTGCACGGGGCGGCAAACATGGCCGGAATCGTGGGGAACCAGGGCATCAAGGGGAAAGGTCATGCGCTGGATATTCTTCCGGACAAGGATTGGGATTCCATCATGGACGTCAATCTCAACGGCGTCAAAAACTGCCTTCGAGCCGAACTGAACGCATTGGAGGATGGAAGCTCGATCGTCAATGCCGGCAGCATTGCTGGCCAGCAGGCCTGGCCGTTTCTGGGTCCTTATTGTGTCAGCAAGGCCGGGGTTCTCAGCCTGAGTAGGATCGCCGCGCAGGAAGCAGGGTCTCGGGGCATTCGAGTGAATGCAGTCGCTCCGTGAGTGGGATCGATCTCCTCCCATACACGCATACATACAAAAAGGGAGAAAAGAAATAACTAACGTGAACAGGGGTATGATCCGAACGCCCTTGACACAGGCCATCGGCACTGACCAGGAGCTCCACGACGCGATGGGTGTGCGGACGGCGTTGAAGCGGATTGGGGAGCCAGAAGAAGTCGCACGGTTGATTGTCTTCCTCTTGAGTCAGGAATCCAGCTATGTAACGGGCACGGTAAGTCTGTTTGTTTATCTATCTCCCACAGGGCTGTGAAAGAAGATGACGAGCACCCACATTTTCTAATCTATATAACAGGTCATTAACGTTGACGGTGGATATTCGTGACGAATCCAATCTAAATCTAAGAGCCCAGTCTTGGTGCCCTGTCCCTGTCCCTGTCCTGTATACTCCCCCAGGCAATTCTCAAAGTGGTCACTCTTTGCGTGACGCATGCCGGATCTACATAGATTGCTTACAAAAGGCTAATAAGACTATACCTCCCGCTGTCACTTCTCCTTCTGGCGATGCTTGTTGCCACATTATGTATGGATGACTACAGCACGGTACGGTTGTAGATGAATGGCAAGATCTGTGTGGTATGTCAAAAGACGCCAGGAGAAACCTGAAATGTATACGTTTCTCGTCCCGCGATCCTTGTGCGCCGATATGCGGTATGCAACCCCTCGCTCCAACGTGCATTGACACTTCCTCGTCTCGTGCCTACAGGCCCATCCACATCCAAAGTCTGCCTGCCTGCCCATAACATTGGTGAAGAAAAAGAGAGAGACAGGGAGAGAGTCATACGTGGAGGACCTTGCACGTAGTTAGGCGTTGCAAAACAAACGCCGCATCAGGAATGGTCATATAAGGCCGTTTGACTTCAGAAAAGGACGGAGAACCTCACCCCATTGTGGGCACGTTTGCACATTCTGAAGCACTAAACATAGCAAGCGAGACAGAGATACCTGCTGTCAGACGCTTCCTGGCATCTGTCTGGCATATGCTTCTTTCCTATATGTGCTCCGTTATACACCTTCCGCCCCGAGCAATCAAATGAGGGCTCCGACATACCGTCTTCCCCTGTCATCTTCCTTTTCCAAATCAACCACTCGCAACGTTTAAGAACATGCTCTTCAGCACTAGGTACTCGTCAATACCTTGACGTCCACCTTCCCTGCCGAAGCCGGACTGCTTCACGCCGCCGAACGGGTTCTCCGCTGCCGAGAGAAGCCCAATGTTCACACCGACGACACCAACCTGGGGGCCACCAATCGTCAGCACAGTAAACTAATCTACAGGTCGAAGGGCACGTTGCGAGGGGAGAGAAAACAATTAAAAAATAGACTTGCCTCTAACGCTTCGCTGACGCGCCACTGCCGGGGCATGCTGGATGTCATGACAAAGGCTCCCAGCCCAACCTCGACGTTGTTCGCGAGTTCGATGACTTCCTCCTCGGTGTGGAATCTGTACAGGGGCAGGACCGGACCGAAAACTTCGTCTCGCTCGGTGATGGTGTCGCGCGGCATATCTATTCATAGTAGTGTTCTAGTTAGCCAACGCAGAATGGGAGTGAGAGTGGTAGCTCGCGCTTCAGGGGCAACACGGACCTGTAATAATGGTTGGCTGGACATAATACCCTTTGGTTCCGTCAACGCGTTTGCCGCCCAAGATGATCTTGCCTCCGTGGGTCTTTGCCTCTAAGGCCCGTATCAGCATCGTCCTGAGTGGTCATCAGGCTCTGCGGAATGAGATCAAACCTTCGATATGGGTGAGCACTTTCGACAGGACGTTTTCATGAGTCAAAGGTCCAACGAAGACGCCATCCTGCGATCCTCATTAGCCCATGTGTCCTTTGCTCAAGGGTCGTCCTTGAGGCTGTGGTACCTGAGTTCCCGGACCAATCTTGAACGTCGAAATAGTGTTAGACAAAGCTGTGGCGAACCTGTCATAGATACCGTCTTGGACGTAGATCCGGTTGGCGGCCACACATGTCTGGCCAGTGTTTCTGAACTTGGCTGTTGTCACATCAGTCAGCTAATCAGTGATTGATTCAACACTCTGGCAGACGCCTTCCGGGGACGCCACTGACCCATAACGGCCGCCTCGACCGCGACGTCAACGTCAGCGTCATCAAAAACGATGAAGGGACTATTTCCTCCGAGCTCCAAGCTGAGTTTCTTCACGGTCGGCGCACACTGTTCCATCAACAGTCGACCGACTCTCGTGCTTCCCGTGAAGCTGACCTTCTTGACGATTTTGTTCGTGCAGATTTCCTTGCCGACCTCGGCGACGGTGGTCAAGCTGGTGATGATTTGAATCACGCCGGCGGGAATGCCCGCCTCCATGGCCAGGACGGCCATGGCACCGGCAGACAAGGGCGTCTCGCCGGCCGGTTTCCAGATCGTGGTACATCCAGCAGCGATGGCGGCGCTAGCCTTGCGGGTAATCATGGCCATCGGGTAGTTCCAGGGCATCAGACATCCAACCACGCCAATCGGCTGTTTCATTGTGACGAGTCGCTGCTTTCTGTTGGCGGTATAAATGTTTTCACCGTGAGTCCTAAGTTGGAGCAGGACTGTCAGCAGGGCCATAACTTACATCTTTGTCTTATCACGAAATGGAGTAGAGGATGTCTCACCTCTCCGCTTCGCCGGCAAACCACTCAAGAAAGCTGCAGGCGTAGATGACTTCGGCCCTCGCTTCGTACAGCGGCTTGCCCGTCTCCAGAGTGATGATCAAGGCAAAGTCCTCTGTGTTCTCCAGACACAAATCATTCCACTTCCTCAGCATCCGCGCACGGTCCCGGCCTGAGGTATTCTTCCACGAAGCGAAAGCTTTGGAAGCACTCTCAATGGCTCGGGCTGTGTCTGCCGCCCCCATCTCAGGAAAAGTGGCCAGTTTTTCACCTTTGAGCACAACCGGTTAGGTCACCATGTCCTGTTCCCACCATATTGGAAAAGTTCTGGGCGAGGTTACCTGTGCCAGGATCGATCAAATCGAAAGTTTTCCCCGAAGCGGCATCGGCCCATTGTCCGTCAATGAAGCCCTTATAATGCAACAGCTTCTTGTTTTTGACATCGGAAAGCGATTTGGTCTGCTGGAAAGAGCCAAGAGAACCCATGGTTGATGATAGTGGCCTGTAAAACTAACTTGATGTCGAATATTGAAAGGCAAAGACTGATGAACAACAAAAAATCTCAATCGGAGGGATTAATATTTGTGCAACCGAGAAACAGAAGACAAGTCAGTTCTTTCCCGCCAGAGCATGTTGACTCGTTACTGCCAAAAACCCCACCGGTATCGTAGCTCTCTCCGTTGTAGAGACACTGTTGAAGCCGCCCGAACCGTGAGTTGGAGTCGACCTAGGGATCAGATCACATGCTGGTAGCTTCTTTGGCATGAGTCTCGCCACGCTGTGGTGAGCGGAGGATGGAATCCGGGGTAAGGATTCTGGGGTCGAGGGCATTTCCAGTGGGAAACTGTTAGTGGGGAAGGTAGGGAACATGGTGGTGAGATGCTACACACGAGGAAACAGGTCAGTGGGGAGGGGCAGGTACCTCGTAGATGAGAGAGAAATCAGTCTTGTGCATTGTACGTGAACTGAACAAGCTGGATTACTCTCTCAGTCTCGACCGGTGTCGGGGAACGCAAGGCTGAAGCAGTCCGATCTCGAACAGTCTGACCCGTAGAACATACACTGATCTCCCTTTCCTCTCCCTCCGACTGCGGAGGAAGACCGGCCCGACAGCGCGACAGGTGAGCCTGCCTCACTGAATCAAGCCCTCATACTCGAGGCCTACAACAGGTGAAAGGGGGAACAACAGATGTGACCATCGTCGTTGTCTCCTCCTGTTGTCAACGGACAGAGAGAAGGTGAACTTGGAACAAGCAATCCATCCATCAATCACCATGATCGCCAAATCCTTCCCCGTCAGAATCTTCGCGCCGGCGCCCATGTTGGGCTATGGCTACGATATCGTCGACTTCTGGACCACCATCATGGATGAGCACACGCGTCCAGACGCCATCATTATGGACAGTGGCTCCACCGACCCTGGCCCGTACATGCTTGGGAGTGGCCGGACCATTGTCAGCAAGCAAGCATTTGCACACGATCTCACCCCAGTCCTCGAAGCTTGTGCTGAGTTTGGCATCAAACTACTCATCAGCTCTGCTGGTGGTGCGGGTACCAATGGGCAGGTCGACTTCATGGTCGGCGTTGTGCGCGAGATCAGTGAGAAGAAAGGATACAGATTCAAGGTCTCGACGATCAAGTTCAAGGACGATCGGCAAGCGATTTTGAAAAAGCTCCAGGCGGGCGTCATCACGCCCTGCGGACCCGGCCCAGCGCTGAAAGAGGGAGATGTATCGGACGCCGTCGCTGTTGTCGCACAGATGGGCGCGGAGCCATTCATGAAAGCACTGGAGGATCCAGAAGTGGACATCATCATCTCCGGCCGATCGTACGACCCAGCTCCGTTCGCAGCATACAGCATGCATCGTGGCGTCCATCGTGACCCGGCGTGGCATATGGGGAAGATTGTCGAGTGCGGCGGACAGTGCGCGGTACCCAAAGGCCGATCGATCGTGGCCACCATGTATCAGGACAGCTTCGTGCTCACACCCGTCACTCCGGGCCAGAGGTGCATCCCTCGCTCCGTCGCCGCACACACCATGTACGAGAAGACTCGTCCAGATCGGCTTCCTGGCCCGGGAGGCGTTCTCCACCTAGACAACGTGCAGTTCAAGCAGCTAGAAGACAACAAATCGATCCTCATCCGTGGGGCTTCTTTTGTCCCAACCCCGACGTATCAGATCAAACTCGAGGGTGCCACACAGGTTGGGTTTCGGTCTGCCTTCATCGGAGGCATCCGGGACCCGATTCTGATCCGTGGCATCGATGACTTCCTCGAGCAGACGGTCCGGGCCAGGACAAAGGCGGCGTTTCCGTCCCTGGGCGAGCCGGGTGGTCCCCAGCTGATATATCACATCTACGGAAGGAATGCTGTCATGGGCGCCCTTGAGCCGGCCACCACGATCCCCCATGAAATCGGTGTCCTGGGTGAAGTGATCGCCGAGACCCAAGACGAGGCCGACGCCATTGCAGGACTCGCCAGAGTCATGGTCCTCCACGCCGAATATCCAGGACAGCTGGCAACTGCAGGCAACTTTGCTTCTCCACTGACACCGTTGGAGCAGTCCGTGGGGCCCGTGTACAAGTTCAGCGTTTACCATCTGATGGACGTTGAAGATCCGCTCGACTTCTTCCCTATCGAGACGTTTTCCATCGGCAACCCAGACGCTGCGAAGACGAAGCCGGTCCCATCTGCACGGCCAGTTCGTCGGGCTGAAGACACAGTCGTCACATATCCAGAAGGTAAGCTCGAAGTGTGCCTTGTATGAGGCAATGGAAGTCTTGCTAACCGCATTGACTGCGTGTCACAGCTCCGAGACACAACGTCGTGAGTTCGCGACCCCGGATCTCGGATCTCGCAGCTGTCGTCCGGTCGAAGAACTCTGGCCCGTACGAGATCACGCTGGACATTCTCTTCGACGACGCCGTGATTTGGAAGCACGTTCGCGACAGCAACGTGCTCACGCCCGAGGTGATGAAGAAGCTCTACCACTTGACCGACGACGACATCTTGACCTGCATGTTTTTTGAACCGGCTCTCGGGTGGAAGTGCACGTTCAAACGGCCTGTCAACCAGTTGCAGGGCAGTGTGGGCGAGAGAGACACTTTCGGGACACAGCAGCATGCGCCGTTGTTGGACATTGAGGTCCCGGCTATCACAGCCACGTAGAGACGATTGGTACAGAGTAGATGTTATGTGCAAGGACGATGTCCTGATCGCGAGAAGACTTAAGGCGGTTAAGTACGAGCGTTCGTGAGGATAGTTCTGTCAGACAGGCCCCGATGTTATGTGACACAGGGTTTGGAAAGCCACAAGCTTGCTCCCAAGGTACAGGATGTGTCGGCTACCCTTGTCCGGTGTTCTAGAAACGCCCAGTGGGAAAAAGTGTAATGAAAATACGAGAAGGGAACCATCTGAAAGCTTGAATACCTCTGTCTAGAGACCGCTCTAGCTAGCGTTCGCCTAAGACGCTGGGCACCCCTCGAGCCTGTCTTAGGGACAGGTAATAGAAGTTTATCTTTATGACAGTTCCCCTTTCAAAGTGTTCACTCCGTTATTGCCATCACCAATCCCCCTGTTCTGAGGACCATATATGCCATGTACGATTCTAGGGTGGGCAATTAACCGGACAGAAATTTACACCTTCTCGCTCTCGGCGGTGTTGCCGCCTTCAAACTCGATCTGCTGTGCAAAGATCTTCTCGTCGAGAGCCTCTCGCTGTTCCTTGGTCATGTGTCCAACGTCGACGGCCACTTCGTCGCCGAACAGCGCGTTGATTTCCTCGAGCGACAAGCCTTTCGTCTCGGGCCACCAGAGGATACACGCGACAACTGTCATGGCGGTCGTGACGGCGAAGACAATGTAATACCTCCAACCGATGTTGGCGAAAGCAGTCGGCGCGGCGCAGGTGTAGATGACGGTAGCGAAGAAGAGGCCGGATACGGAGATGGATGTGCCTCGGGCGCGGAGATGGTTGGGGAAGATCTCCGTGCAGTAGATGTAGGTCACAGCGTCGACGCAGGAGCTGTAGAAGCCAACGTGGATGAAAAGGAAGGACACAGCCGCCGCGAGCCCAGCCTTGTTGGTAGTTCCCTTGTAGGTGGCTAGCAGAGCCATCTCAATGATGAGAGCCATGAGACACCCGGAGAATCCGATGACTATTGTTGTTATCAGTGATGAGCAACAGGAAGACACTCTTTTGGGACGAAAACACTCACTCAAAAGCCTCACTCGTCCCACTCGATCCACGATCAGGGCGGATAGCGCGTTTCCACCGACTCCAACCGTAACCCAGCCCGCCGTGAATGCAAGAGTGGTGGGCGCCACGTATCCCAGGGCGGTGTACAGGATGACGCCGTAGTTGTTGATGACAATGGTTGCTGTGCACTGTCCACCGAAAATGGTGAAGAAGCCGATAAGGAGGCGCTTTCGGTTCGGCCAGCCAGTGAAGAGTTCTCTGTACCCTCCAGCTCCGTGCAGTTTCTCGAGCTCGAGCTGTTTCAGCAGGGCGTAAAACTCCTCTTTGACAAGCACGCCTTGTGGATCATTCGGATCACGGTGAAGCCACTCCATCACTTTAAAGGCTTTATCGTGTTTGTCGTGGAGCACCACTGCAGCACATTGGGTTAGATATCATGCCCTAACTCAATTGCTTTGGTGAGTGGTAGAGCTACTCACACCAACGAGGACTCTCTGGGATGAAGAACAATCCACCAAGCAACATTAGGGGCGCAAAGCACTGCACCGCGAGTGGGAAACGCCACTGGAACTGTCCGGTGTAGCTGTAGCAGCCGTAGCCAACCCAGCCAGCGACCGAGTAGCCGGTGCAGAGCAGGGCTCCGTGGGCTCCGACAAAAACGCCACGGGTGTGTGGAGGAGCGACTTCGCTTTGATAGAGCGGCACTCCGCACACGATCATGCCAGTTCCAATTCCTACTGCTGTTAGCACTCTGCTTATACTTGCAGCCCATGTGGATGTGGGAATTCTCATACCAGTCAACGCCCTTGCGAACAAGAACATGCCGACATCGACGGACCCGCACTGCAGAGCTCCGCCGACCAAGCAGGTCGCCGCTGCGATTCCAATGCCGCCTCGCCGTGAGAATTTGTCGCAGCAAGGGCCAATAACGAGCGATCCAATAAGGCCACCGGCCTGGAAGAGACCGTTCATGGCACCGGTGATGGCATTTGTGTGAGACAAGCCAGGACCTTCAGTGGCTAGGTGAAGGTAGCTGAAGAAGTTGGGTTGTCCCAAGGTGGTGGCGATGATGGAGCTGCAGTAGCCATAGGTGAAAGACCCCAGAGAGATGAAGATCGTGATCTGTCGGGGCGAGACGGTTAGTCCACTGAAGCCATCTGCTTCTTCGAGATTCACAACATCCAACAGCCCATGATCTGAGACGGGTGCTTGAACGTGGCCAGGGGCCTTATCCCACTCACCATGATGCTCACGAACCGGATCTGGTCCTTGAACCAGCCCTTGCGCTGTTCAACCGCCATCTTGGTAAGGAGAAGGTGGGTGATGTCTTCAATTGAGGACGAGGGTGGATGAGGTTGTTGAGGTTGTTATCCACTGGGTAGAAGTGGTGGTAGAGATAAGGACGGGTTTGATATGAGACCACGCACAACACCGTCCAGGACTGCAACGTGGAGGAGAGATAGGCTGGAAAGCTGCCTTACGCGACATATTTCTATGCCTGACCATGAGGCCATATGCCCCTGGCCTTTCCGGAACCCCCTCTAGTGAGCCCGAACATCGGCCACTCGACAGGCTGGCTGGTGGCATCATTCAAGCTTTGATTCACCACCGGAGGGCCTAGTGCGCCTATTCTGTACTCGGTACGTACCCGCAGGCGACAAGGCTTCCGCACAATTGCCGGATTAATCACCCCAGACCGCCCCGTCTTTGTTTGAGTGGGGAAAGGGAGAGCATAGGGAGGAGTTGCGGAGTGGAAATTGGCCGGAGCAAAGATTAAGATATCCAGAAGATGTCGGTATGTGCAATGGACCTCGTACCATGTGCTTTTTGTGCCTCGGATCCGGAAAAGCAGTCATGGACCACACTGACCACACTTTGCACATGGCTTACAGTGTCCATGTCAATGCCCATGCCCATTAGTCTCTCGGGGAGCAGGGTTGAAGCGGTGAAGATTTAGCTTCTAACCAGTCAGCTACTGCTATCAAATGGAAACGACGGTAGTTTATGCATACGGTCAAGGCGACGTGCAGTAGAGGTCATGTTCTTTTGTTCCGTTTTGTCTCGCTTTGACATCTCGGCATTTTCTGGTATTGTATTGTATATAGCACGCAGCCCAGTGTCTCTAGGCACTTCGACCGCCGTCAATGATCAACTCGGTCCCAGTAATATAGCTCGCCTCATCACTTGCCAGGTAGCAGCAGCCATTGGCAATGTCCGTAACGTCGGTCAATCTTCCCAGGGGAATCAAAGAAACGAAATAGGCGCGGTTCTCGGGGGTGTTTTCCTTGCCGAGGAACTTGTGAGACCTGGGTGTAGAGGAGATGTGTTAGCCAATGCTCACAACAGGCGGGGAGACTCGGTTCTTACAGTCCTGTGCTGGCGAATTGAGGGCATATCGAGTTGAATCGGATGTTGTTGGGGGCATACTCCTGCGCCAGCGACCGGGAGGCACAGCACACCGCCGCTTTCGTGCCGTTGTACCACGTGAGGCGTGGTTTGGGCCTGGTGGCGCCGGTGGACGCAATGTTGATGAAAGAACCCCCGCTCTTGTGCTCCTTCATCCACGGGATAATGACGGCGACGGACATGAAGATGGACTTGAAGTTGACGTCGCAGGTGAGATCGAACTCCTCGTCGGGGACCCCTTCGGATGGCTAACAATCTCATCGTCAGCAGGGCGTCACGAACAGCCTGTATCGACTGTGTCCTGTCTCCTGCGTTCTTACCTGGTTCGAGTAGCAATACCCGGCATTGTTCACCACAATATCCGGCCCACCGTACAGCTCAATGGTCTTCTCCAGGACTCTCTTCCAATCCTCGCGTTTCGTCACGTCTGCCTTCACCGAGGCGCACCCAAGTTCCTTCGCGACTGCCTGACCACTCGCCTCATTCATCTCTGCGATGACTACTTTGGCGCCTTCATGGATAAACTTGGTCGAGATGGCCTTGCCAAAACCACTCCCACCACCGGTGACGATCGCCACTTTACCTTCGAGTCGGCCGGGCATTCTGCACAGGAACAAAGATACAATTCAAGAGTTTGGGATCAGTCAGTCTCTACTAGACACGTACCTGGGCGTCAAGAACCGTGAAGTTTGTGATTGTCTCTGCTCCCTCAGGAAATCTCCTCATAATATGCACTGGCTCGTCAATCAACACCACGAACCCCTCCCCGTGTTAACCGGACAGTATGTTTCCCCTCCCACGAACCCCGGGGTCCTTGGTGGTGGTGGGGGATGTCTCGAACTTCAGCATCCTCTACGAGCTCCAGCAGCTGACCAGGGCAGCAGCGACGACGGAGGGCGGTGGATAGCGAGATCAGTCCACAGCAATTTCCAACTAGCTTCACCAAAATCCCCCACTCGGCAAACTCCAGGTCTGGTGGCCTCAAGTTTCCCCCGCAAAAAGGGGGTCATCAGGGTCTCTCTAGCCGCCTCCGTCTACTCCGGACCCGGTGCAGGCTGGTCGACTAACCCCGATATCGACCTGGGTCGGTATGGCTGTGTCTGTGCCTTGCTTCTCCAGCCCAGCACTGGCCCCCTCTTGGACAGAACCCGAGGCAAGAGACAAACAGCTTGTTCTCCTCTCTCTCTGTCGAGAGCAATGTGAATGTTTACATTTCCCCAGTCTTTCTCACCCACTCAAATTTTGAAGCCACCGAAAGAATCAGCGATAATGGCCACAGGCGCTGTGTCGACCTTTCCCACTGCCTGGGCCCCACTGGCAGAGGAAGTCAGGTTCTTCAAGCCGCGCAGGAACGGGGTGACGCGAAGCCAAAAGGAACGTCGTTATCTCTGTAGCGTGTGTGGCGAATCATTTACGCGCAAAGAGCATTGTCGTCGTCATGAGCTTGGTCGTAAGCAGTTCTTTCCAACAGTGTCCTATTCAGACGTCTTCAGTAGTACAGGCGAGTGACCTAGCTAACCCGGCGAACGGTGGACGAGCAGATCGCTGGCAGAGACCACATGCTTGCCCGATATGTGGCCTCACGTCGGCACGCAAGGATGTTATCTCGCGACATATGAGAGTCCTGCATCGTGGAGCCGGGAAGTCAGCCGAGCCCCAGGAAGAACAGGCCTCTGGTGTCAACCCAGAAACATCATCCGACGAGTCCACCTACGATCTCAACAGCCAGATTGTGCAGGGCCACCCGCCAGATAATGCTAACGGTGGAGACACAGACGGCCTCGCGAATGGGCCAGTCATCCCAGAAGTCCTCCCTTCGTTGTCGACCCTGTTGAACACCCAGGGTGCTGCGGTCGGCACCAACGCCAACACCTTCGAGCTGGGTCTGGATCGAGGATGGAAAGTCCCCCTGCTGGACCGTGTGCAAGCCCCTGCCGCAAATGCCGAGGCCACCGCCAGACCCCAGATGGATTTCCAGCTCCTGGACGAGGCTTTCCTGCAATGGCCATGGGAGGATCCATTCTACGTGTTTCCGTGGTCGGACGATGTAGCCAAGAACAATCCAGCAAGGCACGCCGATCCCGACAATGGCGAGTACCAGTCGTCTGGGTTGTTTCTCGGATTGATTCCATCGGAAATCGAACAGGCGAAACTCAACCTGCAGCTCTTTGACGTCGAGAACCGTCTGTGCGATTTCGTGTTCCCCACCAACCACATGGTGATGCGGCTCGTGAGAGGATTCTTCAAGCACTTTGCGCCACACTGTCCCATCGTCCACCCACAGACGTTCTCGATCGGCACGATTCAAGGTAGGGAAAGTGCCTGCCTGATTTCAGTCCGGTGACCTTGACCTCAGCACTGACCAAACATGCGCTTTAGCACCGCTTCTGCTTGCTGTCATGGCGTGCGGGGGTGTCTACTTGAATGAGCCAGAGGTTAGCATCAGGTTGTACTTTGCGGTCTTGAAGCTGCTGAGTGAGGTACGCAAGGACTTGCCGCTAAGTCTTCGACTCCAAGTCTAACCCGGGCTGCGTCGCAGAATGAAGATTTGGTGATCGCCGGTCAGAGAGACTCGGGGTTTCAGCTCTGGGAGTTACAAACGAGGCTCCTGACCTGCCAGTACGGCCTCTTTGGTGGCGACAGTCGAATTCAACGACAAGCCAGACTCTCTTTTACCAGGCTTCACGTGGTATGTGTTTTGAGCGTGGTCATCTGGAAGCATTACACCAGCTAACCCACCCTAGCTCTGCCGAGAAGCCTCTGGGGAGGCGACGAAGGTCTCGGCGCATGACTGGACGGGCTGGGTCTTTCGTGAGAGTATGATTAGGTGAGGATTTTCCTAATCGATCTTCGCACAAACTTGTCGCCGTTCCGCAGCTGACTTCGGCCAGATGCGTGGCTTGGACCACGGTCCTCCGGGCGGTCTTGCTGTGCAACGAAGACAACGCGGTGCTGCGGAGCTCCAACACCGAGTTCGACGGGACGTTGCCCTGTTCGGAGGAACTGTGGTCTGCCGGGGCCATCACCTGGCAGAACTCACCGCGGGTCACCAATTCGTCGGTCGTGTGTTTCCGGCAACTTCTCTCCGGCGCGCCGCTCGACGACACGATCAGCCCATTTGGCCTGTTAACCTTGATCAGCGTCATCCTCTCCCACATCTGCACGCTTCGCCTCGGGAACGACACCGGCACGGTCGCGACGCCTCCACCGGACGAGGAGTCCCTCCGGCTGGCGCTCCACACGTGGGAAGAGGCGTGGCGGACTCACCCCCACGCCACGACGGTGCCGGATGCTCCTCAGGGCCCCCTCATGGCCGACGCACTGATCATTCTCAATGCCGCATACTACCGCCTGTACGCGAACGAGCCGATGAACGAAATGAAAGCGATCGCTCAGCTGCCTGCCGGCCAGGTTTCTCGCGGCCGAATCGCGAAACTCTATCACTTGGACAACAACCCCCCGGATCTGATGAAAGCGGTGGTCCGAGCCTGCCGATGCCTGATGGTCCGTGTGCGCTTGGGACTGGGCTACCTGCTCAAGACGTCGTGCTTGAACTATCCGTGCTATGCGCCCCTGATCGCTTACGAAGGCAGTAAGTCTCGTGGTGGACAACTAGATCGCCCGCCTCTCCTGTGTACTGCAAGCAGTGTGTTGACACGAAAGCTAGGTCTCATCATGTGCTGGTACCTTCTTGGTCGGCAGCTCGCGGAGATCCCGGGACCAGAAGACCTCGTCATCACCACCATGATGGACGAGATCGTCGCAGAAAGCGAATACAAATATGAAAGGCCCATTCAGAGAGAGCTGCTGCCGATGATGATCTACAGGGACATGATCAGGGAGCGATGGATCTGGCCTGGTATGTGCTCCGGGGGAACATACGAGAAGGCACGCTCCCCGCTGGATTAGATCTGCTAACTCTCGTTTCTAGCCACGTGTAATGTATTATCAAACAGTCTCGACGGCATGATCAACAGGCTTAAACCGTTGCTTGAGGGACAGAGACAAGTATGAGGCAGCAAGGTCATAATGCACCCGGTTCTCTGGAAAGAGGGGATGAAATGATCCCGGGCTCTTCGAACCGCTGACCTGTTTTTTTCCCTTATGGCATCTGGTAGCCGTGGGTCTTGTAAAACCAAATTCTGTGCTCGTTAATGCTATGGCATGCTCTCAGTTTATCCCCATGTCCAACACATCTCTATACTGAAGTAACATTGAAATGTTCCATTGGCACCGTCTTTTGCCATGCCCTGTTGACAGCGTATAGCCTATATGTTAAGTACCAATACACCAGAGTCGGCAACTACCTCACACCAGTGGGGAAAAAAGCGACAAGAAACGACACCCGGCGCGGGGATTCTTGGAGTTTTGGGGCCAAGTTCCACGGGGTTCGTGTGCCGAAAACGCGGGTGAGAGGAAAGTATGTATAGACGGAACTCAGACGGTGGATGGGCTCTAGGATCCAAGTTATTCGTCCGAGGTTCGTTCGGTCTTTTTCCGTTATCAAGTAATAAGGACAATCAACAGGCAGACAGACAGACTTGTGCCATATATACACATCCTTGGATACATCGTCACAGCTCCAAAGCAGCATTGGATTGTTTGATCTTGTCAAAGCCCACTGTTCCGGCAAAATGTCTTCCGTCGATGAGTACATGGTGCCCCCCAAGGCGGCTCCGGCGCTGAACATCCCGCCGTCCAACTCGACGGTGTCGGTCAAGATCATCGACAGCACATCGTGGATCAAGGTGCCGCTGGGCGACCTCTTCGGGCCCTCGATCCCGGGCCACGACTACCTGTCGTGCCCGGCGTTCGCGTTCCTGATCGAGCACGCCCCCTCGGGCCGCAAGGTCCTGTTCGACCTGGGCACGCGCCGGGACTGGGAGAACCTGGCCCCGGCCATCGTCAACACCATCAAAAGCAACAATTGGGAGCTGACGGTTCAGAAGAACGTGTCGGAGATCCTGACGGACAACGGCGTCGACCTCGCCAGCATTGAGGCCATCATCTGGAGCCACTGGCACTACGACCACACGGGCGACCCGAGTACGTTTCCCCCGTCCACCAAACTGATCGTCGGTCCCGGGTTTAAGGACGCCCTGGTGCCGGGGTATCCCGTGAACAAGGACAGCCTGGTGCTGGAGACCGACTGGAAGGGCCGCGAGCTGGTCGAGGTCGACTTCCCCAGCGACCTGATGGTGGGCCATTTCAAGGCCAAGGACTACTTTGGGGATGGGTCGTTCTACATCGTCGACGCGCCGGGCCACGCGGTGGGCCACATCTGTGGGCTCGCGCGCACGACGCCCGACAGCTTCGTCTTCATGGGCGGCGACGCGTGCCACCACGGCGGCGAGTACCGTCCGACCGAGTACCTGCCTTTGCCCAAGAAGATCGACCTGAACGTCAGCGGCGTGAGCCGGATCCGATCCCAGGGATTCTGCCCGGGGTCGGTGTTCTGCGACGTGTTCCACCACCACAAGCCCAATCAGGAGGTGTACATACTGACCAAGAACTTCTCGCACGACACCGACCGGGCGAACCTGACCATCAAGTACCTGGAGGAGTTTGACGCGTCGGACGACGTCTTCGTCATCATCGCCCACGACACGCACCTGCTGTCGAAGGAGGCCGGGGTGGAGTACTTCCCCCACGGGACTCTGAACGACTGGAAAGCCAAGCGGCTGAATCAGAAGGCGCGGTGGCTGTTTTTGAAGGATTTTGCGGACGCGGCCGACAAGGGCCTGAAGCAGGCGACGGAGCTGGGCGAGGGGATCGTGCTTAAGCCTTGAAAGAGAAGGGGGCGATCGATATACTCTGTGAGACTTCTCCAGGAGGAGGAGCTGCTGACGATCGTAGCCCGAAGAGCTTGCCGCCGGACCACGATGGATAAGTCAATCAATCAATCAATCAATCCAGATATTATTGCACAAGTGCTCTTCATGCCTTCATCTTCTACGAGTAGGGACGAATTGCGGCTTTGGACGGCCTGAAGGATAACAGGTCTCAACTAATAAACACTCCTAGAATGGAGAACACATACTTCCTTCTCCGGGTCGTTTCTCGACCGACCATTCTGAACTATTTCACGGGCCTTGATACATACATACCTCGTGTCTTGTCCGCAGCCATCAGCCTCGAAGATTGCGTTGGACATCAACAAGCAGGAACGGACCTGTTAAGAGTCCATCTCCCTGACCGGGGTATCGTTACCAGCGAGGACTATTCTGTTAGTCCCTACGTGCTTAGGTAGTAGTCGCCGATAGTTGGCGTGATATTCGGTCTTCTGCGCCGACCAGGCACCCCGAAACACGCCCCTACGTAGCCCCCGCTGGAGACTGGATCCAGCGTAGACGTACGTATAGGCTGCATCGTTTCAAGGCCACAACCGCAGCATCGACCGTGGGGAACGAACGGGGAGTCCAGCTTACATGGTGGATCCCGCTATAGATACTGTATGTAACCAAACAGGTATGAAAGAGGAAGGTGGACGAACCCGATCCAGCAACCTCGCCTCATTGTATTCTTGAGGCTCGGGGCTGCTGGGCTTGGAATGGTGAACTTGTCATCATCCAAGGGATAACTTGGTCAGCGAGCGAGATTGGATTGGGAGGCCTGGCCGGTAAATATAAGACATCATGGATAAATGGGTGGATACGGGCTGTAGGAGGGAATGCGACGTGGTAGTCGAGGATGGATGGAATGGTTATAAATGCTCCTTGTATCCTCGCCGTGCGTAAATATTGGGAGATATGGTCAATTTTGCCTGCCTTAATAGCCAGTCTCTTCCCTCTCTCTCGACCTACTCATCTCCCCTCGTTTCTTCCCGTTATAGCCTCCACGCACCAGAAGAACGAGAAGCATTCGTGTTGTGGAGACTGTCTAGCTCGAGTCAGCACCACCTGCCTATATGCCCCCCTGGTGAGATGTCAATATCCCGACGTTATACTCTAAACGAGCAAGTCAATTCCTTGTCGGGGGAGTGTCCAATCACAATAGCGACCGAACGAGTATTCCACCCTCCACTTATAAGATCTCTTGCGAGAAGTGCTTACCATATCCCCCTTCCCCATTGCTTACCTCACATATCTACACGCCATGGTGTTACAGTATCATATGGCTTACACCATGTTGAAATGAAACACGCTGTGACCCCCCTGGACCCTCCTTGTCCTTATCCATGTGCTCTGCTCACCATTGCATCCTACTTACGGTGGAGGAAGCGGGTCAGGCTTCCTTCTCTATATTAACAGCACGCCGCTCGCTTTCGGGGTGGGTAACGATCTGATCTCTTCACCATGGTCGACAGGCACTAACGGACAAGACACGATGGGAGTGGAAGAAGAAGAACAACAAAACCACCACCAACAACAACCGACCGACTCCGGCGTATTTTGCTCGCTCGACGCCTTTCTCCAAGACAGCTTCGACTATGTCGTCGTGGGCGGGGGAACGGCCGGCGCCGTCGTGGCCGCCCGCTTGAGCGAAGACCCCCATGTCCGCGTGGGAGTCCTCGAAGCCGGCCAGAACCGTCTCGGGGATCCTCTAGTCGAGACGCCGGGGATGCTCGCGCTGCTCCTGCGGAATCCGGACTACGCCTGGGATTTCACCACGGTGCCTCAGGTACGTCTGTCTATGTGTGTGTGTGTGTGTGTCGCTGAGATACGATGCGATACGATGATACAACCCAAGAAACCTTTGCCCAAAACGTCATGTATACAGACATACATACATCTATACATAAAGACATATAGCTGATGTCGAACACGATCTAACTCGCGCACACACAGAAAGCGAACAAGAATAAATCTCACCACGTCACGCGCGGCAAAGCTCTGGGGGGATCCAGCGCCATCAACTTCATGGCCTACGGCCACCCCTCGGCCCGCGACCTGGACGACCTGCAAGACCTGGGCATCTCCGGGTGGTCGTGGGACGAGATGATGGCAGGGCAGTACTTTCGCAAGGTCGAGCACTACGATCCTCCTCCTTCTCGCGCTGTGTCGGAGGAACCAGACATCGACCACCCCGTCCTCGACGCGGCGATGCACGGCACCACGGGCCCCATCCACACCTCCACCGCGACCGCGAGGTTCCCTGCCGAAGACGCCCTCCTCGCAGCCCTGGAGGAGACGTCTGGTCACCCCCCGCGGGTGCCCAAGGACCCGTACTACTCGGGCGACCACCAGGGCTGGTACGCTTCGCTGAGCGCCATCGACCGTAGCAGCGTCAACAGAAGGGGCACCCGCAGCTATGCCGCCACGGGCTACATCGCCCCGATCCTGGATCGACCGAATCTCAAGATCCTGACCGAAGCCGTCGCCACCGAAGTGATCATCCTTGACGACAATGACACCGCCGAGACAGCTCCTCGAGCGCGAGGGGTGGTGTTCGCGCACGGGGGCCGTAAGGACCAGTTCCACAGCGTCCACGTCAAGGCCGAAGTCGTCCTCTGCGCCGGTTCCATCCAGACCCCGCAACTGCTGGAGCTCTCGGGCATCGGGGACCCGGCGGTCCTGCGCGCGGCGGGTATTGCTCCACGCGTGGACAACATCCACGTCGGCGCCAATGCGCAGGAGCACGTCATGACCAATGTGAGCTACGAACTCGCCGACGGGGAGGCTAGTCTGGACAGCATCTACCTCGACCGGGCATTCCTGCCCGCCCAGCAAGCACTGTACACCCGCTCGCGTGAAGGCGTACTGGCCAACGCCCCGAGCGTGAATGGCTTCACATCCTTCGCCGAGCTCGTGGATGCGAGCACATTGGAGCGGACCGTCTCCTCTCTCTCCCCGTCTCCTTCGTCAGCGTATCCCGCCATCGACTCCCAGCAGGCCGCAATCCTGGCGTCGCGCCTCGCCTCCCCCGCCTCCTCGGCCATCCAGTACATCGTCATCCCGGCCTTCTGCGACACGCTCAACGCCCACGCCGACATGTCCAAGTTCATGCCTGGCCCGCCACCGTCGTCCGCCAGAAATCCCTGCGTCTCCCTGCAAGTCGTGCTTATGTACCCGGCCTCACGGGGTTCCGTCCACATCACCTCCAGCGACGCCTTCGCACCGCCGCGCATCGACTACGGCCTCCTCGCGCACCCGGCCGACGTCGACGTCCTGGCCGCCGGCCTGGCCTTTGCCGACCGCGTCTTCCGCTCGTCTCCGCGTGTCGCGGGCATGGTCAAACGCCGTGTGTACCCGGCGGAGGGGGTGGACGTTCAGGATCCGAACACCGCGAAGGACGTCGTGCGTGAGGCGGTGACGCTGATCAATCACCCGCTAGGAACCTGTGCGCTGGGCAAAGTCGTCGATGAGAGGCTGAGGGTCATCGGTGTCGGGGGCTTAAGGGTCGTGGATGCCAGTGTGTTGCCCATGGAGGTGAGTGCGTTTCCCATGGCCGCAGTCTATGCTGTGGGGGAGAAGGGAGCCGCAATGATCAAAGAGGACCGCGGCACCCGTCCCGGGAAATGAAGACAGTGAAAGAAATGGAATGAAGAATGGATCCCTATGGTTCCTGTTGGGCCCTATCACATGACATCCCTTAGCTTCTACAGTCTTGGAGCATAGAGAACCGCATGAGACCTTCGTTCCGACGCTGTACGCTCAGTTGTAGTAGAGAAGAAAGTACTCTGAGAGTAGCTCGTGTAAACAGGGGAAGAAGGAGCAGAAGGAAGCCAGTAGGACGAGTGATGACGGATGCCGTTGGTTAGTAGTAAACAACAGAGGCTGGCGGCTCTCAGGGGTTTCGTTGTGGCCACTTCCATGGGCGAAGAAGATGCCAGGATTCGGGACTGTACTGAAGAGAGTTACTCTACATACCGATTGTGTGGCGATTCGAAATCGAAGGTCCCTCGTTAACTGTATCGACTTCGCTAAAATAGTCCATAGTAACAACGGCAGCTTGCCGTCAGTATTGGCGTTAATGTCTTCAGCGGTTCCATGCTCGATCAGGCTCCCGTCCATCTCCATCATACGTGGTCACCCACAGTCACCGACAAACCCGAGATCTGCCCATCCGGACATAAAAAGTAGCTGGAAACCGTTACCAACCCTCCACATTGAGAACAGAACCGAAGCCTTTCCTGCTAGCTCATTAAACATAAATAATCTTTCTTTCGACCGTATCATCATTACCCTCGTAAGTCATCAGACATTCACTGCGTTCATGTACTAAAGATGCTTCCTTCCTGTTCTTTCACGATATCAGGCACACATAAACCTGCAGCAAACCATCCGAAGCTGCTCAACTGGACATCATGATTGCTGGGCTCCCGCACAGCCACATCGAGGCAGGCCGCAGCCAGGCAAAGAAAGCCATGATCGCCGTCTTCCATCGTCAAGTGTTCCATCCGTGATTTGATTTCGTCAAGCTCGTAATTGAATTGGGACTTCATGTAGTCGGATTGTTCTCGTTGACGCTTGCTACCCGCCCCGGAACGACCCAAAATCGTGCCGATGAAGACTTCTTTCTCAGTGAGTTGCTCTGTCCGGCGAACCGCATAAAGAGACATTATCTCTATCAGACTCGATTCATAACTGCTCACATTAGCAAGTCCCGGCGTCGTCAACATGAAACTTACTAATCTCTAACTCCCTTCGCCTCCGCGAGCCAAGCTTGAACGCACGGGTAGGTGAGGTACGCCAGCACCCAATCTCGGATGTCTCTCAACACTTCATTGGTAGCTGCCTTGCTGAATAACGACGAAGTATCATCCTCGAGGTCTTCGAAGAAGCTATCTTCGTTCACGGCCCGGTACAGGCGACCCAGGATACGAGTGGACTCGTAGTAGCGGTACCGCTGACGACCGGAGGGTAGAGGGGTCTGTTCAGGTCTCTCGATACCCTTCTCGACTTTGGTGCTCGCGCTGGGAGCCATGAAATCAGGTCTGTACGCAGGAGCTCTCGGGATTTGCTTGTTGTCGACGGGGACGCCGCTTTTGGAAAAATCAACAGCGTTGGAATGTAACTCTGCCAGCAGGAGACAGTTGGCTGAAAAGGTGCTGTCGAGGTCAGCGAAAACTTGGTGCAGGGTGGCGATCCGGCCAAGCTGGTCGTTCTCCATGAAATCCACGAAGAACCCTGCCATGTCATCAGCAGTGACTGGGCGACCAATATCCATAGGCACTGCTGGGAGATATGCTGCAGGAGTGACCGTTATCTTCGGCAAGAGTTCGTCATCGTAGATGACGTTGTAGAGATCGCCGTCGAGGTCCCCGCCACTCAGCATGCTGGGCAAATCGCGAGTCCCCCTTTGGCTGAAGACGATGCTGTTGCGAAGGTCCCACAAGGGAGAACTCTCAGGTGGGGCGACGGCTTGAACAAGCTGCACGTCGCCCGGATGGAGGGCAGGGGACCGCGTGACGGCCACCCGTCCGCTCAAGCAGGAGTGGGCTCCGTCCTTTTTCTCTACAAAAGTGACAAAAACCTCGCCTTCCTTCAGCCAACCAGTCTCATCGCTAATTCCGTAGAGTGTGAGAGCTTCCGGAACATGAATGCGACTGCGATACTTGATCTCCCGAAGCTGAACCTGGAGTAAAGCCCCAAGTATTTCCCTCAAGAAGCTGTCCTCCGTGGCGTCGACACCAATGTACTCCAGATGTTTGAGCAATCTCGGCAAACCGCTGCTGCCGTCGGAGAGGTGTTCGTTGATGAAGTTGAGAGCGACGGATTTTGAGGACGCGCTCAGACGGAGTCGCTGTATTGCCTGTTCTTGCAGCCTTTCGAACGCCGAGCTTGGAACACCGAGGTCCTCAAGTATTTTGATAATCTGGCGATTCAGCTTGAACGGGAGCGGGCGAATGTTGGAACCACAGATTTCGATCTCGTCAGACGGACTCCCGCTGAACTTGACCATGGACTCTCGCAGATGTATCTGGTCTCCCTCAAGGCGCGAGTCGACCGTAAGCATTCCTTTGGCCCCTGCAAAATAGTCAGCGAAGCCTATTCGGCAACAGGTTCTCACCTTTGTAGCGGATCTGGTAGGACGTAGGCTGGTCCTGACGACGCACATTTCCCCGGAGGCGTTTCCAGATCGACCGTGAGACGGTGCCACAGCCATCGGTGAACAAATACCGTCCGGCCTTGGCGTCAGGGTACACCTGGACGATGTTCGGATCCACTGATACGGCAGATGTCGTTTCAGAAAAGGCTTGACCAATTCGCGCTGCACACTTGGCTGGACACCTGATCACGCTGAAGTCGCCGAGCTTGCCAATGAGGTCCTTTGCAAATAGCAACGAGCCATCGTGAACAAAAGGTCGCATGAACCAACATGTCTGTGACCTCAGGGACGAGTGTGAGAACCCAAGAAAGTCAAAGTGTTCGTTGGCAATATTCAAGCCGTCACGGAGAATTGACAAGAAACGACCACGGAGAACCCGCTCGTTGGAAGTATCCCTATCGAACTCGATCCGTGTTTCATCTTCCTCGGAAAAAAGAACCCGCAAAAAGCAGTCAGCATGTGTACGGTACTGTCGCAAGACACGGTTCGAAGCGGTGAGTTCCGGACCATTGAGATATATGCCAGCGGGGGTTACAGTGACGCGGTGAATTGAGACCACGTCCCGTGGTGAGGTGTGCGAGCTGTCACATTCGAGCAAAAGATTTGCATCTCGTTCAAGGTTGTTCAACGCATTTGTCACAGCACCTTGCTGGGGATCGGTGGTAGCATCATTATGGAACAGTTGCAAATTGAGTCGTCGCAAGACTGCAACGAGTGTCGATTCGCCTGATCGAGCGAGTAGGGCCCTCATGGCCGGCAGCAGAGATTGGACTTCGGCTGCAGATAGGACACCATTAGCCCACAATCCATGTATCTGAAATCTCCATGCAAAGGAACATTTAAACATCGCAATATCTGTATTCAGGGAAGACAATTGTCTCGAAAAGACCGCTTGCCCTTGGGGGAGAGGCGTGGCTGGCAGCATTGTGATAGGAACCCGGTGATATGTCATTGCCTTTACGCGGTGAAGCAAGTTGGCAGCTCCCGTTGACACGACCATGCTGTATGTCAAGCAACTGCCAACAACGCCAGACTCGGCTCCCGGGATTGTGCTCACGCGAAACCTCTTCGCTGGCTGCGAGTCTAGGTATAGAGCTGCAAATTCCGCAAGCAGTCCAGAATCTGCCGCAACCACATCATTCTCGTAGATTCTTGGTGCAAGGGTCAGTGTGATTGTTAAAGTACTGCAGCTTTTCCCCCGTGAGATAGCCAAAGCGGATATGGAGGATAGATCTATGGCTAGATCGTGGCGCCTGAAAGGAGTGGTGTTGATCTGTATTACCAACGCTTGTGCCTCCCCTATCAGCCTGCCTTCTGTCGAGACTTGGAAGTAAGGCACGAATGTAGTCGTTCCAGTCAACGTCTCCCAGCGGCCGCACCGTACTGCTATAAGTTCCAGTCCCGTCCCCTGTTCGGCGTCTCGAGTCTTTGCAGCTAGTTCACAAGACTTCTGCCATTCCTTGACGTTCAGTCGCTCCTTCTCTTCCCTGTGCAGTACACGCAACCAATGTGGATCCGCAGGTTTCCGACTCTCTTTGATTACCGCATGTCGTCCGGATGGAGACGAGAGGAGGCTTGGAGAAGCACGGGCCCTAGACAAGAGACTTTGTGCTTTGGAAGTATCTGCAATTGTGAGGGTTGCAAACGTTTTGCCGACCGCTTTTCGGACTTCGAAGACATGGATCTGAGACCCGGACAAGATGGGAGTCAAGGAATTCTTCAGCTTGTCTTTGGTGAATTTTGAGTCGAGGTTCGCAATGAACAACTCCATTGGAACAACGATGCTTGAGCAAAGCTCTGTACAAGGTAACAGACGCAGGAGATCGTGCACAACGTGATGGAAGAGATGAACTTAGGGGGGCATTGACAAGATTTCGCGTCTCGTGGTATACAAAACCACTTGACAAGCTCGCTTGAAGGAGATGTTGTGCAACACGACTATTGGCAGGTACAAGAAGCAGAGTCCAGCTGCTATCAGTAAGTGCCTGCCCTGCCAGGCAGCAGTTATCGAGGCCCAATGCTCATCGTGGTCTTTGGGTCGTGGCAATCGAGGGATGGGCACGAAGACCTTGTCTGCTTGTAGCTTCGCAGCTCAAGACGGGACACTCATGCTTCTCACCAAATTGCTATCTGGGCGCCACAAGAGTCACCTATTAATATGTATTAATACTCCCGAGGCTCCGTAGCAGCTGTTCTGAGGTCGTGGCTAGTGGCTAGTGAGGATGGTGAACGAACGGGCTTCCCCGCAGCCGCCACGCTGCAGCACGTAATCCACGAAATAATATGTCAATCAATGGGAGGGCGCCGATCCTATCCTTGATTTTCACCTGGATGTTGTTTCCCTTGAGATTCTCCTAAACTCCTGGCTCATCCCATCTCACAGGCATCTACAGGTATGGCCACCACCAACGGGACACTGCCTCATCATGGGGATAGTTCCTCCGAAGCCCCTCAACCTGCGCCCACCTCCGCCGATTCGCAACGCATCGAAGACCTCGCCGAACATTTTGACCTCTCCTCCCTCTCTGCTTCTACCCTAGCCATCCACGCAGATGACCCTCTCAACGTCGTCCACGATGTCGCTCCTCCCATTCATGTCTCCACTACCTTTCGTTATGACAAAGACCCGTCACAACTGCGCCCATACCATGAACGACCAGAACCCATCTTTGCACCCACCGAACACAACTACTCCCGCCACACGACACACAGTACATCTCGCTTGGAGACGATCCTGGCTGTGCTGCTGAAAAACCCTTGCTTGACGTATTCCTCTGGGCTTGCGGCGTTCAATGCATTGATAACATTCCTGAATCCGAAGAGAGTGGCTATAGGCGCAGGGTACCACGGATGTCACGGCGTGTTGAGACTCCACCAGCGACTTTCTGGCCTGCAGCTCCTACCGCTGGACTGCAAGCCGGAGGATCTGCAAGAGGGGGACCTTTTGCACTTGGAAACGCCGGTGAACCCGACAGGACTGGCATTCGACATACAGCATTACGCGGACATTGCGCATTCACGAGGTGCATACCTCAGTGTCGATTCCACATTTGCGCCGCCGCCCCTGCAGGATCCCTTCAAGCACGGTGCAGACATCGTCATGCATTCGGGCACCAAGTACATTGGAGGTCACTCAGACATGCTCTGTGGTGTCTTGGCGGTCAAACAGAAGGAGTGGATCCCCAAGATGCTGCAAGATCGAGTGTATCTGGGTTCCGTGATGGGTGGTTTGGAAGGTTGGCTGGGTGTGCGGAGTATTCGGACACTGGAGCTGCGAGTCATGAAGCAGAGTGAAACAGCGAGAAGGATAGTCGATGCCCTCGATGGCGCTCTGACAGGCCACACGGTCGGCACGGGCCTGTCTCTCTCCGATGCAGAGATCATCAAGTCCGTCGTCAAACAGGTGCATCATGCGAGCCTGCAGACCAAAGACTACAAGACTTGGCTGAAGAAACAAATGCCCAACGGCTATGGCCCAGTATTTTCTATCGTCTTGAAATCTCCAGATTTCGCCAGAGCATTGCCTAGCAAGCTCCATCTCTTCCACCACGCGACCAGTTTAGGTGGGATTGAGAGTTTGATTGAGTGGAGGACAATGACCGACTCAACCGTGGAGAAGGATCTTCTGAGGGTCAGTGTCGGCATCGAAGACGAGAAGGATCTGCTCGACGACCTGATCCAGGGCTTCAAGGCGCTCAATGCGATCAATGCGATCAATGGAACGTCCAGCTAGATCTCCACGTCATAGAGTGTAGCGGGTCTTGTACAGCTCAACATAGAACGATTTTCATATCCTGTTGGAGGGCTCTTGCTCGCTCGGGCTCGTCTCACTCTTCACCGATCTGTCGGCAGCGATCCTGTCGACGATTTCTGGCGCTTGCTTGTCAAGGTGCATCCGTAAGGCGTCCCCTTCTCTGAACTGTTTGCGCAAATCTGTACTCGGTATCTCCTTCTTGACCACACGTGATTCTGCGGGTTCTTCTAGCACTGGGGGCGGGGGTGCACGATCCGTACCGGTTTCGGAGCCAGGAGCTCTGGAGTATTAGGTGATCCTCCCGGGCTGACCGGCGAGTTGATTGCATTTGGCCCCAACCGCAGCGTCATTTCGAATTCTTTATCCAAGGCGGACACCCCCAATGTGCCCCCTGAGAAGTTCCCTGTTTGCACTCTCTGAAGCATTCTAGGCCGCAGAACGTCCGGCGGAGCGTGTCCCTGCCGCGGCGCAGGAGGGGGTGGACGCTTTCGTTGGTCGTAGGCGCCGTTCATGGGACTTTCGGGGTGGTCACGCGACTGAGCCGGGCCACGGCTGGGCATCGGCGAGGCAGATCTGGCCCTTTGTCTCGCCTTTGAGATCTCGACCGGAGGGGTAGGTGCATCGTCACCGCCTTCGCCAATAATGACAGGAGGAGCTTCGATGAAAGAAACACTGAGTCCCCTGCCACGTCCCTTTCGTTTTGGCTTGTTGGAGAATGAGCTGACCGATTGACTGCGTCCCTGGTATTCAGGACGTAAGAAGTCGTTGATGTCCTGTTCCGACGTCCCAATCGGTTGAGCTCGAGGCCAACGCTGAGAACTAGAGACGTCTATCCTTGGAACTGAGACCTTCTTTGGTGAACGTTGATGGCCGAAGGGGTTGGTGAATGATTCCGATGTTGATGGTCTTGTAGAAGCCGGAGAGCTCTGGTCGGGGTCGGCGGTAGCATTCGTACGAGTAGGAGGATGTGAAAGGCCGTCTGCCTGCCCTGGTCCGCTCGAGGTAGATGGTCTACCCGCAGCCAAGAACTCATTCACGTCATCCGGCAGATCCCTCTCTTCATTTGTATCACTGGTGTTCTTTTTGAACTTGCTCTTAGTACGGGCGAGTGCTCCCTTGAGCCGCTCCCGTCGAGATTGCTTATTGTGATCGGGGGAGGTAGCATTATCGGCATTGTCGTCCTCGTCCATCGTCTTGACAGTAACACCGCCCGTCCAACGACACCATGTTCAAGGAGAAGGGGTATCAGGGAGGCGTCGATGACCAGCTGAGAGGTTGACACAAAGATAAGTCGAAGGAGTGGATATGGGTGGTGGGAGGCAACGTTGGCAGTATTGACAGTGACAGGGGACTGGAATGCGCATCAGCCTCACTATCCTTAGGTTAAGTCTGGGTCCAAGACGCGCCCATTAGCCTCCAATACGCTGCCCTTGAGAGGCAATTGGCTAGCATTGACCGTTGGGGATCGACTGGCTTCGCATGCATCCCTTGAGGCCGATTCGCCAATAGTTCGGATTCAGGCCAGAGGGGAGGCTGACTGCGGAGTCCGAATTTGTGTGTCTGCGTCTGTCTGTGTCTGGTGCTCGTTATCGTTATCGCCACGTGCCGTCGCTCAGGGCGCCATGAACCTCCGTACCTCGGTAACTGAAAGGCAATCTCATCTCATTGATTTCTTCGCCGAGATCGATTCACTTTACGAGGTACATATGGCTGGCTCCCTTTCAGAATTCCTATAGACGGTCCCACTGACCAATACCCACCAGACAAGAACTCTGCGCCATTGAAACACTTCCCTCAAAGCCTGCGAAGAAATTTGAGGCAATCCAGATTGATATCGACGCCTCGGTCCCGAGATATTGGTAACCGGCGAAGGTCTATTGACACCAGCAACATTCAAAGTCCCAGGGATTTCCTTCTATCCTCGCCATCATGTCAGAAACCCGCAGAATAAACCCCCACAGTAAAGTCTTCCTGATCAAAAACTTCCTCTCTCTGCCGCTCCGTGAGCGCGTCCTGGGCCTGGAGAGGGAAATCATCCACGACCCCAATTACTTCGGCTTCGACACACACTCGCTTCAACACTCCAACCTAGAACTCCTCGACGCCCAGCCGAATGTTGTGAAATGGAGCCTAGACATCGGGTCTGGCTTGTGCAATAAATCCGGCAATTTACATGGTGGCGCCGCGGCAACTCTGCTCGATAACCTGACGAGTACGGCGCTGTTGACGATCGCGAGGGAAGGGTTCCTGGACGGCGGACACGTGAGTAGGACAATCACCATGACCTATTTGCGGCCAGTACCCATGGGGAGCAAGGCGATTGTGGACTGCGAGGTTCAAGCTGCCGGGAGGAATACGGCAAATATCGTGGGCAAGGTCTACGTGAATGGGAAGCTGTGTGTTACGTGCGTGCATGACAAGGCGGTCTTGCCAAGTCCCAAACAGGCCAAGTTATAGAACAGCACCGGGGGGCTGGAATTAAAGTGAGAGGGGCTTCGTGTTTGTCCTTTCGAAGTGATAGACTCTTCGGAACGGGGTGGGAGGATAAGATAGAATAGAACTCTCGGTGTTTTTGCTACACTCTGATCTTCATCTTGTTTGCTTTGACGTTCGACATGTTACAAGCTCGCCCACAAAATATGACGTTTCAGCTCTCAATGCGCAACCTCGTTGTACCAGCACATGATAGTTTGTCACATAGCCAGTCCAGCACACTGCAGATAAAAAAAAGCCATTTGCCCTCGATTGTAGATCCACGGCTCACACAGAACGCAAGGCTCGAGCTGCTTCATCCATCCTCTCTCTCATCAGCCGATTCTCAGCTCTCAGCCTCATGATTTCATCGTGACTAGCCTGCGTCGCCACCGCTTGGAGCTTGCCATCACCTTGCCGCTCCATCATCCGGTAGATAGCCTTGAACAATCTTCCTGCCGGGGTAATGCCTCCTTCCGCGTCCACTCGCTCCAGGATATCATCGTCGATCAGTGCGCAAACTTTCTTTCTGTAAGCTTCTTCCACTTCTCTGCGGTTGCGAAAGTCGGCTGCCGCTTCTGGAGTGTGTGTATGTGTTAGTGGAATTCCGTTGAGCCCAGCTGCAGGCTTTCCCAGAGAATGAGTAAGTCGGATAGAGACATACTTGACTGGGACAGCCCCTTACGCTCTGCTCCCATGGGCTTGGAGATCTTGTGGAATCGGAATTTTTTATTCACGAAACTCCCTTTATTTGGAAGGCTGTCGATCAATCTTGACTGGAAGGGTTTGCTGGTTTGGTAGTTCGGGACAGTCGCTTGCTCGCCTTCTCCATCATCACTGCTGTCTTGCCATTCGTCCTTTCGAGCAGTAGGGGCAGGCCTCTTCCGTACAGTTCCAGCATTGGGCAGGGGGGGATTCGTGGAGTTGGCTTGGCTCGCCTGCATAGAGTCACCCTCTTCGTGGACAATGTCTCCCAGGATTTTCGTGTGGGGCTTCGAACGACGCTGCATAGGACTTCCCGTGGACGCCAGCTGAGGCTGATATCTCATCCCTGGGACTGCTGTCGGTTTTGGTGCTTGCAGTGACCCAAAATGCGCGAGGTCATGCACGCCCATCTCAAATACCAACGATGAGATCTGAGCACGGTGGCAAAGCGGACCACAAAGGACACAGTGAGCAGGGCGTTTTGGAGACGTTCAGAGTCGTTGATACAGAGTCGAGCAGGAATCGCCGACCGGTAAGATGGTGTTAAGTTTCTCACATGTTGTTGACCTTCACACGGGCTGGTAAGACTTACCACACGTAGATCGGACCCTTCTTGACGCTATGACTGAACAAAAGAGACACGACAGTGAAGTGAAGACGGAGAAGTGAAGCGTCATGGCGAGCTTCCATCTTCCCGTAACTCTCACCATTGCTCTCACCATTGCAGTCGAGGTCCTAGGTCCTCACCAAGACATCGGGAGGAACTCATCGCAAGCACCGATTTTATTCAAGCTCCTCGCCATCATCCCGTTTTCAGCTCTCACAGTCATCAAGTCCCTTTGGCCTTCATCGAACTGACATTGATGTGGATGCTCCCGCACCGGTCAAAGAGCCAAACACTATGCTTAGGGCGTCGTCTGCTTAGAACAACACTTTCGGTTAAGATGGAAAACCCCCACATTGTGACGACCACATCTACCCACAGGTTTAGCAGAAGGGGGGACATCTGCGGTCATAAACCTCGAATTTGTCACTGCAGCCAGACCGAAGGACGTTCGGGGGATGGGTCTCTTCCGACGGCCGAAGTGTGCGAGGTATTGCTCAACCACTCAATCATAGCACGGAAACCAAGCGAGCTCCAAGCTATGCAAGGTTTGGGTCCGATCCTTCGACGACTCGCGTGCAGTTGATGTCGTCGAAATTAGGAGATCGTAAGACCCCACAAGCTGCTCCAGCTTCTCCGCAACATGGCACAATCCATCCCATCCCACCGCCAGCCTCCGTTTCCATCCTTCGTATTGCTGGCTTTTACCCACTTCTCCCAGTTCTCCATCCTCGGCGACTGCGAGTCCCCAAGACTTTTGACCACTCTCTGCTGGCCCTCGGACACAGTGAAAACGCCGAATGATCGCCACGTGCGGGTCTCTCAGACGCCCTCCCGGAAAATACCCCCATGCAGTCCTATGCACCTGGACGACGGGGATTTTAGCTTGTCCCTTCAGTGCAGCGCTTTCCACAAGATTGGTTATCGTGCCCCATCCACAGCCAGATCATGCCTGAAACTTGCTGCTTGCAGTGGAGGAGCCTGACGGAATCTGCCCGGTGAATGGCTCCAGCTCAACTGCCGGGGCAAAAATATGGTGGCCAGAACATGGACGGAGCACATCCAGCACCAGACGTACCGGTCCGTGGATAGCCTATAACTCCTGCGAGAGACTTCCAGGGGGGAAAATATCCTCTGTCCAACACCGCTCCCTGTCTCCCGCCTGTGGCTCTTGACACTTTGACACACGACGATATCTTCGAGGACAACAAGATGTCGACCGAGAAGGACGTCTCGCAGACGACCGAAATCATTGAAAATGCCCCTCAGATTCAAGAGCGCGAGAGACAGCGGGCAGCCGAGTTCGAGGCTCCCATGCAACATCTCCAGGAGCTGAACGAGGCTGAGCATATCAACCTGAGTTGGCGATCATGGCTTGTCGTCTTTGTCACCTGTTTTGCCATCATGGCTCAGGTCTTTGTCGTCGTGGCAGCCGGATCAGTCATTGCCTTCATCATCCGTGATCTGGGCGATGCGCCAATTGCGGGCTGGATCATCCGTAAGTGATAGGACATCCTCGCCCTCTCCCACCCGTGGCTAACAAGAGGGTCACAGAGGGGCCACTGCTCATGCAGAGCGTGCTGTCTCCCATTGTTGGTCGTCTCAGTGACGTTCTGGACCGAAAATGGCTGGCCTCGATCCCACCACTAATCGCTTTTGGTGGTGCGGTCATGTCGGCCAAGGCAACCTCGATGTCCATGCTCATTGGAGGTGGGATTCTCATCGGTGTGACGTTGAGCACAATTTCCATCGTCCAAGCCATTCCCAGCGAGGTCCTGCCGCTCAAGTACAGAGCCCTCGCCAATGGATTTGCCTTCCTCGGAGGCGCAGTGGGTGGACTGTATGTCGCCGACCCATCAAAATTCCGCTATGTGCTGCTAACTAGATTCTTCAGTGTTGGAACTCTCGGCTCAGGCGGTGTCACCAACCAAAGCCCGTCGGGCTGGCGAGACATCTTCTGGATGCAAGCGGCCTTCCACGCCGCTACCTTTATCGGCCTTGTCCTTTTCTACCATCCTACTCGACGGTCCGACTACCCTAAGATGTCGTTGAAACAATACATCTGGGCCATCGACCCCATCGGATCATTTGTGTTCATCGTGGCTTGCACATTGCTTCTGCTGGCTTTGGACTGGGCAGGCGGTGCCTACTCATGGTCTGACGTCCATGTTGCCGCTCCGCTGGGCATTGGCCTCGGATTCTTGGCTATATTTTGCGTCTATGGTTCGTACAGCCTGAGAGCCCCTTCTCGCTGCCCCGTTCGCTAACGTTCGTTTACAGAATGGAAAGGCCGAGACGATGGAATTGTGGCCCACGTGTTCTTCAAAGGCTCGCCCAATTTCGCCCTCTCTGTATTTGCTTTTGCGGTTGAGGGGTGGATCTTCTACAGCGCTGTCAACAGTGTCACCCCTCAGATCGTCCTCAATCTCGGATTTCAAACCAACGCATGGAAGATCTCCCTCCGACAGTTGTCTTACAACCTTGTGACCTTATTCGCATCCATCCCGATAACGTGAGTATGCGGCGGCACTTGAGAATATTGCAGTTAGCTAATGAAGTGGGCAGACTGTACGCAACCAAGTACAAGGATCTGAAGTCTCCCTTGATCGTGACATTCATTGTTTTCCTCGTGGTGTAAGTGCTTCTCGGAGATCGAAGACACCTCCCACTAATTGACATGATCACCAGCTGCATCTGCTATACCGTCATCACACCGAACATGAACCATGCTCAAATTGGCTTCAATGTTCTGTCTGGTTTCGGACAGTCCGGTCCCTTGACACTCATCGTTGCCTTGATTCAATTCACCGCACCCCACGCATTTCTCTCCACTGCCACTGGTCTTGGGTTTTCCGCCCGCGCCATCGGAGGAGCCTTTGGCTCGGCGGTTCTCGATGCCATCATCAACGGCAAACTCAAATCCTATCCGACCAAAGTCGGCAATGCCGCGGTCGCAGCCGGCTTGCCCAAGTCATCTGTGCCTGATCTGGTAACGGCCCTCTATGCCGGCACTGGTCTCTCTGCAGTCCCGGGTATGAACGCGACTATTCAAGCAAAGACCCTGGATGCCAGCCATTTGGCGTATGCTCACGCCTATAGACTTGCCTGGGCGAGTATCATCCCCTTCGTTGTCCTTGCCTTGGTTGGTATTTGGTTCCTCAAGGGGGTGAAAGAATTGATGACGGAGAAGGTCGAGGCCACCGTGGAACATGTACACACTGAAGAAAAGATCATGGCTTGAGCGAGTGTGTCTTGGTGTGAGGCTCAAGTTTCCTGGACTGCTGAGATGCGAAAGACGAGGACAGACTGAGTTTGTAGCTTTAAGTTAAACATGACACCCCGTCCACGGCGCCTCTACGGGTGACTTATCCCCCATCACGCGGAAGTATTTAGCCGAAGCGAACATGACTGGGGTAACTTTGAAAATCGTCCTGCTCGCTGTGTCGGTCACCATGCTCCCGTTGGTGGCCTTCCCTGTTCTCGTCTCTCATATCGCTCGGAACGGAAAAAATAAGTCACCGAGGGGTTCCCCCACATGTAGCCAACATTAGCCAATGACGTCAAGCTCAAACGTAATCAGACCACGAGCCCAAAACAATCAACCATCCCGCAGCTTCAATTAATATTTTTTTCTCTTTTTCAAGCCTGTGATACGTTGTGGTCCTTGGAAAATCTGGGCGGCCGAGTCAGCCACCCACGAGTCTTGGCTTCCTGTATCGTTGTTGTGTTGGTGCTCCTTTGCCTACCATTAGAACTATTCCGGGCCCCAAAACTTCTCTCTCACCTCTCCTCCGTCACCATCATGAGTGCTCCCAAGCTCGCCGAGTTCGGCCTTCGCCATGTCGCCAAGGGGATCGGGCGGCTTTCTACAGAGGTCATCGAGAGCGGCTCCGGTAGCTATGTGACCATGGCTTCGGGGAGGAAAATGCTCGACTTCACCTGTGGCATTGGCGTGGCTAACCTGGGCCACTGCCATCCCGGAGTCACCAAGGCCGCTCAAGCCCAGGCCGCCAAAATCGTGCATGCCCAGGTCAACATTGCTTTCCAAAAGCCATATCTCGAGCTCATCGAGTCGCTGTTGCCCCTGATGCCGCACCCATCGCTCGACACGTTCTTTTTCTGGAACTCGGGCTCAGAAGCGGTCGAAGCGGCCGTCAAGTTGGCCCGCCATGCCACCAAGAAGCAGAACATCATCGTCATGCAGGGCTCTTACCACGGACGCACCTTTGGAACGATGGCAATGACGCGCTCCAAGACCGTCTATGCCGAGAACTATGCGCCGCTGATGCCGGGAGTGTTTTCAGTGCCGTTCCCCTACTGCGCACAGTGTTCGATCGCTTCACATACTGGCAAACACGGCTTTGACAACTGCTGCATGGACCCCGTGCTTCAACTGGAGCTCCTTCTCAAGAGGGAGTCGGCTCCGTCAGATACCGCGGCCATATTCATCGAGCCTGTCCTCGGAGAGGGCGGATATGTCCCGCCACCGCCGGGCTACCTCGCCCGCGTCCGGGAAATCTGTGACAAGAACAACATCCTCCTGGTGACAGACGAAGTGCAATGTGGATTCGGTCGAACTGGGAAGATGTTCGCCATCGAGCACTGGGGAGTCCGTCCCGACATTCTGGTGATGGCCAAGGGGATTGCGAATGGGTTCCCGCTCTCCGGCATCGTGTCGCGGAAAGAACTGATGGACACGCAGAAGCCCGGCTCCATGGGCGGAACATACGCTGGCAACGCCGTCTCCTGCGCCGCCGGCGTGGCCGTGGCCAAGGCCTTCAAGGAGGAGAAGATTTTGGAGAACGTCAACGCCCGGGGGAAGGAGATGGCCGACATGCTGCACAAGGCCAAAGCCGACTTTGGCCACATAATCCACGACGTTCGAGGCCTCGGGCTGATGCAGGCGGTGGAATTCGTGTCGGGCAAGGGCATCGCCTCCAAAGTGCAGGCCAGGTGCATGGACAAGGGCATGCTGATCCTCACCACCTCGATCTACGACACCCTGCGCTTCATTCCCCCGCTAAACATCTCCCAGGAAGACATGGCCAAGGGACTGGGTATCCTCCGAGGGGCGATCGAAGAGGTGGCCGCCGGCGAGCAGCCCCAGGAAACAGCGACAAAGGGCCAGGCCCCGGAGTAGTAGTAGCTCGCAGAGCAGACTTAGCTGGACACGAAGGGAAGGAGTTAGGGTGGGAGTGTTGGGCGGGACAAAATCGTGTTGTTTCGATACATGTGAAGATTGGAACACAGCGGATGTCGGCAATATATCGGAAATTGTACAGTGGAGTATTCGGTCAGATTAAAGCTCTGCAGACCTCGAAAAAAAACTATAAACGCGCTTCGCAACCTTGATGCGGCGATAACAATATCTAGAAGAGTGTTCGGTGGTCTCTAATTTCCTAAGGCCCGAAGATGACATATCGCATCATGCCCAACGCATTCCCAAGCAAGGTCAAGACGGTCCTTGGTGTTGGATTCTCCAGGATGATCTCCGGAAACCTCTCCTCAGCGAAGACAGCATGCAACACTTCTTTGGTCAAGATGCCACCCGTCTGAGCCGTGTTCATCACGCCGACTGCCTGCAACACTCGCACAAACCAGAGGTTCAATGGCAATTTTGGAGCTCCTGCAGCCCGACTCTCCTTGTCTCGCCGGATGTATGTCTTGGCCAACGATCGCAGGGTCACGGGTCCGCCCTCGGCGTCATCGATCATGGCCTGCAGCATATCTGGCTGGAAGGTGTAGTTGTCGCCCTGGTGGAAGTCAAGCCGGGTGAAGGAGGAGTCGTGCTCGATGACATTGTGGCGGCGTGTGTCGACCAGGTCGAACGTGCCGTCCTTACGCACCAAAGGAGGAAGAGCGCTGCACAGCGAGGCGGAGGCAAGGGGAGACATGTGCAAGGCAGTCTCAAGGGCGTGTTGGACTTGAGGAATGGTGAGGTTCTTGCCATCTCGTGGCCTGCTTAAAGGTCAGCACGCTTCATTTTTGGTGGGAAAATACAAGAGAATGGTAAGTACAGGTAACCCTGGTTCGCCAACGCGTTCAATCCGGGACAGGGGCCGCGAGTTTCGATGTCGCCGCGAACGTATCGGTGATCGTCCTCGTCATGGTGGGACGTTGCTGCGGACTTGTCGCGGTAACCACCAGTGAGGGCGGTTTTCACGATGTTGGTCAGGGTCAAATGCATCTTGATGCTTCTGATAGAGGTGCAGATTACTGAAGTTTCTGGTGTACACAATTGACGGAAGAATGGTTGAATGGCTATCCCCCCAGAGGATTAAAGAGATTGAATGATGCTCCTCAAAGCACCTGTCAACCTCGCGGCCGGCTTGCTGCGTAAGGATTCGACGCGTCGGTTACACGAGCTGAGGCCCAGGGTCACGAGAACCAAGAGAAAAACGGTCGAGCCAGACCTCGTGTTCTGGCTGGGTAAGCTGAGGGAAGTGTGAGTGAGAGCTGAAGAACTGACTGCGCAACCGAACCAGTCAGCCTGGTAACTTGGGTGGTCGCGGCTTGGCGCACACCTGGTTACAACACTGACAACACGGACAACACGAGGTGGTACATCAACCTCAGCGTCGTGGATGCAGCATCAGGCAGCCGGTCTCTCGCATCAAGGCGTCCAGGGCGTTGACAGAAGGAGCGTGGTTGGTTTGCTGTGTGACCGGCTTGAACGGGCGCCTGCGGGTAGGAGCAGCTGAGGCTCATGGCTGGCGCAGTCTGACTGCCAGCTTCTACCACCGCGTCTTGATACAATACATTCTCACAAATCCTCCCAGTTTCTGCTCTTTGTTCATCCTTCTGCCTCGAACCACTCTCAACCCGCCCCTGCCAGCATGGACGAAGCTGTGAGGCCCAGCTACAAGGCCAGTTTTGGTGATCGTTTACTTGTGGGTTTCTTTCATCTCGTCAACAAGATCGTTCCATGGCACAAGCTCCCCAGCTTGGTCGGCGCCCTCAATTTAGAGGCTTTACGTGTCGAGCTTCGCCAATACAACTTACATGATGTCTACCCGTCTGGAGATGCCCAAGGCACCCAGTCCGTCGTACCTATGACCGACAAGCGATTCGAAACTGCCCGCAACTCTGATGGCAAGTTCAATTCAACCGAGATGCCACTCATGGGATGCACTGGGATGCGCTTGGGACGCAATTTCCCCAGAGCCTTTTGCCCGAAGCCGTACGAGGAGGATCTGTGGAATCCGAATCCAAGAATGGTGAGTTACCTCATTTCCACCGTCCCAAACAAAGAACCTCGACTGACAAAGGCTCTCTCTGCGTGGTCGTAGTTGAGCGACCGCTTCATGGCCCGAAAATCCTTCATCCCAGCTACATCATTGAACCTCCTTGCCGCAGCCTGGATCCAATTTCAAACTCACGACTGGTTCTTCCATCAAGATGTAGGTGATGTCAATAGCCTTCCCCAGAATCATTGCACTGCTAACAAACGCCCATACAGAGTGAGAAGAACTACGATATCCCTTTGCCCGATGGAGACAAGTGGCCCTATGGCAAAATGGAACTGCCACAGACGGAACCAGATGTGGAACTCAGCGACACCGACCGCAAGAGCCCTGGCTACAAGAACGTCAACACGGCATGGTGGGACAGCTCGCAAATCTACGGTTCGAGTGAGGGTGTGACAGAGAAATTGCGAAAGCAGCACAGCGATGGCAAGCTGTTGCTCACCAAGGAATACCACGCACAGTTCCTGCCGCGTGATGACCAGGGCAATCCACTGACAGGGTTCAACAACAACTGGTGGATCGGCATGGAGATGTTGCACACTCTCTTCGCGCTGGAACACAACTCGATTTGCGACATGTTGCGGCGAAACTACCCTGACATGACCGGCGATCAGATCTTCGACAAGGCTCGGCTCGTCAACTGTGCGCTGATGGCCAAGATCCACACGGTGGAATGGACCCCGGCCATTCTCGCCCACCCAACGCTCAAAATCGGCATGAATGCGAACTGGTGGGGGCTTGTCGGCGAGTCCTTGACCAAGATGTTGGGTCGGATCTCCAAGACCAGCGAGGTCATCAGCGGCATCCCGGGCTCAGGAGTCGACCAGTTCGGCGTGCCGTATTCCCTCACCGAGGAGTTCGTCTCCGTTTACCGTATGCACTCTCTCATCCCGGACACAATTGCCTTCTTCGACGCGCATGATGGCGAACTGAAGCTCCACAAGCGTGTCGAGGACATGATCTTCGCTAACGCCCAGAAACCGCTGGATGGGACCATCACCTTTGCCGACGCCTTCTACTCCTTTGGCATTAACTATCCCGGCGCGATCACCAACTCGAACTATCCGGACTTCCTCCGCAATTTGACCACCCCCGATGGGCTACACCGGGACATGGGTACCGTGGACATTCTTCGAGACCGTGAGCGCGGGGTACCACGATACAACCAATTTCGACGACTGTTGCGCATGGCACCTGCCAAGACCTTCGAGGAGCTGACGGGTGGCAACATGGAACTGGCTGCAGCGCTCTCGGACGCGTACGGCGGCGATATCGAGCTGGTGGACACGCTGATCGGGTCACACAGCGAGCCTGTGCCGGCTGGATTCGGTTTTAGCGACACGGCATTCCGCATCTTCATTCTCATGGCGTCGCGCCGATTGAAGAGCGACCGCTTCATTGCGGGCCAATGGAATGCCGCGACCTACACCAAGGAAGGCCTACAGTGGGTGCAGAACACGGGCATGAAAGATGTGCTGATCAGACATTTCCCCGAGCTGAGACAGGTATTGAACCAGAAGAGCGTCAAGAATGTCTTTGCTCCCTGGGCGAAGTTGCCTGGGTCCGTGTCGTATCAGGGGATCGAGACCAATCCGCCGCCCAAGAAGAAAAAGAAGTGAGCAAGCAGACTGCCACGATTGCGCCGAAGTGGCTGCACTAGGTGGCAACTCGTACTCGCGTTTTGTTGAACGGGGCGATCCGAGCGAAGCTTTTTTGCTACTGGAGCATGATATGTTAGAGGATTCAGATTAGGGTCAGTAGTACATCACCAGTAATTGAAACAGCATCCTACCCTCGACCTTCGCTTCCAGGTCCTTTGTGTCTTTCCTGAGGACTTGGTGAGCTGGACACAACGAAGCAGGACAGTTTGACAGTGCTTGCAATCATTGTGCACCGAAGAGAGTTATACAGACATTGGCTGTCTGACCAAAGATTTAATTATCGCATTGCCGCTGTGAGCGGAGCGGGTCGCTTACCATGCCTGCCTTAGAATGAGATACGATACGAGCCACCGCAGAGTGTTGCGTAATCAGGAGTCAAATAGGACGACGGCGGCGACGATGATCACCAACACCACCACCTGACAAACATCCAGTCTAAGCCAACACCCTTCATCCGCACAGGTTACTCTCCGAATGCAGGCCGGTCGATCGAGTCTCCACCATCTTTAAATATGTGACCGGAGAGGGGAGAGAGAGGACCATCATCTCACCATCTCCCAGCATGGCGCAAACACCGTCACGCCGCGGCGGCGGCGGCGGCGGCAGCAGCAGCAGCAGCAGACCTGGAAGCGATTCAGCGCCTCCAGCTCCAGCTGCTGAGCAACGGTTTCAGTTTATCGCGGTGAGTGGGCGCGAGCCTCGACCCAGCGCCGAGACTCGCAGGCTCGTCCACAGCCATGCACAGGCCAACTACCGGCGCCGGCATCCTCATCGGCCGCGCCAAACGACTTGGGAGGTCGATGTGAGTGCCCTGGTGGATGAGTCGGCACAGAATATTACGAATACATCGAACACGACCAGCCAGGCCGCCGTCGGCCCGGTCACTCTGCTGCCCGCGAACCGTTCAGACCCCTTTCAATCGTTCGGGATCGAGGCTGGTTCTCGGGCACATCGCCTCTGGGACCATGGTGAGTGGCATCGTCCCCCTGGTCTACCTGGACGGGGGCCCTTTCTAACAAGGGAGCCATTGTCAGTGTACGACGGAACATGTGCCAAGTTCCGCATCCTCATCGAGATTGGATTCATCGATCTTGTTCGAGAAACCATTGCGGTCACACAGATGTTGTCCGCGTCCGCATGGCATCTGGTCAATTTTTGCCGGGCTGAGGACGACTCGGGGGAAGAAGCACAGTATGCCCTGATCACCACGCGGTCGCTGCAACAGAGATTAAACAACCTGGCCACCGGCACGAGTGATGAAGTGGTAACCACCGTTCTGGCTGCTGCTGCGTATGCGGTACGTCTCACAGTGTTGTCTCAGCCTTGGATATCTCTCCATTGACCTGATGAACGGCAGAACTTGATCAAAGAGCCCCGAATCTTTCAGGTCCATATGGATGGTCTTACCAAGATCCTGCACCATCGAGGCGGAGAACAAACCTTGGATTCTACGCCCGGCCTTCGACTGGCGATGTTCTTGTATGCTTCACTCCCATGAAATTCCCTGTATCCAGGCCAACGGCATCTAGGATAGAAACCAACGGGCGTCTTGGTCAGGATGCCACGCCACAATACCGCCCACCATACCATCTTCTGGCCACAAGAAGTAGACTCGACTTTCATCAGACCGATGTAAACCTGCTCTCGCAGTCAGAGACTTGTGATAGCATCGACCAAAGCGCAGCCGTCCAGCACATCTGTCAACGGTTGAGGCAGCTGAACCAGATCGTGGACGACGAGTGCACCAAGCGAGAGCTGTGGCACGATAGCCCGTTCACACTCTTCCACGTCTCTCCACTTCTGCACGACTGCCTCTCCATCAGCCGTGGAACGGTGCGTGACGGGCTCCAGCTACGTCAGCGGGAGTGCTTTCGACTCGCCAGTATTCTGTACCTGTGTGGCATTCGAGCCAAGTTTGACTTTGAACACGGAGCCGGGATGCTTTATGGAACCAAGTTGCAGCTGATGGTGGGAACACCAGGCATGCTTCCGCGATGGGAGAGCAGCAATGTGTTTCTCGTTTGGATCCTCACTGTGGCTGCCTGCTCCGCCATTCTGTTTGACGAGTTGCGTACCCAGTTCGTTTCCATGCTTGCGGAGTGCATTCACGCGGCGGGCATTGGCAGCTTTGACGAGTACTCGAGCATGATCTATGACTTCATGTGGTGCAGTGGTGCTTTGGGACCGGCATTGAGTTCGTTAGCAGGCAGAATAAGATTCTGAGGCAGGAAGCGAACGAACTGTTTTGCAGACTCGACACCTTGATAACGACGACGACGTCGGTGATGACAACGTTGGCGCGTTCTGGGCGTTACGTGTTTCATATCACTAATTGAGGCGTCGGCGGTTCCAAGTCACTAGCCTGACATTGAACTTCCTTTTAATCTCCCGTCATCTCCATCATCTCCACCGTCCACCACAATCCCATCACCATTCCTCCTTCTCCCCAAACCATTGTCGTTTCCTCCCAAAACCCCCCCCCTCTAGCCCAATCAATAGTGCGATCGGTGGCGTTCTCCATCCGGGCACGAAATTGAATGCCCTCTGGCCCTCTGAGCGTCTTCTGGCGCTTGATCTCCGTGATTGGCGCATCCTGGGCAGCCTCTTATCGCCGCGCCAGCCGTTTTCTACCCTGACCATACATTGGCGATTGCCACATGGCCACGCGACACCACCGGGGGGTTCCTTGTGTGATCACACCGTGCGAGGGTGTTTGTTGGACGGGAAAAAATCCCCAGGAGGGCAGGAGAAAGAAAAACAAAAACAAACAGCGATGCTTTATTAAAAACGCAAATTGTGTTGGTGGAACCTGTCACTCTGGCTGTCCAGGGAGCCATTGACCTGGTCCTGGGGGTGAAGTGGGTGGTTCCCTCTGTTGGTACTGTCAGCCGCCATCTGCCATCTGCCATCTGCCATCTGCTATACTCCGTGCAAGCTTGTTCCTTCCCATCTCTTGTGGTTGAATCCTTCTTGCTTCGGCCAGGATGTGATCGTGGCTGCTCCTGCAACCCCGTCTGCACTGACTGTTTCCTTGGAGTGTTGTCGGGTTTCGTTGTTCTTTTCCGATCTGTGGCACTTCACTCCTTCGTGCCTCAGTATCGTCCACTCATTTGTACCACCGCCTTGTGTGTGCCCTTTTTTTGGTTGTGTCGCCTCTGTCGCGAAGCGTTCTGCAGCTATCCTTCAATATCTCTGCCCACTAGCTCTCCTACATCCGGAGCCTCTCGAATCCTTGCACGAGCGCAACCACTTACAAATCCGGGGATAGCACATAAGGTCTGTCACCAAGTCAGTCGGCGGCCATGGCGGCAAATGTTCGAGATCCGGCATTCTGGCGGCGGTTTTCAATGGCGGTCCATTTGGATGAAGAGAAGGCAAACATCTCGGATACCAGGTCAACTTCAACTACCTCGTCAACGGCACCCTTGAGACATACGTACGTTGACCGCAGACAGCACGCACACAGGTCGTGGAAACATGAACTCACTAACAATCTGTGACAGGGAAACATGGCTTGAGCGACATCGGAGGAAACAGCGTCGAACTCGAATAATAGGTTGCATTATCGCCCTCGGCTTTATCGCTGTCATTGTGGCCGTCGTTATGGTGCTGCTGTGGTTCGCGAAAGTCGGGCCATTTAAGGACCAGTCGTCGTGATACCAATATCTTTCACAAACCGGACGGAACATTGTCAGCAAAGGAGGAACAACACATGCCAAGCCGTCATGGTGCAGAACGATCCAGAATACCAACGCTGCCCTCGAGCTCCCTCGAGCTCGAATATCTTACCGGACCATTATCTATCTCACATGTCTTTCGAGGCAGAGCGGAGCCTATATCCAACGGCGGGGACTGGCTGCTTGACGTCTGGGCCCTGGAGAAGAGGGAATGCTCAGTATGGCTGTATTCCCTATTTTGGAAGAGGGATTGGGAGGACCGCCCTGGATACTTGAAGGCCAGCGCCGAGAACTACGGGGCGAAGCAGCTGGATTAGCGCTGTAGGGGTTCAGGAGGAGTGGAAGCTGGCAAAAGGAGCAACACGCAACATTATGAATTAACGAAGAACATGGATATCCCTTACCGGCGGATGGCAGGTTGCGCCCGCCGTCGTAAGCTAGACACCATAGATCAATTGCTACAAACACTATGAGCCGAGCATTTAGTATACTGACTGAGTACAATAAGGAGAAATGGAGACCAAGAGGAGCGAAGACAAGATTCAAGTTGTCGGGATTAAATTCTCTAGTGATCCATACCGTTCGTTCGCGGTACACGCTTTTAGAACTCGGCATCGATCTCCATCACTGCCGATACAACACACGGCGGCCTGGCATGTTGACGCGGCGGTCCCTCATCGTCTATCTTCCAATTCCTTGAGTTCACCCCGGCCGGCACGTCCTATGTATGTGTGGCACATTGGTCGAATACCATCAAGCCCGACCAACCCACCCAGCATGCGTTCGCGCGAAATCTTCAAGACCGGAATCCAGTGTCTCTCAGGATAGCTGGGGCTGGGGACTTGGTTTTATCGGTTTCTTCATAGAGTGGGATTTTGTTGGCAGGGCATGACGAGTGACGAGTGCGTCCATTAGGTGATCATGATCAATCGATCGACAACTGACTGGCTGGCTCTGTGACGGGAGGAACGCACAGTACTTATTCCTCGACACCTGTTCTGTGCCCTACCCCCCAGATCCTAGCATGCTGGAAACCAAGACTCGTTCGACGTTCGTCCCACGTGCCATGCCCCTGGCCTGTAAGGCTGGACTCCGGGCTATTGTCGAAGGTCAGATAGATATCCTCAGAATTGCCGATGAGACAAGGAGAGCCTGTGTCGCCAGAAGATATCGTTCTGTCCATGCCATGCCGAAGGATAGCTGCCAATGACAACAAGAATCAGTCCGATCAGAGCGAGAGAGAGAGAAGAAAAAGGGAGACGCGCTAGGAACGAGGTGCCTGCTCGCTCGACCGGTTGTTGGGATAGAGTTCTTGTGTTTTGTCTGAGTCGTTATCTCCGACTCCTCATTCGCTCGGAATCTTCAAAAGCTGTGTGGTACGCGATGTCCATGATCCAGAGTGACCCTTCTTGGATGGATGTGCTCTGTTGCAACGTAGAACGCAACGTACTGCACAAAGTGATCGGCCTCAAAATGATCCGTTGCATCTTCCACATCTTGGGTGCCTCGACGGTTTATTGGCGAAGAGGCCTGCGTTCGATCAAGGTTCTAGTGATCAAATCTAAATCCCCCAACGTTTCGAGCTGCTCAATATCGCTTTCTCGTCGGCTCGGGACTGGGACTCCTCGTCACGCTCCTTTCGTCGCGGCCCCTCATCTTCAGCCACTTCTTCGTGCTCAGCTCCAACTCCCTCTCCAGCTCGGGGCTCGGTTCTTTTCTGTGGATGAAATTGCAGAATCCACCGCGGACGCATCCCTCGCCGGAGTTCAACCTGCAACACGCCTCCCGGAAGTCTGTGACAGGGGACAGCTCGCAGTAGATAGGACGCGCGGCGTACCATCTGCTGTTGAGCGCATCGCAGGCTGCTTGTGCCGAGTCTTCATATTTGAACCGCGCATAGACATTGCCGATTAGGTGGTCATTGTTATTGTCGCACACGACGACTTCCTCGACCTCGCCGTACTTGCACATCTCGCACCAGAAGTCTTCATAGAAGGCGTCAAAGTGATTCTGCAGTTGAGAGGCGTTCATCTTGTTTTTGGGATCGTATGCGGGATTCTGGTAGAGGTTGGGGAGGAGGATGGTTTGTGAGTATGAGGGCTTGACATGCTTGCGTGAGCAGCGGTCGCCGTGTCGACAAGCCCCGATCTTGTAGTAGAAAGAGCAGTTGACCTGTTTTAAGACCTTGTTAGTCCTTGTTTCTCACACTTGGAACCATTTGGGGAAAACCTACTTTGTCTTGTTCTGTGCCAAAGATGGACGCGAGGTAGTTTGCCATGGCTGGGTAGAGTTATAGCTTTGTCGCGATGTTCTCAATGATGTGTTGAATCTCGGAATGCGCTGGCTGGATTGTATGTGGCGTCGAAAAGTATGGGAGGATGGAATTGTCATGTATTGTCGATGCCGGCAGAAATAAAGACGCGCTGGACGAGCAGGTCTAGCACGTGACAAGCATGCGAGCCACGTGATCAATTAGAAATCCGCCACGCCTTCTAGAATTTTCTTGGCGTGCCAGCCTCGGGGGCTTCGCTGTCGCTCCATGACAATGCCAACACAATACCAACTTTTCAGGTTTCATATTGATCTACCTACCATCATATTACAACGCTATCCTCACACTGTCATGGGAACTCTGTCTCGAAGTTATGTGCAGAGACCCGGGTCATATTCGGCGTCCAAGGGCATCGGATACGTACCGCCAACCCAGTGTATCTTTAGCAATCGACTTGAAATCGCTCGGAATGGTTGTCTGTACAATTACAAGCTTATAGCATATTAGAAGACTGCCGATCTTTGACCGGAAGTCGGGAACTGAACTGGAAACCGCCCATATTAGGATTCAGTATAGACCCTGGCCAAAGCTGTTGTAGAATGCTGGTGGCCATCCGTTGGGCAACTCCCGTATAATGCCACAGAGCATGACCTGTTTAGTCAGAATAATATCCTGCCTGGATATGATTTTCAAAAGGAATGATATTGTGCCTAAGAATGAGATCGTTTTTGGTAGGAACGTCCACTACGTACCAATAAGAAATGCTGCAATCCAATGGGATGACAACGTGCGGTTCACAAGCTGCCTTTACCTTTTCCTTCTTCACATGGGGGCCATATATTCCCGTCCGAGAAACCTTGTGCGAAGTTCGCATTGTACCGTTTTGCTGAACAACATGGGAATCATCACACCGGGGCCGTCAATGCAGTATTGGAAGTTTCCAGCCACGGATGGTACACCAGTAGCTTTCCTGTGAGCATGATGGAAAAGGTAACACATCGTTGTTACAAAAACAGACTGATCGGGAGCAACAATGCTGTAACATTGTCACGTAACTCCACAATAGTCGCAAATCCACTCACATCCTCGACTTCAACCATTGGCAGTTGGTCGCTTTGACAGAAATTGCGAACAAATGGGAACCCAGCCCCCCTCATCTTTCGCAATGGCATAGCCATGATCACTGTGTATAATATCTGTATCTGTAGCTGTGAAGACAGTCGGTGTTAACGAGACCGATTGTGGCGTGGATACAGTGGACTTAGTGATGTCTGTCACGTATGCGAGTCAGCAAGAGCCAAATTGCGGATGGAGCATATCGAACCTGCGCCAGACTGCCATTTGAATTTTGCTCTGTGAGGTCCGTGAAATGAGATTGGCAGATGTTTATTCGCCGATAGGCAAGGATGTTGTTCCACAAGTGTGAAAAATGGAGATCCTCATGCCAAAAAATGGAGAAAGTGTTGCAAGCTGTGCATGTATGTATATATACGCACCTCTGACTGAGTATGTGTCTGACATGTGAGAGTCTTCCTCCAGCCAAGCTCTGAAGAAGGTGCGGTACAATCTCAGCGCTAAGCACATACAACACCACACACATTCGAAAACACTGTGTGCCGCCCGAAAACAAATAATCACACACGTATAGAGAAACCAAGGAAAAAAAAAGAAATAGATGATGGGGCCTCCAGACGCGGCCAGAATAGGGGAACCCAATCCCGTATCCCTATATTTCCCACTTTGTTCCATCCAGGAGCCGAAGCCGTTGTACCATGATATGGTAGTCCGTCCCCAAGGATCTTTGATCCCCAGTACTTCGTGCGGTCACTGTATGTATGTTGAACTCGGTGGGAAAGAGACACAGATTTGTGTTCGACTTTCCGACGGGATCCTTCATCGGCTTGGGAACAAATTCCGCAAATCCAAATTATATGTCAATAGGATGGGAGAGAGCATTCACCGGGAGTGGGGCCAACGTATATTCCAACGAGGGTGAGGTCACCCAGTCCATCACTCACTCAGCCATGTGACTTCGGAATTCTCACGTCCTAGATGGACTTACCGACGTCTCACCTTTTGTACACGGCTGGCTTCATTCAAGCCCTTCGAGACAAGACAATACTCTTCATCGGACTCTACCTTGAGCTAGAGTAATAGCGAGAGTAGAGGTGCCTTTGTCGTTGAATATGAGGAGGAGAACGCATCGAGATCTGGTAAGGACAACCCCAGCAACACCGGAAAGCGATGAGCACGTCGAGGCCGAGAGAGTGAGCTTTGAGATTGAATCGAGGAAGAAAACGAAGAATTCTGCAAGCTTTGCAAGTTTCGAAGTTGGGGAGCCCAATTGTCAAAGCTATTGAATGGAAAGCATCACTGGCTCCCTCTTCCTGTTGCCTGTGGCGATATCGCGACGGAATGAGTGACTGAAGTGAAGACAAGGTTTGAGAGATGAGTACGTGTAAAAGCAAACAAGAGAGAGGAAGAAGCGAAAGGGGGTGCCAAGACGGAGTAATTCGACCCACTAACTCGCCTTCAGCAGCGGACTCAGTCAGACGTCAGTTACCTGATGCTGACCTGCATTCTGTGGACCATCTCTGATGAATGATCATCAAGATCTCGGAAGCCGTGCAAATCCAAACCGCTCGTTGTTCTTCTTCCTCTACTTTTTTCTCGTCAACTTGTACCATCTCGAACGGCCCTGTTTGCTGGCTGCCGATGTCTGTTCTTCTTCCGCACAGTCTCCGGGCTAAACGGGAAATCATCTAATTCAGTTTGCAGTTGGGTTCGGCTGGCAGCAGATGGCTGTTTGACAAAGCCGTGCTACGGGGGTAACCTGTCAGTACAGCCTCTTGAGAACTACTTGAGGGTATCAAGATTCATTTATTGATTGGGTAACCTATAAATGATATGATCAAATCCGAATCTGTGCGAGTCGCACCCTTACAAAAGCTGTGACGCCAACGTAATGGGTCAGATCGGTAATCTGAGGGTTTATAAACTGTCTTCAAGTTCTCCTCGGGATACAATACAACCAGTTCTTGATCTGTCCAACAAAGTCTTTGGCTCTTCGAGCTCAGCACAGACACATTTTTCCTCACTCAACGAATGGCAGCGACGTCTATCGGATCCCAGTTCTGTACTGGTCTATGCTACGATTCACGATCAAAGTGATGTACCGGATCCAATCACTGGCTTTATATTTGCACATCCAAGAGACCCAGGCCCTCTTCCATCCAGAACACTCCATGTCTGGCTTGCCGGAGTCTCTGAATCTGCCCAGGGCAAGGGTGTTTTCGCCACTATGATGGGCGAGATCGAGCACCACGCACGTCTTCACGGGCAAAGAACGTTAAGCATAAGCACGTTTCCTGGGAAATTTGCGAGAATGTTTGCAGTATTAAAAGGGCAAGGATGGGAGATTCAGGCTGTGATGGACGAGGGAGAAAAAGTGCTCATGACAAAGAATATTCGAAATGATCATACTTCTGGTGAGGCATGAGGCAATAGACAAAGAAAAATAGGCGGAGTTACTCGATATCTTTCCCGCATTACTCCAGTCCGTTACCCTCAATTGAATCTCCAAAGACAGAATTCATCAGAACCAAGGGACTTGCGACAGGGTCCTCCGGCAGGAACGATTCTCACTGAAGACTGTGTAGAATAACTCCTCTCCTGAACTGGAGGGTCACTACTTTCCACCCACACGTGACTGAGAGCGCCACAAATCTGTGGCGCTGCACTGTGGCTTGTAAAAAGTGGTATGAGCTTTGAAACTCGCGGGCCAATCATCATCTGCCCGAACATCAATCGCAGTTTCGACAACTGGAACCTTTTGACCTTCGTGCTCACAGCTCCCACAGCCTCCCTCTCTCGCGACTCTCAACTCACCTCTCACTCGGCCCTCCACAATGTCGGTGGCACGCGCAGCTTTCTCGCTCACCAGGCGTATGCCTCTTTCAGCTGCCCGCGTCGCTCCCCGAACCTTCACCACCATCACAGCTCGCCGTAGGTGCAATTGAATCCTCGAAGCTTTGACAGTACCCCCGGAGAAGCTATTTCACATGAACCACTCTACCAGAACTGGCCTGACTGATCTGGGTGTCTACAGGAGCAGGCAAATGGGATCCGAAGCCCGGAGATCCGGAAGGGAAGCTTCTCCCTTTTGAAGGTATGAAATGCCCACAACACCGACTCACGTCGAAGACTTGTTGCCCTGGAGGCAGAGACAACGACGAGGGAAACAACCTGCTGACCGTGGTGGAATCCGTCTTCCGCAGAAATCAAAACCGAAGCCGATCTCCTCCCACCCGGCGCTGCCCCTGGTACCGTGCCTACCGATCTCGAACAAGCCACTGGTCTGGAACGTCTGGAAATCCTCGGAAAGATGCAGGGCATTGACATTTTTGACATGTCACCGCTTCCGTCAGATAGACTTGGTATGTTTCTCCCTGAAAAGAGACGAACTCAGACAAGAATGGGAGCTTCAGAAGCCAGTGACAGTTAGATATTCCTAGCATCCAAGCTAACAAGATCGTGTTGGGTAGGTACATTCGAGAATCCGATTGTTGTGAAATCTGCTGGTCCCGAGTATCAAGTCGGCTGCACCGGGTCTCCGGCCGATTCACATGTCGTCAAATGGCTCGTGGTATGTTCACCTATTCGAAGTTCTGGGGGGACTGGCAGATCATGACTGACACTTACCTTTCTTTCTCTGTGGATAGATGTCCCGCGCACGCCCTTTTGAGCGGTGCCCAGAGTGCGGGAGCGTCTACAGAATGGACTACGTCGGGGCACCAGACTCCCACGACGACCATCACGGCGACCACCACCACGCCGCACCCGAAGCACCCAAGACCATGGCCGATTTCGTCAAGCCGGAGTACTGGTACCGATAAGTGATAGGCAGATCGATAGTTTTGAGGCTGGTGCGGTCGGACAAATGGATTGCCGCGAAAGGAGAAAGAAAAAACTGTACATAAGTGAGATTAGTTGTGGCGAGAGAGTCGATCAGTCGATGTGCCTTGCAGCGAGAACGCTCCTACCAATGGTATATGGCTATCTATGCTGGTTCTCATTGCAGACTTCTTTTTTCTTTCTTCCCCTGTCCTTGCCGTTCCACTCGAGACTTTTTCTCCTTCGACAGGATTCCTTCACCAGTGTGTGTGCGCCTTTTCCGTTCCTAGGTCCGAGTACGTCTCGCACGCAGGCACACTCCATCTTCCGTGCTTGAAACTCTCTCCTGTGCCCCGACCGTCAGTCAACGCGAAACAAGAACAGCAGCGGCAGCCTTTCGCACCCTCCACCGCTGGCTTGGTTGGAGCTCGCTTCATACATCATGTTTTGGGGGCCAAGCTGGCCTCGTCTTATTAGCTGATAGACGGATCGCGAAGATTGGGGCAAGCCAAAATGCCACATGCAGTCTTGGATGTTTCGTTCCAGCACACAGATAATTGAGAGATAATTGAGAGATAATTGAGAGATAATTGAGAGATAATTGAGAGATAATTGAGAGATAATTGAGATATCGAGGCTCAACCTAGAGAATCTTGCTCACTCGCAGGGATTAGTGCGAATTAAGTACCTCGTATGTATCGACCCAGTTCCATTCGACAGTATTCCACTCTTCATGTGATACCGTTCGTAGCAGAAAAAAAGAGAACAGTTACCAAGATAAACAAACGTACTGCCATCAGCCCTAATCCAGTAGAGCGTCTGTTCATCGACACCACCATCATCGCCTGGTTCTCCCGTTGGTATTGCTTTCCTGCTTACGCGTCTGTTAAGCCTTGTCGATACCAACCAGTCAGTCTCACGCTTGTTCAGCCAGTTTGCCGCCGTTCATTCGGACTCTTAAAGGAAGGTACCACTTCTTGCCTCCTTGCCATTCGTGTCTCCTGGGAATCGCCATACGTGAACAGATAACCTTTTCAGAAGAGGATAGCAGCAAGCCGCTGGGAGAGTATCGGCCTTCACGGTGCGTGGGCGCTGTTGAGTCGCCTTGGCCGTAAAGTCGTGTGTGATGTGGTCGAGAGCAGCAGCGAGGTGCGTTTTCGATGTTGTTGAAGCAAAGGGCCGTGACCAAAGGACGAACGTCGCTTCGATCGAACAATCACCCAGCGACCGCGAGGCCATCTCTACCTGCACAAATCAGCATGTTGTCGACCATACCAGCTTTGCAGCATCTCGCACAAGTCAGGGATCTAGCTGCTCGGCATGATCCCCTGTGGTCTTTGTCTCGGCAAGGTCCCTGTGCCCTCTCAATAATGTCTCAACCCTGCACCTAAACAGCAGAAATCTTTCCTCTGAAGCTCGCTGATGGCAGTGATGGAATCAGGAATGGAATCCCCGTAGGAAGTTATGCTCTCTCTGGGTGCCATGGTTTTGACAGGTACCTGGCAGCTCGCTTTGCCGGAGGAGATGGCTCAAGACAAACGGGAATGCCTCTCAAAGGCAGGGCAACCGAATCGAGGAAGTGCCCCTTGTTATTCCTGATTCCTTGTGATTGTGATGGGCAGTGTTTGCGCATGAAGCTGCCATTTGATGAGAGAGACAGATGGGTGCTCTGCGTCCTTCCAACACCGGCCAGTCCATCATCCTCTGGTCGTTCGGCTTCGTTACAGTCTCGCCGTTCTCTCACAATCGCACCTTCCACTCAAACCGCCCACTCACGGCCTTGAATACGGTCGTCCCAGCAAACATGTCTGTGAGAAACGCGCCTCCCCGGTGGGTGATCCAAAAACCACACCTCAAAATGCGTTCCCTGAGCACACGCATAGGCACCATACCGTCAAATGGTACCCGAACAACCCACACAAATTCACTCCAATCAGAATGTCTTCAAGCCAACAGGATCGTGGCAGAGGTAGCGGAAGTAACCGACCATCCTCCAACATACAAGCAGCCCTGGGAGTCAATCAGGTACATGAATACCATGATCATTCGCTCGCAGCTAACATTGACGCAGGAAACCGACACCATACGACCCCGAGGATATGGCGACGACCGATACAGCGATTTTGACAAAAGTAGAGAGCGTCCAGAACGTCCAAAACGACAAGAGCCAAATGAGGACAGACCTCACGAGAGATCACTCCGACAGAGGATCAAGGACAAAGTCAAAAAGATCTTGGGTCTGAAATGAGCATTTGGAAAGCAAGGTCAGGAATGGGAGTCAGGGAACAACGTGCATGAGTGGATAGCTCGCATAATGTACTGTCAGCTGGCAGGAGGGATTTTGTGAGAAACGTGAGCTTGTATGACAGGGGTTGGTGCCGTGGACGAGAGTTGGTCGGAGGCGATTGGCGTGTACACCTTGTGCGACGAGACTGCGTCCAAGCCTCGAGATCTAAAGTTAGCCTCGTGCGCCTACTGCGTGTAACAATACACAATGGCAGCCTATATCACGCCCAGCAGCCATGAATCTCTCTGCCAGGCTCTCCCTGTCTTCGAGTTTGTATTCCAGAAAGAACGGTGCACAGCAACAAGTGACTTGCACCGAAGGACATCGCCCAAGACCACGACATGCCAGTCAACGACCTCGAGAAAGGGAATCAGCCCACCGACGAATGTCGGGAGGGTATCGTCAGTAGGTCCCAACCGACGCTTCTTCAGATAATGAGTTGAATGGAAGAATAGAATGGAGCTTGCTGCGACTCTTCGGTATAAGAGGTTTGTCCAAACGGCAGCAACATGATCAAAAGGTCTTGGAGGAGGATGAGACAGATGTCCGCGCTCGTGAGTGCTGCCCAAGAGTCTCTGGATGATGTCTAAAACGTCTCAGTCGAATGTGCTGTCAGAGGATGGCCGAGAATCGCGACGTTCGTCGATAGCGACCCAAACTTCATGATCTACCGGCGTTTCGGATTCTTGAGAACCAGGCTGCTGTTATGGCATCAAGATATCCTCCGCGAAATGGAGTCAAGGCTTGACTATCAGGACATGCAGGACGCCAGCTCGGTAGGCACACGGCGTTACCTGTCAAACCGGGATGGCGACGACATGCGAACCCCAGCCGTCCGGAAAGCCTTGTTTCAAGAGCTGGATGTGCAATTGAAAGCTTATGGTGGGTTTCACTCCTCGCTGCACCGACCTCGAACTAGTGACTGAGTTAATTATAGATGATCTTTTGTCTCGCTCCGCAGCCCTGTATCAGTGGCAGAGGCCTGACAAAGAGAACCGCGTGAGTATCGCCAATTTGATCCACAATGACGGAAGCCTCGCTCGAAGAGACCGGAGCTGGATCAGAAAGATCGATGATTTGATCGTCCTTGGTGGAGAACCAGATTCTTCCTGGGTCCACGGTCTGGTCAGCCACGTCTTCACATGGATCAGTAGGTCCGTGGTCAAAGTACGTGACCCCTTTTCTGCTGTTGAATGGAAAGCCGTGTTGACTTGGCAAAGTGCTTGCTGCGCAACAGAATCCAAGACCGGAAGCTCGAAGGCTCGACAATACATGTCCAGTTATATGAAAGAAAGCGGTTCAACCGGGTCGTCGGATTTCTGTACACGATCGCCATTGTGGCGTTGATCATGGGCCCGGTGTTGGTCCTCTACAGGTTGCGACACCTGGACGGGTACGCACAGAACTTGTTGGCATTCGCGTTCACGATCGCCTTCGCCTTGCTTTGTTCGACGGCAACGACTGCAAAACAGCACGAGATATTCGGGGTTACTGCGGCGTAAGTACGCTGATTGAAAGCACATTCTGCGAACTGACCCGAAGCAGATACTGCGCGGTGCTTGTAGTCTTCACCAACCAAAACACAGGGGGAAGCGTGCAAGCACCGACAACAAATCCGCACACGTCTTCGTGAAAGCCATGGCACCGAATGAGAACTTGCGGCTATTTCATGCGAATGGTGCAAAATACTATATATTTGGTTTCGTGGATATTGAGGTTCTTTCAGAGGTTGTAGGAACGTCCTTGGAGACACATAAATTGGGCCTGTGTTTTTTTTTCGGGGGGGGAATGGGGACATCAATGAGTGAATAGACGAAGTAGTTTGATGGTACCATGCCTCTCAGCCATAATATATGCCTCGACCGAGCCAGAACACAACCTGCAGTGCGCAAGTGCCGCCAACTCTATCTGAAATTGGCGGAGATTGATCTTGCTGGAATTGGCTTTCCTTGTATATGCCAGACCTATGGTTTGAATGGCCAGTTTCCGAGTTTCTGCATCTAGTCATGACTGGTGGTTGGGTCCCAGGCACAAGGAGCGTAGGAGCCTGGGAATTCGAGACTCTTCATATCTTCGTCGTCTAGCTCAAAGTCATAGATGGCGGCATTCTCCTCGATTCTGGTGGGAGTGACACTCTTTGGTAATGGGACAAACCCCTTTTGCAGACTCCATCTGAGCAATATCTGAGCCCACGTCTTTCCGTGTTTCTCACTGAGATGTTTCAAAACCGGCTCATCTGCACGCTGGCCACGGACAATGGGACAGTATGCTTCAACGACAACATTCCGCTTGCGGGCCCATGCCACGATATCGTCGCGCGGAAGCCACGGATGAATCTCCCATTGACCGACGTCGATGGTGCCGCCAACGCCGGATGTTTTGATATACTCCTCCAATTCATTGAGGTGGTGCACGCCATAGTTGGAGACGCCAATTGATCGAATTTTACCAGCTTGCTGAGCTTCTGCAAGTGCTTTCCACGCCCCGCACCGGGCTTCCTTGCCACCATGGGGGGAATGGATGAGGTAAAGGTCAATGTAGTCGAGACCGGTTTGAGCGAAGGACGACTCGATGGACTTCTTTGCCCCCTCGTAGCTCAAACTCCTCGGTGGCACTTTGCTGGTGAAAAAGATATCCTCTCGCTTCAGCCCAGAATTGCGAATGGCGTCGGCACACGGCTGCTCGTTACGATACGCGCGGGCGGAATCAACATGTCGGTAGCCAACCCGAAAAGCATGAAGCGTCACTTCTTCACACGATGCGGCAGGGGTTTGGTAGACACCGTAGCCTAGAGCAGGGATCTCATAGCCTGAGTTCATGCGGTAGGTGGTGTTGATGTCAAATCTGGTGGGAATCTGGGTGGTCATTGTGCGTTTGTTCCTCGTAAACGGGGCGACAATGCGGAGAATTGTATATTGGACACGAACAGTACTTCCACTCAAGAGTGACATCGAGGTTGATGAGATGAGATGAGTTGCGTGAAGTTTAGATATTTGTAATGATACATAGAAAGATATGAAGGGTTGATTGGTGATTGCTGTCCACAGGCGTGTCTGCAACAAAAGAGGCTTCGGTCTGACAAAGGATTATTGACTCAGCTACAGACGCAAGCCAGCCACCAGCAATGCTGAGTTGTTACTGCAAGCTGCCCTGTATCTCCCCAAGATACAATACTATTCGGGTCTACGGCTGGTTGCTCGTCAAAGTAGATCAAATAGAGCGTTGGGCTCCACATCACCTTCGAACTCCCTTGTTCCTCAACATTCGAGGACAAATCCTTGGCTATGGATAAATCGAAACTCCAGAAGTCTGCTAACACATTGCCACGCTGAAAGGAAAACGCTACATTTTGTACATAGAAGTGCTTCATTGCCGTGAAGACGAATTCTCCCGCCAATCCTCGCCGCTGTTCAACACCCTCTGTCCAGGCTCATCTAGCCGAGGAACGTCATCCTCCTCATCCGACACAAAAGCGTCATCCTCTAGCATCGGGTTGGCTTCGGGCATCGAGGACTTTGACGCCCTTTTGCCTTTGTCATGGTCTTGCAGTGTATCATCCGCCGAGATAGATATACCTCGTGGGCCCCAGCGGTTGACATTCGGTTGCTGCGGCTGCCCATTGCTCTCTTCATCACCAGCCTCCGGGTCTTGTTCTGGTGCTTGCCGCGCAGGGTTGATGACCCTGTTGACCAGCCAGCCTTTCCGCAGGTCCTCCGCATCCACAATGCCACCTCCCCTCAGCTTGACTCTTTGCCTCGTCCAGTAGACCCATGCGAAGTCGATGTAAAATGCTGTTTGAACGATGCCAAAAATGACCGAAATGGCGTCCGGTTTGGACGGGGTGAAAGCACGATAGATCCAGTTCAGAAGGTAAAATGCTCGGTAGGAACCCAGGGTGACGAGGTAGAAAGAGTCAATGACAGTCGGCACGGTGGTCTGTCGCAGGAGAAGGAGCTGTGGAAGGACGCAGACGGATTCGAGGATGATGGAGAATGTCCACATGACTTCGGCAAATGTCGTTCGGCGCGGTCCGTTAAAAGTCAAGCAGACCAGGGGAGCGGCAAGCATTGATGCCGCAGTGGCATATGCACCCCATTTCCAGGCCTTTTCTCGCTCACGGGTCCGCGCAAAGACTCGAGTCATCAAGATGATAATATAGATCGAGGACCAGATATAAAAGTTTTTGAGGATGAAATTCCACCATGATGCCGAGGGCGGGACCCAGAAGAGGTCGAGGTAGCGAGTAACGAAGACAGCAATATACAGGATCTGGGTCAGGAGAGAGACGCCTGTTCACTCGTTAGTTGCCGTGGTCTGAGAGAGGACAGGCAGACGGGTTTGATAGATCTGACCTTCAGCGCTCTTGTTGGAATGAATGGCCCAGATAAGAATACATTTCGAGGCGGTATGGGAGACGTCGCCCAAGATGCGGAAGATGTTCATGTTCATGGCTGGCAAACCGACATGACCAGACCGAGTAGACCGTCTGTTGATTCAACTCGGGTAGCAGACGGTGAGGCTAACAAAGCTGCCCTGTCAATCGAAAATGGAAGGACCAAACCATCGACCCAATATCGCTTCGCCGTAATTGAAGGAGGGTTGGGCTGTGAGAGAGACGTTGCTAGCTGCGCTGCCTGCGGGCGTTGAAACGCGGACTACTAGGCTGACGGGAGAGGCACGAGGAACAACGCTGAGGCTGAATGTCTTGGCTAGTGAGTCTGGCAGCGGGGGTCGCTGCTTTTACCTCTCTCCTCTCTTCTCCTCTCCAGGTACTTACACCACCTCCGTATGAGGTACCTCTCGCCTCGTACTTCGTGGCCATCCCCACAACGCTTGCCTCAACAACCCCGAACTGCAGGTGAATAATTGCCCGTTGATGTCTTCTGACTGGTTGATGTTGTACCTGCCGAGCTGCCCCAAGAGCACCAACAGGACGTTGTAACCTATCTATTTCTTCTCCGATGTTGCAAGCTGATGGCTTCCAGGGCACACCTATAGAGACAGGCAGCAGCCTCTCGTCCTCTGATACATGTTCTCCCGCCGTTCAGTCTCCCAATTCTCCGTGCAGCTCTCCCTAGTCTTTATCCGCGAGATCTGGGTATTCATACCCCGTACGGAAAGCTTCTGTTGAAGCAGTGGAAGTGTGATATTGGTTCGGTTCCAGACGACTACGGTTGCTCGAGGCCCTGGGGAGGACCGTCTTATTGACCACCTGGCTGCACCTGTCCATGTACCGCACGGCAGACTCTTAAGTAACTAGGGATCTCTCCGGCCCCCCGGGATTCCCCTTTGTGGCGAGATTCACGATCCTTCCGGGGAGCCGGCTGTGGCCTCCTCTAGTCCCTTAGGCTTGTTTTGGTGGCTGGGGTTTCGACTTCTCGCTGTTGTCGCCCGTTAAGCGACCTGTGCACGCGTCCCCACCGACACTTGATCGTATCTCGATTATGCTAGTCACGACAACGTCTTGAAGAAATGCAATCTCAACAGCAATCATTCTGAAGATTGTGCCTGCCTGTGAGCCCCAGCTGAGAGGGAAACGAAAGGCCCTCGGGTGGTAGCGAACGATTGCCTGCCTCGTTTCCCGCGATGGAATCAGATTTCCACCACTCGTCATTAACTCTGGCTCCAGACCTGAAGCTACTCAAGGAATGGTGGAGGAACGTGCACGCACCCTTGCTACCCAAGCTCGATGGCGATAGGGGATCATAGCTCGAGGAGTTCCCCGAGGCAAAAGTGCAATCATCCAAGGGATCAATCAACGGCGTGCGGCAATCCCTATCTTGGGTGCGCTGTGCGGATCCTCGCTCCATACTGATATATTCTCCCCTGCAAGACCACCTGCACGATACGGACGACCTTCAATAGTCACCGGCACCATTACTTGAGCTTGTTCAAGTCTCCAGCTTTCTGTCTTTGTTCCTTGTTGTTTTGGCCCCCGGTCTCGTGGCATTGCAAGGGAGAATTAACCGCCCAGATACTCTGGCGCTTGTTGGACCACAGCTGCCTTCCTTTCATTCGCCAACACCTACCCTAAGGCAAACTCTCAGCACATGATGGAGCACGGTCTCTGGGGTTTCATCGATCCTCTCCCCTCCATCATTCAGAGCATTGCACATGTGCTTGAGTGACCATATGGACGGATGGAAGGGTGGCTTGCACTCGGCGCAGTGCCCTAGTCCAGAGTGACTTGGACCGTGTGATCGAGATCACTGGAAGCCTGGTTGGCACAAAAGGACCCGCCTCCATATCCTCGTGCCTCTTTTGCATTGGGAAACGTTTTCTCTTTTCACTCATGGTGCTGACTGGGGAAGTGGTGTTTCCGTCCGCCACGGGTATAGCCACGGCAGGCGGGAATGCGTCCGAAGACCACTCTACCATCGGTTGAGCTATTTGGCTGCATGAACCCCATTACCCTTTCCCCATGCATTCGCGGCCCTCTCTATCTGCATGCCTAAGAGGGTCCAGTTGCCCTAAACCGTATGTGCAAGCCCACTTGCAGCGGTACCAGCGGCTATTCCTCTGCTCAGAGTGATCGAACACCCTACACTTGCTTTGACAAAGCCAATAACTCCACTCTTACAAGGCCATTATCCGGTCACATAACTGCAAAGCCAACATCAATTCTGCCTTCCCGAAACGCGAAGGCAGACTGGGGACCATTATCTGCTCGTCACTGGGGCCATATAACAACCGGTTGAACAGGAAGACCAGAAAGTCAGAGATTTAGAGTCGCACTGGTGCACGCCTCTCAGTCTTCAACTCTTCGCCTGAAAGGAACCATCCGCAGTCTGGTTCGAATGCTTCGGGCACATTGGCCTGCGATTCTCCTGTTTGACAGTGCATCTTGTCGCTGCCTCCGTTTATAGAACGATCGTTCGGTCTTCTCGATGGCGCCCCCTGTTCTCCCGGTGCCAGAAGGCAGATCAGCCTCGCGATCCCCACGAATGCAGAAGTCACGCAATCCATTACGGAAGGACAAAGTTCGACAAGGCAAATTGATTCGCAGTTGGACAGATGAAGAGGTCCGCTTGATGGCTCTGCTCCTTCGCCGCCGACACTGACCGCTAACAGGAATCCTTTTTATTCCGGAGTCGGACACAGGGCCAGAAATTACCCTACAAGCACATCGCAAATCGCTTGGACAAAACCGAGCTGGCGTGTCGTGTCCACTGGCACCACATGACAGTTGGCCGGAAAGGCCACCGTGCCGAGGAATACGACGATGACAACATCTCTGACAATAGTGACGGGTCCGCTCCCCCGACAGTCCCGTCTTCAAGCCAGTTTGTAACGCACGGCAGCTCCAGCAACGCCCAACAAGAGGCGAATCTCCCGCACCCAACGTCACCAAAGCCCTGTACACTACCGAGCTTCGAGACCTTCATTCGAGACACCTTCCACCAGCGCAGTACCTCGTCGCCAGGTTCTCTGGTGGGTGATGATGTGGACAATGGCGCAAGAGAGACACAACTGCCAAACAGCAACAGATCGTTGCGAACACTTTCTGGGTCGTGGCTGAGAGACGCTGGAGCCACGAGCACATATCTTGAGCCGCAAGGTCGAGACCCACTCAACAACCACTTTGGCCTTTCCCGACCCTCACATGATCGGCATGGAAGGCCGTCAACTTTCAGTCCTAAATCCCTGTCAATTAGGCCCGTTGACCCTCCCCAAACACGAGGGGACAGGGTGGAGCACTGACGTGCTGACACGAATCTGTCATCTATTCATGCGTGAGGTTTATGATTCTTAGATCCAATCTGCTTTGGGACCGACGGCACACCCCAACGCACGTCACGAATTTCGTTCTCTGTTTTGAGACGGCTGCCCTCTTCATGGCAGTCAGTCGCCGATGGCGTGGTAGGGATTTTCAGGGACAGCATCGCGTGGATTGTCGTGGGGGCTGGGTATCTGCATGGTGCGTATTCAATTTTGGAGCCTCCTTAAGCACAAGATGCGAGGGAGGGAATATCCATGATTAGAGGTATGAAATGATTCTGGTCCGGAAGAAACGTTCATTACAAAACTGAGGCTGATTCGTCGGCTCGTCCTCTACTGGCTTGATTGAAGTATATCAAAACTTTCTCCGGCCTTCCTCGTCCGCGCCTTTCTTTACCTGGCAATACGAAGTCGTGTCAACTCCCTTGACGCTATAAGGTGGATCGCCCATGGCTTAAACCCCCAACACGCTCTGGTTATCGGAGGAAAACAACAGATCGGCGGCTACATTTCGATTTCTGGGCACCTTCCGACCCCGGGACGGTCGGACGTGGTCAGGCGTAGGGCGAGGGCGACTGGATGAGGGTGTCCTCCTCCGACACCAAGCTGGAAGGTGCTTTCTCAGGAGCCAACGCTGTGTTGTCGAGACTGAGGTGCTTGGGATGTTTCTTTCGGCGTAAAACGGTGGTCTCAACACCATGAGACTCCTAAGAGTCAATGGATCATCGCAAACCGGATAATTATACGAAGCCAATCAAATGGACACCATCATCCGCCACGATGGGGCTGGTGAGGCTCCCTAGGCATTGACTCGCCTGCTAAACGCCCGCATCTTGGCCGGTCGAATACATTCCTCCGAGTCCAGGCACCGCCAACACCTCTAAAACGCCTTCAGCACCTCTCCCGCACCCTCAGCGCCGCTTCCTTGCATGAAACATTGGGGGCTAAGGAATTCTGAGTCCGCTAATCGGCCGAACCCCTCCAAAATGATGCCACAACTACCGAAAATGAATACCCTGGCGTGTCGATCCACAGACATCCCTCTACGGAGTACTGTGCGAGCAGCTTTGCCCACTGGACCAGTGCTATCAGGTAGGTGTCAGGCGGGCACGTTGTTTGATGACAAATATCGAAGCACGGCACTTCATAAGGCGTAACCCACTCGAGCATAGCTGGGTGCATAAATCCTTAGGCCAGACTATACAAGATGATGGGATTTTGGCCAAGAACTAGTATAAAAAGGAGAAAGGTTTCCCATCTTCAGGTACAGACACATCGACAGATCTGTTAACATCTATTGTCTCTGGGACACTGGGCGACATAAACCCTCTTGACGTCACGACTTCCCCTTGTCCAATTCAGCCTGATTCTTATCTCCTGCTTCTGCCCCGCGTTTCTAGCGCTGAGTATTATATCGAAAGACGCCCATATTTGAGGGGAACAGAGGCACCTTGACTCAATCATCACCAAACATGGCACCTCAACCCATCAAAGTCGTATTCGGCGCCGCCTCGGTGGGCAATCGTGACCCGTGGATTGCAGAAGATTACCTCAACAAGGCTTTCACGACGCTGCTGGCTCATGGCTGCAAGGTCCTTGACTCTGCCCAGCTCTATGGCGAGTCTGAGAAGCGTCTCGGCGAGGTCAAAGCCGGCGAGAAGTTCATTATCGATACCAAGTGGATGGGCGGATGGCAGGCGGGGTGGGCGACCAAGGAAAACATCATCAACTCGGCCAAGTCAAGCATAGAGAAGTTGGGTGTCAAGCAGGTATGTTAGCATCCGTTCTGAAGTCGCTGGACGACTCGGTGGTTGAGTCCCCGACGTGGACGATTGAGGAGTGCTCTAACCAGGACTGACTGACTCTTCTCACAGGTCGACATCTTCTACATCCACTGTCCCGACGCCGCCACGCCCCTCGAAGAGACTCTCGCGGGTGTCAATGAGGTTTACAAGACTGGAGTGTTCAAGCGCTTCGGTCTGTCCAACTACTCTGCTGCCGACGTACAAAAAGTCTACCTCTGCAAAGCCAACAACTATGTCCTGCCCACCGTCTACCAGGGCAACTACTCTCCCGTGGCGCGCCGGCAGGAGACTGAGCTCTTCCCCACGCTGAGGAAATTGGGCCTCGCTTTCTACGCCTATTCGCCGCTTGCCGGAGGATTCCTTACGAAGACCGCTCAGCAGATCGAGGATGGCGCCGGCCGCTTCGGAAAAGAAGCCCTTGGGGGTATGTACCGGGACATGTACATGAAGCCGTCCTACCTCAAGGCCCTTTCCAAATGGGAACAGATCGCCAACGAGGAAGGCTGTTCACGCGCCGAGCTCGCTTACCGCTGGGTGACTTACAACTGCCCGCTGAAGCCAGAGTACGGGGACGCCATCATCGTGGGCGCAAGCACGGTAGAACAGCTGGAGCAGACGTTGACGGGGATTGAGAAGGGTCCCTTGAGCAGCAAGGCCTGTGAGGGGATTGACAAGATTTGGGAGGAGATCAAACATGAGGCGCCCCTGGACAACTTCAGTCGCTAAGGGACGACCCGTGGGAAGACCTTGGAGAGAAATGAGGATTGTCGTCGTCGACAGGGTGAAGATGAGGCGTCGTTCGATCTGCTTTAGACAGCGACGGAAGGGTCCGTCCCTCAGATAGATTGGTACAGTAGACCACGAAGCAACTGAGTTGTACGTGCTTGATCTCATTTTTGAAACCATTTAACCACAGGATAGAGTCTGGGGCTGTGATAGCGAGTCGAGTGAACACTGACTGGCATTGATCGTGGGGGCAGTGGGAAGGAAATAGGAGGGAGATAAGGGCGAATACCCCCCTTAGGTGCCCCTCCATTCTTCACCGCTACAAGACGGTACGACAGATGACGTGCTTTCTCGAACACACCCACTGCATGCAACCCTCAGTTCCTGCAGGGACCTAGAACGAACTCGAATCGATCTCTTCGCACGAGACCTGGCCTGATCCCGCGCTTACCAGGGGCGAAGGGCCGAAGGGGGTTCACCGATCTTGGCCTCACTAGCCCTCCACAATGCCCTGTCGCTGACCCCCAGGACGAAGATTCTGTTGGTCACGCTGAAAGACACCAACCAACTCTCTTACTTCTTCGTTTCCCTTCCCGCGACGAGTGATCACAAGGCACTGATCTCGTGCCAATGTCTCGTTGAGATTGATTGAGATGCGCTTTCTCTCAGGCTTTCAACTCTTCGTTCATCGTTATCCTTTTCCCGTCCGGTTGACCAGGTGTCCTTAGGCGATCATGCTTTTCAGCGTCACGAACCCAGAATGCGCGTCTTAGTCTTGCTATATCGACTCCTCCAGACCGCTGTGCCTGCGTACGGAGGGACGATCGAAAGAGCCCGGCGTGGAGGAGATGTTGGGTACTCCGCTGGTCTGTCCAGCCAGTATAAGCTGACGCCGGAGACAAGAGGAGGGAATGAGACACCATTATGGAAACACAATGTACCAGGCGTCCTCCGCGACATGTTGAATGCCTTGGACGTCATGCAAGATTCATACTTTGACATTTTCACGGGGACATGGCCTAATGCCATCGACTGGACCTCTGCGGTGATGGGGACACATGTCTCGGCCACGCTCGCCAGCATTGTCTCCTCCCTGGATGTATCTTCCATGGCCACCTGTTCTGACATGCTCTCGTGGCAGAACATAGTGGAACGATATTACGCGCACACGACCGTCTTCTATTTTGGCGAGAATGCGTTCGCTTTACGAAATCAGGCTTACGATGACATGCTGTGGGTTGTTCTTGGCTGGCTCGAGAACTTGAAATTTGCCGAAATGTATACCTTGAAACACTGGGACTTTCTCCAATCTGGACGGCGCGGCGAGGCGGGAATCGGGTGGCATGGTCTTCAAATCAGCCCGATGGCCGCTCACCGCGCCCGGATATTTTACGACCTGGCATCTGTGGGATGGGGCGAATCTCCCCGTGGGGGCGGGATGACTTGGAACCCCTATCTGACTCCCTACAAGAACGCCATTACGAATGAACTGTTTGCTGCGGCGAGCATTGCCATGTATCTCTACCACCCGGGTGACAACAACACTTCGCCCTATCTGGTACAAAGTGGGGATGGGCTCTCCAAACCTCATGATCCTGTGTATTTGGAAAACGCCATCAAGAGTTATAAATGGCTTATGGGGAGCCAAATGCGCAGTCCCAAGTCCGGTCTTTATCAGGATGGCTTCCACGTCACGGGTTGGCGCCGATACCCGAACGGTACCGTCGACCCAGGCACCGGAAACTGCGACGACCCCGATCCCATGGTGTATACCTACAATCAAGGCGTGGTCTTGTCCGCTAGTCGCGGTCTGTGGCTAGCCACTGGAGCCAGGAGCTATTTGGATGACGGCCATGCTCTAGTCGAGAGTGTGGTCCGGGCAACCGGGTGGCCCAACTCAGGCCCGATCTGGAGCGGGTTGGGCCGCGCTGGGGTTCTGGAAGAATTCTGCGACCACAGCGGGTATTGCAGTCAGGACGGCCAGACGTTCAAGGGCATATTTTTCCACCATTTGTCCGAGTTTTGCCGGCCCTTGTGGCCACAGGAAGAGGCATTCATAGCATCAGACAAAGGGGCCGGTTTTGACCGAAGCGTTTATCGATACCACCTCGCCCGCTGCGCTGCTTATGACAAATGGGTGGCCCATAATGCCAACGCGGCTTCGGCCACGCGAGATGCCGACGGGCACTTTGGGATGTGGTGGTCCTTCGAGGAGCCCGACGAGGACACGATGGCGGAGATTCGAGAGAGCACCGTTCTTCCGCCCGGCGCGGATGACCACCTCAATCCCCACCGCCCCGAGGACTGGCCGAAGCAAATCATCAACGCGACCGATAGAAACGATCGAGGAAGAGGACGAACCGTCGAGACACAGAGTGGCGGGTTGGCAGTCCTTCGGGCCCAATGGAACTGGCAAATGCATTTACAGCAGATTTCAACCTAAGAAACATCTACGGCGCAGGCAGGGGTTTGGTTCATATAGTTTTGTCAAGTCTGATGCGCCCATTAACGAAAGCATTTGACCGTTGACCTGATGCATCCGGGGCTCTGTTTGTGCCCTGTCGATCTTTCTCTCTCTCATTCTCTGTCCTCCTTGAACCATTCCCATCTGCCGCTGACACAAGCTCACGTCGTGGCTGTTTGCTCGGGTGGCAATTCTATCACATGTGCGCACAAAATGCAGCACCGTGTAACATGATTATATATCCTGCGTCGCGACCTGAGTTTCTTCCGAGCCCTGCTGCACAGGAATCCAGGCGGCGAAAGCGACAGAGTAATACAAAACGACTCTGTTCCTCGTCCTCGTCCCCCTTCTTCTTCTTCTTCTTCCTGGACATGGACATCGGTTGCGAACTCCAATCAAAAAGTCTCTTCCTGCAAAGTATCGGAAGTCGTGCGTGTGTGCGAGAGAGGGCTCGGAACCGACTCCTCGACTCTTCGACCGAACGGCGCCTGATTGGCTGCTCCACACTTGTGCTTTGGGCTGACGAGGTCGGATTAGGGCGGCCATTCATACGTATGTACGGCCGGGGCCGCGAATTGTCGGTGTGGAGGACCTTAGAAGCTTGGGATGGGTTGGCAATGAAGGAGGAGCAGGCTTTCGGTAAATCACCCATCCCAAGTATAAGAAGGCCGTCCAGTCCCTCGGAGGACAAGAAGGAGGAGAAGCTGGGAATATCCGAGTTGAGTTGCCCGGTTCAACGCTCGATATCAGACAGGAAAAATGGCCTCGTTATCCAATATCCCGCCTGACTCGCCCTTCACCTTGGACAACATCCCATTCGGATCATTCTCGACCAAAGAAGACCCAACTCCTCGGTGTGCAACGGCCATTGGCGACTTTGCGTTGGACCTTCGCGCGCTGGGTAAAACGGGCGTCTTCAAAGACGCCTCGGTGGCTGATGCCCTTGGACAGGTACGAATCCATTTCCTTCATTTCCATCCCAACGTTGCGCATCCGCCGCCACTGTGTGGACGAGACCGCTCCCCGGTGTGTCGTTGCCAGGCTCTAACCAGTTGACAGACCACCCTGAACACATTTGCGGCACTCCCAGCTAAGACTCGGACTGCTGCGCGCGAGGAAATCATCTCTGCCTACAAAGATGGCAAGATTCCTCACTCCTGCCTGCACAAGCTGGCAGAGGTGAAAATGCACCTTCCTGTCGCCATCCCGGAGTACACGGACTTTTTCTGTTCGCTGGAGCATTGCACCAACGTGAGTCTCTGCGGGCTGGAGACTGTCTCAAAAGCACCTTGCTGAATCCCTGCCCAGTGCATGCCTATCACCAACAGCAAAGTTCCAGACAACTTTTTCCACGCACCCTCGGCCTATAATGGCCGAGCGTCCAGTGTGATTCCATCACCATCTCTGGTTCGTCGACCGAGGGGCGTGTACTGGAAAGCAGGAACCAAGGAGCCCACTTACGGGGTGTCCCAATTCATCGATTTTGAACTTGAAATGGGGTACATCGTGTCCAAACCAGTGCCCTACGGCGAGACGATCAAAGTAGACAACGCACCAGACCACATCTTTGGCTTCGTGCTGTTGAATGACTGGTCGAGCCGGGATATTCAGATCTTCGAGATGCCGCCCCTGGGGCCGTTCAATTCGAAGTCTTTTGGCACCACCATCTCTCCCTGGGTCATCACCCTCGAAGCGTTGAAGGCGTTCCAGTGTGCGCCGAAGCACGAGACCAACCCGCTGGAGCACCTGCGATTCAAGGATTTCGAGCACGGCACCTTCAACATCAAACTCTCGGCCGCTCTCGAGCGAGACGGGAAACGACAGCAAATCTGCACGAGCAACCTGCGGTACCTGTACTGGACCCCCTACCAGCAGATCACCCACCACGCGTCCGCCAACTGCGGGCTGCGCACGGGCGATTTGATGGGCACGGGCACGGTCTCGGGCGACGGCAAGGACGAGAAGACGGGTAAGAAGTTCGAGTTGGGGTGTCTCTTTGAGGCGACGCAGCATGCCAGCCAGCCGATCGCCCTGGAGGGAGGTGGCACGCTGGGGTATCTGGAGGATGGCGATTCGATCATCCTCTCAGCCTGGTGTGAAGACTCGACGGGGCGGCGAGTGCTCGGGTTTGGTGAGTGTCGCGGGAAGCTGGTGGGACCCGATGGGCCGATTTCTGAATGACTGCCAGAGGGACGTCACAGTTCAGGTAGATAGGTGCTAATTGGAGCATGACATGTTCTCTGGACAGAGCAGAATGCTATTACTGTCAGGGCACCAGGGGTGGCATACATGGCGAGATGGGAATGAGTGCAGACGGCGGAGCATTTAATGGGAAAGCGCAGATACGGCGGACCAAGAAAACAGACATACATCTCGACACACCGTCGCACACCAGAAAATCACAATCAGTCCAAGGTCATCGGTAATTTGTTCTCGTTCCAGTTTTTAGAGGTCGTAGGTGGCTCTTCTGCTCAGACTGCCCTCATGTCTCTTTGATTCACGTCTCTCTAAGCTCCTCAAGCAGCGAACCTGAGCCGACGACTCCTGGCGTCCCTCGTCGCCACACTAGAATCCAGCCCACTTCCCCGACTGGTGGGTTGCTACAGTATGTATTAATTGATAGTCCAGCTAGCTAGCACCTCCGGGGTTGGTCACTAGGCTAGTGCTCCGTCGCGTCCCCTGTCGATGACCAAACTTTTCGCTTTCCAGCCCCAGTGGACCATCTCTTCCTCCATCAACATACGTTCGCAGAGTGAGGAATCCATCGTGTCGCCATGCACAGCAGTCACTAACCAGTCCTTCTGCTTCCTCTCTAGGATGGAGACAACTACCACTCCGATGCCTCGGAGGACGCAGTTCTCCAGCTGCGATGCTTGTCGCCATTCTCGACTGGCCTGTGACGCCGCTCGGATGGGCTATGATTCGGGGAAGCCTGGTTGGTCGGGGTCGTGCTCGAGATGCAGACGTCGGAACCGACCATGTACGTTCGAGGTAGGTGGGTGATGAGCTGTGTCTTTTTGGAGGTTCCCACGATCCAGTTACCGGTGGGGAACGAATGCATGAGAATAAAAGCTCACCTGCAGTGATCAGTGGATGAATAACATCAAGAAAAGCGGCGGTCCTCGATCACAGCGGAAGGGTCGAACCCCTTCCGTGACGGCAGTGCCCTCAGAGCCCTCGGAACGGACGTCAATGTCTCCCGAACGGGGACAGCGCGTCACGGACAATGATCTGTTGTTTGATCCTTCCGAGCCCGCCCTGAGGGATACCACTGATCATGCTCGGTTTAGTGCAGAAGTATCGCAGACAAGGTCTCAAAGTCCTCACACCGAGCCGACTGCCTTGGCTGCAGCATCTGCTTCGTATGTTCCGCTAACCCCCCCTCTGGAATGTGCAACTACGTCGATTAGAGACTGGCTCGACCGGATATATGAAAGCTGCTTCGACAATGTCTTTGGCTTTTGGATGGGCAGACACGCATGTGCATTGGTGTATGGGATCTCCAGAAATTTCAAGGAGGACATTATGCTGACCCCATCAGTGACGACCCCAACTGTAGCATCATCTCCCCACCGAGCGGATACTTCGCCGAACTGGACGAGGCCATCTTTGGTGACTGGGAGGCACGAAATTCGCTCTCAAATGCTCAGTCGCCGAGTAACTTGCTGCAAAGGTGGGACCAGATTGATGAATCCCTTCGACATGCCAAACGGTCTTTTGCGGCACGGTGGTTCCACCTCCTTCCGCCGACCGAACGAGCAGGTGTGTTACCGGAACACGTTGTCAGAGAATTTTGGCGCACGTCACGCAGGGACATGCTGAAGGTGGTCAACCGCGTGTCATATCGTTCTGCGCTAACCCTCTTTCTCTTCTCCTTGACACCGGTCCCTGTGGGGATATCAGAAGACGAGGAAATGGACGGTCTATCAGGCCAACTCTGTGTCCAGGCCGCATTGCAACAGATCCAACGACTTCGAGACGGGCAACGCAACTGCCAGTTCAGTGGATCCATGGTCATGCCCGCGTCTGACCCATTGACATGTCCCGCAATGAGGTCAACAGTGTCGGCCAGTTTCTTGCGGTCCGAAGCCCGGGCATACTGGGCGGCGTTGACGTTTGACACATCTTTCTCGCTCACACTGAACTTGAGATCAACCCTCACGTCGGGACTACATGGCGTGACGACTGAATCGTGTTGGCGGACTCTGCGAATGGGTGCCTCATCCTTCCACACGAGGACCGAAGAATGGCGCAGAAATCCCTTGTCCATGACAGAGGATCAAGTCTTACAAGTCATCGCCGCCGCGGCCGCAACAAAGCTGTATGTGTGGAAAATGATTTCTGTCTTGAAAGAAGCACTCAGAGAAGGATCCGAGGAGACGGAGGTGCGTCGCGCCTGGTCATCGTTCATTATCGGCACCGATATGTTTCGATCCACATTCCGACCACTTCTCAGCGATTGTGAACGACGCCTCCCGTTCCTCGGCCAAGTGGAGAGGCTGAACTGGTACGAACTTCAGCTGCACTATTACATGGGCATTCTGATCATTGTCGATGCGCTCGAAGTCGCGGACCGGAATGATCTGTTGTCCGAACTGACAGACGCAAAGCTGGAGGCCGAACATGAGGTCTTCAACGCGTTGGAATTCGGGCTAGACAGCCAATATACTGTTGCTAGAACACACCAAACGGAATCCCCCACAGGAACGCAAGCCCCAGACCCGGCTCACACAATCACTGCATCGTTTATCTCTCTCGACCCTTATCCGCTCCATGTCGTTGCCGCCGCCCAGCTGATGGGGAAAGTCGTCGGCAAACAGTACCGGCAGGGTCTTATCAAGTTGGAGGCGTACAAATATTTGAATGCGACTTTGCTCAGGTGCCTTGCGGAGTTACCTCAGACGTCCAAGTCCGTTCACGCTGCTCGGCAAAATATGGAGCATTCCCTCATAGAGCTGGAGGATGACTCCCGCCGGGACTCAGCGCCCGGAAGTACAGGCTGGCGCTCTGAGAGTTGGACATGACCACTTCCGTCAGTTGAACGATGAACTAAAGATGAACCGGAGACCTCACACAACCCCAGCCGAAGTGCGACACACGGGAAGAGCCCGATTATCAACTTCTGAAGACATGGGTACAGCAGCAGCATGCGATTTCAAGTTCTCCGCAGTTTGATGAGCGGGCAGGTTGACCTCTCGCTTCCCGGAACCGAGACTTGTTGCCGGAACCGAGGTTTTGAGCGGGTGTGTAACAAAATCGACACGGCTCTTCAGGGATGGTACCGCGATGTTTATTGCAATGGGAAGGAAAGGGAATTTACCTCGATTCTATCCTGGTTGTCCAATCGGGCGAATCCTTTCAAATTTTCCACGGCCCGGCACGATAACCGATGGCAATCTGCTGGCCCCTTCTCGAAACGGGTTATGATGATTGAGGAGGAGATCTTTGTATGGTCTTTCTCCACAGCGGGAACAGGATCTTGGGGGATCTTGCACGACAGCGATCGATTGGAGAACGGCAAAGGCTCAGACGCTCTGATCAATCCAAAAGGGAGACCTCTGACCGGCAAAGCACCAGCTGGAACTTGGTTGGCTTGGGAAATCAAGGGAGCTCTCAGACGCCTTGTCATCACAGATGGGCGCTTCTTGGGTGCTGCCTGAAAAGCTAGTACATTATTAATGGCTGATTGTTGCTTTGAGAGCCTATGCTGTTTTCCCCTTTGGGACAGTATAGCACATGCACGTGCCGCCACGGGGAGAACAGAACCGACAGTGATGTCATTGGCCCCGACGCTCCCGTTCCCCATTGCTCAACGGCCTCGATGTTCAACGGCCATTTCTTTCCTTCTCAGTCTCATCAGTCCCTCTTGACTGATCACCGCCGCCCATGCCTGCCGAATCTATCTTCCCGGACTTTGTTCTCGGCCACCCCAGACATCACCAGACGCGACCCCAGGGTGTGCCACATAGACAAAAACCCAAGGCACGGCCGCCCACAGGGTTGAGGGATAAAGTTCCGTTCTATGGCAAGCTCCCACACTATGCGGGCCCTTACGAGGTCGGGATCATCGACCTCGAGGTGCCGGCCAAGGACCCCAGGACTTTTTCAGATATCAAGCGGCACGGCGTTCATGCCCTTGCCCTAGAGACGGTGTTGATGACCATCTACTATCCCGCCCATCTGGACGTCAAATACAACGTCGACGTGCCATCCACGAGGCAAAGGCATCGCCCGACATGGCTGACACGACCGAGAGATCAGACGAGTCGCGGCTACGGCCGGTTCGCGGCTCTTCCGGAGCCGCTGATGATGGCCTTCTTCTTCTGCACCACCTGGTATACGAAAATCCCGGCATACAAAAATGCAAAACTGGCAGAACACTGGCCTCCGCCCGGAGAAGCTCCCACGGGCAGTCGGAAGGCCGTGGACATCGAAGGGGAACCCCCCGCCCAAGGCCCCGATAAGCCCAAATTTCCTCTGATCATCTTCAGTCACGGATTGGGGGGCACAAGGACGTGCTACTCGTCCGTCTGTGGAGAGTTTGCCAGCCACGGCTTTGTGGTGGTGGCGATCGAACACCGCGACGGAAGCGGCCCGAGAACTCACGTCAATCACTCTGATAGGGGGCCAGGAAGCCGGCCCTGTACAGAGGCCAAGGGTCATGTCGAGCACCGGAAAAAAGACACCAAGAGAGCCTATGACACTGTGGACTTTATTTTCGCGAAAAACGACAAGTACGACACCAGTCCCGGCCACCAAGTGGACCATGAACTACGCAACGCCCAAATCGATCTGCGGTTAGCCGAGATCGACGAAGCCTATCAGATATTGCAAGAAATATGTGCCGGGGATGGCGACCAGGTGGCGGCGAGAAACCTGCGGGTCAAGCCCGCCATCGGTGCTTCGCGGGTTGGTCTGGCTGGCATTGACTGGTCGTCCTGGAAGGATCGATTCTTCACCGAGGGGGTCACCATGGTTGGACATTCCTTTGGGGCGACGACGACGGTGGAGGTGCTCCGACAGAAACACCGGTACAAATACATGACGCAGGGAATCATCTACGACATCTGGGGCATGCCCGTGCGGCCGACCGCTGAAGAGCGCGACAGCCGCATTCGAGTTCCGCTGCTGGGGATCAACTCCGAGGCATTCATGTACTGGCCCGACAATTTCGAGGTGGCCAAACAAGTGACGATGGAGGCGCTGCAGACGGGACATCCCGCATGGCTGCTGACCGTGCGCGGGACGGTGCACATCTCTCAATCCGACTTTTGTATCCTGTATCCGCAGCTGGCCAGCTACCTGATGAAGACCACGATCGACCCCGTGCGCGCCATCGACGTGAACATGGACGCGTCTCTGGAGTTTCTGGCCCGCGTGCTGCCCCGGGAGGTGCACCACGAACAACCCTTTTTGAGACGGATGAGCCCGAAGAAGCTTCTGGACGGCGCCCCCTTGGAGAATCTGCCGACCGAACATCGACCGGACAAGAAATGGACGGCGGTGCGGTTGAAGGTGGAGCACGAGGCCCGGAAACGGCTCACGCCCGGCACGCGGAAGCGGTACTGGGAGAAGCTACAGCAGTCGCGGGACGGGGAGATCTGGCTGCACATCAGCCCGGACAGTGCGGCCGGGTTGGAAAAATGCGAGACGTGCCGGATTCCGCAGTGGACGGAGATTGACAGGCCGAGTTCGAGTGAAGGGACGTGATTTCTCATTCTCGGACAGATCTGGTTGCTCACGGCGAGGCTCTGTGGTGAAGCCCGTCTTGTTGGAGAGGTTACGGATCAACCATTCAGGGTTTCCATGTTGGTGGATGCACACGTCTCGGAGGATACGGGGACGACGTCGAGCCTGAGAGAGCGGCCAACCGAATTTTTCACCACTGTACACACATACACACACACACACACACACTCTCTCTCTCTCTCTCTCTCTCTCTTCAGACACTGCGAGGGTTGTCGCTGGATGGCCTCCCTCGTCACTGGGAGGTGATGATGTACTGGGGGGGTTGTCCTCGGTAGAGTCGTGGGTGAGTGATATACAGGTATAGCGGGTGCATTATGATGTTGTATCTGCCGTTGGGGGTCTATCTCTTATGTATCTCTCCCTCCACCGAGCCAAAACACTGGCGATGACCAAAAGGAGCACGAGCAAACCAACCAACCAACTATTATTAACTTACCACTTACAGAACACAAGGAGCATCTTCGGACCGAGGCATGTGGACAAATTCCGGGTCGGTCTGTTTGTGCTTTTCTCTCCTTATAGTTTAGTTGCCTTCTCCACGCACGCCCTTTGTATGTGCGTGATATGAGGAGGATGAGGAGGAGGAGTAGTAAGTAAGCTCGCTAGTAGGTAAATAGAGGAGGGGGAAGTTGACAAGCCAATGGTGCCGAGATGGTCACTCTTTTATTCTTTTATTCTTTTATTATTATTAGTTACTGTATATCATGTACCACGTAATAAAATAAATCAATACACAAACCCTCATTCTCATCCTCAACCTCCATTGAATTGAGTTGATCAATCCGTCTTTGCCAAATAATCGAATGAGTGCAATTCCTCCCTCAGTACGTCTATAGTCCATCCAGAAACCACCCCTATCCACCATCTACCGTCTATCTATCGTCAATCGTTTATCGTCTTATTCTCTACCACTCACCACCAGACTACATACTACATACAATACCTAACACACCACACCACATCATGTCGTCCTCCACCCCGCCCTGGAAAGCCATCGCCGCACGCAAACAGGCCTCCCGCGCCGCCCGCATCCCCTCCAAATGGCTCATTCCCGCCAGCGCCCTGCCCCAGGACCCCCCAACCCTCCAACACGGCCGGCAGAACGTGCTCAACGTGCCACGCCAGTTCCTCTCCCGGGCCGAGATCGCCATCACCGAGGACTACACCGTCGAGACACTCCTGTTGGCGCTGGCCGCGGGCAAACTGTCCTGCACCGAGGTCGTCGACGCCTTCTGCCACCGCGCCGCCATCGCCCAGCAGCTCACCAACTGTCTGACCGAGCCGCTGTTCGACGCCGCCCGCCAGCGCGCGACGGAGCTTGACGCCTACCTCGCCCGCCACGGCCACCCGGTCGGCCCCCTGCACGGCCTGCCCGTCTCGGTCAAGGACACCTTCAATGTCCGGGGCGTGGACACGAGCATCGGGCTGGCGTCGCTGTGCGAGAAACCCGCGGCCGACAACGCGCCCCTGGTCGACCTGCTGCTCTCGCTGGGCTGCGTGATCGTGGCCAAGACCAACGTGCCGCAGACGCTCGCGTCACTGGACAGCGTCAACAACGTTTTCGGCCGCACCATGAACCCCATCAACCGGCTGTGCACGGCCGGTGGGTCCAGCGGCGGCGAGGGCGTGCTGGTCGCCATGAAGGGCAGCCTCATCGGCATCGGCACCGACATCGGCGGCAGCATCCGCGTCCCTGCCATGTGCAACGGCCTGTACGGCTTCAAGCCCTCCAACAATCGCCTCCCCTACGGCGGCCAGGCCCTGACGGGGCGCGCCGGCATGAGCCGCACCAGCGTGCAGGCCGTCGCGGGGCCCATCGCCCGCAGCGTCCGCGACATCGACGTCTTCATGCGCGAGGTGATCCCGCGCGCCATCCTGTGGGGGGAGGACTGCATGCCGTGTCCGTGGCCCAGTCCGTCATCGTCGTCGTCGTCGATCCAGGGCAGCGGCCCCAACGGCGAACTGGTGATCGGCATCCTGCGCAGCGACGGCAACTGCACGCTGCTGCCGCCCATCATGACCATCCTCAACGAAGTATCCATGGCGCTCTCCGGCGCGACCGCGACCACAGGCACCCGCATCATCGTCAAGGAACTTCTGACCCCGCGCGCCTGGACCCGCGCGCAGTCGGTCATGAGCAAGCTGATGGGCGTGGACGGCGGGGTGGCCATGGGCGAAATGATCAAGGCCACCGGCGAGCCGCTGGTGCCGTGGATGCAGACGCGGTTCCGGTCGGGCGCGCCGCAGCCGCTGGAACGCGTGGCCGAGCTGCAGGCGCAACGGACGCAGCTGGAGCGCGAGATGCTGAACCTGTGGAGCGAGGAGGAGGCGGTTGACGACGCTCTGACCGGCCAGCAGCACCCTCGCCGGCGTCGCCAGACGCTCGACGCCATCGTCTGCCCCATCGCCCCGCACCCGGTGCCGCCCATCGAGGGCTACAACGCCGTCGGCATGACCTCGTCGTGGGTGCTGTTCGACTACCCCGCGGGCACGGTGCCGGTGCGGCCCGTGGTCGAGGCCGATCTGGAGCTGGGCAGGCCCCTGGCCGCCGGCACCGTCTTGGGCAGCTGGGACCAGAAGTGCCGCGAGCTGTGGGACGAACACGTCACCGACCGCCGCGTCTATCTCGACACCCCGCTGAGCGTGCAGGTCGTCGTGCAGCGCGGGAGGGACGATTGGTTGTGCACCGTTATGGGCGTGATTGACGAAGTCATCAAGGCCCAGTCATCATCTACTTCATCGGCTTCGTCAGGAGGTGTCAAGGCGAGACTGTAGGAGTAGGAGACTTTTAGCTACAGTATATCATCAGATGTAGCTAAGCTGGTCAGCCAAGTACAGGAACGTTGGTACCGTATCGTATGGTAGTCCGTCCCATGGTCCCGGTTGATGCATGATTAGCCCATATCGTATCATCCCCTTGTGTACGTGCCATTACAACCAGGTCGCCTTGTGCCGTTGAGGCCAACAGTTCCCGTTTCCCATCCCATCCCAACTCATCCCTCGTTCTCCAGCGCTTGCTTCCCGTGTAAACAATCCATCCATGTTTCATATCGTCATGTCGGTCTGACTGCTTGCTCAGTCGATCAGAGGGGCCCCTCCTCGTCGCACGAGTGTCTCTCACACCCCACCGTCCGCCTGTCCGTCGTCCGTGTCTGCTCTCTCTCGGAAAACCACTCCCTGCTTTCTGCGGAGCGCAGCGGGAAATGAATGGCAGAGTCGCACCAACTAGGTCGTCTCGCTCCGCCTCTTCCCCGTTTCCAACGTTAGGGGCTCTCCGTGTCGGCCTCCACTGCTGCCCGAGCTCCCCCGAACGTGGCCATGCCCGTCCAGGGGTACCGTGTGCGCGCGGTCCACGTTCTGCTGATGCCTGCCCGGAACAATCGTGTCAAAGTCATCCTTGATGTCTCCCACGGGCCACTCCTGAAGGATCTTACGCTCAAACGCGCCGAGCGGCTCCTCCTCGAGCTCGAGACAATGTGTCTTGCCCTTGTTCTCCAAGACCTCGACTTTGCCCCTCCTCTCGCCGTTTTCGGACGCAGGTTCAATGAGCTTCTCCGGGTACACTTGCTTTTTCCACACCACATTCCTCATCCTGCCCACCGCCCCCGGGGCACTCAGGGCCACGGGCGTGTCGGGATTGGTCTCCACGCCGTGCATGATCCACCCTTGGAGTGCTTGCGAGTCGTACGTCCCCTTGTCATTGTAGCCCAAGCCGTGTTTGCCCATGCGGATGCGGACGCTGCTGTGGATAGTTTCGTTGGTCTGCCTCAAGCGCGGGAGGGCGTGGTGCGTGTCCTCAAAGAGGCCGATGAACCGGTGGAAGATGCGGTGTAGCATCCAGAAAAGCACTCCATGCTGGGACGCGAGCTCTTGTTCGCGGTATTCGCCCGGCGTGCGGATGCGCGAGCCGCCGAGTTTGAAGAGGAAGCTCATGCTGTCATGGATCTTGCCTAACCCCCACGGCCGCGCGTGTGGCGTGGTGTTGCGGACCGTAGCCATGCGGCCCTCGTGGGTGAATGTTTGATGCCGGCCAGCCATGCTCGGATCGTCCTTTTGGACCGGCGTGATGTAGTTCAGGATGTAGTCGTGGTTGATGGTGAGAATGGGATCCAGCTGGCTGATCATCCACGCCAGGGTGAGGTTGGCGAGGGCGGTGTCGTCGTAGCTCCCCCCAATGTCGCTGTGCACGCCGGGGAACCAGCATTGCTTGAGGACTTTCAAATCGTGGTGCTCGACGTGTGGCCAATCCCAGATGGTGGGAGAGAAAGACCGCCGATGTTCGTCCAAGGCCAGGGCCTGGAACGCGTACTCGATGTTGGACTCGACCCGTGTGTCGACAAAGGCAAAGTCGCGGCTGGGTGGCTGGGGCAGGAGTCCAACCATGGGGATGCCCAGCCCACCGACGGTGTCCCAGACCGCGACACATTTGACCTTGATGTTGGGTCGAGTCCAGCCATTGTCGATGAGCTGCTTCTGGTAGTGAGGATGGGTGACCGGGGGCTTGTGGCCGACGAAGGGCAGGTTGGGCCACTTGGTCTTGAAGTCCTTTTTCTGCTGGAATTCCCAATCCTCAAAGACCTGGACGAAATACTCCAGGCCTTTCGAGGTGAGCAGACCGGCCGCGTTGATCAGGCTCGAGATGGAGCGGGCAGTGAAAGCGCCTCGCGAGAACCCCAGCAGGAAAATCTCATCGCCCGGGTTGTAGTTGAGACAGATGAAGCTGTATGCTTCGCGGATGTGCTCGGCGAGACCCTCCCCGGTCGCGCCCCCAATGACTCGGTCGTACAAGGACGGGCTGCCTGTGCCAATGCCGTTTTGGTAGAAGACGATCTGGGTGATGGGCTGATGGGGAGAGGTGGACTTGTCGACGCCCACGGGAGGTATGGCTCTGGCGGTGCGGGTGACGTTGCTGGGAGTTTGGTAGTCACCGTCACTGTCGAGCCACGTGCCGTCACAGCAGACAACGATGCGCTTCTTGGAGTGAGATGGTGCCATGGTGTTGGTGAGAGGTCAGTGACGCCTCAGACTTTCCCCCCGTTAACTGCGAATACTCCGTCAGTGAGCAGTTCTTCGCAATGGGGGCCAGGCAAGCCTCTTTGAATGTCTTACATGGGAAAGAAAAGCAGGGCTTCCGTGCATGGGGACTGAAAGGGTTGAGATATGTGTACTCGGTAGGGTGCTGGTGGTCCAGCTGGTCCTCTTTTTTTTTTCAGCTGCTGGTCTTTGTGCTTCGTCGATCTTCAGCCTCCAGCATTGGCAAACGTGGAAGAGGAGCGAACGAGTACTCCCGGACGAGGGTCAGAAGGCAGCCGAAGGCCCAGAACGGTGACTCTGCATGCAGGTGCAACGAGCTGGACCAACGAGAGTTGAGGCGGGCGACACACGGCTAGGAAGGCATCCGAATCAGGGACGCCCCCAAGCAGGGACAACGGCTGCGCGGCGAGGTGTGATTGGACTCAGAGGAGACTCAGCTGGCCGTCAAACAGTTGCTAAAGACGGTAAAGGCGGTCAAAGGCCCAAAGTCAGGCGGTCAGGCGTGCGTCCCTCAATAATAATAGCAATAGTAATAGTAATGTGTAACACCAGAGACAAGTCGCAGTTGGACAATGCGCAGTTTGTTCCCCGATCCCCTTGAGGCCACCACCACTACTGTCACTCCCACTTACTGCACATCACGTCTCGGCGTCTTGCGACAAGGTCCTGAGACCCCTAAATCTCTTTTCATTTGGTGTTGGTTCAACTGTCTGTCTGCCTGGGCCTCTATGATATCAAATCACCCGGTATGCTGTCCGATAAACTATGTACAAATGAGCACATCTCAATCTGTTGGCCTTGCCCTCAATTTCAAAAAGGTCGAATCTCTCCTGATGACCGTCATGTCGTCTCTTCATCTGCCTCCTCCCATACCCCAGCGACGCCACATTGGTGATCCCTAACATTGTGGAAAACGAGACACACAAAGAGAGTAGCCTCCACCCGTTGGTACCGTGTCGAAATACGCCCCCCTGTCAGCCTAGTCGAGAGAGTTCCACTCTGCAAGGAACACGGGTGCTCTGATGCTATTTCGTGCTGTGCTTGGGTTAGTCTCATCACCAGATCTGCAGTTACCTCAGCTTGTATAATCTCACAGCGAGGCTGCAGATGGGCTCATGTCTTTCTTTTTTTGCATTTTTCAGCATTTTCACCTTTTTTTCTGGTGTGGTGTGTTTGGGTGGCAATTTCTGCTCCAAGGCATGAATGGCCAAAAGCCTTATTCTTTTAAAACCGAGTCGGCGCGACCACATGGACAGTTCCAAAGTGAGTTTGCCAATGCCCGTGAGAATGATCACAATCGCACGTCGGCTCCTGCACGATCATGCCGGTGCTGCAGCCGGGGTGGGCGTGGGCGTGGGCGTGGGCGTAGCAGTCACCAGTCTTGGTCGTTTCACGGCGTCGCCGTCGTTTTCCACGTCCTACCAAGGGAGGTGATTAGTATGAGACCGGTAACACTCGGCGGCGTGCACATACCTCGACTTCGTTGATGCTACGTCGGACCGGCTTGGCCTCTGCCTTGGGATTCTTAATCACCTTTTTGACCGGTTTACTCGGCCGCACTTCGCCGGCTTTCGTGTCGAAGAGATCTTCGGGTAATTCCCAACTGGTTCGGTCAGCACTTCTTCGGAGGAGCAACGGTCAAAGCAGCCTACCTCTTCGACGACGCGAGGTTAAGGAAATGGACTTCCGCATTGTAATTATTCCACCCCTCGCAAACCTGCTTAAAGGCCTGGAATGCCTGAACGAGGTTCAAGCTCCCCTTGGCCGTGGTGTCAATGCCAATATAGAACGTGTAGGTGTAGACGGTGTGGGCGTCCTTGTCCTTCTCCTGGCTGGTGTTGTCCGACACGGGAACCGCCGCACCATCCCCGTTGGCCGTCACCAGTTCGGGATCGGTCGTCTCGACCGTCTTCGTCTCTTCCACTTTGTACTTCATACTTCCTCTCTGGACTTCCCGGATCTGATCGACGTCCTGGCACTTGTGCACGCGTTTGAACCCCTTGGTAAATGGTCGAGCCAGTTCGATACCCTTGGTGCCTTCCAGCTGCATGACAAAAATCCGCACTTTGCTTTCGACGAGGCCCGCCCATGCCTTCGCCGCATCGCCGTTCAGCGCACTGGCAGTCACACTCAAGTAGTATTTGTGATCTGCAGTAAAGAAGGTGTGCTTCTGAAATAATTCGCTCCACTGCGCTTTGCCGGCAAAGATCTTGGAGACGATCTTGTCAGCCCGCTCCAGCTCTCGCAGGATAACCGTCTTGCCCGACTTGGAGATGTTGTAAGTCGCACACATGCTCGGGAAGGCGGGGGTGATGATCGGCATGATATTCTTCTCGTCTCCTTTGTAGAGGACCGGGTTCCAGACCTTGAATCCGTGGTTGGGGCCGAGATTCTTGGGCTGCTCAATGTCCTTCAACATGACCGGCAGAGGCCAAGGCCACTCTTTCATGATGTAGAAGAATTTCCCCACAATCGTAGCACCCACCGCATGGGGGTAAAATTGACAAACACGCGCAACGAGCATGGCCCAGGCGACGCCGCCGGGATAGCCAACAATATTGGCATATATAGCTCTTCTCTGCGCCCACAATTTGATCGCCCGCAGTGCCGTCCGGAAGGTCTTCTCGATGGGAACGAGGTTCAGGATCTCATCGGTAACACGCTAGGCTTGTCAGCTTGACGCCGAAGAAGGAGAGGGATATCCCGAGACTCACTGGGCCGGTAACTGCACGTATAGACGCCTGATCCAATCCGACCAAGAGACTGTTGTCGTTCAGACTGAGTTTGGGGGGAATGGTCTGCAGGGTTGCAATCGAGGCAAAGATGAGATCGATCTCAATGTCGTTGAGCACGAGTTTGATGATGGGGACAAACGAATCTGGGACCGGAACAAGCGAAGAAATCGTGTTGGAGCCCTTTTCATTTTGTGCGATACGTTTCAAGATCCCAGGGAAGAAGTCGAAGAAATCTTCACGCTTCACGTGCCTCGGGGCGATCGCGAGTGTGTCGATGTCAGAACCTGATTGCTTGTCAGCAGTACGTCGACACAGCAACGTCAACAATTCTCTTACCAGGCCCAAAGACACCCAGGCGATAACTGCCATATGGATACACTTTTCCGCCGAACTGGTTGACCTGCGACGGAGGCAGTCCCTGTTTCCGACTGACCTCCCGGACGAATTCCTGGGTAGCCTTATTCAACAGTTTGAGTACCTCAATCCGCTTTTCCGTCTGGTCATGCGATTCGTAGTTGTTTTCCCGCTTCAACTCCTCGATCAATTCGGCGGTCTTCTCATTGTCCAAGGGTTCCGGGAGGGCAGTGGACATCGGACCGGTGATGCCATGTTTTGGGTTTCTCGATTCGGAGTCAGTCATGGTGTGCGCCAGTGATTCCCCTGTGGTTTTGGTCCTGCGGTGCTGTCCGTCGACCCCTACTTGCGCAGTCAGGATTGTCGAGGGAGAAATCGTTCGTTAGGCAACCGAGAATGGGTCTGGCTGCGGCAGAGAGAAAAGAAATCAGTTGGGCAAAAAGAGGAAAAAATTGCGTGAAAGAGGCAAAGACATCTTCACCCTCCCCAAACTCCAAAAGAGAGATGAAAGTGAAGAAAAACAGCAAGGACAGAACTAACAAGGGTGTAGTGAAGTGAGGTGAATTTACAAACGAAACATTCAAGAGGTCCGTGACCGAGGGGCGCAGTGACTGGACCGTAGCGAAAACGGTGCAAACTATGCAAACAATCTAAACCCCCCCTGCCCCGTGCCAAGACATCCTGGTAAACCTCCGCTGGTACCTCAGGTGGTAGGTATCCAGCCATCTTTCTCTCCCATACAGCATAGGCTCAAAACTTGGTTCGAGGAATGTGATATTTTTTATATGGTTTGCCCTATTGACTCGGATTCAAGACTCTGAAGTCTCGGATCACACCTACAGAAAAAAACCTTCGTCTCCTCTTTACAAGGTGACTTCCTCGAGCTCTCCGTTGTCAAGGTGGAAGACAAATCCCCGAATATTGGATTTCAATGACTCTGGAACATAAGGAGATTCTTTCAAGAACGTCATGCTCTTCTTCACATTATCTTGGAGAGAACTGTCAAGACAAAGTCAGGGGAGATGAGCCAAGTGCACGCATGCAGTGATCTTACCCCGTGATCTCATAAAATTCCATGCTGTTGATTTCTTCCTCCAGATTCGGGGCCCGTTTTCTCAACTCCCCCTTGACCACGTTGTCTCTGAACATTGTCGCTCCACAGTCTGCATCGACGAAGTCAGCATGGCAAGTACAGCATCTTGTGTGTCTGGATCAACCTACTGGTATGCTGGACAATGATGACATCGGAAAAGTTCAGAAGAGTATCAATCGAGAGGAGGGAATTGAGGGCGAGTTGGGCATTTCCGCCAGCAACTCGGCAGGTAACCACTTCTGCAATGCGGGTCAATCAACACTTCTCGATCGCGGAGCAGGACACAGAGTTACCTCCTGTCTTCAAGTTGAAGATGTTCTCCGGAATGCATCGTGGATCAGCGCAACTGACTTCAAAGTTGGTCAGCCTTTCGTTTCGCAGCTCTCTGAGACACAAGAGATATGCTTACTGATCAAGATGTGCGGAAGCTCAATCTTCTGCTCTTGCATTTCGGCAAAGGTAGGAATCGGCTTGTGCTCTTTGATTGTCGACCTGTCGGCAATCAGCCTATTTTCCGGGCAAAGAGATAGCCTCTTGACTTACGCATGGCGGTCGATAACAGCCTGGGCGGTCAATTTGTATGACATGATGGCTGATGGTTCTTTGAGTCAGGGTGGCCTGAGTGGAACTATGTCGTACAGTTCAGTTCAGTTCAGTTCAGTTCAGTTCTGAGAAGTCACCGGCAGTTGGATGGTTTGTTCTCTTCTGCCGACGCCTCTGATTTCTGGGTGAAGGTCGCCTCCTTATAGGCATGGGGCTTCTCACGATGGCTGGGTGCAGGGCTCCTGATTGTCTTGGATGAAGGTGCTGTCTATCTTGGTTCGATGGGGACATGATGTCGACATCGTCCAAACCCCTTCCTTCGACGCTGAGTAACACCAAACGATGACATTGCAGATTCCCAGAACGCCATTGTCGGGCCTGAAGAATGGTTCGTCATTTTCTTATTTGCGATCCGAATCGGCAATGGCATTTCAAAAGGAGCTTTGCTCTCCTTTAGCACCATGCGGACTATGCCTATTCGCCGGCTAAAGCAGCCCGATACGAGAACCAATCAGGTCCGGACTCGGCAGCGCAAGACTTCTCGCACTAACCTGTTTTGGTCACTGCAATCCTTGCTCAACTAAACCATTTCGAGGCCTTCGTACCCTTGTCATTTTTCAAGCCCACCTCGTTCTCTCCTCCAGTTGTAGCTTGCCGCAAGTCGGGTGCGTACGTGCTCGATCAGTGTGAATCTTAGCACCCTGGGGCGTCTCTTGCTGACAAACGCTTTTAGGAGAATGGTACAATTTATCTACCAGAGTCCCAAGAGCCTCACTTTGAGTGAAGCGGATCGCCGGATTGTGCGGAAGGTGTCCAACACAGCGGCGGCAGCGACGCGGAAAGCCAAAGGAACAGCATCCAGAACCAACCCTTTACAACTACCGGACTTTCTGGTCTTCGAGAAGGAAGACGCCGGTCCTCTGGGTACCCAAGAAAATGCACATTTAACCCAAATGCAACAATCGAACCGTACTCCGGGGGTTCAAGCCCGTGCTGCTCGTCGACGCCTCTCTCCTGGAGAACCCTCTGCTCGACGGAGCCGTACTCCCCCTCTTGCACCGCCGTTGTCTCTCTGGCCCAGCCAGACCGATTCCCCTGACTATGTATTCTTGCTCATGCAGCCTGGACTCGACCAAAAACTGCTGCTCGAGGCGTCGAGTATGGGTGTAAACTCGGACCCACGACGGTGGGTAAAAATCTGTCGGTTAAGCACCATCTTGCAATTTCTGCCTCAAATGATTGGGCACACCAGGTGCCTCGATTATGCAATCGACTGCTTGACCGAACGCGTTCGCCAGTGCTGCGTGCAGAGTCCCGACAGGGAGATGGCCCTAACTCAATTGGAGAGGCGCTACGGGCGTGCCTTGCAATGTCTGCAGAACACCCTCAACTCGTCTAGGAACATCGATTGGACCGTATGGTACACGACTCTGTTGCTAACCTTGTTCGAGGTGAGGGCTCCACAGCAGTTCTGTTTTCTGCATCGTGGTGATGGCTGACCGTTGGTGCGCGCAGCTACTCGACAACTCTGGTCATCACGCATGGATTTCGCACTCGCAGGGTGGGAAACATCTCTTGTCTTCGCTCGGGCCAAACAACATCAAATCAGAGTTTGAGCAGATCCTACTGGCAGCGCAATGCCAGATTATGGTACAATTGGAGATGCCCTAATTGTCCCCAGTCGGACCCGTTCTAATCTTTGTCGGCAGACAGTCGAAGCCACTTTTCTCAACCAAGACTGCTTTCTGAGCAGCCCGGCTTGGCAGCGAGCTCTGGCATCTACAATCACCTATGGCACCCTCCTGTCAGATCGTGCAGAGCTAGTTCTGACCATGTGGATGATGACAACTCGTGCGCCGGGGCTCTTCAGAAGGTCAACCGAAGCCGTCCTACGAAGAAGCCACACCCCCGAACAGATTGCAAGTATCGCAGACGAACTGAGTGCTCTCATTGAGGGATACTCGAACTGGCGCGGGAAATGGGAAGCGATCCTGCTCAACGGAGGGAAGCCGGTTCCTGACGGCACCCGCGCTGACGAGGTGCCTTTGGCGCGGACGATCCCTACCATCTATCACATCTTCCTGGCCTTCTGGGCTCTGACCAACCGTTTTCTCGTGGCCATACAACCGGCCCAAGCATCTGGGGCGGAGACGAACGCGCTCAACGCAGCTCTGCGCATCATCGAACTCGACCAGCGTCAAGAGACGGATTCCGTCACCGATCTCTGCAGAACCTTTTCGGCAGGTATTGCTCGCTCGATCAAGCTCACGACCTTGGAATGGGCAACACACCAAGTGGTATGCCACACCTCGGAAACGATCGAGCCCCGGCTATTTTTGCACTGGTGTAGCCTGCTGGGACGAGCGACGGAGTGAAGACGCCGTCTTGGTGTGGAACATGAAAGTATACGTTGGAGCAATTTGGGTGTGACCATCTGGAAGAGAAGGACAACCGCCCCTCTGGGAATTGAATGGGAGTATCTTGTCTAGGTTATATAAAGTGCCAGCTTGCCAACAACTTTCTTGGTTGCGTGATTTCCTTCTGAGCTGCATTTCCCAAGTTGTTCTTGTGATCACTTCATCCACACCTTGACCGGGCCCAAGGAAGGGGCAAGAGCCAGATCGAGACGGGCATGTCCAAGACCTCTCAACGACGTCCAACCCCAATAATAAGATCATGGCAGTACATTAGGATCCGTTTGTTTTTCCATTCTGTGCTAATATCAAGCTCGTTCAGATCTGGACAGTCGGGTCAATCCTGGGTGACCAGCCTTGTTTGTTTGTGAGAGCGCACGGACCTCACTATGGATCTAATATGTAGCCGGACAGAGAGACATTCATCCGACCGCAAGAGCTGTAGCTAGGTAATGATACTGCGACAACGACAGTGTCTGATGGGCAGATGTATGTACTGTATTGTGCATCCGCATCTTCGCCCCCAAGAGCTTCTGCTGAATATGAATGGCTATTATGAGGTATGTGACCGAGCAAGCCGAATCAAAAGCTCTTCACTCCTCAGGCCCAATAGAGATAGATTTCTCTGGTTGGGGGGTTTACATATGTACCTATGGATTTGTGACCACTGCCGTTTTGTAAGACAGAGTAATCGACCGATCGACACCCACGCACACGTGTGAGTGACGACGACAAATAACCCCTGTCACTATTATCTGGTCGTCGGAGGGTTCATCTAATCAAAAAGTCAGCACGACAACCAGAAACGGAATGATTCGACCCCCGGCACATATCAGGATGGCAGCAGCACCAGCGGCGCCAGTGGGACAAATAAGTCACGTACCCCGGATTCTGGGCGGCCGTGTCTCGACGCAGCATAATAAGTAATACAGGGACCGGGTGCGCCATACATTTACACGTAGGACTAGTCCCGCAGCGCGTCGGACTTGATTAGTGATTCGAGAGTCCCTTTTTCTCACTCCGACATCCATGTTCAGTCTCTGGCTGGCTCGCTCGACGACTTCAAGCCGAGAAGCAGTGTGCGGTCGATGAGACGTCCATAGAGAAAGTGTGATCAGGCCAACAGATCATGGGTGTCTGTGCGTCACCAATTTCATCCAGGAATTCCAGGATTGAGCCTGGAGTCGGACCAAGGACAATGCCGTCGGACCTTGAAAGAGAACAAAATAAGTTGAAATGAAGTAAGCAGTCTGGATCGTGGCTAGGTGTCCAAGTATATAAGACCTTTCATCCCTCCTCCCGAAGGTGCACCTATGGTGGTGGTTTCAATCACACATCTTGAAACCCAGCAAGCCATCCATTCCAGTCATTGGTGCCATACTCAACGGGGCAGAGGACGGCTTTACGAAAAAGCTAGCGCAATTTTGACAGCGCAACGCCAGGGAGAAGTCGATATGGCATCATCGCAGCGCAAGGAAATCCTCGTCATTGGCGGCACAGGCGCCCAAGGCATACCTGTCGTGCAAAGTAAGTCGGCCACGCGGACGCGACGAGTCCCCAGCCGTCTTGTTTTGACTTCATTGCCTTGACTTTGGCAATTCGACTGAAAATCTCACTCACTGTTTCCAACATCACTAGCCCTCTCGGCTTCCGAAGAGTATTCAGTCCGTGTTCTTACGCGTGACCCTTCGTCTGCTCGAGCGAGATCCCTTGCCGCCCTGCCCAACGTCACCTTGATCCAAGGCACGCAGGAGTCCGAAGCGGACCTGCACCGCGTCTTCAACGGCGTATACGGCGCATGGGTGAACCTCGACGGCTTCATCCTAGGGGAAATGAAAGAGTTGTACCTCGCATTCCGGTGCTATGAGATTGCCAGGGCCGAGGGATTGAAGCATTATGTCTGGGCAAATTGTGACTATGCATTGAAGATTGCTGGATGGAAGGAGGAGTATCATTGGGGCATAATGATGCAAAGGGACGAGTTGGCGGTAAGTTTTGGGAAGTTCCGCTTGGTCATTCCGGCAAAAAGCCTTCCTGAGAATGGCGCATCTGGCCAGAACTCGTGCCACAGAGCTGGCGCCATACCAGGAGCCGAAACACCCCATTGCTTGGGCAAGAATCTGGGTGCTCATCGACTGAACGCGGAGTAGACTTTATCCTTGCGCAGGACCAGAAGACCATGGCGTCGACTCTGTTCACCGTTGGCCCTTACATGGTGAGGCTAGTCTCACCCCGCGTCTATGTGGATGCTGACCTCATACCGCGAAGGACATGCTGTTGGATGGAATGTTAATGCCATCAGAAGAACTCGCCGATGGCACATTGGTATGGGAGAATCCGTCCGGTGAGTAAAGTAGCCTTACCTCATTCCCAACGTTTTTGTCTACTTGCAGACGACGCAATTGCTGAGATAACAGTATGACGCGCGATAGAGGACGGCAAGATCCCCCTCATGGCTCTCCACGATGTTGGCGTCTTCGTGAAGTGGATCTTTGACCACCCAGAGCGTTCCACGGGAGTCAACCTCGAAATGGCCACCGACCAGGTCTCTTGGTCGGATATCACAGCGACCTTTGAGCGTGTGACGGGACGCAAGGGAATCCACCGCAAGCTGTCCTTCGAGGAGTGGGGCCCTAAGAAGGAACCGTACCCCAATGCCCCTGCCAACTGGGCGAATACCGATGGAACACCGGCCACGATGACATGGCTTCAGAACTTCACGGCGTGGTGGAAGTTTTGGGGTGGAGGGCTGGGAGCGACTCGGGACATGAAGTTGATGGACGAAATTTACCCTGGTAGGATCAAGACACTGGAGGAATGGATGCGGAAAGTTAACTACCAGGGTGGTAAGAGGGGAGCAGTGTTGAAAGATGTAGGGGATCTCATTGCAAGGAGCAGGATGACGGTTGATAAGGGTCAAAAAGGTCAAGGGAGTTTATAGGATGGAAGAAAGAGTATACCACAAGGAGAGCTCGCAGATTCCGACTTTCCTGCAGAGCAATTCAACGAGGTTAGCCGTTCCCCTTGTCTTCGTGACTTCCACAAGAATGGTGAGCTTGAACAAGGACCTATCCAGGAGAAGCTGGACAGGGTCGTGCAGTGGAAGAGGCAGTCGTCGATGAGTTTAGAGAGGGTATTTCACCGTCTCGAGATCCTCATCGCAGTGAGCGGGCCACTCGATGCAGATCCTGCAGACTCGAAATCAATCCTGGCGTGGTCCAACATGAGAAGTCTTGCCAAACTCGGCAGAGACGCCAGATGCCAGCACCCGTGAAAGACAGCTGGGTCGGAAGGCACGCTTAGAAGAGGAAAATGGTCATACGTGGACGTCTGCCTCGGCCTCTTTGTGGTCGTGTAGGATTAGGAAGCGTTCAAACCTCGTCAAGCTTGCGTGGCACATTTTCCTCGGTAGGGTAGTGTCGAGGGGTGTTCGCCCAGCAAAAGAACCGTGAAATGCCCACTCTCTACCAATTGACCGACCTAGAATCAAATGGAATAGGCCAGGTGGGATGTCGTTCGCACCACCTCCCAGAAAAGGCTTGGAATAAGTTGGACGAAACTAGCTGTTTACCTCACGGATTGATTTTAGTGGTTTTTGCAGAGGTCAGTCGCATCGGCACATGGCCGCAGGGGTCTCGAAGCACAGGTGATGGGTGTTATCTGTCGTCATGGCGCGTGATGGCAGCTCGCAATGTGTGTGGTGTTGGGGTGCGATCGGTGCCCTGCAACCCCAGAAACTCTCGTTAGCATGCTTTTTAGCTGCAGCTGGAAAGTCACTTCACGTCGAGTCGAGCGGACTGGTCTCCGCAACCGAGTCTGGCAACCAGCTTGGGAGAAGAAGCGATAAGAGAGTCGAGCGAGATGATGTCGTCGAATCCCCCTCTTCTCAACCATGACCTTCTACGACCCCTTCCCCGAATCACTCGTGCGTAGGTGTTCGCCTGCGTTCGCGTTCCACAAGGCGTAATTGCGTATTGCTTCATGATAGATAATGACCGAATTGCGTATGCCACAACCTCATTTGCCATCGTCAGCCTTACAGTGAGAGGGTCCCTGACTGCATTGTCCCGATCTCGGTAGCCTTTAAATAGCCTGCTGACTGTTGGAGCCCGAGGATGCTGAAACGCGGCCGGCGGAAATCATGGGGGGACGACGTCCGGACGCCTGTGGCTCGTGCCTGGTAAATTGCTGAGAGGCGAGTCAGGGGAGGGCGATTGGCCGAGTGGCTCAGGACTGCGTACGTGGGCTGAGAGGTGGCCAAACCCGTGGCTTCTGGCGATTGCATCCGACCATGCGATGTGCATAATAGAAAAAGATGGAAGCATGGGTTTGTGATGCACGCTGATTTGTTTGTTCAGACAACAAGGAAGAGCAACAAGCAAGAGATCAGGAACTCTATCAGTTTGGCCGCGGTCTCAACTCTGGCGTCGCCTTCTGCTGCCCATTCCAGAAGCAGCCTGCGGGCTTAAGCTCTTGGGGGGGCGACTAGGCGGTGATGGTGGCTCAGGGAGCGCTGATCTAGCCTAGAGAAGGGAAGCCGAGGGGGCTCTCCAGCCACTCACATGCCCATCCGCAACCCACTCAAGACGCAGGCAACGTTAAGTCCCACCAGAGTTTACGAGGTACACGTTCTCTTTCCCATCTCGCATTTCCACACCCTTGAGGCTGTGCACCCGCGAGATCAACGTGTCTGATGATCCCTCTGCGCCGTTGGATGGTTTGGGGACAATTTGGCTGGAGCTGAAAAGGTCCTTAACCCTCTGACCGTTTCACGCCCCCAAAAACGCGCTACACTTTTTTTCCGTTTGAGGTCTGCCTGCGCCCTGAACATCCCTCAGCCTCCCTTCTTCTACATGCATCTAACATAACTTTACACATGGTGCCGTCTCTCTCTCTCAATCCATATTCTGCTTGAAGTCTTGATTGACTTGCAAGTCATATGGCTGCTTTCTCTTCTACCCTACGTCGAAGTCTTCCCGTTCTCCGCATTCCTCGTCCCCGCAAGTCATGAATCCTCATAGCCTGCAGCCGTATGAGTACGAGTTGTCGAGGACGAGCACGCACACATCAGACGAAACAGACGATCCGTTACTTTACTTCGACCCCGATTCGGACCACGATGATTTCCATACCCATTTACTGCCGGGCCAGACTGTGTCGGGTCGGGCCCAACGAGGAGTTTCTTCCCAACTCATCTCCCTAGCCCCTGCTTGGCTGCGCAAACAGTATCTTCTCCGCCGACCCCGATCGAGATCAAAACGACTTCCCCGCCGATATGTCTGTACGCCTCGATCGTTCCTTCGAAAATTCGCTTTGTTTTGTTATGTATTCTTCACCACCATCGCTGCCATCGTTATCGTGGGAGGTGTCTTTTTCCCCGGTTACACTCACCTCCCACCCCACTATAAAGCATTAAGACAAAGGGCATTGGCCTCCGAGATCCCAGGGCGGATAAATGTGCAAAATCAAAAAGTGTTTCTTGCAGCGAGCATCTACGACAAAGGCGGCAGGCTTCTGGGTGGAGATTGGGCGGAAAACGTGCTGGAGCTGATCCAGTTACTGGGACCACAGAACGCATTTCTTTCGATATATGTCAACGATTCCGGTCCAGAAGCGAAAGAGGCGTTGGGGGAACTTGAGAAGCGGGTGCCGTGCGACCACGCCTTGGTGTTCCAGGACCACTTGAGCATCGACAACCTCCCCCATATCCGTATCCACGGACAAGAACGCGTGAAGCGCATCGAGTATCTGGCTGAGGTTCGAAACCGAGCGTTGAGACCGCTGGAAGGTTCAAACACCACGTTCGACAAACTCCTCTACCTCAATGACGTCGTCTTCCATCCGATCGACGCTGCCCAACTACTTTTCTCCACGCATACTGTGGCCGACGGCGTCACGGACTACAGGGCCGCCTGCGCGGTTGATTTCATCAACCCTTTCAAATTTTACGATACTTTTGCAACCAGGGATGCCGAAGGATACAGCATGGGACTTCCCTTCTACCCATGGTTTGCGGCTGGTGGTGACGAGACCAGCCATCAAGATGTCCTGGACGGCAAAGACGCAGTCAGAGTTAGGAGCTGTTGGGGCGGGATGGTTGCGTTCGATGCAGAATTTTTCCAACCACGACCTGGCAGACCAGAGCTGATAACTGCGGGCAACCAGAGCCCTAGCAATCTCTCCACACCTTACCGCTTTCGTGCAGAGAAGGATCTCTACTGGGATGCGTCGGAATGTTGCCTCATCCAGGCCGACATTCAGAATCCCGAACCTGGAAATTCGGGCATCTACATGAACCCTTTTGTTCGAGTGGCGTACGACTCCACAACCCTTTCGTGGCTGGGCTTTACCCGACGTTTCGAGCGCCTGTATACCCCTATCCATTGGTTAATTGACCTTTTCACGAACAAACCAAAGTTCAACCCTAGACGACACGAGGAACCATGGCAGCAGGTGCAGGAGACGGTGTGGGTTGCAGATGAGAGGATGCCCCCAAACAATGGGTCATTCCACCAAGTGACGCGGATAGCTTCACATGCAGGCTTCTGCGGCCGCCGAGGGTTGGCGGTTATCAAGGAAAACATCATGGAAGGAGAAAGAAACTGGGAATTCGTGCCAGTGCCTTCATGAAATCTTTCACCATAGCGATGGCGTCCGGGGCGAGAAAGATTTTCAATGGGAACATTATGAGCTTGTACGAAGCATCTTGGTGTTGGCGTGGGCCACGCCGTTTTGAAACTCGATTGTGAAAAGAGACGGCCTCCTACGGAGCAAACAGGGAAATGTAAATGCCTCAGCTGTATTGCAGCTTTTTCTGCCACTTAACAGGATATTCCTTTCCTCATCACCTTTTCCTTACATGACGCTCACTCTTCACAAGTGCGCTGCCACTGCTCGGTGTCCATCCTACCGTGATGATATTCGACCAAAGTCTCGGTGCCCGTGGTAGTGAATGGTGGGCGTGAATATCGGCGACCGCACCTTGATCCTTCCTCAGGTCACATCACCACCCACGACTTCCTTCTCTTCCATTTCAATCACTCTTGTTTACATAGCAGCTTCCTCACCCTGTCTCACAAACGCCAGTATCATCGCCGCCGTCATCATGGTCCCTTTGTCACGATATGATGACCCTGCCATTCTCGACAGATTCTTACAGGTAATGAGAGGGAACTCACAGTCTGCCAAAACTGAGACTCATTTCGTCAAAAATCTTTCGGAGCTCGATCCACAGGGTCCAGTACGTCATAATCTGTACTACCATTCTTCACTGTGCTGACGCTGATTTATCAAGGAATTCTCACTCACAGTCGTCGCCGATAAAGAAGTCGAGAATGAACCTTACGAAACAAGAACAAGTCCACACGGTGTTCAATCATCGTACGGACAAGAACCAGCCAGGAAACGACCGTTGACACCCACCCAGCATAGACTCCTTGTTGGCAAGAAACCTGGCATTGAGCGCCTGACAGAGAATAAGTTGGCGGAATGGAGCAAACAGACTGACGGCTACATCAACAATGTGGTTGACCAGTTTCGAATGTCAAGAGACCGGAACTTGACACAGGATTTTGTTGCTGGTGATCATGTTCCTACGTGCGGGTTCCACGTAGCGCCTTCTTCTCGTGGTGGCTCATCCTCGCCATCAGACGAGGACCAAGAATCAAACCCAGACATGTCGGATGCTAATGGGATGCCAGTCACACCTGGAGCCGATGGGAGTCAGGATGACATGCCTATTCAGAGCCGTAAGTTGGTGTGATGGAAATTTGGGATTTGGCTGACAGTCTACCAGCTGGCCAGAAGGAACAGTGGCAGGAGGAGAGCCCCGACACTTCACCTTGCAGTACACCCGCTGCGGATTCCAGCTTCAAGAAAGACAACCAGCAGCACGGGGTTGACTGTAAGCCCTGGAGCATATATCATGACACAAATTTTCTGACGGCCAGACGCAGATTCGATTCGGATGCGGACCAATGACTCGCCAAGGGTTGTTCCAATTCACAGCTTCACCGGAGCCCAAATTGTGCAGACCCTTGGCAACGTGAAGGGGCCCAGAGAAGCCGTTGCTGCCGTCAAAGACAATCCTCTACCGACCCCAACCCCTAATCTGCCGGGACATAGCACAGCCAGAGAGGAGGACGGCGGCGAGCAGGTCGCACCCGTGATGGCCAAAGCATGTGGAAGCTATACCTCCGGGTCACGCAATCATTCTCCCGCCGTCGTGGTCACGGCTAGCACAGACACGGACGACAGTGTCGAAGGGGATGACGATGAGGATGAAGACGATGAGGGTGACCAAGAAGATAGAGAGAATCTCGTCCACTTCAAATCATGGGGAACACCAGCTGCCCGTAACAAACCAAGTGAGTCTCTCTCAGTCAATTGGTTGCTTTTGTCACTAACCCTTGTCAGAATCCCGTCCACGTACTATTATCCTCACTGGTCTGCCATATGGTGCTGATTTCACCCTCGTCCAATCTTTGATTCATGGTGGTGCGATCGAATGTATGAGGCTCGTCACGCCCAACCCTGCGCGAACCACAATCTCGGCTCACGTAACTTTTACCTCTGCCGATGCCTGCGATCGCTACTACGACAAGAATCACAAAGGCATAGACGTCCACCATCAAGGCAGGAAGTGGTCTGTCCTCGTGCTCAAGAAAACGCAGGTGGATGTGATTTCTGGGATGATGCAGGGATATCTCGACTGTGGAGCAACGCGTGTGGTCAAGGTCAGCGGTGCCGACGACGACTGGGGTATTGTTGCTTTGAATAAGCTTGCTGAAGGGAAGCCTATCGCCACACGTCAAGTCGAGTTCGTGCAGGATACGTATCGTAATGGGGTGAGTCCGATCAGTTCTGGTCATTCTCGGGTTGCGAAGTGGGCACTCGCTGACTTTTACAATAGATCCGCACCATCCTCTTCCGATTCGCCAACATCACCCACGCCGTCCATTTCAAAGGGTATCTTATTCGAAACGACGACTGGTATGGATGTCACGTTGAATTCGCAGAGGATCCATGCGAAAAGGCTGCTGGAATACACAATGACTAGAGGCTGTAATGGATCAGGTTGACAACAGCTCGGGATTGCTAGAAAAGAGAATGTCAGTGCAGGTATGGAGAGGCGTTGCCAAATGCCGGTGTCGGAGCAGAGAGCAACAATAAGGCTCACGAGCCGGTCAGCGATCCTTTTACGGGATGGCGTCCTCTACCGGGTTGTCACCCGAGGTTAGTGGGTTGACCTCATGGTCGCATGAGGTACGTATTTCAGTACATACAAGAAAACCGAGTTGCCCCACGTCAAGATGCGCCTGCGAAGCTTTTTTCTTTTTCTTCTTCTTCACACTTTGTATTGACACCCACAACCATCCTACACCTCAAAGTCACCGTCAGTGATCGACTAGGCAAAAGTCTACAATCACAATGGGTCAACCATCTCAACCGGCGTCCAACGCCATCATCTACACCACTTACGCCGCTTTCCTGTGCGCATCCCATTACCCAGAGCTCTAGCAGCAAGAGCATGAGAAGGACGACTAACGATGTACCCAACTAGTGTCTTCGGCCTCTTCGTCGCATGGACGCTGCGGCACCAGACAAAGGGCGAGTATCTCGCTACCTTGCGAACACAGAAGGGTACAAAACATAACTCCATTCGGCCAACCTTCAAGTAACCCGCCCGACAAGAAAGAGTCAGTAGCTAATACATTTCCAGGCATACCTTTGGCTTTCAACTTCATCGCGTCGGGTGAGTGTGCTCGAAGAGCAGCAACAGCCTGAAGCGGCAGCAGCACGAGGGTCAGGCACCGTCGACTACCAGAGCGCAACCAGCAATGGGCGAGGTGGTACAGGACCTCATTTGATCGATACAATACTTTGACTTCTTGGTATGCTGAGCAAAGCTCTCCATCTGAGGTTCGTATGCTTGCATCAACGCCATTGGCTCTTGTTGCTCTTGGCCGACAGAAGAATCCTGCTCTGCTCTCCTACTCTGATTGTCTTTATCAAACAGGTGCAGGCGTGGAGTTGGCTTCTTTCCGACGCCAAAGGCTCAAGGGCCAATGCGCAGCACTACGGGCGCTTGTATCTGATCGTTTCCCTCGCCCGTCATCCACCTGGCTGTCTATTCAAGCAGCCAGAGATGAAGGGGTCGCGAAATGCTGATGACACAATGCTGAGATTGTACCGTCAAAACTCGATCAAGTTAATGCTTGCGTGGGAAACGTGCTGCCAGCTTCTTCCTAACCTTGACCCCCTTCCCCTCTTCCTGAAGACCAGCCGTACTGATCAAGTCCTCTATTCTCGCCAAAACAGCTTTGGGTTCAGGTATCTTATTTTCATACCCCCAGATCTCCACCATCGCGGGTGTCCAGGGCCTTGTGGTCTACAGTCTCGCCTCGGCCCTACCACTTCTTGTCTTTGCCTATCTGGGCCCCATTATCAGGAGAAAATGTCCCGAGGGGTTTGTACTCACGGAGTGGACACGCCAGCGATATGGAGCTATTGCTGCCTTATACCTCTCTGCTCTGACGTACGAACTTCCTCCTCTTCTCACTCGTTCTCTCCGCGTCTAACGCAAACCAGGCTCATCACCCTTTTCCTCTACATGGTCGCCGAGCTTTCTGCTCTCCAACAAATCATCAATGCACTCACGGGGCTCAATGGCCTCCCGGTCGTCATAGTGGAATGCGCCGTGACCACAATCTACACTTCGCTAGGCGGCTTCAAAGTCTCTTTCATCACGGACAACATCCAAGGTGTCATGGTGGTAGGTCTTCTGATCATTGGGTGCATCACTGTCGGCGTGGAAACCCATGTTCAACACGATTTGATTGAGAAGAGCGGATACCTGAACGCAAGCTTGCTCGGCTGGCAATTGGTATATATCCTGCCCGTGGCGATCCTCACGAACGATTTCTTCATTTCAGGATTTTGGATGAGGACGTTTGCAGCGAAGACGGATAAAGATCTCTGGGTTGGGGTTAGCATTGCGACCGTGGCTGTCGCCATCATCTTGACACTTTGCGGCGTGTCTGGGCTTTTGGCAGGGTGGTCTGGCGCATTGGGCGATCCGCCTCAACAGTCGTCGATCGCCTTCTTCCTGCTCCTGGAACAGCTTCCCGCTTGGGTCGTGGGGATCGTGCTTGTCATGACGATTGCCCTGTCCACCGCCGCATTCGACAGCTTTCAGTCGGCCATGGTCAGCACAGGATCCAACGACATCTTTCGCAACAGGTTGAACCTATGGATTCTCCGAGCGACCGTTGTGTTGATCATTGTCCCAGTGGTGGTTGTGGCATTGAAGTCTCCCTCCGTGTTACAGATCTACTTGATCTCCGACCTCATCTCCGCGTCGTCGATTCCTGTTTTGGTCATCGGTCTCAGTGACCGATGCTACGCTTGGCGCGGGTTTGAAGTCGTCGTCGGAGGCCTGGGCGGTATATTGACTGTCTTCCTGTTCGGCCTTGTGTTTTACAAGGGTGATGCCAGCGCCGCAGGGGCTCTTCTGTTGCTGGAAGACGGCCTCTACGGGGACGATTGGTCAGCCTTTGGGGCGTTTGTGGCTGCCCCTGTGGGTGGACTTCTGTGGGCACTGGGTGCGTTTGGATTGAGGCTCGCTGTCCAGTGGTGCACCGCGAAGATTCGAGGCACCAAGTTCGATGCGCTGGATAAGCCCGCGGCGCCGACGGCCAGCTTCTACACTGGGAGAGTCAGCTCTCCCACGGGCGACTCTGAGAGAGAGGTCTATGCTGACGAGGACGGAGTTGTGAGGAGTCAAGTCGAAGTCAAGGGCAAGTTCTTTTAAGTACTAAAGAGCTGTTTGAACGGACGGCGTTAGGAAGAGACGAGTCCGCTGAAACGAGGGTGACGCGACGCGACGCTTCTTGGGGAGAAAGGCGTCACAGCCCCGAGCTCTCCTCCCTTGGCGCCGTCGTTGTTGGGTCTAGATGAAGTAAAAGAAAGGAAGATTGCGAGGAAGGCAGGGCGAGCGGGGAGAATCTTGTCCAGTCCAGTTCGGTCTCTTGCAGCACACGGTGTTCAGCCTTCACCACAACACACAACAACAGGCTTGTCTATAACTTTTTTTGGCCCCTTCCCCGGATCAACAACGCGACTTGACGGATCGATTAACCATCATTCCCAGCTTTGGGGAATCCAGCCCACCTACCCACCTGACTACTTGCGTTAAGAAAACCAGCTTTCAACGAAGAGATAGACGGATGCACGCCGATAGCTGCAGGGCGGAAAGGGGGATGTGGGATGTGGGATGTGGGATATAGGACATGAGGATGGACAAACGGGGATCATCATGTATGACGGGGGTCGTTTTCATATCGCAGCAGGGTCGAATACCTGCGCAATACATTCATTTACAGGCATGGTGTTAATCATTGCGCCATTTCTCGTCCGCTGCGTCTAGGTATGCGTATGTGTATCCGCTCGCTTCTAATTCTTCGTCTAAGCCTCAATCAGTATATGAGACGCCGGGTTTGTTGGTTCCTTCCACCCATCTATCTATGCTCATCATTTCTACCTCCTGTACCTACGCCCTGATTTTCCTCAGGTTGGTTTGCCCGTCTATCTGTCTGTCGGTTTTCTAAACACTGCGTCCTTACTGTCCGTCGACTTTTGCCCGGAGCAGCGCTTCATCCAGCTTTCCTTGCTTCCTCTCGTCCTCGAAGACCGGCCTCGTCAGCTCAAACCCATCCACCACCCTGGCGTACGTGATGCCCCCCAGTCTGGCCACGGGCCGCAGCACGGCCGGGTCGATCAGCGTGCGGTCCTCGTTGATGGCGTCCTCGCGGACCCAGAAGCGCACGCCCTCGATGATTGCCAGCACGCCGGTCTTTTTGCCCGGCGTCTGCAGCGACCGCGACGCGAACTCCTGCGTTGACACCAACTTGCCCTCGACGCTGAAGACGCTCTCCTGCACGCGGGAGCATTGGACCACGTCACAGGGGGCCGGAGTCAGGCCCGACACGCCCCACTCGGACACGCCGTAGGGCAGGTCGATGGCGCAGGCGTTGGCGGCCTCGACGAAGTCCTCGGAGATGATGTTGATGACGCACTCGCGGCTGTCCAGCAGGTTGCGCAGCGAGTCCTTGGCGTTGTCGAAGCCGCCGGCGAACCCGACGCAGAAGATGGGCGGGTCGTGGTTGAATAGTTGCGTGTACGAAAAGGGCGCCAGGTTCGTCGACGACCCGTCGGCCGACCGCGTCGACAGGAACCCCACGGGCCGCGGGATGATGCCACTGATGAGGAGTTTGTAGTTCTGCACGGGCTGGCGGCCGGGCGCATAGGGATCGATGCTGATGTGTTGCTTCTGCGTCGTCTCGTTGGCTGTGGTATTGGTGGTGGTGGTGGCGGTGGTGGTGTCTGCTGCTCCCGACCCGTACGTCCACTCGGGATTCCGCGTCTTGGTGTATCGGAACGTGTGCGACTCGTCCCAGTCCGGGCGCGAGGCCTGCACTTGGGCAAAGTCGCCGTGCGGGTTGCGCTTCACGCTGGCCTCGGCGTCGTGCTTCTCCTGTGCTTCCTGCGGGTTGGACGGGGCGGCGGCGGCGGACATGTTGGCACGGCAGGGAGGTTGCCGATATCAAGACGAAATGAATGAAGGGAATGAGTTCTGCGGGGGAAGTAAAAGGCGGGCTGAGGCAGAGTCGAGTTGGTTTTATTCTTGATGCTGTTGGTGGTCGTTTCTGTGTGAGTGTGTGTACTCTCCCCTCCCTTATCCGAAATGAAGTGAGAGTAAGCACCGAGTAAGCCTAATTGTCGGGCTCCTAGGCTCCCCGGGTGCCAGGCTGTTTCCCTAAAAAATGGAGGCTTAGAAATCGCAGCTGCTTGTAATTGACCTGGGATGAATCACCTGTTCGAGGAGCACCAGAGCTGTCTGGCTATAAGCCACAAATCGACCCAAAGGAATCAAGATGTGTGTGGCATGATCATCCACCAGGGAACGAGGTAGGTACCAGTAAATAGATATTCGGTTTCACTGTGTCTATATCCGTAGAGCGGCCAAGATATATACACACACAGTCGGAGTCGGAGTCGGAGTCGTCGTGGTTGTTTGGTCGACTGAGGAACTATTAACTCTACGTCATGACTTTGTTGGGCGGGAATGGAACATCTAATAATATTAATATGATTATTGATACGAGGTACTCAGATAAATTGTCCTGTTTGTATAGTAATCATGTGCCCCGGCGCCAGTTCATTGCAGCCCTTTATGCTGATAATTTATAACAGGATTTGATATAACTTATATCTTTTCTCTGGCAAGAAGAATCGGAAAGGAGGAGCCTTGAACATGATTATACATACACCCGTCTGCGTCTCTGTGATATGTACAAACACCTCGTACTCTCCGTTCAAGCTAACGAATCAACCTGCCTCTTGGTCTCTGCTCCTCCTCCCCCTCCTCTGCTGTTTATGTAACTTCTAATCTCAACTCTCCTTTCCTCTCGGGCGGCGGGAGATATCCACAGCCAATCTCCCCCAATCAACCATCACCTCCTCCCTCCACGGCATGCAGAAAAGCAAAGCAAAGCGAAGCGACCCATCCCTCACGAGGCCCGTCGAGAAGTGGAGATGTGCGACTTTTGCGGGGTCAGAGTTTCGTGGCATGTTGGTGCTCCTGATACGAGCCGGACATGGTCTCGACGACTCTATTACTTGACGGTGTGGCCCGAGTAGAGTAGAGGACAGACGTCTGATAACTTGTCGTTATTCTTCAATCTCTCGCTGACCTCTCACTGCAACCCTCCCCAGTCCCCTAACCAGGATACCCAATGCCGGCAGACTACGAGACGTACGACCTGGGCGATTTCGCCCTGCAGAGCGGCGCCACCATCCCCAAGGCATGGATCGCATACAAGACCTTCGGCTCGTCCAGCAATCCGGCCGTGCTCTACCCGTCGTGGTACTCGGGTCTCATCTCTGACAATGAGTGGCTGATCGGCACCGACAAGACCCTCAACCCGGAGAAATACTTCATCATCATCACCGCCCTCTTCGGCAATGGCCAGTCCATCAGCCCGTCCAACTCGGATGTGGTGCCCTTCCCCGACGTCACCTTCTACGATAACGTCAAGGCTCAATACCGCCTGCTCACAGAGAAGCTGGGAATCCAGCACCTGAGAGCCGTGCTCGGCTGGAGCATGGGCGCTGCCCAGTCGTTCCAGTGGGCCACCCAGTATCCAGACTTCGTGGACATCTCGGTACCCTTCTGCGGCAGCGCCAAGACGTCCATCCACAACCAAGTGTTTTTGGAAGGCGTCAAGTCGGCGCTGTTGGCAGGCAAGGGGCTCAGTTCTGCGGGGAGTACCTTTGGCCGGGTTGAGAATGCCCAGGATACCGTCGCGGTCAAGTCCAACCGCCAGTGGTCCGATCAGGAGAAGGCTGCGGGTCTCAAGGCCTTTGGGAGAGGATATGCCGGCTGGGGTTTCTCGCAGGCCTTTTATCGCGAAAAGCTTCACGAATCTGCCTATGGTGCCAAGGATCTGGAGGCCTTCATGGTCAACTTCTGGGAGGCGTGGGCCTTGTCAAAAGATCCCGAGAACCTGTTAGTCATGCTGTACACCTGGCAGGCGGGAGACGTCAGCCAGCAAGAACCTTACAATGGAGACTTCGAGGCGGCCATGAGGGCGATTAAGGCGAAGACGTTGGTGCTGCCCAGCAAGACGGATCTTTATTTCCCGTAAGTGTTCCCTGAACCGCCCTCGACTAGAGGACTTGACTCCCCATCACTCACGTCATTCTGCTTCTTCACAGGCCCGAAGATTCCGAGTATGAAGTCAAAAACATGTCTCCTGGCGTGGGCCAGCTCGATGTCTACCCTAGCATATGGGGACATTGGGCTGGGGGGCCGCCGGGCAATATGGAGGATGTCAGGTGGCTGGATGAGCGCCTGGCTAAGCTCTTCGCGGAGGCGCCGAAGAACGGATGAGCTCCCTCGGGAGATCGGACAGATATGAGGAGGGAGGTGTCGCCGGACGAAATTGAAACGATCTCTATCTTGGAACTGCGTGTGACGTACGTATTTGAGGGGAGCCGATTAGGAGCCGATCCTGTAGCTCAGAGTAGTTTTGCGTACGGCCGTTCTCCGCCTGTACCTAGGGTATCAAGGACGCTTGGTTTGGTCTCTCTGCCAAATAGACACTTACCGTATGGTTTTTGGTACAGGCGGGCCGCTCCCGATTTGGCGCATTATCCTTGTGACTGGCGGGCTCGGTACCGCATTAGAGACCCGATGTAGCAGCGTGGAGAACGGACAATTCCATCCAGCGAACCCTCCAGGGCTCACAAAATCCTGAGATAAACGGTGTTTTAAACGTCGTCGAGCCGCAGACCGGGCAGAGACCAAAAAAACCCTGAACTCAAGATCAGCTTGACGGACGGAAGAACACACGCTCACCACCACAGCCCGCGGGAGAGTCTTGCGATCCTTATAACGAACCGGCAATTACATCATGGCGTCGGACTTCAAGTCAATCCATCTGAACCATGAGATCCCAGATCTTTCTGGTTCCTTTGAGATCACCTGTCCTCCAGCAACAGACATCTGGGACAAGCCACCTGCAACGCACTCGTTCAATGCGCCAATCATATACAAAACCAGCACGGTCGGCTCATTCAGGTCGGCAAAGGTGAAAGTGGCGGCACCCTGGAAAGACAAGTACGATCAAGGCGGACTGTGTCTGGTCATCAAAACAAAAGACACCACTCGCTGGGTCAAGACAGGTATTGAGTTTCTCGACAATGTGCCGCTGGTGGGCACCGTGGCAAAGGACCGGTGGGCAGATTGGAGTCTCAGGCCTTTGCTCGCCGAGACGCTGAGCATCGAACACACGGCCATTGTTGAGATGGAGAATGCCAGCGACGGAAGCCTCTGGGTGTGGCTTGTCAGTGAGAGCGGGAAGAGGTTACCGTTGAGGGAAGTGACGTGGTGGGGTGATGTGCCTAAGGAGACCGAGGTTTGGATTGGCGTCTACGCTGCGAAGCCGGCACCGCATGGGGAGAAGGACGATCTGATTGTGACGTTTGAGGGCTTGGATATTCAGTCGTAGAAAGGGAGAGGGCGAGTCGAAGGGCGGCGTTGGTAGCTCGTGAAGAGAGGGCGCCTGCGATGGTGGACGAGCTTGTGAGAAGCTCCAGATAATACCACATCCAATGGGTTCAACAATAGAAGGCTGAGTGAGGCCGAGTAAGCAAGCTGTGATCAGAGACAGGGCAGGACTGGACTGGACCTTGAGAGGCAGAAGCAACAATAACGGCGCAAATGTGTCGAATGGTGGGTGGTTTGACGCGTCCTAGCTCAATACAAAATGTAACTGCGCACGCGTTTTCCGGCGTCTCCTCATCTACTACTTGTGCATCACCGCCTCCTACATACTAGCTACCTCAACACAATCGACCTGTCGCTCAAAAAACACCTCGCCGAAAACTACTATTCCTTGCTTCTCGACCCTCTCAAACGAAGCAGTCGTATCTCGATCGTCCATGGCCCAAATATGACGGTCGACTCGTGACACCCCTCCTTGCAACATGCCCCTTCGGCCTGCCAATGCGCCCGGCCCCGGAGAGGCTGCACATGGTTCTGGTCGATACAATATACCTGGCCTTCAGTTTAATGAGACACTGACATGGCGCGCTGGCCGCCCACTGGGCGTGGCAGACCTTCTCGCGCGACTCCAGACGCTTGCAGCCCAGCTACGCAACTATGATCTCGACCAAGTCGACTCGCGTGCCTTTACGACCCTGGCGCTCGACCTGGCGAATACCAATCTTCTCGGCCACAAGGATAAGGGTGTGAGAGCATGGACTGTCTCCTGCATCGTGGATGTTCTCAGGATCTGCGCCCCTGATGCGCCGTTCGTCGAGGCGCAGTTGAAGGTGAGCAGGCACTTCCCCGCCACATATAATCGAAGGCATCACAGTTGACAAGGGCTGTAGGACATTTTCACGGTCATCATCAACTCGATTCTGCCGGCCCTTGCAGACCCAACCAATGAGTACAACGCGCAACATGTGTACATCCTCGCCTCCCTGGCCGAGTCGCAAAGCATTTTGTTGGTCACCGACATTCCGAACCATGAAAGCTTGATCACGTCTCTCTTCACCACGGCGTTCGATGTGGTCGCCGGCTCTGGAAGTACAGCCTCGGGAGTGGAGGTATCAAAGAGTGTGGAATACCATTTAAAGAACCTGCTGGCTGCAGTGGTTGATGAGATTGACCTTCCTCCGGAGGTGACAGATATTATCATTTCCCAGTTCATGCGCGTGGACGCTCGCAACATCCAGGAAAATGGAACCAAAGGCAAAAAAAGGGATCTCGAGGACACCAAGCAGGCGACGCTGCTGCTCAAGGATTACCCTCCAGCATACAACATGGCCAAGTCCCTCTGTACCACCTGTCCCGAGAAGATGACTGTCCAAATCACCCAATATTTTGGGACGGTGATTGTTGAGGCGACCAGTGCGCCAGATGTTCCTCAGCCTTCCCACAAACGGACTGCTTCGGATGCCGCTGGCGACGGCGAAGAAAGAGAGGGTCTAGCAGATTTGCGAAAAGCCCATCGTTTACTCCGAGAGTTGTGGCGTGCGTGCCCTGATGTCCTCCTAAATGTTATTCCTCAGATTGAGGCCGAATTCTCGGCGGACTCGCCCACTCTCCGTCGACTGGCGACTGAAACCATCGGAGACATTACTGCCGGGATAGGCATTGCTGGGCTCCCTCCATCGAGACCCCTCGATCCCGCAGCTTATCCCTTGCCCTCTATAGACCGTCAAGAAGAGGTCCCTGTGCAAGTACAAAACCCCCTCCTAACTCCAGCCTCCCCCAAGCCATTCATGGCTGTCCACGCTGCGGCATATCAGTCCTTCCTCGGGCGTCGGAACGATAAGTCATTTGCCGTTCGCGAAACATGGGCTATCGCCGCTGCTCGAATCTTGTGCACGTCCGCTGGGGGCATCGGATTGAACCAGCAGGAACTGGAGGACTTGCTTGCCGGCTTTGCTCAGATGCTTCGCGATTCAGAAGAACATGTTCGCCTGGCGGCCATTCGGTCCATGGCGACCTTTGCCTATACGAGTATGATCAACATTCTGGGTGCAGATGGCGGTCTGGCGGAACGCCTGTCTGTGTTTTCTTCGTTGGCTGAACGTGTTACCGACCGAAAGCATCACGTCAGAGAGGCAGCGGTTGAACTGCTGGGCCGGATTTGGGGTGTCGCCTCGAGCGACATTGAGTCAGGCAACGAGGTCGTCAAGAGCACTATTGGAGATATCCCCAACCGGATATTCGGCGCTTATTTCACCAACGAGCCCCATGTTCACGCCTTGATTGACAAAGTTCTGTATGAAAGCCTGTTGCCGCTCTCTTTTCCGCCGTCAAAATTCCACCTGCCACGCACAGGTGCAGAGAGTCACAGACAACGGGGCCCAGACAAAGAGAGTGACTCACAAGAAGGTTCGCAGTTCGATCCCGATGCCGTCAGAGCCCGTCGCATTCTAACACTCGTCCAAAGCTTGGACGTCCGACCACGAGCGGTATTTTTCAGCCTTCAGAATCGACAGGTTCAAATGAGCAAAGGTATGAGGGTATTCCTGGCGACCTGTGAGGAGTACAATGGAGGCGTGCTGGAAGACGAATCATCACAGACAGCGCTTGAGCGGCGTCTCACCCGCATGATCGAGCAACTCTCTAAAAGCTTCCCTGAACCAGCTGTGGTTTCTGCTGATCTCTGGAGATTTGCGAAGCAACACAACCGCCGTTGGTATCAGTTGATACGGTTCGCCACTGGTCCTGAGCACGATTATCGCACAGTTACCAAGGCTATCAAGGAGCTCATCAAACGCATCCGGGAAAGCCAGGGCGGCCTACAATCACTTGTTGATACGATTCAACCGCTCTTGCACCGGTGTGCTTTGCTTGTCTATAATCGAAGCCATGTTCCCACGATTATGGCTTTATCGCGGACCGATGAGAGCGGCCTGGGTGAGGTGGCTCACGAGGTTTTAAAAGAGATCTCTGCTCGGAACCCGGAAGTGCTCAAGCACCACATCCAGGCACTGTGCACGGAGCTGGAGGATGAGGCGCCGTCAGCTACGACACCCGAGAAAGATGGCGCCCCTGACACCCTCAAGGCGTGTGCGGCATTTGCTCGAAAATACCCGTCGGAACTGCCCAAGGAGGGCAAGTTCCTGACCGCGTTAGCACAGTTCGCCTTGTTCTCGAAGTCCCCAAGGGCAGCAAAACATGCCGTGTCCATCATCATGCTGGTGGCGGATGAAAAGGAAATGTGTGGGAAAGACGTGCTGTCAAAGGCGCTGGCAGGTATTGGGTCTGGCGGTCCTCATTTCCTTGCCCGCTTGGCAGCGATCGCGCAGGTCTGTCTCCTCACAACCTCCGCGGCAGATTTCGATTGGACTGTGGTTGAGAAACTTGCCCTCTCAGAAATCTTGCTAAAGAACCAGTCGCCTCGTAAGGAGGATGATCCTGATGGCGCCTGGGATGAGAGGCCAGATGATGAGACAAGGGCCAAAGAATTGGCCTTGAAGATCCTCGTTAATCGCTGTCGGGCCCAGGACGAAACCCTGAGTTCGCCAGTGGTCCAAAAAACATTTACGTATCTCATCGCTTTAATTACGAATGAAGGAGAAATAACGCCTTCGAAAGATACGCCCCTCGCACAGAAGAACCGACTCAGGCTCAGCGCTGCACATCTGATACTGAAGCTCTGCAGCCACAGGAGAAAATTCGAAGACTTCATTGCCCCTCAGACGTTCATTTCCATTGTGATGATCACAGTCCAACCTCCAAATCCGGTACGGGCTGGGTTTGTCAACACATTGAAGAAGTATCTGGGTCTCAACCGCTTGGCTCATCGGTGGTTCACCGCCTTCTTCCTTCTCGCTTTTGAGCCAGACGTGGAGCTGCGGACGTCCACGGTTACCTGGATTCGAGCGCGTGTGCAATTCTTTGCCAGGCAGCAGCTTCAAGCAGGTTCAGCAGAAAAGAAAGTGTATCAAAATGTAATGGAGTCGACATTTGCACGTCTGCTCAGTGTACTAGCCCATCATGCGGATTTCCCGAGCAAGGACAGCGACGACTATGACGGAGAGTTGCTGGATTTCGCCAAATATATCATCTTCTACCTTTACACTGTGGCCACGGAAGACAATCTCTCGTTGATTTTCCACATTGCGCAACGCGTCAAGAGCGCCAGGGACGGTATCGTGGGTACGGATGATGCAAGTGAGCGGTTGTATATCCTTAGCGATCTATCTCAAGCGGCCATCCGAACTTACGCAGACATCATGCCAGCGCATGCAAAGGGTGTCAACCTCCTGCAGACCTGGCCCGGCAAAGTCAGTCTTCCCCGGAATTTGTTCAAAGCGCATCCTAGTCACGAAGCAGCGCAGGAAATTGCCGAGAGGAATTATCTACCGGAGGATGTCGCCGTCGGATTGGAGAAGATGATGCGGATCTATATCAGGGAGTTGAAAAATACCGTCCAACCAATTAAGCGGGCACTGACTGGCGAGAGGAAGCGAAAGAGCGACGCGGCGAGACTTAACGATGGGGAGGATGGCGAGCAAGGCCCACAGAAGGCGGCGAAGAGACTGAAGAAAAGCACTCCCGCCATCCGCAAGACATCTCAACCAAAGCGCAGAAGCTCTGAAACTTCCGAATCCGCCAGCAGTCCTACATTGCCTTCACGGAAGAGCAACCGGGCTTCCCACGTGGTGTCATATTTAGAGTCGGATGCCGAGAACGGGGATGTGGAGATGGAAGACGCAGATTGGCGCAGTGCTAGCCCGGCGACTCGAAGACCGATTAAGAGGACGAAGCGAAGCCTTGACAAACACCAGGATCAGCAGGAAGAAAAGAACGACGAAGTCGACGAAGAGCGAGAAGAGAAGATCGACATTAAAGTTCCAGAGAGAGGACCTGACGATGAAATCCATGTCCACAAGGAGGTAAACGGGGGTCAGACGGTAGCAAAAGGGGCCACATTCCCACCACGGACGAGAAAGAAGCATACGGCTGCTGGAAAAGAGCTGCAAAGGAAGAAGACCGCGGTAAAGAAAACCGTGACTCCTGAGCAACAGACAGACCCAATAGAACGGCCAGTACGGACGACCCGGCAGACGAGGAGCACGAAGACGTGAGTTAAGGGAATGAGCAGACGGTATTTTTGTGCATCCACCCGTACTTGTGTTGTCGTAGGCCTTCAGGCGGCGATTTTCGGGAAAACTAATGTGCTGTATCGAGCATGGAAGATGGACTGAGTATACCACGAACATGGATGATACGAATGACTGTGTTAGGGCTATGGAAGCTCTACAAGTACCAGATAATTAACAGATGATGATATCGAACTCGGCGACACAAGCCGTGCAGTGAGTGAAAACTATTGTCAGGCGTAAGGGTAAACGGGCGGGTACCTGTACGAGGTACTTTTGTTTATCTGACGGACGTTCATGGCATCTAACGCGCTAATATTTCACGCTAAATCGCTAGCCTATAGGTATAAAGATATAATGTAGGTGCATGGCGAGCGACGCACTTTCCCACTACCGTCCGATAATATACAGCAGTAAGTAATTCAATTACACTACCACCGTAAGATAAATTCACTTAATCTACTTAGAACTAACGTACAGTAGGTCCGCAAAAGTCACCGGACACTAATGTATACAATTCAAACTATTATTTCTCCACCACCAATGCTTCATTTGTGGTTTTATTTGTTTGAGAGATGTCTACGGAGTACTAGAAAAGAGCATTCTGACTTTCAAGCGTGGCCTTATATATGGACTGCATTTGAAGGAGGCATCGGTCCGCGAAATCGCAACTATCACTGGGATAGTAGTCTACTAGCTTAATATATATAAAAGCATCAATGAGATCATCCTTTGGCGCCTCTTAATGAACAAGATTGAATTTAACAGGTCGGGAACATTACATGAAATCTATGAAATTTCCAGTAATAAACACTTTCGTCAATGGTGGCTGCGCCGGACCAAATTTCGGTCGGGCTGCCGTCTTTCGGGCGGCCTTATCTTGCTTCTCTCCATATCTGGACCAACAACATCTCCTGGGTTTTGTTGTTTCGTCGGTCAAGCGTCGTCGTCAATGATGGGGGGCCTACTTAAGATGTGCTTGCGTCCCCCTGCCGTCCCTTGTTCGCGAGAAATGACTACCTTCTCTGGGTGTTGATTCGAGCAACGCAACTGGGAGATACTCATCCATCAGCTAGACACCTTCACAGCCTGACCATCATGCCGGCACTGTCATCAATTGTCATTGACGCCCCTCCTCAAGACGTCTGGAATGTCCTCGTCGACTTCTCCAGCTGGCCAGATTGGAACACCTGGTTCTCATCTATCCGTGCCCACTCGACCCCCCTTGAACTTGGTACACTGGTCACTTTTACAAATACAATGTCTGACACCGCGAAACCCGGGACTTATACCGCACGCATCACCACGTGGCACCCGGAAACAACAGAGTTCGCGTGGAAGGGGGGTCCCTTGCCCGAATGGCTGGGATGGACTCTGAGGGGTCATCACTGGTTTAAACTGGTGGCCGAGGATGATGGGAAGAAGACACTGTTCGACCATGGCGAAGATGTGGAAGGTTTACTGAGTATGTTGGTCCCCGAAAGCATGATGAGAGATTTGGTCAAGCAGCTGGACAAATTCAATGGAGAGTTGAAGAGACGGGTTGAAGAAGGACCAAAGACCACCGAGCCTTGAGAGACAGAGATCAAGAGGCGAGGGATCGAGGCGGAAATGGCAAGAAATGTCTGCTCTTTTTGTTTACGGTGAGAATCTTTCCCTCGCTGCAAGAGACTTTCCTGCTCCCTACTGACGGAGATAGGTTCGAAGCGAGTCTTGTGTGTATTTTCACATCCCGGTTGAACTGATACCATGGCGTGGCCTTTGCCTGCTCCATGTTCTAGTTTCATCCATCGTCACAGCGACTGTTTACTTCTCTTTGCACCTCCCTCCATGGGCAGCGTTGTTTTACGTCCTCGTTGACCAAGCAACTCCATTTGCTTCGTTGCGGCTTTCAAACCAAAATACAAGCGTTTGTATCACTCAGTTTCGCAAACCCAACCAAATGGGTGCGGAAGATGTATTACACAGACACCCCTGGCTCTCGCTGGGCTACCTGGTGTTGTTGTTATCGCAGCAAACAGTTTGATGTCGTTGGACCCAAGCAATCGCCGCTGTTCGTCTTGCTGATATCCTCTGGAGAGACTCTTCCATCAGAACTATATGTCACCTTCTCCCCTCTTGCGGTCATCCTTTCTTCACTCCCAGTCCTACAAGATGTCTCGATACAATCCCAACTGGGGTCCCCCTAAACGCGCCACTTCCAATGACAATGCTGGTGAGGGACAACCGACACGCCTCACGAATCCAATATTTGGTCTTGGGGACTCCCGGCCAAATAACTCCTCGTCGCAGCATGGACTAACGGCACCTGTCGGTTCAGGCAACAGCCGACCCCAAGGTCAACCAGGTGTTACCCCGAGACCCCAGCAAGCTAATCCCAACCGGACAAACCCTCAAGCAGGTGGTCGAGGGAGAGGCTCGCAATTACCCTACCGCCCGAGACAGCCGCAATCAAGCCCCAGCTCTAGAGGTGGTCAATCACATGGAGGATGGAAAGCACAAGGGACACCAAACGTCGACATTTCGGGAAAACAGCTGCTGGCCAACCATTTCGCCATCACACTAGGCGAGTACAAACAAGTCTATTCTTATGAGTTGAAGATTAGCAGAATCAACACTGAAGCCCAGGAGGAAGAAATTCAAAGATCCACCAGTGATGGTGGTGGTGGCCAGAAGACGCACACAGTCGCAAGACAGAAGAACAAAAGACTCGTATATCTCCTGTTCGAGCAGCTCAAGTTGGAAAACAGTCTTCCGAGCCCCGTCGCCACTGATTACCTGAAGCTGATCATCACTACGAAACAACTAGACGAGAACACCACCAAGTCACGCGAATTCGATTTCTGCGACGAATACTCGGCTGGTCCTGGTCCAGATTGTGACCGCTACCGGGTGGCCTTTGCGAAGCCGAAATTGATCTCTCTGGCTGATCTTTTTGCGTACTATCGTCGATCTGCACAGTCTCAGACACCCGTGGCACCGTTCTCAGAGGAAGCTCTCACTGATGCGACCAATGCTCTTAACATCATCTTCAGCTATCTACCTTACCAACGATGTTTTTCTCGAGATCACAGAACGACTCCCTCGATGACCACGGTGAGGGGGCAGGCGTTCTATGGCATCGCTCCTCATACCCATTCACAGCCAAGACCCCCGTTGACAGATACGGGGACAGTGCTAGACGCCAGTGGTGGCCTCTACAGCATTCCAGGATTCTCGAGAAGCGTTAGAGGCTCATTCGGCCCCTTGGGGCATGTTGACCTCCAAATCTACATCAAAACAGGCTGCTTTTGGCAGCATGGGAGTGTCCAAGATATGATTCATGCCTGGAACAGCCGAAATCTATCGCAGGATCTTGACGCACTTCAAGACTTCCTGCGCCGAGCTCCTGTCAGACTGACATTTGAGGAGCAAGGGCTCGGCCGGTTCTCTACGATCAAAGGACTCGCGCGCATCGACAAGCCGCCAAAAGCTGATAGCTGCAAAATGCAACTTATCAAGCATCAGCATTCCGGCGGCACGGTCAAAGACTACTTTTCCATGAGGCACAATTGGCAGATGAATCGTGACGCTTACGTCGTTAAGATTGGAAAAGAGTCGCGGAAAGAGTACATGACAGTCCCAGCAGACCTGCTCCAAGTCCCGCCCGGGCGGCTGAAACCAGGCGAGATACCCCGGTTCTCGGTTCGATCCCCAAATGACAACTACAATAGGATTATCACTGCAGGCAGACGCACATTTTATTCGACCACACCGGGCGAAGGTGGAGCAGCAGCGTTCCGCCTGACGATTGATCTGAAAATGGCCAAGGTCCCTGTGACGATTTTGGCTCGACCGGATCTTATGTACAAAGCTCGGGGCCACCCGAATCAAGTCAAATGTATTGATGGAGCGTCGATCAATGCAGGTCAATGGAATATCCAAGGTGCAGCCTTTGTGAAACCATCTTCCGGGAAGAAGTGGTCCTGCGTTGAGCTCTCGGCGAAGAGCAGGCGCTTAAAATGCACAACTCTAGGGATCAAGCATTTCGTGGACAACTTGACACAGGCACTGCCGCAATATGGCATGGAGAGATTCGAGTGGTGGCAGTTCAACCGCGAGGACATGAGCCAGCAGCAATACAGCGACGAAGACTTGTTTCCGAGATCGAAGACCGTCTCGGGCTTGCACAAGCAGTACGCCGCCGTCGAAAAGCTGCTCAAAGAGCTCAAGGGGAAAGGAGTTCACCTGGTTGTCCTGCTTCTCCCGTCCCATGACCTGGAACTCTATAGTGCCATCAAACGCGCCGGCGACCAAAGTGTTGGAATAGCCACCGTTTGCCATGTGCTTCGACCGTTTACCAACGCGCTTTGGCCGAAAAGCCTTTTACGCCCGGGCAATCCGCACAGCGCGGTCAACAACGACTTTCTCGCAAATCTGTGCATGAAAATTAATTTGAAAGCGGACCAGACCAGCGTTAATCAGGCCTTGCGCGGCAATCCAAAGATTCTGTCACCGAAGACAATGATCATCGGCATTGATGTGGCACACGGCGGCGGGCCAAGAAAACACTGCCCCAGCGTTGCCGCCGTGGTTGGCAGCGTCAATGCAGAGTTCTCACAATGGCCGGCCAGTCTGTTGGCGAATCCGTGTTCGACGAAAGATGAAGAAGACAAGGAGGCCAACGAGAAGGTGTTGGATCTCGACGTTGCCGTGTACGAGCGACTGCTTGACTATTACGATCGCAACCATGACAAAAACGCCGAAGGACACAAGGACAACGGCGTCCCGGAGCAGATCATTGTTTACCGCGACGGGGTCTCGGAGTCGCAGTTTGCCATGTGCAAGGACTACGAGTATAGCAAGATCGGGGCAGCCCTGAACAAGCTGTTCCAGCACAAGGCTCTTTCTGTCGAGCTCTTGCCCAAGGTCACCCTGATCTGTGCCGTCAAACGACACCACACTCGTCTGTTTCCGGATCCCGATGGGCCCCATGACCCCAATCTCGTGCTGGGCCGGAGTAAAAACGGCATCGAGAACAACAACCCGCTTCCGGGCTGTGTGGTAATGGACCGGATCACGTATGGACGGGGCAACGACTTTTTCCTCGTTGGCCAGAAGGCCATTCAAGGCACGGCGATACCGGTGCATTACAACGTGCTACAAAATCCTCACAACTACGGCATTCAGGACATTGCTAGGATGGTAAGTCGAGCTCCTCTTCCGATCGAGCCCTCTTTCCTTTTATATCTCTCCCTCTCTCTCTCTCTCCTCTCATGTGCTAACTCCGACCGTTTTGAAACCCAGACATACCACCTATGCTACCTCTTCGGTCGCTCGCGCACGTCGGTCGGACCCTGCACGCCCGTCTACTACGCCGACCTGGTGGCCGACCGCGCGCGGTGTTATGTCCGCCAGTTCTACAATCCCCCACGCGACGGCAACGACAACAACAACCCGCTTCGCCCCTTCGACGCCAGTGAACTGCCCGAGTTCAAACACTGTCTCCGCCTTCACCCCGACGTTGCGAAACACATGTTTTACATTTGATCAATCACCGAAGTCCTGCCTTCTTGTCTGTCTGTCTGTCTTGGGACGATATTGTTTTTGAAGTTGAAAGGTTGTTGATTGTGCTGAGTAGCGTGCATGTGCATGCATATTTCTAGCTGGCACGTGGGCCGGGGAAGGGGTCCCGAGGAACGGCCTCGAGGAGCTTTTGTCGGCCCCCTTTTTTCCTCTTTCCTTTCCTGGATAACGGTGAAGATGAGAAGGGGTGATTCTGCACTACGGAACTGCGTACACAACTCAGGCTAGTGTGATTGACGGTTATGAATTATTATCATCGCAGTTTCTTCGACGGGGAAAAAGGGGGCCAAGTGGCTACATAGAATGATATTGGATATTGAATACTGAATACCGAGTACCGAATACTTGATGCTGGATATCACATGCCTGGCAGCAGATAGATTAATCACAATAGCTTCGCTCCTCCTTTTGTACAGTCTCCTCTCCCCTAATTGCATTTCTTCGCTGGAATTGACCCTAGTTAACAACAAACAATAACAAAAGCATCCTTTTCAGTTTCCCTCGCAGGCCCGAATATCTGTCTGTCTGTCTATCTATCCTATCTATCTTATCTAGATATCTCTGTGTCCTTTCCTTCTCTCTCTCCCTCATTTTTTCTCCATGGTCCAAATCGACCTCGCCCTGCCCCCGACCTCGTTCTTCAAAGAGATTATAGTATACTGTCGTTTTGTCACAACCTATTTCATTAACCTGTAAACTTTTCCCATGTACAAAGAGGCCCGCTCTTGCTTGAACTATTACGATATTTCTTTCGCCATGCCTCGACTCCCCTTCCCTTATTCCCTTAGTAGTATAGTAACCATTCGTTGATTCATTAAATACATACTTATTCTATATATTTTCCGTCGGTTAGAACGCATCGCCACGACGACGGCCAGCACAGCCACCACGACCACCACCAAACGCACAGGGTGGAGGAGACAATAGATTCTGTGGGGCCCTTTTTCGAACGTGCTGGAGCCAGTGAAAGCTGATTAGAATTCAAATACGTCCTCCCCGACGCGGTCCCGCGCCATCCGGACCCAGTCCCGCACGGCCTCCTCGACCTCCTCGTCGTCATCCTCGAGCATCTCGTAGACGTAGATCATGGTCTCGCCGGCACCACCGACGGCGACGCCACCACCACCTTCGGCCGCAGCACCGGCACCATTGCTCGACTGGCCCCCGCCGCTGCCGCCACCCAGGACGACGTTCTGGAGCCACTCGTCGCCGACGTCTGGGGACTCGGTCAGTGCCACCTGCGTGCGGATACTGGCCAGGCGCACGGCGGCCCACGGACTGCGACGCAGCTGGCAGAGCAGGTGGTTCAGCGCGTGGTGGTGGGTAGGGACGTCTTGCACCGAGTTCGCGAGCGCAACGATGCACGGGATCACCATGTCGAAGACCACGGTGTGCAGCGAGGCGGCTGTGGCCTGACCTTTGGCCTTGGCCTTGGTCTTGGGTGTCGCATTGAACCTGGACTGAGGAGAGGAGGCAAGCAGGCCCAATTGGCTGACCAGAAGATCGGTAAGGGGCTGGAAGTGCATCGGCGAAGTGAAGAATCCATCCGCGTCGTGGGTTTCGATGGTCGTCAGCAGAGTCAGGGTCGACTTGTACAGCTGCAGACCACTGTCCTCGGACAGGTCAACGTGAAGGGAAGGCTTTGCATCCGCATTTCGGTCGATGGAGTCGACCTTCATTCCAGGGACAGGCGAGGAGACGTTATGGGCCGCGGCCCGGAGGATGTCGTTCACCGAAGGAAGGAGGTAGCGTGCGTAGCTCGTCACGATACTCTTTAGCGTCGCAAAGAAATGCGTCGCGAAGAGGTAGAAGCTTGTTTGCCTGGCCATCTGTACGCTCGCTCCAGCAGAAGAGCAAGCCTCGGGACTTCTCTTGGTCGCCCAGTCCACCCATCCCTCAAAGATGGGACGGAAGGTTGTGTCATTGAGTTTGTAAATGAACACAATTCCCAACTCGTGCAATTTCTTTTCCACATTCTCAATACCCGCGACGGTGGCGGCTCCGGCACCGTCCTTGATTCGACTGAGCCGTCGGAGATCCATGACCTCCAACACGAAAGCCGATATCTCATCGGCGGCACCTACGACAGTAGATTTCGAGTTTCGCTCAATCGCCTGGGAAAGCATATCAAGATACTCAGCGATGGCGTCGCCCTCAATCTTCCCGCCCGAGACCACTGTCGATTTCCAGGCCTGGTTCAAGCTACTCACGACGGTTTTCAAGTCCATTCGCTGCGCCATCAGGCTCAGCATCTCTAGCCGGGCCTCTCTTCGTGACCCCGCGTCCGGACCGGCGAGGCACGAACGGTAGGAGAGACTGAGGATATCAGCAACACTTTCGTCACCGATCATGTAGGGCGTGTGGGTGATGAACGAAGAAAGGAGTGCGAAGCAAGCGTCGTGAAGCTCCACGCGCCCTTCCCCGGCGCTGTCTTCGGTCAAGAACGAATCCAACAGACGCAACACTTTAGGCAGGGCTTGCACCACGATCCGGACACTTCCTCCCTTAAGCACCTCCGTCGTGCTCGCAAGACAGAGCAGAGACATGATCCTCGTCCTTTCATTATGGGATTCCAGCCCGAGATTACCCTCAATCAACGCGGAGGATGCGCTAATGGCCTCTTCCGGCTTCTTTCGTCCATAAACCTCTATGATGCGATCGAGACATGCAATCGCCGCATGCCTGAACGCCTCATCATCGGTGGTGCGGATAATGTGCTGCAGGTTAGGGAGAAATGTCATTGCTTCGGCCTGCGTCCTGGCATCCCTTGAGCTCGGAGCATTATGTTGAAGTTGTGTTGCAAGCACTCGAAGCGCCAAAGGCTGAAGCTCCTGCTGGCCTTCCCCGGGCTGGACCATGTCGTGCAGGAGATTGGGCATGATCTTGAGAAGGTCGGCCAGGAAAGGTAGGTCAAGAAGCGAGCTCAAACACTTCCTCGTCGACGGAGTCAGATTGGCGTGGACGGCCTTCTGGGATTTGAGCATGCTCAGGATGCGGGTCATGCAGGCTTCGAACTCTGCCCAGAAGGCTTTGTTTTCTGCGTCGTCGGTCTTTGAAAGTCGTTTTACCTGCGTCTTTAGACTCTTTGGTTCTAGCAGCTTCGAAGCCACTTCAAGAAGGATTAGTGCTTCTTGCTCCCTCTTCTTGTTCGAACTGGTCCCGCTAATATCTAGTAACGGAGCAGCATCGTGAGGATCATCAGAGAAGATATCAATACTCAGATCGATAAGTTTCCTGAACGTCATCAACTGAGTCGGTGCCGAAAGGTCCGCCATTAAGCTGGCAAAGAACGAAGACATATCTTCTGGATGGCGCCTTGACGCAAGAAGAGCAATGACTGCAAACGCAAAATCATCAGCGCCCAGCCTGCTGAGGAGCCGTTGGTAGAACGCGGCCCTCCGATATTGGGGAACGTGATCGTATGCTGTGACGAAGCTGGAGAGCAAACTGGAAGTCGAATGGATCAGTTTTTTGGCATCTTGCTTTTTCAATGTGGCAACCAAAGGTGGAATGATTTCGTCGATTGCTCGATTTGTCACGAAAATTGAGCGTTCGTCATCCTTCGACAATATACTTTTACCCATGAATGTGAAGATGGGCATAATGCTATGCAATATCCGATCCGGAGCCAAAGATGCCAGAGCCGAAGAAAGAAGCAGAGCAGTACTTTGGACCTGCGGGTTTTCTGACGATCGGACGCAGTCGGTGACCAAGTCGGTACGAATGCTAGAGAAATCAATGGTAGGCCTTGGTGAAGTTTGCGCGTTCTCGATGATCGCCAAAATGCTGCTGAGGCAGAGGTGGAGAAGGTACGGAGATTCAGACGTGCCCTTGTCCTTGAGCCGTCTGAGGATGATCAACACCTCGAACAAGCCCCCGAGCAATTGTGGGTGGCTCTGTGGTTTGGAATCTTCGACGAGTTCTAGTGCAAAAGTCAATCTTGACTCACTGATATCTAGTTCGATTGCTAGATCCTTTGGTATACTTTCTCGTCCATGGCTGACACGACGTCGTTTCCTGGGTGGGACGTCTGTTTGCATCTCAGCAAGCCCAGAGAATGAGTGGTCCAGTATGACAGCGAGAACCTTGGTAGAGAGGTTGACCATGTGCAGAACGTGACGGCTTCCAGCAGCATACGCCGGGTTCTTGGAAAATGACATGTCAAATAAGCGCAGAGCCGTGAACGTTTGTGACTCGTTGTGCATATCCTTCCAGATAACAGCAATCCTGTCGAAAAAGGCATTGACCAGAGCATTGCGCGGCTGGACTTTATCTTCAACAAGCCATCCCAGAATATGCTCAACAGCATCCTTGTCTCGCGGGTTCGCGAAGCGAACCATCACGGCATCGATTTGATCCAAAGGAAGGCCCTCTGATGATGCGGCATCTACGGCGTCACTTTCTTCCAATGATGCCCAGGCTTCCAGGATGGGCGACAGAATTTTGCTGGTGGTAGAGGCGCCAACTTTGTGGACGTCGCCAAGCAGCTCGAGGATGCCTATCTTGACCCGTAGCAAAGCACATCCTAACGCACAGCCCGTTAGTAAATCATAGAGCGCATGCTTCGTGTTCTTCTTAAGTTCAACATCGTTCGCTTTTAACAAGGGAGTTCGGTCATGCTTGTCAAAGGCGGTTTGAAGAATTGTGCGTATGTAGGACGGATCCAACATGCATTCCTCCAGATAAGGCAAGTACGCTTGATCCAGAATCTTTACAGCTTGTGTAGACACCAAAGGTTTGACGTTTCGTATACCAAGTGCATCGTAGAGTGTTTGGGCCGGATGTGCCTCCCCGTTTTCTTCTTTGGAGGCAGCCTTGTGGATGGCCACAGTACATGCGACGGCGGCTCGTCGCACATGTTGGCTATTGTCAGAAAGGAGGACAGTGATGAAAGGAATCAGCGACTCCAGCTGGTTCGGTGACCCCTTTTTGATGACGTCCAACAGAAGCTGAAGAGCAGTATTGCGATGAGCGACGGGAAAAGGTCCTAAGGCCACCCTCAACATGAAGCTGAGATGCAAAACAGAAAGCCCTCCTTTTTGCTTGTGCCAGAGTGGTATTTGTTCAAATCGTTCCAAGAGCTGATTGTTCTTGTGGCATACCGCGAAAGTTCGAACAAGTTGGTCGAACAGTAGGGAGCGATTTCCAACGGTGAGGAATGAGGATATCTCAGTTTCAGAAGGCAGGGATTCAAGCATCGCTTCGGCCTCCTTTGAGTTGTGTGTTGACTCATCCACAGCAGGGTCAACTTCCATACGTGTTTGTTCAAGGAGTGGTCGGTCGGAGTATTGGATGGTCTGTTGTACAAGATCTTCGACTTCCGACTGAGAGAGGCCGGCCAAAAACACTGCCTGAGGGAAAGACGACGAGAACTTGGAAGAGTCAGCCAACGACTGGAGCAAACGTACTAGCCGTGTCCAGCAAATCGACCCCGGTGAAAGTGTGGAGTCTGTCGAGGAAAGCTTCCGAAGCAAAGTGGCAAGGAGCTGACTTTTTGTTGCCGATGTAAAATGGTCCTGGGCGGCGTCAAACATACGTTCGATAAATTGCAGCCTTCTGTCCATGTTCTTTTCCTTCAGTCCGGAGAGCGCTGAGCTGATTATGGCCACGAACAACGCAGCCAAGGGTACCAACTGAAGCAATTCGGACATCCGCCGCCCTGGATCACTGGCGTTCATGAATATGTCGAGAACGTCTCTCGGAACTCTCATATCGGTCTTCTTTGTGACTAGAATAGCTAAACATGCCAGAGCCGATCTGGAATCGGATGCCTCGTCAGCGATGAATGGGGCAATGGATTTCATCAACGAGTCAATGACATGGTCTCCAAGATCTGCGCCGCCTGCCAATACGAGGGTGATGGTGAAACAGGTGACTGTGAATTCAGGGTTGTCTTTGATTTCGAACCCTTCGTTGAGCAGCGGTAAAATCTTCAATAACGCATCTTCTGTCTGCTGTTTCTGCACTTCCTTTCTCCCATTTCTGACCTGGCTCAATCTTCCAGTGATGGCTTCGACAACAAAGCTGCCCCAAAAACGTAAGAGTTGTGAGTGGGCGGCACCTTCCTGGCACGCGTGCAAAGTGTAGTCGTTGAAGAAGGAGAAAAAGGCGTCGTTGTGAGTAGCGGTGTATACGACGACATGTCGAGGAACAATGGCTGGCTCTCTATGATACGCGGCCAGAAATTTCCACCTGGTGGCAAGCCTGTCTGTTGGAATGATACTCAAGATATTGCGAAACACTGGTGTTTCATGGTATGGTAAAAATGTGGCGAGAAGGGCATCCGTGTTGTAGACATGAACTCGAAATCTTCGCACAAGCCATTCCACAGCTTTCAGGCCCGGTCGAAGCGCCACCTTGGATCCAAGGAGAGTCAGGCATCGATCTAATACGAGTCCCAGCGCTTCGTTCTGTGTCTTGCTGAGCTGCTCTCTATCCTGCGATTTGGACTGTGCACTGAAGAGATTCTGTCCGAATTCGTGCAGTCTGGCGTCCAGCAGGCAGAGCTCCTGGTAACCTTCCACGCATACTTGGTATATTGTTTCCCAATCTTGCTTGACCGCCACAGTACGGGCGAATATGAGGGATTCGCCGTGTGCATCTCGTCGGGCACGGAGGTCGAGTTCGCTCGTAGAGTTTGCGGCTATCGTGCGCAGCTGGGCGGCGAAGGTGGAGGTCATTGCGGCTGGCGTGGGAAGAGGTTTAAAGAGACCGAAGTCACTTCCATGGGCGACAAGCGCACAGGCAACCAGCTGCAGGAATATCCTCACAATCTTCAGAGCTTGGTCGCTGAAAACTTCACTGTCAATCAAACGGTGGCATGCGACAAAAAAAAAAGTTGGAGACACTCGGACATTGCGGGGATAAACATCGCGGCAAGTGAACTTACATAATAATTAATAGTATTTTCCCTCCTTGACTAGTTTGTGGCTAGTTTGTATGTACAGAGCACTCAAGCAAGAGCCTACAGCAGTGTATCTGATATGTCAAGGTGCACCCGCATACCCCTATCTAGCATGGTCTGATACACCTGCTTGAGTTTGGCATTGCCAATTGCATCTCTGAGCACTGGCTGCGTAAATCCCAGCATGCAGAGTTCTTTGGACCACGGGCATGCCCGTAGCGCCGCATAAAAGGACTGGATTGCTGTTGTCGCCTGTCTGTATACGGCCTCTTCACGCCTTGTGGATCTCTTGCCCCCTAGTTTCAAGTGTCCATGGAATTGAGTCAGTGATGTTTCCCACAGAACATATGTTTTCCATATCTGCAGACTGTCATGGCCAGGAGACCCCGGCTGAGTCACTCGCTCGAATGCAGAGCGAATTGTGTGGTCTGTGCTCCCGCTGTACGACGGTCTGTTGAGCTCCAGCATCAATTCAAACACAGAAGGAACGACGCTTTGGTCGAGTTGCACATCTCGGTGTGAATCTGCTTTGGAATCGACCTGCCGCAACCGGTCAAACAATCCGGCCTTCTGAAGGAAATAGTGATGGAGCAGTAAGAGGTTGAGATTATTGGGAAACCTTTCCTTGGACTCTTTCAGAACGGGGACGAGTTCACGTGGCCTGAAGCTCCTTCCAAACGTCACAGCATGAGCGTGGATAAACCGGGCCTGCTGCTCGTGCACAGCTTCGAGGACGGCTGAAGGTATTGTCGACAGACCAGCGAAAGACCTCAGAGCTGCGTGGTATGTTTGTAGGGCTACTTCAAGGGACAGGTCAGCATTGAGGTACCTATGAACTACCAGGACGTCGACCAGCGCCGGTAATTGCTCTGGTCGGTTCTGGGAACGGGCCTGATCGATGTGTGTCTTGATGTATTGTTCGGTCTTGAGCTGCGTGGCAGCAGATGATTCAATAGTGGATTCGATTGTTTTTCGAAGCCGTATCAGGTCCACTTGCTCTTCTGTCATCAGACATAGCAGAGCCCTGGCGTGATGAAAATGCCTTCGGCGCATGTACGAGTATGCCCAGTCACGCCACAGAAGGAATGAATCAATTTGCACTTCTTGGCTTAGCGAATATCGCATCGATAGGGCTGTTGACCAAACCTTTTCAGCACCTTCGAGGTTGTCTAGGTGGCACTCAAGCAGCCCATATGTGTTGTAGAGTTTCAAGCTGTCAGCTTTGTGCTTAAGGAATTTCCTCGTCTGTTTTCTGGCCGATTTCAGATCTACTCCAGCTTCCAATGCGATGGCATATTCCATATGCAATTCGCCTGGTTCCTCGTCAGAATCCAGTCCCACGAGAAGAGATAGGACTCGGCGAACAAAGCTGAGAGAAGAACTGATGAGTCTTGACGGGGAAGAGAGTAAAATGCCATGTGCATCGTCGTTCAATTGCCGAGACACTAAAAAGACGTCTTGAAAGCGCATCTGCAGTCCGAAATTGCTCTCTTCACGACCAGCATGTCCCACAGAGATGCCGCATGCAGGCGACTGGCTATGAACGAAAGGGTCTCGTTGCCAGGCCCTGGACTCAGGTAGTGATGATAGTGGCGAAAGCCCTGCAAATAATAAAAAGGCGTCCTGCATAAGCCACGTGCCCTCTTCTGTGATCGGCGACAAGAGGAAGTCTTGAATGTCCGAGAAGAGAAGAACGCGATAAGGGTCATCCTCGCAGACGTCATCTAGAGCTCTTGCAGGCAAGCCGGCGGTTCTTTCAAGGTCATCTTCAGCAGCAGCCCAGGCTTCGAAATCCATATGCTGCACTTGGAATGCTTTGTCGCTCCTCACCTCGAGCTCACTGCTTGTATTTGATCGCCATCCTGCCGAACCCTCCTCCCCTATTCGCGCAACCTCGCTTGCCCAGAATTGCTCAAAGGATGGTATGAGGTCAGTTGAGGGGGTATTCCGTGGGCGAAAGTAATTGAACTCGAGAAGCGCCTGCCAAATCCCAACCGCGCGTTCGGTGAACCCAGATTGCCAAAGAAACAAGGTCAAGCGTAAAAGGATGTATATGCAGCTGGTATCTCTCGCGCGGTCTGATGACGAATTGTTGGCCCTTTGAAGCCATTGCTTGTAGATTCCTAAACATGATTCAAAGCTGAATTTGACGTGATTGGTTTGGACGAAGTTCAGGTAAAGCCGCCATAGATCGAACGAAGCATCCTCGTTGAGGAAGGTGCGCCATTTGGAAGCCTGTTTATCTGCATCCCAAATCTTCCTCCCTTCCTTCATGAGACCTAGGATCAAAGAATTTCGAGCTTCTTGCCCCTTAACACGTGACAATGCTTCTTCATATAGCGAGATTTTGAGGTCGACCACAGTCCTTGACGAGAAGGAAGCGGAGCTGCGGGAACCCCCGTCCTCACCCAAGAGGATGGGTTGGTACTCTATCAGCGTAAGCCATGCCGACGCATCCTCGGGTCGAGCTTCGGTTGCTCTCAAGAGTTCAATATGGCGCTGATGGATGGGGTTCTGTTTGAACTCATCGAAAGCATCCTTGGACTGTGCCAGCGCCGGGCCGTCGGGGTCTGACTCCTCACTATCGTCGTCTTCCACAGTTGCCTGCTCCCGTCCCGCCAACATCCGCCTCCTTTTTCTTGGATGTCCATAGTCGACGCTCAGAAAGTCTTCGCGCAGATCTGATTCGTTGCTCACTCCGGACAGAACACTCTCCACCGCTCCATCGTCATCGGAAAGGTTCTCGAGCAGAGACTGTCGACGAGACCTTCGTATGGAATCATACTCGACATTTTCCACCTCCAGTTGAGACTCTGACCTTGAAACTATTCGATAGTTCGGACCCAACCCGAGTAGCCCACCATGACCGGCCGGTCGATAGCGCGGAATCGCACGTCGATCAAGTGACCCATACGTTAAGTTTTGCCGATCACCCTTGCCGTCTTCCACGAACAAGGAGGACTCGCGGACTTCTGGACCATGAGAATGGAGTCCCACAGACTGATGTCGCGCGTCAAGCCGGGCCAAAGGGCGGGATATGCCGCGAGGAATATTCCGGTATTGAGAGTTATGATGGTGTGAAGAAGACATCATGCGCAGCAAGACGCTAGTAGCCTAAGAGGAGAAGAGAATATCCATCGCCCACAGAATTATTGCTCAATGCCAAGAATTGGAGAGGTCTGGGCCATCTCAGGTCACGTGGAATGCCTAGAGTCGAGGTAGAGAGTAGGTATACCGTGAAAAAGAGGTGGCGGGTATTGGTTGATAATTGAGTGTATTGAGTGTATATTGAATACTGCCTCTGCTGACTTATCGATCGATAGAGGCGAAATCCTACCCAAAGAGGATTTGGGGGGGCTTTAAAGACCTCCTAAGCCTTCCGAGCAAGTGGGCACTGGGCTGCTGCAGGCGTCAGGTTTTCGGTTATCGAGGGGCAGCTGGCATCCACTGGGGCAGCCAGTATACCAACCACCCGCCAAAGCACGAAGGTTCACGCCTAGAGCCCACCAATCCCGAAGGCAAGAGTTCCCTTGGGGGGGTCTCTAGCGTACGTCACTGTGTCCTTCGAGGATGCTTCTGTTGGCCCGGATGGCTTCCCCCCGTAGCTTCCTGGGGTTCTTCGCGTTCACCTGCGATCTCGAGCACCTTGAATATGCTAATCCGGATCCAGTGAGTCTTGATATACCTGACTCCGAGCATGATCCATTTAATACCTTGCTTCGGTCGTCTTCAACCTGGGACTTTGCGTCTCCGTCTCACGTCTTACGACTTGTGAGGAACCTCCCCCTTTTTGCGATCCATGTTCCACGGTACTTGCCACTAGTCCTGGACCTCGAATAACCTGACACTTCCCATTGCGCCCTCCCACTCGCCACTACGGATTCCTTGCAGGTTGCGCGAGGCCTGTCCTTCCATGGACGTGCCAATTTCCAAGAGGCCGGTGCCTTCCACCTTCGATGACCATGGCCCTCCTCTGAAGAGAATCAAGAGCCTTGACGAAGAGCCTGCACAATACAGCGATGCGGTCCGCAAAAAGTTGGCCTTGACGTCTCGAACGGGACAGGCTTGCGATCGATGTAAAGAGAGGAAGATGAAATGTGACACGGACCCGGTGGCATGTCAGCCTTGTCGTCAGAAGGGTTTGCGGTGCTACACCACCGATCGTGTGACCGGGCAAGCACGAGAAAGAGGAGAATCGAATCGCGCCGAGAATGAGCTTCTATATTTGAGGGAACAAGTGGCCGCCTACCAGCGCAGATATGGCTCCTTACAGCGATCGGAATCTGCCAGCAATGTGCCTACAGCGACTCCCAGGAGTTCAATATCTCAGTCCACGGCGTATTCTGCGTCTCCGACATCGTCAAGACTGGATGCGAAGTACGTCGGCTGGCCTTCACCGGGTCATTGCGACGGCTTTTGCTCAGGCCCGGTCAACGGTACGGTGGTGGATATTATGGATGGTGTCGTCGACATTGCAGGCTGGGAATGTGAAATGATGGAAGACTATCCCAGCGACGTGACGGGGAAATTTAACCTCTCAAGGACGTCGATTGTCAATACCATCTGTGGATATCAACGTGTGGAGGACCCCAAGCTGCCATCAAAGGAAGACGCTCTCCGAGACGCCAATCATTTTCTGGTTATCATGTCGCAATATGTTCCGATCGTCCACAGGCCCAGCTTTATGGAACTCGTTAACAGATTCTATGACCAGCCGAATACGTTAACAGTTGCTGAGCGGGTTCAGGTATTGATTGTCTTCTCCATCATAGCCCATCAAACCGCGGTAAGGAACCATCTCCAGTCCGCTGAGAAGTTCGAGGAATCCCACCGTTATCTCCACTATGGCCTGGGCTATTATCGCGAACTCCTTCATGACCCGTCGCTGGCATCGTTGCAGGCGATGGCGCTGATCATCGTTCACTTTCGAAACTTGCCCAAACCAGGTGTATCTTGGACCTATTGCCATCAGGTCCTGGTGCGAGCTATCGAACTGGAATACCACCGCGACCCGGACAAGATTCAACTGCCTGAAGGCGAGAACAATCCACTGTCAAAGGAACTTCGGAAAAGAGTCTTTCATTCAATACTCGGCGTCTGTGTGACAACGGGTTGCCGTGTTGGCTTACCAGCACCGTGGCAATTTCAGCACATCGACGTCCCTTTACCGAGGGCCATTAAAGACTCCGAGATATCTAAGGACGGATTGGTCGTGGATTTGTCAGGTCAATGCGAGTTCTGGCCTTGTCTACATCTGGCAAAATTACTACCCCTTCTTACCGAATTACACAACAACATTATAGCTGTTAGGAAGCCGGCAGCGGAATATCTCCAAAATGTGGAGGTACTGAACACGAAAATAAATGCCTGGCGGCAAGATTGGGACGAGTCGACCAAAAATGAACCAAAACATGTCAATCTCAGTGTCGCGACCCTTCTATTCGAAACTTGGGCCGCCGAGTATCAGCTAAACTTACACCACCCGGTATGTTGTACGAGTGACGATCCTGAGGTGATGGAGCGACATCTGGACATCTGCCATAAATCTGCCAAACGTCTCTTGCAGAGTTTCCACCGATTGTCAAGCAGATATAAAGGGGTGGATTTCACATGGCATTCCACGCTGGCATATGCGACCGGGTTTGGCATCACCCTCTATGTGTACAAGAGGAAAAAAGGACCAGTTACCATCGAGCAATTCGAGGCAATGCGGAATGAACTGAAAGGTTGGACATCGTTGATGGCATACGCAGACCTTGTGCTGAGTGAGTTGATGCCCGTTCTTATGATTATCTATCACTAACTGAGTTTAGGGACCGGTAACCACTTGCAGAGACAGTTCCAACCTCGAGTGCAAGCTCTCGAGGATGAGTATCGGGCATTGTTGGTTGAACAGCCTCCGAAGAGCAGCAACGCCCAAAGTCCACTAAGTCCAGCCAACCTTCCCAACGCTTTAGGCCCAGTGAAAGTCGAACAATCGAATGCGCTTCTGTTCCAAGAGCACTCTAGCCCAAATGCAACTATGGACCGCAATAGCCTTCAACAACCAATGTTCATGCCTTCCCAAGGAGTAACTCAAAGCCATTCAACATCTCCATTGAGCCATCAACAGTCTCAGCGGCAATGGCCTGGCATATTCTCATTCCCTCAACCGCCACCACCTGGACAAGGTCCCGGACAGGGGCCGGGAGTTACATCACCTATATTTACAGCCTTCTCTCAGTCCCCGATTAGTGGACTTTCGACATCTGCATCCATCCCGGTCATTCCCACTTCGTTGTCTTCGCTGCTCAATGACTCGGGGAATTTCTACATGAGTTATCCCACGCCACCGCAGGCTCAAACTAGCCTTGGAGGAGTCGGGCTGGGTAGAGGTGCCGATCCACAGATGGCTTTCTCACAAAACCATTTCTTCAACGGTCCAGGACCAATGGACTGGCCATTGATTAGTATGCCGCCAGGTCAACAGTCATGATGAAGATGTTACCGACATAATCGGTCCCCAGTCACGGCCGCTTGCTGCGAAGAAAGATGGATTTCTCGACATGCTCCGGCACGAGAACAATAACCGTGATGGTTTTAAATCTTTACGCAGACCGGAGGATCTCAATTCGCTTGGAACTGCCCACCGATCAGAATTGTCACAACAGAACCCATCTGTGTGCTCGATCGACTCATCAGGAATGGATCGTAATCCAATGTGACGGGAAGGAGAACACTTCGCGTTCTCACGACAAATCTGTTCAATCCTGCGCCAGAATTGTCTCATGCATACCAATATCGGTGAGGGTTAGAATCTAGGGCATAGGCCGTATTTCCAACGGGTATTTCTCTGTGTCGCTATTTAATTCTTTCTTCGGTTGTCCCTTCAGATTACGCCGGTGAGAGTGCACCATCTCATCCTTCAGGGGATCTCAGGTCATTGGATAGCAACTTCTTCGAACGGGTCAGTCGATGCCGATACGTCCTGGATTTCGGAACATCCTAACGGAGGAGCCGCCACAAGCCGAATCATGGGCGTGCATGCATGTCACTGAGCCGAAACAGCCTTACGCGCACTTGCCCGGAAACAGGAGGTGTGACTTAGCTGAGCTCTTTGTCAGCGCTTGGGGACAGGGTTATATATCCGATTGCAGAACGGGGTGGACCACAATGCTACCTCTCATGGACGTGCCTGACTGCATTGTGATGGCGGTTCAGATTCATTCCCAGCATGACTAAAGATTCCGGCGGCCAGCGGCGCAATGATATGTAAAGAAGACACCCTCGTCGAATCGGTGCCTACTCTCCCGCCTGTCAACACTCAACCAACCATATCATTAGCAGCTCAGCTCAGCTGCCTGCGCCAACCGAACATCACACCATTTCGCCAGTTGCAGATCACTTAGTAACGGCCCCTCAGAAGTAGAGCTGAGCTGCATACGGCTCGTGCACAGCCTTATATACTGCTGCCACCCCTCGAAGGATGTTGGGGGGCTCCAATGATATTAACATCTTATATATATGCGACTTGGACGTTGAAGTGATTGATGTCCGCCGTCCACCAGCGACTCTTGGACCAATGACTCTGCCACGGCTACCAGCATGGTGCTCTTCCTCCGTCCAAACCTCAAGTTTCTGCCTCCTGCGAAACGCGACAGGCCTGTTCGGGAACGAGAGCTTGAAGAGGCAGAGATAAAGGCACACGCGGCCAGAATCTCCCATCAAAAAAGGAAATGGGCAAAACTGCAACAGCAGTTGCTACAAAAGGAGGGGCTACAGGGGTATGCCGCACCACGAGTTCATGGCGGGCAACAACCCAGCCGTCGGGCTCCAGCACCATATCGCGAGATCATCTTCGTCCTTCATGGCTCGTCTGATCCATTCAACGCCTGCCCCGTCAAAATCACGCCGGAGGTCAACCGTATCCTCACATATACACGAGACGTCATGCTTCCGAATATCTTCAGCCCGCCGTTTTTCCGACGACTGACCGTGGGAGGACCCAAGATCGTCAACTTTGAGAATGCGAAGAAAGTCATCGGAGGGCCCAGCTTTCTACTCAGCATGAAGGGATTCCGAGACATGAATGAGGGTGCTGCTCTTGCGTGGTTATGCGGCCACATTCCCGGCATCGTGCGACTCAATTCTCCACAAAGCACACAGCAGCTTTCGACAGCGAGGCTCAAAATGCGAGCCAAAAGTCTCAAGTTGCTGCGCGAGCACCTCGCCTCGCATGCACAAACGTCACCCGAGTCAATGGCCGCGCTCAGACTACATATTCGCTGTCTCTTCGAGACTGAGTGTATGGCAGGGGACACGATGGCAGCCAAAGCCCATGCAGACATCCTTCTGCGTCTCCCCGACCCTCTTACCGACGAGGTAGAGCGTGCTCAGCACTTATTAGTCATGATGTTCGATGCTACCGAGCTGGCATGCAAGAAGCTGGAAAGGACAGTTTTGCCTTTCGGGAGCTGGACAGCAAAAGCGCATGCAAGGCTCTGGGCCATGGCCTCTCAATTTGTCCCGATCCCTCCTGTTTATGTCCACAACGCTCATTCGTGTGTGGAGATTCCGGAGCATCGTGAGGCGATGATCACGTTGAGATACTGCTTGTGGATTGCCGAAACCCCGTTGCCGTTCGGAACTTCTGAAGAGAGGCTCAAGGCTGATATGATCTTTGCCTGGATTGCGACCAAAACGTTTCATGATCTGGGAAATTTGATCAATTTGTATGTGGATATCATGGAGGGCAAAATTCTTTTCAACTCCGAAGGCCACCGGCTCACGCAAGCATGTATGGTTCTCACACTGGTTTATGAAAGCCGGAAACGTGTGCACGAGGCCATCATAGAGGATGGAGCCGACATTCGCGAGGCTTCCAATGTCATCATGCCTCGATTGGCGCAAGACATGGCGACGGCCATGGAGATGATGAGTCCAGTCGAATGTGTCCACTATCAAGAAGCGTACCTGTGGATGCTCTATGCTGGTGCGCTGCACGAGCAACGGCAGCAAAGCAAGATGCGATGGACCAGTTTCAACCCGAAAGTTGAGTCTACAGAGAAACCGTGGTTCACAACGACCCTAGCAAAGCACGCCGATCAGATGAATGTCACCACCTGGGCGGAGGCAAAAGCCATCCTACGGCAGTTTTTGTATGATGATCATCTGGAGCCGGACGGGCACCTGTGGTTCGAAGATGTTGTGCGCGTGCCAGCAGAGCCTATAAAGAGCGAAGACGAAAAACAACCACAAACAGGGATGGCTATACGCTAAAGGCGGTCAGCCATGTCTTATGTTGACTTGCGCCACTCTCTGTATCCACGGGAGGTGTGCATATGTGCATGTAGAGAGTGGCGGAAAGCATCAAAGGTCCGGCGCTGTCTCCTCCGCACTATCGCTTGCGAAAGTAAAGCTGCAGATGCTGGCTTCCTGAGCAGAAAAACAAGCTGCCATGGCGTCTGCTTGACCCCAAGCTTATGAATATCATAATTGTATACGTATTCTCAAAACAGAAGCCATCCATTATGACTACAGAAAAGGCTCTGTTCGTTTTGTTTACTCGTTCACCAACATCGCAAACATCTCCAACACCCATCACCCCCGCAACAGGGCCAAAAAAAACATGCGGTTGATGAGGGTGGGACTCGAACCCACGAGGGATTTAACCCACAAGTACTCCGATCGTACCATTCGAAGCGTGAGCTCCAGGTGTACCTGAAACCTAGGGGCAAGGGTTAGCAGGAACGAGACACTGTGAGGTTGTTCATCATTGCTTACTTGCGCCATAACCACTCGGCCTAAGAGAGCTGTGTTAGCTCCCAAGTTGAATGAATCAGGTGGTGAATTTTCACATACCACCTCACCAGTGTATTTTGAGGCAAATTTGACCTCAAGATCTACATATACTGATTAGTTTTGTGGTGGGGGCAGGGGTATAGCGGTAGTGGTTCGTGGGTGCATGGCGGGGTACTACCAATGTCAGGCCTCGGTTCATGCAAACAACAAATCAGCAGCGAACAAGGACAAAGGACGTAATTTATTCTGTCTACTGTACGGGGCATTTAGTCCCTCATGCGGATTTGCGACGCCCTCCAGCAGGTCTTGTGCTTCACTTATTTGTAGACGAGGGAGTCATTGAGCAAAGAAAACCATCAGATACTTGTGTGGACACAACCACTCACGCTTCATTGAATGTGTTGGTCTTGAGACGGTACTCGGTATCAAGTATTACATGCAGGGGTTGCTCATTTCTGGTGCGGAAGCTGACCTTCTAGGGTTTATGGAGCTGGTGTCAAAAGACCCCTTCGCCCAAGATCCTGGTAAGATGGAAAAACGGGATGGGTATAAGCGCTAAGAACATTTGGGAGGGGAAGCCGCCAACTAGGAAGACACCATATTAAAGAAAGACCCTGACGGCTAGATGAGCAGTTTGCTGCCCTTGTCGTTGATGCGACAAGTGGCGACCATGTACCGAGTACAAAGAGCATCTTGCAGTCCCAAGATATATGTCCACAATCTGCAAGGCCAGGCCCCCAATGTCTTTCTGCGCCTGTCCTACATTATTGCTGTATATCGTAAACCATACTTTTTCTGGGGTGTTGGTCCCTAAGGACCCTGCAGAGAGCTCCCAAGCACCGGCCAACGGCAATTATTATTATTAGGCGGTGGTTCCGAGCATCGCACCGCCTAGAGCCTCCCCTGCAAGACAAGCCCAAGCCCTACCGCAGGCCCCGGCCAATCACCCGTCCAGCATTATCACCTCCTTCCACCGCCTCTGCTCTCTGGATACCTAGGTCAGTATTCATCTGGAAATTGTAAGCCACTCGCGATTCGTTCTGTCTTGTTTATCCCCTTCGTGAATCTTCTTTCAAGAGGCGCCGCCTCGCTGGGTCAGCCTCCCTAACTCTGCAATATCAACCTTCGTCCCTTTACCTCACTACAGCCAACTTTCAATCGGATCCCAGGGAATATCGGTCAAGAATGACTCAATCCACGTTTGGCATGTTTGAAACAAGGCGCCTCCCTTCCCTGCTTGGTGCTCTCATTGCAGTCTACCTCGCAGTCAAACTCATCCGAATCATCCAGCGCACAATCGACGCTCGTCGTCGGTTCAAAGAAATCCCCCAGCTGCCCCGTCATCCGGTATGGGGCCACTTGGTCAATATGGGAGAGAAGCTCAACCCGGCTCTTCAAAGACATCCCGACTATGCATTCGAAGAAATCTGGGAATCGTTGGATCGACCCCCGGCTTTCCTGATGGATTTGAATCCCGTTGATGGTGTCTTTCTCATTGTCGCGGACCCGGACGTCGCAGAGCAGATCACCCAGCCTACTTCGACCTTCAAATATTCTCTTCCAAAAAGCGACACGTTAATGTCCATGTACCGCCTCATTGGCCTTGAGTCTTTGATCATAGCCGAGGGTGAGGAATGGAAGACCTTGCGAAGGCGGTTCAACAAGGGATTCTCTCCCCAGCACCTGCACACGCTGGACGGGTTGATTGTTTCCAAAACCCAAGAATTTGTAGATCGGTTGAAGTGCGCTGCGGCAAATGGTGAAGTGTTCAGCCTCAAGGACTATTCACAGGATTTGACCACCGACATCATAACCACTGTCGCAATCGAGAAGGATTACCATGCACAGACGACCCCGAACGGGGTTGGATCAAAAGGCACCTTTGGTATGCTGACGGCGTCGAGGCTGCTATCGAAGCTAGTGTTTCCCGTCGGCAGGGGGTTTAACCCACTGATCTATTTTGATCCTATCCGGCCCACGAAGTCCTGGTTCTACGAGCAGGTGTTTAATCGCGACTTGGCCAAGGTCATCCGCGAGCAGTTAGCGGCTGAACAGAAGCAACTGCAAGATTCGGTCAAGTCTGGGGCCGGTGGCAGTGGCCAAACCGGATCACAGAGGTCCATCACGCGCCTCGCATTGTCGGGTCTGACCCCGGACGAGGCGCTGATCCGCAATACGGTATCACAAATCAAGAGCTTTCTGTTCGCTGGCCAGGACACAACCGCCACCCTTATCCAATGGCTCTGTTTCGAGCTATCTAAAGCATCATGGTCTCCGTCGTCGGCAGCCATCCTTGAGAAACTGGTCCAAGAACACGACTCAGTCTTTGGCAAAGAGGGCGGGCCCTTCAACGCCCTCGATATTCTAGGCCGCACGGATGAAGAATCTCGTAAACAGACTGAAGCCATCCTCGGGAGCCGTCTGCCATACACAACAGCGTTCATCAAAGAGACGTTACGCTGTCATCCCCCTGCCGCCACCGCACGACTGATTCCGGAACTCTCGCCGGCGAATCCAACGCCAACCACATTGAATCTGCGCACGACGAGCGGCGAGGAGAAAGATGTGGAAGTCAATGGCGTCAGGATCTACGTGTGCGGATACCTGGTTCACATGAACAAGGCCGTGTGGGGGCCCGACGCTACCGTCTTTCGACCCGATCGGTGGCTGGATGAGAAATATGTAGCATCATTGCCGACCGGTGCGTGGCGGCCGTTCGAACGGGGACCGAGGAATTGCATTGGACAGGAATTGGCAATGGTGGAAGCTAAAGTCGTGCTTTGTGCCGTGGCAAGAGGCTTCCAGTGGGAGAAAGTAGGATACTCAGGGAAAGGGCAGAAGACAGACACTGGGAGACCGCGGGGAGATGGCAAGGATGATAAAGAGCGTGAGGTTTGGAGTGTCAACCAGGTCACAGCTGTGCCAGTCGATGGGATGACTATGAAAGTGCAGTTGCGGAGCTAGGTCTGCCTGGACTGATGGAATTTCGACTTCAAGCCATAGAAGTAAGTCGACAGATCGCACTTGAATGGCATGGTGCAAGGTCCATCTGCGTACAAGTATTCCACGTTGGCCACCCTGTATTGTATCTCTACATACAAGACGGTAGCGGCGAAAATGCAGGCAACAAGGCTGAGCATGGCTTCGGACCCGAATCGCAAGGCTGGTTCCGAACGGAGCGGATCTACTTTGTTCCGTAGCGCCTTGATCGGCGCGGACTGCAGCTCCAGAAGCCGATGGAGCATCAAAGACCTTGGATAAGGAAGTTTGCCCCCCCGAACCGTCTTCCATCCATCCATCCTTGCCATCAGCCAGTTGGGATGCACGCCCATCTAGGCACCCAGCATAACGAAAGGCCAGAACGTCGGGTTGCTGTCCCTCGTCTATCACACTGACTCACGCCATCCGTGCCACATGGCGCAGGCAGCCAATCCAACGGCCGGATCTACCACACCTGAGCCTGTGGCGTCCAATGCTTCTCGCAGCTTCGAGCCGCGTCGTCGCCATGATCGCATAAGCTTGTCTAGGATGGTGTGCGTAGCAAATGTGTTTGCCTAGGCGGCGGGGTAAGTATAAAGGATCTTCCTGATCTTTGCTGTCCATCACCGTCAAATATCAGTTCCTTACTTACATCAGTCGTAAGTTAAGCAAGCAAGCAAGATGCCTCCCATCTACTACTTGAATCAACCACCCCATCCCTTCTGGGACTTTGTCGCCGGGATCGAAGATCACCCGTTCTTCGCCCAGCATCGACGACCCGTCCCGCCAACGCCACCACCACATCCTCCCCGTCCAGGGGCCGAGCAGTCTCAAGTGCGGACACAGGCGACCGCTGGTGCTTCCGCCCAAGTCAACGAGAAATCCAAGGGCAAGCAGCCCGAGACCGGCGTCGAGGACCCTCCTGAAGTCGACCCGGCCACCCTTGCGTCAGAAGGTAAGGACGTGCCGTTCCGTGGTCGTGGTCGCTTCGCCAAAAGCTTTGAAGACAATGACAACAAGGACAATGCCGAAGAAGGCCACAGCGGCCGTCGAGGCGGGCGCGGCTGTCATGGCCATCACCGCGGTCATAACGCCTGGGCAGGAGCAGTGCCTTTCGGTCCCCATCCATTCGGGCCCCCTCCCTTCTTCTGGGGTACTCATGGCCCCTTTGGTCACCATGGACCCCCTGGACATGAGGGTGCTGAAGGCCATGGTCCCCACGCTGGATTCCGTGGCCGTGGAGGCTTTCATAGGGGAGGTCGTGGAGGACCACACCATCAACATCATGGACCCCATGCCCGCTCTCCACCACGCAGCGGCCCCTTCGCTGGTGGTCGCCCAGGCCAAGCATCTGGCTTCGATCTGAGCAACTTCCTGAACAATCTTGGTGAGCGGCTGGGGGTCGACTTGACCTCTGCCGCTGCAGGTCTTGGACTGCGCTCCCCACGCTCCACCGAGACCGACTTTGAACCGAGGACCGACATCTTCGACATCGCTGCGGCCTACATCATCCACCTCTCCCTGCCCGGTGCCAAGAAATCTGACGTTGGCGTCGACTGGGACGGCGAGCACTCGGTCGTACGCGTTGCTGGCGTTGTCCACCGGCCCAATGTCGACGAGCATATGATGTCCCGCTTGGTTGTGGATGGCCGCAAGCGGGAAACCGGCGTCTTTGAGAAGACCATCCGCCTGGGCACACCAAAGGACCCTGCCAATGTCGACGTCGACGGCATCACTGCCAAGATGGTGGACGGTGTCCTGATCGTCCGCGTACCCAAAGTTGAGAAGACATTTGAAAAGAAAGAAGTCTATGTGGGTGGTAGCTCGTCTCCCTCCCCTGCCAGGCCCTACCAAGAGAGGCCTGAGGACGTATACATAAACGAGAAGGACCTCCTGTTCGATGCCACCGACGACGTTGAGGATAGGGACATGTACGACGCCGAACCTGTGCCCGAACCTCAACAGAAAGCTTCCACAACCCAACAACAATCTGCCCCGGCGGACGCCCCTATGAGCGAGACGGCGACGGCGGAGGCAAAGGAGAAGCAACGTGAAGCCAGGGACAGAGACGACCGCTCTGAGACGGTTGATTTCGAGGCTCCACACAATGGAACGACCGAGACTCTCCCGAGATATGAGGTCGAGGACACTACTACCAACAACAACAAGGCTGAAGGTCCCTACCACCACCAGCTCCGTGCAAGTGTCGATGAGGAGGACAATATGAGCGACTGGGAGAAGTACGGTTCTGAGGACGAGGGCGAGTATGTTAAGATCAACGTCGACTGAACCACTCACTCACTCACTCGGGTTTGCCGTCTGCCCAGTTTCCTCGGCTAAGCAGAAGTTTGCCAAATGACAGGATAGCATGAGATTTTTAGGGGTTTTTACGGATAAGTTGAAGCAGCGTTTTCATAGGTCAGAACAAATGAACAATAAAAAGGGGGCGAGGGATAGGTTACACAGAACCTGTCGTCTCGCTTTAAATCACACATCCATCCATCCTTCTCGTTCATTTATCCGTTTTGTTTCTTACTCCTACTCTCAATATAACGTGTAATTGTTCTCCGCCGTTTCCATGATTATTCTTCCATTGCTGTTTTATTCTATTCTGCTTCTCCCCCTCCGTCTTCTTCTCTCCCCCACCTCCTTCTGATCCTCCACCACCACCACCTTTAAAAATATGGGAAAAAACATCTGACAGGGTCATCAACACCTGCTTGGTCATCTCGTCCCGTCTCGCCCCGTCCCACCTAGCCGGCCCCTGCTGCAAGGGTAGGGGTACTCTGCATACGTCGATGATAGATAACATACACGTTAACAACTATCCTTCTTTAATATCAAAAAGGGAGCTATTCTTAACCCCCTTTTCTTGTCGCCAATTCTCCCTTCTCCTCCTCCTCTTCCTCCTCCTCTTCCTCCTCCTCCTCCTCTACCTCCCCATAGTTCCGGTTCCGGACCCGGGTAGTGTTCATGGATCCAATCAGTTGGACCTCTTTTCCCTTGTGTCTCAGCGCCTCTCTGCCTCGTCGTTCCCTCTCTCTCACGGCGCCAGAACCTCCTTGACCACTTGCCCAAAGGTCACGTTCTGGCTACCACCATTGTTGCCGTCGGGGACCGCCTGCGCGCTGACTTCCTGATATGCGCCGTCCCAAAACATGGCGCCCGCCAGATTCGGCAGGCCCATACTTTTGACCTGGGCCAGGATGGACTTGTAGGTCGCCACGTCAACGTAACCGGATCCCGCGCCAGGGAAGGCGGGTGTCCCAATCAGCAGCCGAGGAGCGGTGATGCCGTTGTTGATGTTGTGGAACGTGTTGTCTGCGGGCGCTTCTTGTCGAGTGCGTAACGATCTCTTTTTCATGCGTGTACTACGGGGAGCGTAGCTGAGCCCCTGGAGGTCCGAGGACCAAGCCCGGAGGGAGTCAAGGAAGGCTTGGCCCGAGCTGAGTTGACAGGGTGGGTTATTGTAGAACTGCACGCTGAAAAAGTCAATGTTGTTGACGAGACTCGGGACGGGCACCGAGGCGTCCGGCCGCGGGCACTGTGGCGCTGCAGAGAGATAGTATGCCTTGGACGAGTCGGAGCCCATGAGTTGGCGGAGCGTGGATACCAATGTTGGGATATATGTCGAGGCAGAGGGGAGCTCGTTGTCTATGGAAAACGGTCAGTTTAGGATGAATCCTCACAGGATGGCGGTTGTAGGCAAAGACGAGCCAACTCACCAATATCAATACCATCCAGCACGACATTTCCATAGGGCCGTAGAGGCGTAAGGCTGGCATTGGTTCCCCCCAAGAACAAACTCCAGAGAATATTGGCGACCTCGACGGCCTCATTCGTGCTCGGCATGGTCAGATCTCCCACCGACCCGCCGAGACTGAGCAGGACTTTCTTGCCCTGCCGCTGGCACGTGGCAATCTTGCTCGCGAAGCCATCACCGACGCAGTCCAGGAGCCCCGTGGCTCCAGCAGCTTGTTGGGCCGCGTTGGGTGCCCAACAATTCGAAGCCATGTTCATGGCCGGATATCCGCCGTTGGAAATCAGATGCGTGACGAAGGCGAGGATGACGACGTCGACATCAGGGTCGTTGCACACCTGGGTCAGCGAGATGATGGGTGTCAGGTCCGTTTGCGAGTAGTAGACCACATTGAGGTCGGGAGCTTGAGGGTTGAATGTGGATGTTGCCGGTGGCGAAGAAGATGATGAAGGGGATGGTGTAGGATTGGTGGTGCTGGGAGTTGCTGCGTAGCTGGTTAGAGTCGTCGAGGCCGGCGGGGGAGTGTTGACGTTCGTGATGGGGAATATCGTCGTCTGTGGTGACGTGGGCAGAGGCGCGGACAGCGTTCCAATGTTGAACTGCGACGCAAGCAACTCAATCAGCTGCTCGATCGCACTTCCAATCTCGCCAACAAGCTCGTCCAACTGCTCCGAAAAGTCTTCGGAGGGATTCGGCCGCTGACTGGGAGCTAAAGGTCTCCAATAGCCCGCCGGTCCTGCTCGAAAGATGGCATCTCTCCTCGAACGTGCATGGCTCGCCTGAGACAGCTCGATGGCATCCAAGGTGGTGCGCAGGCTGGCGGCGATACCCTCCCAGTCGCCTACTGGGTTTGATGCGAGAATGGAATTGAAGCAAAAAGTCAAACAGAAGAAGAAAAAGAGAATGGATCTGTCATACAAAGCCATAGCGACGAACAGCACTACCAGAATGAAGGACAGGTAGGCGAGAAAAATGAACGACTTGGACTTATACCTCGAGGGCAAACATGGGCTGGGAGCTCCGAGACACTACCATACCACAAAAGAGCTGGAGGAGGGCATGTCACATTCAAGAATAGTGCTCAGGGTTTGTGGGGAGGAATGTGTCGGCCTGGATGCTGCTGGTCCTGTGGTCTGTGCCCTCGACGGCATTCCAGACAGCCACACCAGCGTTGTCACGCTCCAGTCAAGAATTGCAGGGAGAAGATGGAAAAGCATGGACAACAAGTGTGAAAAGACCAAGTCACAACCTGGTTCAAGAGGAGAAGGGCGAAGATGTGGTTGGGATATTCCACGGCGCCCACAGACACAGGGAGCAGTGGTTAGACACAGCGTCGATCCGATATCCGAGATGCCTGTGTTCGCATTCACAACAGGAAATCACGTCGTGTCGTCCAAGTACCTGCCATTCCATTCAGGATTCAACCTGTTGTTGTTGCTGTCGCCTCACACCAGAGCTGGAGCTGGAGCTTGTGGGAACGAGGAAACACGCTCCCTTGCAGTTCCGGTCAGATAGTGGTCTTCTTGATCCATCTGACAGCGTTTCGAGGAACAGCTCCCTTCCGTCTCCCTTGCGAAGCCCACCGTCTGCGACACGGATGCTCAGTTTGCCCCAACAGCAAGGAGACGGCATATGTTTGTCCCAGTCCCATGGCACCGAGGCAGCTGCGCTAGACCATCTTGACGTCGACCTTCTCCGTCAATCAATCAGTGATCCGACTAATCCCGGCTAAAAGACTCATCGACTGATCGGACGCAGACGTATGATGACCTGAACCATTTGAGACTCGTTGCTGCATCTTTAGCTTTCCGGCACTCTCCGTCCCAGCCATTGTGGACATACTGTAGTCCATGTAGCATTCTCCTTGTGCCTATCCCCAGGTCCCCTTTCGGCCCCTCCTCATAACCCAAGTCGTAAACTGTATATTCGAGCTAACACCACATCTGGCATCGGGTATTCCGCCGCACACCCGGGGCACGTCCTGTCAGCAGCTCGAATGCAAGAAATAGCCAGGACGGAACCCTGGACATACATAAGCTGAGAAGAGACGCCGGCGGCCGTCTCCTCACCACCTGGATGCAGGATGAGGCCATCACCTCCTGACGCAGGTGCAAATCCTTCTCGAAGCAGGTACCCACCATCAGTCGCTGAGTGGGACCGGCCTTCGAGTGACATTTTCTCGTCAACTCAGTCCTGTTCAGACGTTCTTTTTCTTTCCGGGCCGTCCTCTGGCAGTTGAACACGGCCCGGGCCAGTCAGCCTCGCACGTGACGGTTTTCGAGTTGCGACAGCCTTGTTGCTTCGCAGTATGGAGTGGTTTTCTTGGGGAGATTCGGCAGCAGAAGCCTCCTGTGTTTCTCGCGAGTCGGATCCGAACCCTTGTTGGGCACCAGCGAGCGAGGCAGACGACCAATTGCGGTCCAGAGCAGGTTCAGGTTACACAATCTGGATGCGAAGTTAGCACTCTGCTGTGGGAAGTGCCGAGAATCCTGTTCACCGTGGATCCTAGAACCGCCGACGCAGCTTCAGGCGCGGTGGTGCTGGTCTGCGTTGATGCGTTTGATGCTAGACATGGGTGCGAAGAAGGCAGCAGCCCCGAGCCGTGCCGGGTTCTACTGCGACCCCGAGCAGCTCAACCATTCAATCGTGCTGTGACTAGCAAGGATGCTTGGGAGTAGGCTGGACCACGGCGGCCCTGGTAAGGGATCCTATCATCGCACATAGGCCGAAAAGCCAGCCGGGCTCAGCCAAGTGGAAGGAGAGAAAAGACTGGCCCAGTGCAAGGAGCTGCAGAAGATGAACTACCTAGGTACCTAGGTACATACATAGGCGGGACCAGATGTACTCTGTCCTCGCAGGTGGGAGTCGAGGAGTCGAGGAGTCGAGACCATGGACCACACACCGATAGGGATAGGGGCCTGTGGTTGGGCGGCAACTCGTTGTCCAAAAGCCTTCCCATCCTTGCCATCCTTGCCCACCATGAGGGTGGCCCTATTTCCAGCGACTCGCAGAATGGTATTCTTGCTATGAAAGACCTCCCTTCACTGTGTCAGTGCCGGTGTCAGTGCCAGTGCGGCCGAGTTCTCTCATCAACCGCCGCCTTGACGTGGTCTAGATCCCTCAATCGCTATGGGTCTAGAGCGGTATCATGCGTCTGTTGGTGAGTCTTTGAAGCGCTCGCTCTTTGATGCCCACCTATCCACTGACTCTAAGCGCAGGCATCTCTACATCATTCCCAATGCGAGCCACACCTCCAGTCATCACACTTGAACACCCTTCTATGTACACCGACTCAATCAATCCTGTCCAGGTGGTTGTCCCCGCCATGCCACGAAGCATTGAGGCCACAGCTCCCAGAAGCATCCAAGATGGCTCACCCAGCGGCAGTCGTTCCTACTGCAGGCCACCGATTCTGGACGTCCTAGCAAGCCTCGTCGCGAACCTGCAGCCTTGGAGTGGAATCCACATAATGTGCACCCGTGGTGTCACAGCAGAGAACCCGGACCAACCCTCCCTTCCGCACTCTCGTCCCATCGTCCACGGCTCCGAGAATCTACCCTGTGGTGGTTGCGACTTGAGCGGCGTGTGTGCAGACGCCAAGCCGTTCAAGGTGCAATCATCCTCGCTTCGGCAAGAAAATATGGTGGGTGCTCCGCGGGACAACGCCTGGACGAATCCGCGCCCGAAGAGCCTCAAGAAGGGAAAAGGAAACTAGAATAGGCGCTCGATGGCGAGGGGATACCGGGAGGTTGGATTATGCTGTCTCACCCAACCTCGCACAACACGAGCCACCCCTAACTACCCGAAAAGCCCCAATTAACGAGACCATAGACTTGCCATGTCGCCGTCACACGGCAGCTATGCCTGGCGTTGTTGGAAACAACGGCATGCTTGATTGCTATTGAACCACAACGTTACACAGCATGAACGCCGCCGTTGAACCTGAATGTTGTGCGACAGAACAAGCCGTTGGTGCCGCTGTCGCACAGCAGCTGCAGCTCCTGCATGAACGCGCATGAATACGAGCTTTGGAGGAATGCCACTTGGGAGAAATTTCCGTGTCACAGAGATCAACAGCCAACAATGGATGAGGCGTTATCGGGATAACGGGCGTGTATGCATGCTTTCTGCTGCTCGTACACGTCTGAGGCAGGAGTGCGCAGGCGTCACACCGCTACAACGAAAGGAAACAGGCCGTGATTGTGTGCCCAAAGGACGCCTTGCGGAGCCAATCCTCGATCCGCCAAAAGAAGATGCCGAGTTAGGCCACCGACCCTGAAGACTCGCTGTCCGTTTTGCGAAATGCCACACAAGTTGGGAGGTAGGTGGCCAAGGATTATATCATTAATTGGTACAGAGAGCGGTACCTTCAGAGGGTAGGCATGCGACTCGTCTGGTCGCGCCAGCACGGTGACTTTTTTCTGTTTTTGTTGTTCAGACCTCAATTCCCAATGGTGTACGTCCATTTATCGCTCAATGCCATCAACATCATCGCCGGAGCCACCGTCGATTCTGATCGCATTGTGTTCGTTTTGGCTACGTACGGATATCCTGGGGGAAATGGCAGGGGACGAGGAGTGAGAGGAAAATTCCCCACATCAGACACACACAGGCGGGAATCATTTACACGAGACAGGAACAACAAGAAAAAGAAGAAATGTGATCAACCGAAAAGCGACGGGAGGGAGAAAAAGAAAAAAAGGGGAGAGGGAAACAAGTCATCTATCTCTCTGGAGAGGTTACGGGGCGGCATGCTGTTGTTGTTGCCGTCTAGATAGACTTCCGGGGGTCCTTGGAGCTGGATTCCGGGATCGTTGGGGAAGGTCGGGCCCCGTTGGCGGCGCGCATATGTGTGTGTGGGACTGGGAACAGTTGGGTCACACAAGAGACAGACAGATGACGACGACAACGATGCTTTGGACCGCGACGTTATCGTCATCGTCGTCGTCCGCACAACCCTTGCTGCCAGCTGTTATTGACGGTTGGAAAAAAACTTCATACGAGTGAGCTGAGCAGAAAGAGAAGCGAGCAACAGGATAGCCACTGATACGAAACGCATTCAATTTCAATATTAGCCGCCCAGTGCAGAGAATAAAAACACTCGAGAGATCTGTCTTGTCATTCCTCACGCTGTCCGTCACATCATGTCATGTCCGTCGCTCAACCCACAAGTATCCAGCTCGCTGTGTGCAACCAAGAGAAGAAGAAGAAAAGGGCAATAAAAGAGTGATTAGAAGCCTCTTCCATGTCTTCAACAATCCCACAGTCCCTGTGCATTTTCGTCCCATCGTTTCAGACCATAGCAAGAAGGCGGCCACACCGAAAAAGGAGTCCATCCGCCCACCCATTTGTTTCTGTTCATACGCTGCCAGGCCCATGCTTCGATTCCCGTGCCCATCCCATCCCGTCGTGTCCCGTCGTCAAGTAAAAACTCGCTATTTACAATGTCCAGTCATGAAGCAAGTCCCAAGCTCCTCTCAGTAATGCATGTGCAAGATGGAGGGAGCTTGGATACCCCTTTTCAAACTCTTGACCATCGAATTGAAACATGAAATGATCCAGTAAAAGTGTCTTGGTCCCCAGTGAAAGAGCGTCCAAATCCCCGCGTTATTTTGTTCTTGATCAAAAATCCGGCTCCTATCACGGGGCAATACAAGACACATGGTGTAAAACTGTACTGAGCTTTTGTGGATCGAAGAGAATGCCTCCCACCCTCCCGCCCGCCGTCCTTTTTGGTGTCAATTTTGATTACCTCCCATTTTTGAACTTTTCGAAAGAATGTGCTGGTTTTTGGAAAGAAGAGGGAAAACAATCCGACCGACCGTGAAAATCTGGGGTTCGCAAGAAAATGGAGTGCCTTGTTTCGCAATCTTCCCGAGGCAGACTCGCTCATGAAGCAATTTAATATCGGGATTATGAAGAGAGGAGAGTTATGCGGAGGGAGGTTGGTAGTGTTTCTGGTCGTTGGCGTAGGTCGTCATCATCTCGTCGTTAGGTAGAAGCTTTTCGTGTAACTTTTCGTCTTCAAGTTCGTAGCAATGGGGTTTCTTTTGGCGGATCATTCTTCCAGAGTCGCTGGCGTCAGCATTGGGTCGACTGCCCCAAGTCGTCTGGCACCATGTGTTAGCTACATTCAGAGTGTCCCAAATTTGTTCATCAAGGCTCACCACGCCCAACGTCACTCCCGCGTAGACCTTGATGGCTCCATGAAACCACCCGAACAGAATCGACACCGGCCACAAGAGGATGTCGACTGGATAGCGGACAAAGTGAGTAACCAGCTTGATGAACTTGGAGAATATCATCCAAGCGGCAAAGGCATAGATGGCAGTCCTGGCCTGGTCAACAGGCCAGTCACGAATGCCTTTGCACAAATAAAGCCAGAGAAGTCCATCCCCGATGATGGCGGGCGGCATCAACGTCGTGACCTGGACTGCGTACGTGCTGTACGGTTGCCGACTAGCAAAGGGGCCAAAACCGGGTCAGTTGCCAAGATCCTTCAAAAACCGAGGGAGAATCTCCCACATGGGGGACCCCTCTGGGATAAGAGGACCAACTTACCGCCAAATGTGACGTTCAGCCAGCATGCTGGTGAGATTGCTGCGCCAGTTACTGCGAGCCCACCTCAAACATTGTTTGAGGAATTTTGGGTTGTCTTCGAGTGTAGTAAGCACTTCACATTCGGGATGGTACTGCATGTAGATTTCGTGCCGATGCGAGACCATCCAGCGCGTAAGGAAGTTATCGTCATCAGCATTGAGCTGGAATTGGCCAAACCACCACTTCTCGTTGGTGAATCCATTGGTGAAATTTACGTCCTGGAGGATGCTGGTCCGATAGGCACAGGTACGCCCGGACAAGCATGGAACGCCTCCGTCGATGTGAGTGGTGGCTGCACAGTCGAAATTTCGCCGCTCCAGGTAGAGTGCTCCGAGGAATCCATAGATACGCTGAGAGAAGGTGGGATTCTCGGCCCGTCGCAGCCGCTGACAGGTCACCACTCCGCCATATTTCTTGTCTTCGAACGGGGCCAGCATCCACTGGAGAGTCCGAGGCGGCCACGTGACGTCGTCGTCGGCAAAGACGATGATCTCGGTGGTGACCTCGGGGATGGCGCGCGCCATCTGCCGTCTCTTGTTGGCATGTTTGACCGACATGCAACGGATGCGGTGGTACTTGGCAGCCGGCATCTTTCCCATGGTCCGCTCTGCCTTGGCCAAGTTCTCATCGATTGTAACCAGAATCAACTCCTTGGGCTCGTTCTCCATGATTGAGGCAATGGTCTTCTCCAACTCCTCTCCCTCACCGTCCAGGGTGGGCAAGATGACCGTGACATCTGAAGGCCAAAGAGTGGGATTTTCTGGGATGGGAATCGGCTTGAAAGTCCAGAAGGCCCACAGGTTGACAATGAGGCGGACATAGCGCCAGAGGCTGCATGTGGTTAGCTAGTCTGGTTTTCCGGTTCGATCTGGGCTGGTATTTCCCTCCACCCCTCCACGGCGGGCGCCACGAGGATTTCAGACTGGGACAGCCACAGCCGGGCAATCACTCACAAGTAGCCGATGAAGAATTTGAACCATGTCGTGGAGTCCATGGCTAGAGTGACAAGTTGTCTTGGTCTCGTGTCACTTGGACAAGTCAATGATAAGCGGACAATAACGACAGTAAGAGTGGTCGAACCACTCAAGGATGGTCCCCGGAAGAAACAGGACGAGCAAGCAAAAGACGAGAGCAGATTATTGCAAGGACATGAAGGATGGGAGGGTAATGAGAGACAGAAGAGAGAGAGAGAGAGATCAGACCGGAGTGATCGAGGCAGGTGAACGATTGAAATAAAAAAATTATGGGGAAGGACACGGGGCCGAAGATTTTCAGGACGACAGGACGAGGGCAATGGCGAATGCAGTGATGCATCAAGTCCTGCCTGGCTAGAGTGACGGTGGGAAAGTAAAGGGAAAAGCGAAATTGAATGGCACTGGCAGTTGGCTGATGGCTGTTTGCACTGACGCCCTGCAATTCCGCCAGCCTGCACCTTCAGAACCACAAACGTGAGCTTGCAGACGAGTTCGCAGTTCGCATGAGGTGAGGATTTGTTTTCGGCTTAAACACCCCAGAATAAGAAGGGCAGCTTGTGATGAGCGTCAATTGTTAGCTCGTTAGCCGCATAAGTGGGAGTGGAGGTTGTCGGCCGGGGTGGTGATTGGGCCTCATCCATGGCGGCTGCAGGCCTGCGTGGTTTGAGCCTTGAGCTCTGCACCTGCACCTGCAGCAATAGTTGAGATGGGGGGTTGGTGGACAGGGAGGGGGACGTCGATGATGGAGGGGAGGGGCAGTCAAGCGACGAGTGACGAGGGGTTGTCAATGGTTTAGCCAGGCCGAGGATTCGAAGGGGGGTGGAGGGATGGCAATGGACGGGGCGCTGGGGTGGCTTGACCAGGGTGTGGGTACTAGGTACGAACAAGGGTTCATTTGAGAAAATCAAAATGGGACTTAGAGGAACATGAGGACGACAGAAGCACGAGCACGAGCATCAGACACACACACCCCTCTGACATGGCCCCTAGGTAGGTAAGCATGGGTGTAAGGTCGCTGGGTAGTGTTGGTTATGGTGGGTGGGTTGCCCGCCGCTGCAGGTCGACCTTGGCCGCCCAAGGCAACGTTAGGTAGGCAGTAGGCCTAGGTAGCTCGTAGCAGTGTTAATCGATTTGGGGTAGT